CAGGGAGCACCATCTATGGATCACTGGTCAAAAAATCAGCACTTAGGACGAAGTGATTTTTAACTTAAAAAAAAGAAAGAAACTGTCGGGTATTTATCGATTAGCTACCCTTTTGCCACTTAGCAACTATTCTCACTTAGGGTTAGGCTTAGGAAACAGCCTTACTTGGAGAATTACTCCATGCATAATCTTCGATCTCTCAGTCCTGACTCGTGGTTCCAACCTGGGCTCGGCAACCTGTGTGGAAAACCTGAGTCAGGTCCGAAAGCTCTCTCCAAAGTTCAGAATAGATAAGATAGGTAATTATACGTCGACTAGTATAATAGTCTAGTCCTCTTCTAGTTGGATGACTTTATCCGATGCTGAAACCAAAACCCAAATCCAAACCAAATTTTAATCTCAGACAGATGGAACTGGGACAAGGATACCCAAGCGTTCCGCGAACGAAGGCGAGGACGTCGAACTGAGCTCGACATGAGCGAAAGGAACGGTGATAGAGATTAACTCTGCGTGGAAAGGAAAATTGTATGTGTAGTATATTAACCTTTTCCCGCCAGGGTGCATCTTGACAAAAATTACTTTTTCCGAGAAGTACTTTGACTTTTGCAAAAGTTAAAATTTGTAGAGCTACGTTTTGTTTCCAAATTTCCTGAGTCCGAATTTCCGGACATTTTTTGGATTTTGCGGTTTTTTAAGTGGGACACTGCAAAATCGACCATGGTCAGAATTTCTGGGCAGATTCAAATTATTTTTATCCGTATACCATCATTTTTAGAATAAAAATTTTAGAGGCTCATATTTCAAGCGATGCGCCTCCTGTCGTGCATTTGGCAGATTGACTTTAGAAATTTTTGTTATAATGATCAAACGCTTTTCTTGAATTTCTGAAAAACTCTTAAAACGACGCTTTAAATAGCTTTGAGGTATACATAAAAATAATCAGCTAAGTCTCATTTTTTTTAAAATGAAAACAATCTTGATCAAAAGTCTATCGAATATCTAGCAACTCTTAAATCTTCAATCTAGAATATCGATTTCTCACTCTTCCTTAGAAATTTCGTTTATGTCGCTGGAATCAAACATTTGTGCGTTGAACAAGAATTGTATTTGGAAATTTTACTTCCGACGGAAGGCGCGGCGCATGGCAACTCATGCGTCGCAAGTTGTAAGCGCACTGATCTCGCCGATAAAACTCGACAAAGATAAGGAAACTTCATCAGATATCAAATTGAAAATGTTCGATCTACCTTCTAATCCTGACGGCATCGCCCAAGCTTACAACCTAACAAACCAATTTATACTTTTACTGGGAGCACTCTGGACTACTATCAGAGACCAATACATTTTGGCGGTCGATAAAGAGACCTATCTTCGTCGAATTCGTAAGTTATTCTTGTTCCACTACTATCAATCATCTCATTTTTAAGGTGGTCTTCTCGACCATTTGGACTTTGACATGCCCCTTGTGGCAAGACTCGAAGACATGATTGAGAACTCAGACGGAGAAATTGACATTGACGATTCCAGCGACGCATCCTCCTCCTCCGAAGATGACTCTGATGATGATGAAACCTACTATCCTAGCTCTCCTCCAAAAACAAGATGTAAGAGTCAACGTTCAAGCAAATTCTTGATTGTTTTTTTAGCTGCCAAACGAAGATTGTTCGAATCTGATGAGCCGGAACAAAAGCGACCAAAAATTGACCAGCTCGATCAGCTTGAAAATGATGAAGTTGACAATGGAAGCGATAATGGGGAAGACATCGACGCTGAGGCTGAAGAGGACGACGCTGCTGGAGATTCTGACGTTTTTGAAGCTGACGACGCAGCTGAAGAAAACGACGCAGCTGAAAGCAACGATGATAGCGGCGCTGATACTGGTCCTGATAGCGAGGAAGAATGGGCGACTCGTCCAAAGTCGCAAAAGAATCAACTTTGGACTCAAACGACCTGGGACATGTGCCAACCTTCCACGAGTCGAGCATCAATGTTCACACCGCCGCCGACGCCTCCTCCATTTGACTCTCCCCGTCCTCAACCATTTGAGTTTCCTTCTCCGGCTGGACGACCATCTGTTATTCAATCTCCTCGGGTTCCCGAATTCCGACCGATTTCCATTCAACAAATGATGGCTTCAGCAATCCCAACAAGTAAATATTTTTATTTAAGCTTCTATTAATTTTCATCAAGTTGATTTGACTGGAGATTCGTCTTCCGACGATGACGATCAAGTTGTCCCAGGTAATTTGAACTTTCGAATCCCTCTCTAACAATTATCTAGCGATAGACATTGCCTACGCTGATAGTACTTTCGACTCCTTGGACGGCGAACAATTCCAGCAGATCGTCGATGAGAACGACGCTCAAGCAAGAGCAGAAGAAATCCGTCAGCTGCAATCGGAGCTGGAGAATCCGTCAAGAGGAGGTACTCCTGATACGATTATCGATGCTTGCTTATCGCCGTATCTTTTAGGGGAGACTCTGGACACAGCACTCAGCATGGGACTCATCACACGAGAAACTACCGAGTTCATCGACGAAGTTGCTGAGATGATGGAAGACGAAGAAGATCCTCCCGCCACCGTGACGCCAGAAAAAACCTTTACTGAGCTTTGAATTCCTTCCTCTTTGCAAACTCTTCTGTTTCCTTACTTCCGGTGATTTAGTTTCTTTCAATAAACATGCTTTGGTGAACTTCCGTTGTTTTTTTAGCACTGATTTGAGGCATTGATTTAGGGCATAAAAATGAGCTTGATAGCTCAAAAATTATCATTAAAAAAAAAATGAATCGCAGCGCACCAGTCTCAGAAGAATTTCCTTTTCTCGACTTGATTTGCAAAATCAACGAAGAAATCATCAGCCAGAACAAAGCTGCTACAACCCTTGTTGCACTCGCGATCGCTGGTTACTGCTGGATGGCAATCAAGATTTGCAAGATGAAGCCAAAGAAGAAGTCGACTGCGAAAAGAGCCTCGATCGTCGTTACTGATTCTGATCCTGCTTTGTCTCCTCAAGATTCTTGGGTATGATATGCTTTCTATCCTGCTCGAACTCCTGCTTGTTAAACACGTTGGATTCTTTTTTTAGTTTTTATTGTGTCTGTGATTTGATAAATATGATTTGGAACTGTTAAGAAATATATATTTCAATAAATTTGAACATGATTAGGCACTTGAAGTTAAATATTTATGGCAAAAAAATATCAGTTTTTGGCTAGTTTTGAAGTGGCAGGTTGTTATTCGCTTGCAAAAAAGATTAGCTGTTTTACATAAGGTTTTATCGTTGACGTTTCAATTATGTTTTATCAATAAAATATCAGTTATGGCTAGTTATGAAGTGGCAGGTTACAATACGCTTGAATTAGCTAGTTTCAATAAGGTTAACGTTTCAATTATGTTTTCCGTGAAAAGTAAAATGATCTTGCAATATTCTACTCTTCCATCATGTCGATCTGGTCACCATCACATTCCATCTCTTCATCCACGCTGTCGACTTCCATTTCCTTGTTCACGCTGTCGATTTCCATTTCCTCGTTCTCGGTATCTACATCCATTTTCGCGGTCATTTCCCATTCCATTCCTTCGTTGTTTATTTTCATCTTGGCCATCATTTGTGTTGCTAGCTCGACATCCTTGTTGAATTCTACTTCAGCTTTAATTTGATTAACTTTTGAATTTCGGCTGTTAAAATACCTTTGATAAGGATGAATAGGTCGGAAACTGAGCGAAGATTTTCGTTTTTGATTGCGTCTATGATCTTTCGCTCCCACGGGGTCAAGGGGCGCTCGGAATCGAGTTCTCTCATCTTGCTTCGCTCTGCGCTTTTTTTGGCGCCAGTTTGGCTGGTCCTGCGGTGCGCGCGCCTGCCGCAGGCTAGGTTCACGCGTGCGGGGGTTGAAAAGGCGAATCAGCGGAGCGCCCGCTCAAGGGCGGGCCAATTTCAAGCACGCACTTTGCCCTGCACTTGCATCTTCGAAAGAGAATCATTCTGCAGAGAAACAAAAAGAGAAATATCGAAATTTCCTTTCTGCCTTTCAATTTAAATTCTTAGGCTGACTATAAATAATAAATAGAGATAAACTGTCATATATCAGCAGCCGCAAGCGGCTTGTTGATTAAGCAAGTCTTTCTGATTCTTATATACGCAGTCGCGAGCGACTTCTTGATTTTTTTTTAGCTCATCTGATTTTTTCTTTACGCAGCCGCAAGCGGCTTCTCGATTTTAAATTATCTTCTCTTCAACTCTTTACTTTTAATAAGAGCTAAACAAGTTTTGGGTTCAGAGATGAGACGATTCGTTGTTCATCTCCCAGGTGGAGACGATGATGTCTCGACGACTGACTTTCCCTCGACGTCCAAGACTGGCTTACCCTGGGAGTCCACCACCAGCACAGCCGAGGAAATGACAAGGACTTTGTTAGACAATCCAAAGTCGGACAACTCAAGCTTGCTCAAAGCAGCCTGCTTGCAAGGTAACCGCGAGTGTATGAGCGATAGTTTCAATTATCTTACTTAGCCGCAATCGGGTCAACGATCTGGCTCATACTCATTCTGATGTACAGATATCGAGTGCGTATAAGAACCTGGATCTGGGACTGCAAGAGAATTCTCACCCAGGGAAGTCCTCACCCGAAAGGTAAATTTCAATTCTTTAGTCTCGAACTCATACAAGAATAATAGATAACAGAAAAGACGAAACAATCAAAGAAGACGAAGGTTCAAGAAAGGACGAGGGCAAAAGGAACGATGAAGACATCCAGGAAGTTGACGAGAGCAAGCCAAAGAAGAAGAAAAAGTATGAAGAATGGGGTCCAAACGAGAAGCACGAGTTCGTGATGCCCGAGTGGCTCAAGTGGAACGGTACCTGGCGAAAGAAAAAAGAAGATGGAAAGCCAAAAATTCAGGAAGTCTGAAAAGAACTGTTGACATGAAAGTTTTTGAATGATGATAGCGAGTTTAATGCAATACTTTTTCATTTAAAAGACTGAATCTCGGGTGATTATGTGCGACTCGTGGACTGACTACAGATTCGATTACATCGCCCAAGACGAGCTTGAAGAATTTTGCTCCTGCCAAGGTAAAGCCTTTCAATAAAGAATTTTTGCTATTTACGACTCAAGCCACATTTACTAAAAGCTTTCATACAGTCATTAAATTTGAGAGATATATTTCTACAGAGCTCCATTTATACGATTCTTAGAGCCGGCGATGAAAGCAAAGATCGAGGAGATTATGAACATCTCAATTCTCGCTGCCGTTGGCGTCTCGATCCTGATGATGATCATCCTCGTCTGCCTCATCGTCAAGAAGCAAAAGAATGAACCTCCACGAAGAAGTAAGCAAATATCAAAAAAACTTTATCTCAATTCAACTTAGACTTGCTGATCTCACGACCTGTTCATCTTCCAGAAGACATCTAAACTCCTTGAAAACAAAGTAAGTTTTTTGAAATTATTTTCTCTCATTTCTAATTCACTTGAAGGCTCTCACATCTTTGTTGCCGCTCTTCTTCTCATTCCTGTGTGCGAAACGACAATCCTCCTTCTTCCATCTCTCAACCTTTGTGTGCTTCTCCCGTGTGCCGATTCAATACCTTCTTTCTTCCCAATCTACAGGACATTCACTCTCTTCCTCCGTGTGCCATCCTTTCAATATCCCGTGTGCCGCCATCAATTTCTTCATCTAAAAGGACACTCTCTTAAACATTTATTTCTATTTAATTTCAGAGAGTAAAAAAGAATGATGGGTCGAAGACCAATACCAACGATTTCTCCTACGACAGCTACAACAGAAACAGGCCTGGAAACAACAACTTCTCCTGAGACAGACAGCGGCAAGACAGACGTGATTTTTTTGTATCTCATACGCAGAACAAGGGTTCAGACAATCTTAAAGAGTTTTCTTTTTCACGAATTTTCGAACCCAGTTCAGACTGCTTAGTTAAGTTTTTCTCAAAAGAGGTTGCTCTCATCGTAGTGATTTTGGTCTGGCTTTACTTCGTTTTTCGTCTTGTAATTCAAGGTGAATTGATTTCCTGCTCCGTAAAAACTAAAATTGAGTTTCAGCCATTGTCCATGTTATTACCATCCGACACGCTCGTCAGCCAGAAAATCAGCCACCAGCAACAGAACCGCCAGCAAGTCGACAATCAGAAGCTCATCAGCCACAAGGCAGCCTACCAGGTTTGAGATGTCCTGAAAAACAGCTTATTATATGATATTTAGTACAATCTCCTTCTCCTGAACTCGAGTGGGACGGTTCATTTGACGCCTTGCCCCTTGACCTGTCCTCGACCGCTCCAAGATCGAATACCAATCTCCTCACTCCGTCTTCTGCTTCCCCTGCTGCCAACAATCCGACTACTGCGACACGCGATCCGACGGTCAACTCTGCTGCTTCCGCTCTCAATCTAACTCCTGCCCGTCAAACTGACAATTCCGCCGCTCGCCTTTCTGCTCGCAAACCAAGTGCCGCTTCTTCAATTGCTACGCCTTCAGTTTCGCCAGCAAACCCTGCCACTTCCGGCCTCCGAAAAGCTCCAAAGAAAACTTCCACCCGCCTTGCCGAGCCAAAAATCACAAACAGTCAACCGACCTCCATGGAATGGATCAGTTCGCACGACTTCCGCCGCGACAACAAAGACTCAAACCAAGCGAGACGTTGAGCAACCAGGTTAAAGACACCAAAAGAAAATTGAACTAACAAACATTCTAGCTCGAGCAGTTCGCCAGCGTAAACAGACGTCCTCCCTGTCGATCAACCATTCCCGGAAAAAATATTAGCTGCCTTTTCAAATGCCTTCCTTTTCTTTGACTGATAATATAGAACATAAGCTATCTACCGAAAGTCCAGATAAAGAATCTCAGAGGTTTGCAGGAATATATACAAATATTTTATGCATAAATACTATAGAAACATCAAAAATGAAAAGTTAAGGGAGTTTAAACGCAAATCTTTATATTATTGGCCGGAAGGTAGCCAAATTTGGAAATATGTATATTGATATACATGTTTTCTTTTTCCTCAGAGAAAATTTTTGAAACGAGATATGATATTTTTCTTTCTTGATTTTTGAAGCTTAAGAACTACTCTTTAAAAGCCATCATTATAAAAATCTCTGGCATGAATGGTTCCACCAGAAAATTTGCGTCAAAATTGACCGAAAACCGAGAATTTTCGGAAAAATTCTGAAATTTCGATTTTTCGAAAACCATCAAAATATTCGCTTAAATTGTCTCTTATGGATGTTTTTCACCAGAAATGGCAAAAAAGGCTAGAAACAACAAACCGTGAAAAAATCATCCAAATTTGGAAATATGTATATTGATATACATGTTTTCTTTTTCCTCAGAGAAAATTTTTGAAACGAGATATGATATTTTTCTTTCTTGATTTTTGAAGCTTAAGAACTGCTCATTAAAACCCATTATTATTAAAATCTGTGGAATGAATGGTTCTTCCAGAAAATTCGCGTCGAAATTGGCCAAAAATCGAGAATTTTCGGAAAAATTCTGAAATTTCGATTTTTCAAAAAACCGTCGTAATATTCGCTTAAATTGATCCTTATGGTTGTTTGGTCACTAAAAATGGTAAAAAACATCTAGAAACAACAAACTGAGAAAAAAATATTTGATTTTGGAGAAAAAATCATCCAAATTTGAAAATATGTATATTGATATACATGTTTTCTTTTTCGTCAGAAAGAAATTTTGAATAGAGATATGATATTTTTCTTTCTTGTTTTTTGAAGCTTGAGAGCTACTCTTCAAAAGCCATCATTACACAAATCTGTGGAATGAATGGTTCCACCAGAAAATTTGCGTCAAAATTGACCAAAAATCGAGAATTTCCGGAAAAATGCTGAAATTTCGATTTTTCAAAAACCGTCGTAATATTCGCTTAAATTGATCTTTATGGTTGTTTGGTCACTAAAAATGGTAAAAACAGCTAGAAACAACAAACTGAGAAAAAATATTTGATTTTGGAGAAAAATCATCCAAATTTGAAAATATGTATATTGATATACATGTTTTCTTTTTCGTCAGAAAAAATTTTGAACAGAGATATGATATTTTTCTTTCTTGTTTTTTGAAGCTTGAGAACTACTCTTTAAAAGTCATCATTACACAAATCTCTGGCATGAATGGTTCCACCGGAAAATTCGCGTCAAAATTCACCAAAAATCAAGAATTTTCGGAAAACCGAAAACTTTCATTTTTGGGAAAGAAAGTTCCACTTTCATTTTTCTTCATCAAAGAAAATGTTTATAAACAATATGCAGGGTCGATTGCTCTGTCTTTGCCTCAACGATAAATAAATTACTTTTGAAATTTTATTTCTTTGTTTATTTGGAGACTGGCAGAAAGTGATGTACTAAAGAAACATGTGGAAAGTTATTGAGAATGATAAAGCAGTGCCATACATCCGAGACGAGGGAAAAAAATGCAAAGAAAAAGAAAGATAGTGAGAAAGGCGCAGAAAAGGGGAGAAAAGCAGGACATGGATACTCGTCAATCGAGTAAGGGAGTCTTCGTTGTTTCATTCCAGCTGGTAAGTGTAGATTTGCAAGGTTCCAATGGTCAAATCAGGCTTGATCTCCAGGGCGACATCGAATTTGGGATTCTTGATTTTGTATTTTTTTCCCTCGTCTCGAATGTATGGCACGTCTGTATCAATCACTTGCCGAAAGTCACCGCTGCCGCGGAAGATTACGGAGACGTGGCGACTTCTTGTCATCGAGCGTTCCCGAACTTTGACGGTTCTTCCTTCGTAATTTTTTGATCGGCATGACGCGAGGTTGATTTTGTAGAAGCATGGATGGTCCTGCATTCCAAGTGGATACGTGATGACCTGAAGAAGGTCCGTCTTGAATCCGCGCATGACGACCGGACCTCTCCAGTCAAGAAGGCCAGGGAGAGATTTCGAGCGTTTTATCCATCTCTCAAGGTATTTCGTCGATCCGCTCACTTCACGCTCCATGGACCTCGCTATGTCCATGTGATTGTATTCAGCTTTATTCTCTTTTTCGACGTCGCTGTCAGCAAGATTCATGGAGGAGAACTTGTCATTCATTTTCTGCTTGCAAAAAGAGTGTTTCGATTTTGATACTTCTGCCCAAAACTCTCTGCTTTTATCAGTATCTTCATTTCTAGCGCCTCCATTAGGCCATATGGCACCTGCAAGATTTAACGCAGCTTAAATTTCATGCACTGGATTTTATTGAGAACAGCTTGCCTAGGTGCACAGGGAAAGACAGATTGCAGCGTTTAAAAAGTTTTACTCGATTCCAGTTTCATGAACGATGTCCATAAAGTTGGTGTACTCAAACGGCAAATTGCAGAAGGAGCATCTTTTGAATTCACGTCGGATTTTCTCGTAGCATTTCGTGCAGTAGAAGTGTTTGCAGGGGCTGTGTGTCTAATAAAAGCGTCCGTTAAAAATGTGAAGAAAAAAAGTTTAAGTTACCATTGGTTCTTCTTCTCCATGGCAAATCATGCAGTTTTTCATCTCTTCATCGTCGATCTGTCTCGCAGCCATTCTTCTTTGTCGAAGTTTCGTAACCAGTGATCCAAAGCAGTCTGCAATCGAAAAAGTTTTGCAGAAATCCGAAACTGTAAGTGGGTACGAAAAATACTCGTCGTCGCATTTGATAGCCTGTTTCTCGAAAGCTCTCCATTCTTCGGGCGTCAAAGGGACATACGCTTGTCCTTTGCACAATTCACAATGTGAATATCTTGTAGCTTTCGTTCCCTCTTCGTTCTTTGCATACTTCACGTCGGGATGAAAAACACCGAAATTCCGAGTAATTTTCTTATTGCATTGCAGGCAGAAAATTACAATCTCATCTTCGGTGAAGTCTTCATTTATAAGGTAGTATTTCCGTGGCATTTTAGATGAAAAGTTTGCGAGCACGAGTTTTTTTATAATTCGAGGTTGAGCCCAAACTCTTGATGGCGCCGAGTTTCGCGGCGTGCTTTCAGATTTGTGGCGTTCTTTCCGGTTACGCAGTGTGCGTTCAGAGCTCAATTGCGACGCTAGAAATTCAAAATAAAAAGTCTGGGTAGAGAAGAAAAAGAATGAAAAAGTACTATTTGAATTTTTCCGAGATGGAATCGTCTGACAGCGAGGTCGAAGAGGTCGAACAGACAAACACCGGACTGGAATTTCTGCTCAGGAACGCCCGATCTCACCCACTCCCTCAATTACGTCCTTTCTTGGAAGAAATCTATCACTTCTCAGAGCGCGAACCGTGGATACTCAAGTTCAAGGGATTTTTCCTGGTTAAAAGCGACTCAGGGATCTTTCAACTGGTCAAGTTTCCCCTTGGACCTCGTCATTGCTGGACCTTGGAAACGACCATTGGATCGGACCACCTCACCGATCTGGACAACCGTCTCTGTGCGCGAATCGCGGAGCAAGAAAACAAAGTCCTTGTCGTTGTTGATTCAGCCGTACTTATGGTCAACTCAGTTCCTCGACGACGATCCCGACTTGAAAACGACGGCTACGAGCTTGCCCTCTCGATTGAAAACGGCTTAGCTGTATTTTACTCTGTTGGAACCTACTCACTTGTTGTCTAATACAGTTTTTCTCCATACCTTTTTGTTGATTTTTATTTATAAGCAGGAAGTTGACCTTGTTGTATTGGTTGAGCCGGTGGCGCAGGTGAACTCGAGTGGAAAACGATAATAAAAAGAGCAATCGTTTTGATTGAGCATGAAGAGATATAATTTGTATTTTCCTGGATTAAATCCATGGATAACTTTGGGAGAGATCCAGAGATTTGGCGGCGATTTCAAAACCTTATTCAAGGACGGAAAACTCGCAGAGTCTCGATTTATTTCTCATATTCATAATCTTTCATTAGTGCATTCGGCGTTTAGCAAGGAAGAGATCATAGCATTTTACAACCTTGACATTGTCAACGTAAAATCTAAGTTCAAACATACGATAAAACTCGTTCTTCTTGAGGAAAGTGTTCTGAGAAGAACAAGCGTTATAATCGAAGAGGGTGAATGCTATTTTTATCTTTACCCATTTGACACATTTCTCGCAAAATTATACAGAAAGAAATCCAATATCAATAGCATAAATGATTTCTCATTCAAAATAGATGGTCTGAGTCTTTTTGAAGGACCAAATGATGTTTTTTCGAAAGATCTATCAAAAATTGCGAAAAAACTTGCAGCAGAGGTAAATTTTTTCCAATTAATCACTAATCACATGAATCTTTACAAACTTGAGCTACTACAAACTTTTTCAAGCGATAAAAACTCGAGGATCCTCAATTTTATTGTTGATAAAGACGAACTTCTTTCCACAAATAAGCTTAATCTAAGATATATTTTTGATATGAACAGTTTGGGCAATGTGTACAAATGTTCGAACTCCCTCTGTGGATTTGAAACCTTTTTCGAATCATACTTGCAGAATCATGAAAAGGGATGTCAAAGGCGAGTAAAAAAGATCACTCCTAATCAACGAGTCTACGGTACATCAATTAATCCGATTGAAGAGGCGATTCAAGCTGGGTTTCTTTCACCTGAGATGAGAAAATACAGAAAAACCAGATTTAGTAAGTTTCATCTATGATGACAAAAAATAAAAGGTTTAAGTCACTTTTGATATCGAGACCATGGAGCGTCAGATTGAAGAAACCAACAAGTCAACAACAGTTCACTCTGAACTTCGACTTCTTTCAATCGGAATAGGAAGCAACTTCGGATACCAGCGATTCTTGATCCGACGGAATGACGAGAATGACGGGGCAAAAGAGCTTGTTCAAAGATTTGTTGACGAAATTGAATCTCTTGCAGTCGCTGAAGAAAATTATCTCCCATCTGAGCTAAGAGACTCGATTCAAAACCTCCAAAACATCGATATGAATTCAGGTAGTATTTTTCTCCCAATAGTTGCTGACAATTTTGAAGTGCATGCTGAGCAAAAGATGAAAATCCGATATTTACGTCGAGAACTCACAAATTATGCAAAAATGGACATCTTTGGTTTCAATAGTGCTAAGTTTGATTTGAAAGTCTTAAGTCCGTATCTTATCCCAATTTTGATGAAAAAACACGGGTCCAAATTTACAAGTATTAAAAAAGGCAGTCATTACTTCTCTATGTCAACCCCGAAATATCAATTCAAAGATGCAAAACTTTTTAGCACTCCAACTGATCTTGCTGGATATCTTAAACAAGGAGGAGTCGACGAAGGAAAGGCGATTTGGCCTTATGAAAAATATCATAGCGTTTTTGATATCATGAATGACAAGAATTTTCCTCCTCGAGAGGATTTCTTCTCGAGTCTTAAAAATAAAGCTATTTCAGAAGAAGATTATGAAATTTTCAAAGATGAATTTAACAAAAATCAAAGAAGAGACCCCCATTATTCCATGGCTCATTGGCTTCAGCACTACAATTTGGCAGATGTCACTCCTTTTGCGAAAGCCATCGACAATCAATTCAAATTATTCTTTGAGACTTTCAAAATTGACCCTTCTTTTTGCATGAGTCTACCAAAATTTGCGATGGCGTGCGTTTTTGAAGGGTATTCGAAAGATTCACCGCTCACATGTAAGTTATTTTTTGTGAAATTGATTTTAATAATATTTTTCAAGTTTCCTTCCACCGTACTTGTCACAAAGAACATAAACTTCTCCGCGATAATATCATCGGTGGTCTGGTAAACGTCTATTCTCGCTACACTGAGCTTCGACCCGAGGTGGACGCTCCGAGAAATGCCAAGTTCGCGCCAAATGGGGATCCTTTTACAAAGATAGTCTTTTTTGACTTCAATGCTTTGTACTTGTACGCACAGAAGATGCTATTACCGTCCACTCCAGGTAATTTTTTTACTGTTTCTGAGCTCACTCTTATGATAAGGTATCAGATGGCAGAAAATCGACAATACCGTCTTTCGAAAATCCATAATGACGTCGGACAACTCTCTTGCTGCGCTTCAATGGCTTACATACATTGACGAGTTCAGCCCCTTGTTGGTTCAGACTAATGGAGAGCGGGTCCGACTTGAGCATCAGTATTTCAGGGGAGAGCACCAGGTCCTTAATTATAAAATTGACGGGTACGCTTGTGTTGATGGACAGCATCATTATTTCGAGTTTTTAGGATGTTATTTTCATCAATATTGTGTTGATTGCAACCCCGGTCAGATTGACCATGGGTTTGAGAAGAAACGTCGAATTTTGTCCAGAAAAGGGACTGTTCACATCATGCGAGAATGTGAATGGGTTCACCGACGAAATAAATATTATGTTGACCGAGTTTCTAAATATTGGGGACATATTTTCAAGCTGAAAGAATCAGAAAAAAGCATTCTTGAAGGAATAAAAAATGATGAGATATACGGATTTATCGAGGCCGATGTTTCTTGTCCGAAAGAAGTTTTTGATCAGATTTCGTACATAAATTTTCCTCCGGTCATTCAGCGTATGAAAATCACTGACGAGCATTTGAGTTCATATATGAAAGCTCAGTTTGAGAAAACTGGAAGCAAGTGCGACCAGGAAACTGTTGTTCAGACTTACAATGGTAAGAAAATGTTTCTCTTGACAACATTAGTGAAATTTTATCTTGAACTTGGTTTGGAAATAACAAATATTCGATCTTTTACTCAATTTCGAGCGACCAAAAGTCTAAGCGATTATGCCAATAATATAACCAATGGTCGCGTAAACGCCCTTGATGCCAATAACTCTGCTCTCGCTTTGGCTTTTAAGACCATCGGAAATTGCGGAGGATTTGGGAAGGCGATCGAGCAAGTTGATCGTCCAAATACAAAATTCAACGACGATAAACAGCTCAAGAAATCTATTGTTAAACCAACTTATAAATCATCGGAGGCTCTCTGTCAAGAAAACGGAGAGTATGAAATTTCAGAGGTCATTTTTGACAAGTTGCGGATCAAAGATGATAAGCCAACTGTTCTCGGTGTGGCTATTCTTCAAAATTCAAAACTCCATTTTCTCTCCTTTGTTTACAATTTTCTTCACAAATACCTGAGACCTGGGTCCTACAAGCTAAACTACTGTGATACTGACAGCTTAGCAATATGTAAGTTTGTATTTTCTGCCACTTATAAAAATATTTCAGCGTTTACTCGAAGCGGAACGGATGGACAAACAACAAGGTCACAGATGGAAGCCGCTCTGCTACCATGTGTTCGAGAGGAGCTTATGGAAGAGTTTCTTCAAGTTTGGCACAAATGGATTGTTCTTGAAGACACCACTCTTAATCATAAAACTCCTGGTCTTCTCAAAGGTTTGATCATTTTGCATCTGGATTTTAAACTCTAATAGCTGAGTGGCAAACAAATAACGGCGCCCTTGTCTGCCTCGGAAACAAGATGTACTTTGGCTTTGATGAAGAAAAGAAAGAGAGCAAGCGATCGACGAAAGGAGTTCCTCATAATCACGAGCTCAAACTTCAAGAATTTCTCGACTGTTTAAAAGGGACCATTGCCACAAATAATACTTGTCAAGTTCGCATGTTACGCTCGACCAACGACAATATTGTTAAGCGGATTTCGATTGAAAAAAAAGTTCTTTCGAATATTTTTGTTAAACTTCGAGTCATGTCGGACGGCGTGACATGTAAACCACTGACCCTTGACGGTAAAATCCTTTAATCTGTTCCATTTCAATAAATCTTGGTGCATATATATCAACTGGCTTCACTCTTTTTTGCAAAATGCCTTTTTATCCATCAGAGCGAGCTGATCTTGAAGCGCTTCGAAAAGAATATGGAGGAACTTACCTTCCTCTCGCCGAAGAGGAGCTCGATTTTTTCCGACAAACCGAGAGAGTTGGTCAGCTTCACAACAGGCTAATCATACCTCCTCCGAAACCTGGGCGAATCGTTGAAACTGCTCATTTGAGATTACTCTTAAATAAAAATTTTGATTTGAACAGCCTCATCGAAGACATCTTCGATGTGATTTCTCCAGTATTTCGAATCAAAATTGATTTCGGTTTTCTCATGGAAAATATTTTGACTGAAGATCCAGATTCCCGCTACCGATTTCACTGGCCTCAAATATCAACTGGACTTCCGATCGAGCCACACTTGATTAAAGACAAATTTTCCAAGAAAGCCTTTCTTGAAAATATTCCAAGCTGGTCCGAAATTCCTCAAATGGTCGAGATCGAGCACGAGAATCAATCAAGCTTCAGAAAGAGCGGGTTCAATCTGACTAAACTTCTCACCTGCAGCGTCTACGTTACAAAGATGAAATGAAACCAAGACGCAGCGGGACTCTCAGTGTGACCTTGTTTCTACTCTGCGCGCCCTCTTTTGGATACTCTACTCGATTTAACATCTCAAATTTCTTAATTCTCATCAAATCCAAAAAATGAAACTCAAATTTTTATATCTATCATTATGATCGCTTCTGCAAAAATGGAAATTGAATTCTAAAATGAAACACTATCATTAAAAACATTGTTGTTATCACTTCGGGATATAATTCTTATCAAATGAAAACTGTTTTGACAACTTCGTCTTCTGTATCAACCGCTTTCTTAAAATGAAACAGTATATTTTTTAATCGTTATTGTCATTGGCTTACCGAATACATTCCAAATTTCTGAAATCTCTTTGCTTTGATTGCATAAAAAAAAACGCTTAATACAATTTATATTTTCACCAAATTTTATTTTCACCAGATAGAAATTGAGTAGAAAAAACAAAGAAGTATGAAAGATCAGAAATTTTTAGGAGCAGAAATTTTGAGAAGCAGAAACAGAAAAGAGCCGAAATTGAAAAAGCTTGCATTTGATTATTCAGAGGCTCCGAGACTTTTTTGGTGGTGGAACAGCTTGGTAGTCCTCGTTGATGTAAATCGTTCCTGTTTGCTCGGGCTGCGTTAGAACATCATCGTCGGGAGTTGTACGCAAGTTCCATCCAAGAACGGACGGAGATTGGAAGACATTTTCTTGACCGCAGATGGGACAGTCATGAGATGGCTCTTCTTCAGGTTGGAATGGCATAGTGTACCTGAAAATGTACGCTTTTGGCTCATTTCTCATCTGTTCAGAGAGTGTTTGAAGAGCCTCGCGTTCGATCTCGATCAGTAGCTGCTTCTTGGTGTGGCGAAACTCGAGCAGGTGAAGGAACTCGACTTCGAGCTGATGTTTAGTTGAAACAGGCAGACGGAGCTCAATTTCTTCTCCTGAGAATCCATCAGGAAAAAATTTATCGTCATTCGAGATCACTGAAGCGTCGATGTAGAAAACTCCTCCTTTATTGGCGGTGTGAAAATCAAAGTCTTTGATTGTAACGATCATTTTGCGAATGAGAGAAGAATCGATTTTGCTCCTGAAGTTCAAATGCACTGGTTAACCAGTGCTCTTTTCCTAGCCTTGACACCGCTTCTACGCTTCCTTTGTTTATAAATAAAAGATCCTGCTTCAAAAAACTACAAAAAGATTTATCACCGACATTTATTTTCACCGAAAAATATTTACAAAGGAAAGCACGACAAAATAAAAGTAAAGTAGAGCAAGCACCACAGTTTATCTAAGAAAGTATAGAAAAGCAAAGCACCACAAGAAAAGACAGTTTCATTTGAAGATTCAATGATTATACTTTGTCACCTTCCATTCTTCAAGCTTGAATATTGGTGATCCACAGTTTGAACAATCCTCTGGAGGAGTCTGCTCGAGTTGCATCGGGAAGTTGTATTGAAACGTCCAGCAACCAAAAATTGCTTCCCCTTTTTTTCCCTCGGAAGTGAGCACTTTTTCAAGAAGAATTATTGGTACGGGCTTTTTTGAGTGACAAAATTCCAAAAGCTGAAGGAATTCCGTCTCAACCTCTTGTTTTGTCGAGACTGTTATCCGGAGATCAAGCTCTGCTGCTGGGAATCCACCAGGAAAGTGAACGTCGATAAGCGGCATGCACATGGCATCAATGTGAAAAACTCCTCCACAACCTTTATGCTCAAAGTCGAAGGCTTCAATTTGAACCATAAAATCAGCTGAGGAGACTTCGGAACATCGGAACATTTTTTTTGTTGAGAATGAGATCAACTAAGAATTCTTCTATGAGGTTCAAAAGCGCTGGATACTCAGTGCCTGCTTTTGACCACTGATTCTACTCGAGCGGAACTTCGCGTCTTGAATGTTTATAAATAAAGGAACCTGCTTGAAAGAACGACAAGGAAATAAAAAAAACACCAAATTTTATTACTCGAGTAAAGAAGCAGAAAACGATCAGAAAAGGAAAAGATTAGATGTCCATTTGTTGCTCGGAAGCTGGCTGAATCGGAGTTGGTTGTTCGTAAGCTGGCTGAATCGGCTGAATCGGAGTTGGCTGGATTGGAGTTGGCTGAATGGGAGTTGGCTGGATGAGAGTTGGCTTGATAGGAGTTGGCTGAATCAGAGTTGGCTGAAGCGGAGTTGGCTGGATCGGAGTTGGCTGGATCGGAGTTGGCTTGATCGGAGTTGGCTGAATGGGAGAAAGCGGAGCCGGAGTTGGCTGAATGGGAGAAAGCTGGGTCGGAGTTGACTGAGTCGGAAGTCGACTGAATCGGAAAGTGTAGGAAGCGGGGATATTGTGCTCTCTTTCCCAGTCGGATTGCTTTGACTCGGAAGTAAGGTTGACGGACGCAGGTTGATGAGATTCTGTGAAGGAAAGAAGAGTAGCGAACGTTTCAGAAATTTCAGCTGCAGTCCTTTCATACATTCTCAAGTTGATTTCTGAAGCAGGTTGGGTATAGTCAAAATGACTCTCAAAGCCTGGGATAAAAGTTCCCTTGACTTTGAAAAATCCGCCTCCGTTGTGTGATCGAAAAGTGAAAGATTTAATCGTGACAAACATCTTTTTGAGAATGACGAAAATGACAAAATCAAGTCCAGAAGTGCTAAAGCACTGGTTAGTCAGTGCATCTTTTATAACCAGTGATTCTTTTATGTTTACCTTTACAATAGCGTTTTTTCGACTTGTTTATGTTCGTCAATCGTAAGTTTGACAGACACAATTGACCATATAACAATGTGATAGTCATCGTCGTCATCTAGTGGTTTGTTGAAATCGAATGTGAAGGAGAGCCATCCTTGTGATATTTCCTCGCCCTCAAATTCATGAGCGAAAATTGCATTGCTCTTGTACGCATCCATGGATGTCACATAAGACAAGTTGCTTTGAGAGATTCTTCCAAGAGCATTTTGAAATTTCCAATAAGGGAGAATTGGATACTGATTCGTGATTTTCTAGAAACATGATAAATTTTTTTTATTCTTCTATGTTATCTTACCTGAGGATATCCATGGAGCGACTGCCCATTTAATGTGACGTTTATTTGAGTAAGATCCTGATGAAAACTGAAATTTGTGGACTCAAAAGCATCCGATCCAAACAAGGCATCTGTTTTGATGAGTCCAAAGAACATGTACGCGGGTGTATTTCCACCAGTAACATTGAGCAGCTGAACTTGCTTACGACCTTTTGGTAAAGCCATTGTCTTTATCATAGTGTCATTGAATTTGTAGGAGATCGGTTTTGATTTGATTCTCGCAAAATGATTTCTCAAGCTTGTAGAGGACACATATTCAACCATTGCATAGGCATCTGTTATTTTGAGAGCTTCTCCAGCCGGCAACTTATCATTTGGGTCGCTTCCAATAAAAATTGTAGAGAACTCATGCTTTAGACGGTAGAGCGTCAGTGATAGATCAGTGTTGAGAGGAAGAGGTTTATTTTCAAGGAAGAATCCGTGAGTAGGTAAGAAGATGAGTTCGTAAACATAATTCCCATCGGAGTTGACAAAGCAGCCTGGTCTCCTACCGTCTCTGATTTCTTCCTTAGCCGCATCTGTCGCAAGTGTCTCAAAATTGTACTCGTCATAGTACCCTTCGATCTGGAAAGCAGTCATCACATATTGAGGATCGTAGTTTGTCAGCTTTGTCAAATAATCAGCTAGCATATAATGCGCGCTAAGAGAAAAAGTAAGGCTAATCTATGAACAAAAACTCTTACTTTGAATTGGAGTTATCAATTATCTGAGAATTCACGGCAACTTCTGTTTTTCCAAACTGTTTGCTTGCGAATCCATTGCAGGGGATGTAGTTCTTGTCAAGTTCGATCGTGAAATGAATCGCAATGTTGTTTTTGACGAGAAAAAGGTTTGGATCAGCATCGAAGTGGAAATGAAGACGTCCGGTTAAACTATCTACCTCTCTGGGATAGTGACGCTTTACGACTTTCTGGTCGTAGTACTCAACTTCTATCATAGTTTCAGTCTAAACAAGTAAAGATTGAAGATCGTTTTTCACCAATTTTAATCACCAAATTTGAGAGAGTTTGTCAAAAAGAAGTTGATCGTTCTCAGTAAGATTTTTAGAAAAAATAGAGGAAAGTTTTTTCATAGAATAAAGAGAGCGAAAGATAACATAGAAACAGACGTAGAAACCACAGTAAAATGACGCATCTGATTGAATTTTTTTATAAAAATATTTTTTACGATCACCGAAAAAGTCGGTTAATTCTTTTGGATATTTTCCTAATTTCAAACTATCAAAAATCTCGATTTTTGACTTTTCAATACGAAGTGCTATCCAGTGAGAACCTTTTGACTTTTCCGGTGAAAGATTAACAACGAGAAAAGCAGGATATTCATTAAGAGTGGAAAGAGTATCAATAGAGAAAACACCAAGGAAATTTTGTACACGTTCTAAACGTTTAGCAATATAGTAAGAGTTCATGCTCTTTTCTTTTTGGACGACTTCTTTGACTTTTTCAAGTCTTTTGTTGTAAAATTTCTTTTTTTCTTTGGTTTTGAGGAAGGTTTTTTTCTTGCTGGAGTAAGTTTTAATTTGGTTGGAGCTTTTTTTGATTTTCTTTTTCCTGCGCCCGACTGAGATTTGGGAAACCATTTTTTTGGTCGACTTTCGAGCGCGGAAATAATGGTTTTCATTCTCTTGTTGTAATCTGGATCTGCAGAGAAAATTGTTGGACAACGTGTTCACTTTCTAAGTCGATTGAAAATGTCGTATCCCGCCAGTTATATACGTTTAAAGGGAAGAAAAGGGAGCGTTGGTCGGAAAAATGGCACCACCTATCGTTTGGACGGATTTGACCCATCATGAGCGTATTCGGTTCTCCATAGCAAGAAGCAATTGAGTTACACGTTATGAAAGCAATGCCAACGTCACGTGGAGTGGTCATAAGATTACAGACAGCGCTTACAATTTGAACACAGTATTCTTCGTTGTTATCAAATAAAATTTCAGGGACTTTTAGTTCCTTGCTTCTTGTTCCGAAAAGATTCAATATCATTGGCGACAAGATTGAGTTCGAAATAATACTTGATTCGAGGTTGACGATTTCCTTCTTCGTCAGCAATTTTATACCAAACTATACCAGCTCTTTGACGGATGTCCGTGATGATGTAAACTTCGTCTGACCAATTTTGCGTGTATCCTTTTTCGAAAAGTTCTTTTTTCTTTTTTACTCTCACAACGTTGCCAACTTTTAGTCTGGGCTTGACTTTTAAGTCAATGTCGGGATATAGTCGAGTGAAAACCTGTGCTCTATTTTTTGATGAGACTTGGTTTGGAGCCATGCCAATTGAACGATGAGGAGTTGAATTATATCCTTTTGTTATAGCCGGAAGAACATCGATCCAAGTTTTAGTCCTGTTTCTTTTCATGAAAAGATGTATACGTTTTCTGAAAGTTTGAATCGCACGTTCTGCTATCGCTGCCTTCATTTTACTTTTGATACTATAGTGATGCAGTCCATATCGATCCAGAATTTTGCGCACATTTGAGTTGTAGAATTCCAGACCTTCATCTGTAATCAAAGAATTCGGCCACTCAATAAAATCTTGAAATATGTCGTTGAGAGCGTTTGCCACATCCTTCCCAGATTTGGTTTTGAGAGGTCTTGTCCAAACATAACGTGAAAAACAGTCGATAATGAGAAGAATAAAAACGTGATGTCGATTAGAGTATTTGAATTTTTGGTAGTCAATAAGATCACCCTGGAATATTTTGAATGCAGTGTCAACAATAAATCGTCGACGAGGAAATCGCTTTTTGGATATGCGACGATGAGTACTAGACACTTTATTCTTCCGGAGAAATTCCGCTACTTTCGCTGAGAATGCTGGAGCGCTTGCCACGTTTTCGTACAGGGCTTGAATCTGATCCTCCAGAGCTGACTTCTTCGGAGGTTGGACTTTCGGATGAGCTTGAATTTCTTCTTCGCTTCGATTTTTTTGATTTTGAATCGACTTCGTCTGAGCTGATGTTTTCGCTATCTGATTCGCTTGAGGTTGAAGGACGTCTTCGCTTACTCTTTTTTGATTTTGATTTCTCTTCCTCGTCGGTTTCCGAAGACGCTTCGCTTGAGGTTGAATGTCGTCTTCGCTTCTTTGCTTTCCTTTTTGATTTCTTGTCGTTACTCGACTTCTTGTTTCGCTTTCTGGATCTTGACCTTTCAACCTCCGACTCTGACGAGTCTTCGGTAAAACTGTCGCATCTGATCTTTGATTTGACTCTTGTTGACTCAATAGTTTTGCACTCCGGGTATTTCTTCTCATGTTTCTTTTCGACTGCTTCGAAAGTATTGTCTCTGGCGATAATATCGAAATTCTGCTTGAAATCGTTGTATGGTACGATGCAGGCCTTCATTCCGCTAACTGAGAAAACAACCGGATAATCGGTGAATATATCTGTATAGAGACGATAGCTCGAGGCATGGCCTCGGGGTGATTGATCCAGAAACATGTACGGATATTGTTTGTTCTTGTTTTCTTCCGTTGCTCTTTTGTAAGCTTTTAGAAGTCCAGCTTGACTACATGCACGTTTATTAACTGTCCCATCAAGACAGTTTCTGCATAGAAAGGTAGCGTTGCAGTTGAGCTTGATGTTTCTCCCGAATTTTCCTTGAGCATAGTTATTTTGCGTCATTATCATCACATTTAAATTCCGCTTCCCACTTGTCACTCGAAACAGATGATCGATCGCTTGACTTTGAATCGCTTCTTCATATAAATCATCGAGTACAATTGTTGAATGTGACGGAATCTCGTCAATTTCCTCTTGAGAAGGAAGTCCAACCCTGTAGCTTACAGGGACACAAAGATCATCCCACTTCACTGGTTTTTCTTCCAAAAAACAAGGATAATAATAGAAAACTCGTTTAGTCTTCTTTTGAAATAGATGTCTGTTCAAAAGAACTTGTTTTGCGATATAAGTTTTTCCTGCTCCAGAAGATCCACTGAGCAAAATACGAAAAGGATATGTGAAGGTTGCGTCTGGTAGAAGTTCTCCATTGATAACGGTGCTCATTTCTCTTTTGCTTCAATTTTCTTTTGCTCATCCTTTTTATTTATCAAAAGAAAGCATTGGATCGGAACTGAAAATAATCAAATCTTAAATTTTATTCTCATATCGTAACGGATACACAACGGAAGTTGTTGATGACATATTAATAAACACTGAACTTCCGAGTTTATATTTATAAATACCGGAAATAAGTATTTATTCACCATCGAAGACTCGATGGCGAGAACATGGAGGTGGACCCCGGTCATGAGTCCGACGGCGAGCTTCCTGACGAGGGGCCAATTGAGGACCCTCTTGTTCCTCCTGAGGACGAAGATGACGAGGCCGAGGACGACGATGTTCGTGAGGTCATCGACGATCGTGAGGACGACGACGTTCATGAGGTCGTCGAGGAACCCATCGAAGTCGCCCCCTGGGATCTAGTTGACCCCGACTTTTTGTCAAACAAGCACCTTGCGGATCGAGGATTCATAAATAAGGGAGAGAAAGCCGGCGAAGCGGAGCATCTTGCTTACTCTACGTGTTGGTTGTCTGCAGCCGGTATGTGTATCTTTGTTCGAAATTTGCGAACGCCGTTCGTAATCTTGTGAACGCCGTTCGCAACGGAGAAAATCTTACCATGAGTGTTCGTTTCAAGCATTTTCTGGTATAAAACTCATTTGGTTGACAGGAGCAGTGTTTCTCTAGCGCTCGGACACGTGATGAAAAAAGTTGTGAACGATTATTGGTCAAAATTTTCTCCTTGTGAACGGTGTTTACAAGATAACGAACGGCGTTCGCAAGTTGTGAACGAAGCCGCTTGCTCCCTTAAAAATAACTGAACTCGTATTTAAGTGAATCTTCTTCTCATTGCAGGCTGTATTCGAAAGCTGAAGCCGGCCAACTGTCTCATCGCAGAGATGCAAAAACTGACATTTGTCAACAGTAAGTCTTTTTTTTTTATTCCGCGACGCATATTTAACAACCTGCTAAGCGGTTCAAGCACTCGATGATGTCGTCAAGGAAACAAAAAGGTTACTCTGGGAGAGCGGTTTTAGATGGACTAAAACTGGACTCGGAGTAACCGAAGGTCTACGAGGGTTATTGAAAAATTTTTCCGAAAGGTGTGGTTCATTAATAAAAATATCTTAATCAAATTCTCAATATGAAATCTTTTATCGTTAGAAGAAAGATTCTTAATCAAATGAACAATGAGTATTTTTTCAAATAAGAACCCCAAATAAGTGACGGTGAAAATAAGCAGAAGATCTTGGAAGATTTTCGTTGTTGCGAGTCTTGCATGGTAATTCGCCCTTTTTTTTTTCTTGTTCTAAGATTTTTAGGAGCCCTTCTTCTGTGAAATTTTCATTGAAGACGCCTTGGACAGCAAAGATATAAATTTGCAAGAAATAGTCGCGAAGGGAGAATGCCTCCTGTGTGGCAATGAGGAAATACGACCGGCAGAATATTTATTCCTTGTCGTGAACGGAAGGAAACGCATGAGATATATATATATATTTTTTTTTTTTGCAAATATGAACGCTTATATAATATGCCAAAAAGATATTTTGAGGAGAATGGACGATGGGTGCAGCGAAAAGATGTGGTGAAGGGCGATTCAATTCGCCTGATGGGTCATGATTACAAAATGATTGGTAAGAGAGATTATATATTCGGAACATTTTTATTGATTTAGCAAAAAGCACGTATAAAATGCAAAAAAATCAGGAAGCTCACACTTATGTTGACTTCCAGGTGGGCTTAAAATAATATCGCACGAGTTTTATCTTCATAGCCTTCTTTATTATTTTTACGTGAAATTATTCAAGCCAACATAAGAAAAAAAAGAAAAAAAGAGCGCGAAAACTTCTGGCTCGAAGACTGGATGACTATCTCCGCTCGACGGACGTCACGTGGGAGCCATCTTCTGAGGATCACGTCCTACTACTCTCCCGAGCGCGAATTCAAGATTGAGAGATTTATTTTTATATTTACTTATTTGGTGACTGAAGTTTTTATCTAAATATTTATTTATTTGGTGACTGAAGTTTTTATCTAAATATTTATTTGTTTATAATAAATTATATATTTTCACTTATAATAAAACAAGACTGATTTAAACCGGAAGTGCACCGGAAGGTCACCGGATGTTATTCTTTTCCGGAAGTTTACCGGAAGAGAATAACATCCGGTGACCTTCCGGTGTTTATATTAGTGTCCTAGTAGTCGGCTTAAATAGATAATTACGACGGACACCCTTAATTCATTTTTCCTACAGGTATCAGAAGCGTTCGTAAAGTTGCCTCCAAGAAATTTACTTTTAAAATTGTCGATAAAACGCTAGAAAGCCGCCACATAATGGTCTATTTTGAGACTCGGAATCAAGATATTTTAGAGTTAAATTGCTAATGACATAACATTACAGTAAGTTTGAGTCTCTAGCTAAGCGACTCTGCGAACAAAAAGTGCTAATACATCACGGGGCAAGACTTGATCAGGTGTTAAAAGGTCTTCTTCTATCTATTTTGGGCTGGGCGCTCTTGACGAGTTTTGGGAGCTTTTGAGTTCATTTGAAGTACCAATTCAATAACCACTTTGTAAAGCAGGATTCAACCAGCAGCTCCCCTAAGTGCATCGCAATTGCTACAATCGCCTCTTAAAAACATGGGAACCCAACATGCTATAACCAGAGCTAGGGTAGCTACGCATTTATAAAGAAAAATAGCCGTGGAGAAGCTGACTTTCAAATACTTGTTATTTTTGACTGAACGACAAGATCAAGCTTTCTCATTACGTTTCACAACAAGAAAGAGCGCTCCTACTCTCCCCGTCCCGTCTCACTTCCCCTGTCTCTCTCTTATTCGATTACGCGCAAACCATTCCATCATTTTTTGCCCATTCATCAAGTTCTATATTTTTCTATTCCTCTTTCTCCGAGCAGTTCAAATTCCCTCCAGAGGAGGCATTTATTGAAAAGTTCAAAGCAAATCGAAGCTGTCAAAAGCCGTGAATATTTAATCCTGAAGGTTTGGCTCTGACCTTCGAAATAGGTGTCTTTTCTCCTGAGAAAACGACGGTTTTTTTGCGTCAGAGTCTTCTGAAACCCTGATTAGCTTTGGTAGAAAAATCTGAGGAAGAAACTGGGTTGAGAGCTGAAATTTTGGCGGAGTTCCAGACCAAGATTTGGAGCAAAAAAGTAAATGCTAATGCTGGCCACAAAGAGAATCGAGCACACTTATTTGAACTTTATTTTATAACAAACAAAATACGGTTTGCGCTTCGTTTCGCCGAATTCTTTGGTCACGTGACGGTTCAACCAGGAAGAGGTCGTGAAATCAGCGGTGCTCGACGAAACCAATTCATCAAATTCGCTGATTTTTTATGAATAATAAAATGTGCTCCATTGACCATTGATGAATGAAAATGACATTCTCGGGACAAAATCCTGACCCCTATGTTTCTTATGCTTTTCTGAAAGCCGGTGATCTGGCGAGTCGAATGGTATAAGTAAGGGGTCTTAGTCATCACAAATGACGTCATAGGTTCCCTGTTATTGGTTGAAACCGACCGGGACCTGTAACTTTTAATTTTGTATATAAAAGTATACTGATTTTAGGCTCATTTAAAAGAGCAGCTCGAGATCTATTTGCGGAGCACTTGCGGGTTGAAAAATTCCCAGGGAAGAAAATTCTAGAACCACCTAACCACGTGCTGAAAAATTGAAAACCGGTTGGTTTGCCCAGATTTATAGATCCGCAAATAGATCTCGAGCAGCTCTTTTTAATGAGCCCAAAATCAGTATACTTTTATGTACACACTTAAAAGTTACAGGTCCCGGTCGGTTTACCCCATATGCCTCTTCAGTCACCCAGAATGACGTCATTTTCTATGACTCAGACCCCAAAAAACATACCATTCGACTCCTCAGATCACGAGCTTTCTAATAAGCATGAGAAACCTGGGGGTTAGGATTTTGCCACGAGAATGTGATTTTACTTCATCCATTGTCGAAAATCTAAGGAAGTTCTGGAGAGAGGTTGATAAATAATAAAAACAGAAAAATCAAAGCTGAACAGATAGCATTATCGAGGTTTTTTAAATAATTTGTCGAAAATTATTCCCGGAAAGCGCGCGCAATCAAGTTAGCCCTAATTGAAAGCGATAAGCCGGCTAACAAAAGAAATTAGGACGAGGTTATCGCCAAATAGGCTCAACGACTTGTTTTTGCTTTTCAAGCCGCTTAGGAACCCTATTTTTCATATAAAAACTGAACTCTATCGTCTCTAAGATCCGGTTATCCTCTTAAAGAGGAGAAAATTTCAAAATTCACTGAAAATACAACTGTAGAACCGTTGTTTCTTCTAACATCCTAAGCAAACATCCTGCAAGATAAAGACACAAGTACTTGTTACTTTTATGAGCATTTATTGGCAATAATTTTTTCGAGATTCGCCTTTGCGAGATCGACTTTGGAAGAGGTTTCGTAATAAGTAAAGATGTCGGTGTTCGGTCATTTTTGGTTCCGTGGTGTCGTACCAGGCAAACTTGATCCAGCCAACGGACATTCCGTTATCGTCTGCAGTTAGCTTCACTCAGTCGTCGGTATTCGCACACTTCAGTGCTCAAATTTTGTGCACTGCCCTCATTTCCTGGAAAAACTGAGTTAAAATACAGTATCTCTTTCTGAAAAGTAATCTCTGAAGTTAGTCTTACCTTCGTATTAGCTCGTTCGGACTATTTAAAATCCGTAGATTGACTTGTTGAAGATTTTGAGCCCTGACATCAACAAAAATTCTAGAGACAATTTGAAAAATTCGCTAAACGGACAATTCGGCATCTAGAGATTTTCTGTCCATTTTCGCCAAGTGTGTTGCTGGCAGATTTCGACAGTGTCACGACTGTTACGATTGTTCTTACATTGTTACGAAATGCAAGTCAAATCTCGTGTATCATAATTTTACGTAAATCTTAGTCAAAAGGAGTTAAATTAAGGGGGAGGAGGACTTAACAACCGTTCATTCAGAATGACTCATTTTTCAAAAGGTTTCAAGATGATACTATTCATCGTTGATATCAAAGAAGAGCCATTCATTCACACTTTGAAACGGTAATAAATTGGAACGAAAGCGACAGAAAGCATTTTCTATTTTTTGGCAATCTGAGAAACAATTATAAGTTCAAAGTTTTTACGAGACAAAGAAGAAGCGGATAAAGAGCAAGTCAAATACAAAAAGAAGAAATTATACGCGATAATTCGCCATTCTTAAAATAAAAACTCCTGCCATTGGTTATTTTTTCAAGTGGGACTTTGAGAGAAAGAGACAAGCAAAAATACAAAACCTAAAAATTGACTATGGAAGTTGACGAGTGCAACAATCAGATTTCAGGTAAGTCAGCATTATTTAGTCATAAATTATTTTATTGATCTGTGTAATGAAGCAAAAACGTCGTTAACTCGGTGTTTGGTAAATGATGTTATGAATAGACAAAGGAGCCTTTTTGTCGCCTCTAGTCTTCTATGATCGCAGAAAGAGATGTTGATTTTTGGTTGTCAGGTTTGAAGAAGGACAATGAGAAAATGACCAGTGAAGGTGATGGGAAATCGCCGAGATGGCAAATCGTTTTTACGAAGATTTATACAACAGGTACGTTTAATAATTTTGTAATTTCGGTTGAAACGACCGGAAATCTTGCGGACGATCTTGACATCATTTTTCATTAGTCGGTGTCTTTTTCGGCTTGGGCTGGATCGGACTCGGTTGGTACATGAACCACGCGGACGTAGTCGAGCACTTCAAAGACGTAGAAGATGCACTACAAGAAACAAATGAGGTCCACGATGCTGCCATCATCGATGTGGACGATTTTCAACGAGTCAGTAAATATCTTGAAGCCCTTGGAACCGTCATCGTTATTTTTTCGTACGCCGAGTTTTTGGCTCATAGTTCCTTTAAGTTTTTTAGTTGCTTGGGACACGTGATGATTTTCATCAAGAACAAAGTTGGAATGGCACTTTTCTCGGCTTATCTTTGTTGCTCGCTTTTGTTTGTTACTGTAGTCGGAATCGGTAAGACATAAGGAGGACCTCTGGTCATCAGAGCTGTTTTAGTGTTGTTACAAAACGGCGAGAAAATAATGACAAAAGTGAAGCAGGACTCGATCCGTTTCTGGAAAATGTCTGTTCATCCTTTGAGCCCGATCGACAAATATCTCCGGCGATACGAGGCCTCCCGCGGTTGCTGTGGCTGGAACAACGCCATAGATTATTGCGACCAAAAGGCAGTCGAAGATTTGATGGAGTCGGTGATTGATGAAGGAGTCACCGAAAATATCATCAAGGTTTCTAGCTTTTAGCCCATAAAATCCTAGTTGAATTTCAGTACGATCCGAGCCTCCGAGATGCCAAAGAAGATGGCTCGTTTTCTGACGATTATGCCGGCTATTCAGACTACAGTTATGATGAATATGCAACAAGCTATAGTTCAAATGAAACAGACTCGTTGAAAGGCAGTACTCCTGATGATTCTTCTTTGTACAGTTTCGCTGATTCTGACTCGGAAATTGTCGATTGCAACGAAAATGATTCGTACAACGGCGATGAATCGTGTATTTGCGCGACGATTGAGCAGTTTGCCGACAGCTCAGTATCGACCGGGCTTGAAAATCTCAAGCAAACAGTTTGTGTCCACGACACTCCTCTTTGCTATCATGATTCTTACGACGATGCTTGCTTCAGTCACAAGTACATATTTAAACTGATCAAAAGGGTTTAACAATTTTTAAGTTCGTCAGAGCCCTGGCGTTCTACAGGCGATATCAGAAGAGATGTTTACCTGGTAAACGTTTGCCATGAAAATACTTGCTTTTTGAATGGGTGCGGCGATTTGATTTCCTCGGAGTTCAGGAAGAATATTCTTGGATGGCTCGTCGCGCTCATGATTGACTAGGAGTTTTGAAACAATTATTCTGACTCTTTGCGAATTTAAAAAAGCTTCAAAACCCCCTTGAAAGTGAGCACACTCTTCTACCTCTTCGGCTTGTCAATAAGCATCAAATTGACTCGTGATTTCTGGCAGTTGTCGCAGCGGGAAGAACTAGCTAAGGTTCAACTATTGTTTATAAAGTCAAAGTTTGGAATATTTTATGAACCCGAATGAAAGCAAAAGCCCGGGAAAAATTAATTCGAAGAAAGACTGTTGCAAAAAAGAATTGGAAAACTGCCCGGCGACAGATTTCTATGCGGCGTAAATTTCAAACAGGAGAAAATGTCCCGCTGAATCAATGAAGAAGCAAATCATCCAGAGCTATAATTTCTGCCAATAAATAATTTCGCTACGAAGTTTAAATAATGAAAAGAATAAAATGTCATTGTCGTCAAAAATGGATAGAACTGCTGAGTTTCGTAATTGTAAGCGAGGCTGTGTGTATTTTAAGACAATATTTGAGCCCGTTTGTAAAGCGTAAATAGTGACTAGCTTGCTGAAGGGAAAGGAAAAAAATTACATGCGATAGTGGATAAAATAAAGAGGAGAGAGAAAAAGAAAGAAAATGGCGACGGAAAATGAAATAAAGTTTCCAGGGTGGGTGAAGAGAATATTTTGCATGGGTGGAACAGAAACAGCTAAAAGCAGGAGAGACAAGATTGATAATACTGAAAATTTCATCAAGATTTTCTGCTCCGTCGGGATTGTTACTGGATTGTTGATAATTTGGGCGGGCATTTACTGTAGCAACGCCGATGTTATTCAGGAAAGGGTTTTGCAAGAAACAAGTCTCCGCAGTTGTCTCAGAAGGAAACCTTATGAAGGAATACGACGCATTACAAGAATCGGGCAATAATCGAGATGCAGCAATAATCGACGTCGAAGATTTTAAAAAACTCAGCGTAATCTTCATCTTCGTTGGATTTATTGTATCTTTTTTCTCGTAAGAAGAAATTTTCTGGGGAGGGTATTTCAAGTCTATTTCAGTTTATTTGGGTTAACTTGTGTTTTGAATCACGAATACATGTTTTTTCGAAAGTCACTGCTAGTTTTTTCGTTTGGATATCTTCTTTTCTTCCAGATACTTCTTGTCGCCTCGATTTTAAGTAATGAAAAATAATCAAATTCGGAAACAATCCTTTACTTTAGCTTTTGCGGTGAATGCTAAGGACATCAACGCGAAGATAAAACAGGACTCTGTCCGTTTCTGGAGAATGGCGACTCATCCGGCCAGTCCTTTTGACAAGTTCCTTCGTCGCTACGAAATGGACAACAACTGCTGCGGCTGGAACAACGCGATTGATTACTGCGATCAAACGGCACTGTATTCGTTGATGGAAACTGTCATAGATCAGAAAGCCACATTGAAGGCAATCAATGTAAGGGGGTTGACTAGAAGCCTTTTTAATGATAACAACTTTCAGTACAATGCCGATGCAGAAACAGACTACAGCTCGTCGTTTTATCCCGAGTACAGTTCGAATGTGTACTCCGTTGACTACTCGAGCTCCTCAAACGATGCTCTAAAGTCCGCTAGCGATTACGGCTACTGCTCAGACGAAGAAGAATATGATGGCGACGAAGCCTGCATATGCAATACTGTTGAGAGCTTTGGAAGTGCCGGAAACGGCTTTTTGGACCTAAAATATTTGACCTGTATCCACAACTCTGAAGTTTGCCACTTTTCAGAAAGCATCACTTGTGCTTCGGATAATCCCGAGTAGGACAATTTTAATCGAAATCGAATTTGATCATCCCTTTTAGAGAGGAGGAGTATCAGCCCTGGAGAACAACTGCTTTTCCTCAGAATATTTCTATCAGTGAAGTTTGTGGCGCCGAAACATGCTTTATCAACGGCTGTGGTGATATTTTCTCGGACGACTTTTGGAAATACGGATTTACCAGGCCTGGTTCAATTGAAGTTATTTACAAATAGCCCAGCTTTTTTCCACGATTGTTAAGAATTGTGTATTTTGAACCAAGTTTTTAGCATGCTCTTGGTTGCATTTGGAAGTAGTGCTTTCTTCACATTGGGTTTTTTCAAGACAATCCAGTTTACGATTCTCGTATGGAATAAAACAAAAATATCTCTTACAGAAAGTAATAGATTTTTGAGACCTTTCTCCGATCTTTTCTCCGTAAAAAAAACAAGCACTAAAGCGGAACTTGAACCTCTTAATTGATTAAAACTCTTCGTTCATTTTCACTCCTGACGATCACGTTTTCCTGACTGCATAAATTGAACAAAATACTGCTTTATCTTTTATGAACGAAAATAAAGACTGTTGTTTTCTGTGAAGGCTACCGCTTTGACCTCTGTAATTCTAGACTCCCATGAGTCATGGCCCATGACCTTGATTCTTTGTTGCGCAAATAATTCGGGCATCGAAAGAGCTCGCATAAAGAAGTCATCATTTTCACAAAATGGAAATTCTGTCAAAACTGCATACGATGATCCCGTATGAATTCCTGGTCGAAAGAGATAAATTGGCCGAATATTTAGAGACAGCTAAAGAATATTTCAATGAAAGCAATAAAGAATCGACAGTTCGAAAGGCCTTTCTGGCGATTTCAGCGATCGTGACAGTGAAAACGACTTATTCGCTGCTGAAAATGACAATATTCAATCCAATTCCAGCACATGATTATCCAAAAAGCAGAGACGAAAATGCAAAAGTCATGAGAAAAGCCATGCAAAATGGAACTTTACCGAAAGTTTATCGCGCGAATATTTTTCCCGGGTCAACACTAAGGAATCGAGTTTTTCCTTGATTTCTCGATAAATATTAGTTAAGAAAAAACTTAGCCAAGCAACACGTTTGTCATCACAGATTTCGACCTAATGAAGGAGGCATTCTCTCGCCGGGAAATGTCGCATCGCGAAAATGGGGAAAATGTGAAAAAGGAATATCAAAACATTGTTAAAAGAATAAAAATTGATCGAATTGCTGCGAGTATTCTTGGAGAAGATGACAAGATCTTTAAAAATGGCCCGGGTTTTTTCATGGGATTTGCTTCGGGGCCATTTGATGACTTTCATCGATCCGGCAGAACTGATTGGCATTCTACATTGAAGGTATTTTTCATAAAGAGATTCAACCACTTTTTTGTCTCTTTTAGAAACTTGTTGGGAAGAATCGTGTGGCCGAAGTCGTCAAAGAAAATTCTCAAAAGCTTGTTCAAAGACTCTTAGAAAAAGGAAATACGAAAGAGGGAATCGACCCTAAAATAATTCTCATCAATACGGTATTGACAACAACAACGAGCTTTTCTTTCGGGAAGAATTACGAAGATGATGATCCAGAATTTCTCCAAGTGCGTGATTGGATTGACGAATATATCGATGGATTTCTTTACCTTGCTTTGAAATATACAACTCTTGATCTGTTCCCATCTTGGTTCGGCCAGTCTGATTTCTATTTCAATCTTTGGGCGAAATCGCCACTTCAAAAGCTCTACAAGGCAATGCCACACTTCATGACCTATATTTTCGAGCAGGTCAAAGAGGCGAGGAAGGGACTCGACAAAGAAAATCCCCGGCATTTTCTTGATATGCTCATAATACGAGCTGACGAAGAGCCTCGCTGGGGATACTTTCAGCTTGCAGCCACAATTATCAACATTTACGCTGCTACGGGGGACACCCTTAGGTATAGGGCTCAGCAATCTATAGCGTCCGATTGACCTCCATTTTAGCAACACAATGCTTTGGTTGCTGATGACTCTCGCAGATAATCCAGAAATCCAAGAAAAGATGCATGAAGAAATCAAAGAAGCGCGAATGAAGGATCCTTATTTAAACCCTGCTGACATTCCATACACACGATCGGTTCTTTTAGAAAACCAGCGAAGAAACCCAATCACTGACTCGCTTGCTCATATGGTCTCGGAAGAAACCGTCGTTCAAGGGGTCGTTTTTCCCAAAAACTCGACAGTCATTGGTTTGCAATTATCAGTATTCTTAGATTATAGATTCATTTAAGGTTCACTCACGTCGATTATGTTGAATCCAAAGTATTTTCCAGAGTCTGAAAAATTTATTCCTGATCGTCAGAGTTAAAATTTCATGGCTTTAATTACATTTCATTAAATCAAATAGGACTATTTTTATAGAAAATTATGAACTCTGCAAAAAGCTTCCTCAAAAACGGAAAATACCGGCCAGATCAAAAAGTCTGCCCATTCGGAGTTGGCCTTCGCGACTGCATTGGTAAATCGCTCGCACTCGAAAAGTACATCGGCTTTGCGACAGAAATTGTGGAAAATATTAAAATAACCAGGTTTATAAATTAAAATATTCGGATATTCATTTTATTAACTAACATTCAGAATTGCTGGTGATCACTCGCTTGCTGCTCATGATATTTTGCACATCCCGAAATCTGATATTCGACTTCGATTTCAGCCGCGATAAAGTAACATTTAATCATTGCTCATTCTTTCTGCTGAATACTCTCATCATTAAAATATCATGAAAGTAAATAATAAAAACTAATTTGCTGATAAATCGGTAATAGATTCGTTATTGAAAGACTGATGGGGTTAACACGGGTCGGGTCAGCAAGGGTCGTGGGTAAAACAACTATGGTGGTCAGACCACCCTTTGAGTTAATAAAAGGACAAAGAAATAGCCTGCCTATATAATCCGACTACTGACTCGGATCAAGCAATCTAAAAGATGGCGAGAACCGTTATAATTACTGGGAGCTCTTGTGGAATCGGTGCAGCAGCAGCTCGACTTTTCGCCCAAAAAGGATACAACGTGGTCATTCATGGAAGAAACAAAGAGAAATTGAAACAAGTTCATGACGAGCTGAAAGAGATTGGACCGGGGGGAGTTCATGTGGTCGAGTTGGAGCTTTCAAATATATCTGGTAATTCTGATACATTTGGAGGTCCATACCAGTAGTATTAGAAATTCCGCGATTGGTAAAAGAAACAGTCGAAATCTTTGGCGGAATCGACGTTCTTGTCAACAATGCTGCCCTCCTCACTCAAGGAAACATCGACCAAGTAACGGAGGAAGAAACGGACAATGTTTTTGCCGTCAATGTCAAAGCCAGGATCGCTATTTTTTCTCAGCAGAGCAATCACTCTTCGCTCAATTTTTGATAGAAAAAATAGATCCCTCGACTAAGCCCCAATGTTTCTGATTAAAGAAGCTCTTCCTTTTATCAAAAAAGCCAAAGGAGCTATTGTCAATGTCTCTTCTGTCGCCGGCATGCGTCCGACAAACAGTATAATTCTCGCCGGTTAAGACAAAGTTTTAAAATCATAAATAAGATAGTTTGATTTATGCAATGACGAAGGCGGCTCTAGATCACATGAGCATCACTCTCTCTGGAAATCTAGCGCTTGATGGGATCCGAGTCAATTCTGTCAACCCTGCTGTTGTTATGACTGATATTTGGAAGAAAACCTTCGATGTAACTGACGAGACAATGCCTGTTGTCATGGAAAAATTCAAAGAGATGCAGCCAATGGGAATTCTATCGGAGGAAGAATGTGCACACGTATAATTATAAAAATTGTTCAATCAATGATCGTCTATTTAGCTTATTTGGACATGTGCTGACCCCGATCTTCCAAGTTTGACCGGGCAACGAATTGGTCTTACTGCTGGTATCCATGTGAATAAACCTTGGATCGCTCCTTTTTGAATCAAAAATTTTGATTCTTAATCACTGAAAACATAACTTAGCTGATCGTCAAGAAAATAAATTACGCAATAGATATGTCTGCGAATGATTTTCAATCTTATGATCAATTATTTTATAATCGCAAATTGTGATTCACAATATTTTATAAACAGCGTTTAATATCATAAGACTTCCAATCGGAAGATACATTTTTCTTCCTCCAGACTTCAAGACAGGCAATAGCTGTCTATCTTTCGTAGCAACGGCCAGATGGTAAACAACTTCTTGGATCCAGTCTCGATATGCAGAAACTCTCGTGTAAACTCCCGGTTTTCCCGCGTCCCCACAAAGACGTCCTCCAAACGAAACGACTCCAGCGAGCAAAATCTTGTTTTCAACGTAGCAATAAAAAGGACCACCACTGTCGCCCTAAATTATTGTTAAAAAACGAGCGTCAAAGGGAAATGACCATGCAACTGTCGCCATGAAGCTCTCCATCTGATTCTTTTCCAATCGCGCAAATTTGAGATTGAGTGTCGATTTGAGGCCATGCTCGTTTGCAAACGTTGTTTTCAAGAATTGTTAGGGGTACTTTATGCAGTGTTTCAGGCCTAGAACAAAGACATCTACGGTCAAATGTCTTAGAGAAACCTTGTTCTTTGATTATCAATCAATCCCCAGCCAGCAGCAAAGCATCTTTCCCAAGGCAAATGCTTCTCTCTCGGAAGCATAATAAACTCTTGAATCGTCGCAGTAGAATTGATCTCAAGCTGCAGAATCGCCAAGTCGTCGAAAACTCGTTTCATCTGAAATCCAGGAAAGACGAAAATCTTCTCAATTCGAAATCGCTGCATTGAGCGGCCGCGACTCTGAAAGACGGAGCTTTGTGTGCTTCCTATGATGACGGAAATTGCATCCAACGAGACTAGAGACAGGTCAGCTTCTGGTTCTTGCATTTGAGCTTCGAAGTTTTGGGAGACGAAACAGTGGGCAGCTTGAAAAGATTCAAAATATTTGGCCATGGAAAACTAACCTGAAATGACAAACTGCGGCGAAATGAGAGTTCCACCACACAAGTCCGTCCCATAATGATGCATAATATTTATCTGAACGGCCCATGGAACATTTTCGATAGTTTCAGGAGAGCCTCCAACGATTCTCTCAATCTGCTCGCAAGAAATTTCATGAAAAAATAAGCAGAAAAAATACCTAAGCATCATTTTTAGGCACTGAGATTTGTTTCCTGTCTCCTTTGATTGCTGTCTGATTGTTTTTGACTTTTAAATTATTGATTTTAAATAAATAACAAACACAATTAGTTTTACTAATTTATTTCATTGCAAAACTCTTCATAATTTTATCAACAATCAACGAAAAGATAATCTGCCAAAAAAGCGATCGAAAAAAGTTTCCGTCGAACCGGATTCGAACCAGTGACCTAGAGATAACTGCTGACCCTCTACAGTCTCCCGCTCTGCCAACTGAGCTATCGACGGCTGAAGTGGGTTCCAAAAATTGCGGATATATTGCAAGTACTTGCATTAAAAATTCTAGCGCTGAAAGAAATCGACAAAATCAAATTTGAGAGTCAAAAATTTTGAGATATTTTGCTTCGCCATTTCTTCAAAATATTTGGTTAAGCAATGTTTCTTGAACCTGTTTCTCAGATCACAGAGGATTCCCTTGATCCTTCAGGTTCTCTCTCAGCACGAGTTCATTCATCCCGTCCCAGTTGAAAACGAATCCTTTAGGCAATTAGCGACTAATTTCCAGGAGCTTTTGATCATCGAACGCGAAACATGCTTTGCAACAGCTTGCACGCAGATGCCATCTGAATCTGATCGCTATTTCGCCTGATGCTTATCTCATCCCTTCTTTGAAACAATCCTTGTTAGTAATTTCCTCTGATCACAGCTGGATGCCATCCAAAAGAGGGCGCGCGCCTTAGGCGGATAAAAACCCGGCGCTCGGTCGCGAAAATAGAAAAAACACCATGAATTTGATCCCGACAATCGTCTTCATTTTCGCCACTTTTTGCGACGCCTTCCCAGCTTTCAACCGCGCCAACACCCGACCAGTCCAACTCTACGCCCGAACAGGCCACTTCATGGACGTCAACGCGAAGGGAAAAGTCCGGCAGACCCACAAGCACAACCGACTCACATCGCTTCTTCATCTTGAACCAGCAGGTCGCGGCCATCGAATTCTCCTCCGCGCTCTCGCTTCTGGAAAGTACCTGACCATTACTCGCCGAGGCCGCGTCAGGGGAACAACGAAGAGAAACGAAGCGACTGAGTTCGTCGAAGAGCGAATCAAGGCGAACAACTTCCTGTCCTTTGGCCTTCCAAACACGAACTGCAAACTGATGGTTTCTCAACGCGGCTACGAAATTTCCTGCAACAACTCGCGAGCTCAACGGAACAAGATCTCCTTTCTTGCGATGAGAAGCCACTTGCCAAGAGCTCTTTACGATTCCTTGAATCTCTGATTCTGTTTCTAGCCTTGCTTACTTATTTATCTATATATGATTATTCTATCTATTTTAATAAATTTTATAAAAGTAAATGAATCATTTTGAAATTTATCGAGGATAAGAACAACTGGGAGAAAAAGACAAAAATTTTATTACTGCGCTGTGGGATCGCGAAATGTTTGAATTTTTCTCTAGATTTTTTGTTGATGTCAGGGCTCAAAGATTTCAAATGGTCAATCTGCGGGTTTACACAAGTCCGAAAGAGCGAAAATGAAGGTAAGACTCGAATTTAGAGATGATTTTCAAGAGAAAATACTTTTGAAACATTAAATTTTCAGAAAAATGTCAAGTCGCCGAAGAAAGGGCGACTTCAATGCGAGAAGGGACCCGAAAATGGGTCCTTGCGAGGTTGAGGGCGATGGCTGCACGATCAAGATGCCTTCGAAGGAGTTCCAGAGCACTTGCCTGGGTTTTCGTTTGGTACGATAACACGGAGCCTAATCCTATGACAGGAGCAAGTCAACCTTAATTTCGACGAAACCTCTTCCGCAAGAGTTATCGCAATAGCGAATCTCGAGAAAATTATTGACAATAAAAGTCTTAAAATGTAACAATTCTTGTGTCTTTTCTTTGCAGGATGTTAGCTTAGAAAAAAAGTGGTTCAATACAGTTGTATTGAAGGTGAAGTTTCAGTCATCAGTAGAAAAAGAAACCTGCGCATTTACAAAAATTCTAACAAAGTCAATGGTGAAATTCGTCAGTTAGATAGATCATGTAAGCTTGAGGAAGAAGATACCATTTGTTCGCCTCCATATTAATATTTTCATTGACCAGCCGCATAGATTCGTTGTTGTCTCCGAAATAAACGAACTCACCCAAATTCTGATCGTACTGGTGCTTTATAAAATCGTATCGAGCATAGTATGCATCTCTCTTTTTGATTTTTAAAAGTGATCCGCCAGCGTTGAACTGGGTATTTTGGAGGATGTATTCGTCGTTTTCAATTCTGTCAAGGACCATTTGATGAAAGAAAACTTCGCCATCATCAAGCAAATACGCGCCAGTTACAGTCAACGGGCGTTCAAATGAATAATTTTCGTGAAGAAAGACTAAAAGTTTTTCGAGATTATAATATTATGCATTCTTTGATAGCATTTTAATTTGCTTAATAAAATTAACCTTTTTTATAATAAAACTTGGACCAAGGAGCACCGTTATTGTATCCCCTCATAATGCGCCATCCACTTCTACGAACAAACGTTCTTTGCTCCATTCTTTTGAGGAGAGTTTCTATCTGGCTTTCTTGAAATTCGCATTCAAGTTTGTTTGGATTCAAGTCGAGCCCAGCCATGCTTCGAGGATAAAGAATCATTGTCAAAATATTGAAGACATTCTCAAAACTGTAAACACCTTTTTTGTCTTCAAAATTCAAATCGCTTTTGACTGCATGGCAGATAAGAGTAGCAACAGAAATCGGGACGCAAAGATTTGATTCTTTTTGGTCGAGGACGTTTCTTGTTAAATTTTGAAAACCCATATTGAGGCATCGAGTGATTTTTGGCTTCAGAAATGACATTTGAAGAGATTTGGTGAGATTTGGATCGTCCAAGCAAAAATCTGGCATCGCATCTGGTAAACAAATAATCTTCGAGATTCTCTTTATAGCGTAAATTCTTTCTGATGTAATAGGACACCCATAGAAAATATTACGTGCATCGCACTTCTTTCTTAAATTTCAGAAATAAATTCTTTTCATCAATTTACCTCCAATAGGTCTTCAATCAGTCTCATTTCGGCTAAATCAAGAGGTCTATAAAGCAGTGTCCATGCAGTTTTCCATTCAGAAAGTATGAATACGAAAATATCTAAATAGTTTTCCATCATGTGATGGTCACTGACTTGATCCATTGAAGAAAATGCAGGAGATCCGAAGTCTTAAAAATTATTATTTCACTTCATTATTAAATCCTACATGTCTGTCTATGTCCCCAGCTATGATCCCACTTTGCTCCTCGTCGGACGTATCCCATCTCTCTGTAGCTCTCCCGTCGATTCATTGAGAAAAGAACACCAAAGTCAATTATTTTTGGCTCATCATTTAGCATCAAAATATTTTCCGGCTTTAGATCCAAGTGATGGATTCCAATTTCAGTTAAATACTCGTATCCTTCCATCACTCCAATAGCAATTTTTTTCCTCTCAGCCAAGGTAAGCTCATTAGATTTCAGATGTGTTCTCAAATTCGTCTGACATCGTTCCATTATTGTGATCCATCCAAGACAATCTTCTTTCTCAACATCCAGTCCATCGAAAATTTCGATATTTGCAAGATTTGAAATCACGTTTTTATGAACTGGAATACGGTTACCCCCATGATCGGCGTGATTGAGCGTTTCTACGCCCTCGGCCTTTTTGTAATCTATTTCTTTTATTGCTTATTATGAGATAAGTATTTTACCGTTTGAAAGATTGATTCTAAGGCCGTATTTTTTGCTTATTCTTGAATCGGTAAAGAGCGCCGAATCAAATGCTTGAATTCTAACAGCAACATCTAATCCTCCTATTTTTTGCTCCAATACAATCGCTTCTCCTCCAGCAGAAATAATATTTCCCAAAGCACAGTTTTCCCAGCTCCCTCTTTCCTCTGCTAACTCGCTCCTTTCGATGGTCCTCCCGAGTAACTCTGGATTTTCCTCAAGAATTTTTCGCTGAGTAAAGCTCAAATTCCATTCTTCTTTGGCTCCATTTTGACAGAAAGATGTTCCTTTTCCACCCTCAAATATGACGCTAAACCAGTTTTGAGTCGGGAAATTCATCCTTTCCATCGATAGAAGAAGCCTGTCCCTATCATTTCTAGTTGTTTTTCGTTTCAATTTCGGTAAGAACTCATCAAGCCATATCCCAATAACTTCTCTTGTTAAATTCCCTTGGCATTCAGTGTTCATACTTCTGTCAATTCAGTTTCTAAGGCCAAACTGACTACGTCTGACCATGCAAATCATCAATCAAATATTGTCTTTAACATTAATGCACCAAAAATAAACAAAACAAGGTCTTTAGACACCTTTATTGAGTAAAAACAACATTTCAGTTAATAGACAGCAGTTGAATATCGCTCGTTAAATCATCTTCAGCTCGCAGAAACGCCGGCAATTCCTTTTATAAAATTAAATCAACCGGAAAAACATATTTTAGTAAACTTATTTGATCAAATAATCAAAGTGGACGGTGAGGATAATTGTGACAGAATCAAGAGTGGTGCGTTTTACATTACCTACCAAATTTGCTTTATCCAGCATGCCTCGTTGATTCTCAATCCGGCCACGTGATACAAGTAATTCTGCCAAAGAAATATCTTTTAGGACTTTCGATTCGTTCGTTTTTCAAGTCAAATTTAAAGTTGAAAAATTGAATAATCCTTTCCTTCTGAGCTTCTACTATTGGAACACCTTGTAACTGAAGATATTCTTACTGTATTTGTTTCTATATCTGATTGTTGCTCAGAAACTGAGTCTTTTTCGAAAATAAAAGAGCCGTTTCTTGAGCCATTCCTGCTACGACTTGACTTGTTTGAAGAGGCTTTCCATTGTCGTCCGTGATTTTCAACTGATCGAGTAATAATCCGACTGAAGTTCTGTGTCATTAATGATCTCAGTGAGAGATTCTTTGATTCCGAGCGCAAGTGCGCCGAACGACTTGCCTTGAAGTTTTTGGAGGACGTGCTGGATTACTTGGGATAAAATCTTATGCGGCTTGGCGCGCACTTCGATCATCTCCGATTCAAACAACACCTTATTATAGATTAGGACAATTGAACCTTTCAAAAGCGCAAGGATCCGAATTGCAGCAAGAAACAAGCAACAAGAGCCCCTTCCAAAAGTTCTGAACTAGAAATCGAATTGATCAATTTCGAGTCGAAAACTTAAGGGGGGTCTCTGCTTATCGTTTATATTAAAAACTTCAGAAACTTACTTTTAAATTGACTCTCACTTCTCCAAAGACCTTGGCCCCGGCAAGAGTAGCAGTGCTCAATTGAAGCCAGTTCGCTGATAAAACATCTGTTCGGATGGAAGCGACAGAAAGTGACCACTGAACAGAGCAAGCTGGAGGCACATTTGAAAAGCACAAACGAAGAAGTGCATCAATTGTTCTAGTGTGACCGTCAGCTTCTATTGTGAATTCATCGCCGGTACTCAGCTGGACGTATACATGTGTTTCTGTCTATTTCAAGGATAATAATAGACCTCTATCAGTTCTATGAGAGACATAAATAAAGAACAAAACAATGAAAGAGATGTAAAAATACATTTTTAAAATTATCCTTGAGCGATTGACTACGAGCTACTTTTGAGCATTTTTCTTTCGATTCTTTGCCTAAATTTTTCATTATTATTTTTGGTGAGCTAAAAAAAGCTGAAACCTTTTGTAACATTCCGAATTAATTGAAGAGCGCTTCTTCTTCTTTTTGTCTTTTTTCGTATCGAAGCATCGCAAAAGGTGGAATTTGAAGATCTTCGTCGATGCTCGAGGATTCGGAAGACTGTTTCTTGCTGTTTTATTGACTAGAATGGGAAGTTCTGAGGAGAATATAGAATTTTCACTTACGGTCAGATTTTTGAAGGAACTGTCGAATATTTCGTTGTATAATGTTGACTTTTCATGGCTCGCAAAATTCAGCAAAAAGGACAAATATTCAAAATTCAAGTTTAATTGAGTCCGCTCCTTGAGAAATCGAGGATAAGAATCGTATCGCAGCATGTCCCTATTTCTAGTTTTTGAAGCTGAAATCATAGAAGAGAATTCTCTCAATTTAGTAGTTCCTTTTTGATGATTTGAAAGCTTCAGAACTAGTTCCTAATTGCGTCCTGTGCAGCGTCGAAGAGAGACGATTTGATTTCGCCGCGCTCAAAAGAACGGAAAATGCCAGTTTCGATTTCAGCCGACAGGTTCACCGGCGTTTCTGATTTATCGCCGATGAATCTGAGAATAACGTCCTCTGCTGACTCTAAATGCAGGGCTCGTCGTTAACATTTCAAAAAGGAAAAACGCTGCCGAAGCGGCATTTTTGATTGATAAGGGATTTACTAGAGGGTCTTCCCAATCGACTTACTTTTCTGCTCGACGAAATTCACTTGCTGCGAAAACCTTTTCGCTGCGAGAAGAAAATTCAAGTTCTCTGAAGCGAATTCATCTTGAAGAAAGGCAGCAAAGGCCAGTTTTCCAGCTGGATCTTCTATAAGATTCTCTAAGTTCTGCGACCAGCTCATTGTCTTTCTCGGAATGGCACAGGGCAAGGATCCACGACGGCGACTGGTCGGGGTACTCGGTGCAGAACCGGATGATAAGTGGCGAGATTTGAAAGCTTCGACAAAGTCCGACACATCCCGCTGAGGTGTCAACGAAGGCGGGGTCACCAGGGATCGACGCCGATTGTGGCCAATCGACATCAATTTTGATACTTTTCTCGTTCCCTTCTCTCCTCCGATCAATGGCAGCGTCTCATTTTCAATCTTTATTTCTGTCTTACCAGTATCTTAACATAAAAATTAGTGCGCACGAGAATATATAAATTAGTTTGTCTTTGCGGTACTAAAAGATTTTAATGTTTCTCTAGCTCTCGAATTAGGAAATGGTTTCTTCGGGCAAATAATAAGGACAAGGTGATGTTCGGAGATCCATGTTGTTAGCTTCTACTTGTTTGATTATTTCTTCTGGATTTTCCATTTGGACGATTATGAACATCTTCAGATGTGATCTTCCAAAATGCTCGTTCTACACAATGTCTCTTACTTTAAATAAAACAATTAAAAGGGCGATTACAAATGTAAGTTTTCTTCAGTCAAAAGTAGAGTCGACTCTTCTGCGTGTGATCTTATAAAAGAGAAATGCGCCAGCGTCAGAATATATACACTGCGAGCAATATTTGAAGAGCCCGTTCCGTCTTGCTTCGCAGTTCCGTATGGTGCCCAGACCGTTATGAGCTCCTATCGAAAAGATGCAAATGTCCTTTGGGGCCGCTTTATTGCTATAAAAATTCTCTGTTTCTTACAAATCTTACCCGAAAATTAAAGAAAAAAATGTCAAAGAGGAAAGTCAGGAAGTTTGTTTTTCAGGGTGACCGGGCAAGATGAATGCTATGGATTTCTGTTTATTCAGTTTTTATTCGTTTATAAATTTTAAGAGAAAAAAAATCGATTTTGAATACAAAAAGAATGGAAAGATGCATTTCCACGAGCGAGTGCATCTTCCATAATTACGCCTGTCACTCGATCTTTCTAGCGTTTTTTGTCATTTTCGCTTCGCTCCGCTCATCAAAGAGACTGCCGCTCAGCAGAATAATGAGAAAATGGCATTCGAAATGTTCGATGTGTCTTAATGTATCAAATGTTACTGAGTCTGGTGCGCGTTTGATGATTTTCTCGCTTTGAATTTGCGCCCCGGTCCGGAACGACCTCACTCACCTGTGAAAATTAACTTCAGATTCTGAAATAACGATGCGCACAAGCAGCGCACATCAAAAATTCGTACACACTCATTAGACGCTCAAGGTCAGCTGCTGATTATTTGTGACTTTGTGGCAAATTCTACTGTAATTTTCAAAAACAAATGCCGGTTTTTTTGTAAAACTCATGTCAAGTGATAAATATTCTTTATTCAAATTATCAATTTAAGCAATTTAAAGATGTTGACAAAAAAGATGCCTGCCGTACAAGTGGTCAAGATCAGAAAAGATTGTAGGTTTTGTATCGCTTTCATTTCATTTTAACAACTGATGAAATTTATTAATTGCAGCAATTATTTACCGGTCAAAGTAAATTTACTGATGCAGAAACCTTGGTCTTGAAAACACAGTTATACGATGGGTACCCCCCTAATTTTAAAGCTTTTTGGACTTTTTAGGGAGTCTACTTTGGTAAGGTAGGTATTTATCCGAGTAGGAAGTTGTGACTTTCGCCATGATGATTGATGTTTTGTTGCATTTCTTCCGGGCGATTTGTATCGGACTTGTTCCGTCACGGTGTCCAGCGTTGATAAAAATCGGAAGTAGAGGAACCCTCCTTATCCCTACGGCCAATTAGTCTGATGTCCATTCATACTCTCGCCGTCCTGCCGCGCCATATGATCAAAGGCACTTCCGCCCATCTGATTATTGGTGATAACGTTTGAGAACCCTTGTTACGGGTCAATTCGCTCTTGCCCCTTGCGAAAAACATCATAGAACTTTGCGAATAAATGTACTGAAAAGAAAAATACCGGAAAAATGGACGACAGTTTTCTTTATTGAAGTGAAAGATTCGATAAATTGTAATTATGTTTCAGATAGATCATTCATCAAAAATTGCCGACGAAGCAGAAAAGAATAGATTGAAAAGTGCGATCTATACATGATATCATCAGATAAAAAGAACCTAATGGATTGAGGGAAGAATATGATTAATTTTCTGATAACTTATCAGTGATAAGGAGAGTATAATGCCTGTAATTTTGTTCTTTGTTGGACCATATAGTATGAGAGGAAATTTTTGAAGCATCTACAAACTCTACAGAATACTCTAAGGTCGAAAAATATCCCCTTTTCAAAGCTCTCAAAAATTTGCACCGAAGAACAGGCTGAGGTAATTAATGGCTTGCGCCCTTTTTAGGTTTGTGTGAGCAGCATACCATCAGTGGCCGGGCGTTGACACCTTCCTCTCACGCTATAGGAACGCATCTGCGGTCATCCGTCATCGTTTTTACATTGTCGCAAAAGAAAATCTTTTCGAAAAGATTCCGCTCCCACGTAAATGCCTTCGCGCGTTTTACATAATTCCTACTTCTTGAGTTTTTTGTATGCAGACTTGATTAATTGGCTTCCACTAATCCGTCACCACAATTAGCTTGTTTATTGCAATCTGTTTTGAGCAGCGAACCTTGAGCTCTGCTCAGGCCGGATCAAAAACGCGCCGCTCACTCTCTCACAACGACTCGCCAGGTAAACTGCTGAGACGTGAAGCTAGAAAACGAAAATCAGCAGAAATAGAAAAAAGGATTAACGGCGTAAAGTTTCGCTGGTGGGAACACCATTCTTGCGGCAAAAGCTATTAGAACTTCTGAGACGCTCATTGAGAGCAGCGGCTTTCAACCTGAAGAGTGACGTCTGTCTTGGATCATGGTCAACCGCGGTAATATTTGATGGTTCTTCTTCAAAAAATTCTTTTCAAGCAACAACAAATTTTCTTCAAAAATGTTATTCAAACGTATATTTAAGGAGGCCTGTTTCGTAAGAATAAGAGTTATCTAAATTTGTCTTTTTACTTTTAAGACAGTGATACCCTTATTTTATATTATCATCAAAACAGCAAGAGAGATCTTTATAAGGAAGTAAAAAACGGAGTTTCTTCGTTAAATCTACAATTATGATAAACCCGTTTTTTGACTGAAATCAATGAACAGCGTCTACGCAATGATATGATCCAAAATAATCGAACAACAGGTAACAGCGTATCTAAATGAGGCAAAAACAAATCAACTCCAAAAAAGAAAACCTCGTAAAAGTGCTCGCCACTTCCGTTCTCGCACGCTTTCATGCGTCGTTGACTCGTTTTTTCCCACCCGTGTTTTACGAAAAGTGTATATCTGATGGATCAGCGAAGAATACAAAGAGGAAGAATCCACAAATTACTGGTTATGGTTGTTTCGCGGAGATCGGCGACGTGTGAGACGCGCTGAGCCGCGGAGATTACCTCCAACACTTTCGCGCTGAGCCCTAGGACTAGAACATTTCAACGCGGATTTATGAAAAGACAATTGTCGACACTAGAAGTAAATCCATTCTCAGACTTTGAGTTAAGCCATTATTGATTGTTCAAAGGCGTCAAAACTCTCACGCCTTTTTCAATAATAATAACAGCTTTTCTATTGATCATTTCCGGTGAAAATGAATTTTAGCGTCGTGACGCCCTTATTTTTTCAGTTGAAATGGTCGAGAATAGTTCAAGACTATCAAAAATAAGTCTCGAAAAATTCTTGAGCCTGGGAACCGGGCGCTGGCGACAAAAAATGTCGAATTTCCGCCCGCTCGTCCGAGCCCACTCTCGAGCAGCACTTGTTTATCTTTCGTGATGCCGCCTTAGAGTGAGTCCTGTCTTTGATTTTCAACCCTCTTTCTTAAATTCGAGATTTTTGATAACGAATAATGCAATTTCTTTCCCACGAAAGACGACAACAACTTCAGATTCCCTCAAAAAAGACACTTTTTCTCAAAGTAGAATAAGGGTGTTACTGCTTTAAATATGTTTTTCGGTGAAAAATTTATTTTGTGAACTTTTATAGTCCCTTTCTTGAATAACAGAAATCTACTTAGAACTTCGCATCTTTCGGCATTATCCTTTTTAATCATCAATTGATTACCTTCTTTTATGTAAATTTCATATATAAAGTATATTCGCATGAATGGATTTGGTAGTTATCGGAGTGTATCACCTCTCGCTCTCTCTATTAACATATATTTAAACACATCTAATAGAGAACTTCAAAAATAAGAATGAACCGTGGCCAGCTTATCGCTTCACTCCTCAAGTCAAAGGTAAACATGGAACTTCTATTTTTTTATCACTGAGATTGATTCATATCCTTCCAAGTTAGTATAAACTTGCCTGTTTTGAGGAATAAAAATCTTTAAAAAAAATTATTTAAAAAATATTTTTAAAATTATTAAAAAAAATAAAACCTGAAATTGGAACTTATCGACTTGAAGAAAAAAAGTTAACAGTCAAAAAAAGTGTGTTGAAGCGGATAATAGGTTTTTTGGCTTATCGCTTGTGAAAATATTTTTGCAAGGAAGTGCTCGGCCCATCGATCGCTCATTGTGCTCACTTCGTCTTCAGCAGGTCGCTAAGCTCAAGTGCACCTGCACCAAAAGCTCAACTTGGACTCGCTCATTTCCGATTTTACACTTGAGAATCGACAAGTGCTTATGCATTCGATTTCCATTAGTTCCGAGTCTCCAGGTTCGAGGCTTATTGTATTGAAATTTTCCAAGTGGAAAAAGTTCCGTTCAGTTTTTCCTTCTGCTATGAAATCAGGTAGAACGATGTCTACCCCCTTAATGATTTCATAAGTTTTAAAATTTACTATGTTTCCTTCAAAATTTAACATTGACCGCGTCGTTTACGGACTTCGCTTGGGAGAGCGGTGTCTGCCGGATCGTTAAGTTCCTTTGAAGCGCTGTCGACTTCCTCTCAAATCCGTTTTTGAAGAAGTCCTGGGAGTCGACGGAAGCGTCTGTCATCAGATGGCGCTAAATACCATTATCCGCAGCTATTAGTGTTGCCCAACTGGAGCGAGTGGAATCGTAATATATATTTTGCTCGATGGATTTATTCATTCTTAGTTTGTACTTTGAGCGCCGTTAATATGTATCATTCGGCTCGTTTTGGAAGCCATAGTATCAATTATTCTCTGCACTAATTGAAATTTTTAACCCTCTGAAGTTAACATGAATTGGATGACTTTCTTTATATAAAAAAGAGACTTCCAATAAGGCGGCATTTTTATTTTAAAATTGAGATAAATATAACAAGTTGGTATTTATAGAACCAAACCTCTTTATCTAGTACCTGATGAATGATATTATCAAGCTTTTCAAAGCAATTATGTGTGTTTATCAATATATCGCAAGGTGTAACTTGTTTTATTCGGACCTTATCTGAAACAAGGAGCATCAATTTTTGAAACTACGAAGGCTAGTTTACCCCTTTAAAAAAGAATGACAGCTTTTACATTTGATTTTCTTGGAAACAATAATGCCAGGGAGGGTTGCATGATCTTTTGCGCAAGAATTTCCGGTCGGAAGCAGCCGTGACTGTACGACAATTGACAGTTGTCAATGTCTAGTTCGCCCTAACCTCCGAAAAGGCGCTAGCTTAGCTGCGTTTAATGCAGCTAGCCAACGAAGGTAGCAATTTTCGTGCAGGTACGAATTAACTATCAACTTATCTAAGCTCCCTCTTCGGCTGCCGTCGCAAATTGGCACCTCGCGATCCCACCGAGAGTGCCCGCGGGCCTCCGAGTTCCTCTTCAGGAGCTCATCCGGATTCCACATAAAAACTAATGTTCCAATGCTTTTTAACTTATATTTGAGTACCCAATTAATAATGGCCCATTATTATTACTATACTGGCTGTATAAATACAATCGGTAAATTATTTTATTGGTAAACATTCAAGTGAAGCTTTATTGTTACTAACTTACCTTTATAGTTGTCCTTTGGTAGGATATAAAATTTAGTTGCTTTGAAGAAACGAATATATAAACTAACATAAAATAGGGATCATCATCGAAAATAACATTGAAAACTCAAGAAATACAAAAAATGAACACAGATCTATCCGAAAATTCTTGAAAAACCTGAAAATATGGTTCATTAATCATGGTAAAAATACTGATTATGTTATGATTAGCAATAATAGCATCGCTGCATGCGTTAATGTTTTACGGCTGCAGTTGGTGCTCAGCGAAAGTGGAGTAAAAGTGTGATAGGTGGCGCTGTGTGGTTGGGATCGGCGTCGTCCCGCTCCGGTCGCTCGGGCCGATTCGATTTCGCTGGGGCTGCTAGGGGGCGCTCGCACGCTGCCACTGTGGCGAACGTAATTCCCGGTTAGGGCAGCTCCGCCGCTCTCTCGGAGTAATTGTACCTGATAGAGAATGGTAGGTAGCACCCGCCAGCCGCATATAAACCCATAATTTACACCCCCATAATTTCGCCTTTAATTTTTCACTATCAACCCCTCCTCCAGCTAATAACGGTCTCGGAAGGCAGGAATCATAGAGAAAAACGAAAGAAAGAGAACAGAAAGACACTCAGCGATAGCACCCTCCTTTAATTATGGTTGTTCAGCTCGGTTCAAACGAGACAGCTGGAATGAGCTACGGTTACACTGGCTATCCCGACTCGGCCTATGGAACAGCATCGCGAGGAAGCAATTACTACTCCGGCGTTTATAATAACTCCTCATCGTCGTATCCTAGGAATGGGTCGAAATAAAAATAAACTCAGTCCAATTTTGCACCATCAGGAAGATTTTTCGAAACAAAGATAAAATTCTCCTTCAATTTTCGACCCTTGAAAAAGCTCGAGTCTTATCAATTCTTCCCCCACAGGAGGCCTCGCAGCTTCGTCACAGTATGCAGCTTTTGCCCAGTCTGGCTACCCGCCACTTGGATTCACGGACAACCCATTCGGTAAGTCGTTTTTTCGGGATCGACGGGCAATAAATAGCACTAGAATACGGAGAGCGATAGTTGGCATCAGAGGGGCCATGCGCATTGGGCATAGTTGAGGGCATGCAAGGTGTTATATGGCTCGCCGCGGTGGGCATATTTGTGGCGGTTAGGCTTCATAAACCCTTCCCGTCACGAGGCATGAGGTGAAAGAATTTCTCTCCTTCGATCTCCCCTACCCCAAGATAAAGTGAAAGAATTTTTATTTACGGGTAAATTAAAAGAGAGACTCGAGTTGAATTTTCTTCTTTATTTTTTGCCCGAACTTTTGCTTGGAAAACTAATTTTTGAACGATTTTTGGCGAGATTGAGTGAAGATTTCTTACAAAATTTATCTGGCGTAAAAATATCCGCCCGTGGAGCGATACCCGAGTTAAATTGCCCTGTCGCGCATAAGGATGTAAAGGGTCGTGGTGATGGCTCCATTCCAACGTAACTAGTAACAGAAGATTTTATATACATTCATAGATATAAAGTGAGGTAGATTTTTTTTTGATAAAAAGAAGTACTAAACTTTGTGACTCTCTCTTTTTATTGGTGAGTGAGTGCTGCAGCGACTAGCTGGCTGCGATGATTCCTAATTTATCTTTGAAGCAACCTTGAAGCGACGTCGCAGGTGCCCAGTAAGCGACACTCTCTTCAAAGAGGCCCCTAGACTCATAAAATCACTTTTTTTTTTCTACCCAGTCCAGGCTCCCTTCCCACTCGTCCCTGTTTATTGCAAGCGCCCATAACTGTCCAATCCGTACCGCTAATGTGTCGTAAAACGGGCGTAATTAACACCCTCCACCGCGAGATAAAAATAATAACGATCGGATAGATTGTGACAAGAAAGAACTTTAGAATCACTTTCAGATTCTAGCGTTTCTGGACCAAGTAAGCTAGAATATGCGTTTTATACACGGTGAGTGAGTAGTAAATTCCCAATAAATCATCGTCAAGCTCGGTAACGGGCATTCTAGTGCGGGTGGCTTTTCACGCTGGTCCGAGATGATCCGGCGTTGATCCGGCTGAGTGTTTTTGCCACGAGCGGCGTCCTCATTTACGGATAAAGCGGCTTTTGCAACAGTCGCCATAGATGCCTCTCCAAAGACGGGATCGAGTTGGGTTGAGTAGTATGCACAGGTCAAATGTGTTAATGATAGATTATGAAATTGTCATATTCTGACAAAGTTCTGAGAAGGTCAAATCCGGAGGGTAATCGCGAGAATGACCCGAATGGATTAACCGAATCGCGATCGAGTAACTTTCGCGCGAAGAGATTACTGAACTTATAGGTACAGATACTGTATTTCTACGGCTACAGTAAACTTTTTTTCGACGGTCACGTGATCATCTAACTTTCCTAAACGTCAAAAAACGCGGTGATGATCACGAGTCTGTTTTTGAAAAGTTTTTCACCGGCCAAGTGGAAATTCTATTTTGGGCGCTTTCACTCACTCAGGTGGATCTCTTTTTCGCCGCGAGAGAGTCATGAGGGAAGAAGGGCTTGAAAGGGGAGTAGTCGCGCTGCAGTAGTGGAAGAGTCATCGGACACTGACGAAGGGCTCCGATATCGAGCTGATAAATTTAGAATCGAGGCGAGATAAATTTCTATTTTGTTTTTCGAAGATCGACAAATTGAGTACTCTTGATACGAAAAAGAGCTTTTATTCAATTTTCATGAATATGAACAGTTGAAATTTTTCCATTATTCAAAAGTTTGATGTTCTTGGAGAATATATTTTAAACGCTGGAAAAGTATCAATTTGTGAATAAGCAAAGTTTAATTTTATCACTTTAACTTTTGAGTTTTTCTGAATCAGCGGCTGAAACCATCGGTAATATAATTTATATATCCTCCGATGATTCAACATCTGTCTGTCAAAAAGTCTACCCCTTCTTCTGTATTCATCAGCGGAGGAATAAACAACAAACAGAATCATGAGAAGAGCTAATGATTCCTAAAAGATGAAGCGTCGGAAGAAAAAATGACTTTTGGTCTTGCGTGAATAATGAAAAATGAATTAGAGCGGAAGATGAGACTCACTTCAAACGGCGCTAACTTTTTGTGGTCAAGGTGCTATCTATCATTTAAAAAAGCATTTGCTCAAGCACCGGATAATGTTCCATCCTCCTTATCACCTCTAGAACTTCGCTAGAGGGGCGGCGGATTTTTACATGCGCAGAATTTTGGTTAATAGAAATTCTAGTGCAGGGTTAACGACAGAAGACGGTTAGGGTTAGGGTTCAAGATGAATTTTTAAAGATACTTCTTAAGAAAGTTTCCTTATTAAATTCTTCAGATAGTGGGCTCCTGCCAGACTCAAAGGGCAAAAAGAAGAAGATGCGAAAACCACGAACGATTTACAGTTCACTTCAACTCCAGGAGCTGAACAAACGCTTCAATCAAACGCAATATCTGGCATTGCCGGAACGTGCTGAGCTGGCCGCTTCGCTCGGGCTCACACAGACACAGGTAATTTTTCCCTTGATTTTTTCAAAGGCCGTTGAACTCGAAAGATTAAAGTTCAGTAGAAGATATGATCCGCTTTTGTATGCGCGTTATTAGATAGCGGTATATCAATTAGCTTTAGGTAATTATTTTGACGCAAAAGGACATCATCGTGTAATTACTTTCGGACTCAAACAACCAGAAGACGGAAATGATTATGTTCATAAACCATCTCAGAGGGTATAATTTAGCTAACTGGCCAATTAGACACTTGTTTCCTTAATTTTTGCGTGAACGTGTTACATTGCCAATTACGCCGTAAATTTGCCATTCTGGACCAGCTAGAAAAACAAAGCCACTTGTACGCCCATTAATTCCATCTAACGGGGGCCCCCTGAAACACGGGGTTTTTTAAGAGGCCACAGATTTATTCTCAAACGGCGCGTTTTTTTCTCATAGTAAACTTGGAGCCATCAACTTGAGGCAGTAAATCTACAGGCCATGACGACTTCATAAATGTCGACCATGCGTATTAACTTTCGTAACATTTTTTTATTAAATGCTTACTCTTGCATTTTCGATAATTAAAGAATTGAGGGTTTTGGAAAATAACTAATTTTCAACCAAACTTTGAGCATAATTAACAATACCTACCTCTTCAATTTCTTCTCAGTATCAGTTTTTTTTCTTCTTCTTGCAGCAGGTGTGGGGCACAAGAGGAGTGCCTGCTTACTCAAATTCACTGCGAGATATCCGTGAGAGATTCATTCTAGCACCGGATAGATGAAAGCTCCGGTTCCGCGCTTTCATACTTACAAATCTGAAAATTGCCCTCTCCGATTTCTAGTCTTGAAATTTTTCGCCAAAAGTTTGTTTACGGAATTTCGAATTTTTTAAGAAAAAGAGAAGCTCAGTAATCCGCCCATGAGGTCAGAAGCATTGATGGTTATTCCCAGAGCTTAGCATCTGATTCGGGTATTTACGACTTTCCCACTAGTTTTTAACACGATCTGCATTCTTATTCACCGGCTAGAGGCATTAACTAAGACTCTCAACTTGAAATCAGCTTATGAAGGTCCAAGATTGTCAATCAAACTTCCGAATTTGCGCCGATTTCGGTGACAAATTTTCCAAAGTCAGATGAACAACCCAACTCCCAGAAAAGTCGAAAAGTCTAGTTGACAATCTTGGCGAGAGCTTCTCGTAAATAGCAGACTCTCACAAGGACTTAAAACTCAAAACAAGATAACAAAAACAACGCGTGAGCGATGTAACTTCTGTGTTAAACAATTAAGTTATGTAGTGGTGGTTTTGTACCAAGTAGTAAGGTCTTACGAAAAAACTCCTTTCCGGATGCGGAAGTTTGTCGCGCGGCTAAAAAACAGCGGCGACCCACCATATCGACCAGACGGAGCCGTACAGTAGTCGGTAGATTTTTTTTTCTCCGTTTTCGCGCTTTTTAAATTTAACGGCAGCGGGAATATTTACGACGGATGAAGATTTTTGCGACAAGGATGCATTTTTATGCGTTTTTGAGTTCGTGCTCCGAGGTGAAGCGAGAGGGGGGCTTTGATTTTACGATCTCTCTATTCCAGATTTTCTCGTTTTCCTCTTTTCCCGCTGTTTGCCAATGTTGTATTGAAGATGGATGGGCGTATTAGTCCTACTCCATCATCGAGCTGTGTGAAAATAACCCTCAATAGACACTGTTCTCAATCATTCTCGGCCCTTTCTTCCTCGTTTTTTTGTGGTAGAGAATTTTGGAATACTGAATATTCTTGGATCATGATAAAATGAAATTATAATGCCAGTTGGCGGCTTTTTCTTCCTTGATTTCGACATAAAACTGAAATAAAATTCAGCAAGGAAGGTAGCGAGAAGCGTCGATTTCTTCGGAAGACAGATCTTCTTATAGAACCCCGATATTGTTCATTTTTGAATGAGAAGAACTCGCTGGCTCCAAATTTTTGAAGCATTCTTAGAAGTACTTTCGCAAAAAGCACTTGTCCATTAATTAGAATCTTTCTCCGCGGTCAGCTTGCCACTTCCTGCTGGAACATAGCTCGATCACGTGACCCTTCCGCTCCGGTGGCACCAACCGGTCGCCTCGTGGGAAGAAATTTGTATTTTTCTATCGCGGGCGCGAGCGCTTCAAAGGCGCGCCGCCGACTTCCTTGGGCAAGTTATATTTGTTCATCCGGTGGCCCATCTCCACCACCAAGCAACAAAAATGCCATGTGAAAAATAGCTTAGAGAAATTTTTCTAGAGATTCCACAAGCTTTATGAAAACAGAGATTTTGTTTTTGAACGGGGGCGACTTTGATCTGCCGCCTTTCGCGCGGGCGAAACTTGATTAGGTATATATAAATATTTTCTGAAGAACTAAAATAAAAAGCCCCTTTACTTAGCCCTTTCCATATATTTCCACCTTATCAGCCCTTTTAAAGATGATTCTGAAGAGATTGAGTTCACCAAACCTAACCCTAACCTTAGACCATAAGGGTGTCAATATCTTAATTCTTGGACCACAATCTAGTTGTAAATCTGACTCTAGGAAGGCTTAGCCCCTTAAATTCAATTCATTTCTGAGTAATTTTCAGTTGAGAAAGTTTAACGTGAACTGGGCAATTGAGGGAAGATGGCAATTTCGGTTCAACTAAATATAATAGTTGAAAATAATTTAAATGCGGCGATAAGGCCTGGGTTAGATCACCAAAGTGCCACTCTCGGCTGGGTAATTGATACGCTATATGTAGGCTGCTCACAAATTGCGGCTCAGACTTGTAATTACTGTGAACGTGATCACGTGTCATTATTACATAGCTCTATAATTTTAGCCATTTTAGCGGCTTATCATATCTTCTACTTACTGACAACTGGCTCATTATGTGATGTAACGTGCCGAAAGGAATTAGCGAATTAGAGAATTTAACGTTCCTTTTCAGGTCAAAATCTGGTTTCAAAACAGACGATCCAAATACAAAAAGCTGATGAAGCAAGGAGGAGTTTCAGTCAAAGTCGAAAATGATGGTGGAAGTGGCGCTGGATCTGATAATGAAGGCGGACCTAATGGGTAAGTGAAAACCTTAACTGTATTGAAAATTTTATCTGTTTGAGTTTTCAAGCAACTGTTGCTTTGATAAGCAAATTACAAACATTTTCAAGATGACATGAACGCCGCAGTCTTCTATTTCTAAATATACGTTCAGTGATGATGATGAGGAAGATCAGTCTGAACACTCCTCCCCCAACGCCTCTTCTCTTCTGAATCAATCCAACGGTCTCATGCCCCGCTCACCCGGCTCCAACCTCGGCGTCCCGTCAATGCCCTCTGGATCACCAACAGCCGGTCTCCCTGGCCTGACAGCATCAGCAACAGCTTCTCGTTTGGAACAAGAAGCTCTCCAGCACCAAGTTCAATCAGAAGCTGTTTCTGCCAGTGTCGCCGGTGTTCTCGCCAATGGCTTGAGTTCCACGCACGTTCCTACCGTCACCTCTCCCGACAGTCATGCCGACAACTCGCCTACCTATTCGGCTACAGCGGCTAGCACCGGCATCCCCACGCTTACTGGTAGCATCGCCAATCAAATCAGCGACTCTGGATTGACCGGATCAGTTGCGGCTCTCCTGACGCATCGTCAATCGACTCAAAATCCTTCATCTCCACATCCGCCGCGCTCAACCCTGCCAGCCTCCTTCCCAGTTCCTACACCTCCTCAGTGGACTTCTCCTCCCACGCGGTGGGCGGCCTCCCGACGAGTCTGTCCTGGGCGGCTGGCTGGCCCCAACAAGCTTATTACAAGCAATAAGAAGGAGCTACAATAATATGTATGGATTGCTATATAATTTCACGAATTCGCAAGAAGACAACATCACCAAAAAATACACACCAAATATTTTTCATTGCAAAAACTTGCATCTACTCTAGAATCTGTATTTCAAATATTTCCTACTACTCATCGCTGTACATTACTGAAGAAAACCGAAAATTTTCAACAACTTTTTTTTCCTGTTTATTTAAAACACCGGCACAAAAAAAAACGTCCAGAAAATATTGAAAATAAAAATCATAAAAATGCAAACATGCGTTGATCAATTCTAGCGGCAGAATTCCAGACATGACAGGAGACATTTCCGGCCGTGGTCGAGTTAGAGGCGGATAAGATTGAAACGGGGTGGTAGTAGTTGATGGTCATTAGAAAACCGAGGACTGACCGTATCAGCGGAGATAGCTGCCGAGCCAGTGATAAGATAGCTTTTCGGTTCACGAGTAATAATCACAGTAAGACAGGGCTACTTTTGAATCGAAATTGTACTCGGAAATGTTTGATTCTACGGTCTTAGTAAAATAGGCTTAGACTCGAATTGGAATGGTCTTCAAAAAAGTCAAGTTCTCCAAGTAGATTCGACGGGAGCGCACATCTTCCTTCTCCAGAAAAGTGGTGCAGAAGAAGTGCGCTGTTTTGATTGCGCCGGTGGTGGTGGAGTGGCTGGCCTCTCGCTGGATCTCCTGTTGAGTATCGTTGATGCTTTAATAGGCAGTTTCGCCCGTGCGCCAGTCTTAGCGCGCAGCTAGACCAACAACAACACCAAGAGGCCAGCACCACCATGTCGAGCAAATATTTTGTTTGCGTTGTTTGTACCTTCTTTAGAATAAATAAAAATTGTTTAGCCTAAATTTCTTCGAGCTCTGTAATTAAGCGATTTCTCGAGTTTCTCATTGAAGGTAAGGTGTTCTCTTATCCTAACATTTGCTCTTTGATAGGAAGCACTGTGCAACCAACAGTTGGTATCAAAGAAGTATGAACAATTTCGATATAAACATATGTAAAAATATAATCATACCGGTATGCAATATTGTTTTCTATTTATCGTATCACTCAAATCGATAAGCTCCTTCTTCTGGAGTCTTGAGTTCTATTGAAGTATTGATGCTAAGAAAAAAAAATGTGGCGAAGATGTTTTGGCAAGATGATGCGTGGCGATTCGTGTTCCGTGAATTTTCGAATTCGCGGCCTCGCACGGCTGCGAAATTATAGAGTTTGGGCCCGCGACGAATTGCAGAAGTAGACCGCATCAAAATTAGAAAACGCGCTCCCTTACCTTTGAGCCTCACCTTCTTTTTCGAGACTTAATTCAATCTGTCTCCCAGACACATCTAATCATCAGTCTCGTTTTTACGCCTCTTAAATTATTTGACGTTAAAACATAAAAAAAAATAAGATTTTCTTAGAAAGGCTTAAATTCTAAAAGCACTTTTTAAAAAAATTTAATCTCAAAAAAATAGTTTTTTCCGACTTAGAGAACACCGAACTGCGACTGAACTTGACATCGACATTCATTAATTTTCTGGAATTTCTCCTCCCGCGCAAGCTTCTTTACTGGTAGCAGAGCAGCTACGCCGCGGTCGTCCCAGCTTTTTGGTCCGTAATTGGCACCTTCTCGCTGCAGCGATACCACCAAATCACCACCTCCAGAGAAATATTAGAGTCACAATAAACATCAGAAAATGCAGACCACCGCCTAGAGCTTTTGCTAATGAAGCTGCGCAGAATCGATGCTCCTTTTTCGAGCTCATTTTCCTTGCTCCACCGTTGTTTATAATTTCTAGCTGCCAAGTGGCTCTGAATGATACGTTCTCATCGAAAGCATCGAGCTGTCAGCAGGATCGCCCGTTTCCGGGAGGTAATGATATTTTAAATCCCCTAATTTGTCGCTTCCCATGGTTTCTGAAGAGTCCCCATGCCGCCCATTAAAATTGTATTAGGCGACATCAAAGCAGCATTCTGGGGCGCGAGCGGCCGCGCTACGTACCTATTACTGACATTGTTGCCAGATAAAACTGACCACACGCGCGTCCGGTCCATTCTCGGCCCGAGAATCTCGGGGAAGGCTACGGAATCTCGGTTGTCTTTGATTTGGATATCTGAAGAGTGGAAATTCACTGTCACCAACAGAGATGATTTATTAGTTCTTTATGCTCGATTTTTTAATACAATTGGTAGATTAAATTATGCTAATTTTAGGTCAGCACTGAAAATGTCACGAATTTCACGAAAGTCACGATAACATGTTTTTTTCGTGACATTTTCAGTAAAACTCTAGAGTTTTCGTGACATTCGTGACATTCGTTACATTCGTGACATTCGTGACATTTTCAGCACTGTCGTAATTTTATTATAGAAATCTGTTGTCTCTTATTTTATTGATGGGAAGCAATGATTTTAATATCATTAATTAGATAAACTCTTCATTTCATAATCTACTGTGCTTAAAATGTCTATCCCCTGAATCCATATTCATTAATTTGAATAAATTTAGAATATTCGGTTCACTCTTGAATGAGGATAATTTCTTCGATTCTCATCTATTTCGCCATTCTCTCCCTGCGAGAAAGGCTCGAGGAATGTTCAATGCCGTGATAATTACAGAGACAGTCGCGCATTTGAAATTTCCAACAAATTCTAAAAAAACCTTGAAACAACTGGTCACATCATTGGCGCTTGTTTTCGCAAATTCTACAAACAGACAGTTTAGTCTTATAATCTCAGTCGCTGGGTTTTCGATGGCGATTAGTATCTCGGATGTGGTTTGGTGGAGATATTGATGGCACGGGGGACTGAGAGAGGGAGGATGTGGAAGAGGCGTACTTCCCCTTCGAGATTATCGTACAAATATGATAGTGTTCTAATTGGTCTAATTAGAGATGTTAGCGGTTGTAAAATGCGGTTTCAGGCCTGCACTTGTCCTGATCCTGGGACTCTCTTGGACAATATTCACCTGAAAAAAGGGCGAAGTAAAACGATTTTTATTAAGAAAAAGTTTCGTAGTTTCGTTTTTATTCATCTATCATTCTACCTACTTCTCACTCCACCTGGGTTAAAAAAAAAGGACTTGAAAAAGGACGAGTCGAGTGCCAAGAGCCCACTGAAAAGAGTGATCTCAATTAATCAACGCCGAAATGGAATCTCTTGCGTCCTGGTGAGCACTCTTCACGGTGGAGCGACTGCCACCACTGTTGATTGATTTTCAACAAGTCAGTATCCAAGTCTTGCTACATATTTCATCTTGTAATTATTTAAACATATTTCTCCACATGACAATTTTATCCCATGCTTAATCTGATCAAAGAACAAGAAACTAGAAAAATATATAAAGCGATTAATTGAATCTGTAATTGTGGTGTTGAGCATTTTCAGTTCTGCCGAATCAGCGATAAAGTCGATGTCTACCAGACATTCTCTAGTCATCAGAGATTTCTGGAGAGCGCCCATCTTCGTTTGGTAATTTTCAATGAACACATTTCTACACACAAGAAAATGAAGAAAAAAGCGTGAACCCTTGAGAGTAACGGCCAAAAAAGGGACTGAAAATTTACGACATTCCAACGTCGTGTTATCTCGGTAAGAGCACAGCTGAGCTCGGAATTCTTCTTTGGCAGCTTCCCCCTATCTCTTTTTCTTCTTCTTTAGCTTTGGATAACATCTTGAAGGGGAGATAAATTTAAGCACCTATCTATATCCAAAGATAAAGTAAGATTTATATCAAATAATGAAGATAATTTCAATCTATTTACGTCCAAAGATCATCGCTTTATTCAATCAAATATAACGCTGAAATCGGGAACCTGTGTAGAAAAGCTGAGTCAGGAGTTGAAGAGCTATTAGCTTTTAAAAATGAAAAGCCGCGTAGCGGCTTTTTTGAAAACGAAGCCGCAAAGCGGCTTCGCTGATATTTTGAAATATATAAGATTTATTTTGTCGCAAAGCCGTTATGCGGTTTTGTTTTCAAAAAAGCCGCTACGCGGCTTTTCATTTTAGCTCTTCAAAGCCTGATTCAGGTTTTCTACACAGGTTGCCGAGCCCAGATATTACGAAACTTGGATCGAAAGAAGTGTCAGTAGCACTTCAAATACACAATCTCGTATTTCTTGTGGGGATGTGAGTCTCGGTATCCGCGGCTGGATTGTTCACGGGCTTGTCTCCCCATTCCGACAGAAATACCCGAGTACCTCCTTTTTCTCTGCAGATGGCGAAAAACTATGCTCGCCAAATAGTTTATGTACGATTATTCCGGGCTTGTTTTTTTTCACACCATTTTGAAAACTACAATTTTGGTAAATTCCTGCAGGCTGCTGCAAAGTTGAATAATGAGGAAACGCAAATAGAACATGCATTTTTCAACGAAAAGTATGAAAATAACAAATTAAAATTATTTGCGAAAATGTTTATTCGACTGCCTACAAGTGATGGAGGTAGTAGATGTCGCTTCGATCTGGATCGTTTCCATCACCAGCGGGGACCATCCACAAGTACTTCAGCAGCATTCTCGCTCGCTGGTCGTTTGTCCACTTTTGGGCCACGTGATCTTCCACTGGATTGCCAGTGACGCGCGCAGGGATGCGCTTCTCAGTCCAAAGGCTAAAGAATAGCTACTATAGATTTACTTCATTCGTTGATAACTTACATTCTTGCTGAACCAGGTTCGGTGCTAGCCATGGCGATGATGATGGCTTTCACATTTACTTTACCGTCCCCGCCTTCCTTTCGGAGCTTGTAATCCTCGTTCTGCAGGTTGTATCCAAACACGTGGGGAGTTTGGTCGCGAAGAAGGAGATATCGTTGAGCACTCATCGTCGCTAATTCTCTCATTGAAGACATTTTCCAGCTCTTGATATAATTGCGATAATTTTGGCCGTTGCGGGCTCTTTCAATAAATAAAACGAGTCGAAAATTTTGATTTTTATCTAATTTATTTCTGTGAGGACAACTTTTTAGTTAGAAAAGTTTTATCATCTGATCATCATTGAACGCGTTTCGGCAGGTCGGGCAGATCTTCTCTTCCATCAGATTTAGACAACCAAGACAGAATCGATGGCCACAGGGAATCGCGATCTCGATGTGGTCAGTGGCATTGTAGGCCTCGAAGCAAACTTCGCAGGAGAACTTGTTTTTAACATCTATAATCTTATTAGGAAGTGAATATTTTTTCAGTGAAGTACCTTTGCCACAAATCTCAGTCGTAAGAGTCAGAAGCTCAACATTCGTTGTCAAAGATTCTTCCTCTAGATTTTTTCGCTCGATCTGTAGTTCCTCAAGCTTCTTTCCCATTGCTTCAATTTCTGCGTCAAGTTTGCACTTTCGATTACAATTTTCGAATGCTTTCGATTGCAATTTTTTGAGCTTTTCGAACTTGTGCCCGTAAACAGGTTCTTCACAGCAGTTCATCTTGAAGAAATCATCGAACGTCAAATCTTTGTTACAATTTTTTCTGGGACAAGAAAAAATAGCATCTGTATCGTAATTTTTCATCCAATCACTTCTGCTTTTCTCGCAGTTATTGCAATGCGATCGTTCGTCTTCGTCGTTAAGCCATTGAGCCTTCTGCATTGATGCTGTGAAACTAACAAAACTTTTTCTATGGAATTTAAAAAAGAAATTTACCCTCTACATGTGTAACAAGGCTTAACCTTCTTCACCGTTTTGATGAATGAGTTCTCTATTCGTTTATAAGTTGTCATTTTTATGAAAAATGACGCAAAAATAATGTGTTGGAAACTGGGAACCTACTAAATACGAAATAAGCCGCTTTGCTTCTATCAGACTTTTCGCAATCGCGCTCGAAATCTTTCTCGACTGCTTTTGAGAATGAGCCGATCATAATTTTTGGAAAATAATGAAAAAGCAAGCGGAAGGCTTGAGTTTCTTCGGAAAAAGTGCATGGCTCTAGAATCGGTTGACCAGTGGCCAGCTGCGCCCGCTAAGCCGACAGGAGAGCTGACAGGCATTCACGATCCTGTGGCGGTGCGCGCCACCTTTCGTGTCCCGCCCGAAACACCCGACACCAGTAGCTCCAGGATTAAATGTCGCAAAATGATTGACGTTGTCGCCGATATTTCACTCGCTTGCCTTCAATTTCACTAAATCCCGTCCATTTGTCAGACCAAAGTGTTGACAATAAAAATAACGGACGAGAATATTAATATTCATTTATATACAGCTCACTGTAAAATTACAGGGCCGATTTACTCAATTTATCTTCAGAAAACTTTTGCTTTCATTTCTTATCAATCCTTAAAAATCAATAAAATCATCCAAATGAAAAGTTATCAAGATGAAATCAAGGAAGAATCAAATTAAAATTATCCTATCTGGAAAGGCTTCATTTGGACTCCAAAAATTTTGGAGCAATAAAGAAGTAAAAAAGAGTGTTATTTCTAAAAATGAAATTTTATCAAGATAAAATGCCTTGTAAAATATCTCATCAAAGAATATTTTACAACTCATCTTCTTTAGAATATATTTATTGTGTTTTAAAAGTGCTTATGTTTCCATCTGAAATCAACCGTTACATGCTTTATTGCCCTTGTTCAACACAAGTTTCTACTATACAGAGGATAGTACAGTGTTTTGCACATGTAATTCTTTTCTGTCATTTTGTTATTTCATCAAATTATCAAAAATGCACGGATCAAACAGTGAAGATGCTTTCCCTCTTCTTCTGGTAGTACAAGAGAGAAGCGTATCAAGCTATTGTTGCACTGTCCCAGTCCCCCGAGGGTCGGGCACCCGGCGATGGGATTACTCCGGGATTTGAGCATGTTCAGCCGATCTTCATTTCTTGTTCTCAATTTTAATTGCACAGTTACTAAAAGCAGTAAAACATGATCTTGTCCTCTTTTCTGTTATTTATAAAAGCAATTAAAGCAGCAGAGGATAATGTTCCAACCATAAGAGTAACGAAAATAGCCCATTTGGATATAACAGTCAATGGAGAGGCGCAGGAAAGAGGTTGAAAAATTAGCCGTGAAATTGATCTTGAGCTTCATGACTATGCCGTCAGGCAATTTTGATGTCTAGTAGACAATCTTTATCAACCTCTTGAAAGGGAACAGTAGACATAGGTCTTTTCGGCGACCAAGTTCCAAAAACCGTGAAAAACTTCGAGACACTTTGCCAAGGACTCAAACGAGAAGGCGACGAGCAAGTTTACTCTTACAACGGGACGCGGATTCACCGAGTCAACAAAAACTTCATGCTCCAAGCTGGCGACATCATAAACGGCGACGGGACGGGCTCAATTTCAATCTACGGCGATACTTTCGACGATGAAAACTTCGACCTGAAACATTACGACGAGCAGTGGGTTTCAATGGCGAACAACGGGCCCAACACGAACGGATGCCAGTTTTTCGTGCTTTACGACGAGGCGAGATTCTTGGACAATGAACACGTCGTGTTTGCAAAGGAAACAGTTGCGCGATCTCGTATTTTTTCAATTAGGAAGCGAGTTTATCAAGGTTTTCGCTGACCATAGCCACGGAAAATCTCAAAACTCGCTCTCTTTCTCTTTCATTCTGTTTTTTTCAGGAGGCAAGATTTTTTATTCGATCGTGGATGACTTCATTCTGTTCTAGACGCAAGGACAAAATTAAGTCACCCCAATCTTAACGCTAGAAAAAAATGTAAACAGCTTCTTAAAATAACATCTTTATGGTTTTCTTTTCATAAAAAAGAGTTAATAATAAGGGGATGATTGCAGTCAATTTTGGGATGTTTCATGCGAGTACTTCTTTTGTACTATTGTTTTAAAAATAGTCTGCTTTATGATTTAAAAAAGACTCGATTGCTGGTTATGCTCAAGCTGGAAGCTCGTAAATAGACTGTAATTAAATATGCTGCGAGATTCTTCATCTGTAAACAGGTCGTTTACGGTTGGGATGTTCTTCTAAAATTACAGCTTCAAGAGACGACCGTAGACCCGGATTATGCAGAATACTTCGATGCTTTTCCAGGTTTAGCTCGATCATCTTCAATCACACTTTATTCATCTTTTAAGAGGATTACGATGATGACGATTTCGACTACCCTGTCAATGATATCCGCATCGACGAGTGCTATCTTTCCATTCCAGAAGGTATCGATCTCAAATTTGCTCTAGAAAACTCCTAAAAATGATCAGAACCAATCTACGTTCCTCTCAAACGACATACACCAGAGCCAGTGCCAATGGAAGGTTACATGCCTGGCGAAGAAGATGAAGTCTTTGAGGACGAGTTGAAAAGAGATATCGATGAAGATGAAATAAGGAGACATGACGAGCTTGATTTTCCAGAGCTGTATCAGGAAGATGAGCCTGTCCAAGAAGGAACGGGTTTATGTAAGCTGATGGAACGATTCCAACATACAGATTACTAAATCTAGTAACAGTAGAATGATTACTAAAGTAATTATTCATAAATGCATTTTCCCACAACTTTACATAAACCAAACAAAGAACCGAAAACGCCCGAATCAGTGAAAATCGAAAAGAAAGACGAGGAAGAAGAAGCGCCAAAAGATGAGCTTTGATCATTTTTTTAAATGAAAAACACTTCATTTCCCCTTCCATTATGCCTTCATCCCTTTCTTCTAACAACAAATAAACACACATATTTTCACGGAACAATTGAACTGAACAGATGGAGCAGTATTTGCTGAGTCTTTTTCCGGCCATCCGGTGCAGAACAAATACAAATATTATTACGCTTGGCGGCTATTATTAGGTTCACGTATAAAAATGACCGGGACGAAATTGAATTCATCATTCGAAGATTGAAAAAATTGAAGAAATGCTTTTTATTTTCGTCCTCTTCCTCGCTTCATTGGCTAAAAGCTCTTCTGTTAAAAGAGATACAAGTAAGATATAGGATCATTAACGTGAATTAGAGGTCGTAACAATTGAAATCGATTCTGAAGAGCTTTATTTGAAAGTATTTGAAAGTATAAATTCATAAAAATGAATATTTATAGCGGACGGGGATACGCTTGATCTCGTATTGCTGGAGGAAAACGGGTTCTCAGAGGAAGGGTCTGGATACAACGAGGAAAAACAGCTGAAAACAATTTTTTGGAAGAAAGGAGAGATGGAATCAACAACGACTGCGTTTGAGGTCTCAAACAGGAGTCGGATTACGAATAAGTTTACGAAGGAATTTCATATTTTTTTCATGAGCAATTGAATTAATCCATACAAGCAGCAATACCACCAACTTAACAACGACAGCCAAAACAACAACAACGACAACTTCCATCGAAACAACAACCGAGCCGTCAATACCCTGGATCCTCGAAGAAAGCTGCATGGTTGCGGGAGATAGCTTGCACAAAGTCATGATTGCTAATCCAGAAGAGGTAAAAACAAGCAAAAATTTGACATCTGACGCGAAAATTTCAGTGCGATCGATTCGTCTGGTGCTGGAAAGGGCGAGCGTACGAGATTCAATGCAAAAATGGATTTAAATTCGACAAAGAAACGAAAAAATGCTCGACTGAAATCACCTGCTAACTTTTTTTTGCTGCCTAAATACTCTTCTCTTGCTCGTTTTTACGCAAATAAAGCATTGAAAAATCGATCAACTTGTTCATTTTTTTCATAGAATTTTCTCCACATTCTATTGCGAAGATTCAAGTTATTTTGAGTTACAATTCAAAAAGCCGAACTTGATGATATCTGCAAAAGAGGTCGTTTATGGTTATCAATTATCGCGTGGAAAACGGTTTGTTTTCTCTTCAGGTTATCTCGGGTGGCGTCTGGTGCCTTGCTATACTCAGCTATTCTGCTTTGGTTGAAACTTCGGCCTGCTCCAGTGATTGGCGGCGCCGGGCGCAGCGTGTCGCCCCCAGCAGCACCTCCACCGCGCGCGAAGTTATTAGCCCCCACGAACCAATTGATAAACACTTAGCCCTCAAATTAATTACAGTACGAAGAAATGGTCATTTCTACCATTGCTAATGAAATAAATTTATATCTTCGAAAATAGAGAAAATCGCACAAGAAAAAAGAGAAAAATTTGACAAAACCTTTCAGAATTTAATTCAGAAGTATTATTTACGTCGGGAATTCCTAATCAAAAATCCATGAAAAAGATCTGACCGTCTCTTTTAATCAAAGATCCAAAGCTCTTCAAAGCAGATGACCCCTCAAGTGTTTATTCTATTTATTAATGTTTAATTATGCAGCTCGCATTAAAATATTTCCGCGCAGATTTGTCCTGTCAGCTTTGTGAGTCAGATTTTTCAAGAGAGCCTTTTTTCACGCTCAGACTAAATTAGCACAGGAGCTCTTGAGATTTCCCTCTTCAACTTTTTGGTATACTTTTTGAGCTTCCTTCCTTTTTAACGGGAGATTTATAATTAAAAAGTCGATTTTTTTGCGGAGAAAAATGCGAAAAAGAGTCGATCTGGCCTTTCTTTCCGCATTTTTGCAGCATTTTAGCGGAATAAATAAATTCTTAACGTTGAAAAAACATACTAGCGGGAACAGCAGAAAACAAAGAGCAAAGAAAAACGCGAGCTCTCAGGCACGCTTGGCGTCACTGAACACACAATGGATTTTACGATGGAGGCTCTGGTGAATAACGCGTTAGAGAGAAAGACTTGAAATCGAGCTTGAAAGATGATCCTAGAGATAAATCGTCGACAGTCGAAGAAAATAAGAACTGAGTTAATTTTGGCGTCATTTTATTGATGATTTTTTCAATCAGTTGTTCAGTAAGAGGCTAATCAAACAGAGAAGAGGGTCCTTTACGGTGTCAAAATGTCACTCAGTCAGTCATTTTTGGCCAGGCAGCTATTAGTTGAAATTCAAGCTCATGTTGAAGTCAGAATTCTTTTCAAATTCCAACTGTTTTAAGAATGACCAAGGATTACAAAATCGTCGTCCTCGGGTCTGGCGGCGTCGGCAAGTCTGCCCTGACAGTCCAATTCGTCCAAAACATCTTCGTCGAGAAGTACGACCCAACCATTGAAGACAGTTACAGAAAGCAAATTGAGCTAGATGGCCAGACGGTTAGTCAGTTCTTTAAATTTTTCATCAGATGTCTTTTTTATCTCAGCTTTGAGGCGCAAAAATAATGTTAAAATATTGAAAGGACACCTTTATTTGGACAACCTGAGTCTTAACCCAAGAATGTCGACTAGACTTTTATATCCGAGATTCAAAGTTGTGGACGAAACTTTCCTAAATCGACAATTTTCCGCGGAAAATATGATCGATTCAAAAAAAGTGAAGATTTTACACTTAATCCCATTGTTTAGTGCATGCTGGAAATCCTTGACACAGCTGGAACAGAACAATTCACTGCCATGCGAGATCTTTACATGAAGGTAAGTGTCGTAAAAGCTTCTTTGTCAATAAATTTGTTTTTAGAATGGACAAGGTTTCGCCCTTGTTTACAGCATAACATCTCAATCCACCCTTCAAGACCTCAATGAAATTCGCGAGCAGATTCTCAGGTGATTTTTATTATATTTAAACAGCTTGCTGACTCATCATTTTTAGAGTTAAAGATGCTGAAGACGTCCCACTCATTCTCGTCGGAAACAAATGCGATCTCGAAGGAGAAAGAGCCGTTGGAAGAGAACAAGGACAAGCTCTAGCGAGATCCTGGGGAAATGTTCAGTTTATGGAGACATCAGCCAAATCCAAAATAAACGTTTGTACCCCGTTTGTTGAGAAGGAATAATAAGTTTTTAGGTGCGAGAAATGTTTGACGATCTGGTTCGACAAATAAACCGACAAGGCGGAAAACGACCAAATCAGAAAGGCTCCAAAGGGCAAAAATCTGATGGTGATGGCGGCTGTTGTGTGATAGTCTAACTCAACTACAGGCAGGAAGCTACTGTACTGTACTTATCTGTAATCTTCTCCCTGTTGATGGATATCTATCATTATCTCTTCTCGCTCGATTTCGTTGTAAATAGCATCACCTGACGAAAATGAAAAAAGACCAAAAAGAAAAAGAAGAACCGTAATTATTGCAACAACAACAACTACACCACCACCGCCGCACCAAAAAAAGACGCCATTACTCTTCCAACTTGTCACTTTGCTTCAATTTTCTACTTGAAACCAATAAAACAATATTAAATAATTCCATCATCATCCCTAATTTTTGATGATTTCTGCTTGGAAACCGCAAAAATTAGGGTCAAACATGACTTCCTGAGACTTTTCTGAAAGCAAATTTCTGAGAAAACTAATCACGCAGAAATTTCATAAGGCTTATCCTTTTATAATTGTCCCACTTCAATTGTAAAAACGGAGGTTTTCCATGGTTACGGCAAACAAAAGGGCCTTCTGAATGTCTCGTCCATAATTGGGTCTGCGTTCACACTCAAACATGACATTTCTTCGAAAACGAGAGAAATAAGTTCAAAAGATGTCCGACGAAGAAGATTCAAGCAATAAATCGCCGAATCCTTTCGGCGTTGCAGCTCTGGCAGCGACGGCTTTTACAAAAGGAAGAAGAAAGCACAAACTTGCGAGCACAGTTTTTAAAGGAGCACTTGAAGATCTCAAGAATGATCCAGAGGTTGGTTGCTAAAGCTTAAATTTCCGATTTCAACAATTTTTGTAGAATATTTTTTGGAGCGGAAAGCAACATACTCTTTCTCGCGAAGTATCAAGAGTTGCAAAAACTCCTGAATTAGGCATCGGTCAATATTTTCTTCTGTAACTTCGCAGCAATAACAGACCCCTCCCTTAAATGCCTAGTCAAAAAACGAAGGGTTGAACTGTGATCTTTCAAATTTTGAGGCGTTCTTTGTTTGACTAATTGGTCAGTTAGACACTAAGGGTACTCGTATGAACTGAAGGAAATCAACCGCGTTTGTTCCGCAAATACTCATTTTTTCTGAAACAAAGAGCTTTGCCTTCCGATCAAATATTCACAAATTTTCTGACCGCGCTAAAAAGATCGACAGCTGCTTGAAATCTTCATCGAGGTGGACGATGAGTGGGACGAAGATGATGAGATCGACATTGAAAAAGTCTCCGAGCTCGTTGGAAAAGGAGCTTCCATCAACGCGCGGGGTAAGATTCCCACTTGTTAGAGAGCGAAACGCGAGACTTACTTTCTTTGTTGGTAGATATCTACGGACAAACGATTTTGCACGCGATCGCAAGAGAGTGGGATACTGACATTGCAAAATTTGTCATTCAACTCGGCGCCGATGTCAACGCGGTTGATCATTATGGACGGGCGCCGATACATTTGGCGGCGGCGCACGATTTTGTCGAAATGATTCATTTTCTTGCCTCTCAAGGAGCAGATGTCAACATGCCAGTTGTCCACAACCTCAAACTGTGCACTCAACTGGATCCAGAATGCGCTCCTCAGAACCAAACTCCGCTGCATATGGCCGCTGGAGCCGATGCTGCGGACGCTTGTGAAGCTCTCCTCGAACTTGGCGCTGACATCGAGGCACGTGACTATCACGACAGAACTCCTCTCTTTCTCGCGGCTGAGTTGGATAGATCTGTAAGCGCTCATGTCCTACTGGAGAAAAACGCTGATGCAACTACAAGAGATAAGTACGGAAATATTTGCCTAACCGTCATGGCATCCAAAATGCCGCAAGTAGCGTCGGAAGCGCTGAATCAATTGTGGACGTATAACAGAAGAAATCGCAATCAATACTTTTGGCTTGATAAACTCTTGCCTTCATCCGCTGAGCTTATTCGCGCTTCTAGAGCTAGAAACATCTTGGAAGTCATCGTGAACGAGAGAAAACTCGATCTTGTGACTCATAATATCATTCAAAAATTCATCGACATTCTTTGGGCAAAATACGGACAAATGGCGTTTTATAAAGAAGCACTTTTGACTTTTCTCTTCATCGGTCTTTGGACGACGATTGCTGTTTCAAAAGCTGCGGATGAAGCGTACATCTACGAAGATGATGAGTGGTGGAGATGGCTTCTCCTGGTTCTAGCGATTGTCACCACTGGGCTTGTTATTGGCATTGAAATACGCGAGTACAAGATTGGAAAATACAAGCTGCAAGAGTACAAGTCGTGGAGAATCGTCCAAGTCGAGGAGGACGCAAAATACTCTCATCCGATGAGAAAGCACGAGTCAAAGTTCATCGAGTCCGAGAAAGAAAGTTTGGAGGCTGAGAAAATGTATTACTTCAGCAGTGGATGGAATTATTACGACTGGTTCTGTAACTTTCTTTTGCTCCTCGCGCTCAGCATTCATAGCGCAGCTGTGGGACTCTTCAATGCTCGAGAGATCGTTCCGATTGAAAATAATGATCCGGGTGTGACAATTTTGGAAGATAGCACTGCTTGCTTTGGCAGATTAAATGTTGAAGACTGTGAGTTGGTTTCGTCGATTAATCGCGTGCACTACTCGCTTTTTGCTTTTACAATGGTTGTGCTTTATGCGCGAGCTTTTAAATTGATGAGAGTGACGCTGTTCATGGGCCCATTTATTGTCATTATCCAGAAAATGATGTGGGATTTGTTGAAGTTTTGTGCGATGTGGTTGGTTCTGTATGGAGGCTACGCGATTGCGTTTTATCTCGTCTGGGGGCACTCTAATCAAGAAGATGAAATTCTAAGTAAAAATCAGTCTTCTGATCATTGGATTAATAAAAAATTAAGGTGATACCGACGAAATGCTGTTCATGATCTACCGATTGATTCTTGTCGACGAATGGCCCTACGATGCCATGATGGAGACCAACAAACCAATGACTTACATTCTTGTCGGAAGCTACCTGATGTTTTGCGCCATTCTCCTGTTGAATCTCTTCATCGCGCTGCTTTCTGATACTTTCCAGCGTATTTATGACAATGCCCATTCCAATGCAGTTATGCAAAGGCAACTCTTCGTCTGTCTTGCAATTTAACTCTCGGTTTCTAGGGCAATCTATTTGAAAGAACACCTTCACGAATTCAATGATGAGGAGAAAATTGAGCTGAGTAGATACTTCGAGACCAAATGCTCTCCTCTTCGGGAAGACTGGGATGATGATTCCCCGGAAACAGAACAGGTGAGCCAGTGATGTTGTTCAGTTGTTGAGGCCGATTTCAGACACAATTGAAGAAGATAACTCACCAGATTCATGCAAAACTGACGAAACTTGAGGAGTTTATTGAAGAACAAGCTGAAGAACTGTAAGATTCGTTTCCGGAATTGAGATTGAACCTTTTTTTAGTGAAAAACGAGAAGGCCGAGCTGGTCCAACAAACATGCCGCGTGGTCGAGGCGCTGTATCGCAGCTGGACGTCGAGGGCCTGAAACAAAGCATCAACAGACAAATGAAAGAGTTCACGCGAAAACAAGACGAAGCTCTGGAGAGGTTGGAAAATTTCGAAAGTTCCATGCGCGCTCGATTGGAAAAAATCGACAAGCGCCAAAAAATCAGAATTGAAAAAGGCCCAAAGTCAGAACTCAAATCAACCTTTCTTCCGCCAATGATACCAACTCAACAAACAGTTCAAACGTAAATCGCTTGCTTGAAAGTTTTTTGCATGCTTTTCCACTTTTCTTCTAAGTAAAATGTTTCTATGGACAAACGTCTTTTTTAGAATCAGCCAAGTTGAGAAGATCCAGCCAAAAGTGGATACCTGGAACGTTTTGCCATCAGTTGACAATCCAACATTTGCCACTCCTTCTTCCACTGAAAACAAGGAAGAGTCCGAAGCCTAACATTATCCCTGCTTAATTCATCTGCTGAAAGAGTGCGTTGCTTATTTTTACCTGCATTAATATATTTATTACACATAAAAACATAGCGAAGCTCATTTTAATCAATTGATTGCAGGGCAAAGAAAATGCAGCGCACAAGTAGTATCCTACTTGCTAGGTTTTGGAAAGTAGAGAAAGGCGCGTTCTTTCGCGCGCAAGAATTTACGACTAAAGAAATAAAAATATATCTGTGCTCCTGATGCAACCAAGACGAGTGTAATTGAAACCCAACTCGCCAGGGAAAAGTTAATGTCCGCGTCGTCTCTTGCAAGAATCGACCTAAACGTTTCATGCTTGCTTCAAGTTTATGAGCAAACCGGTAGAGAGGGTTATTGACGTAGTAGATGGGAAAGAATATGAATTTGACGGCGTACATCACAGGAATTATTCGAGGTGGGCTGAATTGATATAAAAACACAATGTACCAGTTATTCATAAAAGTCAGGTGAAGAATCCACAATATAAGAGCGAGTATTGAGTAGCCAGAAGATGCAACTGGGATAGGAAACCATTGAATAAGAGTCATAGCAATGCCAAGAAGAGTGACGATGATTCCATTAGTAACAAGCCTGTTGAGCTAAAAACGAAACTGAAAAAGAATGACCGAAAACTTGCTCACATTTTCCTTGAGCTGAGGAATCGGGTATGTCTTTGGATATCTGCTGACGTTCCATTTCAATTTGAGCATCATTAAAATAGGAAGGACAGGCGACAAAACTTGAAGATAACCAAGACAATCCATCGTCCGTGATTTCAGCTGATGAATGTTCTCTTCGCATGTGGTGTTACCTGCGCAATTGATGACATGGCTGTGAAAACCATGATTGAGCCAAGGCACCATCCAACCCAGAAAGGTGTAGTTGCGGAAGAAACCAAGGAAATCCCAAATTGTCATTACAATGTTGATCGGGTGAAAAATGTAAGGAAGACATTCGCGCCATGTTGGGGCTTGAGATATTTCGGTTGTCTCTTTTTCACCTTCGATTTTGTTTCGAGCGAGTATTCTGCCGAAAAAAGAAGTTCGGAACATGCAGAAGTCGTCAGGAAGATCTTTGGGAATCGGTTGAGATGGAAAAAGGCAGAGGGTCCGGATGGTTATCAATATAGAAATGAACGCCAAAATGAAAATATACGAATCAAGGGGGTAGCCCGACTGGTAGGCAATTTTTCCATACCAAAAAGGAGCACCTTAATCCATTCATGCAAAAATTGATGAGCCGTGAGGCATTCACCTGAGGCAACAACCAGTGCCGACAAAAATAAGACCACATACGACGAGTTCTCCTTGAAAATCGGACCAACCATTGTGTTCAACGGAATCCACATGATTACCCCTGTCGAGCTAAGCATTGTTCCAACGAAGAATAAATACGGATTTGTTTGATATAAACTTATGCAAAAGAGACCAGCGGTCATTAGAATTCCCATGATAAGGCGGAGGTAGGCAGCGCCGATTTTCAGATACAGAAAACCAAGAATAAATGTTCCACCGTTGATTGAAATCAGCATTGAACTCTTGAAGGGCAATTCATTATCTCTAAAAATTCTTTTCTTACGTATATTTCACCAAAAACGGCCTTTGCTTCTTCGCAGTAAGCTCCTTGAAGAATATCCTCTTCGCTGCAAGTCTCATTCATAAATAACTTCTGCTCTTCAAAAATGAACTGGATCATTGGAAAACCTCGAGTTATCAGAGGAAACAAAAATATTTCTATGGCACCTAAGGCGAGCGAAATATAATTGTAAAAACTCATATTTTTGTATTTTGAGGTAACTAAATCTGAAATGATTCTCGGTTATAAAAGGCGTTAATGATGAATTAAGGTCATCGAGTTTTATTACTTTTGAGCTTTCGAGAAGGCTTACTACCAGAATAATGTAACCTAAATAGGTAAATGTCTCTTGAAAAAATTTCTTCGTGATTTTATGATTCGTTTCTCGTATGAACTATCGAGTAACTTGCCCTAGATTAAATTTTTATCTGTCTATTTCTGAGGAAACTTCAAGACTCAGCGAGAACGCCCAACAAAATGATGAAATAAGGACTCAAAAATATTCTCAGTCAATGAGCTCTTCTTTTCTGAAGCTTTCGCTTGAGCAGCTTTTCTTATGTTGCAGGGTTTATTTAAAAATTTGGTTATTTATTAGACATAAAAAAAAGCTGGGTTCGTTCTAGTGAGCTCGCAAAGACAATCGGAGTAATTATAAATTCATGAGAAAATTGGGCAATGGAAGTGGTCAGAAATGAATTCATTTTCGAAAATTTCATAAAAATAACGATGGGAGGTGTTTTGCAGAGAAACAAGAAATCCAAGTTTTTAGAGCATACATGCCAGTCTCATGAGAGATCAGTCAATTGCTGCGCTATTGATAAGGTAAAGCCCAAAAGAACAAAGCCCCTTTCTTTTTTTTTATTAAAGGGTAGGTAAATAATCCTCAGAGAAATCTGCTCTTTGCTTTTCGTCGTGTATATTCTCCTCGATTTCGAATTCGTCTACGTATCTTTCGATATAGACCGAGAGAACTCTATCACAGTCTTTTTGAGCTTTAGCATAGTCAAATACATAGATATCCTTCGTACGCGTCTCCATCAGAACTAAAGCAATTTGTCAGATCAATTTTGATTTTAACAATACTTTTCATGCAATCGAGTTGGAATTTTTGGAGGTCGCGGATCGTTAAAGCCCAAGAAAGAGTAAAAAGAAAGCTCAAGCTTTGTATCAACATCATTTTTGAGCATCGTCAAGAAAGCCTCATCTTTATACTCAAGCCATTTTTAATTATTGAGAGTCTCAAGACATTCCAATAATTATTCACACTGCTGGTTCTTACAACTTGTAAGAGTCATTAAGAGTCTAACAGCCAGTACACGTGAAGTTCACGCGACGCGAACCACTTATACTTATTACTTTTAGAAAAGTATATGATTTATTTATCCAAAAATTAACAGGCTTTTTCTATCCAAAAGGACTCAAATAATCTTTGGCATAGTCTGGCGCTTCTTCTTCAACATCATGTTTTGCGTTTTTGAAATCGTCTTTGAATGTTTCGATGTAGATATTTAGTACTTTATCGCAGTTTCTCTCAGCTTTGAAATAGTCGAATCTGTACATATTCGTAGTAAGCTTTTTCATCTGAACTGAAAAATTTTTTTATTCTAAATTTCAATCTTTCTTCCGTACTTTTCATGCAATCAAGACGAAATTTTTGAATATCTTCGATGGAAAAAGAAATCGCGGAGGTAAGAAAAAGACTAAGGATCTTTGCTAGCTTCATTATTGAACAAAAAAGTGATAATTGAGATGATCTTCTTTTAGAAAGGGCATCATCTTTATACTCTGCTAAATTCAAATTATTCATAGAATCAAATTATTACTATTCGTGATTAATAACATCCTATTGCTGAGCATCCTTAGAATCTAATATTCATGAAGCAAACCGTGGCGAATTCTTCGATCTTTGCCGCAAGTATTTTTCTCAGAAACTAATTTTTCTCAATTTTGATTGCTTTTATTCAAAGCCGTTGCACTAAATATTTCTACAGAGGGACCTCAATTTAAGCTCACCACCAGAAAGTCCACCGAATTTGAGGCCCATAACGTCCGGGTCTCCTTATGATCTGACCATGATTACAGGGAGTTACAGGCGTCGTAAGGTACTCCATGTCCAAAATGGACATTTTGGCCGATGGAGGTTAACAATCATTCAAAAACTTTTCGTCGAGCTTTATTCTAACCAAATGGACTCAAATAGTCTTGTACATAGTCCGGCGCTTCTTCTTCAAGATTATGTTCAGCATTTTTGAAGTCCTCTTTGTATCTATCGATGTAAATAGCTATTACTTTGTCGCAGTTTTTTTGGGCTTTGAAATAATCGAATCTGTAGAAAGTTTTTGTACGCATTTCCATCTGAACTTAAAAAAATATTTTAACATTCTTATTTTTTTAACACAAGATTTCATAAAATAAAAAATGTAGCGTTCTTACTTTTTATACAATCGAGCTGGAATTTTTGAAGTTCCTCAATAAAAAAACCGATTGCGAAAACAAAAAGAACGCTTAGACTTTTAAATATTTTCATTTTCGTAGTAATACTGAATTGATTGTTATTGAAGAAACGCTTTTCTTTTATACTCGAAAATTTGAATTATTCACTCGATCAAGTTAATATCATTTCTTATAAAAAATGTTTGCACACGTTCAGGTTGTTCCAAGCCGCCTTTCGCGGTTTAATATTAATAATGCGAGACGGAGCTTATGTTCTAGTATCCACCCTTTCTTCAGGGTTCAAGATAATAGCTGCTTATTTTATCCAGGATCCAGCCATCGCTTTCAAACCAGAGTTGCAAATTTGCTGAGCTGAGTGAGCTGAGCTGGCTGAGTGAGCTGAGCAGTCGCTCAGCTCAGCTCACTGATTTTCGAAAACGAATTTATCTGCTCAGTTCAGCTCAGCTCAGACAATAATCACTCAGCTCAGCTCATCTCAATTATTCTCGAACATGATCTGTTCAGCTCAGCTCAGCTCAGACAAGTATCATTCAGCTCAGCTCAGCTCAATAATTCTAACACAATTTCACTACTAAAAAACAGTAAAAACAGCTCAACTCAGTTCACTCAGCTCAGCTCAGCTCAAATTAGGGTCTGCTCAGCTCAGCTCAGCTCAACGACCTTAAAAGAAGGTCTGCTCAGCTCAGCTCAGCTCAATGACCTCTGAAAATGGCCAGCTCAGCTCAGCTCAGCTCAGTGTGCTCCGAAATAGGTCAGCTCAGCTCAGAGAATTTCTCACACAGGGCAGCTCAGCTCAGCTTAACGAAAATAAAGCCAAATTCGCAACTCTTTTTCAAACCACTTTTAATTTATTGTTTATTCGTTGTAACAGCTTTTTTATCCAAAAAGAGGACTCAAGTAATCCTCTGCATAGTCTGGCGCTTCTTCTTCAAGATCATGATCTCCCTTTTCGAAATCGTCCTTATATTTATCGATATACGCAGTAAGAACTTTGTCACAGTCTCCTTGCGCTTTAAAATAGTCGAATCTGGCAATATCCCATTCCGTACGGCTCTCCATCAAAACTGAATAATTACTGTTTCGGAATTCTGCAATTATAAATACTTCTCATGCAATCTAGTTGGAATTTCTGAAGATCGGCAATCGAAAAACCCCAAGCAAGAGTAAAAAGAGAGCAAAGATTCTTTAGCAACATTATTTTTGCGAAGAAAAAAGATAGAACACACCATCTTTATACTAGTCTCAATCTTAATAATTCACAACGTCAAATTATCATCCAGGAATTTGTGTTACTAGCAACGGGAAGCAAGATTGACTTGTTATTAAAATTTCTGTACAAGAGCCGGGGAATGACGTTCCTCTGATGACCTGAATCTCTCAATCCATGAACTTTCCAATATGGCATTGTGGATTTAGGTCATTGGCAGACAGTAATATTAATACTGTATTTAACTATAAAAATAGACTGGTGAACTTATCTTGACTGGATCCGATGACCTGAAAGCAATCGTTTGGTCTGTTTCTACCGGAGAACCGAAGAGGATTTTGGAAGGCCACAAAGGATACATTTGCTGCTGCGATTTCTGGTTCAACAAAAAGAAGCAGGAAACCCAAGCAGTGACTGCCTCCGCTGATCGGACGATCAAAATATGGCGAATCGCGGATGGAGTTTGCCAGCTTTCAATCGAGCATCATTCTCATGTAATGACGAAAATTACAATAAACAACGATTTGATTTTCTCTTCTTCTTATGATAAAACTGTAGCGATGGCGAATCTGCGAACTGGCTCTCTGTAAGTCTACGTTAAAAATCATAAATACTATTTATTATTTTTTAGCATACGAAAATTTGAAGGACACCAGCACTCGGTCACGTGCTTCAATCTTCTATTTGACGATCCAGCAGAAACGGCGGAGAAGAACTTCTTGACAACTGAGACTTGTGGTGATTCTCGGGATTTTCTTATAACTGGATCGTCCGATTGGACTGCGAGAATTTGGGCCATCAAAAGTGGAGGAAAGGGTCAATGATAGTAATGCATAATTATAAGGTAGAGATGAAATGAAGAGATGAAACATTGACCCTTGAAAGTTTATCTTCGCACATTCCAAGGTCACACCGGGCCAGTAATTTGCATGGCGCTCGATGTCGCCAGTCGTTCTCTCTTCACCGGCTCTTCTGATCACAGCATCAAGAAATGGGACATTTCTAGCGGCGAATTTATCCAGTCAATGAAGGGTCATTCTTCTTCTATCACTCAAATCGCTCTCAAGAATAAAATTCTCTTGTCCACCAGTGCGGATTGGAGCGTTCGAGTTTGGTCCGCTGATTATGGAGATTTCATCAAAACGTTTGAAAATGGCCATGAACACATGGTCAGCACGATGAAGATTTCTGATGGAGTTGTTGTCACTGGAGACGGAAATGGAGTCATAAAGGTACTAGAGAATAAAAAAATCCTAGAATTAAAACAACATTAGGTATTTGATCCACGAGTTCTTCACGCAAAAGCTACTCTTCTTGGACATAAATATGCAATCAACTGTCTTTACACTTTCCCTGGGGGCATCATCATCTCGGGCAGTTACGATTCTTCCGTTCGAATTTGGAACATCAAAACTGTGCTTGAAAAATTAGACCCTGTCGAAGCCGAAGATCCAAAACTGGCCTACGATGATGACGAGGAATATTTCGATGGAAGCAGAAAAAATTCGCTCAGAACACCAAGGTAACAGACATCTTCGTGAATTTATAATTGAGTATTCTATTTAGCCCTCAATTTGATGATACCTACGACACAGACGAAGACGAATTCCTCCGCGTTCAAAACGAAAAAGAACAGATTCGCCGACGAAGTCAAGTTGACGATATGCTTCAATCGTCTGTCCGTCAAATTGTTGAATACAATCTCATCGACGAAATCACTGATACCGTTCTCAATCAAATCAAAAAGAAAGACTCGACGAAAAAGAAAGTTGAAGTCCTTCCTGAGCTACTTGAATAAATTGAATAGTCGAAAACATGAAAATGATTGTTTTTATTTTTTTGTACAAAAGCGTGGTAAAAAAACAAAGCGGCGCAAGTTTAAGATTTTCAAATTTCAGTGCTAGCGACTGCTTGAAGCTCAACTTCTTCGACTTCGACGGGAGCTTCTTCCGCGCTCGATTCTGGGTCAGTTTCCTTAGACTGTCACAATTTATGAAAGTGACGTGATTCTTGAGTACCTTTTTCTTCGCTTGGTATTTCTTTATCGATTCAAGAACAATTCCCAAGAAGATGAGAGTAAAGACAAAACCCCAAAGAATGAAGAAACCAATGGCGTCATTAGGGATTTCTTCTGTAGCTGCGTCAACTTGCTCGACCGTCTGATATTTTGCTTTAGAAAAATGATCACATTACTTACATTTTCTTAGCTAAAATTCAAAAAACAAATCCTGAACTCGTTCGTCCATGCTTCCTGCTTGAAAATCTAACTCATTGACGCTCTACAAGTAAATAGACACATCAGGATTCTAGAGAACCGCACACGATTCTTTGTTTAAAATTCTGATTTAGTTATTTTATGATTTATATTTTTCTTTGATAATTGTAACTAGACAATATCGACACCGACGAAGGATATCAAAGATCAATTTCGCGAGGGACGAGTAGAACTCGCAGTAAGCTAGTAGAACATGCATAAGCTGGTATTTTGATTCCTGCTTGAGAATATTAGCTTATTATAGCCTGCAAATAAATAGACAGACCAGGATTCAAGAAATACACTCCCAGAATCGATGATTGAGATTTTCTATTTGATAATTTTATGATTTTTATTATTTTTGATAATTTGAACTGGGCGACATCGATGCCGACGTAGGATGCCCAACTCGTTTTTGTAAAGCCGTAATGGTGATCAGAGCGATATTCAATCGGTAGCACTAGAGTTGATGGCGTCAGGGACAAGTATTGGACACACAGAATTGGCCTAGATTTTCGGTTGAGGTTTCGCGCCCTCGGGGTGGGCAACCCTCTCTCCAGCGGCCGAAAATGAGAGGCAAAGAGCCGCTTTTTCCGACGCAGATAAGCTGGGGTGAGCGGCCTACTCGCGACGGCGCCATGTGCAGAAATAAATAAATAAGAAACACCTGGTAATGGAAGCTGCTTTCGCTTTTGCCTAACCGAATTTCGGCAAGCTGAGCTGAGCGTCCGAACCAGGATAGCGATAAATTACAGATGAAGATGAGAATGGTTATTTTTTCATTTTTTGGTGCACCGAGAAAGTCGCGAAGTCTGACACTGGGCAGAGAGCGAGAGGGACAGAATACTAGCGTTGGACATTTTACCTATATAAATTTATATCGTAAAAGGTCACGATTTTTATGAAATTTTGCTTTTTTCTGAAGGGTATTTAAAAATGAATGTCTAGAATGCGGGTGGCCGACGATGGTACCACGCTTGTGTTGGGGAGAAAGGTGCCAGAGGGGAAAAGAGAAGGAGCACGAAGAGGTTACAGTTCATGTCCCAAATAATAAAAATTGAATCTCACTCTTCCGGTAATCGGAAGAGAATGGATCGTAACCTAGCTGGCTTAACGAATAGGCTCCTGCTGGTGGTGCTTGAGGACCAAGACGGCTTCGTCCACCTTGGACTTGAGCAGCTCTCTGTTGTCCAGCATGTGCAACAGCTCAGAGTTGTCGATTTCCAGCAACATACCGGTAATCTTGCCAGCGAGGTCAGTAGCAGCCATGCTCTATATTGAGGATCGAGTATTTAAATAATCAAAAGCCCGTTTTTACCTGAATAAGAGGGAAAAGTCGTTCACCGAGCATCTGTTTCTGCTCTTGTGGGTTGGCGTTCGCCAGCATCGACGAAGTAAGGGTCTCTGGTCCCTGGTCACCGGCGGGCTGGTTCTGGTGGGGCATCTGAGGGGGCATTTGGATCACCTCGTTGGGGATCTGCACGTTTCGAACACTTGGAGTGAGTCGGAACTGAGGACCACCCTGCTGAGCAACTCGTCCTCGGACCATGCCTGGCATCTGGACTCGCTGCAGAAAAAGATGGTTAGAAAAACAATTGGCGGTAAAAATTTTTCACCTGGTTTGGTGGGGCCCATCTTGGGGTAGCTCGGACCATGGGAGTTCCCTGGGGAACATCTGGACGGGCTGGCCCTGCATGGTGGGGAGGATGTATCGTGGGGGCTGGAAGTTCTGGTTGACAACCTGGTTGCCCATGAAAGCCTTGAAGAAAGGGCAGAATTTGCAACGAACGTGGTCTTTTTATATTACCTGCATGCGGATTCCAGTAGAGACACGCTGCATGTACTGTTGCTGCAAGTGGGCTTTTCTATCCTCCTTTCGCTGCGCAAGTCCAACGTACAGTGGCTTGCCACCGAAAATTCGTCCGTTCATCTCAGTCACAGCCTAAAAATGACACTAAGAACATGTTCACTAGAAATTGCTTCTACCTTGGTGGCTTCTTCCGGGGAAGAGAAGCAAACGAAGCCGAATCCCTTGGATCGACCCTTCTTGGCAGCTGGTTTCTCGGGGGCAGGAGCGTCGCCGGCGGCTTCGGCATCTTCAGCGGCACCTTCGGTCTTTTCGCCTTCAGCGGGAGCTTCGGTCTTGGAGGTACCAATCTCGGCCTTTTCGTTTTCATCTGTGATAACCTTGGCCGAAGTGATGGTTCCAAACTGCTTGAATGCCTCTCGGAGACCTTCATCATCAATCGAGTCGTCCAAGTTCTTGACGTAGAGGTTGACTCCCTGGTATCTAAAAAGAGGTGAAGATGAGAAAATGGAAGCTGATTGGTACCTCTGAATTCGTTCTTGTTTAATTTTTTCGTATTTAGCCTTCAATTCGCTGGATCGTTCTGCCTTCTTTTGTGCTCGTCCGCAGTACAATTTCTTTTGAAGCGGTCATTACCCACATTTTAACGCGATAAAACACTCACCTTTCCATTGATTTCCTTATCGTGCATCATCTCGACAGCAGCCTCGGCCTGGTCGTGCTCCTTGAAGGAAACGAAACCGTGGCACTTGCTCTTGCCGGTCGCCTCGTCAACGATCACCTTGTGGCTGATGACCTCGCCGAAAGTCTCGAAGTTCTTGAGGAGCTCATCGTTGTCCCACTCCTCGGGCATGTTCTTGATGAACAAGTTGGTGAAGTGCTAAGATGTTAGGTTGAGTGTGGTGGTGGAATACGGTTCTACCTTGGCAGCATCGCCGAACTCGCGCATGCGGTCATTTCGGCTCTTGAATCGAGCGACAAAGACCTTCTTGTCTTCCATCAACATGCCGTTAACCTTTTCAATAGCTCGCTGGGCGCTCTCGTCACTTTCGAAGTGGACAAAACCAAAGCCCTTGGATCCATTGGCATCGCAGACAACTAAGTGTCTGTAACGCAAGAGACTACTGTTACGCTACGAACCTTTGCAAGAAAGAATGTTTCCAAAGGAAGAGAAGGTGTCATAGAGAGCCTTGTTGTCGATGCTTCGGTCAAGGTTCTTGATGAAGACGTTGCCCTGGCCCGATCGTCGGAGGGAGGGATCACGCTGGCTCCACATGATTCGGATTGGTTTTCCCTGAGATTATTTCTCGATGATTTCAACGTTGTAACTTACGATTTCTCGACCTCCGACTTTGATGACGTCAAAGTTCATGGTGTCAAGAGCGCGCTCAGCATCAGCTGGCTGCTGGAAATTGACGTATGCGTATCCGAGGGATCGTCGAGTGACCATGTCTCGGCAGACGCGGATGGAAAGGACAGGTCCAGCCGCTTGGAACTTGTCGTAAAGCATCGCCTCGGTGACATCGGGGTGGAGGTCACCGACGTAGAGAGAGGCCATGGCCAAAGTGGGAATGCCACTGGTAGGACCACCCTGCATAGCTGCCATTGCCGATTCGAGTAATTAAACCTGTCTGAAAGAATTGTTTCAAGTTTCGAAGTGAACAATTTATTTTAATCGCAATAATAAAAATTATTTCAGATTGATGTTATAAGGTTTTTAAGAGACTTTTCAACGAAAAGTCACAATTGATTCTTTAATTTTGTCTCATAGACTGGCAGTCTGGTAGACAGAAGAGTGACCAAGGCCCTATTTCTGGGCACATTTTTTTTTTGAATTTTCACTGAAATGGGGCTTGAAATTTTTAACCTTGAATAACGATAAAATTGTAACGGATAGTAGAATGTTTAGTCGTTGATATAGAGAGATATAGAACTATCTCTCTTTCTGTAAATTGGGAAGGCGGATAAAGCACGAAATGGCACCAATAAATAGAAAATAAGAAGCAGTGGCGCGATTATTCAAATTATCAAGAAACTTTTCTTTTGAGCAAAACTTGAAAACTTTGAGTTGAAAACGGATCAACAAAAAGAGAAAAATAAGAAAATCGCGCGTTAGAAATCGCTAGCGATTGTTGGAGTTAAGTTTGCGGTCAAGAGCATAGTAGTTGGTCCCGTTCTGGAGCTTGACATTTAGGTTTGGATTCAGCAAGCCCATTGTCGAGCTGTGGAGCAGGGGTTGGAGCGTTTGATTCATGTTTGACATCATAGGTTGGGACATACGAAGCTGGTGCATCTGAACAACATCTCTTTTTAGCAAAAATGTAGCTTTTTCGAATGAAAAACACAAGTGCTCTAGAGAAATCGAGTACACATACCGGAGGGCGGAGCAGTTGTGAACTTTGATCTAGAGAACTGTGTAGAACGGATGCTCGATGGAGCTCGTGAGGATTCGGCGCTAGAATCGCCGCGCCACTCTGGTGCAAGGTGAATGCTTGAGGAAATTGCTAAAAAATGTGTTGTTTGCTAAGAAAACTGTTGATTCCCAGGGGCGACTTACCGTACTATGCGACATGGGAACAATTCTCATTGGCGCCTGACGCGGTTGTGGAATCGGCGAGAGCTGACGCAGTGAATGATGATCAGCCGCACCGAGTCGACCGGTGGGAGGCGTCACTTGTCCCCTTGAGTAACTAATTGGCAGGTCGAGAGAGGAGTGCGGAGTAGGCTTGGTGGACTGGCGCTGGTGTCCTACAGAGGAAGGCCGCGAGGAGGAAGCTACGGGACTTGGCTCTGGGCGCGTAGGCGTGCGCCTTGCCTCGGGTGTCCCCCCTACACGTGATGGAGCGATTTCGGGAAGAGTCTTTATGATCGAGCCACCAGCTGGTCGTGAAGCGACGGTATTAGGTAAAATGACGGCGGTGCCTTTTGGCGCGATAGGCGGCCCACCACCTCCGCCCCCGAGAATGTCGTTCATCATGAAGGGCGTCGAAGGATTGCTCCGTCTTAGCGGCTGAATAAAGCGCTCACGAGAAAGAAGGTAGAAAGATGGTTTACCTGTGTAACTGGCAGGGTAACGATAGTACAGCTTTGGGCGACCGGGGGCGACTGAATTACCGACGTTGGCGCTCCTTTCGAGCTGGAGCAAGTGACTGGCACCGGAATTGCAAGAGGCGTTGCGGATTTGATGATGACAGAAGGAAGAGTTGAATTTTCAGATTTATCGGATTTGTGCGAAAGTCGACGGCCATTCTGCTGAATGATGATCGCACCAGTTGGAGGCTCTGTCTTGACAATGGTTGACAGCTGAACTGGCTCCGTCTTGGCTTCGACCTTTTCTTCCTTGACTTCGTCTTTTGACCGCGCTCGGTCGACGTTCAGCTGTTTCCGTAATCGTGACACAGCCTTCTTCACCTTCTGAGTGGACTTGTTCGGGCTGCGCTGAAATCTCTTGGGGAGTTTTCGATCGCGCTTGGGACGGATCGTGGGAACTTTGGCCTCGATGACCTCTTTGATGACGATTTCACTTTTTCTTTTACGACCTGGCTTTGAACTGGAGGAATCAGGTTTCTCCTCGCCGATGCGGATCACTGTTCCTCCGGGGAGTTTTATCCGCGTTTCGTCGTTTGCCAGACTGAAAAGTATAAAGCTGAAAAAGATGCAGAAAAGTTATAATCTTACGGTTCGAAATTGCTCCTGATTGAAGGAATTTCGACAACTGGCAAGTCGTTCGCGGCAGTATCTTCTTGAGGAAGAGGGACAGGGACTTTTGGCTTCATCCGCGTCTTTTCGATCTTCTTGAGAATGTCATCAGCGAGTTTGCGTTGAGCGATGGTCGCCATGCCAAACGGCTCGGTCGAAGCTGGCACGGTGCGGCGGACGCGACGAAGCCAAGCAGTCGAGGTGTCGCATCCGCGCACTTGCTGCTCGACTTTGCGCAGATCGCTGTTGGAACAAGCGCGGCGAACTTCAGCACAATGCCTCGGCTGAAAAAACATAATAGCAAAAACAGACAAGTTTGAAGGATAATACCTCTGAGATTTTGAAGGTCTTCTTCAAGGATTCAACCAATTGTTGAGCATTCGGACTGAGCGGATCACTCACACGGAGGGCATCAATGGCCGCTGCGTAAGCTTTCAACTGAAGCGCCCGCAGTGCCAAGGAACCCTCCATCGACACGACAATTTTTTACAGACACAATGAGAATCGCCCGATTTCTAAAATAAAAACCATCAAAATTCATGACTGAAGTCACAAAAGTCTAAATAGAAGTGAAGCCTTCTGCAGCAAGGGAGGCAACAGTCGGTTCAAAAGCACAGCCCTTTCTTCTGATGAGGTAACTTTTTGCATCGAAATCGAGTTCTACTAAACGGTCAAAACATGACTAAAATAAAGTTGAAATCAAGGAAGAGAACCACTTTTGACTTGTGAAAATAATCAACTTGAGGCGCGAAAATCTTAGAAAATTACTTTCTTAGTTAAAAAATATACGAAAATACATGAGATTATGTTCAATTGTCAGCAGTAAAACTTCTCGTAATTGAACAATTTCTACTTCTAGCTTTAATTGTTACGCAAAGCCGTGAAGCGAACAATGACTCCCTCGACAATCACTGTCAAAATATGCGCTGGAGTCACTCCTACACATAAAAATGGTTTGCTTTGTTCATGTTTGCTCGAGTCTTGGTTCGACCGTTTTCCTACTACAGTTGAGCCCGCGCGCGACATGCTCGTTGGAATGCCGAGCTCTGTTTCGACAATGGCGTCGAGCAGGGGATGGAGATCGGCAAAATCATTACGAGTGAGGGCCGATTTCGCCCCTGACTTATTGGCCGAGGTCAAACAGAGTGGCTCGCGGCGAGAGAGCAGTCGCGAAATCGTGTTGTCAGGAATGCGGATGCCAATCGTAGAGCAATCTGGATTGACATGAGCTGGAATAAGATGGCTTCGCGGGACCACAAGAGTTACTGCTCCAGGAAGTAGGCGACTGATAAGGGTCTTAGCCAAAGTGGAACTGATAACTTACTGAAAACTAAATTATCACGTGGTAAATAGCATAATGCATAAAAGAGCAAACACAGTAACTTACAATTGCGTATCTTTCTGATACCTATATGAATATATATGCTGAACAATATGAAGGCTAGACATCTGTGCCTTATTATTGCCCATCTAAACGCATATAAGAATAAGTAAAAAGGGCAATTGTGAACAAGTAAATGAGAACACCGGATAAGTTTCGAAAAATGTTTTCAGGCCAAAAATCACTTTTTAACTGTTAGTGCCATCTTCACCGCCGTCTCAAACCGAGTCGAACGGTATATGTCTGGCCTCGGAATCCTGTAAACAGGAACAGGGACAGGAACAGGGATTTTAGTTTTTGGCCCATTTGCAAAACAGGAAACAGGACAGGATAAAATACACAGGAACAGGTCCTGTTTTACAGGTTTCACAGGTTTTGCAGGCCTGTAAACTCAAATTTCAGGGTTTTAATTTTTCCTTGAAGAATCAAAATGAAGAATTTTTTCTCGTTATAATCATGTCTATAGACAGTTTCAACTATAAAAGGTTCTTTATAACATATTTGAAAGAAATTCCAAGAAAATTTTTACGAAAAATACCTTATCTTCCGAATTTCTCGCCTGTTTTCCTGCAATTTTTTACAGGCCTGTTTCAATTTTACAGGGCTGTCCCTGTAAACAGGCGTGTTTTCATGTATTTCCTGTATTTCCTGTTAACAGGCCTGTTTACAGGTTTATTTTGGTCTCGAAATGCAAGACAGGAAACAGGACAGGGTCCAAAAACAGGAAACAGGACCTGTTTCAGGTTTTTAGACAGGTCAGAATTCCGAGGCCAGGTATATGTATCGCTTGAAAATTCTAGAGTTTCGTGTACTTCCGGTCGAATTTACGAAATTGTAGTATTCCACTGCCGTTTTTGATAAAGAAATGGTACTATTGCATATAGCATATCAAAATGACCGCTAGGACGTGAGGAGTGCAGGGTCTCAAAAAATAAGTACTTTTGCAAAGAAAAGTACCTACTAATAATTATTTTGTGATTTTTAGCACTAAAAATATCAATTATTGTTTTTTCGGGCAGAAAGCATGATGGATAATCAAGTTATATCTCTTATAAATAAATCTACAAAGAAAACTACATTTAAATCGAAAATTTCTTGAAATTTGATATTTTTAGTGCTAAAAATCACAAAATAATTATTTTTAGGTACTTTTCTTTGCAAAAGTACTTATTTTTGAGACCCCTGCACTCCTCACGTCCTAGCGGTCATTTTGATATGCTATATGCCATAGTACCATTTCTGTATCAAAAACGGCAGTGGAATACTAGAATTTCGTAAATTTGACCGGAAATACACGAAACTCTAGAATTTTCAAGCGATACATATACCGTTCGACTCGGTTTGAGACGGCGGTGAAGATGGCACTAACAGTTAAAAAGTGATTTTTTGGCCTGAAAATATTTTTCGAAAATCATCACCGGATTGCTTGAAATATTCATCACGTGATTAATTATTCAAGCGCTAGTGAGATATTGCATTCCGCGATTATCATAGTTCTACAAAATAAGACCCGACTATTCTTCATTTAAAATTCACATTAGTAAGTGTGCGCCTGGCAAAGGGTGTTTCGCCAAGTTCCGTGTTTATTTCGAACACAAGCACCTTTCGTCAACTGGAGTACAAAACCAAAAGAAAGAAATGTGTGGATTACGAAAGGTCGAATGCGTATTTCGGCGCGATAAGCTCGAGCAGCTTCAGTATAAATATTTGCCAAGGCCGTGCCTGAGTAGCTCTTTAAATCTGTCCAAATTCGGGAGGTAGTGAAGAACTTGGGCAATCGTGGAGAAACAAACCGCGACGGGTTTTGCCTCGCTACGACCTTTTTCAGGCTCAATTTATAATTATAAGTACATTACGTATGTATCGATAATTTGGGTTCATAACTTTTAAAACCCATAAATTTTGAACTGTCGTCAATTTTGTTCTTGATTGACTAACGACCATCTTCCTAGAGAGGATCAATAAAAGCCAAAAAGAAACATTTTCCTTTAGAAAAAAATTGAGCCAAGTTTCCTTTGATGTCATAAATGCGGCGATAGCCAATTTCGCTGGAGATTGAGGTGGCGATTCCGTAGAGCGTATCAGTTGGAAAAGCAATCACTCCATCCTCGCTGAAATTGGCTCCAAAAGTGTTAATACAACATGATTTCAATATGCAAAAATATATAAAAGAGGATTGTACTGACACAGTAGTCTGAGGCTCAGACTCTGAGCGATATCCAAATACAGAAAGGTCCATTCAAGGACAATCGATCGAATCATTATTGAAGTGGATTTTGACTCATTATCTTTGTATGCCCAATTTCCAGATAAATAATATTGTTTCTACGAATTGAAGTTATTCGATAGCCGAAAAATTCAATTCAAATGCGAAAATATAACCAAAGCTAAAATTACGTCATTTCGAAATAATTTTACTTTTTGTCTAGCCGCCAAAATTACGATTTCTGCGGCTAAAGTATTCTTACTCGTTCTATAATAATAAATCTCTATTTGAGTGGCTAGTTCTAGCGCGAAAAAGGGTGAAAACGAGGGTTAAAACTCGATCCTCTTAGTTTTTCGCTATTTTCCGGCCAATTCCTTAACATTTTCTTCGCTTTTTCCAAGTTGGCTGTAGCAGAGACCATTTTTCTTGTTTTATCTTTTCTCGATTTTGTTTCTAAAGCATTGAATTCTTGAAAAAAAAAAGAAGGAAAGCAACGAAACGAGAGAACTGGCAGCGCGCGATGAGTCATAAAAGCGCGCGAGTCAGAATTGAAAATTGCGTGGGCGTTTTCAATTTTGTTTTATTACTTTGGCTTCGGGTACCTTTTGCAGGGTCGAAATAGCCTCGGGCAAATTATAGCGACATTACACGATCTTAGTAGAAAAAATAACGCTAATTAATTTTAATTATTAAATACGATCACCTACAAACAAGATCTTAGGTACTAAGTAACTCATTATCATTACTAAGTACAGCAGTTTTTTATTCTATAATTTTTATGATCTAGTAGGTTTTTATGACCCTTCTCGGCGAGGGTACCCTTATCAATATTTGAGCCCCCTTCATGAATTGCTAAAACTTGTCTCAATATTAAATTGCTTGAGTTGAAATCTACTCAAATCTCAATTGAATTTTTAACAAAGCAAAAGTTACTTTCAATTACTCGATTACTAATTGACGCGAAATTACTCTCAATTTAGGAGGAAATTTTATATTTGCTGACATTATCTCCCTGTTTCAAATTTCGACCCGTTCCAGAACTGACCAGCAGAGTAGCAAAACCTCCTCAGAGTTTGGTCAAAACTCTTCGTGTCGATCGGGAGGTCTGTTTTCTGAGTGATCGCGAAAACAGCTGCTCTTCGAAATTTGCCTTGGGCCTGGACCATTTCAGCCATTGTTTGAAGAATAAATGCGTCTTCCTTTCGCTCACTAGAAGTTTGAATAAATTCTGAAGCCCCTTTTAACCCAAACTGACCAGAAAGCAATCGAATGCGGAAAAGCAACGAGCGCGCTTCCATCTACCATCGTGGTCGCTACGTCGTCGATGCTCTGTAAACCGAGCGCGCTCATGAGATCGCGCTTTCGCCCGATCGGCGGCTCCTTGTTTTCAAGAAACCGGATGATCGACTTTCTTCTCCTGTCAATTTCAGCGTCCGATTCGGCCGGACCAGCGAAGATGCCGGCACTGTTGCTGCCAACTAAACGATCGGGGTCGGTCTTTGGGGTGAAAGAAGACGAGTTGTCGTCTTAGAGGGATGAATTCTCGCAAAAAACTCAAGAAATCTCCAAACGTCAGAATATTCTAGAACGTCTATTTTGTTTAAAACCAAAAGCATAAAAACATCCGAAAAATTGACTTTTTCCTCCTTGTTTTCAAGCTAAAATAAACCTTTACTTCTTGACAATAGACATTTATAAGAGTTTAATTGTTATCTAATAAAAAATCATCCCAAAACTTGTCCGTTCTGACCCGGATGTCCTTGGAAAGTATCGCCACTGAGTCGCTCCATTTTCACCTGTGGATGTCCATTGGTAGTTCCATTCGATTGATTTGCGCTAGTCTCATCCCTTCTCTCTAGTTTTACTTCGACGTTCGCTGCCTGGGGCTGTCGATTCTGAAGTGGCGGAGAGCGTAAACCCCTTGGCGCGCGCCCGGGGGATCTAGAAGGACTCTTCGAAAGCGTCCGGCGACGCAGGGCTTCTGCCCGTTGAGCCAGGCGATTTGAAAGTTCCTTTTCAAGGGCATAAAAAATGAAAACATATTCTATGAAAAACATGGTATTTTCCTTGTCTAGCAGACGGACTCATGTAACTCATCATTTTCGCCCATTTTCCTGCGTGAGTTCATTATCAACTGGCTCTCCTTCTGGAACCAGAAGCAGCCAATTTTGAATTTGACCTTCTGTCTTGGCCAGTTTCGCCACAGTGTCCCTTTTAGTCACTGGGATTTGCACGTTTGGGGCGAGGAGTTCATTCAGTGCCGAGATGACCTTATCCCTAGCCATGTCGCTTCGCTGATCTCGCTGGTATCTGATGCATCCTTTAAGAGTAAAGTAGCCTCGAACCGCCCAGCAGAGAATTTTCAAATTGTCGTTCAGATCCTCTTCCGAGTAGTCGCCGAATTTGGCCTTTAGATGAGAATAGCTCGCTGCCTGTCCGTCCCAAAGATATTCCATCAATTTGTCACGCAATGCTCGATCGTACTCGGAGTCTTTCTTCGTCTCCTTGTGGGACATATTTTCCAAATACGCTTCGATCGGCGCGTACTCTTGATTCTTCACATGCGCTTCTGAAGCATCATAGCTTTCGTTCAGCGTTTCCACCGGATAAACAGCCAGATTCTTCCAAGCCTCTTCCTCGACTTCTCGTTTGTGCGAGGTGAATGTTTTAACGGGCGCGTGAGAAGAGGCCGTTTCTGTTCGGTTAATTCGAACTCGAATCTTTTGAGTTGAGCTGGATTCGTCGTCAGAGCTGTCACCATCTTTGTTGTCAATCTGAAAGTGATTTTTTATCAAAAGAGGATTATTATTTCTTTTACCATTTTGACGGCGCGATCCATGTAGCCGAGACTAGGGCGTAGCTGGAAAGTGGTCCGAACGGGAAATAACACCAGTCGGCCGTTTTTCACCACTCCGGCGAGGTAGTATCCCTTTGTCGCTGTTTCACTGCCTTTGAGTCGGATATGATCGTACTTCCTACAACGAATTGAAGCTTTCTTTTCGAATGGGAAGACTTTACTTTGAGCTGAAGTACTTATTGTCCGCATTTGTTCGCAAACTAGAGTCCTCTGGTCCATCAATTGTTTCTGCCATCATTTCCGCTCTATCTTCATCAATATTCGGCCCAGAATTCGTCAGTTGTTCTGTCACCTCGAGAACCCTCGTCTCCGGCTTGATTCGTACATTTCCATGGTCTACTCTTCGATCCCTCTGTCGACCGACGTACTGAGTCAGGGTCAGCTCATCGTTAGTTCTGACTACGACTGGTATTTTTATACCCATTCTGAAAGAGAAAATGTTGATTCTTCTTTTTGAACATTGGTGGCCAAAGGCGAAAGTATTGAAAAAAAAGTTAGAACTGCAGAAATAGGTAAAATAGATAATTATAAGTTGTTTTGTCAGAAGCTTGAAATGAAAATTATCAAAAAATATAGAATACTTTGAATGAAAGAAACGAACTGAAAAGTTAAGTATTGCAGAAAGGAAAGAAAGCATATTTGAATTGTAATAAATTATACTTTGATACGAAGAGCAAAAGCGAAGAAGTAAAATTGTAAACTTTGAGATTCGATTTGGATACTTTGAAAGGTTGAATTGTTTTACAATGTAACGATGAGCTCAAACGGATTGGCAAACTCGACATCTCCTTCTTCCAAATTCACCCGTTTCATGCCTGAAAGTCCGGTTTTCTATTGACAAAAATGGGTTGAGAAAAACCTTTGTAAGAGGATCCATCGATGGAACTGATAGATGAGTCATGCTCGGAGGTACTCGTCGATGTTTTCTGTACAAGTCTTCTTAGCGAGAGAATAGGCAGTCGCAGGTCGCCCATAAACAGCGGCATCAAGTCGACTTTAATTGACTGCAGGAGGTTATGTTCTGCACCAAAGTGCATCACTCCCGACGTCAAACCAGATATTCCCCAAGCGGAGCGATCATCAGCAATGTGCCAGCTGATCGCGTCCGTTTCCCCTCGTTCTGTCGGGTAACAACGCTTGACTTTGATTGTTAGTGGCAGCAGACCAGTAATATCGTCCAGTTTTTCTGTTTCGTACTGAAGGAAATTTTGATTTTTCGCTAGAATCAAGCTCGTTTTAATATTATTTTTGGGCGAAGACAACTAAAAATGTTGAATTCGGAGATCTTCATAGAGGAAAAACTCTCAAAAATCGCGCGTATTTACGATTTACTCGTCAAGTTTGGAGAAAAGGTCGATATCTTCGATGAAAATGTTGGAAACTACGAAAGCGGAGTCATCAAATCATCGGAATTTGGAATCTTCGACGAGATGATAAAAATAATCGAAGAGGATATTGAATCAATTAGATTGCTACAGGAAAATTTGACTGAAGAAACAAGTGATAAGCCCGTGCATTTTGTGGATGAAATAGCGGCAAAAATAGAAAAAAGAATCGAACAACAACATTTTATTGTCATCCATGAGATTTTTACAAGACATCTGGCGAAATTCATCGCAGCAAAAAGCCTCCTCGACAGTTTTGAGAAACCAAATGGGCCGGAAGAGTATTCTATTTATGAGGACGAAGATCCAAATATGAAGAAACTTGAGGATAAATTAGGTTTGGGCCGAAATAAACAAGTTTTTTAGTCTTATTTTGGACCCAAGATAAATAAATGCCAGCCTTGAAAAGATTTAACTCTGGAACTATTCATGAAACTCAACGCATTGGAAAAAGAAAGCAGCATGAGATTGACCCGAATTGACGATGTCTGCGCAAATACAATTGCGTTTACTGAAGCTGGAAACGAGTTCCTCGAAAAGGCGCTTGACGACAAACACAGTGCCGACGCAAAGAAGTTTTTATTATTTTCCTCAATGGCATTTCTCTTAATCGGACTTATTGGATCTTCTGTTGCGCTAATTGCATCAACTTTAAATGCTGCGACGAAATAAATTATTATGAAGAAAATTTTTTGTTAAAATATTTTTTGGTTAATTTTACCTGAACTCGGTACATGGGCTTGAGGCAGTTGAGCATTTCGTAATGTTCATACTTGTAGACAATGTCTTCTGCCTCAAGTTCGAAGCAAAAAACAAACTCGGAAATGGCAGCGGAAGGGGAGGGCGAGGAGTGGGGCAGTTGCCAAAGGTATTTGAATCCTTGGCTTGGCAGGAGTTGGAAGTCATCTGTTAAATTGAGCGATTTAAGACATTTGGCTGAACGAAAAATGAACGGTCGTTGGATAAATAGGGACTTACGGGAAGGATCATTGTCAGAGAGCAAGCGAGCTACAGAAGATTTGATAGACCAAGGGCAAGTAGAGCGGTTTTGAATGTTGAGCGACAGAAATTTACTATAGGTAGAAGCTTTGATGACAAACGGGAGCATGAAATTGAGATTGAACGTGTTGTGCTTGGCAGATGATTGGAGTTCGATATTCACGTGGTGTTGTTTGATGTTATTCCCATTACCGCCGGCTCCAGTGCCGTCTTCTTCGTCCTCGGAAGCGCCTTCTTCTTCAATTAAAGATCCCGTGTCAGAAATGAGTCCATTAAAATCAGACTCGTCACAGTGAAGAGGGCACCTGACCTCGAGCGAGAAGGAAACTTCAGATCTCTTCGCAGCAAAGGGGATTTGCAACGTCATCTGATTCGACCATCGTTCCAAGTCGACGATATTCTTTTGGGTGCATTTGCTACTCGGCGTTTTTATGTTCATCGCGACTTTTTCTGACAGAACTTTTAGTCCTCTCGAGACGATGACTGTTATGGTCTCATTTTCCAGCGGTCTGGAGCCTACAAGAATTGAAAACTCCAGAGTACTCGACACGCCGGCGTAGAGTCGTTCGTTTTGAAGATTCATCGTTAAAACCGGCTCACTGTCCATGACTTCGATGTGTACTGGCGGATCGAGTTGGCTGCTGATCATTTCTGCTCGTGCACCATCCAAATCATAAAAAAGACAGAGGCGGGAGATACTGTAACGGCCTGCTGTGGAAGAATCCACATCGAACTCGAGTTTGTTAGCACCCTTCAAAAGGTTGACTTCGCGGGGATTCGACCTCAATGATGGTGAAGGAAAAGACGGTTGCTCGATCATTGATGTTGAACGGAGGCTCTTTCCTTTCTTGCTCCTTATTCTTCGCAGCGCAGGGGAAGAAATGCCTACCATTCTAGTCCTCTTCGACCTTTGATCGACGTGTGCAAAGTATCTCAAGTCAGGACCAGAGACACTCTCGGTATCGTTGAATTGAATCAGATTGTTGTGCGTGAAAAATCCATCGTCCGACGATTCATTTGACGAAAATCGACCGATCTGTGCAAAGTCCATTGGGTTCCCCGAAGTTGCGTAAGAAGCTGGCAAGGAAATCGCAGTGCTTGCTTTGCCAACAGAGAAGACATCGACCATACTGTTGCTGGCAACACTTGGCGTTAGCATTGAGAAATCACGGTTTGCCTCTTGCGACACCTCCTCCAGCCAAACTTCTGCGGTTATCTGCCCTAGATCGAATAAACAGTACAACTCAAATTGGATTTTCAACTGATCTTTGATGTCCACCCTCGACGATGGAGTACAATGCGCCCAGAGCGGTCGGCTGATTTGTTCCAATGGATATTGCAGCGTTTGCGCGCTCTGTACGTCGCTTATTGTTTCATAAAACATTCGGAAATAATCGTTCGAAGCTGCCGACATGGAATAATAAACAGACGCTTCTTTGACAAGATTGCCAGTTGTTTTGTGAACTTCAACGAGCTCCCTGCTCACAAGCTGGACTTTTTCGAGTTTTGCATGTAAATATTTAAAATGACAACGAAAGAAGTGTATTTCATAAATTTCCAATTAGTTTAACTCTGACCTAAGTGAGACCATTTATCATTCTGAAAGAGTTCCAGCAACTCGAGAAGAAGTTCTTCTGCTTTATCAAAGTTTCCCCGGCGGCAATGAAACTTTGCAAGATCGCGCCCAACTAAGATGCCAGTTCTAACACGCCCAACTCTCTTGAACTCGTCCATGGTTTTTGAGCAGACGTTCAAGTAGAAAGCTTCGAACTTCGAGGGACTTGAAAGGGCCATTTCCAGTCTACTGGTAATTTCCTGGCGGCCAGCAGCCAGGGATTGTTCGCCATTTCCATTTGGGTCGTCAGGGCTTTTCTTTGGGTAAACAATTGTAATTATTATAAAGTGCTCTTTGTTGATTTCAAACGAATATTTCTAATTGAAATTTCGAAAATGAAATCCAGTCTTAGTGTCGTTATTCATAATTTATCGTTGAAAATTTCAAACAAATGACAGGTTTTTTTCACCCATTCCTTTCCTGATCGGATTCGACCGCTAAGCTGACAAACCCAGCAATCAAGGGTTCAATGTCCTCCACCGCTGGGCTACCCTCCGCCAGTCCAAGAGCATCCCCAAGCTTAAATAAATGCCCGCGAGCAAGATCCAGCAGGGCAGCGCCATTAGTAGTGATTCTAGTGTGGCCATCCGGTGTTAGCGCATCCGCACGTTCCACCAACTGGAAGGCGGAAAAGCCAGCTAGAACCGCCCAAGTCCGAATAAATTGCGGCTTGATTGTGGTCAAACTGCTGAGCTCCTGGAACGTGCCAGACACGTATACCAACGAGGCTTTCGCTAATTCCTCATGAAGCTGAAGCTGGCTTAGCAAACGCGCACGCCGCGAAAACAAGTAGTTCCGCAAATCTAACAAGCTCGCCGTTCTATTCGCGATTTTCTCCACTTGCTCCAGCGTGTAATTTGGCTCCAGCTGAAACGAGTCCCACCGTGTGATATCGCTTTTGAGCAAGTTCGAAAGCCAGTGAGGTCGTGCACCCACTATTTTTATAATGAAAACTCTGATCTTATTGCTAATTAACTTACCTTTTGCATTTTCAAGGTACTGTGTGAGCATTGCATCCAACTCATCATACTGTATCAGTGCGTCAGAATACAAAGCTAATTAATGTTGATATAAAAATAACTCGAGAAAGATTTACCAAGAGATTCATAAAGAATCGCAGCTTCTTCTTGTAGCAAAAAGAACTTGCAAAAGTCCCATTCCTGCGAGTTCCTGGACTCCCTTTCAACCCTGACCGCATTGAGCAGCTGCGTAAATGCAATTTCCACATGTGTAAGGGTCAAGTCGATGATTCTATCGCACAGCGTCGCCCAAGACTAAACACAAACAGCTCGACTCTTGTCTTTTCATAATCAACAAAAGGCTCAGCAGTGGTGAATTCATTCATTATTCTCTCTTTCATAATAAAAAAGGAAAGGAAGAACGGGCTTTACTCATTGCGAATTTTGGTGTTTAGTTGAGCCCGCCCTTCGGGCAAATGACATAAAAAAGACGCTAGTTTTTGGGTGATCTTAGAGGTTTTATAACTCAGCGAGCGGCCTTGATGCTAAATAAGAGAGAATGAAGTTGTCCAGAGCCGGTTTTGGCCTCATCAGGAAAGAGGTTAACCCGACGGTGACGGGTAAAACTTGGCCAGTAACTAGAATCGATCAAGCGTTAACCTCAAAACAGCGTGCAAAGTAGCACTTTTGAATGTCCATCCTGGTGCGAATGCCCCAGGGATAACATCGCCAAATGTAACGAAATTCCCGATTTCAGCTGGACTTTGGTCAGTCAGATACCAGAGTCGACAACTCATTTACAGCTCAAAAGCAATGGAATCAAAGAACTGAACGCAAATAGTTTTGAGTCACTTGAAAATCTAGTGTATTTGGACTTGGATGGGAATAATATAGGAAAGGTTTATCGGCACAGCAACGATCTTCAAATTAATTGGCATAATCGTACTAAGAATTTTTTATGAGCGTTGCAAATCGCCGTAAACCTGTCTTAGCTCACATCGATCAAGCAGCTTTTAGCCCTCTTTTGGATCTTAAAATTTTATGGCTGTCAAATAATGCAATCACAGAACTGCCCGACGATGTGTTCTACGACAACGAAGAACTCGAACAAATCAATCTCGCCGAGAACCAGCTCGAATACGTCCAGCGACTTATGTTTGCCGATTTAGAAAATCTCAAAGCGATCTTCTTGAATTCGAACAAATTGAATTTCATCCACGCTAATGCATTCGAAACGAATGAAAAGGTGGAGCGTTTATTTCTTCATGGGAACAGGTTAGCGGCTTATCCTTGTGATTAATAATAACAATAAACTAATAGGCTCACAACAGTTGAGACTGGGTGGTTTGCTGAGCTCGACAACTTGAAAGAATTATACTTGGACGGAAATCAAATCAACTGCAACTGCGGAATTCAGAAGTTCATTGACTTTGCTAACGAAAAGAAGCTTTGGGACCTGATGGATAATAACATGCCTACTTGCTCAGGACCCGTCGGCTATGAGCGCAGAAAACTTACGGAATTACAGAAAGATGAAATTGTTACTACATGTTCTGAACCTGTAATTACCAGTGACATTCACGAGGTTACCGTGAATTTGAATGAAGATATAAAAATTCCGTGTTTTGCGCGTGGCGAGCCGACCCCGGATATAAGTTGGTTCTTTACGAGTGCGTCTGGGCCCGAGAAAGATGTGGACGTGGGCACAGATGGAACAGACGGTACCCTCTTCATTCCAAAAGCTCGATTAGAGGACAGCGGAACTTACACGTGCATCGCGCAAAGTTATATCAACGATCAGGTGAAGGAAGATAAGATGGTTGTTCGAGTCAATGTTATGGAGCAATCTGAATCGCCGCTCGAGCCTTTATCCCCAGACGCGAATCCGGATAATTACAGAGAACAAAATAAAGAGATCGACAGATTTGCTCTACCACCGGAAAAAGAAAATTATGATGACAAAGACTACAATGACGACGATGATGATGACGACTACGATGACGATGATTACGATGACGATGATGATTATGACTCACTAGAAGATCTTTGCCCGGAAGACTGCTATTGTGACAAATTTAATTCAGATAGGTTCATTGACTGCAAAGATGTTGATCTGAACACCATCCCAAGTAAGTCAATCACAAAAAACTAGGCCTAAATCAACTTCTAAGAGGATATCGGGGCTATGAACCCTGCACATCTCGACCTTCGCGACAACGACATCACAACTATCGATGAAGAATCCCTCGAAAACATGGAAGAGTTGATCGAACTTAACTTGGACGGAAACGAAAATATTCAAATTGACAGAGATGATTTCTATGTTCTCGACAGCCTCAAGATCATTACTCTTTCGAAAACTGGGTAAGTGAGCTCATAAAAACTCTTAATAACATTTTGATCAAGGCTATCACAGATTGGCTCGATGTTTATGGATATGGACAGCTTGGAGAAAGTTGTGCTTACAAACAATAATCTCAGATCTCTTCATCGAGTTAATTTTCAAGATTTGACAAATCTTCAAAAACTTTATCTTGGGAATAATCAGGTAAACGATCATATTTTTCAGTGAAACTAAATGGCATCGTAGATTGACACCATCGATCCGGAGACCTTCCTTTCTCTCCACAATCTTAAGTATCTCTACCTGGCCAACAATAGAATCCACCGAATCGACCCTCTCTGGTTCTCGGCTTTCACCGATCCGATCATAATCCGAGTCGACCTGAAAGGCAACCCTATTGCCTGCGATTGCCAATCTCTCGGTGGGTTTTCTGACTATGTTAGAACCCATGACTGGCTGTTGGATCCTGTCCTGGATATTGATGGAGAGACCTGTTTTTATCAAGGAAAAGAAGTCGACTTGCTTGATGCTATTGATGAAATAATTGATGAAAAAGAGGAGAATCCAAAATTCTGCGAAGAAAGTGATGAACGCGACCGAGTTCGTAAGCCCATCAAATAATATATCGGATAAAATAAAATATTTCAGAGGCAAAGGCGAAGCTTGACGAGGACATGAAGCTCGAGCGAATTAAAGAAGCAATAGCCGAACAAGAAAAGAACCAAAAAGCAAATGTTCTCCGTCCAATCGACGATAGGATCGGCTCCGACTACAACATCGATGATCACGCGACAGATCATTTTGAGACTATCACTCAAAGTAAATCTACGCAGAAAATCAGCAACACTCACTGGGTCATCACTACTTTTCTGTCCTTCGTCGGAGTGTTCCTTTTTGTTACGTTCAAGCGCTGGAGAAACTACTTCCTCCGATGTATTTTCAACCTCTGCGCGGATAATAACTCCCTCCAGCAAATTCTAGCGCGGACGGGAGGAGGCGACAGACCTTATTATAGACCTAGCTATTCATATTCATTTACTGACAGAGCGTCAAGTCGAGAGACATTGATTTAACTATTGAGCTAGAATAGATGGCTCATTTCGGAGATAACCCGCCAAAATAGCAGCCTAATTATGCCTCACGATCAACATGTATTTATCCCTTATTATCTGATTCGCAAATTTCTGTATAAATAGATCGCGGGCGTAAAACACCAGGCTGCGCTAGAATTGCTCCAAAAATAGTTCCCTATCTAATTCTACTTCTACCAGTGCCTTATTCCTTCATTGAATGCCGCAAAACCAATTTTACTTTTCGCAATACTTATCAATCATTTACTGCAATAAATTTTTTGCAAAAAAACTAAACTTACCTCGCGGGATTTAGGCGTGTCTCGGTAGGGCTCGTAAAGGACTACCAATCGATTCACGTATTTTGAAAGAAAGTCTCCTTTGATTTTGTCTGCAACGGAAGAGCGGATTTGAAGCTTTCTCTCGCCATTTACTATTTATGAAAATTGATATTTGAGATTTGAATTTTGTTACTTACCGATGATTATGAGAAAGTTGGAATTATTCTCTTCAATAGTTTTGAACCAATTTGCGATGTCATTTTTAACCGTTCTCTTGTACACATCCACATCATTGCAAGTGACGAAGTAGATATGAAGATAGGGGACGGTAGATAGTGATGTTGAGCGGAACTGCGTGGGATCAAAAGGGATGAACTGGGTAAAGAATATTTTGAAGAAATGAGGCGGAAATAACTGACCTGGAACTGGAGGCGAAGTTGAGTCTGAGAACGAGAATGAACAAAGTTGTTTTTGATGGACTGATTGCGTATTAGCCGCTTGATTGTCTTGCAGAGTTCAGTGCCTTCCCCATCGTATGTACACAACAATCTGCGTTTCATCTTTCTCCGTTTCAATCAACTACAGCCTCATCGTTTTCTATCCCAGTCCACTGAAATCAAGGAAGACTAACTCAAGAATCATAGCAACTTGATTTTTATAGTGGAACTCTTTTGGATATAATAGACTATTTTAACAAAAGTTGAAACAAAAAATACAGTTTTCTTTAAACAATGATTCGTAACGGCGATATTTCAAAAATTAATCTAAGGCACCTTCTCTTCTTTTCATGAGGATACATTTTTATCTGTTGACTTTTGGAACTTGATTGGTAGTAATTGCACAGTGTTGATAGTGACAGTAGAAGTTAGTAGAACTTTGAATTGATGATAGGCAAGAAAGCAAGAAATACAGAAGTAATATTACAGAGTTTTATTTAGATAAAAATGATGGCTTTAGTTTTTGTGAAGTTGGGATAATAATTTCGGTTTTAGCTTAGGTGGAAGTCGAAGTAATCTGGGTTGCGTCTAAATGTCGTGAGCAGCTCGCGGAAAGTAGGCCGATGCTCTTTTTCGTAGTCCCAGCAATTGCGCATGATTTTGTAAACCTAAATTGTATGTTTAGTTCTAAACGGAACGATAGAAAAGGATCATGCCTTGTCAGGACAGTGTTTCGGTTGCACAAGTCTTCCGCCTTGTTCTATCCATTTGATGACCTGAAATTATTGTTATCACTTGATTAGAGACTTTTGTTATTAGCAATGTTTGACAAATTACCTCGCTTCCGGGAAGATTTCCATAAGGAGGAGCTCCCCAGCTCCACATTTCCCAAAGTGTGATTCCAAAACCCCACACGTCGGATTTTGAGGAAAATTGGCCGTAGTTGACTGATTCTGGAGCGTACCTAAAACAAGATAATTCTAGCTCGCCAGGAAACTTGATCTACTTACCATTTTACAGGCCACCTGCCGCCCTGCTTCGCTCTATAATAATCGGACTCGGATCCAACCGCTCTCGACAGTCCAAAATCAGAGATCTTTGCCCGTCTCTTCCCCGCAAGCAGAATATTCCGCAGCGCCAAGTCTCGATGAACCAGCTTTCTCTCCTCGAGATAGTCCATTCCAGCGGCAATTTGAGCAGCCCAAACTCTGAATTCTTCGAGACCAACTGTCTTTGCATTGTTCAAAATGTAATCTAACGCTGATCCAGCTTCGAGTAGCTCTTGGACGAGCATCAGTGTTCCTGTTTGTCGTTCACGGCAGACGCCATAGAGTGTCACAATGCTGGGATGCTGTAATCGTGCCATAACGGCTGCTTCTCTGACGAATTCCTTTTCTCCAGAAACGAGGCAGTCAGCTCGAAGTGTTTTAATCGCAACGGGAAGAGGTTGATGAGGCCCTGGCGGATGCCAAACGCCCTGCATTACGGAACCAAACTCTCCCTCTCCAAGAGGATTGAGCATTTCGAGCGATTCAGGAGGAATATGAGGTGCCTGAGCTCCTTGAAATTCATTTGGATCAGCTTGTTGCTGTGGTGGAGGAGGCTCGTGATGCTGCGGACCTGCTCGTCTAGCGGGAATATCCGTGTGGGGCATCATGATATTCCCTCGATGAGAAACAGGGGGAAGTATCGAGGAGCCATTATTCATTCCATTCGTATTACTAAAGTTGTGTTGATTCGGAGGCATTCCAGGCGAGTGCTGGGGCGACCCATGCCCGTAGTGATGATTCCCTCCGTTTTGCCCTCCCTTCTGCGCAATTTGCAATCGCTTAAGGCCCTTTGTCGCCTGGTCGACAGGTTCAATTGGCCTCGTTAATTTCCCCGGAAGACCTTCGCCAGCTTGTAAGTAGTACTCGATCAACTGCTCGATGCTTTCAAACATAGGCCCTTCGTCGATTGAAAACCAAAGATGATCACTGTTGCGAATTTCGTAGTTGTACACGTGATTTCCAAAGTTCATTGTTAAAACAAACTCTCCAGGTCTTCTACGGGATTCGCGAACGAGAAATGAACCGGGTCCGTTTTGCAGGGCAAGATTCGTTGCTTCCGTTCGATCAATGGCTCCATGGAGGAAGTGGCTCGAATGAATTCGGGAAGAAACAGTATTTGGTTTGCTCCAGCTTTCCACAAGAGTTGTTGTTCGCCTAAAAATTGGTAAAACCTGCTCAAGTGAGCTAAAATGCTTACGTATGATTCCTCGTTCTGGCCAATTCCGCTGGTGTCTTTCCTAGCTGACATCGTGGGTGAGCCGGTACTCCCATTTCCAAAAGCAGCTTGGTCGCCTCATAATTTCCTGTGTAGGCTGCTTCGTGAAGCGGTTGCCAGCCGGTTTTGTGCGCCCTCGCGGTTAGCTCAGCTCTGAACTTGTGGAGCAAAATAATCGCTTCGGTATTGCCAGTTCTGGCGGCAATGTGCATCGCAGAGCTCCCATCTGTATCTGGCAATCTAACGTTCGAACCAACGTGCAGTAGAGTTTCTACTGTGGCCATGTCACCACCGAGAACAGCGAGATGGAGACAAGTTCGTCCTGCCCGGTCACGATATTCGAGCAGTTCTGGTTGTTCACCAGCGATGGCACTTCACGGAAATTGAATTATCAGCTTGTTTTTGAAAGAAATAAATATTTACCTTATTGCGTTCAAATCGTTATTTCTCGTGGCTAAATGCAACGGAGTATCTGGCCCAGCTGCCAACAACACTTGAGGAATAGAATCGCCAATGCAGGGCTCTCTCAGTGCAACGGGAAGCCCATGCGAACGGTGGGAGTAGTGGCGGATCAGCTCATCGAGCCCGACGAACCACGGCCCACCGTCGAGCTTCATGCACAAGTGAACAGGACTTGTCGTCACAACAAAATGCTGGACATCTTCATTGGCGACGAGAGAGACGACAGGGTCTCGTCCTCCGCGACCAGCGCGGATTAGGAACATGCCGTTTTGAAGACCTCGGGATGTGAGCAATCTAAGCACCAATTAATAATGAATAATTTTGTTTTTAATAAATCAAAGCTTTTAATTAGTTTTCATTCTGACCTGTGAGCATTCTGCCGGGAAAGAGCGCCATGCCAACATTCAAGATCGGCGCTACTCATGGACTCTTCTCTCTCTTTTCTTTTCTTCTACTTCCTTCTTTTCAATGATTCGACTAGCCACATACTAACTGTATCTCGATTTCTCTATCTTAAAAAATTCAAAACGTAAAGATTGGCTCTAGCGTGCCTGGGGGTGGCCAGGCCAGTGCGCGCAGAAGTAAATAATAAAGAAGGATGATCCGCTTATAAATTGTTACACAACCGGTATTTCTTGTGCTATTTATCAACCAGGCAGTTCAACCTTTTAACTAACCGCCAAGGCGATGGATTTTGGCTTTGCTTCACTCCGCCTTCCGCTTTTCACCACGTCGGTCTTCGAACCCTCCTTCAAGAAAAAAAAATTTGATAGCGCTGATAAAAACGTACCGTAAAACACCTGAAATCGGTGATTCAGCGCCGGCAGAGTATGAATAGATTCTCGAGTTCCGCAAGAGCCATCAGTGCCGCATTTTTTCACAAAAAACAATCGTTTGATACGAGAATGACTCAAAGCCATCGAGCACATCAGACACGGCTCTCTATACATGTAGACTTCCAAACCCGTTAGAATGTATTCTCCCATTCCAGCTGCTTTCGCTACGAGATTGAGCGCTACATGGCCGAGGGGATTCTTCTTTATATCTTCCAAAGCTTCAGTTAGTATATCTGACGAATCTGGCGAGTCCCGGACGAGTATAGCGGCCTGAGGGGGCATTTGCTCGTCTTCCTCGTATTTAAAAGCGTTTTTGGTCAATAATCCAGTTTTTGAGATGCAAATCGTGTGTAAAAAAGGTAAAATAACATCATCTTAGTCTCATTTGCACCTCTGAACCTAATCACATGCTCTCTCTTCTCCAACTCTTTCTGAGAAAAATACTTTTTCTCCATCAACTTCGTCGTTTCAATTACATTTGGCAAGTTCAACGGCCAAATGTCATTGGAAACTCGCCACTCAACTTGGCTCATCGGCGCTCGTAAAGGTACTTGGACAGCCCTTATATTTTCTCCGACGATTTCTTCGTGCGAAATTAAGACCTCCAGCTTTCCGGATTCTTTCTCGGGTCGCACGCGCTTCAAATGCCGGAACTCGGCAATCGCCGGGTATTTTTTAAGGGTTAAGGAAACTTCTTTCTTTTCGGACAAAATCGCATACGCTGTCATGGATTTAGGGAAGTCGCCAACTTCAGGGGAGAGAATGCATTCAGGGTGCGTTAACATTCTAAAAGGGTGGTTCGATCAGTTGATATGAATCTCCAGGTGACAGACCGCCTGGCACAGACGTCAGTAGACAAGTGCATATTTCCTCCACTTTATCGCCATCTATACGATTGTACTTTGAATAGTATACGTATAAAGAGAACAAAAAACATTTTTCCATCATAAAGAAAAAAGTTATTACTTTTGAAATGACGCAAAAGTTCGAATCTGATTGAATGCCGATGATATGTCAATAATTACTTAATTGTTCTTGATAAAATGAAAATATTTAGAAATTTGTCAGTCCTAGAAATCTGCAAAACTCAAAAACTCATGACTTTAGTAAAAACAATGTACCTATATGATATAGGCTATATCTATATAATGATGCGACAATTTGAAATTGATTGTATGCGCTAGTCAAGTCACTGTCCTTATTGTTAAAATACAACCGTAACATCAGAAATTCCCAAATAATGGTTTTAATAAAGTATTAATTATGATTTATTTAACTAGCTTTCCAGACCAGTACAGTTGAGCATATTGTCTCTGGGCTTCTGCAACTTTATGATGAGCAAGCTTCTTATTAAAAGAATATCCTTTACTCTCGGCAGCTAAAGAAAGGTTAAATCAATTATATTCAGAAGCATTCTACCTCTTAAAAACTCTTCAGCAAGTCGTTCTCTATTGCCCAATCTGTCCAATCCCATATTCATTTTTGCAAGAGGACCTAAAACAAATATATTCCAAAAAGAGGCGCGAACTCTCTACCTTTTGTGATTGCAAATTCTTTGGTAACATCAGGAGTCTGAGTCGCTTCAATAATCCACCGAAAAGCGTAGTCAATGGCTCTAGTTTCTTCAATTGGCTTTGGGACGACGATGACTTGTCCGACTGTGCCTTTTCGTATGTGCTGGAAATCAATAGTTGGTCGGACATTATCAATTGCTTGCATAACGACTTTGTAGGGGTCCAATTCAATTGATAAAGATGCTTTCTATTATCAGTTTTAGAACTCTATTAACAAAAAATAGAAGAAAACCGAAGCGACTTATCGACATTAAAATATGCGATCATCTTCATTTTTAGGTTTATAGAACTGTTCCTTATATTTTTCCATCTTGTCCAGAACCTCTTGATAATGCTCCTCAACTTCCTTTCCCTTTTCTTTTCCAAATGGGCTCAACGACCCAACTCGTAAATAAATATCATCGGGCAGAAACTTTTCCTTTCCTTCCGATTCTTCTGTTAAAATCTGCGCCAATTTCGACTTTATTCGATTTACATTCAAGTCCGTGACAATAAGCAGATCTTCTTCAAGCTTAGCATAATCGTCAAGCGCTGGCTGGTGTTTCTTCCGCATTTTAGCGACTTTTTCGAGCTGAATTTGACGGATTGAATACATGACGTTTTGCATCATTCCTCGGCGGCCTTTGTCGCGGTTTGTTTGGGCCCAGCGGTCGTCGAGAAATTTGAGAATTGGGCAGCTGAAGGGGCCGAAGTTAACCGAAGTCTAAAAGTGATGAACTTGAAAAAGCGGCCTTGAAATAGAACTTACGTGTAGTGGAACGATTCCAGGATGCTCTCCAGTGCCCGTGTCCTTGGCAAATCTATTCGACGCGTTCTCTTGAGCATCTGCCATCGTCATTCTCGATTCAAACTCGTTTGATCGCAAATATCGTTCGCCCTCTTCCTCATCGTAGATTCGTTGGACATTCTTTAAATTCGTGGTTTTGAAGAATTTGTGAACATTGTATGCGTTGTTGGGCAGCCGTGGGTTCTTTTGCCAGACTGGCTTTTGCTTGGAAATTGGGCTTCCGTACTCGTGAACCGGGTAGTAATTTGGGTTGAATTTGATGCGCTTCCAGCCGCCGACACGGATTCGTTTTGCGCCTTGCTGGGCATTCGCGCTTTCTACAGTCAGTGATAGGAAACGAGCTGGTCCATTTGTCCGAAACATTGTCTAAAAAAGAATCGTTTGTTTATTAAGTCTCTAGATAAAGGATGTCCCAGCAGGTCCCTCACAAATCATCAGATCAAATAAAAACACGATGAAGATGATGCTAACCGGAGTTATTTTCTCCTCTTGTTTTCTACCGAGTTGTGCCGAGATTTTCAATAGAGAGGAGATTTGTAAGGACAGGTTTTGCACCCTTTGCTACAACATCATCAACTACGAAGAGTCTACTGAATACAGTGAGTCACTTATTGAAGGATGTTACGAATTGCTGGACATGAGCAACTGCTGCAGCATCTATATCAATGGACAAGGAAAAGTTCAAAATATTAATCTGCGTTGCTTGAGGAAAATAAGATATAGAATTCATTAGGAATTTTTCAAGGGTCTGTCATATCAAGGGTGGTGTCGGATGATATGCAGGATCTTGAAGACCTGTTTAACAAAAAGCACGATGTCATCTCGAACAAGTAAGATAACAATTTACTCTACCAGCAAAAAGTGATTCTAGGACTGACTCATCGGAGTCGACTGAAGCAGATACAAGCAGTTCTGGCCAGAAGATTGAAGTTCCGTGGGGAAAACTCATTATTGGATTTATGTGCGGAGCGATTTTTGCAGTCATACAAGCGGCTGTACAAGAATTTCTGGGTAGGCTTCATTTGCACAATAGCTTCATTTGCACAGAGCCTCATCTGCACAAGAGCTTCATTTGCACAATATGTGCAAAAGAGGCTTTTGTGCCAGTGAGGCTCTGTGCTAATGAGGGTTTCGATTCCGTGGGCTTTTTCAATGAATGCTTATTGGCTGCCGACGATACTATTTTTCTTCGGAAAATTTTTCAAATAAGGTAAAAATCATTCTTAGCAGATCACAACTTATTTTGTGTTCTCTATGAAGTTCTTAGTTCATAGTATGAACCCTTCTTAATAATCAATCGATTTTAAACTCATTTGTGTTTATTATGAAATTGGTTCTGGCTGAAACTTACTGCTATGTTCAAAAATGGAGATGAGTCAACGCGACATACTCGTAGTTTTCTGGCGTCTGGCAGACCTACTCCATACAATCAAACTTTTCATTTAACTCTTCCAGATAATTTAATTACACCTATGTTTGACTAAAGATACAAAAAACTTGATAAAATAGTTGCGTCAAATAAACAAGTTTTAATTTTCTCAAAATATTTTTCAACATTTCAATTTTTTTCATAAAAAATAAAATTTGACACTCATTTGTCCAAGAGCCTCACTGGCACAAAAGCCTCGTCTGCACAGAATGTGCAAATGAAGCTCTTGTGCAGATGAAGCTCTGTGCAAATGAAGCTATTGTGCAAATGAATCCTACCCAGAATTTCTCGATGAAAACTGAAAATGCAGATCATTTCTAAATCATAATTTTGTCGAAAGTTTTTATTGAAAAGACTCTTTTCAAAAGAGAAAAAATATCGAACTGAGTTTTCAATATTTCCATGGCGGATTAAAAAGTCGTTTCTGATAATAACCATCAAGATTTTTGTAGCGCTCGTCGAGATCGAAGACATCGTCGAAATCGAGTTTCTTAATAAAATGCTCCCCGTCTTTTCTTTTCAAATATGCGTTGTAATAGTTCGAGTATTCGTAAAGCGCTTCGTTCGGACTTATTCCTCTTCTTTTTGCGAAATATTCAATGTCGTTTTTCAGCTCTTGTCTGATCTTGTCTGTTTGGTACTGATAGTTGTTTCGCATGAAGTGGGTGCCGATGAAAATTAATGCAAGGACGAAGATAATTCTGACTGCACCAGGGATGGATAATTTGATTTCAAAATGTTTTTCCATTTTTCGGAGGGATGGAATTCCAGTTTTTCCATTTTTTCCATTTTGGAATGAGAAATTATTCCATTTTCCACTTTTCCCAAAAAACGGTCTGCTCATTTTCGGAATATGGGATTTCCATTTTTTTGGGATTCCAGTTATTCCACAGTGAGAAATATGTATTTTTGGAAAATGGGATTCCAGTTATTCCATTTTTTAATTTCAGTTATTTCATTTTAAAACTCTGATCTGCAAAATTGGCGAAACATGGGATTTTCAAGTACTGAAGGGCCGTTTCCCCCCCTTCCCTGGCTTTAAATTTTAAATGGGCTTGACGGCCCGAAGGGCCGTTTCCCCCCCTTCCCTGGCTTTAAATTTTAAATGGGCTTGACGGCCCGAAGGGCCGTTTCCCCCCCTTCCCTGGCTTTAAATTTTAAATGGGCTTGACGGCCCGAAGGGCCGTTTCCCTTCCCTGGCTTTAAATTTTAAATGGGCTTGACGGCCCGAAGGGCCGTTTCCCCTTCCCTGGCTTTAAATTTTAAATGGGCTTGACGGCCCGAAGGGCCGTTTCCCCTTCCCTGGCTTTAAATTTTAAATGGGCTTGACGGCCCGAAGGGCCGTTTCCCCTTCCCTGGCTTTAAATTTTAAATGGGCTTGACGGCCCGAAGGGCCGTTTCCCCTTCCCTGGCTTTAAATTTTAAATGGGCTTGACGGCCCGAAGGGCCGTTTCCCCTTCCCTGGCTTTAAATTTTAAATGGGCTTGACGGCCCGAAGGGCCGTTTCCCCTTCCCTGGCTTTAAATTTTAAATGGGCTTGACGGCCCGAAGGGCCGTTTCCCCCCCTTCCCTGGCTTTAAATTTTAAATGGGCTTGACGGCCCGAAGGGCCGTTTCCCCCCCTTCCCTGGCTTTAAATTTTAAATGGGCTTGACGGCCCGAAGGGCCGTTTCCCCCCCTTCCCTGGCTTTAAATTTTAAATGGGCTTGACGGCCCGAAGGGCCGTTTCCCCCTTCCTGGCTTTAAATTTTAAATGGGCTTGACGGCCCGAAGGGCCGTTTCCCCTTCCCTGGCTTTAAATTTTAAATGGGCTTGACGGCCCGAAGGGCCGTTTCCCCCCCTTCCCTGGCTTTAAATTTTAAATGGGCTTGACGGCCCGAAGGGCCGTTTCCCCCCCTTCCCTGGCTTTAAATTTTAAATGGGCTTGACGGCCCGAAGGGCCGTTTCCCCCCCTTCCCTGGCTTTAAATTTTAAATGGGCTTGACGGCCCGAAGGGCCGTTTCCCCCCCTTCCCTGGCTTTAAATTTTAAATGGGCTTGACGGCCCGAAGGGCCGTTTCCCCTTCCCTGGCTTTAAATTTTAAATGGGCTTGACGGCCCGAAGGGCCGTTTCCCCTTCCTGGCTTTAAATTTTAAATGGGCTTGACGGCCCGAAGGGCCGTTTCCCCTTCCCTGGCTTTAAATTTTAAATGGGCTTGACGGCCCGAAGGGCCGTTTCCCCTTCCCTGGCTTTAAATTTTAAATGGGCTTGACGGCCCGAAGGGCCGTTTCCCCTTCCCTGGCTTTAAATTTTAAATGGGCTTGACGGCCCGAAGGGCCGTTTCCCTTCCCTGGCTTTAAATTTTAAATGGGCTTGACGGCCCGAAGGGCCGTTTCCCCTTCCCTGGCTTTAAATTTTAAATGGGCTTGACGGCCCGAAGGGCCGTTTCCCCTTCCCTGGCTTTAAATTTTAAATGGGCTTGACGGCCCGAAGGGCCGTTTCCCCTTCCCTGGCTTTAAATTTTAAATGGGCTTGACGGCCCGAAGGGCCGTTTCCCTTCCCTGGCTTTAAATTTTAAATGGGCTTGACGGCCCGAAGGGCCGTTTCCCCTTCCCTGGCTTTAAATTTTAAATGGGCTTGACAAAGGCAGCGAACATTCACCTTATATGTTCGGAAAAATGGCTTCTTTCCCCAACCCCGCCCTCACCCATTCTTTATAAAAATCAAATTGGTTCTTGTTGAACAATTCTTATGGTTTATTTTTTAGATCCTTGTTATTTTTATTTATTTGAGTTCTGCCGAGGTAAGGGGTTCTCGAGCGCTAAGTATTCGCAATCAATAAGTTTAAAATGAAAACGGAAAATGGAATCATTCCTTATTCCATTTTTCAAATCTGGATTTTTCGTTGCCCTATCAAATTCGGAATTCGGAATGAAAAATTATTCCTTTTTTCCATTTGAAAAAATAGGATTCCAAAATGGGATTCGTCTTCATTCCGATTTCGGCAAAATGGAAAAACTGGAATCCCGCCTTTTAGAAAAATGGAAAAACTTTTTGAAATCAAAATATCCACCCCTGGACTGCACTCTCGCGGGCCGTATTCAATTCTGCTGCTGCTTTTCTGAAATGATTGGGAAATAGATTTTATTCGCGATTTTGTACGCAAGGACCTTCTACGATCTTTAAAATAATGCGTACCGGTACTTTCAGGTTTCATTTTATTCCGAGGTTTTGTTGGCGCTCCAACAGTTCCAAGTTGAAACTTTCAACGGTAATTGGTTACAAGTGAAACAAATCTTCTAAGAAAAATACATTAAAATGTAGCATTTTAATACTGGTGATCAGTCGTTTTGTTAATACGAAAGAAAAAGAAATATCTGTCTTCATTTTTAAATGAATACAGCGAGTTTGATGCCCTTATCCGCCTTCTTATTAAGAAAAATTTGAGCAAGAGCGACAATCTGTTTTCCAATCAAACCAAAATTTGGTTACCAAATACCTATTTTTGCAAGGTGCATATCAATCTTATCATTCTTATCGTCCGTTTATCTACTGCTATAGCACGGAACATCTGTTCATAAAAGCCCCTGTTGAGTTTTTTTCCAAAACCAACCTTTGAGCTTCCCGATGAGCGGCAACATGAGGGCTTTCCTCGCTTCTTCCCGCCGCTGCTCTGGAATACGGCCTTGTTCTCAGCTCTTCCAACACTTCATACGCTTCTTTCAACTCCTGGAACTTCGCTTCGTCTCCAGTAGGCATGTCTGGATGAAGAACACGGGATTTGTCCTTATACGCCTTCTTGAGTGCATCTTTAGACGGGTTCGCTTCAAGCTCTAGGATTCTGGCATTTTTGAATTTGCGAAAGAGGAATGATCTGGCACCTGAGAGCAGTTGCTTCATTCATGAAACGGTGGGAGATTCGTGGGAGGGTCAAACGAGTCCGATTTAGGCATATTCTGAGCATCTGAGAATGAATAGTAAATAATTTATTACATAATGAATTTACTGGATAAAAGATAGTACAGAAATAACGAAAAAGAATAAATGAAGAATAGGTGTATGTGACTTTTGATCATGTTTAGGTCTCTTTTGCGTTTGCGGATTCTTCTTGTGAGGAATTTTCGGTGTTTTTGGCTGTTGAATCTTTCGATTCTTCGGCATCTTTTGGATCCTCCGGCTTCTTCTCGCCCTCTTCATCCGTTGGAAAAATGATATCCCCCGGTTCCGGCATGGGCGGTAGCCACTCTTCTTCCGGACAAAGCTTTTTGAAAAGATTTTCGGCCCAGGAAACAGCGTAATCGTAATCTGGGTCGAATTGAACTGTAGGAGAAACTTGTACGTTCGCTGGAAGATCGTTGAGGTGGACTTTGGAGTTGGTGAATTCCATTTGCCAAAGAGAATCGGTGGCGAACTTGGAAGAGAATTTATCGAGAGTGGGTTTGTGGCGGCATCGGAGAGTGACGATTGATTTTCCTTTTGGTGTCGTGGAGGAACTACTGTCTGATTCAAAGGGTTGTGAATGAGAAGGGAAAAAATTAATTGGGTAACTGAGCGTTATAAGAGAACATAAACCCTTTTCCTAATGCGAGTCCCCAGATATGATGACCATCGACAATAGCAGTAATGATGCAATGATCTGGTTCTGGTCCAGAATCTTCCGCCAGCGCGAGTTTCTCATCCTTGATAATCTTCTTGAGGTCGTCGTCAGTCAAAATGATGATGACCTGATGAAAATCTTCCTCCGTGTTATTGTGGTATGATTCGAGGTAGTTTACTTCTGCAATCATGTGATCGCATCGAACTTTATGGGGCGTTGAAGATTCTGGGACGGAGATCGAAAGCGATGTTACGAGGTCATCTTCGAGAAAGATTTCTTTGAGAGGATATTCTAGCACCGTTATCCCGCCAAAAACCGCACACATCCGAGCAAATGCTTGAGCTAACTCTCCAGATCCATAAGAAGCGTAAAGAAAAGCAGAAGCTGCGGAATATTTTCCCAGGGAGCTGATGAATTTCTTGAGCTTAGCCAATCCGTCATAAAGTGATAAATCCTCGGTGTTGGAGAAAATTATTGAAGATTTGACGAAGGATTTGAGCTTTTCTGTGAGCTTGAATCGCTCTAGAAACTGATCGAAAGTTGAAATTTCTTCGGATGGTTCTTCTTGCAGTGATTTGGTCAGGAAGTTCATCATTTTTCGCTTTTCAATGACTGTAACTCGTTTCGACGCGAAAAGATCAGCCCTGGAAGCTGGAACCGACATGAATTCATCTTCGTAGACCGTTTTTAGCGAAGCTACGTTTTTGAAGGATAAATATCTCGTTGCCTTTGACTGAATCAAAAGCTCCGTCATTTTTCCAGTAGAAAATAAAGGGGAATTGTCGACGTTTATGTTGAAGCGGTACTGCTCGGTCCTGAGGAACATCTCAAACGTATCCCAGCATTCGGAAGGAGTGAATTTCAAGTTGGAAATTACTTTCGAAGATTCGCAAGAGGCCTTCCAGCTTTTGGCTTCTTTCATGTTGAAATTGCTCCATTCTGAGCCGTAGAATGTGTTTCTGAAAAATAATGATAAATTTTGCAAAAATAATGATGAAGAACGCAGTACCGATCAATTTGCAGCACCGATTTTCCAATTCTAGCGCAGGCAGCTGCAAAAATCGAGCATGGAAGACCCGTCCCGCAAACAACAAAATCGACTTTCTTTGGCAACTCATCCATTTTCTTTTTTTTCACTTCTCTTTTGAACTTCTCTAGATTCGCGAGGGATGAGTCATTCAAGAAATAATTTTTTTCAACTGCCCGCTGATTGGCCGCGAGCTGTGACGCAATCTGAATAGAATTTTCTCAAGAATTTTTGATTGATTTTATTGTTTTATTGCAAGGAAAAATAGTAGTATTTACAGTGAGAATGTCCAGTTTTTTCGAGTTTCCTCTTCTTTTTCTTTGTCACTAGAATTTTTTCTCAGCGAACTAAATTTCTAAGAGAACTCACTCTGAATGAACTGAAATGGAACCAATCGACTCCATGATGTTTCCCGATGAGATGTTTTCGTAAATATTCATCTTCTGTTGATGTTTGTAAGCGTCGTAAACTTCTGTCGTGCTCTTTCGAAAAGTCGCCTTTTGTGCCTCCGATTCTGCTGCTGAAATCGCGTTGCTTTCGTAGACATTTGTCAAAAGATCAGCCTGGGAACGGGACTGATTCGAAGTTGTTGACCCTCTCATGCGAATTCCTTCTTGCTTTTCGATGCAAGTTGCCACTAGAATTTGGTAAGTAAGGCTTTTGAGGTCAGACTCACCGGATAATCGCGATTGATGAGCACTTTCTTCCAGTTCAGACGAATTCGAGCTCTGTCGAATTCTCTCCTCCATTCTCGCAATCGATTCCTCCTGTAAAAGTGACTGTCTCTCTGTCGCTTCCGTGTGGATCAGGTTTTCGAAGTGGAAGCTCCCACTTCTCGGTTCGTCTGCCTCTATAATATTTATAGAAAAAAAATTTTTCGATAGATCTCACCTGACTGGTATTCAGAAACGTATGCTTCTGAAGAATCGTCAGCGGGCTCTCCGCCCCTTCCCGCCAGGTGCTGAAAATGAGATGCTAAAGGGGCTTCACAAATCATCATGTTTAGGCCTCTGTGAAAGATGACGGCCGAAACACGAATTCATAATGATGTGGTAAGATTCGAATGCTGTAAGTGTTTGTCTCTATGTGAAGCCTTTCCTTGTTCGCTATTGAGAGTGCTTACTGGCTCGTCATCGAGGCTTGATGGATAGGCTTCTGTATCTTAAAATTTACTGTAATTCGATCTATAGAAAAGTTGACTCTCTTACCGTCGTAAAGAGGCTGGTATTGATTCCTAAGCTGGACCCGGAGAACATCTGTCACTTCCGAGTCTAATTCGTAGCTTGAAGCTACGTCAACGGGGACAATAACTTCCTCCTTTTCTTGCTTCTGTTGATCCTTCATGAGATCCATGGCTTTTGGTCCAAGAGACTGAAGAAGATCCTCATTTCCGTCAGTTTCTATTTTTCTGTACATCTGCGTCTCTTCAATTAATTGATTATATGATTTATATGATTGAGATTGTTGTTGTGCAGAGACTTCTTGTTTAGCCACTCTTCCGATGATAGTTTCGGTCGTCAACGTGACCTTCGCCATTGTCTTCGACCCGGTCTGATCACGTGGCCCAATCGTATCTGCTTCAACTTGGGCGAACATTGACAAGTCCTGCGAGCTAATTAAATCCCCAGTGCGCTGTCTATCTTTTCCTCCACTGGCTTCTTCAACAACATGAGCCTCTCTCATCTTGTTCACGTGATCATACGAAAGCTGTCTTGTTAGGTCACTGATCGACTCCGCGAAGAAAATGCTGTTTCGGTCGGAGCTTTTCATTTGGTCAATCGTTACTGTACTTGTCTGAGCTTCACCAAGGCCCCATCGAGTTTCAGCTCGGATTTCGAAGGTGTACTCTTCTGATTTTTTCAATTTGCTGATTGCTATTGTTCGTTGACTTCCAGGAAGTGGCAGGACTTGTTTTTGCTTAGGATTTTTCGTTGGGTAGTAGAGGAAGAGATATTTGGTGATTCTAGTGTCTATATCTGGGGGTTCGCCCCAGGAGACATGAACAGATTGGTCGTCTATGTTGTCAAAAGTGATGCGCTGTGGGGGACCAGGAGGGCTTCCCTTGGTAACGACACGGACATGTTGAGAGCATTTGTATTTGTTGTCGTAGTCGAACGCGGTCACTAGAACTTGATACTCACTGTCAGCTTGAAGAGCTGGAATGAGTGTTTGCGTTTCTTCGGGAGACAGTTTAACCATTCTTTCGTCTTTGTCATCGTCGTAGAGTTTGATGCAGCTCACGATATAGTAAGCGACGTCGCGCTGATAGTCCCAATTGGCGATGGCATCGTTCGCGCCTACAATGTTGACAGCGACTTGAGGTGGTGAAATTGGCTCTCGTTCCCGTTGCTGCTCGACTTCTTGGATTGTGTGGGGGATGATCGGCGTGTTTGCCATTGTCCAAGATGAGGAAGACGACTGTTGCGAGGAGACCGATGCCAACGATTTCATCGAAGTCTGCATCTCCTGGTCTCTTGATAACGGCTTGTACTCGACATCAGTGCTTGTTCCGGCAGTGTTGAATTGAGTTCTGAAAAAAGAAATGATTGATAGATGTGTTGAAAAGTGAAAAGTTAAACCTTGGTTCCGGTGTTGGTGGTATAACAACAGGTGTGCTTACTCTTCGCTGGGGCTTCTCAACTGGCACTGTAGATTTAGGAGCGATAAGTTCATCCAGTTCGGGCTCGTTAGCACTATTCTCTTCGATTGGAATTTTTGTCACAATATTTCTTTTACAATAAAGCCAGCAAAACTGCAATAAGATCAATAACAAAAGCAGTAAAAGAACCCAAGGAATAATAATCAGGGAAACATCCGACTCGGCGGTGATTGCTGCAGTTGTCATTTCCATTGTCGTTTCTTGGAAATCTGGCTCTCTACGAATTTCTTCACGATAATCGCAAAAATCTCCTTGACGTAGCTGACTTCCGTTGCGACACTGGCATTCATCCAGCTCGTTCAAGTACGCCCCATTGCCAAAGCACGACACGCAGGTCGAGGTCATCTTTGCTTCCAAAAAATACACTCTGCAATTACAGGTTGATTTATCCTGGCTGAGTATGGCTGACTCCTCATCGCAAACGCAATTTCCTGTCGCAGACATAACCGATGTCGGTCCTTGGCAAGGAATGCACATGATGTCTTCGTAGACCATTGATCCTTCCGGACAAGTGCACTCATTGGCGGTTGAATTTTCAATACCACCAGCGCACATTGCGCAGACTCCTGGCTCTTTCATATAAAAAGTGCCTTGAAAACGTTGTTTAGTGAAAAACTTAGATATTGATCGAGCTTGAAATAGGGTTAACAACGATTCCTGTGCAGTAGCAGACACCGTTTTCGTCGAGCGCTGATCCAGGTCCTGTACAAGGTAAGCATTGACTGGCGTCTGGGGAGAGCTAAACTAGGGTTTTATTGCTTCAATTTGACCTCTTATTTATCTTCCTACTATAGGCATCTAGGCCAACTAACAGAAACTTTTCATTTTTAGAGTTTTATTTAGGATATTTCAAACCCTATAACTGAGTTCCTTCTTCACAGACGCAGATTTCACCTGCAGTACCCATGCGCTCGGAATAATTTTGATTTACAGTAGACCCCGGAGGACATGTTATACACGCCCCTGTAGAGGTTAGAAACGTATCTTCGGGGCACATGCATTCGTCTTCTTCTGTTAGCGCTCCTTCGCACGGAATGCAGGTGCCTTCACTGCTTCTCTGATAGCCAGTTTTACAGGTGCACCCTTTCTCCGGATCTGCGAAGGAATTGAGATCGCCGCAAACGCAATTATTATTTTTGTCTAGTGCGGCTCCTGGGCCAAAGCAGGAAACACAGGCGATCTTCTGGAAATTCAAAATGGAAAATTTCGCGTCGCAGGCGCACCTGTTGTCTCAGTGAATGGATACTTAACTCAGACGGGAGCAGTCAGACGAGAGACGCCTTGGACGCTAATTAAAAAAGAAACCCTATTTCCCGTGAGATTAGTTCCCGATGAATTTGGCCAAATTCGAAAATGGCTGCACGATTTCAAGTAAATCAAATGATTTTGTATCCTGCCCTTTGATAAACGCGCCCGGCCCCTCGCAACGCGTGCATGAGCTGCTATCGTCGGACAGGATGAATCCTTCGTGACAGGAGCAATTGCCGCTTTGGGTCAGATAACTTCCAGCGCCGTGGCATTTAACGCATTTGTTTCCAGATAAAATAAACTCTAATAATCACGTTAGCTTTCCTTACTTAGAAACAGGCAACAACGGGGACAAGAGATATTGATGTTTACCGTGATCACAGGAGCATTTATCGCCTCTCAGAAAACTCCCTTCTCCTTCGCACCGAATACACTCTCCAGTTTCGGATTGAATAAATCCACTGTCACAAATGCATTCCAGCCCATCGAGTATTTTTCTGTCGCCAAAGCAGGGCACACAAGTTCCCTCGGAAGAAAGTTGACTTTTTTCTTACACTTGCATTTTCCTTTCTTCGTTAAATAACTTCCAGGACCATTGCAAATTACGCAAGTGGCAGTTTCAGAATTCAAAATGCCATTCTCGCAGTGGCACTGATCATCTTGAAGCGAAGCTCCTGGTCCAGAACATCTTACGCACTGCCCGCTAGAACTCAGCAGACTAGGCCCTTCGCACGTACACTGACCACCTATCTGATCCAAGGATGACCCATCGCCAAAGCATTTCACACATTTTGCTTCGCTCTTCCAAAGCACGTGGTTTTCTGGGCATGTACAATTTTCTTCGTTATCCAGTTCACCACCAAAGCATTTGATGCAGGAAACAGTTTTTGAGGTTTCTTGATTTGATATTTTTGCTATAATTTGTCGGTAGGAGGGGTCTTGTTTTATCTTATATGATATAAGTTATATCTTTTAAAGGAATAGCTGATCCTCGGAAACCTATCTAAAGGAGCTATAAAGATGACCCTCTGGACACGTACAACTATTATTAGACACATGTCCTCCTGCGCACGGTAGACAACTTCCAGTTGGCGTTAGCACAAAGTCTGAAGGACAGTGGCAAACTTTCTCTGCAGGAGACAAGCGATAATGCTGTAATTCACACGAGCACTGGTGGTCGACTACAACAGCGCCCGGGCCACCACATTCGATGCACTTCGATCCATCTTTTAGGTGATTTTCCCCGCTATTTCTTTAGATAATATCTTTTTCGCGAATTTCACTTACCAAGAACACGTGTTTTCGACGAGATGAGCCGTTGGGCCAGAACATGGAACGCATGTTTGATCAGTTGATTCTAGATAATCTGTCTGGCAGACACATTCGCCATTTTCCAGCGTAAAATGCCCTTCTTCGTCACAAATGGACTCGCATTGATGACCATTCCACGTCGTTTTTATCGGACAAGTACAATGAATCTCGTTTCCATTTTGGAATACGCTGCCCGCACCGCAATGGCACTTTCCAAATTTGATAAAGGCCCCGTTGCCCGAGCACTTGATGCACCTGCTGTTCGCCTTATCTAAATGCAAGAAAATTACGACGCATCCTAAATCCACTTTTAACCCTTCAAAGCACCTTTTTACCTAATAAATATCCTTCATCCTTTTTACAGTCACATTCTTTCGTCTCTCGATTGTAAAAAGAACCTTCTTTGCCAAGCTCGTCTTCGCAAATCTCACAGGGAGATTTCTTCTTGGCTTTTATTATTCTTCTTCGTTCAACCATCACACCATTCTCTCTTTTTCCTATTCTTCGACTGCGAATCTCTTAATTTCTTTCTCTTTCTTGAAGGCAAAAAAATCAACTCGTTTTCACTGAAGAAGTTGCTACGATCTCGAACCAAGGTCAGGGTGGGCACACGTTTTCCCTGTCTCGGGGTGTTAATAGTTAGGACTAACTATCGCTCTGATGCAAGTCACTAAACTTAACAAAAAATACTTTCATCAAGATGCAATGAATGCCACCCATACGATGTTTGACTGTCCAACTTGGACCGTTCTCTTCCATTCCTTTTGCTCTTTTTTTGTCATTAATATTTCATGAATAAAGAAGCTTTTCTTAAGGAATTAATGGAACATTAAGAACATGAAACAGTTTTTAGAACATTTAGTTTCTTAATGGAATTTTCGGAAAAGCTTGAAAATAATTTGGTTTGGTTTGAATTGAATCTTGTAGTCCTGCTTTTTCTGGATAAGATGATGTCTTTGTTTATATTCGTTCCGACATAGTGATCATTATTAATTTTAATTGGAAAATTAAACCCATTGTTATCAGGGCTCCTGCGACTCTGCATTGCTAATTATTGTTAACCCTAACGGAACACGAGGCTTTGAAATGCGTAAACGTAAGCCCTTTGCATGAGCTGGAGGGTATTCAATGAGGGTTCTTTGAGAGAACGTCGTACTTGCACTGAGGAGCATCGCCCACATACGACTGGCCACGAGTTTAGTGCAAGAATGCAATAGCCCCGGGCTGAAAGAACATGTAACGCGCATGGTTTCGCCATTTCGTTTGGCCACTTTCAAATTACTTATTCTTCAGCCATATTGTTTTTTGAATTTCGCCCGTGTAAAAGAGCCTGCTAAATGGGGTTTTGCTTATACAGGGCTTTTTGTTTGATACTGGCAGTGTTGCACAGAGATGACTCGATGGTTCATGCAACACAGTGCATGTCGGTTAAGGATCTCCATACTGATAAAACCAACTATCTCATGTCCAATGGGTTCCCTAAGAGAGGCAGCGCGAAGCAAGATTGTACTTTTACGTGAGTAGAACGAAAGAAAAACAGAGAAAAAATGAAGCAAGAAATCGTCATTTTCGCGGGAAATAGAGCATTAGACAGGGTGTAATTACTATTTATAAGGTCGACAGGGAGAGTGCCAAGGCAAGGAAATTCAAATGAATCTGTTTAGTTTGGCGAATTTAAGGGTCTCACCTTGAATCGTCTTCAAAATTTAATTATTATTATGATCTTTAGGTTTTAATTTTACAATAAAAAAGTAATTTAAAAAGTCTATCTCGTATAGATGGGGTTGAAATTTTCGACTCGAAAAGCCTTGTTATGTTAGCTTCCACGTATTTAAGAAAGTAAGGTACACGTTATCGTTGTTTAATCTGCTTATCTAATCACAAGAGAATATTGTTTTTCTTCCGTCCAGCTTATCTGTCGAATTTCAAGATGCTCCCAAAGTTGAAAAGGATCCCACTTTTTCTTCAAACAAGATCTCTGAAAATCCCGTGTTCGAAAGCTCCAGCTTACAGCTAAATTCTAAAATTAACACCTTCATCCTCTTTGGGACGAGGCGAAAAATTCGGAATTTTTCGTAGAACGAATTTATCGTGCGATCGTTTTGGAAATAACTTTCAATTTGACATGACCACATTAGAGAGAGCGGAAGGGTCAACGATCACAACGTTACGTGTCCGGATGGGTTAATTTTCTAATCCACGGAACTTCTGATAAGCTCCGTCTATCCAACCGTATTTCAGTGAGCTAGACTAGCCACTGAGGGAAAAACTTATATTCTAACTACCCATTGAAAACATTTCTAAACATTACCTAGCAGCTTTGACATTTTTAAACATTGTGTTGCGGGAAACATAAAAGCGAAATTAAACATGTCCTGAATTAGAACTCTTTTCACGACCTTTTCAATTCGTATTTCAAGGCGCTAAATTTAGGTTTAAACTTTCTTTGATACTATAAATTAAGGGTGTCACTTTTTTATAGATTGAAAAAGTTGGATCTTGCGATTTTTGCCTTCATGCTTTTCTATTCATAAATCGTACTTTAGGTTGAAATTAAATCACGGTTCCTATGTGAAGATTCTCCCGGAAGTTGTTGACATTCCCTGTGGTGGAGGAAATGGACTGCGAATTTACGATAGAATCGATCCAGGAGCAAAAGGAACGGATATTTTTTCGCGTAAAAGAAGATCATTGAGAGAATTTATGGGCGAAGAGATCTACGTCTTTGATCCCGTTACTTCAAAGTCAATAGCTTTTCACCTCCTGTAGGCTACGGTCTGTTGTAATCGACAGGCTGGCACCTCTGCTCTAGAAGACAAAACCAAAAAGGCCCGACCGAGATTTGAACTCGGGATCTCCTGATTACTAGTCAGGCGCTTTAACCAACTAAGCCATCGGGCCTGTCTACCTCGCTTCAAAAAGCTAGTTAAATTACAATATTAGAGATTAAGGACCTCCCTCCGATAAAAATATCCCAATCAGTCACCGACCAAAACACTCCAGGAAAACCATCAGAATTCCAGACACCACTCTTCTGCGGAAAGAACGTCCGAATTCCAGCCTTCGTTTCTACCGACGTTGAGATGCTGATCCACTACAAGGGTCCAGTAAGTACCATGGAGTTTTACTCTTGATGGAGAAAGTCCCTGGGCCCCCTTCCCCGTTTCCCGCGCAATGCGATGTCGGGGGATTCTAGAAATTTTGCCAAGCCTATGTTTGGCGTTTTCTCGAATCTCGAAATTATGTGCGGAAGAAAAATGTCCGCTGATTGGCTAGACACAGCTGGCGCAAAATTAGGCGCGCTCTGAACTGAGCGTCGAATAAAGCCTATGCATTTTTCGACGCTCAGATTCTCTTATCTCCACTTAGAGCTCAACTCCATGGTAGATTAACGCTGTATGCGGCAAATTGTCTTTGGTGTTTTATAATCAAATTGACCGGCCAACGTGTATAGAAGCGCATTGGTCCTCTAGTTTTGGGTAAAAACAGGCGATTTCAGCACGATAATGGTGATAGATGTACGTGCGAGCATCAAGGGTACTTGAGAAAACCCCCTTTTTTGAGGAGCACTTAGAAATACCTTTCTAGTTGTTTTCAGAATTTAGAAATTTGGAAAACGTTGTTACTTCATAACTGACGTTTTTGAAAATCTGTGTGTTTGTTTAACACGAGCGGAGAGCATAATCTTCTGAATATTGGATAATTATATCTTGTTACCCGCGTCTCCTGGGCGAAAATAGCACCGTCATTCTGATTGACCTTTTTGCCTGCGGACTCGGAATGTTGCTCAGTAATTTGAGTTGATGTTTGAATATGCCGAATCAACAAGAAATTTATAAATCGTTAATTTTAGCCTGGCGCGAGGTTCAAGATCGGATACAAGGCAGTTCGTTCGTCCAAGGGGCCCAAGGTTCCGCGTATCGCATCGACCAGGGATGAAGCCATCCAGGATCTGAACAAATGGAAAAATCAGCTCAAAAAGATGCAGAAGAACAAAATCTCTAATTACGCGGCTGGAGGCGGAGGAAGCAGCCCGAATGAAAACTGGTCTGTTTCTGCGCCAGAGTGGAAGCCGCCCGGAAACAACCCTGTCCAGCTTAAAAACCACCGTGGAGGCGGAAACCACAACGCGTACGATTACTACCAGGGAAATAACAACGCGAGGAACAACTACAACTATAATTATGGAAACAACAACTACGGGAATAGAGGCGGCTTCGGAAGAAACAACGGGCCAAATTTAAACAACCACGGTCCTTATGAGCCCAAAGAAGACTACGGCGTCTATGACTTTGAAGCTTTTGACGAAGAAGAAACGCCGAAGCAAGGGCTCGGTTCAAGTACAAAAGCAGCGCTGGTGATCCTTTTTCTTTTGGTCGTAAGCGGAGGAAGTTTGGTTTATTATAACGAGCGATACCTTCCGGAGAAAAACGAAAGGAGGAAGAGGCTCTTAGCTACTTGCAAAAGAGGCATTCTAATCCAACGTCCACTAATCCAGGAACCGCTGCTCCTGGTGAATCTACAGTAGCAACAACTACCAGAACAGAGGCTACTACAGACGAGCAGAAAGAAGAAGACCAGCCCCCGAGTTTTGAAGAGGCGGAGAAGGATAAAAAAGATGCCAAAGAGAAGCCAAAAGAATAAACAAACTATTTAACCGCTTGAATTCTGCGGCCATGCTTGCTCTAAATATTATTTCTGCGTTGCTATTTTTCTGAGTTTCATTCGCTAAAAAATGCTAATCTACACTTCTTCCGAGCCCAGATCTTCTGTAATAAGAATATTGAACATGTGCTTTGTACAAACTATTATTTGATAATAAATGCTATCGAAACAATAGATGCTGATTTGGTTTTACGAAAATTTCTTTATTGAACTTTCGGTGAGGTTTGTCGTGAGGCAGTAAGTGAGAGAATAAGGGAACGTGAGAGTTACAGGAATGTGAAAAAGTGAAAAATATACAGTGAAAGAGGTGAACTTATGGTCTCAAGTTGTCGTAGAGACTTTTGACATAGTTGAGGCTGCCCATTTTGGGAAGAGCCTCAATAGTTTCGGCGCAGGCGATCAAGTAGTTGATGTTGCTCGTGTCAACAGTCGCCACTGCATCTTCAATGTCCTTCGTGACACCGGCTTTGTACTGGTCGCTAAAATTAGGGTGAAAACACGTCGTTTATTATCGTCACTGGCTTACATGGGATCAACGACGCCGGCGAAGGAGAAGGCCAATGTTTCGAAGTCAAGTTTGAAACCGACGTGGAATTTGGTCATCTGAAGGGTTCTGACCATAAACACAACCCGGATGATCTGCGTTTCCGGATGATAGTAGATTCTGTTTCTCTTTGACTTTCTGAGAAAGGATTCGAACGAGTTATAAATAAATTTAACATGAAAAAATAGCGTTTATCAGAACGCTATCGATAAAAAAAAATTTTGTATCTAAGAAAATATCAAATCCGTCCATAAAGTTCAGAATCTTGTCCAGCGCTTGCAGATAGATCTCGTTGTGGCTGTTTATGAAGGGATAGATTCGCGCTGTCATGCGCTCACCTTGTGCCCTCATCGAGTTTGCTACAAACAAAGGATTTACAACCCGAAAACACAAGAAAAACTTACCCTTCTCCGCAAGAAATTCGATGAAGTGATCATCAAGTTTTCTGAAGTTCTTTCCAGGTTGCAGGCTTGGAGCGCGGAAGGAACGCAAAGCTGCATGCTTGATGGAGATGTGATGGATGTCGTTGACTGGCCATCGCTCAAACTGCATCGTCTTGCCTCGGAAAACAAGGCGAGCATCGATGAAGAGATTCATCTCCCACGGCGCCGCGCAATATCGGAAGTTGTGTTTCTTCGCGACCGTCTCGCATCGCTCATCCCAGTTGATTCGTTTTACTTCTGGAATCGCGTCGATCTACCAATAATTAGACAAATGAACATAATTTGCGACGAGTACCTTTGCCTGCTGCTCCTCTAACTGGCGCTCTAGCTCCTCAATCTCTTTCTGAAGTACATCAGTTTGAGATTGAGCTCTCTCTTGTGATCGTTTTTTGTTCGCAAGATCCTCTTCTTCACGAAGAAGTTTCTCGTGTTCGACCTCAAGATCGGCAAGAATCGGAGTAAGCTCTTCGTCTTTTTTGAAGACTTTTTCGGCCTCGGATTTGTAGAGCTTCACGTTGTCTATTTGAAGATTATAACGATATTGAAAAAGAGAAATTGTTCTTACCGAGAAGAGGAAGATAATCGCCTTGGATTTTGATTATCGTTTCGTAAGCACTCTTCCTTGATTTCTCCTCCGCAGCAGCAATCACCTTCTCGAGATCGACTGGAAACTGGTCGAAATCCCGCGCGTAGTGGAATTTGACAGGCGCTGGCTTGCATTTTTTCATGTCTCGCAGGAACTTGTCGCAGAGATATTTGTCCAGCTCCACCTTCGACTGGAGAAGAAGGTTGTCCATGATTCCAGGGTGAGGACGATCTGCCGGAAGTGGCTTCATGACGATCTCTGGGTGTGGCTTATCGAAGGCCGCTTTTATATCGCTAAAACGAGGGGTGAACAAGGGTCAGAAACAATGATTTCTTACGTGACGAATCGGTCGATTTCTTCACTTTGATCAGGTACATCTGGCAGTTCCGAAATCTCCCCGAAATTGCTCGTTGTCGCCATTGTGTTGTCACCAATCAAGCTGCGAGCGTTGATCTCAGCAGTTTTACTTTCCGCGAGCAGATCAATCTTCATCGTCATTTTCTGCATTTGCTCGGTCTTCTCATTCGATATCGCCTCCTTCGACTGGATCGCTTCAGTCGTGTCTGGAGTCACCAACGATTCTTCCATTTCGACATCGTTTGCCACAGTTGGTGAGTCCAAGTCGAGTTGTGGAATGCTTCCAAGGGAATCGCATGCCCCTAGTTCAGTCAAGTCAAGTCGCTTTGGAGCGACGGGGGTAAGCGATTCTAGCGCAGTTCTCTCAGAAACGTTGATGCTCAAATTAGTGGAAATCTGCTCCGTCACCGTCCGCTGAAACTTCTTCATCTGAGTATGTTTCGCCAATCCAAGGGAATCACGAGCGCGCATTAGGGCCTGTCGACCGCGAGAGCGACCGAAATCGGGAGTCGGAGGAGCGTAATCGTTGCCGTTGAGCAGGTCGATTTCTCGTGAAATCCCGTCGAAGTCGACAAGTGGCGATCTTATTTTCGGCGAGGGAATTTCAAACGGAGCCGCGGAGCTCATATTCGACGAGGCGATCTTTTTGACGTCTTCTGGAGTTCGAGGGTTGCTAAAGAAAGAAGTTTAAATATGGAAAATTTATCGGCAACTTACTCAAGAATATTTTGAAGGCTTTTATTCGCCTTTGGAGTGATGACAACTGGCTTGGCAAGAGACTTTTCGAGGGCGAGAGATTTCTGCTCTTCTTCCTCCATTTGTGCCGCCTTCGCTTCCATTTGAGTAAACATCTCCGTTGATCCTTCCTCGTAATCGCCCATGGGACTGCCTGGACTGCCAATGACTGTCTGTTCCATAAAGACAGTCTTGTCAAAATTCTTTTGCTGGCCACCAAGATTGACCGTTTCATCCATCGCCATCGTCTTTTCCAGCGCGATCGTTCTATCAGCACACATTGTCGGCTCTTCTGAATCATGGAAGAAGGCCATCGTCTTTTCCATTTTCTCAGTAGATTCTCCTTCCCCTTCATCATCTGCGCTCGAACCGGAACCAGGGCTGGAGCCACCTGTGGAGGCGAAAAGAGCAGCTAGGTTCGCCCTTAGAGCAGCCGCAGAGTCCACTTCTTTATCTGATTCTGATTGCTTCGTTGGCGTTGATGGAGATTCGGGACTGGAGGAGCTGGCGTAGCTGTCGATTTCGCGCTGGAAAATGCGCCGCTGGTGGACTTGTTGAAGAAGACTGGGGCGTTTCTTTTCTTGCGATCGGACAAGGGGATTTTCGGCGACGGAGAGAGTTGGAACGCTGGCGAGAGCGGGGTTTTCTCAGTTGGCGTTTTTGGGAGAAAATTTTGAGTCGCCTGACTGGTGACAGAAAGACGATTCTGGGTCAAGGAAAAGTCGTCTCCACCGCCCATCAGATCTGAAAATACCGATTATGATTCTTGAATTCAAATAAATTGAAGCTTACCAAGTGTATTGTCCAGGACTTCCCTAGGCTTAGAACCAATTGGAGCAGTTGACATATTGAACATGGACGGAGATTCCTGGTCCATCGCTAGGATTCAAATCCGGAGAGGAAGGGCTGAGGTAAATTGCGTTGGTGTGTAGGTTTGAGAGAGGCGATTTTCTGGCAGTTCGATTTTCTGGCAGTTAGACTTTCTGGCAAAGGCGATTTTCTGGCACTGCAAGAAAATCTAATATGCCAGAAAATCTAACTGCCAGAAAATCGCCTCTTTTGATTTTGAATAGATTCTGTAGATACAGTTAATGATCCTGGAAGGTAAAAAAACGGAGAGAAGAAAAGCTCGTAACTTATCTTCTGATTCTTCAGATAAAAAATCAGGCGCGCGTGAGCTCAAAAAAAACGAGGAGATTCTATATGAACAACTTTTGGAAGCATCCAAATCTTCGTTGAACAGCGGAATGAAAGGTCTTTCGAATATGATTGATTTTCACACAAGACTCGCATCTTGAAACGGAAGTCAGGATCGTTGTTTTCAGAAAACAGAATCGTTTTCTTCGCTTTTTTGCTTTGAAAGCATATGATCTGGAAGCAATTTTGTCGAGGAAGGATGCATTGTTTTGAGTTTTGTTGAATCGTTACTCAGGCAGGGTTTTCGAAAGTACCACCAATGTTTTCTTACATGTTTTATGAAATTTCATTGACAAAGGCCACTTTTGACCCATTTATTCAACATTATTGGCTGAAGCAAACATAAATCAGCTTCTTCCGGGAATTTCTGTGTTAATCACCCGGTGTTATTTGCATCTGATTTGGAGTACTTGGTCACAGTAAGCAGCCACTGAGATAATGCCGCACGCTAATGCTTTTTGAAACTGAACTTGTTATAAAACTATCCTGAAAATTCTTCCTCAGAAGTAGGTGGAATCGGTGTCATTTATAACATTTTTCTATCCGAATCTCTTCCTCATCCTCCATTTTCTCAAAAAAATCAAAATCTAACTTTTCAGCTGCCTGTTAACCCGTTTGTCACTTCGAAAACAGCAAGAACGAACTGCGGATGCTGCCCTCATTCTATTTTTAGCGCAGAAATCTCAATTCCAAGATGCGAGTCTTGTGTGAAAATCAGTCATATTTGAAAGACCTTTCCTTCCGCTGTTCAACGAAGATTTGGATGCTTCCAAAAGTTGTTGATATGAAATCTCCTCGTTTTTGAGCTCACGCGCGCCTGACTATTTCTCAGAAGATGAATTCCGAGCTTTTCTTCTCTGCGTTTTTTTATCTTCCAGGATCATTAACTGTAGATTCAAAATCAAAAGAGGCGATTTTCTGGCAGTTAGATTTTCTGGCATATTAGATTTTCTGGCAGTGCCAGAAAATCGCCTTTGCCAGAAAATCTAACTGCCAGAAAATCGCCTCTCTCTGTAGGTTTGGCTCTCGCGCTTAGAGGTAAGCGAGGCTCTACCTCAAGATACCTCTGCGCTGGATGAAGTTTGACTCATAGGAAAATAAAGCAGTTTGTTGTTGGGCTCCCCTCACATTTTCCCTTTTCACCCCTTTGATGATTCATGAATCAGTTCATGGCAAAATGCAGCGCCCAAATGAGAGCGCTTATCGAAAATTCCTATCATCCGGCCCAAAAACGAATCATTCAAGGAGAATTTGCTGGTGCTTCATTTTCTCGTGCCGCGGCACCGTGCCGTGTCCAAACCTTTACTCCCTGAAAGGTTGTAGGTGGTCATGTGGGTACCAGTACCCACGTTCGATCTTATAAATGAATGTGGGTACCAGTACCCTCGCTCGCTTTCTTTCTTGAACGTGGGTACCAGTACCCACGCTCGCTTTCTTCCTTGAACGTGGGTACCGGTACCCACACTCACTCTTGCTGATAACCGTGGGTACCAAAAACCCCTGAAAGCCTGGAGACTTGAACGTGGGTATTTTCTCTAGAGCATTTTTGTTACTGTTATTTATTAATCAATTTGACTCTACCACTTGCTAAGAGAATGAGTGATTTAAGCAAATTGTCTGTTGAAAAACTACAAAAATTAAAGGATGAAATTAACGGAATCTTAATGGTATTGATAATATTAATTTTTTCATGATTTAAATTTATAAAGGCCCCAGTTTCCAATGAACAAAATGGCTGCAAAGATGGAAATGGTCAACCCTCTGTTCTCCAAGCAAATGATGACTCTTTATCCGATGATGAGCTGGATGCTATTCTCAATCAACGAAGTCCTTCTTACAATTTCATCCAGGATGAAATTGAATTTACTGAAGTTGATGAGAATTTTCCCATGGCTTGTGGAGAGTCGAACCAATACGCTCAGGAGTCGAACGAATATGCTCAACAATCGAATCAGACGCCAACTTTGGAAGCTGTTGTGACATCAAGGATGAACAGAACACATTTGGTGATAGATGATGGTCGTCGATCTGAATATAAAAAATCATTTTCTACGAAGAAAAAATTTGTTTATCAATGCTGTAAGCTGTCTCCTGATGGCAAAGCTTGTCCGAAAAAATACGATGTCAGCATCGATCCTGCCCTGACATTTATGAATGTGAAGAAGAGAAAAAATGACAAACAACAATCCTACTTGGACATCAATCCAAATGTCAATAAAAGCATTCTCTTCGACAAGGCCTTCTACAAGCTCGTTCCAAATCCAGCTCAAGAAAAAGTTCGTCATACCTGCGTTAGCAATGATGATGATCCCAATAATGAAAATATGGAGAAAGAAATTACTACGAAGATTAAAGCTTATCTTTACGATAACTTTCAAGCACTCCGATTTTCAAGTCCTAACAGTATCAAGCGACAAATATTGGAGCTTCTTTCTCATGACTATACTTATGATGAGCTTGTTGCGAATTTCCCGAATCAACAAAAATGGGAACAATTATATCGATATTATCGTGAAGCCAATTCCCCTGTGCGGGAAGCACTGGAGAGCATCGAAGATTTCGAATTCAACCCAGAGGATTTTTTGGTTAATTCAAGAACAATTATTCATAAAGAAGGGGCCGACTTATACTTCTACGATGAAGAAACAATTAAACAGTGCATTGATATTTCTGTAATTCAAGCAGGTGTGTGAAAATGAATCTCATTTACATCCTCATTTACTTTCATTTATCACTTACCTCACTCAGAAATCCGTATTGAAAATCGTTGTCAACTAGACATCGACGTTGTTGGTCCAAGATTGTCAACTAGACATCGACATTGAAGGTCCAAGATTGTCCAATCTAAAAGATACTTTTATCAAACGGAACTGTTAATCATTCAAAAAAAATTCAAACGGAACTGTTAATCATAATCAAATTAAGATGGAACTTCTTGGCGTGGATGGGGCAATCATTTTGATCAGCTGTGCAATTTTCTCTGTCGGATTAAAACAAAAGATGGTGACTACAAGTCAACCCTACTGTTCAGCTGTCTTCATCGTGGCCGATTTGAGGAAGATTATCGCCGAGTTTTTGGCCATATGGCTTCAGTTTATAAAAAAATTGTAGGTAAGGATATAAGTTGTAATTTGCTGCTCACGGATTCAGAGTTAGGGCTTAGGAATAGTATTAGGGATATAGTAGGACATAAGTTTTTAAAGAATTGTTTTTTTCATTTTAGTAAGAATCAGAAGGATAATTTTAGATTAGGAGGAGTAAGCGTAGAAAATCGTAGGTTAGGAGAGATTAGGGATATGTATAGTATTTGTAGGAACTTAGTTTATGTTAATGAGAATTTCGTTGTTGATTTCATAGGGTATTTGAGGGAATGGAATAAGACTAGGGAATATTTTAGTGTCACTGAGGATAATTTAGTCATGATAGGTAAATTAGATGAGATTTTAAAGGGATTAGGGAAGAGGTTTTCGAGTCATAGGTCGGTTTTGTGTTGGGATGATGTTATTTTAGATTCTGATGTATATTTAGATAAGACTAGCAATGTAGTTGAGAGGTTTAATAGGAGAATTAAGGAAGCATTAGTTGAGAGTAGGCGAATTAGAACATTAGATAGAATTAGGGTTGTCGCTGAGGAGTTTAACATGATAAATTTTGATTTTAGGGTTAGTTTTAGGAGTAAGAGTAGGGCCCCAAATAAGAAATCCGTGAGAAGCCACGAGAGAGCGCGTGATTTGATTAAAATGTTAAAGCTTAGAAAAAATAAGGATGTTAATTTTGATAGGATTAGGGAACTTCTTGTAGATCTTTAGAGATAAGATTAGGGTTAGGATTAGGATAAGAGTTAGGGTTAGGATTATAAACTGAAACTATTTGTCAAAAACGTGGTGATAATCTTCCATCAGGCAATTTTATTTGTTTATTTTCGATATTATTTTCTATTTCTAGTTTCTGTTTCTTTCTTGTTTTTTGATACTTCAGTTCACTTTTTATGTTTATGTTTGTTCAAAGTACTGTTTGTTCGTTAAAATAAAAATACCTGATAAAATTTTGAGTTGATTTGATGTAGTCGTTGTTGTTGTAGCTTGATTTGATCCGGGATAGAATGGTTTTTCACTTGTCTTTGCGCGCTCAAAGCTTCCAACTCGTGGCTCATGCCGTGCGTTATGGCCAGATTGATCGCAGAAGTTAGGAGTGTGTCGACGATTCGCTCGATCGGTCTTTAAAGTACCCACGTTCAAAGTGCAGAGCGGGCGAGGGTACTTGGTACCCACGTTCAAAGAAGAAAGCCAACAGGGGTACTTGGTACCCACGCTCAAAATCTTAACCCAATGTGGGTACCAGTACCCACGTTCAGAAACTAAAGCCAATGAGGGTACTGGTACCCACATTCATCATGTGGAGCGAGTGTGGGTAAAGTACCCACATGACCGCATACCACCCCCTGAAAGGAGCGGCACGGCACGGCACGTGCCGTGCCGTGTCCGTGCCGCGGTGCCGTGCCGTGCCGTTGACCTTTCCCCACCCTGCTCTAAGGGAAGTTTCAAAATTTTGTGACATGGCAAAAATTTTTTTGAATTTTCAAGTCGATCTTGTTAAGTGAGAAAAAAGAAGCATTTTGATATAGATTTCATGGAATTTGAGTCAGTATAATGGAAGTTATTGCTCATTTAGTGTCTAAAAATAGCAAAACTTTGCGCGCAGTTTCTGACTCATCCGTGCATGGAATTTCAAATTTTTTCTGATAAATATATCACTCCAGGCCTGAACTTCATGTGTTTTTTTTTATTTGTGTTTTTGATTAGGGAATCGCCGGTAAAATGCATATTTATTTGATGGTGTTTGGTGATTAAAAATCGGCTGAAATTTGAGACGAAAACAGGAACGCGCAGCGACAAAACGGCCTCGAAATCAGGCGCTGGAAATAAAGCTCATCCCATTTTCAAAATGAAAATTTCGGAAAGGAAAGGGCAGCGACTAAACGGGGTCGAAATACGGCACCACAAAATAAGTTTGGCCCATTTTCATCATGAAAATGATCTTGAGTCATTTCATCCATGTCTCCCCAATTTCGCCTTTTCCAACAAATAAAAAATCGGTCAATCCTTGGAGTTATCAAGTGTTAGACCCACCATTCGACTCGTCTCAACGAGCTGAACAAAACTGCGCTATCAGTTTTTCAACCTCTTCTTTACAAATATAGAATCAGACCTTCCACGTCGACGAAAATCTCCATCAAGTTCTTGCCATCTGCCGAGCTCTGATCTCGCCCGATGAAAACTTTTGATAAAATAATGAAAACCAAAAATGGTTCGGCGCTACAATAGAGGATGCACCATATATGGTGTTCTTGGCGGGTACCTTAGAAAATCCACTTTTGGCTGTCTTTTCGACGTCTTTATTCATCCTCTTTTTCTTCCGATGTCAGTCGAGGTCACGTGGCCCCAAATGACCTCAATAAAAGCGAGATGAAAAAATTATATCTTTTCAAATGAACAAATTTTTCATATTTAAAATGAAAACCATAATAAAGTATAAAACAAGAATATTTTAAATTTTTATATCAATGGGTGTGGGTGGGGTTGGGGACGTAACTAGTATTGATAAACTCAGAGTTCCAGGCCTCTGTCAAGCCCCTTAAAATTAAAAGTCAAGGAACGGGGCTGAAACGGCCCGAAGGGCCGTCAAGCCCTTAAAATTAAAAGTCAAGGAACGGGGCTGAAACGGCCCGAAGGGCCGTCAAGCCCTTAAAATTAAAAGTCAAGGAACGGGGCTGAAACGGCCCGAAGGGCCGTCAAGCCCCTTAAAATTAAAAGTCAAGGAACGGGGCTGAAACGGCCCGAAGGGCCGTCAAGCCCTTAAAATTAAAAGTCAAGGAACGGGGCTGAAACGGCCCGAAGGGCCGTCAAGCCCCTTAAAATTAAAAGTCAAGGAACGGGGCTGAAACGGCCCGAAGGGCCGTCAAGCCCTTAAAATTAAAGTCAAGGAACGGGGCTGAAACGGCCCGAAGGGCCGTCAAGCCCCTTAAAATTAAAAGTCAAGGAACGGGGCTGAAACGGCCCGAAGGGCCGTCAAGCCCTTAAAATTAAAAGTCAAGGAACGGGGCTGAAACGGCCCGAAGGGCCGTCAAGCCCCTTAAAATTAAAAGTCAAGGAACGGGGCTGAAACGGCCCGAAGGGCCGTCAAGCCCTTAAAATTAAAGTCAAGGAACGGGGCTGAAACGGCCCGAAGGGCCGTCAAGCCCTTAAAATTAAAAGTCAAGGAACGGGGCTGAAACGGCCCGTAGGGCCGTCAAGCCCCTTAAAATTAAAAGTCAAGGAACGGGGCTGAAACGGCCCGAAGGGCCGTCAAGCCCCTTAAAATTAAAAGTCAAGGAACGGGGCTGAAACGGCCCGAAGGGCCGTCAAGCCCCTTAAAATTAAAAGTCAAGGAACGGGGCTGAAACGGCCCGAAGGGCCGTCAAGCCCCTTAAAATTAAAAGTCAAGGAACGGGGCTGAAACGGCCCGAAGGGCCGTCAAGCCCTTAAAATTAAAAGTCAAGGAACGGGGCTGAAACGGCCCGAAGGGCCGTCAAGCCCCTTAAAATTAAAAGTCAAGGAACGGGGCTGAAACGGCCCGAAGGGCCGTCAAGCCCCTTAAAATTAAAAGTCAAGGAACGGGGCTGAAACGGCCCGAAGGGCCGTCAAGCCCTTAAAATTAAAAGTCAAGGAACGGGGCTGAAACGGCCCGAAGGGCCGTCAAGCCCCTTAAAATTAAAGTCAAGGAACGGGGCTGAAACGGCCCGAAGGGCCGTCAAGCCCCTTAAAATTAAAAGTCAAGGAACGGGGCTGAAACGGCCCGAAGGGCCGTCAAGCCCCTTAAAATTAAAAGTCAAGGAACGGGGCTGAAACGGCCCGAAGGGCCGTCAAGCCCCTTAAAATTAAAGTCAAGGAACGGGGCTGAAACGGCCCGAAGGGCCGTCAAGCCCTTAAAATTAAAAGTCAAGGAACGGGGCTGAAACGGCCCGAAGGGCCGTCAAGCCCCTTAAAATTAAAAGTCAAGGAACGGGGCTGAAACGGCCCGAAGGGCCGTCAAGCCCTTAAAATTAAAAGTCAAGGAACGGGGCTGAAACGGCCCGAAGGGCCGTCAAGCCCCTTAAAATTAAAAGTCAAGGAACGGGGCTGAAACGGCCCGAAGGGCCGTCAAGCCCTTAAAATTAAAAGTCAAGGAACGGGGCTGAAACGGCCCGAAGGGCCGTCAAGCCCTTAAAATTAAAAGTCAAGGAACGGGGCTGAAACGGCCCGAAGGGCCGTCAAGCCCCTTAAAATTAAAAGTCAAGGAACGGGGCTGAAACGGCCCGAAGGGCCGTCAAGCCCCTTAAAATTAAAAGTCAAGGAACGGGGCTGAAACGGCCCGAAGGGCCGTCAAGCCCCTTAAAATTAAAGTCAAGGAACGGGGCTGAAACGGCCCGAAGGGCCGTCAAGCCCTTAAAATTAAAAGTCAAGGAACGGGGCTGAAACGGCCCGAAGGGCCGTCAAGCCCTTAAAATTAAAAGTCAAGGAACGGGGCTGAAACGGCCCGAAGGGCCGTCAAGCCCCTTAAAATTAAAAGTCAAGGAACGGGGCTGAAACGGCCCGAAGGGCCGTCAAGCCCCTTAAAATTAAAAGTCAAGGAACGGGGCTGAAACGGCCCGAAGGGCCGTCAAGCCCTTAAAATTAAAAGTCAAGGAACGGGGCTGAAACGGCCCGAAGGGCCGTCAAGCCCTTAAAATTAAAAGTCAAGGAACGGGGCTGAAACGGCCCGAAGGGCCGTCAAGCCCCTTAAAATTAAAAGTCAAGGAACGGGGCTGAAACGGCCCGAAGGGCCGTCAAGCCCCTTAAAATTAAAAGTCAAGGAACGGGGCTGAAACGGCCCGAAGGGCCGTCAAGCCCTTAAAATTAAAAGTCAAGGAACGGGGCTGAAACGGCCCGAAGGGCCGTCAAGCCCTTAAAATTAAAAGTCAAGGAACGGGGCTGAAACGGCCCGAAGGGCCGTCAAGCCCTTAAAATTAAAAGTCAAGGAACGGGGCTGAAACGGCCCGAAGGGCCGTCAAGCCCCTTAAAATTAAAGTCAAGGAACGGGGCTGAAACGGCCCGAAGGGCCGTCAAGCCCCTTAAAATTAAAAGTCAAGGAACGGGGCTGAAACGGCCCGAAGGGCCGTCAAGCCCTTAAAATTAAAAGTCAAGGAACGGGGCTGAAACGGCCCGAAGGGCCGTCAAGCCCTTAAAATTAAAAGTCAAGGAACGGGGCTGAAACGGCCCGAAGGGCCGTCAAGCCCCTTAAAATTAAAAGTCAAGGAACGGGGCTGAAACGGCCCGAAGGGCCGTCAAGCCCCTTAAAATTAAAAGTCAAGGAACGGGGCTGAAACGGCCCGAAGGGCCGTCAAGCCCTTAAAATTAAAAGTCAAGGAACGGGGCTGAAACGGCCCGAAGGGCCGTCAAGCCCTTAAAATTAAAAGTCAAGGAACGGGGCTGAAACGGCCCGAAGGGCCGTCAAGCCTCTTAAAATTAAAAGTCAAGGAACGGGGCTGAAACGGCCCGAAGGGCCGTCAAGCCCTTAAAATTAAAAGTCAAGGAACGGGGCTGAAACGGCCCGAAGGGCCGTCAAGCCCCTTAAAATTAAAAGTCAAGGAACGGGGCTGAAACGGCCCGAAGGGCCGTCAAGCCCCTTAAAATTAAAAGTCAAGGAACGGGGCTGAAACGGCCCGAAGGGCCGTCAAGCCCCTTAAAATTAAAAGTCAAGGAACGGGGCTGAAACGGCCCGAAGGGCCGTCAAGCCCCTTAAAATTAAAAGTCAAGGAACGGGGCTGAAACGGCCCGAAGGGCCGTCAAGCCCTTAAAATTAAAAGTCAAGGAACGGGGCTAAAACGGCCCGAAGGGCCGTCAAGCCCCTTAAAATTAAAAGTCAAGGAACGGGGCTGAAACGGCCCGAAGGGCCGTCAAGCCCCTTAAAATTAAAAGTCAAGGAACGGGGCTGAAACGGCCCGAAGGGCCGTCAAGCCCTTAAAATTAAAAGTCAAGGAACGGGGCTGAAACGGCCCGAAGGGCCGTCAAGCCCCTTAAAATTAAAAGTCAAGGAACGGGGCTGAAACGGCCCAAAGGGCCGTCAAGCCCCTTAAAATTAAAAGTCAAGGAACGGGGCTGAAACGGCCCGAAGGGCCGTCAAGCCCTTAAAATTAAAAGTCAAGGAACGGGGCTGAAACGGCCCGAAGGGCCGTCAAGCCCCTTAAAATTAAAAGTCAAGGAACGGGGCTGAAACGGCCCGAAGGGCCGTCAAGCCCTTAAAATTAAAAGTCAAGGAACGGGGCTGAAACGGCCCGAAGGGCCGTCAAGCCCTTAAAATTAAAAGTCAAGGAACGGGGCTGAAACGGCCCGAAGGGCCGTCAAGCCCTTAAAATTAAAAGTCAAGGAACGGGGCTGAAACGGCCCGAAGGGCCGTCAAGCCCCTTAAAATTAAAAGTCAAGGAACGGGGCTGAAACGGCCCGAAGGGCCGTCAAGCCCCTTAAAATTAAAAGTCAAGGAACGGGGCTGAAACGGCCCGAAGAACACCATATATGGTGCATCCTCTATTGTAGCGCCGAACCATTTTTGGTTTTCATTATTTTATCAAAAGTTTTCATCGGGCGAGATCAGAGCTCGGCAGATGGCAAGAACTTGATGGAGATTTTCGTCGACGTGGAAGGTCTGATTCTATATTTGTAAAAGAAGAGGTTGAAAAACTGATAGCGCAGTTTTGTTCAGCTCGTTGAGACGAGTCGAATGGTGGGTCTAACACTTGATAACTCCAAGGATTGACCGATTTTTTATTTGTTGGAAAAGGCGAAATTGGGGAGACATGGATGAAATGACTCAAGATCATTTTCATGATGAAAATGGGCCAAACTTATTTTGTGGTGCCGTATTTCGACCCCGTTTAGTCGCTGCCCTTTCCTTTCCGAAATTTTCATTTTGAAAATGGGATGAGCTTTATTTCCAGCGCCTGATTTCGAGGCCGTTTTGTCGCTGCGCGTTCCTGTTTTCGTCTCAAATTTCAGCCGATTTTTAATCACCAAACACCATCAAATAAATATGCATTTTACCGGCGATTCCCTAATCAAAAACACAAATAAAAACACATGAAGTTCAGGCCTGGAGTGATATATTTATCAGAAAAATTTGAAATTCCATGCACGGATGAGTCAGAAACTGCGCGCAAAGTTTTGCTATTTTTAGACACTAAATGAGCAATAACTTCCATTATACTGACTCAAATTCCATGAAATCTATATCAAAATGCTTCTTTTTCTCACTTAACAAGATCGACTTGAAAATTCAAAAAATTTTTTGCCATGTCACAAAATTTTGAAACTTCCCTAAGCGAGAGAGCCCAACCTACTCGCCCACGCAATTTACCTCAGCCCTTCCTCTCCCGATTTGAATCCTAGGTCCATCGTGTTTTCTTTGTCCACGGAAATATCTTTTGCAGCAGAGTTATTGGCGGACGAGTTAGAGGTGTAATCATCGAATTCTAGCGCAATCAGTGATTAGTAAAAATCAACTCAAGTCAATCAAGCATTTTATGGATGATCGAAAAATGATTGTTTCTCAAAATAGTTCAATTTTGTTTGAATATATTTTGAAATCAAAACCCAAAAAAGACTCACCTTTGACCTCATTTTTCGGCGCGAAAGAAACTCGTGACTTTCTTCTCTCGGATCGCCGGACAGGTCCGTTTACTTCCGACTTGAGAACGCTTTTTCGCGGCTTTTTCCTCTGACCTGTCCGGGGACTGCTGGCAGCTCTCTTCTCCGACATATCCGCTTCACTCTGCAAATTTGCCTCAATTTTCTGAAAATAAAAATCTCAAGTCTGGTGCCAAGGCGGAGCGAAAAAGCAGAATTCAAACGACTCTCTTAAAATGGCGCGCGCTGATTGGCTGCGACGCTGAACTTGGCGCACACTTTGCGATTTCTCTTGTTCTCGCGATATTATCTAAAAAGCAGGAAAACGGTTTGAACCTGAAGATTGTCTGGCCGTTTATCGATACATCAAATTTCCAGAATATTCTAGAAAATGCTTCTTTGAAAAAATCATTGAACATTCTCTTTTATGGCCGAAAACTCAACTTTCAGACACAAACCGAAATTAAAACTCATCATTATTTCACTAAACATCTTTTCTCAATTCTTTCCACTTCTCTCTACCCTGATTGGCCGGCTTCATCATCTCTAAATTTTCCTAATTTTCAGAAATCGTCGAAAAATGGCGAGTAAAAGAGCATTCCTTCAAGAAAACCTGGAAGAGGAGCAAGAAGAATCATCTCAAAAACGACTCTTTGAAGAACCGACCCCAGAAATTCAAACCTCAAAAAAGGGTGGAAAAGAAAATGAAAAAGATAGATTTGGACCGACTCCGGTTCCGAGTGGAAAAGAATTTCTCAGAGACGAAAATAAGGTTCAAATGAGAACTGCTCATATAAGGTACCTTTGTCCTTTCGTTTTTCGCTTCATCCTTTTTTTCTTCAGGCTACAGAAAGACTTGAAAACGATCAACAAACGGGCGAAAAATGCGTCGCAAAAGGCCGAAATGCTGAAAATTCTTGAGCCGACAGAACATGGAGCGATGAAGAAAACGGGCAAAATCTATTCTCAGAAAGATATTCTAAAAGTGGCGGATGTCCAGACGATGCAGAAGAAGTTCTCGCTCGATTTGGACATGGGCCCGTATATTGCTCGATACGACGCTAGGTAAACCTTGAAAAAGGCTCTTCCCACCCTTATTATCTCTATTCTAGCGGAAGACATCTTCTCCTGGCTGGAGAGCTTGGTCACGTGGCCATGATCGATCATTACACAAAAATGCCAAAATGCGAGTTTTCCGTAAAAGAAAAGATTTCGGTCGGCTCATTTTTTGCCTTCTTTTTCTGAATTCAAATTTCTAGGACGCGATTTTCCTCCAAAATGAAAAGCTAATGGCCGTAGCGCAGAAAAAGTGGACTTATGTTTACGATAATCAGGGGACAGAAATTCACTGTTTGAAGAAAACGGATAGAGTGAACAAGATGAATTACTTGCCCTATCATTTTCTACTCGCTTCAATTAACAGACTAAGTTAGAAAATGCCAAGAAGATCACCTTTATTCATAATTTGCTTTAGATTATCTCTCCTACATCGACATATCAATCGGAAAAGAAATCTACTGCAAGCGAGTGAGCGAAGAAGGAAGTCTAAATGTCATTTGCAACAATCGAACGAACGGGATCATCCATCTTGGCCACACGACGGGAACTGTCACTCTTTGGTCGCCAAATAGCGAGAAATTCGTTGCAAAGATGTTGTGCCACAAAGTAAGCTTTTCCTTTTTTTCTGATCATCAGCTTCGAATTTTAGAGTAATGTTATTTCCACGGCTGTTTCAAGCGACGGAAAATATATGGCGACTTCAAGTCAAGACGCGTCGCTGAAAATTTGGGATTTGCGAACTTGGAAGTGTTTGAGCACGAAAAGATTGCCTCGAGGAGCGCATCAGCTACAGTACTCGCAGAGAGGATTGCTGGCGGCTTCGTTTGCCAATGTTGTGGAATTGTGGAAACGTAAGTTACTAAGAGAGAAAAGTGTGGTTGATCTAGGCTGGTTCGATCTTGTATCAGATTTTGCGCCCCGCTGAGGGAGGTCAAGTGTAGCGCCCTCTTTTGGCCATAGTTGTTCATTAAACATAGGTTTCTATGCTTTTACAAACAAAGATATGAAAATTTTTGAAATGCATCACGAGCATGTGGGGTGTCGTCATCGTCAGTAACGACTGTTACTTGTATGAAAAAATAAATAAAATCTTGATCAATATTTCTGACTTATTTGATTTTGCAGATCCTTGGGAAGAAGAATGCACACAGCCAATAATGCAGTACAAAACGGCTCTCACTCCAACCACCCTTGATTTCTGTCCGTACGAAGACGTGCTCGGAATCGGCTCCAAAAAGGGCTTCGAAAGCATCCTCGCTCCTGGAGCGGGAGAACCAAATCCAGACAGCTGGCAGTACAACCCCTTCCAGACTAAAAAGCAGCGGGCGGAGACGGAAGTTAGAATGTTACTGGAAAAGGCGCCGGCGGATACGATTTGTTTGGATCCGAACTTGCTGGCGAAATTGGACGAAAGCGCTGCTCAGGGTGGCTATTTTGGATTTGGGGGTTAGTTGGAATTGGATTGGATCCAATCCAATAAGGTTTGGATGGAATTTGGATGGCCAGGGTACCGGATTTTGTTGGGAAAAATTGGGCAATTGGGGGAAATTGGGGAATTGGATCCAATAAAAAATATATCGCTAAACTATGCAAAGAAGGGTCATTTTCATGATTAAAATGAACAATTTCGGATAAAAAATCATTGTTTTGACTCTGTTGATCCTCCTTTCGGATAAAAACTAACTGTTTCGCTTCTTTTCAAAGTACTAAAAGCCTTGGAAAAATTGGAAATCCAATTGGATCTAATTGGAATTGGGGATTTTTGGGGAATTGGGTAATAATTGGATTGGGTTGGATTTTGGATGGATAGCTTGGAGTCAAAATTTATTGGATGGAAATTGGATGGCCAGACCCCAAAATTTTGTCCAAAATAGCCACCCTGGCGCTGCTCAAGGTAGTTTCTCAATGATTCTCGGAGTTTCTGACTTTTGAATTTCAGAATTCGACGAAGAACAATTGAAACGAGTTGGATTCAAGCGGGATAGAAAGTTCGAACCTCGAGTACGAAAGCGAGGAAAAGGCAAAACCGGAGCGAAGGAAGCAAGAAAGTCGAAAATGCGAGAAGCTGCGTTCAAGAAGCATTTGCTGGCAAAGAGGGAAAAAGAAAGCAAACAGACGATCGTCAAAAAGGAGCAGGCGAAGAATGTTCTGGCCAGATTCATGAAGAAAGACAACTGAAAGAAATGACTGTTTTTCTGTTCTGTTCTTTTGAATTAATTCAATAAATTGAATGCAGAAAAGAATGAAAAAGAAAACTTCATATGATTTTATCACTCAAACTTTTTTTAAAGATCTTGATTGGGTCCAAAAATGCTCGAAAAGTACGAAAAAGCGTGGAATTTCGGCGTTCAAAAGCGGAAAAAGCCCGAGACTCCCGAAAACTCAGACTCCGAAACCTCCGAAAATGAGAATGATTTGCCTGAGAAGCCCGAAAAAGCGCCAAAAGAAAAAGTATCGATGGCTGCTCACATGACTAGGCCGCTTGAAAGTCAAGAGTTGTTGCTGCTCTTGTGTTTGATTCTTCTGATAGCTATTTTTCTGTTTGTATTTTTTAACCCCGATTTGATGGAAAATCCGCTCAAAGAGGATCGTCAGAAATCTCAATTACCGACCCTTCCGGAATCCGAACCTGACTCGCTCTATGAAAACTTGCAACAGAACTTGTAGAATAGAAATAATGCTGGTGACGATTTTCAACCTTTTTTCTTTTCAGAATATGGCCGACACAGAGACAAAATCATCAGAATACAATTCTAAGAAATCTGCACTAGAATCCGCTTTCGACGCAGCAATCTCATCTGGTTCAAAGACCAGACTGGGCGTCAGAGAAGCCCCGTCCTTGGAAGGTCAGTGAAAGGTCAAAAGTACAGCGAATGTGAATTTCTGACTAGAACTGGACAGATTTTCAAAGAAAGAGTGCCGCTCAATCAAGGAGCACCAGTTCGAGAGGCCGAATTCGAGACCTTGCAGAAAGCGCCGCGCTCCGCGAATTCCATCTCACATCAAAAATCCCGAAAAATTCAAAAAGGTACTTTTTTCCGTCGCCGTTGTATTCACATGCTTTTAGTATGACTTGAGCGATGTATCTTTGAGCTCATCACAAGATAATAAAAAAGCAGCTTTATCTTTTCTCGCTGAAATGCGCGATAGAAAGGAGCCGAAGGAAGATCCCTACGACGAAGAACGCGATGGAAAGCTCGTTTTCAAGAAACCCACACTTTCTTCAAAGAACAAATCAAAATCAACCTCAAAGTCAAAGACATCCAAGACTTCAGGTAAATTAGTGTTTAGCAAACTTATGCCTATTTTTCAGATCGACAAGGTGCAGAAATCACGCATTTTGAACACGACTGGCGAGAAGAACTGGAGGCGAAAGCTGCCTCAAGTCTCGTCGAAAAATCAATCGAAAGCAATGAAACTCCCGAGAAAACGACTTTTGCCAAGAAAACTCGACGGAAAAACATTCGAAAACGGACTGAATCTGACGATGAATAGTTTAATAAATAATGACGATATTTTTTGAAATATTTTTATTCGAAAATGATTGAGAAACTTTCTACACTTTTGTTTTCTTTCGCAGTGTTCTCGGATAAAAGTAATTTCCTTTTCCAGTGACAACGTCAAATTTCATTTCTTCTTCGTTAGCTTCAATCAGCTTAAATTATTGGTTACTGATTGTTTCGACAAAATAATTACCAAAATAGCAAGTCGTTCACCCTTCAGAACTGAGAAGTAATCGAAGTCAGCTTGAGGATTCAGTTCGTGGTTCATATTTTTCAGGGAAATGTTGATTGCCTTGCCCATCCCAGTGACGAAGTAATGGATCCTTTTGCCCAGGAAGTGTTGCATATTGTGGTCGTGTCCGCAGATGTAAGCATCAGCATGATGTTTTTCCAGTAGAGGCTTAAAACTTTGTAATCATAAGCCATTAAACGAAGGCTACCTGTAAATATCGAATGATCTTTTCGGTTGGCCCGTGATTTCCGACGCTGTAGATTGGATGGTGACCGCCGACGATGCAGTAATCAGCGTAGCAGTTTTCAAGCTCTTTGTCGATCCACTGATTCTGTTCTTCTTGATAGTCTCGATCTGGGTATTCAGGAAGTTTCTTCACGTTTCCCATCATGATTTCCGTGTCAATCATCATGATTTTGACGCTGAACTTTGGCTTCTCAATCTAAAACCCGTTTTCAGAACCCAGAAGTATTGTTGAGTCATACCGTGAAGGAGTACCATAAATCCGGAAACTTGAAATTTGTCTCTCTTTGATGTGAATAAATAACCTGAAAACTGCGTTTTGGGCAGTTGGGTTACCGTCTGACCTGCGCTGTAGCATTTCGCCTGTGATCATGATTCCCAAGACATTGGTAAAAGTCTAGATTTTTGATGTTTTCTCTTTCGGACGCGAACCCGTAGATATTCTCATAAGTTCCATTGAATCTGATATCATCGATGTTGTAAACTCCATCCCAATAAAAATTGTCTCCGAGGGAAAGCATGAAGTCACAATCTCTCTCGCCGCAGAGTTTATCCATGCTTGCTGCTCCCCATTCTTGGGAATAACGGTTTCCTCCTGGATAAATGACTGGGATAGGATCGGCTCCGCCCCAATCGCCTATTGCCGGAAAGCGGACGTAATCGTCTGATGCAAAAACAAGTGATAAGAGAGAGAAAGCTCTCATTTTCTCAATTTTTGGACAAAACTGATCGGTTTTTTCATCGAGTGTCGAGCACCTGACATATTCTCATGAATTCCAAAGTTACCCATGAAGTCACAAATCAGTCTGGAATAAACTAACAGCCAACTTTGACCTTCTTCAGTTAGAAAAATAATGGAACGCCGGTGAGAAAAAATCATAGAGGACAGATATCAATTGTTTTTGGGATTTTATGCAAATCTTTCCATTTTTCTCTAGAATACGGTCCCGTTGTTGTTCTGCGGGACAATGTCCGCGAAGCCCTCTTCAGTTCGAAAATAGCCAACCCGCCTGCAATGCCTACCAGGAAAGTGATGAGAATTTGACTTTTAGATTTAATTTTTTTTGAAATCAAGACAGAAGGTTTCCCTCTTTAGTTTTTTTCTAAGATTTTGATCATGAGAAAATGATCATGCTACTGTAGATCGATTTCTTCTGCGGATAAAACTGAAAAGATTTCTCATCCCAAAAAAAGGGTTCCCCTCCGGAACAAGGTGCGTGCGCGATGCCTAGAAGATCGTTATTACGAAGCCGCAAAGAAAATTCAAGTCTATGTCAATGGAGATCAGCATAAACGACCAAAGCTGTTCACAGTGCCCAAGAGCAAGGTCAAGGTTCTCACTTTTTAACCCTCGCCGTGTAACATGGTCAATTTTTAGGGCCCAGAAGCAATGGAAGTTTTTATGACACAAATGACAGATTCTTTGCGCAATAATTTTCATCTACGTTCTGCGATCAGGCATTTATTTACACCAGAGGGCGGCACCCGCATCAAGAAACTGGAGCAACTCAAGGATAGAGGCGTATACATCGCATCAACTAAGGTAATCAGCGGATATAAGACCAAGAAGCTGATATTTTTCCTAGGCTAAATTGGAGAAGGCAGATTATTCAAAGAACCACAGCCCCCCAAAGAAGCCCCGACTGCGAAACATCCACACTACTTACTCAAAACTGCGTCGAGACTCAGAGATCTATGTCAAGCCCGTCAAGCACTGGGATAAGGCTGCTGAGCATTACAGGAAGACGCCTACCGATCTTCGCTCGCACTACAAGGATAGTCTTTCCTACTATCAGACTATCAAGGTAAAACTCAATTCTAAAGCCCAATCTAACGACTTTCAACTAGGAGAGCACGAAGCCTCACATCAAAACTCTCTACATCTTCGCCAATGGAGACACTCACCGATACTACTCCGTCATTCTCCGCGGAAAGCTCGCCAGCGATGAGAAGGATACCGAGTGCTTCCAGAAGATTTTGAACCAAATCTCGACCACCGTTGGTCGAGCCCAGACCCGAGATCGAGGATCTCTTGCCGTCCGACGACTTTACAACCTTGACGTAAGTTTTAATCAATGAACTCTTTTCTCAACTCATTTCAGGGCAAACGAGTGAAGACCCAGCGAGGATTGCACGATGGCATGGCCTACATCTGCGTGGGAGATACGAAGCTCAAACGACTTCCGTATGGAAGCGAGCATTCGATGAACCCCCAATGGAAGTCTACTATCAAGCCAATGCGAACGACTAGCGGCGCTATTAGGTAAAGATAAAGCGATCTTATTATTCTAATAATCTTTTCAGCGTGATGGGAGACAGCCCAAGAACACCACGAACTCCCTACCCGGACTCTCCCTTGCCCCCGATCAAGACGCCTGTCCCCCAGATGGCTACGCGAACGATGAACTCCCCGCGCCCGCTCAAGACACCAGTTCAGCCGTCGGCGAAGACCACCTATGCTGAAGCCCCTGTTCCCAAGAAGGCGAACTCGCGCACACCAAAAGCATTGAAGGCACCAAACAAGGGAATTCCAAAGGGCATCGCAAGCAACATGCCCATCATCAAGAAGAAATCTAACCCAAAAGTCGGCTCCAAGCATCAGATTCTCCCCGACTTGAACCAGATGAGAACCGAAGCGGAGGAATTTGACGCCTCCCAAATTGAAACCGCAGATGAGCAAACCTCATCAAGGGTATCGGTAGGACAAGACAATTTCAATGAGGAAGAATGAGCGGCATAAAAAGGCTTATTTTCACTGTACATACTCAGTTTTGGATATATAATCAATACAGAAATATATATATTTTAAAAACTCATGAGATTAAGAACTGTATTTTACAAAAAAAATTAAATACAGTTCTTAATCAATTTGTCTCTTTAATTTGTCTCTCGGCGGCTCTGATGAAGCTGATTTTTTTTTTCTGGAATCTCGAGAATTGTTTTGGTCAATTAGCGGAGAATCATCAGTTTTGATAATTGAGCGTAAGCGAAGGGAAAGTCACGCACTTTCCCAGTTTTATGTGTTGTCGCTAAGCAACGAATTTTCTCAAATAAGGTATTAATTAGCTGCTTTTCTCGTAAACTACTGTTGAGATAGGTGCAGAAGAATAATTCGCCATCAGAGTTCGAAATCTGAAAAGAAATAGCGACTGCCACTGCCAAGCGACTGCCAGCTTTTTTAAAATGGCGACTGCCACTGCCAAGTGACTGCCAGCCTTTTTTAAATTGCAACTGCCACTGCCAAGTGACTGCCGAAATCGGCAGCTGCCAGTTGACAGCAAAAAACTGCCGATTTCGATACTTTTTGTAAAATTTTTTAAAGTCAAACTAAGTTCAAAACAGTCGTTTTGACAAATTGGCAATATAAAAGAAACGTTATCATAAATAAAAATGTCTCTTTTGATAAGAAAAATGGGGGGGTACTGAATTGTGCCGCCCTGCGCCGCCCTGCGCCGCCTTGCGCCGCCCTGCGCCGCCCAGCGTCGCCCGGTCCGAAACCATCCGGCTCTCTTCCGCCCCAACCATGACCTAAGAAACAATCCTGAACAAGAGCGAGAGTTGGGCCCCGCCAACCCAATGAGTTCTCTACCAGAAAATGCGCGCGTAAGGGCCTCTGGCCCGTGGCGTGCTCAATTAATTAGTGATTTTATTCCAAAATCGGACTTCGGTTGAGAATTACTCTACTGGCACCCTAAATTATGGGTTTACCTTTTTTTAATTTTAAGACAATATAAATATGTCAAAATAACTAAGTTGACACGAAAATCTAAATTTCCCGCTTTTGAAAGACAAAATATCTTCGGATCCGGTAAGACCGGCCGACGCTGGGCGGCGCAGGGCGGCGCAGAGCGGCGCAGGGCGGCGCAGGGCGGCACAATTCAGTGTCTCCCGAAAAATGGAATAAAATAGGTCTCGGGAGCAAAATTTGGTCATTTACGCTATTTTTCTTTGTCATTCTAGAAAGAAAAACTAATATCTTTTGAAGTGGCAGTCGGTTGGCAGCTGCCAGTAACTGCCAGTCCTTGAAAAGTGTAACTGCCACTGCCAAGTGACTGCCAAAATTGGCAGCTGCCAGTGGCAGTCGTGGCAGTACTGCCAGCAAATTTCGAACTCTGTTCGCCATGGCTGGGGTGGAATTTATATCAGTAACAGAGACTTACAATTTACTGAACGCGCAGGATACATGTGGGAGGCCAAGAGTAGCGGAGCCTAATTTTCTTTTACTCTTGGATACGAGGTCAGTTTTTTGGATTTTTATCGAGTGATAATTGATTTTAAGATCGATTAAAGACTACCGAACAGCTCACATTAAATTCTCACAATATGTAAGACGCAATTCGGAAGAATTCCTCAAGCCAATGAATATAAATGTAAGCTGGAATTGGTAAGATGAGTAAAGCATTATTTTTTTCATAGATAGACTGTATCGAAAATATCATAATTCTCGACGAAGATTCAAAATCAAGCACAGGCGCGAAGGATCAGATAAAGAAGCTCGCTGAGAACTTTTCGGACTGGGGCTCAAGAAACAAAGTAAAAATACTCGACGGAGGATATCGCGGATTCACGAAAAAGTACTCGTTTCTCGCAACGTTTTCTCCGAATTTGACAAGAAGAAAAGTCCAAGAAAACATTTTGGTAAGAGAAAATTTCTAGCGAGAGCACCTTCAAAATCGTCTTTCAGACAATGCCTCTCGAGCTATCAGATAAAACATTCGTCGGATCACAAGAGCAAGTAACGAAAGAAAATCTTCACAATCTCAAAATTGACAAAATCATCATCGCAGAATCGTCAGCAAACGAGTGCAATCTTCCAGACGCTCCTGAAATCGAAGACAAAATCATTCGCATAAATGGTAAGTCAAAAGAATCAATTCTAAATCTATCGAAAATGGTAGCAAATGAAATGAAGAGACAGTCCGTGGACAGCGTGAAAGACAAGCGAGTTTTGATCATTTGCAAAAAAGGAACTGAGTGGTCTCTCGTCCTTGGCGTACTGATGTTGAAAATGAGCTCTGGATCAAGTCGAGAAGCGTGCCTGGAGAAAGTGAAGCTGGTGGAACCCAATTTCATCCTCGGAAAAGCACACTATGATATTATGAGTACTTTCTAACAAAATCCTCAAATCTGCTCAATTACGTTTTCTTTCCAATAAACACATTCAAACATTTTCGACAACAAGGTTTTGCGAATCAGAATAATTTAATTTGGTGAGGCAGAAATATCCTCGGGTACAAAATGATTAATTTGGGGACGAAATAGAAAGTAAGTAGAAAAGTAGTTGAGAAAGGGGTTTCAACAGAAAATTGAAAGTTGGGCTAGAATGATTTTACAGTGAAAAGTGAGAAACGAAGATACAGTGGAGATTAGTCTTGCGGCTACTCACCCCTCACACTTCCACACATGAGAGGTCAGGAAAGTCTAATCGTCGCAATGCACTACTTTTCACACTCGAAGGAAAATCTTCTGGTGGTTAATAAATTAGGCAGAGTCCAACAGGTCTTGATACTTGACATCTTTAGCCCTAGAAACAAAAGTAAACACTTCCTTATAATTTGAAATTGACCTGTTGTTGATCTTTTGCATGTCATCTGGTTTGTCATTGTCCGTGGCCTGTCCGTTCTTTTTGTCAGTGTCCGGTTCCCGCTCAGCTTCAAGAATTGCCGCGGCTGTAATACAAGAGTCGCAGTTAGAGACAACTCGCTCGTGGGATTTTTCAATGTTGACTAACTCAACTGCAGTGTCAACTGCAGCCTCGATCTTCACAGCGTTGTTGTTGTTCGTGTTTGGGTTGGTTTCCTCGAGTTCATATTCCTTTTCCATAGTGGCGGGCTCGACAATAGCGACGGTTTCGCCATTGAGGTCAAAGTCCTTGTCGTTGTTGTTGTTAGCGTTGGTGTTGTTGGAGGCGTTCTGGCCAAAGAGAGAAATGCTAACGTGGCATTCGGTCTTCTTGGCGCCAACTTTGGCAGTGTAGACACCAGCATCCTCTTCGCAGATTGTCTTCTTGATGATCAAGCGGCGGATATTACCGTCAGTGACAAATTCAACGTTGTCAGACTGCTTGAGTCGCTAAAAACGGAGTTAAAATTTGTTCGTTTTGTAAATTTGTTTACCTGTCCGTCCTTCTTCCAGTGAATGTTGTCGGTGTTGTTGGAATTAACTTCAACTTCGAGCTCAAGAGAAGGAGCGGCGATCTCAACTTCCTTGAATGGAGGAAGTTTGGCCATGAAGACCTGCTTAGCAAGCTTTGCAGCAGCCTTGGCGGCCTCCTTGGCAGCTTCTTTCTCGGCGTTGTCGATTTGAGGACGCTTTCGCATCTCAAGAACGTAGTGCTCGACCTTGCCAGTCTTTGGAGCACCCCACTTAAGAGTAGCAGTAGATTCTCCAACTGCAAGGACCTCTGGTCGACCTGGTCGGCCAGGAACAGATTCGGGATCCTTGGCGACTTCAGGCTCAGAGGGCTCGGACCAGATACCAAGACCGGCCAAGTTCTCAGCACAGACGCGGAAGATGTAGTCACGGCCTTCTTTGAGGTTGGTGACCTTGAACATTCGCTTGCCAGATTCAATAGCCTTCTTGTTGATTCGGCTCCATCGGTTGGAGTTGGGCGAGGACATTTCGACCCAGTAGCCGGTGATTGGAGATCCACCATCCCATTCAGGCTCGGCCCATTTGATGGCCATACCGTTCTTAGAGATAGAAGTGTCCAAGACCTGTGGGGATCCATTTGCTCGGGCACTTCGAACAAGTAGCAAGCAACAATAGGAGCGGAAAGAGCACCGTCACCCATTCCGATGTCGTTTCGAGCAGAGACTCGGAACTCGTATTCGCGTCCTTCGACAAGTCGCTCGGCCACGTAAGAAGTGGCGTCGGGCTTAACGTCAGCGGACATCTTGCCCCAGACCTGTCGGCCGACTTCTCGCTTTTCAACGAGGTAGTTTCGGATAGGAGTTCCACCAGCATCCTTTGGCGCTTCCCAGATAAGCTTGCAGCTCTTCTTGGTGATATCAGTGATATCAAAGTTTTCTGGGATACCAGGTCGATCCATGACATTGACGGAAATGCGCTTTTCGGCCTTGCCGTTATCGTTCTCAGCAGTGATGATGTAAATACCACTGTCAGATCGGTTAAGGTCGTTCATCGTGAAGGTAGAGGACTTCTCAGTATCCTTGATGCCGACTCGAGAGTCGACGGAAAGTGGGAAGCCATCCTTGACCCAAGAGATCTCAGGCTGAGGTTTACCCTGGATTTTGGCGGGCATGACCATTCGGTTCTGAGTGACCTTGACGTCGAGGCCGTTTTCGGCACCTTCCCAAAGCTCGATTGATGGTGGAACCTTGTCCATCTCGACAGCAACCCATTCAGTTGGTTCGCATGGCTCGCCTGGGCCAGCTTCGGAGATGCACTTGACTCGGAATCGCCATTTGGACATGTACTCGAGTGGAGTAACGAGACATTCGGGCTTCTTGGATGGTTTTCCAGGGCTGAAGACTTGGTAGTAAATCTCTTCTTCCTTGAGCATCTCAACCATGTAACCACCAGAGGCAGTGACGGGGGCAGATGCTGGAGGCTCCCAAGCAAGAGTCACGGAATCGTTGGTTGTCTTGACGACTCGAAGGTTGGAAACGACACCTTGAAGATTAAGTTTATCAAGTGTTGTTGAAGATCTATGCGGTTTTTGTAAAAACCAGGGGCGTATCTCAACTCAAGAGAATTCAAATCGTGAAGCTGCGAAGATCGCCTGCGATCTTCCAGTAAAGGAGCCATTTTATGCTCTGTTTAGTCTCTAGTTTTAAATTTGCTAAATGTAAATTTAAGGACGAGGTCTAGGACTAAATTAAATACTAATTAGCAGCTGTAAGGATCACCCCTCGTGATCCACTCAACAAGTTTAGATTGAGAATATTTCTTGAGCTGAGATTGACGACAAAAGCAAACCACACTCTAATACTTAGAATCTAAGTAAAAGCCTAAAACAAATTAAGCGTAAATTGCTTATTGTGGTGTGGATTCACAACCGGGATCGGGATAAAAATATTATCCTCGTGTGCATAATAAATTTCCAATGGTGTTTGTGCGTGAAATAGATTTTGGTGCTCATCAAATTCAGTGAATTTGTGCATTTACCAAAGTCTTCGCTACATTGCACCATCTGATCGCGGAAATTTCCGGATAAACGCGATACTGTGCTGCTGCAAGTATCAAGACCTTCTTGGGGTCTACCTGCTGGCACAGATTCCGGTAAGGGTTTTGGTTTTTCTTAATAGAACACGATTTTCACAAGAAAATTGGTTTAGCTTAGAAAAACACGTTACGCTTTGCCCTTTTTAGGGCTTTTGGCATTTCAGCTTCGAAAGGTACTCTGAAATAAGCGGCGTAAAATAAGCGGACTACTATTTTTACGGCTATTTAATTATTTTTGCTTCTAATCTTAGATCGATTTTTTTTATATCAAACTTACCACCGCCATAGAAGACAGGTTTCTCGTACTCGGCGAATTCACCCTCTCCAGCACCATTGACGGCAGCGACTCGGAACTCGTAGCTATTGTTCAATGGAAGATCAGAGAAGGGGAAAGCTTCGCCACTTGGTCGGCCAGATTCTTGCCAGATTGACGATTCAGCCTGCTTGTGCTGGACGATGTATTCCTTGATTGGGTCTCCACCGGACTCAAGAGGCTTGGTCCAAGTGAACTCGAGAGTGTTGCCAACCTTGACATTCAAGTCTGTGCAGAGGCCAGGAGCGTCGAGAACAGAAACCTTCAAAGCGAGTCGTTTTTCACCAGCTCGGTTTCTAGCGACGATTTCATAATCACCAGAGTCACCTTCAACAGCAGCGGGAACGGAAATGTTAGCGAAACCGCCACCATATCGAGCATGTTCGAACCAAGGCTCACCGTTCTTCGTCCATTCAACTTCGCATTTAGGTCGTCCAACGACCTTGATCTTGGCCTGAAGTGGCTGGCCCTTGACAACCTTGAATACAGATTCTTCAGCGACAAGGTTGGGTTCAATGTCGGGAGCTTCGCCAGCGAGAGTGACACATGGGTTGGAAACTTCAGATGGCATGGATAGGCCTTCCTTATTCTGGCCAAAGACTCGGAACAAGTACTTGGTATCAGCGACAAGATCTTCGATCGTAGTAGCAGATTCGCCAGCTGGGCAGATGCCAGCCTTAGCCCATGCATCAGTGCCATGCTGAAGGGCCTCAATGATGTACTGGTCAACTGGGTTGCCAGATGGCGCGGTCCAGGAAACGTCGATGCTGCTGTTAGTTGGATTCTGGGCGGTAACACCAGTTGGAGCGTCAGGCTTGTTGTTGGGGTCTTCGGCTCGCACCTGAGCGGATGGCTCAGAAGGACCGGAAACACCAGCGCTGTTCTGCGCCTTGACTCGGAATCGGTACATTTTGCCCGCCGAAACTTGGGTGACATCGAAGCTGGTAGAAGCAGATTCGCCACATGGCTCGAAGCTGTCAGCACCATCAATGCACTTTTCGACGATGTAGCCAGTGATTGGAGCACCACCGTCGGTAGTTGGGGCTTCCCAGGAGAGAGGAACCTTATTGGCTCGGACTCCACCCTGGTCGATCTTGATTCCAGTGGGGAATCCAGGTGGGAAGACACCGTCGGTGATCTCGTTGGGGCCAACAATGTCACAGAATTCACCCATACCAGCTTTGTTTTCGGCAGCGACGCGGATTTCAATGTGTTCGCCCTTGGTGAGTTTTCGTGCAACAAAAGCAGTCTCCTCAACAGCGACAGTAGATCGAGTCCAGTCTTCAGACTCAGTCTTGTATTCAACGTGGTACTTGATAATAGCAGCGCCACCGTTGTCAGCAGGGGCGTTCCAGCAGAAGCCACAGGAGTTGTTGGTCATTCGAGTGACAGTGAGGTTGACTGGAGCAGAAGGCTTGTCCACAACAAAAACGTTGATAACAGCACTGTCATCGCCATTCTCGTTCTTGGCGGTGATTGTGTAGGCACCGGCATCAGATCGTTCAACAGTAGCGAAGTTAACAATTCTGTTAACCTTGACTTCAGCATCGCGTTCAACAGTCATTTCCTTGCCAGTATCAGCATGAACAACAGTGACGTCGGCAACCGGCTTGCCCTTGACTTCAAAGGTGAACTTGTCAGCCTGGCCGCAGAGGATGTAAGCATCTTCGGAAGAACCGATCTTAGGTGCAGTACCCTTGGACTCAACAGACATGGTAGTAGAAGAAGTCTGGAACTCCTTGAGTTCTCCAGCAAGAGTCACTTCAATCTTGGCTTCGTCGTCATCAACAGAAGCAACGAAAGAAAGGGCGAATTTGCCCTCATCAGCAGTAACTTCGTATCGAGAGTCGGAGATTTCCTTTCGGTTCACGTACCAGGTAGCATCAGCAGCCTTGTTAGCGTCGACTTCAAAAGTGACCTTCTGACCTTCCTTGCCAGACCATTTGGTAAGTTCCTTCTGAATCTTGAGGTGTTCAATGACCTTCAAGGCGCATTCAACTGGTCGGTCTTCATATCCAACGACGTGGCATTTGACCTTGCCAGTGTGCTTAGCAGCAGCAGACTTGATGACAAGTTTTCGGTCAAAGCCAGATGCAGGAGGAGTAAAGAACTGATCATCCTGAGTTTCGTCGTTCACAGACCAGCCGCAAGCAGCAGAAGACTCCTTAGTTCGAACTTCAAAAGCAACTTCGTCTCCGATAAAGACGGTTTTGTCCTGTGGCTCAGTATCGAATGGAGAGTCTTGGACAGTAACCTTGCCGAAAGTATCAGAGCCACCGATGAGCTGGCAGGTGTATTTGCCAGAGTCTTCCATCTCAGCATTCTTGATGGTAAGAGATCGGTTCTTTTCGTCTTGATCCATGAAAAATTTATCGCCAGCGGTGATTTCAGCGTCATCCTAGTTTTGATTATATATTTTTTCAAAAGCAGATGCCTCTTACCTTCTTCCAGATGACTTTGGCCCGTGGGGAAGAAACAACAACGGAGAGAGTAGTCTCTTCAGCGCCAAGTCGAACGGTTCGGTCGGAGAGTCCAGATTCGAAAACGGGAGTGAGTTCTTTAACAGTTACTTTAGCTTCAGTGTGCTTGTCGCCAGTTTTTGCCATCCACATGCCAGTATCAGAGTACTTGGCTTTTCGGATGGTGAGACTATGGCTACGCCCGTCAGCAGTAATCTTGTACTGATCAATTTGATCGGTGCCGATTTGTTTTCCGTCGTGATACCAAACGACTGGAGCTTCTCGGAGCTTAGCATCCGAGTTTAACTTGCAAGATAGCGTAGCGCTATCGTTTTCGAGGATCATTTCATCGACAAGACCTTCCACGAATTCAATCTCCAGAGCTAAGGAAAAAAGTTCTAGCAAAGATTCATGAACTTAGTGATAGATGAGAAGGTAGGGGGTATGAATTTCGATTGACAGTAATAGTAATCGAAAAGATTTTAATTTAGCATAAGGATTGCCACATCGATCGAAACGATCAGAAAATTCATCAGTCTTCCTTTGGTAATCGAAGATGATGAGTGTATCCTTTATGAGTGAGTATTTTGAATCGGTGCAACTTACGAGGTGGGGGTGGTGGTGGTGCAAATCCTAATTTATTGTATGATAGTAATTGTGATGAAATATATATATAGTGATGAATAAGAAATATCCTGGGATTGAATATTTCGTGACTGGCTTTGTGCATGAAGAAGAACCATTTTTTTGTAATTTGCTTTGGGCGTAGAACCATGTCTCAATAACTATGGACATAAAGTTTAACCCTCAATTCAAATTACCCTTTGGTTTTTCGAGCGGCTTTCCGTCTTTTCCTATTATAAGAAGTATTACTTTGAGATCAATTATGTTGACACCCAAAATCAATCACAATAGATGTGATGATTTAACAATACTTCGAAGAAATTAAACAAATTTCCTCGGCTAAATGACTATAACCAAATTTAATAAATTTGGAAGCTTCTTGCTCGTACTTTAAAGAAATTCTGATAATTTCTCATGTAAAGAATTGCATTGAATTCTTAATGGCCTTCATGTGAATATTTAGAATGAACAAATATTCAAGTGCTCGTGCTGAAGATCTGGTGCTTGGTGAGAATGATTCCCTCATACAAAAAGCTCCAGAAGATGTCCGAACCCGAAAAATAAATCGTCGAAAACTCGCATAGGGTGAACTTCTTTTCGCTTCGCTCACCGAGATTAAATATTTCTTGGGAAGCAAGAAGGATAAGAAGTGAACCCACAGCGATAAAGTTTAATAATTCGGGAAGATTTCTCTCTATAAAATCTCTTCTTCTTATTTTCGGATTCAGACAAGCTCTGAGGCTTTTTTGTTTTGCCTTGCGGCGTGTGGGACTGGGCATATGACCCTGCGGGAGTGATGCCCAAGTAGTTAAACTGCGATACTTGTACTGTGATGCCGGCCAAGGGCGATAATCCTCACAGCCGCATGACGGCACCATTCTCACCTTGCACCCGAAATTGCGAACCCAAAATAGCGAAAATGTACCCGAACGGGAAATTTTCGTGCAAATAAATGGACATATGATTGTATGGTAATTGGTACCTTTGATGCTGACGGCACAAGTTGACTCTTCATCTCCAGTGTCGAATGAGTAGTGGCCGACATCTTCAGCAGAAGCAACGGGAATGATGAGCTTTTGGTGTTTGCCGTCATCAAGTTCTTGGAACTTGTAGTGTGGATCCCATCTTTCCAGAGGAACTCCATCCTTTCTCCATCCAGAGGACTCGGGATCGGGCTTTCGGTCGAGTTTGACTTCAAAGACGAGTGGCATATCCAGATCTCCAGTGATTTCCTTGGGAAGAGACTGGACAAGCTTGCATGGGTCACCAGAGACCTTGACGTGGGCCTGGCATTCTTCTCCAGTTCGGCTAAGTCGGAACTTGAGAGTGCCAACGATTCCCTTGTGAGCCTTGGCGAAAGTGATCTTGTGAATTTCTCCCTTGGCCAATGGAATGTCGATGTCAGCAGACTTTCGAATCTGGTTTCCGTTGAGGTACCACTCGCCCTTCGCGTTTGGCTGGCTAACCTTGACAGAGAAAGCCGCTTGAGCGCCCATGGAGAAGGCATACTTATCGTTGAGTGGCTCAACAATCGTAAGATCAAGTCCCTTCACCATGAGCATAGCAGAAGAAAGAGCATCCTCAGCTCTGCACTGGATCTCAGACTTATTATCTTCGTCTTCAGAAGTGTTCTTGATGGTGAGTCGGGCAATCTTGCCGTCTGTCTCCATCTGAACCTGAGCAGATTTGATGATACGGCTTCCATCTCGGTACCAGATAGCGTCAACTTCTTCATGAGAAAGCTCACATTCGAAAACGGCGGTTTCTCCTTCTGAAACGCTGACGTCCTTGAGGTTCGAAACCATAAGGATGTTTCTTGGCTGGACTTTCAGCTTAGCAGTGACAATAGCATCATCGCATGTGCAAGAGTAGTCCTTTTCGTCAGCGAATTCGACCTTTGGAATTCGGAGAATTCGGTGAGGCCCATCTTCGATCATCTCGTACTTCTTGCCTGGCTTGAGAAGTCGTCGTCCCTTGAACCATTTGACCTGAGCAGTGGCTCGAGATAGAGTGCACTTGAACTCAGCCTGGGTCTTTTCCTCAACTTCGATGTTATCCATCTCTTCTGTGAAATCAACGGGTGACTCAAGGACGGTAAGAGAAGCAGCGGTCTTGCCATAGAACTCGACCTTGCCAGCCTGAGTAAGCTGAACGTTCTTGAGGACAAGTCGCTGGCGAGTTCCAGATTGCTCAAAGACAACGTCTTCAGACTCCTGGAGGAGCTGGCCGTTGATAGTCCAGTGTGGGCTGACATCTGCAAAAGAAGTATCACAGGTAAAGTCGGTCTGCTCTCCTTCGTAGCACTGTTGGTCCTGGAGGTGTCGTCGGATTCTAACATCTCGAGCAGCAACTTCGAGCTTGGCAACTGCAGAGTTGACTTCATCATCTTCTTCATCCTTGACGCCTCGAACGGTGATTTCACCAGCATCAGAAAGCCGGACGTTATCGATGATGAGCTTTCGTCGTCGTCCCTCAGAAACGATCTCGAATCGACCTTCGTTGGAAATTACAGCACCCTGACCATCGACCCACTCGACCTTGCCGTTGAGTCGGTTGATTTCGATCTCAAATTCAACAATTGACGCTTCAGTGACTGACTGATCGATCATGCTTCGAGTAAAAGTAACTGGTGGCTCCTTGACGATGATCTCGTTGGTTGACTTGGCGTTGTTGCAAACAAAGACAACTTCGCCAGCTTCATCTCGAGTGGCGTTCTTGATGGTAAGAGTATGTTTTCCATCATCATTGGCCAGCCGGATTCGATCAGTTCGGTTAAGCTTGACGCCGTTGATGAACCATTGTCCAGTTGCTCGTGGGTCGGAAACGGTGACAGAAATAGATGCTTCGTCGCCTTCCTTGACAACAGTCTTCGGAAGCTCCTCAAGAACGTCGACAGGAGTAGCACAGACAGAAAGGCTAGCTTCTCCCTGAATACCCTCGGCATTGAAAGAAATAACTCCACCATCATCTTGTCCGATTTCTTTGACAAGAAGCTTGTAGATGCAGCCATCTTCAGTCGGCTCGGAAACCATCTCAATAGTTCGAGACTTGGCAAGCTTTTGACCATTTCGGAACCAAGTGACCGCGACTTCAGTGTGAGTGAGCTCGAAGCTCATTTCACCGACAGATCCTTCAGCAGCGGTAGAGTCGGACATCTGAGCCTTGAGTTTGATATCACGGGCACAGACAGTCAGTGTCATGGTTGTCTTTGTAGACTCAGCATCACAAGTGTAAGTTCCCTCGTCATCGTAAGTCAAGTCATTGATGATGAGAGTTCGCTGGCCATCAGTATCAACGATCTCATATTTATCAGAAGCCTGGATAGGGATTCGTCGGTCCTTGAGCCATCTGGTCTTGACAGATCGTGAAAGTCGGCAGGAGAAGGTAGCCTTAGATTTTTCTTCGCAGACCTTGTCTTCAAGCTGCTGAACGAAGCTTGGTGGAGCTTCAAGAACGGCCAAATTGGCAGTTCCTTTGACGCGGCCAGAAGTCCAAACAACCATACCGGTGTGTTCAGTGGCAGCGAACTTAACCTTGAGGATATGCTTTTTGCCTCTGACAGAAGTTTCGAAAACGTCGCCATCTTCAACAGCGATGCCGTTGACTTCCCACGAGCCAGTGACGTTCTCGTAGTTGACATCGAGCTCAAAGCTGGCAGACTCGCCCTCAGTGACCTCCATGTCGGAGAGCTTTTTAAGGATCTTGATGTCTCGTCCTTCGATCTGGAGCTGCGCAATGGTCTCATCATCTTCACTGACACACTTGACGTCTCCTTCATCAGCAGACGAGCAGTTGGAGACGATAAGAGTTCGTCGTCGGTTGCTAACTTCGATCTGATATTTATCGCCAGCCTCGACTTCGACGTCTTTGTGGAACCACTTGACGTCAGCGTTAGGTCGAGAAATTTCACATTCAAATACAGCGGAATCAGCTTCAGTTGCAGACTGGTCAGCAAGTCGCTTAGTGAATCGGGCACCAGGCTCCTTGACATCAAATTTGCAGCTGGTGACAAGGTTACCAGCTTTGAAGATGAGCTCACCAGATTGAGAGAGCTCGCAATTATAGAGCTTGAGGCTATGAACGGTTCGGAAAGCACCGAGCTCGACAGATTTCGAAGCAACAAGTTCTTCTTCTTCATCGCCCTTCTTAAGAATCCAGACAGCTGGAATATCAGAGTGAGAGATCTCAATCTCGAACTCAGCAGTATCTCGCTCGATAACAACAGTATCTTGGATACCAGCACCGACGACAGTGATATTCTGGTCAGTGACTTCCAAAGCAGATTCGGTCTGGTCATCACCACAGTCGCAGACGTAGACACCGGCATCATCATAGTTGACGTCGCTGATGATAAGCTTGACAGAGGTTTGTCGCTTAATCATGTCGAACTTTCTGCTGGCAGCGATTTCTTCACCGTTCTTGTACCACTTGACATTTACGTTCGCTCGGTTGAGCTCAGCTTCGAAAGTAACAGACTTGGTAGCGTTCTCAACTGCAATATCGTTCAATGGAGTGGTGAACTTAGCGGCGGATTCCTTGACAGACAAAGCAGCAGTGTGCTTAGCATTGAGGATCGAAACAGAAATATCACCAGACATTTCAAGTGAAACAGCCTTGATTCGCATGCCGTAGTTAGGTCCATCAACGAAAAATTCAACATTGTCGTCAGCTCGGACCTGAATGCCATTGATCATCCATCGTGCCTCTTGATCAATTTCAGATGCTTTGACAACGAGCTCAAGAGGTTCCCCAACCGTCTTGGTCTCATCACCAAATGGCTCGAGGATGTTCACTTGCATGGTGGTGATAGAGAGCTTAGCAGCGCACTTGCTGTCGCCAACTTGGCAGCTGAACTGGGCTTCGTCATCGAAAGAAGCATTCTTGACAATAAGACTTCGGACCAAGTCCTTGGCGACCATTTCGTACTTGTCAGAGAGATGGAGCTTGGTTCGGCCCTTGAACCAGGTGACTTCAGCACCGCCCTTTGAGACAGTACATTCAAAGACACCGTTTTCGTTTTCGAGAACAGTGATGTCGTTGATAGGAGCCTTGAAAACGCATGGAGCTTCGACAACATCGAATCGGGCTTCCTGCTTGGCCCCGTCAGTCTGGAAGACAATAGAACCAGACATCTTCAGATCAGCCTTATCGATGACGATAACATGTCGTCGCCCTCGACTTGGATATCGATGTTATCACCAATAGTTTGTTCTTCTCCGTTGATAAGCCACTGAGTTTCAACATCTTCATGGGAGATTTGAAGTTCGAAAGAGGCTTTTTCGCCCTCAATTACTTCAAGATCCATCATCTTCTTCGTGATTCGGATGTCTCGGCCACCAACAACAAGTTCGCAAGTGGTCTCGTCATCACCGGCATCACAAGTCCATTTACCTTCGTCTTCTTGGACAACAGATTTGATAACGAGAGCTCGTCGTCGACCATCAGAAACGAAATCATATCGATCACCAGCAGAAACTGGCTCGCCGTTGAGTTTCCATACGACCTCAGCGTTTGGTCGATTGACTTCACAGCTGAGAACACACTCTTCTTTCTCAGTAGAGGCTTCGTCTTGAAGTCGCTTAACGAACTTAGCTGGAATTTCTTTGACAGCAAGCTTGGCAGCGGTCTCAACACCTTCGACAACGAATTTGTAATCTCCAGCATCTTCCTGAGTGGCGTCATTGATGGTAAGAATGTGTGCAGTTCCCTGAACGGACATCTCGATCTTCTTAGAAGCAGCAATTTCTTCACCATTGAAGAACCACTTGCCCTCCATGTTGACGTGAGTAATCTCAGCTTCAAAGGAAAAGCTTTCTCGCTCAAAGCATTCGGAATCAGCAAGTGGAGTGACGAATTTGATGTTAGCTGGGATAACATTCAATTTGGCAGAGGATTTGACTTCGCCAGCATCACAAGTGTACTCAGCAGCATCATCGTAGGAGATGTCGTGAATAACGAGAGATCGTTTAGCTCCATCAATGCCCATTCCGAATTTTCGGGATGGGAAGATTTCAGCGCCGTTGACGAACCACTGCACGTTAGCGTTAGCTCGGCTGAGTTCACATTCAAGCTCAACAGAGGCCATTTTGTTTTCGGCCTCTTTGTCTTCGAGAGCTTTGGTGAATCGAAGAGCAGCCTGGTTGACCTTGACCTTGGCGAGAGATCGAACACCTGCGGCGTTGAACATAACTTCAGAGTTGTCCATGATGTTGGAGTTGGCAATCTTGAGAGTGAAATTAGCACCCTCAGACTCCATAGTAACTCGAGGAGACTTAGGAGTAAGTTCCATGCCGTTCTGGAACCACTGAGTTGGTTTGATATCGGGAAGATTGAGTTCAACATTGAAAACAATTTCGTCTCCCTCGGTGACTTCCAAGTCGCTGAGGCTCTTGACAAACTCAACTGCAACAGTTTGAACAGTAAGAGCAGCGGTAGTTTTAGCATCTTCGGCCTTGCAGCTGTAGTTAGACTCGTCATTGTAGCCAACATCGGAAATGGTAAGAGTTCGTTTGAGTCCGTCAGCGGCCATTTCGTACTTGGGGCCGGCCTTGATCTCATCCTTGTTCTTATACCACTTGACTGGAACATCTCGGGAGAGAGTACATTCGAATGTTGCAACCTTGCCTTCTGCAGCACCCGCATCCATCATGTTAGAAGTGAAAGAAACAGGTGCATCCTCAACAGTCAAAGCAGAGCCAGCAGAGAGGTCGTTGAGGTGAGCAGCGTACTTTTGGCATCATTTTTGGTAAGATTGTGAACGGTAAGTCGTCGCTTTCGACCGTCCTTCTGGATAGTGTATTTACCATCGACTTGAGCAATTGGCTCGCCATCGGCGCTCCAGGTGACTTCAGCATCAACGGAGGAAACACTGATCTCATAGACAACATCTTCTTTCTCAGTGGCAAACTTGTCTTCAAGCTTGGAAGTAAACTTGATGTCCTTGGTAACAGCGAGCTGAGCTTCACATCGAATGTGTTCAACTTCAACAGCGATAGTTCCGGCCATATCCATGGAAACATTGTCCATGATGCAGGTGAGAATCTTGCCTTCGTTTCTTAGGACGCTATCGCCTCCAGAAGTGATCTTGTTACCGTTCAAAGTCCAGGTGACCTTTCGAGATGGCTTAGAAAGCTCAACGAAGAACTCAGCAGATTCTTTCTCGCCAACTTCGGTGTCTTCAAGAGCGCGAACAAACTTGAATGCTTCGACACAGATTCGTCCAAAAGTCTTGGCATCAGGAGTGGCGCAGCAATATTCACCGGCATCAGAAGCCTTGACGTCTCTAATTTCGATCTTTCTGTTAGTACCGTTAGCCTTGACGCTAAGTCGGTCGGTGTCGGAGAGTTTCTTCCAGCTGTTATCAAGCTCGTATCCTTCAACAGTACCTCGGTAAACTGGCGGAGGAGTGTAAGTCATTGCTGGAGCAGCAACAACCTTGACATTGGCGGATGATTTTGTACCGTCCTTGAGAGTAGCAGTGTAAACACCACTGTCACTCTCGTCAGCATCAGCAATAGCCAAAGTTCGTCGGTAGCCATCAGTACCCATTTTGTACTTGCCACCATCCTGAATCTCCTGGCCGTCCTTGTCCCAAACAACGACGAGCTCGGGGAAGTTGACATCGCAGCAGAGCTCGGCAGTCTGGTTGATTGGGAACTCCGCATCAGAGAGCTCATTGGCGAAGGCTGGGCCTCGGTAGTACCAACTGACCTCGGTAGTTGGAACTCCAACCTCGCAATCGATGAAGACGCATTTGTCGTTCTCTTCGGCATGGGTCTCGGCTTCGATTCCCTTTGCGAATCCAGGAGCAGCTAAAATAAAAATGATATAAAACTAGAAAATATAATTCATGAAAAAATTTGAAACCGTGAAATGTATAATTCTTGATGTATACATTCGAAAATAGCGCAGACGCAATAAAAAAAATCTGCAATGTGAACATACTGGTTTTCAGATTGGCCTTGGTCGAGGCAGTCTCGCCTGCCTCCTCAACTGTGCAGACAACTTCGTAGTTATCTTTAACACCGTCACAGTCTTCGATTGTCAATTTCCTGGTAAAGCCACGAGAGGTAACTCTGAACTTGGCGCTATTCTGGACCGGCTTTCCACCAGCAGTCCATCTAGCAACTGCATCCCGGCGAGTGACGTTTGTTTCAAAGCGTGCGGTTTCTCCAGGTTTTACGATTTGATCGTCCATGTTTAGAGTGAATCCAAGAGGCAAATCTTTTACATTGAGCGAAGCCTTCTGCTTCGCTTGGTTGCCTAGAGCAGAAAAAGTAATTTCTCCAGAGTCGTCAACAGTCTGTTTTCGCAAAATAAGTCGATATCGTATTCCACCCTCAACTTGCTCTTCCAGCATTTCAACGTCATCGCTTTCCCGGAGAGGAGCGCCATCTTTCTTCCAAAGAGGTTCAGCGTTTTTTGAGTTGAGAACCGTGTCGAAAATAGCATCGCCATCGAGTGGGCATTCAACGTTGGCGAGAGACTTGATAACCTTGAGCTCGAGCTCGTTCACCTTCAACGAAGCGCTGGTCTTTTCTTCTCCCATTTCGCAAGAATATCGTCCTGCATCGTCGAAAGTGGCATTTTTGATGACAAGCTTTCTCGCGCGACCTGTAAAAATGAGTATTTGGAACATGGAAAATATTACCTTTAGATTCGAAATCGTATTCCGCAGCAGGTCGAAGTTCTCGGTCGCCCTTGAACCAAACAACAGGAGCATCAGGATCGGAAACAGAGCATTCAAACTCAACTCGGTCTCGTCGATTCTTGACAAGGTCTCGGAGTGGAGAGTCGAATCTCGGTGGTGGAGCTATGTTTGATATGATATCCATTTTTAAGTGATTGACATTGAGATATCTGCTATGTCTTGGAGAATTTCTTCCGTGCCATTTGATGCAGGAAAATCAATAATCATGAATCGAGATTCTTGATTATTGAGACGCAATTCGTGTCTTTAACTGACAAAGTACTGTGACTTTGAGTGTGTACTTTCTTCAATCTTGATAAAAAAATAATGATCAAGATTGGTTTCCTTGGACAATCTGAACCAGTTGTTCACATTGAAGATTTAAGCGTGGTTTTATAAGAAAGCGGGAAATTAAAAATAGCATTGTGTTGTTTACCGTTGGCGATGACTGTCAGTTTTGCTAATGTTTTGTAGTTTATATTCAGAAATGATAAAGTTGCAATAATTGAGTGTACAGTCACAGAAGGGAGGCAAGATCATCATTCACAGAGTAACTGAAAATGATGTATGGACGACTTGAAAGATATTTTTCATGCTTTTTCATCGAAGAAGTCAAAATATCGCAATTATCAAAGTCCTCCACATTTCTTTACATCCCAAACTGCTTCTACGAAATGAGAACCATTTCGGAAAGTTACCACTGGTTGCAATGAGCAAGTCTCGTTGGCTACCAGTCGATTTGCCAAAATCCATTCTGCAGGTGACTTCGCCTTCCAAGAATTTCTTCGCAGTGAGTGACAATGAGTGTCCACCCTTTCCATCTTCTTGGACGTTGAAGCTTGAAGCTTTGTCACGTGGGTTGATGTACGTAACTCGATCACTTGAATCCTAAAAACTGTTTTATTTATAGAATCAAGGGAAGATAAGCTTACCCTGAAATACCAGACCACCTCTTGATTCGGATCGTCGATTCGACAAATGAAATTGATCTTCTTTCCTTCATCAACATGTTGATCTTCCAGATTCTTCAAAAATACTGGTGGCTCATAAAGCACTTTCAGTTGCGCTTCAGATTTCGCCTTTTCACCATCTTCGTTTGACACCTCGACCGTGTATGTTCCAGCGAATCGTTCAATCGCTTCGTCGCATTCCAGAGAATGCTTGTTTCCCTTTGATTTGACAGCAACAAATGGGAATTTTTGCCCTTGATCCGTTCTGTAATATTCTGCCATTGTCTTGTAGATCGGGATCTTTTCGCCATTCAAGTACCAAGTCGCTTCAAGGTCGGCATAATTCGTCGTTGATGAAAAGCTGAATTTCGTTCCCAGCATCGCTGATGTAGATTTCAACTCCTTGACGAATGAAATTGGCTCTCCTGGCGGTGGAGTTGGTGGAGGAGGAGTAGGAGTGCGTGGCGGCGGAGGTGGCGTTTTTGGCCGCTCGACGGGTGTCTTCGGTCGTTCTGGTGTTTTTGCTCTCTCTGTGTGTTGAATTTAGATTTAGAATTTGGATTGTTTTTTTTTCGAAATTTTAATTAAAATATTTAATCATGAGGATTTTCCATTTGATTGAATTCATAAACAGTAAAAGAACGATTCCAGATACTTGATGATTCACCATGTACTGGTCGCGGATTTTCAATTGAACCGAGAATTCTCTCAGTAATTGAAGTCATCGCCAACGGATTAGTTTTTTTGTTTGTTTGTGGTTTGGTTAGTGGGTCGTGTTGGGAGGAAAAGACATTTCGTGAATGACTTTTCGGAGAATCATTAAGTCGTGAGCAAAATGATTGACAAAAAATGTTCTTTTTGTCGAGCGTTGGAAAATGGTAAATTTGCGGAATGAGCGTTTGTGCGATTTGTGGCAGTATTTACCCTTTGATTTCTGGGGAGTTTCCGACAGAACTTCTGGTTCGGGGGAAACTCTGTTAACTAAGGCATTTGATTAAGTAACTGTCAGTAAATTCTTGATATAAATGCAAGATATCGCATCACTTTATTTTTGATTATATTCTTACCACGCTCAACGGGTTTCTCCTTCTTGATTTCAATAATAGGCTCGGGCGATGGAACTGAAAAGTGATGATTGATAAACGTTAAAAGCGAAAGCGATAGTCGGACTAGCCTGACCAAAAAGATGTGCGTATCTTTTTTTTAGGCATAAAATTTTCTTTTATGCCTGTTTTGCTTATGAGGAGCGCATGGATCATATGGAGGTGCTACGAATAGGATTTTGCTTATTCGCAAAAGAAAATCTTGATAACGTCTTCTATGTTATCAAACTTGGTGATTTTGGCGGATGCGCAAAATTTTATGGCGTTTTGTCTTACCACGTGCACTCTCAACTTTTTTGATTTCTTTCGGTTTAGGAATCTCCTCTCTCGCTAAAAAAAAATCTGTGAAGAAATTGTCATAAATGCGAAGCGAGCGATAGTTTACATAATATCAGAGCTATATTATGTGACTGGATGAGCGATAAAATTTAAATGGCCCATCTAATGGGATTGAAATGGGAATTAATTCCATATAAGAATTTTATTTGGAATCTGGTGAGCGGTGGAGCTTACCGGGCTCGTCTATCTGGACGGGGGACTGTGGTTTGGGAACTTCCACAACCTTAGGTTTTGGCGGAACTATAAAATTCAATTTAATTAATTTGTACTCAAAGAAGCGAAATGAATCCGAAGCTTTCAGTGGTCCTTGTCACACTGTGTGCTATCATAATAATAATTATGATAAAATATGGAAGTGACTCTGTGTGTGCTTTGAAAGAAATTTTCAAGGCCTACTAGAATGGAAGCGATGATGCTGGTGCACAAGAATCCGTGGGGATTTCTTAAATGCAATGATGCTCATCTTACCCTCTTGTTTTACGATAGTTTTAGGGGGCGCAGTTTGAATTTCCTTCTTGATTTCAGTTTTGGGAACAGGGCTTTGCCTGTTACTGACTTTTACAGGTGTTTTGGCCTGTTTTTGCGGCGGCTTGCGTGACTCACCCTTTACTTCAAGATTGGCGGTAGACTTGGCTGGGCCAGCTTCGATGCGGTATTCACCCTTGTCCTCTTCGGTGACGTTCTTGATAACCAACGAGTGGCTTTCACCATCGTGGCTCATGTGGTACTTCTCGCCTTCTTCAAGTTGAGTGTCCTCCTAGAAATAATTGAAATCTGGATCTGCTGTAGAACTGCACAAACCTTGAACCACTTGACGTCGACGTTAGGAACATTGATGCGAATCTCAGCTTCAAAGATAGCATCACCCTGGGCAACAGCAATGACATCTCGAATATCCTGGAGAATGTCAACGGGCTCTTTGCCAACGGCTTCGATGCATTTTTGCCAGATTTCTTCTTCGGGAACCAAAGAGATGGCGGATTCGGGAGTGGGAAGATTTTCGACTTCATCGATTTCTTCCGACTCGACATTGGCGGCCACTTCTTCATAAGTGGTGAGCAAGTGTCGGAAATCTTTGACACCGAAGTGGTTGGCGTACTTTTCGTATTCCTTGGGATCGACATCTCGGAGCATCTTCACGGTATCGAACTCGTTCATATCATCCTTGACGACGGGCTTCTTTGGCTTGAGAGCAAATCGATCGACAGACTCTCGTACTTGAGCCTTTTCAACAACATTGAGAGTGAAGCTAGCTTCTGCTTCTCCCTTGTCGTTCTTGGCAACACATCGGTAAGTTCCCTTGTCGGGCTTCTGGATTTTCTTGATGTTCAAAGTAGAGATTCCAGACTCAACGTTGAAGTCGATAGAAATTCGACCAACAGCGCTGAGCTTGCCCCACTTGCCCTTGTACCACTGGATTTCGGGCTTGGGATCACCAGCGATTCGGCATTTGACTTCAGCGGCTTCACCGATGGTGAACTCGGCGTCTTCAGGAGCAATGACAAACAGAGGTTTGCCGGCATCTGGAAGAGGAGTGAGAAGTTCCACGGGCTTGGAAAGTCGTGCAGCGTTGACAGAAGTTCGCTTTTCTTTGCCGGGAATGTTAAGCTTCAAGGGCTTCTTAGTTGACTTGCGGGCTTTCTTTTCTTCTTCGACCTTGTCAAATTTGATGAAATCTGGTGAGGTTGGGCTCGTTGGGCTTGCGCGCTTTTTGAGTTCAGGAAATTTAAGAGGCTCTTCTTGCTCTTTAACACCCTTACCAGCTGGCTTCAGCTGTATCTTTTCAGCTGGGGGAGCCGCCTCGACAGGCTTAGTTTTAATAGGCTTTAACTTGGGCATTTCTTCTGGTTTCTCCTCCTGCTTAGGAAGTTGTTTAGGCGCGGCCTTCTTCTTCTCTGGGGGAGTCTCTCGTTTGGCCGAAGCTGGAGGAGATGCGATTGGAGGAGATATCTTTTTAGTCGCTGGGCGAGTTGACGGGTCGACCTCGACCTCTTCATTGGTGACAACTACGTGACCATCCTGGCTAAGCCGCTGGTGGGTGATCACATCAACTGAACGCTGAGAGGAAGCAGATGTTGGTCTATCATCAACACTGACATTGATGGTGACGGTCCATCGCGCCTCGCCGAGCTCGTTTTCGGCAACCATGGTGTATTTGCCGCTATCCTTGGCGGTAGCGGACTCGAACTCCAAGCAGCAATAACCAGCATCTTGGTACATCTTGAATCGGGTGTCGATGATTTCTTCCGAGTTGAATTCCCAGTGAACCTGTGGGGTTGGCTGACCGACGACCTTGCCGGCAAGTTTGACCTCAGAACCGATCTTATAGTTGCCGCCCTCTGGTCGCTCAACAACCTCTGGTGGAGATCCCTCGACAGTGAGGTCAGCAGCATTTGAAGCAGAGCCAGCTGCGTTCTGGAGAGTGACGGAATAGTTTCCAGAAGATCCGAGATGATCAGCAGAAGAAATGATCAAAGCAGTGTAGCCGATGTCATTAACGACTTCAGCACGGCCGCTAGAAGCATCAAGAGCAGTTCCATTTCGATACCAGGCAACGTCAACGTTGTTTCCAATGTACTCAACTTCGAGGACAACACGCTCACCAGCTTTGCAAGATGTGTTCTCGAACTTTCGAGTGATAATTGGCGCATCCACTATAACAAGTGTTAATTGTTACCTGTTTATCATTATGTTAGTGACAAGTTAAGCTGTGCTGATTCTAGTGTAGTCAATATCGTCATACTAAAGTGCCCTGTATGTAGTAAATCTGCTACTGTGCATGATCTATCTACCAAAACGTGATATGATTGGTATCAGATGGCTCACCGAGGGTACTAGAGTCAAAATTGTAGATAGAGTCTGTTTGACCGTCGCTTGAAGATAATGACTTGTCAGGTATGCATAATTTTCAATTAAAATTTCTTCTTCAATAAATATTTTTTCAAATATTATAAAAATTAAATCAAATTAATTTTTAAAATTTCAAGTCATAATTGGATAACCATTTGCTTTATCCATTGTTATCAAGAATACCTTCACGAAACGGAGTCAAAATCACTCTCACCTTGGATGGGTGTGATCGGCGAGGTCTCGCCAGATCCTTCTGAGAAAATCGGGGACAGGGCTGAGCCTGTTGAGTATCTCAAAGGTGGCAAGCTGGACTCCCCGATCTCGCCCGAGTAAAGATCTTCAAGCTCGTCAAGAAGCGTTTCTATTAGTAAGGGTTAGCGAAGGTTACATTATTATAGAAATTATAATAAGCGGAAAAATGCAAAAGAGCCTGTTTCTGGTACTGAAAGATGCAACTTTGCGTTCTGCTAAAAATTACTAAAGCGATTTTTTTTCTATACAAAAGATTGTTTATTGAAAATTGCAAAAAGAAGCAGGTATAAAAGCAGGGAGAGCATTAGAATGGTGGAATGAGAAAATTTGTTAGTATTTTTGAACATAAGCTTGATTATAAAATAGAAAAAAAAACATGTGTTCGTAATATGGTTCTCACGCTGGAAATCCGTGGTATCCATATTCGTCAGTCTCGCTCATTCTAATTCCACGAGTTTTGAAATTTGTTTTTTGACCTACTCAAAAAACCAAAGTTAAACATGTCAGGATTAATTATGTGATTGGCGATGTAAATGTATATAAAAGGTGCTAAAGGTCAACAAAATGTTTTCCGAATGAGTCTTTTCCGATTTCAAACTCATTCCTCGTGTTGCGTCCTCCGAAGTCGATCGTGATTTCGGAGATTGTGTCCATTCCGTCGTCGTCTGTGTCGAGGAAGACTTCGGAATCGGAGAGAAGATTCTTCCGTGTCAAATCTTCATTTTCAATGACACTGTTATGGCCGAGTTGAGCGTTTCTCAACTCTCGCCTTGCGATTTCAAGGTTGGTTGCGTTGCCTTTGATGGAGTCTTCGATGAATCTCTGGGTGAGACGGTATTTCTGCTGGAAGCTCTTTTGTCGTTCCTTTTTTCGGCATTCTTCTTCGGTCATTTTTCTTTTCGTTCTTTTTATTGATAAGAAAATATTTCGAATAAACCGAGAAATCACCGTTTTCATTTATTTTTCTCTTTCAGATGATTCCGTTACTTTATATTTCAAAATTATTATGCAACTTTTAGTTAATTTTCTAATCGTTCCTAGTGTTGAGACTAATCGATAAATTCGTCTCTAGCTCACTTTCCGTCTCGTTTGAGAGCAAATTCTCCCGGCTTGCCCTTCTCAACTGGAATTCCTGACGACTCTTCTCACTGAAGCCACTAGTCATTGAAACTGGTGATTCTAGCGCAGGTCTCATTGTACTCGTCGGCGTTGGAAAGAGGTCAGTGTTTGTTGGTGATGCTACTGTTGTCCCAGTAGCGGGAGTGTAAACTGTCGATGTGTCAGTTTCAGTGTCAGTAGTGGTCGTGTCGGTGATGTAAGACGTTTTTTCGACGAAGTTTTTAGAAACGAAGCTCATCAAATCCTCAGTGGATCGATACTTGGGTTCTTCTGGTGGGTCAATTGTTGCATAGGAGTCCAAGGAAATAGCGTCGTCATCACCATTGATCGTGCTGAGAGACACGAGCGAATTTCGGCGACTATCGTGTCGGCTTTCGTCGGTGCTCTGGAGATCATTGACGATGGAAACTTCCGCCGCTCTATTTTTCAGGAGATTTCGATAATTTGCCTCTGCTAAGTCGATCACATCGGGGTTCTTTTCTGGTGTTGGTGTTTTATCATCACGCTCAGAGATAGGAGCGGAAATGGTGGATAGAGGAGTGAGATCTTGAATTTCCGGATTTCGTTCAACAACAAAAGACTGCGTCGGAGTCAGCATCGTTAGAGTTGATCGAATAGATTCAACAGATCGAATTGAAGAGCGACGCGAAGATGCTGCTGAGCGCAAGGATCGAGTGAGCTCATCTTCAGTGACTTCGAAAATTGGCGAAAGCTCCCGAGGTAAATAGTCTTCAGATGTTAGGGAGTCTTCGTCGATGTCAACATCAACTTGCTCGAGTCGCAGCTCCTGAGAGAGCTCTGGAATGTCAGAAGAGTCGATTTCAGCTTCATTTTCGACGATTTCGATCATTTCAAACGGCTCATCGGAGTAAATGATGCATTCATTTGTTGCTGATCCAGCTTCATTTTCAGCAATGACGGTAAAGACAGCTTCTTGGCGCCAATATTCGTGATAAATGGTAATAGAAACTTTGTTTCCAATCCATTTCTTGCGGTACTCATTCAATTTGAGCTCATTTGAGTTTTTGTAGAGAGAAAGAGACGGTTTCGGGAATCCGTTGATAATCATATCGAATTCTAGATTTTGCTCTGGCGCGATTTGGAAATTTCTGAGCGGCTGAAGAAAAGCTGGTTTGGTGACAGAGGGTCGTTCTTCAGATCTTCTGATGAAATCTTTTTTCTTTTCAGAGTGTTCATTTTCCATGATCTTTTGGGGCTTTTTCGGTGAGCTCAGCGATCCGATTCTCAGCTGAGATTTTTCTATTGAAGGAATTGATAGTTCAACGCTGACTTTATTTGAGGAAGAAAACATCTTTTTCTCGGGACTTTCGCGTTTTGTGCTCACGGCGATGATGTTGAGCGAGGAGGTATTGATGTTTGTGGCCACATCGGAGCTCTTGCCAACTTGACCAACGAGATTTTTGGCTTTTCAAAGTCTGGAGTTTTTCTGTGTTTTGGCTTTTCGGTCAAGAACAACTTTCCGCCGGCTGAAACTGCGTTCATTCCTTTAGTCGGTCCTTTCGCGGCCACCTCTTTTTGAGCATTTTGTTCTTGCTTTGGCGGAACAGGGCTTGATCTCTTTTTCGTCAATTTGACGACTTTTGTGCCTTCCGATTTTTGTTCGACTGGCTTCGCCTTTGGTTGTAATTTCGGAATCGTGAAATTTGTCGAAATTGTCTCCGCTTTTCGTTTTGTTTCGTTGGACGAAGCAGGCTGGGCCTTTGGTAAGTCGGGTTTCGCGCCTTCTGAAGCTGACGATCGTGGCGAAGATTTTGTCGAAGATTTTGTTGATCCTCTTCGACTGCCTCTTTCCTGAAGGACTCTCATTGCGCTCTCAGAGATTTCTAAGTCGGATGTGTCTTCCAGCCGTTCTTTGATGGCTAGAAGTTTTTGGATCATTTCTTCATTTGGATTTCGATTCTTGCGCCCCGATGCTGGTCGAGACGAATCGGATTCGGATCCAGATGAGTACAGAAAAGGAAACTTTGACTTCTGTGGCGTTATTCGAGGTGAGAAGAGAACCATCTCGGCAAGGCCTAAATTACTAATAAATAATTTGAAAAAATTAACAAGTCAGATCAAACATATAAAGAGACAAAGATGATAACTCACCATTTTGGGGACTCCAGTTGACGCCTTCTTGAAACGTGCTTGCATCGCTCTTGTCTCACTGTTTTGTTATCAAAACTGGTTCATTTCTCTTATTTTCCATTCGCTTTGCAAGCGATACAGTAGCATATTATACTGTCAGCAAAATATAATATAAAAACAAAACAAGTCAAACAGGGCTGCATTGCACGTTTCGAACACACCTGAGTCCCCAAAATTCACGAAAAATATGAAGAGAGATGAAGTCGAAAAGGCAATGCAGCCAGCTATGTCTAGTTACGATTGAGTGACCTGAGCCTAATGATGATAGAACGGATGAAAAGCAAGAAAACCTGCGCCTGCAGGGAACATCAAGCATATTTATAGAAATTAGAAGCGAAAAACGGTACTTACTTTGCTGCTCAGGCGCTGGCTCTTGGACTTGCTCTTCTTCCTGCTCCCAAGATTTCTTCTCGACAATGTTGAGATTGGCCTTGCACATGACGGTACCAGTTGAGTTCTTAGCAGTGGCAGAATATTGGCTGACATCAGCTTCAGTGCAGCAGTTGACAATGAGCTTGACAACATTTCCTTCCTGAATGATCTCGTGCTTTCCGCTGGGCATGATCTGGGTTCCTTGCTTGTAGAAGGTCACAACTGGGGTAGGAACACCAGCGACTTCAACGTAAAATTCAGCATCTTCGCTCAAATCAGCTCCAGCATCAGAGAGTTCTCGGACAAAACTGGCGGGTTCTTCCTTGGCCTGGACGTTCAAGAAAGCAGTAGCAACTTGAGTTCCGGTTTTGAAAGAATATTCACCAGAGTCGTTAATGTCGAGTTCCTTGACAATAAGCTTGTGGTAAGTTCGGTCGACAACGTAGTTGTATTTGGCTTCTTCGATGTTGACCTGGATTCCGTTGTGGAACCAGTTACCTTCGGCACCTTCCTTGTTGACCTGGAATTCGATCTCGGCGTAGTTCTTATCCAAAGAAGCGGCAACTTCGATGTTAGTGGAAGATACAAATTTGACTTCAGCAACTTCGACGAAGAGAACAGCGGTCGACTCAGTTGAGCCAACATGGCAGGTGTAAGAACCAGCATCTTCAACGCAGACATTCTTGATGGTCAAGAAACTCTTCTTGCCCTCCATTCGGGATTGATACTTAGCATTAGGCTTAATGCGGACATTATCACGAGTCCAGAAGACAGTTGCGTTGGAAGTGGTTGTGACGGAGAAAGTAGCGTCTTCGCCCTCATTCTGAACGCAGTCAACAGCATCTTCCATGATTTCAGCGGCATTGACTTGGAGATTAGCAGCAACAGATTCATCAGCAGCAAGGAAGACGATCTCGCACTTATCCCGAACAGTACAGTTGTGAATGAGAAGCTTGTAGGAAAGTCCCTGGACAATGATCTCGTATTTATCGTCGGAAACATCGATCTCAACTCCGTCTCGGAACCAATGAGTTTCGAGGTCGGATTTGGTAACTTCGCATTCAAAAACAGCGGTTTCGCCTTCAGCAACACTGGTGTCCTTGAAGTTCTTGGGGATGATGTAAGCGACCTCGACAAACAAATTAGCAGAGGACTGAATGTTCTGACAGGCGTAAGTGTAAACACCCTCGTCTTCTGGTCCAGCTTCGGCGATGATCAAAGATCGGACAACGCCTTCGGTGATTGACTTGACTCGGTCAGAATCAGCGATTGGCTGACCATCCTTGAACCAAGCGCCGGGAACATCGGCAGTAAGCTCAATCTGGAAGACAACGTTTTCCTTGTTCTTGACCTGAACATCCTGGAGTCCATGCTTGAACTCGACATTGGGAGTTGGGACAGCAACAAGAAGCTCACAAGCAGTCGATTTTCCACCGGCAGAGAAGGAGTAAACACCGGCATCTTCTGGAACGACATTGTTGAGGTAGAGAGCTTGAACCTTTTCGTCGATGAAAACTTGAACTCGCTCATCCTCCATCTTGATAGGAACATCGTTCTTGCACCAAGTACCAACAACATTGACATGAGAGAGAAGCGTCTCGAAGAGAACTTCTCCAGACAACTCAACCTGCTGATCTCTGAGTGGTTCAAGGACATTGATCTCGACGATGCCGAATTCACACTCAGTGACTTGGTTGCCAGCGACAAAGGCGTAAACACCAGCGTCGTTGGAGTTGACATTTCGAATAACGAGCTCCTTAAATCCTCCTTGTGGCTGAGCGTAGCTCATTCGAGAGTCGAACTGAAGCTCGGCGCCATTCTTCATCCATTTACCATTAGTGTAGGACTCTGGTTCGATGACGACAGCCAGGACAGCCTGCTCGCCTTCAACAGCCTCAGAAGGCTGAAGACCCTGGACGATTCGGACAGCATCTTGGATAGCGAGAGAAGCAGAAGTCTGAGCGCCATCAACAACGAAGGAGTAGACACCGATATCTTCTTCAGTGGCATCTTCAATGATGAGCATCTGTCGTTGATTTTCAGCAATAGCAAGAAGTCTGTCAGAGACCTGAATTTCCTCGCCATCTTTGAACCATTTTCCGTCAGAAGTTTCATCGGTGAGAAGACAATCGAACGTAACAACCTCACCAGCGAGAACAGACTGATCTCGGAGCTGTTCAGAGATCTCAAGTTTCGCCTGGTTGACGGTAAGAGTAGCAGCGGCTCGGTCGCCAGCATACACGTACTCGTAAATTCCTTCGTCGACCTTCTTCAAGTTCTGAATAGTAAGTCGTCGTCGTCCACCGCCGATATCCTCGACAAAGTGTTTGTCAGAAACTGCGATCTCGACTCCATCCTTCATCCAGATACCTTCGACATCTTTGTGAGAGACAACAATCTCGAATCGAGCGGTCATGTCAGAAGACCATTCCTGGGATCGAGGGCCTTCCAAGATCTTTCGCTTGATTTCGTTGACAGTAACGATGCAAGTAGAGAGTTCTTCGCCTCCTCGGTTGGAGACACGAGCAGCGTACTGACCTTCATCCTGAGCATTGACCTTGAAGATATACAATTCGCAAGTGCTGTTGTCGACAAACTTCCAGTATCGTCGGGTATCCATGGACAACTCCACACCATTATGGAACCACTGGAGCTCGGGCATTGGCGAGCCAAAGAATCGAACTCGAATAGTAGCGTCAGTGTCAGAGTCGAACTTGATGTCCTTGAGCTTTTCAGTGATAACTGGTGGCTGGAACAAATCGTTTTCGGTATCCTTAGCCTTGATATCAGAGAAATCAGGGATTTCGACCTGAAGAGCGTGGCTAGGAAGATCAGGCTGGCCCATAGGGGACGGAGTTTCTTCGGGAGTCTCCCAGTGCTCAAGTTCTCGCTTGGTTTTCTTGAGAAGTTCCTCCTGATCCTTTTGGTCGAAATGATCAGGCTTCTTTTGCACGGTAACTCGAGCAGCAGTCATCTGATGCTCCTCGGTCTTGACCTTGTGGAACTTTTCACGAAGTTCTGGGTCATAAGCAGCCGATGGTCGGCTTTTTGTAGGAGAAGCATTCATGGAAGTTCTTCGAAGTTGCACTTCTTCTACAATTGACGTGTTAAGACGGTGTGTAAATTAATCAAAATATTGATTAGCACCCATGGTTAGTGTTAAGTTAGTGATAACGAGTGCCGGTGGATGACGAATTATGTCACTTTGTCATGAGGAAAGTGGGGTTTCTTCTGGAAGAAGTACTCCATGAACTTTTGGCTATGACTTTTGATTGATTTGACGTGATAATTAGGTCTTGTTTATAGGTTGATCTAAATGAGGATGTTGCTAATGAGTCTCCTGATGAGTAAATACTGATTCTTATTACCTAAAGTCAAGGAAGGGGAAGCGGTACGTGTTATTTTGGCAGGTTTTAGCTTTTGTCTGGCAGTGAAAAGCTCTTGTTCATATTTCCATTTGTTAGTGGTTACTGCAGCTCCAGTAAAGGCGGCTTTGGCCTTTGATGTTTTAGTATTTAAGTTTTTCTTCGGCTGAATCACTTCATAAAAGTCATGACTACCCGGAATCGGCGTGGTCGAACTGGTCATCGACTCAGTCTCGAGCGAGTCAGACAATAAAGAAGTGTTGCCAGATAAAACCTCGACGTGGTTTTGGTTTTTATTCTGGCTCTTTCCAGCAAGCTGCAAATCTTGTTGGAAGTACTCAAGCAAACTGACGTCCGAGTTATTCAAATTCGCATCACTCACGCTAGAACTCATTCGCTTTGACTTTTTGTACTCACCAAGCTCAGCAGTTCGCTTTTCAGTATCAACCTTTCGGTCAATTCGCATCGCTCGAAGAGCAGAGTCTGGAGAAGAGCTATCGACACGCTTGAGGTTCGATCGGAGGTCTCCAAGAGGTTCAACATCAACGCAACAGCTGGCCTGAGCCTGGCCGATTTTGTTGATAGCAACAGCAACGAGTGACCCAGTATCGTAAGCTCGTGCAGGGTTGATTTCCAAATGATGAAGTCCGTCGTTCCAGAGGGTGAATCGCTTGGACTTTCGGATCTGCTGACCATTGAGGTACCACTCAACCTTTGGCTGGGGATTTCCAGTGCATCGCACCTTGAATCGCATAGGCTGTCCTTCGTTAGTCTTGCAATCATCTGGGATAGAAACAATCTGTGGAGCAAACTGAGCATCATCATCGCCCTTCGTTGGTGATCGAGCGTATGGTGGAGACTCAGAATCAGCTCGGGAGTTCTTCTCGCGCTCAGCAATGAGCTGCATAGCTCGTCCCTCAGCGGCAGCAAAGGTAGTGCCTCTATCTTCCTTGACAATCAAAGTTGCTGAAGATTCAGCAGCACCATGCGCGTTAGTAACGCGGCAGGTGATCACACCGGTATCGCGAGGGTAGCAATGAGTGACAGTGAGGCTGGTGTAGCCAAACTCGAACATAGTCTGGATTCGATTGGCATTTTCAAGTGGCTTGCCTTCAAGAAGCCACTGTACTTTCATAGTTGGATCACCAATAGGTGTAACTCGGCACTCAAAAGTAGCTTCGCCGAGAGTCTTCGTCTTGATGTTGGAGATCTTTTTCTTGAAAACTGGTTTTTGTTTCTTGCTCTTATCGAACAGATCAGCTTCGTCGAAGTCCTCAGGAGCCTGAGTAAGCTTGCCAGTGTGGCGACCAGGGCTCGCATCGGCCTTCTTCTTGAGCCCCTTTCGAGAGGACTGGAATTTTCGTCCAGTTGCAGCGTCCTGCTTCTTCTCATCGGCAGAAACGGTGATCTTGCATCGGCACAAATCTCGACCAGCTCGATTGATAGCGGTGGCAGTATACCAACCATCATGAGCCTTGGTTGCAGCATCAATAGTGAGTAAACCATGGCCATCGACACCTTCGAACTGGTAGTTGGTATGCTTCTCGGGAATCAAAAGCTGATTATCCTTGAGCCAGCAAATATCGGGAGTTGGTCGACCAACAGCAAAGACAGCTAGTCGAACAGATTCTCCAGCGTTGACTTTAGTAGAAACTGGCTTCTCAAGAATCTGTGGTCGCTGAGCTTCCTCAGATGGGAGGACGGTAATCTTAGCATTAGAGACAGCTTTTCCACCGACATTGGCAGCAACAACAGTGTATTCACCAGAATCAGCTTCTGTAACGCTATCGAAAATAAGAGATTCGACACCGTTCTCCTTGATAATAATTCGGTGAGTGTCGTCTTCCTGAACTGGCTCGCCATTCTTCAGCCAAGTGATTTGTGCTGGAGGTCGGCCAGTCACGCGAATATTAATTCGAGTCGCCTTGCCTTCAGTAATTTCTTGATTGACGGCCTTGACGAGAAAAACAGGCTTGTAGACTTTGCTCATGTCAGCGGGGTCGAGAGTGGAGAGACGACCCTGTCCTGGAGAGGCAGCTCGTTTAGGTGAGCCAGACATTGAACGAAGTCTTGGCGAGGGGGATCTTGTTCCAAGTGGGGTTCCACCACTCTTGATGCCAACGCCTTTCTTGATATTCTTGAGATTCTCTCGGCGACCACGAGAGTCAAGTTCATCAGATGACTCAGCAGTAGTGTAGTCAGTAAGACCAGTGGGGACTTCGCCACCCTTGCGCATAAATGCAGCATAGTGTTCAGAAGAAAGGAAGAAAACGGAATGAGTGCTTTTTCCAAATTGGTTTGCAGCGACAGCAACGTATTCGCCGGCATCTTCGGGGAAGACCATGTTGAGAGTAAGAGTAGACTTGCATTTTTTCTCGTCTTCTTCAACCTTGACTCGGTATCCACCGATGATTGGCTTGCCATCGCGCTCCCAAAATACGTGAGCGCCGGGAGCAACAGCCTCGAAAATCTGAGTTGCGCCCTCCTGGAGGAGAACGCATCGGTCAGGGATGGTAGAGAATCGTGGAGCACCAGATGCTGGTGGCAAAGCAGCTGGAACTGGGCTAGCGGCGACGGGGCTGGTGGCCGCGAGTCGCTGCTCAGCTTGAGTCACGATTTCCATGGCTTCTTCGAGGACTTGTTCGGGGCTTTGATGGTGTCGGACGGGGGAAGCAGGAGATTGAAGACCCTCTGCGCCCTCGTGGACAGGGGAAAGAACATCAGTTCGCTTAACAATAACGGATTCATCATCTGGATCAGAAGTAGCAGTTCCAGATTCATTTGCAGACTCGTTGGCGGACTCTTCGTAGACTTGTTCAAATTGGTCACGTTCGCACTGCGAGGTTGACTTAACGCCTAACAAGCAGGTGCTGGAAGAGGTACCCATCTGGTTGCTAGCGGAAATAGTGAATTTTCCAGCATCATCAGGATAGCAGTTTCGAATAACCAATTGTGCAATACCGTCTTCGAATGAAACTTGGTAGTCCTCGCAGTTGTCAATAAGTGCGCCTTCTCGGTACCACTTGATCTCTGGCTCGGGCCATGCAGCAATGTGAGCCTGGAGAATAGCAACATCGCCTTCAATGACGTCAACATCCTCTGGTGGCATTTCAAATCGAGGAGCGAATGGCTCTTGTGGCTCGTCTTCAACTGGAGCATTATCCTCGGGCTCAGGAGTAGCAGGAAGAGAATCAACTTCAACAAGCTCTTCGTTTCCGGCTTCTTCTTCGTCGTCAATGTCAACCTGCTCGAACTCGGATTCATAGTTGCTAGTTGCATAGTTAGTACGTCGTTCCTCGGAAGCTTCTCGACTTCGTGGGCCAGAGGGAGCAGTGACATGTCGAACAACTCCACCACCTGGATTGAACTTGGCACCATACAAGATTTGCTGATTGCTAGTTCGATCGATGTTGATGTCGACCTTCTTGGAGGAAGAGATTTGGTGAATTTTGCCGGTGGTAGACTTGACGGATCGGAAACCCTGAATCTCTCGCTTCTTTCCAAGTGGGGAAGAAACTTCGATCTGGGGCTTTTTGATCAAATCAAGAGCGGTTGGTTTTCGGGGAACTTGAGGAGAGATCTTGGTCATGGAGCCAATTTGTTCGACAGAGCTGGCTTCGGTTTCAGTAAAACATTCGGCTTCAGTACAAGATTCGGCAACGGTTTCGTATTCGGTTTCGGCGGAAGACTCAACCTTGGTTTTCTTGACTTTCTTGACCTTTTTGAGACCAGTTTCGGCGGACATAAAGACCTTGGCGAACATGTTTTGCTGAGCAGATGGCTGGAAGCCGGCGATTTTCTTGGAAGAGGCAGAGGCGGACTTTTTGACGGCTTTAACGGAGGTGGAAGATTCCGTTACAGTAGTCTTTTGAACACTTTTCTGGGTGGATTGGTGGACAGCGTATTCTTCGTCAGAGGAAGCGGCTTCAACGAAAAGGCTTGCAGTGGAAGTAGCCTTGCCGGAAGCATTGCTTGCAGTGACGGTGAAAACACCGCTGTCTTCGGGGTAGGGGGAAGTGATTGAGAGGGTGTGTCGGTTGCCGGACGAAGAGATTACAAAGTCGCCCCCATTCTGGATCGCGGCACCTTCACGGAACCAGGCAATGACGGCATCGTTGTCATTTACCGTGACTTAAATTTGATTTACTATTTGAGATAATTTATTTCACAAAAAATTTTTTCATCGCCAAAAACAACATTTTATCTTTTACGTTTTTTTTTCTTACCTGAAAGTTCGACGGGCTCTCCTTGCCTAGTGGCAACATTCTGTAAACGCTCCGTAAAATCTGGAGCAACCATAGTCGTTACGATCCCTCTAAAATCTTCTGTTATCTATCTCTGTTAAACAAAATCGGTACAAAATCTCACCGTAATATTCGTTATTTGAGGGTTTCGTAGGGTCGGGAGCGACTAATTTCAAACTGGTCAAGGCGTTCAAGATTTTTGACTTTGGAAGAGTCAGCTGCCGTGGAGGACCATTACTCGACGAGAGACAGATTATCAGCCGCGCCTTAGGAGTCAGCCCATTGAATATCCCAGTGCATGCACAAAAGATCCCTATCAAAGTACCTAACCTGCGTTTGCATCGCTTTGATATTGACTCTCAAACACACACTTTGTTTACAATTGTTGGATATTTATTCATAGGTTTTTCTATTTTACAGACTATTTGTCACTGTGGTTTTATTGTCAAAATTGGTCGAGAAGTCAGAAGGAGTAGTTGGAAAATTGTACATGTTTACACTTTGTTGTTGGTTGATTCAGAAATTGAATGAAGACTTATTTTTCTTAGAAGGAAGTATTGTCGACGGAGATGAAGATTTCGAGACCAGGCAGAGGGTTTTGCAGATCGCGCCGGATGGTGTCTACGTTGTCAGAAAGAATTCCAATCACGTCATCGTCAAGAGTGCTGATGCCCTTGATGACAAGGTTGTAACTTCCGGAATGGAGGGTGTTGAACTAAAAATATCAATTTTTCAAGTGATTTTTTCGAAAATTCTTACTTTATCCTTTGAAACAAGAAGAGTAGCATGAGTTTGATGCTGAACAATCTTGAAGATTCCTTTTCCATTGCCGCTTTCCACGTGATACCGGACATTTTGCTTGAGAGGTGAGTGAGAAGGAACGAGCTCCAGAAGCTTCATGAAGCGAGTTGGTTCGTTGAGGTAATCAGCTCGAGTCAGATCGATCTATTTTAAAATATGAGTAATCCTTTTTTTCTAGTGAATTCTTTGTTACCTCAATTGGTACACCTTCGATGATTGCGGCTTGTGGATCCATGCTGTCAACGATAGTCGTGATGTTCTTCTCAACATCTCGTCTGTATCGTTTAGCATGACGTCTGCTGTGGCAAGATCCACCGTAGCATCGTCGTTCTCCGCCAATGACTCGAGCAGTTGCTGGGCCTCGTCCGGCAGGCTTACCCGCGTTCCAGCCCTAAAAAATAATAATTAATTTAGATTTTCTGACAGGTTCTCTTACCCGATGGTAGCCAGGCTGAGTAAAGCTACGCTGAGTTGAAATACAGTAGCCATTTCCAGCTTTGTAAGAGTCAGGTCCACAAGTGCACGAGTAGTTTCCATCTTCGTTATCACAACCGTTTGAGCAAGTTCCACCGTTGATCTGGCATTCATCTACATCGGAGCAGCCTTGGCCTGCATCTCGGTAGCCACTTATCTTTTAATAGTTATCAAAAGAACTGGAAGCTTACGCTCTGCAGTTGCACTGGAATGATCCGCGGAAGTTGTTGCAGACTTGGCCAGCGCCGCAAGGAGAAGAGTTACATTCATTGACATCGACACATCTTCCTCGGAAGTGCATGTAACCAGGTGGGCATTGTTGCGGGCATCGGAATCCTCCAGGGGTGTTGAAACAGCCAGTTGGGCAGCCATATCCTAAGAATCGTAAAGCTGGCTTGACGCTATTTTGTTAACTTACGTGATTGACATTCGTTGAGATCAACGCATTCATCACCACTATCGTTGAGTCTATACCCGCGCTTGCAAATACAGTGGAACGAGCCAGGGTCATTAACACAGATACCGCGTGGACCACAAATGTTAAATTGCTCATCGCACTTTGGTAAACGCATTAAACACATGTATTTTAGTCACTAACTCCCACCTCGTTTCGATCAACACAAGCATTGTTGCGCTTTTTGTAACCCATTGGACATTCGCACTCGTACGATCCGATGGTATTGGTGCAAATGTATTGACAATTGTTGTTCTTTGTCCTAGAAAATGGGCAATTTCAAATCGGCTTTTGCGAAAGAAAGGCTTACTTGCACTCGTCGAGATCTACGCAAACATTGTCAATCATTTCGTAACCCTCTGGACAAATGCAATCGTAATCGCCATCGGTATTTCTGCACATAGCTGGTGATGGACATTTATGGGCGTCGGTAGCGCACTCATCAATATCTACAAACTCAATAAAAATCTCCTTCCATCATGCTTATCATACCAATGCACTTGGTGCCAGTTTCGTCGATGGTGTAGCCTGGGTCGCACTCACAAGTAAAGCCTGGTTGATTGTTCACACAAATACCATTCTTAATTATATTTTTATCAAATAGTTTTGAGGAATAACTCACCTCGCAAGCGTTCGGCACAACATCACAGTCATTGATTACATTTCCATTCTTGTCATATCCGATTCCAGCTGGGCAGAGTTCTCGGAAAGCGGCTGAGTCCTTATCGGGACACGATCTGCATTCGACGGCGTTGTACTTTTGAGCTCGTCCATCGCCCCAGCCAGCACCATGTCCAGAGCAGCAGCATTCATCAAATCGAACAGCGGCGGAAGACATTGTTGCGGATGTCTGGAGGCACATTCCAGAGACCTTTGTTGTGTAGCACATAAATTCACGAGAATCTTAAAATATTATTTTCGGTTGAAATCTGCAGGTCAAATTTACCATCACACTTGGTCATATCATTGTTGGCCACAAATCCAGGTTTGCATTTGCACCAGTAACCTCCACCGTTTGGCTTATTGATACAGGTTCCATTGTCGCAAAGGTCTGCGTTTTCAGCACATTCGTCAATATCTATTTTTCATAAGTCAAGGAAACTAAGAAAGAAAATCTACCTTGGCATTGATCAGTGACAGGATTTCGTCGCATTCCATTTGGACATTGGCAGACGTAGTACCCGACAAAATTCTTGCAGACTTGACCCTTGAGGGCACATGGATCAGGGTTTCTGAAAAGAGGATAACTGCAAATGAAAAAATAACTTGATATTACTGAGCGCATTCGTTGATATCCTTGCAGTGTCGACCGTCTGGTTTGAGTTCGTAGCCAGATGGACAGAGGCAAGAGTACTTTCCATTTTGTGGTGTTTCGTTCTTGCATCGGTATGCACACTGATGAGCACCAGTAGCACATTCATCGATATCTAAATTTTGCACTTTAAACAATTTATAGGATTTTAATACCTTGGCAGGATCCGTTAGGGCCGGTTGGTGCATATCCATCGTCGCATTCACAAGTGAAACCACCTTCGTCATTGAAGCATTCGCCTCGACCGCAGGGATTAACGAGAGCACTGCATTCATCAGTATCTTAAACTTGTTAGCACTTTGTTGTTTCTTGATTCAAGCTTACCGACACAAGTGGTGCCATCAGCATCGAGATGATATCCCTTGCCACAGTCGCATTTGTAGCTGCTATCTGTATTGACGCAAGTTCCGTTGGTACAAGCAGTATCAATCAGATCGCACTCGTTGATATCAATTGGATGTCCATCGGGTCCGGTCGACATTCCGCAGCCTTCTGGGCACATTTGGTTGAAAGCTTCAGATCCCTCGGCAGGACACTTTCCGCAACCTCCTCGGTAGCTCCAACTGTTATCGCCGTTACACATGCAGCAGCACTGGCTCTGGGTGAGAAGCTGTCCGAGAGCATCGTTGTTGCAAGATCGACTTCCAACAAAACATTTGCCTTGGCGCTCATCGAAGCAGTCAGTTCCATCTGAGGTTTGTGTATAACCATGGGGGCAGTGGCATTGGAATCCTCCTTCAAGGTCTTCGCAGTGACCGTGCGAGCAGAGTCCAGGAACAGTCTGGCATTCATTGATATTGACACAGCTCTCGCCATTGAAAGTGTAACCTGGGTCGCATTGGCAGGTGTAGTTCCCGTTTAGATTAATGCACTCGCCGCTTACACATGGATTGCCATATTCCTCGCACTCATCAACATCGACGCAAGTTCTGGAATCATCACTGACTTGGAAGCCATCATCACAGTCGCACATGAAACCGCCAACAATATCGACACAGTCACCATTTTGACAGATATTGTCATGACCGGCAAATCGCTCGCACTCATTGATATTGACACAGACTTGGTCTTCGCGATCAAACTCATAACCTGGATTGCAGACACATCTATGGCTTCCTTCAAGATCGATGCAGTGTTTGACAGCACCGGGAGATCCACAAATATTAGGGTAGTCGTTGCATTCATCAATGTTCACGCAGCTCTTGCTGTCATTCTCTGGCTCATAACCGTTGTCACATTCGCAGTGGAAGCCGCCAACAGTATCAGTACATTTTCCGTTAGCACATGTTCCTTCAATCATCGAGCACTCATCGATATTGACGCAGACACCATTTCGCTCAGTAAAACCGTCATCGCAGATGCAATCGTAGCTTCCTTTTTTGTTGACGCAATGGGAGAACTGTGGACATTTGGTGTTAGGATCAGCACACTCATCGTTATCAATACATTCGTATGAGCCTGGTTTGAGAGTCATTCCAGGTCTGCACTCGCATTTGATGTCATGTCCGGGATCTTCAATACAGTAACCATCTCGGCAGAGGTCTGGAATCTGGTCACAGGCAGATTTCGCATCCTTACAGAAAGCAATTCGATCATCTCCTTGAGGACACTCTTCACAGCTATCTCCCCAAGCTTTTCCAAGGTCATTAGCGCAGCAGCAAGCCTTTTTGGTTGCCTTGAAGCTGAACGCATTATCGCATGATAGATTCATAAAAGGGTTGTAAGATTTGAAGCACTCGCCCATTCGAATATCTTCGCAGGCTCGGCCGTCTTCTGATGGGATGTATCCGTCTTCACAAACACACTGGTGGTGGCCTAGCTGATTGATGCACTGACCAGGTCCACATGGGTTTTCCTCGCTTTCGCACTCATTGATATCGACACAGTTTCGACCAGTGTTGTCGAGCTCGTAACCATCTGGGCAGTTGCAATCGTAGCTGCCGTCCAAATTTCTGCAGTTTCCTCCTTTGCAAGCGCCAGCCATTGCTGAGCACTCGTTAATATCCTTGGGAATGAGTCGAATGCTGTCGGGTTCAAAACCAGGGCCAAAGGGGCAAAGCTGAAGGTGCTCAGCAGATCCAATAGCTGGACAAACTTCGCAGGTACTTTCGATTGTGTCTTCAACTTCAGCCCATCCGAAACCAGCACCAGAGCAGCAGCACTCGGCTCGTCTTGTGTTTGGTCCAATAAGATCAGAGCATGTTCCGTATTCAACTTCAGCGTAGCAATTTCCTTGTCTCAGGTCGACGCATCCGCTGCCTCCTGGAATGTAAGTGTAGTTTGGTGGGCACTCGCAAGTAAATGAGCCGATAGTATTTCTGCATTTTCCACCGAGGCAGATGCTAGTATCTTCAGTTTCTGATCGACATTCGTTTATGTCAACACACTGGTCACCTTCGTCGTTCAATTCATAACCTTCGTGGCATTCGCAAGCGTAAGTTCCGTCCATGTTAACACAGTTTCCGTTCCTGCAAACTGGTTTATCTCCTTTGCACTCATTGATGTCCTCACATCGCTTGCCATTGTAGCTTGGAGTATATCCGAATTCGCACTCACAGTTGTAGTCACCAGGAGAGTTGACACAAACTCCATGAGGTCCACAAATGTTTGGATCTTGGTCGCAGTCCATAACATCAGCACATTCAGTGCCGTTGCCAACGTATCCAGGGTGGCACTCACAGTTGTAGCCGCCAGGGATATTGATGCAATCAGCGTTTGGATGACAACCATGAGTATCCGCTTCACATTCGTCGACGTCAGAGCAGTCGACTCCGTCTCCGTCGAATCCAGTCTGACAGTGGCATTGGTACGTACCAACATTATTATTGCACTCTGCATTAGGAGAACAAATATGAGTTCCGAGCTCACACTCGTTCTCATCATCACATCGGCTTAGATCAGGAGAGATACAGAAACCATCCCAGCAGTCGCATGTGTAACTGCCTTCCGTATTTGTGCACTTTCCGTGAACGCAAATATCTGGATTGATATCACACTCATTTACATCGATGCAAAGCTGTCTGTTTGATACAAGCTCGTAGCCGGGGATACAGTGGCATGTGTAAGATCCTTCCAAGTTTTCGCATTTTCCGCCGCCGCAGATAGCTGGCTCTTCAGAGCACTCGTCGACATCAATGCAATCGAAACCGTTAGGAGAGAGCTCAAAGCCATCTCGGCAAGAGCAGATGAATGACCCTTCTGTATCGGTACAGCGCTGCTCACATCCACCGTTGTCGTCCAAACACTCGTTAGTATTGACACACCCTTTGTTATCAGGAGTAGGTTTGTATCCGCTGTGACACTGGCACTTCCAATCGCCGATAAGATTGATACAACGTCCATTGATGCAAGGCTCAATTTGCAAGTCGCACTCGTTATCATCCACACAAGTCACACCATCATCAGCAAGGTGCGTATTTGGAGGGCAAGAACATTCAAAACTTCCCTCGGTATCGGTACAATTGCCACCTCCCAAGCAAACATTGTTCAAACACTCATTATCGTTGACACAGACGCCATCGTTTCCTAAAACGTAGCCGGGTTTGCACTTGCACTTGAAGCTTCCTGGAGTGTTGACACACTCTCCTTCACCACAAGCATCATCTCCAAGAAGAGCACATTCGTCAATATCGACACAAGGGAAGCCCTTATCAGTTGTTCCAAATCCTGGAGCGCATTGACAGAGATCCGAGGGATCTTCAGGGTTGAATTTACATTCGCCGAACTCGCCACAAATTTCAGGAAATTCCAAGCAGTTGTTGATCTGTTTGCAGTTTTCTCGGTCATTCGGGTTTGGATTGTAGCAATTTCCATCAGCACAGGGACAGAGTTCATCATACTCTGGAGTTCCTTCTCGTGGGCAGGCTCGGCATTCATTTCCCTCGCCCCAAGCCTCACCAGCAATAGAGCAGCAGCAAGTCTGTCGAGAATGGAGACCTTCCCATGCATCGTGGCAGAATGGATGAGTTGCATTGAAGTTGGGGAAACAGACGGACTTTCGTGTGTCAATACATCGTCTTCCAGAATCATCGAGGGTCAAGCCGTTTGGACATTCGCAGTAGAAAGATCCATCAGTGTTAACGCATTTAGCGCCGTTGCCTGAGCAGTACTGTGGGAAAAGCTGGCATTCGTCAACTTCGACGCATCGGTCGGCGACTCTGTCAAAGACGTAACCCTTTCTGCAAGTAAGAGGAATCTCACTACAGTCGACGCATTCGTCACCCCATGCTTTACCCTGAGTAGCACAGCAGAGCTCAGCAGTGTATCGGCCAGGAATATTGTCAACGCAAGTGTCATCTTCGTGCTGAAGCCAGCAAGCTTCTTCTCTCTTGTCGAGACAAATGAGACCAGTTGAATCAAGAACAAGTCCAGGAGCACAAACACATTCGAATCCTCCAGGAGCATTTATGCACTGGCCGCCAGAGCAAGGTCGCTCGAGACATTCATCGTCGTCATCGCAGCTTCCGGTTTTATCGTTGAAGTGATGTCCACTTGGGCAGACGCATTCGAAGCTGCCGTCAAGCTCTGTGCAAAGACCGTTAAGGCATTTTGTATCGCATTCTGGGGTGTCAATACAAAGAGTTCCAGATGGGTGCAGCTCGTATCCCTCATCACATTGACACTCGTAGCCTCCATCGACATCGTAGCATTGACCGTTGTTGCCACATGGATTGAGTTCCAAATCGCAATAACTGTCTGGCTTCTCAGATCCCTTGCAAAGCTCATTGAAATTTGATGTTCCTACTGCAGGACAAACATCACATTTGTTGTTGAGTCTGAATGAGGAAGTTCGGTCGAGTTCAGCGGCGTGGCAACAGCAGTCTTGTCTTGACATCTGGTTAGGAAGCATGCTGTCAGCAGCACATTTACGTCCATTCTTGTTCGATGATCTGAAACACTGGCCATTTGGCTGGTCGACACATCTTCGACCAGTAGCATCAAGCATCTGGTACTTCCCGCATTCGCATTTGAAGTCGCCGTCGGTGTCAGTGCAGGTACCACCCTGGCAAGGATGGAACTCGCATTCGTCGATATTCTCGCAAATTCCTTGCTCAGGATTGTATTTGTATCCCTTGTTACAAGCGCATCTGTATGAGCCGGGGGTATTTTTGCACTCGCCATTGATGCAAGCATGGTCATTAGCGCACTCATCGATGTCATGGCAAGATTTGCGGTCTGGTCCTCGCTCGTAGCCAACTTCACAAACGCACTGGTAGTCTCCAATTACATTTGAGCAAACTCCGTTTGCACATTTGTTTCCGCCGATATTGCACTCATCGATATCAATACATTTTTGGTTTCGCTGAAGAGGGTCAGGCTGAAAGCCTTCATCGCACGCACAAGCCCATGTACCATCTCTATCAATGCATTTTCCATTGGCGCACTGAGCAAGACCTTCAGCGCACTCGTCGATGTTCTCGCACTCCTGGCCATTTCCGCTTGGAACGTATCCAGCATCACATTCACAGTACCATCCTCCATCGGTATTGACACATCGTCCGTTATCACACTGTCCTTCTCCAGTTTCGCATTCGTTTATATCGCGGCACTGGAGATCAACAGTTTCAGGTTCGTAGCCATTATCGCAAAGACACATTGGGATGCCCTTTTCATCAGTGATGCAAACGCCCTTCTCACAAAGTCCCTTTGACTCGCAGATATCAGTGATTGGGTCAGGTCCGGAGCCATCGGGTCCAAGATTCTTGGGATCAATAGTCTCAGCATTATCGCAAAGCATACTGTAAGCTTCAGTTCCAACAGTTGGACAGTTGTCGATTCCAGAAGATTCTTGGCCTTGAAAGCATTGACCAGGGCTGGAAGCGAAGTTGCCAAGGCAGCAGCATTGAGTTTTTGTGAGCATTTTGCTCAGAGGATCAGTGCAGACGCTGTTTGAAACATGTTCAAAACAGGTACCTGGTCTGTTGTCAATGCAAGTTTGTTTGCCATCTTGGTCCACAGTCTTGATGTATCCCTCAGCACAGTCACAAGAGTAGCCTCCAGGAAGATTGGTGCATTCATTATCAGATCCACATGGGCTGTCAGCGCACTCGTCAAGATCGAGACATTCGTTTTTGTCTTCATCAAAGTAAAAACCTTCGGGAGCGATGCAAACGAAGCTTCCGATCGTATCTCTGCATTTACAACCCTTGCAAATTCCGTTGATATCAATACACTCGTTAATGTTATTGCAGTTTGAGTCATAGCCGCGGCCGCAGTTACCAGGTCGAGCTGGGCACTCTTCGCATGGATCTCCCCACGCTTGTCCGACTGTGGCACAGCATTGTTCTTTCGTTGAGTATTCGGATAAAACTTGACTAGAGCATTCGTTTTTCGCCTTGTCAATCTTTCCGAAACAAGGTCCTCTTCGATAGTCAACTTCGCAGTTATCTCCATAAAATCCATAGACACAGGCACACTTATCAACTCCAATACATCGACCACCATTTCTGCAGCCACTTACTCCATTAGTACTTGCCCCGCAAATAGGTTGACCACAGTGAGCACCGGTGAAACCTTCTGGGCATTCGCACTCGCCGTTGATACATCGCCCGCCATTCTGACAAGGACTCGAGCAGCGGGCTTCCGTCTCGAAGAATTCGTCCTCGTTACAGCGCTTTCGGAGCTTGCCATCGGCACAGCGGCACATGCCAGGACTGTGGCAAATTCCATCGCCACACGCGTTCGGAGCGCAAATCGGAATATTACACTCGCTGGATCCTTTATGTTGTCTCCAACCTGCGCAGCAATATCTTCTGTCTCCATTGCCGCAAACATGAGGGCCCGTTAGACTAGATAATGTTAGTTTATGGGGATTTAAGGACTTAGGGATTTGGGACTGCGCCTTTTTGTAGGCTCAAAGAGCCGTTCAGGCGTGGAGCCAACGCATCAAACAGAACACAACAATGTGCTTTTTTTCTTTGTCAACTCGACCCAAAGAGTGTCTCATCAAAGTTGAAAAAGTAAACATTTAGTCCAAGGTCATTGACAATAGTGGGATTAAATAAGAACGTTTTAGTGAAATAAGGTACTCACGGCTCTGTGGTTCCCCAGCGTCGACGGCGGGTCCCGTCTAAGCGACGATTTCTTCTTGTTTTGTATGCATTACGACCTTGACGACGGCCTGGTTCTCTGAGTTCTCTAAAAATGGGTAATAGTTAAATCGAGGTCAATGAACTTTTATGACATTTTTGGTTTATGAAATAAATGATCATTTTATGATATATAATTCATTATTTAATTATTTTTATAAACAAATCAATTTTATAATCTTTTAAACATTTACATAAAAAAATATTGATAAGGTTGACTCCTACCTTTGTGCTAGTGCAAGAGTGCCTATCAGTAGTAAACGCCAGCGCATCCTTCTATTCTGTTGCTGTTTACGCTCTCAATTAGTAGTTGATGAAGTACGTTGTTAAAAATTGTAAGAATCTAGGTCCGCATCGGGACGAGATGTTTCGTCTCTGAAGTAATCGGGCTATGAGAAGCCACTTTCTTTGTTTATTTGGGCACGAGGAGGGGTGGAGGTCCTTTTTCTTCGTCTAACCGGCCAAGGTTACCTAGCTCGGCTGCCGGCACGAGAGGGCGCACGATGAGCCCATTTTTTTGTCGACAATCTATGTCCGGAAACGCTCGAGAAATTGACAAAGTACTCAAATGAACATAATGATCCGGCGCTGGAAATCTTCCAGCGTCAGGCACATGCTCGGTAATAAGTCGATGATTGATGTGCGGCGCTGGCTTTCAAATTTTTCATACTTTGAGATTTGACACAATCTCAGCGAGATATCAATTAACGCTCGTGGCTTCTGACGATTGTGCCAATGAGCAAATTTTAACATGATTTAACAACTTATTAAAATGCCAAATTCCCATAAGGGTAAGGTAAGGGCCTTGATTAGGTTTTGGTTGGGTTAAGTTGCGGGGTGAATGTTGCAAAGATTTTGTAAAAACGATAATTTACGATTTTCATTTCAACTTGGGTCACAAAAAAAGATGCAATTTCAAAGTCACGAGCACACGTCAAACTCGAAACAGCCCTGCTTTGATGATCATTTGCACTCGCTATCCATGCTCAAACCGCAGGGATGACTGTTTACTCCGCCTTTTGCCCCTTATTTGTCTCCAATATTTGAAAACAAATGTTTCGCTTATGTGGCGAAATGCACAAAAAAAGGAGGGGAAGAGATTTTGGAAATTCACTTTTGAAATCTCGCTCGTAAAGGTCATCACAGCTGTCTGGGAGGCTCTTTGTGAAATGAACTCTTCAATCATCGTAAATGCTCGACGAATGCTTATTCGAAAAAACACCGACGGGGATAATACCCTCATAATATCCAGTAATCGGTCTCGAACAATCCTCAATAATTTCGAATTTCCTAAGAGACGACCAAAGGTAAAAAAAATTCTAATGACCGGGTCTACCAGTCGATGGAATGCACAAACACTTGTTTGCCTCAAATACAGAAATGACGGAGTGCGCGAATTATAGCACGATCTTGGTGCCAGATTGCATCGTTAATTTTCGTATATCTTCGCAAGTTCTCATCGCCAGTTGCTTTTGTTTGACCAGACAATGCGCATAAACAAAAATACAAACAACCATCAAAGTGGAAGCTTCCGCTGAGGTTAGCGCTAAATGAAAGTCTCTTGTGTGGAAAGAGCTCATGTGGAGAAGACAACTTCTTACAGACAGATGATCATGATGAAATTAGGGACACAAAAACAACTTGAAAGAAAGTACTCATCAGATAACCGCAAAGGTCGGATTTGATCATCAAAGTGTCTAGAATACAAGAAGTTTCTTTTGTAGATCAACTTTTATGTTCATTTCTGTATCGTCACTGTAATAAAATCTTCGGATTTATGAGTCACAACGACGGGAGTTGACTTTGGAATACTCTCTGTAATAATTAGTGTAACCAAATTCACGAAAATGCCTTTGTGGTTTAAAAGTAAACATGATCTGGCTCAGTCTCAGAATTTGTTCACCCTCAGGGTCGACCACCTACTCCCTGAATGCGCACAGAAAGAATTCATCCCTTATTAGCAATCACAAGACAAAGCCAAACTCTGATTTTGAACGGCGAGTGACCTCAAAGAGCTCCTTAGGAATCATGTCGCGGCCGTTCGAAGCAAATCTGCAAGAGAAAGAGGCGTCAGAGACGATCATTCTTGACATAGTGCGCAGAAAGGGTAAGAACTTGTTTTGGAGGCAATTAGTTTAACAAAAATGTAAGGCGAATCCTGGGGTATTGAATTATGCGGCGAGGGGCCAACAGAAGTTCGAAAAATCAGACCAGGTGGGCCAGCAGATCAAGCTGGCTTACAACCCGGAGATACGATTCTTCAGGGACGGTTTTCATGATTCATATTGATCAAAATGATCAATTCTTCCTTATGACATTTGAAAACCGCAAACAGTGCAATGGAATCAATGTCACCAGATTCGGTCATCAGCAAGTTGCTTCAATCATCGCCGAAACCGACCGTCTTCTACGAATGAAAGTTCTCCCCGATGAAGAATCCTCTTCAGAAGAAGACGAAGACGAGGAAGATGCTGACCCAACAGAGAAATTAAAGAATAGAAATTTCAAAGCCGAAGAATGGTGGTGCGATCCTGAAGTTGATAAGAAGCTGCAAGAGGAGAAAGAGAAAAACAAAATTGATCCTTACGATTTCGAAAGCTTCAGTAACAATTTTGACAAAATTGAGAAGCAACACAGAAAAGCTGGAAAAGCTATGGTCAAAAATGGTCGAGCTTCAAGGTCAAAGAAAGTGGTAAGAGCTGAATTTTGGAATTTCTAATTAATAAAAAATTGAAGGATCTTGACTCTGACGATGATTCGGACGACGAGTACGCGAAATTCATGAGGATGAAGCAAAAAATGATTAACAAAGGACTTGTTTCGGATGAATCGGAGGACGAGGACGAAAACTCAGAGTTTGCGGAGTTTATGCGATGGAAAAAGCAAAAGAGAAAGGCACAGAGACGAGGAATCGACGATTGGGGAGACGACAACTGGGGAGATTCTGCGCCAAGGCCGGTCAATGCTCGCTCGAGCTCCGGCTACTCGTCTTATTCGTCTGGTTCGTCTCGAGCTGTTCAGGGACATGATGTTGCTTTCCGCGGACAAAAGATCGAACAAGGATCGTTTATGGTTACGAACAAAGATCTCGACCGATTCGACAAGAATTACGTTCTTGGCGCCGAGAACACCTTCGCTGGTGACAAAGCTGCGGTAGCTGGCGCTTTCACCGGCGACCACAACGTCGTTTTTAATGATAACGAAGGACAAGCAGCTGGCGATATCAAGGGTGTAAGGAATCGTGTCGCTGCGGGTATTATGCATTTCAAGTAAGGCTTTCAATTTTTAAAATCTTCTCTAACTTGAGCTTTTCCAGCTACGAAGATGAACAAAAGGAAGTTATGGAAGAGGATAAAAATAAAGTGGTCATTTACTCGACATCTTTGGGCGTCAACAGAGAGCTTATTGCCAATTGTCAAAGAGCAGTTGCAATTATTCGTAGTCATCGGGTAGCTTGACAAATATTATTAGCAAGGTTCAAATTTTCTTAGGTTCGTTATGAAGAGCGTGATATTTTCAACTTCGAGCACCACAAAGAAGGTCTTTGGGAGCGCCTTGGGCTTGATCGTGGAGACAAGTTTCCACCGATGCCGAGAATTTACATCGATGGCATCTACATTGGAGGTTATAAATAACGGTTTGGTATTGAAATCAACAAGGAGTTAAGGCATCAACGAGCTGGAAGCGCTTTCTGATTGCGGCGACTTGAGGATTCGTCTTCAACATTTCTCGAAGTTTCAGGAGCGAGAACATTGCCAAACATGTCGAGCATCTGGCAAGCTTCTTTGTACAAAGTGCAACGGCAAGAAAGTAGGGTTGCTTTATTTACTGCTGTTGATGACCTTTGATTACTTTAGAAAATTACTTCAAACGAGCTCGCCGAGCTCCAGTGCTCCCTATGCGACAAGAATGGATTCGTCGACTGTCAAGACTGCGTTGTTATGCGTGAAATCATTGATCCAGCAATTATGCAATAATAATATACAATTATGTATCTTTATACAGTGGTATTTATTATACAGTTGTTATGACAGTTTGTATAGAGAAGTAAACAGCAAAATGAGATATCCGTTCAAATCAGAAGCTTTTTGAGTAAGTCACAAAGGTGATAATTATGGCAAGGAACTGTAGAATCGCTAATTTTTTCCAATACAATTAATTTTTACGAAAGTGAGGTTTCCTCAATTTCATCCGAACCATTTATCAGAGCTCTTTTTTCATCATCTTTTAGTTTTCTTGATCCAAGCGGTTTCTCCGGTTTTTTGAAGACTTCCGAATCGTTCTTTACGTCGTCTTGTTTTTGAACACCATTATGATGGAGCGGCTCAAAGTTATTGTTGACATTGGCGTACATAGGTTCTGTCGGAGTGGTGTTGTTCGTGCTTCCCCAAGATGAGGTTGAGGTCTATAAAACGGTCAACTACTGTATCTCCCAGGATCTTTTACCTGAGGTAAACTGGAATTAAAATTGTGATGGCGCTTTTGGCGCCAAGATGGTTGGACAGGAACAGGATCTAGCCAAGATTCGCTTTGAAAGTCTGATGGTGTCCTTGGCTGTGGCTGCTCTATTGTTGCATTCTGATAGTAGCTTTCTTCTCGCGAGTTTCTGGAGTCTCCCTCCATTTCGTTGATGTAGTTATTTGGATCGCAAGCATCATCTTCGTCTATGTAATCTGGTTCATCGAAATCTAAAACTTAATTCACCACAGAAAAAAATAAGTGATTATACAGTCTTCTTGATGAAGCGAGGATCCCAGTGACGTCAGCTGAGTTCTGACTGACGAATGTCGGAAAGAAGACGGAGTCACATAACGAGTCGGATCTTTTTCCCATTCCGTAAGTTTCTCGGCCAGTTCAGTAAAGATCGGCCTTTGAGCCGGATCAATTAACCAGCACTGGAGCATAAGTGTGTAGAATTCTGTGGAGCAGTTGTCAGGTTGCTCAAGTCTTCCGCCACTCTCGAGCAACATCATCAGCTTCGAAGCTTGCACATTCTAGTTTTATGTTAATTTGACCATATTTTATTTTCAATAACCTGGTATGGCTTCTTTCCGTATGTAAGCAACTCCCAGATGGTAACTCCAAACGACCAAACATCAGATCTCGTCGAGTAAATACCTCTCTTCACGCATTCAACCGCGAGCCACTTGAGGGGCATTCGTCCTCCCACTTCTTTGAACTCCGAGTTTTTAGTCTAAAGAAATTCATGAGTCTGCGTTAAAATTGTTCCAGATAAACCTTGACGAGTTGAGCAAGTCCGAAATCAGCAATTTTGACATAATGAGGAGTCTTGACTAGAACATTTCTCGCTGCCAAATCTCTGTGTACAAGCTTTTGTCCCTCCTTTGTTTCCGAAAGATAAGCCATTCCATCGGCAATCTGACGGCACCAGCTGACAAGTTGTGCTGGACGGACATTTTCTTTTTTTCGACGAATGTAGCTCAGCGCGTCGCCACGAGGAATGAATTCAGTTATGATCTTCGGTGGATCACTTTGGCAGATGCCGATAAGCTTTTTCGTGTTACTTCTGCTTGTTTCTTTATTTATTATTTTTGCCATTCTCGCAAATAATAATCATGTTTATAAAGAGATGTAACAATTTCCTGGACAAGATTAGGATGCTCGCAAGCGGCCATTGTCATCGCTTCCTCTAGAATCGAGGCTTTGGGTTCATTGAGGGTCTTGATTGCCACAGTGATTGTTTCGATCTTGGGGTCCTGTCCTTCAAAATCAGGTCGCCACAATCCTCTGTGAACAACTCCAAAAGCTCCTTTTCCAAGTTCTTTGCGCAAATCTAGGGCTTCTTCTTTGATCAAAAGAAGTTTTTGAAGATTTGGAGGGAGCAACGCCAGTGGCTCTAGCTCATCCCGGTCTCGTTTTTGAATCAGATGGCGTTTGTACAACGTAAGTCCGATGAATTGGCCGAGGAAAATTGCCAATACAACCACAACCACCCACAAAATCCATTTGGTGAATTTGTACTGCTGGCATCGGTCTGCGTTGCATTTGTTGCAGCCCTTCAAAAATTTTGAAGTTCAAAATATGTAAGGAGAAAGATCTCTTAAACTAAGACTCACTGTATATTTGAGGGAGCACTGGAAGCAAATGCTCTCAGGTTCAAGCGTATCGATAATGTTTTGAAGTTCCGGCTCCAATTGACAGGTTTCATTTTGATGCATATCACATTTGAAATGATCTTCCGGGCATTCCTTAAAAAGTTTCATACTATCTCTGTCTTCTTGTTAATTTGGGCAGTCAATGATCTCTTTTTCATCAACTTCTGTCGAGTATATTTTCACCATATTTTTAGGTACTTTATGATAAAAAAATTTATCATAGGCTCACCGTTAGAAGGAAAATCTGCTTGGCAGAAACTATCACCGAAAATAACCTTCTCTTTCGACATACCTCGTACTCGTGACCGTGTCTTACCTGGCTCCTCAGCCGACAAATATGCATGGAACCTTCTTCCGTCGACTCAACAGATATTCCATCGCAATGGTTGCACCCTCCTGCTCCAAGGAAATCGCCATCGCCAGTGCAGCCTGCTTGTGCAGTACAGCGCGTGCTGCAGACTTTGCACTCTTTGGTCTCTTCGTCCATGAAATAATCAAGTGGACAGGATTCGCCCTCGGCCAAGCATTCCAACTGGCCTCTTGAAGAGCTCGATGAGCTGTCTTCACCGCTTATCCACCCGTAATTGCAAGCGCGACATTGTTGCGGACTTGGTCCAAAGCAACCTAGTTTACAAAGAGGCGAGCACGGCTGACACTGGCGTTTTGATTCTTCAGTCAGTTCGTCATAAACAAGCTCTTCATAGAGAAGAGTTCCATCTTCTTCGAGCTCCTTGTCGCAAGAGCTTTTACATTTTCCATTGTAAACTGCGTTCCGGCACCTGACACAGCCAAATGCGTCATCTGACCAGCAACCATCAGTTGTACATTCTTTTTCCGCTGATAATTATTTTAACAACCTCGAGTCGTTTTCTGCGTCAATTAAAGTTAACATAATCTTAAATTTAATGTTTGTAAGATATGAAGATATATATATATATATATATATGTTTCAAGTTTAACTTATTACGCATGGACACGTTGTCGAATGAACTTTCATAAATGAATTTACTAGCGTTCCTGGATGGCACTGAAAATTCACACACTCGGATTTTGGATCCTGGGCCGCTATAACAGACGATTTCTTAGCGATATAAACTCCGTCTTTATAGCTATTATTTGGCCTTGGAACTGGCTTCTTGAGAATACTCTTCCAGTTAATTGTCTTCAACGGACACGCCTCGCCCATCTCAATCAGGATCGCATTTCCGTGGGATATCTTCTTCAGTCCATTAAATCCGACGCTTTTAGAAGTTTCACTTCGATTGTGAGTTCGATTGTTGCCGGCTGAAATGAACAGTGCTGAATCGCCTTAGTAAGAGTTCAAATTCAAAATTCATCCTCAATTTTGAAAAGAAGGAACTTGAGCCCTTGACTTGTGAATGAAGTTTTCCGTGGAAGCCATCAATAACTTCGAGATTTCCAAACGCTTCAAAATTCTTGAAAGGCCAAACTTCGATCACCAAGTATCCCATGATTCTTTTGATCCCTTTCAAATATTTCAAATGCTCTTCAGTAATTTTTTCGACTCCATGCTCTTTGGTATCCGAAAATGTATGGACAAGAAAACTAAGCGAGCCGATAACAACTTCGCAATCTTCAAAAAGCGTGATTGTTTTGGAATTGAGTGTTGCAGCCCACGAAACTTCGAAAGAATCGGCTGAGATGTTCGCTACTTCTTTTGCGAATTTTGCTCGAACTTGACTTTCCCACTTGAAATTATGATATTTATAGTAGTCGGACGGCATGTGGTTACCTTTGAGTGGTTCAGCCCGACGCATGGTTTTGGGCAGTGGCCGTCTTTGCACGGCTCGCAGTGGCCGTTTCCGTTTCCGCTCTGATCTGTTTTATAAGTGTGTCCATCTGGACACTCTGTCAAGCACATGGAATCGTAGACAAACGTGTTGACAGGGCAACGCGACAGACAACGATTCCCGAACTCGTACAGGACATCTTCGTTTCGTACCAGAAAGCCGTCTTTCTGCGAGTATAATCGAGGACATTCAGCGACACATTCGCCCGTTACGTTGTTGATTTTGTTCTTGCAAAGATAGCAATCCGATGCTCTGGGACCTGAGCATCCTCCCTTGCACTCGCTGTGGCAGCAATATTCTTCTGGTGTCTTTACAACCGCAAAATTATCCTTCTCTTCCTTCTGCAAAGCTGAGCATCTATTCACTGTTCCATTAAAATTGGAGTTCGGGCAGTACAAATTGGCCATTTGACAATGCCCATTTGGCCAGCAAAAGTTGTTGCACTCTTTGTCGCATTTTGGACACTTGCTCCATTTTTTTCTTGCAAGAGGTCAGTTCTGAGCTACGCTATTTTGTTAATATAAATGACCTTGTGAAACATTTGAATAAAATTCACTGCTTAGTAAATACAGGCGGCTATGTGGTTGATATAATTGATTTACAACTCTTGGGACATTGTGAGAGCATAATTAATTATAATCGTATCACATAGCCAGTATTTCAGATATGACCATGCCTATCAAGCCAATACGCACGCCCCGCTGCTCTATAATCAGAATGGAGAATTTGAGCCCAGGCTATGTTATTCCAAAAGTAACACAGCTCGTGATTGTTTTTGAAAACGACGTCGCCCTTGCTGATTTCCGTCAATTTTGGAAACGAAAAGGTTTTGAAATGATTGTCTTTCACGATCAAGGAGCATCCATTTCGTCGACACTCGGGGAGGGACTTGTGATCAGCGTTATTTCCTTCGATTACTCTCAAAGATTTCATCGAAAAATTATCCACAGTAAGGTTAGATATGAGGAGAATTCCAGTGATGCGTTCGATATTTTGAAGACCAGAAAAGTCGAAGTCGTCGGAATCTGCTTCGAGTAGGAGGACGTTTCCGTCTATGACCGTGCATTCCTTGCGCTTGGCGATCTTTGTCTGGATGATTTGGGACTAGAAAGAACAGTTCTTATGATTTGCTGAAAATGGATTAAATCATGCAGAAAGATCATCAGTCAGGAGTTTTCCTGTGCAGGTTTGACTGTAAAATGTTTACAATATTTGACAGCCAAATTTCAAACATGCTCAAGATCAAATCAGAATTTGTCATAAAACACAATCGGCGAACGTTTACAAGAGTTGCTTTCAAAAGAGTTTGAAAGTTAATTGCAACGATAAAAAATGCAGAATACACTCGATCAAGAGCGGATACAACTTGCGGTTTACCTTTATCACGTTTCCCTAAAATCATTTCAAATCATTTGGTCGCTGGTGTGGGCAAATACCGCCTCGGGTGATAGAGAGTTCAGGCACGGAGCTCCAGGGCCCGTCAAATTTACAACGTTTGCCAACCATTTGAGTTGGCATTTGACTTCCTCCGAAATAACGCCCTGTCTAAGTCAAGCTATTCACTACTTTCAAAATATTTCTGGACAGTTTGGTTTACGAAAAGTCTCTCCAGAACTTTAAACATCTAGTTCCGTCCACGTGAATGGGAGTTGATAGGAACATAGTAAGAATAAAAGTGGAAAGTGTTTAATTTACGGAAGCCGTTTTTGGGAACAAAAGCACCTGACTTCCTATTTTCCGATTATTTGAGTGGAATTATGAGATCCCTTCACCTGTCACACCTCTGACGGCACCCTTGGACAGCAAATGAAGTTCCAGTGGGTTCAATAAATACAGGCAGATATCTACAGGCATTGCATTCTTGCGCGAAATTAAAAAATCAGGATTTAAGACTGGCATAACTTCGTTTTTCCCCTTTTTTCTCAGAAAAATTTGTCTCGTACTGAATGATATCTGACTGTATAATTCTTTCCCCCACAAAAACTTCATAAGCTCTCATAAATCGATGAAACTTACGCCACTGGCATGCAGATTCCAGAAGTCTCCGAGGCATCTCTTCGCTTGAATAAATCCTTCAATGAAGTTTATACAATATCTTTGTCGTGAGCAAAAGTATCTGCATATAAACCCCTTCCTACAAGCCAGCAGAAGACAGAAAAATACTGGAATAAAGTCTTCTTCATTATAAAAACATAGAAATGCTTCTTTAGTTCGCTCTTTTTCTTCGCAGTTCTCTCGTTGATCTCTTCAGATCTAATTCATATTGTCTCGCTAAAAGAATAATTTTTTCTCTCTGAGTTCCAGCGTTCGTCAATGGCGATAAATTATTAAACACGTAATTATTGTAAAGTTTGCACCCACTTCTGGCTGGCTAGACATCGATTTTATGAATTCAAATATTAAAAAAATGAAAAAGCAAATGAAAGATACGCGCAGCGCTTCGCACCACGAGGGGAAGTTCAACTCAAATATGGATATTTTCAAACAGTCCTTTTAATTTCTTCTTGTTATGAAATCATAAATGAGTACCTAGAACAGCAAGGAAGCAGAAAATCATCTTGAAATCTTCTCTTATACTATGTTTTGAGAATAAAAAACAATGATAGTGTCCAGTGCCCGATACTCGATATTTTAAAGAGTCACCGTTTATCTACGACTACTAAGGTGCCTTTGGAATTTAAGCGACGCTCATATTTGCGAATTATTTGATTACCAAAGTTCACCAGAAGCGTCTTCTCATTTAGTATCTCGGAAATAAAAATAAAAGTTTTTCCTCTCTTTTTGATAAAGACAATTTTCCTTCTGGCCAAATAAATATATCTAAAGCGGGTTGCTTATCTCATTTGTCGGACATCACGAGTGGAGCTCACAACAAGAGATATCAAGACGTTAACCTCTTGATATAAATGTGGCCATAGCCTGCCCGTCCCGGCATTTCTTCATTAGTTTCAAGTTGACCTCTCATAATCGAATTCGCAGGAAGATGAGTTACTCAATTAGACACTTTTTTGAACAATTAATGTGACAGTAACTGACTGTAATTCAAATACATCATTTTCACCTTGAATTCAAATTTATTGTCAGGCTATAAAAAGTTTGAACAAGTCTAGTAAGATAAGAAGAATTAACCTCTTCTTCCAGTATGAACATTTTCGATGCCAGTTCTGTTGAACGTCTTCATATCGGATCGAATATGGAACTGTTTGAGGATTAATTTAAGCACGTTTTGACTAAAGATTTTTGTAAATCTCAAGTCAGTCTCAAAATTTTCGATCAGAGATTTTGAGAAAATTTTCGACTATCAAAAAGGGTAGGCTTTAATTAATCCAGTGGCCAAGAAAAGAACGCAATTCCAAAAAACAGAACCAGGATATAGAAAATAATGCTCAAAACATGATTTCTCAGATGTTCGTCTTTTTCAATCTCTAAAAGTTTCAACTACTAAATTGATGAATTCTTCTCTATCAACCTTTTTTCGGCGGCATGATGCATCTCTTCTGGGAGGAACTTGGCGGTAAACGCATGTACGGAAGCCAACCCCTCCCTTGGGATAACTCGAGGCGCCTTTGATCAATTCCGAAATGGACTGCAAATTAAACGTGCCAAGAATCTTACTTTACAAGATCATTAAGCGAATAAGAATACAACTTCAAGTGACAGCTACTGTAGTTATGCTCATTACTAGGCTATCAATATGCACTGCAAATGACTAAACATTCTTGCTAAAAGTCGAACCTGCTGCATTTAGCGCCAAGCATCCAAAAGAAAAACAGAACTCAATCAACCTCAAATATTATTAAATATTCGCTGTTTGGAAAAATATCGAATTTGAATGTGAGTTTATTTCAAACAGCTAATACAGTAGTGCTTTAGAAACGTACGGAACTTGAAGATCAACGGCATTTGTGGAACAATTTTGGAGAATTGAAAATAAAGATTCAAAAAGAGAAAATAAGAGAAATTAAGGAAAGATACAACAGTTATTTTAAATAGTAATTTAGCTATTGAATTAAGTGGATATGAACATAAAGGATTATTTATTGAGGTTTTGTGCTGAGAATTGAAGATTTTTTAGCCTTTTGAATGAACTCGAATTTAGAGGTAAATAAAAAGTAGAGAAGGAACAATTAAAAACAACATCGGCCGCTACAAAATCTGTACACTATTTATTTTCTTGAAGATTTCAGGTATTCAGGTAGTTGGACAGAAATCGTGAACGGCAGAAACAGTAATCGAACAAGGATAAGGTATTTTTCTGTTGCTTTTATGTGAATTTCAAAACGGTAGTAGTTGTGTTGTTGTAGTTTGGATACGGTAAAGTATTCAAGAAATAAATAGATGGGTTTTTGGTTGGCCAAGGCGCTTTAGATAGGGAGGGAGAAGTCGACTCGGAAGTTCTGGTCCTTGGTGAGGTTGACGATCTCGGCCATCTTGACGGACATCTTGGCAGCTTCATCGAGGCTGTCGCAGGAGAGGATCTTCAAGCCAGACTGGCCGATAAGAGCCTTGGCGTCATCGACTCGAGTTCCCTATAATATTAATAGCTACTGAAGCCGGGGAGTGTTTTTCTACCTGGAGTCGGACGACAATGGGGATTTTGAGTTCGAGTTCTTTGGCAGCAGCGATGATACCCTGGGCAATGACGTCGCATCGCATGATACCGCCGAAGATGTTGACGAGGATGGCTTCAACCTTGGAGTCGGATGTGATCAGTCGGAAGGCTTCCTTGACCTGGTCAGCGGTAGCTCCGCCTAAACAATGATGGCTCTAGCACTAGAAGAGGACATCATACCTCCAACATCGAGGAAGTTAGCGGGAGAGCCGCCGTGGAGGGAGATAATATCCATGGTAGACATGGCAAGACCGGCGCCATTGACGAGGCAGCCGATGTTGCCGTCAAGGCCGATGTAGTTGAGGTCGGATCGAGCAGCGACGACTTCTCGCTCATCCTCCTGTCGCCAGTCTCGGAGGTCGAAGATGTCCTTCTGTCGGTAGGCGGCGTTAGAGTCGAAGTTGATTTTAGCGTCCATGGCGAGGACCTCACCAGTAGAGTCTTCGGCGAGGGGGTTGATTTCGAGAAGAGAGCAATCCTAAGAATAATGGCAAGGAGAACGAAAAGATGACTACCTTTTCCTTGAAGAGCTTGTACATCTTCATGAAGTAGTCGGCAGCTTCGTCCTGAGAGTATGCGGGGAAGCCCATCTTGGCAGCCAATCGCTTGGCCTGTTCGATTTGAAGACCAGCTTCGATATCGACGTGTTCCTAATTTAACATCTCACTATTCAGTTAACCAGAGTCTGGTATACCTTGATGATGGCTTCAGGGTTGGTAGCAGCGACTTCCTCGATGTTCATACCACCGGAAGCGGATCCAACCAAGACTGGGCCGAATCGGGTGGCTCCTCGCTCCATGGTGATGGCGAAGTAGTATTCACCTGATAATTTAGTAAGAATCAGAGAAGAATTTTATTTCATTTACGTCGTGGGTATCGTCGCTCAACAACGAAGACCTTCTCGCATGGTCGTCCCTGCTCGCCAGTCTGCTTGGTGATAAGATCAGCGCCAATCATTTGGTCTGAAAAATTATCAGAAGATGTTTCAGGGAAGGAAGGGCTTACCAGCCAAAGCCTTGGCATCTTCGGGGGAGTAGACGATCTTGACACCGCCGTTGAGTCCGGGCTCGCCGTTCTTTCGGAAATATCCCTAGAAAATCATCGAACTTGCCCTTTGAGAACTATATTTTACCTTTCCTCGTCCTCCAGCAAGAACTTGGGCCTTGACAACGCAGTCAGGAGTAGGCAAGTTCTTGGCGATTTCGTAGGCCTGTTCTGGGGTAGTCGCCATGTGTCCTTCTGGAGTCTTGACGCCATACTCCTTCAGCAAATTGAAGGAGAGATACTCATGGATTGAGAGTTGTCGGCGCGCAACAGTTGCAGCTGCCTTTCGAACGAACATTTCTAGGAAGAAAGAGTAAGATAAGGAAATGGCCAAAAAGGCGCTGAAGCTATTTTGACGAAACTCCAAGGTGAAAGTAGTTAATCCCTAGTTTTAGTTTTGCGGCAAACGTGCCAAATCTAACCTTGTTACTTGATAACTAAATCATCTGGGAATAATAATTGATACCATGGGAAAACATTCTAGAGATTCGCATAATCTCTTTTATAAAATATCATATTCAAAACTAGATAGATCATGCCTTCTATGGAAGAATTTCAATTAATTGAATCCAAGAAAATATCTATTCTGGCCCTTGAGATTTTGGGTTCCCTTTAGCTGCTAATCTTATGACTCGATTCTAGCAAAAATACAGTTTACATAACATCTACTTTTGCGAAAATGAGTGACTGAGGAAGAGTATCATCGGGCATATTCTCTAACTTCTGGTTTATTGGACGTGTTCACAGAAAATGAAAATTCTCGATAAAAAAGTAGGCAGGAGGATCGCTACGAAGGAGATCGACTAAAGCACCTGGCCAAGGGCCAACGCCGTCGCAGAGTTTTCAAACTGCGTATAAATAAAAAAGACAATTCTCAAATCTCAGAGCTACAAACAGAACCATCAATACATTAGCAAAGAAAAATCCGATGTTCTGGGACGAAAAATTACCTTGATTGCTGGTTTATTTTTCACACGGATTTTCTTTCCTTTCTCTTTAGTTTTTTTTTCGCTAAAGATTCTATTTTTTAGAAAAGTGTTCTTTGAAAAGAATAAAGACCTGCGTGAATGCTGGTCTCGTGACCCTATGTTTTGTCTCACGAGGTTAGACCTGAGCTGACAAGGATACTAAATCGATCTTGCGAAAATAAGAAGCCTCAAAAAGCAATCAATTGATCAAAATTAGGTCGCTTCGGATTATCTTGCGATCTTGCTCAAGTTTCAAAATATTGATTTACTCGTAAAACTTGAATTTCCGAGTTTGTTCTCTTCGTTATCTCCAATGCCAAAATATTTTCATAAAAATTATACTATAATTTAGCAACTTAAATTAAACGAAAGGGCAAAGGGTTTTTCATTTTTAGGGTTTATTTTTTCATATTTTTTGTTTGAAGTGTTAATAGTAAAGTAGGACTAATAAAGAAAATTGCACATAAATTAAATGCCTAGGAAATACGAACACGCGCACTACCGGTACTACAGTAAGTCGAAAAGTGTTGAGTCTGAATTGTGTACAGGAAGGTTCAGTCGATGGTTGGACTAGCTTTTGTTGTTGACGATAGGGAGTAACGATATTTTTGGTGGATATTTTTTTCTCTTGTGGGGATCCGTAGTTTTTTCGACATCTTGAGTAATTGCACTAAGTCAGCTTATGCGGGCAGCACGATCTTCTGGCCCTTGACGACCTTGGTGATGTAGAGGTAAAAGAAATCACAGTAGAGAATGGTCTGATCATTGGTTTCAATTTGATCCTCTTTTTGAAGGTGGAAAACATTCAAAACGCCGAAATAGGCCAACTTTTAGGGGCAGATTCGGGCATACAAAACGAATTCTTGAAGTTTGAAAGCCTGCTATCATTCCCACAAGACCTTCCTCTACTAGCTTGTTTGCTACTTCGTAATATTCCCCTGAAAGTCGGCATATTTTGGAGAAATGAGCACATTTCATATTTCTTGCGAAAAATCGAAACCTTCCTGAACGACTCCAGCCACAATGGCGATCGCATCGACGTGGTTTTCGTAGTAGTATCGGTAGACCCAGTTGAGAATGTAAAGTGCTCGGTAAGAACCTTGGGCGAACAGGTAGTGCGATGTGATTGTCTCGGCTTCTCCGGTCTGAAAGCGGGTTTGGAACACATTCATTCTCTCTTCTAGTACCTTAGAAATGAGGAAGAGCTGTGGAAGAATGGCAACAGCTTCCAAGTAAATGGAGAAGGTCCATAGGATTTCAATAACGTCGAACTTTGAGTTGATAAGGCAGGCGAGGCCGGCAGCGGGGACGATGAGGAATTCGGCGCGCATCGAATCGTGATTTCCGTCGTAAGTCGCTTTGAATTTGAAGAAAATAAGATAGCATGTGAAAATGGACGCAGCGATGTAGATCAGCTTCATGACTTTTAAAATCGTTTCAGCAAAAGAAAACAAAATTTTATAGAAAAACCGACAGTATCTTATTCGACAAGTTTTTCCCTTGAGAACCCTGTTTGAAGCTAAGATTCGTTCCTTGAGCGAAGCGAATTTTCGCAACAACATTTTGTCAAAAAGAAAAAGGAGTAATTGTAGTGAAAATTAAATTAAATCGTTTCGGAGAAAGAATGAAGCGAAGAGGGAGAAAATTGTAGCGAAATTCTATTTGGCTTATATTCGGTGAAACGAAAAGAAGCGAAGCGAATCTTCGCTACAGTCCTTTACGGGACTATTCTTCTTGATAAAAGCCTGTAGCGAAAATTTCTGGCTGAAGGATCTTAAAATTGAAGATAAGCGAATCTTCGGTCCGGTCACTTTTAGCGAAAGAAATCGGTTGCTAATTTTTTCAAAAGTTGAAACGCGCCTGTATTGTATAAAGAAACGAAATGGAGGAAGAGATCAAGATATCTTGTAACGAATGTAAGAGCGAAGAGAAATTGTGTCTTTCCAGAGACGCCGGCGCACGATCTCGTCTTCCAAATCTTGAGGAGCAGGATGGCAATCGCCGCCAAATGCGACAAATCTCCGAAAAGTCGGAAGATATTCATCCTCTGAAAATGAAGAAAATCGTTATTTCTCTGACAGTGGGGAAACGGGGAGATGTCACCTGACTCTCAAAATAGAAAGAAATAGAACAATAAAACAAAAAAGGCGATGACTGGGACTGAACACAAAGAAGTGAGCTGGGATAAGTAAACAAAACCGACCAAGACTCCGGTTTCTCTTTCTTTTATGATTCGATGTATCTTGACTGTCTATTGCTTCAGCTCAAAAAGCTCAAGCTTTTACGGATAATACCTCAAAAGGGGTCCCCATTTTATCGGATAAATACGTCTTGAGGTCTCAATTTAACGGATTTTCTTCTACAGACTTCTTACATGAGATTCTTCAGGTTTACAGGAATTTTTCTGAAAATCCGCTAAAATAAAAACCTCCAAGAAGTTATAAAATGGGACCCCTATTTTAACGAGTAAAATATGTTTTGACCAGCAATTAATTTTCCTAGAAACACTAAAAAGACCTGTACGAGAAGTAAATTTGTAATAATTGTATTTGTGAGGGTAAATATTCGAAATGAATCAATAATATGATTAGATGAAGGATGTTTTCTAAGGATTTTTTCTCTAAGGAGGAAATAGGGAAAAATCAATAAAAAAAAAGATAGCCGACGGGAAACAATCTGGGAAAAGGGCGAGAGCTGACGTGTAGTTGCTGTTTTCTTGGATTGGCCGCGCGAGCCTACACGAAAAAGCTCTGTCTGGCATCAAACGGCTCTTCAAAAAGAAAAAAAAAGACTCACATCCGGGAACTTTTTTTAACTTTACGAGGCAATTTGAAAAACCAGCGAAACGCGCTTTCTTTTTGCCAGCTGTTTTTTTTTCAAACAGCTGATGTGAATTTAATCCCTTTCAGTAATCCTTCTGTTACTTTTGACCTACCAACTACAACTCAAGGGTAGTAACTCAGGAAAAGCAGCGGGAAGCGACAATATTCGCGTTGGCGGCTCTTAGGCTCGTAATTGGTCAAAATTCACAGTCAAATTTTGTCGCCGTTTTCCCAACTTCATCTGCGCTACCAGCGATGATTATGAGTTGTAAAAAGTTTTTAAAGATTCAATATCCGATTGACGTCAATTTTCCTTCTACATCTGGGTTAATTGTGAATCAGATATCAGATATTGGTTTTAAATTACGGATAAAAGGACTAATTATATCAAATTAAATTCTACATACTACTCCATCGGAGCGTACATTCCTTAATTTAACTAACTTTCTACGGATAAAGCTACTGTACTTTAGTTTACTTCAGTATGAAAAGACGTTGTCTCAGAGCTGTCTTTTCTGTCTTACAACTAACCCCTCTTGACTTGAAGAATGTTTATTACTGTACAGCTGCTCTCCTCGTTGATTTCAGAGGAAAACAGATGTTGGCGAAAAAGGAAAAGTTCATGCTGAGCAGATAAGAAGGCGATAGAATTGGCGCGGAATTTGACGATTCTGGTGATAGCACGCTGAGTGAGTGATCCGTGCCCGGCAATAAATTGAACTTGGCAGTTTTGGAGGCACGTCGCCGCCAGTCTGAGTGTACACGTGACCTTACTCTTACCTACTTTAGCCTTCGCCAGATCACTATTTTACGGGCTCAAATTGATATGTAAGAAAGAGAACTTGTTTTATTTTTGGATAGAGAAAGTGGATTTATAAATATTTATTTTTTATGAAAAAATGAATGATTGAATGTATGATTTTTCTTATTGAAAGCCGGTATTATCGATATTTGCTTGATAACGTTACTGTTATATAATTCTTGTTCAATGTCTTTTTATTAGATTTTACTGGCAAACGACGGTGTTTGTATTACAGTTCATTTATCTTTATTTAGGCATTTTTTGTCGCGATTTTTTTTAAAGAAAGCTCAAAAAATAGAGGTTATTGCAAAAATCTTGAAAGAAATTAGGCTAGAGATTTTCAAAATCACAAAAAATTAAAAATGAGTGTGTAAATTTGAAAGATAAAGAGGTGTTACTCGCTGTTTATTGAGGCGTAAGATTTAAAATTCTCCGGAGGTTACAGCCGGCAGGGATTAGGTCAAAGAGAGCACCATTCCAAAGTCGCCTAAGCCATGCTGGATTACTCTCGGCTTCAAAGTCGACGACCCAGGTCGCCCGAAACCGTCTAGCTCGCCTTCGGGCCTTCAAACAGACAGACTTCAGCCCTCAAGGTAGCCGAGAGTGTGTTTTTGACCTCGGCACAGATATTTCAATAATCCTACTTTTAGGTCGGACACACACGGATAAAATCCGTACACGGACATGTCCGTTTAGAACCCTGATCAGAGGCATTGTACTGCTGAAGATTTTCAACTAACTATCGACGAGATTACCGGTCGAAGTTTGTCGGTTTTAATTAGAAATCGGCACCAAAGATCTTTGATTTTCTTGGAAGCCTAAGTCGAGAATCTTTAGGTTATATTCTGGTTATCATAAGCGTCAAATTTGAGCAGCGATGCTTGACGAATCATTTTTCATCGAAAGAAGTCGGGAGAAGGAGAGCGCTCCTGACGAGATTTCACTACGGAAATTGAAAGTTGCCAGCGTCGAGTCTCAAAAACACAAACGAGAGAGTTGATTCTTGGGCGCGCACGCACACAGTGCTCGGAACGCGGCACAATGCACGAACGCACACTTGCCCCTGTGTTTCGCCCTAAATAGAGAAAAAATAACAATCGAGTAAGAGAGCAGCGCGCCCAGCGATTCATTGCGAGGGAGGGACGGAGTCAGATTAGAAAGGAATAAAGAGGGAGGGGACGAGGATCGTTTTTGTCAACTGGAGGCGACAGCACGGTCCGTGTCAGACTCAGAAAAGATAGATGGACCGCCACATTGCTCTAGGGTACGGCGAAGTTGAGTTCTTTTAAGTGCCCTGTCAACAGCGAAAGTAGAAGAGAGTCAAAGAGAGAACCCTCCCCCAAGACCGCCGCTCTTTTCAAAAGACTCAAACGAGAGAAAAGCGAATCTGAAAGTGAATCTTATCCATTCAGAATGACAGAGTCGGATCAGATGCCCAGACGATCGCCCTTAGACGAGTCGCTCGCTTCTACTCAAAGCCCAAATAGCCAACAACCAGTCAAGTGTCTTCAGAAACCAAACCAAAACAGCCATTATGACTCAAGGTAACCATCTCAAATTCTTAAGAATATTCTCAGTGAAATAAAAATTAATTAAAAATGCACTGGAGTGTGTAAATTATGCATCGATAACTACGATTTATCACACGATCTTTTCTTTGAAGATATACTCTTTCTATCTCAAAGGCCTCAAATAAATTCTGAGCCAGAATATCTGTTGTTCGAAGTACAGTTTTTAGCTAAAATCGTTAAAGATAGATATACTGTATATAACATATCATATACAGGAGCTGAATCTCCTAACTTATCCAAAATGGAAATGCTCTTTCCGGGAAGTCTTTACCTAACTCCTTTAAAGTTTAGTTTGTGTTTATCTAAAGAAACCGTAACTCATACGTAAAGAAGGTTATATAATGACATAGAATTCAAACCAAAATTAAACCACTATCAAGAAACTCGTGACTTATTATAAATTTGCCTCTTTTTTAAAGGTACGACTTAGATTTATAAAAAAAATTGTCCCTAAAAAGGCATTTCCGTTTCAGTTAACAGGAAATGAAGTCTAATTTCAACTTATATGATCGTTTTTTCTCAGTCACCGTTCACCTTCAAGCTACAGTTATCCCTCCCGTGTGATACGACCTCCACCGACGATGTCCATAGCCTCTCTGCACAAGAGAAATTCCAAGTCTTTTACCTCAACTCTGAAAAGCATCAACCAAAGGTACATCCCCCTGATCAAGTCCAACTAAATATTTCTGAAGAATATCATCTGTCTTCCGCAATCGACTGGGTTCGAGCTCTTCGCGAGATTCATCCGATTCCTCCGGTTCATCCGATAGCTGCTACAGAAAGTAAAAAAAAAGAAAAAAACCAACACACATTCAAGCAAAGAAAAGCATATTATTTAGGATAAATTAATTGTATCCTCAGCACAAGACGAGACCAGTCTCTACTATCGTATTATAGATTACGTCTGTGTGTGTTTAAAAACTGTGCCGCACGTAAAAAAAACACCAACAAAAGATATAGAGTCTTCGTAATTAAAAAAACACTCACTATCGCTTCGTTAAATACCAAAAAACAATCTGTACTTACAATACAATATGTCCAAAACCAAAAAGCAACATTGTCAGCACAGTGTTTAACCGACAAAAAGCTGAAACGGGAAAATGAAAAAGTCAGCGTGAAACATTTTCGCCTGCTCCCTCTTTGTCTACTCGTTGTATCAATAAATCGTATTGCTCAATAAATTCAAATAACACAAAAAAAATAATGCGCCAACCGGCATCGGAGAATTTCAAGATTTCAAGAAAATTCTCACTTTCTGTGTAAATATTCAAAATATATTTTTTCATTTCAAATTCAATTTGGCAGAAAAGATACTTCGGATAAGGGAAAGTTGCGAAGAAAGCCCTGCTCCGGGTGGAAGAATATCGTGTAGGGCCTTTTCGGATTCTAGTTTTGACAGAATTTGTTGCCAGATTTGAACTGCTTCTTTGGTTGTTGCTGGTGTTTTGGAAGACGCGAAGATTTCTTCTATCGTTGATTCTATCAGCTTTCTTGCTTTATCATTACGAGCTACGTATTCGGGCATCTAAAAGAGATTGAGGAAAAAGTGATTTTCGACATGACAGTTGACATTTTACCTTGTACTCTTTATCCTTCAAGAAAACGACCAACGCCGTTATGTTATCCATCGAACCACGAGAGAAACTCGTATCAACCATTCTCCAGGCTACTTCTTCGTTTTTCCCGAAAACGCTTGCCTCAAAATGTGCATATTTCGCCGCTTCGGCGCTGGTTAAAACATCGAAAACGCCATCGCTTCCGAGAACGAGTAGACTGTCGCTTTCTTCGCGAGGGATGATTGTACAGGTTGGTGCTGCGATGACTGGCTGAAAGAGGTCGTGGTAGCGTCTTGAGGGCCATGTTCCTTCGGAATTCGGCTTGAGATCTAAATCCATTGTCAAATTTGAGAAGATTTGGAAGACGCGATATTTCTGTCTATATCTTTCGATGATGTACCAAAATCACCAAAAGCGCGACTGAGAGCAAGATTTCCATTGACTCGATTGTATCTTACAAAGCCGCCAGTTTCATAAATGCGTTTTCTTTCCTCTGTATCCATCGGCTTATGATCTTCTGTTGAAAACTTGAGCTCAGAAGACTCATCTATTCAATAGTTCAAAATAGTTTTGTTCACTATCTAAAAACAAAAGTTCGAACCGTGCCCACAAGCAGCGTTCTTGAGTCCCCGACATTCGCAAAGATGAAATTCTTCGGCGTCATCAGCACAGAGGAACACGTGCTTCCGGAACGGAGACCACTGGCCCTAATCTCGCGATCGAACTCGAGATAAGCGCGCTCTATTTCGGAAGAAATTTCTTCCGCACTTGCATCTGAAACAATATTGCAGATAGGGATCGAACGCAAATCAAAATGGGAATTTTTAAAAATAAAGATATGCCTTTTATATTAAAAATTAAAATAGTAAATCGATTATGCTGATCTCAAATATGATAATCATATTGTATTTCAACTTCCGGTTTCCCGGAAACTGTCGGTTTCAGCGGCTTCCTGTGGACGCGCAATCTTGCGCCAATAACAGCAGGTTAATGAGCATTGGAAAAAGGATTTTCGAAGAAAAATATTGAAAATCGATGGCGCGTGGTTGCGCTTGCCTTTTGTACTTCTGAAGTATGACTCATGAAGCGGCGGCAAAAGCGCATAGCCCGCGTCAATGCGCGTGCGCGAAGGCGCCAGAGAGAGGCGCACGAAAAAATTGAAAAAGATGAGCGCGCCGCGATTCGAACCCGCCCCACCAGATAGACATGGTCCTATCAATTGACAACCAGGCTATTGGAACTTGGGGAGACGCCCTTTTTCGTGGGTATAAATTATCTGCTTCTTTTTCTTTCTTCAGTAAAACTCCCTTAACCTTACGACCACAAACGGGATTTTCACCTACCGGGTACTTTTTCGTCATTTTTTTCCAAAAAGTCAAATTTTTAAATGCGAGTCGAGATAGACTCCCAAAATGCGTCAAAATCGACTTTTGACCCGTAGAATCCATTTCCGGGCTCAAATTTGTGAAATTCCGCAAACAGATTTTTCGAAAATTGTTGACGGGGAGGGGGGTCCTTAATCGAATTTCCTTCAACAAGAAGATCAAAAAATGCACAGACACAATTTTTCGAGCCAAAAAAAGAAATGATAATAAGTAAATTTTTTAAAAATTTTGATTTTCATAATTAGAAATTAAAAAATAAATAAGTTAGTTGTAAGATAAAAACCATAACAAAGCAAGAAACTGGATAAACTTTAATTTTAATGAAAACGGGTGTGGGTGGGGTTGGGGACAAAACTGAGATTGATCACCTCAGAGTTTAAAGTTTAAACCTTCTGTCAAGCCCTTTTCGAAGGGCCGTCAAGCCCCTTAAAATTAAAAATCAAGGAACGGGGCTGAGACGGCCCGAAGGGCCGTCAAGCCCCTTAAAATTAAAAATCAAGGAACGGGGCTGAGACGGCCCGAAGGGCCGTCAAGCCCCTTAAAATTAAAATCAAGGAACGGGGCTGAGACGGCCCGAAGGGCCGTCAAGCCCCTTAAAATTAAAAATCAAGGAACGGGGCTGAGACGGCCCGAAGGGCCGTCAAGCCCCTTAAAATTAAAAATCAAGGAACGGGGCTGAGACGGCCCGAAGGGCCGTCAAGCCCCTTAAAATTAAAAATCAAGGAACGGGGCTGAGACGGCCCGAAGGGCCGTCAAGCCCCTTAAAATTAAAAATCAAGGAACGGGGCTGAGACGGCCCGAAGGGCCGTCAAGCCCCTTAAAATTAAAAATCAAGGAACGGGGCTGAGACGGCCCGAAGGGCCGTCAAGCCCCTTAAAATTAAAATCAAGGAACGGGGCTGAGACGGCCCGAAGGGCCGTCAAGCCCCTTAAAATTAAAAATCAAGGAACGGGGCTGAGACGGCCCGAAGGGCCGTCAAGCCCCTTAAAATTAAAAATCAAGGAACGGGGCTGAGACGGCCCGAAGGGCCGTCAAGCCCTTAAAATTAAAAATCAAGGAACGGGGCTGAGACGGCCCGAAGGGCCGTCAAGCCCCTTAAAATTAAAATCAAGGAACGGGGCTGAGACGGCCCGAAGGGCCGTCAAGCCCCTTAAAATTAAAAATCAAGGAACGGGGCTGAGACGGCCCGAAGGGCCGTCAAGCCCTTAAAATTAAAAATCAAGGAACGGGGCTGAGACGGCCCGAAGGGCCGTCAAGCCCCTTAAAATTAAAAATCAAGGAACGGGGCTGAGACGGCCCGAAGGGCCGTCAAGCCCCTTAAAATTAAAAATCAAGGAACGGGGCTGAGACGGCCCGAAGGGCCGTCAAGCCCCTTAAAATTAAAAATCAAGGAACGGGGCTGAGACGGCCCGAAGGGCCGTCAAGCCCCTTAAAATTAAAAATCAAGGAACGGGGCTGAGACGGCCCGAAGGGCCGTCAAGCCCCTTAAAATTAAAAATCAAGGAACGGGGCTGAGACGGCCCGAAGGGCCGTCAAGCCCTTAAAATTAAAATCAAGGAACGGGGCTGAGACGGCCCGAAGGGCCGTCAAGCCCCTTAAAATTAAAAATCAAGGAACGGGGCTGAGACGGCCCGAAGGGCCGTCAAGCCCCTTAAAATTAAAATCAAGGAACGGGGCTGAGACGGCCCGAAGGGCCGTCAAGCCCCTTAAAATTAAAAATCAAGGAACGGGGCTGAGACGGCCCGAAGGGCCGTCAAGCCCCTTAAAATTAAAAATCAAGGAACGGGGCTGAGACGGCCCGAAGGGCCGTCAAGCCCCTTAAAATTAAAAATCAAGGAACGGGGCTGAGACGGCCCGAAGGGCCGTCAAGCCCCTTAAAATTAAAATCAAGGAACGGGGCTGAGACGGCCCGAAGGGCCGTCAAGCCCCTTAAAATTAAAAATCAAGGAACGGGGCTGAGACGGCCCGAAGGGCCGTCAAGCCCTTAAAATTAAAAATCAAGGAACGGGGCTGAGACGGCCCGAAGGGCCGTCAAGCCCCTTAAAATTAAAAATCAAGGAACGGGGCTGAGACGGCCCGAAGGGCCGTCAAGCCCTTAAAATTAAAAATCAAGGAACGGGGCTGAGACGGCCCGAAGGGCCGTCAAGCCCCTTAAGGGGGTCGACGAGAATCGGGATTTCTGTGACCAAAAATGCGGGAAAACCGGATTAGATAGGGACAATCTGATGTTATTGGTGGATAGAAAAGGGTTGAAAAAATCAGGCGGCGAAAACTAGAAAAAATTTTCGCCAGAAAAAATCGGTCAAAAATCCCCTCAAAGTAGGGGCATTTTCGCGAAAATGCACCAAAAATGGCGATTTTTTTCACATTTTTCTTAATTTCACCCCCTAAATCTCATTTTTATCAAATGTTTTTAGGCTCAACAGATTCGGGAGGATCTGACAATTCCAAAAATATAAGTTTCATATCCAGACTATGAGTACAAGCGAAATTACGATCACCCCTGAAAAAATTCTCGTCGACCCCCCCCCTTAAAATTAAAAATCAAGGAACGGGGACCAAAATCAAGTGATCCCTTCTTCAAAATGACTCGATATCGAATCACGTGCTCAACGGCGGACCAGGATACCTGAACCGAAGAAGACGTTATCTCCTCGATATTAACTCCACTTCCGCTTGGTGCTGTTTCTTCAGTGAAAATGACAGCGTCGGTTTCAGCATTAGCGACAAGTGCTGAGATCGCAATCTCGTACTTGGTCAGAGGGATCATTTGAGTGAGTCGAACAAAGTTAGCAAAGCCACCTTGGAGCCCGTTGGTAATTGATGCAATTGGTGGTTCCACGACGACTCGCAGATCCTTGGCACCCATAACGTAACCGAGAGCGATGGCGATCTGCGATGACTGCAGGAGGGCGACTCTTGAGTTTTCGAGAAGTGGTGCCGTCTTGGGAATACTGAAGACCTTGTCTGTCTTTCCGTGATAACCTGAAGCTCCACTGGATGAATAAGTGGCAGTCATAACGATCGAATAGATTGTGTTTGGAGTAGCACCGTCAAGTAACAGCGGACTCTCAAGCTCGACCATATTTCCATCAAAGTTGGGAATCGGTGGATTGATCAAAATATTGTAGAAGTCTGGTTTGGTAGCAACATCCCAGGTAAGTGTCAGTGATGTCGATCGCGCTTTCGCAGAGAAGTTATCTAGAGATGGAACTGTGGAATTATGTAAATTTCGCCCCTAAAACATATCTTTATCACATGATTTTAGGCTTAACTTCTCAATACACGGGCGCGCGACTAAGCGCTCAAAACACGGGGTCGGGAAAACCGACCACCAGGCATTATTCAGCCCCGCGCGGCGCGCCGAATCCTGAGTGCGAAAAATAGCACCGAAGGTTTTGATCTCTTATTCATATTTCCGTCAAGATAATAAGGCGAAAAAGATACTGTTAGAAAGCTTGAACACTCAGCTATCCATTTATGTAATTATCACGGAAAAATAACTTTCCGATTTTCCGATAAAGAGCGTGAGAGAAATCTCGTGCAAAACGCCATCCCTCTTGAGAATCTTCACGAAACTTCGCAGAGTGGTTTGATTTGTTCATATGAGTATACATTGCAAAAATTGGGTCAAACGGATTACCACATTCGAAGTTATTGAGGGCCAAAGTCGCCGTGGTCGGTTTTACCGACCACGTGTATTGAGAAGTTAACAGATTCGGCAGTACAGTTCATATGCAGACTATCTGTAGAAGTGATATTTTGATCACCCTGAAAGAAATTCTCGTCGAGATCTGGTTAAAGCCATCACACTCTCAGGAATGTATGGCTCAGTTGGTATCTGATAGGAACGGGACTTCTTAGTGAAGCGCGTTCGATTCCCGACGAGACCATTTTTTTTTCAATTTCTATTGGTCAGGGCGCGGGCTCGCTCGCAGGAAAAGTCAAAACGCGTCGCGGCAAAAGCTTCTCGCCCCGGAGCGCCACCCTTTGCGTGACACTTCTCCGCGCTGCGCGCTTCTCATTGGCCCTTTTCCTCTTCTCTCTTTATTTTTCAAAGTGTAATAACTCAAAAACTACAACACCTATGAAAATTTAAAATTCATATTTGAAAAGCCTGAGCCTCAAAACCCATTTTTTCATTTATAAGTTTAGAAAAAAATTTTTTGGGTGCCCCGGTGGTGATTTGCGTTCGATCCCTAATTGCAGATAAGTGCCACATCCAGTTAGAACCTGATTTAATGAGGGAGCCGAGCTTCTTCTCGAGGAACTGTGGTAAGTTCTTAGAGCAGTACTGGGCGACGCGGTAATCTAAAGAGACAAAACATGTTGAGTATCTTTGGCTTAGTATCTTTTACGAACCAACATGGCCATCAAGGACGGCGAAAAAATGATACCCAGGGGAATCGCAAAAATCCAGCTTCACGGCTGTATAGTCCTTTTATCAAGAGTTTTAAACTTAATGATTTGTAAAGAATGCTGCGTTTTGCGCAACTCTTTCCTCCATATACGGTCTGTAGAAAGTTTTACAAAAGAAAATTACGAATAAAATCGCTGAAAAAGTGGGTCTCTCAAAACTCTTTCCTGTATCCTTGAATTCCACAAGAAGTGTAATAAATCTCCCGCTTAGCATCTTCAAACTGTATTTTTGTCAATACAGGGACAGCAGCGAAACGAATCGAGTTGATACCAAGACGGAGAAAGCGCTTTCCAAAAGCCCACTAGACGAAAAATGCTCATAAAAACGTTCATTTTTGATGTTCATACTTTCATGTTATTCTATTTCGTTTCCGATCGATCAAGACACAATCTAAACAGTTGGACTTCTAGCAGTGCTAATTAAGAAGAAAGCTCAACTCACACGAATACAGCGTGATGGATAGGCTCCATCAAATGAGAGCTCGTCTGCGGTGGAAAAATCCGCGACTTTGTTTGCGCAATACGATGGAACGTACTCAATAAATTACCCCCTCTGATTTGACCTGATTGTCCTTCCATAAAGGGACGAAAAGTATGAAATTTCCAATTCATCTCGGATCGTCTCCTTACTACTTTATTTGAGTAAGTCCGCCGGACTCGTAGTATTTGCTCAGAAGAGCTCGGAATGCTTTTTATGGCTGTCATACAAAATCGCCAACGAGAGTTTGCTGAAAAGCATACTTAAAATTTCGCAAAAGTTTTAATACTAGCTGTTTCTTCTTTGAGCCCACCGAAAAGGACGAAGGTAGAGAGAGAGAAGGTGGTGGAAAAAACGAGCAGCGGCGCTCTAGGCACACAGGGAGAACGACTGGAGGAGGCCACTACTGGAGCGTGTGCCTAACCAAGGAGTAGCACAACAAAAGCTGAGCGCTACTAGCCCCATCACTCTTCTGAAACATCGTTGTGTTTACAGTGCTGAAAGAAGTTAGAGAGTACTGAGAAGAGAGAGAGACGAATAAAACTCCCACGAAAGAGAGAAGGCCACAAGACAGAGTACTGATCGAGCAACACCTTCGCATGTCGGCTAACTGGATAACTGGGGAGTGAAAAGCGAGCTTCACATGAAACAGTTATGTTCATAGAAAGAAGACTCTGGGGACATCTTTTGCTTCTTTCGCTAAGGGTCACTATTTCACAAAAAATGCTAGTTTGATGAAACTTTGTAAATGACGTAATAGACGTTTGATCTTGACATTAGACAATAATTGTGCTAGAATCAGAAGGAGTGGTACTTGAGTCGAGAACAAGCACACTTGAAAGGGCCGTGACGCGGCGGTAACAACTGTAATCGACATTTGGAAAGTCAATTCCAAATTGAACAATTGTTCGTGCAAAAGGTCGATGGGTATAATTGCCCTTGGCCCTGAGCCATAAGCCCGATTGAAATATTAGTTGATTTTCGGTCATGGGCTCTAATTTATGGGCGTAGCGGGACATCCCACATGTAGCTAGTACAACTAGTGATCCAAGAAAAAGGTAACTATCTCGGCCAGATACACGAATAGCCGACAAGTCAACAACTTCGGATCTGCAGTTCGGCAACCAAGAAAGTCTTCGTGTGCTAAAAGCGATGGGAAAAGTAAAGGCTCAGAGGTATTGAATTTCCATCCGGCGAATAAACTCTAAAATAATCATGGTTCAGAGGCCCCATGATAAACCATTCAAGCCGTATTCTAACGACACGAATTTCGACGAATTCCTAGACCTCAGCAGTCCAGTAACTTCATTGACAAGACGAAGAAAAAGGGACTTGGACTGGTTCTCACTTGCATCCGGGCTTCCACAGTCAGATACATTTTACACGCCTTGGATAAAAGAGGTTGAAATGACATTTTAAAACAAGAAAATGAGTGATTGTTTAAGAAATGTTACAGAACGATGATTGACTTTGGCAAGAATCTCGCAAATAATGCTGACTCACTTGCAGAATGCTTGGGTTTTAAATTAGAAGCTGAACCTCTTTATATTCCAAAGGTAGAAGGGGTTAACAATCAAGGAGGATCTAAACAAGAATGTAGCCTAAAATCGTCATTGTAAAAACTTGGGAAGAGGAAAAGAAGAAGAAGAGAAAGCAAAAATATCGAAAAAAGAGAAGTCTTTATTTTCAACGATCATGTCATAGACACAGAGTTCATGCAGAAGGTAAGCTAGAAAATTCATGTTACGGGTGAAAATATTATTTAAGGGCGTGCGATTGATTTACAAATAAATTGGCTAACGGATGAAAGAATAATGAGCAAGATCGAAAACGCTGGTAAACGCGAACAACTATTCCGAAACCTGCAAAAACTGGCAGAGCAGAGCTTCGATTTCGTAAAAATTATTCGATCTTCATCGAAACCTACAGTGCTCCACGTGTCCTGCACAGGTTAAACTGCAAACTTGCCCAGTACAAAATTGGTCGGAACCGGTGAAATCTAAGCAAACATGTAAAAAAGAATAAAAAAACGAAACCTAGCGATAACCTTTTCGCTAATTTTTGACTGCCGTATATTTGTAAAGTAAGGTTTTCATTTCATTGAGTGTTCTCAATCACTCGGCACTAGAACTATTCCTACTCGTATTCATTTCTTCTCACTTCCCAAAACTGAGTATCCTGATACTCCTCGTTGTTCTCAAAGTCTTTTCTCTCTCCATGTTTATACTCACACTCGCTACAGTACATAAAATAAACTAATTCGAAAACTAGAGCTCTGTACATCGGCTTCTATATTTACAGTAACAGGTAGACCAAACGGTAAAGTGTATACAAATACAGTAAATAGCAGTAGTTGAGGTAGTTGAAACGCCGGAGGAAAAGCAGTGAACTTTGACTATTTATTTTTCAAGGAATGCGACCTTCTGGAGCTCCATTCTCCATCACGATAAGCTGGACTCGGAAGTACTAAAAGATTTTTTAATGCTTGATTATAAATGAGCGGCACAGCGACTGTATAATCGATCCTCACCTCAGATCTCGATCCAGCGAGCTAGAAGTGGCCTCCAAAGGTGGCTCAACAAGATGGAGCGTTTTCTTTGGAGTCACTATCAGCGAATTAAGCACTTTGCGGTCGTCTTCGCTGAGGTTGATGTTGAATATTTGGTGGCTGACTTTCGCGGCAAAATCGAAAGAGATGACAACTTTTTCTGATCCGATCAAGTGCGCGACCAAGGAGGAGTTCAACATTGCAACTAGTACGCCGAATGAAAGAGGAGCTCCAAAATAGCTACGAATTTCATTAGAAAAATCGAGAAAAATGAGGGATGTACCTTGAAATTGCCGAAAATGGCGAGCAGAGGAGAAAAATCAGCGGACAAAAACAAACAAGAGCCAGGCCAAGTTGAATTTGCGGGGTGTTGATTAATGGAACGTCGACTTTGTTCAAGGACAAGAACACCGCCGGGTATAATGAGGCCAGCAAGCACCCAGCCAGAGTGAGCTGATTGAAGGGGATATTACAGAATGAAGTGAGCCCAACGACTTGAAATAACGAGACAATCCAAACCGCAACCTACGATAGTTGTCGAAATAAATTACAGTCAGATTCTTTCGCTAATTTGATTTATAATCAACGGGCTAATAACTCACCGATAGAAACGAGAACATCATATCTGCATGTATAAGACCACCTAAAAACACGCCAAGAATGACGAAGCCGGCATAGGCGGCGATAGTAGATGGATCGGTCACGTTCTGTAGATATCCGAGCGCGTCGATTTCTGCTCCAGTGAGTTTTGCGTGCTTCATTTCGATAGAGATTCTCTGAAAATAGGAGTGTCAAAAGTTTTCTCAAATAAAATATGACTTACTTCTTGGAAATCTTTAAAGTCATCCATTTTCAAGCCAAAATCGTTAACAACTAATCGCACAGGCAGTTTGAGCATTTTCTTCGCATTTCTTTGAAACGGCCTGTAGTCGAGCATTTTATTGAGAGCAGTGGTAGGGCAGTTCTTTAACTTTTCAAGCGGCATCATTGTGTTTTTCTTCTTGCTGATGATTTCGGAGTAAGACGGAATCCAGCCAAATATTTCAAACTCTGTTTTCAATCTCAATTCGGCGCGGTTCAGATAAATCCAGGTTGCCAAAAGCGTCTCGTACTCTCCAGATTGGCGATCGAACGTCTTCTCCCTTCTTCCAGTTTTGTTGATAGCGTAGATTAGAATTCTCTCAATGGACTCAGTAATATCTGATGCTTTCAAATCTCGACGGACATCTTTCTTTCTTAGACGGTTGACTGCAGCTCTGCATTCCCATTCCGTCACGTCTTCAACGCGGACCTTTTCGTCGACCCAGGTCTTGAAGTTGTAAAACCAGAACTCTTTGTCGATCGACATTGATTGATGGAACTGACTTGATGAAGCGATTCGATGAGCATTCGCCAATTCATCGTGTAAATCGGTCGTTTCGTTGACATCGAGTTCCAGCATCGTTTTATGGACCGGAAAGTACGTTTCTATGAAGACTTGAGAATTTCATCAAAATATAAAATCGATTTTTTGGAGAATATGTTCCATTTTAAAGATTCTCTTGAGATTCAAGCCTTTCCTTGGATACGCGCCGCAACATAATTGTGAGATGTCTTCGGAATGAAATCGAAATTGCGGACAGAGATGTCGAATCGAAGCGCCAGACCGACTGCAGCCAGGATCGTTATCGAAACAGCAAGGACCACTCTCACCGCCGCCCATAATAGCGTGCAGTAGAATTTCGCCCTGTGTGGCAGCATTATTTCTCTAAGATTCCTTTAGCTTCTGCCAGTCAAAAGAAGATATACCTGGTTCGATTGGACATGTATTTCGAGAGGCGGTGGACCTCGAAGACTTTCGGGACGATGCAAATGATGAAGAACATGAAGAAAATCGACATGATCAAGAATTCACTTCCAAAATGCTCGAGCGTCGTGTTAGTTTTCGTCCAGTAAACTAATCCAAGCCCGAAAAGAGAGGACATCGATAAAACGATGGTTGGAAAGGTGTGGATGAAGATTTCTCCCATAGAAGTGGTATTTTTAGCTCGATACAGGTGACCAAATGTCGCAACGACTCCTAGGATGAGACCACCTGCGATAGATTGAAGAAGCGGACCACCAACATGCGAGATAAATGGGTCCAATTTCGCCTCAGCGTGAGTTTTCGCCTAAAGAATGATAATGATTTTGGCAATTAGCGAATTTCAATGGTATGGGAGCACAATTATTGCACTAGGACTCACAGAAAGCGCGTAGTTGATGATGATGGAGGACCACCCTGTTGTAAAAGATCCAAAAACAAAGAAATTCGAAATGGCGAAAATAGCGCTTAACAGAAGAGGGTGACTTAGCCCGGAAACAGCGACGATAAAGTAGACAATCCCGGTTGAAACCATCAAATATGGGGTCACCGCCAAAAAGCTAGAGTAAAAATAAGATTCTCTCCATTCAAAATCGATATTACCTTTCTTTGATATTCAGATTTTCGAGCTGGACGAAGTTTGGACAGTAGAAAAACGCATTTTCGTGAGATTCAACCACATTTTCTACATTGTTGAGGAAAGTTTCCAAAAGTTCTGCAGCGAGTTCGGGCGTCCAGAAAACTAATGACTTGATGATTAACTCAAAGAGGAATTTATTACCTTGTCGTCCTGCGGAATTTCTCTTCAAGGGCTGATTGCTGAGCGTGTTTGAGTAGAAGTCGTAGAGAGAGTTTGCCGCCATGAGGTTAATAGTTGTTTGCAGGTATCCTTGATCGTTGATAGTTCTTTCCGTTGAATGAGAGATTCCAACGCTATTGCATGAACTTGACGATGAGATTCTACGAGATGTCAAGAGCGAATCGTTATCTTCGAAATACTCGTCGATAGAAATCTTTCTCGAGAAGTCAGAGAGGCCTGATAATGAGGAGTATCCACAAGGAGTGTCATCAGCCCAAGAAAATTTTCCATCGGTGCCAAGGCAATATTTTTCTCTGTTGTATATCAAAAGATCTTCGCCTTCACTGAAACAATTGAGGGGCGTGTCGACAATGCATGGAGCCAAATCGTTCTGAAAAAACTGGGAAAATTCGGTATCCAGCTTCGTTGTGAGTTCAATGTCTTCGCTCAATTTGAAACCAGTTGCTTTGTGACAGAGGCTCTCGATTGTCCATGTTCTTTGCCATTAACATGAGTTGCATTAAAAACTTTAAGATTTACCTTTCAAAAAAGGAAACAGATGTAGCAAGAACAGCTTGAACCACGGCTTGATGATGTAAAAGTGCCGACTTTGTAATGCCTTCTCTCGAATCGTCCGCATGTGTCATCACATTCAGCATAAAATTACCCCACGTTGCGTTGACCCCTGAAATTGACGTGTGGTTCGACTTCCTGTGCTAAGGATCCTTCACTTGACACCTACTGTATTTAGGAAGGGCCTACTGAAGCCATGATCAAGCCTATTTCTACAGTACTTTCTTCATAACGCAAAATGCATCTCACCTGGGTTAACTTTTTGTTGCCTCGAGTAGACTATCAATTCGTCATTCTCACAGTACGTTATTGCGACGAGCCCGATTAGGAATGAGAATATGAAGAATACAGAAAACGAGGACTGCCTTTCGATCAAACTGCCAAGGCGGTACAGAAACTTGTGCCATTGATGCTTCACATCGTACTTTAATCTTCTCTTTTTTGGCTGAGGGATGAGGCACTAGAAAGTTGATAGAAAAAATTGATCTTATAATACTACATAGGAAATAAATATAGCGAGTAAATACTTTTTCGGAGTTATTTTGCACCAGACTTCGAGAACTATCTTCACATGTATATTCAGAATCTGTCTCTGGCATCGTGTCACTGTCGCACCGCGGATAGTCACTGATTCTATCAGTCTCTCTCACACGCTCTTCTCTAGTACGTAAGTCTTCCTTGCGATTACTCGCATTCTCCTCTATGTTTGCAGTTTTCTCCCCTTCGTTTAGGGGGACTGTTTGGGTCATCTTTGTTGAGGGGCTATGTCTAAACTGGCGTTATTTCTCGAGACCACACGGCCCCACTGGGTGGCAGATTACCACCCAACAGCGTAAAATGGATATTTGCACTTGGTCCTCTCTCTCGTCCGGGGTGGGCCGGTGATCTTCTCTGTTTTTCCCGTATTTCACCGCACTGGCTTTTTGTCCACTTGGTGGTGAAAATGATTGAGTAGCGCTGGACAAATTCAAAAGAGGAAAATCTAGCGCGAAATCTCTCAGAGGGCGACGGATGAACCACAAAATGATGGTGCTAATCCTCCAAGTGTTAAAGTAGCTGGATCAGGGCTCAGTCACTACGGTAGTGAAATTAATTCCGATAACGCCACCCACGGGCAGAGGAAAACGCCAGAAGAGTCACTGACCACCTACCGATTCTCTTATCTCTTCTCCCAGAAAGAAAAAAAAAACGTAAAACAAAACCCCTTTGAGAGAGAAAATGCTTGACTTACCCTGAAAGTCACAGCTGTGAGTGCGGGAAAGTGAGGGTAACGCTCGACATTTCTTTCGCCAGTTCAAAAAAAATCGAGAAAAGATTTCCGCTATCTATAAAGGCAGATGAGCGGATGGTGGCATCATGCCATCGACGAGAACGGGCCACCCAGAGAGCGCAAATTAATCAACTCTCATAAATTAATAAACTCGCTGATAAAAACACCTTTATGGAAGGAAGTAACTTAGGACTATAAAAATTTCATCACTTCCAAAGTTTCAAGTCTCGATTTCTACATCATCACTTTCAAATTTAACAAGCGTAAAAGCGAAAAACATAGAAAATATTTCAAACGCATTTTTACGAGTCAATCCGGCCGTCAACTTTCAAAATACTCACGTTTGACGAGTCATTTATCCTTTTCTCCATTCCCACAAGAACCGCGCTTTTTCTCAAAAGCCAATATCAATCTGCTTACATTTCTATCTCTCCTTGTCCACAAATGTTAGAGGGAGTCAACGGTGCGAGAAATTTTGTTGATTAATCTGATTTCAATTTTACGAGCTGGTCTCTCTGTCTGAGGCAGTAGGATTTTTTTCTTTTTCAATTTGTAAAAAAAATGGATCGTCCCACGCTCGACCACCGAGTTCGGGGAGCAATTGTAAAGATTGAACATCATCAGCGTCTTTTTAGAAAGGGAAATGAACGTCAAGAGGAATTCGGTTTGCATGTTTATCGCATTCCGGAGTTGGGAAGCAATAAGTGCTCTTGGCTTTTGCGAATCCTGGTGAATTCAGTTACTTGAATTTTTTACGTAGTATTTTGCGAGATTATCAAAATTATGCGAGATTGGTAGTAGAAATTTTGTTCCAAATATCAGTCTAACAACAATCCGTGGAGGCTGAGGTCAGGGTCGTCCTTTTGAGGTCAGTTTAGCCAATTTTTTTACTCCTAGACACACTGAAAGTGCCTACAAGCCTTATTCCGAGGCAGAGTTAGCGACGATACGTCAGTTAAAACATCGGTCCCTGCATTCCTGATCATTCTTATGGTCTGTAGCTACAGACCTACAGACTCTGTAGTACTGCTTGTATGAAGAAAGCGTAGTTAATGAAGTTACCTTTTATTGCACATAATATTATGGGAAACAGAGTCGATCTGATAAGGATCGTCACCGAAGTGAAGCAGAGTCGCAGACTCTGGCTGGGTCACAAGAAACTGGAACAAGAACTTGAGCAGGAGCATTGCGCCAGAAGAAATAAAGAAAAAAGAATAGTTAAAATAGTAAAAAATGGTTATCTAAGATCGGGTTGGCCTTTCTCGAGTTCGTCGAAAACAGAACCGGGTTCAGCCGCGCTGGATTGGAAGAATGATGAGGCTCCAGTGAACTCTGAAAAGAGATTTCAAACGCTATCGGAGGAGGGTGGCTTTTTTACCGGGAATATGAGTGGCACTAGACGTCACGGGTAAGGGAGCTTGCGAAAGAGTCTTATTTAAATCTGCAATGACTGCAGCTAGAGAGTCGGATCCCGTCAGTGGAGGAGTTGCAGAGCTCGATTCGGAAACTGGTGGCGCAAGAATTGGTGATTCGAGCTTTGGGATTCCTTGGAGAACGCTTTGGTCGAACAATAAGTTGCCACTTGCGGGTGCGCTCTTGTTTTCTTCAAGACTGGGTGTGGAAGACGATTCTTGAGGCGTGGGCTCGACGGGCGGACTTTCAGGGCTGGCAACTGTTGGTTCAACTTCGATTGGTTTCGCTTCAACAGGGTTTTGCTGGACCTCTGGAGTCGGAGAAGCGACTGGAGAGGCCGCAGCGGGGATCGGGGATGTAACCACAGGTCTTAAGAAATAATAGAACTTGAGGTTGAAAGAAGCTTACTGTTGATCCGCGAGCATTGGCGCAGCAGCTGCGTAAAGGGGATTAGCAGCGATTCCAATGGTCGTTCCCATGTTATCAGCAGCTTGGTTCATCGTCAATAAATTTTGATGAGTCATACCAGGAGCTCTTTCAAGTTCTGGAACTGCTGGTGGCATGAGGTGCTCTGGTTGTTGCGTTTCTAAAAATAAAATTTGATGAAATGAATGTTTTTGAGGAAATCTACCTTTGAAAAGCTCCTGCTTGAGATTTGGCAGAAAAACGTCGATTCTGTCCCAAGTGACTTGCCACAGATCGGTGTAACCAGTGTCAGGATTGTGAAAGATTCCAGCGGTATCCATCACCAGAAGCATGTTCTTCAAGCTTTCAGGAATCGCCTCGCACTGGGAAAAAGATAAAAAAATGCCTCCGAAAAACAGCATACCAGTAAATCTCGATTACCAACGCGCATGTATTTGTCCATAAAGTCTAAAATGGTGAGCCAGCATGCTTTGAATGTCGGAGAGGTAAGCAGATCCTTCAGATGTTGAAGAAAGACCTTCGACAAAAGTGAAGCAGCGCGCATTCTGGTCTCGTCCATTGAATTTGGGTCATGTGGTGAAATGTTTTCTGATTTGTTTTCGTCAGTTATTGACAAAAGAAAAATCTTACCTAATAATCTAGTGAGCAAGGGGAAGAGAACTTTGTGGAAGCACGCTTCCCATTGAGTGCCATCGAGAACTTGAAGATCTTGAACAAGCAGCGCACTTGATAGGCAATTGAATGCATGCGTTCGGATTCCACGTCGAATATCGCAGCACATACGGGCGATTCCCTAGAAAAAGATGATTCTAACCCAAGAAGACTGGTAGAAAGCAAACCTCGAGTAGCGGGCACCAACCAGCCTCCCACAAGTTGTTAATGTCGATTGAATCTTCATTCCAACTTCTGAAAATTCGCCCTGCTCTGGTATGAAGAGTCTGTAGCAACTCAAGAAGTTGCATTGAGACTTTTTGATAGTCCTCAGTTGAGGCGGATTCCGTCGTCTTTTCAGATGTGCTACGCTTTCTTCGACTTCGTGATGACTTTTTCGAAGGTGTAAGGTTCTTGTTTACACCGTTTATCGAAGCTATAAAAATGTGAGAAAGAAAAAAAAGATAAAATGATTGTACCTTCAACAAACGCTCGAATTGTATCGACACAAATTTCAAAGTTTGCTGGTGTTATATGCGCGGTATCTCGGACGAGGAAAGCAAGGGATTCTGTGGCTCGGATAAGAGCCCTTGGATCATGTGGGCCGACTTCAGTGTGATAGGCGAGTGAGAACTCATTCTGCCCCTCGGTTGATTCCTAAAGTTTTTGTTTTATAAAATCGGTGCTAAACTTTGAAGTTTGTGAGTGATTAATGTAAGATGATTTGAAATCTGTTGCTGATTGTTTGATTATCGTATTTGTGAGTTTTAGTAAAATCGACTTGAATCAAGAGGATGCAATTTTTTGAAGAACCCATGCGACATTAACGCTTACTTTGTGGAGGCTTTTTTGGCGTACTACTCCGTTCTAAATTTATACTAAGTTTTAGAGCAAATGGGAGACAGAAACAAAGAAATTGATTTTGAAATATTACAAAGTAAATTTCAGAATCGCCTGTTCTAAATCCTGCATGCACCCTATGGCGACGCTATTTTTACTATTCAACAGGTAAGAGAGTAATATATGGCCTCATTACCAATCTGATTGTAGCTTCCGCAGGAGCGTCGTTATCACTTGTGTAGCCGCGATCAGACACGTTGCCTCCTTCAGATTCATTATCTGACATCCCCGAAGCTTGGCTCAGGTCTGCTTCAGATCCAGCCCGCGAGTTGTTCAAACTTCGCTGCTCCGCTCCTTCCTCTTCTCCTTGATTTTCTTCCGCCTTCTCTTTCTTCGATTCAAGCAGCAAACCTGCTCCAGCCGTCTTCAAAAGAAGGAAAATAGTGAACCAGTCTTCTGAGGAATGAATATCCGCGCCACATTTTTGCAAAAGCTCGTGGAGTCCATAGGCAATTTGTCTGTACAGACGAGGGATGATCTTCGGGCAGACGAGGAGGATGATTTGAAGGGAGTTAAGGACGGGTTGTTGAAGGTCTTCTCGATGGAGAAGTCGGATGGCCAGTCGAAGAAGTCCCGTGACAGCGCGTTCAAGTAGGAAAGTATGCTCGGTAGCGGACGAAATGATGTCAACGAGATGCTGTCTAACCTGGCCCCAGAAGCTCAGAATACGATCTCTATTCTGCACAACGATGCGGAAGAGAACTTCAAGATAGAACACTGCAGACTCTTCCGAGTAGTGCGTACCCAATGACTCATGCGTTTCCGCACTGCGCGACGCAATAATGAGCGTTTTCACAAGCTCGTGCAGCGAGTCTAGCCGAAGGAATTTGGACTCAGTCACGATGTTTTCGGGCTGAAGTTCAATAACGAACTCTCTTGCGAGTTTTAGAGCAGCGTCAGATTCTGACTTAGCGCCACCTTCTGCGCCACCTGTGAACATTGAATAAAAGGATGAAAAGACACCGCCGCCTTCTTTTTGTGGCACTTTCGCTTCGTCCCGAACGAGTAAGATTTGCCCGTCAACAAAGTCTTCTCCGTGAGCCATGTCCTCCGGGAGTAAGTTGCTGCGGAAGAGAGGCAACAACAGATCAAGAATATTTCGCCATCCCTCTCTGATAATATCGCCATGCCGATTCGACAAGGTGAAAACTGCCCGAGCAGCTAATCTCGCCTTCGAATTCGTTCCCAGCGATGTAGAGACAATTTCCAGGGCCTCTGCAGAGGTCGAAAGTTGCGTTTTCTTACAGAGAGTGATGATCAAATTGTCGAAAACGTCGGATTTTCCATAATATGCACTGATTTTTGCGCACTTGCGGAACCCAGCCACGGCTCGTTGAATGATCGACGGATCGTTTGACCTGTCGAATGCGAAGCCAAGAGCGTGAACAGTCGGCCCCCAAGTAATTTCGAAAAGTTCAGAGTCGTACATTTGCGGCTTAGGAACTTGAATGTAGATTCCTTCTGGCAATTTTGAGCGCTGCTGGATGGTTGACCAGATCCAGTCGTCTTTTAGTGAGCCTTTTTGCTCTTCGGCGAGGACGATTTCGTTGTCTCTAATGTTGTTGAAGATCGCTTCGAGCATGTCCTGATCAAAGTCTTTATCGCCGTCGCAACCGCGAACATTCGACTTGAAGTTTTGAACTTTCATCGGCTCCGCGTTTTTCGCTACGTTCGCATTATGCTGATCTGTGTTCAACATAATCACTGCATAAGCTAAAACAACGACAGAATCATCATTATGGAAGCAGTTGCCATTAGCTTCATGCCAAGGTCTGGCAAAAGCCTCGAGCAGTCGCTGAATAACTGGTGCTTCGCCAGGTAATCGGAAAGTATTCAAAAAGCTTCTCAGGCCTTCATCGATCCTCTGGCCGGTAAAATCGAACGTGTCCAAAAACGCCGTCAAGAGTTCACCCGCGTGCCGACCGGAGATGAATTCCCCAATCTCTTTCTTGCTCAAAGCAGGATTCGTCCGCAACCACTTGGCAATCGCTGGCCAATCTTTTGAACCCATGAGGCCTTGTTCTTCCAAAAACGCGATGCCCTTCTTCGGCTTTTGATTGAAAAGCTCTGTGCCAGCTGCGAAGAGTTTCTTCTTTTGCTTGATGATCAGAATTTCCTCGACAGAGGGCTGGTTTGATGAAAATCTTGGAGGAGCACGAGTGCTTACTCGAATTGATCTTGGCGGATTAGATGATTGCTTCTTGAAAGTTTTTTTCGCGATCATAATTCCACTGTCCAAATTGTACGGGCTAGTGTTCTTTTCCGTGTTACCGTCGGTCTTGCTGTCGGAATTACAGTTTTCCTCGATTGAATCGACAAGTGCACAGAGGCCATCAAGACTGATTAGGTTCGTTGAAAGCATGATGTTTCCACTGGTGAACGCTTGTTTTGACAAAAGCTTCATCGTATCTTCGTACAAATTACTGCAGTGGCTGTCGCAGTCGTAGTTGAGATAGAGTTCTGTTGCCATTCCAGGCAGATGGAAGAACTGGACAAGACTGTCAAGGATAACCTCGCGCAGCTCGTAAGAATAGTTGGGGTTTTTGGTGTCTTTGACGATCTCCAACATTCGTTTGAGATATTCCTCGAGCTGATACTTCAGATGAGGCCTCAGAGCTTCGAAAAGCAGGAGAGATACGCGAAGAGACGAAGCTACCAAAGAAAGCTTATCACATGAGAGCATTTGATACAAATGCTTCGAGATATCATTTTGAACGATTTCCAAGAGCTCTGGAATTTCAGAAATGTCATCGCGAGCGACTTCAAGAGCAACCATGATCAAGGAAAGGCCGGTTTTGATCATCAAGTCGGGATTTTGCCGCTCATGTTGGTCGATGAGCGAGGCGAGAAAAGTGAAAAGGTCGACGACAAGTGGCAAACCATATGGTCTGCTTTCTTCCGTTTCGTCTTCTAGGAGCGCGCTTGACTCGACGATGACAGGATCGTCTTCTGGATTCGCCATGCCGACCTCAGCAGTGGACATGTTATAGTCCCGGACGACAGGGTCTTCTGTCGCTTCTTCAGCAGTTTCAATCGCGTTGTCATCGCCTTCTTCTGTCTCATTTAGCTGATCATGACTCTCTTCTTCGATCGACTCTTGTGGCGGCTCCAATGACTCGGCAACTGGGGTCTTTACTGGCTCCTCAAGAGCTTCTTCAGGGCTAGAAGCAGCCGTGAGGGAAGATTTTGAACTCAGGCGAGAACGTCTTTCGGAAACCCTACGCTTTCCTTTGAATAGTTCGTTCATCCAAATTCCCTTTCTTTTAGCATCTACCCTAGCATCGATGCTCTCCCCTTGTAATTATCCAGTCGAGAGAACAGAAGCTGAACAACATCGACAAGCGTATGCTCCGCTGTTTTACGTAGCAGTTCAGAGAAAACCATTTGGAAGCAAATTCTGAAACAGGATACCATGATTTCTCTGACAGTTTCGTTCGTCAAAAGCTGTCCGATTGGGGTGAGAACAAGAGTTCGAAGGACTTGAATAATCTTCATCAAAACAACTTCATCGTTTGCAGGAACAGTTCCGCGAAAACGCGCTCTCGTCACACTTTCAGCCAGCCTTTCGACCACTTCAGAACTCTGCGGATGAGCAGGATCGATCAATCCATACGAGAGAAACTTATTGACGGTGCTAAGAGCGAGACCAGTAATTGGCCCGAGCAAGTCTTCACTTTGGATGACTTCGAAGAACGGAACAAGATAGTCCAGTGGCTGGATTTCGGATAGGTCTTGGGCTTGATTCAGTTTTAATTTGAGCTCCTGGAATATCTGGATCTGGGGATCTTCGTCCACCTGGGGATCGTGCGAGTCCCATCGATTTGCCTAAAGATTTGTTAAACTCTATTCAAGAGTAAAAATTTAATCGATGTGAAAAAATGAAATCAAGGAAGAAATCAAGCAATCAATCAAAATAGTTACCGATCGAAAAGTACCTCCTGAAAGTTTACTATCAATAAATCTAGCTACTGTCTTTCGGTACCTTTTGAAGATCACGCCGTAGGGCAGTGCATACTATATTCGCCTCGCCCAAGACTATATATTTCCCTCGGCTTATACTCATTTCATATTTTCTTAAAGAATAACTTATTAGAATTTATAGATTAGCCAATGCGTAATTTATTTCATGTCATGTAGAAAGAGTGTAGCAGATAGGTAAACGAACGATTATCTCCTGGCACGAGTGATTTTTGGTGATCCCTCAGTCGGGACAATAAATAAGTGATTGTGACATTTGTACAGATAGACATGTAAAGTAGCATTACAGAGGATAGTTTCTCTAGTTGCGTTTTTTCTAAAAGGAGAAATATATGAAGGGATTCGTAGACTTTCTACTCAAAGATGTTTGTACAGCGAGCCAGAGAAGTCACTTTCTCTGAGGATGAGGGCTTTCATCCAATAGCCGAGAATCGCCACCTAAATCAATTATATGCGGTCTGTTCTTTCAAAAGTTTTGAGAAATAATAATGGAAGCTACTGGGTTCTCAACGGAGTCCGAGAGTATCCTTGGCCAGTAACTCTTGAGAAGCTACTGTCCAAGGGTACGACTATGGTCAACGATGAGGCCATGTTCTTTGTGCCTCGTTGCTACGAATTCCTGCTACGACAACTCTAGAATAAACTCAGTGAAGACACAGTAGATGGAGTTTTCTCTATGTATTTGGCGCTCGATCATAAAAATGCAAAGCGGCTTTCGCCGAGGTTGGCAGGACACTGAACTGGAAATTTGCGCCGGGCGCAGAGTCGAGCGAAAATCGTCCGCCTCCGCGCAGCCCGAGGCACACTGAGTTACATAACGGACTAGCCGCTCTGAACCCATTATGCCTTCCGGCGCGTTCGTTCTGTAAGAGCAGTGATATGAGAGCAGGGCAGTAAAATACAGAGCAAAGCATGTCCGAGTCCGATTATTCATCGCAATCGCAGTTGAAGAATTCAGCGGCGGCAGGGTTGTAGCTCTTGACGAAGTTGCAGACGCTCATGCGCTTGCCGAGGACCACATTGGTCGCAACAAAGCCGAGATCAGAACTTGGCGCAAAGAGCACTTTGGCGCGCTCTTTGATCTCCTTCCAGCCGTCGGATTCGGCGAATTCCGGCTTGTCAAGGTCGGTGACGTGCTTCTGGAACAGGGACAACAACTCAACACTGTGTTTTTAGCAGCAGTGTTGGTGCTGGCTGCCGTGACGAGCATACCATGTTTCCGAGGGCCCTGAATCTGGTCATTGACCGGATTTTCGGGTTCTGGAGCGGGCTGAGGTTGATTTTGCGGGTCACCACCCAAGTTTCGGAGGAGATCGACCCAGTTTGCAGCGGTGAGTCGACCGAGAGCCTGAGCCACATCCTGGTCGAGGTTAAGGCCGGCGAGTGGGGCACGGGGCTGATTCTGGGGCACCAATGGAGCTACTGGGGCTCGAATTGGAGCTCGATTCGCACCACCATTGATAGAAATCGCCATGTTACCGCGGTTTGGCGCGTCGACGATGCGGTAGCCAGAGCCAACCGCACCGCGCGGCTGGGTGATCGGGACGATGATTTTTCCAGGGCCAGGACTAGGCGCGTTACGTGGAAGGCTCGCAACCTTGCGCCCGGTTTTTGCGGGACAACAACGATGGATTTGAGCTTCTTCTTGGGCTGAATAGCTCGAGTCTCAGATCGGGGCGAACCTGGGTTGTAAAATGCGGGGACACCAGAGTCGGCTTCCGAAGAGGACCGACCTGAGTCTCGCGATGATGGGGACGACTTGGAGGTGCCGTACATGAATCGGGGTCCACGGCGGAGGTTAGCATCACGCTTGGCATAGAGTTCAGCGCGTTTCTCGTCGAGGATGCGCTCCGCGGCTTCAATCTCTTCGGGACTTGGGGGAACGTAACCAGGGGCAGCGCGGAAGTCGCTTGATGCCGGTAAAGCCGGGACCGGTGCTTCGAACGAGAGCGAGGGACCACTTTGCTCGTCTTGGGTGGTCAGCTCGTCGTCGGCGTTAATGTCGATTGCGTCGGCACTGTGCTCCTCGCGGAGCAGTTCGTCCAGGGTGTTGCTGTCAGCGATGGGCTTGTCAGACATGTTCTAGAAAGGCGAATTATGGCTATGGGAATGAAAAAGGACTACTAAATCGTTATCACCGTCGGAACAGTGATAACGATAGGACATGGTTAGTAAAATGAATGCAGAGGAAGAGAAGAACGCTAGGACACTGGCTACAAACACTGAAATACAGTGAAATGCCTCCAGGCAGTGAACTAATCGATCGAATCGACCAGGGGACATTCATTAACTCTGATTTCGGTCCGAGCGGCGGACTTCTTTCTTTTGAAGCTCCTGGGCAAGTTTTTGGTCCGCAAGTTCCTGGGCCACTTTTTGGTCCTGGGTTTCTTGGGCCTGTTTTTCCGAGCGGTCTTTTGCCTGGGCTTGCTTCAAAAGCTGATTTCGCGTGACGGGCCGCGTAGCATAGGGGGCTGGAAGCCTGGGATTTTTGTAGGAGCGCACAACGCGCGCAGGACCAGGTGCTGGTTCTGACGGTGCGCTAGAATTTCCGATATCTGCAGGAACTGTCAGGGGTGACTGTGAGGGTTCCGGAGGACGGTTTTCAGCCGGCGAAACGGTATTCTGAGTAGAATCAGCGGGCTGTACTGTCGTGTTCGCAGGATCCTCACAGTCAAAGTAAATCGTTTCCTCTTGATCGGGAGGTGGCGGAGTAACATTTTCAGGGCGCACTGCCTCCGGATCAATTCTTAGGTTATCAGGAGGAGGGTCCACGAGCGGGATTGGACTTTTTGGAGGGTTGGGTGTGGTATTTGGCAGCGGAATATTGAGGGCAGGGAAATATGGAATTGGACCAAGATGTGGGAACCTCTTGATCTTTTTGATACAAGAGGACCGATGGAACCAATCCGAATTACCTTCCTCGTCAGAGGCCTGGACAACGAATCCGTTTGAAGCTTGCACGTAATACGGGCCAAGCCAGCGACATTTGGACGACTTCGCGACTGTCGAGTTTTCGCGTTTGATCAGAATTTCGTCGCCAGGTTCTAACGGTTCAGGGGTGATTCTTGGACGGTTCCGGAGCACAGATTCGTCAGCGTGCTGCTGACAAATAGACATTTTATCGTAGAGTAGCTTCGTAACTCTTCTTCGCTGCTTGAGAAAATCAGGGATGTTAACGCCCGACGGCATCTCAGTCATTCTATCGAAATCAGAGAGCTGCGGGGGAGTACCAAAAACGGCTTCGTGAGGCGACACGCGAGTGCTCTTGTTGGGCATTGCATTCATGATAAAGACGACTCTTTTGAGCACAACCGGCCAGTCAACCGAGAGTGAATGCGCCATGATAAAGACAGCATTTTTCAGCTCTCGGTGACGAGACTCGAGGAGTGAGCAAGATTGAGGTCTATATGCGCAGTGAAATCGCCATTTCAACTTATTCGCGAGTGCAAATTCGGCATTGAGCTGACTCGTAAAGTGCGTGCCGCGGTCGGTCGACAGGATTTCTGGCTGGGGATAAACGTCGAGTAGATTTTCAGTAATTGCCTTTACTGCGTCCACTGCGCGACAGCGACGGGTAGGAACAACAATAAGGTATTTCGTGAAAGTGCAGAGGATCGTGACGGCGTACCGGAGGCCTGATCGGCTGACCGGAAGCTCAATAAAATCCACGTGGCAACGCTGAAAGGGCCGTTCGCCTTTGACAGTAGGGCGGAAACCGGGGTCTTGATGACGTCCACGTTGACCGCTAACATGATGGCAAGGGCAGGATTTGACGTAGTTAGTCACATCAGTTGCGAGACTGGGCCAAGTCATATGCGACATTTTCTCGAGCATTCTCTTGCCTCCAGCGTGATTACAGTTATCATGATATGATCTTAACACGTCTGGACGGAGAGAGGCGGGAATGTACATGCGTTTTTGATGGAGCAAGGCACCAGTATCTTCGCATAAGCTAAGATGACGAAATTCGCGGGCAAGATAGGCCGATTCTTCGCATTTCGAGTCAGATTGAAATGCTTTGGAGTGTCTCAACGCATCTATCGCGTCTTTGATCGGCTCGCAGGCATACTGTTCTGATGTGATACTCGTCTTTTGACACAGGGAACTCTCGATTGGGACTTTGTCGCACACATGGGCAACAAGGTCACTTCCATTAGACATCGATAATTCGTTGGCATCGAAATGTACTTTCGGCTGTTTGGAGAGATCGATCCAGGATGGAACATAAATCCGAAACCCGTGGAAATCGTGAAATTGACCGGCTGGAATCGATTCACCGTTGAAAGTCGGGCGAAGAGTACTTTCGTTTGACGGGCGACTGTAATAGTCAGCCAAGGAATTCTTCTCTCCTTCGAGGTATTGAACGCAAAAGTCGAACTGTGAGAGGAAGGCCCACCATCGGGCGAGCTTGTCGTTCTTACTTGTCTTCGCGTCAATAAAACTGAGGGCTTTATGGTCGCTTTTGATGATAAAACGGCGACCAGTGAGGTAAACACGGCAATCGGTAACAGCTAGAACAACTCCGAGGGCTTCTCGCTCAGTGGCAGAGTACCGTCGTTGAGTGTCTGTGAGTGTTTTTGAACCGATTCGGACGATTCTAGATTTTCCATCTACGACTTGGAGCAGGGCCCAGCCGGCAGCAGCTGAGCTAGCATCTGTTACCAAGCAGAAGGGAAGGTTGAAGTCCGGGAACCATAGAGTCGCTGGCGATGCAAGTTTCTGTTTTAACTTGTTGAACGCCTTCGACGCTTCCGATGACCACGTAAATTTTGACTTGGGGCGATTCGTTTTCAGCAGTCCAGTAATTGGCTTCATTATGTCGCTGAATGACTCAGAAGCGACATTGTCCATCGGCTTGACAGAACAGTAGTTACGAATCCAATTACAGAGGCCAATCAGGCTTTGAAGCCCTTTGTAATCAGTCGGAGGGGTCATCTTGAGGATAGCGGCGGCGTTGTCGGGATCGACAGTCGTTCCATGAGTGTTGACAATGCGGCCCAACCATTTTACCTCATCATAAAGCAGAAACGTTTTCTTGCCTCCAGCGACAAAACCGTATTCGTGTATTTTGTCGAGGAGCTCGATCAGTGTTTCGCAGTAGGTATCGAAGTCAGAAGCGAATATGAGGATATCGTCCACATATACTTTGATGTTCTCACGGTATTTCATGCCACGAAGAGCAAATGCAATAGCGCGAGAAAAAATGTGACCGGAAGTGCGGAGCCCGAAAGGCAACCGCGTAAATTTGAGAGTTTCATTATTCCAAGTCACGGTTAGCTTGACCTGATCTTCCTCTCGAACAGCGATATTCCAAAAGCCTTTCGATATATCGATCGTGCCAAAGAATATCATGCCCGGAGGGATCTCGGCTTCAGCGTCGATGGACGGAATCATGAACGTGTCGTTGTTAACTAAAAGTTTGTTAACAGTGAGGTTGAGATTGAGGATTAGTCTTGTTGAACCATCGCTCTTAAGAACACCACCCACTGGCGTGTTCCAGCCGCACGTGTTATCGCTTGGAACTAGAACAGTCAGGGCTTTGAGCTTCTCAAACTCAGCTGTTATCGCAGGTACATGGCGTTGCGCTACTCGGAATTGAGGGACGTGCTTCGTTTGTCCAGGCACGGTGTCAATATCAGCCACATAGCTTTTGAATTTGCCAACAGGGCGAGAAGGAGTTGAATAAGCTGGGCGTCTGTCAAGGACAATCTGCGCGACTCGCTTGGCTCTGCTGGGATTGTCGCCGATGTGGATGTTGGCACCGATTTCCTTCTTGACGATCTCGACGAGATCGACAGCAGTGACGGACTCGTAAGCAGCGTAGGTTTTGCCAGAATCGAAGCACTGGAAGAAACTCTCGTACTTGGGGTTATTCACATACGGAATCTTAGCTAAAGTGTTTCCGTGATAAGCACGTAACAGTAATTTTCGATCCCCAAGTACTTGAATGATCTCTCCGCAGCGGTCGAAAAGAGGATGTCTACCAATGATAGCCGGGATTTGCATCGCATTTGACGGAAGTACAAACCACCTGGTAGTTGGGAACATTGCGTGTGGGCCAATGCGAATGCTGGTGTTGATAACGCCAATACAGCGGTTTTCAGCGCCGATCCCCTTACTTTCTGTGAAGTCGGCTCAATTTTGAGGTTGAGATCGCGTGCTGCACGCTCAGAAATTAGGCTTCCGAAGCTGCCAGTATCGTACAAGCACGGGACCCAAAGGCCAGAAAATTTATGGCGTTGAATGAACTCCACAGGAAGGTAGACGGCTTCGCTGTTGGCCGAACAATGTTTAAAAGGAGCCACCGCAGACGGGAAGCTTAGCAGCTTTGGCAAGAGAAAGTCCGACGAAATCAGATGTTCCGCCGGAGCCAATTAGTTTTTTGAAGAATACTCGGGGTGAGGGTCAGCGTAGTAAGATGCGTTGTTGTAATTGTACATCTGATTGTGTGGCACGAAAGGGGCTGCGTTAGGATTATACGGACTTTCAAAGTGCTCGTATCCCTGTGGCGGCGCGCAATCGGCCGACTCGGCGGCGTTGACGCCGTAGACTTGCTGACCATAGGCAGGGTTTGATTGGTATCGACGCATTTGAGGAGGGTAATTAGGGCCATCGTGGCGCCTGTACATAGACTGATTGTTTGGGTTACCCTTGGCGCCGTTGTTCCCATTGCCCGCGTTACCACCGTTGTTGGAACGATTGTTCCCGTTGTTTTGGCGGTTATCGCCGTTGTGACCATTGCCGTTGCCAGCGTGGCCACCATTGTTATTGCCATTACGGCGGCGACGTCGGTTATTATTGGATTGATTCTGATTATTGTTCGACTGAGCGTTGTTGTGACGATCGTCGTCGTCGCGCTTGTCGTTCTTCGCGCTGGAATTGTTTCCCTTCTTGTTAGACTGGTTTCCAGGGCGTCTCGACTCGGCGGCATTGCACGAGGAGAAAGTAGTCTGGACGCTGAGTGCCTGAGCTCTCGCAGCAAGCTGGTCCGGGGATGAGAACGTACTCAACTCGATCACGATGGAGCTGTACAACTCGGCCGACTCCTGGCGGATCGAGTGCAAGGTCTTCATCGTGACGAGGAGGTTAAAAGCATCATGAAATGTCGGAGTGTAGGAAGTAAGCGTAGGGTCAGCTTTGATCTTGTTCGCTTTGATCAGTTCCTCGTACCCTTGGATGATCGGCTCTAGCTGGGCAACGCACTCGGCATGGAAGGTCGAGAACGACTTATTAAATGGCTTCGGTCGGTTTTGCCATGTTTCCAAGCGTTGGAAAACGTTGCTAGCATTGCCATAATTGGTTTGGATGCACTTGACAAGGTCGCTTTCACTCTTAATTGAAGCAAGTTCTAGCGTCTTCAAAACATTAGCCGATAACTTAGGCTTAATGGAAGCGTAGATGCGTTCAAAGTCGAGAGTTCGGCAAGACTGGATAATCGCTTTTACTTTGTTGATGAACGTGCTAGCATCTTCGGCACTGGCACCGGTGAACTTGGGCAGTGATTGCAAGTGTTGGCACAATAGTTGGCCTTCCAAATGAATCATGTCCGAAGAACCCGAGCTGGCGGAAGTAGCTGGACCGGCGCTCATAACAAGTTGGACGAGTTCAGCTTTGGCATCGGCGATCTCCTTTTCGAGGTCAGCTTTGGCCTGAACCTGGGCATCCGTGGTGGCAGGGCGATCAGTGTAGGTAGCGAGTTTAGTCTGAGCCACAAGAATCTTGGCTTTTAGTTCCTCCATTGTCGTAGTCATTGCTGAAAGATGGAGATTCTAGGAGTGCTACACTATCAAGGTTTGATTGAGACTTGGGATAAGAAACCTTTCGGAATCTTACAACGAAAATCTTTCGTTGAAAATGCGCGAAAATAAAATTTGAAAAAATCTGATATGGGGCTAGCCTAAGTCTAGTGCGCAACGGCTTGTCCGGATTCCGTTACACTGACTTGATCTACAACCGCGATCAACTGTTGTCGTTCTCATCAACAGGTTCGCAGGAGATTGTGCGCAAAGTCCGTTACTGCGGACATGTTATTATGTTTTCGACCTTGGAAGCATCCGTTGCCTCGAAAACCGGCCAGCAGTTTTCGGGGAAGACGGTGTTCTCATTGGCCGCCCAGGACCATCCCCCTAGACCGCGTGATAATAAGGGCTGGGAGCTAGAACTAGGAAAAATGTGACGAGGGGCGAAATCACGCCGCTCGGCTCATACCTTGACCGACAGAGTTAACGTAAAAATAACATAAAAAAAAAATAACATAAAAGTAAAAATAAAGATAGAAAATACAATACCGAGTGATCGTAGAGGGAAATTCGAGCACTCAGCTCTTCTGCACACCAGTTACTGGGTTCTCAACGGAGTCCGAGAGTATCCTTGGCCAGTAACTCTTGAGAAGCTACTGTCCAAGGGTACGACTATGGTCAACGATGAGGCCATGTTCTTTTTGTGCCTCGTTGCTACGAATTCCTGCTACGACAACTCTAGAATAAACTCAGTGAAGACACAGTAGATGGAGTTTTCTCTATGTATTTGGCGCTCGATCATAAAAATGCAAAGCGGCTTTCGCCGAGGTTGGCAGGACACTGAACTGGAAATTTGCGCCGGGCGCAGAGTCGAGCGAAAATCGTCCGCCTCCGCGCAGCCCGAGGCACACTGAGTTACATAACGGACTAGCCGCTCTGAACCCATTAAAGCTATCGATTTCGAGCAGTTTACCTTGAAGCTAGTCGGTTTATTTTCAAAGGGAATGGCGATTTCTTTCCCAGTTGCGACGGAGGAAATAACGAGGCCACCAGCTTCGGACTGAAATGGACGGAAATAAAAAGAGGTGAATTTGCTTGGTACGTACGATTTCATTCGTAAGCTGTTTTGGATCTGCGTTTTCAATATCACTCAATGAAGAAGTTCTAACAAGCGCATTGGAAGTAAGAACATCGCCCATCGATTTGACAGTTCGGAGCTCGTCGGTTTGAATCGCAATCGTTGAGCTTTGAGGACGGTCCAGATTGCTCATCGAGCGCGTATTTTCCTTCAGAGGGGGAATTCGAGAGTTGCTCTTTGTTCGCTCCAAATTTTGTATTTGAACCTAAACAAGGTGTTTATAAAAGAAAGAAAATTTCGAGGAGGTAATAAATGAGGATAAGTGACGATGATAAAGGTTATTCCGATAACTGAAAAAAATAAACCTTCAAACGATCGTATGTCTCAAAATCACACAAAGTTGCATCGAAATTTTGAAATAAATCTGTGATTCTGTCAATTTTTTGACTGACAGACTCATTTCTTTCCTAAAATAGCGGAAAAAATGATAGCCAGAGCAGAAACTAACCTTCAAAAGTCGATTTTCATTGTGAACTTTTTCTTTCTCAATCTCAGCTTCGACGCGTTCGCATTCTTCTTCCATGCACGATTCGCGGGCGGCTTCAACTTCATCCTGTATTCCGGGGTACGAGATTGTTGTTTGTGATATTTTTAAATTAATCAAATCAGCACTGATTTCGAGGTCATTTACTGCAACAGCGAGTAAGTGAGCAAATCACTCACAGCGACTCAAAAAGGCCAAAAATGATGGGGTTAGCAATGGGGATGAAGTGAAAGCGCAGAGCCAAATTATTACACGATTTTCGATGGTGGTTTTGCCCGAGCTTGGCCACGAGCTTGAAGGTTTTTCGGCAATAGTTTAGTAGTAAGTTTGAATCACACACAAACACGATTTCAAGTTGGGGTTATGTCGAACTCTCAAGCTGAAGTCAGACAGTACCTTCAAGTCTGGTCGCCTCAAGAGTCGAAAGTAAGCCGTGAAGCCGCGAAAGGCTCTACTAAGCTCGCAGCCGAGCTCAGTCTTGGAATCAGATGAAATCACCCTGGCACAATCGGAAAGAATCACGTGTGTGCCTCAAATCATAAATTATTGATCATGCAAAACTAATCACTGATATGATCATATTTTAAAGAAAGAATTTGTCTTAGACTATCACGCATCCCGTTGCAAATACGCGCTAAAATCGTCATACGAATTCCAGAATGATCTCCACCCGTCCTGAAGAGCTAGAATCTTTTGCTCGTGCGAGCGTATAATCCGCCGCGCTTCCTCTAGCTCGAGCTGAAGGTGTTCGACAAATGCTTGGTCCGCTTCCGGAGCCGATTCTAGCGTTTCCTCTTCTTCTTCCTCGTCGCGATTGCTGTAATTTTTAGAACGGGTGGAGGACGACATCGATCCGCCGGGAAGCCACTTGCCGAGGGGCGAGTTTTTCTTCGCTTCGCGTAGTTTAGCTATAAGAATCTGTTTCAACAAAAGAAATTTTCTTTTCCTAAACCTGTTCGGAGAAAATACGCTCGATTCTGATTCCACTGCCTTCCCTCATGGCCAGAACTCGTCAAACTTGCCGCCAGACCTGACGATTTTTGATTACTAGCCGAAACCATTGATGATTTATCCGAGATGTAGCCCTTGCCAGATATTTGACTAAAAAGTATTAACATTCGATGAAGGATTCATGCTAAAGCCCAACCTCTCTGGCCGCTCCCTGGATCCTGCTGAAGACATGCTTTTGGAATCATCGTCAGAATATTTAACACGGCCTGTTAGCACGCTCGGCTAAAATTGGCAATCATTAAATGTTTATTTATTAATTAATCAGCGTACCTTAATGCCACCTCCATGTCCACTGAGAATGGACAACACATCCGAAGCTTCCTTCAAAGTGTCCCTTGGCGACATCGGCGGATTACCTTCATCAAAGTAATCTTTTGAAATAAAATGAATTAAAACACAGCAAACCACAATATAAAATACATAAAAAAACTCAATCTTGAGTTTTCTTGAGTTCAAAAAAAGCATCACTTACCTTCGTTTTCGGCTTCATCATCATCAGCAGGCTCGTAGACGATGTTTTCCGAGTCGTAGTCGTGTTCTTGAGGCTGAGTACTGGAGAACATGCTCAAGAGATCGTCAGTTTTGCCCATTTGACTAGGCTTGGGAAGATTTCTTCGAGAGCCATTTGCTAGGGTTGGAAATAAGGACATGTTTGGAATTCGAAAGTTTTCTAGGGGCTTTGCCAGAGAACCCCTCGAACTTACTGTTGATAGATCTCTTCGATCCAGATTCATTAGACCTGGAACTCAAGTTGGTTAGTCTTTCGAGCAAGTCCTGTGCACCAGATTCCCCCTCGACAGTATGCGATCCTGAAGAGAGGTGGCTCTTTTCCCTGGCGAAGGATGGGGCAAGTCGGTTCCCTGATCTGTTCTGATTGCTAGTTGTTGAAGTTGAAGATGATGGCTCGAGGAAATCGTTGAGAAGGGATGATTCGGCGCCGTTGGACGGGAGAGGCAGCTTCTTTCGACGACTGGATTTGGAATTGTTCGACCTTGTTTCTGAATGGGGATAGATAGAGTTGATAAGAGGCTTGTTATCACCGCTGGAGCCGCCCAAAAGTGAAGAGAGCAAGTCGCCAGCAGCGTCACCTTGCCCAGAAGGAAGAGGTAGATTTTTGCTTCGTTTGGAAGACTTCTTGCTTTTAGGATCCGAATTGCCCGAAAACTGGCTGAGAAGGTCGACTTCGCCAGTGTTACTAAGCTGCGAAGGCAGGGGCAGACGCGCCTTGTTGCGCGAACGACTCGATCCTTGAGATCGCGTGTCCGACATTTTTTGTCGATTTACGATCTCCAGCCGTTTTTTCTGAAAAAAAATATAGGATGAAAAATCAAAAACTGATTGAATGAATTGAATAAATACAGGAACTCACAGTGGTTTTCTAGAAATAATTAATTCTAAAAAAGGGTTTCAGTCACAGTTTCTTCATCTTTAATTCCATGAGCAAGAATTGCTGAATCATTGGATCCGTCACCTCTGATTTAATAGTTTTCACGGCTTCCTCCAGTCCCTGAACAAAATTTATCTCTCAAAGTTGAGACCAAAGACTCGTAAAAACAAAAGAATGTTGACTCTATTTGTTACCTCTTTGCCGAAGTGCTCAATTAAATCGTCCGTGTACATAAGCCAGACGCAATTGGAACATCCAGAGCCACAACACTCGTCTGGGTCCGGCTCGATGGGCGGAGTTTTTTGAAGAAATCGACGGCCAGACAGATTTTCAGCGAGGAGATTTCGACTGAGAAGGAAATTCGAACATCTTTTCTTGGGTTTGAGACATTGAAAATTGTATAATTAATTTTAAGTTTAAATAAATAATAAAAATGAAAAATTTAACTTGTTCATAGGGTCATAGTTTTTGATTTGCAACAATCAACGATAAAGTTCTCTTTTATTTAAGTTCTCTCATCCTTTTTCCTTCTCTTCGGCGGAAGGCTAAAGTTTCGTCTTGGCGAGATTCTCCATCGAAATGGCATCGCCAATAGCGTCGAACCAATCAACGCGCCGGCGCAAAATGAGGATTTGGCGCACCAAATTTCGACTCGCCAATTTTATGGTTTCTTGAATCTGAGAATGTCCCGCTGCTTACTGTAAAATCGTACTTCACTCGTATCCGAGATGAATCGATTTTTCAGTTTTCAATAAGAGAGATGGAAGACGTCAATAGCAAAAATATTTTTTATCTATAAAATGTTACGATTTCAAAATCTTGTCCGCCAATTTCTTCATTTCTCAGATTGAATAACTTATTAATTTATTCCCAAAAGTATAAATTTGATTTCTCAGCTTTTCTGAAATGACCAGCACATCCCATAGTTTCCTATCAGTACCCTGTAAAAGACTGTTGTTCCCTGTACCTATATTATTTCTCTATAAAATGTTACGAAAAACCATATCAAAAATGGTTTCGCCATCTCGAATGTGTCTTTCAATTTGAGATTTATTATAAATTTCTTTTAAGTGTTTATAAAGTATGCTGTCTTAAATTTTGAGTTTGAAATTCATCCAAAAGCTTTTCTTTCTTTTCAGAAACAAAGAAAATTCGACAAAGGACAGAAAGACGCGAATATGAAGCCTCAATTGAAAATCAAAGTCTTCAAACTAATAATCGAGCAATGAAGAAACTTCTCAGTCGTCGAAACTTGTACCTTGCGATTGTACTGTGTTCCTTTCTTCTCGTTCTTTTGCAAAAGAGAAGCGCAACTATTATCGAATTCAAAACAAATATCCAAATCCGCGAAAGTCGAAAAGCGGCGAAAAATGAGGAAAGAAAAAGCTGCGAGGAGACGAAGAAAAATGTTATTTTCGTGAAAACTCACAAAACAGCGTCTTCCAGTGTTCAAAATGTTCTTCTTCGGTAAGTTTAATCAAATCCGATTTACGAATTCAGCCAACTTTTCAAAGCAAAGAAAAAAAGAAATGCGCTAGAATCGCTGTTTATTCAATAAACCTTAAGTTTTACTTTTCATTTAGCTACACCGTCAACCACGGCTTAAATCTGGCAATGCCTCGCCACAACGGCGCCAGATTCTACAATCCAGAACCCTTCCGCCCCGACATGGTCCGCCCATTCTACGAAGAGGATGAACGACCCAATGTCATTGCTAACCACCTCGTTGCGTCTCCCGAACTCTTTGACTTCATTCCAAACGCTTTTACTTTCACGATTCTCCGATCAGTTCCAAACCTTTACGAGTCTACATTCGAGTACTTTAAAACGTCTACTAAAGCGTTCAAAAATGCGGAAAATATTGATTCATTCTATTCAAATCCAGAGCAGTTCTACTCTCCCGGAAGTCATTATAATGAGTATACAAGAAATCACATGGGAAAGGGCTTATTTATATCGATAATTGAATATTCTTGAATCATATTTTTGCCAACGAAAATGACCCTAAAAAAGCTCACGACCTTGGATTCGACCAAAACTCAGTGGATCCTGCTTATTTTCAGCAATCGATAGAATACATGGAGCAAAGATTTGACCTCGTCCTCATCAGTGACTATTTCCTCGAAAGTATGATCCTCGTGCAGGACAAGCTCTGCCTCACCATGGATGAAGTCGTCACCTTAGTCGTCAACGCGCGCGATAAAAAATCTCCATTATCGCCAAAGACGATAGAAAATATCAAAAACTGGAATTCTTTCGATCTTCATTTGTTCGACCATTTCAACTCGACTTTTTGGAAACAACTCGAAAGCGTTCCTGACTTACAAAAACGAAAAGACAACCTCAAACAACGTACTCAAGCGCTAAAAGAGTACTGCGTCGCTGAGCAAAAAGTATGTGGCTATTTTGACTCCAGTTGCGGCTGGCAAAAAGCTGGTGCTAATATCAAAGGATTCTCTCTAACAGAAGCTGGTTCAAAGAATCAACTCTGTATCGATCTAACGATGCCTGAACGACCGTTTTTGGAGAAAATCGCAAAGTTGCAATGGCCGTTTTGGAAGGCTTTCTACTGGCCAAGTTTTTTAGAATTTTAATTTTAACACTGTTTCATTTTTCATCAAAGTAATGCTCATAGTTCTTCAGTTATCTACCTTGTCTTCAACAAATATACCACTCACAAAAGGACACATAAAGATTTCGAGCTGCAAACTTCAGCAGTATTCTTTCTTGCAGTTAAGTTTCTTCCTTGATTTCATTCTCAAATAGGACAAACGTAAATGTAGAATTCTATTGATTGATTTTTTTATTCTATAAATTATTCGCAGTTCGTGAACTCATTGACAGGTGTTACAAAAATAATCGGATAGTAAACTTCGTTTCGTTGCTCTGCAATTATTTGAGATTTGATGAATTTACTCGCTGAATCTTTTTGGAGGCTCCGAATATACCCAATTGAGCATGAATACTTTTTATTAGCACAAAAAGAGTCCTGAACCTTGACCTAATTCAATCTTTTGAATCGGAGCTTCATCTCCGTCCAGATAGCCAGGAAATACGAAGATAGAGCTGTCCAAAAAATTGCGGATGAATAAGATACAGCCTAAAAACGTAAAAATAAAGCAGTGAACATATAAAATAGAAATGAATTTACCTTTGAAAGCGAGCCGATTAATGACCATTTGTCGTTCATCAGTTCCCAGATTTCATTCAATCGTTCATATGTCCCTTGATCTAGTCCTCCGATGGTTAAAAGACTTCGAGAAGGCAGTTCAACCACAGAGAAATATGCGATCCATCTAAAATTTTTACACAAAGAGCTTTTGCCTTCGAATTTCTACCTTTTATGATTCATCTCGCTTAGAGTTGACCATCCATCTTCCGTCAATGCCTCAACGGTTCCGTTTGCGTCCCATCCTCCGATTGCAATCACGCGGCCATTGTAGAGGCCCAGTTCACCAAAATGGTGACCTTTATTTGTTTCAAAAGTTTCCGTGATGGCCTCTTCATTGAATGACTGGCATTTTCTGTCACTGTCATAGTCGAAGCAAATAATCGCTGAGAATTTCGAATTTTCTTCAAAGTAAATCGAATTTTACCTATGCTGCCGTCATCGGTAGTTATAACTGAGTGACCCTGTTCAAAATTAAAGGAAAGGCGAAGAGATAATCTTGTAAACTGGCATCCGTCCAATCGTGCAATTTTGTAGTTATCGAACCATCCACCAAAAATATGAAGCCGACCATTGACCACTGCGTGTCTCGAGAAAAAAGCATATGCAGAAATGTTTTGGCTAAAATCGATCGGACTGTCGATGAAGATGTCGTTGATTCTCGACCCATCGGGCAGTAATGCAAAGGGTTTCTTGTTGCCAGAATAATTCGGTAGTATGACATTGATCTGCGAAGTCTCTTGAATATGGACAAAGTTTTTGATTTTTGTAGTGCGGTCCAATTTAAGAATACGGACTTTTTTGTTCGCGACGTTTTCAAGCCCGGTTATTTTGATTTTTGAATCTTCATTCACATTTTTATTTCCACTCTGATGAAGTTAACAACCTTGAGATTATTAAAATAATAGAATAAAATTTAAACTTTTCCTGAAAGACTTCGAGATAAGACGAGTCCGCTGAACTCGTCGAATTGAAATGAAAAGCCAAATCCTTCGAGTCTGATGCATTTGACTGGATAACAAAGCGGTCTTCGAAGTAATCAGACTCTAACCAAAACGAGCCATTTTGAAAAATTCCAAAGAGTAATAAAGTCGTTCCATCAAAGAGAATCAACTCAAGAATTTTTATTTCTTCGCTGTAATTTGCAGGAGCCTCGAATTCGAGCATAAACGTATCTGTTCCATCAAGGTTCAATTCGACAGTCGAAATGTGCTTTAAGGGACCTTGTCGAGCAAACTTTTGCGCAACTTCACGAGCGCTTCATTCATTTTCGACTTGAGATATTTTGAAAATTCTTTTTGGTGACATAATCTACGGACACTCCTCTTTCTTTTGCAGTTTTCAGCTTTTCTTTATCATTTGTAATTCAGTGGCTATGGCCGAAAAGAGAAGTTCAACTTCAAAGGGATTCAGCACTTTCATTTTTCAAGATATTAAATTATAATTACATTCACCGAAAAGCCCAGACAATTCTCTACAAAACTTCGCTCATGGGGAATCATTGAATGAGTGGTAAGAATCAGTAATCCGGAGCTATTAGCGCGCGCTTTGCGGGAATCATGTGCAAATAAGCCAAAAACATCCCTCGCGCAGCGCGAACGCCCGCTGTGGAACCGATCCACTCCGTGAAAGCTTGCCTTGATCTCGACAGGTAATTGTTATCATAACCCCATAAGCGAAGTTTTGTAGAGAATTGTCTGGGCTTTCCGGTGAATGTAATTATAATTTAATATCTTGAAAAATGAAAGTGCTGAATCCCTTTGAAGTTGAACTTCTCTTTTCGGCTATAGCGACTGAATTACAAATGATAAAGAAAAGCTGAAAGCTGCAAAAGAAAGAAGAGTGTCCGTAGATTATGTCATCAAAAAGAATTTTCAAAATATCTCAAGTCGAAAATGAATGAAGCGTTCGTGAAGTTGCGCAAAAATTTGCTCGACAAGGTCCCTTAATTCTTCAAACGAAGAAAAGAAATCGTCGGGAACAATTGTTTTGCGATGAGAGGCTGCCGGAAATCGTGGCTGAGAGACGGCGTCTTTGGAAAAGGCAGGAAAGACATCGTCATGGAAGGCAAAAAACGGATTGCTTGTCACGTGCATTTTGTTATCCGCTTTTTGTTGAACGAGTTCGATCTCGATTCGTTCTTTATTAGATTTGTAATTAGGAGTCTAAGATACATGTAGTGATGCATTTAAATCTCAAAAATATCAAAAATCCTTTCCGAAATTTAACTCGATTTCAAATAGAGAATCAAAAACATAGTTTTGGAAAAAGATTTTCTCGTCGTTGATGATTCCGTTGCCAAAGTATTCGCATTCGTCATTGTGGAATGCCCCTCGATCTGTGTAGTAAGGATCGTCTGAAGCAAACAACTTCGAATAACAGATAGATTCTTCTTCGTATTCAACAAGTGAGCCGATCCACTCGCTGCCGAGAGTCAGAAACTTTCCCTCCGCCTCCAACAACAAGGAATACAAAGTGTTTGAAAGAACGATACTCCTGCTAACTAAAATTAAAAGCAACCTTCCCATATCGTTCTTATCTGAGTTCGAAGTTCGAACTTCACGTCTATTTTTATACTAGTTTGAAAAAATCAGTTTGAACTCTTGTCAAAGGAACGACATGAACTGGGTCCAAGTCGCGAAATTCCGGCGGAAGCTTGATTTCGTTTTTTCTCCAGCCTTTTTCGAATTCTTCGTTTTTTCGAATTCTATTCAAAGCCAAAGTCGTTGAAAGTTTGATGTAGTAGTCGCCCATTCTTACACTCATCAAGTAAAATACTCCTTTGAAGCTCGTTGAAGAGACTTTTGCGTTGAAGTGGTTGCTGGCAATGTAACCTTGGGCCTCTTCAAATCGGCCGAGATTGTAATCGGGAGCGTAGTAGAAGCATTTGTCAGCTCTTCCGGTTGGAGAACTTTTAATTGGTCAAAAAGAAAGGTTGATTAAAATGGATTCTCGCTTATTTTTTGACCTTTTTCAGATAACAACGACGGGGAAAATCGTACTGCCTTTCTCTTTCAGGCGAATCTCAATGTGATGTGTTCCAATCGACGATCCATAGTGGAAAACGAAGAATCCTCTAACACGCAAAATATTCTGAGTACTAAAAAACGCGCTTACATTCTTTTACGACGAGTCGGTATAAATGTCGGAGAAGAGTCATTTTCCTTGACTTTTAGGAGATTTCCAATAGCATCGACCAAGTAATGCTCACCATTGAGGAATGTTGCGCCCATTGACTTTCGCGTTTTTATTAATATGGGAATCTCAATGATTGACCGAAAATATTTTTCCATAAAAAACGTTCATAAGAGAAGAAAGAATCCGTAGCATTAACATTTTTAACAATTCCATTGAAATCGGAAAAAATAAATTTTCGAAATTCTCTTGCTTCATGTTTTCGGTCTTCCCAGCGAGCAGTAATCAGTTTGACATCACCATTTGATTCAGTCTTTACTGCATCCGGTACTGAGCCTGTAGAGTTTGTTTCTAAATCAAAAACAGGAATCATTTTCTGTCGCGATTCGATTTTTTCGCATTCATAGAACGGACAAGGACAGCCGTTTTGACAGTATTTCTGAGTTGGACAAACTTCTCCAGCTGATTGAGAAGATCGAGTTAGTTCGAAGCAAATCGATTCACAGGGCGAGATTGGATTAGTCTTTGTTGATTCCAAAACGAGCGTATTCGAGCAAAGATGGCGACAGATATTTTGATCGTAAAACTGTTTCTTTTGACAGCGTCGGAGATTCACTTCATTTTCTTCTTCGGTAAAAATGAGCGGCTGAGCTTTGGCGTGTTCGATCTTCGCAACTGGCTCGGGAAAGATGAATTCTCCTGTCTCGTGACATTCCTTCATCATAAAGCCGCAGTAATCCATCGGAGTGATTTTCACGCATTTCTTGTAGTTTCTGTGACAAGTCGAAGTCAGAAAAGTGGTGACTCCTCGCGATCTTTGCAAAGAGTACCAGTTCGCTTACAAAAATGAATCAAGAAAACGAATTCAAGTGTACTTATGAGGATGATGGTTATCCAGAAAAGTGAACCATTAGTAAGATAGGTTGCCATTTGAGGAGACGTCGAGAATCCATGTTTTTCAAAACTTAGTTTCTGCTTGACTATTTTCATGGCAGGGGTTTTCTGTAATGAGGTGGTAATTGTATTCCGACAATTATAAATGAACTGATAAATCGGGGTTACAAACGCTACCGCTCCTTCAAATCTCGTTTTCGCGTGTGAATGCTTCGGGTCGACAAAACTTCTTCTGGGCACAAAAATAACTTTTCATCCTTTTGCCTGAGAACCCCAATGCAGTGACAGTCCAGACACTTTCAAAACCAGTGTTAATCAATTTCGCTCCTATTTTTATCTACCTGAATTTTCGGCTGCTCAATCTTATTTGAACCCGTCTCTATTTCTATATCAATAGCCATAGCAAGTGTTCGTTAGCTGAGAAAAGGCTTTTTGGGGGAGGAAAACGGTAAAAATGGTTTACGGGCATCTTCGTCACGGATATCGACAGCTTAGTCCCCCTCTTTCAAGTAATTTCTTCCAGTTCTTTTTTAGTCCCACAGCGTCAGCTTTCCCAAACTTTCATGATGAAAGACACGCAAATCTCTGGTTTCCAGCCTTGACCACATATAGAAAATCGGTTCTTTTTCTAGCTTTCGAATGGGGAGATTTGACAAAGATATAAATATTGAAAAAATAAATGAAGTTTATTTCAGAAATATACTGGGCACATCGTAGCCGAACAACTCGTAATCTAATCGATACAGCTCGTAGATTTTTTGTATGTTTTCAGCTCCAATATTTTCATAAAATTTCATCAAAGTTGAGTGGCTAAATAAAGAGTTGCAAAAAGTAAATGAGTATCTGAAGGTCTATATTGCGATGTAACTTACTTTGTGGTCTTATTCCTCTTCGGATAGTCGGTCAAATCTCTCACATTCATGTCATTGAGAACATATTCGACATCTTCATTCAACGTCTCCATCTTTCCAATAAAATTCCAATCGATCGAACACACTTTGCAAATTTGAAAATAGGGGCCCCAATGTCTCTGCCGGGCTCCATACTTTCTATCGTCACCTTTTGCTATCAGATATTTTACGAATTGATGGAATCCTTCGACATTTGCTTCTTGGAGAAAATCGTCGTCACCTTTTGCTAGTTTTCGAAACCAGAGAAGAATATTTTAGCAATAAGCTTTTAAAACCGGCCTATTTCTTGAAGCTGTTTCGCGACGAAATTCTGCCGGAGATAGTTGTCTTGCACCTATAAAAAAATTATCGTGTAAAACACGGCGCATCTTGATGTTCAACGGACCTTGTCACGATATGCCGACAGAAGTCGCTCCAGGGGATGCCGGACAAACATAAATTTATAAAATGTCTGCAACATGAAGATTTGCTGCTCCTTTGGATAGGTCGATAGGTATCTGTAGCCATCCTCACCCTTTTTCCCGTGAGGCGATTTGATGTCTTCGACTTTCATTTTCCCGTAGGTGTCTGGGTGAATGAGCTGGAGCATGGTACGCTTCCAATTTGTACAGCCGACTTTGGGCAGCTCACAGTACAAAATTTGATGCTTCTCGTCAACTACGAGTCGTAAATGATGTTCCGCAAGGGTTTCACTGTCAATTTCCTCCAGTAATGTATCATTGTACAGTCCCTCGTCTTCCATAATTTGACAAACTCTTTCTTTATTTTCAAGTCTCTCCTTGTATTCCTCTTTGAAATCAATGTCTTCATAGTTCAGATCTATGGTCTCTAACAAGATATTGTCCCCACTGCCAGAATCAAATATTGAAGGAGCCGGTTGTTTTGACTTCTCTAGCTTTTTCGTTAGTGACTCCACTCGTCTAAGGGATGAATTCAAGTCGAGCTCAAGTTCTTGCAAGAGTTAAAATTTGTCTTGTCTTGGAAAAAGCCCTAATGCGAGTTGTATATAAGCAAAAAGATATCAGACTCTTTCGGCGATTTCATATCTAATTCTCTAACTCTTTCCATTACGCGTTTGCCAGGTATTGTAAGTAAAAAGGCTCAAAACTGCTAGAATTAAAAGCGTGAGATAGCGCGTTCGATCAATCATTGGAATATTGAAGTGGTTGTAGCTTCAACCATTAAGCGTAAGGACGCGCTAAGATGAGGGCGCTAGAAGCCTCTTATCGTGTCGACTCATGTCAGAATAAATTGGCAGGCTCAGTTTTTGTTTATTTAAATTTTAAAAAAAGGACGACAACTCAATGTGTATAATATACCTTGTAGGTACACTGTATATCTTCAACGTTACTTACCAATTTGATCGTGGCTGCAGACAAGCTCAAATTGGACATCAGAATTTTTTTCTCTAGACTCTAGACACTAGCAACTAGAGAGATTTTTAAAACTATGTTTTCAAAATTTTCTGAAAATTTATCTTATAATAGAGCATCACTAGGGTAGAAAAGACAAAATTATGAGTAAAGATACCAACGAAGAAATGAATAAAGCTCATTCCGGTGATGTTTTTATGAAGCCTCTTCAAGAAGGAAAGCCGAAAGATGTTCCAGTAGAAGAAATAATTGTCCAGTTTGAAGATGATGCTAAATCGTACAAGATAGATTTCTTGTGTAAGACTTTTCCGTATTTCAAAACTCTCTTCGACTTTGAACTAAGCAACAAGAGGTAGTTTTTGACATTCATTTTTTACCGTTCAATAAGGATTTTGATAGTGACTCCTCGATGATCAAGTACTCTCTTCCGATGAAAAAATGTCTTTTCGAATGTTTTCATGACAAACACGAAAAGGACATTGAGTGGGCGCCGAGATTTCTTGAGAAGCTTGAAGAATTGAAAGATGGTTCAGAAGAGTTCCCTGATATGGTTCGACGAGCGATGATTTTTCTACAGATTGATGAGTACATGGTCTCGGCAAAAGATGAAGATGATGATTTTTTGGGTCACACGTTAGCTGACTACAAAGATGCCGTGGAAGCTGAATGGGATGGCAATGGCGAGCCTCATGATAAGTGCCCAGTAAAGTACTTGTACTCCGTTAGGGGATTCTTGATGCTCAGATATTTCCACAGAAATATATTCAATGTGCCTGACCGTGAGGATCGTGATTATCGTGATTGGTGGGAGTTCGACATTCCTGATATCATTCCTGAAGTCCCAGAGAAATACGCATGGGTGATGTATCATGGAGGAAATTATGGTTTGTTCGTTTTCTTCACAGAATCCATGATATGGGATGATCATTTTGGTGACGAAGATGCTTGTGTTAAAGACGAAGAGATAGAGTTTTGCTTGTGAGTTCATTTTTATAATCTTCAAAATTTGTTCAAATAATATTATTTAGCGCCCAGGAGATTCGAGTTGATTATAATCACAGACCTAGTGGGGAATTCTATATTCAGGAGTATGGAATCAATGAGCTTCGAGCCAAGGAAGGAAGATCTGATTCAAAGTTCGCTCTATATTCGTTTTGGAATCTTGGCGAACCACTTGAAATCATTCAAATGGAATATGGGAAGAGATACAAGGTCACAATAAACGTCTATCTTGAGCGGAAAGATGTATTCGTTGATGTTGATGGTACGAAAAATATGGGACCTTGGCTAGAAGTTGAAGACGAAGAAGGCCTTTCTTTTGAAATCACATTCCCTGGACATCGCTGTATCCCGTTCGAGCTGTAAATAAAACAAAATTAAAGATTCAATGTCAAAGTGAATCTTTAATTGCTAGAATGGCAAGTAAAGACGTTTATTATCAACTACAACAATCGTTCTTTTCGAGTTTTCCTAAACTTAAAAATGAAAGTGACTGTAACAATCTTCTTCAGTGGACAAAAATGAACAGCTATGATAATTTTTTAACCGGGAATGGTCGGCTTCGTGAGCGAGTCGGGAGTTGTTTGCGGGTTGCTGTCGTTGAAAGCGTAGCTTGTCGTAGCTGTTGCTGCTGAGAGTGGTAGTGGTGAGACTTGAGCGGGCTCAGGAGTGGGCTCTTCGTCGGTTGATCTTTCCCGTTTTATGGGAGGCGATACGATAACGGATGGGTGAATGAAGGAAGCGGCGGGTTCTTGCTTCGACATTTTCGGGTGCCTGAAGAAAGGATTTCAAGCGAGCTCTTCTAAATTGGGACTTACGGTCGTTTTCGTGAAATTGGTGTCGATTTGTCACTAGGCGGCAGGTCAGGGATGTTTTCCACGAGTCCAGAGAGAAAGTTCAAAGACTAAAGCACATAAATTTTCAACTCTTCAAAAGGGCCCTTTTTTACCTGGGTATTTGTTATCGCTTGTTTGATATGCTGTGGCAAAATCGTTCTGTACGTCTTCGACTGACTAACCGCCGTTTCAGCATCGTGGAGGAGTTTTTGCATGAAGAGTTCGATCGCGCGAGAGATGAGGACTGGAACTGCTTTGGCTACTTTGCCGATTTCTTCGTCTGTCTGCATGATTTTCTTGATCCGCGAAGGCTGGAAGCGCGAGTTTGGGAATCTCTTTTTTGGCGGCATTCTAGGACGAAAAATAAGAGTTTCTCGGCTCTAAGGAAAGAAAGAGGGAGAGTTTAAGTTGCGAACTTTAGTTTGGTCTAAACACCGGGAAAATCCATGCTACATTTTCTGTTTATCCCGCTGATTCCCTTTGACATTAAATTATCTTCTGGTGAATTATGCGTTGAGCAAATAAAGAAAGAACCATCGTAATAATTATTTATATTTTATTCTTCTTGATTAAAATTGAGCGAAAAATACTGTATTTAAAAGCAAATAAGGCAGTAGGTAATAATATCTGTGAATGAACGAGAGAGATTTCGACAATTGGATCGTCTTTTTGTGAGTCTTTTTGAACCAGTGATAAAAATAAGCATGAAAATAAAATAAAATGCTCAGAATGATGAAAGAAGGAGGAAAAGAAAGAATGGAGTGTGTTTTCGAGGTAGATGGGCAATTGCACTTTGTCTCTTTTTTAATTTCAGACGTAGTCAATTTTTCGCGGCTTCGGAGTAGAGTTGCTAGTGGTGGAGTTCAGCGCCAGGTTAGCTTGGCGAAGGGTGGTTACTTCGCTTTCGAGTTGTTGGTTTCGCGATTGTTCCTTAATTTTTGGTAAGGCTTTGGAAATAACTTATTTCAAATAAGAGGGTTTTGGAATTTGTTAGTTGGAGCTATTTTAAGAAATGACAAATCTTCGGCAGTTAAAAATGCTGATTTCCGGGTTAAAAATACTCACAAAACTTTTACTCCTCAAACTGAAACAAAAGTTCAATTCTTCTGTTTATTTTAAGAGCTTTACCTCATCCAAACGAACTCTCAACTCCTCGACTTGGCGAGCTAAATCATCAGCCCCGTTTGTGGAACTTTTCGCTGGTCTTTTCGCAGGAGAACGCCCGCGACGAGTATAACTCGGATTCTGGTGAAATTCGGAGAATTGACGATCAGCTTCGGTCAGGTGCTCGTGATTGAACTTTCGTGGGCTCAGTTCGTCATCTGTTGATTCCCCACGGCTATTTTCTAGTGTTCGTTGGCTTTCTGCGGGTCGGAGTGGTTCTAGGGCGGGTTTTTACTGCAAGCAAATTGATTGAAAAATACCTGTGATTAAATTAAGAAGGTCTTGTTGAAGTTTGTTACTGTCAGTTTGTCTTGGGTTCGATTGGTCCCGCCCAGGCCGCCTCTTGCTCGGTGGATAATGCATTGAGCCGTTTTTAAAGTTACAAAATACCACGGGATTATCCCTAAAACGAGTAATAAACAAGAATATTTCGTAAAAATATCTACCTAATATTTCGTATCGATGCTAAATGCCGCGGAAGAGTGCTTTTCTGAGCAGGACTGGGTGAACTGTTCCTTGGCGACTTAATTATTTTGTTTCTTGGTGTTGGAAATTTGCTGCTTTGGTTGTGGCTATCCAAGTTTTGTTTTGAAAAGGTCTTCTCACTCAATCCGAGAAGAGCTGAAGCTGTCAGCTGATCCTTTTCCGTGCTTTTTACAGAAGTCTGCAGTGGTGTTGACGTCAAATCTGGCTGTGAGCTCTGAAAATTGGCCGAATAGTCCATCGACCGCCTTCTTCTTTCGAATATCTTGGGGCTTTGCCGTCGGACGATGTCTTCAACCTTGTCTCTGAAGGTTTCCTTGTGCATTGCTGCTGCTTGATAAGGGAGCGTTTCGCCGGACATAATGTGCGTATTTTGCAGTTCAAATCGGTCCACATCGCTTTCTGTGCTGGAATCTCCTGTGTGGCTCGTGTGAGCAGTATCGTCCGATTTAACCATGTCATAAATGTTCTCAAGGACGTTTGGTGAGTCATCGTCATCGGTGAAATGCTCTTCCGGTTCCTCCAAGGGAGCGTCTTCTGGCTGAATATTTGGGAGCCTTGGCACGAGTGTCCAGACATCACGAGGAGTGTACCTGCTCTGCCCGGTCAAACGGGATGGAGGCAATAGACAAAGAACAACTTGTGGGAGGGAGCGGAGACACTCGATCATGTCGTTGTGGCTGAGATTCGCAAGCATAGAGCTGTTGATTTGGACGATTCTTGAACCCTTTTGAAGACCGGCGTCGTGAGCGGCGCTTCCTTCGTCTACTTGATTGACAAAGCCTTCGTAGGAAATGTGAAATCCGAGTTGCATCCCTGGCTGTTTTCTGTTGATAACAATCGTCCTCGTCGCCGAAGCTGGAGGATAGAGACCGTGAACGCCGCGGGAAACAAAATCCAGACGAGTAATGAGATCAGATCGGTCGTTCTTGTTCTTCAACGAGAATTGAATAAAGTCGCCGGTCCCGTAGAAAATGACAAGATCTTTGTCGCCATAAAGAGTCCAACCAAGCAGCGCCTTTGGATAGATCGAGAAAACAGCAGTGCCTGGAACTGTATTTTCAAATATACCCGGGTCGGATCCGTTCCCATTCTGCGGCAGGACAAGCGCCATCTGCTCGTGCGACAGTACCAAGTTGAAAGTGTACAGCCTCGCGTTTGCCCCATGAGCAGGAACTAGACTTTCGACTTTCCAAATCACCCCACCGCGGGATTCGATCTCCGCTGGAACTCTCGCTCTTCTCTTCTCAGATCGCTTGAAGATCGAAAACCGGTTGCTAGAATTTTCGATTCCGTGCGCGTCCAACGAACAATTTTCCAATATATTTCGGAGAAATTTGCGTCGCATATCGATTGCCAAGTTCGCAAATTTTCCCACTTTTGGAATGACATTTCGGCCGTTGATGATTTTTGTCAGCAGAAAGTCGCGCAAGACACTGTCTCTTCTGAAAGTAGCATCCGCTGGCACAGCGGGGCCAAAGTCAGGAACGCATTTCGCTTTCGAAACTGATATTTGGTAATTTAAGCCGCCAGAGACGGTCGGAACGGCGCGAACGATAATGAAAATGTGTTGAAATTGGCTTCTTATTGTAGCTGGGGAGAAGGGCTTCGCCCCTGGCTCTTGAAAAATTATCGAAATGACATCGTTCCCGATGTGGCGTTTTCTGTCTACTTGTTGGGAGTTCTGTGACGAGAAGGGCAAAAGTGTGGAGACATGGAACATGATTTGCGTCTCCCGGTGAGTTGTGTGATAAGAATACATTCCAGTAGAATCATCGCGAACATCCAGACCAGCTCTGAAGCCAGTAAAACCCTTGAGCCTTACTTTGTTCGCCAGCACGCCCATGAAATCGTCTAGATATTCAGAATTTGTGTTGTTGTACATTTCTTCTTCAGATGATTGCCCTCGCTTGCAGAGAAGCACGCCGACTTTGATGTGTTCTTGCTCTGCTTTCTCGTCGAGTTTTTGGAGCAAGTCTTTTGCGTCTTCCGAGCATCGGCGAAGAACAGAGATGTCGAGTTCGGGGAGAATATGCATCAAGCAATCTCGCTTAAATTGACTTTTAGTAGAGCTTATTTGCGTGTAAGGACAACAAGGGAAACCGAAAAAAATAAAGACAAATTACAATCACTTTATGGCTAATTCTTTACCTGTGAAACTTGGCTAGAATTGCGACCAAGAGGAATAAGCTCCTCCAGTATTGATCCGCGAAGAACATATAAACTGGCAGTTCTGATGATTATTCGATAAAGGTTGATTGATTTTTCCTTCCTTGCGATTTCCTCGCGCTTTTCTCTTCTTATGCTGATAGAGACTGGGCCGTATCTCTCGTCTTCTCCGATGTAATTACTTCGAAAACGATATATAAATTTCTCGAAATAAGAAAGAATCTACCTGTGAGGTTTCTCAAGAAAGTATTTCGAGTAATATTTTTGCCCGTGATCTTGACCTTCGAGGAGGAAACCATTTACAGGTTTTCCCAATCCTTCAAAGACCGTCGCTGTTCTCCCTGTATCTAAGACCTGTCTGTACTCCCCTCGCTGCATCGGTTCAGGACGGACGTTTGGAAGGACAACTTCCTTTTCAGTTCCAATTTCGTTGCGGAACTAAATTCACAGTTTGCAAAAACAACCTTATTTTTATTTTTACCTGAGGACAGGAGACGACCAATTTGTTGGATTTACCATCACCAGCGTCCGAAACGAGCGAGTTCGCCAGCTTCTGCAGCTCATCTTCTGAGCCTACTTCTGATTCTAGCGCTGAGTTGAAAACAGCAGCTGATGCTCCCGTAGCAATGTAGGATCTTCGATTCATTCTGTCGAAGAGATTCTTCATCGGTTCAAATTCAAATGCTGTCGACTGCGCGTCATGGTGAGCGAACCATCTTCTTCTTGCCAGAAAACTACCGAATAAATTAAAAATAGGGATTCGATATGTTACATACCGTTTGTCATTTTTTCCAATTGTCGAAATATCGGATGCGGAGCTTTGGCCAGGCTCGTATCCAGATTCGCTTCCAGGTTTGACATGGGTGGCTCTCTGAGTTCGGTTTCGGAAAATTTCTTTTACGGAAAGCCGTTTCTTCCCTCTAGGCCGCTGATGGTGGCTCAATCTTATGCTACTTTGGTGGCTTGCTATTTTTGGGTCAATAAACTTTCAATGAAAAATGACTAAAAACTGATTTGACATCTCGACCCCAAAAACTGTGGAATTTCTCTTATTGTGGTATTTCATGTTTCTGATTTTTCAATCACACTTTAAATTGTTAAAAATCTTCACAATAAGAAAGTTACTCATCCAGTGATCCACTGAGGCGAGCGCAAAAGATACCGATGCCGTATTCAAACACACGTATTCAAAATGAAATGACAAGTAATCCAAGCGAGTAAATCCCACTCCGCGCGCCATAGTCAGTAAAATAACAAAAAAGAAATGAACGTGAGAAAAAATGAAGCCTTTGTAGTAATCGTAAAAGTGTCGATAAAAGGGAAAGATTGAGCCCGGGCCTTTTCGCTTTCTGCGATTCTGCTTGAGAGGGAACGGTCTAAGGCTTGTAACTTGGCCATGGTACTTTCGCTGGGTAATCGGACGGTTTGACTTCTGGGGGCTTTTGGTTGGGATACTCGTTTGACAAATTTACACATTGAAAATTGTATTTCCTGTTTTTGGGGGTGTTACTAAGCTTCAAAAATCTCTGACTGTCATTGAGCCTGAAATTCAGGCCCTGAATTTTTGAAAAGCGTAAAAGGTATGTCAATATAATTTAATAAAAATAGCTTTATCCTCTCCTGCTGCATTCATGTGCGAGGCAGCAGCGTCCACGGGGAGAACAACATTATTCACGTTCTCACGAGAGGAGCGCCGCGGGATTACTGTAACCAATGTACCATCAGAGCGTTTCATTATTTGTTCGCGCTTGGATGGATCAATTCCGAGCTCATTTTTCCCCCAAGATTACTGTTATTGGGAAGAGTAAATTTGCCTTTTCGAACTAATGAGTTCATTTGTTTTCCTGTGGGGGGAAACAAATTTGTCCATAGTTTCGTAAACAAAAGTGTTCAAAAAGACGGAAAATGATGATTTCAGGTCAAAAATTATTGGTATTCTTGAAGAAAAACCTCGGAAGATTTTCTAGCGTCATAAATTCCGTTCGTTAAAATGTAAAAACACTTCAGTAAAATCATAAATTAAACGAATTCTGGTTGTTTAAACAGCACCTGAATTCAGGTCTAAATCAATGGAGCGTAAAAGTCAACAGGGACACCCTGAAACGTCTGAAATGTCTGAAATATCCACTCAAAAAGACTTGTGTGTGTTCTGAGCTAACAGATTGAGATTTTGAGAACAATGAAGCTCGAAATTGATCCGTGCCTCGTTTTCTGGCGCATGCTTTCTGTATCGAAAGACCACTTTGGGACGGTTTAAATCTGGTGGGACAAACATCTCGCTAGAATTTCTCGATACAAATTAGACCATTCTTTTCTCCAAACCTTGAATGAATTTTCTCAACATTCAGTTTATCTTTTCTCCTCGAAAATCGCCTCAGACGATCAATGACCGAAAACGATCGTTTGTTTTGAAACAAATCATCCTCTTCCGGAATTTCATTCTTCCTCCTCGTTGAAAAAAATTTTCGAAAAGAGCTTCTGGGTCGCTCCATTTTTTATGAGCCCTATTTCCGCTCGCTCAGCGCATTCGAATGATTATTGATTGAAAACGTATTTTTCTCTCTTTTTGGTTCCTCTTGAGCGTCTCTGGCTGTATATGGCGCTAGAAAAATAGTTGTGATTATGATGAGAATCTTGTTTATTTATTTAGAACACTAATTTCTAGCACAAAATAGTTCTTTCAATGATCATTTTCATGAGTCTTCCAAAAAGTAAGACTTTTAGGGCCAATAAAAAATTAAAAGTAATTGTTGCCAGTTGATTAGCATATGAAAATCAAAGGTTAATCACCTTGTAAACTTTCGCCCAGGTTCTCGTTCGATCTCTTATGAAAACAAAAAAAGAGCGATAAAGGTCTTTTCTACGTGACAGAACTGCCAAAAAGTCGCTATACTACGCCTTCCGTTCTATTGATTTTTCTCTGCAAACTTAGTTCTGGTTATGAATTTGCGCTGGAATTCGTAGATTCTTGAGCAAATGGTAGAACGTCGCGGAGAATCAAATTTGATCGTTTTATTTGTGCTTCTGCGCTCTTTTGAAAAGAGAATTGTGTGCACGAAATAAAGCTTTCACTAAAGAGAAAGACGCTGTACTTTATGGTAACAACTTTATGTGACAACGAGACGCAACTTTTGACGCGTCTGTCAATTAAATATTAAAACTGGAATACGCTTCTTTAAAAAGCTTCTGATTTGACACCAAAAAAGGCATTTACCTCAAAATTCTCTTCTACGATTCCAAATTCCTCAAATCCAATTTCTCTTCAATTCAAACTCTTCAAAAACTCCTTCAAACAACGAAAAAAAAATCTCATCCGTCGAAGTTTTATGATCGCGCACGAGCCTCCTAACGCTTGGTTTTGATCGTGTCCCTCAAGCTTACTCGACAAATAATAAAAATTTTTATTCAAAACATCTTTGTAGGGAAGGTGAACTTTTTTTGCTATATTGAGGGCTGAATGGGGCAGGGAGCGGTGTTTAATTGAAAATATACGATCCTCTTGGGTAGGGTTGTAAAATTGGAAGTATCAGAAGAGACCGATACTCATTAAAATTGAAGAGATGGAATTTGGACGTTTCTGACGTTGTACACGCGTATGAATAAGCTTCAAGTAATTGGCAGGACAATTTTGGCCTTTTCTGTTTACGATGTTCTTAAAATATGGCCAGACATCATGACGGGGTCGGTTACAGTGCTATTCGTAGTAGGCAAGACCATGAGAAGACCCTTCAAATATCACTGACTTACTTAAAATCCTCAAAACCAACCTCAATTATCTGATGAGAATCCGATAGCACCGTGTCATAAAAAAATTGAAAATTTGATCACTTTTGATTTATATTGACAAAAATAATCCTCCTCCGCATCTTTGAACTGGTGAATAAGCCAGCAAAAAGTACAAATACTAAATAATGAGTGCATTTCCGAAACCGTTGCCTGAATCATGAGCGAGTACTCGGTACTGCGCGGTGACAAAGTGCCTTCGCGACGGCGCCGTTGCTGGGCTGATCGATAGTCTTCGTCCTTTTTGCTCGAGCTCAACTTCCCGACCAGGACGTCCAATCGATCTCGACTCTGACTCAGGAATGTCTTTTTACGCTGTGGACGGATTTATGACCAGCTAACTTCAAACAAAGCATAAAAACGATGCAAATATTTTGAAATTTTAGTTAAAAAAGAATGAAATCCTTTCATAATGAAAAAGTCGTAAATCACTTTTCCTTGTTCGGCTTTGATTCTGGCAGCGATTGCCTCTGGTGGTATCGGAGGTTTTTCCTCGTCAGTGCGCTGGAATGATCTTGCGAGTGTGGGGTAAAAATAAAACTGAAAAGAAAAGTTTTCAACGACTTTTAAAATGGAAACAATCTGGACCTGTCAAAGGATTGCAACGAACCATAGAGGGGTTGTTGAGGCAAGGCGGTGGAAATGTTCCGTCTCTGCGCAGCGGGGGTCCAAGCTTGCCTAAGAAAAATTATTGGAAATTGGGTATTCTTATTCCTGCTTGTTATTGACTCTGGCCGAGCTGGAGGGGCTCAGGCATTGAAGGAGAGAGTCGAAACAAAGAAGCTAATTGACCGTGAAATCCTCTCACACTTATAAATACCCTTTCAATCTTACTCTGATGAGCTTTTAGGTTGTTTCGGGTATTTTTCTAGCGCTAGGTGATACAAGAGGATAAGGGAAGGAAATTTTCGATAAGGAGAGGATTTTCGGGGGAGGGCGGAGGATAAGGTCTACCTTGTAGGCTGAAAAACTTCGAAATCATGGCGAGCAGTACTGTCAGGAAGCGAGGCAGTTTCGGAATCACCAAATTCCAGATTTGGAGAGTCAGTACGGGTAGGAACGTAGCGATGGCTTTGGAGCTCGCCTTGTGATTTGGAACCATGTGTATTTCTGAAAAAGGCAATGTTAAAGCTAATCTGTAGTGAGTCACTACTAGTGCCGAGATTCGATTCTATGATAGGCATCTATTGGAGATAGAAATGCAGCCGGCGATCTACTGCTGCAAAACAACTGTTCTGAGCACTTGCAAAGAAAATCATCTGCTTCCAGCGTATAAATACAATCCTTCGCTTTTGTTGCGTTATATTTTTAAAATGATTTCAATACATCAAGAATCACTTGCTCACGAAAAATCTCCTTTATAATATCTTCACTTCATTTATGAAATGATTCAGATCTCGAAAAATATCCTAGAGACTGCATTCTGCCTACAATAATTTATCATTAAATAAACTGTCATCAATAATAATTATTGTGTTCTCGCAATATCTCAAATAATCACCAAGTTGTGACTTAGTTGACTTACCTTAGTGGTTGAACAGCAGCGATAGGAGTTCCATGAACAAGTGACTGTAGCGATTGCGAGACATCTTCACTGTAGCCAAGCGGCTTGGAAAGATCAGAAACCGGTCCCAGTGAACGCAGTCTTTGGCGAGTTATGCGGTGTTCATTTTCTGGCTTGAGCCAAACAGGCAAATGTCGCCCGTTCATTTTTGCGCGACGCCGATTTCAAACTCGTCCCATTTTCTAAAAAAAAAAATTTTTGAAAATCAATTTTGCTTGATTATAAATATATTGCGAAAAAGTCAGCTAAATCGCCTCGACAGAATCATAATGCTCTCCCGAAGCGTACAAGTGTCGGCAGTAAATAATCGTCAAAAGTTTCTCTTCGTCATTTTTCTCTTCGCCAAAGAAAAGCTCGTTCGGTGACTCGGCCTACAAAAACACGGCATTGAAAAATCTGTCAATCGAGAATGATTTTGGACGGACCTGAATGACACGAATCCGCGTTTCTAATGCAGCCGCCAAAGCAGTCAGTTCGATTTGACCTCCCCAGATTGGCTCGTTCACTAATTTCTGGCAGTACAGCTCTATCACGGCGTCATCAAAAATATAAACTTTCGGTCAATTTCATGCGAAAATTTTGGGAAGAGATTCCGATCTTTTGCAAATCCTAAAAATCACTGATTTTGATCTTGAATCTTATTATTCCCAAAAATATTATAATAAAACGAGATTTTATTTGAACACAAGTCCGTTTAGGTGCTTTCTTGAGCAGTTAGCAATCGATCTTATTTGAAAAAGAAATATAAAAGTGTAAACCCTAGATTTATAGTATTTGAAATTGTTGCCTGACTAGGTCACATTTCAAAAGCAAAAATGACGATCAAATGATAACCCAGATCTCCTTTATCTAGTGCAAATTTACGAATCCCGCTGAGGTTTCTCCTCGCGCCCTTTTTAAAAGGTATAAAATAGGAATCTGTCCTTTGAAATCTCAAAAAAAAAAAATGAAACAGAAGCTTGCCTAATTAGATTCCGTAGGTCGTCAGCCCTCTCGAGGAAATCCAGAAAATTTTTCAAATTATACCTGTATTACTGATCAAATGAAAACATAATAGCACTTATTTGATAGACCAACGTATGATCCTTCAAATAAATATTCAAATATAAATCATCTCACTTTCGTAAAAAAATACCGCCGTTTCCTATGTCTGATTCCAAAAACGCAGCGAACTGTTCTTTATTCTTCAATAAATGCTCGGCCGCAATTTCTCTCAATTCTTCGACCGAAATTCTCGGCCTGTTCTTTTTCATTTGATGCACGAGAGAAGAGAACATACAGTCACCGTCGCTGGGAACCGACTTTCGCTTGAGTCCATTTTGCTTGAGTAAATTATTGAGACGCTCCTTCTCCACCGCCGCTGGGGTCAGTTCGCCGCGCAGGAATTTCTCGTTTTCCTTTTTCAAGTCGCAAACTTTAGAATAGAAAAATCCCAGATCGAAAAATATTTTTATGAAAAAGAACTGAAACGGCCGCGGGCAACGGACTTATTAAATTTTTACATGACAATTTTTTTCTACAAAGCTATAATTAGCATAATTGTTCCTAAAGCTGAAAAGGGGCTCAAAGAAGGCTCGGCAACCTGTGTAGAAAATCTGAGTCAGGATCCCGAAAGAATATTATGAAAACCGCGCAGTCTTTTCTGGATCCTGACTCAGAATTTCAACACAGGTTGTCGAGCTCTGGGCTCAAAATTATTACCCTCAAAATACTTTTTTCAGATTATATTTTTGCGTCTTTTCCTCATCAATAGCAGCCTTGATTCTTTCCTTCCTCTCTTTCTCTTCTTGCTCTTTCTTGAGTCGCCTCTTCGCCGTTTTCGAAAGTTTGCTTTCCTTCTCCACTTGAGCGTTCGTTTCTTCGCTCTTCTCTGATTCTTCTCCTTTTGAATCTGCGATTGATTCTTTTTCCTCAAGACTGAGCTTAGCGAGGATGATCTCGTCGTTTTCCGAAAATAAAAGGCGACTCTTTTCTTTTTCGTGACGGTCGTCCAAATCGTCTCTTTCTTTCTTCACTTCTTTTTTAATCCTCTTTTTGTTCACTGCTTCGGAAATGCGTTTCTGAAAGCAAAAATCACTAATTGAAACTTCTCTTTCGAATTTGAACCTGAAAAATGTCTTCGTAATATTTCGTCTCCTTAGCGTGCCTGTCATCAAGTTCTTCTAGCAAAAGGCTCTATATTTATATTTTCAAAACCGCTAAAACGAAATCCATACGTTTCAAAATCGAATTCGACCCTTGACTATAGATTTGATCACAATCTGTGTTTCAGGGTTGAAATCGCCTTCTTCCGACATTTTTTTCTTCTATAATGAAATGTTGAAGGACACTTTCATGGAGAAAAATTTGAACGAACAAAGAAAAAGGAGCTTTTTGGAGTTTATCTTTATTTTAGGAAGAATTATTTGAGAACAGGGAGAGAGGGAGTAACCAAAAGAATGACTCAGTAAGAATTCATATTATTTTAGAGATCATTTAATAAACTGAAGTAAAATTTAAAGTATAATTCATGGTTCATGAGCAGCAATCAAAAGGCTTGATTATTCACTCTAACTGGTACATCAGGGACCCCACTGTACATCATTTGATAAAGAATTAGTAAAAATTTACAATAAATTGTGAGAATGAAAAACACCCTCACTCGTGACGAATGGGCCAGAAGGTACTAATGAAGGTTGATCAAAAAGTTTTCATTTGATTATAATTTTTAAGAATTTCAAACGGTAGCGTCGTATTTATGAGTTTCCAAAAAATGGCGCTATGGACATTCTCAGCGGGAGTTACGGGTTTGCTTCGAGTAAAAAATCTAGATTATTATTTGCACGACCTTTTTTTACTGTTACAGTAAACACCCAGTCTGGGTTAGGCTTTCTGGAAGCTTTTTATAGCCTATAAAAATGGTACTGTTGGGAAATTCAATTTAAAAACAAGGTCTATTAAAAATCAGGAATAAGTGCAATCTATGAGTGTAGTGAAACTGTGCCACGGACGCTGGTATCAGGAAAGAGGGATGAAAAAGTGCAGTAGCTTGGTTCTCGGTTAGATTTCAGGGCAGCGGTGCTGCGTCAGAGTCGCGCGCCCAATTAAAATTGTGGCTCGGCCATGACTAGGCAAGTTCGACTCTTCTTTTATCACCGCCCGGAGGAGCTAATCAAGGAAATTCAAAAAAATCCGACACATTTTTTCAAGCACCACTTCACTGACTCAAGACAGAGAATTCATGAAGTTACTGATCGACGGAAAATCGACAGAACAAGAATTTTTTAGCGCTAGAATTAAAAAAATAAGGCATTTTTTTCTGAAAACAGGTGTCTTGATTTTCGGTAGTGATGAATGAGAAGCTACAAATGATTTTTGCCAGAAATATAGATAAATTTTTATAATAAAAATGAATTTCATTTTCGGAAATCATGCTTCGCGGTAGCTCATTAATGATTTTTAAATATGCTATTCAATGAATTCATGAATAGTATCAATTATTTCGATTTAGAATGAAAGCGATAATCGGATTGTTAGCCCTCGTGGCAGCAGAAATCACCAGCGAAGGAGGAGTTCTTGTTGGAACTAAAGAAAACTTTGACGAAATTCTTGAAAACAACGCTTTCGTCCTTGTTGAGTTCTGTAAGTAGCAAAGAAGTTGCTGTTTTGAACAAATAACTGGCATTTGTTTTGTTGAATAACCAGACCTTTCCGAAACAAATAGAAAAAGGTTAAAACAGTCAACAAATTGACCAATCATTTTTTGAACAGAATCTGTTACATACAGCTTCTTTTCATGATTAGAGCAACACGGAAACAAACAGGATTTCACTCGAACTATTTTTTAGATGCTCCGTGGTGTGGTCACTGTAAACAACTCGCTCCCGAATACGAATCTGCTGCTGGTAAACTCGCCGAATCCAATCCTGAAATCAAGCTTGTCAAAGTAATTTCAGCCCTTTTCTTTTCCACTAATTTTCTTCATAAAGGTTGATGCTACTGAAGAAGGCGACCTCGCCGGAGAATTTGACGTTGGAGGATACCCAACTTTGAAATTCTTCAAAAACGGCAACCGAGACAATGGAATCGAGTACGGTGGTGGACGACAAGCCGACGAAATTGTTTCTTGGCTAATTAAGAAATCGGGACCTCCGGCAATTGAGATCAGCGGCGCTGATGCAGCCAAAGCAGCTGTGGACGACAACGATGTTATTGTCTTGATTAACGGGTAGACAGTTCCTTATCTTTTCCATTTTATTCATTTTTAAATAGAAAGACTGATGAATTCATCGCCGCCGCCGACTCCATCGATGATGTCGTCTTTGGCGTCCTCGACGAAGCCGCCGCCGCCGAGCTCAAAGTCGATGCCGGCAAAATCGCCCTTTTCAAGAAGTTCGACGACAACCGAGTCGACTACTCTGGCGCCAACGACGCCGACGAAATCACCGCCTTTGTCAATTCCGAGTCTCTTCCTCTCGTCAACGAATTCAACGACGAAACTGCTCCAAAGATCTTCGGCGGCGATATTACTCAGCATGTTCTTCTCTTTGCCGCCAAATCTGCTGAAGGATACGATGATAACTACGCTGCCATGGCCGCTGCTGCCAAGGACTTCAAGGTGAAAAATAATCATTAAAGAACATTCTTGTAATCAAGCTATGTAGGGCAAAACTCTCTTTGTCGTTGTTGATTGCGACGTTGAAGACAACGGTCGTGTTCTCGAATTCTTCGGCCTCACTCAAGAAAACTGCCCAGCCGTCCGTCTCATCCAAATGGGCGACTCCATGGCCAAATTCAAGCCACCAAGCGAGGAGATCTCCGCAACCTCTTTGGCCGGATTCGTCAACGGTGTTGAAAGCGGTGAAATTACTCGACATTTGATGTCCGAAGATGTTCCCGAGTCTAACGATGGACCAGTTTTCGTCATTGTCGGCAAGAACTTTGAAGAGACCGTCCGAGATCCAGCCAAACACGTCCTCGTTGAATTCTACGCCCCATGGTGCGGACACTGCAAAGCGCTCGAGCCAACTTACGAGAAGCTTGGAAAGCACTTTGCTGATAGAGACGACGTTGTTATCGCCAAGACCGACGCTACCGCCAACGAATTCGAAGGTGTCGATGTCCAGGGTTTCCCAACGATCAAGTTCTTCCCCAAGGGAGAGGATTCTGATGTCATTGAATACGAAGGCGATCGATCTCTCGAAGCTCTCATCACTTTTGTTGAGTCCGACGGTACCGAGGGCAATGATGGAGCAGGAGACGATTATGATGATGAAGACGTAAGAATTCCAGAAGTGGAACTCATCATATAACCTTGGATTTTTAGTACGAGGACTACGACGACGAAGACGAGGATTATGAAGATTACGATGACGAAGAAGGTCACGATGAGCTCTAGAGATTTCATTTATTAAAATTAACACTTTTAAACAATTAATTTCGCAACAACTGAAACAACTGCTAGAATTGCCACGTGTGAGCAAAACAATATTTTCTACCCTCGTCCTTCCAAAGAACATATAGTGATTCCTATCTATTTGAAACGATACTGTAGTCTCCTCAAGTTCTGCAGCTGAATCCTTTGTTCAATTACACAGTGATCGCGTCAAGTGCAATAAACCTAAGAATAATACTGTAATCATCAAGTCAGAGAGTGGCTTTTCTGAAAGTCTCTCACCAAAAATGTGTTTTTTTCTATAAAATCAACCTTGATTGTCTTGATTTTCCTCAAGAAACTGGACATCGACCATATGAGTAAAAAGCCAAGCATATTTTAATATTTTTTTTCGACTAGAGAGCATGAATGATAGCATAAAATAAAGAATGGAGCTCATCATTATTTATAAAGCTCTGACAAAGTATAAGTCATACCTTCTTTTCTATGAAAGAAAACTTGGTGCGAATCTAAGCATGCTAAAGCATCTGCAAAGATGCAATCAACAAAGACTACCATCGCAATATAATTAACGCTTGTTTATTTTTTAATAAAATTGAAGCCATTGCTATTTCCATCTCTTGGCTAGGCATTGAAAATTTACCCAGAAAAGGATTTTCCATTGAGCTCAAGATCTGGAAGGAAAAAGAATCCAGCTCCGGCGCTCGAATTTCTAGCGTCTCATCCTGCGCCAAAATTTCACACCTCGATTTCCTTCTTTACCACCTGCTCAACTATATTTACGACTTGAGTGAAGTACTGTAAGTAGTATTTGTGATGCCGGTTGGCCGATCTGTTTTGACTTGTGCGAGGCTGAGCCGACCGCGAGATGGATATTCCGGGCGCAGAGTGCGGTCGCCCGCATTCGGTACCGAGGTGTGACTTTTTTTTTTCTTCCATTTCCATTTGCTGCATGGAAGCCACACTTGATACTAGAATCCGTGGTGAATCCTAAGCGCGTGAAAAAGCAAAACCGCCAAATCGCACCCAAAGTATGAAAACGCCACGACTACCTCTCTCCCCTATGCAAACATAAAAGGCTAGTCATAGAAGGGGCACTTCCATTTCTTTGGATTAGGCGGCGAAAATCCGCGAAAAATATAGCGCGAGAAAAAAGAGGACCGCAAGATTGAATCGGTCACGCTGCCAAAGCCACTTGAAAGAAGAGCGTATGCAGTTTTATGAATACATTTTTATCATTCTTTCGTTTGCAAGAAAAATAACGTGAATTCCGATTCTATCGAATGGAAATATTATCACCTGTATCTTTCGTTGTTCGTTTGATTGGTATCATGATTTTTTGCTAGTTATTTCTCGCAGCAGGTAGCATCTCCTGCCGAGTTTATCGACTCAGTCGCGCCATAAAGTGTTCAACTCTGGATTTATATTTCGAGAGTCGACCTTTGTTCAGTTAATATGGAAAATAAAATGATCAGCTTGAATATGCAAAATTTTTCTTCGAGTTAAGATTAGTTAATAATTTTAACTAGAAGAAAGATGTCTTATATTGAAAACTGAAATTTTGAAAACAAGAAAACGAAAGAATTGTCACGATTACTAGACTGTCTTCAATAAATTCAATTAACGTATAGTCTATACCGTATATACCGTATAGTCTAGTAGTAGAAGTCTAAGTAGAAAAACATAGTTTACTTGTTGTGTATTTCAATTACAGGAAAAGAAGGAAGGAAAATCAGAAAAGCGACGTCAGTTGTCGCCTGGCTCCATTGTTAATCTATTTATGTTGTTGCAGTGCGGTCGTCGTTTCCTTCTGGTGGTGGTGGCGGCAAGCTGGCACCAAGAGGCGAGCGCAGCCAGACGATTCATTTCAATCGATCAGTTCCGAAATAGCACACAAAAGGCCAGTGTCGCAGCATTTCAGAATCTACTCAAATCAGCATTTTTAACAAACAAAAGAAAGAAGTACTGATCAAAATTGTTACTTACGTGTTTAGCAATCGTGAAGATGGGAATATCTTCAAGGATTTTGGGTACAAGACGTTTGCAAAATATTCAAATACAATTTTACATATATCAAGATGATGTTAGACAATGCATTTGACAAGAAAAATGTTATATAAAACGTGTTCACTCGAATGTCGATTTCTCTACTAGCAATATTTTTAAGAACATCCCGACTACGAGTCCAAATATAGTACCTGTAGGCTCCGAAATGATTTCCGCAGGTATAGAAGGCTTACGGTAGCCCACTTTGACAAAACCTCTTGATTTTATCCAACCATCAATGAGTTCTTTCTAGGAATCTTTCAACCCCTAATTGGCCATTACCGCGCGTCAAACATCTTTGTCGAAATTGAAAACGTCCGGTTGGGTTTATTTAACTTTGCGTCGGCGTGTGAAACCGCGTGCATTTTCATTGCTGTCTCGCTTTGGCGAAATTCAAAGGATGTAAGTGTGATGCGCCTGCGTTGAAATGCAGGAAACGCGACATTTTCGTTTAAACATTTTAGCAAAGGCGCCAACCGGACGGGCTCAGTCGTGAAAATTGACGGCTCCTGACGCCGCTCCATCCCTTTTCATAATACCAAAAACGCAACACTGTCGACCAGACAATGAAGGAGCACCACCTCCGAAGCCAAGTGTGATTGATTTACGCCTTTTGCCGCTGTTTTATTTACGAATAAGGTCACCCGCGCCGGCCAAATAAGGGAAAGATTTTGATAATTATGATTTCTATCTGTTTTTGTGGAAAACTTTTTGAAGTCAAATTTTTTTCATAGATTTATTTTCATGATTTGTTTTTCGGAAGAGTCCACTCTTGCCTCTTCTCAATGAAACCGAGTTCCGTTTGTTTCTGCGCAGAATCTGTTTATATTTTGTCGAAGCTGGGACAGGAGGCCCTCTGATAGTTGGCAGAGAACAAGACAGTTCGCAAATTTCACCAGGACCGCGCATAATCCCATCCAGATTTGCTTCCTGTCACTTTCATTTGCCCAGAAAAGCAATAAATCCGTCAACGAGAAAATTCTTTTCTAAATAGCTTCTCGGTCAAAGACCCAGGTAAAGTCGTCCGGATTCCGGATCCCGTAGAAGAATCTACAGCGCGATGACTGTAATAAAAGCGTGCCAAAAGTGGAAAACATAAAATATTACGCTTTGGATTTCCGAAAGTAATTCTCGTTCGGCCGCCGCCTTTGAAGAATTGTAATGCCATAAACATGTTAAACATGATGTTTCTCGGCGAATAAATGTAAATTTGCTCAAGTTGTGGAAAATTGAGAAGTTGGGAAAATAAATTTCTCTTTCCCGCGTCGGAAAATTAGAATGCTGGCCTTTTCCGCCACGGCTAACTCTTTCAACCAGCTAATTTACAAACAACAACATTCGTTTATTTCCCCCTTTGTGGGCTGACGATCATGTGCCATGAATTTTGAAATAATAAATAGACCCAAAATTTAGTCGCAAGGGTCTTGTAGTAGTACTGCGATTTTGAGAGGGTAACCATCGTGAAATGTTTTTCTTGCAAAAAATATCTTTTGAAAGATTTCAGATATACCGGCAAAAAGAACAGGCTGGTTTCTCTGAGGAATGGTAATTGGCAATTAGAAGTGCTGGGAAATGGCCTCTACAAAAAGTCCCAAAGTCAACAAAGTCGGTAGATATTCATGTCGAGCTCTGATCAAAGGTATTTGTGAAAAAGCTCCACCCTTTTACCACCACCACCCATTTTCCAGGCGCCTGGGAAAGCGTCAAAATTCTCGACAAAAGAATCCGCAAAAAGCCATTTCTCCTTAACGTTTTCAAGACAGTATTAGAAGCCTCTCTGCTTTAGTAGCAGATGACCAACTGTAACTCGTTCACTTGCTGACAGATTCTGAAGTGTATGAAAAAGGAAGTGCGCCACCTTCTAACAAGCGGAGAACGTTGATTGGCGGAGCGGGTTTCCGATCGGATAGGATTCGCGTTTGCCATTTCCGCTTTATGCACACGGGCGCCCCCTTACCACACCGCTCGGTCGGGTTTTACACTTTTCGCGTTCGTTTTTCTTGCGTTTTTGATGCTCTTTCTACTCATAGATAGCTCTAAAGGAAGAAATAGATACTTTCTTACATTACTGTCCATAATATATCCACCTTTCTGAAGAAAGTTGTGAATGAAGCTTCAAAAATGTGGTTCAACGTCAAAATATTGGACATTTTTTGAGACTTTCGCGAGAATTATGAAGCGTAAATTTCTAATCAAAAGTCTTCGGAAAAACTCTGGGCAAAGACACTTCTCACTTATGTATCGTAGATGTAAGAAATACAGTGTTAGCTGGATAAGAGGAATGAAAGTGTGTCTCCCAAACAAGAAATTAGTGTCGAAGAGGCCTCAACCGAAACAGACCTTTTCGACCTCTTGTGCTATGACATCTTCGAAAGAGGATACTAATTGCCTTGCCGATCCTTCCGGTTATTTTCAAAACTGTACCCATGCATGGGACAAATATTTTCACAACACAAGGGGCGAAAAAAAAGGAGAATCAATTCGAAGGAATTTTGATTGTGCTAATTGACGATAATTTGTTGGAAGAAGAAAGGAGATATGTTTTCAAGGTGAAGTGGGATTAATCGAATTTTGATTCAACGTAGTGATCATAATTGTATAAATTGAGCTTGATGCGGTTTGTGCAATAAGGTGCACCGATCGGATATCTAAACGTTTCCTTCTTTCACACTGTTTATTTTTATTCAGGGGTGATTCAAGGGGTACGCTTCGTTATGAGAAAACTCAAATTATCAAATTGAAAAAATTGACCTTTCGAAAAGGGCGTGTATTTCTTTCCTGCGGATCTCAATCCGGTGGAAGGTTGGACCGACCGTCCGGTGTGAGTTTTGTCGCGGAATTCCGGCGCCACTAGGGCGCAGATGAAGTCATTAAGAGGATTGGAAAGTCAATTCCGAGCGGCCTCACCAAAAAACGGCAAAACCGATATCCGGCAAATTAGGCGACAACCTTCGCACCCCATCCAACATCGCCGATAATTTCCGCGATAATGACTTATTAATTCCACCATGAAGAGTGGAGCGCAGTGATTTAGACACCTCCACCGCCTCTCAAATTTGCGTAATTATTGATGCGTTTTAGGAAACCATAATAGTTCATTCATTATGAAAGGTTTGATGTTTTTCTCTAAGCTAACTTTCGAGAAAGTAAGTGAAATATTTAAAAAAACCATCCCTGGAAGTAGAAATAAAGCAAGAGAAAATATACTAGAAATACCAATACCAGAATGAAGGAGAATGTGAAGCAAACATCGCCAAATCCCACATGCTACCATAATCAATTTGATAATGTCTCTATCCTCTGACAGGATCTATGGGAACTACAAGAGTTTTGACACATCTAAGCGGTCCTACGCCAGCCTGGATTTGTATATTTGCGGCAGCTTTACCCTGGCCGGAAATATCGTTCTCATGCTTTTTCTTTCGCTGCGCACGCTGCTGAAAAGTCTTTGTAAAAAGAAACAAAACGGCGGGAACTGGCGGCGCAAAATAAACTATCTTGATTAATCTGTTGCAAAATACACCTTCCTTTGTCGAAGCTTGTTAATGACATGCCTCAAACATGTCAGCTCTTCGTGACGAGCTTCGGCGGAAAGGAAAAGTACCGCCCCACTTCGCGCCTTGTTCTAGCGTCAAAGCCCAAACAAACACGACATGCCGTAATCTAACAAAAGGATTTCCATTTTGTTTGAGCTATTTTTAGGAAAAAGATCCTCACAGCGGAATATTATGCGTTGCGGTCCGCGAACAGGACATTTTGTTTATATACACTTGGCAGCTACCTGTAGATGTAGCTTTTTCGTACTTTGATGAATCATCAATGATGATGATGATCGAGGTATTTGTTTGACATCTTGTTTGGATGGAACAAAACAGAAAGTAATAAGGAGGATCTTGTATATCAAAAAGGTAAGCTCAGTTTTAGCCAGTTCGACTCAGGTCAACTTGTTTCAGTGAATAGTCAGCTGAGCTCAATTTGAGCCAGTTGCGCTTGAGCAGGTTAACTTGAGCAACTCTTTACTCAGGTAAATATGGCATTTCGAGCCAGCTCGTTAGCTTGGCTTGAAGATAATTTAAAAATATTCTTTCTTTCATCAGAAAATTCTGATGATTTCTGTCTACGAGCCGTTGATGTCTGATTTTATGGAGAATACAGTCTGGTTAGACGAAAATATGGAAAATTAATTTATCAATTCCGAATAGATCTACTAGTAGATTGAAGAATACTTTTTCTTGAGAATCTTTTAATTTGATTTATTGATTCTCAATTAACCAGAATACCGCGCTCATCCTGTATAAAGCAGGAAATAGAATCACTGAAAATAAGCGGGTATTTTCACACAGGCGAAAAAACAACGCTCATCGATCAGCATTTTCACGCTTGTTTAGTGCGATGATGGATCGTGCGCGTGTGTAGTTATCTAATTTTACGGAAATTGGCACAGTGCTAGACGTGGCCAGAAAGGGACCGGTTTTCCTCTCATTCTTTCCGTTTGTTTTGAGCACACACCAGACTCAAGCGTTAAAGATGGCGATTTGAGGGCGCTTTTGTATATTTTCCGCCCGTCAAACACTAACCCTCTGCCAGGGCGATTTGTGTTTCCGAAGCTTGGAATCAGTGCCGACCCAAAATATTTTCAGTACTCCTCAAATACCACTTCTAATTTCTAATTTTGCTCCCTGCTATTCCAAATTTGTTTGTCATTACTTAGGATTTTCGGATTCGAAAATGATAAAAATGGTGCTACAGTCTATTAATTCTTATTCTGTTCCCTGCAAATAAAAATAATTCGACAACGAAAGTTTAAACTTATTCGAATATTTATTTTCGATAACTGTATCTTCCAGAAAAAAGATAACACAAGAACAAAAGTGCGGTTTTGGTATTGTTTTTTGTTTTTGAAACGTCCTTTGGCTATTCTTGAGCTAGCACCAGGCAAGTGTTCGGTCAGAAATTGTTGTGGCCATTTTTACATAAATTATAGTTTTTATTTTCTAAGCTGGTTTTGGTTTGGTTTGGTTGTTTAAAAGTTTGGGCACACGAGCAGGCTGTATCAGATTTTTGGTTTCTTGAAATTTTGTGTTTTGTTTGTTTAATTTTACTGAACTTTCAGGGTTGTTTTTTGTCTGTACAAATTTTGAGGGAGATATTTACGCATTTAGAGGGCGAAATTAAATCGTAACGAATTGAAAGAGGAAAAGAAAATACACAATATTCATACTGTAGGTAGAGGTTGAAGCTAAACTTGAAAAATACTGTACTAGAAATACATACAGAAGAATTAACTCTCCATGACTTCTCGTTGTTCGCCATCAGATTGGTCGGTTTCGAGACTCACGGATCGAGATCGATCCGAAGACGGCGACGATTGCTCCTCGGATTTGGCTGAGTGGTGATCCGTAGAGAGGTGATCCGTGTTTCCAGAGAGAGCTGGGAATTCAAAGACTCCGCCGGGACCTCCTGACCTAGCGCCAGATTGGATCAGATCGTTGATCATAAATCCGGAGCGGATTGGTGTGCGGCGGGAGGCTACAACTCACATGTAAGTAAAGCCAATAAATTTTGATAGGGATTGAGAGGTCATCTCTCGAAAACTGTATTAGTAAGAAGCACCTGCAAAGCCGGGACTGTGTAGATTCAGGCCAGCATTGAGCCTAGTGGCAACCTCAATCGAGGGCGACATCAAGTCCTCGAAATGATGGTCGTACACCTTAAACACCTCATAAGTATAAGAATTTATAAATCGAATGTTTCCAGAGAAGAACATCATCTTCTCTGGGTCGATTTTGGTTTCGTTTCTAGCACCAAGAGATAGTACAGGAAAGAATATTTACCTCAGAGCCCTTTGATTTTATCGTATCGGGCGATTTCGACGCTTCGGATTTCACCTCGGGCACCGTTTGGTCACTTTCTTCGTTGATGGGCACCGGTCGGCGGTTGTGTTTGACGAGATTCAATGCCCCGCAGTCGCTGATTTTTGCATCGGAACTCAATGACTGCGCTCGTTTGGAGTGGGAACTTTCGGACGATGAGGTTTGGCTAAAAGGAATATTTGATTTTTCACTTGAATTTCATTCTTAAAACTTTCTAGCAGCAATTAACACTAATCCTTTATAAATTTTTTATCTTACCTTGAACGTTTGCGACTTGGGACAGGAGCGAGTCGAATTTGAGGAATTGTATGGCCGCTGATGGTCGAGGTAGGTGGATTCTGACTCTCGCTGCTAGTCCTTGAGTGGCCAGTGCTTGGCCGATTGTCCTGAGCATCTTCGTCCGATCCAGAGTTATTGTGGGTTTCTTCTTTGATGTCTCTGTTGTCTGCACCGTGATATTGACGAATATGGTCGGGATCGAAAGAGAAGCTGGGTTTCATGCCGAGGCCTAGGCCTGGAGCGGTCATTGGATTCGCCATTGGGCTGAAACCGCCGAGACCAGGGCTCAAACCGGGATATGTAGGTGTGGTTGGTAGTGATGATGCGTAGGCAGATCGAAGCAGAGGAGAAAATGGCAATCGTGGGGAGATGGGTGGAAATCCAGGCGATCCTTAATTGAAATGTTAATTTGGCCGCGCTCTGGAATTGAGCACGTGAGTCAAAACAACACGTGTCCCTCATGATAAATTGAAGATCCTAGTAGCTACACGTCTGCATATTTAATAAAGGAAGATGTTCGTTTATCATTAATCACGAGACAAATTTCGAGTTCTTACCTGGTCCGAGTCCGTGGAGCGCATTCGGCATATTGAGCAGATTCGCTCGGAGGAGCTGAGCTCGGGCAGCGAGGAGCGTCGCGTTGGATCCGTATGGAAAGGGCAAGTTGCCCATGCCAGGCGCCTTGATCGAACTCGTCGAAGAAGTTGGGATTCTAGAGTCGTCTTCCCTGTCCGAGTGGCCATTTGGAATGTGTGGCGAAGGGAGAGGAGAGGCTTCGTCTTTGTCTATCAGTCCAGCCGCGGCTCCGTAAGGACTGAGCTCTCGGAAATTGAAGCGGTAGGTGAAGCGTTTTCCCTGAAGAGATTTTAGTTTTATGCAACGAAAAACTGGGCTCTAGGCGCTCTGGGCATTAGATAATAATATTTGCTCGTTGAGCACTTTCAACAAGCCCACCGTCGAGTTGTTGAAAAAGATTATTTTTCAAATGAATCGTCGCCTAACGAGCGCGACTTTCCACCTAATGAGCCCGCGGCTCAGGCCAATTCTCATTAGGGATTAAAGGATTTTTGTAGTTTTATGTGTATCAATTATCGAGTAATCGAGTTTACCTTGGTTTTGTAAAGGATGCGTTTGTTGTAATAATATCGCAGCGCACGTGAGAGCTTGTCGTAGTTCATGTGCGGCTTGCATTTCCGATTTCCCCAGAGCCGAGCAACTTCATCTGGATCTTTGATGACGAATTCTCCGGTTTCTCCCTGAAAGACAAATTAACGATACTGCAGATTTCGGATGGCGGGGGAAATAGCTGCCTTCAAAATGCGGTTTTTCAAGAATCAAAGAGAAGCTCGCCCTCTTTTTTTATTAGAAAGTGAATGATTTCCCTCCGTGAGTGCTGAGAATGAGACGGATGTGGGGTTTGGTTGTCTCACGAGGTGTAAGAATGTCAAGAATTTCCGAAAATTGCGGCTTCATGCGCCAAAAATGACCCCCATCTTTCTGCTTTCTGGCGGTTAATGGTTGGCTATCCGCCGCTTCTCTAATTTTCTAGTGATCCATCTTTATAAGTTTTCACCGCGCGGCGGGGCCTTTGATGCTTGCATATTTGCACCGCTAGAAGTTACATGAATCCCAATTAAAAAAAGCAAATGTTTCTTGTGTTTCTCATTCTCAAAAAATGTGGAAATTTCGAGTTTCGGAAAAAAACATGTGTTGACGGGTTTGATCGGCCCCACTGTTCAGGCGCCGCTGATGTGTAATCCCGTCATTACAACCCCCAAAAGGCGACCCTGACGGATGAGCCAAAAAGAAACACTGAAGGCACTAGGCAAGTGTCAACAGTTTTTTTTACACCAGAATCGCGAATTTTCGAGCCTCAAAAGGCGATCAAATGACTGTCCGTTCCAGAATGGTCTTATATCAAAGAACAACTGTAAAAAAAGAATGTATTTGCAATTGAATCTTGGAAATCGCGAAAGTTAGCCGCGTAAATTTCCACTTACGTTCAAGAGCGGAGTGTTAGGGGTTGAATTTTTAGGACATTAGGCAGGACTGCGCTAAAAAATGATCCTTGACGCGGAAATAACGACTAACGGCGACGCCATAATTTTGACACTTAAAATTTGGAATATTTTCGGGAAATAAACACTTATGCGGACGAGGCGCGAGCGACTCAGTTTACCCTACTAACTAGCAACCTTTTCGGAAAAATTAGAATGGCTTACCGTTGCCGGGCCGTTCCAGCAGATAGCGTCGGAGTACTGTGACGGGTTGTTGAGCAGCTCGAGGATGAACTGCCAGAGTTGGACCTGGCGGCTTCCTGGCGCAGAGTCGGACTTCATCAGAGCCCATTCGGGCACGCCGTTCGCGTTTTCGGTCGGAGATGCTGAAATCGGACATTAAAAAGACGTAAAAGATGATTAGGATAATCCCGAGCTTCTTTTTTTTTCTTGACAGAGTAATAAAACACTGACTTTTTGGCAGAAGCCTTCCCCAAGACTGTCTCCAAGACATTGCCATTTCGAGTCAAAATTTTTGACTCTAATATCGTCGATTTAATATTGTGGGCTTCTAGTAACGTAAAAATGGGTGTATAGAAAAGTAAGTACGCGGCAGAGCCTGTTGTGAAAGTTGACAGGAGCCGGGTAAAGGTGCCGGATTAGGTTGACATTGGGCCCCTTTGTCGCCGCGGTTACTGCACGAAAAAAAGGAACTGAGCCAGTAGCTTGTGTATATTCACGGGCACGCGTCAAAATTTTGTCACATTTTTTCGGACAGGGGTTGCGCCCGCATATTTTTTCGAGCGCAAAATCTAACACACTCGAGAAAGACAAAATACTGGAAACTGACAAATATGACGCGCAAGAATGCGGCGCGGCGGTGTTCCGCCGCCATTTGAACACGGGCACTGCCCTGTGTTCTAAATTTGCGAAGTTATTTTTTCTTTCTGCCTCTTTCTCAATTCTCAAACTTGATGGGAGTTGATAAATCTGACCCAATGTCCGGAGGAAGTGCGATTAGACTTCATGGGAAAGCCAAAGTGATGAAAATCGCCGCACAAGTGGACCGATAGGGAAGTTTTCAACTTTAGGCTTTTCTTTTTCACTTTGCTTTATTGCGATCTTGAGAGCCCGGTCGGTAATATCCGGCGCGAAATTACGCTTCCCATGGATTCACTCTCAAACTAGAGCGCTTCGGAAAATGGCGTTTCCAAGTTCTTTTTTTGGGACCTATTCCCGAGTTTGGGGACGATTTTCCGTTTTTGGGAGTTGAAAATATGGACGCTTCTGCGAGTCGACTTCGTAATAGGTCCTTGAAGAAGCTCCAAAAAATTCCTATTGTGTATTAGAATCGCTGGGAGAAAGGCTGCGTTTGAAGCAGCAGTTAATATGTTTGCCCAGCCCCCTATCCGCCAATACTTCATCTTTTTAAATATACATATTATCGCCGAAAACACGCTCGCTTCCTCGGCTACTCCAATCGGCCACTTCATGTCACTCCAATCAAAAATTTTCAATCTACGGAGAAAATGGTATTTTACCGTTCATTTTTCCCATCGAAAAATTCAAGGTCGAGCTCTCTTCAAAGCTGGAGAGATTAAAAGCCGTAAATTCGATGAAGCTCTTGATTTTAATGAATGCGTTACTAAGAGTGGACATCCGCTGCCAACCGCTGTTCGCATCGGAAGAATATTATAAACGCAGATGGAAATATAGTTGTTTCAAGTTTCGCTCAGTTCAAAAATCAGCTGAAAATTCAAAAAGAAAACGTTGAGCTTGTCTGTTTTTCTATTTTTCTAGCTTTCTGCTTTTTGATAATTGACACTACTTTAGCGAGATTTGACTAGGTGGAAGAGTAAGTGGCGTCGCTTCTTTTGGTGGTGGTGTCTAATTGTTGCATCGGTCTAAGCTCGACCAGCTGCGAGCGGATGACCCTGCTCCGGCCTCGGTGTTTGCGCTCAGGCGGCTTTCTCAGATTTACAGGGCGTAAACGGGTTAACCGGCTGCTCCGACACCTCAACCAGCTTACTCTCAATTTTTTACCTTCCTCTCTCTCTTTCTCGCCAGAAACACTTCGGGTACTGAGAGAAAACTTCAGTTTGATCTCGCCGGAAGCGGAGATCCGCTTGAGTATCAATTTCATTAGCGTCAATGGATTGATTCTGAAACTCTAACCGGAAGATAATTGTGAGTTTACATCTTCTCCTTTAAGGGTATCATGACTTTAAAAGCTTTTAAAGACAGTAGTTAAGGGTTTCAGCTATCTTTTGGTAAAATAAATTAAGGGTATCACTTTGTTAATTCTACGAGAAAATGCTGATTGAAAAATGATGTCAAGACTTTAATGAAAACACCTATTTTTCGTTCAAAATCCTTTTACGTAAAAAGTAGACTGCTCGGCACCGTTTTTACTCAAGGGAGCAAATGAGTGAATTAATATTTCCTTGAGTGAACACCGCCGGGGAGTCTGCACCACCACCATTTGGGATACTCGCGCCGCCCAGTCTAGTTGTTCACTTCCGGTGGAACATCCGGCTCAATGCCTCGTTATGGATCCAACCCTACTTCATTAGAGTCAGATGACTAGCCGCTGAGTCTATCCTTATTCAACCTTTTTCGGAAGTTTTATCAAATGAATCTCTATTTCTTTCGTTATTTTTTTCATTAAATTTTTGCAATAGAAGATATTTTCGCCCCATTTTTTAATTGACGCGCTTATTCTTTTGAAAATTTCTTGGAAGCATCAAAAATTGGCCCAAGAGAGCGGGGATCAGTTCAAGTAAAGCATTATCCGATCATTTCCGGCAGCTCGAAATCTGCCACTTGAAGCAATTGGCACCTAAGACCCGCCATACTTATGATAATTGTCACCACAAAGTGCTGCCAGTTACGCTCTCTCTCTCATTATTCTAACGCGACAACAGCTTTTCTAAAAATAAATTATATTTCCTCGCTTTTGCCATTTCCGGGATGACAAAGTACGCCCCACTTGTGTGTTTGTCAAATTGTCAGCCTAGCAACCATCATCTAATTAGCACATTTCCAGTATCTTTTTAAGAGTAGCGGAGCTCTCCCAACGGCGTGGCGAGCTGAAAAGCCACTTCCGGCACCAGAAGAGCTTCCGTTAATAATTAATTTCCGCTTGAACTTGTCGATCAAGCTCGATTCTGCTCAACGGAAAAGCGGAAATGGCGATTGAAGTCGATTTTAGGCCAAAAAAAAGGTTCAAAAAATTTCGTCAAAGGCAATTTTTTCAAGGCTTTTTGTTGATAAAGGATCGATTTTGCTGAGAAATTATCATTTTCAAGAGCATTTTTTAATAAAAAAAATGCCAATTTTAGAAAATTCAGAGGATTTTTTCGGAAGCTATTTTTATGAATATCCTGGCTAAATGGAATGATCCCACGTCTTCCGGCGGAAGGCGCCTGACCGACAGGATATTGAGTTTTCGACAGGTGCATCCGGCTTCCTTAGGTTTTAGCTCAATCCCCTCAACTCTCGGCCTTAATTTTCGGCAATTTTGTTTACTTGTTGTGAGAGATTTCCAAGTGGCAAGAGCGCGTCTTCATTTCCTCCGCCTCCGCCACCACGTGCGGGTGTTAAAAGTTTTTAAGGAGGTAAGCGGCCGGAATAAGAAGGGCAGGCCGGACGCGGGATTATTTTTCTTATTCGATTACGGGCAAATATTGCCAGGATTATTCAACATAAACATAGCCAGCTTAATTATCCAGGAATGAGCTCTTCAACATTTTCTAAGAATTCTAGTTTTGAAAAAGTGCAAATTTTGGTCGGATTTTTTGGTAAATTTTAAACAAAAAAGGTTTCAAAAAGGTGTTTTTTCATGAAAAATTGCCAAAAAAGCAGCTGGAAATGGCCCTTTCGCAAAATTTCTCAAGAAAAAAACTTGGCATGTTTTATTTCGCTGCGAGATTCTGGGATTATCTACGCTGCGAAATCATACATTTTGCGTGAAAACACGATGCTCCTCACCCGACAATTTACCGGATGTTCCATCCACTGAACAAGCTACTAGTAACAGGCTCAATGATTGACTTCCCCAAGAAAAATACAACTTTTGACTCAAATTCGAAGAGGAAAGATTTGAGATCAAAGGATGGAAACAGTAACAGTTGAGAAACATTACGTGTTTTTTTATGACCTCGAGTTAATCCGTCGTTTTGTTCTCCACGCTTGAGCTGAAGATTTTTTTAACAGAAAACGCGTGTTTGGAGTGATTGTAAAAATTCTTTCCTCGGTGTTTGATTTTCGCCTCTTTTTCCTTCGCTCGGGGATCGGGGTGTTTACAGGGTGGCTATTTTGGACAAAATTTTGGGGTCTAGCCATCCAATTTCCATCCAATAAATTTTAAGCCCGAGCTATCCATCCAAAATCCAATCCAATCCAATTTTACCCAATTCCCCAATTATCCCCAATTCCAATTGTATCCAATTGGATTTACAATTTTTTAAAGGCTTCTTTTACTTTAAAAAGAAGGGAAACAGTAAGTTTTTATCCGAAAGGAGGACCAACGGAGTCAAAAAGATGATATTTTATCCGAATTTGTTCATTTTTATCATGAAAATAACCCTTTTTTGGGGGGGTACTGAATTGTGCCGCCCTGCGCCGCCTTGCGCCGCCCTGCGCCGCCCAGCGTCGCCCGGTCCGGAACCAATCGACTCTCATTCGACCAAACCATGACCTAGGAAAGAGTTCTGAACAAGAGCGAGAGTTGGGCCCCGCCAACCCAATGAGTTCTCTACCAGAAAATGCACGCGTAAGGGCCTTTGGCCCGTCGCGTGCTCAATATATTAGTGATTTCATGCAAGATCTGAATTTGATTGAGAACAACGCTACTGGCACCCTAAATTATAGGTTTTACTTATTTTAACTGTTTGACAATATAAATAAGTGAGAATAACTAAGTTGACATATAAAGCTTAAATTATGGCCTTTGAAAGGCCAAATATCTTCAAACCCGGTGAGGCTGGGCGGCGCAAGGCGGCGCAGGGCGGCACAATTCAGTGTCTCCCCTTTTTTTGCATAGTTTAGAGATATGTTTCTTCTTGGATCCAATTCCCCCAATTTCCCCCAATTGCCCAATTTTCCCCAACAAAATCCGGTACCCGGGCCATCCAAATTCCATCCAAACCTTATTGGATTGGATCCAATCCAATTCCAACAAACCCCCAAATCCAAAATAGCCACCCTGGTGTTTATGGCCCTTCCGCGCTCATAAACATTTCCAATGGCCCTAATCAACACACTTTTCCGGTGAAACACGTGTTGACCCTTCCACTCATCCGGCAAGTTTTGCCAATTTTGGCCCCCTTCGATCAGAATTTTCGAAAAAGAACTTCTAAAACATGCATTTTGCGCGGCAAATTCTATTGTTAACGCTCGGCACATTACAGTGTTTAATTTCGCCCCTCTAAAGGCGAGGAATTTGGCAGCAGCAGGGACCCTCTGCGAGTAACCGCCAAAACCGCGACGAAAAATGCTCCGGATGTCCTCGTAGATTCCTCCCATGCATATGTTATATATTTCTAGCGAATGTGAATCGCGCTTTTTAACGATCATCGAGGAATTTATTTTGCAAAAATCTTAACCAGTTCCAACTTCCAAGTTGCGTCATTTCTAATCTAGCGCAGCCTTCAGTCGTCCGGGCTGTCGGATATGTGACATTTGCCAAATAGGCACACCAAAGTAGAAACATTGTTTACCAATACAACTTACGTATTCCCTCAGCGACTCGATTCTCTTTCCCCGGTTCCGCCCAGAACAGATTTTCACTGGATTTCCATATTGGACCTTGGGCTACTGCCAGTCTAAGGGTTCCGCTGAAATAGCTACCCCCTTATTTTGCCCCCTGTCAAGGAAAAAGCAGCGGACTTCCGGAAGTTTGCTTATTTTGATCGGTTACCTGGTGGATTTTCATTCGCACTTGGTCGCCATAAAGCAGGCGCCATGAGTCCTGGGCTTGGTAGCTCTGCGTGGTTGGGCATTTGTTCGATGATCGTCCCTCCCAAGGCTACCTGAACCATAGTTTCGCTGCTGTTATCGTCGGCGCCACTTTTCTCGCTGTCTGTATTGCGTTCACTGTTGGATCTGCTGTTGTCTGTTTCAAAATCTAAAAAATCAACGATTAATAAAAAGCGAAAGTGGAGCTTCGTGGATGTGGTGTTTTATTAATGGCGGTCGGGGTTATTTAGTCTTTCGGATGTCCAAAGATCACCGCGGCCGACAAAAAACGGATGACTTTTTGATTTCAAGGGCGTATCGTAAACCTTGCGGTACAGTCGGATATTTGGGCACACGCGGCCAGCCGGGTTAATTGAATTCCCACATGGATATTACTTGTTTCCCTGGTTACCCCTAGAAGATCGAAAGATACGGTTCTTAGGCTGGAGAGTTAAAAATAAGATTGAAGAATAATATTGCGAAGAATTCTACTCAGTTGGCAATTTATGCCTTGCTATCTATTGTAGGAATAAGATTAGAGGCATATTGTTGGCCAAAACTGACAACATACTTCCTGCAACCAAATATTTTTCGGAAGCGCTCGAGGAATCTTGCTCTACGTATGGGAAGTCGCGAGGGCTGTATTTCTATTCTAAGACGGGGCGGAATGCCAGTAGGGCCAGGTTGACACCGCAACTAGTCAGAAAAACGACAGTTGGATCCGATGAATATTTAGAAGCATCTGACCACACTTGGTGAAAAAATAATGACTTGATTCACTCAATGTGGAAGTGCCACAGATTTAGCGACCGCAGAGGCATCAAACATTCAGCAACACAAATATCGCTGAATCGTGTCCCCTTTTGAAATATTGACGCATTCACGCATTTGGAAGGGACGAGCCCGATCCTTCTCGCGAATAACTGTACAAACGATCAATTTTTAATTCGGAGATATCGGATGTAAGCAAATTTTGAGACTCTTCCAAAACGATTTCGATCACTAAAAGTCCCCTTTTTGTCTCTTTTTCGGATAATTTAGCCTTGAAAATCAACAATCAAAATTCCAAATAGGCCATAATGGCTAAAATCTGGCAAAAAATTCCCAAAACTATTGTCTAGTCGACTATTTTTAATCGATATCGTTCAGAAAGAACCTCAAAAAATTGAATTTTCAACAAATTTTCGCCCAAAAATTAGCCACCTGATAATGATTTCGGATATCAATGATCTTAGCCGTTTCGGCGTCCGTTTAGTACCGACATGTGGAAAAATCAGCTTATTCAAATGAAAAGCTCTGAGAGGGAAAGTGCTTCGCGCAAAAGGGTATTTTGAGTAAACGCAGCCGCTAGTCGTAATCCGAAGGTGGGGAAGTTTTGTGATACGGTGCGATCCTTTCCTTTGGAAAAGAATTTGATTTCCTCTTTCTATATTATCCGTATAAACTTATACAAGCGAGCCTGCCTCTAATGCAATTTCATTGCATTTCCCGTTTTCTATTTCTACTCAATTAGTAAAAAAGAGAGAGCCTCAACCGGTGCCTCCGTCGTACCCGATTCGGGCACCTGCTGAGTTTCCCACAACTTGGCGCAAGATCAATTTGCCACGAACTAATTGCCAGCTTTCTGATCCCAAATCGGAATAAATAACCGTATACACATGTATCTATCTCGGCCCCTCCCTTACTATTTTTCAAATTGGCGTTAATTGGCCTTACATAATCAACATCTGACCTTATCAACATCTGTTTCTACAGAGAATTTCCATGAGAAAATCATCTCCTCTACTACTTTTTCGCCCTCACAATCTTCTTCAAAAAATAAGGGTATCACCGTGCTAATTCAAAGAAAAACTCATTCAAAGAAAAGTTTAGATATTCATCTCTACTCTGATGTACCGAAAATGATATTTTACTACAAAGAATATCCACTAGAACTTAATTTCCTAGTCTATTAATTCTTGAGTAATAATTGTAACAAAGATAGTAACTTCTCTACTAACTCGAGGTCGACTACGGTCATTCCTCTCCGTTGAGATTAGCTTCTGTCATCAAGTCTCTCAGCAGCGATCCGCTTCATTTTTCATAAAGTGTTAGAAAAAGAGTGTTAATGTTACTTTGACTTCCCATTTCCCGCGGATGGGCCTCCCGAAACACAGCGAGCTCCAGAGCGCTGAGTCAGAGCTATTAATAAATATTTAAAAGGTGACATTGACCCTCCTGTGTGGCTCAATACCCATGCTTCCGGTTGTGAAAAGAAGTCGATACACCCTTATGGGCGATCGATTTTCACCTCCGGAAATTGGACAAGAAAACTAAGCTATTCCGTTAACTTTTTTAATTCAATTTCAACTGATTTTTACAGCGACTCGGGGAGGATTCTCCACGTTTGTTTTTTGAAGACGTGAGAATTTAATTTTCAGATCTAGTGGTCACCTGACTGACAGATGGTGGTAAATATTTGTCGGTTTCCGTTTTTTGATGAAAGCGTAAATTTTATTTCCTCGTCAAAACGGCGCGTTTACGGGCGCTAGTTTTGCCACTCGTAGCTGGCGATGATCTAAGGCGTCAAAAAAGCCCTCTTTTGAACTAGTAAGCTTCTTAGATGACTCAAAAACTACTAGAAACCATTTTTTTTGCCCTGAAATCTTCCTTGAAAAGTGAATTTCCCCGCGCGCGCCTTATTTTCTTCGCGTGTTTCGCCCACTGGAGTGTTTGCACTTGCCTGAGGCATGTGTGCCAAAGAGCGAAAATTCTTCTCGCTTCTCAAGTGAAAAGGAGATTGTGCATTTCCGGTCGCTCAATGCTAACAGACTTTGAATGCGCTCAAACGGAAGTACATTTTTTTCTTTCGAAAACTTTTTCAAATATATTCTCGACGGAAGTCTCGCCAGTTTCGGCGGATATTTGAAAAACGTAGATTATTTTTAGTCAAATTTTTTGGCCATTTTTAGGGTTATTCTGAGTCTCGAAATTCTCCAAAACCTCGATCAAACTGCTAAAATTTAAATTTTCAATTAAGAAAATGAAAATTCAACGATAAAATTATGCGTAAAAATGACTCAAAAAGGCGAAAGGTACTTAACGTCCCTGCTGTTGTGTAACTTGTCGAAAACCCGTCGACATTTGTCAAAAACGGTAAGTTTACGCAGTATGGCACAATTGACTTCTCCCGGATTTGGAGTTTACGTCTCGACCTTCTCACGGTCAAAACCGACGGCTGAAATCCTCGTCAAAGAAGAAAGCGAAAGAAGAAAAAAGCTCAAAAAATAATCGATATCGTTACTCTTTGCCTCCACGCGTGAGCCGTCAAATTTCCGCTAATTTGGAGCTGTAATATATATATCGATCTCCGTTGTCGTCACCTTGAATTTAAGAAAATAAGCTTCCCTGGTGAGCTGATCAAATCGGAAATTTAATTTTCCGCCGTCAATAGAGACCACTTCCGATTCTAATAACGAGCATTTCCGACGGGAAAATATTAAAACTAGCCAAATAAAAGGTCAATTAACGGTTTTTTACGATCATCAATTTGATCTTTCTTCATATAATATGAATCATATTAGGGACTTTATCAATTAGTTATCTTTGGGTTTAGGTGATGAATTAAGGGTGTCACTATGTAAAATTTGAAGAAATTTTCCGCAAGAAAAATCGCTTTTCTTAGCGGTCAAACCTTAAAAATGGCCCGAAAACATCGATTTAGGACGAAATTCAAGTTCTATTCTGATTGTTAAACATTTAATTGTAATTTGTAATTGTAAATTTCGGCGAAAAAAGTCGCGACGCATCCGTTGCTGTCCGATTTTGACGCATTTTCAGGGTGCGGCGTTTGGCGGTGGTGGAGGCGCCTTGCTGACGCGAGAAAAAGGAAAGTGCGATTCATAATTTCCGTCAGTGCCGCCGCACAGGTGCAAAATTATCCACCTCCGGTTCAGGCTCTAAATCCGCACATCGCGAGAAATTGCTACGTTTGGGCATGAGTTTGGACGATCCGGACGATATTTGAGCCTTTCAGCGCGAGTGGGTTAAAAAAAAATTCGAGGAAATTTTAAATTTTCCTTAGATTCAAAATTTAGTTGAAAATTTTTAGGAAGAATTTAACCTTAAACCTTATAAAAAAAACCTTATTTTGATATTGAAACCAACTTATTTGATTGCTTTGAAAAAAAAATGTTTACGATTGACGGATGAAAATACCCGTGTAATATCAACTTAAAAATCTTCTTTGGAAAACTCAATTGTTTCAATTGAATCTCGTCCCCCGTCCGAGCGTATGAGATGTGTCACCCTGGTCATAAAAAACCACTTGGCGGAGGTTGGTAGCCCCTGCCGCGGTGGTCCGGAAACCGGAAACCACTCGTGTCTGACGCTATACCTGCTATATTGAAGCTCCGAAGCTTTTTTTCTCGATTTTACTTTCTTTTCTTCGACTGATGATTTTTGACGATTTCGTCGATGAAGATTTTTTACTGTTGATTTCTTATTTTTGAATCTCTGGTTTGAAAAAGGCTGGTTTTTATTTTATCTCTTTACTTCCGGTTTTGTTGAATTTTCAGAGTGATTTGGGCACTTCCGCTGTTGTTTTGGGTTTCTCGCGTACCGTCACCCTTGTTAGTTCAACATTGCCTTTAGACGGGACAGAGAAGGAAGTAAAGAATGCCCAGCGCGCGACGCCAGAGCGCTCTCGCTATCTGCTCTCGCGCTCTACTACACCACGAAGAAGGCTCCTTTTGGGATCGCCCACCACACCACTGAGCGCGTTCTCGGTGGAGCTATAGCGAAATCGGACATCCTCAACGATCCCTTCCTCCACTACACAGCTCGCGAGCGCCCTCGGAGTAGTAACGAACGAGCAAAAAACCGAGAGAGAGGGGGAGACCAGCTGGCGACAACAGACCAACCGCGAAAATAGCCAAATGCCAATAGCAGAAAGTGGCAGCAAAAGTGGAGACGTATTAGCTAGGAAAGCAAAAACGCTAACAAGGAAATCCTGTTTGGGAAAAAGCGAAAAAAAGGACGAAACGCGCTAGAAAATGCGATAATCTGTCGCTTTTTAAATCTGCGAAAATGGTGAAATACAGGAGGTGCATGCAAATGAGCATAAAATTCACATTTTGGGCTCGAATACCGAGTTTTTACTACATCAAAATATTTTGCATTCAAGACACTTATCAAAATCGACAGCTGATCTCTAAATCCGAGCGAAAAAAGTTCGCATGCGGCGGAATGAAGGCTTGATTAGCAATCAGTGTTTATATTTCAAGTTCTCATGAAGACCCTTTTGCAAGTCAATACAGGTCGGTGTTATCCTTTTGAGTCCCCTTTTGGGCTCTTCAAGGGGAGGCATAAATTTGATGCTTGGGCTCTTGAACGGCGTGAAACTTGTCTAAATAGCGCTTTGATCAGGCCGCGGGTTGACGCCCGGTGAGCTCACTCACTCTCTGCCCCAAAAAAGACCGAAAACGAAAATATCCGTTATCAAGTACCTCCACCTTTGCGAGCCCTTGAGTTTTCTTTTTGTTGCTCAACTGCACTTCCAAAGTTGTTGCGCGCATTTTCCGTTCGAAATTGATCCTTTTTTTTCTTGCTTCCAAAATCCTGATATTTACAGACTTCCTTGTTTTTATTGAGGGAAGAAAAGTTTCACGCACGCTGGGGTTTTAATACCTCATAATTCGCTCATAGTATTTTTTGACAAATGCGCACGGGGCTATTCGGAAGCCCCATAAACCCTAAACCCACAAGAGAGGTTAAATATCGCCAAACCCCAGGATACCGTTTCCAAAAATAGGATTTGTAATTCAAATAATCCGACTTTGTCCACACTAGTCTTTTTCATTCAAGTTAATTTTTAAAAATATAATTTACTTTTGAATCACTAGATTGGCCAATAATAATGATCAAAAAACTCCTTTAGCCAATAAGAAGCCCCGAATTCCTAGGGCATTATTCGCATTATAACGATATATTCTCAACTGTATTTAGTAATTCTGACTAGTCAGAGCTAAACTACAGAGCATTTGATCCTTTAACACGATAAACTAATGTATTTTATGCCCTACTGATCATTTTAACCATATCATTATCTTTGGGTGAAATTGATCAAAAGATACGTCCAAGTTAGCCTGAATAGATTCCTCTTAAAATAAACCATTTGAACTCAAAGCATAAAGAGACCCCCTTCTCAGTTAAAATTCTTGATCGACATCGCTGATTTACTACAAGTACCTTGTAGCAGATCCTGGTTTTATAAGCCAAAATGGCTGTTATCTGTAGTAAATATCGACTCGGCGAGTTGGAGCATAAAATCCGAGCTTAGTTACAGCTCGCCAAAGATGCTGTACTGAATGGAGACGGATATCCGGCGACAACAGGATTTCACATGAGCTTAGAGGAGGACCGTCTCGTGAGGAGGGTCGCTTCCGGAGTGCTAACTCCAAGATTACTCGAGCTCAACTAAGAATGACACAAATACTAAACATGGTCATGGAAATTCAAGAAGTCCCTAGCGCAAGATTCTCATTTGATTTCTTCAGCGTGAAACAGAGCTCACCTTCCTGAAAGCTGAAATACTACAGGTGTAGTCTATTCTACAGATAAGATGTTCCATCCTATCAGACAGCGAGTCCTGGGAAAAATGTTCTCCTTATCCTAAGCTCGAGAATAGCTCGATTTCTGTTCCAAACAGCAATCTTTACAAAGACAGATGATAAGTCAAGGCGGAAAATAGAGCCAATTGTCGCCATGAATCTTCATTTCCCACTTTGAGTAGCAGACGTACGTCCTGAAACTCGTAACCAACTAGAATTAGCGCGGCCCCGTGCCCAAACGCACACTCAAAGTGATTTATGCCGACGAAGTCAAGGTGACTGTAGTTGTGCTCAATAAAATAAAAAAAAAACTCGCGATTCGACAAAAATGCGTGTTCCACTAGAGAAGTGCTGCTGTCGGTTAATGCAGCGCGGCTGGTGGTGGATATCCGATGACAGACGGCTAATCGGAAGAAAGAAGAAACCTTGACCCCGGTCGTCGATGAGCTGCCGCACCTGCATCGCAAATCCTGTTGGCAGCTCGAAATGCCATTACTCGCAATACTTTGATGTTCACCTATTAATCCAATAATTACAAGCCGACAAAATCACACCATTTACACCTTAGATTTACTAGCAAAACCCCACAATACCCTAACCCTCACTCTATCTAACCCTATATGCATTTTTTCGTAATTATATTAGGTCGCAAAACATGGAAAAAATGAAGAACTTCTGCTTTCAACATGGCTTTTTCGGAAAACTGTTAGGAAGACCCTTAATCAAATAATTACAAGCCGAGAAAATCACACCATTTACGCCTCGGATTTAGTAGCAACGCAACAAGCCTCTATTCGCCGAGGAAGACGAGTCTTAGCCCAGATGGAAGATCGTTTGTAAGCTGCCAAAAGACGATGTCCTGGTGGTCACCCGAGGTGCCAAAATTTATTGCGGTTCCCAACTTCAGCACCAATGCACCATTTTTAATACATATGGGAAACGCATGTGTAAAAATTCAACAAGATGTTTTTGATATTGCGGTGGATGCGCATTGACCACGAAAGCGTTTTTTTAGAATTGAGGCTCTATTCCAAAAGAGCGGATAGTCATCAATGATGCTCATTTTCAAGATTACCTTTCCAATATATTTTATTTTCGTAGCCCTAGAATATTTATCTTTCAAACCAAAAATAAGCTGCTCAGGTGTGTTTCTAGCTCTGTTTTTCCACGTGTGGCAAATGAAATTATTGCCTATCAAACTGAAATTATATACTTTCTGTGATTTTTGGTGTTTTTCACCGGGCGAGGCGCGTAAAATCAGGATCCGCCGCCCGATGATTTTGATAAATCCGGATCCAGAAAAAACGCGCCTTTGATCCTGCTGCGGTTTCAGCGCGAAACCGCCGCGAAGTAAGTACTAAATTTCGCGCGATTCCCGATTCCGAAATGTATATATAAAGTACCGCCGTTTCTCAGCCCCGTTTTCTTACCTGTCGGCTCTCTTTTTGGCTCCATCAGTTTGGTGTGCTTGTCCCAGTCTAAATTCAAGAATTTAAACAACGACCTTACATAAAATGACTGTAATTGATTGATTTATATTTTGACGTCAAAATATCGTATTTTATCAGTTCTTATTTTTTAATTTGGATTCAATAAAACTCACCGAAGACCCCTCTCTCAGGCAAAAAGCTTTTTGTCTCCATCTTCATAAATTCTCTATGTTGTAATGAAAAGATTCTCTTTTTAGTAAAATCGTAACTTTTTCGATTTTTGGATAGACGGAAGTGCGCCGCGCGCAAATAAGGAAACGGATTTTCCGCGTCAAAATCATCGGACAATCTCTTCGTGAAATCATGAATTTGGGAAGATGGACCGATTTTTGGCAGAAATTCTCGGTTTTCAGGGCCCGGGTTTCTTCGGGGCCGAAAAGAAAGGATTCTATTTATTTAATTTATTTAAAAAGCTAGTGCGAACAAAGACAACGGAGAAAATTAGGCAGCAAAAGTTGGGATGATAGTGTGTTCTTCTGGAGCATATCGGGGGTCCTAAATATCGTTGAAATCAAAGTTGGCGATCAAAAGCACTACCTTGGTGATGTCCTTGTGTCGATTTTTCCATGCTTTGACTGGGGCAGAGAGGCCGAGATTGAGAAGCTCGAAGATGGAGCAAGCAAGAGTGAAGCAAGCCAAAATGAACATGATATGAAGAACGTAGGTCTTTTCATTCGGTCTAGAGACGAAACAGGCCGTCATGGAGAGGCATGGAGTTGCGTCGCAATAGTAAACCTAGAAGAGTGAAATTCTCTTCGTTGATTTCAATTTTTACCTTTGGCATGACAAGGTCGAAAATGTACACCTTGAAGTAGAACGAAATGAAAGCCATTTCGATGAGCGTTCTGCACAACACCTTGAAAGATTAATTTCAGTCAAGAATCGCCATAGAAAAGAAAGCTGAAACGGAAGGAAACGAAGCGACTTACCATGGAGAAATAGCCAAGGAAGAGCTTGGGCGGAGTCATATTGGACTGGTCCATGGCTTTGGTCGCCATAATCCCATCTTTGTTCAATTTCTCCTCGATTTCCGCGTTCTCGTCCAGCAGTTTCGTTTCCTCTTCAACATCCTGAAATAGAAACTCGTGACTTTCTTTAAATAGGTATTGAAATTCGAATGATTCTTCGATGACATAAGAAAGTTTAAGTCTTAGTCTACTGAATTGTGCTTCAGTCTGTCCTACGCATCCGGAGTATAGTATCCGGGACCCAGGTGTTTTTTTCCTTCAAGCTTGGGAAAAGTAGACTGTATCATACTGCTCTATCATCCTTGACAAAAAATATATCAAATGGAAAATTAATCTAAAGATCTTCCTCTATGATTTCAATGCTTTCAATAAATAGTTTTACCTGAAGAACAAACTCCATCTGCTCAGTTTCGGCCGCGATATGCCCATCAGTCAAAATAATCTCATCCTTGCAAGCCTTGATAAATCGTTTTTCAAAATTCAATTCGATCTTTCGTTTCTCCCGTAATTTTCCTTCAATTTCTTCCTTTCGCGCACGTGCGTCTTTGATTTCTTTCGTCTTGTGCACAACGTAAGTCATGTAGATTACTGTCGGAAGACAAACACTAACATTTGTGTAAACAGCAAGGAGGAGAGAAGATATCCTTACGTGAAGATCTGAATGGCCCAGAAAACGATGACATCGATGGGAAGGAATCTATTCGTGCACATTTCATTGCAACCAGGCATTTTTGTATCGCATTTGAGTTTTTTATCTAATAATTGATTTATCGTTAATAGACCGGATTAATGTAGTAGTCGAAGAGTTTATAAAGGATTTGCCAAAGTGTGACTCCCGAAAAATAATAGTTTGATGATTATTTTTATGTTTTTATAGTTTTTAAATTACAAATCAAGAACCCAAAATTCTACGAATCCCTTGTTCTGCTTCTTCTCCTTTGATTTACCTTTGAAAGTGTTGTCGACAATCGAAACAAGAAATAACAGCCTGAAAACATCGAAAAAAGTGTTATAAAATTTCCCAGCCCAGGTCGAATGCTTCCCAGCTTCGCTGATAAACCCTTCTACGGCATGCCAGCCTCCCATCTTGTTCCGCTTTTTCTTCGCTCAAAGATCTGGTTTTCTCTCTTCGCAAGTCTCTTTTTTTCCTTCCGCGTTTTTCAAAAAATCGTGGATTCTTTATTTCACGTTCAATGCGCTGCGATACTGTTTGAATAGAGTTAATGTTTAACTGCTTCTTTGATAAAATCAAGTGGTCTGTATTTGAGAAGTGATTCAGAATCATGGGCACGCGTCGTAGTCTGTCGTAAATTATCATTTTTTAGCAAGCGAATTTTATTCGGTCTCCATATTTCATTTTTGTACAATTTTATGGACGGCTAGAAGCAAAACAGTAAAACATCGAGGATTGGAAAGTACAGAGCAGGATTTCTCAAGCTTTCAAAAGTGAAAGTTTTCTGAATATTCATTTGTCAGTGTTTTCCTTCTTCCCTCTTCGCTCATTTGAAAGAACTCTTCTCTGCCGCTCTACGTATCGTTTCGTACCATGGCTAGAAATAAATGAGGAGAAAATCGAAGAGGTTTACCGTTGGGTAGTTGAGCGAATCACAACAGCTGCTGGAGTTGTTGAAACAAGAAGTTCTTGGTCAACTCCACTAGATTTTTTCTTCTTTGGAGCTTGATTTTCCTGATCGGGCGGAGATGTTCGCGGGTGGAACTCGACGAGGAACTTCGATTTGAAATAGAGGCTCTTGTATTTCGTTCTCGTATAGAAACCATAAAAGTTAATAAATCTTTTAGATGTTGTATAGTTTTAATGAACGACATTCAGCACGTCACACAACTTTCATTATTATCGACAAATTCCTCGAAATCGCACATTATAATGTTCAAAAAACTTAATATATTAAACGATTCCTTCAACTTTTAGACTTCTAGCGGAATCAGGAATCGCACCTTCCGAAAAATCCGTGTCTCCAGGAAGACCGTAATCAGCGTAGTCAAATTCAAGCTTGTCCAGATCGTCCTCAGCTAAAATCGCGTCTTCCTGAAAAGCACTTTCTTCGAGGTAATATTCGTCCTGTTGCATTCGCCCGCTGATCTCCATCAGCCGTTCTTTTTGGTTCTTCTGAAGACGCAAGAAAGCTCGGGAAAACTGCTTCATCGTCGTATCACTAGAATTTTATCAACTAAAATAGTCTTTTTTTCTGATTCTTACCGAAGGCGAATGAAATGCTTGAATCGTTTACACTGGGAAAGCTGCTTTTTGATCAACTTCGTAAGCGATTTATTGACTCCTGCCAGTTCTTCTAGGGGATTCTGCGGACCAAAGGAAGATCGAACATTTTCCGCGAGTTCCGGAGATATCAACTTTTCCATCACCCCAACGTCAATCGATTCCATTCGGCGTTTCTGTTCCTTGGGTTTTGGGTGTTCTCTGCACTGCTGCATCTTGCCGACCATTTGTTTTCTCAGCTTTTCGCTCATTTTTCGCAAATTTTCCTTTTGCAAAATTAGTACTGAATATTCTCTATCGCCTCCCAAAGTACCTGCTTTGCATATTTCACAGCATAAAGATTTGTCCATGAATTCAGCCTATCAACTGCATCCAAAACATCATCAATCGCGTCATTATCCGCTGCTCTTTCTCGTCTTTTCTCAATTCTAGCGAAGCAAAAAGAAACCTGGAAAACAAAAAGGAGTTTCATTTTCGCTTTTTTCATAAAACTGTTTCGCCAAAAATGCGCAGCTTTATAAAGATTAGCAAAAAGGTTAGCCTAGTCATTTATGTGGGTCTTTATCTAATATCAATGTCGTGGAAAAGGCGAGAAATCAGAAAAAGGCCAAAGGATATTTCTAGCGCAAGCGCTTGGAATCTGTTTTCGCAATTTCTGCGTAAAATTACGTTTTTCATGGCCATGAACTTCCAAAATATTCTCAAAAGCTCACAGAATAACAAAGATTGAACCAGTATCAAGTTGATATCGAAATAACTCCGCTGGTTACAGGAAACAAAACGATCACTGTGGCCTACTCATGAAGATTCGGCGCCTATTCGTAAGATGATAACATTTTGCACGTTTGGTCTATCCTCATTCGACCATTTTCGCTCGTTCACATCATTAGGATAACACGAAAAGGCAAAAAAAAAAGAGAAATGGGGAAGCAACAATCCAAGTCCCCGACGGAAATTCCTTCGATATCGGCAGATTTTCTTGTTCCAAGCAAAGGGTTAGGTTATTCGCTTTTTTGAATTTCATAATTTTTATCTATTCAATATTTCATCTTTTATTTTAGACTCAAAAAAACCATAAGACCCATATTTATGCGATAAATTTATTTTTTCTCTTTTCAAATTGTTTCCGATTAGGACAAATTAAATCCAATTTAGACAAAAGTGTAAAAATTGTGAGCGTTTGTGCCGTATGGACTACCCTGTTAAATGTAAAGAGCCAAAATATATATTTTGGACGCTGAAGGAATGGTTTATTCACTTATTTAACTTCTTGTTAGACATTGACAGTCGTAAAATATCTTAATTTATTTGAAAAGCTTCAACCACAATTCAGCAAAAATAAAAGCGAATGAAGAAATGATCGAATTTGCTATAGCAAGTGTATCAAACCTAACCCTCTGAAAGCATGAAGACCTTCGAATTCTCCCGTCGAACATGGAAGTACTGCGAATGTTCGTCGATTTCCGCCGAGAAATCTATCCTCCAGCAAGATGGGAAACTCTACGCTCAATACTTCTGCGACGATTGTCATTACCGATCTTTCCGAATGTTCGACGAAGAAGATCGCTGCTTTGTCTGCCCTGCTGGAAAGTGTGAGAAGATCATGACTTTCGACGAATTCAAGGAAGAGAAATGTTGCTTTCAGACGAAACTGAGCACAATCCGGGTAACTTCTGAGATATATTCTTGATTGAAATGATGATGATTAGAAAAGCATTCTGAAGAGTGAGGAAGAAGCATTGGCTGATTTGGACAAGAGGATTGAGGACGCTGAAGGAATGGTTTATTCACTTCTAAGATCTGAAATTGTTATACATTTTGATGGATATAAAGCTTACAAGACATTGACAGTCGAAAAATATCTTAATTTATATGAAAAGCTTCAACCACAATTGAGCAAAAATAAAAGCGAATGAAGAAATGATCGAATTAGCTCGCCAGAACAAGATGAAAGAGGAGCAGGAGCTCCAACGATTGAAACTCGCCAGAGAAGAGATCAAAGACCGAAAATACATGAGCGCAGATCTACAGATACAGTATCAATCCGGCTTCCCAACTCTCATCTAATTCGAACTGATAATCATTTTGTGGCGTGAAGACGCTTTTATGCCTTGCTGATAGAGAATAAAAGAGTAGAACTTTGTTCTTGGCTGTATTTTTAACTCTAGCATGGTCCGTCTGTAACAGTGACAGTGTGGGGAATACAGTTGTGTTCAATGAGGGATTCATATTCGTATCGGTTGCTGTACTGAACGCCGTTAGATCCGCAGTGAGGCATGTACATCATTGGAACTGGCAAAGCACTGCAAGCTGCTTCGCACTCTCCATCGTGGAATTTCTCGATCGGGAGACCAGCGCATTCGGCAAGCATGTCCAACTCACAGCTGTTCGAGTAGGTCTTTCCGTCAGAGCCGCAAACGGGATCGTAGCTCATCGGGCAGACTCGTCTGCAAGCAGGATTGGCGGCGGCAAGGGCGAAAATTGCGGCAAAAAGTTTCATGTTTGAAGTTCGGTTTTTTGGTGTCTCGGAAAATATGATCTGAAAATGGAGATCGAGCAGATTTTATAAGAGATGTTTGTTTGTTTTCGAGTGACTTTAAGACGTCGAGTGTTTGCCAATGTGAGGCTTACTGTACTGCAGAAACTTTGAGGTAAGTACGCGAGGAGATGAGAATATATTCAAGGACACTTCAAGAAGTTTCAGATAAAAGGGCGGGGACTTTAATTGACGTCATCAGCTAAAACTGGTAAGAACTGGTGTAAAAGCGGACTGATAACAACATAATTACAGTCACATATCATAATACCGAAGGTTTTCAGGATCGAAATTTCGAAAAAGGAAGACTTCTTATTCGCGAGAAAGATCATTTTTCGCTCGCAATTCAGGTTTTATACAGGAAGATAGATTGTTACTTGACCGTAATCCGACTTATCTTGTTATAAGAACTTGTCGGGGTACTGTATTCCTGAACCTGAAAAGTCCTATAACAAGTAAAGAGAGAATACAAAGAAACACGACAATAATATAATCATTTCTTCGGAGTGAATTCCACATTTGCTCGATTTTCTCGCTATCGCACTTTCCTTCATGCAAGAGGTGAACGTCCGCAGATTTGTTTTTCAGCGCCTCGCAATAGTTGTGACCTCTGAGATCGCAAGCATTGGCATAAGTTACTCCATCGCTTCCACAAACGGGCATGTACTCAAAAGTGCAGACATATGGGCAGGAGTTATTCAGGGGTTGCAATGTGGGGCTTCCAAGAGACAGAGTTAGCAAAAATACTAATTTTTCGAGCATGTTTTGGGTTCTAGGCTCTTCCTTGATTTCAAGTCTGAAATATAAAATAACAAGCTTTCATTATCTAAATGTAAGTCTTCATAAGAAAGAAGAACAGTCCAAGAAAGAGAGAAACAGTGCCAGTTATCAAGAAATGGTAGCTGCCTTCTGGGATAACTTATATCACTATTAAGTTTGCTTTTTCTAAACAGGATATAATTTTACCCAGTCCTTGTATGAAGATCATTCGAGCAGGTCACTTGTCTCGTGAGTGAGCAATCTTCTTTCAGCCCTTTAATTGCCTCTTTGAGTAAAAGATCGTCTAAAAATATAAGTGGATAAAAATACGATTACAAAGAGGTTAAATTATGATGTCATTTGATAAGGTGCCATTTTAAAATTATCATTAATTTTAATTCTTTAATCAAAATTTTCAATAGACAGATTATTACTTTACCGATTATATTCGATATTCCAACGCCTAGAAAAAGAGCAATCGAGACATTCAGGTCGTAGAAAGTTGTGACAATCTCAAACGGTAAGATACAAAAGGAAAGAATGATGATAGTCCTTGTCACTAAAATTAAATTATCGATTATGTTTCATAGTTATTTATAGAATAAACCATTTATTGCTACGCCAAACGTCCAGTTATTTAGGTTTTCATTGTCACGACTTGTCCATGTTACTAAATTTACGTCAAACATTGTTTCTAGTCGTAATTAAACCAGAGTTGTTTGCGATGAAACCCGACCACAAACCAAGCTCAAAATCAGCTGAGCGATCCTCAAAAATATTTTCGAAGGTTGCGTTTAGAAACGATATGTAGAGTGGAGTTTCTAGTGCGATTTTCAGAAGTCGAATCCTGACTCTCATATTTTTGATGTGAGCAGTTCCAGTTGCTAACTCATTCGGATCTGTTACAGGTGTGAAGAGTGTAGGAATACTTTGCCTGTGCAAGATTTACCAGCAAGTTAAATGCGATAAGAAAAACCGAGCTCCTATAAGGCCCCTATTTCGCCCTCTACTAGCATTGTCCTTGATGAAATCCCGTGGCTTAATTGAAAGTCAGTAGTCCTTTCATTTGAGATATCAGACGAAAGGTATGTTTTTCCTCTCTGAATCGAGTCATATGCTGCTTCAATATCTTGAACGACCGAAGAGCTATCTAAGTCGGCCATGCTTTGCCTTTATAGGAAGTTCTTCTTGTAGATTCTACTTTCAACCAAAAGGGCGCCAGTAAGACACGGCTCAGTACTTCTTCGGTTATGGCTCGTGCCCCTTCTAAAACCTCATCTTCTCCTATCTAGCGCCTTCTTAATCCTCCTCAAGTTGTGTTTCACGTGAATAATATATATAATGCTTGAAGATGCCATGTTTTTAGAGATTCTCCTGCAAGATCTTGTATTTTTTTTATCAGATAAGCAACAAGAATAATATGCATAGGCTTACCGGACTGATTTTTGCCGATTTTTCTACCTGAGTTGGGGGGTCTTATGATACAGTTTTAGAAAGTGCACAAGCTAAGTTTTCATTTGGGCACAATATCAAGGGGTCTAGGTCATGCCCCCAAGGCAATTTATGTGACCTGATGTTCCAAAATAGGCACTTGAACTCTTTAATCGATTTTTTCGATGTGTTTAGGAGCTCTAGAGCCTTGAGGAGTAATTGTGGTAGAGAGCTCAGACTCTGAGCTTTCTGTAGAGCCCATAAAATCTAGCTGCCCTCGGGTCTAGCGACCTCTTGTGGCCCTAGAAGTTGACCTAATTAGTGCTTCAGTTGGAAATCTTCAGGTTTCGAGTCGAATTTCCGTATTCTTAACTTACTTGTTATATTTATAAAACAACTATAAACAATATGTGAGTCTTTAGAAATTGAACCGCGGTTGAACCGGGTGGTTTTTTTTTCAATTTCCTTTCAGGTTCCTGTCGAATAATACCCATATTATCATCTTCTTTGACTAATAGAGGCCGCTAGACCGGAGGGCAGCTAGATTTTATGGGCTCTACAGAAAGCTCAGAGTCTGAGCTCTCTACCACAATTACTCCTCAAGGCTCTAGAGCTCCTAAACACATCGAAAAATCGATTAAAGAGTTCAAGTGCCTATTTTGGGACTTCCGGTCCAATAAATTGCCTTGGGGGCATGACCCAGACCCCTTGATTGTGTGCCCAAATGAAAGCTCAGGACATGAGCTTTCTAAATATATGTGACATGACCCCCAAATTAAGCTAGAAAAATAGGCCAAAATTTAGTCCGGTAAGCCTAAATATGCACATGTATACATATTGAATAAAAAATACTCAAAAGTTACATCTATATAATCGAGATAAGTATGATTATATCAAATAATTAACCAATGACAAAAACATCAGATAAAGAAAAGAGAAGATACTCATAGCTTCATACTACTTTAGATCTACATCAGTACTCATATTTTATTACGAAACACACAGTAATGAAGGAATTGAAGAAGTTTTCGTTATTCATACAGTTAGTTATTAAAATTGGCCTATTTTCATAATTTTTATTTTCCTCTATGTTTGCAAGAGCATCTTCTCCACATTCTCCAAGGCATTTTTGTAGTTGGTGATTTTGAGCGCTTCCCATTCTGCTTTGAAGGCTTTTTGTTCGTCTTGAATTTGTCCGCCGACGCCACCTGGCATTTGTTGTTGCATCGCTCGAGCTTGATCAGCCTGGTTGTCTTCACCAAGAACCAGCTCATAAACACCTTGGAGCAAACAGTAAAGAAAAGCGTTTGAAGCCTCTCTCACCTCTCATTCCAAAAGCACCAATAAAGTACCAACTCATTGAGGAAATCCAAGAAGCGTCGAGGGAGGACAAGTCAATGCCTCGCTGCATCAGTTGCTTGAATCTGAGCGTCAATGGAAAAGGAACACGAGCAGCTAAGAAGCCAGAGAAGGCATAAGAAACCCATCTAAAAATGGCTCATCAAAGGCATCTTCGAAGAACGGCTTACCCTCCAATGACGATCATCGGGAGCATATTTGTCATTTGGCCTTTGAGTTGATCCCCCATCATAGAAGGGTCCTGCATCGGATTTTTCACAGCTCCTTCAGTATCCTTGCCGATAGTGAGAGCTCCCTGCTCGCCAATAAGATGACGTTTTCGGATTTCGAAGGAATTGGCTGGTAAAAAGTGGCCATTTTCCCGGAGAAGAGCGGACCTAGATTCAATTTATCAGATGTTTCAGGAGATTCTCTTACCTTCGAAGTGTCTGCATGGTTTTGACAGAATCAAGAGATCCCTGGCTTGGACCATTTTTCAAAATAATCATCAGGTAATGTCGGATCAGCCCGAATAAGAAGGTGATGATCTAAAAGAATCTTTATAGAATGAGTTATTTATCTGAATTTTTACCAGAATTGGTGCAATGACCCAGTACCGGATCTGCGGATCGAGCGTAATCGCATCTCGAATCATCTAAAATCAGAAAATTTGAACAACTTCGGCTAAATAGATATTCGCAAATGTTTCATAATTTACAAGGAGTATTGGAGAATAGGTCAGTAGGAGCAACTTTGACTCGAAATGGAATTAGTATTTCTATGATACAGAATTTATAATAATGCACAGTTTGTATGAACATATTTATAAGACTTTATAGGTATCGGCGGGCGGGTTAGTCGAGCAGCATCAAGGAATAGTAAAATATAATATTCTAAATTGTGGATTCAAGGGCAAAGATTCTACTTGAGCCAGGAGGGATACGGTAGCTCATGTTTTGTAAGCAATTCTTTCAGATTTAAATTCAGAGGCGCATAGAACTCATCAATTGCTTTCCGACAGTCTTCTGGCATATCTGGATATTTCCGACCCTCAAACGGCGTTAAAATTCTTACAGAACTTGAAAAGAGCTTGATTACCTTTGATATACCCAAGCAGTGCGTCTTTTCGCCCTCCAGAGGACAGAAGAACCCCTTTTGTTCATCAAACGCAATTAGCTTCGAGTAATCTACAAAAGTAGGAGTCCCTATATCATGCTGGAAGTCGTTCATCGCCGAGATGGGATCGCTTTTTAATTTGTCGCCATCGACAATTACAACATTTGATTCGAAAGCTGATATCCATTTTGAAAGGTGCTTTGCGTAGTTACCAGGGGCAAGGCAGCGCTAGAATCATCATTTTAGAAATGGAAGTTATGTGGACTTTCAGCCAATAAGAGCCTGATCGAATAATAAAACAGCATGTTTAGCCTGAGCTAATCAAAGATCCTTATAACGAGAATCAGCCCACAAATTCAGAAGATTTTTTCTCTTACATTTTGAAGATCTAACAGTTGCGAATCATCTCCTTCCTTCGCATTGAGAACTTCCATGAAGCTGTATTTCATCGCTGCGGGAATATTATGCGCTCTTTGGTGAAAGTACCAGCTGTAGGCGCGAGCACCGGGCTCTAAAAGAACCGAAACTATCTTCACCGTTGGCAAGAGAGCTTTAATTCTTGGAATCGTCGGGCTTGAAGTGAAATATGTGGCTGATTTTTCGAAGATCATCGTTTTTTCTTCTTTTGGTCTGTCAGGAAAGAGATCTAAGTACCAATTGAGCCCGTTTTTGTAATTCTGGCTAGAGAAGAATTGAAGTTCTTCGTAAGTCGTTGGAGAATCAAAAGAAGAAAGAACGGTGGGATGATGCTTGAGGAAGTTCATCAACGCTGTAGTACCAGTTTTCTGAGGGCCAACGATGACGAAGTCAGGAAGATTCTTGCACTTGTCTTTTCTCCCTTCGGGAAGAATTTCCAAGTGTCGTTTGTCATTACAAGGGTTTGTCCAAGTTGGCGTTTCGGCCTCGTTCGGGTTGTTTTTGAAATATTTGTCAGCAAGTTGCTGGGTGGGCAATTGAACAAGCCGCAGATTGGTCATTTTGAACAGGAACTCGAACGCATTTCCAAAAGTATAAAGCGACAGACGATCCCCTCCGTAGTTTTGAACGTGTGTCATGAAGATGTTCATTTCATTGAGGAGCAGTTGCGAGAAAAGCTCGCCTCCATGGATGGAGGATTCGAGCGTTTGTGGTCCGTTGGGGAACTTTTTGTAGTACTGAGTGTGCGTGTAGAGGCGGCAGGTTTGACGAGGGAGGACTTGGAGGCCTATTTTTGGGATAAAGAAAAACGATAACAAGGTAAAATATATCATTGTTAAATTTGTCTGTCTTCATGAAAAATTAAAAAAGGTTAAAAATAGAGTAAAAAGATGACTACGATCCTATGTCATTAAATGACAGTCATTTGTTATAAAATAATGCGTTTGTTAATCCCATTCCTTGATGAAGAAAACCTCTTCTTTTGGTAGCTGGGTACAGATGAGGATATTCCTCTGTCGAAGTTATCTTCACTCCCCAGACTTCTCTCCAGCAGTGATACAGCGGTTCATGAACAGGGTAAACGCCAGCATGATGAGGCGCGACAGCATATCCAGTTTCGAATGGAAGTTGATTTTTGACGCCGAATTTCTTTGAAAGAAATGAGAGAAGATGGACAAGGGTTAAAAATTACCTTGTTGTCAGCCATGTATCGGCATAAGCTATCGTCGTCTTCGAACATGATCGATTTCATATGACTGAACATATGGCCGAACCAGCGGAAATGATCTTAAATTCCATGGATTTTGAATTGAAAAGCTCGTCTTTCTACCTCGTTTTTCAAGAATATACGCATCTCCCGCGTCTTCCGTATCATTTCCTCTGTTGAAAAATTTGCCCGAAAATCCGACGACGAAATGGAAACCAGGAATTTGTTCTTTCCACTTGTCCGTAAAAGCGATCATAGCATCCACGTCGGAAACACCTATTCTCGTTCCGGGTTCCCCGACAAAGATATCATCGATGTCGATCTGGATATTCTTCTCCAGCGGTTTCTGAAGTATCCCCTTCGACGTGTAATAGATGCTATCGAGGAGGAGCATTTGATTGACGAAGAACTCGGCTCCCATGCCGAAGATGATCGTTTCAGGATCAGATTGCTACGGTTCATTATTGATTATTCGTTCGTGTAGAAATGTTTTACCTTCTGGCAAATATGCGCGACACCGGTACTCCATTTATCACCAGTTATTTTCTGCGTCACTTTTTCATGCAAAACTCCTTCTTCAACTTCAATGTGGAAAGTTCCTTTATGAAAGGTGAGAAGAAAATGATCTTTGTGCGACTTGGTGATGCGCAGCAGGCTGGAATCATGGAGAAGAAAGGGCGTTTCTCCGATTTCCTCAGAGAAGGTGGTGGTCACGTGGGGAATTGAAGATAGGGGCTCGTCGGTTTTATTGGCGATGATAATCTTTCCGATGGAATGTTTCAACTAAAATGAGAATATTTTTCCGAGTAATTATTAGAATGAAAAAGTACCTGATAGGATTGAAGAGCGGCATAGAATGATTCGTACTTGGAGATTTCATTATGATCTTGAAAGGAACAGAAGATAACGGAAGCAAACTGGGGCAAATCGTGTTCGAAAAGAGTCGTCTGAAATTATAATCGAAAGTTTTAACATCTAAAAGACGAAAAGTTTTAAAATCATTTTCGTGAAATTTACCTCATCGAATTTGGAAACTTGAATAAACTCGAATTTCACGGTCTCGATAAAACTCCTTATTTTGTCGCATCTGGATCTGTTCGTCGACAGTAATCTAGTAAAACACTCGGTTGATAGTTTAAAATTGATAATTGATAACTTACAGAACTTTGCGTTTTAATTTTTCTGAGCTTTTGAACACTTGTGGACATTGGCGCAATAAATGGGCATACGGCTGAATCGACGGGTAGTTTTGTGAACTCGCATTATTTTCGTTGAAGAATTGTTGATTGAGATGGACTAAGAAGAGGACGCTAACGGATATCAGAATAAAGAGACTGCGGCGGAGGGTGGCTACTCGACGGAGTTTGCGGAATATGGCGTTCATTCTCTCTTTTAATTCTCATTACTACGCCTGATGATAGATTACCATTCTAAAAATAGAACACGAATCATTTTTGGGATATTTAAATACATATTTTTCATGAAAATTGAGTGTTAGGATCGTCAGCTTTTCTATGCGATCTTTCGTGCCCAAGAAAGCTATAAAACACAGAACTTTTGCGCACAAAGTTTCTCTTCTCCAAATAATCAAACAGAGGAACATTTGTTGGGATTGAAACGCTTCTATTGAGCGCCAGGTTGTGAGGAATGTGGACGACTAAATGCTTCGACTTTAGCTGTTCGACGATCAGTTCGGCTTGGCGAGCGCGGGAGGCGTTTTCTTTCGTCGTTTTTTCAAAAAATGAAGTTTTGAGTTGTTGAATGCCAAATTTGTGCACGCAGGGGAGATCAAAAGAGATCGACTAAAAATCGATTTAATTGGCTGCAAACGAGCAACTGGTCATAAACTTTCGACTTGCAAAAATTTTAAGCAGTAGTGGACATTGTCCACTGGACAAAGGAGTTACCTTTATTCTACCTCCAATTCCCTGATCGACATTGTCAAGTCCCGGTTCAAAGTCAATTTTGGACGCTTCTTTGACCGTGACAAACAATCTTCTTGGCGCCCACATTTTCCATTTGTCGCTATCCGCTAGAATCATTACCATTTCATCCTTCTCCTCGTTATAGCTGATCGAGTAGCACATGAAAGTCGGGTAGCTCAAGTGCTGAAGCATTTTGACAAAATAGTGATGGCAGCCAGCCCAGAACGTCGTTCCAATAATTGCGGCAGTATTTACAAGAGTAAAGAAGGAATACCGAAGAGTGTGGCCTTCTGCACCACTTGGAGACGAAGCAAGATATGTTGAGAAATCGTCGATTATCAGGTCGAAATTGCCGCTCATATAGGAATATAGTAAGGCTTAAAAATACGTATGAGAATGTGAAAAGTTCACATGTTTGTGTAACTTTATTATTGTTATTAATGATTAAAAGATGAAGAGTCTACAATTATAACCTTTTTGAAGATTAATTCTGAAAGAAGAATGTAATAAAAACGCGTTTACGATTTAATTTTTTAAATTCTGAATAATTATACATGCGAATTAGAGCTACTCAAGCATAATTCCTTCAAAGATTATTCCTCAAGAGAATCGTTTCTCGCATAAATTATCACCTACAAGTGTATTTTTTTCAAGAATTAAAGTTCCCAAGGGTTTATCAGAAGAGATCTTAAAATTCTCCTTTACCTAAATCGGCGAAGCAAATCAGCGGCACCATTTTGGCGAAAAGCGGCGCCGCTGGTTTCGGCATTGCCAAGCCGAGAATCAAGTTGAAGCCCTCGAAGCTTCTGTGTCTATACGATAACTGCGTCTTATCCATTATCTCCGATAATTTCATGTGTCTGAGCTCCTCTTTCGACTTCGAATCAACAAAGATGCGTTTTTCCTCCTTATCGCGTTTCTTCAAATTATATTCTTTTCGCTTCTCCGGATCGTTAAGAATCTTGTAAGCTTCATTGATCTTCAAGAACAGTTCTTCATCTCCTCCTCTGTCTGGATGGTGGATTTTAACAAGATGGCGGTATTGCCTCTTGATTTCTTCTGACGTTGCGAATCGCGGAACATCCAGGATTTTGTACAAATTTTCTTCTTGCTTCAGCTTTTTCTTCAATCTTTTCCCCTCTTCATCGACTTCAGGGTTGTTCAAAAACGACCGCGAGGAAATTTGAGGCCCAATTCTAGCACGAGCGATTTTTCTTATCCTCAAGAGCCGATTCATTTATTATCTGATGGATTTTATTTATTATATGATTATTTTATACATTTTTTTTGTTCAAAGCTTCAGGAAAAATGGTTGGTTTTCAGAAAAGAAAGATTTGGATTTCGCACCAAAATTAGTTCAGAAATTAAGTTTCAGAAATACAAAATGGAATTGCAACCGGTAGTCAGAAAATTAGGGTTTCAAGGCATTTAACAAAAACTGGAACTGAAGTAAAGAGCTCTTTATTGACAATTATGGAATGATCGTAAATCAAGAACTGACGGACGCGAAGGGAAACCCAAGTGCGTTTGCAAACGCACCTTGCTCTTCAAGTAAAGAGTGATTTCTCAAATCTTGAGTGTAAATCTTTCACTCTCTTTTCGTCTTTAGCTTCACAGCAATTTTTTTCATAACAACATTTGTCATAAAATATCAAAGTAGTAACTTTGCGACTACTTCAAGTCGTCCTGAAAATTTTCAACTTAACATCGACAGTGAGGGTCCTGAATTGGATATAAAACTTCAGAATCGAAAGCCCGGATTGTCGATTTTAGATTTTTTTAACGTCGATGCCAACTCGAAAATCTTCAGGACAGCAACTGGTACACAAAATAGTCCTGCAAAGGATTAAAGTTCGTATTTATGGGTTAATATCTTTAGCGAGTCGTTTTCCTTGTTCATTCTCCTGCGATAGGTTAACAAAAAGAGGTCAAAGAAGAAGGTACACATGGAATAAAACAATTGATAGGTTGAACGTTTGTATTTTTGAGTTTTGTTTTTGCTTTTTGGGTTCGTTTTTTGGGTCAGTGTTGCGCGATGATAGGCTGGTGTTTTTTCAAAGGGATTGAAAAGTGGTAGTTGAGTAATTGAGCCAGGTAGAAATATAAATACAATATTTGACAGAATAAATTAAATTGACACTAGAATATATCCTTCTCAGTTCTTTTGAGGGAGGAGAGCGGAGCGTGAGCGCGTTGAATCCACACGCGTTATCGATTGACTACGGTGGAGTTCTTCCGTTTTCTGGAAGTCGACGGGGGTGTACTGGACGGTGGCGCTCGGCGTTTTCGGTGTCCGAGGCGTTGAGTTTGAGGATGACATAGAATTGTGCTCCACGGTCACGTAATTCATCGAAGAGCCTTCTGGTCGCGTTAATGCGTCCATGGGAGGAAAGATAAAACGCTAAAATAGATTGTTAGGGTATTGAAATACAGGTAGTCTTTGTTGTACTACTTAAAACTAGAAGTACAGACTCTGTACTACAGAGTAGTAATTGTTGTATTTTAGTAGTACCTTGCAAGATTGGGGAGGAGCAGTGAAGGAACTAATGCCAGGCGTTCTTGGTGCTGTGAACTCATCGGGCTGGTTGGGCTGAACGTAAATCGGATCACTCGAGTTGTGTTGTTTGAATCTCTGAAGTTTGTGGTTAAGATCTAATGCCACTTGATCTCCATGCTTAATCCGCGACCATGGGAAAACGCCAGGGTGAACTCGACTACACAACTTGAAGCGCGTGTTGTTTCATTTGACAGCGCGGTACACAACGCTCTGTATGCTTTGAGCTTTCGCCTAGACACGCTTGTCAACTTTGCGAAAGGGTAAAGTGCAGAATTATGAGTAGGCATTGATTTTCACTATCGCAAAAACGGTAAAATCAAGAAAACCAAAGTCATGACAAAACATGTCGATTTCTTGTCAAGAATCTTGGAAGGGCATTTTTTATGAAATCTTCGAATAAAAACGTTTAAGAATTGAACAGAATGGGTCAGTATATTTGTTCCGAAAATAGTAAAATTCCTGCTTTCAAAAGAAACAAATTATATTTGAAGTTTAGGAGCTTCAATGTGTACTGTAAATTCTACGACTTGTAGATCGAGTTTTTAGCTGGTTTACGATGGTCAAGGCTCGAGTTAATAAATGGAGTTGAGTTTGATTATATTTTACCATGTGATGATTTGGATTTGGCGTTGAAACATTGGAAGGCATTAGCAGTGGCTCACAATCGGAGCGAGCCGATAACTGATTCAGCAAGCCAGATGATCGGGTTGAAAGCGATGTGCGCGAGGTTACAGTGTCTCGGTCTGTATTGCCTCCGGAACCGCAGAAAAACTGAAAATCGCGCGTAAATCAACTACTCGCGTGATATTCAGCTGTTAATTGAAATGATTTTTTTTTCTTTTTAAGCGAAATTAGTTGTTAGCGAGAATTCAATAAAACATTTGTTAGCAAAATTTTTATAAATTTTGTCTGTAATAAAAGAGCACTCAAATACTCACCGAACCACTGCCAAAACGCATTTGAGGAGGCATCCCAGGCCAGTTGGGCTCAAAGGTGCTCGGCGGACTCGTCTTTGGCGGTGCCATGCGGCGCTTTTGAAGTTCTGCCCGTGTCAGCGGCGGCTGGTCAAGGACGAATTTTCCACTCGCCTGGTCCATGTTATTCAGTGGCTGCTCGTCTTCGGCTACTGGTGACAGCGGCATGTTGAATCTGCTGCCACCAAACTTAAGTTCAAAGTTAGTTTGCGGCGGTTCGAAATCAAGGAAGAGAATCATTAGAGAACGTGGTTGTAGTTCTCTGGCACATAGAAGAACTAAATAAATTGATAGAAAGAAAACGTACCGATGAGTTATTCCTTGGAGTTTGAGGAGGAACAACTGGTTGCTCTGTATTCACATAATTATTATCTCCAGGCGGCGGTTGACTACTCGTCCCCAACGATCCCGGCTGAAAGTGAGGCAAAGCAAGGGGGTCGACCATCTGCGGCGTACTATGAGTATGAATCGACCCGTTCAAATGAAAACTGCTCGGCTGGCTTGTATTGTGACCGGGAGTTGTCGGAGTCGGCGTTGAAACGGGAGTGTAACGCAATGTCCCGCGAGAAATTCGCTTACTCGCTTCGCTGATTTTCTTCTGTAGCTGCTCGAAGAGTTTTTCGTGGCGCTTGCAATAGAAAAGATACTGAACGTCTGGCTCGTTTCGGAACCCTAGAACAGTGGTTAGAAAAGAGTGGTCGAGTTGATACACTACCTTTTACTTCAAGAAGAATGGCAGGTTGATTGAGTTCTGGAATTCCGTAACGAAGCACATATAGAGAATTGCTATCCGGATATAGCTATATTAAAAATATTATTATATTGCTAGAGGAAGGATTAAATTACCGAAATAGTTTTCTCCGGCTTTTCTCGTCTTCCTTTGCGCATTATGATTATTTGCTTGTCCGTCAAGCGAAGTATAAATAGCTGCTTTCTTCGATACTTTTCATCCAGCTGTCGTATTCGATAGACATTATCGCATGTTTCGGCGGAACTGCTACCCGCCGCTGTCGAGGTACATGCTCCCATTCTCTTTCTCGATTCCGATTTCGATGCTCGATCACACTTTTTTTGATAATCTTTCTAAAAAGAAAAAGGTTTTAAAAATGTCTGTTGTATCTTTCCAATGTGTGATAGAAGACAAGTAGATGTGGGGGTGAACTTATTAGGAAAATAACTTCGCAAAATCGGCATTTGAGAGGCCGGCCTTTTTGGGCTTTTGGGATTTCTCTCCGGAATCGGATTTCTCCTCGGACACTGGTTCAGGTGCTGGCTTGGAAGGGACACTAGTAGCTTTCTTTGTTGCTGCTTGAGCGCTACTTTTGATATTTCTCGGCACTGATTTTGGAGGATGAATTATCGCCCTCGCGAGGGTACTCAATAAAGCCATAAAAATGTCATCCCTCTTTGCCTAGATTAAATTTACTCCTGGGTGTTGCGTAGGCCGTCTTTGAAATATCAATAATCTTCGGTTCGTCCGAAGCTTGTTTGCCACGCTTTGGCGGGTCACTGTATTTAAGGGTTGACCGTGAAATCAGAAAACATATTGATTGAATACATTTGTGTATTTAGAGAAGGGGTGCATCATTTGAGGCATAAAAAACTTGCATTTTACGAAAGTACGAAAAATCAACCAATCAAAAGCTCTTAAATTGAAAGTCGCCCAATAAGATGAGGGTAAAATAAAACATACTTATTAAAAACAACAACATGCTTACGCTTAGAACTAACCTTAAAAAAGTAAAACATGAAAATCTTCTGACAGAAATCTCTTAATCAGTAGGCTTTTGTAGAACACGTCATAGGTGAAAAGCGACAAAATATTTCCGGTGTTTGAGCGGAATAAGACTCTAGGTGTAAGTTTTTAGTGCGCAAGCGTACAACCCGATTGCTCGTTAGCACATCGTAAAGTTCCGCGCTACTCGCATAGCAGCGCGCACGAATAAAGAAAATAAAAGAAGAATTCAAAAGCTTATGCCTATTATTCAATAAACTTGGGTGGTGGTTAATCTGCATCTGCGCTAAAATGGATAAATGCTGACATTTGATTTTTTGATAGATATCTTCTACAGATAAAAATCTCAAGGAAGCTCAAAATTTTGGTTAAAATTTTGACAATTTATAGGGTCGAAAAGAATTAAATTTCAGACGAAAAGAATCTTATGACCAAGAAAATAATGATTCAAGATGAAGTGCCATCCCCTTGAAAACTGAACTACTCAATTCTATAAATTTAAAAGTATTTCGAAAATGACTGAAGTCTGACTAGTAAAATTGCAATGGCAATTTCAGAAAAAGAGCAGCCTCAAACCTCTGACACTTCCCACGCCCTTTCGTTCGCTAAGTTTAGATCCAGAATAATCCACCGTTCCCAAGTTTCACTCGATTACGGGCGAAAACTATTACCTGTCACCAGATAATCCGGGAGGAAATATTTTCTCAACGTTAAGACTTATTCAACGCCACTGTGTTTTATGGAAGATGTATTTTACGATCCGAGGGGCGATTTAATAATTTTCCGGCTCTAATCTCCCAAAATGAAAAAATAAAATATGCAGTGACGCGCATTTTTTCTCTCTCCTTCGTTTTCTCAAAAATGCCGCAGAATTTGCCAAGGCCATTTGCGTTTTACAGGCCCCGAAGAAAAAAATGGAATGCGCCGTGGAACCCTTGCGCCGCAAAATTTACTTTTGGGTCGATTTTTACGCACTTGTAAACTTGACATGGATTTTTCCAATCGCTACATTTTCGAGGCTTTATGGCGATTTGGGATCATCATAAATGTCGAGCAGGGAAAACACGAGGATTTTATGGTCTGTGAAAGGGTGGATCGAAATGATAGACCGGAGTTTCAGAAGATAAATTAAGGAGATACCCCCTATTATTAATACTACAGGAATACTTGTATTTAGGGAGTTTTAAAAAGCTTTTCTCTGAAATAATTTCTCAGGAAGCCAATTCCCTCTCTTTTTTTCTGTCTTCTTTTGATCTCTTATTTTAATTCTAGCTCTGTAAAAAGCTACAGGTACTTGAAGACGATTAGATCATCTTGTTTACAGCCGCTTTGGCGTTTTTTGTGGAGCCTGTTTTGAACAAATGCTGGCGGATAATTATGCCAAATATTAACCATATATCGCAAATATTGGCGCTTGCTCTCTGGTGACCAAACTAATCGTGTCAGACTAGTACGATGCGGTAAATTCGCGGATGTCCGCCCCCAGCTACCTGTTTATATAAAACGAAAAAAGGGAAATAAGCTCTTGTTCCAATTAATTCTGAGAATTTGAGTTATGGCAGTCTAGCCGGATGGTATCGCGCAATTGTGTCCGAAAAAGACAAACAAAAGTGACAAAACCACCATTTAGTAAATAATCTCGTCAAGCCACTGTCAATAGGGCACTTTTTATGCGCTGTTGATAGTAGCCACTAAGCGTATAGAAGAAAAAGTGAATACTGTACTCCCTTACAGACGTTCAGACTCTCTTAGACTTCCACGACTTCACTCAATAACGAAAATTGAATCTCTACGTAAATGGATTACTCCCCGGAGGCGAGTACTACAGCTCGAACAAGGTGCCAATCGCGATTTTTAAATCTGCTAATCGCTTCCCGCATCCTGCAAAGTCGCCTCAGCTAAATGAGCCTACACCTTGACTATCTTGTGCCAAAAGTGCGTAAATTCTTAACACAGGGGCTACAATCTTTCCAAGAAGTCCTCTCGAAAAAGGCAGTCTTGGAATACAAGGCCTCTGTCTCATCGACAATCTTAGGGTTGAGCTTTGCTGAAGGTCTCGTTGATGAACCTAGCGTCAATAAATCTTTTTCCCCGAATGACGCCATTTCATCAATAAAAAACTGATTTCCAATCAAAAACGCCAAAAACATAAATAACTATCCGATGCATGGCTGTTGATTTCGAGTCCTTTGGTTTTACCCGGCATTTTTTTCCGGGCAACCCGCAGATTTTTCTACGGGTTACTCGCGCGGAGACCCGTGCGAGTAGATCGAGTAAATGGATAAAGTATAATCGCGAGCTACTCGTGAAAATTTCGCCTAGAAAGAAGAAAATTCGCTCGTCTGATTGGCTCGAGAAAAAGGGTTGCGGGTAATCGCGAGCTACTCGGCGGAATGGAGAAAACAAGTAGCGCGGGTAGCCCGTGAAAAAGACTCTCCGTGCGAGTAACCCGCTGAAAAATCAGTGGGTTGCCCGGAAAAAAATGCCGGGTAAAACCAAAGGACTCGAAATCAACAGCCATGATCCGATGTTTAAACACAAGGCCCGCACGCTAATACACCCGGAACCTGCCCCCTTCCGCTTCAGCTACTCGCAGCGGAAATTAAAATCCCCCACATTGTTAGTATCTCCTTGAGCTTGAACAAATCTCATCTTATCGGCTACTGTGTGTATGTTTTCTCTCGATACGGGTAAAAATATTTGCTAAAAAGAAACGACATGTCTGTTTTTTCGTCTTCAAGGAATTCTGAGCGGTAAGAAAGTAGAAAAAAGTAAGAAAATCGCTGCTCTTTGATCTACCGCATGTTCACCGTTGTGACACTGATAATCCTCTCTCGGCTCCGTGATCGATGACGATTCATAAAACTCAATTACGAGGTTATAACTAACACGAATAATTGTCCGGCACGCGAGCCGCCGCGGCGTGGAGAAAAACCCATTACTTTCAGAATTGGCGCAATTAGGCCAGAAACAAGTTTTCGCGTTGAAAAAATCTAATGCAGCAGAAAGCGCTCAGAAAAAAATATACGGTCAACCTTGCCTGACAAGAACTTCAATAACGTGTCCAAAAACTTCTTTTTGATGGAGCATCAAATTTGCTTTCGTCGCTTCGAGAGCTAATAAACAGATGTCAACAGGACTGTATTTTACGGTTTATTAGCTAAGTTAGTTTTGTCGGCAAAATGTTTAATCAGCCCATAACTCAGCCATTATAAATAATTGTACCTGTTGCAAATTCAACATAGAAAAACGGCTTTCTTCTTCCCTCTCGTGTCTCTGGCAGTCGCGTGTCTTTTTATCATAGTTGGAAAATTGAAAAACTCGAAATTGAAATAAAGTATTTTGTCCTTGAGGAACAACATTGGTCCTCCCCCGAGGTGGATTTTTATTTATACGCCTGTCATTAGGCACAGAGAAGACGTTAATGGACATCTATAAATCAAAGTCGGCCTGATTAACCGCCTCGTGGCTACGGATGGATTTTGAAATTTGGATGCCGAAGACAACGAGGACTAACTTGATTTTTTTTCCAACCGAGCCTATTATGGTGCCACACTTTTCGAACACTTGACGGATTTCGTCGATCGACAGTGGTTTCGGATGTTTGACAAAAACTCGATGGTCTTCTTTCCCATCATTGAACTTGAAGTCTTAACAAGAAGAATTGATACACGTGTTTAGATACTTGTTGTTACTTGTTTTGATGTCTGGGGATGTTGTTTTTAGACACAAAAGCCCCAGTCACCGGCGCGCGGTATATCACAGTTGTAGCTGATTTTATAAGTGGCCGTGATACTCGAAAATGCGCGAATATACAGAGCATGAGGCTCTTTGATATTTGAGTGCTCCTCTCGATTATTATTTCCCAAAAAAGTACCTTTTTTATTTTTACTGTCGCCTGGTTCCGAAAACTTTGAAACGAAGCACGGCCGTCCATTTATCTTCGTTCTGTCTCTGAGCAATGCATTATCGTGCCCTTTTTTCTCTTTGAAAAGAACGTATCCATATCCTCGGAAAAGAACGCCGTTTTTGACCATTCGGAATTCTTCGATTTCGCCGCAGCCGACGAAGATCTTCTTCAACTCCTTCTCCGGGTTCTTTAATTTGTAGTCCATGTTTGACACGTAAACAGTTCTTTCTTTCTCCTCGGTAGTTTCGGCATGTTTGAATTTCGGCTGATTAGGGTCGAGCTCTTCTTTTTCTTCATTTTTGCTTGGTTTTTTGTTATTGTCGGTTTTTTGAATGGGCGGCGGGCGCTTTTTGGGCTGAACTGGCTTTTTGGAACCAAACGCAACAGGTAACCCCATAGGCGGGGCCATCGGCATTGGCGCTTTGAAATCACCAGCTGGGGGATTCATTGATTCCGAAGAATCCGTTTCCATCCTGGACACAAATTTGTAAATCAATAGAAAACAGGTACGCCACTTACTTTTGGGGAGAAACAGATGCTCCAGAGTCGCCATTCTGTTTTGGATTTTTCTTGTGTTTCTTTCTCTCTGGCTCAATACAAGCTGCATCATCTGAATTGCCTTGACTCTCATCAATCTGCTTCACAAAAGCCATTGCCTAAAAAAACGCATTGAGTCTGATTCTTTATCGCTATTCAATAAACTCTCATTGATAGGAGGCTGCTGGATCCATTCCCAGCAAAAAACGAGCAACTTTTTTATTATCATTGATCTTATCAAACTTCTTTTTTTTTGCTTGCAAAGCATGAGAAAAAAAGGTTGAGCTTCAACCATTGAAAAACGAGCTCATTACCTTGAATTCTTTCTTTCCAATTTTCTTCGACTGTTTTTCTGCTCGTTTTTGAGCCTTTTCCTTCTCCGCTGCTTCTTTTTGTTCCTTTCTGATGTTTTCTTCTTGTTTCTTGGCGATGGAGGACACCGTCGATTCAAGGTCTTCTTGTGTTCCATACATTCTTTCAAAATGCAACGCTTTCATGAATATATCGTAGCAGTTCACTTTCGAAAACATAATCCCTAATCAATAACGTTGAAAAATAACCAGTCGAAAGCCGGAAATTACAACAATTACTACCACTTTGAGATTTCTACTTTGAGTAATTTTTTTCAACGCTTCCTTTTTTATAGATTTTGCGAACGAGCTGAAGATCGCCGTGAAATTGCTCCAATTCAGCGAAACGCACCCAATTCTTACCGTCTTGTCCGAAGTTCGACTTCAGCAGTTTCTCAAATTTCGATCGGCCGCGTGGCAATTCGTCGAAGAAGACCATTTCTACTTCTGCGGCGAATGTTTCGAACTCTTGGACAAGATCTGAGGCGCTTAACGAGAGGCTGATCTGGATTGCTTTTTTGACAGCAGTTCGGAACGCGTTCTTCGCGTCATCGCTTATGTTCGACAGAGAATCTTCCATGTCATCATCATTTTGAGTGGCTCGGCGTCTGTATATTAACACAAGCTGCCAGAGCAAGCCCTGTAACCGCTCAATGCCAACGCCTTCTAGTGCTTCCACAGCGTCGTCGAACACTTTCATTGGATCTTCATCCGTCAAGCTCAATCTCTCTAGCCACAGGTTCTCATCCCAAGAACAGTTTCTCGCGGCGCGCACCGAAATCTTTCGCAAATTTGGACTTTTTATTTTCTTCGCCCATGCGAGGAATTCCAGCCAAAGCGCTGGATTCAAGCATAATTGCGTCGTTGCGCGGTCGTACGCAAATTCGATGCGAACTGGGTCTGACTTCTTGATTTCGTACTTGAGGTATTCTTTCCAAATCTCGCCCAGTTCACTTGGATTGTCGGTCAATCTCAACTTCGCTTCAAACTCGTCGATCTCTTTCAACTTTATCTTCGCCGCGTCGTAGTCGCATTTGACCTTTTTCCAGAGTTCGCTATCGATTTGCTTCAATTCCTTGAATGCGACTTCGTTGTCGTACAGTGGCAGTGCAACCTGACGTCGCAGGATTTTCGTCACGCGTTCTTTTTTGTCCTCTCCGTCAAGTGCTGTTTCTGTTTCGCGGTAGATTTCCCAAATTGGAGCACCTTTCTCTGGGTGCAAACCAACTTTCAACGAGGATTTTCAAATCAAAATAGTTCGTATTATACAGAATAAGACGTTTCTAGTCATAACTTGATCATTTCTCTATTCAGCTTATTATTTTTAATCTCAATCCCCTTCCTTGAGTAATTGCTCGTTCACAAAGCGCTCTGAATTTCCCAAGGCCACCTTCCGCGCCCAGCCATCGCAGAGCATATTGGCAATAATTGAGCCACAAATCTGGGCACAAATAGTCTCCCACGGCAGTTTCGTATAGCTCAACAAGTTTTTCATGCTCCTCTTCTGTTTCCGTAAGTGAAGTTTCATCTGCGATCCATTCTATCCACAGCTTCTCGGTTAGCGGAAAGATCGCGGCGAAATTTTCCCTGGCAGTGCGTAATTCGTCTAGTTCGCCGGATTCTTTGCAGATTTTGATTAGTTCTAGGTGTTTGTCGTAATTGGAAGGGTTCAGGGCGAGTTCGTCTTTTATACTCTTTATCGAAGCGTCAGCTGAATATAAATAACCATCATCGAAAGCGAAAATACTCGACTTACCCATGTCTTCATCATCAGAACTATCATCGGATCCATCATTTCCATGATAATGCTTGATTTCTTGTTCAGGCATTTTCAATTGAAAGTTTCAATTTGAAACTCGTTTTCAACCTCGATCTAAAATAACAAAAATTAAAAACCGTCTTTCAACATAACGAACGAACAGTAATTTTGGTTGAAGACAGCAGGTATTTGAATTGGAAGAAGCAGGATTCTTGAAAAGGATCATTTCCATCTTATGAAGAATGCGCGACTTTTGTAAGGGCAATTTTGGCTTCGTCAGCTTTCTGGGCTATTTCGATTAGTTCCTGGGTTGTAATGTCGCCACCAGTTGTGGAGTTGTTCGGGTTAAGCATGTTCTGGGGCATTTGGTACTGTTCTAGCGGCTTGGTCAGGTCCCAGACTTGCACTGAGCCGTCCTAAATGCGCATTAGAATGACTCTACCGATGTTTTAATTAAAATTACAAGGTGGCCAGTCATAACGAGTCGGAACGGCTTGAGTCCCATTCTCGGAAGGCTCTCAAAATCATGACTCAAGAATGTCGTAATCGGGGAGCCATTGACAGACGTCAGAGTTCCAATTCTAGCGCCTTTGTCCGCTGCTCTCACGAGGAGTGTGTCCGAAAGCTACCACTTGAGTGATGAATTGTTAATCTTGAAAATAACTCGTTACCTGCATAGGCAACTGGCAAAAGATCTGCGTTTCGTCAGAGTTACCCACGTCTCCGTAGGGCCCGCATTTTATCGAAGAAGGTAAAGATGGCGAAGTTTGAGTGGTAGTGAGGTGGAAGTTGGCGAAGGGGGCGGAACCAGGCTGCGTGGAAAGAGTTCCACGAAATCGGGTCATCGCCCAAGTACGAACGTGGTTTGATGCGCAGACGGAGATGAGAAATCGGCCCGAAAGAGCAACATTTGTGATCGGAGAACAGTGGACTAAAGGAACGAATTCGATAGGGTCCTGTTAAATCTATCATTCTAGGTACCTTTGTAGGTCTGCAAAAGCTGAAGAGAACGAAGTCCAAACTTGTTAAACCCTGGCGATTGAACCACAACGCGAACAGTGCCTTCTCTAGTCCCATAACAAAGTTCTAGCGTTTCCCAATCGTAGTGCTTCTCTTGCGTTGGATTGCGATCGTATGACACCGCCAGCGCTGGAATTTATTCATGAGTTGTGTGTTCAAAAAAGGGTGAATAATTTACCGGTTATTGGTTCCTTCATTGGGTCAGTATACAGCTCCGTCACCAGTAGCGAGTTGTCTTTTGTCCTCAATGGAAATTTCTCCAAATCAGTGAAATGAATTCTTCCGCTGTCGCATCCCATGTAGACAAAAGTGCTCACACTTTCAAGGCATAAAATCGTGTCTTCCAACTTTTGCTGCTGCCATTTTCCCCTTCGTTTCGTATTCCAAAACGCGATATTCTCCGAGCGCTCGGAAACGCCCATCAGCTGCGTTCCGATGAAACGCAAGTGCTCGACTCTTAATGGAACCGACGAGCCGATTGATGAGCTCGAATAAGTGGAAATCGGCCTTTTAGCTCTGGAAGGGTCGAAATCGTGGGAGTCTTCTTCGAAGAATTCATCTCCGATGACGCGGAGGATCATGATCTTGGAGTCGTAGGAATACGCAATTATACAGTGATCGCCATCGTTGGAGCCAGAATGCATTGTCGGCGAGTTGCATTTGATTTGAATTCTTTGTACGGCTTTACATCGGAAATCGCTTCAGATTAGATATTTTTAAAGAAAGTCAAGCCTAGTTCCTTTCAGGTGGGTATTGAATTTCCTTGGCGCACTTGAATTGCCAACCGTGGTGCTCTTCGTAGCGAAATAATTCGATGTATTTTGTATGGGCTACAGTTAGTACTGGGCCGTGGCCAGCTACTGCGCAGACCTGAATACAAAGTTACAGTTATGCTGCAATGAATTATGTAGAAAGAGCTAGAGAATGCATCAAAGATAAAGGAATTTTGATCGATTCGAAGAAGCTCAAGTCAAAATTAAACTGGAAATTGTTTGTTGTTGATGGAAGAATTTTAGGTGACCCCCATTTGGATTAGGCAACAAGAGCTTACCGGATCATTTGTTACTTCTGCGCGTTGAAGCATCTCCGAGAAAATAATCCCGCCGCAAATCTCCTTCTTCGTCGCCAAACAGGGCCGAATTCGGTTGCTCATCTCAGAAATGCCAAAGAACTCGACCTCATGGAGCAAATCGTTGAGATCTGTATCGTTAGGGTATGAAACTCGCCGCGTTCGCAGGAAATAGAGAATGACTTTGAATAAGGCCGGATCGCGGTCGATAAATATCCGATTTTGGGAGTCGAACTTCAAAGGAGGATGGAAATAAAAGAAGTTCATAAGTGTATAAGTGGCGCGTTTCTGTTTTTAAATTTGAGGGGTGAAAAAGGTCACGGCCGTGGAATTGGAGGCTTCAACGGAAAGTTTTATGCATCGAGAAAGTATAATACTTTTGCTAAATTTTGCTAAAAATGCAATTTGCTAAAATGCCAAATTGTACGTTTGTCGATGAATATTTTTTCTCGCAATTTACGATAAAAATTGAAAGATTTCTTTCTTTTTTTTCAAGAATATCGACGAAATCAAAAACATTTGAGTCTGAATTCATAATTCTCCATCCATTCCTTGATTCCGACGCCATCTTCTCGAAACAAACCGGTAAAGAACGTTCCAGGATGCCAAGTCAGCGTTTCTACACTTGCGCAAAAAGTTTCCCCTCCCACATTCAGCCAAACAGGATCATTTCTTTTTCTTCCTTCGCTACTCTCTACTTCCATTATTTTCAATTCTTTCTTCTTGGGAAAATCTCTTCAAAACCAAAAATATTTTCTTAATTGGGTTTAACTGTGGTGCTCCATTCCGGTAATTTCAGCCGGAAGTGGCGTCGAAATTGGCGCGCAAAAACTGAACGGAAGCGCGAAATCGTAGTAGAAATCCGAGACCCCAGCGCCAGCGGCCAGCCCACGCGCAGCGCAAAACACGTCAGAGAAAGTTTTTTTTACGCTCGATAGGTGGCGCTTTCTCTCATGCAGAATGTTAAGTTTTTCATAATGATGATTCTTATCCTTTATGAACGTTTTTCCTGCAATTTCTCGAAGAAGACTTCTGGTGAAAACGAATTTTATTTACAAAATAGTGATGTTGAATCTCACAAAGCAAAAGTATTCGGTGCATTTGAACATGATTCCTTCTTTGTATGGACCATCAGCCTCACTTTTGATCGTTGAACTGCTCTTTTCGTCTCCATTGTCGATATTAATTTCCTCCGCCACCGCTTTGAACCGTACTGCGCCATCTAAAATTAAATTAGAAATTCGTAATTACAATTGTTATAAATTATAACTTATAATTTACCATTTGTCCAGATCCAGAGACGATAAGGACGTCTGCGATTTCCACTCCCTTTGAACCTGAGACTCCATCCATTCTCGGCGACCTCTATCTTTTCATCACTATGAAGCTTCGGAAAGAGTTTTCTCTCGTAAATCTTTAATTTCTTAGAAAAAAAAAACTCCATTTCCTTCAAGTTTACTTTCGTTTCGCCCATCGAAAGCAATTTCAAGATTTGTCTGACATTTCCTTCTAACATCACATGTCGACCTCCATAACGAGAAGATCTATCATTTTGAAAGAAATGTCCAGCACCGCCAGCACTTCCAAGTTTTTTTCTTATTTTCTCCAATTTGGCTTTTCTCTCGGGATCGGCACTCTCTCGTTCTCGTTCTGTTCTCACAGTCGAAGCCCCTTCGCTCACAGTCCCTGGTTCAATCTTTATTCTTTTTGATCTTCTTGGCTGCTCCTCCTTCATTTCTTCGATCTCTTTTTTCAATTCTCTGATCTGCTCCTCCGCCGCAGTGAGCTTAGTCGCCAGCGTTTCCAAGCACGCCAAATGCTCGTGGGACTTCTTCACTGAAGTCGCCTTTTTGCATTCTGGACATTCCTTTTCTGCCCATTCCTGGCAACTCTTCTTGTGAGCCTCGTATTCGTCGTAAGGAACAGAAGCCCGGCAGTCGGCATTCTCGCACACGAGCCGCACAGTGCTCAATACGCTCGCCATCAAATACCCTTTTGTCGACATGAAGTAAGCTTTTCGGCAAAGCGGGCAGTTCGGATACTGACTTCGTCGAACATCGTCGCAGCATTTGGAGCACAGGTGGGCTCCGCAACAAACGAGCGAAACAGGGTCCTAAAAGATCGTTGAACAATTATCAAAAAATAGATGAATTTAAAAAACTTTTTGCAGGCAAAATCCTGACTTTGCCTATTTTTATATTCAGGAGAAAGCCCGTAAAATTCTGAGTCGACTGGACCAGACTCAGACGAAAACCGTCAGACGATGACGTCATAAATGACGCTAGAAGTTGTCAAAAATGGCGATTTTGGGCAAACTTTGAGTCACTTTTTTGGGCTTTTTTGACGGAATTTTTTAATGTTCTATAGTTCAAATTGATCCCTGTGAAAAACTGTACTAAGGTTTTTCATGATTTTTCATTTCGTCGAAATTTTTTTTTCGGAAAATTCTAGAGCCAAGTTTTTTAAAATTTTTTTCTTAATCCGTAAAAACCTTAGTGCAGTTATTAAAAAGCTTTCATTTAAGCTATCAAACACCGAAAAATTCAAGCAGGAACGCCGTTAAATGAAGACTCAAAGTTTCGGCTTTTTGTAACCTTCTGACGTCATTTGTGACGTCATTCTCTAGAAAATTTTTAAAACGATTTGGTCGAATCGACTCAAAATTTTGCAGGCTTTCTTACGGGCTGAAAATCTGACCACGTTAGAATTCTGCTTGCAAAAAGTTTTTTAAATTCATCATAGTGTTTTACCTCCAGAATGAACGTGCAAACTGAACAGAAGATTTTGGAGGAAAGAGCTTCGTCCATCTTGAAGGTTGCGGAGTCGTCAATGGTCGCATCGATACCCATTCCGAATATTCTCTGAATTCAAAATTTGTGAATAAACGCTACTTCTTGTCGAACTAAACTTTAGTTACTAAAGAAAATAATATTCAAATTGAATAGGTTTACATAATAATGATAATGAGAATAATTTTGCAAAAAATGATCTCTTTATTTTTTTCGATTTCTCTCAAAAAGGACGAAAGTAGTATCATCTTGTCGATTTTCCGTTTGAGAATTGCGGTTGTTTCCCTCGAAACGGTTATTTTGCAAATGGCCCGCTTTGTGGTGATTTTCAGCTGATATCATCAGACATTTCAACCAAAAACGCGTGCAGATTTTATCCGACTGAATCTCAATGGAAAATTAATAACTGAAAATGCATTGTTCACTCCCTAAATTAGGGACCCTAATTAGTCGGGCTTTTTGAAAACCTTAGATGTCATTTATTTTCATTTATCATTAATAAAGGATCATTTGCAGTAAGTGTTTTCCTAGAATCTATTTTCCACATATTTTCACCATCAACAATTTTGCCAAAGCCCCTGTATGCTCAACAAAGATACACACATCTTTCAGATTTCTTGATGTAAGGATTACGCCGCTTCCATGTTTCTAAAGGCTTACGACATCCTAAACCGTTTTTACCAAAAACAAATCCACAGCGCCTCCATCGCCGAGTTCCATTTTTCGGGTTCAAGAGTTGTACTCAGACGGAGTTGCAAATCAGAATCTTTCAATATGAAATTTTCAACCGTCATTTTAGCAACTGCAAACGCCAGTAGTAATTCAGAGGGTCAAAGAGAACTTGACCAAACTAGAGGTCTTTCTTCGCCGTACTTACCAGTTGGACTGAAATGTTCGAATAAAGAAGCTCAGAGAATCATCGGAGGATACAATGCGAATAAGGAAGCGTGGCCATTCATGGCAAGATTTCAGAGAAGAGGAGCATACAAGCATTATTGTGGAGGTGTCATTGTAGCCGATAATTGGGTTCTTTCGGCATCCCACTGTTTTCAGGAAAAAGTCAATGATGATTTTGTCAGTTTTATGTCTAGAAAATTAATTGTTGCCTTTGATCAAAAAATCTTTTTGCTTTTTAATTTTTAGACCCGTTGATTTGATTATTTAGGAGTTTTGAATAAAAACAATCTTTCTATCTTTTACAATAATTTTGACTCAATAAAGCGATCATCCAGCTTTGATGTTGAAGACTACTACAAAACGTTGAAGGTGTGGTTTGGTGACTATCATTTGCACAAACAAGATGCTGGAGAGTTTTCCTTATCGCCGACAAATATAATTTTCCATGAAGATGCGGATCTTGCGCTTGTTCAGGTTCCTTCTCTCAAGGCTAATGCTCCTAGGAAAAGGTTTTCAAAGGGCGATTTACTGAAACTTTTTCAATAGAATTATTGTTCTCAAAAAACCCTTGCTCAGCGACTGTAAAGACTGTTTTGATTTCGCTTGTCTCCCAACAGAACACGTCGAGCAAGGAGCAGGTTGCCATACAGCTGGTTGGGGCTACGTGTCTGCGGATAAAACAGCAAAGATCTTGCAAGAAGTAAATGTTAACGCCATGTCTGATCAATACTGTGTGGATCATTCTCGCTTCTACTTACGGTAAAAAAAAATATCAATAAAATATATTAATTTTTAGACCAAAATGGCGTCCATTCGCAACAGATGCAGATATTCTCGAAACCGACTATGAGTTCTGCGCTGGAGTTCTTGACGAAGACGAGGACGGAGAAACCGACGGTGGAAGAGACGCTTGCCAAGGTAAATTCAATTTTCTCGAGTAGATTTGAGAGCTCGAAAGCTAATGAGTTTTGATTTTAAGGCGATTCTGGCGGGCCGCTCATCTGCCCGAGCAATGGTCGCCCTGTGGTTCAAGGAATCGTTTCTAGAGGTTGGGGCTGCGCGATGAAAAATGCTCCTGGAGTCTACACTAGGGTTTCGGCCATGACTCAGTGGATTGAAGAGACGATGGCGAGTTACAGTCCTCCAGATGCTATTGTTGAAGATGAACAAGAAACAACAACTGTTTATACGACAACAACGGGAACCACAACTACAGCAACAACGACGACTATTGAAACTGGCGAACCGCTTACTCCAGGTATTTTTCTTATATAAACTTAGGTTCCTAATCGTTTTTGTTCAGAACTGATGATGAAAATCATCGAGGGCAAAGTCAAATACCCAGACGTTATTCCAAAGAAAAAACAGGCCAATCTCTCCGCGCGTCGAAAGAAGTTCATGCAAGCTCTTGACAAGTTCTTCCAAAGTTTTCTGGTCGATAAACTCTCCGCCAAATGTGCCACATCTCACGTCCCCCTTGCTGATCCCATCACTGGCGCCAGATCTTCGAGCGGCACTGGATACATCAAAGACGGCTTCTTAGAGAGTATCAAGCCGACTTATGAAAACTGCCCGCCTTGGAAAAACTGGATCAGATCTTGGAACATTCGTGTACGCAAACTCGATGTGCTCATCAATGTGATGGAGCAAAATAGCTGAACTCGAAGATGATTTATTATTTATAAACAGAAATAAAAGAATCATTGCTTTGTAAATGCTTGTTTTTCAGTGTTTTGTGTTCGTTAGTGTTCGAATTCGTCGAACGAGGTGTTTTTTGGCGAACTGATGGTTGAGTTGTGGTGGGATTGGCGAGTTGGTTGAATTTCTATAAAAAAGATTAAACGATTGGTAAATCAAAAAAACAGAAGATTTCTTATCCTAAGTTTGAATTTTCAGCCAAGAGGAAAAATAATCAACACAACCGATCAAAATATAAACCCGCTACTTCATTTTTTATTCACTTACGTAGAGGTTTAGTAGTTGGCTTAGGTAGAGTTTTGCTGCTTGAATCGTGTCGTAGCGAATCATATTTTGTCGATGTTCTATCAGCAAAGGAGGCAACGCGGCTTGTTTGGTTTGACTGATTGACAATTAGCTGGTGCTGGCTGATGCTGTTCGTCGCATTTCCAGTCGATTTCATTGTTGATTGCGATTGAGAAGGCCGCAGTTGTCTGTTAGACTGTTGGCGCGAAATGACTTGGTAGGTCTGTTCTTTTGGAACGCTTTTGGAGTTGCGAAGGGCGTGAAATCCTGTTACATAAAGCATCAATCCGTCTGACCGGTCAATCGCCACGGAAGCGAAAATGTAAGCACCAAGTGAAATTGCTTAAAAATAGTGAGAAATTTGCCATAATTGTTTCTCACCTGACAAGCCAATAAATAAGAATCCGCTGTGATTATTTGTTGGGTAAAATGTTGGCCCATCTGCGGTGAAGGACATGCCATAAATAATCAAAGAAAAGAAATAGAACAAAAACGCCACTAAACGAAAAAAGTAAGAATCATCAAGGTGGATTTTCTTACCTGTGGCAAGAGTAATTGAAAGAAAAAATCGCCTGGCTTCGAGATTGGCGAACTCGTCAAGACTGTATTGACCCAGATACATTGCTCGTTTCATATGGACTGATAGCCAGAAGCCAACATGGAGGAGAAAATAAGCACTAGAAATTAAAAGGAAGGGGATTTGGTGAACATTGATCAGTACCTTTGGGAGAGTCCAAAAGTCCATCTCCAGTACGATTTCACATCGCCTCTCATTGTTGCTAACGCGATCATGGCGATAGTAGCGCTAGAATTCTTTAGTCATTGATTTTAGACGAGGTCAGACCTGATTATTGTGCAGAATTTGGCGATAGTCGATGCCTTCATCGTTTTACATTTCTCCGCGAACTTCACCATCTTTATTTGTTATTCCTTTCTCGATCGCGTCAATTTATTAAGATCTTTTAGCTTTGTTCTCGCTCCGCGTAATTTGAATGTGCAGATATTTACGAGCTTTTAGTCATAAAGTCGTTTTGAAAATACAACGGTGAGTCTACTACGCGAGAAAATTATTTGGCAAGCTCGCTAGGGGAAAGACTCTGCCATAACTTGATGATCTGGGAGCGTGAGAAATGCCTACTACTCAACTCACTTGATAATCTTTGGAAATAAAAAAGAATAAATAAGCTTATCCCGAGATCAATTTTTTGTTAGCAACTCTAATAGATAGAACAAGATTAGTTATCTTAGATTACTTGCTGACGAGAACGTTGTGTTGACAGCAAAATTTATCAAACCCTGCATGGAAACAGATCATTCTCCTCCATGATTTTTCGATGGATTGCTTTGAGATATGAATGCAAAATTGGTCTAGAAACTTTCTACAGAAGAAAATTTCTTATTGTGTTATCAGACGATATAGTCCATATTAAATACATATGAGGAGCCGTTTTGCTTATAAATCTGAATAAGTATTTGCGAATTTTATTGAGCTAATGAGGAGAACTAAATTAAGTACAATTTATTCAATAAGAGCAAATTCGTCTTCATCAAGAATAACTGGTTTGGGTGCTTCGTAGCCTATTGGTAGCATTTTTCGGTCTCCTTCGGTAACTCTATCACCATCCCAGTAGAGCCTCAGGTTGTAGTTATTGTAGTAGCCTTGGTATGACCAGATTTGATTGTTAACAAATCTTATTTTAGCTCCATAAACCCACTAGAAATATATTTCTGCAAGATCATCATCAACATAATAAATTGAATTTATGTGGCTTATTAAGCCAGACTTACCGCATCCCCGGTAGATTTCCATGTCAAGGATTCAGTATTGAATAGGTAAGTTTTGGGATAGCCAAAGTAAAGAATTCCCTCTGGAACCGTCAAGCAAGTGCTTTCCCGGAAGCCCGCCCTTATAAAATATTCATAAATATTTCATAAGAAACAAAAGAGCTTACGGATTGTCGTAAGCAGGATTGTAATGCCATTGATCTCCAATATAAAATTCGATAGTGTTCACATCTTCTCGACCACCACCACCATAAACCACGCCGTTCTTTTCACACAACGAACCAAATTGATGGTTAAATCGCGATTTCTTTCCTAATTCTCTAACAAGATTTATTTTTTTTTTTGTATTTTCTAATGACCTTGCTGTTTGACCATCAAATGTCATGCATGAGTTTCCCGATGAGTCCGAAAAGCACATAAGAGCTAGTGAAGATGAAAACTCAGGTTGATAGAAATTAAATAACCTTTGTTATTTATATTAACATTTGCTCCGGTGTAAGTATAGAAATTGAATGGCAATGTCTCGGAGAGAAGAATATACTCGCTGTTCTGTACTGTAGCGATCGCTCGGTAATTCTGGTAACCGCCAAGAAGATAGAAAATATCATTCAGAAAAGTGTATCCAACGTCTTCAAATTTTTTATCTTGAGCAATAGAAAAAGGGCGAATTAGCTCGCTTGGCATCTCAAAAACGTAGCTTCATGATTGTTCAATAAAAATTACTTGAGGGATTATTTGAAATAATAATTATATAAAATTGTACAAACAAGCCTGTTCGGGCAAGTGACCTGGTTGTATGGGACCCCGATAGAAAAAATGGAAAATGACTCTTCTTCCTCTTTTGCACAGATTTCCTTGCATTTATTGAGACACAAGATATCATCGCAGCTTTTCTTGCAAGATTCGATAGAAGTTTTGCAAGGCTGATCCCTAGAGAGAAATCATTATAGGAAATAAATGTTTTAATTACCGTAGTGAGCCTGACAGACATGCTCCGAAAAGCGTAGAATGGACGAAAATTTTCATTTTTGAAAACTTTAAGCCTAAATCAGCAATTTATGCAAGGAAGCATAATTGTCATTCTCATGAAAGAAACAGATGCTTATGCGGGAATCGACGGATGTTTAAACATAATAATCGGAAGATGCAGGAAACCTTTCCTATGTCTCCTACAGATAGCATTTGCAATTTTCACACAAAATTCTTAGTCTAAATTCATGCTCATCCAATGCTCATTTCTACAGCAACGTGTGCAACTGGCCAGAACCCAGAAAAAAGAACCAAATAACCACGAGATTAAAAAGTATTAAAACGTCGCGCAAGTGGCCCTTGGTTTATCGGCAAATGTCCAGGTGGACAACTTCTCTTCACCAACTTGAATTTCTCTTTGATATTCAACATTTTTTCTAACATTCTACGCCGAAACTGAGTCAACCTCGTACTGAAACTTTGGCCCAGAAAAAATGACGGCCTAGATAATTTCGAGTTATCTGACAGGAAGTTAATCAAGTATCGTTTCAAGAAAATGTCAACATTCTCCCACTGGAGCTACGGTAAAGAAGCCGTGACGTAAACTAAGAAACGCAAAAAAGAAGAACTCATGTCGAAGCGCGGTCACGCTGGTGCCAGCTGGAGAACCATTACACAAGGGACGCTAATTGCCACTCCAGTGTCCAAAACAGCCCGTTATCGGCAATCGTCCAGCGAATGCAGCATTTTCAAAAGAACCGTGTTCCATCCACCATCTTTTTACCAGTTCAATTCGGGAATGAAAATCTCAAAAATAATATCGCAAATCATTTTCCTTTCACACTTCCTTCTTTACCGACAAAATCGAAGAAAAATACAGTAATTAAAAATTATAGAACGTGCTCCTTGGAGGGGCCCATTCCAGCCTCTTACGCTAATGAGTAAAAATGAAAGTCTCACGTAAGGGAGTCCCCTCCCTTTTCAGAAATCAAAAGTCACATTTTTTCAAACAGATCGAAAATTATGTTCCCTAAAAATAGCAGCCTTTCTTTTCCCGTTGCGCAAGGACTTGCCCATAATCTGCGCATTATTTACTTTTATTAAATGGCTGACATGGATGGACGGAATTCTTGAGAGGATCAAAACAAGGAAAACATTTACCAGAGCGGGATGGAAACACGCTTGCGGTTGATGCAAAACGTTGTTCAGTACGTGAATCCGTTTAGACGAATTTTTGCTGAATATATTCCCCGAGCATGCGTTGAGTCAGACTAAGCATTAACCACGGTTATTTATGGATGGACTATGTTTTGCTCTAGAACGAAACTTCAGCTTAAATTTAAACAACGAATGGTGCAATATTTGCACTTTCTCTTTACAGAATCCTTCATCAAACAAAGCCCTAGGGTCAAGTTTTTGATCGATTAAAAATACGGAGCCAGGAGCTTAAATATACTTTACGACTATCAGAAAAAATGGATAATCTAAGAGAAAAACTCCTTTTTTTCATCTTCGAACGAGACCGCAAAAAACTGGTTTATGAAGTTGGAGCTGTAGCTGGGCTTTATGCAGTTTGCAAAGTTCCTCATTTCATATTGAAATATACACTGTTGCATCCGATTCCGACGTATGATTTCCCACAGACCAGGGATGAGAATTTCAAGGTGCTGCAAAAAGGCCTTGATGAAGGAAAACTGCCAAGGATCTTTCGACCACGTCTTTTTCCCGGATCTACCTTCAGGAAAAAGCTCAAATAGGATGATTCTTTGGGACAAATCTATGAGAACTTTTGAAAGTGACATGTTCATCATTACCGACTTCGAAATCATGAAAGAAGCGTTCGCGAAACGCGAAATTTCTAATCGTCAGTTTTCAGAAAAAGTTGTGCTCTGTATCAAAGATACTCTGAGAAGACGAAACTACCACAGTGTACCACGATCTATTTTGGACGAGAATGATCAGCTGCTCAAGAATGGCGCTGGTGATTTAGCTGGAACTGCCGAAGGACCCTATGACCACTTCCACAAGAAATTCAGAGCTCAGTGGCATGATACTATGAAGGTAAATTTAAAAACGCAGTGTAATCTTCAGTGACTTTTCTAGCGACTTGTTGGCAAAAATCGAATAACTGAGATCATCCAAAGCTCGGCAGAAAATGCCTGTATTCAACTCAAGAGGCTTGGGTCATCTCCTTCTGGAATGGATCCACGAAGAGTATTCATGAATGGAAGCATAAATGTCACTTCTGGTTTTGCTTACGGAAAGAATTACGATTTCGAAGACCCAGAATTCAAACAGATTGCTGAGTACATTGATAGTTACTTTGTTGGCATTTTTCATTACAATATGAAAGCTGTTTGCGACAATATGGTTCCTCTTTGGGATACGGTTTTAAATCTTTTTGAATAGCTATTATTCATAAAAGAACCGTGAAAAGCTAAGCCATAGTAACTTGTATTGTGAGCTCTGGAGAAAAACTCCTGTCAGGCATATGGAAGATGCTATCCCGCTTTTTCATGCTTATGTTTTCAAGGTTAGAGCTAGGTGACATGAACATTTCTAAAATTAATCAAGATGATCAAAGAACAAAGAAAACTTCTTGATCCTGCAAATCCTCGAAATTTTCTCGGTACAAAATCTTTGAACTGAAATCTTCGATCGATCTTCTTGAAAAATTAAGATACTCTTTTAATCGACGCATCAAACGACCCAGAATGGGGATACTTTACAATTGCCTGTACTATTGTTGCTATCTTTCTGGGTGCTAGCGATACATTGGCGTAAGAAAAGTTCCTCGCGACTTGCCTTTATTTATATTAAGAAACACTATGACCTGGCTTTCGATGGTCCTCGCCGATCACCCAGAAGTGCAGAAAAAGATGTTCGAAGAAATCAAAGCTGCTCGTTCAATAGATACTGACTTGAAAAAAGAAAACTGCCCGTTGACGAGGTCGATCTTGTTGGAAAGCAGAAGATTGAATCCCGTAACAGACACACTCATTCATATTGTTTCTGAAGATACAAAAGTCAAAGGGTTTACTTTTCCGAAGAACTCGCAAATTCTAGGGTCGCTAACGGCGGTAATGCACGATCCTAAAAACTTTCCTGAGCCTTCGAAATTCATTCCCGATCGGTTTATCGACGAAAATGGCGAATTTGTGAACAACCCAAAAGTCTGTGGATTCTCAGTGGGGCTCAGAAATTGCATCGGAAAGTCATTGGCGATCGAAGAGTATTTTGCATTTGCAACGAGTATGGTCGAGAATTTTGAAATCAAAAGGTCTGAAAACTTTCATTCTTGAGTACAAGAAATTCAATATTTTTAAGACTGGCTGGCAATATGGACATTGAAGCTCATCCTTTCCTTCGAATTCCAAAAGATGATGTTCGCCTCCAATTTATTCCGAGAAAAAAATAAACTGTCCACTATAAAGTTTTAATAAAAATCATCAACTTATAATCAGATTTGTCACTTACCTACAGTAATCGTACTACAGAATCGACCACCCTGAAAGCCCAACAAAGCCCTAGGGTCAAGTTTTCGCTAGATGACAAAACATCACCAGAATATTTTTTTAACGAGCAGAATGAAAAAATGGATGATCTGAGAGAAAAGCTTCATTTTATTCTTTTCGAAAGAGATCGAAAGAAATTACTTTATGACGTTGGAGCAGTGGCTGGATGTTATGCACTTTGCAAAGTTGCTTATTTTGTTTTGAAATATTCAGTATTTCATCCGATTCCTACTTATGACTTTCCACAGACGAGGGATGAGAATTTCAAGGTGCTGAAAAAGGGCCTTGATGATGGGAAATTGCCCGAGATCTTCAGGCCACGTCTTTTTCCTGGATCCACTTTTAGGGAAAGTTTTAAGAGAGTAGCTAAATGACTTGTCAACTTCGTGGAAAACTCCTTTCAAAGTAATTTCTTCATCATCGCCGACTTTGAAATTATGAAAGAAGCCTTCTCAAAGCGCGAGATCTCAAATCGCCAGTTTTCGGAAACAGCGCTCAAAACTATTCAAAACATGCTCGACAGAAAAGACTACCACAAGATTCCCCACTCTCTGCTGGATGTAAATGATCCACTGATCAAGAATGGCCTTGGAGATAGAGCTGGAACTGCTGATGGACGATACGATCAGTTTCATAAGAAATCAAGGGTTCAATGGCATGATACGATGAAGGTCTCGCTATTTTGATATTTTAGTAGTTTTGACGTGTTTTGTAGAGACTTGTTGGGAAAAATAAAATCGCGGAGATCATCGAATCTTCAGCCGAAAATATCTGCCTTCAACTCAATCGTCTTGGCGCATCCCCAACTGGAATTGACCCTAGAAGAATCTTCATGAATGGAAGCATGAATGTCACTTCTGGCTTTGCTTTCGGACTGAATTACGATTTCCAAGACCCTGAGTTTACGAAGATCGCGGAATATATCGACGGCTATTTTGCTGGACTAATGCATTACAATTTGAAGCAAGTTTGCAGCAATATTGTGCCGAGTTGGGTAATGCGATTTTGAACAAAATTGAATTTAAAAAGATCTTTCTCAAGGTCAACGAAAGTGATTACTACAATCAAATTTGGCGTAAAACTCCAGTTAGACATTTTGAAGACGCGGTTCCACAGTTTCATGGTTATGTTTTTGAGGTTTGAGTGATTTTATTCTTGAAAATAAAATTGTAAAAGATCATCAAAGAGCAACGAAAAACACTTGACCCGTCGAATCCGCGAAATTATCTAGGTAACCATAAACCTGTCCATTCTTCTCCTAAAAACTGTTTAGATACTCTGCTAATCGACGCAGAAACTGAACCAAAATGGGGCTACTTTACCGCTGCTGCGACAATTATTGGCATTTTCCTTGGTGCTAGCGACACTCTCGCGTAAGCCTTATATTCTTGAATCCCTCTTTATATATTTAGAAATACGATGACATGGTTATCAATGATCTTAGCAGATCATCCAGACGTTCAGCAAAAAGTTTTCGAAGAAATCAAAGCTGCTCGTTCGATGGATACTGACTTGAAGAAAGAGAACTGTCCGTTTACGAGGTCTGTCTTGCTCGAAAGCAGAAGATTGAATCCGGTGACAGACACACTCATTCATATGGTTTCTGAAGACACGAAAATCAAAGGGTTCACCTTTCCCAAGAACTCTCAAATCTTAGGTGCACTAATCATCAAATATAATAGCCAATAGATTCTAGGGTCCCTAACGGCGATAATGCACGATCCCAAAAACTTCCGTGAGCCTTCTAAATTTATCCCTGACCGCTTCATCGACGAAAATGGCGAATTCGTAAATGACCCAAAGGTTTGCGGATTCTCTGTTGGGCTTAGAAATTGTATCGGAAAATCCTTGGCAATTGAGGAGTATTTCGTATTTGCGACGACTTTGGTGGAAAATTTCGAAATAAAGAGGTACGACCAAATTTTTGGTGTTTAAAAATTGGATTTTTAAGACTTGCTGGAAATATGGACATTGAAGCTCATCCCTTTCTTCGAATTCCAAAAGACGACATTCGCCTTCAATTTATCTCAAGAACCAAACCAAATGAACTTCTAACTAAATAAATAAATCGATCCGAAAGCCAATCAATTTTCATTTATTTTCTGTTGAGTTCGACTCCCAAAACAAGATCTAAAAATTAACCCGTTTCCGCCGCCCTGTGCACGTTAGGCACATCCTCTGATCGAAATTGATCAAATTTAAAAGTTCGCGACAATTTGCTCGCGAAATTAACAGCTCCCAAAACCGAGTTGCTTCCTTGCTTCCATTCTAGCGCGCCGATAAGAAACACCGAGCAATCAGCCCGGTTTTGGCACAGACGTAACTGATAAGCGCCACTTTTGCTCGGCGAAAAATATTTTTCAAACAGAAATGGTCATTATTCACCCGGATGGTCTTCTAAATGACGGCTCCCAGTTCAAGAAAACTTCGATAATAAATATTTTGAATACGAAAGAGCAAGTCTATAAGACGCAATTTCCAAATGATTCTTCGTTTTTTCGCTAAAAAACTCTATGAACTAAAAGTTCATTCATTCTTTCTTACCGCTAAAACTCTTGAAATACTGTTGAAATGATGATGAATCTATCATCTAAGATGATCGTTTTTGACCACGACGAATAGTTCACAAAACTCAGCGGCAATCTACGGCGAAGGAAAATGACCGGTTATTATTGTTACGAAAGGAGTTAGATTGAATGGACCGGAAGGCCCCGACGAGCACTTAGAGCACTCGGCCGCAAGAGAATGATGTTACATGCTCTTTTAAAATGTGGAAATGTGGCGAAAAGCTCTTCACAAGCGCAGCAGCTCGGGTTTAGAAAGTTTCATCAAAAAAGAAATGGTAGAGTTGTCGAACACCGCTTAAAGCAGCATTTGAACATCGACGTGTTCTCCCCTACTTTTTGAACGCAGTGATTTAAAATGAAATTATGTTGAGAAATTTTTGAACGAGGGAATTTCTGATTTCAAGCTCTAATTTGAGAGACTGACGTGGCAAATGATCTAGTGCGAAAATGTCTTTAATTGATTGTAGAAAAAGTTATATTTAGGGTAGATTAGAGGGTTTTCTTATTCGTAATTTTTGTAACCAAACGTGCCAACGTGCGCAGATAAGTAGACATCTAGGAAAGATTTATGAGTGCAAATCCGCATGAGTTCAAAATAATACGTTCCATGAAGTCGGGACAGGTGCCTGTTGTAATCGGCAATTTTAAGAGCTTTGCGTTATTTCCATCTTTTTCTACCTCCAGAACAAGTATATTTCCGAACATGTAATGCTAATCCTAACCCTTATTTAGCAGCACCAAATTGATTCTTGATCATTTTAGAGTAGGGTTGGCCATCCTAAATATGACCAAATTTTTCACCCCACGTGACCTCGACCCAAAGATGGCCAACCCTATTTTAGAGCTCTCTTTGTCCGATTGATTTCACGTAAAAATGCACCTTCCATATTCCGTAACCAAATAGGCCAGCCTGTCCTGTCAAATGTCAATTGTCACTTAGCAATGCGCCCTAATCGTAGCGGCATGCATTTTTTCTTCGCTGTAATTCATAATCTTGTAACCGCACGAGATTCAGACAGTTCAGATTGTCGAGCCGCGTGTTTGTTATTCTACCGAGTATGTTAGGAAATTTTTATGGGTAGGAGATTGCTACTTGAGTTGCCCGGTTGATGCTCAAGCGTTAGGCACGTTTTTTCAAAGATTAGATCGTTCATAAACCTTTTGATACAATTTTTACCCGGGGAGAAATTAATGGAGTCCTAGCTATTTTCTCTTGGTGCGAAATTATCGCGGCTTTTCGCTGTTCCTTGAGTACACCGCATTTCTTTCTCGGCGCTAAATAGTATCCCAGGAGTTTTTTCTTCAATGACTATTTTCGCCTTGAAATAAAAATCAATAGAACATTGTAACAGTTCTGAAAAATACCAGTTCCGGAAGCTTTCTTATAGTCTAAAAGGCGCCTCGTTGCGCGAAAGCGAAAACAAAAAAGTCCCTAAATACAAAATCATCGGCTTAGGCTTTGAACGGTGCTCGGCTTGATTATATCAGATTCCGGCGACACTAGATCGCGGACAACGTGCGCAACGCGCTGTTCATTATTTGAGATCCATAATTTTTAATTGAGCCCGCCTAAGTTACGCGCTGAACATAACGCGGGATCCAGCGGATTCTAGGAAGCGAGATTAGTTCAGAACAGATAATGAAGCTACATGACTCATGTAACATGAGTACTTTTTGTGATAAATCAGTGATACACTGTATGCATTTGCGACATATACAAAACCGATACAGTCCTGAAGATCTCGATACAGTGAAAACCCAAAAATTGCCCACCCAAAATTTTGCCGCTTTTTGTTTAAATCCGTCTTTTTTGGAACCTGAAATCAACCCAAAAATTGGCCGCTTTTTCATAAATAAAAAATTTTCCATCAAAATTGGGCCCAAGTGATGCTATTTCTGATCAATTTTAGTTTTTTTAAAGCGTTTTAGTCATTCTTATTTTAATTCTTTCGGCAAAAAACCCAAAATTTGGCCGCTTTTTTCGGGAATTTATATATGAAACCCGGCCAATTTTTGGGTTTTCACTGTATATTAAGCTACAAGATTCCGAAAGTACGTTTCTGGTGTAAGTACATCTATATTCTCAACTGTCGTTGTCCTAGAAAAAAATAAAAATGGCCATATAAATTCAAAATTATGGTCCTTGTGAAATGAGAAAATCAACAAATGTTTTCAGGTATAAACAGAGCTCCTTAGCAGGAGCAAGATTTTATTGTTCAATTGTTCTCAATAATTCAATTTCTTACAGATTGAAAAAATCAAAGTCGGCTTTCTTCGGTTAGAATTTTTGTACAGGCTTATTATTATTTTTCTTCTTTATATACATTTGTCAAAAGTACTAGTTATTAGTTTCTAGCAGCTTCCGATTCCGACCAGGCGGTTGTCGCAGCATTGGCTCTTGTTAGCGTCGAAGGGGTGACGTTTTGGATAGCTTCCACAGCATTGTTCCGGCTTTTTCGAGGGTCGAGGAAAAATAGAAAAATAGTCAAGGTGAAGCGACTGTCAGAAAAGGCGATAAGGAGAATAAATTCGTTCCCAAACCCTTCAAAATTGAACTAAATTCGAACTACTGTTCTTTTTGACTTGATTTTCCAGCTTAACTTTTGTAAGATAAAACGAAACGTGGAATAAATGACTGGTACTGACTAATTATTATTGATAAGGGGCACGAGCCGATTTCCGGAAGCATAATTCAGAACCTCCGGTGAACAGTCTGACGTGCTGAGAGGCGTAAAATCCCGATTCGAAATAACAAATCGCACACGTCTTTATACCGCCGTATTATATTGTTTTAGCCGGCTTAGGGTAACTTTCCAGGTAGTGATTTCCTGGAACTGGAGTCCTTTGGACCCTTTCCTGTTTGTCCTTGGTTCCATTAAACTTCCATTTTTCCTGAAGAGGCGCGCTGGGCTGCCCACCACCTGAACACATTTGCTCACGATTAAAACCAAACCTTTCGTGGAGCTGTTGCTTCCATTGCAAAGATTCTTGAACGATTCCGCGGGCCATTTCTCGGTCGCACTCGCAAAGATTTCGCCGACACGAGTTTTGGTTGCTATCTGAAATGCTTGAGGTAAACGACCGTTGTTCCAATGGTAAGCGAATGGTTTTGGCACAAAGACGCTGCCGTGGCATTTGAAATTCTTGTGTTTTGATCAATCAACGTGGACGATACCGTGAAGATACCATAATCGACACAGTAAGTCTATTCGAAGCTTGAACTTACCGCAAACGATATTTCTTTCGCCCGTGATATCATCAATTTCGGCTTTGAAAGAATAGCTGAAAATGGGTCCTATGTTGGTCTTTCTCGACCTTAAAAATTTTCATTAATCGGATTGACCCGTTGGACCCAATCTTGTATCCTTGTAGTCGCATCCTTCCATCTCCAAGCATTTGTAGCACTGTCGCAAGTGAAAGCAAGTTCTAAAAAAGCGCATTAGATGAGCTCATAATTGTACCCATATGGACTAATTTTCATTCACATTCATTCGAGTTTTGCTTCAATTACCACTAATGAGCCTTTTCGGCCTCTTTTTTTACCGTTGCCGAAAGTTTTTTTTTTATTTAAAGCTTTATTTTTCTGAAAATTTTTTAACCCTTAAACTCCTTGTTAAAATTTATCATCAAAAATAGTCCCAAAAACTGCACGTCTCAATCCAACCCCAAGTCAAAAATGAATTTGTAAGAAACGAAAAAGGAGGAGCTACCTCTCGTGGCCATTTCGTCAAATTTGCCTCTCGTGGCAAGTTGCCTCTCGTGGCCATTTGCCTCTCGTGGTCATCACGTATCGGCTTATTTGACGTAAGGCATTCAGATGATAAGTTGGGTGTGAAAGATTCTTTCAAAAATACTTCGAGAAGCATGGGTATTACTGGGATATTATTTCTTGAGACAAGCCAAAAGAAATTATTAATAAATATGAACGAATTGATCAAAAGTCATACTCTTTTCCAGTTTTTTTCTGACAGAAAATAATAAAATTATTCAAAAAAATATTCTATCTTGATATTTCTTTATAGAATACTCGAGAATAACCTGACTTCTAAAAAATATGAGGTGCGTGAAATCTCCTCTTCGAGAACAATTTGGATACCCTAAGGTTCGTTAGAAGATACGTGATGACCACGAGAGGCAAATGGCCACGAGAGGCAACTTGCCACGAGAGGCAAATTTGACGAAATGACCACGAGAGGTAGTTCCCCACGAAAAAGCTGGTCTCGATAAACCTCACCGTGGTTGATGAGTCCTTCTGATTTCGGAAAAGGAATGGGAAAGTTTAGCGCGCAGCGCGGTCCAGCGCTTGATCGGACGTTTAGACGCGCGCTGGAAACTTATAACAAAGCGAGAATTTTCCTGGAGCTGTAAAATTGTAAAATTTTCGAACGGAGTAAATGTGAACATTTACTAGAACTTTCGGGCCGGCTCATCCTTTCGGAACCATCTACCAAGGGAACTAGGGGTTTAAAAACTGGATTCTTACCTATCAATTGGGTCAAGTGCGGGTCCTTTTCCAACCATAATGTCCGTCGATCCGTCCGGAAAGCACCAGCAACCATATCCGCAAAATCTAAAAGAGAAAACCGTGAGGATCCTTTTTCACGAACAGGATTATGCATTTCTCAAACCACAGGGTGGAATACTTCCGAACCCGTAATTCGCAATTAGCCCCCAACTGATCAACTCACTTGTCATATTGTCCCATCGCCTTCGCTCCAAGCATAAAGTTGATCAGCTGCTTCATCTGAACAAACTTGCGCACTTGGATTTTTTGCTCGCTTGGGCGCGGATTCGGGTATCGAGAAAAGCCTCGGACGGACTGAAAGAACGAGTTTAGTTTTTCAGAGAAAGCAATAAAGGGGACTTACTCGTTTGTCTTCCAGTTGAGCCTGGATATGGTCCGGGAACTCGGTTATGTTCACGTACCAATCCAGCTTTTGAGCAGTATCTAAAACCGGTTAGCGATGTCTTTTCATTCACGAAGTTTCTAGTCAACATTTTGAACACCACAATAAAAAAACGAATTCCCCAAATAAATATTCAATTATTCGCGTGGGTCGTGATTAAATCAATACAAATAAAAGGATAAAGTTCATATACATAACTGGAATACAAGATTGCGTTTAATGTTCCTGAAATAACAATTATAAAAATAACTCAATTAATGTCTATTTCAGATAAAAACCACCATCATTCACCATCAATATAATATCTCGGTACTACAGTATAATTTGCACTGCAACTAGAAAAAAGCCTTTTTTTCTGCTTACCATAGAAAACAGTCTCTGCTTTTATCATCAAAATCAGCAAAAACAACAAAAGTTTCTTCAACAGCATCATTTTTCCCATTACAACTGCTCTGACTTTTCGACGATTTGGAAGTGACAAAAAAGGAAATGTGTATATATAAATCACTGGTCTCGAGTTTGAGGCCTTATCAAGGAGCCAAACGCGCGGTGCTAAGCGCGCGCGTGGATGGCGCATGCGAACGCCGAAAGGTGGCGCTGACATCGAAAATTCACGAAAAGAGTCATCGCGTCGATAATGACTGGAACGAGAATGATCACTTCCTTTGGTGACGATTGGGCTTGGTGATTAACTGAAAGCATGATTATTAAAGGTGTTAGGTTCACTGAGGGTCCTTTTTTATCGACTAATTTTGAGCTTTTCAAACAGAACTTCTGTTACAGAAGTATAAGTAGAATGTTAAAGAGTTCAGGATTATACTGTATTCAGTTAATAAATCATAACACATTGTTATTTTTTCATATTTGTTCTAGGCTTGAATTTCAAGCTGAATTTCAGGTCATAATCAAGGTATGGTTCAAGAAGTCCAAATGGACGAAATATATTTTCACAGGTGATTTTATCAAGATTTTACAGTCTTCGTCTGAGTTGAGGACAAAGTTGTTAGTATCTCATGAAAAACATCAAATAGTAGTAGATATTCAAAAAACAATTATTACTTGATTTTCTTCATTTTTGTTTCATTTTATTTTGAATGACCTTTTTCGGTATAACCGCCTCTTTATACCTCAGCCCGTCTCCTTGACCGCTCCCATCGATCTCAGCAGGGGACTATGTCAAGTTTCATGTGTCAATATTTACCATTGTCTTTATATTTGCATAAGGCAAAACCTAAAAAAGTTCGCTGTGTTTTCCTAAAATGAAAAAAGTAGGGCAAGTTCAATTGAGAGAGGCACTTTATTCACAAGCAGATAATTTGCGAGGCATTCGTGTTGGATCAAATGTGAGAAACTGGACAGAAACGGAGCTTCAAGAGCTTGAAAAAACAACGGTTCAAGTTGACTACAACCACGGTGCGCTGCCGGCCACGGACGGACTCGCCGATGAGTAGTCTGAAGTGGACTCTGCTGTCGACTCTGCAACGGGAATCGGCGCGTATTGCTAGAATAACATCGATGATTAAAAATTTCTCTTATTGCATCATTACCTGTGGAGGCCTTGGTTCCATCGGCGACTCAACTTGCCGTTCTTTAAAATCGTGCGCATCGTCACTACAACAGCCCGTCCGGAAAGCTCTAAAAACTCCTTTATATTCCATCGTAAACGAGGTCATTGCATAATTTGAGCTCGAGAAAAAGTCATCAAGAAAGTGTGTGAGACGATTTTTTCGGAAGCGGGAGATTTGTTTTATGCAAATTGGAGCTCGTTTAGAGCGCGCTAACGCAGATAACATAAATTTTTAAATTTATCGAAACGTTTTTAAACAAATTTTGAATCGATCTTTGGCCTTATATCTCGCTCAGCATTGAAAAAAAATGTTTTATCAACATTGTAACCCAAGATAACCTGGTCTACTGAAGAATACCAGTGAGCTCGAGAAAGAAAAAAAGATTGAGCTGAAAATTAGCATTACCTCCTCCAATCGGTGTAGAAATAGATTGCTCCAGTAATGTATGTTGAAAACATCATTCCCCAGCCCATATAAATACACGGCCCGAATTCATAACTTTAATGAGTCCAAATCAATTTTCATTTTCTTTTCGATGATCTTGAGGGTTCATAGACTATGAATTATAGTGAGCTTGGACTAGTTTCCTGAATCGCTGATCTTTATGAGGATGTTCATATTCGTATAAAATATTCGATGCATACAATGACACGCATATTCCAAGCATCGTTCCCGTGGCAAAATTTAAGCATCCACAAAGAATACCTAGAGAGAATGTCTCAATCATGCGCTAGAAATCTCTAACTTACCGACTCTAGCTTTTCCTCTCGGACTCATGTCCGCCCAGTTAGAGCAATCTCCTTGTATCAGCCCGAGAAACGCGGCAAGAGCAGAAGTGACAATTGACGCAACAGAAAACGTACTAAAAACATGTGTTACCGAAGAAGTTCCGAAATCCCCAAGTGTCCCGACCTCTAAATTTTCAAAAAACGGTTCAAACGTGGAGCAGACTTACCGCATCACTTGAACCCAAGCAGGGAGCCCCAGGATAGACTTAGCGTAGAAATCGCACTAAAACCACAATTTACTCATTCCAGTTTGTAGCGCAGTAAAAACGATGCTTCTCAAATATTTTTTCGAACATCCGAATTTCAAAAAAAAATCTATCATTACCTGAATACGAATGATACTGTTCATTGTACAGCGGAACCAAACCCCGTCAAGAAGAAAGATACCCTTAATTTTTGTCAAATAAAAATCGCTATTCCCAAAATCAGAGTCTGACCTTGACATTGACATTAGCACCGGCTTGATCGTCCCTTCGCCAGCCGGGATAGAGGCAAATAACAACAGTGATAATACAGTTTGCAACAGAAAGAAAATAAGCAAGTATTGGCAGATAACGAAAGCTGAAGACGTCGTAGCGATAAAGGTCGTAATACTTAAATATTCATCTTTGAGAAAACAAAACTTTTATTGATTCAGTAGTATATTACTGTCCGGAATATTCTGACTAGCTAAACTCTAGTTCAGGGTTAGGGTTATTTTACATAACTTTTATAATTCAAAACTTGATCTAAATTTTAGATTCTAAAACTAACAATTTTAGTCTTATTCTGTCAAGTTTTCTATCAAAAGACCGAGTCTCTCATAAATAAAAACTGTTGTTTTTTTCCTGAAATTTTCAGATTTTAGAAAATTTTCAGACTCAAAATCCATCACAAACAAAATTCTGCTCGTTTATTACCTTTTGCGCTGCTTCCTGCAGCGCCTTGGCCTCTTCTTCTTTATTTCTAACCCTTCCCATCGATCACATTCTCTGTTCAAAATTCTTCTCCATCCAAAACAATGATTTCCTCAATATCGTGAATATGTTGTTTCAATATCTCTCGAATTCAAATAACGCCGCTGCCAGTTGAGAAAGAATCTGCGCCCAGTTGATTTGAGCAAATGTCACAACTCAGATTTTATGCAGTCTTCGCTCTACGGAATTTGTCGAAAATTATTTCTCTTTCTGGCTCTTTTCCAACGCAGATTTTTGAGAATAAAATTGTTGAACTTCAAGAGCGCTAGAATTTATACTTGTTGGTTTATTCTCAAATGACATCAGGGGCTACATCACGCGACGTACGATTGTTATTGTCTTTTTAAAAAAGATCGAATGGCCTTGTAAAAAGCTGTCTATCTTGGCAACCGGATGGAGGCAACCCTGGGTCAAAGCTGGAACTAGCCTCAACTAGATTAAAATATATATTTCTCAATCTCTTGTCTAACTGCACACCGATTTATACGGTATTTTATTAGATATAAAGTCGAAAAATTTGGCTTTCCAAATTATTGTAATAGAACACAGCTTGCCTAAAAATGAATTCAATGAAAAGTGAACGTAGAGTTCTTGTAAGATTGGATTAGCCAAACATTTGTGACTAAATTCCGGATTGCTGATGCAGTATTTCAGCAGAAGAGATGCTCACTTTCAAGCTATTTGAATTTTAAAACTTATCAAAATTTGAAAATATAAATCGAAAACCATTTCTTTTCTTAAAAAAGTAGGGCTGAATGTCAATGTCTGCCATAAACCAGGTCAAAAGCGAACTGCTCTATTTACATTTGTTCTCAATGACGTACTAAAGGATGTTTTAAAAGATTCTGCTTTGCTCAATAAAATCTTTATCGCATCGAACTATTTTGGAATATTTCAGGTCAACAGCGAAATTCCCAGTTTCCCTGCAATCTTCATCCGAATTTCCTGCTTCGAAAGAGTGAAGTAGATATTGCAATGTGAACTTTTTCTGTTCACCCTCTTTCGTTCTTAATCTTTCTCACGAGAGGACCCATGACAAGTTCGACAAACAGGAGCACGTTGAAAATCGCTGTCAAGCACTAAGGGTCAACTCAGCTTTCAAAGAAAATCAATGCAGCACATTTTGTGAGCGTTCGTTTTCTGTTTGTAAGCTGTCGGGCGGAGGTTTGTTAGTCTCTAAGAGAAGCGTGGTTTATATCACTGACCATGTCAAAAAGTAGAGGATTTTACAAGTTGAGCTCTGTGAGATTTAACTACTCACGTTTTTTCGTTCCAAAAACGATCGTTGTTCCATAAAACTTCATCGAAGAAAAGCCTCTTTCGCGGAAGAAAATCTTTGTTGAAATAGCTTCCCACGTTCGGGCCCTTCCTTGATGACCGCGAAAAATTCTAGCGCCTGAAATGAACACGTATTGCCGATAAGCTGGCAACTTTGATAACGATAAGCTAACGGACTTCCGACATTCCATAAGTGCCATTCCGTCATTTTCCCACTTTGACGACCCAAATTCTTTTCCACGAAAATCACCTTATTCAGAAATAATTTTTTTCGGCATTTTTGTTTTGCCACATGGTCTTTCCTGGAAAAGAAAATGATACAGTATCATTCAGTCTGAAATCAAGGAGGACTAATCAACTAAAAATCATTGAAAATTGGAAGACCCTTATTTCTCTAGAATGCTAATTTTCCTTCAGCCGATTTTAGTTGTTTTTCATTTCAGGTCAAGACCTCCAACGGTCCGTTCTCCCCGTAACAGAGGTAAGTTTGGTTATAATTTTCTTCTCATTACTTTCTTTCGTCCAGTCGTCTGAATAATAAAGAATGGGAAAGATATCGTTGCTTCAAGCTCCAACATTGGAAATTACTTGTGATGATGATGATATGTTTCTCGGCGATTACGATTCGGATGGCTTTTCCGATGACGACAATGAGTACGATGATGAAGAAGAGGATCTTTTAGACGATAAACAGGTGACCTGGCTTTTTACTCGTGAAAAGTAAAGTTTATTTTTTAGTTGAAAAGAGAGTTTATCTTTTACTGGATGATAATTGTCCCTTTGGGGCTAGCTTTAATCGTGTTCATTTGTGTGGTGCCTTGGCTTACTCAAACCAGTATTGTCATGGTAAGAGTCCTTTCAAACTCATTGTTAGGAGTGATTTAGGTACCATGTTGCATATGTGATGACGATTTCAAACTACAGCTGCATGAATACAATGAAGATGATAAGGTAGGCCTCGAACATAATTTCCAACATCCCAATTTTTTCCTAACAGACAAGTATCGAAGACTTCATCGCAGCAAATACAGGCAAAGTCAACATAGAAGGATCAAATAAAACTAAACTCGAGCCTCCTCATCAATCTCTTTGCCTAAGTACTACGAATTTTGGAAGATTTTTGAAAACTATCGACATTTTCAGAGGTCGCAGCGCAGTATTTCATCCCAGCCTATTATCGAACTCTCCACTCCGAAAATCTGAACCAAACCGAAGCTCAAAGTTTAATGGGACAAAGGTACGTTTCAGATAGTAACTGGTTCTTAAATCAATTCTAGAGAAGTGTGCCCATCAAACAGGTTCGAAAATTTGCGACTCATCGAGCAAGATGCCAGCGTTGATGAACCTAACAACTGGAGAGTTTACGACATCACGTCGAATACGCTTTACAAAGAGATTCTTGCTGGCGACGATTTCTCAAGTCAAACATGTACTCAGGAACGTTCACCAAATTTAGCCCGTTCTAGACAATTTTTTGTGAACAAAATTTTGTTATTTCATTTGGAAGTTTTTTGTGAACGGTTAGGATTTTTCTTACAACTCCGATTGCTCGGTCGAGTACGACCGAATGACAAAGATGATCGACGGAGAAGAGCATCTTATCCGATCTGAAGGCAACTCCACGACCTTGAATCTTTACTGCAACTAATAATTTTTATATGAAATAAACTACTATTTATTTAAATTCCGACGTTATTATTGCTTGTTTTTTTCAAAGAAAGAAATATCGACAGCTAACTACTTGGCGTCAGAAAGCCCAGATTATTTAGATTGAAGTAATTAAGAAGGCAAGGTGCACTTGATCGTTTCGTAGGAGGCATCGTGTGGGCACTTACAATCATCCACCTGAAATCTCCCTCCGGCAGGGATATAAGTTGAGTGTCTACGTTAAATCTAGTCATTCAAATAACCAGAAAAACGAGAGAGACTTCCGAAAAAAATGAAACTTTCCGGACTTCTCATCCCACTCGCCAATCCCTGCAGCGCTTTTCCCAGCGGAAATCCACTTTTCGCCGAAGTAGAAGCCGTAAAACAAAGAGTTACCGACATCTCTAGTTATCTTCTTTCAAACACAGATTTCTCCAAAAACATCGCCGTATCGCCAGTAAATATTTTCAGTGCAATCAAAGTTCTCCAGAAATCAACTTCTGGTCCAGCACGAGAAGAGCTCGAGGAAGCATTTGGAAACGAAGATGCTCAGCGGTTTGAAAATCAAATCACCAAATACGCTGGAGACTTGTATGAGCTGGGAATGGCAAATAAAATCTTCTACCGACCGATCAATGGTTCAGAACCTTCCACAGAAATTGGGCAAATATCTGAAACATTCGATTTCAAAAATCCTCTTCAAAATCCATCCAAGATCAATGATTTCATTGACGAACAAACAAAAGGAAAGATTCCACAAGCTTTTCCAAAGCCAATCGACCCTGATACATTCTTCCTGCTCATTTCTACCCTTTACTTCAAAGCAAGCTGGACTTCTTCCTTCAGTCCAACCACCATTTGTTGGAAAATGAACGAGGGACCATGCGAGGAGCGAGATGGATTCGTCGGGACCGACCACTTCAACATGTTCTACGATTGGGATGCGAAGAAACCATTCAGAGTGCTTGACCTTCCCCTTGCTTTGCTAAAAGATGATGACAGATTCGCTCCTGACCAGAAAACCTTCTCGGCTCTTCAAATCTGGATGCCGGACAAAGTTCTTCAGACCGAAAGCGACCACAAAGAGTTTCTCGAGCTAATGAACAGAGAAAGCCAATCAGTTGTGAAGAAGATGAGATTGGGCCGCGCCAGATTGTTCATGCCAAAATTTTCGATTTCGACCGAGCTTGAATTGAAAACCATGCTTTACGATAAGAACTGCACTTCGATCATGAACCCCGGTCAACATTTGGAGCCAATTTATGGCGATAACGACCCAACTACATCTTTGAACGAAGCGAAGCACATTGTCCAATTCGACGTCGATGAAAACGGAGTTGAAGGAGCTGCTGTTACCGCATTCTCAATGATGTACCGATCTTTCCCGATGCCAGTCAAAATTGACCGACCATTCTACTTCCGCCTCATTCTCAAAACCGAGGACGCCAATTTGCCTGAATATGGCGCCCCAATTTTCTCCGGAAGAGTCGTCAATCCTTAGTCTAAGGACCTTAGATTAGCCTCCAATTCTCCAATTTTACTCGGAAGAGTCGATGATCTCCTAATTATTCCTTCAAAAAATGAAATCTTCCTCTAAATGCCTGCCCACTGAATAAAAAATTGAACAAAATGTTGATTTTTGTTATGAAAATATATTTTAGCATGTAAACAGATATTTATATTATAAAAAGCGGTTAATTAGCTAATTGAGCTGGTGGTTCTTCGAGAGGAGGGCGTCTTTGATCAGCGCTTTTTCGGGTGGAGAGAGCTTCTCGGGGAAGATGATGTCGAACTCGATAATGAGGTTGCCGGTTTTGCCGTCCTCGCCCGTGATTGGCATTCCTTCGCCGAAGACTGTCTTTGTATACGTCTGGTGAACTAGAAGAAGGATAGATACGTCGATTTATGGCAAGACTTACCGATATCATTTATAGGGATAGTGAGTAGTCGACCGTCAAGAGTGGCAACTTCCACGGCGCATCCGACAAGTGCCTGGCCAAGTGGAATCTTCGCTTTATAGACCAAGTCGTCTCCTCGTCGCTGGAAAAGAGCATGTTCTCGTTCTCTCAGAATGTAAACTGAAAAATTGATGCTATTATATCTTGGAGGAAGAACGTACCCATATCAGCAGGAATAGTATTTGGTCCTTGATCTCCTTCTTCTTTGAAAGTGACTCTGGTTCCAGCTTTCCAGCCGCGCTTGACTCTGATTGAAAGAATTTTGTCGCGTACAGATGATGTGTGTCCATCCTAAACGAATTCAGCGTATAATTCGACTTGTGGTCCCTTACCTCATTCATCACGTGTCTCGATATTTTCATTTTCTTATCGCAGCCGAGGTAAAGTTCCTCTAGCGTCAGATAAAGCTCGCGTTTAATTGCTGGATCTTGAATTTTTCCACCGAAAGTTCCTTTTTTAGCATCGGGCACCTGAAATTTTAGGAATGAATGAACAGAAAACTAAAGATAGACTTACGGCAAAATCGGCGAAAGGGTTGTCAGTGCCGAAAAACGCCTTGAAGACCTTGTTAGCATCACCGTGGAAGATGTATCCTTTCGACCAGCCACCATTTGACTAGAAATGATTCAGGGGAGCTCTAAAACTGAGGAAATTACCTGTGGGAGTCCCTTTTTCAAGCCTTCTTCGCCAAACTGATCAAAAATAGCTCTCAAATCTTGCTGTCTCAATACTTCGTATGCCTCTGCCACTCGAGCGAATAATTCTAGCAAAAGATCAGCAACGAACATTTATTTCGATAATTACCGTCTTGGCTCTTTCCATCTTTGTTCTTGTCCGGGTGAAGCTTTAGCGCCAATCTGCGGTACGCCGAGTGAATGTCCGAGAGTTGCGCGGAACGCGGCACATTTAAAATTGCGTAGTAATCGAGGCCCATTTTTTTCGTAAACTGATTATCTGATTCTCTGCTGCTTTATTTTCAGGAAAATAAGGGATGTTCTAGAGATTGCTTTGCGAAAATTAAAAAAATTCACAAAAACGCGTTTTGTTTGGTATCTTAGTAAGTCTTTTTGTGTTGCTAGGGAGAATGAGCGCGATCTGCGCACACTGCCTTCGATTTTTTTCTTTGATTAATTGAGAATTTTGAATAAGGGAAAGGTTTTCAGCGAAAACTCTTCTTTGACTTTGTTTTGAAGGTCGAATAATTTATTAATAGTTTATCCTTATTTGAGAATGAAGTAAATATGACGTAGAACTTTTTATGAACAGTTTTTGAATGAGAATGAATTTTGTTTTTATTTCCACAATTTTATGCAGCCATCGCGGGAAGCTGATGCCAGAAGTTTGTCGCCCGTTTGACTCTGAACATATGATGAGATCTTGATGATAGACTTTCTTTACCTTTGAAATGTACTGTAATGAAGAAATGACATCCCAGTGACCCGGTGGTGGACCGATCAGTCCCCAGTCTGATTCTTCTAGCGCTACTTGGACGATGTTATCCCTGTTTTCTTCTATCAGTTCGATTCCTTCGAGCTTTCTCTCGGAATATGTGACATCGTAGCGATGGCCCTCCGCTTGAGAACTGGCCGAATTAACCACCATTCTTGATTTCTTGGCATCGGCAAGATTCCACCCACGAATTCGCATATCACTACCACCGGTGAAAAGAACCCCGCCGCTTGGAGAAAAGACCATGGAAGTTGCAGAGTAACCGCTGTGCACTGTAGTGGTTAAAGGAGGGATACCCTAAATGGAATTCTGTAGACATGATACTTCTGTAGCTTATTACCTTGGCGGACCAAAATGCTTTTTGCCTGAATCCAGAGTTCAAGCTCCAAATGCCGACATCGTTATTCATATCGATGCTAATAGCCACTTCACACTGTGTCCCAGGTACTGGAAGAATCTTCTGAATCTTCCTCTCTGCCGCTTGAAAGTTGATCACTCTCAGTTGATACCTCAAGTCCCACACAACGACAGATCCTCGAGCAGTCGCTGCAGCAAGCCATTGTTGTCGCTTATCGGAACAAATTGAAGTCAAGCCACCAAGACGCACGTCATGTTCGAGCTCGTACGACTGAGATACTGTATGTTTACTCCTCGGGTCGAGCGACAAGATCTGTCCGGCAGAGGTGGCCGCAAAAATCTGCCCCTTGTCCGATTGCGTCGTGCAAAGATCAGTGACGATTCCATATTTCGCGTCAATGACTTTATTCCATAGAGGAGTCTTGAACATTTCAATGTCTGAGTAGCAAATACTGCCGGTCGATAAAGAGTCTGGCTTTTCTTTCTGCGCGACTATGGCGATTTTAGAATTGTCGCAAAATTGGACTCTTTTGATCGCCATTTCGGAGTCCGGGCGCCACTGGTTCTTCGATTTCAACGCTTCAGAAGGATTGGAATAATTCCAGAATTGATCGATCGACCACGTTTTTACAAAGCCGTCGTTTCCAGCTGAACACATGAATGAACACTTTGGATTGACAGTGATTTCGTTAATGGAGCCGGTATGCTCCTGGATGTGCCCAACAAGACGACCTTGTGGAAGCCACTGGTCGTTTGAACTTCCATCAAAACCGTCGAAATTCTCGTCAGAAACGTCCAATAGATCTTCCTCAAACTGATCTCTGATTTCCTTTCGCTTCTCGTACACGATTTCTCGTAGAGCAATCTTCGAGTTCGAATAGCGTTTAATCACTTTTGTGCCTTCTTTCTTTATTTCTTCCTTCTTTGGCAAGTTATGTTCGAAGTAAGAGGTTGCCCAGAGGATTTTCTTGTCGAGGACGTTCTTTTCTTTCTCATTTTTACTCAGCTCGACTTTCAAATGGGCGACATTTCTGATCTTCCCGGAGCCCATGCTTCGAGATGGTCTTCGTTGTCGCTCTCCTTCGACTTCGTCCAGATAAATGACGCCAGAAGTCGTTTTCATCGGCGTTCGAGCTTGATTTTTCAGGTGACGGGTTTCGAGCAAGGTTGACATAAGTTCAAGCGCTTCTCGATCAGTCCCTGTCATCGGAATCTGATTCAATCGGCTGAGGAGACTTGCGAATTTTCTTCTCTTTTGACCGAGTTCCCAGGAGCTCGAAGAGTTCGATGTGTCCTTGAGAAATTCATCCAGAGCTTCGGAATTGACGAGATCTTCCAGCTCATCTAGCTCGTGATGAGGATAGTCTCTTAGAAGCTTTATCAACTCTCTTGAGAATGAACTGGATATTATTTGCTCGTAAACAAGTCTTGATAGAGGTGGACGAAGGAACGTCAAGAACGTCTGAAGGGAATTCAACGCTGCGTGATTTTTCTTTTTCAAAAACTTCGAAATGACTGGAACCAGTTTAACCATCTTCTCTGCTGTATTCATAATCTGACCAAGAGTGACGAAGAATCGGGCAGCTGTGAGCATAATTGCCGAGTTTGGATGAAGAAGAAAAGGAGTCACGCGATGAGCAACATCAAGAGTAAGGCTTTTCGACATGAGTCCAGCTTCTACCAAACAGGTGAAGCATTTCAAAGCGGCGAGGATGACTGGATCTTCGGAATCGGTGAGGCCTTCTTGAATCGGCCCACGGAGAACGTCGACTAAATCGCCGGAGAGTCCGATCGACTATTTCAGGTTTGATTTTTTATTCAATTTATCTTTTTTGAAATGTAATTAAACCTTTTCCTTCAATACTTTTGGCAGAGAATTGTACATTTCCGCTCTGAGCATCCAGGAATGATTTTTATTCAAATAGGTAATCATGTGCTTCAAAATTGTATCTCCGATATTCGTTGCGCCCAACACTTCGGCAAGCTCTATCACCGAACTGTGAAGGAACTCCCGGTTGATTTCGGCGGAATCGTCCGTCATGACATTTGTAACGCAATCGTTGATGACGGTTCTTACGGTTTCAGAGACATGATCATCTTCGCATCGCTTCGAGAGAAGGTAGCAAAAGCGGCCAAACGTTCCGATGTATTTTGCATAAACACGCTTCACATGAAACATGTCATCGTTGGCGAGATCTTTCAAGTCCTAAAATTATTTTTTGAGGTTCAGAAGTTGACTTTTTTAGTTACCTTCAATAAATATTCTGCGTTTTGTTCGCAAATTTGTTCACTCAGTCCGGCAGTATCCAAGTTCAAAACTATCTGATGCAAGGCAGTCAAAGAAGCAGCTCTCAATCTCGAGTCGCTTTCTCTTGTAAATTTCAATAGAGTTGGCATGATTCTCTCCAAAACAATCACACAGTCGAGTTTCGTCGACATTTGCACCAGAATATCGAATCCATCGAACCAAGACTGGTGAAAATCACAGCTGCGGATGGCGGAAAGGATGAGATTGAGAGGGATGACGAGTGTTTCCCGGGAAAGCTTTGAGAGAAAATCTTTCAGGTCGGTTTTCAGGCGGCGAATGACATCGTCTCCTCGCGTTCCTAGAATTCTTTCGTGCTTGAGGATTGAGATAAAGTTTACCTTTTGACTGATGTTTCTCCCTGTCTTTATAGGCCGTCATTTTCTTGAACAAGAATCCATTAAAACTGGCGGGAAAGATGTCTGAAAACAACAAATCCTGCGCTGTTGGTCGATCATTTGGGCATCTCTTGATCATCGACTGGACCATCTCCCTGTAGCCATCTGGGATGTTTGATAGATTCGGCGCTTTTCCTTCCACAAATGAAAGGAGATCCCCGTATGAAAAGAGGGGATTCCCGTCTTGGAAGATTTCAGCAATGATGCAACCAGCAGAAAAGATGTCCATTTCAGCGGTTATCTCGTTTCTAATTAATTGATGCGATAGTTTCAATCGGAAATTCAAACCTTTCAGAACACGCATTGTCTTTTGTTAAAAACCTCTCCGGTGCTAGACACGCTGCTCTTCTTCTCGAGGTGTCGAAAAAGTAAGTGAAGTCGGCTGGATTATCTACAGGCAAGTTACAAGGCTTGAAATGGGCAAAGTCCGCCAAAACAAGCCAGTCGTCTTGGGTCAGTAGAACATTTTCGCACTTCAAATCGCCGTGAACGATGTTTTTCGAGTGGATATTCGCGAGAGCGTTTATCAGCTGATACGTGATCCAACTTTTTTCTTCCATCGTCAGAAATGGTCGCATGGAGAGACGATCGTAGAGCGATCGAGACATATGCTTGAAATTTTTGATGAAAAATCGAAATCTGATTTTCTTACCTGTCTGATGAGAAACCCAACATGTTCCGTTGAAAGCACCAGTGCCCACGGCAAGCAGTTAGTAAACTCGTCGAGCTCTTTGGCCACTTCTCTGATCTTCTCTCCATATTGTTCCAGGTCGACATCTTGTTTCTCTGGCGCGACGAATATCTTTACTACGATTTCTCTCTCCACCTCGTGCTCAAGCTTCGCAACTTTCATAAATCGGGTCGAGCCCATGTGACTCTTGATTGAGCATTTCGACCAAATCACATTTGGAAGGTAGTGTTGGAGATAATGCTCGATCGGTTGAGTTTGGGAAGGAGAAAGGCCCGTTAGTTGATTTCCCATTTTTTTACAAAAGATTCAATTTCATTATCTAAAGAATGCAAAGTGAAAGAAATAATTAAGAATAAAATTGTATTGCAAAGTTATCGAACAAATTTAAAAATGTCAATGTCATCGCATCGCAGTTCTTTTGGAACATTTTCTTTTTCGATCGACATTTTGAAGCCTGCGTTTTTCATTTTCTGGAAGAATTCTTTCACCAGCGGGACCTTTTCTGGCCGATACTCCATGGACATGAAGATCTCGCAGTTTTCTTTGGCAAGCGATTCTAGTGTCAAAAACAGCCAATTCACAGCAGCTAAATATGAGTCAGTTATAGTTAAAATACGAGTCCTTACGTTCATAGTAAATGCAATCGGACAAGATAATCATATCGAAAGGAAGCTCGAGTTTCTTGCTCACTTCAGCTGGGGTTTCCTGCTTCTCATTTTCGTCAAAATATCGCCAGTCAAGACAGAAAGCGTAGACGGGCGAAGACTTTATGAGTTCCTTATTCTGCTCAATATTTTTCTCAATCAAAGAAAAAAGAGCAAGGGATGAGACACATGTCTAGAAGAATCTGCGAAGTTCGCGAATTTCTTCAATAAGGATTTTTAAAGTGAATCTGTGATTATTTATTTCGAAGATTCAAAAGGCAGTGCTATGTAAAATGTGTTCTAAGTGAGCATAAATTAGTTTTGTGAGCGGGAAGAGCCTCGTCGGGACCTTGAGCTTCGTCTCAGCGGCGTCTGAAGAATAAAAGCTAAAGGTTAACAAACTTTGTTTTGCCTACCGTAGGTTCATTTGCAACGAGCTCACTGGTGACGGGTTGCGAGGCTGATTTTCGAGGTGCCTTGGCGGGCGATTGCGCAGCATCCTCGAGATCATCGACTGAACGCTTTCTTCCGCGCTTACTAGGGGTTCTGAAAGGCATTTGGTTAAATGAAATCAAGGAAGAGGACACTTACGAAAACGAAAAGGGAATGGGCTCGACGTTTTCTTGGTCGCCGTCTTTCGGCTGGCTCTTGCTCAGAGCCCGTGGAGGGGAAAAGAGAGGCTCTTCGTTCTCAGGAACGGGCTTGAGCGTGAGTGCTTTCGCAGCAGAAGGCTTTCTAGTCCGACGACTAGCACGAGAGCCAGTTGATTTTGTCGACTTGTTAGACCGAGCTGAGCCGACGGAACTGACAGAAGCATCCGATTCGTTTCCAGACATATCAGATTCAGACTTGTTTCTGATTCGTGAGGAGCGTCTTAGCGGCGTGTCAACTCTAAAAACAACGGTAATAAAAAAGAAATGATGGTTTTAAGAGTTACCTGGACGGCGGTGAGGACTTTGATTTCTTTGGAGTCGCCGCAGCCTTCTTTTGCTTTTCGACGGGCTTTGGAGTAGTTCCTCGCTTTCTCGAGCTAGTGCTTGCACGGCTTGATGATCTGCTACTTTGAGCTGCTCCAGGAGCGATTTCGGCCAGCCTGTCTTCGATGTGTTTTCGGATTTTCTTCTCATACGTCGCTAGAAGAAGAGTTACAAATCGAATCATAAAAACGCATGATTACCTCTGGTAGTTTTCGAAACGACTGCCATCTTGTTGAAGAAAACTTTGTGAAGCTTTCGCAGATCTCCGGCTAAATGAAAGTTAGTTTTGAAAATCTCGGATGCGTTCTTACGTTCAGCGTCCTCAAGCTCGTTAAGTTTCTGAAGAAGTTCAGATTTCGTCAATGCCGATTGCTGATCAACAGGGTTGAAATAATCTTCATCGGCTTTAGTTAGTTCAGCGACTTCATCGTCAACCGCTTTTCCTTCTTCGTCAGGAGCGGGTAAGTCGTGACTTTCTTTCTCCGCAACTGTTTCTTCCTCTGGCATCTCCAAGACCGGCTCCAAAGCTGGCATCTCGCTATCAGGTACGATTTCATCCTCGTCACACGATGATTCTAGATACGTGACACCTTCAATTCCCGTTGACAACTTTTTCTTACGTTTTACAGGCTCTTGTTGCACCACCGGCTCTTGAACCATTTCAACCTCGACGAAAGGCTCTTCTTCAGGGATGTCTGGCCGATCATTCTCTTTTCCGACCACTTCGAATGACTCGACTTCTTTCTCAACGACTTCAGCTAGTTCTTGCTCAAAGTTTTGGCTCATATTTGCATATTTCTTATCGTTCGGTGGTGTGACTGGCCCGGTTTGCTCTTCCTCCTCTTCGACCTTCTCAATTTCCGCCTCCGCGTCTTTCTTTTTCTCATTTTGGTCTTCCTTCATTTCTTCCACAACTTTCAAAGGCTGAGAAGCGCTCATGTGGACGGTATGTCGCCTCAGGAGCAGATGATCTTCTTGTGCCATGCTTTCGGTATCAGAAACAGTCATGCGATCACCATCCATCGACGTATCTTTTCGTAATTCTGCTCCGACTCTTTCGACATCCGGGTTCTACAACAAATATGTTAGAAAAGAATCAAATCAAAATTCGTCCTACCTTGACCATCTCTGGAATGGCGATAATTGATGGATTCTCTTCCAAATCTGAGTCAGTCGGACCCTTTTGAATTTGATCCAGCACTTCGGCTTCTTCCGATTCCGAGCCATTCTCAGCAGCTTTTTCTTGCGATTCTTGCTTTTCTTGATGCTGGTTCACGCTAGAGACGTCGATGGTTACAGCACCAGTAGTTCCATTGGAACTTCTCGAAGATTCATCCTGAACAGCGACCGTTTCAGATTTGTTAGAGTTGACACTGTCAGGTCGGAGCATCGACACATCGGGTGTATCGTAGACAGAAGCGTTGTTCTGATCAATCTCCTTGTCAAGAGATGTTTGAAGAACACCTTCGTCTTCGCTTTCGTCGATAATTTCAATCGGAGCCTTCTCTTGCGAGTGGGAATCGGGGAAGATGCAGCCAGACTGGTGAGAGTCAGTTCCCTCTGTCGAGATATTTGATTCAACTGCTTTTTCGACAGCTGATTCAGAAGACGTACTGGCCATAGAAACATCAAGACCGGAGCATTCCATTGAAGATTCTGACTTGAATCGTATTGGACGGACTCGATCCTCGCGCTCGGATTTCTGAGAGTTGGTCAGAGAGCTCTGAACTGGCTTTGGAGGCAAAGTGAGTTGCTCGTATGAATTCGGCTCTTGAATCAGGTTTTTCATTTGCAATACACTGGGCGACGAAAAGAGGGCCTGTGCGATGTCGTCTTTTTCCTGGAAGATCGATGAGTTTCTTCGATCGCGCATCATGGGGCTGAAATATGCCTTGGTGGGAGTTTGGAGTCTTTTTCTTGAGAGCGGGTGGGGCGTTCCTTTGAGAGTAGGCTTTACTGGCATCGGCGATGAAAAGCTGAGAAGCTTTCTATACAAAGAAGTCGACTGATCATCTGGAGATCCTTGAAAAACAAGCTGCTGTTCTTCGTAAGAGAGCTGGCAGCTGAATAGTTCTCTGAGAAGTCCCTGTGCTCGGGCATGTTTGACCATGTAAATGAAGGCGTTTTCCCAGTCCAGTGAAGGATCCTCGGCTCTCGTTTGTTGAATACATCGGACGCATTCGAAAACAAGTTTGTTCGCCAAGTAAATGTCGATCCTTAGGTAGGTGATCTCAAGCAGTTCCGCTGAGGAGCTCCATTCTGGCGTGTGAATTGAAGAGATCGCAAAGGCTTCTTTGACGTGGTCATTTTCGAGCAAAATCGAGCAAATGCGCGTCCAGTGGTGAGTGAAGACAATTGGCTCGGCTAACCCGCTGTTGAAAGAGTTCACGGCCTCTTTGTAGTAGCCATTATCTAAGAACCAGCAGGCCTGAATGTATTTGACGAGTTTACGATTCATGCCGAGTGCGTTGAGCACCGCAAAGATTTGATCTTCCACCGGCGCTTCATTCTTGGTCAGATCATTTGTCCGCAGGATATCAAGAATCGCGTAGCACAGAAGTGATCCAGTGATGACAGGACGCACGTCAATGTTTAAAATCAGGTCGATGATGCACTTCAGCGACTGCGGAGGGTACTGCATCGCTTTATTCCAAGTCTCCAACTCACAATGAGCCACTTTTTCAACCATTTTGACGACCAAATCGATCATTAGCGCGTCTTCTTTGCCGTTTCGATGTCTGCCGTAAATGTTCCTGATGCATTCGTAGTTCCAGCCGAAGTTGGAGCGATCCTCAGTTTCGGGCAACATAGAGCTTTTCACGAGAAAAGCGAGGACATCTGCATACTTTTGATTGATTTGGCAACCTCGTGTCAAATAATCTTCAGCGTTCGAAATCGTCAAGTAGAATCGATGAAGATCGAAGAAAAGCTGCTCGATAACTTTTAGCTGCTTCCAAGTTTCTCGCCTGTTGAATCGTTGCTCAGTTCGCATTACAGGAACGTACAGTATCGCGATGAGCTTGTTGAATCGCTTCTTGATGCGCTTTATGTTCTCTTTGCCCCACAGATATGCCTTTGACTTTTCATTATCTGTTGCAGATTCGCCATAGAATTTAGTCAAGTCGTCAAGATGACCAAAATACAGCGCGCTGGTGAGGATACTGTCGACCTTTTCATCGTAAGACAAGTTCGTAATGGCGTCCATTATCGAATACGTATCCTTGTAGCCTCCACTGATCTTTTTTACTTGATTCAGCGTCAGTCGCGCAAACTCAAGCTCTTTGTGAACCTCGTTAGCCGACTCCTCCATGTTTCCGAGCTTCTTGAGTAGCCTTAGCGCCGTGTTTTGCCGACTATGGACGATGTTCTCTTCGTAGAAATTGTCGATGATCGCGTCCAGTGTGAATGTTATGCTCTCAGGCTCCGTCGGATCCTCCACGTGGCATTCGGTCATCATCAGCGGCCCACCGCGGTCGGAGCACTCGAAATGTTTCAGAAACTTCGACTGGATTCTGATGTCCTCTGGCTTTTCAACCGAAATGTTGAGAATTGAAAAGAATCGACGATCCCATTTCGACTTTGATCCCAAACTCGCAGGACAGCGCGCGTTGTAGTATCCATTGAGCTCGAACATGTAAATGCGGAATTTGTCTTCCTCGACGCCGAAAAATACGTAGCTCTCGCTGGGAGTGGCATAAATATCTGCATCTTCCCAACTATCGGAATCAGATGGATGCTCGTGGAAGTTTTCGACGGCAAAGGCGCTAGAGAAAATAATGTTAAAAACTATTTGAGACTCGAATCAAAGAAGAGAGAAATCTATTCTTAGTAAGAATCACTTACCTTGTGAGTTTTCCCTGTTGCCAAAACGAGAATCTATGTCCGACGCTCACCAACTCATCGTAAAACATCCTCCTTTCCTTTTCTTCAATTTTCGTCGGATGCCGCCTTCGAAATTCCAACGCAAACATCTCTAGCTGCACCTGCTCGTCTAACTGCGAGCACTGCCACATGTAGCACACTTTCTTCGGGTCGTTTCCAGGCTCTTGGATGATGATCCGATTGATGACGCCGTACTCTTCGTCTTCATTTGGACTCTCGTGGATCGACCTCATTTCTTTCAGCGCGTAAAAGCTCACAACTCCGTCCTCGTAGCCTATTAGCAGTAGTGACTGTTGGACAGCGACTGTGAGTGTGGAAATGGCCGCGTCTTGCGATCTACGATGGTTTCCCTCGAAGACAGCTGGGCAGGAGTCGGATTTGTAGAGATCGTTTCTTACTTCTGAAATGACGTCTACGTCCAGGTATTCCAAGTCTGTGAGCGCAGGAGACATACGATGATCTTCACCGATATTTAAATCGACAAAGAGGATGTTTCCAGAACTGGTTGCGAAAACAGCAAGTCCGTGGAAGTCGATCAGATCTGGATGAAGGGCAGCTTTGTGAGACAGCGTTGGGCGAAGGAAAACGGGGCGAATGTGAGTGACGGTTTCGGAGCTTATTTTGAATTTTCGGATCGCCGTCAACGATTTGTTCAATGAGAGCAGGTGCACTTCCCCACAGTGGTCGGTTTTTCTACTCTCGAAGGCGCAGAAGATGATTTTTTCATCTTCCCATGGCTCGATTACTAAGAATTTCTTAATAGAACAGTCTAGGAGTTTACACACCTGTTATCCTTCCTGGCAGTGTAATGGTTCTAAGACAGGAACCATTCTTTGAAAGAAACAGTCGCACTTTTGAATCCTCGTCATACTGGATCACATACTTCCCACATATGAAGCTCTTTTGATTTTTATCCGATTTCGATGTCGCGAGCGTGCACGACTTTAAATTTACAATGTCCGGCGTCCTACGCAATGTTGCATTGATAGCTTCCATTCAATCTAAAAAGAATACGGGCTTTAGCAACGCTAGAGTTTGAACTAGAAGATTTTTTTTTCGAGTGTGAAGGTCTCAGGCACATATCTTTTTATCAGTGTAAGAATATTAGCTTTTTAATTTCAACCTTTGCGTGGGAAAATTTGGGAATAATATCGTATAAAAATGGAGCAAGAAGCAATAGAATTATGGCAGTAGTTAGGTCTTATTTGGGAAACATGTGATAGCATTATTATGAATTATTTGTTTTTGCTATATTTTTTGATCTCCTCGCCGATCTTGTTGTCCACGCCCTTGATTTTTTGAATCAGCTCTTTTTGATCGCTGGTGGATTGAATGAGATCGAAGACTTCTCTGAGCAGTTCGCGTTTCGCAGTTGCTACTTTTTTCTTCCCTGCTCGGGCCATCGTGTCTTTCAGGTCCTGAACAATTAGTTAGTTGTGTAACTGATAGGAATGGCCTCTTACCAAGGTGTAAGCCTTTCGCCACGCATCCTCCTTCTCCTTGAATTCATCAAGATTCCAGGAGTCGATATCCTTGTGGCATAGGCCGGGCTTGTCCCTCCAGCTTGACGGGAAGAAATTCTTCACCGTTTGATGGAGCTTTTTCATGTACTCCTTCTCTCTCTTCTCTACTCTCTCTCGTGCAGCCTTTTCTTTTTCAACAGTGCGCTCGAGTTCTAGCAAACGCTCCTCGAAGTTTTCCTCCGATTCTTTGCGATGCCGGCGCTTTGGCTACAGAAAAAGGGTCAGTAAAACCTTTTTGGAATCAAGGCAGACTCACCGGTGGGCTCTTTCCTCCATAATCGCTGTTGTCTTCTTCCGAGCTGTCACCAATCACTGCTCTGTGTCGATCAAAGCCAGAAGTCACCTCTGCTCCTACTGGCCCATGTCCAGAGCGTCTCTTTCTCAAGTTTCTCTTTCTGACAATAGGCTCGTCGTCCTCAGAATCCGAAATAATTCGACCTCGGTTCTGAATCGGTGCGTCGCGAATCACTGGCGGTGCTTTTCCACTCGCACTTGTCGTAGCGCCGTTGCCGTTTTCGCTTGTCTTGGCAGATGGCCGTTGGATTTTTCGACGCTCGGGAGAAACGGCGACTTCTTCGACATCGCGCGATTCCTTTTTGATTACGGGCAACATCTCGAGCGATTTCGTTGTGATGACTTCTTCGGCGTTTTTGCAGCTGTTGTATTTCTGAACGAAATAATAAATAAACATAAATATCTTTGGTTAAGAAAATTCTCTTTACAAAGTAATAAGAAAGTCGCTAGAAATTAGCACTTGGCTCGCACACACAAAGTGGGATTTACTTCTGGGTGACAAGAATGGCTTGACCAACGCTTGACTGAGAGTACTTACAGGATCGGTCAAATCCATGCAGATGAAATAGGCAGGATTCGCATCGTCTGGATTATTGACTTTTCGGAACTTGCCGCAGTCATCTCTCGTGCACCGGAAAAATGGAGGTTGAGCCTTTAAAAATGTTGAAAAGAGTAGGTCGAGAAGTGCTTTTTACCTTCTCAACCGCCCGGTTTGTCGCCTGGGTTTCCTGTCTCTCGCACAATGGATCGCTGGTGGGGTAGCCGAACTGGCACCACTGCTCGAACTCGATTTTGATTCGCTTGTGGTAATCGTGCGCGCGATCTTGGCACAACTTCACAAGAGTCCTGAATTCAAAATTGATCATTCCATAAAACAACCAATAAAGTAATAAACATACAATCAAACGTACCTAAACTCTCTATCATCCGCGAATCGCTGCTTGCTCATGCTCGGCTGCATCAACGCTGCTGGAACATCCACCGCCGCCAAAACACCAAGAGGCCATTTCGCCATTTCCGGTCCTTCGACTTCAACGATGAGGCGATTTTTAGAGAAGATTCGGATCCCGGATTTTTGTCGCTCGCGGATGTTGTAGCCGAGGGTGAGGGTGAAATCGGTGACATTGGAGATTTTTTCCTTTTGCTTGATTTCCAGGTCGAAGCGGCGAATGTCACTCTCGTACTTGTCGACTGTCATGTTGAGCTTGCGAATTTGCTGGAGAGAGCTAGCGTTGGTGGACCCTTCTTTCGTCAAAGTGGCGATCTGAAAATGAGTTAATCAAGATTATAGATCCGTGGGTAAGTTTAGAAGATTAATCAGATTTCGTTTAGTTTCCGGCGAACTATCTTTAAAAAAGCCCAAGTTTCGTACGAAGGAAAAAAGTTTACTGTGCTTACCTCAGATTTGACTTTCTTGATCTTGTTCAATTTCTTCTTTTTCTGCTCTGTCAAGTCTGCGATTTTAGACTTAGCCGTCGATCGGAATTTGCCCTTTGGAAGATTGTATTTGCGTCTTTCGTACATCAGATCGTAGATTCGAGTTGGGCGGATAAATTCGCCGCGGAGGAAGACTTGCATCTTAGGCTTAAGAATATGATGAAAAAGACGAAAAAAGCGTGAATTCACCTTGAGGTAGAGGGTTGAGAGGTATTCTTTGAGAGATTTCGCCGCGTTTCCATGATCTCCAACATCGTGAATGTCGTTGTCGTCCAGCTCAGCGTTCAATTCTGGCTCGCCACTTTCATTCAGGTTGAGCTGGTAAAGAATGATGATGGTTCCTTGGCTTTCCAGGCCATAAAATTGCTCTAGAATGGAATTTTATTTGAAGAATCTTCAAAGAAAGGACTAAAACTAGGTTTCTTACCAAGAAGAGTTTCCTCGTTGGAGAAGGGCGAGTAGCTCGTGATAAGATCGACTTCTGTCTCGTGTCGCATCTTTTCGTCTTTTTCTGGCTTTGATGGATCGTAAATGGGGCGATAGTTGACCGACCCGTCGCTTTCGTAGACCATCTTCCAGCTCGGCAGAGGGCAGATTACTTCGTTCTGAAAAAAAAGGAGACATTCTAGCACTGGAAGAGGAGATAACTCTTACATTTTCATTCTCATATCCAGCATGAGAGGATTTAATGAATGTTTGAGAGATCATGAGTGCGGAGAGCTCGTCATCTTTGATCGACAAGACGAGGCAGTCGTTTCCAACTCTCATCGAGCCAGATTTTAACCCGTTGCCGTACATGCCGATCATTTCTGGGTTGTCGTTCTTGCTCGAGTAGCCATAAGCGATGACGTTGAACATTTCTTTCGACGTCATTCCGCAGCTAGAAAAAAAAGGAGTAGAAAAGAGGATTACAGATAGGGGACATACCCTAGATCGCGGAAATAAATGTAATTTTTTCCTTGAAGATTTTCGTTTTCTTCCACGCTTTTTATGTCGATCTCGAGTTTTGGGGAACCAGAGTCACTGAACAGAAATAAGTCAGTGACATTCGATTGAAATGGGGAGAAAAGAGTGTACTTACTATGCATTGTCGACGATTTCAGCGATGGCTCCAAAGACGGACTCATGAGTAGACGCGTTTGACTCAAGAAACGCAGTTGTCAACCGCGCCCGTGGAATCAACTCCATCGCCCGAAAGAATTCCTCTTCGCTGTCTGAAAATCAAAATGATATGAATTTGATTTCAAGGTACAAATCAGGTAGTTACTTCTAATGAAAATCTCTCTTTTCTTCAATGTTTTTCTATTTTAGTTTTAAAAAGGAAGTTCTCTGTAGCCGATACAGTAGGTTCATTTCCTACGCCTTTTTCTCTAACAGACAGAATACTAAAAAAGGGAAATTTGTAAAATTGGCGCGCACAGTTTTTTGCGCCGAATTGGCCAAGGCGCTGGGACAGAAGCCAATCAGCGCTGCGCTATTTTTTCCTTTAGGGACGGAAAATCGCGCTCTCGCGCTGCAGCTGATCATCGCGAAATCGGGACTCTAAGAGTAGATTGCCGGAATTGACAACTCAAACAAGCGGATAGGCCGATTTCTGACAAGTACCAATCGACCCAATCTGATTGTTTTTTCTATCAGATGTTAACCCTTTTTATGATAATTAAAAAAAAAAGTTAGTCGTTACCTTAAAAATCTAGCTTTTTAAAAAATACGAGCTCTCGAATCTCTTACGGTGATCGACTGAAGAAAGTCGTGAAAATATCGGACAGCTGAAATAAAATCTAGAAAGTTTCAATGACCTCTTCGATCGCGATTCTGGAATGAGCATTTTTTACCTTTTGAATCTTTCTTGTTCTGGTTGACCTGTTCGTCCATCTCCAGCAGCGTCAAAATATCAATCGGTTCATCATGTCTTACTGTACGAATCAAGTCCAAAATGGGAATATCATCCGAATCTGAAGCATTTCCGCCAGCGCGGCCATCATCAGTTTCCTCCTCATCACTTGTAAAAGCTACAGTGATCTTTAGGTTCCGACATGGGTCTTCATCCCTCTTTTGAATCGTCGAGTTCGACACCTCTACTTGTTCCTTGGATCCCAGGGATTCCAAATCTGGAAAAAAAGTAGGGGTTGGTCACGTGTTTTGGCTCGAAATCGGCGATTTTTCATTTTGGGCCGGAGGATTTTCACAAGTTTGTTAAACAATCCTCTGCCTCAGGCAAAACGGAGGTAACCAATGAAAAGAGCGCCCTTTTTTACCCTAGAATCCACCTTCAAACCTTCCGGCCTCGCTCTCATATCCCTAGAATGAACAAAAGTTTGGAACTTTCTTGTTTGTCGGAAAACACTGAGCGGAGGACTTTCGCTGGTGGAAGACCTCCTGGAAGACCAATATTAAAATAAATGAATAAATGACCTTCCTCGGTCAGTAAATGGCCACTTGAGGTCAACTTCGGTCACTTTGTGCCGGAGGACCTTCCGGAGGACCCCTCTGATGGAAGACAAGCTGGTGGAAGACCAAGATTTAAAAACAAAAAAGAAATAAAATAAAGAGCTATGATTGGCTTGTTATTGCCGCTTATGGCCAATTTCGGCCGTTTTCTGCCGGAGGACCTCCCGGAGGACCTCCTTACTGGAAGACCAACTGCTGGAAGACCAATATAAAAAAAATAAATAAATAGCCTTGCTTGGTCACATATTGCCACATTTGGCCAACTTCGGCCGCTTTCTGCCGGAGAACCTCCCGGAGGACTCACTTACTGGAAGACAAACTGCTGGAAGACCAATATAAAAAAAATAAATAAATAGCCTTGCTTGGTCACATATTGCCACATTTGGCCAACTTCCGCCGCTTTCCGCCGGAGGACCTCCCGGAGGACTCACTAACTGGAAGACCAACTGCTTGTAAACTTGTTGGGAATGAATCTGTCTGGGATAAAGACACGCAAGCACATACAATTCAGTCAGGCAGGGGGCCAAGCCGACCCGTAGGGGAGGCCACGCCTGTTTATTGAATTCAGTCAGGGACAGGGCGAAGCCGACCCGAAGGGGAGGCCACGCCTGTTTATTCAATTCAGTCAAGGACAGGGCGAAGCCGACCCGAAGGGGAGGCCACGCCAGTTTATTCAATTCAGTCAAGGACAGGGCGAAGCCGACCCGAAGGGGAGGCCACGCCTGTTTATTCAATCCAGTCAGGGACAGGGCGAAGCCGACCCGAAGGGGAGGCCATGCCTGTTTATTCAATCCAGTCAGGGACAGGGCGAAGCCGACCCGAAGGGGAGGCCACGCCAGTTGATTCAATTCAGTCAGGGACAGGGCGAAGCCGACCCGAAGGGGAGGCCATGTCTGTTTATTCAATCCAGTCAGGGACAGGGCGAAGCCGACCCGAAGGGGAGGCAACGCCTGTTTATTCAATTCAGTCAGGGACAGGGCAAAGCCGACCCGAAGGGGAGGCCATGCCTGTTAATTCAATTCAGTCAGGGACAGGGCGAAGCCGACCCGAAGGGGAGGCCATGCTTTTCATTCAATTCAGTCAGGGACAGGGCGAAGCCGACCCGAAGGGAGGCCACGCCGAGTTATTCGATTCAATCAGAGAGAGAATGTAGCTGACCCAAAAGAGAGGCCACGCCCGTTTGTAAAATTAAGTCAGTTATTCTCTCTCGTGCTCGATGCTAGTGTTATTAGCTTCGCTAACTCTCTCCTTTTTCTGACTACAATAAATGCTAAGCTTATAACCCTAAACTTAATCTTAGATTAAACTCAACTACATTGCACCGCGGTTTAAAATCATTGACGAGGCTGAGAAATTATTCTTTATGTCGATTTTATTGCAGGATTGTAGAATCTGGACGTACAGGGCAGTATTTAAAATCTGAGAATATTAAAATTGATTTAAGCCCGAGTTTCTTGCTTCGAAGAGTTAAGCGCAGACCGGGCGGGCGCTCTCGCGAGTCGAGCGAATCTCGGGCCTGGGGCCTATTTCCGATCGTCGACGAATCACGGCGCATTTGCGAGTTACTAACACTATCATCGAGAAAAAAGTAATAGAAAGAATTAATTTATCTAGACACTATGGTCAAGCTATCTTCGTCCAAGAAATCGTGTTCATTTATACTTAATCGCATATTGTGAGAGCAAGGTTGGAATTTCTATAAATTAACTAGGGACCTTAGACGCATATGAATTAAATTATTTTAAATGTGTCCGGGGAGAGCGAATATAGCAAAATCCGCCTGGATCTTCGGGTCGGCTTCGCCCTGTCCCTGACTGAATTGAATAAACAGGCGTGGCCTCCCCTTCGGGTCGGCTTCGCCCTGTCCTTGACTGAATTGAATAAACTGGCGTGGCCTCCCCTTCGGGTCGGCTTCGCCCTGTCCCTGACTGAATTGAATAAACAGGCGTGGCCTCCCCTTCGGGTCGGCTTCGCCCTGTCCCTGACTGATTTGAATAAACAGGCGTTGCCTCCCCTTCGAGTCGGCTTCGCCCTGTCCCTGACTGAATTGAATAAACAGGCGTTGCCTCCCCTTCGGGTCGGCTTCGCCCTGTCCCTGACTGAATTGAATAAACAGGCGTGGCCTCCCCTTCGGGTCGGCTTCGCCCTGTCCTTGACTGAATTGAATAAACTGGCGTGGCCTCCCCTTCGGGTCGGCTTCGCCCTGTCCCTGACTGAATTGAATAAACAGGCGTGGCCTCCCCTTCGGGTCGGCTTCGCCCTGTCCCTGACTGATTTGAATAAACAGGCGTTGCCTCCCCTTCGAGTCGGCTTCGCCCTGTCCCTGACTGAATTGAATAAACAGGCGTTGCCTCCCCTTCGGGTCGGCTTCGCCCTGTCCCTGACTGAATTGAATAAACAGGCATGGCCTCCCCTTCGGGTCGGCTTCGCCCTGTCCCTGACTGGATTGAATTAACGAGCGTGGCCTCCCCTTCGGGTCGGCTTCGCCCTGTCCCTGACTGAATTGAATAAACAGGCGTTGCCTCCCCTTCGGGTCGGCTTCGCCCTGTCCCTGACTGAATTGAATTAAAAGCGTGGCCTCCCCTTCGGGTCGGCTTCGCCCTGTCCCTGACTGAATTGAATAAACAGGCATGGCCTCCCCTTCGGGTCGGCTTCGCCCTGTCCCTGACTGGATTGAATTAACGAGCGTGGCCTCCCCTTCGGGTCGGCTTCGCCCTGTCCCTGACTGAATTGAATAAACAGGCGTTGCCTCCCCTTCGGGTCGGCTTCGCCCTGTCCCTGACTGAATTGAATTAAAGCGTGGCCTCCCCTTCGGGTCGGCTTCGCCCTGTCCCTGACTGAATTGAATAAACAGGCATGGCCTCCCCTTCGGGTCGGCTTCGCCCTGTCCCTGACTGAATTGAATCAACGAGCGTGGCCTCCCCTTCGGGTCGGCTTCGCCCTGTCCCTGACTGAATTGAATAAACAGGCGTGGCCTCCCCTTCGGGTCGGCTTCGCCCTGTCCCTGACTGAATTCAATAAACAGGCGTGGCCTCCCCTACGGGTCGGCTTGGCCCCCTGCCTGACTGAATTGTATGTGCTTGCGTGTCTTTATCCCAGACAGATTCATTCCCAACAAGTTTACAAGCAGTTGGTCTTCCAGTTAGTGAGTCCTCCGGGAGGTCCTCCGGCGGAAAGCGGCGGAAGTTGGCCAAATGTGGCAATATGTGACCAAGCAAGGCTATTTATTTATTTTTTTTATATTGGTCTTCCAGCAGTTTGTCTTCCAGTAAGTGAGTCCTCCGGGAGGTTCTCCGGCAGAAAGCGGCCGAAGTTGGCCAAATGTGGCAATATGTGACCAAGCAAGGCTATTTATTTATTTTTTTTATATTGGTCTTCCAGCAGTTGGTCTTCCAGTAAGGAGGTCCTCCGGGAGGTCCTCCGGCAGAAAACGGCCGAAATTGGCCATAAGCGGCAATAACAAGCCAATCATAGCTCTTTATTTTATTTCTTTTTTGTTTTTAAATCTTGGTCTTCCACCAGCTTGTCTTCCATCAGAGGGGTCCTCCGGAAGGTCCTCCGGCACAAAGTGACCGAAGTTGACCTCAAGTGGCCATTTACTGACCGAGGAAGGTCATTTATTCATTTATTTTAATATTGGTCTTCCAGGAGGTCTTCCACCAGCGAAAGTCCTCCGCTCAGTGTTTTCCGACAAACAAGAAAGTTCCAAACTTTTGTTCATTCTAGGGATATGAGAGCGAGGCCGGAAGGTTTGAAGGTGGATTCTAGGGTAAAAAAAGGGCGCTCTTTTCATTGGTTACCTCCGTTTTGCCTGAGGCAGAGGATTGTTTAACAAACTTGTGAAAATCCTCCGGCCCAAAATGAAAAATCGCCGATTTCGAGCCAAAACACGTGACCAACCCCTACTTTTTTTCCAGATTTGGAATCCCTGGGATCCAAGGAACAAGTAGAGGTGTCGAACTCGACGATTCAAAAGAGGGATGAAGACCCATGTCGGAACCTAGTGATCTTCTTCCCGTTTCGAAGCTTAGATGAGCGATAAAAAGACATTTTCAAGAGTCTATTTGTTCGAAAAATGAACTGGTAAAAAGTGAGGAAATCAGGCGCTTTATAAAGAAAGGAAGACTATTCTGGATTTATCAAAGGGTTGAGATCCGGTTTGAACTTGGTGCACCATTCTTTCATGAGTTATCGAGATATTCTTGATTGATTTGAGTGAAGTATGAACTTTATCATTAAAATTTTTTCTGGAAAATCATAACAGTGAAAAGATAAGCTTCCAAATTCAAGCTTCGGATTTCTCGTCCACCATCGATTTCTCCATCTAAAGTTGAAATTCTGCTTCGTCTTTTGCATCTTCTTCCTCAACTGCGCTCAATATTTGCGTTGCTCGGACGGCCTCAGATTTATTATCCTTATCGGGGGTTCCAGTAGCTTGAGATTGAGAAATTTCCATGTCTCCTGGCGCCGGAAAGATGAAAACGTCTGGATTCTCGATCGCTTTGTCTTGTTCGTAAGATTGGTAAAGAGAAGGAGCAGGGAAGGGCGTCAAGGGCTGGGGTTGCTGCTGAGCTACAGTGTTGACTGAAGGTTGAGTAGGAGGAACTGGTTCAGTTTGAAGCACATTTTCGCCGAGGAATTGATCTGACAGAGGCGCCACGGTCGTTAGGTTCAATGGATCCTTTGAAAATCAATGTTATCGAAGAAAATGATCAGTGTTATTTACGCGACAACAGCAGGATGAGCCGTGAAAATTGGCCAAGAAGAAAGAGACGAACATGACGACCATGATACTCAAGAATTGAATCCCATGAAATGTGAAGAAAGAGATCAAAATCGCTAAAAATGTTTTGACAAGACGGAACGGTATGTTCATACCTTTTCCTAAGACGGCCTCCCAGTAGGAAGGGTACATGGAAACTTGGTAGACATGCCAAGCCAGGGATGGTAAGATCCACAAGAAACCGATGATCGAAAGAGATCCAGAAAAATTGCCCTAGATCTCTCAGAAAATGAACACTGAAGGGAGAATACTTACGAGACATCCAGCAGCTCTGAATCTATTGAAGAATGGAGGTGGAGTGTGAAGTTTCGAAGCAACGATTCCTATACTTCCAGCAGCAATGGCGAAGATTCCAACGACGATTCCGATTCCGAATGAGGGGATCAAATCGAGTCCGTTTTGCCATTTCACTTCAACAGCGAGGCAAAATGCATCGGATACAACAAGCAAAATGGAGAATACCAGTAGCACGATACTTTCAAAAGGCTTTTCGTGAACTCAGGCTTAGATAAGATGAAGTTTAAAAGCCCGAGTGCCTTAATCGTTTTGCCTGCTGTGTCAAAACTTGAAACATAATTCCGTCTCTCTTGAAAATACGCCAAATTCACGCTGGTTAAAAATAGGAAAATACTCTTACGGATGCTGAGGACGCTATTAGCCTTCCTGTCGTTTTTATACCTGGCTGCAATGTTTGATAACGATCGTCAATTTATATTATATTTGACGACTGTGATAGCCGAACACCACGAGATCCTACTGCCCTTGGAAACGTTCTATAAATTTATTCAAAGCAATATGCAGTAGCTAACGGGGTTATTCTCCTACGAGGTTATTTCCACTTTGAAAAACAGACCAGTTTAGGATGTTTTTTGGATCAATCCGGGACCAAACCATCATTTTAAGATTGAGATCTTGGGTCGATCTTGGGTTCTCTATAAAAAGACAATAATTGAGGATTACTTGAAGCATTTTGAATGATTCTTATATTGAGAAAATGTAGCGAGTAACCATTTGGAGCAATCAATAATCTTTACAAATAAAAACACTAACACGCTAAAATGCAATTCATGAAAAACAAGTGGACCGCAATTATTTGTACCTTGTTATTGATCTGTACAATTTAAATAAAGATATCTAAAATTATGAAATGATCTTTTATTACTTTTTTTATAGATCTTTAATTGAAATGACAAAAGGGAAGAAAGCATTTATATGACAGGCTCGTTGTTCAGAGAATGCCTTCTTCAAATTATTTATCGGGAAAAGATAAAGTGAAATCATGGAGAAGAACTTTTTTGCAAAAATTTTCAACCTAGTTATTTTTTTTTATAAGATGAGGTTTTTGAGGTTAATCAAGAGATTAAAACTGCCGGAAATCGTAAGGCAGGCCTGAAACAGCGTGGGAAAGAAGGTGAAAATCGTGAAAAGTGAAAACAAGGAGAAGAATCAGGCGCGCTCATTGGGCGCCCCGTCTGGTGGTTCGATCGCTGCCCCTGATTCGACGACTTTTAGATTTCACAGAAACCCGGATTACTATTCCGTTCTAGAGAACGCACCACTTTTCATCCCATCCCATCTTATCACGAAAACGTAAGGGTAAAATGACGTCTCCCCCACTCTTTAATTTTCATTCATTTATTAAAAATTGTTAAATGTGCAAAAATCATTTTTATCTTTCAGATCTCTTCAGAAAAGAATTCACTTTTTGACGCGCAAAAATGAAGCTTCAGCTTCGGAGCTTGTTGGAAATGCCAGATGATAACCTTGAGCAAACTGCGTTTCTGACTGAAATCAAGGAAGAAGCCACTGATGATGGATATAGAGAGTCGACATCTCAAGGTACTGTTATGATGCTACAGTCATCGAATCGAATATTTTACTGCATCATTCAATCTACTTTTATCTTGTTCTTCGCACCGGATCGAGTAAATTCTCGATACTCAGGATTTATGAGAATCTGGTCTTTTTATGTTAATCGATTTACGTTTCGCTTTGAAGTTTGCTTTCATAGAATCTACCAGAACTGATATGAGATGAAGACTCAGTTAGCTTTATCAGAGGCTTTCTTCTATGATTTCATCGTGAAACCCATCAAATCGGCTGTTTATTTACGAAGTCAGCCTGGCCTAAATATCGGGGTTAATCTCAAGCTGCAAAGAGTTTCACGGGCGGGTAGATTGACCGCACAAGTACTGTGCATTTACGCTATTCTCGCATGGCTAGTCCCCAGCCGGGCCCGCGGCAACGAAATTTCAAAGGCGCCACTCTTGCTCCTCCACCACACAACGAGAACTCACCCAGGCGCCACTCCTCTTTATTTCCACTTTTTTCAACTTTGCGAATAACAAGAAAAATCGACAATTTTTTTAGCGGCAGCAACTCCCCGAGTGTCCATTCCGGAGATCGACATGAGAGATGCGTTGACTTGTGCCACTTGCGAGGTCAAATTCAAGTCTCAATGGCTTTTAGACGCGCATCAAAAAGGAAAGTTCATTCATGCACCCTTATAATTTCACCCTAGAATCCTGAAACCCTTATAAATCGGATTTATAATCAGTCAAATTAGCCAACAACCGGTTCGCTCAAAATGACTAATTTATGAATATACCCCTGAATGCACCCTAGGCCATTTTTATGACAGCAACATTGAACCTCAAAAGGCCACGACGATGCTCTTGTCTGGTGCCGCGAACTCCAACGCACGAAACTCCAAGAAGTCGGACTCGACATTGATGACTTAGAAGACTACAGCCATCTTTATGGCGGGAGTGATGACAGCGATGAGAGCGAATCAGGTGCATATTTTTCTTGCATTATTCGGATACGTCAACTCTTGTTTTTATAGAGCCCGAGGCGGAAGACTTTAACTTCGACTTCTCGGCCGTCAAGACTGAAATAAATGCAGAACAGATGAAATCAACCCCTGCATCCGAAGAAGGTTGGAATATAATTATTCATATCGACTTATATATAAACCTGTATTTCTATATATTTTATATGAAAAATACACTTTTACATATGCTCATTTCTTCCATAAAGACCGAGAGGACAAATACGATCCGATGAATTTCTCGGACGATGAACCAGTCACTGGGAATAATGCCGAAACCGAATCCATTCCCGAAATGTCTGAAAATGAAGACGACGAAGATGATGGACCTCCTCCTCTAGAACTAGCGGGCCCTCCAGAGCTTGAAGAGATTCCTCCGCATCATCAAGAGATGCAGCCGCTCGATGATCTTCTGAATGTTCCATTCACGGTATTTGAGAAGCTCTGCTCTCAAAATGAGAATGAGCCGTATATAAAACCGAAAGTATACAAATTATTTTCGTGAGAACACAAAATTATCATGATTTCTAGCCACCTGCAGATCGAAAAAGACCAAAGAGAAAATTGCGAATCCCAGCTCGAGCTAGAAAGTTCACTTCTGACGACGATTACCAACCTGATGAGAAAGACGAAGAATACGACCCAGGAGTTGAGAACTCGCCTCCTATAAAAACCCCTAGAAAATCCTATGCCCAGGTAAGACTACTCACTGGTCCCCAAAAATGACAGATTTTAAGGCGGCACGTAGTTATCCAAGCACAGCTATTCCAGATTCAGAAGGCATGGTGGATTTGGCTCTTCATCCCGTGAGCGATAATTTGCCAGAGCCTATGACTCCCTCAAAAGTGGACAGATCAGAATATGCGAACGGCGAGCCTAAGAAGTGCAAGTACTGTGATAAGGAATTCCGCAGCTTCGGTAATCACAAATTCATTTCTTGCGAAACCTAACTCATTTTAGCGCAACTAGACCAACATCAACGCTGTCACACGGGCGAGAAGCCCTATCTCTGCGTTCACTGCCACAAAACATTCCGTCAGAAAGCTCATCTGACCACCCATGTTCGAATTCACACCGGTGCTCGGCCTTATCAATGCAAGGTCTGCGGTAAAGGCTTTATCCAGTCACAGCACTTGAAGAATCACACCAGACTTCATACTGGCGAAAAACCTTTTCAATGCAAAGTTTGCAAGAAATTCTTTAGGTAGTTAAATCTTTCAAGGCCAAACTAAATCCCACTTTCTCAAAGTCAAATTTCCAATCTCCGGCATCACGAACGCGGCCACAAGAGAAAGGGCGAATACTTCAGTGGATCCGATGACGAGTACAAGAAAGAAAAGGAGGAACCGCCACAAGTCTACACTCCATCGCCTCGCCAAGCTCTGAAGCGTCGCGCTGCTGCAATCGCCCCTCGCCCTGATAGCCCGGAAAGCAACGCTTCCGAAGAACCCGAAAAGGAGCCAGAACTGCCATCAGAAGAGATGCCAGTTACAATCGACCTACCGTTGGAAGAAGTTCCCTCGAAGGAAGCCGGTGTACCCTCGATGGACTCACTCGAAATGTCTGCTTTTGACGAAGACCCTATGGATACGTCGGTTCCTCAAATTGGCCTGAAAACAGCGTGAAATGTCCCTCTTTTCAAAAAGTTCCTGAAAGAAAGCAACGACCTGATGATCCTGAAAAAATATAAAATATTTTTCCTCGCTGCCTTAGATTTTTATTATAATCAGCCATGATCCTCTATTGAAACTTTTTCTTTTTCAGATGGTCGAGTTAAAACTGAAATGCGTAACCTGCTCCGCTTCTTTTTCCTCCGACGAAATCTACAGCGCCCATCGGGAGGGGCATAAAAAGGCGGAAGAGTGGCTCCGGGTGAATTTGCCGAAATCGAAATCAACGAAGAGAAAACCGTCTCCAGTTAAGACCGTCATCGAGGAACCCCCACCCATGTCTATGATTCCTCTTGAATCACAAGGTATTAAAATTTTCTTCCAACCGCCTTTTCATCCCATTTTAGCTCAAGTTCTCCGACGAGCGGCGAAACCCGCCATTAGCCGTCGATCGGCCCCGATCATGCCAAGCCAAAGCTGGCGAAAAAGCGAACTCATGACAATCTTCTCGTCACTAGAACTCCCAGTCCCGCTCGCCCAGTCATCCGGAATACATTGAAGCGGTTAGAGCCAACTCCCGCACCAGCGGGTGAATCAGAATTCAACGCGCGGTTGATGGAATGCACGAATAAGCGAAAAGCGGAAATGCGAATGGACAAGGGTCTTCCACCGCTAAATCCGTACTATTGCCGCAATTTTATGCACAAGGAAAGGAGTTTGAAAAGTGATTGATGAAAATAATTCAGTAGAAGTTCGCTTGTCAAACTCAAAAATAGGACTGTTTCTTCAGCTCAATTTACTGGGCTTCAATGCGACGACATTACGAATCTAAGCATCCTGAGACTCCACTGACCCTTCCTCCTTTGAAAATGCGCCACGCATGCGAATGTGGAAAGACTTTTCTTGAGCCAAATCGTCTTCAGGAATGCGATTTACAAATTTTCTGAAATAACTAAAGGAGAACTGTATTAACTAAACGAAAACAGTATTACTTTTTAAAAAGAGGGATCATATTAAAAATCGCGAAAAAAGGAACACATGAAGTCCCAAAAACACATGTACCAACCAGACAAAAACAAAGTCCCCTACGAAAACGACGACTCGGTCACCCACTGGCAAGACCTTGTTGACATGGAGGAAGCCTAAACCCTATTTACTGCCCTAATTCTTTCTTGCACATGTGACATTTTTTTTGAATAAACAATCAAACATGATCATCGAGAGGGACGATGTTGGCTGATACTCCACTTGAAGTGATCGTGAATTTGAATCAAGGGCAACCTTGCTTGGATTCTTGAAATTTTAGGGCGCTTTTTTGGGAATGGATTTCGGTCGGGAGAGGATTCAATTACAGGCGCTCCAGTCTCATGTCCAAATTTTAAAATGTCGCGTCAGAAGCACCTGACAGAAGTGTGAAAATCTAATTTAGCGGGCGGCTTACGTTTCTGTTGTGTACAAGCATTTGGGAACTGACGGGTCAAAAGGATAGCTGATGTTGGAAATAAGAAATCTATGGTCAGATAAAATACTTCGTCGGATAGTTGCTGTGTTAGTTCAGTGTTAATTCATCAAAAATATGTTTTCTGAGAGAAAATACAAAGGTAGTTCGCTAATTGACCTATTTTCATAAAATTAAAGTTAAAGGTACAGGGCATCACTTGAAAAACTATCAAAAACGGAAAGAAATGCATAAAAAATTCATGCGCCAAATGAAACGCGTGGGCGCACTATCCGCTCGCGGTGAATTGCCGCGGGGAAGAGCGCGCCCTCTTTGACTTGAGCTGCTTTCAGCGATTTCGAAATTTTTTCGTTTTTTCTACTACGCGCTTGACTCAGCGCTAGAAACTCACTTTCGGGCGTCATTTTTTTCTTCAAGAGATTTCTGGACGAAGAACTGAAGATTTTTAAGAGAATAATGAAATTGAGGAAGACCGGAGAAAAGAACAATTCTAGTGGATAATGATAAGGCTTCGAAATTTAGCATTTTTCGAAAGAAAATAGTTGGAAAATCTCAATTTTCAGACTTTCGCTAAAAAATAATCTTTTTCACTGAGAAATATTTAATCGTGTATATTTGAAAATGTTATTAGAAGTAAGATAAAGTGAATCATCACTGATTTTAAAAGAAAAATGAGGAAAAATATGGAATGTCGCTGATTTATTTGTCGAACATATCGATTTCGTGGCGTTTTTTTTTTAATTTTGCAAAAAGAAAGAATTGTAAAGTTCCTGTTAATTAGGCGTATAATTAAAATTGACCGTTGGTGACCTCAACTGACTGTAATTACAAACAAAAAGCGACAAGAGATTATTTTTTCGGAGCCAAAATGAGCCCTTCGCCCAGCGGCGAATCCAGCCGGAACTTCTTGTCGAACGATCAGAGCAAAACTCGGCGCCCTTCGAAAGCTTCTCAGGAAAAGGGATGGAATGAAAAGACGATTATCGATGGCCTCCTCCTCGGTTTATGACCTTTTACGGGTGTTTGAGGGTTAAATAGAAATGTTGAGAGGCGGTTGATTGATGATAATTAGCGCGAGATTTATTACCAGCGAGGAGAGTTATTTGTCAAGTTTTTTTTTCGAAGGAAAAATGTAACCCATCATTAGCAGGAAAAATGGCCTTGCAAATATTCTCACTGCTTATTTTCTGTTTACAGTAGGGCTCGCCAAAAAAAAGTCGATGTCGATTCTCCCTTACGAATTTTATCTTAAAATGATCCCCGTTCTTTTCTGATTCAAATGATGTGCTTATGTCACTCGTAAGTCTTGGGGAAAAAATTCTAGAGCTAGGCCGAAATTCCAGTTTTTGGACTTCAATAACGTGCTATGACGTCATCTTTTCGGAAATTTCAATATTTTTTTCAATTTTTTAGCGTAACTTTTTATGCTCTTTTAAATAAGCTACCTTAGGTACTTTCAAGGGGAGAATCAGGATTTTGACTAAAAATCTTCGCTCAAAATCCTTGAAATTCACCATTTTTTGGCCTCGTTTCAACCTAGAAAACCTTAAATATCTCGAGTTCCCCAATTTGCCCCCGCGCGGCAAAGGGCGCAAATAAAGCGCAATGATCTGTTCTATAGGTGATTAATCTCAGATCTACGGAGAATCCAAGTTAACCATGAAAAAAATTCGAATAACTGATAAAAAAATATCTGAAATTTCGATTTTTCTTCAGAAAAGACCAATTTTTTTTCAGAAGATGTTGTCATCAGACCCTCAACGAACCCTTAAATTGAAGCTCAGAATCTAAGCTACAAGTAGAAGTCAATTAAAAGCGCTCTTTTAAGATTTCGTTTGATTATTTTTATAGAAAACCAATCAGTACCCGAAAAATAGCCATTTTTATCGAAAATTCGCTCTAAAAATTTTTCGCCTGACTTTAAGGGTATGGTTTTATGGGGAGTTTTGGGTTTTAGAACATGGAGAACAAGAAAAACATAACTGCTGACAGTTTTAAGTTTTCTTGGCGAGCCCTAGTTTACAGTACAAGTTCTACTGCAAACAAACTCAAGCATTACGTAAGCCAGATTTTTTTTCGCGAAATTTGCTCAAAAATCGAGCTGAGCTGAGCTAGATTTTTTGAGCTGGCTCAGCAAGGTCTGTCAGCCCAAAATTGAACAAGTTACAACTACAAAAGTAAGTGGCTGGCTGTCAAAATCCATTAGATTTTATGATCAAGCAGATGTGATTTGTTTCCGAATAGCTCGCAAACATTTTAGATGGATAAGAATTTGATTTGGTAGGAAAATCTTATCGCCAATTATTGATTGATTTTTAGATGAAATTCTTTACCTTTTGGTATTAAATTTCTTCTAATAAAACCCCGATAACTGGCGATAGAAATGCCTTATCAAATCTGAAGCTTCGAGATTATTCGTATTAAATTTTAAATATTTGCAAATTGCAAGCTACTCGAAAAATTCCTCCGGCTTGGCTGCTGAGAATAAAAGCTCAGGGGTTTCTCATGTTTGCCTGTAGCCGGGTTTATTTACTGTAGAAAGATAGCTGATTCAGGGAGATTATCCTACACTAGTAACGCGCACTTGAGCACCTGAAACTGCGCATTTTTTGTTTACCAAGCTTGTGCTTTTGTTTCTCGAGGAGCTAGAATAAAAAATGGTAATTCTAGCTCTAGCGGTAAAATAGAAAATCACTCAACGAAGGTAATAATATTTTTAGAGGCACGCGCGGCAAACGCATAAAAACGGTATTTCAAATGGACGTAAATTTAAATGTCATTCAATTTTCTCGCTACTGGAACAAAATTTTCTCATGAAAAATCAAGCAATAGCTCCAGTAAAAGAAGGACACAAGAAACTTGAATTCGCGGGGAATGAGCTTATCGATCTCCTTATCAAATTATATTTCCCGCTGCGCGTAGAATTACCAAACACGATAACGCAGACCTAGGGTATCTGTTATCATCCCTTCCCACAGACGTATGCAACCAGAATTTGACAAATGTTATCCGGCAACTTTCCTGCCTCGCCGGCCATGCGGAAGAAATCCTCGGCGAGCATGCTGGCGAACTTTGGGTTCGAAACGAACGAATTCGCAAAATATCCGTTCGCGTAGATGCACTCACGGAGAAAATTAAAAGTCTAAATCCGAAAACATCAGGTAAGCAATCTTGAAATCATAGAAGAGTACCAAAACCGGATCAATATTTATCCGAATCTTAGATTAGCGGCTGCTAGTTTGATTTCATTAATCTTGAGATAATATTGAATAATATTCTAGCGGCGGAATAAATCTATTTTAAAACCAACCCGATTCTTATGTTATTTTTAGCGCAACTTCAAAACACGCCGCGGCGGGTCGTCTCCACTCCTCCTTTCAGGTCGCCCTCTCATGTAGAACGCCGTCTCTTCGCCATCAAAAGCCGTCCACAAAGGTCTGTCTCTTGCTATAAATTCTTGATAGCGATGATTATCTTCAGTGTAGTCAGACTGCAGAGACAGCGTTTATTTTAAATGTCACAAAAAACGGCCGAGCTGGGGGATCGATTTTCTCGCGAAATAATCATCCCAGGGAACTCCCAAAGGGTGGAAATTGTAGCTAAGGGTCTAATCTGTGGCATGGTGGGGTTTAAAAATTCTAGAGATGAGTCATTATTGCGTAATTGACCTCTAAAGTTGAACTTCTCTAAAAATCGCCATTTTCCCTTTTCTAAAGGGCCGTTTCCCTTTTCTGAAAGAGAAGAACATCTTTCTAGACTCTCTCTCTCTTTTTTCCAGAATAAGGCCACCATTCAGGCCCCTTCGATAATTTCACGAAACTTAACTAAAAAAAAATAAAATAAAAACCATAAAAAAACCAAAAATAGGGACAAAGTAAATTTTTAAATCAGATGGAGGTGGGCGGGGTTGGGGACGCAACTGAGAATGATCAACTCAGGCTCCTCCCGGCCTTTGTCAAGCCCCTTAAATTTGAAAATCAAGGGACGGGGCTGAAACGGCCCGAAGGGCCGTCAAGCCCCTTAAATTTGAAAATCAAGGGACGGGGCTGAAACGGCCCGAAGGGCCGTCAAGCCCCTTAAATTTGAAAATCAAGGGACGGGGCTGAAACGGCCCGAAGGGCCGTCAAGCCCTTAAATTTGAAAATCAAGGGACGGGGCTGAAACGGCCCGAAGGGCCGTCAAGCCCCTTAAATTTGAAAATCAAGGGACGGGGCTGAAACGGCCCGAAGGGCCGTCAAGCCCTTAAATTTGAAAATCAAGGGACGGGGCTGAAACGGCCCGAAGGGCCGTCAAGCCCTTAAATTTGAAAATCAAGGGACGGGGCTGAAACGGCCCGAAGGGCCGTCAAGCCCCTTAAATTTGAAAATCAAGGGACGGGGCTGAAACGGCCCGAAGGGCCGTCAAGCCCCTTAAATTTGAAAATCAAGGGACGGGGCTGAAACGGCCCGAAGGGCCGTCAAGCCCCTTAAATTTGAAAATCAAGGGACGGGGCTGAAACGGCCCGAAGGGCCGTCAAGCCCTTAAATTTGAAAATCAAGGGACGGGGCTGAAACGGCCCGAAGGGCCGTCAAGCCCCTTAAATTTGAAAATCAAGGGACGGGGCTGAAACGGCCCGAAGGGCCGTCAAGCCCCTTAAATTTGAAAATCAAGGGACGGGGCTGAAACGGCCCGAAGGGCCGTCAAGCCCCTTAAATTTGAAAATCAAGGGACGGGGCTGAAACGGCCCGAAGGGCCGTCAAGCCCCTTAAATTTGAAAATCAAGGGACGGGGCTGAAACGGCCCGAAGGGCCGTCAAGCCCTTAAATTTGAAAATCAAGGGACGGGGCTGAAACGGCCCGAAGGGCCGTCAAGCCCCTTAAATTTGAAAATCAAGGGACGGGGCTGAAACGGCCCGAAGGGCCGTCAAGCCCCTTAAATTTGAAAATCAAGGGACGGGGCTGAAACGGCCCGAAGGGCCGTCAAGCCCCTTAAATTTGAAAATCAAGGGACGGGGCTGAAACGGCCCGAAGGGCCGTCAAGCCCCTTAAATTTGAAAATCAAGGGACGGGGCTGAAACGGCCCGAAGGGCCGTCAAGCCCTTAAATTTGAAAATCAAGGGACGGGGCTGAAACGGCCCGAAGGGCCGTCAAGCCCCTTAAATTTGAAAATCAAGGGACGGGGCTGAAACGGCCCGAAGGGCCGTCAAGCCCCTTAAATTTGAAAATCAAGGGACGGGGCTGAAACGGCCCGAAGGGCCGTCAAGCCCCTTAAATTTGAAAATCAAGGGACGGGGCTGAAACGGCCCGAAGGGCCGTCAAGCCCCTTAAATTTGAAAATCAAGGGACGGGGCTGAAACGGCCCGAAGGGCCGTCAAGCCCCTTAAATTTGAAAATCAAGGGACGGGGCTGAAACGGCCCGAAGGGCCGTCAAGCCCCTTAAATTTGAAAATCAAGGGACGGGGCTGAAACGGCCCGAAGGGCCGTCAAGCCCTTAAATTTGAAAATCAAGGGACGGGGCTGAAACGGCCCGAAGGGCCGTCAAGCCCCTTAAATTTGAAAATCAAGGGACGGGGCTGAAACGGCCCGAAGGGCCGTCAAGCCCCTTAAATTTGAAAATCAAGGGACGGGGCTGAAACGGCCCGAAGGGCCGTCAAGCCCCTTAAATTTGAAAATCAAGGGACGGGGCTGAAACGGCCCGAAGGGCCGTCAAGCCCCTTTAATTTGAAAATCAAGGGACGGGGCTGAAACGGCCCGAAGGGCCGTCAAGCCCCTTAAATTTGAAAATCAAGGGACGGGGCTGAAACGGCCCGAAGGGCCGTCAAGCCCCTTAAATTTGAAAATCAAGGGACGGGGCTGAAACGGCCCGAAGGGCCGTCAAGCCCCTTAAATTTGAAAATCAAGGGACGGGGCTGAAACGGCCCGAAGGGCCGTCAAGCCCCTTAAATTTGAAAATCAAGGGACGGGGCTGAAACGGCCCGAAGGGCCGTCAAGCCCTTAAATTTGAAAATCAAGGGACGGGGCTGAAACGGCCCGAAGGGCCGTCAAGCCCCTTAAATTTGAAAATCAAGGGACGGGGCTGAAACGGCCCGAAGGGCCGTCAAGCCCCTTAAATTTGAAAATCAAGGGACGGGGCTGAAACGGCCCGAAGGGCCGTCAAGCCCCTTAAATTTGAAAATCAAGGGACGGGGCTGAAACGGCCCGAAGGGCCGTCAAGCCCCTTAAATTTGAAAATCAAGGGACGGGGCTGAAACGGCCCGAAGGGCCGTCAAGCCCCTTAAATTTGAAAATCAAGGGACGGGGCTGAAACGGCCCGAAGGGCCGTCAAGCCCCTTAAATTTGAAAATCAAGGGACGGGGCTGAAACGGCCCGAAGGGCCGTCAAGCCCCTTAAATTTGAAAATCAAGGGACGGGGCTGAAACGGCCCGAAGGGCCGTCAAGCCCCTTAAATTTGAAAATCAAGGGACGGGGCTGAAACGGCCCGAAGGGCCGTCAAGCCCCTTAAATTTGAAAATCAAGGGACGGGGCTGAAACGGCCCGAAGGGCCGTCAAGCCCCTTAAATTTGAAAATCAAGGGACGGGGCTGAAACGGCCCGAAGGGCCGTCAAGCCCCTTAAATTTGAAAATCAAGGGACGGGGCTGAAACGGCCCGAAGGGCCGTCAAGCCCCTTAAATTTGAAAATCAAGGGACGGGGCTGAAACGGCCCGAAGGGCCGTCAAGCCCCTTAAATTTGAAAATCAAGGGACGGGGCTGAAACGGCCCGAAACATTAATTTTTATCAAAAAAGAGTCGAAAAACCATTGAAAATGGTGTATCAGATGTAAAGTTTTGATATTTTGGGGTCAATCGAGGTCATGTGACCTCAGATGACCTTTTATGTTCGTTTATTTTAATCAGCATCAAAAAACAATCAAAATGATGTATGGGACATTATAGTTCCTTGCAGAAAGAAATGAAAGGTCATTTGAGGTCAGGTGACCTCAACTGACCTCAGACGAAAAAAAGGAAGAAAAATGACGTCGATTGATGGTAAAATCGACGTTTCTATCAATATTATATGTAATTACTCTATATCAGGATGAATTACGTAATATTACGTAATTATGACTTATCACTAGAACTTATAAACCCCCCTAAGCCACAGATTAGACCCTAAGCTACAATTTGCGCCCTTGGGGGACTCTCCATGATGGATATTCTCGGAGAAAATGGATCCCCCAACTTCTGTGACATTTAAAATAAACGCTGTCAGAGCAAGTTGAACATCAACGAGGATCCGTTACTTCAGCCATTTGAAGTGAGAAATGGACGATCTGGATCGATGATCAGGCCTAGGTCGCTTGAAAGCGATATTCTTCTCTTATCACTGCCACGGTACGTATTCTTGAAATCGTGGATCATTTGCGAAAGCTGGTCAATACGCCCAAAGCCCTTTTTCCACCATTTGACTACTGTTTCAGACAAAATTCCGCACAATCCAATTCTCCACTGACGCAAATGATAATCAACCCACCAAGTACTCGTCCATCCGAGTCGCTCCCCTCTCCAATCTTCGGCAATCATCAACAAGTCGATCCTACCGACCCGCAAAGAACAATCAGAAGAACAAACACGACCGCCACATGTGGCGCCGCTCAATTACCACCGAGCAAAGGCCGTCTCCTCCTTGATTCCGACGCTTCGACATCCCCGGAGCGGTCCAAGACCACCCATTCTGTTTCTGACATTCATGGCTTCGGTGACACGCGGCTTGCGCTGGTCCGGCGGTCGATGATCGCACGGCGCACCCAGCAGCGACTCAGAGAGAAGCGCAGACGAAATCGAACGGTCGCACTTTCGCCTGAAGATGATCGAAGATCCAGCTTTATATCTACTTTTCTCGATCAGAAATCGTTAGAAGACAGGTCCACACAAATCCCAAGCCAGCCGTCAACCCTTTCGAAAGAAGCAGAAGAAGCCACCAAGCAGCCTGAAAAACTGGGCGATCTAAACTCGACACTGACGGCCACTTCTCCAACGCAAATTAAAGAACCGCTAAATATGAACAGCTTGGTGCTACAGGCAGAAAACAATGAAAGCTCTTCCGGTTATTGGACGGGAGGCAGCACGATTCAAACTCTTCCTGATCGCTGTGTGCAAGAACTGAACGATCATAACCTCATGAAGCACAACTCTCGCTTCAATAATCACTCCTCCATCAGCGACCATCGCACCTTCTCTCCCCTGCTACAATCAGCAAAATCAGAATTCAGCACGACGGATTCCGAGCCGCTCCTCTTCGCGCGTCCCAAACCACCACCACCCTCACGCTCAGATTCAATCCCAAACTCGCACTCTGACTCGCAACCGCAAAGTCCCTCGCCCGAGCCGCTCTTGATTGAAAGGCCCTCGACACTCGTTGGTCTATCGGACAGCTACTTGAGCGCTGTCAATAGCTGCGAAATGTCTGTACTGACGCCGTCTGACGCTTCAGAATCAGGCATTTCCTCAAATTTGGAGCAGTTCGCTTTTCCATCTCCTCCAAAGGTAACAAATATTATCACCCAAAAAATGCTATTTCTATTTCTAGAACATCCCAAAATCGCCAACTAAAAATCCCCTCCCACCATCGTCTTGCAATCCAATGCAAGATGAACTAGCTGCGCGACTTTTCCACCGCCGCTCAAAGATCGAACGAATTGAAAACGGCGAAGAAGAGGCATTTGAAAAGCCTGCTAGAACCTTCTCTTCACCAGAGCCAGAAAAGGTTTCTCTTTCGCCAGTTTCAAGCCCTAGAAAAGTCTCACCGAAGAAGATTCTTTTCGGAGCCCCCTCAAGCCCGGCGAAAAGTGACAGCACGCTAGAAGAAGACTCGATAGGAAAAGGTCGAAAGTACACTGATAAGATTTTCTTGCTAAGCAACCAAAAAAAAAGCTCTTTTCTTTCAACCTTTCGAAAGAAATCACTGTCATCGAGAATCCCAACCGGGCTTTATCAGATACTTCTGAAACCGAGCCGCTGCCAAAACCGGAAGACGATGAAGTCTTCGAACGAACCTCTTCCCCTGCTTCACTTTCCCCAATCCGTTCTTCGTCAGTTTCGCCTGGAAGAAGACCAGCTGGACTTGGCTTAGGCTTGAGAGCCACTCAAAGCTTATCTTCTAGAGGCCGCTCGGATTCAAGACGCGCGAAGAATCTCTTGACAAAGGTTCATATCTTGCCAAAGAAGCGGCCAATAAAAATGATTTTAGAATAACACAGCGAATTTCAAATCCCTTCTTCTCCAAAACATCTCAGGAGGATCAAAGAAAGATCGAATATCCGCCGCAGAAAGACTCAAAGTTCAACCTGGCCAAACTCTTCAGGATCTTTACAAGCCAAAATCAGACTCAGCATCAAGTCCGAATCGGTCAAAATCGGAGTCATTAACAACTGATCAAAGGTATCATCAAGCCTTTTTTCTCAACGATTACAGTAATTTTAGCCCGAAAAGACGGAACAAATCGAAAAACCGCTTCAACTCGGCCCACCGCCTGACCTCTATCGTTGAAGAAAAAGACCTCCAAGCGGCGAAAGAATTCTATCAAAACAACTACTGTAATACAAACGGAGACAACTGTAACGATTCTACCGCTACTGCAAAAACGGAAAACTGTACTACCACTAATGACAACTGTACGAGCTCAGAACAACCCGCCGCCGATCAAAAGAATCAGACAGCAGTTTGATTGCTTTTTATTTAATTAGTAGTAATTATTATTTAAATCTTATCCTGTTTCATTACGTTTTTTTTTTCTTATCGTTCGAGTACTTTTTGTATATTTGAAATTCGCAACATCAAATTTTCCGTGCCTTGTTCAAACAAAGAATATCTAGCGCCTAAACTTTTTCAACTCTTTATTTCCATCCTCGCTTCTTGAAACATAAAAATTAATTTGCTTATATAAAAAATAAATGGTGAATAACTGAACTTTCATTTCTGTCGCTTGCTCTTTCCCTAAATTACAAAAGAATTTACATTTGCTTCTCTTAAAAAAACATCATCGTTTCAGACCTTGCTTCTTGAAATCATTCCGTACTTTCCATATTGAAATTAATAAATTATTAAAAATCACCCTCTTTTCTTTTTTTCTTAAATTGTAAGTCATGAAATGAGTTTACTTCTGACTTTCTTACTTTGTTTACCTAAAGCTCGTCGCATTGCTCATTTTATAGTTCCCTGGGGAATCGTACGCGCTGTCATTGTATTGATTTCGCACCCCGAGTTTCCCCTCTGGCCGCACATCTTATTTTTCTTTTTATTCAGAAGCGAAGTGGACTGAGGGAGTAGAGAAGCCTCTGTTTCGCTATCTAAAATGTCGTCGATTCTTCGGTCGGAAGAGATGTGCCTAGCACAGCTCTTCTTGCAGGTAAGAAAACTCAAGTTTAGACCGATGATTTTATTCAAATTTTGATAAAATTGGCTTTCGTTTCATTTTTTCCTAGTCCGATGCCGCTTATTCCTGCATTTCTGAGCTTGGCGAACTTGGTCTGGTTCAATTTCGCGACTTGAACGCTGATGTCTCCGCGTTCCAGCGCAAGTTTGTTCCAGAACTTCGCCGCTGCGACGAGATGGAAAGAAAACTTCGCTACTTGGAAGAAGAGCTTCAAAAGCCGATATTCCGGTCATCGACAACAATGAGAGTCCCGAAGCTCCCTTGCCTAAGGAAACGCTTCCTTTGGAAAACGACCTGGAACAGCTGGAGAAGCAGATGCGCGAAGTCTCGCAGAATCAAGAACAGCTAAATAAGAACTTTTCTGAATTGACGGAGCTCAAGCACGTTCTCCGAAAAACCCAGGTCAGTCTGAGCAAGTAGCCATCTTTCAACCCCTTTTCAGAGCTTTTTCGAAGAAGCCCAAGACTTCGCAGCGCAACGACCGGGCGCTGTCGATCCCGAAACTGGCGAAGAAGAAAGAATTCGGTTACTGAACAGGCCCGCTCACTTCAGATCCATTAAAAACTTTCATATTGTTATTTTTCATGTTTCACGCGGCTCTGATTTGCTGCACGAGGAAAAACGCATTCGGAAACAAAAAATCGGCCAAGGCGTTTTTCTTTCTTAATTTTCTTGTCACGTGCATGTTCTTATTTGATGATTACCCATTCCAAGTATTCTCCGAGCATGAAACCTTCAACTATATTTGGTGAATTTTGATTAATCTCCTCGTATTCGTCTTGTAAGTCTGTATAAGTCTGATTGTTCATTCTTCGTTTCCATTTTGGGCCGATTAGGTGTTGGCTTAGCCGCTCACAATTGACGGTACTAGTCGCTTCCGCTTGAAAATTGTGTGTAGGGGAAAAGGTGCTAAACAAATCACGTATCAGTATCAATTTTTACGCAAAAAACTAGAATAGTGGGTAGATCATCGGCCCTTGCCACATCTTCTTTGGATTGTAATTGAGCCCAAGAATAGCACTGGACATGAGGAGATGTCTACCAATCCTCTTCGACTTGGATTCATTGCTGGAGTCATTGTCCGAGAGCGCATTCCGCTCTTTGAACGAATACTCTGGCGAGCCTGCCGAGGTTAGAATTCCGTTTCGATCGATTTGTTTTAAGAAATGTTTCTTAGGAAATGTATTTTTGCGTCACATCGAAATCGATACACCCCTGAAAGACCCTGTTACTGGACATGAAGTTCACAAGTCCGTGTTTATCATCTTTTACCAAGGTATTCCCCAAAGCGTAGATTCACTTTTGCAAGACTTTTCTAGGTGAACAGCTCAGAAGCCGAACAAAGAAAATCTGCGAGTCGCTCAAAGCCTCGATCTATCCCTGCCCGGAAAACCCTCAAGAGCGCCGCGAAGTCGCTATGAATGTCATGACCCGTATCCAAGACCTCGATCAAGTTCTGAAAACGACGAACGAGCAGCGAAATCGCATCCTCGCCCAGGTCGCGCGAAACATTCGAGTCTGGTTCATCAAGGTTCGAAAAGTCGCTGCAATTTACCACTCGCTGAATATGTTCTCCGTTGATCTTGGTCAACGATGCCTGATTGGCGAAATCTGGTGCCCAGTGGCTGAGATTGATCGGATACAACTAGCCCTGCGTCGTGGAACTGAGCGCTGCGGAGCTTCTGTCAACTCCATTCTTCACCGAATCAAGACGAACATGACCCCTCCGACGTATTTCCGCACGGACAAATTCACCACCGGTTTCCAGGCCATCATCGAAGCCTATGGCGTCGCTGACTACCGCGAAATTAACCCTGCTTTCTTTACCATCATCTCGTTCCCGTTCCTCTACGGAGTTATGTTCGGTGATATGGGCCACGGAATCATCATGGCTTTGGTCGCTGCATTCATGTGTTGGAAGGAAAATGAAATCGGGCGGAAAAAGGACTTGAACGAAATGATCGAGATCTTGTTTAGCGGACGCTATATCATTCTGCTCATGGGCTTGTTCTCTACCTACGCCGGTTTTATCTACAACGATATTTTCTCCAAATCTTTGAATATCTTCGGCTCTTACTGGACTGTCAGTGACCAACCGGGCATAGAAGATTGGCTGAAAACTGCTCCCGCTGAATCTACGATCCAATTGAACCCGAACTACACCTCTGACGGCCCGTATCCTTATGGAATGGACCCGATCTGGCAGCTTTCTAGCAATAAGATCGTCTTCATCGACTCGTTCAAGATGAAGGGCTCCGTTATCTTGGGAGTCACTCACATGTGCTTTGGCTTGGTTCTTTCTTACTTTAACCACAAGCACTTCAACGATCACGTGACGATCATTTGGGAGTGGATTCCTCGATGTCTCTTCATGGGCTGCATCTTCGTCTATCTCTGCTTGACTATCTTCATCAAGTGGATATTCTGGGATGCAACGACTTCTGGCAGTGCTCCTTCTTTGTTGATCAATCTTATTGGCATGTTCATGTTGAAGACTCCAACAAAGGATGATAACACATGGGTCTACGGTTCCCTAAATGCTGACGGAGAAGCGACGGCGCAAGGATTGGTTCAGAAGTTCTTGCTTTTCATCGCCTTTGCCAGCTTGCCAGTTATGCTCTGTGCCAAGCCGTACATCAAGTACAAGGAGTGGAAGGACCGACGAAACCGGAGCACGGCCAATTTTGGCGGAGTCCGAGTTGAAATCGAAGGCAACGACGATACAGAAGGAATCCTCGACGGAGACGAGCTTGCGCGTGAAAACACTCAAGAACAGCCTCAAGAAGAAGTTGAAGAGTTCGATATCGGCGGAATGGCGATTCTGCAGATTATTCACACGATCGAATTCGCGCTTGGTTGCATTTCGCACACTGCTTCTTACCTTCGTCTCTGGGCCCTGTCCTTGGCTCACGCTGAGTTGTCGGAAGTCCTTTGGAACATGGTTTTGAAAATGGGTCTTTCTATGTCTAGCTCTGGCTCTGTCGGTGCGATCATGAGCTATTTGGTCTTCTGGGCTTTCGCATGTCTCTCTGTTGGTATTCTCATTTGCATGGAAGGTATTAGAGCTCTTATCAGGACGAATTTTAATTATTTTTTCAAGGTCTTTCTGCATTCTTGCACGCGATGCGTCTCCACTGGGTCGAGTTCAACGACAAGTTCTACCACGGAGAAGGAATCATCTTCAAACCCTTCTACTTCCAGTCAATTTTGTCCGGTGAAGAGTAGACTTCATTCATTATTTAATCATTATTTCACATGTATCGTCACAATTATATTCTGTCATCGTTCGTTCGAATTTCTTCATTTCAAAATTTATCTTATCAACATTTCGGCAATAAATATAAACTCCTCATAAAATCATCCTTCAAGATATTCGTAAAAACTGATATCTGATCTTGCGAGAAGTGTTTTCTGTGAAAGGATTGAAAAAGAAGTTTTTATGATTGTTTTCGTTGACATTTAGCAGCTAAGCTTGGTGAAAGGCGAAGGAGGCTGGTAGTGAAACAGAGAATGAGATATTTTGTACTTTTGATTTCGAATTTTGCTTTAGCGTCGAAGATAAAAGTTTTAAAAAATTGATAAGGTCTTCGAGATTCAGGAAACGTAAGATTTTCGTCATAATTATGTCAAATTGAAATCTCCAAAAAGCGAAACAGACATCGATGGTGGATCAATAAGATGCGAAAATAATGAGTGCTCTCTAACTTGCAATGAAAATCATATTCTCGAGGGAAGAGAGACTTCCAGATGCATCTATCTTCGAGGCTTTAATCGCTGGGAACTGAAAAGAGAGCTAGGAACTTGCGAGGCCATACGACGAAAACAGGACGGCCTCGATTGCGATGAATTCTCGATCAGCCATGAATTCAGAGTCAACTACAAGCATGGCAAGAACGGAAGAAGCAGGGCAATTATAAAATGCACAAACAATCAGCCGGTCAAAATGAAAGGCGAAATCTACCCTCGCATTTATGCTGCGTGTTTTTGCAAGCATTCCTTGTGCCAGTGGACTTTCCGGGCGCAAGACTGGAAGTACGAGAGGGAGAATAAGTATGAACGAGATCATGATATTTTGGAAATAAGCCTCGCCGAGTTGAACCTGAAATGCATGCCTTCCTTTGAGCCACTGGAGAATCAAATTAAATCAAATCTGACGACATGTTCTGCAAGAGAAAATGAAACCGGCGAGCGAAAACATCTGAGAATCGTAAATGGCGAAAAAGCTAGCGTAAAAACTTGGCCGGGTTTTGCTTACTTGAGATTCTGTGGAGCTACTGTTATTTCCCATGAATGGATCGCTACAGGTTTATTTATTTTCTCTTAATTTTGTTTTATATATATTTTAGCTGCTCATTGTCTCGACTATAATTTTTTATATGACTTTCATAACCTTGAAATCGAAATTGAAACTCCAAATAATACGCTAGTCAATATAACCACAGAGAGAATTTTTCTTCATCCTGAGTACCTAACTATTCAATCGAATTATCGACCGATTGAACAGGAAGAATATGATATGGATTATGGTTTTTTATGAGTAATTTTTCAAGCATGAGCATCAAAAGAACCATGAAAGCGTTGATCAAGATTCCGTCAGTCGAAGAATATGGTATTCAATATCCATGCTTGTCGGACATTAAAAAATTAAACCGTAAGTAAGAATTTTTCTCATCTTTTTTATACTGAAAATAAGACGGGAAAGCCTGTTGGACTGCTGGACGAGGCTCGCTGTATGAAAAAGGCGATGGTGCTTTTCAGGAATTTCAATCAGGTGACTATATTGTTTCCCCAAAAATCAAAAACTATTCTTGAAGTTGGAGTAAATATCATGAGCAGAAATTATGTGGAGTTGAAGACAGAGCCGATGACAGCGTTCATGAACAGTGACGTTTATAAACATGGTTTTTCTTCCTGCGTATTCTGAGGAATAATATTATCCTAGATTTTAACATTTATGCGGGGATGCCAGATCTGGATAATGATGGACTGCTCGACGGAAAAATTGATAGCTGCCAAGGTAGCTTTGATGTTGAAGAATCCTATTTAAACTTCTCCTAAGGCGATTCTGGTGGACCTCTCATCTGTGATGTGGATGGACATGCAACTCTAGTCGGCGTTGTATCGAGAGGTATCGGCTGTGGAAGAGAAGGACAAGCGGGTGTTTATACCAGCATTGGTCAGAGTTTGTCCTGGATTCAAAAGACTATCAAAAACTTCAAGAAAAAATCTAATGAATAAAATTATTCCAAGAACTCTTCATTTATTTTCTTGCCCATCGCCTCAAAATTATCGCCATAGCAACGCGCTCTTTTCCCTCTCCGTAGTAACCAGAAATCTTCGTCATTATCTCAAAAAACTAACTCCGAGATTTTTTTAATTGTTAAAATGACGGATTAAAATCCAAGAGAAAAAAATCTAAAAATGAAGAGATCCGTGGTTATCTCGGAAAACCACTCAAACTTACCCGATGATCTTCGACAATCAATGGTCAGTTATGTTGTGGCGCCGAGGAATCCTGTGTTGATTAAAGAACCAGAAAATGAGAATTTTGAGAAGATCAAGCCATCTCAGGAAAGATCGACAAACATTACTCTCGCAAAGATTTTTATCTGTAGTTTGTTTTGAATTTACTTTGTTGAATCAAAAAAGTACATTTCATCCATGAGTTTGGACACAAACGACCGTTTTAACACGAATCGCCACATGAAAGTCCCCCAAATCGTCGAACTCCTGGAACTCGGCGATAAATCGTACCAGAAAACCTGTCGAGTAGACCTTGACCAGACCATTTTCCAGCCTTATCCTTCTGATTTCGTGTTCCAGAATTTCAAGCCATTTCAAACTTATGAGCTTCCTCTTGAATTGCGAAACAAGGACGCAGTACCAAGACTCGTAAGGGTCAAAGCAGAGGACTCGCCGTATTTCAAAGTGATTGCTCCGCCAGATCATGCGAAGAAAGTGGCTCCTGGAATGGCCAGTACTTACAAACTCCGGTTTATTCCAGACGCAGTGAAGGATTATTTTCATGAAATCATCGTGACATCAGAGCGGGAGAAGTTCATCATTCCCATCAAATGCATTGGAGCAAGAGGAGTCGTTGATTTTCCTGATGTGATCGACGTCGGCGACTCCCCAGTCAAAATGAGTCGAGAGAAGACACTGCTGTTGAGAAATATCGGAACAGATACCGCGAGATTCACAGTTGGCTTCAGTTCCGCAGCTTTTTCAGCGAGTCCATCAAGCGGGGAACTTGAACCTGGGCAGTTGATGCAGATGACGGTAGAATTCAGTCCCCTGTTCGCGATGAAGTACGAGGCGGAAATGAGAATTTCCTACGACACAGGGGAAGAAATTTTCTCTGATCTTCAAGGAAATGGAATCAGTATCGATGCGCGATTGTCTCACAAGAGTATTTCAATAATGCCTACCTACATTGAAATGGCGAATTTTCAAATCTTCAAGATAATGAATAACTCAAGCGAAACCGTGAAGTACTTCTTTTCAAGCTACGCATTGAAGGAAGACGAAGATATAGCGAAAACTGCGACGCTAGAATCAATTCAAGCGGAAGAAGACAAGGAACGAAAAAGATTTCTTGAAGAACAAAGCGCGAATCCCGAGCTTGCTGATAAGATTTCTATCCTCACAAAATCCTTCCAGAACCAGCGAGATCTGATTTCTACAGATCCAATGGTGCTAGAAGAAGCAGAGTTGGAAATTTCGCCAGTCGAAGGAATCATCCTTCCGGGCAAAGAAATGGAGGTTCACGTGGTTTTCAAGCCAGATCGAATCGGACAGTATAAGAAAACTGTTTTCTGTGACATTCAAGGTCGCGAAAATCGAATTCCATTGACGATCGAAGCTCGCGGAATCGGACCGCAGCTTCGGCTGAGCTACGATTCTGTCAATCTTGGAAAAATTTTCGTCGGTTCAAAGCACACTTATGAAATTGTGATGAAAAACCGCGGGGAAATTGAGGGAATCTTTTCAATTCGAGAAAAGAAATCAGAAATTCGGAACCAATTTTCGTTCGATCCAACAGAAGGGATTGTCATGAAAGATGGTTATCAACTAATCAACCTGTCGATTGATGCGCAGCTTCTTGGATCATTCGAAGAAGAATTCAAGTTTGAAATCGATGGGACAAATACAGAGTTGAGCCTCAAGGTTTCTGGTGAAGTTATTGCTCCAAGCATGTCGTTCGAACTTGAAAAACTGAATCTCGGCCTGATCTCCACGAGTTTTGAAAAATCAACTACAATTTCCCTCAAAAACATTTCCCTCGTTCCTGTGAATTTTGTAATCAAGTCGACAGCGCGAGAAATTTCATTCGATATCAATGAGGGATTTCTTGAAGCAGAGGAGTCAGTGGAGCTCGAACTGGTTTATAACGGAGATGAACAGAAAGCATTTGAAGGATCTGTCTACGTCGACATTCCAAATATAGCTGAGCGTGTTGCAGTTCTTCCGATAAAGGCTCAAGTCCAATCACCACCGGTTCAGCTTACAGAAAGCATTCTCGACATTGGCTGCTTATTTCTCGGCCATGAGTACCACGCCTCTTTGACTCTTCAAAATGACCATGCTCGTCTTTCCGCGCGCTATCGACTTCTACCTCCTGTTGATGCTTCCCTCAAAGTTGAGTCCTTTTATCCTGAAGGCTGTGTGGATCCAGATTCAAATTTTGTCGTTCCAATAACAGTAACGCCTTCCAAACTTGGCGCGTTTAACAACACCGTCGGCTTAAAAATGGCCGGAATAGATGAACCGCTGATGACGACAATAACTGGCACTGTTGCAGGACCTGTATTAATTCCTATCGAGACAAAAGTAGATCTAGGGAATGTGAAAGTGCTTGTGCCTCAAAAAAATCCTCATAAAATCACGCTGCAGAATGAGTCTCCGATTCCTGCGAAAATATCTGTGTCAATGAGAAAGGATCAGAATATTTGGAAGCTCGAATACCCAGAAATTGTGGAGCCAGAATCACACGCTGAGATTTTAATAAACGCAGTCCTTGATGATACCCTTGATTTTAGAGATGAAATGGTTATTGATGTTGAACACGCAAATCAGATCATTATTCCTGTTCGAGCAAAAGGAATCGGTACTACAATCGTGGCCCGACCGGCTCTGGGCGGACCAAAAGCAGGGTTAGATCTGGGATGTCAATTTGCTACGAGAGAATTTGGAAAAGAAATCACCTTCACAAATTTCGGAAGAAGGCATCATGCGCTCACTTGGTTTGTAGCCGGTTACGAACGACTTTCGCAAAGAGACATTAACGAGAGAAGGGCTTATGAAGAGCGGAAAAGATCAAAAGATGTAAAATTCAAAAGCGCACCTGACTTGCCTCCACCACCACAGAGCATTTTCGAGCTGTCAAAGATGGATTTTGAGTTGGAACCAGGGCAAAGTATCAAAGTCAAGCTCTTAGGCCTATCGCCGGAACCTGGAACAGTTCGAGAGACACTCCAATGCCACGCTGTTATCGGTCGGAAAAAAGGACGAGAGCGAATCTTCAGCATTCCAATTCACTGTCAATTCATCGAACCAGTCCTTCTTATTTCTCAAAAGAAACTAGAATTCAGATTCGATAAGGATACTAAAGACGAGCTTCAGGATGTTGAAGGATCGACAGAAATTACAAACAGTGGAGATGTCGATTTACGCTTTGATCTCAAAACTGTTTCGCCATTTTATGTTGGAAAAGTTGGTGAGAAATGTGTCAGTCACATTTTATCCCCTGGCCAAACTGTAGAAGTCAACGTCGTTTTCCATACTGGCTTCCAGAAGCATTACAGATCTTCACAAACAATTTCTCAGCTTCTCATTGATTACAAAGATCATCCAAGTAAGGATGTCGTCGAGCTTGTTGGCGAACTAAACTTTCCGAATATCGAGTTCAATCACGCGGACATCAACTTTGGCCCGATCAGAAACGGAACTGAAAAAGCAGCAGTTGTTACAATGTCGAATAAATCGCCAATGACGACAGAATATCGCTGGTGGTTCGAGATTGACGATGAGTTGGGAGTTTTTTCAAATCGAAAAGAGCAACAGGACGCTCTTGTTCGATCTGCATCTGGGCTTGGTACAAGTGCGCCTTCTCGTGAAGCCACGAATACTGACGGAACAGAACCTGAGCTTGCTGATTTAGCCAGAGATTTACCAGGTATCGACGATGTTTTTGACATTCGTCCAATTTTCGGCAAACTGGAGCCTGGAGAGCAAATTCAAACAACAATTCTATTCAATGGTCATCAAGACATCAATGCTCTCTGTAGAGCTGTTTGTGAAGTAGACGGCGGGCCACAGTACGAGCTGAACATTGCTGGAGCTTCCGCTGATGTGAGATACAGTGTGTCAAGCGAGACGATAAAATTTGGAAAAGTGATGTTCGACAGTTTGGCCGAGAGACAATTCACGCTCAAGAATACTTCTCTTGTTCCTTTTGATTTCTCCCTTTTGGGAGGAATAAAAGATTTGTCAGCAATCAATCACGACGAGTTTTTCATATCTCCAACTCACGGTCATCTTGGATCCTTTGAAGAGGCCAAGATTACGATAATTTATCTTCCTGGCTTCCCGCACAACTTTGAGAAAGCATTTTCTCTTATTGTTGCTGATTTTCTTCCGGCTGAGATGAAAATTACTGGAAATGCAGTTTTCCCTAGAATATCTCTTGATTTGCCTAGAAAAGGAGGAGATGAAGATCTTTCCGCTATCATCGATCATATTCGTGGAGATATGGAGAAGGAACGGCCGGATATTTCGGAGCGGGAAATCGAGCTAGAAGCAGAAAGACTCATCATTTCGGCAAAAGCCCAGGATATGCCTGCTCATGAGCTGATGATCTACCAAAAACGACCTCCTTTCTATTTGGCAGACTATGAGCTTGATCTTGGACCGGTTATTCTCGGTGATGTTCGAAAAGCACTCATTAGAATCGATAATTTCGGAGACATGCCTGTTGCTTTTGCACCTGATGTACGGGAGTTGGATAATTTTGGCTTCTTTTGCGAAGTCTCTAGAATTGGGAAAATGGAGCCGGGTCATACCGTCTCAGTAGAAATCACATTCGATCCACGATCTGTTGACTTACCAGTTGGTCAAGTCGGTCCAGTATGTGTTCCTATTCAAATCGAGCGAGGACCGGTAGTGAATCTTCATATAAAAGCTTTGGTTACAATGCCTAGACTTCTAGCCACTCTGGATAAACAAAACACTCCAGAGCCAAGAATCAACGTTGCTTTTGGCGAGGTAGAATGTGGTCGAGTAAAAGTCGTGACTGTGCAACTCTACAATGAGCTGCAGGTTGAGTCATCCTGGAAATGGCAAAAGTACAAAGACAAGAGATTCTTCATTGATCCTCGACTTCCATTGCACCAGAAAAAGGCACTGAAAGAAGCTCAAAAGCCTCTCCCGCGAATCTTTCAAGTATTTCCAGAAGAAGGCATTCTAGCGCCGGGAGAACGATCTACAGTTCAGGTGGAATTCATGCCGACAGAAGAGAGCACTTTCGAAGAAAATCTTCTCATCTTTGTCGACAACTCAACCCAACGAATGGAATTTAACGTCTCTGGCTCTGGAGTTTGTCCAAGTCTCATTTTCTCCAAATCACCGATTGAGCTCGGTCCCATTATGCCTGATTCTGCGGGAGCAACAGAAACTTTCAGCATCAAAAATAATTCAAAAGTCGAGGTGGAATTTTACTCGTTGGACTTTGATGAGAAATATTTGAAAGAAGAAGAGATGATAAGAAATTTGGCCGAGAAGAACTTTAATGCATTCCAAAACGTAAGAATGCCGACTCGAAGACCCGGGCAGAGCTTACCCTTTATCGAATACATCAAAGAGGAGACTCCTCCTTCCGTTTCAGAAGACGACGAATTGATCAAAACTGAGCCTAAGGACCCTCTCGAGCTCGCGTTGGAGAAGCACTCTGGAATCGACAATTCGCCAGAAGGTCTTGCTGCGCGAAATCGACTTGGTTTCAGTGGAATTATCTGGGGAGCGCCGTTCAGTGGCAAGTCAACTTTGGCAAAGCAAATGTCTGAAAAATACGATACTGTTGTTGTAACCATCGATGAAATACTCGCGAGTGCAGTTCAGTCCCCTAAATCAGCTGCGAGCAAAACAGCTCGCGAAAAGTGCGAAGAAGAGTCAAGAAGATTGGAACAGGAAAGAATGAATGCATTGGAATCAGAAGATACGACAAAGGAAGCTCCTGCGTTGAGAGATGATGCCTCTGTGATGACTATGAGAACCGGTGTCACTCAGAATACAAGCAAGCCGTCGAGAAGAGGAGGAAAGGTCAAGAATATCCCGGAAGAGCCAAAAGTCCAAAGCCTTCTTCCCCAGAAAAACATCGAGCGTCTCGAAAGCGAACTTACCGACGCTGCAGAAGCTAACCGCCCACTGGTCTCAACAGTTTTACCAGTCGATCTCGCCGCTGAAATCATCTCAGAAAAACTTCAAGAAAAAGAATTCTACAAAGGAGTGATTTTCGACGGAATAGAGTCGAGTTTTCTGACAAAGCTCAAGGACAGCATGGAAGTTTTGCTGAAAGCACTTAACAATCGAAAACATCTTCGGGTGTTTCATTTGCCACTCACCATGGCAGATTACCTGGAAAGGGTTAAAAAAGCAAAGCGCAAAGCAGAAGAGGAAGAGGCAGAACGGGTCAGGAAGGAGATGGAAATGATCAGAGATATGACCGAGGACGAGTACGATGCGTTGCCAGAAGAAGAACAGAAACGAATTGACAATATTCGGTAAATGAAAAGAATATTTTAAGGTGGTTTATTTTCAGACTTGCGAAAAAGAAAGAACGTATCGCTGAGGAAAAAAGAATTGCAGAGAAAAAGCGAGAAGAAGCCGAACGACTAGCTGAGCTCCAAGCAGAAAGCGCGAAGAAAAAAGGGAAGGGCTCAAAATTGCATCTCAATAAGAGCGACTCGACGAAATCTTCAGGTAAAAATTGAAATGAAATTTCGATAAAAAATTGGAATTCTAACTTTAGCTCCGCGAGCTCGCTTAAATAGCCGACAAAGTAAGGAAAACTTAAAACTTGCGTCGGTGGTGGAGGAATCCTCTACCCACCGACGACATCGCTCTGAGACGGAAGTGGAGCGTAGCTCAGAGAGCGTACCGCGCGGCGCACTCGCCCGGGGCCAATCCACCCGCTCGCTATTCAGTGATACGCGCGCGCCATCTACTGGTAAACTTTAAATAGTTGCCATGAAAGAATATTTTTTTAAATTCGAATCAAAAATATTTCTGAAAGAAAATTTGGAGAATTTTCTTGTTCAGCTGTTTTTAGAAATAGCCATTTTGTTCTTTTTTTAGATGAGGCCCCATCTGGGAAGAAGGAGAAAAGTAAATGGAGTCAAGTTAAAACAGCGGTGGCTATTGCCGAGCCTGGTACTTTTAGCCCACTAGAAAAAAAACAACGATATACTTTTCTTATAATATATTTTGACTAACCCCATTTTTCGCTTCTAACGATTTTTCCAACTGTTTCAAAATGCTAAACAAAACTTCAGGCCGAGTAACTGACGATCAGCCAGGACTTAGTCGAGCCTCAAGTTCAATGGGAGAAAACAGGTACAGTCGAAGTCATCAAATTAAATTGCAAGTGTGAAACATTCACTAATACTTTTCAACAGCACTGCACCACCACCAACACGGGATCGCGTTCTCTCTCGAGCCGAGAGTGTTGCTTCATCCCTGCATCTTGGGTAACCGATGCATGAAAAATTCTGATATTCATGATTTTTATTATTTACTGATTTTAAAATTTCAATGAAATTTTCTAATGAGCCTTTTTCATAATGTAGAAACCGTCTTGGCAAGACGGTCTTGCCCACTTTGCTTTTCTGTAAGATTTCATGTTTAACTCTGATTTAGACGGAGAAAAGGCAGAAAAATCTCAGAACAAACTGATCTTCCTGAACAATCACCAGCTGAAAAACTAATTGCGCTCCGCTTTTTCAATGCTGCTGAAACGCAACTTGAGCCGAGTGATAAAGTAGAGTGGATATTGAAATACTGGAATATGGTCGAACAAGATGTTATCTCACAAGTAAAACAGACTCAGGAAGATGAGTCGCCGAAGAAAGTGAAATCAAGATTAAAACCGGAAGAAATAAAAGCCGAGGAAGAAAGAATTGCGGCGGAGATTGAGAACGAATTGAAAAAGGAAGAAGTCGGCGTGATTATGATCGAAATTGAAGCCGAGTGCGAGCCCCCCTCGCTCGAAAAAATCTACGAACAGCTACCAACTGTTGAAGAAGTAGACGACGACCTAGGTCTTGGAGTAAACGGACCACCAATTCCTGAGCCTATCGAATTCACGGTCGTTCCAAAGCCGCAAAGACGCCAACCGCCTTATTACGACAAGCCGAAGTTCTTCGATCTAATTGCTTTGAATCAAGACGATCCAAATATCCACTCAGATGATCGTATTCAAGAATCACTGACAGAATCAGTAATGACGGAAGCAAGTGACAAACCATCAAGCAGCTCAAAGAAAAATCGAGGTAAGGGAAGAGGCTCCAGCAATGCGAGCAGAGCAAAAACAGATCGCCCAACTCCATCGCCACTCCCGGAAGCAGAAACGCAGCCAGAAGACAAATTTTATCGACTGCAGGATTATCGATGGGTCTTACAGCCAGGCGAAGAAGTGACGCTTAGGGTCAAGTTCGACTGCAACAAAGTCGGAACTATCGATCGAGAACTCTCATTCGAGACAGTTAGCACACGACAAGTCTTTAAAATAGCAGTCCGTGGAGTTTGCGTATTCCCAGACATTGTCAGAGATATCAAGAAAATCTTCATGCCACCCAAGTCAGTCGAAAGTTCAGATGGAATTGTCCGACCAGTCGGGACTCTTGTCGAAAAGAAAAAGAAAACAATCGTCAAATTTGAACCGGCGCTCATTGGGAAGATGGAATCGAAGGAAAAAGATTCTGGCGCTGCTAAGTTCAAAATTGTCAACTCTGGTCCCCTTGAATCTGAAGTTACATTTGCCATGAAAAAAGGAGACTCCGTTTTTACACTTGAACCGTTCAACATGAATCTGGCTCCGTTTGAGAAGAAGATTTTGACAATAAATGCTTTCCCGAAATCTTCTGGAACTCACGATGACGCTCTTATCGTCTGCGTGTCCGACAACCCTGTTCCTGCGATTTTCCCCGTTCAAGTAACCGGAGTACGCCCAGAAGTTCAAATATCATGGAACGGCGAAGGAAAACCAATTAACTTTGGAAAAGTTCTGCTCCATCGTCTATCGAGTCAGATTTTGCATTTGTTCAATCCGACTGATCTCCCAATAAACTGGAGAATAGAAGGCTTGGACAACCTGGGCGACGAATTCTCAAGAAATTGCGATTCGGGAACTATCAATCCGAAGGAAACTTTTGATTTCATCCTTGATTTCAGAGCGCTCAAAGCTCAGAACCACAAGCGAAACATACGCCTTGTCGTGAGCGATACTGACAATATCATCGGCGACTGTCAATCCGAAACGATTCCAGTTTTCGCAGAAGCTTACGATGTAGCTATGGACATGAGCTTTCCAAAGGGCTGCGATGGCGGGCTAGAATTCGGCACAATCAAGGTTCATGATGAAATGAAGCAAGTTTGTACGTTGAAAAATCGCGGGCGATATGAGATTTCGTTCAAATTTACTCTCGAAGATCATCTTTTCAACAGCGAACTGTCGCGCTTTTTCAAAATCATGCCGCAGCAGGGCTCTTTATTGCCCAACGATAGGCCGATGCAAGTAAACATCGTTTTCAACCCACCTGAAGAGTTCCACCTGGCTAATCTTCCGATAATCAAATGTCACGTGATAGAAGCAGTAATCGGCGAAACTATCGCAGCGATTCCGATCAAAGTTTCCGCTCGATCAGTGTTTTCTCAATATGTGATCACGCCTTCCAAAGATGTCAATTTCGGCCCAGTTCCGTATGGAAATCATAAACGAAGCTTTGAGATTGAAAATCATGGAGAATTCGATTTCAAGTTCGCTATTTCGAAACTGGTTAAACCTGGCTCTCCACCAAAGTCAGAGCGGCCGAAGAGAACCAAAGATTCGCGCCAGAGCTCCGCTCAGTCGAGAAGACCTGGTCAACTGACTAGAGAGCAGACACAAGTTATGAAGCTCGCTCATGGGCCTTTTATTATCTCACCTGGCTATGGAAATGTTCCGGTTGGAGGATCAATCGTCATCAATGTTGACTGCAATGTAGAGGCGTCAAAGAAATTCGAAGAATTCATCGCCATTGAAATCGCAGACAGAGATGTCCGTAAAAGCCCGGCAGGAATCAACTATAAACTGATTGCAGAAGGATGCCAGCCAGTTATTGACACAAAGAATATCGAAGCGATCTTTGAAGAACACAGAATTCTTCACTCAATCGAAGAAGCAATTCATTTGCCACTCTTTGACTTGCAATGTGGCATCTATGGCCAGATGGAGAGTCAGTTCAACTTTCCGTTTTCCACAGTCGGCGTTCCGAATTCCGTTCGCTTCAAGATCCTCAACCCTTCGAAACTACCCTGCGATTTCGTCGCTTCCGTTAAACCACTTATTCCAAAAGACAGACAACGGGTTTCAGACAGCTTCGAATTTGACCCACCACGGGGTCAAATCACTCCACATGGAAGTGTTTTTGTAACAGTAACAGTCAAGCCAAAAGCAATTGGTGAATACTGCGCCCTATTTGAAGCGGCTGTGGAAGGCGCACCAAAAGCTAAGCCGTTGGTTTTTACGATGAAAGCTGAAGCTTACTTGCCGAGAGTAGAGCTTGTCCATCCTGCCGCAAACCCTACCGATGGTATGAGACGACTTAATTTTAGAAATGCGATGATTGGAGAAATGACTTCAACAAACATACAGCTTCGAAACACTGGAAGACTCCCAGCAAGGGCACGGCTGGCGATTTCAGACTCACCCGCATTCAAAATTATGGATAAAGAAGAAATCATCAATGAAAGAACTGATGTTTGTCTCAATCAAGGAGAGACGAAGATCCTTGAAGTGTTCTTCTGCCCTGCTGATATCGGCAACTTCGAAGCTGAGCTCGCCATGAAAATCATCAACAACGACTTTGAAATCAGCGAAGCTTTGCTTTTCGGCGAGTGTATTCAACCTGACGTTATGTTGACAAATCTCCCGTCATTGCCTACTAATCTTCTTGGAAAATACTCGCAAGCTGCTCTTGATTTTGGTGGAATAGCAATAAACGAAACGCAACGAAAGAGCTTCACGATTTCGAATAATCTCAATTCTGCAGTCCGATTTGAATGGGATGAGCATCACGCGATTTCGTTCGAGCCCTCTGTTGGGCATATTCCGGCTAAGTCGACCATTGACATTCTCGTCGCTCTGCAATCATCGGAAACGATCGAACTTGACGGCGATGTTGTGGAATGCACGATTTTACCGATTATTTACGAGGAAGAAAGTAGTACGGTTCAATGGGATGACCGGCTCAAAATAATCAAATGGATCGACGGCAAAAACGCATCAGGAGGACGAACCAAGGAAAAAGTCATTGAAACAGAAGAAGAACCAAAATATGAAACAAATGGAGATGCTCGCGCTTTGCCAATTTATGTTTCTGGAATCGTCGATTATTCAAGACCAGAGCTAGAAATTGAAGAAGTCAACTTTTCGCAAGTCGAGTTGTTCAATCAAACGAGGAAAGAGATAACTCTCAAGAATACTGGCTCAACAATCGTTGATTTTACTTTTGACTTGGTTGACAGAAACACGGGCGAGAGCCTTAGGCCTTCAACAGCTTCCAGATCGCATATTCACACAGCTGTGCCCTTCAACATGCGCGACCCAGTTTTCAGCCTCCATCCGGACTCCGGAAGGCTCAAGGAAGGCGAATCAATGCAGATCAGTGTCTTTTTCAATCCAACAGAAAAGAAAGATTATGATATGACAGCATTTTGCCGCGTGCCGAACATGGAAAATTCTGGTGCTCTGACAATGGCTTTGAGTGGATCTGGATTCACACCGGGGGTGCAGTTCATGTTGCCTGAAGTTCACTCTCCTCATTTCAACAAACACAAGGTTTCTTTAGAAAGAATAAATGAAGAGCAACTTCTAGTAAAACTCGAGCCAGTTGGACTTGGAAAGAAATACATCACTTCAATCTGGATCCTAAATTCTACCGGAGACGATCTTCCGTGGTCTCTAACAAAACGAATCGGAAACAATACGGATGCTGATGAATCTTTAGTGTGCAATACTCCGTCGGGTTCATTACTTTCAGGGCGCAAGCAAATCTTAAAGTTTGAATACTCGTCCAAAATCTCGAAAAAATCCATCGAGACTTGGATCTTTAAAGCTGGCCACATCGAACAGGTCATCAGCGTCCAAGCAATGCCTCGAGAGCCAGTGCTGATCGTCGATACAACGCACATCTCTTTCCCAGATTTAATCGCCAATCATACGCAGAAGAAATCGTTCAAAATCGTCAACCCAGATCCCACCCCCGTCAAGTTCAAAATCAACGACGATCCAAAAGCAACTCAAGCTGCTGGCTGGGACTTACAGCTTTCCGAAAAATCTGGAATTATTCAGCCAAAAGAAAGTATCGAAGTCGAAGTGTCGGTGAGAACCAAATTCCCTGGTGAACTCGCTCATCCTTTGAATATCCTTGTTGATGGCAAAATTTCACCATTGTCAGTTTACGTCAAGGCTTTTGCACATGAAATGTCGGTAAATATATCATCTCATGAAGAAAACGGCATGTCGGTAATGTTCAACCCGAAAGTGAAAAATCCGATTAATTTCGGCGTCGTCGAAGTCAATACAAAAGTCATGCGAACGTTAAAAATCAGCAATCAGTCCGAACATGCGGTAGCCATCGATATCAATTTGCCAAAGAAATTCAGAAGACAGGTTCAACTAGCGTTTCAAAATGATCTTGTCATACCTCCACTCGAGACTGTTGAGGGCATTCTCACCTACTCCCCAACGCGACCTGGAAGCACTTTGGACGGGTGTGATTTGAAAATTCAAGTTCAATTTGGAGAGACTTTCAATATCGCTGTTCGAGGGTCCGCTCGTTGCCCACCCGTTCTTTTTAATCCTTCTCAACTTGACTTTGGGTCTCGGTTCATTTACGAACCGGGTATGCCAACTTACAAAACACAGATCCAAATTTCCAACCCCTCCGATCAACAGATCTCCTTAGACTTGGCCAAGTCAGAAGCTTCATCATGGATTGAGGTTGATTTCAAACCGATCGTTTTGGAGCCAAAGAAGTCAACGAACGTTTTTGTGTCTTTTAAGCCAAAAGCTGCCCAAGAGTTTTCCGAAGAAATCGTTTTCATCGTCAATGGAGCTTCAGAATTCAAATTACCGGTGACTGGTACTGGTGTGAATCTTTCTATCGGATTGAAAACGAAGCTCAAAGACAGCGAACTCAAACTTGGAGCGCGTCAGCTTGGTGCGATTGCTAGAAAGAAATTAACAATAGTGAATAGATCCGTTGTTCCTGTCGACTTTCATCTGCAGATGAATTCAAAAGAAGAAGTTCTTCAAGACTCGAGAACATTCTACCTTACTGGGTTCATTCCAGGAGAGGCGATTCATCTGGAACCTCGAAAAACAAGAGAGATAGAGGTGGTATTCGCACCAAAAACCCGCATCCAGCAGTTCAAGACTGATATAATCCTCGAAGCTTACGGTCAACTGAAGAAGCTTGTCACTGTCTCCGGAAGCTGCGTTGCGCGTTCGATGGAGCTTGACTTGGACGCGATTCCCTTCGGTCCGATTATTCAAGGATCGACAAGTGAAAAACGAGTCATGATTAAAAATACGGGCGATATTGGTGCAAGCTTCAAGTGGGACACTGCAGCTCTGGGCAAATATTTCACCATCAGTCCTGCTAAAGGATATCTTTCTCCAGGAACTCAACAGCCTCTGGTCGTTGTTTTTGCACCCAAGAATGTCAGTAGAGATGTTCGCGCAGAACGAGTCAGATGCGAAATCGAAGGTCTTTCACAGCCGCTACAGTTGACTCTTACAGGCAGTTCTCTTCCACCAACACTGACAAAAGATGCTCCAATTATTTTCAACGCTACAGTGCGTACAAGCGATACGAAATCAATCACTCTTAAAAACCCAACGAATCAACGCTGGTCAGTGCGAGTTCAACTTCGCGGTGCTTACGCTCACTTCTGGCAGCCTGAAAGCGATCTGCTTATCATCGAGCCTCAGCTGCAGCGATCGATGAATTTTACCTACACTCCGATGGAAATGACAAGTTCAAGTCACAAGCACGAGGCGAATCTGTTCTTTCAACTTCCAGATGGCCAAGGGCAAGCGTACGTTTTTCAGGGAATTTCCGAGCCTCCGAAACTTATTAATCTTCCACAGCGGGATATTCCGGCAAAATGCGCTTACGAAGAAAAGATCAGGGTCGAAAACTGGCTGAAGAAAACACAACGCTTGGCTGTTGAAATCGAGCCCATCAAGCCAGAGAAATTCGATGCGAGCCTTGTTGTTGATGGCAAAAATCACATTGACCTTGGATCGCTAGAAACACGAGCTTATACTCTCAGAGTCAGTTCTTTCAAAGAAGGCCTGGTCTCTGCGAAGGTCACCTTTAGGAATCCGTCCACTGGAGAGTTTATCGCGTATCAGGTCAACTTCAAATTCACTCAGCCAAAGCCGCAGTCTGAAACGATTAAGCTTTCATCCCAAGTGCGCCAGCTTGTTTCCCACACAGTTTCAATACCCAATCCTCTTCCGAAAGAGGTCGTGTTTACTTGGGATAGCAAATTAGCGGATATCATCGTTCCACCGACTTTCCACGTGCCTCCACTTTCCACCGGCTCCTGCACTTTTGACTATCAACCGTTGAAAACAGGCCAAACAGAAGGAACAATCACCTGTTTTACACCGGAACTAGGTGCGTTCCACTTCCCACTCTTGCTCACCGCGAAACTCGCTGATCCAGAACCAGTCGTTTCCTTCTCTGCGCCGCTTGGAAGCTCACAGACCAAGACGATCCGCATCCGATCCTACACACGGCAGAAGACCGACTTCATCATCAAATGCTCCTCTCCTCAGTTTATGCATGAAAAGTCTGTGTCCGCGCCGCAATCGCCACCAAACGGGACCGAGATCACCTTCGAAGTGACCTTTGAACCGACTCAAATAGGTCGCCAAAATTGTTACATAACGTTGAATTCGAACGCAGGAGGCGAGTACGAAATCCCGCTGGTGTCGGAATGCACGGTGCCCCAACCCCTCGGGCCGTTTTCCCTCAGGGCAAAGACGCAAATTCCCATTTCCTTTAAAAATGTCTTTGCGGAAAGTGTTGAATTCCACTTTGCCACTGCTAATGGATTGTTTACCGTGAACAAGAAGAAAGAAACGATCAAGTCGAAAAAGGTGAGTCTTCCTTGATTTCTGGAGCCGCGCCAGGGCTCTCATTAACATCCTTTCAATGCGCTTACTGTAATTATCTCTATTCTAGTCGTTTTCACTACTGGTTGGATTCGAGGGAAGTCCAACTGATGAAATCGTAACTTCAAAATTGATCATTACGAGGAAAGACATGCCCGGAATCGCCTGGGAAATGTATCTAAGAGGATCAAATGAGAAAATCTAAAGAAGGATCAATCTTCTTTGTCTGATGTTTCTGTAAATACTGTAACTGCTCCTGTACTATCTGTAACATGAAAAAATATTTATTTTTAAAAGCGTTAATAAACCTATTTTCATATGACAAATCATTGATGAACATCTCCATCGTCGATCAGCCGACCTGTTTTCGTGATGATTTTTACGAGTGCCCATTCAGGTTAACCGCATGGGACAGATCGGGGGATAAAGGCGCTCGGACAGAAGGTGTATTCCACTGCACTTAAGAAAACTACTGATTGGATAAACTTGAAAATTATACCCAATACTAATTTCGGGGTGTAGATTTCAAATCTGCTTTCAAAATTTTCATATCTCTTTTCCTTATTGCAGAAAAAATCCCATTTTTATATGGGTGAATTCAAAAAATATCTCTTACTTAGATTTCTCGACAAGGTAAAGTCAATATTTGAAATCAGTAGTCTCGAAAACATATAAAAGCCCTTTTAGTACAAGAAATTCTTGATATTGGTTCGGTTTCAATGTGCAAACACTCAGCGGGAGGGCAATTAGGCCGCATATAATCCGGTGCAGAGGGCGGTCGGTATCCGATAATTCCTTGAAACTTGGCAGACATGCTCCAATAAAGTGAAGGAACAACCATTTTAATTTTCATCTAATTTGGACAATTCGTTCGGAAGTTATTTAGCTGAAAAGTCCTTAAGTGCAGTGGAATACACCTTCTGTCCCATGCGGTTAAGAATTAACCCACTAACTCCATCGTGATGGAATCTGGCGCCCTGCGCCACGTGCTGAGTGGATCGATCCCTCTTCAAGCCGCTCCTGCTAACGGTTCAGAAAAAACGCGTCAGATCTAAAAAAAGAAGATCGAAAAAATAAGAAATTTTTAAAAAACCCAACTTTTCAAAAAAGAGGTAAGAAATGGCATTTGTAAAAAAATCAATTGAAATTCTCTGATTTGTCAGATTTTATTTTGGCACGCGGAAAATAAGACAAAAAAGCGAAAGTTTTTCGAGAACAAAGAGAGAATTTTTTAGTAAATGCTGTTGAGGTTCGTAAATTTCTAGATATTCTGGGGACTTCATACATTTCAAATTCAAGGGCGCTAGAATATTTCTTCAATAGCGAAGGTGTTTTATGTTGAGAGAAAAGATCGACTATAAATCGAGTATTTTCTACAAAAAGTGTTGATTCGAAGATCAATTTATTTTCTCAATTGACGATGATGGTCTTCTTATCGACCCTTTTTGTAAGAATTTTACTCTAAAATTTGCGTTTTAGAAAAATTCCAAGCTCGTGACTCGTAGCAAAATCTGTCGGTAAACTGTCAACCGTTCTAAAAAGTCTTGATTTCGCGCCGAAAGCCTTTCTTTCTATTCGAAAATGACGATTTGGCGGGCTTTCTAGCGACGAAATAAGGCGCATTTTTGTGGCGCGCGCGCACTTTCTGCTTTTTTTTAATTTCAATTTTTCCTTTTTTTCAAACTCTCTTTTCTCAACTCGAACAATTCTTATCTCAGAATTCAAATTTGGATCCTAGAGAGCCCAACAGTCTGATCTTCAAAATTTTGAGCCAGAGATATTGATACAATATCCGAGTTACTGTACCTAGGCAAATAAGAGAGAATGATCAATATTTACTGTATAAACTCAAGTTCGGATTTTTTCCTTTTGAGTTAATTTATTAAAAGCATTGAACTTGCATTTTGTCAGCTGAAAATCTAACTGTAAATCTAAATACTGTCCTTTTAGAAGCACTTTACGGAGCATGGAACCTCTTATCAAGCGAGCCCGAAAGAACCCTGTTAGAATCAGCATTGAAGGGAACATTGGTAAGTCACAAATACTTGAAATCCACAGTTTACTGTTCTTGAAATGACCGGCTACAAATCTACAGTCAGCTAAAAAATTAAACTCGGCGGGCGGGCACTTTTCTTCGCCCTGGGCGAATCACAGACGAGTTTTTTATTGAACAGAACTCGCTGTCCGGATTTTTTCTTTATAGAGAAGCTTTTTATACAGTCATTTGATAGACAAAATGATGGACAAAAGAAGGTTTAGATTCTATAGAAGGTAGAAATATATAATGAAAAACGGCCTGGAATCTTCTGGCCGTTGACGTAATCGATAATTTAAATCCGGGTTAATTTATTTTTCTTCTTTCGTTGAATAAATTCACCGCTTTCAGCCACTGGAAAATCGACCTTCATCAAGATCCTCGAAGAAGCGGCTGGAACTGAAGACTGGGAAATCACACCGGAACCAGTCTCCACCTGGACCCAGATCGAGGGCAAAAATGTAAGTTCCCACTCGTAAAATTTCGCTCCCGAAAACATCATAAATCGTCCGCGGAAAAAAACCGACGAAAAAATGAGTGTTTAATGAGTAAAAAAGACGTTGTCTAAAATTAGTTGAGTAAACTGTTAAAACACTCCCGCTTAAAATTTAAATTTTGTAGCCTGTTGAGCTGGAGGTAAAGTCACTCTTTACTCATTTATATACATTTACATTTATAAATTTGGTTTCATAAAGAGCCCAAATCCAAACTGTTCTCTTCATGAAGCCTAAACGGACGAAGATTTCGTCTCTCTAAAATGTCAAAAATGATCTAAATTCCGTCTCCTACTCGCCGAATTTCGCTCTCAACTCCTCCTGCTAAAGAGTTTTACGTTAGCCTTATGGAAAATTTTCAAATGAGGATCATTTGTGACATTTAGAGAACCGGAATCATGCACTTCGGTCCTTTTCAAACCCTGCATGCTTTTATCATTTTCATTTATCCCCATTTTCAACTCAGAATTTCGACTCCTGGATGCTCGGGCTGGTTCTCGGACTGATTTTTTTCTGAAATTGAGCTGTTCCCGCGGGCCGGCTCGCCGCATCCGCGACCCCCTAAAATTTCCCCCTTTTGTGTCCTTTTTTCGTGTTTCAATGAATTGACACCTTCTTTTTTGAAGGGAAGCTCATCGGGCGGCAACTTGCTGAAGCTCTTCTACGACGACGCTAAGCGTTGGTCGTACACTTTCCAGAGTTTTGCGTTGCTCTCGCGAATGCGCTTGCAGCGGGAGCCCTTTGGGCCAAGGACCGTCGCTCGTTTGTCTGAACGTTCGATCCATTCCGACCGGTAAGTAGTTAGATTTAGTACTAACAGGGGTTGAATATCGTACAGAAAACACGCCCGAGCATCCCTAAGAACCATCTCCATTTTGAAAAATTCATTTATAAAAATTCGCTGTTGTAATTTCTGAAAGTCGCTGTTGTAGTAATTGACCGGTCCATTTTTAGGAGCAAAACGCGAAAAAAGAGATTTTGGGCAAGTTCTACACTGACCCTAAGCGTTGGGCCTACACTATGGAGAGCTTCACCTTTGTGACGCGCATGCACGCCGAGAAAATGCGCCGTCAGCGGCCATCCTCGGTCTCGTGCTCGATAAACGAGCGAAGCGTGTATTCAAATCTGTACGTTTTCAACCCCCTTTCAACCTCCCCTCATTTGACAACTTCTTCCATAGCTACATTTTTGCACGAAACTGCTTCGAAACCGGACTCATGACGGAGACCGAGTGGGCCATTTACAAAGACTGGTCGACTTATCTCCTCGAATCCCTTGGCGATCTCCAGCTGGATGGATTCATCTACCTTCGTTGTGATCCCAAAGTTTGCGATAAGCGAATGGCAAAACGAGGTCGGCCAGAAGAACAGGGCGTAACCTTGGAGTACCTCACCCAGCTGCACGAAAAACACGAAAAGTGGCTTCACAATCGCGAATTCCAGTAAGTTTTCAACCAAGCCAACCAGAGGCCCAAGACAAGATTGAAAATGTCTTTCCCTAATGATTTTTCTGAAGAAGTTTTTGGAAAAACAGCATATTTATCCTATATTTTTAGTAACGAAGAGATTATGCACGATATTCCAGTGTTGGAAATAGACTGCAATATGGAATTTCATGACGACGAAGCAATCAAGACTAAAATGCTCAATCAGGTTCGTCATTAACCCCTATCAGTGCGAATATCGAAAATGAAGAAGTCTGATAATTCAAAAATACTTCCAGGTTCGTGATTTCGTCCGCCAGGTGCAAGAAAAACGTCAGGAGAAGCTCAACTCTCTCCAGGAAACCGATTCCGGAGTGGACTCGTACTCCCGTTCAGACTCTCCTCTTTCGGACGCGCAGTCGCTCAGCCCGCTTCCATTTTCCAAAACAAGCAGCGAGGAAGAAATCGCTCCAGTGGCGCAAGTTACGACTGAAATCAAAACTGAATAGTTCCCCATTTTCTTTCCAATTTCAAACTTTTAAACAACTCTTTGAACTAATTTGCATTTATCCTGTTTAACTACGGGCTTCGTGTTCATCGAAATCGAGCTTCTAGTTACGATAACTGTTACTGTATCTACAACTGTTGCAGAGCTAAAGCTCAAAACAAATGTTTTTGTGAACAGATGCGCGGAGAAAACGAACTCCGTTGCGGAGAAGCTTCTGTATAGTTACAAACTGCCTTTTCCTTAGAAATAAATTCATTCGCTAAATGCGACGAAAAGCAACTGATCATTTTCTTGCAAACATGCCTACAGCATACGACTCTAGAATGCATATTTTACAGGGATCATTTCATTCAGACAAAATGTTGGCATTGGCGGTGATTTTCGTTACAACGATAGATATTCTTCTGACTTTCATTTTCAAACAATTCAAGTCGCCATCCCAGGCGCATAAGGAAATCCTTCAAATTGATCAAGAACTCAAGGGATTGTCTGAAACCGAAGACTTCGTCAAATGGGCCAGGTCTAATTTGAACTCTTCTGGGCAATTTTTAAGGTCTTTTCAGGCTCACACGAAAACGACAGGAATTGGTGAAGCAAAATGCTCAAAGTGAAGCGTCTTTTTCTGCTTCAATTTCTAAAAGTGCGGACAAAGAATCAATTTCTAGAGCTAATCATTGTTTTTCTAGCGATTTCAACGATTTCAAAGTTGAGCAAAGTCCTCCTCTTCCTTCTTTTCCGAACAAGCCCGATTGTCACCCTCGACGCAGAATTGCTCCCAGTCGCGTTTGCCAAGGCGCTTTCCTTTACTGGCTTCAGTTTCATACGATACGGAGATGTTTCTACTTTCATGTTTTACTTCTGTGCCAAATCGTTTGTTTCCTGCATCAGTTCCTGTCTTCCGAAAGGGAGCGGGGTCGACAAATCGGCAACTGGGATTCCAGATATTTTGACGCATCTATCTAACCCAAAACTTGACTAGAATTTATCACAAATTTCTGTATATTGAAATAATATTGAAAACTTTTTCGAAATCATTAAATTTATGTTTTAAGAATGTCTGGGAAACTTCTGTTCGATCTGCGAGGACTGAGTCCTCACGCTGCTGCGTGGCAATCCCGCGGAGGAAGCGTCCTGGCTCTTGCGTCAAAAGACAGCGTCAAACTCTGGGACCGGTCGGGGCAATTAGTCGCCGAGAATGCGGCAAAGCAAGCTCTTATCGCGTGGGATTCTGACGGGCAGATTCTCTCCATCATTCCGAGCAAGTCGCAGAGTCTCACCGTCCTGATGATGTCAAACAAGCAATCGAGGGTGATTGAGTTTGATTTGAAAGATCAGCTCGTTTGCCAGGCTTGGAGCATGAATACAAATTCGCTGGCTATCGGGACGAGTAAAGGATCGTTGATTCTAGTCGATTTCAAGACCGATAAAAAAGTACCTGTCTTGGGAAAACACGGGAAAAAGATCTCGCACGCTGTCTGGTCAAAAGATAACCGACTGGCTTTGGCATCAATTGACGGGATGATTTCAGTTAATGACTCAAAAGGAGACCTTATTGTTTCACAACGACTTCGAGCGGAACCACAAGATCTTCAATTTGGCTCAATGAAGAGCGACCAGCGATCGCATGCTCCAGACACGATTTCAGTCCTTCAAGAAAAACGCTCCATCTTCCTGTGGCGATACGAAGGGGAGGAGCAATCCGAGCTTTCTTTCCAAGCGAGCTATGGGAAGATCATTTCCTACAGTTGGTATGGCGACGGATATCTAGCGATCGCCTTTGATACAGGAAGACTTATCGGCGTTTCTACTCATATTGCTGAAATCGGAACAGAAATCTTCAACATTCAAGATCACTCTGAATTCTGCAGCTCTATGAAGCTCACGAATGATGGGATCAAGCTTGCAACAGCTGGAGAAGATTCAATTCGAGTCCACTCAGTTGCCAATATGAAAGTGACGGATTCGATCATTCCGATTCCTGACGAAACTGCCGGCGGCTTTAGGGCCATCCAATGGTCGGACAATGGCGCGCTCATTGCCGCACTCAGTAATTCCGGAACGATCTACGTTTTTCTGACGGAATTGACTGTTATGGGACAAAGTAATGGGAATAAACTCGCCTATCTCAGCTCATTGTCGGAAATGACGCTTTTTGAACCAAACACGGAATCGAAAAAGATCAAGCTTGGCATGGAGCCCAGCTTTGTCGGTCTTGGCCCTGCAGATCTTTGCTACGGATTCAACAACAAGGCGAAATTCCATCAACTGGATGATGGAAGCTTGACGGAGAAAGAATACGTTGGCTCTGTAAAACGCGTTTCGGTTGGAAATGATTACGCTGTTGGATTGCTCAGTGATGGTCGCCTTCAGTTGCATTTGATTGTCGATGATGGAATGACGCCTGAAAAATCCGTGAAGATCTTCCCCGATGGAAAGTCTCAAGACGGTAACATCATCGCAGCTGAAATTCGTGGAGAAATGCTCATCTATGCGACAAGTGGCGGCAAATTGAGATTTTTCTCCTCGATGAATGGACAGAAGTAAACTGCTTGGATGTCAAAAAGACGATCACCGCGATGTATTGCGATACTTCCGGTGCTAGAACCCTTCTCATTGACGATGTCAACAAGGGTTATGTCTACACAGCTGGAGATGATACTCTCATGGAAGTTGGCGAGCTCCCTGGACGGGTAAATGGCTGCCTTTGGGACGCTGTGGAGACGCATGTCTTTACAGTCTGGGATAATCAAAACCAGCTGGTGGTGTTTTCCGTGCACGATCTTCACGTCGAGGGACAAAAAGTCGAACAAGTAGCGATCGGACGCAAACCAAAAGGGCAATCGCCGCTATTACTATCTTCCGGGCTTTTGTTTCTTCAGACAAGCTCCGGAAAACTTAACCGAATCACCCTTCCTTCTCATAAAGGATCCGGGCCAGCTGAGATGAGCGACTTAGAAAATGCCATTCGACTGCGTAACTGGCCTTCTGCTCAAGAAATATGCGCCGAACTTGACGATCCAAAGGCGTGGAATAAAGCCGCAGAAGGTGCAGTTAGGTGTATCGAAATAGAGGCAGCGATGCGATTCTATCAAAAGGTCCAACATGCGGGAATGGTTTTGAATCTGATGGAATTAAAAACGAAGAAGATATTTTCTACCTACGCGGGGCCTGCTCAGTTTTGTTGAGGAACTTTGACGTCGCGCAGAAAGCTTTCTTGCAATCTAGCGAGCCTATTGCTGCGCTAGAACTTCGAAGAGATCTCCAACATTGGGAAGAATCGCTCTCCTTGGCAAATCGACTCGCTCCAGAGAGAATACCAGAAATTGCTCGTGAATACGCTGCGCAGCAAGAATTTGAAGGAAATTACTCAGGCGCTCTTGGTAATTACGAACGAGCAATTCAAGACGGAGCGAAGACGCTTTCGAAGGAGCAGTTATTCCTGGCGAGCTCTGGAATCGCTCGATGCTCGTTGAGAATGGGCGATTTGAGGAGAGGTCTTCAACTGGCGAACAATTCTAGCTCAAAGGTCTTGAAGCGAGAATGCGCTGATATCCTAGGTATATTTGAAATATATTTCAAATTTTAACAATATTTTATCAAGACAAAATGAAACAGTACACTCAAGCTGGCATGCTCTATGTAAAAGGAGAGTTCTGGGAAAAAGCTGCCGCATCATTTCTAAAGGGCAAGGAATCGAATCGAGTCGCTGAAATTATTGATAAAGTTGACGCTGTCAAGATCCACATGGCTTTTGCAAAAACTCGAGAGGCCGAAGGCAAGATCGATGAAGCGTTGACTGCGTATGGCCGAGCTGGAGACGAAGACGCTCGAATCCGATTGCTGCTTTCTTCGGGCAGGACTCTTGAAGCTGAAGAAATTGTGAAGGAAACTGGCTCGCTTGAGGGAGCCGATAGAATAGCTCGATACTACATCAAAAAGGCGATTACGGCAGCGCCATTGAGTTTCTCGTTCTTTCTGACTGTAACACAGAAGCTTTCCAACTGGCCCAGCAGCACTCGCAAATGGAGACGTACGCTGAAATTATCGGAAATAGAGGGGGCATTGATGATTTCAAATCGATCGCGATTCACTTTGAAAACGATGGCAATTTCCTACAGGTATTTTTAGCTAAAAACAATCTTAATCAATCCTGTTTAGTCTGGCAAGTTCTTCCTGAAAGCAGGCGAATACGACAGAGCATTGAATCACTTCCTCCGAGTAAAATCCGCTGATGATGAAAATATCTCGCTGGCGATTGAAACAGTTGGAGAAGCGAAAGATGAGAAGCTCAGCCTAGGGTTCCGCACGATTGGAGGACCTTATTTTTCAAAATCCGAATCCTTATTATATCAAAAATAGACTTTTTATAAACTATGGGTTTTCGAATACGGCGAAAAAATGATGACAATAATATTCCGATTCACCATCGGAGTCGCCGATTTCTCTCGGTTTTTCATACTTCTAGTGGCAGCACAAACTTTTCTTTAACACTGTAGATAGAATCAACCCTAAAAATCACAAATCTGCAAAAACAAATTTAAAAATTCAAGGTTTTTATGTGCTGTCCATTTGAAAATTATCCATTATTTATCATTATGTGAAAATTGAGGAGGCGCGCTCTGATTGGCTGATGAGGAAGACATTCTCAAGAGTCGATTTGAAGGAAGATTATTCTAAGCTTCCGCGATTTTGTCCTTGTTGGTGAAAAAGCCCTTTCTCGATAAAATTTTAAATAGAAACCATAACAAAGTAAAAATCTTGGATAATTTGACTTTTTACAACAATGGGTGAGGGCGGGGTTGGGGACATAACTGAGATTGATCACCTCAGAGTCCAACGCCGATCTCAAGCCCCTTAAATAAAAAATCAAGGAACGGGGCTGAAACGGCCCGAAGGGCCGTCAAGCCCCTTAAATTAAAAATCAAGGAACGGGGCTGAAACGGCCCGAAGGGCCGTCAAGCCCCTTAAATAAAAATCAAGGAACGGGGCTGAAACGGCCCGAAGGGCCGTCAAGCCCCTTAAATTAAAAATCAAGGAACGGGGCTGAAACGGCCCGAAGGGCCGTCAAGCCCCTTAAATTAAAAAATCAAGGAACGGGGCTGAAACGGCCCGAAGGGCCGTCAAGCCCCTTAAATTAAAAAATCAAGGAACGGGGCTGAAACGGCCCGAAGGGCCGTCAAGCCCCTTAAATTAAAATCAAGGAACGGGGCTGAAACGGCCCGAAGGGCCGTCAAGCCCCTTAAATTAAAAATCAAGGAACGGGGCTGAAACGGCCCGAAGGGCCGTCAAGCCCCTTAAATTAAAAATCAAGGAACGGGGCTGAAACGGCCCGAAGGGCCGTCAAGCCCCTTAAATTAAAAATCAAGGAACGGGGCTGAAACGGCCCGAAGGGCCGTCAAGCCCTTAAATTAAAAATCAAGGAACGGGGCTGAAACGGCCCGAAGGGCCGTCAAGCCCCTTAAATTAAAAATCAAGGAACGGGGCTGAAACGGCCCGAAGGGCCGTCAAGCCCTTAAATTAAAAATCAAGGAACGGGGCTGAAACGGCCCGAAGGGCCGTCAAGCCCCTTAAATTAAAAATCAAGGAACGGGGCTGAAACGGCCCGAAGGGCCGTCAAGCCCCTTAAATTAAAAATCAAGGAACGGGGCTGAAACGGCCCGAAGGGCCGTCAAGCCCCTTAAATTAAAAATCAAGGAACGGGGCTGAAACGGCCCGAAGGGCCGTCAAGCCCCTTAAATTAAAAATCAAGGAACGGGGCTGAAACGGCCCGAAGGGCCGTCAAGCCCTTAAATTAAAAATCAAGGAACGGGGCTGAAACGGCCCGAAGGGCCGTCAAGCCCTTAAATTAAAAATCAAGGAACGGGGCTGAAACGGCCCGAAGGGCCGTCAAGCCCTTAAATTAAAAATCAAGGAACGGGGCTGAAACGGCCCGAAGGGCCGTCAAGCCCCTTAAATTAAAAATCAAGGAACGGGGCTGAAACGGCCCGAAGGGCCGTCAAGCCCTTAAATTAAAAATCAAGGAACGGGGCTGAAACGGCCCGAAGGGCCGTCAAGCCCCTTAAATTAAAAATCAAGGAACGGGGCTGAAACGGCCCGAAGGGCCGTCAAGCCCCTTAAATTAAAAATCAAGGAACGGGGCTGAAACGGCCCGAAGGGCCGTCAAGCCCCTTAAATTAAAAATCAAGGAACGGGGCTGAAACGGCCCGAAGGGCCGTCAAGCCCTTAAATTAAAAATCAAGGAACGGGGCTGAAACGGCCCGAAGGGCCGTCAAGCCCCTTAAATTAAAAATCAAGGAACGGGGCTGAAACGGCCCGAAGGGCCGTCAAGCCCTTAAATTAAAAATCAAGGAACGGGGCTGAAACGGCCCGAAGGGCCGTCAAGCCCCTTAAATTAAAAATCAAGGAACGGGGCTGAAACGGCCCGAAGGGCCGTCAAGCCCCTTAAATTAAAAATCAAGGAACGGGGCTGAAACGGCCCGAAGGGCCGTCAAGCCCCTTAAATTAAAAATCAAGGAACGGGGCTGAAACGGCCCGAAGGGCCGTCAAGCCCTTAAATTAAAAATCAAGGAACGGGGCTGAAACGGCCCGAAGGGCCGTCAAGCCCTTAAATTAAAAATCAAGGAACGGGGCTGAAACGGCCCGAAGGGCCGTCAAGCCCTTAAATTAAAAATCAAGGAACGGGGCTGAAACGGCCCGAAGGGCCGTCAAGCCCCTTAAATTAAAAATCAAGGAACGGGGCTGAAACGGCCCGAAGGGCCGTCAAGCCCCTTAAATTAAAAATCAAGGAACGGGGCTGAAACGGCCCGAAGGGCCGTCAAGCCCTTAAATTAAAAATCAAGGAACGGGGCTGAAACGGCCCGAAGGGCCGTCAAGCCCTTAAATTAAAAATCAAGGAACGGGGCTGAAACGGCCCGAAGGGCCGTCAAGCCCCTTAAATTAAAAATCAAGGAACGGGGCTGAAACGGCCCGAAGGGCCGTCAAGCCCCTTAAATTAAAAATCAAGGAACGGGGCTGAAACGGCCCGAAGGGCCGTCAAGCCCCTTAAATTAAAAATCAAGGAACGGGGCTGAAACGGCCCGAAGGGCCGTCAAGCCCCTTAAATTAAAAATCAAGGAACGGGGCTGAAACGGCCCGAAGGGCCGTCAAGCCCTTAAATTAAAAATCAAGGAACGGGGCTGAAACGGCCCGAAGGGCCGTCAAGCCCCTTAAATTAAAAAATCAAGGAACGGGGCTGAAACGGCCCGAAGGGCCGTCAAGCCCCTTAAATTAAAAATCAAGGAACGGGGCTGAAACGGCCCGAAGGGCCGTCAAGCCCCTTAAATTAAAAATCAAGGAACGGGGCTGAAACGGCCCGAAGGGCCGTCAAGCCCCTTAAATTAAAAATCAAGGAACGGGGCTGAAACGGCCCGAAGGGCCGTCAAGCCCCTTAAATTAAAAATCAAGGAACGGGGCTGAAACGGCCCGAAGGGCCGTCAAGCCCTTAAATTAAAAAATCAAGGAACGGGGCTGAAACGGCCCGAAGGGCCGTCAAGCCCTTAAATTAAAAATCAAGGAACGGGGCTGAAACGGCCCGAAGGGCCGTCAAGCCCCTTAAATTAAAAATCAAGGAACGGGGCTGAAACGGCCCGAAGGGCCGTCAAGCCCCTAAATTAAAAAATCAAGGAACGGGGCTGAAACGGCCCGAAGGGCCGTCAAGCCCCTTAAATTAAAAATCAAGGAACGGGGCTGAAACGGCCCGAAGGGCCGTCAAGCCCCTTAAATTAAAAATCAAGGAACGGGGCTGAAACGGCCCGAAGGGCCGTCAAGCCCCTTAAATTAAAAAATCAAGGAACGGGGCTGAAACGGCCCGAAGGGCCGTCAAGCCCCTTAAATTAAAATCAAGGAACGGGGCTGAAACGGCCCGAAGGGCCGTCAAGCCCTTAAATTAAAAATCAAGGAACGGGGCTGAAACGGCCCGAAGGGCCGTCAAGCCCCTTAAATTAAAAATCAAGGAACGGGGCTGAAACGGCCCGAAGGGCCGTCAAGCCCCTTAAATTAAAAATCAAGGAACGGGGCTGAAACGGCCCGAAGGGCCGTCAAGCCCCTTAAATTAAAAATCAAGGAACGGGGCTGAAACGGCCCGAAGGGCCGTCAAGCCCCTTAAATTAAAAATCAAGGAACGGGGCTGAAACGGCCCGAAGGGCCGTCAAGCCCCTTAAATTAAAAATCAAGGAACGGGGCTGAAACGGCCCGAAGGGCCGTCAAGCCCCTTAAATTAAAAATCAAGGAACGGGGCTGAAACGGCCCGAAGGGCCGTCAAGCCCCTTAAATTAAAAATCAAGGAACGGGGCTGAAACGGCCCGAAGGGCCGTCAAGCCCCTTAAATTAAAAATCAAGGAACGGGGCTGAAACGGCCCGAAGGGCCGTCAAGCCCCTTAAATTAAAAATCAAGGAACGGGGCTGAAACGGCCCGAAGGGCCGTCAAGCCCCTTAAATTAAAAATCAAGGAACGGGGCTGAAACGGCCCGAAGGGCCGTCAAGCCCTTAAATTAAAAATCAAGGAACGGGGCTGAAACGGCCCGAAGGGCCGTCAAGCCCCTTAAATTAAAAATCAAGGAACGGGGCTGAAACGGCCCGAAGGGCCGTCAAGCCCCTTAAATTAAAAATCAAGGAACGGGGCTGAAACGGCCCGAAGGGCCGTCAAGCCCCTTAAATTAAAAATCAAGGAACGGGGCTGAAATGGCCATCCGTGTTTTCCAAGCTAGAAAGCTTTTGAAAAAATGAGACACGGGTTGGATTCGAGCTCGCCATCTCGTCTGCGCGAAGAGAAGCGCTCACCACTCAGCCAACTCCAGGGTGACGGTGCAGTGCAGTACTCGATTCATATTCCCGCGAAGAGCGCCAGCCAATCAGCGCGCAGCAGGCCTCCTTGGCAAAATATACTTTGAAGCCCTTAAAAGGGCTGAAGGGGGATTTTCTGGAAAAACAGAGGCCAGGAATGAATTTCTAGGCATTATTTTGGTGGAATCTCCAAATTTTATTAAAATGAAAAATTTTGGTCCAATCGTGCGGAACCCTAGCTCAGCCGCACTCTTTTGGACTTTTGCTTGGCCAACATGATGACGGACAGGTTTAATTCTCTTTAAAATGCAATCCTTATATTATTTTAGTCAAAAATGCGAAGTTTCTGTTCCAATTCTATGTATCACTCGATCAGTACCAAGAGGCGGCCTCTACGGCTATCATCATTGCCCGCGATCATCAGTTGAAAGGCGATTATAAAAAGGTAAAATATCAATTATCTTCCATGATTTCAATCGAGTATTTCAAGGTCGTGAATTCCTGTTTCAAATGTACAAAGACTTGCGCATTCGAGGAATCCGCCTCCCCGCAGAAATGTCTTCATCGCTTTTACTTCTTCACTCATACTTGCTGATTCGCCCGACACTCTCCGTTAGAAATGATCACATGACTGCTGCGAGATTGTTAACTCGCGTGGCTAAGAGCATTTCGAAATTTCCCAAGCACATTGTTCAACTGCTCACAAAAACGGTCATCGAATGTAATAAAGTTGGACTTCAACGGTCCGCTTTTGAGTACGCGGCGCTACTCATGAGGCCAGAATATCGGTAAGAATGCGCACAAGCCTCGATGAATTGTTAAAAATCATTCAGAGAAGCCGTGGATCAGAAGTATCGACGGCCTATTGAGAAACTCGTGCGAGATCGTCGAGGAGCCAATGAAGAAGATCCACCTGCTGAAGCAACTCCTTGCCCGTTCTGTTCGAAAAAGTTCGATTCGTATGAGGTAAATTAAAGCTAGTTTTTCGCCGTTTATTAATCATTTTCAGCTAACATGCCCCTTCTGCCGTGAAGTCTCCCCTTTTTGCATAGCCACCGGCCGCCATGTGACTGTGGAGGACCTCACCAAATGCCCAACCTGCGAGTCGCCCGCTTTGATTGAACCCCTCGCCGAGCTAGTCAATTCTGACGGACATTGCCCGATGTGCTCGGCTTCGCTCAACAACGAAGATCTTGTTATTATCGAAAATGCCGCAACCTATCTGAAGCAACTTGCGTGACACTCGTGACAATTCTCTTGATTTACTTTTCTACCCATTGAAATTTTCTATTTTTATACTCAATAAAATGTTTATGTTTTATGCATTAGACTATTGGATAAAAAATTATTCCAATAATTCAAAGTTTTTGTTCGTTTTGCTCCTGCAGGGTACTCATCCATGATTTCAAATAGATTTTCAACTACAGCAGTAAATATCCTTTTCATGAGTTTATTCTTTCGACTGATGGTTATTTACGAGAGCAATAATCTACTGCACTTCGTTCTCCACTTGTGGAAGATATGACTGCGCATTATCCTGTGCATCTTCAGCAACTACGGGTTCAAAATTCAATTTAAAAAATCGAGAATAGGAATCATTGAATCGAAGAATTTGGGCATTTTGATCGAGCGAAATAGATAATGCGAATTTTGAATCTAAGCTTCCTTTTGAATCTTTTGCGAGTTATTATAGAATCAGAGAGTAGCGGGTGGATGTTAGTTTATTAACAGTGAATTACAGACAATAGTCGATCGGGCTGACTACTCGTAATCATGGGCGACTATGAGTTAATTTTTGAATTTGTGCATTTGAGTAATTTTTAAGAACTTAAATCGACTCTCTTACCTTGGATACCCAAGAGGGCCAGGATTCCTTCGGCAGCGAGCGACTGCGCTTCTTCAGGGGTTGAAGACCATCGGCATCCACTGCGTGTTACCATCTGTAATCATGTTAGAATTCAGTAGATTAATTGAGATTTACCTGGTTGAGGGTAGACCCATTCGCTAGGGTTATGTGGCATAAGTACATGACTTTGACCCCAACCTATGAAGGAATCGGTTATTGTTCACTTAGATTGGAGATGGTTTACCTGGCATGAATGTAATTGGTAAACTGGGGACCCCAATTGATTCAGCTTGCAAATTTCCTCCAAGAGTTGAAAGGAGGTGAGTTTGCGCTGCCGCTGGATTGGGAGCAGTGTGGGCGTTTTGGTCGACCGGTTGAGCGTGCCGCTCGAGATTGGCGTAGGCGTAGGGATGAGTGGTGTCGCGGGGCTTCTCCCGTATTTCCTGAACGCTCATTGGACCAGGAGCACCAGATGATGATGAGAGCCAATCAGAACTCTCCGAAGCACGCATGGGCTGACTAGATGTCATTTTTAGCCAATCACGTGCTGTGTTTCATTCCTTACCCTATATAGGTCCGGCCACCCAGTGGGCGGGTGCCTCCTGCCCCTCGCGGTTTGCGCAACGCTGATTGGCGCTGAAAATGAGAAATCACGATTAAAAGCACGGAAATTAGCAGCTTTTAGCTTACCCCTTCTGGCACGAGCGCTGGCTGGTACATCTGATAGTACAGTGGAGCGCCTGCGTAGACATTCTGAGCTTGAGCAGCAGCCAAGGATTGAGCAGTTGCATCTCCGTAAGCCAAAAGCATAGGCATCTGAGGAGTTTGGATGACCTTTCTTTCCGAAGCTCGGGAGTGACGAACGTAGCTATCTCGATCAACAGGCTTAGCAAGGACGACTTCGACGAGAGCGCCGTCGATCATGCCGTTGTTGAGCTCCTAGGAAGAAATGTAATGAAGACTCAGCTATTTGATAATGATGATTAATTGTACCTTCATCGCTTTGAGAGCATTCTCACGCGTGTTGAAATGTACGAATGCATAATCTCTGATCTTCTTGACACGTTCAATCGTTCCCTTTCCGGTGACCTTGGCAAACGCCGCCTCAAGTGTATCCTCACTCGTGTGGAGCATCAGATTTCTGACGTAGAGAATTTTTACCGTTTCCATCACGCTAAATATCATTGAAGAAGTATTCAAGAGCGACCATTTTTACCTTTCATCGACTTCAATTTCTGGCTCAGCCCAGTCAACAGCGATCTGATGTCCCCAGAGCTGGATTCGCCCGGGCATGAGTTTTCTTCTAGCCATGGCGGCAGCTTTGTGATCCTTGTACTCGACAAAAGAGAATCCTCGGTTCTTGCTTTTGTCCGCAGCAGAAGGATAAACGATGACATCAACGACTCCTACAGAAATATTAAAAAAGGGAAAGGGTCTGGAAGCTTCGAATGGAAAAATTTATCCTAGATAAATATTCGTGAAAGCAGAGCAAATAACTCTGTTTCAGAAACTGAGATAAGCAGTTGTGAAAATAATACTCTCGATTCTTACCCTCTGTGACTTTCTTCATTTCCTCCATAATCTCATCCCTCTTCTTTGTCTTTGGAATTCCACCGACAAAGAGTCTACAGTTGTCCACCGATTGGCAAGCGCCGAGTAGTCTTCCCTTTCTGATTTCAAAATTATTGATTCCTTCCTCTGGATTCTCGACCATTTCGAATTTTACTGAGAATAAATCCATTCTCTCGACTGTTTCGTTCCGCATTTCCGCGAAAAAAACAGGGTGTAATAACAAAATTAGAGATCTGACACATTCACGCAGCGTGGGAGATTCAAAAAATCACATTCACAGCTACAGATAAGGCTGCTGGTGTACATAACTTCGAGCATAATTAGACTCGTTTAAAGATCTGGAGGTGAGTTTTCCGATGATATTCTAGAGAATACAGTTCCTTTGAGAGCAGCTTGAGACTCATTTCTTGTTTGATAGGTGACGAAGCAGAATCCACGGTTGTTTCCGTTGAAGTCCAGCATCATTCGTAACTCGAAAACGCTAGAGACATCAGATGAAAATGAGCATAATTTCCATGAATCTTACGGGCCGTAGCTTTCGAGTACTGGATACAACTCATCTTCGAACAAGTCTCGTGGCAGTTTTCCGATAAAGATTTCGGTCCCCTTCTCCGGCTTTCCAGTAAGCGCAGGATTTGTGTACTTCCGCTGGCCGTTCTCCTGCTTCATCACCAATCCAGTTCTGAGGCATAGCGCTAAATTCGGTTTTAGTAAATTTGAAGTATCATCATCTTGAAATCAAGGAAGAGTCCCGAAAAAGCGCTGACCAAAGTGGGCATGCCAAAATTGCTCGGCTAATATTTGAAGTTCTTGATTTAGTTCCATTGCAAACAGTACCCTTTACCCTCTTGCGACAAGGATATTTACATGATATCAAATGCACTTATAAAAGTACAGCTACGGCAAATGTCCAAATGTCAGATCACAAGATGATGAATTACGGATTCTTTAGTCATCATCATTTTTATTTGCAATTTTGAATTGGCATGAAAACCACGTTGTTGGACAGTCACTGTTTAAATTTGCATTTCGGGTGGCAAAAATTAAGTCTCACATTCGCGCAATTTCGAACGTTTGAGTCATTTCTTTACCTTTAATTTTAGCCTCAACCCTTGGGTTCATTGGATGTTGCACTGCTGGTTCCGAGCCATCATCTGAGCCAGCAGAGTTCAGGCTCATGGAAGCAGTAGAGGCAATTTCTGCGTTCTTTACGTCAGTCTTCCAAGGGATGATCGATCTCTTTTCATATCTCTGTGTTATTTAAGCGCCTGGTTTTTAACTCCTTGGTTTACGATTTTTATATAAAAGATATGTGTGATTCATCATCCCGTATTCATCACCGATTGAAGAAAAATCAAAAAAAATCGAAAATCAAATCGAAAAATTAGCGAAAAAAAAGTTAAATCAGCCGAATCACCGCAGCGAACCACCAATTTCTGTGGAAGTTAACAAAAAAACGAAACGAACGATATGGGATTTTGCATTCGTTGAGGAATCTCACCCACTCGCCCGCGGCAACATTTGCACCCGCTTGCGGCGTAAGCACGACCCGCGTAGCTCTTGCCTCCATCGCCGCTGCAAGTCAATCAGTAACTACAGACCGAAAAGCAAATAACACAAATTTACAACCGAGAGCAACATTTGCAACGGACACACAGATAAACAACATCAGATGCGCGCGGCTTCGGGCACACACGCGAAGACAACCGTGTTTGACCGTCAAATACGAATCAACGTTGCCAATTCTCTATCAAGCAAAAGTTCACCTGGAGAAAGTGCAATTCTCTTCCCATGCCAAAATTTCAAAATGATGCAGTTGTCATTTTTATTCAAAATAAAGCAAGTCAGGTCTCTTCAAGAATAGTTTCAAGCGTTCTTGAGCTCTTCGCAAGCTCTCGATCAACCGATAATTTCGATGGTCTTTCTTTGAAGAATTTGCTTCTGATTTTCTTCCTCACAAAGATCGAGAAATTCCAACTCTCCGGGACAATCCATGAAATAAGTAGAATCACAAAAATGATACAAAATCCTCGTTTTATTTCGTCTGCTGATTTTCTCATGTCAATTTGATGCGTAAATGTCCTAAAAATAAACCGTTCAGAAAATCTCAACTCTGCCCATGGGCGATGCCAGTATGATTTAGATAAGAATTTCGTCTGCAATAAATCGTAAAAACAGCCTGCAAATTTATAAACAAACTACCCTTTGTTTCATTCCAAATGTTTTTTATTCAGATAGTTGAATTCCAAAGCTGGGTACAGTGAAAACAAGAACAGAATAGAAAAAAGTGCACAAAATTTGAAACATCAATCGCAGTACAAAAACAGGTTCTCACATAATCACATTTTTAGAGAATAAGTGGGAGTGCTGCCCAACTGGTGGTTTTTATTTTTCAACCCATGGGCCCGAGCACGACTTTTTCTAGAGCACTGACGGCGCTTGAAGCTGCCAAGTCTAAAGTGCAGGTGAAAAGACGACTGCGGATTTTGTTACCCAAGGATTTTTTGATAACCAGCTAATTTGGGATTGTGGAAATCATATTCCATCTTTTTTAATTAATTTGTGATTATGCGGGGATAAATAAAGTTTACAGGAAAGATTGTACAGTCATAAAAAGGTATTAAACCTTGATAGTGTCTCGAACAATCTGCTTGTATTCGACCTTGTAGCTGTTGATTTTGGCTCCGCCATCGTCCTCTGGCTTGTTCCATTCAACAGCAACATATCCATCTCCGACGTCGGTGACGTTGATTCGGCCAACTGGTCCAGGTGGTCCAGAAGCTCGGAAGCTTTCATCAAGAGCGCAAGCTGGGCCTTCGCCGAATTCGTTGACGGCCTTGACTCGGAAGAAGTATACGAGGCCTCGGACAAGTCCTTCGATTCTGAAGTTCTGTCGGGTGACATTTTCAGCGGCGGTTTTCCATGCTTTCTTGGTGGATTCCTTCATCTCAATGACATAGTTGCTGACAATAGATCCACCATCGTTGACGGGAGCGTTCCATTGAAGAGTGACGTAGTCGGTGCTCTTTTCCTTGATGCAGATGTCGGTAGGAGCAGAGGGAGTATCCTGAATGACGACGTTGACGGTAACTTCTTTGGATCCAGCAGAGGAGGAGATGGTGACAGCGTAAGCGCCGGAGTCGTTTCGGTTGGGCTTCTCAACTTCGAGTCGAGTGCTGCCCATGCCAGATTCGACAAAGACGCGATCTGGGAGTGGCATGTTGTCCTTCTTCCAGGAAATGGATGGGGCAGGGTTGCCAGTAACCTTTCCGTTGATACGAAGAGGAACTCCGGCCTTGACCTTGAGAGCCTGCTTGATAGAGCAGTCCAAGTCGATCTCGGGAGCGATCATGATGATCTGCGGCTTGTATGGATCGAAGAGAGCAACAGCTTCGGACTCAGCGGTATTGTTGAAAGCAATAACTCGGAAGAGATAGTTGTTCAACTCAGAGAGGCCGGGAATGGTGTAGTGAAGGTTGGTGTTGCGGATGATGATCTTCTGGTACTCAGCTTCGACACCTTCAGCGGGCTGAATAGCGTACTCAACAGCGTAGCCAATAATATCGCTGCCGCCATCGAAGTTAGGCTTGTTCCAGCCAAGAGTGACAGAAGTGTTGGTAGAAGTCTCGACGCGAATATTGGTTGGTCCAGATGGTGGATAAATAGGATTGACCATGTGCACATATGGTGATGGATCAGAAGGTTCAGATTGGCCAGCAGCGTTCTCAGCAATGACTCGGAATTCATAAGATCGCTCCATAGCGAGTCCGGAGATTCGAGTTCGGCATTCGGAGACACGCTTTTTGACGGCTCGCACCCATCGCATACCGTCCTTGTCTCGTTTCTCGACGACGTAGTTTTCGATCTCAGCGCCACCAGTTTCGACAGGTCGAGTCCAGGTGAGAGTGAGAGAGCCATCGACAACATTTGAGGCTTCAGGAGAGCCAGGCTTGCTAGCGGGATCGTATGGGTTCTTGGCCTTGGCGGCCTTGGACTCAATAACTTCACCCTTGCCGTACTTGTTGACACCAGCGACTCGGAAGATGTATTCGTTTCCTTCGAAAAGGTTAGCGCACTTGTAGCTGGTAGAAGTGATGTCAGAGCCAACCAAAGTCCAGGCGAGATGAGATGTCTCTCGTTTTTCAATGGTGTAAGAAGAAACATCAGCTCCGCCATTATCAACTGGCGCGTCCCAGCTCAATCGCATAGTAGTCTTGTTCATAACCTTGACAGTGAGGTGGTCACATGGTCCAGGTCGGGAAAGAACTCGCACTCGGATCTCGCCATTGTCGATACCGCCAATGTTTCGGGCAGAAACGCCATAAGTGCCAGTATCAAGTCGGGAAGCTTCCTTGATCTCGATCCAGCTTTCTCGCTCATCGTTTCGGATTCGAACGTTCTTGGTTTCAACAAGATCTTTGCCATCCTTGGTCCACTTAACTTGAGGAAGAGGAGTTCCTTGGAGATGAACCATGAATTTAAGGCTGTCGCAGGCCTTGGCCATGACAACATCCTTGTACTTGGCATCAATCAAGACCTTGGGAGAAGTGATTTCATCCTTAGGCGTGATCTCATCAGAGGACTCGGACCATTCAGAAAGAGTGTTGGCAGCGTTCTTTGCCTGAACTCTGAATCTGTAGGCAGTGTTTTCTTCGAGGCCAGTGACGTTGAATCGGGTCTCGAGAACGTTGGAGAAGTTACATTTGAGCCATCGGCCCTTGTTACCTTCTTCTTCCTTTTCAATGGTGTAGCCAGTAATCTTGGCACCGCCATCGTACGCAGGCTTTTCCCAAGCGATCAAAGAAGATGTTCGACCAAGTTCAAGAAGTTCGGGCTTGCCGCATCGCTCGCATTGATCCTTGCACATGATTCCTTCAGAAGCTTGAGACCACTTAGATCTACCGGCTCGGTTTTCAGCGCAAACTCGGAACTCGTAAGTAGCACCATCAGCAAGGTTGCTGACTTGAGCTTGGAGAGCCTTGAGTGAGCCTCGAACGGCAGAAGTCCAGACGAGAGCAGATCGCTCCTTCTTTTCCAAGAGGTAGCCAGTGATCTTGTCACCACCGTTGTTTGCTGGCTCGTTCCACTTGACCTTGATCCAGTTTCGGCTAGCTTCAACGACAGTTGGGGCACTTGGTGCATATGGAGCTCGGAATGGCCACTCAGCCTTCAAGTTCTGAGAGACGAGAGGATCAGATCTACCGAATCGGTTCTCAGCAAAGACTCGGAACTTGTACTCAGAACCAGCGCGCAAGTTCTTGGCCTTGTAGCAAGCTCGAACAACAGTACCAGCGATTTCAACCCATTGGTCAGAGTCGGACTCGCGGCATTGGACGATGTAATTGGCAATCTGAGCGCCGCCATCTTCCTTTGGTGCAGACCAGGTAAGAGTAGCGGAAGTGGTATTGACGTCGCTAAACTCAATTGGTCCAACGGGGATAGATGGTCGATCCAAGACGACGAATCGGAGCTTCGATTGTTTCTCACCGGCAGATGATTTAGTAGTAAGAACGAATTCGTCGGCATCAGATCGGACAGCATCGGCGATCTGGAGTCGAGTGTAGAGAATGCCGTTCTCAGTGAACATCTCTGTGTTTGCTCGCTGAGTTTCTCTCCAGGTTCCCTCGGAGTTGTTCCATCGAGTGACTGGAGCTGGCTTACCGATGACTGGGATTCGGAGGTCGACGTTCTCGCCAGCGCGACAAGTGTAGCTGGACATGTAAAGTTGACGCATATCCAAATCAGGAGCAATGATGTGGTCCTTGGCGACTTCAGTCAATCGAGTCTCAATAGGCTCAGAAAGGCCGATTGCGTTCTTGGCCATAACTCGGAAAACGTAACCAGCACCCTCCTTGAGGTTGGTGCAGGTGTAGGTGTTCTTGGTTGTGGTGCCCTGTTCGAGCCAGGTTTCAGCACCAACAACAGAGAGGGCCATTTCCACAACGTAACCGGTGACAGCAGATCCTCCATCAGAAAGTGGCTTAGTCCAGGCGATCTGGCCAGTAGATTTGGTCATCTCGACAACATCGATAGACATTGGCTGATCAGGCTTAGAAGCAATGATCGATGGCTCCTCGGTGACGCCTTCTTTACCATCGCCGTACTTGTTGACACCTCTGACTCGGAAGAAATAGCTTTCGCCAGTGATAAGAGATTTGACAACGCACATTTCTCGCTCGCACTTGTCCGTGACAGTAGTCCAAGATTTTTTATCAGCGGTCTTCTTCTCAACAATGTAGTGAGTGATAGGAGCACAACCGTCATTGGCAGGAGTATCCCAAGTGAGCTTGACATCATCCTTTCCGATATCGGCAACGCGAACGTTGAGTGGAGCAGATGGCGCATCAATAACTCTGACGGAGACAGCGCCATCTTTAGATCCAGCTGCAGATTCCAAAACAAATTCGTATCGTCCAGAATCAAGAACAGTAGCTCGCTCGATAATAAGAGTAGATCGACCCTTCTGAGTGTCGACAACAGCGAGCTCGTTCAAGTCGCCTTCAGCTTTTCTCCAGGTGATAGTTGGCTCTGGTCGACCCTTCATCTTCAAGCTGATTCGGAACGTAGCGCCGGCCTTGACCATCATAGTGCGCTGGCATTCGACATCAAGCTCGAACATTGGTGGCTCGACAATATCGTCGGCAGTGACCCATCCAGAGTCCTGAGAAGCGTCAGAAGCCCCAACATCATTACAAGCAATAACTCGGAAAGCGATCATCTTCTGATCAAGTCCAGTGATCTTGTACTCAGTATCTGGAATTGGAAGTGCAGTGACTGGCTGGTAATTGATATCATCAGCAGCAGCGTCTTGAACAGCCATTTCGACGATGTAGTTCTTGATTGGAGCACCGCCATCATGAATTGGCTTAGCCCATCGAAGATGGATCATATTCTTGTTAGAGTCAACAATCTTTGGCGATCCAGGCTTGGATGGTGGGTAGAGTGGATCCTGAGCAGTTCCGTAGTCAGAAGCTTCAGATACAGCGCCAACACCGGCCTTGTTAATAGCAGAAACGCGGAATTCGTACTCGTTACCGGCCTGGAGGTGAGCAACACGAAGTCGACACTCGTGGACAGCGCTCTTGTGAGCGCGGACCCAGTTCATGTTCTTCTTGTTACGACGCTCAACCTGGTAGCCAGTGATTTGGCTGCCACCATCATGAGTAGGTCTATCCCAAGTGATGGTGATAGAGTCAGACATGGTTGCGGCGATCTTTGGCTTTCCAGGAGCTCTTGGAACAGTGAAGTCGTTCTTGATGACAACAGCTTCGGATTCTTTAGGATATCCGGTTCCGTATTTGTTTGCGGGACTGACTCGGAAGATGTACTGGTTATCCTTGATTAATCTTTTGATGGTGCAGTTGGTCTGTCTGCAATCATCATCGACAGTAGTCCAAATAAGTCGGCTTGTTTCTCGCTTTTCGACAATGTATCGCTGAATTTCGCTGCCACCAGTTTCCTTTGGTGGAGACCACTGAAGTCGGACTCGTTCTTCAGTGACACCGTAGACCTTAACTTGGTCAACAGCGCCAGGTCGGTCGAGAACGGCAATATGGCAAGACAAGCTAGCAGTTCCGTAGTGGTTGGAAACAGTGCAGTTGTAATCGCCAGCGTGTTTAAGCTTTGAATCCTTGATCAAGAGCTCAGAGGTCTTGGGGCCGTTGGTGATCTTGACAAAGTCGTTTTCGCGGACATCAGCGTTACCGTGCATCCAGGCAACACGTGGGATAGGCTTGCCGCTGATCTTAGCGGTAATCAAGATATCCTGGCCAGCTCGGACAGTGCAGCCCTCAAGAAGAGTCTGATCGAATTCAACAGAAGCTGGAATGTAGACATCCTTAACGTCGATTTCGACAACTGGCTTGCAAGGCTTGGAAGAGCAGCCAGCAGTGTTGCGAGCGATAACTCGGAAGTCATAGCAGCAGCCATCGATGAGGTCGGTGACGGTGTAGTGGAGGGTCTGGACGCCGGTGAAGTTGGCCTTCTGCCAGATCTTTCCGGGATGCTTTCGGTATTCGATGTCGTAACCAGCAAGTCGGTGACCACCAGTGTACTTAGGGCCAACCCAAGAAAGAGAAACAGTAGAAGCGGTGATGTCATCAACCTTGAGATCATAGGGCGCATCGCAAGGATCAAGAGCCTTAGCGCACCAAGTTGGATCAGAAGGTTCAGAAGCACCGGCAATGTTGCAAGCACGAACTCGGAACTGATACTCGAGGCCTTCGATGAGACCGTTGACTCGGCCTTCAGTCGATCTGGTTTCACATCCTTCCTTCCAGAATTGAGAGTTGTTTTCTCTAAATTCAACGATGTAGTGAGTGACTCGTGAGCCGCCAGATTTTCGTGGAGGGCTGAAGTCGATGGTCATAGATTCCTTGTGAATCTCGCTAATGGCAACATCCTGTGGAGCAGATGGAACGGCGAATGGATACTTGGCAAGAGCAGTTTCAGTCACAACAGGGGTAGAAAGACCGATTCGGTTCTCAGCCATGACGCGGAAAGTGTATTCGAGTCCAGCAACAAGGCCAGAGATTCGGCAATTAGTTCTGCTGACAGAATTCGACACCAAGTTCCAGTTGCAGGAGTCGTTGTCTCGCTTTTCAACAGTGTAGCCAGAAATATCAGCTCCGCCAGTATCTTTCGGCATATTCCAGTTGAGAAGAGCGAAGTCAGCATTGATTTCGACGATTTCAAGCTTTTCAACAGGCTCAGGTCGTCCAAGGACAACGATTCGCATCTTAGCAGAAACTTCACCAGCAGAGTTCGAAGCAATCATCTGGTACGAACCAGCATCTTCTTTGTGCACGTTCTTGTTGATAAACATTGAACACCATGTGGAGTTGTCGATTTCAGTGCGAGAATCCTCCTTGACAGTGACATAGAGATCATCTTCTTCGAGCTTCTTCCATCGAATTTCTGGCTTAGGCTTACCAGTGAAAGGAATCTTGATCTTCTTGGAAGTTCCCTCTCGAAGATAAACAGTATTGCTTGGGTAGTCAGAAGTATTGACGGTTGGCTTTTCAGATGGATCTCGGCCAGCGATGATCTTTTCTCGTGGCTCACCGACTCCAGCAATGGATTTGGCCGAGATTCGGACAACATATTCGACGTCCATCTCCATACCAGTGCATTTGTAGATGCAGTTCTTCTGGAAGTTGAGCTCGATCCATTTTTCTTTCTTTGCATCAAAGTCGGCCTTTTTGCACCATTCGATGAGATATCCAGTGATTCTAGAGCCGCCATCGTATTCTGGCTTGGCCCAGACAAAGTTGGCAAATGTCTTAGTTGCAGCGGTAATCTCGAATTTTGTGATTGGACCAGGAGTCTGGCAGACACGGATTGGGCCGATCACAGCGCCAGCACCGACACCATATTCGTTCTCACCAAGAACTCGGAAGTTGTAGTTTCGGCCAAGTTCAAGTCCAGTGACGTTGATGGAGCACTTGGGATTTTCAGTAGCAAAAGTAGACCAGGCCTTTCGTCCGGAAAGCTGTTTCTCAACGATGTAGTTGCTGACAGCAGATCCACCATCAATATCGGGAAGCTCCCAGGTAAGTTGTACGGTGTTTGACTTGATATCTTTAACGGCCAAAGCATTAACTGGGCCAGGAGAATCAAGAACACGAACGTTCACTTGGGCTTGCTTATTGCCAGCATTGTTTTCAACGAGCATGATGTACTTGCCAGTATCATTTCGAGTAGCCTCGGTAATGACAAGAGAAGCATCCCAATCAGATTGCTTGATTTCAGCACGGTTGAGTGCGATCTCCCCGTCAAGTTTGCTCCAGCTCACCTTGGGTGCAGGGCGAGCAGAAATCTTTGCGTAGATTCGAATTGGCGCACCTGCTCGGACCATGATTGTTCGCTGGCAAGTGGCGTCGAGCTCGATCTCAGGAACTTCGACGATATCAATTGGAATGAAAGGCTCTTCGAGAACGGAGGGTTCAGATTCGCCAGCCTGATTAACAGCAGTAATCTGAGCTCGATATTCTCGGCCGCCAGTAAGACCAGTAACATTGACGCTGCAGACCTTAGAAGCGCCAAATTTGACGAATTTTTCTGGGTCTTCTGGCTTGGCAATGTAGACGTTGTAGCCAGTAATTTCTAGACCTCCGTCGTAGGCGGGCTTAGTCCACTTGATAAAGGCAGATGATCGAGTCATATCGGCGAGCTTGGGGAAGGCTGGTGGTGCTGGTGGATAAGTTGGATCAGCAGCCACAACAGATCGAGAAGGTCCAGATGGGTCACCAAGACCAGCGCTGTTTTCAGCAATGACTCGGAATTCGTACTCAGTTCCTTCAGAAAGTCCGCCGCACTTGTAAGTTCGATCAAGAACAGCTCGTCGGTTGACCTTAGACCACTGGAAGTTCTTAGTCTCACGCTTTTCAACGTAGTAACCGGAAATTGGTTTTCCGCCATCATCAGATGGGACCTTCCATGAAAGAGTGACAGTGGAAGCGGTCGAGTTCTGGATCATTGGTGGGTTGCAAGCCTTTGGTGGACCGAAAGGATTCTTAGCAACAACGGCTTCAGAAATCTTTGGCTGACCAAGACCGAATTTGTTTTCAGCAGTAACTCGGAAGACGTATTCGTGCTGCGCAATCAGCTTGGGCACAGTAAAGTCAGTCGAGACAATAGCCGAAGAAACAACAACCCAGGTTGGTCGAGAGGTTTCTCGCTTCTCAACAACGTAGTTTGTGACAGCAGAACCACCATCAAGGGCAGGAGCATCCCAAGAAAGGTTAAGTTTCTCGGCAAAGACTCGAGAGATCTTGATATTTTCTGGAGGACCAGGCTTGTCAAGAATGACAACCTTGACCTTCTGAACAGCTTCGCCGGATGGATTCTTAGCAGAAACGACGTAGTCACCACCGCTAGAGAGGTTCACATTCTTGAGAGTGAAGACAGATCGGTTCAAAGATGTCTTGATGGTCTGGCTTTCACCGAAAGATCCAAGTGGAGCCTCACCCTTCATCCATTTGATTTCAGGCTTTGGCTTGCCCTGGAATTTAGCATCAATAACGAGCTCTTCACCAGCTCTGATTTCAAGCTGATTTTTGCTATCAAGTCCAGCAACATCAAGAGATGGAGGAAGAATTTCCTGTCGAACAAGGACTGGACCAAGGGACTCAGACCAAGGAGAAACAGTTGCGATAGTCTTGGCGCAGACTCGGAACTCGTACTGAGCACCTTCTTCCAATTCTTTGATAGTGGCGTGGTTGTTGGGATAGCGTGCATGTGCCTTCTCCCACCAGAGACCATCAGGAAGTTTTCGCATTTCGACCGTGTAGCTGACGACACGAGTACCACCATCTTTTCGTGGTTCATTCCAGGAGATTTCAGCGTGGCTGTTGGAAACGTCGACAACTTCAAGATTCATTGGTGGATCGCAAGGCTCTCGGATGCAAACAGGCTCAGTTGGCTTAGACAAAGCTCCCTGTCCGCACTGATTAACAGCAGCAACTCGGAACTGATATTCGAGTGATTCAATGAGAGAAATGTCGTTGAATTCTCGTCGCTTGATCAGACCCTTGTTGACCTTGTACCAAAGGATAGAGTTAACTTCCTTGCGTTCGATGTTGTAACCCTTGATAGTTGCACCGCCATCATTAGCTGGAGCTTCCCAAGACATGAGGCAAGAGTCTCGAGTGATTCGAACGATCTTGAGCGATCTTGGCTCTTCTGGTGGATTGAATTGGTATTTGGCGACCATGTTCTCGGAGAGAAGCGATTCAGACTGGCCAACCTTGTTTTCAGCTCGAACTCGGAAGATGTACTCAGAGCCCTTGTTGAGTTTGTCAACGCGGTAGACGCATCGGCTGACAGTGGAAGAAAGAGTCTTCCAGCCAGAAACCTGGACTTCCATAGCCTCAACGATGTATCCATTGATACCGCATCCACCATCATCAGCGGAAGGCTCCCAGTTAAGAGTGCAAGAGTCGACGGAAACATCAGTGAAGACAATTGGGCCGACTGGAACAGTAGGAGCATCAAGAACAGTGACTTCACACTTGACAGAAGAAACACCGTGTTTGTTCTTAGCATTGAGCTGGTAGATTCTAGAATCTCCTCGGTTAGACTTCATGCAAAGAATGGTAGCTCGTTTGTTAGTTCGCTGGGTAGAAAGTCGATCAGTTTCGGCGATTTCTTCCATGGTTTCACCATCGACCCACTGGACGAATGGTTTAGGCTCACCAGAAACGAGAGCGTCAATCTGAATTGGCTCGCCAGCTCTGACATGCATTTCCTTGATCATGTTGATAAGGGGCTTCTCAGCAGGCTCCTTGACGGTGATCCATTCAGTTTCTCGTCGAGAACCGGTAAGAGACTCGTTCTTGGCCTTGATAGCGAACATGTACTTCGAGTTCTCCTCAAGTCCGTGAACAGTGCACTCGGTATCGATGATATCTCGATAAGTTCTGTAATTGTCAGCATCCTTTGGTCGGATTTCGACAGTGTATCCAGTAATCTTGGATCCACCGGTATCAGCAGGAGCTTCCCAAGTAAGAGTGCATCGGTCCTTAGCCATTTCGCTAACTTGGAGTCGGCCAACTGGTCCGGGCTCGGTGAGAGGCTTTCGAGCTCGAGTTGCCTTGAGAGTTTCAAAGACAACACCTTCACCCCACTTGTTGACAGCGACGATTCGGAAATAGTACTCTTTGCCTTCAAATAGCTTATCGACCTTGACAGACTGTCGGGTGAGCTCGTGATCAACTCGCGACCAGGTCTTTTGGTCAGACTCACGCTTGTCAAGTCTGTAGTGTGTGATTTCAGCACCACCGTCGTTGTCTGGAGCGCTGAAAGTAATGGAACAACCGTTTTCAGTGACATCCTTGACGACAACATCTTGGACTTTACCAGGAGTGTCCTGGACAGTAACATTGATGTTGACTGAGGCAGAGCTCTTTTCGTTTGAAACCGTAAGAGTGTATCGACCAGAGTCATTTCGATCAGCAGTTGGGATCAAGAGAGAAGTAGAATCAGCCTTGATGTCAACATCAGCTCGTCGGCTGATAGATTCGCCAACCTTCGACCATTTGGCAGTTGGAGCAGGTCGACCAGAAAACTTAGCCTGAAGAAGGAGTTGCTGACCAGCTCGAATATAAGTTCGTTGCTGGAATTCTCTGGCAATTTCGATCGAGGGCTCGATAGAAATGTCTTCGGGCTGGAAGAGCTCTTCGATCTCGGCGTATTCTCCAGTTCCCGCGTTGTTAATGCAAGCAACTCGGAAGAAATACTTTTCCTCGGGTTTGAGAGAAGCAACGGTGTAGCCACTGACTCGAATAGACGGTTTGATATCGATTCGAGACCACAAGTTGTAAGCCTTATCCTTTTCTTTGCAGTATTCAAGGACGAATCCGATAAGTGGAGATCCACCATCATAAGCTGGAGCAGCCCAAGAAAGAGATGCAGAAGAGGCTGATTGATCAACAATCTTAAAGCCTAAAGGGGCTTGTGGCACAACAATAGGATCATGAGGCTTGATTGGCTTGGAAACCATGGATGGCTCGGAAACACCAACTTCGTTTTCAGCTCGAATTCGGAACTGATACTCGATCTGGTCAGACAGTCCAAGAGCCTTGTATCGTCGGTCAGGAACGGAATGCATGTTGCATGGCACCCATCTGACACCCTTCTTTTCTCGTTTTTCGATAAAGTAGCCGAGGATGGATTTGCCACCATCAGATTCTGGCTCAGCCCAGCTAAGCTGAACAAAGTCCTTGGTGAACTTGGTGATTTCAGGCTGTGGTGGAGCTGAAGGAGGAGAGAAGGGGTTCTTAGCAACCATTGGGCTAGATTCGATGTAGTGAGAAACTCCCATCTTATTCTGAGCGCGAACTCTGAAGATGTACTCATTTCCTTCAACAAGATGAGGTGCAGTAACGATTGGAACTCGAATAGATTCAGTGACGATGCCCCAAACCATTCTGTTAGTAGCGGCCTTTTCGATGCAATAGTTGGTGATTGGAGTTCCTCCATCGTCCTTTGGCAAATCCCATGAGAGGGTCATTCTATCCTTCATGACAGTAATGAATCGAATAGGACCAGTGCAAGGAGCAGGCTTGTCGATAACAGTAATGTTGCAGGTAGCAGTAGCTTCTCCGTACTCGTTGGTAGCAACGATGTTGTAGTTGCCAGAGTGTTCTCTAGCGCAACCATTGATGACGAGCTCAGTTTCATTTTCTCTGTTGTTAACCGAGCATTTTGGCACTTTGAACATGTCCTTATCGCCGTTCATGATCTTGACATCAGGGTATGGGATTCCAGAGACCTTGGCAAGAAGTTTTAGGGTAGTGCCAGCCTTGACGACCAAGTTGCCCTTCTCGAGCTTGGTAGCGATCTCGCAAGTTGGTGGAGCGGCGTCATCTTTCATTTCAATAGGGCCGACAGTCACGTGGTCAGAGTTACCAGCCTTGTTCGTGGCAACGACGGAGAATGTCCAGCTGTCACCTTCGGCAATACCAGAGCTGACCTTGATTCGCTTGGTTTTGAAAGCTTCTCGGTTAACAAGCTCTTCGAATTCCTTGGAGGCACCCTTCTTTCCGAGAACCTTGTAGTGAGAAATTGGCTCTCCACCATCCCATTCAGGTCGTTCGTAAGTGAACTCGATGAAGTCTTTGCCTCGAGAGTGAATCTTGACATCTCGAACAGGCATTGGCTTAACGAATGGATCGACCATGCAAGTTGGCTTTTGGTTTCGACGGATGGACCTTGACCGCACTTGTTTTCGGCAGTAACTCGGAAGAAGTAGTCGTGACCTTCAGAGCCTCGAGCCTTGATCATTCGCTTGGTGCCTTCGGAAGAAACCAAAGACCAGCCCATGAAGCTGAATCCTGGTTGCTGTGGCTCTCGCATTTCAAGGACGTAGTTGATGACTTCAGTGCCACCTTCATCCTCTGGAGCATCCCAAGAAACGACGCAGCCACCCTTGGAAGGATAGCTAGTTCGGATATTTCGGCATGGGCCGGGCTTGTCAAGAATATTGATGGAAATCTTTCCACTAGCCTCGCCAGCTTCGTTCTTTGCAGTGACAATGTAATCACCAGAATCGGATCGAACAGAGTCCTTCATCTTCATCTCAACACCGAGGGGAGTTTCTTTGAAGAAGAATCGTTCAGATTCAATAGGTTTGCCCTTGTAGCTCCAAGTGACTTCTGGCGCGGGTTTGCCTCGGATGATTGCTCCGACCTTGACGATGTTACCGACTCGGTAGTTGTGGACACCTCGGACACCTTGTTCAACTTCCACCTCGGGCTCGATGAGGATATCTTTGCACTGAACAGTTTCAGAAAGCTCAGCCCACTCAGATTCGCTAAATTCAGTGACAGCACAAACTCGAAGTCGGTACTTCTGCTTGTCCTTGAGACCGTTGATTTTGTAGGTGTTAGAGAGAGAAGCGTTCTGATTAGCTCGTTTCCAGTCTTCCTGTCCATACAGCTGGAGCTCAAGGAAATAACCAAGAATTGGTTTTCCTCCATCCTTGAGTGGCTTGTTCCAAGTAGCGGTGATAGAATTCTTAGAAACATCAAGAATTTTGATGTTGAATGGAGCGCCTGGAGCAGTAACTGGTCGCTCAGCAGTAAAAACTTCAGAAGGATCAGATGGCTTAGACTTTCCACCAGCGTTCTCGGAAGTTACACGGAACTGATATTGTCGTCCGTCGAAAAGTCCCTTCACTCGCATAGTGTTACCAAGAATTGGCTCGTGATTGCACTTGGCCCACTTGCCAGTTTCCTTGTCGAGTCGCTCAATAGTGTAACCAAGGATTGGGCTTCCACCGTCGGACTCAGGAGTTTTCCAGGTTACAGTGCAAGCAGATTCGATGATATCGACAACCTTTGGTGGGAGAGTCTTCTGTGGTGGTTCGAAAGAGTGCTTTGCAATGACAGGCTCAGAAATGAGTGGTTCAGAGACGCCATATTTGTTCTCAGCTCGAACTCGGAAGAGATAAGACTTGCCGGCAATAAGTCGGGGGACCTTGATTTTGTTTCGGCTGCCCTTTGAAGAAACCATTGACCACTGTTCTTTTGGTGGTGGGAGGCCTTCCTTGACAGGCTTTTGCTGGAGTTTCTCGACGATGTAGTTAGAGATTGTGTTTCCACCATCGTCTTTTGGTGCTTGCCAGCCGATAACAGCGTATTCTGGAGTAACTTCCTCCATTTGAATGGGTCCAACTGGGGGTTCTGGTCGATCAAGAACAGTGCAGTGAATGACAGCAGTCTTTGCACCAGCATCGTTCTTGGCGGTCAAAGAGTATTCACCGGTGTCGCCTCGCTGAGCCTTTTTGATCAAAAGGATAGAAGATCCCTTTTCTTCTTGAATCTCAACTCGGTTCTCCTCAGTGCTTTCAAGTGGCTCGCCGCTAGCACTTGCCCAGACGGTTTCCGGAGCAGGAATACCCTTTACCATGGCGGGCACTGTGATCGTAGAACCAGCTCGAACAGTCAAGCCTTCAAGGATCTTCACGTTGATGTTGATTGAAGGAGAAATGAGCTTAGCAGTTGGAACAACTGGAATAGTTGAGTCAGGTCGACCTTCACCGGCTTCGTTGATGGCTCGAACTCGGAATTTGTAGGCAACATTTTCCATGAGTCCAGTAACGGTGCACTTGAAAGTAGAGACGGTCTTGTAGTCTTCCCATGCGCTGATCTTTGTCTGCTTCTCGCCGTATTCATCTTCGACTTCTTCTTCAGTGCACATTTCGATTCTGTAAGATGTGACTGGAGAACCGCCATCTCGACCAGGTCGGTTCCATGCGAGGGAGATGTTATCCTTGTCGATATCAGTGACTTCCAAGTTCTGTGGGATAGATGGAGGATGGATTGGGTTTCGAGCGATTACTTCATCAGTCTCAGCTGGTCGACCCATACCGAAGCAGTTCTCTGCGAAAACTCGGAATCGGTAAGTTTCTCCTTCGATCAAATATTTGACCTCAATGTTGTTCTTCTTGTGAGAAAGAGCAATAGGCTTCCAATCCTGATTTCCATCGCCCTTGGCAATTCGCTCAACTCGGTAGTGGCTGATAACAGTTCCGCCATTGTCAGATGGAGTCTTCCAAGAAAGTCGAAGAGACTCAGCGTGAACTTCAGTGATTTTCATGTCACGTGGTGGCGATGGAATGTCAAGAACGGACACAAAACAGGAAGCAACCTTCTTGCCCATAGAGTTTTCGGCCTGAATGCAGAATCGGCCAGTGTGAGCTCGCTGAGCGTCGACGATGATGAGTTTAGTTCGGTTGTCCTGAGTCTGAATAAGCTTAGACTCAATCTCTTTATCGCCATTGACGGGGTCGTTCTTGATCCACTTGACAGTTGGCTTTGGAGTACCAGAAATAACGGCTGAAAGGACAAGCTCGCTACCAGCCTTGACTACTCGTTCGTTGACCATGTTGCCATCGGGAGTGATTTCTGGTGGAGCAAGCTTTTCGACAACAACAACAGTATCTCGCATAACTCCGGGCTCGGAAGTGCCAGCGGCATTAACAGCCTTTACTCGAATGTAGTACTCGAACGACTCAGTAAGGTCAGGAATGAGGAAGCTTGTAGTCTTCTGAGTTTCAGAAGTACACCAGGTCTTCCAGACGTCAGTGCCGACCTTGTTTGTTTCAACAATGTATCCATCGATGGCGCAGTTTCCATTGTGTCGTGGTGGGTTCCAGCTAATGGAAACGGTGCTGCCCTTGATAGCATTTACACCAATGTTGATTGGCATAGATGGTGGGTTGATTGGATCTCGGCAGAGCACAGCCTTGGATGGAACAGATGCCGGAGAAAGACCAATGGAGTTTTCAGCCATAACTCGGAATTCGTACTCGTTTCCTTCGAGCAGTTCTCGAACGGTGTACTTGTTCTCAGTGATGAGCTCCTTTGTGACTCGGATCCATCGCTCGGATTGAGTCTCTCGTTTCTCAACTCGGTAGTTGAGAATTCGCTTGCCGCCATCATATGGCTTGTTCCATTCGAGAAGAACACGGTCCTTGAAAGTTTCCTTGGCTCGGACATTGTCAGGGGCATCTGGGATCTTGTATCGATCTCGAATGACCACAGTGGGAGTGTCAACAGGATCGGAAAGACCGTAGCTGTTTTCAGCCATGACTCGGAACTGGAATTCTCCGTTTTCTCTGAGCTTAGAAACTCGGATTTCGTTCTTGAGGCAGGCGTTGTTGACAGTGAGCCACATCATTCGCTGCATATCCTTCTTTTCAACGACGTAGTTGGAGATTGTCTCACCGCCGTCATCTTCAGGATCGTCCCACTTGAGGAGAACAAACTCACGAGTGACTTCAACAACGTCAAGGTTGCGGACAAGAGCAGGCTTGTCAGCAATGACGACTTCGACTCGTGCGGATTTCTCACCAGCACTGTTGGCGACCTTGATATTGTACATACCAGAGTCTTTTCGCTCGGCGTTGTAGATGGAGAGCATTGAGGTAGTTGCGGTGTTCTTTGTTCGGATTCGATCAGCAGCAGGAAGCTCGTGGTTGTTATGAGTCCATGTGACTCGTGGAGAAGGCTTGCCACCGATAAAGGCAGGAATCTGGAGAGAGTTACCAACTCGGCAGATAAGCTTTTCTCGGCAATCAAGGTCGAGCTTTGGCATAATGATTAGATCTCGGCAGATGCAAGGCTTGGTGGGGAAGGATGGCTTTCCAGCACCCATTTCGTTGAAAGCAATGACTCGGAATTCGAAGTTGTCACCTTCAGAGAATCCAGTTAAAGTAGCCTGGCAGTCAGAGAAAGCTTTTTCGGAGGCTTCAACGTATCGCTCCTGACCGACTCGTCGTTTTTCAACAACGTAGTGAGTGATTGGAGCACCACCATCGAAAGCAGGAGTTTTCCAGCTAAGAAGAACTCGATCTCGCATGACATCTTCATACTTGAGCTCTTCAGGTCGAGCAGGAGTGCCGACAGGATCTCGAGAAGTAATTGGAAGAGCAGTCTCAAGGAAAGGTCCAACGCCCATGACGTTTTCAGCGGCGACTCGGAACATGTAGCTCTCATCAGGCTGCAAGCCCTGGATGACAATCTTTGTTCGAGTGACAGACATCGAGACCTTTGTCCAGGATCGTCGAGAAGATTCTCGCTTTTCGACAATGTAGTTAGTGATTTCAGTACCACCATTGTCTTCTGGCTTCTGCCATTCAAGCGTGACTGAATCCTTGACGATATTGGTGCAGTTAACTGGGCCAACAGGGAGACCAGGAACGGACAAAACGTTGACGTTGATGTCGGCAGAGATTGATTTCTCGCCAGCCTGAGCTGTGATTGTGTAGACACCAGCGTGTTCTCGCTCAGAAGATCGGATGGTCAAAGTGTGGTTAATGACTGAGCTGTCGATTCGAGCAAGTTCTGGTACATCTTCTCCCTTGAATTTCCAGGAAACGGTTGGCTCTGGTCGACCAGTGACATAAGCAACAAGTCGAAGCTGCTTGCCGTTCTTGACAGTCAGGCCATCCTTGAGAAGAGCATCGAGTTTGATTTCAGGGTCGATCTTGATTTCTTCAACAACGACGTATTCTTCAAGAGTAGCTGGTTCAGACTGACCGGCTTCATTGACAGCCAAGACTCGGAACTTGATCTTTTAGATCGGTCGAGATCCTTGACAGTAACGTCATGGCTGCGGACTTCATGGCCGTAGACCTTCTCCCAAAGTTCCTCGGGCTCCTTTTCAGGATCTTCTGGAACGGTTCGAGTACCTTCGTAGTGTTTTTCAATGAAATAGCCTCGGACCTTTGATCCGCCATCAGCCTCAGGCGAGTTCCATCGAAGATTGACAGTGCTGTCTGTCTTGTCATGGACGGCAAAGTTTCTTGGCTCACTTGGTGGATGAATTGGTGGTCGGGCAATAGCACCAAGAGAAGGCTGAGAGAATTCAGAAGTACCAGCAGCATTGACAGCAGCAACTCTGTAAAGGTACTCTGTGCCCTCGTTAAGACCTCGAACTCGATATTCTTCGTTGGGAATGAGCTCATGAACGACTCGAGTCCATTTTCGCTGGATTCGAGTTCGCTTTTCGAGAATGTACCCATTGATAGCAGCTCCGCCGTTGTCACTTGGAGGATCCCATCGAACAGTCATGGAATCTCGAAGAACGCCATCGACGAGTGGTGGTTCCATTCGGCCAGTGACTTCGCACAAGTTCTTCGCGACAAATGGCTCAGATTTGAGGTAAGGACCTTGGCCGTACTGGTTGACAGCAGCGACACGGTAGATGTAGTGCTTGCCCTTGTGAAGCTCTGTAGAAGTAACTTCGCAAGATTTGAGCTCTTCACCAACTGGAGCCCAGTACTGTCGGTCAGTGACACATCGTTCAACGATGTAGTGGCTGATGTGACATCCACCGTCATCGACTGGAGGAAGCCAAGTAATAGACTGCGAGGAAGCAGTGCAGTTTGCAAGAGTGATTGGGCCAGAAGGTGCACCAGGCTTGGAAAGAATGACGACCATAATCTGCTTAGAACCAACGCCAGCGGCATTAGTTGCGCGAACGGTGTACGATCCCTTGTCGTCTCGGACACTCTCGTCGATAATGAGGTTACTGGAGCCAACCTCATTCTTCACCTTGACTCGTGGATCAGTAATTGGCTGATCGTTCTTGAGCCATTCAACCTCCGGAATCGGGTTACCGGTGATTTTTGCGTTGATATCGAGCTTCATGTTGTTCTCAATTTCCTTGAATCCGAGAACTTCGATTCCAGGGAAAATAATGTCGTCCTTGCAGGTAACGGGACCGACGACGTTGGATGGTCTTGACTCACCGTAATCATTGATAGCAATTACTCGGAAGGAAGGAGTCGAGCCTGGCTTAAGGCCCTTGACTGTGTACTCGGTATCGGTAATGATGACCTTGTTGCAGGCTTCCCAGACTTCAAGATCTCGTTTAGTGAGTCGTCGCTGCTTGAGAGCTCGTCGCTCAGGAGATTGAGTACCATCGTTGTTTCGAGGCTTGGTCGCGAGATAATCTTCGTATGTAATTCGGTGCTCAGAGGCGACCATTGGTGGATGCTGACCGTCGAATTCCATCATTGGAAGAGAAGCAGGGGCAGATTTACCCTTGGCGTTGACAGCGATGATACCGAAAGTCCATTCGCCTTGGGCGATGCCGGTGACCTTGTATCGAGTATCGTGGACAACATCGAACTCTTCCCACTGAGTAGAACCGCCCTTCATACCAACAACAATGTAGCTGCTGATAATGCCAGCTTTCTTTGGCTGAACCCAACCGAGGGTGATATTGTCGATACCAGAGTCCATTACAGAGACTGGTCCAGGTGGGCTAGAAACATCAGTTGGTCCAGCTTCACCATCAGCGGGCTTGACTTCAGCGGCAGCCTTGACAGCAGCTTCCAATTTTTCACCGAGAGCATCGTGAGCTTCGTCTTGGAAGAACTCATCGGCAGAGATTCGTTTCTTGAGCATTTCGACCTGATAAGTGGTGATTGGAAGATTACCAGTGAATTCTGGAGCCTTCCAGGTGAGAGAACAGGTCTTTGAAGTGATCTTGTTGATCTTGAGGTGAAGTGGTGGCTCAGAAAGACCAACTGGATCTCGTGCGATGACTGGGTCAGTAGTATAGACGAATTCACCCTGGCCGACCTGGTTAACAGCAGAAACTCGGAAGAAGTAAGACTCATTCTCGAGAACGTCATTGCACTGGTAGGTGAGACCGCCAATAACGGATTCGACTCGAGTCCATCCTCGCATATCTTCTCGTCGCTTATCAACAACATAGTGAGAGATTCGAGCACCACCGTCGAGTGCTGGTGGCTCGTACTGAAGTTTGACCGACTTCTTTGTGACACCGACGACCTGAAGCTTCTGTGGGTTGCCGGGAGTATCGAGAACGATAACTCGGCAAGCGCACTGGCGAACACCACCAGCATTCTTAGCAATCAATGTGTATTTGCCAGAGTGCTTTCGGTTAGCAGCTGGGATAATGAGAGTGGAAGTTGAATCAGTAGACTCAATCTTTGCATCTTCGCTAATTGGCTGGCTCTCTTCGAATTGCCACTTCTGAGTAGCAGTTGGTCGAGCGTCGATGGTAGCTTTCACTCGGAGAGTGGATCCAGAATGAATAACCAAAGCGTCTCGGAGACCAGCATCAATGCTGATAAGTGGAGCTTCGATAAGTTCTCGGCATTCAATTGGAGGAGTGGAGAACGAGAATGATGATTCACCAGCCTTATTCACAGCCTTCACTCGGAACTGGTACTTGAAACCCTTTCGGAGATTGTCCTTGGTGAACATAGTCTGCTTGATGAAATCATCATTATCGTAGTTCTTCTGAGCAACCTTGGCGCGGACTCTCTGGGAAGTCTCACCGCCACCAAGGCCAAGAGATTCCTTGAGTTTCATCTTCTTGAATGCATCGGCAGCAGTTTCTTTCTGTTCATCAGTAAGATCGCCTTCGATGTTATTTTCGGCAGCCCAGGCTTTAATAAATTTGCCTTCTTCCTCAGCCGCAGCTTTTTCTTCAGCAGCTTTAGCTGCTTCAGCGGCCTTGGCCTTTTCCTCCTCGGCCTTGGCCGCCTTAGCAGCTCGATCTTCCTCAGATTGGTATGAGACAACTTGCCAGGCGCAGGTAATCTCGTCCATCATTTCCATGATGTAACCAATGAGCGGAGTTCCACCAAGCTTGCTTGGTTGAGACCAAGAGAGAGAAATAGAATTGTCAGTAGTGTCGTCAACCTCTGGTTTGCCGGGAGTAGATGGAGGGAAGATGGGATCAGAGGCGAGGGCGTATTCAGAAACACCACTGACTGCACCAGTTCCAGCCGCATTGACAGCAGATACTCGGAATCGGTACTCAATGCCTTCGATGACATCAGTGTATCGGAATTCGCATTTTTGCATTGGTGGCTTGGTGATCGGAGCTCGCTGAACTTTTCGCCATCGGATGTTGTCAGTGTCCTGGACTTCGAGCCAGTAACCTTCGATGTGCGCGCCACCGTCGTTCTTTGGTGGATTCCAGGTCACGATGATGAAATCCTTTCGATTCTCTTCGATAGTGGGGGTGCTTGGAGCATCGGGAACAACGTAAGGGTTCTTAGCGACGACTGGACCGAGTTCAGCCCATTCGCCAACACCGAATCGAGACTCAGCTGCAACTCGGAAGTGGTATTCAACTCCTTCTTGAAGCTTGGTTACTCGGTATTTGGTTTCGACAACAGTCTGAGAGCAGCTGATCCATTCGAGTTTGCGACCTTCTCGTCTTTCAACAACGTAGTTCATAATGGAATCACCACCATCATCAGAACCATCATCCTCTGGTGGTCGCCAATCAAGCTGAGCACTGTCCGCAGTGACATCATCAATGGTAAAATTGAGTGGAGGAGAAGCGACGCTGTTGACATCGAGCTGGACTCGGCAGAACTTGCTACCGTGAATATTGACAGCTCGGCAGATGTAGAAACCGACATCGTCTCGAGTACATTTTCGAATGACGAGGTTGTTGTTGTCGCCGATAACGTGGAGCTCATGATGTTCTGGTTCCTGGCCCTCAGGAAGATCTTTGGGAGTCTCAGTAATGAGCCGAGGTCCATCAAGAGACTCGAAAGTCCAGGTAACGTGAGCTGGTGGCACAGCGTGGACGTAAGCCGGAACAGAGACAAGATCGCCCTTGTAAGCGGTGATTACGTTGCGAACACCGACATCAATGTTGATAATTGGCTCACAATCGTCTTCCTTGGAGGTGAGAATCTGAGTCATAGCAGGTTCAGACTCGCCAACATCATTGACAGCTTTGACACGGAACTGATACTTTTCCATAAAGACCAACTTTTCGACCTTATATTCGATAGCATCGGTAATGATCTTGGGTGGCTGGATGAGCAAATTATTGCATGGTTTCCAGAGTTTCTCCTCCGCCTCAGCTTCGGCAGCAAGTCGCTCCTTTTCAAGGCGCTTTTGCTCTTTGACGTAGGCTTTTCGATCTTCAGGAGACATGGACTCAAGGTCGACTTCTGGCTCGGGAGTGTCGGGCTTGACTTCTTCGACTTCTTCAGCTGGAGCTTCTTCGCCTTCAGTTGCCTCCTCGCCTTCTTTAGGCTCTGGTTTCTTTGGCTTCTCTTTCTTGGGATAGTGTCGCATGTCAACAATGTATCCCTTGATTTTGGAACCGCCATTATTTCGTGGAGTGACCCACTGGAGAACGAGGTTGTCGTCGAGCTTGTTGATGACCTTGACGTGCTCAGGTCGTCCTGGAGGATGAAGGGGATCTTGGCAAACAACTGGTGTTGTCTCAGCCCATTTTGAGCGGCCTTGAGCATTGACAGCGCAAACTCGGAAGGCGTAAGTCTGAGTTTCAAGCACAGTGTTGACTTCCATGCTGAGTTTCTCAGTCTTGCCACATGGAAGCCAAGCATGCATCGACATGTCACGTCGCTCTACAACGTACTCAGTGACGAGAGAACCGCCATTATCCTGAGGCTTGTTCCAAGCGACCTGGATGAAGTCTTTCGTGACAGTAGCGGGTCGGGCGTGCTCTGGTGGAGATGGAACGTCCAAGATGTTCAAGTTTGTGGTAACGTTCTTGCTGCCGACGCAGTTTCGCGCGGTAATCTTGTAGTTACCGTGATGAGATCGCTGAGGGCGTCGGATGTACATTTCGAGTCGACCGGTAACCTGATCAGTAGAGATTTCGATCTCAGGGGCGTTTTCGCTATCAAGAATCTTATCACCATGCTTGATAATGATTTCTGGGAAGGGTCGTCCGGTAACGGATGCCTTGAGCCAAAATCGGTTGTTAGCCATGTGTCGTACAGATTCACGCTCGAATTCTTCGTCAAGTTTGATAAGAGGAATCTCAAATCGATCCTTGGCGATGACCTCTTTGATGAGAGCGGGCTCGGATTCACCAGCCTTGTTGACGGTCTTCACTCGGAAAGTTACCTGAGCATGCTCTTTCAAATCAGTGGCATTGAATTGGCACTCTTTGATCGGCTCGGTAGTAAGAGCAGACCATTCGTTTTCTTCCAGAAGCTGCTCGACAGTATATCGAAGGTTTTCCTTGCCGACGGCACCGTCATTTTCAGGAGCGTTCCATTCAAGTTGAACAGAGTTTTTGGTAGAATCAGAAACTCGAACAACGGGCTTGCCAGGAGCGTAAGTTGGATCTTCGATAGCAGTTGGTGCAGTTGGGTTAGAGGGCTTTGATGAGCCAGCTTCGTTGAAAGCAATGACTCGGAACTGATAAGTTCTGCCGGCGAACAAGTTCTCGTTGATGAAGTAAGAGGTGTCTTCGATCTTCTTTCGGACAACCTTGATGAACTTCTCTCCTTGGTCCGACTTTTTCTCGAGGTAGTAGCCGAGAATTGGACTTCCACCGTTAGCGGGTTCAGTCCAATTGACTCGACATTGTCCGACGAGAATGTCAGTAAGGACAGGGACATCAGGCTGTGCTGGAGGATCAAAGGGCAGCGATGGCTTGTAAATTCGAGACCAGAGCCATGGTGAGTGTCCGAGCTTGTTTTCAGCGGCGATTCGGAACTGGTAGGTCTTGTCGTCGCGAAGATTGGTAGCGCGGTACATGGTTGTAGTGATGTTAGTTGCAACAACAGTCCAGCCAAGAGCTTGTCGCTCGAGTTCTTTTCGCTGAAGAGTGTAGCCCGAGATCATAGCTCCACCATCATCCTCAGGCTCGTTCCACTCAAGAGTGATGGCGTTGTTCCATGGGTCAGAGTAAGTCCATGGTTCCTGAGGAACACCGGGAACGTCCAAAACATTCATGTTGACGATAACATAGTTTCGTCCTTGGTTATTCTCGGCAATGATCAAATATCGACCTCGGTTCTTTCGAGTGCAGTTCTTGACAATGAGCTCGGAATGACCATTCTTCGAATCTTTTTTGGTCTGAGAGACGGTGACTTTGTCGGAAGATTCGAGAAGCTTTGGCTGCGATTCGCTGAAGAGTCGCTGGAGAAAGATTTCATTCTGTTCCGCAACAGTAAGGGCTCGGTTAGGATCCTTAGCTCGTGCTTCGGCTTCAGCGGCTTCTCGGTCAAGATCAGCTTGAGATTTTCCATCTTCATCTCGGAAAGTGATGACGGCATCGGTGAAAGAGTTAACACCCTTGTAGCAACCGAATCGACCTGCATCAGTAAGTCGAGCGCCAGTAATGGTCAAAGTTCGCCTGAGACCTTCAGCGGAAGCGATGTATTTCTCGCCCAAGTTAAGCTCTTTGTTATCTCGCTTCCAGACAACAGCGGCGTCCTCATCCTTGACTTCGACGGTAAGCTCAACCTTTTCTTCGGTAATAGGGAAGTCCTTGGCTTCCAAGAAAGTGGAGAAAGCAGCACCCTTTTGTCGCTGTGGTGGAAGTTCTTCTTTTTGCCCCTTCTGGACGATCTTGTTAGCGCCACCGGCTTCGTCACCTTCGTAACCTTCATCAAGGTTGTCGATTGTAGGGGCGCTAACGTGAGTCAAGAGCTCTGGTGGAATATCTTCAGGCTGGACAATACCCAAAATGGCAGAGAAGATGTCAAGAGCTCGCTGCTCGGAAGCTTGAAGACTCTGTCCCTCCTCATCGATATGATACCACGACACTTTGGCGTAAGGGTTACCAAAGACGTTGCATTCGATTTTCAAATCCCGACCAGCTCGAGCTTCGAAAGTTTCCTGAGCTTCTTTAGACTTGATAACTTCGATTTGTGGAAGAGCAAGTGGATCAGAGGCTCGAATAGCAGTTGGCCAGTAAGCCCATTTGGAGTGGAACTCGCGGTTGATCGAGGCGATTCGGAACTCGTAGTCCTTGCCTTCGATGAGTTCTCGGCACTGGTATTTCGTACCGTCCAGTTGGCCGCAGAGAAGGTTCCAGACTTCAGTGTCTTTCTCGGCGAATTCGAGGCAATATCCAATGATAGCTGCTCCGCCATCTCGGTCAGGTCGGCTCCATCGGAGAGTGACCGACGATGACGTAACATCCTTGGAAATCAGATCCTGTGGTGGCTCTGGTGGATCGACGGGGTCAATAGCCTTGGTATTTTCGCCAGAGATGAGTGGCTCACCGGCACCGACCTTGTTGTGCGCGACAATTTTAAAGGTGTAAACTGTGTCAGTGATAAGCTCCTCGACTTTCCACTCGCACTTAGTAACCTCGGGATTGACAAGTCCCCAAGTTCGGCGTCCCTCTTCTTGCTTGAAGATGGAGTAATATTCGATTGGGCATCCACCGTCGTCCTGTGGTGGAGTCCAGGTGAGTTTGCAAGTAGATTTGGTGACTTCGCCGATCTGAAGGTTCTGTGGAGCACCAGGTCGGTCCTGAACAATGACACGGCAAGTGGCATAAATCGTATCGATCTTATTCTCAATAGCAGCGCAGTATCGACCCTGATGTTCTCGTCGAACAGCAGCCACAAAGATAGACGATTCGGCAGATGAAGATTGAAGTCGGATTCCGAGCTCTTTCTTGAAATCGCGTTCATCCTTCTGCCAGGTAAGTGTGGGCATTGGAGATCCACCGAATGGAACTCGGATGCGCAACTTTTGTCCAGCAATGAGAGTGACATTCTCGGCCGAGATTTTGTGCCATGGGCTGTTGTCGGGGTCCTTTGGCTCAACTTCAGCGGAGGCATCCGATGGCTGAGACATACCGGCGCAGTTATAGGCGACAACACGGAATTTGTATTCTCGGCCAGATCGGAGGTTGGTGACGTTACCCTCAGTTTCGTCGCCCTTGGTGGCGGCGCATCGAGCCCATTCTTCAGTACCATCGGCCATGACCATGTTTCGCTCAATGTAGTAGCCGAGAATGTCAGATCCACCATTGTCAGCGGGCGCTTTCCACTTAAGAGAGACAAAGGAAGCGGCAATCTGGACAAACTGGACATCAAATGGTGGGGATGGAGGAGAAAGTGGATCCTGGATCATAACATATTCAGTAGGCTGGGAGACTTCACCGATACCAGCTTCGTTCTTGGCGTAGATTCGGAATCGGCACTCGGCCTTTTCAGTGACATCGTTGACAATAGCTTGCTTAGAATCGCCAGGGACGGTTGAAACGAGTTTCCACTTGGGAGTACCCTTGTCCTGGCGCTCAATGCAGTACTCAGTGATTTCAGTACCACCGTTGAAGATTGGTTCTCTCCACTTGAGCTCGACAGCTTCAGCGGTGATATCCATGATTCGAAGAGATCGAGGAACTCCAGGAGGATCAAACATGCACTTGGCGGTGATAGGGTCGAGATTTTCATGCCAGTCAGAGATACCGGCAATATTGTAGCAGTGGACGCGGAAAACGTAGTCCATGCCTTCAGTCAAATCTGGAACATGGAGGTTGGTTTCGTTGACATCAACAGCGATTTCCTTCCACTGCTTGGATCGGCCAGCGCGCATTTGCACTGCATAGCCGAGGATTGGAGCGCCACCATCATTCTCAGGGACGTCCCACTCGAGCGAGATAGAGCTTGGAGTGGTGCCGACATTCTTGAGAGCTCGTGGTGGCGAGGGTCGTTTCTGGTCGGGTCGGGGCTGACAGATTTCGGAAGCCTTTGATGGCTGAGATCGACCGGCATTGTTCACCGCAACAACTCGGAATTGGTATTCCTTCTTCATTGTGACAAGATCGCGGACGGTGAACTCGTTGGCCTTGACCTGAAGCTCCCAAGGAGAGAAGTCATCTCCCCAGGTGGAACCTTCAGTGATGGTAGACTCGGCGTCATCTTCGAGGGCAGAAATAGCAGTAGCGATCGATTCAGAGTAAAGGGTTTGCACGTCATCGTTATCAGCTGCGAGGTCGGCTTCCTCAACTGCTTCGCCTATTTTTAAAATTCAAGATAAGAAAAAAGGACAAAAGAAAACTGATTACCTTCAATGTTTTCTTCTTCTTCTTCTTGCTGCGCTTCTTCAGCAACCTGTTCGACGGGGTTTTCAGCGGATTCCGGAGCTTCAGCTTCAGCTTCTACGGTTTCCTCTTCATCTCCTTCCTAATGAGGGTTTTAGAAACTAGATTTATAGAGATGTTTTTACCTGTTGGTTGGAGTTATTGTTAGAATTAGCAGACTGCGCGCTCATCTCGTACCCAAAAGAGATGTGTGCTGCAGCAGTAGCTGCTGATTCTGGGACGGCATCACGGGTGGCGAGTCCGGAGCCATCGAAAGTGGATTCAGCTTCGACAAGCGCAACTTGCTGCTCGTCAGAAGCGTGACATTGTCCCTCCTTGGATGGGGAAAAATGCATTTGGGTTTGGTCACTTGGCAGTGTCGATATCGTATTGTCTGAAAAATGAAATTATAATGATTTCTGTAAGAACTCAATAATAATGATTCATTTTAAACGTGTACAGGGACATAATGTCTATTTATAGTTTTGATTAACATTTTCAAAGTACAACTAAAAAGCTATCGACATCTCAGTGAGAATTTTCGCTCAAATCTTCTTAGATCTCTCGTCTGCAACTCAAAAAAGTACAAAACTGGAGCGCCTGGGCATATTATTTTTAAAAATCTCGCATAGATGTGTGCAGATAGACGAGCTAAGACGCGGGTAGCAAGTTAACACTTAGCACCTAAGCCTGTACCAGAAATTTCTATTTCTGCACATCGCTTACGCAAGGGACGCTTACTCACCTGAGAGTAATTCTTGAGCCGGTAGGGAGCTAATCCTTCTCTTAGCTGCAGTAGCTCCTTCTTCAAATCTGTGAATATCTCTTAGGCAGGGTTACGTTGAGTTGGGGTTGAATGAAAGTATGAGCTTCTGGCACCTTCGCTGCGTCGTAAAACAACCAAGTCAGCTGATCGCCGACCGACCCAAGTCAAGTGCATGTCGGAAATGCGCACAGCTGACAATGCATATCAGCTTAGGAAATCAAAGAATTGATAGTCATCGGATTAGAATGTTTTCTTGTTTATATGGTTTATTAGAAAATGAAAAGAAAAGTGTATAATACTTGGTTTATCAATTTCCTCCACCGCCGTTGCTTGATGGTTTCGGATTCGCAATTCGGTAAATTTCATGAGCTCTCATCGCAGTTTTCATCAATAGACCTATTAGAAAAAACAAATTGGTTAGGAACTTGCTAAAGAAATGAAGCTTACAAAGCTTGATTTGAATCGGGAGATGAGGTGGAAAATTCACGGTAGCGAAGTAATTGCGGTCTTTCACCATGTTAGTCTTGAAGAATAAGATTTTGGTCTCTTCAGTGATACGTTCCACTTGACTGTCTAGAGTTGCAATAACATTTCCTTCTTGGCTGAGCGGGAAAAAACGTTAATATCTTAAACAGAATTATGAATACCCGAATATAATTTGCTCTTCTCCGTGTCGATTTGAGAATGAGGGCTGTGGCATGTTGAAGTCAAAGACTGGATTTGAGTAAGAGTCAATCAGTTCTCCTGTAGGTGTTTTGCAACAGCCGTAATTTGTTCTGAGCTTTTATTTATAATTAATCTACAGAATTTCACAAAAACCTTAAACTTCCAAGTTGCTCTTGTCCGGCGAAAATACCTTCTTCTTGCATCGTCTTTAAACAAAATATTATCGACGGTAAATAATAGCAGAAGTGTGTTTTTGAAAACCAACCGGGCATTGGCAGAACAGAACAGAACAGATGCGAGTCATCGTGTGACACTTGTTCTGTTTGACAATTGTAGTCGACAAAACTTCTCCAAGGCTATGATGGTGCGCTGAAAACTGCACATCGCATTCGCAACAGCTAAGGCACTTGTTCTGGTATCTCACAGTAAGAAGCTGTTGTCGCTGGCTGTTGTAGACGATTACGCTTCCCATTTCATGGTTGTAATAAGGTTCGCAATCTTTTTGATGGACTGCTGTAAATTGAGTCTCTAAAATATCAAGATAGTTTCGGTTGTTTTTTGTCATTTTATTCCTTGGAAGATAGCTCGTACCTGTCTCAAGAAATTGAAATTGCGAGCTCATCTTAAAAAAAACTGCGTAAAATACTAAAAAATATTCAATCTTTGTTACTATTCTAGAGAGAAAATTATGAAATCTTTGGGAAATTTCATAAATATCCTGTTTATAAAGGCGCTTTATTGCCAGGGAGATTGGAAAAGTGATTCCGTATTTATTCGTTCGATCGCTGTGGAAATTTTCCTTATCGGGTACCAATTTGGTACCTGCACCGCCCGGATCCCAGAAATTGTACTACCCCTTCTATCTGGAAAGTATCAATTCATATTCGATATGAAATTCTTATTTTCTAATAAGTTATCAGTGATAAGTGATAACGATGCTCCAAGCTTAGGAAATCGAAGAATTGAATCGATTCAATTGATAGTCATCGGATTCATGCTGGTGATTTAGTTTATTAATAAATGAAAATAATAGTGGATGACAGTTGGTTCTCAAGGTTTTCAATTGTCATCGGGTTTCGGATTTTCAATTATGTAAATTTCATGAGCCCTCATTGCTGTTTTCATCAATAGACCTGAAGACAGGTAGGTCAATTATTTTTAATTTAACAAAACTTACAAAGCTTGATTTGAATCGGCAGATGTCGCGGAAAGTTCACAGTAGTAATGTAATTGCGGTCTTTCAGCATCTTAGCCTTGAAGAATAAGATTTTTTTCTTTTCAGTGATGCGTTCCACTTGACTGTCCAGAGTTGCAATTTCATTCCCTCCTTGGCTAAACGGGAAAAAGCGTTAATATTTTTAACAGAATTATAGATAACCTAAAAATAATTTGGTGTTTCTGTCGTTTTGGAAAGTTGAAGTCAAAGACAGGATTTGAATGAGAGTCAATCAATTCTCCAGTAACCGGTTCGGCCCAGTTGTACTTCGATCTTAACTTTTATTTATAATTTATCTACAGAAATTCACAATAACCTTAAACTTCCAAGATGCTCCTGTCCAGCGAAAATACCTTTCTCTCGCATCGTCTTTAAACAAACGAATAATAGACTTTATAGTAAAGAAGAAGTGTGCATTCGAAAACCTACCGGCCAAGGACAGAAAAAACAGCATTTATCTTCTTTGACAGTTGTAGTCGTCAAAACTTCTCCTAGACTATGATGCTCAGCTGTAAAATGCTCCTCGCACTCGAAACAGTTAATGTCGTCGTTCTGGTATCTCACAGTAAGAAGCTGTTGTCTTTGGCTGTTGTAGACAACAACACTCCCCATTCGATGGTTGTAATAAGGATCACAATCTTTTTGATGGACTGCTGTGAATTGCGTCTCTATAATATCAAGATATTTTCGGTAAAAGTGTTATTGTCAATAAATTATTGGTAGTTTTATTCTTTGGAAGACAACTCGTACCTGTCATAAGAAATTCAAATTGTGAGCTCATCTCTACAAGAAAGTGAATCAAATTCTAAAAGATATTCAATCTTTATTACTGTTGTAGCATAAAATAAGTGATTTGCGTGGTAAGTTGTCTTTATATTCTTTATTGGTGAACATATGGTACCCTTCAGTATGCTCAAACCCTTGTTTATATACACTAAGGTTGAGAACATGGACGTGCTTTTTTTAAGGTTAACGAAGTTTTCCAGTCCACTTCCGCCTTATAGACCCCCAAACACCATACCTTTTTAGAATCAGTAGAAAATTTTAAGAATTTTGACCATTTAAAATTCCAGAAAACTCCACTTCCGGTCGATTCTAGAGCCGGAAGTTGACCAAATTTAGGTGTTAGGGTGAAGTGTGACCCATCAAATTAATGCTCAGATGATTTCCTATCATTTGAGAAAAGAGTGAACACCGACGGGGATCAAACCAACCGGAAAAACTGAAAAAATTCATCATTTTATGCCATTTTTACATGATTTTACCGGTCGGTTTGACCATATTTGGGACTATTTCTTCTGATATATTGATTACAGGATGATACAAAATCTTCTGAGCATCAATTTGATAGGTCACACTTCACCCTAACACCTAAATTTGGTCAACTTCCGGCTCTAGAATAGACCGGAAGTGGAGTTTTCTAAAATTTTAAATGGTCAAAATTCTTAAAATTTTCTACTGATTCTGAAAAGGTATGGTGTTTGGGGGTCTTTAAGGCGGAAGTGGGCTGGAAAACTTCGTTAACCTTAAAAGCACGTCATGGTGACGTTAATTGTGCGTTAAGTTGAACTGGCCCCGTTTCCCACAAGTCTAACGGCCAGGCTGAACCCTTGGAAAGGACCGTCACAGTTATTATTCTAGAGAAGAAACTATAAATATTGCAAATTATGGTAATCAAACTGCAAATACCCCGAAAGTGGTTCCGTATTTACTCGTCCGATCGCTGTGAAAATTTTCCTTATCGCTCGCAAAGTACACTCCCCAAGACAAACAGATTTCGCAGCCATTGCAAAATCGCCAAGTTTCGCTTTTCCTTGCTGACGAAATCTTCCATTTCCGATCTCCTTTGTCGATCGTTTTTCAGAGAGATTAGGACCACCGTTCCAATTATACAGAGCATAGTCGCTATAGTGACGCAGTATTTACACACAATCAGGAATCGTACTACCCCTTCTGTCTGGACAGCATCGATTCAAATTTGATATAAAACTCACACTTTCTGATAACGATGCCGCCCAGAGGACTGAAGGAGAAAAAGGTACCGTCCCAGTAACAACTCATATCTGAGCTCGAAACACTAGAAAGCGAAGGGAAAAGAAGCGAAAAAGGCGGTAAACTTTGAACCGGAAGAAAAGCCACAAAAGAAATACTCAACTCGAGTGCCGGTAGCTGTTTTTATTGAGAAAGTAAAAATAAAAATTTTCTTCAGGAAAAAATCAAGCATGATTTCCTCGATCGAAAAATCAAAAATTTTCTGTCAATCGTCTTAGGAAGCAGAGAATATCATCCAGAAAAGGCGAGAACATGGGTAAGGGCTCATCAAGATTGGCTCTTCTGACAACTTCGGGCATCATGAATTCTAGAGCCCAATAAAGAGTATGGACCTCTCCTCACGAATCTCTGAAATGGTGAAGGAAGATAGCCCTGAAAACTTCAAACACATAGCTCTAGTAATGATCGGAAGCGTGCAAGAGAAACCTTCGATATTCTTGGGCTCAAGATGTCTCTGGAACGAAGCTACTGACGATTTTATGAAAGGGTCAATTCTTTTCTTCCGAAAATTTAAAATTCTTTTTTCTAAAAAATGAGCCTAAAAGATCAGTGCGATTTCAAAATGAATCTCTCTACGCTGTCGCTCTTATTCAGGGTTCCAATTTTGGCCGAAAAAATTTTGGAGTGGAGTGGAGAGATGAGTGGATAGCCCAAAAAATTTTTTGAGCGGAGTGGAGCGGTGAGTGGATGCCCAAAAAAATGGTTGAGCGAGTGGAGTGGGTGAGCGGAGTGGATTTTGAGTGGATTTTGAGCGGATTTTTAGGGAAGTTTGAGCGATTAAAAATTTTTTTTTGCATTTCATAATCCATTATAATGGGTCGTTGGGGGGAGGGTTATCAAAAAGGTTGAAAGAGAGCAGAATAACAAAAAAGGTTCGACCCCAAGAGCAGACAGAAACCGAAGTCATCTTTGCACGCCGTGAGCAAGCCTTTCCTTTTCTGAAAAAAGGGGTTTTAAGAAAGGGGGTGAAAGGAAGAGAAAGAGGGGGCGTAAAGAAGAGAGGTTGAAAAAGGTCGGGCCCCCACGAGCAGACAGAAACCGAAGTCTTCTTTGCACGCCGTGAGGAAGCCTTTCATTTTTCTGACCATCAAACTTTTATGAAGGAGTTGGTCCTAAATTGAAGGTTGACCCTGATATTATATCAGTGATTTATTCTCTTGATTATCCCCTGAGAGAATTTGATTCTTCATTTAAAAATGGACAAAACTCGGTCTCCAATCACAATACGAGAAAAGGGGCGCTAAAGACAAAAATCCACTCCATCCGCTCAAAATCCACTCCATCCACTCAAAATCCACTCCAAAGTAGATTTTACAGGTTGGAGTGGAGTGGAGCGAATGAGTGGATACTAAAAATATAGGCTGAGCGAGTGGAGTGGAGTGGATCCACTCCGCTCACGCTCCACTCCACTCCGCTCAAAATCCACTCCATCGCTCAGCAAAATTGGAACCCTGCTCTTATTTACTGCCTCTATTACGAATAAATTAAAATTTCACTCCTGAGTACCAAGCTTTGACCTTTCAAGGTCAGTGTGCTGAAATCAACGAGGAAAATCACCAAGATGAATGTTCAAAAGCAAATTTGAAAAACATAAATTTTCAAATTTACAATTTCGGGTGCGGCCAATTTCTTCTGTTCTTCGGGCTGCTACTATTTTCTGGAGTTTGAAAAATTTGGAGTACTTTTTCTGGAAGTTGTAAAAAATTTCGTAGGTTCCGTTTGGAGCAACGAAATTTCTAATCGATTTTTAAGGGTGTTAAGGGCCTCCCGGCCTCAAACCCCGGCAAAAATGTGGGCCCGGGCCCGTTCTTTCTTTTGCCGGGGTCAGTTACCCTTAATTATTACTCTAACACCCTTAAAAATCGATTTGAAATTTCGTTGCTCCAAACGGAACCTACGAAATTTTTACAACTTCCAGAAAAGTACTCCAAATTTTTCAAACTCCAGAAAATTGGGGTAGCCGTTCTTCGAGTGAAGCATGACTGTACATTACACTAGTATTTGGAGATAAGGATCTTGGCTCTTGAATTCAAACTTTCAAGGCGCCGAAATTCGCGGCTCTCGAAAAGTTCAAACAGAATTATTCGAATTTAGACGCGTTTTTGAATGAAGGATCTCTTTCAAATTTAACAGCAACAAAGGAGTCACGGAAGTGGCACTATCTGTACCAGCCAAATTTGACGTGGACACAAACAGATAAAAAGGACAGATTGAAACGGGAAAGCTTTTACTCTCAATGTTAGCAAAAATGGAGTTTTGGCTGATTACTTATCACTGAAACGTTATCAGCAATAAGTGTTTTACTAAATAGAATTATTTGATTTATCAAAATATTTAAAGAAGAAATTCTGATTTTTATCGACTCCTTTATTTTTCTCAATATCCTGATTTTCAAAGTATTTCTCGGAAATTATACTGTGTCGACTCAGTACAGCTAGGATAGCCGTGTTCTACTTGATCTTTAGCTAAAATATACATTACAATTATTATCGCGAAAATTCAGTATTTTCCGCTGAGTATCCTTTCAAATTGAAGATACTGAATTTTGCGCTAAATTTCGAATGTTTATTATATTTGAATATCAAGCAAGGCTCTTCAATCGTGGCTGTACCGAGTTGACACAGTATAATTTCCGAAAAGTGCTTTGATAACCTGAAAATTGAGCAAAAAAGAGTTTTTTTGAAAATCTATGCGACGCGTGATCGGGCGCGTTGGCCCGTGCTCCCCCGCTTGGCTGTCCGCGATGACGTCATCAGCCGAATGGACCAATCAAAAAGTCCGACGGCGCTGGCGCACGCGCGTTTTCTCAATTTTTCAGCCATTTTGAAAAGTATTACTACTCGCCACTAAAACTGCTGAATCACCCGAGCGAAGCCAGAAAAACTAAAAATAAAAGAAATTTGAAATAAAGAAGTTTTATCTTTTGATCTTATAAGAGAGATACGAAGAAATAAATTAGTAAAGAAGGTTGAATAAGAGATTTAAAAGAAGATTTTGGAGAAAATAATCCAACTAAGAAAAAAATAATTTCATCATGACCTAGGTAATAAATGAATTCAATAAAATAATATATTTCCTAAAGAAAATCTAAATTATATAGTAAAATGAAGCTTTCTGTGTATTGATATAATAAAATGAGTTGTTTACTGCTGTAAAAATGCATATTTTTGGATCATTTTTGCGGTTAAAATCATATTAAAGTCAGAAAATAGCTTTTTCTGACTAAATATCGTTGAAAATTTAAAGATTTTTTTACAAAAAAAGTTCAGAAAGAATAAATTTGGACAAAAATTCCGCGGTGCTCCACAAAATCTGGGTCTAGTGCGATTTCGCGGCATTAAATTTACATCAGGCGTGTAATTTATGCGCGGCGGAACATATGGAAAGTGAGCGTAATATAAATTCTTATCCCCCAATGTTCTTTACTGTATGATCATTCAAACACGTGATCGATTTTCCAAAAGTGCTTTTTTCGCTTGGAGTCTCCAATCTTTCAAGTTTCGAAGTAAGGAGCAACACGGAAATAATTAAAGAAAAACGCGCCGTGGACCCAAGCCAAAAAAGCGCGGAAAAGGGACAAAAGGAGCCAAATTTTCAAGAAAAGAAAATTAACAGGTCCTCAAAAAATGAGGAAAATGAAAGTTACGACTTTAGCAAACTTTCTCTATCTGGCATATTTTCACTCTAGTTTCAGTTGTAAATATTCTTGATAGAAATTATAGATTTTTGCGTTAGATGAAATATGCGCTGAGGAATTTGTATTCTCAAGTCAGCATAAAAAAAGGTTGTTTGTGCAGACTTCTTATTTACAATTATTTATGTCTTGGTGTCCAATTTTACGCTCGAATTCAGTTCATTCTCGCTTCGTATTTTCTATTTCGTCCCCTTACCAAATTTGGCGAATTCCATTCAACTTACAGCATTGGTGATTACTATTGGTAATACATATTTGTCCATGTGAATAATCACATTTTTTATCGCCATCGTAACTTTAAAAATGGACCGAGAGAGTTGTAATTGACCACAAATTCGAAAGCAAATCCACCAAAAAAAGAATCCTTCTACAGAGAAACGAATCGGTAAAAGATAGAAGAAAAGACAGAGGGGAAACATGAAAACCGGCGGCTAGGGGTTGTCGCTTTGATCTTGATTATTTTACGGCGCCGCGCTCTTTTATTTTTATAACTTTTTTCTGTCAGACTTTTTTTCTGTCGGTCTGCTTGTCAAAACGCGTTTTTGAATTTTTAAATTTTGAATCATCTTCCATTTTTCATAAATTTTATTCTTCGTCAGTGAACAATCACAAAACGACTTTGGGAAAAAAGGCGATAAAAATTGTTTAACTTGGAACAAGCTAAAGCTCAACTGCTGTTGTAGAGTCTCAATCAATGTAGACATTCAGGTGTCGATAAAACGCCGAAACATGGTCCATTTGAGTGATTTTGAACGAAAGACCGAAATGCGGCCGATTTTGAATATAAACAAAACACGCGTGGATCTCTCATAAAGCAGCTTGGTTTTCGTTGTGTATTAAACTTGCTCACAATCGTTTTACTTGAGTGTTTCTTTGATTTATGATAAGCTTGAGCTCAGCGGTTTTTCTCATGACTCCGCTGAAACTGTTTTTATCGCAATATTAATTTAAAAGCTTTGATTTGAAATAATAGCTTTCTATTTTCAGAAAAGTCTATTCCTTATCGTAGCATATGTGACATATTGTGTCTCATCTTTTTTTTCATTCGACATTTAGTGACTTTCTGACATTGGCCCTGTAAATAACAGATTGGCCTGTCGCATTTGAGGATGTGTTTAATTATCAATTTAAAAGCTCGCCGGGCTGAATTATTAACGCATTTTGCGAAAATTTCGCTGCCAAAAATCGATTCGCGATTCGAAAAAAAAATGTCAAAAACAGAATCAATAGCGCCTTCAACAAAAGGGCTTATCCTGTTTTAAGTCAAGAACACGCCCCTCCACACGAAAATACTTAATAAGCTCATAAATACTCTTTTCGCGCGAGTTTGGTATAAAAGTGCGTCTGGAATTCGCTAGCGTCTTTGAGCGCAGCGCCGAAGGATTATAAGCTGGATCATCCGGCTCAGCAGCAGTCAGTAGAAAAGTAGCAGTAGTCAGAAATCACGTGCGCCGCTCTCATTATGTCTGAGTATTTATGTAGCAACACGATTTTGTGAGCAACTTTATTGTTATGTAAAGTTTTTCTGTTCCTTGTACAATGTACAATAGGCTTCCGGAATTTAATCCTGCTTTTACTTAGTTAGGGTCTTATAGAGAAGGTCTCAGCGACTGTGGGAAAAATACTCAATATTGTAAAGCTGGCTTTTCAAGATTATTACCATTCAGATGTTCAAAATACTGCGGTTATACTGTCTTTTTTACTATTGGTTAGTTATTAATTTATCTGTAATAAAAGCAAGATGGGAAAGCCGCAGTCATTTGAACCTCTGAATCGTCAGACTTCAAGGCTCAAGATAGCCTCAATTATCAATTAATCACTCATTCAATTTTTGAGTGGAACCTCAAACAGAATCCCTCTTTCTTTCATATATCACCTCTTCTAACAAAGAGTTAAAGAGTGAATTAAAATGGCGTGTTCAGATGCAGCAGAATCGAATATGGATGCGCTAGACGATTTACTGAACGACCTGAATGCGGTCACCCGTGAACTTGGATTCGATACGAGTCCTTCTGAACCTGCTTCGAGCACTTCTGTGACTTCTGAGAAATCCTCCGTCTCCGCTGAAAGCGGCCTCGGCCTCTCCAATGACTTGTCCAATGATTTCCAAACGATCAAGAAGGTCACGCCGCCTAAACCGCCCAAGTTACAACAAAAGCCACCCGACTCATCCTATTCTGAGGTAAGAAATCCCAAGCAAAAATCCCAATTACAACCCCCACTCAATCTTCTTATGAGCGACCATAAAACCACAAACTTGTCAAATTTATTGGATTATCGGTGATGTTGCCAGTTGGGTAGCGAGTTGCCTGACAGGTGTGGCTCGTGAATTTTTGATAAGTCCCGATTTGTTGATTTTTTTGTCTTCAAAGAAAAATATGAATGAATGTTATAGGGAACGTATAATGATGGCCTGGACCAGATTATGAACTCCCTCAACTCATTGGGCTCCGATTTGAACCCCGAGAAACCGAAAGAACCTGAAAAACAAACTCCGCCAAGAAAAAAATCGTCAGAAATGATCAATAGATTGGTTACGACGCCGCCTAAAGTTCAAACTGCGAAGAGGGTGAGTTTCCGATCGTCAGCTGAAATCGAGGAAAACGAGTTCAACTCTTTCCCGAGTAAGGCTCCCGAAGTCGGAAAGCTCCCAAAACCAGGGCTGCCCCCGCAAATTCTCCAATCAGCTGGAGCATCGCCGCAAAAACCCCCAGTCCGACCAAGATTACAACAAGTTTTGCCTCCACCGCCAAACACGCCTAAGGCGAGCGTATCGAGCACGGGCAGTTCCGACTCGCTGAAAATGCCTCCTCCGCCGCCTAAATTTCCTCCTCCCGCGCTGACGCCTCCTGTAACGGCGAGACCGAGTGAGAAAGTGATGTTCGACGGGCCGTCGGATCATCAAAGGATACCACCGTTTGCCGAGACGCCAACTATTTTGCGCAATCGTCAATACATCCCGCCTGAGAAGAAAGCTGAGATTAATCAACATCAAGTCCAAGTTCCTTCTCAGCCCACTGCTGAAAAGCCGACCACCCAACCGATGCATCCGGAAGTAAACAACTTCATGGAGAAAATCAAGGTATTGAATGAGACAAAAATTTGCACTAGAAACGATTAGACTCACTTATTCTTGCATTTCGAGCTAGCATTCAGAATGCTGCATTCTTTTGTGGGTGAAGAATAAGTTTGATCTTTGGATTTTTGAGCACTCAAAACATCAGTTTGAAAAAAAAGAATCCAAAGGGCTAAAGCGCCCTCCTTCTGTCAGCCAATCAGAAGTTGCGGCTATCTTCTTTTGATTGGTTGAGAGAACGAGGGCGCTTATGTCCAGAAATTTAATTTTGATCCATGAGCTCTCAAAACTGATTTGAAATAATAATTATTATCGACCTCGATAAACGGCTGACTTACTAATGATCTAACTGTGCAGGGCATCGCAGTACTGACGTCGGATCAATCAAGTGACGGAGACGACGTTGACCCGTTGCCCCCCTTCGTCAGCTTGAGCTGCTCGGCAGGGCATAATGTTGTGGCTGATAAGAAGTCGTCTCCCGCTGTGTCTGTCAATACAGACTTCAGCAGGGACTCGGGTTTCTCGACGGACACGACGTTTCCCTCTCCTCCTCCACAGCTGAAACCAGTTAATCCTTATGAGGTGCTGAATGTTGTTCAATGTCTACTAACTTATTAAAAATCAAATTAACATGTGATTGTCCTGGATGTTTGAACATTCTATTTATGGGATTTTAAAATGCCTTCCTAGGCTGCTGAGCACGTGAGAATTTTCTCCGGCGAAGGGAGTTACAAACTGATCCCAGTCGAAAAGGGCATGTCCGTGCGATATATCACCCAGCTTATGGCGGAAAAGCACCGAGTCAGGCTGACGGCAAAACATTCGCTGCTTGAATACAATCCGGAATTGGCTACGGAGCGTATTTTAGAAGAGCATGAAAATGTTTGTGAGGTAAGATCTGCTTCTTTTGCCTCATTCTTTACCAATTTTCAAGGTGATTCAAAACTGGGAACAAACACCTTGTGAGATTCATTTCCTCGAGCGAAAGGACAAGTGGCTCCTGTTTTCCAATCCACAGGTAACTTTATCCTTTTATTGTCCCGAGTAACAAGCTAATTACAGGTAATCCTCGAGCGAAAGCAAGCCCAAGGCCAGCCCAGTAGAGAAGAGCGACACAAAATCCTCCAAAGATGGTTCCCCGATCGTGGCGGCTTCAACTACCCGGGGTACGATGGCCAGAGCGTTGTGCGAGACACTGTTTATTACAAAAACGACGCTAAGGATAAATGGAACAAGAAATATATTGAGCTTCGAGGTCATAAACTGCTTATTTTCAAGGTAAAAAATGATTTCGAAATACAGTTCTACAAAGTCTCCTTCAGAAAGAATCAGCTCGCGAAAAAGCGCCAGAGGAAATCGTCGATCTTCAAGCAATGCTCCTATTCCGAGGCGTCGAATGGAAGTCAAAGTTCAAGGCGCCTCTAGCAAATGGCTTCGCAGTTCGACATCCGAAAGTGACAAAGATGAACAAATCTAACAACCCAAACGAGCGCATTCGCTTCTTCGCTGTCGAAGATCAACTTGACGAGCTCAAGGTAACTCCATTTTTTACGAAAACAAAATTGTGACCGTGAACTTTTCAGTGGATCACGGCGTTACGACTCGCAAAACTTGGCCTAAAGATGATCGAAAATTACAGAAATACGATCTCGACCGTGGAGAGGCCATCGTCATTATTGTCGCTACGTCCGCCCTCGTTTGGCCCACTTCCGGTGTCGAATTCGAGACCCAACAGCTTGGAGACACTCCAAGTTGATGGCCTCCAATCGGTGAGAGCTTTTACAAAACGCGTAATTCTTATTACACACGCAACATTTTGATCTCACTAAATTAACAAAAAAAAATACAATTAAAACATTTCCGTAGTCGCCGAAAAAGCCAGCTCCTCCATCGATGCCTCCGACTGGCCAAGTCCATCAAGCAATAATGCATCCGCCTCCCGCTCAAAACCTCCCCCAAGCTCCCAAACCCCAGCAACCGCAATTAACTCTCCATCGACCACCTCCAATGACAAATTTCTACAACGACTCAAACCCAAACCAAGCTCCGGCAAGTCCACTCCGCCGTGGCGATTTTCCACCTCCACCTCCATTCATCTCCCAGATCAAACAGCTGTCAAGCCAAGTGCACGAACAAGGCGATCAATCGAATCGCTCTATTGGCTTTGATTTGCCTCCACCGCCACCGGAACTGATGGTGCAAGCGGCTCGATCATCGAAGGTTTGACTCACTTTCTAGTCAAAAACTGAACTATTTTTATAGATGAATGGAAGTGCTACTCTTCCGACTCCCCCTCGTGGTGCTCGACCTCCTCCACCGGTAAGCAAAAAATCCTAGAACCGACTTTCATCTCTATTTTCAGAGGAGGAATCCCAACACTCGACTTCACCACTGATGACTCATGTTCTTGCTATGTTCATTCCAGCTGTGCTTCAAAATTCTTCAATGACTCCTCCTCTCCACTACTACTGTCTAAGTTCGCCTTTACTTTTATCTCTATCTCCCTCAACGATGATGATGCTATCAAAGAAAGATCCCGACCAACTTCCTTTTCCTTGCTCCCTCTCATTTCCAAAGACTCCAACTTTACGTTTTTCAAAGACAAATAATATTTCAACTGCACTTTCTCTTGCAACAAAGCTACTACTGTAATTATATTAATATTGAAGCTATCAAATGTCGTCTTTTTACATTCAAAAATAGAAAAAAAAGTCAATTTATTTAACAGGTGGTTTTATAAATAGTTTCTTGCATTGAGTGACAGATATTTTGTCCTTCCGGCTTTTTGATCAAACTTTTGTTTCGCGATGATTTCCTTCAACTTCTTCAGCGAGCTATAAACTGTAAAGCGACAAGACTTGACTAGAAATCATACTTTGATAGTTCGTCCATTCGATACGATTTCATCGACTGTTTATTCTCAACTAAAGAGCATAATCCTTTGAAAGCAAAAACAGGAAAGTTACTAACAAGGGCTTCGTAAATGATCTGTGTACTTTTTAGTTATGAAATTCAGAAGCCCAAACAATCACGTGATTCAGCAAAAACGACTGAACTTATCAGTTGAACTAAATAAACAAACTTCATCCGCGGAAATAAGAAGTTCCTGCGACCAGATGATTCTCTTTAGATTTGAATTAGGGAGACAGAAAAAAGAGTCTTGGAGTCTTCAAAGTTTGCATTTTTAATGAGAAATACAATGGCAACTCAAGCACTGCAAAAACCGCAGATGACAAAATATACCTTAGAAAAAGTCTTTTATTTATCCAGAATATCTTAATATTATTAGAAAAGCGGTGAGGTTAGGGTTAGAAGCTACCGAAACTCGCGGATGATCTCTTCCAGCGCTTGCTTCATTTCGATATCGAATCTTCCAGTGAATACTTTTTTGTAGTTTTCGGGTTTTGATGCAAGCTCGTTTTTAATAAAATCATCCTCGAGATCATGATATTCGTTTGGCCGGACGATAATTGGATAGACTTCGTAATTTTCTCGGTTGACTTTCGCTATCTGAAGAATATTATAAGCACTTGATTTTCATGGTTATTCTAACATGAGATTTTTCTCCAGTTTTGCCGCCAAAAGCACTTTGTAGGGTGAGAATGTCCCATTCTTCGTCGGAAACGATGATCATCGAGCGTTTTCTTTGGTATTTTGTTTGAATTGCTTCCTCGAACTTGCCTTCGATGAAGTTTCCTTTGATATTGAGATCCTGAAGGCATAAGAAAAGCTGTCCGTTTCCATCTAGACCATCATCGTAAAAGATCTGTGGATAAATATTATACCGAGTATTATCGAGCAATCATGACTTACAGTTCTTTCAGCCGCTTCAAGAGTGCACGGTTCAATTTCAATTTTATAATGCATGAGGCCATCTTCCGTCAATCCTCCGCTTCCAGGTTCGTAGCAATGTTCAAGCTGTTTGATGCCCGAGAACTGCACCATCGTAAAAGTAGCTCTGTCGTCACCAAGTCTTTCTCGCAGACCAGGCAGCAGTACTCGATCAATCATCCTTTGGGTAGCAGTGAAAGCTTCTGCTCCGTCTACTTTTCCATCCACGCAGACTTTGTTGTTGTAAGAATCTGACCCGTCGACGAGGACGATGATATCATGGAAGATTTTTGGTCTCCTCATCGCGTTACAGCGACTTTTCAAGGGTCAAACAGTATCAACGGAGACTGGAAAAAGGCTTGAATTATCAATTTGTTGTTGAGTTTATCTTCCTTTCTCTTATTCAATAGGCGTGGTAAATATTCAAAACGAGAATAAGTTCATATTTTATATTCTTCTGCACTCTACCCATAAGCTTTCTTATCCAAAATTCATTTCTCTCAGACAGTCAGTCTCCTGTTTTACCCCTTCCTTTGGAGGTGGATATCTTCAATGACTGCTTTTGTGACTGTAGTCATGTGGGCTTCAAATCTCAATCTAAAGGTCTAACTTAGAAAATATTAAAAAAAACTCTTGAATTTACTCGGCAGCGACTGAGACTTGAGCATTTTCTAGGCAAATAGTTCTTCTTGGCATTTCCTTGACCTTCTTGAAAAAATTGGAAAAAGTTGATAATTAGAAAAGATCCGACGCTGTCACCCGCTTTTACAGCTACCGTTCCTAATCATCAAGAGCGAAGATGATTGTCTATTAGAATTTATTAGGTACGCATAAGCAGATTTTAAAATTGAAGTTTAATTGCTTCATCAACTCTCCCACAGCTATATGGGCACTTGTCTATTCCCCAAGATTGGTGGCACTTTGATCCAAGCATATGTCCGCATGGTCTGAGAACAACTCTAAAACACCAATTAATAACTGCTAATAGCAGTTATTCCATAATGGAATGAAAATATTATTACCGGAAGTGGTCCTTATCGTCGTAAGTATTTTCGCACACCACGCAAATTCTCATTGCGTCAGTGTCTATGTAATCATCAATTAAATAATAAAAATAACACATTTTATCACCTTCATCTTCTTCTGACTCATATGATCTCACGTTTTCGCAGCTATAAGGGCATCTATTCCTTCCGATTTCCTTATGGCATTTAAACCCAATCATGTGACCACACGGCTGAAGACTTATTCTTCTATGATTTCCAGAATCGTAGGATTCATAACAGACAATGCATGTAACAGCTTCATTTACTGTTGGTCTTGATGAATTCGGTCTTGCGGAGGCTTCTGATTGAGTTTTATTGATACTTGTTTTATTGAGCATCGATTTTTCCCGGTACAATTTTATTTCTCTCTGCAATTTCTCATTTTGATCGACCAACGATTGAATCTGACTCTGCTGAACTGCATTATCTTCATTATTCGCTCTCTTCAATGCTTCATTTTGGCTCATCAGTCTTCCAACTTGAAGTTCCAACTGCTCGATTTCATTGTCTTTTCCTCTGCCTCCATTGCTTTTCATTGCTCCATTCCCCTTCAAAAATGCAATCTCTGATTCAAGCTTTGCAATGTGCGTATCAATTTCTCTTTCGTATGTTTGATAATAAACTTCATTTTTGGTCGACTTTTTGTTCCTCTTGTTGTCTTCAATATTGTTCGCAATTATATTTCCCATTGAAAATAGTAAAAATTCACTTAGTTGAGAAGCTTTTTGGTTTCGTAAGCATGAATTTATTGACAAGGATTTGGCATTATTTGCAGTGTTCTGTGATTATAAGATTGTTTCCATAGTTTCTTTCGACAGGGTATTTGAGAAAAAACTCTACCTTTTCCTAAGCGTGAAATATCAATAAAATTTATTATTACAGTTTCATAAAAAAGTATTTCTAGCTGAGATAAACTCGTAAGTGGCCGTCGATTCCATTGCAATGATACGGACATCTGCCAGTTCCCCAGTCTTCGTGACAGCTTTTTCCTTCAAATTTCGCGTTAGCTTTATTCAGAACAACTTGATCTACCTAGAATATGACCACATGGTTTTAGCGCAACTCGGAAGTGATCTTCATCGTCATAGGGTTCTGTACAAATGATACAGCTTTCTAATCTGTCCAAATCTAATGAAATGATTGAAATTCTGAGAAAGAAAGCATACTTTGTCTAAGAGCAAGAGCTTCATTCCCAACTCTAGTCCTAGACTGCCGCAATTGAGCGATTTCATTCTCTAGGTCACGTTGCCTAGTCCGGGAATTTTGAGAAGTCATCATATACGTCATGAATCTATTTTGAGTTTGCATGGGAATCGGCTGATTTCTCGTAGAATATGCATCGCAGACCAAGTCGTTCAGATCACTGACCAAATTTTCCGTGCTTTTGAGAGTCGTCTTATGTAATTATGAGTCTAGCGGACTTGTCAGCTTTACCTGAAGCTCGTTGACTTGTTGCTGCAATTTTTGGTTTTCCTCTTTTAAATTGCTATTTTCTTCTTTCAATCGCCAGTTCTCTGCATGAGCCTCGTTACTGCTTTGGTTTCCCATCTGATCGAACTCTGAATGAGCCAGAATCTTCAAAAAATGAGCCCTCAAACAAATTTTTTTGCAAAGCATACAAATTAACTGAACAGAAATTGGATCTTTTCTCACACTCCGACATAAATTCTTTGATGACCTCCAACAAACTCACATTGGTAGGGACATTTGTCTCCTCCCCAGTTTAGGAAACATCGTTCTCCGACAATATGGCCACAGGGGCGAAGGACGACACGATGATGACCCTGATTATCGTATTGACGTGTGCAAATAACGCAGTTTTCGAACTTGTCCAAATCTAGTGAGGAAGTCAGAAACTACTGTAAATATTACGGGCTCGTTACTTATTCGCGCCTGGATTATAGCACCGGCATTCGCCTGCGTGGCTCGAATGGTTGCTTGAAATTCTGCCTCAAGCTGGCGTTCCTCTTGTTCGTAAGCGTCATTTTCAGCGATAAACTCTCTTTTATGGGTGAAAAAATATGAAGTCTCAAAATATAATGTCATTTATATGACCTCTCCTGGTGGTTTGATGAATTTCGGGCCGTCGATTTTGATCAATTTGCATCTTCAGAAGTTCTATCTCTTGAGTTAGAGTGGCCACAGTTCTTTTACTTTTGTTGTAGATTCTCTATATTGAATTACATATAAATAAAAATTCATTAACGAGAATACCTTTAGACCTTTATTGCGCATTTCCAAATTTTCAACCTTATTTTTTAGATTGGCTATCATAACGTAGGTCTCTGGATTGTGTATCTCTTGATGACCATGAGGCTGAGGACCGTGCCGCTGTGGCGGTGAATTACCCATTTTTCCTTCAGAACAGGACTGAATCTTTCTTTTGCTACGAGGGAAAATGGTCAAATATTTAGCTTGCGAACGAAAATCTTGATATGATTTTATGGTGTCAAAAACGTCAGAAGATAGCTGAACGAGAGTTTATTTCATGCAAGTTTTCATTTTCAAAATATGATTTTTGTATAGACAGATGTGATGAGTTTTTGAACAGATAAGAAGACACTGAATCGAAAGTAAAAAAATTTACAAACTACGGAAGTGACATAATAATAACAGTAATTATAGCAGTATTTAAAGTTTTAAATCAGTGAGTTGATTCGCAGACGATGGACAAGTCCTTTTCAGACTTGTATAATTAATTAGTTACTTCATTTGCTAATTAATTCTAGCGACAATGTTTATCTTGTCTTCACATTATGGGCTGCCTCTGTGTGGCGACGCAGCTCTACTTTCTTTTGGAAGGCTTCGTCGCAGAGATCGCATGCAAAAGGCTTGACTCCGGCGTGTTTGCGCATGTGAGTGATGAGATTCGAGGACTGGGAGAAGGCTTTCGAGCAGACGCGGCATTTGTGCGGCTTTTCTCCTGAAATTAACGCGTTAGAGCGTCAAAAAAAAAGGGATGAGAAAGAACCTGTATGAATGTAGGTATGCTTCTTCATATCCGACTTCTGGTGAAATCGTTTTCCACAAAATGGGCACGGGAACGGCCTCGTATCAGAATGGATCAGCAAGTGAGTTGACAGCGTCGAAGACCGCTTGAAAACTTTCTGGCAGACGTGGCATTCGAAAATCTACAAAAGAAAAGTAAAAAAAAGAAGGCGGATTCTTATCAGTGTTGAAAAGTGTGACTTTAATTCTGCGTGGTTCTGTATCTGTTTTTGTGGTTCGGCCGATAAGCGACTCGCCCCTCTCATTTTCTGCGGGCGCTAGAAAAAATCACAAACCAAACAAGCCCGTGTGAAATCATAAACCACAATTACCACATGCGTATTTCCTGAAGAATATGCAATTAATTCCACTCTTGTTGCACTTATCGCTATAGAATGAGTTTCCCACAGAGGTTGGTTATGCAAATACTTTGAGATTGATATCAACGAGGAAAATATTGAAAAGAAATTACGGTTTCTTTTTGGCTTTGAAAATAGTGGTATAAAACGCTACTATTGTTAAAACTTATAAAAGTTCACAGATGTTGCTTTGAGCAAATCGAACGTAAGAATTCTCGACTGTGTATGTGTCTTTAAATCCCCGTGCGGCTGCTTTGGGTAATTATTCTTTATCAACGTTCTTTAGTCCCGCAGGTGAGCAGGTAGATTTGAAATGCTCCTGGTTTAAAAATTAACAAAGTGGGGAGTGAATTGAATCGACTTCCCCTTTTTTACTCATGAATAACTAATTCCAGCTTCTCGTCAGACTCTTGCGGAGACTCGATCAATTTCACAAATCGAAATCGTCGAAAAAAAGACGCAATGAATAAGTGATCATCAGCCGGATCATACTTTATATTTTATTATTGGATTGACGATCTGAAAACGATTAACGAAAAGCCACCGATCAATGCCACAAAGGCAGAATATCGAAACCACGATCCCTGGCTAAATCTAACCATAAATAATAAAGCAACTTCGAGGTCTATTTGCTCTGAAACTAAGGTGGTAGACGTCGAAAAGCAGTGCTGTATATGCTGATTTGCGAATCTGTCAGATTTGATAACCCTGGCCGACTCTCGGTGCAGCAGGTGTCGGTGGGTTGGAAGGACGGGCGCTGTCCAGCTAAAGCAACACGCGATAAGCACGTCTGATAATAACCCGTAAACCGGCGAAAAGCACAATTTAAACAGATAACAGAATAAACCTTCCTTTCCTAGCGCGTTTCAAAAAATTTCCTGTCCTATCTTTCTGATTACAGATTAAGCTGTCAGGCTTTGCTCTTTGAAGTTTCGAGGAGGAAAAATATACAGCTGGTTGATAGAGCTTTTAGAAAAATTAGAAAATTAAAGATTTACCTTGTCATTTGAGACGCTTCCGGACGACTCTTCCGAGTTTGCCTCGTCGTGTGCCACATGGTCATCGACAACGCCGTGGATTACTCGTCGATGAGACTTAATTAGATGATTAGATTTAATTTGATTGAGTGTTTATAAGGTTTTATAGAACTGGTATTGAAAAAGAAGGGATGCATTTTTGAAGAGATGAAATTTTTAAGAGCGCCAAAGATGAAAAGTTCTATTTTTATAATGTCTAAGAATATGATGTTGGATTTTGGCAACACTCTGTGTCAAGTATCGGCGTTGTTTGATTAGGTACTCGATGTGAGCCCATTGTGGCTGATTGTTGGACACTTGAGGGCCCTGAGCGTTTTAGCCAGTTTTTGGTGAAAATACGCCACCCAGTTAGGGAATCAAGACGCGAGAGGAAGACGGGCCCTTCAATTTTGAAAAACGGCCGCCAAGAAAAAAAAAGGTTGAGTCTCTTCCTCAGCGCCCTTTGCTAATCCATCGAAAGTACTTGAGCATTTGTTGTGAGCGAAAACCTGGAATCATTCTTTCCAGCGGATAAGGAAGTGAAAAACCTTCCGTAGATTTAGTGCCTTCGATTTGCATGGAAAACAATGCATTAGAGATATTTTTCAGCTACGGTATATTTCCGAGCCTATCATTAAAAAAAAGCATCATTATTTCAACCGTAAATTTTCTCCGGTGAACATATTTCGATGAACCGAAATATAGGTTCAATGAATGAACTATAGCTTGGCCTTTATGCTTAATTTGTTTAAATGATCCTCATGCCTATTAGATCAGATGCGACAGAAATTACAGGATTATGTCTTGAAGATTTCGCATATTGTAAAATGGTCAAAACGCGACGTCTAATTGATATTTTTGTCTTACCTCCAGTTCTCGCAGTGTGACGAAGGAAGTTAGGCAACTCGGACAATTGTATTGGCCGCCCTTGTCTCCTTGGCAGATCTTTCGCAAGTTGTTTAGCTGAATCTGAAAATAATGGTAAGAAAGTGGAGTGCTGTCAATCTGCAGTGGAGTATGGATGGAGATTGAGCAATTTTAAAGCAATTGAATTTAGTACTTTTGTAATTTATATTGTCGAGTGTGGTGCTATTAAAAAGATTAATGTATGATTTGAGGAATCGCACACAGAGAAAAGAACTCAAATCCTTGCTACAGATTCATGGATCAGTGAACACTGATTTGATGTCTTATATAAAACATTGTATAATCAGCATCTAAAATCACCTGAGAAGTTATCATAGCCGACTGCTTCTTGAGCTGCTCGATCACTGCTATTTGGTGGTAGTGGTTTACCATTTGACCCCGTGCCTCCTAAGGAATATTGGTAGATATATGGTTTTATGTGCACTTACGATTTCTTTTGGTTTCAAACTATCTCTCGCCATTGAAACCAGTTGATAGATATCCATCACTGAAGGGCTGTTCAGACTGACTGGCGGTCTATGATTCGCAGACATCGCCTGATGAGCCGCTTGTTTTTGCTGCTGCTGTTGATAATGAAGACTTGCAAGCAATGGCGATTTGTTGAGAAGATTCAGGAGGCCGAGAGCTGGATTTGACTGCTGCATTGCGGGGAGGCTTTGTCCTATCCCTGGCGGTGTTTGAAGCATTCCCGGACGCATGGAAGGAAACGGCAGGGCCTGAGGAGTGTGTCCGAGGCGCAGGGGACCGTACGGGCCAGTCGGCGATTGGTTGAGAGACGGAGCGGAATGGCGCCCCAAAGTGGCGGGCGGAAAACGGGCTGGCGCGGTCGGTATTTCCATGTTCCGTTTTTCTAAATGTTTCTCTTCAGTAAGCGTCTTTTTAAATAAAATATTCATATCTCTAACTATCAGTTTTCATAAAACGCATGAATCAGGACGTCTTGATTAAGAATCGAAGTCTTTATCTTTTCATGCGTAAAAAAACATGCGCCCCCACTCGTGGATGCAAGCTTTCAAAACCCCCATAATTAAAGGCAAATAGCAATCGATTACAAAAGAGTTTACATAAAAAAGTGGGGAAAGGGTAGTGTACTTATTTTCTGATGCTGCTTTTTTTTGAGGTCCGGTAAAAGTATTTCAAATGAAGTGCAGCGCTTGCTGGCGCAAGAGACAATAGATTTAGCGCAGTTATTGCTTGATTCGAGTTATGAAAGCATTTCATAACTTGATTCATACTTTTCCCAAAGTCAAAAAATAGACAAATGCAATTGTATATATTCATGCAAAAACGCACTTGCTGGATTTAAATTTAAATATAGCATGCATAAGTACATGTATACATTTTGATCTGAGACAGTTATTGTAATTATGAAAAGTGATAGAGCGTAAAAGCAGCAACAGAGACGCATTGAAAATGAATTTTAAAATCCTTGTCCAACATACTTATAAAATAATTGCTAAAGAAAAAGTGATGCTTAGTTTCGGTATTTTTGTTAAAAATTATAAGAGACTGCATATAACCAAAAATCTTATATGAAGGGGCAATATAATAAGATATATTAAATTATGATTGTATGTTCCTTTTCTAAGTATTTTCTTTTTGTTATTTGAGGTTGAAACCTTTCTGAGCTTGTCCTTTTTTACTGTTATTCTAACCTTATCACCGAAAAAGCGCGATAAGAGACCGCCGCGTCTGATTTGGCGCGTGTACTCAGCTGGGTAGCTTCGCCCAAGCAAAAGCTGGCCGTTTTAAAGCTGTGGTTTGAAAACGCTTAGCTTACCGTTGCTGCGGATTATGCTGAGGAGCTCGGCAAGGGCTTTTGGATTTGGAGCTGAAGAAGTGTTTGCTGGAAGATTTTGCTGGAAAAGGTGAGCTGGGTCTGGAGCGGTGGGGATTCCAGGGGGTCGCCAGACGTTTCGATTGGAGATTCCAGCTAGAATTGAATTTTTATCAGATCTCTAGGCCGTTTTAATTTCTCAAAAATATGATTTTATTAATTTTTTTCTTCTTCAAACTAGTGAGATTCTTCCCGTAAAACAGTTGATGATTAATCTTATCCTGTATATTTTCCAATAAAAAAAAGACGTCGGAATACGCTCGTATATACTTACCATGAATATCATTATCTTTGGCTCCTTGCGAAGGCGCATTTGGAATCTCTTCCGCAGACGTCTCTGAAGTACTGTCCGTAGTTTTGAAGCTCAAATCTATCGCTTCATCTGAGCTTGATTTTCGGGACCGTTTGGCTGACATAGGAGAGCTACTGCTAGCGGACTGCTCGAGCTTGCGCTTCAGTGTTTTCTGAAGCTTCTCCAAAGAAGGAGTCAAAGATACCGGCTGAGAAGTGGCTCCGACCGAGGAGGGATGGAGATTTATCGGTGCTGAAATTGAGGCTTTCGTAAGTTCTTATATGTGCATGAGGATGATGCTAAAGACGAGTTGAAAGTTGTGATTAGAGATAACTTTTCGGAAAAATATGATTTAAAAAAAATCAGACTTCATCATTTTTGGATAGATTTATAGTTTTCGGTTGAAATTAAGAACTCTTCCTTGAATTTCTGTGCTCAACTTTTGTCCATAAAATGGAGGAAAAGTTCTTGGTTCCTTTTTGAGCTGGTTCTCTACTTTTTGACATATCATCTCCATCTCTTGTTCGATTGAATTTTCTGATCGAAAAAAGCAAAGTTGATTGTTGTTGCTATCAAAGCTGGAGCTTTGAGTTTCTGCTTTTGAGCTGTGATAGTTTGATTTGAGTGATGTAAATGCTCGGGGGTAATTGTCGAAGGTGCTACAGGAGGTGGAACATGGCTTCGGTGGCGGAGTGGCTTTGGTGCTCGCGCTGCGGCGCCACCACTCGTCGACAGCGCCATCGTCGACGCAAAAATCACTGCAAGGCGAGGACGAATCAGAAACTGGCTCGGTTTCCTTCTGAAGGTATCGCTTCAAAATCTCTTTCTTCTGGTAAATCATGCTTTCAAAATATACCGTCAAAATATATGTGATTCTCTTAGCAGCTCCTGCTAAGGACTAAATCTTAATCTGAACCGGAAGTAAATAAGACTTAAAGGTCCTGTATGTTTAGTTTCCGCTGCGCTGTGAGATCGAAAACATAAATTGGAGACCATTAATTGTAGATTTTTTATAAATACAAATTTTAAAGCAAAATAAGGGTCTCCTTACAGAAGATTTTTTCAAAAGGCTAATTAAAATATAGTTTGAAATCTAAGTCTCAAAGAAAAAAATTGTACAGTAAGATTTATAAGTTTTTCTCAGTAGGATGATAAGCTGAGATTAAAGAGCATCGAAATCTTATATGGTCATGGTAATTCATGGTTACGCGCGCAAAGCTGATCCGAACACGGCACCGGTCAGCCAGAATAAATAGTCCGATTGATTTCCCGCGGTGGGCTTATCGCGGTCCCCAAATTGTACCCCTACCACTTCCATATACAATCACACGCTCACCAATATGCTTTCTTCTTATTACAAGCTCAAATCTTCTGGCTGAGTCTTTCTAAAGCACAGATCTTGTCCTCTTTACTTTTCTATTTTTATCAAAATTGACCCAAAAAAATGAGTCATCATTTTTATAGGATTAAAAAATTCAACCCCTTTTTCAAACATCAAAGATCTCCCATTTTCTCCGACTTATTCTTTTTGATAAAAATTTATTTTGTGTATTATCAGTTTCATTATTTTTCTTTTGAAAACGGAAGTTGCGGCTCGACTTTCGGATATCCAAACGTGGCTATTTTAACACCTTCCTTTAGCAAAGTGGAATCACATTCCCCCTTTTTCCTTCGACAATTTATTTTATTCACTTCCTGCCATTCGCAAAATCCTGTTTCGAATTGTCACTGGGAAATTGGCTTCGGTTTATCCCTTTTTAGGTACGAGGGGATTAGACAATCCCGGTTCCTATCTAACTCGTTTTTTTGTTAATAAGTGAGACAGGCAGGAGCCGCGCGAGTCCGGTAAACCCGTAAAAGGGAATGATAAATCTTCCGGAACTTTTGGTCACAAAGACGTTATTGTTCATAATTACGGGCACAATGAAGAGAAGACATTCTAAAATTCAACAGGGGATTTGACTGACTTACGAAATCGAGAATTTCATCGAGCTTCGTATTCGCAGGAATATCAAAAGGGGAAGGAACAGTCATTAGCAGATGCTTCTCATTTGAAAATCGACAATCTTTTACCCTAGTTTCCCAGATTTATCGAAAATCCAAATTTCGTATTTTAGTCGAAAATCCTAGCCTAGGATTCCTAGGGGACCTCTGTTGATCATTCATGATTAGCTAAAAATCGAAAGTCACGGTGAAAAAGGGGGTTTGAGGAAGGCGCTGCACCTGCCGCTCGGTAGTAGTAATCCCTGTCGAGCTAATCCGCTAATGGCTCAGTGCTGATGTCGGCGGCAAGGCGGCATTGAAAGAAAATCATGTGGGAGAGCCGCCGATCGATCACACGCAACTTATCAAAAACCAACATCGTCCCTTGTCAATTTGAAAAAGGACAGTAATTCGAAATTGGCACCGCTGCAACTTTAATGCTTCTTCATCGAAATCTACAGAATATAGGACCTCTTATTAGGGCATTCTCGAAACGAGAGGAAAATCTGCTTGATTGCAATTTTCTCCTAATTGCATTAACGAGCAATGATTAAGTGCCGGAGGAATCTGCTTTGTAGGAAAAACAAATAACTGCCAAATTGAAAGATTGTTCGAGCGCTTGTTTATAAAATATAAAATGTAGCTTGGCGATGGCTCAGAAAAATAATTCCTCCTTTGCTGTGTGAATTACTCAAGAGCCAAAATAGATTTAGCGCGGCCGATCGAGTGGACCCACCGGGCTGGAGAATGGTAGAAATGATTTGGAGAAACAACCGGTGGGAGAGATTGAAATTGCTGATAGTTTATGAGTTCTCTTAGCTTTTGATAAGCCTAAGGGATGTTTTTTCAACTAAATTGGTATTTTGAACAATTTGTTGAAACAAAGAAATTATGAAGAGGATAATTAGCTTTCGTAATCATTAACGTGGAAGTTCATTTTAATTAATTACATGTATGACCGGAGAAATCTCATCTTTCTGATGAAGTCTGCCCCATAACAATTCTGAAAATGAGTTTTTTTTGTTGCTGACCGAAAAAGGGCACGTTAAAATACGTTAACCGCTGGAAATATGACGGAGCGCTAGTAACGGGTGACAACGGATTCGGTTGGCCCAACTCCCGCTGAGTGAGAACGTGCAGGAGGTGTCGAGCCGAGTGAAGGAGATGCATGGGACCACGCCGCCGGTGTGCACTCCTGCAAAGACTGCTCCTGGGCCCAAGTCGGAGCAAGTCTCGGTCACCGAGACTCGGTGTGAGTCCTTGAGTAAACATAAACTGGGGGCATCTTGAGTCGGGAATTGTGATCAAGCACGGTCTAGATGATCTTCAAAACTGAAAATATGGAAGACTAAGAATTAGAATTCTCTGAAAACTTCCATGACAGGGTAAAATTTCATACTGATTCTGATGGCGCTATCGTTAAAGTCTTTTGATGATAGATTTTCGAAATAAATCACTTCCAATTATTATCAGCTGCTTGAATCAAAGTAACAATCTTAATTACTTCCGGTTTGAAAGTAACTATGATATTGTCATGACATTGGGTTGCACAGGTCAAAGAGGCCGTTGAGAAGATAAGTCTATCAAGAAAAGCATTCGAAAGAAAATGGCCCGAAGATGGACATCACCAGAATCAGATTTTTTCATCCTGATTCATTTCTGTGGTCAACAAACGATTTCTTCAAGCTGAATTTACGAATAAGAGGGGCCTGTCGATCAAGATCTGGATACTCCAGAGCGAGATTCATCTTGAATTTTTGACATTAATAACAAATTACGACTTCATAATCGTGATCAGCGATAAATTTTACCCTAGTTGATAATAAGACAGGAGCTGTCTCTGCAGGAGTTCACACCGGCGGCGTGGTCCCTTGCATCTCCTTCACTCGGCTTAACACCTCCTGCACGTTTATACTCGGCGGGAGTTGGGCCAACCGAATCCGTTTTCCCCCCTAGTAACGCCCGAGGCAGCGAACCGAATTCTCCGGTCACCTCTGGTTCAACTTTGGTTTTGTGACCAAGGATGGCGGCGCCGGCATTTTTCAAATATCAACCTTCTGAAAACAAAACACTCTCTCTTTCATTTTGTATTTCAAAATGGCTGCTGATAGCGTCAGGCAGAGAGTGACCAAAACAGAAGACAACGAGGAGAATGTGGAAAAAATAGTCGAAAGCGAAGATGGAAAGAGAAATTTTAATGTTTGGGCAGCGGCTGCGCAGTTTTTGGTCGGACTACTGATCGTTGTTGGCTCGATTTACAGTCAACTTGATACTCAACTAGTGAAACCGAAACCAATTGATCAAGGAAAAGTTTAAATTTTCTATATTTTCATTTGATATCGTTTTTTGACATATTGAATCATTCAAAATAAAACTCTGAAAAAGTTGACAAAGATTTCGTCAATCACCTCCATGCGCACATTTACCTCGAAACCGCTGTTGGAAATGCTCTCGAGCCAAATGGCGACTTCTGGATCCGCCGTGAAGAACTCATCAACTCGGCCCGTCCCTCAGCTAGAAACTGCCTCGCCAAAGTTCCCGGTCATTTGATCATCGATGATTTGCTCATGGACGATGTAAAGAATCAAGTCTTGCAGATCGCACTTTACATGCTCGATCATGTCGGGAAGAAGGGAAAAGACCATCGAACGATTTGGGATCTGTACTTCAATACCCTCACGTATCCAGGATGGGACAAGATGATTTACAAAGGATCAGACGACGAAAGAGAGCACCTGCAAAGACGGCCTAAGCTGGAAAAATCTGAACCAGGCGAGGAAAATTCTCCAGAAGCAAAAAAGAAATGGGATGAATTCAAGAAAAAGGAGACCGAGTGGGTCGAAGAAAAACGATCTTATGAAGGCAAACCAGGATCGGCCATTGACATTTTTGGTCACATGAAGCACGAGGAAGGAGTCGTCGGAGCTGCCATCTGGTCCCCTAGTCTTTACGATCACGCCATTCCAGCGCTCATGCAAAATATTCCGCATGCCCGTAAGTTTCTTCAGGAAAATGTATGATGATATTAATTTTCATTTTAGTCATCAAGACCTTCAAAGGCAACGGCGATTTTTACTTCACATGGCCACTTCCTTTTGTCATGCACCACGCAGCCGAAGAAGACGAAGAACCGGCTTACACCAAGCCAGTCGTCCTTGGCTCTGGTTCTTCCTTGAAGAAACAGAAAAAATCTCGACTTCCTCATGTTGATTACGCTGTTGTTTGGTTCCTGTCCGACTCTCACAAAGGCGGGAATTTACTTCTTTCTAATCCAGTCACTGGGAAGAATATCACTATCGAAGCAAGACACAACCGAGCAGTCATGTTTACCACTGGCTCAGAGAACGTCATGAATTGGCAGAAAGTCACAGAAGGAAAACTCGTCTACATGATGTTCCATTTTTCCTGTGAACAAAGATACGACATGTCTTCAAATGGCAAACAGAGCGCGTTTCTTCCATACGGGTAAGGTCAAGTCAGAATAGAATTGAAATAATTTCATGCCTTTTTAGACATCTCAGAGCTCCAGAAACAGGTGTTCAACAAATCTTTGTCGATCTTGATCGAGGTCTCAATTTCGGCCTGGACGATCCAAGGTAAACACTCTCAGCATAACTCTTTTTAAAAATTTCTTCCAGATACAAGTCCCCTGAGGAAATTGCAGCGATGGACGTCAAGCCACTTGTTGATTCAACAGGAGAAATCGACGAATCCGTTGTCAGAGAAGAAGAAGATGATGACGAGGAAATTGTTATTGATGCTATTGAAGGATAGCTTTTTCAAAAATGCTTTACTGAAAATAAAAATAAACTGCACAAAATTGAGTTTTAGAGGTTTTTCTAGAGCGAGTTTGACTCTCAAAACAAAACGGTGGGGACAAACTAGTTAATGTGGAACTGTTATTAGGGATGGTTCAAGGCCTGGTTCAAAAATTCATAAGTTTCGAGTGAAACAACGAATGACTAACCAGAAATAAGGGAGGACATCTGTATATGGGCGACGGATGTCGCTCGCTTTTCAAAAGCGAGACAGTGTCATAGGTTCTTCTGTGATCCAGCGAGCGACGCAATTTGGAGCGACCTCGTCGATTGCTAGCATTCGGAAAAATGTAAAGGAGCGCAAAACGAGACAAGAAATAATCCAGGAGCAAAAAATGAAGGCTGAAGCGAAACAGCCAAGATGTCAGCCCTGGCGTCTTCCGAAATACAAGGATACAGTCATCTACGCTGGGAAGAAATCAACAACGATTCAAAAGATGGACGGCTTCGAGTATTTCTGCCCAGCTTGTAATGTTTCCTTCGCAAGTCATTTCGAGTATCAAAGCCATTTGATTCTCCGAGAACGTGCCAAGCCTTATGAAGAAGGATTGCGAGAAGTTGCCAAGCAAATAAAGGACTCGAGTTCTTACAATGAGCTCTTTACCGATATAATTTCTCGTAACGACATTCTTGTCGATGAAAAAAAATTATTGTCAACTCAGAAAAAGGAGCAAAATGATCGACTTTTACGATCAGAATCAAACACAGAAAGTTTAAAGATAATCAGAAGGAGCATTTTCAAGTACAATGTCGGTAATTTACCGAAACGTAGAAGGAAAGGATCATTTTTTGGAAAACATTAATAAGGGTTCTCAGGCTCTTCGTAAGGTGGAGGCAAATCTTCCACAGGGATTGCCTCAAACGGGTTATCGAGTTGACCGACTTGATCCGCGTCTATTTCAGAGTTTTGTTGCTCTCTGTCATTTTCCAAGCCGCTGACATGATTTTCAATATCATCTACTTTCCATTTGACACAACATCTGTAGCAATACCTTCCACAAAACCAGTAATGGAATCTCGGCTCAGTTGCTGCTCTAAAGAATTTTATTTTTTATAAATATTTATTAAAACTTACTCTTCAAGCGGCATTGCGTTAGGATTTTCTTTGATTCTCTTTCTAACGATACATAAATATCTCGACCAAAGAATGTAATAGATCAAATAGGAAATTATACAAAGTATAATGCCAGTCAAGAGTAAAATTCCCATTCCAGCGAGTGCAGATAGGCCAAGTAAACATGCTAAATACCCGGAAAAAACAGAATCGTCAGTTTGCTCTTCACAAAAGTCTCCTATCACTGACCAAATCAGGGCTGGCAAATTAGGGTCCCGCCAGCCGCACTAATTTGAGTTAGAACCCTATTGTTAGAACCCTAATTCTCATTTTATAACTTTTTAGTGCGAGTAGTACGAGTTGGAAAAAGCCGCACTAAAATCGTCCTAAAAGAGGCGCGCGCTTATTGGTCCGCCAATCATGGCGGGTCATTCGTTTTTCTTATCCATTCAGCTCTATTCTTTTTTCAATCTTCCACCAATTTGTCCTCCGCGCCTGGTGGGAAGCGCGCGCCGATTGGATGATGAAAAAGAGCCTCATAATTAGTACGGTTAGGGCGGCGATTCAGTCCTAATAGACGAAAAAATATCAAGGAAAAAAAATAGGACGGGTAGGACGGGGATGCCGCACTAATTCGCACTAATTTTGAGTTAGAACCCTAACAATTTTTCGGTAGTGCGGCTGTTAGGACCCTAATTTGCCAGCCCTGGACCAAATGTTCAATCGTTGCATTTTATCAATTCTGCACTGTGAGGAAAATAGTACGGCATTTTATATGGGCCCGTGATTCAGTCGAGCGTTTTGCAAATACAGTGAAACCCCAACTTAAGGCCACTTTTTGGATGACAGCTAATTTAAAAAGTGGCCTTAAGTTGGGTGATTCTACAACTAAGTTGGATGAAGCTAAAATTTTTCTATTTCTGGAGTAAGGGACTGAATCATGGGAATCAAAAATGAAAGGCGGAGGGCCTTATCAGAAATTTCTCGCACGAACCAAGTATGAATTGTAAAAACTGAATGCGCCATTTGAATCAAACCTTCGGTTATGTTTTCATTCTCTTAAAAAAAATTTGCTGCAAACATGTCGCAAGAAGAAACGAGAATCAGCATGACATTGGCCGAGAAAAAAAGATATGCAGAGATTATAGTGAAGACGCCGGAGAAGAGTGATGCAAAGAAGATTATCAATGGGCTATTTCGAAAGACACATGATGGAAAAGACATTCCGACGCGGATGGAGGTTGAAGAAGTACCACAAGTTCAAGTGAGAGAAGATGCCGACGCTGAAAAGCCATCGACTTCAAAATCGCCAAAGAAGCAGCCGAAGATAACGATTTTTTTTATTAAAAAGTGAATCTGTGAATAAAAATTGAAAAAAAAGTGGCCTAAAGTTGGATTTTTTTCGGATGACAGATTTCGGAGATTTTTCAAAAAAGTGGCCTTAAGTTGCTCGGCCTTAAGTTGGGGTTTCACTGTATTAAGCTCGATGAGGCATCAAAAATTGGTCATCTTCAATAATAAGTTACTTTCCTCTTACGTTCTATTCCTAGAAAAAGAATGAATATGATCAAGATCAATAATATTTTATCGTAATCAATGTTTACTTAAGTTTCTGCCATAGAAGTTCTGTGACTAAGAGTCTGAGTACCAATTTAATTTCGATTACGCCTGGGAAAATTTGATCCATGACATAGAGGTTTCGACATTTCAAACTACATGGTGCACCTTGACGAGCTGCGAGCGCGCGTTGCAACCACCGAGAAGTTAAATTACAAGTAATATACAGGAAAATACGTCAGATACGATTAATTGATCTTAGGTCTGAGAAATTCGACAACTTCAAATTCAACACCGGACACGATGGCACCAAGAAGGCAGTTTTTAACGCAGAAGACGCGCTCAAAGAACTAAAAGAAACCAAAGTCAAGCTTGATTCTTTCAAAAATGAAACGCGAGTGCGACAAATTATGGCGAGTCACAAAGGGGCTTCGGCTTCGAAACTTGTTCCTGAGCGAAATCGAGTTCCCTATGCCGACAGACCGTACCAAGATCCGATGAGTAGAACTTCCATGAGCACGACCCAAAGCGATCGATTACTTTCACCTCTCCATCAAAATCGAAGGAGTGCGTATCAAAATCGCCCGAGTGCCCCTCGTCGGCCAGTTTTTTAAATCCCTATCTAATAAAAAAACATGAGTTTAGCGCTTCTTTGATTTATTTATATGTAATTCATCGAGTACAGTTTGTCAATTTTGGCAGATTAGAGTGCTTTAGTTGCTGACAGAGGATTTCCAGAGGGATGGCTCCCATGGCTGTCCGGGCTGCTGAGTGGTGAAGAGGTTGACGGTGCTACTGGCATAGTCAGCGACCTGAGGAGTAACGGTTAGATTTTGTATACGGAGAAAACGCTTACGTTGATGGTCACGAGGCCGGTATCAGAGTAAAGGTTACCCCATGGATCTTGGATGACGTTGATGCCGTCAACGTTGATTTCACCAGAGTTGGTGGTCAAGTTCATGCAGGCAAAGCCGTTTCCGACGGCGTCATTGAGCTGCATAGCGACAACATCTCCGGGCTGGGCACCAGCGACCTGATAAAAGAGTTGAAAATCAGGTTTTTTGAGATATTTTACCTGGAAGTTGTAGTTGGATTCCTTGGCCATTCGGAAGTCATTGGCGGTTTCCATGAAGTAAAGGCCGGGGAGAGCGTAGCCTTCGTCGGTGCAGGAAAGGGTGACGTCAACGTCAGTTCCGCAAGTGGCGTTGTTGAGGATACCAGTAGAGGCATCGAAAGATTGTTCCCAGAAGATCACGACATCGATGGTGTCGGATCCGATACCGTCGAAGTTGGTGAAAGAATATTCGTCGATGATGAATTCACCACCGAGGAAGACTCTCCATGGGTTGTAGCCGTTGAAATCAAGGGTGCAAGTAGAGTTGACAGCAGTCTTTTCGAATTGGATCTAAAGATAGAGGGTTAGGACGCAGCTTGAAGCTTGTTTCTTGTTAAGATTTTCTCATTTTTATCATAAAAACTAACCTGAGTTCCGCATGGATCTTCGTCGGATTGTCCTGGCCAGTTGACAGGATCAAAAGCGGCGGCAGAAGCGATAAGGGCAGTTGCGAATTTCATACTTTCTTTTATGAAGTTTCTCTTTCTTGAGACTACTGATCAAATATCCTGTATCGGATGATTTTATATGAGCAAATGTAAATAGAAGCGCGCTTTTATAGCGTCACTCGGCAGCGCGCGCAGGCGGCGCTCGAGAGCAAAGAGAGAGAGAAATCACGAGCGCGGAGTGTGCGGCGCTGGAATTTTAACGACGGCAGTAGCTTTTAAATGAGGAGTGCTTTCGGAAGCAGCTTCACATTCCCAGAAGGGATTATTACGCAGTTCGCGATAAGTGGCAACGTAAAGTCTGCTTTTCTCAGAATCTGGGACAAAGTTCGAGCCACAATAAAAACGAATGAAAATGAAATTTCAGAACATTCAAGTTCCGGCAGCGTTTAAAATGGCTTTATCTCGTAAATGACGAGTGGTGATATTTGCAAACGATGAAATTATCAGGTGCATGTAAATAATAGATATTTCAGTGTCAACGTTTTTTTTTATAAAAAGAATTCTAGCGACGACTGACAGAGGAGTTTTTTAGAGGTATATTTTGATGACGTTTTTCTCTATCACCATCTTTATTAAAAAGATATGAAGATAGCTTTAAGACCGGATGATTTACGAGTCCCTTTCCGCCAGGACATAAAAGTGGCGACTTCTGTAAATGAGAAGGGCAAAGTCGGCAAATGTCGCCATTCTCTTTGCTCAATATTCTCAATATTGAAGTTAGGCAGTGATTTATAGACTCAAGAAGAAGGCGCTTTAGAATTTTTATGCGTTCCGGGCATTCTGCCTCCTAATTTCTTATATCAAGGAAATTTCACTACACAATCGACACATACACAAGAGGACACGCACAGTAATTATAATAGCTTTAAAATGCTTGTAGATAAAGATTGAGTGTAAGCTGTTCAATTGAATTGGCTTGTGTTTGCAGAGAGTGAGAGCCAACAGCCGTGACACATTCCAAACTTTTCTGCTGACAATCCCCAAATCTCAGTAACGACCGTCAAAAAAGCGTCAAATATGCAAGAGAATAACAATGCAAATGAAAGAGATAAAGAAAAAAAGCCCAAAGTTAGGGTTAGAAGAAGGAAAACTAAAGAAAAGGTAATTCATATTTCTCAAATAAATATATTATTTTATACCAAAATAATCAGAATAAGGAGCCGCACCTTCAGTGCAAATAATTTTCAGCCTTTAAAAATTGCTTTATTTTTTATCAGAAAATTCTAAACTACGATAGATTTAAGGAGGGGGTCGACGAGAAAAATTTTTTCGCTTTTTCAAAATTTTGGTTATATTTTTGGATTCCTTAATAAAAAAGGAACATTTTTGGTCTCCAGCTTTTTGGGCATTGACTAACTTTTTTTAACAAAATCTTCGATTTTGTGTCTGAAATTCGAGATTTTACAAAATTGTAAAGTTGGTTATTTCACCCAAAAACAATCTTAATCCGATTTTTATTCACTAGATATTGTTTTTGAATGGTTTTCTTATCATTATCAGTAAAAAATTTCGAGTCTCGGCGCTTTTGGTAAAATTCTCCGTGAAAAATGAGCAAAAATGACGATTTTTAGGAAAATCGCATATTTTTAGTAAACATAAAAAATTTTTTATATAAAAGCAGCCCGTTTTATATTGTCGCCGCTGTATTTTTAAGGGTTTCAACTTACTATTTAATAAATTAGACGAAGAAAAAAATATCCCGTTTTCGAGATTTTTTGGTTACGAGTAACCCCCACTTTGACCCAATTTTTTGAAAATTTTTTCGAAAAAAATTTTTTTCTAGTTTTCGCCGCTGTATTTTTCAAACACTTTTCTTTCCACCTGAAAAGTCAGAATTCGCCTATCTAAGCAGGTTTTTCCGGATTTTTGGTTACAGAAATCCCGATTCTCGTCGACCTCCCCCTTAAGGATAATTCATATTTACCGACCGAATTAATAAAAAGCCCTTTAAATTTGTCTTAAAATATTTCTCCGCGTCAAATTGTCTCAAACACTAGTTTATTCGACATAAGGAAGCCCATGCTCCAATTGAACATGTTTGCCCATATTTTACAGCTAGAATAGGAAGCCTTTCAAATTTACACGTTTTCAGGAATGAGATTTTTTCACGATTTTTAGAGAGCGTTTTTCAATTTGAAAAATCCATGGGAAAGCAGTTTTGCGTTGATTTTTTTCAAAGAGAAATTTGCGTTATCATACTTAGCGAGCAATTACTACACAAATATTGGTCAAGTGGACGGGGACCTTCTGAATTCTGATTGAAGGACTGTTCTTATTCATACCAAAATCGTTCTATGTTTACTCTTACGGTAAGAATCTTACTGTAACGTTAATTAAATCTTTGAGTCTCAAGCATTAAATTAAGATTAAAAAATTGATTTTCAAAAATATTAATCATATTTAATATTAATTAATAATTAATTAATAATTAAAGCAAAAATAATTACGGTTTTAAAGTTTATTATTAACCCTAACCCTAGCCCTAACCAGGGGTCTAAATATCAGCCGAAATCCTAGTGCGAAAGCGAAGCGAAAGCGAACTATTTTTTCAAATTTTTTGCGAAGCGAAAGCGAAGCGAATTTTTCGCCCATGTGCGAAGCGAAAGCGAAGCGAAATATCATTGAAAATTGCGAAAAAAAGCGAAAATTTTTGTGCTTGAATTGAAACGCATTCTCTGGCAAGAATCTTTAGCAATCAGACACTCAAAAGAAAAGATGATTTCAAAAACCTATTTTTGGGGCAGAAAATTACAAAAAATCTGTTACTGTACTTTTTTCAGCTCGTCAATATAAGCCGAATGGTGGGTCTAACTGTTGATTATTCCAAGTTAGTAATAAAGTTTATTATAAACTGGATATCAGGGGTGACCATTCGGGCATCGGGAAGTCGGGGAAAACGGACAATTTTCGGGCAAAATGTGTTCGGCCGGGCATTCGGACGGCTCAGCCCCTTTAATTTGGCCGGGCAAAAGTGGGCTTTTCGGGCATTTCGGCAAGTTCGGCACTTTCGGGGAATTCAGCGCTTTCGGGCAGTTGGTCAAGCCCGCGCCGAGGAAAATTTTTAAAATTCGCATTCTTTACAACTAATTTTGCTCTCTTGCTCCTCTAACTGAATCAAAAGCCTTTCGAAACTTATTTTTCTAGCCCTAATCTATTGAAAATTCCATCACCAGCTCGACCGGGCATTCGGACGGCGCAACTCTTGGCCATTGATTTCGGCCGGGCATTCGGATGCCCAATCGACGATTTCTTGCCCGAATGGTCACCCTTGCTCGATAGGAGATGAGATCATCTTCGATTCTAGATAAGCCCTGTTCATAAAGATCATTCTGATCATTCAAAAATAGAGGATTATCTACAGCACTTACAATAAAAAAGTGTTTTCCGGGGTAGGACCAGCTTGATAACCAGTCAATCCTTGGATTTATGGAGAGTTAGACCCACCATTAGACTCGTCTTGACAAGACTGAGAAAACTTGAATTTATAACGGCATCAATAATGCCCCTCTCCAACTCTTTGATAAAGAATCTTCCGAATAGCAAAGTCGCTTGCTGTGCGAAAATTTATGCGAAAATTTGGGATTTTTTGCGAAGCGAAAGCGAAGCGAATTCTGCTCTCCAGTGCGAAGCGAAGCGAAAGCGAATTCGCTTCGCTTCGCATCGCTTCGCAATATAGCGAATTCGCACTGCGAATTTAGACCCCTGCCCTAACCCTAACCCTAATGATTCCCAACTTGGAAAAATCTAAATTTAAAGTTCAGCCGGCTCTTTTGGAATAATTAAGATAAATAACGTATGGTATGCTCGCTGGGTTATTCACTTCTCGGTTGAGTTACTCCACCCACGTGAAGTTGCGTGGTGGAGGCGCTTCTCCAGGCTTTGCTCCAGCATCTGGGCGCCAAGTTTAATTGTATCCCTTTAAAATTCTTTATTTAACAAAAACACGAGAGATAACTAGAAGAAGAATTTTACAAAGAAGATCTTGGAGCTTTCAAGAACCTTCTTAGTTTTCATCCTTTTTGCCAAACCAAACGTACAATTACAAAAAGGTCTGGCCGTAGGCTAACTGTCGAGCAGAATGGAATTTCAAGGGGAGAGGAAATCACGAAGATAATACCATATTAAATTAAATTTACCAAACAGGGTCTCAGTCAGAGAAAGAGAAGGTTTGAATAAGCGGGCATATAAGCTGGTAATCATCGGCCCCACTCACACGCGCGGAACGAGGCGGTACTTCAGATAGGCAAATTTTGTTGAGCTTTTTTGAAGAGCTTGAATAAACAATTTTGCTTAGAAATATAGAATAATTTCTGTATAAACCTGAAGGGCAGGCATTCAGCTTGAAATTGCCCTACAATTTAGTCCTTCTGAAAAAGTTATAATTGAATAGATTCAGTTAAACTTATCATAAGCTCTTGTATACAACTTATAAGTAGATCAAGGTGTCAGTCTTTTTTAATTCTCGATTGAAATGATCTCTTTGCTTCTCTCAAAAATACAAAACTACAAGATAATAATGGACAATAGATGGAGACAATAGAAGTGCCGCGTTGGCCGCAATTTCGACAAATTCTAACGCTGAGCAAATTCTCCCCCTTCCCCTCCGTTCCTGTCCAGTACACACCACTTTGTCGCTTTCCTAATTAATCCCTTTTGATACGGCTCATTATGAAACATTTTCGAATTGAATTGACGATTCTCCCAAAGAGAGAGAGAAAAAACACTTGAAAAAAGCGCCCACAAGTTCTTTTCAAAAAGAGAAAGATGGATCAATGAATGTTCGAACTTCGAACTTGAATTTTGCGAAAAAATAGAGAAAGAAAAAATTTTAATTAAAAAATTAGTTGAACAAAAAAGTCATCTTTATTTCTCAATTTTGACTGTATTTGACATTTGATTTTGCACTGTGGGGAGCCGTGATTCGGAGATCTTTGTCTAAAATTAACTCCAGGCTGATTTAACTGATCTCCTTTCCCGCGACTCTTTTTAGCTTATTATCTTAACGAGAGGAAACTCAAAATAACATTTTCACAATGCGAAATTTCGGTTTTCAGAAATGCGCTAAAAACGAAATGGCCCAGAACGAAACGCAAAATAACGAAAAGGACGAATTCGCCGACAGAATAAATTCTCAGTCCGATGAAATCGAAAAAATCCAAGCCAGAACATTTACGAAGGCTCTTAATTCCGCGGCGGTAAAAGACCAGCCGATTGACAACTTATTCGAAGATCTGCGGGATGGAAAACGGCTGCTGAAGATTGTTAATTTTTTCACCACTTCAAAACTCGTAAGTTACTGGAAGATAGTACAGTATGACCAGGAAAAAGGTCAGACTTGCTCTAAATCTGTCAACGCGAGTTTTATGCTCTCGCGATTTTTTTCTTCGTTTTATGAATATTTGACAACGAGTACTGTGGATTTTCTGGCTTTATTCTTGTTTATTTAGATTATTCATTTGATAAATTAAGAATTTGCCAACGTCTTTGCATCAGGTGAAGGGAAAAAAACTGATTGACGAATCTTCCCACGTGATTTGAATGGGAGCCCTTGATTTTAAAAATTAATGAATAAATAAATTTATTTTTTATTCAAAAATTCATTCAGAAAATCTTTGATTCAAGAACACATAAACGTCTGATTCAAAAGTCACTTTTGCTAATACAGTATAATTACAGAAAACCTGACAGTACATTTAAGAAACCCGAGCGAGGCTCATCAAATATCCACTCAAAAACAAACGTAAATAAATGCCTCGATACCCTGGAAAAGAATCAAGTCGAGTTTGTCAACATTCAAGCGGCCGAACTAGTCGCCGGAAATGAAAAGATCACTCTTGGAATCGTATGGACAATTTTACACCACTTTCAGGTACACTTTATTTTTCAATTGAACTTGATTTTGCAGAAGATAGTTTTTTTAACCAAATGCTGATTCACGGCTTAGATCCAAACCAGGTCCTTTTTTATAGAGCTAATAATTAGATTCTTTGATGTCCGAAATGTCCTCTTGAAAAAGGTCATTGTTGCGCGTTTTAAATAGCCCGTTCCTACTGATTGATAAGTCGAGTACTTCGGCGGTTGTTGCCACTCTTCTAAAATTATGATAAGGTTTAAGGCAGCGAAAAGCCTTATCAAGCGAAACTCAAGAGCTTAAATTATCAATAATTATGCTTCAACAGCCAGCATTGCTCGAATTTCGGCGTAACTTACGAATGGCTCTTCTAGTGCTAGAGCCGTCAATAACCGTAACGGGACTCTCTTTTCGTGAAAATATTTTTCTTGGTGCGAGGGGCGGAAACTGATAAGAGGGACGTTCCATTTTTTATCAGAAGACTCGGCCTTACTTCAAAAGAAAAAAGTCCGCCTTTCCTTCCTGCCAAACGAGCTATGTAAAGAGCCATTGAATGAATTCATCAAGCTCTCTCCATCTGATGATCTTCTTGGAGGGTGGATGTTACTTTGTGGGTAATTATGATATGACTCCGCGGCCGAGTGATACGGGTAATTTTCGGATAAGCGTCTTCCTTGATTTGAAGGAGAAGGAGGGTGAAAATGATGCTCTGATTTTTCTTCTTTTCTTCGTTTCGGGGAGATTTTTCGAGATCTAAATCGATCCATGAAATTAAAAATCAGCGCTAAAAACGCTGAGAAAGCCTTACTCTGGCACTCAAACTAACCTCGGAAATCCTGCAGTAATGCACTGCTGAAAACAGCTCATTTCTTCCGCTTGTGCCGCCCTAGAAAATGCGATTATCCCCTTTTTGTTCTCTCCTAAATTTCATACTCGTGGTGGATTCTCTGAATCTGTTGCGCTAAGTAAACGGCTATCTTATCCATCAGGCTCACAAGGACGTCCATGTTCAAGAGTTGCGAGTTAGACAAATTCAATTTTGGCAATTTGCAAAGCTGGCAAATTTCATTCAATTAAAGGAGCACCAGGATATGTTGAAGGACGCCCACTTGGCTTTATTTTTACAAGTCGAGAAGAGTTTTTTCTAATTAGAAACTCAAATTTCAGATTCTGAACGCTGACTAGGCCAAAACTAAGCAAAAAAATCATAAAAATCAAAATTTTCACAATTATCATTTTTCACGATTTCAGGTCAAATTGGCGATGAAAAACGTAGATTTGGACGAAGATCATGCCCCAGACGTAATTCTCATGGCTTGGGTAAAACGCCAAATCCACCAATATGTCCTCCCGCTTTACAACTTCAAAAGCTGCTGGGTAGATGGGAAGATCTTCGTCGCCATCTTGTTGAACAACGGCTTACTGGAGAAGGAACTTACTTGGGAAAAGTTATGCGACCTTTCGGCCGAGCAGCGGATTCAACTAGGCAAAGGTTACGTAATTACGCAAATTCCTCAGCTGCTTAATCGAAAACTTGAAGGTTCAACTTAAAATTTTGCAGCAGAAGTTTTTTCATTTTACCGTTTCGTAATCAAAAATAAAGCTTTCACGGTGGCACAAGAGCGATTGAAAATTGCGCCCATTTTAGAAGTCGCCGATTTGATGGAAAAGCCCGACTCGAAATGCATTCAGCTTTACGTCAGTTATCTGTACGAGGAGCTTAAGGATTACGACGCAGAAGGCTCTATCTCGTCCCGGTCCAGCCTAAAAAGCCTCGTCCAAACCGTAATGATAAGCCGGACGCTGGATGGCGCGAACAAGCTCAAAGAGCAAGCTCACCAGCTGATTTTGAAAATTCGCGAAATCAAGAAAAACGCAGAAAGTGTTAATCTGGAGGATGATTTGGAAAGAGTCGAATTGCTACAAAAACTGCACGATGAAAATGAACTGAGAATCCGGGAAATCGAAAGTCTGCGGGACAACGTCGAGTCTATCAGACGAGATTTGAAGGATGAAATCTCCGCCGAGCTTTGGGAGCTCTTCCGGGTCACTGCTCACGTGGTGGAGGCGCTGCAGCAGAGATTAGGAGTTCTAGTGATGGACAAGTTCCAAGGGGTGACCGATCAGTGGTACGAACAGATTAAACTGATTGGAGAAAAAGTCGAAAAATTAGGAACTGGTTGATTGATTTTCAGTAACGATGTTTCTGTAAGGAGTTGTTTTTCGGTGCCTTATCAAAGAAAAAACAAGTCACACCTGGGTACTTCTTGAAAAACGTGTACCATGATACTGAAATCCCACGACTAGATGTTGAAAGATCAACCGGATCAAAGATTTTTCGCTTGAAAACAGCGAAAGTTTGCTAAATGCTCTTCTTGAGTTGAAAAATGCAGTCGATTCTGTAGCCAAGATTATCGATGATTTCCCCATGCATTCGTCGACAGAAGAGGACCGCAAGGCCGTGATGGCCGTTGTCAATGGAAGAAACGAGGAAATTGAAAAGAAGATCAGCGGGTTGAAAAAGTTTGAAGAGGCCAAGGCGAAATTCGAGCTGACTGAGGTGAGATTTGGAGAGGTAAGGGGAAATGCTCGTTGTTGAGTGGAGAATTGTAACTAACAGAAAATTTCTCATGAGTCTTACATAATTGTCTACTAGACATTTGTTACTGTAGTGGAGATTTAATTAGATGTCCTTAAATTAACTCAGAACTGCTCTTATCGTCCTCGAAGGCGCGAATTAGCAGCTTTAGCCTCATTCGAACTTGACGTCTTTTTTGCGGAAGGCTAACCGCGGCCCAGGTTGAGGGGTTAATTCTACCGCGTAAATTTTAATGCCGAAGACACCCAGCTTGTCCTGATTTATTGTTTCAACACTTTTCAATAACGCCATGATCACTTTCTAATTTTCGCTTTTCCTCTCTTTTTTTCGAATTACAAATTCGTAATAAGAGGTAATTTCGTGATATTTTTCAAGCACAGAAGATTGACAGCCCTGAGTCGGGTCTTTTGATCGATTATGTTTTATGGCGATAAACTCACGCCGAGTTTGAGCTTGCTGATAAGGGCAGTACACCGAGGCAAGAAGAAAAGTTCTAGAGACGTGTGCCTTCCGGAGTTCCAGCTGTCATTAGACTCACACCTTTTCTTCAATCTTTTTTCAAAGGAACTATTTTAGGCTCAGCTCGAAAAGGCCTTCCAAAGAGATAAAGAAAGGTTCACTTCATTACTACAGGAACAGTGCTTAAAATTTCCTTCATCTGGTGACGTTTTATGGTAAACTTTGATCGTCATTAAAGCTGTAGGGCATAATAGATTAAGTGTTTTATGAACAAAAATTTATGATTAAAAGTTCTTATCTTTACAAAACAAAGTGACTAAGTTATGGGTGCAGTCTGCCAGAATTAACATAATTAAACGTGTCTACCAGACAAATACGACATATTTGCCACCGTAAATTATAAACTAGATTTTTATAGAGTTAAATTTTTCGAAGAAAAAAATCTGAAAATCGTGAATATTGAGCAATATTTCTTGGCAAAAAAGACCGTGCTAGAAAGTTAATTAAGCGCTGACAACAGGAGTATAATGACTGCGCTTACGAGCTGCTAGATCTTTTGGACGATCCCCGAGACATCAGCTTGATTTCCAAAGTCAAAAGCAAAATCGACTACTGGAACCAAATTATGGAAAACCAGGTAATTCCATCTTCTCTCTACTCCTCCTTTTTATTCCTTCTGAATTTCCTCGCTATTCTATCCTATTTTCTCAAAGCAACCTCTTTCCTCCTCCTCTTCTTCCTCCTCGCTAGAATCTTATAACTCCGATGAATCGCTGCCTTCGGACCTGGATGAGCTCATGAGAGCGGAGAAATATGGCGGATCAAGGGATCTTCTGCACGGATCTATTGACTTGTTGACTGATGGAGGCTCACTTCCGCCACCACCCTCACCTTCGCCAAAGGAAACAGTTTATTTTTGATCATTTAGGGTTAGGGTTAGGGTTAGGTTGTCTGTATACTCAGTACAAGTTTTGGATTAATGAAAAATTGTTAAAAGCTTGTTGAGCCAGGTAACTTCGAAAATGTCGACCCACGTGACGTCGAAGTAATATTCCCACAGGAAAGGAACCAAAAAAATGCCCAAGTTTTGGGTTTAATTCGAGTTCGGGTTAGCTCAGTTTATGAAAAAAAGGACTGGGGAAGTGTTAGATTCCTGAACTCAGAGGCACCACATCGCACTCAAACCCATGGTCTCATTGGTCGCGGAAGAAACTGAGGACCAAGTGCGAGCAATGCAGGAGACATCCGCGTCTGAAACAGAAGAATCGCCACGACAAACGCGCAAGACTTCGACTGGTAGTCTAAAAGGAGGACACGTTCGGAGGGGAAGATCCTCCTGTGGAAGCATCATGGAAGAGAAGGAAAATGATGATAACAATCAAAGGTAATATTTTTTTAATAGAAAAATTGTTAATTTAATTGCTATAAATCTTCAGCATAAAATTATCCGAATGAGTCATTGAACTAGAACTGAACTCATACTCATTTAACCTGACCTCGGGAACCAAAACTTTCATAAAAAGTAAACATTCGCTTTGTTAGCTCAACTTCACTGACATAACTGTACTTTCATGTCGGATTGGAGAGAATTTTATAGAAAGTAGAGAATGCTTGCAATTTCACGAAGAGAGTTAACTTGGGGAAATATTTTACGAATTTTAAGTATTCCAGTTGGTGTCGCCTTTTTGAGTCTTTTCCTATTTTTCAGGTATAATTTTGCGAAAATTTCAGTTGAAATAATTTTCACTAAAAGTATCTCACTGATAATCAATAAAATACTGTTTTCTAAAGGAATTTTTAAGGGCCCTTGATCGAAGCTCCCCAAGATCCGACGATTTTCAGCCTGGAGAGCCAGCTCCTCAAGAGAATGAACAGCCCGAAAGCCAAGATAACTCAAAAGTTGAAGAAAAGTCGCAAAAAGAAGAGCCCGAAAGCAATGATGAAATTACCCAAGAGACATTGAACGACATTTCTAGTGGCGAATTCAAGCTGAACTTTACGCCAAGCTATGATATTGTCCGAGAAATGGAGCTCAAAGAAGCCTTGGCGAAGCGAATTGATGAAGCAAAGCGCGTTCAGGAGGACAACTACGGGTAAGTAATCAGCTGTTGAAGGGCAGATGCGAAGCTCAACAGATTCGCACTTTGAATCTCGTAATTCAACCCCCGCTTAGCGAAGGTTAACTTCTAAAAATCACCAACTGAAGGTTTTAGCAGCAATTTTCGCTGTGGCTTTTAAATTTTTAATAATAATTTATAATCAATAAAACAACAAGCCGTCATTTTAAACATTTTGATAAATGTTCCCATAGATCATCATTCTTACTAAAAATTCTAGTGAAAGAAGCCTCTGGAGCGTCTCAGAAAAGATCACCTGGCATGAAGGGTTCATCGCGCGTCGCGCAAACCAGGGAAAGAGGCTTGAAACGAAAGTTGAAGGAGTGATAAGCTCGCTGTGCATTTGAAATTCATTAAAAGCCTTTTCGGAGGCTACTGAGGCATTTGTTGCGCTTGAGAGAATCAACAACCGAAAAATGGCAGAAGAAGAAATCAAGACTGTCGCTGAGAAAATCCTCAAGCAGAAGAGCGCTTCTGAGATTGTCAAAACCCCAGAGACAGTTCGAAAGATTTCAAGAGAAGAAGTTGAGGACGTTTTCAAGAGTTTGAAGAGGCAAAACTCGCAGCCAGAGAAACAGCCATTGGTCGATCAAGTTATTGATAACATTGTGGACGATATTGTCAAAGAAAAATCGAAAACTGAGGATGAAGACTTTGATATTTTAGACTTGGACGAAATTAAAGGTAGAATCGAGCTTGATTTTCAATTTTTTAACTAAATTCAGCTGCGACGGAAGCATCTCAAAAAATCGAAGAAAACTTGCCAACAAAATCTCCTTCTCCAGTCCTTGTTCAAGCTCCGAAGAACATGGAGGATTCTGGAATAAATTTACCTGACATCGTTCCTCAAGAGCTTCCGAAAGAACCTCCACAGCAAGAAGATCTTCCAATGGAGGATTCTGGTATTGGATTCACCGAATCTACTGAAAATGTTAAAGAGAGCATCTCAGAGCGTCCACCTTCACCGAAGTCTGAAGAAATCGCAATGCTGGAAGGAAAGATCGCCCAGCTGGATGAATCCGTTGAACTAAAAGATGAGCTGACAGATTCATCGCTCGATCTTTATGGCAACTTCGATATGATGGCCTCGCCGACTGTAAAATCGCCCGTACCTGCCGTCGACTACGACCTATTCGGCTCGATCTCTCCGCCGGCAGGTTTAACCGCAGAAACCATGGCACAGCCGCGTAAATCGGTGGCGTTCAGCGATCACGTGCAGGAGAAAACGATCTCACCCGCGCCTTCTATGAGCTCACCTGAGATAATCGACGCTGAAGATTACTTTCTCAAGTCAGGAGATGAAAAAGCGAGACTGGAAGCGGAACTCGATGAGCTCATGGATGGATTTACGGAAGAAATCGAGAAGAGGGAAAGGATGCCTGATCAGAGAGATCTTTTAGGAAGCGTTTTATCAAATCTGAGATATTTTTAGAGGAACCATAATAATAAGAGTTTCATGTCTTTATAGATATTTTAGAAGAATTTTGTCTAATGGAAAAAAAATTCTTTTTAAAAAGCAATTTCCGTCGATGAAACGAATTTTCCATTAATCATAAAATAAAACGCTTAAAAGGAAACTTCAAGATCGACTCTCCAGAAGCCCAAGAAATCGACTCATCCGATTCTGCGAAAGAATACTTTCCTGTTGAGCTGTCAAAGAACCAAGTTTCATCACCTGTTGAAAAAACAGAAGCTGACGAAAGGAAAGCGATAGATACAGAATGCGATTTGGAAGCGGTTTCCAAATTAGAAGAGCCCTCCCAGAGCATTTCCCACGATGCAGATGTAATTAATACAGATCCACTTGCGAGCTCGTTATCTGAAGAAGCCGAGAGTGAGAAAGTGACGCCGGCCGAAATTGAAGAGAAGCTCGATGGTTCTGAGAAAGAGATAGAAACCATGCCAAGTGAAATTATTGAGGACACTCACGAAACTGTGGTTGAATCTTCAGTCGAAAAATCTGCTAATGACGAAGTTAAAAACGAAAATAAAGAACAAGAGAACCAAAAAGAGATTCCATTGGATACTCAAGAAGAAGTTGGCCTTGCCGAACAACCAGAGCTCATGGAACCCACAGCTGATAGAAATGCACAAGAAGAAATTTCCGTGAAAGAGTCAGAAAATGCTGAGCCTGCGCCTTTGGCTGAAGAAGGTGAAATGCTAGAGAACGACCATCAGCCACAAGTAGCCGTTGTTGAAGAACAATCTGTCGGAAATAGTGATGAAAAACCTGTCGAAACCGAAGAAAAATCTGAGCCTCGAGAAGATCAAACTTTGGAAGCTCAAGAATCTGTTTGTAAGGTGGATTGGACCGAAGAAAAAGTTAAAACTGAAAAAACTGTAAACGAAACTGCTGAAATTCCAGAGCAATCAGAGGATTTATCACCTGAAGCTATTGAGCTCCAACCTGACTCACCTCATCTGCAGGAGTCATTAGAAGACACAGTATCTCCAGCAGCGGCGGCAGATGATATTACCGTAGCTTCAGATCGATCGGCGGCAGAAATTGAATCTTTTGCGGCTTTGACAGTTAGTGAGATCATACAGTCTGCGCAGAAAGAAGCCAAATCTTATCATGAGGCTGATGAAAGCGAAATTCGCGAAAAATGTGATGATCCCGTCGCAATCAACGAAGAGGCACCTGCTCAGGTTCACGACTCAGAGAAAGAAACTAACCGTGAAAACATGGAAGACTCGACACCAGAAATTTCCCCAGAAAATGTCACGGAGAATGAAATCAAGGAAGAGAAACAAAGAGAAAAGTTCGACGTCCCTCCAAAATTCAAAGAAATTCCATTTGAGCCAGTAAAAGAAAATGAAATCGAAGTTGTCTTGAAAAAGGAAGGCGAAAAAGAATTGCCTGAATTCGTTGTCGAAAAGGATGAGCCAAAACTGGAAGAACTGAAATCTTCTGAAGCAGTTTCTTTTGGAGAAAACCAGAAGATCAGATCTGAGAAAGTTCTGAGCTTCGCAAGCTACAGAAGCGAAAGTACTGAAGGTAAGTCAACTTGTTCTGTGAATATCGGAAAAATCTTATCTATAATTAGTAGTGCTCACTGTTATTACTGCCTGAAAAATATATGTTTTTATTTGTTTAAGGGTAAAACATGAAATCGGCGCGGCGTGGCTGCCCGTTCAGCGCCCCGCCGTGACCTATTTTTCAGAGGCCCGTCAAATATGAACGGAGAGAGTATTTTTCATAATTCTTTTTGCCATATGATCATCAAAGCCTGCACTTTGAAAAAGGCAGTTTTGAAAAGAATCGTGAGCGTAGAAGTATGAAAAAATGGGATGACTTGCTCAAAGTCTATCTCCTCCAACAATTTTCGTCCGATTTTTTCCAAATTAGAACCATTTTGTAGAGCTCCGTCTACTCTACAAATTCGTAGACTAACTTTTTAAATTTTTATTTTACAGATTTTTAGACGGAGCTATGAAATGAGCGCTATCACTCCGCGGCCGCCTTTTTCACACGCTGCGCTCCTGCTTATGTCTTTTTTCGAGGGAGCGCTCATTTCCAAGCTCCGTCTAATAATCTATGAGATTAAAATTTAAAAAGTTAGTCTACGAATTTGTAGAGTAGACGGAGCTCTACAGAATGGTTCTAATTTGGAAAAAATCGGACGAAAATTGTTGGAGGAGATAGACTTTGAGCAAGTCATCCCATTTTTTCATACTTCTACGCTCACGATTCTTTTCAAAACTGCCTTTTTCAAAGTGCAGGCTTTGATGATCATATGGCAAAAAGAATTATGAAAAATACTCTCTCCGTTCATATTTGACGGGCCGCTGAAAAATAGGTCACGGCGGGGCGCTGAACGGGCAGCCACGCCGCGCCGATTTCATGTTTTACCCTTAAATATACTTATGGTTTCTCATCTTGAAGATCATACCAACTCATCCAGCCTAATCATTTTCCTATCAAGTCATCAGTGTTAAAATTGAACTTTTAGTGCAGCAGACTGTTATCACCACCCCTGCAGAGGCCGATCCAGTCGTTTCCTCAAAAGAGGAAGAAATAAACTTAGAAGAAAATTTGCAAGAGATCCCCAAAGAAACAAAAGAGATGAGCTCGCAAGGCTCGATTCAGCAGCTCGTCAGCTCTTCTGGCGATTTTGACGAAGAAAATGCATCAGAAACCGCAATTGACATACAGGTTACAAATGACGCAAAAGAGGATGAACTTTCGGATGCTGAAACGACGTCTCAATCGACCATAAAAGCAAGTCCTTCAATGACAACTATGGACTCTGTTGACGTGTCTGGGTCGTACGACCCTGATTCAAGCAATACTAACGCCGTTTCTGACAGATTCAGGAAAAATTTATAAATAATAATTGGGCTGAAACACATTTGCCTGCTTTCAAGACGATGGACCAGACAGCTATGATGTCTATAATAGTCATACAGTAAAATAATCTCTTGCTAACTGTAAATTTTATCAAAGTGTTTACTGTGAGCCTGACGAGGTCATTTCGGAATCGAAAGAACTTCAGATGGAGGTTTCTACGACAGAAATCGAGGTTACAACTGAAACAACGATCACAGAAATGAAGCGTTCCGAGTCAAGTGATACTCTTCGATTCACAGAAGAACACACTTCTATCAGCGTGAGCTCGCATGATCTTGATGCAGATCTTGAAAAGAGTGAAACACCCGCTTCAGGAAAGAGCTGAGAAAGACCTTGAACTTTTCAATCAGAAAGCTGTGAGTTTTGATTTACACACACCGCAATACAGTGATCTATGAAAAAGGCAACTGTTCACAGCTCCTCAACAGTTGGCGACGAGGGCAAGGTTGACGAGCCTGTTTCAGTCAGCGCTGACGCCCCCGCGGCGCCGGAAATGAGTGAAAATAAAGAGAAACAAAGCGGTGGCCAATGGAATTCCGGCTGGGAAGGTTGGGAAGACGATGAGTGGAAAGAACCAGTCAAGGTCGAATTCAAACAGCAGAACATCCAGGAGAGTTCCATTGCCGGAACACAAAGCGCAGAAGATAATGAACAAGGAGTGAATGTTTCTGGAAATATCAGTACTGATACAGAAGCTGGCTATGAAACAGCCACTTCTGGTGGCGAATATGACACGGCTGTGGAGGATAATAATACTTCTACTGATGCGTTTTATTCTTGCACGGAAGGAACTGATGTCGAAGGAATGGGTAAAAAAGAAAATCGGATACGGGAATAGAATATTAGAAAAAGGCCAATTTCGGAAAACCCCGAAAAGACAATCGAGCTGAAACTCCAACGAATGCGGATGTGCCTCACGTGGGAAACATTCCCCATTTTGGCGAGTTCAGTTTCGCCTCCTCGCAAACTGTTCAGGAGATTTCTTCACAGGAATTCGCAAGTTCCCAAGATAGCGTTTTACAGTCTCAAGAACAAGATCCACCAGAAGATGGTGCGAACCTGAACGAGTTCAATTTCCGCGATGGTTGCACGATCGTGGAGACTGTTGCTAAAAAGGACACCGTAGAAGTGTTCGATCCTCAAGGCCAGTTTTCACAAAACGGCAACCAAACTTAATTTGGTTAGCGTTTTGTCAAACTGGATTAGAAGGACGATGGTACGAGGCGCAGATGGATCTGTCCAAGATCGAAGAAATCTCTCCTCCTCTTTCTAACTCTCCTCTTTCTTCTCCTAAACCTCTTCTCAGAGAGACTGTCTCTAGTCCAGTCTTGATCAGTAAAGGGGAATCGACTTCAGATTTAATTCAGGAGCAGATTTCTGAGGAACAAGTTGAAGAAGAACAGCAGCAGAAAACTCCATCCCCAGAACCTCTACCCATAATTGAACCCGAACCCGAACCGCAAGCAGAGCCAGAGCCAGAAACAGAGCAAGTTCAGCAAGAAGCTGTGCCAGAAGCCCAGGAACCCGAGAAACCAGTAGAACCAGAACCTCAAAAAGAAGTTACCCCAGAGCCCGAGCAAGAAAATGTTGACCCTCTTCCTGAAAACGTCAAGCTTTTGGAAGACAAGGAAGAAATCATCATTGCCGAAAAAGTACTCGACACAGAATCATTGAAGATTGATGTCAACTCTGTCACTGCAAGTGTGACAACTTCGTACGAGATAATTGATGTCAAGAAAGTCATCGTTGACATGCCTGTCGCTACTCCTTCGCCGATTCAGCAAATTGAGGAAGAAGCCAAACCTTCAACTTCTGAAAGCTCTGCATCTGAGGAATCAGAGGCCGAGTCAGTCAAGGCCAAGTCTGCCTCTCCTGAACCCGTTAGCATCACAGTTTCCTCCAAATCCTCTGAAATCAACGAAGAGTCAACAATGGTCGTTTTGAATGTCGAAACTCGAAAATCAACGGGCGAGCTGCGCTTCACCGACACGCCAACTACTGTCACTTCCGAGGCGGAATCAACTTCCGGAAAGGTGGAGCAGATTGCTGACGAAGCAGAACAAATCATTGTCGCTGAGAAAATCAAAGATACTGTCACTGAGCAAATCGTTCAATCAAGCCAAAGCGATGATAAAACCACCGAGTAAGTTTTATGAATTTATATTTTTTTCTAGCTTCTAAGTAAAAAATGCACCATTTTTATCAAAGAGCACACAGGTGTTAGAATCATCACTTGCCAAATGGTACAGCCTTATCTATATTTTCCTTGGCTCGGCGCTTCACTCTGAGCGTTTCCCGGAGCGTTGACGGATCGATCACCCCCGCGCTGAGAAAATGACCTGTCACTGCTTCCGCTTTTCTCTTTTCCGCTTCAAAGCGCTAGAAAATGAACAGTAAGACATATTTTTCGCATATTTTTTTTATTTTTTGGATAGCTCAAGACGTAACAGACAGAAAATGGGAAGGAAATATGAGTAGTTTTTGGGGTACATCGATAAAGAGCGATAGAATGACATGTGAAGTAAGGGGCTTGAGAAAGTTTTTCTTTTCGTTGTTTTCAATTGTTTTTCGGTCAGTAGCAAACACCGGTGAAACAAACACGGCTGAAGCGGCGGCAACAGGGCTTCTCCGATGGGAGGAACTTCACCTGGCTGAGTCTAGGTTGGAAAACAAGTACAGAGGGCCGGAAACGCCCCGCGCATCCCCTTAGGAAACACTCGACAGGTGTCAAGTTAAATTTAGCGCGATATTAAGGGTACACGCCGCCTATTTAAAAAGATCGCGATTCACGAATTTTTCATCCTCAAGACAAGATGAAAAATTGTGTGAAAAAGAGGCTAAGCCCGTAAACCCTTAGTGGGGATGAATAATTAAGGGTGTCCGTCCGGAAGTAGGAGATTTTATGAGAAGCTCAGCCGGTTCCCACAGATTTCGGCAATACTTGGCCATTCGTTTCATCCTCGGCGGCATTCGGCGGCCAGTTTCATTTTCCGAGTAACCCCTTTCGCCTGAAAATTTATTATGAAAGGGGAAATTTAGAAGGAACTTCTTACTTTCAACTTGTATTTGAAGCAGATCTTGGCAGCTTTTGCAAGTATCATACGTAACTCCTTCGCAAGTATCTCCTCTGAGCAATATTTTCATTAAAAAGCTCAAATTTACTAACTAAACCTTTTCCGGAATCGCCTTTTCTTGAAGCTCCGTGGGTGGCCCACTTGAAAAAGCAACAACAACCCTAAAAATTTTTATTAATTTGGAGGATAGCCAAGGTCATTTTTCGCGTTCAAGGACCCTCCACCAGTGTTTGGCTCGGAGAAAAATTTCCGGATTAGGGAAATTCCAAATTCAGCTTTTGAAATTTTAAAGTTATCCTATCATATTTTGCGTATTCATATGCGTTTATCCAACATCAAAAAATGGATGGAGATTATTGTTTAATTTCGGCTTCACTTTAAAGTAAAATTCTTTAAAATTATCAAAGTACAGACACTTATGGTTTCTATAGGTAACTCCCTTAATTTGCTTTTCAATGACTCCACATTGTGGGGTCCACAACTCGCACTTAAAAATTTCGGAAGTCGTTCGCGGTAAATAGCATAAAAATTTGACAGGTTCCATTTCCGCCGAATTCCGATTTCCCACAGATGTCTTTCCTTACCTAATACAAATTTATTCAAAATCATCGTCTTCAAATAAACATGTTCAAAAATAATCTCTGTCTAAAAATTTTCTGAATGCGGTTAGGTAGATGAAAAGTTTAAGGGGCTTGGGCTATATTAAATCCCCCCAATTCAAGTTCCTAGTGAAATTTTTAACCCTCGCGCGCCACCCTTGAAACCAAACTTTGCGCGTCTTTTGACGCCATCTATGGCAGATTAATGCGCTTTTTATGAAATATAAATAACATTACTTGGCATATTAATAAGTTCGGGTCTAATTTTTAAGGGAGTGCTCGAGTTTTTCAAAGAAAATCGTGGAATGTCATTATGGCTAATGTGCAAATGTCAGGGATTGTTTGATCGGCTCTTGAAGTTCCGATCTCAGCGATAGATTCTTTTTGCAGCTTTTTTTCTCCAGGAAAAGATCTTCTTGAAAGATTGATTATATCGTATCAAAGGTTTGATATGATACTGAGTTCTTATACAGCTATTTGAAATAACCACTTCCAACTCTTTTGGCTACCTTTGTCTCTCCCTATTTCCAGCCTTCTCGTCTGTTTTCTGATAGAAACAGGACATATCTTTATGATAGAAAATCAATAAGCCCGGAAGCCATTTTTCAGTGTGCCTTAAAATCGCTTGGCTTGTGCCCAAGTACTTCCGTTCATGTCCATCAATGGCCGTGATGTTCGGCTTTTTTATTGAAAAATTTTGAACGCTTAGAACTTGACTCTTTTACAAGCGACCAAAAAGTCCTCGGTGTATTTTTTCTTTATTCGAGCGTTTACAGTGAATCTTCTATCGTTTGAATAATTGTCATGGCCTCGTGACGTTCCATAAATCGGCTCGCTCGAGCGCCATTAAATTTCTAGTGGAGTTGCTCCAACACACCTGCGGGCAGAGCACCAGAAGGCACGGAAGAGGAGCTCTGATTCATTTTTTTTTCTCTGCTCCGTGTTGTCAAATAGCAAACATCAAACGTTTGAGCAGCAAAAGCGGGCAAGTTATTTGAGTTATTGCAAAAAGTAAAAGAAAAATTCCTAAAGTAGACCTCTGCGGCGGAGAAGTCCTGAACCCGCGCGAGGCGAGAGAGTTAAAATGGAAGGAGATAGAAAGGCATTCAGAGACATGCAGAATACGAGTCATAGATTGGAAGGGATAGCCAGGTACTTTTAAATGAAGTTCAATCGACCCCAAGAATTCTCAATTTCTAAACGTTTGTTCTTTATAAATAGGCTTTATTGTGCAAATAAATATATAAAAATTATATAAAAAATGTCGGTTGATAAAGGGCTTATCCTTTTGAAAGCCCCTCTTTATTTTTTATAGTACTTTGAAATGACCTATCCTTTATACTGTCCCCACTGAGTAGCCCTAATTTAGCTAATGAGGTAGCTAAGTGCACCTAAATAAGGTGTACTGTAAGTGATAAAGACAGCTCGATCGATAAGAAAATGATCAATACTGCCGACTGCGCTTTTTTGTTGCTTCGAGTTCCACTGAGTTCTTGTTCATCCCCTCCAGCTTTCGAGAGAGGTATTGAATATAAAAAAAGATAGAATGAAAAGGTGAAGCTGTCGAAAGTGAGTGAAGCAGCTTACTTGAATAATGAGATGGAAAAGCGGGTTGAAATCGGCTATTGCCGCTTTTAAATCGATCTCGGAATAATTGCTTCCCGCTAATTCGGAGGACGGTCTCGCCTAGATCGTACCTTCCACGCGCCTCGGGCGATACTAAAATACTGCATTTTTACTAGTAGAGATGTATAAATCCGATCTTCTTTAGAACGAAAAAAGGTTTTAAGAGATAATTTTCAGTTGACCAATCAGATTGTCAGCGGAAGATAAAATTACGCCACCGCGTGAATTAAAATTTATTTTTTTAGTTTTCATAAGGTTTTGAAAGAGCTTAAATCTAATATGAATGATAAAAAATCGCCAATTAGGGGAAAAAGAAGAAGCGTGGCCTTGAAGTGACGCTAAGCGTCGGTATTTCTTCATTTGCGGGAGGAAAATCAATCTGAAATCGATGTGTACACCTAAATAGTGGTTTGCCCCCGCGTTCTCTGAACGCTTCATAACCACAGAACTTTCATATCAGATTGTCGCCAAGAGATATCATTATAAAACTCACTATTTTTGCCGGTAATTGCATCAGATGATAAATTATTGAATACCATTATTAATTTGTGCATTACTTTTTTTGCCGAGAAGCAGCAACTGATGAATGTTTAACGAGTGCTGGTCTACCGTGAAAACCGTTCGACGTGTTCCTTTTTTATATTTCATTTTTCAGAACGATCGAAGAAGAGGCTCGAGCGGCTTCGCAGTGGTGCCAGGAGATGCTCGACGACTTCGGCGTCAACGAATTGACTTGGACTAAGAGCAAAGCTGAGGAAGATCTAGAGAGCTTGAACAAGGCTTACAAGACGCTTGATGAGTTCAATACAGGAGGTAAGAGCACTTCTTTGGCATTAAGAGTGAATATCATCAATAGAGACATCATGCGTTTTCAACCCTTTTTTCTACGATAAATTGAGCGATAAGAGGATCTATATATCGAATAAACGCCGGTTGGGCCTTAAATATTAATCTGGCGAGAGTAACTTGTCGATATATAAAAATGATTTAAATATTCAGACGATTCCATCAGCGAAGCCACGAAGCGATGTCGAGATGCGCTCGAAGAAGCAATTCAAAAACTCAATGAATTGGTTGAGGATTTGAATCTATCCATCGATTATGAGCAAAAGCTCAAATTCCTCAGCGATGTAAATCCCATCCTCTTATCTGTCTGGATATTTACTGTATTCTAGTGGCTCGAAAAAGTGGAAAACCAGGTGTCAAACGAACCCTTCAACGTGACTGTGAAAGACCAGCTGGAGAAAAACATTGAAAAGTACGAGAAGTTGAACGAAGTGATTACTCAGAAAGAAGTGCTCGTCTCAGAAGTTATTCAGCATGGCGAGGAATTAGCTGACCGAGCCAAAACCAAACAGGAAAGGTCAAATCACCTTAGCAACAAATATATACTCGTTAGTTGTTACTCGACAGACTGACTAGTCAAAACACTTATCCAGGGCGATTATCTCGCGGTTCTCGCGCCGATATGGCGAGTTCTTCCTTGATTTCAATTCCCAAATAAGCAAAATATAAATTTCGACTAGAATAGTTTTCTTCAAAGAAAGAAACATTCCACAATTGAAATTCTTGGGATATGAAAAAGGAAAGTCTTAAAAATATACAGCACTGCTATTTTATCACTGCAAAGCTTTGACCTTTTGCTCAGGAAAGTTACAGAGCAGGTGTCTCCAGCCTCGACGCAGAGTGGAAGCGAGTCACGAAGATGGTCGATGAGCGCAAACACAAACTGTCCGAGTGGTCAGTATCGTTGCACAAATACGAGGAAGTTTACGTTGGCACAGTCAGATCCTGCGAGGATCTATCGCATGAGGTATCGAAGCTCGAAGAATCTGTTTTGGAAGGAACGCGGGATGGAAAAATGTAAATTTATGTAGCGCTAATCGCAATTAAACCTAGCTTTCACAACTGCTGCTTTACAACGTGACATTTTTGAAGGGGTTCACAGATGATTATTTTAGTTTGATTTTATTGGAGCTATTCAAAGTGCTCCCCTGGGGCCGGGCCTAGTTGAGCCCGGAGGCTTATGGAGTGACTTGTCACGCATTTCCTCACTTAAACTTAATTCCCATCGACTATATTTTATCTTTTCCATCCCTTTTTCTCAGAAGTCGAATTCGCCGAAATTATGAGCAGCATCGAAATTCTGAAAGAACAAATAGAGAACGTCAAAGCTGAAGCCGAAGCGATCATCGAAGATTTCGAAAAAACCGACAATGGAACGGACAAAGGCCAATTCCTCGAACTTGTCAACTCTGTTCCTGAGAATCTCAAAGCAGATTGTAAAGACTTGGATAAGCGACTTCAGCAAATCAAGACCAACCAAGAACTGTCCATCAAACTAGCAGAGAAAGGAAAGACTGTAATCGACTTTGTGGAGAAAGCAAATGCCGTCTTAGACTCTGATCGGCTACCAGTAAATCCAAATGAATTAGAGGAGCAATTAGACATGTACGACCGGCTCGATGCTGAACTGGAGGATTTGGAAGTAGTAGTCAAGATGATCTCCGATTGGTCTGTAGAAATCCAGAAAGGGCCTAACCCGAGTAAAAATGTGGACGACATGGAATCGCTCTTATCCGATCAAATGAGCAAGACTAAGCGATCGATTGAGAACAAAGCGCATATCTTCAAAAACCTTGTGGACAATTGGAAAGAGCTCGAAGATGCATTCGCCCTTGTAGAAGAGCGCAGCAACAGGATCAAGAGTGCACTTGAAGAGTCTGACGCGGATACAGTAAAACTAGCAGAGCTTATCGACGAGGCTGACATCAACAAAGAGCTCAACTCGATTCAAGAGATGATTAACGTCTTCCTAGACGGCAATATCATGAGCGAGTATCTTGAAGAGAAAGGACAGGGGATTTCCAGTAACATCAACTCTCAAATTGCAGAAGCTCAAAGAAAGATCAGAGCCAGCACAGAGGATGAAAAGAGCGAAGAGATTGAGCAATGGGTAGAGAGCAGTTCTCAAATGGTCCACAAAGCAGAATCACTTGGAGAGCTTCAAACCATCCACGAAAAAATCCAGCAATTTGCAAATGATATTGACCAGAACAACAGTGTTCAAGAGAAACTTATTGCACTGGACGATCTCGTCCGTGATCGAGTCAAGTCACTTTCAGAGACTAAAGATGTTGACGAGCAGACGCAAAAGGTCAAGACAGATCTTCAAACCCACATTTCTCTTCTTGAGAAAATGGAGAGTTCGGGAGAAACCGCAGTGGATAAACCCGCAGAGTTCCAGATTGCCTTGAATGCGATCGATTCCTTGGAAGAAAAATACAAAGATCTTCCAGAGTTCACTTCACTCAAAGAAAAGATCGAAGTTCTTCGTCTTCCAGAAGGCACGAATGACCGAACCTCATCAGTCGAAGCTAAACTTTCCGATTCCGAAGCGCAACTAGCCACCACAGAAGTGAAAGCAGTCTCCCTCAGTGGTACGACAATCGAAGAAGCGAAAGCTGCGGTTACTCAGGTTTACACTGATCTTGTGACGGTCAAAAACGATCTGGAGCAGTTGATCTCAACCAAACGAAAGCTCAATGAGCATGGATTTATCGATAAAGACACCGACTTCTCCTTGTCATTAGTGGCACTTAGAGAGCGATTCAATAATATCGGAAAACGAATCACGGATTCTAAAGTGGCCCTTTCAAAATCGGCACGACGAGTTCAAAAGCTCAAGCGCGCGGTCGAAGATACTGATCAGTGGGCTCATGAGGTGCTTGCCCAGTCGGTCGAACAGTACCCGATGACTGACAGATTAAGGTAAGACAAAGTCCCTCGCCTATGCATCCAAATTCTTAAGGATGGCAAGTGACGCTGAGATCCGAAAACGAGAAGTTCTCGAAGCCACTGAAGATTGTGTCAATAAACTCCAAGCGAATCTCGGCGCTGATTGCTCTCAACTTGTTGCAGATGTTCACCAAGGCTTGGACTCGACCGAGACTCTCGTCAAGGCTCTCCGAAATGAAGAAATCCAGTCTGATGCATCATCGGTGAGTAGCTCGTCGTCAAGCTCTTCGAGCTCAAGCTCCGATTCAAGTTCGAGCTCGAGCTCAGAATCGGAAGCAGAAGCAGATAAGTCGGTCATTGAGACACCAACGAGATCTACCCCTAGCCGGGCAAAAACTGCGGGCCAAAAGATCTCGGTCACCAAACGGCCAGAACTTTCGCCCATCTTTTCTAATAAGGAAAATGTCCCGATTCCAAAAGAGAGGCACTCGGTGAAGGTAAAATTTTTCGCATCCTTTTTTTCAAAAATAAATCAATCAATTTCAATCATTTCAACCGGTGAATCGGGCATCTTATAATTCCGCACATTTGGTGATTCAATCGTTCATCATTTTTAATCCGTTATAGTAACCGCTTCTTAGGAAATTGGTGAGAGCAAGGATGACATCAAAGGAATCAACATCATGCTTTCGAAGATCGAGATTGAGCTTGAAGATTCGACCCTTGGAGTAAGCAATCCTAAGTACATCACTAGACAAGCAGAGATTCTCTCCGTCCAACGAGAAAAGCTCGACGAGGTCAAAGGTTTACTCAAGTTTGAATTGATCTTTATATTAATTCATCCTAGCTTATCTCGAAACTGAAAACGACGAAGACAATCCTAATCTCCGCACTATCGCGTCAACCAAATACAAGGCCCTCGAGGAAACTTATGCCGAGAAGAAAAACGCGTTCGATGCAGTTGCAGAGATTTGGAGTGGATTTGAGAAAGAGTGCAATACTTTGCTTGAAGACTTGCGACCAGAGAACATCTCGCACGACGTGGTGGTGGACGCTGCTGATCGTCTCAAGGCGCTCAAATTCAAAGTCAACTCGGTAAGTACAACTCGGTACTGTAGTTGCTAATGCAAAATTAATATGGAAATTGAGCACAGCAAAGAGCATCGATTTTTCTGTGTTCTTTGAGCGTCCTCAATTATTAATTATCTAGTTAATACACTCTCCTTTTTGCCTGCATCCAAAAGCGACTTTGAGGCAATTTCTTAATTTTTTAAAAGGGTCCAGATAGTATCGGTATGTTTTTAATTGACATCATGGGCGTTTAGGCGAAAGAACCAGCCACCAGTCCGAGAAAAGGCGACTCAAAAGCGCAGGAGATGCTTGAAAAGGCCCAGAATTTGATCGACAACTTTGAAGATCAGAAAATCATGAAGATCGAACAGACTGACGAGCAGAAATCCGAAGAAGTTACGAGAACATACGAGAGCGTACAACAGTTTGCGAAGAGCTCAGTTATGGTTTATGGATGCCAAGCTTCTATCAACACTGTGGAGCAGCAAATAGGTACAGTGATTATGAGAACTTGAGCATAAACTTTGTCTAGAATCATTCGAAAAATGCCTCCTTGACGAGAGCGCTTCTGAGGAAGATGAAGAAAAGATGCAAAAGATCCACTCTTTGATCCAAAAGAAAAAGACAGACGTTCAGATCGTCAAGGAAACTTCCAAAACCATCAAAGAGGTTCAAAGCCAATTGGTTGTCGAGCTCGAAACTGCTCACCAGACCTTCATTACTCTTGAGAATAGATCTACCAATACTACTGAGGAAAGCCATGATCTTCTTGAGCAATATGAGGTGTGGAAAAACTCATCTGACAGAAAATGACTGTATCTTTAGAAACTAAATTCTTCCATGTTCGAAATTGAGTCCAAGCAATCTCAAATACGCCACGAAGTCAACGAAGCGAACGACACATACGGCTTTAACTTCGAAATCAAGGAAGATATTCTCTGCGAATCTGTCGTCATGAAACTACGACAAGACTTGAGCGATGCGCAGCGGGTGACCGTCGAAAAATGGAGGCGCAGCGTGTGATCTTCGAGGCTGAACAAGCTCTTGCCAGATTGACCGCTAGCTCGGTATGTTGTAAATATGAAATGGTCCTCTGGCAATGTGCCTAGATAGTATCTTTGGCCCGGGGCGCGGTTTTGACCACTTCAATGAAAATACGATTGTGCTCGTTTATTTTCTCGCAAAATTGATTCCGTGAAAAGCACTTCCGATACGGGCAATTTGAGGCGATCGCCGTGTCAATTATTGAAATCCCGTGAGGTCACGATCCGGTGCAACCCAGCCCAGATCTCACCTCCTTGTCACATTTTTCATTCGGAACCTGGATCTCTTGGAACCTTTGCTTTTTGAAAAACTGAAAAATGAGAAGGCCAAAGTTTTGGCGAAATCGGAATTCGCTCTTTTTGGCGAGTGACAAGAGCAGTTCTGATTTTTCTAGTACCCAAGAGATTTCGAAGAGCACAGAGAATATACTCCTGAGTGATAGCCAAGAAAAAAGAAATGTTACTGAGATAGATTTCGACAATCTCAGCTGGAGTGATTTAAAAATTGACCTCTCCCTTGTAAGTTGGGTAACAATAAGAGAACGGGAGAATAAAGCCAGCTAACTAAATTGGGGAATTAATCGGACTTTATGACCTTTCAAGCGATCAAAGGGTTTCCCCTGCCTCTCAAATTGTTCCTGTCGGGGAGGATTTGATTTATCTTGTTTCAAAAAGCATCCTCCCTTTTTCTTATTTTCCAGGTCCCATTTTGAAGAGCGGATCTTTTTCAAGCGAAAAATTGATTAGAAACAAGTTGATAAGGACAAAAAAGCAGTGCTTATCAATTTGCAGAGATGCTTGAGCTCGACTGGCTAATCAAAGCTGCAGTCGCACTTTACAAACTAAAGTACAAGCCGATGGCAAGTACGAGTGAAATCTCCAAGAGAATTTCGCTCATTTTAGAGAGCTTCGAAAAGGTAAAAAATGGAATTTTCAAATTCTATTCTTGGAAACTCAAACGTAAAAAATCGCCTTTGTTTTGGCATCTAGGCCGTTTATGTTTTCCAAATTTACTCGTTTTATTGTTTTCTTTGTGCTCCCGGAATTTTAAATTTACAAAACCTTCCATTTTTAGGCCGCGGTCCAAAGCCAACTCATGCGCCTAAAATCACTTGCCCCATTTTTGCGATTTTTGATTTGTATTTTTGAGATTTCGAATTTTTCATTCTAAAACCGAGGGTTCTTGAGAGCACGCGGAAGAGGCTTTTTGATCCTTTTGAGTTCATAAAAGCCGTTTTGTTTGGCCTGGTCAGTGAGCTTGAAGCAAGTTCCCACAAATTTTATTAAGAAAAAAAAGATGAGATATCTGGATACTCTCTGGGAGGTATTCTTTTATAAGGCCATTTAATAAAATAAAGAGAAAAAATGGATCTTGACGAGTATTTTAAGGATCTTGAAGCAGAGCTTGAATCGCATCGAAAAGCACTGGAGAAAATTTCCGTCACTGTTGATAGTTACAACTTATCTTCAAAGGTAATTACAGTGTTTAGCAATCAACGACTATTATGATAAATCTTAGTTCAATGAAGTTGACGCTAAAATCTCCGCGAAGCTTGACCGGTCAGAATCCGTCAAGAAGCGCATCGAAATCGACGTCGATCACTGGCGAAACATCTCCGGCAGCCTTGAAGAGTACGCAGCTTGGATTGTATCCAAACAGCCTTCTTCCGAAATCGGCGATTTGTCCTCCTCTCCATCTGTTGAAGATGCTCTCAACAAAAAGGCGAATGATTGTGGAATGCTTCTAGTGGAAATGGAAGCGAAGCAATCTGTCATCGAGACAGCTTTGGAGAGCTCGGCGGACGCGCTCAAGAGTTTTGAAAAACTCGGAGTTGAAGAATCCACGCTTGAGAGCTCTACCCAAGCAGTCCTTGGAAATCTGAGGGACAGACAGTCTGAAACAAAGGTAAAATGAATACTCTTCAACTTTATCACTCATCATATTCAAGAACGCCTGGACAGATTTGCAGACAAGTGTCAACGCACGAAAAGAGCTCATTCTACGAAAAATCGAGTCGTTGAAATCTTTCAAAGAAAAGATTCAAATCATCAATGAAATCTGTGATCGGCACAGCGAAAAGATCCCAACCGACGATGTGAAGGCCGGAGAGGTCTTTATTTCTGAAATGAAAAAGCAACTCAATGGAGAACTCGCTGGATATTCCGAGCTTCAACGAGACGCCGACACAGTTCTCGAACGATGGGAATGCGCAAAGAAGGAAAAAGAAAGCTCAAAGAGTGCCTCTCGGCCAGCTTCGATTATCATGGAAGAGCCAGTCACGGTCATGATTCCAGAAGAGCCAGTGATGTCTCAGCCAGACTCACCTGACGATTCTTTCCAACCAGATATTTCCCTAAATGCAAGAAGCAGTGCTGAGAGTTCAAAACTCCAGGTAACCAAATCAACTCAGAATTATGTCTACTCGTATTTAGCCCGAGGCGAATGACGCCATTAACACCAGGCCAGTTGACTGGGAACGTCAAGAAAAAGACAACGGAGTTCCTTACTACGTTAATCACATGACAAAGAAGACAGTATGGACTCACCCAGTCCTGACCGAGTTCATCAACGGTCTACAAACTCTCAACAAAATGCGCTTCTCCGCTTATCGAACCGCCATCAAGCTCCGTAAAATCCAGAAGAAGCTCACTTTGGACTACTTCAACATTGACAATATGCAGAAGGCATTCAGAACTGTTTCTCCTGATCCGAATGCAACGATCGAGGTGATCGTTTTGGCTGAGATTCTTTATGATCTGTACGAAAATTCTAAGCAGCGCGCTCAACAGGTAAAAACCAGATAAATTTTCTCCCGATCATAAATTATTTAGGCCGACTTGACTCTCAATTGGCTACTCTCCGTTTTCAACCCTAAGCGAGAAGGAACCATTCCAGTTCTCTGTGTCAAGGTTGGCCTCGTTGCTTTGTGCGGCGCGCAGCTGGAGCAGAAGTACAGATATCTTTTCACCGCTGCCAGTGGTGCGAAGAAAACGATGAACAAGGAAGGCCTCAAAGCTCTTGTCTACGCGCTGGTGCAAATTCCATACCATCTCAAGGAACACGTCGCCTTTGTCGGAGGCGAACTCAACGTGGATCCGACTGTCGAAAGCTGCTTCCAATACAGGTGAATTATTAACTGCACTGTTTAATTATCAAATTCGCCTTTCAGAGGAAATCCCAAGAGTCCAACCCTTCACATGGACGACTTCATGAAATGGTGCTCACTTGAACCTCAATCAATGGTCTGGGTTCCAGTCCTCCACCGACTGATTTCAGCCGAGAAAGTCACTCATAATGTCAAATGCCAATGCTGTAGCAATAAGGACTTCACTGGCTTTAGATACAAATCCCTCAAGGTAGAATTTCATTGAAATCAAGGAAGACTCACCATTTCTTTTTTAGCGATTCCGACATGATCTCTGTCAAGAATGCTTTTTGTATGGCAAGGCAAATGAGAAGAAACTCGTTCATTATCCCTTGGTCGAGTATTATAACGCGACTGGAACAAGCGAAAACATCAGGGACTTTGTAAGTCGACAAGTTAAAGCCAGTAAATTTACTAAACGTTTCAGATGCGAACTGCTAAAAACAAGCTCTCGCGCAAGAAAAAGACCAAGCGCCCACCACTAGGCTATCTTCCGATTAATCCTCAACGAAGCGCAAGCTTTGACAACTCAAGAAACTCAAATAACTCAACCCTCAATGTAAGAAACGTTCATTTTTTATCTGTTTTTACATGTTTATTTAGGCTTCTGGAATAGATGAATCACTGAATCTTCCAACGACTCCCGAGAAAAACGGCTTGAAAATGTCGAAATCGGAGAATGACACTAGTTTATCTTCGATTAAGGTACTCTGCTTCTCATAAGAAAAAACTTCTAATGATATTTTAGGAGAGATCCGAAACGACAGATTTGGAAAAGGAAAAGATCAAAGAGCTGAGCGCCGAGTTGTCGAAACCGACGACGAGGTAGTCGACGACGCCCGCGGCTAAGAGCTATCCTCAATCTGCCTAACCCATTCAATTTCAGAACGCTATCTATTTGTAAAATATCACACAATAAACACACAGCTTGCTTTACTCAAGTGAATATTTCTTTTAAAATTTTATTGTAAGTTGCAACAATTTTGAACTGGTAGAATAACAATTAAAATAGTTTGATGATCTGGTTATTGTTAAAACCGGTTCGGCAAATTCCACACTCGTACAACTGTGTCAAGCAAGAATAGCAAAATCTATGACCACATGGAATCGTCGACTCCCGACGATCGTTTTCATTGTAGTTTTCAAAGCATACTTTGCAAGTGTTTGGCTCTAAAAAAAGAGTTTGCTTGCCAGCTTATTCAAGATAATCTTACGATTCTTTTTGCAAATTTCATTTGTCATCAATAATATCTCAGATTCTATACGAGTAGACTCGTTGGCAAGTTTTCTTTGCTTATCCTCACATTCTCTAAGATACTTTCTCGCTCGTTCTACTTGCGCCGTCATCGCGGTTTCCATCAATTGAGCCATCTGAAGCTTATCTTGCAAGGTTTTCAATTGCTCAAATGGTGTTTGCTCTTTTGGAGGAGGGTCTTCACAGCAAGTTGCATTGAAAAACTCGACGAATTTGTACGTTTTCTTGCACTTTTTCTTTGGACATATAAATTTAGCATCGGTCGTTTGCTCGCGAATGGGAACGAGAGCGGTACCTGCTGCGCATATAGTACAATACGATCGTGTTTTGGGAGGAAAATGGATAGTTCTCATTGTTTCTGTGAAACTAGGAATAATCACTCAAATATTTGTGGCTCTTTAATTGCTAACCCTTGGCATTGAAAGCATTCTCTGACTTTTCCTCTCCGTTTTAGAAAATCCTTTTCAATTTTTCTGATCATATTTTAACATCAACTGATGATCTGCGATGTTTTTTTCATTTTCTTGCATTTCTTTTGCCGAAAAAGGGAAAATACTGTTTGTCCACTGTTAATCATCAGATTCAAGCAATGCAAATAGGTCAATAAATGGTCGAGTAAATATGGATATTTTTATTGATAAGAAAACAGTTTGAATGGAAAGATATCTTCAAAATTATCTTTTGTTTCCATGTTAAAAAACTTCTTTTTAATAACACTGTCCAGCGGGCTTGGCAAAGGGTCCATCGCAGCATTGATTGGCTCGGACAATCTCGTTGAAGGGGAAGGTTGTCTTGTCTCCGCAGCAGCCGACAGCTGGATTGTAGCCGTTTCCGCCACCGCCGGGGATGCACTCTTCAGTTCGGTTGAAGCCACCTTTGACGGAGTGGTATTTCTCTTCCCATTCGTCTTCGAATTTAGAGAGTCCCTTGGCGAGCGCCAAGTCGCACTCGCAAACGTTTCGTCGGCAAGAGCCTTCTCTGTTGGTGCATTGGACGGTTTTGACTCCGTTTTCCTCGAGAAGTTGGAATCCGTAACCGACCTCTTCGCCAATGCAGCTTCTTTCGCCGTCGTATTCGTTCTTGAGACAGTGGTAGCACTGCTTGAAGTCCTTGCAGCTTCGGTCGATGTTGTCCTTTGGTTTGCCGTATCCGCCACCAGCGATGTTGTGGGATCCTTCTGGCAAGCAGTAGCATCCGTAGTAGCAGTATCGGCCAAACTTTTGCTCTTTTTGGAGCCAGAGAACGACAACCTTCAATTGTCGGAATTTTCGCGACTCGACTTCGGAGATGAAGCGAGATTGTTCTCCACCGCTGAGATTGAAGATCAATTGGTCGAGTTCATCAGTAGTTCCGTCTAAAAACAGTTTTTATCTTGCTTTGGGGGGGGGTTTATTTACCGGTGAGTTCAGCAAGGAACTCGTTGAAGAAATCAACAGATTCTTCTCCAGTAAATGTAAACTCGGTTTCTCGTCGGTTTCTGCTCAAGCCAGTTTCGGCGGCCATTGCACCAAGAGAGAAAAGACTGAAAAGCTTCATTTTTGGAGGTTGTTTCTTTTTGCTTTGGATCGAGTATTTCGATTTTGATGCTTTCTCCAAGACAGAGATGGGTATTTATAGTTGTTTAATTCCATGGTGGTTAGGCTCTTGCGCCACCTAAACCGGTAAACGAAAGACGTACCACCTAATTGAAGTGATTCCCAGAGTATCCTCAGCTAAGGGGATTTACCCCGCTTGCGGTTGAAACAAGGTCTCCTTTAAATAATTTTCCTCGAAGTTCCAAAGACCTTTAGCAAACCGAGTAATGAACTCGATTTCAAAAAGAGATGATTTTCAGGAAAAATGAAAGCTCCCTTTATGTAGCTCTTTATTCCGGATTTTAGAAAAACTCGAACTCGACAGGGAAATGATCAGAAATCTGTTCAGTGATCGGCTCGCCGTCGTAGAAGATCGAATCAGTGTCGTAGTAGTTCTGGTAGTCAAAAACTTGCCCGGAGCCGGCGACGACGTTGTTCTGAATTTGACCAGAGAGGACAATGTGATCGTACGCGCAAATCGTGCTCGACACGGTTGTATCGTCATCAAAGGAGATGAGCCACGAGTTGGTCCCGGAAGAAAAGAGCGTCAAATCCTCTGGATCACGAACGTAGTCGCAGTCTGCATTGAAATCGCCAGCGATGATGACGTCATCAAGAGATGGATGACGGCTTCGAAGATCGTCCTCGACATCTTTCAAGTGATTGATCTCGTTTTCTGTGTCCATGTTGGTCACTCCTGTCACGGGCTTCAAATGAGCAGAGATAATTCCGACTTTTTGAGTCTTGAAATTAGGTGCGTTCTGGCTGGTGCGCTCCAGAACGAGAACTGTTGGTGGTCGCTCGAACCAGGCGGTTGTCGTATCGTTGAAATCGTATCCATCGACCTGAGAATGCACATTGAAATAGAGTTCTATTGAGAAAAATACCTTGGAAAACATATTCCGATCCCAGATGAATCCAACTTGTTCCTTGCTCGTGGTTGTTCCTTGTCGCTCTCCAGTGAACCAATCGTACTTGTCGTCAGCGAGGTTGATGTCACCAACGAGATTTGGGAACGCAGATTGGGTAGAATCACGGATTTCCTATAAAAATAAATTTCTAACTTGTTGGGTGTTTTCGGCAGGCCTGAATAGTAGCAATATCGTAGCGCTGGAGGATCTCGACGATCTGGTTTTTGACAGGCTCCTTCCCGTACTTGGTTGTTCCAAAGACTTGAATGTTGAAACTCGAAACTACAGACTGATTAAAAGGACAATCGAAGCCTTCAATGTGAAGGAAATAACATACATTTCGTAGCAGGAGGATCAAGATGATGACAAAGAGCATCGTTGCCAGCGCAGAAGCAGTTGTATCGAGAAGAGTAAAAATAGGCATGAATGGCATTTGTGTCAGCGAAATCCTTTACATTTGTAGCGCCGTTTGACTAGAGTGTTAAGTGATTTAAGCTGTTAAAATTTTTCACTCCACCTCCAGAGCGAAGATCAATGCCATCTTCTGATCAATTGCAAGATTTTCATATCCCGCTTTGGAGTTTAATCTAACTTGAGTCTGCCCCTTCTGCTCATCTCGATAGATATCCGCGAGTTCTAATCGTGAGAAACCCGAAACAGTGACATCTTCTGGCAAAACGGTCGGAATGACGAGCAAGAATGAATATCCATCAGTCGCTTCTGCTGCAGTATTTTTGAAAAACAAGTTGAACATGACAAAACTCGCATCACCCTCGGCATATCGTTGACCGTAGTTTCTGTTGAGCGTGGATTTCTGAGACGTTGATCCAACTTTCTTGTCCGGCTTCAAGCAGCATCCGAACTCGGGGAACTTGTTTTGCTCTCCGCTTCCCCAGTTGCCGCCGTAAGTGTAGTGACAAGCATTATCAGCGTTGCACTGAAAATTTTTAATTTGAAAAGCCAAAAAGACTCAAAAAATTCTCTCATAAAAAATCCTCTTTGATAACTGACCTTGCATTTAGCCCAATGGCTCCAAGACCTGGAGCTTAATTCCCAGCCATTTTGGCACTTTACTTTGCACTGTTCATTATTCGCAATCGAACCCAAATGACAATCATTCAAAGTCGTTGCTTGTGCAATACTCTTAAATCAAAGTTCCATCTCTATTTCAGACCCGCTCTAGTTTTACCGAATAAAAGGGATCGTCAGCCAAGGGCTCGCAATTCTGCGCAAAAGCGGCGGAAACAACTCCGGCGAGTAATCTCATCGGGGATCAACTGCTACTGACTTTCAAATTGGAGAGCTCTTTTTTCTGACAATCAAAATGCCCAGAGGCCGACAGGGGTTAAAACATGCGCAGGTCAAAGAAAACGTCATCAAAGATTATTTTTTATGACAGGTGAGGAAAATAAATCCAGTTTTTTCGAATTAAAATTCTTGGTTCAAATTGGAACTTACTTGCGCAAGGGTTAAAAAGAGGATTGAAATCATCATCTTATTTCATTATTTTCTCGAAGAAGATAAATTTGTCGATGTTTTTTGGGAAAAAGCGGCGATTTGTATGTTTTGTTGAATTTGAAGGAAATCAGGAAATTGAAAAATACGGTAAAATCGATCGATTTTTCCTCAAATTCGTTTCGAAATGCTGATCGAGCTAGAACAACTTAGGTACACGTGAAAACCGGCCGCTCGGGCTCATTTCTAAACGATTAAACACGTTTGTGCAGCAGTTGCTAAGCGGATCCGGTCTTGAGCCTGATCCTCGTTAGCCGATATCATCCGCTTGATGTCACCATATTCTTTCATTTAAATCTTCATGCGGAAGTCATCTTCTACCATTTTGAAAGAGAGGAAAGGATGAAGTTGTTTTTCTTCCTGGCGCTTTGCGTCGGACTTTTATCTGCTCAAAACGGGAGCGGGAAGGCGCAGAAGAAGTACAACAAGAAACTTGAGCGAAAGAGAAGAAAGGGAGTTCCAGTTTCCGCCGAGGAAATTAAAGATCTTGAGAGACGATTCAATCTCGCCCCACGAGCAGAACAACCGACCCTCAGAGCATCGCAAGAAGAGATTGAATTCCAAGAAACGGCGAAGGAAGTTTTAGAGAGCATCCCAGATGAGTTCAAAAAGTTCGTCCAAACGGAGAAGAACAGAGTCAGCACTGCAGGAAACACGGCCGCAAATCCTGAAAAGCTTCAGCATTGCTTCACGTGCTCAGGTTTTTATTAAACAAGGGAAAAGTTCTTGAGCGAGATTTTTCAGTAAACGTGGATGTAAACAGCGGAGAGGACCCCTGGACAAAGTGCATTCAGAGTGGTGCGATGTTGGAGTGCCGTGGGGACGAAAATTCATGCTTTACGATTGAAAGGCGACAGGCCGCGAAACCGTACATGGTTCAGATGGGATGCAAGCAGGTTACTTCTTGCTTGAATTCCGTTCCGTAAGTATTCCATTAAAAACCTATAAATTATAGCCTATAATTAAGAGCCATAATAGCAGAAACAAGTGAAGACTTTGTAAATTTTAAGGCAATACACTTGACGATAATAAAACGCAATTTATACCCTGATCCATAATTATTATTGCCGTATGAATGATTAAATAATTCTTGTCAACTTTAGTGCTGAAATTAATTTCTAGTGATTGGCGCTACAACGCCGGCGAATGTCACCCCAACTCCGGCGGCGGCTCCCGATGCGCCCACTGCTGCGACAACAGTGTCCCTAGCCCTACACGAGTCTGCAATCTCAATAAGTGGCAATCATTCAAACTCGGCGTGCAGCAGAATTGGAACGTTACTGAGACGTTTACCAAGCTCCCGTGAAAGGGGATTATTGCGTCAAACTTTTTGTTGAAAACTTTTTAACCGTAACATTTCGATTTTTTTACTAACAAGAAAAGAAACTTGATTCCATGCTTGAGCGCGCTGTACAATAAATTTCATTTACAAAAAAATAGCTTTGTTAGTTTCTCGTATATTTGAAATTTCAGCCAAGAACAAGAGCCCAGGAGCTGGCGAGGAATTCGTTGAGAGTGATCTTCCCGTCTTTGTTCTTGTCCATGTCGGTGAAGGCTTTCTGAAGATTTTTTTAACCTAGTGGAAGTAATGAGAACTTACATCGACCATGCCGTTGAGTTTTTCTTCAGTTAGTTCGACTCCAACTTTTTCGAAATTGGCTTTATTCGGGTCCTAATTTTTCAATCTACCGTTTTAAAACGGTAATACCGTTTTTCGACATTTTATTAAAACTAGGTAGAAGATCAGTTTTGCACCCTTATTCTCTAACAATAATCTTCAGCTCATCCTTATCTAATGCTTGATCCTTGTCGCAGTCGATTTTCGCAAAAAGTTTCTTAACATTTTCTTCTAATCCGCACGGTAAACCCATCTTTACTGCGTTTGACGAAACTTAACTATGCTACCCCTGCTTATATAGATTTTGTTACGACCCGCTGGCTTTTATGCTTTCCCGGAGCTCCTCAATCGTCAGTTTGTCGTCGCCATTTCGGTCGATTTTGAGAAACGACTTTCTCAGGGATGCAATTACGGACTCTGACTGGAAATATGACTTTTTAAATTGCATGTTTTCTTCCAAAAATAATTGAAGTTTTAAATGCCTCTTACCAGGTTTGTCGTCATCTCAATCTCAATTTTCTTTTTGAAAAAGATCCTCTCAAAACTGTTTTGCTATCCTTATCCCACTTTGAAAAGACTGACTTTATATTTGAGCTGGTTTATTATTCAAAAACAGAATCACGCAGATGAATAAGATTTCTTTTACTTTTCAAACTTCAGTGCTGCCACCGGAAATCGGCACACCGATCTTTTTCATCTCCACTGCTGTTTCACAAAGATAGTCGATGCATTCCGCTTGCGATTTCGCTTGTTGCCAGGTCGCTCCCCAGACGTAGATTCCGTGGCGGCGGACGATGACGGCATTGGATTCGGGGTAGTCGCGGATCGCCTTTGCCATAGATTCTTCCAGGTCTTTTTCGAAAAGCGTATTTTCGATTATCTACGGACTTTGTTCAAAACATCATCTTCAAGTTAACTTACAGGGATGACAACTTCCTCATCATACTTGTAGCTCACACCAGTATTGCCCTTTTTAATGCCTTCGTAAGAGTTTTTAGCTCATGTTTCTTTGTCTATCAATTTGCTGAGCTTGAACTCTTTCCTTTGATCATTTCAATGTGGCTGATTCTAAACTCGTTTCCGAATATCAAAGACGCTAGAATCAAAATTCAAAGCTGAGACTGAATCAAACTCGCTCACCCAAGACAACTTTAGAAGAATGGGAATGCATCACCGCCCCTGCATTTCTGATATTGTACGCGTTCATGAAAAGTGGAGTGCACTCGCTAGGAAGAGTGAGAAAAGAACAAGAGGGGTAAATGAATACCTGAGCTTGAGCTTTTCATCACAGGGCTTTTCAAACTTAGATCCGGCCATGTCGGTCATAAAAAGATCTTGAGGTCGGATACGCTCTTTTTGAACCCCTTTCGATGGTCATTTTTAAAGTTTTCTTAAGAAACTTTCTTCAAAAAAATTTCGACCACCTGCCTGAGGGCGCTATGTAAATATCATCATCATCACGGATGGAGATCCCGCCACCCGTTCCAGTCGCCCAGCCGAGGTTGTAAAAGTGACGGCATAATTCTTTCGAGAATCATTAACCTTGGTATTAAATGAGTATCTACCTGGAATCAAGTTCTTTGGATGGTCATTCGGGAACGATGGATCAAATTGCTCATCGACGAGTTTTCTCGACATTTTTTCACAAAAATCCTTTTTAAGAAATTCTCTGAGAACGTAAACAGAATCGACTAACGAGCAAATATTACTCAATTCTGCGTGAGACACAAGATCGCCAATCAACGTGTACCACGTAGTCTTTTTTACCGGTTGATTTATTTTACTTGAACAGGAAGAGTTTGCCGAACAACCGAAAATTGATCGATATGAATTTAAGACTGACATTGTCAATTGGTGTTTCTTCGTTATAATTTCAATTAAAGCACTCCGCAATCTATGATTTCCACAAGCCTAGTGCACGACCCAGATTGCGTTCCAGCTTTTTCCATGAGTCGCACAACATCCATGCCGCTCTTCACCTCACCGAAGACGACGTGTCTATCGTCCAACCAGTCGGTCTTCAATTTGTCTTGCAAAAGTTATGCTGGCATACATACCTTGTCGAGGCTGATGAAGAATTGAGAGCTGTTGGTATCTGGACCCGCATTCGCCATAGAAAGGACTCCAGGTCCGATATGCTTGAGGTCAAAGTTTTCATCCTTGAATTTCGTTCCGTAGATGCATTTACCGCCAGTTCCATCTCCCTGAAAGATGATCACAGAACTCCTTTTTGAACAACGAACCTTTGTAATATCGCCGCCTTGAACCATGAAGCCAGGAATGATTCGATGAAATTTCGAGCCCTTGAACGTCAGTCCTTTTCAGGGGTCACATTTTTAGGCTTTCTTAGCAACAGATCGTCCTCAAACCCTTGCCTTTCTCTCCCAAGCAAAGCGCTCTGAAACTCCTGCAAGTTTTCGGCACAATATCATCCCGGAGCTTTATCTCTATGATTCCAGCCGGAATCTCATCAATCGTAATATCCAGGTAGACATCCCTATGCTCGCTGGACGCGCTATTCGTCAAAACGCTCGACTTTCCTCCCATCAAACCTCTCTCTTTATCTCAAGCCCGCGAGTTAAAAGTAAAGGGCATATATAATTTGTCGTCAATTTTTACGTGCTCAGCGCTCAAAAATCAATTGCGAAGAAATTAACGAACGAATTCTCAGCTTTTGTAAAATCACATAAATCTGCTGACCTCCTTTATGCATCTGTAAACACTCAAATACTGTTAGTAATCACTCAAACATGTAAAAATGAGAGTAACGACACCTTTTTTATTTTTATCAAAAAAGATTTATTTACGAAAAGAAGGAGTTTAATAAGTTTTGAGAGTGAACACATACCGCTACTTGTTCTAGTTGCAAACAAATATATACTGTACTGTTACAGAGGCAGATAACTGATTGGTTTTTGCTTTTTGTGTGTGAAAAAATATGAATGATGCTCGACGAAAGTGAGTTTTACATAAAATTTATAGAAAGGTACGACTTTGAATGATGATGATGAATTCTTTGTTGGTTGACTGGTTTTTTAGTAAGAACACTTTGATAATTCTTGAAGTTTAAGTTAGAAGACTCTTCGGAATAGATCTCGATTTTTGATCATGGACTTCTTCGGACGAGTAGGGTAAAAACAGAAAGTGAAAGGGCAGCGATGGCGATGTAAGTAGCGATTTGCTTCTGCTCGATTAGCGACGAGTTGAGTCTCTCTAGCTTTGTGATTCGCCTGTTCACCTTGAACATTTGGTGCCTCAGCTTTTCCACCTCGCTCATTTGATCGAAGAACGACGAGTCCATCACTTGACTGTTTTCGGAAAGGAAGACGTCGCCATCCGAAGCGGGCTCGATGCCTCCCTCCATGGGAAGGTTTTCTTTCAGCTGCAGCATTGATTTATCGACGAGTTGCCTGGCCGATGGTGCTGGGTCGCCCGGCCCCTGAACATTTCTTTGTTCTCAAGTTAATCAGCAATTAGCTGATTGATAATTAGGGATTTGTGTTTTCATGCGCTGCTGGATTCTCCTTTATAAAATTGTAAAATAGAGTTTTTATTTGATAATCAAATTTTAAAAATCGATATTTGCGAGGAAATCAACTAGGTGAATCCACTGGATTCAATCAAGAATCCTTGTTATATTTATTTTTTTCATATTTTTAGCTATGGCCACTGCGCCAGCAATATACTGCAGACTTATGAAAACAGAAGAGCATTTAAAAATTTCTTACATTATTTCTTCTTTCATTAAAATTCTTCGCCGCTAGAATGTTTCTTTGGACAAATTTTTCATATCTGTCTTTCTCAAGTCCCTCTCTCATTTTTATCCTCATTTCAATATTTTCGGTCTGATAAATTTAGGCCAGGAAAAAATCTAAATTTATGGCTTTATCTTATCACCCGATCGACCCCTCTAGCGCGCTACTTTTTCAGGTCAAATAAAGGATCAATCCTTTTTGTCGCTTTTTGTTGAAAAATGGTTCAATCCCGCAGCGTGGAATCAAACAAACAAATATAATAAACCTTTGAGTTGCGCAGATTCCAACAGGAGCTGTCGTCGAGCTTTAGTGTTGTAGGCGGAGTACGTAGGATAATCTTTTCGAAGGGCTTCTTTTCATGCACTGGAGAATCGTCACTGTCAAATCCCTGTAGCGAAATGCAGCTTGGGACGCGCATCGCAGCTTGGATTGTTTCTGAGTACTTTTTCCCATCGGCTAAAGCCCGCAAATCCGATGGAGAGTCCATTTTCTAAAACATTGGGTTTAAAAATAAGAAATTTTAAATGAATATATTGCCATAATAATTTAAATAGGGAACACGCATGATTCTCCGTTCGGATGGTTTCAAATTTGAAGGATTTCGTTTTCTTCTGTTCATAAATCTAGCTAAACGAGGGAGAATCAAGGTGAATTGCTATTTGATTGAAGAAATCGGACAGTGTGTGACAAGAAAAATGAAGATATTGCACAAATATTGTTAAATAATTAGAAGACGCATCTTAGAGGCGATTTTTAATAAGTCTTTCTAGTTTTCTCAAGCTGTATTGCTCCGTATCCTCTGCCGTGGTCACATTTCCTCTGTATTTTTCTAGCAGCGAAGTCGCTTCGGATCGCCGAAGATCTTTCATGTCAATAATCCTCTTGAACGTATCAGCATCGCCGTCAGGAAGAAGCGTTTTGAAATTTTGAATGAATTGCGTTGGGTCGTTGTGGTCGTTCATTGCCACTTTGAGGATGTTTTCTGCGTGACACATTTTTGAACTCACGGTCTGAGGAAAACGGTAAGCAGAGTTCAGAGAGGGGGCCAGACAAAGGTACCTTTGTGTAGGAAAGTGGCGGCTTGCGAGTGATTGAAGAACCAATGGAAGGCAAGTTGAGCAGCGCGGAATGAAGAACTTGTGTATCAATAAGTAATTGTTGCGCGGGGATGGTGGAGATTGGCTTGCATTTGAACAGCGTTGATGTAAATCTGCCGATGAAGGAGCTAGGATTCAAAGATTAAGACCTGCTCTTAGTCCAAATAATCAGGGAGCTTACCTGGCAAATTTGATGCAGAACTGAGTAAAATATTTCCTCGCATTTGCAAGTAAATCTCTTATGTACGGAATTTGCTCTTCCAGATGCTTCAAAATCGCAGTTACATAAGCAGATTGATCTAAATTTTCATGCTCAACGGAAGCGTTACGTAACTAAAGCTACTTACCAGCTACATTGTGGAAGGCGGCCCAGTTTGTTTTCAAAAGAGCTTGGAAAGCGGGTCCGCAAGCTCCTTCGGTGTCTTGAACGAGGAGGCCGATGCTGGTTTTGATGACGTCGGAAAAGAGGTCTTTTTCGGGAGAGAAGTCTGAAAGAGGCAATTTGACGATGGCAGCAAGTAGAAATATTTTACCGATTCTCTCTTTGAACTCAGGACTGGCCTTCTCAATGAGCTTATCTTCCAGTGCTGAGATCGTGTCTATGCAATAATCCGCCGAGTTGAGCAAGAGACAAGTCAGAGCCAAATCATGCCGCGTTAATCTCGTCGCCGACTCTTCTTTCAGTAACGCAGTCATTTGGGATAACGCTGACTGAAAGAAAAGAAAATATCCATCCGTGTCCTTAACTCATTTTCTTACCTGAGCAGCGTTGGTAGTTTTGGTGTTGATTGGTAAATTATTCATAAGTACGTTGTTTCCGTAGTTTCTCAAATGCGCGGCGAAGATCTTGGAAAGATTCAAAAGTGGCTCTCCTGTCGACAACTGGCTGCATTGAACCAAGCATTTCTTGTAGTAAACAAACAGATCAGCGCAGCTAGGGAGGACTTCGCAAGTCTGGCTAGATTCTATAGCAAAATCAGTAACAAATCGCTGCACAAGTTCCTTCAACGAACGGTCTTGAGCATTGACGTAGATTGACAAATAATTCGAAAACGCGCACGTGACCATTCTAGAGAAGGGACTCTCCTTCTTCGCTAGTTTCTCGTCGAGCTTCGTTTCGCTGAGTTCTGATTGACTACCGCTTTCGGATCCAAAATCGTTCTCAAAAGGATTTGTTGATTCTTTCGGCCCCTCATGCTCGGGTTTCGTTTGATTGCCGGTGATTGTAATGCCACTGTATCTCTTCGCAAGTTGCTCTTCGAACATCCTCGATCGCTGGATCGCGAAGAGAAGAAGTTTTACGTCGAGTTCGTGATGTCTTTGTTCCAAAACGCTCGACATCATTTCTACCGTCAATTTGCAAAAAGCAACCGCTACTCGTTCCGAAATCTCCCATGAAGCGGGGAAGATTTCTCCGAATCTTCCTTCTACGTCCATCAGCGCTTTTTTCGCCCAAGCAAATCTCCTGTCAATCTTGTCAAACCAAGCCACTTCCTGGCTCGAGTCAAATAGCAACTTGTACTCGGACAGTCGCGACACAATAAAACTGCTAATAACTTCATTCCTCACTGTAACATCAAGACAATCGGCGACTTGACATGCCGACTTGACATTTTGAATATCGAGCTTTTCTTTTGACGAAATGGCGAAGGCTTGAGAGAAGTCCTTGGTGACGAATGTTGAGAGATCGGTGCGGATTTTTGCCATGCGCTGAGTGACGATTTGAATCTCCTCGACGGAGTCTTTGTAAACGTCTAAATGCTCAATAACGTTCGAAACACCAGGTAAAAGCGTCGCGACAAGGCCATAATCCCTTGCCGTCGTCGCTTTCTCCAAATTTTCAACTCCATCAAGCACGATGTGTAAATGGTTCAACGTAGTAATCGAAGCGGTGAGATTTCTTTTGGCTTGGTCGAGTTGTCTGATGTCACGGGTGATTTCGGAGACCATTCTTTCCGATTCTTCAGCTCTGGTTTTGATCTCCATGATTGAGGAGACGAGTTTTTGGAGGTCGACTTGGGCTTCGTCGAGCATTTGAGCGGATTGTTTTCCGTCTTGGTGGCCTTCGCGGATGAGATTTGAGACTTCACCTGTTTTCTGGTTCAAAAATTTGGCCATTTCCTATTGGAATTCAACGAATTTCGCGACTCTCATGCTACGAGGCAGGCCCAATTCGCCCCCAGCCGCGTGAAAATCAAATAATTTCTTTCATTATTATTGAACCGCTCCTTCATGATGCTCTATCCTTTCACTCAACTCTAAAATCACTTCATCCAAGTTACTCAAGCTCTGCTCATTAGGAAACATCGCATTTATATATTGAGTAACGTCAAAATCGACAGAATCGAGAGGATCGTCCGACGGGAACATCTTCGCCAGTGCTTCTACCACTGCTGGATTTTCGGTTTCCGACATTTTCTCTGCTATAATATTTGCAAATAGGTGGATAGGGTGTTTCTTCAGGGGTAAAACTGGTTTTCCAGCAGCGCGAATTTGTATTGGCCGAGAGGCGAAACGCTCCGCCACTGAGTGAAAAGAAGCAAAAGTCATAAAGAAGTCTCCAGAGAGAAAATTAAGAATATTTTCAAAAGAGAGTAGAACTTGGAATAAAATGATTATCAACAAATCGTAAATTCTATAATTTCTTGTCAGCATGAAACTTTCAAGCACAATTTTATTTGACAGCTTGTTGATCATTTTTAATCTCTTCAGATTTTCTTATTATCTCGTCTAAAGATTTTAATTCTAAACAACTTTTTCTGAACGAAATCATTACCAATATCAAATCTTCTTTTGAATTTCCATTTCGGTGAAATCGTCCTTCTTTTCTTCCGATGTTTTCTGTACAAAAATACGCCCGTCAAACCGATCAAAATTACGCTGTCAATGGATCTGAGGTGGGTTTCGGAATTGGTTGGGAAATCTTGCTCCGGCTGTAGCTCCGGACTTATTTGATAAACCCCCATCGTTTAACACATGTATCGAAAGAGCTTTTCGAGCTCTACAAACTCTGCATTGGAATTTTCAATATCTCTAGAAATTCCCGGTTTTTCTTTACCGGTTTTAATCTAAATTATCGGTTTTTCACCAAAATTATGAATCAGATTCTTTTCTATCTCCCTCAGATTGATTAACTCTGCATTTGAATGCCCAATCATCCAAAAATTACCGGTTTTCAGGCGTTTGAAATGTTGAAATCAACTCTAAATTCATGCCCGGTGCTGTTCAATTTTCAAAAAATGCAACCCAGTTTTGAAGGAAAAACTCCGATAAAACTGATAATTTTTCATATATTGGGAATTCCAATGCAGAGTTGCTAGATCTTTAAAAGCTCTATCCATACATGTATGACACAATGGGTTTATATTTTCAAGACCAGAGAGAGCGGGAGCAAGATTTCCCAACCAATTCCGAAACCCACCTGAGCTGTTTTATGATTAATTACTAATAATTTCATAAAACGCCAAATTGTGTTTCTCCGACCCTGATTCCTGATTGACAGTAAAAGCGCCAGAATCAGTCCTCCCGCCTTTGATTTATTATTCATCGCCACAGGGGGTGCTATTTTTACGGGACAGTTTTCGGCCAGTTCGTCGGTTTCTTCGCCCGGGCATTGATTTTTCCCGTCGCAGAGGAAATCCTCGTGAATACATTTTCCCGAATCACAAGAGAACAAACCTTCGTGGCATTTATGATCTGCGCCTGACAGCTCGTCTGAAAGAACAATCAACTGTAAGTGACTGTATTTAGCTTTGAAAGCTCACATGCTGTAAGTTGAAATTGAGCATCAATTAGGGGAGTATCATCAGTCTTCAATCTTATGAGGATTTTATCAGAAGGGAGGATGAGGAGCTGCCCGTCGTTTTTATCCGTGCAGAGTTTTGGAGTTGCAGAAGGTCCAGAAACCTGCGTTCCGAGGTGAAAACGGACGAAGCTTCCGCACTCTTGTTCTCCAGAGATCGAAATGATTTTCAGCATGAACATTGCGCTCTCAGATGGAGCGATTATTCCCACTAGAATTTTTCGTTAGTCTTTAGACTAGGTCTTTGGCAGACCTCCTACCCTAACGAGTGTCAAATTTTAATGAGAGGCGCTCACTGACAGCGCTCATTACACCTCAATCTTAGAGCGTTTCTTACCTTGGCAATCGATATTTTTCTCGTCAAAGAAATACATCCCAGAATCATTATGAGATCTGAACTCTTCTCCCCAAGTTATCAAGCTCTCTCCATTGAGCCCCGACAAATCTAGCATCTAACTTTTTTTCTTCGTGTGTGTAAGTTTCAACTCCTTATTCGAACATTGAAATTGGGGAGGAATCGACCCAGCGGGGGATGGGTTTATATCTTTTGTTCTGGGTGGGAAATTAAAGCTATAAAATTGTTAAGAATGCTTACTGGGCAGATTTTGCGGCGAATTGTTCGGACGTCGAGTTTGCGAAGAAACAGTAATGTTTCCAAGAAGCTGAACAGATTCTCCGGTGAAGAAAGATACGAAGCCTCCCCAAAGCGATACGATGGAAGGTACATCATCGACGAATCTAATCGCGGAGCTTGGAAGCTGGAACTCTTGAACGAATACAAACCAGACGATGCGATTGTGCTGTTTTCTGGTAGGGATGTAAAATGTGTTGCTTGATTTTTGAAATCAACAACGACCGAATTCCGAATCTTAATTTGTATCACGCTCTTTTATCAGTAGGGCGGAAAATGATCATCAAGAGATGACCATTTTTCTCAAGATTTGTAGAGAGGGTAATCTCAGCTCAAATTTAAATTGGCGAATTATTTATGCACAGCTGAAAAAATGCGCTTTCATGCTAAAGCCTTCATACTTGCTTATTTTTCATTTCCTCCTTCTAAATCCAAGATAAACAGCGGTGTTCCCCCGATTCTCCGTTTTATCTTCGTCACTCTTCTTCAAAGAGAAAAGCTTCACATTTACATCCCTATCTCCAGGTAAACGTCGCAACTTCCCTGGCATCGGCCGTCGATACCTTTCCTCCCCCGACTTCCAAGACATCACCAGTATCCCCAAAGAGCTCTATCGTTCAGAAAGTGTCTTCTCTCAAACAGATTTCCGTGCTCAAACTCTTGCAAATTTGGCACTCAATCTTTGCGCGTACAGAGAATTTTACAGTACCGACTCTCGCTTTTCAAAGCTAAAAGTCGCCATTGGATTTGGAATCGGAGAACTAGCCGCTTTGGTCGTTTCGAACTTGATAACGACAGAAGATGCTTTTGCCATCGCGAATTTTTTATGCGACGAAGTAGCGGCTTCCGAGAAGGAGATGGAAACGCATGCTGCCATTTGCTCCGTGAAGAACAGGCACAAGATTAATTTGGCCTGCCACGATGCTAGAGATTACGTTTCAAAGACAAGGGGATTCACACTTGAAGATGCGCTGCTCATTCCAGAGCATGAGGAGTATGGGATCCCAACGACAGTCGATGTGGCGGCTAGAATTGACAGATACAACATCCTGATCGCAGGGCACCCAGTTGGCATTCAGTACATTGCCAGACAAGCGAATAAGTATAACATTAAGGATGTTCAAGTCATTCCGAATTATCCAGCGCTAAATACGATGCATTTTCAGGTAAGAAAACATCTGTGCACATATTATTGAACTTCTAGGTTTCTACAGTAAAATATGGCTAAGTATTGAACTTAAAAAAATGAGAGAATAGGGCAACTTCTTATGGCAAAGTTCAACGGAGTAATACATTCCTTTCGGGAGTATTCAATTTTGCCGTGAGAAGTTGTTTGAGAATGGGGAACATGGTGGTAAAAGTAGGGAGTTTTCGCGATTTTTAGAGACATTTCGGAATTTCGAGCGAACATTGAGGAACAATCAGATTCATTTAGAGAAAATAACAGGCAGATAGGGGCGTTCAGAGACATTCTACTGTTTAATTTTGTATTCTACCGAAAAACACTGGATTCTAGCGCAGTGCGGACAAGTTATCCAATCTGCTCTCCGAACTTGAAGGTGGAGAGCCATTTCTTGATGTCTGGAATTTCGCAAATTTGAATTCCAAGACGAAGCCTTTCAACCTGTATCAAAGCGTAGACCTTTACTCAGCAAAGAACTTGCAATACTTGCTTCCCAAGACTCTCTTTTCCCGACAAATCCTTTGGCAAAACATGATCAATGCCTTGCTCAATTATAAGAATAAAGAGGGAAGGATGGACTACTCAAAAACACCGACAGTCATAGAAATAGGACAGGGAGGGAGCTTTGGGCTATCAATAAGAGATATTTATGGCTACGAAATGGTGAAGCCGGAAAAATATAGGTAAGTGACATGGAAGTGAGTTTTTCATCAGTTTACAGATGGATCGACGTGGGTGAAAGTGATGCGTACAAATTCCAACAAAGTCAACTTTTAACAAGGAACGGATTTTTTAACTTTTCTTCTCTAGATATCTTTTTTCCCTTCCTGGCGGTCCTTTTCCTTTTTCAGTTGAAAAATCTAAAAAGATGGAATGAGAGAAAATGGAGAGAAAGCAATAATATCACTGCGTCGCACTAATTTTTCCAAAATCATATTGTTCTGCACTAACATTGGAACTTTTAGATCTTTAGAGAAATCGGTAAACTGTCTTAATCATGTCTAACGCCCATCGTTTCGATGGGCATCAGAACCATCGAGACTCGCCTTCAAGGCCTCCTCCTCAAAATCATCCCCAGGCAGCAAGTGGTTGGATTGACGAACCGCCGAAGCCTTGGTATTTCCTCGAGCTTGATGCTCTATTCAATAGTCGCAACCCGCTCTTTCAGGATCGGTTGTATTTTCCACATTACACTATCAACACACTAATGTTTACGATTAGTAGAATGCGATTGATCTCCTAGCGCGTCAGGCGCACTAAATAACACTGCGCTGCTTGTTGTTTAAACAGGATTATTTGAAGAAACCCTAAGAGTTCTTATTTTACCAATTTTCAACCCGTAAAAAAGCCAATGCGATCGTTCATCGGACGCCCCGAGTTTTATGACGAAAGACCAGAGATTCAACGAGAAATTTTTGCCCGAGAAAAAGAGAGGCTCATCCAAGAAGATCTTCTCGAAAAGGATAATATCATAAACATCATCAAAAGAGTTTCGAATGAAGGTGAATTTATGCCCATTTTAACTCATAACAAAGGAACAAAATCATTCTAGCCCTCGAACAACACTGGCAATCTCTTGTTCAGCGATCAGAAAATCCAAGAAATGTAGAAAAATTAAATAAGTTTGCTGATAATGTCAACGCGCTGAAAGCGTCTCGTCGACCAAAAGCAGAAATAGATAGAGCAATCGAAATATATACAAGTTCAAAACGAGCGCTAAATCTTATCTGCGAAGATGCAAGAACAATAAAAGCAGAACTTGATTGGCGGAATAGTGCACGACAAAATTTTTTGTTGGGAAATCAGCCTCCTTCTGAAGAAACCACTCCTCGTCAGAGACAATTTCAAGAGCCGAATCCGCCGATCGATCCACGTGTCCGCCCGGGTCAAAATATTTCCCCGCCGAAGAGACTGATCGACTACAGTCAAGGAGACAACAAGGAGAACAGAGAGGAATTGGTGCAACGAGATCCACCAATTGTAGTTAATCGAACTCGAAACGCAAGCGGAACCGTTTACAATTACGAGCAAGCTCAAGCAGATCCACGTCAACTTCCTCCACGGGCTAATCGAGGGTGGTCTCTAGAGCCGTCATCTGGTTGGAATGATCCTCCGACAAGAAGCGATCAAGCTCTTAGAGGAAAGTCGCCAGATCCACAACAATGGCATAGTCGCAAAAATGACTGGTCAGCTGAGCCACCAACAAATTGGAATGATCCGACTCCACCAGAAAGAACAACTTATCAACAAAGAGAACAAGAGTTGTCTCGGATCGCAGAAGACCAACCACGTAGTCGATCTCCTGAATGGAATTCTCAACGCCGAAGGTCACCAGAGCCTCGTCGTAGGTCCCTAGAACGCCGGAATTCACCAAATCGCGACAGAAAGAAAGGTAGATCGTCTGCGGACTCACCAGAGAGACGGAAATCTCCAAGTCGTCGCCCGTCACGGGACAAAGGTAATTTTTTCCCGCTTCTAACAGTCAGTCTATCATTTATAGAACGAAAAAGAGGATCAGAGCGCCGAAAATCCTCATCGAAATCACCAGAACGACGTCCTTCTCGTGACAAAAGCTCATCTCACACGTCGAAAGAAAGAAGCTCCCGTGAAAATTCTTCCGCTGATAAGCGTCGTGAAAGATCTCCGCCAGCCCGTCGTAGAACCCCTCCTCGAAGGCGCAGTCCTCCCCAAAGCACTCGTTCTCCTAATAGACAGAGAAAGGATCATAATATTCGACCAGTGTCGAATCCTCGCCAAACTCCACCGAGTCAACCTGGTCCGAATAACAATTTACCGATGACTCCGGATTCTCAGGTTCAACAGCTGACAGTTACTGTGAACGAGTTCAGTCCGTTGGGTAATAGTGGTACGATGCCAAGTAGAAGAATGCTGGCAGAAAGGAAGAAACTTGAAGGTGAGCGTCAAGCACTTCAAAAGCAGCGCGAAGAATTGCACAGAAAGAGGCAAGAGTTAGCGCTTTCGGCTAAGAGGAAAGAACACGATTTTCAACGAAAACGACAGGAATCCACGGATAGTGAATCCCCGGAAACGTTGCGAAAGAAGGCTCTGGAATCTCAGAGCATTGAAACTTTGAGAGCCAACGCCATCAATTCCATTTCTAGCGTGAGGAAAGCCCTTCCAAACGAGGGACCGCCAAAGAATGTTTACTCAGTGACCTTGGGTATGAGTGAATCTTCTGAAACATTGCGAAACAAAGCAGCAAATGCTTCTCCTAAAAAACTACCGCAATTTGATGAATCCGAGAATCGAGGCCAAACTGCTTCTGAACCGCGCAATCCACCAAAAAATGACTCCGTGATCTTGATCGACGATTCTGATGACGATAACATGGATATTAGCACCCACGAAGAAGAGCCAAGCCCTCAAGAAATCGCCGCTCAAAAAGCTCAAGAACTTAACAAACGACTTGAAGCAAAAAGAAATGAGAAAAAGCAACTCCAAAAGCAGAAATCTGATGAGTTTATCAAGCGACTAGAACCTCAGCAAAAAGATGCTGAGAAAAAGAGACAGGACGCGTCGGTCCTAGAGCAAGAAGCGAAAAGGCAAAAAGCGATTAAATTTGCGGAAGAAAAAGCCAGGCAAATTGCGAATCAACATGCCGTTAGGGAGAGACAGCAAGAGCTTCAAACAAGAATCAATGCTGGTCTTGCAAAAATGGGAGGAAGCGTAATTGCGACAAACAAGGATAGGGAAGAAATGATCAAAAATAATAGGCTGCAGAGAGAAATCTCAAACTATCAGCATGCTAAAACTGCTGCTCAACTGAGGTAAAACTTGGAAAACAAAAGGGTGTTAAATGAGTCCGTTTAGGATGGAGGAGAGACTGGCAAGAACTAAAAAGTATACTCATTATGCTATTTATTTCAAATAATAATATTAATCAAATAATAAATTATTTGTTATAGTTATTTCTTGGTTTTTTCTATAATTTCAATAACATTAAATTCAGGTTGGCAGAAGAAGGTCTGAAGATGGTTTCCGGAAAGATGCCAGTTCAGAAGAAATTGAGGATGGACATCGAAGCCCAGCTTGCTGAAAAGTCACCTGAACCGACTCCTAAAAAGAACGAGAAATCTTCAGAACCTGCTAAGAAAAAGAAGCGACGATCTCGATCTAGATCTCGTGACCGCTCTCGATCCCGTGAGCGCCGTCGACGACGTCGTTCCCGTACTCGCTCTCGCTCAAGAAGCCCTCGAAGAAGACGATCCAGAAGCCGATCAAGAAGTCCTCGGAGGAGACGAAGATCGCACTCTCGATCAAGATCGCGAGACCGTCACCGTCGTCGCCGCTCGAGATCCCGCTCACGATCTCGCAGACGCGATAAATCCAGATCTAGCTCAGTTCGGCGTGAGCGCTCAAGATCGAAGAAGAAATCTGAAAGCGACTCTCGCAAAAGTTCTGAAAGAGCGACTCTCCGACGCAGTTACACTGAAGAGGAAAAAGAGAAAAACTCTGATAAGAGAAGCGAGCTCTCGGAACTGGAAGAAGTGCCAATTTCATCAGACGAAGATTCTAGCCCTTCTCCGTCGCCAAAGCCATCTAATTTCAACTTCATGTCCGGCCCTCCGCCCGGAATGGGTCCTCCTGTTCCTCCGATTCCTCCGCCTGTGCCTCCTTTTATGCACCCGGCTTTTCCACCATTTGCGCCACCACCTGTTGCCGCTCCTGGGCTTATTCCACAGTTTGCAACCAGAGATCCCTATAATTTCTTGAATCAAATTCCTAATGTTCCACCTCCGAACTTGGAACCTGCGACTGCTTCAGTCCCTGAAAAAGCTCAGGAAAACGTTCAGCCACCACAAGTTGAGTCAGAAGTAAATGCACTTACTGAAGATATCCGTGCGCAAGCCCAAGCTTTTCAGGCAGAAAAAAATACTCAAGATATTGCTGAGCCTGTCGGCGAAAAAGTCACTGACCGAGACTTTTTCCAAAGTCGTTTTATCAGGACAAAGATTGAGGGTGATAAAGTTGCTTTGATTATTCGAGGTCTTCCAGGTAAGAAAATAATGGTTTTGTGTCTTCAGCATATTTCTACTTGAAATATTTCAGGCTCAGGCAAAACTACTGTAGCCAGAAAAATTGAAGAAATGGAGCGTGCGAACGGCAAAAAAGTGAAACGGCTTGATTTTGTCGACGAGTTCAAGGAAGACAAACATGACGTAATTCACTTGATTTTTATACTTTTTTCTATATTTATAGGATCCGGACTTCACCGATTACGAGAAGCGAGAAAAGCGCGAAAACTTTTTCCTAAAAATGGAGAAAGAGTTGCGAAAGAGCAAGTACAATGTCATCATCGTTGAAGACATCTTTGCCCACGTGACTAGCTTCGAAGATTTCTACGCTACCGCTGTCAAGTGGTTTTACAAGGTTTGTTTTGATAGATTTTCCAAGTTTTTTAAACATTCGCTCTCTAGCCATTCGTTATTGATGTTGGGAAGACATCTGAAGACGTTGTGCAGGAGTATTTCCTCAATCAAGAAATGATGCGCTCTCTGGAAATGTGCGAGTACTTCCAGAAAAGCTACCAGAAGACTCCCGAGCGTTTCAACCGGATAATTCTTCGCTACACCTTCGATGTCGAAACTGACATCGAATATGAATCCGGCGAGTGTACTACTGGAGAGTCTTCCCAGGAAACCATAACCGCGGACATTGATCCGCGTAGAAGTCCAAGGGACAGATTGAGCTTTTCAATTGGCCCAGCTGTCCCTGTTCGTAAGTCATAATTATTTTGAAAGTATTGGTAAGATTCTCTGTAACAGTTACGTCTATTTTATTTATCTATTTTCTATTTACTTAAATCATTTTCTAGCGCCAAATTCTGTGAACTTGGACACTTCAAAGGTAATATCTGTCTAATACTCTTTCTGAAGCTTCAAATTTAGTCACACGCATCAACTAGCCTTCCTCCTGGCACTTCACCTATCCCGACACTGGCACCTTCGAGAAGAAAAGAACATGCTTACGAAAATTGAAGTAATGAGAAACAATTCTCTGCTGCTAGTTCTGTCTCATATTCGCCACTGCTATTTTATTTACGTTCTCCTGTAAGCTTATGATAAATTTTAAAAGGATACTGCCATTTTATGTAGCCTACAGGAGAAATAACGGATAATACTCGGATATGTTTACTGTAAACTTGTAAAATAGTGATATCATCACGGCAATACATTGATACATCACCACAAAATTCAAACACATTGTTATTTTTGTCAGGGATTTAGAAAAAATGAGTGATTCGGAAGAGTGGGGCGGGGAAAATGAAGCAGAACTGAGCGGAGACGATGCTTCGGATTATGAAGCACGCCCAGATGAAGCTTCAGAGTCGTACGAGTCGGAGTCTGACTATTCGGAATCAGAACCAGGTCCTAGTAAGAAGCGCAAGAGGGATCGCCCTCCGAAAAGCACAAAGAAGAAAGCTGTTGTCTTCGACAATCCAGACATTTCTAATATACCTTCTTCGGAAGTTAAAAAAATTGAAGGCCTCCCAATTCCTTTGTCGATCTGGGATAAGCTAAAAGACCACCAGAAGGACGGTGTCCGCTGGCTTTGGAAACGCGTTGGCCACGGTCAAGGGGCGATTTTGGGCGATGAAATGGGTCTTGGCAAGACTGTTCAAGTTATTGCGATTCTATCCGGCCTATTTGCCGACAAAACGCTTCACAATATCCTGATTATTGTCCCTGCTACGCTTCAAAAGCAATGGGTGCAAGAGTTTCAAAAGTGGAATACAGCGATCAAAGTCAAAATATTCAACTCTGGAAGAATCAAACCCAATCATGTTTACATAAGTTCATATGAAAAAGTCCGTTCTGATGCATCAGGGCTTTTGGACATTGATTGGAACATGGTGATTTGCGATGAGGGCCACAGGTAGGATAGCACTTTTGCTTTTCGTTTGTGCATTCTCCTTGTTGATTTCAGGCTTCGAAATCCAAAATGCATGACAACTCGCAACATCAAGCGAATCAATTCGACCAAGCGGATCATCCTAACAGGCTCGCCGATCATGAACTCGCTCACAGAACTCTGGTCCCTGGTCGACTTCGTCCAGCCTGGATTGCTAGGAAAACTAGAGGTTTTCTCAGTAGAACTAGCGGTTCCTATTCAGCAAGGGAGTTTGGCTGGTGCTAATCAAATGCAAATCGTGACCGGGCTGAAATGTGCCGAGGAGCTGAGAGCGATTGTCAAGCCTCTATTGCTTCGTCGATTGAAATCAGACATCAACCTCGTCAAAGTAGAGAAATCCGACAACGCGCTGTTCATAAAGATGACCGAGGAGCAAGAAGCAGTCTACAGAAGTTATCTTGGGACTCAACGAGTCAAAGACGCTCTACTAGAGGGCGCTCACTGCTTTGGAATTCTCGCAAAACTTCGGCAGCTGGTCTCGCATCCCTATTTTGTGGGAGATGCTGAAACGGGGAAAATTACCGATGAACAAATTTCTCGCTCTATTAAAAACCCGACAGTTAGTGGAAAGATGCAAGCATTACTCTCGCTTCTGGGTGGCTGGAGAAAGCAAAAAAGAAAAGTGCTTGGTAAGTTTTATCAGAAAATAATAAATTAAAAATTGGAGCACTTTTCAGTTTTTTGCCAGTGCTTGCCTTCGCTAAAAATGATCGTTGGCATGTGCAATCGCAACAATGTCCCAGTTCTGTCAATCTCCGGCCAGACAGCTGTTGCCACCCGCCAAATGCTCATCAATGAGTTCAACGATTCGCCAGAAGCATTTGCGATGGTGCTGACTTCGCGTGTTGGAGGCGTCGGGCTAAACATTCATGGGGCGACTAGAACTGTAATATTTGAACCTGATTGGAATCCAGGACAGGACGAACAGGTACCTTTTCAATGTTTCTTCATCAATAAATAGTTTTTAAGGCTGCGGCTAGAATCCATCGCCCTCAACAAAAAGAAAATGTCGCGATCTACCGTCTAATTACCACTGACAGCATTGAAGAATGGATCTATCAGCGTCAGATCTACAAGCACAGCGTGGCCCAGCATGTTTTATCCGACAAGCACAACGATCAGCGCTTATTCGACAAAGCTTCCATGGCATGTTTGCTCTTTGGCAAGGGAGATACGGCAGAAACGTTGAAAATGATCGGCGCGGATATCAAGATTGACAAAAAGAAGAAAAAGACAGAGTTGGAGAAAGCAGCTGAAAAAGTTGCAGAAGCACAAGAAAGCTCGATTTCAAAGAGCTTGAAAAAGGTCTACAAAAAGTTTCCTCATCTCAAGCCGAAAAAGACAGATACGATTGACGGAGAGAAGATAGAAGGGCTCCAGAGTTCGTCGAAAATCGATGTTGGCGAGAAGAAGGACTACGGGAAGACGGAGGATTGGGTACTAGCGAGATTGTTTAAGAAAGCAGGGTGCGTGATGGACACAGCAGTCGATCAAGCGGCGATAAAACAGGGCACTGGTAAGCGATATACATTTTTGATGAGTTCAAAATAATATTTCTACTTTTGTAGACTACAAAAGAATCGACGAAGAAGCCCAAAAAGTAGCTAAAGCCGCGGTGGCCGCCCTTCACAAGAACCTTAGACAGCCGAAAGTCAAGTCGATCAAAACGAAAGGATCTTCCTCATCCCTCCTTCAAAAGATGCGCCAGCGAAGAACCGTGGAGGAAGAGGTAGAAGCGCCCATAGCCTTGCCAGATAATGTTCTGAAGAAATCAAAGCTGAATCCAAACTACAAATTGGCGAATAATCTTCGCAATTACATCGAAGAGTTTTGGCGAGGGCCCACGAGTGACGATTTAATCGCCAAGTTCGATGGAAATGTAAAGGACAAGGCAGTTTTCAAAGCTGTTCTGAAGCAGATGGCGGTCTTGGATCCGAAAACCAGGCGGTGGAAACTCAAGCCGCAATACGAATCTTAAAGATTTTTCTGTAAATAATCACATTTTTTCGCATTGATCCTTTTTCTTATTGATATTTTTATCACCATGTTCCTCCTAATGATAGTTCCGAGAATATAACTGACTGTAACGACTACAGTAACTGCCACACAAAATATTAATAAAGCTTAAAAAAAAGAATTGACCATTGTAGGATCAGGCAAAGGCGAGTGAAAAGTATTGAAGAAGCCTGGGGTCGAACCAGGGACCTCCGTGTTCATGAACCGGTGTGCTACCACTGCACTACTTCTCCGGGGACTTTGTCCGCCATTCGAGCCAGTTACTATGCCTAAGAGGAGAGGACCTTCTCCCACAACTCCCTAGTAACTGCTCTAACAACTCGTCTTACATATGCCGCCTTGGGTTTTGGTTCTTTGTCTGGTGCCACGGTCCCCAACCGTTACAAGCCTACCAACCCTCCCAACCTTCAGCTTCTCCTGAGCTACTGAGTGAACCTTTGTCAATCTCAGCTTAGGGTTTGTTTTGGCTACCTAGACAACCCACTGTCTTCACCAGTTTGTAGGATCAGGCAAAGGCGAGTGAAAAGTATTGAAGAAGCCTGGGGTCGAACCAGGGACCTCCGTGTTCATGAACCGGTGTGCTACCACTGCACTACTTCTCCGGGGACTTTGTCCGCCATTCGAGCCAGTTACTATGCCTAAGAGGAGAGGACCTTCTCCCACACCATTAATAACGGTCCATTATCGGGGTTTAGTTGGCAGAACCCAGATGAGATATTCTCCAAGTGACGAGGTCGCAAATTATTATTCTAATGCAGTGGTCAGACTTTGAAGCCAGTGACCCGGTGAGCCGGTGGTGCTCAGTAATTCTTAATCTTTTCAATTATTCACATACCATTATTGCAGGCTCCATTAAATGTCAGGACTGCCTCGTCCAAACTTCAACTAACAGCAGCCTAACTTTTATGTTAAACACATGTGATGCTTTTCCCGCAGGTTGAAAAGGTTTTTTCTGACAGATTTTCGATTTCGAAAAAGAGATAAACGCGTATTTAGCTCAGTGTCCCGTACCTGCTGGTTATAATCGTTCTTGGACTGTATCTTGTTTTTCCGATTATTTTGCTTTTTATTCATATGAAGAACTTAATCCGACAATTCATCCGTAAGAGCAATTTTTCGGCGAACGATTTCAGAGCAATACTAATTTTTTAGCTGGAAGACATGTGGAGATAATGGCTATTTGAAGAACTTCGAACACAAAAGAATATTTCAATCCAACACTAGAGAGAAATAAATCTCATTCTGAATGCTTAATTTTTGCAGGGTAGAGTTCTTGCACGGCTGTCAAAAAATGTCTCCATAAAATGCAAAATTAATATTTGTTCGCGGTACTTTTTGTCTTTGGGGGCTTCTGTTGCACCAGAAACAGCTAAACATGGAAGAGAATACTTTCAAGAGACAATTGGGAATCATCGGCGGCATTAGTTTGGCCGCAGGTTCTACTATTGGCTCTGGCATTTTCACAAACCCAACGCTGGTGCTTGGGTACACTGGCTCCGTAGGTGCGAGTTTGTTGATTTGGGCAGCATGTGGTATAAATGCGATCTTGTGTGGCTTCAGTTATTTAGAAGTTGCCTTATTAATAAGGCAATCCGGTGGCACTTACGGAACGGCTCTTTGAATATTGATAATTTTAAGGCGCTTTGTTCGAAAAATTGAATATTGGAAAACTTGTCTATATTCTGAGTAAAGCCTACTTGAGCGTACTGGCACGAAGCATTTGGCCCAGTCCCTGCGTACTTTGTTTGCTGGTTCTGGTCGGTAATAGATGGCCCTGCGGGATTGGTCATCGTCGGACTCACGCTGGCGGATAATATTCTAGCGCCGTTTTACCCCGGATGCTATCCGCCTCAGATACTCGTAAAGATGGTCGCATTCATCGCTGTTCTCCTCCTCTCAGTAATGAATGGCTACTCAGTTCCGCTTTCAAACAAGCTGCAGATCGTAACAATGGCGGGTAAGATCCTTGTTTTGGGCATGATCGGTGGCGCTGGAATCTACAATATCATCATTGGTCAGACAGGGAGTTTATCAACTGGATTCGAGGGCAGCTCAACCAACGTGGCCGACTACGCTGTGGCTTTCTACACTTGTATGTGGTCGTATGGCGGTTGGGAGCGCGTGTGCCAGTGTTTCGAAGAGATCAAGAATCCTAGCAGAAATATTCCAATCATCATTGGCGCCTCGATCTTGCTCACGACGACCATATATGTTACCGTCAATATTGCATATTTTACGGTGATGACTCCAGCAGAGTTTTTGCAGTCATCAGCAGTCGCGGTCACTTTCGGAGATCGAATTTTTGGCTCGTTTTCGTGGATTATTCCCGCTGGAATCGCGCTGTCAAGTTTTCAATAACAACAAAGATAATATCTTTTCGGGCATGAAAAACTTCTATTAGAGTACTCTTGGATCAATGAATGGTATTTGCTGGGCATATTCGCGAATTCCCTTCATCGGAGCGCGAAAAAACCAGCTGCCGAAGGTTTTCTTGGCTTTTCAATTTTCATGTCTCGCTAGACCGTTGTCCGCAAGACTTTTATCGGCCTATGAATATGCAAATAGTTGTCTAGCGTTGACAAGATTATGGTCAATTATTCTCAAATTAAATGCAAATTAAGCATCTCGGTCTAATTTCATACGAGCGAAAGACGCCTCTCGTCGGCCAAAGCTTTCTGCTGATCATTGCGACTATCATGGTGATTCCTGAGTCGACGAATATTGCCTCGCTTATTGATTATGTCTCGCCCTTGACTTGGATTCTAGCGAGCGGAGTGTTTGCTAGTATTTTTGTATTCCGATACGGGGTTGATTTGAAACCGGTATTTTTGGAAGAAATCAAGGTTAACCCTCAAAAGCGCTAAGAAAAAGGACAAGAGGGAATTCCGAGTTCCTCTGGAATGTTTGAAGATTAAACAGAATTAAATTCATTATTCAAACGTTTATTCAAACTTATAAAAGATCATTCCGATTGTCTGAGTATGGGTTTTTCACATAAAAAATGCAGAAAGAGGTTATATTCTTAAAGAACCATTTTAAGCTTGATTACCAACTTGGCATCGATTTTCATTCCAATAATTATGCAGCCAAGGAAAGGATCAATTATGAAAAGGGATTGAGCAAAGAAAGAGCTGCTTGATCCTTTTTGCAGCTTGGAGTACTTGATCGGAGCGGCTGTTATTGCTGCTGGTTATTTGATCTACATTCCATTTTTCTACTTCGATGTCAATTTTCCAGGCTCCGACAAGATCTATGTCTTCTTGCAGATCTTCTTTGAATGCGTGCCAAATGATTTCTCGGAAGAAAAACTTGAGTGAGATCAACGAAGATTATTTTTCAAAGAAAAATTCCATACTACCATTCTTACTGCAACAGAAGGTCAAACACAGATAGGAAATATAAGCGTTAATCGTTTTTTTTTTGTCTTAAACAATTCTACCCCTACGGCAACAATCCTAAATGATTTTAACAAGGAGTAATTGAGCGAGCTCCGCCGGCTGGGCCGTCGATTTCTTCTCCTTTTGTGAAATTATAGATGGACGTACCGGAGGGGAGCCGCGGAGCAAAGAATGCTCCTAAAGGTTGAATAATGTATGTGCTTGATTGGGCTAGAGCCGTTCCGAAAACCAAACACAAGACCGATAACCTCACGCCCTCGGCAATCAGAGAAACCATGAAGCATTATCGGAACTAGAATTTTTGAGTCAGGAGGGACTCGTCTGCCCTGCTATCCGGCGGGTGACCAGAATGGCCGGACCAAGCGGGTGACAAGTCCGCCCTGGCCGGACTGCCCTTCTCCGCAGGGGACTGCGAGTCTCGGTCGGAAATTGCGAAGTGACCTTACAAAATCTTGATCATAAGGGTGTTCCGACAGTGCAGCTTATCTGCACTAGGTTCATTTTTCAGAGGATCAAGAGCATTTTTCTTCAAAAATTTTCAGGAAAAAGGCTATTCATACAAAAACGAATATGAAGATTCCGAAAATCGAGGTAATAACTTCTGAAAATAAAAGTTTCTTCATGAAAACATGCATCAAAGAACATCCTCTTCTTATCTAATTATATATCAGCTGTCTTATGATCTTCTTTCCTGTTTGAATTTTCTTTTAACTTTCTTCCAGCTGATCTTCTGACTTTGTCGGAGTAATTACAGATGCTTCGTTTATGTTTTCACCTAACGGAAAGCTATTTAATTGTTCTGTCCTTCTCGTTCAATCAGAAAGTAAAAGAAATGAGTGAGATATTTTCGAAACTCAAAAAAGCTTTGCCAATTGGTAAAGCAGGCTCAGAGATTTTGCCACATCCCAGTAATCAACGATTCATCTTTACAGTCAGGAGCGTTTACAAAGATAGCGTACAGCTCACTTGTTTTCACCGTGACGGTAAGAATAAGTGTCAGAAGATCAGCTGGAAGAACATTAAAGGAAATTCAAACAGGAAAGAAGATCATAAGACAGCTGTTATATAATTAGATAAGAAGAGGATGGTCTTTGATGCATGTTTTCATGAAGAAACTTTCATTTTCAGAAGTTATAAACTCGATTTTCGGAATCTTCATATTCGTTTTTGTATAAATAGCCTTTTTCCTGAAAATATTTGAAGAAAAATGCTCTTGATCCTCTGAAAAATGAACCTAGTGCAGATAAGCTGCACTGTCGGAACACCCTTATGATCAAGATTTTGTACGGTCACTTAGCAATTTCCCACCGAGACTCGCAGTCCCCTGCGTAGAAGGGCAGTCTGGCCAGGGCGGACTTGTCACCCGCTTGGTCCGGCCATTCTGGTCACCCGCCGGATAGCAGGGCAGACGAGTCCCTCTTACCCCGAATTTTTCAATAGATAGAGATCTAAGAAAAAAAGAAGAACCAACAAACAATGAGTCTTACCCTGACTTTGCACTCGATTTCAGGGCTGAAGGGACATGGAGACAGGGTCGCAAAAATTACGTTTAGAGGTAGAATTCTTGATTTCTTTGGTTATTGAAAATTATGTTTTTCCGAAGAATTATCTCATTCAACGAGATTATTGCAAAATTGTGGCGCTGACGCTCTTTTCGGGGAGAAATTCGAATGGCCTGTCGCCTCTGATGTCCAAGATGGCGATGTCATCGAAGTCTGTCTCTACAACAGTCTTGTTTTCGGCCGAAACAAGGTGGTTGGTCGATTTGTCATGGTCCTCCAAGAAGTCGTGAAAGTCGGCTTCCTTGAAGTCTCCGAAACGCTTCTAGACGATAATAACTGTGCGTTACAGGCAACAATCAGGTGCGTCTCCGCAGACTGCAAGTCACAGTTTTACGCGCTCACCCGGCTTTGCATAATTCATTCATTCAGGTTGACGTTGACTTACTCGGCCCCAGATGGCACCGTTGGTTCGTGGCAAACCGAGGAGTTCCGCCCATCTGGCCGGCCAAACTCGGCTTTTGAGCTAGACGAAGAGTCAGATGCGCGCTCACTACGGTACTTATCTAATTACACATATCTATCTACCTACAGGGCTCTTCGTCTTGCATTAAAAATTAACACCCGAATTGAATAATGCACGCAAGGCCGGATCATTGATGATCCTTCGAACACTTGGCCCGTTCTTTTCTGAATTCAAACAAACATTCTAACAATTACTGTAACGGTAGATACTTATGCTTACTATTACTAGCTCCGATACTGGTGAAAACATGCCTTTAATCCGCTCGCGAACAAGCGACGCTCGGTAAATTTCGCGTTGTGAGAATTTTTACTAACATTCAATAGCACCAATTTTTTTTTCTTTTCAAAAAAATCACATGATTAGTGGTTCGTCGAAAAACTCGAAATCGGGGCGACGGGCTTCAGCTCCAAGGTTTACTTTTGTAACTAACGTCTCTTCCATGATTTCATTTTAACGAATTCATTTTACTCAGAGGGCGCAAGAGAGTGCTCTTCGAACTCGGATTAAAAAGGCTTTCTCTGTGGTATTTTTTTAATTGAATCTAATTAAAAATTATAAAATAATTCTTTAATGAAATGGTTAAACGCAGAGAAAGTATAAAAAAAGTTTCATGAGTTTTTCGTCGTTTTTTCTCTTTGTTACTCGTTGTTCTGAACTGCTGATTTCACCAGTTACAGATGCTGAATTTTTATGTTACAGTATCGCTATGTCAAGCATCTCGGGCTTGAAAAGGTTACGTAATCGGAAAGCTTCGCACGCCGATATTCTTGAAGAGGGATCGCTGAATGTTCCAGCCAGGTAATTTTTCGCCGCCGAAAAATTACCGCTTTTCCACATCATCTAACATCTATCTGTCCGGGCGCCTTGAAAACAAGGTCGTAGTAGATGTCCACCTGTCACGAAAGTGAGTTGTTGTGTTAAATAATTCAACCGAGAGAAAAAATGAAGGACGAGCTCGATTTGATGCCGCTTATTGCCGCTAATAATAAAGATATTTGTGAGAATCGATCGCCAATTGTCAAGTCTAGGAATGAGTCTCAAAAATTTTGAGTCAAAATAACCCGAAAATGACAAGTTAGAATTAATTGAAAGTCTCGAACGAAGATCGTCCACATTCTTTCCCGCATGCGAAGCTCAGTCTTCAGAAAATTTACCCCCGCTGAAAGGCGTCACATTTAAAACTAAATCTACTAGGTCCAAAGGGCTGATGAAGGCCATCGGGCTGCAGAAAAAGCAGCGCCCGGTAGACTCACGAGAATCCTCTAACCGCGCTTCAATGCACGTTCTTCCTAACTCTTCCCAGGACAGGGCTAACCCTAACCATAACTAACAAAAAAATAATCTCTGCCGAACTCAAGCTCTAATTTTGAAAATTTCTATTCTTGGCGAGTCTCCAGCACTTTCAATCTATTATCGTTATTCTCCAAATTAGCCGCAGAAAGCCGATAACTGCGATCCCACCTCATTTGCAGCAGCAGCGTCAATTCAATTTCGGCATCGGTCAATGCTAATTCAACTTGAATAAAAAGCTCTCTCGACCTGATTTTTTTCTGAGCGCTATTCATTATTCATCCTACTAAATCATAAACCCATTTGCCGATGCCGCAGACAGATCCCCTAAGCGATGGACAGTCAATCGTTTCGAATAATGTCATCACGGAACCATGCACGAACAAACGCTCAAAGCCAGAGATGGCGTCCGAGAGTCAAATCGGACTCAGGAATAACCAATTCCAAGTCACAATTACTGTCATTGAAGCCCGTCAGCTGATGGGAACGAACATGGATCCAGTGGTGGAAGTTAAAGGAAAAGTGATAAGATATCAATCGCTGATAGTACTCGTCACTTACCAATTTTTTCATTTGAAAGATCAATTATTAACTGCCGTTCTCACTCATTACAGTCGGCGACGAGTGCCGTTTTACATCACAAAAGTCCTCCACGAACTGCCCTTATTACAACGAAGTATTCGTCTTTGATTTCAACATACCACGCGGCGTGTTTTTGGACAAAATGGTGACGTTGACGGTGTTGCACTCAAAGAATATGCTTCGAAGTGGAACTCTCGTGGGCCGCTTCAAAATGGACGTCCGAACAGTCTATGAAGGCTCGGTTCACTGAATATTCAATTTTTCTGAATCTTAATCTTGAGTTAATTTGAACTTACACTGAACCATGTTCAAGCACCGGATCATCAATTCTTTCATCGATGGGCGATTTTGACCGACGGAAAAAACGCCGCTTGCAAAGGATATTTGAAGATGGACATCTCCGTGTTGGCAAAAGGCGATATGCTCAGAAGCATCAAACCTACTGATAATGACAAAGAAGACGACATAGAAAACAATCTTCTTCTCCCTCATGGAATTACCGAACGAGTAATGGCGCGATATTATTTCCGCGTCTTCTACGCCGAAGGATTGCCGAAAATGTCCTCCGACACGGTCGGCAAGATCAAGTCGGTGATCAAGGGCGAAAACAGGGATCTGATCGATCCGTATGTAGAAATTTCCTTCGCTGGGCAGAAAAGAAGGACTTCAACGGAACATACTTACGAAGCTCAATGGAATGAAATGCTGCAGTTTACAGAGCTCTTTCCAGCTCTTTGTCAACGAGTTCAGGTAAAAGATATACTCATTTACGCCTTGCTCATTATTCGATCTTTCAGATCCAAGTTCGAAACGACGGGATGCAAGACAGCGTCATTGCCACTCACTTTCTGGACATGTCAAAGATCTCCAATCAAGGAGATAAAGGATACCTGCCAACGTTTGGCCCGACGTACATAAATTTATACGGCTCTCCGCGAGGTTACTCTGTCACTGGCGAGCATGGAGAATTGAATGATGGAATCGGAGAAGGAGTTGCTTTCCGTGGCCGATTAGTAGTTGCTTGTCATATTGAGCTGATCGACGAGGCAGCTGATGACAATGCAATGGAAGATTCTGATGATGAAGCAGAGCCGAGACCGATTCAAAGTCTCTCCGAAAACAGTCTGGGAAGAGTAGAAGAGTTCTTCCTCTTTACAACTTTCCTCGAAGCATCAATGATCGACAAAAAAGCGACTGATAAACCGATTAGCTTTGAAGTATCGATTGGTAATTATGGAAATGTCGTGGATGGAAAAAATATTCCTTCAAAAAGTGATCGTCAAAAGGACGCTGATGACGATCATGATGATGCTGACACAAAAAGGACGAGTTATCCTATCTTTAATCACTTATTCAAATAAGCTAGAATCAAACGAATATCAAATAACAACCAATTCGACCATCAGTTTTTTAAGATTAAAAAACTGAAAGATATAGAGTTAAATAAATAAATTTATTTCATATCAAACGAAAAAAACTAGAGCTCAGTAGATCCGACTGAAGAGGGGGAGATTCGAAGGTTGTCTCGTGGGCTCACTTCGCCCCAGACGGAGGGCGACACTTTTCTAAGTCCCAATACTGGCCAGGCGGCGATCTTTTGCCAGATTGACTAGAAAATATTGTTTTTATATTAAATTTTGTTTTTTCTTACCTTTGGCTCCGAATTTTCCCGAGGAGTCTCGACTGGCGATGGAATCGTCATCTCACTGACAACAGTGCGGACCGTAGATGCTGACCATGGTCGAGTGACTGGCGGCAATTCTTCTAAATTGAATTTCATAAAGGATTATCTAATAATTTTACCTGGGATGAATGAGAGCAGCGAGTCCAAAATTTCAGCAGCGATTTCCTCCTTTTCACGATTTTCATCGTAGTTCTTGGCGAATGGCGTAAGCCGGAAGCTCTTAACGGACGAGAAAGATCTTGCGCTCTTAGGCCTCTCCTGCTGTCGTCGCTTTGTCGCTTTTTTACCCAAGGGCAGCGGCTTTCGGAAAACCGTATCGGTGGCCCGAGCGCTAAAATAATTATGAGAACTTTCAACTTTTTAATATTTCTTTGCAAGAAACTCTTACCTAGCCAAAGGCACCATGGGAGGACCCTCTGGTTCGTCGTTGGTCCCTGCTGAACAGATCAGAAATTTTTTCATCCTCTTCCAAAATTTTTTGGTAGCTTTCATTTTTTGTTGATAAATGTTCTGAAGATACAGTTAAATTACAGTTTAAATTATGGCCTACAGTCTTTTGACTAAAGATAACAGGGAAATTGGAGAAACATGCTTACTTTAGATAAGAAATAGTCGAACTGATTTGAAAATGATAAAATGGTCGGGATGTCAACAGACGTTCTAGAAACACTTTATTAAAAATTTTAATAACTCGGTCCACAGTCTTATCAGTCAATCGAACATGTCGGTTCATTCATTTTCCGCAGAAGCTGCTGCAGATTGCCGTTCTACAACTCCTTCCATGCGTCCATTAACAAACGACAAACAATATTATCATATGCCTTTCAACGAGCGTAAACCGTGTTGCTATGTCACTTCTTACTGGCACGATCACAAGCGGCGACTGTACAATACAAACTTGTTGGAGCGCGTTTGCGACAAGCTGAGGGAAGGAATAGACGATGTGGAAGAAATGACGAGGACTGAACAAGAGCATCCCGAAAGACGACTCAGAGCGGTAATGGACGACCTTGCCAACGGGACTGCTACGTATCTCAGACTTGTTAAGTCGGCTGGAAATCAGACAGGAATGAGTTTCAGATAATATGAGCTACAGTCAAAACGCACAATTCCGGAACGCACAATTCCGGAGATTTAGGGGTGAGCCGAAAAAATTTTGAATCGCACAATCCCGGAGATTTTCGAAAAAAAATCGAACTTCGGGCATTTTTTAAGAGAAATACTGGGAATCTCAGCTTGTGTTTTTGGATTTTTCATTTTTTTCTGTAAAGAAAATGTCCGTTTTATGAAATCTTTGCTTTTTCATCGCATTTTCAAAGGAGGAAACCTCGAAAACTCGGTTTCAGCCTCGAGGTTCGGCCATAGTGAGCTTGACCCCATAAAAACAGATTTTTTGAGAGGAGAAAAATTTTTTATCGAAAATCCGCACAATTCCGGAGATTTTGCCATTTTCGCTGAAAAAAAGTTCCGGAATTGTGCGTTTTGACTGTATATAAATTTCGATATTATTCAATGAACTTTATCCCTCCTTGTTGTCATCATCAAAACTCAATCTCAGGAGCCAGCGCAGTTGGACGCACTCGCCTCGACCGAGAACGTCAGCGTCTATGTCTCCGCGAAATCGAACGAGTATCAAACGAAGCTGCGGCTGTCAGAAAAGTTCGAAAGTCAAATCTTGACGAAAAACTTGCCCAGGCGAATGACTTGCTCGTTACGCTCAATAAACTAATGGCAGAGCCACAAGACTCTGTTCCAGACATCATTATCTGGATGCTTCGAGGAGGAAAGCGGCATGCTTTTACCAAAATAAGCGCTCGGCAAGTTTTTCATTCAATCGTTGAGGAAGAGAGTGGGAAACATTGTGGGAAGATTCAAACTCGCTTTCTGACCCTTCCTGGTCGCAAAGGACTTGGAAGTTCTGGCTGGACAATTCAAGCGAAACTAGAAATTTACATGTGGTTTGGCCTAGCGAAAAACAAAAAGACTACCTCAGAGGCCTTCCAAACGGTTACGATCTTCCACCGGGACTCCCTGTCGGAGTCCCTCCTCCATTTATCATTTACAAAGACCGACAACAATTCGTTCTTCGCAGCCATCTTTTCCAAGGCAGAGGGCTTATTGCTGCGGATAGCTCGGGATTATCAGATCCTTTCGCAAAGGTCATTTTTTCAACATGTGTCGGAAGAACACAAGTGATTGATAAGACCCTCTCACCCACGTGGGACGAGATGATTGAAATGACTGACATAACAATGTATGGAAAAGCAGAAGATTTCCAAAACGATCCGCCGATGGTCATTGTCGAAATTTTCGACCAAGACGAAGAAATGTCATTTCTAGGGCAAGGCGGAAAAGAAAAAGCGGAGTACATTGGGCGGTTGATCGCCAAACCAGTTGTAAAAATGGCCGGCGATCCATACGACAAGCCGAATTTCCCACCAACTTTGGACTGGTATCAAGTTTACAGAGGAACAGTACGAGCTGGTGAAGTTCTAGCCTGCTTCGAGCTTCTCCAACAACCAGTCGACTCAAGAACTCTTGAAAAGAAGCTGTGGAGAATCTGGTGCGAGTCAAAAGGTCTTCCCATGAAAGAAAACGACATAAAGGTTGTCGACAAGAGAATCACAGAACAGGGCGTCTGCGTCTCCGTACCTCGCGGAATCCGACCGATTCTAGCACCTCATCGCGTTGAAGTTCTTTTCTGGGGACTCAGGGACCTCAAGCGCGTGAATTTGATGGCAGTCAATCACCCACGAGTCGAAGTCGAAATCGCGGGAAAATCGATTGAATCAGAAATCATCGAGAACTACAAGAAAAATCCCAACTTTAGCATACCTATTAAATTTATCGAAGACGTCGAGCTTCCCGACAATCAGTACTTATGTCCTCCAATAACGATCAAGGCGAAAGACACGCGAACATTTGGCCAAGATATTCTCCTTGGAACTCATATCATTCGGAATGTATCCAAATTTTTCTACACGTGTCCGCCCAAACACTCCCTTGCTGCTGATGAGGCAAGTTTAGTCATTCAGGGATCAATTCACGAAAGTCAAAATGTCGCGGCAAAAGAGACAAAATCAGCGGTCCTTGTTCCAATCGACGAAGATTCAAAAAAAGATGACGAAGAAGAAGCCACGGACGAAGTTGCGCTCGACTGGTGGAGCAAGTACTTTGCCTCAAAAGGTTGAAATAGTTTATATTCCCAATCTAACTGTTCTTAGAAACGAATAAAGCGGACAAAGCAGAAGCCGAACAAAACGCAGAACCTGCGTCTGATGATGAAAACGGCAACAATGCTGCGGAGAACTCAAAAGATCCCCCTGTAGATAGTGAAACACAATCATCAGCTAGGTTCTTACTCGACAATTATCTATATTCGTTTGTAACGGATCACTTTCAGTAGGTTTAAGATTTTCAAAAATTCAAAAGACACCGAGAACGTCAAAACTGAACCGGCCTTCGTTGCCAAAGCCACCTGAGATTCAGTCAGACCCTGATTTTGAGGGAGCCAATGTTCCTAATGTTGATGAGGAACCAGAGGAAGTAAGATTTTTATTCTAAACACTAACTCTCCTGGGTGAAATCTAACCTTGCACAAAACACTAACAAAAACTCTGCCTGAACCTATGAAACAGTACCTAACCACACAAGCGGTGATAACAGTACTAAACCTGGTGCCAAAAAGCTGATTGCTGGAAACATCATGTCTGCGGTCCAGAAAGCTCAGCGCTTGACTCCTTCGCATCGTCGTAAAAAGAAATCTAAGATCATCGAAGAGCTCAAAATATTCGACGCAGAACTTGAAGCGCAACCTGAATTCAATGGCTTCACCGATTTGTTCCATTCATTTGAACTCTACAGAGGAAAGGTAAGACTTGAAAGGCCTCAAGGACAGTCTCATAGTTAAAAAATACTGAATGAGATAATTGATAGACAATTCACCTACTATTTAGACGCGAGATGAAGTAAGTTAATCTTTATTTATGCATGTTATATTTACCCGAGATACAGAGGAATTCTCGAGGCACCACTTGACAATTCCTATATCTTTCAATCAACCGCACTTTTTTATACGATCTTTCTCAATGATTTTTCCATGTTTCTGACTTTCGAAAAGGCTCAACTTATTTCAGATGTCCGATGATGGATCAGACGAGAACCGAGTCGTGGGAGGCTTCAAAGGTGGCTTTAAAATCTATCGCATGCCTGTTCCAAAGGATTCTGAGCAGCCTTGTCCAGTGAATGGAATGTTCAAAGGTTAGCTACCGAGTTTTAGCGCTTTCAAAACTCTTTAGGGCTTCCTTCAAATGAGCCGATTCATGTCCTTTGCCGTGTATATATTGTACAATGTAACGATCTCCATCCAATGGATCCAAATGGAAAGGCTGATCCCTACCTAAAAATAACTCTCGGCGGAACTACCATAAACGACAAGGATAACTACGTGAGCAAACAGTTAAATCCCGTCTTCGGGAAGTGCTTCGACATCGAAGCCACATTCCCTATGGATTCTCAGCTATCAGTTCAAGTGTTTGATTGGGATTTGCTTTCTGGAGATGATCTTATTGGTGAAACAAAGGTAATTCAAGAGATTTGATTTAAATTGACAATCTTCAGATCGACCTGGAGAACAGATTCTATTCAAAGCATCGCGCTACTTGTGGCTACAGTCAAAGATATGCAATCTTCGGCTATAATCAGTGGAGAGATCCACAAAAGCCGACGCAGATTCTAACAAAACTTTGCAAAGGTTCTTAATCACAAAACCTCTCTTTTAAAAACTTAAATAGAAGCGAAACTGGATGGTCCTTACTTTGAAAATGGAAAAGTTAGAATCGGCAAAAGAACATTCACTGGCCAGCAAGAAATCGAAGACGAGAATGGTCTAAGGTAAAAATGTTTATTCTTAGCCATTTCTATGATTATTTTAGGAAAGCCACATCTGAGCATGCCGCTCTGATCGCTCTCAAAAACTGGCATGACATGCCGAAAGCTGGAGTGAGCCTTGTTCCAGAGCACGTAGAATGTCGAGGACTCTATAATCCAGAAAATCCGGGCATCGAGCAAGGAAAGGTTGAGATGTGGGTTGATATGTTTCCGATGGACATGCCTGCACCCGGTCCGCCAGGTGACGAAATCTTGCCTGATGGTTTTGTTGATGATTGCTTTAGTCGATATTTCACCGCGAAAGCCGAAGAAATACGAACTGAGAGTAATCATTTGGAACACAGATGAAGTCATTTGTGAAGACGACGATGTGTTCACTGGCGAGAAAATGTCAGATATTTACGTCAAAGGCTGGATAAACGGCTTGGATGAGGATAAACAAGAGACTGACATTCACTATCGAAGTTTAACGGGCGAAGGCAACTTCAACTGGCGTTTTATGTTCCCCGTGAGTTATTTACGTAGCCTCCCTGCCAACTTGAATTCACGTTTTTACGTGAATTTCACACGAAGGGCGTAAATCATCAACCCATCAAAATTGCCAAGTATAATTCCACAATATTGCTACGTTATATGTCAAATGCCTGCGTCAGTTAATCCAATGCACAGCTTTTTTAAAGACCACCGTATGACAGACTCATCCTTTTGACTTTTGATGCTAATCTCACTCGTAAAAATATAGAATGCTTAGGTTTGCCAGAGTTGAAAAAATATGTAATTGCGTCTTTCTAGTTTGATTATCTCGTCGCCGAGCAGAAGATAGTCGTCTCGAAGAAGGAATCCGTCTTATCATGGGACGAAACAGAGTTCAGGCTTCCAGCAAGGCTGACGTTGCAAGTGTGGGATGCGGATCACTTTTCTGCCGATGATTTCTTGGGAGAAATGGTTCTTGATCTCAATGCAATGCCAAGAGGCGCTAAGACAGCGAAAAGTTGCACTGTAGAAACTTGTACGCTAGAAAACGGAAATATTCCTACTGTTTCGGTATTTAATTTTCAATTTTAAATTTTACTTGAAGCCATCATATCTTAGCTCTTCCAACTGCGGCGTATAAAAGGTTGGTGGCCATTCCTGCGGACGGATGAAGCAAACCCGACTGGTGAAAAAGAAGTTACGGGGAAGGTTGAAGCAGAAATCCACCTCATGACCTTCGAGGAAGCTGAAAAGGCCCCAGCTGGTCGCGGTCGAGAAGAACCGGATCCACTTGAAAAGCCAAACCGCCCTGATACCTCATTCGTGTGGTTCATGACCCCACTCAAATCCATTCAATACCTCATCTGCGTCCGGTAAAGACAGTAATTTTTGTTTTGTCATGTTAAATTTTGATGCATCGATCAAAATTGAAAAATGTATCTCGTTTGTATTCAGGTTCAAATCGTTGTTGATCAAAATCATTATTTTCGGCTTGATTGGGTTGTTGCTTGGATTGTTCTTGTACTCTGCGCCCGGATTGATCATGCAGAAGATACTAGGATAGGGTCGAAATGATGACCCATTTTATGTGATGTATCTTTCCTGATGAAGAAGGAAATATACTCTTATTTGTGATTTTTAAAGACCCGAATCTCCAGGAGTTTAACGCTCTCTTAACCTGTTTATTCTGTATTACGAATTCAGATTCAAATGGTGGCTCATCAAGGGACTCTGTTTCTTCTTAGTCCTGCTCCTTTTCGGCCTGTTCCTGTACTCTGCGCCTGGACTCATCATGCAGAAGCTTCTTGGAGTTTAAAATGTTCAATGAATATGCGCTTTGTTTTATTTATATAAATCTTTTACATTCAAATAAAGAACAAGTTGATTCTTGTCGAGAACAGACACATAAATAGAAAAGTGGTTAGACGTTCATCATTCCACCATCGACGATGGAGTCGCGAATATCTTTCATGAACCGAGCGAAATCGAGAATTCCTTGGTTGTGATCTTGTGCTAGCAAATCCACCTGAACGATTCTATTCATACTTTCAAATAGGAAATGATACTCACACTGTCGCAGGATTTGACAACTCTGAGGGGCGTCTCTTCCGTGATGAACTTGAAATCTTCAGTCATTCCGATGACGTTTACGTATTCTGTCGAGTAGGCTCGTCGGTAGTCAGCTCGTTTTGCCAGTGGAGCGTTTCCATCGAATGCGATTGTGTACTATCAAAAGTTTAAGAAACAGGTTGATTATTAATTAAATGATAGACATAATATTACTGTAAAAAATTACCTTTACAAGTTCTCTGACATGCTTAGATTTCTTATCAAAGAGTCCCATGAACACTAGCAAGGAGAAGAATGAAAAAGATGTGCTAATCGAGAAAAGCTTTCCAGATTGATTCTATGCCTCGGGAGGTCGTATTTATATACGGAAAGTTCCACAAGATGGCTCCACAGTAGGGCCTCCAAAGTGACGTAAGGTATTTGCCATTTTAAGTTTTACGAGACATTTCCAGAGCAGGCACATTTTCACGTGAACAATAGATGTTGTAAACAAGTTTGTGTAAGAGTTATCAATCGTCAAGTAACAGATAACTCTTTCTCTTTTTTTAAGATTGCTGGCTGTGTTTATTGCAATTTTACTAGTGATCAAAGAACTTTCAAGGAAATGTGCTTATTCAGTTGTCCTCAGCAAGTTTTCCGAAGACAGCTGCAGGAATGGTCTGCTTCTTGATGTCCATTGATGGCTCTTCTCCTGCAGAATCGTCGTCGTCGTCATCATCAAGGTTGATTTCATCCTTGTTTCCGACAGCTTCGGCTGGAGGAGCATCTTTCTTGAGCAGAGCATTGGTGCTTGAAGCGACGAAGCGGATGTTTCCACCCTCGACTTCTTTCGCCTTCTTCGCATGCAACAGGGCTGCTTGCTGTTCCATCATTCTCATGTCGCCATCGCCGTCATCTTCCTCATCAGGAGCGAGATCGGCGATTGTACCAGTCGGTTCAGCATTTTGAGCAAGCATAGCAGCGGCCATGTAATTGACCTGAGTGTTATGAGTAGCTGCGACTTGGCGCTTGACGCGGAGCATTTCGCGAATGGTATCTTCGTTTCCGTGCTCAGTTTCGAACGATTCCCATTTGGACCAAAAGTCCTTGTGAACGTCTGGATTACACAGATTCGCAGCATGGGTGAAAATAGCCCGCGCTCGGTCCGTTTCGCCGAGTTTTCTGATTGAAATGTTAAAAATGACAAAATAAGTAGGAGGATTACCGTTCGAGCTCAGCGTAACGGATACACATTTCCCGGCTTCCATCAGCGTTGAGCTTGTTGATAGCGTCTTCGTAAACTGGTCGACAGGCAGTGATCCCATGCAGTTCCGCCGTCCGCTTGACGTAGATCGTAAAGACCTCGAGTTTCTCATCCTCTTTGACTGAAATAATCAGTAAGAAATTGAATAAGCAGCAGCAGTGTTAACCTTTTTCAATAGATTTTTTGTAGATATCCATCGATCGCTTGACCAACCCATGTTCTTCCTCCAACTTTGCGTAGAGCAAAAAGATCTTCTTCGAGAACTCTGTCGGCATTCCTTGAATACATTGCTCGAACAAATCTCGCGCGCGCTCCAACTTGCTTCCTTTGAAGCGATCGAGGAACTTGACAAGATACGTCTGCCAAATGTCGAAAACATGAGGCCAAGTAAAGAGTTCCACACCTCGCTCGTACGCTAAAATAGACTGTTATTGTCGAGCACAAACTGACAGGGAAGAGAAACTCATGAGAAAGGGAGATGATTCAAGACAAGGGGAAGGGCTTGGTATTTAGCAAAATGTCAGGTTGAGTAAGACGCAAACTCGAGGTCTCAGAGACGATCTGGGTTACTCAGTATCTCTTACCTTTAAAAGACTCCTCGAAATACTGATTTTCTTCCAAGAACAAGGCAAAGTTGAGGATAATCTGCGGCGTTGCAATTTTCAAATCAATTATTCTTTCGTACACTTGCTTTGTGCTGCTGAAGTTGCCAAAACTCTCCTCTAAATCAGCGTACATAGACCAGAGCTTCAAACTTCTGTAGACACGGTTTTGCACGGGCTCGGAATTGTCAAAGTACTTCGCTCGCTTCTTCGGAATTGCGGTGCTTCGTCGCATGAGGCTCAAAGCACCATCGTAGTGCTCTTGACGGAGTTCCATCTCGGCGTATTCGCACCAGACAGCGGCCAAATCGTCCACAGATCGGAACTGCACCTTCGCCGCTTTCTCGAAAATCGTCCGAGCATCGTCGATCTGGTCGTTTTCTTCGTAGAACTTGGCGAACGCGACCCACAACTTGTAAAGCTTGCCGACTGCTTTCATCGGATCGACAGTTTGAAGAGCTTCGGTAAATGTATTGATGCACTGACGAGGTTTTTCTTTGTAAAGCTCGGCTCGCTTAAGCCACTCGTGGACATTGTGGGGGTTTTGGCGAAGAAGAACGGAATTGACCAGGAAGGGTCGTCGCTCAAGGAGGTCTTCGAAACGAGCAAGCTGCATTTCTAGTTCATCTTCATCGGTTACGTCCTGAACATGAAGATAAATTCTGAAGAGAATCTCAACTGATTTACCTGCATAGAGTTAGAAATCAGTTCTTCCTCAAACGCCGCAAACGCATCAAAAATCTGCGTAAAATCTCTAACAGTCTTAACACTCTGAATTCCTTCTTCATAAACATCTCTGGCTTTCTCAAACAACGCCTGTCGGATGTAATAGTCGGCCAAGAGACACCATTGTTCCCCAACTTGATCTGTAAACTTTCTAAAGCCGGAACGAATGATCGCATCGGCGTTCAATCCCTTGATCTCGTCAGGATGTTTTGCGATCAGATCGCAGAGCTCTTGCCACAGCTGGTGCTTCGATTTACCGTTGCGGGAGTTGAAATTGTCGTCGTTCACGATGTCTCAGATTGGCATGAAAATGACTATTTCAAGGTGTAGAAAATTTAACAGATGTCGCACTTTTTGATAGTTTAAAATTCGGGTACTGGTACACAGAGTTATAGTCATGTTTTTTTACTCAAAAATATTGATACGATTAAAATGAAACTGCACACTTAAAAGCTCTGAGTTAACAAGAACCGCCTATTCAGAATAAAGATAGTAGATAAATGATCTTCTTTTGAAATTATCTCATCCCAGTGCCTGAAAGATATCTCGCAGCTTCATCCATTCGATCGTTCTTGAGCAGGTAGTCAATAAATTCCTCAATGCATTCGGGCGAGAGCTTCACAAATCGTCTGAAGCATCTAACCGCGGTTTCGGTGATGTCATGTCTTTTCAAGAATTTAATGTAGACCATCCAGATTCGATTGTGCTGAGTCACGGGGAGCGCTCGAAGAGCCCTGTCAAATGTTCGTCGAGTTCTAGTGACGTATTCTTGTCGCATTAACCACTCGCCGTAGTCGATCCAGATTCGAGGCATTTTGTGCATGAAGACCAGGGCGCGCTCGTGAGCGTTATTTGCGTCTTCATACGAGGGATGCTGGATGGAAAGGCCTGAAAAGGTGATGAAAAAGGGCTGAAACGAACGATGATTTTACCCTTGCATTGTCTTCTTCGTTCGCGGAGATACTTGTACCAGAGCTTGTATGATCCAGGAAGTTGCTTCAAAGCTCGCTAAAAAATTGAAAAATTCAGGTAAAGAAATAGATTTCCGGATCAAAATTTTCACCTCGTAAATCATGTTCAATCCTTCAAAACCTCCATCCTGCTTGTGCTCAATGTACCGGAGCCAGGTCTGGACGGAGTGTGGATTTCGCTGACACTCCTCTTCGTACACAAAATCATCATCTGAAATGTCTATCGACACCATTCTAAAACGACGAAAGTTAAAGCCTTCGTTTCACTTTTTCGTTCTCTCGGAGGAATTTTGAAGGAATGAACAGCGCGGCAATTTTATTGGCTCGCGCGAAAAAATAGGAAATCCCTCCAAAGTGAATAATTGACCAGAAAGTCCACTGGTTCTTTTGTGTTGCTTGTACTTCCATGCCTGTATCAAAATGTACCAAAATCATGAGATGAAACTTTCATTTTTGTGAGAAACTGATAATTTTCGAGAACATCAATCATCAATAAGCATTTTCTTTTCTAGGAACAACTGGTCAAGTCTAGGAGTCTGCAAATGCACCAATTCTGAAAGTAAATCAGTCTATTAGACTGTAGCTGAGAAAAAGTATGATCTAGAAGCGCAAAATTGTACTAAATTTTCTTCTAGATAGAAACTGTACTGAGTACCGGTACTAGTGGTAATTACTTTAATTCCAAGAGAGCTGTTTTTTGGTAAGAATCGAACCATTTTTTTCAATTTTATGTCATATGGGTCCTATCGGCTAATCAAATCGCTTTATCCACCTCAATAGGTCTTAACAGCGTGGCAAATTTTCGGATCAATAGTCCGCTCCCCTGGAAGTCCCCATTCAACTTTTTTTTTAATTCAAATTCAAAAATTGGGAATTCGTTCTTTTTGAATTCGAGCCAAAATTAACAGAGAAGTAAATCGCGAATATAAGAGACAAGTGAAAAAAGCCACATTCCACTGATTACGTAAGCCTATCAAACAATCAAATACTGTCGACAAGATCAAACATAAGAGAAAGCAAACACAAGCATAAAAATTGCGAGAGAAAGCAAAAACAAGTCATTCTCACACAGGCGGAGCCGTTGTGACTTGGGCTGAGGCTGAAAAAGGGCCGAGTCATTCGACCGTTTAAAACGGCCCGAACTCGCGAAATGGTCTTATCATTCTTTCAGAGATAGAAAAAATAACGTAAACGTGAGTCATAAACAACCCTAAGACCCCATTTTATTGGTGATTGCCGGAGGAGTGGGAAGTTTTTCGAGACCACCAACGCAGCTCCGGACCAATGATATCTACTCTCTCTTTTGACAGCTACCCTAAACCTACCGTTTCACGTGCGAATAATAAGAGATATATTTTCAGAGAAAAAAAATCGGACTGAAAGAATGGACAAGGGAAATCGCAGGGGGCGAGGCCGCGCCGCTAGAATTCAGCGCGATGATATTGGTAAGCAAAAATCTAAAATGCCAAGTTTTTAATCTTTTCAGACGTTCAGTCCCTGTCTTCGCAAATGACGGATCTTGATGTCCGCTCAGAGTACGATGCTCCACCCAGATCATCAGGTCGAGGACGAGGAAGAGGAGCGCGAATGACTGAGTCTTCGACAATCGATACAATGACCAGCAGCGAAAGCGCCAGCTACCAGAAACGTTCGTCGAGCAGTGGCAACCACACACCACAAGACAGCACTTCTGGCTCTAGAGAAAGTGGAAAAACCATGAAATCTACGGACAGCGAAGGGACGGAAAAAGGCTATCTGCGAGAGCAGAAAAGAGGAATGCAGGTGCTGGAAATGGTCCCAAAGAATGCTGGAGGAACTAAAGGTGCGAGAATCCAAGTCGCTTCGAATTACTATAAAACGAGCATCGCCCATCAGTAAGTCAACAGCAACAGAATCAAGTCATTTACCTAATTTTAGGCAGTTGAAGCTGTTTGAATACCGCTTCGAAAGTGGATACGAAAAAGACAAGAACGAACATGGGAAGAAAGTAAGCCTCGAAGAATCGATGGCTTTCTTCAGCGAGTGGCTCAAAGTCGTCGAAGGAAATTCACCACCCGGCTCGTCATCTTCCAGCTCGAGTTCAAGCGATCATACAGTTCCTCCTCGCTGCTATTTCGACGGCCGAAATAAGGTTTATTCTTTCGAATACATAAGCGATGGAGAAACGATGGTTCCCTTCCGCTGGCAGAAACACAGAGGCGAATTTGCGGCGAAATTGACCTGCACGAACGACCTTTCGCAAATCTGGGAACTCTCCATGCATCGCCTCGAGAAGGGCGTAGCGATCGACCCGATCATCATGCACGTGAAAGAAACCATCATCAAGCACAAATTTGCGCTCGGCCACATCAAAGTCGGCAGCACCTACTACCCAGAACTTACGGAAGCGAATTACAACTCGATTCCAAAATTCGATATCGCACCGGGAAAAATCGCCTGGAAAGGCCTGAACGTCACGGTGAAAAACACAATGGGCGGACTTTCAATTCAAGCAAAAACGAAAGCCGCGGTCTTTTACAAGCCATGTCACGTTCTGGACTTTATTGCAGATATGACACAAGAAGTGCATGTGGACAGGGAAGACGTCTGGGCGAATCCGCGATTCTTCAACACAGCTCTTACAGCGCTCAAAGGTCTCCTGATCAACATCAAATCCCCAGCTGGAATGAGAACCCGAAAAGTAATGGACATTTCTCGAGAGAACGCGGTGATGTTGCGCTTCAAAGTTCGTCACGACGATGGATCAGAATACAGCCAAAACGTGGCCGATTACTACAGAAACAAGTACGGTCCGCTTCGATTTCCAAAACTACCGTGCATCAACACTGCTGGCAAAAACGCCCGGCCAGAGTACTATCCCATTGAGTTCTGCCACATCATGGGCCGTCAACCTGTCAAGGGAAAGCTTGCTGATCGCGAAGTGGCGGCTATGATCAAGTTTTCTTCCCAACCGGCGCCTGACACATTTAGAGAAATTGGCAACGCGATGAACGAGAAACGAGCGCTCTTCGAACAAGACTTCAAAATCGCCGGATTAAAGGTCGACGAGAAAATGGTGCGAACCGACGCCCGAGTTTTAGATGCGCCAGAGCTTCATTACGGAAATGGCACTGCTCAAATTCGTAATGGAAGCTGGAACCCGCTCTGCTTCGTAAAACCGGCCCAGGCAAAGAGATGGACGGCCATGTACATGAATGTCCAGCACTTCAACCCGACGAACAAGATCTGGGATTTCTCCGAACTGCTTCGCAGAAATGCCGCTGAGCTTGGAATGCGCGACTTCGGGCACTGCGACCATGTCAATAGTGTCAACCCCGGCGACATCTACGATTACCTAAACTGGGCGAAAGGCGAAGGATACGACTTCGTTCTATGCGTAATCGACAAGAAATTCTCCGAGTATTATTCGAAGATCAAAGCATATGCGGAGAGAACTTTTGATTTGCTCACCCAGTGCTTGGTGCTGAAAAATCTCGAGCGCGCGAACGGCCAGCTCTGCAAAATGCTCCTGGCGAAGATCAACGCCAAGTTGGGCGGTTACTCCTGTTACGTCGACCTAAAACTCGCCGTTGAACCCGAAAGCCAGAGGCTTTTCGAGGTGCCGGTGATGATTCAAGCCCTGGACATCAACAAGCCCCAAATGGATGGTGTCACAATCGCCACTCTTGCTTCGAGCTTTGACGAAAACGCCACTTCCTTCAACATGGTGGCTAGGACGACCTCGGAGCCGAACTTCGCCACGAAGTTGGAAGAAATGGAATCCGCCGCGCTCGTCAATTTTTACAAGCTCACCCGTGAAAAGCCCCAAGCCATCATTTTCTTCCGCCCGGGAGTCAACGAAGCCGACATGGCGCAAGTCATGACGCTCGAGGTGAAAGCGATTCAAAATGCTTGCAGGGAACTTGAAGATGATTACTGGTAATTCTTTAGAATGACTTAAGTCATTTTAAGCCCCTGTTCTTATCAATTCTTTAGCCCGAAAATAACGTACATCGTTGCGTCGAAGATGCACAACACCCGATTTGGATCAATGAATCCCGATCTACAAATCGGGAAAGGAAAGAATCTCCCAGCTGGTACCGTCGTCGATACTGAAATCACGAGCAGTGACAAGTTCGACTTCTACCTTCAATCCTCCATGGGCATTCAGGTATTTCCCTACCGATTTCTCCCTAAAATTAACTCTCTTCCCAGGGCACGAGCATCCCGACCCACTACTACTTCCTGTACGATGAGAACAAGCTCAACGCTGATTCAGCCCAGGTAATCATTTACAAAGGACATAGTCTATGTCAGTGATATTGTCACATAGTGTCGCTTTTTTCGATCGTGATTCCTCCATGATTTCAACCCTCTAACCTTAAATTTCTAGGGTCTGTGCTACTACCTCTGCCACGGATTCGCGCGCTGTAACCGAACGATTTCCATGCCAAACGCGATGAAATACGCCCAGCTCGCTTCTGCCCGCGCTCGGAACTGGTGCAAAGAAGTTCCAGCTGCCAACCCGGTAAGTTTTCTTTCGCTCTTATATATATTTGATTTATCGCTGCTTCGCTTTTTAAATTTAAATGCTTTTATGTTTTAGTACATTTTAAACACTAAGCATCCTGGCTATAAGGAATTGAAGGTTTGTATTTTGATGAAAAAGTAGTTTGAATCAAAACTAAAAAAACTGATGGTGATTCATGGTGAAAACAAGAAATTTATTAATAAAGGAAAATAGCGCATATTAATTTAAATTTTAATTCCATCCAGCTTTATTTATCCCGCTTCGCAAATAATCTCATCCCCTTTTACTAAACTAAATGAAATTCTAGCGCGAGTACGAAGAAAGAATCGACAACATGCTCGATACCAAATACCTCATCGACAGAAACGGGAACAAGCCCGAGAAGAAGCAGAAGTCCACCCTCTACCAGAGTTGCTTCTTCTTTTAGACCTATCTCACCCCACTCTCTCTCTCTGTATACAATTCTATCTATATCTGTTCACTGCAAATTTTTCGTAAAATCAGTGCCAACCCCTAAATATAAAAATCATTTCAAACCAAAAACCTTCAACCTCTTTTCATTTCACTTTTTCACTTTTTGCACTAACAGGTTTTTTTTTATACTGCTGCAAAATGGTGGAGCACTTTTGACTACCTTAAACTCAACATTTTTTAGTTCTCTCTTTTGTGTCATGTAGAGAAAGGTCTGTAGTGTGTTAAATAAGCTTTTGGTGCCATCGACATCACTGGTGGTGGAGCAATGACGTCATGAATCCGGAATTTCCGACTGGTCGTGGGGGACTTAATAAAATTGAAAAATGCTTACAGTCTATAGATATGCAATTTCATCACTTAGGGGTGTTCCTTAGATCAATATTAAACATTCTTGACATGTTTGGAGCAAACACCAGTGTTGGTGGTGGAGTAATGACGTCATCAAGATTTTTTCCTATGATTTTAGTGTATTTTTGACCACCTGGTTACTCCACCACCAGTTATGGTGTTGACACCAAAAGCTTAATTAACATACTACAGACCCTCCCCAACTTGGAGCAAAAGAGAGAATTGAAATATCTCGACTCTAACACCTCCAAAAACGCTCCACCAATTTGGAGCAGAATAAAAAAAAACCTGTTACTACAGTCTATCGCCCGAGGGGCGAATTCTCTCTTCGTATTGATCTTTTTTCTCAGTGAGTCACTATTAGTAGCCCTTCCCGCCCCAGTCGAGAGGTAGAGCTGAAGTAGGAGGCTACGGAAAAATAGAACAGTGCCTTTTTCTCACTATTTCAGTGCTTTTTTTCTTTCAAAAACTATCAAAAATTTCAGAGATTCGAAATTCTGTTCCCCTGAATCTGAAATTTTGCCGTCTATTTTCACTGGTGCAAAGAAAAAAAAAACGATAAAACAATTGCAGCATTTTTACAAGTCACAATTTCAGACAGTTATTATCGTCCATCTTCAATTTGAGCCCTTCTGGAAGTCGAAAACTTCAATTCACAGAAAAACACTTCTGAAAAACAAGGTACACGTCCCTGGGGTCGCATTTTTTCTAGCTTTTCCCCCGATCTTCGAAAAAAAAGAGACACAGTTATATTTGTACAGAGTATTCACGCATACTGCCCAGAAATTTATACAGTCACTGTCCGACAAAGCTGTAAATAACAGTATTACTGTACCCATTTTTTGATACACCACGATTCTGGCATCGAAAAAACCTTTTCTGAAATTCGACATTTTACTGTCTGTTTCCCAGATTTTTCGCCTGAAATTTTGCCTGAAAAAGATTTTTTCTGATCAAAAAAGTTTCTGTATGAAAAACTTAAAATATACTACCAGAAAAAACACATACTCACCCGGTCGGAAAATATGAAATCGAAATATGAATTAAAATATATCTTCTTTCTTTATCGAAAGAAGATTCAAAAAGGTAACTTTCCCTGTACCATGTTATTTCTGCTACATGGAAGTTATTACGAATTCATTTATCTCCAGTTAGTTTTATCGCTTAATTTGGCTCTCAAGGAATTCTTGATAAGAATCAAGTTGAAAGCCAAATTGATAGGAATTCTTTGAGGGCCAAAATTAGGGGTCAGGAAATTCAAGGTCGAAAAAGAGCAAAAGAGAGAACTCACAAGTAACATCAATGTTCAAGGGCGTCTTTTAAAAACAAGAAAGGAAGATGAGCGCTGTCGAAAATGGAAACAATCTTAAGGAACGTTGAACCAGTTTTTAAATGATAACTTATTATTGATAAGATAACTACCAGTTATTAAATATGAATAGATGTTAGTTTGAGTAGACTGAGCCAAGAGAAATGCCGAATTATCATAAGCCCATCAAGTAATTATGGAAGATGAAGTGAAAATATCTGCAGATGTCCTTACTTTTTAAATTATAGATTTAACATAATTTCGAGAACTGCAATATTCAAACGCGCACATTGGAACAATCAATCATATTAAGTTTCCATCCTTGTGTCTATGTATCATTATGCTTATATAAGCGTAGTGTATAAATAATCAGTCCCAGCAAGTAATCCCCAGTCTCGAAGCTTCGAAACATTTATAACGAACTTTTCTCAATTTGCAAAAGCGAGAGCGTGGCATGGAAGACTTTGGCACGACCGGAGCTCCTCAACTTTACACCCAAGACGGTCCTCCTGATGCGAAGCGGCCGATGAACGACCTTTTCGGCGGCGAAAATTTGACGACTGAGGAATACCCCGTGCCGGATGCAATGGTTGGGCTGATCATTGGTCGTGGCGGAGATCAAATTACGAAGATCCAAGCCGATTCCGGTTGCCGCGTCGCTGTGGTGCCACAGAGTACTGGTGGAACTACCAGACCTTGCACAGTGAGTATGAATTCATTACGCCATTTTCAACGCCCCTAGCTCACTGGGAACCCCGAACAAATCGCAGCGGCGAAGAAAATGCTCCAAGACATCATCGCTCGCGGATCGGTGAAAGAAGGAGAGAGCTACAACGGACATCCAGCACCGTCGGCCAACGAATTGATGAATCAAAATGTCGCTGCTACCGCGTCAATCGATGGAAACGTCATGGTATGTTTCTAGAACTCTTTTATTGCGCTAATTACTTTATTTTATTTTGACAGATTTTTCTCTATTCTCAAGGTTAGTGTTTCATTTTTCGGAACTGGGCGTAAAATAATGACTCACCAAGATAAATCATCAAAATCAATTCATTGTTTTCAGGAAGAGATTATCATCCCACACGATAAGTGTGGAATAGTCATCGGCAAAAGTGGCAATACTTTGAGAAATCTCCGTTCCCAATTTGGCTGCTCTGTCAATTTGGATTCTACCGTCAATACTGGCGATCCTAAGCCGCTTAGAATTGCTGGTCCTCCAGAAAAGGTACATTTTCCAACGGGTGAAAGGCTCTAAAGATGTTCTAGGTGAATTTGGTTGTCGCTGAGGTGCATAAAATGATGGCTGCAAAGGAAAACATCACTCATACAAAAGTCCCCGATGGACAGGACCAAGTTACTTTCATGATTCCAAAAGTGTCAGTTGGAGTTGTCATCGGAAAAGCTGGAGAGACTATCAACAGAATTCAAGAGCAAACGCAGGTACTTGTCTCTCTTCTTTATAATCGCTTAACCTCTTTAGACGCGTATTCAATTTGTCCCTGATGATCCAAAGATTCTCGAGCGAGGGTGCTACATTATAGGACCGAAAGAGGGATGTCTCCAAGCGCAGAAAGAAGTCCTCGAAGTCGTGCGAAAGAAGATGGAAGAGGTTGAAGGAAGCAAGCAGCCAATGCCAAAGGTACGGTTCTAGAACTTCTCCTCCGACTAACTTGGATTTTAGCTGGTATTCGACGGCAAAAGATACGTAAAACAAGACGCAATGAACAGCCACCACGCTGGAGGAGGAGAACAGCAAGTCGACTACCCCGTCCCGGCCAGTCGAGCCGGAGTCGTCATCGGCAAAGGTGGCGAGACCATCAACAGCATCAAAGAAAAGACCGGCGCGTTTGTTCAAATCAACAAGAATCCACCCGCCGAGCACCCAGACTGGAAATACTTCACTATCCGCGGCAACTCGCAGCAAATCGCTCATGCTCAAAAACTCATTCAAGAAAAGGTCGGCGGTCCTGCTCCGCCTGGCGCTGCCATCGCCAACAACTCTTCTGGAACCGGTTATTCTTACACTGGACAAAACAGCTACGGAAGCAGCAACGGAGGTGGACAGCAACAGGATTACAGTGCTGCTTGGGCGCAGTACTACGCTCAGGTAGAAATAAGAGATCCTCTTCCTTGATTTCAATATTGTTTAGCTCGCTCAGCAGCAACAGCAATCAGCTCCAGCAGCAGCTGCTGCTCCCGCGGCTAGTGGCCAACCTGATTATTCAAAAGCGTGGGAAGAGTACTTCAGAAAGACAGGGCAAACGCCCCAGAGCTACCAGGCTAGCTTAGCTGCTCAGCAACAACAGCCAGCGGCTCCAGCCGCTGCTGCTGCTCCAGCTACATCCGCAGCGGTAAGTTACTTTCATAAATTTCACGTAATAGATATAAACAAGATAGGTATGGGAACATCCGTCTTTTTCGCATATTTCTTAATACTCTTGTAATCTTAACTGGTATTCAGCCGGCTTCTGGTGGCAACCAGGATTACTCTGCGCAATGGGCCGAATACTACCGTAAACTCGCAGAGTACCAAAAGTCTCAAGGAAATTAATAAGAACAACAAAAGAATCAGAACCCTTCGTCACAGCGTGTGGCTATCACCTTTCCTTCTCTTTCTTTCGTCCCCAACTTTAAAAAGATCCAGTCGAGCCTGTTTTTCCCTGTTTCTCTACATTACATCTTTCCCACACTGTATATTGTCTCCTGAGTTTAAATAATATATTATTTCTGCTAGCAAATTAAGCTAGAATCATGCCAACTTATAAGAAGATCAAAGTTTAGGAAAAATATTGAACGAATTTCATTTTTGAATTCATATTTTGTACTGCCATTATAAAGAAATAACTTTTCTCCTGTCAAACAACGACAAAAATAAACATAGCTCCAAATTTATACGAAATTTCTACCAAATATTGCAGGAAAAATTGAGATGTAAATCGTTCAAGAACCACAGTTTACCGCGGGTTCACCGCTTGGTTAAATACCGGTATATAAGATGTTGAATTCCAGAATGAAATTCATCCCTCGAAAATATTTTCACGAAAATGTACGAGTGGAAGTAGTAGAAACGCTTCCAGACGAAATGGACGGTGAAAATATAAATTATCACGGGACGCATTTGTGGGCGAGCGCAGTAGTTCTATCCGCAGTGGTTCAAAAGCTAGGCATCTGTCGCGATAAGAAAGTGCTTGAACTTGGCTGCGGCTGTGGCCTGCCAGGGCTAGTGGCAGCGCAAGAAGCTGAGTTGGTCGTTTTTACGGATGGGTTTGAATCTGGCTTGCTTTCCGCCCAGAAAGCGTTGGAAATTAACCAGACAGTGGCGAAGACAGAAGTGAAGAGACTCAAATGGGGTGATAAGGAGGTCTTGCAAAACATGAATCGCATCGATATTGTCTTGGTAGCTGATTGTTTGTACCCAGATGTCTCCAGCTGGAATGATTTTTTTCTAACAGTGGTTGAGATTTTAAAGAAAAACGAAAGTTCCAAATGTCTTCTCGGTACTAACTCAAAATTCATCAGTTTTGAACCCATTGTTCTAGCATTTCATAAACGAAGCACATCGGTCCAGCTTGACCCCTTCTTTGCATACTGGAAGCTCAATGCACGAGTGCTGCCTCTTAGCCACTTTGAGCTGGATTTAGAGGATGATATTGGCGGCACAAGACTTCCAGGAAACAACACTGGATCGATCATCATCTATGAGATCACTTCTTCTCTTCTTCAAACTTGAACAAATTCGCATCAGAAATCAAATCTTGCTGGCATCTTTATTTCTTCTAAGAATGGTCGAATCTTTGGTCAAAAGCTTTGCTCTTGGAACATCAGCCACAGTAGCTGCTGTAGCTTTTCTCGGCTATGCAATCTATCAAAATCGAAGAGTCTGGTAAGAGAGAAAAAATCAATCAACAGTTCGAGCTGATATTTAGCCATCTCCGCGCGGCCCTGGCACTGAAAAAATACCGCGATGCGCATTTAAAAAAACCTTTCGAAATCGAAACGCTCTTTTTCCCAGATAAAAGAATTATTTGCTGGAACTTATTATTTTCGAAGTGCAGGTGGGCAGTTCAAAATATTTTCATTTTTCATCGATTTCAGAGACGATAGCTGCTCATACTGCCACGATCGAGATGCGCCATTGGCTCGGGTACGTGTACTTAGACGTGACAAGCTTATTTTAGCAAGATCCAAAAAAATTAAAATGATTTTTTCTAGCTCGTACGAACTATTCAAAATGCCAAGAGAACCATTGACCTGGCTCTTTTTGAAATAACTTCAGAAGAACTTACACAAGCGATTTTGGACAAATTGAAAGAAGGAGTCAGAGGTACTTTTGTATTCTTAAACTCTAGTAATCGACAAGAATGGGGACTTGATTATCATCTATATCTTGTTTTTTTAATTCAGATGAGTCTCCTGAAACTGTAGTTTCATTTTATTTTACAAATTAACAAGCTCTTCTGCGGATATTTATTCGGGGTAGCAACCGTAAGATGCCGCCAGAGAGCATCATATCTTAGCGGGAGATCATTTGGTTCGGTTTTTATCAAGTTTAGAATCATGGTGATCCTCATCGGTCGTTACTTAGTTAGCACCACTTACCTATGAATATTTTTCTCTGCATGTATTCACACATTTCCAGTTCGACTGATAATTGACAGCGAGTACATGATGACGACTGGTTCAAAGCTTGGAAAGATCACCTCTGCAGGATGCGAGTTCATCCACGACCACACGCACGGGCTGTTTCATCACAAGTTCGCGATCATAGACTCGCAACTTGTGATCTCTGGCTCAATGAACTGGACTCGCCAGGCGGCTATCGGAAACTATGAAAATGTTTTATTGATCAAAGACAAAAATACAGCGAGCGAGTTTGAGACTGAATACGAAAAGATGTGGAAAGAGATTACACAGAGGCTTAAATCAGCAACTGGTAATTAATCCTCTTTTTCAGCCTCCTTCCTAATTGACGTTTTCAGAAAAGCTGCCAGACCAAGCCGGAGATTGGTGAAGAAAGAGAATAGAGAAGCTGTACTGCCAAACAAAACTGCCGAAAGAATCAAAAGATAATGTCACTGAATTACTCTTCTTAGAATGCCTTGCTCGCAAGAAGAAGCAGATCGAAGATTAGCCGCTTATTTCAGCAAGCTTGATCCTTTATCAGCCGGTATTCTGAGCGAAATCGAGCAAGTAAAGCAAGCTTACACGAGAGAAAAGTGGAATAAGCTCTCGACAAAGCAACAAGAAGACATTATCGACGGACATTTTGTTCCCGAAAATGTTAGACGAATGTATCGAAAGAACAGTAGAGCTCGTTCTCCCCCAACAGGTCGGACAAAAATGATTTTTCTGAGATTCTCAAGCAAAATTTTCAGAGGGAATTTATCCTCAGCGACAGATAACCACCGGCCAGGGCTTTTACGGGAAGAAAAATAATATCCAAGACGGGTTTTCAGCTCCTTTTCATTGGGAAACTCAAAGTCAAATCAATGAATTTTACATTTTGGACGATGATCAACAAACTAGCGGTACTCTTTAACCCATTTCTTCCAATTTAATGCCTCTCGTTCAGCAAAACCATCACTTATCAAATCAGCCAAGGACAACTCCGACTTCATGGGGAAAATCAATGCGCAGCTAGAAACAGCAGCTTCCACCAAGGGGTTCGTCCAAGAAACGAAAAGTGCAACGAGCACTCCCTCGTCTTCCAGGCCGAAGAAACTCGCCCCTCCTCCTCCTTCCCGTGAAACTCCTCCGTCTTCAGCTAAAAGTTCTAACAAGCCCTCTACAACTTCACCTCCTCGTCGAGCAAAGCCTCCACCACCACCTCGAGCACCTTCAACGCGTCGAATCAGCGACGTTTCTGAAATTTCATCCTCTTTGACGCCTTCCACGCCGACTCCACCTCCATCCCGACTTGACTTCAACAACAACGGTATGATAAATCCCGCTTTTCTAGGCGACTGTACCTCTTCACTTGATTCTCACTCTGTCAACTCGCTAAATGCAACCATCGACCTATGAAAAAAAAATCCTCATCTTCAATCCGTTTTCTTTCAAATAAATAACTAAACGCGTATCGATTCTATTTGATTCCAAGGAACCAGTTCTGAATAAATAATTCCAGTCCCGACGATCAAGGATAAGCCTAAAGCGCCCCTACCTGAAGTGAAAGAAATCACGAGGCAACAAAAAGAAGAGAGCCCTAGCAGTATTCCGAAGCAGGAAGATTCTGAGCCCGAGAGTCAGAACTTCTCGGATACGGAAGAGTTAATCAAGACGAAGAAAGAAGAGTACAACTTTTTGCTCAATTGGTGAAATCGGAATCGATGGCTCGCCAGGCTCGTTTTTCATATTTTTTATAAACGATTCTGTTAAATTATTGATGAAAAACTGAGAAAAGGACGTGATAACCCGCGCCGTTCTTCTTCACTGTTTAATGCTCGTTGTTATTTCAAAGTTTATTTATTTTTACTTAATTTTTTATCGTGGAATGTAGCCTCCACTTATGTGCCTTCCCCTCGAACTCATCTCCGAATATATCATTTAAAACTGTATGATTCTGCGCTCTTGATTCTACCAAACAACTTTCCTCATGCACTGATCTTTCAACCCCCACTTTCAATTAACAATTTCTTCTGATTATTTCTTTTCGATTTTTGCTTTTGTCATTTTTCCCTTTTATTCCTATGTTCGTTTCTAGAATACCCTAAATCATTCCAATATTGTTATTTGATCTTTTATAAACCGTTCAGTTAGGCAAAAATGACCGGTCGAAAGCGCACAAACTCTGAAACTGAAAACGGCGATAATAACGAAACAAAGAAGCCAAGAGTCCAAAAAAGTTTGGAAGCTCCCTTTTCCTTCGAAACTGAGCGACTGGAAAATTTCGTCCGAATTGGCAGAGAAGAGGCACTTGCTGGAACAGCGAGCCGCCCAGTCAGGGTCTACTGTGATGGAATTTATGACATGTTTCATGCAGGTAAGTTTTTCTTCTTTGTATCGCATAAAAATTGCTTTAGGACATGCCCGACAACTCAAGCAAGCAAAAGAAGCCTTCCCAAACGTCTACTTAATGGTTGGCGTCGTCTCAGACGCTGTCACCCACAAATTCAAGGGCAGGACCGTCATGACCGACACAGAACGCTACGAGGCCATCCGGCACTGCAAGTACGCGGATGAGGTCGTCCAGAATGCGCCCTGGATCATTGATCAAGAGTTTTTGGACGAAAACCAAATTGATTTCGTTGCGCATGACGATGAGCCGTACACGATTGGCTCTGCTGAAGACGCATATGGATTCGTCAAGAAAGCTGGCATGTTTCTTGCGACTCAGAGAACTCCGGGAATCTCTACATCAGGTTAGTCATTTTAAAATGATTGAGCGTCTAATCTCTTTCTAAGACATCATCTGCCGGATTGTTAAAGACTACGACGTCTACGTCCGACGAAATCTCCGCCGAGGATACAAACGAAAAGATCTCAACGTTGGAAAACTTCATGAAACCCGAATCAAAGTCACTGATTTTGTTGACGACTGTAAACAACAATTGACTGGTAAGAAAGTTGTTTCGGATCTTGATTTAACCATAGTTTAGAAACACGCGCATCACTGACCGATTTGGTGGACGAGAAGTCTGCTAGAATCAACGAGTTTCTTCGCAAGTGGTTCACTCCTATCAGGTTCGTTTCTCACTAGAGCTGTTTCTAACAGAGATAAATCAGTGAGGTGATTTCTAATGCAATCAGTCCTTCTCAAACTCCGCCTCAAACAACCGAGGACAGCGAAGACGAAGAGACCCCTGCAGATCTTCCTGGTGCTCCTCTGGTAAATAACCGCCACTAAGATTAATCTTTTCACTTGCTTTTTTAGGATACGTCGACTGAAATCCACTGATGAAAAATGAGCTTCATCGTACTCTTCGCATTCTCTAGGATTATTATTTTCGCGCTGAATTCTGTTTTTGAGTCTATCGCAAATCTTTGCAAAATTTTGCGAGTATCATCACTCCCGTTTCTATTTTTACCTGCTTCAGCCTTCATTTACCTCTTCAATTACTATTTTCTTCAATTTCGTTCAAAGATAATGTTCCAAATTTCCAATAAATTATTTATTTATTTCCCGATCTCCTCAGAATGTCAGACAGTGTCAATTCTGAAACGGTGACTTTAAAAGTGGGTGATTTGGAACTCGAGGTTCCCAAAAGCAAGACGATTTGTCCGGCTCAGCGGTGGCATTTGAATCCCTCTGAGTTCGCTCACAGGCTGATTGTCGGTCATGGGTTGAGCCACGGGGTTGCTGGAGAGCTTGAGAAGGAGATAAGACGAGTTTCCGATCAGCTGTACTTTGAGAAGTACGCTGAGGATGAGGTTCTAGAGCAATTTGATATGGACGAGCTTGACGATCTTTTGGAAGACTTCGAGGAATCGAGAAAAACGCCGAGTAAGCAGAAGAAAAAGATCGATATCTTCGACCAGGGCCGATACAACATCATGGAGAAACTCGTCAACTCCGAGGCGGTTACTCACGTGATCGAGTTGGAACAACGGATGCGGAATCAGCGTAAAATCATCGTAAAGAATCGAGGAATTTCGATCCAGAAGATGATTGAGCGGCATCAAAAAGAACTCGGCGAGTCCTCTGTCGATGCGACGATAAAACGTCATCTCGATGATCGGGAACGCATTGAGTCGCACTTTCGGGATGAAATCCAGATTCTAGAGCAGAAACAACGCGCCGAGTTCATCTTTAATGCCGAGCGATTGATCAAAGAAGCTGCTCGTGGAAATTTGAAACCCAAAGATGTTACAGAAGGCGACTGGGTCGAAGTACCAGAAAATCACATTCCTCCAAATCAAGAGTCATTCACTGTGAACCTGGGAAATCAGCTGAAGCTCACGCAAAACTTGAGATTAGTTCAATGCAATCTTGCAGAAGAAATAAAACCGCCAAGGAATTCAAAAACAGCAAGACTGGAGAGTTTGTTTAATTTGTTTGCTGGAAGGCCTTCTGGGATCGTTTTTCCTGTCACAAATACCTCCATCCGTAAGTACAGTATATTGTCTGCATTACTGACTAATGATCGTCCTTGAAGGGTACATCGATGAGCAGTTCGACGAAGTCCGCCGAAGCTGCATCGAAAACACGGATTTTCTATTCCCTTCTATTGACGAACAGCTAATCCTCGCTGCCGATAAAGTTGACTCTTTCCCAGAGGATTTTCCAATCATCACTCGTCACTCGAACCTTTCTGCCTCGGCTCACGTGTTGTTCCATCTATATGTCGGAAAACTGCACACGGAAAAGTCGGTTGAATCGAGACATCCGACTTTTAAAGCACTCAGATTGGCCATAAAAGAAGCATTCAAGGTGATCGACCCATTTGATTTCCATGTATTTATGCATTCCTAGGCGGATTTGGCTTCGTTAATGATTCCCCTGCTTCTAACAAACACGATGCATGAAACTATGACAGCTCCTTGGTGCCTTAGACGAGCGGAAATTGTCATGAAGTGCATCAAAGGTCAATATTTCGTCAAAGATTTTTTGATAACCTGGCCTTATCTTAAGGATATCTGATCGAATTCCCTCTTACTCGCTGCACGGTCCACTTCACCGTGCCGATGGGCATCGATAGCGTCGTTTTCAAGCGCATCAGAGACCTCATCCCGGAAAATTTCCGCCTAACAGTAGCCTTGAACATCTAAAAAATCACGACCACAACCACTAGCACCCGTCCTCCTTCAAGTTCTTCATCAATACCTTTTCTTTTATATTTATGTAACTGTTACTGATAAAACTGTGCAATTTCTCATCCAAGATTTTTCATAAAAACAATACTCAAAAAATTCAAACGTCCTGGATTTATTCTTTGAGCTGAGATACAGGGACTCTTACTCAGTGAATGTGTTGCCTTATTTTTGTTGGCGGTAGGGTTCAATCTTTCAGTACTCGTTGTTCTTAGCGCTAGTGTAGAGAGTGAAGTCTTTTCGGCCAGACATTTTTTTATTAATAGATGGGATCTAAACTCAGGTTCAAAAAGGAGAACATATAGAATGACGAAGATCGAATTTTTCAAAAAGACGAGTATCTGGTGGGTCTTGCCGATCAGTTTCGGAATGAGCTTGCTCGGCTGGTGCGTTTACGAGCCATCTTCAGTGCCCCACAAAGAGCTCGGAATCCTAGGCAAGCTGACCAGGGAGCTCGTTGACAACTACCCTGTTCTATTGCAAGTCACGTGGTATGCCGCTGTTGCCGCGCATGTTGGCGAGGCTATTTATGCGTATAAACTTGCATCCAAAATGGTAAAAGACCAGTTTCTCGGGTTGGAGATGATGAGTTTTTATAGAACATCAAGGAACAATTCTGCAAGGCCTGGTTCGTCCAAACTCTATTTTTTGGCTACGCATCGCTCATGCATCTCAAAGAATTCGAGGGCGAGCAAATCAAATCAAAATGACTATTACGTGTAGAAAATAATCAAACCACTTCTGTAACTTCCACAAACTAGACCAATGCCTAATACTGTTCGTAACCCATCTTTGAGTTTCCCCTCTTCAGAGAAATGTCACGTGACGAGACGAAGAGTATACTCGAGCGTCCCCTGAGCAAGGGGAATCAGGAGTTCAGCCTCAGTCTGTACACACTTCTTTTCGCTGAAATGGTCAGATATTGCCAGGATCGAGCGAACTCGCTAGACGATGTGGCAGATATGCTCGCAGAAATGGGCAAAGATGTCGGATGGAGGAGTATTGACTTGCTATATCACAGAGAAAAGGTACCCTTGCCTGTTTCAAAGCTTTTCTAAAATTTGCACCAAGAAAAACAAGCGCGATAACAAAATTTTGGACATCTTGCTATTCATCAAAAAGACATTGTGGACGAAACTGTTTGGCAAGGTACTCAAAGGAATCTTTCCTGACGTTATTTCATATTTCAGGAAGCTGATAAACTTGAACAAGCAGCTGACGACCCTAGAAACTATTACGTAATCGAGAAAGAGCCAATTATTTGTAAATATATCTCAAATCCAAAAGGTAAGAAAATTGGTCTAGAATCTCTGTTAATCCGTCATTTAGATAAATCCTCGCTGAACTGCGCCGCTTTTGCTGGTGGAGTCATTGAGGCTACTCTCTGTGCCGGCGGATTCCCCTGCAAAGTAACGACGCATTGGCATAAAGGCACTACCTTCATGATCCAATTCGACGAGTCCGTCGTCAATCGAGAAAAAGCATGATTTCCACCCCTTATTTATCTATTTTCTACTCTTTGATCTGTCATAAAACTATTTCCACGCTCTTCTTCAGCCTCGAATCTTTTTGTTACTGTAAGTCTGTAACTATGAACTGCCTTTAAAGTTGTGTAATCATTCATTCCGCAGATTTTTTTTAAATACAGGCTCTATAGAATGCTGTTTTATTCATTTTTCAAATCGCTGGTTGGCAAGGAAGTCACTGTCGAGCTCAAAAACGATCTGGCAATCACAGGCACGCTTCACTCAGTCGACCAGTACTTGAACATCAAGTTGAACGATATCTTCGTCACTGAGCAAGGTTCCCCTTTCTTCCTCCAAATCATGTCTTTATCTACCCTTTTCAGACAAATACCCGCACCTGCTTTCTGTGAAAAACTGCTTCATCCGCGGCTCCGTGGTGCGCTACGTCCGTCTCCCCGCCGAGGAAATCGACCACCAACTGCTCCAAGACACGGCGAGAAAAGAAGCCGAATCGAACCGCACCAACCCGACGGCTTAAAATAAATTTTAGTTCAATTTTTTTGATTATTTTTCATTCAAACACAATGTTGGATTATTGTGTTGTTACTGCCCTTACTCTCTACTCTAGCTCTCTTTTTCTCAGCTCTCTGTTTTCTGACGAGTTTGCAAAATTAAAAAATCTATTGAACTACTTCTTCTTTTCATCCCTTTTTTTGTTATAGAAAGAGATGGATAGATTATTGCAACTTGGACGTGGTGGACCCGGCATGGGTGCTGCTGGTCAAGGTAACGGGAAACCGTTTTTACTATGATTACAATATATTTTTAGAAGCCACGCAGTACGATACAGCCGAGCAGATTCACATTTCCAGTTTGGCGCTGCTCAAAATGATGAAACACGGCCGAGCGGGAGTTCCCTTCGAAGTCATGGGACTCATGCTTGGCGAGTTCGTCGATGACTACACCGTCAGGTACACACATTGGCTTCTTTCGCCTTAATTTACTGCGAATTAGAGTTGCAGATGTCTTTGCCATGCCGCAGTCCGGAACAGGAGTGTCTGTCGAAGCCGTAGACCCAGTTTTCCAGGCGAAAATGTTGGATATGCTGAAGCAAACTGGTCGACCCGAGATGGTTGTTGGGTGGTATCACTCTCACCCCGGCTTTGGTTGTTGGTTATCAGGTGTTGACGTCAATACTCAACAATCTTTCGAAGCTCTCAGCGAGCGAGCAGGTATGAAACCACAAGATCGTTTCTCATAATAATTTATGCCAAAATTAGTCGCTGTCGTCATTGATCCAATTCAATCTGTCAAGGGAAAAGTCGTCATCGACGCTTTCCGAACAATCTCCACCCAGAGTATCATGCTCGGCCTTGAGCCTCGCCAGACAACTTCCAACCTTGGTCATCTCCAAAAGCCATCAATCCAAGGTATAAAAGACTAGGATCAAGAAACTAATCATGATTCTAGCGCTGATCCATGGTCTGAACAGAAACTATTACTCAATGCCTATCGTTTACAGAAAAAATGAACATGAACAGCAGATGTTGATGAATTTGCATAAATCTAAGGTGAGCCTTCTTCTAGGTCAGTCAATAACAGAAATTCTCTAAGTGGCAAGATTCGCTCAAAATCGAGCCATTCGACAAGTGCAAAGAGCGAAATACCGAATCCATCAAAGCAATGGTGAAACTTGCGAAAAACTACAAAAAGTACATCGACGACGAGTCCAAATTGACCAAAGAAGAGCTCGACATCCGCAACTATGGCAAGATCGACCCGAAGCGACATCTGGAGGAGCAGTCCGAGGTCCTCAATGGCGAAAATATTGTGCAATGTCTCTCCGCCATGCTGTCCACAATCGTGTTCCAATAGTTTTATTCTAATTTCAATTGAATTGCATCAAAAATGCCTGTTACGGATAGTCCTTTACATTTACATTGTTTTTTCTTTCAACTGCTGGCAACAACACATGTGTTTTGATCTTCTTTCTTCTTTACATAAAATATCACATAAGCTCACGAATAATCTTGTAATGAGTTCAAAACATCCAATATCACAGGTCACACGGGTTGTAGAAAGAAAATATATTGACTTTTAGAACGCGCAAGTAATTCAAAATCAGTTTTAAGATAAGAAAAAGAATGCGTTCCCAGCTGATTCAGGTCTTGAAACAAACCGTGAAGACGTCACAGAAATTCAACGATTACAATTTCCGAAGCTACTTCGTGAGAAAATACTCGGCTGAGCTTGCTGCGGTAGAGAGTAACGAGGGGATGACGGTTAGCCAGGAACTTTTGGAGCAGGCGCAGAGGTATAAAAGGAGCCAACCAGTACTCGTCATTTATCTTCTTTTTCTTTCAGAGACCTAGCCCTGATTGAGCGACAAACCGTCGTCCAGGGACTTTACAATATTGAACCGACAGTTGTTGAAGTCCAAAAATAAGCAAAATGCTTTAATTTTATTTACTGCTTGACTGATACTCCTCCTGATCACTGATTCTATCTTACTTACAAGTTATAACTAACCCTGAGTTTTACGATTTTGAAATTTAAGGAGCATGACGTACAACGCGGAGGGCACTGTAAGTGTGGAATCAGAAATGTGTAATGTGGATTTGGATACCTCACGTACGCCTTCGCCGACGACAGAGGCAGGCAAGGGCTCGGCCAAGTTGCGCTAAAATCACTCGCTAAACGAGGCGTCTGACCAATACCCCAATGACAGAGAATAAACTTGACTACTCGGCGGAGCTTAACGTCCAGGTTCTACAACTCACCGATCAGATCAGAAGATTGCAGACAATCATCAGGTTCGCTTTGAAACGAAAACAAGTGAAGCGTAAATTTTTGAATTTCAGAGATATTCAAAGCACCAGATCTGACTTTGTATTCTCCGCTGATCGGCTAATTCGTCTTGTTGTCGAAGAAGGGCTCAATCAACTTCCTTACAAGGTAAAGACAAACGAGTCAGTTTTTTCTTTCGCTAATTTCATCACTGTGAATAACTGATATCAAGGAGAAAACCCTTCCTAGTAGGAACTTCCTACAAGATTGATACCAATAAAAGTGTAACTTTTTATGCCATATTTTGAATATTCTTTCGTAGGAAACGACGGTTGTGACGCCAAATGGAGTCGAATACAAAGGACTGGCTTTTCAAAAGGGCTCTTGTGGAGTGTCAATTATCCGATCCGGCGAAGCGATGGAGCAAGGCTTGCGCGACTGCTGCAGATCCATAAGAATTGGCAAGATTCTCATACAGGTAGCGCAATGACATGACATTTTATGCAATTGCTTTTGTTTGAGCGGTAATTAACGTCGAACTTTAGACAGATGAAGATACTCGCAAGGCGCAAGTGTATTATGCCAAAGTTCCGCCAGATGTTGAAAAGCGCACCGTTTTGTTGATGTATCCTATTCTAACTCATGGATTAACAGTCATTGAAGCTGTCAAAGGGAAAGGTCCTCCATCCTAATTCCGAAACACACAGAAATCTGAGCATCATTGTTGACCTAAACAAGTCCTTTTGGAACATAACGTTCAGCTGGAAAATATAATCCTTTTGACGCTCTTCGCTACTCCTTGTGGAATCCGAGCAATCAACAAGGCCTATCCGGAGATAAGAATCAACACCAGTGAAATTCATCCAACGCCGCCACTTCATTTCTGCAAAAAATACTTCGGCACCGACTAAATTTAAGTGTTCTTAATTTGCCGATACCAAGAATATGACACATTTTTACTGTGTCCTATTCTTTCATTTAACTAGCCATATTATACCAATTTCCTAACTCTTCATAATTCCGGACTTTCGGAAGCCTTAGTAAACTAAGAAAACGCGCACTTGAGAATCACGTTAGTGAATCACTAGAAATTCAATGAACTGCACTGCTATTTATCTAAAAATATATTTTGAAGTGAACCTTTCTTTCTGTCTGCCTAAAAGCCATTCATTGTCAAACGCCCTTGTCTAAAGCGGGGACATCAATAATTCAAGACCCTAAAATTGTAGGTATTCCCTTTTGTACGCCAAAAAATAATCGTTCTCGTCATTTAAATTATGAGCAGAATTGACGTATGCTCGTGCAATCATGCAGATTGTAAGTGAATATATTAATATCAAGCTACCTACAAATATTTGACCATTTCTCTATACGCGGCCTACAAAGCCTGCAATTTTCTTTTTTTTTTCTTCTTTCGATTAATAATTGCGCAGCTTGGTCGATAACCCTGCCGTCCGTGGAATACTTTCGCTGACGAAAATATTTTATTCAGTCGCGATCGGCAGAAAAGGAGCACAAGGGACAGTGTTCTGAGCCGCGATTTCTTCTAAACCTAGTTCTGCTTTAGAAATTGATCAGGCAAGAAAGTGGGAGCGGGGAGAAATAGTAGAGATGGCGGCGAATAACGTAAACAGGAAAAACACGAACGAGAAAAATGGAGATATCAGTGCACTTATTAGAGGTAATCACAACACTCAGTATCTTCTTGGACGTGAAGCTGTCAACGGTTAGGGTTGTCACAGTTATTTTTTATTATTTTATCTACGAGCTCCCGCGCTAGAATTTGTTATTCAGATGAATTATCAGTGCGATAATTTAGTAAACAATTAACTGCCACTAACTTACTTTCGTAAATATAGTGGTACTCCTCCTTGATTTCACCTAGGAGGGAGAATAGTTTTCCTGTCAACTTCTATTGGCTACTTTTTTGCGCTAGTGTTAATATCTAAATATTATCACTTGCGAGCGCCTTGAGTTGTATCTCGTGCTTTATGCTACTGGCTTCTTTGTTCAACCCTTCTAAACGAGCTGATATTAGAAAATCAGCAGCTCACATACGAGAATAACAAGCTCCTTACCGATTTGAATATGAAAAACATGCAGATCGCCGCCCTCAAGCGCAAAATATGGGACTCAGATAACGAGCTAAATCAGATTGTCCATGAACGGGACTGGTTCAGGTCAAAAACTAAGGAAAGATTGAAAGATATCCTCTTTATATAATCCAATATTGAGATGAATTATCGTCTCAATATGTATATAAATATCGATTAACGATTACCAATATTCATTTGAAAAATATCTTCACTCTAAAAAAGGAATTAGAAAAGGCTCTCCACCAGTCGAAGCTGACTCCAACATCGGAAAAGCGTCAAAATCCATTCTTTCAAAGTCCCTAAACAACCAACAACCGCCGCTACTGTCTTTTATCTATGTTTTTTTTGCAATTTTATAAAACTTTCTTCAACCTTGTCCATTTCTTCATCTGCCAGCTATTTCTTCAAAAATTTTGTATTTTTCTTCAACATGTTTCTTATTAAAACGCCGCTTTTATCTGTATCTCTTGTAAAAGAAAAACGCAGCATATAACCATTTGTGCAGGCTCAATACATATAAGTGTATGAAAAAGCTTCAAGAAATTAAAATAAATATATTTGCAGTATCAAGAATGATCTAATGAGCAAGCGTCGTATCCAAGACTCGGATGACTCCAGGTAAGAAAACAACGAGGAGAACGCTTTTGCAGCGCTTTTTAGTGGAGAGGAGGACAATCCGAAAGTCTCAAAGTTTGCCACTTCTGAATCTCATACCTCCGATAGCGATAACGAGTGGAACACTAATGGGAAGAACAAACGCATCAAGAAGGAAAAGCGCAACAAGCCCAAGATCGAGGATGATTCTGACTCAGATTCCGAAGCGGTTTGAAAGAACCAACAAGAGCTTCTTACTAGCTTGTTCTTATTGTAGTCGGATGAGTTCGACGACGGGCTCGGAGACGATCTTATCGGTGATGAAAAGGATCGAGAGCAGATCGAGGCTATGACGGAAATGGAACGAGAACAGGTTCTTTTTGCCAGAGGTGAGCGCCGAGAAGCAGAGAGGAAACGCTGGGAAATTGAAAGGAGGATCAAGCAACGAAATAAGGAAAAGAAACCGGATAGCGATGATGACGACGATTCTCCAAAACGAGCAAGAGAAAAGTCTAGCTCTCCAGAGTAAGAAGCGCAAAACAAATGTTTGAACATTAGCGTTATTGCATCCTTTAGGCCTTCTGATCCTGCTCTAGCGAGAGCAAGAAATCAAAAACGCGATCAAAACGAAGCTCTAGGCCGACTGAAGGAACAGCGCGAAAAGAAGGAGCGAGCGAAAGAGGCAAATAAAAGCTCTTCTGGGCCACTCAACGTCGGCGATTACTTTTCATCTGATTCGGAAGGAGAGGATGAAGATGATTCACGCAATAATCTAGCTAGCTCTGATTCTGACTCTGGTAAAGATATTCTAGTTGCCTTTAAAGTTTAAATTTTCTCTCTAGATGATGATCGAAGACGCTCCTCGGATGACGATAAAGAAGATGAAGAGCTCGCTAGAAAACGCAAAAAAGTCGAGTCCAAAGAAGAGCTCAAGCCAGCAAAAATGTCGCGCTTCAGACTTTGCCAATGGATGCACATGCCCTGGTTCCGAAATACAAGTACAAATCTGTCCTCTTTATGTTATCAAATTTTGTTTTAGTTGTCGGAACATATGTTCGTGTCTCTATTGGTCTTGGAGACGAGTCTGGCGCTCGATATAGAATCGCAGAAATAAAGGATACTGGAGAAAGCTCGAAAACTTATAAACTAGGTTCGTTAGCCTCCTCAATGAATCCTCTGTTGACCGGTTTTAGACCCTGGTGATCCAAAAGCAACGAAAATCCAAACAAACAAAACTCTTCTCCTGAGGATAGGCAACTCTGACCGTCCCTTCAGAATGTGCTTCATTTCAAATAGCGACTGGTCTGATACGTAAGTAGAAATTACCTGACGAGAACTGACCGTTGAAACTTTCAGCGAGTTCGATTTCTGGAAGAAACACTGTCTAAAGAGCGGGCTGCCAACAGTCGGAGAAATCGAAAAGAAGCAAAAAGAGCTCGAGAGAATGAAAAAACATGTTATCACTGATAGAGAGGTAGACACAATGGTCAAAGAAAAGGCTAAACATAGAACAAATCCAATTAACTTTGCGCTACAAAAAACAACACTGCTCAAAATGCGAGATGCCGCGGAGACGGCTGGTAACATAGAAGAAGTCGCTAGTATTCAATCGTATGTTGCCTCACATATAAAGTGAAGTAAAATTCATTTTATAGTAAACTAGAAGAAATTGAAAAGAAGGCAAATAAACTGAATCGCGATCGGCAAGTCGACATTGCTGGTATAACGGAAATCAACGAGCGTAGTCGGAGGAAGATTAGAGGCATGGAAAGTGTCTGCGAAAAAGAATGGGCCAAGTTCAGAAATAACGACAAAGTAGATCCGTTCACAAGGCGGACAACTGCCCCTATTCTCGGTAACTCCCCTTCTTCGATCTCATTTCTATTTTTTGTCAGTTTCAAATACGACACAGGACAACAAGGTCCAAATCAAAAACCTACTCGCCGAGCGTTATACCACCGACATCGACATGCACTACGAATCACTAACCTTCTCGGGCGGCAAAGGTGACAAAAAGGAGGAAGAAGCCGAAGACGAGAAGAAAAAGCCCGAAGTAGCTCCCGACGATTTGTACTCTGCCCACGATTTCGACATTGATATCGATATTGACCTGCCAACATCCACTTTTCCATCTGCAACCTATCCCCCTGTTTGAGAACCAAAAAGTAAAGATAAAAATTGCCATTCACAATTTCATATCCAAAAAATATGTTACTTTCCCTTTGCTTTATAAACTCCTAAACTAAAATACACCAAGCAAATGTTCAACATGAATTTTAGTCTATTAACTCCTTTTCTTTCAGATGGGAGGACACAAGGTCTACCACTCCGAAGTCGACGATGGAGGAAACCAGTACAACTGGTTCCTGAAGGTTAAATAATTGTACTTTCTTTTGATCTAATTTTTGATTCAGGAATACAAACCTCCAACCCAGTGGCCAAACAGCATCGACACCACTCATCCCACTCACGACCGAACTCCCAAGGGCGGTTGGTTCCCCTATGGTGTCCCATTTGGTGCCGATATCTGGAAGATCTGGGGTACTGAAGGTCTTGTTAAGCGACCAGCGAAGGTTTCCCGGGCTCAGCGAGCCGAGGCCAAGCTTAACACTTACTGGGTAACTCGATAAGTTCTTGAATTCGCGCTCAAGTTCATTATTTAGCAAGCTCCACCAGATCACTGCCAGGAGTTTTACATGAACTTCCAGAAGTGCCTCCGCGACAAGCAGCAATACTACAACCACATTTTCGCCGATGTTCCAGGCAAAGGTGGCACCAAGTCCGGCGATTGCGGAATCTTCATGGCCCAGGTCAACGACTGCTGGCTCAACGAGCAAGTCGTTGGTGTTGCTCTCCACGAACGAGTCAAGTGAGTACAATTTGTTCAAGGCCGTGTTTTCACACGAAATTTAGGCGAATCCAAGATCATATGAATATCGATTATCTGCCGAAAGGATGGTTCTAGGAAGCCTGTTACACTATCTGATATCTCTGTTCAATAATTTATTTATTCTCGGCTTATAAATCTTAAGTTCCTACGAAAAAACGGCAGTGCCGAAAGATTCATTTTGATATTCCTAGTTGATATCAGAATTTATCAGTGTATATTTTTCTGAATAATTTATTAAAATGATATTTTTTGTACAGGCCTTTATGAAAGCAGTATAAATAATTATTTAAGAAGGGCTTTAGCATCTTCATCTTCGTCCTCGCGCTCCTTCTTTTCTAGGGTTGACTACATTTGACAAACCAATTGAATTAGTACAGTCAAAAAGTAGCGAGGTAATCTTGTAATGGAACTACTGGCAACCTTCCTTGAGCGATTCCCAGTATCGGAAAAGTGGTAATGAAGTTGTCCCGAGTAAAACAAAAATAACTGCGGCGATTTCCAATCCAGACGGGAGCGTTTTAATCACCAAATGTTCTAATGTTACCGAAACTGACCTCGTTGTCAAAATCAAATTCTTTGCATACAAATATGCTTCTTATGTCGAAGCTTTTTGCGAACGAATCCTATGATGTCAGTATTCTGTGCGACAGAAGCGAGTCCAGGGTTGATATACTGAATAATTTCTTAGTGTTTTTTCAGACTGCAAAGTTTTCAAGTTTTCGACCACAGTGGTGTTTAAATTATTACTGGGGCTGAGCTGGCCACTCGGTGTGTTTCCAAGTGCCCGGTGAAACTTTAAAAATTAAGGACAAACACAGCTTACAATGTACCACTAACCTGTAGGGACCAATTGCTGCAGAAAGTAGCGATAGTCGCCGAACAACAAGCACCAACCAAGTAAACCCAGCCAGATGAGGTTTTCGGTAAACTGAAGCTTTCAAACTCGACTAAACTCGATTTTACTAAGAAATGCATTTAACTTGTCTTACGCATAATCGGAATGACGGCGATTACAGTCATCACAGAGTGCACAAGCACGATCGTGACTGGATCGATCTCGACTAAAATATTTATCGTTTTAAGACTTTTGGACCCTAAAACGAAGAAATAGGCAATTAGTTCAGATCAGATGATTTGACAGCCTGGTTCTCAGAACGTTCTGCGAATACCTTTAATTTTCCGATACATCGTCATTCCAATACTTCTTGAAAGCCCAGCGACGGCGCAAAGACCGAAGCCTAGACCTGTGATGACATTTTGAGGAAGAGAAGATCTATGACAGTAATTGATTTTCAAAAGTCTGCCATATGATAACTACCCATTATTGACATCCATGTTCCTAGTCATCGAATCGCCAGCGTAGAAAATCAATCCGATCGTACAGAAAACGACCTAACGATCATGCTCAATCATAATGTCTCGTTGATTTATGTAATTGACTTACGGAGAATATCTCCAACTTGAGAATCTTTTCTTTCAAGCAAAAGAAAGAAAGCAAAATCGCAAAGAATGTCCGAGTGGAGCATCTTGTACCAAGCGCCGCTCCTGGGGCAATCATCGTGAAGGCTTGAAAACTTGCCATGGTCGCGACAATATAGCACAAGGCGATTGAGAAAACCCTTATTTGATATCCTGAAAAATGTTACCCAAGAGTTCATGAGCTAATTATAGGTGATTAATGATAGTGAACCTTCTGGCGGAACCATATGAACATTTTTGATTAATGCTGCCGGAAGAAATATTAACGACTTTTACCGGGGTCGACATCGCTTTTCATCTGTCAAAATAATTTATGATAATTGCAGCCACGAATTGACATGTTTATGAAGAACACTATTAACCCCAGTCTGAAAGGCAGAGCGGAAAAATAGCGATTCCATAGCATTGATCGGTGGATCCTGAGCAGGCTCATAATATGCATGTTGGAATCACGGTAAGATAGATAAATTTATGAATCTGTTCCTGTTGAGCAAGTTGATTGACGAAAACAGACTGACAGCCGTACCCAACTCCAGCACCAAGTAACGCGATTGAAAGCCCTTTTGCAGTGGCGATCCATTTTGAGCGTTCAACCGTCATTTCCCTCGATTTTTCGCGGTTGAAATCAAAAATCGCTGATCGTGATTGTTTAACTCAAATAGAGAAATCCAACTTACAGTTTGCAAGAAATCTATAATTCTCCCCGACCATGCATTTTTCGCCGATTGGGGACAGAATCTCAGAATAATCTTCATCTTCTTTTAACGAGTTCAAACTCTACCTATTTCCATCCCTTCTTGATAAAATGCTTCAGATTCAGAGTTCATAAAGCGATGACCATAAAATGCGCTTATTTTTAAATCAATCTTGATAAATGACAATTATGCTACGCGACAAAAAAGTACGAATTCTTAACAATGATTAATGAGGAATTTATTCCCACAGTCAAATAATCATATTTTTTGGTCATCCCAAGTTCTGATACGAAACCGACATTTCCACAAATTCTCTATTTTCAAGTTCAGGTGAAAAATTCATCGCCGTGTTTTTACTTTTCCTCGTTTGATCCCGGTCCTGAGCTCATGTCAATCATAATCGCGAAATCGTTTTCTCTCCCCAGAGAATATAAAATCCAATCAACTCAAGTAAAGAAGGCTTTGTTTATAGAACTTCAAGGTTGCAGAAGTTTCACGTAGCTGCTTGATTTAAGCGCCTGCAGATATATTCTTCTGACTCAGACAAAGATCGCTTCAGGATAAAACCGAAACTATAGTGCTCACTCTAGCGGCGAGGTCTCCTCTTATTTAATATTTCACACCTAATAGGTGGACAATTTCCTTTCTTCTCCTGAAATATGCAGGCGGTACATGATATCCTTAGGGAACAACGCCTCAAGCAACACAAAAAATTTATTTCACGGCCAAATATTTACGTCAATTCGGTTCTACGTTAGTTTAAATTTGTCTTGTCAGCTTGGTATCACCAAATTGATCAGACATTTTTCCAAAAATCATTTCACGATATTCTTCTCAAAATGAAAAGATGGTCAGTTTTTACGAGCCAGATTGACCCAAAATTGTGTTATCATCATGTCATCTCTTTACGATTTCTACTTTTATCATTGGAATGCTCATATGCTCTCATCATAATCAACGGGTCGGAAATTAATTAAGGGTTTATTCAGTCTAGGATTAATGTGTATGTACGCATACTTTGGAAAAAATCTTAATTTGTTTCTGACTATTCTAGTGCGATCTGACGTCCATTCATCAAATATATGCAATTCGCAAAACCGCATGTTTAATCTATTTATTGATATTTCTTATCATTGCTTTGCGATTTTAAAAGTTCGATTATTGACAGTTCATACGATTCAACTTCTACAACAAGATAGCCGTCAACACCTTCTTCAACAACAACTACTCCAACGAGCCGATAAACCGTCGTATCATCTCGGTGCCGTGGGGTCGGACAAACTCTCTGTCAGTGCGTCCGCTTGTCGCAAACTAGCTCATCCGTAAGAGAAGATACGGTGCGAACCGCGACAGTAACTTCCCCCCGGGTATGTTCCTTGGAATTTGCTTCTTCTATGATTTCAATTTTGATAAATTTATTTTATAAAATCCTGACCAAATTTTATTCAATTTATTTGTTAAAATTTTGTACATATTCTTTTTCTTTTCTCATCCTTTTTTATATTTCAATCCTAATTAACAGTCACTTCTACGGTCACATAGTGAGAAGTTTTAGTGGCTGTTATTATTTTCTGCTTTTTATTATCAAAAAAATTAATTTGCGTTTTATCTCGTCACGCGCGGCGCCGGCTTCAAAATCCTTTGAAAATAACTTGCTTGGCAAGTTCGACCAGCTCATCATCCGAAAAGAAATCGATCCGAAAGGATTTCCCGCAAGAAAAACCGCTAAAGAAAGCCACGGGCTCTCTTCCTTGTTTTCAAAAGAAAAATTGTTTTTCAAAAACAACCGCTTGTTCAAAAACACTGATTGAATCTCGCTGCTATTTAACCCCGCGTCGCGCCTTTTTCCGGCATTCAAATCACAAATAAAACCACGCAAATTTTAAATTTGATTCTCGTTATTTTCGCTTGGCATTCTAGAGTTAGAGATCGAGCAAAATTCCTGCAGGACAGCCGCTTCCGTATCATGGTGACTCCAACTCCTGAAGAGGTACTGTACAAGAGTCATGCGCTTTTTTCGGTTTCCCCAAATCAGATGATAAGATTAGGAATGAGAAATTTTGAATTTAATTTGATTAACTCTTCAATCAAAGACAAATTACAGCGAGCAAAATGGATTTTTGAGAAATCTCTCGCCGAAAACAAACCCGAAAACAAAGAGGACCTCGAGGCTCAATTTTCGCGCCTGTCAAGTTCTTTTGTTTATAATTCATGCGAGCCAGAATTTCTTAGGGAATACGGGGAAGATCTTTACGGATTTGAATCAGCTGAGGAAAAATTGTCATTTTTGACGTCTGTTTTTGGCGACGAATCGCCTGAGGAAAAAATCCTTCGGAACAAAGAAAAAATGGAAAATCTCGCTCGTAAGAGCGAGAATAATGAAAAGTTCGAGATTTTTTTGTCACGTGTAAAAACGGTTGCGGAGAAAATAACGCAGAAACCGGACGCGAGAGAATACATTATCGACGCGCAATTTAGAAAATCGCTCACGCCCGAACTGCAGAATTTTCTTCGCGATCAGTGTATGCTTGAAAAAACCCCCGAGGAAATTTCCAAATTTCTTGACAAAAGAAAACGAAATGAGACTATCCCCAAAATTGCCCAAATCGAAATTGACGCGAAACTTGGCTCGTTCTTCCAGTCGACTTCTGACTTAATTTCGAAATCGACAATGTCCTTCGAAGATCAAATTGCTCAATTGAAAATTGAACAGAAAAAATCAGAAGAGGCGGCGGAAAAACGGGCATGTGCGCTTCATGATCAAATCGAAAAGCTAACGGCGACAATTGCAAAATTGGAAGTTGATCGCCGCAACGATCAGAGTTTGACGCGTCAAAATGACCAGCAACGGAATTTTCAAAGTCGAAATTTGGGCGCGCCAAACTCAGATCGGCCAAGGCCTCGACGATTTTGTGGATTTTGTAACACAGACACTCATTTCAGATCGCATTGCCCCTTTATAACCTGTCATTTTTGTCAGAAAAAAGGCCACATGAAAACGGCTTGTCCCGATAATCCCGACAGAATTTACAGAGCTGCTCGGGTCGAGGGAGAAGAAACTTCAAAAAACGAGTAAACGGAACTGAAAGCCCTGGTCAGGCACCAGTTCCAAGGACTTGTTCAATTTTTCGCATTGGATTACAATATTTTGTAGAAATGACAATTTTTTCAAAGAAAATAAAAATGCTCGTCGATTCAGGTTCCCAACTTAATCTTTTGCCCAAATCATTTATTCCCGATAATGTTAAAATTCATGCCCCTGATATTTTTGCTAAAAATTATGGTGGAGGAAGTATTGAAATTCTTGGTTATGTTGAATGTGATTTTTATGTTAAAACGGAAAAATGGGGTAAATCGCGATTTTACATTGTAAATGACAATTGTGAGGCAATTCTCGGTTCGGAAGCACTCAAATCGAATGAAATAATGATCAATCTTCATCGTAATCGTCTATTAAAATCTGGTCCCATCGAGCGAATGGCGAGTTTATGTAATAATTCATCAAAAAGCCCAAAAGTTAATAACATTGAGCATGACAGTTTTTATGCCGTTTCTGATCAAAATTACACATTTAGAGGCAAAAGTGAGCAAATAATCGATTTGAGGATTCCTCATTTAAAAAGATCAATGAACCTTTTTTTAGAAAAAAGCCAGCTCAAAAATTCGAAGCTCGAATTAATAGAATCATTTCAGAGAGTTGATCCCGAGAATCCATTTTTTCGTATTCTTGTAATAAATCCCTTGAATTCTACAGTTAAAATTCCTGCTGGCACGGCCTTTGCACAACTGGCGGAAATAGCTGAGATCGCAAGCATAAAGTCCTCAAAAAAAGATCTGAATTTTCTTCTTTCGCGCTTGAAAATAGGCGATCTATCGAAAAGCAATCAGCCAGTATTTTTTGGTCTTCTTGGTATGTACACCCATTTATTTCAAGATGAGGACGATGATTTGCCTGTCTCGAACCTTGAAAAATTTTCGATTGAATTGGAAACTGATCGCCCAATTTGTAGCAACATGTACAGAACGCCATACGCCTTGCGGGGAGTAATGTCCGGTACTCTTTCCTCCTACCTTCGGCAAGACATGATAATGCGAATTAATTCACCATATAATAGCCCTGCGTTACTCGTAAGAAAAAGAAATGGAACATTCAGATTATGTATTGATTACAGAAAATTAAATTCATTTACGCTTCAGCAGCATCATCCGTTGCAACAAATTGAGGACGTTTTAGGGTTTTTAGAAAATAGCCTTATTTTTTCTTGTGTGGATTTGCGCAAAGGGTTTCATCAGTGCCTCGTGGATAAGGAATCGCGAGAGAAACTAGCTTTTTCGACTGAAGACGGACAATTCACTTGGAAAAGACTTCCAATGGGTCTTAAAAATGCCCCTATTCATTTCGCAAAATGCATGGATGTTATTTTACGAGACACGCCAAAAACTGAAATTTGCGCATATCTTGACGATTTAGTTGTCCATTCAAGAACAGAAGAAGAACACCTAGCCAATTTAACTAAATTTTTTCAAATTTTAGATCAAAATAATCTGCGAATAAATATTGATAAAGCGAGTTTCTTTGAGCGTAAAGCATGCATTTTGGGTTTTGAAATTTTCAACGGGAGAATACGGCCATCACAGGACAAAATCGAAGCGGTTAAAAATCTTTCTATTCCAAGAAACCGTGAGGAGGCACAATCACTTTTTGGACTTCTTTCGCAGCACAGAAAATTTATTAAAAATTTCGCACCCCTCGGAGTGGAAATTTCAAAAACGTACAGAGGTTCATTTTGTTGGACAAAAGAGGCAACGATTTCACTTGAAAAGCTCAAAAGTATCATCTGTCATAACACTCTTGAGCTTAAAATTCCCCCACTAAATGACGGAGTTTTTGTACTTGAGACTGACGCATCAAATCATAGTCTCGGTGGAGTTCTTTATCTTTGCGCGGAGCGAAATAAAAATCACCATCATTCGCATAAGTGCCTGCAACCGATAGCTTACCACTCGCTTAATTTTACGCCGGCACAACAGAAATACGGGACATTGGAAAAAGAGCTTTATAGTGGGAAAACATGTATGGAACGATGGAGGGCTTATCTTGCTTATGTCGATTTTCTTTGGATCACTGATAATTCTTGTGTAAAATACGCTCAATCCTTCAAGACAAGTAATTTAAAAATTCAGAGATGGTTTACGGAGCTTCAAGGCTTTTCGTTTCGAATTGAACAAAGAAAGACTCATCAAATGAAAATCAGTGATTGCCTTAGTCGTAATACTTTAAATTGTTCAATCAATCAAATAAAATTTACCCCTGAATCATTTGTAGAGTTTCAAAAATCTGACCGAGTATTATCACAAGTTAGACGTTTTGTAAGTATTGATAGATGGCCAAATAACCCACCAAGTGAGCTTTACCCATTCTTTTTACGTAGACCTGACCTTGAAATCCTTGAATCCGGGGAACTAGCTATAAATTCTCCAGCGAATCAAAAAAGATTTTGCGTCCCCGAGGCATTGACCGAAACAATTTGCAGCGAATATCATGATCACTCTCATTTTGGAATCGATATAACAGCCGAAAAAATTTCTAGGAAGTATTTTTGGCCGGGATTAAAAAATACGGTCGCGAGCTTTATAAGATCATGTCACAAATGTCAAATTTCAAAACCAAATCTACAGCCTAACAAACCTCCTCTAGGTAAATCTGAAACACCAAGCGGCCCTTTTGAAATTTTGTACTTCGATTTAATCGGTCCACTTCAAGAAACTGATTTTGGTCATAAATATGTTATGGTGGTTATTGACGGTTTTAGCAAGAAAGTTTATGCGGAGCCCTTATCTTCTAAAAAATCGGACTATTTACTGCAAAAATTCCGGAGCGTTTTATTTAGAAATCCAAAATTTCCAAAATATATGGTTTTAGATAACGCCAAAGAACACGTTCTGATTGAGAAATTTTTGAAAGAAAATAAAATTGGGGTGCATTATATTCCCCCGCGTCATCCCCAATCTAACGGGCAAGTTGAAAACGTCAATAGAACAATAAAAGCCAGGCTCAGGGCTCGTTCAAACTGGGTGAATTGGGATATTTTTCTATTTGAAATTGTTCACGAAATAAACAGTAGTTTACATACAGTACTCGGAACAACCCCATTTTGTGTAGAAACTGGTGTAAATAGCAGTCATCATTTTCAAGACCCTTATTGGCGTACATATGGAGATAAAATCGACGTCAACTTTGGGGAAATTCGTGCAAAAATTGAACAAGAAAAGCAAAAAAGAATGATCAAATTTGATAATCCCCGTTTCAAAGAATATGATTTAGGCGATAAAGTTCTTATCAAAAATTTCCGCGAAAAATTTCCCCCGTTTTTAGGTCCTTATGAAGTAACGTTTAAATCCCCGAGTGGTCTCTGGTACACTGTTAAAAATGATAAGGACGAATTTAGGCGACATGCAGAGCATATAAAAATTTATTCTCAGCGAAATTCAATTTTAGAGACGAATAATGATGTTGAAAAATACCCCAAGACTGTGATTAAACCACAAGAAAATGATCTCGAGCTTTTTGAAATTTTTTCTGAAAACTGTCTTTTTTCGAAGGATTCCCTTGGTCGGTTTGATGAAGATTTCTCTACAGAAAAAGAATCGGAAAAAGCGCATGAACCTTTATCCTCTGAAATGTCAGATCAGTCATTACAATCGGAATCTTATCGGGAGCGGTCTAGTTCTTCTTCAGAACAAGAAAATTTTTCATCCTCATCGACTCTTTTGATAGAAATGCCATTACCGAAAATTTATCGTAATCAAGAACCTGATTTGAATCAAGTAGGAAATGGATCAAATATTGTGCTTGATTCCGAGAAATCAAGTTCTGATTCTGAGCTTTCTGTTAATTTGACATCGTATGATAAATTGCCCGAAATTGATCCGCTAGTTGCTCTTAAACGTAGAAGGGAAAAATCTGATGATTCCGTTGTCGAGCGTAAAATTGCAAAATTTACAGTCGAAAATAATTTGGAAAACATGTCAATTCTAATTAAAATGGAAAATCATGATCTTGACTTTTTTGAACATCTAAATGATAAATGGAAAAATACAGACGACATAGAGGAGACTTATGTTGAAAATGGTATATTTATCAAACTAAACGAATTAACAAGAGACTCACTTTTATTCATTCTTTTTAAAATGAATCAGGACTTTGATCTCGAGGAATCAAGGGCGAAACTTCAGATAAAAGTGAAGGAAACTATTCGTAGAGAATATCCGAATTGGCGTAAATCGAGAAACGGACAACTTCTTTTTTTTGCGGTCTTTAGAGTGCAAAAAGAGCGAACGTTGTACGAACTTACTGTCCCCGAGCTAAAGACTGTTTGCGCTTTTTATGATTTACCCTGTAAATTTCATAACTGTTCAAAGACAATCTTACAGGCATCTATCGAAACAGAATTGCTGAAAAAATTTCCAAATCATCCGATGCGTAAAAATGTTCTTGTTTTTCTTCCAGACTTTGAAACTGAAATATGAAAAAGAAAGGCGACAAAGATGCTCGTTTGCGACCCATGGAAGGTCACAGTGATATCCTTAGGGAACAACGCCTCAAGCAACACAAAAAATTTATTTCACGGCCAAATATTTACGTCAATTCGGTTCTACGTTAGTTTAAATTTGTCTTGTCAGCTTGGTATCACCAAATTGATCAGACATTTTTCCAAAAATCATTTCACGATATTCTTCTCAAAATGAAAAGATGGTCAGTTTTTACGAGCCAGATTGACCCAAAATTGTGTTATCATCATGTCATCTCTTTACGATTTCTACTTTTATCATTGGAATGCTCATATGCTCTCATCATAATCAACGGGTCGGAAATTAATTAAGGGTTTATTCAGTCTAGGATTAATGTGTATGTACGCATACTTTGGAAAAAATCTTAATTTGTTTCTGACTATTCTAGTGCGATCTGACGTCCATTCATCAAATATATGCAATTCGCAAAACCGCATGTTTAATCTATTTATTGATATTTCTTATCATTGCTTTGCGATTTTAAAAGTTCGATTATTGACAGTTCATACGATTCAACTTCTACAACAAGATAGCCGTCAACACCTTCTTCAACAACAACTACTCCAACGAGCCGATAAACCGTCGTATCATCTCGGTGCCGTGGGGTCGGACAAACTCTCTGTCAGTGCGTCCGCTTGTCGCAAACTAGCTCATCCGTAAGAGAAGATACGGTGCGAACCGCGACAGTAACTTCCCCCGGGTATGTTCCTTGGAATTTGCTTCTTCTATGATTTCAATTTTGATAAATTTATTTTATAAAATCCTGACCAAATTTTATTCAATTTATTTGTTAAAATTTTGTACATATTCTTTTTCTTTTCTCATCCTTTTTTATATTTCAATCCTAATTAACAGTCACTTCTACGGTCACATAGTGAGAAGTTTTAGTGGCTGTTATTATTTTCTGCTTTTTATTATCAAAAAAAATTAATTTGCGTTTTATCTCGTCACGCGCGGCGCCGGCTTCAAAATCCTTTGAAAATAACTTGCTTGGCAAGTTCGACCAGCTCATCATCCGAAAAGAAATCGATCCGAAAGGATTTCCCGCAAGAAAAACCGCTAAAGAAAGCCACGGGCTCTCTTCCTTGTTTTCAAAAGAAAAATTGTTTTTCAAAAACAACCGCTTGTTCAAAAACACTGATTGAATCTCGCTGCTATTTAACCCCGCGTCGCGCCTTTTTCCGGCATTCAAATCACAAATAAAACCACGCAAATTTTAAATTTGATTCTCGTTATTTTCGCTTGGCATTCTAGAGTTAGAGATCGAGCAAAATTCCTGCAGGACAGCCGCTTCCGTATCAGTACACGACAACGTGGTTGATAGTTACCACAAGGAACACTTTATTATTCATTTTCAAATCAAATTTATTTAAGTTCAAAAACTGTCTACAAAAGAATAAGATTATGAATCAATAACATGCACAACAGCAGGCATTTCTAATAGCTCGCAGCCATCATTACTAAATCCCCAGTGGAATCCAATTTTCGCTCGTTGTATATCTTCAGCTTCAGTTTGGACAAGAACAAAGTGTTTTTCGCTCATTCCAGATCCGTCTGAGCGGCGTTTTCGAAGGAGAGATCCGTCACCGTTTGTTGTTCCGGTAAAGTCGGCGTACCAAAAGTTGGGAACGGCATCGTCACTGCATTCGCCAAAGAAGACGACGTGGATTTCTCGTCGTGTTGTTCCTCCTTGTGCTGGTTGAAGGATGATGTTTCCAGTCATTTGATTAGTTCGAATCTCTGCGTCACCAGTTCCGTGGTTGTTTCCACCGCCTCCAGTGCTTGTTTCTTCTGTTGTGGTCGTCGTAGGGGCGTCAGTTGGTCCACTGCCATCACAGCCTACAGTTGATCCATTTTCTCCAGTCGATGTGCCAGAAGCATCGCAAATGGCCCGAGTATCAGTTTGGCCTCGCCCGAGAATGATGCTATCTCTAGCAGCTTTGTCGGCTACAATTTCGACTTCGAAACAAGTAGAGTAGTAATCAGTTGCGTGGTTGAAAGCCCAAACCCAGGAGAAAGTGTAGCTTCCAACTGGATAATCTTCTGGGATGTTGAAAGAGTAAGTTCCAAGAGATTTATCTGTATCTTCGCAAAAAGCAGGAGCGTTGGCGTAACCCACTTTTGGATAAGCTTCGGTGTCGACTCCATTGCCAGTTGGCGACTTTCCGAGGTTGGCGACTTCGTTTTGTTTGAAAACGCTCAAGACCTGGTCAGCTTGACCGGGGTTGGTTTGAGCAGTTGCGTAGATCCAGTTTCCGTTGTCGGGAATGTAGGGGTTCGTGCACGGTCCTGTTCCGTGGTTTTTCATCGGATGAGCGAGGATGACTTGCTGGCCTTGGTAGTAGACCGTCGAGTGGTGGCCGCTCTGGTAGTTGTTGTTGTTTCGGGAAGACTTGCAAGGAGACGATCCCGAATTGGGCCGATGGTCGAATCCTCGGTCTCCACCGAAAGTCTGCCCGATTGGAGCATACTGATGAGCATCTCGAGGCCACGCTCGGCAAAGATCGTGGTCGTAGTATCTTGCGTTCTTCTCCAAATAATCGGTGCAAGCGATCCAGGAATGGGCAGAAACGCCGGCGGATAAAGCGGAGAGGGTAAAAAGTTTCATTTCTTGGTTATTTTTTTCTGGTTCTGAACTTGTGCCCTCGACTTTTATAATCAGATCGTAAAAGTAAATACGCCACCGAGATGAGCAAATTAAGCGTCAATGAGATGAGCGTCAATGGTGCTGGCGTCTATTTTTATCGTCAACGGAATCATTCTCCGGTAGTAAAAATGTACACTTGTGCACTTGAGAGTGATTATGCGCACAACAGCTGATAATTGATAGTTGAAGAAGGCTGGAAGAGATTCAAAAAGCTCTGAAAAGCTGCAGAATCTGAACGGCAAAGCTCCCAGGGGCCTTGTTCAATACGCTCATAATCCAAAGATTGATCACGGACAAGAGTACTTTGGGAGACACCTTGTTAATTTGAAAACTGTTTTTTTAAATGCGTTCTCAGCATTTACTGTAGCACTCTTCTAATTAGCTTGAAGGCCAAGTTGAATGAAAAAGGATGATTTAGTAAAAAATATTACAAGAGCCACGATGTCGACGTATCCTGTTGGCTGAATTTTAAATGCGATTGCTTTAAGTTATTTCAAATAACTTATTTACTCAGACAAGGAGTCGCAAGAATAGTTTTACTTTTGCTGCCAGAATAAATTTGTGATATTGATGTTGAGGTTTATTTACAGGCAGATAGAATTCAAAAGCGTTTTAGCTCAGTTTTGTAGCAGGGCCAGTTGGGAAGAGTTTTTCAGTGATCATTCTTGCGTTCAGAATCGTATCAATCTCGGCCAGTGGCTGATCTTCGGAGCCCATTTGGATCTTGAAGGTTGCCGACCAAAGACCATCTTCTGTAAGTGGGCTGACAGAAAGCAGCGTCATTCCTGGAATGGAGGATTCTTGAGTCGGCCCTTGATACGGTCGCCCAACGTTTTCAAGCCGATTGATTATTATCTTCTTCTTGAGAGCAGCTTCGAACGAAATTTGAACGACAACTTCATTTCCTGTAGCTTCGAAAGCGACAGGGATGTCAATCTGGATCGGATTGAAGGACTTTTTCTTAGATTTCTTTGGTGACTTTGCTTTTGATTTGCCTTCGTACCTAAATAATTAATGCTTGGCAAGTTGTTTTTTAATAAAGTCTTACATTTGGACATGAGCCTGGAGCAATTTCAAAACTGATGGCGTTTTGGGAGCGGGAGTTGTTCGCTGTTGACTTTTTGTTGTAGTCGTTGTAGAAGTTGTTGAGATGACATCTGTTGTATCATTGAGAACAGCAATTTTTTCGAGGAATAAGTCTGATATTTCTAGGCCAGCGTATTGCGTAATAAATTCAACCTCGTATTCAATCATCCGTCTAATATCATCATCTGGTGCATTTTCCATCACATTAACATCGAAAGTCACGTGTACTCGAATAGTTCGTTCATCAACAGGAATCAAATCTGTGATCTGATAAAGTGAAATCTGCCCTGTTAAACTTTGTAGCGCGTCCCAGACTAGGCCCATCACTTCATCAAAATCCATTATGTCGTCAGAGGAAAGAAGATCGATTTGAACTTGAGCTTCTAGTGTTGTCATTTTGTTTTCATCGGGAGAAGACTGAGTTATTCCTCCTTGATATCGAGCATCTAGACCTTTTACTGATGGATAGGTTGAAAGAGCGCTGCGGAAATAAGATCGTAGAGTAGCGATCGGAAGAGCTTCAGACGACTTTGTAGTAATCACGATTGAATAAGAGTATTTGTCGAAGTTGCCTTCTTCAAGAATCAGTAGTCGAGCAATGTCACTGTACTCCAATTCTATGACTTCGACGAGCCCATCGAGAATTCGCCAGACTTCTCCTTCTTCCACAATATCGGATTCAAGATATTGGTAAAGGATGTCTAGAATGATGAAATGTCTAGTAATGGTTTGCTCCGGCGTTGTCGTGGTAGTAATCGTTGATGTAGTTGTTGTTGATGTTGTCGTTGTTGATGTCGTCGTCGTTGATGTTGATGATGTCGTTGATGTCATAACCGCTGTTGTTGACGAAATGATTCGGGTAAAAACACTTTTCTGTGGAGTAGTTGTTGATGTCATCGACGGCGTTGTAGTCCTCATTTCTCTTGGATCATAGAATCCTCGTTTTGGCAAAACGTTGTTAACCTTTTCCAAGGTAATGATATCCGGACCGATAAGTTCTAATGAAAAGGAATCTTCGACAATGTAGAATGCAGAAGTCTGTTGATTGAGCATTTCACAACCAGATTGAAGAAGAGCTGTCAGCATCGAGTTATCGAAGTGATTCGAGTTCCAGTGATCTTCATTGAATAGAACCATGAACAGAACGTTGACCTCGAAACCGGAGCTGAAGTCTTCCTGCGCTTTTGGCCTGGTGTTCGTCGCCAATATGGTCGCGAGATTATTGTAAAAAGCACGGAGCTGATCCGCCAAGACGCTTGAAAGCGCCCGAATGTCTGATCGGAAGTCCTTTGTTTCGATATAGAGATGCTCCAGCTTTAATCGTAAATAAACCATGTCGCTTTTATCCTCAAGTTTGATCATGTCTGATTTCAACATAGATTGAGTCGTGATTGTCGAAAGTGTTGTTGCCGTAGAACCTGTCGTTGTCTGTATATCGAAGTCGACCGAAACTGTATCTGACCACGCAGAAACTCCCATAAGCTCAAGCCCAGGTAGAATATCATAGATTGATTTGGCGATGTTTCCGATGAGGTTTTCGGGTAACTGTCCGAGTGATTGACGTACAGTCACTTCATAATCGATTCCATCGTTGTAGTCGAGGGTAACGACGGGATTAGGTAAGATATTCATAAAATGCTTTCTGATGTTTTCTTGGGCTAAAAGCTCATCGATAGAGAGAGAAGCGATGAATTTAATCTCGAGTGGAGAATCTCCTTCGAACTCTCTGAAAGATGAAGTTGTTGTCGATGCCATTGTAGTAGAAGTGGTTGTCGTTGCGTCTGAAGGGCATTTGACTGCGTAAGAATCAAGAAGCTTCATGGAAGACGCAACCTTGCCAAAGTTCATTTCTGAGCAGTCACTGATGAATAAACAGGCGTCACTTACCGCTTGTGACATTAAAAATTTATAGTTTCAGAACAGTAATGCCGTCATTTAGTACACACTGAGTTGTCTATAATATTAATGAACTTGTTCCTGAATAAAATCGTGGGCTTTGTGCGATGTAAATCGGACAATCTCTCCTTTTATTGCCTTCTTGAACAATTTTACGTCAAATTCACTGTCCAAAGTCATCTCGAAACCGATAGATGTGGCAAATAACTTTATGTCTCCTCGTTTCTTTTCTGTCTGTTCTTCAAGACTGTAATAAACTTGAGCTTCAGTCACACCATCTGTATTCTCCAAAATTGACTTTTGAATTTTCTCCTGGAAGGTATCCATTACGCTCACTGGATTGTGTCTGGCATCGATTTCAATGAGGAGTCCAAATTCAAGCATACCAAGATAGCACTCGGTCGATTTCGTCGTAGTTGTTGTTGTCGTTGTTGTTGTGGTAATATTCGCCTCGTATTTACCGAAAATAGCACCGAGTTTATCGAACATATCTGTTGTTGTTGAAGTTGTTGTGGTCGTTGTTGTGGTCGTAGTCGTTGTTGTAGTCGTTGTAGTTGTAGTCGTTGTAGTTGTGGTTGTAGTAGTTGTGGTAGTGGTGGTGGTCGTGGTGGTTGTTGTGGTAGTAGTGGTTGTTGGAATATTAGCGTTGAAGAAAATTTGGAATGGTGTATCGTAATTTCGCGTAAGCACAACTTGCATTACCACATTATTTCCAAAGAAAGTTCTCTTCAAGCCGTTTCTCAAATCGTACGGGCAAATTTGCATTTGCCCGCGCTCATCACTGACGAGAACGTGGTCGTTACAATCACGCGTTTCCATTTCGACAGCGATAAATTCCACGTGATAGCTCTCAGCCAAATAGTTGCTGAGAATATAACGATTCAAAGCCGCTTCATTCAAGAAGCCTTCGATGACTCCTGAGGTTTCTTCAAGCTTGACATCGATGAGAGGCCAGCATCGTTTTCCATCGCCAACATATCCGCGAGGACATTCGCAAATGAAATCGTCGAGGCGTGAGTGGCACTTCATATCTTCCAAAGTATCTGGCATGCATTTGTTGCTCTTACACTGATCTTTGTAAGATTTGTAGATGAGCTTGAATCCTGAACCGCGACGCTGTGCCTTAGTAGGGTCGACAAAAAGACGAATCACGATTTCAGAAACTTCGAAGAGATTGATGCGCTCGGAAATCTCCGCATGAGAGGCTCCGTAGCTCGTTTCTCGTCGACGTCGGTAGTATTGACTTCTTGTGCTACCCTTGCAGCTGTCAATTCTGATCGCTTCGTCGGGTGCAGAAGCATCAAAGATCTCAACGTAGTCATCACATCCGTCGACAATGTCATCAAGATCGAGCGTTTCGATTTCGAATTGATAAGAAACTGCATCAGGGACTTGAACGCGCCATTCTGTCGGTGCCGAGAGAGAATTTCCATAAGCAAATGGAAAACCGACATTGGAAATTTCACCTTCCTCATCAACAAGAGTAACGGGAGCGGAAATGTCTGGAAGAACGGGACCAAAGCCAAAGTCTCCAAGAATGCAGTGATCGTCGACTTCTCTCATTCCTGGCAGACACGAGCATCCAAAAGTACCGATATCATTTCTGCACTCAGAGAAAAGAGAACAAGTTAGTTCTTGAGAAGACTTCTGCAAAAGTTTCAAAGCCTTGAATTTGCTTTCGTCAATATTTTCATTACCCAAGAAAGTATTGAGTGTTTCGACCTCGATAAATTCAATTTCGTCGTCGCCAGATCCACCGCCGGAGCTTTCCTCGATCGTTATAGTCGGAATTCTTACCGCCATATTTGTCTCTTGAGAGATGCATTTTAGCAGACAACTCATATCGTTACTATTGCACATGGTTCCACAAAACATTAAGCTTGGTAGAATAACATCTTTATCGACATCGATCATTTCATCGGGACTGTATCGGATTCGGGAAAGAACGCATTTAACGGGACAAACTGTGTCAGATTTCTTGCATTGACCATCGCATAAATCAATCGCCATATGGAAAAGAAGATCGTAGTGCAGATCAAGTTGTCTGTTGAAGCATTTGTTAACGCAATCAACATTGTCACAGCCCAAACTGCAGTCGTACATTGATGTCAGTAAAATTGACGGGATACTTTGCCTGCTCGGGCTTGTCAATATGCACTCGGCCATACAACTTGAACCAGACGTAGTCGAGTGCTGACACGAGTTGAAACAAGTCATCAATTTTTGAACTGTGTCTCCGAGTACTTCTGAGCTTTCTGGTGAAATATTAAGGACGATACCAGCGTTTATATTTTTCAGGAGACAGCCAACAAAGCAACGGCCATCCGCAGAACCAAAGCTACAGTCAGCAAGGCATATTTCCATGACTGTATCTCCCGCTGGAGTAGGCAGAGCTAGAGAGCGAAGACAAACTGCCGCTTCTCCAGGATGCTCAGCTTCAGAGCAGCCTATCATTTGCAACGGGGTGTAAAGCATATTCATTCCAGTGGTCAAATAGTCAATAAAACACTCAGCAGCGTTATCAGCTTTCTTTTGCTGGCACTTTTCTGCAGCTTCGTAAATTCTTGCAAAGCTGTCGCTCTCGATCAAGCCAAAAACGCAGCGATATTGACAAAGTATTGGCTCGTGGAACACGTGACATTCATCCGCACAGGCGACGATGTATGATGTCGGGCTTTGATCAACGCAGAACATGACACAGGAAAGACCATCTTCTTCTGCCTTGCATTCTTCGAAGCAATGGACAAGGGTTGAGACAACATGTTCTTGTGCTAGCGATCGGATTTCTGGCTCTGGAACGAGGCATCGAACAACGCAATTAGCATCAGATGTTGCGCATATTTCTGAACAGTCCATAAGCATCGCCACTGAAGACTCTTCGATAAGTGGCTCAGATTTAGCTTGGAAGCAAAGAGTAAAGCATAAAGCTCCGTTATTTGTGTCCTGGCAGGCAGCTGAACAGCTCCAAATCCAAGAGGCAAGTTGACGTACTTCTACAAAAATATTGAGACCTGAAACATTTCCTAATTCGTACCTGGTGCAAGAGTCTCACTGAGACACTCCACGGAACACTCTGCTTCGTTATTAGCGCCACTACATTTATTCCAGCATCTCATTGCCATCTGTGTCTTCTTCTTCTCGTCATCTTCTTTAGTGATAACTGCGGATAGTGCCGAAACAGCGCCGCAAGTTTCGAACTTTACATTTGGATTTTCCAACATGCAGGTAGCCATGAATTCCCGTTGTTCGGATGCAAGTTCTGCTGGATATTTGAGTTCTTTCGTTACACAAGTATCGTAGCAAGCAAGAGAATCATCAATATTTTCGATATATCTAAAATATCATTTTATAAATTCTAATATAAAAAAGACTAACCGGCAGTTCGAAATACACAACGGCAACTGCATGATCAGCTGATCGTTAAATGAAGTAATATCGTAATCCATTGTGATACACTTCAAAAGACACCTCGTCTCGTTTTCCGCGCCTGCACAAAAGACTCTGCAATCATTGAGCTTTTCTCCGACAGACACAATTTGTTCAGAAGAAGCGCTCTTCAAATTGGTTCCTGAGCCAGCGATAATTTGTCTGAGATCATCGTCCGTAGCGTTGAAGATCATTCCATTGAGGGCAAAGTCGTAGAAATCTGGGTAAGCATAGAAAATCGAGTAGAATTTTTGCAGATCGTCATCTTCCTCAGCAATTTTGCATTCATCGACATCCATGCACCCGTGACCTTCATTGACAGATTTGAAGCCATCTTTGCACTCGCACACGAAGTCGCCATCGACGTTATTGCAATTTCCACCGACGCCGCATGGTTGAAGAAGCGCACACAAGTCTGGCGCAGAAGTAGCTAAAAGAGGACTGTTCTCGTCTATGATTGCATCATAGAAAAGTCGGAAGCCGCTTCCTCGAACGCTCAGGTGCGAGTTTTGATTGAATTCCAATCTGATTTTATTCGCCTTCAAAACGACAGGTTCCTTTGTCATCATCATCCTTAGCACTTTCGGATCACATGATCGCATCGAATAAAGTTCTGCGTTTGACTCGTCGTCCCAAAAAATCAGCGAGTCTGAACACTCTGAATCAAGCTCAAGTTCCATAACAGTGATTTCATATCCTTTCGCCGCAGGAACTCTGATAAACCATTTTGATTCTGAAGATGTTGAACTCTGTGAATCGATGAAACCGTTTCGTTGGGTTCCAACAAATGGCAAGCGCTTTTTCGGCATGAGTTTTTGGATCTCTGGGGCTTTGGTCATTTGCGGATCCAAAAATGGAAGGGATGCAGCCGTTGTTGCTGGAGCAGGAGTGGTTATGATAGCTGGCGCATTTGTGGTTGTGATAAACTCGCACGTTTGGTCAATTATCTTAGGAACACATAGGCCATTTTCACAGCCTACAGAATTTGGGCCGCAATAAGAGCAGCTTGGACCCTGAAAGAACGGAGCTTCTCGCTTCCTTTCTTGAGTTCTGTACTGGCAAATAATCATTCTTCCTTTCTCGAATGTTTGTTCTCCGTCAAAAAGGTTTTCGCATTCTGCCATGCCACAACCAACTTCAGTACTTTCCCAGAACGCTATGTTTCTATAAGGTCGGCAATCTCCTGAGCATGATTGTTTCACGGGATCATAGAAGCGCTCGGTAGTGTACCAATCGTAAACCACGTGGTCCCAGTCGACAAGTTCAGTGTTATGTTCCACAGCTGCAATACTCTCGCCATAATTGAAGTCGATGATTTTCTTCGCCAGAGCTACGAAATTAAATTTATATTCCTTTTATTTCTCTAACCTTTGACTGAATTTTTGTATTCGCACTGTTTGGCAAAGAATCTAGCATTATCTGCAAGCTCATTTGACCAAGTCATTTGGAAAACATTTGCGCCGCCTAGTTGTCGTCTGTACGCATTGTGAAGCTTGACAATGTCGACTTTTTCCTCGAATGTCAAATCTCGCATCGTCGTCTTTTGAAACTGCTGGTCGATGCACATGTCCAGTTTCACCTCGTCGGATTGAATCAATTCAACCTAAATCAGCTCTCGTTTGATTTATAAATATAAAATAGTACCTCAGAACGAATAGGAGCACCGTAAGCCTCGACTTCGCATAATGCTAGAGAAGTAGCACTTTCAGGAATCGTGACGATGACCCACGTGGAAACCATTTTTGTTTCACATACAAATTCAACCCATTGTCCAGTTTTCCCGGTAAGGCCGGTCTGAAATGATTAAATTTATGATAGACGTTTTTAAACATACCATTTCCGCGCAAAGAGCCGATTTATGAACATCTTTTGTCGTACTTAGTCTGACTTGCAGCCTATTGTAGCTGATTTTATCCGGCAAAAGAATTCGAACAGTATTCACTTCAGTCAATTTCCCGAGATTAGCAGCAAGAGAGGGCTCAGTAGTGATTCGGCTCATCGCGCAACAGGTGCTCCTTTCCGCAGTTGCTTTCAAACAATCAGTTTCTCCATCAGCAACCAGACTTCCTGGAGCAAAATCATACGCAGAATCGAGGTGGATTTCGCTCTTCTGGTTCAATAGATTTCTATGTTTTTCACAAATTCCTCGGTTGCACCAGTCTGCTTGAGTCCATTCTCCGTGACATTCAAATCCGCCAGAGCATTTTCTCTCTCGAGTTCTTTTTCCAAAGTGGCAGTCATTCTTGCACTCGTTCCACTCTGACCAATTCATCCACTGCGCAAGAGAGCTTCCGTAAACGCCAATTTCGCATAAATCGAGCTGTGTTTCAATCCCGAAAACGCGAATTTTCACAGTGTCGCCAAGTAAAAACTCGTCACAGAGTATGAGATTCTCACCAACATCAGTAAATTTACAGAGTTTATCATTTATATAAACTTCTAGTGATGGAATTAGCTTTTTGGAAGAAAGCTTTATTGAGTGGATTTCAAATTTCTGCGCCAACTTGATCTCAACAAAAGGCTCGTAAGTGTATGATGTGCTAAAGCAACTGAAATAATGGATGAATTATTGCACTTCAATAAAAAATTCATACGACAAACGATTCATCCTTTCCTTGTAGCAAAGCCATCGGTCAAAAGCGACGTAGATTCTCCGGAAAAGTCGACCGTGCTGAGTCCCGATGCATAGGCTTACCGGACTAAATTTCGACCCATATTTCTAGCTTAGTTGGGTGGTCATATGACACAGTTTTAGAAAGCCTAGCTTCTGGGCTTTCATGTGGGTACAAATTCAAGGGGTCTGGGTCATGCCCGCAAGGCAATTCATGGGACCTGAAGTCCCAAAATAGGTACTAGAATCCTTCAAACTATTTTTTCAATACCCGTCCGGGCTCGAGAGTAGTCGAGAGTCATATATTTAGAAAGCTCAGGCTCTGAACTTTCAGTAGAGATCAAGAAATCTTAGTGCCAAGCTGTTTGTGGCCAACTGGAGGCGCTAGAAGTTAGCGGTGAAAATCCGGAAATGCCGGAAAATTCGGTTTTTGAGTTCTAAACTCTACAATTATATGTATAAAACATATATAAACAATAATTAATGCATTAAAAAGTTGAACCGCGGTCGAACCGGGTGGTTCAACTCAAGAAACCTTCAAAAACATGGAAATATGGCCCACGATGAACCACCAGGTTGACCACCCGGTTCGACCGCGGTTCAACTTTTTAATGCATTAATTATTGTTTATATATGTTTTATACATATAATTGTAGAGTTTAGAACTCAAAAACCGAATTTTCCGGCATTTCCGGATTTTCACCGCTAACTTCTAGCGCCTCCAGTTGGCCACAAACCGCTTGGCACTAAGATTTCTTGATCTCTACTGAAAGCTCAGAGCCTGAGCTTTCTAAATATATGACTCTTGACTACTCTCGAGCCCGGACGGGTATTGAAAAAATAGTTTGAAGGATTCTAGTACCTATTTTGGGACTTCAGGTCCCATGAATTGCCTTGCGGGCATGACCCAGACCCCTTGAATTTGTACCCACATGAAAGCCCAGAAGCTAGGCTTTCTAAAACTGTGTCATATGACCACCCAACTAAGCTAGAAATATGGGTCGAAATTTAGTCCGGTAAGCCTACCGATGCAAGATTAATCTCACCTTCACACGGCCCATCAGAACATTCCTCGTCTTCAATTGGCAGTCCTCGACAGCCCTCATCTCCGATATCTCCGCCGATGCACTCTTTCGTTCGTTGCCTCATTCCAGCACCACACGTACGCGAACATGGCGACCAAGCAGCCCAATCAGACCAGAAAACATTAACTGGTCTTCCCCAGCCTTCAATCTCGCAAATAGTCATGGATTCATAACCAAGTTTGCGAATCGATAAAAATCGTCCTTGCAACGGTTTCGTGCAAAGCATCACTTGCGGAATCTGCATCGCTGATAAGGTCTCCTGCTGAGCAATACACAAATCTCCAGTTCCCGGGGTTTCGCCGACTCGAATTTCAAATGATCTCAAATCTTCCCCAAGCATAATTCGCACTGCGGAAACTTCTTTTCGTCCCTCCAAATCGACACTCATCCAGCTGTCAAGGCCACTTGGTTGGTTTTTCAAGCAACAAGCAGCAAAGTTCTCACAGAGCTGCATATCAGTCAGTTTATCCGTCGATTCTTCGGAGGAACTACTGCTTACTTTTTTATGCTTTGTCACTGATTCAAGCTCTGTACAATCGTCAACACCAGCGTTGCAAGGTTCTTTATCAGCACTGTCGCCCTCGCACTCATCAGTAAGCAACTGCTCTGTAATTCCATACTCTGATGTCGAGAAAACCGAGCACTGTCTCAAACGAATTCGAGAACCAAAGCCGCATTTCTTCCCATCATCGCTTCTGCATTCGCCCCAAGCTCCCCACTGCATCCAAACCGGAATGTCCATACCAAACGTTCCTACTGTTGCTTGGCTCTTGCCACCTTCATTGACTCCACGAATTTCAAACCGATAGGCAAGTTTGGACGAGAGTTGAGTTTTCAGAGAAGGCTCGGAGGTTATAAATGTCTGTTTCAGGGTCTCTTCAGATTTGACGAGGAAGACTTTTACTTCATATCTTCTAGCTCCTTCGCTTCGTTCCCAGAATATTTCTAGTGACCCATCGATGGCCTTGATATTTTCCAACACCACTTTTGGTGGCGGCAAAATAACATCAACGAGCTTTGGACTTGAAGTTCCGCCAGAATTAACAGCACCAACAGCGAGTTTGTAAACAATGCCAGGAGTCAATAAATGCTTATGGAAAGTTATTCTTCCTGGATGATCAGCAGGAAGAGTTCCAAACTCAGCGATGCCTGAAACGGGCTCCATGTTATTGTCAAACATCGCGATAATGTAGTTCTCAGCCCCGAGAACTTTTGAAAAGTAGATTTCAATTTCTTCATCTTCACTTGGAATAACTTTCACCAACGGTGCCTCAGGTACAATTTTGAAAGTTTTCTTTGCGGGCGATGATTTCATAGAAGCGGAAACCGAATAGACTTCGACAAAGAATTTTTCTCCCGGAGCAAGATCATGAACGAGCACGCTCTCAAGGGGGAATTCCTTCTCTTCGTAAACAACTTCATTGTCTGAATTCTTCACGTTTACATCGTAGCTCACTATTCCATACGCTTCCGGCCATGCAATTTTGATAACACCAGGCTTGAAGGTCTGAATTTGCAAAAACTCAGGTGGGGACGGTTTCAACTCACACACAACAGAATGGCTATCGGATACTTCTCGGCTATCAGATATTGCAAAGACGGAGATTTGGTACTCGATTCCTGACATGCCACCCGGTGGTGAAATCTTGAACGAATGCGATCCTCTGACCAACTGATCTTCAGCGATGATAGTTTTCTCCTTGAGAATCGGACCAAGATCGCCATTGACACCAAAGCTTCGAAGCTCGACTCGGTACTGAGCGGCGCCCTTCACATCAAGCCAACTAATAACCAGCTCTTTGTCAGTTGTAAGTCCAGATTCACAAGATGGCTTGACTGCATCTGGCCCAGTTTGAAGAGCGACAATTTGAGATTCTTCTGAGACATCCATTCGTCCGTCTTGATCGATCAAACTCTTGACGGTCATGTAGTACTTGGTACCAGAACGCATCTTCGGCATCTTTATCACATGACGATCTTGTTGAACAATTATTTCTCCACGCTTTTCTTGATCGACGAATTCGGGCATGATTTCGCCTGCGTAAATGGGATTTTTAGGGAGTTCCTTTTTACCATAGCTGTTGAACCAGTAGTAATTGATTTCGTATCCCTTTGTTCGTTTGTAAGGATTGAGTACTTCAATAAGAAGCGAGGAAGTTTGACTTGGCACTTTCCTCACCATTGGCGGATAAGGAAGAGTAGAAAACATAACCGGCTCGGACCAGAGCGACCAAATATCATCAATTTTACTTCTGATTTTAACGCTGCACACGTCCGCTGGTAAAAGATCGACGATTTCTGCAGATGGTTTTCGAACTGTATCGGTTCGTTGAGAATCTTGCATGCTCTCACATTTGCAAAGATACTCGTATTGAACGGCATTTTGTGCACGATCCCATTCAATGCCTACAGAGTTAGTTCCTCTGCTCCCGGAAATCACTTGAAGACCTTCAGGAGATTTGTGCGGATACATGAGACTAAACCTAGCCATGAGTTTGTCATTCACAACTGTTCCTAAATCAACTTCAAAGATAACGAATGACTTCTTCTCTGGATTCTCGGGGTCATTCAGAACATTTATAAGAGAAATGTCGAGTATCTCATCTTTTTTGAGCTCTTTCGCTAAAGATTTTCTCAAAAAGTCTTCAATCTTGCTCGATTCTGATTTAAGATCCTCAACATGATTATCCAACAACGCTTGGCCGACGAGACGCATTGGCTCTGTTCTAACAACTATTTCTTCAGTCCATTCAGTCGCCGAATACTCTTCATTTTCTCCAGCAAAGGATTTGATTTGGAGCTTCGTATTAACATATGGCGTCAAATTTTCTATCTCAAAGGGATTTTCGGATGTGGTGAACTTTTGTGGTTCTCCTCCTTGATTCCACTGAACCTCAACCGTCTTAACTCGATCACTTTTTGAAGCCCATTTACAAGAGATACTTTCTGAGAGGGGAACGCAGCTAAATTGTGGCACATCTGGCTCTGTTGATACTTTTACATCAGTCCACTCAGGAAAACTTAGCAATCCTGTTTCTCCACTTCTGACACGAATTCTAGCGACGTAATCAGTTCCTGCAGTCAAATCGTCAAGCATCATTTCTACGATTGGCGAATCAGCTTCAAACATTGGATAAGTTTTGATGCTGTTAAGATCTTCCCAGTCTGTAGCAACTTGAGCAAACAGTTCATCGCCTGATTTAACATTTGAAATAATAAGACCAACTTTATCTGGTGCTACGTAGTTGACAGACAGCTCTGGGGAACTCAATCGCGTGGTTACTGTCATTTCAGCCCATTCCGAAGGTGGAGCTTGGGATGAAATCGCCCGAAGGAGAATTCGGTGCTCTACATCTGGGGGGAGTCCTTTCCACATCGCACTTCGCTCGAATGTAGCTGAGATGAACTTTTTGCGATCTTCATCATCGTCGATTTTGATCTCGTACTCGTTTGCTCTTGCTACTCCTCGCCAGTTCACCCTGATCATCTCGTCAGTAACTTTGTTTGAATCCAATGACTCGATAAAGACTGGCTTTGACAACGCTGTTATAAGTTCTGCCGTTTTGACTGGGCTGCGGACTTCAGACTCGTCGTCATAACGAACACCTTGGAAGAAGAATTGGTAATGAGTAGCTGGTTTCATTCCTGAAATTTTAAATGAAGACTTTGAAGACGAAATAAGAAATTCTTCGGATCCTTCTAATTGAGCAATCGGAGGTTCTGATGAAATAGAAATCGCATCAAAGGTAAGATCGCTTTCCCAAAGCATAATCGCACTTCCTGATCGATCTTCTTCATCAAGCTCAATTGTAAACTGACCCAACGCTGGTGCAGTTTTAACAATTGACTCAACAGAATCAGTTTGAACATCATCATCAATTTCTGCGTAAATTTCAAAGAGATACTCCGTATTTGGCTCAAGCTGTTCCCGGCGAAAAACAAGTTGTTCCGAACGAATTGGTTGAAATTCTTCCGTTTTGTCAACCCTAAAGTAATATTTTCGCGCATTTTCCACGGCCTTCCATCGGTAAATTATTGAAGCGTCGGTTGCTGTAGCAATAACATGTCCAAAATCTGGAGCGGTGGTAAACGTCGTGCCCTCCCCGCGGTCCGAGTACAATCCGTTTTCATCGACGATTTCGACCGAAACAACGTAGGATTGAAACGGAGAGAAGGAATCCATGATAAAATTATTGGCCTCGATGTCAAGGTCGAATTTTCCGTCTGTGCCCAAATATAAAGTTTGTTTGGTGATGTTGTATTCTGGTAACACCCATGACAATTCTGCCTCAGTAGTTTTGATATTTCGAACTTGAACTGGAACAACCTTATTGAGCAGGTGAAGCTCAGCCTCTGTCGTGAACGAGTTAGAACTGATCTTGGATGTGAAATTCACGTTTTTCGAGATGGCAGAAATGTCCAAGGTGTATGTGCTTTCGTAGTCCAGTCCTTGAATATCTACGCTATTTTCAGAAGGCGGAAGCTCGACTCGGTAAAGCTCATTTTCTTCGACTGATGCAAGTCCTTGGTAAACAACAACGTTGTATCCGTTTGCTCTTGGTACTTTTGCCCATTCAATGACAGCAGATGTCCAGCCGACTTTTGAGCTGTCCCAGTCGACTTCTGGAGGAGCGAGGAGAGTTCTAGCATCAAACTCAACTGTATTCGTGGCTCCTCCTTCTACCACTCCAAGAAGAGCGAGTCGGTAGTTATGATCAGACAGCAATCCACTCAAATACGCTTCATTCTCGTCTCCGTGCCAAAGAACTTCTTGCAGACGATCCTCTCCTTCCTCGAATTTATTCAATATATAAATTTGATACTGCTGAATATTTTCCTTTGCCCTCCATTGAAGTCGAATAGCATCATGAGTTTTTGAAACGACGAATGGCTTATCTAATTCTGGTGCTGCGCGGAATGGAACTTCACGAATGAATGATCTCAATCCATTTTTATAAATGATTTGAAACCTGAGTTTGTATTCTTGCTCAGGGTTAACATTCAATGTTAGATCGGTGATATTTTTTGGGATTTTGCTTTCGACGCCGTTATCCGCGCTCATGAGAATATACTCGACCTCTGCTCCGATGGATGGGTCTTCTGGAGGTGGCACCCATTTGAGCGTAACTTCCTTCGGGCTGACAGAGACAAACGGAATCTCTAGCGCAGGAGGTGTGTGATAACGTGTGTGTTGACAACGTTTTCCATAGTGTTCCATTTTACATCTACAGGCAATATCCCCGGCCAAATCAACACAGATGCCTTCGTTGTAGCAGCTTTTCTCTTCGCACTCGTCAACATCCTCGCTTCTAGCGGAAACCTGGAATCCGAGTGTCCCTGGAAGAACATCGAGAAGATCCCACTCTCTCCATCGGCTCTCGAGAATCGCCAGGCGTCCTTGAAACTCTTCCATAATCTTTTCTCCGTTGCCCCGAGTATCCATCGTGTCAAAGTTTAGAATCAATCGAACATAAGTCCCCAGTTCATCATCTTCTGATCTCGATTTCTCATCCTTTGCAAATTGAATCACGTGACTTTTTCTAAAGCCGGCGAATGTAAGCATTGACTTGTCAATAGCAGTTTCAAGCATTTTCGCGGTGGTATTGAAAAGTTCTGTTTTTGGATTTTGAAGATGGTTGCTCCATCTGATATTCAGGAAGTATGCAGTTGTTTTGGCTGTTATCATGTACTCGACTTTTTCAGTAACTTTTTGGAAGAGAACGATTTGGGATACCCAGTCCGTCCATTTGCTGATTTCTTTTCCTTTTTCAATAGCTTTCTGTTTCTGCTTGTATTCCGACTTATCAAAGAAAGCAATCGGACAAACACTGACGGAGCATTTTCGAATCTCGGTCCTGATCCCCTCGCATTGGGCGAACGACTTTAGGTAGATATTCAGTGGCACATTCGATGTCAAAAAGCAGTTTTGGAACTTGCACTTTCCATCGCACAGTCTCGCCGTCGAATTTGCTCACCATTGAATCCACAAGTCTTCGAACAAGCGGACCATGATTGCCAAGGAGTCCAGCTGGCGCCGCAAACGTGTCTGTTGCACGGACGGTGGTCGACAGGAGAGCCCTCGCACGTTGGAGTCAATTTGAGGTAGTCTTCGAAAGATAAATCGCCGACGAGATAGAGCTGGAATGCTTCATCGATGTTTGTCTTACAAGTTCTGTAGCGAGATTGTCGCCCTGTACCGCACCTTTTTGTGCATTGGGACCAGTTATTCCAAGATGACCAGCCCGAGTAATTCTCATTGTCGGGTAAAATAGCCTGCTGACTTTCCTTTGACTTATAAATATCCAACATGACCCCAAAGTCTTTATCCATTAGAACTGCCTTCGTGCTCCCTAGGAGCAGAATTTTCACAAGCCAATCCATTCTCTTCGTTGCTATCTCTCTTTTAACAATTGTCTCTCTTTTTTAGTCTGTAAGTTTTATTCAAATCCTGAATGCTTAAAAAGGGATGAATATTATTGTGGAATTGATGCGCCGCAAAGTCGCCTAAATGAGATTCTAAAACGCTTTCACATTTTTGTATCACACAAGTTATCATTTTGTTTGGTGGCGCAATAACAAAAATGGAAACTGGTCGGAAAACCGACAAAAAGAGAGCCTCCGAGATTTCCGCGAGGCTGAAAATTTTTATGTAAACGTTGATAAACGCTGAGACGTGGTGCTGAAATGAATGCGATTATTTCAATTTGCAAACTTTTAAATTCGAAATTTTATGCGAGTAATAAGAGAGGAAGAAGAATCTTTTAAAACACTTCTTTTTTAAATCGTTTCTGTCTTTTGATATTTTTATTTTGAGAAGGCATCAGCTCTTCGATATTTACAGATAGATTTCACTAGTTTTGCTCATTCTCAACGGGCCCTAATTCAGCTGTTTTTAGCACAAGTAAGTTGAATGCTGAGCGGTGAAGTCAAGGGAAATGCAGCAATATAGTAAATGATAAGATAAATTGACATGTTGAAACGAAGTTCAGAAATTTTTAATAGAGGCAATGAGGAGGAGTTCAGTTTTTGGCGCTGGGTTCTGTGGTAGAAGCTTCCCGGAATTGGGAGGACTGGGCTGAGACCGTCGAGTTTGAGTCGCCGTTTTCGATCGCTTCGCCTGTCGTATCTAGAATCGGTTAGGATAGAGCTGAAGAAGATGGTTTTACCGGAAACATCAGAGTCTCTGCTGTGTCCGTTCATATGCGAGTAGTGTCCATTTGGCGGATCATTCATGACTTTGTACGCGTTTATGTAGTAAATAAGGATTTATGATTTGGTTCTTGTATGGAAACGTTGGAATATCAGAAAACCCTATCTGTTTCTGAAACTCGATTTGCGTCTCCATGAATTTCTGCGTTTTTCGAACTTCTTCAAGCTCATGTTCGAGTCTCAAAGCTTCGCAATGCATGCCCCAGAGAGACTGAAGTGTCGATCGTAATTTTGGGTGGCATTTGTGCTCTTCTTCCTAAATTAGCGATAAAAGATCGATCACTTAAGGGTAAAACATCAAATCGGAGCGTCGCGCCACGCTGGATCAGCGCCCCGCCGTGACCTACTTTTCAAAGGGCCTTAACTTCTGAACGGATACACTTTTATTCGAACTTTCTTTTGGAGTGAGATAATTGAAGCCTTTTCTCTTTGCATACTAAAAATAAGCGAAATCGTAAACTTAGAAGTGGGAGAAACTGACATAAGTTGGTTAAAATCTATCTCCTCTCACAATTTTTATCCGATTTTTCTGAAACTTAGACCAGTCAGTAGAGCTTCGTAAGACCTAAAATTTGGTTTTCAGATCGAATTTTGAAGGTCTCTAAAATTTTATATGATCCTTAGAAATGAGTGCTGAACCGCGCCGCTTTTTTATCAGAGAAAAGCGGGCGTGGCTTGAGAGCGCTCATTTCAAGCGATCATATAAAATTTTAGAGACCTTCAAAATTCGATCTGAGAAAACCAAATTTTAGGTCTAACGAAGCTCTACTGACTGGTCTAAGTTTCAGAAAAATCGGATAAAAATTGTGAGAGGAGATAGATTTTAACCAACTCATGTCAGTTTCTCCCACTTCTAAGTTTACGATTTCGCTTATTTTTAGTATGCAAAGAGAAAAGGCTTCAATTATCTCACTCCAAAAGAAAGTTTGAAAAAAAGTGTATCCGTTCAGAAGTTACGGCCCTTTGAAAAGTAGGTCACGGCGGGGCGCTGATCTAGCGTGACGCGCCGCTCCGATTTGATGTTTTACCCTTAACGCAATAGTCTTACATCAAGTCGATCCAGGAAATTGCAAAACATCTTCATCGGCGTAAGTGAGTCGTCTTTCTCGGCGATGTTAGTGAATTCATCGAAGCTTTCTTTTAAAAGTTTCAAGGCGTTCGCTTCCGTTTTATCGTCTACTTTTGGCTTTGATTCGAGCTTTACTTTCTTTCCTTCAAAAACAACTGTAAAAGATTGTATCGACTGACTCTATTCACCATTTTCAGAAACTAGAGAGCCATCGTCGGAGCTTTTTCTCTTTGGAATTGAAGATTTCTTGGGCCTCCCGGTACCTGGAAACGTTGAGTTTACCTTTGGCAAGTTCTTGATTTTCTCGAGTTGTTTTCTCTTCGCCGCATCCTTTAACTTTCAAACATTAATTTCCAAATTCATGGCTAGCGTTACTTACTCTCACATCTTCCTTTCGTTTACGTTCTAGCGTTTCTAGGATATGCCTCGAATGAGCCGCCTTCTTATCTTTGCACTTTTCCTGGGAGCAGAAAACGAAGAATTCCGTTGTTTGCTTGCTCTCGATTTGTGAATTGTCTAGCATCAGACAGAGGCCTTTTCTGGATGCGCAGGAGGGATGAAACTGAAAATTAACAAATAGAAGCCAACTCGTTTTTCAAAACTTACTGCTTTGCCGCAGCCGCAATCGCAGAATCGAAGATATCCTTCTCGGGTACAAAACTCGCATTTCTTCTCTGCTGTGACCTGGAAAGAAATATATTTGAAAATAAGGGATTAGTCTGATACCTTTTTGGAGTGAGGAATCGACTCAATATGGGAAATACCGCTGCTCGTTTCTGGATCTCTGAACTGAACTTCTTCGAAGAAAAGGGCGCAAAGAATGTGTGCCCAAGTATCGTCGCTGCCTCTCTTTGGATAGACCTCTTTCATGGCGCCTCTTACATCGAAACAGAGTACGCATTTGAGCGGCTTCATGCTCGTTAAAGGGTCTTTTGATCTCCTTTTTCGCCAGTATTTACACTAAAAGTCAATCAAGATAGCGACCTCAAATGTTCTAACATACAGTGTTACAGTACCAGTCTCCTGACGGAATAGTTTGAATCCCGTAGCACAGCTTGTGCACAGCAACATTACATTGGTCGCAATAAACGAGAGGGTCGACGTCGTTGGCATCGGCAATTTCGCAAATAGAGCAGCCTTCTTCCATCGACAGCTCTTCTCTTGGCTCCTGTTTGACGGAGCTTTCGCTACTGGTGCTCTCGGTATCAGATGTGTCCGACATGACTGTCTATTAGACCGAATTTAAACGGGAAAGATCGCTAGGTTTCTACAGTTCGAATGAGTTTTGATTAGGTAGATACAAATAGAACTGAAGAAAAGTAGAAATCATGCAGTTGGCTACGGCGAAAAGAAAGACTCTTGCCGAATGTTTCTTTTCGGAAATTTGAAGAAGAGAGGTAATCTGCATCGCCTGGAAACAGAAGCTGATGACAAAGGCGAGCCCGCATGGCAGGTAGAAAATGTTGCGCGGCGTCCAGATGAGTAGGGGAATGAAGGCGATCTTGATAGATAAGGCAAGGAGAAACGCACGGGAAAATGAGGCCAGTTGTGAGGACATGTACGTCAAAGCGAAGGGAACAAGGGACAGAAAACTTAAATAACGATATGTTCGAGTTCTAAGCTTTTTTTTAATTTACCTAACTAAATGAGCGTTAAGTGCAAGAAACGCGTACTCATAAAAATCCAGTTGCGTTCGATAAACGTCCTGTAGATTGTTAAACGTAAAACTATCCATTGTCCATTGATCAGACATCGCCCAGCGTCGAAATGCATCACAAAGAATGCCCAGTAGACCCAATTGAAGGGGCCGTTTCCCCAATTTTTTATTGAAAACGAGGTGATTGAATGTCTTTTTGTTCATCGCCAGAAGATCGAGGATGATGATTAAATCGGGGTATTCGAAATAATGATCACTGAAAGCAGGGTTCACTCAACTCTTTTCTAGCTTTAAAATGCAAATGAATAGCGACCCAATTGCCCAGAAATCGGCTTTTTCCTCAACTTCGTACATTTGGGACAAGAAATAAGCCCTGGCGTCTTTGATTCACGCGTAACAATCTCTTTCATTTTAGCCAAGCAATGAATGCATCGATAATCGACTGGATCCAACATCTTCAAAAACGCAACAACGATTAATAATAATTTTGATTGTTGATGAACCAATAATTTATTAAATAAAACTTGCACTAGATTGTATGACGAAAATAATGCACAAGGTCTGCCAACAGTTAAGTAGTCAGGAGAGAGCACTTTTGATAATTATGAATAATTCCTACTCGGCGGTGGCGGTTGTTTTATGATTGTTTTGGTTTTCATGAACTTAGGTGGTGAGAAAACTTGGAGGAAATGCGGTGGGTCTAGGATGGATTCTGGCGAGAAGCCAAGGAAAATGTTTTGATACGAACTCTAAGGAAGATATTGAGGGATAACAGTGGTATGGGGAGTTTCAGGAGATGTAGAAACTAATAAGAACACCTGCTCCTGCGATGAATGCCTAGAAGACCAACTGCCCCTTCATTTTTTTACTAGAACGATTCTAGTTATGAATTTTAATGTTCAAAATACGAGTATCGATTCAGGATAACTTGACAAGCTACTTGAACACAAACAAGGACATCATTTGCTTTCAATTGAGTGAAGTTAAAAGGTGTGATTTTAAGAAAAATACGGAGAAGGGGAGTAGGCTCAAGTGGTTTTTGGCACAGAAAGAAAATTTTATCAATTTCTGGAGAGTTTTTTTCGATTTTTTTGTTTATTTTTGGTCTAATTTTTGAGAGTAGATTCGAGAGTTGCCACGAAGCAGACCGACCAAGGCCAGGTCACAGGATACACCTGAAGGAAGCGGGTTAGTTTAGGGTTCAAGGGGAGGAGAGTAATTTCTTACCCGATAATAATCGACAAGAGATTATTAGAGAGAGGGGAAGTCGTCGCCGGCGAGGTTGAAGCCAGACTCCTGCTAAAAATCATGTTTGAGGGGGATATAGAAATTTAATGCTATTACCTTTTCATCTCGTCGTCGGTTATCTCGTCGAGGACCTCGTCGGTTGTCTCGGTCACCGTCTCGTTCCCGTCGAGCAGGTCGGAAAGCGACGGCGTTGAAGTCCAAAGACTCGTATCGAGCAGCTCGTCCCTTCTTCTCTCGCTTGAACTGAAATCAATTATGAGTAATGGGATCAATTAAGAAAGCACTCACCTCCTTCTGATCGGTCTCTTCAGCAGCAGCAGCAGCGGTGCGGGCATTTGAGTTCTTGATAACGTTCTTCTTTTGCTTCTTGTACTCCTCAAGGGTCATGGTCTTGTCCTCCTCCTCGACTGGAGCTGGAGCAGCAGCCTCGACTTCTGGGGCGGCCTCGCCCTCGGCCTTCTCCTCAGAGGGTCGCTCTTCAGTGACAGCTTCAGTCTGGCCCTTCAATTCGTCCTTCTCGGTGCCCCAGTTGCCCTGGCCGGCGCCTTCTCGCTTGTCGGAACCCTGTGTGTAGTGTTAGGAAGGGCTGAGAGGGAAGATTGTTACCTTGTATGAAGATCGTGGATCGCCAGATTTGCGATCGAATCGTCGGGGTCCACCTTCTCCTTCACGTCGCGGTCGTCGTTCACCATCCCGACGGGGGCGTCGCTCACCGTCGCCACGATCGCGTCGCGGTCGGTTTTCTCGGGCTCCATCGACGTCACCTCCCTGAAGGAATGATATGGCAAAAGGAAAGGAGTAGAGAAACTAACCTCTCGGGGTCCTCGGGGTGGTCGGTCGCCTCGTGGTCGTTGTCCGTCTCGTCTTTGTCCTCCTTCACGCTTTCCACCTGGTCCTCGCTTCTTGTCGACCTTCTTGTCCTCAACGGGGGCTTCCTTCTTTTCGGGAGCAGGGGCAGCCTTCTTCTGAACCTAGAACCATGGTTAAGCATCCCACATCCGGAAGTTCGAAATTATTACCTTCTTCTTGGGCTGCTTCTTAGCTTCCTCGGCTTGAGCCTGCATTTCGTTGATCATAGCAAAAGGATCGACATTCTCGATCTCGTCACCTGAGTCCTCGACAACGTCCTCGGAAATACCAAACCGGTTGGTAACATCGATGGTGTATTTGTCCTGGACTACAGGCATTTTGGGAGCTTCGTGGCTCGGTTAGGAGCGTGGCTGAAAAGACGAAGGGGTTAGAATAAGTATACTTCGAGGGGCAGTTTTGCAGAGAATAAATAGAGGAATGAGCGGTCTATTCCTTCCACTGATGAGCACAAACTGTACAGCGGTAAAAAGTAGTCATGGGCTCATCAGCTGAACGCGTCTGAAGCTGAAAGAAATACGCTCGACGATTGGTACATCCTTCTCTCGTGCACGCTTCTTCCATGGAGTCGGCGTTCTCCCAAGCTGCGTCTCCACCCATCACATCCCGCAGCTCCTTCAGACGGGGAAATTTCTTGTTGGTCAGCGGCTCCCTGAACGGTACAGATGAATTTTCAACATTCCATTTCTCTAATGAAAATAAAAAAGAATGGAGAAACGCGAAAATAGCGCGGTGAGAAAAATAGCAGTTGTGAGTTGATAAATTTAGTGTCAAGGACGCGCTAATTATCACGTCATCTACGCTAGCTCTTTTTTAGAATTCTAGAGTCGGGTGATCAAAAAGGATGCTCTCTTTTTCATAAAAATGATCATAAATTTCATTGGCTAGACATGCTCAAAGCCTTTGTTTGCTTTGAAATGGTTTCAAAAAGAATGAACTGATTGCTCATTTTGATCTCCTTTCGTTCTCTTGAATCAATATTTAAATTCTTCAAAAGAAGTTGAACTACGGGTAAATTGAATAACTGGACGAAAGATTGAAATTATACGGTAAGGAGCAATTAGGTTTATCTCTGAATGAATGAAGCAGTCTTTCTATTGATCGAAGTTTCGGATCCAAAATCTATAAGACACAGATCTGTAAACTCTTACTGTTGTAGTAAGAATAGATTAGTCCTTTATTTGGAAGTGAAATCTGTATTATGTAATGATTTACTGTGGTTAACAACGATAAAAATGAAATTAAATTTACGATAATCGCTGAAATTGCGTGATAGTGTTGATTAATTACAAAAATCGAGGGATAATTAATGAAAAGAGGATAAAAAAATCAAATATTGATAAACATAAAATCTGATAAACTATTACTTACATAATATTATGAATATACGGGCACGTGAGGCACTCCATTCTTTGCACATTTGGTCCGTGCCCTCCAACCTTCAGCAATCCACCGCAGACTGGGCAGAATCGCAGCACCATGAAATCTCTTTTTCTCCAAAAATTTATTAATTGAAATAACAATTATCTTCTTGTGGGTGGCGCCACCTTGTGCCCTCTTCCCTCTGGGCTCCCTTTCTCTGCCTCGGCCAATCAGATTCGCGTAGCCGACCAATCAGCTGTGTCGACTCTCTTCTTTTGGAAAACGATGTAAATTTTTGTATTTTCCCGAAATCGTGAATAATTTCTGCTGAGAATCGCGCTCACTGGTCGGCGTCACGTGACGCATCATTTTCGCCAGCCAATCGGCGCGCTTCATTTCTTCTTTCATCATTTTACGAAAAAAAGGTGAAATTCCTCTTCCCTTGAAATTTCGACCGGTTCTTCTTGGATTATCTCTGAGTTTAACCCTCCGACGCGGTTCGTTTTGGAAACTTGTCGTTGTGAAGTCTGGGGTTTGCGTCAGAGCAAGTTGCTTTGGCGAATTAGAGCGCAGGAACGGCGGGGAGGTAACTTTTTCCTTGAGCTTGGGACTCCGCCACAGGCCATTTATTTTTTTGTTCTTTTTGCGTCAGCGATCAGGACACGCGAACTTTGCGCCGATTTTCTTATCTCTGGTGAGGATGAACTTTACGCGACTCTCGTGGCAATTTTGAAGGTCAGATGCGTCTCTTGCCAGGAGAGTCTGCGGTGGTTGGAAATTGTTGAGGTAGATTGTCTAGAATCTTGGTGAAGAAATGATCATTTTGTCTAGAAAACTCAGAGTAGGTCTGTTTTCAACCTCATGAATAAATTCTCATTGAAAAACTGATCTTGTCTGTTCCCTACTAAAGCAGAAGTTCTGTTGCAGAAGGGTAAACTTGGGTTTAATAGAGAGTTAGCGGTCCGGCAGCCCCTAAGCCTAACCCAGTAGGTACTCCCTCTTCCCTAACCCTAATTAGGGCTACGTGGCTTTTCTTTCAATGGCTCAAGATCCTGAGCCAGGATTCCTGACTCTTACATATTCTGATGAGGCTCAGAACTTATATTTCTGAAGTTTCCCCCAAAAAAACTGGGAACACTTGAGGTCAGCTGGGAAGAAGACCAGCTTGCATGTCGAAAGTACTTAGCTGTCGAGTTCGATTTGTTCAGTGTCTTGAATGAGCATCATTAGCGCAATAAATGTTTGAAAATCGTCTTCTGTCGAGGGTGCAGCCCGCAACTGGCACGGAGAGATCTTTTTATTAGAATTATGCGAGTTGTTTCAGCTGGACTCTTCGAACTCGAAGCAATTGAGGAAGATGAAGAGCAGATTTTCAGTGAAGAGTAAGAAACGAAAATTATAAAAATTGAGACGCATTTTCTTTTTCAAAATGACCTTTTTCTGAAATTTCTTCGGCCGTAAAATTTCAGCTGAATATCTTTGGGATTTTTATGTTTGTCCTGGTTGACAGATTTTTAAGTCTTGGAGTCAGCGAAGAATCTGTTCAGAACTACTCGTAACACAAGAAAGGACGTTTTACTAGAAACTGGAATTATAAAAACGAGAGATAAATAGTTTATTCAGTGTCGCGGAGCTTCCGTCTCCTCGTAAAATGCTATCTGCTAGTGGCACAACTCGGACAAGAGAGAAACTCTCACGCCGTCGTAGAGCCACGAGATCCAAAAACTCAAAGTTGAAAATAAAATGGAGAGCCTTAGAGATCTCCGGAGAGCGTCTGTTTTTAACAGAATTCCAGAAGTCGACGAAGAGCATGAGAAAGTATCGACAGACAATGAATCCGTTGCTAGCTCGAAGAAATCAAGGACAGGCTCGAAGGAGTATCTTTCTTAAGTCTTCGGAAGTTGCACCCAAGATTGTAGATTTTTTATAAATATGGAACCATCAAGTCGATGTTTAGTGGAGAACTTGGGTAGAACTTCTGTCACAGAAGCAGGGAACGAGAAGATGATCTTGGGAAAGAATGAAGTGTTAGTACTTGTCAGGGTAGCTTAGGAATTACAAGTTTGTTTGTGTTGCAAAAAATAGCGAAGAGGACTGGCATTTGAATAAACACTTTCTTTACTGCAAGTGTCACAATGGCTTTAGGAAGCTTAGCGGAGCGCCCCGAGCCTGAAAATAGAGCTTCCGGGAACAGGAGAAATACAATCACTAGAAGACCTTCAGTGGCTCCTAAGAATCCGAAGAAAATAGGTAAAGAATTTAAAATAAAAAATAGATTTCTAAAGTTTTACAATTATTCAATCCTTATTTTTCGACTAGACAAAAAAAAGTAATATAAAGGACTGCTCAGTACAGTAAAATGACTGTATTGCTCCTTAAAACTAATAAATAGTCGATAACGGAAGTGTTTTTGCTCTTATCATAGCGGAAAATTTGCTCTGCTTGAGTTTGGAGAGCGGCAGTCTTTTTCTGAAATTCGGTGTTTGAGCAGCTCAGCTTTATGATCTTTTGGAAAAAATGTCATTCTCGTGTTTCAGTAACTGTGAAATCTCCAATAGCAGAGTTATGTTAGATATTGTAATTGAAGTGGCACTTTTGATTTTACTCCAGTGCCACTTTGAGACTTTGAATTCGAAAACCAAAGAGGGGAGAACCCGAAACGGAAAGCTTTTTGATTATGACAGAGGAAAATGATGATGTCTTTGATACGTCTTTTTCATTCGATAACAACACTCTTCAGGAGAAAAAGTGTAGGAAAGATTTTCACCTTGATTCTTTTTTATTTTCACAAAAATTGATCTTGGATTGACAGGTTATTTAAGTTGTTCCAGCGGGTTATTTGAGCAGGCGACACTCTGAGCTTCTCGGTATCGCGGACGATAAAGAGATCAGCGCCAAAAAGGTTCAAAACTGGTTTCAGGTAAGGTATATCCTCTTATCCACAACTAAAGGAGAAAATAGGAAATCGGCAACGAAGCGATTCCAGAGAGAGTGACGACAAACAGAGCAAACTGGTTTCAACTTGGCTGGGCACAATCGGACGCTACTGACAATCTTATCCTTCTCAACTCTGATATCTCCAACAAGTACGTTCAAAAGGTCGTTAAAAAATGTAATCCCGGATTTTTGAAAGAAACTTTGCCTGTTTCTTGCAGCAAAAATTCATAGAAGCGAGCGTCTCCAGGGGAAAAAGCGATATATACATTGTTTCCAGCAAGGGGGATTTTTTCAACTTCACAAAAGTCTCCAACAGACAGCCTCTCAGGCGACTGAATTCGCTGCTGCATACGAAACACGAACATTTCCTCGTATTTTCGCAAGAAAGAGAAGCATTTGTAGTCAACTTTCCTGTGCATCTGGTGCAATCGGAATATCCAAAGATTGTCGAGGCCCTGCGAAGGATCGATAGAATCTCGACCGTGAAAGATCTCTCAAACTATATCGAAGCCGAGAAAATCGCCACTAAAAAGCCTCCACCAGTTAGAAAGGGAAGTATACAAGTGATGCCAATGACAAATTCGACCGATGCTCCTGTCAAAACGATGAACAGACTTCAGGCAATGTTGTCAATTGAATAAATATGGCAAAATTATATCGAAAAAGGGTAGAATTTTTGACAACTCTTGACAAGAATAGAAGAAATTCACGGATAACAATTTCTGCATCTTAGAACTCGAATATGTACTTTTAGAAAATATAATCTCTAATAAACACCTTGGAGAAAACCCAGATAGATGGATTTTCATGTTGTTTGAATGATTACACAAGTTTATTAGATTCTAGGTTATTAGATAAATAAAATGAATGCAGATTTGAAAGCTGTTTTTGCAGAGCGGAAGTATATTCTGACAGGGCCGCGTGGAGCGTCTTCTGAAAAGTCGCACATTCCAGATCTGCGGTATCAGAAGAGAGAGCCCTAAAAAACTTGATGATCGAAAACATTGGTTGCTGTACCTAATAAAGTCTTTGTAATCTGGGGCAGCTTTGACAGCAAGAGCGAAGACACCTTTCACGACCCAGCTGTGATGATTTGATAAGGTTACAGAATATGCTTTTTGCAGCGCCTAAAGATTTTATGAGTCCGACGTTTTCAGGACTAAACTGACCGTAGTAAGATTTTTCTCTCCATTGACAATGTTTTCGAGGAAATGCGCGACGAACGAAAGCGCTCGTTTCAGCCACATGATTGCATCTGTAGCCGAGTTTGACACTTTCGTCGTTCCTGTCGATAGCTCGCTTCTGATTATGTCCTGGAGTGTTTCGAAGCTGTTTGCTTCGGAGTCGCACTTTTTCCGGATTTTGGTGATGTTACCATTGATGTCCATTTTTACCGGAGCAAAGGCTTTTGAACCCAGCTTATCGAGAATTGGAAGCAAGTCACCTTAAAAATCACATGCTGATCCGCTACTAATTTGTTCAAGCTACCTGCAGCTGAGAGAAAATGATCAACAGGAACTTCGAGCTCCTCGTTTCTATGAATCATCGAGATTTTGGCGAAGGAATGTTCGATCTCGTTGAAAAACATCTTTTCCACGACCAACGATTCTTCAACTTTCTCTTCGCTCTCTTCCTTGATTTCAGTCTCCACGACAGGAGTTTCAACAGGTAAGTCGTTGACACTGACTGATTCTTTCGATTCAATAGCTGGAGGGTTGAAATCTTCATTTGGAGATTCGAACTCAGGAGTCATCGAATCCTCGCTGACTTGAATGCAATTGCTCGATTTACTCAAATCGAGACTGAGCGTATCGGGTGTTTTCCTCCTTCCGAGAGGTTTGTGACTCGCAGTTTCGGACGTATCTGGCGTGTCAAGCTCGCTGATTGCACCATGAAAGCTGTGCAAGGAACGAGTGTCGTAACACGATGGGGAATCAGAACGATCTCGGAAGGTAAAAGTGACGTTGGAGCTGTTTGTACGACGGTGGGTTTTTAAGTTATCAGTTTTTCTAGGCAAATTGGGGCTCTGGAGTCCAGTCTAAACGTATTTTTAACGAGAGCACGACGAAAATAGCTAGCTTACAGGTAAAGAAGTGGTGCTTGGTGTTCTGCGAAATCCTTTTCGCTCGGATTTAGGCGACATGGGAGGACTGCTGATGCTGTTTTTTGCATCTTCAAAAAGTTTCATAGTATCGTTGAGCGTTTTCAGAAACGTATCGCAAGTGGCAGAGAGCATTTTTGTCTTTTCGTTAAGCGCTTGTGGATCTATCTTTTCATCTTTCTCGACGTCGATAACGAGTGAATCTTGAAGATCGGTAGTCTGCTGCTTGAGGAGATCGCAGAAGAGTTTGAGCTCTGTGGATTTGCGGGTGACCTTTTCGCTTTTGTCACTCCGCTTGATGGTGGATTTGAGACCACCAATTTCGTTGGACTTTTGCTTTGTCGCCGCCAGGGCGATGATCCAAGATTGGCGTTCTTGCTCGTTCTGAGCGCGCACGGAAAAACGCTGCCCATTTCCAATGCTGATGTCGAAGCGTCTCGGATCTACCGGGTCAAGTTGTACATCGGCACCAGAAATTCTAAAGCCAACTAAGTAATTATTCGCTCAAATTGCAGATGTCTTACCGAATGGCGGACTTGGCCCCATTGACGACTTCGTCCTCACTTTGATAGTACGAAAGTATTCCATTTTCGAGCGAAAAGTATCTTGGCTGCCAACCGAGCCAGTAATTTGTCCATTTCTCTAAGATTCCTGCCTTGTCGAGCATCTCATGTTCTATAAACGGCAATTATTTAGCATGATTTTATAGGGCTCGAATATATAAATATATTTCCAGAGGTTCGATTTTGTACAGAACAAAAAAGAAAAAATCACTTCCTCATTTGGCCCTTTTTGTTTCCCTTCTTGAACTTGGCCTTCATTTCTTCCTGGACCTTCTTATCCTTGTTTTTGTTCTTCACATTCGCTTTCGTATAATAATTCTCTCCCTTGGTATCCTTTTCCTTTCTCTCTTTAGCTCTTCGCTCCTTCGCGGTGCCTTCCTTTTGAACCTACAAAAATTTGTTATTTGTGGAAGCGAAAAGAATTGTTTTACCTTTGGCCTAGGGAGTCCCACGCCAGGCAGTGTCTCTTCCTCTTCGTCGTCCTTGAATTTTTCATCGAGTTTTTTCTTTTGCGCGGCGGCTTTTCTCTCCTCTTTGTCAGCCTCGCGAGCGATTTTGCCCAAATCAACAGATTCCTCCATCTTTCTTTTACGAGCGGCATTTCGATTAACAGCGTCTTGCCTTTGTAGAATACCTAAACAATATTTTGTGTAAACTGGAGTAAAGACAGTTCTTTATTACCCATCTTATTTGCTTTTCTCAGCTTGGCAAGTTTGGCCATAATTAGATCTTTTTCCGAAACTGGCCCGCTAGATGATTGAGGGATCTCTTCCTTGTCTTCATGAGCGTCTTCCTCTTCTTCTTCTGCTTCAGATTCGCCCTCATCGGCACCGTACTCTTCTGGGTCGTCCATGTTCTTCTCCTTGATTTCATCAAGTTCCTGTTCCACATTCAATTTTGCCTCGATCTCCTTTCGCTTGTTGGAAATTTCCTCTCGTTGTTTCTTATCTGCCTCGCTTTCTGGCCGCTCTTTTTCTTTGATTTTCTCCTAGGAACGAGCAAATATTTACTGATTTAGGAGCTATAATCCTACCTTTGTGACATAGTTAGGATCTGGTTGAGTCAAGTACGGAATCTTTCCGTATTGCCAGTCTCTGAGGACGGATTTCGCGACAGAATGAACATCCGGTTCGCCTCCCTTGAGCAGTTTACCGCGCTTTCTAGCGATCATTTCGAGGAATTCAATTCCAGTCTCGTCCTTTTCCCAGCCAGTGATTTGATACAACTTGGCCAAGTGAACATGTTCAGCTCTTCGGAGAACCTCGGGAACATGAGAAGGAGGGTCCTCTATATTTTCAACTCGGCAGACGCCCCGGAGAACTAGTTCGGTTTCGTCATGCTGCTGACCGGAGTAGACAACACCAGGGCAATCAATGAGGAATACTTAAGTTGTCGTGAGTGATATTTTTTTGTGGAGATTTCTTACCTCGCTTTGTGAGTGCAACGAACTGCCAGACTTTGGTCTCACCAGGAATAGGTGCAACGTTACAGACCTATAGAAAAGATAAACGTAGATAGATAGAGTAGAAAGTCGATTCTCAAACACAAATGAGGCACTTACCTTCTTTTTCTTCATGGTGTTGATAACAGATGACTTTCCAACGTTTGGATAGCCGATGAAACCAACGGAGATAGATTTTTTGTCCTTGTGAAGAAGAGCAAACTGTCTGAGAAGCGAAATCAACGCACCCTTGCCGAAGGGATTTGTAATAGACGAGTGGAAGGCTAGATTATGATTAGATTCCATCAAATTCTGAAAAAAAAATCTACCTAAAGTTGGTCTTTCTTTGGTCAAAAGCTGAACCCATTTTCTCGTGACAGCGATAGGCTGCAGGTCGACTTTGTTGAGTAAAAAGACGAGATGCTTATGTGGCTTTTCCTTTTCGAGATATCTTTCGATGTGGTGACATCTGGTGCCTTGTGGATCTCGAGCATCAAGCACTTGAATGATGACATCTGAAGAGTCGAGGACTCGATACAACTCGCCCCAAATACGCTTGGACTGACCAGCGTTCAACAATGGATTTCTTAACGAATCATGACTTCTGTTTTCAAGTTTTTTTTTACCTCTGATGGTCGAATGTTCCGTCACTTTCTCGAACAAGATCTTGATCTCCTTCCATATCGTAGTTTTCTTCCTTTTCTGTGACTTTCTCGACAACTTGTTCCAAGCTTTCAAAACTCAAGTTGGGTCGTTTTCTCCGCCTGTTCTTTGAGAAAACCTCACTAAAGAACGGTTTAAACTGAATTTAAACTGACTCCTTTAGGTACCTGTAAGGCTCTGTGTCCAAAATATGGACTTTCTCCTTTCCCGCCATAGGTTTTGCATCCAACAAAGACAGTGGAAGCTTTGAAGTGCGCAGCACAACCTTGAAGGGATCTTTGACCGCGTTTCCAAGCTCTTTTTGGAACTTTTGGAGCGCTTCTTGTCCGATGACGCGAGTGTTGCCGAACCATTTTCTGTTCGGCTCAACTCGAGCGACTGCACCGGATTTTAGCTGGCTCTGGAACTCTGCGGGTTTTACAATTTTGCCGTCCCGATTTCGAATTGCTCGTCCACCAGATTTGTACATGTTCAGTCGGTTGATGGTGCCTCGAGATCGCATTGAAGCATTTTTAACCGCTCGATCGGGATTCGAAGAGCCTTGGCCCTTCTTGATCCCCTCGATTCTTTTCTTGACACGAGCCATTCTGATTTGATGGAAGGATGCAATTAGCCTGGGTCTCAGACCCAGGATTCATTTCAAAAGTGACGCCTGGGTCTCAGACCCAGGATACCCCCTCAGAAGTGACGCCTGGGTCCAAAACTTAGGAAATGAGCGTTATTAGAAGAAAAAAACAATTTCCTCCTATAAATGATTGATAAGCAGTCTAGTATCTAATAATAATTAAGGTTAGTGTTAGGGGGCACCTGCAAAAATGACGGAACAAACTCACATGAGGGGGATAGGCTAGGGTTAGTTAGGGTTACTGAAGGTAACCCTAAGTAACCCTAGACTAGACCCCGGCTTTTTAGGACCTAAGGGGCGGAGCCCCGTGGTAAGGGGCAAATAGATCTGAGAATTTTCAGAGAATCAATCGAAGAAGTCTGCCTAAAATGCCCATTTTTAAATAAATCCTTGGAATTGGACCCAGGCGTCACTTCTGAGGGGTATCCTGGGTCTGAGACCCAGGCTAATTGTATACTTCCGATTTGATAGAATGCGAATAACGATAAATATTAAAGTATGGATCTGGCAGTCATGTGAGATATTTAAAGATAGCAATTTTGTTGGTAAAGTATGAATTAACGGGGCTGTTAATGACAAGTGGTAGTTGGTGCGTAATGATTTTGAAAATAATTTTTCTAAGTTCAGTAAGTTGGAAAATAATGGAAAACAGAAAATTGAGATGGAATTTTGTGAAAGAGCTTTAGTCGGAGTCGTCAGCGTGAAGATCCTTCGATCGGCGGGACAAGCGGCGGCGGGGAAGAGTTGCAGAAGTATGAAAGGAAGGATCTGAAGTTTTTGAATAATTTTTGATTTCGTTTGGTTTTTATCTGGTACCTCTCGAATTCGAATCATCATCGAATGCGTTGAAGGTGTCCCTAGACTCCTCATCGTCAGTGATTTTGCTCGAGGAAGTCGCTGAGGACTTTCTTGATCCTTTTGGCTCATCTTCGCTTTCACTAGAAAAAGAGTTAAGTGCCCTTTCTGTGAGAGAGAAATTTACCTTGTAGCTTTCCTTGTTTTCCGCTTCTTTGTATTCCAATCGTAATCCCTCGTCCGCCGTTTTCTCTTTTTCTTGTTGATTTTCGGCGTCTGATCCGGGTTGCTCGATTGGGCAGATTCCTCTGCTTTCAATTGCTCCAATACTGACTTTTTCTTGTCCTCTTGATCATCGTCTTTTTCTTGCTCTTCCGGAACATCGCTTAATTCTTTCTTCTCCTCATCCTCTGAATTTTCTTCTTCTATGACGGAAATTCCTAGAGGGGTCCATTTCAACGCTTCGTCGCACAATCGAGGCCTATTGGATTTGGCTTCTTTAGCTTTGTGCTCGTCGATGAGATCTTGTCGCGAGTGAATTTTCCATTTCCTCGTCTTTGGATCACGCTCAAGCATGCCCAGCCGCTGGAGAGTTGATGCAATATCGTGTGGACTCATTCCGGTTGAGTCTGCAATCGTAACGACCGAGAGGGTTGAGGAGTCAAAGTTTGACATGTATTCTAGCACAACGGATTTCCAGTACGCGTGGTAACTCACTCGCCCCAGGTCGGAAAGCGGCTTCTCGGGAGAACCATGCTGTCCTTCTTTTCTGGAGAGAAGATAAGAAAAGTCAATCAGAAACCTGCCATATCCAGATCGCTGGTATTGTGGAAGAGTCATGATGCAGGAAACATTATACCTCTGCTGACAGGCCTTTTCCTTTGAGAAATAACCAACAAGATGACATCCAGTTTCATCGTTCTTCGTCAACACGTAAAACAGAAAAGGTTCAACATCGTAGTAAAGCGTTTTGTGGTCGAGAAAGAGCTTGACAAGGAGACACAAGTTCTGGCAATAAAACTTAGCGGCATTCCCGTCTACTTCGAAAACTGAGAGACCTTCGTGTCTGTAAATTTCTTTCCCCGGTGGGTGGAATTCTTTGCACTGCGTGCGATGCCGCTCGGCTACTTTTTTACTCTTCATATATTTCAAGCAGAACTCGCATAGATACAGTTTATTTAACCTCGCATATTCGACTGGGTACGGACTTGAATACCACGTGACAATATCATACTGCGCAAACTGAATTCTCGCGGGGCATCGTTTCGTCAGTAAATCTTCCTCGGCCACCATTTCGCCCATTTGAGCCATTGCTTGACATCGTACTTGTCGGTAGAGTCGCTGATCCGCAGCGGTAATCATTGGTCTGTAAGGACGTTCTTGAGGATCTAAGGCTGCTTTTCGCTGTTTTTGTTCTTTCACGTGACCTTGAGCTGTTCTCGTTTTTCTTCCTTCCGGGCTCGGAGTAAAGTATTTGCTCATTGCGTCGTGGAGGCCCTTTTCTACACCTTTTGGCTCTTCTGTCGTCTCTGAAATCACCTCAGATTTGATCATCGAAGGTCTTCGGACGCTATGAGTACTCTTGGCGAACTTTTTCGGCTTGAAATCCTTGTGCTCCGAGCAGTTGAGATATTTCATCTTTTTGCTGGGCCCGACTTTTTCGCATTTCCAATGAGCTGCTGCATCACATTGCGAGCAAACCGACCCACTGTACGGGCCTGTTTCGCCTTCAACCGGGTCGTTACAGATTCTACAAAGTTTACATTCGTCGCAATCCCAAGAATTTTTGTAGCACCAGCTAGCGCATTCTGGCGTCATACGGATGCATGAAGGATGGAAAGAGCTGCCACAGGATCGGCAGGAAATCAGATACTCCATCTTTGCTTTTAGGTTGTATCGAGCGGTGCCGTAGCAATTGAGGCAAATTGGCATTGGTGGAGCTGCTTTAGTTTGGGATCGAAAGAACGTTTATTATTGAAATAGATGGTTAAAACTTAAACTTGTCTCCATCCCGACCTTGAGAGTTCTCTTCACTCTCCTCTTCATCTTCAGAATCATCGCTTCCGAGCTCGATCCTGTGAAACTTGTTGGAATCATGGCTCGTTCTTACAAGCAAATTCGCAGTAACTCCCCTCCCGATCGCCAGCCTCAATTGGCTCTTGAATTCACCGAGTTCGACTCCCTCGAGCCAGAAATTCTGTTGAATGTACTTGTCAATAGCACTGATGGTTGTTCCGTGCTGGTTTTCCTCTTTCATTCGTCGGATGATATTGCGCAGGAGTTTGATGTAGCAGCGGAAGTGGATGACGTCTGGATCGGTCGTGTCCCAATTCCGTTTACTTAGAAGGGTGATTTCGGGCTTTTTCTCAGCGACAGATTTTTGAGGAGAGCGAGGTAGCGTTTTTGGATCGCCTTGGCGTTCGATGAAGTACTCAACTAAACACAATGATAGAATAGATAAGCACGTATGATAGTTTACCATTGGCAGGATCGATTTTTGGAATAACTTGATCGTCGTCGAACCTGGAGTCCACAAAGATTTGAACATCTTCATCACTGAATTTTCCATTTAGTAAAAAGAAAGATTTTTATTTATCGTAAAATTGGATCTTAATCAGCAATGATAGATTTGTGACAGCTGGGTATCTCTAGTCAATAGTCCCATGCTGAGCACGCACGCCTGAGAATATAGCGCCCTCATTTGGATCATGGTACAGATATATACGCTAGTCACTAAATTTCACCAATCCATTATATTAGAACGATGAATTAAAAGGAGTAAAATGTAAACGGCACATCCATCATTAGTTACTGTTGTTGTTGGACTCTTTCTTACTAATAATACTGATAATAAACTGAAAAATACAACTCACATTGAAGCATCTGAGTCCTCTCCCTCTGATGAATCTTGTCCATTTTCCTCTTTATACTCCTGCTTTTTCGGCGTTACTTTCACCCACTCAGTTATAGACCGATTTTTGCTATTATCCGCCAAAGATTGCTTTTTCGCAGGTCGTCCTTTTTTCTTTGGCGTTTTCAGCTGCACGGACCCGGCCGAGTCCGATGACGATTTTCTCCCGTCGTCTTTCTTTGGGAAAAATGTAAAATTACCGCGTTTCTCTTCTCCCTCGATAATATCGGCGTCCCACATGGATTCTAGTCTGATTTTGAACTCATCCTTCGTCATATCTTCGAGTTCATCTTTCAGTGAAATGTACAGTCTTTCTGTCGTCGCTTTCTTTAGTTTTCTAAGCGCTTTTTGCACCTAATGTACCGTTAAAATCAAATTTGAAAAGAACTTTTTACCTGTTCTCCAAAAATATCGTCAGGTATTAGTGATGTTCTACGAGGCCTACTTTTACCCATTCTAAGATAGAGAAAAAATAGCTTTTGTTGGAATCTGGTTATTTATTTTTGAAGCAAGAATAAGAACTGGACAGGTTATTTCTTAGAAGCAAATTTGTTCTTTACTCCTCGCCAAGCAGCACCAAATAGTCCGACATCATCATCTTTCAAATGGGTTGAAAATTGAAAGCAAATAGGTATATTTTGACGAGATATCTTGCTAGGCATCCAATAATGTTCAACCAATTCCTATAACTTCTTTCCCATATCTTCTATTGAAATCAAGATTTTGATATTGTCTCTCCGGCCCTCTGAAACCATCCTTTCCTAAATCCGTTCGAATTTGTGAAACGCCGCCAAAAGCTCTTTGTTTGTATCCCTTATCAATATTATTTTCGATAATGCTGTCCCCAAATCTGAGCCGATCAGGGTCCCATTCGTTCGCAGTCGGATTACTGAACCAGTTCGTGCTTGGGCGCTCTTGTCGTTTTTCCCGCTCTTCTTGACGCTCTTGTTCCATTTTTTGTTTCGTTTCAAACTGCTGATGCTCTTCCCAGTTCATGATTTTATCGTAAGCGGCTTGCAGGTTTTGGAATTCTTGCGCTTTGACTGGATCGTCGGGGAAAATGTCTGGATGGCACTTCATGCATTTTCGCAGGTACTCGGTGTGGATTTGTTTCTTGGACATATTTCGCGAAACACCAAGGATTTTAAACGGATCAGTGGCATAACGCCGAATGCTGATTTTTAAACCGCCGTTTCGGATTATCCGATTCATGAACGATTTTACTTTTTCTAAAAGCAAAAACATCAGCTTCGTGCTGCTTTTCAATATTGCACTTTATTCTTCTATAGAAAAGGGATCAGCAAATATCCGGCTCTCCAATTTGATCTAAGGTTCTCAGTTTCTTCAACCCTTCGGTCGTCTTTGTAAAGAAACCTTCTGCGGAGCCGTGTAAAGAATTCGAAAACAGTGAAAAAACATTATGAAGAAGGTCTGATTCAATTTGTGAGCTGACAAGAGGATTGCTTGTTACAATCGTTTCGAATGACACTAGTTTCTTCGCCAAATGCTTGTCTACTTCTATCGCTAGTTGCTCGCAAGTTTGGCGGCTCTTTTCAGGAAGAAGATTTGTTTCCAGGAGTTGAAGATGAATCTTATCAAAAGTGAGATGACAGTAATAGGCGATTTCTACCTGTATTTTGGACAAAGATGGCAGCAACGACGATGAAACTTGCTCCAGTTCCTTTATATGCGCCAATTTTCCCGCGTTATACGCATACAGCGCGTCACTACAGTAATAATAAGCTACAGTAATAAATCAAAGGAAATTAAAACTATTGATTTACTTCCAACTACCTGATGTCTTGATATGCGTTGTTGACGATTTGCTTCGTCAGGGCCGTTTCAAACGCAAGAACATTCGCAATCACTTGATCATATTTTTCCTGAATAGAAACATTGATTACAATTGATAAATTTGAATATTAATCTACCTGAAAGCGTGGGCTATCCCTCAACGGCTGAGCATAGGGTCGATCTTCTTCCCATACGATTAGACTCGTCCGAATGCAGCTAATCGTGTTCACAATCGCGCAGACTTTATCCAACGAAATCGACCCCACATCAGAGAGCTGAATCAAACCAAGCCGGAACTCGTCGATAATTTCAAGCTCTGTCGCACTCGTTTTTTATATTGCTACTGTTGTAAATTTCGATTCCTGATTGATAAGAATCGGAAAGGAGCGAAATACAAAAGGTATGATTTTCCGCCTGGCTGTTTAGTAGGGGCATTTCGTGGGGCGCTATTTTACGAGCTTAGATACCAAGTCATATAAGAATCCGCTCAATACCAACACCGCCGCATAAAACAAAAGAAAGCCAAATAGAGAGTAAAGACTCGATCAGCTCGAAAACAAATCCAACTAAATCTCAATCTACGCTTATCGATTTATATCTCAGATAAAAAAAAACGAGGAGTAATCAAGAGAGAACATGGAACAGCACGCTGTCAATCCCTACATGCTCGCCTTCATCGTCGGAGTCCTCGTCTACGTTTACGCTGATATTATCGAGCAGTTCTTGGCGACTTTTGGACTTTAGATATTAATTCATAAAATGACCTTTCTCTTGAATTGAAATTTTCTGCAAAGCTTGTGTACCCAATTTAAAACTGAATAGTACATAGAAAATATATAAAATGACTTTTCTTAATTAAATTTTTCAAGATAAGATGTTGAACCTATTAAATTACAAATTATTTAATATCTTATATAACTTATATAATATAGGGCCACACTTGAGAAGTATCTTCTTCCTGTGAACCTCGCCAGTTTTTGTATACCCAGTTTATAAATAATTATCGGGTGGTTATCGTTTTGCCAGACCCGCGTTGTTTATTAAACCAAGAAATTCTTAACTTTACTTTCTCATCTGTACACTATTTACTATTTAACATTGTCTATGTTTATGCCTAATAAAACTGAATGAAATTATGTAAAATAAATAAAATAAAAATCAATTATAAAATGAAATGTAACCCTTTAAAGTTAGTATTTCGAGACCTATTTGCACCAAACAGAACGAACAATTCAACAATTTCTTTAAAAATGACTTTGCCTCTGATAATAAAAAGTAAATCGTAAAATGAAACGCTAGCACTTCAACCTAATTGAAGATGGAAAAGCGCTAGAAATAAACGATTTCCTTGAAAATAAAACTTTGTCCGGGTTTTCTGAGACAAGCACTGGCATCGTCGATTAGTTAATTGCAGGATATCAAAGAATTGCATCGCTACTTCTTCTGATTTGATCGGAAACTCTCCACTGATAATTTCCTCTAGCATTTTTCTGGACGACACTAGCTCCAAGCCAACCCATCTAAAAGAAAGTCAACTTTCGTAAACCGTCAAAAATGTTCTTTCGTTACCTCGCCGCAATATCGTCATGCTCCAGAATCGCAAGAGGCCTGTGCATTTCTGCGATAGTAGGTTCAAACAGCTGTAACTCAGCGTCATTCGAAATGATTTCATCGATGATATGACTGAAAACTTCATCATCAAGCTCTAATTCAAAATCGTCTTCGACTTTTCGCGCTGCAATTCTCAACAGCTCTGCAACGAATTCAATCGAGGCCGAGAACTCGTCAAAAATTTCTTCCGCAATCGTCGTGATGAAGTTTTGATACTCGTTGATCCACTTGTAAATAATAGAAAGAAAGTATTCCGGTTTCGCTGGGTCGTTTAATTTTGAGTTTGCGGAGTAGAAGAAGATTGAAAATTTCTTCCTGAGCGGCGCGACGAGTGCTACAATCGCTGCTTTTTGACCCGAAGCGAGATGCTTCGGCAGGTTGAGATCATCCAACCGGCACAGCTGATTTTTAAGAGCCTTTGTGTCGGCCTTTGTGTACTTGTTTTCTTTCAATTTATCCGGGAATCCTAATTTGGCGAGTTCAACAGCTACAGCTTGTTCGAGCGGCTCTGTTAGCGCTCGCTGCCAAGTTCGGCAGTATTCATCGACGTAGTCTTTGACCCCTGATGCTTCAGTCGCTGAAATGCTGGAACACAGTTTTCTCAGCTTTGAGTAGTGTTCCGTCGCTTTTGAAAAGTTTTCGGAGGAGTCCTTGATGTCGGAGGAAATCTGCTCCAGCTCGTTGAAGAGTATCTTTTGAGGGATGGAAAATGCATTTTTGTGGAAAAATAGGTCGGAAAATGAGGTTTAGTATAAAAAATACGGTTTGATTTTATTCAGTAAAAATGTTTCTACAGTTGGGGGCCAAGATTGAAAATGCGCACATAATTGTAAAACGATTCGCAGGAGCCTTCAAATCGACAGAGTCCGTAGCCTTTTCTCTTGGCATTCGTGTAATCGTGTTGAATGTAGTCGTACATGGCCGCTGCTGTCCGATTGTGACGCACCCAGATCGCCGGCTCGATTTCGAATTGGGTTGAATTTGAATCGCCGATTTTGACATTTTCTGTTCCGTAAAGATGCACGGCGCAGGTTGAAAGAGAATCGCTGATGTCAGAGTGATAGATCATTTGAAGCTCTAACTCGTCGCAATAGTGGATTACTTCTTCGACAGAACTAGAATTATTGGATATAGAAAGCTTCAAAGGTTACTCTTGTTTACCTTATCGTTGTATTTTTGCCGGCTGGAACGCGGACAGCTGATCTCAGGCCCATGAATTGCTCGCCAAAATACTCGCAGCAGGGAAGAGTTTCTTTTATGTGCTCCATTTGCATTCTACTCTGCACACTTCTTTCTTCTTCCCAGACGATTGCAAAAAGAACGAAGCACAAGACAACGAGGGAGAGAAAGAATCCAGTGTTGATGGATTGGCGGGTGAGGGAAAGAAGAGACGCTCGAGACTGGGATTCTTCCACTTGAAATTCTGCGATTCGAGTTAATTGATGAAGATAACGCTGGTTTCTACCTGCCATGCGTTGAGCATGAGTTTGAAGTCTCTCTTCAATGTTTTGTTGTTCTAGGTCGATATCTTCTTGAGTTACCCTATCCGGAAAGAGCTTATCAAGGAATTTTCAATGTAATAAATTGTTATAAACAAGAAATAAGGGCAAAAATTTAAATTCCTTTTCCTCAGCATAAGTCGGCGGAATGTCCATCGTCGCGGGTTTATTTATTCCAAGGACCATTTTCCTTAGTTTATATAATTTTTAGCTTGATCCCCTGTTATCAACTGGCTGATCAAAAACCCTCTTCGTAAACACGAGAGAAACCGATCTAGAAACCCTGATCGTACTCGATCGATCGATTGAAAAAAAAAACTGTGGACTCAGAGTAAACCAACGCGTCAATTTCCATCCCTGACATGAATTAACAGCGCTTTATGTGAAGATTCGAGCTCGACGAGTTGAGAATTCTCGCTTTCCCTCGTCTTTTCTGACAATTCAGAGGACTTCTCAGCTAACTCTTTTGCCTCATTTGTGAACTCGCTAATTTGATCATTCAACTTGTTAATTTCCTCCTCCGTCTGCTGAATATTTTTCTCTATTTTCTAATTATGCCTGTTCCGAGCTTCGCGGCTTACCCAAACTGGCTACTGGATCGCTTTCGAATCCGAACTGATCAAGAATTTCACACACGAGCTCGACATTTGTCATTTTCGTTCTGATAGGGAAAATATAGGAGGTTTTCTTTTAGGTCTTCAAAATTTATTTTTTGCAGCAGTGAAGTCCGAATTTTTTTTTCAAAATTGGCAGGGTGAAATTGAAGTGAATATGGCTTGAATTGACAGTGATTTTATGTGAAGAAAATAAGGCACTTGGTTATTGAAGTTCTTCCAATTTATCTTGTGCAGTGAGGATTTCAGTGTTGAGGCCGTTTCGCAGTTTTAGTAGCTCTAGTTTTAACATCATCGCTTCCAAATGCGGTAGGGGTCGAATTGGCGACAGTTCAGTTCTGGCGAAAAGAAAAAGCTGGTCTTTTGCAGTTTTTCCTTTTTTCGGCAGCTTTTTCTTTGAAGAAACAGGAGGCTTCGATCCCACCAATTTGTAGGCTTTTTCTAGTGCTGCTAGTTGATCCTTTTTGAGAGCAATATTTTCGTTGAGTGCAGAAACTTCTTCACTTTTTGGATTTTGGCTGGGTTTTTCGGTTTGTTCGTGAACTTGTTCGGCTGGTGAAGGGGTTGAATTTCGGAGAGCTGGGAGGGCGTAGGTTGCGTATGGTCGGGCAACTTTTGCTGGTTGTGAAGATAATGTGGCAATAAAAGATTGTGAAGGGTTCTGGCTAAAGATTGGATTACAAATTGGAAAATGAGAAGAGCTTGTTTACCGATTTGTAATCCAATCAATTGGACGATTTTTGGGCATCTTTGTTTTTGCGAGAATCGTCTGGATATTGGATCTCTTCTGGTATTTCGCGGTCCGCAAATATTCGATCCCTAATAAATTTAAGCAAAATACTAGAATTGAAGGAACTTACTCATCGTAGGCAATGTTGATGTTAGCCAGACGCAGGATTAGCTCTTCACTCCTCTGCCAAACCTCCTTGAACTCATTCAGTCCAGGAGAGAAACTGAAACAGTCCGATTTGTCGATTGAGGCCGTCAGCTCTTTCCTCTTGCTGTCATATTCGTCCAAAATGTCCTTCTTCGCGGCTGCATTGAACCACCTTCGGACGCCAATCGCGACGTTGACGTATTTTACCAGCGAGTTGGATTTCCCGTAGTCTATCGCTTTTTTCGTCTTCAGCATTTTTCGCAGGTAGATTCTCTCTTCCCTCTTGTTGTTTTTTATCAGAATGAAATCCACGACGTTTTGTTTAGTCGTTTTGTTGTAAAATTCCACAACCATCTCCATTTCGTCTCTTTCAGTCATTCCAGATGGGACAAACTTCAGATACACGTGGTTTCGTGGTTCTCTGATTTTATGCCCCTCTTTATCGACGACTGCGGCCTTTATTCCTAAAAAAGTCAAATAAACTTAATATGAGTACTTCGGACTTACTTTTAGCGTTTAGCTCAACGGACACTCGCGGACCATCCCGCCCCTCCATGTAGAAATGATGAATAAAAGGCTCTTTCGGAATGAGCCTATTCGTGGTCTCTTCCAATTCAAAGAAGATCTTGTCCTCGACGCTCCAGTGACGGACAAACTTCTTCGACTTGATCGCTCTCGCCGTTTCTGGATAGTTTTCGACCCCGGAATTGAGTGCCAGATCCGCTTCATTTTCCAGCACATCGAGCTGCTCCAGATATTGCTCGTTTTTTCTCAACTGGCGGTTCAATCGTTTTACTGCCGCTTCGGTCTTTAGTTTCAGCTCGGGTTTGAGCTTGTCTCGCCCATTTTCCTCCCTAAAAATGATGAGTTTCCAATTAAATTTTGAGCTTTGTACGTACCAAATCTGCCAGTATGTCAGTGAATCAACGACATTCTGGTTCCTTGTCATAGCGTAATATGCTAAGTCATGATTTGGGTCTATCATCTTTTTTTTCTCTTTTTGACAAACGTCTTCGTTTTCCGGTTTCGCAGGGAATGACCTTTTCCCGACTTATCAAATCGGCGAAAAATTTATCGCCTACGCATTCCCTCTGCGCGCTGCTGGAAGACAGAGGATTCGCTTCTTACTTTCAAAACGAGTCTTCCGAAATCAAAATTTTCTTGACGAGAAAATCATTCAATTACTGACGGAATTCAATTATTATTATTCAATCTATTTGTCGAAGAATTCATGAAAATTATGTGGGAATAAATCCGCTTCTTTTTGGCATTTATTCAATTTTTCCACCTTTTTTTAGAGTTTTTTTAATTTCCAAGGGGCGAATTCTATGATTCTAGAGCTAGAAATTCCGTAAAAATCGATTCCCTAAGCAGCGATTTTTGTTTTGTTTACTCAAAAAGTGCAAACATACCGCTTTGTGCAAATACACTTAGTTTTTATGTCCTCTTTAGCCCGCTTATTTCCATTTTATTACTTACAAGGTGTAATTACTGTCGCTGATTTCATTTTCTAAGAAAGAGAATGGTCGAATTCGAGAATGATCCATGCTGCTTCAGCGACATCACCAAAATTCGAACGAAATCAATCCATTTCGACTGGACTATCGACTATTCCCTCAAACAGGTCAAAGGGTCAGCGGAATTGACCTGCGATGTCCTCGAAGAAGGCCTCTGTACATTCATGTTGGATACCCGAGAACTGGATGTTCAAAAAGTCCTGATCGAGGGAAACGAAATGAAGTTTTCCTTCGGCCAAGCTGGCCAAAATGGCAAATCAGAAGCGCTAGGCAAACCGCTTATCATTGTTCTTCCTGATGTTCCACCACCAAAAGGAGAAGATCTCGTCGTAAAGATCTTTTACAACACGACTGAGAAATGCTCTGCTCTTCAGGAATGGATACTTATGTTTTTTATCGGGGTATTTAAATTTGCTACTGATTTTTCTGTGTTTTCTTGGAATTCGAAAAAGAAACTTCATTAGTTTCATAGTCAAATTTTTCGATATCTATTTCAATAAAATCATTGATAAGCAAAGAGTATCCTTGCAAAGTGGCTTACAAAGGAGCAAACCGCCGGTGGCGAGCACCCTTACATGTTCTCCCAGTGCCAGGCGATTCACGCCCGCTCTCTCTTCCCCTGCCAAGATTCTCCTGGAGTCAAGATCAAGTACACGGCCAAGGTCTCCGTTGCTGCTCCTCTCGTCGCCCTGATGAGCGCCAATCTCCAACACGATAAGACGGAGAAAACCGATTCTGTCAACACTTTTTACTTCTCCCAACATGTTCCTATGCCCTCCTATCTGGTCGCGATCGCGTCCGGCGCTTTGGAGAGCCGAGAAATTGGCCCTCGATCGCGAGTCTGGTCGGAGAAAGAGTTCGTCGACAAGGCTGCTTTTGAATTTTCGCAGACTGAAGACTTCATCAAGGCGGGAGAGTCCCTCCTCGGCCCTTATGTTTGGGGACAGTACGATCTTCTCGTCCTCCCTCCTTCTTTCCCCTACGGAGGGATGGAAAACCCCTGCCTGACTTTTGTCACTCCGACTCTTCTTGCCGGCGACAAATCTCTCGCAAACGTCGTTGCTCACGAAATCGCCCACTCCTGGACAGGAAACTTAGTGACTAACGTAAACTGGCAGCATTTCTGGCTCAACGAAGGACATACAGTTTTCGTTGAGCGAAAGATCGTCGAGAAAATTTACAATAGGCCGACTGCGGAGTTCCAGGCAATTGGTGGCTGGACAGGAAAGGTACACTTTTTTATCCCCTTTGATTCGGGGTAGTCTTCGTTGATTTCAAGAAAGTTGAGAACCTTGAAAAGGCCTTGTGGAAACTGTAGACACTTTGGGAGCAGAGCATGAGTACACCAAGCTGGTGATTAAAAACGATGGCTCTGTTGACCCAGACGATTCTTTCTCCCGGATTCCATACGAAAAAGGCTTCTCGCTTCTTTACCACCTCCAGTCGCTCGTTGGCATTCCTAAGTTTGAAGGCTTTCTCAAAGGCAACGGTGATAGAAAAAGAGTACCTCAATAAAGATTTAATCGAGGAAGTCGAGCTTTTGGGCGAAACGCATGAATTCACCAAATTGGTGATCAAGCAATCCGGGTCAATCGACCCCGACGACGCCTTTTCGAGCATTCCTTATGAAAAAGGTTTCGCGCTGTTGTACCATCTTGAGACTCTTTTGAGTGTTCCTAAGTTTGAGGCATTCCTCAAAGGTAAAAACTTTTATTGAGCCATTTTTCTATCACTTTTCGAAGCCTACATCGAGGCATTCTCCTACAAAGCGTTGGATACTCAACAATGGAAGGACCTTCTTTTCAAGCACTTCTCTGGTTCAGAAGAAGATACCGCTATTTTGAATAAGGTCGACTGGGATGCTTGGTTCAACAACACTGGAATGCCTCCTGTTCCTAAGCCACAGTACGATACAAGCCTACAGGATGTGTGCACCGCTGTAAGTTTCAAAAATCATAAAATTTTGATGCTTTTTCTTTCCCGGCTCTTGAATTTTTGATCAATATTCTACCCTTGAATTCAAATTCCAGTCGAACCTTTGTTCATGGATCGGCTGAGCCATTTCACGGGGAGATCATACTTCATAGATTATTTCGCGTTCCTTTTCTCATACTTTTCCGAATTTGGAGAAAAATGAATCGCCGATTTTCTAACAGATTCTTCAGCTGGCGAAAAAGTGGCGCGCAGGTGACGGTGCTCCAAGTGCGGATGATATTGCCTCATTCAATTCCGGTCAGCTTCAAGAATTCCTCGACCAGCTTGTCCTCGATAGTTCCTTCTCACCCGAGCAGGTTCAGCAAATGTCCGATGTTTATAAGGGCATTTCAGAGTCGCACAACTCGGAAGTGCGTTTCCGATGGATTCACCTTGGCCTCAAATCACGATTCAAGCCAGCTATTGATAATGCTTTGGCGATGGTCACCGAACAGGTAAATTTGCCCCCGAGTTCGTCTTTGACCTCATTTGACTCTTTCTCTAGGGGCGTATGAAATTCACACGACCGTTGTACCGAGACTTGAAGAATTGGGACCTCGCGCTGCCAAGAGCGGTGGAAACTTTCAAAAAGAATCGTCCATCGATGCATCCGACCACTGCCGCCCTCGTTGCCAAAGACCTTGGGCTGCAATAAGTTATAAAAATCCTTTTTGTTCAATTTTCCTTTGATTACATGTATGATTATTATTTCTGTTAATTACACCGGTACGTTCTGATTCTTTTGATTCAATAAAGCCAAATAGTCTTCAATACATACAACCGGCTACTGTGGAAACAGTAGATTCATTGATTAGATGTACGGATCTTTCGCGCAACATTAGCCAGCTATTACGTAACATCTCTGACCAAGATCGCAGTATTTTTCGACTTTCAAAGCAAAAAAATATTGAAAATCAGAGAGAATGGCGAATCTAGTGAGAACAGCTCTTTGCGGACTTGATGGAGTATTGAAGTACATGAAGTTCTCGCCTTGTTATTTGATGGCGAAGCGCGATTTTAAACCTATCACAACGGATTTGTCCGAAAAATCGATTTTGATCACCGGAGGCAACTCTGGAATTGGTCTTGAAGCAGCTGTCAAACTTGCTAGAGTAAGTTAACAATGTCTTTAGAATGAAATAAAGTTCTCGTTCTAGCTCGGTGCAAATGTCCACATTGCTTGCCGAAACGAGTCGCGAGGTAGCGCTGCAGTCGACGAAATCGTCTCAAGAGCAAATGTTTCAAAAGAAAAAGTGCAGCTCCACCTGCTCGATGTTTCCGAATGCAAAGATGTTCATAAGTTCGCGGCGGATTTTTCAAAAATGCTCAAGGAAAATGAAGAGAAACTGTATTGTCTGGTGAACAACGCAGGTGGAATAATCAACGAAAGGAAGAAGAATAGCCAGGGCTATGAGGTAAATGCGCAATTATTTTGATGATTTTCGCTTTGATTCTTTTTTGGAAAAAACTGAATCTCATGGGTACGAGAATATTAAATGTTGGAATAGAAATTAGATTATGAAACACGTTTTTCCGTCGAAATCAAAGACTGGACATGATTCAATGGTAGAACAGATTATGAAACTGATGAAAATTCTCTCTAAATTTAAGGATGAGTGATGACTCAACAATTATTTTGATAGAAAGTCATCATCCTTCAATCCGGAGGATATTTCGATCTATAACATAACGCTACTCGGTATCGTGAAAGATTCTTTATAAAATTGTAGATGAATTTCGCCACGAACACTCTGGGAATGTACATCCTTACAAAGAGCCTTCTCTCCTCAAATGCCCTTTCTGCTGGTTCCCGTGTTTTTTCTACAACTTCCAGCTCGATGATGATCGTGCCTTGTGTAACTGAAGATCTCAACTTTGAAAAAGGAAGTTTTGATAAAAACGGAATCAATGCTTACGCCTTCGCTTGCACACAAAAACGCCATCAAGTTATTCTCACTGATGTTTGGGCTGCGCAATATCCTGACATTTACTTCTGTACCGGACACCCAGGCTACTGTAACACCAAGGCAGCGAAGGACACGCCGTTTTATACTGTCCCCGGAGAGTTTATTTACAATTTGGGAGCTAAAGCCATTCGAAGGTACGAGTCATATTTTCTTTTTCTATCTAATGTCTGTCTCTAGCCCTGAAGAATCATCTGACTGTATTTTCTTCGCCGCCGCCGCTGACAAATCTGACCTTGCCCCGTCTGGAACATATTACACCGACCGAAAACCCGCGGCAAAGCACTATTTTGGAACTCAGGAAACTGAGGCCGATCGACAAAAACTCGTTGCGATATTGGATGATATTTACGAATCTACTAAAGAATAATTCACTATTTCACTGTCTTGCCATCTTTAGCACAACATAACTCAACATTTAAAACAAATTTCTAACTGATAAGTCTTAATCTTTCTTCATTTCCGAAATCACATGTTTCCAAGTTAAAGAATGTTTTGGTCCTTCAAATCGCTGATTCTTCCCTGTTTTCTACTCTATTTCTTTCAGATGTCTTGGTTCCGCGCGCTCAGTTTCGGGATAAAAGGATATTGTGATTTTACGCGACCCGCATTTATCAAAGCGCAGAAAACTTTCAAACCCCTCCAGGATGATTTAACAGGCAAAGTTGTCGTCATTACTGGCGGAAACTCGGGCATTGGATTCGAAGCGGCTATTAAACTCGCTAAGGTGAGGGATAGAATTTCCATTCCCCGATTTACGTCTGTATTAGATGGGTGCAGAAGTCCACATTGCCTGTAGGTCTCCCGAGCGAGGCCAGAAAGCCCTGGACGAAATTATTTCCCGAGCTCAAGTTTCCGCCGACAACGTTAAGCTCCACATCTTGGATGTTTCCAAATCGGACACTGTTCATACATTTGTGAATGACTTCACCGAACACCTTGGAGGACGGAAACTGTACGCTCTGGTGAACAATGCAGGCTGTATGGTAGACCGTGCAGAGAACTTGTTCGGGTATGAAATCAACTTTGCGACGAATACACTTGGAATGTACATTTTGACGAAGGGATTTATCGAAACACAAGCGCTTGCGGAGGGATCGAGAGTTGTCACAGTAACATCGGGAGGAATGTATAGCCAGGCGTTGGAGCTTGAAGACATGCAGTGGAAAAAGTCTGGGTTTGATGCGACCAAAGCTTATGCCAAGCATAAACGACAACAAGTAGTCATTACAGGTAAAGCCACTAGAACCCGAGCTCTAGGTCATGATTTATTCAGTAGGCTACAGACCTTAGGTATTAGCATCATCTTTCACGACTCACATAAAAATGATGGTCAATTCAGCATCAAAATTGACGCTAATAATAGCAAAAATATTTCTATTATGATAATGGAATGATAATAACCAATTGTGTCTCTTTCTCTCAGATTGTCAAAATTATATTCAGATGTCTGGGCGAAGAAGCATCCATCGATACAGTTTTTGACGACGCATCCTGGTTGGGCGGATACTCCTGCGCTCAGAGGGGCAATGCCAGATTTCCATGAAAAGATGAAGGATAAGCTCAGAACGTAAGCTCCATTATTTGCTGTCTTTCTTTCAATATCTTTTCAGGGCAGAAGAAGGGGCTGATTGCATCGTTCACGGAGTAGCGTCAAAACCAGAAGACCTTGGGCCAAACGGCAGCTTTTACACAGACAGAAAGGCGGCCAGTAAACACCTAACTCTGGCATTTACTCAAGAATCATCAGCAGATGCGTCTCGTCTAGAAGAGCTTTTAGATGAAATGTATGAACGGACGAAGAAATCACCATCATAATTGAGCTAAATGAAATTCCGTCTCGTTGAGAACTTCTATTGCTGATGAAAAAAGCTCTTGATCATTCCGATTCTATCAAATAAAATATATAAATAACTTCTTTTCCTGACAAAATAATACACAGATAATACCAAAAAATATGATTTTATTATGCTGCTAAAGTCACTCTACGTAGATTAATTATTTCCTCTGAATAATAATTATGCATGTTGTAAGCTTCTTTCTCAATTTTATCTCCTGCAGAATGAACAGACTATCAGTGCGCAAATTCGGCCTGACATCTCTTCTTGAGCGAAACGATAGGAGGAGATTCAAGGTATCGATCAATTTATTTCCGTCATTTTTTTATTGCTTTGCCTAATTAAGTATTATTACAACAACAGATTTGGGTACAAGAGGCACTGGGATTTCCGTGGATATTATTACCTTGACGAAATCGACAAGATTGTGCCTCTCGATGATAAGGCTCCGCGATCGCATACGATTGACGCAGATTGGAGGATTCGAAACAAATGGCCTCAGGTATAGGAATCCCTCAATATTCTAGTGCTAAAAGAGAGCTTTAGATGCCGCAAGGAAAGTGGGAAATGAACGAAGACAAGAAGCGACGGCTAGTAGAGTACCCTGAAATTCATCCTGCTTTGGATTCAAGAGTCCCGCAATTTTCTTTTGTTGATGGTCGAATTCCAGAGCCACCAAGTAAGAACTTCATCAAGAAATTTATATAACGGGGCTATTTATAGGAGAAACGCAAATCGACGCTGAAAAGAATCGAATTCTCGTCCGTCAAATCGTAGAAATGATGAAAGAACTCAAGAACGAAAAGAAATCACATGAAGAGAACGATTCTAGCGCAGCTTCTTTTCAACCAAAATTATCTCAAAAAGGAGAACGCCCGCCTCCTGTTTGAGATTTTTCGATTAAATTAATTTTATTGTAATTTGCAAATGTCGTTCTGGAAAGGCATAAATTATCCTTCCATCATTTCAGAATGCCTGATTTGAAAGTCGTAGAGCTCTTCTGTGGCATCGGTGGTTTCCATGCGGCCTTTGAGAAGGCGAAAAATGATCTCAAAGGAGCACCAACTGAAATTGAGTACAAGGTAATCTTTTCTACACGAAGAATTTATTTCTTCGATACATTAAGAAAACACTATGAATTCAATCCAAGTTATCATTTCTTCCAGGTTCTTTCTGCCATGGATATCAACAACAACGCAACAAGCTGCTACAAGCTCAATCATATGAGCATGGAGAAAGATGTGATCAACACGGACATCAATGCAGCGCCCTGGGAGCAAACTTCCTGTAAGATTTCTACCGAAGCCGTAAAATTTCCTTTAATTTCAGGCTACAACACTCTTGCCATGTCGCCGCCCTGTCAACCCTTTACCCGCAACGGAAAGCAAAAAGACAAAGAGGATCCGCGCACGAAGCCGCTTCTATCCATTATTGAAAAAATAAAGACCTCAAAGAAGAAATTCCTTCCCCGATATATCATCATGGAAAACGTCAAGTTCTTCGAGAAATCTCAGACCTGCAAGGACTTACTAGCGGCGCTGGACAGTAGAAACTTTATCTACAGACAGTTTTTGATCTCACCGACGGATTTGGGGACGCCGAATCAAAGAGCGAGATATTTTCTTATTGCAAAGAGGGGAAAGCACATGAAGTTTCATTTTGATCCGTATGTCATTAATTGGAAGAAAAAGAGCACTGGCGAACCAGAAAGTAAGCGACAAAAAGTAGAAGAAGGGACAGAAGAAATAGAAAAAGACCTGTCAGATAATGAAGAGGAAATCGCCGATCATTTGAAAGCGGAAAATGAAGGTATTTCCAAAGGAGTCCGAAGATATATTTTACCCTTATTTAGCGCGAGAAATTCCAAAAGCAAGTGTCAAAATGTACGAAAATATGGACGTTTTTGTGCGACACGATGGCCCTGACGCCAATTCACAGATTCTTGGCCTCAAAATAAAGGAGAAGATTCACTCGCTCGAGCGATACATTCAAGATTTAGACTTTGAAGAAGAAGTCTGGAAAGAAATCTATGTTTTAACCGATCAGTTGAAAAGGAGATTCCTGAACGTTTTGGACATTGTCAGAACTTCAAGCTCGAGAAGTATTTGTTTTACCAAAGCTTACGGAAAATATGCCCAAGGTGATCTATTTGCAGAAGACTCATTCTTTAATCATGATTGTAGGAACTGGATCGATGATCGACATGATGGAAAAAGTAGACCCAAATGATCGGACAAAAGATAGAGAACCGGAAGATTTCGAGCTGAGATACTTCACAGAAATGGAAGTTGCTGGCCTTATGGGCTTTCCCAAAGACTTTTCTTTCCCGCCAGATCTGACAACAAGACAGGTAATGTGTAATAAAGTCGGTTTACAACTCACTCTATTTTTCCATAAAAAACTTGTTAAACAATTTGAAAAAATAAATAGGTTCTACGTTAGAGAATATTTTTATCTTCAAACAAAATAATGACTAGATGATAACAATAAAACGTACAATGTTCTCGATTGTCTTCAAATAAAAAAAATGTTCAGCGATACGCTCTGCTTGGCAACTCGCTGAATGTAGATGTAGCAGCTGTTTTGATCAAATTAATGGTGCTCGGCGACGATGAGACGAAGTTGACTCCTGAAGAATTAGCTGAATTGAATAGACTAAAAGCAGAGTTTCAATAAATAAATTACTGATACTGCCACTCGTGTAATTCTCTAGTTACAATATGTTCTCGTTTTTAGAATGAGTGGGAACTCAAAGGGCAACAAGCTGCCGACAGATGAGCTGGCCATGCGAGCTATTTTGAAGGACATGGGAGTGACAGAATACGAAGACCGAGTCGTCCAGCAAATGCTCGAGTTCTCCTACAGGTACACGACAGAAGTACTGGAAGAGGCAAAAGTCTACTCAAACCACGCGCGCAAGAAGCAAATCGACCTGGACGATGTGAAACTGGCCGTGTCCAATCGAGGCGATCGAACTGGTAGAATGCCTCCACGGTAGAGTATCCGCTTTGAATATCGATCGGTTCAAGTTTCCGTTTTAGAATTGATCTGCTTCAAGAAATGACAAAGTCCAAAAACTCCACTCCACTCCCCGCAATCAAGCCTTTCTCCGGCCCTAGAATTCCGCCAGATCGTTATTGGTAAGTCAAGTTCTCCTTGTTGATTTGAAACTGATGATTTTAGCCTTACCGGAGTTACATATAAAGTGAAAGACAATGTCGAAAACGGGCCGAAGCGAAATGCAAGTTTCGAAGATGTTGCCAACGGGTGAGTAGAACCCCATGAAATATTGTTGACTTTTGAAATTTTTAGCGATATGATGGATGTAGATGGTAGATCATTCCTTGTCTAAAGCTCGAACAATATTCATTTACACGATCCATATCTGGGAATTCCGCTGTACAATGTATACTGCCACTTATTCTCTACTCTTTACTATTGATTTCAATTATAAATTAGGTTATTTCAAACTTTATTAATTATTCACGAAGTTCAGTTAAGAAGTTTTCAACTCGTGGATGGATAATTGCAGATCGCCGTCACGGGCTCTTCGACCCATGAGTTTGCATTTTGGCGCGATGAGTACTGACGAGTCAGTTTATATCAGTAGAAGAGGTAACTTACAGTTTTCCTTCGTTTATTTATTTTCTCAAAAGAGGAAGAGCGGCGCCTCTTCAACGCTAAAATGGAAAAACGTCATCGCGAAAACGCACTTGAACGCGAAGAGCTGGACCGCTCTCTTGACGAGCAGCGAGAACGACTTGGTAGGATTATTTTCAGTGGCGGATACGACTTTGGAAATTCCACTTTTAGATTCAATCGGGACACTTCTTGAGCATGCTATGACGTTCATTAACGAGCACCCAACTCCCGAGACCTCTCCATGGAAAAAGAAAGAGAAACCGTCGACACCCGAAAGAAGAACACCATCACCAACGTCAGAGCCAGTTTCCCCAATAACTGTCATAAAAGGTAGCTCAAAGCTAAAGTCTAGACATTTACGCGTTTTACATTTTCTCCATCGAAGTCTTCCTAACTTATCGTTTAGTCCCTCAGGCTTCCGGTTTCGCCCGGAAAGCATCTCTTCGCCGCCCGTTGTTCCCAAAGCCAAGTAACAACAATACCACTCAACAACCCAATCTACCTCGGCCGAAACAAGAGCTCCCGCCAAAACCAACCCATCTTACAACCATGACTCCAATTTTTTCCTCGACACCAGTTGAGACCAAGATCCGCCAAGCACCGAAAGTAACTGATCTCTAACCTCGCTTTTTGTTTGCTTTACCTCTTCCTGATTCTAGCATTCCGTACTTCTTTTCATTGCTTTCATTTATAAATGTGTTTATTAACTGCCTATTAAAACCATCATCATCATCTTTCTCTTTAGTTTCAAAATCTACAGAATTTCTATTATCTATATTCAAAATAAACATTCTCAAAAACAAGCGACTTAGGAATGATTTCTTGTATTTACAGAGAGTCGGATAATATAAGAAATGGATCTGCAGAAAGTGTATATAAACAGGGCAAAGATAGAGATAGAGGAACAAGTCAAGAGCTCATCCGAGAGCTTGAAAACAATGCGAAAAGAAAACCAGCTTCTGTTGCAATCTTTTACAAAAACGGCCAAGTGCCAAAGAAATAATCCAATGTCAATCATTTTCGGTGCTTTTCGTTGTCAATTGCTCAATAGCAATATGTAAGGTAGCATTTTCGCGGTCGGAATCGTCGTCCGCGGAGCTTGATGAAAGCCTGTCGCTGCTGCCAGTTGAGGTTGACGACGTTGTTGGAAGAGATCGGAGTGGCAACGATGGTGGCGAAAAGTTGGAAGATTGTGAAGAGGAAAAAGCATTTTGAAGTTTGTTGATAAGTTGAGGTGCTTTTTTGTTTTTGGAAATGGAAGCGAGTGATGATCATTAGTGAGAGCGCGTTTTTATATCCGATGGAACACATCAATCCGAGGCAGCGGCAGATGGCGCGCGAGGGAGCGTAATTGCCACCATTTATGGTAAAAATGATGGTACCCTTTTCCATATGTTTCGCGCTCCAGGATCATTAGCACAACCAGTGGAAAAGGGGGCATCGAAGGTTTTTTAATGAGCCCGATTTGAATACCAATATCGAATCATTAAATATATAATGTATGGTTTCTATCGCTGATATTACCCCTTACTTCAAAAAAATTGATCATCGATTATACTGCCAAATTTAAACTGATAAAGACAATTAATACTTTGTCGACAAATTTATCCTTATCTTTCACCGAATCACGGGATTTTCAAAATTTCTCAAGGAATTTACTCCGCTTTACTGTTCTTAAAAGACATGGCAGTTCTTTTTTGAGACTCTAGCAGCAGCTGTCAGAATCGGCATGTTTGAAGCAGAAGATTATCTTTTGTGTGCAAACATGGAAGAAACCATTAAACTTATGAAACCGCCGCTGGACAAGATAAACGGAAGGAGGCCACCTGCAAATGATCGTAAAAAATCACTGCAGCGAGCGTTTTCTTGCGTTGGCAGGAAAGATGCAGCAGAAAATGATTGACAAAAAGGAAAAAGAGAGTTATTTGAAGCTGATCAAACAGCTCGAAGAAGAGAACGAAGAGCTTTATAGACACAACGTCCAGTTGACAAGGCGATTACAGGAGAAAAAGCCAGAGAAAGAGCTTTTGGGAGGATTCGACAAGGCATTTGACAAGCTTGGGCTACAGGCGCCCCCGTTTTCATGCGCTAGAAAATTATTGAACGCACTGACGGAAAAGATTACCATGGTAATTGCCGCCTGGGAGATAGAGAAAATAGTAATGTCTGTCTTTAGCTTATTTTGGAAGAAAAGATCAACCAAAATAGGCGTCTGAAACTGGAGAAAACAATAGAATTATTAAATGAAAGAAATAAAAGGTAAGATTCTTACCGTCAACAATTTTGACTCAAAATGCTAATAAAAGCGTAAATTAAATTTTTAGTCTTTTCCAAGAAATAAAAAAAATCAAGGAAGAACACTTGGAGGAGCAAAACGACTTGATGCACATGGCAAACGAGGCTCAACGAGAAAACAGAATTCTGAAGACGAAATGTCGCGAGCTTCAGCACCAAGTTGACGAGGTCGAGGAAGATCTACAGACGACGGAAGAAGAGACTCTTCGGATGGAAGTCAAGTTCAGAAAAGAACAAAAAATTATGAGACGAAACTCGGAGATTCTTCAGAACACGGCCAGATTAAAAGTGCGTTTTCGCCTGCTACTTATATTAAAATAACAAACAATCATGTTCAGATACTTCAACTGGAACAGCGACTCAAAGGCCCCTTTGAAGAAAAAAGACAGCGAAGAAACTCGCGATAGAAACATCTGCTAATTTCCCCTCCATTCCAACTAGCTTGAATAAAAATGTTAACACGCCATGTACCTAGGTACATGCGGTGGAAAAATACAAATGTAGCAATCAAGAGAACAGTGTTTGAAAAAATGGTCATAGCTCTTGTGAGTGAGCGAGCGCGAGCAGACACTCTTCAATTTTTTTCGTAAGTGAGTGAGCGTGAGCGCAGACCCGAAATATTTTTGCTGAGTGAGCGAGCACGAGCGCTCGCTCGCTCGCTCGCGCTCACTCGCAGCTTTCGGGGGCCTTTCTAGCGAGAATTTCCTTGAAAATTATCATAATTGTAATTTTTAACGCATAATTTAATTTAGAAAGACAATGACGGGCATTCTAACGCGATTAAAAGAGAAATTTCTCAAATATCGTAATACTTTGTCTCCAGGGTGTATTAATTAAAATGACTGTTGGCGAGCGCGAGTGAGCGGGAGCGGCGGCCCGGAATTTTATGGTGAGCGAGTGAGCATGAGCGCTCGCTCACTCGCTCGCGCTCACCATTTTTTCAAACTCTGCAAGAGAACATGTGTTTCATTTTTACCATAGTCTATGGTCCATAGTTCTCGTAAGATCTCGAAGAATATCTTCAGCTTTCGAACCAAAGTTGCCACTCAAATACATAACCTTTTTAAAATTAATCGAAAAATTCTTCTTTATCCAATAACTGCCTATTCTTTCTTGAAATTAAAAGCAAATTCGACCGCATAATCGCTTTATTGCCCTGTTTATTTTCGTTTACTTCTGTAAACTGTGTTTTTCGAATAAAATAAAGTGACCTTTCAATCACAAGATCCAGCTAATAAAAGCATCATCTGACGCTTCGAAAAGGTCAAGTGCGACTGGATACACGACGTTTTCCTCAAACCGACGTTCTCCTCAACCGACGTTTTCGTTAAACCGACGTTCTCCTCAATGATCAGAACGTCGGTTTGATCAAAACGTCGGTTTAATGAGAACGTCGGTTTTCCTAAAAAATGCGGGGGCAATCAGAGCGAATGAGAATGGGCTCTTTTTGGATTAAAAATTTAATTGTAAACTTTGAAAAATGATAACAGAATTTATTATTAAGAAAAATAAAAAAGTAAAAAAATAAATATTAATAAAAGTCGATATGTTTATCGGACAAACATTTGTCTACATAATTTATGCGGTAAAATGATCTTCTTACATTTTATCAGTCTTGTATACATTTTAAAAAGATATATTTTAGTTGTATTAGTTCATTTAATGCAACTATTAATTATTCTTACACTTTAACGCTTAACAATTTAAGTTTTGAAACATAATGAAAATGTCGGTTTGACGAAAACGTCGGTTTCCAAGCTGAGTCTAAGCCAAATTCAAGGCGCCCACGCATTTTTAGGGAAAACCGACGTTTTCATTAGACCGACGTTTTGATCAAACCGACGTTCTGACCATTGACGAGAACGTCGGTTTAACGAAAACGTCGGTTGAGGAAAACGTCGGTTTGAGGAAAACGTCGTGTATCCAGTGCGACTTGATGAATAAATTGGAGCTTCGGGAAGCCACGAAATTGAAAGAATCAAAGACGCGTCTCTAAATAGCGACTCCAAAAGATGATCTCAAACTGAAGATATCGCTTTTTTTCTTCTTATCAGTACTTTAAGGTACTCTTATCGGAAAAATAATGCATTGGAAAATTTTTATTTTTAACGAGGATCATTTTGCGCCCAAGAACTCCAAAATTGGTCGACTCTATAAAAAGTTATTAGAATCCAACCGCAAAAAAGCGCGTCAAAGGAGAGCGAAACAAAGTTATGAATAAGTAAGTGAAACCCGGGATTTGCGGTTTTTCGACTTTTTTCGTTGCGCTGAACTGAAAGAAGCTGAAAAAGGGGGAAGCCCCGTGGGAGTGGCCAATCAGCGGTGGCGGGTGGGAGGTCGGTCGGGTCGCGCTGCAGCGCGGTGCCAAACTAAAACTGCGAGTTTCCACGACGGTCAAAGCGCCGGTCAAGCTCAGAGGAAAGCTTTTTACTTGAGAAATTATCGCCGGGAAAAGAGAGGAAGATAGAAGATTAGATGAATGATGAGGGACTGGATGAAGATAGCAAAGACGATTTGCTGAGGACTTTGTTTTCAGATGAAAATCAAGAAGATGATCATTGGGATGCCGATTCTGGCGAAGCAAAGGACCCGACTGGACTCGATCCGGATTTTAGAGAGGCGTTGAAGACAAACGAGGAGTTTAGGAAAGGATTTCCATCGAGAAATTGGAAATTTTAGCCACGAAAACCCGTTTTTCTGTTGAGATCTTCCTTCAAATCTTTCATCCCTTTATTTAAAAATGATCTAAGAATCGACGAACGATCGAAAGATTGCTGAATTATAAATGGAATCTCTTTTCGCATTCGAAAATCCATTAAAATCCGCTTCAAATTCATCCAAAACCCCTTAGCTTGTCTAAGTGCCCTGATCTGGGCGATGTTTTGTGAAAGATTGATAAGCTCTAAATTGAAAATTATTGACGCGTTTTTATTGTTTTTTAAATAAAACAAGCTAACAAATCGAAAGACCAACCATTTTATTGCTCGTTTGTTATAGTTTTATCTGTCTGTTTTTTTATCTGACCCTCCCATTCTTTGGAGAACTTGTAGAACTTGAAGAAATCTCGCCAAAGAATGGGCACAAAACGGGAGAATCTGATTAAGCTAGATTTTGCTTATCTCAGCTGAGAATAAATTCAATCTTTTGTGATTTGAATTTATTTTTACAGCGCAAATCGAGTGGAAAATTCAGCTTGTTCATCTGACCAAGCAAGAGCTATATTTCTGTTGTTTTTGAATCGATTCCGTTCCAAATTGTCTCCCATGTTTACTCTGATGGAAATCTATTAATCAGAATATGGTTTGCTCTCATGGCCGCATTTGCCGCCCTCATTGGCCTTGGCCTTCTGTACATATTCGCGCAGATTTTCATCTTCAAGAAGGAAAGATTCTGGTTCTTCTCGGTACGTTAGCTTCTTTAAGATTCTCGTAACATTGCTTTTTGTAGAATATGGGATACTTTAGCGGCGAATTGTCGCAAATATCCCGTTTGGGTCGACCGGCAAATGCACAGTCATCTGAAATGGCGAGCGAAAAGCCGCCCGAATATGATGATGTCGTCAAACCCCCAAGGTGAGCTTCGATTTCACGAAATAAGAAATATTAAAATTTCAAATTTGGATATGATAACTTCATTTTTCATTATATTTGACAGACATCTTCATTTTTATCGTAAATTCAATTCATATTTGTATGTCTTCGATATTACCAAGTCGCCAATCATAAAAAAACATAAAAATATACCGTCAATATAATATCTGAATACTGATTTATTCACCATTATAGCTATGAAGAAATAATGAGTTCAAATCGACAAGAATGCGAAATAAGCACTGCCACTGTGTAAAAACTCATTTCCGCAAAGTCAGTCTTTCCCTAGGGCACTGTGCCCAAACCCCTTTTCATCAAATGTGCCACCTTTTTCTCAATCAGAACTACAACTTTCAATGTCAGGTGAACTATCAGAAGAGCAAAAACTCTTCTTGATATTTTCTCAATTCTGGCATTTTCCATTTGTCAAATTTATAAAACTCCATCAGTCCTAAAGTTGCAACTTTTTATACTGCGCAAATCTTCCTATCCTCCCCTATTGAACCTTCCACTTTTGCTAACTACTGTTACAGTATTTGACATACTGTTCTTTGAATGGAATGCTTTTATCTATGTGTGAAACCGGCAAAAATGTTACTTTTTTTTTGTATATTAATAAATAATACACAAGAAATAGACGATCTCAGGGCATGTCCATGGACCATGCCTGTTTTACAATCTGTCGTTGCCGGTCTTCTCATTTATAATTCATCAAGTTTCCATAATTTCTTTACGGTTTCTTGCCGCGGCAGAGAAATTGACAATTCTTTCAAACAAATGCATAAATCAAGGATGATGAAACGACCTCGAGATCGATTCTTTCGCTCAGAATAATTGACTTGATCTTGAAGAAGAGTAATCTGAATTGGGTTATCGCTCCAGCACAAATTGCATGGGCAGGTTGTAAACTCCCCTTCTGATGTGATTAAAAGATCGCGTAAGAGTTAGACACGTGGTGGGAAGGGAAACATGTGTTGGAAGTTGGAAAGGCAAGGCGGGTTCATTTTGTGGCAAGTGCAGTTGAAAATTTATTATGAAGCTTTTATCAGTGATTGCCGGGACGTCGTTGGCACAGGTACAGATTAAAGTATTTTATATTTGACTCTTCTTACTTATGAGTCATAAGTTATGACAGAAAGTGTTTGTGATGGAAGAGAAGTCCTTATCTATCTTATTTATCAATATAAAGTGAGATTCTGATTGGCAAAATATGATAAAAACTGTAGATTGACGAGCTCTTACGAGAGGGATTTGTAATTTATTCAGTCTTTGAATCATTCAGGTCGCCCCTGAATGTATAAAATGCTCCGAAGCAAACGTCCTTTTCTTCGCCGGTAAAGCCGAATCTGGCGATTACTACGACCCAAAAGGATACGAGCGCTTCCGGGATTTCATGCTCAATGAGTACGAGTTTGGCAATTTCACTGAAAACCTCGTGGCGATCAATGGCGATTTCGCGTTCAACGAGAACTCGCATGTGGCGGACATTCGATCGATTGTCAACGGAGCTTTTAGCGAGTTGAACGCGCAGGAAGGATCTAATGGCGATTTAAACTTTTTAATGTGCCACGCTGAGCTTTGCGATCACATCTTCGACTACATCAGGATGAGCGCCTTCACCCCAATTTCTGGGCTCATCACAATGGGTTGGGCTCCCACTTCTGAGCGATGGGCTTCAACTTCTATTCCAATTTTCTCTTTGCTTGGCGAATATGACGGAGTGAATACCTTCACCCGCTTCGTTCCGAAACTTTTCCTCGAGGAATTACCGCGAAATCACTACCTAGATCTCATCGCATTCGGAAACTTTAGAAAATTTGCAAATGCGCTGGAGCCATTTGAATTCATCGGCGACTCGGATCTTGAGACTAAATATAGGAAATTGTCACGAGATAGTCCTTAGAGAAAATCTAGAGACATTTTTACCATTATTTCTATTACGACACCAGACAAGGCCGTATCAAATTTTCCGGAGAATAACGATCAATCTGGGACATTTCATTGACAACGATAGACTAAATATGGCGGTACGTATACTGCTGATGTAAGTAATTTTAATTTAATCTCAGTTGTCTACTGATTCTGCTTTGGAATCGCTCCGAGCGTCGCATTTATTGCTTGAAATGGACCACGAGGAAGGAAATCCGTTGGCAGCTGAAATCCAAGCAGAAATATCAACCATGGAAGTTGATCATAAATTTGTTGATGACATCGACAGCGTTGAGCCCTACGTCAGCGACAACACTGCTTATATCTTCACAGAGCTTGTCGAGAACAAGATCTTATATGATGACGAAGAATCGTTCAGCTTCAGTACTTTCGAGATTCCTTTCGAACATGCTCTTAAAATTATTGACGCTAGTGGACAAGTAACGTGCGCCGATTTACAAAGTCTTGTTTTTCATGAAAACATGGAAGACTAACATCGTTCTTTAGAGCAACTCCTCCACGATGTTCTTGGCAAGCTCGCGCCGCAGCAGATCCAGTTTTACATGATGAATTCTTGCGAAATCATTCCTCGTGAAGCAGACAGCTCAAATGGTGAATATGGCGGGGGATAATGAGTCTATTTTTTAGGTAATCTAGGGAAGGACCGAGTGCAGATGTTCCCAAAAGATGGAGTCGCGAATTTAGTCACAGTTGAATCACGAGAAGGAGACGTTCTTGGCTGTAAACTCTTAGCACCGTCTAGGATCTATCAGTGGCTCATGTTCGATTCGCACAGATCTGACAACCTTAAGAGATGCCATGAATTCGTCGGAAAGCCACCGTGTTCTACCTGTCCTGAAGAATAAAAAGACACTCTTCCTTGATTTTCTTTTGTTGGTGAATTAGATTTTTTCATTAAGAGAGATGAGTATATTGTTGTTTTAAGTTCATGATAGTTAGCTGCGATTCGCCTCATCAGCCTGCGAACGTGATGTCTTGATTGATTATTTGGGTGGTGCTGCTCTGAAGTGAGATTCCCTTGGAAACAGAGCGAAATCTGAGTCTACTCGCGTCAACGTCGACAGAATAGTCCTTTTATTTGGAAAGCAAACCACCCGAGCCAAGTGCACCGCGCTCGGCTGCCTACTTTAGAGCATACTCTCAGAGACCTTCTACGCACCAAAGATTCAGAATGGTCGACGGCGACGGATTAATAATGTAGTTTCGAGGTCATTTTGTGTGTTAGAATTTTGGGAATTAATTGAATTTTGATAAATGTTTTGAGTTATTTTTTATTTTGAAGCTTCCTTTTGATAATTAATTAATCCACGAAAAAGTCCCTGGGTCGGAACTTGGCGTCCTCACCGCCCTCGTGGTCCGATTTCTGCCGCTTTTAAATCCCCTGGTCCAAAGTACGCCCTCCCACCAGCACTTGGTAAGTTTATGTTTTCGCGAAGACGCTCCTTATATCATTAAAATGGTTTTGAAAACTATCTGATAGCATTGAAAACGGCACGACTATAAAGACATGAGGCGGAAACGCTTACTTCCGAATTTCGACTTCCCAAGACATTTCAAACAGGACCCACCCAACAGTTCTTTTGCAAATATTAAGAGAGCTTTGAACTTTTCTGCTGACAAATGCACTTTTCATCTATGAAGAAAATTCATTAATCGCGCTATTTACCGTTATTATTTCTTGTGGCAAATTGAGAGGCATTGTCCTGTCCCGTCGGAGAGCGTGTGTCTTTGTCAAACTCTAATCAGATCATGTGGACAAAGCACCACCTCACAAAAGATACATTGAGCGTAAGTTTCCGCCAGAAACCAGAATCCCAAACTTATCAGAAATTCTGAACTAAAGGATTTGCGTCAATTCCTCATAAAAATGCGAAAGGGTCCTAAAATGTCCGCAATATTGTGATTTTACGGGGTTAAATATTGAATTTGCTCTTAGAGCGGGCGCGATAATAAGCGTCTTCAAACTTTGAATTGTGTATTCTGCTTTCAGCCGCACTGAGCAAATAGCATGCAGGTTCTTCGACAATTACGATAGGAAACTGTATCTTATATGATCAGTTCCTCGTGATTTTCTTCTAACACCATCTTCAGGAAGCTTATCTGGAAGCACTCATGACCCTCGAAAAAATATTGCTCCAAGCTACAGCTTCGGAGTCCGACACAAAGAATACACCAACAATCATTCTCCAGGACCGAAATTCAACATTGAATCCTCTCTGACAAGACATGGGCGAAACGGTGCTCCACAGGTTATTTTCCCTTCAATTTTTTTCTTTTCATCTAAGAGTTCTAGTACTCAATCTACTCACGATCAAAATCGGCAACTGCATTCAATACGCCAGGGCCGGGAACCTACAAAAATGAAGACGCGCGGGCTGCTTACAAAGCCGCTCCAGCTTATTCCCTCAGCGGTCGAGCTAAATCTGGATATGCCAACAAAACTCCAGGTACTTTGAGTACTATGATCAAGTGCTTTACCCTTTGTAGGACCCGCGGCATACATGCTCCCTCGTGCAAACATCAGCAAAAAAGGAACTCCTGCTTATTCGATGAGACTCAAGCCAACAACTGGATCATTTACTGAAGATCTGGCAAAGGTAAAATGGTTCGCTTGAAATCAAGGAAGAGTATGTTTTTCAGACGCCCGGACCAGGCACTTACAAAGTGACTGATCCATCGACATACAAAAAGAAGATGCCTCAGTACTCAATGACCGCGCGAAATGAGTTGCCTTCTGATAGTACGCGAAAACCGGGCCCGGGTGCGCACAGACCCGAACAGGTTTTATTTCCTTTTTATCCTCTCCTTTACCCTGTGTTCTCAGGTGATTGTGAACAAGAAAATCCCACCAAAGTACACCTTCGGTGTCAAACACTCGGAATACGCTGGCACCTTCGTCGGAGCCGAAAAAGAATGAAGAAATGCAACTGTCGAACAACCTTTCTCAACTCATCATCTCATGTTGCCACAAATGTCTCTTTTACTCTGTTTTATAAGACAATATATATTTTTGTAACAAGAAGAGATTAACTCAGAATTCTCTTCGGCGGTTATGGGAAGGGAAACCGTAGACTGGCTTTCCATTTTTCCATCCAGTTCTGATATTCGTGATATATTCCAACGCTTGTTCGACTCTTGATCCTTCATCAGTAGTTCGAGCAAGAGTGGCTTTCTTCCCATTAGTCTTCTTTTCGTGGTATTTGAGTGCTTTCAAGAATGAAGAAGGCTTGATACTTTGGTGCGCATTTGATCGAGCAAACGAGCTGTGGGACTTGTCAAAGCACTGATGTTTAGTTTGCCGGTCAGCGAAGGTTACCATCGTTGGCAAAACAGCAACATTCATGTTGTCGACTAAATTTCATTTTAGAAAAAGTTCTTTTATGTTTTCGAATTTACCTATGAAGATAAATGAGCTTTGATCCTTCTGGTCAGTATTCCAGAATTTCTTCGTTATAAGAACGTCATTCCCGTTGTTGTAAAAATTGAAAAATTTAGCGTTCCACATTTGAAAGTTTCCTTGCCTCCTCTCGCTCGGAAATTGTAGAAGAATCGACCACCTCTGGTCGAGAAGACTTGGCGGAAGTGTTATTCTCCCAGCGAACCCGTAACGTCGCTGTTTTTTGAAATGCCACTCGTCTTTTTAGGGGTTTTCGTGGAAAATCAAAAGCGTTTTTCATCTTTTCGACCCTTCCTAAAATCTCTAGTTTAGCTCCTTCTGCGCAGTCCATCGGACGAGAGCATCCTCTCTGAGCACTGAAATCTGAAACGGTTTTTCCGACTCCGCAGTTGCCAGAGAAGCCATCTTCATTTATGGTTGTTGTCGTCGTCGTCGTCGTAGTAGTAGTAGTAGTCGTCGTCGTCGTGGTAGTAGTAGTAGTGCTTGTAGTTGCTAAAATATAATCTCTATCGCACCTTTTCAACAAATTATTGCTAAAAAATATCTAACTGAAAATGAGAATTTCGAAAGAAATCGTCAGTCTCAGCTAGTTCCAGAAACTTTATGCTTCCGCTGAGCAATTTCTAAATATATTTGCTGCTCGTGAATATTATTGCAATTAGAATTTCACGGAAACTCAGAAAGGTGACGAGATATTCACATGCGACATTTAACAAAATTAGCGTCGAATTTTCTATTGACACAAGATCGCAAATTGAATTAAAAAATATAGGTTATATCATTTAACTAACTAAATAGCTATCGAACTTTTGTGAAAGTTAACGTCTGTCGAAAGTGTCTACTTTCAGTCGGACAAAATAAATATAACTATCCATGTGAGTCAGCGCAAGTCTAATTACGACCTCAGAATTTACTCTTGACTCACGCAAGACAAAGAGATCTTATCCCTGTCCATTCAAAAGTACGCCCAAAGAGATTAAACTGCTTAAAAAGAACCAGTTTTATTATTCATCCCTTGTCCAATCCACCATCGCAAATCAATAAATTCGAGTGAGTGAGGAAATGTGAATCAGAGCAGAGTTGATTCGACCGCTTTTTGTGCCCGTAGGCGGTGCTTATGGGTATTTAGGGAGTTCAATTGATTAGACTGAACATTTGCTCGATAGAAGAGAGAAAAGGAACTTTGAAGAAAAAATAACGATGAGTCTCAGTTATCAAATGCACAATGAAGGGATCAATACGGACATGGCCAAGTTCAGCCCTGAGGTAAGTCAAATAACTGGATGAAAATTCCAAATGGAACTTGAAAATTACAGATTTTGGATAAAATGAAGAAGTTTCGTTTCCGAAAAGAGAAAAACAACGCTGCGATCATTTTCAAGCTCGACATGGAAACGATGGATGTCCAAATTGAAGACGAAATTGAAGACATAGGCGATATCGAAGAGCTACAGAACGAGCTTCCCCATCTTCAGCCCCGTTTCATCATGTATTCTTGCAAGTAAGCAGCTTTTTAATATTTATTTTTGTATTGAAAGAAGCTTATTTATTTATCTTTCAATGATAACAAAATATTAAGATTTGAGCGATCCGATGGGCGAGTTCAGTACCCTCTCATTCTGATCTTCGTCTCCCCTAATGGCGGAGCCCCTCGACAGATGATGGCTTATTCTGGAAGTCGAAATCAGTTCCGCGACTCGTCCAAAATCTCAAAAGTTTTCGATGTTCGAGACCTGGAAGATCTTACCCAAGTGTGGCTCGATGAGAAGCTCAAGAATTTCTGAAGTCGTTTTCAACTCTCATTTTCGCTTTTCCCAATGATCTGTGCGCATTCCTCTTCTAACAGTTTTCATTCTCTAATTTTCTATCATGATGCAATCTAATTCTCATAACCGTGCTCTCTCCAAATCATCATTCACTCGTATTAAAACCAAAAAAATACATGTCATTGAGAGTTTATACTATAAATTTTAAAGTGATCATTGGGAGTGCAAGAAAACGCAGGAAAAGCTCTAAATCTTTAACTGTAAAGAAGCTTCTTCATCATTTCTTTCTTTTGCTCTGGTGTCGCGCAGCCATTTTCTCGGAAAAATTTGGAAATCTGTGGATGATCTTCAAGCCGCTAAAAACATAACCAAACAAAATTGAAGAAAAAATAACAAACCTCCAAGATCCCCTTTGAACTTAGCCAGGGCAACTGTACATTTCGAAACACCTGCACATGATTTCTGCATGTCAAATAGACAAAACAGGGGGTAGCGCCAAATCTACCCGCGGTCAAGAATCGAATTCCTCTAAAAATTGGCTTTAGGATTTTTTACTCTTGGTTACCTTCTGTGGTGATATTTGATTATATCTTGGTTGGGATTTGTAGAAATGATGTAAGTTAGTCCGTTGTCCGTACAAATAACGAGTTCTTCATTTCCATCTTTGAGAACATCAAGCTTTGAAACTGAGATGATCGGGGCAGTTATTTCTGTCGACAGGTTTTCGTCGCATTCTTCGCTCAATGACAGTCCGTTCTTCTGACTGTAAAGCTTTCAAACAATCTGTTAAAAACTGAAAGCAAGAGATATCTTACTTGTCCGCAGCAAGTGATTGCGCTAGCGGATTTTTCCTTGAAAATTGAAGCATCCAAAGAGCCCTTTTCCGCCGAGCAGAAAAATGTCTGTCCATCCTGGTTGCATAATTCTCCGATGATATGCGGGGCGGTTTTACCAGACTTCGGAACAGCCAACGATCTCAATGTGGTCTCGTTCTTTTCGTCGAAGGAAATCAACAACCGCTTTGTAGAATCGTCAGTTTGAATGTGAGCAATGACCGAGAAGATGTAATTTCCTTTCTTGCCCGTTTTCGTTATGTTGCTAAATGTGATTTTCTCCTCTTTGTCGTTATCTTCCTTGACTTTCTCCAGTTCTTCTCGCATGTCCCAAGATTTGACAGCAATCACTGTGAGAACGTCTTCGCTGTCTTCAATCAAGCTGTAGAGTTGGAACTTTCCCTCTGGGAGCTGGATCATGACGTAATTGTCGATCAGTTCCATCATAATCGCATTGCGCAGAATATCGTACGAAACCATGACATCTTCTTCGACTGTCTTACCGTCATCAGCTCTGATGAATTTCGTCAGTGACAGTAACCCGTTTCTTCCTATAAGAATACCATCAAAATACCGGAAGAACAAGAGGATGGACGAGGTCTACTTCCTTCAATTCAGTTACCTAAAACAACAAGCCATTGTGAATCTCCAGAAGTGATTTGATTGATCGAAGCTATCATTCCATAATCCTTAGAAGTGAAAACAGGGATCATCGAATCTTCACCATTTTGATCGGCGCTCTCGAGGTTTTCATAAATAACAAGAGATCCATCAATCCCGCCGATGACCAGCTGACTTTGCTCATCGTCGGTAAAGTCGTCATTGACGATGTTAGACCCTTGTAAATTGATTCAAAGTGAGAAATTAGTTGATAAAAACCTAGAAATGCAGTCGATCCGATGACTCCTTGAAGTTCAATGTCGATTTCACCGACAAATTGAACCTCCCTCATGATTCGAGAAGAATCTGGACTGATTAAAATAATAAAATTAGTAGTTTTATGATTATTCAATTACGCCAGGAAATGACTAGTGATAATGAATCCACGGATTTCTAGAATTTTGTCGAATTAGCTCTAAGGGCGTGGATTTTCCCAGCCCAAATTCTTTCTCTCTCACTGTCCAATCAGCGCGCTTGGATTTCCAAGCAGCCAATCGCAGCGTGAGGAACAATTGATCTAGAAAATTCTCGAAAACTCATATTCGCGCGCCTCGCTTTCGACCCGAAAAAAAAAATCAAACAAAAAGAAAAGTCCGTTACTTTTTTGTTAACATTAATTACGCGTAGGCAATTTACGCGTATAAAAGTTTTTTGATTTCACGGAGTTTTCCAATTTGCAAAAATTAAGCGAAAAATGGGAAGAGATTTTTACCAAATTCTCGGGATCGACAGAGGCGCGTCAGATGACGATATCAAGAAGGTTTATATTTAATGAAATATTCCCTATTTAATTATGTTGAATTTAATCAGCACTCGAGTAAAAGTAAGATTCTAGGCGTACAGAAAAGCGGCGCTAAAATACCACCCGGACAAGAACCAAAGTCCAGGCGCAGAAGAAAAGTTCAAAGAAATCTCTTTGGCCTTTGAAGTCCTGAAAGACAAGCAAAAACGCGAAATCTACGACAGATATGGCGAAGAAGGCCTCAATGGAACTCCTGGCGGCGGTGGAGGAGCCGGTGGTGGATCGAGCAATTTTCAATACGGCCAAAACTTCGACCCACACGATTTATTCAACATGATGTTCGGTGGCGCTGCTGGAGGTGGATCGTCAAGGGCGCACAATCTCTTTGGAAGTCATTTCAACAGCATGGGCGGAAACAGCAGCAGAAGTTCTTTCATGGATCATGATGATTTCGGCGGATTCGGCTCTAGTGCATTTGAAAGCAACGGGTTTGACTTTGGGTAAGTTCTATTTTCAGCTCTTTCTTTGATAAAAAGCGCTCATTAGATCGAACGGAATGGGTTCTCGAGCGAAGCACCGACCGTTGAAAAAGGTCGACAAGCTGGAGCATGATCTTTTCATTTCATTAGAAGATCTTTATCATGGAATTACTAAAAGGATGAAGATTTCCAGAAGTCGTCGAAAGCCAACCGGTAAATGAGTACTTTTCGATCCATTTTTCATTGTCCTAGGAGTGTACCGTCCAGAAGAAACTATCCTCACTATCGATGTCAAGCCCGGCTGGAAAGAAGGCACGAAGATTACGTTCAACAACGAAGGCGACGAAAAACCCAATCACTCGGCTGGAGACATCATTTTCGTCTTGAAAGAGGCAAATCATGCGCGATTTAAAAGAAAGGGAAATGATTTAGGTACAGTACCGTTTTATTGTACCATTCTAAAAATGATTTTCAGTTTACACCGCAGAAATCACTCTTCGCGAAGCTCTCCTCGGCGGGACTGTAACTGTTCCTCTTTTGGACGGAAAGAAGCATCATCACAAGTTCAAGCCGCTCAACGATACCGCGCACAAGATCCGAGTTGTCGGCCTTGGTATGCCGCTCTCCAAAAATCCATCGCAAAAAGGAGATTTGCTGATCAAATTCGAGGTCATGTTCACCGGAATGAGCGGCGAGCAACGACAATTACTGGCGGATGCTAGTTGCAACTAGAATTTTTCAATTTCTTTAAATCTTCCACGGTCTCCTCTCTGTATTAGCATGTACATGTAAGCTTAAAAATAACGATTATAAATAAGATAAAATTCTTTTCTTTCTCATTTTTCCCTACATTTTCAAATCTTCTTCAAACCTCCATATCTGTAATTATTTAAAAATAAACCTTTTCTACAAAATCAACGGCTGTTTTAAATATTGTGATGGTTTATTATTTATTTGTGGAAACAAAATGCCTTGGCGTTTTTTAAGTTGTTGCAGAGACATTGAGGTAATAAATAAGTTTCAAAAAAGGATTGGCCGAGTGTCATTTACATAAATATATATAATGTGACATACAGTGAAAGTGAACTTTTTGAATATGTTTTGAGCAAAAGAACTACAGTTAATTTCCTAGGATATTAACTACAGGCCTTCTGCAAGTTGAAAACAGTATGGATAAGCATTGGAATGTGAATGGGCTTCAGTAAACTGTAAGACAGAGTTCTAGAGCGATATTTAAAGTTGGTGAGAGTTTAAAGAAATAGAATTAAAAAAAAATAATTAACAGGTAAACTCGTCAGCTGCGTGCGGTACGCGTGCACCAGAGCTAGAACCGGGCGAGTTCACCGTGTGCCTTCTTTTGATTTTGACTTCCTTGGCTGGCGAAGCGGGTACTTGCGATTTGATTTCATTCTTTCGCGGGCTCTTCGTTCCCTTCGCGTTTTTCTGTGCCGATGATCGGGTTTTTACTTCCAATCTTTCTTTGCGGCTTTTGTGCACTTGGTCAGGTATGGCTTTGATTTTCTTTGGAGCTAGGGAGGATCATTATTGGCTGAAATCAAGAAAGAGAACTTACAAGAAACAAAGTTTTCCGAGAGGGAATCTTCTTTGTTCACATTTTCTTTTGAATTTCGTCTAAAGTTGTTGAGCCAGCTGGGACCTTTCTTCTTCGTCTTTGAACTTCCTGATTCCGAACCCGAGTCTGAGATGCTGTATGCGGCCGAGGCGGACATATTTGGCAAGTTGGAGAAAAGTTCCGTCAAATCGGACTTGTGCGGGTCTTTTCTGGGCGAACGCTGCGTCGGAGAGACTGGAGGTGGTGCAGTGGTGGAAGACGAAAACAACCAGTTTGATTTGTCGATTATTACATTCATTAATCTAGGATCGAGTAAGTAAAAATTTCAATTCGGTGAAGTTGTACCTGTATTGTTTTTTGAGTGTTCTAGCTTCGTCATTTACGAGAGGTGGTTTTTTATAATCGTTAGGATCCGTTTTGCGGCGGAGAAGTGTAGGCGTGATAACTACTGAGAGATTGTGGCAGTCCATTTCAGTGAACTTCTGGTTGTCCGCCACTTTCTTCAGATGAGTGATAAAGTACTTGGCCGTGTTGTAGTGATATTGAGGTAGAGTGATGAGCAAGCTGCGGATGCGTTGTAGCGATTCTAAAGAATTTGAAATTTGATTTTTGTTCAGAAGGCCATATATTTGAAGAGCGGTAAAATCTGACAGGTAAAATTAAATTCTTACCCTCGTCAATATTTTGGGAGGTATCGTCAGGTACGGCGTCGACAAAAGCATAAAAGCGTGAATCCGTAAACAATGGGTCTGGAAGTTGTCGAAAGAAGCTCTTGAGGACACTAGCAGCGATCTTGACGTCTTTCAACGCTTCGCAGTGATGGATGTTGTCCATGCATTTATTCATCTCTTCCTAAAATACAACAATAAAAGGCCCGTCCCCAAGTGGGGCGCTGTACCTCGACTTCGTTTTTGATTCTTTCGTTGGCAGCAGTTCTATAAATTCCATGGCAATCAGTTTCGATTTGAGATTCAATGATACGACAACAAGTCGTCACAACGAGTGGAAGGTCGTCATCCATCGGGCAATCGGCTAAGGGGACTCCGAACGTTTTTCGGTTGCGTTTTTTATGCTGAGATGGCGAGCGAGGACCCATAGAGAGTCTAGATTGGTTGGAGAAAAGACATAGAAAAAGATTTTTACCTTGTGTTTGGAGCGCGTTTGTACTTTGGATCGGAATCAAGTTTCTTCTTGATCATTTCCTCCAGATCCTCTGGTTTTTGAAACTTCTGAGCGAGCTCCCTAATCTTCTGTACCCACTCATTCATTTCGGCGTTCCTGAAATTGGAAAAAGTCAAAAACCGACAGTTCTGATTGCTTATTTACGTTGAAGCCTCAATAAGCAGCTCATTGCGCTCGTCGATGCTAATTTTGAAGACATGATGCCTCTTGGTCCCATAGGATACGTCGCACAAGCAGCCACCAAGAAAAACGTCTACAAGCAGGGCGGACATATCCACAGTAGAAGCAAATTGATCATTCGTCTGGCACACCATGTGACGAGTATTGCGGAACATTTCCGGACACTTCCAAACGTACAGGTAACCGGCGTGAATCATCACAAATGCTGCTTGCCAACTTTTGCGCTGAAAAAGAAGTCAAAGTGACTTTGTCCGGTCTATTTGGCAATTGAGACTTATTTACAAACATCTACATGCTATCAAGGCGCTAATTAAATGCTACTGGGTAATCCAATCCATAAATAATTCAAAACCAGCCTGTTTCCGAGAATACCCACTTTAGCAACAAAATTAGATGATTTTTTCCTTATTGTACCTTAATATTGAAGACTTCTCCAGAAATCGTTTCCGGAATCTCGCGTATCCTCGTCAACAAGTCAAGATTGTTCTGCTGCTTGGGTTTTGAACCAAAAACGTTTTCGAATTTCTTTCTCATCTGTTTGTTGAGACTTGGCCTTCTCTTTAGCCCGTTGACTTCATCTTTTTTGCCTGTAGATCGGGGCCGCCCGCGGATCCTCTTGGATGGAACACCGGTGGCTTCGACATAACTTTTGCGCGGATAATGGGCACCTGACGTGTTAACGCGATCCACTGAGTGAGCGCGGCTAGGTGGAGCTTCGCCAATACTGCAAAAATATATTTTATTTAATATTTGATCTTATGATTTTGAAAGAGAAGAGCCGGGACAATTTTATTGCCGCTGTAAATTTAGAAACGAATTACGGCGATGATCATCGAATTCTGAAATCACTCGACAATGATCTATCTTAGACTATTATTTTAACGCCAGAGAGTATCTAGTCAACAATTTTATAGCTCAGCAGAACTTTGTAGGAATTCAAACAAGCTCTTGAAATTCCAAAGAGGAAAGCAAACAGGTGTGCGTTGAGAAGATGATTATGTACTCACCCGTCATGAGTAGAGAGTTTTGTCGTTGTCAGAACAGAATCCATACTTCCAGCGCGTCCCAGGGGAATCGCGATTTCACCAGTGTTACTTTCTGACACTGCGTCTCCAATTGACTCCAGTGAGAATTTGAATTCGTTTCTGCTTTCAAAGCTCATATTTATCAAATCTTCAATGATTTACTACGGGTAATTAATACCATTTATTTGGACTGGGAATCTTACTGGGATTTATTCTAAAGCCCGAAATATTATCCTCGAGTTCACGAGATAAGGCTTTCTCAAACATCTCTAGCCCTCTCCTCAATAAAAATTGTCCTACAAATATTTGAGCTCTTTCCTGTAGTCTGGCTTGGAGTTGTTGACTGCAGTAATGTAGCTATTTCTCTGCTCGCGCATTAGATGTCTCTGACTTGAGTTGTTTCTTTCGATAGGTTTAAGAAATGTTGAAATCAAGGATGAGTACCTTATTCGAACAGCATCAAATTGGTTGACCAAATTGCCATCAATGAACGGTATCTCGCTTGTTTTCACTTCCAAACTTTCTTTGCTCTTGCTCTGCTGGGCCAATTTAGTATCACGCGCCGAGGATTTGTTCGACGTTCTCGAAGAATTATCGGAGTCAATGTTGGTTATCTGGTGCACGCCCGCGGCGGGAGCAGGGGCTTGGGGGCGAACTTGCGGCCGAGAGCGTAGATTCAACCGGCTTGGGGTGGCAATTTTACTTGCGTTGATTGAATCGGGCGAAACGTGGCGGCGTGCCCGGGGCGTGTGCGCCGAGGATGAAATCATCTTCGATTCGCTTAACAAACACGAAATTATAATTTTGAAAATTTATCACAAAAGGGCTCCCCGGGGAGGGCCAGTGCGCGGTGCACCCGCTCTGATGAAAATGTCAACCGTCTTTTCAAAGAGAGACATCTTTCCTGTAATAAACTGAAGCAACTAACCTGTACTCTTTTCTCTGTCTGACAACTTCGTGGTAAGGTGGTGGCTCTTCCCCTGACAAGATGCCCGCGCTCGTGGCAGATGAAGCAGTGCTCTTCTGCAGCTCATCCGCATGATAACGAAATCCGTTAAAGGTTGAGCCGTTCAGTCTAATCCCCGCATCTTCTTCATCTGAGGTGCCAATCGAAATCGACGGGTCAGACCCGTGAATAAACCCTGTCGGCCTTTGCGCACGGCGAGCACCTTGACTCGATGAACTTTTTGGAGAGCGTAACACAGCCCGTGTTGGAACCTAGAAAAAATTTTTAGTGAAATCTATTTGAATTGCTGATCATATTTCTAGTTTTGATGGTTCTTGGAGTGCTTGTTAATTAAGTTTAGTTTGATTAGCTGAGACAACTTATGCTACCCTCTGATTGGCTCAAATTCCCTATAAAAGGTTAGAGTAAGAATAGAAACTCGAAGATGTGCGCCCGAGTCTCAATTAGATACGCTAGTTATCTATAAAAAGCTCAACATAATTTCTTACAGCTGATGTGCCGGGTTGACAAGTGGAACATTTCTGTTGTATTTCATCGGAGCGGAACTGTTGATTTTCCGCTAGCGTTTGATAACTCTGGCTGCGCGTTGTCGAGCCCGAGATGATCGAAGTTTCGCGGGTTGACTTGACTTGTCGGGATTGATTGTCCTCGGCAGTTCTGAAGTCGAGACTTTTAAGCCCTCCAGTTGTCGGAAGCGGCGATTACCTGAATGATTGGGAGCGATTTGGCAGCTTTCGCGCTTTCGTCTGTCTCGTTTCCGGATCAGTAGTGACAGGTCGAGCTCCAGTCGAGCCATCAGTGACCTCGCCACGTGGCGTCATAATTACCGAGCTCGTGGTTGAACTTGTAGTTGAACCAGAAGTGGTTCCCGATCCCACGGTTGACTTTCTCGAAGGTCCTTGGTACTGCTGCAGAAGCTTGGTACTCTTGGTCAATCCCAAAACTCCTGGAGACCCAGTGACGTTTGACGGTCTCTGGCGCGTGAAAATGCTGTCAGCAGTGGCGCGGAGAGGATCTGGAATAAAGTCTATCAAAAACTTTTCTTTCAGTAAAATTGGACTTGAAAATCGTGGAATAAAAATTGAAGCAACAAACCTTTGTTTCCAGCAGAAAAAGGCCTTGATCTGAAGCTCTGAGATCTAGCCGTCGATCTCCTAAAGCTAGAGTTCAAATATCCATTCTGACGAAGACCAGTCGAAAAAGTCGCCTGGGATCTAGGAGTTGATCTCGGTGTTAGCTGCGAGCTCAAGCTCAAATTCGCGTTTTGTTCTCGATTCTGCGTTGTCTGACTCGTCTGACTCGTTTGTTTCAACGCTGCTTGTGTCTTTTCGGGCGTTAAAATAACTACTCTGGAGACGGCGATTTCGGGGCTTGTTTGTGAAATGGGACTGCAATTGAGCTTGATACGAAGCGAGCATAAGGGGGATAAGGCTGCTCCCGCATTTCCCAAATTCCTGGATTTCCCAAATCCTGGATTTCTCAAAATCCTGAATTTCTCAAATCGCCAAATCAGGATTCTGCCGATTCTAGATTTTGGGAAATGCAGGATTTTTTTCTTTTGAATAAGTTTTCTTGCTTGGTTTAAAAATCCAACTCAGATTAGTATAGATTTGAGTTAGTTTTCTTACTTAACAAAATTTATATTGATTGATCATATAACTTTATTCTCTTGGCTTCTTCATAGACTATGGTCCATAGTCTATGGACCATAGCCAATCCTGGCTTCACCAACTTCAATCCTGGCTTCAACAAATTCGATCCTAGCTTTACAGACGTCAATCCTGGTGGCTCAAACGTCAATCCTGGCATCTACAGCGTCAATACTGGCTTCTAAAATCCGATCCGGCCGTCACTTTCTTCAATCCTTGCTTCTCAGATGTCTCTCCCGGCTTCTCAGTTCTCTATTATTGCTTCTTGAATGTCGATAATGGCTTCTCCAAGATTAAATTCTTGTTGGAAAATCCTTGATTCAAACTGATGAAGCCGGGATCGACGTTGAAGAAGTCGGGATTGACGTCGAAGAACCCGGGATTGACATTCGAGAAGCCATTATTGAAGTCGGTGAAGCTAGGATTGACGATTACAAACCAGAATTGACGATGGAGGAGCCATGATTGATATTATATCAATGATATTGCCAATCATTGGTCATATTGGAGAAGACATGATTGAAGCCAGGATCGGGGTTGAAGAAGCCAGGATTGGCTTCTTCTTGGGCAAAAGGAGACCACTTCAAATTTTAGCTGAATCCTTCATTTCTCAAAATCCTGCTTTTCCCAATCCTGCATTTCCCAAAATCCAGAATCGGCAGAATCCTGATTTGGCGATTTGAGAAATTCAGGATTTTGAGAAATCCAGGATTTGGGAAATCCAGGATTTTGGGAAATGCGGGAGTAGCCGGGGGATAATGAATTTGGAGAGTACGTCACATATGCGACTCGGGGTTGAGATAAACGCCACTCACACGTGACGATTTAGGTGATGAGGGCATAAAATGATAGATGTGAAATCCTTTCTGTCGCTTCGTTAGAATAGCCAAATAAGTAATAATAGCAAAAGCTCTAGCTTTACATAATCAATCAGCGTGACATAGTAATCTTAGCTAAATCTACCGAAATGGCAAATAAGAACGACTCTTTTCATAATTGAACATAATTTTCATTATCGTCGATCTTCTTTTTATTTATGAGGAAGTAATTTTTCGCTCTACGTATCCTGATAATCCCGCCTTTTTCCAACTCAGCGTTTTTTCTCGGCCCACCTGAGTGGATTCGCCAAATACAGGCGAGGCCCTACTGTATTCTACTAAAAGAAAAATTCCCATTTCCTAGCAAAATCGTAGCATTTATGAAATTTCGGGTCATTGACTTTTTTAGGCTCAAATCTTCAAAGAACAAAAATGATTCTTTTTGACAGATTACAGGAAACTTGTAAGAGTCTTAACCTTCTCATGAGCCCATTCTCAATAGCATCAAGTAGGAGTAACTCGAAGAAGGACACCTTTTTTCGTGCTTGCATTTTCTCTTTTTGAAGATGAAAAAATGGCACTCCAAAGTGCTTGAAAACGCACCTCGTCTGGCTTCGTGAACATGAATAGAGAGGGAGAGATAGGGATTTAGAGCGCAAGCAAATCTGAGCGATGAATGTTGCGCTCTTAGAACGGGGATTCTAGCTAATTTCCCCGTGTCAGCACCTGAGTTGGATTTATCTGATCATTAATTGTTTCGCGTAACAAAATTGGCTTTCAATCAAAATTCTTCATCATCAAATATTATTTGAAATTAAACGCGCAGTAAATTTCATCCTAAAATCGAAGATCACCGTAAAACGCGTAAAAACGAAATAATCTCAAATATTTATCCAGAGATGGCAATTTTCGCGCTCTGTAAAAAATACCGAAGTCAGCAATTATCAACCGCTAAATTAACGCCTTCCTGAAGTTCTCGCGTTAGCTCCTCGATTTCTGCAACGTCGCTTCGGTCTGATTGTGCGCATTTGATCTCACGGGGGATGTCTTTGATGATGTCTTTCAGAAGGGTTGAAAAATAGATTGCCCTTTTTATATTTCAAATTTCAGGTTCGACCCTTCGCTGGAATGTGCCTACTCTCAGTAGACTCCTGTCTTCTGAGCAAGGTGTGAATCGAGTCATGAGAAGACGATCTTGGCGCTAGACTAAAACTCCCTTCTGCCGTCGACTGGTTGAGATCTTTAATCCTGTCCACGATTCTCCGCCGCTAAAATTAATTCAATTAGCATTTCAGAACTTGCTCCAATCGTATATCACTTTTTGACATGCCATTTCGCGCCCGTAAATAAAACTATAATAACTAAACACAGCTTTGATCTTTTAAAGCCATTTCTCTTTTTAAGGTTATCTGGTGCTTAGAAGAATTTAATTTACGTAATTTAAGCTTGCAAAAGAGGGCCTTAATTTGGAATGCAGGGCGGAAATTTAATCTTTTCCGCAAATCTATCGGAGAGGAAATTCGATCATCGGCGGTAGTAGTACCGATATTCTGAAAATTCTTCATGTCCACTTAATTTTTAGCCGTTCCGATTTTCGATAAAGATGAGATTCTTTACGAATGATTCATTATATTAAATACCGCTTATAAGTTATAACAAGGATTTAGACTAGGGCCTTTGTGAAAACTGATTTTTTGGCTTGAATCGGAAGTCCAAGGTCACACCCGTGTAAGTTCGAACAAAGCCGCTTTGAAATTTTACCCGGTAAATTGACAAGTGACAAAATGAAGCGGAACATAAATTTTTTTCTAAGAAAGCCCCGGCAAGGGGTTGTGCTATTGTGTCAAAAATTGGCAATTTTTGATACTTATGATGCTTCTAGCCGTCATAGCATGAGCAAGAGGATAAAATTAAGATTTTACAAAGAAATGTCAGAATGAGTACGAAAAAAGCGGCTGGTCAGAAATTTAATGATAACAACAGGTTAAGCTCTCTTTCGAGAAAAGAGTTAATGCAAAAGCTTATCAAGAGTTGACTCTTGAGCAGCCATTTTAACCCTTTCACGCATTCAGGCGGAAGAATTGCCATTACGCGCGTAAGGGTTAAAACGGCTGTTCCAAAATAATCTAAGCGTCCGGCGGAGAGTTAACCGATAAGCTCGCGAATTAACGCTTTATCAAATATTTTCTCGAGAGAGCTTAACCTGTTTTATCATCTGAAATTCGCTTTACCCTGCTAAAAGCGTTTTAAAATTTAGATTTTTAACAGACTTGCCAAATTCGCAATTATGAAAATCGAATTCGGGGCATCATCTTTTGTGCGTCTAATAAATTTCTTTCTTTTCAAAACTTTCAAAAAGAAGCAGGTTGTTAGTGGTCGGTATTGATCTTTTTTGTGAAAGTTGACTTAGCTGGCATCTGGAGACGCAGCGGAATTTTCGAAATTTTATCGATCCCGAATAATTAAATGCAATTTAGGGTTCAGTTTCAACTCTCAAATTCGAAACGCGAAATTCAACCCTTCTAAATATTTTCGCTGGACATTTTTTGGTGGCTAAGAACTTCCGAAAATAATCAAAACTTGACAATTTGAGGTGATGACAAATTTAAAACCCGCCACTGGCAATTTTGAAAAGAAAAGCTTTCAGTTTTGAAAACAAGCTCCGAAAATAGGCTTTCTGATTCTGCTATTTTGAGAATCTTGAAAATAAAAATACAGTAATTAAATTATCCATTTGTGAGACGGGAATCTCCGCTAAAAGAATAGAAGAAGCGTTAATTTGATTATAATTGATAATCTTCTAATGAATTCTCCTTCTATCTCACTGTACCTGACACTGAGTCAATTCCCTGTCGATGCCCTTAAACTTCTGTCCAATGGAAGATCCGGTCTGTGGCCTTACCGGATCTACGGAATTGTCGTTCATCTCTTTTTCCTCATTTTCGGGAGTCAAATTATTTTTCATCGTTCTTTACAAACTGCCATATGCTTTTCCTTCTTCATTTTTCATAACAACATGCTCTAGAAAGTCTTCTTTTCAAATTCTCTTTTGAAAGTTTTTCAAGTTCGGTTTCGGTTTTGGTGAATTTTTGAAATTTCTTTCTTGACTTTTTGAATGGGCCCGTAGTAGCCAGCGTTTTTCGACGGCGGCGCTGATTGGACGAACAGCGACACCTACGCCGCGCCAGACTGGCGCCGAGCACCAGCACCAAAAGTCTAACCATTTTTAACTGCTGTAACAAATAGATATAAATAAATTACACACTTAGATCGAGGGAATACAGTCAGATACTGGATTTAACTGATTGTTATTATAAAAACCTGACTGTATATTTCAGATGAATAACTTTCATTTATTTTCTCTTATTAGTCTGTCTGTGACTGGAGTTAGAATTCCTCCGAATCAGTACTGATTCACGTGATTCAAGTTATTGATCCCGACCGGCCATTAGAGTAGTCATTTTTGATAACTACCAATGATAGTCTATCGCTGAAGACTGTGATGGTCAGTCAGTATCAATAATTTAATTCCGGGTACTTCTTTATCATTCAAAAGCAAATAGAAGCTCCGAACAACTAAAGAATCTTAAAATGGTCAATTCCAATTCTGAAATTCATTTCGAATTCGTAGCTTTTATATGTAATTGCTCGAGAGACAGTATTTACCCGAGTATCGCGCGGGGCACCTGGGTCAACAGCGCACGATGATTAGCTTTCCTTTTTTGTGAAAATACACTTCATGATTATAAGTGATACGTAATCCGGACACGAAACGGATAACTACCAAGTGTTGGATATAAAATTCTAGTTTTGGCGACGCTAGGGCGCCGTAAACAACATTTTTCGCAAGTACCAGAAATCGTAAACTTGGAAAAACAATCCAAAATCTCGAGGACCCTACTTTTCGCGGAAAATATGAAACTATTCCTTTTCTTTTAATTATCCCGCTTTTTTTACGAACTTGAAATAACGATCAAGCTACGAAGAAAATACAGAATTTTGGAAAAAATTTGATAAATTTTTCATCTTTTTGGCGCTTCTCCAAAGTCAACGGTACTTTTCAGATGCCACGGATTACCGCGAGATTTGCTGAAAAAGCTGAAAAATGATGCTCATAATTACGATACATGTTTGCTTGGAAATTAATTTTCTACCCCGGAAAATGTCAAGCAATGTCGCTTATTCTAATCCTTCCAACAACATTCAAAATAATCAAATCAAGAGCAAGTCCTCGAGACGGATTGTCTGTGAGTTTGAATTTCCTCGAAGAAATTCTTTTTCAAATAGCGCCCTTGTCAAGGCACGATTTACAACAAGTGGCGCAGCATTTCAATGGGATAAGCTTCCCCATAAAATTGTAACGGGTGAAATTTGCTCCTGCCAGAAACGGTGCCAAGTTTATTCACAAAATGAAGACAGTTTTGGAGTATTCAGGGAACTTTGATTCATCAATTCTCTCAATAAAGACGCTCTAGTTGTCATTTTAGATGGAAATTTTGAACGATTTTGGTCAAATTTGTCCGAAAAAGCATTAAATTTCCTTACTAACCTTCAATTTTTAAGATTATTTTGATACTCTTGAATCACATAAGGCTTGAAAAGCTCGCATTGACAGCACAAGTTGTCATTTTCGACAAAAAATATACAGTTTCCTCGAAAGATCTGATCAAGAATGAGTTTCTAGTGGAAAATGTCCTTATTTTTGAATAAAAAAAATTCGAAAATGTCGATAATCTCTAGATCATCAGTTGTTGTCAGCCCTTTTCTTGTCCAACGCTTCAGTTACTTTGACGCCGTTTGACAAGTTTTGTTTGAATTCTACGCTGAAAGAAACGTTCGCCCGCACTTCTTCAACGATAATGAGATCAAACGGCGGAGGATCCGGCGATGCCACCAATATGTTATGTCGCCAACTGGTAAATCATTTCTCTATTAATCTTAAAAAGCGGTAATTTTTGTAGTTTGTTGGGCAAATCCCGGGCGATTGGACCCAAGATACTCTCTGCAAGCATTTCTGCGAATACCTTCACATTCCGCTCGAAGAAGCTGAGGACGAAATTCATTTTGACAGGGAGATCCCAGAAGAGGATTACGGTACCAAAAAGAGTAAGTTTTATCAGAAGAAAAATCTTCTAAAATACCTCTAAGAAATTGCCTTCATTCGATTTGCGAAACCGATGATCCACAAAAAAGCACTTGATAAAACGACGTTCAAAGGAAGTCCAGTTTTACTCAATATCAAGGTAAGTTTTAAGGGTGTCAACAATGATAGAAAATGCAAGTTCAAGTAGATAAATATTGTTTCTAGCCGTCACATTGGGAGCTAGAGGAGGTAAATTGTCAATTTATCGACTTTTTCTTATCAGTTTTACTCACTCATTTATTCGAAATAAAAGAGCTCTAGAAACCGTTATAATCTATTTTCAAGGAATCAAACCAAGAAGATAAGAAGAGAAAACTCTTCATCGGAAGGCTGAGCGATCACGTGACAGAAGACGACGTTGAAAAACTTATTTCAAAAATCTGCCCCGATGCAGCGAAGTTGATCGAGAACGAGTTCCCCCAAGTTCCGGATAAGAACGATGGCAAGCCCAAAATCGCTTTTATCCAGTTTGAAAATCACAACGCTGCCTATTCCTGCAAAGGTACTCTTTTTTTCGTTGATTGATGACAACGATGAGTATTTTTAGATGCACTGAAGCGTGTTTTTGAAAACCCTCAACCCGAGGTGATTTCGTTGTTGGAGCACATGTGCTGTCGAAATGCCAAGCTCAAGGATCTCATCGACTCTGTCGACTACCACAAACGAGGCAGGAACGAAATCTTCAGCCTTTCCTCCTCCAATTCAGTTCGATCGCTGAACTCTTACAATGTAAGTCAACAAATACATGCTTTGAGACTTTGGTTAAATGTAACTTAGGGCGGCAACATGGAGTTCTGGTACCGCGAAAATGAAGCCGGCGCGACGATCCACTACAGAAAAGATCACGGAATTAGAAGCGTCTTCATTCCTTGTAAGTTTCTTCCCCTTTTCACGCCCTCAATCACATTTAAGCCGATCATTTGAAGAAAAAGCCGCACCCACGAATTCCTGCGCGTGGCACAATGGTCGAATACCGCGAAGTCGTCCCTGGCTTCTCTGACATGAGCCTTCATTCGTCATTGAGCCAGTGCGCCGCGCTTCCTGCTCCAAGACCGAGTCGCTCATTTTCTCGACTTAGTCATCACACCACCACTTCGATGTACTCATCTCTAGGAAAGGCTTATTTTTTTGACTGAAAGTATTTTGACTATTGAAAAGTTCTCCTTTTGAACTCCAAAATTCCAGAAATGAGCCTTGAAGGAGGACACGAGTCTCCAACTGGCCCTCGGCTAAGAAGTTCGCTGAGCGCTCAGCATCAGTCAATGCTGTCGATGAATCAGCAGAACCCCTACAGCGCGTTCCACAACCCGCACTCTCCCCTCAACTGGAACGGAAGCCGCCTGACTGGAACAGTGTCGGAGTCCTTCATCAATCGACAGCACAACCAGCAGAATCAGATGTAAAACATCTTTTATATATATGTAATTTATTGTACACACGATTGCTGTATATTTTTGTATTCCAAGATATAATATATATTTATTGTTAAAATTGAAGTCGTCTTCTTTGATTTCGCCGGTAGTTTTTGTTGATTTGGGTAATTACAATGAACAGAGAAAGTGGTTTTGACTGTCAGATGTTTCTGTTGTTGTCACTGAGGTCTAAGAGAGTCAAGTGGCGAACAATCTTAAGGCCAACTGCCAGCAAATCTTCAACTGCTGCGCACATAACGGTCTTCGTAAATGACTCTCGTTCTTTTGAAATCTGCTCACTTTCCCAGTCCCCGCAAGTTTTTCGAATATGACCTGAAGTTCATTATCAGTGATAATTTATCACTGTCGTTTTAGCAGTTTTACCTTCAAATATTTTTCTGACAACTTCTTCAATTTCATACGGTTTCCTTCCAAGAAATTCTCCACAAGCTCTAGGCAAAAGTCTCGGATCTAACTTGGACAAAAGCGAGCATATTCAGTGGCACACCATTCTTCGTTGCACAGTTGTATACTTTCGGATAGATAGGACTTACTTCCAGTGACATTCGCATCGAATCCGCCATACACCATTTCCAGGCTCGTCCATCAACTATGAACTTATTTGGCGCCCTTACTACACAGCCGCCTGAAATGACGACGACTTCGTTGGGACCAGCGGTGACAATATTTCCCATTTCAACAAACTAGGAGCCACTTAATTGAAAAATTACGGGTAATGTCAAATTCTAGAAAGCATTTTTGCCATAATTTCTGATGCGTACTTTGCATAATTTACGCAGAACTGTTTTTGGTTTTCTATTGTATTTTTTCAGTGATAAATGTACAAGGATTTGAGTGAAGTGTGAGAGCAGGCGAGTTACAGTTAGATCTTTCGAAGGCTTTCGACGATTCCTTCGCGTTTCTTCGCAAATGCTGCTTTCTTGTCCGGCTTTCCTCGCTTGGTGATTTCTTTTACTCCCTTCTTTCGCAAGTTCCTCTTGTCGACTTGTGCGGAGTAGGCCATTCGACGGTCCCGGGCGCTCATCTTTTCGTACTTGCAGTTGTTGACATTGTAGTTGCCAACAACATGCTTGTACGTCGTCTTCCTCGGTTGCCGACGAACTGGAGTTTTTGGCGGTTCGTTCTCTTTCTTTTCCGCCTCCTTTTTACTAAAGAAAAATTGTTAAACTCCGTTTTCAAGTGTGCTAAAACTTACCCAAAGACGAATAACTTTTTGTCATCGGTTGTGCCAAAGTTCACCCGTCGCATCGGAGACTCAGTTCTTGTCGGATTAAATCGAAACGGCGATTTGGGCGGGAGTCCTCCTTGATTTCGAATTGGGGATCGTTTCCGCTCTGCTCTGGTCGATTTTCGCTGAGGCGTTTTCGTCGGCGCGAAGTTCAACGATTTGACGACCTTTGACTTTTCCTAAAGATTTCGGTTGTGATGATATCAAAAAACGGTCGAATATTTACCCTTGGCGTTGGCAGCGATTCAGCGGGCTTGGCCTTTGGTGGGACGGATTTAGGTCCAGCCGAGCTGAGCAAGAACTTTTCCCTCTTCTTTCTCTCTGTTAGGTATTTTTTCAAATTCCCTTTTACTGGCTTGATCTTGGGAGTTTCTGGCAGAGCGTCGAGATATTCGGATGTCTCCTTGAACTCATCGTACGCATTTGGGTTTTCTGCCAAATTCTTCGCACGGATCGCCTCTAGAAAAGAGAATATAATATCGATTCACTCAATTTATAACCAAAATATCTAATAAGCGTAAAATTAAATTTATAGGAAAAGTTAAATTGCTTACCTAAATCACGACGAATCTCCTCTCGAATTTCTTCGTCGGACTTTGCGGACTCAGGCTGTATCTCTGACTTTTGGATAAGTCTCAGCGAACGGCGAGACATTTTTCTGCAAGACAAATAAAATAAGTGTTCTGCTAGAGTTTGATGCTCCGCGCGCGCTTTCAAAAAAGGCGCGCGCACTGATTGGCTGGCCCGATTTCAGAAGGAGAACGAGCCACTTACTTCATCGAATCAGAGGAGTTGTAGCTGTCATTATAATGAGTCATTAAAAATAATTCGAAGAAACCTATTTTTTTTCAGAAGTCAAGGAAGACTATTTTCTAAAATATTGATTTTTATAAGATACATTTAATTATGATTTTTTAATTGATTTAGCTTTTAGGTTTTTTATTTATCAAGATAGTAAACAATGATTGAAAACAGTTTATTCAGGGCTTTTGGTGAAAAGACTTCGTCGTTCCAAGTACACGCAGACTCATTTTTTCTAAAATAAGTACAGTAAGAAAAATGACTGAAAGTGCGAGAAAAAGTACCTTCGACCCTTCTGATCGGGCTCTGTTTTGCGAAAGCAAATGAATTCTCCGATAACGAGCGCCGGATCGGTAAAGTTGTGCGTGGCCGATGCGAGCCTTGGTAAACCGAGCCAGTTCTGAAAGACAAATCAGATAAGTACAGTTTTGCGTGCTACCGGAATAGTTGAGTTCTAGGGCGCATGTTTGGCGATTCGACGGTGAAGATTCTTAGCCGATTTTTGGGCGTTTTTGGACTTCCTGTTTCTGTTCTGTTATTGGCAAGTTGAGGCACTTGAACTGGAGGCGTTTTTTGACGGAGCTTCTCTCGCAGCGTTTCCACGTCTGAAGATGATTCTAGAGGAGCTGAAGGAGATACAGTAGCTTACCTGAAGAATGGTAAGCAGCGAGAGTCCGCTGAGTGGCCGCTGACTTCCGAATCGGCTCACTTGAGAAGTTTTCAAGAGGCACAGTTTTGCGCTTTGCTTCCACAAACATGGGTGACGCTTCAAAAATGATCTTGATGCTACTAGTCATTTTAAGTCAAATTTCATACGTAAAATGGCGATTTCTTGTAAAACACTGGATGAAGCAGTTCTCCTTGGCCGCAGCTCGAATGAGTCTAGTTGACTATCTGACGTTGGGTCTCTTAAATCACGTGTCAAAAGTGGAATGGTCGATATTTCTTGCCTTTTGAGTAATCTGATATTGCTTCCCTTGACTGGCATCCTCTTCTCTTTCGGAAGAAATGCATGTCTCTGGGTATAATTCTTCAAATTGTTGGACTCTTCCCTCGTCGATGCAGTTCTTCGGTCAACCCTTGTTGGTCCTAATTCTATCATTTCTCTTCGCATTTCTGTTGCTTAGTTTCAGGTCGAAAATATACTTTAAAAATGTCTATCTAAAAGTTAAACATTCTGTCTTTATTGAACGTAGCTTAATTTTTGACCAAGTATCGATAATTCTCTTTACATGGGATCTTCAACTGTTTTCTTTTCTCCTAATTTTTTCCTCTCTCTCGTTTTTTTACTGCGATTGTTCAGAGTGTCGCGGAACGCTATTATTTGGATAAAAAGAGCCGATACGATTTCACACAACAAGACATCCGGAGCACCCTATTCATACAAGCACGCTTTTCATAAAATATTATTCCAGCTCAGAATTATTGTTGACTAAACACTCTTGTCGGATTATGACGAGTTCAATTTAAAATCATGTTCAGAGGAACAATTGTCAATTTTCAATTAAATGATCCCAATTGCCTCAAGAGCCACGAGAAATTCTGTGTAGTTAATTGTCTCTTTCATTTTTTGTATAAAAATAAAAATTCAATCTTGTTAAAAACAAAATGAGACGGGCCTTCATCGCATCAAGCATCTTACTGAAGCACTTTTCGATACAAAAGAGACTGGACTAGCTTCACATTCAAGATCAAAAATAAACACAGCAGGTTCTCCTTGACTGAAATAATTGGATTTTATAAAGAACGGTAGAACTTGTATTTGGTTTTTATTTTGACTTTCTTTGTACAGATATTTGCAGGGAAGAGATTACTCTTTGATTATCGTATCGATTCAAGCGCAGGATTCCAAGGCCGAACATCGAAAAGTGGGTTAGAATCGTTAGTCCACAAGTGTGAGCGCATTCTCGGTGGAAGAGCTTGATTTTCTCCCATTATTCCAAACCTATTTGAGTAAGTACTGTTAGAGGAAAAAGACGAGTCCGTGCTTGGAATCAAGGAAGAGTCAGTAGAATTAGTAACGACAACACTGCAACTTCTCGAGTTACGCGCCATTGATGGAAGAACTGATTCAAGAGTTGAACTTTTCGTTTCTCATTTTCATAAAAAGTAGATGAACATATTGTGCAACCCTTAGCATACGCTGTAGATCTTTTTCGGTTATCGGATTTTGACTTTTCTGAAATCTGCTGCACAACGTCTGCGAAATTCATGCCCTTCTCTGCACCTTCCTTTCGCTTGAATCCATACAGCATGTCGTTTTCGTAGCTTTCTTGACTCGACTGTGGCTGGGTTGCGGAGTTATTTGCGGCTGAAAAGTGGAAAAGAGCGATGAATTCCCGCTCATTATCAAATCGAGCTCCTAATCCACGCTCAGGTGGTATCCTGTCGACAACCCTTCCTGGGATGATATGATTTCTTCAACGGCCATTTCTAGTGGATCCAGCCCTTCTGCTCGTCGAGAACCAGGCACTGGGGGATATCCAGGGTGTCCGTAAAGCGAGCTTTGAATTGAAGATTTTCATTCTTCATTAAAATTGTTCTTACTGTTTCAAAAACGTAACATGTGACTTTTTTCGTTCACTCGCCATCCCATCTGCGATTAATTCCAATTTATCATCGCCAGTTTTCGTTTTTCTTGCGAATTGAACCATCGGAATGCCATCTGGACTTACTGGAATCACGAATCCCTTTTTGAGTGATTTTGATAAGTTATGTTTGAGAAATGATTTTCTTACGTTAATTTCTATGTTTCTTGTGCTTTTGAGAATGCCCTTCTGCGCCAAATGGTTGTTACAGGTCGGCTTGCGCTTGAAACTCTTCATATTTCCACAGTGACAAGGCTTCACTCCGCTCATCACCTTGACTTGGGTGTATTTATGAGAGGCATGTGGACTCTCGACGAAACACGCATGGCACAGCAGGCCACCGTACTTTTTCTGGCATTGATTGCACCTAAAAGTTTTCCATTCTCTTCCTTGATTTCAAGCTCACCTGTAGCCGATCTCACCTTCTTTCATCGTATTCTTGCAAATCAACTGAGGCCTTGTGGCTTTTTTCTTGACGCTTCGAAATAAACTCAATAATTTTGAAGACCATATAAATGATAGTATTTGACTTTCACAAATTATCTGTCAAAAAACGGTCAGTAGAATTCTCAAAATTTCCTTTGGAACATAATGAGAACGCAAAAAACAAAGACAGCTAGGAGCCAGGCTTTCAATCGTTTTCTTTTCTTGTTCTTACTTTTACTCTCAAAATACTAAAACCAAACAATTTCCTGGGAAGCCAAAGAACTCTCTCGTGAGTGGATTGAGGTCTGCTTCTGAATTTGCATACTGGTCCATTCTAGTGTCTCCTGGCTTCGCGATTAATGCAGCTGTGGAGGATTCGCTTGAAAATAAATCAGGAGAATCAGTTAACGACGTCTCTGACCCGAAGAACTCACGAGCCAGACGTGCTTATTGCCTTTTCAAGGTCTATTAATCCCAAAACTTGTGATTTAAGACACGCACCTGTTTTCAAGAATTCCTACCTTTTTGAAAGATCGTCGTTGAGCAAAAGTCAGTATATCTCTGTCTGTGACGAGTATAAAATCTTAATTGCCCAGCTATGCGTTGAGACTTCCTAAATTGGTTTCCAGAAGTGTTAATTCTTTCCTATGGTACTGGAATCTGAAAGGCTTGACCCTTTGCGGTGCCTGCGCAACGTGGGAGGACGATTATACTGTATCGTGCAGTACTTCGTATGAAATCTTATTCACTTCAATTTCATCGTCGGAACATGAGGCAAGGTGCGCTAAGACATAAGCAGGTGGAAACTGATACATAAATCAGGGGACATGAAGGTCTCTCATGAGTTATAAAATGATTCCGATATAAAGACTAAAAGTCAATGTTTTGCTTATAACAAGGAGAACAATGGCTATTCTTTTTTATTAATCAAAGATAGAACATGCCTACTTCAAACACAAATTAAGGAAACTTTATCATTGCCATTTTGTTGCATTGCGGTCTCGCCCTCAAAAGGTGGGAGTCCAGAAATAAATCGCACGAAGACAGCTTTCACCATCTAAAGTCGTGTTCCCGCGAGTCACTAGAAAAGTGCGTCAACTGAACCTCGAGCTAATACTGAAAAATTCCTTGGAAAACCCGTTCAAAGTTATTTGCATAAAACAAGCCATAATTATTAAATGTGTGATTTTCCTGCAGAGTAAACGAAAAATGAGCATTTGTTTGAGAAAAGAATCGACCGCCCCTCCGAACTAAAAACATTCCTCAGCAAAAAAAAAGTTCGATTTTTCAAATGAGCTATTTGTTGCAGGACTTTTTCTTCGTCAAGAGAACGAGTTCTTCCTCAAAAATTGCCCGTTTTGATGTGAAATTGCAAGAAAGTGAGCTTTATTTTTTGAGAGAAGATGGGAAAAATGGCTTTGTCGCGCAGTTGCAGAATATAACAGGTTATTATTGAGTAAGAATGCAGAACTGAAGTTCAGGTGTCCATGTTCAAACGGAAGGTGAAAAAGTGGAACTCTGCGTCTTCCATTATCCGTTCGTAAAGAAAGCCTTCGGTGGGAAAGAACGAAAGCGGGAGAAAATTCTGATGACGCTTGATGAAAAAGATTCAAAAGAGCAACTGTCAATCTGGGATATATAAATATTTGATTTTTAAAGGTTGATAAACTAGATAATTGTGTATCCCGTACGAAGAATCTGATCTTTGGGCGACAAAAATTAAAATTGCAGCGCGATTTTCGAATAAACAGAATTCGTCTGAAGAAATTCCACTCAAGCGAAGATATCTCGTCCTTGTAAATCCCGCTTCTGGTAAAGGCCTCGCTGCGAAAATCGCTCGTGAGCAACTTTTACCGATCATGGCTGAAGCAGAAATCGAACACGAACTTGTTACGACGACGCATCAAGGTCACGCGGAAGAGATTGCCAAGAACTTGAAGGTTGGCGAGTACACTGGAATCGCCGTCGTTTCTGGCGACGGGCTCTTTCATGAAGTCGTCAATGGAATCATGAGCCGAGAAGATGCGGAACAAGCTTCTAAACAAATCTGTCTCGTACCAATTCCTGGAGGTTCTGGGAATGCGCTCGCAGCGACCATCGTTTACACCGTCCTTGGAATCCACAACGATCCTAATCTCCTTCAAAATATGCTGATCATCTTCGCTAATGGGAGTCCTACTCCAAGTACCATCCTGCGTTGGGAAATTCATTCCAACGAGTCTCAGACACGTTTTTCTTTTCTTTGTGGCATGTGGGGGATCGCAGCCGACATTGACTTTGAATCGGAGAAATATCGATCAAGTCTGGGGAGCAATAGGTTCATTGCCATGGCTGTACAGAGGATATTCAACTTGAGAAAGTATGATGGATCCTTAGAATACATGGATGAAACAACAGAAGAGGTGAAAACGATTAATGGGCCGATTACAGGAGTGATCTTCACGACTGGCACTCATTTTAACTACGACAGCGCGGCTAGAACGAACAGAGCTCTCCAAGAATTCGACGAAAAGGGTCAACCTTTGATGACCCTGCTCGTCTTGAAATCAACATCGAAAGCGACGATAACAAAGTTTCTTCTTGGATTGAGCGATCTTAAAACGGTCACGAACTTGGAGAAAGAAATACCAGAGGTTCAAAGGATAAAAACTTCATCTTTAAAAATGATTCCGAAATCGTGAGTAAAATCAAAGAGTTACGAAGACAACAATTTTCAGGACGAGCAAAGAAGTCTTTCTCGACATCGACGGCGAAAGATCTCCGTATGTTCCAACTTCAGTCTCTGTTCATCCCCACAGCATATCGTTGATTGCTTCCCTCCCTCTGAAAACAACATTCTAACGCCTAATGACCGCTTATTTGATCGATCCGCAAAATAAAAAAATCTTTCATCTTCATCTAATGACTCACTGTTAGAGCAACGGCCCATAAAACGATCTTTTTACTGTTCGAACGAGCGAAAAATTTTATAAAAAAAAGCCATGGCGGGGTCTCTTAGGACAATCGTCTGTAGTATTTTTGTTGGAATATTCTTGCAGAGATACAGTATTACGATCGGATTATGGAGAGATAAGAACTTGCAGAAAGAAAAACATTTTGATGGTAAGTAAAAATAAGAAACCGTTGATATGATTGATTAAATTTCAAATAATCAGGTTACAACTGCCACTACCTCCTCGAAGAATACGGTGCTGAAGACATCGCCACGACATCCGATGGCCTTGCATTCATCACTTCTGGCCTCGGCCCATACCCTCCCTTCATCAAAAATGAAGCACCAAGTGCCATCTACGTCATGGACCTGAACGTTTCGCCAGTTCGTCTCACAGAAGTCACCATCAAGTCGTCACAGGATCTCAAACTCAATCCCCACGGCCTGGACTTATTCGAAGATGGTGACAAAATCTACGTCTTTATTGTTAACCACCACCAGGATTTGTCGGTGGAAGCAGTTGAGAAGTTTGAATATCTAATTGAAACGAATGAGCTTGTTTGGATCAAATCCTTCATCAACCCAGACGTTCTCAGATCAGTCAATGATGTTGTTGCTGTTGGGCCCGATGAGTTCTACTGTAAGATACATACTTTTTATACATTCATTGATTAACTTCTAGGCACAAATGATTTTTACTCAACGCACAAGACTCCTATCCAAAGAATGATCGAGCAATATTCAACTCTCAAGCTCGGTTCCGTCGCTCACTGTAACGAGCAAAAATGCGAATTGAAAACATCTTATCATATTGGAATGGCAAATGGGATCACTACTCGAACGGTGCGATTCTTTCTCCGATCTTTTTGACGTTATTCTTTTCAGATTGACGGAAAGACAGAAGTGCTTGTCATCTACTGCTACGATGACAAAATTGGCGTTTATGAGATCCTCGAGAACGGAGATCTTACATTTACTCGGACAATTGCTAGTTCTCCTACAATGGACAATTTTTGGAATGCACCAGATGGCTCCATCTACCTTGCTGGAAGTAAACATGCCTGGAGATTCTTTTGGAATAAGTTTTTCCCCAGTAAAGGAAGATTTTTGCTGCTCATTTCTAAGATACTTTTTAGATGACAAGATGCCTCTAGGAAGCGAAGTCCTGCGAATCCTCTCTAATTCTGACAAAATGGAACAGGTTTACTTCGACGATGGCGCAGAGTTTACTATGGCGTCGATCTTCGTTATTTGGGGCGAGAATATCTTGCTGGGCTCTCCTAATCATAAGTTCATGGCCTGTAAGAAACAATAAATCTTTGGGTAGAATCTTCCATTTTATTTCAAAACGGACAAGAACATCAATGAGTTCACTTCTCGCTCGTGCTGGACCATTGCACAGTGAAGGCAAAAGAAAGCAGCAAAAAAATCCCTGAGAAATATTCAGTAATCAGTCGCTCAAATTTGTTACGTACAATAACATGCTACCATTTATTCCATGTTTCTGTCGTATTTCCATTCGCTGGTTCGCTGTGATAAAACCCAATCCCTGAATTCAAAGCTAGTGGGAACCAGGGATGTGGATCCGCAGCGCAAAATCCGCAAAACAGCGCAAAATGCGGGGTTTTTCATTCTGCAGCGCAAAACAGCGCAAAATCAGCCCCAAAAATTTCCGCAATTTTTCCGCAAAATTGCGCGCAAAAGCGCATTTTGCGCGAAAATTCCACAAAATCTCAATACATTTGCAGTCCCCAAAAGGCAATTTTGCGGGATTTGGCGTAGAATTTCTACATTTTTTTGATGTTAATTGTGAAGATTTCCGAATCAAATCCGCATTCATCATCTTCGGCGGTAATTCGTGGAAGAAAAACTGAAAAATCACCCGATCTCGTATTTAACCGACCGGTCATTTTGCCGGCAAAAATAAAACCGGACAGTTTGAGCCCCGTTCCTTGATTTCTAAATTTAAGGGGCTTGACGGCCCTTCGGGCCGTTTCAGCCCCGTTCCTTGATTTCTAAATTTAAGGGGCTTGACGGCCCTTCGGGCCGTTTCAGCCCCGTTCCTTGATTTCTAAATTTAAGGGGCTTGACGGCCCTTCGGGCCGTTTCAGCCCCGTTCCTTGATTTCTAAATTTAAGGGGCTTGACGGCCCTTCGGGCCGTTTCAGCCCCGTTCCTTGATTTCTAAATTTAAGGGGCTTGACGGCCCTTCGGGCCGTTTCAGCCCCGTTCCTTGATTTCTAAATTTAAGGGGCTTGACGGCCCTTCGGGCCGTTTCAGCCCCGTTCCTTGATTTCTAAATTTAAGGGGCTTGACGGCCCTTCGGGCCGTTTCAGCCCCGTTCCTTGATTTCTAAATTTAAGGGGCTTGACGGCCCTTCGGGCCGTTTCAGCCCCGTTCCTTGATTTCTAAATTTAAGGGGCTTGACGGCCCTTCGGGCCGTTTCAGCCCCGTTCCTTGATTTCTAAATTTAAGGGGCTTGACGGCCCTTCGGGCCGTTTCAGCCCCGTTCCTTGATTTCTAAATTTAAGGGGCTTGACGGCCCTTCGGGCCGTTTCAGCCCCGTTCCTTGATTTCTAAATTTAAGGGGCTTGACGGCCCTTCGGGCCGTTTCAGCCCCGTTCCTTGATTTCTAAATTTAAGGGGCTTGACGGCCCTTCGGGCCGTTTCAGCCCCGTTCCTTGATTTCTAAATTTAAGGGGCTTGACGGCCCTTCGGGCCGTTTCAGCCCCGTTCCTTGATTTCTAAATTTAAGGGGCTTGACGGCCCTTCGGGCCGTTTCAGCCCCGTTCCTTGATTTCTAAATTTAAGGGGCTTGACGGCCCTTCGGGCCGTTTCAGCCCCGTTCCTTGATTTCTAAATTTAAGGGGCTTGACGGCCCTTCGGGCCGTTTCAGCCCCGTTCCTTGATTTCTAAATTTAAGGGGCTTGACGGCCCTTCGGGCCGTTTCAGCCCCGTTCCTTGATTTCTAAATTTAAGGGGCTTGACGGCCCTTCGGGCCGTTTCAGCCCCGTTCCTTGATTTCTAAATTTAAGGGGCTTGACGGCCCTTCGGGCCGTTTCAGCCCCGTTCCTTGATTTCTAAATTTAAGGGGCTTGACGGCCCTTCGGGCCGTTTCAGCCCCGTTCCTTGATTTCTAAATTTAAGGGGCTTGACGGCCCTTCGGGCCGTTTCAGCCCCGTTCCTTGATTTCTAAATTTAAGGGGCTTGACGGCCCTTCGGGCCGTTTCAGCCCCGTTCCTTGATTTCTAAATTTAAGGGCTTGACGGCCCTTCGGGCCGTTTCAGCCCCGTTCCTTGATTTCTAAATTTAAGGGGCTTGACGGCCCTTCGGGCCGTTTCAGCCCCGTTCCTTGATTTCTAAATTTAAGGGGCTTGACGGCCCTTCGGGCCGTTTCAGCCCCGTTCCTTGATTTCTAAATTTAAGGGGCTTGACGGCCCTTCGGGCCGTTTCAGCCCCGTTCCTTGATTTCTAAATTTAAGGGGCTTGACGGCCCTTCGGGCCGTTTCAGCCCCGTTCCTTGATTTCTAAATTTAAGGGCTTGACGGCCCTTCGGGCCGTTTCAGCCCCGTTCCTTGATTTCTAAATTTAAGGGCTTGACGGCCCTTCGGGCCGTTTCAGCCCCGTTCCTTGATTTCTAAATTTAAGGGGCTTGACGGCCCTTCGGGCCGTTTCAGCCCCGTTCCTTGATTTCTAAATTTAAGGGGCTTGACGGCCCTTCGGGCCGTTTCAGCCCCGTTCCTTGATTTCTAAATTTAAGGGCTTGACGGCCCTTCGGGCCGTTTCAGCCCCGTTCCTTGATTTCTAAATTTAAGGGGCTTGACGGCCCTTCGGGCCGTTTCAGCCCCGTTCCTTGATTTCTAAATTTAAGGGGCTTGACAAAGGCTTGGAACTCTGAGTTGATCAATCTCAGTTCTGTCCCCAACCCCACCCACACCCATCATTTAATAAATCTTTATTATCATCGTTTTCAGCTCAATTATGGTTCTTTTTGAAAACCTTGAAAATAACTTTGTATAACTTCGGAATAATGTCCCTAAAATTTCTTCATTTCAAGTAGAAATAAATGGGGCCAAAAAGACCACGAAATTCGCAGATTTTCGCAAAATGCGCGAAAATCCCGCAAAATTCGCAAAATTACGCAAATTGCGTTTCATCTGCCCGATCCGCAATTCCGCAAAAAGCGCAAAATCCGCAAAATTTTCGCAAAATCAACAAATTTTGATTTTCCGCAAAACAGCGCAAAATTCCGCAAATTGCGCGATTTTCGGATTCCGCAGCGCAAAACAGCGCAAAAGAAGTTCGAAAAATTTCCGCAATCGCAGCGCAAAACAAAGGAAAATTTTTGCTTATCCACATCCCTGGTGGGAACGGATCTTGAAGAGTATCTTACGAAAACAGGTGCCAAAAAAGAACTAATCGTAAGACAAGAATTTGCCGAAAAAAAAACGGTCGATGGGTCAATAAAACCACCAGAAGGGCCAAGAAGAATTGCTTGTTGTAAAAAATTGCAATATGCAGCAGAGCCAGGGCTCTAAATAGACTAGTCCGGGCTCGGACTTAGTCCGAAGTCCGTCCGGTCTAGTCCGGCCGGACGGACCAGACTTCTGATTTTTGGCTGAGAAAATTTTCGGACTAGACCAGACCAGACTTGCCTTTTTCGCCGGACTTAGTCCGAAAAATATAAACCAAGAAAAACACAACTGTCCATGGCTGTTGATTTCGAGTCCTTTGGTTTTACCCGGCATTGTTTTTCCGGGCAGCCCGCAGATTTTTCAGCGGGTTACTCGCACGGAGAGTCTTTTCACGGGCTACCCGCGCTACTTGTTTTCTCCTTTCCCCCGAGTAGCTCGCGATTACCCGCAACCCTTTTTGTCGAGCCAATCAGACGAGCGAATTTTCTTCTTTCTAGTCGAAATTTTCGCGAGTAGCTCGGGATTGTCCTTTACCCATTTACTCGATTTACTCGCACGGGTCTCCGCGCGAGTAACCCGTAGAAAAATCTGCGTAGAAAAATTTTCGAAAAAAAAATCGAGTTTTTGTTGTATTTTATTCGAAAAATTTTCGGACTTTTTCGGACTAGACCGGACTAGACCGGATTTTTAGGCTTTTTTCTCGGACCAGACTTTTTCGGACTTTTTCGGACTAGACCAGACTTAAAGTCCGGGTTTTCCAATTCGGACCAGACCAGACCAGACTTGTAAATTTCGGCCAAGTGCCCGGACCTGGACAGACCGGACTTTTGATTTTCGCCTCAGATTTAGAGCCCTGAGCAGAGCAGCACTAAAATTACACTTCATTAGCTCTTTTTAGAAAACTAACGCCAATAGGTATTGTTGAGAACGCTAGAGAAAGAAGACAACAAAGACACGAATTTCCACGTCGAAGTCCATCTTGGGTGGATTGATGGAGAAAGCATGGGCAGCAGTATGCTTTGAGCGTCAGGCTCAAATCAGCGCCGCAGCTGCTCCTTGCTCTGAATCTTTACAAAATATTTCATGATTGTTTCTTTCGGATCAGCTCCTGAGGAGGCCGTATCGAAAATCTCCGTTCGAAGATTTGTAAGAGTATGATTCTGGCTGATTCGTTATGATCACTGCCACCGGGTCCTCAGAAATGAGATCCGTAGTTTGCAAAGAAGACATTTACCGATTTCCTCTTAAAATTATTCAAAATTGTTCTGAGTGAAATGTGGCTGACTTTGAGGGAAAAGGCTTTATATAATGCATTACAAGACAATTTCAATCATATTATTACGTGGAAGAAAGCTGCTCGCGAATAATTGAACATATTGGTGATCTTGAGCGGCAGTCATCTGATTGAGAAGCTTTGCAAGTTAAATTCGTCAGTAAAGATTCTCCTCTTTTATATCAGTCGATTTTCTGAGAGAATGACGTCTCCATTCCGCACCAAGTCCCAGAGAGAACGCTTTCTGGGCTCTGGAGAAAGAAATGAGTCAGCTTCGGACCGAACCAGTGCAGAAGTCACGCTCACGGCGCTCCCGACCAATCAACGCGCGCGCCACTACGAAGAAATGCGAAACTTATCTTTTTCAATTTTAAATTCTTCCGACGTTTATGGAAGGGCTCGTCCCGGCCGAATTGAGAAGAGAAAGTGATAATGAGCAAATTAGAGAAGAAAAATTAATTGAAATTATTCAACAATTGCGGTTGAAGAAGATTGTTGATGTTCAGCTGGAAATTTTGCCTTCAGGTTTGATTTTTATTCATTCGACTTTCGAACTTTAGCATACTTTAACAAATAAATCTCCATTTCGCTCAACAAATGTCCTGAATCTCATTTCTAGCTCAAGAACCAGTCCAATTCTATTCCGAAAATGGCCAGAACTTCATTGGCATCACCAAATCTGCTCTCCGAAAGCTCCTCCGTCACCACCTTCCCTCAAATTCCTGGCTAGAAGCGATTTTTCTCCCTCAATCTGAACGATTTTGGCGCCGTCTTCGAAAAGCCCCCAATTCTGACACTTCCTGGCAACTGCTCATTTCCCGTCTGGCTCTAGAAGTTCTTCCCAAAGCTCTTGAACCCTTCGCTCATCGCCGCTTTCTCCTAAAAAAGCAGCCACTGACGGAAAAGCTCGTCAAATCAGAATGGGACTTGGTGTACCGCTGCGCCGACCTTCACCGAGCTAACTATCACGCCTGGGAGCATGGTCGCTGGTTGCATAATAAACGTCCACTTTTGTTTGATTTCGAGCTATTTGCCAAAGCATTCCGGACGCATATTACAGACTGTTCTATTGGCTCCTTTTGCATCTTCCTCATCATTCAAAATGATCACGTGGGGGAGCTTCTAGAGCTCGCAGAAGCGCTCCTTCCCATCTATCCTGAAAACAGAAATTTACGGAAGATCTTGGAATTCGAAAATCATCCAATCAGAAATCGGAACGCCCCAAAGTGATTTTGTCTCTCGCAAAATCCATCGAATAAGTAAACAAGAAGTAATCCTACACCCGGCTCTGGTTTTCGCCAGTTCCACTGCTTCAAAACCGCGATAGAAGAGAAAATGAGATACGTCGTCGCCCTGGATGTTGGAACCAGAGTTGGTAAAAAAGTATACTTCTCCTCGCCCTTCAAAAATCTGCAGGGCGCCCTTCATTCTTGAAGGGCGGTGAAGTGTACTTCACGCGCCCTTCAAAGCCCTGAAGTATACTTTAGCTATCGGTTCATCTTCAACAATCAGCGTGATTTAAATCATGGCGCCTGAGAGCCAATAAGCGCAAAATTTGAAAACATTCTGGCGGATGGATTCTGATGGCCGACAGAACCAAGTTAAAGTAGAGTGAAGGGCGGAAGGGCGGCTGAAGTAGAGGAAGGGCGGAAGTACACTTCACGCCCTTCAACGCCCTGCAACGCCCTGAAGTATACTTCATGAAGTATACTTCATTCTGAAGGGCGAGTGAAGTATACTTTTTTACCAACTCTGGTTGGAACAACTTCAGTGCGCTCGGTCGTCTATGACAGCGACGGCAAAAAGCACGCTTCCTTCACCGACAAAGTCATTGTCCTTGTGCCGGAACCAGGAGCGTCGGAAATCGACCCAGAGCAGCTCTGGAACGCGATAAGAAATGTGATCAAAAGTGCTGTTGATTGGGCAAAAGAGCAGAAAATCAAGCTCGAAGGAATCGGAATGTCGCTGCAAAGAAACACGGGAACTTTTTGGGATCGAGAAAGTTTTAAACTTTGCCACAACTTCATTACATGGCAGGATGTACGGTGCAAAAGGATTGTCGACAGCATCAATTCTTCATACAGGTAAAGCTTCATTATTCAACGAAATACGCCAGAACTTTGAATTTCGATGATGATAAAATAGAGTTTGGTTTCGCGACCCTTAGCAGAACAAAAATGTTGATCAGCTCTTGGCTGTCTGAGAAAATCTTGATCGAAAATTATATTTTTCAACGGTTTATTTACCCTCTCATGAATATATTTCCTTAGGTTGATGATGTTAAACAAATCTTCATCCCTTCTTCACTTCTTTGCCAAGCCGTTTACGAGGAGATTCCTCGCTGGCGCTGTGGTCAAAACAAAGACAGGAATGACGGTACCTCGCTTGCTATGGCTCAGAGAGAAGCTGGGCATCAAGAAGGAAACGGAACAAGGCAGGATCGTTTGGGTAAGATCTCTACGTTCTTCTTTAGCCATTTAATCTTCTCTAGGGCTGTCTCGATTCATGGATCATTCGAAAAATGAACGCTGGCAACCTAAACGAGCACATTTCTGAAATCACTAATTCAACTGGCTCCGGTGTCTACGACCCCTTCACCATCGGCTGGTCCCCAATCGTACTCGCTGTGATGGGCATTTCGGTCAATTGCCTTCCCCGCGTCGTACCGACTTGCGGCTCCCAATTCGGCAGATTCGAAGAGTTCGGACTTCCGATTCTCGCAATTGCTGGTGACACCAACGCTGCCATGTTCGGTGAAAGAATGATCAGTGTCGGCGATTGCAAGATCACGATGGGCACTGGCGCTTTCGTCGACCTCAACACCGGCTCTGAACCGTACCCCTCCGTCAAGGGCGCCTACCCGCTCGTCGGCTGGCAGCTCGAAGAAGGCGGTAACATCACCTACCTCGCAGAAGCCGACGACAACGCCTGTGGCGCCGCAGTAGAGTGGGGTGCGCGAAACGGCTTCTATCCTTCGCCAAAAGACTCCGAAGCCGTCGCCCGCGAGGTCAACCACACGGCAGGAGTTCACTTCATTCCTGCTCTCTGGGGACTGAGCTCGCCGATAAACGATCCAACCGCGAAATGCGCTTTGCTGGGGCTTGGACCGGACACTTCAAAGCATCACTGCGCCAGGGCGATTTTGAACTCTGTTGCTTTCAGATCTGTTCAGGTAAAAATTCACTCTTCTATCTGGTTATTTTGGCCCTGATTCGATTCACATTCCGATTTAGTGATGACAAAAAAGAGTTTGGTTTCGCGACCTTTAGCATTAATTTCTTTATGTTGATCAGCTCTTGGCTGTCTGAAAATCAAAATCTCAGAATTCACTACCCCAAATTTCTTTTTCATTCCCCGTTTTTATTTCTCCTTTTAGCTAGTGGAAACTCTGCACAGCGAGACTGAAATCGATCTACGCTCACTGACGATCGATGGCGGCGTTTCGAAAAACAACCTGATCTGTGAGAAGATCGCAACTTTGACGAACAAGCAGCTCCGTCGCCCGGTCGACGTCGAGGCCTCGGCCCGTGGCGCCGCTTACTTCGCCGGAATCAGCTGCGGCATTTGGAAGGAATCGACGCTGCCAGAGCCTGAATTGAAGGACACTGTCGAACCGAGCTACAACGAGCGCGACTGGAGCGTCACAGAGTTTAGCCACTGGCAGGGGTCGATCAGAAGAGTCCTCAAATGGCAGCAATTAGAGGCGGAAGCCGTTGATGACTGTCTCTCTGTCCATACAACCGATTAGCTCAAAAATTCTTTAATCTTTCTAAAACTTTAAATTTAATTTTAAAAATTTATGAATCGACGTTCGCATTTATTCAGATAACTCAAGTCGGTTCAAACTAGCGACCATGGTCAAGTTTATCAAGCCCGGAAAGGTCGTCATCCTCCTCGCTGGCCGATACGCCGGACGAAAGGCCCTCATTGTCAAACAACAGGACGATGGTAAGAACTTGTTTAGCATCAGTGATATTAATCTGGCAATTTAGGTGTCCAGGACCGACAATACGGCCACGCCCTCGTCGCCGGTATCGCCCGATACCCACGAAAAGTGACCAAGGACATGGGCAAGAAGCGCATCACCAAGCGATGCCGAATCAAGCCCTTTGTGAAGGTAGTTTGAGGCACCTTTTTCGAGAATGATCAGCTCTTCCTTAATTCCTGGGTTTCGGGAAATTCAAGCTTGAGTTTGAATCGTACAAAAATCGAAAAACTGGGTGAAGTTTGACTCCTTTTTGAAAAAAAGAGGATGACGACTTGTGACCTCGCGGGCGACCGCTACCGACTTTCTTTCACAAAACTCAACCCTTCTCTTTTCAGGTCGTCAACTACAACCACCTTATGCCCACCCGATACTCCGTCGATGTTCCCCTCAACAAGTCTGTCGTCAACAAGGAGGGCATCAAGGTAGATTCCCTTTTAAACCCTTCACCTCTTCACCATTCGTTTTTAGGACAAGGCTGGCAAACGAAAGGCCATCGAGTCCGTCAAGCTCCAGTTCGAGGAACGATACAAGACCGGCAAGAACAAGTGGTTCTTCCAGAAGCTCCGATTCTAAAGAGAAACTGCCACAAAAGTTCTTTTGTGTCTTGTATAATTCTGTCGCAATAAATTCTGCTCGATAGAGAACTCCGCCCTTCTCATCCTTGAAAATTCCAAGCAAGCTTCAGCTAGAAAAGCCCATCCATTATCCTCATTCTTTTCCCCGCCAAAGCATCCTCGCTTCCAAAAGATCTCGTTCTACGAATGACACTCTTTCATCCTCCTCTTCTAGGGCATATTCTTTTCAGTAGCAGCTTCTTTTCCAAACGTGGCCGTCGCCTATTCCAGCTCGCGTTTCTATTTTTTCTTTCGTCCATCGCGACAGAGCTCGGTAGTGAAAGGGCCCTTTTGCCGGGGCTATTCATCGTGGAAATTGGCTCGTTCCTTCGTTTCTCAAAGCTGATTCGCCTTTGGGCGTTGTTCGTTGGCGCGCGCGCCCTATCGAATCGCGCCTTTACAGCCCCGCTACCAGACTAATCTACCACACTGCTTGGCGAGTACCACACTCCTCCAGGAGCTGATTGCCCTCCTCCGTCCCCAGCGCGCGGCCATCGCTCCACGGCCTATCTCTCCCCGAGTTTCTTTCTGAGTTTTTTTTTCCAGTAAAAGTGACGCTTTCCTACAGTAAATACAGTCGGAAGAAAGAGAAAAATTACGAGAAATTGCGAATAAATTATTGGGAAACGAATGGGACGAAAATAATGCGAAAAAATGAGCGTTGGAAGTGACGAAATCAACTATTTGGTATACAGATATCTACAGGAGTCTGGATACATTCACTCCGCATATGTCTTCAAGGAGGAATCGAATGTCACACAAGCCTGTGTCAAAGGTGGAATTGTCCCTCCAGCGGCGCTAATAGGAATGGGATCAGAAAATGCCGGTTTCCGCGGCTTTTTTGCGCCGGTTTTCACCCCTGCTTTAGCTGAGAAGATGAAGTAGACCCTTGCCAACAAATAGGGAACAAGAAGGAAGTAGAAAATTAAGGGTATCGGGGCGAAAAACGAATCTCCCTCACAGACGCATCTTTTTGAAATTTCGATTTTAGTGTCAGCCAATCACTAGCTCGGATTTTGACTTCGATCGAAAATGAGCATGACGACCATTCCACTCAACGCGTCACTGGTTCTTCTTTCCTCACCGTTTTATTCTGTAATTTACAGAGCTCTTTTTCGCGTTTTTTCTCGAAGAAATAATTATTTTCGATAAGAAAAACTTCAAAATATTTGGTATTATTTCGTAAATACCTTTATTTTCCACTTTAAAAAGCCCTAGCCAACGAAAAACAAGCCAAAGAACAGTGGTTACTGTAGAATTACAGTCGAAAACAAGCGAGTTCAGTCTTGTATAATTTTAAAAACAAAAATTCTCCCCTGAGAATTGCGCTCGAACTTTCCAATTGGAACGAACCACTTTTGCGTTTCATCGAATTATCCGTTTTCGCCTCCTTTTCGCTGAAAAACGGACTGTTCATCCTAATCTCAATTTTTCGGATGATAAAAATTAAAGAGATTTTAGTTTCAACGCATTTTTTTTTTTGAATTTTATATTCTTAATGTTCAGTAAATTGAAATAATGACATATTATTATCATCGAATGATTCAAAATGACAATAAAAAATGCTTATCTAAATTCGTTACATTATAATTTTTTTATAAAAATTCTCGTTGCCGCTATTTTTCTATCCCTTTTGAACAGCGTTGTTGATGAAAGGTCTCCAGTATGTCGAGTCGGAAATAATGCTCAACGAAGACGGAAGCATAATAGAAGGCCGTTCTACAGAAGCACTGTCGCTGATTGACGCTTCCATGCCCGAAATCGTCATGGCAAGGCGGCAAGCGCTGCTCGAGCTCGTCGCCGAAGAAGAAAAAAAGTATGTCCTCTTCTTTTTTATTCATTGAGAATGAAAAAAGAACAATAAGCACGTGACGTAGCATCTGTCTATGTTGGCCGCTCAAATACTTAATATTTCTTTTGATGGATGCTACTAATTAGCTTTCTTCTTGAGAATAGTTTCGTCCAGAAATTCTTATTTTGATGATTATTATTTTTATTCAGAAAATTGGAAGAGCAAAAGTCTTTGGAGCTGAAACGTCAACGTGACGAGTCTTTGACAAGCGGAGGAAACGATTCGATTAAGAAAATCAAGGCCGAACAAAATGGAAACAACTACAATAGCAACGAGCCGAACAGGCTCCACAACTCGGTGCCAAATGGTGTACGCGCGCCGGCGAATCCTCCGCTGGAGCCGCTAACGGATGTTCTCATACCGCAGTCCAGGTATTTTCAGTCCCAAAAAACAGCTCTAAATGATTTTAAAGAGTGACGACACTGGCTGGTCACGAAAGCGAGGTCTTCATCTGTGCCTGGGCGCCCAATTCCGACCTGCTTGCCTCTGGTTCTGGAGATTCGACGGCTAGGATATGGAATTTAACCGTAAGCAGCACTTTGTCTCCAGAAATCAAGCAATGTTTCAGGACTCGAGTTCTTCCGTTGGCGATTCGATGGTGTTGAGACATACGAGGCGAGTTGATGCACGTGATCCAGCTCCGACTTTGGCGAACAAAGATGTGACTAGTTTAGATTGGAACAGGTACGTTACTGAAATAAAAATATTCTTCTTCGATCAAAAATAAATATAAATCTTCAATTTGATTATATCACCAGATAAGCCCCTTATCTTCATTCGAAAATTCAGTACGGGCACTCAACTAGCGACAGGATCGTACGATGGGTACGCAAGAATATGGTCCACCGACGGGAAGCTCGTGAGCGACCTTCACGGCCACACGGGGCCAATCTTCGCCCTGAAATGGAATCGAAACGGGAAATACATCCTCTCGGCCGGTGTGGACAGAACGACGATCATTTGGGACGCGGCGAATGCAGAAGTCAAGCAGCAATTTCCATTTCACGAAGCGCCGGCGCTCGATGTCGATTGGAAGGACGATACGATATTTGCTTCATGCTCCACTGATAAGAAAATTCATGTTTGTCAGATGGGCAGAACGACGCCGGTTATCGTAAGTAATTTGTGAAGCAGCAAATAAGATTTCTTTGTTTCTCACCTGAAACCGCCTTTGAACAATACTCTTTGCTTTCAAATCGTAAATTTTTCCTTCAGACATTCACTGGGCACGAGAACGAAGTCAACGCAATCAAATGGGATCCATCTGGTGAGCTTCTCGCTTCATGCTCAGACGACAAGACCTTGAAACTCTGGAAGACGAACTCGGAGAGGTACATCCACAATCTCTGCGCGCATCAAAGTGAAATCTACACTATCAAATGGTCACCGTCAGGCGGCAACTCTCCGCTGCCCAATCAAGATCTCCTCCTCGCTTCAGCCTGCTTCGATTCCACCGTGCGTCTCTGGGACGTCGATAGCGGCACGTGTCTCCACAGATTAACCAAGCATGAAGAGCCAGTATACTCCGTGAGCTTCAGCCCGGACGGAAAATTACTCGCGTCTGGCTCCTTCGACAGATGGATTCACATTTGGTCGACGAATTCTGGCGAGTTGGTGCACTCGTATCGTGGCACAGGCGGCTTCTTCGAGATTTGCTGGAACTCGCGAGGCGATAAATTGGGCGCCAGTGGCTCGGATGGATCCGTCTGCGTGCTAGACTTGAGGAGATGACACTTCCAGTCAGAAAAAGTGAAATCATAGAGGAGTACCGACACCTGAAACATCAACAAAGGAAAAAAGAAAAGTTCAAAACCGATTTCAGAGGATAAAACGATCGAAACGTAAATTATCATTACCACCATCATCCAGCTTTAGCAATACAACAATAACTTGTCACTGAAAAAAGAACCATCCCTCTCCCCGCAATTCAATTAAACGAATAAGATGTAGCTCATTCTCTGTCTCTCTCCCGTCCGCTTCAAGAAAATGAGAAGAAAATTGAATATATAAAGAGAAGCCCACCCATTCATAATCACAACATTTTACTACTATTCTTAATAGCAACCAATATTTCAAAAATTGTCCAACTTGATTAAGTTTTGTTTTCATTTAATTTTACTTTATACCCTTCTAACTACACTGCCACATCGCTGCCCTTTATTTCTTTCTTTGAAAACAGGTCTCAAAACTGTGTAAATACTCTTGGAACATGGTCAGGTCCAAGACAGGGTAAAAAACAATGAAAATAAATATAAAAAATATTAAAGCGTTCGTGTTGTTGCGTTTGTTCAATTGCCTTTTTCTTCAGCATGGAAAGTTTTGCAGTGTTAGGGTCGGATTCAGAGGATGAAATGACTAATAAACCGGAGTATATTCAAGCATTGCGGGATGTGCAGACTTTTGACGGTAAATTTAAACTGCACTGAGCGAGAAAGAGCATCATTTCCGTTATTCAGGAACGATAAGTTTGTCCGTGGCAGATCTTCCTCGCTTTCCTCCCGGACACAAGCCGATTCCCAACCCTCAACAGATACAAACAGCAACTCCGTCGCCTAAAAACACTCCGACAATCCAGGCGAGCGAGAGCGGAAACTCTCGAAAGCTCTCGCACGAGAATCAGCCCAACAATCAGCTCAGTACCAATCAGCCAAGTCAAATGCCAAAATCTGTCAGTAATAATACGACCCAGCCAGTAGTGCCAACTTCAACTGCATGAAACAACCAGCCCTTCCGTAGTTTTCCTTTCTTTCAAACAATTCACCTATCAACTGATCTTGTTCTTTCCATATTCCTGAATTCAAGCTTTCTTTGAAATCCCTTTCTTCATTTTCGCGCTCTAGAAAGTCAAATGAATGGCTCATAAACTCGTATCTTCTTCCGACTCAGAGGACCCGTTTGATGACGATGATGACATTTTCAATAACTCGGCAGAAATCGCCAAGCTCGATGCGGCTCTAGCCAAGAGCAAAGCCGAACGAGACGCTCAGACTTTCAAAGCTCCGCCGATACCGAAAGGGGTTCTCAAAAAGCGTGAGAACCAGCAAACCCGATCGACTTCAGATTCGCGAGATCCGCCAGCGAAAAAACGCAGAATCATCAAGTCCCGTCCAAAACCGCATCCTATCAGCGAAGAAGCACCGATCCCTGTCAAAGAACTTGCGTGTACAAAAAAGAAGGCTGAAGAAATCCGATCGTGGCTGATTTCTGCATCAGTTGTAGGAAGCGGAAGCTCGACTCAGAAAGTATTGCTCGTTTCTGGTCCAAATGGTTGTGGAAAACTAACAGCTATAAAATCGGTCTGCCACGAAGAAAGAATCGATATCCAAGGAATGGCTCAAATAAAAGTATAACCGACTCCCATTTCGATTCAAATAATAAATTTGAATTACTAAAATGCCCCATTAAGCCATCATAAGAATATGTGTGTGCAGAAGATTCAAGTACAGAGGAAGAAAACCTCTTCGACGTCTCCTACGCCGTCTTCCGTGACCCTTCAGCACGCGATTTCATGAGCTTTGTCTACCAAAGAACTCTCTTCCGCAGTGAAACTCGGAAACAACTGCTCGTCATTAAAGAACTGCCCTATTCGCTCGCAGAGAATCCACTAGAATTTGAGAAAATTGCAATAACGCTTCAAAAGGCCCACATCCCTACAATCATAATCACAAATACGCCCCGGCTGTATCCAAATTTGCTCGTCACATTCCGCCATGTACAGTTTTTAAAAGTTGCCGCGACGGCTATGAAAAAAGTCTTGGGAAAATTCAAGAATTTGAGCACTAAGGACATAAAAGAAATCGTCGATGCAGCGGATGGAGATGTAAGACAGGCACTAAATATGGTCCATTTTAACTCGAGGTAAAAAAATATTTTGAAAACATGGTTGGCAGTGTCAAACTGACGTGTTAACTGTAAATGACTGTTCTTTTAGACGCGTAGCAGGAACAAACAAGGTCACTTGTGAGCAGGGCGATTCAAAGCTGCTCCTGTTTCGTGCGCTTGGCCGAATCCTCTACTCAAAAAGATTAGACACCCGGGAGCAGTCAAAGTTCAGGTAAAAATGTGACAAAAACAAAATTACACCTCGGCTAATCCGCTGTAATCCGCACGACCCCCTTGACCCGGAACAAATTTAGAGCTGGATTAAAATTTTAAAATTCTCAAATTTAGAAATTTCTCGCTCGAACCGAGTCTTCAGCGGCGCGAACTACAGTATCCAGAGCCAGAAGCACAGTGCCTCAATGCAGGATTCATGCCAAGTAGCTTCTCTGAGTTTTTGCATGAGAATCTGCCCAGATATATTCCAGGGGAGAATATGGAGCAATACAACCACTTTATGGACGACTTTTCTTTCGGTAAAAATACTCATGCAAATCTCAAACAAATTAAACATAGCCGATCAGTTTTCTAAATTCATGGGCTACGGTAACGATCATTTGAAAAACTACGAAGCTGCTGTGTCTTGCCGCAGTCTGAGTTTCTGGAACCCCAATCCAGTCAAACCTTCTGGCTTCGGAACCGGAGCCCTGCATAAACCAGCAGCGATTGATCACAGAAAAAAAGCGCTAGAAAATCGAGCAAAGCTTTGCTCCCATCGATTAGTCAATTTTGATGGTTCCGTGGCGGATATAGCGGCGGATTCGCTCCCTGGACTGGCGAAAATCAAACCGCAAGCGCTGAAGACCATGTTTTTGGATGATATGGTTAGGTTTCCAATCAGAGCAGGAGCAAACTACAATAAGCTTCATGAAAATGATGTTGTAAAGTAATAAGTTCATCTGTAGAGAGCAATTTCACTCATTCAAAATTCTAGTGCGGACGATGAAATGGAAGTTAACGTAACTCACGCAGAAAGAATTCAAGCAGCAAAAGAAAAAGAAGAGCGCGAGAAATACGAATGCGACGTTCAAATTGATGATACCGATGACTGGAACTTCTAAGATTCCAAACTACTCATTTTTCATAAAACTACTGAAAAGTTTATTTTTTATTCAAACGATCCAAGCACATTTTTCATTTTTGTCAGCCTGTTGAATAGACAGTTCAAAATATATAAACATAATCGTCAAAGTATTGCTTTTATTCGATTCCGGATGACTGTAAATGCCTCTTTATGTTCCTCCAGAAATTTGGCTGTTCTTTCTTCTTTGTCAGGTTCATCAGCAGATACTTTCAGCAAAAGAGGGATGATGACAGGAAAGCTAAACTTACGAAATTTTATAATGTATATTCTAGAGGATTTTTATCGAAGAAAGCATTACCTGAAAACTCGGCAGGAATCTGAAAACTCTTTTTACATACATACGTATTTCCTCTCATTGGCCAAAGAGGCTGAAAAGGGACCGGAAATGTAGTGTTCAGCTGTTATGAAACAGTGTGTATTTCTTGATCACTTTTCCTGGTAATCTTTTCCTGATCGCGTGTGATAGAACATTGATAATAATCAGCAGCTGGTGTCTTAGTGTTGCGTCCCGCCGCGCCGGACCAACCGGTCACATCAAATAGACACTCTGCATTTGACATTGTCCCGTGACATTTTTGAATATCCGTCAGCTGCCGATCCGGAGCAGCGTCAGCGTGTGTTGGCAGCTAGTTCTGTCGCCTTAGCACCATCCTGTGGCCAACTCGAGGCTCTATACATATCTGGGCACGCGTCCTTGAGGTCATTCACAGCTCATTCACCTCCAGTCAAATCACTAAAAACCTTTTCCAAAGCAGAGATCAAACTTGAAACAAAATGAGTTCTCTTCCGGTCAGAAAACTTTATCAGAAGATGGGAGAACAAATTGATGCTCAAATTGATGCAGTAGTGCACATCGAAAACTCAGTCTACTTGCGCTCCAAGTCTATTACAAATGACCAGCTCAGTCTCAAGCATTTCCTGGACTACGCCATCTCGCTTCTTTGTAAGTTATTTTTCAATTATTCTCATTTGCATTCTTTGCTAAATTTATTTCAAAACAGTTGTCTAATCTCTCATTCAGGCTTTCCGAAATTCGTTGACCAAGACTACGAGCTCCAGATCAAGCAGAACAACACAGGCATCTTCTACGGCATTGTCACATTTGCTGATTCTCAAGTTGCGCAAATGCTTATCGAAGATCATCCAATTTGCTTCAAGGAAGACCACATTTTCATCACTTCGGCATATCTTCAGCCTCGCCGAAACATTTCCTCCTGGAAGCAGAACAACGCGAAGCGAACTTCCCCTCCTCGAGTTTCTTCTTACAATTCCTCGCACAACCGTCAGTCGCGACTAATGCCCAGCTCTTATCCCGCTCCAATTTCTCCACCAACGCCGACTCGTGCCCAACCAAAGCCGATTTCTCCGCCATCTTCCGCCGCAAGCTCCTGGCAAATGCCCAAGCCTCGCTTCGCTGACAATCTAAGCGATCTTTCCCGCCGCTTGGACCAAATCAAGCTCGACCAATTTGCGCCAAAAATCGAAGTCCACCGCAAACCAGATCTTTTCGATTCCGGCAACTCATCACCGGATGATTTTTCTTTCAATTCTTTCGCCCGCTCCAAGCCTCACCGACGAGATGACCAGATCTTTTCTTTCCGATCGCAGATGGAGCCCGAACTTTCATACCCCTTCGGATCGGCTCGCCTTCACTTTCCAAACCCGAATCTTCTCTCCTTCTCCCGATCTTCATCCTTCAACGACGAGGACGAATCTTTCGATCGCCTATTTGCTCCACCAGCGGAGAGCCTAACCCTTTTTAACTAATTTCTGTATTTATTCATTTTATCCTTCTCATCATTTTAGTCCTCCTTTCTTCATCGAATGAAACTTCATTCCCTACTTCTTTCATTTGTGCCGTGTTTTCCTCAACCCTGTCTTTATAAAAAATAAAGCCTAAAAATCAACAAGATATTTTTCGAATTAAAATATTTATTTTCCCTTAGGAGTCGAGTTAAAGCATAGAATTTTACGGTTGTCGTTTTCAACAGAGAAGGTGTTTACAACTTAGCAGTGCTTGCGAGCTTGGCAGCGAGTTCGGCGGCGGCTTTGGCAGCAGACTCGTTGACCGTCGAAAGCTTGAGATCTTTGTTGGTGACGGTCTTGTCTCGGTTCATGTGGGCGGTGAGTTCATAAGGACTGAAGATTTTTTAGAAACCGTAATAAGAGGACTTCACTTACTCATATTCGAAAGCAATGTCACCAGTCTCATCGAGAATAGTGGTTCGAACGAAGACATCAGTGACAGCGTAAGGATCGCAGTTCGAAGATGGTCGTCGATCCTCAAAGTATCCACAGCCGTGGTCGTCGACGAGTCGAGGAATTCGGATGGAGCAACCTCGGTTGGCAGTTCCGTAGGAGAAGTCCATGACGGAAGAAGTCTCGTGGAGACCAGTGAGTCGTCGGAGGTTGTCTCGGCCACCTTGTGGATCGTAAGCCTGATTTCATTTAGTAAGTACTTAATTTTTACGAGGCCATTTTACCTTGATGTGTAGGTTGTGTCGGCCTCGGAGTTTCTCGATAGCTTTGTAGATGACTTCTCGTCCACCTGGCTGTCGCATGGACTCGGTGGAGTAGTTGACGTGGCAACCAGCGCCGTTCCAGTCACCCTTAATGGGCTTGGGGTCGAAGCTGCAGACGACACCGAAGTCCTCGGCAACTCGGCAGAGGAGGTATCTGATATTGAATTGAGATATCTTATGCGTTGATGCTTTCTTACCGGGCCATCCAGAGCTGATCACCCATTTCGATACCTTCGCAGGGTCCAACCTGGAACTCCCACTGGGCAGGCATAACCTCAGCGTTTGTGCCGGAGATCTGGATGCCAGCGTAGAGGCAAGCTCGGTAGTGAGCTTCAACAACATCTCGGCCGTAGATGTTGTTGGATCCAACAGCGCAATAGTAAGGGCCCTGGGGTCCGGGGTAACCCTGCTTGGGCCATCGGTAAGGGTGGCCATCAACGTCGAGCATGGTCCATTCTGAAAGGTGTGTCATTTGGTATCTAGGTCAACGCCCATAATTAGTTTTACGATGTTTCATCATTAGGGCCGGGTTTTAATGAGGTTCTGTTTTATGATGCGATCTTTCGAAATATGCATTTTTGATGAAACCTGCACCGTATCTCCTTATTTAGATCTTAGTAAACGTCAGGCGCTGTGCTGAGCCGTTATGTAAGTATCATGCGCGCCAGTAGCTCTATGTCTGGTGGAGGTGGAGAGTTACTTACCTTGCTCCATGCCGAACCATGGCTTCTCGTCCTTGACTTTTTCCATGACTCGGGCGCAAGAAGCTCGGTGGTTGGTACCAGCTGGCTTCTTGTCGGAGTCGAGGACCTCAGAGAGGACGAGGATGTGAGGAGCTCCTCGGAAGGGATCTGGGAAGATTCGAACAGGCCTAGAATATTATAAAAAAGGATAAAGGCAAAGAAACTTACTTGAGGTAGCAATCAGAGTTTGAACCCTCGGCCTGGCCAGTGGAGGAACCGTCATAGTTCCATTCTGGCAGCTCAGAAACATCCTTGGGGACCTTGGTCAAGGTTCTGGTCTTTCCTCGCATGGATTCACCAGTACCATCGATCCAGACGTACATGGCTTGGACATTGCCACGGGTGTCCAAGTTCATGTAATGCTGAAGTGCCTAAAAATAGACAAGCGTTAATTTTTCATTGAAAAAGAAGCATGAGGGGTGACTGAGTTCAAGTTTAAACACCTCGGGGTCGTTTGTGAAGAACAAAACATATTGAATCTATTGTGAAATCATTTTAAGGCATTCAAAAGCAATCGTTTTCATTAAAAAAACCGTCACATTTTCACAAAATTCAAACTTTAGACTTCACCAAAATCGATACTTTCGCCATTAAAAAATAGTAACTTACTTCTTTGCTTGACATCTTTCTCGAGTTTACGGAATGATAAGGAAAACCGATTCAATCTGAATTATATAGGGTTGTTTTATTGGTACTCTCTAACGCCTGAATCTCTCGGGGTCGTTGTGGAGTTGTGGTGCCGTCTGAGGCGTATTGTCGAACGCGATCTCTCCGTGGCGATCTGTTGCGTCACGTCGTAGGTTTTCTTTTAACCAGAATTGATGGTATCGAATGCCCAAAAGCATGCACCGAACGGTTTTCGTTTCAATTCAAATCTGTTTTCCACGAAAATCAGCTTCTTGTTTTCGAAGGCCGATAGTACCCTTGTGTGGACTTTGACATTAGGGACAGCTGCTAACAAATAGAGTTGAGCCGAGCAAAGTCCGAAATCGGAATAATAATATCGGGATTAACGAGAATCAGTGGCTCACAGAGCTCTGGAAATCCTGCATGAGAAGTGTCTGTAAACAAAACAATCCTCATCATAACAATAGTTCCTTAGAATCGACAGTTATGTTTTTTAATGACCATCAAAAATGATGGTATAAGTATACTCTTGAAGGTCGATTGCAATTTGAAAAAGGTGAAGATTATCGATAATTGCGCGAAAGCTCGCAAAAGATCTCAAGATTTGTTATGCCAAGTTCGCGTCTTTCGCTAAGACAAGACAATCCAAATTTCGAATTTTACAAACGATAAGAGAAAGGCATGAAAATTTAACTTCTTCTTGCAAATTTGACACTTGGCTCTTTGGTCTTCAGAGAACCAAGACCTGACCATGATGACAAGGCTGCAACTGCTCGTTGGCTAATGAGACGAACTTTTTGGGGCTCCTTATCGACGATCTCCACTCTTCCCGCGATAAAAGATACGGATTTATGGAAAAAAACCAGATCGATAAGTAAATTTGACCTACGATAACCTCATGTCTAAAAACAAGCAAAAAATCCGAAAATCAGACAGACCCTTTTCAAATATTATCTCATTTGCGGAAGGATTCCCAGGAAACTCAACAGGACTTGCTCGAAAACGAAGAACAAGATCGAACGTGACCTTGGAAAAACACTCAACTTTCGAATCATTCAATTTTTCTGAGCATGAAAAAAGGTCAACCCTACTTTTTCGTAAGCTCCCTAGACCAAAGCATGGCAGATTTGCGAGCCTTCAATTATGCGTCGCTTGCTGTCTCAGGTAAGATCATCAGTCTTTTTGGTTCTCATCCTCTTCGTGGGAGCGTCAAAAAAGACTATCTCGCTTGATTGTAGTTATTGATTCAAAACATGTTTTTCAGAAGCCGCTTCGGGCCCATGTGGAACTGGCACAGGTATTTTTTTCTAACATAAGGGTAGCATAAGTTTCCTAACAATGAAAACTTTATTTGCAGTCACAAATGATCCAGAAGATCCACGCTGTGTTCGCTTGGTTTTGAATGGAAGCTGGACAAAGGTACTCTCTATTCACTTTTGACAGTATCTGGGTCGCTGGGGTCTGAGAAAGACTGTCATTTTTACAGGCTTTAAATTTGATCGTTTTTCGACAATTTTCAGGTCCCTGTTCATTCGCAAGAATGGGTACTCGCCAGAAGAAATCTTTTCAAACACCATCCTGAAATGAAAGACTGGGAATCAATGGGAACTCATGACTGGTTCCTGGCAAAGTAAGCCAACTGTCATAAAATTTCCAAACAGCATTTTCTTTCAGGCTCGAAATTGACCATCTTTGGTTGATTGACTGGTTTGGTGGTGGATACGAAATGCCCCTTTCAGACTACTTTTCCGGTTCCGACGGCATCGGAAACAGCCTAAAATAAAAACTGCGATACACTTGAATAAACGTACCATCTAAAAATGGTTTATTGCTATTGTGAATAACAATTTTACGAGGATGCGGTCTGATGACCCACTAACCTGGGCGGGACCAGTTTTCATTTTTATGAAGGATCAGAAAGCGCCTACTTTTCGAATCGTTAATTCCACCATCTATCATTATTTATCTTCCTTCGTGTCTTTCTCGTGGGAGTAATAGTCACGAGAAAGATAAAAAATCCTTCGGATTTACGTAAATAAACTAATTACCACTCCGTTGCGGTAAAAAAACAACTCGCAAACAACTTTATTTGTTGATTAATACAGGATTGAATAGATGCAGAAATCTCAAAAGCTATAAATAACCGGTAGTTATTAGTTGATAACATTTCTATAAATCATAAAAGAAGAGGCTATAATTCTTCGTGATTATAAAGGAAATAGGTCAGTTTTGCAGGACCACCATGATCGTTTTCTTTTTTAAATGTGTGCCAAATTGATGTCTCGATGTCTGCCAAAAAGCTTTATGGCAATCTTTCAATAAAATCCCGAATTTAATCTCGAAATCGATCATAATTTTGGCTTATTTTGGCCATAACTTGGGATTTCGTAAAAGTAGGTCACTCGGTTTAGGGTAGACCTTTAAAATACCAAAGCGAGTCTTAATAAAAAGACGGTGACATGTTCATAAATTCAAGCAAAATCAACAAAGATCATCAACCTATTTCACCAGCTGCGAGTTGCCTTCTGAGCCGGTGGGTGTGTCGCTCAATAACTCTATTAACCTCGATTCACGGGTTCTAGTTGAATGCTAACAACATCGTATATTTTCGATGAAAAAACGAGCTTTGATTGAATTCAATGATATATTTTTTCGATAGGAAATGATGACAATAAGTACCAAAAGCCTATTTAAAGATCTTCGCGGTCTGTAGTCATGGTGGAGTACTTCCTAGTGGAAAAAATCATTTTCCTTTTATAGATTGAATTTATCTTTATCCAGTATGGGGATATAAATTTTATAAACTCGATTGTAGGGAGGAGTGTAAGTTTGTGTCATCACTGTAGGAAAAAGTTTCACCAGTATTTCTCAATTAATTCTCTTGTGTTCTGGATCATCCGAATGACCACCAAGAGCTTCTATCCAATGCTTTTATAGCAGCTGTTTTTATTTTTCTTGTCAGGGGCCCCACACGAAGGGTTTTAACCTTTGACTATTTTTTATTTATGGCAGGGAACACACAAGCAGTCGGTCAAAAATAATTATTATTAGACGCTCCATTAGAGGGTCTTCAATGATTACTTCATCAAAGACAACTTCAGTCGAACCAATGATGCCAATGGGCTTGAAAATTTGACCCCGCTTCCGACTGATTGAGATCTGAATTGAGTTTTACGAGCGCTAGCAATTAGCGGAAAGGGAGATATAAAGCTGGAATGAGTTCGAAATCATTATCAATTTTCAAATACGAAAACTACAAGGAAGAAGTTATGGGCTGCTTTTTGGCAAAATTGAGCGAAGAAGAGATTCTTGAGCTTGAAAAGAGCACGCCTTGTAAGACGCCCATCCCATAAATTTTATTTCAATCCAAACTTTTAGTCTCCAGGAGCGAAATAATCGATTGGCACGAATGTTTCTACACTGACAGTCCTGGCGGGGCGATGAATCAATTCGAATTCACGAAGATGTACTGTCAATTCTTTCCAAAAGGAGATCCAACCGAGTTCTCAAAGTTTCTCTTCAAAAATTTCGACGAAAACGGCGATGGATCGATCGAATTTACGGAGTTTCTGAGTGCGATTTCGATGACTTCCCGCGGCTCAATTGAGCAAAAACTAGAATGTAAGCTTCATTTTGTAAAACGGCTTTTGAGACCATCTTCAGGGGCGTTCAAACTGTATGATATCGACGGAGACGGAGCAATCACAAAGGAAGAAATGCTTCAAATTGTCAGGGCGATGTTCTCGATGTTCGGAGACGACGCGATCAAGAACTTGGAAGAAAATACGCCAGAGAAAAGGGTCGAGAAAATCTTCTCGCTCGTCGACACTGTAATTAAAGACTTTGATGTAAGAGTGATGAGAATTTTTTAAGGATGGAAACGGGGATTTGTCGAAAGAAGAGTTTATTCAAGCGGCGAAACTGGACTCGGCAATTGTCAGTGCGCTTTCTTTGTACGATGGACTTATCTAATCTGGGTTTTTTAAATTGCAGTAAAAATTTTACACCTATTCAAGAAAATGATATTATAAAATGACACTTATTTCAATGGTTACAACATCGAAGTAGAAACGGTACATTTGAAAAATCATCACTTTATTCGCTGTTCGAGAGATTGTTTTCAATTTCTGAGATAACTCTGAATAAAATAAATAATAACATGCTCCCTCATTGATTCTAACTATTGATTTTACGCAGAAAAGTGTCCTTTTTGCGAAATATCTCGAGCTTGAATGTTCCTTCGCGCGGTGATTGGCCGCCCTCGCTTACTTTCGTCAATGATTCTCCTTGAAAAACGCTTGTGTGAAAAGAAAACTAAAGTTTTTAAAGTTTGTAAATACAAAAATGAATTGAATGCTAAGAGACTGACTGTGCACCTCTTCCTCTTTCTTCACAATTATTTTTAAAAATGAATTCTAGAGTTCATAGAATTATATGATTGATATAACAAATGTATCTTATAGGGTACTCTTGTTTTCTGTGACAAAATATTTGTTAAAAAAATAAAAATTTTATTTTAACAATTGTTACATTTGTTATTATTAATTGATGAGTTCTGTTTACTGAAACTTCAAGTTTCGATCTATAAAGTATCTCTAGAAAATTCGTGTGCCTGCGTAACTCTTCAAAAAACGGCCCGAGCTGCCGTGAATATGGACTGGGCTGAGTTAGTGTCCCATATTCGCCAGAAAAACAGCCGCCACAGAGTTCAAATCGACTCGCGCTGCTTTGACGGGTAAGCCAAAAATAATCCTTCCTAAATCAAACATGAATATTTTATTTTTCCCTAGCTTGAAAAATGTCGAAATCGGAAAAGAAAGCGCCGTTCTGGCGGCTTCTTTTGCACTCTATTCAAACGCCGGCCTCCGCCAAGATCAATTTGACTTTTTGCTGAAAATCCTGAACACGAATTGGGGCGATTATGCTGCAATTGGAGTTGTCTATGGACTATCTTCTAAGTCCTTCGATGGGAAACAGTTCATTGACGTTTCTTTCAACGGAACCAAGAAATATCCTGAGAAAACAAAAGAAGAAAATCCGGATTTCTCGATTCACAGGAAATTGGCTTCCGAATTCTAAAAAATAATAAGCTAGATTTATAAAATGTATTATTTAAAATGCCTATAAAAGTCTGAAAGTCTACCGCCGATGGACCGATGTGTCTGAGCCCCATCTCCTTGCATTTTCGACAGCCCTCATTGAAAAGCTTTCAACTCCTCGAATCAACGCCCTCGTCTATTCTTCCAAATTCCTGACCTACACTTCCAAGACCTTACCGAGCGAGAGGCAGAATGAAATGTTCACCCACGTCATCAACGCCTTGTCTAAAATGCTCATCGACAACTCGAACATCAACGAAATGAAGAATCTCGGGAAGAGCTTCCTCACTGACTTTTGCAACGATGAAGCGTCGATTGAAGGCGTGGCGAAAATGTGCGCCGCTGCGGAAAATGCGGAATACGAAGCAAAGATCTTTGTCATCAGGGTTAGTGGAGAAACAATCGTGCAGAACCATCATCTTCGTGAGAAAATCCTGCCAATTGTCACTCCCCTCGCTATCGCCACTCTCGCTGAGTGCGACGACGACGATGAATCGGATATCCTCCGCGTTCTCGACGAAATCGACAGTTTGAGCATCCAAGAGTTGAAAAACCTCCGCCAGAGCATCGTCAATCTCCGCTTCCGTCGGAGCGTCTCCTTCAACATCACGCTGATGGAAATCTTCCAGAAACACACTTCTAAATTCCCTCTCGGTCAGTTTTGGAAGGAATTCGGGATCTATGACGAGTCTGATGAGCGATTTTCCTTCAATATCACCCTCATCATCGACGATTTCATCAAATCTCTCAACGATCCTACCAAGTATGAGTGGCTCCAACAGTTTTTCAATCTGGCCATCGATGGAATTCTTGCCGGCGCAAAGCTCGACAAAACCGCGCAAATCATGAACATCCTCGCCCTCATGACACTGGAAATCAAAAAGATTCCCGAAAACAACCTGGCTTCGACTGTCCTCCGAATTTTCGAGAAACTATCCTCGAGTTCGACCTCGATCGTCAATTCTTTCGAAATCCTGAATCTCTTCGACTTCATCCTTTCAGAAGAAGACGAAGAAAAGAAGATCCAGAAGTCCTTGTTTCATAAAATCATGGCCGCACGAGTCGATGTATTCGTTGAAAACAAGGTTCATCTTGAAGAAGAAACTTTTGAAGAACTCAAAGGAATATCAAAAGAAGGATCGACCTTCAAAAAGCTCTCGTACCGTCAAAAGACTGTATGACCGACGAGATCTTACAGGCCCAGCTAATTTCCATGATCGAGACTGACAAAGACGAAAAGTTCCGGGATTTATCCGCATCAATGCTGAAAAACATCAATCCAGAAAACATCATCCTTTTGTTGCGACTTTCGAGAAAATTGAACATTCAGCAATACCATCCGGTCCTGGAGATATTTGCCAATGATCAAGGGGGAATCGAGACCATCGACAGTGTCCTCGACTTCGCCAGTTCGCAAATTGGGAAAGGAGATATTGCCAGTTGGGACGTGCAAACCGCTACGACTCTTGGGTTTTACTTAGCCATGGTGAAGAATCAATTGAAAAAAGATGATTCCGGGGAGTTTGCGAAAAAAGTCATCGACTTTGGCGCCGCAGTGATAAATAATTACATCGAAAACATCGTTCTCTTCGCGCAAAAGACGATCGACACTGCTGACGACAACCCATTGCAACTACTTTGCTCGAAATACTTCGATGAACAAGCTAAAGTCTCCTGCCGAACAAAGATGTACGAGGCGCAGCAGTGGGGAAGCTACAAAGATACGAAGAACATCTTTAAATTCGACAAATTTGGTCTCGATGGGCTTCTCGCACTCATCAAGAATACCGAAAATGTCAAGAAAGATAACGTCATCTCAATTGGCGGAGTTGGTGGTCTTTTTGCGCTGGAAACAGCGGCCGAAATGTTCGAGGAAAAATACAACACAGAAAAAATCGTCAAAATCACCTTCCAGATGTTTTGCGATTTAATTACAGCATCAATTGAGAAGCTCCAAAAAATCGAGCAGCTGAAAACTGTCAGTGCGCAAAACATCGACGCCTTGGTGATCGCCGGAGTAAAGCTTGCAAACTCGTCGATCTTCAACAACCTCGAAAAAATTCCTTTGAAGGAATTCACCACTAATGAAAAAGTAGAATCGTTGCTGAACGAACTGCTTCTTGGCGAACTCATGAAGCTAATCGATTTGAGCCTTGATGAAGGAAGTGTGACGAGATCGTTCATTATCGGTTCGCATGAAGGAATCCGACTTGTGCTGGATCAGCGGCTTCTTCCTAATCAAACTCTCGTGAACGAGGAAACTGTTCTCAAGATCTTTCAGTACATTGTCTTGATCACGAACGAATCCTACGGATTAACATGCCAGTTTTTGAAAATTCTCTTGACTCACCGATCTGCTGATGTCACAAAAACTAAGATGAAGCTTCTCACCGACGAGTTATTGAATCTTGTTCGAGCAGAATCCGCCACCCAAACGGATGTTTCCGAGCTTTTAGAAATTATCAACGCCAAATGCGAACGAACGCTGTTAGAAAGCATCGCCACAGAGCTGATCGCGCAAATCAGTAAAGGAGCAACTGCGCATGATCTCAAACAACTTGTTGAAATCGCGAATTTAGTACAAGCTGACAAAGAAGAAAATGAATCATTTGGAGAGGGAGAGACTAGTCTAGGATATGGGCATGTCCACATTCTCCGAGAGATTGAAAAAGTCCTGGAAGAGCTCCCGAAAACGATCGATAAGAATGAAAAGCTCTACCCAGCGTTTGAGTACCTAACTCAACTGTCGATTTATTTATCGATGGACGATGAATCGCGTTGGATGTCTGATGTCGTGAGTCAATTCACCCGAGGGAAGCAAGACACACCCCGGAGCGAGAAAGCAGCGAAAGATGCGAAACTGTGCACTTATACTCACACGCAGCGCGAGTTCCAGAGCCAGCATTGGTACCACTGTCACAGTTGCAATATGGTTGACAGCGTTGGTGTTTGTTCTACATGCGCTGTCGTTTGTCATGAGGGGCACAACCTGAGTTATGCGAAGCATTCATCATTCTTTTGTGATTGCGGAGCGCAAGACAGAACTCCTGGTCGTCGATCATGCATTGCTCTGACTCCAAGATCCCCAGGCGTCACTCCTGGCAAAAAGCAGCCCGAGACGGGAACATCGGCAGGTATTTTCAACGCTTCGGAAGAAATTACGCTCAGTATCAACATAACGAATCCACTCATCAGAGAGAGGTGCAAAGATGCTCTTACAAAGATGATACCGAAAATCGAAGCTGTCTGCGTCTCACTAGAATCATCCTCAAAAGATGAAGAAACTGCGGAAGAGAAGGCAAGAGCGCTGCTTGATAGATTCCAAAAGACAACAAAAGCAACAGTGAATAACTATATCAAGGCCGATTTCCAGACCAATCAAGGAGCGCTGGAAAACGTCAAACCCTCTCTATCTCCTGACGGAAACGAGGCTATAAGAAAAGTGCTTCTTGAGAATTCAATTCACAGAAATTTTGTCGGAGTTCTTGAAGAAAACCGTGAGAAATACATTGTCGTTCTCCAGGACAAGAATAAAATGTCACTCCTCGCACTTTCCACTCTTCTTTCTCGAAAATCCAACAGCTCCACGAACGCTGTCTCGAGGCAGAGTCATTATACAGCTTCATTTACAGTTATGAACGTTCTACCAGCTCCGTACGGTCGATTCATCCTACAGAGTGGAATTCGCGAAGCAATCATCCACCGAATAAATAATGGTACTTTTGGGGAGAAAATTTCCCTCCATTTGAATACTCCGAGCAATGATTTTATCACTCAAACTCGTTGGATTCCTCAACTTCCCGGTTATTTGGCGATCTCAAGCACTAGAAATGTAAAAATCTTCAATTTCTTAGAAGATCCTATGTGTCCACTTTTCAATTTCAAAGTGAGCGACCAAATTCACGACTTTACGTATTTTTTCATTGGGACCGAACTTCATCTACTAGTCCTTGTTTTGTCAAAAGATGGAGAGAGCGTCTTCATCAAAAAAGTCACCGACGAAGATAAAGCATCCAAGCATGGAGAAGTGACAATCTCCGAAAAAGTTCAGATAAGAAACGATGTCTTAGTTCCCAAAAACGATCTGCAGATTTGCTCCAACGGCACGATTTTCTATTCCTTTCAAACTGGAGTTCTTTTCCTTGCATACACGATCGGAAGCACTAAGAAAGGCACCCACAAGAGGCAAGTTTTCTTCGCTCTTAGCTGCCCTGTTTTCGAAAACAATTGTTGGTCAGTGTCAACAGTCGCTAAAATGCCAGAACTATCCGCTCTGATGAAAGAAATGCTAACACAAAAAAGATCTTTCGACAAGGACGCGAAGAGCAAGGATGCAGAGGGCTTGATCAAGCTCGCTCCGAATTTTTCTTCTGGGAATACGTCGAGCGCAAAATACGTTCGTAATCTCCGCGAGGCTACTGGTCATCCTGGTTTGCTCACTGCTTCATACGGCCCACACAGTTTTGCAATTACGTTTACAGAGAGCGAAATCAACGTCGAATTTCTTGGGGATGTTCGACCAATTCTGGACATTTCCGCGATCGTTCACAACTTTCGCGGTACAGAGAAACCAACGTCGTCGATTCTTGCTATCGCAGAAGACGGCGCTCTTCGAGGATGGACAATCAACCCAGCGCAAGCAGAGAAAGGCGAGTACTGGAAAAACATGGCTCTTCAAAATACACAAGTCCCTGTAATCCAAGAAACGAGCAAAGAATACCCGCCCACCTTCTTGGAAGATTTTGAAATCATCACAGACTCAGAGCTCGAGTACCAGTCAAACCAGCTGCAGCGAGTTTACAATCGCCAGCGTCTTCGTCGATGTCTCGAGCCGGGAAATAACACCAACTCGCATTACGTGACATGGAAGGGTCCCTTCACTCTTTCGGTGAAAACAGCGAAGATCGTTCGTGGCCTGAGACTTCACTTTGGAGATAATGATGCTCAATCGGCTCCTCATTCCGTCGAGCTCACTCAGTTCAACCGAATTGTCACCGTTGGGGACGTCACTCAAGCTCGTTGGTTTGACATTATTCTGACTCCAGAAGAAGCTCTCAATTTGGACGGAAAAATCACTCTAGAGTTCGTCCCATCTCCAAGTGCTGATCGAAAAATCGTCGTCGACGCAATCAGACTCTACAAAACCAGCCGCAGGGCGATTATGAACGAGAAAAAAACGAAACGACACCAAACTCGCCAAGAAGTCGTCCCTCTTCAAGGGACCTCGAGACGATTCTGACTCCCTTCGATGGGCAGCGGTAAAGAGCTACGTATCAGGAGCAAATTTGGTTACGAAAGCATCTCAGCGCTCGCATTATCTCGAAAAAACTTGGAAATTCGTCGATCCGTACACTGCATCGCCAGTAATGATTCAGCAGTTCAAGGAAATCTTGCCCGCAGTCGACTTTGACATGTACTGTGATATTCAGTTAGCTAAAGCGCTCCCTTCGTTCAAAAAATTCGACTGGATGATTTTGCAAACCCTGATTGATCAAATTTACGTCGTCGCGGAAAACCGTCCGGCAAACTTCCGCGGTTATTTCACCAATACCCAGTCTTTGAACGCGTTCAAGCTCATTGCGAAGACCCTCCACGATCTCATCGAATCCTCTGGTTCTTGCTACAAACCAGATGTTTACCCTCAATGCACGAATTTCCGCGATATAACGAGGAAAATTGTGTTTATTCTGAGCATGGTGAGTCTTCTTGATCCAAGTCAGCTTGAGAATGCGACGAAATTCTTTGACTACTCATCTGAATCACCTGAAATTGTTCTTGGGATGAAAGATGCGATTCTTGAAGCGTTGAAATTTGAGCTTCCTGACTCGGGAGGTGCTTTGACGTCGAAAAACAGCGCAGAAATCATCTGCGTTGAAGACACAAATGAAGATGGCGATGATGATACTGTTGTCGCCGAAGAAGGGATAATGGATATCGACAATGATGATGAAGACGACGACGATGATGACGACGAAGATGACGACGAAGATGAAGACGAGGACGATTATGAAACGGGGACGATTGACGGCGAAGATCATGAGGACGATGATGATGAAGATGATGACAACGATGTAGATATGGAGGAAGAAGATTTCTCTAGTGAAATCCTCGAAGGCGGCGGAGAAGGATTCCAGAATGACGGAATTGTGGTCGAAATCCCTGGTGACATCAGAGGCATCGATCTTGACCGACTTCTCCAGGACAACGACTCCTCAATCGCAGATCTTGCCCTTGCACTATCTATTCAGGCGGATGAACGGCGTCCTGATCCACCAATTAGCCGGCTACCCATTCCAACTGTGCCGGACACAATCGAAAGCGACAAAGAACAAGACGAAAATATCCCGAGCACACCTGCTGAAGTAAAAACATCTCCATCAGAAGACCCAATCTTCTCGAAAGAGCGACAAAGACAGTTCGCTATCAAGCTGATTTCCCAAATCGTTGCTGATGACAAGAATGACGTTCGAATCCAATACCAATTGATTCTCGCTGCACTGTCGAAATTGGACGTTAATGAGCCAGATGAACTCGATGTGATTGAAAGCGTCATTTCGAGCCTTGTGCTAAAAATCAAGGAGACTAAATCATTGCTTCATATTATTATTCTCTCCGAATTCCTCAGATTCAACAATGATTTTACTTCCATCATCTCTCAGCAAATCAGCAATCATGGCATTATCGATATTTTCACCAGCTACATTGGAGACAATGTCTCAGTTACGCCAAAGAACTCACAATCTACGACTAAAAAATCATCAGAGCAAGAAAAAGCAGATCAGAAGCCCTTCATTATTCCAAAAGAATACTCAGCAAACAACAAACTTGGCACTGTCAGCGCCATGCTACGTCTTCTTGAGGCGTTAAAAGAAAGAGATGCTCTTCTTCAAGTTCCACCGCTGCTGCTTGATCTAGTCATAAAAGTCATCGTCCGCGAGGAATCGTCAAAGTGGTTCATTAATGTCTGCAAGCGTTTTGGTCTTTGCTTTACGCAGTCGGCTGAAAAGTTCAAAGCTCGCCTCGATCGGGAGAGACTGATCAAGAGCTTCGAAAAACTCCAGGTTTACGCGAACAATGACTCTTTAGATCTATCCTACAGTCAGCTCTCTGAGCTTTACGAAGAACTCAAGTCAATTGTTGAGATTGCTCAAAAGGTACTGATGATTTTCGATTCCCCCAACTTACTAATTTCTTCCTAGCGACCAGGATCATGGCAAAAATTTGTGGAAAATCGTCCTCATATAATCGAGCTTATCCTCAATCTCCCGACGAACATAGAATGCTGCAACAAGGACGTCATCAAGCTCCTTGAAGTGATCGTATCTCCAGTTCAAATTGGCACTCAAAAGTCTCGAAAACAATCCGAGTCGATTTGCGAAAAACGTAAGCGCTCCAAATCCCAGGGAAGCGCCAAAAATACAGGCGAAAACTTTGTGGACAAATTTCTCGACAGTAAGCGTCCATCGAGCCTCATTTCTCATCCCTTGTTCGTTCGAAAAAATCTCTTCTCCGAGTCGGAAAGCGTCCGATGGGCAATGCACTCGCTGATGAAAACGCTGTTTGCGGATTGCTCTGATGCTAAAAAGCCGGTACTCGTCAAGTTTTTGTGGACAATGTTCAACTCTTCGATTCGGTTTGGTCAGCGAGCCATCCAGTACACCGATCTCCTCGGTTTCTTCACGATTAAATCTAATATCCCGGCTGAAACGCTCAAGGGATACGGCGATCTTGTTGCAAGAACTTTGAATTCGCAGTTGACTCAACTATCAACACATTCGAATTCGCTACTTTACTCAAGACTTGCGGAGCAGCTTTCTTTCGGCGGATTTTATCTTGAATCCCAGCTTTGTCTCTCTTGCAACACTCAGAACGAGGAGTTCACATCATCAACGATCACGGGCCTCAAGGGTGATACAAAGTACACAACTACCGCTCAGATTTATAAACTCAAAGCCGGCCAGGAAATCCAGCGGGTGAGTATGAAGCTGACCGATGTGAAGCGAACGCGACATGTGAAATCAATGACTTTGTATTACACGACAAGAACAAGCATCCCGATTATCGAGCTGAAGAACTCACCACAACTCTGGTTGAAAGCGAAGACAATCCAACTCTCGCAGGGACAGTCAGAAGTCACTTTCAATCTTCCAGTTTCAATCAAGGCGAACTTCTTGATCATCGAGTTTTCATCTTTCTACGACGAGAGCTACTCGATCCCTGAAACGCTTCCTTGCCCTCGATGTTCGAACAATGTTCACACAGATCCAGGAATCTGTGGCAACTGCGGCGAGAATGTTTTCCAGTGTCACAAATGTCGAATGATCAATTACGACGAGCGGGACCCTTACATTTGTACCCAGTGCGGATTCTGTCGTTATGCCAAGTTCAGTCTTTCAATGTCATCAAGAAACTGCACCATCGCCGATCCAGTTGAAACAGAAGACGAGCGAAAGCGAGCAGAAGTAGAACTCAAAAAGCAGCTTGTGAAAGCTGACGCAACCTGGGAAAAACTAATTGTCCAGCGACGTGAGCTAGAGGACTCTTGCTACGAAATCGAAAACGGCGGCAAAGAGGATTGTAAAAAAGAAGCAAAGCCCAAGGCTCAGCCACTAGTTACAAAATACAATGAGTGCAAGACAAGTCATAACGATATCACATCAATGATTCGAGCAGCAAATGCTTGCCGAGAAACACTAGCAGATTATGAGAGAAGATCAAACTTGAATGCAGGGCTGGTAAATTAGCGCACTATTTTCTCTCGAAGAAAAAAAAATTAGTGCACTAATTTTTTTTAGAGACATTTTCGCGTCTTTCGCGCCTTAAGTGCACTAAAATGACACTAATTTTTCCTCTTGAGGAAATTAGTGACTTTTCGAGAGCTGATCTACACTAAAGACGCGAAAAAAGAGGCTCTTTTTCATCATCCAATGGGCTCTTCCCGGATGATAGCTTCATGGAAGACGATTTTTGTCAGGGAAGAATTTCTTCAAACTGAAACTGCTAGATATTTAAAAATCAATGCATCATAAATACCACAATGTATGACACAAATTAATTTTTAAAAAATCGTTTTCAGTCCCCCACCAAATTAAGTCAGCTAAGGTTATCGATCATCCTCTTTCACCTGAGCGTATCAGTTCTTTGAAACAAGTACTTTTCAGTTTTGCGAAAAAAAATATATATTTCCAGTGTCCTTATTTGGTAACAAAAAAGTTGAAAGGAATAAAAGTCAACTTTTGTTGGAAATTCTTTTTGTCGAATATTTTAATGATGAGCTAAGATAAGCTTTGCTAGGGAGGTCTTCTCCCTAATTTTTTTTATCGCAGGGCCATCCGCAGCTGGATCTTCCTGCTTTTCTTCATTTTTTGCCTTTCTTCTCCTTGTCATCGTCCAACAACTTCTCATCGCTGTCCTCAACAGTCTCTGAAGCTGGAGCAGCCTTGACTGATACGTTCTACTTTCCGGGAACGGTCGAAATTTTTGGTAACCCATTACCAATTTTCGGTTTTCGATTATCAATTTATATTTATTTTTTCGCCAAGTTAATGAATAAAACACCCCACAAGTTTTCTATTTTACAGGCGCGGAGCGCACACTCGCTCTTTGAATGAAAAAAATCGACACTATTTTGGCGAATTTGGTAATGCATTACCAAAATTTGTTATGGGTTATCAATTGGTAATGAGTCCGACCTTTTCCCCTACTTTCGTGGTCTACGAGCTCTTCTCAGTATCTTTATATAATTCTTTATTCACAGAATCACATATATTTGATAATTTAGAAGGGAGGTCTCCTCCCAAACTCACGCTTACTTGATAACTGCTAATGAAGAACTCCTCCCAAAGTTTTTTTTTTAGTTTTCTAGGATAAAGCAATGCTATATTTTAAGAGTAAAATATATCGGGAGTAAATCTGCTTCTAGATCTCCCTTATGATTTTGTTAATTATGAATTATATTAACAATCTGCACAAGGCTGCTCCTGCTACAGACTTTTGAGGACACCGAAGATTAGTCGAACGACGACAACAAGAAGATTGACAAGAAAGGGAAAATGCAGGAAGAACAAGCTTCAATAAAAAATTAATTACTTAAAGAGTCTAAGCTTATCATTCAAATCCAGCACAGAAAGATTGTTTCTTTATATTTATAAAGAAAATTAACAAATGGATTGATAAAGTCTTTTTTGACTATATATTAAAATTCACGCCCTCGATTACCCAATCCACTTTATTGAAACTCTTTGAAATTCTAATATTAACGAAGTTTGAAATTCTCAAACTTACGTATTCTTCAGAATTAAAGAGCCCGCGCTCATTGGCGGGCCAATCAGCAGCCCTTATTTTCGACACTTTTCGAGACACACGCGAAAGAGACGCGAAAGTCACTAAAGTCTCGACAAAATAAATTCGCGCACTAATTTTAGTGCACTTAAAATTTTCGACAGATTTTAGGACGCGAATTTACCAGCCCTGCTTGAATGCAGTGAAATCAACGCCGAAACTAACTGGGGAAAATGACTCAATTTCGATGTCAAATTGCTACGGCTGTGCTGTGAATGGAGCAGAGAACAATCTCACTCTCGTCCGAGCTCTATGTCAGATAACATCTGTTCGCGAAGCTCTTATCGCTGACGGCGCCGTGGAAAAGCTTCTCTCATCTCCGCCAAACCTTGGAAGCTCGAATTTACGAAAGCTCATCCGAAGAGCAATCTGTCGACTTGTTCGCGGCTCGAAGGAAGCCTCAAAAGAACTAGGAGAACGACTCAAAGAAAAGATCATCTCTCTCGCCAAGCAAAATCAATCAATTGCACGGCTGGATGTTCTTCTTCGAGAAGATCTTGAGCTCCTAAAGCAATCGCTGAAATATCGAGACTCCGGATGGGAATATCGAATCAAAGCGGCCATGGCCATCTTCCTCGAAGCGTCAGAACTCTGTGACAATGTTTCATCTGGAACGACAATCGTGAATGGAATTTTACTCCCTTGTCTAGCAATTCTCAAGAAGCAAACCAGCAGCCAAGAAAACAACAAGGAGAGCCGAACACCATCTCCTTATGACGTCAATTTCCGAAAATGGGCAGATGGCGATCCTGATCATCAATACGAAACCCGCACAACTGCTAGAATCGACGAGGAAGAGGAACCATCATTAAAATCTGTTCCAGAGTCGTACTGGCTGCCAAGACTTATGTTCTGCAAATGGTCTCAAGAAGCTAGAATTCAAGCTTGTAATGTTGTCAGCAATTTGGCCAAGAACAGGAAGACCGAAATCATCGATCTAATGGTGACTTACTTTAAATATGTCAATGAAGCCGGAGAATATGCTGTTGAGTATCTTGGATTGCTCAGAACTCTGCTTGTAAAAGAACAAGAACTTGCGCCTGGGCTTTCTTCTTTGTTACTGAAAGGACTTGGCGAGCTTTTGATGTCTCAAATCAATGCGTTGATGAAACAAGAACTTGAATATTCTCAGATGACCACGATTTCTTCTAGCACTGACCTTCGAGTTGGGAAAACCCTCGACGCGATTGTCCTACTGCTCTACATCATCATTGATAAATCGAAAGATCTGCCCTTCAAGATGATCAAGCCAATCCTGCGAGGCTATCTCAGTCTCTGCAGAGTCTCTCTTTACGAACCAAAGCGATTGACGACGCCCAAGATGGTCTTCTCAAGCTCCTTGAGACACTGACCTCTGGAGGCGAAGATATTGCACGTGACTTTGTCAAGATTTGCTTCAAAACTCTTTCTCACTTTTCTAAGGATGATTTCCAGGCGAGTCAGTTTGTTTTCGAGCGACTCTGTAATATCATCCGTCCTGAATCAACCGAGGACGAGTCCTTCCGAGTTCAAATCGACAAAGATCCTCTGCAAGAAGAATTTCTACCAGGTCGAATGGTCAACAATCCTTATCCAAGTTCGGCCGTTGGAGAAACAATCCGCGATTTGAAGAACAAGATCTGCCGTGATACAGAGCTCATCGCGATGGTCGACGACGATACGAGCTTGGAGCTATTAGTTTCGAACAAAATCGTCAAACTTGACCTGGCCGTCGCAGATGTCTACAAAAAGATATGGCTTCAAAACCACGAGACCAATGTGCCAATGCGAGTCATCTATCGTATGCGAGGATTGATGGGCGAAGCGACAGAAGAATTCGTCGAGACGCTACCGGAAGACGATCAAAATGAAGAAGAGATCTTCAAACGAGCATCTTATCTTGCTGTCGATAATGGATTGGAGACGGTTCTCGATAAACTCGAATCCATCCGATCTCTTAATTCTCGATCACGACCGCTTCTTGGCGCTGGATTGAAATTGCTCGGATTCTGCGTCCATCTTCGCGTTTGCCGAGACGCACTCGCTGAGAACTCCTCCGCTTCCATGTTGAACATCATGCTTCAACTGTTGAACATCTGCATCGAAGCAAAAGAAGCAAAACTCGTCGAGGACATCCTAGCAATCATGAATCGAGTTTTAGCTGAAGCAGCAACCCACGGACAGGAAACAGAAACAGGCCACAAACACGAACTGACGAAGCTTCTTAAGGCTATCGACTCCGAGTTTGTTCAGTCGCGGCAAAATATCGTCATGTCACTGATGGAAATGATCCCGTTCTTATCATTCGGAGATGAGCAACTCATGGAGCAGCTGATTAACCATTTCGATAGCGTCCTTTCCAACTTATCTAGCTTTGACGAGTCTCAAGATGAACAACACAAGATCTACCTCGAGTGCTTCTGTGACATCCTCAAAGGTCTCAAGCCCGATAACCCGGGTGGCAAGCATTTGAAGGATCTCATGTACGCTAGAAATTTGCCTCGACAGGCAATCGATTATCTGCGAGCTAAAACACCTTCGGATAAGAATTACGCATCTGATGAATGGAAAGATCTTCTTGAACGACCCGTTCTTCCATTTATTCTTCGGATTTTAGCTGGACTCGCTACTGGGCATCCTGAATGCCAGAAGCTTATTGGAGAAATGGTAATTCCTGAGTTGCATCGATTGGAACAAGTCGCTGCTGGCGGAATCGGTGAGTCCTTACAACTCTACTTTTTCTAATAATAATTCAGGTACTCTGGCGGAGGAAGCTCTCGAAGCTCTCAGAGACAATAGTGATGTTTTCAAGCGCGTCTCTGAAGCCCGCCGGGCCACTCGCAAGGAAAAAGCTAAAGTCGGCAAATCGCATCGTATGAAAACACTTCTCAAACTCGGTATGGCGGAGAATACCGACGGAACCATCAAAGCTGACGACCGCAAATCCGAAAAAATGAAGCTCGAACAAGCAGAAGACGGGCCTCTTTGTGTCATCTGCAAAGAAGGATGCCAGTTTGAACCGAAGAAAATCATGTCGATCTACTGTTTCTGCAAGAGAGCTACTGTCGAGCCGTTTGAAGCGAATTCGAGGAAGACCGTCGGCTTTGAGACAGTGTCCAGCTTCAATTTGATCCACAACGAGTGTCACAAAAAAGCGGTTGTTGCTAAACGATCCAGGGATGAGTGGGAGACTTCTTTCCTTCATAACAACAGGTGATCAACAGAAATTTAACTTTAATTAAAACTATTTTAGTACCCGGTGCAACGCGCTCTTGCCACTGTGGGGCCCTGAAGTCAACGAGTCTGATTTCTCAACCCAAATGGCGAAATTCAACGAGTCTGTTCGCGACGCTACTGGCGTATCTCCCGATGTCACCTGGCTTATTCACAACATCAAATTGATGCTGCACCGATTTTCAACGAATGGCAAATTCTACCTTGATGCGGGCGGCGGAGGACCGGAGAGTAACATGAAATTCTTGCCGCACTTGATTCACTACATTTTGTACACGACTAACACCCTCAAAACTCAGGTAAAAACAAAAATAATTAACTGCTGCTAAAAAGATTTTCTTTTCAAGAGCTCTTTGAAAACGCCGATTCAAACCTTCCTGGACGATTTCAACGTTAATTCATCTTGGGCCGTCTCTGGCTACTTCTACAAAGCTACATCAGCCCTTATCGTGTTTAGTAAAGAGGTGTGTTTGTTTCTCACTTTTCATTGATATAAAAAATTCTATTAAAGGAATGGATTAAATGCAGAGTCGACTTTTTGAAGAAAATGATCATTTGTACCCACATGCGTGAAGTCTCAATTAACCCGAAAAAGGGAGTCACCGAGGCAGAACGAAAGGAACTCCCCTTTGAAAAGTACAAGCCTACGATTTTGTTCTGGTTCCTAATTGATCAAATCTTGGACAAGCTTTTTGACGAGCAGGCAATTTCTGACAGGTGACCAATCAGAACACGCCGCGGCAGTTTTAAACATTGATTTTTAGCGCCGGAGAGGAATACACAGAGAAACTGCAAATGTTCATCCGAAAGAACACTGTTTCTCTTCAGAAGTCCTGCGAAAAGTTGGTGAAGACATTCAACGAAGAATTCATTGTCGTGGATTCCCTGGAGGAATTCATTGATGTGGCGAGTCTTTACAGCGTAATTGAGCCTTCACTTGTCAACGATTCGATTTCACAGATTCCCGAAGATACCACCACTGAAAACTTGATCAATTAAAAATCCCCACCATTGAAAACTTCAATTTCTAAACTGTTGTTTACAAGTTCATCCACCACTATTAAATCTTTTAAATATTTATTGCTCACTAATTTTTGCCTTTTAAATGATCCATCCTTCGGCTCTAGAATGACCGACGCAGGTTACTATCGCGGTACAACCGCTGACCAGGATACGCGATTTGGCGATAAGACCAAAAAGCTAATGAAGACTTTGAAATTTTCTGAAGCATTGGCGGAACCTGTTGATATGCGGAAAGTGAAGCTGGATGCGTTGAAACCGTGGGTGCACGAAAAATTGACGGAAATTCTCGGCTTCGAAGACGATGTCGTCATCGATTATGCTAAGGTTCAAACTTAATTTTCAAAGGCAAATGTAGCAAGTTATTTTGAGTAAAATTTGCACCTAAAATGTAGCTATCAATCAGCTCGAAGAAACAAACACTCCAGACCCAAAAGTCGTGCAAATCAACCTTACTGGCTTCCTCAACGCCAAGGTAATTCCCCTCCTCCCTCTCGCCAGAATAAAACAACGAAAATTCGCAATTTGAAATTAAAATTTTAACCTCAGTTATTAACATTTTTTCTTCAGTTTGAAACTGTTCCCAACTGGACCCAGTTGCACTCTCTTTCCATATCGTACTATTCGTTACAGTAAACAGTAATTACTTCTGAAAATGAAATTACTGAGGTTTGTTCGCTTCCCGACAAGAAGCAACACCGCCCGTTTGAGTTCATTACTAAACCCTTTTCTTCACTAGAACGCAAGGCTGTTCATGGGCGAGCTCTGGCCAATGTTGGTTTCTGCGCAATCCAATCCTAATGGCATTCCTCAGGTAAAAAGTTCCAGTAGAGGTCGAAGAGATGAGTGTTTCAGGAATTAATCGACGCGAAAAAACTGGAGCTAGAATCGCACAAAGCTGATAAAGAAACAATGAAGAAGTTCCAAAAGAATATTGATCAAATTCAACAACAGATCAAAAAAGGTAACGACGACACTTTTCGCCACTGAAGCATTATCTTTATAAGATATGGACGAAAAGAACGAGCGTTTGGAGCGAAGAATTCAAAAAGAATCGCGACGAGAAGACCGAGATAGGAGTAGACGAGATGACAAAGATCGAAAACGATCCCGACGATCTCGATCTTCTAGCAGGTATTTTCTCTCTACAACTTTTTTTCCTACAGTTGATTTCTTTCAGAGACAGACGATCAAATCGTAAAGATGAGAAAAGACGAGAACGAAGCCGATCCCGCGATCGCAAGTCTTCAAGAAGCGAGAAAAAACGTAGCCGATCGCGGGAGCGCCGCCGGGAACGATCGAAATCTCCCGAACGGCGCCGGGAAAAGCGACGCTCGCGAAGCAGAAGCCCACGAAGAGACTAGAGATGACAGAGAGTGTTTTGTTTACGGCCGATAATGACAACAAATCTTATTCACTTCTTTCATGTTTCTTTTACCGGTAGACGAAAATGAATTTTCAGTTTCGGCATGTCTGACTGTCAACAGTTATCTGCTCCATCTTTTAGGCCATGTTTAACTGCCAATTAAACTTTTAAAGTGTATCAAAAAGGCTAACGCTTGTGTGACTTCAGCAACATGGACGAGATCGTTGCAGAGTTGCTCAAATTACCAGATGTCGAGATTCGGAAAAGAGGCCAGGAGGTTGGAGTTAAAGGTTTGCTCTGAAATTCGTTGAATATTGGGCGAAATAGACTTTTTAGTTGGAGTTCTCAGTGCGATGACAAAGAAGATCGTCGTCAAAAAGATCGCCAAAGTAATCTTCGAAAGCAAGACGTCTTCATGCTCATCAGAGTCTTGTGATAACAAAGAGAACACTCCTGCGCCATCTAACAGCGAGGCAAAGGAGGAGCCGCCAAAAACTCCACCTCGAAATCCGTCAGACGGAAAATTCTATGCGATGCGTTTTGAAAACAGTGAAAATCTGATTTTCGACAACATGAAAGATTTCAACGAGCACAAGAAAAAGATGAAATCGAGTGCTCCGCGATTCGCTATCTTTGATGAGCGCGAAAAAGCGGAACTCTGGCTGAAAGGCGTTTTGAAGACGCCAGTTCGACCGAGAGCATCGCGCCCCGAGTTGGCCGTTTTTCGATCACAAGGGCCGAACGAAAGTCCGTTGCGAAAACCGAAAGAGATAGTGGCGAAAAACTTCGTTGGCGAGCTAAAGTCGCCGTTCAAAGCGCCAGAGCAGCCGCTTTTGAATAAGATCGTTGCGGAGATTCAAGCGAAGAAGGATTCTGCGTACAATTTTGTGATGGAGGAGGTGATGAAGAATCCTCGTTTATTGATATCGAAAGCGGATACACCAGTGCCGTACCGTCCTGGTAACTGGTCGAATTTAGGTGAGCCGATCTTTTGTCTGTTGTGGGTTAAAAATGAAATTTAGTTCATATTTGCTGCCAGTACGACGCTGGAAATATCCTCAACGCGATCTTTTCCCTCCTTGAAGACCACAACTACCTCACAAAACACTATCCTGATGTGCCAAAATCTCTTCTCTGCGAATACTCCCAGCGGATTGTGAATCTCTATCTTTTTCAAAAACTTTGCGGTCCTAGACAAACCATCACCAGAGGCGACACTCCTCTTCATATCGCCGTCCGAAACAAGTAAACTGACTCGTTGAGAAATATGTTCATTTTTATTTAGGAGTTTAAAAGCTATTCGCTTTTTCAAAAAGAGAAAGGAATGGGAAACTTTGCGAAGTATGAAGAACAATGAGAATCAAACGGCCGAGGAAATCGTGGCAAAGGATGAGGAGAGGGCTCCATTGAGCAAAGACGTTGAAGATCTTTTATTTGAGAAGCCCGTTTGTCTTGCGATCATACAAACGGATGATTCTGCGCCGAGAATTATGACCACGTAACGCCAATCATTTTCTTCCTTGATTTCAATTGTGTTTTTAGCTCTTCGCTGACGAAAGAGGAACTGATGAACAGTCCAAATGTTCGAGCAGTAGCTGGTCCAATCTCCTCTGCGAAAGCTTCTTCCATCGTGCAATCAGCTACGCCCAAAAGAAGGATGAACATGCGCTTCGTCCAGAGCGAGAAACAGCGGCGAATCAGAGTCACAGATTATGAAAAAGGTCTTGAAAAGATAACAAGGCCGATGTGCGTGAAACAAGGAACCGCGTTGCTCGAAAAATGGCCGTTTCTTGACGAGTTCGTCGACATTACATCACCAGAAGGATTGGAGAAAATGAACGAGTACCTGAAAAGCGGCTCAGCTTCGGGGGGCTCTCAAGCTGATCTGGATTCAACGATTGATATGCTGTGCTCTAATTTCACGGACATGCAGCTTGGAGATGATGAGAACCTCTTCTTGATGGCAGACAAACCATCGAAAACTGACAGAGATGTTTTTGAAGCACTAAAACAAATTTCAATTAGCAAAGATGTTGTCCGAGCGAAACTGAAAGCATATTCTTCTGTCATGTCTTGGTACAATGTAAGACCTTCTCCTTAATTTTTCACCTCATATTTTGTTTTTAGAGAATAGAAGCCTATCCAAACGAAGTTCGCGAAAAATGGAAGATGATTTCAAAAACTCGTTCTCAAACTCGATCCAATGGCAACACTCCTATCGCATTTCGCCAGTCCACAGCGGCATCAGAACTGCCTATCACCGATAATGTTCGAAAGAAGCTCTTCTTCGACTAGTTTTTCTTACTGTATATTTTCTTTCATCTCACTATTTATGCTTCCAACATTCCATTGATCCTCCAACTCTCACTGACACTGAAAATAAAACACACCACTCAAAGTATAATTTTTATGATATTGAAAGCTTTGTTGGCTTAGAACGAGAAAAAAGAATGTCTGGAGTGTTGTACGAGGAGATTTTTAACATCAAAGATATCGACCCTGAAGGAAAGCAATTTGAGAGAGTGAAGCGGATTCACGCAGAATGCGAATCGAGCAAGATGGAGCTCATTCTTGATGTTAACTCGTTGCTCTACTCTCCTCAGCCTGGTGATAAGGTGCGTCTGATAACTTGGAGTAGTGTTTTGAGTGACATGTTTTTGTAGTTCCGATTGATGTTGGCGACAACTTTGAACGACGATGGAGAGCCTGATGCTGGTGAATACGATCCACGATGGGAAGAAAAGTCCACCAGAACCGCTGCTTTTGACTACATCATGCACGGACTGGTCTACCGGATTTCGGGCGACGAGGCGGACACTGTTACAAGACTGTAAGCCCACTACATCTTTTCGGTGTAAACCTTTTTATAGAGAGGTGTACATTTCATATGGAGGCCTGCTCATGCGATTGAACGGCGAAGCAAACTCGCTTTCTGAGATCAAAATCGACGAAAAGGTCTACCTGCTTCTTAGAAAATTGTCCTACTGATGCACTGGAAGACTCAGCACCAAGTAGACTACTGTTCACCCTCTACTGCCCTGAACAAAACAGTGAATAGAAAATAAAAACTTCGGCAACTGTAATTATATTTGAAAAATTCTCAAACAGAAGGAACAACAACAACTGTTTTCTTTCTGCTCCGGCAGTTGAATAACATCAGTATAACAAAGAATACAAGTATGGCAGAAAAAGCATAAGCAGCGTATAGAAAAATGATTTGTAGAAGATCCACTCTGATTTCCGTCATTTCTCGGTTTTCCTTCACAGACGCAGCGAAATCGGCATGAGCGAAAGCGAGATGTTCTTCTGACTCAACTAAATTCTCATGTTCGCCAAGTCGAAACTCTTTGCTAGACTCACTCAAGCTTCTCTCGATTTCTTCAAGAATATTTGGCATTTAGCAAAAAAATCAATAGATTTCTTTTCGGAGGAAAACAAGGGTTGAGGATGACTTCCGATTTGAAAGTTGTTAAGTACCTCAAAGGTTTGATTATTCGCGCTGCAGTTGTTTTGGCATATTCACCAGAAGGTAGAATAAGATTTCATTTACGTCAAAGATTCGCATAATTTATAGCTCCAGAGTGTTCTAATCCCGAGGGATCAAATTGAAAATTTCAAGGTTATTTGACTTTCTATTTTTAGGGAGGCGGAAAATTTTGCGAATTCGGGCAGTCCTAATTCCCGTGTGCCCAAAAATAGGTGCCAGGCCAAACGATATGAAGTGATAAGCCTCTGTGATCGTGTTTTGCCGACAAGTGTCCGCTTGACTTTGCACAATTCTTCCAAGCTTCCCTCATCAATTTGATTAATCGATGGAAATCTCCATCAAAAGCTGTTGCAATAAAAGCACATAAAAGCTGTATGAATAGCTCGGATCGTTATAGTGTTAAGGGGAGCTTCCTTTGTGGCGTGTCGAATGCGAGCCTTTGGCGAAAAATGCGGTTGGAAAAGAACTCTTTTGGCAGAAGCGGCGCATCATTTGCTCTCGCCGCCGTGAACTTTTCACTTTATGGCCGCTCAATACCATTTCTGCAATAGAATTTTGAAAGCAGTTGCCAAAAAACATTGAGAATTTTGATTATTGAGACATTTCGCTAAATTATTCTAAGACGCGGAGGAAATAAGAGAAGGGGCGGATCCGGTTTGATCTGATCATAAAGGTAATTTATTAATAACAAGTCTCACAATTTTTTTATCGAGAAAAAGGAAGTTACAGTCCCCGACAATAAGTTATTGATAAGAAGTTCAATAAGAATTACAAACAAGTTTTCGAGGATAACGATATTTACACTGGTGCCAGAAAGTGTGTCCCTCCTTGAGAAATATTAAACTGTCAGAGAAGAAGGGAACAGTATTTAATCCGTAAACAAGGTCCTGTCAACGAGGCTTATCAACTCGCCCGATACTTTCATTCTCGACTTCCGCCATTTGAGCACCTTCAGATTATCTTTTTTACCGAAAGTACCCTTAGCTTCAAACAAAAATCGAGAGACTAAAATAGAGAAAAAACTATTCTTCTCGTATGAAAAGAGCGAAAAAACTCAAGAGTAACAAGTAAGAAAACCGGTCAATTTAGAACATCCTCTGATATGCATGTTTCCAAGAAAAGCGGGCGGAAGGTGTAAACTTAAACGTTAGGTGTTGACCCCTTTGAAATTGGCAATTGTGGCAGCTGCGGGCATGTGACGGGTGTCAGGCTTAGCGCCTGGGGCGCGAGTCCAAGGGCACCGCGCTTTAGCACTGTATAAAGTCTCCCCCGCGATTTGCTTCTCACAAATCACAAAACCTAAAATCTCCAAAACAACCTTTCTAGTGAGACAAAAACGCAAAAAGAGACGCATAAAAATTTTGGAAGAACCTTCAATTTACGAAAAGCAAAGTAAGAAAAGCCCGGAAATGTCGCTCGGCCCTCAACAAAAGGACACTACCATGACGAAGATCTTCGTCGGTGGACTTCCTTATCACACGACTGACGACTCCCTTCGACAGTTTTTCGAAGTTTATGGAGACATAGAAGAGGCGGTTGTGATTACAGATCGACAGACTGGAAAGAGCCGAGGATATGGATTCGTAAGAAACTCTTGAGTATTCTCTGGATAAAGCTTATTTCATACTAGGTTACGATGGTTAAAAAAGAAGACGCCCAGAAAGCGATTCAAGAACCCAACCCAATTATCGATGGTCGCAAGGCGAATGTGAACCTTGCTTACATTGGCGCTAAGCCCAGGCTCATGCAAAGTAAGTCATTCAAATGAAAGTTCTTCCTTCAGTAACCCCCTTTCTCTAGTACCACTTGGCGGCCTTGGAGGATTGTATCAATCAGCAGCGATGACTCCACAGAGCCAAATGATGGCTCAACGCGGCATGTACACGACTATGCAGCAACAACAAGCTGCTTTGCTTCAAAATGCTGGGTAATTTTCATCAAATTTAGAATTTTAAAATGAACACTCCGGACTCAAATCACCTTTTTAGCTAATTATTATTGACTGAAAATGTCGGCGTTTTCAGTCTCTTCAGACAGGTTCGCTCAAATTGTTGGTGTCAGATTTTCGTTTATTTCATTATTGAGTGTATTTGTTGTTATAAAAAATACCGTTTTCAATTTATTTTATAATCGTTGATTTCAAAAAATCATTATTTCAAATTTTATCTTTTGTGCACTTCCGTTTTTGCGTTGTTGATGTTGGAGCAACAGTTGAAAAAAAAGGATTTCGTGGGAAAAATCACAAGAATTTATCGGGTTTGAGAGGTTTTTAAAACGCAAACCGTCACAACTACAAGTTACAACTGATTGTTTTGGCGTTTATTTATGTAGCCTTAGGATAGGTAGTTTAATTAATCAGTGACCATGTGTTTTGCTGAATATTTAATCGTTTCGTTTAGATTTCAAATGGCTTATGGTTACCAGCCAATGATGAACCAAACTGCTCTTCTTCAGCTTCAGCAGCAACAAGGTAAGACATCAACCCTTATTTTCAATTCTAAACACGCTTTATAGAGCTTTTGGCAGCCCAGCTGGCGATGGACCCATCCGGCTTGATGGGCTACATGGACCCGACTCAAGCTTATCAGCAAGCGGCCCTTTTGCAGGTGAGTTTTTTGCTATAAAAAGTACGCAAAAAGCTAGCTCGCAGCTTCTTTTTGCCTACAATTTGCAAAAACGGACTAATTCAAGTTTTAGCAAGCCCAGTTCGCGGGCGGGAGTCACCTGTCCGGCTCCATCGGCGGGCTCCATCAGTCTGCCGCAGTCGGTAGTCAGCAGTCAGCCGCTCAAGCGAGCAGCCAAACAAGCGCGTCCGACCAGTCCAACGTCCTCAACCGGGGAGGATCATTCTAATCCGGCGTCGAAGCGGCAACGCACCTCCATCACCATCAATTCTCAGACAAACGAAAACACAGGAAACTGATCTCTTCATCCTTACTACGCGAAAACAAAACACTTTACCCAAAACTCCAACTCTTTATCTATTTGTACAAAATACGCGACAAAAAATAAAAATGCAAAAAATCAACTTTATTTTCAATCTCTTCAGTCTCTAATGATAAGTTTCAAAGCTTTCGAAATCGGTTGGGCAGAGTGTGTTCTCCTCAATATGCGGAATCTTACCCACTTTTCTCGGAGTCGCATAAAGATCGGAATCTGACTCGGACGTGGTAGTCGTTGTCATTTTTTCATAAATGTCGGAAATGGGTGCAAGATCTTCATCGAGAGAAATCGGTGCTTTCTGCGGACTCTCTATAATCATTTTTTAAAAATAGCTCTAATAGCTCTGCAGGGCAGTTTTTCCTACCTTTGATTACATAACTCAATTTAGGATAAACTTTTTGCGTTTCAAAAGTTATTTCTGGTGTCGTCGAGCCTGTTGCTGTTTCCTCCTTGAAAAGATTGTTACTTTAATTGAGATAGTGTCTCTCTTCTTACTGTTGGAGGAGGCTTGCTGGGAAATGAGGGAAAGACAGTTTCGATGACTTCAACTGGCTCTTCGAGTTTGGCGAATTCAGGTTGAAAAAACCAGCCGCCACTCTTTTCCCTTTCTTCGTCGTATTCCTTATGCGGGGCAACGGAATCAATGCGGATGCTAAAATTAAGGGTAGAAATCCAGTGTATCGTATAAATTTATTCGATTGTTACCATCTATCCTGTACGCATACGAAGAGAACGATGACCAAGATCATAAAAATGGCGACTGCTAGCGCGATAAATCCAGACTTGGCTTCATTACTGAGAGTGCAGTAATAGTCTTCTGGGACCAATTTGATAAGGTCCGACTTTTAAATTTTCAAAATAAAGTGTATTTCTATGTGTATATTAGTTTATTTGAAATTTTCCTTTGCCGTGTAAATTGCCTGGCACTGTTGAATATTAGAGCAGGTACCATCGCAAAAGTCATTATCTAAAATTTAGATTCTAAATACCCGATCAAATCGAAAAAAACTCTTAGCTTACTGATATGAACAAAATAAGACGGTACTTGGCCCATTTTTTTCTCTTTTTCAACTCCCGCGTCACGAAATTCTTGCGGCTTACTCCCAAAAAGTCAGGGGACGTTTTTACGATTTACTGATCAAGTGAATATTTCTTCCTACAATGGGCGCGAAAAAGAGTGCTTCATTGATCATTGTAAACAGTTTACTCTCATTCAGAATCATTAGATGATCATATTGATTTCACGATTTTTAAACTGTATTGTAATTCAATGATATTTCAATAATGGTAGTCTCTCGCGTTTTTAAATTTGATCGGATTGTATTATTTTTATATTTTCAGGAAGCAGAATAGTAACTCGGAATTTTGGCAGCTTTTAATTCTTTAAAAATACTTTTGCAGACGCTTGAATCGCGGAAAACAGTGATCCTTGTTTGCGCCCTTGTCAGTTGTAGCTTCTCGGTTGTCGATGTACTCAAGATAGTCACTCAAGTAAGAATCTAAATACCCAACGAATTTCTGATATCCTTCTTTTTCGTAAAGATTCTAAAAAAATTCTCGGTAATCTTATAAATAAAAAAGGTGGATTACATCTTTTTCTTCAGGATCCCTCTCCAAATTGTGAAGACTTTTTAGACCGGGAACGTATTTAAACTGTTCTTTTCGAAGTGAAGCATTCAAGCCCCTGATATTCGCATGCGTCATTATCGGAACTTTCTTCAGTTGTTCTTTTGCCTCTCCGGTTTCTAAGTATCCAACGAGGCTTCTACTGTCTGGAGCTTCGTTGCAGTCTTTTTGGTAATTTAATAATGATCAAAAGCGACAGTTTTTTTGTTAAATTTTATCACCTTCCTAATTCATACTCGATCAACTCCGCGAGAGTAGCGTAAATGTCCACAGTAGAAACTGGTACTTTCGGATCATGAAGAACTTTTGGCGAAAAGCGTCTTGGATAACGCCATAAAAATGGCGTTCTATGGCCTGCTTCTCCTTGGCTATTCTTCGTGCCCGCCAGTTCAACTGTTCCGTTGGGAAGATCCAGCTGCCGCTGATTGTGGCCAAAGCTAGCGAGAATATCTTCCGCAGAGATGGCTGGTCCGTTGTCAGTCATAAACATGACAAGCGTATCGTCAGCAATACCATTTTCTTCCAACCTATTGAGAATTTTTCCAACGATTTCGTCCGCTTCCCTGATCATTTCACCCAAGTTGCCAACTTCTGTTTGATTTCTGAATCGCAAAGGGGTGTTAAAGGGACCATGACCAGATCGCATTCCGTAGTAGACGAAAAACTCTTCGTCTTGATTATCATCAATAAACTTCTCAAGCTTGGGAATGGTCATTTCTTCGGCATAACGAGTGTCATATGATTTCATAGCGACTTGTTGCCGAGGAAAGTTGCAAAAGTAAATTGGTAAGTCTTCGCTTTCAGAGTCAAATTTTTCATCTTGCCTAGCATCGCCCATGTAGCCAGTAGTGGGGAAAGTGGTGCAGCCTCCGGTCTCTGGGTTGTAGGGTTTCGGTGCATCTTCTGGCGTTGTCTCGGGGTATGCTTGTTGTTTGAACCAAGTGTCGACTGGCTCGATTCCTTTTCCGTTCTCGTAGAATCCTCCTGGCTCGCAGCAAATGAAGCTGTTCGTAAAGGAGTAATCGTAGCCGTGGTTGAGAGGACTTATTTTTTGCTCATAGATGCCGGGCTTATAGTTTGATGTGCGTAGATTTCTGAAGCTCCTCCCGAGCCCTTTCATTTCTGCGTGGAATTCGGCGTCAAGAAGTCTTCTTGTTTGAGTTTCCTCGCGAGTTTCGTTTTGATTCACGAGCCAGTAGCTCAATGGCTGGAACTTGCCAAAGATTCCCGTCTTGTATCCTGATTTTTTGAACATCTCTGCCAACTGAGGCTCGCCAGGGAGAATTTTTCGGTACTCATTGTCTGCCATCGCGTATCTTCCGGTCATGAGCATGTACCTACTTGGTGAACAGCGACTTGAGCCATTGTGAGCATCGAGAAATTTGACCCCTTCGTTGCCAAGTCTGTCAATGTTTGGCGTTGGTACTTTCGCTTCTCTGTTGTATATTTGGAAGTCTCCGATTCCGAAGTCATCGCAGTTTAAAAGGATCACATTTGGTCTTCGGGCTTTATTCTCTGCTATAGAAAATGCAATCAAACTTGAAAAAAGCTTCATTTTAGGGCGTTTATTAATTAAAAATGAATCGGGAGCTCATCATTGAATTGAACATGGATCGCCTGAAGCCTTCTAGTGTTTATCTGAAAATAAACTTTCATTTCCACCTCCCATTAATATTACTTCGAAACAAATTATGTTATACTAAAACTAATTATAATCAAAATATCGATGCCATTTCAACAGATTGAATGTAATCTCGTCCGATTCATGCTTCTATTTTAAACTGAGTTGAAGGGCAGATGGGCTTGAAATAATCCCAGGGTACGCGTCTTCTTCGTAGAAAGACGAACAAATTGAAAGAGTGGATGAGTGAACAAGAGAAAAGATTGTCGAGACCAAGCAAAAAAATGGAATATTTTTCTGATGGATCGGAGGAAATTGTAGCTGAAAAAATAAAAGACGAAACACTGCAAAAAGTTAAATGCTTGGAATGTCACTGTGTCGGCGCTGTGATGAAGACGGCTGAAGGGCTTGTACTTTCTCCAGATACAGTAAAAAAGACACTGCTAGAGCTCGATGGGGGAGTTTTTATCCCAAGTTTGAAAAAGCTTGAACCTTCTATGAAAAATGCTTTTCAACGAGCAAAGGACTTTAAAAAAGGCTTCAACGAATCGGCGAATAATAACCAAGATGATGATATCGAGACTGGATTCATCAAAAAGACAGGCCGTAGAATCCAAAGTATCAAAGAGAAAATCAACAGGGGAATCGAAAATGCTAGAGACGCAAAGAAAATGAATATTGGAAAAGTCATAGACAGAGAGAACAAAAAATCAGCAGCGCCTGAGAAATTCAAGGGCTTGTTTTCGGATGAGTATCAGGAAGAGAGGTTCTGGAAATCTTGGAAGCGCTTTGCTCGTCAGTAAGTACTGTCATCATAAAAGAAGCAAAATGTTTTCGATCTGACATGCTCCTTCTTTTTCAGTGGGAATGGTACGCATAGACAGTTTGCAACTTACATGGTTCTAGGATGCATTTTCTGGACCATTGTCATCCTCATTGGTAATCTTTTCGGTTCAAAGTCGGTTCAATAGAAATCTCAGCAAATTATTATTCGATGCTGGCATCTCGTATTCAACCAACTTACTTGACAAATGTCTGCCAAGCAGGCTTCAAAAAATGCCTTCTGAATACTGACATGGACTACTGCGCGCATCTTCTTCATGACTGTGTTGGAAGCAAGAACTTTACTCAACCAGTGGAAATCGTCTTACCAGAAAGACCAAAGGAACTTTCCTTAGAATTTTCTGAAAAAGAAAATGAAATTAACGCGCTGCGATGCAAAAAGCAAAAGTTCTACGATCGTTTCATTTGTCGCCATCTTTGCTCCCAATCGCTTGTTTTGCAATCGAAAAGAAATATAGCTTTCAGCCCTTGTGAATTAATATGCTTTGAGCTGACGAGATCTTATGACTTTGCTGGAGAAGTTTGCCCATTTGAAAAATATTGCCAAAAAGGATGTCCTTGTCCTTTTTATCAGTGTGAAAAAATTGAGAATGAGCAAAGGCTCACTCCTTTTTGGGACCTGAAAAAGACTAAATTCGCTAAAGGAAAGTTGGCTCAGGGTGATTTTCATTAGCTTTTGCGCCTTAATTTCAACTGTAAAAGATCACCATAAGACGGAGGAAGGCATCGGATTGATCACCAAACGACAAGAAAATCGTGATGGTTTTGTTCAATGGAAGAGGTTCCCGCTTATTTTCTCTACTTTTGAGGCTCTGAACAACTCAACTAGTACTCACTTAGAACTACAGTGGGTATGGTCAATTTAGCAGCGATCAAATTAGCAGATTTTGCTCAAAATCGAAAAAATTTTAAAAATCGTTATTTTCCCGGAAAAATTATATTGGCCCATATTTTTCTCGAGTCGGCAACTTGCCACTTACCAACTTGCCAATGACAAGTAAAATGGCAAGTTTGTAATAAAATACTTGCATTGCCTTGTCTTGCCGAAGGAATTATCCCGGAAAGCTGATGGCAAATTGATGGCAAGTTAATGGCTAGGTCTTTTTCCCTTGATTTTTATGAATAGTTCATGCTCAAAAATCATTTTCTAACGTAAAACAAGTCGTTTTCACAGAGAATTAGGAACAAGACAGTCGGAGAGTTGTTGAAAAACTACTCAGAGACCCATCGGGTCAGACCTGAAACTCACTCATATAATTTATAACTTAACAACAACAATTTGAGGAGTAAACCAAGAAAAAGAAGAATTAAGATAGGACGAGACACCAAATGAGCGGGTAAAAGAGTACATGACACCAAAGGAATGATTTTGATGGATAGGGTTTTGATAGGCCGGTAGGCCAAATAAAGCAATCTTGTTGGCTCCGAAAAATCGCTTCCTTTGGTGTACGTTACTATATTACTCACTCATATAGTATGTCGTCTTATCTAAATTGTTCCTTTTCTTTGTTAGTACCCAATTTGATGATTTGAAAATTTTGTTCTCGAAAATCGGATTTTTGAGAAAATGGTCAATTTAGCATATTTTGTCGAAATCTGCCAAAAAAACCACCTGCTAATTTGACCATACCCACTGTAGTAATGCAGGACACACTTTTTCCTCATGAATGTTTTTATATCCAACTCTTGACTCAATTAATTTCTTAACAATTAAAAGCAAAACAAAGTCAACAGGCGCCGCTTTTCTTAATGGAACACATTATTTGGTCGATGCAAAGGGAAATTTGATGAAGATAAATGAAGCCGATGCACCTTCGCTCCTTTCGACTTTCATCCCTAATCGACAGTTTAGAAAGTAAACTTTCCTTTTAGACATTTTGAAATATATTTTTGAAGAACAGGATTTTTTGTTTTTCACTTCGGTTCGTCTATTGGAACGCATCAAATCGAAGTTTTAAGAAAAGAGAAGGACGTGCAGATTTTCCCAGTTGTTGTTATTTGAGAACGGTCTTAGAATCGATTTGACAATTTTAGGATTCTTAAATTTCGAGCGTTCTTGACCATAAAACAGCTCACCCACCGGAAGAGTCGACAAATGCTTTTACTACGCGCCGGAATACAACTTGAACCGTTTCGAAGAAGGTCATGGTTTCATCGCTAGCAATCATTTTAACTCGAAGGTGTCGTCAATCAGCTTCAACGGAGTTTTCAATCTGATGAGTATCAGGCTCGGTGACCGATTTATCAAGCTTTCAACGACTGTGGCACTGAATTGGATCAGTAAAAGTGTAGAATTCGAGAAAGGATGGCGAAAAGACGAAATTGCGTTGCCAGTTGAATTTAAGGATTTAGACCCAGTTCATGTTATCCCCTTGATTGACGTTGGACGACTTATGCTTCTTCTGGTGACTAGAAGCGTAGTCCTTTCAAATACGTTGTACTCACTGTTACTGGAAGCAAAGGGAAAGTTTATAGTCCTCGGCAGCGAGTGGATCGGCTCCCTCGTAAATTACGAAGAGCAGTCAATTTGCTTCTCAAAATTATTTTCTCCGGATGATCTTTTACACCGATCAGGATGGAAACATAAACGACGAATGCGAATATTTCAGCAATGGAGTCATCAACAACGAAAGGTTTTACATCCAGAACTACGTTTTTGACGCTACCTTCGAAATCGAGTTCAACTTCGATCTCATCGAGCTCGAGTTTGTCCAACAAAAAGCTGCACGAAAAATGCTCGTGATGAGCAATCCCTTTTTCGCGTTTCACGACGATGTGCTCCCAGCTTTTGCAAAAAATGCTGCCTCGCAACCTAATTTTCCCCAAATACCAAAAAGAATCTTTGGCAAGCACCCATTTACCATTGTTCCGGACGATTCCTTTTCTTCGCTTGCTCATTTGAGGCATATCTCTACTTTTGAATTAAAATTTGATGAATCTGAAATTTGGAGTCTTGAGTTTGAAATGCAGGTATGAAAGAATTTTGCTGAAAAAATACTCTTTTTTTCAGCAAAAAAGAGCCATCAAAATCGGACGGAAAATGATCGAGTGCCAGTTCTTCAATTTAAAATCGTTCTTCACCCTTGGAACTTTCGCAAATGGTTCATTTTTGCTAGAATCTGACTTCTTCCGTGAAATTCTCATCTTGAAGGGAGACTTTCGTCATGGAAAAAAGCTTAAAATCGAGCTTTTTGAAAAAGATTCCGTATTGACGATTTTCGATGTTTACGAAGATGGCGTAAAAATTGCATCGATGAATGTAGTGCCTGAATTTAAAGTCGAAGAAAGAATGAAATTACGGGTTTTCAAGTTCGACCGTGATACAGAAATCAAAAGCTTTATTTACTCGTCTGAACTATCGACGAAGATCAATGTTATTCCCGATGGTTTATGGCGAAACTATAAACCTTACACGCTGCTTGCCGATGGATCGATTAGCACAAATTTGCATTTGAACATTCCCGAAGTCGATGACCGAAGGCATTGGTATCTCAACAACGCAAAAAGCGCTTTGCTCAACGATCAACTTCACTTCTTCGGAGGCGGTTATAATTCTAGCAAGGTAATCAACAAGTGTTGAAAAAATATTAATGCTGTTTACTGTAGATTGTTCGATTAGACGGATGCGAGTTCACGGAACTAAATGTCAAACTTAACAGAACTTATTGGTTTGGTCATGCTGCTCTCACCATTGAGGACGGCAGCGAAGGTTTTTTTACAAAAAAGAATAGTTTTTATTACCTTTTTTAGCTTTGATTTGCTTCAATAATGACAACGATTTATATTTTGGCATCGGTCAATCTTGTGAGCGATTCGATGGGTTTACTGCAACATCTACTTTTGGAACAAAAAAAGGACATTTGCACAGTGGATTCGCCCTTTACAACAATAATCCGACTGTGATAGGAGGACACGACGCGAGAGGAAGAGTTGAGATGATGACAGAAGACGGCTGGAAATCTCTGCCAAAGCATCCAAGGTAGAAAGGAGCTAAATAGACTCGAAAAATATATAACTTCATTAAAGATCTATAGAACATGGAACCACTGCACTCGGGCTTCCCTCTGGAGATCTTCTAACAATTGGTGGATTGGATGATAAGCTTGATTGCCGACTTAATGAAATTTGGCGATTGAGGAAGAAAAAGTGGTCTCTTATCGGCGGCTTCCCAAAAGTCAAATAATTTTATTAGTATTTTTTTTTAATTTTATTGCCTTAGTATATTACTTATTCGTCACTTTTATTGATGGACTCAACAATTTTCGTTTTCCCTGGGCAGATATTTGGTGATGATCATCCTATTCAACGAATAATTCTAGGCGAGGTTACCTCTAATTATGTTTTGAATTCTCAGATTTATTTAATACCTTGAAAAAGATTCTGAAGAAAATTTTTTGTCAGCTGATATTATTGCAGAGCAGGGTCATCATGGATATGGACCGCATGTTTTCGTTACTTCTTTCGATTATTGTACTTAGACTTTCTACTATCTATCAATTAAAATAAATTTCGTAAATTCTTCGTAAAATAGTGCCTTGACATTTACTGACACGATGCAAATACTAATTACGGCGTTGCAGTACCAATTTGACCTTAGAAACCAAATCGAGTCGAGCAAAAACGCAGGTATATTAATCCAAACAGAGAAAACCAATTGATGCATTTAGAACTTCCTATTTTAATACCCTAATTGAAAGCAAGTGTTTGAGCTTGCCCTAGTGACGCCTCATTTGATCAAAGCGAATCGGTCTCAATGGAAACAATGAATATTTGATCAGCAGCTATTCAGACAAAATTTGCCTATTCTCGACGACATTTTAAGACAAAGCCGAGAGCAAAGCGAGATCCATCAGAAACAGAGAAAATTAAAGATCGATATGGACGACAATTTTGAAGTTCCGGAAGAGTTGCCTAAAATGCTCAAGGCTTATGCCAAGGTATTTTGAAAATTCTATTTGCAGAAAATAATTTGCATAGAGACACGTTTTATATCTGTTTGGTCAGCTCATTTTCTATGAGATAATGAGCTCGTTGATATCAAGGAAGACTAACAGCTATCAAATCTAGGCAGCGATTCGAACTGATCCTGAAGACTTGCTGAAGTGGACCGCTGAATACTTCCGCTGCCTTTCGGAAAATGAGCCAGTGCCGTACAAGAAGAAAGTCGTCTGAATAAACCCACCTTTCCTTCTCTTTTTCTAACCAAATAAAGCCTTAAAAAATATCTCTCTCTCTCTCTCTTTGGGCAATCTCTGATAATTTATTAAAGCTAAATATACAGAAAGAATTCAAAAACAGCGAGATATATTAATTCCAAACTATAAAAAGGCAATTGAGACAAATTGTCTCAGACAATCTACTAGATCAGGTGTTCAAAAGTCAGTGGCAAAGTCATCGCCGTGCTCTTCTTTTTTCTCTTCCTCTTTTTCGGTGTTTCGTTTGCTTGGTTTTTCGCCGGTGGCTTGGTACTCCTCATAGGCCTCATTTTCGACTGCAAGATTTTCGTTTTCATCTAAGTTTAGGTCTTCTTTTTCCTCATCTTCTTCTTCATCATGTATTTCATTCGGGGTACATCCGCTAAATCAGTTGCTTAGTGATGATTTTCTGACTTTTACTTACTAAGCTTCAAAAGATCTGCAATAGACCGGTAAGCACTTCCAGTTTTTCCACCATTCTGGTAGGAACTTTGGATGCTTTTGCTGAAGCCAAGTTATAGTTGCGACGAAAATGAAGCCACCGGCAATAAGATACATAATCACTATCAAATGAGTGAGATTTGAAAGGAATTAAATCGTCATTTACCGAAAGAAGTGATCCATCCTTTGTCACTGTCCAAGGGGAAGAGCGAGATAAGGAATAAAATAAGAGGTAGAGCAATGAATGCAAGAATAGTGTACATAATCGACCACCATCGATATTTACTGGCCATTTTTCCTATCCAATTCGACGCTTTTATCACTGGAGCACGAGTAATCGGAATCAAAAAGAACAGGATAAAACCAAAGATATTGAAGAACATATGGGAGAGTGAGACCTAGAAGGGTTTTAATATTACTTCATGCAATTTGTAAAAACTAGAGTTGAAATTACTGACCGCTAGAGCATCGTGGAAATTGCCACTTGCGTTCGCAAAGGCAGCGATGAGTCCAGTAATCGTTGTACCGATATTAGCGCCAATGGTGATCGGATAAGCTCGGTCAATGCTCACAACACCGATTGCCACAATCGGTGTTAAAATGGCGAGAACGATTGAACTAGATTGGACGGCAATGGTCAACACTAAGCCAGCGACAACGTAGAGATATTCTGTAAGCCAGCCGAATGGGTATGGAAGGTTTTTGTCAATATTGTCCTTTAGTACTTGCTGAATTGATCCTTCAAGGACCGACTTGAGGCATTTGACAACACCAACGAGCTAAAAATATTTTAGTTATTTCATACGTTTACTATTCGACTAATTGTTTTGTATAATTAAATTCATAGAATGTACAAATTTTTATGTTCTAAGGGAAACATACCGCGCCATACATGAGGACAAACGCAATGGCAAAGCAAATACCACCGATCGCTTCGTCAGACATGCACGAATTAACAAACATGTGTTTTTCTTTCTCGATGCAGGAATCTGTGAACTTGACGGAAAAGGTCTCGTCGCTAAGGTAATCGCCGAAAAAACAGCAGTATCTTTCTCCAGGAGTCATATATGTTGATCCATTCACTGGAGGACAATTGCTGTCGTCCGGATAAAAACAGGGATCATGCTCTGTTTCATTAATAGCAGTGAGGTTATCTTTGCAATATTGAACGAAGCTGCCATGGTAGTCTTTTTCTCCAAGGCCAGCCTTGTTAATGACCAAAATATACTGTTGAATCGGCTCTGTAATAACGGCAATAGGATCGAAACCAGTATCGTGGTGCTCACATTCAGGTAAAGTAGGGTCTTTCTGACACTCTTCAGGTGGGTAAGGTGCGAGAGCTGTAACAAACATCTCCATGAGGTCGAACCAAATTTCTAACGGGAATAGAACAAGCACAATAAGATAATCGTAAACTGCTGGAATCGCGGCGCAAGCCATACCGGCTTTGAATTCCCTTGGTGTGGCTACATTTCCGAAAGCGACAAGAGTACTAGGAAAAACTCAGTTTTGAGCTTCAACCATAGATCAAATTTTAAATCTTTGGCATTCAATCATCATCGATGTCAAAATATTATCCAACCGACAGTTTATGATTGATGCATAAAGAATTATTACCTCGTTATAGAAGTTCCAACGTTTGCTCCATAGATACAGTAAATACCGACTTTAACGGTAAACAATCCTGATCCAACAAGTGTGATGAAAATTGAGGTGGCGGTCGAAGACGACTGGCAAAGGACTGTCAAGAGAATTCCCATGCAGAGGCCGCAAAATGGGTCTTCTAGATATGCTTCCGCATGTTCAATCACTAAAAGACCATCATTTACTCTCTGCCTGGGCATCATACCTTCATTCAAAAATGCACCACCAAGAACTTGAAAAGAATCAGACAATAATCCAATCGCGAAAATGAAGACATAGACGAACCAAATAGCCAAGCATATTTTGATCGTGTTTATTAGCCAGGTCATATATTTATGTTCATTTGGAGGGGGACTCTCGTTTGAAACTGAAGATCGTTTGGAAGAATGTTTCGAAGATTTTTGGATCCCATATGAGAAGGATTCTCAACATCGAGGGTATTTCTTCCCATTTAGGGCAACTGAGTGAAGGGCTATCTCTCGAAAATATTTTGGTGGATGTTCAAATTTCGGAATTCTAGTTTCGACTAGATCTCGATATCTTGGTAAGCTGTCTTTATATAGCCCCTGGTGTTGACCAAGAGATGCTCCCCAAACTTCAGGGCGCTCTTTTGAGGAAGGGCGCTCTCGATAGGACAACTCAGCAGAAAACAACTGGAAGCTCCTTAGAATTGGTGACCAGTTGACAGTACTGAGCGCCTTTGTGAACAATCACGGGGCCAAAAAGGAGTGACTAAACCTTAGAATATCTTGACTCATTAAATTGTACTCAAACGACTGTAAATGACCTACCAACACAGTTGACGCCAGTAACGATGGCTCCATATTGAATAAGGCCTACTTTATCTTTATCATGAACTTAGACATCGGAATATCACAACGGTAGGTTCAGATGCCTTTTCCTAGAGCCAAAGTGCAAATTCTTAATCTTTCACGAGGATTTATTTTCCCGGGATCGATATAAATTCAATTGCCGGACAAATAACACCACCGCCTCAATTCCAGCTGCATTCCCGTTACGTTTTTACGACGAGTTATTACTTTCCGAAGTGGAGACACCACACATGTCAATGAAAATTACTGCAAGTCAATGACTTTTGGAAGGATTAAATCACAAGCAAAAGATCACCAAAAGTCACATAGACCCGCCTTAGAGATAGGGACAATAAAGATAGATCGACAAGGCATTGATCTTTATTGGCGGCGACATCCGTCCGAATAAAGAGTGTATGAATAATTCTTGAGTTCAGTTTATTAAACCATTCATTTTTCGTTCGAATCTCGCCCTTTAACGCCCCTAGAAATCAAGTTGAATTCCTAGGGGCGTAAAGAACAGTGATGCATACAGATAACAACGTTGAGTGCGAGGAACATTACGGGAAGTGAACTTCGACAATTCAATTTAACCTAATAATGGGGCTAGAGCAGTTGGTTGTTGTTGATTATTGGACTTGGATAAAGTTTACTGGCTCGTGATGACTTTTTCCATTTCGATGAATTTGTTGATTTTTCGGATGAACTGTTCACCGTATCGAGATCCGACTCGAGTATCAGCAATGTGCACCATCTTGTCATCAATGAAAAAGTCGACTTCGGGGTGGAGGAAGTCATCGGCGGTTTCAGACTGCGAAGAGGCGTTCTTGAGCTTGTACTTGGCCGTCATCAACAGTGATACCAATTCGGGCTCTGAAGACGATTAGGATTCCGAAGATGTATGAAATTAGCTTACCAGTAACGTCGAGGAAACCAGCGAGCTTGGAAAGAGGCATGGTTGTGTAAAGCTTGAGATATCTTCTAGTGCCAGGAATTTTTGATTGAACTTCGAGCTCGTCTTCCAAGACCTTCCACTGTCTAACAGTTGGCTCAAGATGAGTATTGGTGAATGGCGGGACGATCGCTGGTGGAGTCGGACTCACGAATTTTGGCGAACAGAAATTGAAAATTTCCTCAAAGATCTTGACATCACCGTCTTAAAAATGCCTGGTTAAATAGGAACAAAAATTTTATATTTTTGACATAGAATCCCCCATTGGCGCGCCCACTTTTTCAAAGATCAAGGTCGACAGTCATCTTACCTTGCATTCTGTTGAGTTTGTCAAAGGTGACCTTTTCTTTCATGCTTTGCTCGAGCGATTCGTCGATTCGGCAGGGGTAGAGTACGATACACATGGCGAGCATGTTGAACATTTTGTCTTGCATCTTGTTAAGCATATCGTTTTTGTACTGAATCTATGATTAAAATCAGTTGAAAACCGGGCAAAAGCACCTGTGATTCCTTGTTCAAGATCGTTTTTCGTCCTCGCTCAATGTAAAGAAGAACCTCCTGGAGAGCATCAATAGCGTCTTGGTACTTTCGGGTCATGATCTTGCACCAGGCTTCGTAATAATAAGTAGTAATGAGGCAATCAGCAGCGTCAGAAGCAGCGGTAGTCTTCATTCGCAGCGAGACATTTTCAATCGCTTTCATGGCCTACAAATCCAGATTAAACAAAGCCTGACTTTTTGGATTAATAAAATTTTACATAGGCCGGAAACGACGCTCTGAATTTCCCTCAAAGTTCATTCTACCTGGTGATAATCGCCAAGCTGGCACTGAAGTCGAAGGAGCCCAATGAGGGAGAAATAGCCGAGCATTTTGTAAAGCTGCGTTTGACCAAAAATACCACCGATATCGTGAACCTCATCCATTGATTTCTTCTCGTTGTAGGCGCTCAACTGCTGGTTGATTCGAGAAGTACTGACAAGAGTTTGAAGAACATTGAGAACGGAGTGAACTCCCCAAACGTTTTCATCAAGAGCGTCCGAGATAGCAGTGATTTCTTCCTGGCTCTTGGACTGGAGTTTGGATCGGTATTGAGAGTAGTTCTGGAATTGGTAGATGAACTCGTCGATGATGTCCCAGAGCCACTGATTTGGGAGTTCCAATTGCACAGGCTGGTTGTCTTCTGGATGGAGGATGTAGTTGAAAATCTCGCAGTAGTTATTGAAAGAATCAGTTCGATCTTGGTGGCTTGGCCCGTTTTGGAGCATGTAAACGTGGCGGAAATAGAGCTCTGATGATAAGAGTGAGTCAAAGAGTAGCGATCTTGTTGATACCTTTGTAGAGGAGAATGAAGACTTCGTCGGGACCGAGAAGCTCTTCAACTGCTTTCCAATGTGGCCAAGCTGTGGTCTTGTAGTAGCGCTCGTTGATCTTGTTCCAATCGGTTTCGTAGTTCTAAGATATGTAAAACGATTGTCCCTAAGAAATCAATACCTGGAGGATTTCATCAACATTTTGTTGATCAACAGCCTTCTGGAAGCCCCGAAGGTAGCTTCTCACAGAGTCGGGGATGTCAGATGAATCGTACTCGAAGCTACCCATGCTAGAAACAGCGAAAATGAGACCACTAATGATACGCAAAATATTATCCGTTAATTGGAGTTCAAAAAGTGATGTATGAACAAGAGGAGTGACAATTTGAAATTTCAATTTTGAAGCAGTAAAGTGTTAAAAATCTTCATGTCCTCTGTAGACGCTATCCTGCTTATTGTAATATCCCTCAAATAAATCCAAGCCCATAAGCTCAAGAATCGAGTTATTAATGAAGCCAATGAGTTCTATTTGGGTCATGGCTTGGGCGAAGAAAGCTTTTTCTTTAGCATCTTTTCCCTCTTCGACCTTGAGCTCATAATATTTTCGGGCTTCGTGGACATCATCTTGTATGAACCTCATATAACTTTATTCGAGTTTAAAATCAAATGCAGTTGCTATATTCGCCTCCTTGAAGATGATAGAATAATTTTAAACCGTGCCTTATACAGCCAGCTTTATATCGCTTTTGAATCTGATTGTGTAATTCTAGGGATTTTATCAAGTTCAATACAGGAATCACAAAGTCCGCCTTCGACGCTAATTCAGCCGTATCTTCTAACAATAGTCGATTCCAAATAAGTTCTTGGTCGATTTCTTGGCCAGCTGGAGAGAGAAGGAAATCTTTGATCCTGGGAATTATGAATGATGCAACTTTTTGCGGGCAATTTGGTGTTAGAGTGCGGAGGAAGAGGCAGTACGCTGCACGGGGGTGTAGTTTCTCGCAGGCGAGTTGGAGGACTGGAATGGTCAAAAGGCGGATACTTCGACTGTTGAAAAACATGGCTACGTTGCACAACGCGTCCCAGAAGCTAAAAATGCTCTCCTTTGATTTCGAAGTTCATTTTTATGAATTCTCACCCGACGTCGTAGAGGGAATGTCCTGATCTTCTGAAGAGTCGCTGTAAAACGAGAATCGCAGCTTGGACGAGGAAACTTTTGCTACCTTCGAGACATGCAGTGATCAGTGGCGACCACCGCTCAAGCAGGAATTCATATCGGCAGACATAATAAAGCGGACTTTCCAACAGGTGGACGATTAGACCTTCGACTTCGCACTCGAATTTGAAAATCTTACTGTAGTTTTGTTTCATTAGCGAGGTGAGGAAAAAGTCATGGCATCGGAGAGTTTTCGAGCATTCCATAAACGCATCAAATGTATCGTTCCATTCTCGATCATCAATGAATTCTGGCTCCGAGAAACGACCGATGACTGGGTTGTCGAAGTTACGCAGGACAGACTGAAAAAGGGATTAAATCGCAAGAAAAAGGCCCGACCGAGATTTGAACTCGGGATCTCCTGATTACTAGTCAGGCGCTTTAACCAACTAAGCCATCGGGCCTGGCTCTCCCGCTGCGCTTATCACGTTATCAATTGATAGGGGCGCTTTAAGATTTCTTTTGAAATTTATGTTTTGACGAATTACAGTACACTCGCACAATTTGGCCCCGCACAATTCGGCCCTTTTTTCGAATTTCGCTAAAACGTTAGAAAATCGCACAATTTGCCCCCCTGACCCTAATTTCTTCCTTGGCTTGGTTTTTCTCTCCTTCATTTTGAAAAAAAGCGCAAAAAATTATCTATCTCTAGGTATCTTACATCCCTTTTTGAGGATCAGAGTGAATGAGTGTGCGTGTTTAGCAGATTTCAAAAATAGGAACGAACTGAAATCCATTCATAGACAGGCTTTCTTGTCACCTTTAACTTCACATGACCAACACTTCGACTATTCGGCGATGATCGGCGTTTCGACTCAGTTCGAGTGAAAAAGGAGCGATTCAGTGGGAAAGGAGCATCATTTCCTATGAGACTATCCATTCGATTTTCACATCAAATTTTAACACAAGAAACAAAGTTTACTAGTGTTTAAAAGACACACAATTCGGACCCGCACAATTCGGCCCTTTTTCGACATATCGCAAAAACAAAAAAGGGCCAAATTGTGCGAGTGTACTGTATAACGATACAGGGCCAATCAGATGGCTGGATAGAAATGTTTGTTATCGTTAAAAATATTGTAGAAAACTTGAGTTTTACCTCAGATCCAGGAATCTTGGCAATTCTGATGATGATCCCATTGAGCAAATGAAATATCTCCTGCTTCATATCCTGCCAGGGTCGAAAAACCGTCAAATTATCAACAATGATCGCAATAATTTGTAGCTGACTGAGGATCGCTTTGGCAAAGGGGTGATTTTTAATGAGGAGTTCTTTCATTTTTGCAAGCGGCATTTCTTCCGCGATGTTCAGTCCACTTGGATCAGCAGTCGAGACTGGCATTTCATCCGTATCCTCTATCCCAATGAGGCGGTACTCTTCGTTGAAACCGTAAAACGACGACAGAATCAAACTACAGTTGTACATCGATAAATCATGAAGTAGCCCTTCTCGAATGGCGATATTGAAGTAAGGAAGGACAGCTGCACACAAGTCCATTGGATCGGCCATTTCGAGAAGCCGAAGCATCGTTCCTCCGTCAAGCCCGTTTGATAAAATTCTGAGAATATCTGGCCATTCGTCCTTGACTTCGGCGAATTTTTCGAAATCACTGTTGACTTTTTTGATGAGGTAGGGAAGTGTTTCGGACGCCACCAATCTGCATCTTTTCTAAAACCATGCTATCAAAGGCAAAAAGGGCTTTCCGATTCGTTACCTTTACAACAGGATCACCAAGAAATCTCAATAGCGTGGCAGGATCCTCTGCCATCGAATTTATCTGGTCGATTAGCGACATTTTCTCCCACTTTTTCCTTATACGAAATCAGAAATATCTCTCTGAAAAATTAACTTCTAGCTAAGTGATTGGTGGAACCCATTTATTGTACAGATGATCCCAAGAAAAAGAGATGCGTCCCTAGCTGGGATCGAACCAGCAACCTCTCGATTAACAGTCGAACGCGCTAACCAATTGCGCCATAGAGACAACTGATGGGCAGTGGAAAAATGGGGGATTTAAAATCGTGGAAATCAGAAGGGTGGCTTGAGAGGGAAATAATCGGGCTTTCCAACCAGCATTGAGTCAAAAAATTGGCATAAATGAAGATTTTTGGGTAAATGGCGGCATTTGCGAAGGAAACAGCAGCTACAGAAAATATTCGACTTCATCTGCTAGTGATTCGCAGAAAAGATCGTTTCAGCTTCCAGAAGTCTTCTCCTTTGAAAAATCTCTTCTCGTTCCTTACCAACCGAGAATAAACAAGACGAAAACACTTGTGGAAAAATTCTTCTGGGCATCGAAATTCGTGAATCTGGTCATTTTGAAGATGGACATGCTTTCTTGTGGCGTTATAGCAGCGAGCGATTTCTTGGAAAACAGCGAAGACGACTTGTTTCGTGGATTTTTCATCAAGCTCAATTATGATCTTTTGGCAAAGACATCTGTTAAGTTTATTTTTGGCGAGAAATTGAAAGTAATTGATTCTTTCTCGCAGTGGTGCTTTCATTCGTTTGGTGAAGTCTGGGTCATACCGACGGATCTTCTTCGTCACAGCATTTGTGGTGAGGTTCTTGTTGTATCCGAGGAAAGTGATTTCTTCGAGGGAAAGGCCATGCATAGGAAGAAGCGGTTTCAGCGCGTCGTAGAAGGTGGAGATTTGCTCTTTAGATTGACCATGAATCAAGATATCGTCCATGTACTGGATTATCTGAAGATCCGGGATGTTTGCTTTCTTGTAAGCCACATTCAGCGTATCTTTTATGTACAACTCCGCCAGGGGAAAAGAAAGAGGCGAAGAATGAAGGAGAAAACGCGTCGTATAGCACTTTTTCCCCCATCGAATCGGAGTTTGTTTCAAGAACTCAAACAGCTTTTCAATGTCTCGTAATCGGAAACATTTGTATTCTTCCTCGTCGAAGATACAAATTTCTTCTTTTCTCTTGTATTCAATTTTACCGGATTGTTCGCTTCTTCTGAAGAAAATCCATCTAAATTTATCTCGCTCCTCGACTTCTCCAAAAAAATTGTTGAGTTTTCCGAGAAAGAAGTTGTATGCTTTTGACGCTAGAATCCCATCGTAGGCTGATTTGACGTCTGTCTTTGCGAGAACACAGGAAGAAGTGTCAATTTTCTGCATGAATGGGAGAACTTCCGGGAGAGAAATTGACTTTATTCTTGTGATACTGTCGGTAGCAGCAATCCATCTGATAAATTGAAGCTTCGCGGAGAAGATTTCCTTGATTTCATCCTGCGAAGCGGTTCGCTCCCTAATTTTCATGTTTTCTGAGTCTCTGTAAATAACCAAAGGGCGTTCTACTCGCAAAAGATGCTGCTTCAGTGGGGCGACGAGTCTGAATTTCTCTCCACTTGGAATAAAGCCGAAGTTGGGAATTTTGATGCCATGTTTTGTCATCGATTTTACTTTCTCTTTTGACACTTCTTGAATCCACCCTTTTTCGATTCTTGATTTGAGATGATTTTTGACGAGCTTGTTCCAAGTCTGGCGCTTGAAGACAAGAACTTCGTTCTTTTCCCTTGTGACGAAGAAGACCTTCAGAAACAAATTCTTCATGAGCTTGAACATGCTATTCAAAAAATAGGCTGTCAGATCTTCCTTTTTCTGGCTCCTCAGTTCATGCAGTATCGCTATCTCTCCTAAATACAGTAAATTCTAGCAAATATAAACATCGCTTTACCTATGGTCGTCTTTTCCAGAAAGATCGTCGCACAATCCCAGTCGTCAGAACTCCAAAGAGCACGATCGTTAATAATTCTCTCAAAAGTTCTCCAAAAAGATCGCTTCAAAGTCAGCATCCATTTTCCAAAGACTGCTTCGTACACAGGTTTGATTGCAAAGACTGCGACTGAAACGGGAATCGAATCGTCGGCGACTTTTCCACTGTTGGACTTTTTCTTCGTCGATTTTTGAATTCTAGCAGAAATCTGCTTGGTAAATGCGAACATCAACGGACAAGTATCAGCTTCAACGCCTGCTCTCATTTTTAGTCGTCTTTCATCGTATGCCTTTTGCCAAGAATTAACACAACCCTGAAGAAACAACGGTAAGTAACAATATTGATGAAGGAAAAGAACCTCAATGACGTGTTCTTCGTCCATAACGTCTCGGAATGAAGATGACTCCCTCTTACTCAACGCAATCTGGCCAGAGCTACCAGAACTTTCCATTCTACTTTTGTTATTTTTAGGAGAATGACTTTATCAAAGTTTAATTCTATTTATTTTAATAATGGCTAGAGTGAGATAAAAACAGAAATATAGAAGTGTGCGACTCGTAAGAGCCGTCTGGTTGAACCTGAGGAAGAAAAGGTAAATTGTATTGGCACATTGTAAGTGAACTGATAAAAGATGCATGCGATTACAGCCAGAGCTGGCGGTCTCGATGATTTTTAGAGAAAAACTCGGAAAGGCTAGCCCTAACTGTAAATTCAAGAAGTGATGGAGGATGATAAGCTGCGTTGAAATAAAGATTTTAAATAAAATGCTATTGAATTGACTTGCTGAAAAAACTCTTAAGTCTAGTTAAATTCGTTGTTGTTCAGGTTATTGAGTGGGTGAATGTGGGTGGTTTTAACATTCTTTGTATTCGGTTTCAGGAGCACCAATAGTTCAAAGCGTGAAATTCGGAAATAACAGAAAGTTTTTATAGTTGTTATATACAGAAGTCTGTCTGCTACAAATACAGAAGTTACTAATATACACGAAGGTCTTTTGTCTTTTCTTCTACTTCATTCATGTCTTTTGAGAACATCAAAGTGCCATCATCGTCGTAGATGTCTTCGATCGGCTCGTTATTATTTTCTTAAATTCGAAATTAAAAGATTTATCAGTGCGAAATAAATCAACTTTCTCCGTCTTCGTCATCATCTTGCGAAGCGAGGCGAGAAGCAGGTCTGGAGTTGAAGGGAGAAGCGGCAATGGACAAATTCGCAAGAGAAGGCGTTCTTTTAAAAGCACCCATTTTCGCTCTATGCAAGAGCTCAATTTCTTCCTGGATATTCTGAATATTTCTTTGAAAACTTCAAAGGATTTTGCGAAGTACCTCTGGAAGGACACGCGCGAGGGCGAGTTTTCGTGCTTCTGTGTAGTATCGTCCGAGGTTTTTCCAGTCCAAAAAGTCGGAAAGTCTTTCCGTTCGGTTTCGCTGGATGATTCGCTGGCGACGGGTTTGTTTGCAGAATCCAAGCATGTTGTCTGCCAGGTCCTCTGCTGCCTTTTCAAAAGCCTAAATGATCATTTTATTGAGAAAATAAGAAGAAAAGCATACCGGGTATCGTCTGTCAATCACATAAGTTCCATATTGCCAGGCATTTTCGATGTGTTCCTCCATCCAGCAACCGTAACCAGAAAGATTTGTCGTTACAGAGGGAATGCCCATAACAGTACACTCAGCAGGAGTGTAACCCCACGGCTCGTAGTAGCTAGGGAAGACGCCTAAGTGACAGCCTCGCGCGAATTCCATGTAGTCCATTGGTAAAAGAGGATTTGTCGGCTTGAGGAACTCTGGATGGAAAATAACCTTTACGCGATCCCACCAATTGTTGTGAAGCTTGCATTCACGTAGTTTGCTCAGAACGGGGTCTTTTGCGTCGTTGACGAGGTTGTGGGTCGTGATGGGAGGGAGAGGCCGACCTTCTGCGCCGTAGACTTTTGATTTGATCTCGTACATGTCCTCGTCGCCGATAATTTCTGAGGCTTCTGGAATATGACCCTAGAGAAGGAAATTGAAAAGTGATAACTAAAAGCTTTCTTTACCTGTGTAACAGATTTGTAAATCCGTTGGCCGATGCGTTCCTGCAATTTTCTCGTTGATTCTATAAGTGCTTTCGACTGGCTCTGGCCTTCGAGGGATTCCACATTGAATGAGTTTGTCTTTCCGTTGAAGATCATGAAGGCAGCAACAGTAACGTCGCTCTGCTCGTCCATTAACTTTTTGTTCAATCTAGCGAGCGCTTCAATGAAGAGATCGATGCCCTTATTTCTGTATTCGTATCGGCCAGCAGTGAACATGTAAATCGTGTTATCCAAGTCAAAGTCCAGATGACCGTAGAAATGGCCTTGCATGAACTGTTCAATCTTTTCTTTCGACTTCTGATGCTGCGACTGAAACTCGTGGGGAGCCGACCATCGCTTCACATTCAGCCCGTTTGGTGTGATTACATCTGGCTTTCGCTTCAACAAGTGTTCGGCCTCGTCTGCTGTGATTTGAGAAACGGCGGTGAAAACATGTGAAAGCGATGCAGCGGCGCGTTCGATGCAATATCGATGATAAATTTGTCTCCTTCCTGCTTCGTAATCAACATCAACGGTGTGGAGATTCGTGTAGAAGTCGAAGGCGGGATCGGCGCAGAGATATCTGCCAAGAAGAGTCGCGTGTGTTGTGAAAATCGTCGCAACGTTAAGCTTTCTTATTCTCGCCATGATCATCCCCACGGAAGCGAGCCACTCGTGGAAGTGACAAATAGTCAGCGGAATTCGATCCTCGTTGGCGAGTTTGTACTGGTGCAACCACTCGCCGATGAACCACGCGCAAACAAACCCGTAGAGGATCGTATCGTTGTATTCAATATCTTCGAATGGTCCATTGATCTTTGTTTTATCCGCGAATTCTCGACGCCAACCGTCCAAATATCCGGCAACGGATGGAATGTCAAAGAGCACGACTTGTGGAACGCTTTCAATAAGCCATTTACCAGTTGTTACACCGACGCCTCGCTCTCGCATCGCTTCGATCGTTCGCTGCATGATTGGATTTTGTAACTCACATTGTTCAACTTCTGTTCTCAACGCTCGGTCGTTTTTCTTGGCACCAAAGAGAACATAATTGGAATACCCCAACTCGTCAACGCTAACGGGTGCTTTGGACTTGATCACTTGGTAGATGCCGCCGACTTTGTTTGCAACTTCCAACGAAAACTCGAAGGTGAAGTATTCCATGTTTAGCGATTTCTGAAAAGAAAAAGGGTGGAAAAACATTTTCTGAAAGGCTTTCTATGTTCATATTGCACATAATAATATATGAAGGCAAGGTAACGAAACTCTGAACTGTAAAAAAGATGATAGAAAGGGGGATGAATAGATATGGCGATTTTGAATAAAATTTCAGTCAAGAAGTCCCTCATCAGGTTCATCTGGTAAAATGGCGTTCATTGCTTCGTGAGGATTTTCTGGGTGCGTTGGGTAGTTGGAACCGTGAAGTTCAGGTTCATAAGTCACCAATACAACGCTTGTCTAGAAACAAATTTTAGCGTAATTGTTACGTAACAGCTGATTATTCAATAATCAACTGCGAAAGTTTATTACCCAGACGTGGAGCATGATCATGTATACGAGCACGAGGAGTCTGACTGTTGGATACCGCTTCAAAAGAACACCAATTCGGATTGATAGTTTATCGAGAGCTCCAACAGCGCGTTTAATTTTCCCGACGGCGTCGTCGGTAGAGTCGGTGATGAGGGATTCGGCGTCGATTTCCACGTGACCGCGTTTTCGAACGACTGGCGAACTGTTTTGTGTGTGATTCTATGGATGTTATTTAACTAATTGACAAAAGGAAATGGTCGCTGTAATCAAGAAAGAGTACTTACGGATCGCATTCTCGTCCTTTCCAACTCCAGCGAAAGAGCTGATTTATCGGACGAAAGTGCCTCAATTGTCGTTTGTTTCTCAATCAGCGTATCTGTCAGCGCTCTCAGTCTCTTTTCCAGCTCTGCGTTTGACGCGTGCGACATGACTTTGCTCCTCAGTCGGCCGATCTGAATTGCCAATTTTCATCGAGAAAAATGTTATTTCAACCGAAAAAGGAAATTAAAGGTGAAATATAGAGCGATGTTCTTTTATAAAGGAGTCCCTGGCGCGAGAAAACGCGTGATGGTTAAGTCACAGCCATGATTTGTCCAACAAAAAATGAGGTGTTATGTAACTTGCTCTATCCTAGAGACATGTTACGATACGCCCATTTTTTGTGTTATAGTAAGTTACGCGGCTACATAATGAGCTCCTTTAATACTATTAAAACTTGATGAAATCAACGAGGATATTATATTGTAATTTGATAGAAACGCACCTCACGATCTTTTTCAGCCGTCAGTCTGCTCAGCTCAAGTCTAGCTGCGTCATTCTCGCGCTGGCTCTGCCCTAGTTCTAGCCTCAGCCGCGCTAGCTCTGGCGTAACTTCATTCAGCCTCTGCTGACTGTGCTCGAAATTGACTTCCATCTCGCTATAGCGCGTCACTAGAATTCCTAATTAACACATTTACAAAGTGATGAGATTCTTACTGGATTGTTCAAAGTCCTCAGCTGCTTGAGACTCAGCTTGCTGGAGATCTGCGCGTAGGTCTTGAATCTGATGATATTTTTACTTCTTTGGGCATCGGAAAAAGAACTTACTTGAGTTGCGAATGCTCTGTTTTCATCCTTTAGCAAATCATTTTCATGTTGAAGCTCTTCTAGTTTTACGCAGCGAGCTGAAATAAAACATAATTACTTTTAAAAATCATTTCTTGTTACCCTGGTTTTCAGAAGAAACTTCCGATTCTTCTTTTTGCGCATTTGGATCAGAATTTTTCAGCGATTCGATGAGCTTCTTCTTCGATTGAAGAATTCGCTGCGACTTGACCTTGTATTCTTCAAATTCGACTTGGATCCGTTCCATGCCAGTTTTGAACGTTCTCGCCTGTGATTGAGCCTCCGAACTTTTAGTTCGTTCTTGCTGGAGGAGAATTTGAGCTTTGGCAAGAGCTTCTGAAAGCGTTGACTTTTCGATTTCCCATTGAGTCTCCCGCTCGTCGATTTCCTTGGCGCGGGTTTCTTTTTCTTTCATCGCTACTGCTTCAAAGAAGATTTATTTTTAGATAAGATCAGGGAATATGCATGTAACATGCAGCATGTTTCACCATGCGAGATCGGAACAGCTGAGTAGGTTCGAATTCTCATATTACCAGCTGATACGGTGAATAAGTAACTCGAACAACGATAGTCGTTAACTTAGAGCTCAAAATGATTCTTTATAAATGACTCTGAAATTCAGAGTCTGAATCTTGATTTAGACCTAGTCCTCTCCGAACTCAATACGGTAAACTAACAGAATAATAAATCCCTTTCCTAACTCAGCATCTTTTTCATCAATTTCACTTTGTCTTCTCCTCTGCAACTCAGAATTCGTCAGAGTCAGTTCCCTTTCAGTCTTCCTCTGAACCAGGGGTGGATATTTTGAAATCAACCATTATTCCATTTTATTCTAGAGCAAATTTGGCTTGATAAATCGGCTTGAAATTTCGCATGTTATCATCTTTTATATATTCGAATCAGTCCTGAAAATTTCAGACTGATTCATCAAGCCAGTTTTGCTCTGGAAAAAATGGAATAATGAAATGATTTCAAATTATCCACCCCTGCTCTGAACATCCATGAGCCTTGAAATCTCCATGTTCAACGAGTTCATTTCCTGCCGCAAAAGTTTGTTTTCCAACTGAAGGTCCATCGGTTCATCTCGTCTTTCTCCAACAACGGATCCAGGGGCAGAGACGACTTCGAATTCGCTATCGTTGCCAAAGTTTGTTCCCGGGGTTGTTCTACCACTAGGCGGCGTTGGAGGCTTCCGGAGAAGATTCATTCCGGATTCGGAAGATTCATCATCGGAATTTTTATCTTTTTTCACCGGGCGGCGAGGGACAGGAGACATCCTAGGTGAACCGGTCAGACGAGAGGGAGAACTGGTCAATTCTCGGTCAAGCCGGAGATCCCTCGAGCTGTTTCTTGAATGCTTCGGGCTTGCGGTCCTGACCGGTCCGAACGAGCGATTCATAGATGTCATTGAAGCGGACCGGTCCATCCCACCAGAGAGTGGAGGAAAATCAGCATCGGACTTTTCATTTTCTCGCTTTTCCTTTATCTCCTCGATTTTTTTCTCCGCGGTTTCAATCGCTGCACCCGCTTGCTTATCCAAATTATCCAGGAGTGCCTCACCCTGCTTGGCCAGATTTGAAAGCCATGACATTCTACGATTTTTACAACTCAACAATGGAAAGAGACATATGTCCTATAGGATTTTTTAAAATAAATAGTAACGAAGAGCCAGCATTCAGTTTGTTGAACGGAAGCTGGAACTTTGTTTAATTTTATTCAGTCTGGAACAAATGTGCTCGCGGCGAGCTTGGAACAGCGCAAGATTTAGTGAAGAAAGTTTGGCTCGGTCGAGCGGAGTTGATGATGCAAGAGGTGAAACTTGGGGATTGCCAGAAGGAAGGGGAATCGACGAAAATGAAGCATCTCCACTGCCGAAAATCAGCTCTCCTTCGACACGGGAGGATCTTGGGGTTTCGTACTTTGTGGACTTGCCGTGAAGAATGATGCTATCGCCTTAATTGGGGTCGACAAGGGGTCAATGAATGACCAGTTGGGTCTGAAAGAAGGGCTCTAGGATACTGAGAATTTCTTTAGGCAGATAACTATCAAGATTGACAGAGAAAATCTTGAAAAACAAAAAATTTAGAGCCCTAAACTGAACGGAATGTGTGTCACCGGTTTCAATGGGGTAACCGAGATACCAGCACTAACTGCTGGGATCATCGGGAGAGAATGAACCCAATTTTGAGCAGGAGAAGGGTTTTCAAAAGTCAGGGGCGGGGGAAAAGATTCTTGTAGACCCGTTGCGCCTGAGAGACAAGACCGCTCGCTCACTTCTTCCTCGACTTCGACGATTTCGACGGATTCCTCTTCTGAGTTCTGCTCGGAAAGGGTAGTTGAAGAAGGTGCTGGAGTGCTAGGACCGGGATATTCTCGTTGTCGAGCGAGAATTTCGTTCGCTTTTGCGTCAATTGCAGCAATGCGCTTATCCATATCTCGGAGTCGATCTTTCTGAAAAAAGGATGAACAATTTGAAATGTCTCTAGAATAATTTATTTACCGAAAGATCAGAAGAAGATGTCGCAATATTCGTGCTCGTAGCGATCATTTTGTCGTAATGGGTGAATTTCTTCATCATGTTCAGGCTGCTGTTTCTCATCGAATCTCCCTGAAAACTCACAATTAATTCCGACAAAAAGGGAGGAAACTTACGGTTCGATCGATCTTGTCCTTGAGCGATTTTCTATCAGAAAAAAGGTAGCCGATTTTCTTGTGGGTTTGTTCCACTTTTTGCTCGACCGTGCCGATTCGTTTCTCCACATCATCGAGTCTTCTTACTTGATTCAGAAGACCTTTTGCAGCTTTGTAGCCGACGCTTACGGCGCAACAGGATACAACTAAAAATTTTTCTTTCAAAAATTTGAAACTTTTAATGAATTTCCCAATAAAATTGGCGTAACTGGGAGATTTGATTGCTCCAAAAATTTTATGTATGAACACCTACGTATTTTTCAGTCGCAAGCCAAGCAGATCAGCATATTTCTTCAATTTTGATTGGATAAAGTATAATTTATCTTTTTTCATTAATAGAAGCTTAGAATCAGTAATTCTATTATTAAAACTAACAATTTATGAATAAAATTACAATAACGAATTATATAAAAATAACTATTAAAAGACTTACCGTAAGGAAGTACCTCTGCAGCCAGTTTCACGTCGCTAAGTTCCATTTTGAAAATAATGAAGTTGAAATTCGAATTTTGCCAAAATACATTTTTTCCCAAACATGTTCTAGAAAACACATTTTATAAAAAAAATTTAGCACGGCTAAATTCTCGTTTTTTTCAGACAGAAATGTCTCTTGGAAGCTCATGAAGAAAATACCTAACTGTCGTTTAGGGAATTGGGGATTGGCGCATAATTCGCTATTGGGCGGCTCCGCGGCGAATAAACGAGCGTGAGAGAAATTCCATTTTGTAGGAAATTCTAGCGCAGAGGTAGAATGAGTACAGATTTCATCAGAGAAAACTTGAAGAAAAGAAAACAAAGATACGATGTTTGGCTGGAACTTATTGAAGAACTAAATGCTGCGCAGAATAGGGCTGATAAGTGAGTAAAAACGAATTCATATGCTAATAAATCGTAATTTCGGTTATTTTTTGTCACAAAAAGACCCCTAAACACAATTTTTAGATTCGAAGAGGAGAAAACGCAACTAGAAAAAGTCCTAGCCGAAGAATCACGCTCATCCCCTCGCGAATCTGCAGTTTCTGGCGAATCTGACTCTGTTAGATCTGCGCGAATTTCCCATCTCGAGCAAAAATGCTTCAATCTCCAAGAAGAACTGACCGAGCTTCTCCGCTCGAAAGCGTCCACGGCCGAAGAATTGTCGCGAAAAAAAGACCTCGTTTCCGAACTCGACGATAAGCTCCGCCTTTTGCAAATTGAAAATGACGAGAAAAACATGAAACTTCAAAATTACCAAAACGGCGCGGAAAATAGCGAAGAAGCGATTCGCGAGCTAAAACGAAATCATCAAGTGCTTCTCGACGAACATGCAGCTTTGCAGCTTGCATATTCGCAACTGGAAAAACAGTGCGAAAATTTGAGAACTGAAAACGGTCATTTGACGAAAGAACTACTAAGGAACAGGGTCAAAATATCCAAAACACGGGAAAACGCAGCAATAACTATTTTACAAAAATAGTTATTTTTGTAAATTTACAAAAACAACCTGAAAACCGACTAATGACTATTCAATTTTTGACCCTAGAATCAGGGCGAGAGAGCAAATAGCCGAATACGCGAATGCAGAAGCAATAGCTGCCGCAAAATTGAAGGATTTGCAGAAAAAGATCGACGCAGAAAATCTGATCCGAGACGCGACTAAAGGAGTTCTACCGGATGCGAAAATAACGTACACCGCTAGGAGCTCTCCGCCGATCAAGAAGATCAATCAATTCGAAGCTAACAATGGAGAGGTCTTCGAGGTCAAGTTCAGTCCTGACGGGGCGCACTTGGCCACAGCTGGCGAAGACAAATGTGTCAATATTTACAACGTCAGAAATCCTGCTTCGAGAATCGAATCCCCTGTTCTCACACTAAAAGGTAGATTTCAAAAAATCAAATTGGACGAGAATTGATTTGAATAAATTCAGGTGCAAATGCTGCTATTACGAGTCTCAGTTTTTCAAAGAACAGAAGACACTTGTTGGGCTCGTCGAATGATCAAGCCGCGCGAGTTTGGGATCTGTCCTCGGGCAAGATTGTTCAGTCACTTACCGGCCATCAGGTTCGATTTTTATAGGGAAAGAAAAGAAATGATTTGTTATAAAAGAGGCCTCTGTAAAGTCGGTCTATCATCCTTTCCATTTTTTCTTTCAGGGACCTGTAACTACAGCACGATATCTAACACAAAGCACGGCCGTGACAGGCTCACAAGATCGTACAGTTCGACTTTGGGATTTGACGAAAACCTCGTGCACAAAAACCCTCTGGCCTGGATCAAAGGTAGACCCGCCTGTTTTATTTGATCAATCTTCAATTAATGCTTATCCAGTGCATCGACGTCTGTAACGGTTCGATGGACGGTTCACTCATCATGTCGGCGCATTACAACAAACAAATTCACGTGACGGACATTCGAGCTTCGGCAAAAGATGAAAAGCAAGTGATCAGTTTGTCTGGTCGACCGACCGGTATTGCTGTTCCAGCGGATTTTGGTCAGTCGTTACTGGCATTGACGCGAAACAACGACTTGGCGGTCATTGATCTAAGACAGATGCAAGTGCGAATAACACTCAGCGATCTTCAGAACGACTTCAGAGTTACTGCTGATTACTCAAGATGTTCTCTTTCGGTAATTTTCTAAATTTCTGCGATCAGCGAAAATAACTTCTTCTTTGAACTAGATCTGACCTCTTTTCTTTTAGCCTTGTGGAGGACTAGCACTGGCAACAGGTCAGGATGGGCGAATCTCCTGCTGGGACGTAAATACAGGAAGACTACTCGACGGAGCAAATGCCGAATCCGCCGGAAATCTCATCTCATGCGACTGGAGTTCCCGCCTCGTTGCCACTGGTTCCAAATCAAAAACTGTCGTACTTTGGTCCGATTAAAGTTCAAAAATTGAAAAAAAGAACATGTTACCCTAACTAAAATTTCACTGAAAAACTATTTTCAAATCAAAAAACTTTCTTCAAAAATTCACATTCATCATTCAAATTTAACCTCCATTTTGTTGATTAACATTGCATCTGATTTAGAATGGTTATTCAAGCGAATGGAATCGATTATCACGCTATTGAGATACAACTGGACAATACCATCTTTTCAAGTACAGTGTTTCTCTTGGATTTTTGGCTAAATGATGATTTCTAGAGGAAAAAATAGAGAACACTCCATCGCGAGAAGACGGAATCGACGAAGAAACAGAAATTGATTTACGAAAAATCGGAGCGGAGTTGATTCAAAAAGCCGGGATTTACCTCGATTTACCGCAAGTAGCAATCGCCTGCGCTCAAGTTATTTTCCAGCGATTCTACTTTACGAAAAGTTTGGTCACGTGTGATGTTTGCGTCGCGGCAAAAGCCTCCATATGGCTCGCCTCGAAGATCGAAGAAGACGTCCGGCGGCCACGTGACGTGATAAACGTCTTCCATATGTTGGAGCAGCAGCGGCTTGGAAAACCCTGCATCCCGATGGTCTTCGATCAAAAAGGCTTGAAAGTCTATCACGAGATCAAAAAAGACTTGATAAAAATGGAACACAAGATCCTTGCCGAAGACGATTTCAAATAACTCGTTCAAAAATTTTTTTTAACACACCCTTTTTTTGTGCTCATTTGAAAGAGCGTGAAAAACTGGTCCAGAAAATGCTGGTCTTATCATCGGTGACGTCACGAGTGGCGCGCGGGCGCCCCCTAAAGGTCTAATTAGGTCAATTGCGGGCTACGCGATTTCTCCGGTCATGCATATCGCACATGCATGGTTAGCATCTAGAATTGATCGTCGTGAGCAGGGCTACATGCCCCGGCCAAAATCGTCAAAATCGGACCACGTCTTCACCAGCTGGTTGACCGGCAAATATCTCAAAATGACAAAATCACTTACTTTTGATAAAGGCAACCTACCGATGGAAGTAGGGGGTGGCCCCGGACTCGAGCCCGAGTTACTGCCGTATTCGGCCACTTAGTGCCGGAGGACCTCCCGGAGGACTCCTCTGCTGGAAGAAAAGCTGCTGGAAGACTTATATTGAAAAATATAAATACAAATAAAATTTAAAGCCATGATTGGCTAGTAATTGCCGTATTCAGCCACTAAGTGCCGGAGGACCTCCCGGAGGACCTCTCTGCTGGAAGAAAAGCTGCTGGAAGACCAATTTTTAAAAATAAAAATACAAATATAAAGCCTGGATTGGCTAAATATAGTCTAATTTGCCGCATTTGGCCACTTTCTGCCGGATGACCTCCCGGAGGACCCGCCTACTAAAAACCGACTGCTGGTAAGCCAATATTAAAAAAAAAGAATAAATAAAAAGCCTTGCCACATCTGGCAAAACTCGATCACTTTAGTTCATACGCCAGTTCATACTTTTCAATCAGACTCAAAGCGAAGCCGACTCGAAGGGAAGGCCACGCCCGTTCATTCTTTTCAATCAGAGTCAGGGCGAAGCCGACCCGAAGGGGAGGCCACGCCCGTTCATTTTTTTAAATCAGATTAAGGGCGAAGCCGACCCGAAGGGGAGGCCGATCCCGTTCATTCTTTTCAATCAGAGTAAATACTAAGCCGACCCGAAGGGGAGGCCGCGCCCGTTCATTCTTTTCAATCAGAGTCAGGGCGAAGCCGACCCGAAGGGGAGGCCACGCCCATTCATTCTTTGCAATCAGAGTAAGGGCGAAGCCGACCCGAAGGGAAGGCCACGCCCGTTCATTTTATTAAATCAGATTAAGGGCGAAGCCGACCCGAAGGAAGGCCAATCCCGTTCATTCTTTTCAATCAGAGTAAATACGAAGCCGACCCGAAGGGGAGGCCGCGCCGTTCATTCTTTTCAATCAGAGTCAGGGCGAAGCCGACCCGAAGGGGAGGCCAAGCCCATTCATTCTTTGCAATCAAAGTAAGGGCGAAGCCGACCCGAAGGAAGGCCACGCCCGTTCATTTTATTAAATCAGATTGAGGGCGAAGCCGACCCGAAGGGAGGCCAAGCCCATTCATTCTTTGCAATCAGATTAAGGGCGAAGCCGACCCGAAGGGGAGGCCAATCCCGTTCATTCTTTTAATCAGAGAAATAACGAAGCCGACCCGAAGAGGAGGCCGCGCCCGTTCATTCCTTTCAATCAGAGTCTGGGCGAAGCCGACCCGAAGGGATGGCAACGTCTAATCATTTTATTCAATAAGAGTCAATGCGAATTGGATTGAAGCCCTTAATCGCCCTTAATCTGATTTAAAAGAATAAACGGGCGTCTGGCACTAAGTGGCTGAATACGGCAATAACAAGCCAATCATGGCTTTAAATTTTATTTTTATTTATATATTTTAATATAAGTCTTTCAGCAGCTTTTTATTCACCAGAAGAGCTTCGGGTCGGCTTCGCCCTTACTCTGATTGAAAAGAATGAATGGGCTTGGCCTCCCCTTCGGGTCGGCTTCGCCCTGACTCTGACTGAAAAGAATGAACGGGCGTTGCCTACCCTTCGGGTCGGCTTCGCCCTGACTCTGATTGAAAAGAATGAACGGGCGCGGCCTCCCTTCGGGTCGGCTTCGTATGTACTCTGATTGAAAAGAATGAACGGGATTGGCCTCCCTTCGGGTCGGCTACGCCCTTAATCTGATTTAAAAAAATGAACGGGCGTGGCCTTCCCTTCGGGTCGGCTTCGCCCTGACTCTGATTGAAAAGAATGACGGGCGCGGCCTCCCCTTCGGGTCGGCTTCGTATTTACTCTGATTGAAAAGAATGAACGGGATTGGCCTCCCCTTCGGGTCGGCTTCGCCCTAAATCTGATTTAATAAAATGAACGGGCGTGGCCTCCCCTTCGGGTCGGCTTCGCCCTGACTCTGATTGAAAAGAATGAACGGGCGTGGCCTTCCCTTCGAGTCGGCTTCGCTTTGAGTCTGATTGAAAAGTATGAACTGGCGTATGAACTAAAGTGATCGAGTTATGCCAGATGTCGCAAGGCTTTTTATTTATTCTTTTTTTTTAAATATTGGCTTACCAGCAGTCGGTTTTTTAGTAGGCGGGTCCTCCGGGAGGTCATCCGGCAGAAAGTGGCCAAATGCGGCATATTCGACTATATTTAGCCAATCCAGGCTTTATATTTGTATTTTTATTTTTAAAAATTGGTCTTCCAGCAGCTTTTCTTCCAGCAGAGGGGTCCTCCGGCACTTAGTGGCTGAATACGGCAATTACTAGCCAATCATGGCTTTAAATTTTATTTGTATTTATATTTTTCAATATTAGTCTTCCAGCAGCTTTTCTTCCAGCAGAGGAGTCCTCCGGGAGGTCCTCCGGCACTAAGTGGCCGAATACGGCAGTAACTCGGGCTCGAGTCCGGGGCCACCCCTACTTCCATCGGTAGGTTGCCTTTATCAAAAGTAAGTGATTTTGTCATTTTGAGATATTTGCCGGTCAACCAGCTGGTGAAGACGTGGTCCGATTTTGACGATTTTGGCCGGGACATGTAGCCCTGCTCACGACGATCAATTCTAGATGCTAACCATGCATGTGCGATATGCATGACCGGAGAAATCGCGTAGCCCGCAATTGACCTAATTAGACCTTTAGGGGCGCCCGCGCGCCACTCGTGACGTCACCGATGATAAGACCAGCATTTTCTGGACCAGTTTTTCACGCTCTTTCAAATGAGCACAAAAAAAGGGGGTGTTAGAAAAAATTTTTGAACGAGTTATTTGAAATCGTCGAACTTGGCTTCTGCGTCCACGTGCAGCACCCTCACAAGATCATAATTATGTATCTGAATATGATCTACAAAACCGAGAGGAACAAAGAAAATCTCGTTCAGGAAAGTGGTTTAAATCATCTTCCTCCTTTGTTTTTGTGAGCTCGTGGGTATCAAAGTATTTTTAAAGAGCTCAAAGGAGCGTGCAAAAAGTTTTCAGAGTACTAAAGCTTATTTACTTCCGTGAATTTCTGTAGATAAGAGCCTAAGAGTTATTTAAATAAGTTGTCTTAAAAGGAACACCAGCCAGTTATCTAAGGGGAAAACCGTGTTACTCGGGTAATTTTCCTTGTTGCCTTCAATTTTTAAAACCGCGATGCTCAGACTGCCTGGAACTACATGAATGATTCATTTCGAACTACTCTCTTTTGCGAGTATCAACCGGAAGTGATCGCCTGTGCTTGCATCTTTCTGGCCGCTCGGATGCTCAAAATCCCGCTGCCCGGGTCAGATGAAGAGACCGAGCCCAAACAGTGGTACGAACTGTACGATGCGAAAACGGAAGATGTTGAAGCGATCGCGATAAGGATTTTGCAGCTTTATACGAATCCTACTGTAAGTGAGCAAAAAGAGTAAGATTGAGATGTAATTCTAGAGGTCTTTTGATGAGCTGATGGAAAAAGTGAAGCAACTGCAAGAAATCAAAAAGAAACAGCTGAAAAAACTCAACGCCAGTTCGCAAGATTTAGACTCGCCCTTGGCCAGTGGTCAAAACAGTCCAGGTAAAAGTTGTCCTCGGAAGACAGTCCTGCCATTTTACGTCAGATTAATCCTTTATCTGAGACAAATAGACTCCGTTTTTAATTTGCAAGGGGAAAAAGTAGAGAGGAATTTGATCGATCATCTATATTTTATCGTCTCTTGACCGAGCCAGCTGACGATATTTAAATTAAATTTGTATCAAGATCATTTTATCGTATCACGGGCCTCTGTTTTTGTTTTATTTCGCATTCCTCGAATACCTTGCTAGAAATTTTTTATGAGGCAGAGTCAGTCTCTAGTCATCCCGCGCTTGAAATTTGGCATGCTCGTTAGTTTTTTCTCGATTCTCAAGGTCATTTAAAAATGAGCAAATCCACTCATCTAAATCATGTGATCAATTAATGCTTTCATATTTGCCAAGGTCGTTATTTAATTAATTGATTTTTATGTTTACGATGAATTTTATAGCTGCTGATTCACCAAATATCGAACAAGCGGTTACCAAGAACTCGTAAGTGCCCAAAGAAACAGTAATGAACTGTCGAGTAACTGATAAATTTGAAGGCCAAAGCGAAAAAGAACACGAACGAGATCGAGATCACGTGATTCTCGTCATCGCCACGAGAAGAAAGATCGACGAGATCGGGATAGGAAAAAGAGCCGAGATGCTTCTGATAGGGATCGTGAAAGAAGAAGGGATAGGGATCGACGAAGAAGCAAGGATAGAAAGCGCAGATCGTAAGTCCAAAAATCAAAGCGATTCCGAACGTTCCCTTATCACTGCTTGCATATCAAGGGGATTATGTAACATGCTGTTGAATTTGAATTTTAGGCGCTCGCGAACGAGGTCCAAATCCAATTCTCGCGATAAAGAGCGAAGGCGAGAGCGGCGATCGGACCGCGAACGGAAATAGAAAATCACCGGAAGAGGAAATAGAAATAGCGAAAATCGCGAAATGCGCCTGTGAATACACGATCGACCGCGCGCCACTATCCCTTAATTGACCACTTCTCATCTTACCGAATCTCGTGTGCAAAAGAGCTTTAATCTCTCCAATCTTTGTCCATTGCGTATTTTGTGTATGTCTTGCGGTTCGGCCATTATCAACCGGGGCGAATTGATATTTCGCAAATGCGGTATCTCCCAATTCCAATCAACTTTAGGAGAAAAGAAAAAAAACCACAGCCTCAAGGTCTGCTATCGCGTTATTTTCCGGCCACGAAACAGAGACCCGCACCTGTGGGAAATCGCAGCGGGGATCATTTGACTCCGCGCCGGGACTTAGCAATTACAAATTTAGATTTTTCATCCCCTGCTTTGTTCGCCCCTGCGGCTTTCCTGGGAATTTATGACCGCCGTTTTTCCAGGATTATCGGATTAGTCCTTGTTGATTTCCAAATAGTTCAATAGAAAACAGTGCATTTTTTCTGAAATCTTGAAAATTTTGCTCATTTATTTGGCCTTTTTCCATTATTTCTCCCTCCGTTACTCTCGTAAATTATGTCTGTGATCCGCTTCGCGTATTGGCCGGGAAAAATATAAATTTTTCGCCTTCGAACAGCCATAGCTCACGTTATACTTTATGAAACCAAGGGATGAAGGTATCTTTCGAAAGCTCAGAATCTGAGGATTGGGGGAACGTAAAAATCATTTCGGAAAATCGACATTTCTGATTGGCCGAAAATTTGAAATAATTATTTTTGCCAGTCAACATCAACTTTTTTCAAATGTTTTTTCGGGGACGCTCGTCTAAATTACCAAAGATTTTTGGTAATGCATTACCAAAAATTGGTAATCCATTACCAAACTTTTTTCATAAGTTCTGATTTTTTGTCCAAAAAATGAGTAAATCACTCCCAAACGTTTTCTATCACACAGGCGCGGAGCGCACAAGGGCTCTTTGACTAAACAAAATTGGCACTTTTCGGGAAGTTTGGTAATGCATTACAAAAAATTGGTAATGGATTACCAAAATTGGTAATGCATTACCAATTGGTAATTTAGACGAGCGTTTCCCTGTTTTTTCTTTCCTCCAATCCTCAGAAACTGAGCTTTTTAAAAATGTATCAATCACGTGATTTCATCATCTCTAACGTGAGATATGGCAGTTCGTAGGAAATTCATAAAAATGCTCTCAGAATCGCCCCAGGCAATGAAAAGAAGTTTTTTCCAGGTGATTTCTAGGTTTTCGATGATGACTAAAACGATCAACATAATGATTTTCCCCCTAGTTGAAATTTTTGTCAAAATCGAAAATTTATATTTTTTCCGACCATTCTACTCGTGAGAGTCCATTCTTGGAATTGAATATTATTTTTGAACGTATGCCCAGTAGGCCGAGCGGCTTTCTTGGCACGTAACTCTAGCTTACAATTACCGTCTTTTTCAGTTTTAATCTCGTGGATAAATAATCGTGTTCCGTCGTTGAAGATCTTTGTGTATTTATTTTTAGCGCCCTTTCTACCGTTTTCTCACAAAAAGAAAATCACCGATATTCAAGTGGATACGCAGCTGTACGTGCCTATACGCGTATGTCTAAAAAATAAACCCTGTATCATCCCTTTTTTGAGCTTCAACTTTCATTCACCAGTTTCAGTGAAGCGCCAAGTGCGCGCGCGTGCGCCGCACTACGAGCATGGCGCTAAACTGAAACCAAAAATTTAAAACTCAAAAAAGATTGAGAAAAATAATGTGAAGACAAGCTTGTCAAAAAGAAGCAAAATAACTTGACAAGTTATATCAACAACTCAAAATTTGAACTTCACCTTTTTTAAATAAAAAAACTGCCAGTATATTGAAAAATACGAAAAAAACAAAGAAAGAGATTAAAGAAGAAATCCGAAAATGGGGTATTTTCAGTGTCGGTCTCCTCCTCGCCAAATGGCGTCGGATGGAGGAGAGAAAATGTTCGATCCGGTGCTGTTCGACGTCACCAGAATTCCAGCAGATGATATAGCGACACAGATTACAAAGGAAGATTTTGAAGTGTTTCAGAATATCCGCCCGGACGAGGTAAGAACAAATTATCGTTTTGAATCGTTTATCGTGCGTTACATCCTTATTTTTTGGCCAATTTGCGCACTTTCTAATGAGCACAAGAAAGGGGGGTGCTAGGATTTCGAATCTCAACTCCTTATTGAAATTGGCCTTTGCCATTTTTGGTCGACTTAAGGGGGCTGGGTAAAGGCATGCTTGATTTTTGTTTATTTTAGAAGCAATTTTGGATAAGGAAGAGCTGCTTCCTTTTTCCCTTTCGAAATTAACCTTGAACCGTGTTCTTTTCCTAGAGCGGAAGTATAAACGACTCTAGTAAAACACATAAACCTATCTTGAGCGTGGCACCTTTTTGGAGCCCCGCATGAGAGCATGAACTTTTTGGCGAAGTCTTAATTTATTATTTTCTGCGCAAACGTTGTCTTGGAGCAAAGAATCGCATTGATCCCGTCTCAATGGGGTGTGACGCCTTTCAGTGCGCCGCTTTGTTCTTTATGAATGGCCCTGTTCATCGTCAACCCCTTTTTTTTTACTTTTGACGCGCGAAGAGTTAATGGAATTAAATCAATACTTCCTTTCACGTCAAAAGCTCTTCTTGTTGTTATTTTTGCTTATTCAGTTAGTCTTTCTTAGCTTAGCTTGCCTTAGTTAGGTTTTTTTCGACCAATCAAAATGGCCAAAAAAGACTTTCGGCTTATCGGAAACCGGAATAAAGTAAAGATCTTCGGGCCATATTTATAATAAGATAAGACCCAGCGTCTTTTTTGGAGAAAGAACAGACTCTAAGACCCGCTTTTACAACTGACTTCATGGCTCAACTTAATTTTATAGCCTATAAATGCAATTATGATGTTCTTTAGCCGGTGTTTTCACACGTGAGCGCTCATCATATTAGTGGAAAAGGGACTCGTTGATTCAGAATTTATGATCATCAGTGGCTCGTTATCATCAATACACATGTGCATCAATAATGATCCTATTTTGGTCTTTTGAACTTTGGGCGCGTGTCTAATGAACGGGCCGAAATCAAAGTCAGAATCGATCCCTCCCATCTGCCGGAGTGGTAATAAACTTAGAACAGATCATGTGACCTTTATTTCCACAAATCGATAAATGTCTCGCCACGCGGTCACGGTTCGTTAGTACAGTAGTAGCCGTGCTTCCACGAAATTGAAAGGACGCAGCCGACAGACCTTGTTTATGGTTATCTTTTTTATGGCTTTCGCTACTAATAAAAATGAAATTTGTATTTTTGAGGAATCACCTGTCGATCAGTGAGTGGTTTATTAGAGCGTATCGCGTGTCTGCCAATTTCGCTGATGAGCTAATTATTAGATGCTTTTTTAGAAAACATATACAGTAAGGGGTTGCTATTTCCAGGCTTATCTTAAAATTTATTCTTTGTTGATATTATAAATATTTTATTACAATAAAAATGATGCCTTTATGAAGACAAATGACAGTTTTATAAGTCGCGGGATTATTGATCGCATTGTTGCCCTGTTGACGGACTAATGAGGTTACTAACACATTGTTATTTATTTTTCACCTTCGTGTACCCGCTCGCAAAAATATTTACGCTTTTGGTTTCAGTTGACCTGTGTCGGATGGAGCGGGCGCAACAAACAGGAGCTATCCCCCAACGTGGTCGAAATGACGCAGCGCTTCAACAGGACTTCTTTCTGGGCCATCTCGGTGATCTTACAGACGCAAAACTTGAAACTACGAGTGGAAGTGCTTACACAGTTCATTCGCATCGCCAGGCGACTTCACGACTTTTCAAACTACCACGGAATGTTGGCGATCATAAGCGCGCTCAGACACGTTGCAATTGACCGGCTAACCGATACGTGGTCGAGGATCTCAAGAGCCGACAGGAAACACTTCGAAGTCCTGTCTAAATTTGTTCCAGAAGGTGACGGGCACCAGCTTTTGAGGGAAAAATTCGAGGCGATCCAGCTTCCCTGTATACCGCACTTGGGCTTGTTTCTCAAAGAACTGACGTACATCGACGTAGCGAATCCGATCGTCAACGGAATTGAGCCAGAAAGCAGAGTTATGAAAATGAACAATATTTTACGTCTCATCAGGTAAACTGACTGAAATCAACAACAAATCACTCCAGACTTATTTGAGCTAGCTTTATATTTCATTTTCATTTTCAGCGAGTTTCAAATGAGCGACTACTCGGATTTGCCAAGTCTACCTTACATACAATCCTACTTGAAAAGTTTCGACTACATCAGCGAGCTGCAGCGCTTCTTGGAAGACGACAATTACAAGGTTTGTCTATTGAACGCAGCTGAATTATTAATTGGCCTAATGAGCGGATCTTCCCACAATTGAGCTGCCCAAAAACTAATAATCATTACCGCCCAACGGTTCTCAGGTTCGCAAATTTATATCTCTTCTTCAGCAAAGTTACGAGCTCCAGCCCAAATTTGATAAAAAGTCGAAGAAGTTCGGGACAATGGACGACTTGAACAATCCCGCGCCGCGAAATTCAGTCACTTCTCGCTTCACCCGTGGTCACAGAAGAACAGTCTCCCTCGGCCGCTCCCCCAGACACAATCACGAGCTTTTGAGTACAGAACACCAGCCTACAGTGAGTTTGCTGGATGATCATCCATTGAGTCAATCTTCCTCGCCGGGGAGCATCAATGGCGTGCGAAATAGTTTGCCCGGAAATGGAATTAGCTGTATGCGCTTTACGAGAAGGAACGGGATAGAAATATATTTGCGCGGCAAATTTGACGAATGATGAGGGGGCTTCCCCGATTTTATTTTTCCATAAGGCTCGTTAAATATTTTTGTACCCGGAAACAAAGCCTCCGTCCTCAGCCCAATCAAGGCAGTTTAGGAAGCAACGGATCATCAAATTTCTCAACGCGTTCGGAAAAACTCTCCATTCCAGACGACATTCCTCCCGAAGCAATTATTCAAGAAGGATGCCTGATGCGAAAGAAAAACGCGAAGAAGGGGCAGAAGATGGCGATCAAGTACTGGAAACGGTACTGGATTGTGCTGACAAACGCCTCAGGAAATGGCTATGGCAATGATAACGTGCTACTTTTGTACGAGTCGAGGAGCCCTTTTATCTTCTCCAGGATAGTAGACAGAAGACAGTTTCATAGAGATAGCGCGAAACAAATGGTTCTTTCTCATTTTGTATTTTCGGAAGAATGTCCAAATGCCGATGAGTTCAGGTAAAACATTTTGCAGAAAAGACCCCAAATAACCCATTTTTAGTTTGACGGACGAGTACTCAGGCGAGTGCTACCGATTCAAAGCCTTTGGCGCAGTAAATGCTCATATGTGGAAAGCAGCGATCGCCGAAGCAAAACGTCCCAAAATACCAGACTTGATAGACCTTTCAGAGGACCGTTAACTCAACTCTTCTCGTTCTACTCAACTCTTTCTTCAAAACACACAGCCAAAGCAACCTCTCCTATCTACTGCATCGTTAAAAAATGATCATCAAAATCGAGTTTCATCCTTTTTTGCGATTTGTTGTAGCAGCTAAATATTGTATTATCGACTTGCTCCAGCAGTAGCCGCTAAAAACTACATAACTAACTACTGTGATAATTATTTGTGCCATTTTTGCTTTCCAATAAAGATATTTTTATTTCTACGACGAACCCATTCCACACGTATACACACACCTGCTTTAGTATAAAAAAACCATATGCCGAATAAATAATCTGTATATATGAGATCATGCAAACAAGAAGGATCTTTGAATGAGAAAAATATTTATTTTGCAAACTAAAATTAATTGATAATATAATGGGAGTCAATATAGTTACAATGCATGGAATGATAATAGCAATAATCAGAATAGAGATTTTTATATAACTGGATAAAATTTTACCGCATTCGAATCCGCCATCATTGTTAACGCAAGCAGTAGTTATCGCTGGGCAATTGTGTGCTCCTGACGTGCATTCATCGATGTCTTGGCATGCGTCGTCCGTGCCGATGATTGTTTCGAAGCCATCGTTGCAAGTGCAGACAGCCTCGGTTTCGGAAATTCGAGAGCAGGTCGTACTTGTTGCGTCACAGGCAAGGGCCACACAGGGATCAACAACACAAGTAGGGTTCTAATTAAAATGGAAAATCAGAAATAACTGTAGTTTACCTTTGCATCTCCCGAATCACTGCTCGAAAGGATGAAACCCTCATCACAAGTACAGGTCCAGTCTTCGACGACAGCAGGGAAGCTATTAGAATGGAAGACGGTATCAGTTGAGTCTAGCTTTTGGTTAGCAATCCGATTACGGTTAGCCTTTTAAAAATGTTTATCAATAACCAGTTCCTATAGGCGACGAATTGGCAGGGCATGTGGCAGGGGTGCAACCGCCAATTCCATCTCCGTACATTCCAATCGATGCACAATCGCAAATGTATCCTTTAGCGTATCCATCGAGCTCGGAATTGAAGGAAAGATCTCCAGTGTCGACGCAAGGGGCATCTGTGCACTGGTGGTCGCAGAATGGATCAGTGCAGCCAGTTCCATCGCCGGCTACAGCGCAGTTGTTGTATGCTTCAGGAGTGTCGCAGTCAATACCAGTGAATGTCACGCTACCCTCATTCAAGAACATCACCAAGTCAGAGGAAACAAAGCCAGCATCGCAGGCACAGGTATGAGTGTTGCAAAATGCGTTGATAGGGCAGTTGCTTCCATAAGCTGGGTCAAAGTAGCTCGCGAAATTTGAGCACTGTCCTAAATCTTGGCTCACGTCACACTCAGTTGGAACTTGATTGGTACAGGCGGAGTTTCTGACAGCACAAGGCTGGGTGAGGGTGTCGCACTCATTCACGTCAGTGCAGACAAGATCGCCAGTTTCGTATGAGCCGGTTTTTGAGAAACCGTATGTCTCGAAGTTGATGAAACAATCGCAAGTGAAAGCAACATCGAGGTCGGTGCAGATTTGATTTGCTCCACAATCGTGCGTTCCAAGATCACATTCGTTGACTTTCTTAATGCAAGAGCCGTTCTCAGTTGCATCACCAGTATGAGTATCGCTCGGACATTCACAAACATGAGTTCCGTCGCCAGTGCCGCGGCAAGTACTGATGGTATTTCCTTCGTTATCCAATGTTGGACACAAGTTTGGATCGTTGAAACAGACATCGCCAGAGCAACCGGTACCTGAGAGTTTTCCATCGCCAGTCTCTCCTGATGGGCACGTACAAGTGTAGGTTCCGGCAGTGAGCCCCTTGGAATATCGCTCTTCTATTTTAGTACAAGTAGCGGTTGCGACACAATCATGTCCTTGATCACTCGTATCAGTGCAAACGTCGTCATTTAGTCGACAAGTTGAGTAAAATGGGAATTCGTTAACATTCGCCCCGATAAGAATATCTTCCCAGGTGCTATTACACCCTCCCTCGTTCTCCTGAAAAGCTCGGTAACTGCAACCTTGTCCGAGATACCCTCGTCGGCAACTGCAAGTGTATCCAACGTCAGTCGTCCAGGTGCACTCGCCGCCATACGCTTCGGACATGCAATGATGTGTTCCATCTTCGCATCGATTCCTCTCTACACAAGCACCATTGACGATATTGTATTCTGTGTCAGTATCGGCGCAGCAATCGACTCCGTTGTTTTTCGTGATGTCAGGGACGCAGTTAGCGTCAGTGATACCGGAACAAGAATTAGTACATTGATCTGGATGGACTTGGTCGCAGTTATTTCCTTCGACAGACAGATCCACGTCCGAGCCCCATTCAGAACCATTTCCTGCCCACGGAGCACATTCGCATTTGATTCCAGAGCCGTCGTCAACGATTCGATAGCCAAATTTGGAGCACGGATAGCCTACTGTACCGTCTCGATCAGTACGGACGCCGACTGACATAGCCTTCAACTGATCCAAATTCATCCAGTCCCCAGTCGCTAGAGAGCCGACACCGCCGCCAAGAGTTCCGCCAGTCCCAGTTTTTTGGACTATGTTGCAGTTTGCCTCATCGGAACAACTCGATGGGCAGTCACAGCTTCCGTCGCATCGCCAGCCAACAGGATAAGCAAGGTCTGGATTTGTGTCACAATAGAGCATGTATGTTTTGAAATAATGATCGTTTGATCGATCGTTGCAATTGTAAATTTCGTTAATTTGGGCAATGTCGGACATGGCAAATCGCTTGTCGAGATTGCTCTCGGAAGGAATATAGTCTCCTCCGTGTGTAGTGAATCCGTATCGTTTCCACTGCTTTCCATCGGCAGAGTCAAGCGATCCATCAACCGTATGACCAGTGCCAGACGCGGAGCAGACCCAAGATTCGTATTCCATGATACTTGTGTAGTCGTACTCTCGACCCCACTGGTTAAGCATGTCTGGCCATTGGCTACGAGGGACTTTATAACTCAAGGCGCTGAAAAGACTCGCGTTCGGGCAAACATTGTTATCTATCCAAATTCTCGAGTCTCGATCATATCGGGACTGTTCGTGGTGGAAACCTAACGCGTGCATCGTTTCGTGGAGGCCAGCTTCGACACTACCGGCGCACCACTCGTCGATGAAGGAAATTGGCTGGTTGTTCTGGAAGACGCGGCCAACATATGACCAACAACCGCTAGAATTTAAGGCTTGGAGACGAGACATGTTGTTTCGGGTCGATGGATCAGCGTAGAGAGGATGGATGAAGCCGCCGTTGCTAGTGTCGTAATTTGGATCAGTGTCAAGACTGGCGAAAAAGGCAAGAACTGCCGCTTCCTCTTCAAAAACATCGACAGTAAGGCAAGACGCGCGCTCAAATTCTTGTTGGATTTTCGCAATCATCGCTTTTCCGGACATGACAACATTTGCTTGATCTCCCCAAAAAGGGATATTTCTTGACTTGTCGACCCAAGCCTGGCCATCACCGTAAAACATTGGCACATGCCATATTCCATTAATATCGCGGATAATTCGCCACGTTCCGCCGAAGGTTCCGTCGATCGTTTCGCCGTTCATGAATCCCTTGGTACCCCCATTTTTCTCCATCTTCTCTTTACGCCTGTCCAATTCATCGCGAAAGTTAGAACCGAATTGTTTCTCAAGCTCCTTTGGTGTAAGCTCATCTGATTCGTTTCCGTCTCTGATCAAGATGTCAGGAATTGAGCCCAAACCGTTCAATTCGAAAAGCTCTGCCTAAAATCAACCGATAAAAAAGAAGATTTGTTTTATTTTGTACCTGCAAAGGCGTGTAGACGATATCTTCCTGTCCATTTGGGTTCCTATTGAGCGCTGCTTGAGAAGCTACGGATGAAATAACCGTAGCAGAGAGCTTCATTATTTTCTCTAGCTGATGGCTCTACTGAAAGAAATCAGACTTGCTTTTTAGTCCTTCATCCCAGTGCTCCCCTCCTCAATGTTTATCCTTTGAGCAACAAACAACTTGTTAATTGAATGCTGTTTTAAGCATTTTAATTGATTTCTCTGATAAAAATGAGCTTATTATTTAATCTAAAAAACTGCTTTGAACTTTGAAATCAGCGTAAATGTCATTGACTGGCAGCATTCTATGGTCGTATTAGAATGCTCAAAAGAAGTAAAGGATAAATACAATGAATGAGTATATAGTTAGTTTAGTTTTTACAAAAGATCTCAATAAGATTCTCATAAAAAAATCGAGAAGCTGTCGAACGAATTTCAATTTTTTTGATATTTAGCAGAAATTCAAGTTTATTTATCATTTGGGTGCCAAGGGTCTGGCAATTTTTCGAAATTAAAAACATTGTTCGAGAAATGTTTTAATTGCAATTATAGAGCAAATCGCGTTTAAAAAATCACAAATTCATCATTTTTTCTTGATATTCGGCAAAATACGGAAGACAGAGGTTTATAATTATCCTTTCAAAAAATGACTTGACCTTTATAATGATAATTGAAAACTGATAATTAAGCCCTTTCATTTTGAAGCTTTTGGGGAGCTTCCTAATCCTATTAGTGAACAAAACAACATTCTGCTTGGAAAAGGATGAAATGGCATGCAAAACGAGCATGCTTATCTACCCTGTTATTGTTATTTCATAACATAACTAAATAACCTTGAGGAATTCGGAACAGGAATTGGCGGAAGTGCGATCTTATAAATTTTTACGACTATCAGCCCGAGCAGTGTCCTTCCGAAAGTCAACACATAATTTCGTCGCTGACGCAAAAATGATTTTCAAATTTCCGCCCGTGAAAATTTCTGAAAACTTTGCAAAAAAAATCGCATCAGTGAGGTCAATAATTCATTCATTTGAAACAACAAATCATTGTTTACGAAAAAACGTCAGAACTATCGTCAGTAAAATGATTGGAGAAGTCAATACTGTAAGCTGTTGCCAATAACAAACAGTAAATGCTCCCTGGCAGGTGCCAACCCGTAGCTAATCGAAATTGGAGCGTGTGAATCAAGACGGAAGATCAAACCAAAAATGAACCTTCCAGCACTGTAACACACCCAAAAAATCGTTAACGATGATTCAAGAGACCATTTTTGATGCTGCAATTTTTCTGAACGAACTGAAATGTAAGATTTTCGACAAAAAATGCTCCAGTGAAAACGAAAAAAGTTTATCTACCGTTCGGATTTTGGTGCGACAGACTACCTTAATCCACTGCCAATAGAATAAGCCAGACTAAGCACAGTTATATAAAGCAGAAAAAAATTGGTAGAACAATCGGATCTGAAAATGTGCCACTTCTTCATTTCTCCCCTTTGCTATTTCAATTCCATGAAATAGTTTCTCCAAAAAGGTTGTCTTTTCAAGTAAAAGAATAGAGATGGGAGGCAGTCGAGAAGGTCTCGTTGGGAAGATAAAAGACTGGGTTGGTGATGGTATGTCTTTTTATGAAGCTTTGAAATTGATTATTTTAATAAAGAATTAGAATTTTTAACAATTTTTGACTTGTTTATTGTGAATGAAAGCTAGCTCAGTATCTTTGCTCGGTAAAGTTAGTTCTGTTCTTTTGCAAAAGATATCGAACTTATAAGAATTAACGCGGAGTAATGCCAGTGAAATCGGATATTCAGCGGTTTTAGTTTTTTTTTCGCTCCCTGAGGGACAGGGGCGAGCAGGAGCTATTTCCACAGGATCGCCTTAATGATAAATAGTTATCAGATTCTGAGAAAGGATCAAGACTGGAAATGGGAAAACCCGCGGAAGTCTTAATTCTTTTTACACGTGAGCTTAGCGCGATGATTCTAGTGCTGGCATATTAGAGATAGATCAAGCGAAGAAACGCGCCAGAGATAGACTCTGACAGAGAAACTCATGGGGAATCCTGAGGCTCTGTTGATCATGAGCTCCCTAAAAGGTAATAGCCAGCTGTTCCACCACGGCCCCAGAGAGAGAGAGGAAGCCGAATGGACAGGTGAAGGCTCCTGTCTTATTCTCCCAGACGAGCATAAATACGTCCCCTTCTTTATCGCCCATTCAATATATGAACGGCCCGCGATGACTGTATTTATCCTATGCTCTCTTTATTCATCTCAGATCACAGAATTTTCACTCCTAGAATTTTCACTTCTCACCTTGAAGTTTGGTTTTTGGGAGCAGAGAATCATCTGACATTTGACTTCAAATATTAGTGAAGCTATCTATCCAAAACTCTCCCACTTTCTCAATTCGTTCCTTTTTATCGGATGATTTAAAAGAATTGCAGAAAGTGGTAGAATAAAATTCCAAGAGAGATTTACGAGATAGAGTTTTGAAGATTTTGATGAGTGAAGATGGATTTTGAAAATAATCCACTAGGTAACTTTTGGTTTATTTTTGAATTTGAATATATTTTTTAAACTTTCAATCGGTTCATATTTTGACCAAGTGTCTTTGCCAAAGCAATAAAGACCTAATTACTCCCCCAATCTCGCCTTTATCCACGACATTTATCCGATTTCTTGTCAGATAGTAAACTGCTTCTGTCGGATCAGCATGTATCGACATTCAGAGAAAAGATTCAATTTCGTTTTAGATGTCATTACTTTCCCGAACGCAACAAATTACGCCGGTGGCGGAGGTGGCGATTGCTATAAAGAGCTGGAAGAAAATGGGAAGATGGATGTGTTACAGTGGAGTACTGCCATGCTCGGTGCAACTGCCTTTGTTTTATTCTCCAAGGTAACAATTCTTACTCCGAAATTCTTACTGAAGCTCTGAACTTCCGTTAAAACGCGTTAATAAGGTGACACTTCTTCTCAACCCGATAATGGGAAAACCCTGGTACACTGACCTTATGACTTATTTAATTGCGCTGGCTATGGGAACGATGCTCTGTGTCACCGTTTTCCAACTTATACCGGAATCACTCGACTTGATGGCCGAAAAGAAGTATCCGATCAAATGCGGGGACTACAAAAATGTCCAGAAAACGCTCTTCTATGATCACAAATCCGTCATTGTTGATGATTGCGATCAGGTCTGTCCTGGCAGCCCTGGTGGGAGAGCTGGAGGCAACTTGGAAGACAGTAAGAGGCGCTAGAATAACGCTTATTTGATTTCTTCGTAGAATTCTGCACGCTGACGATTGGTGGGACGCAGCAATTTATACCAGTCGTCTGCGTTCTGTATTTATGCACGATTATCTTCTACGATCTCCAAAAGGTCAGTTAGTTGATGATTTTGATTCTCCCAAATCGGAATGTCTTCTTTTACGATGTGTTCAAGGTCGACCACTGGTTTTCTTGTAGGGCGGTCATTTTTTGTAGGATCGATTGTGAAGTTTATGCCTCTCGTTTTGTTACTCTTTTGACTTAGTGATGAGTAGCAATCGACGTCAATGAAACATCGTTAATTTGTAATTAGATAAATAGCATCATCTTTTTCAATGAATTATTGAGAAATATGCGGTGAAATTCTGTCGGAAGAGTCACTAGATTCATCTTAAAATACCTCTTTAGTTCCTCCAAATCGCATTTTCCAACGAAGATGGCACCCACCTCGCCGAGCTCGACAACCCGGAGGACATGCTTGAAGATAACGACGAAGACATTCTGATCCAGATGCGCAAGTATGGCAACCGACAGCAGGTACAATCGGCTCGAACACGCCTCTCAAAAGGCCACTTTCAGACCCTCAAATCACGTGAAGTTTACAGTCAGCAATAAGAATAACCTTGCGCTCAATTTGTGCGCTGTAAGATTTCAATGTCGTAGCAAAAGAAAAAAAAACAAGGAAAAATATTTTGCCATATGCGCATAGAAAATATTTGAAGAAAAAGCAACGCTAGAATTCATTATTTTTTATAACCACGGAACTCATACGCGTCTTATACAGTAATTTAACTCAACATGCCGCCCTGTCATCTAAAATTAACATCCTTTCCAGTATTAACGATCTCATAAATCAAGCACTATCACATGTCAAATTATTAGATATTGGGAAAATTCATAATTTAGTCCATATCCGTCGCCGCGAAAATGGCTAACATCCCAACCGCCTTCTCTGTCGACAAAATCGGTAATTCAGCTCTTTTCTCAACCTGATCTTCAACTTTTAATTTAGACGGGGGCGGCAGTGATATTCCGACAACAAGAAAGCGCGTTCCTTCCCAAGCAAATATCCTCCTAGCTCAGCGTCGAGCATCTCAGGCATTCCGTGAGTAAATCGCTTACCAACCCGTCTGATTCTATTAATTGCTACTGATTGCTTTCTTGATTGAACTGAAAACTGATTGATTTGCTCACACTAACACAGACGTCGTCATCAACAGACGTTCGAAACTTGGTGTCTCCAATATCTGGCCTTTCCAACACTATAGTTCAAGCCACAGGGTCCAAAAAAGATCGAAATCCAAATGTCATCGCCATTCATTTGGTTACGCCCCGTATATGTACCCTTACACAGCATGCACTTATGTTAAAAGAAGGTCGTCGGCTCATCGGCATTTAATTCCGCGTAATCGCTGGCGCCGCCTAGTTGTCATGAACTCGGCAGCTCGCCATTTGAGCGAAAGAAGTTCTATACGCAAATGAACGGCCTCAAAACAATAATATTATTCCGGGATTGAATATTTAGCATGACTAACCAATAATAACAAACTCGAAGGCTCGACTAGAGGCTCTTCCCAAGACTCAATTTTGGGAAAAGACTCTTGTCTTTGAGCGAATCGATGAAAGTTTGATTGACTTATTTTGCTGTGTTGAGGCTAGAATTCAGCTAGATCCAGAATTTCAATGTGCTCAGGTGTATCGACCTCCTCGATGAGTAGGCTCGCATCGATTCACCTGTCCAATACTGATTAGGGTTACGAATTTATGATCGGAAATAGAATCCAAGCGGTCTCAAAATTTGCAACCTTTTCTTTGATCACACCCATTCGCATCATAATCTAACGAGCGCGGCCGCTCCGATTGCGCCTCACGGTCGACCAACTCCCCCTTCCGTACAAAATCGCTGCTCCACCATGTGCGGCCATCAGCACTTAGCTCCTGTTCAAAACTGCAACAACAGCGGCTTCTTTCCCAAATCAGAACTATCAAATCACGCCTCCCATAATTCCACGCACACTTTACCTTCTGTTAGCACTCCTCAATTACTGTCATCATCGTCGAGGCAAGAGTCGCCGTCGATAAACTCGATTGATTCAATGATTCACTCCACTGATTTGGAGTCAGGAACTTGTTCACTTCCTAAAGGAGTAAAATAACCTTGATTCGGAAACAAAATAAAAAGCTGATTTAACTCCACCATATCTGCAAATGTCAACGAATCGTGCTCAAATGCACCGAGCTCCGATTTGCTCGCCGGAAAACTGCTCCTTTCCCGTCGAATCTACTAACTCCTCCTCAGGAAAAGCATCGATTTACCAGGCAAACTTGAAGTATCTGGCAGACCAGTCAAATCTACAGCTGCAGAATCAAAATCAGAATGATGGACAGCTTGTAAATGGTAAGAGCTCCAATAAAAGCTATCTATCAGTAGTGCGTTTTGACGAAATAGACAAAAATTTGCACTGAGGTTATGATAGCCAAAGATATTTCCCTCTGAATAAACATAAAATTCCCTGAACTTTCAATTGAATATTCCGGTGGACTTTGTCCAAGCTCCTGTAGTAACCGCAGATTAACGAGACATATTCATAGGGACGATCACGGAGGAAAATGTCACGGAAGTCGATGTCGATAAATACGTATCGATTGAAAACGAAAAAACGCCCAAGAAATCGAAAGTAAAGTTTGGCGCGGTTACGGAAATTGAAAACGAGGGCTTTTCATCTGATGGCGAAACATCTGGTGACGAAAAGAAGAGTGATGCGAAAAGCAAGGACGAATCGACGAGCGGTGATGGAGATTTCGAAAAGGATGGAGAACAGTAAGTACAATGGAAACATCTGGCCGTAGGTTTGAACTGGAGGTCTTCTTATCCAGATAAGACCTCAGTCAGTTTTTTCTTCAAATCTGACAGTTAGAAAATGCCAAGTTTTTTCCTCATTTTTCCTCTTTTCCATATGTTGCTAGAAATCCTTGCCAAGATCATTAACAATATTTGACCAGAAAGGTTCCTCTAAAACTTTCTGATACGAATCAACCATTAACATTTTATCACTAGCTACGCGAAATTGAAGCAGCGCCGTAATACTGGAGTTCCTCTTGTCAATTTGCCTGTCGAAGATGACGACGAAAAAACGAGTGGGTCGAGCAAATCGGAGAAAAAATCGTCACATGACTCGCATCACGGCAAGCAAGAGTGGCACAAGGTCGATATGGTCGCGTGGATTCTACTGCTTTGCATCTCGATCGAGTGTCTTATCGAGGGAATAGGAAAGGGTCCAATTTCTTTCGGTTTTGAAGGTTGATGATCGGACTATTTGACCCTAGTTAAGCCTTTGCGCTGACATTAACAGATGAGCTGGGCGCGGGAATTGCGATTCTGACCGCGATGATTATCAAGCTCATCCCCCAAAAGCTCGGCGACGCGGTGATCCTGAGCAAAGCCGGGCTCAACCACTTCTGGGAAAATCTTTTATCGCTCGGCGCCGTTTCTTTCGTCTATGTCGGTAAGTTCTAAAATCATCCTTCTTTCTCAATGAAATCTTATTATAGGGGTGATTCTTGGAATGCTGCTCAAACCAGCGCTGGAGCATTCGGAAGAATATTTCTTCGGAGCTCTGGCTGGAATTTTCTTGTACATTTCGCTCTCCTCCTTGTTTCCAGTTTTGCACGACATTATTGACGATCCAGAAGTGATTGGCAGCTTTGATGATCCAGCAGCACAGGCAAAGGCTTTCAGAAATCAACAGTTCCGACGACTACTACTCGCCAATTTCGGCTTTTTCACTGCCATGGGATTAATGGTACCTTTGGTAAGAAAGACATTTTTTAAAATCACCCATCTATACATTCATTCAAGATCTGGTTCGAACACGATCTTCAAGAAGCAATCACGGAGCTGATATGCAATTCATTATGAAAAAATGAAAGAAAAGTTCAATTTAAATTATTCAACGAGATTCTGTTCAATACTTCTGAAAATGTAAATAAAACCTCAGAGCTTCTAATTGCTTGATGCATAACAACAATAAAATCGAAGACCTTTTTGGCAGCATAAATATATATTAGGCGCAAATAAAAAGAGAAAGCTCTGCCGACTAAATTCACTTCTTTGATAAAAAAAGTGTTCCAGAACGGCAAAGTGGCAGTTTGAACAGTTCAATGCTGGAATGGAATAAGTGAGCAAATAAAACATAATTATCATTTGAAATTCAAAAAATGCGGGACAAGGTTAGCAGTTTTAAAAAAGACTCACGCTTGGTTTGATGACCTCAACAGTCATATAACGTAACCAACGTTGAAAAATAAGGCAGTTGTGAAAAAGTCAGCTCAAAAAAATGTGCGAAAAAGAACTCATCGGGAGGAAAGGACCAGTAAGCAGCTTGGTGAAAAACCCCTTTAGCACCAAGGTTAGCGGTCCAGGTTCGTCCGTGGATGGGTTGGCTGGAATGTCAAAGTGTTGCTTGATGCGTTGGAATGTTGCGAAGTCAGCTTCGATTGGGCGAAACTGGAGTTGGAAATTTATTCATCACTAGAAACAAACGCGTTAATTTTACTTCTTCTGGTATCGTTTCTTCCCTATTGGTTCAAAACAGGTTCAAAATAGGGAAAATATTTCGATAAATTTGGGATTTTCACTGTTTCTTTTTATTTTAAAAACTGTCAGTAGCTTACCTTCTCTTGCTCTCATGGTGAAGTGGAGTTAAAAAGAAGAAAGGAATTTTTCTAACTGAGTTCTTGTCTCTCCGCGTCTTCTTTATATAGGCGATTCAAGGCGATTTCAAAAGTGGCAAAGGGCGCCGTGTTTGAAACGGTTGCCCGCGCGGCATTTTGCGCGCAGAGCTCTAAAATCGCCAGTCAGAGGCCGTCCCTGGCGCGCCATTCCACTGAGTAGCCAATGAACTCGGCACTCGGCGCAACGAAGGAATCAACGTCGTCGACAATCAAGTCAATAAAACTCTGTTTGCCCGGGCGAGCTGCGTTGTGAACTTGGCGCGCTTTCTGTTTTTTATTGATTTTGGGCGATGCCGACCTTTTGTTTAACAAAAATAGCTCGAAAACAGCTTCAATCATCGAATAATTACAGGAAATCCCCTTCAATTGGAACGTTTCTGCTTGAAAAAACACAAAAACATCATCAAAATCAATTTCAAAACATGATTATGAATAGAAAACACTAGAATAATGTTCGGTTGACTCAAAACTCTAAGCTTGAATAATTTTTCAATGACTAAAGTTTTGCTGACGAGTCAACTAATTTAGATAATTCAGCATTCTTTTTACCTATTTACTGTAGTTTTCCTTTTTCTACTTCAATTTCTAAAAAATGCTACGTGATCTCCGGTGAACCTGAGCGTAAGAAGAAACGTGTTTTCATGTTTCATACAGTATAAAAATTAATGTCTTTCAAATTTCAACTCGGAACTCTCGATAAACTGAACATTTGCACATCCTTAAAACATAACTGAAGCGAAATCCAGTCTGTCAGATTTCGAAAACTGAGATTATGAGAGTTTTACCAAGTCTGAGTCTTCCAGTCCTATTTGCTGCTGGCTCAGACGTCTTTTCCGCCTTCAACAGCTCTGAAGAACTTTGCCAGTGCGTAAAATCTACCGAGAGCCTTCTAATATTATTCCAGGGACGAGACAGCAGCTGCTCAATGCAATGATAAATGTGCAGCTGACTTTGCAGAGTGCTACGGAAGCTGCGCCGACCAGAATTGCCAGTACGAATGCGTCGCTGAATTCGGCCGCTGCGGCCCTGCCTGTCCCTGTGGCGAAAATTGTCCGGGCGGCTGTGAAGGCTGCCCGAGCCCATTTTGCCAGTGTACTGACATTCTGAACAATGGAGAGCACAATTACTGTATGCACCGAGCTACTGCAAAGCAGGACTATTGCGTTACTCATTGCGAGACGGATACTTGCGTGCTTGATTGTAGTCAAGGAATGGTTAAAAATTCAGCGCTAGAAACAGTCAATACGTTTTTAACCGGGATAAGAATTTCTGAACGAAATGAAGCAGTGTCCCTGCCGAAGCGAATGCGTTGGCGGCTGTCCCTGTAAAGACTCAAGTTATGAATGCCGAGAGTATGCGATGATTCTCGACAACGAACATCGAATTGAAGGAAAAATGACTAGCGTAGATGGCGAAGTTTTTGAAAGACGCAGATACGGACCAAGAAATCAAATGGTACTTGATAAAGCGTTCTATTTTGAATTCAAGGAACAAGGAATGTGGTCTTAAAGTTGATGATTTTATTTCGAATTTACTTTTAATACCGTCCGGAAGTATTTATGTACGGCGGAGCCTCAACACCAAGGCAGATTGCTTTCTTCACTGGACCACCAGAGGCACCTTGTCACGAGTTTTAACTAATAGATCAGGGCAAAATGAGAGAATAAAGTAAAGCTCGAATTCAGTGAGATCGATGTTTCAGACCTCGAACTTGGCTACGACTTCGATCAAGTCAATGGAACCGCAGTTTTGATTGAGAACGAAATTGGATTCGAAGATGACGGTAAATGGCGAGTGTTCTTTGCCTAGAAATAAAATGCGTTTAGTAATTTACTTCTGCTTCGGCCACAAGGATACAGCGTGCTTTGAGTTCGACGGGGAAAATAGTGTCGAAATCGTGCTAGAAACCTCGTTTTCTCATCGACGTGGAGGCGTTGGAATTTTTCAGACTGAGGTTGAAAATTTTAAAATTTCAGAATTTCAGAAATTTCAAATTGCACGATTAAAAGTTCTGATTGAAAATTTCATTCCACCATAATTTTCACATGCAATTTTCATCCCTATTTCTAGACACAGGCAAATCACACCTAAATCAACTGCTAGGAACTAATGTGTTCAGGTTTTCGCCGTTGGTGGTGTCAATGCCGACGGTTCCTTGAACAACAAAGCTGAAATCTTGGGTCGAAATGGATGGACTACCATTGCCGATTTTCCCGAAGTCACTGGAATATCGGACGTGGCCGTTGTTTCGGATCTGAAGACGGATAAAAGTTTCATTCTTGGTGGTCATAATGGCGATAATGCCGTCCAAGACATTCATGTTTTTGGCCGGAATGATTCGACCTTTGAATTCACTTGGATTGGCCGTCTTAGTCGGGTAAGATCATGAAAAAGTCATGTTTATTGAAATTTATCGAAAGAGAATGAGTCAAGTTTCCTCACTCATGTTTGAAAATCACATCTTGCTCGTCGGCGAAACAATCGAACGAGTTGAAATTGAAGATGATGCTTCATGCAAGTGTTTGATAACTGGAAAAAATCCGTTTTACTAAAAAAATATTTTTATGAAACAAGTTCAAAGATGGAAAAGGCTACCACATCCGCGAGTTAGATCCGCCTCTTCAGTACCCAGTTCTTTTTGCTACAGAACCAGATGTCTGTCTCAACAGCTGCAAAGAATTCTGCTTCGCTGGAGACCTTTGGTGAAGCTTTGAAGAAAGTTGATATTCAAAACGTTTTTATTTTCTTTCAACAGCAGTAAATAAACAAAAGAAATAATAAATTAGGCATTGAGCTGAACGCCTGGCTCAGTTTTCAGTCCTGGGCTCAGTGGCGTAGAAGACACAGGCGGCAAAGTTTGCATTGGTGAGTGACCTGAGAATTCGAGCAGGGTTGGGAATTCAGAGAGCGGTTCAGTTTTTGCGACGTTCGTGTTGAACAATGAATTCGGGAGTTGTAGAGGATTTGGCATACTCGAGGAGGAATTTGGAATGAGATTCGTTTCGTTGGCGTAGTTTTGGGAGATGAATTGGGAGAGCGAGGCCGAGTGCATGTCGATATCGTCAGACAAGCGACGTTTTTTGCCTGGCCGTTTTCGATAAAAGAGCTCGTAGTATTTCTGGTGCCATTCGTTTCGGTGTAGTCGTAAGTGTGCTGATAGTTTTTGCTCCTTAGAATGATTTTTAGCTGAAATAATAGGGAATTGATTTTGACTAACCGTTTCGCAGTCTTTTATACAGAGAATGCAGACTGTTTTAAAAGTTAATGGAGTTTCTGTATGACAAGCGACGGTCGGATCTGATAGGTGAGCAAAACGAGCTTCTTCTGATGGAAATTTCTCCTTGCAGATTAAGCACATGAGTTCGTTGATAGGTTTTGGAACAGGAAGGGTTGAAGCTGAGGAAGGATCAAACAGTGGTGTCATTGAAATTGGGTTGTTTTGCGGTGGAGAGTTAGAAGTTGAGACTGTTGCGGATTGATTGCCAGAGAAAAAGTCCATCGAGTAATCTGAAAATTGAAATCAACGAGGAGAACGCCCAATAAATAAGTTACCAGAAAGATTGGCCGGCAGCTTGCTAATTCGTTTTCCTGGCGTCTTTCGTTCTCGAATTAAGTCAAAGTACTGCTTGTGAATGGATCGGTTTTGTTGATGGCCGCTGTACAGTGAGTTTCTGTAATGCGTTTCGGCTTGCTTTTCGTGCTCGAAGCTTTTGTCGCAGACGAAACAGTAGAGCTTCCCGATGATTTTGTATTGTGCAAGGCAGTTTTCTGTCATCACCAAATGGCCGAGAAGATCACTGTGCGAAGAACAGGTTTGATCACATGCTCGGCATTTTTGGGGAATTTGGGGAAGTTGGATTTCCTTCTGAACGTTTTTTGTTATTTTACAAAAATTATAAATTATAAATTAATAAATTTTGATTGTTCGACCAATCAAAACGATATATTTCGAATATGTTATATATATTACTTGATAAGCTTGATGGCGGTTCACCTGGCCAAGTGAATCTGGAGTAAGAGGCATTCTAGGGCCGTAATCCTCAAGGTCTTTGGCACTTGGGAAGCGGATGATATCAGCCAAGATTCGATGAAGAAATCTCGACTTTTCTCGAGGATTGACAGAGCTGTTTCGGTAGTTCGTGTAGTGTGTTTTGCACTTGCGAATCTAAAGAGGGTATTTGAAAAAATGGATTTCAGAGTCTTATCTTACGTTATCATATGGTTTTCTACAAACAAGGCAAAATCGTAAACCAATCATTCTGAGCTTTTCCTGGCACTGGACTTCTTTTTGCACGTGCTCTAGAACTTTTGTCAAAAATCATCTACAAGAGCTTATTTTACCAAGTAATTGAAGTTCATCATCGAAGCCTTTTCCGCAGTGTGTGCAGACTTTGAGAACAGTCTCGGGAACATTCTGCTCTGGTGCCATTGCTTTGGCGATATTCAACGAATTCATCGAGTTTTCTCGTAGAATTGAGGATGTTGTCGATACCAGCTCTGGTGAAAAATTAAGGATTCGGGTCGGCATAACCTCTTTTACCTGAGAGTGACGGTCGGTTTTGACCAGCGAAGAGGGCTTGAATTGGATTCTGTATTTGCCCGTTGAGCGCTTGAACTGTACGAAGTTAGCTACAGATTGACTCTTTCTACGAACCTGGTAATCCTGGAATGCCATTTGGAAATCCCGCTTTTCCGAAAATCTCCATCAACGAAGCAGCTCCATTGCTGTTCTCGTTTGTATTATTTGTATCAATTTCGATCGTATCATCACTTTTGATTTTCTCCTCGTTGTTGTCAGCCGAGCATTCCTGCGCAGAAACGTCGGAAGAGGTCGAATTTGAGTCTTTCGAAATCGAGTTTGGACTGAGAAGCTCTTCCATAGGATCTGTAGATGAGTCCTTCTTCTTTATTCGCTGCCCGTTTTCGTAGCAATTCCGAAGGGATGACCAGTGAAAGCGGAAGTCTTCGAATTTTGAGACCTTCGTCAGTAAGTGTTTCAATCGGTTTAACTGAAGAAATTATATTATATAATATTCAATAACAGTTGTTTCACGGTTATCAAAAATTGAAAGCAAAGATTGGATATTTTGGACTGACAGAATTGGCTTTTAATATTTATCTTTTTGAAACGAAAACTAATATTGACTCCTTTTTCTTGCAATTTTTTGCTGGTAACTATTCAACTTCAATTTTATTCCTTATTTTTTACTTCCATTTATTGTCGACGAAATGACTCTCCAACGAGTCATAAAATTGAATTCATGTTCTTTGATCGGGCGGCTTTAATCAGATTAATTATTCAATTTAATTAAACGTTAAATAAGAGCAGCGGAAGGCGGTTTTAATGCCTCCACGAGCAGCAGTGAAATAATTAAATTGCAATAAATTTAAAATTATTGATTCGTCGCTGGTCGATAGCAAGGAAGTTGTAAAAATGATCCTTTTTTACCTGAAACGAAACACTTTCTCCTTGACCGTCGATTTCGAGGCATTTTTCTAGCGATTCATCGATGAGCTTCCATTTGTCATGATTCTCCTTTTGAAAGCGCTGGAAATCATCCTCGACGACCTCTGGCTCCATCTCGATATTCTTTTTATTATTCTAAAAGAAAGTGGCTGGTTATTTTTTGTTTGAAGAAAAGATTTTTTTCTCTGCCTTGAATCGCGTAAGTTGAGATTTGCCAGAGTTTGATTAAATAGAACTAACTAAGTCACACAAACTAAAATCAATACTTATGTTAATATTTGATTCAATTCAAATACAAAAATCTACAAACAAGAAAGCGGGAATTTTTAATCGCCAACTGGCTCAAATTGGAATTAAGAATTGGCTGCAACTTTTTATCTTGATTTCTTTTTAAATATTTTAACTCTTTGTCGTTCGATGAGAAATTAAAATTTAGGCTAAACGGATCATTCATTTATCTCGTAAGAAGTAAATAAGGGGATCTTTATTTTAACGGGCAAAAATTTCTGAGGGGCCCTCATTTTAAGGGTGTCAACATCGATTTGATAAATTGTTGGACTCATAAGAGATACCCTTACTAAATCGATGTTGACACCCTATACGGGAGGTGTACAATTTTTGTCGATTTCGGGATATAATCGCCAGCCAAATGGAACCGGTGAATCGAAATGACCTGAAAACTCTAATGAGTATTTGTGCACTCCTTACACACCTTTCCGCAAAATTTCAACGTGATAACCCACGCGAGCACTGCACAAGTACCGTTTTTCTCACCTCCACCCTCGCGCTCCGAGGAAAGAAAAAAACTGACAGCATTTTTTGGAGATCCCTAAGGTCTTGTTTAGATATTATTTATAGGTTTTCAAGTATGTAGAATTTGAAAATCATACTTTCAGAGTGGTATCATGAATATTTAATAAAAAAATGACATAATGATATTATGAAAAGAGCAAATTCTAGCACTAAATCTTTAGTTTTCGAAAAATCTAAAAGTGCAGTTTAAAAGAGAATATTCGTTTTAGTATAATCTGAAATTTTCAGAAGATTATCTCAAAAGAAAGGCCAAATCGACAAAAATTGTACACCTCCCGTAAGGGGGTTCTTTAGGCGGGCTCCCGTATAGGGGTTAATGTATTCAATATCCATCAAAAGAGTCCCCAATTTGAAGAATTTTAACCTCTAGAATCCTTTAAAAGGGGGACCATCTTGAATATAGATATTGGATTCGTTTTGAAATATTTTCTATTGGAATACTCTTAAACTTGATTCTGTATGTGTTATTCTCTTTTTGCTCATTTAAGTATTTTAAAATGTGTTAATGAAGCAGAGTTTACACACGATAGTGCTGACTCAAATCTGTTGACAACTCTTACTAAAACTACTAAAACGAATTTCAAATTCAAATATCTCTTTTGCCATTTTAAAAAGTGGTAAAACTAAGTATAAATGGCAACGCGCTGGAGCCATATTTTCTTTATTTTGTTTGAGCGCTAAATTAATTTAGCGTTTATTTATCTTTTCTTTTTTTCGAAAAGCTAAATCTTCAAGCTATTCACAAAGAAAAATGTATTAAAAAGCTCTTTCACTCTCTTTGCTATGGCGCGTTTTTGATGCTTAGGCATCATTTTTATTTTAGCTTTTGTAGTGATAAAATTATTTCTTTAACATTCTTTAGAATCACTACATCGCCGTTTTAGTTTTTTATTGATTTTTAAACTACTGCTCAGGACGTAAATTATTCACCAGACAACTAAGAAATCAACGAAGATAATTTCTACTTTTTTAACTTCGAAAGTCTTCGAAAAAAACAGATTCCTTATTGAATTTAAAAAGGTAAAAAGTCATAAAATTGTGGCATTTTTAATCTCTTTGAAAATCACTTTCTCTTTTTTCAACAGCTCAAAATCAGTTTACCAGGATGGCTTTTAACGGCTTAATTCGGTTTTGTTTTTCGGCTTTTGTCGAAAAATCGCCGCTCAAAAATCTGTTAAATTTTTTATTCTTTTTCTCTTTTTTTTCCAGTTTTCCAAATCGCGAATTTTAAATTTGAATTTAAAACCAATCTTAATCTCGTTTCTCTTTTTCTCTCTTTTTGTTCCTCTGCCGGCTTCGTTGGATAAATATTCAATCTTTTAATCAAAAATAAAGTTAATTATTCATTTTTAGTATTATCTTTTTTGCACCGGGCTTTTGCTTTTGCTTTATTCGTTTTAATATTTTTCGTACCTTTTTCTCTTTTCTTATTCTAGCGAATTCGTAAAGCGTCTTAATTTATTTTCGTTAGCCAAAATAAACCAATTTTCGTCTCCTTATCAAATAATTAAAAGCGTCAAAAATAGAATCGAAGCTTTCCAATTTAATTTGAATCTTGTTTGAGTCCTAAACCGCCGCGATGTTTTGGCGAAAGTGTTATTTTTAATATATTACTTATGAAAATAACAACTCTTCTCTGCAACAACTCGTTCCTATCTTCTCCTTTTTTCTTAATTATATTTGCTAATTAAATATTTACAGCTTAATTTTAACTTCTATTTTCCTCCGCTTTTTAAAGCCAGGACAAACAAAATACAAAACTCATCGATACCAAAAGTATCAAAAGTTCAGAATGAAGAAAAAGGAAGCAAAATTAAAATCAATATTTTCTAAGCTGGACAAAAAATTACGATTACCTCAGACTTTAAACTAAAATTGAAGGGTCCCAAGATAGGACTAGGGTCGGCTATCTGTGTAGAAAACCTGAGTCAGGTTAGGGTTAGGGTTAGGTTAGAAAATTAGAAAAGATTGAAATTATAACAGTTTAAATCAATAAAATTCTTGCGAAGCCGCTTTGATCTTCAGACTCTGACTCAGGTTTTCTACACAGGTTGCCGACCACGGACATAAATTTCCTAGCCCTTATCCGACCCTTACATAACCCAAAGCAACTCTAGCGCATTAAAGCTCAATTATGTTTTGTTAATTTCAAAAATAAAGTCTATCAAAGTAACCAAACTGGGTTTTATTTCTTACCGGATAGTAAAGCATAAAAATTCTTCAAATCTCTCTTATTTTCTTCCTTTGTTTTTTGCTCTGTCCAAAAAGGGAATAAAAATATTTTCGCCAGTGTTTACAACTAGACGGGCGATAATTTAATTATTTGACTAAGGGGTGAGAAATCAGGCCAGCCTTAAAAAAATAGTAACCCACCGCCGCTCCAAAAATGGGCTGATTGCGATTTTACGCAACCTTTTTTCAAACTTTAATTTTACGCTCTCTTTCCTTTTTCTTTCTTATTTCACTTTTTGTTTCACTAATTCAAATCAAGTTTCAATTAATTAATTGAGTCGAAAACTAACTCGCTAAAATCTTTGAATTTATGTCCCCTCTAATCAAATACTCTATTATCATATAAACCAAACATAAATTCAATTAAAACTTACTTTTTTGCGTCTTTTCCCGCTCTCTGTATTTTTACTCCTCTTTATCGAAAAAATAAATCTCCGCAATCTTTCCAAATCCTCCCCGCGCGCAAAACACTTCTTTGGCTACTAAAATTTTGTCATCCAGAAAAAAATTTAATCACTCAAGCGAGAAATAATTCCAAATTCTAGCGCCCTTTTTAATTTTCTGTTCTCTCGAATAATTCCGCTCATTAGCTTCTTTTTTTTCAATTATTTTCGTTAGCGCTTTTAAGATAATAAGGGAGTAGTCATCATTAGAGCTGATTTTCAATTAAAACTTTCTTGAAGAATTTTCATAGATACACCCTTAACTTGGCTCGGCAACCTGTGTCCAAAACCTGACTCAGGGCTTGAAATTTCATTCGAGCTCTTTCTGGCCCTGACTCAGGTTTTGGACACAGGTTGCCAAGCCAAGAACTTTTGGAGTCCCTAACTCTAACTTTAATCCTAACCGGGAAAGGCTAACCCTAACCAAGACCTCTAGAAAATACAAGAAAATCAAGCTGTTCAAAGTCTTTTTTATCAATTTTTTTTATAAAAAAATTCTCTTGCCACCTACTTTTTTCTTTCTTTTATTATTTTCTAGCTCTCTCTTTAAACAAGCTTTTGTATAGGCAGTCTTTTTTAATGAAAAAAGCTAATTCGGAAAGACTGGCGCGTTCTATCCAGCATCGAAATAAAATTATATTTTAACTCTGCCCGAGGTCGCAAAAAGCGTTTTCAAAAATTTAATTAAATTCGGTTGGGGGTCGCCCTCTCAACTTGGCCAGCTCGTCTTCAGTCTGTAATTATATTTTATTAAATATTTATTAATCTAATCTCGTGGCCTAGCGCTCGAGCAGGCTAGTAGCAAATAAAATACCTCCTCTTCTTTTTTTTTATATTACCACACTCGATTCTGCCTCAATTCTAATATTTAAAAAGCAGAAAAGAAAAAAGTCGATATTCATCTTGAAAATAAAATTCAAACCGAGTTTCGATCGATAGCTTTTTTTATATTTAATATTCTAAGCAGAAATCGAAGCTTCCCATGCATCTCGTTTTCCGTTTAGATTGAAATCTATTATTAGAAAAATAATTATCCCATGACTAAAAGTAAACTCAGCGAAATTTAGTCGGCTACTAATTAAGATTATTGACTACAAATTATATTCTCCTTCATATATCATCAAATGACTGTCTTGAATAATAATGAAAAATCTGAAGTTGGGACTTTTTAATATTATTTAAAAAAAAATATTAATTAAAAAAAATTTTTCAATTTTTCAATATCAAAAAATTTTTCAATATTAAAAAAATAATAAATATTAAAAAAATATTTTTTTAATATTATAGATATGACAATAAATAAGAAATTTCGTAAAGATAATTGAATTTTAAATTCATAAAAGTAACATACCAAAAAATCTCTAGCTGCATGCAATAGCGCGTTTGTCCGGCCCCTCTGTCTCTTATTAAAAAAAATAATATCTCAGTGGGGATCTATTTTTATCTTTTAAGAAGCCCTGGTCGTTTTATTCTGCCCCGAGCGCATTTGAATATATCTGATAATTTATTCTAATAAATTACCAACGGTGCAAGTGTGGTATAACACACCGCACCAATTCTTATTAAAAAAAAATAATTTAAAAAAAAATCAAGCTTTTCGAAGTCGACTCAACGTCAGTTTCTAAGCGGAGCGCCTTGAAATGAAGGCTCTTCAAAGAAAGAAAAATAAAGCATCAGTTTTCTTTTAAAATAATCGCCGCGCTCAATCGTCATTTTTAAGAGGTTAGATAGTGTTTTCAATATAAATAATAAGAAAGACGCAAATCATCTACTAATGCATACTTTTCTTGGCAATTAGTTTTCCATTGCTAATAAATCATTAGTAATAATTACTATACGAAGCCGGAAAGAAAAAGGAAAGAATTCGTGATTTAGTTTTTGTACATGAAAATAGAATAACAGTCAGAAAGTACAGTGAGCCTTGAGAAATGGTTCAGTCTGACATGAGGTCCGAGTAGTCTGCTTTGTCTTCGTCTTTTTGCCCCTGAGGATGCTTGAGTATCTCTCCGGCGGGGCTGATCGGCGCTGTCTGAACCGAAAACATGATCATCACTTTCTTCCTTGATTTCTCGATTTCCTACCTGGTGGTATTCGACGAGCGCGGCGAGGTCCTTGTGCGTTTTCTCCGCGCTTCCGTCGAACTTGACCTTTTTCGGCTTCGACGCGTCTATCAGAAAATGCTTGATCCTTTCTTCATCCTTGAAGCTTATCGTGTAGCCAAAGACCTTGTCTGAGAGACGAACGAGGAACGAACCGACTTCCACATCCTCGCCAAGTAGCTCCTCCGCTTCTGCCCGCGATATTAACCCTGAAAACAAAGATAGTACACAAAAGAGTGGAATAAAGGTTGAAGCTGCTTATATTTGCTTGGACTATTTACGCGGTACTCAAGACATCATAAACAAAAAGCCCATAAAAGGGGCGAAAAATTAGAAAGAGCGAGAAAACGATGCGAATTTTATTTTTTGCATCCGTGGTTTTTGCCAACCCAGAAAATCGAACAAACCATTTGGATTATGAAGCTGAATGGGGATCTCAAACGAGAGCTAGAGAAAGTCAGAGGTAATTCTACACGTACATCTCCTCAGAAATAATGATTTCGCACTAGAACCCGCGACGAGTGCAACTTCGACCAACTCCTAAACGCGCAAATCAACAAAGAATTCACCGCCTCCTACTTCTACTACTCTCTCGCTCAAAAATTCAAGTTCCACACAAATCGCCGTCCAAATTTAGCTCACTTCTTTGAAGACAGAGCCACGGAGGAAAGGGGCCACGGAGAAAAACTTGTCAATTTTCAACTTGAGCGAGGAGTAGTCGCCGAATTTTATGACATAAAATTCCAAACGGCAAAGATTCATGACGATATTAGCATGCTTGAATCCCTGAAGATTTCACTGGCGATGGAGATAATTCTAACAGATGAGCTCAAAACGGTATTTTTTATAAAGAAAAAAGTATTCTTCAACCTTTTTAGCTGCTAAAAATTGCTGAAGACGGCTGCGGAACCTGCAAAAATACCGACGACGTGCTGATAAATTCCCACTGCCAGGCACCCCACATCGCTGAAATCATTTCCTCCGAGTATCTACCCGACCAGATGAAGGATATCAACCACCTGAAGGGTTTAATCAAGACGCTATCGGACATGGTTGAGGACGCGCCAAGATACCTGCAGCTGCAACATGAAATGTTCTTTGACAAACATATTCTCTCTCAATAAAAAATCGGGCTTACCATGGAACCATGGATAAATGGTATTATCCTTTTGATAAACGACTCTTCTCGGCTTCTGAGTCTTCTTGAACCAGTCAATAACTTGATCTCTACTCGCAGGTCTCGGAACGGGTTTTTCAGATTCCTTTTGAAAAAGTTTACTCGGGTTCCAGCATCTTCTCGGATCGACCCCTAGGAACTTCATAATTTGTTTCTCTTTCTCCCAGAGTACTCCCGCGACGAGGCAGTCTCAAACACGCGTAAGTAAAAGTGAAAATATTGCCAGTAGCGGCAGGTTTTGTGGTTCGAAGTGATGATCAGAGAAATGTCAGCGGCGCGTTTAGAGTGAGTTCGAGCAGCGGGCGAAAAATGGCGCCACCGCCACCAAAACGCCGACAATCAACGCCAACATTATTGTCAATTTTCTGATAAAAGTTTATTGATAAGCAAATAAACTTTATTTTGAATCACTTAAAGTTAATCTGCAACAGCGAAATTTCCAAAAGATATCATTCTTTTTGGCTTTCTTGGCTTCCAAATCTTGATGAGGTTCAACTTTGTTCGTTGGTTTGCTCAGATTCATTACATTTTCTTCGCTTTCACTGGATACATTTGAGAGCGCTGGGTAAATGGAGGTTCTTTTCGCAATGTTGAATGAGTTTTTGGCAGCAAACAACTTCTATATTTTTAGAATAGAAGTTGTTTTCGTCTAATAATTTTTATTTTTCACAGAATTATTCTCCCGGAAAGGGAGGGGGTGTTATGGTGAGAATAATTCTGTTTTCCACAGAATAGTTCTGTTCACAGAATTATTCTCACGGAGTGCCAGATTAACAAGAAGATGGCGAAAGCAAAAATCTTACTTATGTCATCGACTTTTCTTTCCAAGAAACTTGAATCAAACATCTCGCACAGATCCGGATCATTTCTGTAATCGCCTAACGAGCTTTCACTCTGGATATCACATAAGGTCGGATTAGCTTTAATTTAAAAAGTAAGGATCTGTCTACTTACGAATATCAATACCAACGTAATTCTCTGTCATTAAAATCTGATGATTTCAAAAAACTTTTTGTGGGGCCGGAAATCGGAAAAAATCTGTAAGTGCAGTTTTCTTCAGCTCGTCAAGACGAGTTGAATGATGGGTCTTACTCCTGGTAAATCTAAGGATTTACCGGTTTACCGGCTGGTTACCGGAAAATACGTTGTCACCCGCCGTTTTTGTTCTAGAAGTGGTAAACAGATGATCGACCCAGGAAATTGTTCCTTATAGTCAGATCTCCTCTAGGCTCAAAGATGAGGCTCGTATCAATACTCTGAAGAGAGTTATCAGTAAAAACAGTAAATTTTACGTACATTTTGTTGTTGCTGCACGTTCCTGATTTTCAGTCCCATTTCTGATAACTCTCTTCAGAGTATTGATACGAGCCTCATCTTTGAGCCTAGAGGAGATCTGACTATAAGGAACGATTTCCTGGGTCGATCATCTGTTTACCACTTCTAGAACAAAAACGGCGGGTGACAACGTATTTTCCGGTAACCAGCCGGTAAACCGGTAAATCCTTAGATTTACCAGAGGTTAGACCCATCATTCAACTCGTCTCGACGAGCTGAAGAAAACTGCACTCACAGATTTTTTACGATTTCCGGCCCCACAAAAGTTTTTTGAAATCATCTCTATCAGATATATTTTGAACGAAGAAAATCCCGATTTATCTAAGTAAAAAGGGAAAGTTTGTTACTTCCAGAATCTTTACAATTGTAATTCCATTTGGAAAGGAAGGAAGTAGCTTTAATCAGTCATTGCTCTCATCAAACAATTCGAACCTGTATTTGAAGATCAAAGAGTGGTTTAGTCTGCGACTCTTAGAAATCTGTTTTTATTAAAAATGCCACAAAATCGTCTTGGGTTGAATACACTTAGCTGCATGAAATTGGCTTTTCAATATTTTAAAAATTCTGCGGCTAGCATGAAGACTCTGAGGTCGTCACAGCAATTATGTGATCAACCATCTTTTGGCATGGAAAGAAATTCATACGACATTGAGATACGTAGCCTCACGGCGGAAGCATTACAAGTATGGACCCTGATCGAATAAATTAATTTTAGATGCATTGAACGTCACAAATCCAGGAGAAAGTTGACTGAAGAAGATGAGAATCAAAATGCCCTGCCTCGTAAAAAAATCTCGAAAAACATTCTGTTCAAAGTTGGTTTCCTTCGAACGTCGTTCATTTCATTTTATTTATTGGCAGTTTGTATTCGTATCCGTAAATTCCAGTGAAAAATGTGAGGCGATTTCAATGAAGATTGTGAAGCAGTAGTGATGATGACAGATTAGTCTATTTTTTCCTATTTTTGCAGCCGTTGCAATTACACTCGTATTTGGAATTTTCACCGTAGCCGTAATCGAACTCGAGCTCTTCTCCCGCCTTGACATCCTTGCAAGTGAAGAAGCAGATCTTCGGGAATCGCTGGTCTTGCCGATTATCGTAAATCAAGACAATCATGATGTTCTAAAGAAACCTTTAAAAATGCTCTTCTTTCATTTTGACTTCTTGAATCGTAAAATTAAGACTTACAGAATAATCCGAGCTGCAGCAGCCATTCATGAACCTAGCTTCGTTTCCATAACCACTCGCATCCATCGAAAATCCTCCGTAATAGGCCTGATCGTACGCGTACAATTTCATAAGCTCGGTCGAGTTCTTTCCGTCGATCTTGATACGCTCCTCTTCGTACTTGTCCTCAACATTCCAGGGGCTTTCACCTTCGTGCTTTGTTGCTAACCAATCGAGAGGACTTTTTTTCTTTTTCTCACGAAACCTCTCGATTATGTCAAGAACTGGGTCCACTGTGAACTCATAATTTCGTACACTTTTGCCGTTATCTTTCAAAGTGCACCGAGCTATTTCTTTATCGAACTTGTTCAATTCTCCTTTTGAGCCATCGTTGTGTTTTTCCTCCACGAGGGACAGTGACTCTCTAAAGAAATGATCGAGCATCTCCACCGCGTTGTCTTTGTTCATTTGAATCTTCTTACTTGGATCTTCCGGGTCGAAGTGCGTCGAATGTGGTTGAACAACACCGGTGTATTCGGTTATATAAGCTCCAGCGGGAATGTCCTCTGCCGCCCGGTATCCCCAGCCTTTGTCCGTTGTTAGGAAGATTTCGGTCTTGTATCGGCAATTTACTTTCGAGGTCATGCTGTTGTAACAGTAGACGACTTTCCGATCATGACACTTGCAGGATTTGTTGCATTCGTAGATTGAAGGCGTAGGCAAGATATTCGTTGTCGAGTTAGGATACAACGTACTTTCTGTCAAAAGACCGGTCTCGGGATCATAGCCGATTACGTTCTGAGCATCCGCATTTTTCCAGTACTTCTCGTCAAACTTTCGTGCTTCTTTTTCGAACTGTTTTGAATGACAGTTCGCCTCTTGCATGGACATTTCATCGTCAAGCAGCCATCTTCGCAGTCGCATCCGCAGAGAAATTCCACTGGAAACGGCGGAATTCCAAAGTGCTCTCGATTCTTGTCTCGCATGTCGTTGAGTGATGACCGGGAGAATTTAATCATTCCTTCGTAGCTAAGGTACATCACATCATGTATCTGCTCAAGATAGTAGTGAGCGCTGTATTCGATTCCTTTAGTCCGCAGGACGAGCGTCGAGACTAATAGAGTTAAAAATGGCACGCTAACAAAATTTTCCAAATACATGTAAGTTGTAAGGTGTATGTAAGTTGCGAAAAGAAAGTGAAAATTTTTAACTCATAACTAGACCATCATATTTCCCACCGTGGTTATCGGAATCGGTGAGTCTCATCTTCTCCTTAGATTCGTACCCTAGATCTCGCTTGTAGAAGAACTCAGCCACGCTTCTGTCAATCACGACTGGGATCGGATGACGCGTTTCGCTTTTGAGATTTCGATTCGGCATGGCCATATTCCTCAGACGAAAGTCACGGATAAGTACGTTCCTTTGCTCAGCTTTTTTCGCACGGCGCGGCTTCAATTCTTTCTTCGGCGGTGCCCATCGTTGACCAACTTTGTTTCCATCAATGAAGAGATCTTTGCTCTCGACAATGTCACTTGAGTTGTATGTGTTAAGGATATTTACGAAATTCAATAATAAAAAAAGTCTTACCTGTCTTCACTTTCGGGGTCTGTTTCTTCTTCTTCTGAAGACTCGATCGTGATAACATTAGTGTCTATCTTCTCAATCTTTCGTCTCTTGGCGGGCTCATAATCTTCTTCCAGCTCCTCAAGAACGCCCTTTGGCATCTCTTCCTCACTATCCGATGAAAGAACGATCGGAGCATTGATTCTTTCATTATCATTCTGATTCATTTTCGAGTATTTCAGCGCTCTGAAAGGTTTAGAATGAGGCGATGGGAAATTAGAGAAGTTTCAAGAATAGAGTTTCGTTCGAATAAATTATGTTTGAATTGCGGAAAGCAAGAGAAACAGGCAGTAGAATTAAAAGAATCCTTCTAGGCCAGAGTCCTGCATCGGATATTTTATAAGCAGTTGCTGGGCAGGTTTGAACTAAGATCGAGGTCAAAGGAGAACTTTTCGCTACTCATGTTAAGAAATATTCGATCTTTGACCTTTGCCTTTGGGTGTTTGGCATCAGAAAGAGTCTGCAGGATGACTTGCTCGGAGGTGACTAAAGTGGCGCCAATGTTTTCCATCTCCCGGAAGGCGGAGAATCTATTGACCTGATGAGAGGCACTCACTGCGTCCATGATCACGTGAGTCTTGATTCCTCGCTCGATCAGATCTTGAACTGTGCCTTGAATGCAAGCGTGGGCTTCTAGGCCACAGATGAAGATGTCACTGAGGGACCGATGAAATAGAGGCCAAAAACGCGCTAAACCTGGGCTTGTGCTCTTCCATGAATGCATCAACTTCAGGAGTCATCATAGAAAACTGAGTCTTGTCAGAAAGAACAAAGGGGCGAACATCTGCGAGTTCCTCAACAGTAGGCCCTAGTCCCCTGGCGAATTGCTCCGTTACTGCGACTGGGTACTCCATGATCTGGGCGAATTTGAACATTGTCGAAGTGCTGGCGACCATTTGGTCAAAATACTTAACAACTCTGCTCCTGATTGCTCTTTTAGAGTGATTTGCGAACCTTGATGTTAGGCCTGAATTTTTCCTGAACATCGCAAATAAAAAGTGCTCCCTTTTGGATTTTATTCAGCCTTCGAATTTCTCGAAACATCTTTCTGAAAATTGCTTTCTTTAAAAACTTTCAAAAGGCGTTTTTTATGAAAGATTTAAATTTATTCTGAACTCGTCCAAACGTGGTACAGATCATTGATAAAACAGGCACTATTAATGAGCTGGACCAGTCACACTATGAATTGACCTAGAACATTGAATATGAGTATGGTTTGGTAGGTTAGATTTGTGAAACAGGTGAAATTTATCTTAGAAAGCGAGAACGATGCCCTTCTTCTTTTTCTGGGCGCGTTTCGGCTTCTTGTCTTCTTCGGGTTTGGGCGCGGCCTTGGTTGCCGCTGCGGCATTGAGAGCTTTTGCGAATTCGTCGCCGAGAGTTCGAGTTGGTGGCGGCAAAAAGTCTTGACAAAAATTGAGAATTGAAAACTTGAGTATTTATTACCGTCTTGCTCAAAAGCAGCTGGAGAAGTGGGCGCTTTTTTAGCCTGTCCCTTTGTATTCTCAGAAGCGGATGTTTTCTTCATTGAATCCCAAAAACTGCCGCTGCTTCCGCCGGGAAGAAGGGGAGAGGATCCACCGCCAAGAGGAGCGAAATCAGCTTCAAGATCGAAAGTAGCGTTGGATTTCTTCGCCCAAGCGCCGGAAATACTTTTGACTGGAGCGTCAACCGCTCTGATTGGACTGAGTTCTGGGCTTTCTTCTTGGCTAATCATCAAATCGGGGAAGGTTTCTTCAGAGGAAATTTCGAACTCCGGAGCTCGGTATTTTCCGTAGAGCTCCCGGTCATAGTATTCCTAATACAGGGATAAAAGGGCAGTGATTGGGAGTTGATTTACCTGAATTTCAGCAGAAGCTTTGTTTTCTTGTCGATCCTTAGTTTTGATCTTCTTTTTCTTCGCTGTGATGTGACTCTTGTGCTTTTCGAGAGTTTCCTTGGACAATCCAAGGTCGTTAATATTTACATACGCAAGCGAGAAGCTTTCTCCGCAAGAAAGATGAGATAGATAGCGGAATCGCTTTCGCAAATCCTTAACAATAGCTAGAAAAAGCAAAAGAGTAAGAAATCTTACCATTTCCATGGTGAAATCTTCCAATTCAACAAGCGAAGCTGAGAATCGCTCAGGAGCATCTTTGATCGTTCCAAACTCTGTAGTCATGCACTTTGCGTTCAGAGATCCGAGAAAGATGTTGGTGCATCCGACCGCTTGATAGAAGTAGTAGCTGTTGTCGCTATCGTCGGATTCGATCGAGCTGGTTTCAACATCGTTCAAGCTGATTGGAGGAGTGAGCTCTTTCTCTTCTCGTTTTTCTGCGAAATTGATTTTTCCGAGAAGATCAGAGATGATTTCAGATGCGATTTGCTGCGGAGTTTGCTCTTTGGGAGGAAGCTTTTCAGGTTCAGATTTGCCTTCTTCAACCTTCTTGGCTTCCTCGGCAGGAGATTTCTCCTTTTTGGGTTTGATTTCGATTTCTTGCATTTTCGAGTTTTTGTTCTTCGAGACAATTTTCTCCAGTTCTCCTTTTCGTTGCGCGACTAGCTGCTTTGCTTGTTGGATAAACGGCCGCTCGCTTTCTTCTGTGTCCACTTCTTGGACTGCCAGTTCAGCTTCCTCCCGGTCCAGCACATTCGAAATAATCTCGTTCGCCTTCTTTTCCACAATCCGCTCATATCGACCGAAGAAAGACCCGTTCTCGGAGATCTTCGTTGATACCATTTTGGCGACGACGGAGGATCGTTCTCGGTTCATTTTGACGAATTCGACTTTGGTCCCCTTTCGTGGGCGTTTCTCGACCTCAAGGATGGCTGAACGAAGATCTGCTTTTTTGATGTGGCCGAAGCAAACTGGACATTGAGGCTTTTCGCAAATGGTGAGCAGCTTCAAAATGCAGGAGTAACAATGAGCATGGCCGCAGCGACCGACTTGCGCAGCGATGGGCGGGTGGAGACAGATCGGACACTCGGTTTGCTCCTGGGAGAAGAATCGAGCTACTTCAATGAATTTCCAAGGAATGGACAAGTCCGGATCGTACTTGAATGGTTCCATTTCGAGCTCGCAGCCTTCGCGGATGACGAATTGAGAGTTTGCTTGCACAAAATCCTCCTGAAGGAATTTTTAATTTGGAAGATCATGGAAGACACTCACCTTTGAGCGCATTGGTCGTTTGAAAGAGTTGTATCGAGTTCGACGATTGTGAGAAGAAGAAGAGGAGTTATTTGAATGAGCTGGAGCTAGAATAATTGATCATTGAAGGGGGAGGAGGGATTTGCTTACCAGAGTAATCTTGGAAGCTGAGAAGATGATTGAAGTTGTTCTTCTTCCCCGGCTGCATGACCGGTCCATCGTCAAGCGCTTCAGCGATTAAATTCTGCTTTCCAGCGGAGGGCATCGGGTAGCCTTTGCTCGCCCGGTTCGAACCCCAATTTCGGTTTTGATTGGTCTTTGATTGATTACTCTGACCATGGCCTTTGAAAATGTGTAAGAATCACGCTTGAAAGGGGAGTTTTTCACCTTTTTTGGAGCCCTTAGGGCCCGGCCTATGGTTTATCTCTCGTTGACGGGCCTGGTGGCCGGAAGAAACAAGCGACAGATTCTTGCTCGACATTGTTGGTAGTAGAAGGGAATGATGAAATTCGTTCTCTGCAAAGTTAGATTGTTACGTAACCACCTTATCATTTCTAGCTCTCACCTTGATGCTCGTGCGGGGTTCATTTTAGATAGCCATTTTTGTCACTTCCCTTTGAACAAAAAAAAATCTTATAGCGCTGATGTCGTCGTCTGTTGATTCGGAGAGAGGGTGAGAAAAAGGTTGAAGACCGGAAAAGGCTAAAGGCGCCTGATTAGCTTGCACTTTTTGAGAGAAACTGGTTGGTTAGTTATTATAAATTTACGCTAGAAACATGTTCTAGAAAATGGTTGTTTTACTTTTTTTTACTGAAAACGTACCTTTAGCTGACTAGCTGATCGTACCGCAAGGACACGATCTAAAATTAATAAAGGTTATTTTTAAGTCTCCTAAAACAAGCGCAGAAAAGAAGAAAATGTGGGATAAAGCAGTTCTCGGACTTCTGAAGAACTGACAGTAAGTTATTCTCGCTAGTTTTCGACCCGGACGCAGGTTAATTCCTTGCCCTGCCTTTGCGGGGGCCAATCAGACGCCGCCACTGCCTCCGTTTTTTACAACTGGGGACGTCATAGCATGGGAATGTTTCTAGAACTTTTCCAATGATAACTTATCACAAAAAACTATAAAAAAGTTTAAAATTTAGCACTAAAAATGACCCCAAAATAACTTCTTTGACCCAAAACGACCTGACCTGACCCCAAAAAGTATTTTTAAAAAAAAGAGTTACTGTTTAAGTTTTCTGAATTTTCATATTTATGGATCATTTCGTAAATGCTGAAGGAATAGCAGGGTGTAACATGTCATGAATGAAAAATCGACGGGTAAGGCCTTTTTTAAATAAAAATTGAGATGAAGGTAATAATGTGGAATTTCGGTGAGTGTTAACTGAAAAACAAAAAAGTCTAAAAAACAGTACTAGCTGCCAGTAGCGCCAGTTTCCAGCTGCTTGAGTTTTTGATCATTTCGCCCCAGAGTCGTTTTCGATCCGCGTCGCGATTCTTTTGCTTCAATGCCGAGATCATCCCTCCGCTAGAATTTTCCGTTGCAGAAAAAATATAAGAATAGAGCTTACCCAGAGCTAGACTGTTCATTTTCCTGGTAGCGGATGATTTTCTCGTAGACTTGTCGCGCTTGATTCGGCTGAATTCGCAAATATGGCGACTCTGCGCTTCCTTGAATGAAAATTCAGTGAAAACTGACTGTACTCGATTTTTTACCGTAGGAAGAAAGATATTGCGGCCAGTCGCTCTTGATCGTCAAATCTAACAGCTGATGGATCGCGACAAATGTTTCCGTGGCTTCTGAGAACTCTGGAATCGCGTCACCAGCGAAAAACTCCAGATAATTGACATCAATCAACATTTGCCGTAGTCCGTTTATTGATACCATCGAAGGCTCCTCGTCTTCTGTCAGCCATTCCATTAGTACTGTACCAATGTGTTTGCAGACGACGAAGAGGGTTGTTTCCTGAAGGTGTCTTGTTTGAAACGATGTGGAGTCATTATGGGATTTGATGGTCTTTGATTAGTTTAAACAGACAACACTGATTTCTTATTGGTCGAAAACAAACCATAGAAGTTCCAAGATAGAAGTCAAGTCTAAGGGAGAAAAATCTTACTTGAACTTGGCGGGAGAGTTTCGACAGCATTTTCAGATTGTTCTGAAGGAAATCTATGGCTGAACGAATATGATCACTAGGCCCGGTCGGATCCTCTTCGCTCGTAAAGTCGAATTCGTCGAAACCAAGTTCGAGGATTTGGTCGACTTTTGCCTTGATTCGCGGAGGAATTTGCATTTGAATCTCCGCCCGAATATCTTTACAAAATCAGTAATATGAGAAAACTCCTTGAAGACAAACCTTTGAAGGATTGAGCTCCAATATTCGACAGGGACTTGACTTGAGCGGGCTCTTCTGTAAACGTCTTCTTCTGAATGTAAACACAAAGCTCTGAACAAGCGCTCGCCAGACATCCGACGTTTATCGACAGCTAGAAAAAGAATTGAAGGAGGTTTTTTATCCCAGTGCAAGCGTACCTGCATTAGCTCATTTAGTCCGACATTGTCCTGATCGAGTTTCGTCTTGATGGTCTGCCGGAGGGCGCGTTTGATGAGGCTAATCACCGCCCTTCTTGCTTGATCATCCCTTTGTATTCGATTCAGATCGGAGCCAGAGAAATACAAAAAGTACTCGTCGATGAATTCCTTCATCCGGCCGAAAATACGGAGGACCATTCTGGAGAACGGCAACTTCTTAGGATATTTGTTTCCAGCGTAGCCAGGCGACTCTAGCGTGCCAAAATTGCCACTGACTTCTTCAGAGTTGAACGGAAAAAGGGTAAAGATCTCGAGCTCTTCTTCTTGACAAGAAACGATGAGGGGAGCGAAATTGTCTTGCTTCAAGATCAGGTCGAAGAATTCACCGTAGCGGGCTATTTTAATTATTAATTTTTCATTGAAATCAAGGAAGAGAACTTACCCAATAAGACCTCAAGATACTGTTCGCGAAGCATAGTTTGAACACTAGATAGGCTGCTAGCTTCCAAGTTAATTCGCCTCAGCGCGACGCGGAGGCTTTTAATGAGGTTCTTGACTTTTTCATATTCGATAGGATCGTTTATCCGGGATTGATAGGACTTGATGTTGGTGACGATGCGGTCCTCGAATTTTAGCCACATTTGAGCCACGGTCTCGGATAGGTGCTTGTTTGAACTCTGAATAAGGAAGGGGTTAGGTTAGGGCCTTGTTTTTAATATGCATACCTGTATATTTTCTTCTATGTACATAAATCCCACAATACTGTTCAAATACTCTTCTAGCTTTTGAACGCTCGTGAGTGGAGATGAAACAATTTGGGTAAATTGCTTGTTTCGTTGAACGATAAAATTGTGATGGAAATCGACTGAAATGCCTCGCATCTCTGAAATCTGGAGGCATTTGAAAATCGGCTTGAAATCGAGCGCTCTGAGTTCGTCTTCGTCTTCTTCCATCGCGAGTTTTCCGACGATGAGGGAATTGGCGCGCGCTGAATCGAGCCAATTTGTGAGGAGAATCTCACTGTCTGCGTATATTTTCTTCTGCTTCGCTAGAAGATTATCTCGCAGGTACTTTTTCAGCTTCATTCTTGAGGGGAGTTTTTCGAGGTGCTCTTCGCTAATTTCTTGAATAGATCTCAACGCGCGATAGAGTTCTTCTTTCTTCATGTGTTGATTGAGTTTGATAAACTTTTGAAAAAGCGGCAGTAGACCTTCCAGTTGCTCGATTGACATATAAATATTCTTTCGCTGCACTTGAAGTTTCTGCTTCTCGGCCATTTTGAAGACGACCTCTTCGCAAGTGTCCTTCGTTTGAGAATCGATCTCGGCCACTTGCGACTGTAGCTTCTTGACGAGATCGGTGACTTCGCGAAGTTCGTAAATTGCATTCGACAGTTTTCCGTAATGATGATTGCAGATTGACTCGATTTGCGTGTCGTAGTGTTCTACTCGCGTGGCCAGGCGGATTTCGAAGAGATCGTGAAGCTGAAAATACGAAAATGCATCAAAAATGTTGCTGAAAAATTTCCAATGAAAGAGGTCAAATAAGAGCCCGTTCCAGCTTCATTGGAATTTCGAAAATGAAAGGATTCATAAAAGCGTTAATATTTAATCTTTTCATGACTCCAAACGAAATTTTTTAGCCTCAGTCATTTTTAAACCAGACAAAATTATCTTTCAAAAGAATAATGAGCTTTTTAAAATGAGAAATCAAGATATTCAATTCGACATATCCCTTCGCATTCGATTATTGTAATAAATGAAAACACTTACATTTCTGTTGTAGACTTCTCTCAGCGTCGTTCCCAAATAAAGACTGTCGTTATTTTCCACATCTCTGACGAATCTTTTGAACTCGTCTTCTGGCAGAAAATTATCTTCTTCTTCCAGCTCCATCTTCGTTTTTGATCTTCTTTCAAGGGTCTCTAATTCCAGGCTCTACTTGCAGGCATGATTAGTTTTTGCTTTTCTTTCAAGTCATTTCATTATTTTTTCTCGAAATCGCGGAAAGTGCGAATTCCTTATTTCGGAGCTCTCTGAGTGCGCGCGGCGTGGGCGAAACGCGCAAAAAGTGAGCGCCCAACCATTGCGCAACTCTAGAGCCAATTCAATGGGGAATTGAGAGAAAAAGAAGGGATGAAGAATTCTATCGACATTTTGAGCAGTTTTTTGAAGATTTACTGCCAATTTTTTGCTCTGAAACAAGTTCGAGTTTGAGCTCTAAAGAGACATAAAGAAATGAACTCGAACTTTCCTCAGCTTTAAGCTCTGTTTGAGCCAGCTTAAATTTTTTTCCAAAAAATCTAATTATTTTCAGAATTTTAGACTTTGAAAAGGGAGATCTCTGGGATGTCCGATTCCGAATCGTCCGATGATGACTTGGCAGGAGTATTCGATTCCTGCTTCGATACAGTCGAAACCGAAGAAATCGCCGATTCCGACATTGTCAAGCAAAATCAAGCGTCGCGGAGAAAAGTTCACGATGCCTACGCTGCCGGTCCAACTCCGGCCGAAAGAGATGCGAAAAAGATGGAACTGCTCAAGCTGAAGAACAGGCGGAAAAGACCGATGAATGAGCTGATGGAAGACGAATCCGACAACATTTTTTCCTCTCCAGCGAAACGGACGAAAAATAATGAAGAGCCAAAGAATATTTTCGAAGAAGAAAACGAAGAAGAAGAAACGAATATTTTCGAGGAAAAGCCATCTTCTCTTTCTGCTTCTCTCAAACCGCTCAAGAAAAAGAATCTTCCAAAGAATCCGACCAAAGCTCCAGAATCGTCAAAAACCAACTTTGATTTTTCGCCAAAGAAGAAATCGAAGAAATCTGCTCCGGCAATGGACATGGGAGTCATGCAGAGTACGAAGAAAACTGCTTCAAGTCTTGCGGGGACGAGTAGTGAGACGAAATTGCAGAAGCTGTCGATTTCGGAAGGAGAATCGGCAGTATGCGGCTTGTCAGGAATTGTCCTCAGGAATGATTTTAACTTCGGACATGTAGGAGTCCTACAGTAGGACTGGAAATGTCTTGATATAAATTGTCCGATCGATTTAGAAATCATTGACAGAAACCGAGAAGTATCCCATCTTGAAGTAGAAGCGCACATCGGCCTGGCCAAGTTCACGCATTGCCACTTTCTAGCGACTGGGGCGGATGAAAAAGTCGACTTCGCCACGATCGGCATCGTCGTCCAAAAAGTGCAGCCACAAACTCTTGACAAGAAAGGAAACCCCTTTACGATTTTCAGCTTATCAAATCTTAGAGACATTCCGAGAACGATCAAAATCATGGCTTTTGGCGAGGCAAGGGTTTTCAGAGGAGGCACAGGAAGTGCTGAGATATGAATTGTTTATTTTGTATAATGATCAGTTGGCTCGTTGGTCTAGGGGTATGATACTCGCTTAGGGTGCGAGTGGTCCCGGGTTCAAATCCCGGACGAGCCCTACTTTTTTCCTTTTTATCATAATTCTAGTGAGAGAATTTTCGATTTCTACCCCTGATACTTTTTATTGAATCATCATCAATTGATCCCTTCGCGCGCTTTGCCCCTTGTCGTCTTTTTTCGCCTCTGAAAACCTTCGAAAAGAACCACAAAAAATACTGGAAGACTCAAGTCGGAGCTGTTTGCCTCGTCGTCAATCCGAAGAAAATGCCCGCCCGTGGAGATTCCAAATACGAACAAGTCCCGACTTTCATGCTCCAGGGACCCGATTGCTTCAAAATCATGGGCTTCTCCGCAGATCTGGGCACTTGCACATCGAAAACAGCACAGTAAGATCACTTTCCTGTTTATTGTCATAAAAAAATTCTAGAGGGCAGCCTTGCCGGCAGTTCGTGAATCTCAGCGTCTCCCAACTCTGTCCGAATCATGTGATGAAGCAGTGGAATCGAGCAAGTTCCGCTCGTGGCGAATTGAGCGCAAAAACTGGCACGCACGGTCTTTCTGGCGCTGGAAGTGCGTGGCAAAAGACCAAAGGCGACTTTTTCTTCTCTGGTGGAAAGACTTTCCAAGCGCTTCCTCCTTCGCAGAATCCAGCGTGCAACAAGAACTCGATGCTTGATTCATTGGCCAAAAGTCATGCGAACAAGGGCGTCAGAGATGGATTGAAGGAGATGAAAAAGAATCCTGGAATCGTTGTCATGAACGCTCCAGGTACTTACCACTTTTTGAAGAGCGTTTTTAACGATGATTTAAGCTGGAAAAATGCCGGCTGAAAACACGAATGTCATGGTAAAAAGCTCGATGCACGGAGGACGAATGCTTGCCGCCGCTTTGGGAAGATCCCACGAAAATGAAAGTCTGATGGCTTCGAAACGAATGAAAGCTCCAGATCCAAAAGTGTCCAGCATTTCCGCAGCGCAGCTTTTGAAGCAGAAGAACGAGGAATTCGCAGCTAGAAAGAGGGAAGCACTGAAGAGACAAAAAGAGGAAGCGATTAAAAAAGCGTCGCAGGGTGGAAACGCTCCTACTCTTGGAGGCGGCCTTTCAAAGGGGTTGAATCTAACGGGAGGGCCGAAAATGGGAAACTCGCTGTTTTCGAAGCTTGGAGTCTCTAATGATAAAAATCTGTCGAAGAGCGGCGAAAATTGAGAGCAGCGGCAGTTCTCAAGAGCAAAAACGCCAAAAGTCCAGAAGAAAATAAACAATCTAAAATTCTCCAGCGCGTTTCTCAAAGCATAGGAGAGAAGAAAGAAAAAGTTGAACGGACCTTTATGGGACAGAAAACTTCCTGCGTCGATATCAAAGCTATACTGGAGAAAAAGTCGAAGTACCATGCGAGCGTGGAGGATTTGATGTCCGCCGAGCAGGATTTCTACTTTTCCGTGCTGGAGAAGAAGGAGGAAAGACAGACGAAAATGGATGGTGTTATGAAGGCAGATGCTCAAGTTGTGACTTGCAAAGGTACTTTTGTTATGTGTTTCATTCAAGAAATAGCATTAAATTTTATGTGACAGAAATATTATAATTCACACATTACAAATTCATGTGAATGAATGTGGCGACTCCGTAATCGTAATTATCGATTTGGTTTTCATTTTATAAATAGAAATGTTTAGAAATGTCTGTATAAATCTAGTTTCGTATCTGATTTTACCCACAACTGTAGCCAAAAGAGGGCGCATTAGGCGTCTCACAGCGTGGGACTAAGCTGATAGGCTATCAGTGATAGCAATCGTACTAAAGGAAATTTTTGGCACTCAAAGTCGATATTTATTGGAGATTGAATACTAGCTTATTTTTAGATTGCAAATACACCTACTGGAGTCCTCACGAAAATTGCAAGAAGCAAAACCACAACCTCGTCTGGAAAGAAGCAACAAAGCGTTGGTTCCAGTGTAAAAACTGCCCAACTCAACGAGCAATTACATTTTCAAAATATCCCAAAACCAGTTGTTCCTCCTGTGGCCAGGGAACGCGCTGGGTCAGAGTTGCCGCTGGAGATACGAACAGAGTCGCAGCAAAAGAGCGGGACAGTTTGCTCATTCGAGGAGAAGAGAGAAAATGGGTCAATTCCTGATTACTGTAATTTGAGATCAAGGAAGATTATTCTGCTCTGTCTTCGATGCTTTCGTTTATAATTCTAGCTTCCATTTATTTCTATCTAACTCCTGCCTTTATCTTGTAATAAACTGTAGTCTTATTCAACCTATTTGTTAGGAAAATATATTTATTTGTGAATATAAAATGTATAAATTACAGTGTTTTCAGCGGAATAATGGAAAAGAAGCGGCAATAGACAATTGTTATTTTTGTGGCGGCTCATGATTTTGCTTTTTTCTTACTTTGGGGAAGAGATGAGAGTTCCATGGTTTTCGACATCAGCAACGTCCGCAATGGCGACTTTCGAACCGTAACCATAGGCAACTCGGCAATTAATTCCATCGCCAGTTTGCTGATATCGCCTAAAAATTTTTCAGCCGTGTTTTCAAACCTAGATTATCTTACACTTTATCGGAGCAAACAACGCCGCTTGAAATTTCAGAAACGACGGCCAAATCGGTGCTGATTTTTTGGTCTTTGACTTTGAAGACGTTTTTGTTGCTTCCGCCAACGAGGAAGGAATCGGTACCGACGAATTGGGCCGTGTAGTAGGAACTTCTTTCGTCTGGGTGCTCTAGAATTAGTGTTGGGAGGAGTAGAGAGAATGAATTTCGTTACCGAGAATAGTTTTGCGAAGGGTTCCTTCTCGATAGTCCCAGACTTGGATTCCATCATGTCTTCGCCAAGAAGCGGTCTAAAAAGCTATTAAAAGAGGTCTTAGTTATTATTTTTACCAAAATCGTCTGGTCGTTGGGGTCAATGTCAATACTCTCGCCGCAGATGTGAGGACCGAAGATGCGTTTCGTGGCGCGTTCCTGTCTTCGGTCCCAGAACTGAACGGTATCGTCCCATCCGCCCGAGACAAAGTTCCAAGTTTCATTTGGATGATGCTTTAGGGCGTAGACTGCGGTTCGGTGTCCGTCCATGCGCTCCAATGATGGAGAAGCTTGGAATGAATTAAGAAGGGAAAATGGGATAAAGGGTACCTTTGCAAGTATTAATTTTCTGCAGAGAAGCGAGGTCATAAACATGGATGTCAGAATCTTTTCCAGCTGTGATGAGAGCATCTTGCGTTGGGGTGACCATAGTTTGGTAAACTGTTCGATCTTCTTCGATTGTTTGCAAGCACTGGCTGTTACTGACATTCCAGACCTGAAAATAATCATTTTCAATTGTACGATAAGCTTCTTTAACGATTGCCCATTTACAGCCTCTAATCTGCTATTTTTTGTTTGGCCAATCTGCAACCGGATAAGAATATTCGTTTTTATAAGAATAAGCTGTAGAATCGAAATAGACTCACCTTGATTTTTCCATCACAATATCCAGCGACAAGTTTATCTTCATTTATCCAGTGGCAAGTAACTGCTGGTAGATTTTTCTGTCTTGTGTCTGTATCAACTAGATTGTGGAGTTTTCGTCCGTCCGAAATGCGGTAAATGATGACCAAGCCCTTGTTGGTGCAGATCGCAATGAGTTTTTGGGAAGGACTCACTTTGCAGCAGAAAACGTCGTCATTACAGTCACTACAAATTTGATTAATTATTTTATACTTTTGATACTATTAGCTTACATAATGTGTGAAATTTGAATTCTTCCTTCGATAATCTGTTTTCCCTCTTGAATCAGTTCTTCTTTCTGTCCCTCGCCAGTTGCATTAGGCATTGGCGACTTGATCTTTGGTATCTCTGGCAGCGGCTTGATTGCGTTCATTTTCTGATTTCGAAAAACTCAAACTGAAATCAGGTTTTAAAAAATGGCCAAAAACACTTTGGCCGACAAGTGTTCTAGAGATTGTGAAACACTCATTCAACTCAAGTTGTTTATAAAAGGGAGAAAGTATACTAAAGGATACTTGACGATTGAGATTATTCAGAGCATGGGAGAATAGATTTTTTGCGTCAATGACGATGAGTTCACTTATTTCAATCTATGCAACAGTGCTTTTGACACTAACGCTTCTCTCTTTTTAGACTGGTCGCATTTTTACGCCCTCACGTCGTTCCATTACTCACTGAACGTCGTTTTTGTGACGTCACGAGACTTCTCTGGATTCCACACTCGCCGCGGGGGAAGACAGAAAAGAAACAATGTATCGAGCAACTGTGGGAACGGGCAAGACGTTACTCGGTACTTTGCCTTTTACAGCTCAAATGGTGAACTTGCGGAAAAATCGTGATTTTACGAAAATTGAAGATTTACGATGGTTATCTCCAAAAGTACAAATGTGAGAAGAACAGTAAATTGACGGAAGTGGAGAACTTCATGCGCTGTGAGAATTTTCTCCATGGAGGTAGAAAAAACCCCAACGAATAGTTTCCCCAAATCTTTGTTTTAGTAGTTGAAATTCCAGAAATTGCAAAAAGCGAGCGAATCTACCGTCACGAAGCTGGTCATCTTCTCATTATACTCCTTCATTTTGAGTCTCTTTCCGTCTTTCCAGCCCTCGTCTCTTTCCAAAAACGCGCAGATCTAAAGCTCAACGCTTACATAAAAGTCGTCGATCTCCCAGAAACGGGCAAGAAGACCTCGACTTCTGACGAAGAAAAGTTCAAGAGCTGGATTTTATATTCCGTCGCTGGGAAAGCCGCGGAAGCAGTATTCAATGGAACTGAAGGAACAACAGTTTATTCCTTATTGAAAAGGCTCCAGGAAAAAACGAATTCACGTGACCTGCAAATTGCTCGAATGTACGCATCAAAGGTAGATAAAGTTTTATTAAATAGGTTTAAGGCCGGCATAGTATCTTAATTGTTCCCAGCAGCAAAATTGAATCAGAGCATACGGTCCAAGTCGCGCCCATTGAGCAGAAAATCCACGGAAGAATCCCAGCGGCCCATTCGTTTTCAGAATGTAGCTTAGAGCTGGAAACAAACCGTTAAACTTCCCAGGGTTGGTCATTATCACAGTTCTGGCATTCGTAAATGGCGAGCTTAAAATGTTCTTTTCATATTTGTTGAAAAAATGTCGCTGAACCTAGAACAAGTGATAGCAAAGCCAGTAATAATCGCTGTGCAGAAAATCAGTCCCAATCGCTCAGCCTCGCTTGGTGCAGAATTATGACCGTAATTGTCGTAATCGCTATCTTTCCACGAATGTAAAAATGGAAGAAAATTCTGGAGGGAGGACGACTTCATCGAGTTTTGATGATGATCGGGTGTTTTCTTGAGGAAATCTTTGACTTCGTTGTAGACGGCTACGTAGGTGATTCCAATGCTTTCGTGGGTTAAGTTTTTCCAAATATTGGCGTTGAAACCATTCAAATGTCAACCCTTTTTCCTCATTGCTCTAGTAACACTTGTTCCAACACCTTCATAATAATTCGCCCATCTCAATGACACCGTTTGTTTTATATTATCCACCCGTTTTTTGAACCCCTCTAGAAAAGGGATGAGGACATCCTGAGATTATTTTAACCCCCCTACGCCACAGAATAGACCTTTACCTCTTATTTTAGCTGCATTGAGGCACTGTATGATGTCTGTACTCCGAGTCCATAGACTCCCCAAAAGGGGTCAAAATGAGCGAAATCGGGTTTTTCCGGCTTAATGACGTCATAAGTCAAAGAACATGTGACAATAACTTTTTCTAAGTACCCCTACGCCACAGATCAGACCCTAAGCTACATTCTGGTAGTTTAGGGAACCCTCTGTGATAACTGTGGTCGGAGAGCATAGACTCCCCAGCTTGGGTTAATATAAAACAAACGGTGTCAATGGACTTCCCCCGACTTCCCTCGCCAGTTTATAAAGCGGTGGTGGTTTTCCTTGATAACCCTGCGCTCTCACTTTGAAAAGGTCGGTCGGATGCGCTATTGTCGCGGCCAGTCCAGCGGCGGTGGCACCTGCTGCCATTCTCGAAGCAATTCGCTGAATATCGGATTCCTTGTTGATCCCACGCTCAAATTGCTCCCGGAAGGGTTCATACAAGCCGAGTCGAAGAGATGAGTAGATGAGTTCTCGAGCCAGGGAAGCAGTAATTCCTCGATACCAGCCAGAAAACCCCTCTTGAACTATGATGTCTTTCATGACAACGGGAAATGGTCGCACTTGCCCGCGATTAGAGATTTGTTGAAAAACCATCGCAGTTTCAAAGGGCTACAGTCGTTATAGAATTTACTGACAAAATGGGAGATTTACATGGACGCATAATCCAGCAGTTGCGCAGGATACACCCGCTAAGCCGATGTTCAGGACTTGCTCTTGATTCATCCTTGCGCTACGTCATAACTAGAGAACATTCATTTTCCAAACATCTCTGAAAACTTCGCTGATCTAAATTCTAGAGAGTCCTCTTAAAAAAAGATTAATTTTAAATTATTCATTTAAAATCTTTATTCTAGCTCTCCGACGACGAAACGAAGCAAGAAGAAATCATCGCTGCCAGTTTTTATCAAGCAATAAAAGAAATCAAGGCGAACGAAAGAAAATACGAAGTCATCTTGGAAGCTATAAAGAAAAACAGCTTCATCACAGCATCTGAAATTTTCAAATTATTCGAAGAGCTTTAATTCTAGTGTAGCGAAATTTAAAGTTCTTTTTTTAAGAATGAGTAAAAGAAGAATCGAAAAGTTCTTGTTGAATTATTTCGAAAGCAACAACTATTCAGAAACGCTAAAAACCTTTCAAGATGAAATCAAAGAAGAAAACACTGAGACTCGAATTTTGAGCTTCAAAATCATTAAAGCTCCGAAAATAATCGTCGATATCGAGGAGAAGAGAAAGAAATCAAGAAAGAAAGAGGAAGTGAAAATTCCAAAAGAATTCAAAAGAATAGCGAAAAGAGCTGGAATTCCAAAAGATCAATTCGAGTTTTTCTACGAGCATCGGGAGAGCTTTAACTGGGAGCTTTTCAAACCTACAGGTAAAGAGAGGATCCATGCAAGGCCAAATTGTAATTTTAAGTCTACTGTACTGTCTGCAAAGAAACATCAGAGCACTACAACTTCTGCTTCACCCAGCACATGAAAGAAAAGCACAATTACAGTGACACTCCTTGCAACTTCGCTGACTGCAAATTTGTCGCCAACTCGGAAAGCTCGTTGCTCAGACACCAGGCGAGCTTCCATGGAATGGGAAAACGAAAACCCTCTGCTCGGGCTTGTCTCAAGTGCAAATATCCATCTTGTAATTATCAGGCCTCGATTGATTATGCGCTGCAGAGGCATTACAGTATTCATGAAAATAGGAGCGCGGAATGCTATCTTTGACACGGGTTCTCAATCAAATTATCTGACTCAGCTAAAATCACTGAAATCAACAACGAATATTAGATTATTCCCAGTCGTGTTCAGTTAGCACTTTTTATCTCAAAAATTGGTAACCCAAATTTACCTCAACGCGAATGTGCAACGCGCTCAAGTTTAAAGATCACGTGGCGGCGCATTTCAACATCACCGACTTTGATTGCAACTTCTGTACGAAAAAATTCACCAGCAATGTAAAGCGCAACGCTCACGAGCGCGCCTCTCACGGGACTTTTATTTGCACCGATTGCGGTCTCGATTTGAAGACGTCTTCGAAATTCAACAAGCATCGGACAAATTGTGAAGAAAGAAAAAAGGCCTTTATGCAATGACTGTTTTAACTGAATTGAATTCTAGTTGTTGCCAAAGATGAACTTATAAATCAACCCTTTTTATAGCTATTCCGATTGGGAGGAGTGATGCTCCCCGTTGAGTGAATCGCTCGACTGACCTTAATTTCAGAGCGCTGTGACATTTCCGCAAAATAAATCGAGTTTTGAACAAAAACAAGGGCCCATTGAAAAATTGTAAAAGTAAAAAAGTCAACCAGGGCCAAAAAAATTTCTTCTCACCAAAATTCACACAATGAATGAAAAAAGACTCGTACCACAACTAATTGTTCTTCTTTCCCCTTTGATATTCGGTATTAGTTCATCTACAGATTTCGCGAATAATCAGAGGAAACGAAAAATAGTGTACCAATTAGACAGAAATGGCTAGCGATCCGTCCCAAAGGATTCATAGCGCTGATTTATAGCGGCTTGCTCAGAGTGTTTGATTCATTAGAGATTTCAGATTCAGATTCTGAGTTTTTAGGACCTTTTCAGGACATAGGGTCAGTTTTATAAGCCATCTTCAGAGTATCAATCAGTCAAATGATTTCTAGGTTTACTCATTTCTAGGGAAAAATAATCAGACAAAATGACATTTTCCTGAAGCGCTGCCAAGTCTTTTCTGTCCCCATCTGTCAAAAAATCAGAAGCACGTGTGAGGAAGACGAAGCTTTCTCCCTCTTCCCCTGTCAGATGACAGTCCTCAGATAGACTTGGCGGCTAAATCGATGTATAATGAGCTTTAGGGGGGCCTTTGCAATTAGCTATCAAACGATTCGCGGATAAATTTGCATCTGTTGCTTCGCCGAAAAAAAAATCGAACAAATCCCTTCCTAAGTACGGCTTTATTGAACCCTTTAGTTTCACGCCTCAAGATGGCACAACTGTAATAAAATGTTATCCCCTTTTTCCTCAGCCCTTCAGTTAAAAAACAGTCTTCTGAAACTAAAAGTAAATATTAAAATATTATAATTGAAGCTATTGATTAGTATCATCTTCAATTTAATCATTCTCGACTCCGAATCATCCATCAGCGATTAATTAGTTTGAACAAGTATACAACTAACTATCAAACAGAATATACACCAACTCATTAATAATTCCCACTAGAGTTCGTTTCAAACTATCTTTCTCTTTTTCTACTTTCGATATTTACTTTCGCTCATGGTTTTTTATTAATGACGGGTCTCAGGGGACCGACTTGGTATTCTGGTATCTAGCTACCTCGTGAACAACCGGCTGTACAGTGGTAGGACGGGAACTAAGGGTGGTCGAATTATTCATCACTTTTTTTTGCTACTACGCGAGATGGATTTTTCAAGTGCACTTTATCAGATACACAACTCACTCCAACTCGCGCCAAGAGCAAAAATGTATAGACTGCCAAGATCAAATTTCGATTACCTTTTCTACGACTTAGAAATATGCTTTTCACAGCATCTAATACAGATGATACAGTATTAAGAGGCTGCCAGAGAATCAATTTCTACAGCCGCTTATGTTATCTACAGACACTTAATAATCCCCGCTTCGAGAAACATATTTATATAAACTCTTATTTCTTCCAACCTCAGAAAGGTTTTTAGAGAAAGAGATATTCAGTTTGGATTTTTCAAAATATTTTTACACTCAGATTTTTCTGACTCTTTCCGTGGACTGGTTTTCTAAACAACCGTGATGCATAATTGATCCCAGGCGGGTGAAATAGACACACCTGCTATCTTATTTTAGACCGTGTTGGCCCCAACTCATCAACCTAACAAACCGGAACCGGGCTCTCTTTTTCTCCACGCTTATAAAAATTGTTAATTTGCCTCTCGATGTTTTTTCACCCTCCCGCTTTCACCGCAAGGCTGATTTCCCCCACTCGCCCGTCTAAATCTAATTTCATAAATTTTTCAACTAATCCCCTGTTTTGAAAAACGAAAAGGAAAGATAAAGAAGCCAGCAGAGAAGAGCTCTACTCTCACTCTCTTCTACTTGCGCCCTCGAGCCCACCGGCGCTGGCGCAATTGGCGCGTTCCACACTGAGCGTAGCTTTTTTGCATTTTTTCGCGTTTTTCACCCCTGCTGGTGTCAAAATTGTTCATTTTTCGGTAATCGAGAGAATTTCTGAAAGAGACCCCGAAGATTTTTAAGAATGATTTATGCTAAGAAACCGTCGTATTTCCTGAGGTAAAATTAAAATTTTACGATAAATTTCGTCGCACAATTTATCATGAAATATTACTCAAATTTAAAGCAAACGCAGTTTTATCAAAGGCTTTTTTCGTCTTGCTTTTGCAATATAAAACCCCTTATAGTTCGTATAAAATAGGCGGCGCAGACTGATGATTTTCTTTAAAAGTCTGTTGTTTGTCAAAAATGCCCTTATTAACGAAACGCCCTCGTTCTTATTAAACAAAAACACGACCTTGCTTGTCCGCTAATTCACAATTTCATCACATCGTTCCATAATCCAATGAATTGACAAGTTCACGTCGCTCTTTTGAAAGGCAGGCTGTTTGGATAGTTTACTGTTGATTCTTTCGCAGCTTAGGGCAAATACTCTTTCAAAAACTTTCCGACCGTGAAGTTTTTTTTATCAAAAGTAACTTTTTTCTTTGCTCCAAGAAAGTTTATTTATTCTCAAGCTTATTTTTCCTGAATCGATATTTAAACCTTGACGGGTTCTCGATCATCTAATGACGCGCTATTTATTGCGCATTCCTTATTTGAATTAGAAATATATTTGAGTTACCAAAATCATTTTTGTATAGAATGTGAACGATAGAAAAAGAGATCGAAACCTCCCCCAAATCAATCAGAAGAATGACCGAGGATTTGGTGGAGCCGACGCCTCCGCCGCGGAGCAAAAGCGAAAAAAGAAAGAAAGGATCCAAGGAGATTTTAACGAGCCCAACCGATGCACAGCAATTTATCGAAAACCTCGTCAACCAGGTAATTTCTTGATTTTGTAGCACTTTTTATTGCGCCGGTGTGAAATTTTTTAAAACTCTAATTGCCCAGTTATTGATCTGTTAAAATTTAGGGTGGGTTCATTTACAAACTTTTACTCGGGATATTATGTTTTTACGTCCCCATTTCGCTGTACTAGAGGCTACAGAAATAAGGTGGGAAAACTCCGAGAGCCCCCTATTGAGACCTTTATTTACCAGTTCATTGAGGATCCATCAACCAGAACAGGATCTCCTTCTGATGCTCCTACTTATCTGTAATGAGCAAAAACATGTGTATCACCCATTCGCTGGCGCGCTGCCCGCATTTGTCCATATTGTAATTAAACTCGTACAAGCGCTAAACTATATCTGGATTGGCAGCGGGAGCTTCTGATTATGAATATTCAATGCATTTTTATATTAAAATTTTAATTTTTAAACCAGCACCCCCGTAATGGGGGCATTTCTGGCTCAATGTCAAGAGGGAGAGGATTCTTTAGGGATTAATTCATGCAAGAGGTACTTGGATTCAATCGATCTCTTACAGGACTTCTCCGATTTCTAAGAAATGGCTCTTGAAATCATGAGTTCCGTTGTATACCCAGATTGAGCGTAAACCAAACAGAACTCGCGTAATTCTAACTTTCACTTCAACTAGAAAGCATTCTAGCTTTTTTGGCACGATTTCAAGCACCACTTAGTCAAGGCCCGTGTTTACGCAAGCCCCTTCGCTGCCATCCCTTTTCCTGAAAATCTGACCCAAGTACTTTCGCGCGTGACCTCAAATTCCAACTTAATCCGGAATGATCTGAAGTGCGCTGAATGTAGCTTCTACAGTAGTGGTGTTGCATATTGCGCTGACATTTCCCACCACGGTGGCACCTCGTGCACTCTGGGTCTTTTCTTGGACAGCTGCCAAGCAAGCGGAAAGAATTAATTCTCATTTTTAGCTACCGCAGACTATGAATACATTTAGAAGGGGTAACCTTTTTGATTTTGACCTTTTTGGAACAAATGGGAACATCTTAATTAACCATCAAATCTCTCAATTCTCCTCCGTGTCCTCGGTTAATAAATCTTTCTTAGTCATTCCCCTCTGTTCTTCTCGACGATGTAGAAACCGATGACGACGACGATTGCTGCTCTTCAAATACTTCTTCGACGAAGAAAGCTCCTTCTAGCATTGATCGATCTTCAAAGCCAGATCTCGTCCCTGAAAATGAAACGATGCCTAATCTTGCTCCCAGTCCACTTAGAAATTCGCCTGCGCCAATGTCAGTTTCTTCATCTTCAGTTTCGCCGCAAAAGGCCGTAAAGCCCAAGATCAAATCGTTGCTAGAAGCGATTCGAAAGCCCAAAGGTTTGTAGAACAAAAATGAGCGTGAAAATTAGCGGACAGTGTGAATAGTTGATGACTAAAATATCTTGTTGAACAGGCTGCTATTTTAAGTCTTGCACGTGCGGTCGTTGTATAGAATTTAACTCCTACTATTCACTTCTGATTCACGGGCGGTTAATCCTTCTGCTCCTTCTTCAAGATTCTGGTTTAGAATTACAATTATCGGATCACTACCGCGACACGATATGCATCCGCTCACCCCGCCGCGCTCCCAATCTCTCCGCTACCGCCCCAAAGGTCAACAACGTTCTCTCCGGCGAGGCGCTATCTTCGCAAGCGAGCAGCCAACTGATAGAGTCTATCCTTATCGGTGGCGGGAAGATCACCACTTGGCGCGCCGGTGGGAAAATTCGATGCTGGTCTAGAATGAAATTCTTCAATCGCATCAAGGCGGTGGCGAGACAGATCCAAGAATCGCTCCAGATTGCTGCGGGAAAAACTGTGGCACTCTCCTTTCCTCACGTCGATCTCGACTTTGTCACGGCTTTCTTTGGTTGCCTGATGGCTGGTGTGAACGTAATCAGTGTCGCCCAGCCCGATCACTGTACAAAAGGCGAGATGCTTCAATTTAAAAGTCTCGATGTTCAATGTGTCTTTACCACGCCCCTTCTTGCCAAGAATTCCGGGAAGAAAGACGAAGGGAAACGCTTCAGTCTTTGGAATTCGATCAAAGTAACGGTTCCTTCCAAAACGCTACCTCCAGCAAAATGGCGGGTCGAGCCCTCCCGCGTTTCCAGCGGCAAATTATTGATGTTCCGGAGTTCTGGTGGTCAAATAACAACAATTACAACCACTCAAGAGTCCTTATCGATTCAACTTGGCCTTATGGCTCAAGCAACTGGATTGAGTTCTAGCTCGCGTATCTTGTCGCTAGAATCGCACTCGAATCAATTCCTCATCTCCGGTGTTTTACTACCTCTGTTCGTTGGAAGTGAACTGTTCATACTTCCACCCGAGCTGGCCAAGCAAAGTCCAGAAGTATGGTGCCGCATCGCGGATCGCCACGGCATCAGTGACATTTTCTGCCGCGCGCGTGAGTTCTCCTGGGCGAGTGCAACAGACTTGGCATTCACATGCGATCTGGCGAATTTGAAGGCTATCAATTTGATCGATGGCCGCCACCCGACGTGTCTTAATTACGCCGTCAGCGCGTGTTATAAAATCAGACGCAGAATAGCGATTGAGCCGGAAGCGCTCTTTGGAATCGTTTGGTCCGATACAGCTGGATTTCTAGGAAGGATTAAGTCTGCTAATCCGACCAATAGCGGCTTTAGTTCAACAGCTTTGTTGGTGGATCGCCTCATGCTGCAATCAGGACTTATTGAGCTACATCTTGAACCGAGCCCGAAATGCATTCTCTTCCCTGGCTATTTAGACATCTCTCCTGAGCTACAACTGATCTGCGCAAAGATGGAGAAAAAAGACGACGAAAAGAAAGTCGTCCCTTGCTTCGATCGAGACACTGGAAAAATCTGGGTTCGTTCAGATGCGCTGAAGGAAAAGCATTTAGCTAACTTGCCAACTTTGTCGGATAACGTTTTCAATATGAGCATAACTGGTGTGCCAGGAACTTGGGTAGATACAGGCCTGATTGGAGCGCAACTTGATGACAAGGTTTTCATCATTTCGAGCGCGGAAGAGCACTTTCCGGTGGCAGCAGCAGATATTGATGCAAACTCAAACATTTCCATTTTGCCAATTCAGTGGGATCTACTTGCTACAATCATCACAGCTGATAAGAGCGCCATGATCTTCCGTCAGCGCTGTCACGTTTACACGGTTAGAATCGCTAGCTCTTACAAACTTGTTGTTTCCGCCGAGTTGAGTTCTGACTCATTCAGCGACGAGCAAATCTCTGGTCTTGTCGATTCAGTTGTTGATGGATTGGTGCAGTTACATGGTATCAGTCCTTATTCCATTTCTCTTCACGCTCCTTTCTCTCTTCCTCAAAATCCAGATGGCACACTTGACTATTCGTTGATTGAGTCGAAATATTCATCTGGCGATTTGGAGAGTATTTATTGCCTTTCTTTGCCTTGGCGAACGCTAGAAACATCTTTACCAAGCTCGATCGCGCCTGGATGCGTTGTTGGTGCTGCTGGTATGGTCTGTGGTGCGGTCATTTCAGGAACTGAACTCAGCTACGCTTCTGGACGCATTCTTCAGGAAAAGACTGGCCAGATGGAGACACTTGCTCAACGATTGGCGTCCAGAGTGAAGCAGAACTCCGACATGCCTGACGAACATCCATTGATAGACGTTTTTGGATCGAAGGAGTTCTCGAAGCCCTTTGAAAAAGGAACACGACCGAAGGGACTGCGATTGACAGCTCCAGAACTCCACAAGATGTCAACAAGAATATCTATCATTTTGGGAAAGCATGAAGTAGCACATGGTGACCTGGTTCTTGTCGCTTACAATTGTCCGATAAGACTTCTCTGTGCGATATACGGCTGTTGGTATCGTGGAGCTGTACCTGTTCCAGTCCGCGCAGGTTCTGATCATTTGGGAACTTTCAAAGTTATTGCCGAAGAATCCAAAGCAAGCTTTGCTATGGTTGCTTCTAAGAAGCTCTACGCACAAGTAACTGAAGCCATTCCGCATCTTCATGTTGTTGAAATCGAAAATCCAAGTAAAATGGACTCCATGACGAATACATCTCTGGCGAGAATACCGTACTGTCCACCAACACTGGAGCTTCAGTGCTTGCTTGACTTTACAGTGACTCCAGTTGGCTCTCTTGTCGGGCGGCAGTTCACTTGGAAGAATTTGCTTAGATTATCGCAAAGTTTGAAAGATCAGACAGAAGTGTACCCAGGCCGCGAGTTGGATTTAGCCGTAGATCCTATGCAAGGATTCGGTTTGTTCACTCTCATCTCTCTTCCAGTTCATTCCGGGTGCAGTCTGGTCTGGCACAAGGTTGCGGAAATAGAGAAGAATCTCCCCGAATGGATCAAAAATACCATTCCTCATGCAAGAGATGTTTTCATTGGCGCCGCTTTTGCTAAGAAGATTCAGTGGGTTCAGCAGAAGAGCATCGCCACCGCAAAACTGACGAATGTCAGAAGCTTCAACGGTAATTGACGGTTCTCATTCGTTCATTATTCATCTTTTAGTTGTTTTCCAAAATGTTCGTCCAGACGCCGATGTTCTCTCGCGCGTTTCCAAGCTCCTCGAGACAGTTGGACTCAGTCCTCGGGCCGTTTCTTGTTCCACTTCTTTATTACCCTCTCCTCTGATTTCACTGAGAAGTGGTATTGCCAGGCCCTTGAGGACTTCCTGCGTCGATTTGACTGGACTCAAGAATGGCAGGATCAAATCTTCAGCTAGAGGTTCGAAATACTGCGCAACACTTCAAGAAGCAGGGTGTATTCTTCCTGGAATGGAGATCGTCATTGCTGATGTGATGAACCAGGGACAGTGCGGAGTTGGCAGACTGGGAGAGGTAAGAACAGGAGTCTCTTTTGGTCGTAAATGATTGCCTAGATATGGATCAGATCTGACTACATCTGCAATACCTTCGTCTCTTCTTTTGGAGGCGATCCATACGTTCCTGTTGAGACACTTCAAAGCATGCTTTGCAAAAAACTTGAAGTGGGGACGGCAAAAGGGACCTGGGCGCGAACAGGTTTGCTATTTGAAAAATCGGCTGAAAATTCATCAATAATCGATCCTCTGATGCTGATATAAGAAAATCTATTATTAATTTTAGGAATGTTGGGATTCCTCGAGCGCTGTGAAGATTCAAAAGAGCTGTCGCTTTATTTTATTGGCAACATGAATGAACACATTCAGCACAGAGGTTTCCAGTTTCACCCGACTGATCTCGAAGCCTCCCTGCGTCGTTGTAATAGGTACGATTTATTTGAGGAAGGAGAAACTTTCTATTTTTGTTTCTAGTTCAATAATTAACTGCTGCGTCTGTCAAGTCGACGGGCATATGATTTGCCTCGTTGAAACGACGAAGGAAGTGCCTCATTGCCCGATTCTAGCGTCGAAGATCACGGCGACGCTCTCCGACGTTCACCACGTGATTATTTCTGTCGTTGTCCTGCTCCGTCCAAGTTCAATTCCTATGTCAACTCAAGGTAATTCAAATATTTCTGAAAGCAAGGAAGACAACGAATTTTAAGGTACACCTCAGCGTCAGCGTGCCGCCGAAATGTTGCTTCAAGACAAATTCAATCCAATCCTCATGTCTTACAATTGTTAGACAATTGTTGCTCCTCCCCTCTCCGCTTTTACCTTAAAACCTTTAACTACAGAATTGATCGTTGCTTTATTATTATTTAATTTAAACTTGCTAAACTAATGTTGGATTCGCCGTACTCAGCCTGGAACCGCCTTATCGTACGATTTCTTCTTTTTAAAAAATATTCTGACCTCAGATAGAAATAATTTTTGGCCTCTCGTGACCTAATTTTGTTTACCATTCCTAATTACTCTTTCCTTCAAAAATACCGGCCACAAGGTGGTGTTTGATCATTCTTTTTATCGCAACAATAAATATTAAAAATGTTCTTCAATCGTTTGTGTTTTTTATTTTGCAGGTGAGTTTTTACAGGGCAAGTTTTTTATTCTTTGGATATCTGACTAATAAAAGGTTCCCAAATCTGAAGCAAGAGTGTTTATTGAAAAGTGAGAACCCGGAATCAGCGGTTCGAAGTGTTGTCTGGCTCAATCTTTTGAACCTGTAGTTGTTGCTGTTGTACCAGCTCGATAGGTGCCACTTCTGCTGACCTTTTGGACGGCTTTTGAATCGTTTTGGAAAATCTTGCTGGTCGTCTTTCATTTCAAAAGCCGTAGCAGAGCAAGAATCAATCCGGCAGAAGCAGCTTTCAGAGCGGCATTGAGGATGAGCATTGCGAAAGAGATTGTGACGGACCAGTGCCAGATCGAATCCTCTCCTTCAGACATCAGATCTTTCAGAGGGTTCGCGGATGACTTATTATGTATTTTTGCAAGTGCATTTTGAACCCTAAACATGTTGAAACATGATCATAAAGAAGATGAAAATTCCACCAGAGAGAAGGCAATCCAATATCGAAATCGCGGACACGACTTTAGAAAACCCTTCAAAAGATATGTCTCAACTCGTCTCACAAGAAAATCTCACCATTCTTCCTAATGATCAAGGAGAGGATAACGAGGAAAGTAACGAAAAGGGACGCCGATTGTGCTGCGATTTCGAGTATTTTGGCTAAAAATATAGCTAATTTGCAGCTTGAATTGGTGTTTTCTTACGTTTTCGAAATTCACTCAACGAAAATGGTGGCTCGTGTTCGAGAACTAAAAACATTTTCAAAGGTTTCCTCTGTAATCGTTATTACCAAAATTTTCGAGGAGACAGCAAGCAAGGCCAGCACCTGATGCAAGTAAATTGAAACCCGTGATAAAATAGCTTAAATCGGTTATTCTCGCATTTAGAAATTCTTGAACCTTGACGTCTTCGTTGTTATCTTCATCACAAGCTCTTTCAGGTGATAAATTAGAAAAGTTCAACAATGGAAGAAGTAGAATTGACGAGTATATGTACTCTACGAATTGATTTCGAAGGCGTAGAATCAACGAGTAAACAAACCATCAGAAAACCTATTATGAGTCTGGGCAAAATAAAAGTCTGAGTAGTCACGGTCGCTGGCTCATTATCAATCATTGGCACACTATTCAAGGATTGAGGGATGAAGCCTCAAGAGTACTCAAAAGGACGCTGAGGGTGATTGATTCGAACTCGGAATCATGAAAGAGGCAGACCACTTCAATCGGGACGGTCTTCTGATCGTACTCAAAGGATTTAGCATCAAAGATGGTTCTTAATCCGTATAAATGCCCTGATACCGTTGCTAGAATACAAGTCTCGCTCAAACATGAAAATGGAACAAGGTTTTGTTTTTCGAAATATATTATGTTGGAGATATTTGCAATAAATAATTTACAGGCAGAAAAGAGTGAAAATTCAAATCAGCAAATAAAAAGAACATCAAGGTCGCTTGAAGAGTCCATTGAAGAAACACCAGATGAAGAATTTGCTTCTTTCTCGATGTTCGCCTTTCTGATCTTTCGGCTGAGTCGTTTTTGTCGGTTCTTGATGACGAGAGTGCGTTTCTGTTCCTTGAGGTTTTCGATTTCTTCCTGAAGTTTTACCATTTCTGCTTGGTAGCTGAGCTCGACAAGGCGAAAGCAGGGGTCGGATTGTTTGGTTGTCATTGGGGTTTTCTTCAACTCTGGTGGAGGAGCAACAACTTCTGGTTTTTCAACTCCGCAGGCGAAGAGCTTCATTAATTTCGTGATGAAATTCTTTGACGGCTTCTTCTGGTTCTCTTTCTTTGGTTCTTCAGATTCTTTTTCGCCGGCTGCATGACAAGTTCTCGGCAGCGGAGGGTAGACATGTCCGCCCAGCGATCATCGTCGAGCATGGACGAGTTCTTCATTGGAAGGTTGAAAAGTTCTTCGCAGAAAGTGTTGTAGTCGAATCTCTCGGTAGTCATTTTTCTTGTTGAAAGGTTGTTTGAAATTAGAATAATTGTTTGTTGAGTTTGTATGCTTCCGAAGCGGACGAAGCAAAAGTTTTATAATCCGAGAAAACAGCGCCGGGAAATGGCGCGCGAGGGCGGAAAATAGCAAGCGCCCCAGCTGGCCGAGGTCGGCCAAGCTCGCTCGAGCGGTACATCAAAGGAGATCAGAGCACAATCAACAAATTATTGGGTGAAGGAGCATCGGGCCTGCCCTTCTTTCTCAGGTCAGGAACAAGGAAATAAACATCCTGCCATGGTTTTTGAAAATCATTTTTATCTAAGGGTGTAAACGTTTTGGAATCAAAAAATGGATGAAATAATCGAGAGTTATCATCCGGGAATCTTATGTTTAATATAAAAAGTCCTGAAAAATTACCAGCTTATGGTTATCTATCTAAATACTCACATTATATAAGTAACTAATACATACTTTATTCGAGACAGCCACTACCTACTAGGGTAGTAGAATTTAAAAAAATGAATCTTACTTGGAAATAACGACAGGCGGATAAGTCCACTTGAAAGTCCTCCCCACTTCCGGCAAAGCAAAGGTGAGAATTTTCGAAGTCTAATCCTTATTTATAAAAGTGTTATCCCCCTTTTCTGCGTGGCAATATACAACAAATAAATACACATCTTTGATTTTTGTGGTCGCGAGACCTTTCAAGTGGAATCGACGGAAAGGCGAAAAAGAGCAGAGGTAGAAGTCTCCAATTGTGGCAGGTCGAAAAAAATTTTTTTTTTTCTGATTGGCTCATCTGAAAGAGCTTCTCAAACTGTATAAAAAACGTTTTTAGAGTCTGCTCAAATCTTCGAAATTTTCGACATTTGGACTTGATAAAGGTTGAAATTCCGAAATTTTAACTGCTCATAGAGCAAAATTTTTCCATAACAAAATTTTTTTTTTATTTTTTTTTGGAATCTCTATAGTCGAATCTATGTGCTTGCGAAAATTGAAGCAAATCGGGCAACATTTGGGCTGTAAAAATTTTTTGAGGATTAGTTTTGCACTAATTTCGCAAATACAAAGCATATACTTTTATTAAATTACAAACTACAAAAAGTAATCAAATAGTGCTCTGAGGTCACTTGAGGTCATTTGAGGTCATCTGAGGTCATCTGAGGTCATTTGAGAACAATTTTTTTGCCGTTAAATTACATTTTTTATTTTTTTAATTTTGAAAATAATAATTTTGAGCAAAAATATTGCTCATTTGATTTTGAAAATTTTTTGTTTCAATATCGATCGACGGTGAAGTGTACACATGCGCTCGCGATTCCGGAACTACCTCGCTCATTAATGATTATTTAATGGATGCATCAATCAAAATCACAGTATGAAAAAATTTCCAAACTAATTTCTGGCTGGCAGTTCACTTCGAGAAAGTTAATTCTGTGAAACACACAAAATTGAAAGAGAAGAAGAGAAAGCTAAGAGAAAGATTGTTAATAATTTTCGATACCAGTGACAGGTATACTAAATATATATATTTATTCTTAAAATTATATAAGACGCTTGTTAATTGCAGAAAAATCAAAAACAGAAGAAATCCTGCCAACGACTGACTCCAAAGAAAGTAGAATTCAAACGAAGACAGAAGGTATGCTTTAAAGACTTCCCCACGGTTTTGGCCTAGATGGGCCTCGCGCAGAAAAATTCTGAAAAAACAGTATGTTCGGTGGTCCTTCTTATACTTATTTATTATAATTATCGTTTGACTTATTTTTTAAACAGATATATCTATTACAAGTCTAAAATTATAAAAGGGAATTTAGGCCATTATAATTCCCTCATTTTACATTTTTCCGTAAATCGGAATAGCGCGGACCAGAGTTACAAATTTTGTGAGCTAGCTGAGGTGAGCTATATGAGCTAGATGAGCTACAGCTCAGCTCAGCTCAGCTCAGCGATTTCGAGGTGAGGGTCAGCTCAGCTCAGCTCAGCTTAATTTTTCTGAAGAAAGCAAGCTCAACTCAGCTCAATGGTTCTTCGAGAAAAGTCAGCTCAGCTCAGCTAGCTCAATTTTAACCTCGACTTAGCTAGCCCAGCTCAGCTCAGCTTGAAAAATTGTCAGCTCAGCTCAGCAAGCTCAGATTGAAAAATCATCAGCTCAGCTCAGCTCAAGAACTAACAGATAAACCCCAGCTTAGCTCAGCTCAATTTTTCGACAAAATCCAGCTCAGCTCAGCTCAGCTCAGTTGTTTTCAAAGGGGTCAGCTCAGCTCAGTTCAGCTTAAAAAAATTGTCAGCTCAGCTTAGCTCAAAAATTTTCAGATAAGCCCAAGCTCAGCTCAGCTCAGATGCTTTACAAGGGGGCCAGCTCAGCTCAGCTCAGCTCAATGGTTCTTCGAGAAAAGTCAGATCAGCTCAGCTAGCTCAATTTTAACCTCAACTCAGCTAGCTCAGCTCAGCTCAGCTTGAAAAAATTGTAAGCTCAGCTCAGCTAGCTCAGTTTGAAAAATCATCAGCTCAGCTCAAAAACTAACAGATAAACCTCAGCTCAGCTCAGCTCAAATTTTTCGAAATAATCCAGCTCAGCTCAGCTCAGCTCAGTTGTTTTCAAAGGGGTCAGCTCAGCTCAGTTCAGCTTAAAAAAATTGTCAGCTCAGCTCAGCTCAAAAATTTTCAAATTAGCCCAAGCTCAGCTCAGCTCAGCTCATTTTTTCGAAAAATCCAGCTCAGCTCAGTTGCTTTTCAAGGGGCCAGCTCAGCTCAGCTCAGCTTAAAAATTGTCAGCTCAGCTCAGCTCAAAAATTTTCAAATTAGCCCAAGCTCAGCTCAGCTCAGCTCATTTTTTCGAAAAATTCAGCTCAGCTCAGTTGCTTTTCAAGGGGCCAGCTCAGCTCAGTTCAGCTTAAAAATTGTCAGCTCAGCTTAGCTCAAAAATTTTCAAATTAGCCCAAGCTCAGCTCAGCTCAGTTCATTTTTTCGAAAAATCCAGCTCAGCTCAGTTGCTTTTCAAGGGGCCAGCTCAGCTCAATTTCGACCACAGCTCAGCTAGCTCAGCTCACAAAAAATTTTCAAAAATCTGCAACTCTGGCTCGGACCGAGAATTAAGATCACTTACGTTCGTTACACCTTTAATAGGGATGAACCTGAAATTGTCAACAAGGCAATCAAGGCCATCACGGCCAGCATGGCCATCAAGGCCATCGACCCGACCAAAAACTCGACCTAGTCGGAAATGGTGGGGTTTATATTGGCACCGAACGATCCTACCATGGATTTTTTTGATTTGATCGGTGGTGGGGTTTGGTCGGTGGGTGGTCGGCTTAAGTCGGTTTCTTTGTGTTTTTCGTTTTGACCGATTTTTTTCATTTCTCTCTGGCGATAAAAGAAAAAGAGATTGTCGACAAGGCCATCAAGGACATCATGGCCATCGAGGCTATAAAGACCATTTTAGAAATCAGCAAAAGTCCCTATAACCTGAATTCAACAACGCCCTCAAGGCCATCAATTCTAGAAAGTTGCGGGTTTCCTTTAAGACAGGCGCGGAGCGCACACCCGCTTTTTCTGCTTTCTGATCGTTGATTATTGCTTCAAAAGTATAAAAATTGATCTGCTTAGTTAAAACCATGGATGCTCGAAAACAATACCTTGGAAAAATCCCACGATTCCTTAATTCCTTCGAAGTGTCAAATGATGGCTCGGGGACCATGGCGAATCTTACCTTTATGATGTCTCGTGTCGTGCAAAGCCAACTCCCTGAGTTTGCTCCAAAGCAAATGTACAGGGCATTAGAAGATATATTGGAAAGAACCGAAGCCACTATGACTGTCGAGTCGTTTTTCGTTTTCCATTTTCAGGGCGGGCCTGTCATAAATTGCTCTTTTGAATGTGCGGTACCGCTTATCATATGAATTTTCGATTATAATCGGGATCATGGCTGTCGAATTCGCGTCCTATGATCTGTCAAAAAAATTTTAGTGTGCGAATTAATATTTACGCGTCGTTTTTCTATCTTTCGCGTTCGTCTCGTTCAATCATCTTCAGAAAGCTTTAGAAAAAAGATAATAGAAGTAAGCGCTTTAAAAGTCTCCAAAATTTCTCTAAAAATTAATTCTTTTTCTTTTCGAGTGACGACAGTTATCAAATAACCAGCTCTGATCTAGACGATCGAGAAATTGCAAAATTTATGGTTAAGAGGCCTCTTGAGCTTGCTGTTATATTTAAGACGATCTCTTCGAAAGAATGGCTCAGATTAAAAGCTGAACGATTGGTTAAAAGTTTTTTCTTCCAAAAACTTGACAAGCCTTCAAATTGGAATCAAATATCTAAAGAAACAATAGATGTTTTGGAAATGACGAGGTGTTTAGACTACAGAATATATCAACTTCATCGTGCATATGATGAGCTACGTCTCCAACAAAGAATAAGACGATCTTACAATCAAGGTGGACGACATCAGGGTTATTACGAATTACTGTGTGGAAAATTTGTCTCTCTCACATCGTTGTTTCCAAAAAACTTGTGGTAAAATCGAATTATATGATGTGGAGTTCATTTTTCTTTTTTAAGTCGTCGTCGTGGATGAGAAGTTCTGTTATGATGTCAATGTTCTACGATGTTTATCCTTTTCTTTCACTCTTTCCTTATTTTTTACGTGATTGTTACCCTTAAGCAATTTGTTCGATAAAATCTTGGATAAGGATTAATTGTTAAAGTATTTAGACGATGTCCGAGTTTGGCGTCTCTATGATGCCTGTTGAACCACCACCAGATGATTTATGCGCACTTGGTCCAGCGCCAAGCGTCATGAATATCGATTCTATTGATGCTGTGTCTAACTATGACTTTGACCCCAATGAAGCTCCTGTTAATCTTCTTCAAGTACCAAGGTTTTTATTCGTTCAAGATTGATTGAATTAAAGTTAATTTTGCATTTCAGTGTTCTTGATCTCGAGAGACTTGATAATCTAAATGAACCGCTTGGCACAGCTCCGTCAATTCTTAATATTGACACCATTTCTGTTTATTCCCACGATGAGGTTCAGGCGAATAACTCTGAACTGACTGATTTAACGGAGGTTTTTTATGGTCGAGTTCCAAGTGTGATGAATCTTGACCAGGGTTTCGAAAAATTGGCAGCCATGCGGCGGCGAGGATTTATTCATACTCCGCGCGCCCTTCGCTTACGGCCTCCATTCATTTTTCGAATCCACGCTCTGGCGGCAAAGCCAGCCGCTGGCCGCTGGATTCCACTGGAGACCGAATTTCAGCCTCGGATAATGTAAAATTCGGACTGGGTCGCGTTAACGCAAGATGAATCACCAAGTGGCCGCTGAACCCTGGCGGCCAGCGGAGGTGGGTCTCTAAGAGGTGGAAACCAAAAGAGTATGAGTGGGTTGTGGCTGCCGCCTGGCCTCGTATTTTTCGAGACCCTGATCTTGACCATATAAACACAATGAACGAATGCGTTCCAAGTGTACCGTCTTCATCAGATTTCGACATAATGAACGGATGCGTTCCAAGTGTACCATCTTCATCAGATTTCGACATAATGAACGAACGAGCGCCTTCTGTGCCAGATATAAGTTCTCTTACGATTGATGAGGATTCAGAAATTCAATTATCGACGTCTTCAGTGAATGAATTAGGAGCGGAAGCAGATTGCTCTTCGCACCTGCAAAGTTATGGTCATGAAAATGTGAGTGAGGATATACAAGATTCCGACTACACTTACAATCATGTCAACGGGACAGAAATTCAAAATTCGATGGACACACCGGAGAATCAATATCTGCAAGATCACGAAGAAACGATGGAAATGATAAAACAATCGCAAAATGGTCACCTTGAGGCGCTTACGAAAACTGAAAATGTCACACGATCACGCTTCCAAAAAATCGCACGCAAACCAAGCACTCATAGACCAAGTCTTCTTGAGTGCAGTCGGACGAAGAATTTTCCATTAACCAGAACAAATTCTTCAACTCGTTCCCTAAGAAACGCGTTCAAGAAAGAATCAAAAGCAAAAACAACAGGCTTAAGGCAAGCTCTGGCAAGAAGTAGGCTCCGCGAGATCGCCGCATCGGTCGAAATCACCGATCAACGGTCTGCAGACTCTCTAAGAGAGCTTAGTTTTCTATCAATGACTGATAAACTTGCCACGAAAATAATCAATGATGTGACAAAGATAATATCGTCAAAGAAAAAGTCAAAATTAGGTGATATTCTCTCAAAGGTATAATCGTTTTTTTTTAAGAATTTTCTAACATTCTTAAGCTGAAATCTTCTCCCGCTTTTACGGCGAAAGAAGCAGAAAAACTTTTTGCAAAGTTTTTAGTTAAAGAGCTTAATACAAAAAGGGTGGTAGGCGGCCTTTTGAACAGACCTTCAAAGAATGAAAAATATTTTACCTAAAAATTTTTCTATCTTTACTTGTCTGCCCAAACGACCGCTTACAACCCAATAGATACAATGGACCGACGTCTCGTCCATCGATTAAATTGTCCAATTATAAAGGTGATGGGTCCTAGCAGCGCTCAGGCCCGACCGTTCAGAGTATCATTTCAAAATCTCGATAGAGATCTCGGCGAGTTGATCCAGTGGTAGCACACCCCGGCCGGACGCGGGAAACCGTTGTTCAATCCCAGGACTTGTCTAGCTTTTTAGCTTGAGCGCTGTTAAAATCCATCAAAGGATACTCTTGTTGTCGTAAATGTGGAAATAATTTTCCAACATCTTCTACTGCCTCAGCATTTCATGATCATGTTAAAATATGCTCTGGTCGAGTCTGCACAGGAAAGATAATAATTATCAGGATTGTCTAAGTATGCTGTGTTCTTATCAAAAATAAGATTGCAAAAAGCACTTTTCTTCTTTGGATTTATACAATAATCACCTTGGTAACTGTACGGCTTCCGTCACAAGCAAAGACTATGATGTGAAGCTATTGAAGAGAAAAGATGCCTACAAATGCTGTGGAAGTCGTCCAACAAAACAGAATGGCCGGGTAAAACGACAGCATGAGATCAGACAATGCGTTTTGCCAACCTGCTTTATATGCTGCCAGAGGATCCCATTAGAGCATATTGAAGACCACGTGAGTAATCACAAAGATGACTTCGGCTCCGGTCTAGTTCAAGCTGTTAGAGAAGAACCTGTCAGGGTGCAAAAATCATCTGAAGAGCCTTATCTTCTTGAAAATCAAGAGGCACCGCATTCATCAAAAAATTTGCCTACAGTGTTAACGAAAAATGTCGAGGCAAGTGAGCAGATGCTTTTTATGCCTCAAGAAGTCGGGATTCTATCAAAATCAACGATAGAGCATTTGGATGCTGACGTTCGTCTCGAAAAAATATCACGCGCCTCTAGAGAAGAGGAAGGAAGTGTTGAACAGAACCAAGAGCAGGAACTAAACATTCAGCCTCGCTCTATTCTTAAAAAGAATAAAACGACGAATTCTGAGGAAGATGACTCTGATCCTGATTGGATAGATGAAAATCCCGCTGAGCGGCTTGAACTTGAAAAAGAAAACTTGATAGGTGCACTTGAAGAAATTGCCAGTACATCTTCCGTTCCAAGTATTTTGGAAGCTCTGTCAACTTTGAAAACAACCGAGGAAATTAAAAGTGAAATGCAAAACCTGAGTGAGCAGAATCAAAATACTCTCATCAAAATGCAGCTTTTACCAAGGTTTGTGAAGAGAAAATTTTATAAAAGAATAGAACAATTTATAAAAGATTATAATTCTAGTGAAATAATGAAAAATATGCTTGACAAATCAACTTGGAAAAATGAGAACGTGATTTTAAAAGCGGTATTAAAAGAAAATAATTCGCAAGAAAGAATTCATGTTCTTTCCTCGACATTTGGAATTAAGGACCGGTCAAAAAGTCCAAAACAATATTGATAGAGTAAATGGAAAAACACCCTATTATAAATATCGGAAAGTTGAGCGACCTCGCTTTAGAAAAAGAAACTGAAGAAGCTTGCAGATGAAAAAGAATCTGGGGAAAATTATGCCAATTTCAATCAGATCAAAGCCGCGAATATTTCATTAGATTGGATTATAAAATTAATGAATTTTACGATCTCCATCATGTCTATAATCCTATATTTGTTTCGGCAATAGACGCATTTCTTGACGAGAGAGCTTTCATTGATCCGAGTCAAAAGAAAGCAACTCTAAGGGAATCCTTAATTCTTGACCGCACTGTCTTGAAATATCTTCGTGAAAAATGTGATACGCGAACCCATAAAATTGACTTGCTACGACCAACGACTCAGTCTCTGACCACTTCGAGAAGAATACTGAAAAAAACTCTTGAAGAACTTCACGCTGAATTTATTAGTGAATATCCACAGCTTACACACCTAACTTTGAAGGAGTTCAAAAGTATGACTCCATTTTACTACATTCCGCCCTCACGTACAACGCAAGTTGTATGCGCCTGCGAGATAGGGTCTTAAATCGTGAATTATTATAAATTTATTGTCACTGTAATGGAAATCACACCATGATATGATTAAGACCATTTATTAGTCCTGCCTTAACAAGGGAACTTATGAGAAGGCTGCGCAGAGCCTTGGAAAGAAATTAGGACAGGAGACTCTTTTCTTAGATATCACAGTTCATCGCAGAATCCGTTAACAGGTCCTAACAAGATCTTGAGGATAAAAAAGCCCCCCTCCATAAGACGTTCCCGCATTGGCAGGCTTCAATTTCAAAGAAATCTTGGAAAGGAGCACCTGTGCAACAACGGACAAACAATATTGTGTCACTGATCGTAAAAAGAAGACAAGTTGCTTTGTTCACCCAAAAAAATTCAACATCCTGCAGCGACTGCACTCACAAGAGTTGCGTTGGTCCGGATGAATTTATGGAAGACTTTGATCGAGAAATATTCGAAAAAGTCGTACAAATGCATCCTGACGAGACCGTTGCCTTTGACAGATTCGAACTCCTCAAAGCTGGAGTTAAAGCTGAGACAGCTTTTGTTTCTGGTAGCGAAACTCGCGGTAAAATGCCAATACGGCAATTCTTCGATCAGCTTAAAAGTATGACGAGAGAAACACTTGCCCATAGCATCGACAAGAGCAGAAATAAAGAAGATCTTAAAGTATATGAACATGGAGATGTTAAGCCAGGGAGTCTTCATCTTGAGCCGAGGGTCTTAAATTGTATCGAATGAATACGTCAAGTGTGTCTATAAGCAAGAACTTTCTGAGACCCGTGGAAAGCTTGACTACGCCTCGACGTTTGTTCTTCAAAATAATACTGCGTCACAGTTCGGGATCAGAAAATTCATTAATTTCGCTTGGCTTGTTTACATGAACCCTAAAAATAGCATGAATATCTTCAAGCCGGGCGCCTTGGATTGAATTGTAACGTTTTAACGGCGGTCGCTCGATGGAATGAAAACGAAATACAAAAAATGCAATACTTTCATTTTCTTATGGAGAAGAAATTTGCCGGAGCGCCGATTGAGGCGGAAAAAATGATTGTTGAAAATTTTAAAAATCGAAACATAAATTTCACAGTCATTAACAGGATTTCTGAAAGGGTTCGAAAGGGTTAAAATTTGCATTTTAATGTTGACGATAATTCCATTATGGCTCGTCGGTAGGTAATGGTCTATTTCGATCTTGCGGATTTATAAGATCTTTGAATTTCCCGAACCCTGTTTTACATAATGCGAGCTCTGAATTCAAATCGAGGGAACATTTTCACCATGCCATTTCAAATAACGATGGCCTGCGGAGAACTTATATTTTCAAAACCAGCCGCCATGGAAAAGGTATTTTTTCCGCGAAACTAATTCTAGAATTCTGAGGCCTCGTCGATGGCGCCCATAGTCACTGCGCTACCACGATAAAAAATGCGAAACTTGTAAATCGCTGTGGTACTCTTGATGAATGCCTCGGATTCTTGAAGGAAAATGAGCAGAAGCTGCGGACAGAAGAAAAAGAAAAACGCGCAAAACAAAATTTTGCTGGGCGAGAATATGCCATTCTCAAGAATAAAAATGAAGAGACCACGAAATCTTCCGTAAATCTCAACATACCGTCAATTAAATCGATTCGTATGATAAACTTCGACGCAGCAAGAGGAGCTCTTTATGCAAAAGACATAGTCTGCAGCTGCGATCTCTGTTCCAGTGGAAAAATTAGTCTCTGTGTTCGAAATTCTGGAAACACATTTTCCAGAAAAATCGGACAGAAAGACGGAACAATAATTATTGATAATAAAAATCAGCCTCAAAGAAGACCCGTCAATCTTCGAGAATTATCAAACAAACAAACAATCAGCGATTACGTCTACTCTGCAACAGATATTCAAGCTCAGTTAAGGGTTTTAACGACCGAACGTCATTAACTAAAACAGGGCTATATGCTCTAGAGAACCCTGATTAAGATTGCGCTCTTAAGATTAGAAAATACAAATAAAACAGTCAGTATCCTCTACCCTGTGGCCCGCCAAAGGTGTGACTCTAGAGCTTTAAAACCTAATTTTCTGTTTTTCTTAAGCGAAATATCAAAATCTTCTCTGAAAGCGGAAATTTCCAAAGTCCGGGGTCAAAATCGTTATCTTGTCCGAATTTAAAATTCGAGAAACAGATTTTTGCTCATATCCTACATCTTCCGTCGGAAACATGACTCAAGGCACTTATAATGACCCAAGCCTTAAGAAACGAAAAAAAATTTGTGCACCATTATTGCTGTCATCAAAAGATGAAAACCACGCGGCACTCTTGATCGTTAATGTCAAATCTCGCTCAGTTACTGTCTATGATACAAATGGGGCTATTGGAAATTATCAAAACGCCATTGATAGTTCGAAAAAAAAACTTCTTGATACTATTGGAAAAATTCTGAATGATCAGGGCCCTTGGAAGAAAAAACGCGAAAATGTTCCGCAAACGAATCGTGATTGCGCGGTCTATGTGCTCAACAGGTTAAAAAAAATCTTTAAAATTATTTGTTGCTTAAAATTATTTATAAAAATTATTAAAGAATTGAGCAAGAATTCAAAGCTGGAACACCAGAAATAACATCGTCGAATATTCTTGAGATCAAGGAAAATCAACTCAAAAAAATTAAGTATGGCAATATTAATAAATACAGTTCATAAATTTAAGTCATTGGGTGTGCAATAAAACAACTCCATCAAAAAGAGTCGCACAGCATTCAAGTGAAGTCAATGCTGAATCGAAAAGAGTCCGTTTTTCCTGATCTGGAAATATCACGATTACATTTTTTTTCCTCGTTGTTAAATACAAATATTCCTAATTGTTAATTCTTGTTTTTGAAATTCTCTTTTCTGTGAGTAAAAGAAAGGCAAAAGAAAGAAGAAATCAAATCATTGAATTCAGAATGCTTATAATTTTTTTTTTATTGCCCGTGTGACTATAAAATAAAACAGCCATTCTTCAATCAAATCCTGAAACACAGAAGATATTTAATATTTATCATCGATTCAAACTGTCTGTATGTTCTCATAACGGAACATGGGTGATGCCTCGACACAGGTCAGAAAAATGAGCGCAATATCTATGTTAGAAAAATGGAAAACTAGTTAATTGAAAAATTGTTTTCTCCATCTTAAGCGTAAAATATAAGATCGGCTGCCCGTTTAGCGCCCCGTCGTTATATATTTTTCAGAGACCCGTCTAATCTGAACGATGAATTATATTCTTCGATTTTGTAGAGCTCCGACTTCTTCACTTTTAGTCTTCTATTTCACTTCTACTTTCCTTTTATTTCTAGTCTGAGTTTCAAAATAAATCTTTAGATTTTTATAGAGGGCTTTGAAAGAGTCGCTCTCATTCCGAGACTTTGACCAAGTTATCCCATTTTGATATTTTCAAATTGTTTGTATAAAAGAATAGGCTTTGATGATCATAAAGCAAAAATAATAAAGATAAAATCATTTACCGTTCAGATTTGACGGGTCTCTGAAAAAACGGTCATGGCGGGGCGCTAAACGGGCAGCCGCGCTCAGCCGATGTTCTATCCATAATATCCATGTTCTATCCTTAATATCATACATTAGTTATGGAGTCTTTATGGTTCAAAGGGCATGAACGAGAGTGCTGGCGCCGACCATGTTTCTTCGGATACGAAAAACAAATTTCCTTCTCGGAGATTCACAGGACTGTTTGAATATAAAAAGATGATAGAACAGTTAGGTCTACGCGGAAAAAATACTTTAATGGGGGCGTCCTTATGGAGAGATAATTTTGAACACATTTTCTTAAAGCTCTTGATATGCCTGTTCAGAATCGCGAATAAACATCATATCGGGGGTATTGGGAATTCGAGAAAAATTCGATTTTATGGTTTGTGGGCCTCTTTTCGGCGGCCATCATATCTATATCCCGATGCCCCCGATACAATTTTTAATCGCGATTCTGAATGAGCATCTTGAGATCTTTAAGTAGACGCGTAAAAATTTTCAAAATATGAGGGTGCGACCTGCTTTTGGTTTTCCGCGGAGTCCCCTTATATATGTGTTTCATTAGCTAAAGTAAGAAATTATTCAAACACCACTTTAGATAAAATATTTCGGAAAACACAAATTAAAGAAAAAAAACTGGATTATTACGTCATATTCTGGTGCCTGTTTAACTGAATTAGCAGTCCTGATGAAAGTAGGACAAATCTGCGATGAGGAAAGAAGACCAATTCTTCAAATCAAGAGCCGGAATGCCTGGAACTATGGTGAAAATCTACCGGAGAGATTTTTATGCGAAAATTGCCATACAAATTGTCATTCGCGCGTCTCCGGAACAGTTCTAGTCTATGCTGGACACAACAATATTCTGAAGGCATCAACACTGGCATTCCAAGATGTTGACCTAGATAAAGCAATTCAGGATAGTTCTTTCTCTATCTAAATCGTCGCAAGAACATTTTTTTTATCTATGTCCGATTATAAAGATAATTAACAAAATAAAAATAAAAGAACTTTTCAAAGGTTTTACATAGAACCCTTACATCGCTGTTTACGAATGCAAGAAAAATCCTCTTTGTTCAACCTTTTCCACTTGCTAAGCCGCTTAGAACAATTGAAGAATCAACACAAAAATGGCTCAAGAAGATATTAAGTGCAAAAGTACCTAGCTTAGCTAACTATTATCGAGTAAAACAGGAAGAGGTTTTCATTTAATTGGAAATAGAACTAAAAAATTGAATGTTTTTGAGTACCGATTCTTCAGAAGCCTCAAACAGCATTTTTTTTCGCCAGATAAAGTTCATCTGAAAGACAATTATGCTCGTCAATTAATCGTCTCAATTATTCAGGTAAAATTGAGGATACTCATAGAAGCTTAGATTTAAGGACCCTGCCCCCGGCATCATTCTTTTCGAAAAATGGATATTAAGCAAACAAGTCCTTAAATAAAGAATATTTTACAGTAACTTCAAATATCTTACTATCTGAAATCTTTGCCTTTTAAATTATTTTTAATAGAGCGTCGAAAAACAAATTTTAACAGCGAATGACAGTTATGCAGAACCACGGAGTCTTCCTAAACGAAAGAAAGGTATTTATAAACATGAAAAATATGGTCGAAATCCTCAGTGTTAAAGTTTCAGATCGTCAAACAATCTTCTTTGACTGCTCTAAACTCTCTCTTATGCCGTCGAGAAAAAAAAGTAATTGCTTGTATCTTTATTTTTTTAAATTTTAAAAATATTAAGGAAATTTTCATCGCAGAATGCCTGGATTTTCTGACTGAGAAGATTTTTAAAAGAAGAACAAAACGAGAAGGAACAAACACAACATGCCTCATTCTTTTTAGTTTAAAGTGCTTTTACATTTGCATCTTACACATATGCACGGTATAAAAATTATTTTTTGTTTTTAAAATTGATAAAATAATCGTTTTCATGTTTCAAATAAATAAAAATATGTAATTTACCGGCTAAAAAAAGGTGACCTCAAATGACCTCAGATGACCTCAAATGACCTCAAGTGACTTTAGAGCATTATTTGATTAATTTTTTGTAGTTTGTAATTAAATAAAAGTATATGCTTTATATTTGCAAAATTAATGCAAAACTAATCCTCAAAAAAAAATTTTTGCAGCCCAAATGTTGCCCGATCTGCTTCAATTTTCGCGAGCACATAGATTCGACTATAGAGTTTCCGAAAAAAAATAGAAAAAAAAATTTGTTATGGAAAAATTTTGCTCTACGAGCAGTTAAAATTTCGGAATTTCCACCTCTGACAAGTCCAAATCTCGAAAATTTCAAAGATTTGGGCAGACTGTAAAAACGTTTTTTATACAGTTTGAGAAGCTCTTTCAGATGAGCCATTCAGAAAAAAAAATTTTTTTTTCACCCTGCCACAATTGGAGACTTCTACCAGACCACAAATATTCCGCGCGAAAGAAGAAAGGAACGGTTGGATTGAAAGATTGAAAATTAGGAGGTTTCGCTTTTTGGTTCACCGCGTGGAGGAATTAAAGTTGACAGAAAGAAGCGGCGCTAGAAAAGAACGACAAGTGTCAAAATTATACGATAAAGTAGAAGGGATCAGCCCGGATTTTGGAATTTTAATTTTTGATTCTAGTTGCTAGATTTTAGATTTAAAATGAATAATTCAAAGAATCGAAGTCCAAATGCGAATCTTGAATTGAAGATCGATTTCTGATTGACTTCATAGAACGCTTACTTCAAAGCCAAAAATACAAGGGCAGTAGGTACCCCCAAAAATCCGTCTTCAGTACCGCCGATTATATTTTTCCGCTAAATCAACGGTCGATACAAAATGTATCTCTTCCCCTTTCAAGTGCCGTTTTTAGCGGATTAATTAGGCCACCCGCGATGCGCATCTCTCTGTCGAAGTCGAATTTCGCGGAAAATTCAGAACTTGCTGGTTGAAAATTTCAGGCTTTGGCTTCAGGTTCATCTTTATGGAAAATTTTTGGCAAACCGGAAACTGCACGTGCGTTTTGGAAATTGCTGGAAATGCTAAAAATTATCTGATGTCGATAAAATTTCAACCTCGAGGATCTCCTAAACCCAGGAGGCTTTTTCCAAGATTTCAAGCTTGAAAATTCCTCGTCTCCAAGAGCCCCAATCGTTTGATAAGATGCCAAGAAAAAAAAAGAGACCCGTGCGGACGATTTTCGCTCCATAAAGTTTTGACGATCACGCCGTTCAAAAAAAAGGTTTCTTTTTAATTTCGGGGAAATTTTAAAAGGGTGACATTTTATTGTCATAAAAACGCGTGTTGAGCGAAAGTACTAAGAGTAGTAAAGTGACAGGGAGGGGATTAGCGCGATGCGCACGAGATAAGATGGGTGTAAATTTGTATCGAGAGTTTTAGTGATTTATGAGTAAGAGTTGATGATCTGATCTAATGATTTTCATCAACAGAATTGTAGTAGAGGTCCTCCTTTGAAATGGTCAACTAGAGAGGAGCAAGTTAAGCTGGCTCTGACTGCCCTAACGCTAACCCTAACTGTCAGAGTCTGGCAAAAGGAGCCAGACATTTTCACATGTTTCTTTCTTTTTTTTTAATTTACTTTTCTTACGCCCGGATGTATCTTCCCTTTGAGCCGCGCATCTTACACGCATCTTGTTGCCTCAAAGAAGAGTCCTAAGGGTAATCCCTCGGAAATGAAAAAGCAAACAGCCGTAGCTCATTTCCGCTTGAAGCCTTGAAGATCGAAGTAAAAGTAATAATTTTGTCCGCGTGAGCCTCGTTTGATCCTCGGACGTCCGAGTTAGCAGCTGCTCGATTTCTCGCGCCTCGCCACGTGGATTGAGGAAGGGATCAATCGAGCAAACTGAGTTTGATCTCACAAGGAAGGAGTTTGTTGACGTTGCTGATCCCTTCAAGCAGCTAGTTATACTTGAACTGGCTGGGAAATTGAGTTTTTCAAAATGGAAATTTCGCTATTTTTGTCTTGCTATTTTAATCCAGCTCCTTTGAACAGTTCTTTGAGAGGATTTTCAAAGTCATCGAAGGGTCGATGGTTTTATTCTTGAACCCGATTGTAGACAAAAAATGCTTATTGGACGTTTTCGAGAAGCCTAATTCTTGTAATTGATCCCTAAAATTCATGGGAGAGCGCTTGAAACTTTCAAGCAAGCTCTAAAAAGGGTACCAAACATTGTCTCCGACTTACTAGGCTGAATCAACAAATTATCGACCGCTCGTGGCGGCACAATTACTAAATTGAACGGGTCGTAAAATCAAAACTCGATCTAATTCGAGGCGAGCGCCTTTGGCCAAGCCGATCACGCGGAAAATCTCACGTCGATACAATTTGTACTACTGCTCTTTGATCCAGTCACTATTACTTCTTTGTTGTGGGGCTTAATTAGGGCGATCTTGATCCCTACTTCATCACTGTAAGATGTGAAACTGACGCTTCAAAGCTTCCCTGGAATTGTTCTGTAAAATTCCAGCACAGTAGAGTAGAGAACCAAATTGATACGGAGCTCGTTTTATTTTAGTCTTATGTACAGTTATATTTACGCGCTATTCTCTCCGCATGCAGCAGCATAATCGGAATCGGACATTGCTAAAGTTGGCTTCTTTGAACTTTTTGGCTTTGCACATCTGAATTTACAAAGTTAGAATGAGCTTTGAAAAACGCTTTACTTTTTATAAATGGAAGCGAGATCAGACGGGAAGATAATTGTGACTGTAACATTGTCGCAGCCAGGCAGTGAGGTCGAGGGTTGTTCGGCGATGCACACTTCCAACAAGCGTTGGCAGATCTAAAAAAGACACTGCTGAACAAACAGTTGAAATCATTGCCGAACTATGTTGACTTTCCCTGTCAAGAATCAATTACGAGCTGGAATTCAAGTGAATTTTGATTTACTGCAATTTGCCTTGAACTTTTTCTTCAACGCGGCACAATAAAACAAGTAATCTAACCTCCTTGGGATGGATCTTCTGTGCCAACTTGTTCCGCACGAATTTAATAACTTCAGCATTGGTCATCATGTCGAAAACGCCATCGCAGGCGAGAACGAGAAACTCAAGTTCCTTCTGCTTGCAGATTATCACATCGGGTATCGCTACAAATCAAACGACGTGTCAACCGTTGTGTTACTCTTTCAAGGCGCTCACCTGTGACAATTTGCTTGTGAAGTGGGCTTAGTGCTCGGGTTAGACAAATCGTAAAAAAAGAAAGATGTGAACTTGTGACTTACTAAGAAAATAGCCAACTTTGATTCAATAGTTACTCTCCTATAGTTTAATACAGAAGTAATAAGGATCAAGCACGCCTTTAGAAAACTTATAGAAAACAAGCAAACTTGACAGTATCTAACCATGCCTGTCAATATTCTGTTTGAAGAAAAAGTCTCCAAGAGCCCTTGACATGGCCAGTGCACCGTTGACTCTGTTGAACTCGACCCACCCTCCGCCAGATTCGATCCTCTTCAGTTCATCCCTTCGATTTGGCTTGTGGTCGAAACTCAGCGGACAGACGTGGCCTTGAAAGGATCTATTTAGAAATCAATGAAGAGATTCCGCAAGTTTTTCAATATTGACAATAGTTATCGACAAGAACAGCGTCAATAGGAATTTTGAATAACGTTACGATCGCGTGAGCAAAAAAGTATGCCAAAGGTCAGCAGGTACAGGCTTACCTGCGATAGAAGCGACAGCTCGCGAATCGCCAATGTTTGAACAATAAACTTGATCCGAGTCGATGAGAATTGCACAGGCGGTCGAGCCAGAACATTCTTCTACCTTTTGCGATATCAATCGATCCGTCTTTCAACAGGGATCAACAATGGAAAATCATTATAAGGAAGTTGTTTTCTACTTCAATGTTGGATGTTACAGTTCTTTTAAGAGCGCAAAAGACACGCTTAAAAATGACACTGTAAATAATCGTCTCAGATTGATCCCGTTGACAGAATGAATCCTTCAACACAGGCTCTAGCGTAGTCGCTCTTTTCGAAGAACTGACTTTCCTTGATCATCTGGTGAATGTGATTTGCAGCGAATTCTGCTGTCTTCGCTCCTCCGTGTCCGTCAAAAACTGCGCTGAGGAAGACCCCGGGGTTCAGTTCCATTAGTGTGATGTGTCTGTCTTCCATTTCTGAAAAGAGAGCATAATTGCTGGGCGATTTCTCATGAAAAATGAAGCGAATAACTGACTGTAGCTGATTGCGATTCTTACAGGATATTTTCCAATCGTCGATTACCTACTTGGTCTCCAGCCCTGGGCGGAACAAGTCACAGCTGAGAATCTCTCAAAGCTCTTCTGCTCAACATTTGGCTCCAATCTCGACCCATATTGTCCCATTTTTTCTTAGTGTGTTTCAGCTCGTTTATCTCTTGTTGAATATTGAATATGAAGAAGGCGACCGAGTTGTTCTCTGATTATAAATTGCTCTTCTGCTGGTTCGAATTGTAATTGCACTTTGATTGTCTTTTTCGTCGTTCTATTTTGCTCCTCCTTTCTTTTTTCAATCAACTTTAACGAGAGTCAGAAGCAAGTGAAAATTACCACTCTCTTCTTCATTAAACGAACAGCGAGTTGCAATAAACAGAGTGCGTTAATTTATCTATCTATCACATGATTTGCACGATGCTCGACAACTCTTCCCTGACGAATGTGTGGATACCGCAAGACTGTAGGCTACAGTGACTGCAGCGATGGCGAGCCGCACTGCGTAATTTGTATCTTGACTTAAGGGTGTCAACTACGGTCAATAATACAGTGGGACAATTTCTCTCACAAGAAAAATTGAAGATAGTTAGTCGAAGTCAATTTTTCTTTTCAGGAAGACGATGAGGTTATTTATCAATCATTTCCGCACGGGCGAAAATCTTGAAGGGTAAATTATGATGATTTGAGATGATCGATTCGGCCACTTTTTCGCTGTGAAGAGAAATATTGCTTTAAAATGCAATTGATAAAAATCTTATTTAATAAAGTTAAAGATTTTCGTCAGATCGAGTCTGACAAGATCAGAATAGAAAAAAAATTGCGCAGTTGACACCCCAATGGCTTTGGCTAATCTTTGGGTGGGCAGTCTCTTCGGCTTATCTAGTTAGTTCTTTTTTGTTTTCTTGCGACGGCAGGGGATGTTAGCCTTCTGAGCAAGTTGCTGCCCTCGGGCGTGTTTGTCAATGCGTGTCTCTTCTGCGCCCAGTAAGAGAACGGGAGGCCCCCTGGCCTGATTATAACCGTGGCGCGCGTTTCAGCAGAAATTCGACTGTTGAATAATTCTGAATAACTTTTTTCCGCGGATAAATATTTTAACAGAATGTATACTTTAGATAAAATAAACTATTTATCCATGTAATCAAGAGCTAAAGGGGTCAGAAAGGGGCACATTCTAAAGGACCAGAAATTTTCCGACGGGGACATTCGGGGACATTCAGGGACATTTGGGGACATTCGGGGACATTCGGGGACATTCAGGGACATTCAGGGACATTCGGGGACGTAACAAGCGTCTGCCGAAGTCCTAACACTAGAATCAAGATTTTTAATTACCTGAAGACTCGAAATCTCGTTATTTCTTCCTTTCTCTGTCCAATTCTATTCAGGTTATATTTTTCCAAGCTCGGCCTGTTTGTCTGACTGGTTTAATATTTTATGAGCTAGAAATCGACACATCTGGTGGGGGAGGAGTTGTTGTATCTCCCTTCAAAAATATTCGTTGAGACGGTGATTCAATTAATTAGCTCCTGTTTTGAGAGGAAAGACGGTCTTGCGGAGAGCAATAAGTCGCAATTTGCCTTTTCTGAAAATGAGACTCGCATTTTATTCGATGCTGCCCTATCCTTTATTTAAAGCTTATTGAGACAATCTCGATCCGCTGATCAAAAACCGAGCAAGGCCAAAAACATTTAATAAGTAACTCAATTGCTGGCCGAACGCCTGAATTACAGTAATTTCTTTCTTAGCATACATTTCGTCATTTCTCCTTCTAATCTCCAAAAATAAACTCGCTTGACCACGGCTTGTCCTTATCCTTTCATCAGTCAATCACGGAAAAGAGGCAAAAAGGAATCACACATGGAAGAAGTCTTTATATAAATATCACGCGCCTCGGGCAATCTGTCCAAGCTTTTGAAAATTGTCTTCATTCTAAATTATTACAAGTTGTATTTATTACAACCTTCGACTTTGATGCTTTATCGACACCGGAAATTAATGAAAAAAAATACTCCTCTGCACGCTAGAGGGCGTAATTGTGACCAGGTCTTTTCGGGGGTGCAGTACAGGCACTAGTCCAGCGGTAGAAGCAGCAAAGAATCGTAGGCGAAGTGCAGTATGTTTCCGCCCCTCCTAATGGCCCATAAGGTGCACATGCGCATCCGGAACTGACCAATCAACGAGTCGGAAACGCGGCGCCGCTTTGAGATCACTCAGATTGCGACTCAGAATTCACTTTTTCAGAATACACGAAGCTGCTATCAAAATTTTTTCAAATTTTTTCCAAGATTAAGAGAACTCTTACTACTCCTTTTAGCACTACTACTGTCCACTAGACATGTTTATCACAGGAGTTGGGTTAGACTTTTGTCCCGATTCCCCTCTTTTTGAGTGCCAAATTTATTCATTGATATTTTCTTACATTTTATCCTTTTTAGGGTGTTTATGAGAGAAGCGATTCCCATTGCGTCTAGGTACTGCTGGGATATGTAGTATCTATTGGCAATGGATGCGCGATTTGCTGCAGGTTTTCCTGCGATGGCCCAGTGGCAGGTTTCCGCACCAAGAGGCAACGATGATCCTTCGAACCTGAAGATTCGGTAAGCTCATATTCGATTCACTTTCGGATATTAATAAGGACCAACGATTTATCAAAATTTCAGAAGGCTGTTGCCTAGACACTGGTATGCCACGAAACGTGAACGAGAGCGTTCACGTGTTTTCGCTCTTAGTCCGTTTGCGACCCTCCTGTGTTCTTATCCAGAAGAGCCGAAGCGAAATAAGCTCCAGACGGAGATTTACACGAATATCTAACCTATGAAAGGTTATATGATTCTATTTGTTGAGAAAAATAAATTCAATTCACTTTTTTATTTGTCTTCTTTTCATTGCAGGGGATGATTTCAAAAAACTTTTTGTGGGGCCGGAAATCGTAAAAAAACTGCTAGTGCAGTTTTCTCCAGCTCGTCAAGACGAGTCGAATGATGGGTCTAACTCCTGATAATTCTAAGGATTGACCGGTTTACCGGCTGGTTACCGGAAAATACGTTGTCACCTGCCGTTTTTGTTCTAGAAGTGATAGACTTATGTTTGACACCGGAAATTGTTCCTTATAGTCAGTTCTCCTGCAGGCTAAAAGATGAAGAGTTTATCAATACTCTGAAGAGAGTTATCACTAAAATACTATTTTTCGCGAAAATGGGACTAGAAATTAGGAACGTGCAGCAACAACATAATTTTAGTAAAAATTACTGTTTTTAGTGATAACTCTCTTCAGAGTATTGATAAACTCTTCATCTTTTAGCCTGCAGGAGAACTGACTATAAGGAACAATTTCCGGTGTCAAACATAAGTCTATCACTTCTAGAACAAAAACGGCAGGTGACAACGTATTTTCCGGTAACCAGCCGGTAAACCGGTCAATCCTTAGAATTATCAGGAGTTAGACCCATCATTCGACTCGTCTTGACGAGCTGGAGAAAACTGCACTAGCAGTTTTTTTACGATTTCCGGCCCCACAAAAAGTTTTTTGAAATCATCAGGGCATGAAAACTCTATGTTAACCCGATAACGCGAATTTGAAATTATACGATAACGAGAGCGGGAGCACTTAGTGCACCCAGGCCATCTAGAACAATTTTAAGCAAAAAGAGGACAAAACTGCTTGCTTTCTCGGTCTGTAAGACGGGGTTTTCGTCGTAATTTTGAAAAATGCTCGGTCTAGAACTCTTGAGAACTCTATTTTGTGAGGAAAAACGCGAAAAGAACGCGCGCTCTGTTGATGAATGTTATGTAACATTGAGTTCTCGAGACGATTTTCCAAAAATTTGCACCTTTTTTGTAAAAAAAAGGGATTAAATATAAAGTATGAAAATTTCTTAAAGTCAAACTAAGTGAGGAATAGGTGTTAGAATTTAAGTTTTTTTGAATTTTTGGATTACCTCCATATTGAAGAAAATCACAATGCAACAACTAGCTCTGGGAGCACTTAGTGCTCCCGCTCTCGTTATCGGGTTAACGAATTCAATAGCACTGAACTTGTTTGAGCTAAAACAGGGGGCACTCCTGTTGCTGGTAAGTAGGCAGGTCATTGAAGAACCTTAACTTGGGCGCGTTCTTCCCGAAAGAAAAGTCAAGGGCTAAGTTTCCCGTTCATTCCGCTGACAAGAGCCGTGTTCCAAGGCCTGAGCTTGTTTTTATGCATTCTTTAGGGAGCCTTGAAGAGATTCTTACGTACTTATCTGTAAGTCCATGATCAGTTACGGGAATGAGTGGTCCCAATCTGTTTGAAAGATGATCGAACCAAATCCGCAAAATCTACAAATGGGATTCTTTTATCATCGTTAATGCAGGTCCTACAGTGTGTTAATTTTATTGTCTTGTTGAAAACCAAATCAAGATTGGTATAGTCTATACCAATAGTCTATACCGTATAGACAGGATTCTGAATAACATGATTATGATAATTTGAAGCGCAAAGAGAATCAGCGAAATGAAGACATAGAGGAGGACTCTTATTTCGCTACATCTACCAAGATAGACCATCTTTTTCTTCGCCTTCAGAGGTTTTTTCCTCAAAAATGTGATTATTGAGCAGAAAAAAGAGAATTCTCCTCGAATTAATATCTGATTCCAAGTAAGATTAATTAACAATCATATTCTTCGATCGTGAGAAAGACAATAAACAACAACGGATTCCTCCTTCCCCTTCTTGATCAGCAACCAAAGATAGTTTACGTCAAAGCTGCATTCCGAATGGATAAAAGCAGCCATCTCTCAGGCTTCTTACCTCTTTCAAGTCAGAGACTAGTAGAGTACGCCACGCCTTCCTTTCAAAAAGGTGAGTTTGAAGTTGAAGTCTTGCAGCTTTTAACTAGCGGAGGTGATTCGGAATAACTGAAATTGTCGTAAAAATATACCGTTATTTGTGCTGAATCCTCACTTGCCAGAGCGTAGTAAACGAATCATTTCCTAAGAATTCAATAAAATAGTATTTTTTTACTTTGAAATGTAAAAAAGAGCCTCTTATCTACCAGCAAGTACAAGAGCCATCGAAAATTCCTTTGCACATATTTTAATGACGAGAGAAATGTAACTGTTTCAGGTAAACGCGGCATTTCATGTCCATAAAGGGTGCTAAGTTGGGAATTGGGCTCGCGCTTGAAACTGAAAATTGAGTAGAAGCGAGCCAGAGTGTCAACACTTTCGAGCCCAAGTTTAATCATCTTCTTACAAGCCCACTTGAAATGACGAACGGTTTTTTCAATAACGAGAAAGAGATGGAATTTCAGTGAAGACCTATTTATGCCCTGTGTTTTTCTCGCGATTAAAAGTTATAGAAGCAGATAAAACTTTTGACTTCCGGTCCAAGTCGCCGCAAGGAAAATAACTTTAATTTACAATTATCCAAATATGGAAGAGATAATTATGTGGAGGGTGATCAAAGAGGCTACATCCCTCGTAATTTTTCTGCTTTCTAACGAGGGGGTCAGACGACATGTGATGATGCTCAGAGAAAAAAAAGAGCGTGACAACGATTTTGTGATGAAAATGCACTGTTTTGATAGACATAATTCAGACAAAGTATTTTCAACTTTCCATAAAGAGAATATTTCAACAAGAGCGACTACTGTTAGAAATTCATCCATTAAACCAAGTGGGAAATACATTTTCAGCTAGAATACCAAAAATATAAGAGAATCTTCTGTTTTTGAGAATCTTTTTATTGGTCTGAGTTGGTCGGTTTACGAAATTATAATTACGCCATTTTTTAATATGCTTCGCTTGTCGGTATTTTTCCATAAACGTGATGGCTCTGATCCAAGTTCCTGTCTAGCTATCCCTCTTTTTTTCACGGTTTCTTAAGAAAACGATGAGAACTTTGCACATGCACTTCGTTTTAAAATGAGCTTGGGCCCTTTAAAACCCGATAGCTTCTCTAAAATCCCCCTAAAGTACCCTAGAATTAAAGGAGAAACATGTTAAAGCCCTTCGGGTGTTAAGATTCATGCGCACGCATATGTTTCCTGACGCCTCTAAGGCAAAACACCTTCCATTGAAAATCTGCCCTATTCTGAATCTCAATTTTCTTTTGAATTCGTGGCTCTTTTAAATTGAGACCCTCTCTTTCTGAAAATCTCCCTCTCGTTCGTATTCGACTCACACGTTCGATCTTTTGTTAGAGCCCCTTCTCCTCTACCCAGCGAGAAAAATTTCCGAACAATTAAAAAACTAACGCCTTGCTGGGTTTAGACCCCGTTCTGACCGATAATAAACGACACTGAAGAAAATACCATCACAGTTGAAAATAAACGAACCTGATCCTTGAACCCACGACGTGGCAGTTCCCTCGCCAAGCGATTAACTCAAGAGGAGGAACTTTACATTCCGAGAGTAACTAGAGACTTATAATTACAGAAGAGAATGAATTGGACCGTGGCAGATTGGCTTAATTACTTTTCATCGGTGTTCAATTTATTGGTAAGTTGAAATTTTATTATAATATCTGAACTCCTTTGGCAATTTTTGCGTTTTTCTTTTATTAATAGTGCGCTTTAAAAATTGGTCATAAAGATAAAATTAATGAGTTTAACGTTTGTTACGTAAGAAAAGTCAGATGAGGGCCTTTTTCAGTTTGAAAGCAGAAAAGGTCAACAGCGTTTTCTTATTTTTGAATTCAGAATGTCGCGATCGGATCTGGCATCATCGGACTTGGATCTGTCGCTGCAAATATGGGGATCATTCCTTACATGGTGTTTAATGTTCTGGTGGTGGCGATTTCGATATTTACTTTGGTAAGTGAGTTTTTGGGGTGGTTGAGTTTATTTTTTGGTCGTGAGAAATTAGAACTGAAAATTTGTTGATTTTCTTGTTTGTCATTAATTTTGGTATCTTCGTTGATCTTTTTAAACCCTGGGTTGTTGTCCGTTTCATTCCCTAACTTGAATTAGGCGAAATGTCGCGGATGTTCGGACTCACAACCCATTCGTGCTCTCTTGAATGATTGACACTAAGTTAGTATCGTGGCAAATTTGATTCGAAAAAGAACTGACTGTTCTGATTATTTTGTTGATTAGAATTTGGTGTGTAAATCAGCAACAAGAGTTTACAAATGGGAAGCGGAGAACAACGCAAACGAAATGCAGAAACTCAACTCGACGCTCGACGATGAAATGAATGATGATTGTGAAGGTAAAGCACCCGGGGTTTCTTCTTTTACAGTTTTCTAAATTAAATTTTTCTTACATTGCTTTTGAAGATATCATGGAAAGCCGACATGATCACATCATGACGTCGTTGGAGCACATCAAAATCACCGAATTCGGAAACGACGAGTTGAAACGTAAAGATCACCCGATTGCTTATTCCTACGAAGATATAGCCTGTGTTCTTTTCGGAAAGAAAGTGCTCATCATGAACAATATTTGCATCTTGTTCTACCTCTTCTCATGCATTTGCTCTTACATGACTCTTATCAAGGTAAAGCTCTTAGGATTCATAACCAATCATAATTTTAATTGAGGATACAATGCCAGATATCGCCATTGGAATCGTTAAAATGTTCAACGAAGAAGCAGAGATTACCAATCAATGGTACAATAATGGAACTCTTTGGCTCTTTCTAGGAAAGGCTTTGATTCAAAAATAGCTAGATTTTATTCAACAAGTTTCAAGCCTCGTTCAGTTTTTCTTTTAATTCTCTTCCCACTTGGCTGTTGCAAGCGAATCGACTTTCTTGGTTTTACCTCAGCGATTGGCATGTTCGCTATGGGTACTTTTGTCGTTATGATTGTCGCGAAACAACCTGAAGTCGCTGGAATGTGCGAAGATCCAGGAATCGACTATCCTTTTAGAAACAAGAACAACTCCGACATCATCAAATTCAACCACAACATCACGACCGAGTGCGAAGTCAAGTTTGTGAATCTCAGCTCGCAGTCGATCTTCTCCGCTGGAATCTTGATCTTTGCGTACATGAGTCATTGCAACGTGCTGGCTATTTTTGCGGAAGTCAAGACTCGATCCTTGGAGAGAATGAACAAAGGTAAGAGAAACTGAAATAGGCGTGTCTTGAGTTTGACTCATCGGCCCTCTTTTGAAGGTGCTAAATTGAAGTGCATTTTAAGTGATTTACGGCGCGCTTATTCCCTGCACTGTTCTGTACATGACTGCTGCCATCTTTGCCTACTCGTCATTCTTCAATCACACGCAGCCCCAACTGATCCAACTTTACAGGTACTAAAAACGCACAGCTCGACCAAAAGTGTGAGCCAAATTTCTAGTTTTATTCACACAGATGGCTCGAACGCAATTACTGTCTGCAACATTCTCGTTATGACTTGCATCATATTTTCAATTCCACTCGCACTTTACCCGGCTAGGAGCACGCTTTGGAAACTCATTCATACTTTCATGCCAAGTTTTCCAGCGGTATGAAATCCGACTTTTTCTTCTGTTCATCCAATTTATTCTTCAGCCATTTGTCCCCGCTGAGCTCGACCTTCCTCGTGGAAAAGGCCGACCTTTCCCGGCTGCGATTTTCTACACTTTAATGGTCTCAATTTACTTGTTTGTCTTTTGCGTCGTCGTCAGTAACGCGGATTTCGGCCTCTTCTTGGCTTTGGCTGGCGCTGTCAGTGGATCGACTGTAATTATGATTTTCCCAACAATGTTTCACTTGAAAATGGAAAATTGGGACTATAAATCGTTCGATAATTTCTGCGCTTTTATCAGTAAGTAATTTATTTAACAGTCAAGCTCTTATTTTTTATCTTCAGTTTTGATATTTGGCGTGTTCATCCTTTTTGGAAATACGAGTCTGGTCCTCTACAAAGAACTCTCAGCTTCGGAATGAATCTCCGCTCTAGCATCAGGGGGTCATCGCTTGCTGCCAATCCGTCCGTTCAGCGACCAGATAAAACAAGATAGAAACAGTGAATCTACGTCTACTCCGCCTCCTCCACCGCTGCCCGGGCCGGTCCGCCGCAAAATTCAGATGTTGCTTACATCGCTTGAAGCGGGAAAAAAGACATTCCTATCTTTAAAAAAACATTTAAACTACACGCACTTGACCCCTTATGCCTGTAAAGTACATCTTACTGTAACGAAATTTTGTAAAAACCAAAAGAAACACTGTATACTTTTCACGCAAAGTGTACGTTTAGTTGAGTTTCGTTTCCGTTTTTATTCAATCTTTAGTTAGAATATATTAACCAGTACACAAAAAGCTTGATATCAATTTAACGCAAGAAAGCAGACAGTTGTCAGGCAGTTTGAGGAGAAAATATGCCGGATCTGCATATTTTTAATTGATCCTGTCTGAGCTTTAACGATGGTCGTCTGATCGTCATGATTGCACAAACAGTTATTATGCTCATAATACCCGTAAAATATACACAAAAATTCAGAGTTCAGAGAGAAACAAATGTTGCTTTTGCTCTTTTATAAATTTTTTATCACAAAAGCTTCAAGTTGTCAATATTTTGACCTAAGTTGCAATCAAACACATGCGGTTCTCTCGCTAAATCAGACGTGTTACTCAGCGCTGGAACCCGCATTCTCGACAAATTTTACGGACCTGTATGTTTCACCAACTGAGAACATTACTGCGAATACGGCGATTTCAAATGAGTGTCAGCTATCAAAGACATTAGAGATCTCCTACGAAAAATGTTTCAATCAATCGACAGCTTTTATTCTTCATTATACAGAAATTGATGGTTTGAATATGTTTCTGTCGCCGGCACAAGAACTCTTCTGTAATAATACTGAAACAAATACTCAGACTCTGAATATGTCGAAAGAAGGTTTGAATCAAGGATCTGAGTGACACTGTTATAAAAATTTTTATAGCAAAACTTTCTCGAAGTTTGATTACATCTGCCTCGATTCCTCGTGAAGCAGAAGTTATGTTAACTCTAAGAGGTTTGAAAGGGTCTTTTTAGATTCTTTTTCATCATTTTAGGGGAGACAAACTTGGAGATACAATTACAATCGATGCTTCAACAGCGTCAATTGAACACGATGTCAATCTTGTTGACTGCGACATAAAAGTCGACACTAAAACGTTTAACGTGATGAATGGTAAAAATCTTACTTCGACCGGAAATGTGCTTGGAGCGCGAAAAATATGCGACCATTCCTTCACCTTCCCCAGATTTTCTACATCAACGAGCGTTGTAGATGCTGTAACGGTTGAATGTAAATCGGAATTGAAATCAAAGACGAGTGATACAGCCATGGTTCTGTCTGGAAAGAACGGGCAATCGCAAATTAGTTTTTTGATTTCAGCCGACGGAACGGTTGAAGACCAGTTTTTCAAAACCCCAGCTGTTAGTGGAAACGATAACTATGTAGCTGGATCGAAATATGCGATCTTGAAAGGGATCGGATACTTGTTCGGAAGTACTGATAATTACAAGGTAACAATTCGTCGATAAATAAGGTTTTCTCATTGACTTTCAGATTGCGATGCTTCACTGCTGCGAATTCGTTGAGCTCTCTGTCAGGCTCAATCTAAAAGTTCAGAGTCATTCGTCGATCCTGACTGTTGTTGAACCAACGAAATCTTACAGTATGGAAGTTGACATGGATAAGTTTATTTTCATTTTTCAAGTTCTGATCTGTTTCGGCTCTGCACCAAATACGGACTGCGAAATATTCGACGGAACTTCAGTAACTCAACTTGGCTTCCAATCAAATTACGATCACTACTCTGGCTGCCTTGTCTCGTACAATGGGACTCCAACTGCTGTCAAAAGCAAATACAGTGGTGGAAATCAAAAAGTCGAGATTCTCGGAGCTTCAAGTTGGACAGAAATTGCTGACCATCCGGGAGTGTCCTTTGCTCAAGGATGCGTGGAGGTTGAGAATGGGTTTTTGACTCTTGGCGGGAAGGATCCGTCGACTTCTGTGGACATTTTGGACATTCATCTTTTACGAAACGATGTTTGGTCGAACGTTGGGACTCTTCAAAAGGTTTTTACAGAGGTCAGAACTTGCGCTAATATTTAAAATTTAGGGTGTGAAAGGACCGGGAGTGATCTCTTTTGGTCAGAAGATTCTTGTTGTTGGCGGTGTTGATCCAGATGGGTAAATCTCGTCGCGTTTTGGCTCACTATTTTGTCGATTTTAGAGCTGAAGTAGAATCACTGCAATGGGATGGCAACAATGTGACAAGCAGTGAGATTATTTACAGTCTGACAGAGGCTTCTACACGACCGATGGTATTTAGGGCGTCAAGTGGCATGTGTCCTCCTTAGACCATTCTTTTTGATTTTCATTTACTGTTTTTTGTTATCTATTAATTTCCAAAATAAAATCAATACATAGACCTTGATTATAATAAATTATATGTATTTTCGATCAAAGTCAACGTAATCAATGAAGATTCATTCGAAATAAAATCGATCTAAAAGTTGATTTTTCTCCTCGTTGATTTCATGATGCGGCTGTTGATTATCATCAAGAATAAACCGCCTGAAAAAGTATGTTTGTGAGCTGAAGTGTATAAAATCGTTGTTGATTGCTGAATTTTTTAGATTGGCGTTGGTGGAGTCAGCACCACCGGGCTCTCGCCGGGCGATGTAGTAAAGTGTGGTGGCGAGTTTCCATGGTGGATGTTCGCGCCCGTGTGCGAATCTCACCGGCGTTTTACCGCGGTGTGGTGGCGACCGCGGTCTAGTAGCATAGGAGCTTCACGTGGTGTTCAGAGTTCTTGAGAGGCCAGGGCGACCCCCGCACACCGGTAGAATATAAAAAATATCGAGAAACGCCAGCAAAAAAAAAGAAAGAGAAACGAGAAAAACAAAAAGCGGCGAATCACCACCACCGCCCGCCACGGCACCACCGAATTAGCCTCCTTTTCAAGCTCCAATTTTATCAAGCGCGAGAAGAGTTACAGAAAGAGTGACTAACTGTAAGAAAAAAAGCAAATAAGAGAAAAGAAATGGGAGGCGTGGTGAGCTCGGAGGACGAGAGCAGAAAAAGGGATGAAGAGGACGAATCAGAAGATGAAGATTCTATAGAAGACTCTGATGGTAGGAGATTTTCATGTTTTATGTTATAGTTTTTAGATTTTAATGGTAGGTGAAGACGAGTATTACGGGCAGTAGCTATTATTGATCTGTCAAATCTTATCAGCATAAAAAACTTATATTCATTTAAAAGTAACAAAATTTATGGTTTGTTCATTTTCTCTTACATGAAAATGACTACGTCATCGATGACGTATGCCAGCATCTGAGATTTTTTTTCGAGAAGTTATTAGTCGCCTTCATTGCCGCCTCGCTATTGGTGAAATTACTCACTCAGAATTTCATTTTTTCAAAAGAGGAAGTCCAGAGCACGTGCTGCTTTTTTTCCCAGAGAATTTTTTTTTCGCATTTTTTTGTTTCCACAATTTTACTCTTATTGTTCAACTATCAATTACTAGATCAATTACTAGATATTGATGTCATTTTACTGATTATTTTACTGAGATTCTAAAATTGGGTTTTTTCAGACTCCGGCGACAGCTCAGAAGAAGAAGACGACTCTGAGGAAGAAGATTCCGACGACGATTCTGACGAGGACGGGGAGTTAATAGAAGAAGTCGATTCTGACACGAGTTTTTTCGGCGAATCGGACACGACAGATTCGTCTGATGAAGATTCGGAGGACGAGGATGACTTTATCAAGCGAGAGGTTATCATCACGTGAGTAGTCGAATTTTCCTCTCAATGTACTGATCCTTGATTTTCAGTGAAAACATGCTCGTTGGATTCGGTCTGCCGCTGCTGGAGATCAAGGCCAAAGTTGGAGCCGGTTATTTAGACAGGTAACTTTATTGGACCCTCAGTTATTATTCTTGATTATTGATTCGCCAATGAAATCATTTCTTTACGGCGTATTTCAGATTTGAATTGACTGCTGGTTCTCGATCCGTCGCCGGCGAAAAACAGATCTCCCTTTACGATGAACTATGTGGCTGGTTTTCAACGGAATTCCTCCCCGGCGGAGGAGCCCTAAATGTGGTCCGGGTAGCACAGGTAAATTCACTGACATCCGGGTTTCAGTATGAACACCGTCACAGTTTCCATCAACCAAGGCGTGATTCCAGAAAGCTCCCTTCATTTTTAACCGGAGCATTGACCGAACACCGCTCTAACTCTATTTTTCTAGTGGATGCTTCCTCTCCCCAAAGTCACCTCCATCATCGGCGCCGTGGGAGCTGATGCTAATGGCAAGCGTATTTCCGAAGCCTGCGCCGCTGCCGGCATCGTGCCCCTCTTTTACGAGCAAGAAAGCGACTCCACCGGCTGTGTGGCGAAATTGTCCGTCGATTCCAGCAGCGTTACTCAAATTACTCACCTGTCAGCAGGAAACGCTTACTCCAAACAAAGACACTTGGACTTGGGTAAGTGGCCGCTACGCTAGTTCTAGTCGCCGGTAAACCAGAGCCAAGGTTCAACTGATTTATTCAGAGGAGAATTGGAACCGAGTCAAGGAAGCTGAATACTTTTTCATTCCCGGCCTTTTCCTAACAGGTAAAAAACAAGAAAAAATAACCAGTTCCGATCCCCGATTCTAGTTTGTCCTGAAACAGCACTGGCAGTCGGTGAGATGTCCTCTGAAAAGGGAAAAACCTTCGCGCTAACACTTGGAAATCCCCAGCTCTGCCGACTGTACAAAGACACTCAACTGGCAGTCCTTCGATACGTCGACTTTTTGTTCACCAATGCAGAGGTAAGACCCCAATTAAACCTCAGTGGTACTTTTGATCATTTTTTTCGTCTAGTAGCCTAGTTACACGTGGAAAAGGTTAATCATCCGGCACAATAACGCCACGTCTAAAACAATGGGCTCTTTTGTCGATTTCTTTTTTTTTTCTTTTCGGCGATTAGAAGTGGAGTCTATTCTTAATACTATCAGTACATTAGTTGTCGTTTCTGCTTATTTTGGATACATGCATATAGAGAACGATATGCGTCTTTTGGAGGAATTAGACTTGAGATATCCTGACTAGTTTATACTTTTTATATGTAACCGGCATTAGCACTGGTATCGAAGCAGGTGCCAGTGGGGGCGGTCGGTCCTTCTAATTTTCGCCCAGCGCCGTCTGCGTTTTGCGCTGCCCCCAGGGACGGGCGCGTTTGTCAAGTTCAGGCTCTTCTGCTGCTGCCCGCCGCATTTTGGGTTTCCCTCTTTCCGGGAGCACAGAGCTGCTAAAAAGAGGGGACCAAAAGGCGGCGATTTTCTCACCTCGTCCGCTCCCCCCAAACGTGGCCCAACAAAGCCCTACCATCCCCCAGAACCCCGATTAAAACTCCCAAAAGAAACAGAAGAGTAGGTTAACCCCTGACTCGCCAAACCAACCCACGCCCCATGGATGCCCCGGACTCGCATCAGAGAGATACCACTTGCGAGAGCTTACTTTTACCAACCGTTTCAGTTCTTGAAAATTTAGCAAGAGAGAATCCACGAGGAGGAAATCAATGAAGAGAAACCCGAACCCACTTTTCTCCCTGAGGGAGACTCCCTCTAAAAACTCAGATCGGCTTGGTGTCGTTGAGGTAGTGGTTGTAATAGCTCAAGAACTATTAATAAAAAACTACTGAGCGCTATTCCACAATCTACTTCTCCATCACCGATCCACAATCGACTCCATCCCCTAATTTTCCTCAGAATGCAAAAAAAAGAGACAAAGAGAGAGAGAGAGAGCGCGATAAATATACGAGTGGGATCGTTAAAGAACATGACACAATGAGGTAGTGGACTGTTTAGGAAGGACAATATTAAAAATAACAATTCCTAAACTTCGCACTAACTCGTTCAGTCGCCCACACCATCGACCATAGCGAGCGTTACGAATCGCCCGGGCCCCGCGGGCAGGCACCTGCATGTTTATGCAGAAGAATCTTGACAACAAGCCCATTTCCCCATCTCAGAAGAATATCCCAAAAATACAAAAACAAAACCTCCATCCAGGAGCGCTAAATAATCGATACATGTTTAATTAATAACCCAAATCAGAGTCAAATCAAATTCATTCCTCCCATAAAAAAGAACACCGAGTATAACTGTATAAATTACAGTAAGCAAGACAAAAGAGCCTCTATTAACATGAGTGTAGCGGGAAATTGAATAATTGATGAGAGAACATTTTGAAAATGATAATTTTTCAGACTGCCGTGGCCTTTGCCCAAGAAAATGAGTTTGAAACGACAGATCTTGCAGAAATTGCGCGAAAAATGTGCCTTCTGCCCAAGGTCAACTCGAACAAACCGCGCGTAGTCGTCATTACACAGGTATAATCGTCAATGCATCGTTACAGTACCTTACTGTCTTCATCAGGGAGTTGGGCCGACAGTAGTTGCTCGAGGATACGATGAAGTGCACGAATTCGAAGTGGACGTGATCGAGAGCAGTTCTGATCCTTCAGGCCTCGGCGATTTCTTCATCGGAGGTTTGATCTCATTCCCTATTCATTTGGTGATGTTAATTTCTAATTAAGGTTTCCTCGCTCAATTAGTGCAAGGCCACGGACTTGAACGATGCGTGGAAGGAGGCCACTTCACCGCCCAGGAACTTCTGCAAAACGGAAACGAACTAGCCGGCGCTTGTCCCTTCGAATAACTCAAAAAGCAACAATAGCAAGTCAGTTCAACCCCATTTATCGTGCCCAAAATACGCGAAAAAACTATCAATGATCTACCTCACTAAAATATGATGATGCATTTTACTGTACTCGAGCTACTCGACTGTCATTTCTCGTGTCATCGAGTCTAACACCATATTCATATTTATTTATATAGAAGCCTAAAAATAGTATATTTTGCCTATCAAATGAAGAATCTTGTTTACCTGCTCTCTTTTACCTATATCCACATTACCTAAACTTTCAACACTTTCTGTACGATTATCCAAATACTTGCCTTTCAAAATAAATCCAACAAGAATAAAACTTAATCCTTTCTCTCTGAACATGGCTAAAATCAGTTGACTTGAACTGGCGATTTGCTAAATCGAAGCCCGGAATCCGGATTTTTCACGGAAACGGGAGCAAAGTCCGGCAACAGGCGCTAGTCCAAGTGGAAAATATCAAATCTCGAATTGGAAAGCGTTCAAGTCCTTTTTTTTCTCAAAGGCGGAAAGGATCCCCTTGTAGAGGTCAGAATATATCTCAGGTCAAAATAAGCAGTTGCGGTTTGACTTTCTTTTGGCTGAAGACTTTGGTTTCCAAGAGGGAGTATTAATATCTCTTCTTTTATTTCAAAATAAACCGAGCTGGGAGGGACAGATTTCATCTTGGATTTGAGAGGCATTTGTATTGGAAATACCGGTTGGTTGAACCGGTCGGATGAAGTGGCGATCTTGCGCAACCAAAATAGTCATTTCGCTCGAAAGGGTGATTTACAAATCAATTCTCCAGCCACCTTTTTATCGAACACCACAACAGTTCTTCTGTCGTTGATACTTTGCCATAATCTCTGTTGTTGGCAAAAATAACGATGATAACGAAGATGCAAGCTTGAACGAGGAAGAACTGTGGAGAATTTCATAATTGGATGAGCTTGTAATGAGATGAAATTGGGGCGGCGTGGAGACAATTCCGAGAAATTCAAGGTCAGATCGGTATCGTGACCGAGTTCGGAGAAAGTCAATTTTATGACCTGTGTTTGGCCTTGATCCGAGATCAAATCGATTTATAGTACTCTTGATCAAAACAGTTTATCAGAAAATGCTGATCTTGAGAATTTCTTGAAAGACCCAAGTTAGAATTTGGATTTAAAGTGAACTCATTCGCTGTCAGATACCTTATCAAAATACTTTTTAGCTATGATAAAAAAATTTCATTTCACTAAAATAAGAAGCTGTTTACTTCCCAATTGAATGCTCCGATCCTGTTTTGAGTCAAGAAAATGTGAATAAGTCTCGATGTCATTCAAGCAAATACCGTATTTGAAATACGAAGTCTGAGTAAAGAATCCTCAAAGGAAACAAGCTACACCTTGCCACTAATGATTCTAGCTTCCAGGAAGTGTGTGTAGCACCTGTTTTTAACAGCGCGCACCTTGACTTTTCGAATCCGGCGCGCCTGTTGCTCCCTCGCGCGCCTCCTCCCTCCGAGTATTTAACTTCCGCTGCCAAGGTCTTCTCCATCAATCAACCGTTTGGTTTTCAATATTTACTCACTTGCGAATCCGAGAAAAACTAACTAGAAGCCATGAACATAGTCGTTGTTTTCCAACTCGTCGCCGTCATCTCGGCTCGATCCTTCCACCACTTCTGCAGCAACCACCAAATGAAGAACCTCATCAACTTGTCTAATGTTGTCAAGCAAGTCTACGAAAACGACATTCTTGAGAGAAAAGTCTTCAGCAGCCGACGACGACGACACCACCCAGTTAACGTCAATGCTCCGATCGATGAGTTCTTCGTCTCTCTCGAATCCGAACTCAGCATGCTTCAACGAGAGCTTGAATACACCCCTTCTGAAATGGTCGTCTTCACTACTATCGCCGATACAGTTCGAGTTATGAACGATCTTGTCCGACAAGAATTGACAAAGAAAGAGTTGGCCATTTCCGACACTGTCCGATCGCACAAAAAGCTAGGAGTTAACTCTGAATTCGTCCGGGAGCGCGTTTCTTTGAAGCTCTCCAAGCTTGTTAATAGCTTTCTCTCTATCAAAGCCCAGTGCAACTTGTAAATTTGTCCGTTACTGTATATTTCCTTGCACATTCTGTTTATAACTGTATATTTTCACTGGTGTAGATTTTTAATATATATTTTAATAAATTCGAAAAATTGAAATTTGACGCTTTATTCTTTTATTTATCTGAGAGCTTCTGAATTAAAGAACTTCAGCAACGGAAGACTTAATATTTACTCTCTGCAGTTTTGTATATGTGGTTTGCAGCAATAAAATACAACGAGTATATGTTCTATCGCTCTCGTTGCTTACTCAAACAATCATAATCCCATCGTCTTTTGTCGCTATCCATAAAAATGGACGATTTCGGAAATAGCACCGAGAGATCCATGTCTGCCAAGGGCAAGGCCCCAGTAGCAACGGGCCCAAAGGGCACACGGCACATTACAGCCTCGCTCCGCGTGAAAACAGAAATGCCCAAAAATTCCAAGTCCAAGGTTGTTCAAGAGAGACAAGTGACGAAAACGCCGCTGGATCTATTTAACGCAATGCCTTATTGTCAGGTAAATGTCTATTTATTTGAATTATTCTAATAGATAATTGGAAAAGCAACAAGAAGAAAAGTACCGCCGATCGAAAGAAGAAAAGTCCAATGACGATTATGGATCGGTCAAGTTTCCTGGCGAATTCGGTATACGACGAATTACACATCAACTCGTACAAAGTTAGAAATAAAGTGAATTGAAATTATTCGTAAACGGAGAAGTCGAAGTTTTTGAAATCTTTTTGTCGAATTGTTGCGTCAGAGTCAGTTCTTTTGCTGGTTATATTTTGTATGATCAAGGCGGCTTTCATGGTTTTAACCAGTTCCTAAGAGATTGCGGATCATCCAGCCCAAATTCAGGCGGAGCGAAATCGATTGGAGAATCTTGTTCGTGGAGATTTTCGAACTCGATGTCTTCGAAAAACGAGGTGCGCTTCAGTTTTCTTGCTGATGCGCGCTCTTTCGGTGCCGTTTTCAATGCTTTTACAAGCAGTTCTTTTGCGTCTGATTCTATTGTATCGCCGTCCAGCTCGAATTCGAGTGTTTTCTTAAGATTGAGAATAGAAATTTAAAATCAGCAGATTTAAGTCATCAATTGATATGAAATAGGTCTGTTTATATTTTACCTGTTTGAGTGAGGTAGAGTCTTCAGCCTCAATCATAAGTTTCTTCTCCGTCATTTCATAAATCAACACTCCGAAAGCCCATACATCAGCTTTAATGCCATACCTGGCGCCAGAATAAACCTCAGGCGCAATGTAGCCATGGGATCCGCAAAGCGTTGTGGTTTTGTGATCCTCAGATTGAGACAGATCTTTCGACATGTTAAAATCAGCAAGTTTTGCGTGAAGACGGCCAGTAATCAGAATGTTTCCAGGTTTAATGTCGCGATGAATTATGTAGATACCGTGGAGAAATTCAATGGCACAAATGATCTGATTTCTGTTTTCAAAATATAAATATTCTATGACCCTATCTCCTATCCAAAAATAGAGGTCTTGTTGAAATATACCTAACCTTCTGCAGAAGCTAAGAAAACTTTCCTCGGCAAGAATAAATTTCGCAGATGTGCCCGATATGTTACCTTCGTAGAACTCTGAAAAAAGCTCAAGATTTTACTTTCTTCATTTTTTACCATAAAGATCGAGCAGACTGCCAACCTCGCAGAGTTCAAGCTCAAAGTACAAATTTTCCGTATCTTGGAAGGCCCTATAAAGCTCAACAATGTACGGCGATCCTTTAATCATCACATCCCGTTCAGCGAAAACGTCGTTGATCGCACCACTCGAAGCGACTTTCAATTTGCTCATGCACTTCACGGCCACTTTTTCGTCGTCGTCGTTGATTGCAAGTAGAACTTGTCCAAAAAACCCATTTGAAATTGCTCCTAATGCATTTTTTATAAATGCAACTCTTTTAATCTTTTATTTACCTTGAATGTTAAAATCAGTGATAGCAGTTCCAGATTCTTCTCCTTCATCACTTAATATTACTTAAAAAACACTTTCAATCTTCTGTCCCATACTCATCCATTTCTTCCCAGATCTGTTCAAGTTTTTCCTTTGAATATCCAACAGGAATATTATAAAACACCGACTCGGTTTTTCCCAACAATCTAAACCACCCATCCGCCGGATTTTTCATCAGCTCATTTCCTGAAATCGAGAATCCGCCAATAAGATCATCATCCGAAAACCCATCCCAATCATACACTTCAATAAGCACTCGACAAGCTGTATCAGCGGTGTCAAGGAAAACGGTCAGTTTTTCATTCCAGTTCGGGTTGAGCGTTTTCTTCCTTGTTCGCGTTTTTGAACCATCTGACCAACCACTCCCTCGATGGTAGGAGGATATTTTTACGTAAGGATCCGATTTTCCATTCACGTCCATTGCGGTGATGTGTTTTGCTTCATGAACATGTACTGTCAATCTACTGTCGTCGAAATAAGTCTGAAAGAACATTGATGCTCGATGTTTTTATGCAACATTTATTTTCACCGTAATACGCAATGTTCCCCGTAATTGATCACCAGCCATGCCGCAAGTAGAAGGAATGAAATTCAAGCAATCTTTGTGCGCCCTGATGCCACAGTGCGCGCAATGAAAGACTTTATTTTCATACATAACCCCGCACTGATCGCATTGCGCCGGGTTCTTAACGACGCGCTCTCGGTACTCGTGAACAGTTGAGCCCTCGGCGGCGCGCCCATGATCGACGCCTGGGCAGTCGAAGATTATCTGCGCGAAAAAGGTTGAACAACAATGCTTTTAGTCACATGGCGCAATATAAGCGGCTTGACCTTTTTGCCTGGGAGATGCAGGATTTATGAATAAGCACGTTGCATGCTCGGCAACGGAACGCATCGTTGCCGAAAATGTAATCGTCGCAGTAGTCGCAGAAGATCGGAAGTTTGAGCATCGTTTCGTTACATTCATGCCCCCGGACGGAGCGAACATCGCGCTTTCGTATCTTATCTCTGCTATATTTTTGGGATGATTGTTTAAATTTCACGTTTCTCTCTCTTTTTTTTTGTTAAAACAGTTTATTGCTAGCTTGCAATCCCTCTCCTTTTCATCTGATACCTCCTTCCCATGGCAAGTGCTTTTCTACTAAGACCCATTTGAGCAAATCTGTTTCTATGAATTTTAAACTCTTGCACTTCTATAATTCAGGTTCGCCCGCACAGTTTGTAGAAATATTGTTTTATTGCGAATCTTGATTCTTGCGCAGAATATGTTTCACACACAATCATGTTAGTCGTGTGTATGATCGAGTATTTATGTTGATTATTATGTACAGTAAGATGTATAAAAGATGTACAGGCGATTCAATTTTCAAGTTTCAGTTTTTGAATATTCATATTGTTCTTGAAGTGAATATGAATTCCGTTGGATGAGAAGAGTACTTTAGCAGTCTGATAAACTCTTGGCACCAGCTACTGTAGATTCACTACCAGCTGGACACTGCCTACAATTGGTCTGGCCTTCTTTTGGATTGAACTTTCCAGCAGGACATTGAAGACACTGCGAGCTTTTCTGATAAGTTCCAGCGGGACACGCCACTAGATTAAAGAAAGCATAAAGAGAAAGTGCTAATGAGTTTTAAATTTTACCGCAAATCTCTTCGCCATCATGAATTCTCTTCACTTCTCCATTTAGGCAGCGGTCTTCTTTTACTGTATCGTCGGCGATTTCTGCGAGCTGTAGTCTCGCCAGAAGATGTTCTTTGCCACGTTTGTGAGATCGGAGGTCGAGAAGGGTTGAGTTCATTGCTTTGAAATGGTTTCTGAGAAAGGCGGGGAGGTTGAAAGTTGTTGAAGAAGATGCTGAATAGAAGTGTAATATGTACGTAAGTATCTTCGAATTTTACCTTGTTGAGAGAACTGCAAAAGTCTAAGTTCGACGAATACACTAGAATTGTCAATTGAACGCCTTGATCTATCTTTGCGATTTTGTTTTCTTCGCTCTTGTCGTCTCGATTTTCTGTTGGCCTTCTTTTTCTGGCGGCGAAATTCCTCTTTGGAGAGCAAAGTTCGAGAGGGCGCTTCTTAAAATTGGAGATGCTTGTTTAGGTTGACGAGAGTTTGTTTCTAGTACCTGGTTCTAGATTCCCGAAGCCGGACGATCGTGCGGAGATGAGCGTCGACACCGGCCTTTGATCTTCGACTTGAGCCGTCTTGAGCACTTCCTCCTTCCTTCCGCAGCGCATTCGGACGCGGGTAAAGAAGCTAAATCCACGGAATTAATCTCGCAAAGAAACCTTGCGTGTTTACACCCTTTCTTCACGTTTTAAATTGAACTATGCACGAATTAAGATCTGCTTACTCGAACCCAGGAAGCACAGGTTCGCCATGGAGCAAGGCAAGAATTCCATCTGTTGTTTGTTTGAGGCTCTGTTGTTTGAACGCTTGTTTGAGCTCGTGAAGATTCTCCTCGCAATTATCTCCATCCTCCAACTTGTACTCCATGTAAATGTCAGAGCGTTGTCCCTTCGTGGAATGTTTGCGAGTGCAGTCCGGCCAATCGAGCGATCTCCCTGGAGGATTTGTGAAGACGACCCCGGAAGGATGGCTAGAAAATACACGTTGACTGATGAATTACTAAAATATTGCTTTGAAAATGCAATTTTAAAATATATTTTCAATAATTAGCAACAGAGATGTAGGAATAGCTTCTTTTCTCCATATTGAATACAGTGAATGAGATAATTGCTGACTCAATTTTAAAGAAAAAAATAAATATTGGTTGAGCTTACCAAAAATACTTGTGCGCTGGTTTTTCGACAAAATCGTGGCCTGGATTGCACGTTACGCTGCATGCGATGGAAGTTGTCTGACGATGTCGCTGGCATGTGAGTTGCCCGTTGCGCGGCGCTTCCCGCTTCATCAATTTCTGGCAAGTTTCGTTTTCCGCAGCTGAGTTTGCTTCAACAGCATCGGCCCATGGGTCAGCAACCGGTTCTTCTTCATCAATTATATTCGCGCTAATGAGCGAGGAGGTAAAAGTACGGGATGGAAAGCGACCGCCAAATCGATCTTGAAAGGAGAAGGCTCCGGCGTCATCAGCGGTCATTTCGTCTGAAAAATCAGCTTCCTCGCGACAGCACTGTCCAAACCAACCCGCGTCGCAGGTGCATCCTAAACCATTTCAAACATTAGAACATCTTCAATCAATGGAATCTTGCCTTCTCCGTCCCAGACGCCGTACACGCCACAATCTGGATTGCATGTCTCCTCCTGCTCAGGACGACCAGAGCAGGATCCTCCGCAACTTGCTTCTGTTACTTTTAGGAGTTAACTTGAGGTTACTTGATTTTTTTCATTAAACAAAGTGGATTCTAACCAGCAATCTGGCATTTCTATTTAAACTCTCATAATGCGACGTTCAAAGTCGCGGCCTCTATATCCGATCAATTTGCATCAGCGATGACTGGTGATCGCGCCGATTAGCATAATCACAAATTCTAATAACTCCGTTCCTTTCTCCCGCTTGCGGGTTCGAGAGCCACCGTGGCATCCGGCGCTGCATTCGCTCCACTCGCCCCAGGCAGACCATTCGCAATCGACGGCGCAGCACGAATCTGAACCGCAGTCCTCGACTTCATAATCCTTACCTGGGCATTCATCGATATTCCTTGGCTTGAACAGTTCTTTTCTTTCTCGATGACGGATTCCTTTCTCCCCACATGTGGAAGAACAACTAGACCAGTTTGACCACTCCGACCAGTGACAGATAGAGGTCAAGGGGCAGCAGAATTTGATGATGTAGTCGTCGCAATTACTGTCATTTGGATAGCAGCGCACACCCATCGTTGGTCCTTCATATTCAACAAAGAGTCCAGGAACATTCTCGATGTCGATAGAAGATCGTGTGCTGGCCAAACCGACCTAAAAACAAAAATCAGTCTTCGTGTGAACGAAAATTCATGCTTTAGAAAAGAAAATTATAGCAGCAAGGAAACAAACCTTGAATCCGATCGGCGCGTGGCATAATCTTTTAGATTCAAGCCTTGCTCGATCGAGCGTTTCAAGATCGCCGCGGCGCAGCTCGCCGGTCAACGTGACTGGATCATCTGTGTTGAACCATTTCGTCCAGTCGCCTCCGAGACACATTTCCGCGCACGTCAAATGGGCACTTGGAGCTGCGATGGTTGTGATGTCGATTTCGCCGCTCAGGGGGTTGACGCAGAAGCATTTGGAAGAATCACATTGCTTCGGCTCCCAGAGGCCGTCGGGGCGACATTTTGAAGGGTAGTCTTTTTTGCGGAATTTAGAGTTGACGAGTTAAAACTCAATTTTTATAGCTAAGTTTAGTATGAACAACTCAGTATTAAATTGAGCCTCTTTATAGAGGAGGTGTTGATAACCATTTCAGACAACCTATTTCAGATAAATCGAAAAACGCTGAAAAATTAAATCTATTTGTACAATTTGTCGAAGTACCGACTTATGGTATTCCATTCCTGTGGAATTCTTGCCCTCCTCGCATGGTCTATCAATCGCTGCTAGTCGTGCTGGATTGAACTTGCTCGATAACCGACTAGCTTCTGACAAACCAAGGCCTGAAAATCACAAATTAGTTAGTTAGTGATTTAATCAGTCCTAGAACGTAGAGGAAGACACGTCTTCTTACGTGAATTCTAGCGCCGCTTAAAATTTTAATTTTTCTTTTACATTTTTGGCATTTTTATGACACGATTAAAATTTTCAACATTTTTGAAGCGATTTGGATCGCATTAGAAAGTGGGTTAAAATTAATAAGAAATTCCAAAAAAGAGTGAGTCTGAACTTGGAGGGTGGGACTGAACTCGGGGATTAGAGGGCTTTCAAGGGGACGAGCGCTTGTTTGGAAGACGCGAAAGGCGAAATGCCCGACGTCAACGTTGTCACAAGAACCAACAACGTTTTTCGTCTTTCTTTTCTTTGCGCAGCTGCGAGAAAGTTTTGTTCCATAACTTTCATCCCTTTGTTTACTCAGTCTTCCAGAGATATGAAATAAATAAAATAATTTTGTTCTGTTCTTATCAGAAAACTAAACAAGCTAGAATAACGAATTTTGAAGTCTAAAAAGATCGATTCAACAAAAATGAAAACGATGAGTCAGAAAAAGAAATTGAAAAAAAAGGAGCTATAAAATTTTCAAAATTTCAAAAACGGGGCTGTCTCTCTCTCGAATTTCACGCATTTTAGAATTCTGCCTTTGTTCTACTAGTACACGCTGCGCTAGAAAGGGCAAGCCCAGCCAGTTCGGACGCGCTAAAGGCCACTTTCTCAGTCAGCTTACGTCGTGGACCCTGTTTATCGCAAATTAGAAAAAAGAAAGAAGCAGATCAGCAGATTCTCCTACTTCTCTAACTCATTTTTTGCTAATTACTGTGATCATTAGAGTCAGCGGAATAATGATTTTGGAAGGCCACGTAATTGACCTCTGTTTAGCATAGAAATGAGAGGCACGTTGAAGCTCGAAAATTTTAGGGGCTGAACTTTTGAGTCAAACTAAAAATGAGAGTAAAGCAAAAGTAGGGTTTTGAATTTTCTTTTGGGATAATAAAATAAGGGCGTCACTACGTTAACTCCGCAGAAAAGTCCCTTTGTAAATCGGGCTTATCGATGCTTATCCCCTTAAAAATGAAGCTCCATAGATTCCAAAATAATCCCAAAAACCCTGGCTTACGTTTCGCCTAAATCCGTATTTCTGAATTTACCCAGGATTAGCGACCCAGTTGTACAAATCTACGTGCACAATAATAGACTGCCGGATATACCCAGTTAGAGTCGTCTCTAAAGGGAAATCTGCCTTCCAAAATGAGTCGAAGACAGAACCCAGTCATCGAGCGCTCAGAAGGGATCAGTACTCGTTTCAGAAGGCGGTTTCGAGTTTCGCTTTTTTTGCGACAGACGATCCGCTCTCGCCGCATGCACCGTCATTTCAGAACACGGCGAATTATTTCGAAATAATTTCGAATTGCGATTTGCGCTAATCTGAAAATCTGAAAGTGGCGCTGCTAATTGCCGCTTCACATCAGAAAGTGTAATTTGCAGAGGATCATCCGGGTTCAAACAAACGGATAAAGCGCGGATTTATGCGGCTCTAAAATTTGGCCATATTCGGAGTGGAAATTCTTAAGGGGATCACTTCGTATTGCAATGTGAAAGAAAAACCTTTTTGAAATACCCTGAAAATGAGACATGATTAATTCTAAACTGGTCAATCCAACGGGTCAATTGATATTTACTCAAAATATAGTTCTTGAGGTATCTTGAGTTAGTAGAAATATTCAATTTTTGTTCATCAAAAGTTTGGCTAAGCGGGAAATTTCTTATCTAAAAATAAAAATAAAGTTGATAACGGCGAAATTTATCGAAGATCGTGGCCTATTTTTACTTTTTTTATGCTGCATTTTATTATTTTTGTAAAAAAATTTGAAGAATAAAATGGCTTGAATAACTTACCAAGTAGAAAAGTCTCCACATTGACCATGACAAGATTTATTTTGTTGTTTCTCTGTTCCACGAATTCCAAAAGCCAGATTCAAGGATATGTTTCTCTTTCAGAATTTGAAGATTCACGAAAAAATCGGTACTATCCTTGTGAAAAACATCGGACAGTCGAGCGCGCGCCGCTCTGGAGCGCCACCTGAGCTGTCATGATCCGCCAGATTTGATAGAAAGATCAGTATTAAAAGCTAGGCGGCTTTGACTGAGTCGAATTGCTTTGCTGGATAATTTCTAATGATGAAATTGAACTTAGATATACATTTGCTAAGCTTGTTTGTATGAATATTATTTTCTAACAGTACAGCATTTTGGGGGCAAATTATAAAGATTGCTGGAGCTATTTTAAAAGCAAAAGATTCAAGTCGAACTGGTAAAAAGGCCAAAAAATCACTGGGATTCCTTGATAGAAGACGTGATTGAATTTGTACTAAGCAAGATTAAACCTGCTGAGTTGAGCTCAACGGCAGTGTTGGCCTTTCGTCTGATCTCAATCGGATCGAATTCAATTTTGAGCCCTTTTACGCAACTTTTTCGCCTTCCTTCCTTTTCCTTGAGTCATTTTTGAAACAAAATCAACTTTTAAAAATTAAAGCAATCCGACGAATTCCAGGAAAGGTCAACATTTTCCAAGAAAAAACAAAATAACCTCTAGAATTATGTAACATATTGTTGATAACACAGATTAATTTAGTTTACAGGAATTCGTCTTTGTTTCCAGGTACCAAAACTACGGCAAAATTAAAAATTAAAACAGAAATTTAAAGGATGATTGGTTTTCGGCCAAACTGGAATGAGACCATTCCTCAATACTGGATCGACAAGGGACTTACTAAAGAGGTGATGCTACAATGGTACACAAATTTGTCAATACGTAATCTGGCGCAAGTACTTTCAAATTATTTTTACCGGTTTTTAGTGGTAATTACTCTTCAAATCCTTGCCCTTTCAAATTATGCATTCACTTGGTGGGTGCGTAAAAACATCGACCCCTTGAAACTTATCGGAGAAAAGCCCCTCACGAAACTGGAGAAATATGCGCAAGCTTGTAAACTCGGCCAAGAACCTGCGATGAATTTTATTTCCTCAACTCTCGTCACCAATGACAGAACATACATCATCATTCGAATCATTCTGGCTCTTTGGTCATCGGCGCTAACTCTTGTCACTATAAAATGGGAAGGAATACGAGCACTTTTCAGTGGATCCTACTATCCGATCGGTGAGTCTCTTCGTTCTGTCAAAGGATATTTGAAATTTCTTAGCCGTGTGTATGACAATTTACGTCAACTTCAATCGAGAACTCATCATTGATGGATTTGGAGGCAAAGTTCAGTTTGTCAACAAACTTCTGTCGTTATTATTCAACTGTCAGGTAAAATGTTGCAAATGGCATCCTTGCAAATGATGGCACTCGACAATATGTTTAAAATTCAGACTCCGATGAGGCTTTTTGTTGCGCTTACGTGGTGGACACAATGGTTCGGACTTGGATACCGCTACAGAGACATGTCTCGGCCGTTTCCGATTCCGAGGTGGGTGCTCTTCAACAAAGAATTCGCTCCCATCCTCTTCATGCTTGTTGAATTGCTTTGGTTTGATACAATGGGTAATTTACTCGATAATACTGTAAATTAGGAGCTGATTTTAGTTACTTACTTGGGAGTTTGGGGACCAACCTTTGTCGGGAATTTCGTTGTATTTCAAATACAGTATTTGGAATGCTCAATGACGTCGTTGTAGAACCTCCTCAAGCTTTAGGGTAAGCATCAACATTATGAAAGAATAAACACAGAAAATTAAAGTGCACCAATTGAACGAGCTGCCAGAACTTTGCTTCAGTTCTATTGTTTTGCCTTTGGAATGCCATTGATTCAGATGACCCTTGCTACTTTCTGTATGTTGAAAGTGTGGATATTCAAGAAGATTCCGATACTGGGAGAACGACTCGTTCATCGACAGAAATGCGTCACTAACTTCAGAAAACGACAAGCTTTCAATGCAAATTTTCAAACCGGAGGAAAACGAAGAAATAGTGCAGTCAAAAGTGTTTTCCAAAATCTTGGTCGAGCCTCAATGAAGAAATCTGTCATTGCTCGAAGAACCAAAATCAGCATTAGTTCAGATTTGTGAAACATATTTTCAATAAACAAACATTTTGACCTTACTTCTGTGTATTAAAAATTGTTTATTGTGTCTTGTCAAAAGTACTTATTAACAATACTTACCCACAAAGACCAAAGAGGAGCCGTAACTTTCAAAGTGATTTTGCCGCGAGCGAAAGCCTGAAATAATGTCAGCTGGTCATCAGTTTCCCTTCGCGGAATAGGCGCTTTGACCTGATTGTTCACCTGGGTTGACCTGATTGCCACCAGTTGACTCTGGCGCCCTTTTCTGCCCATCTATATAAGCAATCTCCTGTCTATGGGACTTATCACAAAAACAAAACACAAAGCAAAAAGATTAAAAATGTCTCAACACTCTATCGAATCCGGATACACTTCCGAAGAAGAAACTTTCACTTTCAACAAATCTGAAATCATCGCTGCCGATGCTAAACGATTTTCGAAAAGCTTCACCATCGAAGAAGAAATCATCAAATCCGCCAATGGCATCGTCTACTCCGGTTTCGACCTTTCCACTGGCGAAGCTGTCATCATCAAGCAAATTCCAAAGACCTGCGTCTCCGAATACATCTCCATGGACGGTCGTCAAGTTCCTTCCGAAATCTACTTTCAGTTCAAAGCCGCCGAAGCTTCCGAAGCCGTCGTCCAGCCAATCGACTTCTTCGAGCGAAAATCGTCCTTCGTCCTCGTCATGGAAAAGGTCGACAACGTCACTGACCTCTTCGACTTCGTCCGTCAACACGGTGCTCTTTCCGAAGAAGCGGCTCTCTTCATCTTCAAACAAGTTCTCGAAGCCGTCGACGAAATGAAAAGCGCAGGTATCTCCCACCGTGATATCAAGGACGAGAACATCCTCATCGATCCTGAAACTCTTCAAATCTTCATCATCGATTTCGGCTGCGCTTCCGTCATCAGTGATTCCTCCACTCCTCGAGGAACTCCCGACTACTGGGCACCAGAAATCTTCACTAATGGTGTTTCTTCAACCGAATCAGCTGACTCCTGGGCGCTAGGAGCTCTTCTCTACGTTTTGCTCACCGGAACATGGAAATTCGAAAACAACCGAGTCATTCGAAATTTCATCGCTGAAAAACATCTTCGAAAAGAAATGCGATCAATCTTCGACGAAATCTTCCATCCTTCCCCTGAAAAGCGACTTTCTCTCTCTGACATGATTTCCCTGTTTTAACTTGACTGTTTACTATTGCTCTGTTCATCTTTTCCAAAAAGTTCAATACAAACAACACTTTCATAATTCTCCACATATTTTTTAATATTGATAGGGTGCCAAATCACACCTACCGATACCAATTTTAACTTTGACTTTGCTAGAGTAAGCTAGTAGTTTTGTCATGGTCTTTTGTCTTTTTATCAGCAATTTATTGCTTGCAACTGCATCACTGCATTTGACAGAGAGAAGAATTCAGATAACTTGGGATCGATCACCAAGAATATCCGGTACTGTTTCTGTAATCTTTGCAAACAAATCCGTTTTTAGAGAATTTGATATCAATAGCGGCTGGTCCTGGTATTTTCTTTAACAACCAAGGATGTGTTTTTGAAAATTCCCGTTTCATAAAATACATAGCAGCTTTGAGACCTGGCTATTTAAGATTCGGCGGAACTAGGTTGGTAAAATGATGTTGCTCCCAAAGAATAATTTTTACCAAAGAGCAGATCAAATGACGTTTATAAATGCTTCAAATCCGGAAGAAATTTGTGATCTTCGAAGTCTTCATAAAATTCAGAAGCCTTTTCTTCCCGTCACTCTTTACAGAGAGGACATTGAAAAACTCATCAATTTCTCAAGAAATACAAGCAAGAGAATGCTCTTTGGACTAAATCTCAACTCTCGCTCAAAAGACGGATCCTGGAATTCGAAAAATGTAGAATTACTTCTCGACTTCTTCAAGGAGCAAAACTTCTTTCCGGATTTTGAGCTTGGGAATGAGCCGAATTCTTATCTTCATCATTTCAACTACACAATGACACCTGAGCAACAAGCAAACGACTTTGAAGTTTTGAAGCTGATTCTTGCGCGCAAAGGCTTCCACAGCTCCAAGTTGATCGGCCCGTCGACGACTGGGAGAGGACCTACAGCGCTCAATTACTTTTCAAAATTTCTCGAGACAAAGCCACCGGTAGAATTCGCAGCTTACCATCATTACACTCTCAACGGGCGAAACGCGACTGTCAAGGACTTTATCAGCCCTTCTTCGTTTTATGAAATGGCTTATTGAAGATTGTTGATGTTTTTAAAATCATTATATTTCAAAGCCACTTGCAAGGCATACGAAGATGAAGCAAAATTATGGACAGAAACGAGCAAGGAAAATGATAAGAAGCCATTCATTTCCGAAGGAGCGCTAGCATTTGGTGGCGGAGCGAAGAACATTTCTGACAGATTTGTCAGTTCATTTCTTTGGGCCGATAAGTTGGCGATGAGCGCTCTTACTGGAATACACTCTTTTTGCAGGGAAACTGCGTTTGGTGGAGCTTACGCTTTATGAACGGCTATCGAAGGATTTGAAGAACAAAGCCTTTTCAAATAAACTAAGATTGATAGCCTCGAAAGTAAATGAAGATCTTCTACCGACACCGAGTTATTGGATTTCTTTCTATTTTAGAAAATTCATCCACGGTAGGATTTCTTCTTTGCAAACGTTTGACGACAATCAGCAGTTTTACCGAATTTACAATGTCTGTACAAATAAGAATAAGTAAGAGCGCTTTATTACTATCAAAAAATTACTAATAATCAGGGTTACGAAGCTCATCATCAATCCGTCCAAAGCAACAGTTCTTCGAATAGAAGGAAAATTTGAATCCTACCAGCTCATACCAAAAGGACGACATCTTCTAAGTAAATATATTCTTATCAACGGTCAGCGCCCTTCGATTCACCGAACAAGAAGAGAAACTGGATCAGGGTCTCTTCTTTTGCAGCATTACTCTGTTTCATTTATTCGTACCAATATATCTTGCAAATAAAAAGATTAAAACTTCTTCATTTCAATAAAAAAGAAGAAGCTGATATATTTTTGTTTATTTTTGACGAGAATTATTGATATTCAGTTGATTATATTCTCAAATCAAGTTTTCAACAGTAAGGATTTGTGAGTTTTTCGATAATTTTAGAAACTCGTTTCGTTTCTCTCTTGTTGTTATTCGCTTTGCAAGCATAGTTATCGACCCATGCGTTCAATCCAGCTTGAACTCTTGTAGTTTGAGTACAGGGGTCATCTGAACGGACCGCATCTTTTCCCAAACAGCAAAGTCGTTTTGACCAAGCAAGTTGGCATTGAAAGCCTGTGTGCAGTTCGGATCATAAGTAAAAATACCGTTTCGCAGGATTTTGTCAATTCGAACTCTGAATTTTCCAGCTCTGCCATGCGAAGCTACGACATCAGCAGTCATATCGATCCAGTTTTGAATAGTCAAGAGGGCGTCGGTGTGTGGCATTGGAAGACGAATGCATTCGAAGGAACCAACGAGATTTTCGCATCTATCTTTAACCCGATCGCACGTGTCGGTTTCCCTGGAGCATTCATCAATATCAACACAAACGCCATTTGCATCCTTCTCATATCCATTTATGCAGGGACAAGTGTAGGAACCAATTGTATTCGTGCAAGTTTCAAGAGGAGTGCACGAGTGAGAACCAGTGGCGCACTCATCGATGTCGACGAGTCGAATGGTGATGCACTGGCGATCGGAAGCGCGACCGAATCTATCGTAGACTACAACGCAATGTGGATGATCTCCTTGAACAACTTGTTCAGGTGTTGGGAACCAGGAGCAGGTAGCTTGTCCTTTGCTATCAAAAGCTGAACAAGTCATTCCTGTCGGACGAGAGAACTGGTATCGAGTGATATCGTAGAAAGTAGTTCCGCCCATTTCGTAGGATGCGTCCCAATCAATAACAATTTCCACACCTGGCGACCAGTTCCACGAGAGCTTCATTCCTTGGGCCGGAGAGTTTCCACTGAAGCTTGGTCTGCCAAGACAGTGAGCCGGCTCAGTTGATCGTGCCTGTTGAGATGGATGGTCCAAAGATCTGCGCCGTCGACCTTCGTGATCTTCGTCATGATCGTCCGTTCCTTGAAGTATTCCTGCGTAAAGAGGATTATTTATCGAGGACTTTGACCCCTCTAAATCAGGAGTAAAAACAACGGCGACGAATGATAGAGGGACCGAGTGCCTAAAAATATTTTTTAAGAAAAAATTTGCAAATAGCTCTTACAAAAGATTTCCATTAGAATCGAAGTCTTCGACTTGGATCGCAATTGGCTTCGAGCCTTCCCCACTGGGGAAGTTCCCCAGTTTGATCGAACTCAGGGTGGTAAGTCACGATGCAGTTTTCTTCATCAAGGGAGAACTGCTGGAGACCAGTATTCCAGGACATCGCTCTAGCCTCGTCATATGTCGACCAACGGCATCGGACAGTATCGCCTTCTGGATCGACTGGATTGACCATGTAGGTCTGTCCGCCACAGCCGTCAAGCATATACCAAATCGGAGGAGAGATGAACTGGGGCGAACTGTTGTTTACATCATTGACGTAAGCTTTGTATCCATATTCACCACCGAATGAGCTACCGTCATCTTTGGTGAGTGAAATTGTGCAGCAACCCCTAAGAGAATGCTCAAAGCTGCTTAGGTATTCAGTGGTTCCGTTTTGGGTTAGATCAAGTTCGAACGTGTAGCTTCCAAAGCAAAAATGCGAATCTAAAAGAGTTTCAATCAGTTAAAATTAATACAAAAACAAACTTACTGGAATCAATGGCCGGGTTGTCTTCTATGTTCGTCACGGTGTACCAAGCGGGAATCCATCCAACGCCACTTATATTCTCGGACGATTCTGCAGCCGAGACTTCGTTATCAATGTCATCTTGAGTGCAGCCGCCCGAGTAACCGCTCATTCCTCGACGCCATCCTTGATACCTAGTTACTTCAATTTTTCCAGGCGTGGTTGATTTTCGATACTAAATAAGGCTTAACTGAGAGTATCAATAATTAATAGATTTACTGTCAGAATAAAATTTACTCCTAGAATTTTTTTCATCGCACCTAGCTTTGATCCGCGAGAAGCAGCAATTTTCTGATGAGACCCCAATTTGTCGACCGTATATTTGCGGTAAGCACGTTTTGGCCTGCTAAAAATTCGATTCGAAACAAGATAAAATGTTCCGTAAAAGTTCGTTTTATATGTTTTCACGAACTTTATATAGTTAATGATAGAAAAAGCATCTGAAAGAAATCAGGTCAGAAATATAGAAAAAATCCATTTTTGTTGACAAACTGGGCGGTTTTCCAGCGACAAATATTTGTAAAATTAGAGTTCGTACTTTCTCAAAAACAATCATTACAAATTAAAAGAGAGCATAAGAATTCATCACTCATGATCGACAGAAGGGAATTTCTCGCAGGAGGTGTCGGTGGAGCATTGAGCGTCATCACTGCCCATCCTTTTGATACAGTCAAGGTTCGGCTCCAAACAACCACACAGTACTCAGGCGTCTTTAATTGCATGAAGACGATGGTGGCAAAAGAAGGGGCGAAATCTCTTTTCAAGGGGATGTTGTTTCCTCTTGGAAGTGTCGCTCTAGTCAATGCAGTTGCTTTCTCGGCGTACAATGCAGGAGTTAGGCAAGTAGCTATGAATCCAGAAGATCCGACAATGGGGAAATGTGGGTCGGTGGAGTTGCGGCTGGATGCGCCGTTTCTTGTCTCAGTCCCGTTGAGTTAATCAAAATTCAGGTTCGTTGCTATCATTTTTGCATGCAGAAAGAGAATGGTGTTGTAGTGCCAAAGAGTTCAAGGAAAACACATGGTTTCGCCTTTTCAAATGACGAAAAAAATCTTCACTCGTTCTGGAGTACCTGGTCTTTTCCGCGGCTTTTTTACTCAACTATCTCGCGATTCCGTCGGTTATTCTTGCTTTTATCTGCCGTATACAATCTTTGGGATTTATTTGCTGGACAAGGGTTTTGAAGATCCGACGAGAATTTGTATAGCTGGTGCTTTTGCCGGTCTGTTGTCTTGGGGAGTGACGAATCCAATGGATGTTGTCAAGACTAGGTAAAAAGACTTTCATTTACTCGTTTATTGCGATCTTCAAAGATATCAATGCGATCTTGATGCAAAATCAGGACGATCAGTTCTCCAAAGCCTCCTGAAAACAGAAGGCCTGGTTGGTTTCAGCAGAGGAATCGTCGCCAACTCCCTTCGTGGAATTCCCCAATGTGGCGCCTTATTTTTGGGTATGAATACACGCTGAAATATATTTGAAAAATTCTTCAAAAAACTGTTTCCTGACAATAAAAATTCAAAATTCGAACTCTTCTGCACCACTGATCCGAATCGAGCACCGCCTCAAAATATTTTCAACACAGCTTTGGGCTATTAAAAATTTCTCGGTTTAGTACCCATGTTTTGTCCGTGTTGCGTCTTGAGAGAGTAACAACGTAGCAAAGAATACGAACGTCAACGCCTCTATAAAAATGGACGCCCACGGGGTAGGGGACAGTGCAGTTGGCAGCGCGACGAACTCAGAGATGGTTGATCTCGAAGATCAGCGAAAGCTGAGCGTTTTCGGAAGAGAGAAAAATGTGCAGGTCGATTGGAATGATTTGACAGGTTTGCGAGGCTATTTTTATTAGAAATTCTAGTCAAGGATAGTGTAAAATTCATTTTTTCTGAAGTACATTTTGTAAACTGCTGACTATAAATGCAAACAAAGCAATTTATTTTGGAACCTTTAGGCGATGTTAAAATTAAGATCTCTCTGTTTTCTCAGAAGATCAGAAATTAACAGATACCAATATAGATAAAAAGCGTAGACAATCGGTCTAAGACGACCTCTTTGCCCCCGTCGTGAACGGGTCATAAATTTAGTAAATTACGACTTTTTTTGATTGAGCTCTTCTAGAACATTTCTTTCATAGTCACGGCAGAAGTAAAGAAGCCAAATGCGGGTTGTTGCAGTAAGCAAACAGTAACCAAGACGATTTTGACTGGATGTACCGGTTCCGCCAAGTCCGGCGAGATCATGGCGATCATGGGCAGCTCCGGAGCTGGAAAATCGACGTTTATGAATGCCTTAACGCATCGAAATGTGGAGACATTGAGTATCAAAGGAAGCATCAACATTGCCGGAGCGCCGATAAAAGACCAGATTTCCAAAATCAGCGCATATATCCAACAAGACGATCATTTTGTCGGAGCATTGACTGTTCGCGAGCATTTGAACTTTCACGCCGATTTGCGACTCTCGAAGGAATCTGCGGAAATGAGAAAGGAAACAGTCGATAGAATCTTGCGGATCATTAGGTTCCGACATGGGTCTTCATCCCTCTTTTGAATCGTCGAGTTCGACACCTCTACTTGTTCCTTGGATCCCAGGGATTCCAAATCTGGAAAAAAAGTAGGGGTTGGTCACGTGTTTTGGCTCGAAATCGGCGATTTTTCATTTTGGGCCGGAGGATTTTCACAAGTTTGTTAAACAATCCTCCGCCTCAGGCAAAACGGAGGTAACCAATGAAAAGAGCGCCCTTTTTTACCCTAGAATCCACCTTCAAACCTTCCGGCCTCGCTCTCATTTCCCTAGAATGAACAAAAGTTTGGAACTTTCTTGTTTGTCGGAAAACACTGAGCGGAGGACTTTCGCTGGTGGAAGACCTCCTGGAAGACCAATATTAAAATAAATGAATAAATGACCTTCCTCGGTCAGTAAATGGCCACTTGAGGTCAACTTCGGTCACTTTGTGCCGGAGGACCTTCCGGAGGACCCCTCTGGTGGAAGACAAGCTCGTGGAAGACCAAGATTTAAAAACAAAAAAGAAATAAAATAAAGAGCTATGATTGGCTTGTTATTGCCGCTTATGGCCAATTTCGGCCGTTTTCTGCCGGAGGACCTCCCGGAGGACCTCCTTACTGGAAGACCAACTGCTGGAAGACCAATATAAAAAAAAATAAATAAATAGCCTTGCTTGGTCACATATTGCCACATTTGGCCAACTTCGGCCGCTTTCTGCCGGAGAACCTCCCGGAGGACTCACTTACTGGAAGACAAACTGCTGGAAGACCAATATAAAAAAAAAAAATAAATAGCCTTGCTTGGTCACATATTGCCACATTTGGCCAACTTCCGCCGCTTTCCGCCGGAGGACCTCCCGGAGGACTCACTAACTGGAAGACCAACTGCTTGAAAACTTGTTGGGAATGAATCTGTCTGGGATAAAGACACGCAAGCACATACAATTCAGTCAGGCAGGGGGCCAAGCCGACCCGTAGGGGAGGCCACGCCTGTTTATTGAATTCAGTCAGGGACAGGGCGAAGCCGACCCGAAGGGGAGGCCACGCCTGTTTATTCAATTCAGTCAGGGACAGGGCGAAGCCGACCCGAAGGGGAGGCCACGCTCGTTGATTCAATTCAGTCAGGGACAGGGCGAAGCCGACCCGAAGGGGAGGCCACGCCTGTTTATTCAATCCAGTCAGGGACAGGGCGAAGCCGACCCGAAGGGGAGGCCATGCCTGTTTATTCAATTCAGTCAGGGACAGGGCGAAGCCGACCCGAAGGGGAGGCCACGCCTGTTTATTCAATTCAGTCAGGGACAGGGCGAAGCCGACCCGAAGGGAAGGCCACGCCTGTTTATTCAATTCAGTAAGGGACAGGGCGAAGCCGACCCGAAGGGGAGGCCACGCCTGTTTATTCAATCCAGTCAGGGACAGGGCGAAGCCGACCCGAAGGGGAGGCCATGCCTGTTTATTCAATCCAGTCAGGGACAGGGCGAAGCCGACCCGAAGGGGAGGCAACGCCTGTTTATTCAATTCAGTCAGGGACAGGGCGAAGCCGACCCGAAGGGGAGGCCACGCCTGTTTATTCAATCCAGTCAGGGACAGGGCGAAGCCGACCCGAAGGGGAGGCCATGCCTGTTTATTCAATTCAGTAAGGGACAGGGCGAAGCCGACCCGAAGGGGAGGCCACGCCTGTTTATTCAATCCAGTCAGGGACAGGGCGAAGCCGACCCGAAGATCCAGGCGGATTTTGCTATATTCGCTCTCCCCGGACACATTTAAAATAATTTAATTCATATGCGTCTAAGGTCCCTAGTTAATTTATAGAAATTCCAACCTTGCTCTCACAATATGCGATTAAGTATAAATGAACACGATTTCTTGGACGAAGATAGCTTTACCATAGTGTCTAGATAAATTTATTCTTTCTATTACTTTTTTCTCGATGATAGTGTTAGTAACTCGCAAATGCGCCGTGATTCGTCGACAATCGGAAATAGGCCCCAGGCCCGAGATTCGCTCGACTCGCGAGAGCGCCCGCCCGGTCTGCGCTTAACTCTTCGAAGCAAGAAACTCGGGCTTAAATCAATTTTAATATTCTCAGATTTTAAATACTGCCCTGTACGTCCAGATTCTACAATCCTGCAATAAAATCGACATAAAGAATAATTTCTCAGCCTCGTCAATGATTTTAAACCGCGGTGCAATGTAGTTGAGTTTAATCTAAGATTAAGTTGAGGGTTATAAGCTTAGCATTTATTGTAGTCAGAAAAAGGAGAGAGTTAGCGAAGCTAATAACACTAGCATCGAGCACGAGAGAGAATAACTGACTTAATTTTACAAACGGGCGTGGCCTCTCTTTTGGGTCAGCTACATTCTCTCTCTGATTGAATCGATTAACTCGGCGTGGCCTCCCCTTCGGGTCGGCTTCGCCCTGTCCCTGACTGAATTGAATGAAAAGCATGGCCTCCCCTTCGGGTCGGCTTCGCCCTGTCCCTGACTGAATTGAATTAACAGGCATGGCCTCCCCTTCGGGTCGGCTTTGCCCTGTCCCTGAGTGAATTGAATAAACAGGCGTTGCCTCCCCTTCGGGTCGGCTTCGCCCTGTCCCTGACTGGATTGAATAAACAGGCATGGCCTCCTCTTCGGGTCGGCTTCGCCCTGTCCCTGACTGGATTGAATAAACAGGCGTATTCCAGCCGATCATTTTATCCGCGAGATCTCGAAATTCAAGGACTTGGAAACAGGAACCAGCGACAAGGATGCAAATGAAGTCCGAATCGGCCAGATCTGCGACAAATACAAAGAATCAAAATACGCAATGGCCATGGAGAATCAACTAATAACAGACGGATCGGATAATTATGTGAAACAAATGATCAAGGCGTCGAAAGAATTCAGGCCAAATCCATTTTATGCGTTTTGGAAAGTTTTGATTCGCGGGATGATCGCTCAGGTATGCTTTGATAATCCTCTTTGCCTGGGTTAATACAGTTTTCTTTCAGTATCGGGACAAAACATTGGTTGTGATCAAAATCATGCAGAATCTTGTTGTTGCATTAGTCATTGGGCTCATTTATTTGCGCCCTGCTCGGCCGGGTAAGCTTTTATGCGGGAAGTACTGATCTATAATAAAATTTAGGTGTGAGCACGTCTAATCCAACCATACAACCATACGATTCCAAGGATGTTTTCAACTCTAACGGCGCACTCTTTGCATATGTCTGCTCTTTTTCTGTAAGTTTAGGAATAAGTTCAATTTTTAAATTGATTTTCAAGTTCAACTACATGTTCCTCGTTGTCTTCACCTTCCCACGAATGGCGATCATTTTGCGACGCGAGTACTATTCTGGTCTCTACCAGCTTTGGACGGCTATCATGGCGGATATGTTAGCCTTGGTTCCTTTCACGATTTTAATGCCCCTTGCTTATACCGCGATCACGTATTATATGGTCGGCTTGAACCCTGCTGCCGGGTCATTTTTCTTACAATGGCTGACTTTATTCCAAATCGGTACGAGTCTCAAAGACGCTTTGTCTTCAAAAGCTCTTTTTTAGCTTTCTGCGCGACTGGCTATGGCTACTTGATTTCAGCTTTGAGTCCGTCAGTCGAAGCAGCAAACGCTATCGCCTCACCGATGATGCTGCCGATGCTGATTTTTGGCGGATTCTTTTTACAATCGGACACGGTTCCGAAATACTTCATCTGGATTAAGTACCTGTCATGGTTTTACTACGGGTCGGAAAATCTCTACAGCGGACAGTGGGAGAACCTTGGTTACTGTAACACTGAGTTTGTTAATACAAACGATGCTAACAATGTGGTAAGATATCGATTCTTTCGACACTCTTATGACTTTTTGAAGGTTCGAAGCTCGAATGAAAAATGCGAAGAGTTCTACCCTCCAGGAACAAAATACTTAAGTGGCGAGACAATATTGAACAGGTTCGGGTACAACCCGGACAATATCGAAAGAAATATTGGAATTATGTTTGCTCTTGCCATTGGCTTCCGATTGATTGGGTACCTCATCCTTTCACTAAAATACCGCTCAAAGGCGTGATATTCTCTGCTTTACATACAAATAAAGTCATCATTAGCAGTCATATCTTCGAGGGGTTATTTTTCGAGTCTTTGACAATGATAAGACTCTAATGATAAGAGCTTATTTATCTTGGTAATTGGTGAGCATAACTAATATTTACACATAAGAATCATATTATTACTCTTCCTTTCTTGCTCAATCGAGCTGAAAGCAAATATAAGAAGAATGCAGCATTCCGAATGCTAGATTAATGAGTAATTCTGATTTATGACACGCATGCAACGTGTGTAAATATAAAACGCTTGTGCGGCAAAAAGCAGCATTATATTTGTGTCCTAAAGATGGAGAATACGAAGGCACTCTTAGAGACTAAAGATGTCGAAGAGCAGACGCAAAAGGTCAAGGCAGATCTTCAAACCCACATTTCTCTTCTTGAGAAAATGGAGAATTCGGGAGAAAGCGCAATTGATAAACCCGCAGAGTTTCAGATTGCCTTGAATGTGGTCGATTCACTCGAAGAAAAATACAAAGATCTTCCAGAGTTCACTTCACTCAAAGAAAAGATCGAAGTTCTTCGTTTTCCAGAAGGCACGAAAGACCTAACCTCATCAGTCGAAGCTAAACTTTCCGATTCCGAAGCGCAACTAGCCACCACAGAAGTGAAAGCAGTCTCTCTCAGTGGTACGACAATTGAAGAAGCAAAAGCTGCGGTTACTCAGGTCTACACTGATCTTGTGATGGTCAAAAACGATCTCGAGCAGTTGATGTCAACCAAACGAAAGCTTAATGAGCATGGGTTTATCGATAAAGACACCGAGTTCTCCTTGTCATTTGTGGCACTTAGAGAGCGATTCAATAATATCGGAAAACGAATCACGGATTCTAAAGTGGCCCTTTCGAAATCGGCACTACAAGTTCAAAAGCTCAAGCGGGCAGTTGAAGATACTGACCAGTGGGCTCAGAAAGTGCTCGCCCAGTCTGTCGAGCAGTACCCAATGACTGATAGATTAAGGTAAGACAAATTCCCTCAGCTGTGGATCCAAATTCTTTAGGAAGGAGAGTGACGCTGAGATCCGAAAGCGAGAAGTTCTCGAAGTCACTAAAGATTGTGTCAATAAACTCCAAGCAAATCTCGGTGCTGATTGCAGTCAACTTATTGCAGATGTTCACCAAGGTTTTGATTCAATCGAGACTCTCGTCAGGGCTCTCCGAAATGAAGAGTTCGAGTCTGATGCATCATCGGTGAGTAGCTCGTCGTCAAGCTCAGAGTCATCGGTTGTATCGGATCAAATGAGCAAAACCAAACGATCGATTGAGAACAGAACCAATATATTCAAAAACCTTGTGGACAGTTGGAAAAAGCTGGAGTATGAATTTTTCTTGGTTGAAGAACGCTGTAACAAGATCAAAATTATGCTGATTGACGATGACATAAGTAAAAATGATCAAATAGAGGTTATCGGCGCCCCTGTCATCAACGCAGAGCTTAACTCGATTCCAGAGATGATAAACATCTTCCTAGACGGCAATAATGAGGTCCAAAAGCGAGAAATTCTTGAAGCCACAGAAAATTGCGCCAGAAATCTCCAGGTGAAACTGGGCGCTGATTTTACTCAACTTGTTGAAGATGTTCAAAAGTGTTTGGACTCAAATGAGACGTTAGTCAAGGCTCTTAGAAAGGAAGAGTTTCAGTCTGATGCATCTTCGTTGAGTAGCTCGCCGTCAAGCTCCGATTCGTCAAGTTCAAGTTCAAGCTCAGAATCGGAGGCAACTGCATCCTCAAACTCTTGGAGCCCAGGTGGCGATACAAGTTCAATCTCTGAATCAGGAGCCGATAATTTCGGTTTTGATATGAGAAGAGAAGATAGAAAGAGCGAAGAGATCGATCAGTGGGTAGAGAGTAGTGCGCAAATGGTACACAACGCAGAATCACTTAGAGAGATCCACACCATCAACGGAAAAATCAATCAATTTGGAAATGATATTGACGGGAACAACAGTGATCAAGAGAAACTTATTCCGCTCGATGATCTCGTCTGTGATCGAGTCAAGTCACTTTCAGAGACAAAATATGACGGAGAACAGACGCAAAAAGTCAAGACAGATCTTCCAACCCACACTTCTCTTCTCGAGAAAATGGATAGTTTGGTTGAAACCGCAATAAATAAGCCCGCAGATTTCGAGGCTGCTTTGAATGCAGTCGACTCACCAGAAGAAAAATATAGGGGAGAAGGGACAAACGACCAAACATCATCAGTTACGTTGATTACGGAGGTGCGAGACATGACAAGTTCAGGTTCTTCCGATGATTCTCCGAAGCAAGAAGAACATACCGGCGATGACTCCACCACTGTTCGACTCGAATCGAGAAAGAATCCAGATAATGATGCCAGAAGAAATATTCGAATCATGTTTGCGCTTGCTATTGTTGTCCCTTTAGTTGGATATTTGATACTGTCGGCGAAAAATCGCGTAAAGCTTTGACTGAATCTGTTTTATTTACAAATTAATTTAACAGTGAACGGAGAATAACATAAGCAATTATTATTCGAAGCCTTTTTCTTGATTCTGTTTTCGGAAGCAGTCACCCACCGGGAAGAAATCCCAACAGCGCTCTTGATAAAGGTTCCAAACGTATGATTCTTGTCCAGTGTACTCGGTTTTGTCCTTGTTGATCAGGTGCATAATAAAGAATCTAAATGGTAGATTGAAGAATATGAAATCATGTAAAGGTACTTACAGATAATTAGCTAAGTTGTGCTCTTGCATCGTATGCGTATCGAAACCGTGGGGGACTTGATCGAAGAAATCTTTTCCCAAAGTACCTAAAAAGATGATAAAATTATGAAAAAAAAATAAACTTACAGATAAAGCACTTTGATTCCATATCGTCCTTGACTTGTTCTTGTTGATCTCGAAGTTCTCCAAAAGCGTCAATGATCAAACCCTATTTTAACTGTTATTTTGAATTCTAAGCGATTGTTTTACCTGAATGATAGCAAGAATGATGACGATGATGAAGAAGAAGAATGTGATGTCAAAAGCAAATCGAGCGAGGAAGTCATCATCTCCTGGTGGGTCCATTTCGTCACCAATACCACCGCCTGCTCGCAGACCGGCGTAACTTTAAAGCTTTGTTAAAAACTAATTTTGAGTCGAGAAAGCTTACAGATGGAAATTGAAGCAAGAGAGCATGTCTTGACACTTCCAATCGTCCTCCCCATCTTCACCCTTGTTGTAGTAGTCCCGGAAGAAGTTGAATGCAACAACAGTGTACAAGTAAATCACACAAACAAGAAGACCGACAGTGAGCATGAACTGTTTTCCGTTGTGAGTGACAGAGGCCATGATTGTCTGAGAAAAAGTTAGGAAAGGATCAAGTCAATTCGGATTTACCTGGAGTGATTTGACATCAAAAGCAACATCGAGCAAGGAAGCAGCGTAGAAGAATCTATTGAAATGACCGGCGAAAGAGAAAGCCGTGTATCCAAGTAGATACAGGAACGTTCTGTCAGTCAAGACAACTCCAGTCTTCCAGAGACCATATCGCCAGTCGTGATCAGTAATAAACGCTAGTGGCCCCTTATTTTGATTTTCTGCGTTTTCAGCTTCTTGTCGCTCTTTTGGAGAGATATTCAAATTGACGGAAGTGTCCAAGCCCAGTAGCTCAGAGACAGTATCTCGTTCAAATTGACCGCCATACTTCTCCAAGACCTTCTTTTTGACGAACTTGTCCCAGTAGCACATTGGAAAGTGTGGGCAGGAGATGACCAACCGGTCCCACATTGATGTAAAATCGTCTTCGTCAGGCTGACAAGAAATGTACAGACCTTCAAATTCTAGCTTCCTGGAGATGTCCTTCTCGCGCTTGAAGATCAAAAGAGGCACTTTCAACTCGTAGTAAGAAACAAGCTTGGCAAGCGATAGAATCGTGTGTAAGAACGCGCACCAGTTGAAAACTTCATTGACATTTTCAAACATCCAATCAGAGAAGACAAGGACTTCATTGCTTTCATCCCCGAATTCTTGATCGTCCAGATTTCCTTCGAAAACTTCTGATTCAGCTATGACATGTTCGTCCTCAGCCAGCTCGTCTTCGGACTCCCAGCGAAGAGAGAGAAGAATGATGTTGAGTAAGAAAGAGATGATCAAAGCTGCAGATTTGAAGTTGTAGTAATTTCGAGCGAAAAACGCCAGAAATGCAGTCGAGAAAGCCTGGAATCGGAGCTTCCAGGGAGAAACCTCTTCTTTCGTTTCTTCGATGCTGGTATATTTAAGCGGTCGAGGGCAAGGCTCACGGTACGTCTGCCAAGTTCCAGATTCAGAATCAAGTCTGCTCGAAGAACTCTTCTTGTCTTTCGATTTGAGCTTCTTAGAAGAGCCAATTTCTGAATTTCGTCGCTGTCGAGCACGAAGAGCTTGAGCTTCGACTTGCTGATTGAATGCAGCTTCGTCGTACTCCATGCCGAGGTTGCGGGCTGCTTCGTCGAAGTCTTGGTCGCCGAATCCTTTCCAGGACTTATCTTCGACATAAGTAGTGAAGGCGGCCGTGCCATCAGACTTGAAGGTAAGGCCAAGTGCCTGGCCAATGACCGGAGTGGATTCTTCCTCAATTTCCTCCTCCTCTTCTTCTTCCTCTTCTTCGTCATCCTCGACATCATCCTCGTGTCTAGTGCCAATGCCATCTTGAGTTGGCTCTGGAATGGCCTCAATCACACCAGTGATGGTGTTTTCCTTCATCATTTCAATCAGACAACCAGAGAAAAGGTAGAAAATGAGCCACTCTCCAACAAACTTGCCAACACTTGCAAGCATCCTTCCGAATAGCTTTATTGCTCGATAAATGACGATGAAAATAAATATGACAAAATCGCGCAAAGTCGTATGCCGCAGCGTTCTGAACGCTTTTCTGAAGAATTTTGCCGTGAAAACATAGGCTATGTTTCCAATAATCGTGTTGAACTGATGTTTGACAGAGTCCCAAAAGCTGTGGCGCTGGATCTCGTGCTCTTCATCTTCATTCTCGCCTTGATCTTGGTTTTCATCGCCATCTTCATCGCCTTCTTGAGAAATTGACGCTGCAAGTTGCATCTCGAAAATCGTATTTTCACAGAAGCTGACGAATTCCTCCATCTTTCCGTTTTCGCCACCTTCGGCGATGACATCGAAAATAAATGCTCGTTTCGAATCTCGAATCTGTGGCTTTTCCCACTGTTCAAGAGAGCTTTGCTGGATATTGAAGTAGATACGCTCGATTCTCTTTGATTTTCCGAGAATTTCAATGCGTCCCAAATTCGATTCAAAATAGTCCAAAAGCTCTTTGCCGATATCAAGGAACTTATCCAATCGATTGTCATTTGTACTGTGCTCGTGAAGACTAGTCAGCAAAAGTGCGAAATTGAAGCCAATTTCTTCAGCTGGCTTGTGGAATTGATCGACGAAATCTTTGTAGTTGAACTTGTCATTTTCATCGGGCTGGATGCACTTGAGTACATATTCGATCTCCTCTGGGTCGTAGTTCTTTGCTGATTCCAGTTGTTTGTGGAACTCGCGCTTTGTAATGATGCCTTTGCCTTCTTGGTCGATTTCTTTAAATTTCTCAGTTTCAACAACTTCGGAGAGCTTCAAAAACATGGTGAAATACTTGATGATGAGGCCAACGTCTTGTTGAGCTTCAATGAGAGTATCAAGCAATTGGCGACCAATGTTTCCGTTGACAATGTTTCCTTCAAGCATGGACAGTAGCATAACGATCATATCTTGCTGCAAATCCAGAAGGGCTGATAGAAGATTAAGAGAGTTCCCAGAGTCCTTTGAGAGCTTTGATTGAAGTTGCGCGAAAACATGCCAAAAACCAACGACAGCATCCCAAAGACGCGAATGAGCAAGTGAATTTTGATTCAAGAAACAAGGCCCTTGAATGTATTCAGTCAGCGAGTTGAAAACTTGTTTAGCCATTTCAATCGCTGATGAGAAGTGCTCCTTTCCTTGGTCGTCAATTTGGTCCTTGCTACTGTAGTACCAGTAGAAATCAGACACTGATTCTTGCAGGCGAAGGAGGTAATCGACGGTTGAAATGACGATGTTGATTGAAATGTTGTTGCCGACTTGTGTTCTTAGGTAGTTTTGGAAGTCTTCATTGTGACCTTCGCAGAGAAGCTGGAGGAATCGAAAGAGCATGATTGTGAACTTTGTTTGCTGGCCTAAATAAGAGTTAGCTTCTGTTAAGTTCTCGTCGTAAATTTGATTAGGTGAGCGGCTTTGGTAGTTACGCAGAACTTGACGCAGTGCTTGAGCAAAAATATCAGTATAAAATATACTGTGAAATTACTTTATGGTGCCTAACAATATCATGACAGTACCAGTGCGTATGATATTCACACCATAAATAACTTGTGTATTGATAAATTCTACCACCTGGCTCATCATTATCAATGACGTAAGGTTCTATCTTCGAAGCTCCTAATTCCAGATATAATAAATTGGCAATGTTTTTTGTATCCAGATTAACCGATGATATCGAGAAATAAAGCGAAAAAAGTACCTTTGTTCTCAGCATCTTCGAGGGAGGCTTGCTGAGAGCCAAGCGTTTCAGCTTTGATAGATCGTTCGTAAGCGTCAAGATCAAGAACGTTGCAGAGTTGCATGAGAGCTTGTAGGGATGTGAAGAATTTGGAATCGCGTTTTTCCTAAGAGAAATTTTAATAATAGGAATTCATAGTTTTTCTCTGAAAACTTATTAATTGTCTCGAGTTTTACCTGAAGGTGAACAAGCATCTTTCTTTGAACTGTCTCGTTTCCACCTTGAAGCAGGGAAATACCCAAATCAAGTGATGCCACAACCATGTCACATAATTTTCCATTCGACGCACTAATCACTAGAAGAACCATCTCCGCAGCTCCTCTTTCGTGGAGACGACTTTGACAAAAGAGCAAGTTCTGCTTTTCGACTTCCTTGTCTTCAAAGTTTCCGTCATCTTCCTCCTCTTCATCATCTTCTTCCTGATCTTCTCCGCCTTCGAGCTCTGAAGGTCCAATAGATCGAGCCATAAGCTCCGCGTAATGAAGGTAGAGAGGATCTGCTTCAATGTTTTCATTTGCTGGGGTTTGAACGGCATTCTTTTTGAACACCTGAATGATTTGGAAAAGAGGATCGCTCAGCGCTTTAGGCGGGTCATCTGGTTTAGTTTCTTCCTGCCCAATCGTCTTTTGCGGCTTCGTCAATGCGGTAATAAGTGCATTAGCAAAATCTCTTTCTTCCGTTGCAAGCCAAAGGTTGTTGTAGGATTTGATGAAGACATTGATGACCTTGTGAGCAGGCATATTGTACAGTGGTGTCATTCTGAAGCAGCTAACAACTGCTTTCTTCCTTGATTTCGACATGAGTTTCTCCCAAACAGCGCGTCCCTTGTCCTCCGGATGCTCGATCTTGTAAAGATGGCAGTGGATTCTCGCAAGACGGAAAATGATTTCAGCTCGCTTGTCCAGATCGTCGCCGGAGAACTCGTACTCATCCTCCAGTTCCATGTATTCGAGCTCTTCTTTGATGTGATACATGACATTTGCTTCAGATTCTTTTTCAAAAGTCGAATCTTTGCGTCTTGCACGATTTTGTGTTCGCCTGCGACGCAAACATTCAACCCAACAGGCAACAGCCGCTTTGGTGCAACGCAAATCAAAGAAGTTCCCCAAGAGTAGATTTCTCCACGACGCTTGAGCTTTTCTCGATGTCGTCTAAGTTTGTGAGCAGTGATGTCGGATGTGATAACAGCCATGTTGTCAATGTCATTTTGAACGACATAATTTTGCTCTTCTCGACGGAAATTGACGGATTTCGCCCAAGCGACAAAGATTTCTGAAACCTTCCAAAACAGACTTTCGGCTTCTGGATTCTTTGTCGCGATCCAATCCATCTTATTCTTGTCAATAAATCTAACCAAAAGTGGGTAGAAGGCGTAAATATCTCGCGAGATAAAACCAAAGTCTTCAAGCATCATCATTTCAAGATCGGAAACGTCTCCAACGGCAATTTTCTGATCGCTTTTGATGTCTTCCTCGATTGCAGCTGTTCGTTCGATTTTCTTGAGAGTCTTTTCTAAAATCGGCAGGAAGTGAGAATAGAGCAGGTCAGAACCGCACTTCGCCATAAGAGGTTGAGTGTAATTGGCGATGGATTTCATCCACTGGGCTTCTTCAGTTCCGAGGTTGTTGTAAATTAATCGGAGGACGTTTCCAAGGGTATCGTTTGCATGTTTGATGCCTATTTCTGTGCAGTGATTTGGCTGTTCTGGCTTCCCCTCTGGCCCTTCTTCGAGCCAGTTGGGTACGTAGGAGCAAATCACGGGCAAAATGACATCGATCATTTCAGGTGCATCATCGTATCGAGCTCCAGAGACTGCTAAATCTTCAATATCTCTCAGCAGAATCTTCAATGTCGGAAGATTCGGGGCAAGCTGCTCAATTCGCGTTGGCAGACCGAGGACCTGTCGATCTTTGATTGAAAGCGCGTTGTAGACGGAAACAGTGTTGTATCGATTCAGCCTTGGTTCGAGGAAGGCAACAGGGAAACAGTTTGCCAGAGCAGCGAGGCATTCTCCAAAAGCTGATCGGTTCCTTTCTAGAAGATCTTCCATCGTTTCAATCACATCTTCCGGCACTTTTTTAGTCTTCAAATGCGGGATAAAATGATTCTTGGCAGTTCCAAGAGGATAAAGAGCGTTGAGAATTTTATAGCAAGCGACTTGCATTTCTTCAATTAGCAAGTCTCGCCCGAACTCGTTGTCACCGACATGATTGAAGAATTTTGTCAGGATTGGAATCAGCGCTTGCGTTGCGTACTGCCAGCAGTGAGCAGCTCTAAGGGCGACGGACTTCTTGTCGAGATGCCAGATCCTTATTGAATCTAAAACAAGCTCGATGTCAACAGCTGCATCGTTGAAAAACACGACAAGGAGGGACTTGACGTGGTCAGGACCCATTTTGATGACAGTCGCAGCGTCGATACATCTCGTCAGGTTCGTCAAGCAGTCTACCGTAACTTCAGCATCTTCACCAAAGAAATTTACTTTTCGTCGCATAAGAGCCGCGAGAGCACAGAATAGAGTGACGATCATCTCTTTTTCCTTGTTGCAGGCACTGATGCCGACATTTTTTGCACTCTTTGGTGTGACGTAATAATGCTGATGAGCTTTGAAGTAACTTTGGATAAGTGGTAAAACGACTTTGGCAAAGAATTTCACAGAATCAGAAGTGAAATGAAGAGTGTCGCCGAGCTCAATTTCCATGTCTGTTTCGTTGTTTTTGATAGCTTGGATTTGCGTGTGCTGATTTTGACGATGATCAGTAATGGCGACCATGAGTTCTTCTACGTAGTTTCGCGCTAGTTCCAAGAATTCCAGCAATCGGTGAAGCAAAATGAACGAGAATCGACGTTCTTGAGATGTTCTTGCGTCGTAGCTATCATCATTACTTGCTTTATTCAACACAAATCCGGAGAATTGAATAAAACGGAGCATATCGTAGGCCTTGTTTCGATACTTTTCCTTTTCTTTGGCAGTTAGCGTATCGTAAGGAACGAACATGGGATGAGATTTTCCGTTCTCCTCAAGTTCGATTTTCTTCTTTTTCGCCCAGATGTTATGGAAGTTCTCCGCCATAGAATCGGCAATCGCCGTGAATTCCCGAGTGAGGGTGATTCCGGACAAATCAGTGGGTTTTGGTGTGTATCCCTTGCTGGAATCGACCACGTAATCAGGCTTGGATGACATTGATGGTCGTCTTCCAAATTCTGCTGGTCCTCCACTGCCACTATGCATACCTCGGCGGTCGACTCTCCATCCCCAAACTTGTAGGGCTCGAATAGCCTCGCGAATGTTCGTTCGATAGACGTCCTTTTCGCGATCTGTGAAGTTTCCATACGGCTTGATAAGAGGATGTTCCTTCGTCTGATCGTTGAACATAGGATCGTATCTCCAGCCGTTTGCCATTCTTTCTGAAGCCCAAATATCGTGAAGGTGCTCACTGTATCGTTCGATGAACTCGTCGCATCGATGATCAATTCGCTGGCCGGAAGTGTTTATCGGCTTTGGATCGTAGTTGCCATTTTTGTCCAATTGACACTCTCTTGCTCCGTCGTCTGCGAGACTCGGAACTGCATAATCTGGTGGCAGAGCGTTTCCGATCGCGCACAGGCATGGAAGCGCCCATTTAACCATGTTAGGATCGAAATTCTTCACGAGAGCTTCGAAGAGACCCCAGAAGAGCCTCATCGTGAGATGGCGCTCTTCATCGGATGCAACGCCATTTTCGCCCCATCCATCTGGGCAGCAATAGTACTGCCAAGAGCGCTCGAAATGAAGAGTCAGCATTCGAATCGGTACAACAACGTGTTGAGATAAACTTGGAATGTCAAAAGTCAGTTTTCTGAGAAGATTGTGCATCAAGATAGGCTTGATGACTCCCGCAATAGCGCAGAGACACTCGGAGATGAAGTCTTTTTGCGCTTTTGTCATCGCTCGACCTTGCGAAAGTCGGTAAATTGCATGAAGCGCAGAGTCAATGAGTTGATCTCGGTGCTCTGCTTTTGCGAGAAGATGAACATGCTTGGTGATAATTGGAAGAATGGACGAACAAACATAACGGTTGAGAGCTAACGCCATGTCAGTAACATGAAGTTGTTGAGTATCAAGCTGTGCAGCTGCTCGGATGTCGTTCAAAAATCCGTCTTCGAGAATTCTCAGTAAGAAATCAACATCGTCAATTCCATAAACTCGATCCAGGAAGAGCAGCATTGCGGCTTTGTGTTCAGGCGCGAAGCAAGAATTCATCATTGGCTGAATAACAGTTTCCGTGATTGGTTCTACTCTAGGCAAGTCGAATGGAAGTGAGATGACACCGACAAGATCTTCAAGCGGAACAAGAGATTGTAAGATAGAGCGGATTCGCAGCGCTTCTGATTTGTTCTGCAAAATCAGCGTTTGTTCCGGCGCACATCGGCCAAGAAGATCAATAAGTGACGAATAGAAGGAAAGGATACAGTAGCCAAGATGGATTTCTTCCTCGTCGTCATTTTCTTCATCTTGGTAGATTTTCCTCTTTGCGTCGATATTTGCTGTGTCTCGGCTTGGATCTTTCGAGATCTCCATCGCTTCCCGCATCGCAGCGAGCAAACCTTGGCCACCTTCTCCTCGCAATGCTGGACCAAGGCATTCAGGTTTTCGAATGAGATGTCTGACGACCAAGTTAGCATTTTCTTCAACCGATTCACCGGATACAAAGACGACTTGCTTCAAGAAATCAAGGTATCTCTCTCCTTCGAGGGGATTCCAACCAATGTCAGGGTAGTTTCGCTCTAGAAGAGTTTGAGAAGATTGAAGACCACAAGTTCGAAGATATTTGATAACAAGTTCGACATGAGTTTCTTTGATTTGCAAAGAAAGCTCGTTGTTGTCTACGAGTGATGCAGCAGCAACATCTAGTGGAGTGCATCCACGCATTGATGGCGTATCAAGACCGAAGGTTGAATGATCAAGCAGGAAAGACAAGTGCTCAAACATCGCTTTTTGATTGACTCTCGAGATTCTGCAGAAGTATCCCAAAAATCTACTGCACACAGCGACAATCTTCGGGAACTGAACTTCCGCGGTCGAAACTTGCTTTCCAACTTCAGCAGATGCTCCAAGAACATTGACCATAATGTCCATCACAGTAGTGTGCATATCAAGTGCACGCATCAGATTCGGATGTTGGTAGAAAACGCAGTTGTTCATGATTCGACTCAGATCTTGGGTGATCATTGTTTCTTCTTCTTTTCCCATTTGAACTGCGAGGAAAGAGCGGATGTGAGAAAGATCAGAAATCAGCTCCATCGTGTCGTTTTTGGAGATTTCAGAAATGCAGTAAGTCTTCTCTAGAGCTCGGCAAAGCTCTCTAACGCAATCGTGCTGTCGATGAAGAAGAGCAAAAATCTCACGCACAAGAATCGGGTTCTCGATTACCGCTTCTTCCGCCCAGTGAACCGCTGTCACAGCGATGAGCTGCTGCAGATTGTGAATCGGAATATTGACCATTTCAAGATCGTCGAGTTCTTCTTTCTTCGGGCTGAAGCAGTTGTAAAGAGCTTTACCCATTCGCTTTATCTTGTTGACCATCGAATTATCTTCGAGCTCTTCGTCTTGTTCTGGGATCGATTCGCCGCAGTGCATCATCAAGTCATTGTGGAAGTTCCACATCATATGGCGAATGTTCGTTGGGCAAGGACTGTCGAGTTCGTCATCCTCGCTTTTGAAGCGAATGATTGTCGCAGCTTGATCGTATGGACTCGATCGGAATTCTTTCGTCATCTTGGCGGTCATTGCTGCAGACATATTGATGGAGTGCATCACCTCATCGTATCTTTCGCGCTGATTCTTCTGCATTTCTCCCGCGAGGACATGAGCAAAGGAAACAAGCGATTCGATTCTATGTCTCAGCTGGTAGTCGCAAAGATGGTGAAGCAGAGAACAAAGTGCAAGTTTGATAGATTCACAAAGACGCATTTGTAGCAATCCTTCTCCAACTCTGTATTTCAATTCTTCGTATCCTTCCACTTTTGATCCGAGATAGCGGGAATGGATGATTGTAAGCAGTTTTTCCAGGTCTTCATCGTCAAAGATTTGCATCAGAAGAAGTTTGTCACACACTTTGAGCAGCGGGACGAACAAATGTTCCTGAGTTCCACCAGCGTACATTTTGTAAGGCGATGTTTGGGATGAAACAGCATTGATCAAGTTTTCAATCACGTGATGCTTGAGAAGATCAAGTGGGAACGCTGGTACTTCTGTGTAATATTGCTGCACTGGGACGACAAAGTTAGCTGTTTTCCATCGCATATCTGGTCGAAGCGAAGTGAATCGACCCATTCCGGGAAGTCCAGGGTCTTTGACTTCTGGATCTTCATACAAGGCGACTTGCTTGGTTTCTTCGGTCAGCGGAATGATAAATTCTCCTTGAGTATGCTCTCGTGAATTCGCATGAGCACCAAGATGGATATCGATCAAAAGATCGTGGTAAACTTCCCGAAGCCTTCCATCAAGATAAGATGACTTGATGCAATACAGGAACTGTTGCTGATCGATGTAACTGCAAAGCGCATGTGCGACTCTAAAGTTTCCAAGTGCACACATCGCTTTGTATAAATTCAGCGTCGATAAATGAAATTCAAGAAGAGAAGGATGCTCAGTCAGCTCTAGAATATCCACAGAGCGGTTTTCTTCGGGAAGAAAGACAGCGCAAAACTGCATTGGCTTCTCAATTTGGACCTTCCATCCATCACGGATTTTCTTATTTCTCGAAATGATTGGAGTCAGACAATCCTGAGGCATTCTGGCCCAGTTGACTGCCTGCATTTTTTGGACCTGGAGTCTAGGAGCACAACTTGGCTCTACATTTTGCCTGTCAGCCTTGAGCATAGCTGCGGAGATCGGCATTTCCTTCTTTGTTCGTCCGAGCTCGTATTGAATGCAATTGTATGTGCTCGGTTTGAAGAAGCACGCAGGATAAAGTTGGGTCATTGCCTCAACTTGATAAACAATATCAAGCTCTTTATCCCCTGCGCGGAACTTGAGTAATCCACTGGAGACATCCACAATGCACGAGATAATAGTACCACCGCTTGTCGAGCCCGCGTTCATATCTTTATCGCTTTTCTGGGAGGATAATGCCATCCCGGCGTTGATAAGAAAAGCATTGCTTCGGCAGATGGTTTCCTTGATCTCACCACGTTCAGTACCAAATGTCATCGTCACAGTCTTGATATGATGACGATCGTCAAATATGGATGGATTCATGGAATGGTATTCTGGTGTTACCCAGCCAATCCACACATTATTAGCTTCTTGACCGGGGAAGACTTTGACAGAGAAGACGTAACGGCTACCAGCCAAGAGATTTTGATGCTCGTAGTCGCCCAAATTGTAAGTCATTGAAGGCAACACATCCATCTTCAATCGATTGTGTTTTTGAGATGCTCCTGCCGCTAGCAATAGCTCAGCTTCTTCTTCTTCTTTCTTTCCCCGGCGATTGAGGAGTTGCTTCAGTCCAAGAGAAGTTTTCGGTTTTGCTTGTTTTTCTTCCTTCTCACGCTCCTTGAGAATATCAAGATCTCGATCGAACTGATCCACTTCTTCAGGTGCGTCAAAGACATTCACTCGATCCGATGGTGCTTTTTCAGTACCTCCAAGATTCGAACTGGCATCGAAAGTCGTGAGTAAATAAAGTTCGGCATGTCAACGACTCTTGAAGATGAAGAAGAAAAGGATTTGTATTGAAGTCGGAGAATTGGTGGTGTCGTGATTCCTGCTTGAATTCTGATAGTTCTCAGCTGGTCATGCTCATAGATTGGAGAAAAACTTGGGAGTGACTTCGTGTACCAAATCGGGAGTGGATAGCTGATCTGGTGACAATACGGCTTGAAACCCTCCTGAACACCATACATTTGAAAGAATTTAAAAGTCTCAGGTTTTTTGCCAAGATTGAGGATTCCATGCTGACCTTCGTCAAAATATGCGACTGGTACGAGTTCAATGTCATCAGGGATGTTGTTGAAGGCGAGTTCTGCGCCTTGGTTGTCAATCATCAGTTCTCCATTGAGAGAAAATGAGATAAATCCTTCATCAAAATCGAGTAGACAGCCGATGACATCGCCGACTCTCCATCGTTTACCGTACGCTTCTTGGCCGTTATGCCATTTGGCCGCGTTGAAACCATCGAAAGTGTAGCTCAAGTCGTCCAAGCCAATTGGCTGGTCAGCTTTCACTTCAGGGGCTGCCCAACCAACTCTCATCTCGCCATCGGTTTGGACTTCGAATTCGAAGTACCACTTGCCAGATCGAACAGCATAAGCAGACTCGATGCGGAACATTCGAAAGCGAGGATTGTCGCTGTGCTCGTCGTCTTTCTTCGTTAAAGTTGTCATCCGCTCATCTGGAGCTTCGATTGCATATCCGTAGCCCATCAAAGTAATAACGAGCTCACGGATTGAGTTCTTGTTAGTTTGTTTTGCATTTTCATCAAGCAAGGCGAATGGCACAAGTCGAAAGTTGCGTTTGTTTTTGACATCAAGTTCGAAACCGTAAGTCCATCCTTGTTTGATTCGTTCGGATGCCCAGACATTGTGGGAATTTGTCGCGAGTAGTTCCACAAGCTGCTCCATTTTGTCGCTTTGTCGAACGTGAGTCAAGTCCAGTGGCGCCGGTTTGTAACCATTTGTCATCAAATACTGTCTTGGAAGCTTGAGCTTGCGTAATTTGTACTCAGCATCTTCATCAGCAAGGCCGACGTGATAGCCGAGTGCGATGATGGTTCGCAAGTTTTGCTCGACCATGGTCATGTTGAAAGATCTCAAGCTTTCTGGAAGACGCTCGAATGAAGTAAGAGACGGATTTTGCTTCTTTTGATCATCTCGTACAAGCGCAAAAGTCCAACCACCCTGGATTCGATTGAAAGCCCAAATTTCATGAAGATTTTCGGCAATTTTGTCGAGCATAGGTTCTAGCGCCTTTGGTAGCTCTGTGTTTTTAGTGTCGATCGGATCCGGCGTATAAACTGCTTGGTCCAACGTTTTTGCCGGTCCATTCAGATTCCAGTTTTCGTTGACTCCATAGTGGCCACGGACTGTTTCGACAGTCAAAGTTCTCTCAGGGAGGAGAGCTTCATGAGCAGGCGCGTATCCTGGTGGTGGCATGAATGTAAATTCACCGTGTTTTCCACCAAGGAGGAATTTGACAACGACACCCGAGCTCATCGAAACGCAGGGAAAGAACATCCCTTCAAGGTTGAATCGCTCGAACATACCGTGAACGGGCTTTCCGTTCTTTCGGAAAGACATTGACGGCGCTGATAAATCAAGACAGCAAGAGATGATATCCCCTTTCTTGAAGAGCTCGACTTTGTCTTGTTTGATGTATTTCGATCGATGTCCAGTCCATAGGCTCAATCCGTCGAAACCGAAAGAGTACAGGTCATCTCCAACGCCGCATGTTCCAAATCCATCTCCAGCGCCGGGATAGGCAGCGAAGCCAGAGGTATTTGCCCAACCAACTCGAAGATGAGTAGCTTGGTTCAGAGAACATTCGTCCATTTGCATTACCAAAACTTCAAAATACCACTTTCGGTACTGAGCTGAGCGCTCTCCATAGCCAACGAATAAGTTCGGTCGAATTGAAACGATTTGGTTGACCATTGTTGTTTGGAGAAGGAGATTTCGATCGGAAAGAAGATGATTGCAAATGAGATTTTGATTGGAACGAACAGCGATGTTGTTACACACACATAGCGATTGAAGAACGTCGAGGACAAGCGGGTTTCGTCCGTGACGCTCGAGAAGGGAAATGATGGACACAATGTGGCGCTCTTTGACCATGTTGAGAACTTCTGTCGAATCATCGAGGACCGCTGAAAGAACTGCGAGAATACCAGCTGAAGCGTTTTGTCTGGCATCAAGCTGACCAATGAGCCAGTCGAGATTTTTTGAGAACTTTGCGCAGTTTGCTCGATTTTTGCGGATGATTCCGGCGAGAAGTTTGTAAACATTGACCAAAAGAAGTTCAAGTCGCTCGACTTGATCTTTGTGCAGGTACTGCAGATGCTGCGTGGCTGTGTAAACGGTCAGCTTATCAATAACTTTCAAGAGCAAATCAACGATGCCTTCCGCTTGAAATAGATCCTGTTGGCATCTTTGGAGTCGTTCGATTTGCTGCTTTTCTTCGTCAGTTTCTCCCTCGTCGGGGTTGAAGTAAGCCAAGCAGTCTTGGATCAGAAGTTCCATATCGTCCAATGGCACCTCTAGATTAGCCTTTCCTTTTGGAACAAAATGAACGGCGTTGGCGGCGGTTTTGAGGTCCTTGATCTTTTGGAAATTCTTGATCATGTGTGTCAAGAACATTTTGATCGTTGTGACAGTCGTCAGCATGACCATGGCTGTCTTCGCTTCATTGCTTTGAGATCTTCCAACAGCGAATGCATCGTCCATGTGACCTTCTGGATGAGCAATCGCTCGACGAATTTGCTTGCCAATCTTCGCCGAGTTTTCCTGGGCCTGGTAGGTGACCCAGAGTCCACTGGAACAGTGCTGAAGGACGACTAGCGATTCGGAGTATTTAATCTCTTCCGTGCCCATCGATTCAGGTTCATATTCGCCTGTCACTTCGATCTTGTCCTTGTTCTGACGGAAACAGAAAATTGACGCTTCATCTGTCCAATCATGCTCATCCTTTTCCGCAATAAAGAGATTTCTGTCCGCTCGCATCATCAAAAACTTTCCAGTTGTCATGTGTCTCAGCCTGAATTGTTGGCCAAAATGAAGATGGCTTCCGAACCACTTGATCTTGGTAAGTTCAACACGCCAAAGTGAGCGCGCTCGGATAGACACCTTGCCTCCTTCGTAATAGATCGCAGTCCGGATTGGGTCAATGTTGACATCGTTGACATCCAAATTACACAAGCAGTCGTCCGAATTTCGACCGTGAAAGAGCCTCAGTACATCGCCTCCACAAACGAATCCCTGCTTCACTTCGCTCTGAATCGGGCCGATCATCCAAAGAGATCGCTGGAAACTCGCATGGGCAAGGTAGTTTTCTAGTTTTACTTCTCGGTTCATTTTCTCGACCTCGCCGGTCTCGTTGCCATGCTCGTCGGTGATGGGAATCTCGTCTTCGATGACTTTAACGTCATTTTTGTTGCTCAAGTGGAGATATCGCTCGGAAGAAACGGAGGATAAAATGATGTCATCGGAGACCCGGACTTTTTCACCCTCAGATCTGTTCTTCGACGCGCAAGAAACAGTCCACCAAGCAGCTTCGTCATTCGGATTGTCGCCCAGGCCCACGTCGAAAGCCAATTTATCCGTTGTACATTGACTCGTCGGCAGGACGCACAAATAAAGCCCAGATGTTTGATGCAACAGCTGCACAGCATTTCCGTACAGAAGAGTTTTTGCGTGGGAGGATCCACTTTTTGATGTCTAAAACGAGTTCAATAATGAGGAACAGGGCTGCTTGAATTTTTTGTTAATGGAAGTTGAACGAAGATTTAGGCGTTCCTAAATCGAAATTCAGATTCTGATCGAAGCGAGAATCTGATAGCGAAAAATGGTAACTTACATCGTACTTAGCTAACAAGGGGTCAATTAGATGACAGAAAGCATTTTTATAGCGCTAGTTATTTGTAAAAAATGTTCCTAAAATGCTCTTGAAATGCGTTTCATATCATTTAATTGACCCAAGCTATGAGCTTGAGCTCTTCAGTAAGCGGCGTTTGATAATTGATCTTTTTCTGACCTCGCTAAAATATTATTGGAGCATAAAATCGTTAATCCGGGAGGATTAATTATATCGTTTTTACCTTGTGCGGTTTGTTTTCTTTCGCATGGGTCAAGGTTTCGTGAAGCGCGCGGAGTGATAGAGCCTGGTTGATAACAAAAACGCATTCAGGGGTGTTTGGAGGACCGACTTTTTCTCCTTCGACGGGGCTTTTAATGAGGTTTTATGAATTTAAGACTGATTGAATAAAAAAATTTCAAATTAAAAAGCTTTTTTGACCCGGAGCAGAATTAACCTCTTTCCTGAATTGAGTTTTCTCAGCATAGCAAATTCTCGTTCCAAATGACCCAGCTGCTAAGCAGATTTTCGTCGTATCTTGTTTATTCTCATGCGTTTTTGTGCACTAAATAGAATCGGTGAGATCTATTACGATTTCAGTAACGGGAAATTGCTAAATTTGAAGATGTGATCCAATTGCTTTTTGGGAAATCAAACGTTTAATACTTTTAAAAAAGATATTTTTGGCAAAAGATGCACCTGAAAATAGACTTTGTCGTCCGTCCTCAAGAAGATATCATCTTCCTCTAGCTCTGTCATGCTTTTATTGACCCGAAAGCCGCGGGGTTGTGAGTTTTTCTCTCGTTCTGTATATTTGTTTTGATTCTAGTTCTTTTGTAATTTATAGTCTCTACGTTTATCCAAAGTGCGTGTGAAAAGACGAGTGCGAAAACGCTTTGAGGTTCAGAGGCCAGCTCCCTCCTCCAAGATTTTTGTGCAAGAGATGGACAACTGACACGAGAAGAGGCCCCCGCTGGGACGCGGCCTTATCACTGACGCATTTCAAGGTACCCCGCCATGATTTTCAAATGAACAAATGCAAACAGAGAGAAAATGAGAAAACATCAAAAATCTTAAAATGAAACACTTTTTTTCCTCGACTCCGAATGACATTAAATACCAGATATTCAAAATAAATATTATTTAAAATACATGTATTCGTTTAAAATGAAAGGGATAATTATTACTAGTAAAGTCTTCGCTGCATGAGAGAATCACATTTCTAAGTTTTTTTACTGTAACAAAGTACCAAGCATAAAATATGACTATTGAACCTTTGAAATCTTTTGTTTTGCGGAAATTAATAGGCATTTATCTTCAGAGAAAATATAAAATGATCTTCAAAGATTATTAATTAAAAAAAAAAACAAGATTAGTACTCTTAGATTACGTTAAAAAAGGTTGAGTTGTTGAGGTGTTGAGTCGACGTAATATGATGAGTGGCGGTGCTTACCACAAAGCACGTTGTTTCCTTTTAGAATTGTCGTCTAATTACGCCAATTTTGGGCGAAATCTGTTTTGACCACAATGCAGTAACGACACCCCCAGACCTTCAAAAAATGATTATTATCGGATTTGGCGGACGGCCCCTCTCAGCTTTAGAGCAAGCCAAACATAATACCAAATAGACGAGGGACGAGCGAATTAGTCTGTAAATTTTTCCAACGAAAAACAATCACTATCTACCAACGGTGTCAATTTCATGATAATGAACTACCTTTGATACCATTTATTACCATTACATAACGGTTTATTCTAGTTTATTCAAAAACATTAAACAGCGTTTTTACGGTACTTTGAATTTACATTCGAGATAAAAAGACAAAAAGATAAAAAAGGTTTACTTTGAATCGGGATTCTAGTGATTGCCCCAAAGTTATAATTACTTATTCAGAGATAATTAATTAAATCCGACGATAGCATAAATAGCATCATCTTTTCCTTTCATCCGCTTTTGCATGAAAACACCATTTGTGGTGGCTAATTACTGATGATTCCAAAGAACTCAGATTTCTCGTTGTTAAGTTGGTATACCCGTCAATAGAATCATATTGCCAATATGATATTGGCTATTGGCGATATAAATATAGCCTAAATTCAGTAATGAAATATTATTTTTCCCGGGTTTGTTGAACCAAGAAAACCAGTTGACAATAAAAAGTGTTATAATAACAATTTTTTATTATTACCCAAAACATCTTGCATCTTTTCTTATTCAACTTAGAATCGCCGAGGCTAAGCCGGATGAACTTTTTCACCATGTTTTAGAATCTAAAAACACAGGATTTGGCAAGCGCAAATTAAGGAAGCCCAAGTCCCTTCGCCGTACTGTAATTAAGCTTGCGACTGTTGCCCGTGGCATTTAGTAATTTCACCTTGAAGGCGGGGTTTCTGGGGCAAGTGCTCAAGTCTGGAATGCTTGGCAAAGAAGAGCTTGGCAATGTCGTATTTCCGTAGGCGCGAAAGAAGGTTTTCCTTACTACTATCTAGGGAATCGTTTTTTGGCGCTAGTGTGGTGCTGGTGCCGAGGTTGGTGGAACTAGACTGCCCGTGGCGCGTCACTTTGGGCTCCCCTTTCTTGCGCTGGTGGAGTGAACGCTCGCCCCAAAAAGGGCTTCTAAAACGCGCGTAACGCGCCGCTCGCCGCTGTGCCCGCGCCACCAGGATAACGTAAAATCTCGTTACATCATCCTTTTCAGCCTAATCAGAAACACCTGCATCGGATAGATGCACAAAAATACGTCATACTCACAAATCATAAACCTTTTTTGCAAGTAGAAAAGATAAAAAATTGATGATTGAAATTTATTTTTGGGACGCGTTTCGGTCTCAGTGGACCTTCGTCAGCCCTAAGTACAGATTTTAAATGAAAGTTCAAAAACAGGAAAACAGTCTCTCACCTAGAGTGGACAATTTCGAATGAAGGCAGAGATTGAAAACATAAAAACATAATTCGCTTTCGCGGGCAGATGTAATGGAGCGCCAGAAGAAAGCGAATTACAGATGCTCCATTACAGAAATTTAACTTCAGCGAATTTGATCTGCTTATTCAAGCAAGGATCATTCAACTTGATCGAAAACGCTTCACAAAGGACACGGTCTTTGTAGTACGGTTGGTTGGAGATAACAGAAATAAAGTTCTTTTCGAAACAGAATTTGGTTTTGATTAACGCTCTCGATGTAGTAGGCTTGTATTTTGGAGTGTCTGGCTGTCTTCGCTTTCTTCTGGCGCTCCATTACATCTGCCCGCGAAAGCGAATTATGTTTTTATGTTTTCAATCTCTGCCTTCATTCGAAATTGTCCACTCTAGGTGAGAGACTGTTTTTCCTGTTTTTGAACTTTCATTTAAAATCTGTACTTAGGGCTGACGAAGGTCCACTGAGACCGAAACGCGTCCCAAAATAAATTTCAATCATCATTCATGAGAGGTCAACACCGACAAAGATAAAAAATTGTTATTTTTTCCAATTTTTAATGGCATCGAGTAAGATTTCCGGAAAATATTTGTATATCAATGTCGAAAAATACATCAACAATCGAAAGAATAAAATTTTACTGGGTCAAGAGTAGAACTTGATTGTTTTAGTATTCGCTCTATCAAACGGTAATCCCCAGAATTGACCGTGAGCAAATAACCACTATCAAGTAATTATCACAACTTGTCCATACAATGTTCGTTCTATTTGGACAAGAAGATTAATCAAGTTCATATTTTTGTCTATTTTTTGTTTCAAACAAAAGAGAGATGAATTGAGAAAGATTCAATTACTAACAATTTTTAATTTGTTTCTGTCAATACAATATTTATTGATTGAAAATAATTGAATGAGAAGGGTGATGTCAAAAATATTTACAATGTCATGACAGTGATAACATTAAAAACATAAATTTGATGAGGTCGAAAATTGTGTTGCGACAAAATATTTTTCTGTTAGTATTCGGTACATAATGTACTTGATCCTCCTGCGTTGGATAAGTAAAAGAGAATCAGTTTCTTTTTACTGCCAAGTTTATTCAGAAAACAAAATCCGTTCTCTTTCAAGTTGTCTATTCCGGCTAGCCCTGTTTATTGGCGGAATGCATTAAGTTGGATAATTATTTATTTTTCCTTTTGATTAATTCGGTTACTCGAGAGGATATTTGTTATTCTTTCGGCTAAGAACAAAGTATTTCATAATCCCTAAAGTCTCGGGCCCAGACTATTTTTTCCATCCCCCAAAAGCATGAGCCGCTGAGAAGAAGCTCGGATATTATCGAATTATTACTTTTTGCGATCTTTCTTTTTTGAAGAATATTTTCGTAAACAATCTAAAGTTGAGAAAAAGGATGTTTTCCGTGTTTAGTCCAAGCTAAAAAGCCCAACTTCATGCTATTTCCTGGGTCGCAGGCAATATTTCTCCAAAAACACCGTTACGAACTATCTTTCTCAACGGAAGAAAAACGCTAGTTGGAGTTAGGAACTAGGGGGAATCGAGACAAGAAAGAATAACAATGTTTTATGCGGAAGAACTCTTGGATTTTAGGTCCAGGAGTTCATACATATGAATTCTAAGAAATAATTTTTATTGAAAAAAATTCCGGATCTTCGGTATTCTTCGTATTTTCCGGACAATAAATCGGAACAATGTGTTGATAAGAAGGTCATTATATTTTTGAATGCCATCGATCATGTTTACAGGTCGTCACGGGCCAGTAACTCCAGCGGAAGGCAAAATCAGAGGACGAAGGACGAAACAGGTGTTATTTTTATCTACTGCGACTAAAAAAGATGTGCAGGGACCGTAAAGTCGGAGGCTCCTAATCTTTTTTTCGAGATGCGGCCGATTGATTCCAATCATGAGCCACGTGGTGGCGTATTTTTCCCGAATATAAGAACCGATGCGATTGGATCTTCTGTTAAATCGTATCCGAGAAATTCCGATTTTTGGGCGAAAGAGCGGTGCTATTTTGATTCTACGCGCTAGAACATTCCTCGCTCTTTCTATCTAGACGCTATCGTGAGGAAGGGACCGCACCCGGTGGAGTACAGTACTTGGTGCTACTACACCACCGAGCCAGGGAGAGAGAGAGCTCAAGGTAGATTTTGGCGACGGGCAGTGAACAGCACCACCAATCCTCTCCCCGCGGTGCTTACGTTTAGCGCACGGGCTCAACGAACGCCATTTCCCGTAAAATCATCCAGAAAAAAAAAAACGAAAATTCCATAAGGAATATTGAACAAGAGAGACGAAACCCGAAGAAGAGGGTTGAATAGAGAGTAGAAGGGAGAAATTACACAGACAATGAGGGTTGCCCTCGCCCTAGCTGCTACAGTCTCGGTAAAAATTATATAAGAAAATATATTTAAATTAGCAAAAATAAATCAAATTTCAGAATTGAACATCTGTTTTTTTAATTAAAAGCTTGAATTAAAATTATCATTTTTAATTTTTTTCTCTAAATAGTAACTTTCCTGCATCTATGCAATCACTAAGACGCATATTTTAAATACGATAAATGATGTTAAACTTTATTTAAGTTCGTAAATATTTCTTAAAATTTCCATTCATTTGATGATTCAACATTTTTGGCGTGTACCCAAAAACAATGTCCATCGTATCTTTTTTTCCCTTTTTCATGCTCACAAAGTTGAACTATCAATGTCGGTCATGGTTTTTTTCGAAATGAAAATATTTATAATTAGGCGGCTTCTCCCCCTAAACAAAAATCGTAATTGTTTCGCTTTCAGGCGCAGCTCGACTGGTCGGATGACCTGCGCGAGATCCACGCTATCGGAATCCAGAACCAGTGGCTCGTTGAAAAGCTTGCTCCTTCCGCTCTCTTCGGTCGACATGAGCGACGATTGAGGAGGCAGGCTGATGATTGCCAGGACAACCACCCTCGATGCGACGAGTACGCCGAATATTGCGACAATGTCCAATTCGCCACTACTTGCGCCGCTTCCTGCAATACTTGCGATACATCCTCCTCCGAACCTGGTAAGTACCCCATTAACTACCGTTCCCCATGGTGTGCAGAGTGATTTCAAGCCTTGACGAGTATGTTACGTGAAGTTGACTACCCATACTCATTCGAATTTGAATTTGAGCTTCCTTCCTTTTTCGTTTTTACGCAAATCTTTTTAATCTTCTCAGAAATGAATGCAATGCGCGAAGGGCCATTGCAATTTTCTGTGCCAGAATGTGAAGGCCGCAAGGATTGTTTCAGAACATGTTCTTTTGGTTTTATAAAGCAATAGTTTTAAAAATTACTTCCAAAGGCATAAAATGTACCCGAAAGCTTTAAAGAGTTAAAATACTAGATTCTAAAAAGAATCTCCTTAGAAGAATGATCTTTTCGAACATGTTTGTAAACAGTTTGGTTTTTGTGTTTTATATTGTTATGAAACGATGAACAGTCATGTTTCCGATCGCCGCCAGACTGCTGGCTGGAAGATCCGGGGTGTATGTTCGTCTCGTGGAGGAGAGACGATGCCACTGGGCAGATTTACACTTTCGAAGGAACGGGTTTGAATCGGGCAGGCGAGGCTTATCCGTCCGTGCCCGATGCAAAACCGACGAATAGTCTCCGGCAATATCGGACAAATGGACTCCGGCTGGGTCGGCTTCGGCTTCAGTCTAGACGAGCGCATGGGCAACGACGACCTTTACTTTTGCCAGCGGGTTGCTAGTTCGCCGCGCAAACGAGCACCTTAGATTCTTATTTTTCTGATTTCGTAATTTAAAACCACAAAATTGGCACCCGTTCCATAGCGAGCACTTTAACGGCATGAGTCGCTTCAAATCGGCGATGTCCTACGGCCGAGCGCCGCCAAAAATGCTCCCCATGACGCATATTATCTCACATGCTGCCGACTTTAAACGTGGCGTTTTGCAGTGCCGCTTTCAGCCAGGGTTCAAAATCTATCTTGAAAATTTGCCAAAAACTCTATCTCAAAATAGTTTCTTAGCTAAATTGGCAATCTTGAGCTCTAGAATAGCGAAAGGCGGCAATAGAAAAGTCCATCGGAAAAGATGGCGCGATGATGTTCGATTTGAATCAGGATAATTTTTATCTCCTGGTCGCGTGGGGATCTATTGGCGGCGGTGGAATCCCACTCCATCATAAAGGAAGGACCTTGACTTCCAAGCCCGTTGATTTCGCCTATCCACCAACGGCGATTGAAATTATGGATGGAAAAGCCTCGATCGACCATTTGACTCCCGGAAAGAAACGAGACTCGCAGCCTCCATCAATTGGTTTTTCGTTCCCAAGTCCAGTAAAGGATTACTCCAACGAAGTGGATCTCGCGCAGCAGAAAATGATCGACGACATGAAACAATCTCCTCTTTTCAAATATCTCCAAGAGAGTAAATGAACCAAGACATTTTTTGGGTGATAAAAACAGGCTCAAAATGCATTGAAAACTCGAACACACCATGAGCGAACGGAACGATTTCTCCGTTCGCGAACGTCCCCTCTCAACTAACTCTTCTAGAGCCCGCCAGTAGTGATGCCAGCGGTTGTGAAGATCAACTCGGCTATTGCGAGCAGATGAAGGGCTTCTGTGGGAATCCGAACTATGAAGGAGTGCGATTGTACTGCCGAAAAACGTGCGATTCTTGCGGAGAAGCGATCGAAGTTGGAACCGATGGAGCCAGCGCCGATGCCGATAGTGTTGTCCAAAGTAAATTAACTTAAACTCGTGAAAACGCGCGGTTCTAACGCAATTATTAAGCCTGCGAAGACGAGGACTTTTGTGTCAACTTTCCATACTGCCCCGACTCAGAGATCCTCCGAGAGAGGATCAAGGCGAGCTGTCCTGTCACGTGCAAAGTGGCCGCTTGTCAAGCTTACTGGACAACTGACGCAACCGAAGCGCCCTTCAAAGAAGCTCCACCAGCCGGTACACTTTAGAATTCAGACCCCTCGTTTAGACAAAATTGACGATTTTCATGCATTTTGAGCCACTCAAATTTAGAAAGTGGTGTTGCCTTAATTTAAAATTAAACAAGGTGCATAAAAAGGTGAAATCGATAGTTTATTACAAGAATAAAAAAATGAGAAAATGCCGCAACCGCAAGTGACAAAAAGTCTGTGGTCGAGCGAAAATGTTAAAAAATTCTAGTTCTCTCTTATCTTTCAATTTTTTTCTTATCAAAGGGGCAAGTTCTCAGGGCCGTTTTTAGATGCCTGCGTTGACGCTTCAATGGCTTGTTCTGGTGTGACTGAGCTTTGCCAGAAAGATGACTTCAGGGATACTCTTGAAACTTATTGTAAACAGACTTGTGGCTTCTGCAGTGCAGATGCTGTTGCTGCCGGTGATGGCGATGAAGCTTCAGGCGCATGTGAGAACAAATATCCCAACTGTGATCAGCTTCAATTTATGTGCGAAGAGGAACAGTACAAGGGCCCGTAAGTATCATTAAAATAATTTTCTTGTGTTTCTTCATTTTCCTTCATCTCAATGTTCTATAACTCGATCAATTTAGCTTCATCAAAATGTGTCCAATCACTTGCGGTGTTTGCGAGGGCGACGGTTCTGCTCCAGCGGCAACGTCCGAACCAGCTGGTCCAACAAAATGCGAAGATACCGCTGAGCACTGTGGCAGTTTATCTTCATACTGTGACAAGCCAGAAACAAAGGACATGATGGCTCAGCAATGTGCTCTTACTTGCGGTTTCTGTCAAGGTAAAACAATCCCGCTACTGTAGTCATCCTGTTACATGAACTCTCTTTAGCCGAAGGAAGCGAGAACGATCCTGCTGCGGCTGCTACCGAAGCTCCGGCCCAAGAACAAACACCGGAGGATGCATGTGTTGATACTCCGGGCACTGACTGCCAGAAGTACCTTCTTTACTGCGACAACACCAATACTCAGATCCCCAAGGTCTGCAAGAAATCCTGTGGCCACTGCGGAGCCGATGCTCCAGCCAAACAAGCAACGACTACGCAAAAACCTGCAACGACCACAACAGCTGCCCCAACAACGACAAAAGCCCCCACTACAAAAGCTAGCACCACCATTGCTACTACTATGGCTGAGTCTGAATGTAAGATATAATCACTTTTATGGTGTTTTAAATATATCTCTAAGGCGCTCCTGTCAAAGACAAAAGCACAAAATGCTCGTCATACAAGAAGTTCTGCCAGAACCCCAAATACAAAGCCAAGCTCGCATCGCAATGCCCGGCAACGTGCAACGTCTGTGTCAAGTCAAAACCAGAAGCCAAAGCCCCAGCTTCAACTGGCGCCGTGTGCAAGGATAATGTTCCCGCTCAATGTCCAAAAATGAAACGATACTGTGGCTCCGCCAAGTACGAAAAGGTTCTCAAGCAAAAATGCAGCCTCACTTGTGGATTCTGCACTGCTGACGGTTCTGCTCCAACTCAAGCTCCTGCCGCGTCCGGTTAGTTTGAATTTCATTTTTCAAATCGTAAAATGACTTTTCAGAAAAATTCGGAAAATGGTCAGTTAGCTGGTCCAAGTGCAACAGTAAATGCAAGCAGTACAAAGCCCGAAAGTGCCTGCAAGCTCCTTGCCCGAAGACCCAGCTCTATCAGTTCCGAGATTGCCCGGCTGAGGAAAACCAGAACATCCCCGCGTGCAGTAGCTCGGGCGCCGCTAAGCCAGGTGAGCGCAAACCACATATAAAAACAAGCCCACATTTTTTAAATCAACATCTGGAATATAAATTCATGCTTCTGTTTCAATATTCTAGTAACCATCATACTCATGCTCCCCCCACAACATTAATCCCACTTCACCCTTGCCAAAAGGTCACCTGAACCTTCGCGTGACATTTTGTGATTAAAAAAACTTCATCCATAACTCACTACCACTCATAATTGGTGTGCCCGACGTTAATTCTTGAACTAACTCGGTGTTCAGCTGCGAAAACGTGCTCGAACCGCGCTGGTGCCAACTTTTGCAGTAAGCACTCTGCAAAATGCACGTCGAAAAAACCGAAAGAGCTTCAAGTAATGAAGCAAATGTGCCAGAAAGAATGCGCAATTTGCACCTAACCAACTCACCCGAACTCGAACCGGAACTCCTACCACAACAATAACAAAACTCTCCCTGGAAAACCGGACCTCAAAAAAGCGTACTAACTTCTTAGATCATTTCTGTAATAACCCGCAGTCTTATTATTATCATTCAATTTCCGAAACGTTCCTTCGTACTGTACAAAAGCATTCAGTATCTATTGCTACTTGAACTAGCCTCTAAGTTCGCGAGTGATTTTGGCGAAAACTTTTGGCGGTTAATTTTGATTCTCAAGAACCTCAGAACCCGTGAGAACACAACTAGTGACCGCTAGCTCGCGCCCTTTGACCTCGCTTGGTGACCTATTAAAATATTGAAACAGCATGCATTAACTATTCCGTCTAAATAAAATAAAACGGTTACAACAATCACATGACTCGTTTTTCTTGTTGTAGAAAACACGCATGAGCTTAACGTGTTCACTTAATTTTAAATTGACCCTTTTGTTACGCAAAATAAATTAAGACGAGAACTATTTTGCCAACATAAAAAAACACTGTTTCCATTTAGCTGTTTGCCGAGATAAGTCCCCACAGTGCAAAAAATACGCTTCGAAATGTGGCAACGCTCAAATTTTGAAAACTTGCCCGGCTACATGTGGCAAATGCGGCGAAGGAGAACGAAAAAGACGTCGACGACGATCGATCTTTGACATTTTGAAGCCAAAAAAGACATCTGAAACGTGCTTCGATAAAATTGCCTGTCAGCAGTTTGTCCGACAGGGTTTCTGCAAAAGCTCTTCCGCTCTTATTTTGCGAACGATGCAAAGTAGCTGCGCCAAGGCTTGCGGCTTCTGCAAGCCCAAGCCCGCATGTATTTGGAATTCGTGGATGTCTTGGACCAGTTGTTCGCGTTCTTGCGGGACTGGGGCGCAAACTAGGTCTAGGAAAATGATCGGATCTGGTTGCATCGGATCACCGATTGAAACTCGACAGTGTAATATGCAGAGTTGTCCTACTCCTCCTCCAACTACTACCAAGCCGGCGCCAACGCCAAACAATAAGTACCAAGGAGAATGCAAAGATGAAGAAACCTGGTGCTCTGGAATTGCCAAATCTCAATGCAGATCATCAATTCAAGTCGCTGCTCGTTGTAGACAATCGTGTGGACTTTGCATTGCCGCTATTTCTGCCCCTACCGTCGGCGGTGGCAAATGGCAGCCATGGACCGCATGGACTGCTTGTTCAGGATCTTGCAAAGGTGGATTCAAAAAAACTCGTGAAAGACGTTGTGGTGAGTACGGTCGAAAATGCGATGGAAGCAGCTCGGAAACAATTCCATGCTCGATCGGCTTTGACTGCTACGTTGATGAGTTCTTCAAATGCGCGGATAAGTCGGACAATTGTAATGAATACGCGCTGGAAGGTCGATGCTTTGATAATCAGTACAGAGATTGGATGAATAACAACTGCGAGGCGAGCTGTAGGCTTTGTATGGGACTTAATATTCAATGGAGTGAGTGGAGTAAGTGTGAAGTACCCGGTGGTGTTTGTGGAAACGGCAAGAGAAAGCGCAGCCACGATACGACCACGATGGTTGAGAATTGTAACATTCCATGCAAGGACAAATCAGCCTCTTCCAGAGCCGACTGTAAAGACAAACATCCTTATTGCCCTAATCTAACAACTCACTGCGAGAGCAAATCCGTCCAGAGCGCTTGTCAGTTCACGTGCAATTCATGTCCCGCCGATATCCCAGTTGATAACACTTGTGTCGACAAGAATTCCTATGTTTGCTCTCAAAGCGCTAATTGCAAGAAGGAAGAGTTCCAGTATCTCTGCCCTAAGACGTGCAATACCTGCATGAAAGCTGCGAAGGAATCCGTCGATAACTCATCACTTGATGCTGATAGCACCAGAAGCAATTGTAAAGATCTTTCACCAGCTTGTAAAGGCGCTGGAATCAAAGCTCAATGCACCAACAATCTCTGGCTGAAGAAAAATTGCAGAGAAACATGCGGAACTTGTGGAATGTCTGAAGAAGCCATGACTACGAAGGCTCCAATGACAACGATGTCTCCCATTTGTATGGACAAATCTAGGGAATGTCCAAGGTGGAAGTCAATGTGCCAGACACAAAGGGAGATTCTCGAGACCAAATGCCCTGTTACTTGTGGAGTTTGCGTTCCAGAGACTACCAAAGCCCCCCTAACGACTACAACAACCACAAAAGTTGCAACTTCGCCAAAAACGATGAACTGTCTCGACGGACCCTTGTGCTCTCATTACGCAGGAAATTGGGAAATTAACTGTCGGGACTCTCAGGATTTCCGAGACACCTGTCCAACCTTGTGCAAGATTGATGTCTGCGCAGAGTACTGGGATGAAGATCTTATTCCTGAAAACACTGACGAGCTTGAAAAGAGATGGCGAGCTTGGGAAGAGTGGGGCGCCTGCTCGGTCTCTTGCGGTGGTGGAGAAAGAACACGATATAGAACTTGTAAAGCACCCGTTTATAAGCCCTGTACATACGGCTCTGATAGCGATACTGGGCTTTGCAATAAGATCTCATGTACGACTACGCAAGCGGTCATGACTACTCCCAAACCCACTGTTTGCGAGGATCAGCCATTCTGCGATGGAATGGGTGTGAACTTCTGCTCCGACCCGAACATCGCATCAGGCTGTCCAAAAATGTGCGACAACTGTCAACCCTACTATGGTGAATGGGGCGAGTGGAGCACCTGCACTGCCACTTGTCGTGGTAGCGGTTCACGTACCCGCTCACGTGAATGCATTCAAGTTAATGAAGACAAACCGGGCAAATGCGAAGGTGACGCTTCTGAAACTGACGATTGTCCCGACATTGAAATTTGCTTCTACGAGTGGACAAAATGGACTGAGTGCGACGCTGATTGCGGAAATAACTCAACTCAGACCCGACAACGTGTTTGCAACGAGCCAGAGGACTGTGAGTGGGTGGAAAAGGAGTCCCAGGAATGTGCCGGCGCCTGCGTTTTTAATGAATGGTCAGAATGGAGCGATTGCTCGGCTACCTGTGGAAACGCAACTGCGACGCGCTCTCGCGATTGCCCAGTAGAAGGTGCTTGCGGTGAGAAATCAAGTGAAACGATGGATTGCGAGCTTGATGAGTGCGCTGAGTATCTTGACTGGTCAGAATGGTCTGAGTGCTCCGTTTCATGTGGTGGTGGAGAAATGCGACGAGAGCGAGAATGTTCGATTGAAGGAGAATGCGCAAGTCTTGGTGCTCCAAGCGGAGTTATGGCTTGTAATGAAGATGCTTGCCCTGTTGTTGCTGAATGGGGCGAGTGGAGCAGTTACTCACCTTGCTCAGAAAGGTTCGAAATCGACGAGTTTATTTGTTGCTATAATCAATTTTAGTTGCGGAGTCTCATTCAAGACCAGATCGCATGAATGTGTCAATGGGGCCATTGGCTCTGACGGGTGTCCTCTGGACGATTATGTAGAAGTCTCAGCATGTCTTTACGTAAGTAGCCCAATTTGATCAAAGTGGTAATCGCCAACGTGACGATAGCTTATTTCGACTTATAATTGATTCCGGTGGTTTAGACGCCGTGCGAAACGTGGTCCGAGTGGTCCGCCTGTAGCGCCGAATGTGGCCAAGGACATCGTGAACGATCTCGCGGCGAAGACGTCGAAACCATAAATTGTTACGCTGGGCTGTGCAGCGACGTCGGCGAGTGGACCGAGTGGGAGATTAGGGAAAACAACTGTGAAATCACTTGTGGCGGCTACAAACTCCGGGAACGACAGTGTATCAATGGAATCCCCTCAGAAGGTGGCTGCCAAGGCCCTTCCTCGGAAACGATCGAGTGCGAGCCATGCGGTGAGTGGAACGTCTGGACCAGCTGGTCAGAATGCAACAAATCCTGCCACACTGACGGCGTCAAGGGAATCAGAAGCAGATCTAGAAAGTGCATGGGTGGACGATGCAAGGCCGGAGATGCTGAAGAAATCATCAGCTGTGTCACACCTGCGGTAACAAATCGTTTTCGATCAAAACGAAGCTTTGATTATTTTTCATAAAAGCAAAGAAAATAAAATTACATTCATTTAGTGTGACTTTAAACCAACTCTGAGAACGACTACGGAATGGGAAACGACTTCGACCAGCACTCAAACGACTTTCCAGATCACTACAACTGAAGCTGTTCCTGTAACGACGACGACCACCACCGTAGAATCAACAACGACAGCTGAAAACACCGATACAACAGTGCTCGAAGCGGAACTTGACCGTCTCTTCGATAGCATTACTTTTGGGCAACCAGATTGCGATGTCGTGGAATTATCAGAAGAGCCAACTAGTTTCATCTCTAGCAGCTTCAGACAAACTGAAGAAGGAAAACAGTCGTTCCATGCGACAGAAGCATTATCAAGTGGTTGGTGCGCCGAAGCAAGTGACTCGGATCAATGGCTCGTTATCGATTACTCCTCAGATGTCGACATCGTTGGTGTCAAATTTAACATCGTCAATGAAAATCTTACGAATCCATTCGACTCAGAAACTCAATCAATGCGATACATGACTAAAAGCGTCAAGATTGAATACAACCAAGACGGACAATGGACTCCAGTTCAGTCAGTCGATTCTGATACTATTTCAGTTTTCAGTGATCAGCACATGGCCGATCCATTTGGAAAACCATCAGTTGAAAGGTACACCGTCCATCTTTTGCTTCCTTTATTTATCCATATTTTAAAGACTTTGGACCAAAAAAATCACTACTGATCGAATCCGCATCAGCATTGTTTCCGTTTACGGGCGAACTGCCTGTTTGAACTTCCGAGTCCTTACTTGCGATGAAGCTCCAGCAATCGAAGCTAATTTTGGCTTGCCACCATTCGCCATGGGAGCAAATCCCTTCGCCGGTCCGTTGAGCGAAAACACTTTTAGTGCCCCAAGCTTCGCCACTGAAGACTCAGATAATGTTCTCTCCGATCTTGGATCTATCGAATTAGATGGATCTGGAGATGAGTTTTAATTTTTGATAAACCTGAATATTCAAAGAACAGAAGACCTCTAACAAAGGTAAATGTTCTCTCCTGGAGCGTTTATTCAGCCCTGTTTTCTAGGAATACTCCAATTGTTACATAACAAAGTCCTCCGACTAACTGCCTTACCAACCTCTTTCCATTTCTAATCTCACGAAAAAGTCGAAGCCGAAAAATTAATGTTCTTCAGTTCATATTTAAAATTTGTACAGATTGCTGCTTGAGTCGTTTAATAAATATGCTCTTTGATGTTAAAAATAATTATGATTTTATTTGTCAGGGGGAATATCAGCCTGACGTTGTCAGGTCTTTATGATTTCCGAAGAAGACGTGTCAGGATGTCCTTTTGAATAAGCAGTTTCTTTTCGATTTTCCGCGGATCGAGGTGAGATGAGATAAAACCAAAGTAAATTAAGTAACAGGCTAAGGGAAATGAGTATAATTGGAACAATATTGAGCTCTGGAGTGAGTTCTCTCACAAATTTGAAGATAAAGTGTCCGCCAACGAGAGTCCCGATATGCTCGGCATGATGAATTATTGTATTGACGAGCCCCTAAATAGTTTATAATGGTCGTCACTTCCAACCTTTCGGGATCCCGAATGTTTCGGGATTTCCCGAATCTTTCGGGATTACTCCCGAATCTTTCGGGAATTCCCGAACCTTTCGGGATCGCCCGAATCATTCGGGAATTTCGGTTATAAAAAAAGGGTATAAATGCCGAATTCGGGCATTTTACTTATCAAAAAGATAACTCTAGCTGCCTTCGTCAAATTCGATGGTCTAAGAAGGCCATACCTTGTTTCAATTGTGAATTTGCAGTCAAAAAGAATGTGTGGGCTCCGCGCCTGTCTTATAGAGAACTTCATGAGTTATAAATCCAATTATTCGTGTAAATTATTTTTTCCTTCGTGCCTTCATTTGCTTCAATAAAGATGTACTTAGACGTTACTATTTTGCTTAAGATATTTTCTCGGACAGAAATCATTCAAAAATCATCCCCGAAAGGTTAGAAGACAAAAAGGCCCATTTTCACTGCGAATGTTTCGGGAAATCCCGAAACATTCGGGATCCCGAAAGGTTGGAAGATTCAACCGTTTATAATATTCATATAAGATTCAAATTTCTCACTAAAACTGCATTGTCATCATCCAAATCATAGAAAAATATCTTCGAAACCGAGAAAAATATTTCTCTGTGGGATTTTTCCTTTCGAAAAAGCAAATCAATAACGCATGAAGAGCAAGAGGAAGACCAAAACCAACAAATATTCCTTTGAGTCCCCAAATTTCATCGAGTTCGTTCAAAATGAATATCATAATATATGCCCTTGTAAAAATTTGCAGGACGAACTGAAAGCATTTGTAACAAATTGATTGTTAGAATAGATAATTTACCATGATAAAAATAAATCCAACTCTTAATGCATTTACTTTATTGTCGTACTGCAAGATTTTTTTGTGCGAGGTTACCGACCATGAGAAAGAAATCAAGGATATGTACATCGAGATAATTGGAAGTAAAACATTTCCGATTTTGCCTTCTCTAATCTCATCACAGAATATATTTTCTTTTTCTATAATTTCTGTTCGTCGACAAACATTAAGGATGTGAAATTGAAGAAAAACCTTTGATGGAATGATTAGAAATTTTACTCAAATTAAACAACCTGAGGAGCGGCTTGCAAAGCAGCTTCAATGAATCTTATTTTCATAACTTCTTTAAAAATTGCAATATTATTCTTTGCATCGTTATTTTTCCACATCTGATAAGCAGGACCCAACAGAAAAAGGTGGAGAATAATGACCAGGAGTGATTTTCGCTCTTCATCTGATAAATTAGTAGAGTTAAATGATGTCCAAGCTGATAGAATGCCAGCGAAAAGCACAATAGAAATTGTTAACAGTCCCCAAAAATAGTTCTCCGTCGTAACATATTTGACTCCCAGCAAAATATCGGACCTTGTTAATTGAAAATTATACCATATTTTCAAATTGTTTTATTTACCCGATGTCGGAACAATAGAGACCAATTGTCGACAATATTTTGATCAAAGTAATTGTTTGTCGAAATTTGTATCCGCAACTTAGAGTCACTGTCATAAATAACGCGAAAATGAAAATAATTGTAATCATTGGTCCAAGAACAAAAGTGTTCGTTTGCGACAGAGCAAGCTCTTGCCAAATCGTTCGATTAATAATCAATGCCGGTAATTGTTCATTAACAAGGTCAGTATCATCTTCTTCATTTCCTCCAACAGGGTTCCGCAAGCCGGGCATAGTTTTATAAGCATCAGAGTAATCATCGTAGTCGTCACTCATTTTTAGCTTTGAAATTTTTAATTAAAATATCAATCTTTTCTCTATTTTTTCTTAATAAAACTCCGAAATCTTAATGATCTTCTGACTTGAAATGTTCGTAATTTTTAACGATCAAGGCCCTCTTTTATTATGTTCACAAGCAAGGCGTGATGCGCATAAAGAAACTGAAGTGGTGTACTTTATTCATATTTTGGATGTGCCTAATACCATGTTACAAACATTTTTGATTCTTATTAGTATAAGAATGCTGAGTGTCAATAAGTCAAAAATTTGAAAAATGAGTTAGCTTATCACCTAAACGATGCTACGTGATAGTTTTCAACTGCTCAAGGAAAAAGAAGAACCAGTCCACCTTTGGCAATCACGAACGTTGTCGTGAGTGGTGGTCTCCCTGCATTTCATTAGTAGATATTTTTTCGAAAACTTGAATTTGCTTGTATCGCCCCTGAGAATAAATTATACAGAGAAAAAGCACATTGAATACTTGGCCATTGAAAATTGCTCCAGATGGGAAATTATTGCACCAAAGAAGTTAAAATCATAAACTTGCCAGGTAAATAAAGATCAAAAGGCGTTTACGACTTCGAAAGATGACGGAAACAACGAGGAAGGACTCAAAAAGCGTTTCCGAATTCACAGTCGACTGTTGATCTGATTCAAAAATCGATGAGCCAGCATTCCAGGACTCGGGTTCATGTGATTTTCCTGGCAGCCATGTTGTTTTTTTATATTTACAGTTGAAAATAACGTTAGAAGTAAGCGAAAATGAAAAACAACAAGACCGTTTCCTCGGGTCGTATTTGAGAACAAAGCTCTCTGTAGACAGGTGAATTACATTTTTAAGAGCAGATATTCCCTCAACTCCCTTGAACCCTCAAAAAAGGGCACAATCCCGACCTGTGGCCGTGATCCAGCCCCAACGCCCTTCAAGTGCCAACATCAAGGACTTGCAACGTGTTCAAAATACCAATTTTCACTACTTTTTCCCTCGTTTTCGAGTAATCCACTGCCTCTTGAACACATGACCAGATCAATTCTATCGTCGAGGAAAGGACAAAAAACCTCAGCCAAGGTATATATTTTATTCTTTGTATTGCGTTCTTGTGGTTTGCCACCTGCACAGGTGAAAGGCCATCAAGATTGACTGTATAAATCTCCGTATAGCTTACGCATCTTTCAGACTTGGAAACGACGAAGAAGAAACTTGAGTACTTGGAGAAAGAGCTTGCTTGTTCAACACAAGAGCTTTCTTTTTACAGAAACAACTTTGGCAGCGGAAAATCAAGGAGCTCCTTCCCAACTTCTCTCTTGTCGAAGCTCTCTGAATCGAAAGAAGACATGTTCTTCAAAAGACAAAACCATCAGTCAACGATGTCGATGCCCTCTCACTACGAAGCGACGGGGCATTCGTTGAAGAAACAGATCTCGAATCCAGTCCCGATTCAGACAAAAGTTGTTGATCATCGAAAAAATCTGTCTTTTTCGCTGCCTCGAGATGAAATTCCATCGGTAAATTTGAAAGGAAAAGCAATTATTCCATTTTCGCTAGGAAAAACTCGTCAGAATTCCTGTCGTTGCTGCAAGTTGTTCGGATTTATCTTCGACTTTTGATCAATCGACGCTGACAGATTCAAGCTCCGGCGAATCGTATTCCGGATCAGATGACGAAACGCTCAATGGAGATGATGGAATCGAATCCCGCTCTCATTACAGGTTCCTCTATTTCGCAAGAGTCATCCTTTTTTATTCAACTTTCTAGCGTGAGCCCTATCGGAAGTGGCTCTCTCTCGACAATCAGCCGAACCCTTGAGGACGATTGCCAGGCCGTCCCCAGACTCAATGAGAGGAAAAGGCTTTTACTAGCTGCTGCTTGTCAGATTATGTAACATTCTTTTATATTTTCACCTTTTCAATTCAATAAATTCTTTCCCTCTTCAAAGCAATCGCCCAGTGCCAATTCAGGAAATGGAAACGCTTCAAAATAGCCCGGCAATGCAATCGCAGCTCCTGCAAAGACTTGTTCATCTAAAGCATAGCAGGTACTAGAATCAGATATTTCGAGAACCAGAAATTGATTTTTCAGAGAAATGTCGAAAATAACCGGCTATCCTTCTGAATGAAGCAATTTCTTATCTTCATAATTGACTTGCCCAAACATTGCTATTTTTGAAATAAATGCAATTCGTTGAACCATTTTTATTTTGCATGCAAATCATTTGACATGAATAGATCATCTTCAGGTGGGATCAAAATATGTCTAACATTATCCTTATTATGAAAGTTTGATCGATTGAACGGGCAGTATTTTGAGTAATCAAAGCTGCTTGTACGGCTGATTTTCTTCTTCGTAAGAGTTTATTTTTATTAATCATGAAACTGTAAGAGTTCGTATCCATTCTCGCCGGGTAATATCATATTTGGAAAGCGGTGAATTTCTCCATCTTTTCCCAGGGCAATAATTGATCCTCGGTCTTTGATTGGTACCGCTTCGCATAAGGTTTTCTCCCCACAATCTTCGTACTCACTATCAGAATCCTCCGGTTTTTGTTTCTTCTTTTTACGACTTGGAATGACGATTTTAACAGGTTTGCCAACATTCCAACGATTTTTCGCGAAGATATTTTTCTTCTTTTCTTTGGTAAGATCTGCTTGGGCGCGGTCAATGTTGAGTTTAATCGTCGAGCAAAACTGGTCAGAAAGCCTCATTCCAGTGCAAGGGTCTTCGAAGAGATTCAGTTTGAGTGAAGTGTTCTTCTCTTTCAAAAAAGGTTTCGGGTCCACCACAAGCTCCTTGTCTTCGGCAAGACCCAGATGACGATTTCCTCTTTCTCTCAGATTCTTCAATGTAATCACTTTATCAACAAGCAGCTTCTCCATTTCACTTTTAGGTAGGGTTTTCAAAATATCAGGAGGTTTATTCGGAAAAGGAGAAAAGTTTTGCCAACTTTCTCGTTTCCCGCTAAAAGAGAGATTCCCGGCTCACTGATCACGGAATTCCGCTTTTTGCGGTTTTAGCCGAATCTGATATGAAAATTTGAAATAAATCGAACCATTGTTCCAATAACGCGAAACTTCTAAAGAGTTCGCCGCGCAATCGAGGGGACCGTCAAACGCAAATCTCTCAAAATTGAATAAATTTGTGATATTTGAGAACCCTTCCCTCTTTTTGTGACCTTTTTCTCTGAGGATACTTGAGATTTTGTGGGTCTCTGGGGAGGTTAGTGTCTTGGGAAGAGCAAGTCATCTCGATGACGAATTAAAACCGGTTGAATAGAATTCTAAGGAATCGCGTATATCAGCGAGTATTTAAATTGATGAGGAAGTAGAACAAAGTATCTTATTTTTACTATATTTTTCATGAGTTTATTTTCCGTGAAAGAAGAAAGGGATTCGGTTAGCAAATATCAGTGAGCATGAATGAAAAAAAAGAAGAAAAATCGATGATCGAAGTAATTTTTCGGTGATGGAAGATGGGAAGAGCGAATTTTCCACTCTAATCGGATAGGTTCAGGAGTTGCTTGATAATCGGAGGAGTCGAGAGAGAACGGGAGATTTGAACGAGGAGTGACTGCGCCCGCGCGAGGATTTCGTCTGTATCGACATTTCCGCTGAGCCTGTTAACGACCTGGAGAATCTCGCTGAAAAGGGTTACTCAGTGGTTTCGTCTTTGTAAAGTCTTACCAGTAGCCGAACTCTTCGTTCATAATTTCTTTTCGTTTGAGATCCAGGACAGCGGCGGCGATCAAAAGATGGAAATTCGCGCAGGGAGAGCAAAGCCACGCTAGAAAAGGAGATAAGTCGGAAATTGTACCCTTGTCTCTTACCATCCCAAATTGTTGGCAGCGTCTCGTGTGTTGCAAGACGGCGGAAAAGGATGAGAAACCAGGGGAAGCAAAAATACATGTGTCCGGACTCTTTTCTGTCGAGGAAGCGCACCATTTCTCCATCTGTGAAGGCCAGTACTCGTCGCAGCGCTAGAAATTGTTTTAGATTTTCAAATTATGAAAAAAGAACCTTCGAATTGTCGTTTGATTGCTTCTTGTGATCTTTCAAAGTTTCCGCGGACTCGATACATGAATTTCGCAAAGACCCAGAATGCGTCGATGTCGTCTGGGTAAATGTCCAAAATAACCACGGCAATGTCTGACATTCCCTGGACGTAGCCGATGTCCTGGTCGTAGATACAGTAAGTCGTCAATAACTCACTAAGAATCTCGTAAAAAGAAACAGAAAAACTTGGTAAACCTAAGGCGTTGGATTTGCTCAGCATTAAGTCGATGAGGATCTGTTCTAGTGACATCTTTGGCAATCAGGCTTCTTCGTTCTCGAAGAATTGTACAGTACTCCTCTTGCTCAGCTGTTAGGCCTTCCCATTGCGCTCGAAGAGTATGGTATTTTTCTAAACATTGGTGATTGAAAACAAGGAAGAATAAGAGGGAAAGCTCCTACCTTCAGGATTTTTAATGCTTTCATAACCCAAGAGCTGTTTCCAGGCAAAAGGTCTTGCTCCGCCCGTCAGCCCACCTCTGAAAATCTTCTCTTTGATCGCCTTGTACCGTCCCGCCAAAACAAAGTCTCGGAAGTCATCTTCATCCACCAGCGTTGCTCGAATAACCACAGGTCGTTCCAGCGGCAGTTCAGGTTGACCTTCATTAAAAAATGCTCGAGAAATGGGGCTTCTTGCTACTTCTTCTTGAATATTCGACGAAATGGCTCTTGTGATCTGAATTTGCTCGTGTAAATGCGCGCGCAGAAGTTGGGATAAAACAGACACCTTTGAGAAAATGCCAAAGCCGCGGTTCAGAACATCTCTTCCAGACGCGATTCTCGGTTCAGGATCGTCTTCCCAAAGCGATAGTCGAGCATCTTTCGGTTCTTCGATTAACTCAAGCTTGTATTGCCCAGAGCCTACTTCCTGATTACCGGATGAGGAAAAACCCTCGTCGGTGGCGCTTGAACCCGAGTCTCCATTTTCCATCAAATAATAAATTCGACGACTGAAAACGAAAAGAAAAAAAAAGAAGTAAAGCTAGAAAAAACAACTCCCAAAAGTGCGCCACCGATGATATTAACGGAGACGAGAAATGTCACGAAACGTCAGTTTTTATCCCGCTGACTCAGAACTTCTGACTCAGCAGGCACTAAAAACCTAAGATTCTTTTCATCATCCGGGTTCCTTGATAACAAAAAACGCCTGGAACGCGCTTTCAACCCTTTCGATGCCTCCAGGGCCGAAGTGAAGGGATGGAAGAGTTGCCCCGTCGCGCAGCTTGATGACCAAGTATCGCAGGCCGGAATCGTTGCGTTTTGGCTTGAAGTACTCGGAGATGTCATTCAGGTCTTGGCGGAAACCGGTGTCGAACGCGGAGCCGCCGAGAAAGGTCCAATCTCCAGCGGCGATCGGCTCCCTGAAAATCGATGGAAATCAATTAAAAGTAGCTAAAATCTCGCAATTTCAAATTTCAGTTGGAAACTCACCAAACAAATTCTCTTCTTTGCGAACTATCATGCTCAATTATACTGATTCTTCCCGACTCTGGCACTGCATTTCCATGAACTACAAAAACCAATAAAAAATGTCCATTTTCCGTTAAAAATACCTAAAACGTTTTCTTCCTCAAATATAATTCTCATTTATAAATTGTAAATTTCTAATTTTCAGTATTTTTTTCTCCGATTTCAAGGTAAGTTTCTGTGTGTTTTGAAGCAACTTGGTTCGAACTCAATCACGAGAAATTATCCTTTGCTCTTCGATCGTCGATTGGTCAAGACTTTCCACGCATGTCTCGTCCCATCAGATGAAAGGGAAAAGATTTTTTGACCTTTCTACGAAGATTTATCGATGAGGCATGCATTCGTGTTCAATAAGGAATCGTGACGATCGAGTTATTGATGATTTCAAATATTGATTTGAAATCGAAGATTTCAATGGATCAATTTGAAAACAAGGTTTGTGGCCCTAAAAAGGGCCGGGTTTGAGAATTTCTCAGTGAAGAGAAATTTATTTGTCGCCAGTCTTCTTGGGGAGGAGGATGGCTTGGATGTTGGGGAGGACACCACCCTGAGCGATGGTGACACCGCCGAGGAGCTTGTTCAACTCTTCATCGTTTCGGATGGCGAGCTGGAGATGTCGTGGGATGATTCTGGTCTTCTTGTTGTCTCGGGCGGCGTTTCCGGCCAATTCGAGAACTTCAGCGCTGAGGTACTCGAGGACAGCGGCGAGGTAGACTGGAGCACCGGCTCCGACTCGCTCGGCGTAGTTGCCCTTTCGGAGCATTCGGTGGACTCGACCGACGGGGAACTGGAGACCAGCTCGGACGGATCGGGACTTTGCCTTCGCCTTGGCCTTAGCTCCTTTGCCTTTTCCGGACATTTTTCAAAAATTGATTTTTTTGAGTTCACAAAATATAATGTGGTGAGCTCTGAGCATCGCGGATCGTTTATAAAGGCGCGGCTGGGAAAGAGCTCTCGCGCGCCACACGCATCAATAACTGTCAGAAAGCAGTGTGGGAGACAACCCGAGAGCCCCGGGCTTCTCACCCGGCGCCATATAAAGCGCCGCTGCGCAGCCATTTCACCACTTTTTTGAAAAGTAAAAAAAATGGCCGCTACCAAAGGTTCCAAGAAAGCTATCGTCAAGAAGGCTCCCCCAGCCGGAGACAAGAAGAAGCGAAAGGCTAAGCGAAAGGAGTCCTACTCCATCTACATCTACAAGGTCCTCAAGCAAGTCCACCCCGACACCGGTATCTCCTCGAAGGCCATGTCCATCATGAACTCGTTCGTGTCAGACATCTTCGAGCGAATCGCCAACGAGGCCTCCCGACTCGCCAAGTACAATAAAAAGTCGACCATCTCTTCCCGAGAGGTCCAGACCGCCGTCCGACTTCTCCTCCCCGGTGAATTGGCCAAGCACGCCGTCTCCGAAGGAACCAAGGCCGTCACCAAGTACACTTCTTCCAAGTAAATTTCGATTTACTTCGACAAACCCGGCCCTTTTTAGGGCCACAAATTCTCAAAATTTCTTTGAAAAACTGCCAGCATCTTTTCTTGAAAGAAAATTTGCCGAACTTCAGTCTTATCCCCAGAAATATATTGGTTATAAAATGATGCCAGTGTTACAGGAACAAAAGGCCGGATGACCAAATCATTGTTGATAATTACCTGCATTATACAACCGTTTACCGGTATTATGTGAATGATATGAAAATAAATGAATGAATTGATATAATTTTCTTGTTTGACTCAATGAAACAAAAGCAGTAATGCAAAAATATTTCATCTTCGATTGAATATCCTTGAGTTCTGGGCAAAAAATCCTTTATTTCCAGTAGCACGTATTATTCTCACTTATTGTACCATATTTTAAAATTTGTTGAATGCGTTTATTCTTGATATTATCCTACATTCAAGGCAGATTTTTAAGATCAGTGACCAGACTTCTGTTATATTTTTCCGGAATTTTAAATTCCGAATTTCCCATCCGCCAATCTATTTTTGAAGTGGGTCTTCTACCTTTGAAAATATTGAACTGTGTCCAACAGCACGCATCGTCACGGCTCAACGATTTTTTCAGTTAGCCCGCCAAGCGCACTGTCAATAATCTCGCCCCCTGGGGAGGTGGGGTTGTCTCCACTACGGCCGCTCCGCGCAAATATAACCCGCCGTCGCCAGGCAGAGTGCATCACAAAGTAAAATTTGTTGAACATTTTCTAACATGTCCGGACGAGGAAAAGGAGGCAAGGGACTCGGAAAGGGAGGCGCCAAGCGTCACCGAAAGGTCCTTCGTGATAACATCCAGGGTATCACCAAGCCCGCCATTCGACGACTTGCTCGACGAGGTGGTGTCAAGCGAATCTCTGGCTTGATCTACGAAGAAACCCGAGGTGTCCTCAAGGTCTTCCTCGAGAACGTCATCCGCGATGCTGTCACCTACACCGAACACGCCAAGCGAAAGACTGTCACCGCCCTCGACGTCGTCTACGCTCTCAAGCGACAGGGCCGAACCCTCTACGGTTTCGGTGGATAAGGGTTTCATACTCTTTTCACTTGCCTAGCGCTCAAACATTGCCAACCGGCCCTTTTCAGGGCCACAAATTACTCGTTTTTCAACTTCATATGTGTTAATAAAATGCTGTCATAAAAATTCTCTTTTATGTTAGATAAACTAATAATAAAATAAAATGATGCTGAAAATCGTTTATTTTATTTTCAATGAATTATTGAATAAGAAAAGATGTGAACAAGCATTCTTCAAAAAAGGCCGTCGAAGAAGCAGAACAGAGCTGAAAGACCATTGTTGAGACAATATTTGAGAATTTACAGCGGATGTTCTTAAAGTTTAATAATAAATTTCTCCGAATTAATAAGTTTTTGTTCATTCATTAGCAAAAACACTGGACTTACCTTCGTCATTTCCAGGTGCATCAAAAGAGTAGGTTTTTTTTAATAAAGAAACTGCTAAATTATTAAAATTGCTTTTATTCCGACTTGTTGGCAAACTCACACTTCAGAACTTTTATCAAATATGCTCGATCATGTTTTTTACTTTATATTTTTGCCGAGAGTTCTTGCATCTTGTGTGGATCCATGTCAAGATAAACCGAATTGTCAGACTTTCATCGACTCGTGCCACGTCTCCACAACCGCTCCTGCTGAAAATAGAGGATCTTTTGCAATAACGAAAGAATACGAGTTCAGTTTCGGCACTCACATAAGAAAGTGTGACCTTCATTGGCCTGGAGTTATCGAACTTACTGCTGGCGGACCGTGCCCTTACGGTGAAGTATCTCCGAGAGAGAATCGTGTTTTCGGTTTGTCTATAGTAGATGGTGCACTGTACCTCCCGGACGGATGAAAAATTCATAAACACGTTTTTGTTTTTTTGAGAAAGATTTTCATAATTTTTCATCGCAGAAAATAGATACGTCAATCAAGATCCTCCCGAAAATTGGGGCTACGGAATAAACTCAAATTGCGGACAAGAGGTTTCCCCTAGAATTCCCTGTGAATTACACGGATGGCATCAATATACTCTTGAGCAACGCGAGATTCGACCTGGAGTTATTCGCCAACAAGTATGGAAAGAAGATACTATTGCGGAGCATGTAGAACTTCTGGCGGAAAAAGAGTACCAGACAAGCAATGTTCTTGACGGAGAAATTTTGAATGTCATGACCTGGCAATCAACCTTTGGTGCTAACGACGAGCAACATACGGCTGCTATTAAAAACGTATTCTACCAAGGTTGCTACAGCAATTGCGTGGAAGAGGATCAATGGATATATGGGGAGGGCCAATTTTTGCGGCATTATCCGCCGAGTACTGGATTGATTGAGAAGGATACATTAGAAGAAGCGCAGGTAAGACTTTTGAAGATCATGAATTATGAAAAGACCTTTATTTGATAGAGATTATGCTCAATGACAAGTGATTGCGGCGGAGTAACAAGCATTTATAATGGCCAAATATATACGCTTCGTCATAAGACTGATTTCGTTGTTTCTACAGATTATGAGAACTCCTGGGTTAAAGTCTTTAAAGAAAATTGCACTGAGTTTGTGGACTCTTGCGGAGCGATTCCAGAACGAAATAACCTCCTTACTTCCATAACGATTCCACTGAATTTTTATGTCAGTGTTGAAATTCGAACAAAAGCATTTACTCTATCGAAAGATTTGAACATATTTTACATTATAAATAACGAATGGAACTCTTCGAACAAAGGGAAAAGACTCTTTGCTATGTGGCTTGATCATATTAGCTCTGATGGAGTCACAGTTAATGAAGATTTCTGGGTTAGGAAATGGATAGATTTTCATCACGACGCTTTCTGTTATTAAAAAGATATCCATGAGAAGATTTGTGGAGCAAAATGACGACCCACACTACTGGGGCATAGGAATGAATGTCAAGTGTAAACCTGGATATTGGCAAAAATTTTCAATTGAACAGCGCGAAATTCAGCCCGGGAAAGCGCTCCGAACTTTTAGGCACGGCGATGAAATACTTCATCAAGACTTGTCAGATGTTCAAAACACCATGACTGGCGACGTAGTCAAAGTATACCTTTCCCAAGATTCCGACAATACAGCAGGAGAGCTCGCAGAAGTTCGAAACTTCTACTTTCAAGAGCTCGAACCATGCTTAGATCCATGTGATGGGTACGAAGATTGCACAACTTTCATAAATTCCTGTGAAGCTCATGTTGGACCGAACATCAACAAGCTGTTGTTTGGAAACTTTATAGCGAGTATGAATATGAAAATAAGCTTTGAGTATAAATGTGAAAAGGATGGAGAAGCCAGAACTGTAGTTTATATGACTGAACATGATTCAGCAGGAAAAGATAGAAAATATCCCAACATTTTATTTTAATATAAGTAAAATTCATTCATCTTTTTGAAAGGAGAGCCATTGAACCACGTTCCAGGGCGATATTTTGATTTGAGAACAGATCCTTATTCCAATAGCATCACCAAAACTGCCTTTACTAGACATTTCATAACTGTATCTGACAGCCATTCTGAGAGAATAACAGTTCCTCTACCGTCAAGCTGCAATAACGGAGAATGGATGCGAGTGGACTTTGAGATTCGAGAGAGGGAAACAGACATATTGATGTCGTCCAGAGAGAATAGCACCGTTGTTTATCAAGAATCTTACTCAAAATCTTCTATCAAAAAAGATCGTCCAATATTTGTTTACCTTGGGCGTCCTGTGTACGATTATTCAACAGTTTTTCCCTACCAGAAAGTGCGAAATCTAAAACATCAGTCGTTTCCTGACATGGGTCCCTGTCCAGATCCTTGCTATCGCCTTGATGACTGCGTGACTTACGTCGATTCTTGTGAAGTAACGCCAACAAGTGGCACAAAAGCTGGCGTGATGTACTTACCAACATTAACATTCAAGATCAACATCGATATTATGTGTCCGACGGAAATAGTCGCAAATCAACCTGCTGGGAAAGCGAACAATCTTGTGAGCGTTGCGAAATTTTCGTCGTTTAATCCTTTATATTTGGAAATAAGAAGAGAATTTGGAGTCAATAGCAATAATCAGCTATATTTTAACAGGGATTATAACAACCAGACAGCAGGTACTCATAACCTAGTATCGTTTATACCAGACGTTTGTAATGGATAATAAATGCTGTATCACCATAATCAACCAATTAGAATCTTTAACAAGGCACGAAATTATCCATTTTAAAGGCAAAATTATCAAGTCCATCAAACTAAGGATGGAAGTACAGAGATGGGACCACTTTTCAAGTCCGAGCTTCAACAAGATGGCTTGATAATTAACTTCGTCGTCAGAGGCATTGTGGGTCATTCTCCTACTTATAATCGGGACGTTTTTACAGGTCCATCGACTCTTGGCTCAACAAATTGCGAAATTCGCAACTTTTATCTTCAACAGTGTCCCGAAGCTTGTTCTGCTCTTCCATCCGCCCGGAAAAGCAACTGTATGACCTGGCAAGCTTGTGAGAGAGCGCCAAAACAGGTCTGAATCTTAAACAATCTCGTCCTAACTTTTTTACTAGGGCGTTAAAATTGCGAATTACACATTTGGTCCAAATTTTATTATCAGTGTGGATGTAAAATGTGACAATTCTGATGAGTTTGGTGAGTGGGAAGGGGTTTTTTCGGTTAGCAATCGTGCTGGTTATCACCAAAATGGTCATCGAATATTCACATTTTACAGATCATCAACTGGCTTTATTCGCTTTATTATGAACCAGGCGGATAATAGTCCAAAAAACCCGAATGTTCTAGGGCGCCTTGGACATGAAGCGATTCACGATACGACCTGTGATGAAGGATGGTACACTTATGAGCTCATTTCGAAGCAAGACCCAGATGATCCTGCAACAACAAACTACACTTTAACCGAAGATGGAGTTGAGATCTATTCCGACTCGCATCCGACAAAACTTCTTCCGAACGGTGACCAAATAGAGGTTCACGTTTCAGATCCGGAACATAGTGCAGCAACAGCTTTCCATGTTCGAAATTTCTACATTGAAACGCTTACTGACAACGATATCTGTGACGATCCTACCTTTTGCCCAGTTGACTCGTTGTGTTCTGCTGAAGATTTTACGTGCACTTGTCATGTTGGTACAATTTATGAAAGTAAGAAAATTTATTTTTTGATTGATTTTCACTATGAATTCATAGATTATTGCTTGACGGCTGATTGTGATGGGTATCAATGTTGCAATGGTGGTTTTTACGATTCAAATGCAAATCAATGCGTAGATGTTGATGAGTGCAGTCTTCAAGAGCCGATTTGCCCATCAGAAATAATGACATGTTCGAATACTGAATTCAGCTACGAGTGTTCCTGCCCAGTTGGATACGAAAATGCGTTTTGCGCCGGAAATGCTTGCAGAACCTTTCAATGCGTCGAAATCGACGAATGCACAACTCAAAATCCATGTTCGACAACAGAAACCTGCAAGAACACCCTTGGAAGCTATGAATGTGACTGCATAGATGGCTATAATCGTGTAGATGGTGTTTGTGAAGACATAAACGAGTGCGAGGCTGAAAGTGAAGCTTGTCCTCAATTTTCAACTTGCGAGAATAACACTCCGGGGTTTCAATGCGTATGTGATCCTGGCTTCGTTCAAGATACTTGCAGTGGACATGATGATTGCAGTACGTTTGTTTGTATTGATGATGATGAATGTTCAATTGAGCCTTGTGGTGAAAATATGTCATGTACGAATTCAGTTGGAAGTTACTCTTGTGAATGTTTTGACGGCATGAATATGATCGACGATGAATGTTTTGATGTTGACGAGTGCTTATTTGAAGAAGACATTTGTCCAGCGTTTTCCACTTGTGAAAACCTCCTAGGAAGCTTCAAATGCTCCTGTTCGACTGGTTTTGATGGTGGATTTTGCTCCGGTTATCAAGACTGCTCAAGTTTCGCCTGTGCAGATATAGATGAATGCAAAGTTGGAAGCCACTCGTGCGATGAGATTTGTACGAACACTGTTGGTAATTATACGTGTTCTTGTCCTATTCAAATGCGGCAGATTGGCTTTTTTGGTTGCGAAGAGGTCATCTTCGATTCTAAAGATCTGAGTAAAATGGACGATGATGAACTCAAAACAATGATTGAAAATGAGTTTATAGTTATTCGCGATAAAATGCAACTTGCAATAAAATTGACCAACGATTCGAAATTGGTATCAGAAGCAATAGGAGAAGCTTCCGCGAGGACGGGGAATCTCTTGTCGAATCTTCTTGCTCCGAAAAGCGGCGATGATGCGTTTTTGAAAAAAATCGGTTCTTCGAGCATTGACTTACTGCTGGAGAACAGTGAAAACATGGTCTCGATAAGAAAAGGCTTGAATCTGCTCCTTGATGCAGTTTCTGAAGACTCCCCGTCGACTGAGTTTATCGTCTTTGGAGAAAACATAACCATTCCTGTTTTATTCCAAGAAACGAAAAGCAGCGAGAAAGGAATGTTTGCAGAGATAAAGTTCAATCCTTTTATCTACTCTGATGACGACTTGCGACTTGCCAAAAATGTCCTTTACTCTGCCAACTATGAGGGCTCCGCTCAAATGTCTTTTCAACAGGAAGCTAAGACGATTAAGAAGAAAATGGTACCAGACCAGGGCGAGATTATCCGATTCGACCTTGAAAACAACGAAGACTTTTTCGTGTTCTTTGATTCTGAGCTTCAAAACCTCCATCTCGAATTATTCGTTGACTTTTGGTACCAGCCCGATCCAAAGCTGCTTTCCTTCCGACATCATGCGAATCTCCCATCGTTTAAAAATGTAACTGACTTATCATCTACAATTTGCACGGAGAAGAACTGCTCTGGTGATCCTTATGGGATACATTTTGACAAGAATGAGGTTGAGCACTGCTTTTCTCGCGATAAATGCTCAATATTTATCCTCATCAGATCAACTTCTCTTGATTCTGATCAAGAAGAATTCGACCTAAGAATAACCTCCGTTTCTGCATCCTGCGTAACCGATAAGTCAGAAAAATGGAACCGAGACTTTTGTGAAGTTATGAGTGATTCCACCGCTGTAAATGTTAAATGCTCGTGTAAGATCTCCTCTGGCGACAAGATCACGTCACGATCAGGAAGTTTTACAACTGTGGCAGACTACTACACAGTCTTTGTAAACGAAATAATAACCCTAAGCGTGAAACTATTCCCCATCATCCTCGGTTTTCTCTGGGTTTGCATCCTCATTCGAAGCCATTTCTTGGATCGCTCGAACAACCGAAGCAATTTTCTTCATCCTCCTGCTCTGGTTATCCGAAAAAGCTTTCAGCACGTTGCTGGTTTTTATATTATTTCTGTCGACTCGCGATTTTCCTTCAACAGAGCACCAAAAATGCTCAAATTGGAAATTTTCTTTCTCGATCTTCTTCTCAGAGAGCAAATTGTCGAATTTTATCTTGGCTCAGAAAACAACAGAATATTTGAAAACGGAAAAATATCCCATTTTTTGATGACGCTTCCGATTATGAAGATCAAGAGCTTGAAATTATCTACTAATATCCACAAAGAACTGGAAGCAACATTTCTGCCAAAGAAAATATCTTTCTTCAAAGTTGACCAATTTCCACAATCAAATTCAAAGGCGTCTATTAGCAACATCGCTGGGCATGAATCCACAGTAGTTTTTGATAAAGACGATGTGATTTCTGTTCTTGGGACTGAAGAAGCTTGCTCTTCAAAAGTATTTATGGACGATAAATATCAAGAAGATACTTGTCTCAAGGAAAAACTCATTGACAATAGCCACTGGTTTGGCCCGATTTTATCGAGAAGACAAAATGAAATTTCGAGGTCGTCGCGAATTATTTTAGCTGGATTCTCTTTGTTGTCTTCGATATTTCTCTCCTTTCTTCATTTCTTTTACTTATCGGATTTATTTGAAGCTTACTTTCCTGTGAAATTTCTGCTATTTGGACCATTAACTCTCTCAACTCTTCAACTGCCGCTTGTTCTCGTTATTTTTCTGGTGCTATTGCTACAGATTTGCAGTCGCTCTTTTCTCCTAAAAATTGCTAGATTGCGGTTTATACAAAAGTTTGCTGTTTACACTTTTGCCGGGATTTTTATTTTATCTGTTTGTGGATTTATGCTCATTCAAACATCATCCCTCAGGATAGGTCTAGTAAAATGAGCTAGAAAATAACGAATAAAAATACTAACCGAAAACAGTGAAATGCATTTCGATTTATGGATGACAGGAAATTACTTCATCGTCGTTTTTGAACTGTTCCTGATTCCTCTTATCGTCTCTCTAAGAAAAACGACCGACAAAAGTGAACCCGAATACACATTTTTTGACAGATCAGAAGCATATGAAAACGGATTGTATCAAAAACTACAGAAATCAATTTTAAACAAAGAAGCCATTACTGACCTCGTTTACAAATCGAAACACAAAGCTGACTTTCGCCTCACAATGCGACGATTTATTTCTTACTTTTTCTTGACGTTGAGTTTATACGGGCTTTCTACAGTAATTTTACCGACTGAGAAATTCCTTCTTGACAAAAACTTCCGCGACAAAATATCCATCATTCCGAGCCAAACCCAACTCAATATCACTTCAACGTGGGAATTAATTCAAAGCGAAATCGTTCCTCTCATCCACTCTGGCAATCCCAGTAATGGCGAAAAAGCAAATTTGAAAGACAGAGCTTTTGCAAGAGACAACGTCAATTTCCGCCTTGGTCCTGCCTCATTGACTCAGCATCGCGATCAATGCGGCTTTTTCACTACTTACTGGAATCCACAACCAACTGCTTCAGAAAGAGCTATGGAAAAGGTCATCAAATCGCCCCTTCTATCCTCCTACTTTTCAAACACCAGATCATCCCTTTCTTCTGACATCTTTCTTCAAACTCCGAATCGAATAACCTCTTCCACCTGCGCATTCTCAGCCATTCTTGGAACCTCAAAAGAAAGTGCCGATTACATGACCGACTTTCTCCGCAAAAACGCCTGGTTCGACCAAGAAACAAAACTTCTCATCTTCGAGCAGAGCTTTTTGAACATGAACATCAACGCGTTTGTCCAATTGAGAGTGGTATTCGAGTTCGTTGAGGGAGGCGCCATCATCCCGTCCCTGACGATTCAGCAGCTCAAAAATGTGGAGTTGACCGACTACACTTTTGCATTCAACCTTATTGTTTTCATCACTCTGCTTCTTTATGAAACGGTCGAGGTTTTTAGAATTACGAAGAATCGTGAAATAACTTTTCTTTCACTCTACAAAATCATTCTGACCATGATTGACATCGTAATTTTGGCTTTCATTATCCTTCGGTCAAATTATCTGTCCAAAGCTATCGAAAATTTCATTCTGGATCCGAAGGGCGCTCCTAAATTTTCGAAAGTATTTCTAATCCAGCATCATTTTATTTCACTCGTCGCGATGTCTCTCTTTCTACACAGCTTCTTGCTCATCCACATTCTATCGACTCTCAATGCCGTCAGACGTAAGACGCTAGTTGAACCCGAAAAAATAACCCACTTTTTCAGAGTACAAGAGCATCCTCAAACAGCTGAAAAAGACCCTGGCTCCATTTGTTCTGGCTCTTCTGCCGGTTCAATTTGGATTATCCTCCGTCGTCTTTATCATTTTTCGCTACTCGTCCTTCATTTTCCGTTCTTTATGGAAAACCTTCTTTGTCATCATTTGGCAGGGCTATCTCAAGCCTTCAGGTAACTTATGCATTTTTATGATAAATCATCTTTGATAAGATATGCGAATCGAAGTCGATGAACTTCCCGATCCGAATTGGCGGCTTCTTGCTAAATTTATTTACTTTGCTTTGAATCTTTCGATGATGTACCTGACGATGAACGTTATTGTGGCAATAATTTGTGATACAAATCAAAGCGTGAAAGAAGATGAGCTCGAGTTAGACTGGCTAAGTCTTGTGTCAGAAAAAATTAAAAAGTTACGAAGTAAAAGGGCAAAAAGGACAAAGACTGGGAAATTCTATAAGAATCGTAAAGACACTTATAAAACCTCTCAGTGATTCTGTAAAATCTTGCTGATAATTTATTCAATAAAAAACTGGAAAATGTTACATGTTATATGTTCGCAGTGACAAGTTTTCGTTTTTGAATTTTCACATGATAGAGTAATTCTCTGGCGAAGCTTCATGATCTGGCTCTTCATCGGTAAATTCCACGATCCTCGATGGCAGCTTCATGGTCGGGTTCTTCATCCGAAGAATCTTCGGTCAGCTTTTCTGGTGAATCTTTCGGCAAAATCGTGATGTTGACCACAATGTAGGCGTTTCGAACTGTTCGCTTCAATTTCATTTCAACTATCCCATTCTCAGAGATCTTCGTCTTCTGCGACCCCGTGACAAAATCGTAGTACCACCAGTATTCAGTTGCCTCGACTTTGATTTTTGGACCTCCATCTAAGCAATAACCGAAAAATAATTGTCATAAAAATAATTGACTGTTTACCGAGTTTCTCGAGGAAAAAGTGATGAAATCCATCGCCAAGGAGTTCATGAGTTTCCAAGTCTATGCAAGAGCCGACAAATCTGACTCTCCATCCATACGCTTCGATATCTACGTTATTACTGCAAATGCGCTGCTCGTTCTTGGTGATGATAGGCTCCGTTACAGATCTCCCAGGCAGGAAAGAAAACTTTAAGTATTTTCCAGTTGAGTAGAACTTTTGTTGGCGTATTCACTTGTTTTTTTTTCGAAAGAAAATTGTTTTGGTTAACGCCCATTCAAGTCAAGTAGTTTCAACACATTCTCGATGTTCTCGTCATAAAAATGACTGCGGCCATTTTCATTTTTACCAGGCCAGCCTTCATCACCTTCATAGTGACCAGCTCCAAGCTCAGGCGTCAGTTTTTTTGTCCAGTATCGCAGACGATTCTTTCGGTTCCTTTCAAGTCTCTTCGCTTCGTCCATCCTTGAATTGGGATTTTTACCTTTTAAAGGCATAATATGCGTTGGTTAATCTCTTATTCAATGGCAGCGCTTTCGTAAAATGTCGAATTTTTGAAAAAAATTTTTTTCTGGTGAAAATATAACTGTGACTCCGTTTTATAAAGTTGAATCAATGGCAAGAACGAACCGATATTCAGAGAACGAACCGATACTCACGTACAGTGATAAGCCTGCTATTTTTAGAAATATTTGTCGCCTGAACAGAGGACAATTTCCGGGATTTCGACAAGTGAAAATCTCGGGGATTATCGAATTGTTCTCTCGTGAAATGACCATCAAAACATCACTGAGGAAGCAATAAATGAAGTTTATTGAAAACGTTTCTTTTTGAATAAAAATATACAGAAGGTATGATCTAGGCACAGTGAAAAAGCAAAATTACGTCTTGATGAGTTCTTGTTCGCTGTCGCTTGTCATCACATAATCTTCTTTCTTCATTCGTCTTCGAATTGCACTGATAATGTGCTGAAGCGTCCACAAGGCTGAGAAAATCGAGGGTTGAATCAAAAACGTAAGTGCAGATTGAAGCTTGAGAACTCCCCACATTTGCTCGCTGCCGAGAGGCCCGTAATCGGTGAAGGAGTACATTGTGCTTCGGTACTCGGGCCACAAGTTGGCGATCGAGAAGAGGTAGAGAACGTTGAGGCCACAGTAAAGGACCGGTGCAAGAATCCACTTGTAAGCAAATGGTTCTGAAAATTTCAATTGAAAATTCGCTCATGTCGCTGTTTTTTTCTTACCTCTTGATAGGAAATCCATGGATGTAACGACACCAAGAAGGCCATGCTGCCAAAAGCTGTGAAAGTGCGTATCAGTCGTTTCCATCATCACCCAGTAGACGAGAGCGATGAGCCAGGAACCGGTCGCTGTTTGAGCAGAAAGCCACTTTTCCCAAAAAAGAAGGCGCTTGTTCGTAGAATGTCGGGAAAAGAGGGTGAGGACGGCCCACACAGCGCAGCAGAACTCGTTCGCGTTGGAAACGTAGTCAAAGTAGTATTGTCCCTAAATTTGAGAATGAAAATCAACGAAGAGTTACTGAAATATTTTACCTTGTATCTATTCTCTGGATCTTCCCGAAAGATCAAGTAGCTGTAAAGCAGCCACGCCAGCATAAAACCCGCTCGAATACCGACGAGGTGGTCTTTGATAAGTTGAATCGTTGAACTCTTCATTTTCATTTCACAGTTTTGTTCTGGTAGAAAAGTGATGGTAACCCCCATTTTTATACGTTTCTCGATTGATGATTATTTACTGGCAGACCTTGGGAGCAAGCGCCGGCCTTGAAACTTCTTCGATGGAGACTTTTCTTATCACTGGAACGTCAGCTTTTCGCGAGCTGTCTCTGGGAAGGACGTTTCTGCCACTCTCTCTCACTCTATAAAATATCGTCTTTATAACTTTGGAATCTGGGTAAATCAGCATCGGACCATGTTTTTAACAGCGGGGCTTGTTGAACGAGTACGGCCAAGTTCACCCTCATAAAACAACCAAGTTAGCTAATTAACAGAAGTTTCTCTTGTGACAATTACCTTAGAATAAAAAGATCTCTTTTTTGAGTGTTTGAAATCTGAGGTTAAAAAGTTCTGAGCTGTACAAAAAACAGATGGTCTAGAAAAAGTCAATTAATCGTCGATTCATAATCGACTTGAAAGGCACAGTAGCAATTTCCGCTTTAGTTCCGTTTTATAATAATGGAGCCATGGCTACACGAAAAACTGCTTTCAACTTTACATATTTGTTTAATTTTTATAATTGATGAGTATGCAAGAAATTCATGATTGGCAAATAGTCTCAATCTCGAGATAAAGATTCCATGTTCCAAAAAGTCCTTCGAAATGAACTGACCGACCTTCTTATTTTTCAAACAACAGTATGTTTACTTCAAGGCCGTGACGTAAAATTCATACGTTGGAAGTTATTTGCCCCAATTTTTCAATGTTGATTCCGTGCTTTTTCAAGGTCATTGAATAAATGTTCGTAAAAAACCTTCGAAATCAAGGACTGACGCAAAATTTGACGTAGAGACCTCCCATGATCAGCAGATTTGGAGTATTTGTACAGTATCAGACGAAAACACCGAAATCATTCGTTATTTTTATTGCAATAGTTGCTTCGAATAAAAAAACTGACAGCTGCTCATAATGTTAGTTGAAGAATCATCCCTCCCGCTCGCGAAAACTCAACTTCAGTATAAAAAGGCTCGGGAACTCACTTTAGACCCGCATTTTCAATAAAATCAGGAAACCATGTAAATAGAGAAAAAAAATCTAAAAATGTCATCTAACCAGCCTACTTGCAATTGCGCTCCCACAATCAACTGCGGTTCGTCCGCCACTTCCAAATCAGATCTAACATGCGAGCAAACGATGGAAGAAGAAGTGAGAATCAAACTTGAGAGAGGACAAATGTTCTTCACACTCTCCATGGTTCTCACTGCATTTCTCGGACTTTTGCTAATTCTAGCAATCTTCAAAATCGGCATTCCTTTTTTCAAGAAATGCTTCTCGTCTCCTTCAAACTCACGAAAAAAGAAGTTTATTGATGAAAGAAAGCTGTCTACTGGAAGTTACGTTTAAAATAACGTTAGAAAAGAATGTCTGTTTGAAAATCTTTCATATAATTTTATTCATTTTCGATTGAAAAAGGCTTGTACAGCGTCTTTTCAGGTTCAATATTTCATCTTATCATATCCTTTCGTTATCATAATCTAATCATCATTATCTTCATTGTAAAAATCCACTTTCATTTATGAACCTTCCTTTACACTCTGGCGATTCCCATCTTTCCTTCAATCCATAATTCTCGGCAGTAGCTGTTTTCAGCAAATGCTCAACCTTCGCCTTAAAAAATATTTCATTCTCAATAATAAATTTTTAACCAATTGAATGACCTGATTCTTTACTAAAGATTTCCCGAGCACCATCGCTTGTGGTGGGAGCTCAGCAATTTCTTCAAGCATCGCATTGACTTGCTCCTCGAAGTTTTCGGAAGAGATTAGACGGCTGACCAAGCCACAATCTTTTGCTTCTTGAGCGGACATTTGCTTGTTGAATAAAAGCATTTCGCTAGCCAGAGAAGATCCCATAATTTTCGGGAATGTTGATGAACTGCATCCCTCGGGACCTAATTTGTCCTGATAAAAGCAAAAAAAATTAAAAAGGAACACCTTGGGCAAGCTTAGTAAACGGTGTCAAGAAATAGGCATCTTCGCTGGCCCAAACAGCATCGCACAGAGTCAGCGTCGTAGCGGATATTCCAATAGCTGAAAAATATGATAACCTCCCCCTCAGCTAAGCATCCACTCACCTGGTCCATTGCAAATTGCAATCAGTGGCTTTTTGAACTCAATAAATGCTTTGACAAAGTTGTCGATCACTTGGCGGGAAAGCTCCGTTCCATCTTCACTACAATCGTGTCGGAAAATGGAACTTATTTTTCTTTTCAAACCTGCCATAGATGTAGCTGAAGTTGTTGATGTCATTTCCCGCGCTGTAGAATTTTCCTTCTCCTGTCAAAGCCACGAATTTTACGCTCTCATCTTCGTCAAGTTTTCTCAACGCGAGTGGAATTTCTTGAAAAGTATCGATATTGATGCAATTGTATTTCTCTGGACGATTAAAAGCTATTCTTCCATAGTTTTCTTTTAGACCGACAGAGATTGTTGAATAAAATCGACTTGAGGCTTTTTGAAAAACTTTCATTTTTGAAATAATATTTTTTTTTCTGTTTGTTGAGCGAAGGTGCGGCGCGAGATTTATTTGCATTTCAGAATTCAAAAATGAATTGTAATTTTCGGTCAAGTGCGGTCGAGTCAAGTTTATCGGTGATTACCTTGATGACCTGACTTATCGACGTCTTCATTACTGTAATGAAGATTGGTGCTGCATTTTGTCATTATTTGGCATTAGGCTACCCATTTCATCCATCCATCTTCATTTTTTTCGGAGAAAAAGGCTGTGAAAAGGACTTTCGGAAAAAATGATTAGAGGTAAAATATGTCGACTATTTTGAATTGTGGAGAGTATGTGTAGATTCTTCTTTAAAAATCTTCAATTACAGTAACACTTTTTTTTTAAGCTGTAACTGTATGAGAAAATCAACGACATCTTGTGAGGCGATTTTCGAAGCTTCGGTAAGAAAGAAAACACTTCAATTTTCTTCTTGTTCAATGAGAATGAGCAGACAACATATGTGCATTATGAATAAGTATTACTGTGTTCACAATATGCTGTCTGAATAATGTAGAGTTTCTTCGCTCAGATTTGGCAGACTCCGTTTTGAGAGAGAAAAACCTTCGGAAAAAACATTTATGGGCAAGAAAAGAGGGAGAATTTTGAATTTAGATAAACGAAACCTGCACAGCTTGGATGGAAACTCAACTAGAATCAAGCAATGAATTAGAGAATGAAATCGTTGCTCCGAATAATATTCTCACAACCCTAGCAGCTATTGGTTCTGTTACAGGTAGAAGCAAAAAGGTTTCTTGAGGAAAAAATTTAGGTCTGATTCTTCTCCTATATTTATGCGTCTGCCTTTGTCGAAGACAGAATAAACGAAGAAATTCAGACAATTGGGTGTAATGAAATTACGGAATTCAAGACGCGAGAGCTTTTACTGTCCATTCCAAAGAATTTGTTGTAAATAAACCATTCTGTTAGACGAGACATTTGCTCGTCTAAAATTATGAAAACGATTCAAATTGACCCTAATCAAGAAAATAAGATTTTATTTTTAAAGAGGCTGCGAAAAAGCAAATATTTTGGACGTTTATTTTAGAGTTCATTTGGTGGGAGTAGATTTCATGCAGTAAAGACTCGAAGAAAGAATGGTAGTAACACACCGTAACCTCAGGTCAATATTTGGACAGAAAATTCGTCGAAGAAATGAAAAGGATTTAGAATTATAAAACTTAAATATGGGCGTTTCGTTTTGTCACGCGGACTCATAGAGAGTTGTTTTCAAGTTGAGACTTATTTGCTCTCGTAGTATATAAACAGCCTCAGTCCAAATGGATCTTCACACGTTCCATTCTACTACCTAAATTCGGAACACTAATTTTTTTGTATTTTTATTTGTTCGAAAAATTTAATGGAAACGCTAGAAGAAGTTTTTGTTATCATTTTCATCGTTTTTGCTTCGTTAATTTTAACATGCATCGTCACAAAATACTGTCACGCTTGGTAAGCTTATTTTCTCAAGCAAAGAAATGATTATTTTTCCTAGCTATTCAAGATTCAAGAGACACGTTGTGAAGCCAATTTTACCGACGACAATTGAAAGAGAAAATGATGGAAGAATAAATTTTCAAAGAGATCCGCCGCCATACAAACCAATGCCTTTACCTGCATATTCTGAGCTTTTTCCCGATTCTGCCAAGCAAAAGTTCTAATTAATTTGTGAATAAATACGAGAGAAACTATTCGGTTTACTTTTTGCTTGCTACGTACCTAGCAAATATTTGCAGAGTTCAGTTAACATGTTTACAAGAAAGAAATTATTCAATTGGTGAGATAATGCAAACAGTCCAAATTGACCCTTGTGTATTCTTTATTGTCAGATTCTGCCCAGTCTTGAAGAACGATGAGCGCGAGTTGTAACTTTGGAAAATAAATCAAATGCCACGGGAGCAGGTACGACCGGGATCGTTGGTTCTGGAGGAGCTTCAGGCGGCAGAACAAGAAATACCCGCCGGTCAAATACTCGGATATCGTAGTTTGTCATTCTTCTGTCGCAATCTTCAGAAACACAACTATCAATTTGAAAGAAGAAAGCTGACTCACCCATGCAGAAAACTTCACATTTTGGATCCAAGTTGAAATATTCAATTCCCGCCACTAAAACTCGTCAAATTTTCTCTCACAAAAAACAACATACGTCTGACTTCTTGGTGAATTCTACCATTAATCTTTATGCATTGACCTCCATTAAAAGGTGGTAAATGATATTCGGACTTGTAAGGAGCTGATGAATTTGAGCCCATTTCAAATGGCAGTGTTTTACTTTCGTGAACTGAGATAGTTTTATGACCGCTGCTTGAAAGGAGGATTATTTCTAAAAAGTCGGAGCTTTGGAGAGAAAACGTGGCGAAATCTCATTGATAGACTTGCTTTTACCCTGCATAATAAACTTCATATAAGAAATTCTATCTCGAACAATTTTATTGTATAATATTGGTTGTAAATCGAATCAGAAATTTAATAAATCCAAATTTTTGAAGGAAAAACTATTTCGGCCGAAACTTTTTCTTTTTTGAATATCCTTCTTAGTCCATATTGTCGCCAGCCTTCTCAAGATCCGGAATTTCCTAAAAATATTTAAGAAAGGGAAATTCCCTTTAACATTATGTTATTTTTTTTACCTGAAGATCATCACAAGTATGAAATTGAAGTTTGAAAGACTCGATTTCATAATTAGTGATTTCGAGCACCTCTTCGCTTTGGAAATCTAGCCGTGGACGCTCTCTCTCGGAAGTAGGACTCTTCTCAAGCGTTACCATCAGCGGGTTGAGGATCATAAGAACAAATCTTACTTTACATCCATGTCTAATCATTATTTAAACAAAATTTAAGCAAAATAAATTATTATTAATAATTTAAATAATTATTATTATGCTGACCCGTCGCATGTTACCAAAATCTTGCCGTCTTTCCTAACATCTCTTCCGGTGTACCATTTTTCAATGCCAGCCTCATTGTCCATGAGGTAATGGACAATAAGGACTCTTATGGCACACTTGCCACTTCGTCGAATTTCCTTTATCTTCGCTGGAAACTCGGATTCCAAAAGGTAGGCATCAGGTGAAAAGAATTCGGTCGAATTCTTGTCAGTGCAGCAATTCGCTGTAGATTCGCTGAGAGTTTCCTCTCCAACAGCATTAGGAACTTGGTCCTCTGAATCAACTGAATGATTACGTTTTCGGGAACTGGTCCCTTGTTGATTTACCTCTGCCGAGGCATTTGATGTGGGATTAGCTTCCCGGTCGGGAAGTAATCCGTTTAAAGTTGAGGAGGCGTTAACCTCTGAATTTACATCAGTAAGACGTTTTGGGAACAAATTTCGAATGCACATTCGGTAATTGTCCGCATTATCCACTTCATTGGCATAAAACAACGACTTCTTTATGTCCACTTCAGTGACGGGTTCCCCCTGGCGTTTTTTGTTCCGCATGTCCTTCAGTTGTTTGATAAGGCAGGGGACGTTTTTTCGGTGTTCTCGGTTGATTTCTCTTATTTTATTCTCCCACATATCTTTTAAATGCTGCATAATGAAAATGTCTCTCAAAATTTATGCGAATTTTTATTGATGTTGACTCGAAGTGAATGAGTGACAGAAAAATGGCTGAGCATGGAAAAGCCGGGCGGCAAATCTAGAGCGTAACCCAAGTCTAGAAGTAAGTCTTGTTTAGCGAAAAGAAAAATCACCATTCCTTTGATATTGATGCATATTCAAAGTGCAAGGTGCACGATCATCGGAGCACCTTGTCTATCAGTCAGAGATCAGCTTGTAGCAATCAAGACGGGCTTGATCCCCCGCCGAGCGGGACCACCTGCTCTTCCTGCGCCTTCCTTGGAGGCGCTGTTCTGTTGAGAATATAATCATCCTTCTTTTCCTTTGAAATCATTAAATTTGAAAACTCAAAAAAAACAAAAACATGACCAATACAAAAGTTCCCTCAAAATCATCAGTTCTTCGACGAAAATCCTTAGCGATGAAAAGCACCAAACGCCCACTCTCTTACGCATCCAGCGATCTTCTCAACATTGAAGTGCCAAAGAAGAAAATCAACAGAAGAAATAGCTTGATGAAGCTCAAGGAATTCTTTTCCCTGAAGAAGAACTTTCGCGAAATCAAGGAGGAGAAGGGCCTCAAGGTCTTCAGAAGAAACAACTCGATTCATAGTATTGAGTTTTGGGAAGACTGAGTTTTATTCTTTCTGTTTTAATGAACTTTTCAATAAAAAAAAAATAATAAAATGGTCTGAATGGATCGAATGAATGAACCACTAGATAATTCTGAAGAGTAAAATGTTTGCAGTCTAAAAATATCTATGTCATTGAGAGGAGATGACTTGCAAGTGATAAGATTTAGCTGCGCTACGTGAGGGTGGGTACAGTCACTCACAGATTTGCAAATTGCAAAAACTTATAGTAAAGAAAGCCAAAAAATGAGTGAAGAAGAAGAAATCGTACCGAAAAGTCGACAAGCAAACGCGGCGATTGCCCCGAGACGATTTCAACAAGTATTATTTTCAAAAATCAAAATGGATAATTTAATCTTTTCTGATTTTAAGCTCAATGCGGGTTTGAGAACTGAGAGAAGAACTTTTGAAGAAATTCGAGAACAGCATCTTGAGGATTTTTATGAAGACCCCGAGTTTCCTGCTATTCCCGGATCGCTCTTTTGCACAAATTATAATCGACCTGCCAATGCTGACCAGATTGAGTGGCTAAGACCAAGAGATATTTGTCAGATTCTTGGCCTGCCTGTTTGGGTTTCCTTGACTTTTTATCCTTGAATTGAAATAATCAAAAAAAGTTTGCGAAAAACCCTTTGTAAAGACCCGAAATTGAAGGTCGATGGCTACTCTCAATACGACATCGTCCAGGGCAGCCTTGGAGACTGTTGGCTCCTCGCTGCTATGGCCTCGATTTCCATGCATGAAAAGATCATGGACTAGGGCTTCAAAGCGGGACGACGACGCATCTTTGCGCTCGTTCCGTTTTCAGCCTTGGCTAAGACGTCGTTTTAAAACCGGGACAGAGCTTCAACCATGGCGAGTACTGCGGTGCTTTTATTGTTCAAATCTGGCAGTATGGAAAGTGGATGGACGTGATTGTTGATGATCGACTGCCGACGATCAATGGCGAGCTGGTGTACTTGAGCTCAGGTGCGTTATCGTCTCAGAGTTGAGTCTTGATAACAATTTCAGCCTCGAAAAACGAGTTCTGGTCTGCAATCATCGAAAAGGCCTACGCCAAATTGAATGGCTCCTACGAGGCTTTGAGAGGCGGATCAATCACTGAAGCTCTTTGCGACTTCACTGGTGGCATTTGCGAGACCTATGATCTCGGCGATCACGGTTTCAAGACTTCTTCTGTTCCAGATGATCTCTTCAAAATCACCGCCAAGGCTTTCAAAAAAGGCGCCGTCGGAGGTGCCAGTTTGGAATTCGAAGGTTCTGGCGTCGAATCCAGAGCTCAAGGTGGTCTTATCGCAGGCCATGCTTATTCTGTTCAGAACGCTCTTACAGTAAGTTCTTCTGTAAAAGATGAAGCTAGTCATTTTTAGCTTTCCGACGGAACAAAGCTGATTTGTCTCCGAAATCCATGGGGCCAAGCTGAATGGAACGGAGCATATTCTGACGGCTCGCCACAATGGGTCAGTGTTGCTGATGAAGTGTCTCAGCTCACTGGCGGAAGACTTCGGTCAAAGGACGATGGCGAGTTTTGGATGGAATTCGAAGACTTTCTCACGTGGTTTTCAAAGTTGGAATTGTGTTCGATTCCAGAAGCAGTTGGAAACGCTGAAGAAGCTCATGCAAATTGGGTGACACAGCTCTGCGAAGGCCGATGGGTAAGAAAAAAAAGTAGAAAAGCAACTGATCAAATGATCGTAGACTCGAAACATCAGCGCCGGCGGATGCACAAACTACATGACGACTAGACCTGGTTTTCCTGATAATCCACAGTTTCCAATGGGACTTGTTGACGTCGACGAAGATGACGAGACCAAGTGCACGGCCATTATCTCGCTTATTCAGGCCGATGCTAATCGACGACGAGACAACAAAGATCTCCTGGTAACATTATCCGACAAAAACATTGTTAATTTTTAGACTATTGGCTTTATCGTCTACAAACTCGGCGACGAAAATGTCCAGCGAGAGCCACTAGATGTTAGATGGTTCAGATCTCATCGATCGATCGGGCGATCAGACTTCTGCAACTCACGAGAGGTCACAAAACGACTTCTCCTTGATCCAGGAAATTACGTCATCGTCCCGTGTACTTTCCAGCCACAAGAAGAAAGTGCATTTGTCCTCAGAATCTTTACCGAAAAGAAGCAAGGAAAGGGAGCAAAAACTCAGCTTCTTTTGGAACCGAGTTTGCTGAAACTTCCTATCTACAGATTTCCGCAACGAACTCTCAGCCCAAACTTCGATCGACGAGGACGACAGCGATCGACCAATTACTCAAGAAAACGAAGAAGCATTCTACCGGCACTTCCAAAATATTTCTGGAAGAGATTTGGCCATTTCCGCATGGGAGTTGCAAACGGTTCTCAATCGTGTTGTAGAAAGATGCTACAGAATGGATGATGCGTTTTCGATTGAGACTTGTCGAGCTCTGGGTAAAGATTTTAAAAGACCTTTGAAATGATGCAAATCGTTTTTCAAGTCGCTGCGGGAGATCCCCAATGCATCGGAAAGCTAGGTTATGAGGATTTCCGACGAGTTTGGCTCGGCGTTCGAAGGTGGCTAGAAATCTTTATCAAATTTGACAAAGACAAATCCGGGAAATTCGACGTGTACGAGTTGAGATCTGCTCTTCGACATGCGGGCATGAATTTATCTACTAAAGCTCTCAAGGTATAGTATTCAGTTTGTCGCACTCCTAAAAGTGGTTTTAAGGTCGTGGTCCAACGTTACGCGAATGAAGAAAGAGTCGTATCATTAACTGATTTCGTCCTTGTTGCTGTCAGACTGAAGCAGGCGATCATTAGATACAACCGAATCCAACCAGAAATGTCGATTGATGACTGGCTACAGCTCATTATCTATTCATAAACTAAGAAATAAATTTTTTCTAACAGATTTTTTTATTGAATAAGTATGGCAGTAAATGAAATAAATTGCAGAGAGTATAATATTTTCTTCTAACGTTTTCTGAGTTGCTCGCGAGCCATGTTGACGACCATTTCTTTCAAGATTCGATCTTGGTTCTTCTTCGCGTACTGGTAAACTTGAGCAAGTTTGTCGAAGTCTAAAAAGCATGATAAATATTTTGGAAGAGAGAGAAAGGGTCATACTCATTTGTTTTCCGCTCATCGAGTCTTGAAGAAGTTTCTCGTATCGATGATAGGCAAGTCGCGCCTTGAGTTCTTTGTCAAGCTTTCCCCGGGTTCTCTTTTGGCTCTTTCTTGAGTTGATTTTCTTTCCTTTTTGTCGGTTCTTTCGCCTTGATTTCTTTGAAGATTTGACTTTTGACTTTTTCTGGATCGGTTTCTTTCTCTTTGAAGGTTTTTTCTTATGGACTGATTTCTTCGATGCTTTCTTCATAGTTCTCGCTGACTTTTTCTTTGTTTTCTTTCTTTTGGTGATTTTTCCTGGCGATTTTCTTCTCGATTTTTTCGCTGGCTCATTCGAAGATTGCGTACAATCCTGGAATCGTGCGATTATTTTACCGTTCTTCTTGAATACAGGGCATAATATCTCGTTCTTCTGTCCATGAGCCCATCCGTATTTTGGATCCTTTGAACGGTTCATAAATTCATCAAAACTTTCATAACTTTTAATTTCATATTTGAAATATTCTTGATAAAATTTCTATTTAGAACCATTTCCTTCAACGTCCACGTCTTTTTATCGGGTCTTCCGTCGTAAGTTAGCCTGCTTCCTTTCGGATTTGTAAATACATTAACACCAGTGCTCCATGTCGTCACATATTTGAACGTATTGCCTCCTTTGATTTCCAATCCATTGGCAGGCGCGAGAATTTTTTCGGCAACTTTTCTGCAGATTACTTTTGCAACTGCTCTGCCTCTTCGCTTTAGAGTTGGGCAGTTATCTCCCGATCGACCGACAGCCCAGCCGTTTTTGTCCTTCAGTGCCCATTTTCTGCCTTTTGGTCCAAGCTTGAATGATGTAAGAAAACATGTGCGAGCTTATCAATTACCTGGAGTTTAATGTCTTCCACATTTTTGTCATTGAAGTACACAATAGTTCCGTCAGAGCGAGTTTTCTTGAAATTGAAAACGTTTCCTCCTTCGATTTTGTAGCCGCCAACAGTCTCCAACTTCAATACTTTTTTCACACCATTTGGTATTGCTATCTTATTTTGCTTTTGATTATTTTTCTTCGTTTGCTTTTTGAAGGTCTTTTTCTTCGACGATGATTTTGGCTTCTTCCGAGCCTGTTTCGATTTCTTGACTTTACTTTTTTTCGTAATTGGAGATTTCTTCTTCTTTACTGGACTTTGCTTCTTCGATTTGTTTTTCTTGTTTGGTCGTTTCACTGGTTTCTTCTTAGTTTTCTTTTTCGGAAGAGAGCATTCAGTACCAACTGCAAAGAGCTTTCCTCTGAATTTCAGAATCGGGCAGACTTCGCCTGCTTTTCCGCTAGCCCAACCTTTGCCCTTGTTATTGAGCGACCACTGTTTTGCTTTTGGATTAAAAAGCAGATACGACTTGCTGTTGACGTATTTGTGGTTGCCGTCTCTTCTGATGCCTTTGAATTTGAAAGTGTTTCCTCCGGTGATTTCGTTATTACCAGTAGGTTTTAGGGTGATTGATTTCTTCTTTGGAAGACTCTTCCTTACCTGCTTCGTATTCGCGGGTTTATTTTTCTTTGTTGACTTTTTGGAGGTATTTTTCTCCGACGATGATTTTGGTTTCTTCGTTGCCTGTTTTGAATTCGTCGGCCTGTTTTTCTTTGCAGACTTTTTGGAGGCCTTCTTCTTCGATGATGATTCGACAGAACATTCTGTTCCCGCTGCGAAGAGCTTTCCTCTGAATTTCAGCTTCGGGCAGAGTTCGCCTGCTTTTCCACTAGCCCAGCCCTTGCCGACATTATTGAGCGACCACTGTTTGGCTTTCGGATTAAACAACAGATATGACTTGCCGTTGACGTATTTGTGCTGGCCGTCCCTTCTGATGCCTTTGAATTTGAAAGTGTTTCCTTCGTTGATTTCGTTATTGCCAGTTGGTTTCAGGGTGATTGATTTCTTCTTTGGAAGACTCTTCCTTGCCTGCTTCGAATTCGCGGGTTTATTTTTCTTCGTTGACTTTTTCTTTGACGATGATTTTACGGAGCATTCAGATCCAACAGCAAATAGCTTTCCTCGGAACTTCAGAATCGGACAACTCTCGCCTTTTTTGCCAATAGCCCAGCCTTTACCCCTGATTTTGAGCGACCACTTCTTGACCTTAGGATGAAACAACATATATGAGTTGCCATTGACGTATTTGTGGTTACCGTCTTTTCTGATTTTTTCGAATCCAAAGGTGTTTCCTCCAACGATTTTGTTCTTTCCAGTAGGTTTCAAGACGATCTTTTTAGGAGGACTCTTCTTTGAAGGCTTTGATTTTTTAGGCTTATTTTGATTCTTAAGCGTCTTTGGCGGCGGTTTCTTCGAAGCTTTTTCCGAGCAATCAGCAAAAGTAGCAACAAGTTTTCCTCGTCTTTTCAACTTGGGGCAGCTATCACCACGTTTTCCAATAGCCCAGCCCTGCTTTTCTGCAAGTGCCCATGCTTTCGTTTTCGGATAAAACAGCAGTCGCGATTTTCCATTCACGTATTTGTGCACGCCGTCTTTTCTGATGCCTTTAAATTTGAAATTGTTTCCTCCGTCGATTCTCGTCTCGCCAGCAGGCTTGAGGGTAATTGAAGGTTTTTTCTGGGCCCGTTTTGATTTCTTTTGCTCTCTTTTCTCTGGTTTCGCTGGTTTAGATTTATTCTTTTTCGTTCTCGAAGATTTTTTATGCGTCTTCTTCTTTGGAGGACTCTGTTTCTTTGACCCTTTTTTCTGTTTGGTTTGCTTTGTCGGTTTCTTGGTAGCCGGTTTCTTTTTCGGGAGAGAGCATTCAGTACCAACTGCAAAGAGTTTTCCTCTGAATCTTAGGATCGGACAAGTAACGCCTTTTTGTCCGCTTGCCCAGCCTTTACCCTTATTTCTGAGTGACCACTGTTTAACTTTTGGGTAAAATAGCAGCCGCGATTTTCCATTGAAGAACTTTTGCACACCATCCCTTCTAATTCCTTCGAATTTGAATGTGTTTCCACCGACGATTACTTTCTTTCCAGTTGGTTTGAGGGTGATGGGTTTCTTATTCAGTTTCGATTTCTTGACTTTACTTTTTTTCGTAATTGGAGATTTCTTCTTCTTTAGTGGACTTTGTTTCTTTGATTTAGTTTTCTTGGTCGGTTTTTTGACTGGTTTCTTCTTAGTTTTCTTTTTCGGAAGAGAGCATTTAGTACCAACTGCAAAGAGCTTTCCTCTGAATTTCAGAATCGGGCAGGTTTCGCCTGTTTTTCCACTTGCCCAGCCCTTGCCGACGTTATTGAGCGACCAGTGTTTGAATTTCGGGTTAAACACCAGATAAGACCTGCCATTGGAGTATTTGTGGTTGCCGTCTCTTCTGATACCTTTGAACGCAAAAGTATTTCCGCCGACGATAACGTTTTTTCCAGTTGGTTTGAAAGTAATTGAACGTCTTTTCGTTGGCTTCTTTACAGGTCTTCTTGACGGTCGAGTTGGTTTTTTGGCGGGTCTTTTAGGTGGCGATGCTGGCTTTTTCGAAGGCCTTTTGGACGGTCGTACTGGTTTCTTCGCAGGTCTTCTTGACGGTCGAGTTGGTTTTTTGGCCGGTCTTTTAGGTGGTAATGCTGGCTTCTTCGATGGTCTTTTGGACGGTCGTACTGGTTTCTTCGCAGGTCTTGAAGGCTTTGCATTTGAACAACTCAAATAAAGCTTGATCGGAGAATCTTTTGTCTTCAACTCAATTTTCTTCACGTTGGCACAAGTATTCTTTGATTGGCTTTTACTCAACCTTACTTTTTATATTATAAAATTTATAAACGAATGAATATATATGAAAGCCTTTCCGGAAGAGCTGGCCCAGAAAACTTGGTCTTTTTTAGTTGTGCATCAAAGTTATACCAAATATTTTGCTTCAAGTTGAAAATAACCGCATCGTCGCGATCGATTTTACGATTTCTATCGAACATGTAGTAAATTAACTTGGGCTTTCCATCTTTGTCCAGCGATAAGTTTGTAAAACGGAGGCTCTTCTGCACTTGACCTTTTTCATTCGCTTTTCAGCGGGTAAAATTTATTCTTGCGACTTTCTAAAAAAAATATTTTTAATCCGCTTTCCTAATTCAATCTGCTCGCAACAGCGCATAAGGTCAGCGATGTCCTCGACATCGTCATAATCGTAGTCGTCGTCGATATCTCTATTTTCGGCTTCGTAAGCCAAAGCCGACCCAATGAGAAAAAGTACAGCGACTATTCTCATGATTTGGAATAATAAGCATTTTTACCAAAACTGCGCTGATAACAACGAAGAGTCTAGAGAACTTTTGCGCGAAAGTTGATCCTTCGATTATTTTTTATAAGTTGATGTACTAGAATTTTGCGATCACGTTGAAAACATTCTTTTTGCATCAAATATTTTCGTTGTTACTGAGCTAGGAACACAGTAGAGCGGAAAAGTACTAATCTATATAATCTTTATAGGTAGTATGATACTCAGTCAGTCGTAAAAATATGGATAAGAGAGAGGGAAAGTAACCTCGTAAATTTACATATTCTGCTACTCAACGGTAACAGAAGTAGAGACAGAACAATTTTGAGAGATATTTTTGCTCATATATACTGCACCAATATTAAATTGAAAATAAAGCTTTTTAGAATGCAAAGATTTCTTGTAGCCATCACGATTCTTTCCACCATCGTCATGGGTGCCAGCGATGATGACTGGCTTTGGACCGGGATGAAAATTGTTGGCGGTGCCGCTGCTGGTTTTGTTGCTGGTCCAGTTATTCTTGGTGGAATCGGATTCACGCAAGGAAACCTTGTCGGTCCGAATCTGAATTATTATTTTAGTGCTGGAGGAATTGCTGCTGGTTCTGCTGCCGCCGCGACTCAGGCTGCTATTGGTAATGTTGCGGCTGGATCTACCTGTAAGCTAAGAATAAAAACCATTACTTGACATTTTTAGTTGCTTTATTGCAGTCTGCCGCTGCAACTGGCGCCGCCGCTACTTATGGAGCTGCTGCCGTAGCTGGTGCCGCCGCCGTCCACGAAGCGGCGAAAGAAAAGAAACCAGCTTACTATTACGACAAATATGGAAACCGCCGCGTCCGATATTAATTCCAATCAAACCTTTTGCATGAAGAAAAATACTGTCCCTTGCTCTTGCAAAAGTCAATAAAATGTCCCCCAGAGTTCATTTTCGTGAGTAATACTCGAATATTTACAGAGTTAGTCTATGCATTAGTTGCCTCTTGCCAGGTAACATTTGCTGATTCGATCTATAACGAGAAATAATTAGATTTTAGTCCAATTATTTTTTGAATAAATTTCAGTCTTAGAAATGGTCAGGGAAAAGCTTTTACTTTTTCAACATGGTTCCTTATCAAGTTTTTACTGAGCAATTAAAGTTGCGTAAAAGGGAAAAGAAAACGAGCTCGTAAATATATTTTTGATCTCTCTTCTGACGGTTATTTACTTCACAGAGATCTCACAGAGTTTAGAGCAATATATAGGTATATGCCGAAAAATAACTAAATCTTTCTTTTTAGAATGCAAAGATTTATCGTCGCCATCATGATCTTTTCCATGGCCGTCATGGGCGCCGATGATGATAGCTGGCTTTGGACTGGTGCAAAGATTCTTGGAGGCGCCGCTGTCGGCGTTGTTGCTGGTCCAGCGATTCTAGGAGCAGCCGGATTCACGTAAAGACATCAAAAATTCAGGAAAATAAGCCTGATTTAAGCGCTGGAGGCGTTGCTGCTGGAACTGCCGCTGCTGCTGCTCAAGGTGCCATTGGAAACGTTGCTGCTGGATCGACATGTAAAGTCACACTGACGATTTTTAGTAAGAATATTTTTAGTTGCAATTCTCCAGTCAGCCGCTGCAACTGGCGCCGCCGCTACTTATGGAGCCGCTGCTGGAGCCGCGGGAGCTGCTGCTTATGAAGCATCCAAAGAGAAGCGAAACAAGAAACGACCAAATTATTGAATCCATCAGAGTTTTTCAACGCTGTCAAATCTTCATTAGAAATAATTTCTTTCCCTTTGAATCCATTCATAATTCATTAAGTTCAGTTTACTCATTTTACTCCAAATAAATCCAAGTTCCCATTTGTTGAAGATATAACCTGCCGGCATCATCGGTTACTGTGCATATTTTTGCTCAAATATTATCTTTGTCAAGGGTCTCTGATAATGAGAGTTTATTCAGTTCGTATTTGTACGCTGAGTAATTTTTGATTTGCTTATCTTAACGATTTGCTTCCAATTGCAAACATATCAAACGACGTTTTCCCTTTTTACAATCAGAGTATTCAAAGAGATTTTTCAGGAGCCAAATGATCTTCGATGAGAAGTATTTCGACTTCGAAAATGGTGAAGTGAAGATTAAACCATTTCAATTCACCCAAGCTCAAAGTAAGTCTCATTTGGATTCCTTTTCTTGGGCTTCTGCGCTTGCCGGTGCAAAAAGCGCTCCGATGTTGTCTTCCTCTGGAATTTCAAGTTTTCTCCTCCCTTTGTTATCGACCGCTGGCTTCGGGTAATATAACTTGATGATTGAAAAGCAAAAAAAAATGTTTAGTCCTACAGGAATACTTCCTCAATCATTGGCGTCTTATTATCAGAACACCGTTGGAAATATTCCTCCAAACACGTTTTGTATTTGACATGTTCCTTTTCATAATTATAACTATTTCAGTTCCTCTTCTTCAATCAATAGGCGCGAAAGAAGCTTTTGCGGTAGCGGGAGTAAAAGCTGGAGGAGTAGTTGCTGCTGTCGATTCTTACTTCCGAAACTCGAAATAAATATAAATAAAAAATATCACTACCTTTCTCTGCAAGTACCGCATTACGTGAAAGATGAATGGCGCTGTAGGCTTATGCTAATTGTTAAAAATAAAACATTTACACCGAGCACCGGGTGGTGGCTGCGGCGCTCGCGAGCAATCCACTCGTGGTCGGCCGCCGCAATCCATGCTCTGCGCTATTATCGTCACTTGATGATCCAGTACTTTTCTTAATCGCCAGTACCCTTTTCAACTATCAACACAACAAAGCAAAAAAAACAGCAATAAAACCATGAGTTTTCAAGCAGAGCAATTAGCGGCGCTTCTCCGCCAAACCCAGCAGCTAGCAGAGCTGAAAGCAAATGCGCTCAAATACGGAAATTCGAAGACGATTGAAGAGGTCAATCAGGAGAGTAACTCGAGAAATTCAGAATCGCCAAAGAGTAACCACAGTTCTTCTTCTGACAAGGTAAATAAGAGAGAGATAAAATGATCACAGTGTTAGATTGTGGCCTTGAAAAAATTTTCAAGGGCAAATCCTCCAACAAAATAATGGTCTTCTCTAACTGTATTTCGATCTTTTGTTATAAGTTTATAATATCATATTATATCATATAATATCATATTATTAATATGAAAAATTATTGATGATTTGATTATCAAATTTGATCGTTAGGGGACTGAAAACGTTGTCCCAAATGGACTCAACCTCGGTGCTCTTGACAACCCTCAATTCTCCATCGATTTCATCCTTTCCAAGGTTAGTTTCTCCCCGATCATTTCCCTGGCATAACCTTTTCTCAAGGCTCGAGGAAACCTCCTAGCATCAGGCCTGAATCCACTAGCAATCAACCAAGCTGTCCAAGCCCAGCTCAGTCTCGCAGCCGTCGCTCAACGCCAGTTCGCCCAGCTCAACCAACGTCTTCTCCCACCAACGTCGAGCCAGGCATCTAGCCAGCTTCCCAATGTCCCACAAATGTTCAGAAACTTTATCCAAAATGACCTCAAGACGCCCGAACAACCAAGTAAGTGCCTATTATAAAAGTCAGCAAGGAATCTTCAACAACGTGAATTTTTTCTTAAAAAATCTAATTTTAACCTAAACATTGGCAAATATTCACATCTGCTTTGTTCTCCGTCGTATAATGAGAGCGATGATAGGTCTTTGGGCTAAGGTGCAGCTGGAGCAATAATTATGCAGAAATTGAAAATAGAAAAATACTGCGCCTCGCTCAGGTGCCAAATCGGATGGAATATTTCCGGCCGAGTTTGACTCCCCGCTAACGAGAGGGCTATCCGCAGCTGGATATTAAAATCATTCCCTCGCCCTCGGACAATTATCAAATATTTAAAGTGAGATCTAATTCAATAAACCGCCTATCACACAAATTCGCTCAATCAACCCCTCTTTTAAGGGGGCTAGACATCGTTAAAATCTATTTTCAAGCTGATTTTTATCCCAAAATTATCATGGTATATCCCCATAGAACCTCTAGTAGGAAAATTCGTACTGTATCAATCTTCGTCTGTGCTTGAATCAACAACATTTAACAACACGTTTAATGCTAATGAAGGAGTTGTCCGGGTAAAAAGGCCCCAGCTGCAGCTGGACAGTAAGTGGCTAACCCCGCGCTACAAAATATCTATTTAGCCATTTCGTTGTATAGCGTGATAAATCGATAGGGACAAACATGTTTTGAAACAACTTGTTCGACAAAGGAGGCAATAATAGTCCATCCTCTCTAATTCGATTGTTTTATACACTCTGCTTCGCCTTTTCTACAGAATTTATTCAAACAAATTGAATCATCATCATTTATCTTTCAGCAATCCCTAAAGCTCCAACTCCCGATCCAACTCCTTCTCCAGTCAAAAACGCGCCAATCGTTCCAGAGCCTCGACCAGAGCCCCGAAGATCGGTAGAATCCGACGTGCCAAAGAAACGACCGAGAACAGCTTTCACGCCCGAGCAAATCAAGAGATTAGAAGCTGAATTCTCAAAGAACAAGTATCTATCTGTTGCGAAACGAATGGAACTCTCCAAGGCGCTGAATTTGACCGAAACTCAGGTAAGCAAAAAATTAGGGCCCAGCTAATTGAGCATGTTTAAAAGGGGCACTTCGCCCGTCCCTGGTGCAAATGAGCCTTTCAAGCGTCAGCTCGTCTACGCTCCTCGGCTAAACAGACATTTTGGCACCGGGCTCATAATTACCTCATTACGAGTTTAAAAATATACTACCAATATGCAGATGTACCTCTTTCAAAAGGAAGAAAAGATTCTACGTGTTGATTTTCTTCCTTGATTTCAATTTTTCTGGCAATTTTAACCGTCAAAAAACGTAGAGTTAGAATAGAACCCGCGTTCGGTGTATATCTAAAGTGAACTGACAGAAAGTCTTAAAGACGAAATTAGCTAAGCTAGGCGATTTTCGCGGGAGGGGACACTTTGATCTCAATTTGGGCCACTTGAAGGTGACTTGATCCCGCGTAATGGCCAAATTTATTCAACAAAATAACACGAGTGCTTACTCTCCTCAATACCACCAACCTTTGCCAGCCCTAGAAGTACTCTCACACCCTTAGTCCTACCGCTTCCCTCCTCGCAAGTGATCATCTTCGCGCTTTATAAAGATTGACTCATCGGCTAAAATTCTGAGAGTTTGAAGCTCTAATGATATTTATGTTCGTGTGTATGGCAAGCTGCACAAAGTTTTGGCGGGATCGGCGCGATTTGCCGTCAAGTGGCGTTAATTTAAGATTGACACAGGTGCGATTAATTAAAAACCGTTAATTTTGAAAATGTTGCGGGCGCGGATCATTCATCGGGACTCAAGTGGGCCGGGCCGCCCCGTGCGGAAGAATAATTGGAATTTAATTCAATTATCATTTACAGTCAGTTTACTCTCTTTTTACGTTTTCCCAGGGACTGATCCTTTTTTTTTACAAACGTACACTAAAATACTCATCCCTTTTTAAACTAACTAAAAAGGGCGTCGGCTGAATGGCCAGTGACGTTAATCCCAATGCGGTGGCAAAATGAAATGCTAATCCGACGTGCTAAATTGGCATATCATAGCCAGTACCGAGCGGCTGGCGCTTGACAGTTACAATTCTAAATATTTTGAAGATTTCCCTCACCGCGAGATCATCCGACTAATTCCCCTTACTAAAACTTGTTCAGATCAAAATTTGGTTTCAAAATCGCCGCACCAAGTGGAAGAGAGAGTACCTGTCTGATTGGGAGCTCTGGGCCCATCAAAATTACTACGCAATGGTAGTTCAAGCCTTATTTCTTATCATTTTCTAACCGATGTCTTTAGGGAATCGGTTCTCCTGGAAACAGTCTCACTCCACAAAACCCTCTTTACAACTCTGTCCCACGTTTGCCTGGACTTCCGCAAAGTTCAACAGCAGGACTTTCCAGCCCAACGTCTCTGCCAACTATTCCAGCTCGGCCTCCACTGATTCCCCCTCAGCTTCTAGCGCAACTTGGAGGCTCGAGCATTCCACGTTTGCCACAAGCTCTTCCTGGTGGACTTGGCTTACCACAGGTGAATACGACTTTTATCGAAACTTCTTTTCAGCAATTAAATTAAGGGAATTCCTTGGCAACATCTCGCTGCAGCAACGTCTGCCGCTTCGATCCCGACGTCTCTCCCAAGCTCACTATCCTCGTCTATGAGCCCTCAGAGTCCAATCGTTCCAGGAGAATCTTCAAGACAAACCTCTCCTGTTGAAAGTCCTAAAATCACAGAAGTGGAGAGCGAGACACCAGCAGAAATCCTGAAAGAAAGTGAATCAACGACTGAAAAAGCCGATGGAGCTAAGTCTCCTGATCTACTGTAACTGTCTCATCTAACTGTAATAGTAAATAGATTCTGTTATATATTAAATAAACTCAAGATTTTCAATCAAAGACTTCATTGCAGAAAAAGCGGTGGAAATGCACCACCGTAGCACCAAGAGAGCAGCGCGAGCCAATCAGGGCGCTCGATACTAATAGGCCAATTACTTTTTACAAGTGCCTCTCTAACAGCGCCACCACTTTTCCAACAGGTTCCTTTTTCGATAGATTTATGAATAGGATCTCGGAAGAAAATCAAAGCTGAGGCACTCTAGAATTGATATTTGGTTAAAGAAAATTTCTAAAAGGATTGATACTGTAGAAGGATTGTCTATTTGAAGCTCGATAAATCAAGAATAAGGCACAGTACTCGTGGCAATTGTCGATTATCGACCTCCTTATCACGTGTTGAATACAAAATTAAGCAGGATGAAGCGCACAACTTTTTAATAGGAAAATTAAGGACCGGTTGCGGGAGCAAAAGTTGCGCAAAGTTAGTGCCGCAATCGATTATCACTTAATTGATTTAAAAATTTACACCTTCATTAGAGCTTATTATTAAATATTGTGTCTTGTCAAAAGAGCGATCCGCTTTTCCACTGCTTCTACTTTGCTATTCACTGCTTTAGAAGAGGATTTATCGCGTACTAGCACGGCTTGCTGGCTCGATTTCAAGCGCTAGAATTGGGGTTTTCGATTAATAGAAATATTTCGTCCTTCTTTTGGAAATGTTGCTGAATTGGGATCAGGTGTGTCCGTTTGATGAGAGTGGTAGGTGACCTCGTCAATGGCAAAACTACTTTAGGTATGTCCGTTCGGCCGCAAAAAATTATCAATCTGCGAGTAGTTAGCCCCGCTCCGCGTCAAATGACGATTGAGCAGGTGCACCCTAAAGTAGGGAACTCGCAATGCGCCTCGTTTGATCACAAATTCCGGCGGCACACATTCCGCATTATTACACTTTTAAAGTGTCACTCTCCCCCCAAGGCCGTAATTCGATGGATTAACTTTGAGCTTGCCGATCTTCTGAGTTTGGTTTAATTCTTTACGCGCTCCTGAGTAATCAGGCCAAGACCCTTTGATTAGAACAGGTGTACTTGTATCAAACACGGGAAGATCTAGTTACTAAGGACAACAAGATGCTCTTATGGGGTATCCATTGTAAACCTGATCTTTGAAATTGAAATTTTCATGTTATATTACTGGAGACAACATAAAACGAAAAAATGGAAACTCTAAATGCATCATTAGCAGAACGAGGAGCAGGGTGTCGTTAAAATCGCCCTGAGACGCGGAAATTGGTTAATTTGGCTCACATCATAAAAGCTGGCCTTTTGCGTCGTAATGCATTGCCATCATAAATCACAGCATAATGCTCACTTCCCACTTGCAAATTGCAACAAATGCCAATTAAAACTCTTCTGAGAGCAGTCGAGAAAAACTTGGCCGTAATTGATTGTTTCCCTTGGCCAATCTGTGGCGACTCTTGAATACAAGCGAGCTTAGTAAAATACGAAAGAGGCAGCAAACACGCTCAAGTGGCCTGTGGTTTTTTGGCGAGGTACTTTCTTAGAGTGAAAATCTCAAACAAAGTGAAGGGCTCCGGTACTGCCCAATTTAAACATTGATTAAAGTCATCCTCTTTTTCCCACAATTTTCAGGAGTCATAATATTTATGACCGCGCCCTTGTGATATCAACCCGTTTTTTTGCTAAAGCTGTCGAGTGGCTGTGGAAATAATACATCTTTAGGCGGCTGGGGGACTTAACGCGGCGCTAGAATTTAGATTCACCGAGTCAGTCATATGATTTTTCATACAACGAATACAATTTTGGTCTACTGACGCGAACAGGTTAAATTTTTTTCGTGTATTAGACGGGAACAAAGTACGCCAGGGCGAGCCTTTGCAAAAACAGCTGGAATGACAATTTTTGTGTTATGGATCTGTTTATAGAGCCGTCTACAGGTGCAGAATTTTATATGGGCCATTGCGCTTGTAATAGCTCTCTACTTGCTCCTCATTAAACTAGCGATAGATGCGAATTTTGTAAACAGAACTCAACTCTTTTTTTTGGAATTGGATCTGTTCAGAAGTAAAACGGGCAATTACTTGTGCGATTCGGCGCGTCAGCTCTACCCTTGATTGATGATGATTTTATCAAACAAAATGGATCAAGGGATGAAATTCGCAATGTTTAGGCCGTTTTTCTCCCATCGCTGCCAATTTACTTCAGTAGCAGAGGACATAGAAAGGCGTGAAAGCAATTTTGGTGAGATCGGTGTTCTGGATTCTCACACTTTATAAATCAAGGGCCAGAAAACAACGATGTCATAACAGCGGATCAGCGCTAGAATGATTCCTCAGCTGGAAAATATTCTGCTAAAGGATGATATCGAGTAAATTTTAGTCGAAACAGAGCCGAAATTATATGACATAGCTGGGCCTGAGAGACCGAAAAAGACATCTTGAATATTGCCGATCTTTTAATAAAATTAAATTTGAAGCCGTCGCGTCTGTTTCCTCGGATAATTTCTTGAGGAAGCGCTCGATCGAAATTTCATTCGAGGGCTTCTTCATTACCGGTTATTCAAAATATAATAATCGCCCATTTTGGGGTAGTGGAAAGATAAAATTAGCACTAACTGCGCCCAGCCGGATCAAAGCGATTGTTGTGCCATTTGTAGACAGACAGAAGGAAATAGCTCAATTATAGAGTTTTATATGCCAATTGAGAGCGGCATCATGATTTCCAGCGGGTCATTAGCTTTTTAAGGAGGTAGATATCAAGAAAAAAAATTTCCATTTTTCCGCCTCAAACTTTTTCAACGTATAGTTTCGAGGTTGAGGAGAAAACTTGTAAGCAAAAATTTTTTGATTGGACCACGTGATTTTTCACAAAATCGCCGCTAAAATCTCGAAAATTTGCCCGTTTTATAATAGATCGACAAATTTTTAGTAATTTAATAAGTAATTACTTAGCTTTCGTCCAAAAAACATTAACAAAAACCCCTGGGAACATTTATAGAATGATTTAAATACTCCCGAATAAAAATTCAAAATTTTATATTTTCGTTGAAAATCGTGAAAAACCGGAAATCGATTCTTTTCTTAAAAAAATTTTTAAAATTTTAAAATCTGGCCCTCATAGGATCTAGACAAGGGTCTTATCTAACTTCTCAGAAGAAAATAAATTTCGCCCTATATAAGGGTTTCGAGGAAAGTCTGCCAAGAAAATGGTCATTTTTAGCGATTTCCGAGTTTTCAACGCCATTTTTACCGTTTTTTTTCTGGAAATTTAGAAATCGGCCTTCCATAGGCACGAGATAAGGGCCTAAACTTTTTATTAAAACAAAAAAAATCATAGGTCACTATGTTAGGATTGGGAGAAAAGTCTGCCAGAAAACCCCGATTCTTGATATCTACCTCCTTAAAAATCATCAATCTTTTAATATTATTAGGAGCGTAATTCATATAACTTTAGATTTGAAAAATTGATTATATGGTTGTATACCCTTAATCTACCGAATTGAAACAAGTATTTTTTTAGTTGGAAAAATGCATCCAAAGCGCTGATGAGTGAATTGGCTACTGTAAAATCAATTGGCTTGGAGAAGTCGAAGTACTTTTTCGCACCTGTAGAATTGTCATTCCGCAATGCTGGCTATTATGGCAAAACAAGTAGAGTGAATTTAAATTCACCAGCGGGCGGCTCATTTCGGCTCATCATTGCAGCTACTCGGCTCAAGTGCTTCAACACCACACCTGAGCATTCTTAATTTTGGAAATTCTCAAAAATCATCACACGCGTTTACACTCACACCCAAACCCTTTCAAAAGCGCCGCAATTAGAATTATTTGCAAAGTGTAAGCCAAAAAGATAATTCTAGCGCTGTCTCGATATTATTGAACATGATTGCCGAGCTCATCGGAGCCACAGGTGCCCCGAGAGTTTTAATTTTATGATTTGACTAAGTGAAGCAATAATTCGTCGACGACAATAACTGCACTTGGAAGCGGGGGCATAAATCTTGCCAGAATCCTGCCACTCAAGAAAATATCAGACGGCGATTAATAATAGAGCTTTGACATTCACTAATTGATCGTTTACGGCGAAAAAACGGGGAGTTACGAGCGCACTTTACAAATCGTTCGAAAAAAGAGAAGCAATTTTCGAACAGATTGGTGCATATTTCCCCGTCAGAATTTATCGCTATCGCAAGTGATTCGATTTTTACTTCATTTCCTTGCAAAGTTTTTTTGGGCTTTATGCTTTCATTGCATAAATAAGTTGACCGCGGTTTGAAAAAGTCCCCATTTTCACCGACCGGTTCTTCATTTTTCGGCTCAAAAACAGACTTCACGTGTTTTCGAGCTCGAAAATCTGACGTGAAAGAAACCTCATGAGGAACATGGTAACCTCAATTACTTCCGAAAAAGCACGTCATTCTGTTTCTTCATCATCTGACAAAGAAACGAAGACGTCGAACTATTTCGTAGACCTTAATTTGTCTTTCCTGAAATGGCCCCATCCCATTTTTGGCAGGATTCCACAGGTTTACATCATCAGTTCGTGAGTCCGGTCTTGAGTTTCAAACTCTTCCAGATTTCGGGGAAAAGGTCGAAGCCGGAAAATCCTCTGAAGCTAGCGCAGCACTACTCGCGTACGCCACAAATAACGAGCTCAGAGTGCGAAAAAAGGCGCTGTTTAGGGGCAATTGCGACTCTATAATCGCCCCCCAAAGACTTAGCTCATTAGTCCGACGAGTCGACAAACTCTCGAATTAAAATAGAAAATACTCAAAACTCCTCCTCAAACTCAAACTTTCTCCAACTTCGAAAGTCAGAGATGTCAAATGGAAAGTTCTCCATCGATTTCCTGCTCAAGAAGAGCCCCTCGCCCGTCTCATCCCCAGGTAAAAACGCTTGTTTTTATGAAAAGTACATTTTGATGATCTTTCGAGCTGCTTCAGGTGGCACATCATTACGGCGATATAAATTATTAGTGCGATAAAAAATTCGATATAATATTCATTACTCCGTCTCCGAAAAACTGCACCTGTGCTAAGCACCCTCGTTTGCTCCAACTTGTTTTTCGCTGAAAGAAATATTGCTAAATCAGTTTTTTTTTGTAGAACGAATCGTTCAAGATAAAAGCTCATCAGAAGACGAATCCACTTCAAAGAAAAGTTCAGGTGAATTTTCAAATTGAAATTTTTATGAAGGAATTCTCAAAAATGTTTCTTAGTCGGATTCAGTTAGCTCACTGAAACCCTTACTTTTCTTTTAGAAATTATGAATAACACCTTTTTTCAGGTAGAGGAGCGATAGATCCAAAAAAGCGACCCCGAACAGCATTCACGCCTCATCAAATAAAAACCCTGGAATCAGAATTTCAGAAGAACCGATATTTATCTGTTGGTAAACGAGTCGAGCTAGCCGACAGTCTTGGCCTCAGTGAAACTCAGGTAAACAATGACTGCGCTTCTATTTTTTTGTCTTGGCAAATGAAGAGTAATTAAGCATCGATTACAGGGGATTGTTGTTAAATGTACAATTGTCATAACACGTCTAATCGCGTGTTCTGATCGGGTGTGAACGGTTCCGATCGGGTGCCCGGGCGCCAGGCAGGCGGAACTCATCCCCTCCAGTTGACACCTTTCTTGGCACACGCAATAGTGGCCTCATACCTCATTATAGCATTGATGGAAGGTTCAATTCTAACGCTCATTTAGATCAAAATCTGGTTCCAAAACCGCCGCACAAAGTGGAAACGCGAATATCTCTCTGACTGGGAGCTTTGGTCACATCAGAGTTATTACGCTATGCATGGCGTTCTAGCGGGGCAAGCAGCTGCTACTGGAACTCATTCACGATCAATTCCCGCTTCCATTTCCGCCCAGCCACACCCTCACTCGCTGCCTCATCACCACCACCAGCCGCATCATCCTCAATTGAGCTTGTTATCCCATCATTTAGCCGGTAAGTCAATATCAGACCCTTTTCAAAGAAAGTTTCAATTGAACTTTCTGAAAATGAAGTACCAATTCCCCATCAGAATTCGCCCTTGATGACTGTATTCCCTTGTGACCGTCGTGTTCTATCGAAGAGAATATCAGTATGTCTCCCCATATGATCCCATAACATGACCAGAAACTGATCTTTCATATGATATGGAATTTGTCCAGTTTCTACGGGAGTAATCAAATCCCAAGTATAAAAAAGTGTGGGTCAACTGATGCGCTCTTATGATAAGCGGAATGAATTAGTAGGATATGTTTTCATCGTAATGTAATCTGCGATTGCCGTCACGAACCGTGTGGAAAAACACGATGTGCGTTTTTGACGACAATGTCGGACAATTACCGGAATTTCCATATTCAGTCACATCGGCGGTTCCATTACCGCGAACGCTGTAACGCGATCTACTTGGAATTAGGGCCGTCAGAGTAATTTACTGAATTTAGCTCCTGCTCTCACTGTGCCAACGAATCTGCAGCTGATATGCGCCGCGGCTAATCTCCAAAGCCGCCAATTAGCCGCCACTGCTCCCGAGTCAGAATGAAGACTTTTCCAAAAATTGCAAAAAAAAAACTACCTGAAAAGTTCACTGTTAAACAACGAAATTTGCCTTGTAAATAAAACCTCGCCAGAAAAAAAACAGTTTTTTTATACAATAAGATAATTAGCAGGAAAGTGTGTATGAAATTCTATTGAATTAGCTTTAGTTTGTATGATGGCTGGCAGGAAGAGGATATCATCTGGCTAATGCTAAGCGAATTAAGCAGTTGCTCGTTTTTGCGAAAAAATGAGCCGCTTTATGTCTCAGCTGCAGGAAGTGGCCAATTCAATCAGGCCCAGACCTACTACAGATGGAAGCTAAATGGATACGCAATTCAGGAGGAAATTCTCTTTCTTTGACTTTCACTACAAACATCACCCGGTCAAAAACCCGCATTAAATAAGCAAAAGAAAGAAGAACGCACAGTTCTATGGGAAAAAAGCACGTGACAGCTGCTTGCTGGTAGAAATTGCCCATCAAAGATCCCACGTGTCCAGTTCGAGTTTCAGAAGATCTCGGAAAATGAAACTTTTGCCTCTTTATTTTTCAGCTTTCTCCGCGCAATGCCCGTAAGTGTGTAATTTGTGTCCTTCGCGAGCCATCTATCATGTGATTCGCTCTAAAAACGACCTTCAGCGATACTGACCTTCAAAAGCTCTGTTCGGACAAATGTACAGACTTGTTAAACGAATGCGTGGAAGATTGCGGAAACGATACAAGTTGCCAGTCACGATGCCAAGGAACTTGGCTTGACTGTCTCAACGAGTGTCCATGTAACAGTGGCTGTCCAAACGGATGCATGGTCTGTTCAAATCCAGTTTGCGGCGGCACGGGCTTTGGTTTGATTTTAAACGAACGATGGGGAAGCTCAAACAGAGCGTATAGCTTGAATTTGGCTACGGATGAGATTCGAGTTGCTCAAGTTTCTTACAAGTAAGTCGAGTTCCGATCAGAATTCCAGCAAAATAACTTCAAGCGATTTCGCCTTCGACATGGAAGATACCTGTACTGTCATCTTTCGAGGCCAAACTTGGTTCTTAGGAGGATATTTCAATGAACGAAAGATCGCGAATTTGGTCGGATGCAGTGTTGTACCGAAAAGCTACGTTCTCACTGTCGGTCACATTGACGGTGTTTACGGCTCTTGTGGCGGTAAGAGAATTTCTTTATCCGCTAATTCAGTTTGTATCTAGCTTTGAACAACGAAGTCTACATGTGCTTCGGTCACGAAAATCTGGGCGAAGACGTGTGTACAAGATGGGACGGCGAAAATCAAACTGTCGTCCAGCAGCGATCAACAAAATACCACGATTGGTCGAGCATGATAAACTACCAAGATCAACTGATGACCGTCGGTGGATGTGGCTCAATTATCGACTGCAACAACATGGTAGAGTTTTACACCGAAGAGGGAGGATGGAAAACCGGTGCCAACTTCCCTCGATGGGAAATTTACGGCCACACGCTCACCACAGATGGAGCAGGAATCTATCTCTTTGGCGGAAAAGTGCGTGGAGCCGTCAACAGTCAAGTTTACAGACTTCTTGATGGAGAGGTAACCGACAACTATCCTTAGAACTGGGGTCGGCGGTCCATCTTTCAAAGATGGGAAAGATGGGTATGATGGGTGCTGGGAAAGATGGGAATGATGGGTAAACCCATCTTTCCATAACCCATCTTTTGATTCTGAAAGATGGGAAAGATGGGTCTCCCAAAGATGGGTAAGATGGGTTCAAATGATGGGAAAGATGGGTTCAAATGATGGGTAAGATGGGTTTCACTCAGTTTGAAGATCGGATTTCTATCTTGTTATCTAAACCTGATGTACAGTTTTATTCCTCCATTAATGATAAATTTAAGGGATCCGCTCCCGATTTGAAAAATGTCATCGAGAGCTTTTTTAAGCAACTTTTTATTATAATAAGGCGCTTCGACGATTAATTTTATCTCGCGTCTATGAAAGCTTATGTAATAAAAAATTTAAGAAGCTACGGCAGGACATTTTTTGCGGACCTCTGCCCATAATTCCCATATTTGGAACCCATCTTCCCCATATTTCGGTTACCCATCTTTCCCATCTTTGAAACCCATCTTTCCCATCATTCCCATCTTACCCATCTTTCGGGAAAACCCATCTTTCCCTAACCCATCTTTTGTTTGAAAGATGGGTCGCCGACCCCAGCCTTAGAACTAACCCTTACTTTTTTATAAGTGGTCTGAGCTTGGTTACGTCAAGCAAGTTTTGACCGGGGCCCTTGTCAACTCTGCCTTCCAAATGGGCCGAAATGCTTATGTTGGAAAAGAATACCTCGAAAAATTCACCCTGACGAGCGACAATGTTGAGTCTGAGTCGATTTATGCTCCTGATACCAACGATTTGAATCTCTACTACTCGCCAATGATCTTTTCAGACACCATCATGTGCGCTTAGAATATTTTATTCAAATAAATTTCATTTTGTACTTCACTTACAATACATAAGTCATGAGATTAAATGCAAAGAATGAGCGTACCGATATCTTTGTGCATCTGTAACGAAAATACAATGAAATCAACGAGGAATCATCATCCTCGACGGCAAAGCTGATTCAGCAGTGCTAGGAACAGTCTTAGACCCGAACGACAAAAGAGTAATTATTTAATTTGGCTGAAATTATCTTTTCGGATCTAAAATTAATTTTCTATCGCCAAATTCGGCCGCGGTGTTGGATTACCTTCGACACCGTCAGCGCGCGTCACAAATGCCGGGGCCACGGTAATGCACAACGAAGAGGAGGCCGAATGTTTTTACTATGATTAAACCGACTTACCGATCTTTACTGACCACCGGGGATCGTGGAAGTCGCACGAGCCGACTAATTGCCAACCCGGGAGAATTAACGAAAAGTTTGAGACGATTATACAGTATAATTTATACTCTTTCTACAGTTCCTAATAAGAAATTCTTTGAAGTAAGCGTGAGTTGTGATAAATGATTTTTATTTCAATCAGCTTTTTTGACGTCAACTTTGTTTAAATTTTTTCAAGTGCTCTCCAATATTCTTCGTCAGCTTTCTTTTTCTCTCGTTCAAGATGCTAAAAATGGTCAATTTGAAAATTCAAATGGGAAAGGGTCATTTTTTTACCTGAGTTTTCTCTCGACTTGAGCGAGTTCCTCTTGTTCTTCGTAGAGCTTGAAGTACGTCCGAATATGCAGCCCAACTGGCAGTTGTTGAAATGGAGTATCTCTTGATATTTTCGCCTTTGTTATCCGCAAATAGGTGTCGATCGCGCTTTCTGGGATCTTGATCAAATGAGGGTTGATGTTCTCGTCGACTTGTTTTCTTCGTCGGCAGAGGTGGTCTTTGAACAATTCGTAAACGCCAACAATCACGACGGAAATCGGAATCCACTCGGCCCAGTACTCGTTTCTAGAGAAAAAATATAGGTTAGAGATAATTTTTAGAAATTACCGAAGTCGCTTGAATGGAATGAAATTTCTGAGCCCAAGAAAAGGATGATCGATGTTGTCGGTACAGTACAGTACTGGTGGAGCGTGAGGATAATCAACTGGAAACTTTATGATGACGTTGGACATTTCGGTGATCGTACCACGTGGAAAATGGATCGTCATCTTCCACGCGATGGCACTGGTGTCCACGATTCGAGATATTGATGCATTCATTCCAGCCTAAAAAGACATGTAAAAAAGGGTTGAATATCAAAAAGTACCTCATTGATGAATTCATGAATTTCGTCAAATTCTGTTTCTTCTCTACTGATTCTCGGTACATTCTGCGGCGTTCTCGGCCTTCTGGGAGTGTAACCAAAGTCGTCCTCGTGAAAATATCCATTGTTTTCTTGTTGCCTATGTTCTTCCGCAAAGTTCGGCTGTGGCAAATTATCTCGTTCCATATTCACATCGTCGACGACTTCTACGTCATCTTCTTCGTCATCAATTACGATTACTTCTTTCTCTTTTTCTTCCTCTGTATTCCCTCCATACTCTGGCTCTTCGTCGAATTCGTCTTCGTAAAAATCATAGTCGAAACCAGGATAATTTCAAAAAAATTTTTGCGGGTCCGGAAATCATAATAAATCTGAAAGTGCAGTTTTCTTCAGCTCGTCGAGACGAGTCGAATGATGGGTCAAACTTTTGATGACTCCAATGATTAACCGGTTAGCCGGCAATTTCCCGGAAAATATATTTCTGGTCGCCGGTTTTGTTCTAGAAATGCTAGAATGACAAAAAAAGCGGGAAACCAGTCCTTGAAATTAGTTATTCTGTGGGTGAAAAAATGAGAATCATATCTCTAACCATAAGATGTTTATCACCAAAATTCTATTTTCTTATGAAAATGGGACCGAAAATTAGGAAGGTGCAGCAACAACGAAATACATACAAAATTTAGAATTTTTATCGTTAAAAAAAGTTTCGCTATATATTTGACCAATATCTTTTTGCCCACAGTAGAACTGACCATAAGGATCAGTTTCCGGGTTCATTCATCATCCTAGCATTTCTAGAACAAAAACGGCGACCGGAAACGTATTTTCCGGTAACCAGCCGGTTAACCGGTCAATCCTTGGAGTTATCAAGAGTTTGACCCACCATTCGACTCGTCTCAACAAGCTGAAGAAAACTGCACTTTCAGAATTTTTACGATTTTCAGACCCGCAAAAATTTTTTTGAAATTATCCAGACATGTTCACTAAGTCGCTCATTTTTGACGGAATTTTTCTCTAGTTTGTTGGAGAATGAAAAAAGAGAAGCGAAAAAGTGAAGTTGTCTAGAGAATTTTTCGCTCATCAAAAACTTCCTATTTTTCCTCTAGTAGGAAGAACTCGCCAAATTCTTGACCAGTCATTGCCCGGGTACTGGAGATTCTTGAGGCGAGTTTTTAGTTTGCCCAACTTTCTATACCATAGAAAGTGTTCCGGAGAACATTTGCGGGCGAGAGGAGGTGTAAGAATGGGGGAGCGCGCGTTATAAGAGAAGTTCCTAAGGTACCGAAGGAAGATGATCGAAGGCCTGATCATCTGGAAGGGGAGCACCTGAACAGGTTCTCTACCCTTAAATATGTCATCCGGAGAGCCCGCAGTCTCTACCGGGCATCCAGGAGTTCCGACTTATCCAGGACTCAACTGGGACTCCCGGTTACTGGGAGAATTTTTCATGTTTCGAACTCGCAACCTGGAGATTCGTTGGCTAGTAAACATACCAACCGGCCACCGCGGGCCGAGATCTGCGTCAAAAAACGGTCTGTTTATGAGCCATTATTTGAAAAATCATTGTTGTTTGCATTGAGAAATCTAGTGTATTTGGATATTCAAAATCGGAAATGAACTTTGCTATTCAAATTTCAACATAAATCCGCGCTTGTGATAGTTTATTTAAAAAGCGTCTTGCGAAACAAAAGAAAGAAAACTTTCCAGGATAATCGGCTGGTGAGTTAGTTCGGGTGAAAGAAAGAAAACGCGCCGGCGGCGTGTAAATTCTCACTGGGCGACATTTGGCGAAAGAATGTGAATTGATGGAAAGATCTTTCTTTTTCCATGTGAGACAACTATTCGCCATCATTATTTGTCTACTTTGGCTAGAGCTCAAAACTAAGCATTATTTTGCCAACTTCATTACAGAGAAAAAGAGAGAAAACATAGAAGAAAATGTCATGTGGACTCTTAGTAAGTAACAAAACTTCATTTCTACTGTTAGCGAACTTGCTCTAACAGCTCTCGATGAAAGGCAAACTTAGATGAGAAGTTTGCTTAGTGAAACTAATTTTTGAAAATGACGCTCCTAGGAAAGACTGGCGGCAGAAAGCGATGCTCATGTCGACATTTGGACAGGGGCGTTTCTTGGCGAAAGTGGACCCCTGAAGAAATATTTAAGGTGATTCTAAAGTTCTAGCAGAAAGTTCTACTGACAGTTACTTACAGTACAGATGTGAACAACATCACTGATATTCAAAAAGTAAAAAGTGATTCAAAAGTAATTCAACCTCTTTTCAGTTCATTTCGTAAAAACCATCACCCGGATGATGTGAACAACCCAGGAACTGATTCTTCTATAAATTATAGAATATAATTATAGACTATAATAAAGAGTTGCTTTTACGTCAATTCAGTTCCGTTTCGATCCCTAACGTTTGAAAATCATTAAAATAGATGTTCGCAATAAAGGTGGATGGACACCGTTACTGTATGCATGAAACGGCATTGAAACAATTAATCAATAAAACTATCCGGAAATAACCTTTCCTAACTTTGTTCTCGAGCCGCATAAAAGCCATTCGGGACACCTTGAGATGATCAAAATGATCCTAAAGGTAAAGAATTTCGAACACCAAGGTTTATTGTTGCTAAATTTCACTGTAGGCTGGTGCAGATCCGAATTTATCTGCGGCTGGACAGGGACGGGGCAAATATTTTCAAGCCATTTCTTGTGTCCAAGACATCAAAATAAGCCTTGAACAAGATACCGTTACTATTAGCAATTGCTTCCGGCCCATTTGACTGTATTCCGGTACTGCTCCAAGCTGGTGCCAGACTTGACATTTTGGACAAAAAGAAGAATACTGCGCTTCATTACGCTGCTACTTATGGACATTATCAATCTATTAAATTTCTGAAGTTGAATGGTGCAGATATAAACGCCCAGAATCACTATGGATGTACCCCTCTTATGGGTAAGTTTTCTGAGGAAGACGAGCTTATGTAGTAGATTCTAGAGGCGGTGGCGAATGGACATGAATTGGTGGTGCAGTTGTTGCTAGAAGAAGGTGCGAATGCGGATGTTAAAAACTTCAAAAATGTAAGTGACCAAAGTTAACCCTATCGCTTAAAAATTGGGCTTTCTCCCCCAATTGGTTGAAAAACGATCAACTACTAGGTATGTTTTAGCTTTCATGTATGGACATCGCCCGGCAACACGGATTTCACCGTATAAGCGATTTACTATCCGATGCTAGTAGAAGACGTCTATTTGCTTCATCTACTCATCCTTCAGGTTAGCGAAATTGCCTCAATGAGAATCCAGCGCGTAAATAACAAACACAAACCGTTGACAGTAGTGAATAGTCGTAAAGCAACAAAAATGAGGTGACAATGCTCGACCTTCCAGACTTCCTTTGACAGCGGCCTTGAGGAGAATGAGTGACCTCCAAAAATTATTTACCAAATGGCCATTTTCATTATTTCCTACTTGGGCCCAGTGACATTTTGCGTTTTATATGACCAACATTATGGTCTTTCTCAGAGAGAGAAAAGCTCGAAAACAACATCGACAGTCAGGCATTGCTTATTGAAAATCGGCTTTACAGTCATGTTATTCAAATATACTATCTTTTGTGCCACTTAGACAAAGGAAGTATTTTAAGGATATCAGCTTGGAGATTCACTTCCATCAATAAACAAGGGTCCAGCAGAGTTTGATCGCATGATGGCGCAAGGAGGAGGAAACAACTTTCAAGTCGACGACGAGATCTTCCAACAAAAGGTAAATATTTTCACTTTCGAAATCCTAAAATCCTAAATCGACCTATCACACCCTTAATCAAACACGCTCAAAGTCATTATTTTCGTAAAAAAGAGTATCGTAGCTGCGCGATTTGAAAATCAACAAGTCCGAAAAGCGACTTCCAGTAAAGCAACCTTCACCAGAAGTTCATAAAATGCCACAGTATCAAAATCCGATGATGCCTCAACCAACGGCGGATGGATTTGGGTCTATAAAAGAAATTCTTGATTCGATTGGTTTGGCCAAATATGAAACTGTTTTTATTGAGCAAGGTAAAAAACTAGTGCGAAATTGAAAGTGTAAATATCATTTTAGATATCGACTTGCAAGTATTTTTAACCCTAAGCGAGCAAGATCTGAAAGAGATTGGGATTAATCTTTTTGGCCCTAGAAGAAAGCTGGCAAACTGCATTTCCAGGTATGGTCTTCAACTTACAAGTATTTGAATGGATTTTTAGGATTCAAGAAGGCTTGAAAACAAAAATAAACGGGGTCGAGCAAGTTTATGCAGACCGTCTTCAGGCAAAACGTGAGGATAGACCTATAGAACCTCATTTTATATAAATTCTAGTGGCCCAAGAAGAGGCAGAACGTGAAAAAGTACAGTCCCAAATGAGCGAACTCGCGCTTTTGCTGAAACAAGAAAAACAACTGCGTGTTATTGCGGAGCAGTTCGTCCAAGACAGCGAAGTAAACAACAACAGATTTCAACAGGTAACGCCCAGAACTGAATAACCTCGAGTTTAAAATCGACCTCGTAGATACTGCAAACAGTGCTATCGGAAGTGGAGATAATGATGCGAAGCGAACAGTCTAATGGCAGCCTCAAGGAGCGACTGAATTTACTCAGACGAACGCTGATCCGATACTGTTCCCAATAACTGTACATTCAATTCAATAAAACAATGCAAAAAGCGATTATGTTCTCTAGGACGTAAATATTTTCTAGATACCTTGATTACCTTCAATGCCAAAATTATTTTCTCAGCAGTTAGACGCATAAAAAATCAGTTTCGGCATGGCAGCTGCTAGAGAACAAAAGGAATACGAGGATATTAATCAGTTTATTGAAGATGTAAGGCATTCTTTTTGAAAATTGCTCTCTACCATCACTGTTTTAGTCTCAATGTATGAATGCATCGGTGAGCAGAATTTCCGCTGGCAACTTTCTCGCTTGGAAAGTGAAGATATTTAGCCCTCTATTCTCTGTTCATGATCTAGCAGAAAACGACTCTCATGTTGTATCAACGATCATGATCGAGTTTCCAGTGGACTATCCCATCGCGCCTCCTGTTGTCTACTGCACTGATGCTGTCAACCACCCATTTCTTGGCGAAGGAAATCGAATTCCTTTCAAGCAACTCAAGTAAGCAAAATATTAGTAAAATAACTTCATCAGATTCAGGGACAAGTCTGCTTGGAGCCCTCTGATTCCGATTTCCCTTGTAATCACTGGCATTCATGATTTGTTCTTGAGCCATCTTTGCACGCATCCTGAGGAAAATCTTGTTTCAAGGCCTCCAAGAATAACGAAAAAGCCGAATTTCGATGTGAAAATACCAGAAACAGCCATCGACAAATATCTCGATCAACCTGAGCTGCCAGTAAATGATAAAATACGAGAAGTCTTCAAGGTTAGTTTTCAAGACATTTTCATTATTTGAAATTCAAAATTTGAACCCGTTTTCAAGCTCCATGAAAAACAAGACGAGCTGAAAGAAGTTCAAGAAAAAATGAGCGAGCTGAAAAAAGCGCAGAAAAAACTTCGAAAACGACGAAAAAAGCTTGAAAAGGCTGTTAAAAAGCGTCGAAGACTTGCAGGGGTCAGGCGAGCAGATGAAGAGGAAGAGGAAGATTCCGATAACTGATTTTTTTGTCTACTTTAACTGTATTTTGATATGAATAAATTTTCTATTTTCTTAATTGAGTGTTCTCTCTAGAATAATCAGCAGTACATGTTGTGGTGCAATTAGGGTCGTTGATTTCATAAAGTTAGCTTTCAAAAATGGAGAACGACGATGTCACTAGAATGCGCAGATTGAACAGAGAATTTCATGAAATCCACGATTTTATCGATAAGGTAGGATTAAAAAGGGTCCTTACTGCTAGAAAATCATCTTTCAGTCTGAGATGAAGATGTCTATTCTGAAGCTCCGGGGCCAAATGTGGAAGGTGATCATTCATGGGCCTCCGGGAACGATTTTCGAAGGGAAGAATCAAACCTTCATTGTCCAGTTTCCCGAGGGCTATCCGTTCGATCCTCCGATGATTTATACTGCAGATGAAGACATTCGACTTCCTTTTCTTCTTGGAGGAAATGTCGCGCCGTTCAAGATTCTCAGGTAAAAAATAATCATGGTTCTTTTTATCTTATTTTTGAACAGTACAAACTGGTTTCCCGCATGTCCGATTTCCCTGCCTATTACAGCACTCTACTACCATTTCATCATCAATGGAAAAGCTAAAAGCGAAAACGACGCCTCGACCACGAAGGAAGAAGCTTTTCTAATGAAACCAATCGAGATTCCGAAGATCGCATTCGAGGCTTTCATAAAGACCGTCGAAAAACGCGTCAAAGCAGGAACACTTTCAGAAAAACGAGCGAAAAATCCACTCGGCATTGTAAAGAATCTCGCCAAAAAAGCTGAGAATGACAAGAAAAAAATCGAGGAAAAGAAAATCAAGGAAGAGAAAACAACTGATGACAACAACAAAATTGACGAGGAGCTGGAAAAGCTGCATGAGCGAAAAAGAGTGCTCGAGGAACAAATCAGAAACTGCGACAAGAAAATTTCTCATTACGAAAAGCTCTGTAACTCTGCCTAATTTTTATTCACTGAAATCATTTTCAATACAGTCTTCTTTAATGCGATCATATCAATTCTCAAGAAGCAAGAAAACTGAGATAGGCCTTATTACTGACATGAAGTATCATAATTGCCGCCTCCGAGCACTGTCCAGTGGACAGTGTCCACTTGATATCAATTCTTTCATCTTTTCAGTTTGATTTTCAAGCTTGATTTTCAGTTTTCGCTTTCTCCAAAAAGAGAAAATTTCCACGACGATGGGATGTAAAATAAGGCAAAGATGCAAAAATACTGAAGCTCTTGGAAGCCGTTAAGAAATAATTAATGTGTTCTAATGCGCATATTGGGTAGATTTACTGGTTTCACACTCGGCTGAAGGGATAAGCATCTTCAGTAAAAGCGAGGAAAAATGTGTGATTGCTTCTCACTCATTTAGAAATGCAAATGCAAAGTAAGTCCACAGTGATTAAAGGTTCAGCGGGTGGAATCGATTTTGACCAACAAATCTGGCAGCTTGGAACTTTTACTTAGCCCTAAAGGCGAATTCCAAAAGTTGTAACGAAATTTGAGATTAATCTTTATCCAACACTTTTTCGAGAAAAAATGAGCAGTGGAATCGCACTGTAAGTCAATTCAGAACAAAAAGGAGGCATTTGCAAATGCGTTTTTTCGGGCAATGGCGCAAATAAAAACCCGACTAATAACGCTTGCCATAATGGCTCTTGTCAACGAGGATTATTGACCCATCAAGTAAATTTTTATAGCACCAGTGTTCGAACATCTTCATTTTTAAAACAAAGCTTTTAGAGATAAATTTGAAAAGAAAAATCTTCAACAGGTTAAAATTTATTAACCCATTACCGCGATATGGCAATTTTATCGACACCAATTTTTTCGTCTCCCGCGCCAATGAGTTAACTCATTTTAACCCGTTGAGAAGTTATTTTATTTGAAAATTCTTTCGAAAAAAGGCTTTTTGAAAGTGTGGCCAGCCTTGAACTTTCCAAAACATCTCTCCCGTCATGTAAAATTCATTCAAGACAAAAGGGTATTCGGCTCGTAAAGAAAGCTATTTTCCTTTTGGCTGAGTAATTATTCATTTATCCAAGGGTCTAGGGCTGCCCGTGCCAATATTTGACGATAACAGTTGCGAATTTGTAGAGTTGAGAACTTTCACCAGAGAAAAATCGCAATGGAGAACGACAGAAAAGCGCCAGCAGCGGGGAGGAGAAAGACGAGAGATTCAGTCAAAAATGTTAGACAGAAGAATGCAAGCAAAATCGTAAGTTTTTTAAATTAAAAATAGTTAAGACCTTTGTAGAGCTCCACGAGGGCTTAAAATGTCAATAGGAAATTAAACTTATCAAGCTGTTTTCTAGACAAAGCAGAGCACAGTCGACGAGTCCAAAGCTCCGAACGATTCGAAGCATGAAGACGAGGATCTTCAAGAAATGATCGTGACGGCGAACATTCAACGGGGCCTGAGCAGAGTATCAATTCGAAAACCGCGGAAACCAGCGGGAGATGTCACAGAAGAAAAACTAGCCGACTTGAATCTGAAAAGAAGAGATCTGACTCAAGGTAAAATTTGCTCGTTTTTTTTTTGGTTTGAAAAAAGAGGTTTTCAGAACTGAAGGATTTGGAATTTCAGCTGTCTTGCATCACGAGTTTATTGGCAAAGGAGATTACTGCTAATGTAAGGCTAAATTAGGGATGGAAAGAAACTGAGAAACATTTTAGAGGATTGTGGAATGGTGCCGAGATCACGGCCAATTCGTCGGCATTTCAATCAAGAGCCACAGCTACCTCGAGTCCGACTTCTGAATTCTAAATTTCTGACGATTCTGGCGACTTTTAAATTATGAAGATTTCACGATTTTCCTTGCTCTTTCACCTCTGTAAATAGAACGAGTAACAACCGCTAATAAACAGCAATTTATCGCATTTTCGATGAAAAGTTCTCTAGATCTTTCACAACGAATTCTTCCAATTCGAGATTTTCAAAATCATCTTTTTTCAATGTTGAAAATGAAAGTTCCCGTCGCTAAGTTAGAGATGGAAAACCACCAGAATGAAGATTCTTTTTTGGGACTTGTACTCGACATGGATAAGGTTAGCAACGGTTATTTTTAGATAATAATCGGTTTGCGCCATTTTTTTGAGGGTAAAAAGCGCTTCAACAACAGATTTTTTTCAGTCCGAGACGGGGCAGGACCGAGATTTGGGCATTTTTTATTTTGAAATTTTGAGAGCGACAACGCAAATTCACCGATTATGGTAAGAAAAGCCGCAATAAAGAACCTAATCTTGGCTCCCAATAAATTGAACTAACTTCGGCAGTAGTGGTTTATGTCAGTTTTTTAAGCCCTTAGCGGATTTTCCGAATTTTAGGAGATCAGAAGGCCGGAAATAAAATTGAAAAGTCGAAACTAAAATCAAATTTTCCCTTTTTTTCTCCAAGAATTTGGGAAATCCACTACTAGCTTGAAAAATTGATATTGCACCACTACTGCCACGGTTGATTAGCGCTAGAATCCCGATTGATCAGTCGCCTAATTCAGAGGGTTGAGCTCATTGACTGGAATCCTCGAACGTGACTGAACGGAATTTCTAGCCCTGGGGAAGGGCGCGCGGCGGCGGCCAATCACGTGCCAGATTCAGTGAGATTCAGATATCGCTTCGTCTCAGGCTCGCGCAAAGTCGAGTAACGGAAATCTGCACGAGAGCCAATTATTTGGCGCTTTTGAGTTTTAACGAGTTTTTGAGAGAAAAATAACGAAAATAATGAAGATTTTGGAGAGAAATTTTTCACTTTTTGACTAATTTATAGTGATTGTTACTTATTAAATTGCTAGATAATATCTAAGCCAAGTAATTTCAGATGATGGAGAAAGACGAAATCGACGCGAAAGTAAATGAGCTGGCCAGGTCTGGCGGAAACCCGGCCATGCGAGGGGTGATGTTCGCCAATATGTACATCAAAGTCAAAGCATACGACTCAGCAATGAGTTGGTTGGATAAATTTTTAACTGTTAAAGGTACTGTCCGAAAGTATGTTTTACTTCTTACAGTCTTTCTTTAGGAAGAGATGCAGATGCCTACTCCTTGTATGGAGATTGTCAATTCGGAAAAGAAAATTATCAAAAAGCGCTTGATTGCTACAAGGTAAATCTTCCTCTCTGTATGATTCTAAATCGAATTCTAGCGCTCCCTCGAATTCCGCCCTCGCCAGCCCGCCCTGGCGTTGAAAGTGGCAGATATGCTTGTTCGCCGTGCCGAGACGCGAAACCTCTCCAGTGCCAAGATCTGGATCGCCAAGGCCGAGAACTTCAACCAAGGCAGTCTCGAGCTGTACGAAGTGCGCAAAAGTTTCACCGAACAGCGCATCGCCGCGAAAGAAGTAGAACCCATCGAGATCGAGCGACTGATTCAAAATCAACTTCGCCAAACGCCTCGATGCGCAAAATTATACATCGACTTGCTGCACCATTTCAAACGCCAGAAGAATTTGAAAGAAGCGATCGCCCCGCAGATTAGAAAATTAGAATCAGACGCCGTATCCAGGTAATTTTGTAATAGAGCGCTTATCCTAAATATGTATAATTACCAACTTAAATTCAAATGTTTCACTAACGAATTCAGAACGGTTCTCATGGGCTCTGTTGAATGGCTCGAAGAAACAGCAAAGTATTCAAAAGACAAATCCGAGCGTCTCTCGAAGCAAATAATCCTCTGCAAGCTAAAACTCCTCCGACAAATCATCACCAAAAACGACTTGCTGAACCTCGACACCTTCCTGCTGGACTACAGCAGCGACGGACAACTAAAAAGCTCGGAACGAAGCTTCTTATCTTCGCCCTCGCTTCTCTCGAAAACAGCAGCCTCTTACAGGGTGTTTTACTCCACCAAAGTCTCGCGAAACCAGCTAATATCTCGAATGAATTACCAAATCACGCGCTCCTCCGTGAAGTCGACTCGTCAAAAATCGCAATTGCTGCTGCGTACCTCAGTTCCGCCGCTAACAACCCCGCCGCCATCGAAAAGGAGCTCAAGCTCCAGCTTTCCGGCGAAGAGCAGCGCATCAGGCTTGCGGCCAATCTCCTTCCAAAGTCAAAATATCTCTCCGTGGCGCTCACACCTGACGACTGTAAACTTGAAGATGTCCAATTTCAAATGGAAAAAATCGTGGCCAACTTCGGCAACGATCTTGACTCGCTCGTTTGGACCCTGGCCGCCGGAGGGTTTAAACCAGCTCTTCTCCAGCGATATGTCAAGTCTCAATTCGCTACTTTGATAGCCACTACATCAGATGCCAATCAAATCAGCCAGTACGACATTGAGTCCTTCCTCGTCGCCGTCATCGCCAATGTCGACGCTTCCTCGATCGCCACTTCGCTTCCCAAAAACAACATCATCTTCAAACAAGAGCAGCGAGATTTCTGGGACGCAGCAGTTCTGCTTTACAAGTCTCAGGCGATGAAGAGCAACATGGCTCAACTCCGACGAACATTGAAAAACGGCAAAAACGTGATCCGACTTGCCGGGCGAAATCCATCTGTAGAAATTGTCACAAAGATTGGTCAACATTTTGCTCACACTGATCGACCAGGCTTTGCGCTCAAGTACCTAGAATCCGTCGAAAATGAGCTGATCTCCCTCTCAAAGGATAAGGCAATCCTTGGTTCAAAAGCCGAAGTGACCTTCCTCGGATCTGCAGCTGTGAAACTCAACTGCGTTTCAGCTGGACAAGCCGTCGCAGACCTCGCGCTCGCCCGCGGAAATTTGAAAGCAGAAGAAGGAAACATTGAAGAAGCTATTTCATTCTACGAAGCGGCTAACACTGCTGAATCCCTCATCAACGCAGCTTCGATGATCCGTGATATCGAAACTGACGATAGCGAAGATTCCCGCGTAGAATCTCTTGAACGCGCGCTCCACTACTGCTCCAAGGCGAAAACGCTAAAGCCAGATGCAAATCAGACAGAGTTGCTTCAAGAAGTCGAATCTGAGTTGTCAGAAGTGCTGAATGAAAGCAAAATGACGATGAACAGCACGGCCGCTAACGCTACCAACGGAACAACTCAAAATGGAACGCTCAACGGAACGCTCAATGGCACCTTGAACTCGACAGTCGAAAGTGTCTATACAACTCCTCAAGTTCGTTGGACGCCGTCTCGTTCCAGCAAAAACAAGGAGCTCGAAAACACCATCAAAGAATTGAAAGAACTAGTGATCCAAAAGGATACGAAAATCGATGAATTGACGAAGAATGTCCAGTCGAACGCAGACAACATCCGTCAACTCACGGGACTGATCACCAACTTGCTCGTCACGACCCAACCAATGATGATGCATCATATGGCCGTGATGGGTGGTCAAAGACCACCAGTACCCATGCCGGGGCATGAAGCAATAGCGCAGATGCAGCGTCTGCCGATGCAACAAGGTCAGCAGCCAGTGCCCATGCAGAATCCGATGGTAGCGCAGCAGCAAGCAATGCGCATGCCGATTAATAGATTTGGACAGCCTATGCCAGGCGGTATGCCTCCTCGGCCAATGATGGTACCTCAACCAGCTCGACCACAAATGGTCCCTCAGCCACAACAGGCAGCTGCTCCGGTTCAAGCACCAGTTCAAGCGGCTGAAATTCCAAAGCCAACTCTACCTGTCTCAAAAGCCGAGCCTCTTCAGTTCTCAACACCAAACAAGACCCAAGAGCCGCCTAAGTTTGAGTTCAAGCCAAAAGATGGCCCCTCTGCATTTGAGTCGAAACCGCTTACTGGTGGTTTCTTGAGCTCCACTCCTGCTCGAGCACCGGCGGCAACCAACACTTTTTCATTCAAATCGCCTCAGCAGATGGAGAAAGAAAATGCGAAACTGGAACAAGAAGAGCGCGAGGAAGATGATCAAGATGGTGATGCTGGTCCTCATTTCGAGCCTGTCATTCCTCTTCCTGACCTCGTCGAAGTCAAGACTGGTGAAGAAGACGAAGAAGTCATCTTCACTCATCGAGCAAAGCTCTTCCGATGGGCTGACTCTCAGTGGAAGGAAAGAGGTCTTGGCGACATGAAAATCATGAAAAACCCGAAGAACGGCAAGTACAGATGTCTCATGAGGCGAGAGCAAGTTTTAAAAATCTGCTGCAATCATTTGATCCAGTCAAGCTACTCTTTGAAGCCCATGGCTGGCAAGGACACCGCTTGGATCTGGACCGCCATGGACAACAACCCAGAAGAGGGTAAAGAACACGAAATCATTGCTCAGCAGTTTGCCATCCGCTTTAAAACCGCTGAAACAGCAAAAGAGTTCGAAAAGGCCTTCATTCTTGGCTCCAAAGCTTCTACTCCAACGAAACCAGCAGAAACAAAAGCACCAGCGAAGCCATCACCGAAGCCCTCTGGCAGATTCGACATCTCCGGCGGAACCAGCAGCGGTGTTTTTAACCCATTCAAGGTTCAGGAATCAAAGACTTCGCCAAAAGAGGAAGCACCTCCCGCTAGACCAATCGCTACTGCCTCTCGATCCAAGGCTAAAACTGCGGCAGCTGACGCAAAGCCACCTCCAAAGGCAGAAGAAGCGAAGGATTACTCGGGTCTCAAGACCAATCTAGCTGCTATTTTCACCAAGAAACCAGAGGAAGTAATTCAAAAATCTCCCGAAAAGCCTAAAGAAGAAGAAAAGCCGAAAGTGAATCTTTTCGGCGGACTCGCGACTGCTATGAAGACCGGATTAGGAAGCAGTGCTACTACTAACGCTCCTGGATTCAACTTCAGCTTCAAAAAGAGTGACGCGAGTGGCGATGCTCCAAAGGCCGAAGCAACACCAGCGCCATCAGCAGGTGCATTTAGCTTTGGGAAGCCCGCTCCAGCAGCAGCTGCCGCATCGCCGGTTGCACGATCTCTTTTCGGAACCCCTTCAAATACAAACTCAGGCTTCAATTTCGCGTCTCAATCTACCGAATCGAAACCAGCTTCAGGAGGTTTCAGTTTTGGCTCTGCTAAATCAACTGGCGGCTTTGGCTCCATCGCTAAAGATTCCAACGCTTTCGCTGGTGGAAAAGCCGATCTGCCCGGAAAAGGAGCATCAATCTTTGGCGCTCCTAAAGAGAAAGAAAACGGCGATGAAGGCGACGGAGATGCTGAGGTTGATCCCTACTTCGCTCCGATCATCGACCTTCCCGATTTGGTCAAAGTCAAGACTGGCGAAGAAGGCCTCGAGGTTCTTTTTACTCACCGAGCTAAGCTGTTCCGTTGGGCGAAGGAAACCTCAGAGTGGAAAGAACGCGGTCTCGGCGATATCAAAGTCTACCGTGATCCAGCAACTGGCGACGGCCGCGTGATTCTTAGACGTGAACAGGTTCACAAATTGGCGTGTAATCATGGCGTCGATCCAAACGCCGAGTTGAAACCGTTGAACAACTCAGATAAGGCTTGGAGCTGGACGGCGATGGATTATGCTGACGGGGCAGCGTCGCCTGAGATGTTTGCCGTGCGTTTTAAGAACGCTGATCTTGCCAAGCAGTTCAAGACCGCATTCGATAGCTTCAAAGAAGGAGCTCCTCATCATTCCGTTGTTGGAGCTTCGTCTGATGAACCCGCTACAAATGGAAAAACCGAAGATCCACCAAAGCCAGCTGAAAAGAAAGAAGAACCAAAACAAGCCACCGGTTTCTCTTTCGGAGCAAAAACAGAGACTAAACAAACTGGTTTCTCATTCGGCGCTAAGACAGAAGCACCAAAACCCGCCGCTCCAGCGGCCACTGGGTTCGGTCAGGTATCCGCTCCGCCAAAGAATGAGACTCCAGCTGAAATGGCGCAACGACTCGAGCGCGAGAAACTCGCTAAAGAGCTGCAAGCTGCTGCATCATCGAACAAATTTTCCTTTGGAACAAAGTCTACTGCTCCTGCTACAAGTGGTTCAGCCGCACCCGCTCCTACTCTCTTCGGTAGTGCAGCTAGCAAGCCAGCAGGAAATCAGACCTTTTCCTTTGGAACACCTGCTGGAGGCTCTGGATTTTCTTTTGGCTCAAAAGATGCTGGAAAAGCTGATTACAGTCACATCGGTTTCGGAGCTGCTAAAGCTGACGATTCAGTCGACGAGGATGAGCTCTTTGGCGTGAATAGCGAAGCGAGTGATTCCGAAGATGAAAGTTCAATCCAAGTTGAGTCAAGTGAAGTTGCTGCTCTCCCTGATTGCGAGCTTTTCAAGAAGCTAACTGGTCGGCCTTCTGAAGAACTCGTCAAAAAAGCCATCTCTCTTGGGCTTGCAGAGACCTTCTACAACTACCTCGAAGCAGGAACTCCTTCTGAGCCTAATACCTTCCCATGGGAGACAGAAACGGCGTCGATCCCTAAACCTTCGTTCTCGTTTGGACAACAAACAACGCCTGCTCCTGCCTCTGGTGGTTTCAACTTCGGAGGCGCAGCGAAACAATCGAGCGGCTTCAACTTCGGTGGCGGTTCATCTGGCGGTGGTTTCGGTAGCATCAAGTCAAGTGGCGGCGGTTTTACCTTCAAAACTGATTCTCCTAACAACGCCTTCAAAAACGCTGGACAAGCTCTTTTCGGCGGAAACGATGGGGAAGATGGTCAGAACGGCGACGGTGACGAATGCACAGCTACCTTCAAGCCAGTTCTTGAGGAGCTTCCGCCAGAGATCCAGGTGAAAACCGGCCTTGAGGAGGAAGAAGAGCTATTTTCCCATCGAGCTAAACTCTTCCGCTTTGCATCAGAATGCTCGCCCCTGAGTGGAAAGAACGAGGCCTCGGCGACGTCAAAATTACTCAGAATAAGACCACAAAACGTTACCGTGTGGTGATGCGACGAGAACAAGTCTTCAAGATCTGCGCGAATCACTACATCACCGCGGAAATGTCACTCAAGCAAAACAGCAACTCTGATCGAGCGTGGATGTGGACTGCGATGGATTACGGCGATCCAAACGAGCCTATTGGACAAGTTCAAAACTTCTGCATCAGATTCAAAAACTCAGAAATTGCGAATAATTTCAAGAAGGTCTTTGAGGAGTGCCAAGTTGGCCTGCTAAATATACCAATGAAGTAAGTTCCACTCTGTTACATAGTGTCTAACGGCTTATTCTAGTACTCCATCGAGAAAGGACTCCGAGGAAATATCCAAAAGTAGAATCGCGATCAACGAAGAGAAGGTCAATAAAATGAAGGACGAGCTTAACTACTTCAAGGACAAATTTGAAAAGAATGAAGAGATCAAACTCGGTAAGAAAACCTTTCAAAAAGAACAAATACTTTATTTTGTTTTTCAAGGTGAAAATGGAAGTATAACACCTTTGGTCAAGCAGCACAAGGAAAAGCTCAACAGAACCAAGAGCGTTCTACCAACGCCGCAGGTCATTGCCAATAAGGCAGATGAAACGTGAGTGTTTATTATTTTATTAGGACGATCGAGAACTGAGAATTAAATTGATTGTTTTTAGAGAGAGCCCGGAGAAAGAAGCAAATGTTTCATTTACGCCTGTTCTTGAGAAATTGCCCGGTAAGGCCTCCTAATATTTGAAATTTAATACTAACTTTTGCTTAGACCTCATTGATGAAAAGACAGGAGAAGAGGAAGAAACCGTCGTTTTCGCGTCTCGTGGAAAACTGTACATTTGGAAAGACGAGCAGTGGAAAGAACGAGGTCTCGGCGGAGTCAAGATTTTGTCGAAAAATGGCTCTAGCCGAATTGTTATGAGACGAGATCAAGTCATGAAGGTAAAAAAAGAAGTTGCTTTTTGATATCCATTGTTTCTTTCTAGGTTTGTCTCAACATGCCGATCAATAAGGACACCCCGGATGTTAAAGACAAGAAGGATTCAAACGGAAAGGCGGTCAACTTTATCGGCCTCGATTTCAGGTAAACTGGAGCTATCATTAGAGAATTATTGATATCAAAATCTCTTTCAGTGGAATGGCGACAGAATCGAAAGACATGAACGTCGTTGGAGAAGAAGGAGTCACTGCGTCAGAGAGCGGCGAGCTACTTAGCTTTGCTCTCAGGCTCAAGACAGAAGAAATCGCCGGTTTCTTCAAGACTGCTTTCATGGCTGGAAAGAATGCCGAAACAATCGCCCCCGTTTTCGTCCAGAAAGATGAGCCAAAGAGCATCAAGTCGCCCGAGCCCGTCAAATCCCCGGAGAAGGAGGAAGAAGCAGCGCCAGTTTCGACTGGACCAGCCTTCTCATTCACCGGTGCGTTTATGTTAAGAATGAGCGGTTTAGGGCATTCTGGGCCATTTTGGATGTGAAGGGAACTCTTCAAAGGGTATTTTGAGCTCGTTGCTGTCTTTGATCTTTGATTTTAGTCCATTTTCCCTAAACCCTTTTTTCGAAGGCGTAGATTGCCTGTACATCTCTTCAGCCCCGAATACCCCAAATCTGCTTGCGAGAATCAACTTCTATTATCATATTTTTTCTTAATATTTATTGAACATATTTCAGGTTTTTCTGCTCCTGCGGCTACCGGTGGATTTAGCTTTGGCTCGCCTGCTCCCAAGCCAGCCTCAACAGGATTTAACTTCGGCGCAGCGGCTTCTGGCAATGCTGCTCCGAAAGGATTCAACTTTGGAGCTCCGTAATTGAAAGAAGAATGTTTTAAGTTTGTTTTACTGTATCTGCTTTATATATGCGTTCAAGAAAAGCACCGTACCCCTCCCCACCTCACCATGAATCCCCAGAACCTCCCTTACGTTCAAAACTATAGTTTATAATAATGTAATTTATTCACTGCCACATTTGGTCCATGTGTTTCAACCCTAAATATAAAATAGGACAATTTTCACTTCAAATACAATTCAACAACCCTCTCTAAAATCCCTTCGGAATCCTTGACAATTAGATTTTTATCAAGGCTTTATGCGGTTCAATCATATTTCTTGAGCAGGTCATGAAGCATTCAATCATTATCGAAAGTCAAACTTGACATCAAGGGCAATTTCTACCGCTCCGGCTGATAAGCGCGTGTCGCAATCTATCAAAATTCTCATGGGGCGCTCTCGAGCGTCAAGGAATGCGCCGCAAAACTGTCTCGCGTCGAGCCGTGTTTAGGCCTCATGTCGCCACCTTAGCCACGCTCGTCCAAGCCCAAACAGATCATTACAACAAATTTTCACCTTTTTTGATCTCACCCGCGAATAAAAAGATCTAAGGAAGAGTCCTGTAGCTTTGAGAGTTCCTGAAAAGCTTGATGAAACTGCTAGCTAGCACTCTTCTTTCATTACTATCGGCGGAATATACAAATGACTTTGTCTTGCACTCCAAACATGGCAGAGAAATCATAGAGAGTATTGCTCTTGAAAATGAACTAGAGATCGTTGAAGAAGTTCTACCAGAATTCTGGCATCTCCGCGGCCATAGATTAAGAAGAAGATCCGCCGATGCTTCTGAATCACATAGGCAAGTTGAAAATTTGTGAGATCACGGCGTTGAAAGTTTCGTTTCCAAATTTTTAATCTCAAGAAATCTGACTTTATACGATGAAGTCATCTGGGCAGAGCAGCAAAAGATCCATTCACGTGTCAAACGCGATGTTTCAATGAGCGATCCTCTTTGGGATCGAATGTGGTACATAAACCCTAATTATGTAAATGAGCGGACCGGGCAAGAGCGAAATGCTCATGCGACGAGGCATATGAATATCACAGGTGCATGGGCTCAAGGTTACACAGGCGCGGGTTTGAATTTTCAAAATTAACAAAGTGCACTTTTTTTATTTTCAAAGTTTCATCCTGTTGAAAGGAAAGGGAATAGTAGTCACAGTACTCGACGATGGAGTTGAAAAAACTCACCCTGATCTTGTTGAAAACTACGATCCCGCAGCTTCTTATGACATCAACAACAACGATCCTGATCCAACTCCTCGATACTCCGCCTTCAACCGAAATTTCAACTATGCAACTGCACAGTGGAACGCCCGGTCAAATCCAGAGCTTCGATTAACCAGCGATCTTCGCAATTATGAACGAGAGACTAACATGCATGGAACTCGGTGTGCTGGACAAATTGCTGCTTCTGCGAATAATGGTCTTTGTGTTCCAGGAGTTGCTTACAACGCAAAAGTTGGAGGGATCAGAATGTTGGATGGAGATGTGACTGATCTCGTTGAAGCAAAATCTATTGGTAAAGCCATTGTTCGACTTATTGTTTCACTTCGAGGTTCTAGGGCTGAATCCAGACCACATCGACATCTACTCCGCTAGCTGGGGCCCGGATGACGATGGACGTAAAGTTGACGGCTAAGGGATCATCTAAAAAGGACCTGCCAAGGTCGGACACTTAACATGAGCTTAAACTATACAAACACGCTCGTTATCGAAAAAATAATATCAGATTTGTTGATCCCTCCGATGGCCCGGCAAAGCTGGCCACTGAGGCATTCAAATATGGCGCTCAAAAAGGACGGAATGGACTTGGCTCAATTTTTGTTTGGGCATCTGGCAATGGTGGCAAATACGATGACAATTGTAATTGTGATGGCTATGCAACGAGTATCTACACCGTTTCTGTCAGCTCGACGACGATGAATGAAGATGTTCCTTGGTACTCGGAATCTTGTGCTTCAACGATGACAACGACTTATTCTTCAGGTTTGTTCTTCTGTGAGAATTTACTGAGCAACTCGTTAGGTGGATTCACATCAGCGAAAATAGTCACAACAGACCTCAGAGGAATGTGCACAAAAGAACACACAGGAACGTCAGCATCAGCTCCGATGGCCGCTGGAATGATCGCACTCATGCTCGAGGCGAATCCGAATTTGACATGGAGAGATGTTCAGCATATCATCGTTCAAACTTCTAAAGCGTCCGGTCTTTATGATCCCAGAGGAGCGACTAATCCTGGCTGGCTTACTAACGGAGCCGGGAGACAATATTCTCACAGGTCAATTGAACAATTTGTTGGAAAATTGAAAATCTTTTAAGATATGGGTTTGGATTGATGGATGCAGGAGCAATGACAGAATTGGCGAAAAATTGGAGTCGCGTGTCCAGACAGCTCATTTGCGAGCGCAACGTTATCAGTGGAAGCAGTCAAGTATCCATCTATTCTTCCTCTTCGTTCTACAACCCGATCATTGTCAGTTTTCACGTGTCACAGGAAGACTGCCCCGCCGGAATCACTCAAATGGAACACGTCAAAATTCAAATGAACGCGGCATTTAGCCGTCGCGGAGACTTGCAAATGATTCTTGTCTCACCATCAGGAACTGAAAGCGTTATTGTGGGCGCGAGGCGATACGACAATTCGAAACAAGGTTATTTATCGTTTTTATTGTTTTCAATAAAATTGTGAACTTTACGATTGCATAACTTGGTTTTTTCTAGGATATTATGGCCACGAATTTATGACGGTTCACATGTGGGATGAGTCCCCTTATGGCGAGTGGCATTTGAAGATTATGAACATGGGCGCGACCTGGAATCATGGAGCAAGGAGCAATTCTAGCGGCTTTTTACGGCAGTTTTCGTTGCAAATTCATGGAACAAGAGAAGGAGGTTTGTATCCATCTTTTTCCTCTAACTCAATTTAGCTTTAGACATGCCTGAGAGCACAAAAAGAAGAAATAAAACTAAAAATGAAATCCGTAACGGTCTCTGGCCCGCCGTCAATCGCGCCTATCGCCTCCCCAACCCTCGATATCTTTACCGAAACGAAAAGGGAGACACTGAGAAGCATTCTTTCCTGAAGTCCGCAGTTAAAACACCCAAGTCCAAGCTCAAACCAGCCGTTCTTAGATCAGGGTATCATGGATAAATGGTAGAGGTACCGCATTTTTCATCTAAAAATATATTTCTAAAGCGCAGAAAATATATTTTTATTGCCTTTGAAATAAAAGTTGCTATCAAAATGAAAGATTTTTCGCATTTTGATTTTCACTAAAATTATGACAAGAAAAAATTTATGAACCCTTTGCAGCTATTTATCGAAGCATGGGAGTCTGCCGAAGAAGCTCGGGAAGAACTTCTTTGAAATCATCTTTGGAAAAACGCTCGAGTAAATCTTTTTATTGCCTGTAATACTGTATCAAAAAGCCTGTACAACTTAGCCTGTGAGACTATTTACAATGTAAATATCTTGTCGCCTTCTTTTTTATTCATTTTATTTCAATGGACAATATGTTCAAATTAAATTCCAGTCCCAAGGTTTCGGAAGAAATTCTTGTCGTTTTCATCTGGCTTGTCGTCCAGCGAGAAGTTTTTCTTTATTCATTAAAAGGTCGGCTTCGAATAGGTTTTTACCTGTAATTTCTGCCAGCATTCGTAATATGCGTCGTCAAGCACCTGGCACGTTTTCTGTCCCCATTTTGTAATCGCCAGCATCAGCGATGTTTCGAACATGAATGCCAGTTGTCCACTGCCGATAAATTGAGGCTAAACATGAGATTGAGCCGCTTAGAGCGTTGTTATCGCGCGTTACCTCCATCGGAGCTGAAGAGGCTTTCGAGAAGCACTCAGCATCGGGACCGTGCGGTGTGCCGATTGAATGGAGAGTAGCGCCACCTGAGAAAATAATTAGATCAGGATAAGGGAGGATTTTTTGTAACCTGGAAGAAAACCATCTTCTTTAGCTTCGTATTTGCCGCAAATCAGTCCCATAAACTCACTAGAAGAATTTGAAATTGGCAAAACAGGATAATTAGATTATTTAACTTACCTCATAACATTTCTATGATAATAAGGGGGCCTAAAAGTATGTTCATGCACCGACCAACGAGGCGGAAAGAGCGCTAAATCAACAACCGCTGTTCCTTCTTCCAGAGAAGGGGCCGTGAGAACGGTGAATATCGAAGGGTCCATATGATCGAAGGTCACCGAGTTAACGGCGGAGAACTTCCACATGTTGTATTTATACGGCGAGTAGTTTCCGTGCCAACCGACGACGTCAAAGCAGGAGTGATCTTGCTCGCAGACGAATAGTTTTCCTTGGTATTTATTGTAGATCTTGAATAGTCCTTCTTTTTCGACGTAAAACGCAGTCGGATATTGGAAATCCCTCGGGTTGGCGAGACCGTTAGCCCCGATAGGACCAAGATTCGGCAAGGTGAAACGAGTACCAAAGACTTCGCAGATGTAGCCACGTGCTGGACCGTCAACGTGAACGGCGTATCTAGTCTTGAGTGAACACAATTGAGGAATGTTAATGATGCACCTGATGTTCTGAGGAATGACAGCCAATTCTCCAGGTTCGACAATGAGTAGACCAAGTTCTGTTTGAATTCTCAATGTTCCTTCCTGTCTCGAGGCTTTTTCAATGATTCTTTGGTAAGTAGAAATAGCAGAAATATGCTGAAAATAAAATTATAATGAAGTAAATGCCCGTTTCCTGAGGGACAATCAAAAACTCTCCATCTGAAGAGTAAAACGCAGAATTTTCCATTGAAGAATTGCAAGTGTAAACATAAATTGCCGTTCCATGTCTGCACTTTGGATCCCCAGCGCCAGAAACAACCTTTAGTCCCGCTACAAAATCAACATTTTCCTCTTCTGGCATTTTAAAAGGCAGCCATCTCTTCTGATTAGGATCTGGATACTCTTCATTCCAATCGTGGGTGAAATCCTCGCGCTCAGGAAGTCGCTCGAATCGCCTGTGCTTGGCGGATGGAAGCATTCGATACACCCATGTTCTTGAGTTCTTTGTTCTTGGAGCTGTGAAGGCGCTTCCGGAGATTTGCTCTGCGTAGAGGCCATAAGGACATTTTTGAGGAGTATTTTGGCAAGGAGGAAGGGCGCCTTTTCAAAGTGATTTGGATTTGATTTTGGGCCAGTATGTCTTGCTTTAGCTAGCGAAGTCGGAAAATAATTAAAAATTCAAACCACAAAACTGGAGCTCTAGGATCTTCTGACGCAAATTCAGAGCCAAAACCAGTCTGGTATTTAATTCCTTCCCACATCCCAGGTGTCCGTTTTCTATATTTAATTCTCTTGTCTGGTTATGTTGCGAAATGATCTTATATGCTTGCTTTTAGCACCGTCTTTTTCATCGTCAACGCCCACTTTACTCATAATCGTGTATTTTTTTATTTTACATTTTTATTTGATCCATCATCGGATGATCATAAATGTGGCAGAAGAGAGATTATTAAGTTGACTCATATAGTGGTGCCAGCTCTTCGAATAGATATGGAAGGGCGTAGCGGGAATAGAAAGCGGGGAGGATCCAAAAAACGAGGCCAGAAAAGACAGCTACCAATCCATAAACGATATTTGAGTGGTCTTGGTTGATTTCGGGAATGTCAATTCGTATCTTGGCCTTTTTGACGGGCATTTTTCTCATCGCGACCTTTTAAAGAAAATCCTTTAGAAAGAGAAATTTGACGATTGATACCTTGACTTCGTCGTTCATCTTCTGTTTTTCTTTTGCAGAAAAGTCAAAAATTGTCTGTCTTCTTTTTGGGGACCCATTTACCGAAGCCGCTAGTAGAAATCAAAGTTACTGAACAAATAAATGTTCTTACAGTCGATGAACGAGCTCATTTTGGAAGTAATCTTTTTGGTCACAATCTCTCTGAATCTCTTCCTCGAGTTTTTCTGTTCAATTGCAACTTCGGTCTCGACTTTGTGCGTTTGCGGCAGCTGCTAAAAAAAGCAATCAGTTGATCATTCATAATAAAGTGGCACAGTGCCTAAAAGCCCTGAGAATGCAATTATTTCGCCGATGAGCGCGTTCTGTCTCATGCATCGCTTGTTGATTTGCATCGCATGTTCTGACTGTTACTGTATCTAGATAACTTAAATACAGTGACTCTGAGCGCTTATTGCTGGCGGCTGGACATTTATCGCGCTCAGAATTGAAGTCAAGGAGGAATTACTACCAGCTGATCAAAATGCTGCATAGAGCCGTTTTCTTTCTTCAAATCTTTCATTTCAAATCGCAGCTTTTGTTTCTCTTTGACGCAACTTTTTATATTCTGCGTTGGCGAGTGTTTCAGTATTCCTCCTTGGGTGTCATCTCTTCTAACAATCATTCTCGCCATATTTATTATTCAAAAGAACGAGCTAAGTACGTGTCATCCTTTTTTGAGAAGAGGCGAAGAAAAAGGGATAGTTTGGGGGTCGTTTTTGTGGTCTAAAGGAGCGTCTCGAGTAAATTTATATTCAAGTGGCATTTTGTCAATTACTTTAATTGCAACAGGTTAGTGCATATGTTGGAGAATATTTATGGCTTCAAGAAGGCTTAAATTGGCACGATCATGAATGAAGAATGCGTGCGAGAGTCATTTTGCTTTCTAAATGAGACGATGGAACTGAAAAAAAATTGTTTTAAGAAACCGTCGATAGTAATTTATTGAAATTTTCGGGAAATACAAAGATCATCGATTACGTTTTATGGTTCTTGAACTTTAGGCCCAAATTTCTCTTCTTTTTCTTGCTTCCCGAAGATGTTCTGAAGATCCACTTGTCGTGACTCGTAGAAAATACTCTTCTCGCCCAAGTCCGAATCAATTCGTATCATCATTGACTGACCATCGTTCTCAAGATATCGAGCTGCAGTGAGTGCGAAAAATGTCAGAAAAATCTTCATTTTTCACCGTTCTAAATGATTGCCACCATGTTCTTCGAGTTTTTATGAAAAAGGGATGATTGTTCATTTCTCCTGCGGCGGTGTTTTGGTGCATGGTGGTGCTCTGACGTCAAAATTTACGTCACAGGACCTTTCAAATGCCATTTTAATCCACGTTTATGCAGATTACCCGCTTATAAAATGAAATAGTCAACTCTTATAAAACTTTTTTGATAAGTTGCCAACCTCCTTTTCGCGCTATAATATTGCGTAGGCGTCCCTTCTACAAGTGCGAATTCTCATAGAAAATTATTTTCTTTGAAAAAATGCGAGCTGTTCCTGAGAGAATTCTTCTTGGGCAGAGATTCGCTTACTACAGAAAAGGATTAGCGCCGTCCACGAAACAAACTCTTAAAATTAAGGTACTCATTTGATTAGAGTTTTTCGTTCTTAGAAAATTCAGTACAATGATACGATGGGAAATGTATTCGTCAACTCTTTATCGACAAAAAGTGATTCTTTCGGACGCCTTCATATACCAGCGGAGCAAATTTCAAACCTGATCTCGACCTCTAACCCGGAAAAGCCAAGCGCTGCTTTCATTCTCAAAGAATTTGAGTCCACCCAAATGGAGTTCATCCTTGATGATGTTTCTGAAACTGTTACTGTTGAATCTGGACTGCAATCCGGTGAGATAATCAAAGAAGAATGGCGAGGAGAGTTCGTCGGTAATTTATTCTACCCGAGCAAAGAGGGAAAATTCCCCGTTATTGTGCATATAAATGGCGGAATCAATCATATCCAAGATTCTCGTTCAACGATGCTAGCTCGAGAAGGATATTGCGTTTTAGAACTAGCTTACAATGTGCAAGAATATGGCCAACCAGTGCTTTTTACGAGGAAAGATTTCCCACTGGAACATGTCGAGAACGCAATTATGTAAGAAAAAATCTTTTTTTTTCTAGCGTTTATTTTCTTCAGAAAGATATTGAAGCACGAGAGAGCTTATGGAGATCGAGTAGTTTTGATGGGACAATGCAAAGGGACCGATATCGCGACTGCTTTTGGCTCTCTTCGTCCAGATCTAGTAGAATTTGTCATCGCTCAAGCTGGACCGACTCAACTTCCAGTCGCTACTGAAACGTCTTATCGAGGAAATCGCTGGGAAGGCATGGAGATAAATTATCTGCAGGCAGAAGAATTGATGAAGCTAACGAAGTTCTTTTCTTTTCCAAAGGACGAAAATGATGTATTTCGACTCAAATACGGGTCCTTTCTGGCTTTGAAAGGAGATCATGGGCCGTTGTTTTTAGAAGACAACCAGGAGGATGGAAAATTTTTACTGAACGAAAAATCTGCGCGAAGCATAAAAGACAAAGCATTTCCTGTTGATCAAATGAACAAGATGTTTTTCTTCTCTACTCTCAATGATCCAACAATGGCACCAAATTCTGAACTAGCGATGGAAACAACTGAATACTTTCTCGGCGATAAAAACAACGTTGAAATTGAGTTTATTCACTCGGGTCATCTAGCTGTGACTCCAGAAATACCAGTGGTAGAAAAGTCTGTGATGAATTTTGCTGGGCTGAAATGCGAGATGAAATGGTCAAGTAACTCGACAAATGAAGATAGAATCAAAGAAACGAATGAACACCGACGAGTTTATAAAAAAATAACTGAAATATTGAAAGCAAACTTTTAGGCTCTTGAAATTATAAAAATTTTATTCTCACACAATTGATTGATTTGCCGAATTATTGTCAGCTGCATTCATTTTTTCTTCCATACGTGCCATGAACGCTTCTATTTTTTGAAACCTCTCTTCGATACTTTTTTCAGTGACGACTAATTTTGCTTTAATAGGAATTCAAAAATATTTAACTTACCACTATTGACAGACGGGGTCCGGTATTCGCCAAGCGAACTCTCGGATTGAAGACTTACACCGTCGAGAGGAATAATCTTCGTTTCTAGAGGACCATTATTTTGTACATTTGCCTGTGAAAGCGGGTCATCTGGTAGAGAAACTACAAGTAGCTTTAATATTTAAATTGAAAATAATCATCTATAAACTCGCCAGTATTAATGACAGGAAGACTTCCTAGCGTACTCTCTGAATGCGTCCTTTCGGGCGTCTGGACATGCGAAAAAGTTTCTGGTTGAGAGGAGACTACTGTATTTTGAGCACTTGAAGAGCTTATTTCTGTCTCTATATTTTCTTCGTCTAAATATCTTGGTTTAAAATTGAATAACTTAGAGGCTTATTTCCATGGATAGAATAAATAATTAATAAGTAAAATTTTAAGGATGCTATTTAAAGTCAAGAAAATATAATTGATTTATTAATGATTTGCCCTATACATTAGCCTTTTTATTATGGGATCATTAAATTTGGCTGCTACTATTTTCTGGAGTTTGAAAAATTTGGAGTACTTTTTCTGGAAGTTGTAAAAAATTTCGCAGGTTCCGTCTGGAGCAGCGAAATTTCTAATCGATTTTTAAGGGTGTTAAGGGCCTCCCGGCCCCTCCAAACCCCGACAAAAATGTGGGCCCGGGCCCGTTCTTTCTTTTGCCGGGGTCAGGTACCCTTAATTATTACTCTAACACCCTTAAAAATCGATTTGAAATTTCGTTGCTCCAAACGGAACCTACGAAATTTTTTACAACTTCCAGAAAAAGTACTCCAAATTTTTCAAACTCCAGAAAATTGGGGTAGCCATTAAATTTTGAAGTATTTTATTATTACCATGAAAGCATTTGATCACTGGAATGATAGTTCTAAATAATTTTGGTGGTAATAAAGCGACAAGCGCCAACAACGTTGGAATTGCTGTGCCGGGAAGAAAATAATAAATATAAATCTCTGAGCCTCCCCAATCATTAGTCGCCAAAACAACAATGCATAGAATAGGTCCGTAAAAGATCAGTGCTGTTATGTGTACAATCACCAGTCTCCGTCTTTTTTCAATTTTTGTCAATCTCAGCTGACACACATAGCCTGATAGTTTTCGAGCAAGATGAATTGGCGTCCTTTTTCGGAAAAAAACAAATATAACATATAAATTATTTATCATATATATATATATGATATATATAAAATATATATAATAAAGTATATAATATATCATATATGATATATGATAATAATGTTTAATAATATTATTTTTTTCTAAATTTTTCCGTTCCAAAAAACCGCATAATGAACACAATTAAATATAGAAAATATCGTAAAACAACAAAAAATGTAACAGAAGGCTGTCCACTTCCATCTTATCAATAGATGATAATTAAAGATATTTCGCTTTTATTACAAATTACCTTTTACGATCACATTGGGTTACAAGAAAGCTAATGTCCCACTTAAAATTCTCTTCGGCCATTTTCCATGCTTTTCCCTCTTTTTGCAAGATGCGAATGAATTTCATTGATACTAGACTACATAAAAACTTTACTGAAATTTATTTTACCTGACAAATTATTGATTTTTCTTTTTTATTTCGATTATGGACGTTCATGAAAATCTGCATTTGGCTAATATTGGACCAACGAAGGACGAAGCTCTTTGATTTCATTTCATGACCGATATTTCGATCAACTGCCAATAAAAGCGGTTTTCATAAGTGAAATATTTCTCAATAATTTCGAACTTGTGGTTTGAACAAGCGTTACGCAAGGACGATTATTTCTATACCAGGTCACGAGAATATTGTTACGAAAAAATCGAGGGTAAGCATTGGAGTAGAAGGTAGAGTAGAAGCAAAAGGTAGAAATTTATTCATTTGAGTTCAGTCAAAATTGTTCGTTACTTTTCTCCAAAAATTCATAATTTAAGTAACTTTTCAAAAACAACAAAGACGATAAAAATCGATGCTGTCATTCAAACGACCCTGGCATCTTGTAATTTGTTCTAATCCTTCTAATCTAATTACTAGCTGTCACCATTTTCAAGCAGTCAACGAGTTCAGAAGAAGCATCAAGAGATTCACCGAGAAGATCTATTGTAAATTCGGAGAGCTTTTTTCTTCTTATCGGGCTTTTTGGAAATGTCAGTTTGGCGACCACGCGCGGACAGATTTCGGATTTGGGCATACGTTTAAAACGCCAGATGTGGGTCAGAAGAGGCACAATACAAAACAACAAAGACGCGACTCGCAAAAGGAATAAGCAAATTAATAGAATCAAGTTTTTTCTCTATAAATTGAATTGCGCGTAACTCAATTTTGGATCAGGCAAATTCAATCAGCAAGGTGGAATACGAAAAGTCGAACATGCTTGCGCAGATGATCCTTCTCCAATATCACTGAAAGAGATCAGCCACACGAGAGGTACGTGAGTTATCTTTTGCACCTGAATCTCGTTTTACAGAGCCCATTTTTTCATATCAAAACTATTTTCGGCATAGACTGATCTGTCTAGAATTTTTATCTAAGAGAGGAAAACCACTAGCTTACTGTATTATTAATACAGTTATATGAAGGTAAGGGCCATCTTGATCCAATTTTTGAGACCCTTGAATTCTTAATTTAATCCACGATCGCGGTTTTTCTTATGTAAAAAGGGTACAGAAGGAGATCTATGTTTGAGCTTCTCTTTTTTGTCAAAGAAAAAAGCTTCTGCTGAAAAATGACTCAGAGCTAGAATTAGAGCTAGACAAACTCACCCAATCTTTCGCCCAAGTGATTCCGCCATAAATCTCTCAGAAGACGCCCTTGCACTCGCCCCAAGCGATAAATCTCCAGCTATAAAGCTGACTTGGGCTCATTTGAAAGCGTCGTTTCGGAGAAGAAGCTTTCCTTATTTTTCCCTTTTCGAGAAGATGAAATCAAATTATCTGGCCTTAGAAATCAAGGAAGAGAGCAATTTTAGCGAGAGAAAAAAGCGCGAGGGTTCGAACTTGAAGACGAGGCTCTATAAAATTTACTATCCTGAGTTGATTCTGTTCAAACAACGACTCGACGAATTCGCTTTTTTCAGAGTATAATCCGACGGAAGAAATAATCTCTGAACAATATCGAAGAAATACGGATACCATTGTTACAAGTTGTAATTCACTACTTCCGAGCTCAAACACGAAGAGAAAACCAACATAAAAAAGATAGTAGTAAAAATGAATAATGCCAGCTCCTTGTTCTGTCAGGTTTGGGGTCGTTAATTTAATCTCAGAAAAACAAAGCTTCTCTTTTTGAAGGAGCGCAAATTCCCAACTTTGCATTTTTGTCTCCCTTGGAGATTGAAATAAAGACCCTGAGGAAGTGTATCTTTATTTACGGCCAGAAGTCGCATCCGGACTTGATTCGTCTTCAACAAGAAAGCGTTGGAGATCTCTTTTCTGATTCTTCTTTTGAATTTGGCGACTACTGGAACACATATTCTTCTGAAACATCAGCTGAGGGAGCAAATGCTGACCTTGACTTTCAAAGCTCTGGCGACAGAGTACCTACTATTGCGGAGCTCGGCGAACCTCAGGATCACTTTCTCATGGCCAAACACGTTTTATTGTATATAATGATGGCTATCGGTGTTCCTGCTAATTTCTTGATTCTCTACGTCTCATTCAAAAATCGAAAGAAACTGCCCTCTTCGTCCTGGCTCGTTATCAACTTAGCGCTGTCGGATTTTCTACTTTTATTGAGTGTCCCTCTTGAAGTCTCACGGTAATCGCGTTTTTTTTTATTATTCGCCTGACATTCATCTATTCAGAAACACATACGATGAAGGGGTACAAAAGTGGCTAAGCAACATCTTTTTATGCAAATATTATCTGACCGTGAAGCAGCTCTTCTTCATCCTCTCAATTTTGATTATCGCCACAATCGCTTTCGACCGTTACAGAATGATTTCGTCCATGTCCAAGTCAAGTGCACACAAATACACAGCGTATGCAGTGGGGGTATGGACGACGTCCTTGCTTCTTTGTTCCCCGATACTATACTTTACTACTGTTCAGAAAGATGTTGATCCTGAAACTGGAAAGGTAAGATTTAACAATGCTCTCTGTTTCTTGAACTGATTTTTAAGGTAGACTACACGATGTGCAAAGTCTCCTGGATCTTCCAAACCGAGAAAGAGTGCAAAGACATCTACAACAGCAGCGATTTCGAGCTTGGTCACTGCCCAGAGGCGCGAGGAATCGGTTCTTGTGATGAGCCACTGCTAGAAATCGAGAGGACATACACAATTTTTATCTACGCAGTGACGATTATTTTTCCGATCGTTGGAACGATATTGTTGTATACAGGCCTTTTACATAAGGTAAGAGAATCTGTCCACCAAAACCTCTTCTTCAACCCTCTTTTCAAGGTCTCTTTCATCCGGCAATCCATCACGAGCATCGGCCGTTCCTCCAAAAGCCAATCCAATAGCCGGGGCGGAAAAGGCGATCAGACCCTCCGCCGTTCTATTAAATTATTCACCTCTGTTCTCGTGATCTCCTGGCTTCCAGTTGTAATCTGGAAGATTATCCGCATCTTTGGATTTAATTTTCCACCGAGGTTTTGCTACGGCTTTAGCAGATTCGCGGAAACTTCGCTGTGGATTGGGCCTGCATTGAATCCGATTTTATACTCGTTCCTCGGCAGAAGATTTAGAAAAGATCTTATGGCGGCTTTCCCATGCATCAAGCAAGAGCAGCCGATGATTACGAGCGAGTACACTCAACAAAGTCGAGCTACAGTAAATACTACGAATGAACTTTCCCTCCAGATGATGAAAACTGAAGAAGAAAAGAACCTCTTATCAGTAAGATCGCTCTTAATTTACCTCGAGTTAACAGTTTTTAGGGAACTAAAACGACAAAGGCCCTTCCAGATCTTCTTCCTTCTTCAGAAAAAGCCTAAAATCTGCTAAAGACTTATGAGTGCATCCCGAAAAAAGTTCATCCTGTTCACGTTGTAAGAAACTGTATAATGTTGATATTAAATTATTGCGTCTCAAGCTTCTGCTGTCTCATTCTTTCCGACACTTGAGCGCTTGAGAGATTCTTGAGCGGCCAAGAAAGTCATGCTCAAGTAGCCCTGGTTGAGCGATTGCTTTTGTTAGTTTTAAGCTACTGTAAGTGAAAAGATTCTGATTCGACCCGAGTTTTCACCTTGAACTTTGAAGCATAAGGTGAGCTGCTAGTATTTAATCTGTAAATATAAACAGGAAAAAAGGAAAATCAATGTCTACTTCTGTTTTTATTCATTCTGATAAATCTAATGGGCGGTAAATTTTAAGTACCGGAGCGACTGAACTTGAAAGATGGAAAATCTACAAGCTGCGGATATAAATCAATTTTACGCGTCCCAGGATACGATTAGGTTTATGAAATTTAATCGTCAAAACGCTCACACAGCTTCCGTAAAATTGGAAGGATCGACTTAGGTGGCCCGGCGTTTTCGTAACCCCTGATTTTATACGATTTCATATCATGAACTTCGTATAACAGGTAAAAAATCACAAGAAGACGCTGCCTGAGTCTTACTTATTCAATGAGCTTGAAAAATGTTATTTCATCGACTTTGAAGACTTTATTTCTGATTTCAATTATAAAAATTAGCATTTATTTTCTAATAAAAGCTCTGAAATCGTTGAAATTACATAAGCGATGCTCATCGAATGAGTAATCGTGAAGAGCGTCGTCTTCTGACGAGTTTTGCGAAGCGTGACCGCCGCGCGCACTGTGCGTCGGCCGCGGGTCTACAAAAAGAGCGCGATGGCGCCACCGCGCGTTACTACGAGCGCCCTGCTCGACCAATCAGGCGCCCCGCTCGCTCCCCTTTAGCGAATCGTCGCCTCCCTGGTCTGCTTTCAATTGAGTCAAGGCGAAAAATACGTTGACCGCCGGAGGAACTTTTTTAGCGGATTTCCGAATCGAAGAGAGAATAACTCGGAAAATTGCTCAAAATTGAAAAGAGAAAATGATAGGATTCGGTTATGATCCTGATGAAGGTAATTTATGAAAGGTTGAAGTGATTCTCTTGATTTTTATTCAACAAAATATATTCCTGATCATATTTAAAGCATAGGTTCATCAGAAAAGCCGCCTGCGGCTTTCGATGCGACCTGAAACTGCAAAAAATACGGCTTTATCGCTTGAATTTTGCATTTATTGTTGAATAATTGGTTATAAGCTCAATATTATTGTCGAGAAAATAGATTTTGATTCGATGTCTTTCGATATGGATCGAGAAAAGTCGGGAAATATTGTAAATAATTGTCTGTCTGAAAAATACGCAAACGGCTTATCTTTAAATTAAATATTCCTGAATTTCTGGCTCAGTAGTTAGTAATAGTAATTTGCTCTTTCAGAAGACATGGATCAATCAATGCTGGACCAGTACACTGCGCTAGAAATGCTGACCCCTTTGGAGAAGTTCAAGAAATACGTAGAAAGCACAAATGTATTTGAAAGACAGGCAGCAGGTCGCCTTCTCTGCGATGCGGCGGAATCCTGCGACACGAAAGATGAATTTAGCTCGGCGATGATGTTCGTTTCGAGGTTGTCTGTTGATCCAGAGCCTTCTGTCAGGGCAGAATTGATTGAAAAAGTCCCCGGACTAGTCAGGAAACGAGTTTATTTTTCAAATAATTTTTTGATAACCAGGATTGTCGACAAGATATCAAATCTTGGACCCTCGATGACGATGTCTTGTCGAAAATCTGTTATATTCTATCATTAGTAATCGAAGTAATTGTGGAATAAAATTGATGAACTCTTCGGCGAAGGATTTGCAACGATCGGTGCGCTAAGCTGGATTTGGACCCATCAATGATCGAGGACGAGATCCTGCCGCTCGTTATTAATTACCTCGAAGATGTCACAAACAACGTTCGAAAAACTGCCCAGGCGGCGCTTGTCAACATTCTCGACTTGTTCTCGCACGAAGTCTGTCACAAGAAGATCCTGCCCAACATCATCGCCCTCTCGAGCAAACAAAACGATGACCACAGAACGGAAGCAGTAATTCTGCTGGCCAAGTTGTGCCCTATTCTTGGCGAGCAAATCACAGTCGAAGAAATACTGCCCGAATACGTCAAGGCCTGCCAAGACGAGCTATTCCATGTGAGAAAAGTTGCTGCCCAACAAGCTCCAGAAGTCGCCAAGCTCATTGGCCCATCATTGACAGAAACTATGATTCTTCCGCATTTTGCTAAACTGGCAGAAGATGTTGTCTGGGGAGTGAGGAAGGCTTGTTCAGACTCGATGGCAGCACTTTCGGAACATGTTTCGACTACAGTCAGGTCAAGTTCAAAAAGCTTCTATCAGGGATTTTATTTAAATAAGGGATCGAAATTTTACTGCATAATGTTACTTGATTCTACCTAAAGTCGATTAATGTTTGCACATCAAACATTAATTAGTCTTGCGCCCGAGAGACTGTATTTCGAGTATATCATCAATTAACTGTGCCCTTGGCTTCCCAATCTGCGTTGGCAGAATCAATTAGCGAACGGACGTTTTGAACTTTTTCCCGAGGGAAGAGCAACTCTGCCCGATGTTTGTCGATCTTCTTAACGACGAGTCGCGCTGGGTCAGGATCAGTTCATACCAGGAACTTGGAAAGTTCATCGCTACTTTTGCCAAACCGCATGAAGCAAAGGATGAAAGCTTCGTGGTCGAAGAATCCGAATTCAACGCAATGAAGTTTTGGAAAGAAGATCTTCCAGAAGTCGATTTTGACGCGCTTTTGTTGGGCGAGGAGCCGCCACCGCCATTGGAAGACGTGAAAAATCCAACAGAAGAAAAGGAAAAAGACAATTCAAGGTAAGTCACGAGACTAGGAGACGTCTCTATCGTTTGTTTTAGCGATGAGTCTGAAACGAACGATCAAGCAGATCAGAGCGCCTTGCCCGAAGCTGATCAAGACATCCAAGCAGGCGAAAATCAGAAGAAACAGACCTTCGAACAGTCAATCAAAAATAATATCGTCTTTGTTGATAATGATGAAGACGTGCCTATCAATTATGCAGAGGGAGATGAAAGTCGTAAGTAGCGGTCGTTCATCCGGAGGTTGTCATTGTTGATCTCAATTGATCGCAGCTCGACTTGTATCTTTTTTGCTTGATTCTAATCGCGTTTACTTTTCCCACGTGATCCAGCTAAATCTCGAGCCTTTTCTCTTTGCCATGAGCCTTGGTTAAACGAGATTAGCCGCTAATCTATTAACTAAATATTCACCACGTCACTGACTAACCGTCTTGTCTCTCAGATGGTAGCTTACTGAATCACTTCACAGACATGAACCTTGACGAGCAAGCGAACGAGTCTGGCGACGCCAACACCTCCCTTCCCGATCCCTTCGACCCGGAAAGGATGGAAGACGACGATGTAGACATCGAACTGTCCAATAGAAACCCTGGCTACAACACTTACCTCGGCAACGACGACGGCTTCTCCGCTTCATCCCTTCGCTCCGACACTCCCGATAATTTAGACGATGCTAATGATCAGATCGAGCCGCAGGATGTCATTCCAGAAGTGCTACTCAAATACTTCATCTGGGTATTATCCCCATCCAAAATATCATTCAAGCCATATCTTTAAAGATGACGACGCCTAAAAAACTCGGCAACGAATTCCACGATTCTGAGCTCGCCCGACATTGCGCCTTCTCCCTTCCCGGAGTGGCACTTACCCTTGGAAAGAAGAATTGGAAGTGCCTGCGCCAAGTCTATTCGGTACACTCACACTCTTTTTATCCATATAAATAATTTGATTAGACTCTTGCGAACGATGTCCAGTGGAAAGTCCGCCGCACACTTGCCTCATCTATTCACGAAATTGCCAAAATTCTTGGAGACACATTGACGGTCAAGGAACTCGAGCCAATTTTCCGTACTTTCTTGAGCGTATGTGTAATCTTTTCAAGCGATATCTGATTCATTTTCTTCAGGATTTGGACGAGGTTCGACTTGGTCTTCTTTGCCACATTTCCGACTTTCTAGCTTTAACAAATGAAGATGTAAAAACAACGTATTTAACACAAATGAGTGACTTTTTGACAAGGTTCCAGATCACCCTCAAATCTAAATTAGATTATCTAATTACTTCCGAATAAATCGGGAACCTTGGTTAGACAACTGATAATATCAGAAACTGGCGCTTCCGATTAACATTAGCATATCAATTATCGAAAGTAATATCGCTATACACACCCCAACAAGTTATGGACCACCACGTACCTATCGGTAATTTCCACTTTCAGCCACTCCTAAAACGCGTTTTTTAGTAATCAAGCTTCTTCATGATCAAATCGCTGCAGTCCGCATCCAGGGCGCACATCTTGCTGCTGCTGTTACTCGACATTTAATGACAGATAAAAATAATACGTTACATATAGACTTTATCCGAATGGTAAGTCAAAGCTTTTTTCTTCCGTTGTTAACTCCTTTCTTCAGCTCATCAGCCACACAGAGCAAGAATCCAAAGACCACAGATGGCTTCACAGAACAGTCTTTTGTTACTACAGTGCCGCGTGCATGCACCCAGCGCGCGTGCCCTTCCCGGCCGAGGAAGACGCCGAAGGCGGCGTGCCCGAGGAAGGCCGCGATTACTCACCCGTGCTCACACTTCAAGAGTTTATCGAGCATTTGATGCCCACACTCGTCGTTCTCTCGAGAGATAGTATTGTAAACATTAGGATATGCGCCGCCAGGTGTCTGAAAGCAGTCAGAGATGAGGAGGAGTACCTAAGAAATGCTGAAAACGAAGGTACAAAGCCTTATCTCTACCGAATTACTCATGTTTGATTTCAGAAACAGTTATTCTGGAGAACGTCTTCAAGCGATTAGCAACGGACAAGGATCGAGATGTAAAAATGGTTGTTCAAGGTAAAACCATAAAATTCCAACCAATCAAAGCGGTTGGTGGGTAATCGTGGGCGTAGGAAGTTAGGATAACGTCAGATTGTCGCTTTGGATGCCTTCTCTTATTCGGTATTCAATTGAAACTTTCTGTCTCATCAAAGGTTCTCTCCACATTCTGCTTCGGAGTTCGTAGGCCCGTCTCGTACCGTCCGCAATGATTAATGGAACAATTACTAAAAACAAATTTAACACAACCCTAGAATGGGTAGAAGACGAAGTTGAAGACTACCACGACGATGACGATGATTTCGACGACGATGTGATCCAACATCTGACACCAGAACAGCTCAACGACATGGTTCAAAATCTCAACAACTCTGAGTCAGAGGATCTAAGTTATAACCCCCGGGTAAGGACTCTCTGCCTCTCCCTTCATTCAACCTTTCTGTAGTCGCCCGAACCTGAGAACGAACCCATCATCGCTAATCTGGAACCAGAGCGACTCGTCTCCGCCGCCGTCCCAATCCCCGCTGCCGCTGGTGGACCAGCAATAATCGTTGAAGACCTCGAGAACTCGCCGACCTCCGACCCAGAAGAAGAAAAGGAAGAGAAGGAGAAGTCAAAAGAGGACGACGAAGAAACATTCTAAAAGAAACTTTTCTACCTTTTAGACAGAATTAGACTCTTTCCCAATTTCAAAAAACTCTTTTTCTGACTTCTGGTGCGGATAAATTCAATTCTAAAAAACAACAACGAAAAATCTTCATTCATCTAAAACCGTTAAGCCGTTATGCTCCTCAGTTCATCTCTCCCTGCAAAAAACATCCATTCCAACAAACAAAACAAATGAACATTATTCTATTTCAACAATATTCATTCTAATTTCATCGCAATTTCAATCAGCAGGATGAAAATTTTTTTTTGAAAATTTTGCGCTTTCAAAATTACAATCTTAGTAAGGTCTGGTTTTTTAAGAAATTGTCGAAAAAAAATCGACTAACGGTGTTTAAAATGTATTAATCACCCTATTCGAATCCCCTTATCGAAAATACTCGAATCCTAGAAACCAGATTGATAAGTATCAATCATAACAGTTGTTATGTGGCAAGCCAAAAACGTTAGTTAGCCGCCTCAATCAAATAAAAATTGAGTTAAAATTGACCACCGAGATATCTCATCAATACCATTTTTATACTACCAGTTTTTCAACTGAACCGATATTTCTGTCCCTATTTTCATACATGTTTTAACCTCAAAACTAGCCACTCTCTCGACTTGCTGAAGACCGCTAAATCTTGAATTATCCAACAGTCCTAAAGTCCAAGAAGAACCAAAAAAAACTTTAATTTATTAAACCATTATTACATGCAATAAGAAAATAAGAGCTCCGGTTGAGTTTTTCGACCCTCCAAATCATCATGTCATGTTTTCACTCATTCTGCTCTTTATCTCTTTGATTTACCTCTGTAAAGTCAAAAAAACTTACTGTAGAAAGTGTAAAACTTTGTACGAAGCAACCAAGACCATCGCGTCTTCCTGTTCGTGTTTCCACGCTTCTTTTCCCATGTGAATTTACATTATACCGATTCAAATAAAAATTACAAACAATTCAAACTCAATATCACAAAAGTTGTTTTTCAGTCGGATTTATTGTCTTATCATGAGTGCAATGACGCTACAGGGGCGAAAGCCCGTGGAGGAGCTTGGTTTCACTCTAGTCTTGGTGTTTTCTTTTTCACTTATAAAATATATTCAATCAGATGTTTATTTTTATTTGCTTTTATTCAATATAAACAGCTATATATACTCCCGCATAAATATTATTTGCTACTCATGCGTCTATTTTCCTCCAGAAATACCCTAAATCAGCTCACGAACATATGAAAATCGACTTTGGTGGCATGTTCTTCCACGCGCCTGGCTCCAGCATCCCTTCTGAAAAGCTCTTGAAAGACATGTCCATTCCAGACACCTACTTTGTCCGGCAATTCCCCTACCACTTCAAAGACAACTTACAATTTTCCGACGACGACGCAGTGCTCGAGAGTTTGAAGGAGTACAAACGCCTCGGTGGAGGTACTGTTGTTGAAGTTTCTACAGTTGGCTTGCAGCGAGACGTTGAAAGATGCGCCAAACTCGGGGAAAAGAGTGGCCTAAATGTCATCATGGGAACCGGCTATTATGTCAACTCGATGCAAAAAGAAGCGACGAGGAAGTTCACCGTCGAGGTAGAAAGGAAGTTTCAAAGAATAAAATTTTAATCCCTTTTTAGAGCATGCAAACTTTCATGTCCGACGAGCTCCTGAATGGATTCCACGGTTTCGAAGGCAAATACTACCCTGGCATCGTTGGCGAAATGGGCGTTACTGCACCCATGGCTGAGTGGGAAGTGAATCATTTGCGCGCTGCTGGAGGACTTCACGAAGTAGAGGGAATAAAAAATGTTCCAATAACCATTCATCCTGGAAGAGCGCCGGAAAGTCCGTTTGAAATCATGCGGATTTTGACAGAAGCAGGGGCTAGGCCAGAACGAGTGATCATGGGCCACATGGATCGAACGATTCATAATTACGACGAGCTTGTGCGATTGGCCGATGAGTGGAAATGCTTCATTCAATACGATCTTTTCGGAGTGGAGACTTCCCACTACCAAATGGCGAATTGTTTCTACCCGAGCGATGGAGAACGGCTCAACCGACTCAAGGTAATCAGGACAAATCGCAATTGTCTATCCGTTCTTAGCACCTAATGGACAACGGATTCGAAGACAAGCTGCTGATCGGGCACGATATTCACACAAAACACCGTTTGGAAAAGTATGGCGGCCACGGTTACGCGCATCTTCTTCGAGTTGTCAAGGGCGATGCTTTGAGCGTCGTGGGCGTGAGCGAGGAGCAGTGGAACAAACTCGGCGTCATCAATCCGCAGAAGATTCTTCAATTCTAGAAGCAGCTTGTGCTTATGATGAGGATGATTCTACTTTGTCAACTTGTGATTCATCCCTTTTCCTTTCTGATTTCAAATCATGCTCTAAGATTTAGAGATTTTTCATTTCAATCCTTCAGTTCAATCTTTTTTTCCATTTTCCAATTCTGATTCAATCTCCTTGATTAAAAATGAAAAAGTTTCTCGAACATGTTATTATTTACGCCGTCGGAGAGACAGCTGCATGAACCGGTCAAAAGAGTAACACGGCGACCAATAAGAAGATCACAATTTCAGCGACTGCAGATTTCGAGAACAGAAAAAAAGACTCACTTTTTATCATTTTCAGAGATGGGCTCGGACCGGGACGTTTCAGAGAAGAGGGATTTTTCACCGAAACTCGAGAAACTGAAACTCTTCCTTGAGAAAAATACGAAAAAACTTGAGCGAGAAACGCAGGAAAATCTCAACAGACAAAGGGAAGCGGAGAAGGAGCTTGTGAGAGTAAGGTTTTTGAATTGGGCAATTGCCAAGTCTGGGCAAGAAAATCTGCTTTACAGTCAAAAATATGCACTGGAAGAGGAGAATCAGGTGACCAACATATTCTTTTACGTAGGGTGATCATTTCTAGGAGCCACTGGACATTGATAAAGTAGAAAAAGTTCTCCAAAACTTCCTGTCCGTCATGAACACTGTTGCGTCGAGATACCCAGGCGAAGAAAATGCGCTGAAAAAGCTTCTAGAAGAAAAACGAACCCGAACTAAAATTGAGAAAACGCGAGAGTGGCGATGTGCGAGTATCGCCAATGGAGAAGTCATTTCCCATGCTAACTATGAGGTCTGTTCCACCTGCTGTTTATGAGTTGACTTTTTATTAGAGTTTGAAGAAGCTTAATCTACAAAAAGCTGAAATTTTGGAAAAACGAAATGAAGCCGTGAAGAGATTCAGCGATGAAGACGAGACGAAAAATGAAGTTCTCCTCGAATTCTTGGAAATTTACAAGAAAACAAAGGTAAGAAATTATTATATATCAGGCTCGAAAATAGGCAGCAAAGAATGTTTTTGAGTTTGCATGTCCGCCTGAACGAATTCTGGCCTTTGTTAGGCACAAGGTCTCCCCATCTGATTTCTTCAAACGTATCACTGATACGGTATCAGTCACACTTGAGAGCTAACTTGAAATTAGGATATTGAAGGCGACCGAGTTGTTCCTGTCCCACTCAAGCTAGAAATGTCAGAAATCCGCGAAGGAATAAAACAAATTGGGAACAAGAACTTGGAGGTTCTCGACGCTGCTCTTCTTCGAATGAAACCTCTGCTTGATCCGATTTTAGCTCAATTCAGCGCCTTTGAAGTTCTCAAAGTAAGTCTTTCGCGATGAATAATTATTAGTAATTGACTCATTTCAATAAGAAAAACAACCTGGTGCTCGATGACCTCCTCGATCGATACGAAAAAGGAACAATGTTTCAGAAGTCCGAAATCATGCACAGCATGCTAATCACTGATGAGCAAACCGGTCTGGTTCAATTTTCCTCTGAATTCAAGGATATTGGCGACGACTTGAAAAAAGTCTTCAGCATGAACCAATGAACCATCCTAATGTTCCTCACTGCCTTTCTTCTTCGTTCACATTTCCACAAAATTCACCGCAAATAATCTTGTTTTCTTCCTTTATCTTTCACCACAGATTGTCCTGTGCAATATTTTGGATCCTCACTATCTGAAAAAATGCTGTCAAACATTTTACTTACAATTGAGGACTTTTAGACCCGAAAGTCCTGGATAAAGGGCACTGTATGACAATTTAACCTTTGGAGTGGAGCTCGATTCATGTCCCAATCGCCCCCAAAGAAGTATCGTAAAACTGTAAACGGAAAAACGTGAGTACAAGCAATTTTTACCTCGAAAATATTATTGAGGTCACACTAGTGTAACAATGCTACACTTATATAATATAAGTTGTATTATTAGTAGTTGAGCTGGGTATCGATTAATGACAGGTGTAATTATCGACCAGTTCAGTTGACTGTGTGTGCGTTTTACTGATCTAAAATAAATTCATATCCTCGCTCGAGATCTCGAACTCAAAATTGCTCGATCAATATTGATCCTGGGAAAAGGGCAATATTTTGATTCTTGAGTCACCCTACGTCAGCGCTTTTATTCGCACATTCAGACACACTCAAAAGGGAAAGGAAAAGGCTACTAGAATCCTTTTTGTTAGAGAGAGCACTTCAGCATACCAACAATAAGTAACGAGGTACGGTACCGATTGAAAGAAAATATCATTTTCTCTGCGGGTTTAATTACTACTTGATCAGATCATCATCTGGTATTTTCTGGTTGAAAGATTTTAATTGCCTTTGAAATAGATTCTTTGACAGTCTATATCTATTGCTAATTGAAGCCATCAGAATCCGCCCTTAAGAACTCCTAGAGAAAGACTTGCTATTGTAACAGATCTCGACATAAAAAAGCGCTGTCTAAATATTGACCACTCCGATTAAATCAATCCTAGATATCAGTAGTCCTTGTTGTCCCCCAAGAAATTGAGAATGGGTTGCTCTGAAAGCAAATCACCCGTTATAAATGAACCTGTTAGTTTTTACTATTATAATGAGAGTGAAAATTCTAGCGCGTCACAAGAGAACTCGAACGGTCACGACCACGAGATGGCTACCAATGGCGCTGAAGAGATTGATGAGTCGCTGTATTCACGGCAGCTCTATGTTCTTGGAGCCGATGCGATGAAAAAAATGTCCAAGTCCAGGTATGGGGCAAAGCATTCTCTTCCTTGATTTCAAATTGAAATTTTCAATTTCTTTCAGCGTTTTGATTGCTGGATTGGGACCCTGCGGCGTGGAAGCAGCAAAGAACATCATCCTCGGAGGAGTGAAAAAGGTCACCCTCTGGGACAATCAGAACGCTTCCTGGTTCGACATGGGCGCTCATTACTACATGAAAGAAGCCGACGTCACTTCCAGCCAGAACCGAGCGGCTTGCTCCTTCCAGCAGCTCAAGGAACTTAATCCTTACGTCTCCGTCGAGATTTCTGACTCGCCTGAGCTTACTGAAGCTATGATCACGGAACACAATGTTCTCTTGCTTACAGACACCATCAATGTCGTTGGACAAGATGAAGAAAAGCTCCTTGCTCTTGGAGATCTTTGCCGAGCCTGTAACACCAGCGTTATTCTGGCCGAAGCTGCTGGCCTTGCTGGACGAGTCTTTTGCGATTTCGGGCAAAACCACACCGTTGTCGACAAGGACGGCGCAGAGCCCAAACAAGTTCTCATTTCCTCTGTCGTTCGTGATGGCGACTCTTTCACCGTCTCTTGTCACGACGAAGTCCGCCACGAGCTTGAAACCGGCGAGTTTGTGTCTTTTACCGAGATTCAAGGACTCGAAGGCCTTCTCAACCGAGAATTCGAAATCCGTGTCACTGGGCCGTTTGGCTTCACCATCCCAGCCGATGGAATTACTGGAGAAAAGAGCACAACAACTGGCTGGCTTCATCAAGTCAAAAAGCCGATCAATTTGAGCTTCAACACTTTGCGACAGGAAATGACCTCGCCCAGTGACTTTGTCCTCACGGATTTTGGCAAGTTCGAGCGGCCAGCCACTTACCACGCTTGCTTCCGAGCTCTTGCAAAGTTCCAGGCTGAAGCCAACGATCTTCCAAAGCCGCACGACGAGGCCGATGCTACGAAATTCATCAACCTTGTCAATGGAATCCACGGATCTGAACTCGATGGAGCCGAAAAAGAAGCGGCAAAGAAGTTCGCCTTCACGGCTCGAGCTAAACTTCAGCCTGTTTCCTCAGCCATTGGCGCTATTGCTGCCCAGGAAGCTGTCAAGGCCGTTTCTGGCAAGTTTTCACCTATCAAGCAATGGTGGTACGTTTGTCTCCAAGAGTGTCTCCCGAGCACTCCGGTTACTGATGCCAAGGTTGCTGATAACCGATATGCGTCTCAAATCGCCGCTTTTGGCCAAGGCTTCCAGGATAAAATGCTCAAGCAAAAATGGTTCCTTGTTGGCTCTGGAGCGATCGGCTGCGAATTGCTCAAAAACTTCGCGATGATGGGACTTGGAAATTTAATCGTAACAGACATGGACACAATCGAACGATCTAACTTGAACCGACAGTTCCTCTTCCGCTCTTGGGATGTCGGTAAACACAAGGCCCAGGCCGCTGCCGAGGTTGTCATGCGAATGAATCCTGATATGAAGGTCGAGGCGCAGAACAACCGCGTTGGCGAGGACTCTCAGGATATCTACAACGATGAGTTCATGGAATCCCTCGATGGTGTTGCAAACGCTCTTGATAACGGTAAATGAAAATTTCTTAATCCCTCTTTGCTGATTTTGTTACTAGTGGATGCACGACTGTACATGGACAGAAGATGTGTTTACTACGGTAAGCCTCTTCTCGAGTCTGGCACCCTTGGAACAATGGGCAACACTCAAATCGTTGTCCCAAGAGTCACCGAGTCCTACGGCTCCTCCCGCGATCCACCAGAGAAATCCATTCCCATCTGTACTTTGAAAAATTTCCCAAATGCCATCGAGCATTGCCTTCAGGTACCTTTTGAGCCTATTTTGGTAATAGTATGACTTGTTTTAGTGGGCGCGAGATAACTTTGAAGGACTGTTTACTGGACAGGCTGGCTCTGCGAAACAGTACCTTTCCGATCCCGCCGACTTTGTCGCAAAAACTGAGAAGCTGCCCGGCAACGAGCCAATCACCACTGCCCAGGGAGTCGTTGACTTCCTCATCGACCAAAAACCAAATGACTTCAATGACTGCATCGAATGGGCGCGCCACAGATTCGAAGAGAACTACGTCACCACCATTCTCCAGCTTCTTCACAATTTCCCTCCAGATCAGAAGACTTCCACAGGTGCTCCATTCTGGTCTGGTCCAAAGCGATGTCCAAAAGCGCTCAAATTCGACCCTGCGTAAGTCTAAAACTAAGACTCCGTCCTAATCGAATACTAGCGACGCAACTCACCGTGATTACGTCGTTGCTGCTGCCTACTTGAGAGCCGAAAACTACTCAATTGCGCCGACAAAAATGTCCAATGACGAACTTGCCAAGTTCGCCGCTGGCGTCAAGGTTGCGGAATTCAAGCCAAAGCAGGTCAAGATCGCTACCACCGACGCTGAAGGTACAAACCACCAGTTTTATTTTGCTTTCTAATCATTTATTGTAGCAAAGGCCGAGGCAGAAGCTGGTGGTGGATTTGATGGAGATCAGCTGAACAATTTGTTTGCCAAGCTCCCATCAGATGCTTCCAAGGTGAGATTGAATTATCATAGAAAAAAGCTTTAACGTTCTCAGGTGGCTGAGTTGAACTCACAGATCGTCCCAGCTGACTTCGAAAAAGACGATGACTCGAACCGCCACATCGATTTCATCGTCGCTTGCTCGAATCTCCGAGCGGCCAACTACGGAATCGAGCCAGCTGATCGTTCAAAATCTAAGGTACTTGCTTTTAGTTTCTGCAGTCTTTTCATCCCATTTTTCAGCGAATTGCTGGCCGAATTATTCCTGCTATCGCGACAACAACCGCCCTTGTCGCCGGTCTAATCTCTGCCGAGCTTTACAAGATCGTCAACGGAATCGACGACATTGAAAAGTATCGAAATACTTTCATGAATCTCGCGATTCCAGCGTTTTCCTTCTCCGAGCCCATGGCTCCACCAAAGGTAAAACTGAAAATGTAGCTCTTTTATACTATACAACTTTAGAACACTTATTTGGGAGACCAGCACTGGACCCTCTGGGATCGATTTGATATCGACGGACGAAAAGAAAATGGCGGAGAGATGACAATTGGCGAGCTCCTCGACCATTTCAAGAATGATAGGAAGCTTGAGGTCCAGATGCTGAGCTCTGGAGTTACACTTCTCTACTCCTTCTTCCTCAACCCGCCGAAGAAGAAGCAGGACCGACTTGCCATGACTGTCAGGTAAGCTCTCTACAATCGTTACTGTAGCTAAATGCTCATTCTCTCTAGTGAGGCAGTGAAAACAGTCGGCAAAAAAGAAATCGGCGCGCACGAGCGATACCTCGTACTTGACGTCTGCTGCAATGACCTGACAGAAGCCGAAGAAGATCAAGACGTTCCATATGTTCGCTATCGTTTCCGATAGTTCAAAAGTTCAATAAACCAATTGAAAAAACATGAAAATTTTAAACAGAAACTCCCTTTTTCGATTTCGTGCATTCATACCATTAATGATAATCCGCGCTTACTTGTTACTTGTGCACTTCTACACGTAAAACACGGCCTGTTTAAATTTAGCTGCAATTTCCCAAGAAGATACATTGAAAAATTACAAACCCTTGGCCATTTCTATCTTAGTACTATAACTTATAGTCTACAAGTCATTGACTGTATGAAAGATCTATTAAATTGAAATAAAGAAGTAATATAAAGAAAAAAACTGGCTATGCGGGAGAGCTTATGCCTCTTTTTATGCAAAGATAAACGTCTAGAATGAGCTAAATCTACAAACAGTACATACGGTTGCTTATAAAGAACAGAAAGAATGGTTAGCGTAAAGGTAAAAGCTTGAATTTTCAGCAGAATCACTCCAAACTTGTGTAGTCAAAACTTGGCGCTTTCCTTGGCAAATCTTTGAAAGTCCAGAGCGGTTATGTTGAAGCATTTCTGGGCATCAAATATGGCAAGTATGAGCCATTCGAGCCTCCTGAAATTGTCTCATCTTATCCTTCCGGAATGATCGATGCTCAGAAACCCGCGCCTTTCTTTCCGCAAAATCTTGTCCCGGTAAAAAAACCGCTAGTTTTCCTCGTTGGGATAGTTTTGAAATTCAGACTCAATTCATGGTTACTTACCTGCCCTGGAAACAGTCTCTAATTCGCGGATTCAAGGTAGAAAAATCATGTTTTCAAGGTTTAGTTTCGACAAAAAATCTAGGCTGCTGGTTACGCAGACATTGGCGATTTACACTTGAATATTTTTCGACCACCAAATGCAGTCAAAAAACCCGTGATGGTTTGGATCCACGGGGGCGGTTTTTACATCGGAGGTGCTTCTCAGTTTGATCCATCGGCGCTCGTGCACTTTGAAGATGTAGTTGTCGGTAATTTGAGTTGTCGATTGAAAGTTGAGTTTTTTGACATTCTAAATAAGTTGCGATAAACTACCGCCTTGGCGCGCATGGGTTCGCTCCAGAAGAAACGGGAAATAATGGCATCCGAGATCAGATCTTGGCGCTGGAATGGGTTCACCAAAACATTGAAGATTTCGGCGGAGATGCGAATAACGTAACCATCTTTGGCGAATCTGCCGGTGGCATGAGTGTCGATTGTTTAGTTCACTCGCCTCTTGCCGAAGGCCTCTTCCACAAGGCAATCAGTCAATCGGGCACCCTTTATTCAAAAATTGCTCCTTGTGATCTCCTCCAAGCGAAAGAGCAGTACCGCGAAGTTTTGAAACAGCCCGATGACGTCGAATTGAAAAGTCATATTCTCAGTTTGAATCTCAAAGATTTTTCTCGGGCGGAGGCAAGTTTGTTCGGCCGTGGTCCGTTCGGGCCTGTCCTCGATTATGATGTGTTGCCTGTGCTTCCGGAAGATATGACGGATGAGGAAGCGACAGTCCCATACATGCTCGGTCGATGTTCAGGAGAAGGAGATGCTCTTTTGACAGCCACGATTCCAATGTATCTCAAATGTGGGCTTCTCGAAGGTTTCAGCAAAGAAATGTTCGAAATGGTCGTTTCTGGCACGATTGATCGCTTAGCTCCATCATGCGCGGAAAATGTGGATTTTTACATTCAGAGAATAGTTGATGTCTATTCTCAAGATCTGCGATGCCCGGAGAAAATTTACTCCGAAATCTTCTGTCGATGGTGGGGAGATTTGATGCTGGGAATCGGCCCGCTGAAGCGAGCGGAGGAATATTCTCAACGAGGTGGCGATGTTTTCCAGTACGAAATGCAGGTTATACCCAAGCATTCCCACGATCCTGATTTCTCTGGGAAGCTGAATTTGAAGCCAGGTTGGTCGAGGTCTGATCATTGTGATGATACTTTGTTCATGTTCGGCGTTCCCTTTTATCCGGAAAATTTGCCCAAGGAGATGTGCGATTTTCGCCTGAAGAGGAAAATCTCTCCAGAAGAATGATGAAAGCTTGGGCCGACTTTGCTCGCTCAGGGAATCCTGGCTGGGAAAGATATAATGAAAACAAGGGAATCAAGTTCTTCGATGAAGAAGATTCCATGGGTCGATTTGGAGAGGACGAAAATCTCATCGAACGAGTGAGGCTCTTTGACCAAATGTACAAAAAGCCTGATGTCCATAGCTTTAAGCTCTACTCACAAATATAAAAACACGAAAATTTCGACTAGTGTACCCTAACCTTCAATTTGCTACCTCTAATTATACAATTGTTTCAGTGCTCGAATAGTTTCCTTATTTCTGTGATTTTCCATGATTGTTAAATAACCTTATTTATACTAAAACTATTCAATGATTATTCAAATTCAGATTTGATGTCGGATGGAATGTCCGATGAGGACGATTTCGTCCCACCAACGCGCGTCCGCATGATCTCTCTAGGCGACAGTGGGAGTGGAAAGTCAGCATTGATAAAACGGCACTGTGAAAAACGCTTCGTCGGACATTACGTCCAAACTATTGGTATTGATTACGGCGCCATCAAAATCAAACGCGACTGGCATCAACAGAGCCAGGAGGACGTTTCCATTGCGATATTTGACGTTGGAGGACACGATTTATTCTACCAAGTTCGACGGGTAATTGATCATGTGATTATTTGGGCTTATGTACACAACTCGAAATGGGTTTAACTCCAAATGATTTTTCTCCAAATGGCTTCTACTCCAAATGCACGAACTCCAAATGGCGTCCACTTTCCCAACTTACCTCTCAACCATTTTTCATGTCTTTTTTTTATATATGCGCGCGGAGTGCGCCATCCATGACTTTTTCATTTGGAGTTCGTGCATTTGGAGTAGAAGACATTTGGAGAAAAATCATTTGGAGTTAACCCCATTTCGAGTTGTGTACACGGCCCCGATTATTTCCATCATTAAATTTAATCACGTGATAGGAATTCTATGAGGGAACGGAAGCAGCGCTTATTGTCTTTGACACAAGCTGCGAGAATCACGTGGCCACGCTGGAACGCTGGAAGCGCGAATTTCTCCAAAACGGGGGGAACTTAGAGAAATGTCTTATCATCGTCGCTGCGAACAAAACGGACTTGAGTTCATCGAGAAAATTGACGGACGCGGAAGTTTGGGCGGAGGAAAATGGCTTTAAATTTGTGAAAACTTCGGCGAAAACTGGCGAAGGCGTGGAGGACATCTTCCGGCTGATATGCTCCGCTGCGCTGATGGAGAAACGAGGGCCGAGCTTTCATTCTAATTGCACGAGAGAGCAGCTCGAGGCTGTGCAGAAAATTCGCAACGCAACAAATGACTACGACGTTCTCGGACTAACGCTAAGTAAGAGATGCTCTTTTTTGTATGCTTTTTTGAGTATAATTTTAGGAGCTAATCGGGACGATGTGGATCGCGCTTGGAAGAAACTCTGCCGACTGGTTCATCCGGATAAAACTTCAGCGCCAGGAGCTCATGAGGCGATACAGCGGCTTAACAAAGCCAAAGAGGCGCTCAAAAAGAGCACCGTATAGCACCGAAGTTCTTAGTTTAGTGACATTCCTCTTGTATATAACATTATTTTGTGGCGACCTACTATTTCCTTATAGATCCGCTAGTGCCTGGGTTACCGTTACCACTTGGTTGTAGATTTTGTTCTGTATTCTCTTCAAACTCACATATTTTTAACATCTTTATACCTCTCTTCTTTTTCGCATATTTTCTAAATTCAACACAATCTATCGACAATCATTTAGCGATGCTGAGAGCGAATCGGATTATCGGACCACGACTTTGTCAGCTACGAGCGTATAATTTCAGAAATGAAGAGGTCAAGCTTCCAGGAATGAAGGAAGAAGTAGAATTGAGCGAAGAAATGCGCAAGATCGAGAAGGCTCTGCTGGAAGGTGCAAAAGACTCCCCAGAATTGCTGAAAGAAATTAGAGGGATTTATAGCCCGTACAAAGCGCTGAATATCCCTGAGACAGCAACGCAGCAAGAAATACGCGATACAATCAGTCTGAGAAGAAGGCAGTATCAAGCTCAAATCGAAGATGTTCAAAAACGCCTTCATGCTAATTCAACTCCTGATTCTGATTCTGCTCTGATAGCGACTGCTAATGATCAAATAGCGAAGCTAGAACAAAGTCTAGCCGAAGTCAACGAAGTCGAGAACCTTTTAGGATCGATACAAGCGCGGCGAAAATTTGATCAAGAGTACGCGCTACAAGTTCATCAAGTAATTTGGAATGATCTCTCCAGGGGCGAGAAGATCCGACATCAGTTAGCCAAGGTCATCAGATCTATCAATTACCTTTTTTCTCAAGCGGTTTAATTAGAAAATTATATATGAATGAAACCATCATCTTTTGACCTTTCTTCAGCCACAATGCGACTTCAAACCGCGTTGAGGATCAAGGACAGCCTTCCACCCGCCCTTGCCAATCGCATGGAAGATCAATTAGTGACCGCGAAGCAGCAAAAGCTCGTGTTTACAAGCCGCTTCGGCAGTAAGTCCGCCAGGATGACGTATTGGCAGTTTGGCTACTTGTTTCTTTTCGGCTGTTATTTTATATGCAGGCACAGTGGAATGCTGATTAGACACATGCCAAGGCTATCTTGACATTTTTGCCTATTCCCCATTTACAGATTGGACGAGATGTGCTACGAGGACAAATGCTGGCACCAGGCTTGCTACGTATACGGAGATAATCCAGCTCGCTTCGAACGCTGCAAGCGCCATCTTTATTTCATCGCTCTTTGTTGGAATCAAGGATTTTGGGATCACATGATCTACCGGTATTTTATCCCGCGCGAGATGAAGGACTCTGTCGTAGATTCATTCGCCGAAAGTGTGCGCGTCAAGGAGGAGCTGGAGGGATTAGCTCAAAAGGCTAAAATTAACGATGGCAGAAAGGAGAAAGATTACTTTTTAAATTGAGCTGCGATTATGACGTACAATACGTCTTCTGAGAGGTACTAAAAGCCGAAGTTCACGGTATTCTTCCTTGATTTCGTCCCAGTGTTTTTGAGTTTCCTTGCTTTTCCTTTACTAGATCTTGGCTCAATTGACAGGTCTTGACACGGCTGAGCAGACTGAAATAAATATTCATAACGGCCAGAAATTGTCGATAATGCAACCAAAGCCATGTCGTTTTTCTGATACTGGATGAAAGAGAGAAAGGAGCTTGTAGTTATATCTGCCAGAATATGCAATCACACAGTTTTTAAATACAGTTTTTCAGAGAATTCCCAACTGACCGCGGGACTAAGCATATCGACCAAACGCGAGAAATGCGCTTATTTCTATTTTACTCAACGATGAGAGACTTTATTCTCGAAGACTTTATTTATTTATTGCTGAAGAAAATCTTCCATTTCATTCGTATTTATTTTGATAGTGACAAGTTCATAGGTTTACTGCAATTGACTACTGACAAGAAGATCGATTTCTATATGCTGATATAAACCTTTCAATGCCCCCTTTTTTTAAAAGACGGCGCAGTCGCTGTTTCTAAAAAAGAGAAGAAAATGGACAAAGATAATTTAGATATCGTGAAAAGAAAATGGGCCCAAATCAATTAACAGAAGTGCCTGGATAGACACGAAAAGCAACCACCTTCTTTTCACTGTGAGTATTCTCTTCTTGAGAAAGTTTTGACAATTTTAAATTTATGAGCTTGAGTGTTTCCTCTAGGCGGCTTTATTAAAATAATTATCTTTACTTCAATGCTAAATCATTCGTCAATAGAGTTTTATAGTTATTTCTGCGCTAGGAGTAATTTTACTAGACAAGAGAGGGAAAAAATTATATTTACTTTTAGTACAAAAATGTACACAAGCTTATTTGGATAGAAATAGGTAAGGAAACAGGAAACGAGAGATCAGAGTTTTAATAATAATTTTCGCTGGACAATCGAGAGACGAATTATTTCAAATATCGATTAACCCAGAGAACTCTCTTAGCCCAGCAGCGATCCTCCTGTATGAGAAACAGTGCAATAATAAATTCACTTGAGTGAATTGAATTCACAGTCAATCGCGAAATCGCAGACCAGGGAGGATCGCGAGAGGCGATCTTTCTAGTTCCATTTCTATTTTTTCTCCGTGAAGAGGAGCAAAGTGCATTGAATACTTAGTTGGAAGGTTGTTGGAAGGGGAAAAACAAGTGAGAAAATTAGTCGAATCGCGAATCTTGAAGGTTCAATTTAACAGGAGAGTTTAGAGGTCAAGAATCAACGAATCACTAATGGTGACGGTAAAAGAGTTTCGCATCGCGATGCCGATGAAGGTCGAGGAGTACCAACGCGCACAGGTAATTTGAAAAGCTAATTACCGTAGACACGTCTTCTGAACTCGAAGAAAATTTAGTCAACCCTATTTAGTTGAGATTGTTATTGATGAGGTTAATTAGAATTTCAGCTCTATATGATCATGAAAAAGTCAAAAGAAGAAAGCGAGGGGGAAGATAGCGGAGTCCAAATCATCAAAAACGAGCCTTATACTGACGGCCCTGGCGGCTGCGGACAGTATACTGAGAAGATTTACTACGTGCAGAAGCACTTACCCAGCATGGTCAAAGCTGTCTTACCAAAAGGTAAAGCGACAAATCTCAAGAGTCAATAATCCAGAATCGCTGTAGATTCGCTGACAGTCAAGGAATGTTCGTGGAACGCCTATCCTTACACAAAGACGGTCTTTACAACCCCCGCGCTTGATAAATTCAATATCGATATTGAAACGAAGTTTTTGCCCGACCCAGGAATATCCGATAATGTATTCAATCTATCGCCGCACGAGAGGGAAAATGTTCAGATTGATGTATTGGACATGTGCAGGTAATTACCGTTAACTTTGCTGTATAAAAATATTCTCGATTCTCAGGGAGAAAACTGGAGGTAGAAAAGAAGAAGACCCAACAGAATACGTCTCGCAAACAACTCGCAGAGGCCCTTTGCCGGAAAACTGGCTAGAGGAGACTCAGCAAAAGGATGCGAATAGCTGGGGAGATGTCATGTGCTCGTATAAACTAGTCAAAGTGGAGTTTAAGTACTGGGGGATTCAGCGAAAAATGGAAAATTGGATCTTAGACCTTGCTCTTAGAAAGACAATTTTAAAGGTTCTGAAGAAGATAGAAATTCCACTTTCTAGTGATATTTTCAGGGTCACCAGCAAGCCTGGACCTGGCAAGACGAGTGGTTCAATTTGACCATGGAAGATATCCGGTTACTGGAAAAGGAAACTCAACAAAAGCTCGCACTCAAGTTCCAAAATTCATCAACGACGATGGAAAACACTTGCAATTCCGATGAGTTGCAATCGGCTATTCCAAACTTTGAGCAAGGCTCAGGTTAATTTTAAAAATATATCACTACTTTTCGTTCTCGTTTAAAAAACAACGCTTCCTGTAAATAGAAATATACATTTTATCCGCGCTCATTTCATTCTTCTTTTTGTGTTTATGTTTCATTCATTTGCATGCTCATTATAATAAGGTATAATTTGAAATTAACCCATAAAAAGTCGAGTCGGAGAGCTCAGACGATGAGTTCTTTGATGCAATGTCCCGAATGTCGGAGGCAACAATGACGAATCGGCGTGGATCTGATGTGACTTTCCACTCGATTTACGCTAGTGATGAGTTCTCCGTCAGTCCAGACAGTGGAGCTAATCAACAGGAGCCACCCGAAATTGCCAATCTCATAATTGGGAGGGCTTTTTATCGAACATATTTGCATAAATAACCATATGCCAAAGGGGTAACTATTGTAAAAAGCCAATTTACCGTCGTACATACTGCCAACATTCTCGGCTACGAAGCGACCGCAAATGATGATGTGCAAGTTTTTCGCGGAACAATTCAAGCGGTGCTCAAATCGCAGTTTCCAACGATTAACCCGAACATGGTCCAAGTTGAGGAGATCACCTTATCGCACGTGAATGAGCAGCTCATCCGAGGAGCAAAGTCTTGCGCCGTTAACACGACCATTTCGCCACAAATTCCATTACTGGCCGCGTCTGACAATCGCTGGGCAGATACTGTGGAAGAGCTTCAATTCAAAATAGGAAAATGGGCTCTACGGCTAAGCCGACTATTTGCGGACAAAAAATAGATCAGAGTATAATCTTTCCCTGTTTATAAATTGATTTTCTTCTGAAAATATCGGCGTAATTAAAAAGGGTCTAAGGCTTAAATTCTTAGCTTTAAATTTAAATGTGTAAGTATGGGCGTTTTTTGTCCCCAAATACCAGGAGACTTATTGATTGAAAGTTTAAAAGTATTGATAGTTTCGGAGACTGAACCCTTTAAAAAGAATCCATCGTTGATCGCCTCTCTCGTCGACGCAAGTTCGAAGGACAGGTCTACCTGGTCGGCGACGTCTTAGGCGGCTTAGTTTGCTACGATATGATAAATCACTTGTACGATAATGTGTCCAAGCAAGAAACAAATAGTCTTCAAACGGCAGGCAATCCTGTCTTTTCAAAGCGATCTTCTATGGATCATCCTTCGATCAGCCGATCGCATTCTCTTCGTTCTGAGCGCTCCCAGACGTCACAGGCTTCACATTCCTCGACTGGTTCATTCGAATACGGAATCGACTTTGCAGGATTGTTGCTATTCAACTGCCCCCTTGCATACATGATTCTTCAGCGAAAGTACTCCGGAATGAAAGTACCTCCGATCCACGTTCCGATTTTCAACCTATTCTACCCTATCGACCAAAACGCTGCCCGACTTGAGCCGATTTTCATGCAAGATGAGTGCCCTAACGAGCCGATTCTCCTCTGCAGAAGAGATTTATGTAAGAACAAATAGTATTCTTTGTTGTCTTCCTTTTTGGACATGATTCCGAGTTTTTTTCCTGGCACCACTTTTTTCTAGCAACATTCCTATTTTCAGCGAAACCACTGTTCAATACAAGCATTCATACAAGCCGGAGTGGGTTTGATTCCTTGGCGAGCACGCCAACGGCCAGACGCCGGAGGCTAGTGACCGGCAGTTTGCGGTCGTTTTTCACGCGAAGCACGGGAGCAAAAAAGTCATCCTTTGACTCTACGGCCTCGAGTCCCGGAGTTTCGAGGCAGGAGACGAGAAACAGTGAGAATTCACAACAAAACACCTCTTCTGCGGAAAATGCAGTCTTTCATTCTAATGACAAGCGACGATGTCACTCGTCTACTGGAACCGTCCTTTCCGCATCGGACTTTGCTTCTATTGGTAAATAGAACATCCCCGTCCAAAACAAACTGTCAACGCGCAAAAAGGTTGAAAACCAAACTTTTACGCGCGTTGGGCCTAACAAAACATAGCCACCGCAAAAACGGGGAAGACCTGATTTTGTATGACTCGTAGAAATCCGTCTGCAATCCAGCATGAAGATCGTGTTATAGAAAACATGTAGCACTTTTTCATAAGGCACCCTTAGCACTCGATTATGGAATCATTTTCATAATATCGTCACGTGATTCAATGTCTTCAATTATTTGTCCTTCTAACCTTTTTCTTAATAAATTGGTGTAGATACCGGCTGCCCGCGGATTGATTACATGCTCTCCTGTCCGGACGGGTTAGCGACGATGTCATCTAAATGTCTCCCACAATATCTTTACGCTGCGTTTTGGGAATCAGCTGACGCCGCTTCGGTAAAAACATTAATCGCATTAGAAATCGGCTCATTTTGCTTTCAATTTTAGCTCCTGCTCAAGCAAGCTATTTACGTCGAGTCCACGCATGCAGGTCATGCGAACGATGAGGATACCCTTAATCCACACAAGACTTCCACAAGGTGGCAGAGAAGACGTACCACACTCAAAGTTAGAAATCTCGAGCCAAATCACAGAGCACAGGTTAGCGAAGGCCAAAGTCTTTCGACCCCAACAGCACTTTTAGGACTGTATTACCACTGAAGGAAGCTCTCCTGTGATTTCAGGCAGATTCTCTTACGGTTTCTTTGACGTAGCAATGCTGACGGGAGAAAAGGTCGAGCTTCAAATTCGCTCTGACATCTCCGAATCTGGGTGGGAGACGATAGACTCGCAGGATACCGACTCCAATGGCCGCGTTTCTTTCACCCTTCCTCCTGGTAATTGAATTCGTATTGCTTCAACTGATGATGTTCTAGGTCGATTCAAATCTGTTGCATTGTATCATTTCCGATTAAACGTAACTGGTGATAATTCTTCATGCTTTTGCTCTCTCGCTATCGTCCCCCGTCAATCCAAATGCGTCGTTTTCTCCATTGACAGTTCTTTTGCTGGATCAGGTAGGCCAAAACCCCATCCAGATTTTAATCGAGGCTTCTTTTTAGTATCGATTCTGGGAACGGATCCGAAAGTACGGCCAGCTTCGGTGGATGTAGCGCGTTTTTGGAACGACAACGACTATCTAATTTTGTATATTTCCTCCCGACCCGACATGATGAAAAATAGAGTCGTTTCTTGGCTCAAACAACACAATTTTCCAAATGGCTTCACATTTTTCCAAAAGTAAAGAGAAAGATCGTCCAATCCACCCTAATTCGATCTCTTTCAGGGGGATCCACCATGATCCTTATGCGAAAAAGTGCGAAATGCTCAAGAAAATCATCTCTTCCAGCGAACTTGACGTGGCTGCTGCTTATGGGGGGCCAAAAGACTTGCAAATATATCGCTCAATAAATATCCCAACGAGGTCGATTTTTGTCGTTGGGAGCAAGGGCAAGAATAAAATTCAAAATATGGGAACCGTAAGTCCTTCAAATTCTCATAGCAGCACTAATGGCACTTTAGGTCCTTTCCGAAGGATACAATGTCCACCTGGACTGGCTTCGAAATTCGCCATTCCAAAATTTGCCGCAGTCCGCTAATTCCGCCTCCCGACTGATTCTGAAACGCCAGACAACCTGCTTACATTGAAAAAGCTCTTCACTGATTGAATTGTTTACTTGCTTATTTCTTCCGAATCCCATATTTTCAACTCGACTATTTCTTTATTTATGTTTATTTACTATTTATTTATCGCTTTCAAAGTTCTTCTCAATTATACTATTCTTGCCGATTCCACCTCAATTTAATTTTCAATTTAGTTATTGCTTTCTGATTTTCATCAACTTTGATTTTCAACCTTTAAAATTTTCCTTTTGTTCATAAAAATCCTTGCATCCTGCTGTTTTACCTACTTTCCTTTTCGAATTCTTCTCAATCAAGTTCAAAATTCCAAAAAAAAAATCTTCAAAAATGTTTTGTTTCATTAGGCGATCTCTAGAATGCGCGCTGGGATCTTGTTGATTTACAGACAGATCGTCAGTTGCGCAGAAATCAAAAATCTCAATGCTGAATCCAAATCCAAACTTTGACGATGGAGGCTCCCGCCGAGCATCGGCGCGTTCCAATCTCGCTGAAACTGGCGAGCTGCGACGAACCTCAACAATAAATCCAGAACAAGGCCAGCTCCGACGAACTTCGACGATGAATCCGGAACAGGGCCAGCTAAGGCGTACGTCGACGATGAATCCAGAACAAGGAGACCTCAGGCGAACATCAGAGATGAGAAGAGCTTCGATGAGTCTTGGCCTGGCGCCTGTACCTGGAGACGTGGCGAGACGAGTCTCAAATCTAAATCAAATTCCTGAAAACGGAGTTGCAGAAAATGATGAAGCGCCGGGTTCAGTCATTCCGAAGCGAACTTCAACAATGAGCCAGTCTGGCGGCGTTAGATCTATTAAAATACGAAGAGCTTCAGTTGCGCTGCATTCAATGGACGAATGTCTTCCAGGTAGATGAAAACTTTTATGAAGAAATTTTTTGGATGATGATTTTTAGGGTCAAATCGCTCGGAAATCAAAAACAGAAGAGAATCATTCAGCGTCCTCGGAGCTGGTTCGACCGATGAAAATGATGCTGCAACGAGAAGAGTCTCAAAACGAGGCTCGATCTTTGGCAACAGCCGCAGAGAGTCATCGATGGGCAGTGGAATGCCAAAAGGTCTTGAAATGCTAGTTACTCCAGATGTGGTTCAATCAATTGACGAAGACGAAAACGCAAAAGACAAGGAAAAGGCGGTCATCATTGAAACGAAAGAAACGCTCATGGAAAAACAAGGACGAAAAGATCTTCTCAAATTAAATGTAAGCTTGGACTTCATCGGATAATAATCCTAACAAGAAGTATTTTAGTTGATGTTCATATTCTTCAGCTTCATAACGTTATCTGGAATAAGTGGCATCATAACTGTAAGTATTCTCAAATTTAATGATTCTTAGCCTGTTCAAAGATAAAAAAATCTATTCAAAGACGTATTCATAGTCAACTAAGGCAGTAAACTCTTCTTTAAGATTATCTACGCTGTTCCAGCAGATTCGCCCTACCAATGGCTAGTAATCTTATTAACCGCCTTCACCATTCTCGGTTCCTGGGGCACTGCGTTTTGTCAAGGCTGGCAGCCACCTGCAAAAACTCTGTAAGTCTTCACTCTTTCAACCCCTTCTTCACGAAATTTTCTAGTGACATGGAGCGAGACGAACGAATCCAAAACTTGAAAAACATCTTCATGGCTAAAGAAGTCAACGACTACAACAAATACAACAAACAAATCATTTACGACGACGAAGACGACGATTGAAATTTCGAATATACTCGCCAGATTTGCAGTAAACTTTACTGTATTCCTTTTACCTGTTCATGTATCTTTATTTTTCTATCACTAAATATATTTTCTCACAAAATTCGGTCTTTTAAATCGTCTTTCCGTTTCAGAATGTCTTTGAAAACTTTTGCTTCTTTTTTCCCCGATAACCCTACTAATTGTTATCATTTCTAATATTATTCTTATTCAACAGTAGAATATTTACAATATCTATTTATATACACATCTATTTATAAATATTTATCCATCCTTTCTTGCTAGAATCTTTTAATTTATCCAAAAACCAAATCAAAAAGAGCAAAAAAAGTTTCTGTTTATTTGAATCCCGAGTAAATCAATCCCAAACGCAAATCCCGAAATGGGAAAGAAAAATCGTCGAAATAAAAATGCTGCTGCGACGAGTGGAGACGATATGAGCGATGTAAGTACTCTTCGCATGCGGCAGGGGGTTAACTTTACAATTTTACTTCCAGGTCTCCTCCATGATGTCATTTTCGACGGCGGCTTCAGAGCGCTCCGAATCCGACCACGTGGAATACATCGACGACGATTCTAAGTTCAAAATGATGATCGACGGAATCGGCAACAAAAACTCGAAGACCTCGGTGCCTGCGCTCAAATTCGTTTTCACAAAGATGCAACAGATGCCAATGACTACCGTGGGCGAGAGATATCACGACGGAGTCTGAGGGCCCGGGCCGGGGTTTTGAATATTTCGCGCACATTCAAGTATTTTCCCATGCCTGATGGAGGACTTTTATCTGGTGGAAGAAACAATTGATGGAAGATAGGTCTAACCTAGACTCTTTAAGATTATTTAATCCTTTACTAATAAATAGATAATCATTTTAAAAAATCTTGATCATGTGACTCTTGGAGGACCCCTGGAGGACCTTTTCTGGTGGAAGACCGGCCTTCCTGGAAGACCCTTAAAATTCAGCCCCGTTCCATGATTTTTAAATTTAAGGGGCTTGACGGCCCTTCGGGCCGTCTCAGCCCCGTTCCATGATTTTTAAATTTAAGGGGCTTGACGGCCCTTCGGGCCGTCTCAGCCCCGTTCCATGATTTTTAAATTTAAGGGGCTTGACGGCCCTTCGGGCCGTCTCAGCCCCGTTCCATGATTTTTAAATTTAAGGGGCTTGACGGCCCTTCGGGCCGTCTCAGCCCCGTTCCATGATTTTTAAATTTAAGGGGCTTGACGGCCCTTCGGGCCGTCTCAGCCCCGTTCCATGATTTTTAAATTTAAGGGGCTTGACGGCCCTTCGGGCCGTCTCAGCCCCGTTCCATGATTTTTAAATTTAAGGGGCTTGACGGCCCTTCGGGCCGTCTCAGCCCCGTTCCATGATTTTTAAATTTAAGGGGCTTGACGGCCCTTCGGGCCGTCTCAGCCCCGTTCCATGATTTTTAAATTTAAGGGGCTTGACGGCCCTTCGGGCCGTCTCAGCCCCGTTCCATGATTTTTAAATTTAAGGGCTTGACGGCCCTTCGGGCCGTCTCAGCCCCGTTCCATGATTTTAAATTTAAGGGGCTTGACGGCCCTTCGGGCCGTCTCAGCCCCGTTCCATGATTTTTAAATTTAAGGGGCTTGACGGCCCTTCGGGCCGTTGACGGCCCTTCGGGCCGTCTCAGCCCCGTTCCATGATTTTTAAATTTAAGGGGCTTGACGGCCCTTCGGGCCGTCTCAGCCCCGTTCCATGATTTTTAAATTTAAGGGGCTTGACGGCCCTTCGGGCCGTCTCAGCCCCGTTCCATGATTTTTAAATTTAAGGGGCTTGACGGCCCTTCGGGCCGTCTCAGCCCCGTTCCATGATTTTTAAATTTAAGGGGCTTGACGGCCCTTCGGGCCGTCTCAGCCCCGTTCCATGATTTTTAAATTTAAGGGGCTTGACGGCCCTTCGGGCCGTCTCAGCCCCGTTCCATGATTTTTAAATTTAAGGGGCTTGACGGCCCTTCGGGCCGTCTCAGCCCCGTTCCATGATTTTTAAATTTAAGGGCTTGACGGCCCTTCGGGCCGTCTCAGCCCCGTTCCATGATTTTAAATTTAAGGGGCTTGACGGCCCTTCGGGCCGTCTCAGCCCCGTTCCATGATTTTTAAATTTAAGGGGCTTGACGGCCCTTCGGGCCGTCTCAGCCCCGTTCCATGATTTTTAAATTTAAGGGGCTTGACGGCCCTTCGGGCCGTCTCAGCCCCGTTCCATGATTTTTAAATTTAAGGGCTTGACGGCCCTTCGGGCCGTCTCAGCCCCGTTCCATGATTTTTAAATTTAAGGGCTTGACGGCCCTTCGGGCCGTCTCAGCCCCGTTCCATGATTTTAAATTTAAGGGGCTTGACGGCCCTTCGGGCCGTCTCAGCCCCGTTCCATGATTTTTAAATTTAAGGGCTTGACGGCCCTTCGGGCCGTCTCAGCCCCGTTCCATGATTTTTAAATTTAAGGGCTTGACGGCCCTTCGGGCCGTCTCAGCCCCGTTCCATGATTTTTAAATTTAAGGGCTTGACGGCCCTTCGGGCCGTCTCAGCCCCGTTCCATGATTTTAAATTTAAGGGCTTGACGGCCCTTCGGGCCGTCTCAGCCCCGTTCCATGATTTTTAAATTTAAGGGGCTTGACGGCCCTTCGGGCCGTCTCAGCCCCGTTCCATGATTTTTAAATTTAAGGGCTTGACGGCCCTTCGGGCCGTCTCAGCCCCGTTCCATGATTTTTAAATTTAAGGGCTTGACGGCCCTTCGGGCCGTCTCAGCCCCGTTCCATGATTTTTAAATTTAAGGGCTTGACGGCCCTTCGGGCCGTCTCAGCCCCGTTCCATGATTTTTAAATTTAAGGGGCTTGACGGCCCTTCGGGCCGTCTCAGCCCCGTTCCATGATTTTTAAATTTAAGGGCTTGACGGCCCTTCGGGCCGTCTCAGCCCCGTTCCATGATTTTTAAATTTAAGGGGCTTGACGGCCCTTCGGGCCGTCTCAGCCCCGTTCCATGATTTTAAATTTAAGGGGCTTGACGGCCCTTCGGGCCGTCTCAGCCCCGTTCCATGATTTTTAAATTTAAGGGGCTTGACGGCCCTTCGGGCCGTCTCAGCCCCGTTCCATGATTTTAAATTTAAGGGCTTGACGGCCCTTCGGGCCGTCTCAGCCCCGTTCCATGATTTTAAATTTAAGGGCTTGACGGCCCTTCGGGCCGTCTCAGCCCCGTTCCATGATTTTAAATTTAAGGGCTTGACGGCCCTTCGGGCCGTCTCAGCCCCGTTCCATGATTTTAAATTTAAGGGCTTGACGGCCCTTCGGGCCGTCTCAGCCCCGTTCCATGATTTTTAAATTTAAGGGCTTGACGGCCCTTCGGGCCGTCTCAGCCCCGTTCCATGATTTTTAAATTTAAGGGGCTTGACGGCCCTTCGGGCCGTCTCAGCCCCGTTCCATGATTTTTAAATTTAAGGGGCTTGACGGCCCTTCGGGCCGTCTCAGCCCCGTTCCATGATTTTTAAATTTAAGGGGCTTGACGGCCCTTCGGGCCGTCTCAGCCCCGTTCCATGATTTTTAAATTTAAGGGCTTGACGGCCCTTCGGGCCGTCTCAGCCCCGTTCCATGATTTTTAAATTTAAGGGGCTTGACGGCCCTTCGGGCCGTCTCAGCCCCGTTCCATGATTTTTAAATTTAAGGGGCTTGACGGCCCTTCGGGCCGTCTCAGCCCCGTTCCATGATTTTTAAATTTAAGGGCTTGACGGCCCTTCGGGCCGTCTCAGCCCCGTTCCATGATTTTTAAATTTAAGGGGCTTGACAATGGCTGGGAACTCCGAGGTGATCAATCTCAGTCCCCAACCCCGCCCACACCCATCGTTTTTAAAATTCAAATTGATCAAGTTTTCAATTATTTTATGGTTTTGAATATATTTTATCAATTTAAAGATTTTCTTTGATTATTATTTACAAATTATTATTATTTAATTTATTTATTATTAAAACAAAATCAAAGTTATAAAAATTGAAGGAAGAAGAAGTTTCTTAGGTCAATTATTGAGAGAGGTGAATTGTGAAAAATGTTTCTAGACGGGGGGTTGTTGTTGTTCTTCGCGGAGGACCCACTCCCACGTGGCGCAAGATGCGCGCCAAAAAGAGCAAAAAGATTGGGACGAGAAAAACACGCGCAAATGCCCCAATCTATTTCGCTCTCCGTCGTGAAATCTCTCGCCCACGGTACCCTTCTTTCATCGCAAAAACTGACCTTGTCTACTGAGCTTTACCGCGCGTTGAGAAAGGTTCGTAAAATCCTGATTCCAAAAATTCAAGATTCGTTCGAAAACGACTCTTTTTCCGCTTAGATAATTTTATCTATAGGCGAAAGGTGATTTCCGTCTGATGCTTCTCAAATGCCTTGCTGTGCTCTTTCTTTCTCTCGATGAAGAAGACGCCAACGAAATATTCGAAGACGTGCAGCGCGAGTTGCTCGCTTCTCTGAAAGGTGCAATGTCCTTGAACTTGAATTTGTGTTGAGCACTGTGAAAATTCAGATAAAGTCAAGGACGCCGCCCTTGCCTTGGGCATCGTCTCATCAACTTGCTTCAACCCAGACCTCGTTGCGCCAACTTTTGCTGCATATAGAGATATAATAAAACGCGCTTATTTGAAAGGTACTAAAAATAGCCGAAGAGAAAGTAACAAAAATTAAGGCGATGATGAGCCACCTGTTTTGAAAGGAACTGAATCGACGCTTATCACAGCCTGCCTTGAGAGCTGGACTTATCTTCTTGCTGCTTCTTCACATTATGGAGGGTTGGTCCTTAATTTATCAAACGTTTTTTGATATCTTCCTTCTATTCAATATAATCGGAAAGAATTGCTTTTCTCGCTCATAATCATCTTTCTTCGGTCGATTACTATCAAGTTTATTCATGAATTTTAGTTTTCGTCGACTCATCGAAAAAGAAATCGACGAACTTTCTCCAGAGCTTCCTGGAATTCTCCGCTCAGCGTCTGTGGAGGTCCGATTGGCAGCTAGTGAAGCCGCAGCGGTAATTTCCCTTTTTACTTCATTTATTTTATCTTTCTTTTGCTTGCAGATAGTGACAGAAGTGGCCCGAGACTTCCGAGGCGATGAGTTTGACTTTGACAATGTCGACGACATACTGGATTGTCTTGACAATCTTGCTCAAGGAACAGCGGTCGGCGGTGGCTCCGTCAAATCGCTTAAGAAAAACGACAGAAAGAACCAGAAACTGACAGTTAGAAATACAAGAGTAAGTTCACTTCAAATAGTGAAAACTACAAAATCACTCTTTAAAATGAAGAATCGTCCATTTATTTATTCTGTGTTTTCTGCGACTTATTGATCCCGTTGTGAAAGCCAACAATGTTTTCACCAACAAACGAACTGTCGCTATAAGAAAAATGGAGATACACAGCTGAGTAGATCGAGAATTCTTCTACTTCAGTTGCCGGAAGGCCTAACAGTTATTTTAGGACCTGATTCTCGATCGAGAACCTGCCGATGTAAAAACAGTTCAAATTTCAATCCAAGAACTTCTCGAGCTCGATACCTACTGTGACATTACTCGTTATGAGGTTTCATTTCAATATAATTCTATATCCAATTACGCTATATATATTTATAAACACAGGTCTTATCAAATCTAATCAGGGAATTTGCTGGTGCTTGGAAGGCGGGATTAACATGCACTTGACTTACAACGAGCTTTTACGAAACGCGGACTGGTTCGAACTCGGATCGATTGTACCCCGAGTCACCAAATTGGATAAACTCGATGCCATCGTAAGTTTCCAATTACCAGCGCTCATCCTTATCCCTCTCCCAAGGACAAGCTCCACCGCCAAGTCATCCGCGGCCAAATCGACAAGAATCGCAACAATCAGATCAAGAAAGAGCGACAGAATCGAGCTGACGACCACTACTACGACTGAAAGATCTATCGCCCCTCGGGCCATGTCAGACCTTGCCATAAGGCTTATCTTCCCGACTATATTTAACTTGTGCTTTCGTTTTTAAAATTTCTGAATCTCCAGCAGTTCAACAAATATGCTCTGAAATACCCAACATAGAATGTGTCATACTACCTTTTGCTAGTAACTAAAAAACTTTATCCTCCTTTTTGAAATCGTGACGATAACATTTAAGTAACCCGTGTATCTTCAACGTATATTTATATTCAATTCTACTCTTTTTCTCAAAAAAATCACTTCTCTTCTGCTCTAACTCCAAATATAATTATATTTTATTCAACGATAGATTTAAAAAAAGACTGAAAGAAAAAATTGAAACATGGTGCTCCGTACTTTTTTGCTTTTTGTGTGATAAATTATGTTTCCGATTTGATAACTTTTTTTAGTTAGTTTCATCTTTTATAGATTGGACGATGAGGCTCGGTCGTACCAGGTTTAAATCACCCATTTAATCCCATTTTACTCGCCCTTTCAGCCAATTCCAAATCTTACCCGCAAATTGAGATTCTGAATTGCATTGAGACTCTCCCCCTTCTCAAGAGTTGAACCAACCGCTGCCCAAAGTACACCAACCGGACCGGATTCAAAAGCACCACAAACCACTACCTGTACCTTACCTCCTGTACCTCGAAAACCAAACCAAAACCCGAGCGATTATTTCATTTTCTTTTGCACAAGTTCCCTCGAAAAACCTAACTTTGAACTTAACCGATTCAGTTCAAGAGTCCAAAAATATGGAAAACCCCAGCAACCCCTACGACAATGGTCAGCAGGATGATCTGGGAGACGATACAATCTGTGTAACCATTCGGCTCTTGTTCAAGGGCAACCAAGTCGGCACGCTCATCGGCCGAAAAGGCTCCAAAATCATGCAGATCCGAGAAGAATCCGGCTGCGAGGTCAAAATTAAAGGAAATGAAAAGGACATTGAAAGAATTGTTTCTGTCTCTGGATCACCGGCCGGTGTCACCAGAGCGATCGGAAAGGTGGGAGAGTTTGTTGAAGCAGATTTGAATGATGGTCTTACTGGCAGAACAACAAAGGTAAACTCTAAACGTCAAGATAGTCAATAAATCTTACTTACCTGTAAGATACCTGTAACTCTTCATATGATCGTTCCGACTGGCCAATGCGGCTCCATCATCGGCAAAGGTGGCTTCAGAATCAAGGAAATTAGAGAGAAAACAGGTTGTAACGTCAAAATTGCCAACGAGCTGCTACCAGGTACTCTACTATGCCTACAATAGTGAATTGACCGTCTTTTTTACAAACAGGCAGTACAGAAAAACTCATCACCTTGTATGGCGAACCCAGAGTTATTCAGCAGTGCGTCGGCTCAATTTGCAACGTAAGAAACACATTCAGTAATCAACCAGTTATTCATTTGAAAATAAGGTGATGATCGAAGAAGGTCAAGAAAGAAAGTGCACACCTTACACTCCCGCTTCGTATGGTCCCTCACCGGTGTTTGGAATGGAAGGCATGCCTAGAAACGCGACTCAATATCCTCCACCACCGGCTGGCAACGCTGCGCCGCAATACCCTTATCCTGGACACTCAGGCGCTCCACCAACTGCCCCGCCAGCTCAGCCTGGTTACCCACCAAACTGGGCTCCTGGCCACCCGCCCATGCCAAACCCCCCTGCTCCTGCTTACGGACAAGTACGTACTAAACAAGTTCTCTAATCTTATCATCGACTAGGTTTACCCTGGCTATGGCGCTTCCAGCTATCCGAATCCATCCGATCCAGCCTTCATCCTTCGCGACACGAATTTAGATCACTTCAAAGTAAAATTGAGTCAGAAAATTCTCTCCGAGGGTGTCTTAGAAGTTCATGTCGACAAAACTTGCGTAAGAGCTTTTCCCAGTTTTTCTGGTGCTAACAAAAATTACAGATGGGAGCTGTCATTGGCCGTGGAGGCTCAAGAATCGGCGAAGTCAGAATGTTGTCGACGCATGATATTAAAATCCATGAAGTTGATGGTGACAGTACTTTCAGAAGGATAACTATCTCTGGAGACAAAAATCACAGTAAATAAGATCATCGAAAACTCTAATCTTAACCCTTTTCAGTCGACAAGGCCGTTTTGCTACTCCATGTCTGTGTCAACGTGTTCACAGAACCAAAGGACAAAGTCGGCCACCTCTCTCTTCTCCAAGCCGTTCAATATGCGCAAAGTGGCGGAAAACCACCACAGGTAGATCCCTTCCCAATTTTACAAGTAAATCATGCGCAGATGGAGCCAAAGCACGCTCACGATGCACACCACTCAATGCCACCAACAGGAGCGTATCACCAACAACCCCCTTACGGAAATATGGACTACGGATATGGATACGCTGCGGGACATCCCCACCAACCCCCAGCGCCAAGGTAACGCTTTTCAGAAATCAAGGAAAAGTACCAACAATGCTTCAGAATGCCCTCTTACAACAGAAAACCACCAAACAAGCGCCCAGCTGACCACACTCACGGAATGGACACCGGCGAAGGCGACTCCGAAATCCCCTGCCACAAGCGAGAAAAATTCCGCCAATACTAAAACAGAAAACAGAAACAACCTAAAGAAGATTCAACATTGTCCTGAATACGCTTTCATTCTGTTCATTTAAAAATTTTCACACATCTGTTAGAAAGAATTTATAAGGCTCAATTTATTCAACTTATGTGTCCACTTTTACGCTGAATAAAAAGTTTATTGGTTTCTTGCCAAAGAAATCGCTAATTATTATACGAGAAAGAATCGGGCTTTCTTTGAAAATAAAGATTATCCGAACAATTCAACTTAGTCGTGAATACTCAATTTGCAAATTTATATGGCAGGATGGAGAATTCAATCAAGCAAGGCATAATTATGAGTTGGGTTTATGGGGCGCACTGAGTCCGAAAACCCGGCGGTTTATAACATGAAAGGAAGCCGGGAAATAGAATAGCTCCTCGCACCTTTTAAAGACAGCAATTTTCGAGGAAAAGTTTGTTTTTATAGCACCAAGCTGGTCATTTCTAAATCGCAGCAATTAAAAAATCAGGAGCCCAATGGCAACTGAAGACAAGAATCAAAAACTTCCCTGTATTAGTCATAGAAAAACTTGAAAGGGGAGGAATTTGCCATACAGCATCAGCCCTGATTCAACCAGCGGAATTTCCTTTTGAAGTTTGACAATTTTCGGTGAGAATCTTCGATAGTGTTTGAATCAGAAACCGATAAATCCTTTCTTTCCAGAACGCGTCCATTTCTCTCTAGATTTAGCGAGATCCCTTTCGAAATTTCCGATTGCGCTTTATTTGCAAAAAAGAAGAGCTGTGGAAATTGAGCTCAGATGGAGAATTTCGTCTTCAAAAAGAGAGCGTCACAGGAAGACGGAGATGTTACCTGCGAGAGATCTTTCTCGGGTAGAAAGATCATCTTTGGAGATTCAAATCTTTGCGGAATGTATACTGACAGTTAGGGTTTTATAATCGAATAATGTCTTTTTGAATAAGTTTGTTTGAAAACTCACTTGAAGCAAGCAGGAGATTTTCAACTCCTACTTTTCCTTGCGATACGTAAATGAGGCAGAAGACGTTCCAGATACAGTCATTTATTGCATACTACAGGTAAGTCTTCTCATGAGCCCGCGAAACTGATTTTGACATAGTCTGACCTTCTGGATCCGACTGGAACCACACCAGAAATGATGGCCGACATCCAGCAATGGATCAAACAAAACGACCTGGAAATGCTTATATTACTCATGTCAGATGTAGCGAATCTACGAGGCGGTCCCCGAACTCCATGGAAGAAAATAGAGAGCCAGGACAAAGGATATTAACCTGTCCCAGATCGATCTTTGGAAAAAGAGCTGCAGAACACAGTTATTCTTGTGTTCCACGACTGCCAGAGGGAGAAATTTGAACATCAAACCGTACTCGACTTCATGGAAGTAGAAGGTAACTCTAGAGGGGAACGTTCTGTTACTTATAGTGTTTTAAGCTTATCTCGCGACAGATTACGGAGTCGATGACTTCGCGAGTGTGCGAAAGTTGCTGAATAAAGTTCCTGAAACGTACAAAATGCTCAAAGGAGAATGGGAATTCATCAAGGGACTTGTCTCCACGATCTGCGAAAATCCCAAGTGGGAAGATGCCTCTTTCAAGAATCCTTGCACCGAGATGAGTAAGAACAGAAGACGACTAATTCCACATCAAGTAACATCCCCGGTAAACCAGTCTTAATCAATTTTTTATTTACTTATGCATTTTCAGTGGCGTCAAGACATGCTTACCAAGTTGGTAAAGAAGAATCTGTCCTGGCGAAATGTGACCAAGTTCCCCGTTGGAAACAAGTTCCTTGTTCGCGGCCAACGACCAGTGCTCAAACTTCGACCCAAGGTTGAGCCACGCATTCGGAGTAAAGACTACAAATTCTACTCTGAAATGCTGAGATTGCCGACGCGAACTTTGAACAGAAAAGAGGAAGAAAACGAACTCATCAGATCGCGTCCCGAAGAGCTTCGGTTTTATGACAAAATGCTCCAGCGATTGTGGCGACAGGTTCAGTTCAATATTTAATTTATTTGAGGCTTCAAAGCATCAACTCACATATTTTATTTGTTGTAAATAACTTTCCGATTGTAAATTTACGTAAAATAAGATTGATGAATTATTTTGTCCAACCGTTATATAACTAAGCTAAAGAAAACGAAGCCTAAAACGGACTTGCCTAAACTCGGACCTGAACCACTTCAGGGACCATCGGAACCCCTCGTCTCATACGATCAACTCAGCAAGATGAGCGAAAACGACGTGCTAATGGCTGGCTGCTCTGGAGCCAAGCAGCGCCGCCTGGGAAACAACGAGGACTCTTATCCCGATGGTATCTTATTTTGAAATTGAAATCCTGCCACTTTTGAACAAACGAATAAAAATTGCCGATTAGAAGGATAACAATTGCGAATAATATTCACTATCGTTTCTTTTATTGTTTTAAAAAGGCATCGAGGCGGAGTAGTGAGTAATTGCCGCGCTCCCTCTCTACCACTCTCTCGCACCGATAATGCCTCGCTCGTAAAACGTTTTTCCCGAGCAGCTCGGTCGTAATTCCGCTCAATACCGACACCAAAAGTCGTTTTCTTCAAGAGTTAAAAGGGCAATGTTTTTCCAAACGCATCCATCAGAGAAACGTGACACACCAAGATCCAAAAAACAAACGAAAGAGGAAAACGCCGGTTTCAAAAGTGACAGTGGAGACAAACGTTTTGTTTTAAAGAGTTTAAAATTAAGACAGGGCGTTGTCGCACTGACCCTTTTGCCCAACCGAAAGTCGACGATTTTCTGTTGAATTATATTTTTGAATACTTTTTTTAATAGTGGAACAAGAGAGGGTTGAGTCGAATAAGTACAAAGAACAGAAAGTGTTGAATATAAGAGGCGTTCAAAGAGATATTAGGTCTTTGCTCGTACTTTGATTTTCAATTTGGACGGGGACCGAGTTGATCGCCACCGGAGCGCTGGGGGTTGAGCCAAAGCTAGTCCAGTTCTCGCGGCCGGTCACGAAGAGATCGCTTTTTACCGGCGAGAAGAAGTTACGCTCAACGCGAATCGGCTGTGGCGTGTGAACGGCTAAAATATTGATAAGAAAATAATGACTATTATTTCTTAGGGAAGCAAGACTGACCTTGAGATCTGGGCTTGATATCATTCCACGCAGAAGCGCCAAACCAGCTGGCATTTGTGGTGGAATTACTCGTGTTTCCATTGGTAAGAACTGCTCCATTCACGCTAGCATTGGTACCAGCCGGAGTATGATTGTTTGAAGACTTGGATAAGAACGGATTCGTCGATGATCCGTTTATTGAATTGCTATTTTTATGGCCATTTGTTGGGATAGGAGCGGGCTCGAGGAAGTTGACGGATTCAAGCCACTTTTTCGTTGTTGAATTGCGATCGCTGCGTTTTGAATTGGCAACGAAGAACTTTGTTTTGAGCAGTTGAGCGTATTTTGGTCGCTTTTCCACATTCTAAACTCGGTTTAGACAAGAAAAGGGGTTTGATGAGTAACTACCTTTATACAAAGTAATTTGACAAATTCGCGAAAATCTGCGGGGAAAGAAGGGCCGAGCTCTGGCGCTTCTGCTTGTAGGATTTTCGCGCAAACTTCAAAATCCGATTTGCAACCAGAATAAGGAAACTGCGCTGTCGCCAGTTCTATTAAACTCAGCCCCAAGCTCCAGATATCCGCTCGGACGTCATACGTTCCTCTCTGAAAACAGCCTTCGTTATCTTCAGCTTTCTTCAAGACCTACCTCTGGGTCGATTCTTTCGGGACTCAAGTAGGCAGCACAGCCAGCTCCTCTAGTTCGCGCCTGGCTATCCACAAGACGACCCGAAATGCCAAAGTCGCAAAGTTTTATGTTGCCATGTTGGTCGACAAGCACGTTCGATGGTTTTACTGAATTAATGCCATTACGTCAAAGTTCACGTCACAAACTCCTCAAAGAAAGAAAAAAGGCGAGAAAGATTTATTGCATTCCTTTGTTTATTACTTTGATCTGCCAGAGTCTGATAGACTACATCATGTATCTGGGAAGACAAAGTGACATGTCTTAGAGACTCAAAAGCCGCAAGCAACTTTTTCGATTCAGTCGGTAAAACTCATGATTATTTTCTGCTTATAATAATGTGGCTTTCTTACCATCTCTGTGTATCGTCGAGTGATGTTCCTTCAAGTAGTGAAGAGCTGAAACGACGGAGTAGGTCAACGACCCTAGGACAGGAACAGGGACTGGCAGTCGTGTTGTTTTAAGGATTTTCTCGAAGCAGCAGAGCATCAATTCCATGACAATCCAAACTGAAGCATCGCTTCCAACTGCGCCGAGGTACTTGACAATGTGTGGGCAGGTTCGCGATTTGATCATGACCCCGAGATCCATCCGCAGCCGCTAGAATCGACTGTAATTTCCGAAAGCGTGAGAAAGGCCATTTACCTTAATCTCGTCTGGATCATCTGACTTTGGAATTTGCTTAACTGCGACCTGTCGTTTGCCCATAAAGTTCATTTTAAAGACTGTACCGCTCGTTCCACTCCCAAGCCAGGCAGAAGTGTCGTGAGAGGTGAAATCCTTTTCCGTGACGTTGCGATAAGGGACCCTGTCTAATTCTACAGTCCCAAGGCCGAGAATTGGCACATTCTGAGGTTCGAAGGATTGTGCTGTATTGAATCCATTTCTCCGATTTGAAAAGTCCAAACTAGACAAAAATTAACTTTCTGAAAAATCAGTCCGCAATTGCGATTTTTCCAAGAAATCCGTCAAATGAAAAATTACCTTCCAGGCTTCATTCTTGGGGTGACGGTGCTAGAATTCGCCCTGGAAGAAGTGAGCGAGAGAGAAGAAGGGACGGACGGCCTGGTTGAGTTGAGGTTTAAATTCGTAGGCGCAGGACGAGGCCTTCTCGAAGAAGCTGAAAATTGACTGTGAATCTCTCAATTAGAAGATTTCGTTCTCTTACATTGACTCTGAATCTGTTCCTTCATTTGGTCAATCTGCGCGACGAAACTCGCCAAGTTGATGTCGCTCATTCTGAAAAAGCAAATTTGTCGTTATTATTTCAGCGAACAATACGGGGACAATATACATGTGTTCAGGAAGAAAAGGCGCGCAAACAGGACGCTTGAGCTAGAATGGTCAGAGGAGCGTGGTTATGGAGAAAAGAATGGAATTTTGGTTTCCTTTTTGGCTTTTGTTTTACCGTAGATTTTCAATGATAAAGGGGGTTTTCTCAAGTTTGCAAAAATTGGGGCTCGAAAATTCTCTGTTGAGGAAAACTTGCTTCTGAAAGTCGATCGCGGCGAAATAGTGAAAGTGAGCAAATAAAATCAAGAAAAAATCGAATTGTTTACTCTTGACTGAGACCTTCCAAAAAAGGCCGGGCTTGGAATCCTCTCCCTCCCCGACCAGTTTATATTTCCAATTATTCTGGCTCACTTGACCCAAATGAGCCCCAATATCAATAAAAAGGAAAATTCAAATTATCCTCTCATTACATCCTTTTCCAGCTATAACGACGATATTCTCTGAGCTCAAAAAGGATATATAATCTTCTTCGTTTGCGTCAAATCATAGATTTGGCCTTATAAAAAAGTTTAAATCTTATGTTTATGGCCATTTCGGATCAAAGAAAGCTCTCACAGTTAAAAAATGGGCAGCTACTTTTGATTTTGTCGATTTTCTTCGTTGATTATTGTCCTAAAATTCGGAAATATGGTTTGACTAGTCTCTCAGTCACCCAGCTAATTATATTTTCAAAGATAATAGATTTGTTGGCTTTCACATGAAGATGATTCAATTGAAAATCATTACGTGACTAGACGGCCAAAATAACTTGAGAAATTTATTCTCTCATAAAAATAATAAAAATTCCAGTTTCAGTTGCTCAGCTAAAAATTATGATAATCCAGTAGGAAGGCTCCTGCGCTCATGGGCGGTAATTACAGCATCAATATATCTTTCGCTGGGCAGAAAATCTATAAAACTCTTCAGAAGAGAGAGCGGCGGATTCTTTCTGATGTCTGTCTTGTTTTACCGTCTTTGGCCAGTGAAAAGAGAAGTCTTAATTTATTCCGCGTGACAAATCATATATCATTTATCGATATCATATAAATGCGGATCGTCTACATATGTACACTGAATATAGACAGGCTTATTACAATCTGGAAGTTTTCAAAATTGAATGAAAGAATTTCAAATAAAGAACGAACGAAAATCTACATTTTGATTAACCTTAAATCTTTTCGCGCTCATTTTGAATAGTTATTCTTCAATTCGTAACAAAGTAACCGTTTCTGTATAAAAAGAAAGAAGTTTCTCTAAATATAAAACTCGCTTCGTTGTGAATTCGCAATTGTTCTTAATGTTTCCACGATGGGCGGATAATTATGACTCTCTACGACGCGCTTTTATATTTAGATTCTTGTGATTTATTGTGAGTTTTTGGCGAACTTGTTGACGCTGTTGAAACTCTGGGCGAGGGGCGATTTACGAGCGCCAAAAGCTGTGAGAAACGCTCAGAGTTTTTTCGCTAAACGAGTTGTAAATAGTGATAACTGTCTCCCGGAAACACACGTCTGCGCATTCCAAGGTCACATGAGTTTTGACTAAGAACGAGCTCGTGAATCTAGACAGTGGAAAGTTATCAGTGGAGATTCGGATCGGCCAATTATTTGGTCATTTAGATTCCGAAGAGTAAACTAAGTATATCACATGATATTTATAAAGCGGACTAAATTTAGAGCTAGATTCATGGCGCCATTCTGATCATTAATCGTAAAGGAAAAGACACTCACGTGTTTTATGTTAATTAATTACGCATCATGACACTTTTATGGCACCATTTCTTTGATAGGTTAATTCAGAAGTGCCTAAATTCCAAATAGAAACTAATCCCCATCTTTTACAATAATAGCCTGTGAATTAATCCAAAGCCGGAATTTACTTTTGCACAAAATCGGTCAAAAAAGGTTAATTTTAACCCAAAAACGTTCAATTTTAACCCACGAAGAACGTGAGAGCTCAAAATTGTCCAAATACAGAAATGGCACGGGAAATCGTTAACTACCGTAAAACAAGCGGACAATAAAGGCGAAGTTATATCGAAATTCTCTGCCAGGTGGATCCGCCAAGCGGATGCATGAAATTCGCGCTATTTGTAACTATGGCGATAGCAACTTCATGCTACCAAGAAGCAGAAAAAATGTAAATAAATCCTAGTAAACAGACAAATCGGCAAATCGCAAAAAGTTGACACTAGCAGATAGCAATTTAGTCATTTTTCAAATAAATTGTCGCGTTATAGAATTGCATGTTTCTTTGAACTTTCATCTACTCAGGTCAACTGTTTATTTTGAGAAATCTTCATTGACCGACTTATTTCGTTACAAAACTACACCCGACGCTCTTTATTAGACCACTGTCGAGTTTTCTGATCGGAAGAAAACCCTGGTGATCGAAAAAAGACCGTCCGGGGTAGTTTGTGCCAAAAAATTGATGAAGTTGTTTGAAAACAAGAAATTCTAGCTTGACATTTGGCTAAAATTCTCAATAGAATAAAAATTAACGAACCATTAATTTCTCTTGAGAGCTCAAATATTGCCCCATAAAATCGTCATCTGTTGGCCTTGAATTCTAAATTTCAAATTTCCTGACGCAGCTTTTGCAAATTTAACGAAGCTACCGGAATTTTTTAGAATGAAGATATCTCTAACTATTATTCTGACATTTTAGGTGCTCAAAAGGATGCGTGAGAAAATAAGTTTCTTTCCGGAGATCGTAAAAATGTTTGGTTGATTCGAAGCCGGAAGAATTCACTTCCGGATTTGTCGCAAAATCATTATCAGCATAAATTCCCTAGACATGCAATTCAAGCCTCACAATATTCTAATTTTCAGGAATTCCGAATTAGCCCACAGAAATTTAGGTTTTCAGATTTAAAGATTCTTTCATAGAAAAATGACATGAATAACGAAATAATACTAACGAAAATATTTTTTTAATTTAAGTATCAGAAAATCAGATTTTTTTTTTAATAAAAACTCACTAATATGAGATTTCTTCTTAGATTCTTTTTTTTTCTTAACTTTTATATCTCTAAGAGGAAGTGAAGATGACTTCTTATTTTAAAAAATGCCTTCTTTTTATTTTATATTTTTTTATCGGAGAATTGGAAATTGACTTGCAATTGATCGATGGCGCCCGCGATTGCTGGGGCTGATCTGAGATTTGAGCCAATCAGCGCGCGCCGCTCCCGTTTGATTTTTCGATTTCCAATTTTTGCGACTTTTGGAGAAAAAGAGTTAACGAATTCACGAAAATGGAGGGGCTGATAAATTGGGCCCTAGGAAACGAGTTTTTAGTTAAAATTAGATTTTTATTTTTAAAATTAATAATTCAATCAATGAAAAAACTGCAGTAAAAAACTCTTATCAGCACTTAGTGATAGGGAAGTGGTATCATACCTCGGAGTAGGCATGATTGTCAATGGCTTGTTTGTAGCTCCAATCCTAACCTACATAATGCCAGCTTACTACGGCCGATACAGGTTTTCTCAGCTCAAAAATCATGTTTAATCCCGTGTTCTAGCGGAAAAGCCTGGTTTTCTATTTCAGCGAAGCTCTCCTGGGTCGTTCAAGAATGCCCGGCCTTCTTTCTTCCCTTCTACTACCTCCTAACGACTCCAGATCTTGCTCTTCCGAATCAGATTCTTTTGGGAATGATGAGTCTTCATTATTTTCAGCGATCGTTCATCTATGCTCTCAAGCAACGGAGTAAAAACGACGTCGCTATTTCTATCACTTTCTTTGCCTTCGTTTTCTGCTTGTACAACGGTTTTATGCAGGTATTTTCGTGTTTCAGCAGTTCCTTCAAAAACGCTCTAATCCTGATTTTGAAGAGCCAGAAGCTCTTAAAAATAGCGTCTTCTCAACTTTTCAACTCTTCTTATCAGGGTCTGGCGTTATCATCTGTCTACTCTTATCCCGCCAACTGGAGCAGCTCACCTCAGTTTATCCTCGGAAGCGGATTATTCCTCTTCGGCTTCGCTGGAAACATCCATTCTGACTCAATTCTTCGAAATCTCCGAAAACCTGGCGAATCGGGCTACAAAATTCCGAGAGGCGGGGTTTTCGAATACGTCTCCGCGGCAAACTACTTCTGCGAAAGTCTAGAATGGATTGGTTTTGCCATTGCGTGTTGGAATTTCCCAGCTGGTGAGAAATTACTTTTCAAACAACCTTCAACTTCTTTTTTCTAGCGGCCTTTGCGACGTACACTCTTGCGAATCTCCTTCCAAGAGGACTTTCCCATCACCAGTGGTACAAGAACAAATTCGACGACTACCCAAAAGAGCGAAAAGCTTTCATCCCCTTTCTTCTTTAATTCCAGTTCAAAAGTTCAATCCTCGCTCAAAAGAATCATCTTTTACTGACCTACTAATATTTATTTCTTCAACCAAAATATACCCAGATTTCACCGAATCAAATTCATTCAAAGCCCAAAATCTATTTTTCAAGATCATGTCGGAAGAGGAAAAACGGAGCATGCAGCAACCGACGGAAGAAGAAGAAGAATCAGGCGACGATGATGACATGGGAAAATACATGATCGACGACGATGATGACGATCTCCCAGCCCCGGTTCCGAAAAAAGACAAGAGTGAGAAAAAGATCGACACGGAAGACCAGAAAAAGGAGCTTTTCAGTGCAAAAGAGCTTCGAGATGTAAGTTCAATGAACGTTCTTTTAAAATTTCAATCAATGAAACTTTCAATTTTTAGTACATGGCGGCATCAGTTCCAGGACTGAAAAAACACCGCGGGAGTAAACTGCCAGTCCATGGGAATGAACGAACAATGAACCTGAACCACATGGTGCTGGCAAACATCACTGAATCCGCCTACTTCCGCTGCGATCTGCTTCAAATCAAAACATACGACGATATGATCGACGAAATTTACTACAAAGTAACGCACCTCGAGCCCTGGGAAAAAGTCGGTAAATATTCAACGCGATCTGATCAATCTAAGCTCGATTCTAGGGATCAAGAAAGCATTTTACCGGCAGCGCGACGGGTGCTGAAAGAGGAATGGCGTATTCAAGCATCCCTGGAGTTCAGAACTATGTTGGAGTCAGAGGAGTCGGTCAAGGGGGAATTGTCTCTACCCCTTTTTGCTGCATGTATAAACTTTGGACAATAAAGGTTGAAAAAAGGCTGAAACAAGAAGCATTTATAAGGTTTTAGTTGACCAGAAAACAAGTAGAATTGATGTGCGACCATGTGGACTCTCCATACATCCGGGGAATCGGATTCCTTTATCTTCGATACAGGTATGCATGTTGTTACTTTCTAGGGATAAATTTCTGTTCAGTTTACCGCCTGAAAATCTCCTGGAATATCTTGAGCCCTACTTCAAAGACACAGAAGAAATCGACCCAAAAGCTGGTGGTGGTGATCCAATGACTATGGGAGAGCTTGTAAGTCCGGAGCTTCTCCAGTTGTTTATCTTACCGTTTATTTCTAGATAATGGCGATGCTAGAGGAAAACCACTGGTACGGGACAATGCTGCCTCGAATTCCGGCAAAACACTTACAAGAAATCAGAAAAGCAATCGACAACTACAAAGGACGCAGTCGCGGAGAAAAGAGCTCAAGCGAAAGAAGTTCTTCGAGAAGTAATCGTAGAAGCCGAAGCAGAAGCCCTGCTGCTCGAAAAAAGCGTAGAGACCCGAGGGAACTTGACGATGGCCCGAGTTCTTCCAGCTCTTCTCACAGGTATCTTCTCGTATATTTCTTGATTCGATTCTATTACAATTATAGGGGACGAAAAGATCGAGATAGAAATGCATACCAAGGAATGCCGCGCGGATTCGGTGGCAGAAGTGGTCGATATTAGAACAAATTTTAACTGCCATGAATTCAATTTTCAACAAACATAAACCCAAATAAATGTATTTTCATCGCTTTTCTTTTAGAAAATGCCGTGGAACGTACCCCAGGGGTACTCCATCGACGATCTTCTGGAGGAGCTCAATGTCGACATCATCACGATTCCAGAAGTTCCGACAAAATTGAATATCGTCAATCAGAAAATTCGGAAAATAGGATTGACACCTATGGTTGAGGAGGAGACCTTCGGGGTTTTGATGTCTGCGATCTTTCATTATCAAAAGTTGAAAGATGATGTTACCGGTGACCTGTGGGATGTTATTGATAGAGGTTACAGGTAAGGGAGAACTTTTGTTGCTCTCGCCGTAGTCAGCTTTTCTTTCAGAGATAACAGAGAAAGGCCTGATCAGGATACACTCATGAAATCTCTATTTCTGTCCTGCCAGCTGATGGACCAAACGACCAAAAAATCCTCCACAAAAGTCAAAGACACTCTGATAGAGCTCTTTATCAAGCGATGGATCAAGCAGCTCGAAATCATTGGCAGAAGAGAGATCCACTCGCCCGAGGCTGCCTCGATGATCATGGGCGTCTGTTGGCAAGTTCTTGGCTCTTGCAAGAAGAATAAGTCGGTGCAGAAAGATATTACAGAAATTATTTCGAAGGTAGTGGTAGTAAAAGAGCTTATTGTTAATGTTTTAGGTTATCAAAACTGTGGGATCGCAAGAAGTAGCGATTAACATCGTGAAATTCATCCAGAAAGACGAGTCCTTGGCGGAATTCTTCGCTGAGCGTGTTGTCACGTGGATAACTGACTGTGAGGCGAGAGGATTGGTTAACTCTATTCTGTGCGAAATCAACGAGGTGAAAGATGTCAAGGCGCAAAAAGGTCTTGTCGACTTTATGGGCTCTTTGGCAAAGAAGAGGCCACAAGATTTTATCAGACATTTTAGTATGACCGTGCAGCTGATCGGTAAGTTAACAAAACTGTTGATCGTCGTTTTATGAGAGTTTTCTAGCTGAGTCTGATAACAAGTACTGGATCAGAGAGGCGTGCTTGAACATCATGTCGGAAATTTACATGTTCAAAGTGCGAGAAGAAGATAAAGAGCGCGACAACGCATTTGAGGCGGACGATGTAGGGCGGGAAATGAACCAAAGCGCGCTTGCTGACAGCGATAATGAGGAAGAAAGCGCGGATTTGGACCCGAAGCAGCGCTCGTTTATGATCTTGACCGAGCACATCCACGATCGAAACGCGTACACCAGATCGTTTGCGATGAAGATATTCGAAAAGATGATTCAAAAAGTGCCACTGCCTCACATTGGCGAGTACCAGGAAAAGATCGTTGGGCGATTTGATGATAATACATCGACGGTGAGAAAGAGCGCGATGAATGCGTTTATTGCGATCATCAACAACAACCGACTTCTGGATCAGTTGAAGCATCCGGCAGAGTTGAGAAAGCAAGTTGATGAATGCGAGGATCCAGAGGTCAAGAAAGCACTAGTCATGCTCCTCCGAGATTGTGAGAAGCTCTTAGATCTGGTCAAGAAAGGGTCGGAGATTGTTCTTAATAACTTGCTTCACTCAAACTTGACGACAGACGTGATCGAAGCCATAAACTGGTTCTACCAAATCACGACGATTGGCATTGATGAAGCGACGTTGGACGGATTCCGGCAAATGGCCACGCATGTATGGAACAAAGAAGAGAAAATCCGCGAAAAAGTCTTGTGCTGCTACAAAGATGTCTACTTCAACGATAAGATGGATCCAAAACGAACGGCTTTCGGACTCATATACTTAGTGGCAGAGAGTTCTAACGCTGAAGCCTTTTCGATTGGGAAGATGGTCCAGTCCATTAAGATTCCGAAAGAGGCGAAAAAGCTTATTTGGAAGTACGCGCTAGGAAGAGCTGATCAAAAATTGCCCCCGCATCTTCAAGGTTTGTTTTCTCCTTTATAATAAGCTGAAATCATAGAAGAGCGTGATTTTACCGTAATTTAGCGGCTGCGATGGCGATTATTTGCATGACAAGCAAGAGCGAACCGGAAGTCCTCACAGAAGGAAATATCGATGCCTTTGTCTACATGATCCGGGACCCTGATTGCCCTCCCCTCGTTCTTACCGAAGTCTTTGGAGTCCTCACGAATCTAAGACAAGATGCAAAGAAGCCAATGCCAGATGGAGCGTTTGACACCGACCATGATATTTTCGAAGCGACAATCAACCGAATTTACGAGTTGTTGAAGAAAAACTGTGGCCCAGAAATGAACAACATGGTCCTCGCCGCTATCAAACTCATTTACTATCTAAGGAAAGGCTAATCCCTACGTTTTAGAAGAATAACTGAAAAGGATAAGGAAAAAGCCATGAAAAGCGCAAATCCGTCGCAGCAAGTATCTGATATCGTCAGTGCTTCCTTCAAAATGGCTATTTCCAGACTCAAAAAGGCAAAAGAAAGACAAGGTAAAATCTCTGCGAAGATGTTGAATTTGAGGAAAATAAATTGTAATTCAGACAATGAGTACACTGCAGAAAAAGCGCTACCATCAGTTGCTCTTGCGCTCAACGCAGCTGGTCATCATGCCTTGAACCTGGCTATTTGGGCTGAATGTACTGTTGTTCCCAAACTTACAGAAAAGGTTATTGAAGGGGAGGTATTGAGGTAATATTTTTCTTTAGACCAAAAAGAAGAAGGGCGACAAGACGCCAAAGGATGATGATGACCTTGAGGATATGTTCGGAAACATCGACGACGCTGCATATGAAGAGGAGAATATTATCAGAGTTTTAAACTATGAGCTGAATAGGTAATAGACCCGATTCATTTTGAGCTGATTATGATTTCTAGGGGCCCTTTCAAAGCAATCACGGCTTTCGCAAAGTCAATCCTTGTCCAAGCCGGGCAATGGCCCTCGAATGTCCAGTGCGCCGCGATCAACTGCTTGATGAAATTCATGGCGGCTTCTGCTGACCATGCTGAGAACCACTCGCGCTTGATCTTCACGATTTTGCAGAAAGCAGAAAATGTTTCGGTTGAGCAGACGATTTTGAGTGCCTTCCCTGATTTGCTTGTGAGACACCCGAATATCATGGATACATGGGTCGGCGATGTCTTCGATAAACTCGAGGATCATGATGATCAAGTTCGAGCTTCGACGCTGACGATGATTTCAGATTTGATCGTCAAAGATCTGGTCAAGGTTTGAAGCTCAAAACTTGTTTTGGAAATAATGGGTTTTCTAGCCACGAGGACGCCTGTATCAAGTAGCGCGACTAGTCCTCGATCAGAATCCAATCATCAAGCGAGATGCAAAAACCTTCTTCGTTGAGTTTAGCTCCCACGGAACGAAACTCATCAACAACTTGCCAGATATTCTTGCGAAGCTCCACGAGCTTCAAATTGTCACTGACGATTTCAAGGAAATCACGACCTTCTTGTTCGATCAGCTTTCTGGCAAAGAAAAGCAGACTGAGCAGCTCGTCGAGAAATTATGCTCACGTTTCCGAGAACAAGACGCTGAAGATACATGGAAACAAGTAGCGCTGACAATCTCGGTCATGCCGGTCAACGAGCGCATGATCAAAAAACTCAGCGAATGCGCCTTCATGTTCCAGGACAAAGTATCGGACCTGGAGATTCGCGACAATCTGCACGAGGTCTGCAACAAAGCAAGAGAAAACACGAAGCTGATGCAAAAACTCACTTCGGAAGTGGACGAGCTGGAGCAGGTCATTCTCGGCGATAAGACCTTACCCGTTCCACAAACGCCGATGAAGAAATCTCAACGAGGAAAACAGTCTCAACAGGTGCCAGGATCGGCGAGGAAGGGAAAAGTTGCGAAAAAGACTCGAAATGCGGACATTTGGTCCTCCGATGAAGACGACGGCGCGGGTATCTGAAAATCGTTAAAAACTTATTTGAATTAAAATTTTTAGCATCTCCGGAAGAAGAAGTAGTACCAAAGCGATCCAGTCGATCTCGAGCTCGCTGAGCTTGATTCACATTTTCACAGACACAGAAATATACTCATTTTCACTTTTCACATTCCCCCTTACTCCACATGTACTGACAGTTCATTATCCACTGCCGATGGAAAAGAAATAAAAACCACTCTGAAAATCAATTTCGAATTTGAAAAGTTACTAGAATCAGAAGCTTTTCTCATTTGTTTTTGTTGTTTGCATTCTAAAGAGGATGAAAAAGTGGAAACAGTACCTTATTTTGTTCGTTGTTGCTACCGCAGTTATTTGGTTTCTTTACGTGAGTGCTTTTTTGACGTTTTAATTTCGAACACCTTTATTAGAAATATGTACAAAGAAAACTTTTCAAACGCAAACTGAAAAAGAAACTAAACGATGATCACATTCCAAGTCCCCCAGCAACATCGAAGTACGCTAAAGCCAAAAAGAACTACGGTGCTGATAACAATTTGATAACCGAAAAGAAGAATGGATATGTTTATGTCACAGAAGTCGACAATTCCGGGAAGAAGCTCTGGAAGTTCAAATACAAGCCTCCAAATTTCCAAGGGAAATGATGCTTACACAATTCGCTGCCTGAATACTCGAATAAATCCATATTCTATATTTTAGAATTTCACTTTGTTGCTTGACCCCCATCTTCAGTTTCCATCAACCGCAAACTATAGCCTACAATAAGCCCAGAAATGAGCCATTCAACATGGGTATCGAACATATCTATCTGTCGATCAGAGCCGTTTTTCAATTTATCAATTCCGTTTGACTTCATTCGCTCTGACTCCCCTCCGAAATGAGTTTTTAACGTTAATTGCTACCAATCCGTTTTCTTGCTAATTTTCGTCGTTCACCTTGAGGAAAGACGAAAACAGCAGATTTTCTAAAGAAGGATGAGCTCCAGAAAATCGCATTTGTGGAATCATAAAAGACTCGACGATGAGTGCTATTTAGATGGCAGCACAAGGTAAAAATAATAAATACAGGAATGTCAGAGAAAGAGATCGTAATAACATGGTGAGTTTTCCCAGCTCGACCGAGAAGATGATCAGAGAAAACAACGAAAAACGGAGGTCACACGAGGTAAAAGCATCGAAAGCACTAGAATTTAAACAATCTCAGTTTGACGATGTGTACACTGGTTTCCAAAAGTTTGCCGAGGTTGTTGGTCCACAAGGACTGCGGTAATCAGCGTTAGAAATCATGGGAGAGCAATAATTTTAGATATATTGTCAACAAAGAAATCCACCAATATCGCCGGATAATTTGGGCTATCGCGTTTCTTGGTGGAATTTCATTCTCTGTCAATATGATTTACAAAAACACCATACGTTTTTACAATTATCCAACTATGATCAAGCCGGTTGAAGGAGTCAGAGCTGAATTTCCCAAAGTAAGGTCAGTCAAGCTTCGGGATTTTTTCGTTTTTAGGTCACTATTTGTCTCAACTCTATGCACTCTCATGAATCGCTTGAACGGACCTATCCTGGTTTAGGTACTCTCGGATTAATTTATTTGTAAATAACGAATAACGACCAGCTGAGATTCTTCCAATTTACTACGGCCAAGCTGATCCTTCCGAAGAAATCTACAAACGAATCAACATGTCATATTTGGATTCACTCGATATGCTCGATGTCATGACTGATACAATCCCTTCATATTACATTCAGGTTAACCCGGACAGCAATAATGATTTCTAAGGGCTCAAAAAGGCCTGCATGTTTCAGAAAAGAGACTGCATAAATGATTGGAGATTAGCGTTAACGATGTATGGATATTGTCTTCAGCTTAATCCCGCAACGACGGAAAGAGAAAGTATACTTATGAATAGGTAAACGGTCTTTGTAAATGACTGTTCTCATAAATTCACTAGTACTGATGACAACAATAACGGAGGTCGAACTGCGTCCCTTTCACTTGTCGTTTCCTTCAACAAGGTAGATTTTTAGTTGCTGAGTAAGTTGTTAGCTCATTTTTAGTCCGACTGGTCAAATATTGGATGGGCCAATTATCTGGAAGGCTTCACACTGTACTACAGTGCAGCAGATGATGAAGCGCTTGAACCTGCCAAGTCAATCCTTCTTACAGATGTCACCAGAGGAGTGCCAATCGTTTCACTTAGACAGGTTCCAGAATGATTTTTTAAAGTAAAATGTCGGCTTTTCGGCTTTTGATTTTTCCATATGTTTACTTATTGGAATCTTTGGGAAGACAACGACTAACGAAGCGTCTTGGGTATCCGTATTCTGAGTGCAACACTGCAGATTTCAGCATGACGCATTACCGGTTAATATGTAAACGGGGAAAAATTCTATATATTTTTAGAAATTACACAAGAAATCAATGCTTGTTCGAATGCTTGATGGAAGATGTACATAAACAATGCGATTGTAGCGCTCCGTATTTCAAGCCTGGCTTTCGAGTCAATAAATGCTTTGAAATCGTGAAATATTCAATTTGAAAAGCCTTTATTACAGGAAAACCTGAAGACAAACATGAAAACAAAGAAACTATGCAGTTTCACCACGCATGCCGTCTGTGTTGCGCCAATTTTGGAAAACTTTAACTACGGAACATGTAAATGCCCACCGCGGTGCAATCACCTGGACACGCATCATGAAGCTGTTCAATATGGCGTGCGTTTTAAAGACACGGAAATGCCTTTTACAGTATAACTTATACTGTATAAGTTATACTCTGATTTATCAAAAGCGCGAGTAAAGTCAATATTTTTCGCCAAACGACTGGCGAAAAGTTGCAAAAGAAACACCGATGGTAATGGCTTCTATGATGCTGTATCTTGACAGAGTTACTGAAGTCGATGAAGAAGTAGCCGAGTACTCTCAGTTACGGTTTCATAATTTTGAGGCTTTAACTTGAGGTTCAATTAAAAAAACTGGGCAAAAGAATCAGCTGTTTAGCGATATCGGTGGAGCAGCGGGACTGATGTTGGGAATGTCGTTTGCCACCGTTGTTGGTATTATTGACTGGTTGCTATCATCGTGTCTTTATATGCTGTTATCACCTTCAACTTGGAGTTGGTCAAACAGATCCAGTAAAGAGGAAACAAAATTTCACAAAGGAATTCAACACGGAGAAGTTGCAATTGTTCATAATGTAATTTCCGGCTAAGATTTTCGTTGATATTTTTTTTAGGATCTTTACTCCGTTTACAATGAGTTAGAGAAGCAGAGAGCTCCAAACGGCGAGAGAATCAAGACTTCAGAATCTTTCACGCAAATTGATCCCTCAGTTCTCGCAAATATCTGTTAAAAGCTACTTAATAAAAAGTCAGAATGTATTTTTTTTTTTCGTTGATTTATTCACAAATAGGTATTATGACAAAATAACAGGGCTCAAAAATGTTCACAGTAATTTTAATATCCGCTTAGATGAGATGCCATGATTTAACATGTTGGCTCCGTGACAGGGCAAACACCAACCATGCAGACGTACAAGGAGCAGTGCATTTCCATAGACTGGACTTCAGAGTTGCCAGAGAACTGGAAAGCAGTGTAGGAAAGCTGGAACTGGTCGATGTTCTCGAAAGACTGGCTGATGGCGTTATTGTTGACAACGGGATTGGGGCAGCCGTCTTCATAAACGTAGAAGGTGTTGTTAGTACCGTCAGTGACAAAGCAATCGTCAACGATGAAGGTGAGGTCTTCGACGGGGATGGATGGAGAGAGGCCGAAGAAGACAGCTTCGCCGACCATCTAAATATCTGTGAATTTATGGTCCTCTTTGAAGTTTTACCTGTTCATCCTCGGCTCCAGCTTCAGAGTCAAAGCTATCATCAGAGAAGAATGCCGCTTCGAACTGGAAGGTACCAGTTCCAGTTGTACCAACATCCTGGGTTGCATCGGAATTGGTGTAGTTGGATGATGAAACATCGTTTACGTAAGAAGAGAATCGACACTAACCCGGATATCCCAATACTAAATCCTTAAAATAAATCAAGAATTGAGATCACCCGTTCCTGAACGTCGATATTAACGTTAGTATTCATCACGATGCCGTGGTTGTTTGTTCTGCTCTTGACGCCGATCGTGTTGTCAAAAATAATTTCGTCTCCATCGACGCTGAGGGCGGTTCCACATTCGTCGAGGCCAGTGGAAATGGCAAAGGCATCAGTTCCAAATGCGTTAGATTCGCATGCATTGTCATTGAAGGACAAAACGATATCATCAGAGACGTCGCTGGAGTAGATGCATCGATCGAGCTCAAGGCTCATCGCCGATTGCTCGCAAGAGATGTGGATTTTCTCTGGATTAGGAGTACACTCGGCTTGATCGTCTCGGAGGACCCAGCAAGAGGGACATTCGCAGACGTTGAGATCTTGATTGCAAAAGTGGGAGCAGCCACCGTTGTTGCCGTCGTCGCAGTCGAGTGTAGGTGGTGGTTCTGTTGGGTTGAGTGGATCTTCGTTGGTTGGCAATTCAGTGATAAGGATTGGTTGACAACTGCCGTCCTCAGCAAGTTCTGCACCTTCTTCGCATACTAAAGCGCCATCTGAGCTGAAGGTTCCAGTAACATCACCAGAATCAGCAAGTTGTGAGACAGTGGTCTCAACATCGCCTGTTTCTTCGAGGATAGCGTCAGGGTCAACGTTGGGAACAATGGTCGCGGTCTCCTCTTGAATTTCCCCAGCAATATCGTTGATAACATTGTCGAGTTCTTCAAAGCTTTCCTCGAATTCACTTGGAGCTTGGACTTGTCGACGCTTTCGACTTGCCGTGATTGTTGATGTTGTGGAATCATAAACTCGACCCCATCGCGAGTTTCCGTTGTATTTGAAACCGACCCAAACGTAACCAGGTCCATAATTAAAGCGGTCAGCGTAACTTGGCTCCCCTACAAAGTACTCGAACTCGTATGAATATGATGAGGCATATGTCACGCCGTTCCAACTCGAAGTGTAACTTCGAACTCCGCTGCGAACTCCGCCTGGATTTTGGGCGTTGAGTTGGTCTACGTAGTCTTGTTGCGAAAGGCTAGTTCGGAAGAGGCAGTAGAATGTGCCCTCATAGGAGTAGTTCCACACGTGAGTGTTTGGGCAGTAGTCGTCCCAGCGACCGGTAGTGAGGGCACCGACAGAGGCACCGTCAAAATTCAAGGAGTTTGAGGAGAGAAGGCATCCATTGTCATCTTCAGAGAATCCGAAGCAGCCAGCTGTGGCGACACATTGTTGAGCGCAAGACATTGAGGTAATGTTGGTGATGGAGGGGTTGGGATCAATGATGAAATTGCTGCTTACAGTTCCTCCAATTTCCGCGACATTGTACTGGACTAGTCCGAAGAGGGATTGACCAAGATCTACACAATCTGGTTGTGGAACAAGGTCCTCATAGCACGCGTACTGGAAGGTGATCGACATCGTGTCGTTTCCCCAATTGTTTCCTTCGTTGATGAAGTAGATTGAATTTCCAAAGGAATTCCATTGGAAAAGATTGCTGATGTTGTCCGAACAATAGGTTGAGTCCACGATGATGGTATTGTCACAGTGACCGGTGTCGTTGTTTCTTTCCCCGAGTCCCCAGTTGATCTCTGTAGCGGCGACGACAGGATAAGTATCGCAACCCATCATTTGCTCGAGAATGCACTCGCCGGAGTACAAGCCGCTCTCGATCGTAAAAGTTCCATCTCCGTGGTTGAAAAAGTCACCGATGTATTCTCCATCTCCGGATCCTTCAGAGGTGGAGTTGTTGACCGTCCAGCACGAAAACTCAAAATCCGCGGATGCCTAAAATACCCCCAGTTATTTTCTCTGTTTTTCGACGTTTCTCTTGATAAAAATCACACTTGCCTTGGCAACCAACAGCCCAACAAGAAGCTTCATGCTCAGATTATTTCTGAGTCTGAATTCTGCCAAAATTCATGCGTCGCGAATCTTTTATAGGACGTGCTTGTTTTCATTTCTAAATTTTCGCGACTTCATTTCGATGCTCTCGCGCAACTTCGTGGAATAATAAGCGTCGATGATGGCCGCTTCACTGTTCTATGACACAGGAAAAATATATTTAGTCGCGGAAGAATTTCCGAGATTTGGTGATCTTTCAGTTTTTGTCTATTTTGTTTATACCGGACGTTCATTTCGGAGAGCCGATGTTTGTTGCTTCGAGAAAGAGATTAGCAGAGTCTGCCTTTCTTGAGAGAAAACATGTCTTGGCGGCAAAAATCGTTCTCATCCGCTCTCGGGAATCCTTCCATGCACTTTTTGAAATAGAAAAATCTTTTTCAAGATTTCAAATTCCAAAAACTTTCAAAAGAAGAATTTTTAATTCCCAAAATTTATGTTAGAATATCTCCTTAATGCACCCGTAACACAGACGCCCTAAAACACGTCCCTAAACGAACCCGTGAAAATTCCAGTTTGAAGGATGAGCGCAAGACAATTATGAAAATAAAGTGTTAGAAAGAGCTGATTATTTCATAAACCCCGTTACGGCTCGGAAAAATTAACACGATTTGGCCGAACGACGTCTAATTTTTTACAGAAAAAAATGCAACTCAAACATTTTTGGCTGAAGTGGACATTGAAGCGGAATAAAGTCATCAGTATTTTATTCTTGTATCATGATTCTTCAAATTTTTGAAAGATTTTTCAAAAAAAGAGATATATTTACAGTGAAGCAACAAGCTCAGTAACATAAGTCGCGGGAAAAACTCCTCTTTTTCCATTGCACTTTCCCTGCAGCCAGTCTGAGCCAAGTGAAGAGGGTTTCACATCGTTGATGACATCTCCTTCTTTGAACTGCAAGTCACCTTCTTGGTCGCCTTTATAGTCCCAGAGAGCCATCATCTGTCGTGTCTGTGTTTGAGTTGGACGAGGAGGTTTTTGTTTTGGTTGGCTTGGGGAAGATGTGGGTCGAGATGAAGGGTGTACGACGCCTGGGGGACTTTGACGGGGAGCTTCGGGAGTTGCTTGGCCAGAAACTAGCCATTGGAGCTAACACTTTGATAAAAAAAAAAAGCGGAAAAGAACCTTCACTACCTGTTTGCTCAATTCATCAGCCTGCTTCTCCAGCTCAGCATTTCGATTGACCACTTTTTTATTATAAGTTGTTAGATTTTCATTCATATCACGTAGCAGCATCATGGAAGATTCCATTTCGCTGACCTTTTTATTCAGCCGCTCGATTTCCTGTTGCAGGATTTTTTCTTTCGAAGGACTGTTGTTTTGTTTTTGGGCTTCCTGAGTGAATGTATTTGAACTTTCTCGAGCCGGAGATGGTCCAGATGGCGGTGGAGGTCGCGGTGGAGCGCTCCCGCCAAAGCCCCTGAATATTAGAGCTGTTAATTTTGACTCGTAAACGACAAATGTACCTGGGCATAGTCTGTGATCTCGCTGCACGAGGTGGCACTCCATTTGTTTGTGCTGGCGGAACATCTGCCGTCTGAAAATTCCCCGAGATAAATGGATCAGGCGGCAAGAACCCCTCCGAGCTCGCTGATGACTGTGCATCATCGTCTTGCTATTTGATGGGTTCTCAGTTAATGGTCTACAAATACCGCCACTCGTGATTGTACGATTACGTCTGTTATTGAGAACCGCATTCCTGAGGGTTTTCCTTGGAGGCGAGATGCATTTCGTAGCGCAGACGGAACATGGAATGTAAAAGGGCATCTTTGGCGGCATTTAGAAGCGCGAAGTCTTCATGAGCGGTCGGAGAATTATTCCGGTCTAGGAAATTCGGGTTGTCTTTCTTGAAGGTTGAGGAAAAGTGCGCCCCGAAAGGCGCGTGAAAACTTGCTACCCGAGTGTCTGCCGCCCAGAAAACCGCCGCCTCGGTCCGTTTGGGACCTCAGTTTTTTTGCTTTTTTATAGGGTGAGCAACGGTCAAGTGACAACGACTCTAGAATCCTAGTTAGAACGGGGCAATCTGGGAGGCATACGGCTAGCCTTGCTCGACGAATGCCGCACACTCGGGATTTGGAAACTAGAGTTTGCAATGGGCTGGTGGATGAGATTAAAAATAAAACTCCATTCGGTCAGAAATTTAGTTGTTTTATGGGTTCCGATTTACCTGGGTGAATTCTCCGGGCTTTCTTTCTGTACGCTTTTGTGATCTCATCATCTGTAGCTTTTCTGTCGACGCCAAGAATGCCAAACAGATCTTTCTCTAGCAGCTCGTCATCAGTAAGACCTCCCATTGTGGACTTCTTTCATTCAGCTTTCCTGTCTTTTTCTTTCTTTTGTGAGCTTTTTGCCTCTTCAAAAGGAGGAAATATTTTTTTCTTGTTTGAGACGCTGGAGCTTCACGTTACTTAAAAAATAGATTTTTACGATTGCGTCATCTGCGCGAGAATGGTGATCATTTACTAGCCCACCAAAGCACACACACAGAACCAGTTTTTCAGACACAGGAATTACCCTTTGTTTTTGTACCTTTTTGTTGTTGAAGAGGATTTTTTTCTCGCTTTTCTCGCGTTAGTTCACTGGCTAAGGAGTGAGCACGTCAATTAGCCATTCAACCCAAACACACTCTAGCGGTGCTAGGGTGGGAAACACTTGATAAAACGCCTCATCAAAACAAATATTTCCTTTAGGATGGATTTATGACAGTTTATATCAAATACTGCTGCCATGAATCTTGGAGAAAATGGCCTTCTTTGGTGCTTCAAGCTTGAAGCTAGCATATTTTTTTCATAAGTAATGAATTAAGTCATTTACGGTGTGTCAGTGCTTGTTTATTCAGAGCAATGTTCAGTAATGATCTCGTGAATGCTCGGCGAAAATTTGCAGTTTGAAAAGTCTTCTGTGTAAATTGAGGAGGGAGATTCAGAAAGCTGTCTGTACATGAAAGTTGGTTGGCTGACATTGATGTTCAATAAGTTTTGTTTTTTGAAAAATGTTAATGAATTTTGAACACTGTTACTCGCGGTGAGATCAAAGAGCTCCTCGCGTGTCTGGAGGTGTTTGTATGCGCTGTTGATTGCTTCCAGTGAGCTATTTGCAGATCCAGAACTGTCCTTCGAGGTTCGCCATCGAAGACATCGGATGCAAATGAAGGGGCAGACTGATTTGGACTTTGATTTTAGTGCTTTTAGGGTGATTTGATTTTTTTAGTTTATCTTTACTTTGATTGATTTTTTGAATTGTTTGTTAGAAATTAGTCTCGTGCAAAATACAGAAAAAAGAAGTTCTATTTGAAATCTGGTTGAAATTATTACAATTATTCATGCATCTTTGCATGACAGAAAATGCGTCTCAGGAGCCCGCTAATGATAATGATCGCCACGGTCAAGACCGTGATGGCTGCAACTTCGATTGACCAGTCTCTCGTTGTTGTCTTCAGTTCATATTCCTGTTTACCACGGTTGAAAAATAATTCTCAATTAGCAAAGATAAGAAACAGCCCTGAGCAGGCAAGAGTAGAATCGGCTAGTGAGACTTTCCTTTTGATAGTAAGTGGACTTTTGAAACAAAATTAAATTTCTATCCTCGATGGAAAAGGCTATTTTTTCAACCGTGAACCTTCATCGCCATCTCTGGAAGATTCATCCGACGCTATAGTGTAAACTCTATTTCTTGTGCTCTTTTTCTCGTTTCTCCAATCAAGACTCGTAATTTTGAAAGAATATGATTAAGCCAAGCTCGTTAAATCAGCATTTCTAACCTACCGAGAGCGCACCCGTGTGTTCCGCTTTATCAGCATCAACCGATCTTTCCCAGACTGCCACACGCGCTCACGGGTAGATAAGGGCAAATGTGAATTATCAACGATCGAGCCATCAGTTCTGATCGAACCAATAATAAATTCAACGACTTGTTTATTAGTAATTACGATGATAATTGAAGATTTTTGAAATGCCCGATGAAGATGGGTTTTTGAGAAATTTGTTGCTTGAATCATATTTCGAGCTTTTTCTTCAGTTCGAGGGAAACTGCTGATAAGTGAAGAATTTCTTGGGAAATGTCATTTTTGGAGTCTTGCTCCAGTTCTGGTGGAGGGCTCGCCTGGCAGTAGTATGCCGCCTCCTCACTTCAAGTTGGGCCGCCGCGCCCACGCCATTTTCGTCCATTTTCGAGCTCCGAGAAGACCAAGAAAACCTCGTCTGGCTACATCAAGCCTTTGATCCTTCTGTCTGATTCCATCTTTGTCTGCCAGACTTGGGTCTTGAACGAGAGAAGAGAGAGGAGCGCCGCGAAAAGAAGAAAAACGATGAACGAAAAATTAGATCCAAAAATGAAAAATTGAAACGAAGAAAATCGAATTGGAGAATTAAATGAAGAAATGAACGTTGAAGTTGGGGACAGGGTCGTTGCACGGACATCAGATGGAATCGCGTACACTGGAGTTATCATAGAGGTACAGTCTGTCAATTTTTCGTTGGTTTTATTGTAGAAATCGCCGTCGGGAATCGACGGGCTTAGTTTTGACCTTTCCTCAATGCTAAAAACTGCTAATGTTACGGGTTTCAGACAGACAAAAAACGACTTGAAGTTTCTTTACAATTCGATGATGATAAGCAGATTTTGTGGCAACGATATTCAGGTACACTTGCTCAAAATTGAAGAAACTATTAAGAATAAAGAATTCGTGTTTTTTTTTATGAAAATTGTAATTTTCAGAAGTTCGACTGTTGGAGAAGAAAAGCTCCTCTGCCTCTCGATGTAGAGAATGCTTCAGCCCCGGTGATGAAGATGAAAAAAAGTTGAAAGTTTGCGACAAATGCGGAGAAGGATTCCACGCAAGTTGTCATCGCCCGAATCTGACCATTGCCGATTTGGATGGACAAAAATGGCTTTGCAGGTAATTTGCTTTTTGTTGGAAATTTAAAATTTGGCTTATTTGAAATTTAGATTCTGCATTTTCTCGCTTTGCTCAAGAAAAGGAGGAGCTGTTGTTCCAGAACATCTGCGATCTCAGTGGCAACGCGTGCGAATGTCGCTTGCTTACGATAAACAAGCGCTGAATTGGGATGCTCTTTACAGGGTAAGCATTATGACATGCATTCTTTTCCACAAACAATGGTCTTTTTAGATAAACGAGCAAGAGTTGTACTGTTACTGCGGCGCTCCTGGCGACTGGAATCAGAAAATGCTCCAATGTCTCGATTGCCGTCAGTGGTTTCACGAAGCTTGCCTGGAAAAAGGAAGAATTCTCAAGAAGCCATTGATGAATGCGGATTTGTATTACAACTACAAATGCGCCACGTGCAAGAAAGGAGAAGATTTCATTCAACGGCTTGATCTCAGCTGGACTGAAGCCATGCAGTTGATTTTCTACAATTTAAAGGTGATCATTTTCCCTGTGTTAAAATCTGGAAAGGTCCTGTTTTCTTCCCTGAGTTAACCGACAAGCCGTTCTGTCCAATTTTCAACCTCTTTTTCTAGTTCGTCGCGCCACAACAGTACTTTCGATTGGACACAGACATCATGCGTTACACAAAACTCGTCTGGGACGATCTTCAACTCGTGAAACTGTCGAAAGAAGCGCCCGATTGGGAAAGAAGAAAAGAAAAGATTGTCGAAGCAATGACGTCTTCTACCGAAATCTTCAGGCAATACAAACATGCAAATGGGCAGCTAATGAAGCTCTGGAAACTGCTTGACGAATCGACGGTAATATCAAGTGACGATGATCTTTTGGGTTGATTTTTTGTCTTAGCCGCCGAAGCCATCGAAAAAAACGCGACGATTGGCGCTAGAAATGTCATTGAAGGAACCTCTTTCCCGCACCCTATCCAGCTCTACGTCGGAGACGAACGGGAAGCTCAAATTGAAGATTTCTCTTTCTCCCTCGAGCTCTTCAACCAACGAAGCCAAAAAAACGCCACTCAAGTTCAATTTCCGAGGTGACATTTATCGAAATTGTGTTTTGTAAAGCTCCCTCTCAGGATTCCGACGATGTTTTCATGAAAAACAATATGCGACAATCCCCTGTTAGAACGCCTACCAGTATAAAGAAAAATCCGCTCAAACTAAACTACTCGCCTGCCCAAAAACTGCCGAAAAATGGATCCACCCCCACCCTGCCAAATGAATGGTCCCCCTCCTCGCCGAAACTTCCTCATCCCACGGTAATCTACGTCATTTTCCCTCCCTTTTATTGAGGTTGGTTCTAGAGCTTACGAAAAGTCGCCAAGAAAGAATCCCCCGTCAAGAAGCCAAAAACACTCGCGAAGAATTTCAAAAAAGGTTCATCAAGTTCAAAAGTCGGAAAGTCGTCGACCGAAACTGGTTCTACGAGGTACTTTTTTCCTTGTTTGACCTTTTTCTACATTTTGTTGTTTCAGTTCCGCAGTTTCGCGAATCTCGCCAACGCCAAATGCAAAAGCGAAGGAATCCCCGTTTACCCTTTCAAGCGCTATTGAAGAACAGCCGAAATTCGATGCAAAGTGGAGAATGGCCTCTGGCGAAGGGTTCCGCATTCTCGGACGCCGGCGAGAACCATCCGGTATCATTTCCTATCAAATCGAGTGGGAACAAAACTCCAACGTCGACTACTAATTTTCATTCGTCCAAAGCGTGATCAATGCATTCGGTGCATTTGAAACTCCGCCACAAATAGATCTATTTATATGCTGTTAAATATGGCGTACCCTTATTTACATTTTAGAGCGTAAGGGGGGTGCGAATATTTTATTCAAACCAGTATCATAATATTTAATTCATTCACAACCTAGTTTTAGAGTTCGAAGTTTCCCTCTCCCTCTCCCTCTCCCCATTTTTCCCTACTGCCAGGAACTGTAACATCCTCAGCTCTAAAAAAAACACCGACACCATTTTTCATTACCAATCTTTCAAAAGATTCAGCGAATCGTTCGCGAATTCCATCACTTTTTTAACACACTCGTTAGACCAAGCGCATTTTTTCCATTTTTATTTTCTATTTTTGCAGTTCTACCGCTCTTTTTTCCACAAAGCTGCTGGACGAAAACCTGTCATATTTTTTTCCTAGTTTTTTCCGACTTGACAGTTGGCTTAATAAAGACAGAAACTATTTAAAACTACTGTACAACTGTACTGTCAAGCTTTTTATAAGTTAATTAAAAGTTAGACAAATAGCTTCTGTATCTATTTTTCGTCGCTCTACTTTCTGAGTCGGATAGAACCTGTCTTTGAGATCGTATTTATATTTATACAGTGCCGCTTATTTAAACTAAAACCAGTGAGCTTTTTGCTTTCTCTTTCTCCTCTGCTGTACATTGAAAACATGACGCAAACAAAACAAATGAGCAAAAAAGCCAGAAATACACCCGTACTTAGGTACTAATTGACTCGCACGGAGTTGACTTGCGAGGTGTATTTGGCCTTGAAAGCGATTTTAATCGTGTTATAATTTGGTTTATTTCTGTTCAAATTTCTGAAAGCATTATCAGGGTTCTTCAAAAGACGTTTCAAAGTTGAAGGATTCTTTCATGCACTGCCGGCGAAGTTTCGCTTTTTCGCGGTCAGTTACAGTCATTTTAGACAATATGTTTGGGGTAACTTCCTAATTGACCTGTTCCTTCAGCATAGTTAGACATCTGGTAGCTTCCATCAATAGATGTTCTTTTCGCGATTCAAGTTTTTTGCATAAATATGGAAGGTTAAATGATATACCGTATGTGTAACCTAATTTAGTCTTGGAAAACTGTTCTTGCAGACAATTTTCGCGGTCGTAAGCAACCGCGATAATGAATACATTTGGGAAACAGTGAAAACTGTGCTAATGCATTTTGGAACCGCATTGACTGACTCCTGGGCTGGAAGAGAGTCTGATAATGACATTGACAAGTTCAGGGTATTGGGTGATCATTTTCGTGACTTCAGGGCATCCACCTCTTTTTCAAAGTTCCTGTTACTGTAATTGAATAACTTTGATTTACTTGAGGTTTTCGATGAAGTCGACGCAAACTTGATACTGTGCATGCAGCATGACATTCGTATTGTCTTCGCTGGTAAAGTCCACGGGGAAGAACTACCAGTAAACAGATAATTAGGATTAGTAGTTTACTCGGTTGACTTGACGCACCTTGAAGAAAGTCGCATCATCGCAGGGTTTAGCCAGGCAGGCGCGATCAAAGCCCCTAGGAAAAGAAGAGAGTCGCGTATTCTGCGCGCGGGCTCCTCCAAAAGAAAGAGCCAGAAAAATTAATCCCTTCATCATCATAAAGCCAGAACACAAAATAATACAAGATTCGAAGAAGTTGGTTTTTGCTCTTTTGAAAAATAAGACCTCTTTTTTTCTTCTGGGAATCATGAGAGAGTAAATATTTAGAAGAAAATAGAAATAATGACAGATTGCAGGAACTCGGGAAAAGAGAGAAAGTTCGTTTGAATAAGCAATGAAAAAGTTCAAGTTGGGCGCTAGAAATAGAATCCCCAAGCCGTTTGATTAAATCCTCGCCCGATATTCAAGAGAGATTTTCGCAGGCAGAACGAATTTGACAGATATGGCGCGGATGAATTATTCCGACAGCGATTTGAATTTCGCCAAGACAGTTGCATCGATAAATATAGGATCTGGTGTTAGGTAGATAAGAGGATCGAGAGAGAATCTCAGTTTTATAATTCTAGCCTGCTGTGCTTATCAATTCTCGGTGTGATTGGAAACTCAGTGGTTATTTATTGCGTGCATAAATTTGAAAAATCATCAATTACGGATATCTTTGTCGGGAACCTAGCGATCGCTGATTTTTTATTTTCTTCGTTTCTACCAGTTTGGGCAGTCGAAAGATTCTACCAGGGAATCTGGATAATGAGTGAATTTATTTGCGAGTTTGCCACTTTTATCAGGTATGTCTTGGTGCCAATAAATAATTTGCGCGGGCAGAACATTAGATAATGTTGCATTACTGACATACATATCTAATTGATATGACATCTCTATGACTCTATCAAGAGCCACAGGACTTAGTTGACATATATAAATAATTTTCCAAAAAGGAAAAATCGCTAAGAAACAAGCTCATCAAGAATTCTAGTCTCTTGAACTTGTACGCTTCTGTTGCTCTTCTGATGGTAATGTCAGTCGATCGCTACTTCGCCGTCGTCTATCCATTGAAAGCGATAGCAACTCGGACAAAGCAACTCGCCTGGAAAGCAATTACAGTCGCTTGGGTTGTCGCATCCGGCTTCGCTGCCAAGGCGTTTTTCTTCCGCAAAGTTGTCAGCTGCATGTGTGGATGGCAGTTTCAAGAACACATGTCATCGTGAGAGGAGAATAAATTCTGAGCCTTCCCTCATTTTAGGTTGTATTTTGTCTTTCGAATCACAGTTGGCTTCATTCTTCCCGTCGCTGTAATTATCTACTGCTATATAAAAATATTCCTTACTGTCAGTAAGCGACACGATGATTTGGGCTCGGATGAGCTTCAAAGAAAAGCTAGTGATGTTCGAGGAAATTATTCAATGAAAAGAAGGTATTCCTTGATTCACGATCCTTATTTGTTTCGAATAATCTTCCTGGTAACTAAGTTTTTTAGGCATTCAATCCGTGATATTCGATTCTTTCATAATGCAAACAAGAAATTGACGAGAACAGCATTCTGCATCATCATCGCGTTTCTTGTTTGTTGGACGCCTAATCAGATTTTAAATGTTGTATATACCTTCAACCCTTCATACGCAACCTATCACGTGTTCATAATTACTTCGAAGTTGAGCGAAATACTGGCAATGTGCAATTCCTGCGTCACACCCTTAGGCTCGGATTTTTAAAAGGCTAGCTTTGTACAACTATAGAACTCGTCATTTATTATTTATAATTGGTAGTGAAAAATGGTTAAATCCGTATAAAAAGTCTACATCGCTTCGAAGCCAAAACTACCGCTGAAGATCTTGAACTCTCTACGCGGCAAACAAATAAATCGCTTGCACAATCAAAGCACAGTTATGCGCGGTAATAAAACATGAACTTTATTCAACAAGTTTTTCGTTTGTTTTGTCAGATTCAGGAGGAATCATCGCTGTTTTCTCATCTCCGGCTTCAAGATCGGGCTCGGATTTGATCGTCGTTTCAGGTCTTGAATTAGCTGATTATGTAATTGTTTTGAACTCTATGTACCTGTAGTTGATTTGGACTTCTTTCAGTTTTTTGTGCATTGGGGGCGGCAAGTGAAGTCAATTTTAGGATAAACCCCTCTTATCGAAAAAAGATTAGTGTATTTTTGCGGTTCTATCCCTCCCTCAGTTTATCCACCGATTTGCGGTAGTCCTGGTCGATTCCGTAAGGACCATTAGGATTCGACAGTTCTAGCTCTTCATCGACTTTCAGGACTTCCTAAACAATCAGTAAATAAACAGGTCCGTTGGATTTTGAACGTCACCATGAAATCCTCAGAAAAATTGACGATCGGCACCTTACCAACGACCTTGAGTTTTTCCTCGAGTTTTTGCTTGATCTAGATAAGTTTTTTGTAAAGTATTCATAAGATATTATGAATTAAAACCTTCAGCTCATGCTCAGTCGGGAGAGGCTTGTGTCCTTCTTGTTGCGCATAAACAGTAATGATGACTGGCTTGATTTGATTCTCCTTGCAAATTGATTGAATTTGTTCCAGTCCTTTATTCAGAAATGACTCGAAGTAGCTATTTAGCTCGCTATCGTCATGCCCTTAATTATTTTGAATTAAAATTATACAATAAACCAGATAAATGGCTTACCCATTTTCTCATCGATTCTCTTGACCAATCCAGCGGACATTATGTAAATAAAAACCTTTGCCGATTTGATCATCTCTTCAAACTCGCTTGTCAAATGATCCCCCTTCATGATCGTCTCTGTGGAAGACTCAACGGTGTACCCAAGACTATCAAGATCCCGGGAGAGCTCTTTGATCAGAAATCTGTCGTGGTAAGTCGCCGCCATGAAAATATCGATGTCTTTGTCGCCCTTGTCCGATTTCCGCGCCTGTCGGTCTTTCCACCAAAGTTTTGCTGTTGTCAGACAATGTTTGACCAAAAAGAGGACCAAGAAGATAATCAAAATGAGTCCAATCGCCCAAGTGACGCCTGTGGCAGCAGCTGAAGCCCCCGTCCCTTCTATTTTCGGTCCTTCGTAATCCATATCCAGATTAATCAGCCAACCTTCTCTCTCCGTGTGCGTCTCGTTAGTTTTTACATTGCATACTACAGGGAGAAATTCTATTTCTTCGCCGAAGACGTTTTCATAGACAGATGAAATTTCTTCATAATGATCTCTCGAAATAATCAAGCTCTCGCCAAATCCCGCCACATAATCCTCTTTGCAAAAATATGTCCAAGTCACTTTACAATTTTCAGCATCATCGGGGCAGTAGCACGTCAAAACAATGTCGGTCAAAAGTCGAACTTCCTGAAGTGGCTCCTCAAGGAAGGAATCCGCCTCGCAATAACCAAAAAGCTCGGAAGTATGCATCTCTTTTTATAGAGCCGAAAAATGCTGCCCGAACGTTCATCGTACGCATTGTGTAAATAGTAATGATTATTACAAGAGCAAATTGAATTTTCAATTTTGAAGTGATCTACTATTTGGATTGAGTCCAATTTTAAAATATTGAAGAATTAATAAAAAGCCAAAGATTTCTATTTATTCAAGATCTAAAATCGAAGTTCTATTAACAGCAACAGTTGCTGAGCAACTAGAAACAGTTTTCGAAGAAGGATCTGAGCTGATGGACAGAAGTTGTCGAGCTTTCATCGACTTCGGGAGATGGTGATTCAACAACGAAAGATTCCGCTCGTTGAGAAAGTTCTGGAGACTCGACTCTTTCTTCTTGATAAATTGACTCTTGAAGATGGCTCATGCTTTCATTTGAAAGGGATGAGATGTTACCTGCTTCCTGAATGTCCTCGTGCTCGGAATCACTGAAAAATCGGTAATAAAAATGTTCGGAATCAAGGAAGACTACCTGGAAGAGCTAGAGCTGGAGCTTGAAGCATATGATTGAGCCTCATTCTGTGTTTCATTCTGCAAGAGCTCTTCTGGCTCATAATGATGAGATTCCGAGAGAGATTTAGCTCTGTCCATCCAAGAAGAATCATCCAAATAACCAGCGTTTTTAGACTCCCAAGATGATGTGATTTTACTTACGCTGTTTTCTTGGTCCTGAATCAAATTATTCTTTCAAGAATGACCAAAACGTCAACCTTGATCTCGACCATTCGTTTAGTATAATCAGTTGAGTTCTTCTGTTGCGCTCTCCAACCTAGAATTAAAAATACAACAGATATCTAAGATCAGTTTTAACGATAAAGATGTTACAAGACCACATTGAATGAAAGATTTGGAATTTCTTTCAACATAAAAATACCTGTCGATTGAAACTGTGCCACTAATCGGCGCACTTTACCACAAGTAAAGTGCGTCTTGGCGTATTTTTGAGCTGAATTCAATTTTTATGGAGCATTTTTTTGTTAGGCAGAAAAGGTCGGTTGCTTCCTGTACCTTTTCCAGTTTGAAATTTTGAAATGATTTTGGCGACCGAGGCGTTACCGTCGTCAGCCGGCTCGTTTTCGGGCCATCGCTTGAGCACTGAGCCTTTTCAAGGGATCATTGATTATTTTTTCAAAGTGCAGATGAAAAAGCTGCGCGTGAAAATGTTTTTTAACAAGCTGAAAATTTAAGCTCATCATAAAAATCCTGTCCTTTTTCTCTCTGAAGTCTCATTTCTTCCTCGTTGTCTTCAGTTGCTGGATTCTGCTCTTCTGATGCCTCTTCTATCTGATTCTGCTCTGCACTCGGTTCCTTTTCACTGGCTTCTGTTGTTTCTAGTGCTGGTTGAACATTACTTGAGGAGCTGTTGTTTGAGACTGGCGGCGCTAGCTCCTCCTCCCTGAAATAACTTTACGTCCTCGAGGATGTCCTCTCTGATTTCCTACCGGGTTTGAGGCGCCTGATCTTCCGTCTGAATTCCTTGAGAGTTTTGCTCAAGGTCTTGCCACTTTTTCAGCCGATCTTTTATGCTAAAAAAGGATTGAAAATTTCGCTATCTTCGTTGATTTCACCTGAAGCCCCGTGGAAAACTATCTCGTCGGTGAAAATACAGATTCTCTTTCTTTCTCGAGTTTAGAACAGAAATTTCGGACGAATGGAATTTTTGCTCTAAACAATCCTTTGGCAGCGCCGTCTTGATGGACTGCGGCTGCGATTTGTTCTGAAGGATTTCCTCCTTTGTCTCGTTCGGCTGTGGATAATTGATATCGGTTTTGTCCAAGTGCGATGGATTACCATCCGATTGAACGGATTTGTACTCGTTCAACTCGACAGCTATATCTTCATCCCTATTCTGTATGAGCTCATCCCCTCGCTCTTCTTCTTTCTCAGCAGTTTTGTAAGATTCTGAGCTGCGAGTAGACGCCTCTGAGGAATTTTCCTCGCTGGAGCTTGAAATTAAATCAATTTTTCATGTAAAAATTATTTTCTAAAACTACTCAAAGTGCAAATTTAGAACTTTGATCAATGAAAACTGTTGTTTGACAAACCTAGAAGATCGAGAGACAGATCTCAGTTCCTCCTCGATTCTTTTCTTATTATCTGGTTCATTTTCTCTCTGAATTTCGACTGGCGGCATTGGGAACTCATCAAGTTTCATTTCGCTGTCATTCGTTTTCGATATGCTGACGTGAGTTCGATCGGAGATATCCGTAAATGACTCGGTGACAGTAGTTTGGGTCGATGAGTCGCAGAAAAAAACTCTCTTTGGCTGAGCACTAGTCGGTGAAATTAACGTCGTGTTGACTTGGACCCCTATGTTTTGCGCGCTTGAGCTGGGTCAAAAATCGCTGGATTTTTTAATTCTTCCAGATCAAGATTCAAACCCTTCCTGTTATTAGCCACGCTTGAATCTGAAGAAAAAATTCTCTTACAAGTAGGACGCAGCCCAAAGGCGAAAGCTACTTTGACTCGTACCTGAGAGGCGCTGGTTGAATTCCTTGAAGCTGGAAATTCGCGCATGCCGCTGGTAGGCCTGGTCAGTTCGCTCCGCCAGATCAAGTGTTTTCGGCGACGGCGGGCGCTTACTTGCTAAATGCGGATTTGAGTTAAAAAGATCTAAAATCTCAAAGTCATGAGCAGCTCTTTCTTTGTTCTAATCGCAGTCAGGAGATTCTCTCTTACCGAAAACAGCATCTTCATCTTTCATCGAGATTTTCAACATGTTTTTTTTAGAAAATTTTAACTTCTCTAATCCCTTCCTGAATCTTTTCTCTCCATTTTGTTCACTTTTATTATAAGCTCTGACTTATGCATCTTTCCAATCTCGTAATTCTTCGCTACCATCTCTAAGCCAATTTTTAGGGCTTTCGGATAATTGCTTCTCCTCTTCTTATTATAGCTCCATCTTTGCCCGGGAAGCAGGCGGTCGACTTTCTTACTGCAACAACAAAAAAGAAAAAAAAAGTTACGAGGTCAAATTATCCGTCAATGCCAAATCCGCAGTAATAATTAGAGGATTCAAAGACAATAGAAACGATGCATGGGAAGATACTTTTGAATTCACGAGTAGACATCAAGAATCTCGATCGATTACGGAGCAGACTTTTCTGCCTGAGTTATAGTAATGACACCCTTATTTTACATGAGCAAAGCATGGTTCAAAGGATTTTTGATTTTTGTAATTTATATCAATTCTTACCTTTCAAAAAACTTCTCTAAGAGCTCAAAAACGAGATCGATCTTCTGATAAATTCTAGTCAGAAATAAAAGCCAATACGATTAGATAATCACTGACACGCTGAGAAACCAGAGGCCGGAAATTGTTGTTGTGTTCGGTAAAGGTAGATTGCTTCTGAAAGAAAATCAGAAGGCAAAAGCTCATTCGGATTAACTCATCTCAAGCTTGCTCCACGACATCAATTTTCAATGCTCCGAGGAATCAACTTCGTTTTCAATTATTCATGCCTGTATTTATGTGTAAACTGCTCAAATAATGCATTTTCAAAGAAAGACTCAGCTTCTGATTACTTTTTAAAATAAATATTTTATTTACTGATGACACAGTTTGAATAAAAACAAGAAATGTTCGATAAGGCGTTAGGCCAAAGATCGAAGTGGGACGAATTTATCGCCAATGAATTAAAAACATTGGATACAAGAAAAGAAAAAGTTTCAGGACTCCGAAATGGAGGAAAAAGCAAGAAAAGTGCGAAAAGAGGAAATTTCATGCGGAAATACAGTACGAGAGAAAATGAACGAATTCCTACTCAGAGCACAAAACAGCGGTGAAAAAAATTGAAACAGGTAAAATTTGCAACGATGCAACGGGAAAAAAGAAACGGTAACGGTAGGAATTTCAGAAAAAACTAGGAAAGTGGCTGTTCAACTAGGACCTTTTTACCAGGAGACGACGGACGCTCGGCTTTGGGATCGGCTTCGGCTGAGGTTTCGGCAAAAGTCCATGACGGTCTTGCTGACAAATCCTTCGGAAGTGATGATGATGTCCATAGCGTCGAGGAGCTCGTTTTTCTTGACTCCGTAGCAGCTTCGGACGTGGCCGAGTGTGGTCTTGCACTCGCAGAGAGCAAGTTTATTATGATTTCCCAATTTAGTCAAGCTGGCGGCAACGTAGTTTCGGAGAATTCGCGACTTGACTTCAGCCCTAAAATGATAAAAGTTAACCCCGTGGAATCAACAACGACTTTTTTTCTTACCGATCGAGTTTGACAAAGTTGTGGAGAATGTCCCTCACGTTGGGATTGTAATCTGGAATACACTTCGCCAGCTTGAAAAGCAGATCATGTACCACGCGCTCTCCCGAGAATCGACCACAGGCGCGAATGATGCAGCTCCAATCCTTCTGGGTGAAATTGTTGAAGTCGGCGGCGTGGAGGACAATTGCGCAACGGATGACGATTTGCTTGAAGAGCTCGTGGTCCTCGGCCCGTTTTCCAAAGACCCGGTGGAAGGCATCAAGCCAGTGAATCGTCAAAAGTCTGAAAAAAGTTATAAGGGGCTGAAAAAGGAGTATTTTTAACTTACCGTCCATCTGGGTGCTTCTTATCAAAAGAAATGTCAATGCTGAGGAAGATCTCGGGGATAGTTCGCTCGAGTCCGATGTGGCGGAATTCTTCGCAGCAAATGTAGTCGCCGAGTGTTTTGGTGAGGAGGATGAGATCGTACTCGGGCCAGGTGAACGGGTACGTGCTCGAGCCGAGCCAGCAGGCGGCAGAGTTGATCATCGTCATCTTGAGCTCTGGTTTGATTTCCCGGACGAGGAAGTGGGAGAAGTTCGTCTTGCAGAAGAGAATGACTTCCTCCAATGGAACGATGTTGCTTTCCTCCTGAAACAGATCTCGTAAAAGGGGAAGAAAAGCAAAGACTTACGTAGTGGCACAAGTTGATCAGAACGGCAATGTCGCTCTTCTTCAACGAGTAACCGATCTGGAGCAAATCATAAGCGATCTCTAGCTTTCGCTTGTTGTCGAAACGCTCTGGATGAGCTCGGATAGCATGGATGGTTTCTTTGACAATCTGGCCGAGACCTGTTCCGTGGACGACTCCATTCTTCAGCTCTGCTTTTTCCTCTGGCGGCGCGTTTCTCCACTTGGAGATGGTGGTATGGAGAACGGCTTCGGTAAAATAGGCGGTGTTGTAGAGCTTGAACGTGGCCATCATTCTCTCCGCTTCAATCCAGTATGGGAGGCAGCTCAGATCTTTCGCTAAAAAATAAAGTTTCAGAAAACGCTGATGCGATGAAAAAAGGAAAATTCCTTTCCCCTGAGATGAAAAATGGCAACTAATCGCTCAAGAATGGGAGTGAATTGCAAATGAATGGTACGTGGTATGGTACTTACAGCTAAGATTCTGCATCATCTGGATGAAGATTTCCTGCGGAAGTCCTGCGGCGAATCGATTGGAAGGAGTCATCGTCGGTGGGGTCAGCGAGAGAGCAGGAGAGATTGACGGAGAATACTCACTTTCCGAAAGGTGAGGTTCAGTTGGGGCCCAGTTCCAGGCCCCTCGACCTTCATGGTGGAGAAGGAGAAGAGTTTGCTGTCCGGCGATTTGGTTCATACAAGACTGGGAGTCGTTGTTGTTTCCAGCATCGAATTCTTCAGGTTCTAGAGAAAGGTTAGCTCACGTGATGTTTTTGAGGATTTGAAAATAGTCATTCATGATTTCAATTCAAAAAAATATTTTGAATGGATAATCTTTGATATTTCATAATAAACCTTTAATTTAATTTAAATAAATATAGAGGACAACAATTAATTTGAAAGAAAACTTACCGATTTCTTCTTCGTCCCTAGGAACCTTGACAGAGTTTGGCTGAGTGTTGGAATTGGCTCTGTGGAGCCCTCTGACTTCCTTGAGAACCATGCTCATTCGTCTTCTCTTGATCAGATTATCTCTTGATTAGGATAATTAAAAAATTTGATAAAATTATTTGATGTTTTCCGCGTGTGTGCGAAAACGGGAATGAGCGTCCGAGACGGGAGAGAGCAGGGGAGCCCTCGGCTTCGTGGCCTAGTCGATGATTCACGATCGCGCTCGATCCTGCTCGAAACGAACCAATCCAAAACTCACCAGATACGGTTTACGCGCTGTTTTCGTCGGATAGCCAAAAACACTGGCTTATTCACTCGCTTTAGTGAGTCGAAAGGCAATTTTGATTTTGTAAGAAAGACGAAAACAACCATTTTAGAGCGGAAAAAAGGGAAAGCTAAAAATAGGGTAAAAACGCGTAAATTATCTGGAGATCAAAAAATTATATTTTTAACCTTTATGTTTGAGAAGAAATTGTGTTTTTAGAGAAATTTATAAAAATCTTCTTAACTAAATTTTAAGTTCGGGAAACTTTATTAAAGCCGAAGTTAAAAGGATATTTTTTCGATAATTTCAAAAATAAAAGTACTCTTTGTGCATTGACTTTATCAAAAGTAAGAAATCTCGTCGAAGAGAACCTCCGATAAGACATTTTTGAAAGCAATTCTTGAAAAGGGAAAACGAGGGCGTGAGAAAGTTGGCGCACCCTAATTTGAACTTATGACTCATCGAAGGAGAGACTAACTCACGGCGAATTTAGCTTCTTTTTGCGAGAATATTCCAGAAGCTTTTTTCTAGGAGAAAATCGTCTTTACCGGCTATTCCTCGTCGAAATCTCATATTTTCGACCCTAAAATATTTTTTGAAACAATAATTGAAGAGAAAGGAAAGGAAGACCCCTTCTAAATATTGACCAGAAGAGGAAGAATTTTAGAGAAAACAATTTCTTCTCGAAAATTCGAGAAAATTTTAAGGGGCGTGTCTGGTTTTTTTGCTTGAAATCGACACATTTCAGAAGAGAAAATTTTCATCATTTTTTCTGATGCAAGAATCTTCAACACTGAGTCAAAGTGACAAATCCAGTCTTCTCAATAATCAATCATTCTTTCCATATTCTCAAAGTTCAGCGAAAAGCACCCCTCGGCACTTTGTCCGAGATGTTCTAAAATGTTCTTGATTCATATTCTAGTCATCCTTTCTTTCCGAGGCGCCGTGAAATTTATACAAAACATATTTCTTTTTCCTTTTATTGTTTTAAATTTGTCAATTCAAGTGAAACTTTTCAGAGTTTCGTCGAGGAGATTCGCGAAATCGGACTCACCGAAATGCCGCCGCTAATTCGAAAAGAAGAAATGTTTAGCTCCGATTCGGAGGACTTTTCGGACGATGAGGACTGGCACCCTTTGGTAGATCGGCATCGTCGGAGAGCAGTTCGTTTCATCGAGTCTGATTCTGAAGACGAACATGAATTTTCGCATGTCGAAATGATTCTTCATCTATTTGAAATCGCTCTGCAGGAGCTGGGCTCGGCAACCGGGTGGAAAACTTGACTACGGGTCCTGAAAAGGTTTTACTAAATAAGCGCTTTCGCCTAGAATAATATCTCACTATATTTCACACTGACTCAGGTTTTCTTCACATGTTGCCGAGCCCAGGCTAGGAGAATGTTGGTCGTCTTTTTTGGGGCCGAGAAGAAGATTCAGAGGATGACTATTCTACAGATTCCGAGTTTTCTGGCGAGGAGATGGAAGCAGATTCAGAAGAAGAAGAAGAGGGAGATTTGTTGGAGCATCTGGCGTCTTTGTTCGTCGAAGAGCGGAGGTTCTCTTTCAAGCGCGAGAAAAACGTTGATATTTGAAATTTTAGTGACGTAGACGAGGAGGAACACGATTCTGAAAAACAGGAAGAATTCGAAGAGCTACAGGACGAAAGAGAGAAAAATCGCCAGTAAAAGAAGACCTGTAAATTTTGCCCCTATTTTAGATTCACTGCCTTACTGGAAATGCCTTCACTACAGAAATATAACTGTTTTTATTTTGATTAAGAAAAATTCTTAATAAATTAAATTTAAAAAGAGTGTGCGCCTTTCTCAAAATAGATTTTTCTTGAATATCATTTCAAATCAAATTTCTTTCAGATTTTTAAAGTAGGGAATCTGAAATCGGGCTCTTCGAAAAATGCCGCCGCTTATTCCAAAAGAAGGAGAAGAGGAAGAATATTTTTCCGAATCAGATCTTTCCGAAGATGAGTGGCACCCTCTTGTTGGGTTGTAGGCGGTAACGTGGGATTTTAATCCTGTGCACACTCAAGTGCCTGATGTGGGATTTTTAATCCCACGTTCATGATTTCGTCGACGTGGGATTATAAAATCCCACATCAGGCACTCCGGTTGACGTGGGATTGAAAATCCCACATGACCGCATTTCAGGGGTCGATCGACGTGGGATTTTTTTCTGCTCAAAATTCAATGACACAAACAACTCTAGAACAAAATAAGACAAAAACTGCAGGACAAGGTACGCGACGGGCCAAAAATAAGCTTGTTTTTAGGGGTTTATCTCCATTCCTGCACGCCTAAGTTATGTTGTGTAAAATCAGGGATTTGTATGCGCTCCGCGCTTGATTTGAAAGAGAAACTCATCTTTGAGGTTAAAATCTTTCTCTATAATCGCGCATTTAGTCAAAACAGTTCGCTTTTCGGTTAACTCTTTTTCGTTGTACATCAAATTAGCTATTTGTGACGTAAAAACATCCATATTTACGTCCGAGCTGATGAAAGAGCCCGGGGAGACGGAATAATTGTAAAAATATTCTAGATGGATGACTCTTGTTGTTGTTAATTTGAGCAAAAAAATCCCACGTCGATCGACCCCCTGAAATGCGGTCATGTGGGATTTTCAATCCCACGTCCACCAGAGTGCTCGATGTGGGATTTTAAAATCCCACGTCAGTGAAATTAACAACGTGGGATTAAAAATCCCACATCAGGCACTTGAGTGTGCACAGGATTAAAATCCCACGTTACCGCATACCACCTCTTGTTGGTCATCACAGAGATATTCTCCCTGAAGAAGTCGATTTAGAAGAAGATTTGACTCAGATTGAAAGATATCAAACGATTGAGGATTTTATAGCGCAGGAAATTGCTGAAGAACGAAATTTCATTGAAAGAGCGCAACTTAATTCCTCTGAATCGGAGTCTGAAGAAGAGGTGTTGTATGAACAAAGCGATAGATTGCAAACCGAAGAGCAAGAGGAGGAAGAACGAAATAATCAAAATAGAGAAAGGTTCGGTTTCTATCGCAGAGCAACAAGAATCACTTTTCAAATGATAAGATGAAGCCCTGAATAAGAGTAGCACAGCTTCGGGAGATTGGAAACGAAGATCGTCCAAGAGGAAATCAGCAGATTACAGTAGATCAAGAAAATATGGAAAGAGAAGGAGCTGGTCGTCGTCGAGCTCATCGTCATCGGATCATCATGCTTCCACCCGACGAGTCTGATTCTGAAGAAGAATCGGAACTTCAAGAGCCAGAGGAAAAACGAATTCGCTTGGAAAATGAGGACGAAAAAGAAAATGATGCAGCGATCCAGCCAGATGCCGAAAGAACCATGAGCGAGTACCTGTAGATTCTTTTTCAGTTCAACTGCCCTTGACTGTATATCGACTGGAAAACAAAACTATTTTTATTTTAATAAAAAGGAACCATTTAACATTTTAAATCATCATAAACATTAAGCGCCTTGCTTTTTTTGCAAATAATGAAGCGAAATTTGAGAAAAATAAAAGGTTGAGTTCAAACAGTAAAGTTGAGAAAATCATCAGTTCTTTTCTTAGGTCTGAGAAGTTTTTATCCGGATTTTAATCCTAGGTTACAGGGAATATGAGTCTGTCAGACTTAAAAACACCGGTACAGCTCCGGCTTGAAAGCGAGAGAATTCGTTCTAGATAGGCCGGGTAACTTGTTTTTCCCCGCTCGCGATGTAGCTCACTCTGAAATTCTTGCTCTTAGGTGAGTTCCTCGGGTGATTTTTTAAGTTATAAAGTTGTTTTTTTTTCAAGCTCCGAGGAAAGAGAAAACGAGAAAATGCCCCCTCACCAGCCAGAAAAGATCAATTCTCTCTCCGACTCGGATGAATCTGATGTTGAAATGATGCACCCGCTTTTGGCTGCTGCTAATCGACAGAACCAGGAGGTTCTCGAGGAGGACGAAGAAGTCCATGAAGAGATGGAACTAGATTGGGAGCAACTCACTGATGTTGAAGACGATGACGAGTGGGAGGATATGGATGACGAAGATGAGGGAGATGCCGACGAGAATGCATATGATGAAGGAGAAGAGGAGGAAAATGATGGCGACGAGGACGAAATGGATGAAGAAAGTGAAGAGGAAGAAGAAGAGGAGGATCCTGAAGGGAGAGAGCGGAGCCGGAGGTGCTTAAGGTTGTGTTTCAATTTAGTTTTTTTTTCAGAAATTTTTACTGAACGTTCAGCAACGTTCTTAACTTTTCTGCGATCTTGGAGAATCAGATGCGTTCGATTCAAGAACGCTGCCAAGAGCTCGGCGAAATTCTCCACCGCCCTGACTACGACTCCGACGAGAGCTACAGCGAAGACGAAAGTGAAGATGAAATTGTTGCGAATCCAGAATTCTCAACTTGAAAGTTTCAAGTTGAAACTAAGCTTTAGAATTTAGTCTTTTATCAGTCAGAATTCTTTAATAAAGCATTTATTGAAAGTCAAAATGAACAGTTGTTTAATTCTCTTTACATGTTGTGGGTCGTTGAGTGATTCCTTATATCTGATAATCAGGTGGCGGGTTAGTTATGTTACTGGGAACTTCTTTTGAATTGGAGAAGTGGCTTTCGGAATCGAAACTGGCTCTTCTGGGAATATACCCAAGCTCGTCCCTTCTGCTTTTTTTCGAAGTGGCGTTGAGATAACACGCCAGGACGACAATAGACATAGCAAAAGCGACGATAATTATGTACAATAAGATTTTGGGGATATCGCTGTTGCAAGATTTTAGATTTAAAAGAATTGACGGTCTGACAAATTATCTTTCATCAATCTCGCTTCTCCTCTCTGATAAATAAATCAACAATAAATTCTTAAAATGTCGACATATAAATCTATAATACACAGTAATGGCGTTGCATCTAAAATCTTGTACCCTTGACAATACTCCTTTTCAGCTGTCAAACAAAACTCTTTCGAGCGGCCGACTTGATCCTCCGCGAATTGCTAAAACATTAACTTATTTTTGGCGAGCTAAAAAAAGCGGTTTATAGACATCGCAGCTTAAATTAAGTTAAACTGTGCTCTTATTGCATTAGTTAGGAAGCCCTTTCCTTGACAAAATTGAAAGTACTATGATTTGTCCAAGTCGTTTTTTTTCGGAATTTCGATTTGTTAAAATATAATTACAAAAATTAAAATTATTTCCTCCGCTAAAAAATTCGAACTCACCTTTATAGGTAAATCTTCCTCGCTTATACTGGAATCGTCCTGTATCTGAAAAAAGTCTTTAAAAATATTCCTGCCGCTGTTGCCTTCCATGCGAGGCGGAATATGCCTCGCTGATGGAATGCGTTCACAACAGCAGCAGAAAAATGGATGATCCGATTTAGAAATTAATTTTAATGTCCGAGTGGGATACTCTCAAGGATCTTAGTAGACTACTTACTGCATCCATTATGATCGTGCGTCCATCCAAAGATAATTCAATTGCTGTTTTTGAGCCCTTTAGTTGGTTCAACAGTATTTGTTAATTTTGAGAAGTCGAGATATAAAACAACATAAAAACATATCTTTAACATCTGATCAATATGCTAATATATTGGCGATGCCAATATCTATTTTTGCCACAGAGAAGGTCTTTTAATAGTTTTATAAGTCTACTGCGTCCCTTAATTGATGTGTTGCCCAATGTCCCGATTTCTTACTGTAAATATGAAATGATTGTTCTTTGATAAATTAATCAAATGCCTTCCTGAACCTTTTTCTTCGAATTAAGCTCGGAAGAACTCTTCTCTTCAATAATTTCTTAGGACGAGTCAGGAATCAAAAGAACAAGAGAAAGTGAAAGCTCGTCCTTTTCTAATCCGTTTAGGTAGCCGCGGCGAAAAAATAACCGCCAGAGCTGCGCGCCATCTGGCGAGATTGTCATAACTCACCTGATTCAATTATGCATTAAATTGTGGCTTCTCCACAAACATTTATGACTGTTGATTTCCCGCGGTTTCGCCAGATATAAAATTTATAGTTATTTACAACAAAGAACGCGTTTCATCAACTTTCAAGTGCTCTTTTGTCTCGCTCAAAATTCCTTTCATGTGTTATTCACTGAACTTTTTTCAATTTTTTGATGGTGTTTTTTAGAGAATGTCTTCGGCTTTTGCCGAACTTGGCGTTTGTGATGAGATCGTGCAAGGCCTCTACAAGATTGGATGGGCCCTTCCTACGGATATTCAAGCAGAAGCTGTTCCATTGATTCTTGGAGGAGGAGATGTTCTCATGGCGGCCGAAACAGGATCTGGCAAGACTGGAGCGTTCTGTCTCCCAGTCATTCAAATCGTGAACGAGACAAAGCAAGAGTCTGGCAAGCCACAAATAAAACGCTCCAAGCCTGCGGGGTCAGTGTCCTGCAAATTGAGCATGGAAGAGCGATCGGATATCGTGGCCGTTTCGCCCGACGGATTGCAAATGCAGTGCCGTGATTTCCGACTGTGGGGCGGTTGCCGATCGACTTGGGCGACTAAAGAAAACGCTGTTGCTTTTTACGAAGTGACATGCACCGACGAGGGATTGTCGAGATTCGGCTTTGGGACGATCACATGCGACTTGAACCTGGGAACGTGCCCTGAAGGTTTTGGCTTCGGCGGTACTGGAAAGAAATCCAATCGCCGACAATTTGACAGTTATGGGGAGCCCTTCGGACAAGGAGACATTATCGGTTGCTTGATAGATCGACAGAGGAACGAAATCAAGTATTTTAAAAATGGACGAGACCTTGGCGTCGCTTTTCAAATCCCGAATTCGATGAATAAAGAGCCGCTTTATGCCATTTGCTGCTTGAAAAACGCAGAAGTGGCAGTCAATTACGATGGCCCTTTCAAGCACCCTCCAGGGGGGAATTTCACTGCGTATGGGAAGATGGATGCTTCAGTTAGATTCGCTGCTGGAGCAGGACCTTCCGTCAAAACTGGTAATACAAAGGGCCTTCCTATGGCGATCATTCTTGAACCTTCCCGTGAGCTCGCCCAGCAGACTGAACAATGCATTGAAGACTTCTCTCAGTATCTTCCCTCTCCGTCTGTAAATTCAGTCTGCCTCGTCGGAGGCGGCGACTCGAGATACCAAAAGCAAATCGTTGAAGAAGGCGTCGACATCGTGGTTGGAACGCCCGGTCGATTGGAAGACTTTATTAATTCAGGCGTATTGAAACTGGACAACGTCAGGTTCTTGATCGTGGACGAGTGCGACGCGCTTCTCGCGCAGAATCAACAGCGACTCATCGAAAATATCCATCGAAAATGTCCTCACATCTCGCCCGAAGGTCGTCGTTTGCAGATGGTTGTCTGCTCAGCAACGCTGCACAATTTCAATGTAAAGAAACTGGCGCAGAAATTGATGAGCTTCCCGACTTGGGTAGATTTGAAAGGCGAAGGTAAGTTCATTTAGAAAAATTCTGCTTATAACTAACATTTTCATTCAGATTCTGTGCCGGATACAGTACATCACTGTGTGGCATTAGTTGATCCGACAGAAGATCGCTCCTGGTTTGATTTGTATCGAAACAAAAAGGTTTAGTTCTTGAGCACGCGATTAGCCGATGATCTACTTTTCTTCTTTAGGGAATTATCACAGACAGGGTGCATCAATCCGACCAAGTCTCGAATGCCGGCCAAAACTGCTCTGACGAAAGCGTTTCAGAAGGGATTAAAAAGCTCAAGGGCGAGTACGTCGTTAGAATTATCAAAGTAAGAGTTTCTTGCAGCAGAAAATAGTTTCAAATTCTCTTTCAAGGCGCATAAAATGGAGAAAGCGATAATTTTCTGCCGAACAAAATTGGATTGCGACAATTTGGAGCGACTCTTCATCAATAATTACGGCGGCGGGCCCTATTCCAAGGGAAACTCTGATTTCTCCTGCGTCTGCCTTCATTCAGATAGAAAACCCAATGAAAGAAAGGCGAATCTTGAGCGATTCAAGAGAGATGAAGTTAGGTTTCTTATTTGCACGGATGTTGCTGCTCGAGGAATCGACGTCAAGGTAAAATTTTTCATATAAAATATCGAGTACATCAAGGGGAATCTATGGAGATCGCTGGATGCCTGAAAGCGTTCTGAGAGATTTGAATGATTCTCGATGTGGTTTATAAACAGCTAGTTTAAATTCTGGTTCAAAAAGTTCACATCATTTTTGTAGGGCGTGCCTTATGTAATCAACGTAACAATGCCTGACGACAAAGCGAATTACCTCCACCGGGGGATTGGAAGGTGAGTCGGCCACCCAGACCAGATTTTTAAAAATGATAACAGCTGGAGCGTTCTCTCAGCACAACGCGGCTTATCAATCATCGCCCAGGGGAGCAAGTGACTGTAATCAGCATAGGAAATCGGTACTGTGCAGGGCAAAAGGGCCGCATTCGCAAATAAAAATCTGTTTTCAATGGAGCCTCCTTTCTCTAATCCGTCGTACCAAGAGATAAAAACTGCAGTTGCTGCCACTTACAGTCGATGTTCTTCTTCTCCTCCGGTCTTGTATAGTATCACATCAGGGCAACGAGCTCATAGCGCAAATTTTTGGCTTTGGCAAGGAAAAAATACTAATTATAATATGTATTCTTCTCAAAACAAAATATATAGAACCTCTTTCGTTCTATCGTGTGTACATAAATCTTGTAAAGCAAGCTATGTTTTCAAATGTTTAAATAATGATCTACTGATTGAATTCACTCAAGATTGTGGTGGTAAAAAACCTCGCCCTAAAAAACGCTATAAATTTAACTATTCTCATCCCGACTTCGCCAATGTAAATAATTATCAATTTGTAAAAATTAAAACTAAACATTCTGATCATTGTCCAAAAAGTCCATACCAATCATTGAAAAATATTTTCCGAGCTGAAAATACCAAACAATCTCTGTACTATTCGAAGGATCAAACTGATCTGACTTATTTTAGTTCTGAAATTTCTAAAATTTCTTCTCAGCGTTTACGCGGAGTTATTGATCTTACCCGGGAGAGTTGGAGTATTCAAAAAAAACTTTCGCAGCGAAAAGTGAATTGCAATGAAATTCCATTCGCTTATCGTACAATACCAATGTTTCCCGAGGATTTATCTTCATTTTTAAATCAAAGCGATATTCAAGAGCCATATCTTCAATATCAGTCTCCATCCATAACTGTATTTTATCTAGAGCGAGATCTTGAGCGCTTAGATATTGGCACTAGAATGTTAAATGGTCAAAGTTCAGTAATGCCCCTCGGCTGCGATGCAACCTTCAAAATTTGTCGATCTTTGAAATATTATCAACTCCTGACTATTTGTGAGTTTTGTCAAGATCCTGATGATCAGACAAAATATTTATCTGTTCCACTGATTTCCTGTCTGATGGTAGACAAATCCTATGAATGTTACGTTGAGTTTTTGACTTATCTGAAAAATACCTTCTTCTCTCGTTTTGGTTATGAGTTAAAAATCCCTAAAGTAATTGCCGATATGGAAGTCAATATCTTTAAAAGCTTTTATGATGTTTTCCAAAGTGAGTGTACTTGGTGTCATTTTCATTGCTTGCAAGCATGGCAGCGTAAGCTGAAATGTTTGACTAGGTCAAAACTTTGTAAGAATTCTACTGTAAAAAAAGCTTGGGATATCTGTAAAGGTCTTCCATTCATTCCGCGCCATTTGCTAAAATGTGCTTTTGATGAGCTTAGAACCTTTTGTGAACAACAAGAGGGGGTAACGCGAAAAAGTCTTTTGCTTTTTTGCGATTATCTTGATGTAATTAGATATTTTTAATTCATTAATTTAAATTTTATTAGGAACAATACTGGGAGAGTCAATCGAAGTGGAATCATTTTGAGCGCATTATGGTTGGTGATTATTGCCTAACCAACAATATGTGTGAAGTGAGTTTTGAAGCAATTATTATTTTATAAAATCTAAGGCCTATCACTCATCGTTGCACGACAAAAATGTGAGAGGCCGTAATTCCCTTCGAAGATGTGTTGAGACAATTTGGCAATTCAAAGTCAAAAACCTGAATCGAGTCTGCAACAATCAGTTACGTCGGCGAAAGAAGAAAGTTGCAAAAAGACACTATTGTCTTCGAAGATTGTTAGATTTGATTTTGGAACAGGAAGACGATTGGCTAGAAAGGTTTTTGTTTTGAGAAATCATTTAAATATTTTAAATAATTTAGCAATATTCTCAAAATCTGCTCTCAATTTGCTGACTTGGAAACAGATCTCATCGAATTTCCTTCAAAATATTGCGATCTTTGAATGTATAAATGTATATATCATATTTCAAATGTTGAAATATATCATCAAATTTCCAAATTCGAGTCAGTGTTCTCTTTGGCCGATGCAGATCTATATCACTCAGCAGGTAGCATTTGGCATTGTTGGTCTTTGAAGCTCCGAGCTGCTCATGCAGCTGTTATCATTTTTAAAAATCGGGTCTGGGTGGCCGACTCACCTTCCGATACCTCCCTCCACCGTATCGGCCGCGTTGGCCGCGCCGATTGTATGGGCCTAGCAATCTCCCTCGTGGCCAAACAAAGAGAGAAGGTTTGGTATCACTCCAATTGTAGGACCCGGGGAAACGGCTGCTTCAACACAAACGACATCAAACACGGTGGATGTACGATTTGGTACAACGAGATGGCACTTTTGGGCGAAGTAGAAGATCATTTGAAAGGTAAAAATAATATTATGGGAGTGCACTGGTTTTTGCAGAGTTGGATGTTTGAATTAAGACACGATTGAACACATTGACCCAAAAACGATGTTAGTTCCAGTGAACGAGTTCGACGGAAAAGTCGTTTATGGAAGGAAGAACATCGAGGGCTCCAACAACATCCTGACTGGGCACTACCGCGAGCTACTTCCTACGCTAAACGAGCTGAAGCGATTAGAAAAAAGTGCGCAGGGCTCGTTCATTGAACTCTGCACTCGTGGAACAAATATTTTTGCGTAGTCCTTGTTGTTGTCATTTTCTTCATTTGCGACATTTAACTGTACTGTTACTGATGGTAGATTAATTTTAAGTTCACACTTAACAGATAGAAAGTTCAATTATCCAAGTAACAAGTCAACCCTTTTTTTCAGAATTTTAGTCAAATGGGAGAATCGAAATCGACTCACTCAACAAGAAAAGACTCTTCCTTTCTTGGAAAGTCTTTCAAGAAATTCTCTCTTGGGGCGATTGTTGTCCTCTCCATCGCCGTTGGAATTCAGCTCTATCTTGGAACAAGAGTAACGAATGACGATGCAGTGCGACAGGAGAATATTCTAAAAGGACTTGAAGCGATTGAGAGAAGTTTTACGCTTCGATCTCCAGCTCCGTCGGTTTTTGTTGGATTCGGAAGCTGCGTTGACGTTTTCGCGAAAGCGATTCCGTTGTTCAAAAAGCTTGGCTTCGCGGAACCAAATGTGGAAAAAGAACATGGTGTTCTCAGGAACGCGGTTCAAAAATGACTCTATTGACTGTAACTTAGATATAGAATCAGAATTCTCTGAAGTGAATGACTTAGATTTACAGTTGGGTGGTTTTTCGATCGCGATAAAACAGAAAACAATCAGATCTTATGGAAGAATTCATGTTTTATTTCAAGAAAGGCGCAGCAGCAGAAAGATACGTATCAGACAGGGAACTTTTCGATAAACTAACAGAAACGGCGAAGCAGTCAGATGATGTCAAAATTGCGTTAGGTAACGATTACTTCTAAGATACAAAAGCATACGAAGCCTTCTGGCTTCAAAAAATCGTATTTACAAAAACTGGAACTGTTGAACCTTCTAATTCTCCGCGATAGAAAGCGTCAAACCTTTTAAATTCTTTCTCGCCGAGAAATTCGATGAATTTTTCGCGTTTTCTCCTTCCATTCCCAGTTCGTATTTCTTCCTCGGCGGTAGGGGGCTCTTGTTATCACCAGTTATCACTCTTCGGATTGCCCTCGTGATTTTCTTCTTTCTGAGTTTTTCTTCCTCGCTGAGTGGGACCTTTACGATTTTTGGACTGCTCATGGTGCTAGAATTCAACTCCATCCTTTTATTTTTCGACGCTAATTTTTATCGACTTTTTATTTTGGAAAATTTGGATCGAGGTTGATTTTATGCGGCGCGAGCAGCGCTCCACTCCCGGTGGCGCTGCTCCCTGCTCAGCTGGACGCCGACAGTAACAAAGCGGGGGCTTCTGTTTCTACCTTATCAACCTCGCAGATTTTGCGGCGCCGATAATTATCGTTTTAGGCGGAAATGCGCCTGTCATCGCTCAACGAATCGCGAAAAACGGCGGAAACGTCGTTTTAGGTGCGCAGAATGCAGCTGACCTACCAATCGATTCAAGGGTCGTTCCGTCAGGTAAAACGGGAACCAGGGTTGCTTTTGTTAACAAATTATATTTTTTGAAAATATATTGATATTTTATTGTTTCGACATAGTAATCCTCAATGTAAAAAGATATTTTTTCTAAAGAATAAGAACTTATTAATAAAAACTTCTTCAAATTTCAGCTATATTTGCAATACATAAATGATTAAATTTGAGTTCCCAGGAGATTGGGAAATCATTTTTTATTTTGTAAAATTGAGCGGTTTTCCGGTCGTGGCTGGATCCGGACAGAAAGTCAATTATCAGATCAATGTTTAGCTCAATCGGAAGTATTGTTTTTCATAAGCATAAAATCGCTTCAATTACCGGAAGTCGATTTTGAATACTTCCCACAATCCTCAATACAATACTATCCGTTCGAACGGCTAGGTATTGCGTTGATGATATAATTTTTATGGATTGATTTGGCATAATTATTCTTTTAAACTTGTATTAAAATGCGTAGATTCAAGAACTTTCTGGAAGATATTCTCGATCGTTAACTTTTTATTAGGCCCCTTTGTGGACTCGAGCGACATTCACTTGATCTTAGAATATGACAAGGATGAGAAGTTTGAAGAATCTTCCGCTAGCCGTGCGAATCGGTTCATCGTTCATTCTGATAGGTAACATTTTCTAACGACATTTAGCCATGATTCAAAATGCAAGCTGCATTATGCAACAGAAGCTTCCTTCGATAGCGATTATATCTATCAAGTAATGGTTTTTTATTGGTCGAAATCGATAAGATATTTTGAGGATGGCCAATCAGACGGCTTGATGAATATATTCATTATCCACTGAAGCAATTGTAGGATCTCAGTATTTTTCCACTAAATTCTTAAAATAATCATCGATTGTTTATTTATTTCTGACCTAGATTCCTCACCATGTGTTTTTAGGTACAATCCTGTCCTGGCAGGACTTCAAAGCTTCAGGAAAGCACTGGATGAGAGAAATTCTCCACCAGAAGGGCTCGTTATAGGAGGCCTGCAGATGATGGGTACGTAATAATGTTCGATTTCCGAATAAATCAGCGAAACAAAATACGTAAATTGAGAGGCTCTCAATTTGAAAGGAGGATTCCCTCCTTGAGTTTTTATTGAAAAAGATTCTTCTTTCGAGATCGTATCTTTATCAAATAGAATCTTAGGAAAATATGAGTCTCGCACAGTATATTATATGCCATGTGTGCGTTATGTAAGAACGCTTTCCACAGTTATAAATTTTGATTTTTGACATAAGTTTTGATAAATATAGACTTCTTAATTGTTGCTGCAGAAATTCTCAATAAAGATTTCTTTAAATCTTTTTTAACTGCGTATCTAACTAGAATCCATTCTTCTAAATTAAATGACTAGAAGAAGAACTCTTTTTCATAATAATGATTTGGTGCAACCATTAAACTCGTTTATCCAAAAGTAAAACTAATTTCTGGCGTCAATTTCCGCTTCTCCTTTTGATCTTGTCTTGATTCTCCCGTTTAGAGGGCTACGAATATCCAGAAAGGAAACGCGAAGAGCACTTTTCGTCGATCAAAGAGCTTCTTTCGAAAGTGGACGAGAGGACCAGGATCCATTTCGAGCTCGCATCATTCGTCGACGAGGAAATTCTTCAGAACATCAAAGAAAGCGTGATTCCATTTTCGGACTCGATCGGCATGAACGAGCAGGAATTGCCAAATCTGCTCAGTTTGATGAAGACTGGCAAAGCTATTTCCGTCTCTGATGCTTACCCAAGGTAATTTATCTTTCAAATTGCCAATTTAAATATTCCCAATCCGAAACTGGGAGACATAGAGGACAGATTAATAGCTTATTAGCGGATTAAAACAAGCTGCTGGGAAGAAAGTATGGATTTTTATACTTTGAATTAAATCAGAAGAATGTTATTAATCCTATAATTAAAGGGGTAAGTGTCTCTGGATCTATTAAAGATACAATTAAAGATAAAGCTTCACAAGTTTTGCGTGGGTATGACTTTAAGTTTCTCAAAAGGAAGTGACCAGCCCACGGATGATGACGTCCCATTTAAAAATAGAAAAAATGGCAAAGGAAAAAGTAGCGGAAACTAAGAAACTCGTTGAAATTCTCCGTTGTCATTCTTTCCACTAAATTCAGAATCGCCTCGGTCCTTGATCAGATGCGCGAGATCTACAAGCTCACGAAAGCTCAAAATTATCCTCGGCTATTATCACGCTTACACGTCCACAATATCGCGTTTCAAGCCATCGCGGTCCGGAAGAGCGCAGGCTGGAGGAAGACCATGACCGCGACGGCGATCTCCTCCTTGACGGCGCATAGACATGTCTGCCAGACAGACGATGTCGATTTGAAATACGCGGATGTTTTGTGAAGGGTTACTGAATCATCGGAATATGTTAAAAGCCGCGCGCGGCTTCTATTAGAGAATAAATAAGGATAATCAAAGAGCGACATTCAGCAAGTTTTAAAATTCTCTTAGAAAGCCGCAAGCGGCTTTTATCACGCAAAAAGTAAACCCTAGAAAGATGGACGAAAGCTTTAGTAAATCAATTCTTGGCCTGGCGGATGGCCGAATCCATCTGAATCCCGAGAAGCCTGTCTCCTGTTGGGAAGAGGTGAGACTGAAATAATTAACCCGTTGACGTCAAAACGCTCGTTTCAGACAATCGCAGGCGACGCGTTCAAAATCTGCGTGGCGCCAGTCCTTGTCTGCCGCAATGTCAAGCAAACTGCAGGTGGCGGGGATAATATTTCCGGTGCTGGGCTTTTGGTGCAACTTTAAACTACCCTGTCTACTGTTACAATTACTGTCACTTTTTTCGATTTCGTTCAACGTGGTGGCTTTTTTTTCTCTTCTAAAAATAATCAACTGACCGCCGCTGCAACTTATCGTTACTGTACTAAACAGATAAAAACAAACTTCGCTCTAAAAAAACTATCAAAGTATACAAAAAATCCATCCTGAAACAATCCATTCAAAACACCATCGCTCTCTTTCATCTTCTCCTACCAGTAGTTCCAGTTCACTTAACTTCTTCAACCAAACACTTCAACTTATTCAATTATTCTCTCTGTATGTATTTCTGCTTCAACTTCTATACAATATAATATACATGGAAAATACAGTTCATATTTAATATAACAATATACATTTTTACGCATGATTTATGCAAAAATATGATTAAGAAAAAACAAGGGCTTTTTGCTTGCAATTGAATTGCATTTATGCCTTGTTGAGTTTCGAAGGCAGGGTTAGTAGCAGGAGTAGTAGCTGGGAGAATTCACGGATCGACTGGGGAGAACTGGTCTACGTCTCAACAGAACACGTAAATCTCGACGCGCACGTCTTATACCCAGCTCCGGACACACAACCAATCTTATTTGATTAAAACGCACTTGAATTTTAACGAAAAGTTTGTTGATGATTAAATTTTTCAAGCACATTTCGGAAAAAGAAATTCTTTTGGTATTATTTTGGTATTATACCATTCGAAAATGGATTGCTCGATCCATAAATGACCGTCGATAAGGATCAGCTAGAGGCAGCTTAGAACGAAAACTAATAAGTTTATAATCAGTAAAATACAGACTATTGTTCAGGGAGTATGACTTCTTCAGAATTTTCTCAATTCGATATTGATTAATCGTTCGAGTATGTATAGAGGCACAAGAGAACCTTCAATTTTTTCAACTAGATTGCCATAATATGATGACTTATTTTGATATAAAAAGATATGCCGAAAAACAAGATTATGATTTTTAAATTTTGCATAAAAGGACGATGATCTTCTGATGGTCTTTTGGTTCGTTCTTGTCGATTAGCGTGAGTCATGCTGCTCGTCTTCTCCGTGGGTAATTGTGATGATCCGTGTTGTTTTATTTTCGACTCGATTTTTGGCTCGAAAATGGGGGCACGTGATTGGCCGCGCGCTGGACGTGATGTTTGGTGCTTTGACGTGGGCTGAGCCGGTGCGAGGCGCCGCTCTCGTTTGGTCTCAGCTCAGTCGCGCAGCTCGGCACGTGCCAAGCAACTTTGCCATAACCTTGGTTAGGTTAGCACTCGCCCAGCCGCAGCAACCGGTCGGTCACACGCACGTGACCCCCGGTCCGGTCCGATTCGGCCCGAAATTCGGACCTAAACGGCCCAGAGAGCAGAAGCCCGAGAGAGGCGCGTGCCTCCTAGATCATCGAATCTAGAGAAAAGAAAAAAAAAAGAAGAAGCTTCCGGTCGAGTCACGTACCGGCCGGTCCGAAGAGCGCGGTCCGATCTAAATGTCCGAGGAGGGCATCGACTCGTTCGTCGTCCGCCAATCAGGGGAAGAGTCTAAGCCCATTGTAACTCCTGAGTGCCAGAAAAAACAACGATCTGAACTGTAAGTCTTCTTTTCTGATACCGATACTTACTGCGCTTGTAATGGCAATTTCAATTCCCAGCACTTCATACTGTGACAGTATTAATTTAATTGAAAGCATACAATAAGAAAGAGAGCAGAGGAGCTCGAGATCCATTGATTTTTTATTTCTCAGCGCCTCTTCCTCTCGTTTATCGAATCTGATTTATATTCGCCTTAGATTATTATTAATTGAATAATAAATAATTTCAGCCTTTCAAAACTTCGCAAAGAACGATCAGCGCAAGCGGCAAAAGAACGTCGCGCGAATGAAAACCACGAATATGAAAAAATCAAGAAACTTCTCCCCATCGACGAAGGTTTCCAACTCTTGCCATTTCTCTTCTAAAGCGTTTTCAGTGGCTGCGAATAATCTGGACAAAGCAAGTGCAATTAGAATAACGATCGCGTTTCTGCGCTTATGCAAATTCGCGGGGAGTGGACTCACCGACTGGAATCTTCATTTCAAGGAGCCGCCATACGATGACGAGCAAATGCGACAACATCTTTGCAAATCTACTCTTCAGGTAGGCGCAGAATTGCTGCCGAATCTCCCAGATAAGCCGCTTGCGGCTTTTTGATCCATAAAATATATCTTGGCTCAGCAACTTGTCCTGAAAGCCTGAGTCAGGTTATGAAGAGCTTGAATGAAAGTGGCTTTTTAAAATAACTAAGCTGACTTTTTGTGGAGCTATTTTGTCGTTATGAAGAGCCGCACGCGGCTTTTTTCTCAATAAATTCCGCCTAATATTACGATTTTCAGACGATGGACGGTTTCCTGATGGTGATTTCTACCGACTGCAAGATCCTCTATCTCTCTGAAACTGTCCACGATCATCTCGGCCTGAGCTGGGTAATCTTGCATTATTCTGTTTCTTCCTGCTTAATTAAAACCCGTCTAGACGGATTATCCCGGCTCGGCTGTTAGCGAGCTGATTCCGCACCCAGAAGACCACCAGGAGCTCAAGTCGCTTTTGAGGGGTCTTCACAACTTGGCGCTCAAAGATGGTAGGAGTCCACTCTAGCGCTTTGTCGGGTGTTTAAGTCTGTCTCTAGAAAACACGACGGACTATGTCAACATCGTCCTCCGCTTCAAAAGTCAAAAAGAAAAGCGCAACACTGGTTTGACCAAGGGAAAACTCGCCTATCCAACAAAGGTGAAACGAACAAATGGAAAAAGGGAAGATTATGAATTGAATTTAGGCCTGTCAAGTGGTCGGTTACTTGCGGTATTCGGAGCATGAGAACGCGCGGGGCCTCGTCTGCGCGGTTTACCCACTTATGTTGACAAACGTCCGGGATATGCCCCTTCCGCCAAATAGTTTCTACGTTCTTACGGATGACAAATTTGTGGTCACCAAAGTCGACAGGAGGTAAGTTGATAGATACCAAAGCGCATTCTACGCCCTAGAATCTAGGGGAGAGCCTTGCGAATCTTCCTGCAGGCTTTTCTCCTGGAATTAAAAAAGCGCCACCCTTACTTTATCTTGTCAAAATAAGGTCACGCCCATTATCCACTCTGTACTAAAATTAATGGATTCACATCCTTACCTTTCCATTTTCTGTCTGACTTTTCTCTTTGTTAGCGTTTCGACATATATCGAACTGGAGCAAGAAGACATGATCGACGTGTCAATCTATAGCATGATCCACCCGGATGACGTGGATACCCTTATCGAAACGCACAACCAATTCCTGCAGAAATCCCAGGGCGCGACCCGCTACTATCGCTGGCTGCAACGCAATAATGGTTATGTCTGGTGCAAATCCACGCTTTTGCTAGTTCAAAAGAAAGAAAGAGAGCTTATACTCTGGATTAACCAAGTTATCAGGTAAACATATATTTAGAAAAGTTATTTTTATAATTAACTAATTTATTAAGCGATCGACCAACTGACCCGTCTAATGGAATTGATCTTTTTCAACGATTCCCGGCCGATTTTAAGACTTCCAAAAACTCTTCACAAGGTAATTATTCAAAGAAGACTCTAAAAGTACACTCTATTGTGTCGAAAAGCCGCTTGCTACTTTTTAGAAATAGAAAATTTTCTCCCTAAAGGTCCCAACCGGCTCTTATCGAATTATATAACAAATAATCGCGGTTGTTCGCAAATTGCTTCAGTTTCTAATAAGGGTTAAATAGCAGTATTAGACGACATATATCTTTCGACTTAGGCACACTTTGGTAGCCTGGGGGCACGTTGTGTCTAGTTTGCAGAAAATACTCCGGAATTTTTAATTGGCTTTTTATCCCAAACACTTTCGACTGTGTTTGTGTGGCGGAATAGAATTTATTCACTTTTCTTCTGTAGCAATGAGCGACGCTAACTTGCTGAGCATCGACCAGGGGGAGATCTTTGAAGTAGAGCAAATTCAACAAGACACGAAGACGGAGACGAGCGGTTATCACGGCCCGGTCGACCCGGGTTTCGAAACCGGCGAAAGAGTTTCGATAAGTCCGCAGAATAAAACGCAGGTCTTTCCGAAAGAATATTCTCCAGGAAGCTCGCCGGAGAGAATCGGCGATTCGGAGTCGATAATCCTCCAAGAAGCTAGCGCAGAATCGAGCAGAAATCAACAAGGATTAACCTCCGAAAATCTCCAGCACAACATCGCCAAGTCTCCTAATCTAGCCATCGTCGAAGAAGACGAGAAAAACATCGCGACTTACAACCGACCGCCGAACAGTGACATTTCCAGCATCATGAGGCAGCGTAATTCCTCTTCGAATCCCCACGAAGGGCATCATAGTAGCACGCCGATTGTTCAGCTACCAAAGATGAAGAAACGCATTCCTTCCGAGCCCTTCAAAAGACCAGTTGTTATTATGCAACCGCCTGCATTGAGAAACGAGCCCATGTAAGTTTTTAATAGAAAAAAGTGGTTAAATCGTTAAAAATTTTAAGTTGAAAAGCCGCTATTAAGTTTTAGAGCTGCATGCGGCTTTCGCACATTAGGATAATCTGATTGATATATTTTGTCTTAGTGGAACAAAGCATCACTTCAAAGACCGCGGCGATTCTTCCCAGCCGAACGAAAAGTACCGAAAATCAGAAGATGGAACAAAACTTCCTCGTCCAAAGTTCAAACATCCAAGCAACCGACCACGGGAAACTCTTCGTTCCTCCCTGGATGAGCGAAATCCGGCGAATCAGACCTTCGAGGGGAACGAAAGTGGCAAGTACTCGCCGCAAAAGGTGCGCTTGCCGCAGAACAAACGCCCCGAGCAGCTGAATATTGCTGTCCATCCTCAAGATCCACAAGGTTTTCTGGTTTTTCCTCTCTTTTTGTTCATTGGGGTTTTCAGTGTTAAATCAAGTAGCGGCTGGACCGGGGCTGCACTTCGTCACGCCGAACGGGCAAGAAGTGAGCTACCACACTGGCGAGAGCGGCGTGTTGCCCGTCTCGACGATCCCATTCTACCCCTCCACAACGCATGTCCAGCGCAACGTCGAACAGCGCCAGAATGATAAAGTTATTTACTACGTGCCATGTCATCGTGAGACTGATGAGGTGAGAGCCAGACTGATCGGAGTAAATCTCTTCCGGCTGCGAAATTTTTTACGTTTTTTTACTATTGAAAATATTTGAAAGATTTTGAAAGACTCTTGATTAGGTTACAAATAGGAATTCTCATTCGTCCTTTTTCATCCTTTCTATCAAAAGATTAAAAACAGGAAATTGAAATTTTCACCTAATTTCCCACCTAATTAAAATTGCCCGCGGCGAAACAAAACAAATTCAATCCTTTTTAGTTGAAACGCTTGAATAACCAATCATTGCATCCCATACTGATATGCAAAAAGAGAAAACCTTTATCTAACTGTATCTGACTGAAACTGTTTCAGGAAAACAAGCCCAAATACGTCCATGTTCCCGAATTGCCCATCATGGTCAATCGAAACGGGCGGCTAGAGCCCGAAGTCGCCGATCAAAATCAAAGCCCAAATCAACAACCGGTTCAACCGCATACTGTAAGTGTGCCGCTCTTTTAATTTTTGAACGAAAAAATTCACGAATTTTTACAGCCAAGCGCACCGGCAGTTCAACACGTGATGTACCTGGCAAGTCCAAGTTCGACGCAAGCTGGTTATATCCAACACGCGCCCTCGCCCTTCATAGGAATTCCTTATATCACCCAAACTCCTCAACATGCCCAGCAGACTGCCCCTGCCGTGGTACTCGTTCCCCAGCCAGCCAATAGCCACAATTTCAACGGTAAGCACCTTCTGTAAGAACACTCAGCAAACATATCTCTTCCAGGCCAACATCTTCAGCTTATCCCTGGACCGGCTCCAATAGGAAATTAAACGCAAAAATGCATACAAAGAAAACACAAAAAGAAAGCACAATAATGAAGCTCTCGCGAAAAACATCAAAAAATACTGAGCCTAGGCGAATATTTTAAAAAATTCATCTCTTTCTTTAGTAGCCCGTTTCTTGACCACATTCCGCCATTGCCTTTTCCTGTTTGTTAATACTGTTCCACCTGTTTTTAGTTCCAAGAGGGGAAACTTTATTCATATTCGTTAATTTGCTTTTCAATTTATTATCTTTTCCTTGAAAACTTTCAACAATACTTTATCTTCATTTCTTTTGAAATCGGCTTTTCGATTTTTGAAAGAATTACTGTAGCTACTAGCTGTAACTTTGTTACAGTAATTAGCTTTTTATCAGCTTATTATTTAACTTAAATACCCAACTTACCAACTTTTACCAAAAAAGTTCAACTGTTTTATAATCTGGCCATTAGTTCCTGCTATAGTTCCAAAAAACAACAACAACGATGAAATGTATCGTCTATTGAGTTCCAAAGTGTTTGAACCTAAGGTCGGGAATCTGTATTTTAAACCTGAGTCAGGGTCTTGAAGAGCTCAAAGGCGGCTTTTCGTGTGAGCTCTTCAAATCCGTGAGTCAGCTTGACGAGCCGAACTTTGAGCCAACACGGCTCAGCTCAGGTGGCTCAGAATGCTCCCTTGCTGAGTTGGGGAGATTGAGCCATTTCTTCCACCCATGCATTTTTCAAAGCAGACAGACTTGTAGACAGAGGAATGCGTGGGCGGATGTCTGCACAGAGATTGACTGCAATTTTTTGACCTCCTGACCATGACATTGTTTCTTTAGAAATTCAAGAGCCTTATTTTGAGAAAAATAAGAGGTAAATCGATGAGCTTTTGACGAAAATGGGGGAACAGTTGGAGAAAGATCTCGCCTCGTACCAGGCGATCGCCCGAAAACTCTGCAACTTGACCGAGGATGATGACAAAGCGCTATTGACAAAGTCGATTGTCAAACTTGTCCACTACCTTAGATCGATCGACCAAGACGACACAACTCGTCGCGATGCCCTGGCCGTGGCGATCCATTGCATTGGAAAATCCTGCTTCATGGAGAGCGACGATCTGGTCGTGCGCGCCGCTACCGCCGGAGCGATGGTCCACGCCTTCCGAATTTACGTCCCGAACTTTCCTCCCTTTTGCCTCACAGACACAGCCACAGTCGACGAAGAACGTGTCCTAGATTCGCTGAACTTCCTTGTCGATCTCTTCCCCCACGCAAATGACGAAGAAGCGAACAAGAAAATCGGCTACGCGATCGAGTACATCAACACGATTCAACTGTTCAACTGCGTTTTCAAACTCGAGGGAGAGGACATTGGCGAAAACGAATTCATCGACAAGGCGATTAAGAACATCATCGAATGCAAGATGAAAGACCCGGGCAAGCGAAAAGTGCTCTCCAACATTCTCCGAGAGCTTATCATCGTCAGCGAGCACGAAGACTTTAATGTCATCGATGTGATGCTCTCGTACCTGATCACCGGCGTCCCGAATTACAACAAAAACGCGGCTCAAGTCGTTAAAGACGCGTTTTCCGAAAGCGGAGAGCACTTTGCCGACATTCTAGCTCTCTTCTTCAACACTGTCTTCGTTCAATTCGACAAGGTAAGCTTCCATTTTTTAGGATTACTGGTTTCACTAAAATTTCAAAATCAGGAACTGAAAAATATGCTGTTTCAGGTGATTCGATCGAGTCTTAGAGAGTGATTATGTGACTAACAGACTTTGTGATTATATTCATATTGAATCAATATTATTGATCATTTTTAAGAACACAATAAATATGAATTCTGTTTTTTAAATCAATCAATCGTCAAGTGTCAATCGTATCTTGTAAAAATATACGTGACTTTATTTATAATATCGTAACTTTCTTGGTTCAAAATCATCTGATTTTAATACTTACCTTTTCCGGTCTTTTAAAATCTAAATTGATCTGTTCAGATCCCGATCAAAGTCGCCAACAAATGGCACGAAGTGCTCCTCACTCTCTTCAAAATCGACCACAATCTGATTTCCAAAGAAACCGTCAAACATGTCCTCGAACTTGTCCATTCAAACACAACTAAAGTCGCAGAACGATCAAAGGCCCTTTCGTGTGTCTGCGAGCTCTATTCTTCAGAAAAGCTGCCTTCCGAAATCAAAAACTTGATAATCAAAGCCCTGTCCCACCCAGTCGATGACCCGAAAGTTCGCGAAATGGTTGTCAAAAAGTGCTCCGATGTTCTGCTCAAAAATGGGCCGGACGAAAAAATTCTCAAACTTGTGCTCAACTTCTACAACGATGTAAAGGATAATGTCCGCGAAACCGTCGCTGAACGACTGCAAGCGATCATGAGCTCTTCCGTCGACTTTATAACAGAAGAATCGGTAAAAATACTGAGTACAGTGAGTACAGATCGAGTGTCACTGAAAGTCCGACTTGCTGGAATCAGAAGCATCGCCCATGTCTACAAAACACATCGTTCTCAATCACATTTACCACTGATGAAAGAGTTGCTCCGCCAGTTACTGAAGGTTTACTGGTCTTTTGCGATGTCAAAAGGTTCGAAAGGGGAGCTGACGGATTCAGAAGAATCTGGGCGAATTGAAATTATGATGGCTTTTCAAACCGTCATCGTTGGAGGCGATTCCGTGGACGCAGAAGAGCGAGCCGTCAATATGACGAACATCTGGCTGGACGATGACCCGCAGATCGAAAAAATCATCCGACGGATGCTTCTGGAGTTGTACTCGATGCGAAAGCCGTTTGAGCGCTCTTTGGAAATGATAATGGACCAGTCTGTCGAAGAAGGGCCGATTGAAGAATCGATCAAGTCATCTCTGAACGCTACTTGTGTCAAAGCTAAGGATAGTATGAACGAGTCGCTGATGAAAGTAATGCTCCAGAATGATAATCTCCTCGACATCGGCAGAAAAATGACGTACCTTGAAATGAGCGTCAAGCAACGAGTAAAATCACAGAAGAAATTTATCGACTCGGTTCGATCAGCAGATTCAACTATCAATTTGACTGCGCTTTCCGAGCTTTGCAAACGATCGACCGACTGCATCATGGAGCCAAAAACTGTGATCAAGCTTTTCAAACTGCACTCAAACTCAACCGAAGAAGCGAAAAAAGAGCGCATACTGAATTTGATTTATTACTTTTCAACCACTCACGAATACTCTTTTGCGAATCTCGAAGTCTTTGAGGTCGTTGTGGGCATCCTCGAAAAGGGCGATACAGTCAAAGAGATGCTCTTGCTGCTCAAGAATATCGGAAGTTTGTTGAACCAGGTCTACGAGGGTCGAAAACAAGCTGAAGAGGATGAAAACGCGGAACTGGATCTTTCGATTCTCAATCGATTCTGCAGCGTTCTGGAAGATTTGATACAAGGCGATGATTACAAATTGTCCAAGGTACGTACCCTCTCTCAATTACTGTAGTTATCACACATTATTCTATAGTTAGCTATTGCGGCAATGATTTCAATCGGCAACGAAGGCGATATCTGTGTAAAATCGACTCAGAAAATTCTTCAAAGACTATCTGGAAACGCTATTCGAAAGATCAAATCGGTTTGTCAGACCATTGATCTCGATTCTTAAACCAATTTTAGTGCTTAAATTCTGGAGACTATGACAATGAGTTCAATAAAGCGGCCCTGATTCTTGGCTGCGTGATGGCGGATACTACGAGCGCAAGTCGTGGCCAGTTTTTGCATATATTTGAAGGTACTCTTCCTTGATTTCAGTTATTAAATTGATAAAACAAAATAGACTTTGTGGTCGGTAAAAACTTACAAATGCCTCCGGAAAATGCCGCAGCCTTCATCAAATGCTGCGAGAGACATTTGCGATTCATTTTGCAAGGTAAAGCCTTATTTAAAATTTCTTACAGTAACCTTAATCCAAAAATTCAGAGAGAACTACTAATTGTGACCGCCTGATCCAATTCATCTCCCAGCAGCTTCATCGAAACAAGGGTGAGGCGAAAACAGCCGCTACAGTCGCCCTATTCCGGCTATCAACTTACAAGGCCGCTCGATCCAGCTTGAGTGGAAACGATATTCGCCAAATTTCATTCGAGCTGGCTAAAATGAAAGCAAAAGCCCTCAAGTACATTGGAAACAAGAGTGTTCCGCTCATGTGGATTTCTATCCTGATCATATTGGAGTTTGATAACGATTCTGCGTGGGTTGGTATGTTTGCTCATTTTTTTTTTCAGGGAAAGAGATTAACTGTCTTCTTCTAGCGAAAATTCAGCAAGTCGTAAAGCTTTACAGAGAGCAAATTACGAATGACATCACGAATGAGCCTGAAACAGTTCTTGTTTACGTCATCGATCTCTTACAGATGTCATTTACTCTGCAAGGTAATTGTTCAACTATAAGCCTTTTGTTCGAAATCAATTTAGAGCTGAAAAGTCCAGAAGGTCAAGGAAAGCTGGAAGACATCCAGGACCGTCTGCGTATTTTCATTTCTGCGTTCACTTCTCCGCCGTCGTATGGTCTGCGTAAAACTGAAAGCGATCGAAAAAAGGTAGATTTGTTAGCATTCAAATTCAGAAAATTAAACTTGTCGAATTCTAGCTTTGGTCTCAATTTTCTCGCTCGTACGGAATTCTTTACGGGATCGCGCAAGTCTGTCGCCGCCATCTTTTAACCATCGGTTGTACGACGATCAAAGTCACTGAGAAAACTTACACCGTTTGTGAGATCATCATGCAAGAAATTCGCCGTCAATCGGCAGAATCAAAGATGAGCATTGATCATTTTCTTCCGAACGAAATGTTGAGGCTGTTTTCCAAGAAACTCTTCAGCATCGCAAAGACCAAAGAAGGCAGAGTCATCAACAACGATCAATCACAGTATATGCCCGAGTATTTGGTCTACGCAACTCAGGGCACGAGCGCGGGCAAGAGAAAGCAGCCGAAGGATATTGAAAAGATGAAGCTGGATGATCATGATAGGTAATTTTTTAACTAAAAAGAAATATGGGGTTCTAATCGCTTTTGTTTCAGCGATGAAAACAGAGAGGAGGAAGAGAATCGAGAAGAAGAACAAATCATTCCCAAAGAAACCAAAACTCGATCTGGCCGTTCTGTCCGTCGAAGGATCATCGATGGAACAGAAGAAGACGAGAAGAACAAGAGTCAAAATGCTGAAAAGAGTCAGAACGCCTCCACTGTTTCTGAAGAGTCCGACATCTCTACTGTTTCCAGAAACTCGTCGCGAAACTCTGACCGAAGCCGAAGCAGATCTCCGGTAAAGAAAGCTACGCCCAAAGCTAAGGAGCCTGTGCGATCAAAAAGAAATGCTAAGAAGAAGGAAGAAGCGGAGGAAGAAGCATCGGCAGATACGTCACAGGGAGAGTTTCAGATTTAATTATAGCTTATTTGAATTGTCATTGTCATAAATTTGTCATAATTTATGCTTCCTCCTTTGTAGCTTTCATACTTTTGTAAAAACTCGTGAACAGGATAGTATGGAGGTTGATTCTGCAAACGAGGATGGAATGATGTCACCTCCTACTCGAAGACCACGAAGAACGACTTCGAAGCCAGAGCTGGTTATCAAGGCGAAATCTAAGAGAAAGACTATGGGAGGAAGAAGAAAGCTCCCAAGTTCTCAAGAAACCGAGACGGAATCGGAAGCGGAAAAAACTCCCAAAAAGGCCGCCAGAAAGGTTCCAGATAAGAAGGAAAATAAAGAGAACTTGGGCGGAAAAAGGTACAAAGAGAGCTTTTGTAGCGATTTCTTGTTTGAGACTCTAACTAAGAGTTATTTTTAGTCAACGAAAGAAGACGATAAACTTAGACACCTCCCAGTCATCGCAAGATGAAGAAAGTCCGAAGCGAGGAAGACGAACTCGACTGGAAGAAAAAAAGATCGATGATAGCAATGTGACTAACAATCGACGAAAACGCAAGCCAGCGTCTTCCCAGTCAAGCCAGGAATCAGACTCTGGCTCAGTTTCTTCAAGACGCTCTTCTTCACGCATTGCCTCTCAAAGCACCGATTCTCAGTCGCCAAAGAAAGTAAGAGCTCCTCCAAAGAAGCAAAAGACCCTTACTAAACCACCCGCGAAGGCGCAGCGAAGGTAAAACAAAAAGTAATAACTAAATAATTAAAAAAAATTCAATAGGTCCCTGAGAAAATGAAGAGGTCAACTTAGGATTCTGCCACTCATATGTAACCGCCTTTCTCCACATTCCATTTTCTGCACATTTTAAGCACTGCCCAAATATATAATAATTAAAATTCAACACATTCTTTGAAATTACTCAATTAATGAAAATATACTTGAGTTTACTTGTTTCTTGCTTTATTCGGGGGATGTCAAGTTTGCAGTTCAAAGGTTTCAAGGAGAATCTGGGTCGAACTGAGTGAAGATGTCCCAGGAGCAGTCAGAATGTTCAGAGTAAACAAGCAGATCCTCTTGCATGCCCCAGTTCTCAATAGCATTGTCCTATTTCAGATTAGTTTTTTTCCTCAAACTTAGAATACCATTAGCTCTCTGTATTGATCAGTCTGCAAGAAGTTTGGATCACGAGCAAGCACCCAAGCCTGTTCGACTGTAATAAACCAATATCGTTCGCAACCCATAACTAAATCAATAATTTAAGAGGACTTTTACGACCGACAACTCCTACCAACAGCGTAGTTATCATAATCAGTGTCCATCATTTTATAGTTGCCCTTGGAGGTGAACAATTTCGAGATCCAACTGGCAAAGGCAGACTCCAAATTGAACGTAACTGTCAACCAGTTTGGCTTGTCATCCTAAAATTAACGCTAGAAATTTAAGAAAACAGTGGGCAATTAACAATTTCTTGGACAGCTTGTCCGACACCTCCGGTGAGGTCTCTGACTCCATCGCGCTCGTAGATTTGAGTGTTGTTGACTTTCACAGAGAAGTCATCTCGATCTGAGTAGAGAGCTCTAACGCACTGAGCATCATCGTCTTGGAAGTAGTTTGGGTAGCGGGCGACTTCATTCCATTGCCCTTTATATCTTTTCGATACAATTTATATCTGCAAACTTTTCGAAACTCACCGTTCAATATCAAAGTCTGCAATAACCGGCGCTTCGACGCATTTCTTCCCCCAGTACCAGATCTGTTTTGCTTCTGTAAAAGCGAAAATTCCGAAAAATGCGAAAAGTTTCATTTTTGCTCAGTCACGAGTTTTATGGAAAAAATCGTAAAGAAATCGGGCTTTATGAAGAGCGTTGTTCCGCGTTTGCGTTTTGATGGGGGTCATCGAGGGGAGAGAGGCGATTTTCTGGCAGTTAGACTTTCTGGCAGTTAGACTTTCTGGCAAAGGCGATTTTCTGGCACTGCCAGAAAATCTAATATGCCAGAAAATCTAATTTCCAGAAAATCGCCTCTTTTGATTTTTAATCTACAGTTGGTGATCCTGGAAGGTTAAAAAACGGAGAGGGTTTTCGACAGTACCACCAATTTTTTCTTACATGTTTTATGAAAATTCATTGACAAAAGCCACTTTTGACCCACTTATTCAAGATTATTGGCTGTAGCAAACATAAATCAGCTTTCTTCCGGGAATTTTCGTGTTAAGCCGTTAACAGGGTGACGATTTTGCCTACGCTTTTGCCTGTCTGTGATTGAGTGAAATCATGGATCCGGGCATACGATTGGCTACTCATTTCCACGGTGTTAACAGGTTAATCACCCGGTGTTATTTGCATCTGATTTTGAGTACTTGGTCACAGTGGGCAACCGCTGAGATAATGGCGCACGCTCATGCTTTTTGAAAATGAACTTTTTATATAACTCTCCTGAAAATTCTTCCTGAGAAGGTGGTGGAATCGGTGTCATTTTCAATATTTTTTCTATACGATTTTTCTTCCTTATCATTCTCCATTTTCTCAAAAAAAATCAAAACCTAACTTTTCAGCTGCCTGTGAACCCGTTTGTCACTCCGAAAACAGCTAGAACGAACTACCCTCATTCTATTTTTAGCGCAGAAATTTCAATTCCTAATTCGTAGTCTTTTTCAGCGCCCTGAATAGTCGGCTTTTAGATCAAACGCTCCCGTCGAAAGGTGCAAACTCCTGCTGAAACTGCTCCGAAATGAAATTTGTGTGATAATCACCAGTTTTTCGAATATATAAAATGATTTTATTAAAAAGAGTTTCTTGCAGAATTTCAAATAATATCCATCCTATAAAGGCGATTTCACCACCTGAGGAAGAATTTTCTGGAGAGTTTTATAACAAGTTCAGTTTCAAAAAGCATTAGCGTGCGCCATTATCTCAGTGGGTGCCCACTGTGACCAAGTACTCGAAATCAGATGCAAATAACACCTGGTGATTAACACAAAAATTCCCGGAAGAAGCTGATTTATGTTTGCTACAGCCAATAATCTTAAATAATTGGGTCAAAAGTTGCTTTTGTCAATGAATTTAAAAAAAAAACGTGTAAGAAAAAATTGGTGGTACTGTCGAAAACCCTCTCCGTTTTTTTACCTTCCAGGATCATTAACTGTAGATTCAAAATCAAAAGAGGCGATTTTCTGGCAGTTAGACTTTCTGGCAGTTAGACTTTCTGGCAAAGGCGATTTTCTGGCAGTTAGATTTTCTGGCAGTGCCAGAAAATCGCCTTTGCCAGAAAGTCTAACTGCCAGAAAATCTAACTGCCAGAAAATCGCCTCTCTCCATCGAGGGTCGTTATAATTGATGTTGAAGACTTTCTGTGACCACTCAACTTATGAAGGGATACAAGGGTGGCTTGCGTTTTGCTTTATTTTGAAATGTTCAAGTTTGCAGTAAAAGAATTTATTCAAACATCTCCCCAGTCGAACTGAGTGTTGATGTCCCAAGAGCAGTCGGAATGATCTGAGTAAACAAGAAGATCTTCTTGTACTCCCCAGTTTTCAACAGCATCGTCCTAATTTTGCGTAAGTTCATTTTCTCCTGTAAGTTATCTTACCATCAATTCTCTGAATTGATCTGTCTGTGGGAAGTTAGGATCGCGAGCGAGAAACCAAGCTTGTTCAACGGTAATAAACCAGTATCGTTGGCAACTGAGCACTGAAAAATTTATTGAAGGATGACTTTGTTAATGCTCAAAATCTCTTACCAACAGCGTAGTTATCATAATCAGTGCCCATCATTTTATAATTGCCCTTGGAAGTGAACAATCGCGAGATCCAGTTTGCAAATCCAGACTCCAAGTTAAACGTTACTGTTAACCAGTTCGGCTTGTCCTCCTAAAATAACCGTTAAAATTATATGCGAGGATGGAAGAATTACAATCTCTTGGATGGCTTGGCCAAAAGCTCCGTTTGCTTCTCGAACTCCATCTCGTTCAATGATTTGGGTGTTGTTCACTTTCACTGAGATTTCATCTCGATCCGTGTACGTAGCTCGGTTGCACTGACCCTCTTCGTCTTGGAAGTTGTTTGGGTAGCGGGCTACTTCATTCCACTGTCCCTTGTATCTTCACAAGATCTTTAATACCTCTTCATACTTTTCTACGTTTACCTTTCAATATCAAAGTCAGCAATAACCGGCGCTTCGACGCATTTCTTCCCCCAGGACCAAATCTGCTTCGCCTCTGTAAAAGCTAATATTCCGGAAAAAGCGAAAAGTTTCATTTTTGTCCGATCAATTTTTTATGAGAAAATCGTAACAAAATCGGGCTTTATGAAAAGCGCTGTTGCGCAAACTGGGGGTCATCGAGGGTCTTATTCATTGAAAGCTAGAATTTGCGGTCGCCCAAGAGTGGATGAGTCAAAGCACTACAAACTGGAGTGCCTCCAAGCTCTTTTTAGGCTTGACCGAGTTTTATATGAACTGTAAAGCGAAGATTGCGTCTTGATCTGTTATCAGGGCTCATAACCTCGTTTCCAGGGTCATTCAAGCGATAACAAAAGCTGCTTTCGATTACTTTTACTGGTTAGCTTCGAAATCTTCCCAATTATCCTCGTAAAACGAGCTTTGTTCTGTCAAATTATCTCTTATTTTCGTTGACATAACAAGATTTCTCGAGTAAGAATAAATGCTACAGAAAAGTACTGAATCCAGATCCATAGTCTTATCGTGTTAGATGAATAGAAGGGCGTTGTTCTTAAAACAGGAAATGAACAAAAATATTCTGATCAAAGAAATATGAAAGAATTGAATTTTTGAATAATGTTTGTATTGAACTTTTTGGAAAAAATATGAACAGTTGGGAAAAAGCAATAAAATTAGAACATGGCAAGCATGTCAGAAAGAGAAAGTCGTTTAGCAGGAGTAGGGTGGAAGATTTGGTCGAAAATCGATCGCATTTCTTTTCGAAGATGTTTTTCAGCAATGAAGTTTCGGATGACTCGGTTGTTCTCAAATTTCCATGTTCCGGTGAGCAAAACGTAGAGAAGAGCTCCTAGCGCCCAGGAGTCAGCTGATTCGGTTGAAGAAACACCAGTAGTGAAGATTTCTGGTGCCCAGTAGTCGGGAGTTCCTCGAGGAGTGGAGGATTCGCTTGTCATAGAAGCGCAGCCGAAATCGATGATGAAGATTTGAAGAGTTTCAGGATCGATGAGGATGTTCTCGTCCTTGATATCACGGTGGGAGATGCCAACGGCTTTCATTTCGTCGACGGCTTCGACAACTTGTTTGAAGATGAAGAGAGCAGCTTCTTCGGAAAGAGCGCCGTGTTCGCGGACGAAATCGAAGAGGTCAGTGACGTTATCGACTTTTTCCATGACGAGGACGAAAGACGATTTTCGCTCGAAGAAGTCGATTGGCTGGACGACGGCTGCGGAAGCTTCGGCGGCTTTGAACTGGAAGTAGATTTCGGAAGGAACTTGACGACCGTCCATGGCGATGTATTCGGAGACGCAGGTCTTTGGAATTTGCTTGATGATGACAGCTTCGCCAGTTGAAATATCGAAACCAGAGTAGACGATGCCATTGGCGGATTTGATGATTTCTTCCTCGATGGTGAAGCTTTTCGAAAATCGTTTAGCATCGGCAGCGATGATTTCAGATTTGTTGAAAGTGAAAATTTCTTCTTCGGAAGTGTATCCGGATTCGATAGAGTGTTGAGACATTTTTAATCTTTTTGGCTTTTGTTTTGTTTTTGTGATAATTCTCACAGACAGGAGATTGCTTATATAGATGGGCAGAAAAGGGCGCCAGAGTCAACTGGTGGCAATCAGGTCAACCCAGGTGAACAATCAGGTCAAAGCGCCTATTCCGCGAAGGGAAACTGATGACCAGCTGACATTATTTCAGGCTTTCGCTCGCGGCGCAACCACTTTGAAAGTTACGGCTTCTCTTTGGTCTTTGTGGGTAAGTATTGTTAATAAGTACTTTTGACAAAACACGATAAACAACTTTGTAATACACAGAATGAAAATATTTTCGCAGGGAATATTTATTTATAAAAAGTTTAGTACTTATTTGAATTCTTCTTCTTTCTTTTATGCAAGAAAATGTGCTAAAAAGATGAGCAAAACAGAGGTGAAAATTCCGTTAGATCTAGCACTGTTTTCATCATCAGAATCTGTTGTTGTGCTCGCAATGGTGGAGGTTGTTGTTGAAGATGTAGCTGTTGTTTCCACACCAACAATCAGATCAGGACTGACAATGGACCATTCGGTACTGATTTTAATTCCGCTCAACTCAATGGTAACTGTATTTCCGGAAAAAGTCGAGCTGACAGGTTGACCATTGACCAAAACAGTTGTTAAGCGGCGTTCAACGCCAACAATGACGAGTTTTTCAATGTCAAGATCGTCTTCTTTACCCGCAACGCAGCGTTTTGTACAGAATGAAGTGAACTCACCATTGATAGGGTTGAAATTGAATTTCATGTAATTGTCTCCCTCTTCATTGAGTAATCCCACTCCATTGTCGCGGAAGATCGCCCCTTCTCTAAGCTCTGTTGGCTTGACCTTGTCCATGAAGTAAGTGATTGTAATTGGATTGAATCGTTGAGCAACAGTTGTTACCTCCGGAGTCTGAGAAGTGAGGAAAGTACCGCCTCGGGCGTAGAGAGGAATCGTCATCATGTCTGCCTGGATAAGTTTTGTCTTTCCTGAGCCAACGATTTCTTCGTAACTGTGGTAATCATACCAGGACGCGTTAGCGGGGAAGTAGACAGCTCGACTGACTGCATTTTCTTCCAGCACCGGGGCGATCATGAAGCCACGTCCCCAAAGAAATTGGTCCGAGCAGTCAGCTGCGTTCCTGTCAAAAGGGAATTCGGCCATCAACGATCGTACAGTTGTACTGCCAAACTGATTAGACTCGTACATAATAGTTATCAAACTTGGAATAAGGGAGTATCTGATAAGAAGTGCATTTCGCGTCGATTCGATCATGTCATCGTCAAAAGCGGTCGGATGCTGGTCAGCCCATCCAATTGCATTATGATTTCTCGAGTAAGGGTAAAAGGCTCCAAGCTGCTGCCATCGCTGACACAATTGTGGAGTTGTCTGGAGAAAAAATCCGCAAATATCAGCTCCAGTAAAAGCAAAACCAAAGAGCGAGTACTCAAGCATGCTGATGATACTCCATTTCATCTGGGACCACGTACTTTGATTGTCGCCGAACCAGTGACCTGCAACACGGCCGGTACCGGCAAACTGCGATCTGGTCAGAATAAAGCTTCGTCTATCGGGGTACAATGCTTTTAAAGTTTTATCCGTCACCAGATTCATCGAATGGCCGTAAAGTGAATGCACATCATAGTGTTTTCCCCAAGCCTGAACTCCATCCATACAAAGTGTCCCCGCAAAAAGACCTTTTTCTGCACCAAGAATGTTAGGAATGAAAGGCGGGTTGCTCCATTTATCCAGGCATTGTTGAGGAGGATCATCTCGGGCATTGTTGAAATTGCTTGGTTCATTCATGTCAATCCAGAGAGCAGCAAAATTGACACCTTCATCATCAAGAAATCTTCGGCATTCATCAGTCCACCACGGCTCAGTTTTGTTTATATCCGTGAAATCAGGGAAAAGAGTCAAACCAGGCCAGACTCTAGCTTGAGCAGGAGTTCCGTCAGGATTTCTTATCCAGACATCAGCCGCTTTGGCTCTTGCGTAAGATGGATACTCGGCCTCAGTGTACTCTTTCTTCGTATCAGGGTTAATATTCGCAATTGCAGGATCAAGAATAAGGATGAAGTGCATGTTGTGATCTTCCAAAAGTTCTTTTGCGAAATCAGCTAGTCCGCTAAATTTATCCGGATCGATGGTGAAGTCTTTCTTTCCATCCATGTAGTCAATGTCAGCATATTGGGCCTCAAGTGGGATTTTAGCAGCGATCATTTCATTGACAACTTTTTTCATTTCATCGACAGAGTTGTATCCCCACCGACTGAGATGAAATCCTAGAGACCATTGGGGAGGCAAAAATGGCTTTCCTACGATTTGAGATGTGTAAACTTGAACGAGTTCTTCAGCAGAATCAGCCACAACGATCGAAATGTCAAAAATGCCTCCAGTTGAGCGCCAGGTAATCGCCGGTTTCGGAGAGAACTGGGCCTCCTGAGCGTTCGAGTTGTGAAAGTAAACCCCAAAGAAGGAATTGCCCTCGCCGCACATGAAAAATGGCTGAGCGCCGTAGAGGTTCTTTTCGCCAAACGTCAAAGCATTATCTCGAGTAAACATCGGCCATCGATACCAATTAAGACTGTGTCTAAATCGTCGGTGATTATGTTCACCGAGACCGTAGCAATTGGAGGATCCGAGAGCGAAGCTGGTCTCCAAATATTGATCTTCAAAGATCAACGGGCCATGAGAAGAGTCGATTAAATCTTGTCCATCTCGAGAAATTTTAAAGAAAAATCGGTCGTTGACATGTCCGTATTCAACAGAATAATCAGATTCAGATGTAGTGCCCTCAAATGGGAGTTGATGAATTTCAGCTTCATCTGGGATTTCGAATCGACCCTCGGCGGAAATCTTCATTCGGAAAGCGTTTTTCGACAGCTTTACCATAGTGACTTGGGGATTTGTAACAGGTTCCGAGAATTTGCTGATAGAATTGAGCTCAGCAGGTCTGTTGAGTGAAAAGGACTCGCTGGGGCTAGTCAAAGCTCCGAATTTCGAAGATATGTATCCGTGGTTAATTATCGAAGAATTATGAAAACACGAAGGAGCATCGGGTGTTGATGGTAATTCTGACCAAGTGCATCCTCTTTCGGCACATTCATCTGGACCAATGTCTTTTTGGCCTGGAGTACAGTCAACTCGATCGTTGACATCTCCGACCACTATGCTGATATCAAACTGTTGGATTATGCTCAGTTTGACGAATCCATCCTTGATGACCAGTCTTTTTGATTCTTTTTGTTCCCATGCTTCTTTTTCTAGCGCTTTACCGTTAATGAAGACATCGCTGACTGTACCATCAAGACCGTTGATTTGAAAATGAGTGAACTCAAGTGGATGCTTGGTTCCATATTCTTCGTGAATCTCTGTGTCGATTCCTCCCATCTTGACAGATGATTGGAGCTGATTATGGTGGAAGTCGAATTCAACAAGAGTGTACTCACCCTTTTTGAGTGGATCGATATAATTGCCTGAATCCCTGTAGAAATCGCCAGTAGCTTTTCCATCTTCGTCAATGTTAACTTTGAGGCCGAGTGCGTTCACTCGCGAGTAATCTTCAATTGTTTCTATTTTATTTTCATGCTTCTTTATCTGGCTCAACGATCCGTATGCCGCAACAGCTAGAAGGCTGCTGGACAACCTCATGCTGATTTAAAAAAATCGAAATTCAATTGTGTTTCTAATGAGCAGATACGCCAGTGAAGCAAAGTTTTTATCAGCACCGTACAAGTTAGCAAATATAAGCAGATGTCGTTTGTTTTTCAATGGATTAACGATGTTTATTTATTGTTACATTTCAATAACGGCTTTCATTATCAAATTCAGGAAACTTGCAAAAACTCTTCCTTGATTTCATCTATACTCAAAGATTGAGTGTATCAAGTTCATGGTAATGAAATATTCTAGAATTAAGCTATGATCATCTTTGATTATTTATTGCTTCTCTGTATCATTGATACAGTATCATGTCATCTACTGAACCAAGCACTCGAAAATCGCGACTAGAGAAAAAGAAAGAAAGCAAGCGCGATCTGGCAGATCGACTTCTAAAATACGCGGTTTTGCCAAACGACGATTGGAGTAGATCTCCAGATGGAAGGATGACCCACCGATCCGTTTCTCACAATTCTCTTGATCGGAGCCAGTCTAGTCGAAGATCGTTTTCAGCATCTGTTTCTCAAGAAAGTGATCAAAGATGGCAAAGACAAAGCTTACCTAAAACCCCAAAACGAGTCGAGTCTCTTAGGAATTGATCTTACCGTCTTGTTTATATATCATTCCTACAGATAGAAGAACAGTAAGATCATCGTTTAGCACTATTCGTCAGCCTCGGCCTTCAGGCGGGACAAGTCCAGATTTAGAGGCGCCAGAATACGAATACGTAGACGGAACCAAGCCCAAAGAAAAAACAACCGGTGGCGGAGGAGGCGGGGTAAATGGCTCAATCGTTGCGATTAACGCGCAGCCAAGAGCAGCAATCGTGTTTGGCATCAATAATTTCCTTATCCTGGTCAGTTTGACATGGCATCCCATGTTGTTTAAATCGAAATCTGTTTCATTTAGATCGCTCTTATCGTTGGTTTCTCAATTATTGGCACGCAGGTGAATACGATAAAGAACTTCCTTATGTAAGCAATTAGATAATTTATAAATTTAACGATAATTAATAAGACCCGAAAATGGAAATGTAACGAATCCGCTTGAAATTCCACCTCGTTTAGGAAAGGTTCACAGAATAAAATAACAATTGTTTTTTCGACAATATGAGCCGAGAAAAGCTATCCAGCTCCGGGAATGTTCGATTCCAAAGCACGCCGATCCAGTCGTTTCTTATTGGTACAGAAAACCGGGAGAGACATCCGACTCGCAGCATTTATCAAATGGAGGGCGCTTGGAGAAATCCCTGAACATCACAGAAACGAGGAAGAAGAGTTCAGGTCAAGATCGACTGTGGGTAAGTCAAGACGGGCGAATTTTCGGCGGCGATCCTGCGGAAATCGAAGACTACCCCTGGCAAGTGTCGATGCATAGTGCGGCGACGGGACACCAGTGTGGCGCCTCATTAATTACCACCAGATGGCTCCTGACCGCGGCACACTGCCGCAAAGCTTCCGATGATCCAGCCGACTGGAAGGCTTTTTTCGGAATCAAATACCAGCCTAGCGTGGAAAGTTGCGCAAGTACCAATTCTTGCGTCTTGGGCCAAGCTACTGTTGAAAAATTTTGCCTGTAATTAAAATGGTTTTTAATTTTCAATCGTAAAAAGGTGGACACTGGAGAGCAATAAATGCGATTGTCTACAAACATCCTCAGTGGAATGAGGATACGTACCAAAACGACATCGCTCTGATGAGAATGACTCAAGATGTCCAGTGGACAGACAAGATCATGCCAATCTGTATCGGATCTGCTTTTACTTCAGAAATAACTGGTGGAAGGAAAGAGTTCTGAAAGTCCATTATTGTCATTGATGTCTGTTTTTCGTAGACATTTGGCTTTGAAGACTTCAGCATTAATCAAAACTTCTGAAAAGTCGCGTCCATGTTTCTGGTTTTGGAGACACTCAGGCAAGGTGTGTTTTCGAGACGAGGAACATTGAGAGATCAACCGCAGAGATGATAATATTTAGTTTCTAAATCGCGGCCCGTACTGTTTGGAAGTAATCGGATCCAACTCCAAAACACGCCAACTTCAGAATCGAGACACTGACAATGGGGAGGAGTTCCAAAGCTCTCAAGTACTCAATTCGGTAGAAGTCGAATATATCGCGCAGGACACATGCCAGGAAGGGGAATTTCATGATGGCTTTCTGAAATTATGTCGCTTTCGAATAAATCTACCTAAAGGAATGATAAAAAATCGAAATCCCTTGCGTTTCAGGACTGGTATGGCGAGGATCACACAATGCTGGATGATCAGCTCTGCGCTGGGCTGGAGTCAGGCGGCAAAGGAAGGTGCTCCCGCATCTGCCATTTTCGTTGACGCGGAGGAAAATTCTTCTGTCGAAAGTACTCGCCCGGGCGCATTCTTTTTCTACGTCAAGGCATTCGTGAGAGTTCTAGAGCAAAAACAATTCAATTGATTGCTTTTTAACGAGCTTATTAGAACCTAGTTTTCTTCATTCTTCATCGTCATATTATTGCACAATAGTCAATAGAAAACTATTTTCCACAATATATTTTTTTATAAAAAGGGCCACCTCAGTCTGAGGCTAAGTGAGAGGCTTTGTGCGGTGGCGGATTGAAAGGGAGCATTTTTTAGATTCCTGTGTTGCGGATTCCGGCGGCCCTTTAGTCTCAGCTAAGCAGATTAATGGAGACGTCGTCTGGTTCCAGCTCGGAATTGGTAAACACTTTTTAGAACTCCCTTTAAAATTTATTGTATAAAATTCAGTGAGCTTTGGATACAAATGCGGCGTGGCCAAGGAAAAGTTCATAAAAATACTTTATTTAACCTGTTCCCTCTGATTGAGCAATTTGGGCCCAATTTGCGATGGGAGGATAATTAGTCTCGATTAAGGCTATAACCTCTCTTTTGGCCTCTCTGGAAAACGGACTTCCCTTGGTCGATTTCAAAAATATAAAAGACAAATATACTTGTTTTCTCCTAAAAAATTCAAAAATGATATCAAAAAATACTTTTCGTCCGTAAATTTTTACTCTAGAATCATTCAAAAATCGCCATTCGGTTTTCCAAGAAAACTGGAAGCTCTGAGGTAAAATTAATCCGATAATAATATTAAATAGGGACAACTCTATGATCCCTATGGAAAAAATATCAAGAAATTGCCTAAATTATGATTATAGTTCTCTCTTCTTTTAAATCTCTTTTGTTTATAGACGAACGCTTGAGATCCACGCGGCCAATCAGAGCGCGATGAATCGCTTGACTCACACGCTCGCCAACAGCGCTCTCTTTTTGGCCTGGAGGATAGCACTCCGCGCAGCGCGTCCACGCGCATTTTTATCCTCAGGTGCCTGCACTAACATGGCGCTAGAATGAAAAATTGAATAGATATCGAAGATTTTTTCCATAGGGATTGTAGAGAAGGCTTTAATCTATTAATTGATCGAAAAAAATCTACCTCTGTAATGGTAAAATTCTTCGGAAAACCGAATGGCGTTTTTTAAATGATTATAAAGCCAAAATTTCAAAAGAAAAAATAATTTTTGATCGAATTTCTGAAATCTACGATAGATTTTGAGTATATGAGCCTTTTTAATTTTTGAAATCGACCAAGGGAAGTCCGTTTTCCAGAGAGGCCAAAAGAGAGGTTATAGCCTTAACCCGATTGAACCATAATCAAATCTTCTGAAAAAAAATTGTTTTGTGAACTTGAAAAAACAGGAGCCGGGAATATACGCCAGTACGAGTTACTTCGCCGACTGGATTGCTAAAGGAAGGATTTACATTTTTTACTGAATTCAATCCGTTTTTGGTCTAATTATAAACAGCCTCGGAAGTCGGGAATTTGGATTGCACCTGATTTCCCATTTTAGTCAATTAGAAATGCACCTCCTAGAACTGCAGCAGTAACAATTCTTTTCCATTTCAAAAACCTGTAATCGAGCGTTAATGAGTTGAGAAACGAAAACTAACGTTTTTGAGTTTTTGAGAAAAGACTCAAACCTTTCCAAAAAACCATAATTGTAGCGTGCGCCAAAGTGGTTGGTCTTTTGAGTGGCGGTAAAGTGACCAGAAGTGATTATTTTCTACCTCATGTCTCTTCACTGATGACCCTGATGAGAATATTAGAACTCACGATATGATCGACCATTTGCTCGTTGCCCGTCAGATGACAAGGACACGGCGCAATTCGACCGAACCCCTCGCTTCTTGCACACTACCTCCTAAAAAAGGGGGAGTCCCTGGAAACTACTGAAAATCTCCGGCAGTGACATCACGTGGGGTCCATCCCGGAGACTTTGATTGACGATCGACATTGATGAACCCAAGATTGTTAAAAAAACTTATCGAAATCGAGCCCAAAACTACTGTCAATTTTCCAATCAGCTATCATTCCATGAGTTTTGGATCGAAAAGTTGACATTCTTGGGCTCGAATTCTGAAGTTTTAACTACAATCATGGCTCCTCAATGTAGATTTCTAGTGATGAGCCTTCAGTAGAATACAGTTTTTTCTGTTATGATTTTAGAAAAGTCTTTTTAAAAAAATTCTTTTCCTCATGTAAATCCTGAAACTCAGCAATCAGCCATTTCGAAGCGAACCACTAGAATCATGAATATTTTCCACTTTCTGCCACTTACTTTTGTGTACTTATTCGCTACTTATTATCGCGGAAATCGTAATAAATAAGGCACTCGGTCGCCAATTTGGAATTTTGGAAAGTTTTCAGACCGGAACACCGGTAGTTTTTATAGCGAACGCGCGGAAAAATGTAACACTTCGTAAAAAAACGATGATTTCTGGCAATAATCCGATAAAAATGCGCCTCAGATCCGGTTCAGTCCCGCATCGTTCGGTTCTTATAAAAGCAATCGTCGATTGTGACAAATTATTCATTTGAACTTTTTTCGAAAAAAAGGTTCAACAAACGAGAAAAATGAAGCTTTCACCATTGTTGGTGATTTCTTCAGCGTCGGCGCTAGAATGCTATACTTGTCAGACTTCAGATCCTTCCACGGTAAGTTAAAAATTTCACCGCTTAGTGAATGGATATTCCAGAGCGGCGGTTTTAGACTGAAACTAAGTTACTCTCAAATGCTTAGATAATCGAACAGCTAAGTTTGCAGGGTCAAATTTTACTTACTGACTTTCGAAGCCAAAGTCATATTTTTACAATTTTAGTGCACGCTTGAAAAATGCCCAAACGACGGCCAAGAATGGGCCTGCCAAAACGAAGTGCGTTCTCATTCTCGACATTACTTTGTCGCAAAGGGCTGTAAGCAGCGAATGGCGTGTATGAACAACTCAATTCAAAACGACCGAGCAGCGTGGATTCCGTCCCAATGCAACCCTCTCAACCCCTACAACTCCGTCTGCCGCTGCTGCTGCGATGATAGAGACGGGTGCAACAAGGAGGACATCTTTTGTCTGGAAGCGCCGAAATGTCCTGAACTGGAGAAGAGAAAGAATCTCGACATGGAATGCACAAAAATGAGGGAAATAGGATCAGAATGTTCCTTCGAGTGCTCTGGAGATGCCGAGCTCGTTGGAGCGACGAAGATTTCTTGCAATAATATGGGTAAGGCGGAAGTTCATCGAATGAACTTTTTACTCCTTACTCCTTTCTTTTTATTTGAAAACTTTCCTAGCTACCTGGGCTCCCGAGCAGCCAAAGTGCGTACCAAACTGTCCAACAATCGAATTCGAAGGAGGTAGCAAAGAATGCTCAAATGGTCGACGAAGCGGGTCAACGTGCAAATTCTCATGCCGAGAAGGGACACGATTAGTTGGTTCAAAGTCAACCACATGTGCGGCTGATGGTAGTTGGACTCGCGAAGCACCGACTTGTGAACCCATTTGTGATGAGCTGGAAGTAGCAAATGGCGATGTTCGTTGCTCGAATCGGAACTTTTTGGAGTCCATTTGTCAAATTTCCTGTGATGGGGATTTTGAGCGAAACGGTCCAGGAAAGGCGCTTGAAATTTTCGCTTGCATTTTATTCTCAACATTTTTCAACGCCAGAAAAAGCCACGCAAACGTGCAAACAAATCCGGGAATACACGGCTGACTGGGACGGTAACGGTGAAACTTCCTGTGAGGCTGTTTGCAAAGCCCTGACGGACATCCCCTACGGATCAACATCATGTTCAAACGAAAACAAACGCAACTCCGAGTGTTCATTTTCCTGCAATGATCGATTCCGCTTGCTAGGTTCTCCTATTATCACGTGTCAAAAAGACGGAAAAAGCTCCAATGGCCTCGATTGGTCCGGCCCGCTTCCAGTTTGTGAAGCGATTTGCGAAGCAATCCCTGTTCCTGAAAACGGCGAGAGTAGCTGCACAGACGGGCGCAATTTAGGCTCAACTTGTGCATTTTCATGCCCCGCTGGGACTCGATTAATCGGCGATAAGGCCTCAACCTGTACAGGATTCGGTGGCTTAGCTAATTGGACTACTCAAGCGCCACTTTGTGAACCAGTCTGCGACGATCTCACCTTGAAGAACGGCGAAATAAATTGCACCAACGACAATTTTCTGAATTCAAAGTGTTCATTATCCTGCGCCAAAAAATACGAACGCAACGGGCCAAGTTCTCAGACTTGCGTCGAGACCGGCCCCGCAAAAGCAGACTGGGACGGGGCATTAACGACCACTTGTCAGCCAATCTGTCAGCCATTGGTCGACATTGCAAACGGGGCCACAAGCTGCAACGATGGATCAAGGTACGTTCAAAGGGCCAGCATAAGATTCTCGACTAAAACTGACAATGTCTATGTAAAGTGATGATGGATCTATTGGAGTAAAAGTTTACTTGTCAAACGTGGCCAGACGTTGTTATTGTTAAACTTGCCATTGTTTTGATGTTTGACAAGAGCTACAACATCGAATTTCTGTGTTACTCTTTAACTTATTTGTGATTTTAGAATAAACTCAAAGTGCGAGTTCTCCTGTAACGAGCGATATCAGCTTCGTGGCTTTCCCTCTGTTACTTGCCAGCTTGATCGGACGATGGAAAATGGCCTCGGCTGGTCTGGCCCGATCCCTGGTTGTGAGCCGATTTGCCCAGAAGTGCCTAAGGTTGAAAATGCAGTGGTTGCTTGCGACAGTGCCACAGACATTGGCTCCATCTGTAAATACGTATGTAAGAGGGGCTTTGAACTAGTCGGCCGACCAACAACGACTTGTCTACTGGATGTCACCGACAGCACTGCTAACTGGGAGATAGGACTTCCACGATGTCAACGAACGTGTGATAAGCCAATTGAAATTGAAAACGGCGAGGTGTCTTGTCAGGATGCGGGTTTTGTGATCGATCTATTTAATTTTTCTTCCCTTGAAATTATGATTTATCGAAAGCGAAAATCTCTACTAGGGTTACGTAGATAGAAAGCTTTCCTTCTCCAATTCCTGGAAAAGATGAATTTTAGAAAGATCTTCAACCCTTGTTCCAGGAAAGCGGAATTTCAGCCGGCCAAGTCTGCCAATACTCCTGTAACTCTGGCTACGAGCTTCGAGGAGAACAATCGACAACGTGTACAGTCACTGACGGTGGCAGTAGCTGGACTAATGCTCCACCAAGTTGTGAGCCAGTTTGTGGAACACCGCCAGTGATAGAGGGAGCGACAAGAACATGTGATAACGGAGACAGGGCGACATACAGCGTTGATAGCAAATGTCAGTTTGAATGTGGCGCGATGTCGAGAATGGTTGGCGATGACAGTATTGTCTGCAAAAAGGCACGGAGTAACTGATTCTACTCTCATGATTTACTTATTCTCATCTAAGTGATCAAATCTGTTGACTTCGAATTAGGACTTCAACGGCCGAGCCTACTGGTCCGATTCTCGTCCAACTTGTATTCGTAAGTACCCGGATCATTCTTCTACGAAAAACAACTACGAATAGTCGTCTTGATTTTAACAAACTCGTAGCCACTTGCGCCCAGCGAACTATTCATACACCACCGATGGCTGTTGAATGCACCAGTGGACGTGACATCGGTTCCACATGTAGTTTCGCCTGTAACGAATTGACGACAATGGAAGGTGAAGCATCTGTCGACTGTATCGCTGATGAAATAAGCGGAGAGCCAGTTTGGTCGGATGAGTTTCCAAAATGCAAACGTAAGTTGAAAATTATCGTGTTCTAGCGACGTGTTTCCCTGTTGTTGTCTCATGAATTATTCAACGATTTCTAGCGCTCTGCCGCCAATTGCCCAAGACGGAAGCAAAACTAATTTCCTGCGATAATGGCAACAATGCCGGTTCAATTTGCACGGCCGAGTGTGCTGACTTGGGTTACCAACTGGCCGGAAACGAGGCGGTCACGTGTTCCACAAGCAAAGTCAAAGTTGATATGGAGAAGGTGTTGTTGAGTAATGAGTCGAACAGGAAGAGTTTCAATGTGGAAGTTGAAGCATTCGAAGAAGTTGCCGAGTGGGATGGACTTCTCGGTGTTTGCGAAAGTACAATTTTGTTACGAAACTCAACTTCTAATTATGTTTTAGGGACTCTCTGCCCTACTTTGGTGATGATCGAAAACGGGCAAGTAGCATGCACGGGGAGCAAATACGAAGACACATGTGACTTTAAATGCAACGACGGCTACAGGTAACATCCGGCGCGAGATGCGTCTTCTATCTTCCTCAAAATTTCAACATTTCAAACATTCCTTTCAGTCTTGACGGGCCCGCCACGGTCACGTGCTTATCGGGAAGTCGCTGGTCATCGACTGTCCCGCGCTGTTTACCCATTCCCGAGGAGGAACTCGCTGATTGCCCGATTTTGAAGACTAATCCTATTGTGCAAGCCGAATGCACGCAAGGCAACAAGGAGAGGGTCTATTTTTAGCATAACTATCGCCAAGTTGATTTCACAGAAATTTATGAAAGCAAAAATAAACCCTTGAAAACAGGTTGGCTCATTTTGCGCCTTCTCCTGTCCGACCGGTTACAAACTGATCGGATCAACTTCGACCGAATGTCTTGATTCGGCTTCGTGGAGCGAAGAAGAACTGCCCGACTGCAAGGTGGGAATTTGCGCTTTGCGAGAGCACTGTCATTAATTTGAACCGCGTTTCTAGGTGCGCATCATGATCTCGAGATGGATTTCGAATTTGGCGTTAGAGTACCAACCCAACTGGCGCTCCGCGGTTGAAATAAGCGTCATTCCACGAAATAGAGATGGAAAAGACGACGTGATCGACGAGGTCGTTTGTGAATTAATGCAGTGCCAGAATATTGAAGAATTCTTCGCATGGATTGAGGAGAATGGATATCAACTCAGTGAGGCCGAGAGAGAAGATGTTGAATTTTGCTGCGATGTTCCAGTTGAAGAATAATCTTTGAATAATATGAAGATGTAAAATTTTGTCTTGCTGGTTTTCCCAATAAATATGAGCTTTTCATAAGTTTAAAGATTTACTTGCTGTTTGTTTTCTGACTAGAGCAGTATTTGCTCATGTAGGCAGTAATTCAAATTAAAAAGTGTGATAGGAAACGTGAGAGAACTAAACTTGCCGGGTTTATTTATGCTAATTTTAATGCAAGAGTAATAATTAGAGAAAACTTTATTATCGATAATTAAGAATCGATCCATGCCATATTCTTACAATCGCTACTCCTCGGACTCGTATAGAGCGAGTTGCGCCTCTTTATATGGCGTGAAAGATATCCTCGGTGGTAGGACACCTTCTAACGATCCGTCAGCCGATAGGAGTAGGCCATCTTACAGTTTTTCTTCTGATTTGGAGAGGACAAAATCGGAGGCATTTCGCCCAGCGACAAGATATACCGATAGTTTGAGGTGAAGAAGTCCCTTTTGACAGAGTTGAATAAGATCTTATAGGGACCTGGATAGTCAGCTGAAATCGCTCAAGTTATCTTCGTCGACCCCATCTAACACATCAACGTCGAGCTCCCACTATCTGCGTCGTCCGGCCACGGGCCTTTACAATCGGTACACAAGCAGCACTTGTGTGACCAATACTTTACCGAGCATTTCTCCGTCCAGGGAAACCTACAACAGCTCGAAATATGGAACACCGACATCTTCTCAATCGCGTTACGATATCAGCTCTAGTCAGTCGATATTAATCCCTCCCGGTAGAGAAGCTCAAAAATCTCCAGCTGAAGAAGAATTGAACTGTGCCAAAAGAGCAAATGAAATTTTAAAATCTGAGAATCAACAATTGAAATTTGAATTAAGAAAAGTGAAGGCTGAAAATAAGAAATTGATCAATATTAAGCAAGACTTTGAGGGAAAATTTGGTAATTAAACGTTCAATTTTTTTAAGAAATGATTTTTATTCAGAGTGCCGTATATGTTTTGAGATTTACGATACAGAGGAGCATTTTCAAGCAACTCTCAAATGTGGCCATGCGTTTGGGGAGAACTGCATTCGAGCTTATTTACAGAGTGTGAACCGCTGTGCCCTCTGCAATCAAGCCGCCAATATTCACGATTTACGCCGCGTTTACTAAATGATTTTAACAAAAATATGCTCTCGCGAAAAAATTATATTCGAATATTTCTAATGCATGAGTTGTTGAGTTAACCGGTGCGCGTAAATCAAGCCGCAAATGAGCAGATCTTCACCCGGGAGTCAATTAGCCCATGAATCAGAGTCTTTGGAAAAACGGGCGGGCAGCGTAAGGGCTAATTATTTACTTCACACGTTTTCGCGAAGGACGCGAATTATTATCGCATTAGGCTTGTGACACCTGAGGCCCGATATTTATCCTAATACATTTTCGAAACAGAGCCTTGTTATCCTTTTCGTTGACGAGAACTGCTAAGTACGGGTTTGTAAACTTTTGGCTTGATCACTCGGAAGTTGCAAAATAAATCGTCGGTGGCACGTTTTGGCGGTTTTGATTCAAAGATTCAGAGACTCACTCTGCGGCCGGGGCTTGTTGACTTGGCGCGCCCGCCAGATGCATCGATCCTGTCAATTCAACTACTATCAGAGGCGACTCTCGATTCCCAATTGTATACGAGAGATAAAAGCATGGGAGCTTGCTTTTTTGGAATTTAGAAAAATCGTCATTTTCTCAAAAAAAAAAATAGCGCGAAAATCATCAGTTTTTTCTACTCGAAAAGTTATTTTATACTGTCGTTCTAGTTATACTCTTCTTTGCATATTTGTGGAGCTGGCTGGAATTTTTTATTGCGTGGTTAAATTGTGGAGTCTCGCGGTGCTGGGTTTAATCGATTCTGCGGCCGGGCCCGAACCCGTGTCGGACAAAGAAGTGGAGGAATTTCAAAGTTCTAGTGTCAGGATACCTCTGCGGCCGGCCTCCTTCTTATCTTATGTATCCAAAAGTGTCTTTCGGCGAAGTGCATCTCACAGAAGGAAAGAGTGGCGAACTGGAATGTCGCAGTCAACAAAACCCGCAAGAATTGGTCAACGAGTTTTTTCGCGTGAACTCGATCTTTTTTGTGTAACTCAAATAAAACTCAAATAACCATTATTCAGGTGAACACTAGAATTTCGAGCAGTGAGTCTGCGATTCAAAAAATAGCTGTTAAGAAAATTGCTGAGAAAATAGTTTCTCGACCAGTTGTAGGAACCTGCCGCTGCAGATGTCTCGCTGGATCATCCGATAATGACAGAAAAGCTTTTTTCTTCACGAAAGCGGCTCTCCATGCAAATTGCTAATGCAAAAACGAAGCCAAGTGTAATTTGTACTTTTTTCATTGAGTCATTTTTTCAAAATAGCGTATTTGATTTCGCTTTCGATTCATTTTTTTCATCCTTCAAGGAGTTTTTTCGCGTAGTTTCCAAGGGTGAGGCCATCAAATTTTTTCATAAAAGACACTTGAAGATACAGTATGTTAAATATCGACTGCTACACTTGTATAAGACTTACACAATGATTTCACACGACCGTTTGACTCCCTAAAGCATCATATACAAGCATGAAATAAAAGTACTCACGATTGATAATGATGCCTAGCTCCACTTCCATCAGCGATCGAATATAAAAAGAGAAGAGGGACGAAAATATTCATTTTAAAACTTCTTGCCTATTTGTCCTCAAAGAGAATTCCACACTTTCTTTTAAACATGAACTTATTTAAAATTCATTGGATTGAATCGAGCATCCGATTGGGAGCAAGACATCGAAAACAGATGTCTATGCCCATATAATATGGGCCATATTCTTTGATAAGAAGTAAATTAAATATCGACCTACTAGTAGTGAAAAGTAGTGGTATCACAAAATAGAAGAAACATTTTATTATAAATAACAGCATTAGTATTAAGACATTAATTTGAGTGAAGGACGAAAATTGAAACAGGGCTAGAAGAAAGATATTTTTAGCCTTGAAGGAGTTTTTTTGCATAGTTCCCGAAAGACATCTCATCAATTTTTTGAATAAACGAAACTAAGGCATTACTATTTTTGTTTGAAATTTGCCATATAAATTTGACATCAATAACTTACGCAGTGATTTCACGCGGCCAGACTCCCTGAAATTCTTTGATAAACTCTTAAAAAATTTAAGTATTTACGATTCAAAATGATGTCTAGCTCCGCTTCCATCAGTTGCTGAAAGAAAAGCCAAAAAAGTGATCGAAAGCTTCATTTAGTCGGTTTTAGTAGTGAAAAAAAACCATACATTGAATCGGAATCCACTTGCTTTTGATTCTTATCATTTATTTCTTTTATTCTTTTTTCAGAAAAAGTTTCAATTTAAAATTTCAGTCTTGAAAAATGTTTTTAGCATAATTTCCCAGAGTTAGGCCATCAAATTTGCTCATGAACGAAACTAAAACACAGTCATTTTGTATATCAATGACGACTTACGCAAGGATTTGAAGCGACCATTTTTAGCCTCTCTAAAATATTATAATTAATATTTATACACAATGAAATTTTACGAATGGAAATGATCTCTATTTCCGTCTCCAGCAACGAAAGCAAAGAGGAAAATAATGAAAGAATATTTCATCTTTAAAAACTCTGAAAAATGCCGAAAAACTTAAGCCAAAGTTAGAAAATGATTCTATTTATACACTTTTAGTAATTACAAATTCATGGAAATTGAAACAAGCTGCCAATAGACATGTCGATTAAAAGGCAAGATAGCATTCTTTCCTACTAAGTGGCGGACAAATTAAGTACCTAATAAGACAAAAAATAAGGCGACGGAGCAGCGAAATGGAAATGAGTTTTGAACTTTCTCGCCAATAATCGCCTTTCTGTACAAAATTCCAGAGCTGCGGCTCTTTAGTGTGAAGCAATCCAGGTGCTTCTAATTCTGAGTTGTTGGCGAGCTACTATCTGCGTTACTACCTTGTTTCTGCGGTTGTTAAAACTTCGGCACGGGCTCCAACTCTCTCTTATCGCCTCGTTTCATCAAGGCTCGAAAAACACGTGAACGGTTCATGCTTTTTTTTTGTTCAAAGGTTGTGCTCTTCTCTGCAGTCATTAATTTTCAGAAAATATTTTTTGGGAAAATTTTTATTAAAATCAAAAAGCATTTTTTGCAAATATTGATTGTTTGCGATCAGATGCAGACGAAAAAATATCAGAAAAATTCACTGAAATCTTGGAAAAAAAAGAGCAGAAGAAGATGGAAGGTTGGGAGGTGCTTATGATTGTAATAGCAGTGATTGCATTTTTAGTTTGTAAGATCATTTTTTTAATGTTTATAATTAACATTTTTTCAGGTTTCAGTTATCTTCTAAAATGCTGTTGGAAATTAAAGAAAATCAGAACTTCGTCTTCAAATGGTTCAGAAAGTCCAGTTGCCGATGCAGAAGCCAGGCCGAGTTCAAATTCTGCTGACAGTGATACTCGCCCGGAGCCAATAGCACCAAGTCAAATAGAAATCGATGCGCCCGAAGTTCCCGAAGGTAAACCATAGCTTCGAATTTATTCTTATGAAAGAAGTTTTTATTACTAAAAATATTCAAGAATCCGTCTCGAGGGGAAAAGAAGATTTACCTCCAAGTTACGATGATATTCTAAATGAGTGGTAAAATTCAATAAAAAATATTCAGTAATGCACTGTTGAATGAAATTGATAAAGTCTAAAAATGTAGAAAACAAGCAATTTGACTATCTTACATCTTTCTCGCGCCACAAATTGAAGTAGCAATAAAGTCTAAGTTTAACCACAACATGATTAACATGGTCGAAACTTGCATAGTATCGAAAAAATGGTAGCAATTTAAATGGTAGTTTCCAGTCTGTGGTGGCTTATCTCAGCGAGAACACGCAACCGTAGATTTTTCAGCGCTCGACAGATAAGAGACCCGTGAGTTGACCTCTAAGACCAAAATCCACGACTGATAAGGAGGTGATTAAGGTTCCAACCTTTTGGACCATCATCAGGCAAGTCCAAAGTGTTGACATAAACTTTTCTTAATGAAAACTTTTTCCTTAAAAATCGGTGATTTTAAGATACTATCATCATCATTGATCTAAAGTGAGCAATCTTTGGTCTAATTTTCGAGGTTTTGTCGACAATTTCGGACGTAAAAAGTCCTCAATCTTAGAGCTCTGACTGTACAAATGAGTTGTTTTGAAGCCAACAAAACCTCAAAACAAGGAATTCCGTGCAGCTATAAAAATTCTGTTCATGACATTTTACCGTCTGGAATTCTCCATCTCGACTTTAATTGCTGCTCAAATGTCGAGCAAGTTGGTGAACCCCCCAAGTGCGCACTGGAACGTCACTTATTCTGAAAAAAAGAGAGAAAGAGAGAAAAATGAAGGACAGGTGGCTCGATGCTTATTTTTCGATAGCTTTTTGGAAATTTTTGCTTTCAAGTTCGAGCATGGGCAACCACACTAAGCTGCTTTGCTCGTTTATTTTGGCCGCGTCCGGCCGCGACACACGACGCGATGACTTTATAGGTAACGTGTACGGCCTAAACAACAAACACCTTCTGTCTCTTTCTTTCTTTTCTAACTACTGAGTGTTGTGTTGAACAACAAGTCTCGTTCCTCCGAAAATAAATAAATTTGTTAATTGAACTTTTAATTTTGTCAATAATTCTCACTGATTAAGATTTTCCCTATTCGAGATTTTAAGAAACATCGTTACTTTAGGGAGGTCGACATTCTTAATTGAATTCTCAAGCATACTTTGCACAAAAGTCATTTTTATAAAAAAAAAAGATTATCGATTGCTATCCCCTTAAAACGCACGGAACTCTAAATTCGAGAGTTCCTGTCTTATCTTATATAAATTTCTGGCTCTAGCTAGCCACATGATCCGACCATAGAGCTTCCTTTGGGAAGGATTACTCGCTCCCCCCTCCCTCATCCCCTTCCCTTCTACCGATAAACAATTTATTCAGTGGACAAGGAGTACGTGGATACTGTCTGTGCAGAGAAGGGCGAAGGAAGTTCACAAAAGTCACAATCTGTTTCCGCCTTGAATTTTCAAATCATCAATCGGGAAAATCGTGAAGCCGACAAGTTAATGTCTAAAAGGGATTGAGTTCCTAATCAGCTTTAAATCCCCGGATGAGAAAGTCAACAAAAGAGCTGGCTTTTCAAACAAGATGAAGATTTTAATGAAAAATCGGATTTAACTCGTCGGCGCACGTGGTTCCCAAATTTTGAATTTAACCCGATGGCGTGTTGCGGAACAAGATTTGACTTTGTGAACAAGAAGAATAAGGTTCCTACGCGTATAGCGATTCCGGTAAGTTAAAACCCGCCACGTTGATTATTAACGAACTGATTATTTTTATACCGTAATTGATCGGCCTGCGTAACATCGGGATTTCGGTGATCTATTTATTGAAAATTTTCGAAACTCGAGAACTTAATTATTCTTCCTTCGTGGCTAGAATTTCTGGTTCATGGGACCCCAGGTTTCATTTTATTGACACTAATTTAGCCGGGGATTAATTTTGATGAACGAGGCTACTTTGAACACGAATTTTAAGAGTGGGACGCGAACGAATTGAAAAACTCATTTTTTTTCTCTTTTTTCGAGAGACCCTTAATCACTTTCCAGTAGCAGTTCAATAAAAGATCATTTTATACTTGTACAGGGAACAATTAAATAGAGCTGGTTCCCAGAATAAAACGATAAAAAAGCATGTCCGAAATTTCCTACTTTGGGAGATTAGAAAAAACCTTATCGCCATGTGTAATCTGGTCGTTATACGTTCAAAACCGTGTCCGCATGTGGGTGTTGTTCTAATTCGCGGGCTTGATAGCAGGGCTGAGCATGCTTCCGTATCGCAGTTTACTACATACTGGCTCCTCATCTAGTCGGAGGTGAGCCACAATGAGCCGAAAACGTGGCAAGATGGGAAAAGTTCAGATAAAATTGACGTCCTGAAATACTTGGCTTGTAATACCTGCTGCATTACAGAACGTACAAAATTTCATAAAACCTAAAGCAGCTTATCATTTTCCCGGATATTTCAACTCAATCCTCAATTGGTCGTATTGACCAATCAGGAGTCTGAATGAAAAGTTCGCTATAAAAAGAAGCGTCAGTAACTCTTGAAAAATGTTTAAAGTCGATGCGAATTAACCTGATCAGCATTTTTCGTACAAAAATAGATCTTGTCTTTTGGAAAGAAAAACATGTCGAGCATTATTATGTACGCCTGCTGCTTCAGTATTTATTATGCTGTAATTCCCTCAATTAGCTCCACGTGCTCCGCTCGGCGCTTGACCCATGTTGATAAATTTGCGGAGTGTTTGGATTAAAATTCGACTCGTATTTGAGCTTTGACATGCTGTTCTTGGTTAATTTTTTCAACCACCTGAATTTGAAGACGAATTTCTCAAGAATAAAGCGTCTCAAGATGGATGGACGCTGTCTTTTTGGCTGCCATTTAAAAGGACAAATAGCGGTATATTGGCGACCTTTTCAGTTGATGTTGTTTATTACAAGCAAAAACTATCCAGTTAGCCAAGTAGCGCTAAGTAACTCGATCGAGGGGACAAGAATCATTTCCGGTTCCTTCTATTAGATAATGCTTCTTACAGTCAGACGAAATATTAGTAAGTAAATGAAAACGATTCTAAAATATCTGAATTAAGTAAGCGAAAATTTCATGTCAAGTTGAAATTTCCTCAATCAGTTATCGTTTAATTTTACTGATGAAAGCACGATTTTAATGAACAATAATTTGATCCCCACATCTGGGAAAATCAAGCTCAAATTGTCGAGAATAATCCTCGGTCGAAAAAATTTCTCCTTGAAGCTGTTCCTCGCCCGTCGAATTAGTGTCAGAACGGGCAACTCTTCCGTGAAACCTTCATCTGTCATCTACTCTAATTTGGAGCTAGAATTTGCCCGAGATGAGTAATCAGCCAATCGAGTGGAAGTGCTGCGCTTCCACAAGTCAAGGTCGACCTCTAAAGGGCAAAAAACGCGCTGATGACAGCAGCAGCGGAAGGGCGGAAAAACCGAGCGGCTCAACCAAGCCCCACCGCAAACTCATAACGCGCGCCAACTTGATTTTATAATTTTTGCAGAAAATGGGCATTTACAATTCCGGCGAAAAAAAGAAGACGACCCGAGCGATCATCACCTTTTTTAACCATTGCGGGTGCAAATTATGCACCCCAAGAAATTTCACGCTAAGCTAGATCTGACGTTTTTACAGGGTAAACAAGGATGACCTCAGCTCGGAAATACGGCAGTTTGAATACCGGTATCGATACGTGTCAAAATGTAAAACGAAAAAATAGACTGGGGAATAATCTTTCGTTAGAATTTTGGTATTAAGAGTCTCGATGATCGGGTTGAACTTTTGCGCTTGGCCTAGCAGCAAAGGCCACCGACGAGGGAATGAAATTCTAACAGCGCTCGGCGATTCCGGCTCTTTCCTAACGTGGAACATCGTATCTTTAAAAGGCCAATCAAATTCAGACAGATCCATACAGTAGAAAAGAACCAGGGCATTTTGACGAATTCGAGGCATTCGTGTCGAACATGGCCAAATCCATGGCCTGCTTTTTCTGGAGAATCCTCAACGTTAATCGCCAAATTCCCGAAAAAATGTGATGAATGCGTTTAAAATTTCCAAAGAGATAAAATACCTGGCTGAGTGACGCTTCTGAAAGCACTCTGAACGTGGAACTAAGATAAGGTGAACCCCCCCCCTTATTATATCTTTTCAACAATAATAGGTTTCATTCCCACGTGATCCAGTTTTTTCGATTTTTCAAAGACCTTACTCTCTCAAAAAAATGATTTTAGAAGAAGCTTCCGTTTTTTCAAAGATCGCATAATTTTTCCATGAACATGCTTCTTCAAACAAGACGCGAAAAATCCCGATTTTCAACCGCGTTCTTCACTGATTTGTGATTTCTTGCCCTGAATCAAGATTTTTAAAAGGTTCATTTTTCTAGTTTGCGATCATTACATCCACTGCGAAAAGCCAGGAAGCGGTGCTGTTCCCCACGTGATGCCCTGCTCTCCTGGGACTGTTTGGAACTCGATCGAGGTAAGGGATTATAAAACGGAGCTCTTGGAGGACTTTGACAGACGAATCATGATGCATTTCCTGATCAGCCGTATCCACAACTGCTGTTTTGTCTCATGTCTATCACTTTGTCTGATAGACACGGAGTCTAACAAACAATACAAACGTGAGAAGGGTAGATCCTTACCTTCCGTCTTCAGGGATTTTGCGACCACGCGTACAACACTCCTCCTCCCTGTGGAACTCTGGAAACTGGCGAGCCAACTCATGAAGATTGCAAACAGGAATCAGGAATAACAAAATCATCCCTCCATTACACAAAATTAAAAAGAAACAAGCGCTTGAAGGGATAGAATTTCAGCAGTTCCAAGTGACTGCGTAATTTGATAATCTCCACTTGACAAAAACAAAAAAACTGCTTGTTGGTCAGCGGTCTAAGACTCTTAGAATTTGGCTTTTAAAAAGGGCCGTTCCATTCAGATTAGCTGCGGATAGTTTCGCCAGGAGCGTAAGAGCCTGAGCTTATGATCAATCTTCAATCAAGCGCATAATGTCGAGTGTGAAATCAAAGTAATCCTGACGGATAGGGCGATGGCGTTTATGCGCATCATCATAACTGCGAAGAATACTTTATCTGGTACGGGATTATGAGGACTAGAATCGGCTTAACCTTCAATTCGTCGTAGAATTAAAGTCATAATCCCGCGTCTTAAAGCTACATGGGCCAAAAGTACTTCGGAAAATGCCCAGGTACAGCAAAAATTGTCAAAATTGAAACTCATGAATGAACTTGAATAAGGTTTCAACGCTTTTCTCATAAATTAAATAAGGGTATCGCTACGTTAACTGCAGAATATATTCCTTCATTTTAGGGCTCTCTCCACAATTTGCCCATCTTTCAAAAATTACCCGAGGATGGTTTATTTTCACGTTTTTTCCGATAAGGCTCTCTGCCATTTCCAACACCTGAAGCTCGCTTATCGCACTGACCTGTAACCGAGGAGACTTTCGTATGTAGACAAAAGAACGTGAGCGGATTTTAATGACGCGGCCGCGTTTCTTCTCCTTGGAAGAGATCCTCATTTTAGAAACTTTCTCTTGCGTCATGTAAAAATTGCTTTGACGTCAGTATTATTTGATGGCGAGTAAATTCTAGCGGAAAGAGCGGTTGAAGATTTCCATTTCTTCTCCCGGGAACAGGGACGAAATTCAAAGATCAAGTCAGCTTATGCGCCACTTTTGCAATTGCTCAAAATCACGTTGCACTGTTGAACTTCGTTAAAGGAATATAATTCTGGTTTTCTGATTGGCCGGAGATTGATAGCGCCATCTAGAAACAGCGCCATGTGTGTTTATTACACCGTATTGTAAATACGGTAAACAGCCAAAAACAAAAATTTTGATAGATTGTCTTCGAAGATTTGATTGGCTTGCAAAGAAAATTAAGAGTTCTAATTGGCTGAAGCTTGATTGCTAGAAATTTTTGCATAGTCGACTGTTTCTTCGATGATTTTTTCGATTTTTCATAGAAAGTCTCTCATTTCTTCGAGATAAAGGGTTAATGGCTATAGTATCAAACATTGCTCTCTTAGCCCACCAGGTGGTGAAATGTATTTAAGCTGGGTTCGGATTTGATCAGGTGGGAAAAATGTGCTCGGATGATCTCTTCGTGACGTCTTACTACTGCAACCCCACAAAGGTAAGATTTAGCCCATTTAGCGGAGAAGGGTAAAGACGAATAGAAAAGATCAATAAAGGGATAAATTTGCTTGGCTCAAGTAACCAGCGTCTAACGTGCCGGCTTTAGAAGGTTTACGGAAACCCGGTCACCACCCAAGCGATGGCTTTCTGCGACGAAAAGGAAGACGGATATTATGTAAATCCAGGTGAGCGCAATTTTTAATCCAAAGATCAAAAAATTGAAAAAAAATCCTCAAAAGCAAAAAATCTCTCTAAATTCAAAATTTTCGAAAATATTAATACAAAAACAAAGATGAAAAACCGCACAAGTGACGTGCAAGAGGGCTCTTTATAAAAATTTTCCTTGAAGAAAAAAAGTTAGATAAGAAGAGCGAGTTGAAGAGCGTTTTCATTTCTTCATTATTTTTTGGAAAGTTGGAAGTCAAGAACTTCCGGAAGTAGAGAACAAAGGACCAACTCACGACTGGCTACTAATTGACAAGATCATTAGAAGCTACAGCCAGGGAGGAAGTTTAGAACACGCATGCCGGATTCTTTGATTTTTTTGGTTTTTAAAAATTTTTTCTCTTAGGTGTTTGCGGCCGATATATCAAGTGCTGGAGCCAAATCGGAAGTGAATTTGCCTGCGAATCTGCACAGAATTTACTTGACGAGACTCTCGTTTGGAATCCAAGAAATCGGTCAGAAAATCGAACTTGATGCTAATCGCGAATGCTAATGACTCAAGCAAGACAACTTTAGAAGGTTTCTAAATAAGAGCGAGTCCCTGGGAATGATGCTCGTGGAATGTTTCTTATTACTGGAGGAATTCCAATAGGAGCATCAATTCGAGCAATTTTCTCGCGGGGCAGGCGCATTTCTCAGCTTGTTTTAAATTCGAAGGCCGCGGCGATTTTCTTTGAAGTTTTAATTTTAAAAATTTCAATGAGTTGATTTAAAAATTCTGATCGATCAAAGTGAACAGACCTGCGATCATCCTGCTACTCTTGGTGATCAGGAACGGATAATTTCTCCAAAAGAAGTCTTTTTTAGAAATCGAGGTTCTAAAAACCATTTTATTCGGTGACATTTTCCGCTGTTTTTGACAGCAGATCTGTCCCTAGCTCAAAATGCAGAGGGGAGGTCTTGATGAAAAAGCTCTGGGTTCTTTCTTATTGTCTTCATGCTAATTTAACAGGCGTACTCATGTAAATTGTTACAGATAAAAAGGGGTTCCGGAGACAGTTGAAAATAAACAATGGCCGTTCCTTAGAAACACTTTCTTTCTCGGCTCATTTTCTAGGGCTCATTTACATAACCCTCCTAAGAAACATTGACTCATCAAGAAGAAGTTGAAGGATCGTTTAGTCCACGTCCGAATTGAACCACAATTGGCAGCTGTGCCGGAGCTGGTAATGCTCACCTTCTCGGGCGCCTTGCCCAGTCCTGGCGGTATAATTTTCTCCCTTCTCATTTTTGATGAATCGACTCCAATTTCTCGCCGGCCTCTTTTCTGATAACTTATCCAAATATTCTCAATTGACGACGTGGGGCACTAGAATTTCAAACCGCAAGTTTTGGGAGTTGTAATTTTATAAAATAAATATTAATCAAATTAGTACCTCCTAATTAAAGGGCCAATGATAATGCGTTTGGTGATCGGGAGACCCTTAATTAATGAAAGAGTGACATTAATTAAAAGTTAATGCTTTTAGTGTTTATTGTCATTTCTCGCGAATTGACACTCACTGAGTGTCACCTATTTAACGAAAATTTGACGATGATAAAAATGAAAGAGTACACGCATGGGGAAAGTGTTGATGCAAAAATAGGGATCTGACGTGGGAACGCGTGAGTGTTATCTTTACTAAAGACACGATCTTGTTTAAGTCAAGCTGATTCGATTGGTTTGGAGGAGCTTCTTGTCATGGCTTGAAAATATTTTTTTTTATTTAAAAAGGCTTATTTTTAGAAGCCTGCATAAAGGCGTTATTTTATTGGCTTGAAATGTTGGTGGCGCTGTTCGTGCTTAATTTAGTATCTGATTGGTCGATAAATTCCGAATAAGATAATGTCGGTCGCTCAACCAATAAGATACCCAATAAAATTCAAACAGCGCTACCAATTATTTCATACAATGAAATTTCGTATTCGCATGAAATTTTCAATCCTTGAAAGACCCCATGGAGCTGTGCCAAAGAAACGGCCCAGGAATGTACGCTATTGAGGGACAATGCGAGCAGTACGTTCAGTGCTACGACTCTGCACTGATGGGTGGCCGCGGCGGGCGCGTCAAAAAGTGCTCCACTGGGCTGGTGTTCGACGCCGAGACCAAAGGCACGTGTTAAACATCCTCATTAAAATTCTCAAATAATCGCTGCTCTAGTCTGCGACTTCGCCGAGAATGTTAAGGGTGCCTGTCACAACAACAAGCCCGCGTACAATAAGGGCGAGAAACCGAACGTCCCCGAAGAGGTAAGAGCTCTAGAATGACCTAAATGATGCCCTACTCAAAGCGCGCTTAGCATTTTTATCGAACAAAAGCCGCGCTCGATGTTTTATTTTCGATATTTTCGGGAAAAAGGGAAATCCGATTGACTTGCGATAAAAAATATTGAGCTCGGGGAAGAGTTAAGTAATTTTCAGATAAAAAATAACGAAACTTTTCAGGAAGAAATTCTCGAGGACCAGTGGATCAACGATGCGGACGAGTTTTGCAAACAAAATGGAGTGGGAACCCATCGCCATGCGAATGACTGCTCTGTTTTCTATGTGTAAGTTGTCAGCGATTTTAAGGGGGAAGACCACCATAAAACGAATTTTCGGCCGAAAAAATTAAATCAATTTTTAGATAAATACAAGATTGAAATTATTTCTAGCTAAAAAAAAGGGTGCGCTAAAATCTTTGTTTTCTTATTTGTCTTTTTTTCGATTCGGTATTCTTCTATTTCATAACCCTTGTTCCAGCTTTACCTCAGTATTTTCTCCTACAAGTAGCGTCGTAATACAGCTGCAGCTAAAGTTGTCGCCTTTGATCTAAAATTACAAAAGAAGAAAAGGCGGAGATAAATGACATTATGTACGGTTAGCGAAAAAGATGCTTGTAGACAAGATTTTTCGGCTTCTGTTTTTTACGCGGTGCCGACAGATGCCAGATTAGATAATCCTTTCGTTAAACGTGAGAGAGCTTTCTAAACATCGAGATAAAGTTATATTTCACCTTAACTAACCATGTCCCGAGTCCAGAATTTGAGAAATCGGCTAGAATTTGGGTCAAGATGGCTAATTTAAAGATTTCATGTTACCAAGCGAATCTACTTTCTAAGTCAGTTCCAAGGAAGATCGACTCGTTTGATTTAAAATATAATTACTGCTTCGCGATTTCCGCAGAACATCCGGATCTACAGCCCTTTCGACAAACGTTGATGAGTTCCGACCAAAATATAAGCTATAAATTGAGGGATTATTTTGACTTTCAACCAAGCAGCAAGAAATCAAAAAACTTTTCAAAGAAAAATGAATTTTAAAATCGTCTTTGAATCATGATTTTCATCCAAAAATCCTAAAAACAAAGCGCTTCTTGGGTCCGTGCTTCCGTCGATTACGCGTACTGCGGATTTTCAAGCTAACCATTCTTTGGTTAAAAATGACGAAATACGATTTTTCTTCTGTCAGCATTCAATGAAGAAAAATACCTATCATTTTCATCATTTTTAGTTGAGAAAGTCTTGTTTGTTTTTAAACAAACAGATTTTGACTTGAATGCCACCTTGATAAAGTTTGTCTCTCGTTTCTAAATTCAAGCCCCTCCCAATATCATCATCATCGACTTGCATAAGTGTTGCTTTAGATGCCAGAGTTCCGGTCAATCCGACAAGTTCCACTGCCCCGATGGACTCGTCTACAACACCAAGGGTGGCTACTGCGACTGGGCAGACAACTTGGAGGACGGTTGCTTCACGCGAAATCTTTACTTGGTCGGCTATTAAAAACATTTCTTTTATTAAAAAAATTATTCTCTTCTGAAAAAATAAATTGATTAAATTTTTGATCTTTTCGAACTCAAATCCGCCTAATTTTCTGTTTTCAATGAATCCAAAAATCCGAGGAAAGAGTTAATTAGCGTCAAAGAAAAAAGAAGTTCGGGGGAATCAATGAGGTCATCACCTGAATATTTTAGCATGTTGAAATTCAAATATTTTGACAACGCTCAGTAAATTGCAGCCCTAAGAGGGAGAGAGCGCGGGGAATAGCTAAAGCGGGTTACTTCTCAAAATATTTTGGAATGGTACTTGCAGTTCATTTTGGAGCTTTTACGTTGCTAAATCATTTAGATTTCTAATGAAGCGAATATTTGGATAATCCAGTTTGAGGATTGGCGATTCTATCAGTCCTTAGGCAAGGGAATCCGCTATTTTATCAGCTCCCGCAAAGAAGCTGGATGAAATTGAATCAGAGTATTTTTCGTCGTCAACCCATGCTTGACGCTTGATGCGGTTACTGTGGCCGGCTGCGTGCGCGTCTGATCAAAGAAAGCTACTGAAATCTAAGTAAAAGGATTCGCAACTCCTGGCTTGATTCGATAATGTCAGGTTCAACGAATTTGGCAAGGAATGACTCTCACTGTCGGAATGACAAAATGCAGGCTTAGAAGGACGAATTGGCAGCGACTTTTTGAAATTGGCGGAATTGAAATGGGAACATTCTCCGCGGTCGATTTATGTCTAATTAAGGAAATGCTCGATCTTTCTCTACAAGATTTCTCTACCAAGGACAGCTCAGAACAGGAAAGAACTAAAAACAGGCAAGACAAATATCTGTGCTCTTGGTATGATTTTACGAGATTGCTAGAATTTCGAGAAGAAAATTATGCAAATTTTGGATGGAGATGAGGCAGCTTTTTTTTCTAAAAAACGCGTGTATTCACGAAAAGTTGAACACGAAACTTATTCAGTTTTTTTTTCTCTCACTAGCAGAAACACTCGCAAAGTATTTTCGACCATTGTTTAAAATTGGACTGTAGAAATGAATACTTTGCGAAATTCGAACAAAATTTCGTCCGAGCCTTATCCCTGTTTCTAAGTTTCTAATAAGAGCCCTTCGCTGTCAGTTTTTTTCTCAGGAGCAGATGTTTCATCCGCTGCCCCGCGAAAAAACAAAAAATTTCAAAGCGAGTTTGTTTTTCAAGACGGGCGGCGCAGTCTATTAATCCTCCTGCTCTTTCTCTCCGGCTGAGACGCCTAATCCGACTTTCCCTTGAATTTCTCTCTCTCTCCCTGGGATTATGCGCTGCGGGTTATGTAAGAATGAAAATAGAGAGAATGAGAAAAAACGTGTTTTAGTTGATAAAGAGTTTATTCAAGCGTTATCACGTTTTGTACGAAGAAACGCTTCCGGTAGTAAAGTGCTTTCCCAAGTGTTGCGGATAATATTTCCGTGATTAAGAGTTACAAACTCAAGGAGCGCAGGACACGCTCTCGAAAGAGACCGAAGGCCTAAAGGAATTAATCGAAGAGCTTGAGGATTTGGTCAGCAGTGAAATCGGCTCGGCAGGTCGGGCAGGTTTTCTGAGGAAGAGAGGAAAGGCACTGGAAGCAAGCCTTATGGCCACATGGAGAAACTGCTGCTTGAAGGTGGTCATCGTCGTATAATTCGAAGCAGACCTTGCATTTAAGCTTTTCGTTGTCTTCCATCGGTTTGTTCTCTTCTTCTGGAGTACCTTAAAAAGATAAATAAGTTTTGAACTTGCTTACTTGAATCATTTACCTAAATCACTGTCATCATCTTTCAATGCCACCATGGCGAGTATGTAAGCCCGTTTTTGAACTTTCTTACGCCATATTTTCTTCGTGTTGAGTTCTTCACTCGCCGCCTGCACATTTTTTTCTGCTAATTCGACTTGTTTTTTGGCCTCGACCAATTTTTTTTCAGCTTCTGTTACTTTGGATTTAGCAGAATCTTCCTCCATTTTTGACTCATAGAAATATCTGTTGACAACCGAAAAGCAGTCATAGTTTCCTATGTTTTATGTATTATGAACTGATATGACAATTATCGAACTCACTTGTGTTATGAGTCCTTTCCAAAGCATTTTCACAGCAAGATCCAATCCAGTAGTCACGGTAAGATAATTCCTTGGCGCCACTATCCTCAAGACGCGATAGGGGAGCAGGACATTTGAATTTTGCGTCAGATTGCTTGAATGTGAATGTTCTCTCGGGAAATTTTGAAGAAGAGCATAATTCACATATTCGTTGACCATCATATTCGGCGGTCGATTCTGTTAAACTAAAACTAATAAAAGATTTTTCATCTATACATACTGGTTGCAGAATTCACATTTTCGAAAAGAACCAATTGATGTTTCATAGTTAGGACTCGGACAAAAATTTGTAGGCGGGTCCATTTTTCTCTATTTTATTGAACAAGGTAAATTTATAAAAATCTATGAAACTTTATTCTACACCCAATTAGAATCTACCCCGATCTGTCAGTCACTGATTTTATCAAAATGAATCATTTTCTTACACCGTCGCTCCATGTGAACGATTTTATTTCTGTATCTTTCCCACACCTATAATAAGGGAAATTATTTTCAGAGGATATTCCTTCATCAAAGTTGAGCACTAAAAGAACCCCCAGAGAGGAGAGGATAGGATGATATAATCCATTTTCGCCGTCGAACATGGGCACCTGACCGGCGCACGTGTCTCTGTGGTCATGATTTCATGAAGTGAGCCTTCTGACAGAGTCCTAACCTACTTACTTAAATTCTTGCCTGAGATGTAATCCGTTTAATTCTCCTCGCCAAGTTAGTCTAGTTTTAAAGAAACGACCTTTTTTAATGAAGACAGTTTTGATCGAAAGTCTAAGTAAATATGGCTGTTTGTATAATTTAGCTAAAGCAGCTTCTAAATGAACGCTGGTTTGGACTGAGCTGATAAAATAAGCTTAAGCAAACGTGTTATTTTGTCCGAGGTCGAGTTAGATAAGGTTAAGTCGGCCATGTGGCGGGAGAGGCCCGGTTTTGCTCCGCTGATTATATCGAAAAAATCGTTTTGAATTGAAATTAGAAGCAGCTTTGTGTTAACTTAAATGGATCTAATTCAGCTAATTCTAAATCCAAAAATTGATTTATGATATTGATATCAATTGAAATCAATGATATTGATTTGCCAATTCATTGAAAGGCAATTTAAAATAACTCGACAATTACTACTAATCCAGTAGCTATCTTTGTGAGTCGTGACTCAAAAATCTCTCATCCCCGAAATGAAAAAATGAAAAATGTTCACTCTTCTAAAAGTGGCCCCAATTATGGTCGCTGATCTTTGCCGCAGAGCGTAATTTTCGTAAAATCTGATGAACCACACGCGTTTTTTTGAATTTACAAAATCTGACCTGACAAATTGATGCAAGAATTGATCAAAAGAAATCCTCAAAAGAAAAACCCTGTCAATTTACATTTAGTTATAAATAATCGCCCTTTATTTATAAATATTTTCATTCGTAAAAAACAGCGCTAGAAGTAGTTTCGATAATTTGTTAAATTTGGAGCGGGCGGAGCTGCTTGATTATGGTTAAAACACAAACTTATTTTATAATTATCATCGATTTCGACTTGCTGATTACTTGTCAGAAGAAAGCGCGGATGAATGATTTTCTTATCAGTAATAACACAGCGAGCAATTATCGAAAATGAACTTACTCGAGGAGAAACTCAAGGAACAAGACAAATTAGCATATTACCTGGTCTAAGGACAGGGCGACCACAATTTGAATACTGAAAAATTTTCGCGTCTTATCTAATTTTGGCGAAATGCAGCGGCCAGGCGCTTATCACTTCCACTGCGACCGCTCAAGGAACCCTTTCGGCGAGCTTAAAAAGCGGATAAACGCCTTTCGCGTATTTTATAGAAAAATTTCATAAGAATCCTTTTTGAGCCTAGAAATTTGATTAATTCGCGCGAAATCTCCGGCGCTACAAGTCTTTCCGCAAAATTGAAAATGATGATCTCCCAAATCTTCTTCCAAATCCACGATGAACACGTTTCCCAGAGCCTCGAAAAAAGAGCACGACGTAACTTTTCTTCGTTAAACCGAATCGTTGAATCCGCAAAAGAATCGAATATGCAAAGCATTCGTAGCTAAAACACGGAATCAAACTGCCAGTGACAGTCCAAAATGATAAGAAAAAAAATTCAGAGGGACGTGTTAGCCTCGGATTCTCGGGCAATGTTATCCACTTCTTTCTGTCGGATGTAGCACGTGTAGCACGAGTCGTGAAAAAGTGTATCTCGTCAAGTCCAGAATTGACTATCTAATCGGCCCAAGCAATACATAATTTATCAAGCTCAAGGCGCGCTCCATATCTGCCCAAACAAAAATCTTGCGGCCAGGTTTCGGACATTCCAAAAATCCACCGTGTTAGATTAATGACTACGAAGCATTTCCGAAAATTGAAAAAGTAATATTCAATATTCAACGAAAATTAACTCACTTTTTTGAACAAAAAAAATTTTTTGGCAACACGCTTTTTTTAGAAAAATCGATCACTAAAATTTTCGTTGCGGATCTTCTGCCACGTGATAAAACTGTGCTTCCCACTTGTGGGATTATTTATTAATTGATTAATCCTAATTAGCAGCGAAAAAGTTCAAGTTTGAATCGACTCCAAAAGTTTACCTAAGCTCAGTTCCGCAATACCAACCATAATAAATTCAGAGGTTGCATGGCTATTCTGAAAAGTCATTCCCTTTTTTGAAGCGGTCCTTGAGTGGGAGCGGAACTTCCTCCTCTTCCCTCTTTTTGAGAAAGAGAGAGATCTGAAAGTGTCTTATCAAATCTCAGATAGCCGAGCCGATACCCATTTAGAAATAAAGAAAGAAGGACACGTAATGCGAAAGAATGGAACATGAGTACTTTAATTTTGATGAATCAAAAAAGAAGCTGGTTCTATCTTTCAAGCATTCAAAATGACTAAGCTACCTGGTGCTTCTAGTAGCTGAAAAGCTAGAAACGATCCCGAATGTACTAAATTCGATGGACAGTGAGTGCCCGCGGCCAGAAAACCACCACCGCAGCACTAATTCAGACAAGGGTCTCCACCTTGACGCAAAGCTAATAAACGTTTTTAGCAAAAAAGTGATTCAATATTTTCTCGGCCCAGATTTTTTCGCAGAACTGGGTCAAACTCTTTCACCAAAAAGAAACTTCAGTAAAATTCTAAGATCAAAAATTTGATTCAAAGAATTAAAAAAGGCCAAAACTAAAATAAGAAATAATCATTTCATCGAAAAACAAAATCTTTTTCAGCAAAAATCCTTACGAACTAAAACGTGGTTGATAATTTTGCGAAGTTCTTTAATTATAAATAACTTTGGCTCATTAATTTTCACTTTTCAACAACGTTCAATTTTTATTTTCATTAGCAATTATTTTAATAAAAAAATTAGCTTCCACAACAAAATCCTTCAATAATGATTTGATGAGCCCTTTCTTCATTTTTTTAGCTACAGTTTAATTATAAAATAATCTCTAATTATCAATCGAGATGATGGTTTATTTTTTGTGTATCGAAGATTGTCTAAATTCTTGAAAAGCCGAGTTTTAGACATCACTAAATTCAACAAATATTAGTTATTACTAATTGGTCATCATCTTTCTCCCACCCTAGCGGCAACATGCATACGGAATGAGAGGTAGGACCGTGGTGGGTATTACGCTTGGTCTCTTTTCCCGACCCTGCTTTACGACGCTGGGTGGCGCCGCCTGCTGAGGTCGAGCTCTGGTTGTTGCTCCGAGGCGTTCCACGAGCGAGCTCCACCGCCACCCGTATCACCAAGAAACTTGCCGAACGAGTGGCTCCCTCTTGTGCGCACCACCACCAGCCGCGTGCATCGCCCCATCCACAAGCATTGAGACGTTTCAATTTCGAAAAAACCTTTTGTAAAACCGCTGTAAATATTCGAAACGGCGCACAACAGAGATTGTTGAAGCCAGAATAGAGAAAAAGACGCATAAATCAACGCTACACAAACTCCAATAACTTTTTATTCTAAAAAAGGTACGTGCTAATCTAAAAATAGAAATTTGATGGTGACGCCCTTAAAATAGAGAAAACACGTAAAACAAAACTTGATTTCGTTAAGTTATCTTCCTTGATTTCAATTTAGAATCCATGGTTATCGTCAGTGAATAATTATCGTAAAAGAAAATATAATTGAAATTTAAATATTTCGCTGTTATTTTAAATGTTATTTTAAATTTCAAATGCTAATTTGATAGTCCTGTTTCAAAATTTATCACGTGCAACAAATTTAAAAAGCGGTAAATATCAATTAACCCAGAATCAGTAATTAGAGTCCTTTTAACATGAATTCTAAAAAAAATTAAATAATTATTTATCTTATTAGATTCTAGATATTATGAGGGTGAAAATGATAGCGCGGTAATTTCCGAAAATTGATTTTATTTTCGAAATTTTTTGTTCTTGAATTATAAAAATCCGTTTCAGCAAGAAAACACAAACAACAGAAAAAATGCTCGTGAAAGGACTTGCTTTGGTCGGAGCCACCAATGCCGCCATCAGAAGCCGAGTAGGTACCCACCACGCCAGTGTTGAAGACTACACAATCGGCTCTGTCGATCTCTCCAGCTTCATCACAGCCTGGAATTACACAATGGTGAGTTTCAACTTTTAAATAATTCTCGGTGAAATGAAAGTGGAGGAATTTTGTTGCCACGGCGAAGCACATTCTTTTCGACTTGTACTGCAATAGTAATTAGCTTCAGTAGTTGGAGAAATAATCACTTGTAAGGCAGAGAGAAATTCTCGCTTCGTAGCTTTCGGCTTTCTTTGAAGTTCGTCTTAATACTGTAAGAAGTAGCTGATAAGCTGTGGCAAGCGAGTGTTATGCCAAGCGAGCCGCGGCAAATTACCAATAACAAAAATAGAAATGGGGAAATGGCTCCTTTCGAAAAAGGAACCTACTAATCCAGACTATATCCGCCATTGCGCCGAGTTTAAAATAATCTTCCATAATTAAATTTTGCTCAAAACAACTTTTCAGGGTCCACCACCACGAAGATGGTACAAGGCCAAGTTCGGTCTCGAGTACTCGCCAGAGACCAACGACAACATCATCAAGAAATCGGGAGAGAATGGAGAAACCACCGAAGATTTCGACTTTGGCGCCTTGACCAAGGACCACTACTGTCGATACAGAGAAGCAGGAACTGAGAGAGAAGGCCAGTGCTGTACAGAAGAGGATGACCACTGCTACACTAAGGTAAGAAGAGAAAGAGAGGCCCTTACGATAAAACAAGCGGTACACCCTTACGATAACGCCTGCGATCATTTGAACTTTCACTCGAATTTTATCGTTAAAATTTTCTTCGCCTCGTATGACATCAGTTTTCAACAGCATTACTCGTTTACTAACGCTAATCGAAAAATTGCTGATCATTTCTATTTTACCGGGCTTTCCAATTGGCAACAACCACGCCCTTCTTTTTTTTGAAACAGGCGAGTGCGAATGTATTAGAGAAACCATCTCAGTTTTCATCCCGTGACTCTGGCGAGGAATTAAGGGCATCCAGGTCATTATATTTTGTTTGAAAAAATTTGAGGTTGCAATTTTCGAGTTAAACTTTTTGCATCGAAAATTTTCCTGGTATAATTTTAAGTTTACGACTTGCAAGGGGCGACCTTATTTTTTTCGAAAAAAGGCAGCTGCTGCCTGCAGTTAATTACAAAATTCTAAGCCTGTGTCCTTTTGCTCCCTGGAAAACGATCGGCCTAACGATCCTCCTTGCGCATGTTATTATCTAATCACGTGACCGCTGAACCATTATTCCGTTCCGTTTCTTCAAGAAAATTTGGCAAATTTCGGGGCGCGTTTAACGTGTTCGCAAATTTCACAGCCAGCTGGCCTGACATAATGAAACAATTATCAAATTATGAAGCGAACCGCGGCCAACCTGACTTGTGGTCGCGAGACGCATCATATTTATAACCATTTGTTTAACCCGCGATTTTCAAAAACAAAATCTGCCAAAATTATTTCAAAGCGAAAAGAACGTGTTCGTTTTTCGCGAGAGTCAAGTTTAACTCCGGAGAAAGTTGCGTTTTCTTTTGAAACAAAGGTTTCTTTGAAATTCTGACACCCGCGAAAACGTAAAAAATATTAGTTCGCCGCGCGAGGAATTCTTTTCATCCCTTTCTTCCATAATTCTAGTGATGATTTTCACCGTCACGAAAATAACTTATCAATAAGAGAAATTTCCTCCCTTTTCTTCAGTAAGAAAAGCGTCTTATCTTGAATGATAATAATTTTTATATGATTTCCGCTAGAAAAAGCCTAGACAAGACGTGTTGCTAATAAATTTAATTTTTTCTCGGCCGAGCAGGTGGACTTGTTCAAATGACGCAAGGCAACAAATTCGCGAGTTAATTTCGCGGCCGCGTCAAATTCAAGATTATTCGCTGTGAAATTGAACAAACGTTATCTTCGATTTCTCCATCAAAGTATTCATTTTCTTGTTTTTAGGCTGGCTGCTACTGCGACGTCGCTTGCTTCACTGTTTACGGCGATTGCTGCACTGATCATTTCGTCACCTGCTACGGTAAGCGAAAAACAGCAATGAAGGAAAGACTAACGGAGAATTTCTTTTTCAGAGGACTTGAACTTGTGCTTGAAAAAGATCACCAACAAGGCCGAAACTGAGCTTGCCCAGGCTTTGGAAGGCGAAAACGCAAAGAAAGAGAAACAGAGACCACTCGGCAGAATGGGAGGCATGCAGCTCGATGTTCAAACTGGACATGTTGTGGTAAGAAATCAAATTATTTTCGAACCACGACAGAACTAAGACCGCACCATTTCTTTGCACTTGGCTCATTATTTCATTCAGCCAAATGCCTGCTGCGGCCAGAAAGAATACAACGACGGAGTCGAGTGCTGTGTCAAGGGAGCCAACGGAAAGAAAGTCTACAGAATCGACCAAGATAACTCTCCTTGTGCCGAAGAGTGAGTCCTTTAGTCGCTCAACTAGTAACTAACAAATCGAACTCAGGAGTGAATACGAGTACGAAGAAGAAGAGGAAGAAGAGTAAATTTTAAATTTAATATATAAACGGTAGCAAGCACAAAACACAACAACAACAAAACCACAACAACGACTACACACCTCCTCTTGTATCTATATTCTTCTACAACACTGACAATACTCGACGATTTACTCGGTAAGTTGAGCTCTACGCGGGTTTGAACGGGACTTACGAGGGTGCCACTTATCTGAATAAGGATTTGTCTCGCAGGATGCCGCTCACTTGTCTTTTTGAACTCAATGAAATCAACTTCCATCAGAAAATAAAAAATAAAGATATCTCTCGATAGAGCCGTATTCAACTCAAATTTCGAATACTTGGATCAAACAAGCTTAGCGATTATCTCCAAGAGATTTGAAAATAATCCAACTATGGGTTGGGCTCAATGATTCTCGGGTATAAACTTCAATCGAATTCTAGAGAACTTAAGGGCGTCACCGCCAATTCTCGTGAATCTTCGGGAAAAAACCGATCTTACAGTAATTCAACGACTGTCAAACTGTATCGTCTAAAAAAGAAAGAATGATGAGCGATTTTTTTGTAAAATTGCTGAGTGGTACACCCTTAAGTCGCTCGTAACCTTGACGGATCTATAAACCCGTTTTAAATCGCTTCAATCCATCTCGCTTTCATCCCTGACACGAAATTAACTAATCCCTCTTTTCAGACACCTTTTCACCAAATCTGACGTCACGAACACAGAATCAAAGTCACCACCACCACCACAATCGCACCACAAAGCTACACACGAATCGACATGACCGCTGCCGCACAAATTGTGACATAAAGTTGTACATAAGTCTAAATAATTATTAATTTAAAAATTCAAAAAAGAAAAAATCCTTCATTCACTACAGTACTCTAGAAAACATCCCTAGAAGCACCCCTTCCCGCCAAACCATGGCGGGTATTATTTTTACACCAGCTGGTGGTGCTCGGGAGTTAACAAGTCAAGTGAACCCACACACCCAGATCACCGCCTATTTTGTACGATTTCGCGCTAAAAAGAACACTCCCTGTATAAACTCACCCTGTAATATCGAATCAATAATATTTAAAAATGAAACCCGTTCGATCGAAAATCTCGCGAGGGAGCACCTTAAGTCCGTAATTTTGATACAAGTCGAAATTTTGCGTTAAAAACGGCCTAAGGCTGATATTCCTAGCAAAAAATATTTTCTTTCATTTTTTCAAAAAAGCGAAAAAACTAGCGAAAATAAGAACTTGAAGAAAACCGACGATGAAGCAAGAATCTCCTTCGAAAAGTGAAGAACAATCACCGTGGCTTTCTAAAAGTGAACTTTTTCTGTCGATTTCGCAAAATTCTGTCGATAATATACAAACAGCTAAAATTTCAAAACAAAACAAAGCCTCCTTTTGTGCAAATTGACAGGTCTACAGAACGCTCAAGCAGGGCCACTAAAACCGAAAAGCATAAACAAGCAGCTTTTAACGTGCATTTCTGTAGATACCTCCTTAATCTCTCTTGAAAGTCTTGGAAAGACACGGCTCCTGACAGAATATCATGATTCAGGACATGTTCAAGTACTAAGAGTGGAATCAGGAGAAAAGCAACGAGTGCCCTAAGTGGTTCACCATGAGATTAAAGCTACCTCTACTTTCAAAGGTTTTTGGATATACAGTAGGAATCCTACTGTGGGTTATCAAAAACAGTAGAGGTAAGGGTTAGGTTTCGGTAGTGATAAAAATATAATATAATATAATATAATATAATATAATATAATATAATATAATATAATATAATATAATATAATATAATATAATATAATATAATATAATATAATATAATATAATATAATATAATATAATATAATATAAGTAGCTCGAAGAGCTCTATTCTTGATCATTTGTCATGAGCACGTGGTGATGTTAATTTTAACTCCTGTTTATATTAACCATTTCCAAAGCGTATTAGTACTTGTCGACTCTCTATTTGTAGTTATAGATAATTATAGCCCCTCGGTATAAAAATATTGAGCCAACGTGTTAAATAAATTAAAAAAAACTGGCGAAATCAGCGGATAATTGACGGGCACAATATTTAAAAGAAACTGCGCGTCTTGAAATTGGTAAGAGTTTTGTTGAATTTGCATAAATTGGAAAAAACGTCGCTGAAGGAAATTTGGAAATTTGTTCGTTTGAATTCGGGAGGGTCCGATAACCGACGCACGTGACGGCTGATGTTCTAAATGTCAACTGCCTACAAAAATAACGCCTTATCTCTAACAGCCAAAAGTGAGTCAAGCCTTTTTCAGGCATTTTTTTATTTCTTTCCTGAATTGAAATTTCAAAAAATTGAACATCAAACTTGATAAATTCTTGAAAAAATCGATGATTTTTCAATCCAAAATCAACATTTTTAGATTAAATTTCACGTTAAAAAACGCAGCTAACGTGCCAAAGTTTCAAGCCACAACAGCCGTTTGCCCTTTTGTGGCTTTTTTTGTCGAGTTTGGTCAGCAGCAGCGAGGGAGAAGGATTTCTTATCGCTAGGTGCTTAGAAACCATTGAGAAGCTGGCTCATCGGTTGACGTGAGCTGCAATCTGCAACGAAAGAGAAGTGCCCCGGAAGACTTTGATAAAGCTTAGTCTTTTAGTTTTTGTGCTTCTCAGGGGATAATCCGGCGGAGAGCAGATGCGACGGGCAGATTTTGGAGCCTCCCACGCCAATTTCGAAAAATTTCTTTTGTTCTTTCGTTTTTACCCTTCAGAAATTTTCGACATTGATTGTCAAATAATTTCAGCTAACCCAAGGCTAACAATAATTATAATAGGAGAGAACTCATTCTTCCAATAAATTAATTAGTTTTCAGTCAACTTGGCCACTTGATAAAAATAATTGGTTGACAACTCTAAGTTACTGGATTTGGACTACCACGTCAACCGTTGAAGTCGGAGCAAAGTGCCAGCACTCGAGTGTTTTCTCAGTTTAGAATTTGATTTGCTCAAGATTTTCCTTAGAAAAAGAAACGGCCTTTTTCCTATAGCAACCTTCCAATGCAACGGAGGTCCATCAAAGTGCCATTTCACTCTCAGAATTTTTTTAAACATAAACAAAAAGAGAGCCGAAAAATGGCAGTCAAGGGGCTTCCTAAAATTATAAAATTTCTAGTATTAAAAATCAAAATATTGGTTAGGGTTAGGGTTAGGGTAGATTTCAAGCCTCTAAAAAGCCGCACTTCAACAACTCACAAATCTACTGAATCAAATTCAGCCGGCTACGAATAGGGATACTCAATTTCACTGCTGTATTTTTCCATGTAAAGAAGGATGATTTATGATTGAATATCCCTTGTTTTGACCACGTTGTCGCCTTTCCCGTCAGAGACTGATCAATGTCAAACTCTCATCGCTGCCGTCTCCCAGGCCAGGTCAGTTGAAAAAACGAAAAAAGGAAGTGGGCTATTTACGAAAGTGGCACTCTAACTCTGGGCTCAGGAATCTGGCAATTGGCACGATCGCTGGTTCCGATCACCGGCATCAGATAATCATAAATAATAGAGATAAATTTTAGACCAGCGAGTGAGCACTGAGTCAGAATCAAGTCCATGCTGAGTACACTAGAGTACACGAGATAGCAAAAAAACCTGCCGAGAATTTTTTTAAGTGCCCGTTGCCACTAAAAGACAAGCTATCTTGTCAAAACGCTCTTCTTTTTTTGAGAAAGTGGATCATCCTCAATTCAACATTGGATTTTAGAGAGCTCGTTTATGATGGTGCAAATGGTGCTGCTGATGCTCTTGTTCAAGGAAAAGTTCTACAGTAGATTTTTGAAACTAGAAAGAACCAATTTTTTGCGTTTTTCAACTCGGAAAATAAATGGGCTAAGCATATTTTAGAACTTATTTTTGAGGAAAACGTTTGCCAGCTTCCAGCTTCAAAAACCTCCTTGAAAAAATCTCGGTCTTTGTATAATCTCGGAGAAATAATTCATTTTTTTTTTCATATGTGTTCCGTAGAATCAAAATTAAATCGAGTTTGTATAAATCGAGAAGGAGTTGCAGGTGATGGAAAGCTGGAGCAAACCGAGAATAGCGCTCGGCCTCTGTCGCCAGTTTGACTGTCACGGGCTGTCCAGATAGATTGCGCTTTTCGTAACAAAGGGTTAATAATGAAAAGAGGGGTTGGGCGAGATTGATAGCGCCCGGGCTCGAAGTTTCGATGAAGAAACTAAGAAGCAATATTGAATATTCAGTTTTGGGCGCACCCCAAAATCGGACAATATTCTTGAGCTAACATTAACGGAAGAATGTTGAAGAGAGTCTTCAATATTTCTTTGGACTTGAAAAATCATTAGCAATAACAAAGAAAATCCTCAAAAAACCAAGTTCGCCAGGAGGACAGAAATCTATCCGCCCGCAAAATCCCCCAATGGAAATCCTCCAGTAAGTTATCATAGCCACTGTAAATACACCAAACTGGTTTCGCCTTTCACAAGCAATAAGAGTTCAACCCTTTACACATTTTTTTTTTGCTTTCTAAAGTGTTCATAAAATGCGAAATTCGTAAAAAATCTGGCGAGTCTGAATTTTTCCGCTTCGCTAGGTAAATTTGAAGACGTCAAAAAATGCACTAGCGTTTGACAGGGGCCGATGTTTCTTTTTATTCTCAATCAATGGACAGCCTTAGAATCAGCGAATGTAGCTCCGGCGAACGAATGGTCCTTGCCTGGACAATCCTACTCATTTGCCTCTTGAATACAGATTTAAAATTCCAAAGACGCACTACTAAGTATAAGTAACAAGCTCTTGGGCCAGCGCTCGAAACAAAATAAAAACGCGTCACGAGTTTTGGAATCAAATACTTTCAAGAGAGCAAATTAAGGCGCTTATCGGAAATATTTATTAAACGAAAAACGTTTTAAATCTGTTCATTAGTTCCAGCAAGTATTTTAGAAAGAAGAAAAAGAAGGGATATTAAGGACGCGACTCACTTTAAAAGACTTCCTGTCACCAATAAATTTTTTACTTAGGATAATATTCTAACGAGTAAATTTGCATGAGAAAGTTTATCGCATGCATGTCAGATGTGCTAAGGGCATTCCGGGCGAGTTGATGTAATTACGCAATTTTACCATTAATGACCACTTTAGCCGGCCGATTTATTCCGTTACATAGAAGATTTGATTTAGAAAGAGGCAGAAAAATATTGAAATCATTTGATTTTTTCAAGTTTATTGAAGTGAAACAGGACTGGCGCCAGAATTTGAATTGATCAGCGTGGAGTTTTCTCCAACACGCTCGCGGCGAAGAGTCGAACCCTTTTTGAAGGATTAAGGAACTGACGCCCTTAATTTAAAATCCTCATAATGGGCGATTTTAAGGAAGGACCCTCCCTAGAAGTTTTCTATTTTTAATTTTTAATCCTTTCCTGAAACCATGAAAACCTTCTATTCCTTGAATCTCGATTGAACACTCCAAAACCCAACTATTCTACCTCCGAAAATGTTCGACATTCAACAATCTAGCTTACATCTATTGCGAAAAAGAATGAAATACACGAAAAGACGCAAACCCAAACGAGCGCCAGCCAAAAAAGTGGCTTGTTTCAGGCATCAATAAACTCGCTTTTCGGGGAAGACGGAGAGTTTTTTGTCCAAACACTTTTTCGCAAGAAGACTCTTTAAAAAATCGTATTGAGAGTAACAACACGATGATAAGCTCGTCAAGTTGCTTGGCAAAATAAGCAGTTCATGAATCCGTCTCACGTGATTGCAAAGCATATTTTTAGTGGCAAGGATCATTAAAGCAGTACTGCATAATCGAAGCGAAAGCTGTTTTGTAAATCTCATAGATTATGAAAGTAATGAAGGGATCGAAAAGATACAGATATCAGATTTAATTTTTACTTTGAATAATATTATTTTCCCTAAAAGATGTCCAAAAGCGCTTTTCCTGGCTCATTCGATCAACAAGGCAATAAAATTTGAACTTTACTAAATGTGTCTAAATGATAAAAAGTTTTGAGATGATTATTTTTACCACTTGTACTACCTGCGAAAGTAAGTGCCAGATTTGTTGTGAGGAAAAATGTCTGAGAACTACAAAATAATTGATCTTTGCTACAAGTTTTGAGCAATTAAAATAAGGGTATCAATAGGGAAATCACTAATAATTGAGCTTTCTTTCTAGCTAAGAACGGTGGGCGTATAATACATTTTTAGAATCCCCAGAAGCTGGGGATCATTTTGACTATTGATAGTTGGGGGTCATCTCTTACCCTGGGGGCATTTAGGCACCTCCAAAGTCCCAAAATCTGGCCACTTTCGGAAATTTGAATTTTTGAACGCCTGGACTGGCCTTTCAGGGCCAGCGACTATGCTAGAATTGTAGCCCAGGCTCTGACGGTTATTTTGAGTACCTCAAAAGTACTGATTACCCCCCATTCCTGGGGCGCTAGAGACCTCCGAAGTTGGGGAAGTCAACCGAAAATAGGTACTTTTCATGAAAAAGTACACTTTTTCCTTCACTTATGCTTCGAAACGCTTGTAGTAGGTCGTTCTTTACATTTTTAACATAAAGACATAGTTTGGGGTCATCTGAGGTCACTTGAGGTCATAAATGGAATTTTCAAGTATTTTTGTAATTTTCGCCTCAGGTGACCTCAGATGACCCCAAACTATGTCATTATGTTAAAAATGTAAATAACGACCTACTACAAGCGTTTCGAAGCATGAGTGAAGGAAAAGTGTACTTTTTCATGAAAAGTACCTATTTTCGGTTGACTTCCCAACTTCGGAGGTCTCTAGCGCCCAGGAATGGGGGTAATCAGTACTTTGAGGTACTCAAAATAACCGTCAGAGCCTGGGCTACAATTTAGCATAGTCGCTGGCCCTGAAAGGCCAGTCCAGGCGTTCAAAATTCAAATTTCTGAAAGTGGCCAGATTTTGGGACTTTGAGGTGCCTAAATGCCCCCAGGGCAAGAGATGACCCCAACTATCAATAGTCAAAATGATCCCCAGCTTCTGGGGAGTCTAAAAATGTATTATATGACCCCTACTAAGCAAAAAAGTCGATTTATTAGTGATTTACCCTAGGTATCAACAAAAGTTTTCAAGAAAATTATCCGAAGAAAAGTAGAAGCTCATGTTACGATTTCTTCAAAATTGATTGATGTTGATACCCTTATTTTAATTGCTCAAAACTTGTAGCAAGTATCAATTATTTTGCAACTCGTAGACATTCTCCCTCGCAACAAATTTCGAGTTCAGTATTTTGTTGTAACGAAAACAGTACTTGAGTAATTCTAGCGCTTACTTCAAACTCTGGCAGTACGTGGGTTTGAAAATTCGCACTCTAGTTTCGAGTAGTTCCGCTATAAGTACACTGTTTTGCTGGGTTTGTATGTTCAAGCGAAGTCCTTTGTCTGTGGTTTGTATCAAGCGCAAGTGTTTGTTTGATCATGTGAGTCCTTTCTGGATTATCCTCACTCTCGCCAGCAGTCGGAGCGCGGCTTCGCTCTAACATTGAGCTGCTCAAGGAGTGTTGCCTTTTCGAGAGTTTCTCCACTTTGTACACCAAGTACTGGCCCATTTTCAGCGCGATTAGCAGTGCTCTGTTTGCTCGTTACCGAATTGTCCTGTAAGATACAGTATCTATTCGGGGGTTCAGCTTATTACTCGAAATTTGCTGGAGCTAGAATTTGTGAACGAGTGTCCAAAAGAGCTCAGAAACATGACGGACCAGTTGATGCGTTTATTCGGATCGACGCATACGCAGTTGACATAACAACCCGTCTGCGGATTCTGAAGAATACAAGTTAGTTTTCGATGTTGTTTTGGGCTTTTGAAGAGTTCCACGGTATGAGTAAGCACAAAAAGGTGGGCTAAAGAGAACTTTCACTTTGTTCCTCCTCGAACTTACATCAGAAACTTGAAAATAGAGCGTTCTCGAGTAAAGTACTTGATAGCGTAAGTTTTCATCTCTTTGATCGATTCAAAAATATACTTGAAATTCTTATTGAGGATTCCTCGAGCTTCAAGTTCGACTGTCTAAAACAGGTTAACGCTGCCTTATCCTAAATATTCCTCAGAAAAGAAAAAGCTAAAAATCTGTGCCTCCGAAATCTGATTTCTTGTGGTCTCCCTTGGGACGCGATTAAAGCTACTCAGTCGGTGTAGTTTTTCCGAGCGTCATGATTTGAAAATCATCAAATCAGCGGAAAAGCTGATGACACGTTCTACAACCAAAAACAAGCCTCACTATTAATTTCATATTTGGTAAAATCATGTTCTCTTGCGTTCCCAATACCAATAATTTGCTGCATTTAGAACTGACCTTATAAATAAAGTAGGGTGAGACTTCCGCTGGGCAGTCTGCTAAAGCCGGATCTTCCTCGCCACAAGCGGAACATCCCTTTTCCGAACATAATTTGCAGCAGAAATCTATCAGTTCCAAAGGCTGCCTAAAACCCCAATTTCAACGAAAAGAAGGAGCGTTCAAAAGGTACCTAGTTCGATTCTTTCGGCGGATGAGGATGGGATTCTCAAAGCAGGAACCTGAAACAAAAATATTTGAAGTTGGTCGCGCTCAAACTTGGAAACACGTCAGATGTCACTGCACGCCACTGAACTTTTAAAAATAGAAAAAAAGGAGAAACACACGTTTATACCTGAAAAACGCCTATCGATCCCTAAAATAAAGTCTAAGAAAAGGATTTAAAAATATCAAAAAAAACTCATGAAAAAAAAGATGTAGTGCGGCACTAGGTGCCTTATTAATTCAAGGGCATCACAATTATAAAGCCCAATTTAAACAGCCCATTTTACCGTGTTGACATCCTTAGTTCTTTGCTAGACTGCGGTTTCACTTTTTATCGGTTAAAATAAGGGCGTCACCATGCAAATTATCGCCGAAAATGCGTTTTTAAACTGGTGTTTTTCACCTCCATAATTCATACCCTCTCCAATGCGCTCTCTATTTTCTTCTCTTATCTCTTCATTCTGCGCTAGAATAATCCCGATCCCGGTCCACATCCAGATCTCGATTTTCATCCCCTCCACGCTATTCCCTTATCTTCGCTAATTCTCTCTCCACAACTAATCTTACATGTCCAATTTCTCGATAGACTCGTTTAATTTTTGATAATTTAGAACTGTAGCCAAACTGGCGCGAAATTAAAAATATATTTATTCAGCGAAAAAGACTGAACGCGAGGGAAAAAAAACAACTCGCAGGACGGGGAAAAAGCGAGATTAAAAAACTTTTTCTTCGCCGGGACGTAGAACCGATTAAGCCGCACAATGACAGACACAAATCACACTGGGCCAAGAACAGGCAAAAATCTGCTTCCAAATTCAAACCCGACAGATCCGATTTACCGAAATCCCTTTCATCAAAAGATGAATACCTGCAGCGCAGAATGGAATAGAATTTTCTTCTCGCTATTTTTATTCAGTTCATTTTCGTTGTAAATTTTACAGCAAAATAATATTGAATCTTATGAAACCATCATCCTTCATCGAAAGTTTCACAACATGTCGCCCATCGTCATCGACCCTGCTGATGAGGTCGTGTCGAATGCCCTTGTTCCGCCGAAGAGTTTCATCGAAGACAGCCATTACTTTTCCGTTCATTTCACGTATTGGCTGCGCGATGGCTTTGAAGGGAATTTCTCGATCTGAAATTCAATTAATCAATTTTTAATTTTTAATCTAAAAACCTTCGTGAGACAGCCAAAGTGAGATAGACCAGGTACCACTCTTGAAGATGGGAATCGTCTCAAGCACACTCCTGAACTCGAGTCTCCATCCAGACTCGGTGACATCCAAATTGTTGGGATATGAATCGAATGGGTATGCAAAGTCTAGTAAGTTGAGTTTGTCTGGTTCTGGAAGAGCGCGTCGGGCACATCTATAAAACTTTTTGGGTTTTATTTCTTAGAAAAGTCTGTATTTTTTGAAATAAATAAACGCCAGTCCCTTTAAATTGATTCGACGTTCGCCCAACGACAGCAGCTTCAGAACATTGCGGATTTCTTCATCTTTCATAGCATCTCTTATTCGCGGAGCAAGACAAGCGCGAGGTGAAAAAAGAGGTGAAGAAAGAGGACTATCGGTTTTGGAAGTGTCGATATCAAAATAATGCCCTGCTCCTCCAAGTGGTCCGAGATCATTCCTCATCTTCTCCAGTTCCTGTTTTCTTGAATCAGAGAACTGACTCATTTTTCAAAAAAAATAGAGGGTACATTCTTTTAGACCGAATGCATAAGGAGTTCACGATTATTTTTTTTCTAAAGATGAATTTCCATAAGAATTTTTCGGGCAAAAAAATATTTTGTGAGTTATCACCATAGTCTGAAAGCCCATATCGAAATTAGTAGATTGCCGAAATTCTAGCACTGGATGACGTCACGATGACGTCATCAGTGTCGATTGAAGGTCCCGAACCCTGAAACTTTAGGTACGCTTTTTGAGGCTGGTTTCGCCGGAAAATGATTTTTTTCTTTGCAGGAGGTTGTTCAGCATCGAAAACTACGCGGGAATCCTGAAGAATTCTTTCGTACCAACCGGTTACAAATCGAACCGCCAAAATAACCGGTTGGTTATGGCCGGTTAGAGGCCGGATTCCCGCGTAGTTTTCGATGCTGAACAACCTCCTGCAAAGAAAAAAATCATTTTCCGGCGAAACCAGCCTCAAAAAGCGTACCTAAAGTTTCAGGGTTCGGGACCTTCAATCGACACTGATGACGTCATCGTGACGTCATCCAGTGCTAGAATTTTGGCAATCTACTAATTTTGATATGAGGTTTCAGACTATGGTGATAACTCACAAAAAATTTTTTTGCCCGAAAAATTCTTATGGAAATTCATCTAAAGCTCATATTTATTATAATAGTAATAATAATTCAAATAAATATAACGACACTCTTAAAAAATTTTATTACCACATTGCATGTACCTTCATGAATTGAAAATGCAGCATTTTGCTTAGAAATGTACCCTCTATTTTTTTTCTCTTGAGCGGCAGACTTATTAAAAACAAAATGAGTGAAAGGATGAACAAAGGATGAACCTACACCGCTCGGGAGCCGCGTTTTCCCTTTTTTTATTGAAAAATGCTAACGGTAGCAAATATAATTGGAACTTCAAACCTTGGATATATTGGAGGGTTTGGAAACTTTAAAAAGATCTATTGTTAATGGCTTTTGGTATTTCTCCAGGACATATTCTTCAAAACCCACCTTCATCTTCCTAAAATCCCGCTGAACATATTTTTGATCGAAGAACCGAATTAGATGTAATTCATCGATAATCCGACGAGTTCAACAGCTCAAGATCTTGTCATCCGCTTATGCTTGTCTTGCTAGCCGCAAACTCGAAATTAAGAAACCTTATTTGTCCGGGACAAAGTGATCAACTCAGCACTTTTTCTTCTGTTAGAGATTAAATAAGTTTATTAAAAAATATTAAAAGAATATGTACATTTTGGGAACTAAAGAGAATCAGGGGTAACGTCGCGGTTATCGCGGAACCAGGCATGTTTCGAAAAGTCGGCTAAGGGCAGTCGCTCGGCGGGCGGGAAACGCATGATTTTCATTAAAAGATCTTTTAGACAGTCGCTGATTTCGCAATTTGGAGGGTACCGAATCTTCACGCGCTTGTACTTGTTCATAATTTTGTATTCTCTGAACAAAAGGATTAGATTTACGTGAAATCAAGGAAGAAAGCGTTAAATTTAAGCTTTCTGGGGATACCCTTAAGAAAACAAGCGAAAACACCGAATAAGTGAGCTTGAAATTTAAGTGAGCCCCCGAGATAAGCCTTAGAACATTGATGGAATACCTTTTATCAAATGGCAAACTTTTAGTAACAACACTGAATAAGATAACCCCGACGCTCCAAATGTCGCCCAGCTTGGCATCAATCTGTCTGGTGCTAGCCGCCACTTCTGGCGCTATATAACCATCGGAGCCGCAACGCGTCGCAGACAACTCGCCTCCCACTTTTCGTGCGAAGCCAAAGTCGCCCAGGATCAGCCGCCCGTGGTAACTGAGGAAGAGGTTTTCTGTCTTCAAATCGCGATGTGCTACGTCCAACGAATCGTGCAGATACATAACAGCTTGGCTCAGTTCTCGTATTACGCGTCGAGCAACGGATTCTGTTAACGCTCCTCTGAAAGAAAAATGGTTAACCTATCGCCGCATGTAGTGCCATTTTTGGTCAAATTAAGTCACTTTCTGTTGATTTACCTTTGTTGAATGTACTGAAGTAAATCGCATGCATATAAATCGGTTATTACATATACAAATCTGCCGCTTTCTATCACGTCGTGCACTTTGACAATATGTTTATGATTGACGAGTCTGAGGATCTCCAATTCACGCGCCAGGAAAGTAGACTCAAATCGCGGATCGTTGATTTTATCCAAATTCATTACTTAAATCGTTTTACTACTGTATGTATTGCTAATGAAGACTTACTTTTGACTGCTCGTTTGTGCTCCTGTCCATTGATAACTTGCTTTGCCGCGCTGACTTTTGCGAAACTGCCACCCCCGATCACCTTGCCCAAAGTGATTCCGACATTGGTCAGCTCGTTGTTGGCATCTTCACTCGGCCTCCTACTGGCCATAAGTTCTGTTCCTTACTGAACTGCCATCAATAAAGCCTTCAAATAAATTTTCACTTACCTTAGGAAGATGACCGACGCGCCGGAGGGCGAAACTGACTGAAATCTGGCCAAAAGCGTGAAAAGAAAAAACATGTTCTAGAGATGCATTTATTTTCAAAAGGAAAAAATTATACAATTTTTGAAATACGAGATTTTCGAGTTTTTGGCGTTTGAGGGGCCTTTGTTCGTAACGATGGACTAGCTTTATCAAGGTCCATTTTTTCTGAGAATGCTTTCGTTATCAAAGAGAGACCCTTATCAATTTTATTTCCAGCAGCGCAAACTGAATTGCTTACGAAATCGTTCAACTCCGTTTCCATCCTACTCTCCCTTTTCTGCAGCGTTTTCCTTTCCCGCTCATCTGAAAACAACCGTTTTTTCGTCAACCCATTTTATCATACTGAAATCGAGAATGTAGTACACCAAGCCGACCCAATCGTAAAATAGCCAAAGAATCGTGACAAACAAAATTGCGGCCGGAAGCGCGAGAAAAAGCGCTAAGCGGATGTTCTGCTCTTTTTCCGTTCTAAATAGGCTCAATTCTAAATTCTAGGGCATCGAGACCTGATGAGAAGATCTGAGGCGTCGTCTTTGTTGATTTTTATTTTGCCCCCGAGATCGTGCTCCGTCATCATTTGATAAATCTAGTACTGGTTTGAAAAGTCGAAAATCTTGGAAAGTTTGTCGCCAAGAAAATGGCTCCCTTTGCAGCAAGGGGTTAAAAAATTATGATCGTTTTTGAACCATTTATCATTTCTTTAATCATCTCATTCCGTAGTTGCTTTTCAAAGTCGCTAAGTTCTCTGTCCCCCGACATGGCGTGTGATTATGGTTTTGGAAATCCCAGCCTGTGGCCAGCTTAGTCCTTTCTCCGCCGTTCACCAATTCCATCACACTTTGCACTTTCACGCGCTTTACATTCACTTGCTTTTCTATAAGCTGATAATAAATTCGGGGCATCGGGATTTGTGTCAATCTTTGCGCAAGTACACATGTTGGATTTGACATGACGCAGGCCGAGATTTAGCTATTGAAACGTGGTTTGGAGGTTTTATCAGTAAATATTTCTTGATATCAGTCTCATGATCTATTATTTTTATCACTACTGTACTTTTCTATTTTATAAATTTTTATTTTTGAAATTTCAAACGATGCGAATTTCTTCTTTAATCGTTTTTGGCAAAGAATTCCTCTCGCTCTTCCTCGTCGGAACAATTATGGGTTGAAATTTAAGTTTGGCGCAGCACACAACTGGCCAAAATTAAGTCTAATGAGGAATAATAACCTGATCCCTTCTTATTTTTTCTCAGCGCGGCGTTACAACTTGTTTTTTCCTCAAATACTTTTACCCGTTTTTAAATTTACTTAACTTTAAAGTTACAAACTGTTTTCGCAGCGGGGGAAAGTCGCCAGCTGTTTCGGGATTGTCGAGCTTTTGCTTCTTTTTGAAGTCAAACAGGGAAGAAAACTGGAGAGAACAGCTGTCGTAAAGAGCGCTAGAGCTCGGCAGCTCTCCCACGTAGTAGCTTGAGTAGTAGTTCCTCAAGAGAGAAAAGAAGGAGGGCTTAGCTGCCCTTTGGAAAGACACAAAGAATCATAAACAGCAAGAGTCAAATCATTACTTTGGAAGAAACAAGAAAAACGAAAAAAGAGACAGACAGTGAGATGTAAGTTAGGGTTAGGGTAGGTAGAAACATATTTTGATTTTTAGACAACATTGGAACTTCGATACATTTCAAACAATCAACCAACAGTTGAACACTCACGAATCTGACTTTCATTTGTGGAAGAAAGTCACTATCTGACAAGAAATGCCTGGAAAGCGCGACAGTGTAAGCTGGACGTCAGAAACCTACTTGGCGGGCGGAAAAAGCGGCCACAATTCCAAACACGAGGAGATTTACATCGATTCAAGCAAGTATTACAGCACTTCAGCCGAGGCCGCAACGCAAACACCCCCACTTCGGAGTGCGACGAAGAGGAGATTGAAGCCGTGGTGCCGGGCGATTCTGTGGATCTCGGGATTAATTTTTCTGTGCGTGTTTTTTGTGGCGATTTATCAGATTGCTTCGGCTCCTACCAGGTAAAAATAAAAAAAAACCTCAATAAAAAAATTTTCATAATTTATTAAGATTGCCTAGAAAATACCGAAAAGTTAAAGCTATGCATATGTATATTTCATGATTTTCGAAATTCCCAAGATGGGTATAAAATTATTAAACCACTCAAAATGCTCCCCCTGACCTTTTTACAAATCCTCGTAATAACACTCTTATTCAGGAAAGCGCTGGCAGAGGAAACAGCAGCGAAAGAACAGCTAGTCAAAATTCTAGTGGAGATTCAAGAACATGACCGAGCAAGAGTCGCACAAGTGAATCAGTTATTTCAAGGAATTTCAAGTCCGCTGATACCGTATTTGCCCGCCCGCGGGTCAACTCCTGTTATAACTTCATAAACTGCTTTTTACTGTTTTCTTTTAACTGCTACTACAATTTGTTAATAAAAAATAAACGAAGCGTATTTTTACTCCCAAGGTGGTACTCCAAGCTTTGTTGAGCCCAGTGAAGGTGCTCTTTTCAAGGTCATTCCGGACCGTGACGAGAAACTGAAATCAACAAAGAGAATTTCCAACTCGATAATTTTTTTCTTCGTTCTTCCTCTCTGCATTTGAATAATTAATAACTTCATAAAATTAATGTATTTTATCACAAAATGCATATTTTTAAGGATTGGTTAGATAATCGCTTTTCGCATTATAATTTTTCACGTGAATACTTATAACAACGTAGAAACTCGCAACTACCACACAAATTGTCAGTAAAATAGCAAAAAGATGGTTAATCATTTTTCCATAAAATCTCCACGCAATTGTCCATTCATCTGGGTCCAAATCAGAGCTTTTTCGCATCTCAAGATTAATTGCCAGCCGTTCTTTGCTGTCCTCTACTTTTTGCTTCAATATCTTCAGAATAACTTCAGGGATGAGATATTTGTCACCGTGAATTTTTTCGTAAATTTTTGCTGAGAAAAGTGCAAACTTTGCTTTTCTCTGCGTGAAGCAGTACAATTGGTCGAATTGTTTTTCTTCTAACCATGCCGTTGCGAGTGGTCTCCGTTTGCCCAAGTCGCCGTTTGCCCAAGTCGCCGTCTGCCCAAGTCGCCGTTTGCCCAACTTGGGCAGACGGAGATCTTAGGCAAACGGCGATGTGATTTTTTTTTAATTGATTGATCATAAAATGATAGAAGTAAGACAACAATTTCATTATCATCACTGAGTCTGCTGATTGCGGTCTGATTTGCAGAGACTTTCAGCCTGAAAGTTTCAGGTGAAAACAAGGGTTGTCCTGTTACGTCTTTTGAACGGTTATTAACCGTGGATTCTTGACAAGACCACCAATCAATGGTTATATACGATTTTCGAATAAATTCTTGAGCACAAACACATAAATAAGAGACGAAATGAAAAATACAGTATCGTTGACTCTACGGAAGCTTTCCGAAATGACATCGTTTACATTGATAACGAGGAGCCTTCGTTATATATCATATATTATATATGGTCTAATTATGAGAGTCGCTAAATTCTCAATCAAAGTCCTAAATTAGGACTTCTAATTAGGACTCCTAATAAACAATTCCCGGAAGAGTTAATCAAGAAGAAAAAAGGCTCCGGTTTACTGAGACTGGATCGTAATTCGGTTGTCATAAGATTGTGCATGTGTTTGTAAATCAAGCCTGAGTACTCCTCTTCGCTGGGAGGAGGTTTTGGGAAGAGTTTCATCAGTTTTCCCCTTTTTCTCTTTTTCCTACTACTCACAATGACTGTTTTCTCTCAGTTTCAATCAGAAATAACTCCAAAAATAGAACGGACCGAAAATGAATCACGAGAAACAGTAATATGGGAAACCATCAATTCAACCAAGTTGGGGATTAGCGCTTGTGAGGACTCGGCGCATCCATCGTTTCCTCAATCTATGGGCCTCGGACGTAAAACTAGCGATTTAACTTTACCACTTAAAATCTATCCTATCCTGCTGGTTTTGATTTCATAATTCAAGATGAGAAATTTCCCGATTTTAGTAATTATAAACTGAAATCAAAGTCTCCTTTGCGCTCATAAAAATCTGAAACCTTGAATTAATTTCTTTAAATTGAATTATGATTATATTTTCAATTTGATCGCCGTTTGCACAAGATCGCCGTTTGCCCAAGTCTCCGTCTACCCAAGTTGGGCAAACGGCGATCTTGGGCAGACGGCGACTTGGGCAAACGGCGACTTGGGCAAACGGAGACCACTCTGCCGTTGCACCTTAAAAAAGTTATTCGAGGAGTTTTTTTTATTAAGGACTTACTCAAGATAATCATACTGGCCACACTGGCGATTAAACTGATAATAAAAAGGATCAGTAATTGAGGTGCATTTGCAACTTCTTTGAAGACCGGGATGTTAGAAGAAAGAACATCCAAGTAGACAACGATGGTCAGTAGCATGGTGACCTGGTAGCTTATCGTCTCTCCACTGCTTATGGGAATCCAGAGGCCAACACAGACGAGGATGTTTAGGCACACAATTGGTAGCAAAAGAGTTATTTCGTAAAATGCAATCTGCCGTTGGAGAAAAAATGAAGTTGATAGCTTTGAGAACTGCTGGTTTTTATTGCTAAAAACTTATTAAAAAAGATGATTTTTTTTCGTGACCACTTACTTTGAGCTCGTGGAGACAGAATATTTAAATGCTTTCAAATTCCACTCTGGGTTTTCGTCGAAAAAGGCATTCTTGGCCACATTCAGGTCAGTTTCGTTGTACGAAGTTTCATTTTTCGTCCGAGAGATTTTTGGTTTTTGAACTTCATTCCACGTTCCAATTCGGAAATTGAGAAAAGTTGTGTCTAAGTTTGGCGTTGCCAAATCAATAGCGCACTCTTGAAGATCGAAAGGATAGAGCTTTTGAACGATCTCACAGGAAGTCTTGAGGCGCATTTTGATCTTCGTGGAGACGTCCCCGTTGGTTGTTATCTTTGCGTCGTAGTAGAAAATTATACCTTCATTGAGGTACTCGTCCAGGTTTACGATTTCGAACGGTGGTGTCCAGATCTTTTCGTAAGGAACGAAAATAGAGTAGATTTCGTTGTGTTCAGAAGCATTCCAGGTGAGACGCTCGTCAGTCCAGGAGAGATAGATGATTATTGTTGAATCCATCGAGCTACATTGTAAACTTTATAAAATTGATTTCTGAGGAATTTTTTACCTTTCATGAATCATGACTTCATTAATGCTCTGAACTTCCATCGACGCCTCGATGTTCATCGGAGTAAATTTTGACGTATAAATCAAATTTTCGAGCATTTCAAAAAGCTCATCCTCCATTTCATAAGATTCGCCGTTCTCTTCAATACACTTGCCTCCACTTGTTTTGTACGAAGCCAGCTCTGCACTGTCAAAGAAATAAAATGACTTGATATACTGCTGACAAGCGCGGGATCTTGTAAAATCAGCCGGGATTTCGGCTGAGTCGTAGATGCAGTAAAAGAAATCAGCAGCATGGGAGTTCTTTTCGTCTTCATCAAGAGATTCGAAGTCGTATTGGTCATCTTGGTAGTAGAAGTCGTAGATATTCGTTATCCATCGTTCGCAGATCCCCGTAAAATCATCACTTTCCTCTAGAGGATCGTAAACCTCATTGATTGGCATCGTATCAGAGTCATAATTGTCCTCGTCCAAAAGGGTTCTTTTCAACCTTTCATTCGGCCACAAATCTCTCTGCCCAAATATCTCCGTGAAAAATAGAAAAAATAGAAAAATCATAATTTATTTTCAGAAAATAAGCTTCTGAGAAAAAAAAAATAAAGCAATAGTCTTAAAATAACAATAAAAATCTTTTTATGACTTGAAAAGAATCCTGAACTCACGCCAGAAAACAAATGCCGCTTGAAATGTAACAATGGTTTTTTGCAAATAATTACTTTTTGAAAGGAAGCTTTCTTTCCGGAGTCGGGTCTTTGGGTGCGAGGACAAGTCAAAATTATTATTCCTGAACAATGTCTCGTTGACATAAAAGATAAAAATCGGCATTTAAGTTAAAATACTCATTGAGCCACTGTGTAAATAATAGTTGCTATGAAATAGACATAGTCGTCGAAAATTTGAACTTCGAGTGGGATTCAGCATCTGTTTCTCTCACAATGGTCTCAAGAATGTGATCTGCATAAAAGCCAAACATGCGAGTCCTAGTAGCAGCATTTTCTCACATTTTTGCAGAAATCGTCGATCCGACTGGGTTATTTACTGACTCCAGAGGACTAACAAGGTTTTGTTGGATATAAAGATTTACTTTTTTATTAGTTTGTAGAGATACGTATGCTATCAAAAAGGAACTTCCAGCTGAAGATTTCAACTTTGTCGTGCTCGGAGACTGGGGAGGACTTCCTCCACCAGCATACACCAGTGAGCTTCAACTGAACGGTGCCAAGGCCCTCATGGAATATGCAAAGATTAATCCCGTAAGTAAAAGTCATCTCTTTTACGACTAAACGTTGATATAGCCAGAATATGTTCTCTCGATCGGCGATCATTTTTACTACAACGGAGTCGAGACAGTTCGAGATCGAGCTTGGGAAAGGACATTTGAGAATGTCTACGACTCTCAAGAGATGATGGTCCCTTGGTATCCGACAATGGGTAATCATGATTGGTTAAAATTGCCGGAGGGAACTGAAGGTGGACAGAAAGGCAATGGATGGGCCCAGGTGAGAGTGAATGTTTTTTCAGGTAGGAATTCTTAGATTGAATACTCTGCTCATGGAACTGGTCGATGGACGCACCCAGATCTTTTCTTCACGACTGAATACACAACCAGCGCTGGAATCAAAGTCAAAACCATTCTGGTCGACACTCCAACTCTCACTGGCGAGTACCGCGATGGAGCCCCCCGACCCATTCACTCTGATGAAAACTGCGACGATCCGTACAACCTTGACTGTGAGCTCCGAGCTCTTCATCCTCTCGACGAAGAAATTGCAGAGTGGGCTTGGGAGTGGGTTGAGCAAGAACTCGCGAATTCAGGGGACGCGGATTACTTATTCGTAACCGGGCATTACATGATTCTTGATACTGGCGGCATCTATGATTGGGAGCTTTTCAGAAGACTTGAGCCACTCATGGAACAGTACAAAGGTAAATCGCTGGAAACCAACTTTTTTATCTGTTTCTAGTGAGCGCATTCTTCCAGGGCCACAAACACACACAAGAACACGCCGTTCGATCACCAAAACTCGTCCCAGCAGGAGCCGAAGAAACCCCCGGCACCGTTCATTTCTTCACCACTGGAGCTGGTTCTCTTTATGACACCGAGTCCACCATTTTCCAACAGCTGACAGGAGGCTTTCCGGGAAGAAGCGGCTGCCATCCCAGATTTGAAGAGAACGGAAATGACAACTCTAGAACTGTCTGTCATTACTACTGGGCGACGACTAAGAATGATGGAGAAGCTGATAGCGGCTTTACTTCAGTGAATATTTCCGCTGATCGAGCGCAAGTCCGATTCGTCACTTCCGAGAAAATCAATGAAGACGACAAGTTTTCCATCGGATACGAATTCGATATTCCTCCTAGAAATGTTCAATAAAAAACAAACATTGACATAGAAATTGATAACGCAATCCAATAACAGATTCCTCGAGAATGTCTTGCGACAAAAACTTTCTCTGGTAAAATTTACAAACATTGTCCTCCCAGTGCTCTCTTCACCTTCTCATAAATGCAGCTGCCAATTCTATGCGCTATTTCAAATCTAGTAGAAAAGAAATTCAATTTTCAACAATTTCTACAAAAAAATATTTTAAAAATGAAAGTTTTTTTATTCAATATTGCTTCTTTTGCCTCTGCTCTTTCAACTGGACAAATGAGACCTTGTGATATGGCTGTTGAAGAATGTTCTTTGGTGAGTGAAAATGATGTCAGTTATCGACGATTACTTATCGTTAAGCTTTTTTCTTTGAGTTTACAAAGTGCTTCTCAGTCTAACTCTGAGCCTCATTAATCGGTTTTTTAGAACTTTGACTGCGTCGACTTTCCCTACTGCTCTGAAGACGGCTTCTACTTCACTGGACCAGTTTGTAGCATCGAGGGAAGCTGTTCCTGCATCGACCGACTCACTGGAGCCAAATCTGTTTCATCCGAAGGAGTAGAGCTCACTACTCAAGTCTATCTCCCTGCAGACTTTTTCGGCAGCTGGATGACAGACGCACAATTTAGCTGCGACTTGTTCTCTTCTGACGCTTCAGAGAGCGCTTCTTTAGCTGAAACTGTTCCTGAATACGTTCTATCGCAAATTGCTCTCTAACTCTCTATCATCAACCCTGCTTCATTTTAAATACAGAAAATAACATGTGCTTGCTTTAAAAAATATACGTTTATTATTGTTGAGTAAAGGAAGAGTTTATGCAGAAGATTTAGCTTCGCGGATTGCCTTGATGTGCGCCAGTTTGGCCTCGATGAGTTCAATGTTTGGGAAGGAGTCGGGCACCAGGTTGGTTCGACGGTTTCGGAAGTGGAGGTTTTTGTTGATTCGCGAGATGGGTTCCAGTCGGGAGCTGTAGCTCTTTGGGATCGCTTCTGCTTTTTCCTTGTTCTCCTGAGATGTGAAATTAAAGAGGAAGATATCGTAAACTTACCAAGGAATGAGGCTGGAAAGAAGCGTGAACAGTCGACTTTTTAACAGCTCTAGTTTCAGCCCGTTCGTTAGCATGTCTAGCAGCCGTCTTGTTCATAAAGTCCGTTCTTGGCTTTTCTGAATAAAATTAGTGTCCAAATGAACGGTAAAGAGGCAGCAGGCTTGAAAATTGATCGAAAACGAACAGCAAAGAAACTGAGTTGAAAATTACAACCTTGTTTAATTGTTGATTGCTCTGGATAATAATGAAGACTGTGTCTATTCCACTTGCGCAACTCACGCGACAAGATGCCACCTTTGCACTCGCGCTCGTACGTAGACATGTGGCGAATCTCTGCTGTCTGAAGAAAAGGATTGAAAAATATGGACAGAAGCCATTTTACCTCATATCGGTTTCCGTGATGCTTGAAAAGAAAGTGCGGCTTGGTATAAATTTCTCGGGACACGTGAGCGGGAGTTGAGTATTCTAAAATTGTAATTCATTACATTTCTCATTGACAGAAAAAATGCATGAAAAAATTTGGTTGGCTTACCGTAGCCTACGCATTTATGTTTCTTATAATCGACGTGACTCGATGGAGTGACATCTCTTGTGCTCAGGTCGACATTTTGATCGCAGTACCAGTTCTTCTGGCAAATTTTCTTTCTGTCCTCGAACCAGTTACCAATCTTGACTCCATCCGAGTACATTTTTTCTTTTCCATCAGAGGCCAAATCGACCAGCGTGTCCTTGTCAAAGCAGATCCCATGCGTGGGAACACTTTTGTAGGACTTTTTTCGAGGCTGAGGATTATTGTACACTAGAAATTTCAATAGAAACCAAGCTAGCTGAGAAAAGTACCTCTTGTAGTTTCGATGAAACTTTTGTTCGCTGGGCAAATTGAGGTAAGGGTGGCCTCCGTCATTTTCTCGCGCTAGATCTTCTTGTTCTTCTTCAGCAGCGATTGCCCCCACAGCGGATCCTTTCAAACTGACGACTTTTGAAAAAACATCCCCATCTCGGCAGATGTTCTAGAGATGCAAAACGCCTTTTTCAGATTAGAGGATTGATCAATTTGAGAATTGTGAAATTTATGCGTTCGACCTTAGGGTAGGTAGCGGAAGTAGCCAGAGCAAAGAGGTGATAACGACCGACAAGCGTCCCGCACGACTTGGACAGTGGTCAAATTAGCCTAATTCATTTATTTATAACCACTCCTGAAACTGCAACTGCTGAAATTGAGAGACTTATGCTTTTGGTAAGACTTGTCTTCTTGAGAAAGTTAAACTTCTTTTTGAGAAACTTGTTGTACTCCTCCTTGATTTCAAAGCCCTTGGAATCACACTCTTCGGTCCCGACTACAGTTCAAGTGATGCCTCTGCCTACATTTCATCCTATTCTAGCTCCGGTAAGTCTTCGAATTTCATATTTCTTTTATTTTCGAAGACAACTTCGACCCAAGAGAATGCAAAAATACGAGGACAGGGGTCGACTACAGAGGAACTCTTTCATTAACACAATCTGGCAAGCCGTGCAAGGTATGTACCATCCTTCCAGCAAGTTCCCATATATTTCTGATTCTAGGATTGGAGGGACTTCCCCCGATGGATAGAAAAGTACCCCGAAAGCGACCTAAACGGGCCATATTGCAGAAACCCGGATGATGATCTAGGCGGACCTTGGTGCTTTACAATTGGAGGAAGCTGGGATAGCTGTAAAATTATTGACTGCGTTAAATATTTTTCTTCGAATAAAAAGTGATGCTAAAATTTCATGTCGGTGAAACTTGGATTCAAAGACAATCTTTAAAAATTTATATAATTTAAATGTTTATTTCAGTTTTGATTTAAATCAGAGCTTTCAGATTTAATTGGTGGTGCATGTTCCAGTGCTACGTTTAATTCTCGCCAGCAGTGTTGTAAATCCAACTGAAAAAAAATTATTACTTCGTTTTCATCACGTAACAAGCTTACTTTTAACCAACAGGGCAGTCCATCCACCTTTTGAATCTGAACTGTACTCGTTCCCCAGCACAGTCCAAAGGAGATAAAAATTGTACAGTGCTCTCTCAGTTCCCAAAGATCGCTGAGCGACTCTCGCTCGGCAATTGCTTGAGAAAATTCTTCGTAGTAAAATAATTCGACTTCATGAGCAGGGGGAATTCGGACGGGAGTTGTATCCATTTGGGGAGATTTGACGTAGACGGAAATTGGGGAGACGTTTCTCAGGAGGACGGAAGCTTAAGTATAAATTATTAATCAAATTCATAAGAAGGGAAAATAATTATTAATTGATATCAATTGAAGTTAAACTAAAAGTAATATCTTGCTCCTTACCTTCAGAATTTTCAAGTACTATTCCATGACCAATACTTTCCAAAACCCTATCCGTGTCCGGACAGCCTCTTAGCCCAAGTGTTCTTATTCCTAGAGGCATTCTAGTAGTCGTGCAACGCGGGCCAGTATTTCCGTCAATTTTGAACGATCGACTTCTGGCTTCAACAAGGCTTCATTTTAATTAATCTCGTCGACTCTTTCTTAAATTGGAGCCTTCCCTATGAAATCCTCGCCGCGTTTGAGTTTCCTCTGGTAAAAAGCAACTCTTGCCCAATCTACATGATGTCTGATGATGTTCTCTGAGGGCTGTTTTCGCCGTTTCATGGTTCTTTTTTCTTTGTCGTGAGTTTTGTCGATTTCTGTCGAATGAACAATTTTGGCGGGTGTATGTCTCGAGTCTCTGTCGGTGTCTGGTAGACAAACTGCTCTTTTTATCGATGTCTGGTAAAGCCCGTTTCTAAAGTTTGTCCCGTCAGTGACAGTCTTACTTGCTTGGATAAAGAATAATTTTAAAAAATGATGATTAAATTTTCCGATAATTTATTTTTATTGAACTCTCGAACTGACAATGACAGGAAAAGATGCATCTGAAACACATCCGGTTGGCAAAAAATAGTACTAAACATGTAACATGTAGCGCGGCTCTAGCAGAGTTTGAGAAGATCTTCGACCATCTTCGAAACTCCATCGTGGATTTCATGGAACGCACCTTTAAAGAACAATTTACCCTTTAGATTCTACTGGAGATAAACTACCTTCATACATAAAGGCGGGAGTGGTGACAATTTTGTTCTCCTCGTCAACGCAAGTTTCCGCGACGGTTTTTTCGACATGCTTGCATCCCAATTTTTCGATCGCTCCCGCGACTTCAGCATATGGCCACTTGCCGCCCTGAGAATCTAAAATTCAAAAGGAAAGAACGATTCTAGCACTTTAGGCTTTTCTTACCAGCGGAACCGACAGTAACGGTGCAGCCAGGAATCAGTTTCGCAGCCAAATGAGGGGCAATGCAGCAAAAAGCAAGTGGCTTCTTTGCTGCGTGGAATTGAGTGATCGTCTGGGCTACAGTTGGATCGACCGTACAATCAGGACCTGGGAAAGTTCTTGACTATCTTTTTTTCTGAATTTTACCTTTGAGAGCCCAGTCAGAGAGATTCTTCGCCGCGCCGAAACCACCTGGAACGAGGAGAGCATCGAAATCTTCGACTTTGAGTTGAGCAAGATCAGTGACTTTTCCACGGGCGATTCTAGCGCTTTCTTGGAGAACGTTTCGATTCTCTTCGTGTGGTGCTCCTGCACAGTGGTTAATCGCGTGCAGTTGTGGCTTGTCTGGAGCAAAGCAGGATATCTAAAGGGATAGAAAGCAGAAGATAAAGGTTGTAGTACCTGGGCATTGTGGCGAGAAAGAGCGACAAGAGCAGCTGAAGCCTCGTGAATTTCGCTTCCATCATAGACTCCGCTTCCGGCGAGGAGAACTGCGACGCGGTGGGAGCTCGCCATTCTTCGAACAGTCAGGCTTAACATTTCTTATCCGTTAGATACGTCGTTCGTTTCATTTTCATTTTGAAAAAGTGAAAGAATTTGAATGTACAAAGTCAAAAATCTGCTGCCGTCGAGCTTCGTCCACGGGCAATTCAAAAGTTGGCAGTTCGATTCCAGTGAAAGGATCGCTCGGGGGACGCGACCACAGGCGACTTTCCTTCTTCCACTTTTCCAATGTGCTTCTATCGACCCAATATCCAGATGGGAGAAGAACAGGGTGAACCATTTGTAAACAGGTGACAGAATCGATCGCCCAGGGAGGAAGCTTGCGCTCGGAAATTGGAATTCGATGGGGAAATTTGAGACTTTGAGAAGTTGAAGCTTCTTCTTCAGCATCGCTTTCTTTGGGTGGACCTTTCTTTTCTTCGTTATCGTAACTTCCAAAAAAGGCTCGGATTTTGGGCTTTTCACTAATAGAATCTTCAACAGGACATTTTTGCTCGCTTTTCCAGTCCACTTGCCGACCCAAAGTTCTCATAGAAATTGAATTTGCTGAGAATCGATCGCCAAAGATTTGAAGCACTTCCAGTCCGAGGACTCCTCCAGCGAGCATTTTCACGAATCGAAATCTTTTCTCGTTATTATTTTCAATTTTCTTTCGTTTGCAAACCTTAGTTTTACGAATTTGAAGGAAAAACGCGTTGGAAGGATTTGAGATGTCCACCTTGGTTTGAAGACCTTTTCGTTACTTTTGTGCAACGAGTAATTTTGGCCACTTCCGCGAAAAGTCAAAGTCGACAAGTTTTTGAACACTTTTCCCTCGGATGAAATGTCCAGTTTTAGAATACAATTCGACGCCTGAAGAATTTTAATTGGAGTTGTTTTTGGTTGAAAAGTGTTGAGAAAATGGGGGTTGTACCTTTATGTTTATACCTTTGAAGATCATCGGCAGTGGCGCTTTGATGGTGAATGTAGCTGGAGATCGAATGTAGTGCTCGAAGTAGACTGGGCCGGAGGAAAACGAATCCTGGAATTTGGCAAGAGCATCATCTTTGCCAGGGTTTTCAAAGGTAATGTCAAGCTGCGAGTTTAATAGTTTCATACAAAATACATTTCTAAACACATTTTACACGATAAGTAAAATTAATATTAATCTCATTTTTAGGGATTTTTTCAGATTACAGAGGCAGATGACTTAAATTATCGTTGAACTTCAAGTTCCAATTTATCTCTTCATTTCGTTTATAATTTTCAAGTCTTGCCCAATCAGCGCGGCGAAAATTCAGAACGAACCAAGATCCCTCTGTCTTTCTTGAATTCTAAACATGGATCTGGCATCGTTTCCAAGGTCTGAAGTTCAAGCTGAATTGCTTGAAACAGCTCAAGTCTTGAACTTCAAGTACTCAACTCGTGTTCATCATGGAACTGAACTCGACCAACTTGGGTCAAAAACTTCAGGGCGTGGAAGTTTGCTTTCAAAAAGATTCGAAGCATTCGCAAATACTGTTCATTCATCATATACCGTAAATATTCGTACCCCCAGTCGTGAATTTATACACATAAACGACCGAAGTTTCCATAATTGTAATATTTTCAAAAATCGACAACGTAGTAAGTAGGGCCCAAGTTTTGAAGTCTTTGCACAAATCTTCGAGACCTGCTTTGGTTCAAATTTGGTTACTCGAGGTTACTTCTTAGATAATGAAATATTTTTGATTGTCGGATTCTCTTTCACGGAAAAGGCTACACCCTTAGAAATCACCATCAGTTATGGTCACTAACCTCTCAGAAGACAAGAATCAGCTCCTCCAAAGATTCAAGTTGAATATGAACAATTATTAATTGTCAATTAATAAAATATCAGTTCCGAAATAGAAAGACATCAGCTTGTCTGTCCCACGAGGCAGCCAGACAGGTATCGCAGTCTAAGTGGCCTGGCAGACGTAATTAATCAAAAAGTTCCCACCAATTCCTAGCTATTCTTTCCAGCAAATACAGCCCGGGCGTTTTAAGTAGCGGAAATCTGTAAAACGCTTCCGGTATTGAGATGTTGTTTAAATTTTGTACATGGACGACCTTGAACTCTTGACTTGAGTTCAGACGCGAGAGTGCAGACTCGGTTTTTAGACTCCATCGACATTGGATGGCGTAACAGTTTGCTCTTCCGGAAAGCGTCTGTCACTACGAGTGCTCCCCCCCCCTATTTAAAGAACGGCTACAGGCAGGTCACAATCAGTCAAAGCGAAAGCTCTTTGTTATATTTTACATCTTATTATAATATTTTATTCTATTTATTATTTTCACTATGTATTATCAAGAGAATATATTTACGAGGAATTTATTATTCAAGGTATTTATAAAAGTTCTATTTCATGGTGGTCTCAACTTTCTGAGGTGGCCCTCATCTTACTGAAGAGCCTCAGTTGAAAAACGGACTTGAGAAACTGGTCAAGTAGAAGGTAAAAGGGCAGTATAAAAGTCGGGTATTGCAGAAGATATCAAAAAAGAGAATCGTCGAAAATCAGCATTTGTACTCTTCTATGATTTCATAAATAGATATGTGTCAGTTTACAAAGAATTTTAGAAGTAATTGAGAAGGCTAAGGTTTCGTGCCCAGAGGCCACTATCGGTCTTCTTAGAACGCCTATTTAAAATGGGCTATTTGCGAAAACGGATCTGCCGGTCTTAGATGCTACTAATACTAAGGATCGTGTTGCAGCTTGTCCGACGGTGAGGGATGAAATGCGCAGCATTATCGATCCAGTAGCGCCTAACGCCTATCTCCAAGCGAGTAAAAACTTCAAGACAGATTAGTCTAGACAAGACGCTTTTTTTCAGACGATTCCTCAAGGAAGAATCAGTCTTATTAACAGTGGCAGTCTTACACGAGAGAGAACGGCAACGCATTTTCTTTCATAAGCAGCAGAGAACAAAATCCAACTTTTACCCTAACCTTAGGTAAAATTGTGAGAACGTTTTTTTTTTTGAAGGATGCAATTAGCCTGGGTCCCAGACCCAGGATTCATTTCAAAAGTGACGCCTGGGTCTCAGACCCAGGATACCCCCTCAGAAGTGACGCCTGGGTCCAATACCCAGGATTAATTTAAAAATGGGCATTTTCGGCAGACTTCGTCGATTGATTCTCTGAAAACTCTCAGATCTATTTGCCCCTTACCACGGGGCTTCGCCCCTTAGGTCCTAAAATGCCGGGGTCTAGTCTAGGGTTACTTACGGTTACCTTCAGTAACCCTAACTAACCCTAGCCTATCCCCCTCGGGTGAGACTGTTCCGTCATTTTTGCAGGTGCCCCCTAACACTAACCTTAATTATAGTAAATACTAGACTTTTTATCAATTATTCATGGGAGAAAATTATTTTTTTTCTTCTAATAACGCTTATCTCCTAATTTTTGGACCCAGGCGTCACTTCTGAGGGGGTATCCTGGGTCTGAGACCCAGGCGTCACTTTTGAAACGAATCCTAGGTCTGAGACCCAGGCTAATTGTATACTTCCTTATTTTACCTCGTGACTTTGGAAACATTAAAGAGTATCTCATTTTAATCCACTGACATTATAGGATATAATAATAAATAGTAATATCATATAATAATATCATATTACACTCTTAGTCGTAAACAAGGGTACAAATTGTATCAAGTATTTCAGTCACTTTTCATCGAATTAGCAAGAAAGGAGTTGGCTCAAACATTGGTTTAGCGCAGTCAGACTGTTCAAAACAGACCTTTTCGGTTATTAAATGTCTGCTCTACCATCACGTAATAACTGTAAAAATGATGTAATACAAGTACGTTCCTACAAGAAAGCCTAAGGGTTAATTTTCAAGTAACTTATTAAATAAGTCTTATTTTGCTGGCAGGAGAAATAATACTCTTTCTTTAGCAAAATACTCTAATCGAGTTTTTTTCAGAAGAATCATTGTATTTTTGCACTTGAGCGTGTCTTTTGTTTTAACAGAATTGGATGACTTCGAAAAGAAAAGCTAGAGAAAGGATCTTTTCAGAGTGATGGATACATATGCCACCTTAACCGATCTTTACGATAATTGTTACGCGAGTCTGAGAGTAAAACAGACAATAAAAAAATCGAATTCAACGTTTAGAGAAATGATAATCATATATTCATTTGGCGGGTTTATTCAGAGATTGATGGACAGTCACAGTAATCGTTAATGCAAAAACTTGATGTAGCGGCAGATGAGGTCGCTCCTAAGAATTATTGTTCAATATCAAACACAGCTAAAGCGGTGTTTCAGCGGCACAAACCGTGAATATAAAAATTGTATATCATTCTTCCCAATAAAATTATGCGATAAAGAGATTTAAGAACGCGCGTGATGAATATAAATTTTTCCATTAATAACTTTCCAGAGAGTAACCTTAATTTATCAGATAAAAGAAATCATTTCATTATGAAAAAAATAACGAAATGCTCTGCCGCAAATTATACTTGGATTTTCAGCGTTGCGTTTTCACGCTTTGAAGTCGCCACAATAGCTCGCGCTTTTCGTTGATTATTATGGGCTCCTTTGAGCGAAGGAGTAGCGCTGCCCCCGTAAAGGGGGGTTGAGCCACTGATCGCTCTCTGCACTAATCAGTCCGCGCGGGTAAGGTCTTTGTCTGCGCCAATGCGACTACTGCCCTTTTGCCCTTACCAGACTTGTATTCGATCGAGCAAGTGCACGTTCCTGAGAGAAACAATTAGACGAAAACCAAGTAATGATCAATAGAATAAGTATTTTTTATCAGCCATAATTAATGGAAAATCATTTGCTATCTTCCATTGTAAATAATATAATTTTCTGGACGGATATCTTTTCATTATTCACGGTTGATTCTACAGCCATACTTTTTATCAGTGATAATACTCCTGAAGAGCACTATTTGAGCTGAACTTCTTTGATAAAATTTTTATCATAAAATTATTTTCTGAATTAATATCATTAAATACTAGTTATGCATCTTATCAGATCATCAATTGAATCTTCAAAAAGAGCTGGTCAGAACTCCCCCTATAAAACAGGATTAAAACAATTTTTTTTTCATTCGTTGCTTTTTCATTTTCTGAAAACGAGCAATATTGTAATAATTGATTATTGCGGTGATACTGTACTTTCTTAAGCTGTCTGAGTAACTGTTAATCTCTGCTCAACTAAGCTTCAGACAGACTTCCTCAGCAACTGCTCGAGAGCGAATTTGTTGAGTGAAATTGCCACAACTTTTTAGACTTCGCCATCTAGCACCATTTCCGGCGCACCTTCTCTGAATCATCAATTGTTGATTATTGTAATCTTCAAGTTGCATTTTAAGATTAAAAATCGGGATCGCTAAAAAAGGAAGAGAAATATCTCCATCGAAAAACCAACTGCGCAGAATCGAAAATGCCGATGCCCAGTGGCCTACACAACCTTTCCTGGAACTTGACAAACTTTGGTCGATCATCTGTAAGTACCGTAATGGAACACTGTTCGGCAAACAGTCTATGCCTCAAATTGTTTCCATTGACATTTGATAAGAGTGCTCGGCAAACAACTGGTAGTCAGTCTGGTGCACTTTGTGGGTGACAGCGACAGTTTTTCGGAACGCCTCAGCGTCAATTCAAGCCGGGTTGATACGAGTTCACTCCCAGTCCAACTAATAACATCGCTCTAATAGACAGTAATAACTTGAACTTTCTCGCGGTTCATTTTCGAACTGCTGTTTGTGAGCCCATGCATGCAGCCTATTTTCGCACACCTAAAAATGGACAATACGTGGCAGCCTATTCAATATTTATCATAAATAATGAATAAAATTCAAACCACATCTATCCATAAATGATTTCGTGCAGAAAAGCTTCTTTATTGTGAGTAACAACAACATTGAAGGTAAAACAAGAACGCATTTTTTATTCTTCATGTAAACTTTAGTTTTGCTGTAAACAAATTGTTATCGATATGTAAAACATCATACCAACTTATGATGACATGACTTCTTATAGCAACTCCCAATACTGCTACAAATAGGATGACAAAGAAAATATTGATTAGGAAATCATTTTTGAGTGCGAGCAGTCCCTAACCCTTTCTTTAAAAACTGACGATTATGCACTCTAGACAGCGACTCAAATATTTAAACATATTTGTAGACTCAAACTAAACACAAACCAGACTAATCGTTTCTCAAGAAATCCGTTAGTAGTTGTTCGAGAATGAAATAGAATACCGTAATGAGCGAGCTGATAAAAATTGCACATCTTTATAACAGAGCGAAGGTATTCTAGGAGTAATATTTGCTGAGATTGCATAATAAGGTGCAGAAGGTCATTTGCAGACTAAATTTATCTCGTCTTTTTATGGCAGATTCCAATTTTTCGAACTAGAAATGTTTTGATGAGCTTCAATCTTTGGAATATAATGTGATGTTTTTGTATCAATTAGCTCAAGAGCCTTAGCTGGCACCATATTCCATCGCCTTGGGCAAGAAAATGGAACATTCTCTTACTCCAGAACGTTTCACTTGGAGATTCCCCAAAGTCACTTTTTGAAGGAGGATAGAGAAACGAAAAAAATGTCGTTCTTTCGCGAAGCTTTGTTCAACAGAGCATCAATGGTGAACAAGGACGATTTTATTTTTAAAAAACCTAAGTTGGGACTGTTAAGAGTAAATAAAGACATGTAAATATACCAAAAACCGCTCCAACCTAAACATTGGGTCTGAGAAAAGAAGCTCAAAAATGTGTACTTAGATGCTTTTTTAACATATAAATTATATGATATAATCATCTCCGGCAATACGCTTTGCAATAATGGGGCCGCTTATTTTGTCTATTTTTGATGAAAACATGATATTGAAGATAAATTTAGACTAACAATATCGATGAATTGCTTCAACTTGCCAAGGACCGAGCGAGGCGATTAGACGACGAACAGTTTATTGAAAAAGCAATCAGGTTGGATCATCAGTTCTTAATTTATAATGAGATTAACATCCTATTATCAAACTGTCTGACTTTGACGAAAGAAAAAATTGATTTATTTGTCTCTTTTTTGAACTTTCGTTATTCAAAAATAAGGGTGTCTCTATCTTATTTCGAGTAAAAAGCCTAGATCATTAACCGTTTTTCTTTAGATCTCTCGTCCGGAAGCTGAAAAAGAATGGCCAAAGAAACAGTGTCAAAGACCTGATAAAAGCAATACAGGAAGGAAATAAGAATTCACCATGTGTTGTGATTCCAAGAAGTCTTGACGGGCGCATGCAAGGTAACTTTATTACGCCATATTCTCAGCTTCATAAAATTTAATTTAGTGGCCCAGCGAAAAATCATTCCTCATCTACTCTTTTGTCAAATTTGGCGATGGCAGGACTTGAAAAATCATCATGAATTGCGGTCGTCTTCAAATTGCTGCCACCCAAGGTAAAGAATTGAAAATGAAAATGAGTAGAAGTCAAAATAAATATTTTGAAATCGATTTCTGAAGATGCTAAAATCCCTTGCATCAACAGAACTTTTGTACTTTTACACTGAGACGGCTTCTTTTCAAGGTCGAGACAAACACGGTTTGAATAAATAGTAAGACACGTAAAAGAAACATTCGTGGGAGTCGGCTGCTCAGATACACAGTTTTCCGCGTTCTTTCTTTTTTGATAGCATCGTTGAGCGATTGTCCAGTCTTTCTCAGAGAAAGCACTCACTGATTAGTTACAGAGATTTAAAATGGAACATTTTTCGAAGAAATTGAAAAAGCGTTTCAAAAGAATCCGGTAAAGAAAATAACTGTAACTTTCGATTATTAGCGGGTTCAGGGTCCTTGGGTTATCTTTTTTCTGATTGGGTTAGGCAGAAAATTCTCCCTTCTTATTCGCTAAGAGCGAAACCCTAAAAACAATTTCGATATTAATATATATTTTACCACTGCTGCTCAAATATTATCGATAGAAATGGAATAATACTTAAAATTCTAGCCACCAGCGACCGCGTGATGACACCTGCATCAACCCCTTCCATTATGAAAGAATGGCAGCGACACATGTGCCGCCTGTACTTGTTCCGCGAATTTGTCCAAACCTGTAAGTTTGAGTGACCTTCACTGTAACTGGCTTAGCGGCTCAACTGCCGAAGTGCGGTTCAACGTCAATTAGCTAAATACAGCACTAATCCAAGTTTAAGGTTTCAAAACGGGACCATGGGCGGTGGAATGCCGACAAGCATGGACTACCAAGGATGGAACGACAGGGACGAATCGAGCGAGGATTACGTCGTTGCGCCAAATCACGATCTTCAAAATCTCGTTCCTCCATCGCCCGAGAATCTCCTGCCTGACGACTTGCTATCAGAGGACTCTGATTATCCGCAGTCTCCGATGGGGTCTGCCATTTCGCAGCAGCGTTTTTCGCATTCGCCAATCTCCTCTCCTGGCTCGCAAATTAGCGAATGCAGCAGAACATCAGGTAAGCACGAACATGGTTTTGGAAATGCGTGTCTTGGAATTCGCCTATTTTTGCCGCAAATATTTTGAGCATAAATTGTGTTACATAATCTAATTCAATATTTCTTTTTATTGCCATACCAACTGAGTTCAAAGTAAAGCATATTTATCAGCAAAGTAAAGATCTTTCATAAAAAATTATTAGTTATCCATTTCGCTGGGCCATCAAGCGAAGGTGATGAAGGATCGCGTTCTCCTTCGACTGGCACCGCTGAAAGCAGTGAGGACAACGAGGACAGCGGTGAGATGGCAGCTCCGCAACCACAACCTACAGGCGCTGCAGAAGCCACAGAAGTTCAATACGAAGAGATGGAGACCTGGTGCACCATTCACTATTACGAGCTCAACTCAAAACAGGGCCAACCATTTGAAGGTAAAACCTTATCCAAAATCTAAGTGCTTATTGACGCAAATATTCAGGAAAGAGCACGACCGTGAGAGTGGACGGCTCCGCTCAGCAAACTGTTCCTGGCAACAGGTGCGTTCCATTCTTAGAATCCGAAATGTTTACTAATTACTACTAATAGACTTTGTCTTGGCTCCATCGAAAGCGACATTCGAACTAACGAGTCCAGAATGGCCCGGAAACAAATCCACGAAGGCGTGGAGCTTCGCTACGAAGGTGGAAGAATCCAACTTCGAAACACCTCTCCCACTTCTATATTCGTTCAATCAACGAACATGAACCAGACGCATCAGCTGCGTTCACAAACAGTCATCAAGATTCCCTCAGGACACCAGGTAAGCAAAAACCGCTAAATGATTTTTGAATGACAATATCTATCTGCAGGCTATCATCTTCAACAACACTGATTTCGCAAAATATCTCCGCCAGTCTGTCGACCTCGGCTTTGAAGCTGTCTACAAGCTCAAAAACTTCTGCGTCATTCGATTGAGCTTTGTGAAGGGCTGGGGAGCCGACTATCGCCGCGCGCATATCACGTCAGCACCTTGTTGGATTGAAATTCATCTCAACTCACCGCTGCAGTGGCTAGACAGGGTACTCCGCGAAATGCACAAAAGTTGGGAGAGGTAAGCCCATTACACAACGACTGCAGTACTTAATCCTTCTTTTAGCACAATGGGCTCGATCAGCTAAAGCTGTAAAAATGAGTAGCAAAAGGACTCTCGAACTTTGTAACTTGAAGTTTACCTACATCAACATCAACGAAAATACCACATTTACAAATCACCAAAAAAAGTTCCCTGACAGAAAAAGTCAGAAATAGTTTGTATCAAAAAACTGAAAACAGTTACACCCACTCTCTTTCTCTTCAAAGTTCTATCACAATAATAAACTTCTGCAATGATAAATTTGCATTTGAATTTCAGTCAATCAGTATTCCTCGACTTAGTCAGTTTCAAGCTTTCTTTGGGTATATTTACAGACTTATTTATTGCACTGAAAGAACAGCAGTTAGAAAAAAAGTTAGTCCGATTTCTTCCCTCCTCTATAAGATGTCGAAGCAGACGTACTCCAACCGGTAGAAATGCGCATGGCTCGTTGCTGGCGTGCTTTAGTTTGATCAACAACTCTGTCGAAGAATTTACTAAAAGCTAAAATAAGTGTTAGGATCAAAGCAACAAATTCTTCCGCACCGATTTTAACCGCAGATCCAGGAGAAAGGGCCTTTTTATCTGAGCAATCGAGATTAACGAGCACCGACCCAAGTTCTTCGGCCATTCTTCTTGATCTCTCCTCTACCAGCGTCTTTTTCTCCTTCATGACATCGTTCATCCTCGTTCCTACCAAAATCAGCGGCACATTCGCCCCCGATTCTTGGTCCCCATCGAGCACTTCTTCCGACCAGCCTCGAATGTTCTCCAAACTCTTCCTGTTGGTGAGATTGTGCACGAAAATGACGCCATGAAACTGGTTGAAAAACACGGAACGGGACATTGTGTGCGCAAGATTTCCAGAAACATCCCATAGTTCGCAGAAATACAAATCCTCTTCAGCTGTGCCTTGTTTGTACTTGTGAATGAGAATTTCAACGTTGGCACCAATCGTCCAGTTGCACTGAGCATTTTTCATCGAACCGGAAACGTCAGTCAGGATTGACGACAAATGCGTTTTCCCAACGCCAGAATCGCCAACTACCAGGATTTTTATTTGAATATCTTTGCAATTGGACATCTCTGAATTCAAATAATAACTTATGAGCATTTTTGTGAGATTTTTGATCAGTGATGGCTTCAAAATACGGTAAAATATAGGAAAGGTCTCAAATAGAATAAAAACTAGTCCATAAGAAAGTTCTTATGAAGGTATTTATGGTAATTATGATGGTAATCGAAAGCTCAGAAGAATCTTAGAAAGATAAACTCTGAGCATTTGATGTGCCAGGAAAATTATAAATTGAGAAAAGATTTTTCTCTACGTGAGATCGCAAATATAAATGATAGATAGTAGAAGAACTTATAAGTAATTAAGGCTACTCGGGCCCGGTTGATCGATGTCTTCCGGGTCGTAAGAGCAGTCGTGGAAAGAGTATCGAGGCCGTTTCTGCTGTGGAGTGACGCATTCAATATCAGATTCATTATCCGATTCAGATAGGATCACAATTGCCTCGCGATTTTCCTCGGTCGTGTTTTGGCGCTTTGGGATTCGGGGCGGAGAGGGCGAGCAGGCAGGGTTGAAAGCGTCTGAGGATCTGTTTGGTTTTGTGGAGTTTACGGCTTCTTCATCGTCGCTGGAGTTAACGAGGTCTATTACTTGCTGTCGCGACTCAATTTCTAGCTCCAGTCGGGAACGATGAACGACTGGGCGGCGAGGAGCAGGACTATCATCATCTAAAAACGAGTTTAATCAACAATCACTAATGATCGTTTTTCTACCTATGACGATTGTATCGACAACTTCTCTTCGACTCTGCATTTCATTGTAAATCCTGCTGGCGATAGTGTTCATAGGCCGCTGGCGACGGTGAGGTAGAAAAGCATGACCTCGTCCCTCACGTGGATGGATGGGAATGTTGACCGGGTTGAGCAAGGGATTGGAATCGCCGATGGGAATGTTTGACACTCGAGCCATCTGGATTCCCTGTCGACGTTGAGGGGGTTGGCGATTTAACGATGATGTTCCTGGACGATCAGGAAACTCAGGCTCAAGTCGAGGAGGAGTTTCCGCGTCGCCATCAGCGTTTGAAGAGTCTGTGGAATGGCCATCCAAGGCTGGATCATCCCAATCAACGACTGGAAAATCTGGAGCAAAAGGAGGCAAATCTTCTTGATCCAAAACGAGTGTTTCAAAGTCATTAGTCGTTGTTCGCCGTCTCGGCTGTCGATTTGTATTTCTTCGACCGATTCCAGAAGGTCCTGGCGCTTGCTCATCATCGTCTTCAATAAGAATCGGGGTCGGATCGTCGGGGTCATCGATAGGCATGATTCTTTCCGGGGCACCGGGTGTTTCTGTCTGAGGATTTCGCCGAGTACCCATACGTTTTGCTGGAGCATATCGAGCGTTTCGGTCATACGATCGGATGTCGTATTCTTTCGCTGATGCGAACCCCTTGAGCTCGTGGATGAAATGTGTGGCGTAGTTGTGCATGTGATGAGTGAGAAACTCGCGGAACTGACGCGATTCGATTCCGAGTTCGATCGCTTGGTGCTGAATGTCGATGATCAAATCGTTCAAGTATCGTCTGTCAGTTGAGCCATAGAGTGCCACGATCTCTCGCCGAATCCAAGGGGTGAGCCGATGTGTTTGAGCCTGAAAAAAGTTTGCAATGATTCTAGCGCTGTAGAAACTAACTCACCTCATTAGCTTGGTAAAATTCTGCACTGAATTCTCGCTTAAATTGAATTTCAACTCTTCTACCAGTTCGATAGACTGTTCGCCTTGCTCTAATGCAGGATGGCGTCGATCGAGCAAATCGAGCCTGAAAAATTTAACGATTGATTCTTATAATCTATTCCCGGCGCCGATGAACAGGACTCCTTGGCGCAACGGTAGCGCGTCTGACTCCAGATCAGAAGGTTGCGTGTTCGAATCACGTAGGGGTCAAACTTTTTAAATTTTTTGCAATCGCAGGTGAATTTTTTCGCATGCAAAGGTGACATTTCACGTAAAAAAATCAAAAAAAGTTTGACCCCTACGTGATTCGAACACGCAACCTTCTGATCTGGAGTCAGACGCGCTACCGTTGCGCCAAGGAGTCCTGATGGGGCCATCGTAAAGGCTGGTTATGAATGATTACCTCCCACAATCTCTGTCTTCGCTCTCGTTGAGCATTTAACTCTTCAAGTACAGTGTCGATCATATCTTCGTCCCGCCGAGCTGCCCAAAGTCGTGGCCAAGAGTTCTCGAGTCCGAGAGCAACGATGTTTTCCGGAGGCCGTGGAGCTTGAAGCTCTTCAGCTTTTCTAATTGGAATCGGTCGACTCTTCGAAGAAAGAAAAAGGCCCTACCTGAATTTCCCCGTCTTCTTGTTGAGCGAGTATCTGATTTTCTTGAATTCCGCATTGCACAAGGGGCAAGTAGTCTTTTCCATGGCCCATTTTCTCAGGTGCTCCAAGCAGAAGATATGCTTTGAAAGAAGAATTAGCTGGTGAAATTTCGTAAATGATTTTACCTTGCAATTTTCGGGCTGCGACGGATTAACGATTTCCGACAAGCAGATCGGGCATTTATCCTCTTCATCGTCGGTATCGGGCATTTCTCTGTGTGTTTTTAACTCTTTTCTGCTAAAGAAAGAACCTTGTAAGATATTTTTGTTTAGGCGCTGTTCTGTATTATTGTTTTGTAAGGCATGTTTTGCTGAAGAGTCATGAGAAAGTAGAGACATGATTTTTGCAACGATTTTTCGAATTAATAGCTTGAAGATTGAAAGGTCAGTAAGGTCAGTTGAAACAGAAATAAGCAATAGTAAATGATGGAATAGAGAATAAAATAAGGAATCGTGATTTTCAAAGCTCTTCTTTTGCATCATTTAGATTTTCGTATTGAAGAATGTCATCGTCAGTGGAAGGCTCCGTGTCGGTAAAATAATTTTCTTGGCCAGTGTAGTGCGTTGGCTGGACGAGGACGGGATTGGCAGAGAACGCTTTGAGGTTCTTGTTCTTGAAGGCTTTCGTGTAGCTGTCGATCTTGTGCGCTCCGTACATGATCGGCAAATATTCATCGACTGGGATCAGCTTTTCCTGAAAATGCATTTTAGAAAAGTAGGATTTTAGTGTAAATTTTGCTAAGAATACATTTTCTAAAATTAACTTACCAAGGGTTTTTCATCGACCAACACTTGCGCTGCCTCTCCAGTGATGATGTATCCCAAGGTCCAGAAACTGTACGTCACGTTGGAAATGTTCTCCGTGACCATTACTTCTACATCATTATCCGCTCCTGGTCCGCGTTTTCGTCCAACATAAATCAAGTCCCACTTTTCGATCGTTTTCGCTTCTCTAAGAACGCGTCGCAAATCGACGACGAAATCGGGTCCAAATCGAACATCGTCTTCGAGGACCAAATAAATTTCTCCCGGTTCCATTTTTTGCCAAAGATAGAAATGAGAGAGGAAACAACCGACTTCTCCGCGAGTGATTGTCCGTGGCTTGTGCGGGTCGGAGAAGCCGGGTAGTTGTCGGATTCCGAGGTTGTCAATGTCCTCTTAAAATTAAATGTAAACAGCTCTAGAAAGAAGCTTTTTCACCTTGAGTTAGGGCTTTCCCATCGACAGCGGGAACGAGAGTATATTTTATTCCTTGAATTCGCATGCAAAAGTCCATTCTTTCTTTTCTATCAACTCTTCTCCTGAAGAAATAAGGTTAGTTAAAAGGAAAGGAATGAACAAAAAGGGCCGTACTCGAGGTTGATGACGAAAATTTCCGAGAGGCCATGTTTCGTTTGAACGGGCCAAACTGGCGGCGTGGCGGCAGATGCTTGCGGGATCATATCCCAACCGACAGGCGGTAGCGTATTCATTTCCATCAGCATGTGGTTGAACATGGCCACCTCGTCGGGCAATTCTCCAGATTGAACCGGGTACGGAAACCAACCAGCAGCCATCGTGTTATCCACCCAAAGGTCAATTTTGTTCAACTGAAAATGAAGAATCAAAAAGAGATTTAACAGTTGGACGGTACCTTGGCCATTCCAGTAAAATAAATAATATCATCCATCGGCCAGTAAGGCAGCTCATCAGAATACTTTCCGATTCTGGGCCAATATTGAATCAGCTGCGATTTTCTGCGATTCATATCGATCAAATAGCACGAATGGAGCATTGGAACTTTGTGGACATTCAGAAACTCCTGCTCGTAGTATCGAATGTCGTAGTAGTCATTTCCTCGCTCGTAGTAGCCCGTTTCGGTGTTTTGATTCGACCAGAAATTGGAAAAAGGAACGCCGGTTTCTAGCATAGGCCCCACAATTGGCTTATCTCGAAGGACCAGTTTTCGCAATAAACTTGGCTGTAAAAGTAAATCAGATTTGATTGTTTCCTGAGCGATTACCTGGACAAGGATGTTGTCAGCATCGATCATGAACAAATAATCAACGAGCATATTTCTAGCGTGGTTGAGCGCTTGCTGCCGCAATTTTAGAATATGATCGTACCGGTTCGGCGACCAGCTCAGTTCCGTCTGAGCGTCGTTCCAGTGCCCTTTTCGAGGATCGCGGATTTCTATCTTGATGTCCATGTATTCCATCTATCGAACAGAATAGCGACAAAAGAAAAATATTATCAAAGAATACCTCCCAGGCTTCTTTCCAGGCCTTGATCACTTCCAAGGAATTATCCGCGTTGTGGTCGGTGACAAACCAAAGGCGAATCCTACTCTTAGGATAATTCTGCCGCTCTAAGCCACCGAAAAAGTACGGCAAAGCATGTTCCTTGTTACGCACAAAAACGGGAATCAAAATCGACGGGGGGATAAATTCAGCCTCACCATCCCATTCCGACTGTCCATGCACCTGCAATACACCAGCTACCGCTAACGTTATCAGCTTTGTTAGCAGCATTCTTAACAATTTCAATTCTAGCGTTTCTTTCTCTTTAAATTTTTTTTTTTGATTTTTTTTTGTGAAGAAATTTCGGCTTGTACAGAAAAAAATTTTATGGGGGACTGTTTTGTAGTGCGAAACACAGCGGGAGAGCTATTTTTGTAATAAACTGGTTCGATTTGGGCATCTTTTTTATGTATTTTTGGGCGAAAGGAAATAGGGTTGAATTTGAGTTGAATATTTTATTTTGAAGAGAAGGCACAACGTGAAAGTGAGCGAAGTGACAATGAAATAATATTTGCTAGGTTTTGACTTGTTTTGGAACATGAATTTCTATATGGTTGTTTTTCTTTTTGTAGCTTGGCAGATCGACGGAGGAGGACTCGCTGACGGCTATACTTAGTTCGTGCTGAAATGGGTTAGATATCGGCTTGTCTTCACAAGGGAAGTTTTGGCATGTTACTATGTACACATACAGGGGGAGTCTTACTGTACTTACTTGAAAATTAACAGTGCCGCAACACTTGAGAATTCCTTTTCTTGGAAATGGTCCTTCCTGAAATTCAAAAAATCAAATTTGAGCTGGTTCTACTTTTAACTTCAAGCAAAAACACCAATTTCCAAGTTGGAACTAAACAGTAGAGCTCACCCCTGTACATTATTCGATTACAAAAGCCATTTTTAGATAGAATGATTTTAAACGAGTGTTTAAAAAAGTACCTGTTTATACAGAATTTTCCAATTTGGCTGAATGATGATATCCAACTCTTTGCCCTCCTTTCGTTTAATTTGTCCTAGTCGCAACGCGAACTCGAGGACGAACCTGCCCGTGAGAAGGAGGTCCCCTTTGAGGCCATCTTGCTTGACTCTAAGTGTGCAGACCCCGTCATCGTAAGGCGACATGCAAATGCTGTGGATATTCTTGACTTCAATTGTGCTCTTGAGTTTTAGCGAGTCGGCCGCAAGGATCGACACAGCTGATGTCAAAACGACGATTACTTCTTGCGTCTAAAGCGAGAAGGTAAATTTAGCCAGGCAAAGTGGAATTATTTTATTTTGGAATTCGGGAGGTGGAATTTGCGATTCGCGGTTTAGTCGAATTCCGCCTATTCTGGAATTTACGAATTTAGCAAGTCTGACGTACAATGTTTTTAATTTCATTCTTGCGCACTTTTCTACTTGTTAGTAATAATCTCATATTTTAAAAAATTTTTACCTTTCCATCTTTTCTGTTAACTTTTTGCATGATATCCGCAAAAAGGATATCGCCAAAAAGGTTCTTCGTACTCAGGTCTTCCCATTTCTTCTCCGAATTCAGGTTGATATAATCGGCTCTGTAGACAAGTCTCAATTGCGATCGGAAAAGCGCTTTTCTTCAAACATTTCTGCACACTCAACTTTGTCAACCAGAAGCCTGTGTTGACTGGGCGTCAGTTTTCTGATGTGATTTGTGCATCGCCATTTGTGATGGAGTTTTCTGAGCAAGGAGTCGGTTTCTGCGAGTTTTTTGTGGCGCAGAATCGGCCAGGAAGAATCTGTGGGAGAGGAGGAAGGAAGAGACTTGGCTAAAGCAAGTAAGTACTTCTTTACGGATAGATTGTCCATAAAACGGGCGATTATGGGGGCAGCATTGGCTTTGAATAATTTTCGCGTTTCACGGCGACATTTCATCCCACGCCACGCAGCGGCGATAGTGGTCGCGGCATTATGCCGCTTTTGAATAAGTTTGAGTCTGGCGAGCTCGGCGCGCGCCCGCATTCCCCGAAAAAAGCACTGTATCGTCAGCGTACTCTTCTTCGTTTCCAAATACAGACGGCGCTGCTTGTAGCACTTCCACTGCGACGAAATAGAAATTTGGGCGCTTTTCATTGCCGTGAATTTCTTTCGCTGAACGTAGCATCGCCACTGCGCTTGGACCTTGGCGACGATGGATTCGAGCATTTTCAAACGGATTTCTTCCAGCTTGAAGATCATTTTTGGACTTCGGATGAAGATCTTCGATCGACCGAACTCGTACTCGTCTTTGGAAAGCTTCGTGTCTTCCAGAATGCATTTAACCGCGTCCCGGTGGGCTTTATTTGATGAAGGCCAAGTTGAGTCACTTTGATTTTTACAAATATTTTTAAGAATTCTTTTTCTTACCTCATCATTTTGTATCTATTATGAAACTCGGGATAAGACTGCCTAAAGGAATATCCCGCTCGTCTAACACGAACATTTTCAACAAGCCCCAAATATCTGATTTGGCTGGTCACGAGGCCCTTGTCAAACAATTTTGGGGCTTTTTGTTCATTCGGTTTGATGCACCTAATGTAATGTGGTTGCTTTTGGAGCAAGTTCTTCATCAATGTCGACATTGACAATTTGAACTGGTGACCCTGAGTTGGTGGGCGCTTTCGATTGTCGAATTTCGGATCGCCTAATAATTTATTATTTTTAATGAATACTGGTAAATAACTAATAGTAATAATAGTAATAGTAATAACTAATTATAATAATTTTTTCGATAATTATCATTATTAGAATAAAAAATAATTAATTTCTAAACTATTTCTTTTAAAAATTATTTGATAAACTGATTTGTGAATGAACTAGTTATTTTTATGTGTCACTCCTTCTTGTTAACATTTGTTATCAAATGGAAAATCAACTCGAAAGATTTACCTTCTGGGAAACATTGTTTCAGGACATGACACGACGAATTGAAAGAGACAGCTGACAGGCTGCTATATAAAACATCCTTATTTTTCTCGACGAAATTGATAATCGAGTATTTCACGGTGCCCGCATAATGCGTAATACTGAAGTCGGTGGAGCTTAGGATTGCACTTTTGTTCGAGTTTTTGGAGGTCGCTTTGTTGCTTTTAGAATTGTTGTTGTTTTCTCGACTCTGGTAGAATTTGCTGGATTGAAGATAGATGTCGAATTTTTGAAGAAGTTGCGCATCACCTGTTTCTCCTGTTCAATGAAATCGAGAGACGATTCAAGCGATAGAAGGAAAGTAGTAGAATTTAAAGAGGGATAACGATGTTTACCCCCTGGGAGGTAACAGCTGGGCTCGGCAACCTGAGTACAGGGTCAGGGTCAGGGTCAGGGTTAGAAAAATTTTTCTTGATATTTACTCAGGAACTCAGGTCAGGGTTTCTCACTCAGTCAGGTACTCAGGGTACTCAGTCAGGCCTGCTCAGACTCAGGAACTCAGGTCAGGGTCAGGTGCCTGACTCAGGCCAAAACTCAGGGTTTTTCCACACATAAAAATTTTAACAATTCCATTTTTCGCAGATTACATATAACCTTTAATCACAAAATCGCCCATAAGATGGAAAATTACTGTATTTTGACCGCCTTGACATTGCAAATTGACCCTTTTTTGTGTTTTTTTCGCTTACTCAGGCCCTGTGTGAGCAACTCAGGCCTGTCTCTTAACTCAGGTCAGGGTCAGGCTCAGGGTTTTTTTTCTCGGGCCTCGATTTTACTCAGGCACACAGGTCAGGGCCTGTGTACTCAGTACTCAGGGGCCTGACTCAGGGTTTTACTCAGGTCAGATTGCCGAGCCCAGGGTAACAGACTAGGTAGATAAACGCTTTCGATGCTAATTAATCAGGATGTGCGATAAGGGGAGGAGATAGAGGACTTATTCACTCAACCGACCTGCAGTAAATTTCGAAATTAATATTTTTCAATTTTGAAATTTTAAAATAAAAGAAAAATTCAATTCCATTCCTGGTCGGAGACATTCTTCATCGAGTAGGCCGAGTACCCCGGGGCGCCCCTCGATGAGATTAACAATGGGCACGTTGTTGAAGTACTCAATCTGTTGCCACTGGATTCCTTCGCGTTGATACTCTTCCTGCTCCTGCTTCAGCGTTAATTCGATGAACACTTGGTGCAGCTTTTCGTTGCAATAGTTGATCAGCAACTGCTCGAAGGAGTTTTCTGTGAGCACTTCGAATCCGTAAATGTCCAAAACGCCGATCACGCTTCTAATTTCTTTCTTTTCTATTTTGAGAAAGGCGTTGAGTCGCTGGACCAACCAGTCGAATACGCGCCCGTAAAGAGCTTTACAAAAGGACAGTTGGACGGCTTCCGCTTCCGGTACCGAAAGAGTCACGTGAACTGTTTCGCCTTTTGCCGAGGAGATCTTGATGGCTCTTCTGGTGAGAGCCTCACTTAGGCTCTCCTCGTGGATCCTTAAATACCACGTGTTAGCCGACGAAATTGCATGCTCTGCCTTGAACATTAACTGCAAGAAGATGCAGCTGCTCTATCCCGATTTACTCTGGGACACTTTTATTTTATGCAGCGAAATCGAAGGTTCTACTTTCATCAACGACCACTGTATAATAAAGCGAAAAAATTGGTTTATTAAAATAGATGTTTTTACTCTTAAAATAGTCTGCTGAGTAAACAAAAAAAAAAGAGAGAAAAGAGTGTACCTGAGCAAGGTGGCGACCCGGCCGAGTACTTCAGCGTTCTTGACTTGGCACTCGTCGTCACCTTTAGAAGTAAATTGCACATTTCCAAGGTGCAGAATCGCCGCGATGATTCTCTTGATTGCGCCAATCTCTTCCTCCGCAAAACCTATCGTAACCATCGCGCTTACTAACTCTTCCCAGCGTTTACTAACAACGAGATTTACATACAAAGAAAATGGCCAAATTTTAGGTGCAAGCGTAACTAATTAGAATATGGGTGTACCTATCATTAATGCCTGGAACGTGCTCGACTCCACCACGAGCAAGGATGTTGTAGTCGACCGCACGCCTTGTCAATTGGAAGCTGGCGAGTTCGGCTTCGTCGATTCCGTGAATGAGAAAGTAAAAAATGTGAAAGTTACGCTCCTCCGCGCACTGGAAAACGACGCGACACTTTTCAAGGAGATAGTTATTGATTTGGCCGCCGACCGGTTGTCCGTCAAAGCCGAAGGCGATATCCATGTACTTGCCGAAGCGCGAGGAATTATCGTTTCGCATTGTTTTCGCGTTTCCGAAAGCTTCCAGGATCGGATTGCTCTGGATAAGCTGATCCTTGATCCGATCTATCCCCACTTGCATCGGCGTTACCGTCGAAATGTAGTTCATCATTATCTTCGATGCCTCCGTTTTTCCGGCGCCGGATTCGCCCGTGATCAGGATGCATTGATCTTCAATAGTAATTTAACTCTTATTTAAATAAGAAAATAGTACTTATTTCGATAATAAACGTCTACTAAGAATTTTCTCTAAAAAGTTTCTTTTCGAAAATTTTCAAAACCAAATGTTTGAGTAGTACATGGTATACATTTGAATTTTACCTTTACAGAACGTGCGCATTTGTCGATATGCGGCCTCAACTAACCCAAACAGATGCGCCGGCATTTCGTACATATTCCGACTTATTTGCGGTCACAAACTGTTTCTTACTTTCTACTTTCTCGTTTCAAAGATAGAAATGGATTATTTTGTTCTGACCGTTGCCCATTATATTTTCGAACAATGTCGTCGGAGTATATCGCCACGTTCTGATACGGATTGATGGAAATAACCACGGGGCCAATGTACGTGTAAATTGCATTTTTCGCAAAGCGCTTCCGTAAATTCTCCAGCACCGCTTCCTCGTTTATGTTTTCAAGAAGGACGAGATCCTGGACGCCGGTGCCTTTGTCGCCCAGATCCAGCTGGAAACTCGTCCCAGTCACAAATGTCATCGCTATTTCTTGTTGAACTTTTCTCTCTTTCCGATTTTTAGCAGCTCATTCTGAAACTCTCTCTCAATTTCGCTCTCCCTAAAAATCTTCAAATTTATGACCCGGGAGCAAAAATACCGATCATAAATTTCAGATTTGATGAATATTTCAAAATGCCATTTTCAATAATCATTAATCAATCCTCATCATTCAATCTCATAAAAATATTGTCTCAGAATAAGAATAGCAGCTCTATTTTGTAAACAAAAGTCTTTTGGAAAAATAATATACGTTTTTTTTTCACGATGAATTTTGATGCTAGCGCGATCTCTGGGAAATGAAGGTGTCTCTGGTGCTCCACATTCTGGCCCGCAGCGACCCCACTGAATGATCGATTCAGAATCGGCAGAAAAAAATTCCGCGTTCCATTATGAAAATGAAAATTGAAGAGTAAGACCCGCTAAGCATTTACAGTAAGCTTATTAAAAAAAGAGAGAGAGCGCTGCGGTGAAATTTACACAACAGTGACGTTAGACCTATTTTGTGGCGATATATGAGAGTGTATCGAGGGAAATTGCCAGCGCTGCAAGAACATAAATGCAGAAAAAAGGTCGTTTAAAAGTTACGACTGTTAGTTTTCTTTGCTTAAATACTACCGCCGGGCTTTTTCTTTCTTGTTTTTCCGCCCTTGGCATTTGTAAATCACTGGAAATTGACTTGTATTAATAACTTTCAAGACAAGTGACTATTTAAAGCCCTTCTATTGTCAGGTTTCCAAATAAGATTTAACGAAGGTATCGAATTGAAGATTGAAATGCTGATTCATGAATTTTATGTCGCGCACCTGTAACAGTATCCTGTGAGAAACACGCAGGAAAAATTCTCTCTGTTCTCAAATCATAAAACCTTTTCTCTCCAAAGATACCCGAAAAAGGGATGACTCCTAAAACTCGAGCCAACTATCCTCAAGTCGCCACCAACGTGTCAAAAAAGGGATTACACTGTTTCTCAATTCAGAGTGTGTCCGTCAAATGACTTTGTATCCCGCCAAGGGACCAGAAGGATGGCAAAAAATCTGCCATGGAATATATAAATTCCTCTCACATTCCACCGTGATGAAATCTAACGTTGGTACATGTCTCCTACCCGTGCATTTTCTACCATTTTCTTATCTACGTCCGCAGCTTTGGGAAAAATTATTACCGATAGTCCCTTTGCGGTTGAAACTCGAGTTAGATTTCGTTAAATACTTCCGGGCGAAAGTTTATGTCAAACTGATGACATTGGCAAAACTTTGATGCTCAAAATTTGATCGCCAATTTAGAGAAGAGTTTCTACCGCTGAGAAATTGAAACACATCGGGGTTAGCATTAGCCATGAAATCGCATTAGTGATCGAAAGATTGAATCTCCTACTAAAGTGAGCAAATCAAAAAATTGCTTTGATTTTGAATGAGAAAAGCACAAAACTCGGATTGTTACGGAACTTTGAATTTATTAAATGAATGTTTCTTGCACGATAAATGAAACGATAAGTGGCTCATAAACAAATGTCTTTTGAAACACTTTTTAAACTTAGCGGGATCTTGACCTTGATCCTCTCCTCCTTGATCTGCGCGAGTACCGATCATATGACGGTGATCTTGAGCGGGACCGTGAGCGCGATCGGTATTTTCGTCTTCTACTAGTAGTTGTCCCTGTGTCCAGGGTGCTCGATTCGTCTCGTCAAATTCGTCCGATACGAGGACGAGATGAAACGAGAAAATTCGTCGTCAATTCGTCGTCCCGGTGCCCGAAAAATCCTCGTCCAAACTCGTCCTGACGATTTTTTTTTCACTTTCGTCCGACGAAAATTTCTCGTCCGCTCGGCTCACCGAAAATCTTTTCCGGTCTCGTTTTTTTTTCGTCAGCTCGTCCAACCGAGATTTTAGTATTAAACTGAGTAAAACGGGGCCCCGGAATCGCAAAAATAACATTGAAATAACTTTCGTTTCCCTTAATATATTTTTAAAATTCAACCTGCATGCTTCACTCATTTTGATGAGTGAAACATCCTCAATTTTCGCTTAGAATAAACCGAATTCCTGATAAAGCTCGTTTTGTGGGAGTATAGAGCCGAAAATAACTTTATTTTGAACTATCAGATTGACCGACCAACCGACTAATTTCATTTTTGAAATAGCTGGTCAGTGTTTTGTATCCAAACAAGACCGATCGACAGCCCGACCTGGTCGGAATAGTCAGTGCCGACCCTTGGTTGGACAAGCTGGACAAGTTTTTTTTTCGGTTTTCGGCAGGACGAACTAGACGAGTTTTTTTCGGTTTTCGGTTCGACGAGCTTGACGAGTTTTTTTTTCGTCCTCGTTTTCGTCCATTTTTCGTCCGTCCGGGGAGGATTTTTTCGTCCTCGTCCGTCATTCGTCCGGGAAAATTAAAAATTTTGGACGAATCGAGCACCCTGCCTGTGTCATAATGGTCGTCCAGTTTACTTTCCGTTTCTTTACGATATGACTCGTAGGAAAATGAACTTTCACTCTTGTATTCTCGACTGTCTCTGTCAATTATTTCAGGCGCTGCTGGAGGTTCAGGAGCACTGTAGTCGACTACTTTCGCCGGCCGACGAGATGCGCGAACTTCTGGTTCTGGCTCAGGTGGACGGTTTTGGGTCCAATGTAAAATGGGGATTTCAAAATTTATGAGAAATTTTTTTATCTTTTATTATATCTTATGACTTTTATGAAAACCCTATCTATAACCTTCTTCTCCTGCTTCGGAGGGATCGATCTTGCGAGTTCTGCTCTTTCATAAAGGCTTTTTTCTTCTTGAGTCAATCTGGGTCGATATTGCTTCTGATGAAAAGGAGGTCTTGGATGGTTGTATCTCGGATTATTGTGCCTTGGTGGGCGCTGATGCACCATTGGTGGTCGGGGATGTCGTAGTCTTGGTTGATGGTGTAAAACTGGTGGTGCATTTGGGGCGACAATTACTGGTGGAGGAACGGGCTTTTGAACAACTCTAACAGGAGGAATAGCACTTGGTAAACCTTCGGGCATCGGAACTGGTAATTGATAGTCGTCTGGCAGCCCGGATGGATTTTCCTGAAACACATAAATTTGAAAAGAAGAAGAGAAATGAACTACCGGATCCTCGGCATTCTCCGCCTGCGGTGGTTCTGCCTCTTTAGGAGGAACATTTTGTTGAACCTTCGAAAGAAGATCCTTCAAATTGTTCACGTCCAAATCCAACAAATTACACGTCGAGCTGGTCACATCTGCTTGTATTGGCTTTCTCTTCCTGCTCGGCAGATCTGGAATGTCATCCATTCCTTGCAACTTCAGCGACCCGGGCTCCTTTGGAGGCTCATAAACTGGTGGGCCGGTTTCGTCAGAAAGCCGTTTTGGTTCCACCATTTTTTGCTTACTGAAACAGCGAGGCATGCCGTAGCCAGCCGGTGGTCTTTCAAATGTTCTTCCTTTATGTGAGACAACATCTTCCCTAGCCAAATTAATCGTGCCTTTCTTAGACATAAAATGATGACGCTATAAATATAAGATCGCTTTACCTTCATTAGATTCGCTGGAAAATCATCGCCTCCTTTCAAATCAAAGAATTTTGGCGGACTTGGAGGGCCTGGATCTCGACGATAAAGTTCGTCGCGGATCAGTTCTATTTTCTTCGCTTGATCCTCTTGGACTTTCATCAGTGTCTTGTCTTGCTCCTTCCATTGGTCGATGTAATTTTGAAAGAGCGTTTTATTCGGATGATTGGCGTGCTGATTCTTCCATTTTTCGCAGTCTTCTTTCCAGTCGAAGTACTCTTTCTTTGACTTCCTGAAAACATTGAGAGTTCAACAACAAAGAAATGACGAGAGAATTTACTCTTGGAGATTTTTCATTTCGTCCAGCTTCAAATTTAGGTCCTTATCCGTCAGTAATTTAAGATCATTCCAGTCAATGTTTTTCAATCTATCGCTATCTGAAATCGTCGCATAGCCACCTAAGATAATTTCATGCCAAAATCATTTTAGTTTCGAGAAATACCAGCTTGCTTTTTTGGCATGTTAGCTTGGCGCTCCTGCTCGATCAGGCGCGCTTCTGCTTGAGCCTCTGCTCTCATGATTTCCCGGTGTCGGTCGAGTTCGATATTCCACATTCTTCTCTTTCAACGACATTTTTCAATACCCCGATAAGGCCATTGTGAATATAAAAAAAGACCGGTTCCTGAGATTCTTCGCTCGATTTGCGAAAACTTACCAAACTGGCATATTTCCGCATTTTCTCACCTAGCGGGCCTTGGAGATGCCTGAGCTCCCACTCGACGAATTCTGGAATCGGCGGGGGTGGTGGTTCACTATTAATTTATTTTCTCAACAATTCAGTAAAACAGTTGTAAGACAGACCTAGGTGGTGCAAAACTAGGCTCTGGTGGAGGGGCTGGCTGATCTTTTCGGAAAGAAACTGGCCCTTGATGCGGGTTGAAATCATATTTATTTTGCTGATTATTCTGATTGAAAGAATTGTTGGCATGATATGGTCCATAAAAGTGGTTGTTTGATTGGTGAAATGATCCTCCGTGAGCATCCTCCTCTTGACTCTCTTTTCCTTGATACCAGCTAGCTTGAAAATTGGGATCCATTGCATTTCTCCCTCTTGGATTTCTCCCAGGCTCAGATGGATAACGATAGATGGTGTTTAGCTGTTGGGGTTGACGCGGCACCGATCCAAATCTTGGCCCCTGTCCCCGGCCCCTCAATTGAGGCATACCACCGGGCCGGGCCGGTCCTGGTGGACGAACTTTTTTAAGTCTCTGGAAATGTATCAAACAATCTCTTGTCTTTAGAAATCTTGATGTTCTCTTATTCTAATCGGTTTTTATATATCAATTGTTCTCAAAACTTTTCATTCAGTACTGTGCGGTGACATAACATTTGAGCAACTCCTGCAGTAGTTCATGTGAATTTCTCTGAGGAAGATAAATGTTTGAAAAGAACGCAAAAATGTTTGGAATTTCTTGATATGAATTGTATTGAATATGATTGTGAATTGAAATTTTGTGAAGTTGACCTTTGAAATTCTCTCGTAGACTCGTCCCTAAAACCGATCCTCGTATAAATAAAAATTCAGGAGAAGAACTTACCTAATCCACCGCTGCTCAAATTCGCATTCGGTCCTGGAGCTTCTGGCCTCGTCACTGGGCGCCCGCTGCCGCGAAAACTCATTCCAACATGATTTCGAGGATCGTCGCTCTTGCTCTTTTGCTGAAACTGATTATTTTGATTCTCTCCGTATCCTCTTCGTCCTTGTCTTCCGTTATTACTATCAGGCCAAGGGCTTGCGCTCTGCGAGCCGCCTCGTCCAGGAGAACCTCTTCCTCTGTTTCCTCCGCGATTTCCACTGGGCCGCCACATTGAAAAGTGTCCGATTTCTAAAGTGAAAACTTCATGAAACTTGTTCAGCTCAAATCAAATTATTGAAATTGACGCAATTGGAGAGTAACTGGCAGAGTAAAATTGAAGAAATGTCGAGTTAGAAAAATAAAATTGTAAAATCTACATTGACATGAAGGAGACTACCAAAATTGTAGAACTTGAACAGACTGATTCCATCTACACAAAATTGAAAATAGAAATAAGAATTGATCTAATCTTCTTTGAGACTTCCTACTTCTTCGACTTCGAGTGGGAGGCCGTGCACTGCGTAGTCGATGATGTAGCCGATGCCAAGCATGATGAAATTAACTGTAGAGATGCCAAGCGCGAGCAACATTAGCTGCCACCAGCGAGACATTAAAAGAGGCGTCTGTGCCGAACCCTCGAATATTAAAATGCTCAATTGCCACCTAAACTGGTCAGAAATGAAAGCTTCAAAAACAACTTACAGAATGAAAAATCCTAAGGAGCCGAATGATCGTTTCATCGCTTTTCCAAAACCATCCGTGTCGTGTGGCGCGAAAAAACTTTCCACAAGGGCGAAGAAAGCGGGCAACGTATACATTGTGTGCCCGTACCAGCGGGGGAACCATCTCGATCCATTGACCCAGGAGATGTTGAAATTAACAAGGAGACAGAACCAGACTGTTGTGCAGAATGTCAAAGAGCACGGCCGGGTCACATTTACGAACAACTTTCTATTGAAAAACGATTATTTTCAAAATCAATCGAGAAAATCTTACCCTGACACTTTACGCAATCTGGAGCCCGAGTTTGATCGCCAGAACTCGTCAATTATCAGCAGAATGAAATTGATTGTTGAAAGAACAACCAAGCAATATGATCCTTTTCGAAAATCACCTCCATATCTTCAAACGTTAATAAGTTTTGAAGTTTCTTTCTGATATCGGTTTTCTTTAGTTGACTTACTTTTTGTATGGATTTGGCTGGGGCGTGTATTCGTTCACTAATGATGTGTATCTCAAGGCTTTAATATATGCTAGAAGAACGCTTAATCTGAAGAGCGTACGGATTATTCGACCAAACATACGATTCTGAACATTTTTTTTGCAAAAAAGTTTCCATTCCAAATTTCCTTTATTATTAAATATCCGTCACACAAACAGGAAATGGCAGACAGAAACTCTTTTTACTTCTACTTTTGTGAAAAGATCATTGGCGATCTACAAAGTGGACAGGTACTATTGTTACTCGTGGAAAACCACTTGTAGAGACATTCTTTGTGGAACTTCTTGCCACACGTTCTGCACGGTAATCGCGGTAATTGTTGACCTAAAAGATTTGTTCTCTCGTTGTTTTGTTGTGAGCACTGGCTACCTTTTCCGTAAATAATACTGTAGCAAATGTAACATTCTTCGAGCCCGTCAAATCGCTTGTGAAGGTTTTGCGACCATTTTCTCAGACCAGACGCGAGACCAGCCCCTGTTGCCAGCGCTTGCTCAAGTTGAAAGAGCCACAATCGCCATTCGGAAGCGTTCACGCCCACTGACTTCAACCCTACCGTTTTATAGTAAAATATTATTCAGTCTTTTCTTATACCTTGAATAGAAGGTTGAGAGAGCGGCCAATCAACCGGAAGCGTGATCATAATTTCGACTTCCAGATCATCCCTCGTGTAAGAAGCAGAAATACTCCTCGATTTCGAGTACGGAATGCACGTGATTCCGGAAATCACCTTTACAGACTTCAGTTCTCTCGCGACAAGAAGCTGGGAAAGATTTTGCTGCGTGTAATCCTGAATGTGACGCTGTAAGCTTCTGTTTGTCAATCCTTTTTGCCAGAGACGGACGGCACCGGGGCAACGTTGGGCGATTTCGTTTACTCCCCATAAGGACCATTGTTGAGTATTGTACTCGCTGCATCCTGAAAATCGACAGTGTGAGGACTTGATAACTGTGAAAGTCGGAAACTCGCGAGAGTGTTCATTTTAATTACCTATCGCAGTTTCTCCTCCGATTCTCATCATTTCCTTGGGTTTAATATTCTCTTCCGGCAGCAGCGGCCAAATCTGATCCAATAACCGGTAGCAATGCTCCGAGTCCAAGAAAAAGTGAACATGACTGGGCGATCCAGACACTTGAATAATTTCCAAGCAAATGGAAACCGCAAGGACGCTTGCTCTGACTGAATTAGAATCGGTTGCGCCGTCGATTTGAGAAATTATCTTGAGCGAGTTTTCAACGTAAACGCGGGGTGGCTCCGGTGACTTTTCTTTCTGTTCGTAAAGGGCGAGGATTTTAGGGATCAGGAGCTTCAAAAAGTGATAGCTAAAAAGGGCGTTATTTCACAAGAAAGAACTTTATACAAAATGGACTTACCCGGTCAAAGCAATGAATAAATTATCATCGGTGATGAACTTGAAGGAATGATTGATCAAAGAATTAATCTCATCCGGCAAAACATCACTGTAGTCCACACTCAGCTTCAGCGTCGGTTCAAAGTTTTGCAACTCATCAAGGCCAATTTTGGAGATACTGTCACTCAAAGATTGCATGATCGAATAAAGAACGACTTCGGGAAAATCATTTCTGCTTGAAACCAGTTTGAAAAAAATGGTGAGGATGCTTCCAGAAATCTGAGGGACAAAGAACTCTTTCCAGGTATCGAGCATGTCTGCCGGTAAGCTTGGGTCAGCAAGAGCGCCGGGAGAGTTGAAAAACTCGGTCAGCGTAGCCAAAACTCCTAGAACTTCTTTCATGAGGCAGAGTGCTTCTATTCCAAACGTGTCTTCCATTGAGCTGAGATTTTCCAACCAACTGGTAATGTTGCAAAGCACGAAATCCCACTGTTCATTTGTCAAATCACTTCGTGCGAATTTGACGGCCGCATTCAGCAGCATCGCTAAATTTCGTTGCTGCTCGAGTTTCCAGTTTTCGATTCCATTTTCAACGACTTGCGCTAGTACCCCAATTACTCTTGAGGGGTCGTCGGAGAGTCGGCCAATGACGGCGATGTTTTCTTCCACGGAATCCAGCTCCAGATTTTCTGCTGTTAGCACTTCAGAAACCCGAATATCGAGCTCATCTTCTGATGACCCAAAACATTCTCCATCGGTATTTTTGATAAATTTAGATGCTTCGGATTCAGCAGAGGATCTGGAAGAATTGATTTCGTAGATGAAATAAGACAATATTTCTACAGAAGACTCGTTCGAGAGTCGAATGGCTTTGAAAGCGTCTAGTGAATGAACGGAGAAATTATTAAAAGGTTTGAGATAGTCCCTGACGAGCGATGAGATTTCCTTTGTAAGCTGTGTTGACTGGAGGGAAAGGATGGCAAGTCCCTTTTCGATGAGCAGGAGAAGCAGCAAGTCTTTCGCGCACAAGTCAAAATTCTCGTCTGGGCATTGATAAACGCGACCGAAGATCTTTGAAAGTGGTGCGATTTTGGTTGAAATATTGTTTTTCATGTTAAACGCTATCGTTAAATCGTCAAATACAGCTCTTAGGAATCCAAGTACGTTTTCGTCCACGGTGAATAGCTCCTCATTATCGTCTTCGTCAAGAGTTTGATGCGACAAGAACTTTAGTTGTTCAAAAACCCTCATGCAGCATGCATAAGACATTGTTGAAACATCAGTGTGGAAGAACTTGAGAAGTTCGTAAACGAAGCACCTGATGACGACTTCAAAGGTTTCTGGCAAGTTTGAATGCGCAGTGTTGATTAAATTTGATAATCCCGCTTCCTCGAAGTCCCAAGTGATCGAGATAACTCGGGCGAGATTGGAGCCGATTTGCGGTAAGACGGCGACGTTTTCCGCCCGAGGGTCGTAAAGCCGGATTTCTGTCAACATCACTATTTCATCGAGTTTCGAAACTTCGGATAGCGCAAGTTCTAGTTCTGAGTTGAGCTTGTCTTTCAAGTTTACGTGACTGTATTTCAAAATCGTACCACAGCACTTTTGCCAGACACTGCTCCTCGGTCTTTGGAATAGTTTCATTGTAAAACTTTCGGCAATCGACTGGCTGTTTTGATCATCAGTAGCTTTTGAAATTTCATCGAATAGAACTTTGAGCAGTGGCTCCAATGATTCCGGTTCTGCCGCCATTTCTTCGAGAATAGAAGCGCAGGACGAAGCGGATCCGCGAGCAAGATCAAGGAGTATGTTTGAGACTCCATCGAAAATGCTGGTCTTTGGCTTTGAGAATCGAAATTGATGATTCTCAGGCTCTTCTACATCCGCTTCTTCGCCTTTTTCTGTCGCTACTTCTATGATTGTTTCTTTCGCTGTTTTCTCGGCTATTTTTCGGGATAAGTTGTACTTAGGAAGAAGCCACAAAGAGACCAACTCATGATTGCGCACTAGAATATCTTCTAGTTCTGTTTTCAATCCTTGGCAATTCTCTTCGCACTCTTCGGCGATTTCGTTGTACAGGAAGTTGTAGATTGCGTTTTTGAAATCTTTGGTAGCATTTTTCGCAAGTATAATGATAATTTCGAGCTGAAGCAAGGCAAATTCAGGCTCAAGTCGATCAGATTTTGAAACCAGTATTCCAACCAAATCGATCATTTCGCGTTGAAGTCTTGAGGTTTTCGAGTCTTCTGGAGTTGAATTTTCTGTTTCTGGATTTCTATTGAACGCTACTCCCCTTGGTCGATCACAATTTACCATGTGTTTGATGAGTTCAACGCATTTCTTTACCCGCGCTGCGTTCTTGTCGGATGGATTTTCTGCAAACTCAGAAATTGTAGATTGAAAGCAGCTCTCAACTGATTCTAGCAATGCGTTGAATAAGTCTTTCTGGCTGGCTTTCCACTGCGACATCAAGTTGTAAAGAGGCTTTGCCACTTCTACTGGAGCACAGGAACCGCCATTTATGCATTCTACCAGAAGATCGCTAACGATTTCCGCCGAGTTCTCGATAATTTGATTCACTTGCGCGTACTGTAAACATTCCAGAAGAGCTGAAACAGCTGCTTTCAGATCGATCTTTGCTTCGATTTCTTTCATTCCTGTCAAATAGTTTCCAAAGAAATTTTCAAAGAAAGGGCCTCCAGTTAAATTTGACGGAATCGTTGCAATCAGTGGAAGCATGTGAGGATAAATGAGTGTTCCGCACCCAAAACCACCTCCTCGGAGAACTGTCCAAAGACCAGGGACGAATGCTTTCAGGAAGTTCACTGCTTCAAAAACACTCGAGTCGTTTTTGGATTTCTTGAGCAAAAGCAAAACTCCTGCCCAAAGTGGCCTCACGCAGTTCGGTTCATTTTCCGCCAGGCTCGAGAGAACTGATTTTGACCATTCACTGATATGCGTTGCGTCCTCTTCTTTTAGTTTTGCAACGGCTAGTTCGAAGAAACCGGATCTGATGCTCGCTTCTTTGTGGCGAGAAAGCTTCCAGAATGACTTGGAATCGAATAAATTTGAAATATCCAGCGGCGTCTTTCCAGTGTCGTTGTATCTTGCCAGGCATCGGAGACCTTGAGAAATAAGTCGATTTACTTCGAGCTCAGAATCTATTGATCCCTTTTCCGGTTTTTTGAGCACCATTTCTGAGCAGTAAATGACCAGTTCTGATGAGATGTGCGAAACGACTTGTTTAATTTTATCTGGGAAGATCAGATCAAGACCTTTTGAGCAAGTCGTGGAAGAGATCGAGTACTCATCAGCCGTACCGTAGATAAGTGGCGGCATGATCGACTTCAAATAAGGAGCAGATTGCTTTCCAGAAAGTTGAAGAACGCGTAAAGTGACATTGTGCGCTTGGCTTCTAACTCTTGGCTCCGGATCTGAAACTGACTTCGAGTAGTAGCGAGGCCACGCTTTCAGCATCGCAGTTATCGTCCCAGACAAATCGCTTTCCTTATCCTCCAATATCCCAAGAATCTCTTCAGAAGCCTTGATTCGCGTCGTTGCATCTTTTTTTCGAACTCTTTCTAAACGCAACTCTCAGCCGAGGATCAAGGTCTTGGTCGAGCTGTTCTTGTCCGAAGCCAGTAAAGAATCCAGCTTGATTTTGTTCATAATTCGCGCTAGAACTTGCTGCTTTGTACTTGCTTCGCTCGGCGGTTCCTTTCTGCCGACCCATTTGAACTGTCTAAAAAGAAATATATCTAGTGCTGCGATTTTGGAAGAGTCTTTCTTTCCAGTAGATTGATTACGTGGAACTAGGACATTACTCTGATCCGGAGCGATTAATCTACACCTGAGTAGTTACGGCACCTGTTGTAAAAAGAGGTTCGAACCTTCGTGTTGCACTTCAAGCGTGACCGTCTATCAGATATAAGCTGGAACGAGGCAGCCAGAAATCAGAATCAAACTCGAAACAGTTTCAAAAACAAAACAAAAAAAGTTTTAATTCCTTTTTTGAATTCCAAAAGAACACAAAAATGAGAGTTTTTGCTCTTTTCTTCGCCTTCGCTTCGGCTTTGGACGAGATGCTCATGCTACTGATGATGCAGCAGCAACAACCGAGTGAGATGCAGAATAACCAGCTCAACACGCTTTTCCCACTTTTGATGCTAAGAGATTCGAACGGAACTGCCTTCGAGAACCAGCAGCTATTGATGATGATGTTAATGCAAAATGGAGGCCAGCCACTCGAAACCGACTCGCTTCTTCCTCTCATCATGTTGAACGACGACAGTGCCGACTTTTCCACTCTCTTCCTCGCTTTGAACATGTTCCAGCAGGATTGCGCAACTCGAACCGACACGGCCATTCAGAACCTCATGCCAATGATGCTCATGGACAATGCAGATCCCAACCACTCGCTTTTGCTCATGCTCATGTTCCAGACTATGGGCGACAATCCTCTCAGCATGGACCAAGTTATGCCTTATTTTCTCCTTCCTGACTTCCTCGACAACACCAACACCACTGACGATTCCAACGAAGCCCTCCTCATGATGGTTCTTCTTTCCTCAATGACCGGCGGCTTGGAAACTGAGCAGGGCTTCGCTAACAGCTTCAACATGCTCCTCCCCCTTCTCCTCGCTGATGATGCAAACATCGCCGACGATGACAGTCTTCTCATCCTCATGTTGACCATGCAATCGCAGTCGCCCGAAACCGCCATCGGCAGCAACATGATGCTTCCTCTGATGTTGATGAGCGGTGACAGCAGCAACGAAGTCCTCATGTTCTACATGATGATGCACGGAACCAAGCCCGTTTGCGAGCCCACCCCAGTCGTTCCCGAACCAGCCATTGTCTACGTTGACCGAGAAATCACGACTCCAGCGCCAACGCCAGAACCAGTCATTGTCCAGCGACCTGTTTACATCCAGCGACCTGTCTACATTGAGCGCCCTGAGCAGACCATCTACCGAACTTTCCAGCTTAACCCTGACGGAACAAAGACTCTTATCAACAGCGAGGAAGGACCAGTCCAAGGCGGTCGACCTGTTGTCGGATCTCCTGAATACTAAGCTTCTCAACCAACCAGACTGACGATAAAATATCGAGCATCTGCCTTTTCTGCTTTCAATTTTCCAAACCATCTTCTTCCGTAATTATTTTCAGATTCCACGCACCAATTTCAATTCATTCATTCTTATCTTCCTATTTGCCATAATACCAAAACCAAAGAAATAAAAAAAATCAAAAATAAGTTGGGTTTTATTCGTTACTTTTCTATTCAAAGCAAAGTTTTCTTCGTTTCGATCGAAAAGCAGGTTTTCCCGGCCCCTTCATCGGCGACTTTCGTTTGTAAAAAGTCGAAATATTTTCGAACACTTCTTCAATATGTTTAGTAATAGCAGCAAATTCTTCATTTGGGAGTTTCTTGGCAGTGTCGGAAGTGGTTGATTCTTTCAAGTTGGTGTTTGGGAAATATTCTAAGTAAAATTGATCTTCGTCGGGGATTTCGTCTGGGACTTTGAGAAACGAGCACATTGCGGTTATTCGCGTCCAAAGCTTTGCTGTGGCTGGAACGTTATATCCTCCGCCACCGAGGATCATCAAAGGGCAGGAAGTGGAAATGAGGTATTGGATGATGTCAAGATAGCCCTGCTGCGTCACCCTGAAGTCGAAAGAAGTTTTTTCTGGTGGTGACAACGAAGACTTACCTCAACGATTTATGCGGATCATTGAAAAGAGCGTCGCCTCCAGCCTGGCAGACGACGTAATCCGGGTTGTAAATAGAAAAAGCTTTCTTGATCGAATACTTTGTCAAAGCAACCCATTCTTCATCCCCGATTAATTCTGGCAAAGGAATGTTCACCGCAAAAGTCGCTTTCTCTTCATCATTCGGTCCACCAGTGCCAGGAAAGAAACCGACAGCGTAATGATGAACGGAAATCGTTAGAACTTCTGAATTCTTGAACGCTTTTTCAACCGCATCACCGTGGTGGAGATCGAGGTCAATGTACATGATTTTCTTGCTGAAAGTCTGGAGGGTTTTGATGGCGATGACGATGTCATTGATGTAGCAAAATCCGCTGGCCTTGTTTTCAAACGCATGATGCCAGCCGCCGCACCAGTTGAGTACGATTTTTCGCTTCTTCTCGGTCAACAACCGGGCGGCGGTTAATGATGTTCCAGCGAGAAGAGAAGCACGCTCAAGAAGGTTGTCTCGCGGAGGACAATCGTATGCGAGCCCGTATTTTTCCTCGTACTCTTCGTCTTTTGATTTTTGAAGGGCAAGGAGGTATTCGTTTGAGTGGGCCAGTGACATCGTTTTGGCTGGGCATTGGTCGACTCGGTGGATGTAAATGCGATTCAACAAGCCATATGATTTGATCAGACTGTATGTCATCTAAAAAGAGTCATCTCAAGGGTATAAAATACTAAATCTACCTGGCACCGATCTTTAGTTTTGATTGTATCATCGATCAATTCTAACTCTGCATCGGATGGATAGATCAGTCCGGTCTAAAAAGCGGACAGCTAGAGGATGATTCCAGAGGGGAGAGGTACCTGAACGAATCTCTTCGGCGATTTACTCGGGGACAGCTTTATCTGCTCCTCAATCAGCTCTGCTCTATCCATGTACTTGGAATTTGCTTTTTATACCATTCTATTACTCAAAATCTAGCTTACCGCATTTTGATAGATATCATGTAAAAGTTTTGAAAACCCCATTTTTAGTAAAGAAAAATGAAAATAAGGATGCTCAACCCTTTTTTACGCTTGGTTGAACAGATGATCCTCGGAGTCAGGTGACTTTGGAAAGTTAGAACTTCAAAAAATGGGAAATTTTATTATTTTTTATGTGGGTAATGGCGTTTGTACGAAGAGAATCGATACGAAAACTGAGTATTTTTCGAATCAATAGTGAATTTTCACAAATAAAAGCATTTTTAACTGGACAAAAGATGAAAGTTTTTGAAAGATAAAACTGTTTTAACACAAATATTCATTAGAAGCCTAGTTTGAAAAATCATAAAAGGATCAAGAAGAAATTTCTCTTCCCGAAAAGTTGAATCGACAGTGAAGTATGCTTTCAGGCACTTTCCGCTGCTGACGAATCAGAGCGCGCAGAAAATAGTCGAAGTTTGAAAAAAAGTCATTATGGTTCCTGATCGAGAGAAAAAAGGAATGGACAGAAATTCAAGATTGGAAGAGAATATGGAGAAATCGCATTTGAAATTGAAGAAAATTTCTAGATGTGACTATTTAAATTCAAATTGGGTTGCTTTCTGCTTTCGTTCGTAAAATTATGAGAGTTAGTTCTGCGAATGAATCACTGCTTATGCTGCTGTTACTCTTTTTCAATCTGTCTTTTGCTTCGATTCTTCATTTCGAAGAAGACGGTGACGCCTGGGACGATACAGTTCCTTGCGACGCGCATGAGAACCCAACAGATCGCTGGGGCCTCGAAGGGACCGATATCCAGCTGGACTGTCAATGTCACAAGAAGATAAAGAAGTGGCACGGGGCTATTTGGGCCGTCAACTTCACCAAGACCCAGGAAGAAATCAACAATCTCACCCGAAAACCGGAGAAGACAGCTTTTTATGGACCGAAAAACGGTGGCTCCAACACTCTCTCTCCCTTCATGATCGACGATCGACCCCCAAGCGACCACTATGTAAAGATTCACAAACCAAAGACAGCTAGAAATCTAACATGCCAGTTTCCGTTCACGAATTATGGCCGAGAATTCAATCAGTGTGTCGCATCTGGGAGACATAATCAGCTTTGCTGGTGCGCAACTCAACCTGGCGCTAGAATCGACGAACTTCCAACCTCCGAAACAGAACGAGGCTTCATTCCTCCTAAAGAAGGAGCGACGGCTATTCAGAAAAAGACTGTTTGGGACAATTGCCAATGCCAAAAGCACCAGAGAGGAATTCAAATTTGGACAAACGCGGAGCGAGGGAAGCCTTGGAAGCCAACTAAATGCGTCTTTCCGTTTGTTTACAGAGGGAAACTGTATGATCAGTGCATTGATTTGCCTCCCCCGAGTCCGGAAATCAACAACGCTGCGTTTTTCTGGGTCGATGTGGAAAGTGGACATGATAGTGAACTGAGTGCCGGGTCGATATTCAAAGGGTGTTACAGATTTTGTTCAGGTAATGAATAAATCTTCAATAAAATCCGGAATACATAAAAAAATCAGGTCTTTCAAGCTTCAACGACAATGGCCGCTGCGATCACTGTAATGGTTACTGTTGCTCGCTCGATCCCGTGCTCAACAACTGTCCCGAGAAGTACGTCAATTTGCTAAGAATGAAAAACGACGAACTCCCCCTTCTGAAAAAGCTCTCGACCTCAACTTTGTACTGCATTCATCAAGAAGGCTACAAATCGACAAAGTCTGGTTGTTGGTGCGGCATCAAGAGGCATGTCCGCGGATTCGACGATTGGGGCTACTGTCCGTGCGCCGAGCCGATTACTGAGGGAATCTGGCAGAATTGGTCGCAATGGTCGGATTGCGCTAGTGACTGTTCGCGAATGAGCGTTAGATACAGAGCCTGTGCTTCCAAAAATCCGACGATAGGCTTTTCAGGTCCTTTTTTCAACCATTCCGTCTCAAACATGTTTTCAGGAAGTGCTACAGGCACGGATGTTCCAATTTGCGAAGGTCAGCACATCGTCCGACGTCAGTGCCATTGCCCAAATCACGAAACAATCAGATCACGTGTTAAAATCCGCCAAATGGATCGCCAACTTGAGATAAAAACCTGAAGAGCTATGATGCCGGAAAATACTTTTGTATCAAGGAAACTGGACAGCAGGATGATATTAAAACAACTGATATTATGGGAGAGATTAATTTGCACATTGTGGAGCTGAAGAAGATCGATATAGTGCTCGATTATGATGTAAGACTGTTCATTCTGCAGTGTCAGTTTGTTTGACAATGATTTCAGCTCGATTCAAGTAAAGAATGGAAACTGTTGGAGGGAGACAAGTGTTCGATGTGTGGCGATTTGGTCGGTGAAATCCAACAAATGGCGATTTGTTTCGAGCCAGGAGGAAAAGAGCCTTGCAAAAAAGTCCATAGCCAGTTAAAAATTGCTGCTTGCACGATGCAATGTCCTCTCCATCTATCAGACGCCTTCGAAGTTCCTGCTACGGACGGCATTCCTGATCTTATGACCAAGTAAGAAGCGTTTTTTTATTTATATGAATTTGCTTTTGTAGACATGACATTTTCTGGCAAACTCAAGTCGTAACAGCCGGTGATTCTTTGCGACTTTTGTGCCAGAGTAGAACGAAAAAGAGCTTGATGAATGCGCCTCTCGGCTGGGAATTTTCACCAAATGATGGGACGAAAGCGATTTCCCTTACAAGAATGAACGGTTTTTCGAAGGATCCGTATCTTGGCTTTATTTTACCAGACAACTCGTTGTTCATCGAGCGACTGAATTATACCCACTCTGGAATTTACAAAGTAGGGTTTCTTCTCTATCTGTAAATAATCCTTTTTAAAGTGCAAGTTGAAATGGGAAACGGTTTCAATGTATCTTGTTGAAGTCAACGGTCAAATGCTCAGATCGAGTCTAGATTTCTTGGAAAACGTCGCTTTCTGGTCAGGAGCCTTCTTCTCGTTTTTCATGTTCTTCTTGATGGCAATACCTGTTCTCTCAAGGAAGAAAATGGGAAGTCTGGAAAAAGTTTACGCGTTTGCGCTGAAGAAGGCAAACCAAAAAGCGTTTGACAAGGAAATGATGGAAACGGCAAGACGAGAAGGGATGGTGCTGTTTCGAGCGGAAGAGGAGGAAGATCCCTATTTGAAAGAATACAACAAAGAGTACGACGATATTCCGCAAGAAAATACGAGTGAAGAGACCAGTTAGAGTCGATCAACTGAAACTGCCATTTATTTTATTATCATTACTCATTTAAATTATTTTTACAGTCATTGCCAAAATAATAAAGCTCATCCTTATCATACGAATCAGTTTCCGCTCTGTTAAAATTATCGATTTTTACTTTAAAATTTTCTTCTCGAGAACTCAAAATCAATTTGTTTTCGCTGAGTCCATAAATGCTCCGAATAAGTCAGTTTTGGGGAGTTGATAAAGATCGCCAAAAAATGGCGACACCAGTTTTTGAGCGAAAAACCGTTTTAACCGATGTCGATCCCAAGCTCATTGCTTCTCAAAAGTGAGTTTGAAATAACAGCATAATTTTTAACGTGAGAGAAAGAGAGAAAACACCATGTTTCGGCGAGTTCCGCACACGCATCATGGGTTAGGGGATGAACAAGAATAAAAAGAAGAGCCTTAGGGGCGTCTGTAGCATAAGAAGCGTTAGTTATTTTCTCACTCTTGCGCATTTGGGCACATGCCAACGCGTGGGAGTTGCGCAATGATCCCCGTCGATTGATCTGATCGTTGTACTCAGCAAGCGCAAAAATATCAATTTTTTCTTGTTTTTTGATTACGGAACATCGTAATTATGGATAATTATAGGCGGAGGCTCTCAGAGAGTCCCGAAAAGGAAGATGTTTTTGTTCCTCCGATAGTATTTCCTCGACGAGAAATATTGGAAGAGACATTACAATCGGTGTTTTAACCTCTGGTGGCGATGCTCAGGTACGTTTCGTTTTACGTAATCATCGTAAAAATGATGACCGAATTAGGGCATGAACGCTGCCGTCCGCGCCGTCGTTCGAATGGGAATTCACTGCGGTTCGGATGTCTACGTCATTCAAGAAGGCTACCAAGGACTGATTGAGGGCGGCGACAAAATCCACCGAACAAAGTGGTTCGACGTCTCGGGCATCATCGAACTTGGCGGAACAGTGATCGGCTCCGCCCGATGCATGGGATTCAAAGAACGCGAGGGTCGAAGAACTGCGTGTTTGAACTTAATCAAACGGTCGATCACCCATTTGTGCGTTATCGGCGGCGACGGTTCCCTCACCGGCGCGAACAAACTGCGAGAGGAATGGACTTCCCTCGTGGAAGAGCTCCACAGTTTGAACAAAATCACAGTCGAGCAAAAAGCGACGTACAAGAAACTCCACATTGTCGGCATCGTCGGCTCGATCGACAATGATTTCTGCGGCACCGACATGACGATTGGCGCTGACTCGGCTCTCCACAGAATCGTCGATTGTGTTGATTCGATTGCGACGACTGCGCATTCTCATCAGCGAACATTTGTTTTGGAAGTGATGGGAAGGAATTGTGGATACTTGGCGTTGTGTGCGGCGCTTTCTTGTTGCGCCGATTGGGTTTTGATCCCGGAGAGTCCGCCAGAAGAAGGATGGGAGAACCAAATGTGTGAGCGGTTGAATCGAGCTAGGTAGGGTCGATCTGTAATTTGTGATGATAATTTGTTAATTCAGAGAGTACGGCAGTCGATTGAACATTATTATCGTCGCAGAAGGTGCAATCGACCGAAATGGCAACGCGATTTCAGCTGATTATGTGAAAAAGATCTGTACGGAGCGTTTGAACCAAGACACACGAGTTACCGTCCTCGGCCACATCCAGCGTGGAGGCCGACCATCTGCCTTCGATCGAATTCTCGGAACGCGAATGGGTTGCGAAGCCGTTCTCGCGCTCCTCGATTCTACCGACGAAACAGAAGCGGCAGTCATCGCGTTGAAAGGAAACCAAATGGTGAGAATTCCAATGATGGAGGCGGTCGCTGAAACGCAAGAAGTAGGAAAAGCGATTGCGGCAAAGAACTTCGCCCGAGCTATCGAGCTCCGTGGACGAACTTTCAACAGGAATTTAAAAATGTGGCGTGAGCTGGGAACACGTGATCCTTCAATTCCACTCGACAGTGTTGGAAAAAAGAGAATCGGAATTGTGAACATTGGCGCGCCAGCTGGAGGCATGAATGCGGCGATCCGAGCAGTCGTCCGAACTTGCATCAATCAGAACCAAACGCCAGTAGTGATCAAGGACGGAATCGGAGGTTTATTGACGCCGAACAATGTCCACGAGTACAAATGGTGGGATGTGCGAAACTTTACCGCTCATGGAGGTACTAGTGTCGGAACGTCGAGAAAAGTTCCATCGAATTTCGGAACAGCGAAGATCATCGAAGCCATCAAAGGGTACAAACTTGATGGTCTCTTGATCATTGGCGGCTACGAAGCTTGCACAGCAGCGAGAGAACTGATGGAAGGAAAGCTCTCCATCCCAGTCGTCGTGATTCCTGCGACGATTTCAAACAACGTCCCTGGCACTGAATTCTCAATTGGTCCAGATACATCGCTCAATGCTATCATCGACGCTTTGGATAAAGTGAAAACGTCTGCGGCTGGAACACGACGACGAGTTTTCATCGTTGAAACAATGGGTGGCTTTTGTGGATATTTGGCGACTATTGCTGGAATCGCTGCTGGAGCGGACTCCGTTTACATCAATGAAATTCCTCAAGATATTTCTGTAAGGATCTCAGATTTTTCTCTTTTCATTTTTGTTTCAGGAAATTTCTCAGAACGTACGAAGCCTGATCGAAAAAATGAAAGGGCCAATCAAGCGCGGCATCGTCATTCGAAATGAAAATTCTTCAAAGCACTACAACACCGAATTCTTGCACAATCTCTACGCCGCTGAGGGAAAGGGCGTTTTCGACGTGAGAACGATCACTCTTGGCCATATTCAGCAAGGAGGTGCGCCTTCTCCCTTCGACAGATCTTATGGAACTAAATGTGGACATAATGGAGCGAAGAAAATTATTGAAATCTTGGAAAAAGGCGGCAAGCCGGAAGGAAAAGCCTACCTTGTTGGCATGAACCGTCGTCATGTAAGATCTGATTTCAGAATTTTGAACCGTTATGAGTTTTTAGATGGACTTTACTGAACTCTCCGATCTAAAATCTATCTCCGACTCTCCAAAACGGTAATTTCAAAGTCTCACATGCCAAAATCAACTACTTTTTCAGCCGCCAAAAATCCGAGGAGCAGTGGTGGATCAATCTCGTTTCCATGCAGCGAATCATGGCGCACTATCACAACCTCGACTATCATACTGAAGTTATCGACGCTCCAAGACGGTAACAATTTTATCCGATTTCTGCTTTCTTCTGACTCTGTAGTCTTAGAAGCGAAATGGGCAAGCCGCCGATGACGATGCCAATTCGTCCTCCAAGCGCGTTGGACACCGCCGGTTCCTTCAACTTTGACCCTCGTTTGCTCGGAGACTCCGATGAAGACTCTGATTAAGATTTATCCTCTTCCTGTTTATTTAAAAATGACTGTACAAAAACATGCTTCTTCAACAAAAATTACACCAACAATGAAAAATATAAGTTTTCTTATCAGTTCAAAGCTTCAAAAACTGACTTTTTTCTTTCAAAAGAATATCGAGTTTGAAAAAAATGGGATCGCATGGAATGACCGACGATGAAATTCTAGTGTACCTATTTGACGCGATCAAGAATCCCGAAGCCGTCAATTTTGCGCAGGTTTTGAACGACAGGCGCGTGAAAGAGTGCAGGGTGAAATATAATAACGACAAGTGGAATATGGTTTACGAGACGGTGGAGCTCTTCGCATACGGAACGTGGGAAGATTATGTGAGAGGAAGGCAGAATGGAAAGTATCTCGTGCTCGATGAACTTTGCACAATGAATTTGAAGGTTTTGAGGTAGATTCTTTCAACGACAAAGGAAATCCTTTATTTCAATAATTTTCTAAAGTCTTATGACGGCAAGAAAACAGCTAAATACAGGAGAAATTCCATACGATCTTTTATACGAAAGACTCGGCGTCGAACACGGGAACACTTGGGAGCTCGAGCAAATCGTCATCGGAGTGACCCAGCGGGGGTTGATGAGTGGCTACGTCGACCAAGAAAAACAAACTGTCTTTATCAGAAATATCCTCACCCGTGATGTGCGACTCTCAGGTTAAAAGATCTTTCATGAAAAAATATTGAAAATGATTTTTATAGAAGCAGAACAGCTCGCAGAAAAGGCGAAGTCCTGGTGCGAGAAAATTCAAAACAAGCTCGATAAAATGCGGAAAGCGGAACTCGAGGCAGATCAAAAAGACCTCGCACAATTCAATGCTAATGAAGATCACATTTACAAGCTCGATAAGACTTTTCAATATGTAAAGCTTCAAATGATCGGTAAAATACCAATTTTCTTCAAAAATTCAATTAGTTTTAGCTCAGGCGGGAGGAAGTAGTAGCTCTTCAAATCAGCCACGAACGAAGAAGACAAAAGTCAAGCCCACAAATATGATGACAACATGAATTCAAAATTTTAAACACTGCTGATAAAAAATATTCTTCTTTGTTCGAGAACTCTTCACTTAATTTCTCACTCGAACGCGCAATTTCAGAATTGAAGATGACCCGCTGGGAGCCTCCAACAGTGAACACCCCTACCGTGAAGACTCAGTCTGACTTTCATCGTAGCTACGATCTAACCGTCAGTGACGCAGCGCAACAGTGGAAGAAATACATGAAGCAGCTACAGAGTAAATATAAAAATTGATGCCTGTTTTTCAATCTGAAATCTGCCAAAAAATTATTTCTCTGTTAGTACTGGTAAACAACTGAAATAAAGTCTTTTTTCCAAACAAGAGGCCCGTTTGTGCTGGCCTCACTTTTTTTACAATAATTTTGTTAAGATGTTACCTTGTTGGTATTGGGATCGAAAAGATATTGAAAACTCGCCATCTAGGCAACAAGGACTCTCGGCAGAAAACGAAGCTAGGTATCGAAAAGAAGGAGCGAAATTCATTCACAAACTCGGGCTCGAACTAAAGCTTCATCACGATACTCTTGGTAATTCTTTTTTTAATTTTTTCCTTGTTAATTTATTTGATTTCTAGCGACCGCTGCAGTCTTCTATCATCGATTTTACCAACAACACTCGTTCGTCAAGTTCCGACAGCGCTATGTTACTGCCACTTGCTGCCTTTTTCTAGCTGGAAAGGTCGAAGAAACGCCGAAGAAATGCAAAGATCTTGTGCGACTCGCGAAACAGCTTCTTTCCGAGCAACATTTTGCCAGTTTTGGTGGCTCAGGCCCAAATGCGGAAGTAACGGCCAGGGAGGAAGTGATGGCCATGGAAAGAGTTTTGCTACAAGCGATCAAATTTGACTTTAACGTTGTTCATCCTTATAAATATATTATTGAGGTAAAGAAATGCTCATAAAAGTGAGTTGTTTTTGATCATTTTTAGTACGCGGAGCAGTTGAGAAATGATATTCAAGGAAGGATTGAAGAGAAGCAAATGGAAAATCTTGTCCAGAAATGATCATAAATTTTCAGTTAATTTTGTTATGAATTAAAAAAACAAAATGATGATCTGAAAATGAAGCAAAGCTGGAACTTTACCAACGATTCTCTTCAAACGACGCTTTGCCTTCAATGGGAGCCCGAAATTATCGCGATCTCAATGATCTTCTTATCAGCAAAGTTGGCAAAGATTGAAGTTCTCGCAGCGTCAACGAAATGGTGGGAAAAGTTCATTCCAGATCTGAGCATGGAACTGATCGAGTCAGTTTGCCATTCTGTGCTCGATATTTATCAGAGCTCAAAGATGAAGAAGAGTAAAACACCCAAGCGTAAAGGTATTCCTTTTCTCTTCTTTTCGATCTCTTCCTTTATCTTTAAGATGTTGTTCATACTGAAGGAACGCCTGAAAAACGACTGAAAGCGGATACTGTCGACCAAGGAATGCTTAAGCAGCTCATTCTTCAAAATCTGGACGCTGGAAAGCTTTCTGAACGTAAAAAGACTTTATTTCTTTCATTATTTATCCTCGATATTTAAGTCGTTCGAGCACAAGCAGAAAACGCAGCGAACAATCAGCAACAACAAAATCAAGCTTCCGAAACGCCCACACCTCGCATATCCTCACAGCCACCTCACGATGTAAATACCCGTCATTTTCCAGTTCTAAGAACTCGTTTGATTTTAAGCACCGACCACAGCCGATGAGCGCTTCTGTTCCAACAACTCCCATTCAAGCTCATGGACAGCGGCCACCGTTCCAGCAAAATCTCAATACAAATCAATTTCATACACCACAACCTCAAAGGGGAGGACATCAGGAGTTTTCCGGTGCTTGGAGACCTTCTACTCCTCAAAATGTAGCTTCTTTCTTTTTATCGCATTTGTGAATCGTCACTTTAGATGAATCAGGGAGGACCTCATGGAGGATATGGAATGCAAGGCGTGCAACGACCCCCAGTTCCAATGCAGCATCAGGGATACGGTGGAGGCCCAGCGCAACATGGCGGCTGGGATAACACTAGAAACCAACAACAGATGAATGGAACTCCTTCTGGCCCACGCGGAGGCAGGCGCGGCTACGGGCCTTCTGGTAATAGCTTCGGACAAGGAAAGGATTTAATCGTCACCTTAACTTTTCATTTTGAAAGCTCTATTGAATCCAAAAAGGAGGCTATCAAAACCAGAGTCAATGGAGATAAGCAATATTATTTTCCTTTACCTGACCACTTCTGCCTGAATATATCATTCGTCCAAAGTTTCATTTTTAACAATTTTAAATAATACTCTTCTCCCAGAATGGTTTTTAAATAGAACGAGGTATGGCAGCTTGCTACGATTACTTTTACATCGTTGGCCCTTCGCCGGAAACGAATAGTCCTCGAATTCTTGCTCACGTGCCTAGATCGGTTCCGGGAAACACATGGGACAATGAGGCACATCTTGCGGTGTTATCACTCCCGCTCGGCTGCAGAGAGTTGAAGGAAAACTCGACTCGATCATGTCATTCGTTTATCTGGAAAAAGGAAGATGGATCATCTTCTTGGGTGCACGCAATGGAATTTTGGAACCCTTCTGGAGGCCTAAGCCACGCGCTTGCGCTAATTTCAAAACGAGCGTTGATTCTTTGCTCTCATAAAATTCTTAATCTCATCTACGATCTTGTCTTTATATCCGGCTTGCCCTTGGACTCGCTGCAGCAGCTATTGAACAATGTCTTTGCTCTGAAAGAATCGTCCAGTATCACCTCGTTCCAAGTCAATTGCATCGACAGTATCGTCATCCCGCCTCGTTATTCCTCCTCAATCTCGCTTTATAAAACTTTCGAAAAAGTCCCAATTGTCAAAATTGTGAAAATCATTTGCTCGTTGCTGCTCGAACGACAAGTCGTCATCATCTCATCCAACATGGAAGAACTCGCTTTACTGACAGAGTCGTTAAAATTCCTCCTCTTTCCTTTCCCTATGCCAGACACCTACATCCCCTTGCTACCTTGCATTGCCGGAGCAGAGAGCTATCTTGAGGCGCCGATTCCGTATATCATGGGAATTTATACTCAGTCCATGACACCTGGTTTCTTGGCAAACTTGCTGCTCGAATCGAGCGGTCGAACAGTTTTTGATATGGATGATGGAACCCTGATCGTTGACGAAACTCTTCCTAAATTTCCCTTAGAAGACCAAGTCATCGATCTCGCCAGAAGCCGGTTCAACGAAATCAACAAAAAAGAACTTGAGCGATTGAAAAAGCGCGAGAATAGCTTCTCTTTGCATGGAAAATCCATTCCTGAAGACAATGACGACTTGCTAGATGAAATTCACAATGAAGCTCTTTCGTTGCCCTTCAAAGTCGCCTTCGCATTCATGTTTGCTGGTTTCGAAAACTTTGTTATCAATTCCAACGAATCGTCGGACATAATTCGATCTCGTGAGACTTCAAGTCTTTTTGACAAAGTAGCATTCTTATCCGAGCAGCCGGAAAGTCACATGGCGTTCTTGTCAAATTTCCTCGAGAGTCAACCGTTTGCTGAATTCATGAAAGAAAAAATCCGTCTTGCGGAGCTTTGCAGGGAAAGTAGTCTTCCGAGCACGATGCATCACGTGGTCAAGTTCGAGCAGATGATCTATCGATTCCAGAGTTTTCACTCGACTCTGGATGGCAGTGAAGAGCTTCCCCTTTCATCTCTTATTGCTCAGGAACCATTGTTCAAGCCAAAAGTGAAGAAGGAAAAAGTGGAAATTGAAATCAATGACACACCATCAACGGAATTTCCATCTCTGTATTCCGCCGAATTGTTTCATCTTCTAAGCATCAATGATAAGCTTGTACCTGACGACGGATTAACTCCAACGCCCGGTACAATGCCGTTTACTGGACCGGACGATATGTTTTCAAAAGCCGATCCTGGGACGAATAGCGTTGATGAAAGCTCTGTAAATCCCGAAATCATGTTTCAAGAAAACGTCAAATTCATCGAACGGGTCGTTTCAGACGTGAACAAGCTGATTAAACGCATCCTTCTCGGCCGCTTGGGACGAGAAACCGCGTCCGAGTGGGGCCATGAAGTCAAGTACTGCCACCAAACCGAAGAAAATGTCCAAATCGGGCAACTTTGTGATCTGCTCGAGCGTATTTTCAGACATGGAAGCAAGTCAAAACGCTCTCAATCTGCTCTCTGGAGTTTTCTCCTTAGTTTCAGAGAATATGCGCCTCCAGAAACTCCTCAAATAATAACCGCTGAGGATAACCAGCAAGGTGTGTTTCGTTCATTCGCGAAGAAAATCGCCGGTCTGGAGTACACTAGAGATATCAAACCAGTTGTTCGGTCGCCTGTTGCTGATATGAATACGGTTCTAAAAATGACAGGTGAAAGAAAATTAAGGATTGGAATATTTAATTTCTCCAGGAATTCAATCTGATCGAGGTCGAGTTCGAGCATGGATACGACTTGCAGTTGAAAAGCGTCTTCTTTCTCATCATTTGAGTTGTATAACTTCAAATCCTGTGATCGTCAATGAACACTACAAATCGTACGGACTGATACAATGCAGGGATAAATGGGAAGAATGCTTGAATTATTTTCTGACGCTTGGAAAGACACAGGTTTTGATTTTTCTTGAAACTGTTATGAATTATTTTCATAAGGATGTCGAATTTAATTGTTTTACCGATGGTTTTCCCGGAGCAACGATAAAATACCGCATTTGGATATTTCCCGGAGAAAGTCTTATCGGTATCTCCGAAACTACTGCGAACATTTATGTGAAACTCGTTGGCGAAAAGGATGAAACTCCTCGAATACCGATTCATAACAAAACTACCCTAGAAGTGGAATTTGAATGCAATAACTTGGGACGCCTGGTTGTTCTCGCAATTGGTAATAGAAAACCATTGAATGAAAAAAAATTACTTAAAATTAGGACACGATAACTCGGGGATGTTCCCTGCTTGGAAGGTGAAAAAAGTGCTAGTTCGGAACGAGGTAACTGGAGCTTTTTGGAACTTTCCATGCGGCAAACCGATTGGAAAATCAGTTGGCGATGGAGCTCTTGAGCGAATTCTTACTGCAGAAAGGTTGGGATTGACGATGTCGAAAGAGCGTAGAGTCGTCTCGATTTCTACAAGGAATGGTTGAATGAAATTATTTTTTTTTTGCTTGAGCATGTGACTTTAGGAAAAAGAGAATGAGCATGAAAATCTTTGCTTGATTATTAGAATAGATTGGGGGAATGATATTTAATTCTTTTATAAAACCAGGAATAGGCAAACAACACAAGGCGCCCGCTCCAAAGAAAAGTCTAGAGACGACCTTCAGAAGAACTTTCATCTGACCGTAAACAAAATACAAGTCCTCATGAACATGGAACGCCCCCAAGCCCAAGCGATCAATGGTCTACTTTGTGGTGAAAATGGACTCGTTGAAAGTAAAATCACTCTTTTGAGAAAATCGAATGTAATCGTCTTAGATTTTTCGGACATCTTTGTTCACGAAATGAAAACAAGTCGACTGAGAACGAACTTTGCTTGGGATGCGATTTACCACACAGCGCAGCAGATCATTGCGGAGCCGATTCACTCCGGAGATCCTGAAATCCGCTCTAAATTCCTGGACGTATTCAATGAAGTTCAAAATAAATGCTCTGACGGAGGAAAAGAGGGCAAATTTCAGGTTCACAATTCATTGAAAATTTATTGTAAAAGAGAGTTTTCAAGACATTTGTATGCGTCGTTTTGAGAGACAAAGTGATGTCACAGTTTATGAAGATTGTTAGAGATTGCTGCAACGAACTTTACTCATCGTCAGCTTTTCTTTACGAGCAATCAACTGTGATTTTCCTTGAAGAAATGCTCTCTTATCTAGCCACAGTGAAAGTTCTTGCTGTTGATGACTCGTTAACAAAGGTGAAAGGAGCACTTCGCCATGGCATGTGTTATTAATGTTAATTTCTAGGGAATCGAGAAAGTTGAGCTGAAAACACCCGACCTGACAACTTATGAAAGTCCGATACCGCTAGAGCATATGCCAGAATCTTCCGTTTGAAATCCATTTAAACTCTTTTCTTCATTTTTTTCTTTTCAACGCAACTTCAAAACCAACCTTCTCATCGTGCAATTTTTACTGACCTTTGCTTCTTCAAAAAACTCCTGTGATTAATTCTACTAATACAATTTCATATTACACATCTAAAAAGTCCTAGCATGGAAGATGAACCGATTAATATTGCGCTCTAGCTCTAGAATGTCGTTTCAGAGCGCCAGTGCTGTTAGAAGCCGACTTCCGACTTTTAACAAAATTCCGATCGATCTCGCTACAGAGGCCAAGCTCTTGAATTTCAATCAATTGGCTACTGTTGACTTGCGAAATGCAGTTTCAGCAGTTGCGGCGGCGAAAAATAAGAAGGTTCAAAACTTCAAGCTTTTTGAAGTGCTTGAATGCAGTTTTTCTAACATGTTTATTGTGATGTATCTGTTTCTGTTGTACTTTGTGAAGAAAACTAACCAGTCTTCTCATAAGTTTCTTGTAAAGTTTTTCTTTTTTGAGGGCTTTCTTTCAGACAGTTGGATTGTACGAAGAAGTCCTCATCGACTGGCTCAAGAAGTTCGACGCTCATCTTTCCGACCGAACATTCTTCGTTGCGGAACGCCCAACAACTGCTGACTACGCAGTTTTCTCGGAACTAGCCGTTGCATTTTCAACCCAGTACCCAGAAGATCGCATCAAAACCGACTTCGCCAATCTGCATCGTTGGTTTCGAACAGTTCTCGTGCAGAACTCCGCCAAACTCGGATCGTTTAGATATTACACCCCACCACCAGCGGGAATGAACACGAATATCACCGCCAACGAGGTGCGAACGCAATTTCTTGAATTTTTCAAGGAGCGTGAGCACCCTTATGTCCACTCGAGCTCGACCATCCCTCATGATGATCCTACTCTTCTCTTTGCCAACGCCGGTATGAATCAATTCAAGTCGATCTTCGTTGGAACGATTGATCCATCTTCCCCAATGGCCAAGCTCAAATCCGCTGTTAATTCTCAAAAGTGCATCCGAGCAGGAGGAAAGCACAACGATTTGGACGATGTCGGAAAGGACTCTTACCATCATACATTTTTCGAAATGCTGGGAAGTTGGTCTTTCGGAAATTACTTCAAGAAAGAAGCAATCGCTTGGTCCTTCGAGTTGCTCAACAAAGTCTGGGGAATTCCAGCTGATCGTCTTTACGCCACTTACTTTGAAGGAAATCCCGAAGCTGGACTCGAGCCCGACAATGAAGCCCGTGAAGAATGGCTAAAATATCTCCCTGCAGATCAGATTCTCCCTGGAAACGCGAAAGATAATTTCTGGGAAATGGGTGACACTGGCCCATGTGGCCCTTGCTCAGAGCTTCATTACGATCGAATCGGCGGACGAAACGCAGCCAGCTTGGTAAACATGGACGATCCAGATGTCCTTGAAATCTGGAACTTGGTCTTTATGCAGTACGATCGACAGCCTGACAAAAGTTTGATTCCCCTTCCCGCCAAATCAGTCGATACTGGAATGGGCCTTGAGCGAGTTGTCTCTGTTTTACAGGACAAACGCGCAAACTACGACACGGACATGTTCTCTCCATATTTTAAGAAAATCCAGGAGCTAACCGAAACCCGCGCATATACCGGTCTTTTCGGCGCGGAAGACAAAGACGGTGTCGACATGGCCTACCGAGTGCTTGCTGATCACGCTCGAACTCTTTCCATCGCTCTCGCCGACGGTGGTCGACCAGATAACGTCGGTCGAGGCTACGTCCTCCGAAGAATTCTCAGAAGAGCAATTCGCTATGGTCACGAAAAATTGAACATGAAGGTCGATGATTTTACCGCTCTTGTCGATGTCGTTGTTGAGTCACTCGGCGACGCTTTCCCAGAGCTCAAGAAAGATCCTGAGTCTACCAAAGAGATCCTCAAGGAAGAATGGATTCAATTCATGAAGACTCTCGATCGAGGGCAAAAAATTCTAGAGCGAAAGATCAAACAGCTCAATCTCACTGACAAGCTTCCTGGAGACGTTGCCTGGCTTCTTTATGATACCTATGGCTTCCCATTAGATTTGACCACGCTTATTGCTGAGGAACACGGACTGACTCTATCCTGTGACGAATTTGAAGAAGAACGCCAGAAAGCGATCGAACGATCGAAGGGAGCTGGTGCTGGTGTTGATGAAAGTATCAATTTAGATGTCCATGCTCTTGCGAAGCTCCAGGACGATGGTGTTCCAACAACTGATGATTCGCCAAAGCAGAACTACGACGCAAACGAAGCTGGTGAATACTCTTTCAATTCGATCAAAGCAAAAGTTTTGGCCCTCCGATTCAACAAAGAATTCCACCAAAATTGTGACAGCTGTGAAGTAGGAATCGTCTTAGACAAGACGAATTTCTACGCTGAGCAAGGTGGTCAAATCTATGACTTGGGCTACTTTTCCCGAGAGAATGATGATGACTTTGAGTTCAACGTCAAAAATGTACAGATTCGAGCTGGATATGTTCTTCATGTAGGAACTTTAGTTGGTAAATTGGCAGTTGGTGATGAACTTGTTCTCAATATCGATATTGAGCGACGAGTGAACATTATGCCAAACCATACTGGAACGCACGTTCTCAACTTTGGCCTCAGATGTGTCCTTGGTGAGAAATTCTATTTATCCTCTCGATAACCTTTTATAAGGCGAGGCTGATCAGAAAGGATCTCTTGTTGCTCCCGAACGACTGAGATTCGATTTCACCGCAGGTGGAGCTCTCAAGCCAGCTCAAATCAAACAGGTCGAAGAAATCTGCAATGAAGTAATCACCCGAGGTGGAGCTGTCCACTGCCAAGTCTCTCCACTCGCTCAGTCAAAAGCTATTCAGGTCGGTACCCGTCGTTGTAATCATTTTAAATCGAATTTAGGGTCTGCGAGCTATGTTCGACGAAACTTATCCAGATCCAGTTCGGGTTGTTTCAATCGGTGTTCCAGTTAATGAACTTCTTTCGAATCCCACATCTGGTGCTGCTGACAAGACATCAGTGGAGTTCTGCGGCGGTACTCACTTGAGAGACATTTCTCATGCAAGAAAACTCATCATAACTACGGAAGAGGCCATCTCAAAGGGTATCCGACGAATGATCGCGGTCACTGGTGCTGAAGCAGAGAAAGCAGATCGACAGGCTCAGAGATTAGGGACGGTTGAAATTGAATTTATTTGTTACTAAAATTTTTCGGGACGCAAAGATCATTCAACTCAAAATAGAAAAGGATGTGAATGAGCTAAAGGTGGAAGTCAAAGAAGCAATTCAAGCGAAAAACACCGCGGATGCTAATCAACGTGCAATTACTCTTGGGTAAGTAATGCTCGGAAACGCTCCATTTTAAATTTGCTGCAGTTATTCATTATTTTTAGAAAAACAATGGAAGTTGCACCGATTTCTGCGTGGAAACGTGCTGAACTTGTTGATGCTGTGAAGAAGGCAAAGATGGAGATTGTTCAATATGAACAGAAGGTATGATTGTAATATTGACTAAATTCATTCTTGATTACAAATTAGGTGCAAAAAGAAAGAATCGCCAACTTAAAATCTGAAACCGAAAAGCGAATCGACGCCGGAGATGTTGCCGAGCCAGAAGTACTCCTCCTTGATGCAGGCAGCAACAACAAAGTTCTCAATGAAATTCTCAAACTCTACGCAAAGAAATCTCCGAAGTCGCATGTGTTACTCTTCAGTGCGGATCACACCGCCAAGAAAGTCCTTTGTCTCGCTCAAACTCCCAAGGTCTTGACTATATTTATTTCTCATTCTAGCGTTTTTAAGGGCTCAACATTGAAAGCAAACGAATGGGTCGGTTCAATTAGTCCTCTTATCGATGGACGAGGTGGTGGAAAAGACGTTCAAGCGCAAGCGTCGGGTAAGAACGTTGCTGGGCTCAATGATGCCCTTGCTAAGGCAAAGGAATTTGCTGCAGCGAATCTTTAAAAGTTCAACTTGATGCTAACTAGCATGATGCTAGTTCTGTCTGTTATTATTACTGAAAACTAACTTATCTCTATGTCAAATTACTATTGATATAGAATTTGAGGGGCAGGTGTCGAATAAATGAGAATTATCTCAAAATTGGTAAATTGCTTCTCTTATTTTAGATAAAAGAAGTAACAGTCGTGTTTACAGTTGTTTATTTGCATTTATGCACAAGACTTCTATCTTATCATATTTTACAAAGTTTCGGATTTATTATCTTCTTGTTTGAAAGGGTCGTCCACGGCTGCCTCAACAGATTCTTTCTCCGGAACGTCAACTTGTTTCCTCTGAGTTCTAAAATGCTCCACAATGCCAATAAGGATGAGAAATCCTCCTAGAGCAAACATCGTATATTGAAGAGAGCTTCCAATCTTCATTGGTTTTACGGAGGCCTCATAAAGCGATCGGGCAGTGTCGTCGTCAAGCTATAAATTTGTTCTTGAACTATAAATTTGCCTTTTTGCAAATACCTTCATGGTTTCGTTTGACCAGAAAATCGGCCATACAACTGCGTCTTCATTTTTGACTTGATCAAGAATGCTAGAAAACGATCATTTCAACTACCTAGGTTTAACATCGTGCGTACCTAATTCGTTTATCCTTCTTGACCAAAAAGTTGATCTGGATCTTTTTTGAGTTGAACGTAATTGCACCAGAATTCAAGTCGTATCCGTTGAAAGAAGTATGCTCAGACTGAGAAATTTTTATTCATTGAAAATACTGGTGACTTACATTTCCCCACTCAAAAAATGGAGTTTCGTGGGGATTCATCCCTTCAATATCTTCTCTCCATCGGAGTGAGCCGCCGGAAAAGTGCGGACCTAAATTCGATGTGATTTAGTTTTTAATTTTCTTTTACCAGTGGCAACTGCAGGCGCTCCCATTTGACACTGATCCATCATGTGAAGGCCATCATACTTTTCGCACCATCCTTCAGGAAGATTTGGTGAACAGTAACATCTGTTTTCCGGTCGGCTTTTTGTGTAAAAAACATCTGGCGGGCCAAACCAAACTTCCGACGGGATCTTGTAGCCATCACCTTCAAGATTCACTGTAACTTTTGCAGGAACCATGAAAACTGTTCTGCAAAGATCAGAGATGAAAAAATTTAGAGTGTCTTCCTTGCGAGTGTCAGTGAAAATTGATTGTCCATCTGTACCCTCGATTCTATTACAGTAATTGACTTTGTCTTCGCCGTACCAAGGCGCAAGGTCCGTTTTTCCTTCCCACTCTAGAATTTCATTCACTCGGTAAGCGCAAGTTGTTTGTCCATCTAAGCAGCTCTGTCCGTTTCCGTTTCGATTTTTGAAGTGATCCCAGCCACTTCCTGGTTCTTCGACGGTGCCGTTCTTTGGCTGAAAGAGACCGTAGGTGAGGTTAATGAAGATATCAGAAAGATCTTCTAGGATCGGTTTGATTGGCGAGACCGGGGCTTGATCAGCTGCCCGATCGGCGAGGTTTTGGCCGAGTTGTTTGAAAATATCGTCTTCAAAGCCAAAAAGAATCTGGTCTACGGTTTTCTCGTCGTCGTATAATTTTGCTCCTGCGTTGACAAACACGTCTTCAGCGAGAATCATCAACCAATTCTCAAGGTTTTCTTCGTAGCACTCTTTTGGCGCTTGGAACCCGACACAATTCTGCTTTGAAAGCGCAAAGTTGCAGTCAGCAGTTGGTTCTGAAATACCCTTGTCGCATTCGATGATGATTTCGTTGTTTTTCCAATCTCGTTTTCGCGAGATGTCGGTGACGATTCCATGGATGGCGTTTGCAACAATATTTGCAGTCACTGGTTTATCGTCTTTCTTACAGTCTTCACAGGAATACTCTTGGCTCCATGTAAACAATCGCGTTTGTCGGAAAGAATAATAAGTTGAATTTTCATAATCTCCATTATTCTGTTCGATTTGATCTCTTCCATAATTTTCCACGTAAGTGTAAGGCCCCTTTTGGACAAAAGAAAGTTTCTCATCCGTGCCGGCGACATATTCTGCGCCATTTTCCAGACTCCAAAAGTAGAATTCGTAGAGCACAAGAGGACTTGGATTTCGGAGATTTTCGTAAAGAATCGTTCCATTTTTCATAACATTATTTTTCTCCAGCTCCGATACTGTCACAATATCAATAAGTGGGTACATAACAGACGCTATAATTATGAAAAGCAGTCCGGTGCCGCCGAAGACTGCTCTTCGGTCACAACAGCAACCCATTTTCTCTTTAGAATAAGTTCGCTATGGCCGGTCAAAAAAGTACTTGTTGCTCGGTCTGGGTAAATATGCAAAATGGAATTATTATTGAGAACGCATGCTTTTCGGAGTAGTGCAAATAGTCGCCGGGCGTGGTTAACTTATTATAAAATCAAAGCAAAAAGAGGCGTTGCCAAACTGTATGATTGACCTTGAAAATCAAGGTAATTTAACGTTGATTGTATTTTGTATGAAAGTTTTATTATCAGGCGCTAGATACAGGGGCAAAAAGAGACAAGAAGCGTTCTTGACTATTTTTTAAAATGAAAATTGTTACAGCGCTAAATTGTTAGCAGAGGTTTTATCAGGTAGGTTTTTTGGACTCAAGCTGATGAGGTGCTTTGTTGTGCCATGATCTGAAGCACAGCGTCGTATTTTTCAAAAACATCGGTAGGGAGAGCATCGCAAGTATTGTCATCTTCCTCGTGGATGAGCTTGCAAACACTTTTAAAAGGGATGATATTTCGAAATTCAGACAGGATCCGAAAAATTTGATCCTAAGCAGCGTGCGCTGGAAATCGTGTCTAAAGCTGCTCGAATTTCATCCCTTTCCTATTGACGACAATTCGGCGGAGCTTGGTGATTCGCCGTCTCAATCCCTCACGTCGAATATCAAGACTTCGTCCGATATCGCCATCACATTGGATTGATTCGTCGATCAGTTGTTCCATCTTCTGGATGTTTTTGTAGCTCTATTTGAAAGACCCGTTAGAATTGAAAATATATCTCTTACCTACGTTAATGAGGGAGCAGTTCTCGCCACTGCAGGAATTTCGAACGATGAAGGATTCTTCACCAACTTCAGTAGAAGCCAGTTCAGGATTGCAAAGAAGAACATTTTTTCTAAAAGCGTCTCCTGTATTTTCGATTCTTCTCGTGACTAGAATTTTCATTTAGAAAATGTCAAATAGCGGGTTTTTTCAAGCTACCTTTTTCAAGTTTTCCGTACGTGCCCAACTTGCCCTCGGTGCCAATCCACTCTTCTCGCCAATCCTCAAGTCGTCGAACGTACCTGTTTGCTTTGTCGAGACTTGTCACTAGAAAACGGTGATTATTCTGAGAAGAAAAAGTGCTCGGATGAATATTAAACCGAAGATCACTTGTGCTTCTTTGCTGTTTTGTTTTATACTCGAGATTTTCAAGTTGAAATTGAGGACTTTATAGAATTATTTAAAAATCAAGGAGGACTTACACAAATCTTGAGCAGCGCTGGCAGCAATGAGAGATGCAAAAACTTTCATATTGAAGTTATAAAATTTGTCTTAAAAAGCTTGGAGAAGAGGTGCTCTGATTTTTTAAAAACCTGAATGCGGCTCCACATGCTTACTTGAGTACTTATAGTTCGGAGGGATGAAATTTGAGGAGCTTTTGAAAATCCGCCGCGAAGCTTCTTAATTTTGAATTTGGCTCAAGGGATTGTTCGCTTCTGAACCTTACGAGGAAATGGATGAGAAACAAAGTCACTTAGCCGCGAATAAGCTTCTAATGCAGATTAACCTTACGTAGTTAAGAAAACACTTTTGCTGGTAAGCGGATTACATTGAACAGCCAAAGTATCAGACTCGCCAATGAAATATTTTTCCCAGGCCAAAATATCGATTATTTCAAAAGCCAAAATAACTTCCAGCGCGAATTCTGCGCTGCGTTGTCCTGGAGACAACTCCCTTGATCTTTCTTTTTTTGAACAAAAATTTCGAACGTCGCTGAGTAATTTTACAAATTCAAATATTCATCGTCAGCAAGAACTCGTGCAAAATCAATGTTTAATACTGGAGATACTCCAACTCCGGGTCAGAGAAGTCTTTTGAGCGAGTTATCGGCAGCAGTTGGGCAGAGGAAAGTGAAGATGGGACTGCTAGACTCAGGGGAGTTTTATTATCAAGAAATAATGCCACAAATGTCAAGATAGGAGTTCAGGACTGATTGACTAAAACTAAAAAAAGACTCGGATGATGATTATCTTGATTTTCTGAAAAAAGAGAATCCAAAAACGGCCTTGTCGACAACTAAGACGATGAAGGTCGCAAATCTGGACACTGATTCGGGCTCAGCCTCCGGGACCGAGTCGATCGCAGATGATTACTCTGACGACTCTTTTGCTACTTCGGAGAAGTCGGAAGATACCATTCAACCAAAGATCGACAGGCATCATGTTAGAATGATTTTCAATTTCTCTAAAAGGGAATTATCGTATTTTTCTTTAAAATTATTTTTTTTTGCTAACGCGACGAAAGCCCAAAATCTCTAAAATCTTCTCGATCGGCGAAATCGATTCCAGATAATGACGATAGCTCAGTCGATGATCTGCAAGCAACTTCTAAGCCCTTCTCCAAAACAGTCGAAACGAACAAATCGGCCAAAGTCGATGATTCCATCGATGAGTTACTCGCCGCTTCGAACCCGTTTCTCAAGAAAACGCCGAGAAAGGATGAAACGATTGCGGAAATCGCTGAAGAGCCGAAATCTCCAAAATCATCCAAATCCCAATCGCCTAGAAAGAGCAAAAGCTCAAGTCCACCTCTCATTTCTGCCAGAAGCAATGTGTTGTCTAATCCGGAAGCAGGAAACGAAGACAGCTCAAGAAGATCATCCCTCAAAAAATCGACATCGGATGGATTTCCCGTCCCAGCGCCAAGATCACGTGCTTCATCAGAAGCTCCTGAAACCAAAGAAGAAAAGAGCCAAGATGTCAAGGTGAGTCTCAGTTTTTTTTTAATTTCTCTTCGAACTTTTTTCGGAGCTTATTTAGACCTCTTCAATCCCTGATCCCGTCCAAGAATCTGAAAATCCGATTCCGATCGCCGAGGAAAAGAAAGAAGCTTTGAAAGAAATCTTCGCCACGGCGATCGAAAACGAAAACACCGAAGCCACAGTAACAAAGAAAAAGAGACCCGATAGTGCATTTGGGCGACGGATGCAGAAACTCATAGGAATAGGCTAGATTTGATCCCTTGCTTTTTCTTAAAGAAAGTGTTTAGAGGAGCAGCTGAGCCACTTGAAGTCCTTGTACTTAAAGCCCTTTTTCTCCACGTTGTCTCAGGCTCTGACACTCATACAATTCTAAATAGTTTTGGCTACCGCTATACCGTTATCTTCCAAGCTACCCTGCCTCATTTGATACCCTATTGCTTGCAAAATAAGCCCTCAAATAACACCGCTTCCAAAATAAGCCAAGATAAGAGAGTAGAAGAAATGGCTCTGCGGAAGGCGCCGCAAAACTTCCTGAAAATTACACCGGACTTGGATCAACCAGAGCTTTGGAGGATTTGCAAAAATTTAAGGTACAGCCGCTTACAAGTATTTCATCAAAATTTTAGGAAAACGGGCTAAACGAGGAGCTGAATGGTGCCCGTGGTCAGCGAAAAAGTAAGTCTATCCCACCTTGAAATTAGTGGTGAAATAATCTTTCAGTGGCTTATCTCGCTTGGCTCAAGAAAAAAGAAGAGACACGTCAGAAAGAAGAAGAACGACGGAAGAAGAAAGCAAAAGAGGAGAAAGAAGAACAGGCAAAAAAGAATAAACCTAAGCCAAAAACTGTTCAAGCCGCAAAAACAATGGGTCCAGCTGCGGAAGGCTGGCTCAAGAATAAGGAACGTGGTTCAACTCATTTTTAACGAGATTTTTGAAAACTACTCGCTGAAGTCTTTGTTGAACTTTGCTCTAGGAAGAATACCTCAACGAAAAGGCTCGAAAGGAAAGAGAGAAGAAACGAAAAGAAGCGGAAGAAAAAAGGGAAGCAGAAGAGGAGAAAAAAGCTAACGAGAAGCTCGTAAAGCAATATCGAGAGCGCAAGGAATGGTTTCACTTTGCTCAAGAAAGATTAGAGCATAAAAGATTAAGGCGATAAGCCATTCAAGTGGTAGACCTAGAATTGTCCGTTCAATAATAATCTTTCGTAATCCAGGGGACTATCAAGGACTCTCTTTGCTGAAATCAGAAAGGAAAAAGAATATCAGGAAAAGGTTCGAAAACAGCGTGAAATTGAACAAGGTAAGTTTTTTCTTGTTAACATTGCTGGAACATGTTCTTGTGACGGGATGCAGTCGTGTTCTTACAGCGAAAAGTACTACTAGAACTAGTGTATTTGAATTTATAATGCATTGAACGTCTTTTCGCTTCAATAAATGTAACGAATTTCGCTTAAATTTTTTAACCACCGAGACTTTGTTTCATTAAAAAGATATGAATTCAATATGATCTTTTGAAAAAATATACAAATTCCAATATTGACATGCCTTTTTAGAAAAACAACGAGAACTCGAAGAGGCAAAAATGGAGAAGAGAATTCAGTCCGCGAAAATGAAAACAGAATGGGAGAAGAAAAAACAAAAACAAATCAAGAAGCAAAAACAAGAGCAACAAGCGCTAGAAAGAGAATTAACCCAAACTCAGGTAACTTTTAAACTTTTATATTCGTCCTAAAAAAGTGCTAGATGATCCAAAAAGACGAAAAAATCCAAAACGGTCGCCGTGCTTACGAAGAATGGCAGAGGCGGAAAAAGCTGGAAGCAAAAGAAACAAAAATGTGGACGCTTTCTTATGAAGATTTCACCGAAGAAATTCGTCCCTTTTACTAAACTATCGATTAATACTTTTGCATTTACTTTTTTACCCATTTTGATATACATTTTTGTACAAAGGTTAAAAGAATAAACATGACTTGTCGTTCTCGCAGCTTTATCTATCTGAATTTGTTTAGAAAGATGATCATTTAATTATGCTGGATTTAATACAGCTTGATACATAATATGATCCAGGTCAGGGATCTGCATCACACTTTAATCTCATAATATAAGATAAAATCTAAGCTTTCTTTTTTTTCTGATATTTGATGATTCTTTTGATATTAAATATGGTTGACGCACACTTTTTGGGTAACCGAGTAACAGTGACACCCTTAGTTGCTTAATAAGGACTCACATAAATAGACATTTTCGGCAGTAAGGAAATTATACGGTATTATGCACACTCATTTAATCTCGCTAAAACTTGTTCCCAGATCGATCTCGTTTCCATTATCCGTTTGAAATGGCTGTATAAATTCTCACCGAGCCACTGTAGTTCAGTCGACTGCATTTAACGAAGATGCAATCAGCGATAAAGTGGAGCACTTAAAGTTGCAATGTATTCAGTCCACGTCGTGAAAGATTAATCGACACCAGTAAGCAGGGGTACTCCGGCGGCCAACAGGCATGCATGGGCTGACATGCAAAACCACAACTTTGGCTAAACTGAAAACTAAGAGCGTCAAGAGCAAACGAAACACGAATAACTCTTCATCAGTTCGCAACGGTAAGAAAACAAAGAGAAAAGGGGTTGTTCCATGATGAATAAAAAACGCGAACTTTAGACATTTTAGTGGCAACAGAAAGCCATTTCCTGTAGCCAGAGAAAACATTTCTGTCCGACAGTAGTGGACTACAGTTTTTTTTTCTTGCAAAAGTCATTTTTTAAATGAGCCACAACCTGATTTCAAAAAAGGAGAATTAGTTGTCTTGGCTTCATAAATATTAAAATTCAATTCAATCAATTTTTAGACAGGCTCAAAGGTAATTACAGGCGACAGCAAAATGGAAATCAAAAATAAACCTAGCAAAGTTGAAAAAACCAAAACGATGAAATATTTAGATAATGAGGGCTGAAGTAATGATCCAGTAATGTCTGAGAGTGTCTGGATAAGCCGGCTGTCGAGGCCTAGCCCGCCGGTTCAAAATGGTAAAGTCAAGAAGAAGCACTTTGTTAAGTTTGGAAGCAACCAAGGATCGGATCGATTCATCCCACTCTAAAATCAACTGAAGTCGATGCTACTTTTTACGATGTTTTCTATTATAAGCCGCGTTTTCACATGTTGATCCAGTCGCGTTTTAGCGAAGCTTTCTCGGCATAAATATGTAAATTCATTCATGAGGCATTATTGTGACAATTTTTAAATTAGACCAAAATCCTTTTTGGCTACGTCCACCCGATAATTTAGAATTCTGAATTGGATTAAACAGAATCTCCTCCCTCTCAGACTCTGTCTGTTTTTAGGAAATTAAATCAGTCAGAGTAGAAAGTCGAAGTGACCTTCGCCTTTCGCACTGTATTAACTTTACGACAGTCGTTTATTTATAAACAAGTCTCATCAACACAAAGTTCATCCATATTCGATAGCTTTGTCCATATGCGATGGATTATTCACTGTTTCATAAATAATGAAGACTATTTTTTCGAACTTTTGTCGATTTCGAAATTCTTTGTGTGGGATCAAACATGATTAAAATCAATTTGACAATCAGAAAATCACTGTAGACAAAGTTTGGGCAGTAAAGAACGTTATAAAATAGCACTCGCGTCAATTGAAAAGGGTTTTAATCCTTTTACTAACTGATAAAAGAACTTCGTTGGTCATTTGTGATCACTTATCGAGGTGTTGATAGCCTCTTGGCAGAACTTTTACAGTGCCTTTTATACTTGCGAACTTCTTTTTGAAGTTTTAGGTTTATTTTACTTTCAGAAGATGTGATTCTTCTATTGAGTAGTTAACCTAGTATGCGTAAATCTAATGTACAAATTGAGCACCTAAAATAGAAGCATAGGAGAAGCCCTTTTAAACAAGGACCCCATAAGAAAATGTCCTTCAGAGTTGACGAGAGGTCGCACTTGATCCGGTCTTGCCTATTGTACAGTCAGGGCAATAGCCTGTGGGCCCAATTTTTACTCTCGCGCGCCTTTTCTCTCTTCTTCAATTTTAATTCTGCTGTGACGCATGTGAACACACCTTGTCTCACACTTTTTACCCTCGAAAAAAATATTTCAAACAGCTGCTCGAATTAAACAGAGATTGAAGAAGAAATTCCCAGCTCCGTGCTCTTTTGGAGACATAGAAGAGAACCTCTCGGCGGGAGAGAACGGAGAAAACGCGCTTCCGCGGCTCGAGTACTTGAATTCCCGCGTTGAGGTGGTTTTATGGTGCGTCGGGAATGGGAAACGGCTCTGCGGTCAAGCAGGACTCGGGCCAGTCTGAGAACCTGCCCCTCAGACCCCCTTCAGAAGGATCGGGCACATTTTTGACAGGAATATGCGTTGTCGATATTGACAGAAAGAAAGGACGTTTTAGATTTTTATTGGATTGAGGAAGAGGTCACGTTGAATACTTGATAACAAGCGGTTATATCTGAACATCGGCCATGTCTTCTACCGATTCTTTGAGACTCCAGTACTCGTATTTATACAGTCATTTTTCTGTTTTCTGCATTTCCGATTTTCATTTACAGTTTTCATCAATTGATAATTGGCGTTTTTGGAACATTCTTGATTACTATTTAAATAATTTTTATTGTCATAATTAGAAATTTAGTGATTTTTTCACATAAGAATCATAAATGAACAGTATCTAATCTAAAAATGCATCGAGAAGAGCGTAAACAGTCTATCTTTTTTGTATTCGTTCCATTTATTGATTTCATTAATTTTTAAATTTGTATTGACTCACAAAATCGAGATTATAACCGTTTTCGACAACTGCTGAATGAAAGCTTAGATCAATATCATTTTATTTATACAAAACCTCTGACTTATTTCGGACTCGTTTGGTTTAAATCGATCCGCGAAAGGGCGAACCTCCGAAGTGCCCGGGAAAGTCGTCGTCGGTCGCGGCCGAAAGACGAAAAATGAAAATCATAAGCCTTCATTCTCCCTCTCTTCAAAGGAAGGGCTGATTAGTTTATGTCACTTGGAGTAATAGACTATCTTTTCAAGCCTAAACCACAGAAGAATACGAACATTGGATATCGACTGGGTTACCGGCGGACTCTGGCAAGTGTCTTTACAGATTAAATGCCCCTGTGAGCCTATAATATCGTTAACGCCCGTAACACCTAATAAATTTAAGACTCCCAAACTCCACACCTGAGAATTATTGCTCTCAAATCTGAAATGACATGAGCACAGGTTGGTACGTTTCCTTTCCCCTTCTCACAAATCACCCGGGCCACAACTTTCACTAATTGCAAACATAAGCCAGTTAAAATGAGTGTTAAAGACACTTGGAAAGTTCGAACGAAGAAAAAGACTGTCTGATTATGCGTTAATATTTGGCATGTTCGGCATTGTAATTATGGTCATTGAGACCGAGCTTTCCTCCGACGCCGTTTACAACAAGGTTGTTAACTTCTGTTCTAGCCTTGTTTTTTTAATTGATAAAAATAAGAGCCATACTCCCAGCTTCGTCCTCAAGTGCCTCATTTCATTATCAACGATTATCCTGCTCGGGCTGATTATAGCTTACCATGCTCGTGAAATTCAGGTAAAGTGGAGTTCATTTTCTTTCAGCCCCTATTTCGAACTCTACCGGCTTCTTCCACATTCTGTGAACGCTTTTAGCCAATAAGAAGTCATCATTTTTTCTTTAACCAATCACAGATGCAATTTTAAGTTATTTATGATTGACAATGGTGCAGATGATTGGAGAATAGCAATGAGTTGGGAAAGAATATGCTACATTTCCCTGGAGCTTTTTATTTGTGCAATTCATCCTATTCCTGGCAACTGGAAATTCAAGCCAAAGATCTCAGATCGTATTATTTTGATAAATGCTCAATTTGTGAAGTGAGCTTCAGTTGATCCAAAAGAGGATTGACATTGCACTCATAAATCATGCTGATCTTGACAAAGTGGAATCTACAGAGCACGATACAGAAGACAGTCACGGGAGGACAGGGTCATCTCATTTCATTGAATATTTGGCACAATGCCGATACCGAGGAACTGAGCTGCAGATAATAAATAATTTGCTTCTTTTCAAAACCGATTTTTCAGGGCTCGATGAAGTTCCTTAATATAATTTTATTAAAACAAATTATACATTTGAAAAATGATAAAGACCCGGGATAAAGCAACTCGCGCTGCTGATGTTGATATTCTACTTTCGATTCCGATGTTTCTCAGGAAAGAATTTGCCATTGTGGAGTGACTTTCGCTCGCAATAAATTAAAGATTAATTGCTGAGGCGAAATCACGATATTAAATGAGTTTTGATTTTAAATATCAATCCAGCCTTTTTCAAGGCTAGTTTTTGAAGCAATTTGCTTTGCATCAACTTGACAATTCTCCTTGAAAGACTGTATCTGATAGCACGAGTGATGCTTCTACATTCCAGACTTTTCACCGACGCCAGTAGCAGAAGCATCGGTGCGCTAAACAAGATCAACTTCAACACCAGATTCGGAAGGGATAACAAAATTGAGCAAATTGAAATTCAATTTAGCCTTCATCTGACATTCTAATTCTCCTTTTCGCTCGTTAATTAGATGCTTCTTAAAAACAGAAACAATTGATTGATTATCCCCGTGAAAGTAATGAAGACGCTGATGACGATTTGTCCGGGGACTGTTTTATTAGTTTTCTCTATTTCGCTGTGGATCATAGCCGCTTGGACAATTAGAGCCTGTGAGAGGTAAACATCACCCAGAGGGCTTATTCTATTCAGCTGCTTAGATGATTTTATGGGCCCGTGGGATGAATAGTTTTCCCTTTACCAGCAGTAATATCCCATCCACGTGACAGTAGCTCCTTGTCATTAGCAACCAGACATTACCACTGAGGCAGGACGTTCTTCTTATAAGTATTGATAGAACAAGTGTTAGCTGAATAATTTTAGGCTCCGCCACGACATTTGAATCTTGTTGATATTTTAAATTTTGAAAATATAATTAGCGGTAAAATGGAGATGAATTTGGATTTTGGGTTTTTCAATGCATCAATATAATTTATTTATTTAGAAATGTATGAGCAGGATGTATGTCTCTTTATTTATTAACAAAGAGAACAGATAAAGATTCAATGCGTTCTCATAAAGATTTATTAATTATAATCCTCTTCTACAAATGATGGAAATTTGATATGCAATGAGGCGAAATGAGAACGACCCTAGAAAAGCCTAATCAGGCAGAATTCTTTCCATTTGGAATTTTTTAAGGTACCACGACAGTCACGAATCGATTTCAAACTTTCTCTCTGCAATGTGGCTAATTTCGATCACCTTTCTTTCGATTGGATACGGAGACATGGTTCCCAACACATACTGCGGGAAGGGAGTTTGTCTGATGACAGGCATCATGGTGAGTACTTAGCGCAATTCCTTAGACAGACAAAAACGAGGAAGAAGGCGATGAAATGTTGGATTTTTAGGGAGCTGCTTGTACCGCCCTTGTCGTCGCGGTGGTGGCACGAAAGCTAGAATTGACGAAGGCGGAAAAACACGTTCACAACTTTATGATGGACACGCAGTTGACAAAGCGGGTAAAATACTAGTTTATATTAAAAAACGTTTATTTGTTTACTTTTAGGTAAAAAATGCAGCTGCGAATGTGCTCCGCGAAACATGGCTAATTTACAAAAATACGAAGCTCTCGGACAGAGTCGACACAACTCGAGTCAGAAAACATCAACGAAAATTTCTACAGGCTATCTATCAGTATAATGATTTCACGGTAACCTTGGCTAATGGTTTATTAAGGCTGCGGACGTACAAAATGGAGCAGAGAAAATTGAATGATCAGGCTAACACTCTTGTGGATTTCGCCAAGGTAAGATTTGAACGAAGCATGATCTTGAATTGAATTTAGATGCAATTACGAGTGTCTGATCTGCTCAATGATCTCCACGAACGGACAGATATCGTCGAAGAGAGGATAGAGCGTATGGAAAGCAAGGTGATTAAATATATACTGAAGGCACTCTTTCTCAGAGGTTTTAGATGGAGAGCTTACAGGTAAATCTTGACCGTCTTCCTTCGAAAATCGCTGATTTGGTGGCGCTCAAACTCGCCGAGAAGCAAACAGAAAAAATACAATCCCAAAGTTCACCAAGCTGACAAAGATCTCAACTTTTTATATTTTGCAAATATAGTTATTCAAGTGCCTTAAACTTTGTCACACAATTAAAAATAGCTATCTGTACAGAATAAAGATCCACTTATGCCTTCAATCCAAAACGAATTCTCTTTATTACAGTTATTATTCATGTCGGAGACAGAGGCACCAATACAGCAAATATACAGCAGTCATACAACAGTGATTTTTGTTGACTGAGTATCGATTTGAATCTGGAGATCCGCTTTTTCGTCGTTCTGATCGTCATTTCTCGCGTTTTCTTCGAGTTGAAACATTGAAATCAAGGAAGAAAATGACATATTTTTCACCTTTCAACGGAGAGCAAAGATAATACAGTGCTAAAAATGCCATTGCCAAAACCACGCACGAAAGCGAAACAACAAGAATGATGCCCTTTTCTCCCCAAAATCTATTCTCTGTTTGCTCGGCTTCGCCTTCAGAATGCAAAAGATCTTTATGGAGAAATTTAACAATAGCGGTTGAAGAGTATTTTTAAATCAAATTTCTCACATGACCATGTTCTACCTTCGAAGTCTCTCTAACAAAAAAGAACTATCTATCTGTTACTGTGACTAAAACCAGCGTAGTAACTCATGTCGTGGGTAAAACGAAAACGCGCTAGTCTGACGTATATAACTTAAATACGCATTAGAATAGATAAGTGTGAAAAATGCTAAGAAGGTGGGGTAAAATTGACAACTACGGCCTTATCGGCTGTGGAGAGTACACAAATGTAGAACCAAAACAAGGTGCAGAAAAACAACTGCTCTGGAAAGACTGGTCAACAGTTCCATGATTGCGTCGCAAAAGAACTCGGAAAAGGAGCTTCGAAAATTTGCCCTGGAACTGACAGTGCTCATTTTCTCGTTTCAAAGCCAGGTAAAGTCCACACAAGAACTCTTTCTGACTATATTGAAGGAACTCCGATGTACTTTGCGATTTATGGGGGTGGATACTCAAGCACAAACAAATTCGATACTGTCGGTTATTGCGTTGGAATGGATTTTGCCTTAGAATGAAAATATTAGAAAAGGATACTTTGAACATTCAAAAAAACTGTTCAAAAAGTTGAAAACGGTTGTGTTTTACAAGTTTTTATTCAAGTTCGTTAAAGGATTTTCGCAGGAAAAAAAAGGTTTCTAAATGAGATTTTCCTACAAGTAGACGTATAAGTGAAATTGGCTTCTTGCTGAGCCTGGCAGACAAATACAAGTTTTCTATAAACTTTCTTTCTTCTTTTTTTTATTTAATACTGGCGGTTGTTTCGGTTGGGCATCGCACTAGAATTTACTTGAGTATGATTTGGTAGAGAAATCAACTTACCCTCGGTTAGGCATGGGCCAGTTTCCATTTCCCTGCGGTCCGCCGAAGTTAGGCTGTCGTCGTGGTCCACCAACGTTCTGCTGGAACGATCCACTCATGTTTTGGCCGCCGTAGCCTCGCGCTCCCTGTGGAGCTGGACGATTCTGGCCTCCATAGGATACGCCACTGGGAGCAGCTGCAGCGGGACGAGACTGACCAGGTGGTTGGTACTGAGATCCGGAGGATGCTCCGTAGCCTGTAGTGCCACCGACTCCTCCTCGAGGGCCGCCGCTGTAAGAAGAAGACGGGGCAGTGTAGCGAGTTCGCTCGGCCTCCAGTTGCTTCCTAAAATATTTGTGATCAAGTGAAATTGATTGGGAAAATAGCCGACCCATTAATTTCTCGAATAAAAAAAATCAGAAATTTTTTACTATGATTTTATCATTGAGTTCATTTTAAAATTTTTTCCATCCAAAAAGCCTTTTTAATTTTCGGCTTTCTCAAAAATTCTTCATTAGCAAAAAGGTATTTGTTTCGCAAATTATCCCTCAATATTTCTTTAATCTTAATAAATTTATCCCTCAGGATAAGCGGGATTAGATGAGCCGGATATATTATATAATGAAAATATGAAAAAGTTAAATTTTTATGATTTTTTATCAATAAAATACCCCGTAAAACTCGATCCATTGATTCATATCATATATTGAAATTTAGAAAAGTCCAGTCACTTTTTGACGGTCACCGATTCAAATGCCTTCGGCAGGTGAACAAACTCGAATAAATAAGTCTCCAAAGAAGAAGCTACCAAGATTTCTTCAAGCTCGAAAGAAAATTATTTCTCTTTGCTGTAAGAGAAGAACTCGCCCAGGAACTTTTTTGTGAATAAAAAGCGGCAAGTTTTCAATTGCCCGACCCAACCGGTTGATAAATGTGTGTTGATAAATGAAAGAAAGTCAAGTCAAGACAAGAAAGTCTGACGTTTGGAAGTCGTACTTTTCTCGCTCAAAGCGTTCTCGTTCGAGGCGAAGCGCGTTTCGTTCCTTTCGGATCTTTTCAGATTCGAAGTTGGACTGAAGCGCGTGAATCTCCGCCTCCAGACGCTTGTTATCGTCGATGAGCTTCTTGATGTCGTGAGATAAACCATGTTTTTCACGCATCATTTTTTCTTGGTTAGTCTTCTCGAATCTGTAATCCTTCTCCATGGCCCGAAGGTCATTTTTATATTTTGTAGTGCTCGCTTGCATGTCTCTAACTGAATATTTTTTGAATAAAAGCAAACTCGTTATCATCAACTCTTAACCCTACCCCGCCGAATTGGACCTTCTAGGTTCAGCTACGATACATCGTTTTGAACTTTAAGAAAGGTCTGTACTTATTCCTGCTGAGATGTACACATATTTAAAAAGAAGGACTGTCTCAGAGGTGGTAAATGGTTCTCAAAGAATGCATCAAGGTATTTTAGGAGAAGTCTCTCCCAGGTTCTGATTTATGCACTGAATAGCACCCTTAAGGCAATTATTTACCACCAGATTAACTCGCGAAGTAAATCGAGGTCCTCGATTTGAGATATTCTATAGCGAGTTATGAGTAAATCGAACTTTATACCGAGAATTTGAAAGGCTAAATTTCCGCATTCCTTCAAATCAGAGTGTAAAAAGTTAGATAAATTTGAGAAAGTATTGGTGCCAAAGAAACATAATTTTATTCTTTCCTGTCCAAAGTTTGGACTCCAAACCAATTGTAAAACACAAGCTAAATTTGGTTCTGTCCTTTTTAATCCCTTCCGAGCTTTTAGTGCGAAGGTAATTTTTCTATGATGATTGTTGATTCACTAATTTACTGATATGGATGCAGTAAACCACGTTTATCAAGAACTTCTTCCGGCATTCAGCTCTATAAAAACTCGAAAATTTTCAAGGCGGGGTAGGGCAATAAAGAGTAACTCCTAGAAGTAGAAGCTCCATGCTGACATCTGTTGTAAACCGCTGCATCAGTTACATGCAAAGCAATAGAGAAATAGAAACGGAGTGAAAAACTTACGTTCGCGGGTGCGATTCTTGTGCTGACTGCGGACATTGTTGAGCTCGTTTTCGGCCTTGATCAGTCGAGTCTTGACATCGAGCACAGCCTTTTTCTTTTGGTCAGTTTCGTTCTAAAGTTAGTAAGTTTTCGGATCTTGGACACAACGCGGAGTACCTTGGTCTGTTTAATCTTCGACTCCATCTGAGCGTCGGTATTCTGGGGCATTGGCTTGGCCGGATTTTTGACGGGCGAAGGTTTGGCTGGAGCACTATCGTCAGCTTTCTGTCGCTTAGGCATGAGTCCATTGACCGCGTTGTTCGCTGCATCTGCAGTTCGTTTCTGTGCAGCCTTGGTGGGAGAAGCCTTCTTTAAAGTTGGATCGGCATCGACGCGCTCGACGGTGATCTTTCCCAACTCAGTAGTCTCGGAAAAAACTTTGAGGGCAAGCTCGTGGTCGGGCTTGTCCTTGAGCTCGATGTAGGCAAAGCTTTCCTGGGTTGCGCGGCGGAGAGCAACCTTCAATGCTAGAACAGTACCCTTGATTTCATTTTTGACAAGGAACTCCTTGATCGTCATCGCTTTTACGCTTTTCTGGAGGCCGCAGATCCAGATACCGTTCTTTGCTTCAGCAGCTGGCTGGGCAGTTCCACCGTTTTCAGCTTTCTTGGCGAGCTGTTCTTGTCGCTTCTTTTCGGCCGCTTCCTTTTTCTTTTGCTGCCAGGCTTTGCGTTTCTCCGCCTTGGTCATTTTCTTTGGAGTAGCTTTCTTCGGCGACGCAGCCTTTTCGGCAACAGGAGTTTCCTCCTCTTTCTTTTCTTCTGCCGGTGCTTCTGAAGCTTCAGCGGGCTTGGAAATAGCTTCGGCGGCTTTCGGCTCTTCCGCTTGCTCTTCGGAGAGATCATCGTGCTCGACTCCAAGAGTAAGCTGATCTTCTTCCGGCTCTACTTCCTCTTCCACCGGTGCTGTTTCTGTCTCCATTTTTCTTCGTCTGCTGGCTCCTCTGTTGGATCAGGTCGTTTGGGTGTAGCATCGCCTGTTTCTTCAGCAGCAGCGGCTTCTTCTGCGGATTCTTGCTCCTGTGCAGGTTCTTCTGCGACCTCCTGGGTGACATCGGCAGCTTGCTCTTCCGCGGCTTTATTGGCTTCTGCGACTTCCGATTCTTGGATTTCTTCAAATTCCTCTGCTGGCTTTTCTTCTTCGACTGGAGCAGCTTCCGTTTCCATAGTTTCTTCAGCTTCGGCGGTTTCTTCGGCTTCTTCGGCAGCGGTAGTTTCTTTTGCTCCTCTTCAGCTGTTACGGCTTCTTGTTCAGTTGCTTCTTCAGCTACCGCTTCGTCTTCAGCTGCCGCCTCGTCTTCAGCTACGATAGTGTCCTCAGCCTCATCGGCTTCCTCGACTGTCTCGTCGGCTACCTCAGCGACGGATTCAGCCGCTTCGACTTCGAATTCAAATTCATCCGGATCTTCGCCTTCATCTTCAAGCCAGTCAGACAGCAACTGAATAAAATATTCAGCGAAAAGTTCAATAAAATAGGTGACTGCCTTAATCGTCGTTAAAACGTTGCATCGGCTGCCTTAATCGTCGTTAAAACGTTGCATCGGACTGCTTTAGTCGTCGCTAAAACGTTGCATGGGCTGCCTTAATCGTCGTCTGACTCATCTTGCCTTTTTCAATTTCAAGATAGGTAGGCGCGCGCCAACCAGCGCTTTCAGAGTGTTTCTAGACTTTCCAGATTCTCCCAAGACGACGATTAAGGCAGCCCAATGCAACGTTTTAGCGACGACGATTAAGGCAGCCGATGCAACGTTTTAACGACGATTAAGGCAGTCTCCTATTTTAATCATCTTTCTCGGTCGATTCGATTCTAGATAAAGCGTTTACCTTTCGAAGGGCGTCGGGCTTGTCGGCCTGGCTTCGTCGGACTTTGATTCCATTTTTTCGATCTCACATTTCACCTGCTCGTCAGTCAATTCCTCGAGCTTAACCATGATCTAAAAGTATCAAATTGATAGAAAAATAACTATTGAAGCAAATGAGGAAGAGATTATAAAAATGTTAACCTTGCTGATATAATATCAGTGATATTAGCGGAATTCCTTGTAAAAAGTTTAGACACAAAACCCAAGGATATTCGCATTTTCAGGATAAAATATTTGACTCTCTTTACTCTCTCGTTCTGATCGAGGAGTGGTCGGATAGTGCCAGTTACACGTGAGCTCTAGAGAAAAATCCTAGTTTGCAGCGCAGCTGAACTAGAATTGTCTCGAAGAAAACGTGATAAGTAAAACGAAAGAAGGACAGTCATCTTTTATTCGTCTTTCTTCATGATATTTTTAACAGAAGTTAGCAAGTTCATCGCTGAGATCTTGTATCGGCAAGGAAATATGGAGAGTTTGCTATAACCTAAAGCAATTTTAAGAGATATGAATAAAATAAATTCCCTACCAATGGATCTTTTCCTAGAATGATATCCGCTGCTTTCTCGGCAATAGCAATCGTCGGAGCATTTAAATTTCCCGATGCTATGCTGGGCATTATTGAAGCATCGATGACGCGCAATCCTTGTGTCCCAAAAACGCGGCATTCTGAATCAACGACCGCCATCGGATCTTCTTCTTTCCCCATTTTGCAGGAACAGGCTGGGTGATAGACGGTTTCGATGAACGATTTGATCCATTCTTCTATTTCTTTGTCGTTTTTGAATTCTTTACCGGGGACGAGTTCGGCTTTCCGGAACTCGTCAAATGCTGATTGGGCGAAAATCTCGCGCGTAAGTTTCAAACATTCGACGAGATCGGGCAGGTCTTCCGGGTGGGACAGGTATTTTGGATCGATTTTTGGATGCTCTCTGAAAATAAAAGTACTTGTAATAGACATGAAAAGAAATTCACCTTGGATTATTGGATCTAATTTTGATATGCCCCGTCGATTTAGCCCGCAATGTTCCAACATGAGCTTGAAAAGCCTCTTCAGTAAGTTCCCCACGGCCGTGATCAAGATACTGGCTTGGCACGAAATGTAGTTGAATGTCTGGATGATCAAGTTCTTCCGCCGCCTTGGTCCTGATAAACGCTCCAGCGTGGAAATGATTCGTCGCGCAGATGCCAGTTCCTTTGAGAAACCACTCGGCTCCGATGAGCTGCATCAATGGCGATTTTTGATACTTTTGGAGTGAAAGGCCGGGTAGAGTTCTATGCTAAATTTTGAGCTCAGAAAGCATCAAAGCTTTAGTTACTTACAGAAACGGAGATTTCAATATGATCTTGCAGATTTTCACCGACGCCAGGCAAGTCAACAATCGGATCAACTTCGGCCTTCTCTAATTCAACTGCGTTTCCGATCCCAGAAAGTTGAAGCATCTGGGGCGAATTGATTGCTCCTCCACATAGAATTACCTCACTAGCTTCGATGAAGAGGTTTTCTCCAAACGAATTTCGCGATTTGAAGCTAGAAATATTCACGCCAGAAGCAGTTGTCCCGCTAAACACGACTTTGTCTACAAGAGAATCTGACAGGATCGTTAGATTTTCTCGCTTTCGCGCTGGGTCCAGATAACAAGAAGAAGCATTGGCTCGGGATCCATCGTACTTGTTAACTGTCATCGGCAGCTTTCCAAAACCCTCTTGTTGATAGCCATTTATATCTTCTGTTTTCGCATAGCCTGCTTCAACCCCTGCTTGAATGAATGCTTCATACAGTGGAGTGTTAAAGTCACCGTCAGCTACATGAAGTGGTCCACTTCTTCCTTTGTAGAAATCATCTTCTTCTGCCGCGTAAAAGTTCTGGGATTTTTTGAAATAAGGCAGAAGGTGATCATAGTTCCATTTTTCATCCCCAATCTCTTCCGCCCATCGATCCTGATCTTTTCCATGGCCTCTAACGTAAACCATCGCATTCAACGAGCTACTGCCTCCGATAACTCTACCACGCGGCCAATAGAAGGAACGATTATTCGCGTGCTTTTGAGGAACAGTTTCGTAGAACCAGTTGTATTTTTCATCCTGCAGATTGTACTGCAACGCAGCCGGCATGTGAATCTTCCACGACAGTATTTTTCCCAGTCGGGAGTCATGTTTTGCGAAAATATTATCAGACGGTCCAGCTTCCAAAAGAAGAACATTTTTGGATCCGTCTTCGGAAAGTCGATTTGCGAGCACGCATCCTGCTGATCCTCCACCGCAAATTATAAAATCGTACTTTACTTTTGCAATTTTTCTTGCTTTTCTCAGCCAGAGCATTTTTTCTCGGGCAGATTTCGGTTTTTGGAACCGCGCAAAAATGCATTTATTTGATATTTTGATCAAATAAATGATGAAACAAACAAGTTGAGGCATGGTTTTGACAGCAAACGTACTCTTCCATGGTTTCAAAGTTATAAAGAACCCTGCTTTCTATCGAGTTAAAACAACACTTTGATTGAAGAAAAAACTGTAGAAAACTATATTCTGCTCTTTTAAAAAATCGGAGGTTAGAGTATGGAATGCGGCAATGAAGATAAGGCATAGAAATGATTTCAGTAGAACTCTTCAGATTCGGGGCTGATGCGCTCGATCGCCGCCTGGATTTTCTCGTAGACTTCGAAGGCGGTGATTGAGGGCTGCTCTTCGATTTGAGGTAGTCGGAATGCGTGGTTTTTCATCGTTAGAGAACCGAAGCTGGTTTGTTCCATGTACTCGAAATCGCGAATGTTTGGCTCTCCATAGGAGCACTGAGAGAATCATTAAACCGGTAAATGGAGATGATGGTACCTTAATCGCTTTTGCCATTTCAACTTTTTCAACTCTCCCAAGTCGATCTTTGATTTCTTGTTCAATAAGGTTCTCTTTGTTGACATCAAGCCCGATCAAGTCCTTATAAACTGAAAGAATAAGTTCATTTCTTTGTAAAATTGTGAGGATCTACTTTTATCATACGGATCGAAATTCAGTTCTTGAACTGCTTTGTCCCTCACACTCTTCTTCAAAACATCTGATTTGAGAATATGCTCCTTTGCATTGAATTTTTCTTGCCTGAATGATCATGAAATACGAAAAAAAACGTTAAGTTTACTTTATTTGCTCGATATTCTGCACCAGTAATTGGGTAGAATTCGTCGCGACTAATGGAATGTCTGGAATGCCTTCATCGTACGTTGTTATTTCCAAGTCTGATGATTTTTTAAACGAGCTTGCCCCTGAAGTTGACGCTCTCGATTGAGGTGGTGGGTCTATTTGCGTAATTTCGAGGTCAGAAGATTTTGTAACGGTCGATTTTGAGCGATATTCCGATGGAGCTGTGCTAGCCGTCAGAGAACGGATTGTTGATGCGTCTGTCTGATGCTCTTCGTCTTTTACAAAATAGTTAATCTATTGTACTTGTTAACCATTCTCCTTCTTACCAATATCGCTTATATCAAGCTCCTCCGTAAGGCCTCCCGTACTCGACCTAACCGATGGGACCGGAGCATCCCTTTCAATACTTTTATCCATCTTCAAAATATGAAAAAATAACGAGGAAGAAAGTAGAATAACTTAAAACTTGAAATATTGAGCATAATCACTCGATTTTAGGCACGATTGCTACAACCCAGGTAAAAACTACGATTCAGAGAACGATTCACAGAAATTAATGTTTTTGTTGCGTATTTTTTTCTTTTTGAAAGAGAGTGGTGAAAGTTGAAAGTGAGGAAACTTGAATGGTGGGATAGAATGGATAATAGAATTTATGTATGTTGTAATGCGCGTTTTTACTGAATACAGCTTATTGTTAACATTGAACTTGGTAGATAAAGAAGCGATTGCATTATTTTTTTGTTAGGAGGAACCAGCACCACTTTTTCATAAATAAGGAAGATATAAATAAAGTTTTTTAGTTTTTTTTTTCAAATGTACAAATCATAGGTTCTTTGAGCGATAAACTAGAACAGAAAGATGAACAGACAGAGCAATTAGAAGTGATAGATAGTACGACAGGAGAACGGTTTTCTCTACCACGAGAGCTTGTCGAAAAGCTCGTAGTTTTTCTCCAGGTCCATGTTGAGCTCGAGTTTTGCCTCGCGACAGGCTAGTCGGGCGGCGCCATAGGCTGAGGTGACTTTTGGTCGGACGAGGGTTAACTCTTTTAACTTCGATGTCTTTTGTAGAACTAAAAAGGCCGGTTGTCTTCCTTGATTTTGCTTTCAAACTTACCATTTACAAAAAACTCTTTCATAAATCCCCACGACTTCCAAACCGAGCCAACGCAAATCACCACCGGTCCTCCTTTCTGCGAGATCATCTCCTCCGTCATATTGCGCTGAATGGCCACCACATGCTGAGCCAGCAGCCTACCGGCCTCAGCGAAGCATGACAGACTCAACTCATCGCCCTCCTTCGCGAGCATCGCGAGACTCTTGCAGAAGCCCGCGTAGTTTGATTTGTCGAATTTGGCGGCGTAGAAGACGTCCAACATTTGGCCCCGATCTTCGACGCCGAAGTAGTTTTTCATTTCCTCGAAGACGCGGTCGACTGGGTATTCGCATTCAATCAGATTGTCTTCGTGGTCAAACACAGTCTTCAGGGCCTAAAGGAGCTTTTTGAGTAAAGAACAAAAGGCACTGAATTGGTGAAGAATGCGGATTTACAGATTGCTCAAACAATCTTCCACAATTCAGCGCACTACTGGGCGAACATCAATGAAGAACTCGTAAATCACTATTTGACGAATTCGACGCGGCATTTGAAAACTTTTAAAGTAATTCGTAAAAGAATTCTACGTACGCGATGTGTAATGAAAAACGCGCTGCCCTCATCGCCGATAAAATGGCCCCAGCCGCCGCAGCGCGCCGGAGAAATCGTCGTTAATCAGTTGACAATTGCTGCCAGTACCGGCGATGAGGACGATGCCTCCGTTGGAGCATGTAAAGACCGAGCCATATGTATCGTCGTAAATTGAGATTTCTTTGAAGAGCTGGCCACAAGCATCCTGAAAACAGAAATTTTTCGGGCTAGAGTTAAATGGGAAAGTCCAGTCTTATTCGATATATTGGCCGAAAAATACCTGGAATACTGTACCTGGAGGTGCTCCTTGATTAAAACTTCCATCCCATCTTGCGCCCCTGAGATCGCTAATCCAACACAGTCAAACTGCGTGCCTTCCGGAACATTAAGCTGGAGCCACAGTTTCTCTAGTAATTCCATCAACCTGTCGGTCAAAAGTTCGAGCCCGATGAGATGGACATTTGTTCCTTCGCCGATTTCCTCTGCGAGTTGTTTTCCATGCTCGTTAACTTAAAGATGCCCATCATTACTTTAGTTCTTAACGATTTCCTGTATAGGAAAAGAACAAAGAAGATGCCAGTATTTACCTACGATGGCTGTTGTATGGGTCCCGCCACCTTCAACTCCAACATACAAAGGCATCAAATAATCAACAAACACGCCTCGGGCAAAAAGTACTTTTTTGATGTTCCAGTCAGCAGTAGAAAGACTCTGAAATCACGCGTCCAAATTTTTCAAGATACTTTTTTCAAAATTTTCTCCTTGTCAAAAAATCAAACGCAGACAGAAAAGAAACGAATTGTGGTAGAGTTTTTCTTTTATAGTCCGAAGCGCGGGGCGCCCTCTATCATAATTCATAAATGGTCATTTTTTAGATTTTCTTTTGCGTTCAGAGAAATTATTATTTTTGAAAGTCGTGCAAATATGCGAGTTTTTAATCCATCGAGATTTCATTCCAAAAATTTGAGGGATTCGAAAGATTTTTTAGATCGGAGATAATTTTTAGTTGACTGTAATAATAAAAAATATAACAAACAGGGAAAGGAAAAAGGATAAAAGATTTGATACAGGCAAAGTCCGCACGAGAATGAAGAAAGGAGGCAGAAGTGATCGCTTTAGTAGTGAAGCAACTATGGCGGCCAAATTGATTTATTTTAGCTGAATTTGCTTTTCAGTATCGGTTGATGCCGAAAACGCGGACGCGATGGAATTGTGGGAGCTTGGGAAGTACACTTAATAACAGGGCGGCGGTGTTCCACTGGAAGTGTTCGTACTCGTATTTGGTGTAGAAAGAAGCTAAAAAATGAGAAATTATGTAAGCTTGGAGGCTTGTTGGGACGACTTTTGATGGATGCTGACGTCAGAAGAGGCAGTAAAATAAGCATAATAACAAACAAGATAGCTTCATGGCCTTTTCAAAGTTCCCTGTAGGAAATACCTACTAGGAATATTTTATAAGACTAAATATCATGAATATTGATTTATACGGAGCTTTGCAATAAAATCAAGGAGGACTATCAGCGTTAAGATTCCAAAAAGAGTTCAAATATGCTCTGATCAAAAGTTTTGAAAACGAATAAATTGGCAATCAAATAGACGAATATTTCCATGACGTGTCTATTAAAAATCAAAGGCAAAGCATAAACGTTGAGTCCAATTTAATGGACAGTTAAAGATTCCCAAAAGCCACAAAACATTTAATGATCCCGAAGCCCCTGACGTCAGCGGCACTTTTATTCAGCATATTTTTGAGATTCAGAATTTATTGAATCAATTGATTCTGAAAACACTAATTCTCAATAATCACATGTAACTTACCGAGTAAATAGAGAACAATGGAGGCGGAGAGAAAGAATTTGCGTGCTTCGGTGAACTAGAATGACAGTTTTAAAGCGCCCTTCTGACAAGATTACGGCAAGGATTTGTACTTTTGTTGAATTATGAACAAAATGTGTTCTGCAGATTTAGTAATCATGCGTAGGTAAGCAAATTTAGTTCTTAGAAATTTTTTTCAAGCACTTTCTATAGGTAGAATAATTTTCTGACCTGCTCTTCGCCGTCCATTTGTTCCCATCCAGTCAAAAATCTACTGGATCCTTGATCTGTAGTGTGGAAAGGCGTTCCTTTGACGGAATGCATGAGCAGGTACATGAGAATCGAATGCACGACATTTGTTATTGTCCAGCACCACTCGACAGTGAGTACTTTCGCTCGTTGAAAATATAAAATGCTAATTATGAAGAAAACACTTCTACAATTCTCAACAATCCTGGAATGCAAAGAATAATGAAGTGAAGCAAGAGAACGACGAGGACGTAGGATATCCAAATGCCTCTTGAGTTCCAGACGTTTGTGTTTGGATTTGCGCAGCTGTGGGCCGTTCCGACTACTCCAGCCATTCTAGAGCTCGTTCTCAAAGTTCCTTGTTTAATTAGTCACTTGTTTATAATTTCCTAAAAGTTGATTGAACGGTTGTAAGTGGAAGTGAAGAAAGCAACGTGTGTGAGTGTATTGTTTTTCTCTTTATCAGTTTTCTTTTTTCTTGGCGACTCCTGGCGCCAGTTTGTCACAGTAGTCGTACAGTCGGCTCTGTCCGCGAACCTCTGTGTCGAAGAGAGGCACTTTCGTTATGTGAAAATCGCAGTAAAGATCCTCAATTTGATCCAAGTACTTTTTCTGTAAACTAAAAGCTTGGGGTAAAAACGGGGAAAAAGCAGTGAAAGAAAACCTGGTTTGTGCTTTGCAAGTTTGGCAATTGTGGGCGTTCATTGTTGGCACAAGTCTATTCACGACGATATTTCTCGAATCAATACCAATATTTGCCAGTTCCTAGTCAAAAAAAAGGATGAAAAATTAAACTTTGGTTCTTTTTGTTACCTGGATAAGGCGCTCGGTTTCGTACAGAGAGAGGAATTCAGCGATACACACGCATATGAAAGTACTCAAGTCCGGATTTGAGAATTCTTCTTTCATTTTTCGAACCGTAGGAAGAATGTCCCCGAGCTTTTCGGTGATAAAATCTGAGTTCAAGTCCAAGTTCAGCATTGACTAAAATATTGTTGCAACGAGAGAAGCAAGAAGCCTTTACATAAAGTCATATAGAATTGAATATAAGAACAAGGAAATGCACCTTGGCCATATTTAAAATGGGCCCAAATCCGCTATTTGAGGAGCCATCAAACATCCCCAAAATCTTGCCGATTCCATTCTCAACCGTTCCAGGGAAATTCAACAATCTGAGCGTATGTCCCGTCGGGGCTGTGTCAAAGATGACACAACTGTACTGCATGTCTGTAATGAGCTTCATAACCTCAGAAAAACTGACTGCTTCGTCAACGCCTGGCAAGGTTTGGGCAAAGTCCTGCATCATCTTTTTCATACCACTGTTTTCCGGGGTCATTTAAAATTAAGCAAGTAGAAATGTAATAAAAAGAGCCAGAAGTTATATGACCCAAAATTGTCAGCGACCATTTCTTCGGGCAGTCCCTCGACTCCTACATTTGGATCGATCTCCATCGCGAATAAGTTATCGAACCCGTTGACTTTTGTCGGAACCTTTGAAAATTTCTGGTCCTAAAAAGAGGCTTTGAAAGTCGGAACGGACAGAAAATACATACGAAAGAATCAGAAATATTGTGAGCTGGATCTGTTGAGATCAGCAACACTTTTTCTCGGACATGAGACATCTTTTAAAAGGGATAAATCATCGTTAGATCTTTCAAGAATAACGGAGTGACGCCCTTATTGTCTTGTAGCAATATAGATTTCGGAACTTGATCTTATTTCTATGATAAATTTATCCGTTCCAGAACTGCCAACGAGCAGGAAGTAGAAGTCTTCCCGACTCCACCTTTTCCTCCAACAAAAATCCACTTCAAACTCTCCTGTGTCAACACATTCATCAGCGTCGGTTCAAATTCAAAACTATCTTCAGCATCGTGAAACTCGTCCGCCATTCTCTTTTCTTTAAATTTTTGAAATTTTAAGAAACGCTTTGGTTTTCAGTTTTCTATTGAATTCAATTGAGAAAAGAGGGTTTAGACTTTCGGCATTTTCTGCCGATTTTTCTGCGTTAATTTTTAAATTAATTTTTAGTTAATTATTGGGTGTGATTTGCTAGTCAATTATTATTTGATTGTAGATTGGTAAAGCTATCGGCAAAGACTGTTTTAAGACTATGGTCTAATAATACACGCCGCCGGTAGGAAAGAAATTCTCGCGTAAGAAAGGCTAGAAATGAACTTTTCGCAGTTTAAATTAATCATTTAACTCGACAGTTTAAACCAGTAAACAGCCGAAACTGCAAAAGAGAACGAGGAAAAAATATGAATCTGAGAATCACAGGAAGCGCTAAACACCCGGAAAGTCAGTAGTAAGCAAGGAAAATTTATAATAAATAAACGTGTGGTTGTATTGTGTGTTGTGGTCGTTTTGATTAGTTTTCGAAACGCCCCTCAGGGGTGAAATCAAACTCGAAATCGCCACGGCCATAATTCGCTACAGGAGGTTTGATAAAGGTGATAGAGTTTTAAAACTTTAAAGTAATAATAGGAATGTTGGCAGGCCAATTTTAATTTCATAGTTGTAAAATTTATAATTCTAGCAACTGGGATGGGCACATTTCTCTGGTTTCAGGGGTGGATGTTGGCTAAGATGGCTTTTGATTGGCCAAAACAACGAATACTTATGTCTAATTGGCTTAAGGCCCAAAGAACCCCATTTTTAAAAAGAAATGTGCCCACCCCAGCCAGCAGGGTGATTATTAGTTGAACTAGAAAGTGGAATTTTCGATTTTGTCCGTCGTTTTTAGAAATCGTCGTAAAAAAGCGTTGGAAAACGAAAAAAAGGGATGAAATGTAGGAAAAAATAACGCAAGCTTCAAGCAAGGAAAGATAACAAAAAATTATGGCATGCACAGCATGGTGAGTATGGACTTACACGGGTCGACCGGTGAGTCGCTAGAGTGGGGGAGTTTTTTTATCAATTCGGAAGAATAAAGAAATAACCCTAAAGTTGGTGTAGAAAGTTAATGATCGACCTTTTGGTATTTTCAAAACACCGAAATCTGATCATCAGCCAAGTGAAATAAAAAGAATAATACAACGCACAAAAATTTAAAATATAATTTTTGTGAAGTCATAATTCGGTCCTTTCTAAGGACCAGAACTAGAATGATTACGTAACGTTTAATTTTTTGTAAAACAGGTTAGTAGCCAGCGACAGTTGAAATTGGAAAAAAAGACGAAGATTTTGAGTTTTCAAAATCTCCGAAATCGCAAGAATTTTCATCAAAATATCAAAAATGGCGAAGAATGTTTTTTTTTTCTCTTTGAACTTGGGAATTTTCGTCTTTTAGATTTTTTTATCTTTTGGAAAGAAGGCCACAGACTGAACTATATGATGATGCTGCTGAATGAGAATAAATTGAAATAGTAATAAAGTAAAGTTGTTAATTAAGTTTGAAAGTAAAGGTATCAAAAAAGTATAAAAAACGAGCTTCGAGAAGAAGGAAGATTTTCTTTCTTCTTTTATTTGTAAAACTCTAGTTCCAGTGCTCGTTCCAGCTGCTTGTTCGCCGGTGGAACGAATTACTCTTAAAAAATAGCTCAATTGGGATCAAGAAAGTGTCATTTTTTACCGATAAATGACCGGTAGATCCGTGGTCTGGCATCCTGAGTCCTCCAACAGAACTAAGATCATTGGACGAGGGAGATTCGAGCATCGTATTTTCGTGCGCTTGGGGATTCCAAGTTTCCATTTTTGTCGAATCGTTCCAGCCACTAGAAGTTGTCGGAGTAGACCACTCCAGATTATTCGAAGAGTCGTAATAGCTCCTAAAAACGGTTTGAAATTCAAACTTTGGATATCAAAAGAGAATTTTGAGGCTATAAACAAATGATCTTACTCTGATCCTTCCATTCCCGGTGGTGGAGGTGGTTTTACAGGTTGTTTATTGATGTGAAGCCTCCTAGCATAACGATCTACTTCCGGATCTCCTAGAAAATTAATAAAATTAAATTCGTAGGAAGTTTTACTGAACCTGTAGGAGGCAAATGAGGCGCCTGTCCATGTGGCAGCCGCGGCCACGAGTTTGGTTTTGAATAGTTGGACGAAACTGAGCCAAACTCGCCGCCGAGCTCATTGTCACGGTAGCAATCGCCAATGGGCGACAATTGCGTTTTATGAGTGTCCCCGAGTCGCGAGCTTTCGTTCAGGTGCGATTGAAACGAGTCCGAGCGGAATTGCATCGGCCCTAGAATTTCGACGATTGTTAAATAATAAATGTATTTTTTCGATTACTTATCGGCTTCGGCCAGTGACGTCTTCCCTGAGCGAGACGTTCGGAAGAGCTAGCGTGCTCGTATCTCGCCTGCTGCTGCCCTGAAATAACAAAAAGTGAGCTTCAAAGCGGCATTGTGATATTTACTCTGTGGATGGAGAGGTTGCTTAATCACAGGTCGATGCGTCGATGTGGAACAGTGCGACTGCGAGTTCTCCGAGCGAATGCTGATGTCGGATGTCTGTCTCGATGGGCCCTTTGAATCCATTGAAATCAACGAGGACTTTGATCGAGAAATGCTCCCTGTCTTCGACAAGGAAGAGGAGAAATCGCCAGAGAGAAGTGAAGCCACGGTGCTCACATCGTTCCCGAGTCTGCAAGTTCAGTTTTGAGTCGCATCTTTGTAAAGAATTTATTACCTAGATCCTTGACGACGGGACAGACTTGGGTGTCTTTGTTTAAAGTCGGAAGAAGAAATGCTGAATTTGAACTTGCCGCAGAACTCGTGCGCGTGCTCGTCCATATTTTTCGAGGCAGAGAAGACGACTTCATAAGTTGCTTTGACAACTGCAATGGCGGACTCTGGATTGAGCTCGCGCTGCAGATGTGAAACGCGCTGTGGATCTTCTTTGATCTGCCAGCGCGACGGAACTGAGACGAGCACTGTCTTGCCGTCGCTCCGCTCGAAGTGCTGTTGTTTGGTTATCGTCGCTTTGCCTATTTGAGGATAAAATAGAATTGAAAACATAGAGGACTCACCGCGACAGTCTTCCATTTTGGCGAAAGATACAAGGCCCAAATTGCCGAAAGCGACGCTCAACGCTGCTTTACAAAGTTGAACCCAACGAGATGGACTTTCAGGGATCATATAAGAGTAGAAAATATACACAAAAGAATTCTATGGCTTTGTAAATGGATGAAAGGGTTAAAATTAATGATGATCCCTAGCAAAGCTCGTTCAGAATTTTATTGGCAAGACTTGCTCTCGCATCTTCAACGAGATTAGGGCTAATTGACTGGATTAAATTCTCCACAGCTCGTCGCTTGTGTTGCAACAGAGATCGAGATGACAGCTTTGGATCTCCGTTTTTCGCTTTTGTCTTTGCGTAGCTCGGGAAAAAGACATTCGCTGAAGATGTTTTAGGATTTGAGAATGCATAGAAACGAACCGATTTCGATTTGGATATCGGGAATTTCACGCTCGACGAAGTTGTTGTTCGTCTCTCGTAACACAAGAAGGGTGGTTTCAGGGTCACAACATCCGCTGAAGAGTTCTTTGAGAGATTCTGGTCGATAAGTCAGGAAACATGCCGGCATGATAAATTCGCTGACTTTTATTAATCTTCGTAATTGCTAAAAATGAGAACTATCGACGAGGTTAGTTTCGAAGACATTTACATTTAGATATGCGTCAAGTGCAACTTGAAAATTGTTGGTAAGTTTTTCTAGCGCAGAGTTTTTGGTGTTGGTGTTGGAGCAGTGCAGAGCATTAACGATGTCTGTCGGGCTGATGCCAGACTTGGCCCGAAGTCTGGCGGTTTGGCTTTTGATTGCCTCGCACATTTGAAGGCATTTATCAGATAAGGTGTACATTGAGTGTTCGCGCACGTGACAACTTGGTCGAGGCACTGTACTTTCCGTTCTCAAATTTGTCCATTGATAATTGAATTATCATAATTCAGAAAAATTTATGAAAAAAAGGATGAAAACGAGTTCCTGTATAATCGTCGCGCAGTTGCAAGTCATTCATCAGATTGCTCATCATATTTCCAGACCTTCCACCAGAGAAGGCCGGATTATGACGACGCATCGGGTCCATTCCCATGCTACTCAGATTCTGTTGATGATCAGCAGCTTGCTGGTCACGGAGAGTGGTTGGGTTAATTGTAGCGCTAGAAAATTAACCATTTATATCCATGGTTATAAACTTATATCGAAAGAAACAAGCCTTTGGAGTTCCAAATGTGAGAAGATGAAAGAAAGAGCTTGAAGTTACCTTAATTCGCTTTCTACAGATAACAAGGACCGTGAAATAAACTCAAGTTGTCGGAATGTTTCTTGCTTATTCGCCAGCTGCGCCGCTTGTTTGAGAGTATTGATGATTCCGTTGAAGCGGTTGACTTTCTCCTGCAGCATTTTTTCGCTGCAGTAGTATTGAATCCGGCTCAATGTTTGAAGAAAGTCGTTGAGCGAGCCCGAGTCCTCGGAGGTGGTCTTTTTGTACATGTATTCGAGACACTGGCCGAGCTCGTGATAGGTGTTCAATGGAGGATTGCGGGCGCGGACGAACTCGATGATCAACGAGTGCAGCCGCTGGATTGCTTGCTCGGAGATGATAGGTGTGGGGGATGGGGACAGGGAATGCACATGGGAAGGGACGTGGTGGTGCGCGACGGGAGAATTGTGCGCCACTTGGTGGTTAACTTGCTGTGGTGCCGTGGGCGGGAGATTTAGGTTACTACTGCTGTGGTAGGATGACGGGGAGAGGATTTGCGAGCCGTTGTGGCTATTTTCGTACACGGGGTAGCAGTTGTAGGAGGTCTCGGTCCCAGATAACGATCTAGTAAGAAATGTTAATTGAATTTGATCGTTCAGGAATTAAAAAAATCGTTATCTATTATTGTTTATTTGAAAAATACCTTCGATCGTGTTCATTGCCGATAAAATTGCGGCCATTCGTGCCGATCATTCTTGCGTCAACAACCAATGCTTGTCACTTACATATTCTAGTGGTCAATAAAGATTTATTTCTGTTATTTTTTCGGATATTTTTATGGGTTGGTCAAATAAGAAGAGTGGAACTTGAAAAACAGAATAGACAATTTACCAGTAGTATATTTATAGTACAAAAGAAAAAGTAGTAGAGTTTGGAAAAGAGAGAAAACAAACTTTCCCGCGAGTGGAAGTTTCGAAAGATGAAAGGTTTTTTGTTTGAAATATAATTACAACAATTGAAAAAAGGAAGAAGAATTTTTATCATCAGAGCGCTTTCGGCTTAGATGTTAAAATAATAATAATAATGGATCGTTTTTGAAGAAATGAGGGAGGTGATTCGAGAGGAAAGAATGAAAAAATAAAACGAGAAACAACATAGAAAGTAGTCAAGTAGTGTTACTTTAGGGAAAGTCTTCAGGGCAGCGCGAAGCTATTTTTTCTTCATTTTAAAAAGAATCGTTTTTTAAAAATTGTCAAGTTTCAAGCGGTAAGTAAGATTCAGAGAAATACGAAAAACGTACGAGTTTTTTCCTTTAGAAGGTATTTTTAATTTATGAATTTTACAATCAGAAAGATAAGATTACGTGATGATGTTATTTCTTCTTGCACACAAAAAAGGGTGAAGGTAAGATTATTTTATTTGAAGGCATGTTTATCTTGCGAGATTTAATGGAGAATAAAGCAAAATAAAACGGATTTCAAACCGCAAGTGAATCCTAAGAAAAGCCTTCGATAAAAGCTCTATTTCCATAAAAAGTCGCAAAACTACCTCATCATCTGGCAGCATATTACTTGAAATGAGTTTTAATAGGAAAAGAACAAGCAACCTGGTAAATAGATCTCGACCACGATTTCTTTACATTTTTGGTCGACAAGAAGAAACAAATAACGGCAATTGTGAGAGGAAAGAAAGGAGTGAGATAATACCGGCGGATCGGATTTTTGATTAGGTTACTGTCATACAAATTGCATCAATAATTAAAATAGAGAGAAAAGAACAAATCAGACTGAGTTGCGTTGAAAATAGATACCATGTATTTTTTGGAGAATAATTTGGAAAAGCTGCTTTGCGGCCTTTTTTGTTGAAGAAAATATAGAATAATGAAATGAATCTAGTCTCTTTTACGCGTTCGTTTCAGTCTGTTTTATTTTATTTTAGTGATTTTTGGTAAACGAAGGAGCACTTTGGAGCACGACAGTGTGCGCCTGTTGCTGCTGCTGCGGCGGAGGGTTAAATTGCGGCTGTTGTTGTTGCTGCTGCTGGCTGACTTGTTGTACTGTCTGATTGCTGCTGTTATTTTGTGAGTTCCGCGATGCCTCTGATTCGTCCTTCTTCCTCTTTGTCGCGTATTTGTAGACTTTGTTCGGATCTCGCTCGACACCGTCAAGGCCCCAGTCGTCGTTGGGACTTTTTCGTTGTTTGTAAAAAATAGAGATGAATGGCTCTGTCGGATGCATTGCTTTTCCTGGGTGGATCTTTTTGAAGTGCGCACTAAAAATGAATTTTAAAGAAACCAGAAAGAAAACGATCAACTTACAATCTGTCATTATCATCCTTCGCCGCGACGAGTCCTCGGAAAATATCCAACCTCTGAGCGACGGAATTTCGATGGCACATTCGGCATACTTCGACGGACTCGATTTCCTCGATCGTGTGCACTTGCTCAAGATGCTTGCGGAAGTGGGGGACTGTGAGTTCTTTGCAGCCGCCGCCGCGATCGTCGCACATTGGGCAGATGATCTTCTGGTAGAATTGGCGCGCGTTCCAGACGTACACTTCTCCGCGCTCGCATTTTAGTTTAGGCATGCGTTCTGAATATTACGTTTTGTCAAATAACTAATGTGTGGGTTTGGGTAGGGTTAAGTCGGTTGAAGTTCTTTTTTACCTTTCTTTCGTTGTTTCTCGGCGTCCCGTTCCTCCTGGTCGTCTTCTGTCTTGACCAAAATCTCTTGAATATTTTGCGCAGTTGCTAAACTGTGCTGCTGTAAATTGTTGCTCATTTTTGTGTTATTCGGATCGTGGGAGAGTTGCCTCTGGAGAGAGACTTGCATAGGTTGTGGTTGGTGCGGATGAGGGTCCACTTGCATCATATGGGCATTGTTCGGGTTCACTTGCATATGATGCGCGTTCATCATGTGCATGGTGGACTGAAAAAAGAGTTGAAATTTTCAACTTGAAAAGTGGGTACGAAGAGGGTGTTCTTACGTTTGGATGGGCAGGCTGAACTTGAGGAGAATGAAGAATTTGAGGTATTCGTTGTTGGTTCGGTTGTCTATCACCTGCCTTAGGCAGCCTAGAAAGTATAAGTTAATCTAAGTTTAACATAAATTGTTTAGCTTACGGTCGCGCCATAAAAGATTGATGTTGTTGCTGCTGCGGTTGGTGATGATGATTTTGGCGATTTTGGTCTGGGTTGTTGAGCGAAAGGTTCGGTTCAAAGTGTTGCGGCAGCGCGATATCGAAGTCACCGAAACTCGTGTCGATATCGAGATTGAGGCTGTGCTCGGCATTAATCGTGAAATTGAAAGCAGGATCCGCCTTGACCGAGTTCAACGACGAGCTATCATGATGCGATGAAACGTCCATCATCGCCACAGCTTGGCGCGATGTTCCCGGTTGATTCGTGCGGATCGGTGTGGTTCGGATAGCTTGTTGTGTGCTTTGGGGGCTTTGGGAAGGTAAACACTGTGACTGAGATTGGAGTGGGCTTCGGAGGAACGAGGGCTCCTCCGTTTTGATTTCTTGCTTCATGCTGGCCGGACTTGGCAGCGAGGTCGACTGCGAACGCTGTGGTGGAGGAAATGAGTTGGATATAATCTAAAGTCCCTGATATATTGTTTTTAGGTGAGTTTTACCTGAATTGTGTCCATTTTTGAGGAGTGCTGTAAGTTGTTTTGATTTTGATGTTGATGATGGTGCGTTTGATGATGTTGCTGTGGTTGTTGTTGTTGATGATGGTGATGGTGTTGATGATGCATTTGATTGCTCGAAGAAGCTTGCTGCAGACGAATAGGAATCTGATGAGGCACCACCGACATTGGATCACCAGGACCAGGCGATGGTGGTTCCAATTTAATCTGAGCAGGAGCAGAGTGTTGTCGATGAATCCCTTGCTGCTGCTGGATGCCCATGCTTGTCGGTTGCCTTTGCTGCTGGACTTTCGGTGGTGGTGGCGACATCTGCATCGGAGAGACATTTGGTAACTGGCTGGAGGAAGAAACGCGGGGAGATGAAGCGTGCGAGGGCAGTTGTGTAGTAGAGGAGGAGGAAGTGGAAGTTGGGGGAGGAACGTGCTTGAGAGGAACTTGAGGGCTTTTCTGCGGCGAGGGAGACGATTTTGCCGCCGAGTGTGAGTTTTTGTCCGTGCTATGGTGAGACGTCCGTTTTCTGCGCGACTGTGAAGCTTCTTTCTTTTCCCAAGCGGAGACAAATTTTATTTCCTCGCCTTTATGCTCCAATTCTTCATGCTCCTGAAATCGTCTAAATCTGAGACGTAAAAATAACTCTACCTGGCGTTGGTCGAGTGTAAAAAATAAGCTTGAGAAATCGGGCAAGCCGAGGCCACTTTCTTTCGCCTCCTTCGCCTTGTCGATTCCAATATGATAGCATTTCAAGCAAAGGACGAGATTTTTCGAATGCTCAATTTCATTCTCTTTTTTGTGAACTTCCGTAATGTGCCGCCGCCAGTAATCGGCGCGGATAAAGTTGATACCGCTCTTGGACGGATCTTCGGAGCGAATGCAGAAGGGACACACAACTTTACTGAAAAGAAACGAGAGTTATTTGCAAACGGATTTGGAAGAGTGTTTACTTGAATGATTGCTTGCTCATTGACCACCGATAAGCACCACCTAAAGTTTTTATAAGAATTTTTACCCTCTAAAATTCTCTGTAGATTTTTTTCTTCATGCATTTTCAAAAAGATTCTCTCCACCATCCGACCTCTTTTTGGGGATCAAAGAAAGGCCAGAAAGTAGAGAAAATGTTCTAGCTAGAGTAACTTACCCTGGCCGCACTTGAGCTTCTGTAACTCAGGATCAATACGTCTCTCTGCTCTGGTGGGTTTGTTTTCTGGCGTTGGAGCTTTTACTGTTGTGGGAGATGCCCTGATTTCCATTTTCGGCGTTTCTGTTGGTATTGGAAGACATGTTGTTTCCACATGAATTTTGATGTGTTCATCTTGTTCTTGTAGTTGACAGTTTTCACTCTAAATAAAGCATGAAAAAGAGGGCACCGTATTACTGTACTTGTAATATTGTACAGTGGAAAATTGTATCACTGTACTTGTATTAGTGTACAGTATTGTATCACTGTACTTTTCCCTGTGAACTCAAAAGTACAAACTTACAATGTACAGTGATACAATACTGTACACTAATACAAGTACAGTGATACAACGGCAAAAATTTAAAATCGCGAATTTACGGGGCTAGGATTTTTTTTTTTTAAATTATTATTTAATATTCAAATTTTCAATATATTTTTTCATACAATTTTTATTTAATGCGCGCGGCGCGCGCAAATCCCTATTTTTTAATAATATTAATGAACTAAATTAAAAAAATACAATAAATTATATATATAATTTCTTATACAATTTTTATTTAATGCGCGCGGCGCGCGCAAATCCCTACAATTTATATTCCAAAATCTAACAAAATATGGGGGGGACTATATTTTGGTAGCTAGGGGCGGGGCGGGGGTAGATTCCACAAGGGCTATTTAATGACGGCCTATATAGCGTTTTTCACGTTTTTTCCCAAAAGTGTGTTTTATTGTACTGCGAAAAAAATCTAGAATCTATGCCCAAAATCTAACAAAATAGGGGGGACTATATTTTGGTAGCTAGGGGCGGGGCGGGGGTAGATTACACAAGGGCTATTTAATGACGGCCTATATAGCGTTTTTTACGTTTTTTTCCAAAAGTGTGTTTTATTGTACTGCAAAAAAAGTATCTTGACTTCCAACCGCAAAATACTAGCGGAAGCTAGGAGTAGGATGGGGGTAGATAATGACGGCCCTTATTCTAGGTACTTACGACGTTTGTCAGATAGTTTACATCTATGGCAGTAGCTGTGAATTATATGTCATGCTGTGTATCTACTTGCATGAGTAATCTTTTTCATTTCTAACTCATTTCAAACCGTCCGCGCGTTTGCTGAAGAGGGTTAACACGGGCGCAAGAAGAATGAACATGAAATTGGTTTTGTCGCTGAGAGAGATGGACAAGGAATATAAGAAAGAGTACATTCAGAATGTAACATTCTACTCAAGCGGCGACCGGAGCCTGAAAATGGCGGGAATGGTCAAAATTAAGGAAAAACTCAGAGGCAATTCAAGCAACAGTGGCGAGGGAGAAATCGAGTTGATTTTGAATGCGACGATCACGATCAAAACTGGAAAACTGGAATGCTATCCATTCTTGGAAAGTTGTCCTTGCCAAAAGCGAGACAGCAAGTTAAACAGAAGATGTCCAACCAGAAGAGGATGAAAATCGACTGAAGAGGCAAACAACAAAACGATCGAGTTTCGACAGACTCTTTTCTCGGCTTCATTGCTCGGTAAATTCTGACAGGGAGAAATCCATACGCTTCTTCTGCTGTTTTGCTCAAAGCTCCGATAACTTCTGCAAGGGAGTTTTCAGAAGCACCGATGTTGAGTCTAGCTTGATTCGCAAACAGAAATTTGACAGGCTTAGTTTTGGAAGCATCCGGATTAGGCACACCAGTTTCGACGTCTTGGGAGGCCTCCCAGGTGGAAACTCAAAGAAACTCGATCACTTTGCGCTCGAAAGCGAGCGAAAGCGAAATTCGGCGGTGAATTCGACTGACTCTAGCGTTACAACTTTTTTTCTTCCTGCATTGGACGTCGATTTGAACTACATGTCGCATGGAAGCGGGGAAACTCATCGCCGCGCGAAGCTTTACCCAAACGTCGTAATCGGCTCCATGCCCAAAGAGATGAGCATTTCATCCTTGTTCCTCGAATATCTCAGTCAAAGTTTTGACATTCTGGACAAGAACGAAGTCAACACTAGCAAGGAGCCGGAAGACACGGATCAAATTGATCTACGAAGCGGCGCCGATCACAATTTCGAGCAAAGTTCAGTCCAGTCTTTCCCCGTCGACGTCGTCGTCCACGCCAAAGTAAAGCCCTCGACCGTGCTGTTCTCTTGTCAACCTAAAGGAAAGGTCGAATGCACGCTCCGAGTACTGCTGACAAACATGGTCTTCTCGTCACCGCCGTCGACCTGACGCGAAAAAGTCCGGATTGAATTTGGCGATTCAACTGTCTGATTTCGCTCTCCGTGTGAATCATCTTTACGAAAACTCGTCAAAAGGATGTTTCCACTTGAATTTCGAAGGCATTTTAATCAACATTTTGAGACTGCACGTCTCTGAAAAGCTCCTCACAATTTCTGTTATCTCCGACATTGGCCAGGCAAATATCAACTACGACATGAGATGTTTGTCGGAAATCCTCGGCTTTCCAAAAGCTTGGTACAATAGATCCATCGCAAGACGCCTTTTCCTCATTGAAAGTAGCCGCGCGAAGCCGACAAACGAAGCTGCTCCTGTCCAGCCGAATCATAATAACGAAAAAAAGGAAACTGCTGTTAGAGTTTCCACAGTTCTCCGAGAGTTGCGAGTCGATATGAACATCGGAAACGTTCTCGGAAAGACGGTTTGGGTGACAGAGCAACTCGCATATCATGGCGCTTTTGACATGAGAAGCAGTAGAAAAAATGACATCAAGACTTTGGTTTCTCTTGCGAAGACGAAGATCGAGTCGCGATCAGGACTCCTAGGAGGAGTGATTTCGATAAGTGGTTTCAATGGCGCTTGTTTTTGGCGAGAACGAAGCACTCAAGATTCAGCTCACGAAATGAAGGTAAATCTTTGTCAACTCTTTAGGATTTTGGTTAGGGTTGGAAGAAAGTCAGATTTTACTGATAGGCCCCTTGATAAGCTTCGAAAAATAACCGTATTCTCTTTAGGTCTCCCTGGATGAAGTTAGCCTGCGATTGGAATACCACTCGACAGTAATTCTACTTTCGAAGCTGAGCGATGCACAACTGTTCGTCATCGACGAGAGCTTGTTGGACGAGAGTCCTCCACGGGCAAAGGCGAACATCGACATGCGCTGGGGCGAGTCGATCTTCTTCTTTGCAAGTCGAATTCGAAGAATCTCGTCCAAGGCGGGCGCAAAGTCAAGGACTTCGTCAAGCAACAGATCAACACGGGCAGCGAGGCCTTCCGCAGCATGTTCGCTCACAGCTCGAATTACGAAGAGAAACGCCGCGGCCCTGTAGAAAAATCGAACGACGACAAGTACCAGCGCCACTGGCCTCCGATCTTTAATCGCCACCCAGTTACTTCGTATCATCTCGGCGGCGAGTCTCGCCTCCGCGGTCAGGAACTGTCAATTGTCTGCTTCGACGGGGATTTCCGATCGGACGATCACTGGGTCTTCATTTCCGTTCATTTGCTAGATATTTCTCTCTCCAGCGATGTTTACTCCGCGCCAGAAGATGATGCCCAAGATCGTCTCAATATCTTCCTTTTCCAGGTAATTTTCAATTGCCTGTCTCTTTATTTCATAATTGCCATTTTCATTTTTAGACGTTCATCTTCAACCTTGGTCTTTACATGCCTAGTCTAAAACGAAAAATAAATTTTCAGCAGTACACAATATCGCATTTTCACAGTTGAATTGAATGAAAAATAAAATAGCTATTAGAAAGTTAGAAGTGGGGCCTATTATTTTGTCTGCAGTACAGAAGAACACACTTTTGGGAAAAACGTGAAAAACGCTATATAGGCCGTCATTAAATAGCCCATGTGGAATCTACCCCCGCCCCGCCCCTAGCTTCCAAAATATAGTCCCCCATATTTTGTTAGATTTTGGGGCATAAATTCTAGATTTTTTTGCAGTACAATAAAACACACTTTTGGGAAAAAACGTAAAAACGCTATATAGGCCGTCATTAAATAGCCCTTGTGGAATCTACCCCCGCCCCGCCCTAGCTACCAAAATATAGTCCCCCCATATTTTGTTAGATTTTGGAATATAAATTGTAGGGATTTGCGCGCGCCGCGCGCATTAAATAAAAATTGTATAAGAAATTATATATATAATTTATTGTATTTTTTTAATTTAGTTCATTAATATTATTAAAAAATAGGGATTTGCGCGCGCCGCGCTCAATAAATAAAAATTGTATAAGAAATTATATATATAATTTATTGTATTTTTTTAATTTTGTTCATTAAAATTATAAGAAAATAGGGATCGCGCGCGCCGCGCGCATTATATAAAAATTGTATGAAAAATAAATTATAATTTAAAAAAATAGAAATAAAATTTATTCTAGCCCTATTAAATCTGGATTTAAAATTTCGCCGTTGTATCACTGTACTTGTATTAGTGTACAGTATTGTATCACTGTACTTGTATTAGTGAAGACAAAAAAATTGTGTTCACTATTACAAGTACAGTAAAACAGAAGTACAGTGATACAATAATGTCGAAAGTACACTAATACAAGTACAGTGATACAATTTTCCACTGTACACAAATGCAAGTACAGTAATACGGGGTACTCATGAAAAATGCATAAATAAATACGATTAATTAATTGATTAATGGATTACCCTCAGCCAAAGTTGCGCATGTTTCTTGTATTGTTCTTCCTGTTCCTTGTATGTTGGCAGCGCTTTTTCAATTTGCTCCAGCTCAGTTTCCGAAAAGGTGCCGATCTCCAACAAAAGCCCTGAAATAAAAATATAACCACCCGCATAAATAATCAATTTTCAAACCTTTATAACCTTCAGGGCCGCTGAGACAGCCGATTAGATTCTGCCCTTCAGTCTGTTTTATCAGCTTCTGGAAGTCGACAGGCGGAGTCGACCAGGCCTTCGGCATGCTACTGTAGTAACTTCCGCCTGTACTGCTTTTCAGCTTCTGGAAGTCTGTGCTGTGGATAGTCCGAACCCTGAGAAAAGGGCTCAATTTATTTGTAATTTCTCGAAAATGGTATCAATAAAGAAAAGAGTGGTAATAGTATGTTTTCATCTCATACGGGTTTTATCACAAAATATCTCAAAACTTTTTCATCGATAAACATCACACTTGTGAATCGCGAAAATATCATGTTCTGACTGGATATTTTGCTGCTAAAAACTGACAATTATAGAGCCCTAGATATCGATTGCTTCCTGTTCGTCGACCCTGGCATCTGTCGACATAAATATTACTTTTTCAATATAATTTCTAAACAAAACAACATCAATAATTATTTATTTTTCTGACGAGACGAGACATTGACAAGTTTTCTTTTCGAATATATTTTATTCGTAAAATCTTTTCGGCCAAACAAACTGGGGCTCAAACTGATTGGGAAACTGGTTTTAAAATTTGAAATCAAACAAAACACAAAACATGTTTTCAAAAACGGAAACATAGACTAGTTAACACAGAAGATTGGATTTGGATTGTTGAACTGGCTGGAAGTGAATGTGACATGTTCTTTTTGGTTTGAGAAGGTCCCTTCGATTTTTGTGAAATAACGAACTAGCGAAAGGAACAAATTTCTCGATGGTTGTATAAATAATTAGAATTGAACTTATGCGGATTTTCTCCAGTTGGAACCAGCAAAGACGGCGTTGGCGCCGAGATCTTCTTCGATTCGGAGAATCTGATTGTACTTGGCGAGTCGCTCGGATCGGCAAGGAGCGCCAGTCTTGATCTGGCCAGTTTGGAGACCGACGACCAAGTCGGCGATGAAGGAGTCTTCAGTTTCGCCAGATCTGTGGGAGACCATGACGCCCCAGCCGGCATTCATCGACATTTGAGCGGCCTTGATGGACTCGGTGAGGGTACCAATCTGGTTAACCTTCAACAGGAGAGCGTTGCAAGCCTTCTTGTCCAAAGCGGTTTGGATTCGAGTGGGGTTGGTGACCAAGAGATCGTCTCCAACAACTTGGGTGTCCTTGCCAACACGCTCGGTGAATGCGACGTAGCCTAATATTTAAAATTAGTGATCAGTTTCTTTTGGATAATCTTACCTTCCCAGTCGTCCTGGTCAAAGGGATCTTCGATGGAAACGACGGGGTAGTTCTTGATGAAGGAGCAGTAGACATCAGCGAGCTGAGTGGGAGTAAGGTATCGGGACTCGTCGTTGAGATCTCCAGCATCTTCATTTTTGAAGTCTTCAAGAAAATGGTTATGAACTATTTGAGAGTTTTTAGTGACTTACCAAGATCGTACTTGTTGATGTCTCCCTTCCAGAATTCAGAAGCAGCAACATCCATGGCAATGCCGATCTTGCCAGTGTAGCCGGCGGCTTCGATGGCAGCGACGATGAGGTCGAGAGCATCGGAGTTGACAAGAATGTTGGGAGCAAATCCACCTTCATCACCAACCTACAAAGATGACAACTACAATGGTGAAACTATTGACCAACGTTGGTGGCGTCCTGGCCGAACTTCTTCTTGGTCAAGGCCTTGAGGTGGTGGTAGGTTTCGGAGCCCATTCGCATGGCTTCAGTGAAGGAGGTGGCGCCGTGAGGGAAGAGCATGAACTCCTGCATGGCGAGCTTGTTGCCAGCATGAGAGCCACCGTTGATCACATTGAAGACAGGAATGGGAAGGGTCAATTTCTCGGAGTTATTTCCAGCGAGCTAAGGAATTGTGATGACGAGGAGGAATGAGTAATTCTCACCTTGGCAATGTGTCTGTAGAGTGGGACCTTGGTGTGGGCAGCAGCGGCTTTGGCAATGGCAAGCGAAACACCGAGGATGGCGTTGGCACCGAGCTTTTCTTTGTTGGCAGTTCCGTCGAGGTCCAAAAGGATCTTGTCCATAGCGGCCTGGTCGGCGAGGTCGAGGTCCTTTCCCACGAGTTCGCCGGCGATGGCGTTGTTGACGTTACCGATGGCCTTTGAGACACCCTTGCCGTGGTATTCGGACTTGACTAGAGAAATAACTTAAGAATTGGCGAAGGTGATAATTTCTTACCCTTGTCTCGCATCTCAAGAGCTTCATAGATTCCAGTAGAAGCTCCAGAAGGAACGGCAGCTCGGAAGACTCCCATGTTGGTGGTGAGGTCGACTTCGACAGTTGGGTTGCCACGGGAATCGAAGATCTGTCGGGCTTTGAGGGCGTTGACGAGAACCATGTTGTTTTTTCTGAACATAAGTCCTCGTTGATTTCAATTTTTTTAGTTATTGCACCAATCTTTTTGGCAAAAAAAAGAAGAAGCTAGAGTTACAGAAAGTGGTGATTGTAGTTCAACTTGGCAATAGAAAATATTAAATAAATAGATAAAAGCTAGAAGTGTGAAAGTGTAATTTCAATTCATATTCGGATTATTCTTTCTGGAGGACGATGCAAGCGCGGGAAGGAAGGTAAATGTTGAGCGATTGGGCACAATTATCAGATTCATCGGGAGATGTGAAGAATTCTTGATCTTTTGCTAGTCGAGCGTGGCCGTGGAAACGCTCCTCGTCTGAATCAAGAACGAGTTGGTATTTCCCTGGCTCCCGGACGCCGAATTGATAGTCGGAATACGACTGAAAAGGGTAAAATGAGATAGGAGAAGGAAAGTACCTTGGAAGCGTGGAAGTTGAATACAAAGATGCAATTCGCACGATCGAAGATGATCACTTTGTCACCCTCCGATTTCCTCGTCGAATAACCAGGCGGAGCAGAAAGCCAACATGTTTTCTTTTCCAGGTCATTTATTGCCGAGTCAAAATTCTCCAAAAATTGATAACGAAGCAGAGAATCTTCAGCAAGCGAAAACTGTCGTCGACAGTGCTAAAACAATCGATTAAAACTTGGCCTTGAATATTTTTAAAAGCAAATCATTATTGATTCTAAAAAATCGATGATTACCTGATAAGATTCGCCATTTCCCTTTCTCGGAAAATCTAGCCACTCTGGATGGCCAAATTCGTTTCCGATAAAATTCAAATATCCTTCTCCGCCAAGCGCGTGGACCAGCAGTCTTATCATCTTATGCAGGGCCATGCCACGGTCGATAACGTCTGTTCTTTCGCTAAGAACGCTCATGTTCGTGTACATCTGCGCGTCCATCATCCAGAAGGCTAGCGTCTTGTCTCCAACGAGCGCTTGGTCGTGTGATTCTGCGTACGCAATGACTTTCTCGCCATATCTTCGATTCTCCAGCGTGTGGCAAATGTGTCCAATGTTCCAATCTTCGTCTTTTTGTTCTTTGAGTAGCTTGATCCACATGTCCGGTACGGCCATTCCCAGGCGGAAATCAAAGCCGATTCCTCCTTCTTCAACTGGTCGGCACATTCCTGGCATGCCAGAAACATCTAGCAAGAAAATACGAATCAAATCATTTGAAAATTGCTTACCTTCGGAAATGGTCGTAAGAAATGGATAAGTTTTATGTAGAAAATCATTAGCCAATTGAAGATAAAGGATCGATTCTTCATCAACTTGCAATCCAAAGTATTCCGAGTAATTTCCAGTGAAGCCAGTTCCGATTCCATGATGATGGTAAAGCATTGACGTGACTCCATCAAATCTGAATCCATCGAATCCAAACTCTTCGACCCAGTATCGACAGTTCGAGAGCAAAAATCGCCTGACTTCCCAGTCATTGTAATTGAAGATTCTAGAGCCCCACTGAGCATGATGTCCTCTTGCTCCTCCATGGAAAAAGCAGCTGTCAGTTCCGTCAAATTCGTTTAACCCGTCCGCGACGTTGGAGCTCGCATGAGAATGGACAATGTCGAGAAGAACTTGAATTCCCAAACCATGAGCGCAGTCGATCAGTTCTTTGAGTTCATCAGGAGTGCCAAAGCGCGAACTGGGTGCGAAAAACGAAGTCACTTGGTAACCAAAACTTGCGTAATAGGCATGCTCTTGGATGGCCATCAGTTGGATTACGTTGTAACCGTTTTTAGCAATTCGCGGGAGGACGTTGTTTGTGAAGTCTGCGTAAGAGCTGATTCCTTTCTGAATTTCAGGGTCACGATTTGCCCAAGAAATTAATAAAAAGCCGCTTTGAATTTCGGAAAGATGTCTCTGTTTTCAAGTTTTCATGTCCCTTTCCTTATCAGAAGCAATACCAACATGAGCTTCGTAGATTTTCGGCGCTTTGGGCTTCTCCGGCCTGTCAAACTTCGCTTCATACTTTTCTCTTTCTCCAGGGTTGTAGAAATGCCAATCGTAGACGACTTCTTTGGGTTCTTGAAAAACGTATTTTGCCCAGGGGAAATGCGGTCGATCAGTTGACCAGTAGATTTGACCAAGATAGTGAGCTTGATCTTCGAATTGTGCGGAATTCGGCATGAACCATCTTCGTTTGGTGGAATTCGAATACTCCATTTTCCGAAATCTTCGGCTGAAAACGCGTATTCCGTGCGTTTCCAATCGTTAAAATCGCCTCTGAGCCAGACTGCCTCGGCTCCTGGAATCCATTCTTTTCAAATCAGGTCTTCAAACTTTTCAACTAAAAAGAATCAAAATCAAATGTTGAAGGCATAAATTTTTGAGACCTGTTTCCCAAGCCAACGATTTCTTTATCCGGAGTCACATGGAGCCCAAATTTTTCGTAAGAACGGGTGTACGATTCTAGCGTCTCGGCAGCTTCGATTTCAGACTTGGTCGAGAGGAATTTTCGGTAGCGACGATCGATGTCAGATTTGAAGGGTTGAAGATATTCGTCATTCTTTTTTTAGCGATGAAAATTGATAAAATTCAATCATTTTTAACCATCTACTTTTGAGTTGAATTACTAGAATTACCATAGGTAGCATTTCTCATCACTTTCCTTATATAATCCAAGCTCTAGAATCTCTTCTTTCTCTGTCATTTTTCACGGTTTTTTTCTGAAAAATGAAAATTGCTCAAATCTTTGGCGATGTAAATATACGGCGAAAATCACGTTTCCAGGGATCCTCTCTTACGTAACAGTCATCAAATTGCCTTCAAATTATCTAATTCTGTTCTTGCGATCTCTGACTGGCCTTTTTCGACGAAAGTGGACTCTTTTCTCGGACAGTTGATAGAACTGATTCGGCTCGGCGCCGAGCTCTTGTCCAATCAGCGCCCGAGGGAAAATTTATAGAAAAACGGGAAAGTTACGTTTGTCGCCCAACCGAGAGCGATTACGTTTTTCGTGAAAACAAGAAATTAAAAGGGGCGTTGCCGAATGAGGAGGACTCGAACAATAATTTTCATCAATTCTCTCTTCCTTGATTTCCTCCCTCTCGGAATTTAGCAGAAACTCAAATTCATTTTCTGATTTATTCTCACAATCTTTGCATAAAAACGGGTAATTGTTACAGGATGGAGGGAGGTGAAGAAAGGTACAGTGTAGATGATGACGAGAAGCGGAAAACAGGCTTTTCTAGCAAGCCAAGATAAAAAGGAATGAGTGACTTTCGATGCGCTTGTTCAATTTGTCTGTAAAGTCTACAGTATAGACTGGAACACTGGTGTTCGAGCTCTTCTAAGGTGGCGGTGTGTCGAGGTAAAAAGGATTTTGACGAGAGTAGTAAAGATTAAAAATTGGTGAAAGCTGTGAGTTCTTACCATTATCTTGCATCTCAAGAGCTTCGTTGATTCCAGTAGAACCACCAGAAGCAACAGCTTTGTCAGCAGCTTTGAAAGCAGGTTGAAGAAGGGAGGGGGGAAAGGACGAGAAAAAGGACAGTGAGATTGGAGCATCAGGTGAGTCAGAGAAGAGATCCAAGGACGTCAACTGTGTTCAGCAGAGTTGTACATTTGCGCAGCGGAGATAGCGGAGCTGACGGCTGAGCCGTCACGGCTCCGCTCTGCTTCGACAAAAAAAAATTCTTGAATTTCTTCGAACTCGCTTCGCTTCGCACTAAAGCGAACTCGCACTGCGAATTTAGACCCCTGTTTGAGTCGTTGAAAATATCTGGAAGCCGTGGAAGAACCCACTAGGGTTCTAGGAACGCCAGACCTCAATCTTCGACATTTTCAACGATGTTCCATGTGGTCTTAACTTGTAAGTAAGGCAATAACTATGCATTTACTGTAGAAAATATTGTAGAAATTTCAGTAGAAACTGAGATTTTATCATTCGCAGTTTCCGAGATACGAGTATGTAATAAATTTTATTAATTTACTATTCATCTACTCCTTTAATTGTTCTATTGTCCAGATAAACTGCAAAATTTTTCAGTAAGTACTGCATCTAATGAAATGCGGTTCTTCCTTTATCTGAAAGAAGGGAATCGCCCACGACGTCCAGCGCGCCCCGTGATTGGACTCCCGCTCTCTCAGAAAAGGAAAAGTCGCCCTTCTTCCATCGCGTAGTAAAATTTCATAAACCCCGTAAAGACTTTCCGAAACTTTATCATCTGTATGTTCAGAGAATTAATATTTGCCAGTCCTACTAGCAGAGTTCATTTTTAGAGAGTGAGAGATGCGATCCTAGCGCAAAGAAAAGAAGAGCCTTTTTGTCGAAAGAAAGAGAAGAAAAACAGCCAAAATGAGGTAGATTTTCAAAAGAATTATCCAAATTATTTGCGAATAATCATGATTATTCAAAAACAATATAAACCAACTAGATTTATACGTTTTATTTTTATCGAAAATGGGAAAAAACGGATTACTTGAATTTATTGATAGAAATTTCTTTCTCAACGGAGCTTTCTCTCACAGGAAAATTTTCAATAAGGGCTTTTCCATATAACTTTTTTGATGAACATTACTTATGAAATTCTAGTGGCCGTCCTGCTCAACGAATGTTCGGCATCACTTCTGCGTTGTCCGTGGAAGGGCCAACAGAAAAGGACAAAGTAATGACGGAAGATCTTCAAAGTAAGTCCACTTTTTCGATTCTAAGGGCATATAAACGCTTTTAGAAACGATTGAGCCTTTTGGATCCTTCGATACACCAGATGGCCTTTCGCATCGCATCCAAGTTTTGACGAAATTGAACGAGTTGGTCAAAGAATTTGTGAGAAAAGTAGCCAAGGAATGCCGCCTGCCGGAACATCTTCACGGAGAGCTCGGCGGAAAGATTTACACTTTTGGATCTTACAGACTGGGTGTTCACACAAGAGATGGTGATATTGATACACTTTGCGTCGTTCCACAACATGTTACGAGACATCATTTCTTTACGATTTTCCTGGATATGCTCAAGGTAAAATATCAACTCGGAGCGTTGGTGCGTGACGCATAGGAGTAGCTAATCTCTCCATTAGATGATTTTCGCCCTAATATCATTTTCAGAAAACGGAAGGCGTAACTGAGTGCCGCGACATCCGAGAAGCCTTCGTTCCCCTAATTAAGCTCTACTTCGACGGCATCGATATGGATATCCTCTTCGCGCGGCTGGCCAACAACAGCAAAGTGCCAGAAGACCAGGATCTGCGGAACATTGAAATTCTGCGAAATTTGGACGAGAAATGCGTCCGAAGCTTGAACGGTTGCCGCGTTACTGATGAAATTTTACACCTCGGTAAGATTCACTCTTTCCGACCAGATCTTGATTTAACTCAGTGCCGAACATTGAAACATTCCGCCTGACGCTCAGAGCTGTCAAACTATGGGCTAGAAGAAAAGGAATCTACAAAAACGCCCTCGGATTTATCGGTGGTGTCTGTTGGGCCATGCTTGTCGCTAGAACCTGCCAAGTAAGAGACTTCCCTAGTCAACAGGGCTATATTTTATTTTTAGCTTTATCCAAATGCTGCCCCATCTACACTTCTTGAGAAATTCTTCCTTCTCTTCTCGAAATGGGACTGGCCGAAGCCCGTCTTCCTCAAAGTCCCCGAAGACGCGCCGCCCGGCTTCACCCACCCAGTTTGGGATCCGCGTTTCAACCCCCTCGACCGATCCCACTTGATGCCCATTATCACTCCTGCCTACCCACATCAAAATTCAACCTTCAACGTGTCCCGTAGTACCTTATCTGTCATGAAGCAGGTAACATTTCTCTTCCCAAGATTAGAGCTAAATCCACCTTTTAGGAGATCAAAGACGCCTATGAAACGACCAAACAAATCCTTCAAAAAACTCCAAATCCGGATGAGCCGAACACTCGACTCTGGGCGGAGCTATTCAACAAGACCGACTTTTTCAACAAATACAAACACTTTATAGTCCTTTCCGCCACTGCTGATCAACAAGAACAGTATCAAAAATGGTAATTCCGCCCTTTCTTCTTCGATCCTCATCTACTTCCTTAGGATCGGACTGGTAGAGTCAAACATTCGAAAACTGGTCAACGATTTGGAACGCAACGAGTACATTCTCATCGCCCACGTCAATGTCGAATCAATTGAGCTTGATCCAGCTGAAGAAGGTCAAAGGTAAGAAAAACTGACTTGAAATTGTCTTCTATGATTTCAAGTCCTCGTTACGTCTGTCGCTGGTTCCTGGGTCTTTCTTTCCATCGTTGCGAAGTCAAGGTAAAAATTGAAAAGCACGGAAACATGTCTTACTCTAAAAATTTTCAGCCTAACATCAACCTGACCCAAGACATCCAGCGATTTACGGATCTGCTTCATCAAGCCGCCATTAGCCACAACAACTACACTGTAAGACATTTAGAATTCAATAATAAAAGAGAAGTTGACTCTCTTTTCATCTCCTAATCAAGACAATCATTGATCATCTTTTGGTAAATAACCTGTCAAATGTAGCCGGACATGAGGGTGGAAGCGCGATATGTGAAGCGACACAACCTGGTGAAGTTTTTGACGCCGGAACTGGCCAAAACGCTCAAGCTCAGTAAATCGAAAGAAGGTCGCAAATCTGTAAGTTGTTCCCTTCCACACAATTTTGAGGCTTTTCTTAGAAAACAAATGCAAACAACGGAAACGCGGAGAACTCGGCAAAGGCAAAGAAAACCGAGGAAGCAGCGAAGAAAGAAGAGTCCAAAGGAGAGAGCAAGGAGAAATTGGTAACTCGCTTTGATCCAGGATTAGAAGAAACGACTGTATAATTTCAGGAAACGCATCAATCGAGTATCACAATGGCGAAAGACATCGCCATAACGACGAATTTCGAGGGGCAGCGCGCTGAGCGATCGGTCAAAAACGCAGAGGAAAAAGAATCAAGCGATTCCCTCCCCAAAGTCGAAAAAGCCGCCAATCCGCCAAAAACTGTCCAGAAAGAGGTAAAACCCGCTAGCATATCCCACAGTTCTTCGATAACCCCAACTTCTGTCAAATGACACACAACACAAATCTACCTTCTTCTACCTAAAAAACTTACAAAACTTTAAACTGCCTAAAACCAACTCTATCCCGAATCGGGATTCCCGATGCTCTCTTTTACAAACCATCGAAAAGTGCAACTACGCCGGGGACTAAAACAGAGCATCGAGGGTGGCAAAACCAACTTCAAGTCTTTTTGAAAATAAAAAAACTCATACTGTAGCAGAGTTGAAAAGAATTGCCAAAAATATTATTTATTACTATTGTCTTTTACTGTCAGAATCTGATGTCAACTTTTCCTTTCTTCATTTTTTAAATCTTAGTAAAGAATTCATCCATAGTTCCAGTTCATTCCCAACTAAAAAAAGAATATGAATAAAACCAAAAAACAAAGAAAACTACCTACAGTTGATCATTCAATTCTTATCAGTATTTAAATATTTGTGCCTTTGAGCTCGAGTAAATAGAGATTTGACGAGTAAAGGGGCTCTCATGTCGCAATTGAGCTTCTTTTGACTTCTGAATTGCTGCGACGAGACGCCCTAAATAAATTTTACTGTATTTTGAGAATTCTTATTAAATGATTCTTTAAAGAACCGCAAACGAGCTCTCGACGATGGAGACAATGACATATTTCGTGAAAAGAAGGTATAGAGAGCACTTGGGAAAGAAACAGAAAAGTTCATCTTTTATTATAGAGAATGTCTGAAGGAGCCGACCCTAACATGATTTCGAAGACAATCCAACTCAAGTAAGTCGCTCAGAATGCCCAAAACGTCAAATTATCGAGAAGAAATTCTGCGAAACTACAGAAAGATGAATTACCATAAGAATTTTTTGGCCGAAAAAATTTTTTTTGAGATAATGGCATATTCTGAAAGCCCATGTAAAAATACGTCGATCCCTAAATTTCTAGGGCTCTATGACGTCATTATGACGTCATTTATGATTAATAATTGTCCGAAAAGGCTCCGAATTCATGAGACTTTGGAACGCTTTTTGAGGCGGTTATCGTTGGAAATATATTTTTCTGCTTGTAGCATGTTTTTAGGCAGAAGAAATTACGTGGGGACCCGAGGTTAATTTTTCGAACCGACCGGTTTCGAAAATTACCGGACACTAGAACCGGTTGGTAATGATGGTTTGAGCCCGGGTCCCCACGTATTTTTTCACGAGGAATCCGAATCCGCTGAGAAAATAAGGATTCAAAAATGTTTTTGGCTCTAAAAAGCGTTCCAAAGATAAAATTTTGAAATGAGCCGGATGACGTCATAATGACGTCACATGGCCCTAGAATTTGGTCATTCTGTCTAATTTTTTATGGGCTTTCAGAATATGCCATTATCTCAAAAATAATTTTTTCGGCCGAAAAATTCTTATGGTAATTCATCGAAAATGCTCTTTCTTACGATCCAATTTTTAGATTCGCCCAGTAACAGAAACTCTCCAGTAGCACCCTAGCCACGCTCAACTGCCATCACTATCACTTATCGAAAAAAGAAAGAAAACGGAGAAGTCAACAATTCAAGTTCAGAAGAGGAGAAATTCAGTTATTCAAACATTTAAACTCGAAAACAGCCGAACATGTTTTTCTGTAAATAGAATCTATTTCAAAAGGACTGAAAAAATCTAAAATTTCTTTTCGATTTACTGTTTTTCTTCGGGATCAGTCTAATAGACACCACAATTTCAAGACCTTTTTTCAAATTCTTCAAAAGCATATTTTTAGATTGAAACTTCCCGTTTTTGGAATTGAATATTTCAATTCAAAGTTCCGGCTAGTCTCCTATTTCCGGTAGGTGCCAATTCGGCTTATTCAAATTCAAGAGCCGCTATTTTGCTCCATACATAGTTTGGCTGCATATGCAAGCCAGTAGGCCTTTTTTCTCACGGCGGAGAGGCAGCTTTTTGATCCGAAGCGGAAGCCGCGCGCAGCCAGCGTTTGAACTCGCGCCATGCGCTAAACAGCTCGCGGGCGCCGCACTTTTCGCCCACGCGCTTTTCGCAAATTTCACAACGATTTGATTCATCCGCCAAAGCGTACAAAAAATTTGAAAATAAAAAAATCGAACACTTTCTTTTATCAGAGATTAAGAACTGAAAAGAAATAAGAGATATTTTGCAAAGAAGATAGAATTAAAATTTTTAGTAAAGAAGGTAAACATCAAGAATTTTATTACGGCCAATTACTTCTCGTAAACCTTTAGTTCCCAAAAACAGTCATAAAATCTACCAACAAGGCGTTTTTGAGTTAATTTTTAAGAGACACTTTTAGGAGCGCATCAATGAGCACACTTGGACACTAATTCAATTCCGTTTTCCAACATAAAATGGAGCAACTTACGAGTACTCCACAGCGCGTTCCAGAGACCAATGCAGAATACGAAAAACTAATTGGCGATAATTGTTCTGTCTACTCCGATGTTTCCAGGTTAGCTTCACCTTTTCCCATACTCGTCGTTGATGTCAATTTTGAAATGCTTCAAAAGCGGGGCGTAATAAATATTTACCTTTACGAATTCTATAACTAGAGCGCGGTAAACCCGCCGCTTGCAGGGGGATTATTAGGGCTAACCATCAATCATCAATCTTTCTTTTTTAATTGAGCTGGTTTTAGGGCAACTTCACGCGCGTCCCGCCGCTCTCGTCGGCCCCACAGTTCAAAGGACAAGTCAGTGTCGATCAAGGCGCCCCAAAGGTCACGCCAGAGTGACTCTCGCAGAAAAAAGGAGAACGCCAGTGGGGACGAAGAAGGCGGAGCTCTTGTAGAAAATGACGATTCCCGCCGCTGGCCAGGCGAGACGGATACATTTGCCACGTCCGAATGCACCCGCATCTCAAACGAAGACCTCGGCAAGTTCCACGCCGATCTTGGGGCGAGACTCAACGTTTCCAAATATCTCAACCCGGCGCGTTTATCCATCGTCTTAACGCAACTATTCGCCTATGTGACGCCTATCTTCTTCCTCGTCCTGCCCAAAGCGCTGTCGGATCCGCAGCCGGGCGCGAAATCCCCTCAATGCGATATCGGCTGTGAGGGTCAAATTATCGCAATCGCAGTTCGACTACTCGTCCTTTCCCTCGCCAGTCTTTATCTTTTCTGGAGGACGCCCAAGGCGAAAATGCCGCAGATCAACCTCTACCGTACCGGGGTCAACTTTCTCACATTCCTCGTCGCTGCCGTTTACTGGATCTTCTACAGCTACAAGGTCATCCACTGGGAAAACTACGACTACCCACCGATTGTCAAATACTCCTCGAATTTCGTCGATATTTTGCTCTTCGTACACTACCTGGCGATTGTCCTTTTGTACCTGAGAAAAGATCAGGAAATCTATCTTCTTGAGGTACGTAAATTCATTCAATAGTAGGCTGAAGAGACAGCCTAAACTTCAATTGTGAATCGATTAAGAAAAATTTTGGGACAGTAATTCGATCATCTGTTAGGATAATTGCAAAATCGATATCAAATACTGTATTTTTATCTTCTGTAATTAATTCGCTACTCGAAATCTTACTCCTCTCAGGTGGTGAGAACGACAGACGGCGCTCAACGATTTTATAACATTGGCGCGGTCTCCATTCAAGAGGCTGCCTCCTGGGTCCTTGAGAAATATTACGTCGACTTCCATCTTTACAATCCAGCCTTGTTGAAATCGTCAAAAACCTCGAAGCTCAAGAACGTCACTAACTTCCAGGTGCGACTTAATTTACAATTTCCTCTCGCCAGAGCATTTGAAATTCATTTTTGATAACGGTCACGTGTAGGTACTCAATGTTGATGGTGGTGGCGAAGAATCGAAAAATGATCGAACAAGGGCCATTCTCACCGCAGCTGCGAGAAGAAGGGACGCTGGACACAATGAGAAATACTACGAGGAGGTAAGACTTGACATCCAGCAATCAATCTTCGAATGAACAACTTTTCAGGTTGAACGAGAAAGACGAGTTCGCAAACGAAAAGCTCGACTGACCGAGGCGGCGGAAGACGCGTTCTCTCACGTCCGTCGCCAATTGATTCCTGATGCCAGCTTGGCCGGAAACGACTCAATGGATCCACGACAAACGGCGGAGATTATTTTCCCCTCGATCGCGCGTTCCATGCAAAAATATCTTCGAACGACCAGGTAATCGCCTCAAGCTCGATTCCTTTTCTAAACCATTTATCAACAGACAAAACCAGCACTACACAATCGAAGATATCATCGACCACCTTGCCTTTTGCATCCGCTACGATATGGGCGCCAACGCCTTTCTGAACAGATACACGGAAAAGAGGCCCCCTACCGCGTATCCCGGACAGGTGTGACATTCAAACACATTTCGTTCTCTTTCTTTACGCGATTTTTAGATTATGCGATCGGTTGACTGGTCAGTGACATGTGACTACCCCATGATTTCAAGCTTGAGGCCGGGTGTTGTTTTCAGCATAAAACAGGCAGACTACAGGTAAATCAGAAAAACTCGTAGATTGTAAATAAATCGTCAGAAAGAGAACCCTAAATTGTTAGTTTCGAGAATTTGAGTAAGATTGTAAAAATAAAACCTACTCTTCTTTCAAGAGCTGCAATTAACCCTTTTCGCTCTAGTTTGGTGGTCACATGTCGAACTGCGCCGAAACTCGCCCTCCGCGAAGAATTCGTAGATCCAGCTTCTCACCGCTTCGTCCTCAGAATGGATTCTTCTGAGACATCTGTATAAAAAATTAACATATTCTTATCCCAAAGCTCTTCTCCCAAGTTCTTGTACAATTCTGTATCTTGACAAAAACAACCTGTATAAACAAAACAAAACTCCTCGTTCATCTATGACTGCCCAAAACGATTAAACTTTTTACATTCTCTCTCTTCCTTGATTTCATTTTTTCATAGTTTTTTATAGCAATATAGAAAATTGAGAATATTCTAAATATATTTTCAAAGAAATAACTTTCAGATTACCTTCCATTTTCTAATATTACGATATTTCAGGTCATATTACTGTAAATAACGGTTGCGGAGAATTCCGAACTTTTCCGTTAAAAAATTAATAGTGCCTTACACACTTTTTTCTTTCCAAAAACTCAAGTTATGCCATTATTCAAATCATTGTTAATTCTCAAAAATTGTTAATATTTTCTGTACCAAAAAACGTGCGCTTGTATTCCCCAAAATAAAAGATGGAATAAGGTTAACGCATTAACCTGAAAGTGGATCTACTTGCGAAATGCATAATATCCATGTTATCCCGTTTCTTTTCGATGCAATTAATCAAGCAAAGATGTCATGAACAGGGTGCTTTTTATTTACAGTTGTCATTTTTGTTGAATTTTGTTCTTCTGGGCAGCAAAAAGCAGGACTTGAATCGTCAAGCATCTCTTTTTTGAGTCTTCGGAGTTTTAGAACTCGAAGCTAAAGAACAGTTAGCGGATCCGGACGCAAATGAGGGTTTTAGGAAAGGCGGTGATAATATGTGTCAGGCAGTTGAGATATTCTCTTATCACTCTCTTATTATTAGAGAGCAAAAGATAGTTTTCCCGTTCGTTTATGGTTACATTCAATTATTACTTAATCCTAAGCGAACCCTTATAAATAATAAGCTAAAATTGAATTTTTGTCGTTAATTTATACGAAATTCTCGCTGCTCTGACAGCAAGAAACGAATTCGCAATAAAAATTTGTAATCTTGAAGAAATTCCCGCCCCGGTCATGGGTGTTTCGTCGTGAGTCTTCCGACCACAGAAATTTATTTAATTTCCAAAGTTGCCCTTGTGGGAAAGCGATGACTTGCGTTACAAATGTAAAAATTTATCTCTCGTAACCGCATTTGCCGAAGAAAACGTTTCACCACTTACCATTTTTTCTTGTTGTAGCTCAGGAGCATTTTGTGCGCTGGCTAGCTTTAAGTTTTATTTATAAAAAAAAATTAGAGGCGATTTCATATTTTCAAAAAAATCTAAAAAGGTTAGAGCCTGTTTTTGTGGATAAAAGTGGTCTTTAGTGGGAGACGCATTCGAGTAATCGGGCTTTCAAAGGTTCAATTTTTTATCTGGCCAATTGTCAATCGATTCGTTTTTTCTAAGAAGCCTCTGCAGAAGATCAGATTGTTTCGTTTTGAACCTTATTCTTTACAGCTTCGTTGGAGATAACAACTCTTCACCGATCTGTTGGGATTCTCCATCTTCGCACAATTACTGTAATCAAACCACAGCTTCCTCGCATGTCCCTTGTCTTTTCTACGGTTGAATTTATGGCAGGAACAAGTTTACTTTAGTAGGTAATTTTGTTGAATGTTTTTTCAGCAGAAAAGAGCGCCCGTCCGTGAAAATTGACTTTGCGATTCTTTTCGAAAAGTAGCAGCCTGCCAATTTCGCGATTATGCGAGCTGTCTTTCTTTCTTTGCTAGTACCAATTTCTGGGCGCGTAAAAACGTATCTTTTTCTCAAGATACTAGCGTTTTAGAGCGCCCGAGAATTCGAAAAACTCAATTCCTACGAAAATGGCCACTCCAACAATAATTAATCAAGCTTCTTTCTTTCAAGCTACAAATTATTAGTTGTCGTTTTTAATCAATCTAATTAGCCTTTTTGTCTATTTAATGAACTCTACCAAAATTCCTCCTTGAGTGGATTTGTCTATCAATAAATAATTGTCAAGAGTTGTTGGCGTGTTGCACTCACGTAAAAAGTAGTTTACGAAATTAACAGAGGCCCGGACCGTGTATTTTGGTGGTGCATTTGGAGCGTAACGATTGGTGCACCTACTCGTTGATTATAGTGTCGAGTAAGCTAATGCGAAAATTCATGTCTTCGCGGAACTCCAGAAGGAACTCCTTGGAAATAGATTTTAAGCACTTCGAGTAAATAGAAATCACGTCATGGAACTTGAAAAAATTGAAGAAAAAAGATCGAAAAGCATTTTTGATTTCAACCATAGCTTGAGTAATAAGATTAAAACTGTGAATTCCACATGGCTTTGCCGAGCAGTGTCTGATGAATTTTGACATGGTTATTCCACGCTCACGTGTTTCGGGAGTGAAGATCTTGACATCATCCTCGTCGCTGAAAATGCCGAACTGATTCGTTTTCGCAACGAACATCAATCCCAAAAGTGTCTTTCACAGCGAGTTCATTTTAATGAAAGTCAAAAGTGGACACTTTAGAAAGGAAAATATTTGAGCAGGGCTTTAATTTTCTAAAAATGCGAGCTTCATTTCGAAATTCTAGGATAAAGTATTCCAAATTCAATTTAAAAAATATTAATGATAAAGAAAATAATGCCCATATAAGATTATAATGACCAGAGTTTTTTTATCGTTCACGTATCTTAATTTTTATAAGAACTCTTCCTTGAACTGCATTTTCTCTTATTTTTCCTTCGTCTATTCTTAGATCTCTCAGTTTTCAAGGTCAACTTCTTTTTGGCAGACTTTTTTCAGCTCCCTAGCAAGGTGAAATCCTCAAAATTCAGACAGGTCAAGATTTTCCTCCCTTCTACGCATTACCGGGGTGATGGATCGCAGATGCTCTCGCGCGCCGCCCGAGCGCTCTAGAAAAACTGCACCGCACAGCGCGAAGTTAGACACGCTTTCTTTATTTATCGTGAGTTGGCCTCCGCCTTATCCAGACGTAGATTGATGCAGATTTATACCCGCATATTGTATAAGCGCCCTTATCATCACACGCGCGGATATAACACAATCATCACGCCGAAAAATTCTTTCACAGAGAATTTTTGCCTACATTTCCTACATATATCTTAAAATTCTTATAGCTGCGTAAATCCTTTGTATTTTCCTATCCTTTTTACATCTGAGTTTTATTAATCCTACAAAACTTCATTTAAACTGGTCTTTTTCGTTCGTGTTAGGATACTTTCTTCCAAAAATAACCAAGAAAATATTTCTGAATGAATTCTTTCAAAGAAAAAGCCGAGAAGGACTTCCTCGATGATCAAACTCGATCAATTTTTTGCGACGTCGCGCAAGAGGGAATCGACTCTAATGTAGGTAACTGTCAAATGAAATTTGAATATAAATAATGAGATTAAAAATAAGAGAGCTTCGGCTGCGATGTTCTTGAAAGCGATGAGTTCTGGACTATCTTCGAATACAATGATAGTCAATTCGATGGAATACAAGAAATTGTTTAAATATCATCAAAAATTTGAATATATTTAATGATTTCTCGGAAGATATTAGTTGAGTAAATACAAGGAAACAGAGATATTTAAATCATCGACTAGATTTCCTCAATTTTACGGCGCAAGAAACCGGATGTTCCGTTGAGGCATGTGGCTACACTGCCGGAGCTGATGGACTTTCAGTTATTGCCCCCTTTTTATTGGCTTTCTTTCTTTGGCTTTTTAAATAAATTTAACCAACTCGACTTATTTGTAAAATAATGACGTAGGGTAAAAATGTATCGACTGAAAACAGTTTTCATCAACGTCGTGGAAAATATTTCTCGGCCACTTGTGGCCATCAACCGCTCCATGCTTCGCTACTTACTCGATCCTCCAAGATCTGACTCAAGCTGCTTCCTCTAAAAACTCTCCAAAAATTAACCCCAGATTTATTCCAAACCAAAGAGGCTCGATGAATGTTAAGAGGTTTATATTTTAAATTATATTTCTCAAGCAAAAAAAAGGGTTGAACATCGTCAACAATATATAGGAAGGAGGAAAAGCAGTCGTTTAGTGACAGTAAGAAACGTTTTCTTTAATCGAATCGTTGTCTCCATACAGTAAGTCTTCAAACTTGGCATTTACCCATTCTGCATAATTGTCCGTGCCGCGTAAAGTTTTGCTAAAAATGGTCTGAGTTTCAGACTTTTGAAATGCGACTTGGAGCAAGTATAATATTCCGCCGGTAATTGCGTCGATTTGAGTGGAAAGTGAGCTTTTCAAGAAAACGCCACTCAACCAAATGCATGCAATCAGCCAAGTGGGAGGCGCTGAGAGGTGCCTATTTGTTACCGGATTTTCGGAGTTTCTGGACTGAAGCTTTCCTCGAACTGACTGCCAAGAGACATCTATGACGGGATCACTTGAGTTGTGGATGCACTGACACGTACACTCTTATTAATTTCTCAGCGATTTTTCAATCAACCGCTGATTATTTTTATATAGTAATAAATCAGAAACCCAAGTAAAGATTTCCCGTTCCTGAGATCCAAATCTTTGCACCCGATCGTCATGATTTCTTTCTTTCAAATGTCTGTACTTTGTCATTGGGCGGTTCTAAATGATTCAAATTAAATCAGTAAAACAGACGCTGAAAAGGGACTCTGATTGTTGACAAAGCACGATTTTAAATTAATCATTCAAATGAAATTAAGAGCGGTTATTCACATCAAAAGCAATTTACCCCTGCACCAGATCGGTGTGTTTTTGGTGGCTTAAATTTTCAAGTCAGGATAATACTCTTTTCATCACTGATGATGATCAAAAATCAACATTTGTCAAATGCGATATTTACCGGTTTCTTGCCATCGCCAGTCCATTTTGAGCGCTTGTCCATTGCAGATCGGAATTTCTTTGCCAAGAATACTCATTTTTAAAATCATAAAAAGGAGTTTGAAATTCAGAAATTCCTTTGGTAACTGAATTTCGCCCTTTGAGGAATGTATTCGAGCCCGTGGCCGTGAGCGTTCCACTTTGTACAACCCATCGTTTTTCACTTCGTCCATAATTTCGACCGTGTCCATCACATAGATCGAAATACCGACGCCTTCCAGTCGCTGCATCGCTAAAACAAAAAATGATGATTATGAACCAGTGCTTTGATTTCATTCAAGTGGGTAATTGAAGGCCTTTTACACGCTACTCTGACCATGATAACGAGATTAGAGGGGGCCAGCTCTTCCCCAATCCCTTTTTTGATGCCAAAAAAAAACTACTCGTGCTGGTCAACCGCACAGAAAGATACCGAAAGTAGCTACAAAAGGTGCTCATTATTAGAGCTTTTTTCAAGATAGTAAGCTAGAAATAATCACTGTTGCCCGTGATTCTCACCTCCAATAAGTGCCGCTTTGGCCTCGTAGTTGTGAACATCCCAGGAGGATGGATGAGCAAATCGCATAGTCACGTTTATGCTGCCTTGGAATCCTTTGTATTCCAAATACCTCTGCTGGAGCTCAACGTAGCTGTAGAGCGTGATGCAGGTTCGCATAAGCGGCGCGTGGCTCATAACTAAAAGGAAACAGTTCAAAATAAATACTCTACGCACGTTTCGCCACTGCTAGAATTTGCAAAATTAGGAAGCACTTACCAATGTCAAAGTTGATCTCGCTATTTCCGCTCTCGAGCGCTGCGTCTTCCCAACCCGACTTCATTATGTCAAACAAGAACATGTTTCCTGGCTGATTACGGAGGATACAAAGAAAATCGAACACTACCATCAAGACTTTGATTGGCTCAAAACTGCAAAATTGTAACTCAGCCAATCAAAAATCTGGATTCAGAGTATCTCTTGTTCGACAATTTTATGAAGGTTTCTCCAAACATGACTTGAAGTTTCCGATAAACAACCGTAATAAAGTCTGAGATAGACTTATCGGTTGAACGATAAGGGCTACCCACGTGGATGATCAACGGATACAAAGTACACGCTGATCCCTTCCGATCCCGTACTCGATCAGCCTCTCCCCCGTTCCTTATCTGTTTTGCCGCCGATGTACTTTCCCCTAAAGATCGAAAAGACCTCCTCGCTGAAAAAGTTTCGGCTCCAAATCTCCACCTAAAGTTTGAGCGTTTTTAGAACTCTGCCGTGAAAACCCCGCGGATTAAAATCAGAGCGAGGGAAAAACCACAAAGCAGTGGATCAAAACGTAGAGAAGGGATGAAGGGTGGCTTGGTGAATTGAGCTTCCAAAAGTTGAATTTCAAGGAGGACAAAACTTACTCTCGTGGCGCTTATGCTTTTCTTGGTTCAAGAAATCGGAAAATTCGAATGTTTCCAAAAGGAAACCTCTTTTTAAACCAATCCTTGCATTTCGCCCTTCTGGGTCCAAAAAGAGCTTGTAAAAAACAGGCTCAGGCCAGGGCATCCAGTACTCTTTCTGCTGCTCAAACCATTCGACGTAAGAAGTGTTGTTCAAATTCATGATGCTGTTGTAGTTGATTTCGCCGTTTTTATCCGACGCGGGTGAGGTCTCTCTGATCTCGATCGGCTGAGGTTTAAATTTAGCGCTTTCGTTTCCCATTTCTTTTAATTTGAAATTATAAAAAATCTTCGATAGTTTTACAATTGAAATGTGATTTCGTCCTTGAGCCAAAGCGCTGCTTTTAAATCAAAATTCCAGAGGTAGTTTATTATTCATCGGATGGAGCATTCAGACTTGAGAAAAGTGCTAAAATATGCATGACAAGTTTCGAATAGAACTCTCAAGTGAGGGGACAAAACCGAATGTCAACAAAGTTTTAGGACTCGAAGTGCTCTTCGCCGGACTTTAGCTATTGAGATGAATTCATTTATAAAAATCTTTGTCGATGAAAGAAGGACGCGAACTGCAGTAAATCCCCATAAGCTTAAATATCTTCTGCTTCTCGTGGTCAGCGATAATTCCTGAGTCAGAAGTACACACCCCTAAATCTTTTCACTTATAAAGAGAGAAACTCCTAATGGGTAGATAAAAAATTTTTGCACTACGATTATGATCATTATTATTGTTTGCGCTGCAACTGGTAGTTAAAATTTGAAAAGCAAAATCGCATTGTTTTAGCACGACTAATCTAAGGAAGGCGATTCTCTCCGAAACTGGCTTAGATCCGGAACTGGATTCACATTTGCTATACGAGTTCGTATGCATCGACTGTGCGTCCCCTGATAACAAAAATAAGACGATCAAAGAAACTGCGATCTATCGTTGCCCTGCTAATGGATGTGAAAGTAAGTTGACAGAAGAACTCTTTTTAACGAACGCTTGCTGCACAGAAGCAACGAAGAAGCACATCTTAGGTAAAACAGGATTTAAACTGGCGTTAAAAATGAAATTGAGACAATATTCTCGCACGAAAGGAGAGTGCAAAAAGAGAGTTTGATGATGCGCTCGAAGTAGCTAGGGCGAAAAAGAGAAAGTACGATGACTTCGTTGCCGCAGAGAAGAAATGCATCGAGTCTTTCAAAAAACCGGTGAACTTAGAGCTGAACGATGATGCGATTGACCAACGAATGATCTGCTGTGTGTGTAGAGAACGTTACAATGATGTCACGAGAGTAATGGCCGGAAAAAATATAAATTTTCAATTTTGACAAAAATTTCAACTTGGGGATAAATCATTATCTTGACCGTTTTTGTCATCGTCTAAACTCTAGAAAACACCTGGAAAAAACTTTTTTTCATAGCCTGGGGCGATTCTGAGGCCATTTTTATGAATTTTCTACGAACTGCCATATCTCACGTGACAGATGAGGAAATCACGTGATTGATATATTTTTAGAAAGCTCAGCTTCTGAGGATTGGGGGAAAGAAAAGAAATTTGAAAAAAATCGATTCTGAATGACGAAAATTAATATTTCAATTTCTTGGCCAATCAGCAAAAACCGATTTTTCGGAAAAATTTTTGCTTTCCCCCAATCCTCAGAATCTGAGCTTTCCATTGATACTTGGATCATCTGGTTTCAAAGAGTATCACGTGAGTTATGGCTGTTCGAAGGCCGAAAATTTATATTTTTTCCGGCCAATGAGCATCCTATCATGCAGACACACTTTTTGTTCTCGCTGCTTGGATGCAGTGGTACCAAAAACTTGTCCAACTTGCAGAACTCCTTTTACTTCGGAGCAAATGATCAAACCTATTTTTAGTTAAAGTCCATTAAAACTACAATAAATTTATTCATACAACAGTTGCTAGTCTTCATTGAACGCGGTGAAATAAGCTGTCATAATACTGAATTCGATTTTTAGGAAAGAGGAAATTTGAAATTGCCGCCTGTCAGAAAAAATGAACGGGCTCCATTCCGAGCCCTCAGCTCGTAACTTGAATTCTTTCTTACGGAAACCTCAAATTAGCTTTGAGCAGCGGATTGATTGAGTATGAGAGGCCGGAGGCGTTCGGGTCATCTTTTTCTTATCTGAAACACTTAGAGTACTTATCGTGCTCCATTTGCGTGGTTTAGATGAACAGTATCTGCCTGCCTTAATATTCAAGACACGAGAGCACGTGAGCATAATAAATCTTGAATCGATGCGAAACAGGCGTTTTTGGAAGGAGGGAAGAAAAGTTGGCGTTTCAAGCGTACGAAATCGGAAAATCGTGAAGCGATTACCCATCAAATAAAATAAACGTTCCTAAAATCGGGGCTCAACGCAGTAATTCAATTTTTACAACGCAAATTTACTTCCCCGGCTATTTTTTTTTCTCGCTAATTCTAACGAATTATTTGCTTCTACGGATAATCATCACTTGTTATTCATTGATAGAACGAAGGCAGAGATAATTTACAAATCGCATGCATCATCTAAGATTTAAAAGCTCCTGCTACTATGATATTCACGTGTTCGCAACGTGGAGTAATCATGTTCACAAGTTGAGTTGATCATGTTGATTTTCAGTCCTTTTGAATGTTTTACTCGTCCTCAATTTTTGATACCGAGCGCTTGATAATTTAGAAGTTCGTTTCAACTTGATTTTTCTGCTTGAACTCATGACTAGGGACTATCACGGGAGCGCGAGAGCCCAATTTTCGCTTTCCCAACTACCCGAAATACTCATCCATTTTTCTTCTTTTTTTCAGGCAATTATGTTTTTTTACCTGCCGATTCCAAATATAATTGAAAAATTGACAAAAAAATTTTGAATATTATGAAAAACACAAAATTTATCTTTCAAAGAGTTGAATTATATAGAGCATGCCTTGCCAGGTCATCCTTCTTTAGATATGTTCTTTATCAGACGTTTCTCTTCAATCTCTAAAAAAATCTTTTTACGTCGGCTTACGGGTCGCTTAAAATCATCAGATAAGTGAGTAAAAGTGACAGCGGGCTAGTGCTTCGCGCGCTGCGCGGGAAGCCTAAAAAGCATTAGCGCGCGCCATAATCTCAGTGGGTGCTTACTGTGACCCAGTACTTGGAATCAGATGCAAATAACACCGGGTGATTAACAGGAAAAGGTTCCCGGAAGTAGAAGGCTCATGTTTGCTAAGTTATTTTGAGAAGAAAATTAGCAGGTGGCCTGGAAAACTTGGGTGAAAAATCGCTCCACTTTAAATTTGTGTTCCATTTTTGTAAATTTGCAGCGCTCTCAAGCGCCACCAAGTGCAGTTATGTAAAAAGTAAATACATATTTGGAATCAGCGAAAAAAACTGTATCAGATGATAAATTTTCACAGTGATCGAAGCACCTTGATTTTTCCGTGAAAGTCCCTCCATGAGTCATGACTTTCTTTTATTCATTTGAATATTGAAAATCGACGCTTCTTTAATTCTCGATAATTAATCGCAATTGGAGAAACACTTATTATTCAGAAGAGCTTTATGCTCTGATTTCACTGTAATTTCTTCTTATCTGCAAAACTATTGCTTTATCGACTGAAGAAAGAGTAAATATTCAACGAATAATTCCTCCACGCAGCGGATTTATGTTTTGAATCTTTTATTTTCAATTTTGTGAGGCTTGTAGAAATAGCAGTGCTGTAGAAATATTCATTTTTATTTACAGTCAGAAAATTATTTTGACTCCTTGACTCGCACATTCAAGGCTCTCAATCCCGTCTTGCCCAATTCACAGACGTCAAATGTCACTTCTAGTGCTTCTTCATGAGCTCTAACAGCCTCTGTCAAACCGATCGGGCATTTCTTAGGCTACATAGAAGTTTTAAGACCTTCTCTTCTGTTGATAAAAGTACCTGAAAATAGTATTCTTTCTGCTCTCCGTCTTTGATAAATCCGTGCGGGGCCGATTTTCCACCCGGATTGGCGTTCATGCTCAAAATCTTTCCTACGAGATTCTCATTTTGCATTTGCGCGACTCCGTCGAGTTTGATCAATGATCTAGTTTCATTCAGCTCAACTACAATATTAAGTCTTCCTTGATTTCAATGCCTGAAAAACCTTCTGCAAAATATGGAGTCATCCAGGTCAAATCTCGATTAAGAGCTTTGATGTCGGCAATTTTCAAGCTTCCATCAGGAGCGCGCTTCGCAAGCACAAAATCGGATTTACAGCGCCGCAAAATCTGGCGAAACATTCTATTTTTTTAAAAATGAGGAAGGATTGAGGATATGAACAAGTTTGAGCTTTTGGCAGCTGTGAGGAAGAATGGATTCGTCAGAAATTTGGTTTGCTCTTTTTTGAAGAATAAGATCAGGCATCGAGCTCGTCTTCGTCAACGTTGATATTGACAGCTTTCTGGGATTTTGTCTGACCCACACGAGCAACGACATCGTATGTGATCGCTTTTCCTTTGACTTGATATGCAGCAACATCGCTGAAAAAAACTTAATTCTGATATTGAGAATCGAGCAAACCTGTCAGCAGCATTGAAAGCGATAGAATCCTCCATCATATTTAGAGGCTGAATGTAGCCCCAATCTGGTTTTGACTTTTCTTGTCGCCAGTACTTGACCGTTCCTTTCTGATTCGTCTTTACAACCGTAGAAAATCCACCAAGGCGTGCTAGAGCTTTTTCTCCATTCATCAAAACTAAAACGAACTCAACACTGGTCGTAATCGAGAAGTGAAAATACCATCAGCAGTCAGGCCAGAGTTGTAAGCAAGTTGCTTGAGTTTTTCAGCATCGTCTTCTGAGAATTTCACTTCTACCAATTCATCACCGACTCTTCTTGCGAGAACGAACTCGGTCCCAGCAGCTCTTCGAACAACTCGAGAGACGATCCTCGTCAACATATCTAAATAAGAAAAAAAGTTAATATCGTCATTTTTATTCAAATGGCTTTAATAACTTTTGCATCATTTTAAAGTATTTCAAATTATTTTCGTCTACGGTTTTCGCGTTTTGGCTGCGATATGTCAAGATTTGTTCGTAAATTAATTGCTTATGAAGGGGATTCCTATCATCCTTGAACAAGTGTTGCTCTAGATTTCGAGCAATCGTGATTTGATAATCCCTGGCTTGTTTAAAACTTCCAATTTGAACAACATCAAAAGCCACTACAATCGTCGAAAGCTGCAAAATCGGCAGTTGCAATAGTTCCTCATCCATTTCATACTAGATATATCACTTTCAGAAGCTCAAACTCAAGTTCTTACGTAAGGAAATTCTTTCTTCTTTCCATCTACCGTCGCTTGAATAGTCCCAGAACTCAGTCCATCAACGATATCTTTTAAATTCTCAGGAATGGTGATCTTTCCGGCGATATTTTTGTGAACAATTTTTCGAAATCCTTGAATACGCGCCATTTTCGTTCCTTGATTTGTTTCTACTACAATTTAGTAAAGTAAAATTTCATCTTCCATTCTTACATTGAGTGAAAATTCCAAAGGACTCTCCATCAAGATTTTTAATATTCGCTGGTTTCAGTTGTCCCTGAGAATTTCTCTCCGCCAAAACGTACTGTACAGCGCTTCTTACAGGGTTCATCCGGTTCAATTTGCAACTAACTCGAAGCATTCTAAAAAAGGATGATGATTCTCTAGAACAGAGGTTGTTGTCGGTCGAAAATTGGGAAAAATCGTCAGTTTTAATTTTTCCGTCGAGAGGCAGGCCACAAAAAGTCCCATTTTTTAATGGAAAGGCTAAGAAAGGTATGTTTGAAAACTGTCTCTTTGATGTTAAAATTGGCTGTAGAAGCGTACTCCACGGAGTAAGACGCCAGTGTACGGCTTAAATGGCATCGTGCGCGAGGAAACGAAGAAGCCACTCAAGACTCCTAAAGTAGTGAGACATGTGGAAGGATCGAAATGTCTCTCGAAGACGAACTTCACCGCTGCACGAAAGGTCAACATCTTCGTCAATGGCGACTGTCACAGCCCGGCGAAGCAGTTCATCATTCCCAAGAACGCGAAAAAGGCGAGCGAACCTGCGGGCATCAACGGATTTATGAGCTACTTGACTGACTGTAAGTGAATTTATATAACTGTTACTAATTTGCATTTAGCATTGCGCGAAAAGTTCCAATTCCGAGAGAGCATTTACCACCTGCTTACACCTTATGGAGGCACTCGAATAAACGCACTTTCAGAATTAAAGGATGGCGGCGAATACGTAGCCTGCCATCGAAATCGAGTAAGTTCTGCTAGAAATTCGCAGAAAAATAAGATTATTTCATAGCTTATCAAAATTGATTACGATTCCATCGGGCGGAAAGACTCAATAAAGGCACGCCAGCGTGGAATCCACACAACCTGGTCCAAGCTGCGCAAGGACTCGCAAATGTTCACCGAGCCGGCGAGACACTGGCAAAAGTTCTCCAAATATTACAACAAGCAAGCTTCCGTAAGTTTAACTAGAATCGCTTTCTGAAAAAAAAACAAATCTTTTTATTCTGATCTTTTGATAGAAAACTACCTATCAGATCTCGCATGAAATAATTTTGTTATCAATAGAAGGCTCAGAAGTCTTTTTTATCGAATTTTCTTCAGGACCTAAAGTCACATTATATTGATGATAAAAAAGTCAAAACGATCACAATTTTTTGCAACGGGAATACGGTCGATTCGACAAAAATTTTACTCAAAGGTAAGCCCTCCCTTAATTTTGATCTTACTGTAACTTTTCATTCAGGAAAGCTTGCAGAAGCTGGCGAGGAGTCATTCCGTTTAATCTTAAACTACATCTCGGAGAAGGTTGGCCAGAAGCTCGCAAGTACCAGGTCTTCGTGAGTACTTCCGTTCGATGATATTAAACATAGTCTAATAGGAGCGCCATGGCTGCGCGACGACTCTACTCCCTTAAGGGCCGACGCATCAAGAACGCCGGAAACATCAAGAATAACGGATGCTACATTGTCTGCGGCGACCAAAAGCTCAAGCCCGGACAGTATGGCAAGGACATTGACCTCCAAGCCCCCTGGCAGGTAAAGAGCTTTTACTCATTTTAACCGGTACACCCTCAGAAATTTTTTCGTTATCAAAATGACACTAAAATTAAGAATTCTTTAGCAAATTTAAGGACCAAGAAAGACTCTTATCAACTATTTTTAGCGAGCTATCAAACCGGTGCGAACAACCAGCGGCGCCATCAAGGAAATGAACGAGCAGGACTTTGACCGACCAGTGAAAAAACGCATGAGCGTCCATCTGCCCAAGATCCAGCAGAAGAAGGTGCTCTACTCCGACAAGTACATGTCCCACCACCCATCGAAACAAAGCTATTAAATAACGGAAGGAACTTCTGCTTGAGGCTTGAGCGAACTGTATATAAAAATACTTGTGTGATTGATAAGTGACATCGTAAAGATAAATGTGAGTTTATTGCAGTTTGCTGAACGTTTTCGGTCGGTTGACCATCATCAGAGCTTGTTCCTTGATAAACTTGAAAATTCTTAAAGGAAAGCGTACCTTCTTTTGTAAGACTGCAGAACTGATTTAAAAACCAAAAATAACTTGTCCCAGACTAGTGTTCTAGAAAAATAAATGATAACTTTTTACGGTAATCGATCTTTTTATCAGAGGCTCCTTACCAGGTTCGAAATTAAAAAGATCGATTACCGTAAAAAGTTATCATTTATTTTTCTAGAACACTAGTCTGGGACAAGTTATTTTTGGTTTTTAAATCAGTTCTGCAGTCTTACAAAAGAAGGTACGCTTTCCTTTAAGAATTTTCAAGTTTATCAAGGAACAAGCTCTGATGATGGTCAACCGACCGAAAACGTTCAGCAAACTGCAATAAACTCACATTTATCTTTACGATGTCACTTATCAATCACGCAATTTATGGAACACGACGTCAACTTTTGAAAAACTTGGAAAACCATGCAAGTCGATTGCATCGGGCCAGGAAAGCACTAGAATTCGTTAACGACTGTGCGGAAAATGATTTAAAGCCTAATTTTACTAGAGTTCCAGCAACGGTGGTAAAATTTTGTAATTGGGGAAAAACTAGAATTAATAGGGAAAGACAAAAAATACTTTTAAGGGAATTGGATAAATGTTCTAAGAAGGTAGAGGAGAAGCGCATTATTTTTAATGAAAATCTTTCAAAATTTTTCGAAAATCAAGATATTACATGTGAGAAAGAGCGAATGAAAATTATTATTGAATTAGAAAATCGAGCTAGAGTAAATGATGAAGATAGAGATTTTAAACGGAAACTAAAACTAGAAAAATTAAAGAAATTTAACTCATCAAAAGGACCCCTTAAATTTAGCATTAAAAATTTTTCAAAGAAAAACATACCTCAAAACATCATTTCGATTCTAGAAAGAGGTTGGCGTGCACCCTCAGGTGGACGGCCTCATGCATTAAATATTCTTAGTGAATTTGATTCTTTATTGCAACATTTAGAAAAAAATGATGATTTTAAAGCTCTAACACCATTATCTCGATTTCATTTAAAATCGAAAATATCTGTATTTCATGAAAAACTCTCTTGCTGTTTTGGCCAAGATTGTTCAAATAAGGAAATTAAAAATTTTCTTAAAAACAATCCAGACATAGTTTTCGTACTTGGAGATAAGGATTCGGCCATTGTTATTCTGGACCGAGAAAAATATGAGGAATCACTTTTAAGAGAATTTTCTGACAAGAAAAAATTTATTCTTGTAGATAATGATCCGACGGAAGAGGATTCAGCGGAGATGAGGAGAAATTTACGTAGTTTAGAAAATTACACAGACAAAAATTTTTACAATAGAAATAAACCAATAATGAATATAAAAGTAGCATATGGCTTGGCAAAAGTTCATAAATCTTCTTTTGACGAAGAGAAAAACATGCGGCCTATCATCAGTGCTCGAAATTCGATCACAGAAAATTTTCATCGAAATTTTTTATCCAAATTATTAAAAAATGTAAATACTAGATTTTCTCTCCGAAGCTCTAAAGAATTTTCGAGTTGGATTCAATCACAAAAATTTGATTTTAAAGAAATTGATTATTGTTCATTTGATGTCTCAAAACTATATCCCAACGTCTGTACAGATGATCTCATTGAATTTTTGATCAAATATATTTATATTGAAAATTCACCGACAAAAATTTTACCTAGATATAGAGACTCAAATAATAAGCTTTTACGACCAATTCCTAAAACAATTTTGAAGCCAATTCTGAAATCAGTCTTACAAAGATTGACATCATTTAGATGTTTTGATCGAACATACAAACAAGTTAGTGGTCTAGCGATGGGAGATTCGAGTTCACCTATTCTGGCTGATTTCTTTCTTTATATTTTAGAGCGGGAAAAAATCCAAAAATTAATTGATCAGAAAATAATTTTAGGATACAGGCGATTTCAAGACGATACAATTGTTTTTTTCAAACGTAATTCATTCGAACAAGTCAATCATATTTTCCAAAATCTTCATCCTCAGATTAAAGTTACTGTCGAAAAATCATGCCCGGAAGGTATTAAATTTTTAGACTTTAATGTGTACGTTAACGACAAAAACATGATTGGAATACGAAATAATAGAAAACACACTATCCCAATGAATTTTGAAATTGATGTTGCTCCGACATCCATGAAAAAAGGGGTCTTGATTTCTGAACTGAAAAGATCAATTTTCAAACACTCGGATCCGAAAACTCTGGAGGAAGAGCGAAAAGAAATTGAGGAGAAATATCATGCCCAAGGTTACCCTTTAGAAATTATCCGTGAGGCAACTAGAGTGATTAAAGAAGGTAAAATTGAGAAGAAAGATTGGAAACTCGAAAAAGCGAGTTTCCTGAAAGAAATTTTACTATATGCATTCCATTCACTTCTCAACGAGTCAGTAAAATAACAAGTGAATTGCGAAAAACAATTTCAACCTTTCTCCCTTCTTACAATCTGCACACGGCATTGAGGACAGTATCTATTCGTAATTCAATTGTTGCCAATCTGTTACCTAAGATTGATTATAAAATGGCTGTTAATACTGTTTACCGATTTGAATGTCACTGCGGCGCAGTTTACATCGGTGAGAGTGAATGCCTTAAATCTAGAATTATTGACCACCAACAAAGGTCCAAACAAACAGCAGTTTTCTCTCATACTGAGAACTGTGAAATTTTCCAAACTCGATTCAATGATGAATATGAGCAGAACAATTTTAAATCTAGATTCGACTATCTTAGTAAAATGTTTTCAGTCTTACACCGAAACTTAGCATACAAAAAGAGAGTACAAATGGAAGCATTAGAGATTCGTCTTCATAATCCTCCGTTGAATAAACAAATTCAACATCAACAAGTTTATATAATCTAAATTAAATGCACAGTCCTTAAAGGACTGGTTGATTAAAAGATTAAAATATATTCAATTGTTTTACCGATCAGAGGCATTTTCGAACCTGGTAAGGAGCCTCTGATAAAAAGATCGATTACCGTAAAAAGTTATCATTTATTTTTCTAGAACACTAGTCTGGGACAAGTTATTTTTGGTTTTTAAATCAGTTCTGCAGTCTTACAAAAGAAGGTACGCTTTCCTTTAAGAATTTTCAAGTTTATCAAGGAACAAGCTCTGATGATGGTCAACCGACCGAAAACGTTCAGCAAACTGCAATAAACTCACAAAAATACTTGTATATAATCGAAAGAATAAAGAATGAAAAAAATACAGAAAGATTGTTTGAATTTGTTGTTTATTCCAATTTATGCGGAATGAATCAGTATTGTTTAGATATTAAATAATAGATAATTATAACTTATAAGCTGATAGAAGTTTGATACTGAACGAAGGTTAGAAGGATTTTGATAGGCGGAAAATGTGGTGGTCGAAATTATTGGAGGTGGGCTTTGATTCATAAAGACTTTTCAATGAAAAGTTTTCATAAGACCAATAATGGCTTTTGATTGGTTTGACAATCAATAAGCGCTTCTGATTGTCCAAAAAAGCCCATCTTCAATCATTTAGGCCCCTAAGGACATAATTTAAAAAATCTCTCAAAGATACAATTTTGAAAAATATACAAAAGTACGATTGAAATTGCAGTTTTTTTGCAGAAATAGAAATTTGCAGGTCAATTGATGATAAGGCAGCGAGGAGGAAAAAGGCACGTTTATATAAAAAAGGATTGATAAGATTCGGAAAATGACGCATTGAAGAAGCTTATGGCTTGATAGTTCGGTTAGAATTTAAAAAAACTAAATAGATGGATTGAGAAAGAATTTCACAGAATTAAACTAAAAATAGAGCCAAAACAGAGCTACTGGAACTGAATATGGTGAGAAACGGGGCGATTAAATGTTAGCAGAAATTAAAAAAAAAGTTTTAATCGAGAACTGCGACGTCATTGCCGCGTTTTTGGAATGATGCAGATTGGTCTATCGAAGCTTCGCGGGTTAGACTCGACGATTTCTTCTCGACTGTGATTGGAATTCGGTTTTGAACGGCTACCTTTTGGACATTGAGCTTGTATCGCAAAACAGCTGTTAATTCCACAGGGTTTCCGGAGTCGAAAGCCATTACCAAGTCGTTTCGGCCATCGCAATGAAGAACGACTAAAAAGATAGATAAAACATCAGTTATTCTGCAGAAGCTCTGTAGGGAAAGATATTTACCTGATTTACTGGCTGGATCGGTGAAAACAGAAATCCCCGTGATTGTTTCTTTCACAGGCTTCTTGTCCATCACTTTATATTTCTTTGTCGAATCCATTTTCAACACGAATTTGTCTGTTATCAGCAGGGCGCGAGGAGTTCCCTTTGCTTTTGAAGACAGTTTCAGGCCTGAAAAGATCAGTAAATTGAGAGAGACTTAAACAAAATTACCTTCAGCGGCGAATTGCAGCCTTCCAAGTCCCTCTTTTTCTTTTGTTCTCAATGTACTAACGGCCATATTGAATTCTGGATTGTCGATGTAATCTGTCTTCCACTGTCCGTGTTGCCAGCCCTGGCGGCCCGTGGCAAGATATTCTTCCAGAATCGATGCTCTCATTTTCACCCCTTCATGTTCTTCCTTCGGCAATCTGCTGATAACGAAATGAGCGCACCAGCGGCGATAAACCAATTTGAAGTAATCGACAGTGCTTACGATCGCTTTTGGAGGGGCCCCCCAACTGAAGAAATTGGTAGAAAATGGAATGAAAAGGAGAGACCTACGCGATGGATTTTCCCTTGTCCGGCAATTGTCGAACATTTCTGAACTTTTTCTCCAGATCGGAAATGTAGCGCCTCAGCTTGAATTTTCGGTAATATTCGATGATTGTCATGAGCGCTCGCATTTTCTTGTAGCGGATTTGCGCCAGAGTTCGTCGCCAATGCTTCTGCAGGAAAATAATGACGTCGACAATTTTGACCTCTCGGCGCGCTTCCAACAGATTTAGTGTCTTTGCTGAGCGAATAAACACTAGAAAAGCGGGTCAAAAAGATTCGGAAAAGATTCCCTTACGTTTCGAATTTCCATAGGCGACGTCTTCATCCTTTTTGATCTTCAACGAATTGCATAAGACTTCTACCGCTTTCTTATCACTGCCCAGCCTGTGGTTCGGCCAGGTATCTTTACAGATAAGTTTATAACGCTACAAATCGTTGGTGATAAGAAAAAAAACTAACCATTACCTGTAGGAATCTATGGTAAGGTTGACGAACAGCGAAACCAGCTTTTCTGACTCTAATGTTTTCAACCAGACCGAGATATGCGACTTGATGCTTCACTCTATTGGTGTCGAATCGTTGGGCGGATTTGATTTCGTTTGGCTTGATGCATCGAATGTAGAAAGGCTGAAAAAGAATAATCATAAAGTTCCCCTATTCATTTTGAAGCTCACCTCTTTGGATGAAAGATTCTTGATCAACTCCTGCATGGATTGTTTAAAAAGCGTTCCGGCAGCAGGCGGCCTTTTGGTGACGATACTTTTCGCCTGTGCGCCGTCTTTCCACATTGAAGAAATAGCAGGTTGCTTGGAGCTGAAGAGCAGTCGCTTGAAATCCTGAAACACTAAATCTTTCGACTTGTCGATGAAGCCATTGATTGAATAAGTCACGTCTCCGGCATAGTGACGGATTCGGAACTGGTGGCCGTGCTCCAGCGTTTTGTCTTGGGGATCGTTTCGTCGAGAAGTGTAGAATTTATTCGACTTGAATTGAGAATCGAGAGTTTCCAAGAGACCATCATCAGTGGCTTTTCCCAGTCCACCGCCAGCAGCATCTTCCAAAAGAGCGAGCATTCCTCTGCGACCCTCGACCAACTGGCAAATTGGCTCGTTGTTGTGGTATTGAACATCAACCCAGCTGATGTTTTCCTAAAAGAATCAACAAATGCATCAAGGAAAAAGCCCTACTCTGATGTATTCTTCTTGTTGTTGCTTGAGAACAAGTTGGATAAACAACTGCTGGAGCATTTCGTTAGCATAGTTGATACAAAGCTGCTCGAAGGAATTGATGCCCAGAACTTCGAAACCGTAAATATCCAACACGCCGATAACGCATTGCGTATGTCGTTTGTCAACCTAGAAAAATAAAGAGTAAATAAAAAGATCTCAGAACTCTAAACTAGTCAATCGTTTATTCAGTTCACTACCTGGATTTTCGAGTTGATTTTTCCAACAATAAAACTAAACAATCGTTCATAAATTGCCTTGGCAAAACCATCTCTTCCATGCTCAGCTTTCTCAGCACTGTGTTTTGCGCTGATAATATCTCCTCCAGCAGAAACAGTTCTGGAAGTGAGCGCATCTTTCAGAGCTTGAACATCAACGTCCAGCAGTTTGGCGACTCGGGCTAGATCGCCTTCGTTGGAAACCGCAGCGCTGTCCCCATCGTCGTGAAAATTCACGTTTCCCATGTGAAGAATCGCAGACATCAATCGCCAAACACTCTTGATCTCGTGCTCCTGGAAGCCGACGTTTTTCATCGCCATTTCCACATCTTTAAACAATTTGCGATCATCAGTGCCAGGGCCGCTGCCGACCTTCATTGCCTGAGAATCGTCCCCTTTTGTGTAGCGATAACCAGCGATGCTCCTGTTGAGCGATAACGACGTCAACAGCTGGTCGTTTGCCCCGGCAAGAAGTTGATAAAATGAGTGAAAGTTTCGTTCTCCAGCGGATCGTTGAACAACTCGCGATTTTTCGAGAAGATATGAGTGGATGTTCCCGCCGTTTGGCGTCCCCTTGAAGTCGAAAGAAATATCCATGTATTTGCCAAATCGAGAAGAGTTGTCATTTCGCCCGGTTCGCGCATTTCCAAAGCTCTCGAGAATCACGTTTGTTCGGAGAAGAATGTCACGGACGCGCTCAATTTCTGCTTTATCGTTTTGGGAAGAAACTGCAGCCAGGTATTTCATCACGATTTTGGAAGCTTCGGTTTTCCCAGAGCCCGATTCGCCGGTAATGATTACGCAGGCATTCTTTCCTTGTCGCTAGAATTGTATTGTTGAGAGAAAACAAGGGAAAAGTCCAGTATTACCTTAATAGTTTGATGAACAGATTCAGCGAGCGCGAAAATGTGCGGCTGCTTTTCCCACATTTCTCTGCCTCTGTAATCGTTGATAACATCGTTTCCGTAAATATTCAGCTGGCGGTAGGGATTGATCGAAACAACGACTTCGCCAATGTAAGTGTAAGGACTGGCAGTTTGGAATCGCTTGTCGAGAATGTCAACGACCGAGTCGGAGTCGATATTGTCCAGAAGAGTCAAATCATTTGACAGGCCTGACGGGCTCACCAGACCTGCCATCGCTACTTACAGTCTGAATTAAATGAACTGTTAGAATTCAATTCTTGGTGTCGTTAACAAATATTGAACAATAGTTATTACTAAAGAATATTTTACTTATTGAGATAGTTAACTTCATGATAAAAGTGCTTTGATGATTCTGAGATCTTATTCGCTGAAAGTTATATTCGAGCATTTTTACTAGCAGAAAAATATCAAAAACAAACCTTTATTATTAATTTTCTAAACTTGGTTAAATTTTTTCTCTCAACTTATTTCTCTTTTCCTCCAAAAAGAGTCCTACAGGGCGAATTCACAGTTCTAGCCCGGCGAGCTTTGATATTTTCGAATTGAAAGGTCTGCTCCATATTTAACTTTTTCTCTTCCACTGAAATTCGAAATTCCGCTGTTTGAAAAAAGTACCAGAATAAATATTGAGCCAGTCCTAAAATTAATGCCACGATAGCAATTTTCAAAGTTCTCTGTGCTCCGCTTTTTCAAATAAGAAGCGGCCGGGACCGCAGAAATTCAATTTTAGATGAACGGGCCGTCACTACTTGCTGAATTCGCGCGGCATGAAGTGATTCAGCGAAATTCAAGCGCACAATATTTGCGATGCCGCCAGTCATCCACGGGGATTTATTACCAACCAGGACTAGTGATTCATGACGTACCCTTCCCAAAGGGGAAACAATCGATCAAACATAAATTTCAGATGGACAATCGTAAATAAACATTTTGATTATTTACACAAATTCAACAAAAATAAACAACAATATTTCAATAATCAACTCCAACGGATTAGCTTAAATCATCAACGTCAATTCTTATTGGACGCTAGGATTTTTTCCTACTCCTTATTGTCTCTAGAGCCGAAGTTTTGGTGAACGAAAGTTGTCTATCATCATTTCTGTACAAAATAATGCTCTCTAGTGATGTCTCTCGAACTGTATTTTCGTTAGTAATTGTCAAGAGCGCATTGTAGGAGCGTTGATCTGCCGAATCTCTCTTCAAACACAACGTCAAAAAATCCACTCATTCAGCAGCAGCGTTATTTGAAGATTGACGAGGCCAATTTTCGAGCAATTGCCAATTGAGCCCGTTTTATTACGGCCGAGCGCCCTCTCGCATTTTATCAAAAATAAAAAAATTGACTAGTAAAAAGTCAACTTGAAAGTTGATTGAAGACAAATATGAATATTGGTATAAAACTCGTGAAAACGAGCCGCTCTGAAACTCAAATATTTGAAGTAATAAAAAGATGTTTTTACAAGGAGCACCTGGGCGGACCACAGGGTGCTCGATTCGTCTCGTCAAATTCGTCCGATCCGAGGACGAGACGAAACGAGAAAATTCGTCGTCAATTCGTCGTCCCGGTACCCGAAAAATCCTCGTCCAAACTCGTCCTGACGAATTTTTTTTCATTTTCGTCCGACGAAAATTTCTCGTCCGCTCGTCTCACCGAAAATTTTTTCCGCCCTGGTTATTTTTCGTCAGCTCGTCCAACCGAGATTTCTGTATTAAACTGAGTAAAATGGGGCCCCTGAATCGCAAAAATTACATTACAATAACTTTCGTTTCCGTTAATATATTGTTAAAATTTAACCTGCATGCTTCACTCATCTTGATTAGTGAAACATCCTCAATTTTCGCTTTGAAAAAATCGAATTTCTGATAAAACGCGTTCTTCTTCAATAAATTAACATATTTTTTGGTTTTGGGTTCGCCGAAATTTCCGGGCAAAAGTCGGCGCCCGGGCAAAAAGTCGGGCGGCCATCGGGCGGCGCCGACAAAAAAAAATTAATCGGGCGGCCAAATTCAATATTTTTGCCCGAACGTTCCACCCTGGGGAGTATAGAGCTGAAAATAACATTATCTTGAACTATCAGATTGACTGACCACCCGACTAATTTCATTTTTCAAATAGCTGGTCAGAGTATTGTATCCAAACGAGACAAACCGACAGCCCGACCTGGTCGGAATGGTCAGTGCCGACCCTTGGTTGGATAATAGCTTAAAGCTGGACAAGTTTTTTTTTCGGTTTTCGGCAGGACGAACTAGACGAGTTTTTTTCGGTTTTCGGTTCGACGAGCTTGACGAGTTTTTTTTTCGTCCTCGTTTTCGTCCGTTTTTCGTCCGTCCGGGGAGGATTTTTCGTCCTCGTCCGTCATTCGTCCGGGAAAATTAAAAATTTTGGACGAATCGAGCACCCTGCGGACCAGATCTGGCGTAAACAAAACAAAAGGGGCTTTATTATTCGTAAATTACGAATCATTCACCCGAAAGAAGAAACATATCCAAAAAGCAAAATGGACGAATTCGACCCTGCTAATTTAAATTTCTAATTAACGCCGGAACGCATATCGACCCATTTTTGGGTAAGGCGCTGAAATATCGCTTCAGAAATCTTCATTTTCTAGTGTTCAAACAACACATGAGAGACATGGTATGTATCGATTCTTGTAGTTTATAGTCTGAAGATCATATTTATGATAAAATTTGGGTTGGTGTGTGGCAAAAAACCGGTCTACGGGCTCTCACCCAAAAATCGGTCGATATGCGTTCCGGGGAAAATCTATTTCATGCGTTCCAGCGTTAATAAAAATTACAATAAATGATTGTTTTTATTTGTGACGTATTGGTCCACTGACTGAAAATAATTCTCAACAATATTTTTTAATTATTTCATTTTGATAATTTATTAAACAAAATAATAGAATGAATTCAGAATAAGTGATAAATCATTTCTTCGAAATTTCTCTTCGCACTAAAAATTTCTTTTGGATCTAGACAGGTTCTTGATATCATTTTATAAAAATCCTCATTTTCAGTCTTTTTTTTAGTATTCTTTGACCCAGGGGCACTTTCCAAGCAGCGCGGCCAATCAGCGCCGCGGAAAATTGGAAGAATACTAAAATCCAGTCGAAACCGAAAGAATGAACCAAATTGTAAGAAATGAAACGAGATGTTATGTTTTGGTAACGGTGAATTGTAGAGAAGGACTTTGAGCAGGAGTTTGTGCTCGAGAATCGCGGGAAGAAAGAATTTCGGAGTTTTGTCAACAAATTGGAATTTCGGACCGAAAAGAGATTTTTGGAGGAATGCGAGTGTCAAAATTGAGCCGAGGTAAAAATTGTTCGAGGATTTTTTTTGACTCAAAAAAGTGATTTCTCGACCGCGAAAATCTCCGACTTTGTGTAAACCTCTTGTAGATACAACCTTGTTTTCACCTGTACCGCGAAAATCGAAGGGGAAAACGGAGAAATTCGTGAGTGTGGCCACCGAAGCAACCATGAAATCTCCAAAAAAGCGTATCACGAAACAGTAGTTATTGTCAGATGCCCAGAATGCAAGAATAATCATATAATCGCCGATAATCTCGGCTGGTTCAGGTACTTTTCCTGCAACTCTTTCACATCATAAAACCACTTTTCTAGCGATTTGGAAGGAGCAACGAACATCGAAGAAATTTTGGAAAAGAAAGGAGAAGAAGTGATAAAGCTGCAAATCGGCGATGAAATTTTATCAACTGAAGATGTGAAAAAACTCATAAGCTGATTAGTCTGATTCTTGAGAACTCATCTCTTCATCTTTTCAGAATGAGCAACAAAAACAAAGACATCCGAAGCTTTTTCAAAAAGAAAACGTCTCCACCCGAGGGCTCCCAAGAACCGGCTTCTGCAGCCCCGAAACCAAAGAAAAAAGTCTTGAAACAGGCGACGATTGAGAGTTTAGGGCGGGTGGTGGTTTTGAAGGAGATTGACAGATGCAAGAAAATTCTCGAAGACGAAACTTCTGATGTGGAGAGGATTAAAGAAGCGATAGTTACGCTCGGAGCGAAAAATCCTTCAAGATTAGGGCTTCGAATGCTATTATTAGTAATCAAATAAGAAAATTCCGTTTTACAAGTTTGAGCCTTGCTAGAGAAATCATCAGAAAAACCGGTCTTGGCCATATTCTCAACGACTTCAGAAACCACCCCGATTCGGATGTTGCGGAAAAGGCCACATTCGTTTACAAAAAGTGGAAGAACTTTTTGAAAGAGCGCGAAAGCAAACCCCTGATGAGAGTAAAAGGAGATCGGGCGACGGAAAAATACAGAAGCAGCGGCATCGACATCGTTTTCAATATTTTCAACGAATTGACCAAAGAATCCGATGAAGAAGAAATGCAGGAGCAAGAGGAAATTGAAGCAATGAAAGAGTTTAGAAGAGATTTGGCGGATAAAATTGAAGCAGCAGGTAAATACCCGTTTTTGATTTGCTGCTGGGAAAAATAATTATTTCTGATTGGTTAAAAAATTTTAGTGTATCGAAAAAATAAAAGTCTGGTTAATAAAAAATACCGCCGCCAGATGCGTAAACTCGCTGTGAAATTAAAAAATGAGCCCGACTACGCTGTCAAAATTCTCTCCGAAGAAATCTCTCCAGAAGATGTCGCCCAAGACTGCGTCGACATAGAAAACGGTGCAGGCAAAAGACAGGCACTTATTGAAATTTAAGTCTGCATTCAAACATTTTCTGTACCTTCATTTTCAGAAACTTCATTTACAATTCTTTCAACAGCCAATTTTCATAGATCGTCAAAGCTTATTCTGCGACATTCAGAATGCTAGACTTTCCACCTCGGAATGCGAACGTCAGCGAAATGAACGAGACTTTGAAAAGTTTCCGTAACTTTCTGGGCAAACCTGGAGAACTGAGTTTTGACCGCGCGATCTTTGTTAAATTCCTCAACCACCTTATGGACAATGAGCTGTCGATGGGCCTGATTGGACAGGTTTGGCACTACACTTTGAGAGACGAGAATGTTCGGCGAAAATGCAAATTTACCGATCACACGAGAGAGCATTTACGAAAAGTCGCGCAAAGATGCTTGAGAAAGAGGGACAAAAACAGCAAGAAGATGCTGTTTATGCTGAAGGAAAAGACTTCTTGCGAGGCATTTGGAAAAGAGTTCATGGTGATAAATGTCAAAGCGTACATTCGGGAGGCCAATGCGAAGGAGAATATGGAGGAGCTTTGCGAATATGTGAAAGGAATTGGTGAAAAAAAAACTTGTTTTCGGCAGCTTTTCGAACATTTTTTGACCATCGCAAAGACCTGAAAACCGCAGTCTATGTAGAAACTCTTGAGCAATTTATCGATTCGCCAGCGACTCACCTTTTTCTTCAATCTGCTCGAACGCCAAAGCTGGAAACGCTGCTAGAAAAGTTTGAGAAGATTTCACTCGACTTTCTCGACAGCGACAAAAATGTCTTTCGAGCGATTGCACATTTGGTGGCGAAAGAATTGTCCATCGGCGAGAAAAAGGAGTCTGCATTTGAGCTTGTCCAGAAGTACTTCATTGCGACAGATCGAAAATCAACACTCTATCTTCTCACGCTCGCTCTAAGAATCGCACTGAACGAAAACAGCATCGTCAAGCTTCTTCTATCCGCGAACAAAGTCGTTTCCTCGGACACAAGAAAAGCGAACATGGCTCCATTCTGCATCGTGCTAGAAAACGTCCTCTCCAAAGAAGCCTTGGAATTCATCATTGAAAAAGCAGAGGGCCGATTTTGGCGAAAACATTTCAAGTCTTCCGACAATTCTGACTTTCAAGGATTCATTTCCATGGCCAGTTCTCTTACCGTAAGTCTTCTTTTTTCGCCTCCATAGACTATGGACCATAGTTAGGGGGTCCACCGTGGGAAAATCGATTTTTTTATCATCCTCGTATGGGGATGATTGACCCATATATATGACCCCCCCCTTCCCTGGCTTTTTATTAAAATTGGGCTTGACGGCCCGAAGGGCCGTCTCCCCCCCTTCCCTGGCTTTTTATTAAAATTGGGCTTGACGGCCCGAAGGGCCGTCTCCCCCCCTTCCCTGGCTTTTTATTAAAATTGGGCTTGACGGCCCGAAGGGCCGTCTCCCCCCCTTCCCTGGCTTTTTATTAAAATTGGGCTTGACGGCCCGAAGGGCCGTCTCCCCCCCTTCCCTGGCTTTTTATTAAAATTGGGCTTGACGGCCCGAAGGGCCGTCTCCCCTTCCCTGGCTTTTATTAAAATTGGGCTTGACGGCCCGAAGGGCCGTCTCCCCCCCTTCCCTGGCTTTTTATTAAAATTGGGCTTGACGGCCCGAAGGGCCCGTCCCCCCCCTCCCCTGGCTTTTTATTAAAATTGGGCTTGCCGGCCCGAAGGGCCGTCTCCCCCCCTTCCCTGGCTTTTTATTAAAATTGGGCTTGACGGCCCGAAGGGCCGTCTCCCCCCTTCCCTGGCTTTTTATTAAAATTGGGCTTGACGGCCCGAAGGGCCGTCTCCCCCCCTTCCCTGGCTTTTTATTAAAATTGGGCTTGACAATGGCAGTGAATTCTTACCTTTCAAGTTTCGAAGTTGACTGAGTTGTCAGTTCCCCAACCCCGCCCTCACCCATTTTCTATTTAATTCGTATTGTTTTTTCTCGAACAATAATTATGGTTCCTTTTTATTTCTATTTTGTGTTTTTTTGACGAATTAAAAGTCAAAATATCGGATGAAAAAAAAGTGTCATCGTCAGGAATCGAACATCTCGATTTTCAAAATTTAGCGATTTTAGAGAAAGAATTGGCTCTAGAATTTTTTGCCCCGGAGTGCCCCATCTGATTAACACACCAAAATGTAGCATTTTTTCTGTAGATTAAAATGATAAGGGTTTCCGCTTGGAGTCTTCTGGAGGATTTTTTTAAAATACAAATTAGTGTTATCTCGAGCCTTCATTTGTTATTTTAGGGATGAAAAAGGGATTTTCGGATTTGGTCATAATGAAAAAGAATGATCCTCAGTATCGGTTGAATTCATTCCATCAATTTTTTTCAATGTTTTTAAAGGTTCAATTTTATCGAATTTTCCCACGGTGGACCCCCTAACCATAGTGGTCGTTGTTGATTTAAATTATGTTTTTTAGGTTTCGGAAGAGTTGAAATTCAGTGGTGACAGTGACGTCTTACTGAAAAATATCAAGAGATACAGTAACATGCACATTTGGCATCGAGTATTTCTGATGACTGTAGCAAAATTGGATGTGGAAATCGCATCGCCTATTCGAAGAGTTGAAGACACAGAGCGTTTCCTCAGGTAGTTTTCCCTCTTTTGTTAACATCTCAATTTGTAAACTAAGAGACGCACAACGAGAATGGACACTGCCAATCCTTCCGAGCAGCACTCAAACTCTTCACTCTCAGCCTCTTCCAACAACAAGTTCGAATTTGAAGAAGCTCACTGACCGTCAACCCTCGCCTGCCCTTCCTCCATGCCATCTCTCTCGTCCATTCCGGCAAGCGATGTGTCAGATTGAAGGATACCTCAGGAACACTGCCCACAAAGAGAACAAAGAAGATATGCTCAGAAAACTCAAGGAGCTCATCGCAAAGTTCGAAGAGTAAACTCTTGTCTAACTGTATAGAATATTTTAATTTTACACTTCAATAAAACTCCACGCCAACAGAAAACGGACATTTACGAGTTATAATTTCAGAAACATCTCGAATTCGGACTTCAAATGTCTAAAAAACGCCGAAGTCATTCCATTATGCAAAATGTTTCTAGCACCTCGACGCCATCCAGGCCTCGTCGCTCCAAAAAGCAAAAGGTCGCCCCTTCTTCTCTTCAAAAAGAAGCATCTGAGGAACGTCTTCCCTCGCCTATTCCAAAGCCAGAAGAATTGATAGTAAAGGAGCTCAAGAGCGATGACTTTGACGATGATTTCTTCGACGATGATGACTTTGACACTTCGATTTTTGAAACGACAATTGAGAAAGTGAGCACGCAGATAAATTCATCATCTTTTATCGACCCATGGGTCACTCCTCCTTCATCACAAGAGCCAGAAGAAGTTAACAAGCGCGATTTTCCACTTCTTCCAGCTCAGATGGATCAGTTTATGAAGATCAAAGGCTTGAAGAGTCTGTATAAATGGCAAGATGATTGTTTGAGGATAAAAAAAGTGATAAAGGGAGCGAATCTTATATTTTCTTTACCAACTTCTGCCGGTAAATCTTTGGTGGCAGAGGTGTATCTTTTGCGACATTTGTTGGAAGGAAAGAATGGACTGCTTGTTTTGCCCTTTGTTTCAATCGTTCAGGAATGGGTATAAAACGGTTCTTTTATTCAACGAAAATCCTTAAAAATCATTTCAACCCGGAAATAGGAAAAAGTTGCGATGCTGAGTGCTTTGGCAACTGAAACAGGCCAAAAGTTCGTTGTGGAAGAATACGCTGCTGGAAATGGACGAATCCCGCCGATCAAGCGGCGTCAAACGCCCGCTTTATTCATCGCAACGATCGAGAAAGCTTCACAAATCATCAACTGCGCGATCAACGGAGAGGGCCCATGGATATCCTGCTGCGTTGTTGACGAATTACATATGATTGGCGAGGGAATTCGGGGGCTCGACTAGAAGCTGCTCTTGCTAAAATTCTTTTTGCAACGAACCAAGGAAAGGGGAAATGTCAGTTGATTGGGATGTCGGCTACTTTGCCAAATTTGCAAGACATTGTCGACTTCACCCGGGCCGAATTATTCACTTCCGACTTTCGACCGATCCCACTTACGCAGTACTTGAAACTCTCTCATTTCGTCTATCGAGTGGAGGATGATGGAAAGCAGATAATGACCAAATTCGATCGTCAAATCAAGCCACATGACCAAAAACTCGACCCTGATGGACTTTTGCCACTCGTTCTTGAAGTTATACCAAAACATTCTGTTCTGATCTTTTGCTCATCCAGGAGGAATTGTCAGAGCGTGATGAAGCTTCTTTCTGGGCAGTTGAAAATGGAAATGGTCCCGGATGACTTGGCGGAAAAGCGGGAGAAGCTCATAAACGATCTTGTCGAAGAACTTGATACTGTTGGTGGCGTTGATCCAGATTTCATCAATTCCCTGCGGTTCGGAATCGCTTTTCATCACGCAGGCCTTAGTGGACCAGAGAGAACAACGATCGAGGAAGGCTTTCGTGATGGTACGTTATGTGTTCTATGTTGTACTTCAACACTGGCGGCGGGGGTGAACTTGCCTGCGAGAAGGGTGATAATCCGCGCGTTGACGCAAGGGAGATCGATGCTTCCGATTTCTACGTATCGGCAAATGGCGGGCCGTGCTGGTCGAGCTGGTTTTGATACCATAGGCGAAGCATTCATCATCGCGCCGCCGAAGGATCGAAAACGATGCCTGGAACTTGTCGGTGGAGTAATGAACCCAGCAGAAAGCAAACTGGACATCCTTGTGTACGAAGTGATTCTTTCCGTTTTGCAGCTTGGTCTTGCCTTGACACGAACAGAATTACTCGATTTCTTCACCAAGTTCACCCTCGTCGGCCTCCAGCGAGGAGAAAATTCGGACTTTGCGACACTCATTGAAAAAACACTCGTTCATCTTCAAGAACTCCAAGTGATTGTCGCCCGCGATGCAGAAAAGGATGGAGTGGTTATCGAAGACGAAATTGATTATTTGGTGACGCCGATTGGCAGGGCCAGTGTGGGCTCTGGAATTGAGCTAAAGTATTGTAGGAATATTTGGAAACGGTTGGACACGGCGATGATGAATTTGAACGTAAAGAATACGCTGCAGTTGATAAGCTTGACGATCTCAGATGATGTTCTAGAGCAGTACAAGTACATGAGAATAGATTGGGATAGATACTATGAGGAGATGGAAGAAGTGTTATCTTCGCACGAAAAGTCTGCTATGACTCTTATTTGCGGTAATACAAGGACCCTTTAACTCGTGATTGAAGTCTTTCAGGATCAAAGGGAGCAGAAAAGAAGGATTTAACAAAACGGATCAACACAACACGATTGATTCAAATGCAAGCGAATATCGGGAAGATGGACGAAGACGAAAAAGAGACTTATTTCATCGGATACTTAACGCTTATTCTCCGCTATATTGGAGAAGGAGAGCACCCTGCAAAAGTCGCCCAAAAATTTGGAATCGATCGCGGGGAGATACAGTCGCTTTTCACGGCTGTTGTTTCCGAGTGCGCCCGAATGTCGACATATTGTGCCCATATTGGTGAGAGTTGAGATTTGGCGACATTCTCATCGTTGATTTCAGACAAGAAAATGCAATTCTTCTCAGCACTTTTCGACAAACTAATTATTCAACTTTCGTATTCTTCAACGCCAGAATTAATTGATCTTCTTAATATTCCTGGAGTGAAAATAGGCCGGGCACGACAACTGTTTTCGGCGGGCTACTGTAGGGTCGTAGATGTCGCCCAAGCTTCGGAACAAGAAATGAAGAGCAAAATCGATAAAATTAACGCTAGGCAGACGAAGAGCTTGATTTCCGCGGCGAAGAATTTGTTACAGGAAACAGGCCGATCAATTCGATATTAGATATTTTTATGACAAAAGGATTTGATCTGAAAACGCAGAAACTAGACGAAGCTAGACGCCATCAAAGAGATGGAGATGAATCTTCTTGATCCTCAGATTGCCTTGAATCCGCCTTAGATCCATTCCACCATCCTAATATACTGCCTCAATTTTCAAACACTTCAACTCAGAACTTTTTATAAATATCTTCTGTCATTTTAGAATGGAAGAGGCGTTCCACACATTCGGCTTCTATGTTCCGATTCTCGCCTTCAAAATTCTCATCATGTCTCCTCTGACTTCACGAGCTCGATACCGAGAAGGTTCTCTCCGATCGCCCGAAGACGCGAAATTCCGTCTTGGAACAACTGAAGCTGCCAAAGTCAAGCTTGCGCTAGAAGATAATCCAGAAGTGGAAAGAATCAGAAGAGCGCACAGAAATGACTTGGAAGCCGTTGTAAACTTTTTGCTCGCGATGGTCTTTTTCATCGTCAGTGGGGCGGAAGCCGGAACTGTTCGGAATACGATGTTGTTGTATACAGGCAAGTGGCCATTTTCCCATTTTTTATTCGAAATTCTAGTCGCTCGCTGCCTTCACACTGTTTTCTACATCAGAGCGACTCCTCAACCTTCCAGAGCACTATGTAACATGTTTTGCTCGCTCACTCATTACGTTGTTTTGTTTATTTCACTGAAAAGATTCCTTTTCCACTAGTCCAATCATTGCTCAAAGAAGTGCAACCGATTATTTTCGAATGATTGCAAAATCATAACCTTCTTCAAATATAATGATTTAAAAGTAATTCCTCACATGTTAATTTTCTATAGAATGAGCGCTCCGATCGGCCCAAACCCGATGAAAAGGGGTAATTGGACGATTGACTCAAACAGCTCGAGCATCATGGGCCAGGCTGATCTGGAAACATTAGAACAAGACATCGGTCTCATGTCAACGCCGGACATGGTCTACGATAAAAACTTCCTTGAGTTTGCATATGGCGATAAGTTCAAGCTACTGTTTACTGTCAAAGAAGCACTGAAGACTGTTGAAAAGGATAAATGCCCCGATGTCGAGGTTGCTGCTGCTGCTAATTGGGTAAATTTGACATTTTAGACTTCAAAAAATGAAAATTCATGGCGCCATTTAGAAAGACATTCAAAAAGAACGACCTACGAAGCGAGTGTATGACTGGACGTACAAAACTCGCTATCTTGGAACCAGGGTGGCTATTTTGGATTTGGGGGTCAGTTGGAATTGGATTGGATCCAATCCAATAAGGTTTGGATGGAATTTGGATGGCCAGGGTACCGGCTTTTGTTGGGCAAAATTGGGCAATTGGGGGAAATTGGGGAATTGGATCCAATAAAAAATATCTCGCTAAACTATGCAAAGCAGGGTCATTTTCATGATAAAATTGAACAATTTCGGATAAAAAATCATTGTTTTGGCTATGTTGATCCTCTTTTCGGATAAAAACTTACTGTTTCGCTTCTTTTCAAAGTACTAAAAGCCTTGGAAAAATTGGAAATCCAATTGGATCTAATTGGAATTGGGGATTTTTGGGTAATTGGGTAATAATTGGATTGGGTTGGATTTTGGATGGATAGTTACGACTCAAAATTTATTGGATGGAAATTGGATGGCCAGACCCCAAAATTTTGTCCAAAATAGCCACCCTGCTTGGAACACCAGAGGGCAACTTCAAACTCGAACCTGATCCAGCTGCAAAAATAGACACGGACATGCTCCAGAAAAGGGAGCCGATCGAGTACTACCGCGACATTCGTCTTTTCGACGATGAACTGGATGACAATGGCATGGCAACGCTGCATGTAAAGACGAGAGTCATGCCTTCTTGTTTTCTAGTGCTGATGAGATATTACCTCAGAGTCGATAGAGGTGCAGTAAAATCATAAACTTCTCGATCTGTAATGGATTTTTTCGTAGTGAAAGTGAAACTAAATGACTGTCGAGTTTTCCACAAGTTCGGTTCGAATGAGATCATCCGGGAATACACAGAAAAATCCGGCGAATGGGGCTACCTAACAACTACCTGTCGAGTCCCAATGAATCACCTGACAACTCCAGAAGCTGTTGATAAGTTTTTAGACCTTGAATACAAATATTCCGACAGGATTCTCTTAGAGCAATAAACAACTTTCTTCTTCACCCAGTTTCTTCCTTTTCTCTTAATATCTGCGAGCTTGATGAGAAAATTCAATCCTGCAAAAAAATACGCTTCAGTATTTTCTGATTCCAGAATGCTTCGGTCAAATGCACCTTCTGTTTTGAATCGAAAACGAAATGATGAACCGCCGAGTGAAAGTTCTGTCTCCAACAGGACGAAGAAAAGACGAGTTGACTACCGCGAAATGGACGAAAACGAGGAAAACGAAGGGCTAGATGATGTCGTCAAGGATTATAACGAAGAGTTGAAAAGCGCTGGCGTCTCGGGATTCCACGAAATCAAGACGAACAAAAGCATCAGGGACGTGCACGAAGAATTCATCAAAAGTTGCCTTTCTCGTCCTTTCAAAATGGTGATCGCCGGCTACTACTTCAGTGGGAAACCGTTGGGCGCACGAGCTGGCGGCATTCGAAGGCCACTTTACGACCCTGAAGACCCGCATGCGCTCATTTTCTACGCACCGCCGACTTTGACTGAAACAGAGAAGCTCAAGGTCGACCTGAGCAAATATCCCGTTCATGTGCTCCTTGACCCATTATTATCACGCGTTCTCAGACCTCATCAACGCGCGGGAGTCAAGTTTTTGTACGATTGCGTCACTGGAAAAGCCATTGAGGGATTTAATGGGTGCATAATGGCCGATGATATGGGACTTGGAAAGACTCTTCAGGTATGTTTTATTCAATAATTTTAAATGGACTCCTCTTATTGTGACGGTTATGAGATCTAATCCCAACAAAAACATCGATTGTTTTTCTAGTGCGTCTCATTAATTTGGACTTTGGTGCGGCAAGGGCCCGACTGCAAACCAATTGCTCCTCTCGCAATCGTTGTTTCCCCCAGTTCGCTTGTCAAAAATTGGCAAAATGAGTTCAAGAAATGGCTTGGCGAACGCGTCAATACAGTCGCCATCGACGGTGGCGGGAAAAAGGATATCGACAAAAAACTCGAAGCTTTCTGTTCTCAGCAAGTTCTCGGCCGAGTTCATACGCCAGTCATGTTCATTTCCTACGAGACATTTCGTCTCCACGCCAAAGTGATCAACAAGCGCCCAATCGGGCTGTTAATTTGCGACGAAGGGCATCGCCTAAAGAATCCAGAGAGTCAAACTTACCTCGCCCTCGATCAGTTGGACTGCCAGCGTCGCGTTCTTCTCTCCGGAACGCCGATTCAAAATGATTTGCTCGAGTACTACTCTCTTGTTCACTTTGTGAATAGAAATCTTCTTGGGACTTCTGCTGAGTTTAGAAAACAATACGAAAATCCAATTTTAAAGTCTCGAGATGCCGATTGCACCGACAAGGAGAAGGAAAAAGGTCAACAGAAGATCAAACAGCTGCTAGAAGTGGTGAATAGATGCATGATAAGAAGAACGAATGATATATTGTCGAAATATCTCCCGCCGAAAGTGGAGATGGTCATTACGATTCCTCTCATTGGGGGCCAAAAAGAAAGTTACATCAAATTTGTCAAGGAGAAAAAGAGGCTTTTAGATACTGAAGGAATAGGGTGGATTTTTTTAGTTTTTTCTATTGGCTGCGACACAGCCGCAAGAGTCATTTTTCCGCACCCTAGACACAGGAATGCAAGGCCCATCATCGTTACAGGCAATTACTGCGTTGAAAAAGCTCTGTAATCATCCTGCTCTCGTTTACCCACTCATCAATAATCCAGAATACAAATTCTTGCAGCCATACTACAAAGATTATGATCCAGCTAAATTCGATCCAACTCTTTCCGGAAAGTTTCTTCTCCTCGATTTGATTTTGGCGGTGACCAAAATGCACACTGATGATAAATTCGTCCTCGTTTCGAATTATACCCAGACTTTGGATACTTGTCAAGAGCTTTGTAAGCTGCGAGGATATGGTTATGTAAGGCTGGATGGAACCATGGCAATAAAAAAGCGTTCCAAGCTAGTTGCTGAGTTTAATTCTCCCGAGAGCAGCGACTACGTGTTCATGCTAAGTTCAAAAGCAGGCGGTTGCGGGTTGAATCTCATCGGCGCCAATAGATTGATTATGTTTGATCCTGACTGGAACCCGGCAAACGACGATCAAGCGATGGCCCGTGTCTGGCGAGATGGTCAGAAAAAGAGATGTTTTATTTATCGACTTGTTGCGGCGGGAACGATTGAAGAGAAAATGCTACAACGACAATTGCATAAAAAGGCTCTATCGGGAGTCGTTGTTGATGCACAGGTGAGAGATTACTAAGTCGAAGTGACTCCTCTATGTCTTCAGGAAGCGGACGATGCGAGGCGATTCTCTTCGACGGATATGAAGGAAATCTTCAGCTATAAAGAGACCACATCTTCGATTCACGAGTCTCTCAAATGTAAAAGATGCCAGGGCGGAACAGAACGAAAGCCGCCACCGAAAAAGGGATCTGGTGATAGTTCCGATTTGGGCACTTGGAGTCATGCAACTCAGCGTAAGAGAAATATTCTTAGACAATGTAAATGACTTTCATTTTCTAATAGCACGATTCTGTCCAGACTTAGTGCTGAAGAAATCTTGGGAGCGTCAGAAAGAAATCGTTTCTTTTCTATTTCACCAACAGAGCCACGAACAAGTTGTTCAAAAATAATATTTTGAAAACCTCTTTTTCTTTTCACTTACATTTTTCTGACTTCACATCATTCCTGCAGAAATAAATTAAAACTTGCCTCAGAATTTCAGACCTGAATAATCTTCAAACTATTTTTAGATCCAAGCTAGAATTAGGGGGTTTAAATGGTTACGGCTGTTCCGAAAAGCTAAATGTGGAACTGGACATGGTGGCCGCTCATTTTCACGATTCTAGGATGCTTTCTTCTCAACATTTTAATTGACAAACAGCATAAATTAGTCACCTCGCTCACACATCTTCAAGAGGCCCTTTCTCATGTCCATTATGAACAGGCAAAAGTACAATTATACCCCCTCTTTCTTTGCTTCACTTTCTTTTAAGACCTCTTTGGTGCACTTTCACGTGGAAAAGTCCAACCGCGATCTACGCCGAGCAATGACCCAACAATTCGAGTACATGCGCGATTTGACCATGTCCTCCCGCAGCCGTTTCATTCGTCTCAAAGGTCTTGCCGAAGAGGTGAACGAAACGAATATCGTCCTCGAGGAGCGGTTGATTGAACTCTTTCAATACCTCGGCGAGGATCTGATCAAAGGAGATATTGAAAGAGTCAATCGAATTGGCAAGAAAAAGGACGGATTCAATCGGGTTGTTATGGCGGAGCTGCATTCGCATGCGACAAAGCAACGACTTTTACGAAGAGCTGTCAAGTTGAGAAACACGCAGTACGCCATTCAAGGTAAAACCATAACCAAACCTTTTTTTTCATTCAATTTTCTCTTGTAGATGATCTGACGAATGTGAAGCTCCACAACGTGATTGAGCCCCCGCACGACCACGAGGATCATCCACACGAGTGCGGGCTCTTAAATTTCGTCTCGGCTCCTGAGGACTTCGGAAAGTCACTGAAACACTACGGCGCATGGTTCGGCGATCCACTTTCTGAGGAAGAGACTGTCTGGACGATGCCCAATTTTTACAAAACGAAAGAGTTTCAAGAGTACGCCTCGTTATCCGATTTGATTGCTCACCGCAGTTCACGGGCTTACAAGCTCAAATATCCGTGGGCAGGGACCGGACACATCGCTTACAACAACTCCATTTATTTCAACAAATTCAACTCTTCCACCATGGTCAAGTACGATCTCAAAACAGACGATTATTTGGAAGCAGATTTGCCAGATGCGCTTTTTGCTAATTTTGGGCCGTATCAAGTCAGTGCTTATACTGATTTTGACTTCGCTGCTGATGAAGAGGGATTGTGGGTGATCCATTCGACGCACCAAAATACCCTTGGTAAGTGCGCGGATGAGCCACGTCTTGAAACTACTACTAGTAGATTCTAAGACAGCCGAAAAATTTGAAATTATCCTTGTTGTCTCCCAATCATGACTGTTTTTCTAGACATTGTTGTTACCAAGCTTACTCATGACCTGCACATCGTTCAATCTTTCCGAACGAACTGGCGAAAGCAGTGGTCGGGCAACGCGTTTATGGCATGTGGCGTCCTCTACGTCCTGAAAAAGTACGATCAAAAGAACACGATCATAAACTTCGCGTACGACACCCATTCAAAACAGTATCGCCATTTGCAAATACCCTTCGAAATTCGTTACGGCGCCATGACTAGTTTGAGCTACAATCACAAAGAGAAACGACTCTACGGCTGGGACAATCAGCACTTGGTTGCCTATGATCTCGAGTTTTTCTCTTCTACTGCTGTTGATACCTGGATGCACCTCAATCAGCCGGGTGCACTGGACTTGTAGATTCTTTAATATTTTCTTGCTTCTTGAATTGTATAGAACTCGTTTTGTCTTCCTCTTCCATTTTCGATCATTGTATTTATGAAACATTTTCTATATAATCCAAGCTCCAATTTTAGTATATTCAATCCACTTTTACCTGCTCCATTCGTATATAACTTCTATTTTCTGTTTCGCTCAGTATAAAATTTCTGTAACTAATTCTATAATACGAAGCCCTACGCGCTCCTTGTGGCGATGAGCGCTAGAAGTCGGCTATCGATATCATTTTTTTCTGTAAAGGATTTCTTATTTAGTAAAATTAAAATTGCAAAAGTATGAGTAATTTTTTTCAGAAATAATGCCGAGAGCAGGTGCGTCTCGGCCGCATCTCTCGAGCCAGTCTGATGAAGAGGCAAACGGACCGGAGGTTGTTGTCCGTCCATCTCCTGCTAGACCAAGGCGATCGAAGAATGATACGCTAAAAATCAGGCCAAGGTCTTTCATGGACGTCGACGAAGGTACAAATAAGCTTTTGAAAAGGCCGTGTTTTCATCCTTTTTAGACCCTCTTCCTCGTTTTATTTGGGAGGCTTTCAAAAAGATAGAAGATCCTAATACCCAGAGCGATACTCAGCGAGACATTCTTGTAAATAAATACAAAAGGTGAGCAATTTTCGAAATCAAGGAAGAGAGCCTCAATTTTCCCTCAATTTTAGCATCAGCCTCGCGAATCGCCAGAAGTTCATCGAATGCGTGCTGCACAATCTCAAAATCGTCCTCGCGTTTTTGAGCGAGAACGAAAAAGGAAATAAAAAGGAATCGGATTATTACACAAACTAGCTCTGTCTGTGTCATGAGCTTGGCCAAATATTTGATTGAAAAAAACCCTATTGTTGTAAAAGGCCACTCGAGCCCAGGGCCGTAGCCCCTACTTTCTGCAAATATTATTCTTAACTTTTGCGAATAACAAGAGAAATGGAAAATTATACGAAGGAGCAAATTGTTGGAAGAGGCGCCTATGGAACTGTTTTTCTTTGCAGGCGAAAAGATGGTGGTCCAAACGCTCAGACATGCATTCTCAAAGAAATTCCAATGGAAACGATGAGCCAGGAAGAACGCGAATCAGCTAGAAATGAAGTAGAAATTCTAAAAGTTCTCAATCATCCGAATATCGTGCGCTACATCGATTCGGAGTTCCAGTCCCGCGCCATCGTCATTGTCATGGAATACGTCACTGGCGGAACCTTGTTCGACTTTATTCAACGAAGAAAAGACGACTATATCCCAGAAGAAAAAATAATCAGCCTCTTCGTGCAAATCACCGTCGCATTGAGCCACATTCATTCAAAAAATATTCTTCACAGAGATCTGAAAACGCAAAATTTACTTATTGATAGACACCACCAAGTCGTCAAGATTTCTGACTTTGGCATTTCGAAAGTTTTGAATTCAAAGGTGAACTCTTTCTTCCCACTTCTTTTATCTAGCTAATACTGTAGTCGAAAGCGCTCACTGTCGTTGGAACACCATGTTACATCTCCCCAGAGGTCTGCGACAAGAGTCCCTATAATCAAAAGTCCGATATTTGGGCGCTTGGATGCATTTTATACGAGCTGTGCATGCTGAAAAGGGCGTTCGAAGCTGCCTCTCTTCCTGCGCTTGTGATGAAGATCATGAGAGCAAACTACGATCCCCGCCACCGATTTACTCAGAAAACCTCCGACGAATCATTTCAAAGTGCCTCTCCTTGGAACCTCATCGTCGGCCAACGACAAGTCAGCTTCTTTGCGAACCGATTCTTTTCTCATCCATGCTTCCGCTTTACGCGAGCATTGGTGCGTACGTTCCATCTTCCAACAAGCGAAAAGTAAAGAACAGCAGCGCCCAGTCAAATCCAATCAAATCTCATCTACGTTCGAGTAAGGTGTTTCTCTGGGGCGATGGGCACCTGACCCCAAGAGAGTTACCAGTGCCGAATGATGTTGGAGTTGTGAACAATGTTCTGATCAGTGGTGGTGTTAGGGTTGGAACGACAGATCAGGTTCTTTGTCAGATTATAATGTTGAAGTTATTTTCAAAATAAGGACATCGTTCTCGCCTGGGATGCTTCAGTCTCGGCTAACGGCCTGGCTCAATACGAGCCAAGGCGAATCGGCAAGTCCAAATTTCGAGATGTGGCAGCGGGTCAAGGGTTTCTCGCCGCCATTACTGATCGAGGAGTTCTCGTCGTAGCAAAGGCACCTGATTTTGACCCTCAAATTGTCGAGTCATTCCTGGGTATGGACTGTACTCAAGTTGCTGCCGGTCCAAGACATGTTATCGCTCTCACTGCGGAGGGCGAAGTATGGTGTGTTTTCAATGATAAGCTGACGGACATAACAACAGGTGAGAACAACCGAAAGTGCTTCTTTTGTTAAAGTCGTATAGTCAAGCGATTAAAGCCCGAGCTTTGCCCGCTAAACAAAAACCAAAATACCCCCGCTCAGAAAATTTTTTGTGGCCCTGGTGCATCCGCCGCTATCACTGAAACGGGCCGATTGTATGTCCGAGGACGGAATGTCGAAAACCGGCTCATGCTTGACAGGCCTTCTTCGATGGTCAATTCTGCTGACTCTTTTACAGAAGTGAAGCTTGATTTCCCTGTCAAATCGATCACCATTGGCGAAAATCATTCGGCAGTGATTTCGAATTTCGGAAATCTTTACCTTGTCGGAAGTAACAAGCATGGAGCATTAGGAGATTCGTTTTCCAGTTCCCGTTCAGTCGTGCTGAGAGAACTAGCTTGCCCGGTTAGCCAAGTTGCCGTGGGAATAGGTACATCACGATCCGTTTTCAAAAATTAGCTTCCAATATAGCGTATACTTGTGCGCTGTGCCAAGACGGGACAATTTGGACATGGGGTCGGGCGATTCGCGGACAACTCGGGCGCAACCCAGAGCCAGCTGACTCTCCCCGCCGCGTGGATATTGACAATGCGATTTCTGTCTCTTCGAGTGACGGAATCACTCTTGTTGCTGTTAAATCATAGTTTTTATCAACTTTCAATAAATGCAATGACCTTCCATTTTTTATTGATTTTTTTTATAATCCGACGAGAAGACAAAAAATGAGCACGATCATATTTTGAAATTCTTTGTTCGCCTTTGCATCGAAATCACAGAAGTTGACATGGATGCGCGAAATGATCTTGAGGACCAAGAGAACGACCCTGAATTGAATGGAGACTCGTACGCCATTGAGATTGTCTTGGAGACGCTTGCTTCAATGATGGTCGTCAGATCCGCTGTTATCAGATCCCGCTCTTGTGAGCTTACTGGTCTGCTTCTCACTGAGATCCCACAAGAATACGAGCTCACTCTTCCTGTAAGTAAAGTAGCAGTCTTCCTCGTTTTCAATCGTTTCGCTGATTCGCTGATTCATTTTTAGCTGATTACAAATTTGACTGAATCGCTGATAGTCCGTGCTAACGATACGAGTTCTCATGTCCGTCTTCTCGCCCTGGACGCCATGACCAGACTTCAAAATTTCAGAGATCGCGACTGTAAAGTAATGGCGCAGTACTTGAAATCCATGCGATCAGAGCCAGTTGCGGAGAATCGCGCAATGGCTGTCAAGCGATGCTCGTTGAATAAAGAGACGTTGTTGGATACAATTGATAGATGTCTCGATGTAGACGTGAATGTTCGAGCGGAAGCGTTGAAAAGATCGCTGGAAAAGTGAAACACCATGTATTGACCCCCGCACAAGTTCTTTCGCTCCTCAAGCACGGACTTGAAGATGAAGAACAAGTTCGCCAAATTGTTGTATCTAGCCTTCTCCCTTCCTGGCTGGCACACATCAGAAAGAACGGCACTAAAAATGAAAAAGGCAATTTAATCGACCTCGTCATCACCCTCGACCCATCATCGACTGACGCGAACTCATTGGAAACCGCTCGAGAGACGATTGAAGTAGTTTTCGATCAATGGTCGAATCTAGAGGACTTGATTCAACATTATTGCAAGGCGTCGGAGAGGTTGGTTACTTCTTCCATGCTGCCGAATGTCGACGGTGAGGGAGTTTTGGGCACAGCTGTAGCATTTACTTGGTATCATCTTATCCAGAGAGCAGTAAAATTAGGCGATGCCGAACAATACATGCCACAGGTATAGTTAGCAGCTCTGTCCGTTGTTACATAATATCTTAGTTTCCTGAGTATTGCGATCTAATTGAAGAACGCGCCGGAAAGATCATTTACATACGCGAGCAGCTAGAAGCTTTGATGTCCGAGAGTTCACAAGATTACACCGAAAATCCAGATTACTCTGACTTGCATGTCCAGCTAGAAGATCATCTGTTTGAGCTTAAATGGCTTATCAAAGCTGTGTCTTTTTTCGAAATCAGTCTTGATCCTATGAATCGTGAGAAGCTCAAAAGCCTGGTAACTTACATCGTCCTTCAGATGTCACCAGATGATCTGCAGGTATGCAAAAGCTTATTTACTGTAACAGTTATTAAACTGTTTTTTCAGGCATTTTCTGAGAGTTTGGCGATTCTCGTGACAGAAGTAGCAAAAGCCGAGAAACGGAAACGAAATGATATCGTGAAAGAGCTCGTCGAAGAGCTCCGAGAGCAGGGATCTGCACAGACCCAAGCAGCAACCAACGATGAAAGTCAGCCTTCGAGCACGCAAATAACTGAGGAACAGCTAGAAGAATTGAGAAACGAAATCGCAGATGTACAAATGAAGATCCACCAACTGCAGAGCGCACAACAAGATGCAATTGAAGAGAAAAACTTTGCAGAAGCAAGTCGATTGGAGGAAGAAATGAAGCCATTCAAGGCGGACTTAGATGAGCTCAAAATTAGAAAGAATCAGACTAAACGGCTTCCATCGACCATCAATGAGACAGCGGAAAATGAGGAGCATCGATTTACATACAGTTCTGCTACAAAGGTTATTATTTTGTTCTTTTACGCATTCCGTTAGGATTATTTAGGCTCTCATCGTACTAAACGGGCATATGTCGCGTTTGAAAAAGCTCGAACTTGGGCTTGATCAGTTCGTTAAAATTCTTGTCGTTCCTGTATTGATGAAGATTTCCATGAGCGAGATGACTGGAGAAAAGGTAAAATATGAAACCAAGGGTTTCAATGTTTTTGAGCGTCATTTTTTTAGCAACAACCGATGCTTCTGCAAGAACAAGCGATCAAATTCCTCGGTCTTGTTTGCAGCATGAACTTGACTTTTGCCAAAGAATACTTTGCGATTTTGGTATTTATTGCTCAAAATGAAGTTGATAATGAGATTGTTCACTCTGCAACTCGTTGTGCGGCAATAAACTCAATAATTGACCTGTCACTTATCTACGATCGTGAGCTGACGAAAGACCTGGATACAACGCAGTTAGATTCCATTCTTCAGTCGACGAAGAATGAGAGCACATGGGGAGATACAGTCATTAACGCATCCTCAGTGATTGAAGATGGTCCGCAGGTAGAGCCGTGTCCGTTGAATATGATTTCTAACAGAGTTTTAGGCAACCTGTGCTAAATTGCTCGTCAGAGTTCTACGAGAAAGAAGAGATGAAGTAAACAAGGACGCTCAGGAAATCGCCATCGACGGGCTGGTATCCCTTCAGTTGGCTCATAGAACACCGTCTGCTGCTCTCCAGCTTCAAGTTCTCCTGCACATTTGCAGCAAAGAGTACCATGGACATGATATGGCAGATTATCGAAAAGCGATGATGCGAATTGTTCTGAACGAAGAAGGTAACTGCTCGATAGTCTTCCTTGATGTCACTGTTTGATATTTTAGCCTTCAAAATGCTCGAATCCACACTGCGCCTTGGTATCCGACACATCATTGCTAACCAAGACAATCTCGCGGACCTTGATGGAGCTAGTGCTGAACGTCTTCTTCCTCTGATCTTTACTCTCGCGAATCCCGAGGCCTTCCACAAGGCATCAGATGAGCGAATGAAGAATCAGATCGTTGACGTCGTAAGAGTCCCCTTACGCCTATCTCTCGTCATTCTCGAAACTGTCAAGGAGCACATGGGCTTGCTTAGCGTCACTTGGGTACTTCTGAAGCTTTGCAAGAAACTTGATATCACGATGCCGGTTCAACTTATTTGTAACGAAGAAAAGGTAGTCATTCGAATTTTTAACCAACATAAAACCAGTTTTTAGTTTGAGGAGACTCTTCCATTGAGGGAGGACATCTACCGAATCATCGAGGCGCTAGAAGAACTAGAACCTCTCATCAAAGAGCGACATGCGAAAGATGCGGTTCGAGATCTCCTTCGTAATTTCCAAAAGCAGGTGCAAGTTATTGTTGCAGTCGAGCAAAGAATAGAAGTAATGAAACAGGAAGAGCAGGAAAAGAAAGAAAAGGCTGAAAAAGCTGAAAAGAAACGAAAGTCGAAGGGTAAGAAAAAGTCGCTTGAGAGTGTCCCCGAAGAAGAACTCGAAGAAGGAATCGAGCAAATCAATTTGTCGCCGGATTCTAGCCAGGAGCCAGAGCCAGCTGATCTTGAGGCTAGTTCTAGCGGCGCCGAACTGCCAATTCCAGCAAAGAAGGCAAAGAAAACTCCGGCAAAGAAGGCTCGATCTTCCCGCGCTAAAAGTGGCCCGGCATCGTCTCAATCCGCCAATGAGCAATCCGGCAATGAGATGGAGCCGCCAGAGGTAAAAAATCTAAAGACAAGGAAGAGAATTTCAAACATATTTTCAGATAATTCCCAAGGAACGACGAGGTTCAAGACGATCGAAGCGCACTTCGGGCAAGAGAAAGCCTGACTCACAAGAAAGTTCTTGAAAGATCACTGTTCACATTTACACTGCCGTATTTACTCACCACATTCCACATTATTTCGGCTGTCATCACTCCCACATGAATCTCAAAGTCGAAGTCTGTACCTTTTTTAGACATGTCTTGGTACAAATGTTTCTATAAAATTGGGCTGCACGAGTCGGAACGTATTCTACTGGAAGTCGGTGGAGACGGATCATTTCTAGTGCGCCCGTCATCGTCGACTCAAGGGCAAAATACTTTGTCGTATCGAAGTGGAAATGAAGTTTCGCACATTCGAATCGGCTGGAATGGAGACTCGTATGGTTCTTGTTGAATAAATGAATGTAATGCGAATGAATTTCCTTTTTAGAATTTTCTGATTCTGTTGGAGAAAGATTCGCGACGATTGACGATTTGATCGAACACTATCTTGAGAATAAAATCCATCCTCGAAATGGACACGAAGTCCAACTCAGAAGCCCCCTTCGTCTTGACTCGCAGCCGCCTTCGAGTGAACTCTGGTATCACGGGACATTGCTGGGCGGAGACGCTGAACAACTATTAATTGACCAGCCGGACTCGTCGTTTCTCGTGCGTGAGAGTAGGACAAGTCTGGGCAACTACGCTCTTACAGTGAAAGTGAATAATAGAGTGAAACATATTAAAATCTATGCCGAAGGAAACCCAAGGAGATTTCACTTAGAGAGCGATCAGCAAGTCTTTGTTTGCCTCGAAGATCTAGTAAGGTATAAATCGAACAAAAGAGCGTATTGTATGAAGAACTTTCAAGGCACTACCGAGGCGGCCTAGTCGACTCCCAAAGTGAATTCATATGCACAAAGCATCCGATAAATAGAAGCTCCATTCCAGCAAATGATCTCGAAAGATGGCTCATCCGCAATCAGCAACGCCACGGCCACGAAAAAGAGTGGGAAGAACTTACACAGCATGAAACCAGCATGAAACTGCGGGAGAATATCGCAGTCGCGAGACAGCCAGAAAACATTCCTAAAAATCGGTACAAAAATATTTTACCGTACGACAGTTATCGGGTCATTCTAGGTGAGCTCTTCAATTTCAACAAATATACTAAATGTTCTCTTCAGAAAAGCCACACCAAAGAACGAGCACCTTCAGACCTACAGATTACATAAATGGCAGTAAAGTCAGCCACTTTGACGAAGAAATCGGCAAGCAAAAAGGGAAAAGCTATATTTCAACCCAAGGTCCTTTGCCGAACACTGTCGAGGATTTCTGGTTCATGGTCATGCAAGAAAAATCATCAGCAATTCTTATGATCGCAAATGAAGTCGAAAAGGAGCGCAAAAAGTGCGAGAAGTACTGGCCAGATAATGTGTACGCAATAAACTGCTGATAAATGTACTTGAATATTTTCTTAGTAACGAGACAAAAATCTGGGGAAACGCGAAAGTAACTCTTTTGTCCGCTCGTCAGCCCGATCCAGCGTTTTGGGAACGGTTACTCCGCGTTGAGATCAATGGAAAAGCTCATCACGTGGTCCAATTCCAGTTCATCCTCTGGCCCGATTTCAGTACGCCCGATGATAGAAACATCGAGCAAGTATTACAATACTTGGCCAGAGTTAAACAAATAACGAGAGAGGGCAACTACAATGGAGTGCCACTCAATACGGTCAGACTCTCTTCCTTGATTGCAATTTATTTAGTAGTTAATTAAATTAAAGCAATAAAATCGCTCAGAGTAGCTTATGATACAGAAACTTATTTTCAGGCTCGTTTTTGATCCATCGATTGAGCTCCGTAATTAAGTGAATCCTCCTATTAATCCGGCAGTAATCCAAATTTGAATAAGTAATAACCTAATAGTTCAGAGAGCACCAACTGTTGTCCACTGTTCGGCTGGGATTGGACGCTCGGGCGCAGTGATGGTGATCGATATGATATCAGATCAGCTAGAGTTTTACCAAGGAGATATAACCATTGACATCAAGAAGACAGTCACACATTGCCGCAAGCACCGTCACGGGATGGTACAAACCATCGAGCAATATAAATTCATAGCAAAAAGTACGCCACCTTTTTTACAAGAGGAGCATTTTGAAATTTAAATTCTAGCGATCGCGAGAAAGTCCAAAGAATTCACTCGAAGATGATCAAAAAATGAAAAACATGAATCACGCCAATTCTACTTCAACAAGCTTTCCTTCAAAAATCAACCTGTTCAAACCAAAGTCGACTAAAAACTTACTACTGCTCCAAATCCTTAATCCGCTAATTTTCCTTCCTTTTTTTCTTTTACATGATTCTTATTCCTGTTCCCAAGTTTTCGGAAAAAACGATACTTGGAAATTCTACTTCAACTTTCAATTAAAAATTGATGATTTCTTTTTTTACAAAATTCTTTTCTTCTAGTTGATTCGGAATAGCGAAATCATGGGTGAGGTGACAGAAATGCTCAAGCAGATTTCCTTCCTCGAGCGGGAGAAAAATGAAGCTGTTCTTGGTAAGCCACAGTTTGGAGTTTATCTTCCTTGATTGCGGCTTTTGTTATGCGAAATTGAATCAAATTTTAGGAATGGAACAAGCAGCAGAACACGGTCTCCTCCTGCTTCAACAAAAGTCCCAACTTCAACGCGATCTAGCCCAGGCAAATGAGCTGAACGGCAAAGCACTCATGGAAAACGAGGAGCTTCGAGCCGAGCTTGAATTGAAAAACGCAGAGCTGGAGCAAATTCTCGAATCAGCGCACGACAACCGTAGGAATCAGATGCTCACTTCGATCGTCAACGAAGAGACGCTGCTTCAGGGGACGATGGCGCTGGAAGACAAGCTCCAAAACGAGTTGAAAAGGGCGAGGGATGAACTCTCAACCGCGCGGCAGCAGAATCATAATGATCGACAAGGTAATAATTTCTCCCATTGCTGAAATTTAAAACACTGAATCAGAGGTAGAAAGACTGACAAAAGTCAACAACATCCTCAACTCTGACCTCGAGCGACTGGAAGCCAAAGTCGATCCTCTCGTGAAGGCGCAAAAAGAAGCGAAAGAGGCGGAGAAACGGCTCATTTCGGATTTCAACGAAATAGAAGAAGAAAACTGCCAGCTGCAGCGAAGCCTTGTTTATTACAAGGAGCAACAGTTGGCGGTTGACGAGCTTCAACATGCAATTGCCAGGCTTGAGGAGGACTCGAGCTTTTGGAAAGCAAAGTCGGAAGAGGAAGAATCAATCAAAAATGGTCCCGCAGAATTTATTAATCAATAATTGATAAAATTTGATTCTAGTGCTCCAATCTCAGCTTGAAGAGTGTCTTACGAGTCTGGAAAGAGAGAGGGAAGAAAAAATGGCCCTGAGGAGAGAGCTCAATGAAATTAATATTCCGTCTCCAAAGAGGTCATTTATTTGTGGCATTAATGAGTTTAAGTTTTGCTTAAGAAATCATCTCTTGAATCCTGAAAATGTCATGCTTCCGGATAGTCCCGGTAAAGACGGAGATCAACAGCGAATGAGCGACAAGATCCGTAAGTTGATTATCGTGTTATTATCCATTTAGTCGGTTGATTTATTAAATCTATTATAATCAGAGCGAGTTGAAATCGAAAAAGAATGTTTACTGCGCGAGCTGGAAAACTCCTCAGAAATGGATATGATCAGGTTTGTTATTTTGATGTTGGCGGGTTATGCTAATTAACCTGATTCAGGCAACGGGCCCAAGGTGAACTCGAACGCTTGAAACGGGAAAACTCTCGATTGTCGGGGAGGATCGCGCAACTCGAGCAAGACCAGCATGAAAATCGAAAGCAACAAGCGACAGCTGATCACTTTGAAAATCGCCTCTCAGATCTCCAGAAACAATTCAATGTCGAAAAAGAAAGGGCGGATAATAATGACAAGGATGTCCTCAAAGCTAGGGATCATGTAAGTCGGCATTCTTACACAAGTCAGTTTTTTATCGATTTTTTGTCTGTAGGCATGCTCTACCTGTAATTTTTCCTTCGCGAAAGTAAGATTTAGCTTTTTGTACTTGTACTTATCTAGGGTGGGAAAGAACATTTGATTGGTCAAAAATCAGCTAGGAAATTCCCCCACTCTAGTTTTGATGTTAACATTTAGCTCTTATTCGATTTCGTATCTATTTATTTCCACTCTTCTCTCTCCTTTACGGATTCATTTTAGCTCGCTTCCGTATCGGAACAAATCGCGTCAATGTACCATCTACTCTGTCTCTCAAAGGGAACAGTTCCTGAACGAATTCTTCTCCGCCGAACTGTGCAAAATTGCAACCAGACACTGAACAAAAACGGCGCAGAAGAAAAATCGGCCGAAGATATGCCTAAAGATGCCCCCAAAGTTGAGGATGAAAAACAGACTCAATTGAAATCGCCCTCAACAGTCGAATCTATCGCTGAAGTAAGTAACAAATCAAGAGAACGAATTAAGTGGATATTTTCAGACGCTGAATGAACAAGTCCGACTTATAAAGTCGACGATCAACGATCAAATGAACGATTCGAAGTCTTCCAGCAGCTCGGACAAGGAAAACGCAGCGCCAGACGAGACCGAAGCCGACCGCGATTCGGAGGTCATCGGCCTAAAAGCGCTCATTTCATCGAAAAACGAACGAATCGCCACTTTGCGAACTGTACTCAAAGCGAACAAAACTACTGCCGAATCAGGTACAAAAACTCATATTTTGCTTAACTTCTTAACTTTTTAGCGCTTGCATCACTGCGTCAAAAATACGATGACGAGCGAGAAATGGTCAACGAAACAATGGCGAAGCTTCGAAGCGAACTTCGCACACTAAAAGAAGACGCAGCCGTCTTTGCTTCGCTGCGCTCCGTCTTCTCCGCCCGCTGCGACGAATACGTCCTCCAGCTCGACGAGCTAACCCGACAGCTCAAGGCGGCGGAGGAAGAAAAGAAAACGCTCAATCGATTGCTCAGAATGGCGATTGAGCAAAAACTCGCTCTGACGCAGCAACTGGACGATATTAACTTTGAAGTTGAAACGCTGCGAAATTCTAGTACAAAAAGATGAGAAGTTCTTCCAAAAGTATCCTCGAAAATAAAACAACCGAACAGGGCTGATGCTGCCTATCAACAAAAATATAAAATTACACTATCGCAGTTTGAAAAATGAAACTATCAGCAAAAATGGACGAAGATAGATCTTTTGCCGAGTCGTAAAATGCTCAAGATGAAGAACTCTGGCCCCTCAAAGGAACCTTTCTTTAGTCACTTTACCTATCTACTATTTACTATTTATGTCTGTACACTTCTGACAGTACTACCTGTAGTACTGGGCTGAAAACAATCATGATCAAAATGAAATGCTCGCTGAAATGAAGCTTATGCCATGAATTTGCCAGGTTGTTGTTTCTTCTAACTTTGCTAATTTTCGAAATTGTATTTTAAATAACCCTAGCCACAATTTCTCAGTTGTCAATTGTCGCGGCGCTAACAATCGATTATCCGTATCATCATCAAAAAATATTTCCATCATCCACTTATTAACTCTTCAACTTACCAAGTCCTCTAACTAACTCCGAACAAATTCTATCTATCTCTCTCTTATTTTATTTGAAAACTCGAAAATTTGCATGCTCGAACTCACAAAAAACACCTCTGAAAATAATACTATCTACCTGAATATGAATATAATATTATATTATTATATCGTATAATATAAATTATATAGAACGTATCTTTATACAACCCAATTTCATAGAACTCAAAAGGTTTCGACTCCATTTTTTTTCTCTCTCTCTCTTTGACATTCCAATCTTGCCTGTCCATAATTTTCCTCCAAACAGAACTAGAGGATGCTCAAGCTCCCGTAAATAAACTATATGTATGCAAAAAAATAAGAATGAGTTTCTGTAGTCAAATCAAATCTACAGAGCTCTCCTTCTCTTCTTGTAATTTGCAAAAGCAGTTGACCCAAAAATTGTAAGAGAATCCATTGAAGACGATAAAGAGCATCTTCAGCAGAAGAAAAGTTCAAATCAAGCGTATATTTCTAATATTGAGCATATCCGGCTCTTACTCCGGAATTCCTAATACTTTCCTTATTTGTTGCCGCGAAGCTGGAATTTAGTACCGTCATCGAAAATTGCCCGTTTTATGTGATTTGCGGAAGGATTCGCTGAACTTGAAGCAGCGCTCGTTTTTGTCACCTATGCAAAAAAATATTTCAGCGAATGTTCCTTTGTTAGGAATCTTGTATTTTCTCAGCAGCTTCTTGACGGTTACTACATAATTATTTTTATGTAAATTTGGCCGCTCTTAAATATTTCTTTAAAAACCTTCATATATTTTCCTTTTGTTTACGGCCTCGCCCAACGAACAACCGCTAATAAATGCTTCTTGTAGTTTTCATATGCAGGTGCTAGCTTATAAAAAAAAACGAGAAAAACCTGAGAATTTTAATCGGGTTCTCTCAAATTTCGAACATTGAGCTCTTTATCGGCAGATCTTAGGTAGAATGCACTGGGTTTCATACGGCATTCTAGTGGTCTGATCTATTTTAAAGAATCGGCTGATTAGAATTCCTTATCGAAATTTGCCAAAATTTCAGTTTTAGAACCAGATCTTCTAGTAGTTAGACTTCGTTTTTACCATGTATAAAGATCGGATACACGACGTTTTCCTCAAACCGACGTTTTCCTCAACCGACGTTTTCGTTAAACCGACGTTCTCCTCAATGATCAGAACGTCGGTTTGATCAAAACGTCGGCTTAATGAAAACGTCGGTTTTCCCTAAAAATGCGGGGGCAATCAGAGCGAATGAGATGAGGCTCTTTTTGGATAAAAAACCGGACGTCTTTCTTAAACCGACATTTTCCTTAAATTGTAAACTTTTAAAATCATAACGAAATTAATTATTTATAAAAAGAAAAAGTAAAAAAAAAATAAAATATCATTTAAAGCCGATATATTTATCAGACAAACATGAGTCTACATAATATATGCAGTAAAAATGATATTCTTACATTTTATCCGACGGTCTTGTATATTTTTTAAAAAGATACATTTAAATTGTTTTAGTTCATTAAATGAAAATTTTCAGTATTCAATACTTTTACTCTTCATAATTTAAAATTATAAGCTTAATGAAAACGTCGGTTTAACGAAAACGTCGGTTTTCAAACTAAGTCTTAGCCAAATTCAAGGCGCCCACGCATTTTTCGGGAAAACCGACGTTTTCATTAAGCCGACGTTCTGATCAAACCGACGTTCAGATCATTGAGGAGAACGTCGGTTTAACGAAAACGTCGGTTGAGGAAAACGTCGGTTTGAGGAAAACGTCGTGTATCCATAAAGATCGTCGTCAGTATTTGTTGTTGGTTCATAGATTAATTATTGTTCTTAGAAGGTTTTCTTCAGTTACTGTGTTTTGACTCAATATCTCACAGACAGTCGGTCTAATAAACAAAAATTCAAACTGGTCGTACTTATTTATTCGATAAAAACAACCTGTTCACCAATACAGCTGGCCCAATCAAATGATATTTACAAATGGAGTCCTTCAATTTGACAGTCTATGTAGAATTGTCAATTGACTTGGAGACTTATGTTAATCCACGAAATCAGGAGTATTGTTTTGAAGAAACACACTTGAAAGTGACTGAGTTCTGGAAACCGCTTTTAATTTGCGAAGTATGATGCTACAAAAAAGGATTTGCTAGCCTCCCCGTTATGGGGAAAACAAGAGTCATGCTTACGCTGCTCGGTAGGTCATCTCGAGGATCGGGACCGTTAGCGCGGTAGGTGGCGCCGCGCGGTACCTTTATAAAAATGAAAAAAGCGATAAGGTCAAGCGAATAAAATACCGTTCAAATATTGAGCACTTTTTGATTTTTTGAAAAATGAAGATCTCCATGGCACTTATCATTTGTAAGTAGAGAGAGAAAGAAATTTATGTTTCAAGAAAAAAGTACAACAGATTCGAAAGACGCTAAGATACTAGTACTTCGATATTAGTAATAGCTTATATCTAGTAGGAATTTTTGCACATGAAGGTACCATCTTCTTGGTTTAAACTTTAAACTTTAAAGTCTAATTCAAGAAAGCACAGTAGAATGATGGAACCTCTCTTGAGTATCCGATCATTTTTTGGCTTCTTGCTAGAGCTGAGTACGATTTCACAATTATATTTTGGCATTATTAGTTTGATATTTTGTCTAAATAATAGCTCAAGTTTTCCTCAATAAAAAATGACCCTAACTATACTTATTTCTTTATTTTTCATGAGACCTTCTAATATTTTTTCATATTATTCGGAAGCAGGTACAAATTGATGGAAATAAGCGTCTCCATTTCTACGTGCTCCGTTTTTCTTATAATCGAGTTCATTATTCGGATAACAATATGTTTTAAGATATAACTCATATAAGAAATGAGACATAAGTTATGATTTACATCAAAAGTCCTTTGTATGTAAATATCTCCTTCTAAAATATGTTTTTCTATTTCAAAGTTAAATATTATTATTGAAAGTCAAAGCGGGCGCAGCAGCAGTTTGTAGCCAAAACAAGTTAAATTTTCGATTATTCAGTAAACTAGCAAATTAGATCTGTTTGACCGTATTTTACCAACAATAACGTTGCTTCTGAAAGGTGATCGGAACCTTTCGGAGTTCCTGCTCTCGCCACTTCCTGGCTCAGATCCATTTTAAGCCGCGGCTGAAATCCGACGTGGCTCGAAGCTTTAGACCGCTCCTTTTAGAGTTTCTCGGAGATTTAACTGTATTTATCCTTCTAGCTGCTGTTGCTTCAAACGGATGTTCATTCGAGCAACTCAAAACCGATGCCGGTTTTTACGAATTGGTCGGCTGCCATATGGAGGGAGACAAGAAGAACAAACTCCAGACTGCGAACGAAAATCTTCCTGGAGTCTTCAGGTAAAAAAGCGGGTTATTGAGCCGACACCCTTAATTTACATTTTTCAATCAATCTCGATCTCAATGAAGAATGCTCGGCCATCTTTTCAACCCTTTTCAGAACTATTGATGACCACGCGCTGTACCCAGAAGGGTTCCCTCAAGGAGGACAATGCGTCAAAGTCCGATGTCCGGGTAAACCAAGTGTTTACACTTCTGAACGGATCGGATGCTACGAGGGCGAATGGATGCCACTTCTTCACACTCCTGGAATTGGATACGTTCCACAATTCAATGTTGAAGGCATTGGTTGATAAATTTGCAGAACAAAAATTTTTTAAAGAACCAATTCTTGTCAACCATAGAAGTGATCTTCCCTTCCTGCGATTTCAGCGACGATGGAAAGCTCTGAAGATTGATGTTCTTCAAGTCCAAAATCATTAAAAAATAATTTAATTAACAAAATTTACTTAAACCCTAGCTCCAGTGAATTTTTCCGCTTTTCGACTTTTCAAGGCTAATTTCACGCTATGATGCATAGTTTCGAGCTCCTCCGAAAAAAAGAGGCACCTGATATCAGGATCAAATACAGTTTTATACATTTTACGAGCAACGAGGAAGCCAGAATGATGACGTCGACTTTTCGATGAAGAAAGAAGCTTTCCTTCGAAGTTTATTCTACGCGGGCAATCTCGAACACCGAGAACCTGTTTTTACTTTATACAACTACTTTTGTATTGAAATAAAACTCTGCTGGCGGCTTTAAAAACTGAAGCGCCAGTTTAATTTATCTAAAAACAGATTGTTTCGTTATTTCCTGAGCAGGAAAATGATCATTGAATTTAGTTTTAACCCCCTTCCGACTAATAAACTGGCTAACTCTTATTCAATTATCAGATAAATTGGTACAAGGATTTTTATAAATTATCGTTAAGGGTATAATATCGGAAAGCTAGTTAGAAAAAAACGACAAATTCATTGAGGGTCGGGGGATTTTATTCTATTCTAGTGATCGTTGACCAAAAAACTAGTCAGTGAAATTCTTGAGAATAGAAAAAATTAATACGCGGCGTTCGTAAAACAAAACCACAACCTTACGCGGTGGTGATTTTCGAATTCTTGGTGTCATCAGAACTTGAAAGAATCGAGAGTGAAAAAATTTTGGCCAAGATGTTTAGGCATTCATGTTTTCCTTCAGCCTAATTGTGTAATGTTTGTGATGATAACTTATTTTTCAAAGGGTTGGTAACGTGAGTTTTGTGTTTTAGAAAGACACTGTGAAACAGAACATGATTAATTTTCGTTCTATGTGGTAACGAAAATTCAATTTGCTTTGTAAGACTGGATGATTGCTTTATCTCTCTAACTATAACTAAATAAATAAGGCTTTACCAAACTGCTAAATGGTGAAAAAATAGGAAAAATGCGTGTGATAATTTTGATATTTTTATTACTTGAACTTTTGAGAAAGAAAATGTACATTTAGTTGAAAGTAAAGAGGTTTTAACGACAGATAAAAGAAGTAGTTTCATCGTAAACAGTATTGCACTTGATTCCGGCGGGCCAAAGAGATCCATCAACCTTGATCGTTTCCATTTTGCACTCGCGGCGGGGTTCTCTGAGAACTCGCTGGATATTGCCGCGGCCACAGCAAAGTCGATCGCAGCTGTTCTTTTCGGTTGATTCAGGATTGCATTCTCGTCCATGAGTGGTTTCACAGTGATTGATGGAGTTTTTGATGTAAAGAAGTCGATCGCGAACGACGTACTGTCTGAAGATCGCTGGCAGTTCGTCCTGAGCGCGGACTTTCGCGGCGGATTCGTATTTTGCGCTGAGCTCGGTAGCTACTTTCTCGGGATCAGGGCTTCCTCTCCAGCAGGTTTTCTGGGTGCAGCTTCCGGATTGACCATGGCACTTGCAGACCAGACGGCTGTGGCGATCCGCAGTGGTACGGCCGACATCGTTGTTGTGGAGCTCGACGGTTTTCTGGCCTTTGGCGCGGCGGGACATTGCCAAAACGTCGGTGAATTGAATCGCAAACATCCTCAGCTCAGCTTCGTCGCAACTTCCAGTGGCTCCGCTGCGGCAGATTTTCTTGAGCGCGGCGAGAAGTTGACCTGCTCCAAGGGCGTGGACGAATGCGCTTTCGCTTGTTGCTTGAGAAAGTTCAGGACCCACGGCGGGCAGTTTGTCGGCGCCTTGACAGCCCCAGAGGTGGCCTTTCATTGTCGATTTGCACAAGTTGATGGTAGAAAGGGAAGCGGCTTTGAGTGCTGGCTGGAACTGCGGGTACTTCTGGCAGAGTCTCTTTTGAGGCCGAGTGAGGCCTTCGAATTCGCAGAGGTTCATTTCTTCGTTTGAATATCTGTGAAGGCCGAGCCATGAAAGGCCGGAAGTGGTAGAAAAGAGGAGGGAGAGAAAAGTGATTTTCATTTTCTGTGTTTTTGTTGTTTTGATTTGATTGTGCTGCTACAGGATGGATTTTATACCTCGCGCGCAGAGGGAAGTAGGGCGCCATCAGGTGAAAAACAGGTCGGCTGTGGCGCTGTTGCCTGAAAGCAGCAGCCTGTAAGAGTGCAGCCAGGCGGGCGACCAGCTGGGCGGCGAGTTTGCTGAAAATAGGCGGAAGCCGCGCTAAAAGCGGTTAAAAGAATGACCTTCAGTGGGTCACTTTCTTGTTTGAGAGCATTTCAGGGTCAGGATGAATCAAGAGTCATTCTGTAATCTTGACTTTGAGAATATTTTCTAAAATATGCTTCGCAGTTGCTTTTAATTATTGTACTAAAATGTTTATTACGATATTAATTTTTATGTGAGCATAGAAAGAAAGGAGTTTTGGATTACAAGTTGTTGAAATAGGATTGATGCTTGATCGGAGCATGTTTAACGAGTAATAATGGTTCGTAACAAAAACATTAACTCCATTCGCGATTGAAGCTGAGGACTCTACTTCGTAATCTCGATTTAGAACCTACTTTGTTAAAAATAGATTTTTGGGCAAAAATAAGTTCTTAACGTGTTTCATCCGAAACTCAAACTTGATTAGCTTTTTCCTTTTCTATTTTTATTTTTAAATAATTATCCGACGAAATGTTTTGTTTTGAAAAAGACGCAATTGTAGAAGGTGAGCAACGCTGACCACAGTAACACTAACACTGTAGAAATGCTTCATTCCGTGTCAAATGCTATTTTCTCGAAATTTACGAAAGTTACTTGTAACATGAAGCTTGGGGGTCGTGTTTTCTCAAGATTAACGAAATTGAAATTGATGTTTTTGCGGCAGAAAAATTTGAAAAAAATCTGATATTCGTTAATAAAAATGTGATGTATTATCAAACATTTGGATTTGAAATGCGAGTTTTCTTTCGTTTTTAGAGTATTTTTTCCTTGCTATCAAGAAAAAGGGGGTTCAGATTATCTCACCCCAAAATTTGTCTAACAAAAAAATGATTGATAAAGGCAGAAGGCATAAATACTCAAACTGACTTTAGGGAGAAGACATTTAATTTTCGCCTACAGTAGTCATCCATCTACTTGTGTTTGTGGTGTAAAAATCGCCGAGATTATAACAAGTTCTCGTTGAAGAACAATAATCTCCAATAAACCAACTTTCAAGCCGACGGAAGTAAACATAATAAATCCCTATCAACCGCGGCTGATTGAAGGGCAGTTTCGACCGCAGTAGAATCAGGTCAGCTACAGTAAAGTATCGCGCTATTGATCTTACCAACTTTGTTATGATAGCTGTCTCGATTGAATTTTTTGAAGTTGTCTGAACTCGAATGGAACATCAATCAAAAAGAAAAAAAAATATAAAAAGGAAAATTGAAAGGAGACACGTGTAGTAAAGATTTATTGTTGTTAGGAGAGAGGGATGAAACGATTGTTTTTGCATGTGCTCAGGTGGTAAAAGCGCTTGTTCGGGTAGATTAGCAAAGAAAAAAAACAAATATACTTTTTTCGAAAAGGGCAAAAAGGAGATGGAAAAGAAATAAACTTCTCGCCTTTTTTCTGTTTCTGAAGCTTTGAAAATGGAACGGATTTGTGTCCGGATGGAGTCGAAGGATGGAGAAACAGCTGGTTGCATTTTCGGCGAATGCGCATTTAAAAATTTTAACCCGAAGCGGGCGCAAATTTGAACCAGCTGCGGCGGATACACATCGGCGCCGCCTTTGCTTTTCGTGGAACGGAAATGGGACCGACGTTCCAGTGTTCAACCGGCGGTGCTTTACCAATAATACAGATGCAGACTTATTTTCAATTTGATTTGATTTTGTATTTTTAGGTTTTATGGACCTGCTAGTTTTGATTCTTGCTCATCAAGAATGCTGCCAACTCGGAAAAAGAGATAATCTCTGTTTTTCCAACAATCAGTTGAAACTGGATCTTGCTGATTTTAAATTCCTCGTAGCAAGAATTATTTTTTTTTTGACAAGAATAAGAATCGAAGAATGTTTTAGTGATAATCCTCTTTTTGTTGAGAACAGGAATCGGCGCAGAAATCTGAAAAGCCAGACCAAAACTGCAGAAAACATGATTACCCCCTTTTGAATTATTGCACATCAAATCGAGCCCTGATTAAAGAATTGAATCTTTCTGAGTCCGTGGGAACACGGCGGTGAACATGGCCGGCGCGGTAGGATTATTTCGATCCCTGACGCGGGTGGTGACACTCCAACTGTATTACCTGACCTAATCAGGTCAACTGGGTTCTATTTTCCGCATAATAAAAAACCGGAGAAATCTCCAATCGGAGAAGTGAGAAATTTTATCTTGGCAATAAATCCAATACTTTCTAAGTTGCGACCTAAGGCGAAGAATCAACAATAAATCGAACAGATAAAGTAGAAAATGACAATAAAAAAAGGACAGCAATCAGCTGATTGGGCAGGGGCAATCAGTAGGTACCTGTATTACTGTATTGCTCGCCTGATAAGCCGCGCGGCGCTACAGTAGCTATCTTAATTACAAGCACACCTGCATATTTTAAGAGATATTTTGAGGAGTAAAAGAATCATTTGCTTTACATTTTTAAACTGAAAACTTTCGGCAAAAGAAGAGAGCAAGTTCTGTAGGCCCAAAATGCCAAATAAAGCGTCTTATGAAATTTATTTTGTCAATTTTTGAAGCATGTTTAGCAAGATAATAGATGAAATTAACGTGTTTCCGAAAAAGAGTCCTTTTACATTTTCAAAACCTAGACCGTATATTTTGATAATTTCAGTTCTGATTATGCAAAAAAAAGATTAATTTATGAAATGACAGCGTAAAATCGATTGATGCTTCTTTCCTGCCTGTGGGCACTCCTTATTCTCGGATTTTGAAGCATTGGACTAAAACTTGCTCACTCCCGGAAACTCCGATTCTGATTATAAATTCTGAAGCAATTGAAAAATCTAAAAAATGGACACAGATTGGACTGGCTATGTCGTTGGGGAACAGTACTCACTGAGGATCACTCCTAAGAGCTATTTTTGACAATATTTTTAGAGAAATGATGATGAGAAAAGCAACTTCACCGCATCACACGAATCCGAGATCAGCGACGCTTGATTTTTGGCGAAAAACTTCGACGATAAATGAGTACAGAAAAATTCAGGTGCGAAAATCTTTACTTTGAAAATACATTTTTTCGGGTACCCTCCTTGTGCCGGGAAAAACCCGGAAATCCCGGCACACGGAGGGTCAAATCCGAGAGGTTCTAGAAATCTCCCCTTTCCGGCATTTAAAAGTTTTTCTAAGAGTTTTTCTATAATATTTGATCACGGTAGAGATCGATATTGTTTTGGCGATACTTTTCTATGTACGAATGCAAAGGATAAGTCAATCTTTTATTCTAATAAGAGTTTGGTAAATTTTTATCCATGAAATTAGTATTCAGATCTGTACTTGACTTTAATGACGGTCAAGCAGATTATATATCTTTTACGACTGTATTCTTCTTTTATTTGGGTTAGGGTTAGGTAAAAAATGACAAAGACTGTTTTGAATTTTATTTTACAATTAGTTTTCCTTCAAAAACACTCGATATGAAGAGTTTTTTTGTCAAAATCAACGGCTTTTTGGGATTTCTAGAACGCCACCCTCCGTGTGCCGGGATTTTGGCCGAGAATCCCGGCACACGGAGGTTTTCCCGGCACACGGAGGGTATCCCCATTTTTTACGGCCACTTGATGGCGCTTTTTTTCTATTGACCAATCAGAGAAGCGTCTGGCAATGCAAGATTTATGCTCAAGAGCATCAGTAGAATCTTTTCAATAAAACTTTTTTTTTTATGAAATTTTTTTCTCTAGCTCCAGTTCTTTTTGACAAGAAGAGCGTGAAAATGAATCGAAAATGTTGAAAATAAAATATTTTTATTTTCTTTCAAAGAAATTTTTCCCCGCCGCAGAAAAATGCACATCTTATCAAGAGAGTTATTTATATAAATGTGAAGAATGTCCGTGCTCTGGGAACTCAAGAATTTTCATCAAATTTCTTTACAAAGAAAAATATACCGCTCCCAAGAAAATTACTAGAATTATTCATAAGTGGATTTGTTAAGTACGTGCGAAGAAAACAAACGAACATTCCAACCAGCTCCAACCACTACAAAGAGGAACATCTCGTCATCGCTCAGAAATTGGCGGCGATGGAAAAGAGGCGAGTGGGAACGCGCTTTTTGGACCACGAGATTACAGAAAAAGACATGGCAAAGCCTCTCCTCGTCAGCATCAAAGACTCTTGCGCCCTTATGTGAATAAAAACTCCCCTTTGCTCTAGAATTTACATCGATTTCTGCAGGTTCAAAAAAGCAGCTCACAGCGGGGTGCCTCAGCGGGACGCCGCAGTTTTTTTTATATCATGGACGAAATTGCCCGCATCAAGCCTTTTTTCTTGCCAAAATTGCTGTTTATCCCACTCGCGTTCTAAACAAACCAAAATCTGCATCTTAGGTAACACTTGTTTACAAATGTTGAAAACTTTCAAGAGGCTGACGCTGTCTTTAGCAGGTGTAGTGAAAGGTATGACTTGATCCATTGACAATGCATCATTGTAAATGCAGCGACCTCCTAGTTGGACTTTTCTACCTAAAAATTATTACAGTATAATGAAAAAAATGAGTCTTCAAGTACAGGGCCTAACCCTAACCCTAACCCTAACATGCTAAAAGATAAAAACTAACCTACTTTTGGGCTGAAAGTTACCGTCCAACGTGACTAAAATCGATATTTACTATGGCTTGGGAAAAACAAAAACTGTTTCGTGAAGGGAAATGTGCAAAATTACGGACGCGCAGTTTTTGCCAAAACAGCAGAGCTGAGGATTAACTTAGAGCCACTTGCTTTTCGAAAAACATTGAGATCATATTTACGCTACTTGCTTCGATTTTTAATGGACTGATACGGATTCGGGAAAAAAGAGTTTTTTGGAGAAGAAAGTTTACGCTTGCAATTAAAAGTGTTTCGGGATCAAGATTAGCCGTGGTCTTTTCAGAAAGGGTCTGATGCGAAAAAGAAGAAAAATTGCATTTGGAAAATTTGTCGCATCAACACCTTCGCGCTTGAATTGGAAAACACAAAAAAGTCTGCCCGACCGGTTGTCGCGAAAAACAGGTTCCGCGCCAGTGTATTTTGACAGGCCCTTGATTGAGTGGATCTTTCCTCGCCTCAGAGATAAGAAGATAAACTCCCAATTGCGGATTATCATTAACGACGTAATCAAGCTGAAAATGATTGAAAAAGAACAATATCGATTCTAGTATCGCCGTGTCCTGCTGAGCGAGAGCGAAAAGATATGCCGGAATAAGCAGGGCAATTAGCTAGTCATCCATTCTCTTCAATCTGATAATAGTTTCTTACAAATTTTCGCAGGGAATATAAAAACTTTTGACTACTCTCACTTGTAGGAAGCTAATTAGACCCGGTTATAAACATGAATTTATAGGAAGTTGAAGATTAACACGGTCGATTTTAATTGTTGTTGTTTATGTTGAAATCATCAAAAATCCACCAGAGATAAAAAAAAGAGAATGCTTCTTTCGATTATTCTTTTTACACAGGCACAATTTTTTTCTGATGGTATTTTTCGGTCTGAAGAAGGATCTGTACCTGTAGACACAACCGAGAATATCGATACAACACCGGCGACAACAACAACAACAACAACAAAAACGACGAATTTTTTGGAAGAAGAATTGAAAATTAAAGTTTCAATCACCCTCAATATGAAGTTTTCTCTGAAAGAGAGAACCATTGATAACGGATTGTTTACGTCCAGCATGAACATCGCCTACGATCCGGAGGTAAATGGTATGTTTATTGTCTTCGAAAGCTTTGCTGCTCCGAATTCTCCACTCGTGCAGGATCTCTCCAATTTAATGAATGATGAGATAGACTTTGTTGATCTTTCAATTGGCAGATTCTCTGCTGCTCGAAAACGCTCACTTTCACTCGTCGACGAAAAAAGACAGGCAAGAAGTCCAACAGAAGAAGCAACCAAAATGTCTTTTGTACCGCAATTGTCACTGCAACAATGGTTCTTGAGGAAACCTGGATGAAAACTTTGAATTCATCTGTTGAAAAGGATTAGAAGAAGAAGTAAAGAAAATTTTCCAAGAAATTAATTTTGATATTGGCGACTCGAAATTTAATTATGTTCATGTTACAGGATTCGCACCCTTCTCCAGCGATTCTAAAGAAAATGCTGTCCAGGCATCAGTCGATATCAATTTCAACGCTTCAGCAAAAGTGAGGGAAAGTGAAGCCGACGCCAAGGTGAATGACGAGGCTACCTTTGAAGGTACAGTTAATGGTCTCGAGGAAGCTGTTATTGATTCATTGAATGCTGGTGATCTGATAATCCTTGCTGAAAGTGTAACAGAAGTTGAGACTGATATTATCCTCAATAATGACACCGTTAGACCTTACGAAGTGTCTGTGACCTTTACAGCTGATTTTGAGCAGGAAAGGACGTACAAGATTCCTCTTGAGAAAACATGTGAGAATCCGGTTAAACTCGATCTCGCTGATGATTCTTACGAGATACCGGTGGGCTGCGATGTAGCCGAGCAAGTTGATAACTTAGCAGAAACAGCCAAAAACACGATCAACGAAGCTATCGCTGAGAGCACAATTGCTGAGGGGAAAGCTTTGCTGGGAAAAGTCACAAAATTGGCGACTACATCAACGCTCATCAAAGAAGGAAAAGATGGGCCAACAATCGTCTTCAACCCTTCTAATTTTCAGAAAAGCAGAAATCGAAAGCTAAGTGAAAAGCAAGGAAAAAGGATAAATTCACTTTTCGATCATTACCAATGAATCATTGGCAATGATCCATTGGATATTAAAATCCTACTAAAAGTTAAAGTTAGAGCAATTTTTGTAAAAGACTACAATGACACTATTCTAGTTGACGCTTGTGAAGATGCTGCAAAAAACCTCGAATCAAATAATTCTAGGAAAAAGTCAAATCCTACACAGTCAATTAGATAGAAAGATATACGAGTTGAGTTTTTATGAGCTTCACCTTCGTCGATGATTTTATTTATTGCAATCTTTTGAATCGACAGCTATTCTTGACTGAAACTCAAGAGCTGCTGACAGTCACTTTCAGTTTACGCTCGAAAATTCATGTCGAAGAACAAATGTTTTCGGATAATCTGGAAACGGTGCTTCGAGAACGAAAATTGGAACTTCTAAATATTATTCCGTATTCTCCCGCGACAAAGGTATATTTCGCGGCTCAACTGGTCGCTGTTGTGACGGTAATTATGGGTGGTACTTCCCTTATCATTGGGAATGTGTGGAAGGAAGGATGGTCTACTCTTTTTCATTCTTTGTTGATGGGCCTTTTGCAGGTTTTTGACATTTATCCTGATTTTTACGCCTGGTACGAGTACAATACGGATGATAAAGTTGCAGTGGCAGTTAATCCAGTCGTTTCAGCTTTCTTGATAATTTTCAGTGTGTTGAAGGTTGTCAGTTTTGTTGTTGTTATTTCGTTGGTCTTTGCAAAAGAAAAGCTAGAAAGAACAAACAATAAATATGTGAAGAAAGCGTTTAACTTGATCGTGGAGACAAGCCTTTTGATAGTTATTTTTGGTAATGTTCAAAAATTTCTCCTTTACTTTTTCGTACGATTCCAAATAATTTTCTTCATAATGAAATGTTATCAAGTCACATGATTCATGTGACATAATTTAGTATGAAGTTTAACTCGTAAATATTGGAATTCCTAAAGATGGGACGAAATATGATTCCCGGCAGTCAAATAACCGTTGCTTTCTGGTTCTCCTTGATGGCAAATATCATCGTTTTCACTGCAACCATAGTCGAATTCTTCGCGGAATCATTTCTCCCGAAACTTGGACTGGAAAAATGGCTCGAGTTCCACAAGAAACAGAAAAGACTAACGCGGACGAACAAGTTTTGGTCAACGAAAATGGGCTTGGTGTTTCTAGGCATGGAAGTTGTTAATTTGATCTGCTCCCTTCTCGAAGTTATTCAGGCTGAAATAGTGGACAATTGTTTGGAAATCAGTGAAGGAATCAACAAGAACTATGAAACTTCTTTTTGCAAAAGCTTTGCCAGGGATACGGATTGGTATCGCAGGCGAATTCAAGAAAATGGTTTCTGTGTTGAAAATGAGCTGACTAAAAACGGCTCTGACTTTCAAACAGTCGTTTATCCATTCGCACCTGGTTGCTCAAACAAGATTGAGTATCTTTTCATGGGACAGTTTTCTTTTCATTTCGAAACAGTAAAATTACAAATTTATGAAAACGACCTAAAGCATTCAGTGGACTTTCTTTGCTTCTTGGATTTATTCTTCTTTTTGGTCCTCGGCTCAGAATGATTAAATATCAAGATTTAGTGAAAAAGAAAAAAGTGAAAGTTAAGGGATTGTAGTTTAAAATTTTAAAATCATTATTTACCTGACATCGAAAACAACAAAAACTGACGCTAGCTTTATAAATAATGTATATTTTATTAAATTTTAATAAAAGTGCTTTTATGCTATTAAAAAATTGCCTGTAATTGCATAAATGAGACGTGCATGATTTTCAAGCTTCGTGATGTCTGATTTACTCTCATTCAAACATCCAATATTTGCATTCTCTTTGAATTTGGCATTTGAATAGTAACCAAACAGGGCATGAATAGCGCGCCACTTGACTCTATCTTCATTTCACAGAGAGAAAGAGAAAATGTGGAATATCGTCGAGAACTATCTCGAGAGTTACGGCGATGCCCTTGGCCGCGCGTCCAAGATCGGCAAGTACTGGATCTCCATGTTCACCATTCTCCGATTCATGTTCCTCCTTTCCATCGCCGAGCCGGCCTGGGGAGGACACGGACTTGAATGCAACACTGACACGCCCGGCTGTGCCCGTCTTTGTGAAAACAAATTCTGGCCGCTGAATCCAACTTCTCTCTGGGAAATGCAGCTTCTGGCGATGATAATTCCAATCGGCTATTTCGTCATGTACTCAAACTGGAGAGTGGACAAGGTCAAATTGGCGATTCAGAAGAAGGATGATGATTACAAAAACCACCCAAAGTAAATTTAAACAGATCTTTACCAAAGAGTTATCGCAATTTCAGGCGACAAGCGTACTTGACCAAGCTCGAAAAGCGAAAAGAACATCTCAAGGACGTCGAAGGCGATCTAATCCAGGACAAGGTGCAATTCTACAAGCTCAGGCACAGACCTCAAGCTCGGGCGAAACGAGAAGAGGAGGAAAAACTACTTCTTGAGCGAGAGGATAAATACTTTAGTAAGCGAAAGATCTTAATTTCTCCTGTAATAGTTTTTAGTGCAACTTTTTCAAACGATGGAAGAAGAAGAAATGGCAGAGAAAGATGTCAACACCGACACTGACTTCGGATTCGGAGATGCTCATGCTATCAACCAGTACTACCCGATGTTGTATTTCTGGTACTTTTGCGTGGTCATGGTTCGAACGGCGATCGAGATCTCTTTTTGCTTCTTTTACTACATGCTTTACTACCCTAACTTTTTCATGGTGATGCCGATGGTCTATCTCTGCCACGCTGATGACGGAGGGTAAGAATGTTTTTTTGACGAATCAGATCAAATTGTTTTTTAGAGTCTTGAGCCCTTGTAATGGTATCGTCGAATGCTATGTTGAACGGCCTTATTCGAAGACCTTGACGATTTGGTTCATGTTTGGCTTTTCCTTCTTCACAATCATTGTAAAAAAGTTCTTCAAAAATACTCTGTTACGCGCTGATTTAGATGGGGTTCCTGGAATTGTGGACCCTTGGATTGGGCAACTGCTTTGTGTCGTTCAAGAACCGCAAGATCGACATCACCAAAGACTACAAAGTCTCAACGATGGAGCAACAGTTCGCTCAGCAACAATACGTCCAGGGCGGTGGATTCGTCCAGTTCCAAGGAACTCGAGTCGATCACCAACGAGACGAGATTGGAGACGATCCGGAAGGACCTGTTCTTATTGGTATTTAATTCTGCCACTGCTAGTACCGCGATTTCACAATAAATTTTGATGACAATTTGAAGATGATTTGCTTTATTTTATTGATAAAATACAAAAAATGCGAGAAGAACAACGACTATTACGACGGAAAGAATCGTTCTCATTTTGTCGGCTCTGAAAACATTGTGTTAGAAGATGCTAATACAGTTGAGTTCTTACCGAGTTTCACAAAAGTGCTTGCAATGTTTTTTGAGCGGTTTTCCTTCGAAGTCAATGAAGAGTCTTGTGTCACGTGGTTGTGGCTCGTCTATCCAGTCGACTCGATCCGTTTCGGCTTCTCGTTTTTTGGGTTCATAGGAATCGGTCTTTGATGCGGAGATTTTTTGCGGAGGAACGGCATTTAGATTGTACTGAAAGTATGAATAACGATTGAAAACGAAGACTTACTGGTTGCTTCGAAATTGATACGGTCGGGACTCTGTCATCCTGACCGGAATCTACGCCAAGGAAGCTCATTCAGCGGCTCTGTTAACTAACTCACAAGTGCGAATAAATTTTTTTTCAAGGCGTGTTCTAGAATTTTGGAAAAAGGCGCAGTTTGAATGTTTGAAGCATATTTATTATTCACAGGGTATTTTTCAGATGTTTTTTTTTTTTTAAATTTTTAGAGCGCTGGTTTTTCAGTCGACCTCAATCGTTTGTCCAACGAATGTCGGTTCTCCACTGAAATGTCATCCGCAAGTCGTTTTCGCCTCAAGTATAGCATGTAGCTCACTACCAGCAAAATAACGACGAGGCAGAGCGCCGCGCCGATTAGGGCCCACTGGTCTTGTTTGTCCATCGCTGAGAATTTGTAAGAAAGAGTAGATTTTCGACGCTCTTCTTCTTTCATCTTCAGGTTGTTGAGGATCTTTTGTTTGCGTTCCAGCTGGATTTCGTAGTCGTAATAATAGCTGTCCGGAAATCGACCTTGCTCAACTCCAACTACTTCGACTGAGTTTTCCTCCTTGATTTCAAGTTTAATAAATGATCAAAATTCAGAGAGTCTGGTAATGTCTTTGATGTTTAAAACTTACGACAAAAGCAGGAGCTCTATTCTGATTCTCCACATTTGGCATCGGCTTTTGAATTGGTCTGTTTGAATGTCGAACCGGAGTTTTTGCCATCTCGCCGGAGTTGGGTCTGGCGCGGATATTTGATGAAGGCATCTTCGTCGCCGTGAAGCCGCACATGATTTTGACTCCCTTTCCATGCTCCTGTAATGGCTGCATCAGGCGAATGTGCAAATCTCTCGATGTAGAAATGAACGGCGGGGGAGTATTCTTTCCGCAGAAGATTTCTTCGTCAAATGCGGTTTCTGCTTTTCCGTCGAAAACGATCACTCTTTTTTCGAAGTTCGAAAATTGAATCGATCAGAAACTGATCAAGACAAAAGAAGTGCATTTATTTTTCAGAACTTTTCCTTGACGATTGATCTCCTGGCATATTCAGCATGTTTTTGCTTCCACAGCTATCAAGGTGAAAAACAGGCCATCTAATCTTGACTCTCATCCCTTCCGGCGCCTGTAGACGCCAAGTACAGTCAAATTGGGCATTGTTGATGTTTGGAAAAGAAGGAGAAACGAAAAACATTTCCCGTTCTTTCTCCGCCCGAATCGTTTCGTTTTGACATCCTTAAATAAAAAGGGTTGAGAGTGGTTCAGACAGGTCAAATAGGGGGTGAGCCCAGCATATTTAGATTCCAAACATCCTAAAGGAATTCGCACACGAATTTTAAGCTTTTTGATTTCTGAGTTCACAAAAATTACAGAAGAAATTCAGAAGTATAATTTTTTTGGCTTTTATCAGGAGTAAAATTTTAATTTTTTAAACTTGCTCTTCGATGAAATTCGGTTTTTTATTGTGTAAAAATAAGACTTACTGGCAATTTCCCATCTGTAATCGTAAGCTTGAATTTGTGCAAAGAAGAGAAATATCAAAATTTTTGCTCGTTTCATTTTTTATTTCTCTTTTATCTTCGTTTTTATACAATTTGGCTCTAGTCGCACGAAACTGGAGCGTTGGTGCATCTGCTCCACCAGCAAGGACCTACGTGCTTGGCCACGCCATTGGCTACCGTGCAGACCTTCCATTGCAGATTCTAGTGCTGCGAGAGCGCCTTAGGCGAAATAATCCGTACTACCGAGTTATTATTAGCGCCACGCTGATCTTACAACTAGGAATTCCCAATTTAATTCTAAAAATATTGCCGAATTTTCTACGTACAATGACTAACTTATCAATATCGCAAAATGACAATTGTTTCGGGGATTTTCTTGTTTGAATATTTACAGTAGTCACCACAGGCAACGTGTCAGCCGCTAGAACGAACATGATTTTCAGTGACAATCAGCGGCAGATCCCTCTTATTATTTTGCATAATTCAAAATCTCCCTCGTATTTAAACCGAGTACAATCAAACAAACTAAAAAGAAAAATAAAAAAAAAGAATCAGAAAAAAAGAAACTCAAAAGCTATGATTTTTTTCCTCTTCTTTCTTCTTCACGGTAAGAATCACTTTCTATCAAAATTTACAAATCCCTTTTCAGAAATTTTTGCCGTACACTTGAGTCTATTTGACCCTTCGCTGTGGAACAACCGTCCTTCAAAAATGGTCAGATCTGTTAATAATAAGTGGAAGCGAGCCACTCATTTTCACGAAACTGAGAAAGAAAATCCATTGAGTCTTTTGTACCTGAACTATCTTCATAATGAGTAAATAAAACAACTTTCTTTTTTCTCATTTTTATTTTGGGAATGGACAAAAATGACAAGTGAGTAGGAGGAAGAAATTGTTAAAATACACAGCAGTATTTTTGGCACAACCAATTATTTTGTCAATAATTGATTAAATTTATCAAAACAGCCATTTCGAATTATTCAAAATGGCTTTGCCAAAAAAAGGGAAGGATGCGATAGAGCAAATGGGCAATTTTAACAGAAAATTAATGGCTTTAAAATCCTTCTTCAAGGACTGCTGGTCAAGTAAACGCCAAAGATGGAGAACATTCGGTCTATTTGAGCTTGATTGAATCCCCAGGTTCGCGAGGCACAGGCGAGACCTTTTTGAGCGTAGTTGTTTGTCAGCCACGAGCTGCACTTGATGTTGTAGTTGAGGCACCAGCTCAGTGACCAGCGGTTCATGAAAGTGCAGAAACTGGCGTCAAATGGAGTAGTTGGGTTTCGTGTAGAGTTGCAGGGCTAAAAATCAGTTTTATTTTCGTTGGCGATTTTCTGAAATCGTATCTATTTAATCCCACAAAAGGAAGATTTCATCCCCAAAAAGCTTCCTTTATCCGGTCATTAGACACTTTAAAAAAATTTTCCCCAGTCGGATTAAAAATTTTTATGATCGCGTCTTACAACTTCCGAGCGCGCGATTGATGAAAAAGGGATGATTTTATTGCGCTGTCATTTTTCTGAAAATTACCTCGACGACGGAAAGGGTTCCCTGGCAGATTGATGCGTCGTTGGCAACGCAGGATCGGGTTCGCGTCTTTTTGGAGTCGTAGCAAGAGGACCAGGCGGACCAGTCGCCCCAGATTCGAAGGCTTGTTCCGCAGCTCTAGAATACCGATAACGACAAATTTTACTTCTTCAAACTTACTCTTTGAGTGGTCAAGTATCCTTGGCAAAGATCAGGATTGGATGAAACACAATCTCGTCGTCTAGTAGACACATTTCCGACACAATCGCTCCAGTTGCTCCAGTCTCCCCAAATCTTGCCATTGAAATTGCATCCGGGAATCGGTCGGTTTTTGTAGGGAGATCCTTCGCAGCAATTTTTATCGTACGAATTTGTCTGGCATGATCTAAATACAAAAAATGAGCTAATGTTACACCTTTCTCATTCTTTCGCTCTCAGGGTTAGTGTCAACCCCAACCTCTCACGGTATCCTTGACATAAAACCTTGTATACCCTTAAGATAACCTAGAGGGCAGTTTTGTGGTAAAGTTTACCTGAGTGCAGTTTGTTGACAGCTCTGTTCGGCAGATTCCCACTCGGACCATCCTGTCCAGTAGCAGAAAGTTGTTGGCTGCGTTGGAGCTGGTGTGGGTGTCGTGTAGCAGGATGTGGAGCAAGGAACGTACTAGAAAGTGGAAATTCAGCAAATTGTTCTTTGATGAACTTGAAATTGGATTGTCGGTAATTGGGTGGAATTAAAGTAGTCTGAATTAACTTCTTCCTCTCTAGTTCCATCGTATTGACGTCACAAGGAGGGCCCTCGGGCGCTTGGAGTAGCTAGGAAACGTGCTTACTCCTGATACTCTATGTCTTTCTTTCCCGCTGTGTTTGGTTCTTTTGATTACTTGTTTGATAAAAAATAAAGAACTAAACTAGCGCTACGTTAATAGACCAAATTCAATTTAGAAAAAGAAATCCACTTACAGCAGTTGTCGCGCCGTAACACTCGCAATCCGTGTTCTTGCATGTTCGTTCGTAATAAATTCGTTGTTTCACAGGGCCATTGCAACAGTCAGATGTCTGTTTCCAAGCAGCCCAGAGGGATTTCTCGCCACAGGTGCCTTCGGAGTTTACTGGGGGTTTGACGACAACGAGGTCTCTGATTGCAGGCTGAAATTGACGATTAAAAAGGGTGATAACAAGGAACTCGGGTTTTGCTTCTAGTAAGGTTAGGGTTAGGGTTATTTTACAGTTGGTAGTTTCAAGAGCTAGTGATGCATATTGTCTTTTTAGAAACAGATGTCTCTTGCTTGTCTTAGACTCTGAGCAGTCCGGAAAAAATGATAAGCAAGAAAAGCACTTATACGGCTCTTATCTTTACAAACAACAATTACAAGTTGTAACCGAACAGTTAATTAAAGCTCGCTATACAAATTTTTCTTCATCTCTTTTCAAGAATCAGGTTCTATCTCTGACAGTAGCTACTTACATAAGCTCCTTCAGCAACGGAAACTAGCAGCGCAGCACTTGTAAATTTCATCGTTTTAACTATTTTTTTCTTTCCTTTTTTTACTTGCGGCAACTTCCTGTCTTTAGAAAAAGTTTCTTCTTTTTGTCACGAAGCAAGAAAGTGTTGTTTAATCAAAAAGTGGAAGAGTAAGCGGAGAAAGTTATGGGATGAGGGTTACACGTTGCTTTTTAAATAGGCTGGGCGGCGCTAAACAGACTTTGAACGCGCGGTGAATAAGCGCGCGCGCCACCAACTGGACAATCACTTTCATTTCTCTCTTCATATTTTACGTAGACACAAGGCCAGGCCCACTGGGTTAATCAACTAATGATTGGTACCAATTATGGGCTCGGGTTGAATCATAGAAGGCCGAGAATCACATAAGGTCCTTACGATAAGGGACTGAACCGTCCCTTATTATAAGAAAAGAATTATCTTTACCTAGATTGCAGAATTTTTTCTCAGATTTAATTTTGCTACTCCCTTATTTCTGCTAAACAAAATAAGCCAATACTGATACGCCAGTTGAAAGCTCATGCAGAAAGAAACGAGTCTAAGAAATCAAAGTGTTTCTCCGAGTTCTCGGCCGGAAGTGGACTCTTGAGCGGCCAGAGCCATTAAATGCTCGATTTCAAGCAAGAAGGTTGAAGTGCTTATTATGGAGACATGCAGTCTCATTTTGATAAGTCTGTATATAAACACCTGGCATGGTCTTTGCAGCATGGATTCACGATTTCTACATAAACTCGCACGATCTTTACCAAAAAGATGCTCTCTAAGCGATAAACCCGTTATCAGCGGAATTCTTCTGACTTTACGGTAGGGATAAAGACACACCCATACACACATTCATTTTTACGAGTGGAATCCATCATCCAATTTATTTCTTTTTGAGGTTGATATCATAAGTGTTTACAAGTCGATAAGCAGTTTGAATTAAACCCGGACAAGAGTGGATTATCTGACTTATAAAATTTAGAAGACTTAAAATCTATCTAGATATCGGCTCTTATTTCAACTTTCGAGTCCTTTTTCTAAAGAAGGCTCTTAGCAAAATATGCAAGTGATGATAAAATATAGTATTGAACTCAAGAAAGAATCTTGTAAATAACATTAAAATGTAATTACTTGTGAGTTTGGCTTGAGCTCAAATTTTTTTCTGAGTCTGACACGATCTACGGTCTAAATTTATGATTCCCGATTTATGATAGTCAAAGTTGGCGTCTTGAGTATCCGCTCTTCGAAGTTCAATCAAGTCAGGTTCAGGATTCTGAAGATAAAGTAACCACAGGACATGATGATAACACAGACCCAAATCTACTAACTAACTCCCTGTCCGGATTTTTATACTGCAGATAGGCGAACATAGGAAAGGGTTTAAAATGGAAAGTCAACTAGAAACTGGCTAGAAGACTTCCCAGATCACCAGCGACCAATCTTAGATTGGCAATCTATCTATTTGTTCATAAACAAGCGATAATTATGAAAAACATAATCTCTCCCAAGAACTGGCCGGCAGCTGGTATATATCCAACTAGAAGGCATAAAACTCAATTAGTCGAAGAACAAAGTCTTTAACAATGTCCGGCGAGAAGAAGCTCTTGAACCCCCAATTTTCTCATCAGGAGGTATTAAAAATGCTAAAATACCATTTATTGATGCTATGAAATTTACGGCTTCGACTGATTTTGAAAATTTTTATGGACACGTCGACGGGGAAGGAGGATGAAACGACAAGGATCGCACACTTCTTTTATAAGATCAAAAGTGGATTATAGTGTCTTTTTTGAACCAGAATAGGCGTTTTTAGATCTTCGAAAGCGATTAAGATAGTCATTTGTTTTATGTTCTTCCATGTCGACAGCCTTATAAAATCCCTCTTTTGGTCATTACTGATTCTTATTTATTGCAAAAGTCAGGATTAAAGCTCGATCAAGTTCTATTAGAGTTCAAAAATTATTTCAAAAACAAGCTCTTTAAAAAGTTTACAGTTGATGAAATTCAAAAATAATCTTATTGCCGGTGATTTCTATGAGCTCAACTGTACACAAACAAAAAAGCGCGAGCATTGGAAAAATTACTATTTCCGAAAATAGCGCTTTCGTCTTTCGTCTTTGATATTTGATAATTTGATGGCCATAATCCAATTTCGCGACACATTGGTTAAGTTACACGACAAACATATTTTCGATGCACCTTCCATGAATTTGTTGGTGTTAACAAACTCGGTTTATATCTTGTTCAAATTTGGGAGATGGTCCAAAACATTCTTTCCGCTGGGGAAATCCGGGATATCCTTGGCCCATGATAACATAGCTTTTTATAGCTGGGCTAATGAGGCTTCTTGATCTCTAAGGATGGTATTACATAACTCGTCGTTTCAAAATCCATGTTCAATATGACAATTTGTTCCTTAGAAGAAAAAGGAGCTAGAATTATGATTACGGTAATTTGTGCTTCTGATAAGTTTTTGTCTAAAAGAAGCATAAATGAACAAAGAGTGATCCGGCTTCACCTGATGGAACCACCCTGTGTCCACTTGAAAATCGCAGCTGATCGATTCGCGATTCGAAATCACGATCAGAAACACGTTAAAACCTCACGTGAAAACTTTTCTACTCATTTGATTCCACGTGTTCAATAAATCTGGGTTTCTGGGGAGGTGTTCTTTTTTCAACTTTCTCAGATTCTTAAAAACTCGAATACCCAAAAGCGCTCTATCGTCAATCCTGGGCTCCCAATGTCGATTCACTCTTCGCAATCTTGGAGAGGGCCCTTCGCAAGATACCGCAGAGACAGTCCATTCCTGCGGTTCGTCTTATAATTTCATAAATGTCACATGATAAAAAGATGTCTCGTTCAATTTCTTCATGTTCGATTTTGGCGCGAACCTTGCACTTGTCAGTCGTTATTTTGAAAACACCAACAACTCCGTCATTAAAGCTCGCTCTGGTGCGTTATCGAAGTTATCTCCCCCGGCTTTATCAATGCTGAGTTTATGTCTTCAAGTCCCAAAACAACGGAGATGTTTCTTTGACCGGCATGACATTGATTTTGGATTTTGATTTCGACGAGGACAGAAACATGAATTCTGAAAGATAGAATTTCTGCTGCGCTAGGAATCTTGCATGAATGTCCCAAGCAACCACGTGATATAACGAAATATCTATTAGGAACCTCCTTTTTTAGAGAATGAGTGTTTTTGAGCATTATCTTTAGAGCCTCCACACCTTTCTGTCCCAAGTGCTTTGGCTTTGACACCAACCGTTCGAGATAACCGAGCTTTAGCGGTTTTGAGGACCCACTGAGCGTTCCAGTCACCTAGATTAGGAATGGATCATTTCGAAATTACAGTACCCTTTCGTTCCTCCATAAATTCAAATAGGCTACTCATCGTTTTAATTAAATTTTGATCAATCTTGCTGCCGAAAATCACGACTCTAGGGGGTTTAAAGTGTGAAGCATAATGAATTTCTTGTATTTCGAGCCCTTTTAGAGCATCGTTGATGATTTATCGATTACAAATTTGATTGTTTAGAAATTGGAGCGAAAATCAGAAGTCTGACAGTTGAACATTTTTGACGTAAGAATTCTTGAAGAGAGTTTTTCTGAGAGAGTTCTATTTTCGGCGAAAAATTTTGTTTCTTCTTGAGAAACAACAGGACTTGCAAATGTTCAAGAAGAAGTCCTCACGAAAAGCCGCCGCTATCTGACGGATCACACTCTGCTGGGCGAGCACTAGAACGTGTAAATATTTTTAGCTCTTTGGTTCTAAGTGCTTTCTTCTTTGTATTCTAGCTTCGAGGATTGACGTAGTCAGAATTTTGAATTTTGAGATTTTTTACTCAAGAAATTTTTCAAATTTAACGGTGAATTTTTACGTTTCTTTTGTTTTTTAAATTGAATCGGAAGTGAATAATAATCATGTAAAAATGGCTCTATATCAAAATAAAACATGTTGAACAAATTGACGTCTGAACTCAACAACAAAGATGTAATGACTGTATATTTAAAGTTCATCCATTGAAATTGACTATGTCACGTTTTCAATTTCAAATTGACCAGCTTGAGATGATGAGTCCAATTTTCCTCCGTGGGTGTGCCACGGTCGAAAGCGATTCCTTCGAAAACAACAAGTACAGGATGAGTGTGCAGTTAGCAAGGTGAAATTGGAATCTCGTGTATTTGTGGAAATTCCTAAATATTTTTTCATATCATTCAAGCTCAAAAAACCTCATTCGCCAATTGACGTCACAGCAGCTTTTTCGGAAGACCTCGTTATTGGTAAGTACTACTGTGCCTCTCAAATTACTCCTTGAATGTTTAGATTACATCTTATCTCATCAAGAACTTACCACAAAAATATGTTGAGTGAGTCAGTAATCATGAACTTAACAAAATTCTTGCTTTGTATCTCGGTTCCAAAACAATTTTGATTTTTAGAATAGACGCTCCTCGCGTCCTCGACCTTCTCTGAAATAATTTTTATCCCCATAATAATGAACCGTCAACCGATAATTGGACAAAAAGAACACTCATGCTCCTTCTTTTTAGAAATCGAGAGGAAAGAGAGGTATTTGAAGAATTGCATTTCTCCTGTCAGAAAAAGCATTACGTCACGTACCTTCAAAAAAGGGTTGAGAATCTGGCCATGACGTCAGATTACAAATTGACGTCACGAACTTCACCGAGCAAGAATTTCCCCGGCTTCGGTTTCAAGTTTGTTTTGATGCTCCCGAGCACTTTTCGACAATTTTTTTGACAAGATTAATCACCAAGAACTAGAATTTTTTAGATCACTTGCTTATTCACGTGATCACGAAAAAAGAAGAACCAGCCGGTTGCCAGCGCGCAATCTCCGGTCTAACCGCAGTTAGATCGGAGGCGGAAATCCTCGAATCCTATTATCAACATAATAGGACCGTCATTTCACGCCAAATATTTATCTCTCCCTCTACCTTGTTAGTAAACAAACAATAAATGGATACAGTTAAGTTTGAACTATAACTTATAGTCTATAAGTCTCCTTATTTTTTTTTATTTTAAATTTTCAATGATGTATTTTTGGAGCCATAAATAATAGCTGGAGCCGTGAAGGTGTGAAAAGATCTAGAGATTATGTCAAGTGCTCGGTGCTCTCGTAGAACACGTTGCCACGTGATCGCCTGACGAGACAATCTTGTGTAGATAATCGTGTTCTTCGAGAAGAGTCCGATTTTTTAGACCAATTTTCTGTTCCTATTCGAGCTTTTTCGAAGTTGAAATATACTTTTTATAACCAAGCAATTATAAATTGGTATCCTAAACATTGACCTCGTATGTCGATAGAAATATTAATTCGCCGTATATTCACCATTTTTGCATTTGAAGATGACTCGTATTTGTCTTTCTGGAAAAGAAAAAAACGTTACGTTTCACACTTATTTGAAAGAAATCACCAGCTCCAATCGACTCGGACCAGTCATTCCGTCAAACTCAAAAAATGAAGCTATTATCTTCGATTTTACTTTTTGCTGTTTCGCTTATTTCGGCGGAAGAAACGACAACGAGCACAACGACTTCAGCCGAAACGACTACAACTGTGATTCCTCAGAGAGCTTGTTATGATTGTTCTTATAAAATGTTCGCGAATGGGACGGAGACTGGAGAGAAATCTTGTCTTGAAGGTGAAATTTTTGAAAATAATTTACCAAAAAGAAAATTAAGGCAATGAGAACCTGGCCCATACAAACATCACCCACGTCTGTTTCTCCAGCTTCAAGAGAACAGTCAAAAACGGCGAAATCGTCGAAATAGAAATCACAAGAGGGAAAAAAGACAAAAAGAACCCTGGAATGATCAATGGTCAATATCATCAAAACAACACTGATGGTCAGTTTTTTCGCATTTCTTGACATTTTTTCGAAAATAATTAAAGTGAACGTTGTTTGTTTGGATAATTCTAACTGCAATGGTGACAGTGCAAGCGATTTCATCACTGCTGGTAAGATAACTGTGTAAATAATTAATTTCCAAGCAATTTATCAAAAGATATAAATGATAAAACTACAACCACCACAACGACCACTACCACCACCACTACAACCACCACGACAACAACAACAACGACTACAACAACGCCTCCAACAACATCCCGAACAACTACACCATCGACTACCTCATCAACTCCAGGAAGACGCCATGCTCGCTCTGTAGAAGATGATGAAACAACTACTCAAAAAACAACAACAACAACTCCGCGTAAAAATCATTCTTCGCAATTTTCAAACTAAAATCTATTTATAGCTGTTTTGAACTGCTACAGTTGCTCGCAAACTGGCTCAGATTCTACTGGTGATTGCTGGGTAAGAAAACAAAACTTTCAACTGTTGAATTTTCCATTTTCAACTTTAGACCCCGTCTGACTCAACCCAACAAGAAGTATGCGACAATGGCTGCATCGCAAGAATGACCCAAGGCTTTCAATCTGGTTCCGGATTCCAAACACAAGTCGAACGAACTTGCTCACGTGCGTAATCCAATGTTATTCTTGGTGTCAGAATGAAAACTCAGCTAAAAGCGCTTTTTAGCCGCCGATGCCCCAGATACCGACGAGACTGAGAAGAAATTTGAGGAATTTTTCGAGTGCGAAAACGATCTCTGCAACGATTTCAAATACAGCGCCGCAGAAACTGCTTTTCTTAGCTCTTTAGTTCTTCTTTTACTGGCACTTCTTTGAATAAACTGATAAAGCTCTAGAATAAAATATCAGTAACCATAGCTCATTTTGCAGTTTTTTGAACAGAGTTTTTAGTCGAAGGTAATTCAGTTATCATATTATATGTTTGAAATAATAAGATATTGATGTCCTATGCCATTTATATAATAATTTTTGTTTTCTCCCACTCAGCTTTTTTGCTAGAAGTGGGAAATATCCACAAGACTCGAATAAAAATTGACTTTGGTTGGCAGAAATCGGCGGATAAATTGCTTACTTAACCTTTTTATTCCTTCAAAAAGCGAAAATTGGTCTGGGAACAGACGAAACTCTGCCGCGGAAGGGTCAAAAATGGGAAGGCAACCGAAGGGATTAACAACTCCGAGGATGAGGAAATATAAGCGGCGTGTCCGAGTCCCTTTCAATTAATACTGTGAAATAGTAAAACTAAAGAGACAAAATGGAGGCTAGGCAGGTCGACAAGATGGTCGCTAAGGTAAGTCTTTCAGTGCTTTTCTTTCAACTGAGTGAATTTGTTTCAGCGAAAGATGAAGAACAGACGGGGCAAGGGACGAATTCAAACTGCAAAGCGCCTTGATCGGATCCCTGATTCTGAGTATCCGAAGCCGAATTTCCAGATGCGATTTGAAGTCAGCGCCAAACGGAAGAAACAGGTAATTATTTAAACGAAAACGATGGAATTTAAAACATCTTTTCAGATGCAGCGCTCTCAGTAACGAAATAAACGAGGACTGCCGAATCGCCATCGTTTTAAAAACTGATCCTGCCAAATTGCCAAAAATACAAATAAACTGATTGAAAATCTGAACTTTCAACAACCATAGCCACCAAAAACAACCTCGAGCTTGATGAAATTTGTCAGTGTAGAAAAGTCCCTCCAAACGGGTTTAATTTTCTCACGTCATTCGCTCAACAAGTTCAAGAGAAGAATTGGCAGCTACGGTCGATCAAACTCTGATTTATTCTTATTTTTGTTTTTGCAGAAAATCTTCCAAATCGTTGATTGAATAATCAAACGGTCCTTTTCCGCCAATAAAGACGACTTGATCGCCTTTGAGCACGACAAGTCGCTCCGGGTGGGCCGCGAATAGAAGGGACAGTCGATTATCCATTTTGTCGCATAAAATTTTCGCGTGAAGACCAGCTTGAGCCGCCATCCTCTCTCGAAGTTGATTCGATGCAACAAGTCGTTCAGTCGCGTTCTATTAATTTCCGTCTAAGATCTAATTGAAAAGTGAGCTGTCAACCTGGTGCGATGAAATTTCAGGCTGATCCTCGAGGGGGATTATCCAACCATCTGTTGGATGCGCCTCGGCGATGTAGACCACCAAAAAGTTCACGTGAGAGAACTTTTTCGTCGCTTCCTTGAATTTCTTCAGGGAAGCCATGAACGGAGGTCAGGTACAGGAGCCGAAGTTGAGGACAGTAAGCCCGTCGTTTTCATCGAGAAAAGATCGTATTGGCTTTTTTGCGGCTCGAAAACTTGCCTTCATTTTTGAGAAAATCGTTTTGTTTTTTGAACCCATTCCTTAGTTTGACCATAAGGATCGATGATCTCCAAGTTTTGTGGAAGCTTTTGTCCAGTTTTCAGAAGTGGCTCAAGCTTGTTGATTTCATACATCGTTTTGAACATTTTCCATCCTCCAAAAATTTTCGTTTCGAGACGTTTTTCTAGCGCTTCTCCATGATACTCCTTTTGAAATGAAAAATGATCAGATTTTTTTGACTACTTACTCCTTCAAGATGTTTTCGTTTGATAAACTTGGGCAAGTAATCGAGGACGAGAATGATAACCGAGCTGAAAAGTGCCCCAGCAAAAGCCTTCACTTCTCTTTTTATTGCATCCATCTCAAGTTCAAATCATTTGGCCACAATAATAAAGAGAGAAAAACGTTCTCGAAAGATCTACTGAGGCGATCTTTTTGTTTGAATATTTACTTTTCTCGTTGCTCTCATTATATATTCATGGTTGCAAAATGGGGGTTCCCTTAGTTCATTTTTGGCTGAAACATAAAATTTTCAGTAATTTTCTTTTATTGAGAAATCATTTTTACAGAGTAAAAGTTTACTTTTAGTTGTTATTATTGTCATCTTTTCGCTGATAGTAAGTGTAATCGATAAGAATTGCTTGTCCGATGATCGCCAATTTTTCTGTATTAGAAGCAGTTGCTGGGAAGGCGATCACGTGGGTAGATGCATTGTTTGCTTAATTCAAATCATAGAAGAAAGTAAAACGAAAAAAACACTACCTTCTTGCCAGCAAGCAGAGCAGCCAGTCTTTCCTCCAGCCCAATACTTTGTAATGCTTCCTACTTCCTGAAAAAAAAAAAGAATTTTCTTTGTAAAATTTCTTATGACTTTGTACCTGTCCGTTGGCGTCAAAAATTGGATAGGGAACATCATTGCAGCAAATCGCCGACGTGCAAAATTCTTCTTTGACGATTTCGAAAACGACTCGTTTGGAAACTTCATCTGTGATGAAAAAGCTGGCTTTGCCGCAACCGCCGTCGCGTTGTTGAATCTTGTGCGTTTCACTCCCCTTGAAATACGCTAAAAATGAAATCAACAAAGAGGAAGAATGTTTTGCTGCTCACTTGACAAATGAGCAAGTCCTTTTTCCATCCAGCAAAGTCCACAACACGCTTCTCTCGAACAAAGACCGCAGCAACCGAAGCAAGCTGTCATGCAAGGAGCGCAGCACCCACATTGACAAGGTGTTAGTCCAACAGCTCGTGCTTTCGAAAGATGATACTTCCCCTTCCCGCCATACTCGGTGTTGATTGTCTGATCAGGATATGCCGCATGAGTCGCTACATTGGACATTTGAAGTGGGATTTCAGCTTCGCGGTGGCCAGCGAAGCAGTTACGGACACAGTAGCCTTGGCAACCGTCTCCGATCTCGTTTTCTTGGCCGAAGAAGAGGGTTTCACCCGTGTCCGCGTCCCACATGTCATACTTATTTCGTCTAAGGAGCGTTTTTATGAAGATTTTCATATTTATATGATAATCTTGATAGATCAATTAAAAGCTAAAAACCAAAACTTACCTGTCAAAATCAGTGAAAGCTTCAATCAGCGAAAGTCTCTGTTGAATAACAACTCTTCTTACCCCATCCAAGTGTTCTGCATTTCCATTATTCGTCCCCTCGGCATCAGAAGCTTGCGCCTTGAATTTTTGGCTATTTGGCTGGATCGTAATCACCATCTCTGATGAAGGCATTTGTGTTGCCTCTTACTCGTCTCGTTGTTATTTTTACGAGCAAGGATTCACTCTAGTTATTTCCTCTTTCGCTCGCAAAGTTTAAAGCTGAAAGGGGATCTGCTCATTCAGACGAGTGATGAATAAAAAATCAACAATGGTTGAACTCTAGGAGTCGAGCTCCGTGGGTTTGTAATTAGCAATAATCGCTGTCAATTGGCGTAGAAATCGGACAAAGCAAAAAATTGAAAGTTTATTTTGACAATTCAAAGTCTGAATTTCAGACTCTCTGACTTTTGTATTCATAATTGCAGAAAATTTATTGGATTTTTATTGATTGAGAGTTGTTTTATACAGTCAGAGGAAGCATCTATTGGCCACCGTTGTTGTCGTCTTTTCGCTGGTAGTAAGTGTAGTCGATGAGAATGGCTTGTCCGATGATTGCCAATTTTTCCGTATGAGACGCAGTTGGTGGGAAAGAAATCACGTGGGTCGATGCATTGTTCGCTAGAAAATTCAAGAGATGCAGCGGTAAATGATATACCTTCTTGCCAGCAAGCAGAGCAACCAGTTTTGCCTCCAGCCCAGTATTTTGTGATGCTTCCTACTTGCTAAAAAGAACTTTATTATTAAAGAACCAAATTATTGCATACTGATCCGCTGGCGTCGAAAATAGGGTAAGGAACATCATTGCAGCAGATTGCTGACGTGCAGAATTCTTCTTTGACGATTTCAAAAACGACTCGCTTGGAAACTTCATCAGTGATGAAAAAGCTCGCTTTGCCACAACCGCCATCGCGTTGTTGAATCTTGTGTGTTTCGTTTCCCTTGAAATATGCTAAACGGAAATCAACGAGGAGTACGGTCAATATTCGTACTTGAAAGATGAGCAAGTCCCTTTTCCATCCAACAAGTGCCACAGCAAGCGTCTCTTGGGCAAAGTCCGCCACAGCCATGAAAGCAACGATGGCAGCTAGCCACACATTCGCATTCACACGGCTGAAGGCCAACAGCTCTCGCTTTGGAAAGATGATACATTCCCTTGCCGCCGTATGCTTCATTTACATCGTTGACGGCCATTTGGAGAGGGATTTCAGCCTCTCGGTGGCCGGCAAAGCAGCCACGAATACAATAGCCTTGACAACGACTGCCGATCTCGTTTTCATGCCCGAAGAAGAGGGTTTCGCCTGTGTCTGCGTCCCACATGTCATATTTATTGCGGCTAATCCGTTTTTCAACTTTTCGTACAGCTTCTCTTACCGGTCAAAATCAGTGAAGGCTTCAATCAAAGAAAGCCTTTGTTGAATTACTACTCTTCTGACTCCGTCAAGATATTCCACTTTTCCATAATTCTCTGCCTCGGCATCAGAAATCTGTGCCTTGAACCTTTGGCTGTTTGGCTGGATTGTTATCGGCTCTGAACAAATTATTCATTCTTAGGGAGTCAGAATTTTTATGAATTGAAATTTTGTGCATTGAAAATTGAAGGTTTTTACCATTTTGAATAGGGTGAACAGAATTCATGGCACGTAGACTGACAGTTTACTTTCTCTACTTTCTTGAGTTTGCAATATCGATTTGGGAATCATGCACCCCGCATTTAGAAATAGAATGAATTATAAATCCCAATCAGTTTTTAATCCCAAAAATATATTGTTTCAGATTTAAACATTCAATAATTACCAATTAATTACCTTGGTTTCCCTTTCCCATCTCGATCGACTCCATTTCCACGAAATCGTAATCAAACTTTCGGTTTTGAGCTCTAGAGAAAAAACGTCGTTTTTTCTGTTTTGCAAGTTCTATTTTTTTAACTTTTGAAGGTTTTGCAATTTGAGTCTGGCACTTTACGCTTGCGTGCACTCTTTCTTTATCTCGGCTCTTTATCGCAGGGAGGATGCTAATTTTGAACCGAAATGTAAACTCGAAAATGGTGATCCTAATCGATCATAATTGAGGGCTCTTGTCATGAATTGAATTTCAGAAAAAAATCTGAAATTTATCAAAATCATCGGACCCTCAATAAGAATGTTCTGTTCGAAATTGAGAAGAGGACAACTGAGTAGAATTCCGTTGGTTTTAGTACTCAAACAGCACTAGAATTATATTTGCGTGTTGCCAATGCATGAATGACTCCAGTAACCCCGGGGCAAACCTTTATACATTCCAAGCTCACTAAGTTCTATTTCGCAGTTTAAAGTAATTCAAGAGAAACTTCAAAAATGATCGAGGAAAGCCGTTTTCAATTTGGGCACGGGTTAGATATTTCTTATTTGCATCTTATAAAATGAAAATCCAAAATATCTAACCTTGATTTTAGAGATTTGGTTTTCGCGAAAGTCAAAGATTTTCCATTCTGGCCAGCTAGAATCGACTGCCTCCGACTTTCAGCCTACAAAAATGGGGCTCAATCTGATCAACCAACCAATTCGATATAGTAAGGGTCTGATAGCGAATCTTATCCTCACCATTATTTGCAGCTGGCCAGTTTTCTTCTATGGAACACATGAGCTCTTGTGGATTCATGATCGAAATCTGAAGCCATTTGAAGCCAACAGAAAAGAGCTCGGAACCGCCTCAAATCTGAAGAGTTTCAGGCAAGCGATGGTCGAAGCATTTACCAAACCTTTGGTCGATTTTCAGGGACAGGTTAAAATATCATTTTCTTGTAAGAAATTGTAAAAATCAAATCATTTTTTTGACCTGTGAAAAGTTCAAAGAATGTTCAACCAAGCCAGAGCGTGAAAAAATTAACGCTTGGTTGGACGCTCTTTCGGAAGAAAAACTTGAGACCGGATGGGACGAGCTTGTCAACGAAACGAATTCTGGCTCCTCTGAAGACTCAGAAGAGTCGGACATGGAAGTTGATGGTGCTGAAGAGCTTCATAAGGACGAAAATACTTTCATAAAGATGGCGAGTTTGGAGGTTGATGATTCTTTTGGGATGATGTTTGACAGGCCGCTTTATGGAAGAGTCGTTTCTAAGAATAAGAAGAGCATCAAAGCGCAGTTTTATTCCAGAGCAACAAGGACTACTGACGAGTATCACTGTAGAAATCCGAAGAGCCATCCGATTCCGATTGATCAACAGGGATTTATTTTCTATCATTATGACAAGGTACAGAATTGACAGTTAGGATAGATACAGTTGATTCAGAAATTCGTTGATTACGAAGACGAAAGCGGAGTAAAAATCATGAAGATGCTGACCCACGAACACGACGATGTCGACCAAGAATGGGAAAAGTGGAACATCCACGTGATGAAGTTTCTGTCCGCCTCAAAATGAGCCTTTTTTAAATAAATAAGAAAAAACGTATAACGGAAAGAATCAATTATTCAGTCTTCCCCTCTGTGCCTTGTCGTATTAAAATCAGCTTGCAAAGGCTTCAGTTTCAAATTAGCCACGGTAGATTTTTAAAAATGTATTCATCGACCTTGAGTGTTGCTTTTGGCAAGGAAGGAGCACTCGTCGAACTCTGAGGTTTTATTGAATAGCAAATAGCCAAAAAGAGAATATCTTGAGGTCGACTTCTTTCGGGCAAATAAAAAATATAGGTCGAGAAAAAAAGTTGATAAAGCAAAAAAGATTGTCGAAAGAGTTAACTTAGATGTACGTTTGGAGAAGAAAGTGACTCAATTTTCACTGACAGGCGACAAGAAAATCCTTCTGACTTTTCTCTGGCGAAAAGGCGGCGCTCAGAAACTGATGGAAGATGACGGCGGTTGCGCATCTTCCCAAAAGCGATCATTTCTAAAAGCGGCAAACAGAGATGAGCTTGATTCGGTCAAAAAATCGACCGATTCAGAGGATTTTCCTTGCTGATCCGTTTGATGGAGAATTTCAGGGAACACGGTCGATAAGAAACGGCGCTTTTATATTTGGTGTAAGTTTTCAATCGGCAATTATGAACAATGAGGGAAGAGAGCTAGATTTTTTTACTGAATAAGAGGAATTAAATAAAAGGAACGTCATAAACGTTTTATGCTTCAAAATCGTCGTGAGATCCCAATTAAATATTTATTTTTTCAATTTTCAAAGCTCTATTTATTTAACTGGGCACTTCCAATCTTCCAGTGAATAATTCTTTGTAAACTAAATTGGTAGATTCTCAACAAGCTAGAATCTTCTGTCAATCAAAAAAAGAGGCTTTACACTTCAAAAAACGTTCAAAAAAATTGAACAAAAGTGATTTTTTTTTTGAAAAAGCGTGTAGCTCTTCAATAGCTTCTTTTTGAAAGAAGGATGCTCTACTGATGAGTTTTTTATTGTGAGCCCGGAGGCAGTTGATCTCAGAATCACAAACCGTGGTCGCCGAAAAAGGGCTCTGTTTGCCATTTTTTGACAAAAATCGTGGCCAGTGATTTGCAATAGCAGAGAGTAAATATGTCCAGCCAAAGAGAAAAAAAGACGATTTGAGAAAGAATCTCGTAAAAAATGGGAAAAGTTGAAATTAAACTTGACGATTTGGATGTTCTCAGTGAGGCGTCTTTGATTAATGAGGTACCTTATTTGAAAAGAGAGGTATTTTAGGAATTCATTCTTAAAAAAAGAGAATAATTCTCTCTTATCTTCTGTATTCATATAATGAAAAATGAATACTAAGAGCTTTTTCTGACGAAAAGAGTAGAAATTTGCGTCAATAAATTTTTGACATTGTCTCCTTTTAATTCAATAAAGCCTCGCCCGAGCCATTTACAAGACCGACCAAAGGCCTTTGTTTCGAGTAATTTTAACAAAGTTATCTGTAAGCGAGCAATTTAGCCTGAATCACCGGCAGATTCCACAGATGAGCTCTGTAGACTCTACAGTGTAGAGTTTACCCGTCTAGCATTTTCATAATAATCCCGAGAGGACGAGTTTTATGATTTTTTATGGCCTGTCTCAAGTGAGTAACTAAAAAATAACTGTCTGTCAAAATAAAAATAGTTTGTCAAATGAATATTATACATGTACTTCCGTCGTTAGAGGTTCTCAGAAGAATCGTGACTAATAGAGAAAACTGAAACTGTTAATTCAGGACGACGAAGAGTACGATATCGATGTGGATGAAAGGGTTGAAAACTCAGCACTTGTAAGTTATTCTTTGATGGGCAATTTTGAGCTCGTCCAATCAGAGCGGCCCATCTCGATGGAAAATTTTTTTATCCCAAGCTTCCTCTGTAGAACTTTTAATTCTAGTACACAGATGACTGGGCAACAATTTACCCCTCAACAAGCCGTGAAAACAACAAGAAACGCTGCAAGCACAATTTCGCCCCCATCCTTACTGGAAAAATGAGTTTCTTCATCTCCATCAAACCAATAAACGCTACAGTAGCTGAAACTGGCATCAAACAGGTACTCACTTATCTTCATTTTTTAATTATTATACCCTCCTGTCAGGCGTTTTATAAATATATGTACACGATTTCATTGGAGCATGATGGGTATGTCAAAAGAACGATAGAGTGCAAATGGGACGAGTTGTGGAAGTTGCATCTGCACATCGCGACGCAGCTAAAAAGCAGAATGAAACTTAGAGAAGGTAGAAATCAAAATTAAAAAAAAAACGGAAAACTATGAAAAATTCAGATAAAAAGAAAGAAATAAAAGAAAAAGAAATTATCAGCCGGCAAACTCGGCACACTTCCCACCATCTTCCCGCGCATTCTCAAGCCTATCGCACTAGTTCCGTGACTCAACCCTCTTCCACCCTTCCCAACGGTGCTTCCGCTCAAAAAAGATTCAGCAAGTCAATCAGGCAAGTCTTCAAATCATGTATTCCATCAAAAAAGACTCATTTTAGTCATGATCCGCAATCAACGAAGAAAAGCCGCCTGGGTCTTCGTTGGAGAGAAACCTTCCGTCGCGGCCGAAATTCAACAAAAACTCGAAAAACCGCTCGTTTCCCTAAAAGCCCGATGGACATGCATGTCAAAGAAACAGAACTAGAAGGAAGAGCGCAACAGATAAAGGAGTACTTTGAGCGAATTTTCAATTCGAAGCAACGATCAAATTATCGAAACATGGAGCAGTTCAAGGAATTTTTCGGATTGAGTCAGTTCACGTACATTCGGGATCTAGGATCTGTTGGCTACGAAGGATTGCTTCAAAAACGCTCTGGAGGAGAGCGACAAAGCTTCACAAAAAGCCTCACTCGATGCCACTGCGGAGATCTTTTCAAAACTTGGAGAAATCGATGGTTCATCCTGAGAGACTCCTTTCTTGCGTATTTCAAAGAAAACTCGATGCAGTTCGTTATGCTTTTCGACAATCAAACTAGCTGCACGCAGTATGGAAGAGAATTTGAGATTAAAAATCTCCAACGACGTTTGACTATCAAATGCAAAGACGAAGCCGAAGCAACCACTTGGAAGAAACAAATCGACTTTATCAAAAAGGACAACGAAGCTGGCTACATGCCGGAAAATGAAAACTCCCATGGCTCGTTTGCACCGGTGAGAAAAGGTTCAAGGGCGAGATGGTTCGTTTGCGGGCAAGATTATTTCGTTGCAATCAAGGAGGCGATAGATTTAGCGAAAGAAGAAATCTTCATCGCTGACTGGTGGTTCATGCCCTGTATAGAATTGATTAGAACTGAAAATCAACGAATCACGCTGGAGGAAACACTGACCGATGCGGTCAAAAGGGGCGTCAAAATTTTCATCCTTGTCTTCAACTCGAATATGGAGAGTCAACTCAAACTGATGAACTACATCAACTGCAAGAATTTAGTCAAACGCGTCCGCGCGACAGTGAAGAATAAAATTGGCTCCGTCGACGGTGACATTTATTACTTGGCCTATCCTGATATCCGGGCAGCGACGGAAAAAGACGTCGCCGGGTTGCAATGGGCGCATCATGAAAAATTGCTGGTTGTTGATCAAAGTGTTGCGTTGCTTGGTGGCATCGACCTTTGCATAGGAAGATATGAGGAGCACGGTAAATACCCGCTTTTTGACGACTCAGACGACAAATTTACGGGCTACGATTATTTCAACCACTACGAAGTGCTCGACTGGGAGCAGCCTAGGAAAGATTTAAAAAGGTAAATTACCTTGATTATCAATTGAGGTCATGATCGTTAATATGAATCCATATGTGGCTATTTATTTATCGCTTATTTCAGAACCCCGTGGCACGACATTGCTTGTCAAATCTTCGGAGAAAGTGCACGTGATCTTGCTCGCCACTTTATCCAGCGCTGGAATTTTTCGAAAAGAAAGCTGAAGAAAACTAGAACAGAGTATGATCGACCAATGATTCTTCCTAAATGCATAAAAGCAGATTACAAGATCAAAGCGAGATTTTCTGGCCATTTTGATCTTGCTACGGATGTTGAGAGTATTCAAGGTACTGTAATTGTATCGAAGAGCAGCAGTAACATTATTTTCAGTTCTACGATCTGTCGGAAAAACATCTGCGGGGTTGAAAGAGAAGGAAAACTCGATCTACCGCGCGTATTCGGAAATGATCAAACTTTCAAAACGCTTCATTTACATCGAAAACCAATTCTTCGTTTCTGACGCGACGATCGACTCCCGAGAATCTCCCCACTCTAACAGCAGAATACAGAACAAGATCGCATCTTTGATCGCCGCTAGAATTATTATTGCCTTTGAGAAGGGCGAAGATTTCAAAGTTTACATTGTGCTTCCCGAAACAGCTGGTTTTCCTGGAAAATTTGAGGATCGAAACTGCCCAGAACAGGAGCTTTTCTTCCATCTTCAGGTGAATTTATCACGCTTGTATTTATCTCATCAAATTCTAGCGCCACGGCCTGACAGAAGGAATCCACTCAATTCAACACCAGTTAGATTTGCACACCTCAAAGATGAAGTCAAAGACTCCCAACAAGCTAATCATGTTCCACAAATACATCTCCATCGCCGCGTTTCACAAATGGGAAGAACGAAACAATGAGCTCTTTCACTCACCGATTTACGTTCACTCGAAGCTGATGATTGTCGATGACGAGAGATGTATCATTGGAAGTGCAAATATTAACGATAGGTCTATGCTTGGCGATAGGGATTCTGAAACTGCCGTTCTTGTTCATGGTTTGTTCTTCATTTGAAGCAAGAAATGATCTATTTTCAGGACGAGAATTCTGTAATTCTCTCCGTCTAAAAATCTGGTCTGCGGCTCTTGGATCCATGAACGGCCTTGACCTTTGCCCGAGCAAAGACGAGTTTTTCTTCAATCACTGGCTAAAAGTTTCAATCGCCAATTCTGCCGCGCTTTGGGAAGCCTTCCACAACTTGCCGAATGATTTAGTCAAGGTTCAAAATTTCAGAATCGTCAGAGTCTTTATCATTTTTAGGAGTATATGAACCCTCACGATCCGTCCTGGCTGGAATGGAAAGAGGAATACAAACGTAAAGAAAACCTCCCGACGGAGCAAAAACTAGAAGCCCTCAAAAAATTCCAAGGATTCCTCATCAAATACCAAACTGGTTTTGCTTCAAACAACCGAGAAATCGAAACTTCTGTCGCTAGAGTTAATATAACTCACAACGCTGCCAATCTTTTCCTGTAGCTACTCATTCCCGATTATCAAATACAGATACATATTTATTATAAAGAATGCGAAGAAAGAAGCATGCAATTGAGGCCGTTTTCTATCGAATCGTAAGAAAAACCCAAGCAGTTTTCTTCTAATCTGCAGAGCATAAAGCAAGCTTTGTCGATTTCTTTTTTCGATCGCGGATGATGAAGAGCTATTTTTGATCGTTTGATAAACAGTTGCTCTATAAAACAATTGAAACCACACTGTGTCAGCACAATCTAAGAAAACCTGATAAAGGGTAGTGGTGCATCTTCGGAAATTTCATCTTTTCCGCTCGACACGAAATTTTTTTATCACCAATATTTTCCCCCTGAAATTCTTCATGTACAATCGTTCTCAAACAGTACCTGTATAAAGCATGAGTCATCAAATGCACATGGACGAGGAGCATCAAGCAGTCCAGCAAAAAAGCCATCAACAATCATTTTGCATGGAAAAATTCCATGTTCAATTTCATTTTCTGTAACCATATCGTCAATCGTGAATCTTACATCGCATAAACCGCACTCTGTTGCCGTTGGATCAGTTGCAAAGGAACCAGCAGGACATTTAATCGCCTCAGCCATTGTAGAATTCGGACAGAGATGCTCTGGAGGACACGGCAAACAGATACTCTGGCCAGCTTCCGGCTGAAATTATTGAATATCTTTCTGTGAATTAGCTCAAACCTGATATGTGCCAGGATGACAATCGGTTTGGCGAGTGAGTCCTGCGCCATGGCATTTATAACCGGGGTTGCAGGGTGAGCACAAATCATCAGAATACGACGGTTTGTATGTTCCACTTTCGCACAACCTGATAAGCGTTATAAGAGATTTTCTAAAGGCAATTACGTTGGAATAGTTGAAGCATTGCCTCTTGCCTCGTATCCAGGTGGTGTTTCAAAGCACTTAATCCGTTACGTTCGGATATAAAATCTGTTAAAAGCATACTTGAGTCATTCCTTGTCTAAGATTATAGTGTCCTTCTGGGCATGGTTTGCACTCTGCTCCGTGAAATTCGGCTTGATAATATCCTGGTTCACAAAGATATGAATATGCATTCACACAGTAATGCCCAGGCGTACTTTTACTATTGTTCAAAAATTTGTTCAACATTTATATGATATAAATTGTTACTAAGTTTTGAACAGAAGCAAGAATCACAGCCGTTGCGCCACGCATTGACAAAGTATCCGCTCTGACAAGTTAGGCAAACTTTTTGTTAAATATTCGTAAATGTTTTGATTTCATCAAGAATTACCTGAGGCTCCTTTTTCAGAAAAACTTTCATCTGGACAAAGATGACAGCTGGTAGCTCCTCTTTTGTCCTGATACTCGTTAGTCGAGCATGGGTATTTCTTTCCCCAGGAGCATCGATGACCAACTGGGCAATCTTCACAATGCGCCCATCCACGATTACTATACGTTCCTTTTCAGGGAATGCATCTGATTACTTTCTCTATAAACTCTCAATTTATCAAGCATCATTCCTGCTCCACATCGATATTTTTGCTCAAAACCGCCCGGGCAAGCGTAACCGGCTTCGCAAACACTGCAAAAACTATCTTCCCAGGACCAGGAGAGTTCTTTGCCTTCCTCACACATATTTTTTCTTTTCGTAATTTTTCAATTTAGCAACTTCTTTTTATACATTTCATAAAATATTAATACAACAGTCAATTGAAAGTAAATAAATTATTCATTTTTTTACCCAAAGCTTTCAGACAAAACTCAAATTCAAGACAAATTTTGATCATTTATGAATTTGTCCCGGAAATTGTCCGTAAGTTCATCTTAATCACGTTCTAACGATCCCGATTGGTGTCAGCTACTAGGGCGGCAATTGACAATTGTTGACGTGGGAAATTCATCTGCCGTCTTTTCGCATTCTTTAGAGGGCTCGGACGAGGGGAAGCACCCGCCAGAAATATATTCAAGCGACGAATAAAGCCCCCGTTTCAATTTGACAGGGTAAAACGTGTTCTGCATTTTGAATAAACAAACTCTGATTAACTCATTCCCGGACAGGAAACATGTGTTTGTTTTTCGTATATTACCATAATTATTTACTGAAAGCGTCAATTTTTATGAGGTTTCTGTTAGATAGGTCCTAATAATCCTCTCAATCGTAAGAATGAATAAGTCTGGCTGTGATAGATTTATTTGACTTTAAATAATTTTTAACTGACGCCTTTATTTAAAGCCGCACTCTATCCTCTTGGACTTAGTCTTAGTAAAGAGAATTTAGTTTACATTTTAAAATGGTACTGGAAGATGTCTGTTTCCCAGAACAAGGGCCTGGCTATATTGGAAACCGGACGCTCTGCATAATTGGATGGACTGGCATTGTTCTGGCATGTCTTGCAGCTATAGGTAAGGACTCTCCTTTATTCTTTCCGCTCTATTTTCAGGACTTTTTATTGGACTATTATTTCTCTACATCGCACCATACCTGGAGAGAAGACAAAATGATTCCGAAAATAATTTACCAAGCCGCGAGTATTTCTATTGCTGCATGAAGAAAAAAAAAAGAAAAACAAGTAAATGTTGACCCTGAAGACCCTGAAGAACCTGAAAAATCAGTCAAAAACCCATATGAAAAATAATGTACTGTCTTACACTTTTGGCAATAATCAAACACTGTGAACCAAGAATAAAAAGAATCATGAAACGCTATTTGACTTCTAATAACATCAGATTTCATGCCGCACTTTTTTTATTCAAGAGAGTTTCGAATTTAATAAATGGTCCTTGAAAGCGTGTGCAAACCGGAACCAGGCAAAAGGTTTTATAGTATAATTTATACAGAAGCGCTTCAGTAAAAAAACTTACATTTAAAAAATCTTGATAAGGTCTCGGCGTGTTTTTTAAAGGTCTCGGATGTTTCTTTGGATGGTTTGGTATCGTAGCTGCATGCGTAGCTGCTTTATATTGGTGATTAAAATTGATCAAACCTCCGTTTTTTTAATATATTCCTTAATCATGAGTAAGATTTAATCGGTGCGGTGGTACTCTGCGTTATCGAATGTAAGGACCAAAAAAACAAGGGTTTAACTTGCTGGGAGTTGTGGTTCAGAGGAATTGAAAGAGATAATCAAGTACACAACGATCCTGAAGAGCCAATTTCTAATCCATATGATGATCCTGTTCTCATTGAATCCAAGCCTGATCAGAAGAACTCTCAAGATGATTCTCCTCCAGCTTACGAAAACATCACTGAGTCAAAAAATTTGTGAAAAATCGATCCTACGAAAATTTCTCATCTGCGAGAGTGATTAATAATGATTATGAAACATGTATTTGACTTCTAATAAAATTTTACCCAGATATCATGCCGCAATTTTCATACAGCGTTCATATAGCGTTCAAGAGGTTTTCAAATTTAGAAAATGGTTCTAGAGAGCGTCTGCGATCATGATAAAGGAAAAAGGTTAAATTTATAATAAATTTATTTATTAAGCCTTAAGGGTGTCCCCAACGATTTTTTTGAAACAGGCTATACTTTGAGCTCATTTTTATAGGACTTCCTGGAGGCTTTTCGGTTAAAAGAAATATATTCATTATTATTTAGACCCTTTTCTATGCCATAAATTTGGCAGAATTTCGAAATTGTAATTATTTAATCCCCTACCGCTTCTTCAAAGAGTTCTGATTTTTCTATTCTGACCAATCTTTCAGATCGTTTTTCTCGACTTGTACAAATTCAATTTTAAATTTCGGCCAGATCCTGATTCCCTAAACGCTTTTCTCTGCCATAAATTTGACGGATTTCGAAAATTTATCTGTATGCATCTGATACGATGCATTATTTGAAGTAAAGATTTTGCTAAAGTTTGAACTCGATTTTAGGGGTCTTCCTGAAGTTCAATTTTTCTCATTATTACATAGAAAATAGTTTGACCTATTGACAATCTCCCGCTACGCTCAGATTTTGCGCTGATAAGTCCCTTAATCCCCTTTTCCGGCGCCGAGATGCAGGTGTTTGCGACTTTTGGCGGACTGTTCGAAAGTGAAAAATTTGTGTTATCGTATCGATATTGGTATCATTGGATAGAGAATTTTTCAAGCTTTCAGGAAATATATAACTCGATATATGAAATCAAAAATTTGAAAATGACACTTTTTACAGTGCATTTCTATCGAGCCGTAATGCATTAGCGCTGTCATAGAAACAGTAATATCTCGAGAACCAGATGAGATATTCCAGATCTGAAAAAAGCTTTAGAATCAGCTTCGTTGAATAACTAAAAATAGTTTGGTCAACCGACTAAGAACATTCGAACCCGATCGTTGGGGACACCCTTAAGGCTTGTAAAAGTTTTTTTTTCATAGACATCCAGCGGTAAAAAATCTTGACTGAAGTTATCGGCACATTTTTGATGGGTCTTGGGTGTTTCTTTGGATGGCTTGGTATTGTGACGGCCTGTTTAGTTGCTTTAGGTTTGTGATTAAAATATCATTGATATTTATATCAATCGTATAAAATTTATACTATAAATTACGCTGTTTTTTAATCATTTGTTAGCAATAGTTCTTCAAATTCTTATTTGCCTTTTGCCCGAAGAAAAATCCCGGGAAGATTCTGAAAACGACGATAGTGCTCAACGAGAAGATTGTTCAAGAAGATCCTACAGTGAAATAGAACCAGTTTCTTATCCATATGATTGTTCTGTTCGCAGCGAACCCCTATCTGATCAAAAGACTACTCAGGATGATGATTCTCCTCCAACTTACGATGAAGTCACTGAGTCCCAAGATTTTTGAAAACTTTTGTCATATTTCTTGAATACGATTCCTACAATTATCCTACGAAAATTTTTAATCTGCTGCAGTAATAAATATCGACCAAAAAGCACATGTTTGATCTCTAATAATTTCTTGCAGTCAGGAAGCGTACGAATCCGCTTTGTTATCAAGAAGAGAATTCAGAAGAAAATCAAAAGAAAAATAGGACTTTGTCACTTTGATCTACCACAAAGAATCGGAATTGCCTAATGAAGAGTCGCCTCCAGCTTACGACGAAGTAACTGATTCAGTTACTACAGTTACTGATTCTGTTCATATTCCCTGACCACCATCAATTTCAAAAATAATGCGACCGCAAATTACAGTTCCCGCGCTGTTCTCATCCAAGCGATAAGAAAGAAATCAAACTGGAAATTTGTTGAATGTGAAAATTTGAAAATATATCAATGTCGCCCCCATTTTCTCAAGAAAATCGCCAAATCCTCACTTTTGACAACGTTTATCCCCAGCGAGCCCAGCTTGGCGGACTTGAACAGTCAGATTTGCGCAGATTTTATTAGGACTTTGAGCTGGCTAAGTTGGTTTCCGCCGTCGCAGTCCAACGCTTAAACATTTGCATAAACATATTATCAGAAGAGTCATTTCTGCTAAACTTTTCGTTCTGCCCAAATCATAAATAATTAATCACCGTAATAATTGATCAAAAAAGGGTTGACTTCAGAGAAAATAGAGTTATGAAAATTTTGACAAGGTGCTCACGGCCAAAAAGTCTTAGCGCGACTTTATAATGCAGGAGAATGAAATGTTTACTTCTTCCCGAGTTGTGAATTTTGCGAAAAAACTGATGCAGACGTAACAACCTCACTAGCTACATTGTACTATTTTAAGCATTCGTTCCGGAATTTGAGTTTACCGCTGGCATTCTTATTTGAGAAGGCTTTCTATTCCACAAATATTTTTTCATAATTTCTAAATCTAACCGCTTCAAAAGATGTCTAGTAATCATGAAATCAACCCAAAGCCAATTAACATTGATAAAGTCAAGGAATTTTTGGATAAAGAGGTCATTTTTTCAATGAAGAGTTTAAATTCTTCAGAAAATAAATTTTCAATCTAAATTTTCGGATTATCCTGAAGACTTTTTAGTTGAGGCTTCCGTTTCCGGGAAGGATGACAGAATTCACCTATCTACAGTATCTTTTTAGTATCTTTCAGAAACTATCGTTTTTATGTTATTATGAAGCAAGGATGTTTTACGACAACTAAGTTCGATTGGGAACTGCTGCCTAATTTGCTTATGTTAGGCGATCAGCATTGCATGGTTGTGAAGTGAAATTATTCAAATCGCGCGTGGTGTTCGCAGCATGTGGCAGTTTAAAAGTTGACAGTTCCCGTAAATAGAGGGCGCCGTTTGGAGCAAGCACCATGTGCCGGCCATAAATCGCGACCGCTTCATTCTCCAGTTAGTCAGACCAGCGATGAAGTTGGTACTGCTCATTTTGGCAGCCCTTGCTTCGGCCAAATCGAAACGATCACCTATCAATAGGTAAAGGATAAGAGAAAGAACTTTTTTTTGAAGACTTTGAAAGAGAAAAAAGCTTGAAAATTAGAAACAAAAAAAAAAGAATTTCAAACTTTTCTGGTTTTCATGACTGATTCGTTTCTACAGTTAGAAATGAAACACTGTTTTATTTCTTAATTCAGATTGAACAAAATCAAAAAGCAAGCCTTCGCCTTCCTTGATGGAACATTCAAGCAGCGCGTGGCCGAACATTGGAAGCCGAAATTTGAACGATTTATTGAAGGAACGAAGCGTCGGGCGATCAAATGTGGTATTCCCGCTGGAAGAACTAAACGTATGAAAATTTTCTTCTTTCGCCATTTTGATATTTTTAGGCGGAGTTGACGAGATGCTGATGCCAATTTTGAGCAGGACCAGACGAGCACCGCCAAAGAGTGCAGCTGAAAGACGCATCAAATCGTTGTCCAATTCCGCTAGTCGCTGGGAGAAGCGATATTTGAAGGTTTGTGCTTATGTCAATCTACGAGAAATCTAACTGAATGAAAAGGATTGCAAACGAAATCGAACGAGAGAACAAACTAAGCGCGGCCAAACCTTTTACGCTCGTCTTCGTGAACGTCTTGTGACTCACAAAAAAGCTCCGGCATCCGAGTAAACAGGTTTGTTTCAAGCAACTGAAATCAAAGATCAAAGCGTATTTTAGAAACAGCCCTACGTACCTTGAAAGAAAGAAGAAATAGCTTTGGAAATCAGGAAAAGGTCATCAGAAGATTTAAGCCGGGGATGTATTTGACCTTTGTGATGACCTTGAATCGGCAGAATTGGAAAGAGAGATAGACACAAGAAAATGAAAGCTCCAACTAAAAATTCAAGCGAGGTCTGGCACGGCCTGTCCACCTCCAGAATGAAACTTCTGCGTTTTCATTTTCCCATCTGGCCTTTTTCATGTTATTTCAAGTTCCTCTGATTTTGACGGATTTATTTCTCATCTGTTTTCTTGCTTTTGTTCATCTTCGCCCTACCTGCCGCTTGAAGCTTTTAACATCCTTTTTTCTAGCTGTAAATTATCTTCATGCATGTCAATAATTAAATTTTATAAACAAAATTATTTGCTCGATAAATATGTACCGACTTACTTGATAGAAAAACTTACATTGAGCGAGAACTGTGGTAGTCGTTATAGTAGTGGTAGTAGTAGTCGTTGTTGTTGTCAATTCTTCTTCAATCTTCTTGTCTACTTCAGATGTGATCCAATCAACGTAGTTCGCAACTCGAGCGTAAACACCAGGAGCTCCCGGTCGGGCGCATCCATTTCCCCAGCTTACTACTCCTCGGAGAACTGGTTGGTTGTTTTCGATGCAAAGAAGTGGACCACCAGAATCGCCCTGGCAAGTATCCGCTCCGCCATGCATGTATCCAGCGCAAAGCATCTGATTCTTCAATCCGGATAAAAATCCATCGTATGCATTGACACCGTTGCAAGTATTGTGTGGGACGATCGGAACACTGAGTTCTTGAAGAACACTGCTCGTAGTTCCACCTTCAACGATGCGACCCCAGCCAGCGACGTAGCAACGTTTATTGTCCGGGACGGTGTTGGTGCCAAAGACATTTAGTGGAGAAGGCAAGCAGATATGTTTCGCCTTGTGTTCGGTGTTTATGGGGTCCTTGACATAAAGCAAGCAGACGTCGTTAAGCATCATTGAGTTATCGAATTCAGGGTGGCGGACAATATAGTCGGGGACACGAGTGACTGAATGCTCAGGCTTATTCAGGTCATGAATATTGTAGGTGAATGAGTAGGCATCCTTGTTAAATTGAGCTGCATGGTCGGTTGTGGGGCAGCAGTGACCAGCGGTAAGCACCCAGTTTTCGTTAAGAATTGATCCAGCGCAGCCGTATTTCATTTTTACGATCCATTTCCACGAGTTCGACTGAGCTTCGTAGCCACCGACGATTCTGTTTTTATTAAAATTTTGGGATGAGCAGAAGAGATCTTCAGCCAAAGGAGAGATGGAAGCATCTGAGTGAGTCGTGGTCGTTGTTGTCGTGGTCGTTGTTGGAGCTGCTGTTGTTGGTGGTTTGGTTGTTGCTTTTGTCGTTGTCTTCTTCGTTGTTGTAGTAGTCGTTGTTGTTGTAGTTGTGGTCGACTCCGGAGCTTTGGTAGAATGAACAGGGAGAGTAACAGGAGATTCAGCTCTCTTCGAAATCTCGCTAATAATCCACTGTCTGTAAGTCGAAGTTCGAGCATAAACACCAGGGCTATTTTCCCTCGCGCAACCGATTCCCCAGCTGACAACACCCCGCAGAATTGGCTGATCATTTTCAATACAGATCATTGGTCCACCCGAGTCGCCCTGGCAAGCGTCTTTTCCCCCTTCCAAAAAACCGGCGCACATCATTTCTCTTTTGTAAATTTGGCCATCGTAGATTGGTTTTGAGTTGCACGTTTCATGATCAATGACTGGAATCATCAATTCCATGAGAACTTGTGAAACATCTCCACCTTCGCTGAGCCGGCCCCAGCCAGCGACAAAACATGGAGTTCCTGCAGCAGGAATTCGATCGGGAGAGTAGCTGGATGGCAAGCAAACTGGGGACGCTTTCTCGCTGAAGATCATGGGCGTTTTTGTGTAAAGAAGACAGACGTCGTTTTTCAAAGTAGCTCCATCATACAGGGGATGTCGAACAATCTCATCAGGGATGACGACGATCTCCTCTTCGCCCTTGTTCAAGTCGAAAGCGTTGTAGCGGTATTTTAAATAGCGAGTGGAAGTTGAAAAACAACAATGACCAGCAGTAAGGACCCAGTTTGGATGAATGATGGATCCGCCGCATCCAAGATCAATCTTTACAATCCACTTCCAACTAAAAGGATCGGCTACAGTACCTCCTACGATGCCACCGACAATATCAGTATTGAACTCTTCTTTGCGGAAAGATGTTCCTTCAATCGGGTCGTAGCAGAAAAGCTGATTGTCGATCAAACCCGCACTCACTGCCGCATTGGCAATGAAGCCGAGAAAGAACACCCCTCTCTTCATTAGTTTCTCTGATTCTCTCTCTGACGCTTATCCTTACGACTTGTCCGATCAGCTTTCTCGGAGATATAATCTTTTCACCCAGCGCGATATCATTATTTATACGCTCAGATAACTACTATTTAAGATAGACAAATCCTTTTTATTTCGAAAGCCGTTTTCGCAGAATTTCTATAAGATTTTCAATAGCACTTGGTCCAGGAATACCATGCTCGACGGAATCATGATGAAGCTTGCCGTCGAGATAGATGTCAAATTTTCCTCGGTTGGAGCTCTCGCTTGTTTTGGTCATCAAAATAAGATCGATTCTAAAAATCTATAAAGATAATTATTTCAAGAGAGTTTTACTTTTCTTCGAATTCCATTTCTAGCCGTTCTACAAGCATGTTGTATCGCTCATTTCCCGATAAGCTGCCTGAGCTTTGCCGGTGGTGGTAGCTACAATAATTGAATAAGCCGAATATCAAATAGTTTCAACCTTTTTTCCTTAAAATTTTTGGTCCAGCTCCCGTTTTTTCGTACCTGTCGCAATAATCAATCTTCAACGAAGTCTTTTCAGGCTCTTTCTTCGGAGTTTTAGCCGATTCTGGTTTTTTGATGATGGTTTTTGTAATTGTTTTTTGTGGAGTAAAAGTTCTCTTGTAGTTTGTTCCCGGAGCAGTTTGACAAAGATCCATCTTTATTTATTTAACTTTGTATAAAAAAAAATTTGCCAAAGTTTCGCAACTCGATTTGTAAATCTCCCTGAGACGTGTTCACAGGTGCTTATTGGCTCTCTAGGTGCATCATGACCAGTACATATACAGTATATGATATACTTTGGGACTTTGGAAATCAGCTTATCTTTATTTCTGTCGAGGCAATAATTCAAAGAAGAAAGCAGTTAAATATGTATATTTCCGATCGGCTTTCATGGTGATTTAAAAAGTTTGTTGGACCAGTATAATCGTGGTAGTCGGATAACAGCAGCATCAGCGGAGCCTCTCGCAAGACCCATCTCGCCTTCTTCGCCCCACTCATCTTTTTCATAGTCATAAGAAGCTACGACATCGAGAGATTCTAAAATAATAAGTAATTATTATCCGAAAGAAACTTAAATTTTCAAACCTGTATCGTTCTCCCATCCGCCAACCATGAAAATCTTTTTGTCAGCCATTCCACAAGCCGACATATACTGAATTCTCGGCGCAGTCATCAATTCAAGCCAGGTGTTGAATTTCGTGTTGTAAACCTGCGAAATTCAATAAGCGTCAAATATGATTCCAACGATTTACCTCGACTCCAGCGCGAGTTTGCTCTTGTCCGCCAACAACGAAGACTTTGAATCCGTGCGAAATCATTGTGTGCGAATCGCGAGGATTGTTCATTGGCGCACGTTCCATCCATCGATCAAAATCTGGGTTGTATTCGAAGACGTCCTCGATTCCAGTCTCGCGAGTGGATGTGATACCTCCGGAAACCATGATCTAAAAGCCTTTTATTACCCATCATTACCAACCATAGTCTACCTTTCCAGCTTGTGTAATACAAGCTGCATGTCTGAAGAGCGACTCATTCAATGGCGCAGTAAATTCCCACTCTTCCGTCATCATTTCGAACCGCTCCATAGATCTAGTGTAGCCAGCTGGAGTCAATCCACCAAGGGCAAAGAGATATTCTCCAAGAGCAACGAGCTGAAAACACGCTCTTGGGGTCTTCATCGATGGCAGTTTCTTCCAAGTCCCGTCAGTAAGATCGAGTCGCCAGACTTCATCGATGATGACTGAGAAGCTGTCGAAACCGCCGGCGATGTAAAGACAGGGACCAACAACAACACATTGATGCAAGCATAGTTTTTCTGGCATGCGGGCGATTGTGTTTGTTGTAAAGGTCTAAAACGGAGGTTATATATTTGTAATCGTTTATATTTTCACTTGCCTTAGGGTGGAGCGCTACAACTGAGTTATCATAAACATGGTGATCCTCGCCGTCGTAAATTCCTCCTTTGAACTCGTCAATGATGGGGACAGACCCGCCAGTAATGACTAGTGATTCTGCACCACGCATGTTTCCACAGGGAACGCAGTTGTTTTTCTTGTTTTTGATGACTTGTGCGACGGCTTCGGTAACCTTGGCTGAACCGATGACCATGATGTCCTTGGAAATCACTTCTTCGAGATCTGCTAGGGTCATCAAGTCAAACCGAATTGCTATTAACATTTTAAAAAGGGCGATTCAAATGATCAAAACCTTTGGTAGCAACTTCAGCGAAGTCATCAGCTCTTTCATCCGCGTTCACATCCGCCCATCGTTTGACAAGGTTGAAAAGGTTGACTTCTCCCTTTGAAGCGGGAAATTCCACCTCAATGTCATTATCCTGAATGTAGTCAGTAAGCCAATCGATTGGCAGTTCTTTGAAGGCATCGGTCTTGGCAACAGAGATGAAATTTTTCAGAGTGTAGGATCGAGCACGCTCGGTCAAAGATGCGATCTCGTGATTTGAACCAAGAAGTTGAAGCTCGATACAGTTTTCGGGACGAATTCGGCTGATCAGCCAGTCAATCAAAATATCCTACCGAAAATAATTTTTTGTTCTTTAAAGATTTCCTACCGAAAGTCGTTTGATATCAAGTTCCGTGCAAAGAATAAGCATCTCCCGAGCAATCGTCTGAGTCAAATTAGAAATTGTTCCCGTGTACAAAAAGTTGATGATCTTTTCAAAGAGCTCTTTCGATGCTCCGGAAGTCAGGTCGAGATCAACAACGTCATCTTCGATTTGTTTCTTGAAGAAGCCAGAGACGGACGCAAGGATGAATCTATGCGCGAGAACATTGTCGAAATGAGACCAGCTCAAGTCGGACTTTGTTTCTGTGTCAGTTTGAAGGGTTTTCTGCTGTCGCCACTGGGCGGTGAGTGCAAGATGGATGAATTGAGCTGCTTCTTTGTGGTTTCTAGAGACCTTTGAAGATGAAAACGAGACGATAAACAGTACCTGTGTTTGTATCGAATGCCAGAAATATCGGACTCTTCGTCTTTATCAGGCCCGAGCATCTTATCATACTCTTCGCAGCCTGTAATAATGAGCGGAAGTGAGAATTCCGTCGCCAGATCCATCAGATCTGATCGGTTCCGTTTCGAGATCAAAAGCTCGCCAGTGTAAAAGAAGTTAATAAGAGCAGGAATCGAAGGAAGATCACCAAGATCGGGGAAAGCTGTGAAGCTACTTTCCTCCTTTTTAGTTGTTTCTTCGTAAGTTGGTGGAAGATCATCTGAAAATTTTTAGAAAATAGAAAAATTCAATAATTAATTTACCTGGTCCATCATTTTCCATTTGAAATTTGGCCGCTGCGATGACTTCTGCTTCTTTTTTCTCGATCGACATTTCTGTACTGTCTGTATCTTTCCCATCGTTATCGGATTTCTTTAATTCATCAGTTTCTACTTTGACAGAGTCTTCTGTAGGTGGAGCTTCTAGTGTCACGAGGGACTCTTCTGGTTTTGATTCATCTTCTTTCTTTTCTTCTGCTTCCTCCGATTTTTCAGTGATTTCCAAAACAGCAGCAGCTTTTTCCTCGATTTCTTCAACACTTATATCAGGCTTTGCGGTTCGATCGACTGCTGGTGGCTCGGAGGGATGACTTTCTTCGAGATCTCCTGTATCAACCAGCTTTTCTTCCTCTTCATATCCTTCCGGCGGCGCTTGAACCTGGTCCATCTTTTTCTTAACCGGCTCTGGCTCCGGATGATCAGCCATCAGATCTTCTAGAACCTTTAGTTTCTCCTGCAAGTCTCTCAGATTCTTCTCTGCAAAAGCTCTGTTTTCCTGCGAGTCTTCGTATTTTGGCGGAGCTTCTGGATCGGTTGTTTCTTCATCTTTTTCTGGCTCTGGTTTGATTCGTTCTTCGTCGCTTAGTTTGGATACGAAGTTGACGGCCTTATTGAGAAGAGTTTCGCCTCCAATGGCGAGAATGACTTGGGAATGAGCATCGCCGTATTTGCCGAAGTCAATATCTGTTGCTATTCTAGCGTCGCGACAAATTCTAAGCTCTTCCTAAAACATATCAGAATAGAATCAAACTTCTCATTTTTTCTATACCTGAAGCTCATTTGGCCAACCTTCATAAGTCAGTTCTTCACCTCTTTGGCCACCCAGTCTTCGTCTGACCTTCAAAATTCCCGTAAATCTCTTCTACAAATCTCTAAAATGAAAGCTTACCGCACTGAATAAGCCAGTAATCGGCATCGTAGCAACTCAAAAATTGAGTTTCCAAGGAATTTCTTCAACGCCGTGTTTTCAGATAAGCGTCGATGGGGATTGCACCAAGCATCGGTACTCCACCACTACCTGGGGGCGAAAGAGGGCACTAACGCTCGCCAATCGCTGCTCGCGCGTATTTTTTCGGGAAAATTGTTTTATCAGTCCTTTACGAGCTGGGACTTGATCAGATTAGAAAGGGTGCGAAAAGGGGGAGTTCAAGCGCTTTATTGGACTCTTTTATCTGATTATTAGCTTCTTGAGAAGGTTGTTGTCAATAAGTTTCTAGGGCTAAACGTTTATTCACACGATCAAATATTCAAATTAATTTCACAGCTTGCAGATTGCTTTAACGGCATATAAGCAGGTGGCGGACCTCTTCTGAAAGGCGTCAATGGTGGGTTTTCCTTTTCTTTTCCCTATTTTGGTGATTTTTAGGTTTTCTTAAAATAATTTTAAAATGCATTAAAACCATGGCTTTGATTCGCGAGGAGAGTTGTTTCCAGAAATATATTTGTAAACAAAGGTATAGTGCGAATTGATATATCTGATAAACCGCCTTGCAAACACCTGCTGACCTAAAGAATCGATTTTAGTAAAAAATTAAAGAATATTTTACCTCGAATGAGATCAATGATGCTCAACCCAAGAAACAGACTCAAAGCTCCTCCAATATCAGACAGTAAGCCAACTCGACTGTAGTCTTCTCTTTCTGTATAGATCGTTCCAGCGACTTCGGACATTCTGATCTTTTCCAAGCTCAAAATTAGCAATTTATGAAATGCTAGAATGAGAAAATTGAGATCGTTGTCTTGACAGAAATCAGCTTTATATCTGTAACTTCGATGTGTTCCACATTTTCTTTCGCGTCCGAATCGTCATCGCCGATGCCCATTTTGTTGTTGCGCAAGAACTCGATCTTCTTTTCGTCTAGTTTATTATACTAAAATGGCGATAGTGAAGCTGCTTTTATGCAACTTTATCAACATGAATATTATCTTGAGCAACAGTTTTGTGATGACATGAAGGAGGACAATCATTCGCCTTGCTTTCTTGGTCCATCTAAAATTTCCGATTAGTCGTTGAACCTCCGCCAAATTGACCTTGATTGTGCTGACGCAGATTGCATGATCGGAAAAATCGCATTCTGGCAAGTTTGTGATGTTAAACAACTCATATCCGTCTGCATACGGGATTAATAGATTCAGATTGTAAATGACTTGATAATTGACTTATCCCTGAACTTGAGCGTAAGTTGGGTAGCAGCCGCAAACATCAAGAACTTGTTGTAGAAAGTTCTTGTAGCTGCATCGATCGAAAGTGTACTAAAAGAGATATTTGATTTAAACTTTAAATTTTAAAGAAAAATACAGTTTCGTACATTTTCGCCTTTTTCGCATCTCGTAAACGGGTCCCCTAGAAGTTTCGTTTCAATTTGAATGATGTCTACAACTGGAGTCAAATCCTTGACGAGGGGGACCGAGTGCGACTCTTTGATGATCTTCTCCTCGGGATGAAGATAGTACATATTCAGAGCGTTGTTGAATCCGTTCCAGCCAAAAGTACTGTCGCTTCTATTGTACCCGATTGTCAATTCAAGTCGTTTAATCAAGTCCGCCGGCTTCTGTTCTGGCGGATCCTTTTTGTTTCCCGACAATCCGCCCATAAGAAGAGTCGATAAGATAGCAAGTTTCGATTGCCGCTCTTTTTGCGCTTTGATTTTCGCCAAGTTCAGTTCGATACAATAACCCATTAGAGTCCACTTTGGCGCCCAATAATCGAGACAGTCGATGTTTTGGAGCTTTATTGGGGCAAAATTAGAACGCTTGTGGCTTTCTCCATGATTTTTAGAAATATAAACCCCTTGCCTGACATTCGATAAGAAAATATTGAGGTCTCGTTTGGTAGAAAAACTCCATCATGCTCAAATCTTATTTTTGAGGAAAAATTAAACTAGCCATGCTGGTCTTATTACCGCTGAAATTTTCCCATTTTTTCTTCACTTTCTCAATCAGCGTATCTGGAATGGATATGTTGTAGGCTGCTTTTTGAAGAATGAGCTGAGAAAGTTGCGATTCTTCTTGAGTGAAAGTTCCGTAGTCGCCGTACAAGCTCATGATGTTGATTTTGTCGCCTCCTTTTAGCTGCTGCACACGTTTCTGAAAAATATTCATGCATAAAAGGGTCTGAAAGCAATAGTACCTTGGAATGCATTGAATCCGAGCAGAGGATGATTGTCGGAAAGACCGATTCTTCCGCGTCAGGACGCAGTTCGGTTTGAGAAATCGTCGAAGTTCTAAAGTTTTTTTTTTCTTGCTGAAATTTTAATTTTGCCGCGTTAAAATTTGGCTCACACCTACAGTAGATCCCGATCAAGTGCAAAAACAACGATTCTAGTGCATGCAAGCTCAACAAAAATGTTTTCAAAAAGACCTCAGTTTTCAAATTCAAAAATGAGCGAGAGAAGACTGGTAGATGAAATGCCTCCGATGTTTCCCGAAGAGGAAGAAATAGCGCGAAAACGAGCAAATGCGCATTTGGCGGCCGGTGTTTCCTCCGGATTTACAGTTGTCAAAATTATTGATCATTTCCGACCGAGAAGTCTGAATACGTTTTCCGCGAGGATAAACTTTTTTTCGATGGGCTTGATTTTTGGAATGATGGTTTTCCCCTCCAGCGCGTGGTACAAAGATATCGTTAATCAACTACCAAATGGATATTTTCGCGAAGTTCATGTTAACGGATTGGCTTGGACGAAAGAAGAAAGGGTTAATTACTTCGAAGCTAATCCAAAAGGTGTTGTTTTGAATCAAAACGCCGACTAAAATAATATTAATCTTGGTCTTTAGAAAAAGAACAAAGAGAAAAACTTATCGGAATCTATTCGCTTCCTTACATTCCTCCTCCAGGTCAAGGTTTTCTAGCGAATAATGTTATACTTTCAATCACTCGCAAATTCAAATCGAAAACCGTGCAAAGCGACATCGGGAAACTTCATCACTTACGCTGATTTACGTCGACTTACCGCTTCCGAAATCGTATCAACGAATAAGCTATATTGTGGAGAGTGAAGATCGCCCCAAAAATCGTAATGATGATTATCAGCCGATTGAAAATGCTCCCTCCCTTTATTATCTTTCTCAAAGTTCTCAAAGTGAATAAATACTCTCTTTTATTTTCGATGTTTTGAAACTAGTCCTTCCATATTCGCATCATGACGCATGAATAAAACGACGTCTAGTTCAACAATTTGAATGCATAAGTTTAAATATCAAACAGAATCGATCGTCAAGAAGCAGCAATGGTCAGGGCTAATGATCAGTGATTTTAGTCTTGCATGACAGATGCATTTTAAATTGTTTAAAAGCCAAAATAGATTAATTTTATTAACCGTATGGAGTAATGAGTTGATGACTTAGTGCCAAACTTTAGTCTTAGTTTTATCATAATAAAAATGTCATTTCTAGGTCTTTCGTCATTGACTCTCGATTTAAAGAATCTTCTCAGATTTGTAAAAATGAAACCAGATCTTATACGATAATTTATGTGTCTCTTTATCAGATCACCTTATTTGAGAGCACTTTCATTGCTTCTTTTTCTTCGCCAGACTTTTTGCATAATCGAGATAGAATTGACAGAAGACAAAATATGGGAAAGAATAAAATACGACGAGAAAGTCGACGGAGTCTCATTTTACTGCAGCATTGAAAGGGCCGCATTATTCTTTGACAACGCTTATGGAGATATCGATGGAGTTCTCAAGCTAGAGGCTGGAGACGAAGATGATTTCTGCGTTCTTTCCATGGAAAAAGCTGGAGAATTAGAATGTCTTGTTGAAAAGTTAGAAAGGTTTCGAAAAAACTACGATGAGCAAGGTGATATTTATGATTTTTTATGCGACTGGAATCCAATCGAAACTGTTTCACTGAATCCACTGACTGTCATTAATGGTAGGTTGATGATCTTGAGATGGTATGACGATTTTATTAAAACCACTCTTCAGGACAGATAATACTTTCAAAAGATGAACTGATAGAAATGAGTCTGGAAGATGGCGTTATTGATGAAACAATCGAGCGATTTATTATCCACGATGCAATAATTTTCGAAGGATTCGATGAAGGCATCCTCGCCAAAGCTGGAATAAGCAAAGAAAATCCTCGATGTGGGCTAGAGTTTGTTAAATGTGACGAGGCGCTGGTTGCTCTGGTTAAAGAAACTTACAAAGATTTAGGAAAAGGTCGCAAAAAATGGGCTCAGTCTGCACTCTTTGATTGCATAACCTTAGAATAAAGGAAATTCAGGCATTTCTCAAGTTTTCACCGACGTAATAGATGGATTGAAGGACCAGGGAAGAGAGTTCCTAACAGATACTTCTGTTTCGAACTCGTTGAATAATGCGCTTTTGGAGCTGGAATTCTTGGACGCAGAATCGATTGATTTTACTGACGAATCCGTTCAAAACGATATTGTTTCTGGTATTTGCGAACAACTCAAGAAACAGGGACAAGAAAATATCTTCACTACTGTCGTCCAAGGATGCAACAAAGTAACGCTTGATCTTTGTCTCGAGGAAGATGACCAGGTTTCAATCAGCATTCCGCTCAATTCGACGAACTTGGACAAAATCGAAGCTTCGGCAGATGCGATTGCTGCAAGAGAAAAGAAACTTGAATATGAAAAGAATATCCTGGTCCAAGTTATGAAAGAAACGAGAAGTCTAAAAGTCACATTGTCTGAAATCGAGAATTTATGGATGAAAACAACTTTAAAATTATTCTTCATTTACGTTAATGATAAGGTTAAAAAAGGCACTGTCATTGCTTTTCTATCAAAAGCTGATTGCCTCGCTGCCGGAGCGAAGGCGGATCAATCACTTGCTCAGCAGCAGGATTTAATCAACGTTAATTTTCCGATCTTGCACTCAAAGATTTTCTACTACCCAAATGAACTTGAAGATATCAAAGAAGCAATTGGCCCTGAAAAAGCGGCACAAATAAAAGCTGATTCGAAAATCGTGGCAAAAGATATCATGGAAGCATTTACCGACGGAATAAGCGACGGATTCAATGGCTTCCGAATATTCAACATCGAACACGCTGGTTTTCGTCGAATCAGTCCTAATTATGGAGACATGGTTGATCTCGCAACTGAATATGGTACTGGGCAAATTTCAGACATTGTAATCACGCTTTATTCAAATACCGATACGACAAATTTCGCCGAAATGTTCAAGTTCGTCACAAATTCCATCGGACAGCAACTTGAGCAAATAATCAAGAGCAGAAACATTGAATACATTAAAAACGAAGATGAAATCGTTAAGCAGGTTTTACAAATTAATGAAATCAAAAACCAAAGGACATTTATTAAAAGCAAGGAGCGAAATTTTCAAGGTAAAAAAAACAAGGTTTATTTTTCACAGATTTACTGTTTCAGCGAAAGCCATTCAATTTACGGAGCCAAGAAACGCTTCTGAGTTTTTTTCCATAAAAATTGCGTTTATTTGTTTCATGGTATTTACTACTGTCATTTGTTGTACAACGATGTATGTGACGAAGACCGCGCAGCCGAAACACTGGGTCTTTCTAAAGAAGCGGTCAAAAATTTATATGCTACTTCATTTTTTTTACAATTTTATGAGCTCCTAAAAGACCTTTATCCTCTTCTCGCGAATGTACAGCAACTACAACAAAGTCGACAATGCGATAAACTATGCCACAAGCAAAGGACTCATTCATGAGCCCGAGGAGATAGTTGTCGCGTACTTATTCGCCAATCCTTTTCTCGCGCTACTTTTGGTCTTCATCTGGTGGGCGGTCATTCTAGGTTTCGAAGCAAATGGAGCTCCGATCTTCGTGCTTTTTCCGCTGGCGATGTGCATTTATGTGATACAGTCGTTGGCGCTGGATATTCCATCGTTGTTCATTACTTATTTTTATATGACGAGATACAAGGCCGGAAGTATTGTAATTCGAGTTACAGGAATGGGTTGAGATAGAGTCTGTTGGGCTTCATAACAGGCGATTCTCGACCTCTTGAAAGTCATCATCGAAATAGTGCTGTCTGGCGTTGAAGCTATCTTCGTCCTCTTTTCTCATTTAAAGTCGTACCTCGCTCTAATAAAAACTATGGGCTCAGATAGGGTTGGCTCCGACCTCAGAAACTACAAGAAAAGAATTATCAGCCTGGCGACGATTGCAATTTCACCGTTTTTAATTTGCTTTCCGTCCATAAAATACTTGTCCTTATTTCAAAATTTGCTCGGCGCAGGAATGGGATCCTTTTTTATAGCAAAAAAAAATAATTTTTGAGTAGTTTGAAAAATTCCTAATAAGTAATCAACGAATTCGAACCAACAACGTACGATCCGAAAGCGTTCATTGTCGAGGAAGTTAAAGATGATGGATACGCTAAATTTAGCTTTCGCAACAACGAATACGGCCGGCTCAAAAACAAAACAGAGGGACTGGCGAATTTCTTTCGTTCCAACTTTGGCGACTTGTCTGACAACAGGCAACGCTCGAGTGATTGCGTCAAGACCATTGTCGACCCAATCTTTGACCCTCCAAAATTTCATTCTTTTCCGACTCCATTTGCAGCTGGTTGCATCAATCAAACTGAAAGAGCATTCATTGGATTTATTTTTGCAGCTCTCCTTGCGATTGTCAGCTTCTTCATCTTCCTTGTAAGTATTTCTATCAAACAGTTGCTTCACTTATCTTGTAGAGATTTAGCTGGCCGTATGTGCTCGACTGGATGGAAATTGAAAACTTTATCCCAATCATTTGCGGCGCAAGGGACGGCAATCGTAGGACTGTTGGCACCAATGTTAGAGAAGAAGACATCCAAGAACTCTACGAGAAAATCGACAGTTCAAGAAAGCTCTCTTGCTCGTGTCTTTATAGAATCATGAAGCCGACACGTGAATCAATGGAGAAAAATAGAAAAAAGATCAAGCAAAGATTTGAAGAAATCAACAAGGAAAAAAGGGAGGCAGAAACGTTTTGGTCGGATTTCAGACAGCTAGAGGAGAAACCTACTTTGCTTGAAAAGCTCTCAAGATTCTTTAGATCTGCTCCAATTTCAGCGGAAAAAGCAAGTATTGTTAATTCGAAAGAAGTTGGAACAGATACTTATCCAGATCCGCCAATCTTCATCGCAAAAAGGAACGAGTAAAGAAAAACTAAGTATGCTATTTCTTTTATTTCAAGGGGAAAAATCGGTCTCAAGCTCGTAAAAGGCGTTTTGATGCTAAAAATCCAGTTCAAAAACCCATCTTCGGTCGGAATAAAAAGACTATGAATAACTACAATGACATGAAGAATAAATCTGCTCAGGAACAGTTTGACTTCGTCCAAAGACTAAGCAAGGAAGAAAAGAGACGAATATACAGTCGAGCTGAAGTGTCAATAGAAAGACATATGCACCGTCAGAAAGTCTTTCGGCTCCAAGGGGATGAAGACTACAACCCAATTTTGGCTGAAATTCAACTCGAAGATGACCCAAAATTGAAAAAGGAAGAGGCTGGCAAGTTGGCACCCGTGATGGTTCGGACGAAACCGGTCCAACAGCAACACATAATCAGAGCGATGGTCATGGACATAACTGAATTTGAAGCTGAAAAATAGCTGAACTCTTATTATTTTCATTTATTATTACTTCACTTAAATAAACAAGAAAATACTTTTTTAGTCACAGGCATATTCATAGGCCCACGAAAATCGTCCGTCTTTCAGTTTCTGACAGCACTCTTTATCAACTTCATTGCATATTTTCAGAAAAGTAATCATCTCCTTAATTCTGGGCGAAAACAACTCTCGCCAAAGAGCCGTTTCCTCTGGGTACTCTTCCCTGACGTTGATTTTTCGAGACGTTCCCTTTGCACCGTTGAGGCAGTACTTGATCGGGCTGGAGAGGCACGGAAATCCCTTTTCTTCATCTATGTAGAACTGCAAAGAATCTTTTTCCAATCCGATGAATTCGAGGAGACGACCCCATTCTTCGTTGGGATTGGAGATTAAGCTCTCGCCATCAAGGAGGAGAACATTTTCTTCACTAAAATACCATTGCAGTTGGCAAAACACGCGTTAAATTACCCGAATTGCTCAATAAAAGGTGTAATTGCATGCACATATTCGTCAAAACCGATACTTACTGTCTTCCCATCAACTTGATTCTCAAGTTTTGATTTCACCTCATCCGTAAAAACCTTGATCTCCTCGTCTAAACCGCCTTTCAAACAAGCTCTGCATCTTTTTAATTCCATTTCCGAGTCGCCGTTCTCTTTCTTGATTTCTGTCCGACGATCTTTCATTTTGAACTGAGAAAATACTCTCGGAATCGGGTCACAGGCGATGGCAATGATTTTTGTGTTGGGTGCGACGATTTTCATTGCTTCGGCAGTAAATGCGGCACTTTTGCCAGAATACTGTTTTTTGGATTCAAAACCGAAGAAATTTGCTTCAGAAAAATAGTCTATTGAATCCTTTCCTCGGGTGATTTTTCAATCAAAATCTCATCCCTCGCCACAGCCGGCAAAGAAGACTTGTACATCTTCAGTAAATGCTCATACTGCTCTGGCCTTCCTCTGATTATATCTTGGGAGATCATATTGTTGAAAAACTTCGGTTCAAGCGTTTTCATCGTTACACTGGGATGGCAGTCGAGAAATTGAAGAGTTCCAGTCCCACACTTTGCGAAGCCGACGCCGATTATGTCTGGTAAACGTCGCTCGAGAGGTTCCAGGCTCTGGAAGAATAAATAGAAATCTTCAAGGCCCTCGAATCGAGCTTACCTTTCTGATTTCCACGGGACAGGCATGCTCCATAACCGCCCCCTCATGATAAGCTTTGTCTTTCGACTCCTCCATCAAAATCGTTGTCGGTTTTAGATTTCTTCTTATTGCTGAAAAATCCTCTGCTGGCACATGCTTCAAAATATACTTTTCAAGCTCTTCAAATTCCTCTTTTTTGATGTGCGAATGAAGGAAGTATGCGTCCAAAATTGCATCGTTTTTTATTTCCGGGTTGAAATAATTATACGCATTATGCGCGGAAATTGCAGCACAGAAAACAATCGCAGCAATGTTCAATTTTTTGTTTTCAAACGGTAAGTATTTCTTCCAATTGTTTTCAGTCGACATTTTCTCTTGTCAATTTAACGATGAACGTGGATGATAAGTGATGTTTTGAGTGAGGGGTACAAACCGCCCCGAGGATATTTCTAGTATTTTTTAAGCGATTTGAGGTCTTTTTTTCCGGCTAAATGATTGCAGCATCAACTAAAAAGGAAAAATATAGGCAACAGAAAAATCCTAAGGTCCACAAAGACCCTGAGTCTTCTTCTAAAAAAGCAATAAAATCGAGGCTTATCCGTATAAGCAATCTAGTAATGCGTTCTATAAAAACCAGTGCACTCGATTTGGTCATTAAAGACTAAGCAATGCAGCGCAAGCATTAAATTTTCATCCACAACTGTCGAACTTTCTCAAGAAAACATTTTCTCGTCCTCAAACGTCGCGAGAAAAGAAACACAAGAGAGCAATGAAAAATGTTTTATTTACTTATCTCCTTCGATCAAGCTTAGCGATGGTGGAGAACTGTTTTACATGTAAGAATTGGGATGACTGCAATTTTATTGGTTTCGGCCATGTTGAAGGGAAGAGAGAGGTCAAACCGTATTTGAATCAGTCAGGAAGGGTTCGATTTGCAATCTTGATAAAACTAGCCAGTTTTCTTCCTTGATTTCAAACTTCGACCCTCGAAAGACGCTTTTTATATTACGTGTTCGCGGCTCATCCACGTCTCTGAAATTCCCGGTCCCTTCCGAATCAAGCGGCTCAGAATCAGTCAATCTTCTTTGTCAAACAACTTGGAAGGAATCGCCGATTTTACGAATTTAGAAGTACTCAACGCTTCGAACACTGGTTTGACCTCCATCGATAACGACCTCCAGTCTCTGAAAAATTTATGGATGCTGGACGTGTCCTGGAACATGTTATTGTTCCTTCCAGGGAATCTCAAGGAGCTTCGAGCGGTTATTTTGCTTCACGGGAATCCATTCCAGTGCTCTTGCGATTTGGCAGCGATTGTCTCTGAAATTCATTTTGTCGATGGCCCCACTGCAGCAACTTGCGATACTTTTGGAGATCTTGTTCCGCTGCGAAAATTGATCAGTTTGACGGAGGAAAATGTCCAATGCGCAACTGAAAGCGCCCAAGACATCCCAATGTACATCATTTTCTTCAGCTGGGTCGTTGGACTCATGGTTACTTTGTACAGATACTCGAAAGCGGAATCGAACAGTAGTGAAGAGAACTACAACAAAATCGATCCAGTAGAACTTGAACGAATACGAAAAGAAGCGATTGAGATTCAGAATCGGATTAATCAAAATCGAGATTCGGAGATGCAAAAAATCAGGCACAGGCGATCGAAATGCCCGACTCATTCAAACTGCTCATCTTGTAAAGGTCTATTTAGTTTTATTCTTGCCATCAATGTTCTTGTATAATTTTTAGAGCTTAATACAAGCGGTGTCCAGCCAACGCGATGCACTCATACAGTCGAGTCACTGAGGAATAAGTTCAAAGAAAGCGGACGTCAAATGTGCAAACCAAGAGTTCGCGAATGTGAAGCCTTCGACGACATATCCATGAACGCCGCCACTAGTCGACATTTCAAAGTGAGAAACAAGAATTAAAACCGTTTGTTGGGATAAATATTTTAGTACAACCTGGCAGATGCGATGGAAAGGCGCCTCGAGGAGAGCATGAATGATATAGGAACTGGTTTGTTTTCATTTTGAATTCATCCCACAAGATTTTGAACTGCCCGGAAAAGCTTCAAAGTACGACTCGTTTTCTGTATCGCATCATTCCAATCACTCATCTCGGTACAACTCCCGACGGGCTTCAATCCGACCATCTTCAGGATACGATTTTGCTCTCGAGCGAGCTCCAAACGAGTCAATTTACGACTCTGCTAATCCAGCGAAAAATCGCATCCATCGCCAACGAACACTTCCAGTTAAGGATCATAAATATGATAGTTTCAATTGAAACTTATAAATATTCAAATATTTAAAATAAATGATCCATCGGAACAGCTCGTCGAGGCTGGCCGTACTCAAAGCACTCTTCTCTCGGACAATCGTACGATTCTTCTTATGGCGTCCAAGCAGCAAGCAGTTATGATAACGTCATAGCAAATCTGCCTAAGAGTCCACATCCTCAGCTTCACAAGCAACGATCCCGCTCGCCAATGAGAATGGCATCACTAGATGTGTACTCTCCAAGGCCACCTTCATCTCGACGTGATTCTGACTGTATTTATGAAGGTTTGGGGTTCGCAATTAGATTGATAGCAAAAAGTATTGAAAAAATGGTGAACGCCAGATTACGACCCCGTCGAAGAATCAGTCGATGGCTTTTGAGGACATTTAAGAACAGGCTTTTTATATATTTATTTTTTGTCCAATAAAAAACTGTTTTGGAAGCGTTTTTATTTGAAACTTGAAGGAAATTCAGGCTTGTTATTTATTCAATTTTCAAAACTCGGGCGATATTCTTCTTCCTCCGGAAGATCTTGGACGAAGAATGGGATTCTGAACTGACGAAGCGCGGAAATCATTTGACGGTATTCTCAGCCTGACTTTTGAGTTTTCTCGCATCGCGCTAGAATCTTGTGAGCATTCATTGAAATGACCGAACTATACCTTGTTATTCCATGTTGGATATAATCGTACATTTTCGCTTTGTCAGTCTTGTAAGTCTTCGCCATCGCTTCTATCGCATCCATCAGCTTCGGATCAGCACTAAAAGCGACTCAAAAAGGCGCATAAAGTCGACAACTCACCCTCTGTGAGACGTAGACAGCTGTTCTGCAAGATCTTCGATGATTTCTACGTTCAAGCTGCTCATGTCTGTCATCACCATCGTTAGATTCGCCTCGGAAAGTCGCATCACACCACAAATCTTTTGCAAAACAGATATTTCTTGCGCTGCCTTCGTCTTCATATTTTTAGCTTGAATGTTTAAAGAAATGAAGATTCACTATTAAAAACATACCTGCTAGATCTGCAGATATTTTTTGACGCTCATTCTGAATTCTGAAGGTTTCCTCGAACTTAATTTGCTCAAGAGCAGAATCGCGCAGGACGCCATCAAATGAGATGTGGTCGACGTTGTCATCAAGAGAATCGATTCGCTTCGTCACCGAATCATCTTTTTTCGAAAACGATCGTTCTCGTTCTATATCTGCATGCTCTTCAATTCTAGCTTGCTCAGATTTCGAAGACTCGTAAAGGCGGACAATGTCGCTCGGTTCAACTCCTTTCAATCGGTTTTCAAATGCAGTAACAAAGAGAATCCCTTTCAGGTCAATAAGGGTCTAAAACATAAATACGCAAATGTTCTAAGATAGATTTTTACCTGATAGATTTCCTTGTATTTTAAGACTTTCTCAAGTCCATTCACGCGTTCTTGCACTAGAATCTCGCCAAATATTTGAACAAAAAGCTGATCACTTCCTCTCGGATTGTTTTCGTTCTTAATCTCTTTGAGTTCTTCTGTAGTTTTTATAAAACAAGCCGTCCATTTTTCTTCGTAGTCAACGAGGCGATCAGAATAGGACCTGTCACGAACGATGTTTTCGAATTCTTGGTGGTAAGAAACAATGAAATTTGATGATGTTTCTGCAAATTTTTTCGTGCTACTTTCATCTTCCAGTCGCTCTTGCAGTTCTCTTTGAAAGGAATAGTTGACTGCATAGTAATCTATGTTTATACCTTTTTTGTTCTTTAGAAAGTGTAAGTTCTAAGAGCGACCTATTGAGTTTCTTCGCTTTTGGCCTTGAAGACTTTGAGCTCTTTGTGTTTCTTCGAAGCGATTCATCGAGAGAATCTTTCGTGTCTCTGTTTCGTCGATTTTCTGATTCATCGACAAAATCTTGAAGCTTTCGGAGTTTCTGGCGGTCCATTTTCAAGTCCGACAAGTAGTTTTGAAACACTAAAAATTTTTATTTCAATGTCATCTTTTTATTCACCTGAGCAAATTCTATTAGCCATTTGAGCTTCAATGTTCGCCACATCTTTCAGAAGCTTCGACGCACTCTGAAGATCAAAGTCCGCTAGAATATCCAAAAACTCGCTCAAGTCAATGTTTTTCAAGTTCTTTCTCGCCAGAAGATCGGCGATAAACTCTCGTTTTGCTTTTTTGAAATCAACAACGATTTCGTTTTCATGATCGTCAAGAGCATCGTCCAACAAGTTGTTGAATTCGTCGCGAATTTGTAGAATTTCGCCGAGAACAGAATTCAGCATTTCCTTTTTTCGATTTTGGGGAATTTTTATTTCTGTTGCAATCGAATCTAGATCACTTTCGATCTTTTCTTTCGCCGTGTTCCAGTCGGACTTTCTTTGCTGCCAGCGATAAACCCATATTTTCGCAAGAGCCAAACGGTTTTTCAGAATTTTTTCGATTCTAGCTTTATATTTCGATAACTCATCGGAAAAGAGATGCTCAGCATCTCGCAAAAGCTTGTATTTAATTTCTCCAGTCATGTAGCCGAGATCAAGCTGTGAAGCGAGTCGCGCGAGTTTGAGTCTTTGGACATTTTCAGACGTATCTTCGAGATCTTTGAACGCTTGAAAAATGTCTGAATAGAGGTGTTCCTCGGATCTTTTGATTTCGTCGAATTCGCAGTTGTGCGCGCTCTTCAACTCATGATCGAATCGATTTAGCTTGACCTCGAACTCTTTCCGCTGGTAAACATCGTTCAGAAACTCAAGTAGATCGCGTCGGATGTGTAAGCCACTTTCCCAAGTCTTGAATGGTATCAGCGGCGTCGATTGAAACAAGTGCCCGGCGAGAATGATCTCGTCATCGTGAAACTCATTTGGAGAAAAATCTGGCTGGATGGAATTCGGGTCTAGTTTAGATGTGTTTTTGACGCTTTGAGGGGGCTGTTGGATTGTCTTAATTCAGTAAATTAAGTTGTTTGTCTCTGATCCATTTCTTGCCTGCTTTGGTTGAGCTACATTCGCGCTTCTTGAGCTGTTGCAGCCCATTTTTCTCTTGGAAAAATTTAAAAACGGAAATAGTAAAAACGCGTATTCACGCGCAAAGGTGAATTTGGGGTGTCATTTAAATTTAACAACACAATTGACAGTGAGATGAAAGAAAATGCTGAGTTCCGTGGTTATGACAACCACCTGAGGCTCCAGCCAAAAGTTAAACATTGATAGTGAGACATCAATGAGTCCTTAAGTTTATGAGCCAATATCAGAAAGATTGGACCTTCTCTGATAGACTATCAGTGATAGAATCTCTGAAATATGAACTGTATAAGTAAAATAGACTGTACAAATTTATTGTCTCTTATGCGGAGAATAATAATACTCTTTACAGTCGTTGGCGTAGATAGTTTCGTTCCTTTCTGACGAAGTTTTCACTTGTTCGGGAGACGCTAAGCTCGCATATTCATTTTCTAATCTTGCCAAACTTTCACGAGCAATAGAGAACTCGCCTTCTTCCATACCTTCACCAACGAACCTTAGACGAATGTTAATTTGTTGGTATTAGTACTGATGAATTTACCAGTGAACAAATGCTCTCTTTGCATACATCAAATCAAATTTTCGATTGACCATTTTAAATACTTCTACGATGTCAAGTCTATTTGTAACAGAGCAAACTGACGGATCAGAAGACTGCAGATCGTATGTTCTTGGAAGAGGTGGTGGTTGCGACTTCGAAGAGTTAAATGCAAGTGACTTTTATCGTAATTTTATTTTTGAACTCTTCCTGAATTCGAGCAGGATTCCAATTTGCAGATTGAGTCCTATTTTGGCAAAAATTGAATTCTTTCTTCAGTTTCTGTATTGTTTTACTGATAGATTCGCTTCTTACATTTCCACGGTATAATAAAGAAGTGCTCAAAAATGGACCTTCTGACTTTTGATTACTTATCGAAATGAATTGATTCTAAAAAAAATAAAGATGCAAACACAAAATTATTCTTCTAACCTCAGACTTGAAGCAAAAACGACTCATCTCATGAATCGAATTGTTTTCTGCAGTATTCTGGCTTTCCGGAGAAATAAGAGGAGCACATGAATATGAAAGATAATTTATCCTTGGCTGCGGAACAAGACTGTTGATAACATTTGAAAAGTTTGCTATCGATGGATCTGTGAATCTTGTAGATGCTGTAATTGACGAAATCACCTTTCAAACATGAAGAATATTTATGCTGAAAGAATGTTTTACCTGTGCAATAAGGCGGTTCGTATTATAAAAGCTCGGTATTTCTACGTCCAAATAATTCTGGCATATTTTATATAAAGCTTGATTATCGAACATAATTGAACAGCTAGAAAGATTGCGTCCGTACTGTCTTCCAGCATACAGGAGGGCATTGTAAGGTTCGACCACAGAAGACGCAAATTTAGGCGAAATAAAAACCGGCACTTCCATAATCGGCACCTTAGTTTCCTTGATATATTCAAGGAGTAAGGCCGTCAAGCCAGAACCAGTTCCACCACCATGAGAATGATACACAATTATTCCTTGAAGGGCATCGCACTGTTCTTTGGCGCTTTCTACATTTTTCACCAGAGGCTCAATTATTTCCCTTCCAATCGTATAATGTCCTCTTCCATAGTTACTAGCAGAGTCTTCCTTGCCGTTTATCATGAGCCGTTGATTGTAAAGAGATCCGTAGATCGAGTTTTTGACAGCATCAACGACATTCGGCTCTAAATCGGCCATGACTGCCCGTGGAACCGCTTTTCCAGTTGCTTCAGAGGGTTAAATTTGAACTGTTGATTATTCGTACATTATATATACAGTGCATATTCAACAATTCCTGATTGATAGAAAAAGTCTCGTATGAGTTGTCAAAGGTCGAAAACGAGTCTTCAGGAATGGTTCCATCAGGATTGATGCCATGTTCGTAGCAAAAAAGCTGCCAAGAAGCGGCGCCGATTTGAATTCCCGCCTGACCAACATGAATCGATAATATTTCTCGAGGACTTCTATCTACTCTTTCTCTTGCTCCAAGAGGAGGTGGAGTAATAGGTGGAGGGCTTGGACTTCGTGATCGTGGTGGTGGAGTCTTTGGTTTAGGCTTTGGTTTTTCTCGTCTAAGTTTTTGAAAAGATCTCTTTTGCATTTTCGCACAATTTACTGGGATGAATATTTTGCGCTTATTTGCGGAGGGAGCCGACTAATTACCAACGATCGACATTTTGATTACCAATGTTCATTAATTTTAAGAAAGTCTAGTGATAAAAACTTTTCCTTGAGTTTTTGGTTTTTCTCGCTTATCTTCATCCTTATTGTTTGGCTTTTCAACAAGGTTATTTTTCTCTGGTTCAACTACATTTTTTGACTCCGAGCAGCCCATTTTTTGATATCAGATGAGTTTTTGACGGCATTTGTCAGGAGGAGGGTTAGTTGTCAATGGACACGAGAATAAATAAAGTTCTAACAATTGCTGTTATCGGCAATGTCTAAACATCGTAGTGATGGCCAAAGGGAATCAAACATTCTCTGTGGGAAGCATTTTTTCCTACGAAGGATAAGCGAAAGTGGGTACGCCCAAATACTGTGTATGTGGCTTGTGGTATGCTTGTTGTTAATTCCAACATTGGAAATTTGCATCAAAATAGCAGTAAGTTACCATATAAATATTAATTTTCGATGAAAAAGTTCGAGTTTGAAGATGTGCTACTTGTAAAAAAATAGTTATTTTTTCTCGTTGTATAATTCTAGCACTTTTCTAGGTGGAGATTTTGTTAAGATTATGCACGGAATTTTTTACAAGAACTCATAGAATGGGTGGAACCTAAAGCTGACTATAATTTGTGTTTTCTAAATCTTACAAAATAGTTAATGTCACGGAAAAACGACACGTATTTCTATATTCAGTTATATTCTTATGAGTTCAATATTATCTCTAGAACATCACTTATTATCGTTAGATTTTTTCAATACCGAGATCAGTTTGAAAGCGTAAAAATGGACCCGACACGCGCAGGGATTTCCGCCTCTGCTACAGAAGGGCTCAATCCAGACTCCCTTCAGTCAATCATCGAGGACCCAGAAGGAAATCCCTTTGAGATAATTCTTCCTGATGATAAAATGTAAGTTTTCACGGTATAACGAATAGCTTTAGTCTAATACCTACAAAATTTGTAGGCTACAAATTAGCATAAATTTTAATAGCCCTTTTTAGTGATATAAAAGACCTGGCGGACGAAGCAGCCGATTTGCGCTCAAAATACGAGACCTGCGAACAAGTTTACCTCTGGGCGTGCAGGAAACTCGGCTGCACTCCCGTCACTCCTTTCATCAGAAATATTAATCAGGAGCTTTGCAATTTAGGTGAGTTCTCAATTACTTTTTCCCACAACAAGCTACTCTTAGATGACTACGGCCTCGGAGAACGAGGAACAAAAGCGCTGTCAGTGTCTCTCATCATCAATACAAGCATAATCAGACTTCAATTAGCCAGCAACGCGATTGGTGGCAATGGAACTTACAGTATTTGCAACATGCTGAAGGAGAACTGCTTTATCACAGAATTGGTTTTAGGTGAGTCACAAGACCTGTAGCTTGCCTTCAGTAGCTTGTAATCGTTCATATAATTGACGTAACTTCCTACGTGGCAATGAGCTTCTGAGGAATTAAGGTTTTTGTGGAAATGACTCCTACCTGTAGCCCATTAACAGAGGGCTCCACTTATCGTTAGATTTTGCGTCTTAAAGTATTGGGCTACCTGGTAGACTCTACCTTCAAAAAGAAAAAACTGTGAAAAGTTTGTCTCAAAATCTAAGGCTTATTTTCTCACTAGTTTCCGAAGATAGGCCTACACTTTAAAGACGCAAAGCTAACGATAAAGCCGCACTTTTAGAGGGGCCCTCTTGTATCTCTAACGGTACAAGAGTTCAATTTGTACCTCTCATATCTTTTACGTTGGTTTTTTTATGACAGGACAGCAAGAAAATTTGGTTTTACGAAAAATGATAAGCGTAGATTGCTTTTGCCCTAAAACAGTGAAAAAGACTTGTTGCCGCGTAATGAATATCTTTAAGGGTTATGCTAGCTATTTACTTTTATGCATACTACCGAAAGTGCAAGAACACGTTTCTGCGGGTCTTCGTAGGGTCAACTTTCGCAAACAGAAGAATTTCGAACAAAAATCATTTCTATCGACTTGTAACTTTATTTTAGATAGCAATGATCTTGGCTCCTTTGGGGCAGAATGCGTTTCAAAAATGTGCGAAGACAACCGTTCAATAAAATATCTCTCGTTGCGAAACAACGACTTTCAAGATCAGGACGCGCAAATACTCTGCGATGGAATCAAGGGCTCCCTGACGCTCGAGTACTTGGATCTCTCACAGAACAAGTTCTGCGAGACCCAAGCTATCGGCCAGCTGATCAATCAAAACGAGTCGCTCAAGACGCTGAAGCTGCACTGGAACATGCTCCGGCTCGATGGGATGAAAAGCGTCATCAGTGGATTAAAGGAAAACGTCAGCCTCAAGCATATTGACCTCAGTTGGAATGGCATTGAATCTCGTCATTGCGGCGAGCTTGCAGATGTTCTTACAAGTAAGTTTTCTTATGCTTCTGATCACATGGTCAATGGACCATGTTTTTAGATGGTGCGGTAGAAACGCAACGCAAGCAATTTGGTGTTGCATGAATCATGCAGCATGATGCAACTTGCATCTGTAATTTTAGCCTTGACAAATTTCTATCAATGATTGATAATCAATCTAAGTTTCAGATTAGAAGAAGGACACGTATTTGAGTTTAAAAGTAAAGTTCGAGTTCAGGCATACATTAATGTCACAATCATTGACGATGTCTTGGCCATTGGAATATGCCCGTTACGCACATAATTGTACCCTTTCAAAGTTCCCGGCAATTTTCCGTCATATCAGAACTCTTTTAAAATCGAATTTTGCCGAAAACTTTCTAAACTAGAAACACCTTTTTTCTTGCAATTATTCAACTCTTCTTTTAAGCAAACAACACCTTGCAGCAACTGAACGTCAACAACAACCGAATCGATCCAACAGGCGCGATGACGCTCTGCCGCGGCCTCCAGAACAACGAGTCAATAACTCACTTCCACATCAAAGGCAATCCAATCGGCGAGGACGGCTTCAATGCAATCGTCAGCGCGATCATCTACAACACGCGAAACATCATCGAGCATCTTGAATTTTCAAAAATTGACTTTCCAGCGAAAGAAACTGTTGAACTCATGAAGGAACTCTCCCAAATGAAAAAGTCGTCTCAGTCTGATCATAACTTTCAATTCTGCTGTTGATTTATTTCTCGACAAATAAATTTTATTTTTTTAATAGATAGAAGTATTCAACTTGAACCCTTTTTGATTACTTTCTCCATAATTTAATATGCTTTACTGCCGAACATCGTAGCGGGTACATCGTAGAAAACAGTATCAAGACCACAACGACAATAAGAAAAACGTTACCCTAGCGTATCTATATTCTAACTACATTAGTTGAACTGTCCGATTTCACGGTGAAATGGTATATTGGTTGTGTTTATCGCTAGAAATGGGAGAAAACCTAAGCGGGTAACCGCATAAGACAGATTTAGAGATTCCGTCCGGGTTTTCAATAACGTTTTTTTTTGTTTCTCAAAGAAAGTTTACAAAGCAGTTGATGCATTGGGTCTTTGCGATCAGTTTTAGAACCCTTATGAAAAACAATAATTCTTGTGAATTCCTCTCACTTGAAACTCTTGAATGCTTACATTCTATTTTCAATTTATCTCAATCAAGAGCACGTTGATACCCGGTAGACTCTACCGTAAAAAAAAGCTGTTGAAAAGCTAAAGCAGCTTTTCAACAGATGAAAACATATTTTAGGTGAAATGCCAAATAATGGATTGCAAAAATGTCGAATTTTTGTCTGCAACGAAAGCTGACACTTTTACTTCTTTGAGACAGTCCGTAGTTTGACAGGCAAAATATACTTGTCGTGTCCGAAATCATTGCCGTTTTGGGTTGAATAAAAAAGCTGGTTGATAAGGAACAGATTACGTATTTGGAAGTATCGCTGATGGAGGCTCCATCTTTGCCGTATAGAGATAACGAAAGCCGTAAATCTTCAAAAATGACGAAAAGCGCATCTATGTAGTACATACCTCCACGTACCAGCATAGAACGAGAGCCATTGTATCCCCGTTTTTAATTAAAAAAATATAATTTAAATTACCAAGTTGAATGATTGACTAAGTAATAGAAGCGAAATTAAAAATTTTTAGCTAAAAATTTCGGAATTTTAGACACAAACTTTGGATTTTATTTGTCGAGAATTTGATAATCCGACTCTGAAAACTTTTCACAGATGAAGATTCATTTTAAGATCTATGTATAAAAAATATTTTGAGCAGTTTGAAAATTTCGGACACAGAGCATTGAAAGAAAAATGATTTTTTTTTCTTTTAAAATTTGGCAACAATAATGCACAATCAGATGACAAGCTAGCAGTAGGTCACCTTGTTAAAGTTCACGCAGCATAATAATTCGGTGGTGGTGGCGCTGAGCAACGCCGGGTTTGAGGTCAGCTCTTGCGCACCATACTGCCCTATATATTCGAGTGGTGATACTGATTCTTCATCAAATTAAAAGCTAGAATAACTAGATTCGAAAAGACTAAAAAATGAAAATTGCTTTTGGTCTTCTCGGCTTGTCCGCAGCCTCTCACTTCCGAGCTGGCAGTCTTCAGGTAAAAAGAAACTTTCCAACGATAATATTTAATATTTTTCTCAAGTATCGAAAATCGAGCACTCCTGGAAAAATGGAGGTCACTCGATACATGGGCTGGAGACGATATGCCGATGGCTACGGCGGATGCACCCAAGCTCATATTGACGCTGGAACTCTCGCTAATATGGGCTCTGAGTACATCAGCGGAATCGGAAGTGTTTCGGCTACCTACGCCGTGACAAACATCGAAGACTCTCCAACAGTGGACTCGAGTAAGTAATTCGTTTACTAGCGTATTCCAATATTATTTTTAAGATTCACATTTCTGCTTTGGAAGTTACACCTTCGAGATCAATTTGGGCAGCGTCACCAGCTTCGACCACACCTACAGCGGCTGCTGCACTATCACTCTTACAGGAGATAATGGAAGCACGTTCGGCGGTGGCTTTGGATACAAAGCTCAAGTCCGAGATGTCAACAACAGCTCGCCCCAGTTCACCTCTCCACCAATTTGGTACATCATGGATGGCTGCGGAGGACAAACCTACCACGTCAACCCAGTCGATCCCGAGGGCGACACCGTTCGATGTCGATGGTCAACATCTAGCGAATCCCACGCAATGGCTTGGAACAGTAATCTCCAGCAGTTCTCCCTCGACGAAGAAAACTGCATCGTCACCTACCATCCTGAATACGATTTGTATGGACAAGGATCAAAGCCAGTCGCCGTCCAGGTCGAAGATTTCGATTCTGATGGAAACCTTCTGTAAGTCTCAATAATATTTTACCTTAATCTATATAAAATTTAGTCACTCTGTCCCCTTGGGCTTTGTTGGCGTTGTTTTCACGCCAGACATCGAGGCATCCAGAAAATCGTTGAGAAAAAATCCACTCTACGCTGGCTTGATCGAAGGAACTGACGACCATGACGAGCATCATGATGAAGGTCGACGACGACGATCGCCAGACCATTTCAGTCCAGCTCTTTCTCGCCACGTTCGATCAACTGAGCCAGATCACTGCCTCGGCAAACCGTCTTTTGGTGGAAAATCTCCTGCACAAGGCGAAGAACGAGTTTGGGTTTGGGTACCAGGCCTCGAAATAGTTGTTGAATGGGCCACCTCCTACTCTATTGGTGGAAATACGCTTACCAATATCTCCCGATACCAATTCAGTCGTCCGACAGGAATGACTTGTTCAGCATTTAACAGCGATGGAGAAGCCACTTGCAGGTGGTTACCAACAGCCGAACAAGCAAGCCAAGGAGAACATCCTCATTGCGTCGTGGTCTATGATCCATACGGTCGAGCTTCCGATCGACAGTGTGTGACTCTTCGTGTCTACCCACCATGCGATCCTGGAACCGAGCGAGTTGGCTCCGTCTGTCTTCCAATCTGTAACAGCGGCTATGAACGAGATGCTGATGGCAACTGCGTCGATATCGACGAGTGCGCTTCCGGCCCATGCAGTGCTATCGAAGACTGCAATAACACTCCGGGAAGCTACTTCTGCTCCTGCATCAATGGCTACTCTGCTAACAGCGCGGGAACATGTGTTGATGTAGATGAATGCGCTGCTGGGCTTCATTCTTGCGCTACAACTGAAACATGCACTAATACAGTCGGCTCTTTCACTTGTCCCTGTTCCGGTGGTTACGAACGAAACGCAAGTGGAGTCTGTGTAAACATCGACGAGTGCGCCAGAGGAACAGATACATGTAATGATGTGACGGAAGTTTGCAACGATACACAAGGATCTTACACATGCTCTTGCGCCACAGGATATGCTGCAAACAGCGCTGGAACTTGCATTGATGTCAATGAATGCACTTCTGGATCGCATACCTGTGCTGCCACTGTTGAGACGTGCGTCAATAACATCGGATCGTTCACGTGCAGCTGCTCTGGTGGATACGAACGAAACGATGCCGGAGTCTGCGTCAACATTGATGAGTGTGCGCGAGGAACTGATAGCTGTAACGATATCACTGAAGTTTGCAACGATAATCCTGGGTCTTTTACATGCTCTTGTGCTTTAGGATACTCTGCGGATGCATCAGGAACATGCGTCGATGTTGATGAGTGCGCTGCTGAAACTCATACCTGTTCTCCCACCATCGAAACTTGCGTCAACAACATAGGTTCATTCACCTGTCCATGCTCGACTGGCTACGAACGAAACGATGCTGGAGTTTGCGTCGACATTGACGAGTGTGCCCGAGAAACTGATACCTGCACTGAGACTATTGAAACCTGTGTCAACACAATCGGTTCATTCGATTGCCCATGCTCCAGCGGATACGAGCGAGGAGCTGACGGAATTTGCGTTGATATCGACGAGTGCGCCCGAGAAATCGACACCTGCCACCCAGAGAAAGAACGATGTGACAACTTGATCGGCTCTTACGAATGCATCTGCTTGCCTATGTCCTACGACGACGCCATGTCAACCATCCGAGACTGGATCGCAATGACCCACGAAGTTGTTGCTGATCACGGCCGAGCTTTCAAATTCCGAGTCCGAACTGACAAACTTCTTCGAAACGCCCTTCTTAGCTACGATGCCAACTGCACTACCGCCTACGACACTGACCGAATCGGTAAGAACGACTTCGCCATCTGGGAAAAGCAAGCTGTCCGATCCGAAGATCACTGCACTCAAGCTACGACTGTCAAGGCTGGCTTGAACGCATGGGTTGACAACTACGCTTGCATGGACAAGAAAACGAGCCGACAAACTCACCGAGTTTCTAAGTTTATTGAAAAAATCACGAATCCTTACTGCTAATTTATCTAAGAATGAATTCTTAGTCCTCTTTGTTCGTAAAGTTTACTTTGTAAAATACTTGCCTCTGATCCTGAATAAATTCTGACAAAAAAAACGATTGTTTGCTTCGAAAATATGAAAGGATACTTCGTATTCTTATTTCTTTAAAAATATTCATCCTTTGTTTAAACTAAAATTGTGCATTATTAATTAATACGAACTATTCATGAAGTAACTTGGCGAGGAAACTGTCTATTCATCCGTCTAAATGAGAAGTATTCGCTTCAATGTGTCGGGTGAAATTTTTTATATTCCTCTTGAAAATTTGCTCAAGCATCCATCAACGACGCTCGGAAATTTTCAAACATTGATAAAATTCTACGATGTCAAAAGAGACGAGTATTTTCTTGATCGACATCGGCCGACATTTTGGATTATTTATGATTATTATATGACAGGTTAGGATCTCTGATACGCTTTGATTGAAATGTTAAAGGTGTGCTTGAAAGATCAGAGGAAGTACCCCTACGCGTGATTGTCGACGAGCTTAAATTTTATTCCCTCGAAGCAGATGTCATCAACGACTTTCTCATGTCCGAATGTATCCTCGCCAAGGATCCAATGAGCAACATTCAGTCACGGACAAAATTTAAACGGATTCTTTCCGAGCTCATCTGCCTCCAGAAACTCGACGAGGATGACGACCCCTTCTCAAAATGGAAGAATTTCCGGAAAATATTCGTCCGCTACTTGAGCATTTTCATCGTTGCGATCGCGACCATTGGGTTTATCGTCGATTCTGGCTACTTGGAAGCAGAAAATAGATCGGAAGGACTCGATAAGAACCTGAAAAGACTAGAATTTCTCTTTGGCATTTGGTTTTCAATGCAGCTCTTTGGCGAGTTTGTCATCACGCCAAAATTTGAAACATTCGACAAGCTCATGTTTCTCATCAACATCATTTCGCTACAAGCAAGCATACAGTACCTCGTCATCAACACGTGGTTCAGTGGAAATGAGAATCGACTATTTTTGCGAGTGATCAACTTTTTGCGTTCTTTCCGAGTCCTGCTTTTGGAGCGCTTTTGTAGAAACTTGCGACACTTGCTCATTTCTATTTACGACACGCGGACAATGATAGGACACGTGATAATTATCAATTTATTTACGTCCAGTATAATCGGCACATTTGTTTATTCCTTCGGTAAAGAATATAAAAACATGGATTAAAAGGTGATGAATTCTTTCAGAAACAAAGGAAGAATTCAACAGTATTCCTCAATCAATCCAATTTGTCATGTAAGCATTCTGAATAACTGACTTTCCTCCTATTTTCTAGCTCTACAATGGCGACAATTGGCTACGGAGTCCCAGAAGTTCCGGAAACTCTTCCGGGAAAACTATGCAGCGTCGTTGCAGGTACCTTATTTTTTTCTCCGACTTTGACCATCAACCTAAGTTGTCAATACATAATTTAGTTATTTTCGGCATCATTTGCGTGTCCCTTCCGATTCCAATTATAGCGACAACTTGGCAGCGCAAGTACATAACGGACATGAAGGAGTTTTGTGGTCCTATTGGGAAAATGTATACCCCAGCCGATTTGCGGGAATCATCGATGCCAGGTGAGATGTCTGATGGCGGGTTAAGGAGACGATCGTCACACCGGATGCTCGCTAGACTGGCTGTTCCTTTGGTCGAGGTATTAAACCGTCTGTGAACCATGGAAAAAGAAAGACATCCAGTGATTCAAGTGACATTTTTTAGCCTCGAAACAACACAAACGGCCGGGCAAGTCCACGGCAATCGACATCTGAGCTTTGGGATGTTCATAAGCGGAATACGCGCAAGGACAGTTTTCTGAAAGCATTTTTTAATTCTACATCCTGCATAATTAGTTTTCGAAATTCCACTAAAAGGAGCGCCTCCAACAAACGAGAAGAACGAGAAGCTATTCATGTGGAACTTGAAATCAGCAAAATGCATAAACCATTTGGTTCCTCAGAATATTTCTTTCAATAAAGATTTAAAAGACAATCTTATTTTTTGAAGAAGCCGCGTTTCCTTATTTTTTCATGCTCATCGCGATTTCGATCGTGTGGAACGCCACTCACTGAGAAAAATAGCCAGTGATGGATAAAGATACCGTATTCAAGCTTGGCTACGTCGATTCTCAGAGAATTGAACTCCTGAATTGCGGAATCAAGAGAATGTTTCGGAGAATCTGCGCTTTATCAAAAACTAGTGACCTATTTTAATTTACACATTTGAGAAACTGCCACATTCTTTACTGTTTTTCTTACTGACGTACAGCTGGAATTTTGACCGAGGAAGGTCACTCTTGGCAGAGAAAATTGAAGTTGAGAAATCTAAGACTACGAAGTTCGTAATAATTATTTGAAACTAATAAATTCATTAATTTGGGATCAATTTTCTCTAAAGACTGATGTCGTTTTCACATAGTCGAACTTCTAGCGGCGGTAGTAAAATTTGGGTTTACGTTCTTTTTTTGTCAAAATTCAGAGTGCTCTTCTTGGCGTGGGCGTTTTTCATTTTCTGTTTGGGCGAATTCGAGTTGCGCGGCGCGTTTTTAGCTTGAGCGCGTTCCTCTCGGTTCAAGTACACTACTGCTACAGTACTCAGTACAGACACAGCTGAAGATTAGTCAGACAGAGACTTGTCAGTGCAGAAAGGAAGAATCAGAAGAGCGCGAAAGAGAGTGAGAGACAGAAAAATGCAAACGAACCCGTTCGAACTGGCACCAGCTGGTGATAAGAAATCGAAGATTTGCGGATAAGAAAAACCCCTGTGTATCATGGATGTTCATAATCACGATGGTAAGGTCGATTTTTATTTGAAGAATTTGGATTTCTTGGCCATAAACAAAAATTTTGAACGATTTTATGATTAAAGATGGGAATTTCTGCGTTTTCCTAGAATTTCTCAGATTTTTTACAAGAAAAAATCATAGAATATTGATGTTTATTCCCTTCTGGTTCTTTAAGAGCACGATTATTAGATAATTCTAGCTAAAAAGACTGTACTTTTCAAGAAAAAGAAGCAAGTACTCGAAATTTTGGAAATTTCTCGTCGTTTAAACTAGTAATTACTGGCGTATTTATACTAATAAAAGTATTTCTAAGAATATTCTCGGATTATTGTAATTTCATTTTCGAATAATTCCAATTTTATGAATAAATCTTTTCCCACAGACTCAACCAATACGTCAAATCAACGCTGATTTTAAATTGTGTGCTAGAAATTTTCTAGGAAATGATTTATGTGTCCTCTGGGCTCGGCAACCTGTGTAAAAACCTGTGTCATGATCTGAAAGATCTTCAACGAAAAGCCGCGTCGCGGCTTTTTATTTTAACGAAGCCACGAAGCGGCAAAGCCAAATTTTGAAAATATAATGGAATAGTACTTTTGAAAATAAAAAAACCGCTACGCGGCTTTTCATTAAAGATCTTTCAGACCCTGAGCCAGGTTTCCTACACAGGTTGCCGAGCTCAGGTTTTTGATTTATTTATCTTGGCTCAAGTTATGAAAGTAAGTTTAAAGTAAACTGAGTAAGTAACAAACGCGCGAGCACAAATATTTAACCCGTAATCAGAAAAAGAGAGAGCAGCCAGGCCCGAAATGTGAAACTTTTTAACCAAATTCGAAATATGCGAACTCCAGGTTCTCCCCTACTCCAAATGTACAGTAACAGCGAGTTGCTTATCTATTATTTTAGATGCTTCATATCTTCAAAATTATGTTCGCGAGATCGTGCAGCAGCGGGGCTGGACGGGCGCCGAATCCGCTGCTAATGACGATTTGACCAGGCTCAACAATCTTCTTTCACTCGTCGATGGGATTCTGCTCAACGTATTTCCTGATGGATCGATTCATTCTATTTATGGTTTCTTCTTTTGCTCCAAATTAAAGGTTGATGACAGCGTTTTAGGTCCGATGGAGACGTTTATTGAGTACTCAAGCGACGAAATTTCTAATATTTATGAACTTTTAGCAAAGTTTTCAAAATAAAATTAATATTTATCCAATCAAAAATTAGCATTTTGAAAAAAATAACCAATCAGAATTACGTTCTTATTGGCTCATTTTAGCCAAAAGCTAATAAAAGTCAATATCTACGCAGAAAAACGGGTAAAATAGGAGAATCGTTGCTTTTAATTTTTGAAAACTCGAAAAAACAGACAGTGGTTACAGTGACGAAGTTCGCTGCATTCTGAGCCAACAGGAGTTCGTCGCTGGCGACGGTCTTGCTGGGCACAAAATCAGCTTTAGAATCAAACCCGCTCCCAAGACACCTCGACATAATCATAAGTTTTGCCTTTTCGACTGCTTTTTCAAAAGATTCTCCCAGGTAAAAAGTTCCTCCTTCTACTCGTTTTCAAATTTTTAGTCATCTTCATCATTCTGTTCACTTCTTTGCCTTCGTTACGACTGGATCCAGGTGAAACGCGAAAATATCTTCAGCAATAATCCTCTTCTTTAGCTAACAATAACCACCTCCTTACCTCGACAACAGCAAGACATTGAGTTTTGGTCAATTACAGACGGGAAGAAATCCGAGCTGAATTGGATCACCGACGTTGAAATTCACAATCCACCGAGCAAGTCTCTCCGAAATACCGACACTGACTTATTTATCGACACCTTCAAGGATCGTAGACAATCTTTTTTCGCTAGAAATACCTCTAGAATTAGACTTTTACCGTTGGCTCGGCTCTGTCTATGAACCTGTTTGGTTACAGTCTTTCAAAGTTGCCGAGCCCAGTTTTTGTCGATCCTGGTAAAAGGACATCATCTTCCGCGAGCTTATCGGCTCGTACTCGACCGAAAGCACTCGGCGAATGAACAACATGTGGCACACGCTGCGCTCAAGTCCCAGCAGAGAGACGGACAACAGAACGTCAGTGCTAAATATCACCCAACTTGAGCAAAGTTCAATGGAGGTGCATCAGCACAAACGTGAATCCTTCCTGTCAAAAATCCGGTATGTCAAAAACCGTCTCCCGATCCTCGAAACATTCTGAACTTGAAAAGAAAAAAACTCAGTTTTCTTTTTTCTCTATTTTCAATTCTAGTGCGACGGGCATCAGCGAAGACGAGCTGAAGCGATTGAAGCTGATTATCAACACAACCCTCAGGATCGTCATCAACAAGAGATCGCATCAAGCAAAGAAAGAATACGTGACGCTAGAAGAAGCGACGAAGAGCGCGAGTAATTCTAGCGCCGAATCGAACCAGTTCCTGATGGAGTTCAACCACCGCATCTCAATCCCAAATGAAGTGCTCCGAATCGCCACCCGTTCACTGCCAAAGAAACAACAAATGAAATCAAACGGCGGCGGCAAAAGCAGCTCGAAAAACAACCAAAATTCACCGGCGAAGAATTCTCAAGCTGGCAGTTCGGTCGTAAAAGGAACGCCCAACTCGAGGCCGAAGAGAAATTCGCCCAGGAATACGAAAGGAACAGTCATTTACAGGCTACTGAGCGATGACAACTTTTCCAACTCGTTCTATACAGAGGTACAGTAGGATAACGGTACTGAATGAGTACTATTCATTGTTGAATAGGAAAAGTTGGATGGTTCCTTGCCTTCGTTAGGCTTAAGGGTTAGTGGCTACTCTTAACCTTTTCTGATTTTTTAAAGATGTGACATAAGGCCGTCAAGTTCAGAGTCATCTACCAGTAGTAGACTACCACCATTCATGTTTTGTGAATACCGTAGAGTCTACGCCCTAGATGTCTTTCGAAAAACAGTAATTGCAATTAACTGAGTGGACACTCAACTTAACATACAAGTTAATCTAGCCCGAAGGAAAATGTCTCTAAAATCATTATGTTATCTCATTATGTCATCAGAAAAGGTGCATCTCAGAAAAAAACCTTTCCTCAGAATAATTCAAAAGGTTGACATAGCATCTTTGAGAGTGAAAATTAATGATGAAGCTCATTAGTGCAACATCTTTTTTTATGAAAATTACACTTCTGTCGAAAAAGTAATCCGTTGTCAACTTGGTTCTTTTGCAAATTTTCTTCAAACTACAGAATCGTTAAAGAGATTTTCTTTTTTTTTCCTTCAAAAAACAGAGTTGAGGAATCAAGGAAAGAAATCTAGACAGGAACCTTCCAACTCGGTTCAAGGGGGCTTGTCTGCAGTCTCATCACGAATTTGGTAATTGCACAATATGCTTCTGGCAACATAAAACTAAAGTTTCCCGTGGGGCCCGGAGCGAAGCGCAAGCACACCATATTCTAACCTGAGCGCTTTTTGTAATCCTTTTTTCACTGAAATGATTCAATGACTTCCGTTCGCGCTGCTCCGAGGTACTAATTTATTCACTTTTGAAACTCATTAAAAACCGAAACGTCGAGTTTTGATGTTTCGAAAAGATCTCTTCAAGGATGCTTTTTTATACCCAAACGACTTTTACGCCCACTATCATGCGCAACTGCTGAATAACGAGGTACAGTCGAGAGAAATCGTCATTCCTAAGGTTCACCGTCCATTTGCCATATTAATATGCATATGGTTTTGAGAATATAGGAAAAATGCGTGTCTCTTCTGGTTAATGGTTGCGGTTTTGAAAGATTACTCGAATGTTTGGTATGTTTACGAGCAACGAGCGATAATGCTGAGTAGATAGTTCCAGGCAGTGGGACTAAACTTGTGATATGATTTTTTATGAGTTTGTTGGGAGGGTAATGAGAGACAATGAGTTGTTGAAGTACCTGTTGACTCTACAGTGTAGAGGAACTACGGGAATAGTAAAGAGGACCTAGTGAGTTCTAAGTTTATTATGTAATATTATTTATATTTTTTTTTATGTACAGTGCAATATTTAATTCTTAACATTTGAATTTTTCTCGGTATCGGCCTGCTTCCTGTTGATTTTGATGATTGGCCAAAAAATAGACATTGAAACCTACCTGTTGAAAATATAGGTCAATTAGCAACTGAAAATTTACTGTTTCAAATAAACCCCTTTTGCATCCAAAGTTAACTACCCCCTTTGCTTGCTCCCGCGATTCTCCTTTTTTCGGTTGATGGCGTCAAAGGGTCATTGGAAAATGACATGTTCAAGGCGCGTTGTTAACGACTAAAGAGAACTCTTGTGGACGATTTCATTTATTCTCTGTTTTTGGTCAAAATAAGCGGCTTTCGCGCTTGAAATGAGAGGGAAAACGCGACATTTGTTAAACTAGTTACATAACTTTAGTCACGCGATCAGAATTAAATCATTTGCAATTTTTAATCGTTTGATAATTGAAGAACAGCAATAAATTAATCGACAACATACAAGAGAATAAAACACAGAGAATTAACGAAAACTCAAAGCTTCAATATGTACACGCTTTTTGAGCGTCCGAAGTCTGTGAATGAGAGACTGATAACGGTAACGCTTGGCCGAATATACTTTATCTAGTGCCCCTTTCTTCATCATAAATTCAGTGTTATTAGGCTCGCTATTCTGAAACCTCCAACTTTTCAATTTCTAAACTTTAGTTTTTGAGCGCTCATTTACGAGATTTTTCTAGTATCTTCAAAGTCAGAAGGAAAGATCGAGGAAGAGTCCAATTCGATCACCAGGAATGGACTTAGAACATCATTCAAGAGCAGAGTTAAAGTGTTCAGATGTATGATGAATGCCCTAAAGACACAGCACAAGAAACTTGTTTTCTGCGCTATTATTTTGATGCAAAACCAGACAGATCTAATTATAGATCCATATATATTGAGGTTAGCTTCTTTCTTCGGAGATATTATGTAATCCGCGTAGCTTAAAAATTTAAATTAATGCCATTAGGTTTCTTTGATCTGAAATGCGCTATTCTTTTTCTTATTGTTGCATCTGCTAATAAAACATTCAAAAGTCTGAAAAAAGGGTCCGATAGCAGAAAGTCCGACAAGTCGGCAGGCTCACCAATGATTGCCGAGAAGGATACGCCGATTTTAAAAGAACTCTTGCGCAAGAACGACGAAGAATCGACGGTAAGAACGAAATAACGAGGTCGAAATCAAGTGATATTAAATAATTCAATATTGAATATATATTGGCAATATTTTGGGTTAAACAAAATTGATATGGCTAATAATCAATGAGGAAGTTTTTATCTATGTTCGTAGATAACCGATACGAACTAACGATTCCAATTTTAGCCAAGGTCAAGGCGCGGCACGAAGCGTCCAAAAGACGACGACTTCATTTCGGGACCGCGAGATACTGGTTTAAACGATGGCCCGCCGCCACCATCATTATCTTGCAGATCAAATGATTCTGGCTCCAGTAATACCATGATGCTCCAACAGGTAAATCCACTGTCTATATTTCACAGAAAAGAAAAACCTATATTTATAACTCTAGGTATCACTGACGTAATCAGATCTTTACATTTTCTATTTTTGGACAGAAAAATTAAACATTAAACAGCGTAGTGTTAAACAAAGACTGACCTTTAAGACATTTTCATAAATACTTTGTAAACTGTACTTTTATATGAGCAGAATCAGAATCAGCGCATCTCACCCACTCCTCAACTCACTGAAGAGCAAAAGCAGGCCAAGCTGGAGGAAGAAAAAACAGAGCGATACATCAAGTTCGTCACCGCTTTTAGCAAGCGCGCAAGAGCGGCGATGGAACAGCAACAACAGCAACAAGCAAACTCTTCTGTAAATCAAGCGACCCCCAATCCTCCGACTTCTCAATGTCCTCCCGTTCAGCGACAAAATTCTCAACCGATGGTTAGTACCGAGTCCAAGGGCGCCTTTCAAGAGGTAAGATTAAAAATCCAGTTGGAAGCGTCTAATGACCCCGCTCCTTTCAGGGTGACAGTCAAATCCGACGGATGCTAGTCAGTAAAGACGGCCCCGCCGTCTTTCAGGTAAGAGAAGCGCCCATGATCATCCATTATTGAGATATTCAGCCAAATCGCGGAGCTCACAACCTTAACGCGCCAAAGCGGCTCAATCGATCTGGATCTGTACCTAGCAATAGTATGAACAGTCAACCCCAAGTTCAACAGCATATGCACCATCAGCAACATCTGCAACCCCCTCAGCTCTCCCCTCAGCCTGGAATGAACAATCAATTCAATCAAGGCAAGCCGCTCGAAGTCGTCAACGTCGTCCAAGTCTCCCCACGTGGTTATCAACAACGAAGCCCTCAAGATGTTCAAATGGAAAGGCGGCGTTCTTACGGGTACTGCGAATTTTTCCTGAAATTATTTCAAAAAATCTAAACTTAACTTCAGAGACGTCAACACTCTCCAAAATTACGTCCCTAATTCTCCGATGTCACCTCATTTCCCGCAAAATGCGGACTTTCAGATGGCGAAGGATGAGAGCAAGAACCAATTTATTGCGCCGCCGAACCGTTCACGAAATCAATCGCTTCCTCCAACCGATTTGAATGGGCAAATTCAGGTAATACCTTGACGTTGTGTTCAAAAAGCAAACCTCTTTAGTCGATGACATCGCCTCTCCAATCACCCGTGTCCCCCATGGGCGGGCCTGTATCCCCTTACGCGAGTTCGATGCCTTCTCCCAGCGGGCCAATGATGAGCCCAGTGATGGGTCCTCAAAAGAACTTCTTCGGACATCCTACCTCACAAATGAGCGGGCCACTTCGTGTCTCTTCTGTCCAGCAAGGACCTAATAACAAACAAGGCAATAATGGTGGTCAAATGCACCAAGTTCAAGGCTCGCACAAGACTGTTCAAAGCTACCCGAACATAATTGGTATTTTGAATCCCGCTCAGCGAAACAATCAACAACGATTCACAGTTCAGCAGAGTCGACCGAATTTCAACCAGCCTCAGCAGCAGCATAACCGGTAGATTCTTTCGTTTCCGCTTCAAATCCATTAACTCTGTCAGTATCCCTGCTTCAATGAGCCATCCAATGAGCTACTCGCAGCAGATGAGCCCAAATCCACAACCACTTCCAGCCCAAAATCGAATGACAAACAACAACCATCAGCAACAGTACGCGCTACAGATGGCTCCGCAAAAACAGCATCAACAGTCTACTTTATCCAAGTAAGAAGACAAAAATAGACACTCATCAATGATGATAATGATACTTCTAAAATATTGATACTGTATCAACTAAGATGCAGACTGCAATACTGTGTTTTTTCTGCTTTGTCAATATATCGTAGAAAACTTGGCAAACTTGATATGAACATATTGAACGTAACCTTTTTCGTTTTAGCGATTTGAAGGATCTATCACTTCCCCTTCTTGGCTCAAATGACTTCAGCAGTGACCTAGGTTGCTTGGATTTTCTGGATAACGAAATGCCCCTCAATGGCGCATTTGAATCTACTAACAAGCTGATTCAGTAGAATTATGACCTTCAAAAGTGTCTCATTTTTAAAGAAGAATCAACAAGTTTTAAAAGAATCTTTCGTCCAGCCTGACTTTCTTTCTTTTCTCCTTCCTTTTTCCTTAATCTTTTTCCTTAATTTCGACTTTCTTTATTATTTATCTGCTCATAAATAAGGGTAAACATGTGTATTATTTTACTTTTACTAAACACTCACTTCATCGAAAAAATCTAGACCATCGACTGTTCATTTGTGTAACTGTAGTTCAGTTTAACCTTAAAAAATGGTGCTGATTTTAAAACTCTTCTTCTATATATATAAATTTGAAAACAGAAAACAAAACAAGCTCCTACTATGAGTTCAATAAACCTGCGTGTTCTGGGAGAATCCCGTAACTACGCCTTTGAAAAAATATCTTTCCATTATTTCTTTTATTTTCTTTCATTTATCTATGTAAGCAGCATTTTTATCAGTGGCATAAGCCCGCAGGAAACGATTAATAACGGAATCGTTTAATATTATGATTTAGCGTCAAGATTTGACGCATTCTTTTAGATGAAACCATCAGCATTTATTTTTCCAACTAATTTATCTTCCTTTATTTATGTGATGGTGAATAGCCTATTCAGATCAGGTGATCGAAATAGTCTAGGACAGTCATTTACTAAATTATTTAAGGGACCCGGGCGAGTAACGCGATGGCCAACTTTACGCGCTCGCCATTGATCTTTCAGAAAAGCTTTTTTGAAATTTCTTTTTGCTAAACATATCTTCATTCCCTCAGCTTTCATCTCCCACTTTCAGACTTTTTATATCATGATTAATTCTTGAGCTAGAGTGAAAAAGAGAAGTTCAACTTCAAAAGGCATCAACTCCTGCAAACTTCATTTTATTGACATGAAAGCAGCACCATTGAAAAGCCCATTAAATTCTGAACAGATCATACTTAATGCGCTAAGCTGAAACTGCAGTAATGAGCGATTAAGGCCAGATAAACAAGAAAACTTGGTGCGGGCGCAGCGGGAATCATGTCCCGGGAGCCCAAAATAGCCCGATCGGAGTGTCCTGCCTTGCTGAGAGCGCTCAGTCTGTTTGTTTATCAGCGCGTTCAGGGCAATTAGTACAGTTCTAGCTTAGCGCATTAAGTATGATCTGTTCAGAATTTAATGGGCTTTTCAATGGTGCTGCTTTCATGTCAATAAAATGAAGTTTGCAGGAGTTGATGCCTTTTGAAGTTGAACTTCTCTTTTTCACTCTAGCTCAAGAATTAATCATGATGTAAAAAGTCTGAAAGTAGGAGATGAAAGCTGAGGGAATGAAGATATGTTTAGCAAAAAGAAATTTCAAAAAAGCTTTTCTGAAAGATCAATGGCGAGCGCGTGAAGTTGGCCTTCGCGTTACTCGCCCGGGTCCCTTAAACAGAAAACTGCTCTTTTCGCCACTAAAATTGAATGAAAATCATGAATGAAAAACTCATCAAAGTATTGAATTTATCTTATTCCTTCTATTTCTATGTAAAATATTTGTCAAAATTGCTAAATTTGCAGAATCCTGTTCAAACAACTATTAAAAAACTAATAATCAAGGTGGAAAACCTTCAAAGTTCAAAGAAAGAAAATGTTTTGATGAAAAACGGCTTTAGAAGGATTGAAAACGATGGTGAATGTACTAATGGTGGCTGAGAAGCCATCATTAGCGCAGTCGATTGCGGAGATCTTGTCAAACAGAAATATGTCTACCAGGCCGGCGAAGACTGGGAATGGTTGAATTTCGTTCATTTATATTACTCAGATACCATCTAGCAGCATATTTCATACATCGTGATAGATGTCTAGCTGATTTTGCTTTCCTCACAGTACTGACAATGGCGACGATGAAATTTGTTGTCCGTAAGATGCCGGGATCTTTATGATTCTTACTAAAATTCAACCGCAAAAGCGGCCCATGCAAAGTTCACGAGTACAAGGGACAGTATAAAGGCAAGCCAGCGACATTTAAAGTCACCTCGGTTTGCGGTCACGTCTTCTCAATCGACTTTGAGTCCAAGTTCAACAACTGGGACAAGACCGACCCGGCCGAGTTGTTCTCCGCGGGGACAGTGAAGGACGAGGCAAATCCAAAAATGCACATGAGAAAGCATCTGAAGACGGAGTCTTCCAGCTGCGATGAGTTGGTTTTGTGGCTGGATTGTGATAGAGAGGGAGAAAATATCTGTTTTGAAGTGATGAGCTGCATCCCTCACATTCGTGGAAACAGCGTCAAAAGAGCTCATTTCTCCGCAATTACCGACAAAGACATCAAAAAAGCAATGAACAATCTCGGCTCTCCCAACAAACTCGAGTCCCTAGCTGTCGATGCTCGACAAGAACTAGACCTTCGTATCGGCTGTGCATTCACTCGATTTCAGACGAAATTCTTCCAGGGCCAATATGGAGATTTGGATTCAAATTGCATCTCATACGGGCCTTGTCAAACTCCAACCCTTGGATTCTGCGTCGAGCGACACGATCAAATCACGAAATTCAAGCCGGAGAAATTCTGGAGAATGAATTTAGCCGTGCAGACAGAAAACTCCGGAAACTTATATGCGGAATGGCAACGAGGGCGAATTTTTGACCAAGGCATCGCGAATATGCTCCATAGCAAAGTGAAGAATATCAAATCTGCGATTGTCCAAAGTGTAACGAAGAAAGCGAAAGCGAAACAAAGACCAGTTGCGTTGAATACAGTCGAGCTGTTGAGGGTTTGCTCGGCCAAGTTGGGAATTGGGCCTGCTCAGGCGATGGTCAGTGCTGAGAGGCTTTATACACAGGAAAGAGACAGAAAGATTAAAATAAAACTGACTTCTCCAAAGACTCATCCTCTATTTATCATAAAATAATGTCTGTTTTGATCTCTCGAAAGGGTTACATTTCCTACCCTCGAACAGAAACCACCTCATACTCTCCAAACTTCGACTTTCGCCCTATCATTTCAATGCTGCAGCATTCCGGCCCTCATTCTGCCGCTGCTCAAGAATTACTGACTGGCTCTTCTCCCAACCCAAGAAAAGGCGAAGACAAAGGTGACCATCCACCAATCACTCCTCAACGAAATTGCTCTGAGTCCGAAGTTGGCGGTGAAGCTTACCGAGTTTATAATTACGTTGCCAGCCACTTCCTGGCTTCCTTGATGAAAGACTATAAGTACGAGCAGACGGAAATTACTGTCAAAGTGGGCAATGAAACGTTTTATCTGACGGCGAACCGGGAGAAGGAAAAAGGCTTTGCTCTGGCGATGACAAATGTTGGAGTCGAGGAATCCGTTTTACCGGATGTTCAAAAAGGTAAAGAATCGAGATGAATGATGCTCTTTTCTTCCCAAAAATAAAGCCTAATCAATCAATTTAGGAAGTTCGCTAAATGTATCATCATGTCAATTGGAAGAAAAATACACTGGCCCTCCAGATTACCTAACAGAGTCAGATTTAATTACCCTTATGGAAAAACACGGAATCGGAACCGACGCCTCCATCCCCGTCCACATCAATAACATCGTCCAAAGAAACTATGTTCAGCTCGTTTCGGGAAGAAAGCTCGAGCCGACAGAACTGGGGGTCGTTCTAGTCCATGGATACAAGAAGATCGATCCCGATTTGGTCAAACCGCAGATGAGAGCGTCAGTAGAAAAGCAACTTGATTTGATTGCCCTTGGAAAGACGGATTTTAAAACGATGGTCGATTATGTCTTGAATATTATGCTAAGAAAGTTTCACTACTTTGTGGATCATATAAACATGATGGATTCGCTCATGGAGACCAAATTTACTTCTTTGAGGTAAGCTGCTCAAAGAGTTGCTCAAGCAACTTTGAGGTAAAAGCATCTTTATCTTATATTTTAACTCAATTTAAATATAAAATCTGATTTTAGTTCAGCTGGCAAGCCGTTTTCAAAGTGTGGCAAATGTAGACGTTTCATGAAGCTAATCGAAGCAAAGCCGGTGCGCTTATACTGCCCTACATGTAGCGACACTTACAGTCTTCCAAGTGGCCTCCACATAAAGTTATATCAGGAGAAAAAGTGTCCTTTGGATGATTTTGAGCTTCTGCTCGCCGCGTCTGGCGGCTCTAGCTCAACTGGATTTGCCATCTGTCCGTATTGGTAAGACAAAATTATTCTGAGAAACATAATGCGCGAATTTGTAGTTATAATAATCCACCGTTCCCGGGTATGCCAGATCCGGCGCCTTGTTCTTCTTGCTTGCATCCTAGTTGCTCGCAAAGTTTGAGGCGAACGGGGGTCACTGCGTGTTCTGAGGTAGAATAAAAACTATATGAGCGGCATTTTTATTATTTTGCGAGGAACTTTGATTCAGTAATATTTTAAATTTTAGTGCGATGATGGAATTATTTATTTGGACCCAAGCTCAAAACCAAAGTGGCGTCTTTCGTGTAACAACACAAATTGTAAAGTTGTTGTGAAAATATTCGAGGGAGCGCACAAAGTAGACGTCCTGGATGAAGCCTGCAAAACTTGTGAAACGAAGATCTTGTTCTGCGAGTTTAAAAATGGCAAGGAACCGAAAGCGCTGGAAGGTGCCTCGACGCACAAAGGATGTATCTTCTGCGACGCAATCTTTTCCAAGCTCGTTTCTGTCAGAAGCGCGACGAGAGCTAGAACAGCTGCTCAGGCAGGAAGATCGAGGAGAGGCAGAGGTCGTGGAAGGGGAGGAGCAAGAGGCGGTGGCAGAGGCAAACCACCGCGAGATAAGATGTCAAACTTAGCAAACTACTTTGTTTGATTAAACTTTAGTTCAAATTGAATTACGAAAAAAGTTATCACTTCACAGTTCAAAATTCTTTCATTGAGCCATTTTTCTTCTCAGAATGATTTGAAGCGTTAGATGCTCACTTCGGACATTGGCGGGTTGGTATGCATCGCGCTGGTGTACCTTTTCGTCGGTTATGCTAATTTCGTCGTAATCTTTCATCTTGCTTCGCCATGCTTTTCATTGCCAGCAGCCTTGACTTTCTGTATAAGTAAGTAAACTATTTGTTTCCGGCAGACTAGACCTGTCTCCTTTTACTTACACACTGTACTTCAGTATTTGCTGTATTCTCTATCGGCCTTATTGCGTCACACCTACAGTGCATGCTCAATGATCCTGGATACGTCCCGGTTCCTGATGTCAAAATTGACTTTTCTGATACTGGTTCAAGAAAAGTAAGGGATGATGATTGGACTGTTTGCCAGGTAAGAGTCCCTTTACACTTCAATTTTTTATATTTTTCTAGCGATGCGAGATGTGGCGACCACCAAGAGCCTATCACTGTAAAGTATGTAAACGTTGCGTGAGAAAAATGGACCATCACTGCCCATGGGTTAACAACTGTGTTGGCGAAAAGAATCAGAGGTAAAAATAGACAGCATGAATTTATAGTACTCGTAGACAATCATGGAAAATAAGCGTCTCAAAGATTAAAAACCGTCGTTAAGATTCTTCGTCCTGTTTCTTGTTTACACGCTTCTGCTTTGCGCAGTTGCTGGCATAGTTATTGCACTGAGCTGGCGACTTATCTGGGAGATGGAATACTCTGCACATGCCCCTCACGCGATGGGTCTTCTTATAGAAGCGTCTCTAATGGGCGTGTTTTCGATTATGATTTTGATGGATCAAGTCTCTTCTATCATTTCTGACGAGGTAAAACTATCGTGTTGGCAATCATCTAACGAAAACACATAGACTGCTGTAGAAAATATGAAAAGAAGCCGTGGCAAATTAGCAGCCAAAGCCGCAAATACCCAAAAGCCAACTCCAATCGCGCTGCTTCGTGGAATCTTTGGCCCTGGTGCATATTGGACTTGGCTCATCCCAATTCCAAAGCGATCTACTGGCTATGTTCATCTTATTTAAATATTATAAATATTCTATCAAAGTACCTATGCTGCCCTTTTATATTTTGTTCACTATCTTGGTATTTACCCTGCATCCCATGTTACTGTGCAATACTCCCGGTTAATATAAACTATATTTTCACTTTTCGAAAATATTGGGCTCATCGGTATTGCTCAATAAAATGTGTGAGTTCTTCTTTTGCATCGTCAATATTAGTAATTACTTTCAACAAATTATTAATGTTCGGAGAACAAAAATTAGAAGTTACTAATTAGTTACTAATACGAATTAGAAGTATGTTATAGCCAATTTTTCGGAATAAGTTATTCCTCAACAGGCAATTTAACGGAATCGCATGATTGTTATACCAAAGTTACGAAAAGTGTCCATGGCATTAGCTTGACCTTGTCTAGTCTCAGGATCAGACAGTTTCTATTTCGCAAAGATAAATATGAAAGGTGACCAGAGTCGCATGAGTTCACTTTCGCTAACCCAGTGCATTCCAACCAATATTGACAAAAGCTTCGTTATAAAACAAGGCAGACATCAAATTTCCTGCCATAACAAAAGTCTTAAAAGAAAAATGTTTAGTAGATTTTTTAATAAACATTATATCAGGCTATTTTTAAACTTTGCTGGTTCGCTGCTGATCCTAGAGAGCTTGCTTGGCAGTCTTTGGTTCGACATCGTTAATTTCAAGGTTGAGATCCAAGGTGAATTCCTCGAAGTCCGTGTCAGAGGAGGATTGTTCAAAGTTTGCTATCCAGAGTTTTATGAAGCAGAGAATGGAACATTGCTTCTCACGGGCGGGGAAGAGTGCAAATCATTTACAGACGTAGCAGGGATGAACATTACTCGTGGCTTTAAACTCTCCAACGGCTGCATCATCGTCGGTTTCTTCATTGGCCTGGCAATGCTGATTACACAGATGAAAAAGCGAGTTCGAGATCATCCTTTTATTGCGGAGGGTTATCTCATTGGATTTGGTCTCAATATGGCAGCTGCTTCCATCGCACTTGGCGTAGTTACCAGCTCGGGTCTTCTCGTCTGCAACTGTCTGGACGAATTCGGAAGAGATGGGTGGATCAATGTTGTCGGGACGAATCTTATTTTGATATGCTTCTTTATCAGCGATACAAAAGTCAGTAACATGGAGTTTCGTCATCGAGGAATATGGTTCATGTACGAATTCTTTGCGTTCTTTGCTGTAATGCTGATAGTTTTCACCGGCCCAAGTTGGATCCACGATACGAGCAGATTTGATAATAGTCCATCTGAATTTTACCTCCATAATTTTAACCAAACAACCACGTCTACAACCTCAACAACTACCACGACAACAACGACGACTACTACAACAACGACAAAAGGTCGACCAACAATGTCCACTTCGAGGCCGACCTTGCCCACTTTTAGTCCAACTCTTCCATCAATCAGCCTGTCGACTCTTCCTACACTTCCTAACTTGAAACTAGAGCGTTGTCAGAAAAGGTAATTCAATTTCAGCGAATCAAGATTTCATCGATTTCGCATATTCGCGAATTGTTGACAGATAGATTACACTCCAGCAGGTGCACTTGTTGCTCGAGGTAGACTCGAGTTCAGACATTGTTGAATTTGCTCTTGACAAATAAAGAAGTGAACTCAAATAGATTTTTATTTAGATTCGACATGTGGAACTATTGCGTAGGAATGTGTAACAGGGACGGCGAAGTTGATTACTGGGACTGTGTTCGTTGGGAGGAGTATCCAGATCAGATGGCCAGTTGGGATCACCCCGTCCCAACAGGCATTCGTCTTGCTAGAATCTGGTACATTTTGGCGATTGCCTTTGCTGTAATTACTTTTCAAAAGATCAAGAGTAGAGGTACAACTCAATTGATTTGAAAAACGTATTCACTGAAATCATAGATGAGAACATCCGAAGCTTTATCCTCGGGTCGATGCTGTTCTGTTGCATTTCTGGAGTGAACATTTATGGCTTCAATCTGGTTCAATCTTCGACAGTGATTCCGGGGCGATTTGAAGATAAACTTCCCTTCAATGCTCATTGCTCCGTTGGGGTAAGAAATCAGTAGCGAGTTCTCAGTGTTAACTTATTTCAGGGATTCTATTCTATAATTTGCGCTGGCGCTCTCTTCGCAATCATATACTTTACTGATAGTATATTGTTCTTGTCAGAAACCAGAAAACCTTCACGAACAGATTCCATGCTGAAAGCATGAACCATTTTAACTGCCTATCTGTATAAATTGTATTTCATCAAAGAAATAAAACATGATGACAAAAACGAATGCGCGAGTCTCTATGAAGCGAGGATTCCTCAGAATATTTGCAGAGTAATATCGATTTGACATTTCGTAAAATATAGCGATCTGTGGAACGTTAATTTCTTAGGCGAGAAGACTTTCCTACACAATGACAATTCTCTTCTTCGTTACGGAAATTCGTTGAGAAAGCATTATTAATAAGAGCATGTCAATATGGCTGCATAAAAAGCAAGGGCATTGGAGAAATAGATTAGTTATAGACATCTACTAGAGATGGAAGAAGTTGCAGCTTTTTACTGGAATTGCAGAAGATATGATGTCTTTGGTGCAATGGTCACAGCTTGGATATGGCTCTGCTTCAACAAAGCGATCATAGGAGTTTCATTTTGTTATGGAAGCGCGATAACGCACAGAAATGTCTTTTACGAGTATGCTGTTGTTTGGCTTATATGTATCATCAACTTTATTGCATGCTGTCTTATCTTTACCTACTACTTCGATTATGGTGCGATTAGTATGCTTCGTGGAAGTCTAGCAATGTCGTGCTTAGGTAAAATAAGTTATGCTTCTTAGCTGCATGATATTTTAGCGCTGATTTTCTCTACTTTGCTAGCGATACAAGTCATACGAGAGCTTTGCATGTCGAAAAACCAGCAAGTTCGGGCGAATGCTGTCGCTGAGACAAATGCTACGACTCAATTTGATCAAAACGGGAATCTTGCTCCTCCACCTTACCAGAATCAACCTCAGCCTCAGCAACAACCTGTCGTTGTTCAGACTGTGGCTGCTCCACCACCGCCACCACCAGTCGGTAAGCAAGCAATTAGATTAATAAGATACTCATCATTATTTCAGCACCGACATACGTTCGATTACCAAATGGTCAGCTTCAGCTTATACAAACAGTACAGCAGCAAACACCTCAAACTGTGTATGTCACGAATCCAGCACCTCAACCAGTTTATCCTGTGAAAACAAGCGAACAACATTTCTATAGCTTCGCAGTAGCACAGACTCTCTGTAAGTCATTAGTTTTCAAATCAAATTGAATATAGCAATTCAGTAATGATGACGAATATTGCCTTCTCTGCAATTTGCGTTGGATATCTTGCCTATGGTCTGGATCAATGTTATTATTATTAAGATTTTTCTGTCCCAAACATTCAGTTGCTAGAATAAAAGTTTGCTTCTAAAATAAATCTCCAATATGTTTCGGATCTTCGTGACATAGATAATGAACATTCTAAAAGTAAAGGCTTTGGCGCAGACTCGAGTGAATAGAGAAGAGAGAGTAACTGAGTTGCTATCTTACCCATAGTCAACGATAAATTAATCATAGGAACTTGAGTCCTACGATTAGTAAAGATTCTACATACTCACCTAATGTCAACAACTGTAAATCGTCAAATAAGAGTTTGCAAATAGTCGCGTTTATAATGAACTGTATGCGTCTTTCTTCTCCTAAAAATCGTAATGGAAGAGATTTTACCAGCAATTAATGATCGCGGCTACTGTTATTATGGAGATATCAGTGGATCCTTCGTAACCGCCTGCATCTGGATTGGTTTTAATAAAGTGCTGCTCGGAATTTCCTTCTGCTACGGAAACAGAGTTGCACATAAAAATGTCTTCTACGAATATTCATTGGTTTGGCTCATTTGTATTCTAAACCTTGTTGCGTGCATTTTGATCATCGTTCTTTGGTGCTCCGGCTACTACAGTAAAAATTACGATTATTCTTACTATAATTCCGAAATTTCGTGGCCGATGTTTAGAGCTACAATTTCTATGACGACTCTCGGTAATTTTAATTCATTTTAAATTGATAAATTAAAACTTATTAGCATTGGGTTTCTCAGTAATTCTGATGGTTCAAGTCATCCATCAATTTTGTGCTGCAAAAAATAAACAAATCCAAGAGTACTCTGACAATCAAAATGCTCCTCAAACAACTGCAGTCGATCAGCCATCAGATATAGTCCCACCTCCAGCATATCCACAGCAGCAGACAGTCACGATTCAAGCACCTCCTAATCAATCGCTACCTCAGGGTACTCCACAAGGTTGTTCCGAAAACATATGTAACATATTTCACGATATTTTTAGCTCCGACTTATATTCAACTTCCAAACGGACAGGTTCAATTAATTCAGCCAGGTCAAGCTCAAACTGTCTACGTCACTGCACCAAAGCCGCCACCAATCTATAAAACAAGCGAAGAACACCTTGCTACTTTTCAATGGCCGAAGCTTTCAGTAATTGAGGGCAAGTATGAATTTTTTCTAAGAAATATTTTAGTGATGATTCTTAATATCGCTTTTGCTGCAATCAGCCTTTCCTATCTTGCAATGGGTTTTCAGCTCTGCAAGAAGTACGACTCAAACGCCTAATGACTCTTTCAAGACTTCAAATTTGAACTTTTACTGTACTGAAAAGTCATTTCGTCAACATTCTTAGCTTGTTCATAGAGAGCACGCAAACGTTTGAATAAATTTCAGACTGCTGTATTTTCATCAAGATCTTGATGGAAGAAATTTTACTTGCAATTGATGATCGCGGCTATTGTTATTATGCAGACATTGCTGGGGCATTTATCCCTGCCTGTCTTTGGATCTTCTACAATATATTTTTGTTTGCAGTCTCGTTCCTTTTTGGAAACAAAGTGACGCACAAAAATGTGTTTTCCGAATATTTTTTGGTTTGGCTCGTTTGTATTCTCAACCTAATTGCTTCTGTTTTGATCATTATACTTATTTTCTCCGACTATTACAGCGATAACGATCATGGAGAGGGAACGGATATAAGAATTTAGTTAATTTACTATACTTTCGGTTACTTTTATATCCTCCTACAACCACAGTAACCACGGCCATAAAAATGTGCCTTGGCCGATGTTACGAGCTTCTCTTTCAATAACCAGCCTAAGTAAACACTTGCCGTTTTAATCAATAAATTATCTTTCTAGCACTTGGTTTTTCTGATATTTTAATGGGCCAGGCGATTCATCAATTCTGTGCTGCGAAAAATAGGCAAATACAGGAGTATTCAATCAATGAACAAAATAATGCTCGACAAACCACGGAAAATAATCAACAAATAAATCCCAGCTCACCAATTTCAAATCAGCAGATACAAACAACAACGATTCAAGCGCCTTCCCTTTATCAGAATCCCATTCACTCTCCACCTCCTCCTGAAGCACAAGCTCAATTTGCCTACATCTCTCCGCCAGAGCCGCCACCAGTTTATAAAACGAACGAAGAGCGTCTGTCTTGGTTTACAGGGGCAGAAGCAATAAGTAATTTAATAAGCAAGATATTTTTTAAAAATATATTTTAGTGATGATGCTGAACATAGCTTTTGCAGCGACATGCCTTTACTTTCTAACAGTGGGTCTCAAGATCTGTAAGAAATACGACTCAAATGCCTAACCACTGTTACAAAAACTTCTTATTTTGATTTGAAATAGATAAGCTCAGACATAAAGAGGGGATATATAGGGAAAGAAATATCAGTAAAGTAGGTCCGGAAAAAAACCTGGGACTCAGAAGGATTTTCATAAATCATAAAAGAAAATCCCCTTCCGATATAATGTCAAGAATTGATGAAGCACCGTCAAATCAAACGCTTGAGTCCTTATTTCTTTGAACAAAAAACTTAGATAAGAGCAAAATTTATTCATGAGTTTTGTTGACAACGAAGTACTGGACGACAATACAGGTTTTCTCATCTTTTAGAAACTTTTCAACTTGCAGATTCTGATAAATCTTTTGATCCAACTATTAGCCTTAACATTTTCTGCGAGGTGAGAGTTTGTCACTCAGCCAAGCGAAAAAGTTAACTTTTTGGGATTAGGGAATCTCAGAGGATGATCCGCTTCTGATTCATGAAGTACGCGATTTTCTTGTGAAGGGCGATTTTTTTTTTCTTTTGCAGATAATTTTATGAGAGAAAATAGAAGATTCGATTTTTTAGAAAGGGACGTTTTTGCTGTTGACTTATCTGAGGAACGGGTCAAATTCTCCACGTTGATTGAGTTTTACTAAATTTCGAAATAAAAACGAAATAGGCCGCTTAAAAACCCGCTCTCTACCTTTATTTCTGTCATTTGAAAATATGATCCTGAAAAAGAAAACTTACGCTGCTATCAAATGCCAGAAAAAGCTCAAAATTCGAGCATGCCCGAATGAAATATGCCCAGAATTTATCAAGCGAGGGGAGGATGAGTATCTCCTGAAAGATCTCGCGACAATATACGATGGAACTATCTTGAGCTGTGGGAGAAAAGGAATTATTCTTCGATTAGGAACTTGGTCAAGAGTTTCAATCTCAAAATACATAACAGAAAAGTGACCGAAAGACAGTTCATAGTCCTGCATTTGTCAAGCTAGAAACAGCGATATCCAAATCGACATGTCGAATAGACCACAGTTTTCCAGGAAAAGTTCAGAACCTTGTTTTTCTATTGATAGAAAAAATGTTTCTAACTCCCAGAAGCGCCGAAAGTCAGATGGCTTTCCGCTAGTGATCAAGGACAGGAAGTGAATATTGAGATTCATAAGATGAATGATTTTCACGAGCTCGAGTCAGTCCTCAATAAAAGTCCTCGTTGATTGCAGCAACCAAGATGAGTGGATGTTCGACAGCTGTATCGAAGACAAAGCGCCTAATTGCCAGGGTGATTGGAAACGGTCCTCGCTCGATCTAACAAAAGCGTCGAGTAATTGTAGCTATCTTTCCCTCTGATTCAGTCAAAACATAAAACAACACCTTCTCGTAAAACCCAACCAACTCGTAAACGGAAATTTTGTCTGCACCAGAGCGAAAACTTTTTCAAAGAGAATTTTTTATTCGTCGATTTATCTAGCGAGAAACAGTCGAAACTGCCCTTGCTCACGAGGTAAGCGAATAAATCATCGATAATCGTTGATTATTTTGCCCAAGACTTGGAAATTTACGATTCTGGGCGAAAGACGGCACTTCATTGTCAAGTTGACTACCTAAGTGTTTACGAAAATCGCATCGTTGAAACAAGCAAGACGATTTATTTGAGAGATCCTCTTTGGAGCAATTTAGACTTGAACTTCCTGATGGATGGAGATCTACGAAAGAATGGTAAGGGCGAATCGGTGGAGAGGAAAAATTGCCTTCATGTCTAAGGGATAAGCATTAATAATCAATACAAATATGATTATTTATTAAGCATTATTAATTTTGAGTTTCTTTTAGAGACGTTGACGGAGAGCATCCCTCACGAAAATCAATCACAAAATACGACGAGAGACGGCACAATAGCGATGGGATTGCCAGTGACCTGGATACTCATCAGCGGTGGAGCCAGTCTTTTCCTGGTCTGCTTGATCATCGTTGCCCTTGGAATGATAAGACGAAAGAGAGCGCAGAAAGCGATGATGAAAAAGGGGAAGAACAACAGACCAACAAGGTAAGAAAAACACTATTATTAGTCGTACTCATACATTTCTCAGAAGATCGACATTAGAACATCGACTTGATGCTCAGGATCTTTTATTACGACTGCCAAGGGATGCAGCCTCAAAACCCGACTCTCCTAAACCAGTTTAACAAGTTCTGCAACAAGTTTCGCAATATATAAGCACATAAAACTGAGTTGAGATTTATTAAATAAGCTTCTGGGCGTCTGGGTTACTGCAAGCAAGTTACTGCCTGTCTAACTAATACTTAAACCATTCAAGAATTTAAATACTGCAATAACAAAAGTCTGATGATTTTATCAAACTTTAGTTCGATAATTTTTGATAACATTTTATGCTTTTTTTGCATTTTTGTAGGAGTAACTTTTTGTTGAAGTGGAACAGTCGATACATGATTCATGTAACATGAAGTAAAATCATCGAGAATTGCATTTGAGAACCCAAGAGTTTTCCGTAAAAGAGTGATTTGGGAGATTGCAGGTTACAATGCATAGAAAATAAAATATGAATATAAATGGCTGAATAAAGAAGGATATTCATATACAAAAAAATGGCGAAACTCGGAATTCGGAAACGCCGGCGCAAAGTTTTGTTGAACTACTACGGGACTACAGACCCTCTACTGAATACACTTTTGAAGCTATAGAGAGAAGTGGCGGTGTTTAACTGTACATAGAAACATGGATTTTCAGTAACTTAGCAGAATGCTCTTTCAGGATATTTGAAAACGTATTTCCCCTGGAAAGAAAAAAAGAATGAAGAGCGACTTTAAAAACAGCTGTGACAGTAAGGAGGATAAAATATAAACAGAATCATTAAATAAATAAATGAATTTGCTTGATTCTTGCGATAAAGTTGGAACAAAAGAGAAATCGACGATTTGAGCAAGTAAAAAAAGTTTAACGAGTGGAGCCAAGTTACCAGATTTCGATGTTTTGATTATATCAGGACGGTGGGTGGTCGAGCTGCTCCTGGAAGCATTTCTGAAGTGCGTGGTGGATGTCGGCGTAAGACACGACGAGCACGTTTTCGTTGTCCCGCGAATTCATCACAAAACGCTCGCTGCTCGCCGAGTCCAGTTTGTTCAGACAGTTGATCACATGGAAAAGGTCCATGAAAGGAGTGCCGTTTGGGCCGACTTGGTGGAATAAATAGTTTCTTGGATTTCGTGTTAGAAAGTTCAAGAAACGTTAAGTGAAACCTGAAGAGTTTGAGCAAATAGCGATCGCCAGTTTCGTACTGGCCGTATTCTCCGCGGTCTGCTACTCCAAGCTTGCAAATCAGCCGGAAGAGTCGACCATTTTCGAGCGTATAACTATCAAAAATCATATAAAAGAACGAAGAATCATTTTACCTAAGCTGATTTTCAATCTCGTCTCCTCTCACAAGAGCGTCGTCTACCATCGTGTAGAAGCGAGCTCCGATGAGTGGCATCAAGTCGTTGATATTTCGTATCCTCCTGAATTATACAATCTTGCAATCATCGAATAAAACGATGAGATAACCTGTTCATTGGCATTCCAGCGCCGCTAAGTACGAGTTGAGAGATCAAGGAGTGGAGATCTTTGGAGTATTTCTTTGACACAAAGTCTAGTAATTTTCCTACAAAAATAACTATTTTAGAGAAGGGGGTCAAAATTACCGATTTGCTCATGATGCCCTTTGATCAGATTATTTGACGTGAGAGACAAAATAACGTAGCCAAGGCTAGTTAGATCTCGTTGCTGATTCCTCGCTAGACTCTCTCCAGTTCCTTGGAGAAGATCGGTCACTGCTATTCCGGCTAGTTTCACTCGTTTTTTGCCAATAAAAATTATCTTCGATAGTTCCAGACATCGGTAGGCAAGTCCATGCGCGTGAATCGTTCTATTTTGAATCTTTCATAAAGCAGAAGAATAAAGGTTATCTTACCTAAGAGCAGAAGTAATTTGTATGATAAGGGACCAAATAACACTCTCTTTCAAGAGAGGTTTGTGCTTCGGGCCCATATGGTGCGATTGTCGGAAGAAAAGATCGAGTGCCGACTCTGCTGCTGGATGAAAATCGTAGATTAACACCAATGAGTTGTCTTGGAAAGCCTTAAAAGATCAATGCGAAATGGACGGAGGAAAGCGATTTACTTTCGTCGTGAAAACTTCATGAAGACGGACAATATTTGCGTGGCGAATACTCTTCCACTTATCTATCGTTTGTTGCCCGGACCTTGAAACACTTGTACAGGCTAAATAGAATATAAAAATGGAAGTTTTTATACTGAAAATACCGTGTATTCGTTTGAGGGTGTATTGCAGGCCGTCTCTATTATTCGCCCGGAATAATGATGTGACCATGGGATGAAGTGTAGATGATTTTTGCTCTTTTTTCAGTGGATACAGCTATAAAAGAAATGTTGCATTTCGAATTGAGGGGAGTGCAGAATTACCTCGTGATAAGAATTTGTGAGGATACTTCCTTTTTCTGTCAGGTGATACGTATTGACTTCTCGTGGCAGTCGCAGCTCCTCGCCACTGTCATGGAGACTAAGTTGGCAAAGGAACTGTTGGTTTAGGAGTCGCTCTCGGATGTCTTCATCCATGAAGAAGGAGGGTCGTTGTGGCTGGGGAGGTGGGCGGACGTAGTTATAGTCGGCGCCGCTGTAATCATACATCATCGAGTTGTACAGCTGGCCGACGCCGTTTTGATTTTGAAGGGAGCGATTATTATGAGGATGTTGAAGTGGATGAGCATGGGGAGTTGGGTGATGCCCTGGGTGCTGGTGATGAGCATTGAACGCGGGTTGAAGAGGATGCCCGCCCGGCGCATGATGATGCAGATGTGCTGGAAGCAGGTTATTCTGCATCAAATTATTGTAGTTGTTCTCCATCACTATAAAAGGTTTATTAGCCTTGACATAAGACACTTGATGCTAACAGGGGTCGGGAACGCGCGGTAGTTGGCTCTGCATCGAGTAAGGATTTGCGGGGGCAGAAATGGGAGGACGGCTGAACGCTGTGGTGTCCAAATTTGAGGGGGAGAAACCAGGGCTTGATGATGAGTGGTTATTCTGGAGATTATACGGTGGAGGAGTTGGCTGCGGGATCATTTGGCCTCCAGGACCTAGACGATGGGAATTAAGAAGTAATTTTTTTCACAATTATGCTCACCGATTTTGCCACCAGGAAAACGTGTTCCCGGAAGAAATTCCATCTTCGGAAACTGATTCTGGTGCGACCCATTTAATCCTATTTATAACATTCGTGATCGGAATAAATAGCAAAAAATTAACCTCGGCTTTCGGATTGCAGATTGTAGCTCGGAGCATTTGACGGCTCCCCGTAATCGAAAGTCATCTGCTGAATAAATTTTGGTCTCCATTTATATAATAATGGATGGATTAAAATTCTAAGGAAACTAACCAGAGCGTCGCTTATGCTCAAATTCACATTCCCATCTGTCAGAAGCTCACCGGGCTCGTAAGCCCGTTAGCCACACTTTGTCTAACTTCGTCTGAAATACGCAAATTTCAAGTTTCTTTTAAGAAAATAAACAAGCTATTCTTGATCAGATAAATGGCAGTTCCAAAGAAAATTCAAGAAGATGGACGGGACTTCACGTCCCGGATGAGTTTGGCTACGGCCTGTGGATTTGCGCCAAGCTCGATGCAGTTGATAGCAGCGAGGAGAGTCTCTCGATCAAGACCTGTGTTGAGTAATTCACTAAAATTTCGTTGAAGGACGATTCGATTTTTTTTACAAGCAACCTTATTTGATAAATATCATCTTGCCATCGAAAATCGGACATTTCAGGCATTCTGAATACAAGAATTTAAAAATTTCGCCTTCATTCTAGTCAAACATCTTTCTGTTTCAGATGTTGCATAATGGCAGGGTAAAGGGCTTGCGCTCGCTTATTTACAGCCTTCATTTCTTCCTCTATATTTTCGGCTACTGAAAGGATTCCGGTCACTTGGTTCAGCTCAGGCATGATCGATGCGAATGTTCCCATTGTCGCCGCTAGAAATGGCTTTTTAATCAAGTCGAACAAAGAAGGGAAGATCTACTACAACGCAAAATGGACTTTTGAAAATAAAATAATATTTATTTTTAGGCTAAAAATTTTAGCATCTGAAAATATCGAAACTGGGATTTTTTCAAAATTAAAAAGGACACAAATAATCTTTCAAAAAGATCTCTCTCTTCGAAATCCGAATGTGTGTGCCGTTACCTCCCACGACGAGGCCGTACATATCAAGGCCGGCATCAGCTGCGGCGAGTCCACACGCTGTGACAATGGCGGCCATTGTGGTCGTTTCCGCCAGCCCTTCGCAGATCACTTGAACTCGCATGTCAATCTGGCTCTTTGGGTAGCGTTTGAGCAGGATCACCGACTTGAGTGCTTCTTCGATGATTTGGGCCTGTTCTTTTTCGTCTTCCGTTGTTCTAGAGGGGACGCGTCGAGTTGTGCGAGACGCAAAGGCGCAAAATGACAGTTCTATCTTCAACAGTCCGCTGAGCGAGAAATCCTCACGTTTAGCCAGATCTTTTGGGCCAATACAAGCAACCATAACTAGAAACCAACCGTAGTCAGACTTTTTTCTCCTTATCAACCTTTAGCGCCGTTGTATTCAACATACGAGCTTCCATTAGCATTTTTAATGACCGAAGAATTCAACAAAATCTCATCCTCTCCCTCTTCGCTTTTCTTCACTCCCTTGTCTTTCATGTACAATTTGTACGAAACAGAATCCTCCGGGAAGGGCAGTCTCCTCTGATCTGGCATGCTCTTTATTATCCCCTGAAATGATTCATGATTTACTCGCGAATTGATTTTTACAGACAAGGGTTTTAATTTTAATGCAAAATTAACAATTTTTCTAACAGATGATGGTTTTTAACTCTTTTGGAAAGAAGGGAAATAAACTGAATGTTTTGTCAGAAATGTCAAAGATGCGTGTTTCTTTCAGTTTTTGAAAAATTACTATCTGGCGGTGAAAATAGTCGTGATCAAGCCTAATCGGTGCTATGCTTGCTTTTCCTCATCAAGCCCGTCGAGAATATTACTGAACGCTTCGATGATGCGGCGATTGTTCTTCAAGTCTTTCTTCTGGTGCTTGAACTGAAAAGGATGATGAGTTTTTGAGCGATAGATCAGATTTTTTTACCACAGCGAGTTGTTCATTCTTCGCGTGCATCAGCGTTTTTGTCAGGACAGTTCTGATGGTTGTTTTTAAATTTTTTCATAAAAAACTTTACGATTCTGTTTAACAGACTCTGTTATTTCAAACATTTAAAACCGCCCCTGTATTTCTGCTCGTCCATTACTCGATCCGTAAAGGCTCCGACTAATTTCCCCGCGCGATTTACCAGTTGATACATGAGCTCCAGACTTCCCCACTCATTGATGTAGTCTAAAAATACCGTCAAACTCGTCTACTGGTTAATTATTACCCATTGTGGATTCATCTTGCACTTCATTTGGCAGCGCAGCTAGCTTTTGTCTTTCAGCAATATCTTCACAATAAATATAAGTTGAGGGAATAAAAACCAATTTTTAAATTTGCCTGAGCTTGCTGCGTCTTCCGCTAGCTGAATAATGTCTTGCTCCAGCTTTGATAAGTCGATTTTTGTCTCTGGTGGCGGACCAAGCTCAATCCTTCGCTTTTTCTTCTTCGATTTCTTCGCTTTCTTCTCTTCCTTCTTTCGCTTTCTCTTCGCCTCGCGATGTTTGTTTCGATTCACGGTGCTAGATGCCTCGTCCAGCGATTCCGACAACTTTTTCGCAGTTTCGTTCATTTCCGTGTTCACATTGTAGCTCTCTTCGAGGATGCTTGCATCTTCTATCTGTGGCTTTCCTTTTTGCTCCTAAAAATCCACATTCTAGCTGGCAAGCCAAAAAAGCGCTCAAAAATTACCTCAATACAGTTCTCTAACTGGCGCCGCTGTTCCGCAAAGAGCACTCCTCGCAGACCTTTTACATATTCTTCAGTGAAAACAGTTCGATTCTCCCAAACAGCAAGAACATTCATCAACGATTTCAAAAGTCGCTAAAGTTGATTAATTGAAAATTTCCGTTTTCGAAAAAGCGAGGCTACCTGGTCACAAATTCCAAAAGAAGCAAAAGCGCCGGGCAAATGCGGAAGGAAAAATTCTCGAAAGGGTGCCTTTCGTTTTAGTCCGTTTTGAAGCAGGTCATTCGCCAAGTAGACCAGAGACTTTTTCTTTGAGTTGTTGTCGGTCGTCAGTAAAATACGGAGCTGAAAAAAATGGAAAGTTCAATTGATGAGAAGAAAATTTACCCATGATTTGACAATGACATCGCCATGCTCGTGATTTTTAATCAGCCAGCGAGAAATGCTCTGCACGGACTCCTGAGTTTTGTTCAGTTCATTCTTGAGTTTGTTGTCGAGGACATCGACACTGAAGGGCTCGCTTATACCCATCCCGAGCCTTTTCTTGTCCGAATTTATTCTGAAATTAAAGAAAATTTTAGTGTTAAATTTTATTGATTCATTTTTGTTTCAGAGTATCAAAATTCTTATAGATTCAATCACATTTCTTCATTCAAATACAATAGTAGATAAAAAAGACATTTCTAAACTATCACATTCTGCCTTCACGATCATACCCCGACGCTTCTGTTATTTCATTTTCCTTGGTTAATCTTAAAAGAAACATTATTTCGAGCATGAATATTTTGAAGTTCAAAATTTGAATGAAAAGCGCGAGTCACAGCGGGAGACCTGTAAGCGGCAAGTTCACTTGCGTTATCAAAGGTGTTATCCGAATCTATTTTTGCTGATCGTGGTTCTTGTGTCGTCAGTTGCCACTCGTCAAGGGTGCTAACGCGCCAATGTACTTATAAACTGCACAAAAAGAGAAACTACGCAAGGTCAAAACAAAATTTAAATGCAAGAATAAAAAGAAAAGAAAAAAATGGACATTCGAGTTTCTGAAACAGTCGTGGTTCGTCAAACAGATACGCAACAAATTGCTCCTCCGCCACCACCTCCTCCTAGTTCCCAAATATCTCTTCCTCCACCACCCCCTCCGCCGGCAAATTTGCCTCTTCCTCCAGCTACATTCAGTGAAGTTACATTAGAGAATTCCGTGGAAGATGCTGCTATTGATATTTCGTTGTTACTAAAGGTACGGTACATCATTTTACAATATTTTTTCAATAGGTTTTTAGAAAAGATTTGCCGATTGTGGTGAGCCAAATGAATTCCACGCCGCTGCTCGCGCTGGCGACACAAGAAGAATGGATAACATCGCTGCAAGGGAGCCCTCCCTAATCAACAAAAAAGACAGCTTCGGACGCAGTGCACTGTGGATCGTCGCTAGTGTTGAGCTTGAATGGACTGAAAGAACGCTCCTGCACCTCGTGAAAATGAAAAATATAGATTTAGACGCACCAGATGTCCGTGGACAAACTCCAGTCTTTGCAGCTGCGAAATATTGCCACACAAGGTCGCTTGAGATCCTGCTAGAACACGGAGCTGATCCGAATGGATCTGCTGACTCGGCAGAGAGCCCCTTGCATGTTTCAGTGAGGGACGGAATGCCAAAAGTAGCATCATTACTATTAAAGTACGGAGCATCGCCCGATGGAGAAAGACCAGGGCTTGAGCATCGCGTTAACTTTGGAACTATTCCTGTAAGTGGTATATTTTCATGACAGCTGAATGATCATCTGCTTTAGATATATACTGCGATAGTGTACGACCAATTTGAAATTTTCATCGAGCTACTAAGATACGGCGCAAACCCTGATTTGCTGATGATTCAACCTGGCTTTACGAATTCAATGTTGGAAGGTCTCCTGAAGCATGGATCAGAAGTAAAATGGCTGAAGGCACTTTTTATTGCCGGAATGAGTCCCTATCAAAATGTTCCTGATAGACCATTCTACGGGTCGATGCATAAACATGCCTTGCTAGATGAAATTGCGAGCTCTAAACTTCAAGTTCGTTCGTTAAGAGCTCAAGCGCGAAAGGTACATTTTCAGTTCACTATTCTTAACTTCATTTTTTATCAGGTAATTCGACAGCACCTCCCTTCAAAACTCCTACCATCCATTCCACTCCATATTTCTCATCGACTTCGCTGGTATCTTCAACTACCTGAACTCGAGAAGCTGGCAAAGTCAGCCCCTGCAACTCCGCTTGAAGGATAAATACTAACCTTATAATTCTTTATCGTAAGCGACACAGCGAAAGCTCAAATTCATGCCAGTCATTATATATTTTTATGAACACATACTGTGAATATTCCATTTCAGACCGACTCGATATCTAAAAATATAATGATAAAAACTAAATGTCGTGTTGAACTTTTATTGAACAGAACAGCCTCTCGGTGAGAACTTGAGTGAAATGAATAAAGTGAAGAAGTGATAAGAAAGTTACATTTGGCGACAACCTCGGTCACCCTCTTCTTCGTCGTCGTCAGTATCTTCATCACTGTCGGAACTGTCATCGGCAGCTCGCTCTCGTCTCGCCTAAAAATAACTGTCAAAGATTTTTCTTTTTGGTTGAGTACAACCATGTATTCGAGAAGACGCAGTCGATCAAGAAAAGAAAATCGGGCGCGGCGACTTGCGCGGCCTGAATTGATGTTTTCTGTCATTTGATCTTTCGTTTCAGATACCCGATCCTCGTCTTTAAAGTTTAACGGATTAAATCGTATAAATAATCTTGAATCTACCTTCAAGGAACACGTCATCGGAAGGAGTCCACAGCTTCACTTCCGAATCAAGACCGGATGTGGCAAGCATTGGGATCGATTTCGCTGGCTCTAGGACATTAACTACTCCTGGTGAGAGTTCCGTTCCATCCGCAAATTGAGAATTGACCAGTGCGCCCGTCTAGTTACAATTTAAACTCGGCTGAAAACGAGAGGGCACCTTTGAGTCCCAAATGTAAAAGCGGCCACAATCAGAGCCAGAAATGACGTATTCACAGTTCTTGCCATAGAAGTTAACCCCTTTAATTGTCTGCTCATTCTGATGTCCGGTAAAAGTATTGATCACTTTTTTCTCATTGATGTTCATCAGATGAATCTCGCCGTTTTGGTAGCTCAACAAGAGCTCTGTACCAGTGTGATTATATCGAAGGCAAGTGATTGAATGAGCGTTGTTTTCTGAACTGCCGAGCGTCATTTCAGACGTCAGATATCGGCGGTCAAAGATTTTGGCGTGTGCGAAGTCGCCACAAACGGCGAATTCGTATCCGTTTGGCTGGCAGTCGATCGCGTACATAACTTTATCATCTGAGCTTGATAATAAATAATGGTCAGGCTTGAATATCTAACCTAGACGAATAATAGGATTTTTGGGCGGTTCTCGGTGATCTATCTGATAAATTCGGCCATCTTCTCCCGCTGATAGGATGACACTGGTTCCATGGACAAACGCCAACTTATGCGCAGAAAGACGATGCTTCACAAGTAGTTTTGTTGGCTCTTCCTCGGACAGGCGAACTGGGCATCCACCGTTATCCAGCTCTGTAAGTCGAACTGCTCCATCTCGCGAGCAGCTCACGATCTTTCTATTAGTTTGGTAGGGAATGAACTTTGACTTTTCGAGGCTCAATCATTATTTTTACTGAAAAGCTTCTTTCTTTGATTGAGCCGCCTTCCTGGAAGATATTGCTTTGATGACCTGTGTAGAATCTGAACTGCGGTTTCTTTTCTTTCCCCATCGCTTTGTATAAGTTAATACACTTGTCGTCTGAACCGGAGACGATAAACTGATCATCACCAGACCAACCAAGCGCATTCACACAGCCAGTATGTCCAGTTAGTTCCGTCATGCAGGTATCGGAGAATTTATAAGCCGCATCGAGGTAAACTCTGTTTTGAAAAGACCCGGTTCGTGGGCGTTTTGCGCAACGAGAACGAAGGGCGCTCGGAAGAGTGAACAATTTCTTCAAGGGTGATTCTTCAGGAAAAGACTTTTTTATTGCTTCTTCGGCCTTCTTTAAATCAGGATTAGAAACAGTATATTCTCGTATTTATCACCGCTTAGAAATTTTCAATTTGTTTGAAATTCATACATATCTCATCGGAAAAGTCTCAAGTTTTCGCATCCACTCCTTTTTCAGTTCCGCTTCTCGGACATTGATCCGTTCTGGCACTTCTCGTTCTTCGTCGTGCCGTCTTATTCTCCTCGCCAAAGCTGCAGGCATGATGTCGTCTAAAGAAATATCCCCTTCGACGTATTCGTCGGAAGAGCTGTTTTGAAGACTGGAATCATCGCTTTCGCTGTCGCTGTTTTCGGGCTCATTGTTTTGCCCAGCCTCCATCATTTCTTGCTGCAGCGGTTGCTCGGGAAGACCTGCGGAATCCAAAAGCTCGTTAGCGGATTGTATCATTTGCTGAATGTCCACCCGAGCCTCTCTTTCCTCTCTTACTGTCATAAATTCTCGAGTTTCTTCTTCAGCTTCGTTCGAGCTTGAATCCGACATGTTCTGATGATGCATCAATATTTAGTTTAAATTTATATTTACATTCGTAATTCAGAATAATTGAAAGAAATAATAGAATTAATAGGGAAAGTCTATCTTGGGAAGAGCAGGAAAAGGTGACAGTTTTTTGAGCGAGGTAGACAGCGGAATTCAACACGGTTCTACCTATCTTTTTTCTTGAGTTTAGGACTCTGTAAATTCAAAATTGATGATGAATGATTTAGTAACTGCGTGTCTTTGAGAAAAGGTCTTACATGTTGGTTGGTTCGGAGGTGGATCTTTGTGATGCAGCGGGTGGAAAAATGACTTGATGAAAAGCAATAAAGAAACGAAAAAGCGAAAGAAATGAATGCAAATGAAATAAAAGCTGTGATAACTGAAAAATGCAATTGCAAAAACTAATTGTTTTCATTGAAATAGAGGCACGGTTATTCGAATGAGTTGGCGTACTTTTCATTTATCGTCTTATTTAGAGTCATAAAGCCAAAAAAGCGTATATATATAAATTGCTTGGTATGTCTTGCAGTCAGTAATAAAGCTTCATGTTTCATTGTGATAGGTCAATAATAGTAATATCGTGATGATAAGATGTTATACAGTAGGAAAGAATTTTAGTTTTTTTTTTCAAGTTGACTCTCTTCACTTTTCAAAGTATTATACAGCAGGAGTTGTTTGGCTTGCCCTTGTTTTTTCCCATTATGTTCATTTGCTCGACGGCCTGTTGGAATAATTCGTCTACGTTGATTTTAGCTTTTGCCGAGGCTTCGTAAAACGAGCAGCCCCACTCTTTCGCCAGTCCAAGTCCGTCGCTACAAGTTTTTTTATACAATCAGGACGGATTTTGTCGGTCTTACTTTCTCTGAACCTCCCGGTCACGCTCGAGGTCGACTTTGTTTCCCACGAGGACGATAGGCACTCTTTCTGTTCCCTTCACACGGCAAATTTGATTTCTCATTGATTTTATATCCAAAAAGCTTTGCATCGACGTTATCGAATAAACCAGAACGAAACCTAAACAGTTCAATTTGAGAATCTGTTCTCATCAACTAAGTTCAAAGCTACCTTGGCCATTGCGTATGTAAAGATCTCTCATTGATGCGAATTGCTCGGTTCCAGCTGTGTCGAGAATTTCTAGCGTTGCTGGTTCTCGATTGACTTCGATTTCTTTTCTGTAAAAATCTGAAGAATACAATGATGAGTTTCAATGATAAAATTTATACGGTGTTACGCTAGAATTTATGCTTATTATGCAAATTATGCGCTTACCTTCGACGGTCGGATCATATCTTTCCGCAAATTGACCGGTAACAAATTTGACAGTGAGCGCGGATTTTCCAACGCCGCCGGATCCCAGCATCACAACTTTGTACTCTCGGTTCTGCATTTTTTTCTTGTGTATTTATCTTTTACGATCGTACGCTTCAAATGTGTGTCTTCTCTTCTTCTGATTCTTTGTTATTTTCCGTTGCTTATTTCTCGAAATCGACAATCATTCAACTACCCTCAATCTCTTCAGATATTTTGAAGGTAGTCTCGTTTTTTTCTGAAAAAGAAAATCGATCAGGATGGATTGAAAAGCAGAAAGTATTTGATTTGAAATTAATCATAACATGCGTGTCGTTACAGGAGCGTATTATTTGGCTTGAATACATTTGAACTTGAAAAGAAAACGAAGAAAATGAAGGAAAGTTTGAATTTTTTCTCTTTCGCGATCTCTCAAATGCGTGAATATTTATGATCCGTAATGTCGTAGTACTGAAAAGGCGGCTACGAAACTAAAAAAACGCGAGGCTCGTTAATCCTTTTGTTCGCGTCAAAAATGCGCCCATCGAGATAAAACAAACGCTGAATACAAATTTGAAATTAGAAATTCCTGACTCAGGATTCCCCTACTTCCCCTTTTCAGGAGAAAATTGAGCTTTTCAGGAAATTCTGAAATGCTGAAAAGCAGCATTTTTTGAAAACAAAAAAATATTTGCTCGTTTTTGTAATTTCCAAATTTGAGATTGAAAAGAAAGTAGCCAATTTCCTTGTGTTGCTCTTTGAAGCAGCGTTGGCAAAAGACGTCCTCTTCGCAGCCGTGACAACGCAAACTCCCGTCGTCGTTGCAAATACAGCACTGAATAATTTTAATTGTAAAGAGACTTTTATCAAAAACAGCAGCGCGAGTCGTTTATTCTTTTCAAAGAAAGTGTGCTACTAAAATTATCGACAGAATACGGGTGTATTCGTTTTTTATTGCTTGACATTTATAAACATATTAATCAACAACGGTTAATGAAAGAAAGCTTGAATGAACAAGAACTATCAAAAATAAAATTCAGAAAATATGTGAACTTTTTTTTCACCCATTCTTAATTTATCCAAAAAATCATCATTCAGTTTGAATGAGTTTCAGGTCCTAAAATTCCTCTGATTTGAATTCTGACTTGGCAATAATCAATCTCTCCCGGAACAATGGTCGATAGTCAAGCTGCTAAAAAGCTATAAACTCGTCACTCACCCACTTGTCCATTTCTTCCTGCTCCTTCCTCTTTTCCTCTTCTGCTTTAATTTGCCAGCTCCATTTATGATCAATTGGAACCGTCTTCGCATCCTTCCTTAGCGCGGCGAGACGCTGCTCGATCTTAGCCACATTATTAAAAATTGAAAAATGAACTGAGCGCCGGGGCCAATAAGCTCCAATCTCGCCAAGGGCGGCACATTTGAAAATTACTTTTTAGGCGCGCACGTCAAAACACAATTATTTATTCAAAAATCACTCCTTCTACTTCTCTTACACTCGTAGTCAAAAAAACTAAGATAAAATACAAATTTTAAGGAAATAATTACTAAAATTATTTCAAAAAGCTTCGTTTATCTCTTATTCAAATTCATGAATTTTCAAGAAAGTGTCGAATTCTCTCCCTCTCTCTTTTTTTATGTGTTCGTTTTATGAATCATTTGGTCTATAGAAGGTAGACGGGATGAATGTGTGTGTCGCATTTAAATTCTAATCCGTGAGTATTATTATTCACCTGTTTGTCCCGCTCGGATAAGCCCACGGTAAACTCGTTATTGGTGTCACTTTCCTCGACTTTAATCTCATCGACTGTTCGTTGGATAATGTTGGAGACGGCGGTTTCCTCATCCATTTCGTCGTCCGCGATGCTCATTACGCGAACGATCGGTTTCGACGGCTCTTTTTCGGTTTTACAATCAGAATTTTGAAGAAAAAACGATAAAACGGAAAACAAATTGTCAACTATTTTTAAATTATTTAGTCGCAAGCGGCTTCTCAACAAGAACGACGGTCTTTGTTAGTACGGACAGTGCCTAACCGAACTTGGTAAAGGTTTCTCCTCTCAATTCGCGCAGTCTTTGCTCAATCATTTCGTCCTCCTTCTTTCCTTTTCGGTATTCCTCCGTTTCTTCCAATCCCGGTGGAGGAAGACTGTTTAGCTTCGAGCTTATCTCCATCATATTATCATATGGCGTCTGTGAGGAACGGCCGTAGAGGTTCTTTGGCGGTTCGGTGGGCTGGGAAGGGACTGTCCCAGGAATCCGACAGTGAAGGCAGACTTTTTTCTTTGTGCATTTTGCGCAAACTGCTCTTTTACTGTTTTATAGGTTCAACAAAACGCTGATTTTTTGTTCAGGAGAAGAAATGCTCGCGAACCTTTTCCGGGTGAAATCTCATAATGAAAAAATTGCAAATAAAAGATGATTCACCCATTGCCTAACATTGACTACAATCAATCGATCCTCGGAAGAACCCGAATTTTTCGAAGCAAATGCTGCACTGCGAAGACATCCCTTTTTCTTTTTCCTAGGCGGAGAAACAATTAGATGAATTGAAATTAGTTTTATGAATTCGAAATTGCAATTTTTGAACAGAAAGAGAACATAAGTGTTAAAAAAGAAAGGTTATTCGAGATTTATGTGTGTCATGCGTCCGCGGGTTAAATTCCCAATGTCGCGATAGATTTTTTGAACTTCAAGGCGCGTGGCTTCTGTATGATCATCAATGTCTATTATTAAATCGAGTCATTACTGTAACACAACACAAAAGAGGCACCTTTCAAATCTTTCAAGAGCTGCTCAATCTCATCATTGGCCATTTTCAACAAAATATCGTCATCGATCTCCTGCAGAGTTTCCCCTTTTTCATCCCTTTTGTTGAGCAACGCTATTATATCAGGATTTTCGGCGCTCATGGAACTCATTTCAAGACTAAACAAAAAGACAAGCGTTTTTTAATTATAATTTTTATTCATTTTTTATTAGATATAATTTTTTTTGTATTTTAAATTAGAATTTTTAAGTCACATTGTTTTTCGCAAAATAATGTAATAATAATCGTGAACGAAAGAAAAAAAGCTTCTATGGAAGAATGAAGTCAAAGGCAGGAAATTCACAGATTGAGCGAGGCTCAAAGCAGGAGTGGTAGGATTACAGAAATTAGAAAAATTAGCAAAATAATAATAAAAGAATAGGCGGATGATAAGGATTCAGTCCACTAGTAAATAAGGCCTATTATTAAATATGAATAGATCTTTCCAAAGAAAAATAGAACACAGAAATAAATAGATCCCGTGAGTAATTAATAACGCTTATTAATTATTATTGGGATGAGATTCTCTCGAAAATGAAGATGGAACTATTCGGACTTTGATTCTTTTTAAAGTTCTTCAACTTGAAATTTGAAAAAATCTCATTTTCGAGATACTACACTTGCTTCTTCCGATAACGAATTTTTTCATCGAGATCGAGCTCACTAATCAGCTGTGCGCCTGGCTCGAGCAGTCAGGAAAATCGCGCTTGATGAAAAAAATCGTTAACGGAAGAAGCTAGTCTAGAGGTTTAATCTTTTTTAAGTTTTTATCTGATAGCAGCACCGCTCGTGTTTTTTAAAACCAATAGTATTGATACCCAGTTTAATAAGTCAATCATAATTCTATGGGAAGCGGTTTCAAGGAAGATTTTAGTAGCAAATTGAGATATTTTAAAAATATATGTAAAGTTCAAAATTGAAAATTACAGAAATGATGACGGAAAATAAGAATACAGCTCTTATGGACCATAAGTTATGGTACTGCTTGCGTTTTTTGCTCACTACTTAGAATTTTCTTCGCTCTCGAGTTGCGGTACTTCACCAGGGTGTACATACAGCCGCCAGTAAAGTTGATCACTTGGCCCAACAGAAAGAAAAAGGTAGGTTGGACCCCTCCGAAGGTGTACATGCCGATCCAAGTGGTGAATGCAGATTTGAGCACTAAAATCAACTAGGTGAGTCTTTGCCTACTTGTACCGAGTATTTCAAGCTCGGGTTTTGAGTCTGAAATACTCGGTAGCACAAGTGTGGTTATTTCCGTTCTTATCACTGCTGATCTATGAGAGTTTGATCATTATCAGGGGCGATTATGGTAGTGATTATCTGATGTAAAAGTCAATCACCCGCTGAGGCGATTGTGCTTCACTCTAGCGCCACCACCCCATATTCCCCATATAAATCAACTAAGAAAAAACTACATTAGAAACAAGTTAGAATTTCTTGCGATAAAAAAACCTTATTCCACATCGAAAAATGGGTAAAAGAAGCTATTCAAAAAGAGCCCAAATCTTCAGAGTAGAGAAAGAAGCCAAAATTACTCTTCATAAAATTACGGGTAAAAAGAATGAAGAGGAAAATGATATGAGAAAGACTTCTCGAAAGCTATCCCGGCTAAATATAAAATACGGAAAGAGCATCAAAAAGGTCGAAAGTCGAATGGCAGATCTTGAGCGACTGGAAAATTATAGAAAGCCACGGGAAGTCAGTACTAACTCCTGCCTCGTACGAAATCGGATAAAAACAGACGTAATGGCCAATTTGATCAAAAAGAGGAAAAAGAAGTTGCGAAAGAGACAGTTCAAGCATCTTCAACTAGAGGACAAAATTGAAGCCGCCCAAGGGAAACTTTACGAGATTCTAACTTCTGTATTCGGGGAAGAAGATGAAGAATTAACCCCGGAAGAAGTTCTCGACATAAAATTCGAACTTGACATGTCCCTCTGAAATGCTATTTATCATGTTCAAGATCAACCACTTTATTATTTCATTCTTTGAATATATCGAAAATAACGAATACATCGAAATGCTATCTAGAAAGATAATCTCTTACCAGACACGCAGGAGGTAGTTAGCGCTGAGTTGACGGTAGTACAGAGGAACATGCTGTAGGTAAAAATGCATCCGGAGAAAATGACGGCCAGGAAAGAAAAAATGAACGAGGATGAAGACCAGTGTGGATAGGCGACGATCTGTTTTTTGAGATTTCAACCCTTTCTTTGGTTATTTCATTTTCAAAATCATATTATGAAATCCTTCCTTTGGGATATCGCCGGTAATAAATAAGACTAAGGTCATGACGGGCATACAGTTTATACTAAAAACCGTTATTATAGAAACAGATGAGATAAAGTAGGCAATACAAAACGAGACGCTCGCACTGTTGCTCCGTTTCTATTAGTAAAAAACCTTGTGATGGCGACTATCGAAACGACGCGACAATGCGAGGATCCAGTTTTCGGATTATTAGTTGTAAGTTTACCTGTTAATGTAGGCGATGGAAATTGCACCAAGATTCTTCTCCATGCCCGTTTTTTGTAGCGTTGTTAAATAAGCAGCATTGGAAATGACCGAAATAACTCCAAAAGTATAAGCAGTCGAGTCGAAATTCAAATCGCCAAAAGCAGCCACGAGCGTGCCAGCAGTAATGGTGAGAACGGAGAGCGTGATGCCACGGGAAGGCCGCACGCGCAAGAAAACGACGCCGAGCAATAAATTAGCGATGGGCACACAGCGACGCATTGCGTTGTACATCGGAATGTTCATCCCGTTCAACGCGAACAGCGCTGGAATAATTTTTTTAAATGAGCAGTTCTTACAAATTCAAGAGGGGGCGGCCCAAGGTCGAGTGTTTTTTGGAAACTATAAGTTTAGGAGAATCCATCTCTGTATCAAAATTTTTGATAGGTTCAATTTGGTAAACTCAAATCACGCAATGCTAATTCTTGGTCTGTCATGACGATTAACAGTACTCACCGATAACCGTATTAATGGCGAAGAAAAAGGACAAAACAAGACAGGATCTCCCATGAGCCCAAGTATAGTCAACAGCTTTGCACTTTCCAAGAGCCTTGAGCGTATCAATCCCAACGGATAAAACTATCATCTGAAAAAGAAATTCCTTTCTAGTGCCAAATGGACGCTAATCTGTCACCTGCGCGAGCATCAGAAAGTTGGGCGAGGGAAAGTGCCAGGAAGAAAGGACGAGCTTATTCAAAAAGTTCATCGAACCAGAACATACTCCGTAAAAGATCGCCGCGTAGAGCGATCGACGAGCCTAAAAAATGCAATTTCAAAAGCAGAATTGAAGAAAAATTCATTTCAAATCGATTTCGTAAGAAAACAGTAATTAGTAGTTGGGAGTGACGCTAAGAAGCGCCCTTTATTGTGGGTTATACTTGCGGATTTGTAATTTTGCTAAGGGGCAGCACAAGAAATCTCTCATCATAATTTTTAAACGAGTCAGAGCTAGATCAAACTCACCCGTTGAAAAGTAATTCGAACTGGTTCAATTGAATCAGCTCAACATTTACAGTTGACCGTACAACCGAAAATCTTTCATACCGTTTTTGTTAGAAATTTGGCTAGGAACATTTTTAGACCAAAATTGATTTATATTTACTAGCAAAATTGTAAATATTCTCAAACTAGAAATCATTAAAATCAGCAAAAATCGGGAAAGATAAAAAACGAGCTTGTTTAATTTTCGATGTAGCGTAAAATTTCGATTTCGATGAAGGGCGAGATTCTCGTCTTGAGAATTATTCCGTTAAAATTGTACAATTCTTGTTTACGCATTACCTGGTCATTAATAACCATAATTAGGGTTCGTAGTTATGCTCGTTTCTGTCACTTGTACCGTCTCATCCCTCTTTAGATCGGTTTCTTCGTTTGGTTTTCGCAGCGCGCTCTCTTGTTCTTTTAAAATTCCTCTGGGCAATAACGACCGTATCTCAATTTTTTCAATTCTTCTGATTGCTGTTTTTTGAACGTTTGCTTCTGAACCGCAGGAGTTGTTGGTCGCACAGAGCGTTATTTCGTACTCCGCTTTTTGTCTGCCCCGCGGCTCCACTTTCCCGATTCAAGTTACCAGACCGGCATAATCACAAACATTTTTTTTTTCTTAAAAGTAAACCTTTTTTCGAAGATCTTAAATAATCGAGTATTACTCGACGAGTAATAAAAGAAAAATCTGGATTTTGGAATTTACAGAAGGAAGATTGTGTTTTTAGATCGGAGACTAATAAAACTAACGGTTAGATGTGAAAATAAAACCAGGAAATGATGATTGAAAGTTAGATATGTCGACCAGAAAAAAAATATATTATTTGGATTAGTTTAGGGTCCGTCATAAATAAATATTCATTATTATTTTACCCGTCAGATAAAACGTCATGTAAACGCCCATTTTCAAATTAATTGGTAAAGTAAAACCGTCTCATAAAAATACATAAAATTTATGGGCAAAAAGTGAATAAGGAAATGAGTAACCATTCGAGTCTGCTCTTTTCCGTTGCAAAATAGTGATAACATTGATTTATTTTCGGGGAGCATGCAGTGAGTATTCAGTCAACCGACAGAACTTGATTGCTTTCATAAAAAACAAGAAGGAGTGGTTGGAACTTCAATTTCGAGCTCGTGTGGCAGTAAAGCGGAAAATCTATCTTGATCGGCGAATGTTTTCGAATCTGGCGTGAAGGGATGGAAAAGAAGAGTTGACACGCCATAGAAAAAGCTCATTCGGTTTCGGAGATAAACGCGTAGATCGTCGTCTAAAAGGACATTTCTGTACTTGGACATTTGGTGCCCTCGTGAGTCTTCTACTCGCAGGATCGCGTCCTCGGCCGAAATTCCCAGTTTGTCGATTAAATATCGCGCCACAACGTATCCTAAATTGTCATTTATAAATAAAATTTGACGTTAAATCGCACCAGATCTGTTGACTCCGTGAGTGCAATGAATCACGATGTTGAAATCTGCGTTTTGCATCATCTCGAAATGTTCTTCCGCCGCTTCTGGTTCCAATGTCTTCACAACTGCCTCTTCCATGTTCAAATCGTCGATTCCAGTTGTTTGCTTGGGGACAGTTCTTTTCACGCCCTTTAGGCGGTAGAGCAAGAAGGAATCGATGACGCGGATGAATTGTTGGACGTAGCCTTCTGGTGGCGGTTTTCCTCCTTGATTTCCATTTCATACAGATTTTTTAACAGTTGCCGAATTACCTGGAATGGGAAGCTTGTAGTAGTCCTTTCCAGCGTTGTAGATCTCGCTCGGGTAGTAATACTTGGATGTAGCAGTCATGTCGATGACCAGTCCAATCCTAAAATTCACTAAAAGAAAAGGTTAGCCCTATTCCCTTTTTGATAAAATATGGCAGCAGAAGACTATTAGAAACGTTAGTACCTGAATAAATAGTCTTTTTTGCATGTCACTCTCTTTCAAGTTCAACGATTTCATCGTTTCAGACGACCCTTTCAGAGTCGCGCGGCGGTGGGTTAAAAATCTTTAACCCATTCTCCGTTTCGGTAAGCGGTATCCAGCCCTGCAGGCCGTTTTTGCTGCTAAGCCCCGGTGGGGTCCAAGTTTTAATAAAACTACGAAAAAGAAAAAGAGGCAAAGTTGATAATTTAACAATTATAAAGCGTTTTTCTAAACTTACGGCTTTCCATAAGCTTCTTCGATTGTCTTGATCATAATTTCTGGCGTCCAAACTGCGCGAAGCTTGTTGTTCCGGAACATCGTTTGCCTGAGGGGAGTGCGGCAGAGGATAATGTTCGTCCCTTCGATCGGCTTTCCATGATTTGTGTAAAGATCCCACTCACTAAAATTCGAGATAAGCGAGAAAGTCGCTGTAAATTTACTAACAGGAGTTTGAACAACTTTGTTTGACCGGGTCTTTTTCCTCTGGTCATTCCTCTAGTCTAAAAACGAAAGCCTTAAAAATTTACCGTAGTAAATCCCTATTCTTCATGGCTAACAGTTGTAGTCTCGAGAAAAAGGAAACTTCTCTTTGACGCAAAATTAGACTTTTGAAAAAGAGAAGAGGCGAGCCAATAGAATAAGCGTGGGAGCGCCCGCCAGTTTTCAATACGGAAATTGATTTATTCCGATTATTTCTATACTGAGCCGGATGTTTAAGAAATTCTAAGAGGTAATTGATAAATGAGCTTTTTAAATTAACTAAAATTTTAATTAAACATTCAGCGAAGAATCCTTTTGTGTCTCAAACAACCCCTGACATCGATCACCAGGCTGGCGGGTTTCCTGAATATTCTAGGTTCTCTCCAGAATTCTCTAGAAATTTCTAGGAACACGTGGGCGCCACACCACTGCCAACATCAGTAATATTTTTGTGAAAATAACCCCGACGACGACATCTTTTTATTCGAGTTTGTTTTAGCAGATACTTATCTACCCCCGTAGCACAAAGATAAACAGTCTGTCACTGTAAATACTGTCTTACAGACCTTTTCTCGTCAACGTGTGAACGATTTTTATTTGATCTTGTATTCATTCAGATATCGAATTGGGCGAATGCACGACTGGCATCGTAGAGAACGAGCTTCACGAATAATAGAAGATACCGTAAGGAAAGGGGATGACAAGTTGAGTTTTGTTACACGTGGTCGTTTTCTAAGCAATCAGCGGGCTACACGAACGAGTTACGTATAATTTCCAACGCTTTATAAACGAGACTCGATGGCGCAGGTTCACTATTACGAGAAATTTGAGAATGTCATCACCTCAAAAGATGCCAAAAAAGAAGCAAAACATAAACTGAACTCAAGCGATGCGAAGAAACTATGGAACTGTAAAATTTTCTAGTTCTTTGCTCTGCGAAAACCCAACAAGTCTCAAAAAATCAGATGCTCTTCATCTTCCAACGAAGATCGGACGCTGGCATCCGGATCTTTGATGCTTCCTTCATCGTTTAAACCACCTATTAAACCCACTCCGGCTGAACCTTCTACGATAGTAGATACTTACTGTAACAAAACGTAACTACCAACTATCAACTGTAAGTTCGCTCAACCCTGCGAGTTATTATTATCAAAATAAAGACTTGCTCAACAACAATCCCTATATATATTTCAACTAAATTGCGAAATTGGTCGTCATTCAAAGTTTGTCAAAAATCGGCTTTATCTATAAACCGCTAGATTCAACAGAACTAGGAACTCGTTTCGATTTCATGCAGGTGCAGCTTATCTTCGGTCCTGATTAAAGCCTTTATAACTAGTTCGAAAGGTCGCATTTTGCCTAGTTTGAAAAACTGAAAGGCAAAATGAAGTTACTTCCTTTGATTTTTGTTGCATTTCTGGTGGCAGAGAGTGAATCAATGTGGGACTTTGTTTGGACTCCAACATGCTGGATTGAAGATTTGAACAGAAATCCCTTCATTGGCCCCGATGTAACTACTTATTGCAAATCTTCAACTTGCTCTCAAGTTGGGTTCGTATGCCGTGGAAAGAACAAACTCAGACTTGCAAATATAGAGAGTGCCAACTGCATTTGTACTGAAGATGGATGCGACTTAGACTTGACTAGTCATGTTTCCTGCGACAGAAAACCTAACAAAGAAAAGGACATTATCAGTCATCTATTCCGATCTGTGCGAAAACCTCCAAAGGCAGAATATTCTTGCGACAAGCCCCTGGATCCTTATGTCAAGATTTTTAACTGTGCGAAAAAAGAGTCAAAGCGATTTGCACATATCTTCAAGAAACTGACTTTTTGCGAAGTAAGTTGCAAGAATGGAAAGACTCCCAGTTCTACCGAAGTCGCATGCGAAAAATTAGGCAAGAAGCAGTTCAAGTGGACTTCCAGTGTCGAATGTTTGTAAAGAGAAAAAATCCCAATTTTCCTCCTTGATTTCTCTTCTGCAACTTAATAAAATGATTTATTTGCAAATTAAAAATGCTCATCCCAGCCAGACTCTTCAATTGGCGTGTCTTTGTCGTCTTCATCCTTGAACTTGCCGAAGTTCGAATAATCGAATACATTCTTCAAATTTGGAATATTTGGCGCTAGTATCTTCTGATTTTTGAGCGCTTCCCAGTCGAATCCTTCAAACCATTTGTGATTCTTGCGAATGCCATCGATTCCGCAACTTCCGTAACCAATTCGCTCACAGGGAGAAAGGTGACAGAGAGAACGAACAAGATGACCAGCGCGTTTAGAAATTGACGGGAAATGAAAATCGATGCTTACAGACAGCAGTTAACAGATGATTTTCGAGGAAATTGTTACCTCTGTATTCCTTTCAGAGTGTTCTTGTAAATTTGTATATCAGTGTCTGCTGCAAAGGGCGTCGACTTGGTAAGAAGCTCGTAAATCAAAATTCCAAGTGACCAAAAATCCGCAGCGTGATTGTGCCCAGCAGAAGTTATGATCTCCGGAGCAATGTATTCAGGAGTGCCACAGAAGGTCTAAAAATAAGCTTGCCAGAACTGATTGATTCTCACCCAAGTTTTTGTTCCTGCTGGAATTTGTTTAGCGAATCCAAGATCGACAAGTCTGACATATCCGTTTGAATCGAGTAGGAGATTTTCAGGCTTTAAATCCCTGTAGCAGATGAGTCGTTCATGAAGATAGCTGATAGCTTCGATGGCGCAGGCAGCGTAGAAACGAGCCACAGTGTCACTTTTTGAGGATTTAGAATTAACATTAGAATGAGTCGACCTGAAATTATAATCCTCAACTGAAAGGTCCTTTTCTGATTAATAACGTGAGCAAATCTCCACCAAGATAAACATCAGTCAAAAAGTAGACCATTCTTTTATCTTTGAAGCTCTTCAAAAGATAGGTAACAAATGGCGAGTTCATGGATTCGAGGAGTTTTCGTTCTTCTTGAATGTGCGGTTGATAATTTTCTTTTACGACCTCGATCTTTTTGATGCATTTTAGCGCAAAGCTTTTATGAGAAATGCCTGGGACTTTGACCATCTTAATCGGACCAAAGGAGCCTCGTCCGATGACTTTAACGATCTTCAAGTCTTTCAGTTGAACCCGACGCACGAGCGGATTAATCACTCGTTTAACTTCTTCCTCGACCGGTTCGTTTGCTTCCTTATGTTTCAAGTTGTCTAGGTGACCAATAAGTTGAACAAAATAATCACGTTCGAGTGAGTAGACGGTTACTTTCCCCAGAGCGTATACATTCGCCGCTCGAACCTCCTTCCTCAAAAGTGCGCGTTCTCCGAAGAAGTCTCCACGAGTGAGCTTGCTGACTACGCGTTCAGATCCGTCTTTTTGATTGATAGTAACACTGCATTTTCCGGAACGAATGACATAAAATAAATCGCCCTGGTCACCTTGGCGAATAATTTGGTGTCCTGACTCAAAGATTTCCTCTTCTATGCATTCAACGAGCTTGGTCATCTGCAGCTTACTCAAATCTTTGAGAACATCGACGGAAGAAAGAAGCTTTCGCTTTTCTCTGTCTATTACAGTCGTTAATAGAATATAGAAAGATCTAATGCACCTTTAGATTGACCAGCAGATCTGATGGCATTCTGGAAGGTCTTTCTGTTGATGCTCCAAACATGGACATCATTTTCCGCCTCGACTTGAGCCGTCCTCATGCAATTATAGAGCAAAGCAACTTCCCCGAACAAAGCACCAGCTTCCATTGATGTAATGTAGAGTCCGTTCTTCATGACTTTCACGCTTCCAGAGATGAGAATGAACATGGTATTACCTTCGGTTCCTTCCACAATTATTTCAGATCCTTTGCAGTAAGCTTGCTTCTCGGCGCAATCGATTAAATTTGTGATTTGTTCTTCCTCAAGATTTTTGAAGAACTGCTGCTTCACCAAGATTTTCCTTAAAAACTTCTATGTTTCACCAAAAAAGAATCGGTACCTTAGAAAGTCGCTCTCATCTTGTGTTTTAGGGGCATTTGAATTCGCATCTTTCTGATGGACGATATCTACTCTTTCTCCAGAAATTCCTGATCGACTAAACATTTCCCGCTTCATTTTTAGTAGTGACTTATCCGGTGCTTCAGGTTCTTCTTCGTTCAACTGCTTTTTCGTCGCTAGCGTTACTCTGTACTTGTTGATTTCATCGTTGTAAGTGTTTTTGAGCTTTTGCAACTCGAATTGTAAAGCGTTATTCTTATCATCCCGTTTTTTGATAGCCTCTTGGTACTTTACTAATACAATACTTGACGAGCCCGATTCTTCACTCAACGTAGAATTGTACAGTTGAAGACGTGCTACTTCTGATTCTAGTTCTATAATTTTCTTGGCTTGGCGGTCAATTCTCTTTTGCAACTCATCTTTGTCGTGCTTCATTTCGCGTATCTCTTCGTTGTGCATTTTGAAGATATCTCTTGTCCTAGCTTCGTAGTTGTTTATTTTTGCCTCCAGTGAATGAATCTTAAATATCAAAAATATTATCTGTCGGTCAAGATACCAATACCGTGGGCGAGAGATATCACGACGGAGTCTGAGGGCCCGGGCCGGGGTTTTGAATATTTCGCGCACATTCAAGTATTTTCCCATGCCTGATGGAGGACTTTTATCTGGTGGAAGAAACAATTGATGGAAGATAGGTCTAACCTAGACTCTTTAAGATTATTTAATCCTTTACTAATAAATAGATAATCATTTTAAAAAATCTTGATCATGTGACTCTTGGAGGACCCCTGGAGGACCTTTTCTGGTGGAAGACCGGCCTTCCTGGAAGACCCTTAAAATTCAGCCCCGTTCCATGATTTTTAAATTTAAGGGCTTGACGGCCCTTCGGGCCGTCTCAGCCCCGTTCCATGATTTTTAAATTTAAGGGGCTTGACGGCCCTTCGGGCCGTCTCAGCCCCGTTCCATGATTTTTAAATTTAAGGGCTTGACGGCCCTTCGGGCCGTCTCAGCCCCGTTCCATGATTTTTAAATTTAAGGGCTTGACGGCCCTTCGGGCCGTCTCAGCCCCGTTCCATGATTTTTAAATTTAAGGGGCTTGACGGCCCTTCGGGCCGTCTCAGCCCCGTTCCATGATTTTTAAATTTAAGGGCTTGACGGCCCTTCGGGCCGTCTCAGCCCCGTTCCATGATTTTTAAATTTAAGGGGCTTGACGGCCCTTCGGGCCGTCTCAGCCCCGTTCCATGATTTTTAAATTTAAGGGGCTTGACGGCCCTTCGGGCCGTCTCAGCCCCGTTCCATGATTTTTAAATTTAAGGGCTTGACGGCCCTTCGGGCCGTCTCAGCCCCGTTCCATGATTTTTAAATTTAAGGGCTTGACGGCCCTTCGGGCCGTCTCAGCCCCGTTCCATGATTTTTAAATTTAAGGGCTTGACGGCCCTTCGGGCCGTCTCAGCCCCGTTCCATGATTTTTAAATTTAAGGGCTTGACGGCCCTTCGGGCCGTCTCAGCCCCGTTCCATGATTTTTAAATTTAAGGGCTTGACGGCCCTTCGGGCCGTCTCAGCCCCGTTCCATGATTTTTAAATTTAAGGGCTTGACGGCCCTTCGGGCCGTCTCAGCCCCGTTCCATGATTTTTAAATTTAAGGGGCTTGACGGCCCTTCGGGCCGTCTCAGCCCCGTTCCATGATTTTTAAATTTAAGGGCTTGACGGCCCTTCGGGCCGTCTCAGCCCCGTTCCATGATTTTTAAATTTAAGGGGCTTGACGGCCCTTCGGGCCGTCTCAGCCCCGTTCCATGATTTTTAAATTTAAGGGCTTGACGGCCCTTCGGGCCGTCTCAGCCCCGTTCCATGATTTTTAAATTTAAGGGCTTGACGGCCCTTCGGGCCGTCTCAGCCCCGTTCCATGATTTTTAAATTTAAGGGCTTGACGGCCCTTCGGGCCGTCTCAGCCCCGTTCCATGATTTTTAAATTTAAGGGCTTGACGGCCCTTCGGGCCGTCTCAGCCCCGTTCCATGATTTTTAAATTTAAGGGGCTTGACGGCCCTTCGGGCCGTCTCAGCCCCGTTCCATGATTTTTAAATTTAAGGGCTTGACGGCCCTTCGGGCCGTCTCAGCCCCGTTCCATGATTTTTAAATTTAAGGGCTTGACGGCCCTTCGGGCCGTCTCAGCCCCGTTCCATGATTTTTAAATTTAAGGGCTTGACGGCCCTTCGGGCCGTCTCAGCCCCGTTCCATGATTTTTAAATTTAAGGGGCTTGACGGCCCTTCGGGCCGTCTCAGCCCCGTTCCATGATTTTTAAATTTAAGGGGCTTGACGGCCCTTCGGGCCGTCTCAGCCCCGTTCCATGATTTTTAAATTTAAGGGCTTGACGGCCCTTCGGGCCGTCTCAGCCCCGTTCCATGATTTTTAAATTTAAGGGCTTGACGGCCCTTCGGGCCGTCTCAGCCCCGTTCCATGATTTTTAAATTTAAGGGCTTGACGGCCCTTCGGGCCGTCTCAGCCCCGTTCCATGATTTTTAAATTTAAGGGCTTGACGGCCCTTCGGGCCGTCTCAGCCCCGTTCCATGATTTTTAAATTTAAGGGCTTGACGGCCCTTCGGGCCGTCTCAGCCCCGTTCCATGATTTTTAAATTTAAGGGCTTGACGGCCCTTCGGGCCGTCTCAGCCCCGTTCCATGATTTTTAAATTTAAGGGGCTTGACGGCCCTTCGGGCCGTCTCAGCCCCGTTCCATGATTTTTAAATTTAAGGGGCTTGACGGCCCTTCGGGCCGTCTCAGCCCCGTTCCATGATTTTTAAATTTAAGGGCTTGACGGCCCTTCGGGCCGTCTCAGCCCCGTTCCATGATTTTTAAATTTAAGGGCTTGACGGCCCTTCGGGCCGTCTCAGCCCCGTTCCATGATTTTTAAATTTAAGGGGCTTGACGGCCCTTCGGGCCGTCTCAGCCCCGTTCCATGATTTTTAAATTTAAGGGGCTTGACGGCCCTTCGGGCCGTCTCAGCCCCGTTCCATGATTTTTAAATTTAAGGGGCTTGACGGCCCTTCGGGCCGTCTCAGCCCCGTTCCATGATTTTTAAATTTAAGGGCTTGACGGCCCTTCGGGCCGTCTCAGCCCCGTTCCATGATTTTTAAATTTAAGGGGCTTGACGGCCCTTCGGGCCGTCTCAGCCCCGTTCCATGATTTTTAAATTTAAGGGCTTGACGGCCCTTCGGGCCGTCTCAGCCCCGTTCCATGATTTTTAAATTTAAGGGGCTTGACGGCCCTTCGGGCCGTCTCAGCCCCGTTCCATGATTTTTAAATTTAAGGGCTTGACGGCCCTTCGGGCCGTCTCAGCCCCGTTCCATGATTTTTAAATTTAAGGGCTTGACGGCCCTTCGGGCCGTCTCAGCCCCGTTCCATGATTTTTAAATTTAAGGGGCTTGACGGCCCTTCGGGCCGTCTCAGCCCCGTTCCATGATTTTTAAATTTAAGGGCTTGACGGCCCTTCGGGCCGTCTCAGCCCCGTTCCATGATTTTTAAATTTAAGGGCTTGACGGCCCTTCGGGCCGTCTCAGCCCCGTTCCATGATTTTTAAATTTAAGGGGCTTGACGGCCCTTCGGGCCGTCTCAGCCCCGTTCCATGATTTTTAAATTTAAGGGGCTTGACAATGGCTGGGAACTCCGAGGTGATCAATCTCAGTCCCCAACCCCGCCCACACCCATCGTTTTTAAAATTCAAATTGATCAAGTTTTCAATTATTTTATGGTTTTGAATATATTTTATCAATTTAAAGATTTTCTTTGATTATTATTTACAAATTATTATTATTTAATTTATTTATTATTAAAACAAAATCAAAGTTATAAAAATTGAAGGAAGAAGAAGTTTCTTAGGTCAATTATTGAGAGAGGTGAATTGTGAAAAATGTTTCTAGACGGGGGGTTGTTGTTGTTCTTCGCGGAGGACCCACTCCCACGTGGCGCAAGATGCGCGCCAAAAAGAGCAAAAAGATTGGGACGAGAAAAACACGCGCAAATGCCCCAATCTATTTCGCTCTCCGTCGTGAAATCTCTCGCCCACGGTACTCAAATCGGCAAGATCAGAATAGCAAATTAATTAATACAAGCTTTTTCCTATGTCGTCTCTGATTCGGGCGCGCCCAAAATAATTTACTGAGTTCAATTAGGAATTTGTCAAGGTGACCTGAAATAGAATCGAGGAAAAATTGTTTTCTCCTCCATGTTCTCAAAAATGAACTATTAGAGTGTAAATTTTTAAAGATCTGTTGACGTAGTCCGATGAAGAAGCTCTTTACTTCTCCAATTTTCAGTCATCGACCTGCTAAATAATGCAAATGTAATTACCTGATCCAAATACTTTTGATCTTTTCTGTTAGCCTTGAAGTTCCACTTTCCAAAGCTCATTTTCTTGCTTTTCTTTTCAAGAATATCCTTAATTGCAGTTTCTCCGTTCTGCCTTGATTGCCGATTGTCGCTGCCTACTGTAGCAGAGCAATTAATATGTCATTTCATGGAATTAGTCTCAGGAGGCAATCCGTTTTAATCTTATATTTCCAATTTTCCATGATGAGGAATTACCTTTTTCTGCTCGACCCCGTAGCATCGTCAATTATCAGCGATAATCTATCGCAAACGTGTGCATCTGTAATAAACCTGCTCTATCGGAAACTCTTCTAGAGAAGAAATATACTGATGTTTCTGTTTTAAGATACAAGATTCCTCGATGAATATATTGGATAACGAAAGTTGCCGGTCCAATGCGTCCTTTTAAATATGCATGATGAATATTTGTTATCGAAGATGCTATTATTTCTCACAATCAAGGAAGAGTAAGATTGTGAAATTATCATTTTTCGTTTTTATTCCGTTTTATTCACTCGTAATAACAGTTGAAGACGTCGAAGTAGCCGTCTTTGGCAGTTTTCTTGTTCAAGAATTTCGAAAATCGTAAGGTATCCGCATCGCGAAAAACTAACGACAGCGAGTTTGCTTTTGGACACACTGTCAGTAGTTCCTCGTCTTCTCCTTTCGTAATATAGCTGACTGCACCGCCTTTCCCTACGTCCCAACCGTCTTGATGCATTTCTAAACAGGACAACTAGCCAAGTTAATGACAAAATCGTTAGTTACCCGCAGATGCTTCTGAAAAGAAGTACATAAACATATCCAAACTGCCTCTTTCCTCCGTGTCAGCGTCATGCAAAAGCGTGTAGTTCCCGTGAGTCCACTTTCTAACTTGGCACCTGTACGCCCCTCCAGTAGGGGCCACTTCATCCTCTTCTTCTTCTTCCTCCTCGTCATCGACAGGAGCTTCCGGTGCAGCTTCAGTCCAGTCCAGTTAGACAGGAGCAGGAAGAAATGATCCGAAACAAGAAATTTCATAAATTCTCCCAAAGCTGTCTTTTCTTCAAACATCTCTTTTTCGCCTAGTTCCAGCGTTAGTTTTCGCTGAAAAGGACCAGTTTCTTTGAAATCACGGTTTTCCAAACACTCAAGAATCTCTTGATATTTTTGAGGGACCAAAATATCTTCGAGTTGAATTTCGGAGGTCTCTTCGAATTGGACCTTTAATTTTTGTTACTTCTTTTTGATCAAACACTTTCTCAAACCTGAATGTCGCCCATCGTATTGGGATCTAGGTAACGCATAGAAATCCATTCTTCTATTCTGTAATCGACTGCATCGGGCAAGTTAAATTTCTTCAAGGTAAACTTTGGGGCGACGGGAACAACTCGCTCTCTTGGCGGAAGCGGGTCAGATGTGTGGAACCAGCCAGGGTGGCTATTTTGGATTTGGGGGTTAGTTGGAATTGGATTGGATCCAATCCAATAAAGTTTGGATGGAATTTGGATGGCCAGGGTACCGGATTTTGTTGGGGAAAATTGGGCAATTGGGGGAAATTGGGGAAATTGGATCCAATAAAAAATATATCTCTAAACTATGCAAAGTAGGGTCATTTTCATGATAAAAATGAACAATCTCAGTTAAAAAAATCATTGTTTTGGCTCTGTTGATCCTCCTTTCGGAAAAAAACTTACTGTTTCATTTCTTTTCAAAGTACTAGAAGCCTTGGAAAAATTGGAAACCCAATTGGATCCAATTGGAATTGGGGATTATTGGGGAATTGGGTAAAATTGGATTGGATTGGATTTTGGATGGATAGCTTCGACTCAAAATTTATTGGATGGAAATTGGATGGCGAGACCCCGAAATTTTGTCCAAAATAGCCACCCTGGAACCAGCCACTGATGCTTTTTCGCACTTTAGAGCGGGAAGTCACTTCGCGTACTTGGTGAAATGAAGAATCCGTTACTTTGAAGAAGTTGAGGTAATTGCGGCGTGGCAACCATTCCTTATGCAGTCGCACAGGCTGACCCTGTTCATCGGAAACATAACTGTCGAAGAAACCACCGTCTTTCTCTACCCAGTCGTCGCTAAAACAACAATACATTAAGACACAAGTCTCAGGCAAAATCAACCTGTTGAGATAATATACAAAGGCAACAACGCGATTTTCAAGGTCGTCCTCGTGAGGCAAGAGATGGTCCGTGTATTTGTACTCCGCGTAGAACATGCTCATATCGGTGATTTCATGCCCTGAAATAGCCGACATCAATGGCCACAAGTCCTTCATCAAGCCTCTGAAGCGAAAATTGAATGGTCAAGAAGAGCAGTGATGCACAATACCTGAATTCAGACAGGCGTGGCAACTGATCAACCTCCGAAAGAGTCATCAACTCTTGACTTGAAAACGATTTCAGAAGAATCGAGATAAAAATGATTGAATACCTTTGGCTAAATTGGTAGAGATCATTTTTCTTGAGCTTCAGTTCTAATTTCGCGCATTGATCTTCTAGCTCGCTGAGAGAAAAAGATGGCGAGCTCAGAAAATCGGAAAGCTGGCAAACTGGGAAGGGAGTGCTCTCGGCTGACAGCCAGTCGATTTCGTACTTGTCAAGCTCCCCTAAAACAGCTTTACTCTTACCCATCAAAATTTAGCGACCTTGAAAGACTTGGCGAAGATACTCTGTTCTGGAGAGAAGTCCCTCTCTAGCTTGCAGTGGCTTTTTCGCGCGTTTCAAGTTCTCTTCCAACTCGTCCTCTTCTTCCTTCGTAACAACGCGTTTTTTACCCATTAGACGCTGAGAAATTAACGATGAAGATATATTTTTAATTGCACTATTGGTTGGTTACAGAAAAAAGGAAGTGAAAGAAGATATCGTGAAAGAAAAATTTAAACACCAGTGAAAAAATGCATGAAGTAGATGTACAGGAGAATAATTGGATAGGCGATCAGAGGTTTTTTGTCGAGAAACTCGTCGGCAACGAGAAGAGAGGCTGCGGAATAAGAGGACCATGTGATGCCTAACAGCCAGAGGATGTATCCGAGGAAGCTCATTCCATTTCCATTTGTGCTTCCTGTCAGCATCATCGTAAAACACACTTAAAAAAGGCTCAGTTAAAAGAGGAAAAAGTAGCCTTTGAAGAACCTGTCGAAAGTGGGAGTAAACTGTATCCAATGATACTCAAGCATTGGGAGTAAGTGACATCTCCTCCAAGAACTCTTCCAAGTGCAAATATCAATCCAGAACCACAAAACCAAAACGTATAAATCCAGCCAACAACGTGGCTCTGTCCCCAAACAGAAATCGCGGAGAAAATGGTGACGCTCAGTAAAGGGCCCCAGAAGTCTGGATTATCGCGGAGAACGTGCTTTTGATAGCCCCACTAATGATTGATGGAAAAGTGTGGAGAAGGCTAGGGTACCTTGGATATAAAAACTGGCAACAGAATACAGCGTATTTTGTACCAAATTTCCGCTGGATCAATATCCAGTTCTTCTAACAGCGGGCGATTATCGAAAAGCTCATGTGCATTGTCCGTCTCTAGGAGCCAGCCAAGCTTGAGCTTTTCTAACCATTGAGGAATATCAGTTCTCCGACGCTCAAGGACGGTAACGCCGAGATGATCTACGGAAGTCTCGGTTTCGGTCGACATCTGAGACATAGAATATCAGTGAGAGCTTTTTGAGCGATTGTTTTTTTAGTCAATCAAGATTAATTAGGTAGCGCGGAATCATTTAATAAGGACATCTTTTCGAAAATGAGCGGATCTGTATATATATAAATTGCTTCAAGTGGTAATGAACTATTACGTAAAAGAGTTCTTTTTTTGTGAAGAAAGTGAAGCTGAACTTCTGAAGGGAATAGTAAAAATACTTTATAGGCACAATGAAATAAGAGCGAGATTAGAAATTGAAATTAGTTCATTTCAGAAAGTGATTCATCAACGGTTATCAGAATTATAATTTATATAAGAATCTTTAGTTCGGGAAACGGGAGGAGGCCGGTTACTGCGGAAAGACTTTGTGCTCCAGCAACTTGGGATAGATGTGTAACAGCGTCTGGACGATATTGTTGTGCGTCAGGATGTTCTCGAACGAGACAATTCCATCTGGATTGCCGATCAGCGTGGGACCAAAGACTACGGCCAGGTTATGCTCTGCCATTCGGTTTCGAGAGCTTTCAGCAGCAACTTTTATTAGGGGTAATAATTAAAGTTCATTGAAATCAAGGAAGAGAACGTAAAATTTCGAAATACAAGTACTCGTGAATTTAATTTTTCCCCGTTCCCTTTACAAAAATGATTAAATAAAACTTTGATTGTCATTCTCGAAGGCTCATCAAGAGACTCCTTTATGAGGGATTTGAGTTCGGCGATGAGCCCGTCATCATCGTTGAAAAATGAAGGAATTTGGCACCATCTATTGTATTGAATTCTCGTTTTGGGAGTGATCAGCGGCGTCGGCAGCTCACGGAAAAAGAGCTACATAAAAGTTGTTATTCTCTACAAAGGACGAAATCAATGAAGCGTCAAATATTAGAATTTTAATGATAATTTGCCAGAATCGTATAATAATAAACTACCTTGAGGGTGCCACATAGGACATGAGTGTCATTTCCATATTTCCATTTTTCTGCATCGACTCCTTGATCCACCTGCATCCTTAGGGAATGTACAGTACTTTGATTTGCAGCGACACGATAAATGCCGTCTTGTGTGAGGTCAGTTTCAATTCTTTCGATGCACCAATTCACGAAATGCGGAACCATCAGCTTGTCGCGAATGTAGAGATCGGCGAGAGTAGTTCCAAAGTAGTTTGTTTTGATTATTCCGTTTTTGACGAGTTTGTCTCTATTCGGGCGCCTTCGGAACCAGGAATCCCATGTACTCTGCTTTGCATTTTCTTCTTTATCGATGGACTTTCTTTTTGATCGCTGAAGAGTGACTTTTGAGAGCTCTTTTTGGATTTGTGCCGGGTCAGACTTCTTCACCGATCGCAGACGGAAGGTCGCTCTTTTTTGAGAGGCTTTCTATTATAATTATTCAGAAAATTCCATCTAAGTCACGAGTACCTTATAGCTTGGCCCTTCAAATTGTGAGGCACGCATATGCAGATGATGAAACCAGTCATTACTTTCACTCGAGTTAGAAAAGATCACGCCAAAATGCTCCTTTCTCGATTTGTCGATGATGTGACCAACGGGATCATCTTTCTTATATCTGAAAAAACTGTAAAGATCTTGGATTGAGAGAAGGCGGCTTACCTGTCAGAGTCTTGTCGCAACTCGCATTTGTGAAGTTTAATGGAGATCAGCGGTTCATCTGCTTTGCCGAACAAAATCGTGCCGTTGTTACTTCTTGGCGGAGCTTTTTTATGAATGAGAAATTGATCTCCGTAGATCATTCCCCAGCCAGAAATGAGCTTGCTTGCCTAAAAATATTCTATTTGTACAAAGAAATCCAACTGTGAACTACCTTTTTTGACCCTTCAAATTTGGCCCACTGGATGGATCCTTCTTTGAAAACAAGATTAACTGGACTCGGCTCTTCAGCTTTCGGCGAAGGAAGTTCGGAGAGAAGCTGCGTAGACTTCTCGTTATAGTAGACAACATCTCCAGTTTGATTTTGATACTCTTCCAACCAAACCTCGCCAGATTGAACATTGACCCAGGCTTTTTTCGAATCTCGCACTTCAAAGCGGTATCCTTCTGGTCTTATATTCGATATTTCACCACTGAAGACGTCACTTTCCGAGGTAGCAGAGGTCGTTCGCTGATGAACCTTTAGATCGGCTAGGAGATTTACTCGTTGCGACTTTTTACTCTCGTTTGCGCTTTTATAGACAGGATTAAAAAGACAAACGACTTATTACACTCAAAATTTTCATCCTTTTCTTGCCCGACGCTCTCTCAAAATCAGCGATCGCTTACTAACTTTCGGGAGAATAGAAGTATCTGACTTCCTCGTTTCTCTTGTTTTCACTACTCTATTTCTAGCTCCTTTCTGCAACTGACTCTCTAATAGATTCCGGAACTTTTCATTTTGCATTTTCGAAGATTTCAGTGTCAGGTTTTTGATGGTTTTAAGAATGAATAATTAATTGAAAAATGTTTCCGCTTCGGGCTGATCTAATCATAGCCGCTCCTTTTCCGCGGGAGGTGCGATAAAATGCTCCTTCTTTCTGTCTGGCTAAAAGTGAGAGATAAAATGAAAGCTCGTCTGAATCTTGCGTCTTACCTTTACTGGGGCCGGCGCTTCGGCTAGCCTCTGACGCGTCCTTTTCGTCATCGACATTCCGCCCCTTGTTTTCTTTTTGGGACCGGAGCTATCAATGTTCTCATCGTCAGTCACTGCTGGAGGCTCATAATAAAGCACATCTTCATAATCTGGTGAGATCGGACGCATTGGATCGGGCGTCGTACAGCGAATGTCCATATCTGCGTACGGATCGTTTCGCGGTTTCAAAGCGCGATCGGGGACGACTGGCGTGACTCGTCCAGCGATACCGGACGGGAGGGCAGCTACACCGAGAGTTAGCGCGTTCGACATTTCGTCCAGGTGCTCTTGGGAGGTAGAAAGGGTAGAGGTACTCATGTCCACAAATGTCTTCGGATTGGGACTTGTCGAGCGGCGCTGATCATAGCTGACTTGATGAGGGGAAAGACTCGAGTTGAAAGATTCATGACCAGTTGGCGATGCGAGAGTAGCGCCGTCGATAAATGTTGACTGTGGACGACGAGTTTGTTCTTTTCTGATCTTTCGGAGCTGTTTGTTAAAGTCTTGGAAAAATGATGAGTTCTTTAGAGAAAAGGAATAAATATAAATTTACCTGGATGGTCTGAAGCTTCGACTTTGGGTCGATCGACGGGCTTTACGAATGTACTTGGGACATAAAAATGCTTCACGCCGGGATCCTAAAAATAACTCTGAATTGAGAAAAGAGGAACTTTACAAACCTCATCATAAGGGATGACATCCCACCAGTCATCGTTTGTCTTCTTGAGAAGAATGTATTTGTCGCCAGGCTTTATTCGGATCGTGCGTTTGGATCCGTTCGAGCTCTCAGCTTCATAAGTGTGGGCGTAATTCGCCTGTAGAACATGTCCGATATCATCCATAAGTCATATTCTAAAAATATCAATCAGAAATGAATATTGATGAGCTCGATCATTTTCAATAAATAACATGTACAGCCGATTACTTCTTTTCGCCGAAAACGCCGCCTTGATTTTTCTTCAATAACAAATCCTTGGCCTCGTTGATCTAAGAATAATCCAATAAGAATCAATTGTTAGCGATTTTGAAGCATTGTTTACCTTGTTTGAAATATAAGGAGATCCTCCACGATCGGGATGATTAGCGAGCTGCAGAACTCGAGCGTGTTTGTTGATCTGATCTTTCTCGGCATCGAGCGGGCAGCCGAGGATTTTTAACGCTTCGGCTTTGTCCATTTGCTCTTTGAAGCCACCGGCGTGCTCATGGCTCTGGACGAGTTTTGTGATGTTGTCCATCAAGCCTTTGCTATTGCCCATGTTTCTTGAGATGTTTTTCGCCGCATTTTCCATCTGCGCTACATTTTTGCTCTTGCTCAGCGCGATCAACCCACCTCCTATTGCAAGTAACGCGAATTCCATTCTAATTTGAATTCGGCGTTTTAGAAGAGATTTTTTATAGCATGAGAGGTAGTAGAACAGGCGTTTCCTTTATTAATAAATAGGGGAGCTTATGAAGAGCTTACAACAGTTTCAGCAGGTTTAGTCCCTTCTTCAAGCGCTTTTCGTAGAGCAATCTGAGCGTCCTGAAGAGCCTTGTTTTTCTCTCGCAGCTCGAGTTTTTCCCGATTTCGTTCAATATCGTTCAAGATGTTTTGCCTCCTCCTGAAAGCAAATTCAATCGAATTATTAATCAACTGTGAGGGAATGGAATCAATTTAATCTATTCCATAATGAACTAATGAATCTCTGATCCGAATTAATCAAAGCAAATTGAAAAAAGAAAGGAAGAAATTACCGTTTGGCCTGAGACTGGTCGTAAATTTGGTTGTAGGCCATTCCCCCAGCAGCCCAAATACCAGTAATAACCAGCGCTATTTTCGATCTTGATGACATCAGTTCTAAAAAATATCTTTATATATTAAATATGCTACGAGTTTTCTCAGATTTCACAGAAAATGAGACATTATCTTTTCACAGTGAAACTTTTGACCGCATTCTTCATCGCCTTCGATTTTTGATTCATCTTTCCGAAGTTCGGCTCCGTGAAAAATCCAGGGGCGCCTGGAGCGCTCTTTCGTTCTGCTTTCTTTCCCTTCTTCCCCTTTTGATGCTTCTGGTTCATCTGTTCGACCACTTTGTGTTGTCCAAATATTTTAAAGTCCTTTTTCCCAAAGTTGTAAGCTTGTACAGGAGATACTTTTTGTCTCTTCGCGTTAGGAATCGCCCCGTCGCTCTTTCTCTTGCCCTTCATTTCGTTGATACTGATTCGCTCTTCTTTCTGCTCTCCTTTTTCACGCTCCGGCAACGAAGAATTCGAATTTTCGACCTCTTCTTTTTCCTCTTTCAGCGGCGCTGCCGGACGCACTTTCCAAATTTTCTCTGGTCTATCTTCTGCATCAATCGTTTCTACTTTCTGCGGCCTCAAATAGAGCTGGTACGGAATTGATTGTTCATTCAACGGATCAGCAAAAGTGTTGTTGACTTCTTTCGAAATCGCCTTCTTCGAAGGTGGCGGGTCGTTGCTGAAATTGAAGACAGCGGACATTGCCGATGACGTCTTCACTTTTATTGGAACGATGTCTTCTTCGATACCAGACTCTGTCGATTCATCCTTTATGTCATGAAGCTCGTCCTCATCATTTTCCTGGATGAAACTAGAATTTCGTGTGAAAGGCATCGTCCAACCACGATGAATTTCTAACTTACATTTTCTTGATTGGAAGCTCTGCTGGATCATCGTTCTCTTGTAATGGCGTTTCTCTAGCGCGTTTTATCAGCTTATGAATGAGATGAAGATTTTGCTTGACAATGACAGGTTGGTAAGAAAAGCAAGCAAGAATGCCCTGCTGCTCTCGAGGAAGAATTTCAGCAATTTGAAGCAGGATATGATTTGGAATCACGTATTCCGTACTTTCATCTTCGAAACGGGCCACTTGATCACGCCACGCGTAGAGAAATTTGAGCGCTTCCAGTTGCTGATTGTTGAATTTCTTTCGGTTCTTGCTCTCGTACAACTATTGACGACAATCAAACATTATTCTCAGACTCTTTATACCTTTTTGTAATCAGTTTCAGAGAATACTGGCTTTTCATATTTAGACAAAGAGTATTCCCGGCTCAGACGAAAAACTTCCCTTGTTCCTCCGAATTCCAGTTTTTCCAGGTCGACCCTAAATATTATCACATAGATTATGGATAATTCAGCAAAATATAAGTACCTCAATCTATCGTAAACATAGAGAAGATAATGCGTATCTTGTCGAGCATATCTAAGCATATTTGGCGGAATGGGCCGCATTCTCCAGTCTGCTAACTGAAATCTTTTGTCCAAGCGCACTTTACAGTAATGTTGGAGAAGATAATCAAGCGATTTCTTTATCAAGGGTTTTTATCATCATATTTTACGACTATTTATTATATTTATGACCTCGCAAGGCCTTTTCTTATAAAAAGTATCCAACCCGTTCCTTGGCCAAATCAAGCTTCTTCGCAGCAAAGAAAGTATCGAACAAGTTCACTACATAGACCCCGAAGTCTCTTTGTAGCCAAACCATATCGTTGCGGGAGCCGTGGAATACTTTGACGATGTTTGGATCGGCGAAAATTTCGTTTAGTTTGTACATATCTTCCCATACTGCCAAAGGGTCAAGGATGTAATCTTTCTTACGTGAAGAAATTTGGACAAGGCAAGTGAAACCTTGGTACGATCGATATCGATGATGCTCAAGATCTACAGCGAGCTCAGACTCTCCCCGAAGTTCCTGGAGCATCAGATCGAAGCTAAGGGTTGACTCGACGACCGAAAGAGGGGTTTCATCTAAAAACGATAAAAAAACGGAGAAATTTTAGAAGTTCTTACCAAGCGATTGAGATTCAGTTACAGTATCCGAAGCGCTCGGCACGCCGCAGTTTTTAATTTCTTCCTCGTAGGGATGCGAATAAATAGAAGTGTCGATCTGCGAGCCCAATTCTTTAAGAATCAAAGCAAGTGGCTTTCCCGTCTTGTGTCTGTCTTCGCTGACTTTTACAAGCTGCTCAGGCAGGGGTTTTATCGAGTGGGGCTTCTCGAAAAGACGGGGGACGAAGGGAATGATCGTATTGTCCGGTTTCTCGCGGAACAAAAGCTGAGGCTTAGAAATATTCTCCGCGGACTTCAATTTCGATTTATCTTGCACCATCGTTGTTGATCTGCGATTCCATGAAGCGGCGATAATTTTTTCTTTTGAGTTTGCGACTTGTCCATCTGGCATAATTGGCCCAGCATCTTTGTTGATCCCAGATGCTTCATCAAGTTTGTTTCCGACGCCCTCGAGTATCTGGTCGTTTGCTTCGAGGATGCTCTCAACAAGATCGTCAGGAAGAGGCTCTCGCTTAGTTGATCTTCCATGGAGCAGGTTCAGGTCTGTGATAATTTTCATGATCTTCTCATTGACCCGACGCTGGAACGAAGAAAATGACGGATATGTCTGATAGAAGTCATAGCTTTCCCCGGCGGAAGGAAGAGATGCCGAACTTCTGACGGACCTGACAGTCGCTCAAAAGGTTGAAAAATATTCTTTAATTAGAAACGAAATCTCTTGATTCAAATTCAATCCTTTCCTGGCAAGATAACTTTGCATAGTTCAGTTATGTCCGGAGCATCAGAGGACCCCGTTTTCGATTCACCATTCGACATTCTTCAATAAAAATAATGATGAAAATTGAGTTTTCAGCCTAGAACAAGAGGAAAGTGCCGGGGGAATAGAGACCGGTGCAGCGAAGTACGCGTGAATAATTCACTGCTATCGGGGCAAGAAATGAGCAAGTTTTTTTTATAGAAGGTCAACACTTTTTCATGCGCGCGTAGTCCCTGGCAACGAGTTAGTTCTCCGAACGCTAACATTATTTTCTGCTTTACAGTTGTTAGCTATTGTCAGGCAAAGTTGCTTGCCTGAAAAGAGGGTATGGATTTCCCTGTAACCCGAGAGCATACGTTCGCTTCAACTTCAACGAGGTTAGCAATTTTTATTGTCGCGCTTGAAATCATAATTTTTATACGAAAGAAGATTCTAATAATCAATTTCATTTTATAATGGGGAATAAAAGGATCGCTGATATTCATTATTCAAAAATGAAGTCAAACTAAACTATTGATTTGACGTATACTTCTGTGATTGCAGCTAGCAAGAAAACGATAATCTTAAAGATTTTATCATGAATCAATATGGGCAGATAATAATTAGATTTGATGTGTCTGTATACATTATTTCCACCAAAGTGTAAACTGCTGATCATCCGACAAAAGATGTTCAGGGTCGGCAACTTTTTGAATTGACAACAATGGCATTATCATGCCGTACTTCCGCGTGGATGATCTATCGACTGAATTAACCAAAGAAAATGTATAGGTCCCGTTGCGAATGGCTAATGCGCAACTCGCGGTTGGTCCACGACTGGAACAATGTCGTCGAGCAACTGCTTCTTGAAAAGAAGCCGAAGAGAAAATCACAGAAGAAAAGATCGAAAAAGCAACAGGAATGTTTCAAAATAAATTTCATTCACTAGTTATTTAAATATTTTTGAAAGCTGAAAAAGGCAAGAGAAAGAAATGATCAAAAGCGATATATTGACGCGAAATTCGAAGAAGAAAAAAGTCATCGGACGCGAATTCTCGGCGAGCACCAGAATGAGCTTGATATCCTCAGAACAGAACTGGACAGTGAGCGAGAGAAAGGTTCTGCGACGCTCAAACTTGCATATTTGCTGCGGATGGAAATCGCAAAACAAAAAACAACAATTGCTGAGCAACAAGCAGAGCTCGCAAAGGGATGGTGTTGATTTTAGATCCTTGAGAATTTTTATTTTTTAATTCAAAGATATAATTATCATCCTAAATTGAGCAAGAAACGCGGGCAGAAACAATCAAAGCCGAAGTGATGGAAAAGGTCCAGCTAGAACTCAAAAAGAACCACGAAGAGCTGCTGAAATTTCACGAACTGTATCTAAAGCAGCAAGAGATGATGAAAGAAATCCAATCGGGGGCAATGAACGACGTCCGAGCAACGAAAGAGCTCCTCGTCGAACTACAGAAACAAACCGGCGATCTTGTTCAAATACAACGAGGTACACGACATCAATCACTGCTGCCACAAAATAGTGATAAGCAAATATCCCCGTTTGATAAGAAAATGACAGCGGAAGAACATTTTGTTTTAAGATCACGAAGAAAGCTTGAACAACAAGTTGATGGAACTGGAGGATAATAAAGCAAGGAGACATGCCGAGCTGATAAGTAAGAGCGCTTCCGCCGATGACAAAGAAAATGTTAGTCAAATTAACACTGCTACTGAATAACATGTTTTACCTTGTTTAACACTTGAGCTAAGTTCTTGGCAAACAGTAATCCAGAGTGCGTTTTGACTAACAAAAGATAGAGGAAAAAGCGGTTTCCCCATCTCCATCTTTATCTTCTTCTTCCTCTTCCTCGATAACCACAGTGTCAAAAGCGAGCTCGAAGAAGTCCTCGGTTAAATCTCTTACCCCACCGAAGACACCGAGCCCAGAGCCAGTTGTGACCGAAATCCCCTTAAAAGATGAAAATTCAGACCAGCTGAAAGTCAACCAACAAGTTCTCTCAAGAATCACCCAAGAAGTTGAGGATGGGTGGTTTTACGGGTAAATCGTTCAGAGTGTCTCATTAATTATTTTCTAACTATTCTAGTGTTCAAGTGGTAAGCGTAAATGGTGAAAATGTCCGAGTTTCCTACAACAGCAAAATAATCGATGTCAAAATGGCGGATATTGTAAAGCTCACTGCGCCTGATCAACCACTTGAGGTGCCGTTACCAACTGTTTTTTCGAGATTCACAGTTTCTAATTTAGGCGGAAGCCACAGTAATCGCTCGACACCCGCACTATCAACAAACTTACGCGCCTGGCGTTATCGTTTGCGCAGGTCCACTGCAGATTCGATTCTACGACGGCACTGAAAGCATCATTCCAAAAGCCGAAGTACACCTTGTCGATTTTGAACGATTCGAGGATTTTGTCGACAACATCATTCAACTGGAAAGCAGATGGGTTAACGAAAGCGTCGTCGCGCGCGATGACAAAACCGGAGTCTATAAATTAGGCAAGGAAATGGGTCTCAAATCGAGTCTAACTTGAATCTAGGAACTGTAAAAGAACGAGTCGCAAACGCACACGAGTATGTGATCGAGTGGCGTGGGGACAATATAAGCACGATCCAGCATTACTCCTGCATTTTCGGCAAGTACTCGAAGGCGAAATCTTTGCAGACAGGAGATCACGTGATCGCATGCTCGGACAAGAAAAGCTGGAATTATCACCCAGGCACAATAACAAAAGCTGACTCCAACTCAGTTGACATCGATTTTATCTGCAATGTCACGTAAAAACCCGCGTTGATTTCAAATTAGCTCATCATTTTTCTTAGAATCGAGGGAGCGAACCCCAAGGAAGCTTTCTACATCACACCCGAGTATTTCAACCTTGCGAAAGAATACTATCTGGCCCAGCTGGAAGGATCCACCGCTTCATCAGAAAGCTCCTTGTCTTCGGTAGACAACTAACAAAGAAAAGATCAAACTGTACAATTGTGAAAATATAAATTTTTATTTTTTGAATTTATGATTTAACATGTTAATTCAGTAGGAAAGTAAAAAAAAAAGAAAAAAATAGAGATTAAGAAAATTCGAAAGTAAAAATTGAGATTGAAACAGAGGCAGTTTATATGGAATGCAAAAAAGTTTAAATTTTACGATGGAAAAGTGAAAAAAGTCGCGTTTCAGCCACTGCAGGACATTTCACGAAGTTTTCTGTTGATTTCTTGGATGACTTGGTCTTGTTCTGTGTATGCGCCTGATTTAAGCAGTTGTTCTTTGTCGTCAAGGAGCTTCCGATAGCCAGTGTCTATAAATTACTTGAGTGGCTGTCTCTCCATTTAAGACTTAACCTTCTGATTCGAACTGCTGACCATGAAAGTTTGAAAAGGATTTTTGCGTATTTTTGAATTCGTTTTTCATCGCCTAAAAAGTTAAGAGGAGTTTAAAATGAATTAGAGTACCCGAATAGTATCGCGCTCTGCGATCATTTCTTGATGATCTTGTGCAGCCTGGTATCTTGCTCGCATTTCCTCCATTTCTTCTTGTTTCCGACGCAATTTTACTTCTGCACTTTCAATCTCACGCTCCTTCATCGTTGCCACTTCCTAAACTCACGCTAAAGACCCTCCTGAAACGGGGGAAATATCTTACTTTTATAGCCCTGCTCCACTGAAGTTTATAGTGCTGTTTCGCCTTTGAAAGTGAATCTATGCGTTTCTCGAGCTCGTTCTTTTCAACAAGGAGGCTTTTAACCTCGGCCTGCAAATGTGGATCCGGCGCTTGGCGCTTTGAAATTTCAAGTTCATCGAGTAGCGATTTGTATTTGTGGTCAGTTTCGTCCAGCTCAAGTCTGTATTTGGACGCTCTTTCTTCTGCTGCCGCTGTTTTTGCACGCTCAACTAAATATTATGAAAATAAAGAAACCCTCGACAATTGAAATCTTGCCTTTTAGCATTCCTAGAAGCTCACGCTTTTGCTGCTCAAATGCAGTTTTAGCATCTTGTCTAATCCTATCTTTCTCAGCTTGGAGATCGTCCCTCAGCCTCGCCAGCTCCTTTTCCTGATCAGAAACCCTTGTTTCAGCCTTTTTCGCCTCAGCAAGAGCTTTTCGCAGCTGCTTCTCCATTTTTTCGTACTGAGAGACACGGGTACTCATCACTTGGTCTCTTTCTTGCTCCCGTCGCGTGAATTCTCCGGCGATTTTTTTGATCATTTCATCTTCCCTTTGCTTCAGGTACTTGGTGAACTCTTCTTCTTGCTCGTCTTTCCACAGTTGCAGGTCAAGGGCAGTTTTGAACTGTAACTTTTCGAGATCTTCTCGTTTTCTATCCATGGACATGTTCATCTGCTCCTGCATTCGCTTCAGCTCTTCTTCTTTGTTGCTCGCTTCGTTGGGTGGGATGATGATTTGTTGTTTGATAGGTCCTTTGTTTTCAAGCCAGAACTTGACGTCTATGTCGCCAACTACTCGGTTATCCAGAGCTACGGCCAGATTTTCATTTGCAATCTACAAACTGATGTGTGAAAACTGACGAAAATGCAAATAAGCTTGGCATTTATGAAAAACACTGACCTTTGGTTTCATGTTTGCTGGAAGAAGTTTTTCTATTGGGATCACAACTGTTCCAATTGCGCGATCCGCTTCGTTCTGACTTCTTGTCCAGACCTAATTGAATATTGAATCGCCTGGTTGCTTAATTAGAAATACCTCAAGAACGAGTGGAACTGATCTGAACTGATTCTCCAACTGTCTTGGTGCACAGGCAAAATCAAATTGACAAAACGGCTCGGTGAGCTTTACTTGTTGATTTTTCATGTGTAGCGGAACAGGGGCCCCGGAAAAGATCGGTTTTGACGAGCCAAAGAATGGATATGAGTATTTAACATACACGGATATTTGATGATATTCCTTCATTCGCAGTGTTTGTATTTCGATTGAGAAAGAATAGTGCACTTGAACTTGAGGGGCGACTAAATGTGAGCTCGTTGTAGTCGGTTCAGAATAGTCAATTTCAGCAATCTCGTGGTCTGTATTGTTTTGACCTTCTGAGAGCTCTGGAGCGAGAGGTTTGGGCAATCCCCGCGGGACAGGCTGTGCCAACTGCTCCGAGGTCGAATTAAGCGGTGTCTGAGGAACGTTTTCTGCTCGAATTGACAGTTCAACAACCAACGATGCGCCTTTGATTCCGCCCATCGATGGATTCGGCTTCATGGGTACTGTGATCTTAGATCTGGCGACGTCTTTCGTAAGATCGAGCTCTTTGAACGCTTTAGTCAACGGCTGTCCAAACTGCACCATGGCATGGCCGAGGGATTGCTCGCCGCTGCACAAGTGAATTTCAATCGGACACAGTTCCGCTGTCAAAAATCGACAGAGGTTCTTTTTTAGCCCTTGCAGATTCAGAGAGGCCCGCTCGACTGGAAATGGTGCGGTCAACTCTGTAAAAGGCTCGTGAACTACGTCGTTGCCTCTCAGTTGGTAGAACCAGTAGAAACCTTCATGAACAGGACGATTAGCAGGCATCAGATTCACCAATCGCTCGCCGGATAAAAGACTCAAAGAAAAGACGTACATCGAGCCTCCTTTTCCAATTTGCAGGAATGGCTTTCCGTTTTCTTCCTTCGTCTCGACTGGCAGTTTTCCCGAATTGTTTTCTTGGAGCACATTGTTTGCGCCAGCACTTGGTTCTTCTTCGAGAGTCAGTACAACCGACAATTCGGGCTTGAACTTGCTGTATTTTGAGGAAAGTAAAGGCATCCATTTCGCCTGTGATGTGGTCGAACTTGCTCCGCGAAGATCAAGCACAATGTAACCAATCAACTCATTTTTATCAGAAGAAAGATTTCCTGCAAACACATTAAGTTTGATAGGCGTCCGTTGAATCTTATGATGATGGACTGCTTTTCGATCGAGTTCCCAAGCCAGTTCTAAAGGAGTTCAAAACTCATCGCAATTTTGTAGTGGGAAAACTTACCAGTGTTGATTTGAGGCGTGGGAAGATGCGCTACAGGATCACTGTATAGTTTTTCATCGTTAAATCTTCCTTCGACTATAAGTTGTCTGTCTTTGTACTGCGGGAAATTCCTTCCTAATATTGAGTAAAATTCCAAGCTGGAATAAAGCCTAGATCTTTTTACCTGATGTTATTGAAACAACAAGCATAATTTTTTCCTCTGCCATGATCGAAAAAGTTGCTTCACGAGCTTTTCATTCAGTTTTCAAGCCTCAATCTTAAATTTTTGAATAAAAAGAAAATCAGAAATGAAATTTATTAGGATGTTTCAGGTTTTTAGCAGAGATGCGGTTGTTTTTTTATTATTTTGAAGCCATTACTGAATTAAGAAGCTCGGCATGGTATTTCTTGGGAATTTAGAATGGAAACAGTCACAAACTTAGTGGAGAATTGTGGTTAAGTTGAGTCAATTTTGCTTAGATCAGAAGGGGGAAGAAGGGTTAATCAAATTACCAGAAGAAACTCCTTCAGCTAAAGCTTCTTAGGGTAAGCGTAACTCTCATAGTAAAGAGAGAAGGATTTACTTTTAAAATAAGCATTTTATCGTAGCTGATCATTCCGATTGATACACAAATGATTTATGACAAAAAGAAAGGACGAGGATTAAAATTAATATCAGATGCACCTCTGTCGCAGTTAGCAATCAGCAGTAAAGGCTCAACTGTATAGCAATTACTCGAAAATGCGGCTAAACTGAAGACTAAACTCAAGTAAACTGCACTTCCGCAAACTGGATTTTCGAAATGCCCTGCTTAATTTATCTTAATTCTGCACGAAGTTAGAAATAAAAGAGACCAGGTAGATGTACGACTGACTCTTTTTCGGACAAATAGTGTTGACGACGGCGAGAAAGAAACATGTATAGTTATATTTATTCTAGAGACTTATTTTTGTATCAATTTTTTGATGTATCGGATGTTGCGTTTCGTTTATTTTTGTTGTGGTTGATTTTTGTCGATGTTTTAATAATTTTTTCCGGGTTTTACTTTTTACAAATTGGAGATAGAAAGGTATATTGAAATAGGGCAAGATTATTTACTCGGGGTAAGCGTAATTTTTGAATGCGTGTAGTATGTGCGTGTGGGATCCCCAAAAAAGTGTGTTTCCGAGGATCGTGTGTGAGTGTGTTTTGCCAGAGATGGTGAGGTAATGTTGAAAGCAAAAGAATTTAAATATTTATAAAATATGTTACAGTTGTATCCTTTCAGTATATCCTTGTTGATCCACAGAAGAAAAAATTTGCTTCTTTCAGGGTTTTTGAGGTGGCATTTGGAGGAAAAGGCGTTAGTTTCTGAGATAGAGATTGAACCGAGAACCACTCACTTTAACTGTTGTTGTGGGAGACTGTAAGACTTGAACAGAGGGATATAGCTACACACTTGCATGCACTCTACATTCGGGCTTGTTCATTATTCCCACTCGATGATACGTGTCTTACGTTTTCAGTAGTGCCTATTTCAGAATCGGGAAAAAGACTGGTTCAATAACGATGTACAAAGGAAACGGCCGAGGCGAGTAATTTAAAAGAAACACAACCGCCTCGAGTATATATAGATGTATTTCTAAATGAAGGGGGTCTCAATGATTGAAATTTCAAAAATGAGAGTTTCAAGAATGGTACAATTTATAATGTTGCTAGGGAAAACGAAGAAAAAATAATAGAATGAGGAAAGAAGAGGCGAAAGAGGGAATTGAAGGTTTTGTCCCTTGAAGAGTGTATACTTGAAAAAAGGGCAAATGGGAGAAACAAGATATAAATGCTGGGAATTTCTGAATTTCTCTCGAAACGATGTTATTTCACACTATTGCGGATATGTTGCGGTTTTTATAGCTGGATTTTAGGTATTTAAAAATGGTTTACTGATGACTGGATTCTCCCGGATTCGAAGTGACTGCTTGCTGTAGGGTGGAAACTGCCGGAAATTAGTTCCAGATCCTCAGGAACGAGTCCCAACTACCAGTGCCAACAGCCATGCCGTCTTCGGAAACTCCGAGGCAGCTAAAATTTCAAGAATGAAACCAACAACACAAAATGGTCGCATTCTACCTGACTCTATTGTCATGACCAGCCAGTACACCAGCGCGGTCACCCTTGAGGGTATCCCACACGTTGCAATTGAAGTCGTCGTAACCGGCGAGAAGGAGACGGCCAGACTTGGAGAAGGCGACGGAGGTGATTCCACAGACGATAGATTCATGACTGAAAAAGAGCAAGTTTGGGATTTTACACTCGTAGGAAAAGAAACCTGTAGATGAGGAGCTCCTGATCGGCGCGGATATCAAACAGTCGACAGGTAGCATCGTCAGAGCCAGTTCCAAAGGATTGGTAGTTGGGGAAGTAGGCGACAGCGTTGATGTCCGATTCGTGGCCAGTGAAGGTCTGGATGCATCTGCCAGTTCGAACGTCCCAAAGCTTGGCGGCGGCGTCGCAACCGCCCGAGACAAAAGTGAAACGATCGTTGCTGCAAAAAAATCGTTATACGCGAGAACTCGCAAGTGACATCAATATTTCAGTGGCTCATAAGAAACTGTAAATAAGAAAGAGCAAGTGTCTAAATTCTGTGGCTTTTGAATGTATAAATCCTTAATGAAGGCGTCTCAAAGAGCACAAGAGCACGTTTTCCTGAATAAAAGAAAACGCCACAAAAGGAGGAAATTTTTGACCCCTGTCAAATGTGAACGTTTATCCGAAAAATAGGATTCTACTTAGGTCAAGCTCATTTTTTTCGGGGAAAATACAGTTGATAAATTGTAATTGCGTCATTACCTAAGCGCGACGGACATGACATCTCCTGTGTGGCCAACAAAGGCGGTTGTCTGTTGTCCTGTTTCGATGTCCCAAAGTCCACAAGTCATGTCACCACTAAAAGAATGGGTCAGCAACGATGATCAAAGCGGCCGTCACTTTTCTTACCTAGATGTTATAATCTGAGAGTCGTCGATGAAACGGCAGCAGGACAAATATCCGGTGTGACCTGGAAGCTCACGGGAGACGCGCACCGTGCCTAAACGATGATAAGAATGATTTTACAAATGGATACTGATGGAATTGAAAACATTGAAGAGAATCATGACTTACCTTCTTTGGTTTTTAAGTTGTAAATACTACAGATGTTGTCAAGACCACCGCAGGCGACGAAGTTGGCAGAAGGCGCATAGGCACAAGTCATGACCCATGAGGAGCGCAACGGAATCGCGTGTACTTTATTAGTCGTATACGAGTCCCACACTGAAAACAGCATAAAGCTCCTTTACCAAGCAGCAGCAGAAGCAGGCCGCTTAGATCGCTATTGGAAGACATCGTCGGCGCAATTACCAGACGACGGGCTCTCAGGGGAGAGAGGCCCTTAGGCAAGAGAAACTCTTTCTACGGGCGAGTATTTCACTCTCTTTTTATCGATTTTACTTCTGAGCGCGCGATGGCGATTTCACTCGGACATATATATTTGTTTAAAAACGCAATATACAAATCAATTTAACTCCAGTATTGCTCTCAGGCCGCTTAATTACCGATAAGTTTTCCATCTTGCGAAGCGGAGACGAGATTTCTAGAGTCGGTGGACCAGTGCATGGCGTATATTTTGGCGAGATGGCCACGCAATGTCCGTCGAGTTCGCATCTGCACCCTCCCAAGAGGATCTACGTTGATGCAAACCTAAACGAACAATTCATATTGAAATCAGCAACAATTCAATTAAGCTGACTGTAATTGCTATCTTCTAAACGAGAGCCGCAAGTGCACTCGCAGCTCAATTTAGTATTAATATTTGAACTCAATTTTGCTCAAATTTGAAACTTGTAAAATTGAGAATAAAAATGGATTTTCCATGGATAAAGTCTGTTAAACTTTAAGTACAAAATAGCAATCGATAAACTTTCACTAAATAATGAGCACTGAGACTACGTTTCAATCGATTTTTTCTACTTCGAGCGCAAGAAAAATAAAAACACACAGCTTGAAAACGGTACCTGTTGCATTGTTGTATCTCTGCATTCCCTCCGCTTCTGTTTGATTTCGTCTTTGATGTCAGTTGCCTGCTTCCTTTTCCGAGAGTTTCAGATTTAATCCTTTCAAAGAACTATATTTAAAATCATATTAAACTATGTAGTCGAAAACCACAATATATTAAATAAAAATATTCTATGATCTTCTTATTCTGTCAAAGAAATAAAGATTTTCATTTTTATAATAAAAAATCGACTGAGTTGGAATATTTGACGTCAGGAGAATCGATAAACGCTTTTGATATTTAGCATAAACTTGTGAAAATTATATGACGATTGTTAATGGCATCATTGCGAGTTCGCACATTACTTGGAGCGGAAAATTAGACCGTAATTTACGCACTTGCTCACTTTCTCTAAAGAAAATGCCACTTTTGTTCAACAAAATTGATAAGTTCAAAACAGAATTTTAATCGAGAAAAAGATGAAGCTATGATTAAATTTAATTTACTAGACGAAAAAGTCTGTAACTCATTCCTCATGGCCTCGATTTCGGCTTGCGGATTGCTTGAGTTCGTCATCTCGGCGTTTTATTTTCCTCGCTCGTTTTTCGTCCGTCTTTTTTGTTTCTCTTTCTTTAATTTTCTGCTGCTGGCCGCTGTTTTTTCTCTCCCTCAGTCTCTCCTCTCTCTCTCTTTGGATTTCTATTTCTTTCTTTCTGTGTGTGTGCGTCGGGTGCGCAGGTCGCGAGTGGTGTCACGATCCTCGACTAGCCTCGCGTAGATTTGTGTTTGGGCGGCGATCGATCGCGCGCTCAATTTCACTCGGCGCCAGTCAATTCCGCTCAATTTCGTTCCTTCTCTTCACTCGCCTCGGGCACCGACTGATCCACCCACTGGTCGTTTCGTCCGTGCAGCTCGCTTCTCCGAGCACGTCTGAATCTCGCACGAATCAATCTCTAAACGCACGCACGCTCGTTAGTCCTCGTTGTTCGCACTCTTGCAATAGCAGCTGTAGTAATTATTAAATTATTCCGGTGGTCTGTGGGTGTCTTCCGCCCAATTCTCGGTGAACTTTTCGAGTTCGGGAAAAAACAGTGAATTCCAAAATTGAAACGCGGGGGCGGTCCGCTTCGGTAGTAGCTCGGTGCGGTAGCGCCACCACCCTAAGCTCATCCAACCCTAACGCAAACCAGACCACGGCGTCCTCCGAGTGGCTTCTTTTTGCGTATTTTCAGAATGGTTATCGACAATTCTCCTACCTAAGGAATCTTCGTTTTGGGAAATATAAATTAATCTCAGGTCAAAAATTATTCCTCTTTGAACAATATTTTCAAGTAAATAATTTCCTGTTTCGAACTCACTGGGAAAAAAGCTCGTAAATTTTTGAATCTCATGACCTCATGAGATTCTCATACCAACAATAAGTCCAATAAAAACCGCTGGTCTGGGACACCCCTAGTCCACCCACGTGTCCCAAACTAGAAGTATTTTCACTTTTGCTCTCGCGCGCCACTTTCGCCTTCCGGGTAAAGCGGTAAGTTTAAAAACACCCCCGTGGCCGCGTGCCTTTGATCGTTAATTCGCCCGACTGTCCCAAACCAGCGGTTTTTACTGTACAAGTAGGTATGAATTTTGCGAAAAAAGTCGATGATCACTATTTCCTTTGATAAAAATCATCAAACAAATTCGGAATATCTAATGGTTTGGAGGCGAAAAAGACATTTTCGGACATTGTATTGTACATTGTGAGGAGACACCTGCTGAAAGTGCCATGGCTTTTGACGGGTTTGAAAATCGATATTCAATTTTCGGCGAAGCGGCTCGACTTACCCCGGCGTCTCTCCATTATTAAGTTAGATACATCTTTTAATCATGACTATCTCTGCGCCTTGGTAGTATCAAGCAAGTCTGTAAAGAACTCTATGAGTTTGTGTTTTTTGCGGCGCTCGATTACGACTCAGCCAGAAAGTCACTGGCCCTTTAGCTCGCCTTACTCTAGGCTCTGACATCGATTTCCAATAAAAATGGCTGTGAGAGTCCTAGATATTCTACGATTCGTAAAACACATAAACAGTTTCTTTACTATCTCTACAAGTCGCTCGATCTCTGGAAAACGGCCGGAGCGCCTGGCGCAGCAAAAGAAGAAGAAAAAAGCGCTCAGCTGACCGATAAACCGGCTAAAATGCAGCGCGAGATGAAGAAAGTCGGAATAACTAGTCTGTGCCCGAGCCCACAGACGCCCACGCTGGCGATTGCGTGCGTGCCCGAATGCGTGTGCCTCCAGAACTCTCCTTTTTTCGTCGTGCGTTGCAATACGTTCGTTAAATAATCATATGAAGCAGTAAGCCATTAGTTATTACGAACACACACAAGTTTTCAACTTGAATAGTCAACCCCACAATACAAGGCGATTAATGCCATCATTTTTTTCGATGCAAGTAAATATTTATATAACTGACTCTTCCTGCGAAAAATGCGATGAAATCAAAATACAACGACTTTGGTTTGAATGCGGATTGTACTTTTTCTTATCATATAATAATTTATAATGTTAAGTTTATATATATATATAGTCTCGCCGAGGGCTTTCTCGATTTTTGAAACAGAATGAATTCAGTAAGAAAAGAAGGAAGGAGAATGCGCCGCCCATGGCAAAGTGGTTTAGTGTAAGTCTACATGAGGAACTTGATTCATATTGCACTGTTTTCTAGAGTCGGATATAAACACACCAGGAGTATTTGCGCTCAGTCGATCTTGATCTGGCCGTAGATCTTGTTGATGAAGGCGAAGGAGGCGTAGAATGAAATCGTGCCCGTGAAAATTGCGAACGTCAACGTAATCAGAGCCGTGTAGCCTATTTTACAAATTAAATGAATAGCTTTAATTAGCATGTGACTACTTACCAAAATACAAAAGAGTTGGCACGAACGAGGTGATCTCGAGCTTGGTGTAGAAGTAGAAAATTGAATAAAGGAAGACGTAGAATGCGCTTCCCGAACCGACGAAGAAGCTCCTCCACCACCTATTAACATCAGCGTTTAAAATTGTTAATAACAATTTTAGTTTTACCAGTTGTAGTCTTCGGCGCAGAGCTGGAAGTAAACCATGACGATGGCGATTTGAGAGCAAGCGATGATGAGGATGATAAACACTATAATTTACTCAAACAAAGAAGATAAAAGAAAAGTTACCAAGAAAAAGGAATCCGAAGAGATAATAAAATTCGTTTTCCCATAGGGCCGTGAAGATGAAGAAGAGCTCAATAAATACTGCACCAAACGGGAGCACTCCAGACATAAGAAGAGAAACGAACGAATTCATGTACCATGGTTGGTCTGGCACCTGTCGAGGGATCTGGTTTGTTCGGACGGGCGCTTCGTAAGGCTGCTTTCTGAAGCCGAAGTAATAACCAGTCATGACGAGAGGGAGCGAAACACCGAACCACATGCAGAGAATAGCGAGCATTGTTGTGAAAGGAACAGCGCCAGAAGACTTCTGGCCCCAGATGAAGAAGTTGAGAAGGAAACAAGTTCCAAAAGTGATGCTTGGGTAGAGAAGACCCGTCCAAATCGCTGCGCTCTTCCAGCTCTGGCCCCGGACTGTTTTGTAAAGTCGCCCAGAGAAATATCCAGAGAAGATGCCCATAAACATAAACAAGAAAAAACCAGCTAGGAAAATATATCGTTCGAATACTGTTGTTAAAAAATCATATCACCTGTGACAAGAGAGCCTCTTGCTGACGGCGAAAGCATTCCAAACATAGCAACAACGATAGTGATCATAGCCATAAGGCCAATTTGTACTCCTGAGCCAATAAATGCGCACAAGATTGAAGAGTACTGCGGTGGTCGGAAAACGTCGCCGTGGACAAGTTTCCAGCCAGTTTCTTCCATCGCCTCGTCCAGTTCGTCATCCTCCTTGTTGTACTGGGCGATGTCGCGGCGAAGCGTCCTTGAAAAGGTAAATTTAAGCTAGGAAGAGCTTGAATATTATACCTGACGATGATCATGGCGAGAATACCAGCAAGGAAGAAGACAACAACGATGGAGTTGACAATCGAAAACCAGTGAATCTGAACATCTCCCATTTCCAAATAAGTGTCCCATCTTGACGCCCATCGGATCTGTGACTCTTCCCAATGAACTTAAAAACATTAATAAAGAAGATATATTATAAGAACGCACCAGAGTAGCTAAAGCTAATTTGAGAGACCGTATCATCAATTTTCATGTGTTTATCGTTGACATCGATCGAGCAAGAGTTGTCGTCGCCTGGGTTAGTTGTAGCTACGGATTTCGGACTGACTTCGAATGCAACAACTCGATACTGCTCGCCAAGGACGTCGTCGAATTGTTTGTTGTACTTGATGTTGAGCTCCAAGTGGTTATTGATGAATAAATCTTCGCCATCGACGATACCGAGTTTGTATCCATGCTCGTATTGTGTTACATCGTCTTATTTTGTGCCCATAAAATAAGATAGAAAAGATGAGTTTTTACCTTCAAGTTTCCATTTGGTGGCAATGGGGAGATTGTCAGCGAGGAGGTGAACAGTGTATGCTTCCTTGATTTTCTTGACGAAAGCGTCTCGCTCTTCAGAAGTAATTGGTTGAGTGCAGAGGATTGTGCACTCCTGGTCGACTCCAACTCGCACATCTCAAAAGAGAAACAATTACTATACTTTCCTGTGTATTAGTATACCGTAGTTAGTGTTGACGATTCTATCACCGCGGAGGACTTCTCCGAGATTTTCTGTCTGGTAAACAACCTGGTATCGAATGTTAAAAAATGAAGCTAAAATTTGTTCATTACTTTTTCCGGCTTACAAAGAGGAAGTGAGTAGTACTCGTATGGCAGTTGTGTCTTTGAAGAAGTCATTTTAACAGCTTTGATTTCAACTTTGTCTTCTTGAGCGAAGTCGATTGGCGCAACTCCTGGCACGTAAAATGCAGACGCATGCTGCAGGAGTGCGACTAAACCCCACAGCCCCTTCGCCATGCTTAACAAGAATCAATCAGAAATTTTATCGGATTTATTCGAATTTATGTATAGTTATATTGCACATAAAGCATTTCTTTAGCAAACGTAACAGGAAAAGGCAAGATGATGAAATGAAAATGAATGAATGGAAAAAATATGTATTTGTTGACAAGAGTAGAATAATTGAACTAAACAAGTATTCGGAATTCGACAAATAAATTCAGAACTTTGCTCATTTGTGAATCGATAGGTGAAGTTACATTTAAATAAATTTTAAGTTTAGATACAGGAACAGCTTGGCAATGGCTCTAAGGTCTTTTTTATATCAAAAGATAGGACTATCACGATCGCGATGATGATAGGCATTGAAACAGAAAGTGCAGTTTGGTTTTGGGAAGAAGTCACAATAGAAAACACTCGGTCTTGGGATATTCTTTGTTCAAAGCGCTTTGCGTTCTCTGGCACGAGCAGTCACTCGACCAAGGCTCATTCCACAACCGAGAAGGACAAGGCAGAGCCCGGCGAGAACCGCGAACAAGTAGTGCGAGTGGTTGGACCGTTGAATCGAGTAGTAGAGGTCTTCGACGCCTTCGATCTTCATGCTTTGTGCTTTCTGCCACATGTCCCGTCGCTCGTGCAGCTTAGAGAGACAAGCTTCCGAAAGACTCTTCGGTTTCTTCTTCATCATATTGACAAGGCAGTTGATTCGACGTCCGTGTCCAGGCTCAACGTCCGTGCAGTACATTTTTAGATCCGTGCCGCAAGCATTTTGAAGAGTGGCATCCACATTCACATCGACCTCACCTTCTTGGATAAGCTTGCCAATGTAAATTCTACACGGCTCACTTTCCTTGAGCTCTTCATTGTTGAACTTTTCTTTGAGACACTCTATCGGGTCTTCGACGGACTCAGGAGAGCACATAATCTTCAGTGGGGAAATGGGGCCTTTGTTGCAGAATTTTTTGAGCTCTGGGTCAAGTTCGTAGTGTTTGATCTCCTGCTTCATCAAATTTTCAACATGGGAAGCGCAATTCTTCGTAAGAATTAGTTTGTTATCCTTTGACGCTTGTTGCTAAAATGATCATTTAGAAATGGTCAAATGAAAAATGAAACCTTGATGAAATTGTTCTTCAAACAAGAAATAACTCGTCCTTCGAAAAGAGCTCCTTTGTCTGAATTCATATCTGCCTTTAGCTCTGATACGAGCTGTTTCATTTCGCCGAACTCAGCTGGGCATACTCTACGAGCAAAAAATTAGTCTAGGACTCATAAAATTAATAACCTTTGGATATCGAGGTGGCAAGCCTTTGAGAGTTGAGGATTGAGCTTGATATTTTCCGCTCCCATCATCTGTCTCGCTTTGACCGCCATGCGACACTCCTTCGACATTAGATCATCGCCAACGTGCTCCACAAGACAGGGCATCACATTCTGAATTTTATGTAACAAATCTAGTCATCTTTGATTTCTACCTTCATATTGGAAGCTTGCCCGCAGTGAGCTTGGATGACAGGCTTGCAGGCTTTGATAAGGAAGTAGTCAACAGCCGGGTTATCCGCCTCGATCTCGATGTCCTCAAAAAAGATAAAGTCGCGTCAGAACATATGATATTGAACATAACCAGATCATATCAAAAACTTTGTCATAATTCGGCTATCAACCAAATCTTTACCTCGAATAAGACTCCAGCGCATTTATTACTGAGATCATCTTTCTTTTCTTTCAAGCACTCTTCGATTCTGCCAGCTCCTATCAAATAAATTAAATACTATCTTTCTCACATAGCACGAACCTGGTTTGACATCATTGCAGTGAACCTTGATGTCCAAAGCGCAAGCTCTAATAATTTCTGGTCGAAGACGAACGTCTTCAGATTCAGACAAGAGCTCGAAGTTAACTTGCGCTCGGCAAACATCAGAAATATCGTGCGAGCTCTCTGACAAAACCGCGTTTCGAATTCTCTCGGAGAGACAGTGGACAATTTGCGGTTTTGACTGCTGCTGCGCCTGATTATGGCAGTACATCTGGATATCCTTTTTGCAACCTAAAGTTGTTTGTTATCAGAAATTGGCAAAAATTATAATTTTTGTACGATATCGTACTTTTGAAGAACGCGTAACCAAGCTTATAGTCCGTCATCGAGATAATCTGGAAGTGCAAAACACCAGCTTGACACTTCTCGTCCATGTCCTGCTCATTTTTGTGATTGATGAGGCAACCCAAAACCTTTCCTTCATCTTCAGATTTCAGTGCAGGCTTGCAGAACTTTTCGACCATAGGCTCACAAGAAGTGAAAAGAACTTGCTCGAGATCAAGATCTTCAGAAGCAATTTGAGTTAACTTGGCGACTTGCTCGGCACACTGCTGGTCGTGCGCTCGAGTGGACTTCTTCATATCTTCATAATGATCTTGGAGGCACAAAAACTCGACTTTCTTCAAAGCATCTTCTTCTGAACACATGCTTCCTAAAGTAGGTCGACAGGCAGCTTCCAGTTCGGGATTGAGTTCAACTTCCATAGCTCGCTGTTTCATGACACGGTGCACTTGCTCGGCGCATTTAGCCTTAAGGGTTCTTCCTGCTCCGTTTTTACCGACATCCTCCTCGAATGGATGGCTATGTCTGTACAAACAACCGATCACCATTGAAAGAGGAATTGGAAGTTCTTCTTCGTCGTCGACCTCATTGAAAGTTCCGACATTACAGAGATCTTCAGCGTCTTCATGACAAGCGCGACGGAATTTCTTATCCCACGAAAAGTCTCTTGAAAGGAAGTACTGGGTTTCTAAGAGTGATTTTCGACAGAGTGGATGCTCTTGGACCATTTGGTGAGAGTGCAGATTCTCAAGCAGACACGACAAGACTTCAGCGTCATCATCATTTGAATCCTTGCAAAGTTCAGCGGCAATCGGGCTGCAGAGATGGTCGAGTCGCTTGTCGACCCTGAAACTATCGTCGGCCTCGGTCTCTTCGATAAGCTCGTAAAGAGCATCTTCGCAATCGTCGGAAATATCTTCGTCGACATCTGGGTCTGTGTCGAGTCCCATCAAACAGTGGAGCGTTTCGCCTCCTTTGACAATACCTCCATCGCAGTACGTTTTGATCTCAATTTTGCATGCGGAAACGACTTCTGGCGAAAGAGAGTAATCTTCCATCAAGAATTGTCGGTAAGCAAGAAGTTCCGAATCACAGCTGCCTTCAACAGCAAGCAATTTTCCGTTTTTATCCTTCTTTTCTTTTCGCAACTTCTTTTCAACGCACATGAGGATGTCCGAAAGACCTGCGAATTCACCACCCATTTGGAGGTTATCGAACTCGGCAGTATCACATCCAAATTGGCGGAATGATTTTCTACATGTCTTGTGCAGATTGTAGCCCGCCTTGTAATCCGCAGAGTAGATCAATCGTTCGCGAATAGTAATGGCTTGTTGGCAGTCTTCGGTCATCGCTTTGTCGAACTTGTGGCGGAAGAGACAAGAGTACACTTTTCCATCTCCAGCGGGTATCTCTGCGCAATCTGGGAAATTATCTCTATCATCTCGGCAGGCCATGTAAAAAGCCCTGTCGAGAGTAAAATCGTCAGCAGAGAGCTCGGCCAGATTCACAAGCTCCTTTTGGCACCCTTCACTGATTTCTTCATCGTCGCCGAGATGATTTTCGAGACATTGAACAACAGCTCCTTGGGAATGTTGCTGAAGCCAAGGATTGATGCCTTCGTCTTCGTCCAGACTTTGGCCAAAGTCATTTCGCCCGCATTGGTACTTGAAGATGTCGTTTTTGCATTGATTCACAAAATTACAAATGAGTCGGAAATCCGAAAACACGACCTTCGAGATATCGGTTAGGTAACTTCGGCAGCTAGGATCGTCAGTTATTTGAAGGCGGTAGTCCATAAGACAAGGGATGAGCTTATTGTCAGCTCCGAATGGTTCGGAGTAGTAATGAGCGCATTCGGAGGCAACACCGGCGATGGAATCTTGCGGGCATTTTTGAGACACGAGTTTTTGGATTTCTTTGCTTTCAGTTTGCGAATGCTTCCAGATCTAGGAAATTTATGATAAAAGAGGATTATTTGTGCTATTAAAATACCCATAAAAAGTGCTGACACTGCTCATCAACAAGTTTTCCTTCAGATGCGGCGATTTCAAGACAATTGTAGACTAAATAGTCATCCTTGCGGATTCTTTTGGCTGGACAGAGCTTTTGAACTTGCGCGGCGCAAAATTCAGACTCGGCAATGGGAGGTAACGTGGACTCACTCACTGAAATATCGTCAATCGAGTCAGTTTTTCTTGTCTTTCAGCGCCCTGTTTCCGATTGAGAAAAGTGAATTAGATAGGAGCAAGAAAACGTGAGTATTTCAATCATTCCTGAGCTGCAGGGTCATTGGCATTGGCTGCTTGGCCCGAAACCAGTTGTTCCAACCCGACGAATGCTAACAGAGACAATTTCATGTTCTAAATTTACAAGTTAAATCCCCGATTCACACGTAAGAAATAATCAATTTCAAAATAAATAAGCACTCGGCCAAAATTGTAAAGAAATTCCGACTTTACAATTTTTACAAGTTGATACTCAGTACTAAATTGGACTGTTTGGTAAACACAGAGTCAGATTGAAGCCAGAAATAAACAAGAAATAAAAGGTTCCAGGTAGATGAAGAACTGTCAGTGATAATTGTAAAATAAGTCTAGAGGTCAGTGTCGATCACGGAGTGGAAAATGTATCCGCCGATCTTTGAGAGAGCCTGTGCGTTTGAAACCAGCCAGAGCAGGTACTTGATGGCGACGACAAAAGTTCCTTCGGGAAGTCTTTCGAGGCCGGATGGGTTCGACCAGGGCTCAGTCTGTGGGCCGTACCAAGTCAGTCCGCTCGCTGATTTATACAAGAGACTGAGGAAAAGCATAAGGACGGTGGGCAGGATATATTGAAGCGCAGTTACCAATGTATAGTACCTAAATTTGATTAATTTCTTTAGCCACTTTTCAAAATGAAGACTAACCAGATAAGAGTAACGTTTTTGTTCATCTCCTGCTGTGTGTAATTTTTCTTCATTTTTCGCGCTCTTTCGACTCTCGTTTTCGCAATAGCTAGGTATGCTTGAATATGGGATCGCCACATCACTAGAGTCCAAATAGAGCTCCCAATAATAATTCCTAGTTGGATTCTGTCGATGAGTACGTCGTCAAATCCGCCTGGGAGCCACTCAAACTAGAAGTTTCTCGTCAGTAATTATCCGTTTGTAAGCGCTTACGTTTTCGATGTTGCTCGGTTCTTGAAGACGGTATCGGAAAAGTTTGGGAAAAAAGGTCACAGGAATAAGCAATCCAGAAAAGAACGAGCCATGAATCAACATCTTCTTGAGTCCTTTTTCCTAGAAGCACTTATAAAATTTCATCGTGAAAGATTTCCTACGTTTTCAGAAGCATCCCGGTTCATTTGAGCAACTCTAAATCCACAGAAAGAGAACACTGAGCCGAAGAAAGCAGAAAAGAGGCAGATGATCAGCGTCAGACCAAGTTTTGACATCCTCTCGAGGTTCGCAACAAGTTCATGGAATCCAAGCTCGATCCATTCAGAAGAGAGCGTGAGCGCGCTCAAACTCGAGACAAAGGTGAAAGTGCCGAACATGACGAGCTAATTCAACAATTACTTTTGGCATTTTGATAAGGTTACTCACCAGGCTGCGCTCGCCAGTGCTTCTTATCAGCTTCGAGGATAATCGAGCCAGGTTAATTGAGCAAAACAAACTGGCAAGGACGACCCAAATGACGGATAAATTCAGCTCGTCGGGAATCGCTTCACCTCTCCATTTAAACTCACTTGAATATTATGAAGAATTAATCAACGAGCTAGAAATTTTACCTTGGAACTAATTCGGTAACCGCGAGCACAAATAGCGTAGTTAGACTAAACTCGATGAGCCAGCAAAACTCCGGGTAAAAATGAAGGAAACTCCAGTCTTCAGCCTTGACTTGTGCAAAATACAAAGGCACCTCAGCATCCTAAAATTAATCGATAATAAGCTGCAAAATTTATTATTGTGAATTACTTTTGGAATGACAAAGTCCTTGCTTTGAACATTTTGATTTCTCTTTGAAGTCTTCACATTCTTGGGCTTGAGCTGGGCTGCTTGTCTGCAATCATTCTCTGAGGGTGCATAGAATCGGTAAAATCCGGTAAGAAGCTTGCTCGGTAGATCGAAAATAGGTATCAGCTTCCGCAGGAAGAACAGCCCAATTATCGACACTGTCAGGTTAAAGCCGAAAACAGCCATTTAACCTGGAAAAGAGAATACTTTTTAGAGAAATTTAGGAACTGAGAAAATAAGAAATTGCAGCAAAGTACGAAAATATAGGAGCGGACAGACGTCAGCTGAGGCACAGTAGGAGAGAAAAGCGTGACAGTGCGCCACGTCAATTTGTGTAAAATTGGAATGAATTCGTTTCAGGCTCATTTGAAGTTTTCAAGGCGATCCAGCTCTGTTAGGTCTACGATCGGCTTTGATGTGCGCTGCGGGACGCTGGCGTCGGACTTTCTTCGCTGTGGCTTCGACAAGTGTCTCTCCATGTATCTGATACGGTGGTTCTTATTTTAAGCATTCGGATTGAAAGGAAGTAAGTTTCGAAATTTTATTTTTAGTTCAATGCCTCTTGAAATGCTTGCGTATTATCGTGGGGTGCCCGCGGGCGCTCAGGGCCTCTTTTGCTCATCAAAATTTAGGTCTTGGTGTTTGCGCATCAACAAAGCCAGAGTTCGAAATTTTTGCGGCTCCCGGGCAAGGGGGCGGCGGGCGGGCGGGCACGGGCAGAATATTTAAGATTCCCGAGGGCAAAAACGGTCACGGGCACAAAAACGAATTTTCCCGCGAGCCAAGCGGGCACGGGCACTATAATAAATTTTCCCGCGGGCAGATACGGGCACGGGCATGAATGAGAAGATTCCCGCGGGCATAAACGGGCACGGGCGGTTTGCCCGCGTTCCCGCACGAAATATTCCCGAGGGCAGCCCGGGGGAACATTTTTTTCTACTGCTAAATCTCAAGCATATTTTTCAAAATAAGAAAATAAAATAAAAACGACCCTTCGGATTTTTATATCGCAAGTTTTAGGGGCTAGTTAAAAACTACGACCGAATGGTCTCCGTTTCCCCAAGTTGGGCAAATGGCGACTTGGGCAAACGGCGATGTGAATTAATTAAATTGATTGATCATATAACTTTGTTGTATTGGCTTCTCCACAGCCAACCCCTGCTTCACCAACTTCAGTCCCGGCTTCAACAACTTCGATCCAAGCTTTTTAGAAATCAATGTTGGTGGCTCAAACGTCAACGGGATTCGCGTTGGAGAAGTCGTGATTGACGTCGAAGAACTCGGGACTGACATTAGAGAAGCCATGATTGAAGTCGGTGAAGCTAGGATTGACGATGTAGACCCAGAATTGACGTTGGAAAAACCAAAATTGATATAATATTAATGATAGTGGAGAAGACATGATTGAAGTTGGTGAAGCCAGGATTGGCGTTGAAGAATTCAGGATTCTCCGTTTGCTCAACTTGGGCAAACGGCGACTTGGGCAAACGGCGATGTGAATTAATTTAAATTGATTGATCATATAACTTTTATTGTCTTCTTCACAGTCAATCCCGGCTTCACTTATTTCAATCCCGGCTTCAAAAACTTCGATCCTAGCTTTTCAGACGTCAATCTTGGTGGCTCAAACTTGAATCCTGGCATCTCCAGCGCAGTGTTTGAAATAATGGTTAAAACTCTCGTGAGCGAGTGAGCGCGAGCAGAGGCCCTCAGAATTTTAACACGAGTGAGCGAGCGCGAGCAGACTCTTTTGATTTTTTCGTGAGCGAGCGAGCGCGAGCGCAGATACCAGGATTTTTCTATGAGTGAGCAAGCGTGAGCGCTCCCTCGCTCGCTCGCGCTCACTCGCAGCTTTTCAACAACGTTTTCATTGAGTGATTTCTTGAAAAATTCTAGTACTTTCAAATTTGAAGGACTTTTAACTATCATAAGTTAATGATGTGTATTCTTACGAGATGAAAAGATAAAATCAAGATAGATTTCATGAATATTAAATGATTTTGTCATGAGGGTGACTTCACTTAAAATAACCGTGAGCGAGCGCGAGTGAGTGCAAGCAGGGACCTTGGAATTTTATGGTGAGTGAGCGAGCGCGAGCAAAGGTTCTCGAGATCAACGTGAGTGAGTGAGCATGAGCGCTCGCTCACTCGCTCGCGCTCGCTCGTGGCTCGCGCTCACCATTTTTTCAAACACTGCTCCAGCGTCAATCCCGGCTTCTTCAATGCTGATCCGGGCGTCACTTACTTCAATCCAAGCTTCTCAAACGTCACTCCCGGCTTCTCAGTTGTCAATCATCGCTTCTCGAATGTCGATCATGGCTTCTTCAAGATAAAATTGGCGTTGAAAAAGCCGAGATGGAGATGGATGAAGCCGGGATCGACGTTGGAGAAGTCGGGATCGACGATGGAGAAATCGGGATTGACGTCGAAGAACCCGGGATGGACATTGGAGAAGCCATATTTGAAGTCGGTGAAGCGAGAATTGGCGATGGAGAAGCCATAATTGATATAGTGTCGATGATATTGGAGAAAACATGATTGATGTTGGTGAAGCCAGGATTGGCGTTGAAGAAGCCAGGATTGACATTAAAAAAAGCCAAATAATGTCTAATGATCAATTAATATAAACTTTTTTCAGATCGCCGTTTGCCCAAGATCTCCGTTTCTCCAAGTTGGGCAAACGGCGATTTGGGCAAAGAACTCTAGAGCAAAGAAGAAGACTACAGAACTCCACTTCCGGTCGATTCCAGAGCCGGAAATTGACGAAATTTAGTTAAAATGGTAGAGTGTGACCTATCAAATTGATGCTCAGAAGATTTCGAGTCATCCTAAAATCAATACTTCAGAAGAAACAGTCCCAAACCTGGTCAAACCGACCGTTAAAATTATGTAAAAAAGGCATAAAGTGATGATTTTTTTTCACTTTTTTCCGGTTTATTTTACCGCGGTTGGTCTTGATTCTTGGTCTTAAATGATAGGAAATCGTCTGAGCATCAATTTGATAGGTCACACTTCACCATAACACCTAAATTACGTCAACTTCCGGCTCTAGAACCGACTGGAAGTGGAGTTTTCTAGAATTTTGAACCGTTTAAGTTCTCAAAATTTTCTGTTGATTTGTAAAGGTATAATGTTCGGGGTTCTATAAGGCGGAAATGGGCTGGAAAACTTCGTTAACCTTAAAAAAAGCACGTCATAACAGTTTTGTATGCAGATTAGTTTTCAAAATACTCCCTCAAGTATTTGGTGTCTATTTCCACGCTATTTAAATGGTTTAACACTTTTTCATAAGGTGCATTGAATCTGCCCGTGCCCGTTTAAGCTCGCGGGAATCTTGCCCGTGCCCGAATTTGCCCGCGGGAATATTTTTTATTGTGCCCGTGCCCGCTTGGCCCGCGGGAAAATTCATTTTTTTGCCCGTGACCGCTTTTGCCCTCGGGAATCTTCACTTTCTTGCCCGTGCCCGTATCTTCCCCCGGGCAAACGCGGGATTTCGAACTCTGAACAAAGGTGTTGAAAACCACATGTTTCCCAAACAGAAAGTTCCCTTGACTTTTTGTTCATTGTTAGCGATTATGTAAGAACCAGTTCCTTGCTGTCGCGAGAGACATATCAGAGGAGTTGTGCAGGTTGAAAGTTTGATCCGGAGTTGACATGTACCGGTAGCGGCTTTGACTTCGTGAAGAAGGGGCAGAAGAAGGAGTCGGGACGCCGTATTTACGCGCTAGTTGGGCGCAAACACTCTCTTCTCCATATTGGCTGACGTGGTGAAGTTGGCCTTCTTTTCTAGTGCCGTAAGAGGGTGCGATATTTCGAATAAACATCGTGTCGCCTTCTGGATAATCCTCTTCATCGTCCTCGCTTGCAGATGAACTCGTAAAATGATCTTAGGGTTCATTTACAAACTAAATAATTTGCCGTTCTTAACCATTACTAATTGGAGGAATATGATTAATAGCGGCCGGCGCAGTGGTATTCTGTTGTTGATATCCTTGCTGCACCTCTTGCGGCTTATGCTCCTGATTGCAATTCGCAATGGTTTGATTCAGCTTTCCCACAAGTTCGGCCAGCGCTTCGGGCGGTAATTCCGCGTCTGAAACTCGAAATTTGAAAAATCCGAGACAGCCGTATTGATTTCCAACCTGAGTCAGAATCTGTATCAGTGCTGTAGTGATTTGACTGACGAGAATGGGCGTTCGAGTAGTTCAAATTTGTCGAAGCCGCCAGGGATGTTTCTCGTGAACGCTCGTAGTACTGCATTTGAGAACTATTGGTGCTTTGTACTTGTGGCTGCTTGAAGACAAAACTGTCTGATGTCTGGATTGAGCATTCTTTTGTAGGTTGCTTTGAAGGTGCAGGGTCTGTTTGAGAAGAGGTTTCTTGAGATGAAGATACTTCCGTGTTTGAAGATTTTTCTGCAGTTGAAGTTGTTAAAACTGTTTTTTGTTCTGATTCTGTTTTATATTTCTCGATTTCATCCTTGAGCTGTTGAATGATTTGCGCTTGCTGGGCAAGTTGACGAGTTTGCTTTTCGTTAGCTTTTTTATGTTTGTGAATTTCGAGCTCCTGGCTACGGATAGTCTCGATGAGTTCCATTGTTCCGTTTGTCTGTGGGGAAGGAGAGGTCGGAGAAGGCGACTTTGGAACCGGAAAATAGTTGTCTTGGAATGAATTGTCTATTCATCAGGTGAATATTAAAAAGATCAAGTTTTTCAAATTCGAATCAGTTTCAATATATAGGATTCATTTATTTCTTTCACCTCTCCTAAGCGTTGGCAATTTGAGTTATTAGAGTTCTTAAGAATCGGCGTCAAAACTTCACTTTTCTCAAATGAAACTCGAAGCGGCTGTTTCAAATTAGCACTGGAGGCATTCTGAGTTGAGCTCAATCTGGCAACAGGAGTTGTCTCAACGGAATGGTCGACTGGCGGAGCGTGGAATGTACGCAAGTTTTCTGCACTGAACTCGGCTATCAGACTCGGCTCGGGTACTTTGCAACTGGTTTTGAAGAACTGCAAGTTTTTAAACTAACTACCACAGACTACCACTCTTCAACTTCAAAACTCTGCCTGTCAGTTCTAATCTACTCATCCCAGATCTCTGCGTTGGCTGCGGTGATTTCACCGGCACAATTCCGTTCATTCTGACAAAAGAAAACACGATCAAGACTTTGTTTATCAAGTAACAATATATTTTCAATGTTTTGTAGTAATGTGACAGGCATGTGAAAGACTCGAGGTATTCATATTGAAGTCAGTGAAATTGGAAAAAAAATAATAAAAAAATCAGAACTTACGGAACTAATCTACTCGCTGACATGTAGTGAGTGAAAAAAATATTAATAATAAACGCTATAAACGAATAGTCCCATTGGTACTCTGGTTTGTATAAGAAAAAAAAATAAACTGTTTTATATCATAGAGTAAATCATTAATATTAACCTAAGATAAAGGCGGTCGGTTACGAGTGAAAGATACATAGTCTAGTTGGGACAGGTGTTTATCCGTCGAGCTCACCGGCAGCCAGAGCATCGGAGTAGCTCTTCTGCTTGCCTTCGGTGGGATGCAGGTTGATGGAGTCGTCGATTCGAAGAATGGTAGTGGCCGCTTCAGTGGCGAGTTTGAGCGATTTTGTCTTGATCTTAGTTGGCTCAAAGACACCTAGACAATTTTAGAATAGTTCCAAGTTGCTTGATCTCACCAGCTTCTTTCTGGTTTCGGATACAGCCCTTTTCCAAGTCAAAACCGCAATATTTAAAGTGTGCCCGCTTTTCGTTGATCTGGGACTCATTGTGGAAGGCTCGCAGCTTGAAAATATCGTTTATTTACGAACACTTGGACAGTATTTTTTTTTACCTTGGAGACAAGATCGGCGGCATCGAGAGCAGCGTTGATTGCCAAAGTCTTTGGAATGACCTGAAGACACTGGGCGAACTTGGCAACGGCGACCTGTTCTCGTGAGCTCATGCTAAAGAGATACGAATAAAGTTAATGGGAAAACGAGGAGGACAAACCTGTCAGCGTAGTTCTCAAGGAAGATGGACAGGGCAGCCTCGACGGCACCACCACCGCAGAGAAGAGATTTAGACTCGAAGACACGCTTGACCACGCAGAGAGCATCGTGCACAGATCGTTCGATCTCGTCACACATAAAGTAGTTGGCGCCTCGAACGATGATAGAGCAACAAGTTTGTTTCTGAAACGAGTTCTATGAAAGACAACTTATTAATAACTTACCTTAGTTCCTCGGATCATGATAAGCTCGTCGTCAGAAATTCGCTCCTGCTCAACAGACTCAGCGTGTCCTAGAGATGAGGCTTCGAAGACTTCGTCTCCCTCCATGTTGGACAAGGATGAGACGATGGTGGCTGAAAATAGAAGTAGGATGAGTATGAATAGGTTCCATGACGTGCTTTTTATAAGGTGGTCCAATTTATTTCTCCCATTTTTTCCTTTTTGACACAGAACACCATACAGATTTGGAATCAGTGGAGAAAATCTAGAAACTTGACCGTTTTAGTTTTTCGGAATTCACTTCCGGTTACGATTCTAGAGCCGGAAGAAGGCAAAATTTTGGAGTAAGGGTAAAGTGTGACCTATCATATTGCTGCGCAGAAGATTCTCAGTCATCTCATCATCAATCAAAACTGACCGGTAAAACTATGAAAAAAGCATGCTTTAATAAGAAAATTTTCAATTTTTACCGGTCGTTTACCGGCGGTTTTTGACCGGAGTTGGATTCGGTTCCGATAATTAATGACTGGATTTGTTGTAAGCTTCAATTTGATAGTTCATAAGCATGCTTTTCTTGTAAATTTCGTGAATTTCCGGCTCTAGAATAGTAACCGGAAGTGAATTTCAAAAAACTAAAACGGTCAAGTTTCTAGATTTTCTCCACTGATTCCAAATCTGTATGGTGTTCTGGGTCAAAAAAGGAAAAATGGGAGAAATAAATTGGACCACCTTAAAAAAAGCACGTCCATCTGGGAGTTAGGTACGGATAGTGTGCTCATGATGTGTTATGCTATCATCACAGTGGTCAGCCCCGAAAGATGATAAAGAAAAGGTGTAATCATAGCACTAACCAACCGTTTAAAAAAATAATTATAGATCGGGTTATATAATTGATTATGGTGGTTTCTTGACTATTTACCTCCAGTAGCCTTCGCAATTCGTTTCATGTCTTTTTTGAGGACTCGTCGGACACCCATGCAACCAGCATCGACCAAATACTTCGTGTTCAAATCATCAATACCGCCGGTGGTAAGGATAACATTAGCTCCTGACGCCAGGATCTTGTTGACACGTTCTTTCGTGATGTCAGCCTCTCGCTGTCGAATAGCTACAAAATTAGTCAATTTCATAAGATTTGGTAAAATCAACCTTGGAGTTTCTCTGGGTCATCAACAATGACGTGGACTCCCATCTTCATTTTCGTTTTTTGAAGGGAGAAATCGATGCAGGCAATCTTAGCCTTGGTGATTTTCTTTTTCATCTGGTGATCTGCCAGCATGCAGTTGAGAGCGTATCCTCTGACCAACTGAGTTTCTTTAGCTGATTTGCCATTTGCTTTCAAAATGTTGATGGATTTGATAGGATATCGGTCAATTCCCTAAATTAAAATAAGAATATGTTTAATACTGCCATAGAGATTACCTTGGGATCGGTGAACTTGACAAGGGAGGCAGCATCAACAACCATTTCGGCGAAGAATTCAGAGTGCATGTTGATGATCTTCGAGCTCATTGAGGTCTAAAATTGAAGATTAATATCGGTGAGAAAAATAAGTAGAAAACCTTGGCCGCGGCGATGATGGAGTCACGGTTAATCTCGCCCATCGGAATGGTGAGAGCACTTCGAATGTACTTGATCGCTTCTTTGCAGGCGAGAGTGTAACCTGCGATGATAGAGTTGGGGTGAATCTTTTGTCGGACGAGCTCTTCGGCTCCTTTCAAAAGCTCAGCGGCGAAAATGACGACGGAAGTAGTTCCATCTCCGACCTAATGATCATCCATCAGATCCATTTTGATCTTGTTTCTTACCTCGTAATCTTGCTGATCGGCAATCTGTGCCAGAAGCTTAGCAGCAGGGTGCTGGATGTCGAGAAGCTTGAGGATGGTAGCTCCGTCGTTGGTGATGGTCGTTTCGCCAGTCTCGTCGACAAGCATCTTATCGAGTCCGACCGGTCCAAGAGAAGACTTGACAATATTGGCGATTGCGGCAACGGCGGTAACATTTTCAGATCGCACGCTCTGGCCAGTTTTTCTGTCTCCAGCAAGTACTAATCTCTCGGCCGTATTCATCTCTAAAATAAAATAATTTTAAACAAGGTTCCCATCATTTTTAATTTAGCACAGAAATAAGTCACGTGTCGAAGAGTCAATAAATTAGAAAAATTAGCCTAAAACACCTCGGACACGGAGGAGAAATCCGCCTAAATATCGGTTGCCAGTTGACGCTCTCTAGTTATTAGTTTTGATTCTACTTCTTCTTCGGGGCGTTGGGAGTATTGAATTTAAAGAAGATGATGTCACCGTTCTTGACAATGTAGGTCTTGCCCTGCTGTCGATATCTTCCGATAGCCTTGACCTTAGCTTCGGATCTCTCTTGCTCCCAAGCTTCCCAGTCCATCACTTCAGCCATAATAAAACCTTTCTCGAAGTCAGTGTGAATGCGTCCAGCCGCCTGGGGCGCCTTTGTGTTCTTCTTAATAATCCATGCCTAAAATCATCAACCGTTACGACTGGCGATACGAATGAATACTTACTCTGACTTCGTCTTCTCCGGCAGTGAAGAAATACTCGAGTCCGAGGCCCTTGAAACCGTTGGTAATGATTTTCTCGAGTTGAGAGGGAGCTTCCTTAGCCATAGTCTCCTGGGTGGCCGCGTCGGCATCCATAAATTCCAATTCATATTGAGCAGAGTACAAAATGCAGGTTGCTCCGGGATCGACAGCGTCGATCTTTGAAAGGTTTTTTATCAAAAATAAAACCAGGCTAAGTTACCTTTTGCTTGAGAGGCATCAAGAACTTGCTCTTTCTCTTGAGGTACTCTTTTTTGCTCATGTTCATCAAATAGATCATTGGCTTCGCAGTGAGGAAAAGGTACTTGTTGAGAATGACGATTTCTCTCTCGTTCCATTCCAGAAATCGAACGTGCTTGCCCTCCTCCAGCGCTTCTTTTACCTTTTTCAGGACCTCGTATTCTTCCTTGAGTTTTTTTGTCGTTTCCGCGGACGTAAACTAAAACACCGCTTCTAGAGAATTTTTATTTTTGTATCATTCTTACGCTTTTCGATGTCGTGGAGAGGTTTTTCAATGAGCGCGATATCCTTCAGTCTCAACTCGTCGTTGATGATCTGGATATCCCTGACGGGGTCGACCTCGCCCTCGACGTGGGTGATGTCTTCGTCCTTGAAAAGACGAAGCATGTGGAAGATAGCATCGCAGCCGGAGATGTGCGAGAGGAAAGCGTTTCCGAGACCTTGACCTTCGTTAGCGCCCTTTACGAGTCCGGCAATATCAACGACGTTCAAATAAGCAGGAATTTGAGACTTTGGCGTGTGATCTTGGCACAACATATCGAATCTAGAGATTTTCATCGCCACGTGAAAACGCATGAAATTCTTACCTGTAATCTGGAACAGTGACTCTTGCCTCGTTGGGATCGATGGTACAGAAGGGGAAGTTCTCGGCTGGGATGGAGGATTTTGTCAAAACATTGAAGAAGGTTGACTTTCCGACGTTTGGAAGTCCGACAATACCTTCAATTATAAATGAAGATGAGTCTAATGACAATTTACTGACCAATTCGAAGGTTAGTTCCCATTCGGCCCAAGACCTTTGGGGGCTCCTCTTCGACAACCTTCTTCTTTGGTGGCATTCTGAAAGGATTCGTTTTAGAAAGATTCTAAATGATTTTGCTAGAAGTAAGCGCATTGAAGTCAAATTTACGAATTGGATCGGATTTAAGGATACTTGGTAAATGAAGATTCTTTTGTTTCTGATAATTGGAAAATGAGGATAGCATATGCTATAGCAGATGAATTGCACGGAATAAATTTCTACTGGGCGATCTAGGGAATGCTGTCAAGCTCGTGCTTGATGTAGAGAAGATCGGTGCGAGAGAAGATCTCCTCGAGAATTCCCTCTACTTCTTTTAGCGTTTTTTCAACTCTTCGCCGTTCAGCTCTGGCGCGATTTTTTGACAAAAGGTTTTGCTGTCTGGAAGAGTGTACACGGCCACCCCGATTGATTTGCGAACAACCTAAATAAACTCTTTTAGGATAGTTTTATTGCAGCTTTATCTACCCAGGGATGATGAGCAGGCATCGGACTAGAATGATAAGACTCGTACGCGATCGTGCTCATCTTCCCGTCATGTTCATTTCTTGAGATCTTTCCCAACAATGTGGAAATCATTTTGAACGCACGATGGAGCCGCAGGAGCGTTCTACTTGCAGATGGGTTCTTTTCGTCTAGTTTCTCGTAGTTGATGCTCCCCGCTGCTTTTTCCTCCTTCATCATTTTTTCGATTGTGATGAAGTTTTGGACCTTTTCGATTCTTTGTAAGATTTTGACTGAAGAACAATTGTGAATTTATTTTGAAAAAGCTTGGTTACTTTTGTCATCGACGTCAGAAGAGACAAATTTGAAGACTGAACCCATCGCATCCAGCACTAAATAAAGTTTTTAACAAAAAGTTTAAAAGATCATCAAAACCTTTTTTCAAGTGAATCCATATCAAAATATAAGTCGGCAAGTGCACATCATTCTCTCTGGACTCATCGAGGCACAATTTTAGATCGTACAAAAGGTCACTTGCGATGGACGATTCGGTAGCCATTCTAGAACATTCGAGCATGTTCGAGGAGGTTCTAGTAATAATGAGAAAAGTGGCAGTTGAATTTATTCTATTTTTTTCGATTGCGGCAGTAGAGTTAGTTCACTACGCTTGCGTTTAAAATTGTCATATCATCCCAAGGCTTGTCCGTTTTGTTATTTACCGGCGCCTGGGAAATTTTGAGCACATTTTCCATGCCTTGATAAACTTCTCCAAATATCGTATGCTACAAGAGTTTTTAACGAATTAGAATAAATAGAGTGGTTTTTCACCTTGTTATCCAGCCATGGACAGGGACAAACAGTGATGAAAAACTGTGACCCATTCGAGTTTGGCCCTGCATTTGCCATCGACACCATGAAAGGCTTTTTATGCTAAGAAGAGATTAGAACTTGCGGATGAAGCGAAATGAACAAACCTTCAGTTCTGGTAAAATTTCATCTTCGAATTCTCCGCCCCAAATCGACTCGCCTCCCGTTCCAGTTCCGAGAGGACAGCCCGTTTGGATCATGAATCCTTTTATAACTCGGTGGAATATGTGGTTGTTATAGTAACCGTTGCGCACATGGACGACGAAGTTTTCGACAGTTTTAGGGACTACAAAAAACGATCTCAGTCAAAAAAACCTAGACAAAAAATTACCTTTGTCTTTGAAAAGTTTAATGTAAATATCTCCCATGGAAGTTCGGAGACAGACCTTTGTCGCAAGCCTTCTTGCCTGTGCGGTCTTGGAAAACGATCAGGAAATGTATAAAAATCTTACTATACCTGTGCAGCAGCCATAGTTTCCTCTTTAGTCGGCTTTTCGTTGAAAATGTCCCTCTCATACGCTTCTCCGTCGAGTTCTCGCTGGGTGAAAAGGTAAAATCGTTTGCTTTTGTGAGCAGTAACAAAAAGCGTCGGATCTGAAAATATTTGTTTTCGAAAAATACGGGCCAAAAACTAACCTTTCACATTTTCTGCCAGAGTTGGGTTCGCCGCTGCTTTCATGTCAAGCGTAAGCGCCGCCGTCCGCTTGTCCTCCGTCAATGAGCCCTGACACAATGCCAGACTAAGTGGTCGAAAGGTCTCTTATTTCAGCTTCAAAAATTTTTATCCTCATGAAATGAGAAAGGTTCGGTTTTTGAAACAGTGCCTGTTAGTCCAATAATTTTGATACAAGCGCCGGTCCTCAATGAAATCACCCGAACTCCCCAGAGTGTTGAGTAAAGAAAAAACTTGCCAGACTGGTCAAAAATCGCTTCCGATAGCCGCAACTTATCGTGTTTTGGTAACTCTTTTTCATTCGCCATTTTCCGCCCAAAGTCCATCTCGTTAATCAGTTCTTCTTTCTTCTGCTGCTCGGAAATTGATTTCAGAGTTTCGTCAAATTGTCGCCAGATTTTTCCTTTTCTCAACTTGAAAACGCGGATGATTCTGTCAGATCCATACGCGGAGAACTTCTCGCAATCTGGAGATACTGATAGATGCATAACAAAAGCCTTGTTCTTTGCCAAGTCGTATAAATCCGTTTGCATTTTGTACTTGAACTCAAAAAGATCTTCGTTGATCTCGTAGGGCGCCTCCGAGTTCCAAAACTCGATCATTCCTTGCGAATCCGCCGTGATGACGATTTTGTGAAGTGGGCAAAATCGCATCGCAGTGATTGTCGATCCCTTGAAATGAACCTTGTCCAGGAGCGCATTTTCGGAGGCACTGGAAGATGTCGAATCGTACACTCGGATGATGTGAGACTCCTTCTCCACGACTGAGATTCCGTGGATTGTCGAGCCGGAGGTATAAATCCACTCGATCAAAGAAGCTTCAAAGTCGAGCGAGATCATATTGATCATATCGAAATTGACGACGTCGAATATCTTGACCTTCTTGTCCGTCGCCGTTGTTGCGTAGCGACTACCATCGGTCGAGACCGCCGTGTGGATGAGGCCGCCAATGTGCGCTCTGAAGTGCTTGACGAATTCAATGTAGACCTCCCGCTTTTTCCAAAATTTCACGTGACCATCCACCGAGGCCGTCACGATGAACATTGTTGGAGTAGAATGGACGGAAAACAAGACATCTCTATGCATGTAACTCCTCTCGTATCTCTCGGCCGCTGGGAGGTCCTCGAGCAATCTCAATTCCTGGACGTTCACGGCCTTTCGTTTCTTAGCAGCTGGCTCGTCCATCTCTTGATCCGCATTTTCACGATTACAAACTGGAACTGCTTCTGCCACTGCTGCCTCTGCAACAGCCGACCCCGATTCCCCGTCAACCGTCATTAAAAGAGAGAGAGAAAAGTGTTTTTCTGAAGAGTTTATTTACAAAATAGAACGAGCTTTTTTCGAGTAACATCTGTTTGGGCAGTAATTTGTTTTGGAACAATTTTTGCCGACTGGGCCGCTGCTTTTCAAAATTTTTTTTCGGTGCTTTTTTCGAAAACACGAAAGAAAGCGGAGAATTAAGCAAAAAGGAAAGTGTAAGCGAAAGATGAGCTCAGTCGTCATCACGGGAAAATCGACAGATGCAGAGGAGGGAGAGACAAAATACTAAGAAAGATGATCATGAAGGGAACGTTTTCTTCAGTCGGTCTTGAACACTAATTGATGGCCATCTGCTGTTTGAATCATCTGCCCGTTTTCTTGAATTATGACGTGTTGAGTTACACCCGACTCTCCGGCAATCTAGGATTGATAAAGCTCTGAATTTCGCCGAGTTCTACTACCTGGACGATTTGCGGAGTGTTTATCGAGATTTCTTCCTGTGCATCTTCCATTTTATCGCCCTTTATCGAGTCCCTGTACTTGCCCAGGTAAATCTTCAGCGGCTCTACGTAAGGTTCGAAACCGAGGGTTGTCAGAGCGAAGAGAATGTCTGAAAAGTTCTAGTGAATGATTTAAAATTCTGGCATTGGCTCACCTTCTCCGTTTATTGTCTTTCTTTTCTCCTGCTGGCATCTTTCGGCAGCTTCGGAAGTAATGAAAGAGATGAACTCAGAGACGCACTCTTGTACGCACTCCTATAAATTACTGATAAAAGATAAGGTTCATTGAAAGACAAGAGTTACCTTCGCTTCTTTGGCGATTTTGCCATTGGCGGGAATGGCGTTTTTCATGATCCGGGCTACGTTCGCAATCGGAAGGAAAATGTCTTGTTCACGGAAGGGTTTCTGACCGGTGAAGATCGACTCATTCGTGTGGATGATCTGAGCGGGTTCTGTTTGATGGACCACTTGCTCGTGAACGACCTGTTGCTCTTCCAGATTTAGCTCTGAAATTTCTGGCGTTTGTTAGATTTCGTTCACGATTGAACTAAGTGATTATAAATTCAACCCTTCTGTCAAACTGCCACCGACTGTATAATGATACTGCATCTGACAGTAATGATAAGAAACTCACCAATCGCCTGTGGCTGTGATTCGGAGATGATTTGCTCTTCGTGGACATCCTCTTCCGAAGCGGCAGGGTCCTCATACTCTTCACCCTCAACGGTTTGCTTCACGGTCTCCAATCGTTGGACGTTTTCCTCTTCCATTCTTTTTTGAGTTTTTGAGATTTGCCGAGATCGATTGGCCAGACGAGTCAAAGAGCATTGCGCGCCAAATTCAAATCACTCCGGCGCCTACGCAACAGTGCTGCGAGGCGCTCCTCCGACTCGTGAGAACCTTGCTCTCGGAGCTCCTCCGCTGCTGGAAGACATTTGCTGGAAGCAGAAGCTTAGGAAGATTCCTGAAAAGATATTTGAGCGTCTGCCTGATGAAAGTACAATATAAAAGTCTGATTTTAACATTGAAATAAAAATTTTAAAGGTTTTTGTTGAGTTTGAAACAACAGTAACTATTTCTGACAGTCTGTATCACAAACCGTATTCGATAATATGGTAACGATATTGTGGTATTGAAGTGTTTCGAATTTCATGCTCGCAAGTGCGTTTTCAATATACGGAGTTTCACGCTTTTTTCGCGAAACCGAAATTGAGGGATTGACTTAATTTATCGCTGAAAGTGACTGAGTCAGTCCCGTCCTCAACACCACTCAGGTGCATTTATCGCGCTGCATTTATCGCACTTTCGTCGGTTAGAAGCAGCGTGAGCACGTACTTTTAGATTGTGGATTGGGTAGACCACACTTACAGTCGCTTCCTTCGCTAATTTCTCTAAAACGTCTGTCTCTTATCAATTAATCATTCGCAAGTACTGGAAAGAAGACATAGAGGAGTAGCTCTTTGAGTCCGACAGGATTTTTACACGAAATATATTTAAGAATCAAAAACTCTCGAGAGGGTACTATCTGTCCAGGTATCATAACGGGTGGGTCTTTGACTGCAGCCATACGACCTCTTTAATCTGAGAGTACGGTTGGACAGGGATCGAGAGAAACCTCAGGGCTCGTGCTGCCTTTCGTCAGTTTACGGTTTTTGATCTCGTGCGACAATAGCGATGCTAGGTTGATAACAGTCTTACTGACCCAATCTAACAGGCGATGAGGACGAGAACCTTTTTGAGAGGAGAAAGAACCCAATCGTAGCAGGATTCGAACTCACAACTCTCCCTCCGAGTAATTCGGCACGACTAACTGCGCTACTCGTCCCCGCCGTTTTCCCTTTTTACCTTTTCTTTATTCTTATTTTCGGCTCTTACGAACGACGCATTCGAGATCAGGAACAATACTGAATAAGCCTAATTTTCTATTTTAGCCTAGTGAGACGTGGTTAATAAACAAGATGCTAAATGATTGTCCAGAAACAACAAATTAGCCGCAAGAAAAATAACAAAGTTCGTTGAATGAGACCGGGGAGGCAGAATCTATAATTTTCCCCGCCGCGTCCTTCTTCTTCAATGCTTTTCTATATAAAAGTATGAATGAAATTTGGTTACTTCTAGCCACGGTTATTCCGTTAAAAGTGCATCGTTGGTCGCCACGAAGGTCGAATGTCTTGCTGGGAAGCAAACTCACAAAAACAGCATAATCTGATCTTTACATGAGCTGCATTGGCTTCTTTGCTACTAATCCTAGCTTTTGTGAGCCGTGCCTAAAGTAAACAAACGTTCGCCACGTGAACCGTTCATTTTCGTCACAACCGGGCGTCTCTTCCTCCCACCGCTCAACAATGCGACAATTGGGGCGAAGTTCAGTGCTGCGCGTTTCCGCTCCCTCGGTTTCCTGTTGTGCATTTGGCCGAGCGCCTCAGACTCGAAATCCGACCACGAAGTCATTTTCAAAGTGCTTACACCAGATCGCTTTCAATACTTATGGTTTTGTAGGTTCCTTCTCTCCAGATTAAAGACGCAGCCAGCCATTTTGAACCAGTTTTTGTTTTCGATGCCTTTAGAAATAAAAAAGACTTGTCAGACAAAAAGTCGTTGGACAGGAGAAAACGTCGAGAAAGAGTACTTGAAAGTCAAGATATTCCAAATTATTATATTCGGAGAGTTCATTTCTGGGGCATCTAATCTGATTTGCTAAAAATAGCTGAAAGGATTCCAGAGAACAGATAGAATCGTTTAACTTTGACTAAAGAATTTGCTCCCATTGATAATTTAGCAGTTTTACCTGAAAAAGAATGGACTGAATTCTGTGGTTTGGAGAATATCTAGTTAGAATTTGATTGAAAAAGAAAATTAATAATTTTTGATATTATCCTGATGGATGTATAAAACGTTGAGTATTCGCCAGTTTGTCCAGTTTTTTCCATTAAATAACTGAAAGTAGTTCTTGCTGTATGTTGCTGTATTAAAAAAGGAAAGAAACATTTATGAAATAGTTTTTTATCGATCGAGTTTAGTCGGGTCGACGAAAATGAGCTGGTTAAGCTGCACTGGATTTCCGCAGCTCTTTTTCTGCCAACGGATATGATTGTTGGTGGCGATTTTGAGGGACCACGTGACTAGCGGTCGCAAATACTTTAAGACTTTAGTCAAGGAACTTCGACGTGCACCCTAATGCTCTATAAATCGCCCGAGATTTTCGTTTAATTTTTCAATTTACGACTGGCTGTAAAAATTCTCTGCTTGTTGAGTACTTTCGGGAGCTTCCGGACAAATATTTTTATATAAAAGCAAAGTACTGTTTTGTCCAGTTTTTTCGATTAGAAAGTATTTGCAAGATGATGTGGACGGAAATGTGGAGCATGTGTGAGCAACAAACACGGGAAAGTTAGCGCGTGTGTTTTCTGAAAACTCTAGTACCGCGCTTTCTAATGTTGAGGGACCCCAAGGGGGCATATATTTGCATACAAAGTCCAAGCCTTAATATTCCACTCGAGCAGGAGGAAACTGCAAGGTATTAGAATGACACCTAATTTGTTTAATTTACACAAGGGTTAACAATTGAGTTTATTACTCAAAATCTGCATTGCTTGGCATTTTTTCGCAAGAAAATGAAACATGGAAATCAGAATTCTTACTTACTATTCCAGAACAAGAAAATATAAAATTGTAGCTGAGGGTGCAAGAAGCAAATATTTAATATCTCCGAGGTGCAATATCTCGGCCGGTCGGGCAGAGCAGGCATTTGGCTGCTCGAAATGAAGGTCGAATTCTCGACCCTTTTTGCTCTTTTTTCGATTGCTGCTGATGCACAGAAGCCTCTGGCACGGTTTTAATACTCCCCGAGACTTATGATGTAAAAAGAGAGAGAGAGTTTACTGTATGAGAAAAAATTCGCGCGAATGAAAACGAAATGGATCGGAGGTGTTTGATAATTGACAAAATTCCCGCGAAAAAATCAGAATCGAAGATAAAGAGTAGCCGCAAAATTTGCAAAATTAACGGCCAACTTCTGTAAATACAGGGGCCGGGATAGGATCCCTTTTTTTCCCGGCTGGCTAATACGTTTTGTGAATAAAGCCCGCTTTTTGCATCACTTTGGGACTGGTTTATCATTTTCGGACACGTTTGAGGCTTTTGCAAATATGCCCAAGCGCGAATGGTTGAACCTCAGTCCTATTTATTATACGCCAGCGTACGAATTTTTTGATAACACAATATTCACGCCTAGAATCTCGAAAAAGGCGTCGGCAGGGCGCAGAGTATTTAAAAAGCAGTGCGGACACTCTTATCAATCGCGTGCATTTCGACTCGCAAGAGCCGTGACACATGTTCAAACCGTTCGAAAGATTCCCATTTCGGATGACTTTATCATATACACTGAAATCAGCAGCGAGTTCAGGAGATGGCACTTCGACGTTCTTAGGAAACATTTTTGTTGTACTGGTGACGTTTGCGAGTTTGGGTAGACATCACAGATGTCACATCCGTAATCCCTTTTTTCATGCGCCAAAGTTATTATAATGACACCCCTGTGTTGTCTAATTATAAGATAACCCTTAATTAACCTCTTATCAGGGTCTTCTAAAAGCCCAAAATCCAAATTTCTAATATATGAATATAGAGTAATATAATATTACTAATATTGAAAAAATATACATTTTGAGATCTTTTATTTTGGAGATAATGGTCTAATACAACTTTTTATCAGCAAAATTAAAGGATTAGTATTTTAACAGGGGTAGAAACATGTGCATGAAAATCGGTGTTACTGTTGGGAGGCTCCTTAGGATTTTTTCTTTTGATTATGAAGAGGGGAGTTAAACTGCCGATCTTTTACTTAAAAGTCGCTTGTACCAAAATAGATGGCTTATTTAGGTAGCAATTTTATCTTCTAATTTCCTCTTAGAGCCAGAAAAAGGTCGCGCGGCCTCTTTGGCGAGTATTTCAGTCTAGGAAGGGATCAAGCGATAATATTGTATATCAAGATGCACAAGCCGGAAATCATTTGTTCAAGATAACCGGGTCGTGGCATCTTATCCACTCTCGCTCAACCTCGTTAGAACTTGAAGAAACTGGGGAAGGCTTTATATCTGAGGAGATAGATAGCGCCGCCAAAGGTAAGGAATTAACCTCCTCGATTGGAGGAAAACCCAGCGTTCGTAAGGTTTGAATTACCATAAAAGCATAAAATCCAATTAGATTTGCTTATTAATATCAAGGGAGGGGGTCCAGAAATTTTAACGCTTACATGATATTTTGAGACATGATGACATTGTGGATGACCGGTTTTTAGGACACACGAAAAAGGAGCGCTAAAAGTCGCGTTGATTAAATGCCGAACTGATAGCTCGTTGAAAATCTGATCGGAGCGTCCCTTGTTTTTTAGACCACGGCAATTACTTAGACACTTTTCAGGCGAATTCGGAGATGATACGAATACAACCACTCCTCAAGCAACAACGACAACAGCTTCCACAACGACGAGCACAGCATCGACAACGACTACTCCCGCTCCAGTGTATACCTGGTACTTGACATTTACAATGTCTGGTAAGCAGTACTACTCAGCTCGACAAGCGCTATCAAAATATTTCTTAAATAAAAATTCTCGTCGAGGAGAATACTCGTGAAAGTGCGCATGGCGGTCTTTTACTCAAAACAAACTCACGTTTGTTTGGTGAAATGAGATGAATTTAGTGCACCGCAGAAGTTGTTTCTTGAGTTGGAAAACTCAAGTTTAATAAGAGAATAAACTGCTCTTTAGTCAAGTCAGCGGAGGGGAATTTTTCTCCAGAATCTGCTCGAGTATAAAACCGATCTTTTCAATAACAGTTTTTCGAATTAATTATTGAAGAACCAACACCTGTTTTCAATCAGCTTAGCATTTGCTAGCAACTTTTTTAACCCGCTCTACGATCTAAAAATTTTTCTTGTTTACAGAATCATCAGACGGGCTTAGCTCGAGAGTTTTCGTATTCGAGTTATCTGTAAGCTTTTTAAACAGCAACTAAATCCTTCATCTGTGACATCAACAACGGCATCTAGCCCGCTTATTAGTCTGAGTGTCCACTTGCGTCCGACGATAGTAGCTCCGTATTTGAGTGCGCGGAAACACTTCAGTTTTGCGTCACCTTTTTAAACTTATTTTGGGCCAAAGTACCTATTGTTCTGAAAAAGGAAAATTTCAGGAAGTGGAGCAACTGTGCAGTATATTCCAGGAATCACGAAGGATCCAGCGAAACGAGGAATATTCGGCTGGGGATATGAGACGCAGGAGATTAACCCGAAAAGGCACCACTCTCACAAAGTTCTTGGTTATTTTGGCAATGGAAGTATGGACAAGAACACGACGAATTGGTTCGTCTCGCTCTGGCGAAATCATACGTACCCTTACCATGTCGATACTTCGGATGTGACCCTGTCACCACTTTGGTCGCGAGACGGTTCCGATTTTGACGGACGCAGTCAGCAATATTGCCAGGGGATCTAAAATGATCATCAACGTGTTATTTTGTCGAAACTAGGTCGAAATTACCTTCATCCCTTTTCAAAGGCACTTCTCAGAAGACGCCAGGCTCTGGTCGAAAGCCATAAATAAGGTGAGCCCGAGGAACTTGAATCCGTGACGCCTGACCCTTGCAATGCGATGATCGCATTCCTTTACACGCGTAACGAGTTATGTTGAAATCATGAACAAGTCTCTTAATAGGTCCTCGCAGCGAGCAACTTCACAGAAGAAGCGACGGTGACTACTGTGCGAAATGTCAATGTAAGAATTTTTATCATGTTTTGAGTCACGAAAGAAAAAGTGCTTCTCAACAGTCATTCTAGGCGAAGGACAAGTACGCCCCACTACAAACGTGGAGAGTGGAGAATTTAGACCCGGACTTTGAGCCTCAATGGAAGAATTTCTCGTTTCATGATTACCAAGAAGAAATAATGCTTCGATCAGATGCCTTTGCAAAGTCTTATTCTTATCCCGTCGATCAATTTACCAATGAGTGGTTTTATACGAGTTATGACTACTGGATTCAGGTGAAACTGATTCTCTCTTATGCTTGATCTTAAGGCTAACCCTAACCCTGATTAGTCTTTGTTCGAATTCACAACGACTTCTTATGGGTATGACGTTTTGAACAACATTTGCAACACGGAACGGATCTTGCCCGATGATTGGAAATTCGGATTTGAGGGATCAGGCGTTTAAAATTATCGTAAAAACAAGATAACTGCGAATAACATTCGCTGACGGAAGTGAGCATTGCTCATGGAACACGTGTTTCAGAAACAAGGTCGCGGCGGCATTTTTCTAAGAAACTCCTCAACGAAGACCGCCACGTTCTCGTTTCCGGAATAACGCGCTGCTGAATTTTGAGTGTTTTTCCAGAGATGTGTATTTTGCTCCAATTGAAGTTAACGTATTAGAAATTAAACCTATCTGGGGCGGCGAGAATACCATCCAGCGCCTTTCAAAAGAAAACTGACGGCGGTTCAAGAAACTCAAATTATACAACTCACTCTGGCGCCGATCACTTTTTCTACGGGGAAAATTTCGAGTCCGAATTTGTTGAAGAGGTGAGTCTGATAAGAAGGCTCCTCGACCTTAGACCTTGCTATCGTGATCTTTTCAGACGACTGTTCGTGGCCTTCCCGCAGAGAAGTGGTCCTCTGCACTTGGAGATGGAACGCAAATCAATCAGTACTTCATGAACGGATAATTATTCATCTTTTTATGTATTTTGAAGGAAAAATTGTTTATCCGCTTCGAAAGCCATCCGAATTTCACCACGTTCTCGAACAGATCTGTCCCTCTTCTAGTAGAATTCCAGCAAAATGGAACTTGGGAAGGCGATGAAATAGAGATCTCAACTCGCTGGGACATTTTCTATATGATTGGCAAGCGGGGGTCCACGTTTTACAACCGATTTTCTTGTTAAAAATCCTTATTACCCATGTTCATGAAAATCACACGCTTGGACCCATCAAAGATAAATTTGAGCGACACCAGATGGACTCGATTGTTGGAGAGGATCCATTTCGTTCTTCTAGGAAAGTTATTCTCCGAGCGAAGCTGCCAATTTTGAGAGCTTTGAGAACAGTGAAGTCTTGACACCTGAAACGTGGTTTCCGGGCGCAATTATAGAGCACTGTCAACGGCTGGATAAAAAGGATAAACTTGAAAAGCTTTTTCTCGCCAAAATTCGGCGACTGCGATAAAGGCGTCACTCAAATGGAAATCAACTCGACTCCCGATTCACTAGGTAAGTCCAAGTCATCCGATTCAGTAGAGATCAAAAATCTATCAAGAACTCTTTTAGAAAAAAATGCATTTATACTTTAACCCTAAGGCCCGAGTTATGCTTCCGAGAATCGTGCTGCACTCGCATGAATTGGTTGATCTTGCGTTTTGCTTCTGAATTAATTGATCGCAATTAGATAACTGTATCTTTCAGCCAACAAAAATGTCGATACGAAGCTTGAAATGGTCAATGTTCAGTCGAAAAATGTCTATGCCTCGCACTTGCGATTTGATGTAAATGAAAGGATCAAAAAATCGGAGATGTGATTTTCCGCCACATGCGATTTCTCGTAAATGAAGGAAAATCGGCTATACGGAAAATCGCAACTATGCTCTTCGCGCATTTTTGATCCTTTGTTAGAACAACCTAACTAGAATGGACTATTACGACTTTGAGGAAAAAGCAAATGTCAGAGTTGTTGAGATGAAAAGTTTAGACGCGCAATTCACCATCGACATGAGTACTGGCTCATGCAAGTAAGATCAACAAACAAGTTTCCAAATGATGATTTTAAGGGTGTCAAAGCTAATTGAGAGCTTCGACTGGATCAAGAATAAGGGGCCAGAATCACCAGCAGATATTTTTGGAGTGCCGACTGGAGCTTTCTATAATCAGGAAATGAGGACTTATCTGAAGCATATTGATTAAGACGCAGCTTTGAGCTCATTTTAAAAGCCATCCGACGTGCGACAAAATATTTTCTCCGATGCATGGCAAGACGTTTACGAAACTGAGCTCGACTTCGGTCCTGGGAAGGGGATAAACGCAACGTGCGTCGCAATTTACCATTATCCAGGTTGGATAATCGCCTAATCCATCGTGGTTTTATGTTAATTTAGGAGTCTGGCTCGAGCAACAAGACAATGCTGATATGTTTAATGCCGAGACTGGAATGCTCCTCAGGTATTTACGCTTCATTTTTAGAGTTTAAAAGGTTCCAACTTACAATTTTAATTAAAGCTATGAAAACCAGTGCTACGGGAACGGCTCGATACAGTTTCAGACGTCAGCAAATAACTTTGGTTCGCGGAATCGATATTTTGCGCCGGATGAATTCGATTTGACTCCTTGTTTCTCTTCTGGATCCGTTGGAGACTCGCCTATTTATGACATCATCTTTTCCATGACAGAAAAGGGATTGAGAACAATCTGGTTTTCGAGATTCCATGAAAGGGGCGGTCCTTGCCTTGTGATTCAAAATTTTTGAAATCGGCTGTGGAATTTTTTCCTCTAAAATTTCCAGCTGCCGACCACACGGCTCGAGACTATATCTTTGATGAGGACTTCTCTTTTGAAACTGATAAATTTGCATTGCACGAAAAAAACACTCTCGAATCTCTAGCGAAGGGCCCTTTGACGCTCTCGGAAATATGCAGCAGATTTTCGCAGATGCCGTCCTAACACAAATTCAAGGAGAGGATCGAGAATTCAGGCCTTGGCAAGTCAAGACAGCGCTTTTCTTTTGCTGATCCTCGGGAAGTCCAGACCGGTTTGGAGTTTATGTCAAGGCTGCAACACCTCGAGTGCGACTTGTTCACTGATTTCGAAATCGAGAATCCAGAAATCATCATCAAGTTCTCTTTACTGCCGCAAGTTGCGAGCTACGAGGATGGAACCTACAAGGACCTTTCGAACGATCAATTCATGGAGCGCATTTCAGAACCAATAAATGACGGATATTTCGAAGTGAGTCCGATTTTCAAAGCGAAATCTTCCAATAAAAACTTAGGTGGAGATTTTCATGAACCAAAAGGATCTGCAATTCCTCACGATCAAGGACTCGTTGGCGATTTCTCAAGACGGCGGGTTAACATACGAGCCTGTGAGTAACAAGACTCGGGTCATCACTCGTATTCATCACGAAAAAGGTTACAAACCAGGTAAGGAGATAAGACTACGTAGAATGTGTGTACCACTGGTATAAAAATTTAGTTGGAGTCGCGATGATGTGCCTCTTTGGCCTTTTAATCGTGCCCGGATTGATTTTTGGCGCCACTTGGTTTCGCTTCCGACAGAGTTCAGGCACTGGATACGAGAACATGAACCACGAATGAATAAAGGAACGAAGCTAGATTAAAAAAATAAACAAATAACAAACTGACTGTGTATGCAATCTGTATATTCTGTACGAAAGAAAAGCTCCTGTATGACAACAATGTATCTAAAATAAATAAGAAATCGCGACAAAAATCGCCACGTTTTTCTGAAAAGTAATAAAGAACTCAAACAAATGTGCGGAGAACGTGCGCAAGTACGGACTGGCCTACGTTTTTACGAAATTGAAAATATCGCTGGAATGCGGGATCACTCAGCAGACCGAAATTACCTCAGAAATTTTTCATGCTGCTTTGAACGAGCTTTTTCAGCGGCGTTTTTTATTACTGAAAAATATTTATCTTGCGTAAAAAAACTCACTGCGGAAAAATTGAAACGACAGTAGGTAACAGTAAAAGAGAACGAGTTCTGTTGTATTCGAAATATTCAAAATGTATGAACAAGCAAAGTATTTTTGGTGCAATAGACTGGGGACTCTTGTCTGTTTTCTGTTTGAATTCAGAAATAAAATATATACAGATTGGATTTGAGTGTTTTTACACCACTGCGGTTTTTTTTACTTTCGTGGAAATTTCTTTCGTATTTCTGCAAATTTAGTTTCTTGTCTGAGATGGGCATCGGGTCCTATTGCGCTTTCGTAGCTAGACAGTGATGGTGGACGAGCCACTGGTGTTGGAACTGCTGCTTGATTCTTCTGAGTCGCATGAAGTTTCAGAGGGGTTCTGAAAGACTACAGTCAGTTACAGTAATGAACGATGTTCGTACCTTTGATACAGTTCGACTTTGACTGCTAGTGGATGTGAAGTCTGACTGAGAGAAAATCGGCCTCGGCTCGATATTCCTCACGGCTTCCTTGGTGCATGTTTCTTCTCTGATCGGCTCCAGGTCTTCGTCTTTGGTTTCCCGGTCGGAAGAAGACGTGCGACTCTGGTCTTGAGCGCGCTGAAGTGTTCCCTGCAGTGGACGATTTTTCGCTCGCTCGATTGATTCGATGTCTTCAAAATAAATCAACTCAGTAGTAAATCACCAATTAGATGCATAAGATCACAACAAAGCGAAAATTAAGTTAATTTGAAATAATTTAATTTGACCCTAATTGAAATTGATAATTGAGTTTCAATCGTTCCGTTTATGCGTAACGTTTTTACACGTCGTTTTTACAAGATGTTTACTGCTCTGATGAAGAGACGTAAACACTCGCAAGCGGTTATAAAACACGACAACGAACAATAAACAATTTTTTTTTTTGAAAATTAAATTAATTTTTTTAGAAAAAGAAAGATCTAGTCTTTGGCGATTGAGTATTACTCAACTTAAAGTTATTTATTCAAAAACGTGCTTGAGGTTGAAATTTTTGAACAAGCTTCCATACACGACAACTTGCTCAAGAATCGATTCAAGTCAAGACTAGACCCTCGAGTATTTTGCTTTCAAATCTGAAAGTTATATATTTCTGTGTGTAGCAATTTTAGAAGGCAAGACAGGGGCATGTTTACACGCACGGCTGGACTGCCGCTTAACCAAAATGGCTCATAAATTGAGCCCTTGCGCAACTTCCAGGTAAGCGCAGATTAAATTATATGATATAATTTATATCCCTTTTCTAATACTGTGTTCAATTTGAGCAAAACCACTTTTTCTAATAAATTTCGAGAAAAAGGGAAATTCTATGTTCGATCTGGCCACTCAAATTTTTAGCATCCACGATCCGCGCTTATGAATAATTCATCAATATTCATTATGGCGGTCTTCAAGATGATAATTTCTTGGTTAAAAAATGCGGAAGACTAGATCTTTTACGTTCTATAATCGATAATCGGGAAAATGTCGCCTTGCAGTTTTCTTTTCTTTTTTTAGAATCAATTGTTTTACCAGCATCGTATTGTCCAATGGAAGATCCGACGGCCGAGTCTTGTCCCTTGTTTCGCACGACTGATGCAAGGCGTTTGAACATCGGCTTTGAGAGGATAGAATTTCACCTTCAAAATTCGCTCATTCGATTCAAGCCTAAGACTACTTTGAGACTGAACTTAGGCTTTTAAAATCTGCCTCTTTTCAGCCTCTTTTCATTTCGAAAGATTAATTATTTTCGCAAGATTCAATATTATTTAATATTTTTTTATCTTATGTTACATAAGTTATGTATCAATGTTGGAAGAAACTATTTTCGTGTTCATTTTAATCTTCTGATTTAATGCCGCGTAGACATTATTTTTTTATCTAATTCTGGAGCTCCATCAAATGATGACCAGCTTCAGCGCTTCAATCAATCATTTCAATCAATCAAACAAAAAAAAAACATATTCATCCGTTTTCTTTCGACGGGAGTTCTGCGTGGACGCTGAAGAGCCAGATTCCGTCCTCTTTGGTTTTTCGCGAACTGGCGGTTTGGAGATAGGCTTGTTGCTTGTTTCCGCCCCTTTTTGGTGGTTGGACGGTGACGGGAAATTCACTTCAGTTCCGATGCCAGAGGTTTCTTTCTCCGACTCTGGGATCTGAAAAATGAGAAATGCAAAAGAGAAATTCTCCGTTCAACGAAAAAATAGTTTCGTGGGAACGTTTTAGATGATTGTGACGACAAGTTTTTTTTCACGTAATGCGAAGCATAACGATGCTGGTAATGAGCCCAACGGCGATAATTTTCGTTTTCTCGCGAAAATGACGCGTACGGCAGAACTCGAAATTGTAAAAAGTCGCTTTCTTACCTTTTCTTGCTTTTCGAGTTTTCGATCTTTTGATGACTTCTTCAGGCGTTTGATAGCTTCACGTTGTTGTCGCTGATAAAGGGTTTTCTATCTTTTCAATAACCACGCTTATCTCATTAGCGTGTCTCCGTTCTAGACGCTCTATGCATTCTAGTATCAAGTGAGCCAACAGTCACGCCTCTTTGTACGCACCCTGGGCTCGTGGCTCTCCCTTGATAAGATAAGAAACCCTCCTTGGTTGCTCTTGTGTCGACGGCGATTTGACCGTTGAAAACAAGCTGGAACATTGCCTCTTGCCTGTGGAAGTGCTCGAATCTGTCCAAGTGGCCAACATTCTTTTGCATGTTGATCTTGCCGTCTTCGACTCGGTACTTTGGCGCGACGAGCTTTGAGATTAAGTACGCCTTCATCACTTGACGATTCTCGGCGATTTGGCTTCGCTCCGACGATGTCAAGCTGCTTAGATTTCCCTCGGCTACAGAAAAAAAACATTTTTATACGAGGAAAATTGGTTAGAAAAGAGAAAAAAGCGCATGTTAAACAGCGGCGCGGTCATGTTCCCCGCGATGGCTAATCGAAAAAAACCCTCCGCAAGGACAAAACTCATTTCAAGTAGAACTCATTTGATCAGAAAACCGAGTTTACTTTTTCGTTCAAAAGTCAAATAAATAGTAACGTGTTGAGCATGGAAAATCATTAAAATAAGTGTAAAACATGATTTTCTCTTTATTTTTGTCTCGTGTACTGCTGATTTCGTCGACTAAGACGCTATTTTTTTGCGCTAGAACTGCAAAAAATATCCTAATTAGACCGTGTTCCCGCAAATCTTATTGCTCAGTTGAAAGTCGAATCTTGTCCTACATATTTTTAGTAAAGAAAAGCTCTTTTTTTACGAAAATCTATTGCTTATCCAAAGAAAAATGTGCCCTCTTTTTTGATAATAAATTTCGTTATCTGAAAAGCCGCGAAATTTTGGGCTTCGACTGTAATACCTGGAGTAATACCTGGAGCGCAACGAATTTTTTAAGCTTAGCAAAGCATAATTTTGGGTGGCGTAAATTATATTCCTTCATCAAAAATAACACAGATTTTTCGCAATGATTATTTTCTCGGAATCACAGCGTGAGGACGAACAACTTTGTCGACCAAAGTTTTCAAATTAAAAAAACTCTCTCGTGACAAGCTACTAGTAAAAGCGCCAGGAGGACACATTTTTTGTCGCTCAAAGAGGGTTCAAGCTGTTTCTTGGGAAAGTGATGGCCTCAGTGCTTGTCTAAATACCTGCAAGAAATTGAGCAGTTGCGAGAGCGGCCGCATTCACTTCCCGCGGCAGCGATACGTTGTCGTTTCCCGACTCCGAGATGTCCATCGACTTAACAGTTTCCGCATAGCACCGGTCATAATAGTCCTGAGTAAAAGTTTAAGTTTGAGGTTAAAGCATAGGAAGTGTTTCGAAGTCGAAGAATAAAATTGTCAAACCAGGTCGCGGTCAACTTTGTCCTTGGGCGCGCAAATCACGTCGGCAATCGTCTGGCAGAGACACAGCGCGCTGCAGAGGCCACCACTTCGCCCTGCTTCCACGTCGTTCTTCTGCTCCTCCCGCTGCTGATTCATGCGACGCTGCTCGTTCAAACAGCTTATTTTATTAACGATGACCACCATCATGCAAGCAAGGGCGGCTCCTGTGAAGATAAGGGCTGCCAGCTGAGTTTCCTGCACGGATTGCTCCTGCGCATGCACCATGAAAAGTTAACCTCTCTCTGCTTTTAGAAAAAACTGCGCTCTCCTGGACAAAAAAATGCTTTAGTAAAAGAAGTCGCTTGAGCACCTAAAAACGTTTAAAGTAAAAAATTTAGCTTGCAATTGAAAATTCTCCAAATCAACGTGGAATTGATCATTGCGGTCAAAACATCTTCCAGGACACGTTGAACTTCCGTAGATCTTTTTTGAGGATGCAAAATCGTTTTGGCCAAAATAGGAATGAGTAGCGAACCGCCCAGACCCCAGGAGCTCCTCCTCCAGGAATCAAAATATAATTCTATTAACCGCCTTGATATTTTGAAATTCATCTTTCTTCGCATTTTTTGAGAATTTCGAACCTCGATTTAGTTCTCGTTTCTGATTGTAGTTAACGTTTTTAAGATCGTTCTTTGAAAATTATGAATTTTAGAAGTTCAGGAAAGGGTTCGCCTCTTAAATTCGCAATGATTTTTCCTAAGTAACCAGATATGACGTTAGCCGGGGATCAAGAATGCCAGTTCCGGCTAAGGACCGTCAAGAGCGATACTTGGAAACTTGAGTGTTAGAACACTCTCTAGGAAATTGCTTTTTTATTAGCGGCACCGGTGCCGCGCAGCGTTATTGCTGTCATGTATTTTTGAACAGGAAAAATGAACTGATGGAAATTAAATTCACTTCATCGAAGAATCCCCTTAATTTCTCCCTGTCTAATAGACAAGCGTCCTTATCAGCATGCGTCACATAATGTGGGATTAAATTCAAGAAAACACGCTAGAAAAAACAAACTCAGCGAAAATAAAGAAAAGAGCCGAAAATGGTAATTGAAAATCTCAAAGGGCGAATAAAATTTCAGAGAAGACGAATCGCCCTAAACCGCCCGAACAGGGAGGAATGCTGTTCCGTTCACCCGAACACTTCAGTTTTTTGGAATTACTCCCCTTATCGCTGATTAACGCGTTGTCCACGAAAGAAACGTTGAAATTTGGTAGACAAAGCTTTAAATTTTTGCTTTCAGCACTTTGAATTTCGACATTTTCCAAAGCCAAGTTCGGGGTACTAAATTATCCCGGATTATACGTCCAAGATAATGGGTGCAGCTTGGTTTATATTTGCATCAAAAATTGATCCTTCGTAAACTTTGTCTGGCCGACAATTGTATATGCAACCTCGCCTGAAATTGTTTTATAGATAATCTGTTTCTTCTGCCGGATTGGAGTCTTCTTTCTAAAGCTATTGTGAGGAAATTTGCAGCCGATAATCTATGAAAACTGAAAATAGCCGCCTTTCTGCACCGAAAAAAATTGCTTGGTCTTCAAAGTCAAAATCAGCAGAAAGCATTTTTTTCCAACCGGACGTTTAATTTTATTTGTTCCTTGGCTTCGCGAGCTTGAACTCGAATTTTTAGAGACAATCGTGCAATTTTCATTTTTGGGATATTCTAAAAGCGAATTCGGGAATCGGAAAGACGGCTATTTTAAGTCCAACAGAGCAAAATTAGAAATGATCTAATGTAACAGCAAAATGCTTTCTATTTCAGTGTGTTTTTCGCTGGCGAGTAATATCGCAAGACGTCTTGTTTCTAAAACTATACCTGAGGCTTATTTTAGGTCGGCAATTGCATTGCTTCTTGATAATAGTAGTAATAAATAATGTTTTATTTTGGTGCATGTGCCAAAATCGTGCTTATCTTCGATTAAAAACGATGATCATTAGTAATCATATCAATTTAGAAATAACTCGAATCGTAATTTTAGCTCGAAATTTATGATTAAAAATATAAGCTTGAGAAATATGTAGACTTTCATACGAAAAATGAGAATAGAAAAATGTCATCATCGACGGAAAATGAAACAATTTATTTGACCATGCCTGATTTTCAAATTTTTCTTGAGAAAACTCTCTCTCTTTGGGTAAACAGTTTCTTAGTATCTTCGCATAATCTCTTTAAAAAGTCATTCCTCGTTGTTAGAAGAACATTTGATTTAACGCGTAAACAATGCAATATGAGATCGTAGCTAGAGTTGGTCCTGACAGCTCATGCTGAGCACGACTCTCGATCGCCCTCTCTACCTTTCGGCAGCTCATACTTTTACACGGCGCTTCTTCGCCCAAGCACTAACTTGGATTAATGTCGATTCGGTAAAGATTAATCTTTGCGTTCGCATCAGACTATGATCCAATTTCATAAATCTCGCTTATACTGTATAAGTTATACAATCCTGTACGTTTCCGGATATTCCAGCAAAATGCATTTTATGACGAAACGTACTCAGTACTTCCAACAATCAGTTCGGCACATGACATGTAAAATAAATGAACACTTTATTTTTGCGCGAGAACAGCGCAAGAATTCAATTATGGATGAATGGTTGATTCCAATCTACTGCCTGAATATTCATTTTTTAAACTGCTTAAAAACATCTCCAACGGCACATTGTGTAAGAAAATGCTGCTTTTCTAAGAGATAACACAATGGGGGATGATTCAAACCCATCTGCCCAAAAGAATGATAGAAGAACCTTCGAGAGACCGAGGCAGAGCATGTGGGATCAGTCAACAGGCTTCTAAAAATTCATTTTTTTCAGCAAAGAACAATCCTTTTTTCGAAAAACACGAGTTTTCAATGGATACAAAGGTACTTTTAAAGCACATAAAAACAATTTTTGGGAAGCCGTGATTAGGCAATATCAAATGAGTTTTTCTGCCGAGCTAGGCAGTGGAGAGATGTGGCAGAGTTCGAACGCAAGGAAATGGTCTTCAATTTTCTTCGGCTTTGTGGAATTTTTTAGGAGACATTAATAAAGAGATCATGAAAAAAGGAATTACTCAAAGTTCGTGTGTACAAATCACTAAAGCTGACTTCCCGGGCGATTCTGGTTGTCACAATGAATATCATCTTCTTGAGGTACGTGCTTTTCCATTAACTTTACGCCGCCAAGTGTGCCATATATGGCACCAAGACTTTAAACCGCCTGTAATTTTTTTTTTTACTTGGAGTAAGAGTCTCGCCGACCCCCCTTTATACCCCTACTTTTCGCTAAACTTTCACGTGGTAGGCCTTTGGTTGGCTTAGCTTCGCTACAAATGCGTCAAAATAGTGAATTTAGCTTCGCTACTCGTGTGCCATATATGGCACAAGAATGTATTGTGATGTGCCATATTTGGCACATTTGGCGGCGGTGGGACTTTTTCCGCCTAAAATGCATTGTAAGGAATTTTCCCTTATAAGAAGAAGATAAACATTTCCGAGATGAATCTGATGTCATTTGATGTCGTCTGATATCCTATAATGTCAAATGTCTAACATTTGGAAGCATGACAAAAAATTTCCTATTTTCAACATCTCCAGCCGACTTTTTAAGAGTTGTGCCATATTTGGCACATCGAATACATATATGGCACATATATGGCACATTTGGCGGCGGGGGGTGAAATTCGAGTTTGGCGGCGTAAGGTTAATAATGAATCGAAATTCCAGTGTCATCGACGTGGAGTTCTATTATTCACGTTTCGGCGAGTTGATTACACCACGCCGCCTGTACCCAACTGTAACACATCCAGCTGGAGTCTTTGCGCCATGTCACTTCAACCAGACATCTGCGCAGCCAATTATGATGAGTTTCTCTTACTTCACGCGATCACTGATTCTTTTTCTTACACGTAAGAACTCTTTGTTTTACCGAGTAATGATCGGTAGTATGCAACATGTGGCTAATTTGGTGGTATACTGAGCTCGAGAGACGACTTCTTGTGGCGAGACATCATCTCCAGGAACAATCGTCACTGCTTCTTGGACCACTCACGACGAATCTCATGATTGAACTAGTTTCGTACAAAATGAAATCTTCAATGCAGCTTCTTCTAAAAGAAAAATACCGAAAACCTCTATTCAAAGATCCTCATCGAAACTATGATGAGTCCTAAACGCCCTCCACGTTCCTCCTTTTCCATCTCCATGGCCGGCCGAAGTGCAGCTCTTCAGTTTTTTGAAGCTCTATCACATTGTCAAGGACTGTCAGTTACGAAAGCATACACTTCTAGCTAAATCTGCAATTTGCCACAAAAAGTCGAAAGCAAGGGTACTACACGTATGCTTCGTATACTGAACGGAAATCAGTTTATGCGCGAGCATCACCCGATGCGATACAACCGTATGACGGAGATACTGAAAGTCGTTGCCTGTGTCAAGCTTTCCAAGGTTCGATCCAAAGATTTCGACACTTGTCGATGACTTGGCAATTCACTAATCGAGCCTTTCAGACATTCCTGATAAAGAGTTATTTCCTCCAGAAGCCGCTCCCTGTACTCACCGTTATCTATCTCTTCAATGTTTTAGGTGGCGGGTTGATCTTATTTTCAAAATTGCTCTAGTACGTTTTAGTTGTCATTATTGTTCGATAAGAAACTGGGTAGTTATTTTTGGGAGATAATTTCAAGCGATAGCTCGTTTTTAAAGCCGTCGGCTACATTGTTTTCGCGCTCGAACGTGTCTATGGAAGCTGCATGGAATATCGAGATACGATTTGGCTGATAGGTAAACTGGTGCAAAATTTAATAAAAGGCAAAGAAAATCGAATTTCGGTACAACATTTCAAGGTGTGACGCTTACAAATCTTGGTTATGGAGATTTTACGCCTTACTTCGGCCTGTCAAGGTGATTTATTCGTAGAAATCTACTGCTCACTTTTAACGTAGATTGATTATTTCCATCCTTTCTCTGTCTGGCATCGTGCTGACAGCCCTAATTGTTGGAGTGCTTTCGGAAGCGCTACAAATTCCAACGGAAGAGAAAAGAGTTTTGGTGTCGATGGAACACCAACGTACGTACATATCCATATTGCATGTATTTGTTGAATACCCACGCTTGCAAAGACATGCTTGCGAAATTGAATACAGTCGTGGCCGCAAATAAGACACATCACGAGTTTGATTCAAAATCACAAAATATTTACCTCTGAAATTCAATTTCGTCGATTCTAGAATCTAGATGCTGTTCAACCTCAATTACTGGTCGTCAAAATTTTCTTAGAAGGGCTATTTTGTGTCAAATCGCAACTTTTCGACCGTTGATGATCTTGGCGAACTCGATTAAAAAAACTGAAAAATCAGTGCCAAAAACAGTGTCGTATTTTCGGTCACAACTGCAACGTATCTTTTGGTTTGTAGTTAATAAGGTCTTGAATGCCCAAAACGAGGATTTACCATTTTGCTTTTCCGCCGCTTACTTTGCCATTTCCATAACGATATTAAGGTTCAGATAAGATTCGCCAACACGCTGCGGCACAGCTTATCCAAAGCGCCTGGAAACAGTTTCGCTTTGACGTTGAATTGCAGAATAAGCGGATAAGCATTGGCAATATCGTGGACAACTCATTCACCGAGAAGATCAAATTTAGGTTCTTGTTATCGCAAGTGAAATGAATTTGGATCGTCTGTTAAGATACAACTCAATGTTTCAACAGCGGAACCTCACGCAGAAATTTGCGGATAGCTTGTGGAGATGGCGTAAAATCAAAGCCCAAACTGATCAACTAAGAAACAGTTTCCAACCACTCTTTCGTAGGAAAAATAACAGACCTAGAAACTTTTCGACAGAGCATCTATGGAGAAAGAGTTTATCCAGGAGAATACTGCTCTTGAGACTCGATTCATTTCGCAAAAACTTGACGAGCTCGAAAAAATCGTGAAGATTGGACCGACAACGCAAGAGGACAAGCTTGCTAGACACAATACTTACAGTGAAGTGGATTTCCTTCTACAGGCAGGATTTTCAATTTGATAATTTTTCAACTGATTATATTTGACAAATCCTCTCCGACGCGTCGTTCTTCCGGAAAAAAAACGGCGAAAAGAACATCTGATCGTTGGATGAGAGCCGTTCAAAAGGCCAAATCGCAGAAAGAAAAGGCAGGCTCGACAGAAAAAATCAATGGTGTCAAGCGATCATCTTCTGCATACCTTCAAGATCCTCGAAAAGACCAGCTCGAAATTAACAGCAGGAAAGATTCACTAAAGAGACAAAGAGATAAGTATTATTGAGGATTGAAAATCTGAATCTACGTAAGTGTTGGTCGGCGGCTGTCTCTTGCAAATCCGCTTTTGCCAAAGATTGACGTCGTCGTGTCACAGGCCGAATTGAAGGACGGCCATGTTCAGGAGAAGATAAAGAGCAACTCTGCAGTTTGCTTGATGCGACGGAACTCATTTCAATCGCACTCCACTCTCAATGCGCGGCGAAGTAGGTTCCTTTATGATTTCATTGACACTATATTTTTCTTCTTAGAGTCGCGGGTGAGCGTGCACGAGTCAAGCATTCACGAAACTGTCGAAGAGGAGAAAGCTCCGTCGAACAGCTCAAGCATTAATGTGTTTTTAGACAGGTGAGAAAAATTTCAAGGAATGAATATCGGCCCCAGGGTTCGGTATTTTGAATTCGCAAAATTATTCGTTTTTCATTTGAATTTATATTTATTCGTTTACGAATATTCTCTAATGAGCGAATATGCAAAACGAATGAAAACGAATTTTCTCGGAGAATTTTTCAGAAATTCAGCGAATTTCTCAAATATTCGCTTTGCCGCGCGCTCTGATTGGTCGGGCTTTGACGTTGCGCAGCCTATAATTTTATTTTCACCCCCCAAATAACCTTATAGCTCGCGGGCGCCACCCTTTTCTCGCCCGCGGCCCTGGAGTTCAGCCAATCCAGGGCTGTACGCTCAATTTCGAGCGAATATTCGCCCGAATAGGCGATTCGCGAACAATCGCTCATTCGCTTAAGAAAAGAGCATATTCGCTGCGTGTATTGGCGAATTTTTCGACGAATTCAAAATACCGAACCCTGATCGGCCCGGGCGATGATGACCCGCAATTACCTAAGAGAGAAACCCTAGGGTTCATCTCCATGCTAAAATTTGTTGCTAATAACTTATCATTCAGACTTCAAGAGCGCCAAGAGTCCTTTCAAAGTGAAATGCGTTCTGAGATCTCTCGTCTGAGTGAAATCCTGACAAAACAGATGCTGGACAAAGCGTCGAATTTTCGAATGATCGACGATCCACCTGACAACTAAAATAGTCTACTGCTTTCACAATCAACCTGTTTGAAGTGCGATTCAATAAACGACAATTTTTCTTATTTCCGCTTTCTGTTTTACATTTATTTGAAAGACAAAAAGGGAGCGCCCTATGCGGAGGCTTCGACAACTGGGGCGGCGACTGGCTGCTCGACGGGGATGACCTCTTCCTTGGGCTCTCGGATCTCGACGATATCGGGGTAGGGGGTCTTAGGTCCAACCTAGAAATTTGAGGTCACTTTTGTTCCTTTTTGAACGCGTTGTAGCATTTAGAAACGCTCTGAATAATGATTGTTCGACTTGCGCAACGCTTTCCAGTATTATTCGCTGTGGGAAAGTCGGTTCACGTCATGCTCTCTAAGATTAAGCCGGACGTTGTAGCCGCGGCGCACGTGCGAAATCGAATATCTTTTGGAAGGAGCGAAACTGACCTTTCCAGCGGGGTCGTGGGGGAGCATAATCTTGACTTTGAGTCCGATGACACCCTGTCGGAGCATGACGTGTCGGACGGCGGTGTCGACGTACTCGGTGACGGGGTGACCGGTGTGGATCATGAGTCCGTCGGTGAACTTCATGGCCTTCGCTCGCTGACCTCTCAGTTTGCCAGAGATGACGACTTCGCAACCCTAAAACTGATTTTTATAATTCCCGATTTACTTTTATTCGCGGTTTTAAAATCGAGAGGCCGCGAAGAAAATAAAGAAGATGGATTTGCTTATCACCTTGGCTCCAGACTCCATGATGAATCGGAGGACACCGTAGGCAGCTCGTCGGACGGCAAGACCACCCTCAAGCTTGTATCGGAGGGATTCGCACTGAGCGATGGCGCAGAGACCTCGGTTGGCGACCTTCTCGGCGAAGAGCTCGACGGCGCCGTCCTTGATCTGGAATCGCTTCTGGACCAAAGCGGTCAATTCTCGGATTCGCTTGGCCTTGTCTCCCAAAACGTTCTGGGTTCGGGTGGCGAGGATGATGATCTCAGTTCGCTAAAATTTCAAGTCAATGATTTTGAATTCAAATCTTCACAAAAAAATTTTTATGGAAAATTCAAGCAATTTACTAGAATAAAGTTTGAATTGATTTCACGGAATCTTCAGTGATAGATCTTCAACTTTGTTGTCTTAGAGAAATTATCAACAACTCTTTTCTCTGTAATTTTAGGGTAGTTTTGATGAATGAAAATGACATTCTCGGGACATAATCCTGACCCCTATGTTTCTTATGCTTTTCTGAGAGCCGGTGATCTGGCGAGTCGAATGGTATAAGTTAGGGGTCTTAGTCATCACAAATGACGTCATAGGTTCCGTGTTATTGGTTGAAACCGACCGGGACCTGTAACTTTTAATTTTGTATATAAAAGTATTCTGATTTTAGGCTCATGTAAAAGAGCAGCTCGAGAACTTAAAAATTACAGGTTCCGGTCCCCATATGCCTCTTCAGTCACCCAGAATGACGTTATTTTCTATGACTAAGACCCCAAAAAACATACCATTCGACTCCTCAGATCACGAGCTTTCTAATAAGCATGAGAAACCTGGGGGTTAGGATTTTGCCCTGAGAATGTGACTTTACTTCATCTTTTCGTTATCTATATACAAAATTCACTAATTGATAAAGCATTCATTTTGTCTTTTGTTAACCTTGGGGGTGATTCGGACTTCGACGCCGGAGTAGCCATCCTCAGCGAGTTCCTTTCGGAGGTATCCGTCGAGTTCGGCTCGGAAGACACCTTCGGCGACGTGCTTTCTCTTCTTAGAGATGTTGGCAGAAGCAGTGGCCATGGTTATTTAATCGTCCGAGACAAGTCTACAACCCAAAACAATCAATTCTGTGATTTTTAAATCTGTCCCGAGAAATAAAGGAATTCCCCTAAACGAAAAGCCCCCTTTACGATAAAAATTGACGGAGATCTTCTTATAATATCTCTTTTTCTGAAAATAATCTTCTATGAGTCAGATCTCTCTTACAGTAATCAATGGGGAAAAGGAAGAAATCGGCGATCAAGCCAAAAGAAAAATTCTCGGAGCGCATTTATTGGCGCGTGCGCTCATTGGCTGATCCAGGCGCCCACGTTACGGTCACGCGAGATTGTGAAGGAAAACGCTACTATTCGAATTTTCTACTATTCGATAACGCGAAAAACTGGCTCTTGAAGATTCGAGAAAAAATTTCCTTCATTTACCCATATTTTTCGTTTTAAATAGTTTTCGAAGATGAGGTTCTTTTACGACGAAAACATTTGGCCGAAAGGATTCATAAGAATTTCCTTGAAATTTTTTGAATAGCGTGTTTTCGATCATTTATTGCACATTTAATCAAATCCTAATTTTCACCAGTATAATCAAGCTGTTACTAAGTATCAGTGTCGATTTGCACGAAGATAATATGAAAGAAGAGAGGAATGAAGACCACTAGAATCGTCAAGATAAACGCAATGAAACTGAATGATGATAAATACAACAGAATATGCACGAATAAGAAGGCGAAGAAAGCAAGCAGCTCGGTTCCAGTATTTTGATCCCGGACGCCCAAAATGCACAAGTGCCAAAAATCACGAAGCGCCAATCTTTCGAGAGATTTTCCGAGAAAAGGAAATTGTTAGAAATCGGAAAGAAAATCCGGTCCCTGAGTAAAAGCGGCAAGTTGCGGACGAAATCTGTCCAAGAGGCAGTGGTTCCAAATTTCCAGTTGTACAGAATAATTCGCTCATCGAGGGAGGGTTTTTCCGTTTCGTCTGGTTGAAGTGTTGAAATTTCCGTCCGGCAGAGAGGACATGAAATCGCAGAAAAGAGCCGCCCGCTTTCCCAGACCTACAATCTCTTCATCGATTCCTCGAGTTTGGGGTCTTACTTGAATAAGACATTTCTTGCAGAAGCGGTGGCCACAGGAGGTTTCCAATTCCGTCAAGTTTTCCAGACAAATCGGACAATCGTCTGTTCGTAAACTCATCTTATTCGTGATCTTCCGACTCCGATTCTTCCCATTCTAGCGCGGGAAATAATAAGATACCAGAAAATAAGTTTTAGCAAATTTTTATTGAATACAGCGTTCGTGTGAAAACACTACTTTTACTTTGAAGTTATTTTTGTAGAAAGGGTTTTTATTTTCATCCCAGATGACCTCGATTCGGGTTGACTGAAGTTTGTGGGTACAGGAATCCAACAATTGGCTTATCATCCGGTTTATCGAAATGAATAAAAGTCCTTTTCCGCGGACTTTTTGGTTTTAAAATTTTTCGAAAGAGCGGTGCTTCTTAGCGTAAACCGTGTCGAGAGAAAAGGCATCAGTTGGATGAAAACGAGCAAGTAGACGAGAAAACTGACGATCCAGGGTCGTCTTGAGGGCACAGTTCGTCGAGAGTAGCCCGAATCGTTGCGATAGAGCGAGTTGAAATTCCGGAGTTCTTGAGGAATCGGCGCGTCGGTTGAAGTCCAACTCAGAAGTGTCACGACTTCGCGGCAGATTGGACAGAAGAAGGGAACCCACTCTTCTCCCTCGTCTGAAAATTGAACAGAAACAACAGAGAAGAGGGTGAAGAACTTACTTTCGGAATTCTCCGACTCCCACATTTTCAACATGCACCTGAGACAAAACTTATGGCTGCACAAAGTCATCACATATGTAAATGGCGAAACTAGGCAAATCGGGCATTTCTCCAGTTTTCTCGTCTCTTCGTCTGACAGATAGTCGAGGCTCTCTTCAGGCTCGGACGAAGTAGAGGCATACTGGGAGATGTCTGTTCCAGACATTCTTATTTTTCGCACTCTTTACCTATCCGATTCTGGTCCGATTACGATTCGTTTTACATTCGTCTTTAAAATCGTTTTGAATAATACGAAGTAAGAATATCTGAAGTTTATTGTTTTCTCAAGTCAATTGAGATTTCTGCTTTCACTTGAGACAAGTTGTTTAGTCTCGGAATAGAAGTGAGTTAACAAACTTGGTATCATCAATTTTAGGAAAGAAAATAAGAAAATTTTTATTAAAAGAAATCTTCGAAAAATTGGAAGAAAGAAATTTCAATTGAAGAAAACTCGAACAAACAGAAGAGTTAGAGGAGCGAGAATGTTTCTTTTTTAAATTTTATAGTAACGTTGATTTTTTTGTAGAATGATGAAATCTCGATGATTCATTAGAGGGACCGAAGAAAGGGGGAGGATGGGTCACTGAAGAACCGGAATGAAATGGGGCCGGAATGAGACTGGGCGCTAGTATTTTATTCAGAAAACTATGATATGATAAGTTGGTTTTCATTAGCTTTTTGCCCGTTTTCCAACCAAAGTTCAGTCAGAATCAAGGATGAAAATCGAAGATGAGTACTTTAGTAAAGTCGAGCGACAAAGAGCTCATACCACGATCAACATCCCTTGCCAGTAAGTGTCAGCATCCATTAGTTTAGAATTAGAAAGTAAAAAGCCAATAAGGCACTGGTAAGTAAAGCTTTTGAGGCAGAGGTGAATAGTGAAATTACATGGACAATCAGCAACTGTACAAGAAATAAAGGACGATAAAATAATTTTCGGATAAGTTATTGTGGACATAATATTGATGAGTTGATAGTAAAGTTTGAGGAAGTTTCTTTTTAAATAAGTAAATTAAACTAAATCGTGTCGTATTTGAACCTTTTAGAAGTGCATGGGTGTGTGTCGTGCCAATACGAAGTAAGGGCGTCAGTCAAAAAGTTGTAAATGTTCAGGCATAAGAGAATAAGAAGAATAAGTTGAACTAGAAGTTGAGAGAATTGGGAGACACTCAAATGAAGACAGTGGAATTCAATGAAAAAAAGCGGCGATAGGAAGTAATTTAAATTAATTTACAGAAAGCAAAAGTGGTCTTAATTTGGAGCTTTGCATGCAGTTGAATATTTTTTTTGTTATTTGAATGGTACTTATGAGTAAACTCGGCTTTATAATGCTTTAAAAAAGAGGCTTAGAAGTTCTAAGTTAGAACTCATTTTCATAAGTTGATAGTATAGGCTTTAAAGAGTATCAAAATCTTGTTTCTGGACTTTTCAGTCTTCGGGAAAGTATCCAGATCGACGGGCGTAGCGCTTTTCAATGCTATTCGATTGAGGCGACTTTTCGGAGAGCTCAGAGCTATTCGTACTCCTGATTAGGCTCGTACGGGAGGTCAGTAGAGAACGTTCTGTACTTTGCAGAGACTGGCTGATGATGGTGAATGATTGTTAAGAAAATAGGCTTTAGAACAGGCGCTTACCTTGGATTAGCATCGTCCGGGCCGTAGTGATAGACGTGCTTGAAATTTGAGGGGCCGGAAATGAAGCTTGTTTTTCGATTTGCCGCAACAGGCTCTGTTGACATCATTTGGATTCCAGACTCGGGGCCCATGTGCGTCACGTGACGGAAATCAGATGGTCCGGAGATGAGACTCACCTTCCCACCTTCCTGAATTTGACCACGCAGCGACTAAAAATGAAATCATGCTTCTAGTTCACCAATTGCCATTTTACCTTTGATCTTTCAGCATCAGCTGATTTGTAGATAAGTTTCCGCTTTCCGACTCTCTGGAGGTTTCGCTTGCCATTCGGGCGAATCTTCTGTGGTAGATGAATTTCTTCTGACTGAGCTTCAAAATGAAGAATACACAGGCGCTTTTGGTCCTCATCGGAGGTGTGTATCGATAACTGTGCACTTAGAATGGGTTATATTTGAAATCAAATGCAATTACATATTTTAAAATTACGTTTGAAAATTTGAAAATACATGCTGATAGACCCTCGCCTAGAACTTTCGAGAGGTTGAACTCGTTTAGCATTTATTGATTGCATCCAGGTTCCCTTGTACCCATCGTAAATATCTACAGTTGACTCGGTGTAAACAACGACTAAACATTGTGGCTGTTCAGAACCATCATCCAAACGAAGCGTTCTTATTGAAATCGGTGGACTGGTCCACATGATCTCAGATTGGCGAGAACGATTGCTTCCATCGGGCGCTAGAAGTTCCAAGATTAAAAGGTTGTTAAATTTTAGGCTTACAAATGTAGATTCCAAAGGAGGAAGTGCAGACGAGATATTCTTCGTAAGCGGGGCTCAGATCAACAACAGCGAGGACGTCCATTGGTCGGTAATTTAGAAGCTTATAATTATAGTAAGGAGATAGGAAATTTTAACAGACAAATACCTGGTACAAAGGATGGTTATTGTTTTGCGTATTGAGCAAATAAAGCGGCGCAGTTGCCTGTACTGAATAAAAAGCGACTCCCGTTTCGGTACCAATACAGACGCGGTCGTTGAATATTTCAAGGAACTGAACGTGAGCTTCGCAGGGAATCTCCTTGACCTTGCGATAACGGGGTAAAGACGTCCGAAGCTCCGTCGAGGGAAACATTTCATATACAAGAACATGTTTGGGTTTCGCAACAGCGAGCAACGCTACTTGCCCGTGCTTATACATCCCTAGAATTGAGTTCGTAAGAGGTAGAATAGCAAAAATAACCTGTTGCCATATTATAACATCCTCTGGTCTCCTCGAGTTTTGGCGGCTCTTGGTCATAATGGCCGCTGATAGCAGCAGAAATCGGAAACAATCGGACCGTTTTTCTGTTTCCAGAAATAATCGTGATGATATCAACATCGAGACACAGTCGGATGTCCGAAACACGCTTGTCTGCTATCCTAACAAATTCATCTTTTGCCAATTCTGCACAATAAAGCCCATCATCGGTGCCAAGAAGAACTCGATTTCTGTCGATAACTTTGGCACAGTGAGTGTTTTTGATAAGAACCAAGTTTGGATCGTAAATTTCGAAGAATCCCAGCGATGGGACCAGCTCAGTCCGATGCTGAAAACAAATAACGATCAGTTACTCAGAACGAGTCTAACCTTCATCAACAAGTCGTGCATTTTCTTTATCGCAGAGATCCATTTTTGCCTGTCTCCGGCACCACACATTATTAAGAAGGAATTGAACTGGAAGGGAACAGATTCGAAAACTGTTCTGTTTATAGAACATGAGCTCAACTTGAAGATATTGGGAAGGTCTCGTTTATTTGCATGGATAACGTCCTAAAATGAATTTGAAAAAAAATCTAATTGAAAAAAAGATTTACCTGTTGGACAACTTTTTCAACGGTTAAAAATCGATCTTTGAGATCAACGACAATATTTGGCACTTGTAGAATTTCCTGATTTTTTGTATCTTTCAGCGGAAACATGATCAATCGGTTTCCAGTAATGACGGCGAAGTGCTTCTGCCATCCCTTTTTCACCCCTTTTGGCTTGGGAATAGACACGTAGCCGCTCATGACTGTGCCTTGATTTCTGGCAAGATCGATCATTTCAAATCCAACTTGATTAGGCCAGGTTTGATTTTCTTCGGATCCGGGGCAAAGTTGAGGCGCGTCTTTGGCGCAACTAATATGACAAGGAAGCCAACACTCGCTGCAAATGACGCCTTGTCTCCATAAGCCTATTTGAAAAGTTTTTTATCTTGAAAAAGGTAGTGAGTTACCTGTCATGTATGTAGCGCAGATTTGGCATTGAGTTGGCTCTGAAAATGTCCGAACCATGAACAAGTGTTGCTTCGCTGGAATACCCCGCGCTGGTATATTATACAGATCTCTGTCCGTCAGTTTTCCAACTTGAGACGGCGCAGACTTTTGCCCGACGGGACTAGAGCGACCAGATCGAGAGTCAGAATCTTCATATCCAAATCGACCATTGTCTGGATAAGGCGAATGATCGGATACGCTGTGATGATAGGAGCTTTGCTCGATGTCCTGTATCTTCATCCTGGCTTGGGTGAGATCTTGCTCGACTTCTTCAAGCTTTCTTCTGAGGAGGGTGTTTTCATGCTCTACTTCCGACGTTTTCTGGAGTTGCGTCTGAAGAGCGCTCCTCAGATCCAAAATCTGAGCGTTTTTGACTTTTGTTTGACGTAGCGTCTTCCAGTTTTCTAAACACAAGTGTCAGTACTAAAGTTCCATTAAGGCGGAACTGATAGCTAACAAGCTAATCAGCGTTGTATTTCCTACCTTTAGAGTCGCCCGGGGTCACTTGAGTTTTTGCATTTTGGACGTTGTTTTCAAAATGAGCGATAGGTTCTTCTGGGTTTTCTTTGCGAGCTTTTCGAATGGACTCAAGCTCATCTGACATTCGAATGGCAAGATTGTCCAGATAAGAGCGGGCGTCCTATAAATATTAGATGCAATTTAAACGGAAATTAAGCCCCTAGAAAGTACCTTTTCATCATGAACCCACTGAATAATAGAGCGCAAATGCTCTTCCCATTCACTTCTCTCCGCGACGCCTTCATTTTCTTTGGCTTTTTGTTCTTCCAAGTCTTTCAAGTTCTGTCGAAGTGCGACAAGCTCTGCAGTCGCTTCTTTTAGCTTTTCTTTCGTTTGAGAATGGTCGTTTTGAAGCAGCTCGAATTCGTTTGTCGAGTTTCTGTAGATTTGTTCTTTTTCGTTCTTTTCTTCTTCAACTTTGTGGCGGAGATCGTTGATTTGCTCCTCGTACTCGCGTTTTGTCTTGGAAATTTCTAATAAGTGGTTTTGCGAGGTTTCTTCTAGACGCAAATTGACGGCGTCGAGCTCGTGTTGGAGGTGTTTGACTTCTTTGCCTTTGGTGCGATGGAAAGCCGACTCGTTGGAAAGCTCTTCGAATTTGGCTTGTAACGTGATGATACGCTGCTGATCATTAAGCTGCTGCTGCTGTACAATATTAAGCTCGTCGGAAAGTGAATTTTTGGAATGTTCAGAGCTGCGCAGCTCCTGCTGCAAGTACTCTATTTTTGCGTTCAAGTCGCGCTCGTAACTTTCATAATGCTGGATTTTTATCTGGTCGCGGTTCTTCTCATTTGATAACGTTTCAAGTTCTTGTTCTAAAGATGATATTTTCGTTTGTAGCTCGGTCGCGCTTTGTTCACGCTCTGAAATCTCAGACTTTTGGGAGGACAGCCTCGATTCTAGCGTTTCAAGGAGTTTCTGAAGCTCGGAGGACTCTTTTCGTGATGATTGTTTTTCAAGTTCAAGCGAACGTACTTTGTCCTCCAGATCTTTTATTTCTTGCGTGTCGGTATTTCTAGCTCTTGATTCGGATTGCCGGCTGGATGCTCCAGCTCCAGCGTTAAACAGTCGCTCCATTCCGCAATCGGATAGTCTCGACTCTCTGTTGAAAGAGAAACCGACAAAAGGAAGATCTTTTCCCGAGAAAGTAGCATTACCGAGACTTGGTGGATGAGCTTCTATTCTGGCATCTTCATCGTCGACATCAAAATTTGACGTGTCCGTTTCTCCAACGATTTCTGGAACATATGGCGGTCTGATGGACTGCAAGTTGTCCCAAGCTATTTCAGCGAAGAAAGGGTGCGATTTGAACTCGTCGATTCCAATCTGACCCATTCGCGTGCTTTTATCGCAGATAAGACCTCTAATGAGCTCCTTTGTGGCTTCTGAAACTTCAATCTCATCATCTGGGATGGAGAAACGTTCGGTGTGGTTCATAATCTTGCAGTAAGTCTCTGCCAGACCTTCAGCGTAAAAAGGCGTCTCTCCGAAAAGCATTTCATAAATACAGACACCCAAGGACCACCAGTCACATTCCTTGCCATATCTCCCGTGGCCGTCTTCATTAGCTTGCAAGATTTCTGGCGAGATATAGTCTGGCGTGCCTACTGACGTGCGTGACCAGATCGTCCCGTCTCGACGCATTCGTAGACAAGATCCAAAGTCTCCGAGCTTGATATGGCCGCGATTGTCTATGAGAACGTTGTCTGGCTTTATGTCTCGATGAACGTATCCCATTCCGTGCAGTGCATCGATGGCGACGACCATTTCCGCGGAGTAGAATCGAGCAACGTGCTCTTCAAGAATGTCGTCGTGCTTGGAGATGAGAGTCAACAGATCACCGCCAGCGTAGTAGTCCATAACAAAATAGAGGTACCGCGGGTCTTGGAATGCGAAGTGTAGCTTTATGAGCCAGGGACTATCACCGCGCACTAGAACGTCTCGTTCCTCTCTGTAGCAAGCAACTTCCGCTCGCTGGAGCATGTCCCACTTTGATAGCGTCTTCATAGCGAACACCTTTTTCGAGCCCTTCATTCGAACAACGGCGACTTCACCAAAAGCGCCTCTGCCGATGACTCGGACTAAATCAAAGTCCGATCTTCGTATCCTGAGCTCGTTGACCTTCTGGGTGAAGGCTCGCGACCAGTCGAGGAATTCCGAGACATGGCGCTCGTTTTTGATGTTTGAGACTGTAAGTTCATTGTGGATAAGTTGCAGGACATCCAGGAGTGTCTCGTATGAGAATCCATGTACTCGTTGGTCGCCACTGTCAAGTGTCTTCAAAACTCATTTAAGTTTACCAGTCAAGGGGCGGTATTTACCGTTGCGCATAAAACTAGTTGTTCAAGTAGTTGTAATCTGCTACTTGGAGGCGAAACTGCTACATCTGACATATTAAATGTCCGAGATTTATGTTTTCACTTATGTCCGATCTCAATTCGACATCTATAAATTCTGGGCTCAGATTTCGCGACGTGAAAAATAAACATTTAACGTAGAAACAGTAGAACTAAAAGTGTTTACAGAAAATAATTTCATGATTCAAGTATAAAAATATGCCTAGCGACATCATACAGTTTTGCAGTTTTGAAGAAAAATAGCTTGATCTTTCTTTCTGTAATAGCTGTATTTATCTGGGAACAAGGCCTCGTGATTTAGGGAAGTTTTGGTCGGTCGCTTTGAAAGAGCTTCGGGAGGATTTTGAACTGTGGTGCGATTTCGACGATTTTTGCCGATTGGAACTGCTTCTAAAGACTCCTGGAGCTGCTTGAATTACCATTTCATCTGGTTCCGGCTCTCCACCCCTCTCAAGACTGAGGAGACCTTGTCCATCTGGATCCGGCCCTTCCCAATCCCTCGTTGTTCGCGTTGGCAGTTCTAGTTCGAGAATAAGGATATTGTCGCATCGATAGCGAGGGTTGGTCGGTTCTTCAATTGCCATGTCCCGTGAAAATCGACTCATTGGTCTTCGATTGCCAAGAGCGCTTACTGGACGCTTCATCATCGTATCCATCCCAGAAGCAAGCGGCTGAAGCGAGAATTCAATGATAAAAGAACAGAGCTTAGAGATACCTTTAGTTTCCAAATATCTTTGTCTTTGTCGAAGTAGGCGCGACTCTCGATTTTGGCGACGTCTGAAGGCTGAATGAAATTGTCTAAAAACACGGAGCAAAGTTTGCTCTCGCGCATCAGCTGATCCAGGTTTTGTTCCAGCTCTCTCATTCGATTCCTGTGCTCTTCTTGTATCTCATCAATCTCAGCCTTTCCAAAGCGTTATTTGACGAAACATGATGTGATCTACCTTTGTGTTCTGTAGTTTACTGTAAATTTTCTTCAGTTTTCTCGTTTTTATCTCGACTTCTTGTTGTAGCGTGTTAAAATTTTCCCTCGCATCTTCTTCCTTTTCAGCTGCTTCTTCTAGCTTCAGTTGAATTTCTCGCTCTTTCAACCTTTGTTCCGCTAGTTCTTTCCTTTTCACCTCTAGTTCCTATAAAACAACCTATTTTTAGCACTTGTTTTCACCCGCATTAGCCTCATTAAACATTCAAAATTATAATTTACAATCTGACCTTTTCTTGCTGCGTCGTCCGGTCCAGAATCGTAACTCCGCCGATAAGAAGCTTTTCTTGCATTGTTTTTAGCTTTTTCTCCATTTGCTTTTGATTCTCTTTTTGCTTTTCCAGCTCTGAAAAAGAGAGTTTTGCCAAAGAAAAGAGATTTTTAAGCTAGCCTACTTTAACTTTTATGTTTCTGAAAAGAACTGGCGACTTTTGAATTGCTACAGAAATACTGCTACGGAAAATCAAGTAGTTTGGTAGTAGAATGTATTTCCAAACTGCGGAAATAAAAAAATATTCACGCAAGATATGGTTATATTTGAAGAATATACGGTCTGTATTCACTTCTTACCAAATAAAAGTAAATAACCACCTGATTAATTATTCTAATTTTGAAACCGAAATGACAAAACAAGGAAACCTTTTGCTTTCTTTTTTGCTTCTTTGATAAGTTTTGCCTTTTCTTCTTCTGTTTGGTGTTTCGCTTCTTCGATTTCTTTCTTTTTGAGTTCGAGAACTTCTTCTTCAGACATTCCACTTATTCAAGCTCTACGATTCCTTCAGAAAACGGTTTCTTGCGCTAGAATCAAAGAGCTTTTCCTAGGAATTCCGCCTCTGCCGGCGAGTTTCTGTTTGAGCTTCTCAATTTCTTCCTGAAATTCTCGGAGCATCGCATCTTTCGGGTCCTCGTTGATTTTCGGAATGTTCTTGATACTTTTCGCTCGATTCGCATAACGCAGAGTCGTGATTGTCTCGTCGTAATTAAAGTTGGCTATAAAAAGGCGGATAAATGCACAAGCGTCTTGAGTATCTCAAAGTTTGACATGCAGTCATTATTCGGATTCTTCTATTCTTTTATTCTGAGTTCCAATTTTACCTGGGCCAAGATTGGCGATCATAATTGTCTTTGCATTTCCACCCAGCGAGTCTTGAAGGAGTCTGGTCAGCTTCGAGTCTCTAAAATTGACCATGAAAGTGAAAATAATTGATTAATCGTATCAAACCTGTAGGGAATATGTCCTCGGCCATCGACCAGCGCAGAGATGACGTTTCCAAGTGCAGATAACGAAAGATTAATTTTCGTCGCCTCCTTGAGACGCTGACCAGCGGCGCCAGTCTTCGCCTGCCTCTCCGATCCCGCCAAGTCGACCATGTTGAGCCGCCCGACGCGGATGTGATCTTCGCCGATTGCATTCTGAGATCATCAATTTGATGTAGAGGAGAGCGCTTTTACCTTGCTTGAGCACTCGATATTGATGGTGAAGATTGCATGAGATCGAGAAGAGTGCTCGTTCATGTTCGTCGCGCCGACTGAACGATTTTGATTTCCAACGTTCATCACGTGCTCAATGTCTTGCACATTTTTCACGACGTAAGACTATTATCGCGGTTTTTGACAATTGTCATCATTTAGCGTCTTAGAATTGCATCTTTTCGCTGATACTCCAAGCCGCTTGCGGCTTCTCGTGTTTTGATGATCAAAAGAATAAAGAGAATAATAATAAGAAAGTAAAACCGGTGCCAATAAGTCTTTAACTTGTACACCAGTGTCTGCTCTTTCTTTCAGCGCCAGTCTTTTCGTCTGATCTTTTGAGAGTAAATCCCGGATTTCTTCTTGATAGATTTCAAGATAGCTCGCTCGGACAAGGTATTTTTCATCTTTGGTTCGGGAAATATGCGTGAAGATATGGTCAAATGCTCTGGGAATCATCCCTTTTAGCGCCTGATCTGATCGTACTCCTTCCATTGTAAAGGTCTTTCCTGTGCCAGTTTGGCCGTAAGCAAAGACCGTTCCATTGAAGCCCGAGAGGACAGAATTCACCAGTCCTCGGAAGTTTTCTTCGTAGAGTTCTTCTTGCGTCGAGTCTGGCCCGTAAACGGAGTCGAAGGTAAATGTTCTCGTTCGCTCGGAATCGGCGTTGTGCACTTTTGGATTCGTTATCGACAACTGGCAGATTTTCTGGTCGATTTGGACGATTTGTTTGTGTCCCTGCTGCTGCTCTTTCGAGGACATTGGGCGGCATCGCACGAGTACGCGAACGCAATCTTCATCCCGCTTACCCATTTTTTATTTCTTCCACGATTTTTCAATATTTCAATTCTTTCTCGATTTCTTTCTGAAATAATCAACTATTAGTAAAAGTACAGAGAATAATTCAAATTTATTTCTCTTCGTCTTAGTTGCGGCATTTTCAAAGCAAATTTGCTCGAGACTGGGCAGTGCTCGTGTCTTCTTATCACAAAAAATGCTGATTCATGACGATCAATGCAAGTGACTTTATTTTCATTTTTTTTCAAATTTAAATCATTCAAGCTGTTGAATTTTCAACTGTGACGTGTGTTTCTGGTGCTTGAGTTTTCTATCTTGTGATTTTTGAAATAATGAATCACACGTACAGTTGTCAAATTACTGCAATTACTCGACAACAAAATCGTGACTAAACAAACAGTGAAAATTCGTACTGTAGTAAGAGTTTCTCCTCTAAGTAAAAGCTGAATATAAAGCTGTTAATCCCTAGAATCTCCTATCGGCGATCCTTTGAATTGAAAGATTTTTCTCAAAGGAGTGTTTATTGGCTACGATGCGCCAATAGCGCCTCGTTCAGTCAATGAACTGTAGTAAACTGGAAAGTGATAAGACGGAACAATCCATCTACAGATAGTCTGCAAATCGTTCGCAATGATTGACTGATAGTTTTATAAATTTTTCAAGTAGTAATTATTCGTCTTTTGAAACAATCAACGGAAATCTGGCTAAGTCTCGCTAGCATCGTCAAATTGTTAACACTTTACAATAGAACAGCAAGACAAGTTCACCATCAACTTTTCCCACTCAGTTGACGGAGCGTGAATTTCGAGAATCAGGAGATTCTCAGAGTTCGTAAATTTTCAGAGGGCAGACAACCTACGCGCGCGCTTATTGGCCGCGTCAGAAATTCTGTCTAATTTGCTGAAAAGGACCTTCCACTCAGTTCACCCCACAAGGAATAAATGAGCAAGACGAAGAGCTAAAGAGAAGAAGAAAAAAATGGGAGGCTACTTCTCGAAAAAAGACCAAAAGGAGCAAAATTTTGCGAGTTCTCAAGACTACCAGAGCGGATTCAAAGTTCCTGCCGAGCCAAAGACTCTTTACAGACCAGACGTTTTCGTTGATTTTTATCAGTCAAACCTTTTCAAGGTAAAATAAACATTGCTATTACTTCATTGACTGTATGAACTCACTCAGGACGCAGATGGATGCGAAGCAAACGAATTCTACGTCCAGGCAGGTTCGGGTAACATGTACAAAGTGAAACGATCCAAGCTGAAACCCGTCGGCTTGAAAGAATACGCCTGGCCAATGCTTGCCCTTACTTGGTAAGACGAAAGAATCTAAAGTAAAAACTTCCTTCATTAGCCCAATGGTTGTTTGCGAAGAAGACTCGTTGATGACCTACGTCCGTCGAAGATTCCACTATGTCGATCGCTACCCATCAGACTATATCTTCGACAAGTGAAAACAAAAAAATGAGAAAACACCAAAAGCGCCCGAAGCAGCAGCTGCTAAGGACGCCACTAACACATATGTGTGCGTTCAAAAAAATATGTTCCTGTACTGTTCTGTACTCTTATCGACATTCTTCAATCTTCCTGTACTTTCTATAAAAACACTACACATTCAAATTTACAAAATCATTTCTAATAATGTCTATTTTAGATTATAAAAAAGGGGATGAGTAAAACGAGCGACTCAATAATGCGAGTTTTGTCGCCGACAATTTTACAGAGTGTGCACGATTTAATTGATAAGGGAGGAAAAACGCCGTCGAACAGAGTTCTCGATCAACTGCAGGAGAATTTTCCTCGTATTCCGAAAGAATCATTGTACTCGATATATTCTCAACGCATCAGAAATAAATATGCAGCAGGTAGATCGAAGATTCTAGTTCAAAAATATTTAAATTCGAACTTTTAGCTGGGAGGAAATTGACAGATGACGATTACTGTGACAAACTGTACGATGTCTACAAAAAGAGAGTCGAAGAAGGCCTCAAAATCAATCAACGGAGACAGCCGGTGATCCCAAAACTCGCAGAAGAGCGAGGACTTTTTCCTTGGATGACATTCAAAGCGATTGCGACACGATTTCTAGCGGAAGAAGCTGGCGCTAGCGTTTCGAAGAAGATTATTCAACAATACATCAAGAATCCGCATTCGATCAAGAATGTTCAGCTCCAACTAGAGGCGATAGTTTGCTCAACACAGGACCAGCTACAGGGAATTATTACTGATTCATTGAGGCACGTTGTTGGAAAGGACTACGAGCAGATTCTTGAAAGGCAGCTCAAAGAGGTAATAATTTCTTCCCTTTTCTTTCAGCCCCTAACCTTCATATTCAGAAGAAAATCGCGTATATTGACGAAGAAGCCCAACGACGAATGGGCCAAGACGTTACTCCTGATTTCCGGCTGACGGTACCTATAGCTATAAACGGAAAACCAGTTTGTTGGATCGATTCAAAAGCCCTCTTCGGCGACGCTAAAAGCCACAAATCTTACCTGGACACTCAGCTGCTATCTTATTGGAATCGCTTCGGCCCTGGACTCGTTATTTACTGGGCTGGCTACGAAGAGAACATAGAGAAACTCGCTCCCGAAGTACAAGTTGCCCATTTTCTGCCAAACTTTGAACACCCCTTTCAGTGATTCGAACATTCCACTTTTATTCAAATTTTACTCAAATCGATCAATTTCAGAGCTGCAATCATGAGCGAGTATCAGAAGCTTTCAAGGCCGAGGCTATCGAGCTCCAGAACGCTGGCCACAGACTTCGAATCGATTCAATCATCAGCACCACCACTGCCGGATCTGGTCATCCTTCTTCTTGCACTTCTGCCGCGGACATCATGTCCGTTTGCTTCAAAAAGGTTTGAACTTCGAAGGCAATTATATTCTATCTCTTTATGCAACTTTCAGTACATGCGATACGACGTCAGCAACCCAGGAGACGCTGCTGCCGATCGATTCGTCCTTTCCAAGGGCCACGCTGCCCCAGTTCTTTACGCCGCGATGAAGGAAGTCGGTCACTTGACCGAGCCACTCACCAACCTTCGAAAATATACATCTGATCTCGAGGGCCATCCGCCAGTGACCCTTCCATTTGTCGATGTCGCCACTGGTTCGCTCGGCCAGGGTCTCGCTAACGCTTGTGGAATGGCTTGGGTTGGAAAGAACGTCGACAAGGCCCCTTACAGAGTCTTCTGCATGATGGGAGATGGTGAATCGGCCGAAGGATCCGTCTGGGAGGCGATGCAGTTTGCCTCTCACTACAAGCTTGATAACCTTTGTGCCATCATCGATGTCAACCGACTTGGACAGAGTGAAGCGACTGCTCTTGGCCACGAGATGGAAATTTACAGGTAATTAATGCTGTGAAAATTTTATCGATCAATTTAAATCAAGAGCGCGAGGTGAAGCCTGGGGAATGCACACAATCGTGATCGATGGTCACGATGTGAACGCCATCGACAAGGCCTTCCATGAAGCCGAGATTACTAAAGGAAAACCCACTCTTATCGTTGCCAAGACTTTCAAGGGTAAACACATGCCCGAGCAGGAGGATCGTGACAACTGGCATGGCAAGCCCATGAGCCAGGACTTCTGCGACAAAATCAAGAAACACATCGAAGGACTCATGGAAGACACTGATGCCAAAATCTCCCCTCGAGCTCCAGTCGCCGCTGTTGAAAACAGATCCTTCGCCACTGATGTCAAGCTCTCCTCCCCACCTAGCTACGAGAAGACTGACAAGGTTGCCACTCGAAAGGCTTACGGAACCGCTTTGACCAAGCTCGGCGACTCCTGCGATCGGGTCATCGCTTTTGACGGAGACACAAAGAACTCTACCTTCTCCATCGATTTCATGAAGAAATACCCCGAAAGATTTGGCGAGTGCTTCATCGCCGAGCAGCTTCTTGCTGGTGTCACTATCGGTGCTGCTTGTCGAAACAGAGCTATTACCTTTGCCTCTACTTTCTCGGCCTTCTTCTCCCGCGCTGCGGATCAGATCCGAATGGGAGCTATCTCCAAGACTAACGCCAACTTTGTCGGCTCCCACGCTGGTGTCTCCATCGGAGAAGACGGCCCCTCTCAGATGGCTCTCGAAGATCTTGCCTTCTTCCGCGCCATTCCTGGATCTACCGTTTTCTACCCATCTGATGCTGTCTCCTGCGAGCGAGCGGTTGAAATCGCCGCCAACACTGAGGGTGTTTGCTTCATCAGAACCTCTCGGCCAGCCACAGTCAATGGTGCTACGCAAATTTATCTCCACCTCATAAATTATAATTTCAGTCCACGCTAATGATGCTGAATTCGCAGCTGGAAAAGCTCACTTTGTCCGAAAGGGTAAAGCCGCTGCTATTTTCGGATCTGGAATCACTCTCCACAACGCTCTTGAAGCCGCCGAGGCCCTCGCAAAGGAAGGCATTGAGGTACTCAACCATAGAAATGTTTCTCTAGCAGATCCGATTCATTAGGTCTCCGTCATTGATCCATTCACGATCAAACCAATGGACGTGAACGCCGTCAAAGAAGCCGTCGCAGAGACCGGCGGCAAGCTCATTACAGTCGAAGACCATTACGCTTATGTAAGTCACTAAAATTGAATCCAGTTAACTGAAGTAATGTCTCTCAGGGTGGTCTCCACTCTGCAGTCTCCGAAGTCGTCTGCTCTGAAGGCCTCGGCGCCAAGGTCAAATCGCTCGCTGTTCCCGGCGTCTCCCGATCCGGTAAGGCCGCCGAGCTTATGGCCGCTGCCAAAATTGATGCCGCAGCTATCATCGAAGCCGTCAAATCTTTTTAATTTCGCTCCATGACAAGAATAATCATCGCCTCCTGAATCAACCCCTTCAAGAGGCGCGACAGAACTGCCCTGACAAAATTATGTTTCGTAAAGTTACAATACTCTAGAAAAATTACGTGTTCTCCTTCGCTCGGAAAGTTCAAATTCATTTGCCACGCAACATTGGTGCACCAATAATTGCTCTCTGATTCAATTATACTGTCGCTCATGCAATGAAATAAAATCAGATTGAGCTCTATCTTTACACTTTCAACGTTTCTATGTTTGAAAGAATAATTCGGGAAAAAAGCAGTTGTACTGAAAAATATAAACTGTAATTCAGCCATGGTGGCTTCATTCTCTGCCGAGGTTCGCTGTATGATGTTCGTTTTTGGTGATATTGAGACCCCTTCCATTGAGTCTGCCCAGGTCATCGAGGAACTCGTCCGTCTTGAGATCAAAAGGGTCATTGCGGACACTTCCATCGTCGAGCCATCGATCTCAGATATCCTTTTTGCTCTCAGACACGGATCTCACTTGTTCAGCAGAATAACTTTCATTTAAAGTCAGTTGAGATCCATCACGTAGATCACAGAAGAATCTAATTTTGAGGATCGTTAAGTTTATGCACGCGCTTGATACCGGAGGGCGAGGTGCGTAATCATGCACTCTGAGAAGTGTCTAACAGAAACGAATTTAGATAAAGCCAGTAAACAAGATAGAGTCGGAGAAGTTCTTGAAGCAATTGGAATCTGGGACTTTAAGAAGTCCATCCAAAGAGAACTTAAACGATATCCGAGTCATGATCCGTTGAAGCTAAAGAAATTGCAAATCATGTCTGATAGAATAAATGTTCTTTCGGCCCAAGAATATGAGCATCATGTTTATTGTCAACGAGCATCCTTTTATGGATACGCAACTCAACAGAGAAATAATATCTTCAAGACTAATGATGCGGTAGATTCAAGATGAGGTTAATAATATTCACATTTCATTTCTGCTCATTTGTTTATCCAATTACATTCTAGTCATTTGACATATTGACCCCAGTAAAAAGAATTTCCCGTTGAAAAATCAGAAGATGGAAAAATATGGCTTCGTAAAACGGAAGGTCAAGGTCGAACGCTTTCTTGACTTCTTACGAGGAACCGACAAAGCAAAAATTCAACTGTCAGATATCGTGGTAGAAGCTTTAATTTGTTTGGCGAACGAGCTTGTGCTTCTCTTGGTAACAAACGCTCTCAAAAGGAAGTTTTATTTTACTGTTGATGGTACGTTATCCTGATCTGATGTAGTTTCTCAGTCAAAATTTTAGAGCAAATTCTTGACGGAGGCATTCAACCGCGCAGCATAAAAGCTGTGCACGCCCTTCTTCGTGATCCAGCCAGTAATAAACAGCTGAGCCTCATTAAAAATAGCAAACAATCAGGGGACCAGTCAATTTTTCTTCTAGCTAACTTTTAACCTTCTTGTTGTGCTCATTTCTGATTTAATACTGCCGAATCCACTTAAATTTGAGTAGTCTCAAGTCTGCATTATTCAGATTTTGTTGGCCTCGATCAGTTGGCTACAAGTTGAATTCCCCCGGGCGGTGGGTACCGAAGCTACTCGACCGGAAAATGCTTTACAGGTTAGTTGCAATTTCAGCAGCGCAGAAACCTGAGCTCATATTTTGTAGAGAGCAGATTCAGACGCTCAAGAACTGGAACTCGCGCTGGGGAAGTTCTGAGCAAGTTTGCGCTATTTATTCTCTGGCGCAGTTACTCACCAGAGATATCGACAAGAAATTCGTGATTACGATCTTGTCCGAATTGGCTAACAATGTCGACGAAGATACGAGAAGCTTGGAGGGCGCAGCGAATAACTCACTTTGGTCAGAGCGGCTTCTGCAAGAAGATGCGCCGAAAATTGCGTCTGCTCTTATTGATCACCTCCCCTTAGTGAAAGGAAATTCACTTTCGCAACGCTACATGGATCTTGTGAGCAAAGTGCTCAAATTTGCAATCAAGGAAGAGAAACTGCTTGAAGAGTCTCGTCAGATTCTCTCCATCGCCATTATTCACCCAATGTTCAAAAACGACCAACGCGACCTCGAGAAGTTCGCTGCTCTTCTCCAGAGCAAGATGATATTCCGCGAGCAGAGGGAGGAAAAGATCGAAGTGACGAGCTCGGACGAATTCTCAGAAGAAGAGTTTCTCTCTGATAATTTTATTAGCTCCAGCGACTCGGATGACCCAAATGAGTTCGCTCATCTCGATCATATCAATACATTCCTCGATCCGGACAGGTATCATTTTAATCAAAAAGCATTATTTTAACAGAAAAATTAGCGGAATGGAAGACGTACCGAACTGGCTGAAGTCGTTGCGCCTGCATAAATACCAATATCTTTTTGCGAAGCTGACTTACGAAGATATGTTGGCGTTGACAGAAGATAGACTAGGTGAGTGCAACCTGATTTCTTAATATTTTGTAATACTTCTCATTTCAGCGGAACAAAATGTGACAAAAGGCGCGAGGAAGAAAATTGCTTCTTCAGTTGCCAAGCTCCGGCAGCGCTCAAATAAGCTCCGAGAAATCGAAAAAGACATTCCAACATATGGTTCGGCGCTATCAGCTGGAAAGCTTCGGGAAAGGCTGAAAGAAATGAAGGAGATTATCGAAACCCCACTAAAGCGACCTGGTAGCGTATTTCATCTCGCTATTTTATTATTTTTCGATTTATTAAGTTGCGAATGAAGAAGATTTGCCTGGTCAATTTACAAGTGCCCTTGGAAAACTCTACGCAAACATCCATTTCTATGAAAGCGACGAAGAGAACTTGAAAACATTCGTTGGAATCGCAGAAGATGCAATGAGAAAAGCTTGTCTGACTGAAGCGCAGCGTGAACAGATTCGAAATTGGTACGAAAAGATTTACGCTATCTATCAGCACATGCCAAAGGTAAACAAGAAAAAAGTTGACTGAATCTCAGCTCTTAATTTCAGCGGAAGCCAAAAATGTCTTCGCTCCAAAATCGCCGAATCCCGTCTCGAGGAGGGTCGAATTCTCGTGGAAAGTCTCGGCATATGCGAGGAATTAGCCAGCCAGCAACGCAAGGACAGAATCAATCTCTTCCTTGGACCAACCCATACAATAATTTCAACAACGCCTCTGGCTCCATGTCACCAAAAATATTCCACAAAAGAGCTTCTAGTCTCGATGTCACCCACATGGTTCACCATTCAACAAGGTTCCAATAGCAAATTTAAAGAATTTTTAACCGGGTTTTCTAGTCATCAGTCTCAAGAGTCCCTAATCCAACACAGTTCACAGCAGTCACTAACTCGTCCTCATGTAAGACTCATGCCACTGATTGATATTTGTGACGTTGTTTTTAGCCATCCCTTCAAAGCTCGACAGCGTCTCTTACTGGAGATTTCAGCAACAGATATGATCCTGATTCGAACATTTCCAACTCATATCTCTATCTTCCAAGCTAGAAAGAAAAGAAAGTTCATGTTTGTGCACCATTCAAGTCAAATGGGTTGACAAGCCATTTACGCCATTTCGTTTTCAGAACTTGAATATTTTTGGACAAATTGGAGCGGAACCAAAAATGCGGCGATGACTAGCGAATCGAGTAGAGCAAGTGGTTTTGTTGGACGTAAATTTACTCTTGGAAATGGCCCACTTGCTACAGTACGTCGGATAAACGATTACTTCGACGATGCAGACTCCATTTCGCAAGCGCTCGCTGATCTCGTCGGGCTATTCGATAACATGAAATTCAGAGAGTATAGGTACTTTCATTCATTAGCACTATTCATTTATTCAAGCATATTTTAGTCCTGACGAAGACGACGAGTATATTATCGAGGAGACTCGGCTAACAGCGAAGCCAAACGACACTTTTAAGGCTATCAAACAGTCCTTCCAATTACTAAATCATACTCTGAACAAATCCGATGCGTACTCTCGCTTCTCGCGCCGAGAGGGAGCGATCTTTCTCGTCGACCATCTTCTCACTTGCCAGACGCCCAATTTCCCCACGATGATGGGCATGCTCAATATGCGCAAGAAACAGAAGTTCCACAAAGATTTCCCCGTCAACAAACCGAACAATTGTATTCGCCTTCAACCGGAGATGAAGAAAGACCCTCGTAAAGATCTAAGAGAATTGAGGAAAGAAGCCGGCGATCTCCCACTCTTTATGTCCCTCGAGATTATGCCCAGGTCGATTACTAAAAAAGAGGAGGACATGGAAATTACGATGATTCCTGGAAAATTAAACGGAAAGGGGTCGAGAAGTGAAAATTTAACGAGGAGACGGCCCAAGAACCCCCCGCTGAAGCAAATACCCGACAAAGCTAATCACCGTAAGAAACAAACTGGATATCCATTACAATCACTATTTTTAACAAAAAATCAAGAACGAAAGAGAGCTTCCGGAGAAAAAGCCGCCGAACGGATATCGGTTATCAACAGATCTAAAAAGGTTAAATTAAAGTAAGTTTCTTCTTTACCTTTATCACTGCTACACTTAATAAATTATCTTCATCTACGAACATCTTGCTTCTTCGTTGTCACTTTTTGTCAGAATTTAAAGCTGCAATTTATGTCTACCTTCAGGAAAAAACTCAAGCTTCCAGCTGGCATCAGTAGTCGGAAATTCAGGCGAATGAGACAGTGCTCAGTTGTCATCGAGCGACTCGATCCCAAGAAATACAAAAATTTGCTCTTGAACTAAAAGATCCCCTGCTCGTATCAGCTCCAAGTTGTGACTCGTTCTTTTTTTTGTTGCTCTAGCGCGTTCCTTATAAGACTAGCTGACTTGAAGGCTTCGTTCAAAATGGATAAAATTCATTCAAGAAGTAAACTTATTTTAACGATTACAGTGCACGATATTTAAAAAATAAAAGACAAACCATCAAAATTTATAGCGAGAAGATCAAAGCCTTGCTAAGTTAGGCACTGGTTTTTCTCTCTCATCTCAACTATTTTTCTTCGAAAAAAATACGTTTGTTCAATAAGTTTGATTTATTGTTTTCATTCGCAGATCAGGAAAAGTCTGTGTCGTCTGTAAAAAGTGATGTTTGTGTTTCTGTTGTAGTGTGTTTTGGATGTATGTTTGTGTGGAGTGGTGATGGAGGTGGTGGTTTTTGTGTTGTTTTGTAGTTCTGTAGTGTGAGTAGTTTTGTGTGCAAGTGAGTTGTTGGTTTGTCTGAGAGTAATTTTGTGATAGAAGTGGTTTTGTACTGTAGAAGAGAAGAAAGTGAAAAAAGATAGAGTTTGGTACTACCAAATTGGTAGAAGTAGAAAGAAAGAACTTATATACACATAAATGATAAATATACAAGCATGCGCTTCTCCAGATGCTCGAGTGTTAGTGGAATAGCTTAGTAGGGTTAGTCGTGCTGTTAGTTTGTACAAATTAGTAAAGCTGGTGGGGTTAGTTGTGTTAGTAGATTGTTAGTAGGGTTAGTAAATTGTTAGTGAGTTTGTTCGAAATCAATTCGAAGGCTGAGCATTCAGTCAATGCAAGTCATGTTCACGCTTGATGTTACGTGCCCCTCGATAAACTTGGTTGAAATCAAGTGTTCTTCAAGATTTACAGGTTCTGCACTCTGAGCAGGATCAAGTTTGTCCAGCAGGATATCAGGATGTTCCAGATCACTCAGAGGCTAGACAAAATAATAAGATAAGAATTTCAGCTAAAATTTCACCTGAGAGACCCGAACGATGAAGGAAAAGCCGCGAACTTTTGAAGTGACTGGAGTTGAGTTGTAATCTTTGTTCGTCAGAACAACTCTTGATTTACTCGAGTCGATCTTGGCAATTTCAGCAACTTCACTTGAAAATGTTGCCATCGTGATATTTCTGGGAATAATTTTAGATAATATTTGAGTGTTTAGTCTACCTCGAAAAGTTGAGCACAACAGACCAGCCGTTGCTTGGGAGCTTCATTGGGTACTGAAATCGAACAAGAAGTGCAGAGTCGGTTGTTGAAGTTGTGTTGTCAATATCTCGTTCAACAAATTGAACCATTCCTTTTGGCTGTGGTGATGCGTAGGGACAATCTGGTGAGCACATGAATGTTCCGAGACCTTTCATGTTCCACCGGAAGTTGTCTGGGATTTTCTTTGAAAGTGGCGTGCATGTAGCCTTAATTTTTTTCGGCAGCTTGCCTCCTATAGAATAGTTAAAGGTAACTATCTAATCGAACTTCTTACCAGGAATAGTGGGGCGCAAAAACATTCCTTCTGAACATGCGATGAGGCAACTTGACCCTCTGAACCCAGGAAGATTTCCTCGACAGCTCTTAACAACAAGTCCTGTGTTTTCAGGAAGTTGGTCTTCGGTGCAATCCTTCTGCGCGATCGTTTTCCTTCCACAGATGTAGCCTCTTTGCTCTTGACATTTAGCAGATATCCATTTTCCTGGTTGATATCCCTTTGCACTGGCAGTTCCAAAGTAAGCGCAGTTCAGTGCCTCTTCTGATGGCTTTGTTGGCTCTGATGAGTGCCAGTTGCTGTAGTATTTGCCGGAAATTGGTTGACCATCAGCCCATTGAAAAAGTGTCGGAATTTGTTCGGCTCTCTTGAGACCCAAATAAAAGTCGCCATTGATACCGGTTCGAGCGAGCTCCGTCATCAGAGCTTTTCGTTGAACATCACTGTCGATCTTGGCAAGTTGTTTGTCAATCCCCTCGCAGTCTGCAACGGCTTCTTGGTAAGTTCTTGGGCGAGTGAAAATTGTCCACGACATACCAAGGGTAGGATCTGTCAAGTGGAACATAGTGTCTTTGACAGCCCAGTTGAGCCTGAACCCAGCAAACTCTGTTCGAGCATCTGACGTGAACTGGATCTTTAGGGTCTTTCTCGTGAATGTATAAATCTCAGGTTTCTTGCCACAGATAATTCTGTCTTCTGTTGGATCAGAGGGCGGGCTGAGAGAAGAGTCTTCCGAGCTTATTTTGACACTATCATATTGACAGTTTTCTGATTCTTCCAGTTCAAAACCATTGTCGAACCAAACTTGAACGACTTGTCCTTCTTGGAGTTCGCCAACGTCGATTGTCCATTGGCAGTCTGCATTGCTTTTGTAAACTGCCGGCTGTCCCGGTTTCATTGGGCCCATTGGAGAGGGGAAAGAACCAGTCACTCCGTTTGCAACTGTTACTCCGCAATTGTCATCTTGTTTGTTTTCAGCGACTCTCCAGGTTGCATTGAAACCAAGGCCTCCATCAGAAAGATCGGAGGTGAAGATGACCGTCATGGTGTTTCCTGAAGATTGATAAGGGAGCTCACGTGTTTGATTTCCGCAAAGACCTCCAGCAATAACGAAGTCTTCGTCTTCATCAACCCAGTTATCGTAGTCTTCATCATATCTCAACGATCTTCCATTTGATCCAGAGTCTGTGCCGCTTCCGATCCACTTTTTATGAATGCCATCAAGAATTTGTACCCGATCGAATATGCAGTTCTCGTGCTCCTCGATGTCAAAATCGGTGAACTCCAATTCAACTTGAGATCCCTCTGGAACAGTGATTGTTAGGCTTATTAGATGAAAACTTGGCCCATTTTTCTAGCTTAGTTTAGGGGTCATATGTTACAGATTTAGAAAGCCCAAAATCTGAGCTTTCATTTGGGCACCAAATCAAGGGGTCTGGTTTATGCCCGCAAGGCAATTCATGAGACCGGAAGTTCCGAAATCGGCACTAGATCTCTTCAATCGAATTTTTCAGTACCGGTAGTCACTCGAAATGTCTCCAGAATAGGCGCGTTAGAAAGCCTAGTGTCTGAGCTTTCCAAAACGCAAATAAAATCTAGCTGCCCTGCTACATAGTGGCCGCTAGGGGCGCTAGAAACTCAAATTTGGCACCGTAAATGGGATTTCTTGCACTAGAACTTGCTTATTTGGTCGAAATTAAAGGTTTGAATTCGTTAATAAAGACGTAAACATCTCAGAAGTGACGTTTAACAGTGACAAAACCAACCGGTTGAGACCAAGATTATCCCGTTTTCTTCCTAGAAATCCTTAAAATTCACTATTCTAGCGCCCCTAGCGGCCACTAGGTAGCAGGGCAGCTAGATTTTATTTGCGTTTTGGAAAGCTCAGACACTAGGCTTTCTAACGCGCCTATTCTGGAGACATTTCGAGTGACTACCGGTACTGAAAAATTCGATTGAAGAGATCTAGTGCCGATTTCGGAACTTCCGGTCTCATGAATTGCCTTGCGGGCATAAACCAGACCCCTTGATTTGGTGCCCAAATGAAAGCTCAGATTTTGGGCTTTCCAAAACTGTGTCATTTAACCCCTAAACTAACTTATAAAAATGACCCGAATTTTCATCTAATAAGCCTAGTGATTGTCCACGTGCACTGAAGATGATCATGGTAAAAAGAAGTCTCGTTGTTCGTGAACTCATTCCCGATCGTAATCGTTCCATCATAGCCAATAACGTCTCCGCCACAAGCTATGTTAGTAGTTTGCTCAGTGTAATCAGTGTCGTCAGTCCAGTTGCCATTGATCATATCGTCGATCCAATCTCGCACAGAAGCAATTTTTGCATAGAGTCCTGGTTTGTCCTCGTCCCCACAGCCTGTGCCAGAGATAACTCCGACCAATTTTGGCGACTCGCCCTCAACGCAAATCAGTGAACCCCCGCTGTCACCCTTGCAAGTATCGATTGTTCCGTCGCCGTTTCCAGCGCAGAATAAGGAATCGTGTATCGTTCTGTTGTATCTCGTAGTACTGTTGCAATAGGCATCCTCGAAGATATCGACATGCGCTTCTTGAAGTCTACCTTCGAAAGAAGAAGAATCAGTCGCATCAGTAAGACCCCAGCCAGCGACGTAGCAGTCTGCAGTAGTAGTGTTCGTGTCTAATGCTTCATCCTTTTTGAGGTTATAATACAGTTCAGGTCGTATAAAATTCTGAGAAAATAAAACTCATAAAAGCTTTTACTAGGGAACACCTCATTCCTGAGCTGGAAGACAAATCGGCGCTGTAATATTTCTGTCACTAAGATCCAATGAGTCTGTTTTGTAGCGAAGTAAGCAGAAGTCATTCTCAAATTCTCCTTCCTCTGTTCGCATGAAGTCCTTATGCTTCAAAATTTGGTCTGGATAGTAGGTTTTTTCATCTCCAGTATCCAGATACTGGTCGTAGTCGTTCGTGACGGTTTCATAAGCGTGAGGATTTGGGCCTTGGCAGCACTGGGCTGCAGTAAGTACCCAGTTTTCCGAAAGAATTGAACCAGAGCAGCCAAGTCTAAATAATAGTTGTTCACAAAACAAAGTCGCTGTTAATCTTACTTTGGGAATCGAACAAGCCATGTCCATCGATCTTCGACAGCATTTTTACCTCCGATGACACGTTCTTCTTGTTCCTCTTCCTCTTCGTATTTGCCCTTTTTCTTTTTCTTTTTGGCAACACGTGTTGAACGAACCATCGTTTTGTAGAATTTTTTCTTCTCTTTTTTGCTAAGAAGCAGATCTTCATCTGGCTCCTCTGGTTCTTCCTCCCATTCCGAGTAAAGAGAAAGTGATTGAGGAAGATAGACATCTTGAAGCATGAATGTTTCTCGGTCTGGCAATTCTAAGACAGTTCCTAAAAATCATATTAAATAAATATAATATTTTATGTCACTAGTCGCAACTTTCTACCGCCAAAAAATTTTTATGGTTCAACCCTAAATTTTAGGTCCTAAACTCCAAGATTTTTGATAGAGCTTTTTTAACTCACGTATTATACATTCAAAAGCAGAAAAAATACATTTTTAAAGAAGTCTTTTAACCTCTATAGAGAGTTTTACTGAAAAAGATTTGAACCTGAACCTTCGAAGGTTGTGTCGATTCTCCCGAGTCGGGAAGCAGATCTTGAAGACAATCCCGTATCGTCGGGGGCCCATTTTGTTCCCATATCTGCACATGTCTGCAAGGGGTCATCAGCCTCGGAACCGCTTCTTCCAGCAATACCACCTGATGCAGTCGCGTGAGCTTTAAAAAAAGTTAAAAAACAGGCATCAGAATGTCTCTAACTTACCTACTCCACAAAAGACTGAGGAATAACTCGCTATCCTCATCGATTTTGTTCAATCTTGTAGGATTTCTTTTGATGCAGTTCGGTTGAACCTTTTTTTCTTTTATAGACTAGCACTTGAGATATATTTCCGCTCATTTCAGTCGTAGATGACAGCGCGCACTTGAAATGTCCGACATCCCGGAGACAGTTTCCGAGATTTTTTTCCAAGATTTATCTTACTGTACTTGCAACTACATTTCAAGTACTCCTGAAATTTTTGTTCTGACTAAACTTACCTGTTAAAAAATATATCTTGATGATTATAATCGCATGAAATTAAATCGTAAAATGGCTTTGATAAAATATTAAAAATTCATATTTATAAACATCTATCAAGTTCTGGAATAATGTCATTGACATTACAATTTTCTGATATGAATAACTTGTCGCTGTTGGTGGTGGATGATCACCGATCTATCTATACGTACTTGTTGTAGTCGTTGTTGTTGTTGTCGTCGTCGTAGTTGTAGTTGTCGTGGATGTTGTTGTCGTTGTCGTGGGAGCATCTGGAATTTCAGTGCAATAAATGTATGGATTCGATTCTGGCTTTGTTCCCGGGGCACCGCTATAGCAAATTCTGCAGTGAGGTTTTCCACAGTGGTTGCAACCAAGTCCCCGAAAGGATCAGAACCACTCCAGCATCGAGCATCATATTTTGTGCCTCCGCAATCGTCGCATGTGTACTCAGGTGGATCGACTGTAGTTGTTGTGGTGGTAGAAGTTGATGTTGAAGTGGTGGTAGTTGTAGGTGGTGTTGTTGGTCCTTCGGGAGCTTACAAAAATCAAATAGTAGTTCGAAATCAATTGTAAATTTTTAATCGAGAAACGGACTAGATAGCGCTGGAACTATAAAAATGGTCAGCTTACTTGTTGTGGTTACTGTTGTTGTCGTTGAAGACACCGTGGTAGTTGTGCCTCCAGGTGCATCTGGAATTTGGAAACAATAAACATATGGATTATTGTCTGGCTTCGTTCCGGCTTCTCCATCGTAACATAGTCGGCACTTTGGAAGGCCGCAATGGTTGCAACCGAGTCCACCGAAAGGATCGTCAACGCTACCTTCCCAGCATCGATAGTCATACTTGGTGTTACCGCATTCGTCACAAGAGTATTCTGGTGGCGGTGGCACAAAAGTAGTCGTTGTTGTAGTAACGGTTGTTGTAGTTGATGTTCCAGTTCCTAAATAAGATGTCGCGTAATGTGGTGTCATGGAATTTTTAACCTGTAGTCGTTGTTGGACCATTTGGGCCGTCAGGCCAGTATGGGATGTCCGAGCAGGGAATGTAAATAGAGTCATTAACGGATTCATCTTCATCACAAATTCTGCAATGAGATTTGCAGTGATGACATCCGATTCCTCCGAATTCACATCTCGCATCGAAAAATGTGTTTCCACAGGGACACTCGTGCCAAGTAACTGGCGTAGTGGTTGTCGTAGTTGTTGTTGTCGTAGTGACTCCGGACATTTGAGCAAGTGTCCAGAATTTATCGGTACAGTCTCCACCAACGATGCCGTGAGCGACGCCGTTCTGAGCAACAAAAGCACGATCGTCTGAAGCAGAAGCGCGGCACGTTATATTTTGATCTCCAATATGGAGAACAAGGTCGATGTATTCTTGCTCAGGAGTAGCGCCAGTTGAAGTAGCAAGAAGTGGATCTGAGTAGATAACGTAGATATCCCCCTGCCAGCTCATGCCATGAAGATGGTACGTTTCTCCGTTTTTAACCCAGGCACCGTAACCAGTTCCGTACTTCAAGTCTCCAGGAGTTCCCCATCGTTTGTCCACATTATTTTACCGTTGTTTATGCATCCCACATTATCATCACACGGAAGGTTCGGATCATATCCTGGTCCAGAGAGAGTTAACTCTCCCATGTCAGGTGACCAGATCATCATGATACGGCTTTTCACCGAATTATCGCAAGCATATCCTCCGACGAATTCCGGAACCTCGTTGGTACATCCTGCAAATTCTCCGTAACCGTTCATCTGAGGCGCAGTTACTTGAGAGTATCCGCCGAGAGAATCATCATTTGTGATGTAACTAGGAGCAACAGGGTAGCCACCTGATGCACCAAATTTAACATGACGAGGAGAGTTGAAAGAGACTTCTTCAAGTAGAATATGCACAAGGCAATAACCATGTTGTTTCATTCCAAGTCCGCAGTGTTGTGGCGCTTCTAAAGCTCCACCCCCACCATGCTGTTTCTGACCAGAAAATGTAGTGTTTTTAATTCGGAATACATGATTCATTCCTGGAATAAGAGAATGGTGAAGATAGTCCTCGCTCAAGTAAAGACTGTCCTCAATGTGATAGGCGGTTGGATCAGCCATGTTTTTCGAGCGTTTCCAGTAGATGGCGCTGTTGACGTCGACTGATACAAATCTTCGGTAAGAGATATCGCGCGCGTCGTACTGGCCGCTGAAAATGTTGTGCCAGTCGAACTGGTCATCAATGTAGCTCACGTGACCATTGTCGGACCCATCAGGTTTAAATCTGTTGCATGTCTTGAAATCATCAACATAACCGTCCTCATCACGTGAAAGTTGTCTTGGATGCTGGTTATCAGGGTAAACCCCGAATCGACCATTATCGTGGAAAGTATTTCGCTCGTAAATCCCGAATGGAGCACTTTGCGTGCAAACTTTTCCGGCTGCTTGCCCCTTTCCATTTCCAGTGTTTCGAGTCCAATGACCGTGCTCATGTCCTGCTACGCGGTTTTCAATAGCGTTGTTTGTCATGCCAAACCAAAACAAGCCACCTTCTTTGACACCAGACTCTCCTTGCCACTGATGATGAGAGTATCGACAAATTGCAATATCTTCGCATAGCATGACGTTTCGTGTAAAGGTGTTGTTCATTTCATTCCCGTCTTCTGTGTATATTCCCACTGAGGCTGTGTTCCACATGACGTTCTCTTCGAGAAGCGACTGATGAGTACCGTGGATAACCATCGCTCCTTGAACAGCGTTGAAGACGGAGTTGCCGATCCATTTGCATCGAGGACATTGTTTTTTCAAATGAAAATGGAAACAGTATCGTCCCATTACGTCAAATTGGCCACAGTTTTGCGTTCTTACGTATCTAATATCGAATACAGAGTCATCATGGTTGTCAGCATTAAATGTTCCGAAATGAAATCCGTTATGCCAATCAGGGTGAGTTTGGTTCATGAAGTTCTCGTCGGGTCCGTGGATTTTGATATTTCGTGACAGATTAATGACTTCTGCAGCCATTTCTAGCATGTATCCTTGAATATCTCGCATTCCTCCCCAATGAGTACTTGCTAGTGGTGTGTCAAGAGTAACAGTGCGTCCGTCAATTGCCGTGATAATGCCTCTAGATCCTCGATCTCTGTTGGTCATGGCGACTGCGAGTTCATCACCAACTTTCCAGCCCATTGTCGTTGGATCATCTCGTAGTAAGAGCTCATTAGTGTCCTTAGCTGCATCGGTTGAAAGTAAAGTCCAAGTTCGGTCGAGTTTCCTTCCGTGCATGTAGACAGCAGTATTTTCTTCTGCTACGAAAAATCTGCTGCCGTAGTCATCGTGGAATCCAAATCCAGTCGAGTCGCTATTGATCGGATGCCAATCCGGGGTTGGTTTTCGAATATAAATTTCTGCATTATTTTCCATCGGGTCTGCCTCTGTTCCAAGCTCGAACGTTGCGCCCGGCTTGACCAGAACCCAACAACTGCTCAAGACAAGCCCATCTTTAGATGTGTCCCATTTGAAATCACCTTCAATATCGAGTGTTCCAACGGTCATCGATTCATCAAGAATGTAAGTGTCTCCTGCTGGAAGAACACAAGCAGTGTCTGGACAACACGCTTGAGTAGAGTCAGCAACGCAATCTGGCTTTATAGAGCTCCACGTTACCGTCGCCCCAAATATGAGCTTGGCATTCAAGGCCCATTTTATAACCGAAACCATTGTCTAAAATACCTGAAGTTAAATCGAACGTAAGCATGCTTATTTCTCTTGCTTGAGGTAATGTTGGAAAATTTCTCTCTTAAAAAGTCACTCGTGAATATGGCCCATTTTCAGCACCGACTTCTGATCCGTTAAGACAAAATAAGGTCATTGAATTGAAAATCTAAGACCTTTGAAATTCCGACTTATTCATGCGGTATAATTGATTCTGACGAAATTCATAATTAGAAACGAAACAAAGTGATCGTAAAGCTTCTCTTTTAGTCGTCATGGTATTGACTTGAAAGCAATTGCCAATTTCCCACAACAAAATGATAGAGATCTACGAAAGCTATATTAAAGACTGATGACAAAACAATTTTGTTTTCTCAGAATTATCTTCACCAGCCGCGGCAGGGCGAAATTTTCTTCGCGAACTTTCCTTCTTCAAAAAGACAATACTCAGGATGAAGAGCTGCAGTAAAACAACTGTGCGCTGGAGCAATTCGAATGAAGTCACCGACTTTGAAGCGTGTTCTTTTGGCATGATTTTAAAGCATGTCATAATAAATTTGGGGGTGAAAAAATTGGTTGTTGAAATCTTTCCTGAGGTCAAAGTCCCCAGATTTTAGTTTGAGCTTTCCGGCTTCTTGGCTCATTCCAGATATGAACATATCATCATTAGGCTAATAAATCTTAGAGTGTCCTTTCTATCAGAAAAATGCTACCGCTAGAACTTTTCCGAAATCGAGCTCGGGAGAATCCTTTGAAATTGCTAAAAATCCGGCGTCAATGACGATGTAGCTCTCGAACACAGAGTTAACTCGAGATAGAACGAAGGCGCCGATGTCGGCCTCTTTACAACTTCCTAGAGTTTCTTGGCAGTAGTCGTAGAAACAGTAGTTTCCAGGGTGTAGTTCGTCGAGCTCTCCGAATTCGTCTACGGGCTGTCCACAACCTGGAGTAGATCCAGTGCTACGAGAAGATAAAACCTACAAATACTGGTCTTGTACCCGATGAATATAGGCGCAGCATCTTCGAATTGATCTTCCAAGTGATCTCTTAGTTTTTTCAGCTTGGCCACAGTTTCTTTGTTCATCTCTTCAATTTTCTCGACTGTCGAATCCTTATTCCTCAAATAAGTATGTCCGCAATGATTGTAAATGCCCATGAAGGTGAACCGATCTGGCGCTGCTAATAATCGTGAAAGTATTTTGGAAATTTTAGCTTCCTCTTCGACGTTGATTCCGCTTCGTTCATAGCCAGTGCTCACCTCGATTAGCACTTTCTAAAGTTTCGTCATCAAATTATCCAGTAATATCGCTGTTTACCCATGGCTTGTTACAATCTTCCAAAATCTCGAGAACCTCAACAGTGTTCACCAAAATCGACACGTCTTTCTGCTCATGAATAGCCTTCACCCTCTTCAATTTGTCCTCAGTAATCGGTATCGCAAAGAGGATGTCATCAAAACCACCATTTGCGAAAAACTCTAGTTCTGCTAGAGTCGAGACTGAAATTTTCTTTTTACTTGGAGCCATCAATTCTCCAATTTCAAGCGTTTTGTGAGTTTTCATATGCGGACGCAAAACACAGTCATACTTTTTCGCCATGTCGATCATATTTTGACTTAATTTTTTTTACAAAAAATGTCAAGTTGTATCTACCAATTTCGTTTGACAACATCTAAATCGACGATAAACGCAGGAGTTGATAAATCTTCAAAATTAAACGCTTTCATTTTTATCTCTTACGATCTTTCACCCAACATCAATATTTGCTAAAAAAAAGAAGATTCTGAGTCACGATTTATTGGCAATAAAAGCATAAAGATTTTGTCGGTTTATTTCAAACTTTTCAGTTCTAAAACAAGAGGCCCTAGGGTCGTTTCAATATAATTCTTCATTGCTTCACAGGTTGGCCCAGTTTTCAATTGAAAGTCTTCCAAGTTGCTATTCCAAAGTACTATTCCGTCTCCACCTCGGTCTTTTATGCCATAGAAAGCATGTTCAAGGTCATCTTTTGTGAGAAACTCTGGTTTCATAGCAATGCTATGATATGATAGCATACTGTACTCGTTGATAATGAAACACTGGAGATGACAGTGTAAATTTGTCCCGAACACGGATTGCTTCGCCTGTTCTTGAGAACGTATACGCTGTGATGTTTGGAGAATTTTTTTGAGCAAGCGGAATATAACTTGAAGGAAAAATGGCGGTGGATTCATACCACAACCAGTCGGTTTCGTCATCCTAGAAGATTTATACGATCAATATTTATCTTGAAAGTACCCATGTCACTGCTCTCCCATCACAGTTCATCTCTCCATTGAATTGATTATGGCAATCAGGAAATCTATAATATCCCCACTTTCCTCCGGGTCTAAGCTTCTGACAAGTTTTCAATGTCTTCAGCATAAATTCTCTTGCAGCATCATTGAAATCACGATGAGAATAATCTAACTGTTCATCTTCGGTCGCATTTGGATACATCTTCTTTGCTAGAAGAAGACTCTGGTCTCGATAGATTTGTCGACTGTCCCAGTTACGCTCCCAAAGTGGATCCCATTGCTCCCAGTCCAAAATTGCGATGCTGAAAGTCTCATTTTTCTGGTTTATATTTGACAATTTACCCATTGAACTCTTTATTTGGAATCATTTCGGTAACAACTCTAGCGACACTATCAAGGTGTCTATCCAAATCGCCAAGTTGTGGGAGCCCTCCATTGACAGCATTACTATTTGCATCAAAGTAAGGCCACGTTCCAATCACATGCGAGTAGAGAATATTTACGACAGAGCCATTCCACGATTGATTCTCATTCGCTTCAATTCCGTATTTTTCCAATTGCAAGTCTATGCCATGCTTCGGACAGTTCTCTGAGGGGGTGTTCCAAAAAACTCGAAAAGACGGGTCTTCGATGGCTCCAAGGAACCCAAAAAACTTTAGAATTTCTCTCATTCGAAAATGCAGTATCTAGTTATTTGCCGAGATTTCCTTCGATACGAGATGGTTTTGCTTGTTTAGATCTTAGCGTTGGTTGAGCGATTAACACCTGCATAAATCATGTAATATTGCTTCGACTGACGATGCTAGAGCATATACATATGATTTTATGTTAATATTTTTATTAAGATAACTATATTACCAATACAGTATTGGAACTTACAGAGGTGCTACTTTATTGTTTAACGGTTAATCAATCTCTGTGCCAGGATCATGAAGTCCCCAGTGTTCCAATTGACATTGAAGAGACCAAACACGGCAACAGATCCAGCACCATTCTGTATCACAAAATGGTGCCTGGCAGGTCATGTGGTTGCAGCCGGAAATTTTCTCCGCTGGGGTTTGACAATCTGGGCATTTCTAAAAAAAGTTTTAACAGAAATCTTTTTCGGACCAACTTGTACCTTCATTTTTGCAATCAATGACTTAGAATTATCATTACTCGGTGCATTCGAACATTCGCCTTGATGAGCCTCTTCGTTACAATTAGCACAGAACTGGTAGTAGCAAACTGGGCAAGTTATAATGCCGCCTTCTTTTGTCTCCACAAGAAATACACTTCCACAGCTTTGCTTTGGGCAAAAGAGCCTATTTTCTTGCTTGGAAAGGAAGAATTCTGTCGACATTGTTCCGTAGAGATCGTAAATTTCATCTCCAAAGAGTCGAAGAATCTGGGGTTTCCAGGTTTTATCAGGAACTGAATGACAGGCCGGACAGGCGAGCATCACGCCGGAGGAATTGAAGGATAATGCTGGGCTTTTTCGTTCTTTGATTGAGTGTTCGGCGTAACGCTCGTAGCAGGGAAGACATGTGACGTGACAGGGCAGTCCAGATTTCTAAAAATGGAACTGAAATCAAGGAAGAAATTAAGCGTGTTTACCTGGAAAACAACGACGGGTTCTAGTCTTATTTCATCGAAACAAATGCAGCACAAATTTGAAGAACCGCCTCCTTGAAGCCGGATGTTCTCGGGAAGACGAAGTTGTGGAATGATGATTTGGTCACGATCGTGTTCTGTACAAATTGAATTTTTCGAAGGATTTGGAACTTCGCAGGAGCATCTGGGCTTTGAAGAGATGAGGTAGCTTTGACATTGAGAGCAGGTGATTTTGGGATATGCAGGGGTTGGGCTTCGAGTGGTTTTGACGCATTCTTTGCAAATGGCGAAGTTGATTTCAGGAAAGTGAGGATGGTGCTCAACGGATTTGCCAAAGACAATCGAATTCAAATACTGAAAGAGTACGTTACAAATGGACATTTTGAGGGAAATCAAACGACATACTTTAAAAATCAGTACGGGGCAAGGTAATTTTACCGTTGAAAGGATATGTCCTCGAGATTCAGGCGGGAAGAGGATGAATTCAAAATGCTCCAAGGAGAAGAGATCGGATAGAACGGTCGTTGGAGTCAATTCGACTCCTGTAAGGATGAGCCGTGAATCTGGTGCTTCTGAAAGATGTGTATGGGTGAAGAAGAAGGATCAAAAATGTGAACATACGGCACAAATCAAGAATATCTTTCACGGAACAGTTTCGCTCAATTTCCAAATCGATCCTTTTCCCATTTTCTTTTTTCAGAAGCGAGCAAAGAACTCTCTCCCTAACCAACTTCCGCTCTTCATCCATCTCCACCTTTCTTCTCCAGACTCTCTTATCAGCAGCGATCGCCCATCAAGAGATTTCTGAGAATTCGACGTAGCGCCCACGATTTTCCCAAGTTGTGAGTCACTCAGCTCCTCCCCGGGCGCTCGGACTTGAACTAAAAATGGAGAACAACTCGCCAAACTTGAGCCAGAAAGAGAAAAACGCCAGAAATGAAGATTTTCAAGACCTTGGGACTTCTAGCTGCAGTTGCTGCTGAAAGTTATACAGTAAGAGGCCATAATTATCATGCAGTTGTAATAATTTACCAAAAAATGACGCTTTTATTTTTTAATTCCTCACTTTCATCCTTAATTTCTTGTTTTTAGGTGACTGAGGAAGTAACATTCGTCATTTACAACCGCTGGAGAAAAGTGGGCGATATCAAAATTGGTCTCTTTGGCGAGGTAGTCCCGAAAACGGCCAAGAACTTTTGCAAACTCGCTTCAGGGTCAGCAAGAGTCGGAAAATACGCAGGGTAAATGTACGTGGTGATAGATTTTACAGCACTCTGGCATTCTTACTAACATTCTCTTAAGATCCAAGTTCCACCGAGTGATCGAGAATTTCATGATCCAAGGCGGCGATTTTACCCGACACAACGGACAAGGAGGCTACTCCATTTACGGGCGCACTTTTCCCGATGAGAGCTTCGCCATTCCTCACAGCACTGGAGTCGTTTCGATGGCCAACAGAGGCCCAGATACAAATTCGTCCCAGTTTTTCATCACTACTGTGAAAACATCCTGGCTGGATGGTAAACATGTTGTTTTCGGAAAAGGTTAGAATTTTATTATTGTTCGCTTTTCTAGCCTTTTATAGTTGTCGACGGCTGGGATGTCGTGAAGACAGTGGAGCGCTATGGAAAATACGACACCTTCAGAATCGAAAGAGCAAGTTGCCGAGAAATTTTCAACGAAGATCAATACGAAATCGATATAAACGGCGAAGAGTAACATCGTTTTCCCTAGTTTTTCTCCTTTTCCTCTTCTGTTCTTTATGCCCACTTTATTAACCTTTCATCTTTTGTTTTACACTAGAAAAGCTATCTAAACTGAGCAAAATATCTAAAACCCTCGATTCAGAAAACTCAAATAAACATTCAGAAATGAAATTCCTGAAGTCTCTCTTTCTCGCTGGTTTGGCCAGCGCAAACCAATCTTTTCGAGTCACGAAAGAAGCAGTTTTCGACGTAACAATTGACGGTCAAACTGCCGGACAAGTCGTTATCGGTCTCTTTGGTGAGGATGTACCAAGAACTGTCGACAACTTTTGCCAGCTTTCTGCAGGTCATGAAGTTGGAACTTACGAAGGGTAAGTGCATCTAATCGTGTGCGAGAAAGCAAAATGACTTTAGGTCGACTTTCCATCGAATCATCAAAAACTTCATGATCCAGGGCGGTGATTTCACCCGTGGAGACGGAACAGGGGGCAAATCCATCTACGGGAACAAATTCGAAGACGAGAACTTCTCCATTCCTCATGCTATTGGAATGATTTCAATGGCTAATGCAGGGCCAAACACAAATGGTTCACAGTTCTTCATCTGTACCGCTCCTACGCCTTGGCTCAATGGAAAACACGTGGTCTTTGGAAAAGGTTCTTTGATAAATAAATCATCTAAAACACTTGTTTCTTGATCAATTTTTCATGTTAAAACTGGTCATAGAAAGTCTAAAGGGGGCTTACATTCAGTAGTTAAATGTTGATTCATCTTTTTAGTGAGTTCTGGATTCGACGTTGTAAAGTCAATGGAAGCTGTCGAGACTGGCGGTGCCAGAGGACGAGATTCGCCAAGAAAAGAAGTCAAAATCGCTAGATCTAGCTGCCGAGATCCAGACCATTCGTACACTCTTGACTCCAGCAACTTGTAAATTTCCTAACTCAGGTTCCATGACCAACTTCTTGATAGTTATAAATTGTGTATTTATAAATTTATCAGTGCAATATATTCAAGAGCTATCTTTTAGTAAGAAGCTCCATTCTATAATTCATCTCAAATTTGTTCCTATTATTCTAACCCGATTTCTGTGACTCTATTTTTTCTGATGCCAACTGGTGTTCCAACTTTCCAAAGCCCATTTTTAATGCATTTCTCAATTTCAGAATAAACTCGGGATGGATTTGACTGATCCAAAAGTTAAAAACTCGGATAAACTTGAAATCTGTCGCAAGTTTTTCTTCGGCGGTTTCGCACTCCTGCCCTGGCTCTGGCTTGTCAACGGCGTTTGGTTCTTCCGAGAAGCGTATTTCAAAGAGCCCTTCGACGAGCAGATCAGAATTCGAAAGTAAGAAACCGAGTTATTAGGTATTTGCGGTATCTTAAATTTTAGATATGTAATGTACTCAATAATTGGCGCTACGGTTTGGATAGCGGGACTGACCGCCTGGAACTGCGTCTTTCAGATGAATCGTGCGTCTTGGGGTGCAACTGGCGACGTTTTATCAGGTAATATCCCCATCTCTATCCTTGCATGGTCAGTTATGCTGCATAACTTATGCTAATTTTTAGCCTACATTCCCGTCGGAATCCCATAGAATACCGCAAAAGAAGCTCAGCGTGACTCTTCATCAAAAAAATACTCATTTTCAATGTCAAAACTTTCTTCTGTACAGAAAAATACTCGAGCCTTTAATTTCCCTCCAATAAACTCATTCCACATGAGCCTCAATAAGTTAAATTGCTGCTAGAATGCGAGAGCCAGCATTTTCAAAAGCCGAAGAAAACTTTGCCAAATGTGCGATTTTCGAGGGCAACAGACTCGATGGCAGGAGCTACCTTGAGATGCGCAAGTGTTCGATTGAATTTGGGCAGGAATTCGGCACCTGTGTCGCTAGTATAGGAAATACACGAGCCCTAGCGCATGTTTCTTGCTCTTTGGACAGGCCTAGTGAGGTTCGACCGTCAGAGGGAAAAATTGTCTTCAAAGTTGAGCTGCCGCCCCTAGCATCCCCCAGTTTTGATCTAAATAAGAAGTCTGCTTTTGCGATTGACTTAAACCGGTTGTTAGAAAAGGCTATTGTTCAAAGGTAAAAATAAATCGACCTGCTGAGGCTTGAATTGTGTTTAGCCGTTGCATTGATATCGAAGAACTGTGCGTGCGAGCTGGGGAACAATGCTGGACCCTGCGAGTAGAAGTGACTGCGCTAAATCACGAAGGAAACCTTTCCGATGCTCTTTGTCTGGCTGCTATGGGCGCTCTCATGCATTTCAAGCGACCAGAAGTGACTGTAGATGGGCACGATGTAAAAATTCATACTGCCGATGAAAAAGAACCAACAAGATTGACCCTTCATCATAAACCATTCTGTGTTACGATTGGATATATTGAGGATGATCGAACAGGTGAATTTAGCAGAAGATAAATTTGAAGATGAGAAAATTTTAGAATCGGATGGAGATAGACAAAAGATTTTGGTCCTGGATCCAGTGAGGCAGGAGGAACAAGTGTTGTCGGGAATAATTTCAATAGCTATCAACAAGCATAGAGAGGTAAGTCAGTTCAAATAGCGGTTTTTAACCCGTTAACAGGGTGGTCGATTTCGCCTACGCCTGTTTGTGATTGAGTGAAATCATGGATTCGGGCATGCGATTGGCTACTCGTTTCCACGCGTGGCCGTGAGACGGCCACGCGCCTGTTAACGGGTTAAGAACAACATCCTCAGCCATGTCTTCGTTAGTGCGATAGTTTTCTACTTTGGTCTTCTTTTGGTGTCGTTGTTTGAAAGTCCACGGGTTAGGGTAAGGTGCATGACGTATATTATCATCAGCAGCGTCTGATGTTTCGGGAATGTCGGCTGCCAGGATCTCCTTGACTTCTTTCTCGGCTTTTTCGATTTCTTTCTTTGCGACAATTTCTAATGCCTTTTTGTCTTTGACACTTTTCTCGAGAGAAACAATCTTTTTCTTTTGAATTATTACAAATGATTTAAGATGGACCCTAAATGATTGAATGATTGGAGCTTGAGGATTCCCATATTCAGCAGCGATGAGTGTTTCATCTTCGTTAATTATGCTATTTGATTCGATTTCTTCACAACTTTTGGTGATCTTTTGCATAGCTTCAATGGCATTGTTAAGATTATTGACATCAAGGCTTGTCTGTTGCTGTTTTTCTTTCAGGGCATCAAGTGAGGACATTTTTTTCTTGAGCAAAGCCTCGCGTTCTGCTAGTTTTTTGTTGAAGATTTTCTCTTTCTCCTCTTGTTTTTTCTTGAAAAGAAAACGCTTTACTTCCAAGGATCGTTTAATCAATTCCATTTTTGAAAAGAAATCTAATGAGCTTGATTGTGATCTTCTTTGAGTTGATCCCTGCCTTTTATACCTGGGCCCGGATGTTGTTCGAAATATCATTTTATTTCGAAGTCAGTCAGTTTAATTCTTGATTCAGATCTGCGCGATGCGAGTCTCTGGTAATCGCGAGTTGGATAGCTCGCAAATTCTTTCCTGTACCAAGATTGCTGCAAATAAGGTGAAGGATCTGCAAGAGCTGATAGAAACGGCAATCAAAAAAGATGACAAGCAACGAAAGAAGGGTCGTATTCCAAGAGTGAATTGTACTGTAATGGACTCTTATCTCGGCGATCTTGGAGACATAAGCGATATTTTGGAGCAGATCAACAATATAAAAATGGAAGCTCAGCCGGAAGTGGAAATCGTTAATGAAGTTGAACCCATGAACGAGGATGAAGAGGTACACGGTGACGAGGAAATGGTCGAAAGTAAGCCAGATGTGACTGAGGTTGAAGTGATCACCCCGAAAACGGAGTCGAACTGGAGTGAGACGGAGAAATGGTTCGACAGTGAGAAACAAGTTTTTGTGAGGGCTTCATGTACGTTTATGTTTTTTTTATAATTTTTTCTGAATCCCTCCAAAGCAGATAAAAACGAGACGAGCAAACAGACCGCTCCAGAAACAACTGCCGACGATAGTGAAGAAGAAGAAACAGTTCAGATTACTAGCACTGAGTTAAAATAGCAGCTTCAATTGTATTTTAAAACTGGACGAAATAAAATCTTCTAGAACTTGTCTCTATTGATTCAACTGTACCGTGCGATCGCCCATTGTCAATATAATCCTTTAGGTCATTTTTATATTTTTTGTAGACTCAGTTATGCAAGCACATGGGGATGGAATGCAAGTCCGCTACGATCCAGGACTCACACAGATGCGAAGAGAAAGGTTCGGCCAAGCTCATTGATAATAAGCTCATGGCTTTTCTAGAGACGCCCTTCAGTTGGAATTGAAATCACGAGAGACAAAAGAGAAGGAACTTGTCAAGAGAGTCCGCAGACTTGAGAAAAGACTCAATGACGCGATTGACCAAGATCAAATTGTGGAAAAGCTCAAAGCACAGGTTAAGATTTGTCAAGAAAGAAATGTTTTCAAAGAAATTTAGGTTGCGAAAAGAGACAAGCGATTCAAAGATCTCAACGCGTATCTGAAAAAGCTGCCTACAATGGACGAGTTCCACCAAGTCACCTCCGAGCGCGATCGTCTAGAATGCGAGAATAAAGAACTAACAGTCAACTTTCGTGAAATCAAAGAGAAACTCGGACCGTACATCGAAAAAGTCCAGACAATGTCGACCGAAAAGCATCAACTGGAGAAGGAAATCCGCGATCTTTATCAAGCTAAAAGCGAGCTGGAAGACAAGCTTTGCTGCACGAATGTGACGAGTATAGATAATAAAGAAAACAACTCCCAAGAGATTCTTGAAGAGAAAATCGAGCAACAAAGGCTGATAGAGACCAATCTCATGGCTAGACTCAAAAGAGAACGACAAGAAAGACACGATGAGGTTCAAAAGTAAGAGTATTTATTCCGGTTCTTGTTTTTCAGTTGAATATTTACAATAATAGATACGAGTCGGAGATAAGTCAGCAGTCGAAGTCGCTCCAGCTGATGATGGACGCTCTGAAAGAGAAAAATAATGAAGTCGAAGTATCAAAAGCTGATATATACGAAAAAGACGCGCTGATAGAAAAACTAAGGAGAGACATTGAAACCTTGACGGGAAGCAATTGTCCGGAAGCGATCAAGGAAGAACTTACAAGTGAGTTTTGTTTTACATATTTTCCTCCTCTTCGATCGAGGGAATTGTTGGCATTGGAGTGGCTGGGTCGTTTTGTGAGAGCGGGAATTCCCGAACTATCCGGTTCGGTTTCGATGGAGGAGGTCCCCAGCAACGGTCTTTGGCCATCGGAACTAGGAAATTTTTAAAATATGATTCTGTGGCTGACAGACAACTTTACCTTGTTCTGGTGCACTTGGGACGGGCTTTTCCTCTTGGATCCTTGTTGCTCTGCTAGGTATTGGCGGTCGAGGAGCAGCTTGTTTCAGGGATGGGGCGTTTGGTTGATTTCTCGTTGCCGCTGGGACGGGATGGTTTATCGCTCTTTTTCTAAGCGAAATTTATATTCAGTGATATCAATTTTGAATAACTTACGGAAACGCAAAGCATGAGATGCTGACTTCGCGGTCGAATTTCAGCCGTGGTCCATTCTCACTCACGATGCAGAATGGGCATTCGCCCATGTCTGGCAATCGTTTGCATTTTCGGCAGATTTTGTGGCCACAAGAGTCGAGGCGGACGAAAGTGTTCTAATCAGTAAAATCGAAAATTTCAAAGTTTAGTGCTTTACCTCATGGTTATTCTTGCAGTGGCACATGAGCAGACTTTTTAGCTTCCGCTTCTCCATTCGCAATTTTTTGATCTCTCTTTCCCGGTTAACAGCAGTCTTCTCGTATTGTACGAGTTTCTTGTTGGCCTTTTGCTCAGCGCTAAAGCAGCCTCCCATTTTCAATATAGAGCTTATATTCTAAGTCAATTCGAAAAAGTTTAAAGTTTTGGTTCTTCTTGCTTTTTTACTGTCTATCTGTTTGGTTGGTGGGTTTATGTGGCGGATGAATGTCTCCCTCTATCAAGCAGTTTTTATCCGCCGCAAATTTGGGGGCGCTATTGAAGACTTATCACAAATTCCCCCGAACGAACCAGCGTAATGCCATATTCTCACATTATTCACGATGTGATAGCGTTCACTGATAATCGCTAGCGGTTCCCACATTTAAATTCCTATTTAGTCGCCATCGAGGAACTTCAATCTGTGATCGACTTGACAGTTGAGCACGACGACTCCGACTCTGAAATCAGCGAACTGCACATGACAATCCGCGATCGCGATCACAAAACTTTACCGATGCTTATGGACCAAATTTCAGCAATTCGAAAAACAATCCTTGATCTACACGCTTCCCACGCTACCGAAAAGTGTCAAGTTCAATAGTTCTATAAACCGAATTTGCTTCTTTATCCATCATTTCCCCTCTCTGTACGTCAGCTGTATCTACCTTCTTCTCACTTCCAATATTCCACGAACATCCATTTGCACCTGATTCTCGCTTTTTGTAAAGAATAATACAAGTCAATTCATTTTCACTCATTTTCATCACGAGTTGATTTCAGCTAAAAATGGGAGTCCCGAAATTTTATCGCTATATGTCCGAGAGGTATCCTTGCCTCTCGCAAGTGATCAAGGAGCATCAAATTCCAGAGTTTGACAATTTATACCTCGACATGAACGGTATTATCCACCCTTGCTCGCATCCAAACGATGATGATCCCCACTTTCGGATTACGGAAGAGCAGATCTTCAAAGACATCTTTCACTACATCGAGTGTCTTTTTCGAATAATTCGACCCCGAAAAGTTTTTTCATGGCAGTTGATGGAGTTGCACCGCGAGCTAAAATGAATCAAGTCGGTTTTATAGTCACAACTTGTTTTAAAATCCATCCTGTAGCAACGTAGTCGACGTTTTCGATCAGCTAAAGAAGCTGAGGAGAATGAAAAAAAAGCGAGAGAGAAGGGAGAAGCTCTTCCTAAAGAAGGAAAGTTCGATTCAAATGTGATCACTCCTGGAACTGGCTTCATGGTTAGACTTGACAAACAGCTGAGGTTTGAGATCTTGAGATTATCCTTCCCCTCAATCCAGCCGTAGGTATTTTATTAACAACAAAATCACCCACGATGATGCTTGGCGAGGCATCAAAGTCTTTCTATCGGGACACGAGACTCCTGGAGAAGGAGAGCACAAAATCATGGAATACATTCGTCACCAGCGTACTCTTCCTGAGCATGATCCTCGAACTCGTCATTGTCTCTACGGACTTGATGCGGATTTGATCATGCTTGGCTTGGCTACTCATGAACCGAACTTTTCTCTCTTACGAGAGGAAATTCAGTTCACTAAATCGAAGGATAAAAGTTGGGATCAGAGATTATCTCTTCTTTGATTTATGGAATTCTTACTTTGAATTGATCTGTGATCCCCAAAATCAGTGCCGGTAGACAGAATCGCCCAGAAGACATAACCTTCCATCTCCTGCATTTATCAGTGATGCGCGACTATATCCATCATGAGTTCAAGAATCTGCGGAGCTCTCTTGCATCCAGAAAAGAAGCCGGAGAAATACAGATCGAGTACGACTTGGAACGACTTATCGATGATTGGGTTCTAATGGGTTTTCTTGTTGGAAATGACTTTGTTCCGCATTTACCGAACATGCACATCAAACAAGATCACTTGCCTGTTCTGTATAGATGTTACACAAAGGTAATTTTCGAAAAATAGCAGTCATATAAAAATTTGAAGGTTGTACCGAAACTGGGAAAATATCTAACTGAGAGAGGCTCAATTGATCTGGATGTACTGGAAGAGTTCTTCTTTGAACTCGCTGAGAATGAGCGGGAACAATTCGAAAATTCTCAGGCTGATGATAAATACTTAGCCGGTAAAAGATCCATGATGAAAGAAAGCCATGGTAGCGGTGCGACTGCTCACGGTCCTCGTATCCAGAAAAAGTATGACTCGTGCAATTTAGATTCCATACTGAACTCTACTAGGTTAGATGAATTGGAAGCACTAGCATTAGAGCAAGAAGAGGAGGGGCTCTTCGAGGGGGACACGACGCAAGGTGATTTGGTTCCGATCGACGCTCGAGAAATCGGCACTGACTTCGGCATCTGGGACGACGTTACGAAGCAGGAGTTCGTTGACTATAGAAACTCGTATTATCACGCGAAGTTTAACAAACGATTGACGAAGGACTTCCAATTTACCAGTAACTTTGAAGTCATCAATATACAATTCTTACTTTTTCTAGTGAAAAATGAGTACATCCGAGCTCTTCAGTGGATCATGCACTACTACTACAATGGTGTTCAATCGTGGGGCTGGTACTTTCCTTTCCACTACTCGCCATTTATTTCTGATCTTGTTAACTTGAAAGAATGTAATCTCAAATACGATTACGGTAAACCCTTCCTTCCTTTCGAGCAACTTCTGGCTGTCTTACCAGCGTCATCGGGAAAAGTTGCCTTGCCGGAAGTCTTCCATAGTTTGATGGATAGTCCTTCTTCGCCAATTATTGACTTTTATCCGACTGAGTTCGAAACGGACCTCAACGGGAAAATGCAAGATTGGGAAGCAGTCGTTCTCATTCCTTTCATCGACGAGAATCGACTGTACGAAGCGATGAAGCCTGCACTGGCAAAATTAAGTCCTTTCGACAAATGCAGAAACATTCACAGCCCGTGCAATGTGTTCGAATATGACCCGAAAATTGAACCTTACCATTACCCGTCTCCGATTCCCGAGAGTTTTCCCCATTTGGAAGCTTGCAGATCAAAGTCGTATGAAGTCCCCACTCATGAAGGCATCTGGAAATTGAACTTGGAAGCTGTTCGTTATGGCCTCCTAAAGCCGTCGATGGAGCTTCTTCGTCCTGGTTTCCCAACACTTTTTCATATCGAGCACTACGCAGAGCTCGAGCGCAATGGCGTCAAAATTTTCAATATGGCTTCGAGAGGAGAAAACATGATGCTCTACATTGGAAAGCATCTTCCTGATTCCGACTGGTGCAAGAACATACCAAAAACAATGCAAGATATGTGCAAAAAATGGCTTGGAAAGAACGTCGCTGTTGGCTGGCCTCACTGCTACAGCGCAAAAGTTGTAGAAGTTTCAAGTGTCAAGCACCGCGCCTATTTCAAGAACACGGATGAAAGGAAGAACGTTGTTGGTATTTCTGATAACAATAAATTTGGATTCGAGCAACAGCTTGGCATCGTTGAAGACGCGCTGAAGGAGAGATGGGGGATTTCACTCGGAGAGACTGATTATCTGATCCATGCGAAGCCATTGATCGGACGAAAAGTGGTCTATTCAGGATCTAAGCCTAAGGTGGAAAAGGTTTTCGGCGATGTTCAAGTGTACCCGCTGCAAACTTGTGTCCGCGAATTGACTACTGAAGGTATTGTAAAATCATGAACGGCGATTATATGGCTTTTTAGAACCATATAAAAAGATCCACGATGTTGGTGGTCTCTTTACAGCGGATAAGAGAGTTTTCTGTCTGTCCCCTAAATTCTATGGTTGTTCCGCATTAGTAACGGGAATCAACGAAGACGGTCTCGTTTCCGTCGAAGTTACACAGCACGAACACATCGATGTCGAAGTTGCACGGCAATCAGCCACCCCTGAGGGGGAGCTGAAATGGTTTCCTGGTTGGAGAGCGGCCCAAGCTACTGGAATAAGTTCTTACATGGTTTCCAGAATAACTGGCCATTTCTATGTTGATATGCCAGGCGAGAAGAATCAGCGTCGAAACATTGGACTTAGCTTGCGATCGAACAAAGGCAAAGGGATGGAAGCTCCAGGATTTACAATGAAGAAGGAAGAGGAAGATAATCGCATTGAATGGCTGTATTCGTCGGCGCTTATTGATTGCTTGAATAAATATATCGGTACGATCAAAACCAGGATCAGATAAATCAAATTATTTAGATGAATACAGAGAAGTTTTCGACATTCTGCACGACAAATTCGATGCAGGTGACGGAAGAAACAACTCTTCAGTCGAGATCACTGCCAGTGACATCTTCCCAGACTCCGAGAATGTGAACAAAAACATTGACGAATTGGCTAAATTTATAAAAACCCTGGAGTGCTCTCAGTCACCGACTGTTGAATGTGGCATTGAGCGCCTTTCGAAGACGGAAATCGACGCTCTCGTCAAACTCGTTGACCATGCTAAGGCGAATGAAACTAAAGTTGTCCTAAAGAAGAACTTTTCCCCGAAGCTTTTGTACGCGCACGTTGATGGAGTAGGCAGAACTGATCCAGATGGGAAGACGAAGTTTACTCTGTGGGATCGGGTCGTGAATTGTCGCGGCGATACAGCTGTTCCTCTTGGTTGGCAAGGAACTGTCATTGGGACAAGTAAGCTCAGGCTGAAAACGATGAACAATAATCTGTTTTAGTTCCTGAGAAGGCAGCTACAACAGGTGTAGGCTCTTCAATTCAGTCGCCAATGTGCAACATTCTTTGGGACAAACCATTCATGGGCGGATCAAATCTCAACGGCATGTGCCCTCCCAGAAGAGGATACCGCCTTCCAGAGTTCTGTCTTCTCAATTTGAACAAAAAGAGACAAGCTCAAAATCGGGAACAGAAGACTCGCAAGGGCACCGAAAAGAAAAAAGTTCAAATCCATAAACGGTAAGACATAACTTTCACGGCAATATTCATGATTCTCAGCCCTAGTGAGAGCGGAGATGGATTCTCTACAATGCCCGCCGACTTCATGTCGAAGCTGAAGCAGATTGTTCCCAACGCTCGCATGGAAAGTGGCCAAAAACAGGCTGTCCTCAAACCTGAACCTATCAAACCAGCTCCACATGTTGATCCGAGCATCATCAGTTCCCAACAGATGCCGCCGACTAATGTTTTCCAGAACCAGCAGGTCCGAATGCCGATCAATCCACTCGTTTCCCCTCAAGGAGTGATGCATCACCAGAAGACCATCCCACCTCAAGTGATGAACCAACCACGAGGACCAGCAATGGTGCCAACTCAGATCATGGCGAACCTCAACTCTCGGTAATTCTTTTGTTCATAAATCCAAGTTAACGCAAAAACATAAGGCAAATGATGGGGATGAATAAGTCCGCGAATAAAAATGGAAACAAACGACCAGATCGACAAGTCTACAACCCAGGAAACAGAAGCCAGGCAAGCTCAAAAATCGCTGAAAACGCTCTGAAAAGTGTCTTAAAAATTGGACGAAGCTCTGGTAGCCCCTTCGAGTCTCCAGCAGCCTCAAACAATGGATCAAGGAACTCAACTCCAACAGCTAATGTTGAGGCCAACGGGTCAGAAACAAATCGACCAAGAGAAGTGAAAGAAAACGTCGAGCGCCTCCCCATTGGTCCTCCTGATAACACTACAAAGGGTTTCAAAAAAGCATTCATTCGATCGCCCAGATCTGAAACACATGGAGCTGAAAACATTGATGATCAAACTGCGAAGGAAGAAACTAAACGAGGATATTGGGAAGCTGGCGAACCCTTGCCTGAAATGATTCAGCAATACATTGCTCTCAAGCAAAGAGAAGCAAGAGAGAGAGCTGGAGTAGTGGGAGAGCCGGAAGCACCTGCTCAAGAAGAAAGAAAGATTACGGAAGAGGCAAATGAGGTCGATGCTCAGGCGGTTCCAAACGACGGAGATGAGGCCAATCAAGATACATCTTCGACAGGCACTGCATCAGAAGAATTGAAAGATATTATGCGCGGTGCAACTGACGACCAGGATGATGAGTGGTCTAGCAGTGGTTCGGAAGAAGTCGTCAAGCCTCAGCCAAGATCTCCAGCATCGCGCAAGGCGCATGAAGACAGCTTCTGCCCGCCTTGGATGCCGCTGCCCACGGAGGAGGAACGACAGAGAAATCAGAAGTTGGTGCAGGAAGATCCACAAGCTGCTGTTGACTACTTGATGGAACTCGTTAAGAAAAGTGACAAGCTCGGGCTTGAATGGAAGCAAAAAGAAGAGGCGAAAAAACGTCTGGAGAGTGCTTCTCAGCCACTTGCTTCAACTTCTGAGAAGGACTTATTGAATGGCAAAGGCTTGGATGGCTTCGATAAGTTTTCTGAGGCTGATTTGAAAATTGCGACTGAGGAGGAGGGAAACTCTTCTACCAAAAAGTATGTTAGAATCAGATTTATCTATTCTCACTAGTGATTTCAGGGGTCAAAAGAAGTCTGCCCCACGCAGAAAGATGGCGGCGAATTTTGGTGGCATGAAGAAGTAAAAAAGTCGAAGGATGATCGAATGGGATCTTGAATCAAGAGCTACGTTTTTTATTTATATACAACTGTATAAAAATTAATAGCTCACCTCACTGCTGCATCATGGGTTCAATTCTCTTCATTTAATTTTACTTAACTTTCATTCAGCGCGATTCAAGTTACTGTACGTTTTCGCGCTCTACGGTTAAATTTCGAGTCGTCAAAAAGAGTTGTCAAAATAAAGTAACGTTTGTTAGAATGTCGGCGTTCGGATTCGGGGAACTCCACGATGGTGGGAACCCGATGACCGCCGCTTTCCGAACTGGCAAAAATGCTCCAAAGAAAAAAGACAAGCCAGAAATCGTTATGCCAGACCAAGAAGATCCTGACGAGAGGTTAAAACAACCACGGGGCGTTCTTCCACAGGGAATGCGCTCGAAAATCGACGCAGAAAAGGCGCGCTTGGCTGATGGAACCGTCGACAACCCCGGTAACGCGCCATCGATAGATCCGAACAAAGAGCTTTGGGTGGAAACAAGATCACCGGCTGGAAAGGTCTACTTTTACAACGCTAAAACAAGGAAAACGGCATGGTCGCGCCCGAGCAAAGCTCAAGTTATCTCACAGCAACAATTCCTTGCACTAGCGATTTCTCAAACATCCAAAGCGACTGGAAACTCTGGAGCAGGGGTAATCTAGCTTTGTACGAATCTATTCAACAAGTTTTTTCTTAGAGCTTTCAGGCTCCAGCGGCAATGCCAGCGATGTTGATGCAGATGGCGCCGGCAGCAGGTACCGAACATCTTTCCAAAATCTCATTTCAAAGTCATTTATAGCGGGTATCGTTGGAATGGGCGCATCAAGAGGTGATGATTGGGTTCAACAAACAACTGCCGATGGAAAAGTCTACTACTACAACAAACGAACACTAGAAAGCAGCTGGACGAAACCACAGGCCCTACTTGAAGCGGAAAAAGCTCAAAGATTCATGGAAGAACAAAAGGCTAAAAGAAAACCTGTCGGAAAAGTAGCCGTCCCTGGAACACCTTGGGCGATTGTTTGGACTGGAGACGGACGACACTTCTTCTTCAACCCTTCGGCGAAGCTCTCGCTCTGGGAAGTGCCAGAAGAGCTGAAGTCTAGATCTGATATCGAAAAATTGATCAACGATGGTCCAAATGGCCCAGAACAAGAAAAAGACGATGAAGAAGAGCAGGAGATGCCAGCAGTTTCACAAGAAAAAACAGGCCCTACTCCAGTTAGTATTCCCGATGAGTCCACAGGTAAAGTCATGCTTATTTTTCGTTTATGGAAATATTTCGTTAGGTGAGCCGCCAGCGAAGAAGCAAAAAGAAAACGAGGAGAAGCTCGATATCTACTTCGACGTAGCACGAAAAAATAGAGAGATGAAAGCAGCGAAGCTCATCGAAGAACTGCCTCTGGAAGTTAGATTAGAAAAATTCTACGATTTATTGCGGGAGAATAATATTTCCGCCTTTTCAACATATGAACGAGAAGAGCGTAAACTCGACAAAGATGATCGATTCCTCCTGGTAAGACATCATTAATTTGAACTGTTTTCTTGATATTGGTATATTCTAGCTTCTCCCGACAGCAAGAAGACAAGCGTTCGACGATTTTCTAGCAGACAAAGCGCAGCTAGAAGTGAAATTGAGAAAGGCTCAAAAAGACGAGAAGATTGCCAAGTTCGAGGAAATGTGCGAAAATTGGAAGGGAAACAGATTCTCCGAATTCGCAGCTCGTTTTGCTCGTGATAAGCGATTTCTTGCCTTTGACAAGATGAAGGAGAGAGAAACGCTCTTCTTTTCTTACAAAAAGAAATTAAAGGACAAGTCGCTCAATGACAGTAAAAAGAAGAAAGAAGATATCAAACTTGATTTCATGGACATTCTGGACAAGAAGAAGTGTCAGACACTGAAAAACTGGGAGGAGGTCGAGGAAAAGCTGAAGGACACTTCAGAATTCAAAGCTGCACCTGAAGAAGAAAGGTTAGAAATATTCTCCTTGACTAAATCAAGAAATTTTTTCAGGCGTTCCTGGTATGTGGGCTTCCTCAAAACACTGGCTCTTGAGCAGGATGAAGATGCGAAAATAGCGTTGAAACAACACGAAGCTGAAGAGAAAAAGCGACGCATGCAGGAAGCGATTGAAAAGCGTAAAAGGGAAGCTGATGAAGCTCGTGGGGCCCTCGGCCGTCAAATGGATACTGAAAGGAAAAAGCATCAAACTGAAGCAGCCAAGTAAGCAATGATATTGAAGATCTTAGGGATCCTTTACGTTCATTTTTAGGGATACTTTTATGACCATGTTGTCTGAAAAAATAAGAAGCACAGATTATAATTGGGACGACGCAAAATCGAAACTCAAAAAAGAATCACGCTGGAGCCAAGTTTCGGATCTCGACAGAGGCGAAATGGAAGCGTTGTTTCATGAGCATATGGGTACTTGAAAACTCCTTCGGCTGTTGATTTAAATTTATTTTTTTGTAGATAGTTTAAAAGAAAAAAGAAAGAAGGCATTCCATCAATTATTAGCAGAAACCAAAGTCAACACGACATCGAGCTGGAAAGACATTAGAAGAAAAATCAAAGAAGACATCCGTTATCAAAAGTTCTCTTCTTCAGAGAGAAAAAAAGAGCGAGAATTCAACGAGTATATCGACTCACTTGGCACAAAAGCTCGCCAAGAGTTCCAGGAAATGCTTGAAGAATGTCGCCTGATAACTTATGAAACAGAAGGTAATGATGAACAGTTGTATTTGTTGCTAAAAGTTTCGTTTGTAGAAGCTATTCGCGATGAAAACGAACCTGGAAAAATCCTCAACGAAATCGTCGAAGTGCTCAAAGTCGACACTCGCTGGAAAGCACTGGCGAGTTTAGGCACCGAGCGCAAGCACATGACCCGAGGTTACATCCGTGAAAAGCATCGTGCTGGTCCCCTGCCCCCATCACTGCCTCGCAGCGAAATCCTATCGGTGCACCGCTCAACAAGCAACGTTAAAAAACCTGAACTTCACAACTTACAACCTTTCAAATAAACCATTATTTCTGAAAATACGCAACTGAGCTGTCTGATTTTACAGGAATGGGAATCAGACGAGGATGTCGAAGACATTTTCTAGTGCACGGCGAGATATGCAAATAGGCATTTTAGGCTTTAGGGCACCCTTTGAAGTCTATAAAGATTGTTACGCTGATAGGCAGACCAAGCGTAACAAGCAGCTGTTTGCAGTGACCCGTGAAGTCTCATACAGTCTTGCTCGGCATGTGCCTAACCTACGTCAGACCACGCGGTGGCAAACGTGTGTTCCGCTTATGGGAAATAAATCCAAACTCGTTCTCACAAAATCATTTCCCAGCGAGAGAGATTTGCAAACTCTTTTCTTCCCTCCCAAAGTGTCTTTACCCGCTTGTCCTTCAGACAGAGTAGAGCTGTTTATTTGTTCGAGAATCACTAGTTCCTTTTCTAATTTCTAGTTTCTCTCCAGTAAAATTGTAACTCATAAGGCCTCTAGATTTAACTCACTGTTCACGCTCCATTGACTCTAGTTCCTATCCGTTTCACTAAGGAGCGTGTGAGTGATCAGAGAATATTTAGCCGATCATATGAACATTAATTTTTAGATCACAAAAGCTAGTTGTTAAAATCGAGAACGCCAAGCTACACGAAAAAAGAAAACCATGCCAGTGACACCAGGAAGACCCTTCGGCTGTGGCGACATTGTCTTCGCCAAGATGAAGGGATTCCCTCCATGGCCAGCTCGAATCGACATGATCCGCCCTAGCAGATGCAATGTGCGAGAACAGGAGAATCTACCAACACCCCACACTGATCCTGACTTCCACTGGCCCATCTTCTTCTACGGGAGCCATCAAATCTCCTGGCTGCCACAGAAAGACCTGTTCGAATTTGAGGAACATCGTGATGAATTCGGCGCAAATCCTCAAGTCAAGCGAGCAATGGAAGAATCTCGCAAGAACACTTTCATCAACTTCCAATTCGGCGAAGGAAACAGCGGTATTGCATGGTCGGAACGACATTCTCAAATGGCTCACGCCTGGTTCCGACATCAATCAGATGAGGTGGCAAATGAAACTGCTTGGGACAGACTTCGTAAGTATTTCCTTTTTTTATTTTGAAGCTCTTATGAAGAATCAAGGATGAATTTTTATTTAAATATTTTAGCTCCGCGTAAGAAGGGCAGAAAGTCAATTTCTCGAGTGAGAGTAGACAGCAGCCCAACCAAAGCAACACAGGTGCTCGAAGACATACCCGAGGTGAGTAATCCTTTTATGAAAAAATATTTTTTTCTGGCGTTCCGTTAATTATTCTATAGCTTACCGATCTCAATGCCATCGAAATATCAGATTCTGAGCCGGAGTCCGATACCCAGTCGGACGAGGTAAATCTTTTTTTACAAAAATGATCTTCCGGAATAACCAGTGATTATTTTGATCCGTTCGTAAATTGCATGTTTCTCACTAAAAATTTTGTCGACTAGGATTTTTCGATTACAAACTGACATTGATTTTAGGATGCAGTCGTCGTGAAATACCAGGATTCCATCCACAGAATCGAGGATATCAATGAAGGAGACTTCATCGCCGCCATGTACGAAAAGCCATACTACGGTTTAGTCACAAAGAAGACCAAGTCTCACAGTGGCGATTCGATTCTTGTCCAGTTCTACACCCGCAGCGATAAGCATGACGTCTTCATCGAGAAGAAAGGGGACGTAGATCGAATCACGGAAGAGCGACAAGGCTACATCTTCCTCCACGCCTTGGCGCATGAAGTGGTCATGTCCAAAACCAAATCTGGAAAGCAGAAGTGCTTCGTGATCCAGGAATACACACCTGAGGACTTCGATCTAGGTATACAATATTCGTTCTTTTCAATTCTGATACCTGTATTTCTTTATAGCCGAATCCAAATGGGGCATGAAAGTATCCTCTCTTCGCGGAGTCCCAGATGAAGAAGAAAACTACGAGAAGAAAGTTCGAGATCTCATCAAGAAAACAAGCAGCCTCTTCTCAAACCGGTAAAAACATTCGATTTAATTCATATTCGTAACAAATCTGTTCAGCGGCATCTACAGGATTCCCATCGGATGCGAAAAGCTCCGACCACTTCTTGGAATGCCAGACGTCTTCGATGTTACGATGTAAATTCCAGATGAGCTCATGAAAACTTCAGAAACTGACCCTAAAATTCACAAGTTCGAAGATTTTCGACCCTACTTGCTCTTTACAACTCTTTGCTTTTTCGTTGATATCTACGCTACTGAAAAGTTCTTTCTAATCATCTTTTCGCGTTCTTAAATTTATTACAGTTAAATATTTTTATCATCTCAGCGCTTTTTTGTTTACCTAAAAGTCTCCATTGTTCCTTTCAATTGCACTCGTACTGTTTACGGGTTAAATTTCAAGTCTATAAAATTTTGTTTGTTGCTTCGCCACTTTCCAATTATTATGATAATAAATTTGCCAAAAATGAAATTCGTATTCTCTTAGTAAAGCGACTATTAATCTTCGAAATTGTTTTTTAATTTGCTCCATCTGGCATAGAGAAATCAGCATCGTAAAAAATATAATTATACGATAGATATTCTCAGTTTCGTACTTAGAGGAGAATCTGGTGGCATTTGAATTGAACTTACTTTGCAACATTCGTTCCCATCAATTCCTAAGCCCCAGTAGTAGGATAAACGTCGTCATTTAACATCGTTCCGAAATTCTGGTGGTGCTAATCCTAGCGCTCTTTGATGCACGCTGAGTATTTTTAGCCACGCCAGATGGCCGTCTTTGGAGAAATATCTTCCCATGACTTAACACCTTCGTTGATAAGGGAAAAAGTCGTGGGCTTATGTTGTCTGTGACGATAAAATTGGGAAAGTTGACCTACGTGAGAGTGATTCACGATGTCTCCAGATGACATAGCGCCTCTATAAAAGCGCACTGTCTCACCGAAGGCGGCCTATTCACTCCGGGAGTAAACATTTTATCGTCATTCGGAAAATTCATTTTCCGAGAAATACGAGAAAAGAGAAAAAACTCTGTACTCTTGATAAGAAATCAACAACGAAGATGACTTACGAAAACTACTCAATGCATCAGGCAGAGATAAACGGAGTTGTAGACAGGTAAAAAAGCCGATTCCGAGGATCTCGTTTAACCGATTCTTTAGATTCTACGTCCCAACAGATGTCAAGCTTGAGCCAGTTCTTGACGAAGATTTCCGAGAGTATCGACAAGTCCAACGTCCTGGTCGAGCGCCGAGGATCCCCGACGAAGAACTGAAACCAGAAGAGCTTGCAGCAAGAGAATTGAAACGAGCGAGAAACCGAGAAGCAGCGAAACGAGTCCGTGCGAGAAGAATTCAAAGGGTTCAAGATTTGGAGCGAGAACTTGACAGCGCCAAGTGAGTTGTATAAATAAGATTATTACGTATTCATATGTGTATTTTCCCTTTGTTTCCAAGCGCATAATCATCGCTTTTTCTCGAAACGTCATTTTTTCTGTTTTTCTTTGGTTCTGGAAGTCAATAAAATTTTATAAAGACGTAATGGATGTATAAAAATATCGCAATATTTGAACTGCTCATAAATATATTCCCTCAAAATTATATTTCAGAAAAGCACTCGAATCCGAAAAGACGGAGAATCAGAAACTTCGGAAACAGCTTCAGAATTACCAGAAGGGCAACAAAGGCGATGAAAAGGAAGAACACTCAATGATCCAGATGATGCGAAAACTCAGTGCTTCTGACAACATCCAGGTCGTTCCAACTGAGCATTCTTCTTACATGACTCCGTATGGATTGATCTCTCCGACATTGCAGTTTGTCGGCTCTCCACTGACGGCTGCCGCGAACATGCCAACCTCAACAGCCCAGATCTTCGCCTTTCCACAGTATAATGACAGCCAGGATCAACCCAAGAACTACACTCAGCTTCTGAGCGACTAAGAATCTTACGACGCGCACAGATACCTTCTCAATGACTAGTTTTTCTGGAAATTTTCCGCACACTGACCATAAAAACATGCGCATTCCTTCATTGTGCCTACAATTGATACTCATTATCTGAACTTCAACACCTTTCCGAAATTAAAGATAATCAATAAAATACAAGTTTTATAAACAACAGAAATGTAAAAACTTCACATTTCTTCTTTGTCCTTGTTGATTGCAGGCGAAACTCAAACAGTGACGATCCTTTTTTTGATACTTTGCATTTCTTCTTCAACAAGCGCAATTTTTTCCTGAGCTTCTTTTGAGCGATTAATTTTGCCTTCTTTTTCTTCCGTTAATTCTGCGAGCTTGCACTGTAAAAAGGAACGTAATTATGTTGATGTTTCGCTACAAACAGAGACCCAAAGGCAATTTCTCTCTGAGATAATCTCCTAATTAGACGTTAATTGAATGAAAACTCACACGAATTCACGGATTTATATCTTTTGCATCGGCAAATTAAGACTAAGTTCGCACCTTGCGCTTTTTTAATAATTATTCCTCACTTTTCCTTCGAGATGTATGCCTGGCACACGTGGAGGTATTGCTCGGTATTTTCCCTCAATAAATTTCTACCAACTTTGAGCTCTTTTTGCAGAAGACCTTCAAGCCTGCCAAAGTCTTCAAAGTAACCAGTATTATTTTCATAGCGCTTCCGTCCTTTGATAAGACTTAATTTATACCTGCTCATTGAAGAGATAAACTTACGTAAGCCAAGTTGGGCAAGATCGAATTTAACGGCTGACTTTGGGCGTACATTCGGCACGGTGGTCTTTGTGACTTCCGGACATTGAGTACAGCCCTTATCAATTTCGGTTGGTGGGTCCTCAATTAATTGGTCGAGTCTCTTTACTGGGTTAATAAGGAGACTCATTGCGGTCATGGTTTTCTTTGAATTCTTATGTATTCGAGTGCATACTGTCTTAAATTTCAGACACGCTAAATCTTTACTACTAGAAAAGCCCGAAGAAGCTCAACTTGCGAAGGGTTAAAGAAATTCGAAACGATTTTAATCCATTTCTTTTTTGCTTGGCAAAAGACAGACTTTTCCTCTTCAAGTTGCTCTTTTGCCTCCTGCGTTTCAATACGAAGCAGGAGGATTTGCTTTTCTTTCTGCAAAACCAAAAGCTCGAGCTCTTCAAGTCGCTCCTTGCTCGCTTCCAGCTTCGATTAAAGATAAACATCAGCAGTACTAGTGGCTCAACGTACCTCAGCTTCCACGAGTCCGACTTCCAAACTTTCAAGCCGTTGCCTTTTTTGAGGGCCGAAAAATCCGAGCACGTTTAAAAATTCGAGATTTTTCTTCCTTTCCTTGAGTTGACGAGATTCTCCTGAAGATCTTTTACGGCTCTTTTGGTTGTTTCGATTTCCGATACAAAATAGCGACGTTTAGCTTCTCCTTTATTTTCCATTTTTATAGAACTTTTGCTTTCGGGATCTTTTGAACTTCAAAACACTAGTCAGACATTTGACATTTGCAGATGCAGTAATTTTTGTTGAGTTTTATAGTGTTGGTTTAATAAAAGATCTTTGTTTCCAGAGTTTGAAATTCGAGAGCCTGAAGTGGGTCAGCAAATGATTTCGTAGCAATTTTGAAATAAAAAGTTTAACTCCACGATAGCATAATTTATCAAATCAGACATGAACTTGTGAAGATCATTTTTATTGAATAGTCTTGACCGCAGTTTGAATAGCGAAGGCTCAGTTGATGTCAGTGACGATGCAGTGGCGGTTGCAGCTTGGAATAGAAGGAACTGGTCTGGCGAATCGTAAAAACTCCCTTTCATTTGCTGAAAGACTCTTGATATTCTTGTCTGAATATGTTAACAAACTAGAAACGCTTTTTGTCGAGGCGGTGGAAGACTTCCTTCTCCTTGTTTTGTCCTTGACGATGTCATGAAAGTAATTGAAGATTTCTAGCAAGGTGAGAATCGAGCCGCCTAAAGTATGATTGTTGTCAATGAATTGGCATTTCGTACTGAATCGTCTATAAATTATAAACATGTCTGGATGGTTTTCTTTGAGTGTTTCGTTAATAAGCTTCAACGACCATAAAAGATAGTTAATTTCAATGTTACTGTAGCATTTTTTATAATTAGATGATAAGAAAGCATCATCACCAAAAATGGAGAGTAATTAAGTGTTAATTATTGTTCTAGAGGTCCGCGTTACGCGCCACGTTTTGAATTTAAATTACAAAAAATAAAAAGTTGTTTCACTTGCCAATAAAGAGGCCCATTTGTCCACCAATATCACCCAGAAGCGCTCCGAACTCATATGCCTTCTTCTGCTCAATCTTTTCGTAGTTGAGCGCTTCGAAGAAGACGTTCAACTAAATGGAATAGCTAACAATAATTTACGCCGTATTATTTCTGCGTTGGATTTGTCCTACTTTGCGAAAGCATCAACAAACGCACGTGGCAATCAGTGGATTTTAGTGAGGCTGGGAAGGGCTAGTGTCTACCTTTGCGAAATTTTTTCTGATGTAGTTCTGCGGCTTCTTGTATTTCGCCGACAAATATTCGACTAAAATAATTGTTGTTTCTCCTTTGGTCGATGACAAAATAGAAGATGCTCCCACCTGACGCGTTCGACGGTAGTTTCAGCAACGAAATTTCCTTTTCTAGGGCTCAACATTTTGAAGAAAAGGAAACGACTCGCAAGAAAATAAACCCGTTCCTTTGAATAACGACGGACATCACATGGAGTGGCGCATACGCACTTTGAGTTGTCCTGAAAATTGCTTTATATTCCAGAAAAATGAACTCTACGTTCACTTCCACTTATTCAAATCCATGCCCACATTTGGTTCATATCTGAAACACAAAGAAAATGCTAGGGGTTCTGTCAAAACAAACGTAATGGCGAAGCAAATAATTGAATTCAAGTTATTCGCTTCCCAGTTTTGACCCTTGCATTCAAATAACACTCAGAGTGGAACATCTAAAATATGATATGCAAACTTAAGAATCACTTATTTTATCTTTTTTAAATGTTAATTAAAAATCAGCATTATTTGGTGAAGACTGAATGGAGATGAAAAAAATTGTTCATTTACCTCGCCATCGTCTATGTTTCGGTAAAATTTTTCAGACTATGATTTTTAGTTACTGAGATGTTAAAAGTGTTTTGAACGCCCATAATCCGATGAGCGGAGCCCGTCTTTCAAAATAATCAAACGATTTTATGCCAAAAAAATCAACGTGGATATAATTATATAAAACGTTTCTACTTCACAACCTCTAAACTTCTTTTGACAGAAATTACCTTTGAAGTAAGACTATCAAGTTCTTGATCAGCACATTCCCATTTATTTGGTTGACAAAAGCGTGGAGGTTCATCGGGCAAGAAGGGCATATGAACCATTCTAAATTATTATTAATCAGAAGCAAGCGATAATTTTTTAGAATCAGTCATTTTATCAATTAAAATTGACCCAATAACTCCTTAAAAGGATGCAACAAACGATTTTTGTTTAGGGCGTGTATTTTTGAATAAGCTCGGAATAAATATTACGACTCACCTACAACCGCATTTCGCAAGCACCTGTTTTGTTTCGCACGTGATCCGGCATGCTTATCAGATGGGATCTGTTTTAGATAACTTTTATTCTTGCGGCTAGCGTGGCCAAGAGTTGCTACTAACAAATTCAATAAAAGTGAAAGGTGTCTGAGGTCGATTGGGTGGAGAATTTTATCATGCATCTGATTAGGATCCCGCCCTGATATTGAATAATTATCAAAATACTTGTGGTCCTCTTTGTTGTTGTTTTCCTTGCAGACTCCCCATGGAGGCGGTAGAAATTTCACTCGCTGCTCTTGAGTCGCTACTAGAGTTTGAAAGCCAGGAACTATTCCAAAACCGAGCTCGTGAAGAAACGGCGGTTCCAGTTGAGAATGGAGCTGGATTTTGAATCCCGCTTCAACGGACAACTCATCTAAAGGTTCATGGAAATTATTCAAAACCGCTTCATCTCAAACATATTAAATCATAACTGATTAGAAAAGATGTCAAAATTCAAGTTCGTTTAGATCCAACGAGCACTGGCCAAGTTTATTATGAATTACTGTCATCGCGGGAAAAAGATTATGTTATAAATGGAAGGGAGCAGTGGAGGACACGACCCTTGTTCCCAAATGATAATTGATGTTGTCCCTCTTAGACGAAATCAACCCTAGCACCTATTTTCAAATTTGTCGATTTTGAATAATATTTTGCCTCAATCAGATAAGCTTATTTTTGATTAACCTCAAAACGAATTGTGCCCTTTATTAAACTCTTATTAAATCTTTTGAATAAAAAAAAATAGTTACCATTGTCAGACCACACGGGGATATATTCTTCTTGCTCTAAATTGAGAAGAACTTCCAAGCCATTGTCGATTCCACCTTTGAGCGTTTTGAGAATTTTTGAAGGATCAGCTGGATTGTTGAAAGTTAGGCATTTTCCATGGCGCGTGAAAATAGTAGTCCAGAACTCGCTTCCTAAATTAATCCTCTTTCCCGAATCGATTGCTTTTCATTAAGGACCCCCCCGTCAACAATTTTCGAAAAATCTATTTTCGGAATTTCAAAATTTTGACCCCGGAAATAGATTCTACGGGTGAAAAAACGATTTTGAGGCTTCATTTTTTGGGGGTCTATCTCGACTCCTTCAACCTCAAAATCGCCTTAAAAAATTGGACTATTTGACGAAAAGTGATGAAAATGGCCTATTTTTGCTAGAAAATCAGATTTTTCTTGGTCGAAAATTGCTCCGAACAAGTTTATATGATGTATTAAACTTCAAGGTACACTCAGAAGCCAAAAATGGCTGTTTAAAAATTTTCGATTTTTTGAGGAAAATTGTTGACGGGGGTCCTTAATCATTTACCCTGGAAAAGTTGGAAGTTGCAATCAGATAGTTAAAAACTGTACCTTTGCAAGTCTCACCGCGATATTTGCAGTCGACGATTACAGAGTTCAGTTCGTGTCCAGTCCGATCTGCATATTCGAACATGTCAAATTGGGCAGCTGGACTTTGAGACGGTTCACTTCGAGAAGCACAAGTTCAACTTTAAGTTATCAATAATAACTTGTTATTAAAGTCAAGGCCAACGTGGTTAATTATTGACGAATTAGAGTCAAGGGCTTTGTCCCAAAGCAATTATGACTTCGTTGACTAAGTATTTATTTATGAAACCGCTATCTTTGGTACCCATTGACGACTTTTGCGATTTTCTCCTTTAGGTTGGCTTTGGAGATGTTTAGATAATCTCAAAATAAAGGCGATGCCACAACGTGCATCTGAATAATTATTCATAGACAAACAAAAAGGGTACTTTTGTTATCTCAAGTCGGGAAATAGCCACTTTTGCCTTTACGCAAGGTCGATCAGTTTTCTTTTAAACATGTTCCTGAGAGAGTCTTGCCAGTATTATCCTGTAGAAAAGGAGAGTACGTTCTGTTCTTCGTGATTAAGCCGTTGATGAACCCGATATGGAAGATATCATCAACGGTCAATTTCGACAGGCGGTTCGAGTTTAAATTGCAAATCGTCAGCGAGGGAAAATCCATTGGCTCCTCGCTCTCCAGCTCATCAATTATGGTTGTATGAGGTCGTCTAATAAAAATATTAGATAAAAAAGAATATATCAATTGAAAGAAAACGAACCCCAAAATCAAATCTGAACATCAATCTTATTGTTATCGTCTTTATTCGCCAATTAAACTTGGTTTTGTAAAAGAAATTTTGGTTTGGTTAAATGATTAACTTACTCCCTAAACCGCTGGATTGCTTCGAGCGTGTGCGTCGCGAAAAAGCCCACAGCTGCCATGAAGACAACTGCCCATACTGTCTTCTTGAGGTCTATGCGTCCGGCGTAACAAATATTCGAAATGCCGTGCAGCGTCGAGCTACTCGAGCACTCGTACAACGTTGTTATCTTTACCCGATGGACAAGCGATGATAAGCCCCCGCCGAGCTATTTTTCAAGACAATAATTTTCTTTCTCTTTGACGCCCTTTGATCGGGCTCCCCAAACTATTCAAGAAAAAATAGCTCAACTACAGCAATAGTAAACACAGCCTTATCAAATTTTAGACGATAACGAAATTCTAGAGGAGCATTTGGAGATGCCTTTCTGCCTATTTTTCCACTAGAATGTCTTCCGAAAGCAGCTCGAAATGTGCGCGACTTCGATTAGCTTTTTCAAATAAATTCATTTTTGAAAATCTTAAAAATGGTTAAATTCTTATCAATGATGATGCTTTAAAATCTCCTTTGAAAAGCTCTTTACAGTACACTTTTTCTCTTATTGTAACGCAAAAGCTTCTCTATCATTCGACCGAGAAATATTAAAAAGGTTGTAAATGTATTTGAAATTGGCAGAAAAATATTCACTTTGTTCCTGTTTGGAATAAGCCCCCGATTAATCTACGGATTAGGTTTTACATTTTTGTGATCAATATCACAATATCACCGATAGTGGCCACCTAGCCAAATGTTGTCTCGTTTTTCTTCGTCTGAGCTTGCAACCGACTCTGCCACTTCTCAAAATAATAAATCAGCACCAGGCCAAAAGCCAAACCAAAGATAAAAATATGCTCTAATGAATTCTTACCTGGGGTTGTTAGTGTACCAACATCACGCTGATTTCTTCCAATTCGGCCTATCTGCTCATTTACAATCTTCAACTGGCTTTTTATAATAAGAAAAAGTTGTTCTCTTTGTTGATTTTGAAGCCAGTTCCTTGTGTTCAAAATGCGGGCTTGCTTTGAAAAAATAGTCGTTTGCTGGAACTGCGTAAGAAGATGGATATGTTTTCTGAGCAGGGATTAGTAATTTCGATGGCCGCTTGATAATATGTTGATCTATAAAAATACCGACTTTTCCAGAAAAAAAACTTGCGTTCAAAGATTGACGCATAAAACGTGGTAAGCAAAGTACCGTCTATTTTTTTTACTCTTGATTGTGATTAGTAAAAGCGAAATATTGCTACACTTAGTAAGAGTGCTAAATTAGATAAATGCGGTACTTGAGTTATTAAACGAGCCCCTGTTGCTGCTGATAAAGAAGTTCGCCACTTGTTCGTGCTCTAACCGAGTTACGACTGATAATTACACATGGCCAAATTTGTCCACTTGACTTTGGAAAAAGAGGGCAGTTGTCTAAAACGAATACGAACTCAGAGACATCTAAAATGAGCGTAACAAATGCCTTGGAAGGTACACGTGGTCGTAGTCGGGTTCTGGAAGATCGTGTTGACAGGAACATCGCCGCTCGTACTGTACATTCGAAGCGGCTTCATCCCTAAGTTCAAAGTCGAGAAAAGTGCACGGAGGAGCGCTTGATAAATGAGCTTGCACTGAGTGAGGTCTTTGGGACGATGTTCAGGAAAGTTACATCAAAAGAAGATTTCTTCCAGAAACGTTACTTTTGTATAAATTTAAAATATGCTACTGTAAGGAGTCTGCTATACTGCCTTTTCCCACTGGAAGAATGCCTGCTAATCTCTAAGGACAACAAGGAAGAGTCGGTAGTAGAGTAATCGTTGCTGTATATTTTGTAGAGAAAAGTTGGAAATAAATAACGAGTTGCTCGGAGGAGGTAAAAGTTACGAATGCCACTTCTGATCGGGCTCGACCGGAGTTGCGCTCGATCAGATAATGATAACGTGGGCGAGAGTCTAGCAAACCCTATACTCCCCCTGAGACTTGAGCATATGATAAGAATAGTGGCAGGAAAAGACTTTGACGCATCTAATGAACAGGATCTTGAGAAAATGCTACATTCTGGGTTCGATTCTGCGTTAAAAAACCACGTGGGAGAAAAAGCATGAATCTAGACCAGAATATGTTGAGTAGCTCTTCTAGCGATGGCGAGCGGGCGAATCGGCTGGATCAGGGATTGTGCTCAATAAATGGTCGGCGACGGTCTGTAGTGATAAAGTCTAACCTTTTCAGGCCCCGGTCGATGATACAGAGCGAGCTCTGTTGGACCTGAAGGGGCGGCATTTTTCGCATAGTTGTAGCTCTTGCTGCTGGAGCTATTGATGTTCATCGGTTGAACTTGGGTTTTCACTCGAGATGATGTCCGCGGCGCTTTCGGATGCAGTTCGACAACTGTACTGTTCGGAGAAGCTTCGGGTCGAGTTCGCTTTTGACGTCGTTTTTGCACTGGAGTGGGTCTCTTTTGTGATGCGACATTTTCTGACGAATTATTTAGATCTGCCACATCACGCGACTTGACATCTAAGTTCTGGGTAGATAGAGCTTGAGAATGGGCTGATTCGGAGATGGTGATTTCCCAGGTGGTTCCACCAGTAGTAACATCCGCGGCATATTTCACAGGCGAGATATCTGGGTTGATAGTCTGAACCTGAGACCTTTTGACGGGCGTATAACTCCTCTCCCCCTGAGACGATGAACCCGATTGAGTTGATTTCTTTGGAGGTGGAATTCGCGGTTGAGCTATTTGATGAGCCTTCGACTTGATAGTCGAGGTGAGGTGAGGGAAACTACGGTCCATTTCGAAATCGTCGATGAATCTCAAATTGTCGAGTCGTCGAGAAGCGTGACCACTGTGCTCGGTGATGCTGGCCAAAGCTAAATCCAGCATCTTACCGTTTTGTAGAAAGAGCAGATGGCGACGATCGGAATGCAGGTAGAAGTGGCGTCCATTTAGCATCATCTCCGGACACTCGCATCCCCATTCAATCGCAAAGTGTTCTTTGTGAGTGTTGGAATCCGCGGCTAACCAATATGCCCATTTTGGAGGGCGAGCCAATCGCATTTGTAGCTCCTGTAGCGCGAGATTCGCGTTTTGTGACCATTTGGAAACGGCTGTGTCAGTCGCCGAGTTTCTGACTGAGTAAAGTGGCACAATGCGATGAGAAAAGCTGTCTGTTGCGCTCTTTTCTCCCACTGTCGTTTCAAAAAATGGTCGAACCGAAAGGGGTTCAATTACCGACGTGAGTTCCTTTAAGTTCCCTGGGGGTTCCATCATCCGCGGTTTCAACAGATTTTCTGGGCCTGGCCTAGCCTCAGACTGCGTGATGTCTCGGCCAAGGAGTCTCGCCGGTTGTTGGAGGGGTACTTTTGTTTCCGCCCCGAACGGAAATTTTCCCGGTTGACCATTCCGAATCAGCGAAGCCTCATCTACCTGGTGTGACTTGTCGCTCTTGTCCGGAAATGTGATGTGTAGCACCTCTTTTACTCGCTTCGCTGGGCATCCTTGGTCACGGGAATTCGGTGATGCAGCTAACGTAAACTTTTTGTTGTCCGCGGTAACGTTGGTAGCTTTAGATCGCTCATTGTGGGTGATTCGGAAGCACTTGACTCTACTATGAGCCACACCCTTGAGTTTTATCGTTTGGGACTTTGTCTTCGTAAAAGAGTTGTCGAAATACAACGTAAGAGTTCTTAACTTGTTGTCGACAGCGAGTCCGTCTATCGCTGCGTTGTCGAGAACGTCTCTGCCCAGTAGATTCGGAAAACCGGCGGGCGTAACCACCAGCTCGACCTTGATTTGTGGTCCATCGTTGAAGGAGAACCGGCAATCCAGTAAACCAAGTGGCCTTTGCGGCGGTGACTTGGGGTCGAATCCAGAAATGTCGAATGGGCAGGGTTGGAGTTGTTTGAGAATTTGGTCGGGTACGCAATCGACTGAAACTGTAGAAGAAGCAGCTCCGCTGTCTACCTCCATCATGGTGTCAAAACTTTTAGAGTCCACCGTGATGGTTGTAGCTGCGAAGTTAGTCTTGATTGAATTCTTCGACTTCAGTTGATAGTATTGGAATGGTTCCAGTTGTTCTTCAATTGTCGTCTTCATCACTTTCTTTTCGGATTTGTCGTCGCAGTCGGTATCTTCGCTATTCGAGTTTCCGCCTTTCGGGCTCTTCTTTCGCCTGTTCCATCTCCCGCCTTTCTTCTTTTGGAAGTTGACGGAGACAGAAGTGTCAACTCTGTTTTGGATCGTTTGTTGTGCCAGGCGAGCAAGTTCCTTTATTGAGAAGACGTTACTCAGCGAAGGAGAAATCTGATTGAAAACTTCAGGCTCGTTGGATCGTAACTGAAGATAGAGCAGCATGGCTTCTATGACTTCGAAGACATCATCGGCTTCTAGGTCTCGATTTTTGTGAGATTTGAAAGCGGCTTTAATCGCCCCTCTCGCCTCTCTCATCTTTTTCTGGACTTCCGCGGCGTAGTGCGCGGTTGGCTTCGTAGGGTCGAATTCGATGTCCCATACTTCGGATAAGGAGAGGAAGAAGTGGCTTCTATCGCCGAAATTTTTTCTAGAATTGTCTTTGCGTCTTCCCAGGTTGAGCACTGGAGGATTTCTTCACCGATCTGTCGTTCGATGGAGATATCGAGGTGTGAGTAAACGCAGTTCAAGAATGGTTGTAGTCTGCTTGCGTGACCTTCGACGTGTGCTTTGTAAAATATTGAAAGTCGGCCCAGGAAGTTCGTAAATTCTGCGTGTGAACTTCCATCGAGTTTGGAGGTGTCTGTCATGTATCGTGTAAATGTGGCTGTGATGTGAGCTTCTTCTCGATAATCCGCGGTTGTTTGGTGACCTTGGGCGAAAGACTGGGAACGGTTGAGTTCGTGTTTGCAGAGGGTTCCCATCATTTGGTTTATCCGGTCCCGTTCCAAGATGTTTTTGTTGATAATCGGACGCAAGACTGGCTCTTTCGCCGGGTCAGCTTGTATCTGACTCTCAAGGTCGCGGTTCATGTCCAGAAGTAGTGAGATTCGGACGCCCGCTTCGTATATTGATCCCGGATCGTTGTCGGTCATAGCTCAAAATGTGCGAAGTCACGAGATCTTGATCAAAAGTTTTACCTTTTGGGCCCTCAGAAATAGCCAGCAACTTTTTACGGTTACTGACAATGACGCTGAGGTGCCGATGTACGCGTTGTCGATCTCGGAGTTCTTGTCTTCTCTTGGCAAATTTTCTCTTGCTGGAAGTGTTTTCGTAAAATTCTCTGTCTTCTGTGTTTTTGTTTTAGTTTCCGCGGCTTTGTGTCTTCTGATTATTTTCAGAGTGAGTGGTGTTTCGTTTTCGCGTGTGTAGGTGGGCGTTGCGTCACTTGTCCGCGGCGGGGCCTAGGCGGCGGCGTGGTGGCGCGCGCGAGGTGTTGGAGGTGTGTGTGTGGTGAGCGAAGGAGTAGCGCGGGCGTGTTCCGTTGCTCGGTGCGTGGGTTTGTTGTTTTATTCTCGCGGCGATTTCGGATGGCGGTGATCAGGGCCAACGGAATTTTTGTGCGCGGCGGGAATTTCTGTTTTCGTAATTTTCGTAATTTTCTCTTGAAACGGCGTTTCTAGCGGTTCCAAGGAAAATTAGGAGTTGATTCGTAATCCGCGGTCTCTGATTGGTCGAAACGGCGAAATTTACTCGTCGGAGAAGTCGTCACTTTTCCAGAATCTGGGTCTTCTTGACACCACTGTAAGGAGTCTGCTATACTGCCTTTTCCCACTGGAAGAATGCCTGCTAATCTCTAAGGACAACAAGGAAGAGTCGGTAGTAGAGTAATCGTTGCTGTATATTTTGTAGAGAAAAGTTGGAAATAAATAACGAGTTGCTCGGAGGAGGTAAAAGTTACGAATGCCACTTCTGATCGGGCTCGACCGGAGTTGCGCTCGATCAGATAATGATAACGTGGGCGAGAGTCTAGCAAACCCTATACTACAGTATGTTGTACTACATGCAATATGGAGAAACTGTTCAGAATGCAGACTTCTTAATAAATATCGTGAAAGCTTTAATCTTGAGCAAGAATAACCAAAAGCACATTGCCAATATGATATTGACTCATTTTGCATGTTCAAGATCAGAGCTTTCAAACTCATTGATTGATGATTTTTGCTCTCAATTTAGATTTAGACTGTCAGAAGTAATTTTGCTGTTCTTCATGAAACTTCATTCGAACGAACTTGTGACTTTGATCTAATTTCACTTGGCAGCCGAATCCGCCTGCGAGTTACCGTTATTTTCCGTTTTAAATTGTGTCAGAAAAAGATTAACTTCTGTTAGAAGACACTGTCTGCGGTCTCGATTTCCTTACCCGCTCCCTTAGGAGGTTCCTTCTGAACATGTGCCTTTTATCCAGCGAAGAGTACCGATGTTTCTGAGAAGTCATCTCTTCTCGACAAAATCTCTTTCTCCGTTTGGGAAATGTTAAAAACGCAAATTGGTAAATAACCAATTCGCTAAGCCACTTCCCTTGTAAAATTGCTCGCGGCGTGTGCCCAAGGGATTTTTTCCAAAATAGATTTTCCAAATCTACTTTGTTAAGTGACCTCCTTCAGAAGGGGTTTTTGTATATTCGCTCTCGTAAATCATCCGAGGGTTGGCCGATTCATCGCCGACAAAAATGGATAGAAATCAATTGAGCGATTAATTTTTAAGTTTATTCTCCGTTCTAAGCGATACAGGCTTTGTGACATAGCATTTAAGTTCCTTAAAATTGAACCTATATCAAGCTGATCTATAAATATTATAGAAGCAGTCGTCATTTTAGCGTCAATTTCGCTTCTCAGACAGCTTTTTTGATTTAAAAAACTGTCTAAAAAGCTTCTTCTTTCTGCCAAAATGACGAGAAGTTCTTTCAGACGGCTATTTTTCTCAAGCGAATTTTTGGAGTCTTTTGTTGCTTGCACTTTATTTATGTCGATTACCTTTTTGTTGACTCCGAGCTGTCATCTGTCGCTGCGTTAACAAAAATTTCTGACTGTTTAAAAACCTCAAGCTTACTTGTCGTGGTGGACATACTTTGCATCCAAGCACTGGAGTTGGACATCGAGGAGAACATAAAACAAGGGATCAACGAAGCAACGTCCTACAGCTCATGAAAACGTATCTCTTTCATCACTTCTTTGTCTCTTTCTTTCTGCCGAAGGTATCAAAAGTGAGCTGGCTCCTAGGGACGATTTAAGAGTCCGAGGGGGAATGCAAACTCTAATCCACGCGAGATACGTTAATTATCGGAAATTGACATTATCGAACTTGGCATCTCAAAATTTGCAAGAATTCGGTTTCATTCCCCTTTTCATTCAACCCTTATTGATCTAGAATAGTTTAATTAGTGCAGTCTCTGGATTAACGACGTTCACGAAATTGTATGTTCTATGGTATCCATTTATATCCCCGAAAAATCGTCTATCCACCTGCACGTGGCACTTGCAGCCAGAATTCGCGGGACCTGTCGATTTCTTTTTATCAGACATCGGCCAAATATCCGAGATGATCTGAATTTTGGTGTTGCGGAATCGGCTTATGGAACCGACCCAGCGCAGTCTACTTCCTTTTGAGATAATATCGCCAAATGTTGAGAAATTCCGAGGCTTTCTAAAAAGCCAAACTTTTTTGTTGAACAAAATTTAGAAACCAGACTTTTGGGTTCTTACAGGAGATCTTCTTGCTCCGGCAAATCTTCATGTAAAAGAAAGCCACAAAGCTACAAAAGCTACGTCTGTTTTGAACTCGATTTTGATGAACTTTAGTTGAAAAGTCGAAAGAAGCAACTTTACAATTCCAACTTGGCGCCTAAATAAGAGTATTTTTGACGAACATGAGAGGTCTAGACTCGCGTGGAACACCATTCTTTCGAATTCAACAAGCCTGGTTGCCCTTTGAAAAAACACTGTGTCGCCAGAGCGAAAACATAGTGGAACGTGTGCTGTAATTTTCGATGAGTAAATTTCCGCAGATTTTGCATTTGCGAACTTATTTGACTCGCCCTTTTTTCCTTTGTTTCTCACGGGGCTTATCACTTCAGGTGGGCAATTTTGGGCAGTCGATTTATTTATGTCTTTTGTTAAATTATGCAGTTCGCATTTTTATTTTAGAGAAATTGTCAGAAGATGGTGAGTGGAATTGGAGTTGATAGGGCGGAGAAAAAGCTGCGGTCTGTAATTGCCGCTCAAGAAAGTTCACTTTGCTCTTTTTTCTCTTAAGTTTATTTTCTACGAAGGGAGAACCTAAAGAAAGGCGGTTTGATATGCCCACGTCTCGAGTTGGTTAACTTTCCGGCGACTGGACGAGGCATTGGTTGTTCAAAATCCGTCGTTGTTTCCGAAAAAGTCATCATCATTCCTCCCTCGCTCATCATTACTGGAGTTTATGTTCTTGAAAACTGCCCTTCCATCGCCGGAGCTTTCGAATCCATCCCACCCAGCGAAAGAACGGAAAAAGTCGATGTCCAAGATTTGCTGATTCTTTGGCTGATGATGCAGCGCGCGGCTGGAGAGAGTTCTAATTTTTACGATTTCCTGGCAATGGGATCTTGAAATTTCCTTCCAAAAGCAAAAACGGGTTGAAACAAGTTTGAAATGCGGGTTCGAAACATTCCGCGGCTTTTTGCAATTTATCTCTTGTTGAGTAATAGATCCAAGCAAAGAAACATTGCCGAAAAATTTTACGATTCCGTTAACATTTCCTCCTTCTTTGGTATGCAACCATCATTATTAGTATTATTGTTTCACTATTATTATTGTAGCTTCAATATCTTCCACTGCAGGTGCGGGAACGAGCAGCGAAAGATAGGAAAAGGAGACAGCTAACGACCTAAATTTAGTGAAAAAACAAGGGCATATTATTAAAGCGGGTGGAGCGGAACATGTTGCCAAAACGCAACTTTTTCGTACAGAAAACATGAAAACGTGTTTTCCGTTAATTTGGATCGCTTTTAAGGATGAATGGGATAGTCAGAAGATTGATAAGTACCAATTTTAAAGGTCTTTAGAGTCCCTTTAGAAAGAGCCGAAACACGCCGAAAATTTGTCAAAGGAAAGGAAGCCAGCAACACGTTAGGGTTACCGCTCGGTAGCAGTGTGAAATATGCTTTCAAAACCAAGTGTGGTGGCTCAGCTTGTTGCAAAGGCAAGGCAGAGTCTGCCTATAACGCTTAACTGGAAGGAAAAGTTTAAAGAAGATCTATTTTTTGAGTTCAAAGAGATGAAATTGCATAATTTCATGAACACAAATATTATATCAATTTGTTAAATTTGAAAAAGGACTGGCTCTGGGCGACAGCAATTATAAGTCTGAGGATGAGAAGATGATCCTGTGTTCTTATAGAAGCTAAAAATATAAAGCAGGGTTAACTTTGACGGGGCTCTCTGAGATCATCCTCAATTAGAACTCGTTTTTTCTGCGCAGATGGGTTAAAAATTCAAGAGTACAAAAACTACCGCTGGCTTGAGGAAAGGGGTTGAAATCGATTGCGATTTACTTCAATTTGGAACTTCCAAATGTTTCTGAAACTGTGTTCGAACTAGAGTTGTTTAATGAACTTTTTCGGGCGCGCGGTTTTTAGTACAAACATAGAACGTGGGTTTCCCAAATCACCATCATCCTTGTTGAGCCATCACTAGCTAAGCACGTAACATTTTCGGAACCCTTCATTATTTTCGTGAAATGGCTAGAAATTCAACAAAAACAATCATTAACAGATCGAGTTGGTTGACCATGAATTTGAAACTCGCTTATTCGACTAATCAGATCTTCAAGTTCAAAAAAGAGCGTCAAAATTCTCGTTGTAATTTCCGAAAATAGCAATAAAAACAGTCAGAAAGAAATCAACCCCAAAAAAGCGAGGGACGGAATTTGACCGCGCGGCACTAGGCAAGGATTTGTGATTCTGAAACAATGTGGTGATTTGGTAATTGGATTAATTACTCGAATTTTGCAAGTGCAATTATCGAATCCTTTGAGCACCCTGGTTCGATATGCTCAACCACAGGTACGACACGTGGAACGCAGCTTTTCACAAAACCGATCGTAGTTATTCAAAGCATTCATAACACGTAGCATTTATTCAAGTTTACACTTTCTCTGTTAGAAATTTCAAATTGAGGAAAAAGGTGAAATATTCGGCGCTTAATTTATTGGCATAATTTATTGATTCCTGATTAAGTCGGTCCAACAATGCTGAATTCGAATTCGATCACAATACAGGACGACTTTTAGTCACGTGCATCAGGATTTGGTCTCTGGATAATAAGACTCTCGTTGAAAGACTTTTATTCACCCAAAAAGCAGTCCGATCAAAGCTGGGGAGCAACTGTTCATTTCCTATGGCTCGCGCCCTGATGATGACCTGCTGCTCGAATATGGCTTCTGTCTTGGGTTCTAAAAAAAATATCCGGCTCGATTTGATTTTTTTTAGAAGTGATGGTGATTTGCAACCAAATCGCGTTGTCTTCAGCCAGCGCCAGGTCGCAGACGCTTGTTTTACCATCGCTGGTGTTACTAAGAGGATCGGTTCGCGGTTTCAATAAGCTTGTAATTATCAGGCTCATTGACCAGCAGATCTAAAACCGATGGAAAAGTACCTTTGATGAGAAAATAGAGCTTTCCAGAAGCATCTACGCCTCGAACATCGAAAACTTCTTCGACTTTGAAGCCACTGACAATCTTCTTTGGTAAATTTTCTTTCGAAAAACTCAACAAAAAGTTCATTTCTAGTGCCACGAAGGAGCTCATTCATCCGAAATTGATCACGTTTGTTGTCTGGTTAGTCTCAGATGCGAAAAACGAGTCCCAACTTCTTGAAAAAGCCGATTTTGTCCGAGGGTTAAACAGCGCAGCGCAAATGACAGATTTGGACACCCTGAATTTTATCAAGAAACAAACATTTGCAACAGTCAAAGAGTTATTTTGGCAGACTCTCCAGGCACGTAAGAGCATTTTTCTCTAATTGAGTTGAATCGAGGTTGAATATTTCGACGATTCAGGACATGGAAGCTCGAGATGGCCTCGGTGGAAGTGCGTGTCGACTGGGTGAAATGATTCAAGGCAGTTGCAAAATCCTGAGGGAGGAAGGAAAGGACATCTGCAGGTTAGAAAGATGGAGTTTTTGCCAGAAGACTGTTGTGTCATTTTTATGTAAAAACACGCCTATTTATAGGATTTTCATCAAAAATGATGAACTTTTAAGTTTGAAGGCTCCACTTGAATCTCTAACTTTGAGATTTCGAGTTGAAGTAAACTCACCAAACTTTATTAAAGTTTAAAACTGACGCGCATTCAGTGAATCTCGTTAGAATATCAAAACGCTTTTTCAGGCACTGGTTAGAAAAGCTACAGTAACAGAAGAGGAGAGACGAAAAGAATCATCGCCACCATTTACCGAAGCTGAATGATTTCAGGCTGAATATTCTTACATATTATATACATTTCTTGAACGCGAATAAAATCAACGCAAATGATAGAAATTGTGGTTCTGCTGAGTGCTGAAATTGCAGTTTGCGGCGAGTGAATGTGGTCATCGTAGAATATGAAAGGCCATTACAAGAGAAAAAAACAGAAGAATGAGATTTTTGAAGCGACAGCTGAGGCAAAGGTAATTATTTTTTGATTGAGATAGTTTGAATCTAAACGGATTTAAGGCGAAGTCTTTGTCTTTTTATTGGCTATGTTGTGTACATAATTATTGGAGCGCTTATCTTCAAAAAGGTTGAGCACCAAGAAGAAAACCAAAAATGCGAAATCGCAAAGAACGAACTTATCAAAGAGACGCACCGTTTTGGAAACGAGTACATTTTCGATCTGGGCTTGAACTTGAAGTACTGCTCCGGAATACCAAGAGTAGCGGCCGCTAATAGGCAGGCAGGGTATTTCGATCCCGAGCTCGTGGAGATTTTCGAGGAGTGGTTCGAGTCTGGATGCACCTTTGCCGCATTTAATCACTTGACGGACGAGTTGAAGCTCGTTGGAAATGGTTTTTTATTTAAAAATTTTTTTTTATTTCTTAACAAGATGTAAAACCATCATTTCTGTCCACGAGTAGCGCCCCAACTATCCGACTTTTATAAATCAATCATGGCCGTAGGAGATATGAAGCCAAAGTTCGACGAAGAAGTATTCACGATATCTGGCAGGAACGGATCTGACGATAATAGTGCTTGAACTCCGATGAACTAAAAAACACAATAGTAGCAATTTCCCGATTCTCGTGGTTTTAGAGCGCACGTTAGATCCAAACAAGGACTCTGCGAAAAATTTTGAAACAAAGTGCTCAGTTCGGCATACATCACTATCAGAAACTGAACGAAGCGTGCGAGACGCGCTGGGATTTTGAGTCTGCCTTTTTCTTCTCAGGTCGGATAATTCCCGCATTCATGTTTCAGCTCTATCTCAGGAACTGTAGCAACAACGATTGGCTACGGGAATATAGCTCCATCGACGAATACTGGAAAGGTCTTCACTCTCGTTTTCAGCTTGATCGGAATTCCTTATTTTGGAATTTTAACGTGTTGGGTTGAATTTTGAGAAGTCTAAAAATCCTGTCGCAAAATTCAAACAACCCTTTGTAAGCGTGTTCTTTCGGAAGATATCAAAAGAGCAGTCAATAGCATCAAGGACCAAATCAGCTACGGATTCTAACTTCCGTATAAAAATTGTCCTGAGTTTCTGGAAGAATCCGAATTTCAGGCGACGATTTCACATCTGCCCAAAGTACATTGCCCAGTGGATCTATATCGGGTGCGGCGTTGTTTCGCTGATTTTGATTCCTTCCTTCATTTTCAATTACATAGAAAGCTGGTCGATTTTTGACTCGATCTATTTTTCTCTTATTTAGGGATGAAATATCACTGGTATTATATCAGTTTATCAATTTTACTAAATTATTTTTTCGTTAAAGATATTTCATCCTCTCAAAAAGTTCGCTTTCAACAATAGGCAAGATTTTCAAAAACCTGAATTTAAACCTGAAAGCCTAGCTGGGCAAATTGAAAATCCACTATCAATAGGATTAGGTGACCTAACACCGCGAACTACACCGCCACTCTGGTCGGCCTTGAATGTCATGAACGACACTGCTTGCTTGGCAGAGCTCATCAATCCAGTACCAAGGTTGTTCTAAATTCTTTCATAAAGGAAAAACATTCGTGCTGAATATCATTTTGGAGCAGCTGAGAATTTTTCTAAACCCGTTGGAATATTTCATGTCGAGGAATGGAGATTCTAATCTTCAACCCACTCGGCCCAGATTTTAAAGAATATTAATTTAGTGGTGGTTTCAATCCACAGAACGTCGAGGCATCCAAGTGCGCGCCCAATACATGGGCGGAGCGTGTAAGTTTAATCTCAATGCCAGTAGCTTCTCAGAAAACTCATTTTTTAGGTGAATAACGTATTTCACATCTACCGAATGTTGATTTTCTTCTGGATTCTTTTCGGACTGCTGTGGCTTGGAGGAATCATTTCCCTCGCTCTTGACTACTTCAGGACCCGGGATGAAGAATATTGCTAGCTAAGCACCTTTTTTATGAGCTCGAACATGTATTAGATACTCTGAGAAGTTCGTTTATGCGCTTTTCTTGGTGCTAACGGGCGAGCAACTATGCAAACTGGTTTAAAGAATTTTGTCAACTATTTTCTTCAACCTGGTGAAAAAAGAAATCGCAGACGGCTGGCAAATCTGGAGACGGTCGAGACTGTACAAGCAGGTGGTTTATTTTCGTGTCAACAATTTTGCTAACCCTGCCCGTTGCTTAGCCCTCAAAAAGCTCAATGAAATCCCGTGGAGCCGACGTAGCCGATGTGAGAGTATTCGTGGGCAGCTCCGGATCAGTAGAAAAGTGCCAAACAGGAAGGCAACTCATTTTTTATGACTAAAATAATTCCCTTCATATTGGCAACTAACTTCTGTAACAGCAACACGTAATTTTTAAGTTGTTTAAATGTTTCTTATTCATTAATTTATATTTCTTCCTTGTTGCGGTCATACCGGTGCGGCTCCCTCAGTCGTAACATTTATTTTTACTCCAAATATGATTTCTACTGTTCGTCTTATTGAGCTTCAACTCACTTTTCGTGAATATTCTGTGAGTTGCCTACAGATGTCCCAAGCAAAGACGAGCTTACTCCGATGGTGCCTTGGCTCTCCCTACGTGTCATTAACGGATCACCATTCATCAAAAGAAAATCCTCCTTGAGCCTCCTTTTTTGATTTTTTTGCCATCAATTTTCACCTAGCCTGCAATTTCAAATTGTCAATAAAAACAACAGATCCACGTTTGCTGACTACTAATAAATCTACTACCCAAGCTAATAAGGGCAATTACGGGCCGATAGTTAGCATTATGTTGGAAACAGATGTAACATTATTTTGAAACACGGTTTTCCCCCGACGTTGACATGTGATCATTTTCGTAACGGGTTCGAACTAGTACCGTGTTCGCAGTTATTCATAAAATGAAAACTAGCGTGGCAGTTTTCCCGCAAAAGCCAGGGCTTGGCCGGAAATCTTCACTGTCGGGCAATTGTCCATTTAACAACCGCCCACGATTTACCGAAATGGAATTTTACGGCTCTCGTTTCATTTTACTCTCTTGCTCACCAGTCTAACTTACTCAAGTACCAGAGAGCTTACTCGACAGAAAAAATAGAGCCGAGAATAATGAAGAGCTTAAAGCTGATAAGCTCGAAGCAGTCTAATGGCGAGTTCAAAATCTGCCAGGCTGGACAACCAGAGATCAAGTTCGAAGATGGAAAGCCCGTTCAATCATTGCGGTAAGTTAGGATATTTATTGGGGAAATACACATTTAGAAAGATATACATTTATTCTTCAGAAAACCGTAGATGATTATTTTGAGGGAGACAAAGGAGATCTGAAACACTAATATTTTAATAGTTCTTTTTTACATTTTGGGGGTGTTTTTTCCTTATTTGGTCGGAACTCCTGTGAGTCATGGCTGTCAATCAGCTTTAACTACTTAGTGCTTGAATTTTATTATAGACCGCGGATTAAAATTATGATCGAAAGTTATTACCGAAGTTAAATTTATTGCAACTATCAAAATCAACGTCCGCTAGAACCCTTCAAATCCAGTTTACTTGAAAAGAAAATTCAGATTCACGTTGGAAGTTCCTCTCTTCTCTGAGCAAGTTTACTCGCTTCAAGGATTCGGGAATGAAGAACCAGCGATGACGATCACTTCTGAAGCTCAGCCACAAGTTTCTTGCCCTGGCTCGACTAGATCTGATCTGCAGAACTTGAAGACTACCGAATTGAAGACGACAAGAAGATTTTACTGGGAAGAGGGGCAGCTTTTCATGAATTTGCAGACACGGTAAGGTCTTTTTCGAGCAAAAATGAGCAGAATCGAGCTTTTAATTTAATCAATTGAACGTGTGTAAAATTTTAAAAGGTCACGAGGACAATTTCCGAAAAATAAAACTTTTTAAGATTCGTGCTGACCGCAAACCTGTCGATCATTAACCAAGTCGAGATCAAAGAGGTTACTTACGACATGGACAAAGCATCGACAAGGCTGGTGCCAGTTAACAACGGTGCGTTGAATCGTTAATATTTCTACTGTAGTTTTGCTTTTAGATGAATTCAGGAGCTTTATCAACAGAAACCCTATCTTTGACAAAGAGGGCAATGTTGTTTCTATCGATCCAGAAGAAAATGGAACTGCTTGTGTTCCGACTGAAGTGACCATTCCTGTCTTCGGTGCTTTCTCAGTTCCTCCAGAACAAGATGTTGAATCTAAAACGGAACCTGGAGAGCCCAAGCAAGAGGAAAATGAAGAATCGAAGATTCCAGAAGACGAAGGAGTTTCTAAAATCGATCACTCTGGCATTGAGTCTGGTTACGATTCCTTTGCGGATGGTGAGTAAAAAACCAAAAGAAGTTCTAAACTTTACGACTTTGACTAAAAGCCCTCGATCTCACTGCCCACTATCGCGTCAATATATACAAGAGGCGGTTCCGAATTTATGAAAGCTGTGAAATTTTTGATAATCAAGATGAATTTTTAGGAGACATCACTGCTGACGACCGCACCAGTATCGAGTCCGATTTCTCCACCTGGGAAGATGAAGAGGACGATATCTTGGCCGAGAAACACGACTTTCCGGATCCTACTGAAGCTCTTTCTCGATTGATTCTTTCCTCCTGATTTTCTTGCAACTGAAAACAATCGACATGTGATCACCTTTGCAGGCGAAATCAGAACTGCACTTTTAACTGCTAGAAAAATAAAATTCGTTTTATAGAACCTTTTTTTCGTTGAATTTTTTCGAGCATTGGAAGTTTATTTTGATAAGTAACGTGTTATTATGTTCTCGAGAATTTTTTAAACTTTTGACAGATGCAGTGTGTTTATCTTGGAAAAACGTTAGAAGCCGGCTTAGGCGACTGAGTTGGGTCAGCAAGGCCATCAAGCACGTTCGTGCTTAGGCTTATCGACAATGAGACACTTGACAATCTCCTACATTGGACACGCAGTGGGCATTTACTGATAACTCCCATTTACTGCATTCTCTCAGCAATTTTCTGACGAATGGAATTTGTAAATTACGAGGTCGGTAACTGTATCTTGTTCCTTCGATTTTATTGAAAAATTGATAGAAATTAACAAAATGTTGAAGCAAAATCGTTTCATTAATTTTCGCACCCAGTGCCGCTTAGATCGATAGCCAGCAAATATTATCGTTGGCGTGTTCTAGGGAGACCTAGATAGAGGCAAAGAGGCAATGAAACAAGTAAATCGGGACTCGAGGTGGTCAAGACGGTATCTATCATGAACTCATAGCTCTGAATGATAGGTTCTCTCTTGACACTTTGCGTCGCCGCCAATTTTACGTCGCCCCGTTGATTTTCATTAACAACTTGCTGAATAGCAAGTTTGAAATTGCAACGCCAATTTTGACCCAGTGAAATTCCACAAAATTGGCTTGATGATTTCATTCTTGCTCTCAGGAAAATCGACCCTCCAGAAATTCAAAAATTTCAATAACACGTGGATAAGACGCACTTTCTCGGGCATAAATTTGTGGCTGAAAAGACGCGTTTTTAATTTACTGACCCAAATTCTGTATTGTTATTTGGAGTGATGCTGCAACGGTAACTTCTCAAGATCTTCAAGTTTTAGATTAAAACCGTAACCACTGACGAAAAATGAGACAGCATCAAAGACCAAGCGAATTCTTCTTTGGTTTCCCTGTTCATACCAAGAGAACATTCCGCAGACTCTCGTCTCCAACTCCACAAACCACGATGGATATTCCGTACCGTTTCCACCCTTATTACTCTCGTCATCAACATCTTTTCGACAACATTCCTCCCCTCAATAAAATACCTGCAAATTGTCAAGAATTCTCCACGAGTTAAAAATTAAAATATTTATTCAACTTTAGACAAAATGTACAGTGCATAGAATGAAAGTGATGATTCAAAAATTTTTTGGGCAGCGTCGTTGTGTTTTTTTGATCGCAAATGATGTTGCTTCGTCATTTTTTCGGCGACTTGGCTCCGGCAAATTGTTCCAGGGGCCATTGCAGCTTGTTATTTTGGTTTAAAACGGTTCTAGTTTTTGTGCAAAGTGCTAGTCTATACAAAAGTGTGCAAATTTTCAAAAGTCCTCGAGGACTTCATGATTACAGGTATTTGAGAAAATCGAACGCCGCTTTTTTGGACGTATAAAAATATCGGCGAGCGATTTTTTTGAAAAAACAAGCATCAAAAGTCACTTGACTACCAGTTACCGCTCTTCTTTAGGCCAATGAGCGGTCAAAGGCATCAGAGTTACTTATGATAACTCTTCTCAAATATATGCTTAGCAATATCCGTTCGGGCGGACACGTCCATCTGGACAGCACTGGCGATCCAACTGGCGAGAGGGATCCCAGGGCTGGCTTCCGCAGCACTCTTTCCCTCCCTGCTTTGGTCGCATGTCTGGAAACTCATCGCCGCAGCATGTTTCAGGCTGAACAGTTACTTAATCCCTGTCAACTTAAAAACGTGTCTCTACCTTTGTGTATCTTCCAAGACCCTTCTTTCTGCAGTTGTCAGCGTACTTCCACTCGCCATTGTTTCTTCCTGTGTGGTAAGTAACATCCCACTCGTCTTCGTACTATGTTTCCGTATACAAAACTGACAGATAACGATAACAACTTACCCTTGACAAATCTTCGGCCATTCGTTTGTCGCACTCGCAAATGTGCCGTGCGCACGATCCGGGTTTGTTTCGGCATTGGATGGTCTAAGAAAATCGTTGCATAAATTATATTTACAATTCCAGGTACCTTTTCGCCAGTTTCTTCATCTTCGAGAAGCTTGAATCTGTACTTTGTGTACTCTCCAATACATTCTTCACTGGTTCCTTCAAGCTTTCCGTTTCCAAGTTTGGCACATGAGTAGCACTGGTTGAATTGTTTGCATGTTCTGAAATCAATGTTATTAATCAAGGGACTCGTGAATATTTAAAATGATTTAGACAATATTTTTCGGAAGAAATTTTTACCTGTCAATTCTATCGACAGGTTCTCCATATCCGCCGCCACTGAGATCGTGGGCACCTTCTGGCAAGCAGTAGCATCCGTAGTAGCAGTATTTTCCGAATCCGGGCTCTTTCTGGAGGAAGATTACCATCAGCTTCAGCTGTCTGAATTTTCGTGGTGCGGTCTGGAATGGTGTCACCGGCGCACTCAATCCCATTCTCTCGTCGGTCGAGCATTTAACGGGCTGGCCCTTAACAGGATCAACACCCGCACTGCAGATTCGAGCATCTTCCGCCTGGATTTCGGCTTTGTTCATTTGGAAATCTGGATCAGCTTCGTAGCCTGGGTAGATTTGTGAAAGAAGAAGTTCTGCTTTGAGATCGTAGTCCGACCAGGCTTGATCAATCAAGTAACCCTTTGGTTTCTTTTGTCGTTTTCCTCGCGCCATGAGAGCTGTAGAGAGGAAATCGTCGGGTTCACTGTCTAGGGTCGCTTCTGCGATCATTTCCGGGTCGTTTTCAGAGGAAAAACCAACGTTTGTTTCCGAATACCAGGTGCTGTGATTCTGTTCTTCGACTCCATCCCAGAAATTTGCGTGTACTACTGCTGATGATGCTATTAACGGGGCGAGTAACTAGAAAAATTGATAAAATTGGTCGAAAATCTAAAAAATGCAACTAATATCAATAATTTCTGGATTCTGTTATTTAAATTCGTTTCAGATTAACACGTTAAAACAAAACAAAACAAATACAGCAAATGCTCTGTTCTATTTTTTAAGTCTCTGAATAAAATTACCTTCATCGTAACTTCGCTCTGTTTTTTCCTGCTCTTCTCGATTTAGTCGCAGTTGGCGTTATGACGATTAACTTTACGCCGAGGGATGACTTTCAGAGCGCGAACGCGCCGCACAACGCCGCGCTCCACCACCACCAAGAATAGCTCGCTAGCGCCAAATATTCATTACGATCAAAAGTACTATTTTTGAGAGGGGAAATTCAGACGATATTTGTACATGTTTACGTGTTAGCTTGTAAGCGTTTACGAGATCGCAATTGACGAGAGTATGATGTTCTGAATATGTGTCAAAGATATTTTGAATATGACGCAAAGATCAGCTCAAAATTTGTATCAATTTATATCAACGGATTATTTTTCTTTGAGTCAGGTTGATTTCGTTATTGTTTTTATAACATCGAAGAGGCTCTTTGTAGAACAGCTCATAGAGCAGCCTTCTGTTATTTATTTTTAAGAACGCATTTTCTACAGCTGAGAATCAATCAAACAATTTTTTTAATTGCAATAAAAATATTTTATTAGAACAAGCTTTGTGCCATTCGATTCTAGTGTTTTCAGATGGAAGCATCTCTGGAAATTCATGTCGGGAAATATACAGAATTAAGACTCATAAAGTCGTTAAAAGTCGAGGAATGAGTCCGTTGCTTCGGCATCGTCTTCGTACTCGGCTTCTTCTGTCAGTAAAAGCTAAAATGATAAGTTTGAAACTGAATGAATAATGGTCTTCATATACCTGTAACTCGTCTTCAAGACGGTCAATTTGCTCACATACAAGAGCATATTCGTGAGATAGAGTGTTATATTCTTCAATTGAAAAACCACGCTTCTTTGAAAGCTTATGGGTTTTCAAAAGTTGCCATCTATTCGTCATCTAAGATATAATTGAAGAGCGCGTGTGAAAAGGCGATTTCTTACGTCTTCATAGTCAGGTAGTGTCTTTGTCGCCAGATAAAAGGTATAACAGCAAATCGCTCCACCATAAGTGACGAAAAACGTTACGGGTTCGATCACGTCCCAAGAATACTCCCACCAAGTCAATCTGGCCATGATTCCCCAGAGAACGCTCATTCCAATCATTGCTCCGGTGTGCATTCTGCTCGAGAATATAATCGCATCCTCGTCGATTTTTTGCTTGACGAGTTGGCACTTCTTCAACTTTTCCATGATTTCTAATGTTAAAATTAGCATCTACTTGTTTTAGATGAAATATCTTTCATTACCATCTCGTTTGGCAGTAAGCTTCTTATGGTGTTGGAACTGGAATTCGGCGATTCCGAGCGATGAGTGAAGCGAGTGGACAAGTTGCTTGATAGCTGCCATCTAAGCTCATCATTATGAGGAGTTGTTCGAGGGAAGACTTACCTCGTTGTCTTCATTGACAAGTAGCAACCGGGCGATTTGATCATCTGGGAGCTGAATTTGATGACGGATGTCGTTGATTCGAAGCTGGAAGTCGCCCATCGTCAGGAGCTGGCTGATAGTCGTTGCGGAGGCTAGACGAATCTCGCCCTAATATATTTAATTAGAAAAGAAGGAATGACGAAAATGACGAACCTGAGCATAAATAGCAGCGTGATCTACGCCACGATCTTCTTCCTTGATTTGCTCAAGAAGGTCTCCAATGGTTCCCGTCACAGGGCGACAGGTGAAGCTTACCGGCTCGTTTCGAGATGGCAAGCTTACTAAATACAGGTTTTACGACTGAAGAAAGACTGGTTTCTACCTGTGATTACTGGAAGACCGTGGCGAAAATTTAATTCAGCTAAATTTCTTCCCGACTTTTGCAAAAAATTGATTCTTCTTGCCAAAATTGACGGCCTCATTTTCTTTTAGTTTCCTCTATGTTTTCTTGGCGAATTCCTTTCTTTTGTGATTTTTTGTGCGCTTGTGTTGGGGTAGGATGACTAAAAACGATTGTAAAGAAGAAGAACTACGGGAGTTTCTTTTTTGTCTTCACTTTGAGAGCGGGGGCGAAATGTGCTAAATTATCAATGAGTTCAATATTGAAAAAAGTTTATTCGCGCTGTTTCAACAATTTTAACAACAATTATCAAGTGTAATAAAAAAAACTTGACTCAAGTAATCAAATGATTCACTAGGCAGGTCTTTCAAATAATAAGAGCGGCTTAATAAGTACCTGTGTATTAAAAGATAAAGAAAAAAAGGCAATTTCGGGATCAGTTCTCGCTGGAATGGATAAAAGCTTTTAGGTGAATGAAAGAGCTCTTGTCTGAAAATACACACGCGCTGGTAATTAAGTAAATATGCGGACAAGATGAAGCTTTATGTTTCTGCAAACGGACCGTTGAACGAAGTAACGACTAACTTTCTTTTACTATTGGTATTCTCTTCTTTCATAAATCGTAAATAAATCTGTATTAAAAACTCTGATCTAGAATTACCTTAACTATCGTGTTAATATCCTCTTAAACTAGCTGGTCTCTATACAAGCCTTAAAAATAAGTGATAAGGTAAGTGTCAAGCTGCAAGGCGAGTAGCTGTGGCTGGAACAAAGATGTGAAAATATAATTGGATCGATCGATGATCTCTATCAAGTTTTTGACGTTCGAAGCTTGCCTCGAGGAATAACTGTAATTCCCGGCGAGTTGATTGATTTGCTCGAGCTTAAATTGCTACAGAAATGCTGATTATTCGAAAAAAGGGGGCTTTAGTCCAGTAAAAATGCAATCAAGGAAGACCCTTAAAAACGTAATTTTACGTCATTCATTTTTATTACAGTCATTTGCAGCTCCTAACTGTCTTTTTCTGGCTTTCTTGACCTCATCTAACGGCAATAACAGGTTCGGATATCTCTCCCAAAATGAGTCTTTTATGATGTCGACGTGCAGCACTAGAACTTGACGCTTCTGCAAGTGCTTCTTTTCTTCGCTCGTATGGGCTTCCCAAGAGTCTATTTCTCCTTCATCCTCCTGATAATGTTTGAAACATCTCATCAAAGGATTAATCAATCAATATCCCGAGCAAGCCTCTTTACGAGTCGCTACGAGTTTTCATGTTTCAAACGGTCCTTTCTATTTTCAGCTCCAATAAGAACCGATCCCTTTTTGAATATTTCCTTCTCGTCATTATAATTGATCCCTAATTGGAACAGGATCTCATTCTTTTCCTTTTTCACAGGTCAATAAACATTGGCATTGTTGCAGCCCGAGTTTACTCGGACCATCAGCTACGCGCTTTACGACTATAACACGCTCTCATGGAGTAAAAAGTCAGACATTCAACAGCTCTTCCTTTTTTGTCCAACGATTTTAGAGACCTGATCCCTTTGAGAGAGTTTTTGAGAGGCGCTTTTCAGACTCGCTCGGCGTCAAACCTGTTCACAAGTTCTTCAAAGGGAATTCTTTAATAGAGAAAATAGAAAACTCGAGAAAAATATAATCCTCAGAAAGGTCAATTTTTAGAGCAACCGGCCCGAAACGATGGGCAATTTTATGAAGAATAGATAGAGGAACTTTCCTTGTTTCTGGATCAGCGCATGGAAGGTGGTGTTGTAAAGGTTGTTGATGTGACAATCGACCTGTCTCCACGCGAGATAATCTCTAAATACAAAATGGATTCACACCCTACTGCGTTCCTGGGGGAGGTCATTTTCAACGCCCCAGCGTTTATTCCCCCAAAAGAGAGAGTAAATTTCAACCCAGCGGCGAAGCAGAATCGTAATTATCAATTCATTACCTTAGTATTTTCTCAGTCGGGTAGAGGACCAGTCGCCCATCAAAGACAGCTGGGTACAGTAGCGCTTTCCAGGGGACAGCATTTAGCTACACAGATATACGCTTTCTGTTAATTGAATAAGGTTGTCCCAACCTGTGTTGGGGAAGAAGTGCGCCCAGTAGAACTGATAGACAGCGGTGAACTTGGAGACGGCTAATGAAACGAGTTTTTGTCGACGACGGCCGTGAACTGACGTGTCCGGCCGGAGCACGAAACTTTTTAGTTGGCTTTTTTCTACCATTAATTAACGCGCCATTATGAGCGTCTTGATTAAGCCCTGCCTGTACTCGTCAGATTGCCCATACGCGATCGTACAGTCGGGCAAGATTTGCATAACTCCCAAGGCAGCTCGATTAGCCAATCTTTAATTGGGGATACGCAAACGAGAAAATAGCGTCTTTTACTTCAGAGAAATAGTTGTTTATTCCCGTATTCTGAGGGCTCGCTCGTCATTTGGTTTCGTAAAATGATGCTTTTCGGAGAAACGATGGAAGTTGGAGCCATCGATACGTAGTACTATAAAACATCCAATAAAGCTGTGTAATTTGCGATAATACTTTTTGAGAGTAGTTTATACGCACAAGTACACAATTTACGCGCAGGAGGTTAATTTATAATTTTACAATGGTTTTTATTAATTTTTAATCTATTCAGTAATTGATACGTGAAAATCACTTCTGCGGAGCAAAATTCTAACCCCCATATTTCTTGTGCTCATTAGATAGAGCAACTCCTAAGGAGTCGAATGGTATAGTTTTAAGGGTCTGAGTCATCATCTATGACGTCATAAGGCCCCCCTTTGAAAAATGGGCATGTCCCCCTGTATCTCCGAAAATTTTCAGAAATATATGGAGATTTTGGCATCGTTAGAAAGCCCAGCTCAAACTGGCTATGAGCACAAGGTGTGCAAGAAAAAATTTCGACGAAAAAAAAATTTTTTGGGACAAAAACTTTTCTCAAAAAAATTTTTTTCGGAATTTTTAATTGCGCAACTAGTGCTCATAATCAGTTTGAGCTGAGCTTTCCAACGATACCAAAATCTCTTTATATTTCTGAGAATTTTCGGAGATACAGGGGGACATGACCTGACATTTTCAGGTACTTTAAGCACTAGAATTAGAGATATTTCGTTGCTTGGACACATAAAAATTATACCAATCGACTCCTCAGAACCTGCGCTACAAGATCAGCACAAAAAATATTGGGGTCCCGATTTTGCTCCGCAGAAGTCATTTTCATCTATCAATTGATTAGTTAGCTTAGCTAAGAAAACCTGAGTCTAGGTCCTAAATATCATCTCTATTACTGCTTACCAATGTAGCATTGCTTCAGAACTTGGTCATTTTCTTCAAAATCGCGGACGTATTCGAACCTGGACTTGGCCATGATTTTTCTTTCACGCTTTTTTCTTTTGTTTCTTCGTTTCGCGCTTTTTTCGCGCCTCGGGCGGCTGAAGGGTTTATTTCTTTATCTCTGTGATCTTTGATCTAACGATATAAATATTTTATAATTTGGGCTTGAATGGAGAGGAGGGAGTGAAACAAGTAAAAAAGTAAAAAATTGATTGGCCAAGCGGCGCAGAGCGTTGACCAGCGGCGCGCCCAATCCACAGAGAAAAATTGAAAAAAGACCGAAACTGAAACTCAGTGAACATGAACTGAAAATGCTGATTTTTATTAATTCTCAACAGCTTTGATAGAGATAAAAAGAAGCCTTCGCGAACAGAAAGAAAATAAGAAAAAATACTTATCAATTATTATTGATTATTTTATCAATTCTAACAATTGATAATGCTTCATTCCATCTATTTATATGAAAAATTGGATTTAATTTTTTAAGGAATAGTGATAGCCTTGTATTTTCAAGCTTAAAAAACGCTATCTGGGGCTGGAGAAATGTGTAGAAAACCTGAGTCAGCCTGGGTCCTGAAAGTTCTTTTAGCCTTTCCCAGCCAAATAAGTAGTCAAATTTACAGAGTATCCCCCTGAAAAAACGCGTAACTGAAACACTTTTACTTGTGTTCAGCACTATCTTCGGTCAATTCGATTGTTCGAATTTCACGAAGCATGGCTAGGCAAATATTGAGCTCGTTCTAAAAAGATGAGCCAAATCCAGCTATTGACAGCTCTGACAATTTCGCAAAGCACTTCAGAGATTCCAGCTCAAATATCAAGCCATTTACAAATACTGTTCATTTTAATCTCGACAAGAAAAGAGAGTCTGGAAGACTTCTTTCATCGAGTCCGATTTCTACAGAATTAAGATCGATTCAGGAACATTTATACTTGTTTGCCCAAGCACTTGAATTGGGCACACAAATTCCTCTGTAGTTTAAGTAGCCTTATCTTTAACCATTCCCTTAATTTGACGTTTTCTTGGTCCGTTATTTCTGGCGACTTCCATTATTTTTAAATACAAAATACAGATTCTTTTCTGGCTTGGAGTAAAGAGTATTTTTCGTATTTGAAAAGGTGGTCCTATTAAACTTCTGAAAATGAGCGATAAAAGCCCTCAATTTGCGCGTGTGGTCATTTTGATTGCTGATTGCTGCAGAGAGCGACAAGGAGCCGCCTAAGGCTCGTGCGCTTCTTGCCCCGGGCGCGCGCGCTCTCGCTCGTTGCAAGAAAAGCGTCAGTATTATTCCGCCAGTCCCAAGTGGCCCCTGACCCGCGGCATTTGAGCACGACGTCATTTCACCTTCATTTGTAAATAGTCATTCAACGCACTAAAAAATCAACGAATTTCCAAAAAGAAGCTGTCATTTTTTCCTTCACTCGTTTTTCCATATCAAAAACTAATTATTCTTGCAGAGAAATATTCACACTAAAGAGATTCTACTAAAGAAGTCCTGAATAAAGAATCTTCCCATCGGTACTTTTTATATAGAAAAAACTCATACGCAGACGTATAGTGTTAGTACAGTCTGTATAAAATTAGAGATATCTGTCGATCGGTTAATTTATTTTTAAGATCATGAATTTTCCATGTCATCCGATAATGACATTCTTCCCAATTAGAGTAAACTTATCAATATGAGACTCTTAAAAAAAACCCTAAAAAGTCATTTTTGATGGCGAAAAAGTGCTTTGGCCGATTGGAAAAACATGACTGCATGAAAAAATAATGCGTTCTATAGAACCCAGAATGAATCCAACGGCGAGGGATTAGCTCTCTCGCCATTCATCTCCTAATGCTCGATAATCTTTTCATCCCTCTGCTTCTGAGAGAGAGAAAATTATTTCAAAGGCGTCTGCGTAAGCACCAGCCGGAGGTCTTTTCTCCCGAGGCGAGTGAGAATTATTTTTAATGCAGTGCGCGCCGGGCATTTTTCTTTCTTTGCGAACTCCGGGGAGGACTTCAAATTTGAGTTCGAATAGTATTCAGTCTGATAACTGGCGAAAAGAGGATGCAATTTGCCTCCGGCTGGTGTCGCTGCACTTGTCGAACGCCGCCAATTAGTGGATGTAAATTTCATTATTCAGAGTTTATTTCTGCCTAAAGCTGGCCTCCTCGAGCGGTTTTTCTCCCTTCTTTTCATTCCCGAAATTGATTTCATTTTCCTTTTTTACAAAAGAGAAAATATAGATATAGGAAGAAGAAACGATAAACTGGGGCTCTTGAATAATTACAGACTTGGGATACAGAATCAAACGGGCTCAAATCGATTTCGCGTGTATCAAATCTAAAAAGGTGCAATCAAGGAGGAGCATTGATTTTGGCGACTTGGGAAATTTTCATTTCAGATTCTAGGAAAATATATAACCCTAGATATCATGTTAAGATATGTTGTAAGATACTGTTCAAATTTGACCAGCTGGAAGATGATGCCCCGTTGATGTTTGAGTACACGCGCTCTGGCCCAGAGCCTCTGGGTCACTTTTACTGCGCTAGAGCAAATACTCGAACCGCCGGAAGATGGTAAAACGGTTGAAATTTGAAGAAAAAAGGATAATTGTTGGGCAAACGTAGCTAACCCTTTATCGAACGCCCGTGGGACTGACCAAATAACGCCCCGTAGATTAGAGCAAAATAGAACAGTTTATATAAGACTTTCATTAAAAGGGGGGTTATCTTTATCTTTGTTTTTAAATTATGAAAATCGATACAAGCGCTTGGAGCTTATCTTAGCACTTGTCCACTTGAGACAAGGTCCATTGTGCATCGATTCCACCCTTTGTGTCCATCAGAATGACCGTCTTTGTCACTCAGCTCGTCATTTTTTATTCTAGTGAGAAGAACTTTTCGAGAAAGAAAAAATAACAGCGCTCTCTAGATAAATTCTTTCCTGGAAATCTTCGCGCTTTTACCGTTTCGAACCGTCGGTTAAAAAAAATTCTGTTCAGAAATTGATTCGAAATGGGTGATCCACGACCAGACATTCCGATCCCGCAAGGGCTCCAGCAGCTGATGCAAGATTTTGTCGTCACAGTCCTACGAGAACAGCCCGATGATGTCGTCGGCATGGCTGCTGAGTACTTCACAAAGCTCAAGGTTCGTTTTCATCAATAATTTTCTGTGTTATTCTTCTTGGCCAGCATTCTATTTAAATCGGTGTATTTTTGTATATATTATTCATGACGATCCCGAATCGGCTGATGGATTTCGGAGCTAGACTGAGTGTAGCACACACGTCGGCTCTATGTAGAATCCAGCGAGAATTAGATACTTATAATAAGCCGAGCGGCGAAAGTAGCCGAGCGTTTGGAAGTAAATACTTATTACAGAGGCTTTTAGGAAAGTAGAGAAGAAATGAGCTCCGGATCGAAGGTTAATTTCGAGCAGCCAGAGGACGAAGACGACGAAGACGTAAGTTCGGCCCCTTATTACCATTATATGAACGATATTAGCCAGAAAATCAAAGAATAACCATCGTATTCGTCTATTTTTGAAAGATTCATACAAAGACGGATTATAGAAGTGCTTAGTTCTGATGCCCACAATTAATTGATAAGCGCTAAAGGCGGTTCTTTGAGGGGATGTTATCTCAATCTAGGATCATCTCGGCGTTTCATGGTTGAGCGCTCTGTTTTATGATCTTAGAATCACGAGGGAGCTATATTTATCCATTTTTATTCCGTTTTTAGATGCCAGAAGACGAAGAATTCCTCAGAAGAATGAGAGAGAAGCAAAAGTACGGCCGAAGAAAGTCAGTTTCTGCCGAAGGGTGAGTGTTTAAAACTACTTTAATTGTAGATATTAGTAAATTACTTCGCACAAGCTTACGTAGAGTTCTGGTGCTACCCGCTTATATAAACTGTAATCGGCTGTTTTAGTTATGATCCAGATAAAGATGACGAGGACGATGATGCCGAAGAAAGAATAGTTAATCCCAAATCCGATGAACAGCGAAACCGACTCATCGCCGCCTGCCAAAAAGTCCTCCTCTTCAACAGGTAAGACGCGATGATGGACTCCTCAAGCTAAAGTCAAATTTAAGACTGGATAAAGACCAATTCAACCAAGTTCTCGATGCCATGTTCGAACATGTCTGCCAGCCAGGCGAAAACGTCATCAACGAAGGCGATGATGGAGACAACTTCTATGTTATTGAATCTGGAAATTATGACGTTTACAAGGTTGAGAAAGAGGTTTTTTTTCTTCTGTTGACAATAGTTTTAGTTGATCAACGGCGACAATTTGAAAGTCGCTTCTTACGACAACCAGGGCTCCTTTGGTGAGCTTGCTTTAATGTACAATGCCCCTCGTGCTGCCACAGTGTCCTCTGTTGACGGAGGAACCCTTTGGGCCCTTGACAGACAGGTACAAGACCTTTTCAAGAACTATTCTAACGAAATATTTCAGACTTATGTTAGAATTATTGTACGTGCCAACGCCAAAAAGAGAAGACTATATGAACAATTCCTTTCTCAAGTCCATATTTTACAAGTAAGAAAGGCCGTCCGAAAAGCTCCGTCTTAATTACTTCTTTTTCTCGCTAGACGCTGGAAGAATTCGAACGACAGAAGGTCGCAGACGCCATGGAGCCAAAAGACTTCGAAGATGGCGAGATCATCATTCAGCAGGTGCTGCTAAACGATTGTAAATCATTTCTGATAATTACGCGACTATTTTAGGGCGACACTAAGCTCGACTATTTTTACTTTGTGATGGAGGGCGAGGTCAAATATGTTCTTACAGACGATGATGGCGTCGAGAAAGAAATCAAGGTAAGAAATTTCCAAAAAGAATGAGCTGATGGAACCTAAAATCTTCAGCGAGACTCAACTGGTGGTTACTTCGGCGAACTGGCGCTGATCCAGGACAAACCAAGAGCTGTCACGGTCGCAGCTGTCGGCGCTACCAAATGGTGAGTCAAAGAAATTTATTTATAGAGCCCCTGACACCCTTGACATGGATTTTACGTCACTGGATACTCATAAAATCGCTAAATCAACAATGAAACACTATTTTTTCTAGCGGCTGTCTGGATGTGCAAGCCTTTGAGCGTCTCCTCGGTCCCTGCAAGGAGATTATGAAGCGAAATGTCGATCTTTATGCCAAAGAACTTGAGCAAGTGTCGTAAGTCTCTCTGGAATGAATTTTTACACAACTGTGCGCGTTCAATAACGTCTTTTGCCGTTCCTTTTTATGAAACTGACAAAAAAGTTCCACACAAACACATAAACATCACCCCACACACAAACACTCACTTATCAAACGAATTTACCCAACAATTACAGTATTACAGTTATTCACTCATTTTGCCTTCCTGAATCCCGCTCGGCGAGAGTTGTAAATAGTAAAATTTTCAAAGTAAAGACACCCTAACCGCGCGGGAACATAAATTTTCGTCATTTTATTTTTTGGTCCTTGAATAGATAAAAATACTCAATAGTATTTGCGATTCAGATTCATTAGCAAATCTGAATACATTCAAGTTCTATGCATAACAAACCTTGTCCAACTACCCCTTTCCTCCGTTTTCCTTGCATGCTTTGAGTTTTTTTGAGGTTCAGCATTGGACAGAAAGATATTTTTCTTCATATCTCTCTGTCTTGAACCCGCGTGGCGTTTTTTTTCAACAAGAAACTCCCGCTGGATCTATCTATTCTAGCTCCAAGCCACCAGCAGAAGCTTCCGAAGCTTCTGATGCTCCCGAGACAAGCGACTAACCTAACGGTCTATAATTATTCAAGCACCAGCCAATCGACAAAATAACAAAAAATATACAGCACAACAAAAACTACAAAAAACTCTGCTACTTCAAGATTATTATTACTTTTATTATTACTATTACTACTATTGACTTTGTATATCAGCATACTTAACTACTCTTACAGTAGCCATGCTACTAGTTATTGCTCGTAGCTAATAGCTAGTTTGCAATTCGTTATATTCTAATTCGAGAGTTTATCAATCAGCTCTTATAAAAGAAAGATTGAGGATAAACTTTCTTGCTCTACAAAACCTCAAAATGAATGAATTTTAGAAAATGAAATTATTTATAAGTTTGCTCTTCATTCCTAGTAAACTTAATTTTTAACGAAAAAAATTTACACCTCCGAACCAAATCCACTCTTCAAATACAAATGATGAACTAATCAATTAATCCACAATTGAAAAAAAGAATCAGGAGTAAATCAACAAAGACCAACCTTCCCGCATGATAGGCACTAAACAAAAATCCTCTGTTCAAAGACTCCCTCTGAGAAATTCGAAAGAAAAAACCCCTAAAAATTCCAAAGATTCCATAAGTTGTATATTTTGAAACCCTCCATTTTTTCAACCCTCTTACTTTGCAGATTTCTCCCTTTTTACTGCTTTTAGTTCCATTCTCGCGAATTTGAAACTGCCGAAATAAAAATAATGGCGTTTCAAATAACTCTTCTTTTAACTACTGCGTTACTATTATTATTATGTTTTTTGATGAGAAAAAAATCGACCATGCCAATTACGGCCAAGTATTCTTACCAAGTCTTCGTTGCCTGAAGAGTCGACGAGTCCCAATTATAAACTGTATTTATTTTTTAAAATATACGTTCAAAAATTATGTAAATCGAAAAACAAATGAGTCTCCATTGTCGCCAAAAAAGCCTCACTTCAGAATGAAGCATGTTGTTGTCACAGGGTACGGGCCGTTTTGCTCGAAAGCAGAAGATAAGGCAACGCAGTTTGACATAAATCCTTCATGGGCAGGGCTCCAACATTTGGAACGCAGGATATTTTCTGAAGGAAGTAAAAATGATGAGCCCTGTTTTGGGAAGCAGTGAAACTTCTGCCAAAAATCTGGGATCGACAGGACATTCAGTTGAAGATTCGCGAAGTAGAAGGAAAAGGAGGAAAAAGAGAGTCAGAATGAATATAAGAGAGGAATCTTTTTAACCCTGAAAAGTAAGCTACGAAGCAGTTGACGCATGCGTAGAAGAGATCTGGCAGAGCCCAGAAGAGCCCCTTTTCGTGATGCATGTTGGCGTAGCCGGATGCAGACCAAATATATCCATCGAGACAAAGGCAAAAAACGGACCGTATGACAAACTCGATGTTTTGAAAAAGAAACGACCGCAGGGCCCATTTGTCGATGGACAAAAAGAGATCAAGACGAGTCTCGACTATGAGAAATGTATCGAAATAGCACAGAATTCTCGCTTGGAAACATCAGACGATGCTGGATTGTATTTATGGTATAATTGCGAGCGAGCATCTCCAATTTTCAACTCTCTAAATTTTATTTTTGTAGCGAGTACATTTACTATTCCAGCCTGCGGAAAAGCTTAGAAATGAAAGCAACATGTGTTTTTGTACACGGGACGGCTCAGATACTCCTATAAATAGACAGTGAAAAATGCGTAGTCAAAATTCTTTTGTACAAAATACACAGCCGATAAAAGTCCCGAAAATTGAAGCAATTACTTCTGAAGAAGTTTCAAAGTGCCTCGAGTCGATTATTACTACTCATCTGGATACGATTCTGTGATTCCTCTTTTCATCATTCCCATTTCTCTTTATGTTATGAATCTACCCTGTCAGTAGGCGACTAAAATTGATTGAGAATGAAATGCGTGATCCTTGTAGCTGGGCATGGAACTCTACTTGAGAATGAAATTCGAGAAAAAGGACCGAAAGAGCTCGTTGGAATTCCAAAAGCGTTGCTGCCCGCTGTTGGAAAGAAAAAGATTCTCGATATTTGGTGGAAAATCGTCAACCAGCGAACGCTCTTTTCCGACGTTTATTTGGTCACGAATGCCGATAAGGAATGTTCGCAAAATATAGAATCTTAAGAAGATCTTTTTTTTTTGAAGAATTTTTTGTAGAATTGACTTGAGTACAAATATTACGAACGATGGGCTACCGCAAACGACTTTCCAGTCAGCAATATCATCAATGACGGCAGCACCTCATCCCAAAACGCACTTGGAGCAGTAGAAGACCTCCAGCTTGTGCTCAAGTGAGTGAAAATGTGAAATTTTCATCAAATAACGCATACTGATGAGCTTAATTGACGCAAAACACGGGTGTTCGGATGCAGACTTGGGCTGCTTTGTTCTCATTTTGACGTGAAATCTGCGATATCTTTCGTCATCGACGGAATAATTTAAAATAATTTCAGTACTGTCGAAATCTCGGAAGACGTACTAGTTGTGGCTGGAGATATGCTTTTCGAAGAGAAATCGGTAGATATGGCACAAATCATTCGATTTTATTGAAGGTTCTTTAATTTTAATTAATGCAAGTCTACATTCCAAGAAATCATGGAATTTCGCGGACGGAAAATCGACGAAATGTATTGAACCAAATAAGAGACGCAGCTCTGCGAGAAATCTAAAGAACCAGACAAACCCACCAACTTATCGATGTATTATGAAATGGGAAAGAACGAAAGTACCCAGACTCGAGGGATTATCGAAGTAGACGATTCTGGGAGAATCACGAAATTGGCCGAGAAACCTTCTCAAACTGAAACTTCCTCGAGGTTCGGAAACTGGAGAAAGTTTTGAATTTATGATTTTTTAGACTTGCTTCAGTTGTCTTCTACGTTTTCTCAAGAAAAACTCTGAATTCATTACCAGAGTATCTCAGGAATGGTCTTTATTATAAGTTATAATTTATAACTTATAATTTATAAGGAAAGTTCTTACATACTGAAATGTTATTATACAATCTATGAAACTTATTCTTTAATGTAAAACAAACTGCTGAATTTGTTTTATATTGTCCAAGAATAAGAAATCATGTACTTGAGTATAACTTGTTCTCTTTGAAAGAAAAGAACTAGGGCGTCTTCAAAGATATTTCATAATTGAAAGTCCAATTAAGAAAAGCGACAACGCCCGATTCTAAAAGCTTTGGAAACTACTTATCCTGGTTAATTTCGCAAGAAAAAAGCGCTTTCTACGGACTAAAGATCCCAACGCGATTCAGCCTTATAGGAAAAAACGTTGGCCTTGCTGAATATCAAGAATGGGTCGCCTATTTTCAGAATAAGAAGAACGATGCAACGAGTAATCAAAGCTTCACGGCAAGGACATATGCGCGTGTTGGGTTGATGGGAAATCCGTCCGATGGCTTCTTTGGAAAGACAATTGCGTTGTCGATTAAAAACTTTTGGGCGAGTGCGAGTATTCGAGAATCCCCAACGCTGAATCTTATTCCTCATCCTTTGAATGATCCTACATCGTTTGGGCAGGGATAGACCGGTTAGTTAGAGCATTATAAAATAATACATTTATTGCCAATCATCTCTTGTCGTTTTCTCTTTTTGTCGATTATCTAAGCTGATTTATGAATGTCATAATCTTCTAACCAGCAATAATTATTAATTTTAATCTTTGATACGTAGTAAATAGTCTTTTTTTACAATTTTATCCCACTTGTTAGATCAATGGCAGATCTCCATGCTATAAGCTGCCGAGAAGGGTACTTTGGCGGGCTGCGGCTTCTGCAGGCCACATGCAAAAGCTTTTACAGCTACTGCCATCGAAACGGAATAGGTAAGTGAACTGAATTCGATTCAATTGAACATCTATTGGAGCCCTTTCCCGAAAGAACTTCACCTTGAGCTACGATACAAATATCCCTCGCCAAGTCGGCCTCGCTGGGTCTTCTGCAATCGTAACTTCAACCCTCAAATGTCTGATGAACTTCTTCAATCTCACTGACAGCGATCTACCAAAACCAAAACGAGCATCATTAGCATTGGACGTAGAAACATCCGAGCTGTTCATCCAAGCTGGCCTCCAAGACAGAGTCGTTCAGACTTATGAAGGCCTGGTTGACATGGATTTTGCGAAGGAACTTGTGGAGAAACAAGGATATGGGAATTATGAAAATTTGCATGTTCAAAATCTGCCTACATTCTTTCTTGTTTATTGTCCAAACCCGTCTGATTCTGGGAAGATTCATTCGAACGTCAAGCATCGTTGGCTCTCCGGCGATCAGGAAGTCATCGATGGGATGAACAATTTCAGGTCAGTAGCAATAAACAACAAATTGAAAAAGTAATCATTCGTTCGCTTATACTTTGCTCTAGAAACTTCACAACAAATGCAAGGAAGGCGATCGAGTCCGAAAACTGGGAGGAATTACAAAAACTGATGAATCAAAACTTTGAGCAAAGACGAAAGTTGTACGGCGATGCTTGTTTGGGCGACGATAATTTGAACATGATCTCAATCGCAAGAAAATTTGGCGCCTCAGCTAAGTTTTCCGGCTCTGGTGGAGCGATTGTCGGACTTTTACTAGAGAAGCAGCGGGAGATTGAAATGAAAGAAACATATCAGGTGATTGTTACATTTCTTTACATTAGTCTTTACAAAAGTAGTATATATTTTAGTTGCCTCTAATCAATATATTTTAGAAACATGGATATGTTTATGTACAAATAATTCCCCACTTTCCTGAAGCCAGCATGGATTAGCATAAGCTTCTTTCTAGTCAACTCTTACCTTTATTCTGTAGCGGGAATATTTATAAATTATAATATTCATCAAGAAATTCGAATCATTGTGCAATTTTGAAACTCTGCCATATATTTACCATATTCTTCATCCTTGATTCCAACGATAATTAAAACATAAGCGGAAAATATCGGAAATTTGAATTTTTAGTCGTTTTATTATTCGTTTGAAGAAAATGTACAGTTTTAAATTAGTTAGAGTAATGGAAACAGAGAGAGAAAGTGATTTAGCAGTCGGAAAATTCATCACTAGAAATGTTCGAGTGCTCAGAAGCGGCTTGCTCTCGAGCCTTTCTGAGCTTGATTCGTCGGTTTTGGAACCAGTACTGGATTGATTTAGCATCAAGCTTCATCATTTGAGCGAGTTTGACGCGGAGATGTCGGTCAGGGTACTTGGTCGTCTTGAAGACTTCTTCCAGGTGGTTGAGCTGGAGCGAGTTGAATTGAGTGCGGCGGTTTCGACTGTTGAGTGAATTTTGAAGGTTTTCTTTTGGCGAAATTGATTCTTGCTTTTGTTGGAGAGGAACATCCACAGATTTGATGAGTTGTCGAGCGAGACAGGGAATGGTTATGAGAGGCACAGCAGCGGCGTATTTGATTTCCTCCCATCGGAGGATTCGGTCGATTCCGAAGGCGAGTTCGATAGAGTTGACCATTTTTGGATTGGTTGGATGTTTAATTTACTATTCGAGCTGTTTAAGTTTTGATTGTGATGTTACGGTTGTCGACGGTGACTTTATACGATCTCGCGGCGCTCAGATGATGGCGCCAAATTGCGAAGGAGGGTGGGACAGGCGGCGCCAAAATTGAACTATCTGCTACACCAGATGGCCCAATTTGCATTGACGCTGATCACCGCCACTCGTTGCAGCCAGTCGGTAGATCCATATCACTTGTCTCTGATCTTCACACCTTGAACTCGTTATATTTCCATCATTCTTGTTGTAGTTCTGTAGTTTTTGCGTCATCGCGGTAGATGCTCCGAGCTCCTTAGGATGGTAATTTGAATTTCTAATTTTAATGTATCTTATAAAATAATAAACAACAACAAGAAAATAGTAAAGAGTTCTCGTAATTTCTTATCAATCCCATTTCGATAGCTATGCCTAATAGACATACAAAGAACATAATGTAAGAACATAATGTAACAAAATTTATGTTCTTACTAATAAGTTTTGACAAACCAGAGTCGTTTCGAGGGAACTGCTTTCGAAAGTCTCTAAACTTCAGAGGAGAGAGGCCCAATAGGCCAATTGCCTATCGGCAATAGGCCCGAGGTTTTGAATCCCCAAAACTTCAATTTCCGTATTTTTAGTCAAGGGGCATTAATAATGTCGCATTATTCAAAGAGATATTGTTTGAGAAATATCTGATGGGGACATTTTCTTCACTAAAAATGTCCAGGGAAGATCAAATAATTGGCGTGACCGTGTGAAGTACTCTAAGATGCATTATGCGCAGGTAGATCAGAAATCGATGCGAAGCGCGATTGCAATCAGCGATCACCTGGGCTTGGAAGTGATGCAAATTCGTGATTTTTGTTCGTTTACAAATTGCAGATTACTATCAGCTGCTCCGAAACTAGTTCACAGGGCCTTCTTTACTTTTCTCTTTCTGCTCACCTGTCGGGATGCTTGTCATTTGCATAACCTAATTTATAATTTTTAAGAAATTCGTGAAGGACATCGAAAAATGACGGGTGTGAATATGAACAAGGCCGGAATGGAAGGAGCTCCGAAAGAAGAAATAAACCGTATTTACGAAGAGTGCACAAAAAATAGCGATTTTACAAAGAAACAAAAAGAGCAAGAACAAAAATATATCGATTATGCTCTAATTGTAAAACAACGAGTTGAAATTGCTAGCCCCGATGAAATCGAGAGTGCACGAAAAACTATGCAAGAAGCGGTTAAACGAGCGAGAGAGGGCTTGGACTTTAGTAGAGTGCTGGTTCATGTGGGCAAGGATAGAAATATGTTATGTATATTTTTATGTTCAAAACGTTATTATTTACGAACCTTTGATCAGGATTGATATAAGTAGAAATGTAGATAGACATTTTTACGTGCAGGTGGATCAAAGTAAAATATCAGAATGTAGATCATAATTTCAGGGTGTCTAAATTGGACAAAATTTCCGGGTCTGGCCGACCATTTTCCGGCCAATAATTTTTTTTCGGGTTTGAACCGGCCAAAATCCAATCCAATTCCAATTTAGCCCAATAATCCAATAATTAGCCAATTATAATATTCACCAATCTAGCCAATTTTCCAATTATTTTCCGATTCCAATAAAAATCCGAATCCGATAAAAATCCGACAAAAATTACCTCCCAAAAATTTTTCCGATTTATATAATCATATTTCTTCTCTAACAAACTAAAGAAAAGACTTTAAAAATTGCTCTTTGGACCCAAACGTACACTTATTCCACTAATTGTAGCCATTATTCGGTAAAATTTAGGAGTATTTTGGTTAAAATTTGATCAAAACGGCTGATTCGGCTGGTTGCCCAACAATTTTCCAGTATTCCAATATATTTTCGCCGCCAATTTGCCCATTTTAGCCCCGATTTCCAATTTATCCCAACTATCCAATAATGCCCAATAATCCGAAATATCCAACAAAAACCGGGGCCAGATCCAACCAATTTCCGGCTATTTTCCAAAATAGGCCAATCCAACTATCCAATCCAATTTTGTCCGTCCAAATTAGACACCCTGATAATTTAAAGAGATAATTATTACCTTCAAAATTTTACAACATCTATCCTTTGAAGATATGGACATGTTCTTTGCAGCAGTTGAAGAGCTCGATGATCCAACATTGAAAGAAAAGATATTCGCCGTTGGTTCTATGGGAATGCTCTGCACTTCGAACTACAGGGCGCGTAAATACGGAATTCGCGCTGGAATGCCTGGCTTTATCGGAGCAAAGCTCGCTGAAAAGTTGGCAAAAGAAAAGCTTCATCTTGTGCCGACCCGGCATGATCGATACGCTGAGGTTTCGAAGCAGGCGCAGGAAGTTTTTGGACAGTACGATTCGAACTTCGCGATGATGTCTCTTGACGAAGCGTACATGGATTTCACCGAGCACTTAGAAGCTCGACTGACGATGACTGATGAACAAAAAACCTTCGATAATGTTCTCTACGGGAACGACATCGAATCAGCAGTTAAAGAAATGAGACATCGTGTGTTTTTAGCGACAGGCTTGACCTGCTCCGCTGGATACGGGCCAAACGTGATGGTGTCGAAAATTGCGTCTGATATGAACAAACCAAATGGTCAATTCGCAGTTGCACATGATGAAAACTCAGTTCTTGAGTTTCTACGGCCCCTTGCCATTAGAAAAATTCCCGGAATAGGGAAACGACAAAACTTGCTCCTGAAAACTGCGTTAGATATAAATACTGTTGGAGATTTGGTGGATAAGCAACATTTTCTTCCATTTTTGCATGAAGACGGTGGCAGCTCTCATGGCTTTCTTGCAAGTGTTATTGCCGGATATAGTAGTGCGTTTGTGCCACAGAGTGGACCTCAAAAATCGAGAGGGAAAGAGAGCTCTTTTCAGGCAACAAGAAAGAGTTCAATATTCTTCTTTTTTCATTTTGTTGAAGCAAAATCATGAACTCCCAAAAAGTGATGTTGATACACTTCTTAAAATCCTCCGCGAGCTATCTGAACAGCTCGGCGATCATTGCAAAAAGGCTGAAGTCTCCGGAGCTGGTTTCACGCTCAAAGTCAAAACTGACAAATTCGATCTTTTCACGCGATCAAAGAATTTGCCGAGAGCCATCAACGACGGGGAAGAGATATTCAAGATTGCAGAGAAGATGTTTATGAAAGAGTTTGGCGGGGAAGGCCGAAAATACAGACTTCTTGGAGTTTCGCTGAAAGATTTTAAGGAGAAGAGTGATAATAGAATGATAACGTCGTTTTTCGAAGCTTCTGAAAATAAAAACAAAGGTATTAGCAATGCTGGAGAACATGGTTACATCTATTTTTAGAGAAAGAAAAGGATGAAGCTGTATTTTGGACGAAAACTTCACCACAACAAGCGGCAAATGAGCGCGTTCCTTTGAAAGAAAGCAGGCCGAATTTTTGGAATCTTCCCGAGAACGATGAAAATGTATCTTCAAAAGCAACGCGAAAAACTAATAGCCCTAAAAAATCGCCAGCAAAGTTCGTCAGAAGAACGAATTTGCCCTTATCGTCAAAGCCAGGGCCGTCAAGAGTTATTGATCTTGAGGATTTCTCTGACGATTCTCGAGGTTCAACCATTTCAACTGGCGGACGACCGAATTTTTGGAACTTGCCGCATGAAAATCAAGCTGACGAGCCTGGTCCTTCCACCAGCAATGCTAGAGCCGTCGAGATTGACTATATTTCTGATGATTCAAGGAGCTCCACAATATCAAATCTTTCTTCATGCTCGTCAACATTGCTGATCAAAAAAAGAACAACGATGAGCAGAGAAGTGCCAAAGCTCGTTGAAGAGTACCAAAATATGGGAGAAGAAGCCTTACAAACTCGCCTGGAAGATATTATTTGCCCAGAAGAGCTAGAGGAGTTAAGAAAATTTCAAAACGAAGCTCCCAAGCCGACCATTTACGGTAAACAAGTTTTGATTGACCAGGAGTTAAAATCTATTTAGTAAAACCAAAAACTGATCAATCAAAAAAATCCAAGCCAAAACCAACTTCAAGAAAAGCCACAAAGAAGAGTCCCAGTACAAAGAAAACCCTCCCAAAAACTTCCATAAAGGACAGTGCAATTTCCAAAATGTTCCAAAAAGCTCAAAAGCGAAAATCCGACGAAGCCAACTTGACTCAAAACAAGAAACCTCACAATTCATCTACCATTGAAATCTTATCCTGATTCTTTCATTATTCAACACTTTTCGATAACTTTTTCTTTACATTTTCCCAACTGATAATAAAATTCAAATTATATTCAAAAACGGGATTATGAGCATTTCAATTTTGAAAAACTCAGCCTATGTTGAAATCTCTGTGAAAATGAAGCGGGTTTTTAGAAAGCTTTTCTAAGCATGTTTATGACTTTTATGTGAATATCAAGCAACTAAAGGATAAGTGCTTAATTAGATCTTGTAATTTTGAAAGACCTAAAGTTCTCATATAAGTATGTAGAAGAATATCAAGCCCAAGCTGAGCAATTTTAGCAAGAGCAACGATCAAGTCAGCTGCGAAATGTCAAGTAGGCCCGGAGCTACTTTTTTGTCAGATTTTTTTCATCGCAACGGCTTTTTTTTTGTTATTTTTTTCATCGTCTTCTTACTCAAGGGCGCTCGAAAACTTATCTGACTTGGAGACAGCGAAAAACTCAGTTTCACTTTTCAAAATTTCATCGAAAAAATAGACCTTCCAAAGGATGTTTTCTGATTTAACAAAGAACTTCCGCAATTCTTTCAGGAAGATGCGGAAGAGCGAAGAAAGGGTGAGCAAGAGAACGCAGAGCTTGAACATCAATAGAAGCTACTCCACTGATGCACATATTTATAGCGTCAGTTTTATGGACTGCCAAGAAGCTCAGAATAATTCGATTACGCAGAATAGGTTTGTTCTGCGGTTCATCGATGCTTATTTACGATAGTTCTTTGCGCAATTTTTGCGCTCGTCTTTGCTTGGAGAATATGAGGCTAATTATTTTATATAGACTTTAAATAAATACCAAGTAAAATGTTTCTCTTACGAACGGCTATTAATTCTTATATAAATTTTAGAATGGTAGTTTTTTCTTTTATAGTCAAAATACATTTAAAATTGAGCATAATATGTCACATATTTTATGTGTTATAAAGATCTAAAATATCTTATAAAGATCATAATTATATCATATAACTTATATCAAGTTATTTTTATGATCACTTTTGTCTGACAACCTTCAGTTCACCTATTAATTATGTAAGAAAACAATTTGGGAAATTCATTATGAGAGATGCAAATATTGAAACAATTTTAATCTCAGTCTAATCACCAAAATACCTCGCCCCAAGCGTCACTAGAAAAATATTTTTCAACGCAATTTTGCGTTAGCGTGAAATCTTCGCGGACAGTTGCTTTAGATCGCTGAGCGAATTCAAGAAACGAGATAATCCACTGTTGCGAGTCAAATCCTCCTTCTCGCTCGGCAGAATGAGCAAAACCCGGACCTCCACATCGAGGTAATTCAAATTAGCGTGCGCAGGGGGCGTTTTTGAAAGTACCGCGCGCCGCTCATTGGAGAACGCGAATTTGCGGGACCTTCAAAATTACTTGAACGTTTTTTAGTTTTTCTGCAATGTCCGATGTATCACAGCTGAAAAGGAAGGTTAAAATAAGAAAGAGAGAATATCGTAGAAAGCTTCATTTCAACCCTGATAAGTATAAAAGGCTACATGCGGGTGAAATTTGGAGATACGGGCTGGAAACGCCACTATGCGATTCTTCACCAGGATACAATTATGCTTTACTCGGAGAAATACGACGTTAATCCTGTAATGGAGACTTCCTTGATCGGGAATATTGTCGCTCCGGGAGAAACTTATACAAGAAAGAAACATTCCTTCTGCGTAAAAGGGGCACATACACATCTTCTTTTCAGGAAAGCTCAAACTGTAAACGCGCAGTTGTATAATTTATAATTATCGTAAAGAACTTCGAAATCGTTAGAGCTATCGTAAGTTGTAAAGATAAAGAGGATCTGTTCCGCTGGATGAACGCGGTCTCCCTCGCGTCAATAGGCTACGATGCTGACGAATGCAAAACTATTGGAATAAAAAAAAATAGATACAATTCATGCTCGATTCGGATGAACCGTGGAAGAAAAGTATTCAAAGTTTATTGAAACAATGCTAATGAAATGAATAAACGTAATTTTTTAAAGCAAAATGCGTCAATTGGAAGTGACGGACAATCGATTTCTTCTAAAGAAGACGATCTCCTGAGCGACATGTCACTTGTTCAAATGAAGATTTCAAGAGAAGAAACCCTCTTCCGGAAGAACGCGCAAATGCAAAAGTCAAAAAGCACGACATCGGACATCATGAGGCTCGTTGATGTCGTCGATATTACTTCTGGCCTTACTCGCAAACAGGTAGAAAGTGCTGCGACTATCCTTCCTGAAACTTTCCTAGACAATGAAAAGACGCGCAGAAAACCTTTCCTCCGATCCGAAGCTAAACGAGCTCCTCCACAAAAAGCTCCAGCTTGAAAGAGAGCTTCGTTCAATGACGACAGACTTGGAGATAATCGAAAAACTACTCGATGTTCCCCCGACAAACGAAATTATTGACGATTTTCTCCAAAAACATGGAGACATAATTCCCAATTTGAAGGGAGAAACGAGCTCCCTAGAAGATTCTCTTTCCAGCCCGCAATCGGATATTTCCTCAGCTACTGTAGATTCGCTTTGGTAAGCAAGTGCTTGTAGTTACATTCAGGCCATCCCAAAAACATAAACTTTCTGTAAAATTGCCATTCTGCACAAAAAACAAGAAACTCACAAATAAAGAACGGTCGAACTCTTCACAATCGTGCGTCGATTTGTATGTAATTTGATATATTTTGAAATGGAACAGTACAGTAAGTGGCAGTCGAAAATTGGTAGAATCTACCAGGTAGATATTTACATCTCTCGCTCTTGTCTATTTTTCGAAATATTTCTTTGACTTTGTTGTAGCGGTTTTCTTTGTGAGCATTCTGTTGTAAGCTCTGGTGACAGCTCTTATGGTCTGGAAATCTATCGGGAAGTGACTGTCAAGTTTCACTTCTTTTTTTGAGGGACTGCAAGGAGTTTGTCTTGTAGGACTAGCATAAGCTGGTGTTGGTGGTGGAGACGGTGATTCTTGTTTGATTTCAGGTTCCTTGAATTTTGATTGTGTAGACAAGAGCTGATCGAGATGGTCAATCGCATTTATGCCGCTCCCCTAAAGATATTAAAAAAGGAGATTCTTGAGCACCAACCGTTGGGATAGATTCGACCTCCGGGATTTCTTCATTCGAAGATGCCTGTTTCTTCTTGGAGTCCTTCTTTTTCCATCCTCTAAATTTACTTTTTGCTCTTGCTTTTCTTCTCTGTTGATATCTGCTCTTAGAACCCATTTTTATGCAAAAGAACAAATCTGAAAATATAAATGTAACAGGTGTGCTCCAACAAAAATGACGAGCGATTTGGAATTAAATGTGTATTTTTGTAATTGAACTTTTTTCAGTAAGTGGCAGTGCAGAATCACTCGATATCTACATGTAGCTCTAGCATAATCATCTATTTCTTTGTTTTCTTTGCAGCGGTCTTCTTCGCAGGCGCCTTCTTCGCTGCCGCTTTTTTCGCCGGTTTGGCCTTTTTCATCGCTGCGATGATCGCTTCCTCGCTACAATTAATGACCGTCATTATTAATTCGAAAAAATTTCCTACTCTTCTTCTCCGCTTTCCTCTTCGTCTTCTTCGCCTTCTACGTTTGCCGTCTTTTTCTTCTTTTTGACCTTCATTTCGACGGCAAAAGGAACTGGAGCGCTGGATTTATTGTACGCCCTGGTGAGAGCTGCTTTGACTTTGGACTCAACACCTGCAAGTGGCTCCTTTTTGCCTACCCACTGCGTCAAGTCGAAAATGTTGTCCATGTCATCTTTCGTCAAGCTTGAAACTCATTATTTTACCTAGTCGCGGACTGTAACGTTACGGATACGCCGTTACCTGTAGTCGTTCATGAATTGAAGCACTTGTTCGACTCCTTCTCCAGCTCCAAGTTCTCCCTTCGTCTGGCGAATAAGTGGCTGGCTAAGACGCTCCCTAAAAGTGGGCCCGTGGGTAGACACCATTTGCCATCGATCACATTTTGATTGTAGACGAGTGTGCATCTTCAGCTGATCTTAAAAAATCGTGACGATGGAGGTCGAAGAAAAATGGCTTACCTGCAATTCTGGCGTTTTTGTTAGTGGTTGATATTTTGCCCAACTCTCTTGGAAAGTCGATTCGCTCGGTTAACCCTCCTCCCATGAGAGAGCCTGGGATGACGGTAGAAAAGGTAGCCACGGTTGGAAGTAGACTCCAGGCTTGTTTCGACATGATTTTTCGTTCGGCAAGCTCGGAGTAAGAAAGAGCGGAGGCAGATTTGGCGATAAGTTGGAGATGTTTCTAAAAAATTTTCGATAAAACACGTACAAAAAAGATATTAACAAACCGTATTTTCTCCGTGGCTGATAGAAGCTGGTTTTGATTTGATGTAATTTTCAAAGACCATTTTTGGCATGAGACTGTAGTCTTGGAAAAAGAGTTCCTGCTTCTCGATAATTTGAGGTTGTGGTTTCGACCGATCAATACGGAAAATGCGAGGTAGAGCATCAAAGGGACCTATTTTCAAGTCTTTCTTGGCGCCATCAGCGGTTGATTTTGCGTCGTCGTATTCAACTTTTGTATCTGAATACAAAGTTCAAAAACAGAGCGATGTAGTAACGAACAACCATCTTTTTTGTTGACCGCCATCATATTCAAAGTATTGATGGTTTGGCGAATATCCTGGTTGCAACTTCTGATGATTTCTTGAACAGCAGCAGGGGCAATCTTGAACTTTTCTTTGAAGCATATCGACATCATCGCCCCTTAAAATTTCCATCGAATCATTATAAAGGATCTTACCGGTGATTTGCTCGACTCTGGGCTTCATAAATCGCAAGTCAAAGACATAATTCGCCAAGGATCGCATTTTCGGGTGCATTCTGTCGTTGCAAATACAGATGATAGGAATGCTACTAATCTTGATCAGCCCAATGAGCTCAGCGATTCCTCCTCGATCTTCATTTCCTGCCATTCCGTCGACCTCGTCCATGATGCAAATATATTTGCCGCTAACGACCTTCTTTGCTTCGGTTCGGAAGGCTTGATCTACCGCGCTATTTGTGATGACTCCCTTGACAACGGAGCTGAGAGACTTCTTGTTTCGTGTATCAGAAGCGTTGAATTCGATCAACTCGAAACCCAAAGACTTCGCGACTAAGTGAGCCGTCGTCGTCTTCCCAATCCCTGGCGGTCCAGATAGAAGAGCAGCGCGAAACGTCATGCCAGTCGGATCAATAGCTCCCTTAGCACCGGAAAACTTGGGCTTTGGTCGCTGGCCTTTCGGACAAGCTTGATGCTTCTCCCAATCCTTCAGCCAGACTAGCAACTTATTCGCACACGAAGCATTTCCATTTTGCCCGACGATCTTTTTCATATCAGCAGGCTTGTATTTTTCCACCCACATAACAGCTGGATTAGCATTTTCATCCTTTGGTTGCGAAGTAGGTGCAGAAGGCGCGCTAGAAAACGGGTAAATTTTGATAATGAACGAAAGTTTCACCTTTTTGCTTCTTGTTTGACTTCCTTTTTGGCCTCTTTCTTCGGCGAAACATGCTTCTTTGGCGTGGCTTTCTTTGCTTTCTTCGCCTCTTGTTTTGCTTCTTCCTCGGCTTGAATTTCATATTTTGACTTCTTAGCCGGTTTCGATCGGATGAGCTCAAGAACGAAGTCTTCATCGACGAGCTTCACCCCCTTCTCCTTCGCCTTGTTCAACTTGGACTGTCCGGGTTCTTCACCCACGACAACGTAGCTTGTTTTCCCAGAAACGCTGGTTGTAAATTTGCCTCCATATCGTTGAATCAACGATTTCAACTCCTCTCGACCCAAAGAGTCTCCATCTCCAGTAGCGACGAAGGTGAGCCCTTCCAAACAGTTTTCTGCGCCGACGGGGATTTCTTTCGAACCAGGATTTCTCGGACCGCCGGCTCCCTGCTTCGCTTTGAACTTCAAGTAATTTGCCTTTCGAATTTCGGCCGGCGTTTTCGGCGCCTCCGTTTCCATCGATTCTTCAGAAGCATTCTTCTTGATTTCTAAAGCTTTAACATTCGGCAAAGACCTTTCTTTCTCGACCGGCTTCGGAAGATCTGGCTTTGGCAGATTCTTTTTGGGAGATTCTTTTTTCTGCACTTCCTGACTTTCGTTATCCGTTGATTTTCGTTTTGTCACTTCTGGCGAGCTTACTTTAGTCTTTTTCGTCGGAGCCTGTGTTAGATCGACGAGTTCTGCTTCACCAGATGCTTTTCGTTTCTTCGAATTTTCAGCCGCTTTATTTTTCTTTTTGAAAAAGTCTTTGGGGCTCACTGCGACTTTCTCCACAGCTGGCTTTGCTGCCTTCGCCTGTGCCTTTGGATTAGGATTTTCCTTCTCTGGTTCTTCATCGGACGAGTCAAGCGCTTTTCGAGCTTTTTTATTCTTTTTAGCCTCGGCTTTGAACTCAGGGGTCATCCCCTTATTCAACCATTTTCGTATATCCATTCTGAAAAAGAATCAAGCTTTATTGATTGATTTATTGAGCTAAAAATTAATTTAGCTTCAACCTTGCTGATGTACGTGAATGCACGTGCTTTTATCAACACTAGTTACGTACTTAATTCAATAGTTATCCGATAATTATCTCTCTGAATTATTTTTGTTCCAGGATCGACTACTCTCAGATAAGTACCATTTATCTAAGTCAATCAAAAACCAAAAAAAGGAACGAACTTTTAAACATAAACTTGTTATTGCATGTAAAAGGGGCAGTTTGATAGATCATAATTATCCGTAGCAGTGATCACATAAATTTTGACTAAAGGTTGACGCTTCAAAGAACTTTCTACGCTTTCAGGCGACCTCTGGCGATGAGTTTGGCTCTGACCTTCTCCAAAATTCTCTTAGCCTCACAGTTGGGCAGATTTTCCGATTGAAAGTAAGCAGGGGCGATTTCCACGACCCAATCGACCTACAAAGTGAGTTTAAGAGCTTGAGAAAATTGAAGAAGGGTTTCAAATCCCGGATTTACCTTGATGTCGGTCGTTGTTCTGACGTAATTTTTGGCTGTAACAACGAATTCGTTGTACAGTACCCAATCTGGCTTGTGATCAAGACAGGTTGATGGATGTAGTTGAACGATTTGCTGATCTTTTATCGTCAAATAATGACCAGATTTTTCCTAAATTAAACTTATAACAATTCTTTGGCGATAAAAAAGGGTACCTTATGCGCAACTTGCATAAAAAAGCCGGCGACGAGTGCCTTTCGAATATTGGTATAATAGTCCTTTGAGGTAAAATCACAGCTCCTTCGAGGCAGTGAGAATCGATCCATGATCCTGGACAACTGTTGTCTGATTCCATCAGCTCTGAACATGTGTGTGTTACGGACTGTGTCGTGTTAATGACGGTACTCACGATTGAACTGAACGGAAATTGATGAAATTTTCGTAACACCACTGCGGTGAGTCCCCATGTTGCTTGAATCTAAGGATGGTTTTTAGGGCAAATGTACGATAATTAATTCTTCTTACGCGTGATAAACATTGAGTAGCGTCAAATGATCGCCATCAAGATGCGCGAATTGGATTTTACTCTCGTCAGCAGCTCTTCTCGCTTCTGCCGGTCGAACGAATACTTGAGGAACTAAGGAATAGAGATGGTTACTAAAAGTCTTTAATGCTAAAGTAGCTACCCGTAAGCATACAGCAAATGGATAGAATCTCGTTACTGCAGTTGTACTCGCAGGAAGCGATGACCATCTTTGCCAGTTGAGGATCTAGTGGGAATTCAGCCATCATTGAGCCAAGTTCTGTTATATCTCCATCGTCGTTGATCGCAGCAAGATAGTTCAAAGTTTCCATGGCGGTAAACAACGACTACAAAAATGACCCCACTTTTCAGAAAGATTTTTCATACCTGCGGAGACGGAGGATCGACAAAATCAAAGTGAATAAGATCATCAATTCCGAGCTTCTTCATATTCAAAATAACACTTCCCAGGTTAGATCTCAGAATTTCCGGGTAGACAAAATCCTGCATTTCCGACTGGTACGCCTTTTCCGTAAACAAGCGGAAGCACTTTCCAGGACCAGTCCTTCCAGCTCTTCCGGCTCGTTGCTGCGCGTTTGCTTTTGAAATAGAGGAAATGAGTAGCGATTCAACCCGGATTCGCGGATTGTAAACTTTCAACTTTGAAAAGCCGGGGTCGACAACGAACGCGATTCCGTCAAAAAGCAGGGTTAGCAAAATCGGGGAGTGATTCAGTTATTATGTTTCTCCGATCGATCACGAGATAATATTATTTTTGGGTTTGTTTTACATTATTATAAATTATAATTTTTATAATTTATAATAATGTAAATATTTATGTGTTTCTCTTTTATATCGAAATATATTTGAGGCTTTCATGTGGATGTATCAATTTATATTGCATACAAGTAGATATTATCTACTAGATAAATTTTTGCTCTTATTTAAGATATTAGAATACTGTGATGTCAGAGTATTCTTGTCAATATCGCTTCTTATTCCCGGACCGATTTACAAGAATAACTTTAGCACAACAGTCCCCAGTATTGAGCTAACCCTGCCTATCGTAATCGAAGTTTCTGCAATATTCGTCGAGACAATAACTTTTCTACCCCTGGCGCCGTTCGCTTTATCTGGCGGTCTACTCTCGAAAAGCTTAGCTTGCTGGTTGATTGGAAGGGTTGAGTAGAGAGGGAAGACTTTTATGTCTCCAACGTCGTCTCCCATTTTGTCAACTTCTTCTTTTATCCGCTTGCATGTGTCTTCGATCTCATCCAATCCTTAAAATCGCGATGAAAAAGAAGCGACAAAGAAAATGGTTTACCAGTGAGAAAGACGAGAATATCCCCCGGTTCTTCTGCTGTCAAATGAATCTGCACAACCGTCCTCACTGCTGCCTCGACATAATCCTTCTCCGGCTCTGGAACGTAAAAGATATCGACGGGATAGGTCTTTCCAGGAACAGCAATCAAAGGAGCGTCGTTGAAGTATTTGGAAAACTTGCCAGCATCGAGCGTTGCCGACATAACGATCAGCTTCAAGTCGTCTCGCTGCCTCAGAATCTCTTTCAAACAGCCCAGGAGAATGTCCGTGGCGAGGGTTCGCTCGTGAATCTCGTCCATGATGATGACCGAGTATTTCTCAAAGAAGGGGTCGGAAATGATCTCGCGAAGAAGCATTCCGTCGGTAAGAAACTTCAGCTGCGTCATTTTGCTGAACATTTCTTCGAATCTAATGTGGTAGCCGACTTGCTGTCCGATTTGTACATCCACTTCGTCTGCTACTCGCTGAGCAACAGTCATCGCAGCCACTCGTCGGGGCAAAATGTGCCCCACCATCTTTCTAGCGCCAGTCAACGCAGTTCTATTCACATAATCCATGCACCATTGCGAAACTTGCGTTGATTTCCCACAGCCAGTTTCGCCAGTGATGCAGATTACCGGAACTTCGGGCCGTTCCATCAACTCGTCGAATTTCTGCTTGTAAGTTGCGATCGGCAGTTTTAGGCGGCTCTTGAGCAGTTCGTAGTACCGTGGAGTGTACGGATTGCCAGTCATTGGGTTGATCAAATCTTGCCGGTTCTTGCCGATGCCATGTCCTCTCCTCTGTAAAAAGATATTGAATGATTAGTTTTTGAGAATAGAAGTATGTTTTTATCCGTTTTTTTTTCAGAACGTATTTTTGCTTATTTTTAACAAAAGACTATACCTGAGAGTCCCCCATTTTTTCACGAAAAATCTCCTCTAAAATTGGCAATAAAGAGGGAGAAACGAAAATCGTTCAAAAGCCTGGCGGCGCGGCCAATGAGATTTCGCCCGAATTTTCTGAAGGGGAAAATTTACTCTTTTCTAAATTTCGCACAAGATGAAAGAAGAAAAGATGGACACTGAGATTTCTGCGAGAAGAGAAGAAGTTTATGCGTACGAAACAAAATTGAGAAAAGAGGCTATGAAGATAGATGAGATTTCAAAAGTTTCTGGAGAAGGAGTTGTTAGAGAGCTGAGAAGATCAATTACAGTAAGAGGATTCGGAAAATGCAGAGTAGTCAAGTACAGTACAGTTAATAAAACACGAATGATGTTATTTTAGAGGTAAAGTGCTTTGCGAAGGGTACGAGTTCGACTCCGATTCCGAAGCGTTTCAAATTTACGCCCCAACTGGTCACCACGCCGTTGAAATTTTTCCTCTTGGTTCTGACGCCACTGTCGAGTTTTTCCGAGGAACTCGTGTCAAGACCTTTTCTGAGTTGGAAAGTGGCATGTTTCCGGTAAAAGACAAAGTTGACGGAGAAGAAATTATTTCTGGGCTGTATCAAACGAGAGAAGACGGCTTTGTAGTTCCAAAGGAGCTCAATGGTGTCATTTCGTCCATCAAAGACTGCCACTTCAGAAATATCATGATCATCGGAGGAAAAGGGTCTGGGAAGTCGTCTGCGAACCGATATGCCTGCAACATGATGTTGAAGAAGTATGGGAAAGTGATTTGGGTGGAATGCGATCCTGGACAGCCAGAATTCGATGTTCCCGGATTCATGAGCCTGACTGAAGTTCATCTACCTCGAATCGGCCCTAGTTACTGTACATTAGGTCAAGCATATTACAAAACAAGAGGTAACATTTCTTATCCAAGACATAATTCCATTAGGTATTGCTTGTAGCTCGAACATTTCTTGGCGACGTTTCTCCAGGTCAAAATCCGCGACGATACATGCAATGTGTCAATTTTCTCCAATCACAGTTGAAACTTCATTATCGAAACTCGGGCCTTCCCGTTATTTACAACGGCATGGGCTGGATCCGAGCACTTGGCCTCGCCCTTACACAGGATATCATCAGAGATTGCAATGTAGAACTGGTTTATTATCTGAAAGCGAATTCTTCGAATGATCTGCCTGATGGAATGGATCCACAAGCCTTATTAGCTACGAGGGGTTATCTATCTTATCCAACGTAAGTTATGCATTCACAAACCTAATCCTTATCCTCTTTAGTCCTGATGACGGCCGAGTAAAAATCGTAGAAGACCTGAGCGTCACTGTCAAAGCTGCTATTGACCGAAAACGAATCACTAAAGGCTCTCAGCGAGAATGGCACGCGCGGGACAAACGAGACGCGTTGTATTCGATCTATTTCCACCGAATTTTCAACGACCCGGATTACATGAGTCCCTGTAGAATCAGCTTGAATGATTGCGTCTTCAATATTTTGAATAGAAATGTGAGGGATATATTTGCATTGCTGAAGCATTCGCTTGTTGGATTGGGAAGAATTGAAAGAAATTACTTTCCAAGATTAGATCGAGATGGTAATTTAACTTTTTTAAAACAGACTTGAATGTATTTTTAGGTTTTAGAAGGATATCGTACGATAATGGCTTTGAGTCTTGCTACGGGTTCGCTTGGATCATGGACGTTGATTTGGCTAAAGGAGAAATTCTGATTCACTCGGACTTGACGCTAGAAGAACTGAAAGAGTTAGACATAAATTGCTTTATTTGCGCTAACTTATCACTGCCACTGTAAGTATCCCTGAAATTAACAGGCCATTGACGATGTTTAAGTGATAATTTCTTTGAAAAAGAAGCACAGAAAGCCTACCCGAAGACAAAGCCGTATCTTCATATGCGAAATTATGACTTAGCCACTGCTAACAAGTTCAAAAATACTCAAGTTCTGAAGAAAAAGACTGAAAAATGAAAGTTTAATAAATTAATCCTTTCAAAAAGCAGTTTCAACAGCAGTTTTTTGTCGCACGCAAAAGCAGGAGATTATAAAAAGACGTAGTAATTACGAGATGAATGAGTAATCGTTAATTCAAAAGGTAAAATCGAAGAAAGCCGTAACAAGCTGCCTGACCATCGATTGAGCTTTTGTTAGAGTTGAAAGCGCTGTCTCTAGAACAATTTGTTTGTTTTGACTGAAAGTTGGCTGGAAGAGATCCAGGAAGTTGTGAAGAAGGCGCCTTGGTTGAGTTATGTCTTCAGTGAGAAGGTAATTGAGGCTGGAATTGATTACTTAGGGACTCAGAAGATTGAGTGAAAGATTCTCTATCTAAATGACTAAATCAAAAATCTTAAAAACTTTTCTTTCGACGCTAAAATGGCTTCGTAGGGACACGATGCTGGAAGACACTCTTCTTGAGAACTCCGAGCTAAAGAAGAAGATCGAAAAGCTCGAGGACAAGATCAGGAATCAAGAAGAAAAGATAAAATCTTTGGAAGAAAAGAAAGACAAGTACAAGAAGGAAGCTGCTGCCGCAAAAGGGTTGAAAATCCGCGAAGGTTTCCTTGATTAAATTCGAAAATTTCTCGAAAGTTTCTACTTTTCAGATAATTTCGATGAAAATCGTCAGAAAAGATACGAGTCGATTAGAACGAAGTATGGAATGAAAGACCCCAACGCAGCGAATCCTTTTGACAAGGGTTTAAAAGATTTAAAGCCTTTACTTTTCAGTTGAACAAATCTTTAAACTTTTTGAAGACGACTGTGTCCAAGAGAGCCCGAAGAAGAAGGGATTCTTTGGAGGTTTCTTTGGAAGTTCTTGATCTAACTGTTTAACCAAGCACGCAATAAACCATTACATTTTTAAATTTATGATTAGATTTCATCCTTTTTTAAGCAAAAAGCCAAAAAATCGATTTTTTGCTGTTTTCAAATTTGTTGTTTTGAAAATTCTAGGTCCGTGTTCTCGAGATCAAATGTAAAAAGAACCACTCGACCACCAAAATTTTGCCTAAAAACGGACGGAAATCGTAATTACGAAGTCTGTACCGGATAAAATCTGTTGTAATTTCTTGCGAATCACGAGAACCTGATGCTTTTACAGAAGAGCTGCAATTTAAAATGAAAAAGGCAAAATTACACCCATTTTTCATGGAAATATGGTTTCAAATGCGTCTAGCTCGTCGAATATTTCGCCGATCAATTTTTTATTCAGATGGCTAGAAAGAGCAGACTCAAGTGCATCCATTACGCATTCAAGTCTACCGCCAGCATGCATTCCCTCATTTTCCCGTTGAAAAATTGATCACCGCCGGTTTAAAAGTCGACCGGCGCGGGGTGTTTTCAAGTTTCGAAATTTTCTAGAACTGATCCCTTAGAACGTCCTCCGCGCCGATTTTCCTCATTCTTGTCGAAAACACCGACCAGGTAAGAGCTATTTTTGAAAATGCGGAGCCCTCGCCAAATTTTTTTTTTGAAATTTTTTTTCGAAATTTTTTGTTAGAGAGACTAATGCCTAACATGAGAGAGTTACTGTAGGGGACCGGAGGTCTCTTCAATTTTACTTATGAAATTTTTACTTAGCATTTTTTTTCTAAACCTGACCTGGGTCTGGGTTACGTATGCAATCATGGAAGAGAACCTTATCTAACGTATGACTTTCAGTAAACACACGAAAGATGCGAGAGATTGTCCATCTCCAGGCCGGTCAGTGCGGTAACCAGATCGGTGCCAAGTTCTGGGAAGTCATCTCCGACGAACACGGTATTGACCCCACCGGAACCTACCATGGCGACTCCGACCTCCAGCTTGAACGCATCAACGTCTACTACAACGAGGCTACCGGCGGCAAGTAAGTGCACACCAAGATAGATTTAAACTATCCAAAACAATCGAGGTTCTAGAAACTAACCGACCTTTTTCAGATACGTCCCCCGAGCTGTCCTCGTCGACCTCGAGCCCGGTACCATGGACTCCGTCCGATCCGGACCCATGGGCCAGATCTTCCGACCCGACAACTTCGTCTTCGGACAGTCTGGTGCCGGTAACAACTGGGCTAAAGGTCACTACACCGAGGGTGCTGAACTCGTCGACTCTGTCCTCGATGTCACCCGAAAGGAAGCTGAATCCTGCGATTGCCTCCAGGTACGTCCAAAAATCTAGCAAAACATTTTCGTTCTAGAAAAAAGCACGAACAGCTTTACTTATAATTTTTTCAGGGATTCCAGCTCACCCACTCTCTCGGTGGTGGTACTGGCGCCGGTATGGGAACCCTCCTCATCTCCAAGATCCGAGAAGAGTACCCCGACAGAATCATGAACACCTTCTCTGTCGTCCCCTCCCCCAAGGTCTCCGACACCGTTGTCGAGCCCTACAACGCCACCCTCTCCGTTCACCAGCTCGTCGAGAACACCGATCAGACCTACTGCATCGATAACGAAGCTCTCTACGACATCTGCTTCCGAACCCTCAAGCTCACCACCCCCACCTACGGTGACTTGAACCACCTCGTCTCCGCCACCATGTCCGGTGTCACCACCTGCCTTCGATTCCCCGGTCAGCTCAACGCTGATCTCCGAAAGCTCTCCGTCAACATGGTCCCCTTCCCCCGACTCCACTTCTTCATGCCCGGTTTCGCTCCCCTCACCTCCCGAGGATCCCAGCAGTACCGAGCCCTCACCGTCCCCGAGCTCACCCAGCAGATGTTCGACGCCAAGAACATGATGGCTGCCTGCGATCCCCGACACGGCCGGTAAGTTCAACATTCAAAATACGCTTGGCCTTATAATAGTCTCATTATCTTCGATCACGAAATTTTTCTCTAATGTATACTTATAGATACCTCACCGTCGCCACCATGTTCCGAGGACGAATGTCCATGAAGGAGGTCGATGAGCAGATGCTCAACACCCAGAACAAGAACTCCTCTTACTTCGTTGAGTGGATCCCCAACAACGTCAAGACCGCCGTCTGTGACATCCCCCCACGAGGACTCAAGATGTCCGCCACCTTCGTCGGTAACTCCACCGCCATCCAGGAGCTCTTCAAGCGAGTCTCCGAGCAGTTCACTGCTATGTTCCGACGAAAGGCTTTCCTCCACTGGTACACTGGTAAGTCCCTTAGATATTTCTATCTTAGAATAACTAGAATCAATTCTTTCAATCAAGTTCTAACTCTGAATTTCAGGTGAGGGTATGGACGAGATGGAGTTCACCGAGGCTGAGTCCAACATGAACGATCTCGTCTCCGAGTACCAGCAGTACCAGGATGCCACCGCTGAGGAAGAAGGCGAGTTCGACGAGGAAGAAGGCGAAGACGCATAAATCCAGAGCGACGACACCTAAAGTCCTTCAGTGGGGGGGTAACCTTCCCACTGAAGGCAAACCACTTCTTCAAGGCGCCTGGGTACCAGCCAAGTGCCCTGTACAAAAACCACCACCAACCTCAAATCTGCAACAGTTCAGCTGCAGTTTTATTGCCCCCTCCTAGCTTCGGCTTGGAGGTGTTAATAAATTAAATTAAAACTATCCTTTGTGTCACTTGTCATTTTATTCCGGTCGTGTCGGTAGTTGATTGTAGTCTTGGTTGATAGGTAGTACGAGAGTTATCAGAAAACCGCTAGAACACCTTTCGCGTTGTGATAGCTTTTATCTTTCCGCCCGCGGAATTGTTAATTTACATCGTTCTTATCACAGACCTCTAGTCGCGGTACTTGTCGTCAGTAAGAGTTGAACCCGGGACAGATTTGAACAGGAGCGTGTATCTGATCAGAGTAATTAATCTGTTTGGAGCGGCGCGTCAGGCTGATAACAAACTTAGAAGATTAGTCAGTTGACAGGCGTCGGACAGGTTAGTAAGTGCGTGCGACTTTTTGAGGTCATCGCTTGAGGAAATGACGACAGAATCAGAAGTCACGGTAATTTTACTGTACGCCTCTGATGTGAAAATTAGATGTTCATTACATAGATTACGGTAAAATTGGATTTTTTGACAGCAAATCATTGATTTCAACTACTATTTATTCAAATGGAATCGTAAAAAATGAAATGACATGAATGTTGAAATTTTCAATTGAATAATTTTTCGGTGAAATTTATTGTTTTTGATTAATTTGATTAGTCGCACGTTCTAAAAGGTCGTGAGACCGCGCGAAACGCGGCGCATTTTAGGTATTTAAATTGATCCGGGCGTAAATAAATTTCTGCTTGGGCATAAGCCGTCGTCTTAGAACTTAATGCTGCCGGGTACTGTACAGTGTTTAAGGTTGTTTGAAAGGAGCTTTGTGTGATATAGCTGGACTCTCTGTTGGTTTAGCTTTATCCCCGCTTGTGGGCATGTCCTCCCTACTCCGCTATATTTCAGTTGAAAAATTCTCAGTCGGAGAAAACCCTTTCGAGGCCGACTCAGAAATTTGGAAAACTTTTTTTTCTTCAGAGAGAGTTGGGAAGATGAAAAATGTTGGAAAAGGCAAAGAGAATGTTTTTCAGTAGAGACAAGATGCGCAAACGGGTGGAACGGCGCACGATAAGAATTGAATTAGAAGCGACGATTGATGGGAGCAGGACGGCGACTTTGACGGTTGATGTGAGTTTTTCAGGCTTTCGGAGTGAAATACCAAGGGGTTCTTGTCTTGCTAGCTGGGGAAAATGAGTTATAACACAGTTTGAAACTCGATTTTTCGAGTGGTTTGAAGATCAAGTTTCTTAATCGTTTGTCAAGATCGGATGTAGTCAATGCATCAATCCATAATAATTTAGACGTCAGACTCAGTCCTCAATAGAGCTTATACTGCAATTATATTCGGGACTTGATTTAATTAGCATAAAATTGATTGAGATGCGAACAAGCGACTCTTCGAAACAAGGCGGTGTCGGATAATTGCGGCCAAAAATTCACACGTACTTATTTCTCTGCCCCACCACGCACCTTGTCGAATAAATAACTTGTTCGTAAATATTCTGAATTCAGCCCAGATGGACGGTCAAAACCGTGCTGCTTGAGATCTGCCGAGTTCCTGATCTGGAGATTCGCCAAAATTACATTTTCGGATTGGCAAAAGAGAAAGGTAAATCTCCGTGACCAATGCATTTCCCATTTCTTCCTTTGATCTTTTGCTATTGCCGCAACATAGGAGATGAGCCGCAATAGACGATCTTTCGTAAACTTTATAAAAAAAAGAATAGACAGCTGCATAATTTATGCGCCACAAGTGAAAAACGTAATTATCCAGTGTCGGGTTAAACATGATTTGAATTTTGAGCGGATCGTGTAAAACAAGATTGAGCAAAGTTTAAAAGCTCTGTTTGGGCTTAAATAAATGTTCATGAAGATTTTCGCAGCTACGGTAATGCAAGCGATGGTAGAAGAATTTCCTGTCTGTGAGACAGAATGCTTTGAAGATCAAACGATTTTCTTTGCATTCGACTTTTTGAATATCTGATAACTGTGTCGCCATTGCTTGCGGTAAATAAATCTCAGAAGCAGAAACACTCTCCACGCTGTTGAATTTTAAAAAGCTCAACCCGGCTTTTGGGGGATTAAACGCACATGCTCCTGTGATATCGAAAACTCTAGTGCCTATCGGCTTATCTTGCTATCTTAGAGAGTAAGAGTGATAAGATATTGGAATTGGCGAGCTATGATAATTTGAGAATTTTAGACGGAGAGTTGTATTTTCTGCAGAAAGACAAGGCGATCGGAGACGAGGCACCTAAGGGCTGGAAAGATGGGAAAGACCCAAAGCCTTTTGACGTTCATCTCAAGGTAAAATTATCTTATAAAGATAGCTCGACAAAATTGTTGGTTTCGTTATTTGAAAATTCGTTAGAGAGATTGGTTTAGGTGCAATTTTTTGTCGTGCATCCAGAAATGCAGCTGCTTGACGCTGGAAGCCGCAGATACTATTATCTCTCCATAAAGAATAAACTCGCCAAGAAACGGTTCATTTCTTTTCTTAAAGTTCTACTCTCTACCTTTCATTCTTTTTTTCTGAACTGAGTCTGAGTCAAATGTAATATGGCCATTAGAGCAAATTATGGAGACGGTTGCCTTCGCGCTGCAGGTTTGTTGATTGGGTCTCATTAGCTCTGGAATGTTGAAATTATAGTCGGAGTATGGCGACCAGGATCCCAGCAAGTTCCAGGCAGCGGCTCAGAGATTTTCGCCGGAAATGCGCGGCGCATATTTAGCGCTAAACAAAATGGAACAACTTCCGGGGAGATTCTTGAGATCCTCGCGACGTACAATCCGGAATCGATGATGTTCAATCATTTTTCAGAACTCTTAAATTCCTAGTAACAAGGAAAAAGTTCCCATTTTAGTAAGTAAATGTCTGCTTATCTAATAAAAACAGCGCTGAGCCGTATCTAAAGCGTCCCGGGAGTGCTTATTTTCGTTTGGCTCACTTCCTCCCTCCCTGGGTCTTCTCCGATCAAAAAGTGCTAGAACTCGGGCGCGAGCGATTCCTGCGCAAGTGTCTCGGCCATTTGCACAGGTAAGTGTTATCAAAACACTTCTAAGCTGAAAATGAACTGTTCAGAAATTTACGCGGAAAGAGCAAATTTCAAGCTCAACTTGATTTCATCGAAGCTGCCTCCAAGATTGAAGATACTACAGGCAACAGCTACCTCTTATACAAAAACAAACTCGGCAAAGTCCCCGCAGCAAGAATCGACATTGCCTTAGGCGGGATCCGATTTTTCAAACCAACTCCTCGAAACTCAATTCCTACAAAGGTAAAGGAACTCTTTTTATTTTCTTCAGATTTCAATTTTAGCTTTTTGACTTCAAATGGTCGCAAATATGCTCTTTCCGAATTTCAAATAAGAAATTCGTGCTCCGCCAAGAAGATCAACCTGCCTGCCGAAAACTCGTATTTTCTTGCCTCTCGCACAAACGTGCTCGTTATTTGGTAAGAACTACAGTAGTTAATTTCTTGCAAATTTATTTTTACAATACGGATTTTGTTAAATCACCGCCCAACCCTTATTTTCTAGCTAATGTTTATCACGCAAACACACATCTTCGACTATCACCAACAGAAGATGTACAAGCCGCCTCAAAACGCTCTGCTCAAGAATATAGCTACCTCAAAGCCTGCCGTCGAGAATTCAGTCGACGAGTGGTCTCCCAAACGCATGATTATTTTAGAAGACTACGCCAGAAACAACTCCAACGCGGAGAAGGAAGATGATGATGTTTTCTTCATTGACGTGAGCAGCTCTACGCTTAAAACGAACAACCCTGCTAGCCGAGCGCTCTCAGTTTCTACCCCTAAGCGACCGGAAGTCGTTGATCGTCTCCAAGGTCAGCTTTGATGCATTTTACAAGCGCTTAAAATCGTTTTAGTCAAAATTCCAAGACACACGTCTATGTCAGCCGCGGACCAACCTGATCGACCAAATGGTGGTCTCAGGTACCAATCAATGTTAAAAAAATTCTCTCTCTTCAAACTGTTTTAGGACATCTCCATTAGCTGTGCCAGCAATACCTCAGCGCCCGCCAGTGGCGCAAATTCCATCGAAAATCCCACTCGCCGTTCTTTGTGAATAAACATGCACTAAATATTTGAGATATTCGATTTATTATGTTCTTGTATACAGCAGATAAGATGATTTGGGCGCAGCTTTGATCGTGCTGCAGATTTTCATTTATTTGTGAGGCAGCTCATATTGTTGACGTTTTGGAGGCATTTGAAGGTGTCCGTTTCGCGGAAATCTTCCTTTTCTTGAATAAATTATTAAAACTTCTGTCAAGTGAATATTCAGTCATAAATTTGGGTCATCACTCAGTAGCTTATGCGCACTTTATCAGGTCAAATTGAACCATACGTCTGTATAACAGATAACATACTGTATTATACATGACCTTCTCGCCCTGCAGCCATGATGATGACAAGAAGTAAAAGGAACAAAACGACCAGAGTAAATTACTCTGAGTAATGTCGTCGAGAATAAATTAAAGATTGAATCTTACTTGTAAGTTTCGCCTCTTCAATGATCAAAAGCACGATCCCTGGCGCAGCCGTCATAATGATCAGACTAATGAGCAAAATAGCCAATTTCAAGCAATGGTTCTCTCGACCCGCGGAACTGCCCATCCAGTGACGTGCATCTTCTATGTCTTCACTGTTACTGAACATATTCATTGTAAAAAATCCTCCTCTGAATTCAAAATCGGATATCTTTTGTTAAAGTTGCCAGTTTGCTTCTTATCTACTTTTCTCTGAACAGAATTCTTTATGCGGACTAATTGAGCTCTGACGAAAATAAAGTAAGTTTAGATGGGGGCACTCAAAGACTCAAAAAGTATGCTTCTTTGTTTGAATGAAAATATAATTAGCGGACTTACTCTTCTTCTGAGTTTCCGAAGATATTATACATGGAACTTGTCCTGCTTAAATGGCTGTTTGTCGGGAAGACAGACATTTTAAATAACTGTGTATTGAGAAAAATTATCACTATCGACATTGCATATCTATCTTCCATGTTCGACGTTATGTCAGCTTTAAACTCTATTGACCGTTTTGCATATATTTTTGATTGCTGTTCAAATCTTTTCATGATTTTTAAACAGTAACTTAGAGTTTAAAAACTCTTTCTTAGTTTTAAAACTTACCCAAGACTTAGTTTCATCCTCTAAATAAAAAAAGATATGAAATCTTCAGTAAGTAACTGGTGAAACTAACGCAAATTAATGCTCATTTATCATTCACGCACAGGCTGCCCACTCATGCCCCCTGTCATTTTTAATACTGTTTCGCGAATTAATACTGATGCTTTTAGCAACTCTTCTAGGTGCTTAAAATACGCTGAAAGAAATCTCGGACTTAAAATGCGCAGAATGCATGTCAGACACGTGCGAAATTGAACTCGTTTTAGAAAATAGGCTGATAATGTTTGACTATCATTTAGAAGAAAGCTGACTGCTCTCACCTGCTGCACATGCCTTTTCCCGATAAGAATTCTACACCCAGCATCAAATGTCCCCAAAATAGTTTTCCATCAAAAACGTTTCCACAAGATGAAGCTGGTATAAATAAATATTTTTAATAACAGAGATTGATTCTGAACTTTAGAGCTTTGTGATTGCTGGCTTCGTGGCAGCAGGGAAGAACAAGAAGGAGAAAAAAGAGTTTACTAGGGCTTACGGAATGGCCAAAAATTATGATTCAAGATGAATTCTTTCGATTTTCATCATGTCTAAGAAAAATATTATTGACCAAAAATAAGATAAGGCTCTCAAAAATCCACTGAAAGCCACATGGGATATCGGAAGTGAAAGCCTAACTTTGAGCGGAGACAGCAGTGTCCGAGACAAGGGTTGGCTCGATGGAGGCTACTGGTGCGACGACCAAACCCTCGATTCACCCTCATTTCGTCGAGGTGTTCAAGTAAATGAGCCGCAAAGCCGAATTATTGGCGGAGAGAATGCGCAAGTGAATGCTTGGCGCTGGATCGGATACTTTTATGGTTGCGGTTCGACATTGATTGCTTCTGATTGGGCTTTGACTGCAGCGCATTGCTGTACTATTCCGGTTGAGTACTTTGACGGCAAAGAGCTGTGCTTTGGCCGAGACGTGAAAAACATGAAGGACGATTTTGAGCAATGCTCTGAGATTGCTGAAATCATTCCGCACCCAGGTTACGATCGTTCGGAAACAGTCCTCAACGACATCTGCCTCCTCCGACTGAAGAAAAGGCTGAGCTACGGAGAAACTGTCCAACCTGCATGTCTCCCAAAACAAGGAGAATCTCTCGAGTCTCTTTACCCAGATTTCGTCGGAAATGAACAAGGAGACAACAATGACTGTTTTGTCGCCGGATGGGGATATCGCCAAGAAGGCTGGTACATGAGCTTGCCGACGATTCTTCAAGACGCAAAAGTCAACGCTCTGAAAAACGAAACATGCGAGGCTGCATATACTAGAGAAGTTCACGGACGAATCAATGAGTATTACCGGCGCGATGTGATGAGCTGCTTCGGTCATCTTGAGGGTGGAATCGATGCATGCCAAGGGGACTCAGGCGGACCTATGATTTGCTTGGAGAAATCGACAACCGTCAATGGCCATACTAATCCAGGAAAGAGTTGCGATCGAAAATGAAATATATTGATAATTGAGTCAGTGGTTAACTCGATAAAGTACTTCGAGGAGTCGTCTCCTGGGGAGAAGGATGTGGACGTGAAGGCCGTCCAGGTGTCTATGCTAGGAACCGTGACTGACTTTAATATGTAATTATAAATTAAATTATAACAAAAATTATAAATTTAATATGTGCGCGAACCTTATGCATCACGGAAAAGAACAAGCGCTTTTGTCGACTGGATCCAGAGCACAATCCAAGACAAATCAACATTCGTGAATCCACAATGCCCCGACCCAGAGAACTATTTCATAATTCAAGGTATTATATGAAATATAAATGAATGATTTTTATCAAAAGGTGGGGCCGTTCTGGACTGCAGTTGGGAAATGTGTACCGTTCACTGTACTCAACCAGGACTCACTCCTTCCGTGAGCGAAGTTAACTGCGATGTTCGCCGACGGAACTGGAATCCTTTCTTGAGCGGCACCGTCATCACCTGTGCCGAAGACACAGGAGTTTTCACGAACTGCGGGGCGTTGACCGATTTTTATAATGAAGTCGATACAGACAATATTGATTTCAACTGCTCTGGAAACACTTGCAATTTAGAAGCAAAAGACCCGTCGAGGCACGAAGTTTTTCCGAAAAGGATCTGGTGCCAAGGAAATCGCCCGAACTATCAAGGAAACAAACTCATTGCTTACCCAAAAGGATCAACAGCCAATTGTGGTAATTTTTACGAAGCGTGGCCGACCGCCTTGGAAGCTGGAATCAGAGCTGAATGCTCTAATTACAAGTGTGAGCTTCATCCAGCAGATGGTGATGATATTGTCTGGCCTTTCAAGTTTCCCAAGTGCAGCAGAGGTAAATGGTCGTTCGGAAGACAGGCCATCCCAGAAGATACTGTTTTCAAGTCTATCTCTTGGAGCGAATACAGGTACAAATACAGGTTGTGATATAAAAGTCATTTCATTATTTCAGAGAGGAAGACAACCCATATTTGGACTGTGGAAGGTCAGAAAGAACGATGTCAGATTTCGGAAGCTTTGTGGGGGACAAGAATCAATTCAGAAGTTTTTCTAACGAAATTGCTTTCTGTTACCCTGATAATTGGTTCAACATCAATTACTGCAACTTCTACTGTCCAACATCGAACCCAAACAAACCCAGAAAGATCAATACGACATTCAAATGTGCAAAAGGAAACTGGAAGCCGAAGCTCACCAAGAAACGACAAAACAGTCTCAGATGCTAAAGAAATTAAATCAAAAAAAAAGAAGCAATTTGTTATTTATAAATTTGCAGTAGAGATAAAAAAATGCATATGTTTGTTGTTTACTCCAAGTAAATGAGGAAGCAGCTTCCGTGCAAAATAAGATTTCCATGTTTGACCTCGACTAAAGAAGTACTCTTGTTGTCCTCTTGTCAGTCTTATCAGTCCTACCTGAGACGTAATAGTCGTATTTTGGATTCCACAGAAAATTGGAGGCACTTCGGAACGTTTGTCCTTCATCACGAACTGATATTACCTAATAACAGTTATTAAAAAAACTATTTTATAAGGTAGTTGTTTTCCAAACCAATCCAAAATAAGCCAAATAAGACAACTTATGACGGACCCCTCAAATTTAATAACAGTAAGTATGTCTACACAAGCCACAATGTGTCCTCAAATATGCGAGAAATTTGTGATCTGTTCTCCCCATTATGCAAAGTACCACGCATCGCAATTTGTGCAAGGCAGCGAAAAATATTCAGGCATTTTGTTTTACCTGCACAATGAGTCGGTATCGTGTTGGCAGGATATTCTTAATTTGGTTGTGTAACTCTTCGTTGGCTCTTAGCGGCGTTGGGTTTGTACGGCTCATGCTGGTGCATTTTTCTGAATGGGTTATTACAATAACTGTGGCATATTGAACCTGAAAGCACTTACTTTTTAGGATCCGGCTCATCATAAATTTTATTGCCTTTATATCCGGCTTTTCATCAGGCTCTGAAAACTAGAATGAAATTTAAACAAAACCAAATTTTTTACCCATTTTAAAAGTCGGTTCAACTCGCTCCTGAGTCTTTTTGATTCCAACTCTTATGTCAAAAGGAATTTGCGATTGTCGCCGCTGCCTAAATATTCACTGTGAGGAACTTGTTTCCTGGGATAGCTCTAATCTCCAGGACTTGTCAACGGCTTGAGGAAATGGGACGATAAGCGATATTTGTACCAACCTGTACTCGGCAAACTTAGTGTCCATGGCGAATTCTTTGTGGTACTCGGTGAGTCTTATTTTCGATTTTTCAAGTGACTTTTTTCATAAATATTCCTTGAGCCAGCTTGTAAATCGTCTATAGAAAATCTTTCCTGACTGTAATTCTCTTTCGCTGGTTGATCTCATCTCTAAAAATATCCAAATTATCCAAAAATTCGTCCATTTTAGCTATTTTTCACAAGTGTAAAACCAATTCCACTCTCGCGGAAATAAATACGATCTTGATTTTTATGAGAACACAGGTGTTCACTTCAAGTGGTACTTACTGCATGATCAGTGAAAGTCGACGCAGGGAGAGTCTGCCCTGTCCATCTCTGTAAATACTTTTGCGTCTTTCAGTTTTGATTTCGGGCACACTATCTTCGCCTTCTTTCTTTGGATCTTGATTCTCGTTGTCGCCGGATTTTAACAAGCTGAAAATGGAAATCATCGAAATTTTGAAAACAAAATGAACAAAAATTTAAAAAAAACAATAAAAAATGATGAAAAAACTCAGTCATACTTACGCTTCTCCAACAGTAGCCCTTCTTTTCGAAGCGGGTTTATACTCTGTCGATTTCTCCGAAGCCCCATCTTTAATATCCGGTAATTTACGGGCCTCTTCTGCGTTTTGAGCGCGTAGCCTAAAACACTTGCTCGCCCCACAAAAATCAACACGTTCACAAAAAAGGCTCAAATTGTGGTTTTGACAACTTGTGATTTTGAGTGGCAGGGAAAATATATTTCACGGTTTTCCTCAAAAATCACAATCTATTTGATATTGAGGCGAAAAACGTGCAAGGACGAGATGAACCTTAGGAGGTCTGTATTTTTGTACTCCTTGAAAATGCCCTCAATGAGATCTAAGCCCCTCATTACAGTAATTGCCCGTTGGAACGTACCTTTCGTCCAAAAATCGCAGCCGCATTTTCCCGGTAAAGCGGCGTCAATGACCCAAATTTGTTTGTTTCAAGCAAAAAATCTCGCAAAATTCGAAAAAGAAAAGTTCTGAAAAGGAAATGTAGACAGAATCAGTAACGTCAAAGTGGACAGATTGTCGAATAAACATGCACAGCGTTATCTCGCCCGTCACAGTTACAATTTGGCCAGCTAGAACAAAAATATGAGCAAATTTGGGCCGGGGACGATAAGACGAAGAATGCCAGAGCTACTGTCTTTCAATTGCCCCAGATTTTGTTTAGACGCTATCAAAACGCAGCTAACTCTCGTACTGCAAGAGATAGAAACAGATCGAGCGCTGTGTTGATTTTTCTGGAGCCAAAAACGTAAATTTGTTACTTCACTAATCCTGAATTTTGACAAGGCTGCAAATCGAAAGTTGCTGAAGTTGGAATTGAATTTGATGCGTTTTCGTGGTCTCTGGTCGGTTTCTATGAAGCTGGATCGTTCTTGGTTGCGATGAGTTTGATGAACATGAAAATTAAGTTTATGATCCTTGATTAAAACTAACTGATCTAAATGATTTTTGAGTTTGATGAACTTTTTCGGCGTTCATCTAAAATTTCATAACCAAAAATTTTACGATTACACGGCTGAGAATCCTTTATATAAAAGATTATTTGATCAGAATAGCTGTTAAATCTAAGCTAGAAAACTAAGCCAAAAACTAGTCTTTGAACGAATCTTCAGAACCATTTAAATTTAGATGAAATTTGAATAATTTAATTTAGAGAAGTGTTGATTTTTTAAACTTACGAAACGAATAATTTTTCTCAGCTTTCACATCATCTCTGAAGTAACATTTTCTTGGGAAATCTCTTTGTTGACTGTAATAGTGAGAGTCGCAATTCTAACTCTGTGGAGTTTTTCTTTGATCAGTTCCGGTTCTGACTGTTTTCGCTCTTGTCATTTTTGGCACCATCTTTCTCTGATTATGGACTTGAAGTCGCCAGCTTTCTAGTTTCTTCCGGTGACAAAATGGTGAATTTAAATTATTCGATTTTTTTCTCACTTTTATAAGAAAATTAAGGCGTCTACGTTCCTTAGCGATATCGCTTCCCCGCATCTCCAAAATTCATATTTGTCCTAACGCCTGAACTGACAGCAGGACTGTTAAAAGCAAATTTGTGTGTCACCGAGTTGATAAAGAATCTATCCCATAAATCAGTTCTTTTCTCAGGCTTTAAAAAAATGATGGGGGAAGAAAAATTCATCAAAAGTACGATTTTCTTGGTTCATAACAAGTTTGGGGAAAGATTATTGTAGTCGAATCGGATCAATCTAAGCCACTTCAAAATTTCAAATCAAATACAAAAAGCTGATGGACTCAAATTTAATCTTCATAGTTTCCCATAAAAGTTTCCCAAATTAATTCAATTTAGATTTTTCAGTTTGCAACTGAAAAGTTTGAACTATTGAGTTCATTAAATGAACTCTTGAAACGGATATTTGCGTTTCGTCAAAATTTTTATTTGAAAGGAAAAGTGGTAGCTTATCCTACGTAAGCAGTTATCAACCAAACGTGCTCTAAGTACTCTCCGAACATGCCGAAAAGAATCTCCGCTGACAGCGTTTCAACAACAAGGACAGTTTGCGCAGCTCGCTAATTTGTGTTTGAATTTATCGACCGTAAATCATCATCCAGGCCGGCGGCTTCAGACTTCAATCAGAGTTCACTTTCGACGGTTCTGATCCTTGGGCAAATTTGTGAGGTGTCGAAAAATGCGACGGAAGGGCGAATTGAATCATTATCAATTCTCATTTTCATACTTCTGGATCGTTACGCTCTACTTAGGCCGGGGCGAGACCAAAAACATCCTGATTTGGGTTCAAGACCGCCGCGAATTTTGACTTTCTAAAACCCAAACATTCTCGAATTCCGCTCACAGCTCACTCCAAAGACCCTACTACATCCCTTTTACATCCCCCAAAACGTAAGAAGCGACATCTGCAAGTAACTTCAGAAGAAAGTTTGTTTCAGTCAAGCGGTAGTTAATCGATTCTTATAGAATTTAGGGCAAATAATGTAAATTCGTTCAATTGCAATTTTTATCCAATCTTTCAAATCTTTACGACAGGCATTTTCCGTACAACTCCAATCGCTCCAAACATACCCGGCTCCCGGAAGACGAATATTTAACTGTCGAGCAAGAGCGGTCGAGTCATGGTAAAGGCATTCATGCGTCGGTTTTTCAACCACTTCTTCCTCTATACCCACGTTTTCGTACCATTCTGGTGTGGACCAGGTAGTTGCGGTACTGAAGGATGTTGTGGTTGTGGTTTCATTTATACTAAATCACGTTTTAGACGAATCATCTGAAAGATTACCTCAATCCAACATGGTAAGGAGAAGGGAAATGAGATTTACCAGAAAAAGTACTGCTTCAACATTAAGAAAATTCTCTCCTGTAGTAAATAGAAATAACCCGTTTCCCCCAAACATCGAATTGAAATCTGCGTTAAGCCCAAAATGCGATGATTTTTACCAAAATTTATAGACAAGTTATCACGCATCTTGTGAGAACGTTTATAATATATGTCGATTTACGTGTGTAGGGTGAACGGTTCTATCAAAGTTGAACATGGTGTTTGTAAACAGACCAATTTTGCGCGAACAAGTACCCGGCACAATAATTTTTAGACAGAGAAACAATGATTTTTTGTCCAGCTTGATCATAATCGGATTGAACGTTCATCAAAGACGGGCGAAAATGTTATTTCTTCAACGATATTCTTTTATATCCGATCAAAGAAAATTCTCGTGAAAATATTTTCTTCTCACGCCCAGGTATCGGATGCTTGTTTTCACGTCAGAAACATGTGAATTTCAGCTACTACGAGATGCATCATTGTTATGCTTGCTTCATCTTTAAATTTTAGAGAAACTTCTTATATTAAGAAAAACTATGAATTGATCAATGTGCAAAAAGACCACCGTACTTCTTCACAAGTTTTAGTAAGACGTCTTTCATCGGTCAATTGATCAATTGAAAACATGCTCGTAGTACATTCCAAGAGTTGGAGTGCAAGTGTGAGGTAATATTTTTAGAAAATATCACGAATCTAATGAAATCTATGTTGAGAGTAGATAATTGCACCAAGATGCATCTTAGTCATTTTGATTGTATATATTCTCGTCAAAAATCCTCCTGACACTATAAAATCGTATAGTTCAACGCTTATACAACTTGTGCTAGAAATATTTTCGCGCTCGACTAAGAGCGCCCCCTGCGCGCTCTCGAAAAAAGCGCGCATATAAACCCGCTAAAATCATCTCCCTTCACCAAATCAAAACTACCAATTATTTAACATTTTAAAAAGATAAAGAAAGAAGATGTTACTAAAGTCGTCTCTAGTGCTAACAGCTAGTGCAAGTCACTTCCGATCCGGGAGTTTTCAGTTCTCACAAAAGGATGATTCCGAGTTGGTCCTATCGAGAACTTTGAATTACCGACGAGGATTTTCCGGCTACGATCCGGCTTGCAACTTCTGGCACGTGAGAAAGGGAAAACAATCGTCGACGATGGAATACGAGCACTCCATTATCACCTCTACAAATACAACTGTATCTATCCAGAATGCTACTTACGTCGTAACAGATATAGAAAATCAGGGGCATCTCAACTCGCAGTGGTGTTATGGTACGATCGATGAGCCTATTCCGAAGCCAGCTGAATCGTTCGAGTACTACTTCCAAAACTGTTGCTGGGTCGACTTGAAGGATGACAAAGGAGAAGTTATCGAAGACGGCCCATTCAAGCTCTACGCAAGATATTACGATACAGAAAACAATTCTCCACAGGTCAAGGTTCCCCCAATCTGGCGAGTCATGACCGGCTGCCCAAATCAATCACTGGCGCTGAATCCGGAGGACAAAGACAATGACACGATTCGATGCAGATGGAGTACTGAGGCCGAGGCAAAAAGTGCAAATTACTTCAAAGGAGACTACACTTCCTTGAGTCTTGATGAGGAAACATGCGTCCTCAACTATGATGGAACAATTGACACAACCACATCCGGAGTAAAACCAATCGCGATCCAGGTACCTTGGAATATCTTCTTTATCATTTTTTAACTTTAAGTTTTATAAATTTGTATTTTAGGTCGAGGATTTCGACGAAAACGAAAATATCAAGTCTTCGATCCCAGTTCAATTTCTTGCTTCAGTCTGGGAGCCTCAATATTCAGGAAGCTACGTCGAAGTGACTGGTCGATCGATGGGAATTTTTGACGAAGAAATTGAACAATCAGAAGCATTTTTCTGGGGCGATGTTTTCCACGGCCATGATGATCACCACGAGTTGGTGAGAGAGCGACGAGAGGTCCCAGGAATAAATCCTGATACCGGCAATTTCTACTACTGCGACGAGCCTCCACAGCTCATTCCACCATCGCCAGAAGCAGGAGCGCAGATCAACGTCACCGGAACGGTCAAAATCGACGTGCGAGCATTTTACTACCAAGATCTTGAACCAAAGTACGATCTGAGCCGTTTCCAGTTCAACTCGCCGCAAGGAATGGTCTGCACTGATATTGACAAAACAACTGGACGTGCTTCATGTACCTGGACTCCAACACTGAAACAGCGAGAGCAAAAACTTCATGGCTTCTGTTTCTTGGCGATTGACAAAGCTGGTAGACAAACTGAACGAAGATGCATTTCTCTAAAGATGTCCGATTACGTCGATGATGTTTTCAGGTGACCGATACTTGGTAGATCACATTTTATGAATCTTTTAGTATGTTGAATCTCATCGCCCCGGAATTCGGTCATCGAGAACTGACTGATTACGGCTGTGCTGGGCGAAATCTTCTCGATCCTTTCCATAGCAATATTGGAAAACCAGTTGATCTCACTGACAAGGCTCTCTCTAGATGGAAAACATGCATAAGATGCGCAAAGGAAAGGTTCAAACAAAACACGCCAAAGTGCCCCAAATTATTCCTTATTTCGAAGTATAAATTGAACTTTGAAAGGATGTCGATCTGACTAGCCTGTCCGAAGTAGGGGACCTTGAACTGCCCAAATATTTCTACGACGTAGATACACAGACCTGCGGTAATCTAACAATAACATACTTATCAAAATTCTAACGCGAACAATTTAGCAAACGACGTCGGCACACTGGAGCGCTCCATTTGCGAGTGCGATAAGAAGCTCGCTAACACTTTGAAAAATTTTACAATTAGGCCCAAGTACCAAAATTATAGAGACACAAGGTGCGAGAGGCGTAATGCCACAGAGTTTCCCGAGGATCCTCATTGTTGCGGCGATCACGATGGATTCTACAAGATGTACTACGCTTCGAAGAATTGCTGCGAAGAAGATGGGACAATCCGATCGAATGGAGAGTGCATGACTGATGGAGGAATTACATATCAAGCTAAGGTAGTCTTTAAAGATCTTCACGAATTCATCATTCTAAGATTCAAATCTTCCGGCCTGAGTTCGTCCAGACCGACAAAAACAACGGAAAAGAAACATCAAGCTCAACTTCAACAGATTCCGGATCGACAAATGGAGAGGCTACAGGAACTGGAACAGGAAGCAGTTCCGGTGGATCGAAACCAAACAAATGGGCCGAAGAAGCAAATGAACTAGAGGGCAATTTGTAAAAAATAAGAATTAAAAACCTTGTACATTATGTATAGAATTTTGTTTGAATAAAAATGATCAAATTTTGAACACCAGAATTTATTCATTTCGAAGAACGCAGTCATTATCCTCTCTTATTTCCTCTTCCAGCACATGAGAAGTTGCGGAGATCTCCATTCATTCGGCGAACAAAATTGTTCTTGCACTTGACTCGACCTTCAGCAGATGTGGTTCCATCAGCGCAGGTAATTCTGTAAGTCGAGTGCTTTCGTCCATCATCAATGCACTCAAATGATGCACCAGCCCAAGCGGCCTCGCTCATCAAAGTTGTCATACCGTTTTGGCACTTGCAACTGCCGGAAATGTCTCCGCATGGGCTAGGCCATTCCGGGAAGGTGGTGGAAAGAGGTCTTTTCTTCAGTCGTTTGCATCGATCTGAAATTGAAGAAAGTTTGCAGAGTTTTATTATTGCCAAACTTACCAGTGTAGAGGACACTGACATCGCCACCTTGCTCAGCAGTTCGTGGGCAGGTCCACCAGATTCGGACATGGGCCCTTTGGACCTTCTGCTTGTTTGAAGGGAGGTTGGCGAGTTCAGTCGCAGTCATGTTGCAAACGCCGAAGGCATCGGGAGAGTTTCGGGGAGTATTGGTGCATCCACAGGGATCTGTCTCTCCATTCTTCCAGTGGAAGGGGTTGGATGCGCCGTTCTTCTTCTTTTTGTATCCAAAGTCGTCATACTCGTACTTAACAAGGTTCAAACGGCGATCCACGAGGAATGGTATCTTACCTGAGCAGCAACTGCTCCCAAAACAAAAAGTGCAAGCTTCATTTCGATAAAAACGACACCGTTGGTATTGAGCAGCAAGAAACCGTCATTTTTATAGTCTACTACCAACGCACAACCTTGGCAAGTACATATTTTGGCAGACTAAGTCTATAAATAGTTTGAAAACTGCGGCTTGAGTCGCGCAGAATGCATGTTTTGGAGAGGCCAAGGTTGAGTTGTTTGTTTAGACGGCGTATTAAAATTTCTCAACAATGAATTTCGAACGATTTCGCAACAAGAGCGTTTTATTAATAGTTAAAATGTTTTGATTGAAGCCGTCAAGGTGGAAAATAATCTTCATATAGGTCACAGTAAATTAAACTATCTTCTTCTCTTGTCTGGAGAGTAAAATCTCCAAGCAAAATTTTCAGCTTGTTGGGTCCAAAGAACTTTCCATCAACCAGCGGTCCATCATCTTGCTCCAGAACGCAGCCGAACTGAGCATTCAAGAGCCAAGCCCAAGGAGCTCTGAATACGTATGAAGATTACTGTCTTGAATAATTCTAGCTACCTATTGTGGGAACATGCGTTTTCGAAGTAGCCGCATCCTGGTTGTCTTACTCCGCCATTAACGATCAGATTTGATTTACCTACTTGCAAGGACTGTACCAATCCATTATGAAACAAGTAGCCAGAATTGGTGATGACGGTGAGTACATGATCAGCATCCTGAGTTGACAATCGATGATGGTCGTCACACGTTTGGAAAAGCGGTCCAGCTGGGTCCAAGCCCGATATTTTTGAGATCTTGATTCCAGTAGCGGCGAAGAATTCTTTCCCGGTAAAACCGGCTATATGCGCGCCCAATGAATGACCGATAATTTGGATAGAGGATGGATCAAATATTTGGTTATGCTTTTGGATGGTTTCAGAAAGCCAGAAGCCAAGAGATCGTACTTTCTTCGCGGAGGCTATGTAGTTGTACTGCGCGATTTCATCCCAGTCCATGGAGAAAAAACACCATCCCTCGTTTTCCGTCTCATTAAAAAACGTCACGGCTGTGTAGGCAAGCCAATCTGTATTGTAAGCATCTCCGTATCCGTGAATGCCGATAAGTGTTCCAATACTGCAATTTTGTTCATCGTTGTATTGCTCTGGAAAGTTGAGTAATGTAAGGTTCGATCCGCCGTCGTAAAATTTTAACGAAGCAGTCAAATCCACATCGTGGGTTTCTAGGTTTAGGCAGTGGTAGTTCAGGAATGATACGACTAAGATATTTTTTATAAAAAATAAAATGTAAATTTCTTACAGAATATTGCAAGAAATGCGCCGACGAAGGTAAATACGCATGATATTATTATTATGATCTTCCTGTGTTTTGAAAATTGCTTTCCCAGAGTCAATATGTATCTTTTGCACATATTTTCTTCACTTTTTCTTTCTCCTCTTTCCTCATCACTTTGGGAACTGTTCAATGTTCAATGAATTTTATATGGATATAAAGCTTTATCGCGATGTATTTAAATTAAATTGGACTTTCCTAGGACTCAGCAGCGGCATATTAACGTCGTTCTCATCCATCAGTCTGTATAGTTTCTCTCGCGGGCGGGATCTAAACAAATTTGCAGATTTCAAGGGCGCCCATTTTCCTTTCTTTCTTCCTGAAAGTCTTTCTCTTCAAAATTGAAAAAGGTTTTTTTTCAGCGCAGAGGCGTTACACAACGAGGTAATACCCCCGAGGCTCGAGGTCAAAGTAATTTAAAACGCGAAATGACCAGGCGAGGATCCACTCGGTTTTATTTATTCAGGGATGTTGAATCTGGATTCAAATGCATATAAAAATTTTCAAAAACAAGCCTTACCTCCTCAAATTCTCGAATCTATCTTTCAAGTAACAGAACAGAGGAGCTAATTCCCTTGAGCACAGAATAAAAGAAGGGTCTTATTATTTTAATGGCGACAATTTTTGGTCGTGATTGAGTTTTTGTGGTAATTTATTACCAATTGCAGTTGAAATAAAGAAAAAGAAAATAAAGAAAGGAAGGGTTGAACTCAGAATCTATCGAGATTCAGTTGTCAGTTGATGAAGTTTTACAGGTTTTCCGTTGCCATAAGTCCGTTTTATCCAGTGTCATGAGAAGTAAGTTTTAGCCTTGTCGACCTTGTCGACCTTTTCTCCCTTTTCTTCGATTTGGATTATTAATGAACTAAAAAATGTCACATCATTCATTATTTACTGAATTTCTTCTTACGCATTCCGAGTTGTGCTGATGTCGCCATCCGTTTTTCGTGCACTCGAGCGTTGGAGGTTGCGCTGGAGCACCTTTGGGCGATAAAGCAAAGTAACCCTTTTTGCACAAGAAATGAATCTTTTCCCCAATCTTGTGTACTCGATTGCTTCTGCTTCTGTTCTTGCTCTTTCCAAACATTCTACTGTTAGGAACATCTGGCACATCATGCGCGTGACAGCCTCGCATGCAAGATTTGACATTTCGGTTGCTCCAGAAGCCGGATTTTTCACATGTCGCAGTATACAGACGGTCTGGGTTTTTCATCTTGAAGCCTTCTTTGCAACGGAAGATGATTTTGTCTCCAGCTTTGAATCGATCAGCAGAGGTGTCCAGAGCAACCTCATCTTTTCCGATAAGCTTCATTCATATTGAGATTAGCTGCAGGAAACATCAATTACCTGATACTGCAGAGAGTTTGGGAGTTCATTTGGCCTGTGGCAAACAGAAGAACAGCTAAAATCAGCCTTTGTCCAAGTACCATCCTCTTGGCATCGAATAGTTGGATTACCAACAGGTTTAATGTTGAAATTCAAGCATGCGAAGGCGACTACTGTGCCGACTCCAAGATCCTCGCCAAACGACTTTTCGGAGTTTTTAATAGAATTCTATTCTCAAGAATCTGAAACTAGTTATTTTTGATTATCAAAAACTCGTAACAAAGGTTTCGCATCAAGAACCGAAGGGAGTGGATCACATGCTTTAACACATGAAAAGCTAATGGGTGTGAATTCTCCATCAGTTTCGCATGTGATGGACCTTTCCCCGACGAGAACTGTGCCTTCTGGGCATTCAAAAGTGACGCTTTCCTTGAGTGCAAAAGCATGTTTATTCGAAGTTTGAGCCACTGCTCCGGCTGGCCACGTATCTTGTTGCGGCAGAGCGCATTCTAATGCTGGCGCCTGGCAGATGTAAGAGAAGGTCAAATCGCACTCCATGTTCATGATAGCATTGCGCATCACTAGAACTCCGCAATCTCGCTCTGCAGCATCGTCAGTCATGCTACGGGAATCAGTTCGCGGCCACCCCTTCGCCCAACGAACATCTTTGTTCCCGGCGCCATCGCTCCAAGTCCAGTTTCCTGAATTAAAATGTCAAAATAAAACGACTCAGATCAATATTAGTAATATTATATTACCATTATCAAGACGTTCAAGACCAATCCAAATCTCATTTTTGAGCCTGAGTCGATCAACGACCGTTCCATAGATTGGACATTCTTGAATCAATTTTGCACCGTAGCGGTGGCAAACTGACTTAGCCTTGTGGTAAGTTGACTGTTCGTTGAAATATTTGAAGCATTCGTCTCCGATTGGTGACCAACCATGAGGACAGCTCACACTGAAAAACTTGAAATACTGATTTTAAAGTATTCTCAAACCTAGAAGATGACGATGAGCTTGAAATATCTTCACATAAAACTGGTGCTTCCGGTATTTCTGCTCTTTCCATACTCGCAGATTTCTCGCAAGAGAAACCATCCCCATGAAATCCTTCGAAGCACGTGCATGTAAATTTTCCATCGTAGTTCTTGCACGCAGCGTTATCATCACACGGGGAAAGTGCGCATTCGTCGATATCTTCACAGCTTCCCGCGTTGAGTCTGAATCCATCAAGGCAGTAACATTCATAACTTCCAATCGAATTCTTGCATTCGCTCTCGCCGCAATATCCACTATCGGCGCACTCGTCAATATCGACGCAAGTCTTTCCATCTTCGGCCAAAGTGAATCCTTCAGCGCAAGCGCAAATGTAGGAGCCAACAGTGTCCACACATTTTTGCGAGCATTTGTGCAAATCGGTCTTACATTCATCGATGTTTATACAATTACCTTCTTCATTCTTTTCGTAGCCTTGATTGCAAGCACACTCGTAACTGCCAATACCATTGACACAGCTGCTGTCTTTGACGCAAAGAGAAGAGTCTACATCTTGGAGACATTCGTCAATATCAGCGCACTCGTTATTGTTGACAACACCGAAGCCAACATTGCATTCGCACCGATAGCCCCCAACAAAATTCACGCAGAGGTCTGGGCAGACATCGTTTTCGCACTCATCAATGTCAACACATTTTCCCGATTCCATCGAGAAACCCTCAGCACAAGCGCACTCAAATGAGCCTTCCGTCTCAACGCATGTTTGATGAGTTCCAAAACAGATGGCTTTGCCACTTTGAGTCATTCTCTCATCACATTCTGGGAAGTCTACACAAACACCTTCAGATTCAAAATCCAAGGGCGCATTCGCAATTGAATCCGCCTGTTTCTTCTATGCAAATCTTCAGAGTTCAAAATTATCAATTCAATAAGTGATTAAATTTGAAATTATATTTTAAACTCTGCCTGATTTTCCCCGCAAGGATTCGTTTCGCATTCTTTGATGTCATTGCAGACAACGCCATCACCTTTAAATCCCTCTTTGCACTCGCAGTCGTAGTCCCCATCTGTGTTCAGGCAAACTGCATGTTCGTGACACTTGTTCTCGCTCAGGCACTCGTCAATATCAATACAGGAGTTGTCATCTTCTGGGGCATAACCATTTTCACACTCACAGAAAAACCTTCCTTCTGCATTTTCACAGATTTGGTTATTTCCGCAGGTAGATTCTCCAGTTGCACATTCGTCGACATCGACACAGTTTTGCTCATCATCAGAAAGCGCAAAGCCCTCAAGACAGAAACATTCATACGATCCAGAAGAGTTACTACACTCGACATCTTCTGCACATACTCCGACCGTACACTCATCGATATCAGAACATGTGAAGCCGTCGCCTTCGAAGCCTTCACTACACTCGCATTCGAACGTTCCTACTGAGTTTTTACACTCGGCATTTGCGTCACAAGGGTTGGTTGAGCATTCATCATTATCTTCGCACTGTCCAAGAACCTCTGTGAAGCCAAGATTGCAGTCACAGACGAAACTGCCTTCATTGTTGACGCAGAAACTATTTGATTTTTTGCTGCAAACATCTTCATCGGCACATTCATCTACATCGAGGCAATCTTCACTATTCTCCGACTTAGCGTACCCATCAAGACAGGAACAACTGAAGCTACCGTCAAAGTTTCGGCAAACAGAATTCTCTCCACATGGATCATTCTCACATTCATCAATGTCTCGGCATTCTTCATCATCATCTTCTCTTATGAAACCGTCCGCGCAGTTGCAAGAATAGCTTCCATCGCTATCGACACAAACCTCATTAGCATCACATGGAGATCTAAATAAGAGTTCAAAGACTGTCAGAGAACTATCCAGGAAATGATTTTTTAGAACTCTTGGCTAAAGAAATTCGAGTTTTCACAATTCTCCCGATCCGAGAATTTTACATACCGTGCGCATTCATCGATATTTTCGCAGCCATTTTCGCCGATTTCGAATCCGCCTAAGCATGAGCATTCGTAAGATCCGATAACGTTTATGCATTCCGTGTTTTCCCCACAGTCAACCGTCGCGCAGTCGTCAATGTCAGCGCAGGTCTTTCCATCGCCTTCAAATCCTTGGTCACACATGCAAATAAAGCTGCCCATTTTGTTAAAGCAGCTTGCGTGGGGATCACAGGGCGAAGTTGCGCACTCATCGACATCTTCGCACATTCCGTCAGAAGCGCGGCGGAATCCGGAGCTGCAGTCGCAAGAAAAGCTGCCGACGGTATTTTTACAATCGGCAAAAAGATTGCATGGGTCATCAAGGCACTCATCTACATCAACACAGTCATTTGCATCGCCTTCAGTAAAGCCATCGTTGCACTCGCAGATGAAAGATCCTTCAGTATCGATGCAATGTGCATTTGGAGGACAAGCATCAGTCAAACACTCGTTAATATTTACACAATTTTTGCCATTCTCGTCAGCAAAACCAACCAAACAAGGACATTCGAAGCCTCCAATAGTATTGACGCATCTTGAGTTGTCTCTGCAATTATCGTCTCCGACACTGCATTCATCCACGTCAACACATTCATCAAGGTCAGTGTAATCAAAACCATCAGGGCATTCACACCTGTAAGAGCCCACAATATTGAGGCAGACTTCGTTAGTTCCACAGATGTGTTCACCAGAGGCACATTCGTCAATATCCTCGCACATGAATCCGTCGCCCTCATATCCCCACTCACAGGTGCAGCTGAAAGATCCGTTTTCATTTTGGCAGCTCGCATTTGCATGGCATTTGTTTTCGACGGCGCACTCATCAATATCTGAACACGAAATTCCGTCGCCTTCATAACCGCCTTGGCAGGAACAAGAAAAACTTCCCTTCGAATTTGAGCAATTTGCATTCTCGCTGCAATTATTTTTGTCCTCGTCAGCACATTCGTTCACATCCGTGCATTTACCATCAATTAACTCAAATCCAGCTTTGCATTCACAGTCAAAACCGCCATCACTGTTGATGCAATTTGAGTTTGGTCCGAGTCTTCTGGAACAGATTTTTGGTCCTTCTCGTGAGCACTCATCAATATCCTCACAGGGGCAAGATCCAGAACCCTCTTCATCAGAGTTGTCGTCGCATACTTTTTCATACCCATGCTCACATTTGCATTTGAATGAACCAGGGCTGTTCAAGCAGATTTCGTGTTCCGCACAAGGCTCCTCTGCACATTCATCGATATCATCACATCCGTGCTCTTCAACTGTGTAACCGACCGGGCAGACACATTCAGCGAATCCAACATGATCAACGCAAATTTGGCTTCCAGCGCATTTGTATTGTTCAAGAAGGCACTCGTCGATTTCGATACAGTTTCCAAGGTCATCATACTCGTAGCCAGCATCACAGACGCATTCAAATGATCCAATCGTGTTTTGGCAGTTTTCATGTCGGCACATGCATGTACCAACAAGCGCGCATTCATCAATATCCTAAAAAAATTGACGACTCAATCTACGATAACAAATACCTGACAGTTCTTTCCATCTTCACTCGAGTAGCCAGAATGACATGTGCAGGTTGGTTCAAAGCCGATATTGTTAAGGCAGTCAGAGTTCACACCACAGTAAGGCTCGTCAAACGCGCACTCGTCGACGTCAAGACAGTGAAAGAAGTCTTTCTCCAAATCTTGCTCGTAAAACTCATCGCACTCACAGACGTAGCTTCCAGGAATATTTTCGCAGCTCGCGTTGTCTCCACAAATGCCAGCAGCGCATTCGTCTATGTCTTCACAAGTGCGGCCGTCGGATTGAAGAGCGTAGCCAGAGTTGCAGGAGCAGGAGTAGCTGCCGATTGTGTTCTCGCAAATGTGATCGCAGTCATTTTCACCAGCGCACTCATCGACATCAGCACATTTTCCATTGTTTTTAGCATAACCAACATGACACTGACACCAATAGTTTCCAATAAGATTGATACAATTAGATTTGACATCACATCGATCATACCCTAGTTCGCATTCATCGATATCAGAGCAGGTTGGTGAGGAATGATCAAAACCGGATTTTTTCACGCAGCGCGCACCAGATTCGAAATTGTAGCAAGACTCACATGACTGGCAAGAGAGGTTGTCGCAAGGATTTCGATCACATGTGTCATTTTCTGCCTTTGCACCGTCTTCACAGATGCAGGAAAAGTCTGATCCTTTACCAACACAGGTTGAGCCTTCGATTGATGAGCAAGGATTTCCGGAACATGGGTCGAATGGAAGACAAGTGGGGGGACCATTTTTGTTATTTTGACAAGTGGAGTTTTCGTCGCAAATACCAAGCACACTGCAAAGGTCAACAACGTGACATTCTCCATTATAGAAGATCTCGTTCATGTTGCATGCTGTGGCACAGCTTTCTTCGCCAATGATTATTGGAGTTTCACCTCTATTTTCAACGTCAGGCTCGAGTTCATCTTCAAGAATGACGGTAGCGTCACCAGAGCTTTCGTCCAAGGCATCTTCGCTTATTTCAACAACTGGAACGTCGTCTGAACCAGATGACTCCATCATCATTCCAGAGCCTTCAATTATCATGTCCAACGGATCAAACTGTCCAGAAGACTCTTGTACTGAAACCTATGGCAAATGTTTCGAATAAATTTTAGTAAAGCTCTTTACCTCAAGATTAATATTGTTGATGATTTCTACTTGTCCAGTTATCGCAGAATATATTTCGCACTTGTATATTCCCTCATCAATAGCTAGAAAATATTTGAAGGCGAATATTTCTTTTTCTGCTTACCTGATGCATCAGAGAGGGTTAGATCAGCTGATCCAGGAACGAGGCTGACTTTGACTCTCTCAACAAGTGGGGATGATCGTACAAGTTTGACTCGCTCTTCAAGCCTCTTTGCGATCCGAGCATCAGACTGGTACCACTCTACTACAGGCGACACTGCATCAGCAGGAATTTGGCAAGGAAGCGTGACCGTCCCTCCCTCATCGACTCTTATTCTCGTGACTTCTTCATTCGAGAGAACGCCCTGCGCCAAAAACGCGGCGAGCAACTTCATCTCTCGGTGAAAAAATCTGTAAGAAGATGAAAGAGATTTTGACAACCCAGAATCAACCGCACGAGTTCATCCGCTCTTGAAATAACAGGAAAGTTTTCTTTGCAATCTACATCGGAAAACGCCGGCTTTTTGAAAACAGATTACGAATGTGATTTTCTGTTGATTGGAATTTGACCGGTTTGCCAGAAATCAAAGTCATAATTCTACATGGCGGAAATGACTAACCATCTAAAGTTGATAATTAAATGATCATTAAAAATTATTAGTAATGGACACAAGTCTGTGACCTTCGGAGAACAATAAACCAATTGATTTCTGGATCAATCATTATCCGGAGTAAAGCTGACCTCGTAAAAATTGTAATCTAATGAAACCCTGCCAAAATGATGAGCGTCATCGGAATTGACGTCCAAATTTAAAACGCCTTTACGTTCTGTAATTGCGTAAATCTCCGCGCTGATATCATCGCTTTTTTATGGCTTTATAAATACTCGAGACGCCACCAGCTGATTGGTAAAACTCAAGGACGAAATCAAACATTGTTAACTTCTTTCATAATTCAAGAGAGAATAAAAGAAACAAAAACGGAGAAAATGGCTCAAAGAAGTTCTCAGGAAGGTTTTTTCGACGTTGAACTCAATGAATGAGAAACCGATATTAATTCTTGCTGTAAAAACCCGGTCATTGAATTTATTCAGAGGGTTTGTATTTTTATTCCGGAGTTAACTAGGGTTTTTGAGTATTCGCCCGCTGGGCATCGTATGTCGTCCACGTTTTAAACAGTGAATTGATCGAGAAAGCTGAGGAATTTCTTCCTCGGAAATCCCACCAGATCCTTAATCTATCTCCGTTCTACACCTTTTCTTTTTTTGCCTTTTTTATTCCTTCAAAATTCCAAGAGAACAAGCAAAATGGGAGAGAAGTCGAAAAAATCGAAAAAGTTGAAAATGGCGAATATGCGCATACAACTACAAGCAAATGAGCTCTTTGACAAAGGAGAGTATCAGAAAGCACTAGAAAAGGTCAGTTTGAGATTTGAGGGTGATTTGACATTTACAAGGAAATTGACTTCACAAGTCGTAGATTTGCATTTTTCAACGTTTTCCAAGATGTTTTGGACAAGCTATTATTAGCCTCAATTTACGGGGGTTCTTGTTGACACCGGCGTAATTATCTAGATATCAAGCTCATAAACTCTTATCCGATTTTTATCATTAAATAAAATCTTCAGCTCGATGAGATCGCTCCCGCCAACTGGATGGGAATTCATTTCTTCAATCAATCTCGATTTCATTTGAAAAATTCAAACAAAGATGGCGCCATCGAGTCGCTCAGAACTTTCGTGAACAAAGACAAAACATCCGCCATTGGATTCTTTCATCTTGCCACGCTGCTTTATCAACAAGGACAGTACAACGAGGCGGAGAAGAACTATGAAAAGGCATTCGATAGTTTGAGAGGGAACGAACTGGTGGATTACCGACCTCTGCAACTGGCTGTTACGCTAAGGGTGTCAGATGTGGCTTACAACCTTGCAGTCGCCGCGGTCAGGTAACTTTCTAACCAGTAATCCTTTTTCGAAAAGTGTTCTTGCTTGAAAACGCGGAAGGTTTTAAGAAAATGCTAACATAGAACAATTTTTCGACAACTAGACAACTTTGAGGATAACAAAGCGGTAATTTTATGAGTCTAGACATAAAATTTATTCACCAAATTGAATCTCCCTTGAGAGAATAAAGCTACGGTTTATGAAATAAAAAAGAGTCGTTTCTTTGGATAATCTGGCTCGATCTCTGCGCATTTGTGGTTGACCAAAATAACAGCGCGTTTAGCCGTGACAAGTGCTCATTAATCAGTTTCCTCAACGACTTCTCTTTAAGAAACGGCAGTTCCGAAAACTTTGTGAAATTCATCGAAATCGCCCTTGAAAACGCCGAAGAAATCGAGCGACATCGCGACATTCGCCACCTTGAAGCTCTGCGGGAATCGCCGTTAAATCAAATACCATTGACGAAATTCCCATTAATTGAAATTTCGCCATTTGCGGTTTTCCGTGTTTCGCAAAAGGTGAAGGCAAGTTTGAATTCGAATCCGATAAAGAAGGCGACTGCCAAGGCTGTTGGTGGAGATGGTGAAGCGGGATTTACTCCGGTCGCAGCGCCAGTGATTCCCAAACATTTTCGCGCCTCGGATATGACGGAGGCCCCCTTATCAGGTACGATAAAAATATTCACCAGGGAGCTTTACCAGGGATTCTCAGCAATATCACTTTTCAGCTTTATAAACTGATTTTAAGCTAAGCTACAAAGCGTGGCACGAAAAGAAACGGAGCGATCAATTAGCAAAGGTCGATCAACCTCTCCGTCAATTTCGGCGCTGCTCGCTCAATCTGGAATCACTTTACCGGGCGTAGACGCTGCTGGTCGCCGAGCTGGTATTACAGGAGCGGCGGGAATGAATTCGAGCCCCGCCCCGCCATCCCGGCCGCCTCCCCTAGCTCGGGAAAATTCTAGAGGCTCCAGTGGAGGAAAGCCTTCACCAAAACTCTCTCCAAAGAGTTCAAAGCTCGAATCGAGTTCACCCGTGACGAAATCAGCGAAATCCCTGGATTCAAGAGGCTCAAGTACTCAAAAACTCGACAAAGAAGCAAAGAAAACAACGCTTATGAATAATACTGTAGCTGACGGCAGTCCACTGGCGCGGAAAGAAGAGCTCAAAGCGCCGAGTGTTAAAAGTGTCAAGTCAGATAAAAGCAAGAAATCAAAGAAATCTTCTTCAAAGACGAAATTGTCCGATGAAAAATCAGCTCCGTTTCCGGAAGGCTCGGGCGATCAAAAAATTCAATGTAACGACAAAAAAGATGAGAAGCGATTGGAAGTCAAGATTCCACCAGAAAGGTAAAACGATTTCACTTGGATTTTCTACTGATCATCTTCTTATAGCAACGGTCTGAACGAAAGGGTGAGGCTTTGTGTCAATGTCCAGCTTGATCTCGACCTTGAGGTCGACCGAAATATCGACTTAGACTCGATTATGCTAAGAATAAGAGACAGAATTCACAGCATGGCTTCTGTTGTTAGTTCCAATTCAACATCTCCTTGCTTATTACACAATGGTAAATACAATTGCATAATGCAATTGCATAATTATTATGAAACTGAAGGTAATTTTGATTCTTAGATGAACCCGTAACGGATGAAGAACAGTTCAAGAAGACGCTCCAAGACACAAATGCTGTAAATTTAAAGCTCAAATGATCAAATCTTCAATGTTAGAATTTTGCCAAAATAAAATTTTGTTGATAATTGCATCTGTTTTCCAACGATATTCAAGACAACTGAGCCATTTTTTCGTAAGTTGTATTTTATTAAAAAAAAGCAAAAAAATAATGATGATGACAATAAAGATTTTCAAGGTACATGAACCAGACCATAATTTTCTTATCAAGAATGCATTTGGCTGAGTTACAATAATCACACTGTATGTTTTCATTGAATCTTCGTTAAAGTCAGTTCTTGGCGACCACCCATAAGTAAAGTTATAATGAACATAATTAGGTAAATATTAAAGAAAAATCAAAAAAAAAAATAAGAACTCTATAGATTAAAAAGAAAACAACTATAAATTATATAATATAATTTATATACATGCCAATTTCCAGTCGAGTTACGAATGAAAAAATCTCAGCATCCATCCAAGCCACGATCCTTCGCGTAGTATTCAAAATTTATCAAGAAGCATTGAGTCGATTATTTGTAAGGCAAACTCTAACAGACGTAAGATTCTTCATCAACGGGCCGGCGTATCTAGCGGTGTCGAGATTGTTTTGAATTATTTGTTTGGTCTCCTCATATTTCTGGGTATTTTGAACGAGTCTTTCGTCTTTGTCTAAAACATCCGCAAGTCTATTCAACTGCGTAGAATAAGAAACCATAAGCTCTCCAATTCGTTCCGTTATATCACCAAAACAAGGGAAAGAATCATTCAATTCAGTACCAAAAACGGGCTCGCTGAATCTGTCGCGCTCCAATGCGTTTTGATTTCTTTTAGCAAAATTGTTGCATTCATTAGCATTTCGGAGCAAGATTTCCATGTTATTCAAGTTTTCCAAATACGGGGTCATGAAAGTTCTACCGCCTTGTCCGCCAGTGTTGGTGATATGAATCACTGAGTTAGGGCCAAATCGAGGGATTTGAGAAAGCTTCTGGAAATCGTCGGTAAGTTCCGCCGCCATAAAGAAAAGGTGAAACGCATTGTTAAACTCCCAGTCCCGGTGAAGGGCGAAGCAAAGAACCAGCAGCTTCAAGTCTATAAATAATCAGTAATAAATCAAAATCTTTTCATAAGTTTGAAGATTTTCAATAAAAATTCTTGAGTAAAATCCGGGCAGCCCTATTTTTATTAGAAAATACGTTTGAAAACGCGCGAAAATACGCGAGTGAAGCCATGACGCGCTTTTTTAAGGCTACCTGGGTCGAGTTGGCCGTCTTTGAGGGTAAATTACTAACCTTTATTCCTAACAAAAGAAGCTTTGTAAGAGCTCATTCGATAGATCTATCCTAGATCTCGGATCGTGACAGAGCACTTTTTTCAATTTCAAAAAGATTTTTCAGAAAAAATGTCGTCAAAGTTGGCGTCTCGGCCTAAAATTGCAAACTTCAACGCTAAATTCAGGCGAAAATTTTCATTCGAAGTATTTTTTTCTTTTTGAAATTATAAAGTTTAAAGCCTCCTCTACAATCGTGACAGAGCAGAATTTTCGATTTCGAAGATGTTTTTATCAAAATTTTAAAAAGTATGGACTCTCCTTCGCGAATCTCGGATTTTTGCTCGGTAAGCGTCCATTTACCTCGATTTCGAAATGAATTTTATTTTCTCGGGCAATTTTAAGCGTCACCACGATGTTTACCAGGCCATAAGCTTTCATTCAAGCCCTTCATCAGAAAAATTGGAGATAAAAAATTTCTCACCCAAATTTGAGCTGTTAGCATTTCCTGTAGATTTTAAACTTTAAAGTGGTTTTGATGGTGAAAACGTTTAGATAGCTATAGGGTCATTATAGAGTTTTTTGTTCCTCAGAATCTGAAGAATCCGATTCTATGGTCAGAAAATGGTTTTAGGGGGTACCAAAACTCGACCTAGGTACCCTTAAGGTTGGCCAAGTTATTTCACCCTCTTCTTGATTTTAAACCCTGGAACACCATACATATTTGGAATCAGCGGAAAAAATCTAGAATCAAGACCTCTTTTGTTTCTTAAAAATCATTTCCGGTTGCGATTCTAGAACCGGAAATTTGTATAATTTTTAAGAAATGCATGCGTGTGACATATCAAATTAAAGCTTAGAAAATTTCTAGTCATTTAGAAACGGAATTCAACCGATTTGCGTACAAACTAACCCGAAAAAAATGAAGAAAATTTCAGTAATTTATGCCTCTTTTCATGATTTTACCGGTCGATCTGACCAGGGTTGAGACTGATTTTTCTAATGAATTGATTATGAAATGGGGTAAGAGGGATTCGCCTGCCCCCCAATCCGGCGGGCGACAAAAATGACCGGACCAAGCGGGTGACAAGCCAACACGGCCGAACTTCCCAACTCTGCGGGAAACAGCGAGGCTCAGTGGTTAATCGCTTATCTATCGAGGAAAATCATGATTAGAGGGTTGTTGCAACGGTCTAGCTTATCTGCACAAGGTTCACTTTTCGGAGGATCATGAGCATTTTTGCTCAAAAATTTTCAGGAAAGATGTGATTTATACTAATTCGACATTTGTAATCAAATTTTACCTTTGATCATGCGTCCAAAAAGCTGGACAGTTATTCCTAACTCAGTTATTGCTCATTGCGATTCATGCAGAACAGTTCACAGTCTGGCTGCTAACAGAGATCTGAAATGACTCAGAATTTTCTGGGCTTCAATATAGGTCACACTTTATTTGCAAAATTTCGCCAACTTCCGGCCCTAGAATAGTAACCGGAAGTAGTTTTTTAGAAAGGTCTTGATTCTAGATTTTTTCCGCTGATTCCAAATACGTATGGTGTTCCAGGATTAAAATCAAGAAGTGGGTGAAATAAATTGGCCAACCTTAAAAAAAGCGCGTCCATGAAGTCGTAGCGGTCTAGATTGACCTCGTGATATGGAATCCTAAGACGCGTTTTTTTAGGTTGCAATTCAATAACTTTAGACTTGAAGTGGTTGACGGCCCAAAATGGAGCTTACAAAAAAATCGCATCGCATTAGATTTGTTAATTTTACTAAATAATGAACGCGCACCTGTTTTCTTCAAAAGTTTTATAAAGAAGCTGTGTTAATTATAAAAAGAAAGACAGGTTACCCAGCAATTCGAACAAGATTTTACTCAAAAATACTTATTGAAAATAGTTTAAACCTTTTATCGTGAGTTCTGGGTCGTATGGAATTTTGATTCTGTTGTCGCTAACTGTTTTCATTTCAAAAAATAGCCTTCCACTTTTCTCCTTCAACAAACTATTATTTGGTTTGTTTGATTTAATTTTCTTGGCAGTGTCAGTATCAATAGCATCAACGAACTCAGCTTTACCAGTCTCTTCGAAATTATGATCAACGCCAAAGTCGATATCCACAGTCAGTAGGCTTTCGCTTACAAGAGTAAGAATAACCACATAGAGGTAGTCCAACACATGAAAAGCAAAGGTCACGTCAGCGTCAGATCTATTGACTTTGGCGTTGCCCGAGAACCGAGATTTCCCGGGCAATGCCACGCGAAAGCAAGAATGCTTGAGTTTTGAACCAGCAATCTTGACTAAAATATGTATAAATTTTGTATTTTCTTCATTGTCTTGACGTTTAATACAGTTTTTTTCCTCTTTTGTGGACCCCAATTTTGTGGGCATTTTCTTCATTTTAAGGGGTTTATGTGGGACACTTTTGCAAAGATGATGTTCCACTTTTGTGGACATTTTCCCTGGTGAAAAAAATTTAGAGGTAAAAACAGCGTATTTTTTCAAAAATCCTTTGTTTTTTCTAAGACAATGATGGCTTTTGAGGATCATTTAACCGACTTTAGTAAAATAAATAAGAAAGAAAATGCGTTTCAAGGATGAAATTTGCTATTTTTACGTAGAAACTAATGGGACCGAAAAATTTTAAGCCTCTACGGTGGGACATTTTTTTTGAGACTCTTGCCCACTTTTGTGGACATTTTTGAGAAAATTTGGGACAAAAAATGTCCACAAAAGAGGAAAATAACTGTATTTAAAAAAATTGCTTTCTGAAGGTTTGATCATTTGATTATTATAAACTTACATCGTAGAACATCATCTGCTACTGGCTCAACATCACAACCACCCTCATTTTTGCTAGACATTGCCCGGGCTAAAATTAGAAATTTTCTCTTTTAGATCTATTTGGGTCTGAGCTCGCGAGCGCGGAGCTCCGTTTATATGGAAGAAAAGGAAAATCGCGTGGCATTTCAAACACTCACAACCAATTACTAGCCTCGAGCAGAATAAGCGCAAATGCGCTAGTATTGATGCTTGTCAAAAAGGGATAAGAGGACTACTTGAAATTCAATAAAATTTTGATCAAGACCACTCCCGAATAAATAGTCATTTTTCCTAGAAAATCCCTTTTTACTAAAGAAAAAAGGGAAAGTTAGCAAATATTTGATAGCTTTGGGCGTAACATTGACTGGGCGTAGTACCCGGCGTACCATGTGAGTGACTATCAAAGAAGAACTCGACAAAGTTACTTCAAGAAAACAACTTGACCTCTAAAAAGGAAAGTTAAATGTGTTTGCACGTTTCACCTTTCATTATTTACATTAACACCTCATAATGTTTGATGATAATAGCAACTTGCAAAAAATAATTACAAGCATAAAATTGGCCTAAGATTCTTTACAAAACCACTTTGCGTATTAAATACGCGGTAATTTTGACATGTTAGCTAGCTGTATTTATAAAGATGGTGGAGCAATTGAGAAAAGGCGCTATCGCGCTTACTCCTTAAAACAAGCAGACATATTGACTGTATTCAAAAATGAAGAACTAGTTGTTTTATAAGTTTCTTCAAAAATTCAAAATGAAGTTTTTCATTTTTCTTTATTTCACAATTTTTTCTTTCGTCAAGGCCCAAATGTCTGAATCTTGGCTTCAGAAACTACTCAGAGATGCTGTCGAAACTTACTCAGGAATGATAGGAGACTATGCAGACTAAAAATCATTGTACAAATATTTTTTATGATTTAATCAATCTTATCTATTTGCTCAATTTAAGAGATGACGTCTAAGCAATTCATAAAATCTCAGTAAAGGGAAAATTTTATGAAGATAATCACTTGCTTATTTTTACGATTGGCGGAAACACTAAAAACAGATCACATACCTATGAGTGTTGCCTTGATCGTTATGAATATCAATTCAAATCCGTAAATATATGAACATTAATTCTTAAATGAATATGTTCCTAAATCATAGAAAGGCGTAGTTTATGAACGAAGACTGGGTGAAAAAATGGACCATCATTTTGGAGGTGAAAGAAGGAAACCCAAGTTAGCCCGTCTTATTTAACAGTCGTTTTTGAAAATAACTTCTAGCTCATCAGCGAAAAAGCCATGCACGCGTGTATCATGCTCTCATTATCTTCAACGCAGATATCACTATCAAAATTGACGTGAATACAGTAACCATGACACCAAATGTCTTCAAGACTGTATTGCAATCGCATTCAGATATTGTCTTTTCATTTATTTATCAGGTTCAGAAGGCTGCTGTATAAAAAATCCGCTTTCCCAAGTATAAAGTCCACTGGTTGTCTCCGTCGCGAATTTTGTCGAGTATGCAGCCGTGTTTTCAAATGTTTGACCGTTTATCGTCACTTTCGATGTAGGATCTTAATTGGTTCTGACAGCTCTATCAATATGTTATATGAAAAAATCAGTTTAGAAAAACTTTCAATAATCATTGTCGAAGTTTGAAACGCTGAAATAACTTTTACCTCTGCCGTGAGCTTTGAAAGCTTCTTCCTGTAGGTGAATATAGGATCGCTGGAAAATACTCGATCGTTGAACAAAGGTTCCAGCTATTCCGCGCTGCGAACTATATAAATCTAAACAATTATTATCCTACAATTCCGTTGTTCTACTTTTACCTTTCCCTTTCCTAGTTAGGACTCCTCCTGAGATAAGTAGATCGCCATTTGGTTTTCTGTAGTTCAAGTCTATAGCACTACTGTGAGAGCCAGCTCGAAGCATCGGATAATCAGAGGGCAAGACGACACTATGAAAGAGCCTTGGGGAGTTCGGTTTCTTATATTTCGGGACAGCTGTTTCGCCGAAAAGCTGCACTGTTGGAATCCAGCGCTTCTTCGCCTTGATCAAGTCTCGTCTGTCTCGAAGCAGAGGAATAGAATCGTTATAGTATGCTCCGTATCCAAAATATGCGAGTTTTTCTGGGTCTGGAGCGCAGAAACCAGCTTCAGTCTCTACGTTCCACGCAACAGTACTTTCTTCGAAATCAGTCAGATTCGCGGCGCCTTGATCAATTATTAGCTCTCTCATTTTCGCCTTTGGGCTGAAGCTTCTGTGGACCACAGTATAGTTGCTGAAGATTATCATATTTGAGAGACTGGCGATTCCATTTTGAAAGAAATACTCAGGCCTATGAATCGTCATGCCAGCAATAAGAACAGTATGAAAGGGCGGCAAATCTCCATGCGTTGATTCCAGTACTGGTAGAACTTCTGTAAGAGCTTCTGACATGCTCTCAACTGTGAGGGAACTTTTTGATTCTCGGATTGTATCGTAAATCTTTTGAATGTATTCTCTATCTGCCAGGGGTCCCATCACTTCGTCGATGTCTTCTGCGCTCGTCAAAGTTGCATCAACCAGCATTCTAACGTTTTTGCCATAGAGAGCAACTGCCACGCGGAATTCGAAATCAAGAAGGAGTGACATTCGCTTTTTATCGGATGAGTATACTGTCTTTTGATTTCAAAAATAAATGAGAAAATATATAACTTCCTAAAGCAAATTAAAAGCCTCCCTCGGGTGTTATAGAATCCGCTCTATCCAAGCCTGAAATATAAGCTGATATACAAATAATGGCAGAGTGTCGGCAAATGACTTCCCATATTTATCCATGTAAACGATAGACGCTACATCTACCAAAACGAAGAGAGATCTCTTCTCGCAAACTGTTAATAGGTTTAGCTTGTCGATCGCCTTTATGTTGAGTCTTGATAATGCGCCTTTATTCGTCTATGATTTCATAGCATCAGCCGTATTAGTATTTTGAACTCATGCCTGGGTTACATCGAAGTTATGGAGAATATGCCCCTAAAATGCGTCAGTTATAATTTCAAGGATTATATAAACCTGAGTTGTTCCCTTATTAAATGTCAGGTAGGCACGAAGCATGGTAATTGCGGACTCCTGTTTGACAGCATGGACCAGTTTATTTTGAGTTAAATCCCTCCAATCTTTAGAGCGGATTAGCAATCTTGTAAACTCACCTGAAACAAGTTTGCCTCGGAGACTAGGTAAGAATGACATAACAAAGGGTCTAACCGTCAAGGGAAAGGTTGACAAGGGTCGGTAAGAAAAGCACGAAGGTTGACGCAAAATGACGCAAATCTTAGACTCGCGGGCTAATTTGTTTTCCCAAACATGCATTCCCCTGAAGGAAGACGAATAACGTCAATTGCAGGTGATTATTTACGATAAAAAGGATGATTCTAGCCAGATAGACAATCACAAAATTATTTTTAACGATAACTAATTGATTTACGTAGACTAAGAGAGTCACGATATGACTGAGTTCTTTGTAAAGACTGAGTAGTAGTTTAAATTGTAGAATTTAGAAGTTTAATCATAAGATGAACGTCAAATGAAAGTGTCAGTTTCTCTTCAAAAGATATATTATCGGCTTGAATGACACAAAAGTCAAGTGCTTTTCAAGGCATTTTACGAATCCGTAACGACAAAGTCTCTGTCTTTCGTATGAATCCCCCTTGTAATTGGTGGTGCTGAGCATGCATTACAAGGTCCTTCTGCTTGAACATTTGAAAAAAGTATCAAGATTAAAAATTCTCGCATTTTTGAGGAAGTTTTGATTGCAAAGACTGCGCTTTCGTAATATTTGCTAAATGTGTCAGCCATTTTTCCGAGCAACTATTTATTTTACAGGGGTGTTAGTACAGGCAAAGAATGGCGATAATTGAATAGATAAGCAGAAAACTTCATAACATAAGAAAAGGCGAAACAGAATTTTAGAGAATTAGCTTTTTCCGTTTTCGCTTTTGAGCTGTAGGCTTTGTGTTACTGCGATCCTTTTTTGATCTTCTCTTCCTTGATTTTCATGAAGGCTTTGAGCATTCGGAGGTTTTTCGCGACAAATTCAGGCGAGTACTTTTCCAGCACTTCCTTGTCGAACTTCATTTCGTCGTCGTAATTGGTCTTGATGCGGAACTTTCCGTCAGGAAGCTCTTCCACAGTGAATTCAAGAGTCTTTTCTTTGGCGAGGTTGAAAAACATCATTTTCAAAAAGTCAATTTTGATATTTTTATTGAGGGTTTGGATGATTTTTCTTGTTTCTCGCATGGTTAGAAAAGCTGATTTTATAGAGCGAGTGGCGCTACAAAGCTGGTGATAAGGAAGTCGACAGACCTCCCTCTGACTCCTACCTTTTCATCTCGCGCGGAATTTCGGACCGTTCTCATCGACCATGTGAGAATTCAATGTTTTTGGAATCAGTATTTCTATCAAAGAAGCCAGGCGCCACTACGGATCTCGACTATCAGTAGGTCATTCTCACGATTTTGACGTCATGAACTCCTACTTTGGTTCATTTACATTAAAATGCTTGATTTGAATAACTTGAATTCAATTTTATTCGACAAGTAAATGCAGTAAACTAGTCGACCAGCACCCAAAATGAAACTTCGTCAAGTTCAATGTTCTGGGTCACATAAATTCCTCCTTGCAAAATCTCATTTGTGAAGTAATTCATCCAAATATTCGCTCTTCCGGGGAGATAAATTTGTCTCTGTCGTTGATTTCGCTCTGTTATTGGTGCGACGAGGTACTTTTCGCCAATTATAAACTGCTGGTTCTCCCTATAAATTGCGGGGGATAGAATTTCACTTTCTGAAGCTAGATAAGATGTCTTTTACTAGGGTCATTATACTGGCAAATATTTTGCTTTTTTTGTAGAATCAAATGAGCCTTTCCGGAGCAATTGGTAAAATATCAGAGCCGTTGATCAATTTTCTCCAAATATCTTCGTAAATTGGAGCAATGACATCATGATGAAAATCCGTCCAGTACTTACAGATCCTTCTTGTTTCCTCGGATTCATATTGCCAGGGTGCCAGAGAAAACTAATCACTTGACTATGATCATCAAACAAAAAAGGGTTGTCACTTCCAACCTTTCGGGATCCCGAATGTTTCGGGATTTCCCGAATGTTTCGGGATTACTCCCGAATCTTTCGGGATTTCCCGAACCTTTCGGGATCGCCCGAATCTTTCGGGAGTTTTGTTGAGGATAACGTTAAAAAAAAGTGGCATAAGTGCCTAATTAAAGCATTTCACTAATCAAAAAGATAACTCTATCTGCCTTCGTCGAATTCGATGGTCTAAGAAGGCCAGACCTTTTATAAATGTTGAATTTGTAGTCAAAGAGAATGTGTGCGCTCCGCGCCTGTTTTATAGAGAACTTTATGAGATATAGATCTATTTTTTCGAGTTAATTTTCCGCCTCCATTTGCTTCAATAAAGATGTACTTTGACGTTAATGTTTGGCTTTAAATATTTTCTTGGACAAAAATTATTGAAAATCATCCCCGAAAGGTTCGAAGACAAAAAGGCCCTTTTTTACTGCGAACGTTTCGGGAAATCCCGAAACATTCGGGATCCCGAAAGGTTGGAAGATTCAACCCAAAAAAAGCACCTGTATTGCTGGCATGAATGCAGTAAGCTCAATCCATCGAATGTAAAGTTCTTCTTCAGGGACATAAGTGCATCCAAAACACTCTTCATTCGCGTTTCCCCCAACCATATCCGGCAGAATATAGTGATAACCCAGCAGGGAAGCGGTTATAAGATGTGGAATGAGACTTTGGAGTCCATTTTCGGTTCCCCAAACTGAGTCTTTGTCCATCATTCGCAACTAGAAAAACAAAACTTTCAAATATATGCTTACAGCTCTTACCCAAAGAGGATGGTGTTGGCCTGCCCAAGAAGATCTGATCTCAACACTCTCATAAGAGCTTTTGCTGATGCTGTTTATGTAAGCTGATGTCCAGTCTACCGATCTTGAAACATTTCCGTTGGTAATAAAATCACTTGGCATGTAAGTCGTTTCTCCAGCGTCGAATTTGAACCCATCAAAATCATTACTCTCCATAAAGACTCGCAGATCAGAATGGAACGCATCAGAACATTCATCAGATGTAAAATCGACCATGCCACCAAGGCCATCCCACCATGGGATGATTTCGAAGACCTCACCATTTCTATCGATTCCTTTCACAAAGCAGTTATTATCGGAGAACTCGTCGAAATTAGTCGAAAAAATATTGATAAACGGTGTGATCCAAATGGTCACTCTGCTACCATATTCATGGATTCTACTGATCAGGTCGGTCATATTCGGAAATTTTTCTTTGTCGAAAGAATGATCGCTAAAACAAGTTTCAATAATTATCGAAAATGCATTGAAAATCTACCCGTAGTGCTCTTCGTAGCCATCATCAATCTCAAAATTACTGGGCAAGTATCCGTTTGAAACAATATCCTCAAAATACTCCAGGAGTTTATCCTGAGTAATATTTCTTTTAAAAATTGCCCACGTAGAGAAAATCGGCTTGTAGAGAATTTCCATATCCGGAAGACCAACTGGGCGAGAAGTCTCCGCGAGAAAGTTTTTTTGCAATTCAATGGCGGTATCTTTGATGGAGATTTTATAAAGAAGAGTTTCCATCGTTGGTCTTGGAGTTTTTCGAAGCTCAGAATTTTCGAAGTAGAAACTGAGGCAGAATTCATTTGCTTCTCGCACTTTAACTTCATTGACGAGAGGAATGATTCGATCTGGGTCGACTGAGATCGAATACGAACCAACAGCTGATTGAGTTATCCAGTAAGGATGAAGAATATTTCCATTTACTTCGCGCCACCGAGTGGTATCTTTGGGAGCAAAGGCGGCCTTGTGCATGATATCATATTCGGAAACTCCACCAGGCATGCTTTTATATGGTTAAAACGAATCTTAGAAAAAAACGAATAAGAATTCCTTTAGGATTACATTTTCGGTGCACGATCAAACTTGGTTAACCTTTTTGAATGATGTCGACCCTCCCCAAGTGTACGCATCGTGAGAAGGAATAAAACAATTCGTCACAATTGAATCTTCCCAAACTGCTTCTTTTTCTGATTTGAACTCGAAAGAAAAGTCGCTTTCTGACAGGCGGGTCACATGAGCAGATGATGTTCTAGTGCCATAAAGGTCAATGAAGGTGTAAGACGTCGTATTCCCATTCTGGACAATCTCAGGGTCAACGAACTGTTGAAAGTTTGTCAGGATCCTGAAGACACTGTTGTCCTTGTATCTTGCTTCAAATGTTATAAAATGGGTGACTGATTCAATCAGGTTGATTTCTGCTATCTCTTGTGATGATATCAGAGAGAAGAAATAAAAAAGAAAGATCATTTTTTAGAACTCAATACTTACCGGCTGCACTAAGAAATGCGATTGCAAATAGATTTGCATGGCAGTAAAAACGAGCAAAGATTAACTCCCTTGATTTTTCTGTCCCTACAAGCGGAATCAGCAATAACCAGTTTTCTCCCCAAAATAAGCTCATCAAATATGTTTTTATAAGAAATGGTAGGAATGTTTACGCGCCTTCATTTACCTCAGATGTTTGTCATTATCATTATCGTTTCCATCGATACCGAAATCTCAAGAAGAAAACAAAATGCATTTATTGGGCTAACCGGAACAAATTTAACTCACATTCAGAATTCTAAAGTCTGACTTTCAGACTCTATTTTAACCATGGAAAGAGTTTCAAAAACGAAATAAAAAGATTAAATTGAATATAAAAAGAGAACTCTCTAAAGCTGCTCCAATAGTTCCAGTTCAGGTTCCTCCTGATCCTAATCAAATTCAGCCTCCAGCTCAACCTATTCAAGTCCAACCAGTCGTTCCTCCTGTTCAAGTTCAATCAGGAACTGTTCCTATTCAACCAGTTCCTGCACCGGCCCCTGTCCCTGTTCAGCAACCCCCGTATTACCAGCAGGTTATAAAAATGCTTATTTCTGGTCATTGATTTTATTGAAGCCTCAACTGGTTCAACCGACTCCAACTCAGGCTCAACCAGGGCAAATACCGGTCACTGCTCAACCACCGCCGTATACTCCACAGGTGTGTTCAGTAAACCTAGAAGCTAGATTCTATCCTACAGTGAAACCCCAACTTAAGGCCACTTTTTGGATGACAGCTAATTTGAAAAGTGGCCTTAAGTTGGGTGATTCTCCAACTAAGTTGGATGACGCTAAAATTTTTCTATTTCTGGAGCAAGGGACTGAATCTGGCCTCGGAATCCTGTACACAGGAACAGGGATTTTATTTTTGGCCCATCTGCGAAACAGGAAACAGGATAGGATAAAAAACACAGGAACAGGTCCTGTTTTATGTTTCACAGGCTTTGCAGGCCCGTAAACTCAAATTTCACGGTTTTAATTTTTCCTTGATGAATCAAAATTTAGAATTTTTTTCTCGTTATTATCATGTCTACAGACAGTTACAACTATAAAAGCTTCTTTATAACACATTTGAAAGAAATTCCAAGAAAATTTTTACGAAAAATATCTTATCCTTCCGATTTCTCGCCTGTTTTCCTGCGATTTACTTACGGTGAATAAAAATTGAAAAAATGTGGCCTAAAGTTGGATTTTTTTTGGATGACAGATTTCGGGGGTTTTTCAAAAAAGTGGCCTTAAGTTGCTGGGCCTTAAGTTGGGGTTTCACTGTATTTATGTTTATAGCCTGCTCAAAATCAGAGTCAAGTTGCTCAATATCCCCCGCCAGCTCAACCAGCCCCTGGTGCTCCGCCACCAACAAATTACAACAACCAACAAACAACGCAGCAAATAAATGTTCACCTTCCACCAGCGGCAGCTCCTGCTCCACCTCCAGTTGTGCCAGTATTAACTCAACCCGTCGGCTTTATGCAAGGACGATGGACAAGAAGCATGGGAAGCGTTTGTTGCGATGGCAAAACATGCTATGCTATTTTGTAAGCCTAACTTTCATCAAAAATTCTAACGCGTAATTATAAGTTGCACGCCCTGTGCACGAGGAGAGTCCTCAGAAAAGATGGGAGGGGGCTACTGCTTTGGCTTCATTATGCAATTGTTCTGCCCCTGCATTTCATGCTGCATGCTCTGTGACGAGCGGAATCGAATTCGCGCAAGATATCACATCCCTGACACTGACTGCTGCTGCACTTGCTGCGCAGTTTGCTGGTGCGAGCCCTGTGTCCTGTCGCAACATCTATATCAGCTGGAAGGTATCCGATTCTTCTGACAATAATATAAATATTGTCAATAAACAAAGCGCTTTGAATTAGTATTTTTTTATTTTTTTTTTGTACTTTTTAAATCTCTGAGGCAGTAAGAAATTATACAATCATAAGTAAGAAGGCAGTGCGATTGTTTTAAAATATAAACAGAAAGATATGGTATTTGCAGCCTTAATTTTACACAATTTAGTCCTCTTCCTCAGTTTCGTAGTCGCTTTCTTCATCGATGATCACTTCGTTGGTCGATTGCACGACTTGCGAGCCCTGATGAAATTTGACGTTGTTTTTGTTCTCGCAAGGATGTTTCCATTCGGTGTATCCGGCAAGCATCACTTTGTGGAGACGTTCCTTCCAGTTTGGTAGGCCATCATCAGAAGAGGGCATTGGCCAGATTTTCTTTCTTCTGAGGACTTTTCTGATTTGGTCGCTGTCAATTCCAACCAGGTTCTCTAAAAGCATAAATAAGCATGAGTATTTTATAAAGAAAAGTTTACCTTGTCCTTCGGCAGACCAGCAAGTATCATCAACTTTCCACTTTATCCAAATGCGATGATGATCGTCGGACTTGATGTAGAATTCAGTTTTCTTTTGTCCAGTCGATGTCGTGATCTGCTTCTGACCCCATTCAAGGAAAATCGGCCCGAGATACTAAATAAACAAGTTAAAAAAATAACTAAAAACAAAATCTTACCTCAACTTCCCACTCGATTTCGGGATCATGATCCCAGATTGGAGCGTCGTCTTGAAATGATGGCTTCTCACTTTCACGAGATTGTTTTATTGCCGGCTTCATGGGTGTTTTCTTAGGTCGTTTCTCTTCTTTGCGGCGTTGCTGCTTGCTCTGTCTTCGTTCTTTTAAGTAGTTCTTGGATTTCTCTTGATTCTGACGGAAGCGGTGTTCCTGCTCCAGTAATTGTTGTTTTCTCTCCTCCAGTGCCTTCCGTTTCATCTCCTTTTGCTTTTGGACTCGTCGTTCTTGCTCTCTTTGTTCTTCCTCCCTTCGTCGTCGCTCCTTTCGCTCTTGCTTCAACCTCATCTTTTCTTCCAGCGCAGCTGAAGAAAGAACTTGATGATGTTTCGTCTTGCTCTTCTTTCGTTCTTTGGGATCACTTTCTTCCAATTTGCGTTTCTTTGTCTTCAGTGGCATTGGGTTAAAAAGGTCAATCATCTTGAACTTGTTTTGGCTTGTGGGTTTCATTTCGAAATGCTGTATTTTTATGCGTTTGTGATTTTATGGGTAGTGATTTGATTTCCCCTCCAGCCAATTTTATGCCTTTCCTGGGGCGCCTCTAGGGGCGGTCTAATGCGCGCGAAATTTGGTTTGTCCCCCAGCGTGGAAACCAGCGCAGCGGGATATTTTCTCTCACCACCTGGCAGGATACGAACGCTTAGTTTACCTTCCTCTCGTTATGATTCTTTTACAGGCCATATCTGTCAAAAGTTGACGAGCGCAGAATTGAAACTGCTGCACATGTCTCAGGCACTTGTAAGACAACTTCAAATTTGAAAAAAGAATCAGAAGAGCTCTCGAAGAGTTTTTTACGCTAATCACTTCTCTTGATTGTCATTTTTTCAAACCAAAAGCAGTGTACGAAATAACAAAAGTATTATGCCCACAGCAACTTTTTATATCTTGACTTGTCCCAAAAAAAGGAGGACATTTGTCTGGATGCATTGTGAACCAGTGAGGCGCAAAAGCCTTATTGCCTATACGATAAGCAAACTGCTTTTTACTAATAATAACAATGAAATCTGGGATCATATTAGCACTAAGCTCAAGGCTGAACTTTGCATGAACTTGATCAATCCCTAATTTGGCATTTTACGGCACTCGGCAGTTACGTTCAAGATTTTCCCTTTTTGGCAAAATTTCTCCCCCATCTATTTTCGAAATTTCCAGCAGCCGGGCGGGTGGCTTCAGATCTTTGCATGGGACCGAAATCGAAGTTCTGCCAAATGGTTGGTAACTAGACAGGTGTTCAAGCCAAACGTATCCACAAAATACGCAGATGCTTTCCAACTGCCAGATAGAAATACTCCGCAGCCATAAATATTCAAAATTTATTGGAAATAAATAAGTGGGCATCAGGTAGTTGACAGTTTATGTACAGTAGAATTCTATAATTGATGTGATGGACATTTTGTCAAGAATGGAGATGTTTTTTTCAAACGATTCGTTTGATTGAGGACGATTTTGCCTCAGCTGTGAGAGAAGTCGAGTTCGTGTTCATACTATTGCAGTGATTGATGCTACGAGAGAGTTCATTCTACTATCTCATGCGAATCAAGTCTGATGGAATCAACAACGATTGTTCTCGTTGATGCTCGTCTAAGGGTATCTCAAGGATTCTCGAGAATTCCTTCTCAAATATAAGCACAAATCGGTTGATATAAATTAAAATGATTTTAGGTGTTTGATTCTCGGACTGAATTTCGTTCGAGTCCGAGCGATGTAAGCTCAGTGTCGTTCTGTGAACTCATCCTACTGTTGACTATTAACTGTGGTGCTTGAGCTGGCGGTGTAAGAAGTTTCTGTTTCTCCGACTTTTGCCTCAGCCAGAAGGACTTGCCCCCCGAAAAACCATCTCGGAAGGGGCGAAGCGTGAAGGCGTAAAGAATGGGATTTAGCGCCGAGTTCGAATATGCTAAAAAGGTCGCGTGAGTGAACTCGTCTTCCTTTGATCTTTACCGAGAAAGATTGCATACGGCATGGCTTTGCGAAAAAACCCATGCGCGCTATCGCTCATGTAAATTACGTCGAGAAATCCACCTAACGCCGACTGAAGCGACAAAGCCTGGAACGGCAACCAGCTAAATATGGATAGTGTTAAGCTCGAACTTGAAAGACTGAGAATCTCACCAAATTATAAAAGTAAGCACGATGAGAAATGCCAGTTTAGTTGCGCGGGATTTCCCATCTTTGCTGCCGATTAGCTTCCATTGAACAGTGTAAAGTATGGCGGCATACGAATAGAGGATGATGCAGATCGGCCCAAAGAAGCCGAAGACACATTTTGTCAACTCGTACATCCCCATCTGAAAGAATCGTTGATTGACAGCATCGACAAATTGACTTTGTCAATGTTCGTCATTACAGTTTGAATTAATGATAACTGAACCAATCTTACCAAATTGTACCAGCGCGTGATCGATTCCTCCGAGCTAGAATTCTTTGGGAAGCTCATGCCGCAAATCGTATGATTGAACATTGGCCACGTGTCTGTTGAATAAATCGCTTCCGGAAGAGCCATGGCAAGTGAGGAGCACCAGATTGCAATGCTTGTTACAAAAATTCCTCTTGCTTTTCGAATCCACAGAGAGGACGTCGGTCTTGTTACTGCTATCATTCGATCGACAGACAATGCGGTTAGGAAGAAAATCGAGCTAGGGAGAAGATATTAATTGCTTATTGTCAGATATTGCATCTTTTAGGTCTTTAAATCTGCAATAACGACAACAAAAAGTCATACTCTACTACCTATAGACGTTATTTACTGTGATATAGTACCTGTACATATTGACCTTGGAGACAAAACGACATATTTTGCACCAGTATGTCCCAAAAATCCAGACGTGTTTGTGGAAATAATCGACAGCTAAATGCATTTTAAGGTCTCTTGCTGTCTTATTAAACGCCAAAAAATCACGCAAAATAGCAGCTTGGAAAATATCCTGTCTTTCTGTGGATTCTTTTCACAAATTCAGAATGAGAACATAGCTTACCAAAGAATGGAAGGGTGCAGACAAATATCAAATCTGTTATTGCCAAGTGCCAAATATATTTGTTACTTTCGCTTTGCTTTTGTGGGGGATGCCGAGCGATGTTAGAGGAGAAAACTTGCTAGCGAACATTTAAAAAGCATCCGAGAATCTCAAGTGCTTCCTTGTTCTCTATTTGCCAAGTTGTTTAACAACATCTACTTGAAATCCCTTTCCTGGCGTAATTTCTTATTACTTTTGAAACCATAAATAACAATAATGTTTCCAACAGCTCCAACAGTAAAGATAATCATATACAGCGCTCCGACAAGATTGAAGAACCTAAAGAACTGTTAGCTTTCTTCTTTTTAAATTTCTCTATACAGTGTGTTGTTGTAAAGCGGTTCAATCATGTTTGAGCATGGAAAAACGGGGAGTCAGAGCTGATCAGCTATGTTTCTTCTGACAGGTTGAAAGAAATCAGATTATCTCTTGATTAGCCCTATTCTACTTGTTCGCTTGTCCGTTTGACAAAGCGCAGAATGTCGGCGGAATTATAAATCAAAATGCTCTGCCACTCAAAATTATCATCACAAAAGTAGTTGTGCCGCCATTAAAATTCTAATTCAGCCCCCTCTCTTATGTCGAAGATCGACGGCATCACTGATTAGCCTGTCATCTCGAACCTTTCTAATAATAATACTTAAACTCGACGCTACGTAAACTGGCTATTTTTGAGGGCAAAAATTCTATTTATACTCTTTGCAACTGAATAAAATATAGAATAAACGAAAGATGCCTCTTTTGAGCTGATTAATGCATCATATTAGCATGAACTAGATATGAATTCGGAGTATTTCTGACGTAGCTTTATACTGCTAACCAGGTTAATTACTGTATGTTGCAGGCTAACAGTCTCTCAAAGGCGGGGAAATAAAAGATAATCCGGGTCAGTTTTCGCAAGTAAAATCATACGATAAGAAATCAAGGCTAAAGAAGAGGTAAACTTGATTTCTCTCCGAAAATGAAAGTGAGGTTTGAGGGTGGAAAACTTGACGGCAACGAAAAAACTGGGACAATAAGTAATTATTATTAACGAAGACGCCTGTCAGCCGCGATGTTCTCAATGTGTCAAGTTTATCAAAACAATAATTATTCAGTTAATTAATAAACTTGCTCGTTAATGATGATCTTAGAAATCGACTTGTTCAAATTCGACTTACCATTCAGGGTGGAGCTTTTGAAACGTCTTTGTTGTTGAATTCTGAAGTTCTCCGTCAATTTCAGTCATCGAGCAGTCGTCATTCTGAACATGCACTTAGTTTTATTAAATCACTTTTCTCGCACGGTCAAGCCTGGAAGTGGCACGAGCATAATTTGATATCAAGGAGGACAATCCCCAGACAAAAGCGCGCGTCTGGATTTCAAAAACATCTCCTGTCAAGCGGAGAGGGAAATCTACCCTTGTCACTCATAAAAGCCCTTTTCAAAAGAACAGCTTCAAGCCCAGTTTAATCTTTTGTGTCCAAAAGCATCACTGTATTTTGGTATAAAATATTTAATCACTGTTGGACAAAAAAGACCTTCAAAAATATGTTTTCACGTGGCAAAAAAATTGATTGGAGTTCGTAAAATTTCACCATGAAAATTCCTCATTTATGAATTAGCGATTATCCAATATAACGGATTTTACCCGTAAAAATGGGGATTTCATAAGAGTAAAATACGAACATGGCAATATTCATCCATCTTAGTCCCCGTTCCGTCGACTTCAAAATCGAGCAGCTGAACGTATGTCTCTAGTCTGTTGAGAGTTATCACTCGCATTTGAAATCGGTTTCTCACTGTATCGAATAAAAAATTAATTTTTAATGAAGCCAGCGCGAACAAGAATTCGCAAACAAGCACGCGTTCACATAACCAGCTATGATATTTGATGCATTTGGGGACTCTGCGCAGTCGACCCTTTTTTAATTTGAATTTCACGCGGATCGCTGCTTGGGCAGCCATCAGAGCTCTCTGAGCTATTAACTTTATGCATTTTAAATAAGACAATAATTCCTTGTGTATCCACAGGCTCTCTTTCTCGCGCATCAGATCAAAGAGCGAATTAATTATTTTCGACTTCCAGCTTCTTTTTTGGGGCGCAAGTTGTCTCGCAAAGGGTTGAGCTGTTTTTCTTGGCGAACTTATTGCGTTAATTTTTAGTGAAATTCAAATTGCAAATAAAACAGTTCAAATTTGAGTCATTTTAATAAAAATCACGGACCAAGACTTCTGCAGCCTTCTCTAATAATAAAATCTGGATTTATTCCAATCAAACGTAGGCCAATCAGAATTGGCACTTTTTATGTAACTTCTAAAACTGTGGGAAAGAAATTGAAAAGACACGGCCAATGAAGCTCTCAGGCTTTCCTCGTGCATCACAAAAGTTGACTTGTCCAATTAGTTAATCCAAAAATAAGGAACTCAAGGGAATGATAACTCTTTCGCATAAAAAAAAACTCAGCATCTCATTAGGTTAAAAACTTCCTCTTCAAAGTGTCTGTAGGTTTTGAGCAGACAATGGCTTATCCTCGGTCATTTTCGTGGATAAAAGAGCTGTTTATTTGAACGCAAAATTGAAGGACTTTTTGAAGGTCAATAAGAGTCTCTTTAATTGACGGCTCTAACCGTTCATCGCTGAAGCAATTCCCGGAGTCTCATGATCGCAAATAAAGTTATAATTTATAACTTATAAACAAGCTAAAGGGGTAAGCTGAAGGATTTAACTAAGGGTTAACTTTACCATCATTGCACACGGATTCGGATGCGCCATTCTGTCTCTTATTTTCTTATTTTGGAAATCTGTTTTCGTGTCTCGTTGAAATGGTAGTTTATATTTTCAGAAAAAAGGGGATGATCAATTTTAATAGGATTAGGGAGAAAGAGGAACGAAATCTATTTCCTGAGTAGAAATAAATTCGATCGAACTGTCTAATTTGGAGCAGTCCGTAAATGTTAATGTTCCACCTTTTCGCCCTGTTCGGTCCCGGACTCACATGGCAAATGACTGGGTGATACTGTAAGCCCATCAAATATTTAAAAGGGGAAAGTACTGAACTTGCTTGAACAGAATTTAAAAGATATTTTGGCCTGATTTCGATGAAGAAACCATGATCGAAAATTGTAATGGAAGTTCATTAAAATTATTGGCTGTCTTAGAGACAGAACGCTGTAAGCATAACGTGGAATCACGTGCTATTGAAGATCCTTCCAGAATCTGAAAATTTAATTATTCACATGACTCTGTTTTTTGAACAACCCGTTTGGCAATAAACCAAAGTTAACTCGATAAAAACCATGGGACCAATTGCTGCATCATTCTCTTTGGAAAAATTTTCAAGGAACTCGTGTTTTCCCTAACTTACCGTTCTACAGCTCTTTTAATTTCTTCTTTTTACCCTGAACTTAGCGATCTCCCCTTTCTTTTTGCGACTTCCTGGTTGACTTCACTCTCTTTTCATTGAAAAATCAGTAAAGCTCCTCTTTGTACTATTTTTCTCGCTGGCGAATCTCGATCACGGCTTTAGAATTTGTGTTTGCGGCTGGCAATAAACTTCCAGTAACCACCGATCGGCAAATATTGACGCCCCTGGTTTGAAATTCTCTAGCTCTAGTTTTCAGTAACCATCTGTTTTAGAGAGCTTTCGAAACAATCAATTTAGAACATTTTAACGTAAAAAATGTTTCAGAGGTTTCAGAGGAAGTTTTTTCTCATAGCTTGCCTTTAGGTCATGCTGCTTGATCTGCAAAAAAGGGATGAAAAAGTTAACCTTGGTCACGATGCTTTGATGGTGGATCTATCTGAAATCAATTTTTACACGATTGTGAAAAGACCTTTATCTGATTCCTGCCAAGTGTAGTGCATGTTAATTTCCTGTCAGAATATAAAACCAGGCTTATTTTTCCCACTTTCCAACCTTTATAAAAGACAGTTATGCCAGCCCTTTATTTTTAAAGAGCTAGTAATGATGAAAGTATTTTGTTTGGGCGTACCTAGTTCAAGTTTATTTGATTTCTTAGACGTCTACAAGTTCGACTGGGCAACCGAAAAAGTTCATGAACTGAATCTAGGCTAATTGGGGAGACGATCTTGTCCTTAAATATCATTAACCCAATTTAAAAAAAGGTTGCTATGCAAAGAGCTCAAAATTTGAAATGCCTGGCATCTGCTATCCAAAACTGGGAACGTATATAATTTTCAACCATAAAAATCGATATCCAAAGTCATCCAAAAATCTGTAGGGTCTTGAATAAAGACTTATACAGATAATGCTCTAGTAGAATATTCTTCAAAAAGTTTATTTTTTCAACGATGTAAACACTCAAGAACATTATCGAGGTTTGCGCAAGTCGGTTCATCACTACTTTTGCTACATTTCCGTGATTTCTTTGGTTTTGTGGGCACAAGTTCTTTTCTTGTAAATTTGGACTTTTTTTATGAATACATGGGGAAATGGAATTGTTGAAAAGTTTGGTTAATAGTTTCGTTTTTCGGAAGTTTTCTGATGGTCTGAGTGCGCTGCAGGTCGGTACAAATGGAAAAAGAATCAAACGAATTGGGTTAAATACAGATTTATTCGCGAAGGAAATATTGTATAAGCTAGACGAAGCAAAATGAGATATTTCGAGTTTAAAAAAAGAAGGTGAATGGCAAGGTATATTTTCAATTCGATGGCAAAACTCTGAAACTAGAGGGAACAACGACTTGTGTTTAAAATTTTGGAACCATCGTTTTCCGTTTTTTATATAAGGCGGGTGCAAATTAGAGAGGAAAAAAGTAATAATAAAACGCAACTAACATTTTTACACATTTTTGAATTTTGTTAATCTCACCCTCGGCCATTCGATAAGAGAGTGAACGCAATGGAATGAAGCTTGGGTAGGACGATAATTAAACTTTCAGGAAACTGATTTTAGGGGTGCGCCTGGTTAGAGGGAGTGTCGCTAAAAATCCAAATTTTTTGTAAGTGATCACTTTTCAGTGCTTGTTTTTTCAATAAATCAGGAGGAGATACATGGCTGACTCAGTCGTCTTTTCTTTCTTGAGATATTAAATTGTGATACTGAGTGATTTTGGTTTTGGACTTTTAGGACAAAATTACACGTACTCGGATGGCTCGGCAGCGGGATCAGCGACATCGTCGACGACCTCGTCATCAGATACTCCGTAATCTTCTTCATCTGACGCGAGCTCCTCGACTTCTTCGTCTTGCTGTTCCACCTAAACCCAAACAATCACGAATCAAAAATTTTCAAAATAAAACTCACGGGAACATAGACTGCGTCAGGATTGAGCCAAGGGTGCATTAAACATTCGGCGGCAGTTGCTCGTCTTGAGCAGTCTGCCTTCAGCATCGGCAGGAGAAAGCTAGCCAGCTCTTCGGCCTCAGTCTCGTCCCATTCATATTTTTCGACCAAGACATCCTTCAGTGGCCATGGCTTGAGTTTGCTGATTCGCCGTAAGGTTCCGTCTTTTTTGAAGAACTCTTGAAAATGCCAATTGAAAAAAGCGGGGAAGAAGATGAAAAGTGTTACCTCGACTGTACTTTCCGCTGAGAACGATTCTTTTGGGCAGGGTGCCGATGAGCTCGGTGATGAGTGCAATGTGATCCTCGTCTCTGCTCCAGTTGTCGCCACTGTGAGGGTCGAAGAGGTAGTCGCCAGTCAGCAATTCGAAGGCCATGCACGCCGTAGACCAAATATCTGCGGAGCAATCGTAGCCAGCCCCGATAAGCACTTCCAGCGAGCGATACTGAAACCAATCATCAAATAACTTTGAAAAACAAGAGACGAACCTGTCGCGTTTGAATATCATCTGTAAAGTGACGATTGGTCCAGCAAGCGTTTCCGAGATCAGCGATTTTAGCGACGAATTTGTCCGCGTTTGCCTTAAAAAATGCTTCATAAAAAGGTTGATGATAAATCTTACAGGATCAAGGAGATCGATGAGCAAATCGTTGGCGGTCTTGTTTCGCCACTCTTCGGAAGCGTTGCTAGTCGCGGTATCGTGTCTTTGGCGCATGAAATCGCCATTTTGATAGACAGGCGTTTCTGCGGGAGTCTTCTCGATACTGATAGGCGTAGTTTCTACCGTCTTATCATCTGGTGCTCCATCCTTTTTGTCGCCGTCTTCCCCGTTCTTGCAAAAAGTTACTCGATTTTCTATAAGAAGGAAAGCTTACCAGACGCTCCTCTCCGTTGGGCAGCTCGTTGTCCTTCTCAATCATCTGTTCCTCAACCTTTTTCAAAAGTGCCGCCTGCTTCTTCGCTTTCTGTTTCAGTTTTTTCTTCGCATTCTTTGACAGAGGCTTGGGCGGTGCAGTTGGAGCAGTTGAAACATGGCTGCCGGCCGGCGGAGCACTTCCATTTTGCTGCCAATCGTGAGCGTCTGCTGCGATTCTAAGGCGAAAATTAAAAATCAAATAGAGACCTATTTTATTACCTTCGGATATAATCGTCACTTACACAGAGGAGAATGTTCTCGGGCTTGATGTCTGTGTGGATGATCTTGCAAGTCTCGTGCATGTACTTGAGTCCTTCAAGAGTTTGTCGAATGATGGATTTCACGCAACCAACAGGGAGTCCTCGGTAATCAGACTAAAATAAGAACGTAAATAGCGTCACGAAAAGAGCTAAAACTAACCTTGATGATCCACTTGAGGAGATGATGACCTAGAACTTCGAAGACCATGACGACATGTGTTCCATTGACTCCATGAATTTTGAAATCATCGAGCAGTTGGACGCACTTCTCTCTGAAGGGATCTTCTGGGTCGCCCTCGCGCACGCATTTCAACAGCTTGATTTCGTCCACAGCCGTGTCTGTATAATGCTCTGCCGATTTGACGACTACGCAGGGGGTTATTTTTGATCATATAGAGTGTCTGTACCTTTGAGGGCGACAAACCTTCGTTCAGTTAGATCCCAGCAGAGCCAGACGGTGGAGAAGTGGCCCCAGCCAAGCTTTCGAATCACATGGTAGCGGTTGTTGTAAAGATCACCAACTTTGACGGGGTGATAACCGCCCTAAATTAACGTGTTGAAAATTCAATAAAATCTGCGCTCGAAAAATTACCTTCTTGTAGTCCTTTGGATTCTCTTGCTCGTCATCGTCCGAGCCGAGAATTTCCTCCCCGTCCAAATCTCCAGCCGAGTCCGTATCGTTGTATTCCTCCTCGGGCTCTTCCTCGTGGTACTCCTTCTTTTTCTCTTCGTCTTTTATCTTCTGTGGCTGTTGAGAGTTGCGAGAGAGAGCATTTTTAAAAAGAGAGCTAAAATATTCTTCCGTCATCATTCTTTTCTTATAAGACTGTAAAAGACTGTACCCTGCTGATCCAATAATGTTTTCAATCACTCTCGCAAAGTGTCTCTCATCCCTCATCGCTACAGAGAGCGTGGTAATAACACCAACGACTCTGTAGACAAGCTCAATAAACATAACTAGAAAAAATCGAAGAAAAAACAAGGAAAGTCAATTTTCAATCAGGTCAATTAACAAAGCTGGGCTGAAAAATACACCTAGCCCAATTTTCTAGCTGTTGGTGGCATCACGACCTGTCTATAAATGTCACAGAATACGTGATAAGCGCCCTGTATTGAGACTAGTGTGATAGATCTTAAGCTTGAGCCTTTTAGATCAATCTTTCAAAGTTGAAGCTCAATGTTGAATACAAAAAAGACAATAAAAATGGAGGATTGATTGATGACGTGAGAGAGCATGGGCCAGAGAGATGGGTTATTTGGACGCATCAAAAATTCATGAACGAAAAATATTGCGGGACTCTCACGTGAGGAACTTTAACTGTCTCCCTGTCTGTAACTCAATTTCCTTTTCCGTTCGTTTCTTAGTCGCGGGCTTCTTTGGCTTCGTTTTTCGCTTTTTACGCGCCTGGATGGCCATCACTTTCCGCGAACTCATTCTCTACGACGTCGAGAATCTAGAATTCTAGCAATAGTAATCTTATAATCTTTTCAATAAAACTTGGCACGGTGCAGTTTTACATAAGAATTTACACACGATAGAGAGTCACAAGGAAGTCACAAGATGCTGCTGATGTTAGTATGATCGGTCTGAAAACGAGCTGTTTTTAGGACTAGAGAAAGATCAGATAGGCTCATTTTATTACTGGCATTGAAAATCAAATCGCAAAAAAAGCCTTATCACCTTTTTATCTCTTTACGATAACTAAAATAGAATAGAGGGAAATTGAAGTTTTCGACCCGAAAAAGCTGTTTTCGCGCATCTGTATCAATTGAAGCTAATTTCTGGAAGCACGAAGTCAAGGATGAACAAGTAATCTCTGGGGATAAAAGTACTAATTCCGAAAAATCAATTGTCAAAGTGTTGAAAATCCTGGTTGAAGTGAAATGACTCATCTTGTCTCCAAGAATCGATTGGCCGGCGAGTGTCGCTTTGGGAAGATTTCTGATTTTCAGAATTCCTCTGAAAATTTTACTCTTCGCACTTTTTCTGAAGCATAAGCATATTTTCAGGGGCAGCGCGGCGGGGGATGAAAAATGATTAATTCGCTGCAGCTTATCTCATCCTTTTCGCAACAACTCATTTTCAAATTTGTAAGAATGATAATTGAAGAAGTGAAGAAATTCTCTCAGAAGCAACAACGACTAAAATTAGCGCTGGAGCTTCAAGGCTCAATTTTATTCTCTCTGGGCGACCATTTATAGCCATAAAGTTTCAAATCTTCTGCATAAAATTCGGCAATTTTCTCTCGCTGCGAGACGGGCACGTCTTCAAACGCCTTTTCCACAGTTTCCGCTGCCGAGTTTGAACCCTTTGAACATGTTTAAATTATTCCTATTAAACTAATAAAAACAGATACCTTCAGGGTTCCTCCAGGAGCCGCGCCAACACATGAGAAAGTCTCGTTTAGCCCAACTTTGCCAGGTTTTTTAAAATTCAATATTTGGTAACCAATCGAAGAAAATTAACCATTCTGGTTTCAAAACCTTCCTAAATCATTGAAAATCGCCTCCATCTCTTCATTTATATTTTCCACTTTCACAACGAACGCATCCTTCATCTGGCAAAACGGGCAAAGATCCAGTTGCCTTGCGAAATGAGGATCTGGCACCGAGTTCTTCATCGTTTTCCATCTTTCCCTTTCCTCAACAAATGCATCAGCCCACTCTTGAAACGAGCATAAGTGAGTGCCTTCCGATTCTTCCAGATTTCTCCGGCAAATTGGCTCAAGCAAACGGCTTTGTTTGCAAATTAGTCCACCGATTTGTTGGCCTTGAGTTGGTTAGGGCTTGGTTTGTTCAGTAACCCGTTAATTTTGGTTGTTTCCGTAACCATAGACCTTTGAGGAATTTTTGATTCCACGCGCTCCAGAATCGTATTATCGGGTGCCTAGCAACAACAATTCGAGTTGTTGATGGTGAGTTCAGCAGTCTCAACGCGGGCTTTCCACTGTTGAACCTAAAGGAATGTAGAAATATGCTTAAAATCTCCCCTTTACCGCTGAAGAAGAGCATTTCTCGTCTGTCCCCAATCATGATCCTCCGCTTTTGTCCAGAAGTCGTGTGGATTTTGATGCATATGATAGTGCCTCCACCACCAGAAACGAACAGCACTTGAGGCAGATTTGTACGGAGCGCAGATGAGAAGATCTAGTTGAAGATCTTGCACCCACATCGAGTGGACGGGTTTGGAAAGGGATAGTATGCTTTGTGGACAATTGTTGTAGACTTGGGTTTTCATTGATTTCAACTCTTCCAGCGCATTTCCGGATGAGTTCGAGTTGGAAACGTAAGCATTACAACCAAATTGCTTTGAAGTATCTATACTCTCTTGAGTTCCGATCGGTTGTTTTCCAAATTCTAGCTCAAGCGGCTTGATTAAAAATATAAAATAAACTATACATATTGAAAAAACAAATAAGACACAAACAAAAGTCAGAGTCCTAACTTCATTTCTCATGAGTTAAGGAAGAATCCCTATCTTTTTCGCATTTCCCTGCAAACCTTTTACATCGCCCCGAGGGATGAACCGCGCGGTGGACAACTAAAAGTCAACCAAAGACACAGTAGTAGTTTATGTTTTTCTTTATTATAAATATGTACAGGCAGTGGGTTTTCTGACACAATGTGAAAAAAAGCTTTTATTTCAATAAGAAGCCACGCTCAATAAAATTATTCATTTCAGAAAAATTTGGTCTTTTAGAAGTCATCTTCGTCACAAGAAACAATTTCATCGTCTTCGAGGTCCATCATATCTAAACATAAGAATTAGTCTTCAAGATTATAGATTTTTAGTCTTACCTAGATCAGCAACATCTCGACTCGTCTTCTGAATAAATTTTGGAAGAAACTTCTCTCCAGAAGGGACTGGAATTTTATTGGTAGTTTCGACGAGCTCCCGAAAATTCATCACAAAGTGCATTTGCGCTGCAGCATCGAATTCGGATTTGCTCAGGACCTGCGTAATTAGCTTCGATATATCAGCGGCTGATATTGTGAATTCATAGTCGAGTGGAATGTCAGGTTCTGGCTCAGGCTCTTTCTCGGGCAAAGGAGGGAATTCGACTTCCGCATCTTCAAACATTTGACGGAGGCGTTTTTCTTGGGGAATGGAAATCATGTCTGCTGTTTCGGGAATGAGAAGAGCGCGTTTGATTTCGTCTTTGATGATGATCATGCTTCTCAACGTAGCATTGTTTAGACCCAACATTTTCCCCGCCATTTGGTGGGTTAAATTCGGGTCTTTCGCCTTTTCTTCTTCCCAAAATTTTATCATTTCAGCTTTTTCAGCTAGCGTTATTCTCCTTCGACCGTCACGAACACATGTTCTTGGGCCTTTCTTTCTTTCGCGTTCTCTTCTTTTCGCTTGGAATTCTTCAACTTCTTGTTTTACATGATCAGCAACAGGCAAATTCGCTTTTATTCTCGCTTTTTTCATTTTGATGCTGGTTTCAGGAAGAAGTTTTTTGAGACTTCCGAATGTAGGATGTTTCATCGATTCCATAATTTTCGCTCTTTGTTTGAAAATGCAGTGTACAGTGGATGAAGGAATGTCAAATCTTCTTGCGATCATCGCTGCATTATCTTCTGGATGTTCGTCTTTCCAAAGGAGAATGTCCAGTTTCTGTTGTACGGTCAGACGATTCCGTTTTCCGCCGTGAGGTCTGGGTTCTTTATCCTTTGTTTCTTGGAGTACTTTGCCATCGGGACCAACAAAAATGGGATGACCTACAGAGGCTTTTTGCATAATTCCTTCAGCATCAAGATAATATTGGTGACTGACATTCGACTGTGTGGATTGTACCGAATAATTTCCATCATTCTGGATTTTCGGAGCAATTTTAGGCGCGATTGGTGCATAACAACTTGAGACATTCAATTTGATGACTTGACTTTTTGAGCTCAATTTGACATCAATGCTCGCTTTGGGTTTCTTTGTCTGTTTTCTCTCAGTTTTGTAAAATTCTCCATGCTTTATCGAAGCCATTAGTTCTTTTCTTTTGTAGTATATACTTTGAGCTTGATTTCGCGGAATACCGAATCTATTTGCGACATTTTCCCAAGATTCATTTTTGTGCGCTTCTTTCCAAAGAATAAGATCCACATGAAGTTGCTGTTGAAGAGTGAGTTGCTTCTTTCCTGGAATTGTTGCCTGCGGTTGTTTATCTACCTCATCTTGGGCTGTACCTTGGGTATCAAGGAGAATTGGAGCGACAATCGAGACTTTTTTAAAATCCTCTTGATGATTCAGATGCTGGGGATAGATATTCGTCTGCCCCAAATTAGCCAATTGTTTTTGTTCATCATCGACTTTTGGGGCAATTTTAGGCCGGATTCGCGCGTAATTATTCCCGATTCCGATGCCTTTTCTATCCATTCTATGATATTCTAGTTATAATCAACAACAAACAAGGTCTCGAATTTGGTGTGATCCGCTGTGCACGAAAATATGTCCCCTGAAAAGGCGCACAAAAAGATGTGCGCAGGTTTATTCGATCACAGAGGAACTGTGATCGAGGCTCGATCACAGAGTAGAAATTAAGGCTTATTTGGATCACAGATTTTCTGTGATCCAGAATTTCTTTCGCCTGCCACATGAATTTATCACTGAATTTCATTAGGAAAACTATTCATCCCAGGGCCGGATGATAGGAATTTTTGATAACGCGGCTGCGACCTCAGAGATGATTCATCAATCCCTCATAATGAAAGCCTGAATTCCCATCCCTAACATTTGGATCACACGAATTTTGTGATTGAGAGCTGTGATCGGCCACAGCAAATTTGGCGGTGTGCTCGACTGAATCACAGCCTTTTCTGTGATCCGCGAATCCTGCGCACAACATTTTGTGCGCCATTTCAGGGGACTCATTTTAGCGCACAGCGGGTCACACCAAATCCGAGACCTAGACAACAAAGATTGATTTTTATCCATTTATTCCGCTACAGGCAGTGCATCAATCATTTTTACAGTCAACATTCACAGCCGTCATCATCACTTGGGGACCCAAGTCGGGTCACGAGTTATATCTATATTGTCTTCTTCTTCAGTCTTTTCTTTTTGTTGAGAATCTGAAAAGATTTCAATAGGTTTTAACGCGATTGAAAATTTATATTTTACCAGAATCCTGCAAGAATGATGCTGTGATGAACTGAGGAAGTGCCTTGGTCGTTTCAACCAGCTCTCGAAAACTCGTTACGAAACGGAGTTGCTCAGAAGCATCGAATGCGCAGTGACTTAGAACGTTTGCAACGAGTTTTGAAACTTCTCCGATTGTCATACTCAGCTCCAAATCTGTCGCTTTTCCAGGCTCTGCTTTTGGATGTGGAGTCAAAAACGCGTTTGATCACGTCTGCTTGACTGATTATAGTATCTAAAGCAGCGTTGCTTACGCCTATTGCGTCTGAAACCTTCGCCCGGCTTATATTTTGATTTGTGGCAGTTAGTTTTTCCCAGAATTGGATGATTTCTAGTTTCTCCGGTAGAGTTACTCGCGCTTTTCCAAAACGAACACTTCTCATGATCGATTCCACTCTCGAGCCGGTAATTCCAAATCTGCGGCCGATTTCTTTATTCTTGCACTGAGGATTCGCTTCTCGGTAGAGAGTGATTTCTACTTTCTTCTCAAGAGAGATCTTCGTCCGAGGTGAAACTTTCTTGGCTTTCGTCTTGTTAGCTTTCTTGTATTTTCTTCTTCCCTGGAGAGTTGGAGGGATCGCTTTGATTGGTAAGAGGGCATCCGGAAGAATTGGAACACGAGGAGCAGTAGTAGCGGGACCGGTATTATCGAGAAAGACTTGTTTTACATTTCCTTGAGCATCGGTAATGAAGAAGTTTTGAGGTCCCTTGGTATCTACCGCCGGGTCTTCTACATATGAAGATTGCTGTCCATTGTTCTCGATTTTGGCAACAACCCCCGCGTCGTTATCTCCGAATCCGATACCGTTTCTATACATTCTGATGACAAATTGAATAGAGAAAGATTTAATGTATGAAAATATATTTGAAGTATAAAAATAGATCTATGGTAGATTTTGAAAAGGTTCTAAGAATTTTTCTTTTTGGAAGACTGATATTTCGCACCGCGCTCTTTTTCAAGAACAGTGTAGATTCCAGAGGCAGGGACGTTCGTTACAGTTCCAAACGCACAACTTTCCGACTCAGATTTGAACATTTGTCGCTCTGAATCTCTTGAAAAAGAATTAGGGATGAAGAGAGAGCCAAACTACCGGATATTGTCGAGATTCCACCGTTTTGATTTGCTGCTTTGCCAGGGAGATTGCTGTACTGAAATAGGAGAAATCACTCTTTTTCGGCTTATCTTCACTTTACCTTCTTCTGGTTCTTTCCAGACAGGGCCGATTGGTCCGACTTTAAAATTTCTTTCTACGCCAATAAATTCCATGTACTCTTGAATCTTCTCATCCTCAATTTTGTGCGCTCTGTGAGTACATCCATTATGAGCCATCAGCGACCGGAAGTGCTGTTTCTTCCGCTTGCAGCATAGATAAGTGCCTCCGATGTCTTCTTTTGGGTGGTACATACAGTTTTGTATGTCCGCTGCCTGAAGAGAAAACAATTACAATTATTCCCTTGCTTTATCACAGACGGCCCCTCTGATTTGACAATCTACAGGCCTGGACTAATTTTGAGTCGCGATAGGCAACGTCATAGCAGCGCCTCAGCCAGCTATCAAGAATTCCTATCGTCCGGCCCAAGGATGAAGTTTAAAACGCGCGCAAATGTGAGCCTTCTGATTTGTGGGCCAGATGATAGGAATTCTCGATAGCTGGCTGAGGCGCTGCTATGACGTCGCCTATCGCGACTCAAAATTAGTCCAGGCCTGTAAATAACCGATTACGCGTTGAGGCTCGCCTTATGATCAAATCAGAGGAGCGGATGGGCCATCCGGGATGGGGACTCAATAATCGAGGGCGTCTGTGGAATTATCGTAAAAACGAAAAAAAGAACGCTGCGAACAGGATTCGAACCTGCGCGGGGAGACCCCAAGAGATTTCTAATCTCTCGCCTTAACCACTCGGCCATCGCAGCACGTCTCGCCCACTTTTCAAGTGCTATCTGAAGTGTTACGTATGTTACGAAGTACAAATTTGATAACAAGCGCTTTTATAGAGCAGATGTCGTGCTGCGATGGCCGAGTGGTTAAGGCGAGAGATTAGAAATCTCTTGGGGTCTCCCCGCGCAGGTTCGAATCCTGTTCGCAGCGATCCTTTTTCGTTTTTTTTACAGTAATGCCTTGAAAACAGACGCATGATCAGCTCGTTAAAGTTTGGCGGACGAAATACAGAATTTTGAACTGACCTGAAACTGTATATTGCACACGCTACAGCAAAAGACATTCGCCAGTCCCCAAATTCCCCAGTAAAGACGCTGTTTCGTTTCAAACTTGCTCTGCAACGATGGAAGTTCGCTCTCGACAAAGTCCCATCCAAATTCGATCATGTGATTCCATCGCACATCTCCATTTCTATCAATTTGCGCCTTATTCGGAATACAGGGCAGTGCATATCGATGTTTCCAGGGGAGTATCTTCGCGCAAGACTTGCACTTGATGAATTTAGTTTCCGCAATGAGCTTTGCCACATGACGGCGGAAAACATCTTCTTTTGCTGAACCATCGGGGAGATTTTGCGCTTCGTGCGCAGAAACGTAGAGTTGAACTTTCTTCAGTAAGTCCTTGGATCCTTTTTCGCGGGATTTCGAAAGAGGGTTCAAGTTGATCGAGTTGTAGAATCCAGCAGCTTTTTGGGCAGCAATATCTGAAACAAAAGGATTAAAATGGCTTTTTAGAGGACTTTTACCGATGAGAGAGGTCATTCCAAGATAATTAGCGGAAATCAAGACGGAAACAATATTCGGCTTCGTGATATCAAAAGGCTTATCCAACTCCCTTCGCTTGACCCATTGCATCAGAATCGAGAAGATGTCCGTATCACATTGAACACTGATGTCCAGCTCGTTGAGTTCGTCTTCGTTTCTTGGTATCAATTCGTCAAAATACGGCATTTCTTGAACGAGCAAATCGACTCCGCAAGAGAAATCTGTCACTTTTTCCCGATTATCGTCGCTGACATGAATTGTTACAATCGGCTTGTCTGTTGATTTAGGCGAGTTTTCCGTAAAGCTCTTTCTCCGGGAAATGCTTTCTTCTTGAGAAAGAACTGTTTGAACTTCTTGAACTGTCGCTTTTTTCACTCTAGGTGGCTTGGAAAGAATTTCGTCCAACAGACCAGTTCGCGATTTTGCAACTTCATAGCGCTTCTGGATATAGCTTCGCTCAAGCATCGGAAAGAGCTTACAAAGCTTCTCAAAGTCAAAGATTTCGTCATTTTTTATAAGCGCGAAGAGCACATCTTCTAGGATTCGCTCCTGCAATGCGGTCTTGTCTGACATTCTAAAGAAAAGAAAAGTTGAATTTTGGACTGGTTCATTTGAATATTCTATGGGGTTTATACAGGCTCTTTCGCGGTTTCTAGCTGATCTGAAAATGCCAGAGATTTTTCAGAAAGAATAGACGCTGTTGAAAGAACTTCCTCTTTCTCAGAAAGTTGGATTTGTCCTTCGTTGAACATCCGCTCGAGCAGATCGTCAATACCAGTCATTCCTCGGACTAGCTTGAGCTGCACAGAGGAAGCGATCTCGTCTGTCTCGCGGTCGAAGATTGTCGTGCTGAATTTTTTTTATCAAATAAGCTGAAATAATTTGAATTAACCTGATTCCCTTCTTGCTTTCCAATCCATATTTCTTGATCATTCTTGCAGTTCGCGATTCCAAATTAGTCTTTTGCGATTCATATTCCAACAAGAACGCTTCCAGGGTAAATGCGACGACAATGTTCATCACGAGCAAAACTTGAAGCATGTGGAAGAGGATGAAGTAAATGAAAGCGCCGCCATTGCTCACTTTAACATATCCACGTGTGATAATATGCCACTGATTGACAACGGTCAGCTCGAAGAGGGTGACGAAAGCGGAGATGAAATCGTTGAAGTTGTTCTTGCAGTAGTTCGCTTTTACGAAGTCATCATCAGCGAGAGCAGGATTGCCGCATTTGTACTCGAGTCGACCATCTTCAGTGTTATGCTTTTGATCAGCTACGAGTTCAATTTTACGAAACAGAAAAGACGGAAGTTTTACCTCGAACAAGACCCTGGAAAGCTTCCATCCCGATAATAGCAAATACTGTGTATAGACAGACGATTATCACACAGTAAGTTCCAAGACTTGGAAGAATATTTCGAATTGTCAGAAGAATGATTCTGAAGGACGGAACGGAATTGAAGATCCTGATAAGTCGCAAACACCGAAGAATGAGCAAAATATCCAACGCTGCGTTTCTTGGCTCGTCCGCAACTGGCCCAATTCCTTTCAGAATCGTAAAAAATATGTTGCACTCTAAACTATACCTGTAAAAATAGTCGCAATAACAGTAGCCAAGATGATAAGAAAATCAAACCAATTCCACATGCGATGAATTGAAAAGTATTCGCCCGATCCATAAGCGTAAATTCTCCAGAAAATCTCAAAACAAAACAGGCTCAAGAAGAAATACTCGGCTTTATACTGATCAAGGCCGATGCAAATTGCATTCACAAGAATAGCCAGATCAAAGAAACGCTGGAACCATGTTTTGAACGGTTCATCTTTGCAGAGTCTGATGAACCAGAGAGAAATCGTACTATTGTAAACACGAGGGAAAAACTGCTCAACTAGGGAGAAAGAAGCATCGGGATTCTTTTCTAAGATAGTGATGCTTAATAACTCAGCGATTGATAGAAACTCTTCCTCTTCAATGATTTCGCTTCCATCTGATAGAATCAACCATCGAGCTGCAATGATGTTTTTGCTCCATAAGGTTTAGCAAAAGCTTAAATCAGAACGAATTCTAAAATAACGGAACCTTTCCTATCACTTGAAGTCTGTTCCATCAACCATTTGAACGTCGCGTAATCAACTTGGCCAAAAACTCGCTGAAAAATTCTAAAAGCTCTTCTCAACTTCTTCTCCTTCATTCCAAGAATATATTCAACATCAGTCTTTACGTTGTTCTTGTAATTGTTATAGATGACTGCAAGGAAAAGGTTCATGAAGATATAGGTATCAAGGATGATGAAAATCATGAAAAAGATCATCCATCCGTCATTGTCGTTGTACGCAGGCATGAAAACGTCTGGAGAGTTAGCTGTGGTCATCAGAACATAGAGATCGTAGAAACTGTTCCAGTAGTCTTTGAAATAGTAGCTTGGAGCTCCGTTCTCCGTCATATCTCGCTCGCCGAAAAGCTTCAAAGCCATGAGAGCGAAAAGAAGAATAGAACAAATCAAAAGCAGGAGAACAGAGAAAATATCGGGAATTGTCTTCCAAATATTCGTGATTGCACGTCGTATAGATTCTTTTTCTTCAGAACAAATGATAAAAAAAGGCCTTAGAGCTCGCATGAATCGAAAAATTTCCCGTCGTTCCAAGCCATCAGTGTCTGGTCGAACGGAGACTCCTTCAACTTCTCGGAGTATTATGTAAACAATGATGTCGATGAAAGTTAATGCAATCGCCAAAGAGAAGACTAAATTTTTCGGATTTTTCCATCTTTCATAACCTTGAGCTCTTCGCAATTGATCAAGACGAAAACAAAAGAAAAGCAAGATGATAACTTCGATCGACATTGGAATATAATAATACGGCTCGATGTCTAGTCTCTTCACCGCGGGATCCTCAACCAGAAGCAGCAAAAAAATAACTAACAAGCAAAGTTGATGAAGGAAGAGTAGACCAGGGTTGTTGTAATTCCTCCACGCGATAAATGAGTCTTTGTCTTCGTATATTTCAATACAACGCCGATTTACTGCATCTTGAACAAGAGTCGTTGCGACCATCAAGTCAGTCATATCTTGGTCAGTTAAATCACTGGCTTTCTTTTTCTGCGACTCCGCAACTTTAGAATTTATATGAGCGAAAAATTCGAGGAAGATATTTACCCGGCAGGATTGTGTCATTTCTCGTTTCATAAATGTACTCGTCTTCAATAAATCCATCATTCCCATCTTGATTAGAATTCTCTAGTGGCACGACAGAGGCCATCTCTACCAATTTATCTGCCCTGTGAAATCCTGCTCTGCATAAGACTCTTGTCAAATAAGTGCGAAAAAGATCCAACATGCAGATACAACGAAGTAATTTTATTTTCATTCATTTGCAAATTGATTTTTATGAAGAAGATGAAAATGACGAAGGGAGGAGGGAGTTTTCCATGAAGAAATATTCGAAAAAAGTACAATGAACATTAGATAAGAATAAGTATCAGAAACAGGTTAGAATGTTGAAAGAAAAGAGCAGAATAAGAAGAATAAACATTTACATAATCGAGCAGGCATTATCTTTTGTGACTTTTACATCGGGTTCTTTAATATCCGGGACTTTTTCTCGATTGTCGGAGCGTTTTTCTTTTCGTTCTTCGCGCTTTGAAATTTCCGATAGATCAAAAGCTCCCATGAGCTCGGGTCCCCATCTTGAGCTAAAAACGATTATTAGAAAACTGTATTTACACTTTCATACGGTACCTTTTCTCAGGCAGTGAGTATGCTTCGGGTTCAGCAAGGCCATGTGTAGCTTTTAGATTCAGTTCAGGAAGCTTGTCCGGAATTTTTTGATGGTAAATAAAGCCATTTTCCCGCTCAGCTTTTTCAAGTAGTCTTTTGAGCTCTTTGCCGTAGTTCAGGAAGAAGATCGCTTTATCTGGATGAACAGTATTTCCAGCGCCACTCTGAAGAATAATCAAATTTCAAAGTATCGACATATACTAAATACCTGTTTTTTGTACTGCTCACAGACTTTACCACAGTGGATAAACTGATCTCTGGCGTATTGGAGACATTTGACGGCAGTTCCGCACTCTTCCTTTTCCAATTCAGCAGCTCCCTGATAACACCAAGTGTAACTGTCGTAAAAGGCGATCTTAAGTTGCAGGTATTTCCGCCATTTGCCAACTATTTCGTCGTTTTTGATCGCGGCAAGTTGTTTATCCGCTTGCTCGAAGAAGTGTTTGGTATCATTCGCCAGCGCCGCGATCAGAGAGCTTTTGTGCTTTAGCTGGACAGCGCGGGCGATAGTGACTTCTTGAGCTTCTGCTTTCGACTGCAACATGTAACAGTCTAAAATGATGATGAAAAAAGATGCTTGAGATAAGGAAAATGTTTACCGAGAATATGATGATCAAGATCAGTCCCTGGATCTGGCTTGTCGAGGAGCCTTTCCGCTTGAGACGGAATTGCCTGGAAAATTCCCGCAGCTTTTTTGAACATCTTCAAGACCTCTTTCGCGTCGTCTTCTGATATGGATTCTTTCGCTGAAACTCTCGCTCCGTACTTTGAGAGCCAGATCGCAACTTCGAGCATCATTGATGCGAGTTCAAATTGGGCGTCTTGATGGACTTCTGGCTTTCCGTCCATGACCAAGGTATCTGACCATTTGAAACGGAAAGAATATCGAAGTTTGTTGTCGCTAGAAAAAGATAAATTTCTGCCTCTGAAATCGTCTAAACCTGGATGTAACATCAGATAAACCGACAAGCAGTTCGAAATACGAATTTGCTTTTTCCATTACAGTAGCTGGATTGGCAACTTCATCTGTGAACAGCGCTAGAAGATTCGCCCTGTTTGTTCTCAGATCTTGCAGCATTTTTTCCGCGGGAGTTTTGACGGCGATCCCCTTTCCATCGAATTTCTGAGCAATCGTGCCTTTTAGCTTATTTCTGTGAAACCAGTGCGACATTTTCTTAAGAAAAATAGGGATGGCACATTTTAACGAGTGAAGTTGTTATCATTATTGCACTACAGAAAGAATCATAATTTCGAAAGCAGCAGTAAATTGGTTTAGGTTAAATGCGAAATGTATCTAAAGCTCGTCATGCTTGAACTCATGGTCGTTGAAATCGTGCGCCCGCGTGGCCCACCATTTAGTATCATCAATGCCGAACCAATTAGCGTAAATTTGCAGCGGATCGCAATTCCAGTGCTTGTGGAAAGAAACGGGCGTATTGTTGTCCAGATATCCCTCGCTTATAGAAATTTATACAAGCAATCTTGAGTTGGAGAGTTACCTGTAGTCATCCGGCCTAGCTTGGTGAAAGTTATTCAAATGAACGATGGGCACGTCCCCATTATGATAGCACAGTCCAATCATCATGTCGTCGGGAGTATCTGGCGCAGGGCACTTGCACCCCAATTTCTTCCATTTTTCAACGGCTGCTCTTGAAAACAGCATCCCGCCGCCGCCAGTAATGTAAGGGTACCCTCTGCTATTCAAGTTGTAGCCATATCTTTCGCCGATGAAAACGGGCTCGGTCGGGTCATAACAAGCACTGAGGCGATGAATTCTATTTTTATTATTTACTCGTCTGAATCATCTGACACTATTTACCTATAAGCAGACACAATTGTATCATCATCGGCGACATAGAGCCAGTCATATCCATTCATCTTCAAGAATTCGTCCATAATGTGATACAATTTCTGACAATGCCCACGCTCAGTATTCGGTCCGGATCGTTCAGTTGGAATATCAGGATCAGTAACATTTGAGTAGTAGATAATATTGTCGAATTTCGGTCCCCATGTTCGCTTGACAACTTTCAGACGATCTTTGTGAAACATTTGCGTTGTCTTAACTCCAACGAACAGTTTTTCTTTTTCTGTGAGTCCACAATCTGGCAGTTCTAAAAAATTTTTGTCAACCTAAATAGCTCAATTTAGCTGGGATATTGTGGGAGCATGATCCGAAGATAATGATCAAGACTCGCTTGTTTAGCCCCCAGCTGCGTGCCCTTATCAGTTCACGATCTTGGTGAAAGTGTCGCGAGATATCGCCCGGTAAGTACTTCTCGATTTTCGCTCTAGCGCCACTATCCACTTACTTGCCCGAGTATATATTCGGACAGGCATTCGGAGAACTCATCAAAACAGACAATGTCTCAATTCAGCATCGATCTCACTCCTCTTGTCGGCCTCGAGGTTTTCCTCATGCTAGCTTCCTTCATTTTCGCCCTGACATTAATCGTCCTTCTTGCTGTCCTCTTCCCTCCGACCTGCTGCTACCAGAAAATTTCCGATTCTTACGACAACTTCCGAGCGCGAACAAAGTCCAACTCATCTGAAAACACTGAGTCTACTGACTACGACAACTACGCTCCACGAGATCTGGAAGCTTTCTTCATCCCCGGTGATCGAATCGCATCACGTGACAAATACCGAGCCAAGATCATCGGTCCCGAAAGGGATCCTCGCCGCGGTCGAGCTCGATCAACGCGAGATGACGAAGAAATTATCCACTCTACGATGTACCCCGAAATCCCAACCGTTGTCAAGAAAAATCGATACTTTCCAGGTCTTCAAGAAATCTCCAGAATCAGCTTTACGGAAGAGGGAGATCGCCTGATGAACGCTCAAGTCGCCCGCGCCTACAGAAAGTACAAAAAGCCCCAGATGCCCACGCCCAGTCCTCGAACTCACACACGAGCAAAACCAGCAGGAAGCATTCCCAAAACTTCTCATTATGTTGTTTAAAAATAATTTCCCCTGTACAAAAAAAATGTAAATAAATATTTAGAAAATTACCTTTGTGCGAACGCGTATAACAGGTTTTCGGACTACGGTGCCAGTTTCCACCGCAAAAATGTTTCGAAGGGGTCAGCTCAATATTTAAATGCGTCTTGACGAACTTCATGAACTCATGCTTTGGGTCAATATTGAAATTGTGGTCATTTTCCCAGTCGCTGTAACGGCTAAAACTACTGTTTTAAATGCCAGATAAAGCTGAAAATCACCTTATTAGAGCATTCATCAAAGGAATGTTCATCAAGAAACCAGCTTCGTAATCAGGGTATCCGAATGTCTTGTACTCTCTCCCGTTTGCACCAAAGAAATGATGGATTATCGTCATTTCTTGATCGAACAAAGGGCGCCCAATAATCACTGGCTCTTCAGATTTCTCCAATTCGTCAATATAAGGCAGAAGAAATTCTAGCTCAACTCTGGTTGTCTCTTCGCCGATAAATATCCATCCAGCATTTTCTTTCAATCGTTCTTTGACAAACGGAAGTGCATTCACAATGAGAAAATGACTGTAATAGTCTTTCCTGTCTTCCAAATCATCCGCAAAGACTCGACTTTCTGCAGACAGCTTTTTAGCTTGAGTTAACACCGACTCTTTAGCAGCGGCAAGGCGTTTTTGGTGAAATTTCACGTCGGGATGAGCGGTGCGGAAGAAAAAATGTAGCTTGGGCTTTTCAGAACTGCACAATTGCAACTGTATAAGTAGGTGATAGAGGCAAATCAACAACTTCATTGTCTAAACTCTTATTTTCGACATTTATTTTGTATCTACTTTGTACAAGGTCATTACAGGTAAAAACTCAATTTTGAAGCACATGGGTTGATTTTGTGATTTCAGAAGTGTGAAGAATTACAGTAAAAATCGTAGCTATAAACATAAGAAGTAAGAAGGCACATAAATTTTGGTGCAAGGCAATTTCGGACTAGAAATAATCAGAAAAGACAGGTCAATAGTTGTTAAAAGTTAGGAAATCCTAATTGGCAATAGAAATTAATTAAAATTATTAAATTAGGCTAAAAGGCCATCATCATGGTCATCATCTCCGATTTCTTCGTCGACGGTTCCAGTGAAAACACCACCACGTCTATGATAATAATTAAATTTTCATGGTGTAATTCTAACTGTACCTTGGGGTGGGGTTGTCGGTCTCTTCAACAAACTTCTCAGTAACGAGCAACTGCAGAATTTCCAGCGCAAGGTCAACAACAACAGGAGTGGCAGGGGCTTTTTGCGAGGCGTATCCGGTGATAATATCGAAAATTTCAGATTTGACGATTTCTTCGGCAGCGAATTTGTCGTGTGTAATAACGTTAATGAGGACGACCATCGCTCGGTGCTTGATTTCGTGCATTTCATCCAACGCGATGTAGCTGTAAAAGCGTTTTAGAGGCTGTTTGGGGAGTTGTTTATTACCTCAAGTTCTGGAGCCAAGATTTGCAGCAGTTTCGAATTCGCTTGCAAATCTTTTCAGAAGCAGAGCACATGATTGCCAAAGCACCAGCAGCGGCGAGTCGAGTCTTTTCGTTGTCTTCCGCGCAAAGGAGGTTCATAAGCTGAATAAAATCAATGAGGTTCTGATAATTTCAGGATTTTCTGTTACCTTGAGTCGATCGTATTTCTCATCCTCGAACCACTTGACAGTTTCGGAATACAGGCACATGTTGCACATGAGCTCGGTGGCTGCTTGTCGAAGCTCCCAGTGCTCTTCCATCATGTAGCTCTCGATTTCGTGCATGTACTAAAGTCGATGCTTAGTCACTTCATTTTTTATCGAAGATGTACCTTTTCTTTGAAAATTCTTCGTCGATGCTCTTCATCAAGCGAGGCCAAGTTGGTCAGGCAGCACATAGCTTCGTAGTTTTGAATAGCAGAGCAGTCGATGTGCATCAAGATCTTGATCAGTTTTGGAATTTCCAAGGATCTTGGAACGCAAAATAAGATGGAATTCAATTTCGGAATAACTTACCGTTGACCCGGGAAAGTCAGCGAAGGATTTGTCTGGATGCCGACTCGAGCAACGCATTGGGCAGCTTGTCGCATGCCCTCGACAGATCCTTCTCGAGCAAATCCCATCAACATTTTCACACCACCCTGCTGAATGATCATTCCACGATCATCAGATCGGTGAGACATGGCCAGAATGGATCGAGCAATCAGTTCTCGGATAGAAGTTGTGAGGAGAGCGGTTTCTTGGAGGGTAAGATTGACCAAAGCAGCACATGCACCGTGCTTAAATAATATGAATATATAATTCAATAGATATCTTACCTTGAGAAGTTTGTGGGCTCGTTCTGCAGCACATTCAGGCTTATCCTTGGGATGCTCTTCCGGGACGTGGTGCTTGGCAAAAGAAGCCAGCTGCTTCATTTCCTCCATTGGGTCCTCTTTCTTATCATACGCATTGACAACGTTGACAAAAGTCATCACGACGGAATAGGTGCAACTCTTATCAACTGATTTACACAGGTCATAAAGCGCCGAAAGGGCAATCGTGTCATCAGCCAATTCTTCCTTCACATCTGCGTCCAAAGAAAGATAGGAAAGACCTTCAATGGCCCATTTTCGCAAGTCCTGATCTTTCTTTTCATTCGCCAAGAATTTTCGACACTGGCGGGCTAGCTTGACAGTGGAACCCTCTGCGAACACTCGGCGGGAGACATCAGTACCGTGCGAAGCGCCCAACTTACACAATCCAACAAGCGCGCGGACTTTAATACTGTCGCTCTTGGTGTTTTTGTAGATCTCTTTGAGTAGCGCCGTACCGTTTTCAACCACGAATGTGACATTTGACGCTTTGTTGATGCAACTGAGGATTGCTTCAATCGCAGCTTTTTGCACCTCTTCTTCTTCGGAAGAAGTCATAGCAACCATTGACTCCATCACACCAGCAGTACCGAGGAGTTTGTATCCAACATCGAATGGGCCAGTGAGGCAGGTAGTGATAAGGGCCATCGCTCGCATGTTGGTTTCGAGATTGACCTCGGCGAAAAGAGCTTTCATGTATTTCTCGGCTCTAGTGGTGTATTCAAGTCGAGCCTGATCACCACCCATGTCATCGTAGAATTTCGCCAGGCAAACAGCGCAGTTCGATCGAGTATTAGGAGAAATTGGAACTGGTGACTTCTCCACATTGTAAGTTCTAGATGCGAGGGAGAGCAATCTTTCGATACCCTTCAGTTCCATGAATTTTAGTACTCGTTCGTTGGTAGCTCCTTTGACATCGTCTCGAGGAACGTTCTTAGCCAGGAGGGTCAGGACATTATCTCGCCCGTATTTCGAGACTTGTCGGTCGAGCATCATGTCGATAAACATGTTGTAGAATTTAGCCAAATCGTTGGAAACTTCAGGGAGAACAGATTCGTTCATGTGACGAACAATCGGATCGACATCAGATTTGAGAGATTGGACAATTCTGTGAGCGGTGGACATCGTAGCATTGGAAAGATCTTCATTGTTGGAAGCTAGGAGAGTACGGATTCGTTCGTGGCCAATGATCAACAAAGCCTGGTGGCATCGTGCCTTGTGATTTCCAAGAACGCCGTCGAGAGCACGAATCGCTGGGAGAGCATAGTCTTCATCATTGTCTTGAAGGAGTTCATTGAGAGCGTTGAGACCGCCTTCTTGGAAGATTCTTTCTGCGCCAGCTTCGTCTCTGGAAAGATAAATCAGGTTGTTCAAAGCGATCTTCTTCTTGCTCTTGTCCATGTTTTTAGTGTCGAAGGCGATATCGAACATTTTGTTGACCTTGTTTTCCGTTGATCGTTCTTGAATGTGCGTCAGTTCAACTCGATCTCGGAGACGAGTGATCATCTGCTGAATCGCCTTGTTCGACCTGTCCATTTGAAAGAGTCTTTTGCACTCAACATAGGCGCCGGCAAGGTCGTTTTTGAGCTCAAGCGCTTGAACTTTTCGGAAAAGAGCTTTGGAGTCGTTCGGGTTGTATCCAAGAGCAACGACGGAATCTTTAATTGCGGAATCGTAGTCTTCCATTTTGATATAGCACGCAGCTCGGTTCTTGTGGAAAGTATTGAGAGCAGCTTTGCCGCCCTGGTTGAGCTTGATCGCCTTTGTGTAGAAGCAGAGAGCATCTTCGTATTCTGCGCGCTTGAAATGCCAGTTTCCGCGCTCTTTGCAACTCATCGAGTTTTCTTCGTCGCAGTCGGGCACTTGGACTTCCATCGCTCGGACTCCGTCTCCATCTTCCTGCTTTTGGTTCCATCCTGTTTTCGAATGTCCAAAATGATATTTTTATGAAAAAAAGTTAAATTCAAAATAACTTTGTTAATTTAAACTCATCTCACGCAACTACTATGATATCCTCATAATGGACATTTTCCTGCATCAACTGTTGCCGGCATTTTCTCAATTTTTCTTATATTTTTTCGTCAAAAAGCTTCTTTAAAATCTCTTGCTCGTGTTCCTCGAAAATTTTCACAAATTTCTTTGCTCCCGGAGGTCTATTTATAAATCGCTCCAGCTGTTTCAAAAGTTGGCTCGGTAGGTGTCACTCTGCTCTTCAGTCCCTTGCCGAGTGAGTCAGTTGATTCATCCCTTTCTTGTCTCTCTATCTTTCCAACTGGTCCGCGGACTTGTGCGATAAAAGCTCCTCCGCGGGCAGCCAAATAAAGAAGCACATTCACCGCTGTGAATAGCACGCGCGGGGGAAAACGCGCACGCTCCGCGCGGCCAATCCAGGGTCGAGAAGAATCCAGAAAATAGGAGATTTCTCGCGAAGGGATGAAAAAAAGAGAGATCGAAAACTTATCGCCGAAGAGTTGAGAAATGTTTCGCTACTGTAACTTTTCGTCAGTCTCAAAGTTCAAGCTTCTTTTCACACTTTAAGTTACTGTACTTGCTTGTTTTTGGGTTTTATTTCAGGTATACAGTTTCAAATAATTTGTATTGATATTTTGCATAAAGAATGTTGATAGGGGGAAGGCCAGGTAAGATAGAGTATTGCACAGACTATTTTGGCTAATAATATTTAATAAAGAAGGTCTTGTCCAAAGTTTTTCAATCTCGCGGCTTCTGAGTTTTTTGACAAGATAAGTTCATGGAAAATCGTCGTTTTGTTCCTCCTCATCATCTAATCCTCATTTATAAAGATAGATTAAATGATGTTCAATTATTACCGAAATCCTTGAGATCGCCGTTTTCGTCCAGCAGACTGAAATCAGATTCATCCTCATCATCATCAGATTGATCTGCTTCGCTCATTGTTGTGATTGAATTCTTTTCTGTGCTGGTTTCTTTTTGAACTTCTGTGCTAGTGCTCTCCGAGACTGTTTCATTATCTTCCTCATCGTCTTCATCAGAAATTTCATTCACATCCTGGATAACTGGAGCAGCTGTAGCAGGAGCTTGAAGCTCAGCTGGTTTGGCTTCTAGGGAGACGATTTTTGGAGCTGGGGCGGCGGCGGCCTTGGCAACGTTTTCCGCCGCGCTATAAAAACATAATTATTGATGGGTTTTGTAGCAGAAAGTTTGTAACGAAGTTAGTTTACGATACAAGTTTATGATGGTCAAAATTGGTAGTTTTTTCTCTTCGTTGATTTCAGGTCAGCCGCTGATCATCAGCGCTTACTTTTTGCGAAGCGTTTCTTTCGCATTTGTTGCGAGACCTTCAATGTTCGCAATACTACAGTAGATTAGGTACTGATCTCTGTTCAACGAAAATCTTATAAAGACTTACAGCGTTTCGGCATCTTCAAGATCTTTTTTGAGCTTTTCAATTTCCGCGTTTTTGCTCTCCATTTCCAATTTATTTTCCTCGACAATATTCTCCAGTTCATTTTTCTTCGCTCTCAATTCCTCCAAATCATCCAGCTGATTTTCAGCATAGAGCTTGTCATCCTTCAAATTGTCCCTTTCGCTCTCCAAATTGCTTTTCTCGCTTTCCAGTTTTCCAATGTCGAATTTTAAATTTTCAATCTGCGAATTCCGCGTTTCGATATTTTCATTTGCCTCATCAAGGTCATTCTTGACGATGTTCCGCTCGTGCTGAGTCTTTTCAAGCTAGTAAAAATCATAGCCACTTGTGAAATCTTCAATTTTTATTTTTCCCACCTCGGCTTGAAGAACATCAATTGCCTGCATTTTTTGGAGCTTGGCGTTGTTCAAATCTGATATTTCATCGGATCTTTGGTCGAGTTCGGCTTTGAGGCTGGAATTCGAGAAGTATAGAAATGCACTGGTCATCATGAAGAATACTGCCACTAAGACAAATTTTAGCTTAGCTAAAAAAGCTAAAGAGGTCGATAAAATAGTTCAAAGCTCAATTCAAAATTTGAATCTCCTTTTTACAAAACTTACAGTAAAAAGTGTAAGGTCTTCCACCGCGTTTATTCATGTCTCTGCCTGTGTTTGCTCTTGTGTACTGAGTAGGAATACCCACGGTCCTTTCCCGCTTCGCAAAGGGGAGAAAATTTCTATTGAAATAAAAAGTATTCCCTTGCTTGGTCATCTCCGGCCTCAAACTAAAAGAAAAAACACAAAAGAGCGCTCTCCTATGCGCTCAACTCCGAATCTTTACGGCTTGATGAGAAAAGAAAGAAAAACGAGTATCGAGGCTTTTTTGTTTTGGCTTTATAACGGCCGGGCACAAAACAGAACCGTTTAAAATTAATGGACCCTCTCACATCGAGCCTGTCATCGTAAAAATTAATTCTCATAATTCTTTATTGTTTACGAAATTCATGTTCAAATAAAATCTCGAATCGTTCATAAAACTGGCTTAATTTTTTCATATTTTTATATTCGCGGCTTTTATTAAAAAAACCTGACTCAGGACCCTGACTCAGGTTTTCTGCACATCTTACTGGTCTGGGTAGTTTCTTAGAAAAAAATGATAAATTTCTAGAATTTCGGAAAACCATCTTTCTAGATTTTGTCTAGATATCTCGTCGCCTCTCATTTCGGCAAAAATGGGAAGAATATCAAAAGTTAAAAAAATCCGCTTTTTACAGAGATATCTAGCTAAACACAGACGAATGCGAACTCTAGCCGAGTTTCATAAAAAAGTCAAAAAGGACATGAAGGAGGGAAGAATCATTCTTCGCGATTTTGCCCCGGTAACTTACTTAAAACCCGATAAAACTTGCATTTCTGAAAAATAGTAATATTTCGTGAAATAATTTCTTTCAATAACGACTTGCAATAACTTGGCTATGAAATATTAACGGTTTTTTGTGCGATTTTTTTTTTGATAAAATCAGTTTTCGAATCTCCAATTGAACCAAAACGTCACTTATTTTGCCCAAAACGGAGCTGGCGCGGCACTTTTGGAAATTTTCGCCTTTCAGTTTTTATTTTTCAGAAGAGTCTGAATCCCTCAGAAATGAAAATCGATGAGAACAAGGAGAAAAAACACGAAGATGAGGACGTCGAAAATGGCGTGGAACATGGCAGCGATGATTCAGAGAATCTGGAAGAGTCGACCGATTCCGCCGATAATAAATTTACACCTGTAAGGAGAAAATCACTTGTCAATGCGTTATATCTTTTTCAGGAGCAGAAAAAATGTCTTCGGAGAATAGAGGAGGTGCACGATGAATTCAAAGCCTCGGCGGAGCAAAGTCTGGAAAAGAATTTCGCTCGGAAAATTCAAAAGAATAAACGAAAGTGCGCCAGGTCGAGAGAAATGATGAAAAAAGAGGATAGATCGTCGCATCATCCTCATCACAAACTAAATGACGGTTACATGTTACCTGTCAATGAAAATGTAAGATCCAGAAAGTGATGCGATGAAAGCTGACTTGACTATTTTTAGGCGCGGCCGAGTCTGTTCCGAAGCACGCTAACGAACAAAATCACCGATCGAACTCGGCATCAGCAGCTTCCCGAGTTGAAGAGCCTTCCGAACTCGATCAACTGGCTTCCCTTGTCGCACAACTTCAAGAGCGAGGACTCGCAAGGCATCACGCACATCCCCTACATGGGCGACAATCTGGACTACGAATTCGTCGAAGATCTAATCGCTATCCACGGCAATGTAAATACCACTTTCCAGACACTTCACAGAGACGTCGAAATTCTGGCCATAATCAAAAAAGTCTTTGAACAAGAAAAAGTCAGCTTCGAACATGCAGATCTTGAGGACGTTCGGAATGAGAACTTGATGCTGCTGATAGGCAAAATTCTCGGCTGCACAGATGAGAAGATTAAATCGGTGATAGAAACGGCCAGACTAGATACGAAGCTCAAAAACTTACCTTCAATAGGAAATTGCTCCAAAAATAATCGAAAGCCGCAAGCGGTTTCTCCGATCACAAATCATGTATATCCATTTTGAAGCAAAACTAAGACAATGACAATTTCTCCGAAAAACAAATCGGCCCGGCCGGACTGATGTCTTCCTTTCGCGAAATTTTCTGCTATCGCTGCTCAAAATACGACTGCTTTCTTCACAGCGGCGAGCAAAAGCCTGAAATTGAGCATCTCATGGAAAAGTCGAACAAGGAGAATAAATTAAGTGATCGAGGATTCAATAGAATCGCGGAAGAAGCATGTGGAGAAGACTGCTTTTTGCATGTTGAGGGGCTCGGAAAATGCGTTTCTAATATTCAACGGGTAAGGACAAAATGGCTGAAACTCTCATTTGAGGAAAAATTCAAGGGAAAGAAAAAGTCCATGACAATGGAAGAGGAAGAAGAGTACAAAGAATCGGTCAACTTCGCGATGGAATTCCTCAAATCTCAAGAAAACTCGCCTCCGTGGAAAGACAACGATTTAATCATACTCGCGAAGCTGAAAGAAATGTACAAAACAAACTTTTGTTCGATGGCGCAAATGTTGATTGGTAGCAGGAAAACCTGCCTGGATGTTTGCGTGCAGGTTCTGAAGATGTGTACGGCTCCAGCTAGCGACGGGGAAAAGATTGTGATTGCCAATTTGGAAAGTATCAAAGATTTTTCGCCGGTAAAGAGGAAATCCGCCGGCCCAGCTAGGAAAAAAGTCATGAAGGTACGTTTTCCGTTCATTTTCTTTATATCGAGCTTGTTGTAGCACAAGAATCAAGTGAACCAACACCATTACGAGCCGTGCGACCATCCAGGATACCCCTGCACTGCTGCTAGATGCACTTGTGTCCAAAGAGGCAACTTCTGCGAGAAATTTTGCATTTGCGATTCAAAGTGTCACCATCGCTTTCCCGGCTGCAATTGCAAAACTGACTGTGGAACAAAATGTAAACCGAACCCCATTTTTTTCAATATCTAATTTCATTTTAGCGTGCCCATGTTTTGCTGCTCAGCGAGAATGCGATCCCGACATTTGCTTCTCTTGCAAGTCGTATATGCCAATGACCGAGGTTCGAAACGGAAACTGTCGAAATGTCTCGCTTCAACAAGGCTTCAAAAAGCATCTTCTCGCGGCGCCATCTGATGTTGCTGGCTGGGGATGTTTCCTAAAGGTTTAACGTCAACGAAACGATCCGTCTAAACCTTTGTTAGGATACTGCCGAAAAAGGCGACTTGATTTCCGAGTACTGTGGCGAAATCATCACCCAATACGAAGGCGATCGACGAGGAAAGCTCTACGATAAGAAATCGTGCTCATTTCTTTTCGATCTCAACAGTGACTATTGCGTTGATGCCGCTAGAAAGGTAGTTTTCCTTGTTTTTGATGATTTGTATAGAGGATTTTAGGGAAACAAGATTCGATACGCAAATCACAGCTTGTATCCAAACTGCGAGTGTCGAATCATGCGAGTGAATGGCGACCACCGAATTGGTATCTTTGCAAAAAAGGTAAGAACAAAAACTTATAAGAAAAATCATCAAATGATTTGCAGGATATCAAACTTGGAGAAGAACTTTTCTTCAACTACCGCTACAGCGAGGAAGACAACGCCAAGTACGTCGGTGTCGAACGCGTCGGCAAAAATAAAAACAAGAAAGGAGCGAAAGGCGGAGGAGGAGCTAATGGCGGCGCGGCGAAGAAGTCCTCTCGCCCAGCGAAGAAAGCATCAACTGGCAAGAATGGCAATGTTGCAGCGGCTCAACCGACTTCGCGAAAACGAAAGCACGAAAATTGATTTTTATATAAATTGTATAACAAATAGGCGAATTTTAAATCTATCAAAAGAAAAATCACTAGAAATTTTACAGATAAACACAACTGCCAACTTTTCACTTCACTTTTAATTAAAATTTAAAACTGCCAAATAAAGAACTATTTATTCAAGTCCCTTGTCTTTCAGAATAGAGATGAGCGTAAAAAGTGAGGTAGCAAGAGTAGAAGGGGTCGGGCCAAACGGTTGTCGATTCTGGACGGAAAAGAAAAAACGCTTTTGTAAAATGGTTGCGAAGGAAGGAGCGGAGTTCTGCGGCCAGCACATGCAAGATAATTTGAGGCGGAAGTGCGTGTATTGCAAGAGTATGATTGAAGACTCGCGCATGGCAAAACACATGAAAAAGTGCAACATCTACACTCAAAGTCTCGTCAAACCAAAATACTACAACGAAAAAGTCAACCTCGACAAGACCAAACTAACAGAGGAAGATTTGAAACATGCGAATATGAAGCTGACTGATTTTGAAGTCGAAGATGTCAAGAAAATCGTTGAGCTCTTGAAAGACGGAAAAGTCGAAAATTTTTCGAGAAGGGAAAACTTTCAACCGAGCTTTTTCAAAAATCTGGAGGAGGAAATCGAAGCGAATAAAGGTAATGCGAAAGTTCTCAAGCATCTGATGCAGCAAAGTTCATTATTGGAGATTATGGATAAAGAGGGTCTTCTTACTAATGGAAATTGCTTCATTGAGCTTGGAGCAGGGACAGGAGGATTGTCAGAGAAAGTGGCTGAAGCACTAGGTGATTATTTTGAATAAGATATCTTATCCTATAGGGAGTTTCACATGTTCTATTTGAAGATAAGTCAAAATTCATCATCGTTGATCGAGGAAGCTTCAGGAAGAAAAAAGAAAACGCATTTCTCAATGACGGGCGGAATGCTTTTGAACGAGTGAAGGGAGATATCGCTGACTTTGATCCAAAGCTCCTTCCCAAATCTTCAGACGAAAATTCTCAAAGTCTTACTATCTCCATCGCAAAACATCTCTGCGGCTCGGCCACCGATTTGGCGATTGAGTGCGCCACGAGGATTGAAAATTTCGGCGGTATTCTTGTTGCAAGGTCAGTTTTCGACCTTCTTATATATAAGTTATGTTTTATAGCTGCTGTCATCATAAATGTGCTTGGCAGAGTTTTTCCTCACGCGAGTTGCTTCACGAAAATTTTAAATCTTCAAAGAGATTCCGCTTGCTGACTCTTCTGAGTTCCTGGTTCACCTGTGGGTTTCAGAAAAGCGATGATACTTCTGAAAAAGACAAGTATGGACTGACAGTTGACGAGAAAATCGAAGTTGGAGCCTTGGCAAAAGCTGTTATTGATAATGCGAGGAGGGATTATTTGTTGAAAACGTTTCCTCATCTGACTGCGAAAACTCTTCAGTACTGTAGCCTTGAGACAAGTTTGGAAAGTTCTGCTATCGTTCTCTCTTAATACTGTTGATTCAAATCGTTTTTGTTAAGAATGAAAGAGCTGCTTGAAGAGCTCTATGAGCTGTATGAAAAAAATGTAAACGCGCCGACTCGCGAGAAGACTCTCACTGCCATTTCAGCTCATCCAAAAGGGACCGTCCTTGCCCAGCTTGTACTCGAGCGCGCAGATGCAGCTGTTTTTCTATCGGCGAAAAATCAACTGCTTCCAAAAAGAGAGGGCGACGAATACGGGCCTTTCGATTTTTTGCTAGAAGCGCCAGCTTGCAAGAGGATCTTAAGAGTGATGGCAAGGGAAAATTACGTAATCGATCTGCTGAAAGATGAGTTCAAGCGAAGATACAAGAATGAACCTCAAAGCTTGTCTGACATTGTCAGAATTCTTGCCGATCTTGAAAAAATAAATGAAGAATCCTTGGTTCCTAAAGCGAGTTTTCACTTTCAACCAAAACCCGGTCAATATATCAAACTAGGAAGTGACTGGATTGTATCCGACTCAATCATTGATGGCGAAAATGTCTGCAACCATGCCGTAGGCACGAGGGCATGGTTCGAATCGCATCTATCCATCCTTGTAGATGCTGCGAGGATGAATGTTTATAAGATTTTACGATCAAATGGCATCACCTTAAAGCAGTTGGAGTTTCCATACGTTTCACATAATTTTATCTTCTTGGAACCGTTTCTTATTGCAGATTTATGTGATTCAGCGAACTTTCGTGTTTTCAATCTTCTGGAACCAAGTGAATTTGCGAATCGCAGCGCTGCAAGTGCAATGAAGATCAGCAAAGAAGCTGATGGAAAAGAAGCTAATGGGTTCAGTTTTCTCTGGTGTCCAAGTTACAGGACCGATAATCGTGTAAATGGAAAACTTCGTGAAAGCGTCCTCTTTCCAGCTATCTGGAAAGACCCCAGTCAATCGAGCATTTTTATTGAGTGTATTCGCTTCGGAAGATCATCGATGAAGGTTGTTTGGAAGAAAAAACTGTATGTGCCTTATGGAATTTCGGAAGATTCTGAACTGCTCAGTCTATTGGATCCCGATAACTATGTTTTGATGGTCAAAGAAAAAGAAGGGCACCTGTTCCATATTTGGCACATCATTCTGTCAAAACAAAAAGTAATTCATTATGCTCGACGAACTTCAGTGGAGAGAGTCAGTTTTTTCATGTTTGGAGAGCGTCTTGGAATGAAATTTAAAGTTGACAATGGTTCTTATGACATCATCGGAGCTTTTACTGGTGAAGAGAACGAGAACATAGAGGTAATTTGCTTTCTCTATGATGATGGAAAACACTCTATTGCGGCATGGTATGACGGTATTCAGTGGAGAAACGAAAAGACACTGAAAAATTGGGCAATAAGCTTTCAGGATATAAAGGAATTTATCAATGATGAAAACGAGAAAAAAATATATACTACGAAAAAAATAGATGGCATCGTTGTAAAGAAGCCCATCATCCACAGCGGTAAGCTCTCAATAAATGATTACTTAATTTATCTTGTTTTTATAAGGCCTCTCCGTTGTAGAAGAAAGAACATTTTGGGTCGAATCTCGATCGAAGATTGGACGTGCTATTGGAGAAAAGATAGAAATATTTATCTAACTTTATTCTTCATCTACTGGAAAGTTCACTGAAAAATCACTAGACTAGACTTCAGACTGCCGAGCTTTAATTATAATTGTCTGTCACTACCTTGTTAACTTACATTCGATTAAATTAAGAAATGAATGCAAATTGAAACATGGAGAATTATATAATTTACGAGGAAATCGGCAAAGGCGAGGCGACGACAGTCTACAAGGGTCGAAGAAAAGAAACGATCAATTTTGTCGCTGTCTTGTCAATTCAAAAATCTCGAAGGGCAGCGGTCACAAACTGGGTCAGAATCGCACATCAAATATCCGACGAGTATGTCGTCCAGTTTCACGAGTGGTACGAAACCACAAATCATCTCTGGCTAGTTCTCGAGCTATGCACTGGTGGATCGCTTCAAGACATTCTCGATCAGGACGAAAGGCTACCGTTGTCCGAAATCAAGAAAATGGCACTTGACATTTGCCGTGGCGTTCATCAGCTTCATAAAAACGACATTTGCGTTGGCGATCTTTCTCCAAGTCGACTTCTTCTGGACGGACCAGGAGTTGTCAAGCTCAATAATCTTTCCTGCGCTCATTTTGAAAGCGAAGAAATCGAGGCAATTTACCAAAGCGTTGTTGATGAAATCACTCAGGGAATTGAAGCAGATTCTCTCGATGAAGGAGGTGACAGCGCTTTTACCAATCCTATCCGTAACATCGCTCATCACTCGCCCCAAGCTCTCGTTGGTCACGTGACATTGCCAGCAGACATTTGGAGCTTGGGCTCGATTCTGTATAGAATGTTTGCTGGGCAACTGATGTACCAGGGCGAAGAAATAGACGATGTTCTCATGCAAATAAAAAAAGAATCACCAAAATCGAAAATCGATGCTTTGAAAAATCTTGACGAAAACGCGAAGCCCGAAGAATTCGAAAACTTCAAACATCTTCTTTTATCACTTCTTCAATATGATATCGAGAAACGACCGACGATCGAAACGGTCCTTGATCATCCGTTTTGGGGAAAAAAAGTTGCCAAAAAAGAAAACGAAAATTCGTTGTCTTCAACAAGTAAATCCGACTTCGGTACGCCGAAGGGATCGAAAAATCCTCAAGAAACCGCGAAGAGAGATGAAACTGATGCTGAAAAGACATTGACTCAAAGCATGATGGACAGAAGCATCGATATTCAGCCAGAAAACAGTCTAAGGAGACAGAAAACAGAGTTACTAAAGAGTGTCAATTCTAGGAGAGCTTCAAAGTCCCTCGTATCTGCGTCGGTTGTGGACATGGGAATACAAGAATCAGCTACTGTTCCTACCCAGTCGCTTACAAGAATTTCCGCGATGTCATCCCAGAATCTCGATGAAACAGAAATCTCAATCATGGAAAATATGCCGGCGAAAAAGAGAACCCTAAGCGCAGGCCAGCCCCTGAACAAGTCCGTCTTTAACATGAATGAAAAACCTTCTCTTTCTGAGATGATGATTCATAAATCAGAAAACCCAGATCCCGAATCGTTCTTGAACAAGCAGCGCAAAACGAACTCTGCAACAGCTGATACGAAATATTTACCAGAGGATATCTCGAAGCTCGATTTGGAAGAAGTTTCCGAAGAAAAACAATGGAAGAGCATCTTTTCTTTGATCAATAACACGGTTCAAGAATCCTCGGCAAAAGTTCTCATCGCAACTCTGAATTGGTTGTCCAACGAACTTCCGAAATCGACAGAATTCTCTCGTCGATTTTGGCTTGAAGCTCAACTAATCAGCACTTTCTCCAAAAATATCAGACAATCAAATGAGCACAGAGGTCGATTTGCAAGAGTATTTGCAGTAGCTGCGATTTCAGCTGAGAGTCGACTAGATTTTGAAGATTCCACAACAGAAAAGAACTTCAAAGATGCGCTTTTATCTCTTGCTGATTCCTTGAGAGAGCAGTTTTCGAGAAATGGCAAGCAAAAATTGCAGCTTCTTTCACCTCTCGGACAGATGCTTCTGATAACCGCAAAAATCGAAAGTATTGAACGTCCGAATTCAGAAACAGCTACAGCTCCAGTTCTTTGCCCACCACCTTGTTATTCCTTGGTCACTCGTTGCTTGAGCGTTGGGGAAGAGAGCCAGGTTCAATCCGCTGCAGCACAAATAATCGAAAATCATGTATTCTTGAGCCCACGCTCACGGTTTTGCCACTCTGGGACTGAAGCTGGTCTTCAACTGTGGTCAATGGCTACCCGTTCATCTTCGGATACAATAAAGAGTTTCGGATTCAGTGCCCTTGCTCAAGTTTGTTCGAGAACGCCGCTTCAAGCGAACTCAATTCTTGAAAAAATCGGCCTTCCAAAGTTCTTCGACACCTTGTATGCAGCGCCTCAGAAGTGCCAGTCGCTCATGATGACGATTATCGGCGTCGTCTTTCTCCCAAATCCGAGGGCGAGTTCACGAGCCATGGCGAATCGAGTCTGTCAGCATCGTGACATTCACAGCAAGTTGATCCGACTTGCTGACAGTCCTTCCTGGCTTGTAAGAGCGAAAGCGTTTCTCTGCATGTCTTTGATGCTCCAAAATCAGCCAGAAAATCTGCAGAACATGTGCAAAATGAAACTAGTTGCTGTGGTTGAGCGCGAAGCAAAACGAATCGGAGGAATCGACGCGGAAGAAAAGACATTCTCTCATTTCTGCCTTGCCAATCTGATCGAACAAGCCAATGCGCTGATCCCTGTTATCGTCTCCTACTGCACTGAAGCTCTGGAAGATGCTGCTGCTCGAAAACACCCATCAACGGGGCAGTTAAAATCGCTCCGAGAAAAACTACCAGGACTTTCTGTTCTACCGCATTTGATGTCGTCCAGCGTTTTCAGACCTTCTTTGATAAGAGAAGAATTTTTGGATAATATTTGCCGTTTGGCGACTCTCTGCTCGGGCGATAATCGCATAGAAAACTCGCTTGGGGATGATATCTGGAAGCCTCTTCTGGATTCGATCATTTCCGTATTCGAAGTGACTTGCGCTCGACCTGAATTGTTGTCTTCAAATCATTCCATCATTCAAGGTATATCTTTAACTCGACTTTGGTATAAGTTTTCGTTTAGCCGCGATTCCCATGCTGATAATGATGATACTTACAGAAGACAACTCCAAAATGCTCTACATGAAACTATTATCGGAAATTTTGGCCATTCGAGCTGATCTAATCGATCATGGAGAAAATGAAGGCGAAATTGACATCAGTTATGAAAAGTTGGAAAAACTTGTTGATAGCTTTCCCCAAGTAGGTCCAATTTTATAGATTTTATCAAATTTTTTCATCTAGTTTTTGCTTTCTGACACTCCTTTGCCTCTTCTGACACTAAAATCGCTTCACCACCTGGCAATAATCTCTCCAAACGAATTCGTTAAAATCCTACCACGGTCTGGAGTGTTGGAAGTACTCGTCACTCTGACGGAAATTCAAATGACAGAGAAAGCCGAGCAATCCTTGCAAAAAGCACTCATGTCGATTCTCACACAGATCTGGAATTTTCATTCGGAAGCAATTGTAAGAACATTATTGGATAATGATATCCTCGAGGTATGGTCAAGCAATGCCAAATGGAAGTATTGTAATCAATTTTAGCATACAATCAAGTTCGTCACTTCCGTCGAGGATTTCGATTACGATTTGCTTCTTGAGATCTTTAGGACGTGTCGAGCGATGGTCCAGGCTGTGTCCGAATTCGTAAAAGTGGCATTGAAAGCGAAAAATCAAAATGCCCCAGCTCAAGGTACTGTAGTTTCCGTTTTAAGGCATAAACAAAAGCGGTCTTTTAGTCTTACGATCGACAGGAAAAATGGCTGACTTCCTTCTTCACCGCTGTGCCACACTTGAAGGCCTTATTCCCTTTATTCTTCAAAATTTTGAGTTCCCACCTGTTGCCTCTTCAATAGAAACAGTAAAAGATGATAGAGAAAAATCTTCAGAACTAGTCAGTCTAGCTTGCTCAACAGGTAAAAATCCCGCTGGATATCCCGGTAGTCATCCTTGATTTCAGTCTCACTCACTGTTCACATGTGGGGCGCAGAGAGCTGCCAAAACCTTTACAATAAAGAGAATCTCGACCAGCTGGTGATTTTGCTCGAAGTTGGAAACACGAGAAATCAAAGACTGGTTCTCAAGCTTCTCCGGAAGTCAATTCAAAATAAATCTGCCCAGGCGAAAATCGCTGCACATTCGAAAACTGTCTCCCAAGTAAGTTTTATACCCAAGATATATTTTGTCACTAAGGCACTTGAATTGATCCTAGAAGCGAGAAATTGTTTTATGCAAGCTCGGCAGAATTTTAAGTCTTCTTTTTAGATAAAAACTCTATCTGCCTCATCCACTCAAGATATTCAACTACTGGCTAGCGAGATATTACACACCCTTCTTTAGCAAAAGTGACCTTTCAACCTGTTTATGCTGTATCCAAAACTTTTATAATTCTTTATTCGAAAAATTTATTTTTCTAAAAAATAAATCTCGATCAAAGAGGTTTTAGAAGTCGAAAAAGTTAATCATCATGGTCGTGGTTGGGGAAGAACTCTTTCTCAAGATCACCATGTGTGATACAAATGAAAAGTTTGAAGCGATCCTCGACAAATATCTCGTCGATATCATAAACGACATCAGTAAGGTACTCAGTTTATGCAAAGGGTCAATTGATATTTCTCTTCAAAAGTTGTACGACAAGAAAAAGCACTCGAGATCATTTCTCACATAAGAAGTCGCGTAAAATCACTGGAAACAGTTCAACTGCCCGTCGCGCCGCTTTTTGACTTGTTCGAAAGTACATCTTCGCCGCCTGTGAAAATGTTTTCTTCTATGTTTTTGAAGATCGGCATTGCTCGAATGCAGAGCATGGAAGAGCTGGAAAATGTCATTATCAGATGCCTACTTCAAAAGATCTTCCCTTCATGAGTCAGTGGTCACTGAACTTTCATAGAATTTTGAACACAACGGGAAAAGAAGAGTCCTGCAAGATCATTCAAAAGCACGTGTCCAAGCTCAGAGGAAAGTTCTCAGACGAAGACTGGCCTACATTTCTCACTCGATTCGCGACCTTTATCAAATTTATCCTTGTTTCCGACTTGAGCCCTCTTTGTATTTTATCGCCGAAAGAAAAGATGGAGATTGCTCAATCCCGGCTCAATCAAATTACGCGCAAGGATGAGATCACGTCAGATCAAAAAATTAAAGAGAAATCGACCATCTGTCATTTCATAATCCACTGGACTTATATTTCTGGAAGCGAGCAATTACCTGCAGGAAAAGGGTCGACTACACGTAGATCGAGCTTTATAAAAATATCGAGTTTCCTCCCTTTCTCAGAATTCAGTCTTCCTCTTCTGAAAATCATCGACTTTCTTCATCCAAAGGGAAACTCAGAAAGCGCTCTCAGATGCCTCAATTACTCGATAGAAGATCAAAAGATGGTCAACATCCTGTATCAGCTTTTCTTGGGCGAATTGAACCCCGTTTCTGATAAGACACAGATCCACGCCAAAGCACCTGATCGTCTCAAAATAAGCATTGCCAAGATGTTATTACGATCATCTTCCGCCGCCAAAACGTTTCCCGCCTCGCTGCAAGTCACTTTCGAACTGCTGAGAGACGACCTAAAATCCCAAGCTCGAGGAGTAGCCTACGACTGGCTCCATCATCTGAAAGCCGAGTCCGCGATAAACCCTAAGATCGTTCCAATTCTTCTCGAAAGAATTTACAAAATCCTCGCTGCAGAGGACTCCACTGACGATGATCGGCTCTTGAATCTCATTCCGTATTTGATCGAGTTAAATGCCGCCGCATTCTCTTCAAAGATTCTTGACCTTGTGGATATTTTGCTGAAGGGATTACATCGGACCCCGTCCGTCACAGGAAATAGTTTTGACAGCGTCGAATTCAACAAATAGCGGTTAGGTCAAATGGAATTTTTCGCTGAAAAATTTGACAACTCAGTTTTCAAAAACAACAGAAAAAGTAACGGAAAGTAAATTCTTTCTCTAAGTACGTAACCAACACTAAGAGTACTTGATACTAATGGTAGTTGCCCAAATTTAATTACCGGTAGACATCGTTGGATGTCATAACGCACTCTAAATGTTTCTCAATAAACTTGAAAAACCAAGTCCTTGAAGTACTTGTTCGCCCTTACTTAGTCGAATTGTCGACTTGAATGACGTGTTTTCAAACTTGATAAACAGCACCGATTCTTGCACTGTGTAAAATTGGGTCTGCGGATCCACATCGTGAGCGGCTGTTAATGAAGATAAATGGACAATCGCCGCCTGCTGGTAATAAATGGTTTCTAAATTGTCTTTTGGAAGCTGTTGCGATTCTTGTTCCGTTTGATCCAGACGTGGGGCCACACCGACTCTTCTTGTTGGACACTATCTGCGATGTTAGAGTCCCTGCGGAATCGCGCGAATTGGCCGCCAAGTTGCTCGGAATCGTCAAGTTTGAGCCCATTATTGCTTTCTTATCGACGCGAGATAGCATTGTTCCCTCTTTGGAACTCCTTTCGCTCATGAAAAAGTCAATTCTCGCGGGAGTGAAGGACCCTCGCTGATGCCGAGTGTGATTGAGAAGGATAATTGGAAAGGCGTTTTTATTGAGTCGTTAAAAGCATATGAAGAAGGGATGATTGTTAGCTTGCAGAAAATTCTCCTCAACTTCAGTCAGATTGGAAACACTCTGACCAGCTCAGAGCAGATTCTGAGCCAGCTGGAGCTTCTGGAATGCACAGTTCGAGCAAAGCGCCCACTTGAGTCCTCTGAATTCATCGTCAAAACCGTCAATACTTTCCGCCCAGAGAAGATCTGTCAGTTCCTCCAAGGCCACTCGTTCGCTATCAACATGGCGGCCTCGTCACTACTCGCGACGCAAATGAAAAAGACGGATTTCGCCACATACGCGCCGTTATTCGAATTCGACGAGAAGGTGGATGGGGCACGAAAATCCGCTTTTCAAATGGCCTTGGCGGTCTACTGCGGTCGCATGCAGGAACTGAGATAAGAATTTTTCGATTCCTTTTTCAAGAAATCGTGCGTTGCATGAACCGCTAATTGGGATCCAGTCTTTTTTATCGCGAGATTGAATATAACTTTTTCAGTTGATAAGGAATTCGGGTGACTAGTTGTCACGTAAAACTACACGTGACTTTCCAGTACCTTAATTTCACTAAAGATAACAGTCGAATTTTCGGTCGAAGTCTGAGTTGTGACATTTCTTATTCGGAAAAAGGATGACGAGAGTATGTTACGGTCGATCGAATTAATCCAGAGTATGATGGACAACCCGTGGACGAGTCACTCTGGCGTTGTTCTCGAGCGCCTGTTAACATGCTTGGGCTACGTTTCCTCCCGTGTTCAGATTGAAAAAAGCCTGGTGGAGCAGACTGGCAAATGTCTCTCACATGAACATGAAAAGGTCAAAATTGCCGCCATTCGCGCGCTGGCGCACTTTTCGGGCTCCCCCTTCATGCAAGATGATGACACGGTCGAGCTGTTGTTAGACACGGGTTATCGAAGGCCTTGTTCTACGTACAACCATAGATACAAGAATGCCGATAATATTTATTAACCCGAAGGTAGACACACTTCTCAGCCTCGAAAACGTCGACTCAGCCCGAGCTCAACTAGCTGTTAGTGTTACTGTGGTGTCCTTGGCCACCGGAGCTCCCCCAAGCGCGGGTGGATTATTTTCGCGAATGACTACCTAATAGCTAAGCGAAGAATTATAGATGTTGAAATTAAAATAAACGATAATCTTGAGTTTGAATGATTCAGCAACCTAATCTACTGAAACAGTCTTTCTTTGAATTGACTTCTTCAAGTCATGGAAAAATGATTTGGTTACTAAATTGCCCACCCCGTTGAAAGTGACGGTTTTGACATCGAAAGTGCTGATCTCCGTGTCCGACCGCGAATCGTCGAAGCGATCCTGGATCGGACATTCCACAAGGCAAAGGGGAAGCAAAAAGGAACTGGGATTTGGCTGGCCGCGTTGTGCGACGCGGGAAAAACGAGTGAGCTGTCAGAGGAACTCAACAAGCAGCTATTTTGTGGTCTGCTAAATAGACTCTTACTTAGTTCTGAAGAATCCACTTATTGTGCCAAAGGAATGAGTTCAAGCTATTTGTAGAGAGAATTCGTTCTGATTTCAACTCTCAATGTTTCTTGGAAAATTTTAGTGGTATTGTACATTGGACCATCTTTTTTGGATGATAGGCTCATCAATGATGTGATGAGGTTCTGATTTATTATACAGTTTACGGTCGCTACATTTTTAATTGAAAGTAATTACCTCAAAATCCTGTCATTGAATAGATCTTGTTTTTATGAAAAATTACTTTTAGAAGTTATTTCTAAAGCTCATCATAACTATACGCACGAATTTACCAATGTTAATTGAATGATTCAGATTTTATCAACATCTTCAGAAGAGTAGTTGTAATTGGGATCACGTTATGTAAATCAAGAGGTGGTAACAGGGTCGACTTGTATATTTTTAGAGCATATATCTTATTCCATTAAAATTGTGGTTTCAAACAGAGAGCAAATTTCGCTAATTAGTAAGAGCGTCTCCCTGCCAAAATGAAAATTTTGAAATTGACAAAAATTTTGCGCGAGGAAGATTTTTTGTAAGACCTACGATGATTTGTATTTATAAAATAAGCGTGGCTACTCAGATTCTTCACATTCTGCGCGGGAAAAATTAAATCAAACCTGAGAACTTGAATGTTTCGTGTTGACGGCAATTTTTCCCAGCTCTTGAACTCAAAACAGGTCTCCGAAAATTCCACGCTGTCTCTTCCGAGGAGCAGAGGAGGACGTTTTCGAATATTCTCAATCTCGTCATCGCACACGGAAAAGTGCCAGAAAAGGATGGAAAGCTTGCCGAAAGAAAGATTCCTTTAGAAGATGCTATGGGCTTGAAGGACTTGTTGAAGATCATTTTGGAATTGAAGATTAATGATCACGTCTTTGATCTACTAAGGTACTTATCGACGGGAAAATTAGTAAGATAGGGTGGCTTTTCTTGACGCTCAAAGTTTACTCGTAGAAGTTTAATTTTCTAATGTGTTGATCCAATTTACGGTGTATTTTAGAGATCTTCCAGTGTCTGGATAATAAGCTTTCATTTTTTAGCCTTGGTCTGACTGGTGACTTGACCGCAGTGAAGAATATCGATGAGAAGAGCATCAAACTTCTCGCCCCCGATCTGCTTCTCATGGTCAACCATAAAAATGACTCGATTAGAAGCATCGGCAAAAATATCTTTCAAGGAGACGGTTGTCAGTTCACGGAAATTATATTTAAAATTGAGCCTTGTTTGAGCTGATAAAATTAAGCCAGCTCTTATCACCCCGCGTCGGCCTTTCAGCTCGCCCGATAGAACTGACAGTTTAATGGAAAGATGTTAGGATGAGTGTCCAGGCCCGGAAGACTGCGGTTTTCACACAACCGGGCAGTTACTGACTTAGTGCGGTATCTAATACGTACTTTCAGTAGTAAACTAAACGAGAATTAGAACTCCCCCAGTCCAGAAATGTTTTAAACTACTGTTCTTTCTCGTTCATTTGTCAAATTTCTTTCTTCATTTTGATCGTGCTATTCATTTATTTCATAGAAATGCCAATGATGATCGAAGAATCTGTTTAGGCTATCACTCTAAAAAATAAACTAAGACAGTAATTATTGCACAAGTCTAAAAAATGTCAGCTCAGACATACCGGCCGCATCATCAACCGCGTCTGTAAGCATTCGAAGTATCAAAAAGAATTGACAGTTTGCTCAAAAATTGTCTGGATAAGTGTCTAGAGCGGATACAGGGATTCGACGGGGACTACCGCGAGGCTGCGAATCGAACACTTCCTGTCCTGTTGCAACACTTGAGCGCGGATGTCAATGTACTCCCGCCGGAAAGGTTTATCGACCTCTGGAACTGCGTGCTCAGATGTTGTGATGATACACGCGATAATGTCAAGGAAGGGACTTTACATCTGTTGTGAGCGGGGCGATGAGTAGGGGAAATCACAAATAATTAAGCTTTTTTTCTAGCTTAGAAGAGTGAGGTTATAATACAGATTTAGAATCCCCAGAAGCTGGGGATCATTTTGACTATTGATAGTGAGGGGTCAACTCGTACCCTGAGGGCATTTAGGCACCTCTGAAGTCCCAAAATCCGGCCAACTTCGGAAATTGGAATTTTTGAACGCCCAGACCGCCCCTTTAGAGCCAGCGACTGTGCTAGAATTGTAGCCCAGGCTCTGACGGTCATTTTGAGATATAGAAAAGTACTGAGACCCAGGGGTTCCTGAGGAGCTAGAGGCCCTTGAAGTTCGAGAACTCGACAAAAATTGAGTACTTTTTCACAAAAAGTACACCATTTGTGTCACAAATGCCTCCAAAAGACTCTTTATCTATGGTTCTTCATTAAAAATGTTTAAGAAATTATTTGGGGTCATCCGAGGTCACTCATGATATTTTTTAAATTTTTGATAATTTCTGACCTAGAGTGACCTCGGATGACCCCAAATGATTTCTTAAACAATTTTAATGAAGAACCATAGATAAAGAGTCTTTTGGAGGCATTTGTGACACAAATGGTGTACTTTTTGTGAAAAAGTACTCAATTTTTGTCGAGTTCTCGAACTTCAAGGGCCTCTAGCTCCTCAGGAACCCCTGGGTCTCAGTACTTTTCTATATCTCAAAATGACCGTCAGAGCCTGGGCTACAATTCTAGCACAGTCGCTGGCTCTAAAGGGGCGGTCTGGGCGTTCAAAAATTCCAATTTCCGAAGTTGGCCGGATTTTGGGACTTCAGAGGTGCCTAAATGCCCTCAGGGTACGAGTTGACCCCTCACTATCAATAGTCAAAATGATCCCCAGCTTCTGGGGATTCTAAATCTGTATTATAACCTCACTCTTCTAAGCTAGAAAAAAAAGCTTAATTATTAGTGATTTACCCTAGCGATGAGACAATCTTCCGTATCTTTTTCGGACTAGTTTTTTATATGCAGACGTGTTTTAGTTGAAGAGGAACCTTTTTAGATGAAATACTAATCCCGCCTTCATAATCCCCATTTTTCGAGAAAGAACTCGTCTCCACCTTTCCGATGATAAATTGACTCTGGGCTGAATAGAACGCGCGTAAAATTTTAATCACAACCTCAAGCTCGTTTTCACCAAATATCGTTCTTGTTTTTTAAAACTGAATTTATCTCAACGTGATTTTTTTATACAGTAACCGTGTCTTTAATAAAGACCCTCCTCGCGTTTTTGAAGAAAAGAACAGTTTGTCAAAGATGAGTACGTTTTCTGAAAAGTCTCGTCTTCGTGAAAAACGAGTTAGGATCCAGAATCACGTCTTTATTTTCTTTAATTATGCTCGAGGTTTCATGGCTGCTAATTAAATCTTCTAATAATCCCAACAGTAGGAAATCCTTCGCTCTCGTGAAAACACCTCGATCGCATGTTAAGGCCAAATTTAAAGCAACAAATTGATAAAATCTAACGAGAAATTCTCCGGGGTAAAGGTGGAATTTTCATCAAAGGCGTGAATTTTTGATGAGTTGAACTTTTAATGACTAATTATGCCTAGGCAACGGTTGGCGACGATTCTCGCGAAATTGCATTAACCAGAAAATCACCCCGGAAACGCGTGATTTCAAGGCATCACGCTATCATTTGTGCAAGTCCACGTTATAGGCCGTCGCCACTACGAGCTGTTTAGAACTGATGAAATTCACCATTCGCGTTGTTAATGAAGCCAGCGTCATTCCGAACTGGATCAAGCCCATGCTTGACATTATTGTTGATGAATATCTTGACTCTGCAACAACAACAAACGTGGTGATCGGTATGTCTCTCGTGTCACGGTGGGCTGAATCCAAACGCGGCCTTCCGCCAGAGTTCTTGAATGTTTCCTTTTGCAATCTTAGCCACTTCACTTTCGAGCACCGCCAAGGTGTTGCACAAGCTATACTTTCAAATTCATCAGCAGATTTTGATTACCGAGCCTTTCAACCATCAGTTTACCCGTTTATATCCTTAATTTCTTGAACTCTAAAACAGCTCTTGTTCCCATATGCAACGAAACTGATCCCGATTCTAATCCAGAAATGCGCAGTCAGCGAGCAAGTAAACATCTCCAAAGGAGCTACACGAAGTCAAAACTACGCCGAAGTCGAACAAGAAACACTCGAGAAAACTAAACACTCTGAGTTCCTTCGTGTTGGATACAAAATCGTCGACAACGACAACTTCCCCGTTGTCGATTTGAAAGAAATCTGCAACAGAGTTGGGACAATTATTCGTACGGGAGTTGGAGTCAATGCTAGAGGAGTCGCCTTGAACTTTGGTGCAAGGCTTTGTTTAAAATGGAAAACAGCGCTTTCTGATGGTGTTGGAAAGCTTCTCGCTCCGACCCTTGCTCTGCTTGCTAGCGATTCTAATGCACTGAGAATCGAGGCAGCTTCTTCAGTCCCGTTCATGATCGGCGCCGCGAGTGACAAAACAAAATCGAATTTCTGCAGCAGAGTGGAGAAAACTACTTCGAATACGCGGAGGCAGGCACAGAATCTTCTCTTGGCTCGGCAATCGCGTCTTCCGTAAAGAAGCTCAGCGAGGATCAGCGGCCCCAGATGGCCGCTTTGTGCTGGCTGGGCCGATTCGATAAGGCACAGGACAGAGAGTTGAAATCGAATTTAGTGACGGGAAATTTTTGGAGTCTTAGAATTTTATTACCGTTTTGTTGAATGATATTCTTCAACTTCGATGAAGGGAACTTCTTTTGAAAATGGCTGGGACAACGGAGAATATCAAGTTCGCCCATATGCCGAAGAAATATTCGACCTAGCAAGCAAAGCCGCCCGTTCACCATCATGGGTAAGTTCGAACGTGCTTCTGCGGTCGGCCATTTTCGGGAGGCAAGGTCTCCCATCGCCGATGTAAAATCGGTGCTGGATCACACACTTGGTAAAACCGAGCGGCTGCGCTTCATGATGCGCTGGACGGATAAAATATTTAGTGGTCACCTACTGGCGTCAAGGGGGCACATTTGCAAAAAATTTTCAAGAATGCAAAAATTAAAACAAAATTGTTGATCAACAATTTTCGCGCTAAGATTTACAGATTAAGCTTTCTCACTTCGAATGATATTTTCTAAGGAATTTCGACTTACAACTTCTCTTAAAAGATCAAACATTCGAATGCCGAAACATGAATATTTCAAGATTGAAAATTTTAATTGATTTTTAGAACTTTCGTGCTCAGGGGATCGAAGCTCTCTGCGCCGCTACTGAAAGTAGGCAAGTTGTTCCTAGAAGATTGATCAAGTCCGTTCACTTTGCCTTGGATCAACGATTTTTCAACGGAAAAGAGAAGCTGCTCGAGGAACTTGTTCTAAAGAAAATTTCTGTTTTAGAGTAATTAAGGGGTTTTGACTTTTTGAACGAGAATAAAGGCTGTTGGCTTGTTAAGCCAGCTTGCAGAGGATGATCCAACCTTTGTCGATTATGTAAACTTGCTGATCGGGAATCGAAATCCGGAAACGCTAGCTACAAAGAAAAGTGCCTGACAGCCCTGGCCGATATCTCCGAAAGCATGTCTTCAGATAGGCGTATTCTAGTGCTTGAGGTGTATATCGACGTTTTGCGGAATACAAGAGCTGTTGGAAACTGGGAAAAACTCAGAGATATAGGAACAGGTTCAATTTTATTGTTCACAAATGAACACTGTTTTCGTTTTTCAATAGAAATAAATAAATGAACCTTTCTAAAGTTGTTAGCTGGATGGAAGTAGAGGAAAATGTGCAAGAAGAGCTCAAAAACATGTAGACGAAAACTTACTGATAAATCTCGTTTTCAATAATCAAAACTTGTACCTTCAATCTTTTATGTTTCATTTTATTGGTTTAGAATTTCACGGATATGGTATTAAAGTTAATTAGCGTTCTGATAGATTCTTTAAATTTTTGTTTACGATTTTGATATATTTAGATAGTTTTTCTAAATGGCTTCGCAGTCCGAGGGGATCCAAAAACTTCTTGAGGCCGAGAAAGAGGCCCAAAAGGAGGTTGATGCCGCTCGAAGAGGTAAAAATAAACAGCACTCCGAAAAGGCTCTATTTCTTTCTGCTTAGTGAAGGCGAAAAAGCTCAAACAAGCCAAAGAAGAGGCAAAAGTCGAGATCCAACAATTTAACAAAGAACGTGAAGCGCAATTTAAGGTTAGCCACTTTGCTCCTAATTTGCTTAAAATAATAGACGCACTTCTGAAACTATGGGCCTCTAAATTGTCTGTTTATCGTCCAAAATCTGGATGTTGTTTGGATTGTTGGAAGGAGTTCTAAAGTTGAGAACTGAAACTTCCCGGCTAATGAGGTTGATTTAGGCGAAGGAAGCGGAAGTAATGGGCGGTCGAGAAGAGCTGCAACGCTGGATCGCCGAACAAACGAAAGGACAAATCGACGAAATGGCCGCTCGTGTCAATCAGTATCAAGCTCAGGTCAGTGCATTTTAACACTTTTTCGCTGAAATTCTCGGAGAATCCAGCTAATTAACAAGCTACATTTTCCCGTGATGGAACTCGACATTTACAGAATTGAAACATGTTCGTAGGTGATTCACGATTTGGTCAGCGCGGTCCAAGACATTCAGCCGCAGCTCCCAAGAAATTTCCGTGGATGATCATTGATGTCCAAATTTATAAAAAAAATGCGACCCGCCCAGGCTCGTTGGGCTTCAATTTCTTCTACTACTAATTGGTTTCAAATAGATACATACATGTCTCCGTGCCCATCTTATTATTAATATACAGACTCATTTACGCTACGTCCGTTGTTATATCAAACAAGTGTGTGCAATAAATTCTTTATTTCGAAAATCTTGAAGTTTCAAAGTTCAATTAACTAGAATGAGAAACGCGTTTTTCATTCTTCTCGGAATCGTGTACGGGCAATTCGGCGCGAGCCAAGAAGAATTGGATCTGTTCGATCTTGTTGAGGACGTCAACGCTAATTTCTACGATTTTCTTGGTGTAGAACAGGTTAGTCTTACATTATTAAATTATGAACTAGGGAAGAATTTTTGGGAAAAATGTCTTTTCCATGGATTAAGGAACTGATCAATTTTCATCAAAATCTTAGTCATGGCATTTCTCGCCAAAAATGCTGTGACTCTAAGCGTTCGATTTCGTTCGATTTCGCTAATTCGTCAATTCGCTCTCCTAGTTGTCATTCTAGCAATAGAGGCTTCCTTTTATCAGCTAATTTTCAGACCGCTACTACGAAAGAAATCAAGTCTAAATACCGCAAATTGTCTCTGACATGGCATCCGGACAAGAACTCTACCGAGGGAGCGACGGAGAATTTCCGCAAGCTGGCCCAAATCGTCGAAGTGCTGAAGAACGAGGAATTGCGGGAGCGTTACAACCGAGTTCTAGTTGAAGGCCTCCCTAATTGGAAATCAGCCGCATTCTACATGCGTAAAATGCGAAAGATGTCGATGCTCGAAATTTCTATCTTGCTAACTAGCATTGCCACGATTATTCATTATTGCACCATGTGGGGAAGTTACTGGTAAGAAGCCAATATTCTTGCAAATTATCATTGATTCGATGATGATGTGAGTTTTCAAAGGGTCACTATTTCTTCAGTCGTGATTGAGTTCTAATGTGATTGATCGATTTTTAGAAAAAATGTGTTCAATTACTGATGCTTGTCTAATCAAATTATTCATTTTCAGAGCCTAATAATTTGTATCATAATAAAATGACGCTTTTACAAGAACTTTAGCTTCATTTCAAATTTTATTGAATTTGTAAAACAGATTTTAATGTTTACGTAAAAAAATAGTTTAGACGTAACAATATTTCCGATTTCGCAAAAAAACATTCACCCAAGCAATTTCGTCATTTGTAATTTTGAAGGGAGAAGAAAATGATCCTGGCGGACCAAATCGACGCCGTATCGAAACGCAAAAAGCAAAAAGACGCGGTGAAACATCTGGAGCAAGCGCATTCTTCAATTCCGTACCCATCGCTGGGAAATTTGCTGCCGTTTTTGATGCTCCGAGGAACGGTGGCTTTTTTCAAGGCAATTCCAGAGGCGATCAAGACTGCTCGTGACCTCAAAGCGCAAGAGGCTGCACGCGTCCTAGCTGAGAAAGAAGCGTATGTTCTAACCACGTGGTTTTGTCCTTAAACCCCCACCTCAAAGGACGCTCTAAAACGAGACTCAGACAAAAGGTCCTGTAGTTTAGTCTAAGTTCAATACCTTTTATGTCCTTTTTCGAGAGCAAAAGTCCATTTTCAACCCTCTAATTTTCCATCAGTGCCATTGATAATCCTATCTATTCAGTCTTGAAAATGAGAAAAAAGAAATCGCAGAGGAAAAAGTGCGACGCGAAAAGGCGAAAAAAGAACGTCTGGAAAAAGAAAAGAAGAGAAAGGCGGTTGAGATGGAGCGTCGAGCTCAGCAACTCAAAGAAATCCAAGGTACCTCCTCTTGACCAAAGATCTCGGATCTTGAGACCCGTTGATGTTTTTTCTTAGACGCACCTTTTATCTTATTTTTAAGAGCTGCAGGCGCGGAGGAAAGAGGAAGAAGAGGATGATTATGATGAGTTGGAAGAGGATCTCTACGGAGACTCGACTAAAAAAAGAAAAAGCGACGGGCCGCGCCCTTGGACGGAGGAAGATATGGTCACTCTGACGAGATTGCTTGCTAAGTTTCCCGGGGGAACTTCTAATAGATGGGACAGGTTCGCTCGCCTGATATAAGAGGGATTTATCAAGTAGTGTTTGCATTATTCATATTTTTCTCTGGCTTTTCAAGAATCTCAAAGATTCTTGTTTCACCGAAAAGATTCTTTTTCGTGCTGTTAAACCCCGTTCTCACATTTTGCAGAAAGCAAAAATACTGAATATTTGTGGACTGCTTTGTGGCATGAATATTTTCTCGGAATTTCCCATACGCTGAATTAGCAACGTACAAAGATACCAGAAAGTGGTTTGCCAGTTAGTGCTAGCAGTATGCGAGTAACGTATAAAATTGCGCTCAAAATATTTTAAAACGCAATTTGTGAATTGCTCACGGGATGAACTTTTTCTTGTTGATACCGTTGTTGTTGGAACAAACGAGTTTTTCAGAATCGCTGACGAAATGGACAGAACAGTTCCGGAAATCACGAAAAAGACCAAAGAAGCGCAGAAAAAGATGCATCAGTACACTTCTGGCGCGAGCATGTACAGTAGCTCTACAGTAGTTACCCAAAGAAAAGGCAAGTCTGAAGAGACGAACAAAGAGGAAAAGCCAGAAGTAAATGAGTGGAGTCAAACGCAGCAGAAACTCCTAGAAGTCGCGCTGAAAAAGTTCGGAAAAGACGAGGAAAATCGATGGGATAAAATCGCCGAGACAGTTGAGGGGAAAACGAAGAGGCAATGCATGCTTAGATACAAATTTATAGGAACTTGGTTTGTCAATTTTAAACATTTCAAAATTTTATCAAAGAAACAACATGATAAACAATCTCAAAGCTCAACAAGTAAAGACCCAAAAAGTCCAGTAAAAGTCTTTCGCTTTACAAATTACACTTACAGTTCACTCCCTTTATCTCTTGTGCAATAAAAAACAGTCGATTACCATATTCTTCTTTCTTAAAATTCTCGTTGTTTTTTCATCTTCACAGGGGTCTTAATGGCATAATCACCTGAAATTTCGTAACTCAAGTTCTCACGCTGAATAAGTGTGGAATCTGTTAATATTCGAACGAAACAAGCTGAAGAATGCCTGTCTGTTTTTCGGATGTTTTGAAGAATGTTTTAAAAGATGCCAACACGTTTTAGGGCTCACAAAATTAACTTGAGCCATTTGTCTGTAAGATTAGTTAAATTGAAGAATGCCTGAGGATGAAGGACCGGTAGTGGTTGATGAAACGCGGGGAGACAACGGGCGCAACCGCGACCCAGAGCTCGACCAGTTGATGAAATATCTCTCCGAGCTTTCAGAAAACATCATTGCGGAGACAGACGACGACGCTAAGCAAACACTCATAGGCAAGGGGTTAGAGAATTCTAACACTTTTTGCTTGATTTTCACATTTAAATTCTTTCGTTTCCTTGAAGATATGCCAATTTGGATGATTCCATTTCCCGGGAATAGGACAAAATATTTTGGGCACCCGAATTGGCATGTTCTGTCAGAGCTTATTTACTGATGCGAAAAATAATTAATATTGGCGTAGAATAATATTCGTTTTACAAATTTACTTCGACGCCTGATAAAAACGGTACTATCATACGCGACGGTTAGCTAACCCTGCGGGTTGAAACGTGCATCCAGGAACTTGGGCCACACATCAAAGGCCTCGTCAAGTGGCGCAAGTTGTCGTTTGTGGTGGAGAGGCTGATCCAGGACGCGAAATTCAACGCAATCGCATCATTTCTCGATTCTATTTCCGCCGCCGAGGAAGATCTGTTCGGTCAGTTCCTATGTTTTTTCAATGAATTTTCATTCTCAAAAATATACGTCGAAAATAAGAAACATTAGAAAAATCGACTCAAGAACATTCTTTCAACGAAATTGGTAGTTTTATAAATTTCAAATTGGAATACCAGTAGCTGTCCAAGTGATTTTTGATGACGAAAAACGTTCGCGTATAAAATTCTGTTGAATAGGTTATCTTCAACAAACATGATTATAATTTATAAAGCGCTGTAATCTGCGGTCAGAGTGCGTAAACGTAAAATAATTCAGGCGAATTGGTGAACGGTGAACACTCTTACTTTGTAATCCGCGCCGCTCTTCGGCAATTTGTCTCCCTCTGCGCCTCCCTCAACTCGGCAGAAGACGAGGAGTTGAAAAAATGCGCCAAGTCGATGAAGCCGCTAACGAAGCTCTACTCAGAAGACATCATCAAAAAACTTCGAAATAAATACTCATCGCTACTCTTTCGCGACTTGATACAGGCACATTGTGGGGTGCTTATCGCTGCCGAGAAAAGCCCCGACGGAATACCGGAAATCGAATGCCGCGTCAAGGAACTCTCAAAGTCGAATAGGAAGCAATTCGGAGATATTTGCGCGGCGATTTTAGGCTCCGTTCTAAAACTGATAATTTCACGTTAACTTTCGTTCTCATCTGATTTTTATTTGAGATAGAGCTGTCAAGAGAGGCTCGCGTTTCTCAGAGATCAGAGGGATGAAAATTTTATCAACCCTTAAAAAGCTTGAAATTATCCTCTCTAAATGAAGCTTTTCAAAGAGTTGTGATGCATTTGAAAATAATGGAGGACATTTTAATTAGCAGTTTTGAACGTTCAAAAGCTGTGGAAAATTTACCGGACCTGGCAATGTGCGAAAAAGCGTCGCCCGCTCTTGGCGAAATGTTAATTGTCGTCAAGGAGTCTAGGGAAGACTGGATAGCGGAAATTGTAAAACACTTCACGCCTTCGAAAGAAGTTGTCAACTCTTATTTGAAATCGGCAGCTGCCAGCCACTTCTTGGAACGTTTGATTTATGCAATGAACGAGGCGAGGGCTCACTCTTTTAGAACTTTTTCTTACACGTTTTTTAATTTATTTCCAGCTTCCAGGGTACTTGATTTTTACGAATAAGACGTTTTTCTTACTACTTTTGTGAAAAAATATTGTAAGTTCCTTTCAGATGACCTTATTAAGAAACTTAGGAAGGCAATTATCCTTTTTATTATGTAGCGTGTTTGATAGACATCACGGTACATTTCTTTATATTTCCTTATTATTACATAATGTTATGATTGATGCAGGGACTTTAAGAGGTATCAATTGATACTATCAATGTTATTCGATTAGGAGAAATCCGTCGACAGTACTTAGTAAACAGTAACTTATAAAGTAGGGCGCTCATTCTTTCTACCGTATTTATATTTTTCTCTGTTTATCGGAATATTATTCAATGTTTCAATACTGCGAGTCAATACAGTGTAAGATGTGCTGTTACAAAGAAGGAGAATACTGTTACCAAAACTGATGTCTATCGTAAAAATAGAAAAAAGGGCTTTTATAAAGTATGAACTAAAATAACAAACACTTTGTAAGCTTCCTGAAGATTTCACTTTATTCGGGTCTATTTTATCAAATAAAAACAATGATCTTCGGACGAACTTTAAACAGAGTCATCAACCCTCGAATAAGGAGCTGCTGAAAGAGTTCTACAACACCTGGATGCGAGGACGTCTTGAAGAGCTCGTCTTACACCAGAATGGGAATTTTGTTTTGCAACGGGTGATTACGCATTCCAGTCTCGCGCTTTTCAAGCTGATTATGAACCAGCTGAACGCGCTTGGATCACTCAAACAAGCATGGATCAACGGAAAGGGTGGCATAATAGGTTCGTAAAATATTCAAAGCAGTGTTGCCTTCACAGAAAAAAATTCGCACTAACAAATAACACTGAAAATTAATATGAAGGATTTTAAATACTGGACTTCTTTTTATTCGTAAACTTCTTTAAAATCAATCTACTCGATGTTGTTATTATAGAAAAATATATTATAGAAAATATATGATTCGAGTATTTCATAATTATCATAACTAGGCTACTTAAAAAAATCTCCGTTAGTCTTGCATTTAGAAAATAGCTCAATTTGATGGGCGAAGTTCACGGCCTTACTTGCACAATAAACCGTAATAGCTACGTAGTCGTTTGCCCCTACCTATCGTGGTTTATCATTCCACGGTCGCAAAAGTTAAATATAAAAATATGCCAGTAACACCAAACAATATAACATCATATCTAGTTGAAATCAAAGCACGACTATCGTGGCACCGAGTCGCTCTAAGTTCATCTCAACACGACTTGATTAAAAATGCTAAAAGGAGAATTTGTTTTCATAATACACTTCTGACAAGCGGGGAAAATATACTAAACATACTATTTTCTGTTTTTTCGTAGTGCCTTGCGTAATTGCAATTTGCGCTCAATTCAATTTTTTTTTCTTAGCGAGGATAGTGAGCAAATGCGGAAGCATGGAAGAAGAAAAGCAAATCGAAATGATGAAAACGCTGCAACTCGCGGTCACGAGCTCAGACAATTTTGTTGAAGACTTGTTATTAGAAAGTGAGGGAGTTTAATTAGTAGCTCGTCTAAAATGCTTGTTTTAGATAAATATGGAGAATTAAAAGTAAATTACCAGGGGAGTATAATCGCCCAGGCTGTAATGGAATACAAGGGACGAGCAAGAAAAATTTTGATCGACGATTTAGTAAAGGTAAATTAACACCTCATGGTTGACCCTAGCATTGATGGATCGAAGAATTTTCTATTCCGTTTTTCTTCTTTTCTAATCCGAAGTTCGGACAAAGAAATAAATCAAAGCGATAAAGCCGAATTAGCTGACTCAGACGCGTTTGTTTCAGGTTGAAAGCGATAAGTTGAAAACGATATTCGACTCATCAGCTGGAAGTTATTTGTTAGAAAGCATGTCCAACAATATTCCCGATAAAAAATTCTGCGAAATGCTGAGAACACTGCCAATATCGGATATCGCTTTTGGACGCTTTGGTTCGCGCGCCGTCGAAAGCATTTGGAAGAAAAAGAATCTGAAGGTAACACAAGTGCTCTGCGAATGCCTGGCCGAGGTGCACCAAGAGCTCGGACAATCGCAATTTGGGCGCCATGTGAACGCGAAGTTGAGAGTCACTGAATTTGTCCGCAATAAAGACAGGTGGATGCAGAATCAAAACAACTCGTCAAATGACAAGGTATCTAAATCAATTTTATACGCGCCCGGAAATAGCCATCAGTTACTGGCAATTTACTTTTTTTTCTAAAAAGGCGATGCAATAGTTTTGACCTTGTTTGTAGGATAGTCGTTGCTCTAGCATTTTTTATCTACTTTGAAGAGGAAATCTGAAGGCTTAGATTGAAGCAGACGTTGTTTTGTTTTACGCGAATACGTTCTGTACCAGGAAGAGTTCCATTTTAGACAGCCGTTCACATTTTGATGAAATCTGTTCAACCGCAGCCTCTCGAGCTCTGTTGTAGGATTCACCGCTTTCGGTATATTTCAAACATCGCCAAGTACAAATACGGAACTCGACCAAGTGGTCCTTGAGGACAACGCGAGCGATTCTTGTCCTCGCGGTGATCCTCTATGTAACATTAACAAGTACAAGGACAATGTGCATGTTGTGAGCGGAATCTACCGCAAATCTTTTAGAAATTTTTTTTTCAAGGCCACTTGTCTAGTTTGTAACTAATTCGCTTATTTTAAAAACCTTCATGCAAGTCATTGTTATTTTTAGTTTGGAAAGAAAGGCAGATTGGAAGAAGGACCTACGAGAAAGAAGAAAAAATTCGGCAACTGAGTCAGTTTCTGTAAATTGTAAAAGATACGACCTGATTGCCTTTTGAAAGTTTTGATTTCATCACTTCTCAAAGCTGTTTAAGATTAATGTTCGAAGATGCTGAGTTGCCCAAGTCGGAAAAGGAGACGTTCCTAAAAAAACGTGCCATCGAACGTTCTGAGCGCGAAACGTCTCGCCATTTGACGGAAAATGCCATCACCATCCAAAAGGTCGCTCGAGGATTTCTCGACCGTCGAAGATTTCGACGTTCGCGCCTTCAAGCCATAGAAAAGTTTATAGAACAGCACCCAGAATGGGATAATATCGACAGCACAGTTATTCTTATGGCACTTCGTGGCTTGACGTTTAATTATTCGTCAGTTTTTGATGATTCTTTGGAGAAAATTAGCAGACTTCTCTCGAAAAATATCTTGAATCCAAAAGGAAACGAGAAAACATGGTATATTTCTCTGTGTCTCCATCCAAAGTACGCCAAGTTATTCCTGAAACAAGCGAGAGAGCTGATAATTTCTGTTGGAAGCATGCTTAGTAGGATCTCCACATCTCGACAGTCATCTCGTGTTTCTGCCGCGTTATCTCTTCTCGCGGTTCTATCCGATGGAAGCAACTGGCTGCTTTGGGGTTTGAAGAAGTTTGAAAAAGTCAAACCCGCCGTCGTTGCGATGATCGATCGAAATCTCGCTCAAGTCAGGGAAGAAATCTTAGACGCTATCAAGAGCATTCTGATTCTATGGCAGACCCGAGCGTCTGGTCTTTTCTCAAATGCTACGCTGAACGCAGCTTCTGTATTGATCAGAAGATGCGCAAAGGATAAAGTTCTGTATCTCGAGAAGATTTTGACAATTCCTGGGGTTACGCTTTCTGTCACAAGAAAATCTCCTGAATCGAGTGTTCACTGGGACGAGATTTGGCTACCTGATCTTTCTACCGATTTTTCAAAGTACTCCGGAACATCAGCTCTGTCTATCTACGCTAATTCTCTCTACATCCTATCACTCAAAAAAGACTACACGATCCAACAACCGATCCTGGAACTATTCATTCGGATGTTGGAACACATCCAAGAAAACACTGACCATTCCAAAGCGTCCAACATGTCCTGGCATCCGATTCTTGGCTACTGCGTTGATTCGAACGAGACGCAACCAGACTCGGAGCAATTAGCTCTCATTCAGGAACAGCTCGGGTGTATGTGGAAGAAGAATCTAGTCGCGATGTTTTTCTTTGATGTACTCAACATGGAGCGTTTAGAGAACGGCATGACGTTCAAGGAGCCTTCTAGGAAAGGGGCTGCCTTTTAGACATGAACTTTTTAGTAGGTCAAGTTGGCACCTCGTTTTTAAGTGCGGATATAATGGCTCAGCGGACGAAAGAAAAGATAAGCAAGACTTCTTTCGGAAAAACTTCCGTTGGCAGTTTCATTCAACGGGCGATCGGAGGCATTCCTACTTCTATGAAACAAGTCGGCGGGAGACATTTGAACTACCCAGAAGTCGTGATGACTACGAAAGCATGTTATCTGTACACACTCTGCATGTCTGTATTCGTGGAGAAAATAAAGCTGGATATTCTGACGGGACTGTTTGGCGTGGAAACGTTTCTGAAGCGCCTTTGGGTCTTCATTTGTGAAATGGGACCTTCGGGAGGACTCAATGTTTTTGAAAAAATCGCGGAAGAGGATACTCCCGAGTTAAGACAGGCTAATGCGCCGTATTTGGCTGTTCTATCTCTTTTCTGCCAGTGTTCCGCTTTGCTGCTTTCCATAGCCGACGAGGACGAGTTCTTCGAAAAACAGCACCCGTTCTCACTGGAGGAATCGAAAACGATATCGTTGTTTCTGAAGAATTTCTTGTTCAAACTCGTCTGGAAAGGGGTCGTTGGCGGAACGGAACGAAACAATTTTACAGCGATCCATCGACATGGCCTAGATCTCCTTGTACTGTTCTATGATAAGGACACGCGGCGAAGTTTTACTGATAAGGGACATTGGCTTATCAAATTGGTGAAACCGGCGACGATTATGGGGGAATTTGACAAAGGGAAACCGCGCGCACGTTTAATCCTCGAGCAGATGCCTTTTCTCATACCTTTTGATAACCGTGTTAGCTGCTTTAGAAAGCTCATCCAGGCGGACCAAAAGGACCGGGTTCACCATAAAATAAACCTCTTTCGAAACTTCTAAAGCTACTTTATCGAACTTATTAAAAGGGCGCTAACAGGGGCTACGACGCGGGCAACATCCCGCATCATATCGTTATCAAGCGAACACGACTTATCGAAGACGGTTTTAACCAACTCAGCCGGCTGAGAGCTAATCAACTGAAGTCAACTGTCCGTGTAAAATTTTACAATGACTTAGGACTTGCCGAAGCGGGTATTGATCAGGATGGTGTGTTCAAAGAGTTTTTGGAAGAAACAGTGGCGAAGATATTTGATGTTCAGTTCAACCTTTTCCAGGTGAGCTTCCTAACAAAAATAGATCGTTGACATATTTATCTAGGCAACTAAACTCGGCAATTCTTTGTACCCGAGTCATATGGCATCTTCTTCCTCCGACCTCGAGCTTTTCAATTACATCGGAAAGCTGCTCGGAAAAGCAGTTTACGAAGGTATTGTTTTGGACGTCCACTTTGCCCCTTTCTTCTTGCGACATCTTTCCCACCACTCGGCGAATGCGTTGTACTCCTCAATTGACGACTTGCCAGCTTTTGACCCAGAACTAGCGAAGAACTTGGCATATGTCAAGCACTGTGAAGATGCAGCAGACTTGGGGCTAAATTTTGAGTGGACGGAAGATATTCTAGGAGCGGGTTGTTGATTATTTTTGTTGACTTAGTTTAATAGGGTTAGATTAATCCAACCTCGACCAGGCCAGATGAAAAGCTACGAGCTCCGCACTGGCGGGCGCGACATCGCTGTCACAAACCAAAATAGGATTTCTTATATCCATAGTGTGGCGCATTTCCGGCTCTTTAGGCAGATTAAGGCTCAATCCGCGGCATTCTCGGTGAGTAAAAACACCTTACAGTCAGCCTTCGCCCATTGAACCGCAGCTGGTCGAGTTGCGGCGAGCTATCATTTTTCATGTTCAGATTTTTTGAATATCACCAGAAAAATGTGCTGACGTGGTTTTAATCCACACGATAAAAACTTAAAGTACATCCGTTTTTAGGTTTTCTTATCATGATTTTTTTGAAAAAAAAAAGGAAAATGTGTTTTTTTCTCGATGATACCAGTCGTTTATCTAATTTGACATGCAATTCTTATTTAACAATGAATTTGTTCATCTAACGATTTGTTAAGTCCGGATTTCATCAATTAATCAACCGCGACTGGCTCTCCATGTTTTCTACTTCTGAGCTGCAGCGACTCATTTCCGGGAACAACGACGGCGATATTGACTTTGCCGATTTGAGGAAGCACGTGCTCTACTTTGGCGGCTTTCACGGCCGCCATCGAGGTATTCTTTCTATTTTTCTTTCAATTTCTTCGCCCAGCTGATTTTAGAACCTCACGAGTTCTCCGTTTTCTGTTAAATTAGATTTTCACTTTCCACGCAAACCTAACTTTAAAATAATGATGCACTACATGGCGATTCTAATCGATAATATTCCAGCGCGAATGAAAATTACTTGAGATCGGTATCCTTCTATTTCCCAGGCCATTAGGGCTCTAGTTTCGTCACGTTTTTTCTCGCTCTTTCAAAATTGCCCTCTAATGAATGTCCAAGTAGAGACTTTAGAAAACGCAGTGATGGGAGTTTTCTTCAGTCATGATTTATATCAAGTTTTTACTCATAGTTATTGAAGTTTTTAGTGATTGTCTGGCTCTGGGATATTCTCGAGAACGATTTCAAAAAGGATGAACGATCCGCTTTCCTAAAATTTGTAACATCTTGCTCTTGCCCTCCGCTTCTTGGATTTGCCCATCTTCAACCCCCATTCTCCATTCGATGCGTAGAAGTTGGCGATGACGATGATCGAGGAGACACTCTTGGAAGCGTTCTTCGAGGCTTTCTGTCTGTTCGAAAGACGAAAGTCGTTCAGGGTCGCTTGCCGACTGCTTCCACGTGTTTTAATTTGCTCAAGGTATGAGCAATTTTCACCTTAGACCTTGTTTTCAGCTTTGAATCAAATCGGCCAGCATAAGAATTTCTTGTGTTTATAAGCCTCCTCGAACTTTGCCTTAACTTTTAATTTTCAGCTGCCAAACTATTCGAAAAAATCCATTCTCCGAGAAAAGCTTCGACTTGCAATAACCATGAATACAGGCTTTGAACTGTCGTGATTCCGTAATAAATTTCTGTCATTCAATAAAACGTATCGTTTTTATCGCGTTGATTCGCAGCTCAACTAAGTCAGCTCTTAAATGCAGCAGGTGGTTTACTAGGCTTTTAATTGATCAACTACTGTCTCACAACAAGCGCATCAATGGAGCAGATGCGTCGCATGAACTTCTCAATCAAAGCAAATATAACAGTGGGCCCCAACTAACTGAGTTAGGCTGTTCCTTTTAAATTCGGAGTCGTCGGAAAATACTTGCGCTTCCTCGTCTTACCGCGCTAATTCATAATAATTTAGCCATCAATCGAGCCCATTCTGCCTCCAGTTTCCCATGATCACTTCGCCTTGTTTAGTCTTTGCTTTCTGGAACTAGAAACAAGAAAAAACACGACAAGGGCAAATAGTACTCAGGGTAAAATCTTGTGGTAACAACCTCGTCATTGTATTTGTTTTCAGACTTTTTCGATGATGATCATCAATACAGGTGTGGCTTTGTTGAACCCTCTGGTTTTTCGCTGATTTCGTAAGAAACTCGTCTTGAAAATTCCTTGATAATTTTAGCAACAGTATTTTCTTCGATTTAGGAAAAGGAGATAGGTACTCATGCCGGTACTTGGAATAGTGGGATCGTGGACTATCAAATAACAATATTGGAGGGTATTTACGTAGTGGCTCTTGTCGCGGAGATAGTAAACGTTACTTTTAGAAAATAGTTTCCAAGTGGCGACGATAGGTGCTTGAGGTGGTTGACCGCACGGTGACATCACTGACCAAGCTAAGGAAGTGATAAAACGGTCTGAGTTTCCAAAATCCAATATATAGCCCGGAAAACGCGAGATGCCTGACCATAGATGCAACCTTACGCACCGAGATAGAGCTTATCATCGTTTTCCAACCATTTTGATTCCTTGAAGTTGGCATATGGCCATAAGGCCATGGAAAGTTCGAACTCAACAAATTCCGAATGAATTTTAATTTTGATTTTAGAAGATCTTCGAAGATAAAAATCATCTCTCAACTTGGAAGTTATACCTTTCTAACGAATTTTGTTTGACCTTCGTCGGGTTATTACATGTTCAAATCATCGTTGCATCGAGCTTGTCGCATAAAACTTTTTGGAAAATAGGAGACACGTCAATTTCTAGTCGCCCCTTATTTATGCGAGTTGACAGGACGACGTCTTATGTTATTAATTGACCGGACGATCAGGGAGACTATCTATCACACAAAAACGTCAGATCAACAATTATTAAATTACCAACTTCTTTCTTTGAATGTTCTACTCTCAATCATTGTGATCACCTTTTTATTTCTTCCATGAACCTTGATCAATTTCCTGTCCATTACTCCAAGGCTTCCCAAGTGTTGATAAATATTGACGCTACATACCATCCCCCGTAAACAGATTTCAACAAAAAAGCTTCGTCCAAAACAATCTCCACGGCCCAAGCTCAGCCTAAACCTCCTCGCGAACAGCGTTTCTAGCGCTAGAAATTCGCGTTAAAACGCGTCCTGATCGGTTTAACGTGGAGTTCAACTATAACTAGATTCTTACTAGAAGATGAGCGTCTCAGCGGAAATATTTTGCATCGTCATCTTGCTCTTGAGACGCTTTCTAGCCCTTTTTAGGGAAGACAATTGCCGGTACTGAATATTGAATCACCACTTAGCTCCGGTTAGAAGTGGTCCTTGCGGGTTCACGAAAATTTTTCAAAGAAAATTTAGTTTCTACAATTTTGAGGAATAAAGAATTCGAAAGTGCTGACAATTTGTCCACTTGATACCAAGGATCTCGGCAATCTAAGAAATCGTGTGTTTTGATCGAATCCGCTTCTGCGGCGTTTCTTCATGAGAATCTCGGAACTCTTAGTCTGCCTAAAGAAAATCCGCCAATTAGGAAGTGCTCCTTATCAAAAGGACTTGATAGCACACCGCGAGAATTTTGTGAACAGTTTCTCTTCTCATCAACGTGTTTCTTTGAGATATGGAAATTACCATATCCAGCTATTCATGTACCTCTATCTCATAAATCATTAATTCAAAAAAAAACTTTCGGGCGGCGGCAGGAATCCCTAGGCTTTTCACTGTTGTCCAGGCAGTGTCAAGACCATTTATCCTCTTTCTATAGACTTATCTAGAATCGTCTATAGCTGGGGGACCCGAAAGAACCTCCAGAGTTGGTGAGACTCTTCGTCATTTGCGGTTTTTATACGAAGACTCCCTCGAGGGAGCTACCTCCGTTAGATACCAATGCATCGTTGCATTAGTACTAGCCGTCTATCTCTTCTATCTACCTTGGTTATTCGTACTTGGTTATTCGGTTGGACAGTTTTAAAGGTCGGCGACCTGAATCTCGAGTTGCTGTCGGGAATCGAACGCCATAGTCGGACTTATCATGAAGCGTCCAGCCACGTCTTGGTCCACCAAACCAAGACGCCCCCGAAAGCTATCCTCAATTTTCATGCTTATGAACACTAATGACGACACATCTTTGTTTTGTTTTTGCAGTAAAATGCATCTGGACGTTCATTTCTCCGTCCACAACGATGCAGTTTCGGTTTATTCAATCAATTTTATACAGTTTGTTCAAAGTTTCTTGGAACTCCGTTAATATCATACACATTTACTAGTATAGCAGGGTTGTTACTTTGTACAGCGTTGGGTTTTCTTTATAAATTTCTACAGAGCAGTGTTTAAAAGTATTTTTGAAAATTAAAATTTTTCATATCAAAATTTTTGTCTGACGAGTATTTCGTCTTCTTCTTCCTTTTGCATAGTATTGTTTTAAGTTTTTACAGCTTGTTCGAAGTTTGGGTGCGCAGCAGATTGAGCATTTCTTCTTGTCGCTGATTAATTTTGTTCAAATACTAAATAAGCAAGTGGTTAGTTGAATGCCTTCTAAAAATAAGCACAAAAGTTCAATTCGATCCAGAATGAGATTTTAGAAGATAATCGCGGCGAGGGGATTTATCTGTTTGAGTTTGTTTTATTTTGAGTTGGGGAAGGCTGACTTTCCCGGAAGAAATGACGAAAATATACTTTTATACTAGCATTTTGCTCCGCTGTAATATTTTAAACAAAGAATATAAGCAAGATAATCCGCAGATTCTAAAAAGGTTGGAACATCCGGATCTTCGCAAAGCCCCGGAGAGCTCCAATCCTTCCGTTCAGTTTTCAGTACAATAACTTAAATTCTTGATGCAAGAGTAAAATGTGAGATTATCCTCTAATCATTTTTGAGCTTTTGACTTATCAAAAGTGCAAATTCCAGCTGCAATCGTAAGCAATTTTTCAAGTCAATTATTCTCCGAAAGTGCTCTTGAAAGTTAATAGTGACCGTGACTTTTCTTTGATAAAATGAAAAATTTGTATGTAATTTTGCCGCGACAATCGTCCACGTGATGAACAGTCAGGCCATTCTCAATCTGCAAGGTGTTAAGGACATACCTGACGTTCCGAGCGGACATAATTAGAGCAGAAGTTGTCGTTTTTATCCTTCAATTTGTAGCGCTGGATCGGGACAGAGTGAAAGTAACTCGTCGTTGTTTCTTCCCTAAAAATTTCACTTAGCCAACGAGAAAATTTCCTCTTTCCGACGAACTTTAAATATTTCTTTTTCTTGCGAAAAAATACATATTGGAAACCAAGACTCAGAGAAAACTCCTTTTTAGGGATTTTGCATCATGTTCAAATTTCTTCGGGAGCCGTAATCGCACAAATTGGAATCAGAGTTTTTTAGGGAATTGGATTAAATCCTGGAGACGTGCGAAATCGAGTTTAGAGAAAAAATTTTTGCGGCTAAAAAGAACCACACGAAAGATTTGGATTCAATTATCAATCACCCAGCTGAGAGTTGATTTATTCTTTGAAGAAGGATAGAAAAATGCTTACCTCAGACAATCATCTGCGATTTTTTGATTTGCTTCGTTGAGCAATTTGATTTCGTTGTCCATCCTTTCGCGGCCAAAGTTCTCCACCTAGATGACGATTGTTAATTCAAAGGTTAATTGTGAAAGTAATTATTACGGACACATCATTCACAAAGTTATATCAGGTGTAATACAATAATTGGAGGTCAACGGGTTGATTGATGATTGCGGGGCTCTAAGAAAAAGTCGAGACGGTAATTTTTCAACAAGGTTACAAGCGATTAGTAAATTGGCGAGTGTTTTTTTGTGGGCGCATCCCCTTATGTGTTCCCGCTTGTGGCTTGTTGCTATTTAGAAACATTTCAGACTTCCTAAGCCGCATCCACGAACGTGTGCTCTGACCAAAGAAAAATCGAGTGGGAGGACAAGTTTGACAACAGGAAGAACCGCGCATTCAAAATATTAAGGGTGTCGCCACCACCTTCTAATAACTTCCTAAGAGGACAAATTGCGGCCACGCGTAAGCTTTTTAGAAGCTGCTGATCGGGATTTCTGGGATTTTTTGTCTGCGAAAAAGTTGAAGAATAACATCATGTCACTGTAGGCTCCCGTTTCTCGAAGTCACATGATCAACTCATTCCTCTTCGATTTTTATTTTGTGTTGAAACTTTTCAACTTTTCAACTTGAAAGCAACAAGCTGCATGCTGGATACAGCTTTTTTCATGCTGTTTTTTTGAGTTAGTAAACTTGAAAAACTGTAAAATCGTAAAAAGGGATTATGTTATTTGTGGTAAAATTTTATGTTAACGCGAATTTGAATTTATTTCGGTTCAGGTGATAATATTCCGATGCAAAATAAACTTGAGGATCATTCACTTATTGGCGCTTACTTTTAATTTACGAGTACACTCAGTGTGAATATGTTTCAGTAAGTGTTTGCTACATTTGTTGACTTACTTTGTTAGCGAAGGTGGTGTTGAAATGCTGGTAAAGCATCCAATCCGCCTTGTTCCAGTCGATAAGCTTCTGTTGGTACTCGTCGCTGAGCCAGTCCGCGGTGGATGATTTTGATTTCTCCAGCTTTCGCGAATTCGACTTAATGAATGTAATGTCTTCTGTCGTCCAGCAGAGCTCCTCCTTGAGCAAAATCATCGATTCATCGAAGAAGTCGGTGATTAGGACTTTTAATTCGTGTTCGACAGAATATTCGCGGTAGCAAATCACCTACTATTTACTGGTGAAAAAATAGCTTTCTTTTCTGTATCTTTTTTTTCTAAGATTTCAAGTCTTTGCAAGAAAACTGCTGGACTTACAGTTGAACCAAATTCTTATCACAAGTCTCCAGCTCATTTTTATTTACTCAACTTGTGTATCTCCCCTCCAGGTAGCCGAAAAATCTGTAAAATTCACCAATTTTCGAGGAACAGCTAAGCTTCAGAGCTGCTGTCCGCTCTAAGTGGCGATAACCAGCTGAAGATGAGGGGCTCATTTGAATTTTTTCGACAAATGTAAAAACACCCCAGAGCTGCTCCTCTTAGGCTTTGCTTTGAGTGGCAAAAATAGGAGCAGCTGATTGCTCTTGGAGAGACTATTTGTCATCTAGTGTTAGGTGATTTTGTTTTCGTGAGTTAAAACTGAATTTGGCTTGCTATCTTGAACTAACAGTGTCTGCCTGTAACTATCAATTTGAAAACGAATGGATGAATTAGAAGCTACGTGTCCCTCTATGGCTGCTTTTGACATTCCAACCCGTCCAATTTCGAGTTCGAATGGAGCACGAGTTCCAAATTTATGCCGTATCCATGCTGCTCTAATAACTGCCCGTTATGCATCTGATTAACCTCTGTCATTCGGAACACATTCCTAAGTCAAATATCTGATCCAACCGCTCAATCCACCGCTTGATGGTGCGCTCGTCTGTTTCGTCGTTGTCTGTTTGTGGATTTCATTGTGAAAAATTTCAAGTTTAGAATAGAAGTCGCTATTGTTGTCAATCTAAATGACAGGTCTCTTGGAAAGAAAGTTTATGACAATCTCCAAGTGGGAGGTTGATAAACGCATTCCAAAGCGAAAATTGGAAGTTGTGGTCTTACAATTGATAAGGTTTCTATTCGTTCTAGACATGAGCAAAAACAGGATGAACCTCAAAAACGGGTAAGTCGGTCAAAAACGTAGAAATTGACTCAATTAGCGATTTTGCCTATGTTTGAGTGACCGCGCGAATTGACCTCGAACGATGGGGCTCAGGTTCAAAACGGCATAGCAGCTGCGGCGCGTCACATTCATTTCGAAATCCTTCACGAAGCCAAAGTCCCACATCATAGCATTCCGGGCAAAGCGCTCGTAGTGTGCCGCGTCAAAGCCGTAGTACTTACTGATCAAAGAGTTTCAAAAATGATTTGCATCGAGCAAAATGTTAATTATGAAAATTTCGAAGATTTAAATTTCTCGTTCAAAAGCGAGAACGTGAATTCACTTTCAGAGCTATTTTTGTTAAATACTTTGAGTTAAATATTTTACTAGAAAATGTTATGCAAGAAATTTTTACTGCTTGGCGCCAGAATCGCTCAAAATCTGTTTTGGAAACATTTTTTCACGAACTCGTGTTATCCTTTTGCTGAAGAAAGATATTCAAATGCAAATTTAGTGGAAATTTAGATATCAAATTTAAATGAGATTGAAACTCTAGCTTGGCTCATCGAGGAAATTCTTCATCCTACTCTGAATATCCCTCCCCGGAACCCTCTGAAAAGCTCTTACCTCTTCGGTGTAGTAACTCATTATCGATTCAAACAGATCGAGAGGATTTCGCACGATCGCAATATATTTTGTATCTTTCGTTGGGGCCATCAATTTGTTGAACAGGCATAATTCTAGTTCTTTATTTTCAAATTATTCGATAAACACAAGTCTAAATAACTAACTGAAAAAAGGGAAAAAATGCAAAACTTTTTGTTAAACATAATTCCTCTTAGTAGCATTTATGTTAACTTTTCAAAAGTTTCACTTTCAAAAAAATGTGAACTCTTCCAGGAGGTACTGTCAAGTAACCTTTTTGCTCAAACGATCTCATCAAGTTTGATCTTTATATCCTTTGCCACCCGTACAGATCCCTTTAGTTTCCGTTAATTATTTCTTTTATGGGGTCATCTAAGGCTAGATTTGTTCAATGCATTGATAGTCCGTTCCTTTGGGCATCGTCTCTTTGACACCTTTTTCGTCGAAGTGAAGGTGATTGCAGAGAATGTTGTATGAACCTGATGGACTTGGCCGGACGAGATCGGAGTTGAACTTCAAGTTGTAGTTGAATACATGAGCTCCCGGCTGTTTCGGAAGCGCGAATGTCAACGAATTCGCTTCTCCGTACCTAAAGAACAATTACGAACGCGTTATGATTCTGGCAAAGTTCAATTTCGTTTCTAACAGAAAACGAAAACTGTTGTTTATGATCGCCGATTATAAAATTAATTAGAGCCGGGTTGTAATCACAAACAGTAATGACGAGTTCCATTCCGTATTGTTTTTCCGTACTCGGATATATTTGGGACACGCGGAAGTCTGCTCGCGCAGCAGATAGTTGCTCCCGGATCGGGGTATTGAGCAAGCTGGCTTGATCTTGTCTACGGGGGCATTGAATCAGGAAACACGGTGGTTGCGATTCCTTGTTTAAAAACATTGTTGATGACGAGAATGATTGTTAGAGGCTTTCTAGCGGATATTCTTATGACATGTTGAAATTTCATGGTCAACCAAAAAATGCTCAATTTCTAAATTTTAAAATACGCGTTAAATCTACGAGGTCAAAAAGCGGCCCTCTCCGGCCCTCTGAAAAGTCCATCTTAGCTCAAATCAAAATGCGACTCAAAATTGGGAACGCAGTATAGTTTGGATACTATTTGCTTTAACAAAAGCCGACTTTGAAGGGAGACACGCGTAAGGCTCGAACGTGCTTTTCGGGGAATATTTTCTTTACACTGGAAATGGCAATATTGTTGCGCGGAGCATTTGATCCAGGAACTGCTTCTACAGTAGTTTTTGGCTGGTTATGAAACTGCTGCCCAGGTGCTAATATAATACAGTAATCAAAAGGGCGAAAGAGGTTGGTATTGCTTGAGGAAGCAAAATCTCGGAAGCGCACAGACAAAAGCTGACCCTAAGCCGGCGTTAAAAACGACCTCAAGATGTTTAGAAAACAAGCGGAAAATGAACGTGGAAGCTGAGCCAGCTCTCGGAAGCGTTTCTAATTGTGAGAAACCGATTTTGAGAGAGAACGGCGTGATTAACTGCCTCGCGACGCTCGCTTCATAAATCTAAATCGGCGAAATCTAATGAAAATCGAGGCCACGTGAAATGAGCATCTCGAAGGAAAGAACTCGATTTAGCGCGGAAGAGCGAATTGACGAGAGATTAAAGTATGTGTTGGCGGAACACGTTCCGAGCCAGACTTAATCGTCCCATTTTCACGAAGTTTTTGTTTTTGACGCACGAAATTTCCGCTGCTTCAGCGCTTAATTTGGAACCAGTGCTGCATATACGATGATGAACATCAACTTTAACCCTCCAAAAGGGTCTCCCAAGCACTCACAGCCGGTTAAATAACGTTACTAAGTGATAACTCTTGTAATTTCCCTCTTACGCGAAAAGTATCACGCACTCTTTGTATATCTCTCCCCTTTTAGGATGCAGCTGCCGTATCAAATGCTTATCCCGCAATTTGTGAGTGGCTTCAATTTTCACGAAACCGAGAAAAATTGTGAAGCGAACACCGCAATAGTTTTATAACTAGCTCTGCGGCTTCAAAAACAATTACAGAGCTCTCGAAATTTCCCCCCTTCTTTTGACAAAAAGCGGCGTGTCATGTTAGGGAGAAATTAGCTATTTTGAAAGCCAGCTCATCTTCTAAAAATTGGCTTGTTGCGAAAACAGAAGATGGTACTGATCAACACATTGTGATCTTCAATTTGATCCATTCGGGGTCGTTTGATGTAATTATCTTTTCATGTTCCTCCACAAGGAAAAAGACAATGAGATTTCTGTCTAAGCAATTTACGACCATATGGAATCAACTCTTTGTACTCTAAAATTGATAATTTATGGAAAAAAGTGTCTAATGCACAATTTAGGCTTTGAGGCTGTAGCAGGTTAAATCATGACTAGCCATGGAATATGTTTAATTGTGCATAATCGTATTTCGATAACTAAAGCTAGAATGCTACGCTGATAACAATAACAATGATCTAATAGCTTTCGAGCTCTCTTTCTCCCTCTCTTATCAATTTGAAATTTATCTGGAAGGAATGATTCGACTATGTTAACACGTTGTTTAGCAGTGCCCCGACTTCGAAGGGTTTATTCGAGGAAGTAGTATAAAGCTTATCTGATCGAGTAATTTTTCTTGAGCTCCTTTGTCCCCCGCCGAGCGTCGCTCAGCGGGAGCTCCTTATCGCATACATGGACATTTTCGAACGTGTTTTGTAGTATTATCGCATGTCGTCAAAAGAATATTCACAAGGTTCAATCACGTTTATTTTCGCGGGTAAGGCAGGGTGATAAACGTAAGGTAGGTTTTTCGAACAAGCTGCTTGTTACAGAACAAGTTTTATTTCTATCTAAAATTCGGCGATGATTTATTTTAGGCAAGAAATAGCGACATCGAGTGAAATTATTTTTTTTTTCAATAAAGCTATTATTTTTTTTGAAGATTTACAAAACTCAAAAAAATTAAATGAACTAAGTTCCCCTTGACCAAAATGGAACAAGAGTAAATGAAATTTGAGATGTCTTGGAGGAGCTGAATGCATTTTGAATATCCGCTGGAAAATCTTTGAGGATGATTCTCCACGTGCGCTCCCGTTTTTTGCGGTTTCCTTTCTTTCCTTCTGCTTCTCGGCGAGAAAGGCGGGACCAAAAAAAGTAAACTCGTTTGAAAAAATCTTTCTCTAATTCTTTATTTCTGTTACTCTTTCTTTGTTTTATGCATTGGGCAACTTGGACTTACCGTAAAAGGACATTTTGAAGAGTTGTGCTGCCGGCTTTGTGCGTCTTCAAGAAGAAAATATTCTTGTGGGCGTTGCATTGCTTTCCACTTATTTTACTTCCAATACTGAAAAAGTTTATGTTAACAAATTTTAACTTTTGAATCTATTGCAATCAAGAATTATTTTAATCACGCCGCCGTGAATTCCAGAGAAGATGTTGGTCCCGTTTTTTCTCACGAGAAAATACCATGATTTACTTTTCATTTTCTCCGACATTTTCTTCTTTTGCAAATTTTTTTCTTTCTCTCAAAGCAAATTCAACTTTGAAAATATAATTTTCTCCGTACCAAAGCGCGATAAAAGCCAAAATAGTTATATAAGGTAATTGTCCGCATTTTCTCATTTCCCCTCAAAATGCCGATCCGAAAAGTCTTCACATAAAAAATGGGGGTAATAAGATTTTAATGACGCTGCTCAAACTCATTTTCTTTCGGGAGAGTGATGATTAATCATTACTGACAATAAAACCTTCGTATTTATCAAAATAATCGTTAATTTTTGTTCCGAGCATTTTCGGTACCAGAATCAGGTCAGATTTCTACAGAGAGTCTTTTACTCAAATCGACGAATTTTCGGTAACTTTTGCCGATCACCCGCTCATCCTTCTTAACTTTCAGCAGCATGTCTAAGCGTGTGAGTCTATTAGAAATGCTGAAAATACCACCAGCCGGTAATACCTCCGTTTGTCAAAATTTCATCCCGCTGGCGCGCTCGGGCTCGAGTGGAAATCGAATTTCTTAAACAAATAAGATGATAACGCCATGGTCAATTTCCCGATTTCTGCCCGCGCTTTCTCATAATTTAAAGAGGTTACAATGTTACGTAATTATCGCTTGCTGATAAGCCCCCGCTGTGATGACATTTTGCATGGATCGCGATTCAAAATGTGAGAAAGAAGAACAATCAAATCAATTTAAACAGAGTCAAATCTAGTGAAACTAAGTTGGCTTGAAAGATTTGCCAAGTTTGTGGAAATTATTTAAACTTTGGCTGCAAGAAAAGTGTCTCATCGAACGAACAAACTTCTTAGATACTTAGAATGCGTCGTACAAGACAATTTACTGGTACGTCATATCACTCAAACACTTCAAATTCATCATTCCATTTATTAAAACCTGGCTGCTGCGCGAGACATTATGGCGGTGAAAGGCACCGTTCTCGTGAATTTCGAACACAGGGGGCTCGATGATATACCTCTTGTAAACAGGCTCTATCCAACTCAAGAAAACGAATAAAGCAAAGTTGTCCTTTTCGAGGAGACCCATGACTAGGTTCGTGAGGACTAGGTTCGTGTGACTAGGTTCGTGGGTGCCATGTTGGAAAAATTGGTTCGTGTGACTAGGTTCGTGAAATTTGGATTTTCATTTGTATTTTTTGTATCTCACCATTTTGGGGCAGTAAGGGAAATGGGTTGATGACTAGGTTCGTGTGACTAGGTTCGTGAAATTTGGATTTTCATTTGTATGTTTTTGTATCTCACCATTTTGGGGCAGTAAGGGAAATGGGTTGATGACTAGGTTCGTGTGACTAGGTTCGTGAAATTTTAAAATGAAAAATTTTGGGGCAGTAAGGGAAATGGGTTGATGACTAGGTTCGTGTGACTAGGTTCGTGAAGACTAAGTTCGTGAAGACTAGGTTCGTGTGACTAGGTTCGTGAAGACTAGGTTCGTTAAGACTAGGTTCGTGTGACTAGGTTCGTGAAATTTGGATTTTTATATGTATTTTTGTATCTTCACCATTTTGGGGCAGTAAGGAAATGGCTTGATGACAAGGTTCGTGTGACTAGGTTCGTGAAATTTTAAATAGGAAAATTTTGGGGCAGTAAGGGGAATGGGTTGATGACTAGGTTCGCGTGACTAGGTTCGTGAAGACTAAGTTCGTGAAGACTAGGTTCGTGTGACTAGGTTCGTGTGACTAGGTTCGTGAGGACAAGGTTCGTGAAGACTAGGTTCGTGGAATTTGGATTTTTATATGTTTATTTTTTGTTTGTTAGGGTTATGCTTTAAAATTAAAAATTTTAATAAAACATTGTGAGAGCCTAGCGGCTTATACGGGGGTGGGGGATACTTATTTGGCAAATATAGTCCCACATTTTTTCATTTTTTAAATTTCACGAATCTAGTCACACGAACCTAGTCATCAACCCGTTTCCTTTACTGCCCCAAAATTTTTCTATTTAAAATTTCACGAACCTAGTCACACGAACCTAGTCATCAAGCCATTTCCTTACTGCCGAAAATTTTTCTATTTAAAATTTCACGAACCTAGTCACACGAACCTAGTCATCAACCCATTTCCTTACTGCCCCAAAATTTTTCCTATTTAAAATTTCAAGAACCTAGTCACACGAGCCTAGTCATCAACCCATTTCCCTTACTGCCCCAAAATTTTTCTATTTAAAATTTCACGAACCTAGTCACACGAACCTAGTCATCAACCCATTTCCCTTACTGCCCCAAAATATAGGCCGATTTCAATACTCTGGCAGAACCCACCACGAACCAAGTCACACGAACCTAGTCCTCACGAACCTAGTCGTCATCTAGGTCTAGGATTGGGGGTGACCGATGGTGATCCAAAAAAGTTGCTCGGGATGAATCACCAAAAGGTGGTGATCGGGTTTCTCGGATCACCAGAGCTTGGTGATCGAGACTCGATCCTGGTGATCCGCTGGTGATTGTTAGCAGAAAATTATTGCAGATTTGCTAGTTTTAACGCAAAAGGTCTTATTATTATATATTGGGCAAAATAAGCCTATCAATTAAGCTGATCGAAGAAATAACAGGCACTGATTTTCACATCTGGCCTCGATCACCAACCTCTGGTGATCGGAGAACCCGATCACCATTTTTTGGTGATCCATCCTGAGCAAATTATTTTGGATCACCAACGGTCACCCCTAATCCTAGACCTAGGTCGTCATTCCCTTTTCGAGCCCTAGAAAAGTCAATCAAAAAATTAATGGCTTTTCAAAATGCTTCCATTTCAATATTTAGATAGCCAGCGGTTCTGATAGGCTGGAGGCAGTTTTTGAGTATTTTGATTGGCCCAGGAGATTTACAAAAATGTTGTGAAGACAACGAATTTATCCATAAATTATAGATCTTAATCAAAATCTTTCTGATTAATTTTGGACTTGGAGTTGTAAATCTACAAATGCGAACCTAGAAAGCTAGTTCAACAATATTGTGCTTGTTAATATTATGGAAGGTGTCCGATTATTGAGAGTAAAAATGTTTTAACTTCTTCTGAAATCTACCGCCACGTACGTCCGCCGAGTGTGTTTTAGCACCTTTCCTCTTTTGGGAGGAAATGTTTGATTTCAGGGCTCTCTAAGAGTTTATTAGGCAGCACGAGGGCGAGGCGCGGATTAGCCGCACCAAATCCAACTCGTGGGCTTCATAATCGCAACACCTAAATGATGCTTTACTGGGAAGAGAAGGAACTTAAGGGAACACACCCCAGAATACCCTTGATCATTTTTAGTTATCAACAGTTGCTGTTTTTTCTGAATTTCTAGTTACTTTTCGACCTAGCAATGGTGGCATCATCATCATGCTCGATGCAAATACTCAATTTATCAGTAAAGTGAGTTTAATGCTGATTATATATTGAATTAATACTTAAGAGATAGAATTATCTAAAGATAGAGCCTCCATAAAAGAGGCATTTATCTGAGTTGATAAAGTTCTTTATCAAAATTTACGGTTTCGCGAAAGTTCATTGAATAAACTCTTCTAAGCGAAATTTTATATATGTTTGCGAAAAATTGTCACAGAATGTATTTGGTAGTTCATTCAGTGAACGCAGTACTTTGTTGATGATTCCCTCAAATTTTTTAACCTTAATTTTGTCAATAAAAAGACGCTTTATTCTTCCGCCAGACGACAAACACTCGAGGATGAACCTCTTTCTAATATGAAATCGAAGACTGTGTTGAATTAAGGGCGTATCCGACAATCTCGTGTAAAGTATATTTTCGCAGCGCATGTTCTCTCAAAATGGTTCAACGAAGATTTTCGTTGTCGCAAATAATCACGTGATAACTCCACGTGGAAGAAGCCTATCTTCCCTCATTCCCATGTCTTTCCTCGAGTTTCTCTCCCTCTCTCTCGCTCCAGCTGTCGTGGCTTTTGTGTCCAGAGCCGATAAGAAAACTCAGTTATAGCGACTTATGCAGAAGCTGCTTCATAAAAGGCTTTTCTCCGGGATCCCCTTTGAAGATTGCGCCAGAGGAACAAAAAGCGCCGTTTCCGGTACTTCCTGTTTCGAAACATGTTCCAGCCGCTCAACTCTCTCAAGAATCCTCTTGCTGAATCTCAAGCAGACAAAGAGTTTCTAAAACGGTTCATTGCACAAATCATTGAGACAAAACCAGAGAAAGCGAAAGGGGAGAAGCAGAATTTTAAGTGGCATTTTCACCAGATCAACTTTATAGTCAATAAGAGGATGAGTTGAACAACTCTTATAGAGGTTATAAGACAGATATAATATATATTATAAGACAGACGATAGAGATTATAAGACAACCGAAAAGCCGCTTGTGGCTTTGATAAAAATATAGATAAGCCGCGCGGCTTCTCCTCCTTTTGATCGGTCTTTTTGCTGTTGATAAAAATTAATGGTCAATTTTTCGGACGAAATAGAAAGATGCAAAAAGGTTTAATCATCTTCTAGCAATTCGATTTTTACAACAACGAAGCATTTTAAAAATTTTAATGAGAGTGTGAATACCGCAAACTAACGTTCTCAACGTGGAGATAATTCTTAGCTAAGTGACGAGCTAACGGTATAATTTATCATAGTAAATAGAACCCCTCTTTCTCAATCAGAATCAATGTCATTTTCTCGGGCAAGTTTCGACAATCAATCGATCGCAGAATTGCGCATTTATCTGTTGGCGCTCTCAATATGCGCCGGATAAAAACAGAAAATATGCAAGTACATCTCCTGGAGGAATTCACGTTGCCGGTCACATGACAACTTGGTCGTTCGTTATCACATAAGAGTATTAAATACTCTGTTGATAAACTTTACTTACACTTGACTTGAGGACAGCAGCAGCCATGAGGTCCACCACATTCTGAAAATAAGCATTAATTAAGTTCATCTTTTCCGATCTGATTAAGGACCCCCAATCCAGTCGCTAATTCAAGGACTATAGACAAAATATGCTACATAAGCTTACCAATTATTTAATTATATATTATCGTTAATTTTAAATTGTCGATTTTCTTTGAAACATTTTTTTCATCGAAGTAGTTTATTTAAAAATCAAGCGTAGCTGTCAAAGTCCTGAATTGAATAGTCCTTTATGTTTTCAAAATTTTCACAAGATCAGTA